ACAGATATCAAAGATGAAACGTCTGTCACAAAAGTCCAGCTCTTGTTCGTCCTCGTCGTCAGGCACTCTCCCTACACGTGCTCAGAGGAGGGGGTCACGAACAACTAATGCTTGTGAAGCATGTAAGAAGCGGAAGACAAAGGTATGAGGCTCAATCTCCTGCTTGTTTCTTCACTTACACTTCCACAGTGTTCTGGACCATCTGGACCATGTGAAGCATGCCAGAAGGTAGATACGTTTTGCCATTTCAACTTGAGATTAGATACTCGGCGGAAACTTGCATATAAGCCTACAGCAGTGCGAGAACGACAACAGTATATATTAGAGGGTATTCTGCAGGTCTTGAAACACAACGACAATGAAGACGTACAAGGTCTTCTGCGGCTAATCCGTAATGAGGCTCGGCCACAGCAAATCGCTTCCTGTCTCAAGCAGAATTTGCACGTTCTTCAACGACGAGGTGTCATACCTACTTTACAAGTGGATGAAACTGATCTAGTATCCCTCGGACTTCAAGGCTTATTCAGTCATCGGGCTGGAAAGAACACTTCAAGGTCATCAGACAAAGCTTCAGTACATTCCCCACAGACTCCACTTCAGAGTGATCCTGTCACTTATCAACGGCCAAGACCACCAGCATGGGGTGTTTTGCAGAGCAACGATCAAGCGCTTTCCCATTACGGCATTGTCGGCTCGTCTGAGACAAGTGCGGACTCCCACAGCTTCAACAATGGTCACAATCTACATCAAAGCCAAGGGACTCACGAGAGCATGCCTATTTACGTCGACGATAGCTCAATCTTGACTAACGGCCCTCTGTACGAAGGCAGCCCGGTAGGGGTGACAGGTGCCTTGACAGAGAACCAGAGTACACAATATGGCAGACCTGGTACATGGTCACACACGAACAGCCATCCAAGGACGACATACAGCACCTACGGCATTAAGCAAGAGTCTTGTCAAACCAATGATTGGTGTCTAGCCGCTTCTAGCACACTGTCTCGTACCCCTTCGGCATTTGGAGGCCACTCTGGTAGCACAACGTCGCTGCAATTGCCAGTGTCACCACCAAAAACACCTCTCGATGCTATGTGCTTGCAATTTAGAGATGATTGTCAAAAGATGCTCTCCTCAGGTGTCCCTTATGAACAGTTGAATAATTACGGCAAGATGGATTGTGAGCTGTTATTTAGGAATCGAATACCTTACGATGAGTGGAACATACCGAATTGGGCATGTGAGGTAAATTTAGCCCCCACACTATCACTCGTGTCAAGAGTTTGATCGCATTCTGAATGCTAACGAGCGACTAACATTAGGCAGGTGGTCAGAAAATTCCCCTCTATGTTGGCAGAAACTAGGCTCGCTGCAGCTCTCTGTATAACACGATTTATGCCTTTCCTGATCGATCCATCCTCGAAAACTTTATCTGCTCTTCCTGGTGTTCTCCGACCTACCGAGCTCCAAATGCGTACTCCTCACGATATATCTGTGAACTTCATCCCGATACCGATGCTAAGAAATTGCCTACTCTACAGCTCTATGGACTGGTTCGCATTGCTCGCCCAGTACGACTACAGTGTTCGTTGGGAAGGCGTATGGGGTGATATTGGCGGCGCGATGTTGTTCCCAGGGGGTCAATGGGAATTTGATCCCAGGACGGCGATGGAAGAGCATGGGAACAAGAGGGTCGAGACCGATGACGTCAAGAAACCAAAGGCAGTGGTATATGATCCTGTTACTCGCCGCAGACATATCACCGAGCACTTCGAGAAATGTTGTTGGACTTTCGATAACTGGAGTGTCAGGCATGATATCCTACAACTATGGCCAGATCTTTCTGGTCACATACGTCTCACCTAAGGTTTTCCAGGCGATGCCTGCATGCGTTCAAGCGGAAAAAGTTTGAGAATTTGGGCGAACAATGCCTGCGATGGATTGTGCCCCAACCCTACTTGTATCAAGGAATGTATCACCTGAAGAGGTAGAGCATGAGTCTATGCGACGACACCTCAGAACGATAACGCCACGATATTGTACGATTAATGATGTATTGAGCACGCAGGTCTGTATCTATATAATGTATGTATTAATTACGACGAGGCAGGGCTTTCGCAGGGTCGTGCTTCAACGATTCAGGCTCTCTTTGAGAGCCAGTGGAAAGACACGTTTGTCAAAACATTCGTCTCAGGCAACTATGGTGCTCTGGAGAGATACTTATTACTCGGCGTCACAGGGATCATGGCCCTCAAAGTGTAGGTTCGGATTTCGATTCCTGCAGGTCTAAGATTATAGTCCTTGACGATGATTACTTTCAAGTGGGATATTTCACCCTGCTTGGCATAAGGCCGTTTCGGGCCAGGCGGGTTGTCAAGACACTAATTATACGTCATATGCTCAACAAACATGTGTTCGCTCGATCCGTACCTGTATGATTGATCGTCAGCTCTCAGCTTACAACGGAGCTCGATCCTGTTCCCCGCAAAGACAACAGACAGGGTTGCAAGAATGGTACGCGGGACATACAATTACTGAAACCATCGTCCGATTCAAGTGACCTCTCCGTCTCCTGTGCTCAACACAAGTGGCAGAAATATACTTCTTCAGAGATGCAGGAACTCAGCCAACCAGTGAGCTAGCATAACGCATTCCACACATATTAGGGGAATCATATGTGAACCTCACAAGCTGCTGTTCTTCAGCGGAGTCAAAAAGCTCCAAATAATGTCACACCCAGGAAAGCTCAGAATGTGGTGCCATTTGTACAGTAGGTTGAAAGTCAAATACGCAGTATATTGCTGGACGCTCCTGCCAGTGCTTTGTGATGATTTGGTGCGGTTTCACGAAGTTGATTTTTAGGACTACCACTCTAGCGTGTCGCAGCACGAACACCTCCTCAAAGTCGGCGTAGTGGTTGGCTCTGTTGACAGGTCCCGGACTGAGGCATTGAAACTGCACGAGCAACTAGACCTCTAACTTCGACGGTTGCAAACGTGGAGCCACAAAGGGAGCGAGCAGGTCAAGACGTGAAGAGGACCTTCATCACATCTTCACGTCCGAGTCGATGATCTGCTTGTTATGCTGCGCATACTCGTTCAGTAGACCCGAGACTTACTTTGTATCGGTACAAAAACACAATTTGGGTCATTATCCACCCCGGGGTTGGCTCCACGAGGCCATCGGTCAAGCCCGTTTCTCCGATAGCCACTGCCATTGAGGTGAGCGAACGCCTCGTTCGCCCTAGTGGAAATTCTCTCCTTCCACAGTCGAAGCTATGACTAACCAAATGTCGTTATCATGACGCCATGTGCGTGGCAGGGATGTCGGGAGGTGGTACGAGGATGAGTACCGTTGAATCCTTTGCACGCCTCGGCTTTAAACCTTTAATGCGGTATTCATTATTCTCATTGCTGGACTCCTCAGCACTTCTTTTCGAAATGATCTAGCTGGCCCATGCTCATAGCTGGACGTAGCTCTTTTGTCTCCTGCACCAATGGTGCTCTGGTGTGGCAATACCGTGTGGCAATACCACACTGAGCCTTCGGTGTTAGGCTTTGCACTTCTGCAGTCATATTTTACTCTTTAAATTACAGCGTCGAACGTTGAGGTGCGTCAACAGTGCCAAGCCAAACCTTTTGTGGTGGAGGAGCGGCACAAAATAGCCTATGGCTTGTGCCTAGACCCGTTGAACGGGCATGGGTTGCACGTTCGTAGTTATCTACTGAATGTGTTTGTTGCATGGCAAACAAGCATGATTTCTTCGTGTGGAGACGAGCTGGTAACGTACTGGTGGAAGGATGAGTTTGGTCTATGTGATTGTTCAAGACGCGAAGACAGCAAAATCGTGCTTACTGTATGAACGGACTTCATCGTGATTGTCTGCAGTCCCAACAACCCAAAGCCAATTGTACAGTAAGTTACGAGCTGAAGCTGTTTCGTGTTCCTGGATCCCTGTTTCGTGTTCCGAAAATGCACATCAAACAAGCTGGGCACGACCCGCTCCAACATCGACTCGTGCCCGGAAAAGTGTTGCGCACTGCCTTGTACGTGGCTTGAGGTTCATTCGCAGCAGGAAGACAACCAGCATTCACTCGAGTACTGTGTCGTAGGACAGCACCAAATGGACCATGATCCGCAAATTAGATCAAACGTCGCTATACGCTAGTACTGCGGTGGCTTTCAGGATCCGAGTTTATCATCGTTACTTTTAGTCTGGAGAGACATGGCGTTCACCAGCTTTTATCCAGCTACGGTTGGTTTTACAGGTCAAGTACGATGGCATCTGGACCACTCAGGTATAGCTGCGTCTGACTCAGGCATGCTCATCCCTGTCATATGCAGTGACAGAAATGCCATCACTACATGTCAGTGTCTGGAGGCAGGGCATCCCTCCAAATTTGCTGCAGCAGACAGCTCTACCCTGGTTTCTGGGCTAATGCCAACCTCGTATAGGACACCAATTAGGATTGCAGAGCATGACCCAAGGATCGAATATGCATCGAGCCACAAAGCTGCTGTTCTGAGACCTGGATCGAATACCAACCTCGGTGAACATCAGCGCAGCAACACGGAACATCCTTGGAGATGTGCTCATGACACAGTGTCTGCTGAAACTTTCCCTTCGTACAATTACTTGGTCAGAGCTGTCAGCAAATGACGGGGTTAATTACTGTGGCGTCTCGACGTACTCGTACATAAAGGAGGCATTTTCACGTCATAGGTTGCAATATATGCCGAAGCAGGACGAGACAAACTTCTAAGGTTGTCAGGAGTATGCCCGACAGCAAACCTCGACGTCGTCCGCATGGTAAGTCGCTGACAGAGATCGGATCTTGCCTAAGAAAAACAATCAACAGCAGTGGACAGTCCACGTTTGTGAGCCAAATATATTCACTATTGGAACCAAAAAGTCGGCCGGTCTCAGACTTTCGTGACCGATCATCAATCAGCTGTATTGTATCATACTGTACATGAGCGCAAGCAAAAGGGTATCAATAAACTCAATCATACAAATCGCTATCCTCATTTCCATCGTCGTTCTCGAGCGGCTGAGTACCGTCCACGTGTTCGGACGATGCTCTCGGTCCTTCAGCCAAATCAGCTCTCAGCACGCCATCGTCATCCTCCCAGATCTCCCTGTCACGATGCGGGATTATGCTCTCCGTGATACCACAACTTTGCACAAGCTCCTGCCAAATGTCAAAGTCTAATGTAAATATAGCCTGGTTCCTCACGCTTTCCTGTCGCTCCTCCAAACTTTTGGCATCGACCATGCCCAGCGTCGGCATTTCGTCACTGTCAAAGTCTAGTCCGACTCTGCCTTCTTTAATCAGAAATGAAACATAAAAGAAGTTCTCGACTGATTGACCAAAAGATTTTGGGTTGATGCAGAAATCAAATAGTGGCACACCACCGTTGTCACGGACTTTGTGCTTGCGCATCAGTTGGCGCACTTCCTCCTCGGAAGCATCATAGTCCTCGTCTTGCCATTGCGTGGCTTGCTGCTCTACAGCTCGTTCACCTTTCCTCTGTGCAGAGGCTAGCAGTGTTGCGATTGAACCGCATAAGGCTGTTAATGATGCTGACTCTTGTCTATCTAGTGCTGCTTCGTCGAGCTGTATTGGACGCTGAGCTTGAGATGGGTCTAAGTTTGCACGTTGTGTTACTCGACGTTGTGTCGGTGCTCGAACTTTTTTCTGTAATGACAAGGGCCCGAGCAGGGAGGATGACAGACACGGCCGGTTTGAAGCGGGAAAGCAGAGTGTGCGGCCTAAATGCGCCCAGTTTAAATTCGTATGCTCTTCGTCCTGATTGTCCCCGTCACCATCATCATCATCATCGCATCGTCGGTCTCGTCTCCGTTGGGTCGAGGGCATCTGTGCCGAGCTGTTCGCGTCGGCTGATTGCATGTAAGATATACACTTTGTCAGAAAATCGTCCACGTCAATCGCAGTAGTTGAGTCGCCAAGAGTCATTGTACTGATCTTCTTGTACGAGAGGTCTCCTAGATTGACGAGAAGTCCCGAATCGATTGCGGCTGTAGATGTCTGTCTGACATCTTTGATATATTCGTCTGCTTTTTTTATGGCATCCTGTATACCTCTTGAATCACGTTGTAGGTACTCGGTCCTCGCATCGTTCACATCTGCTTGTAGTTGTCTATATCTCTGTGTGGTCGTGCTCTTCGAAGTCTCATCTTGATCTGGGTCATAAAAGTTGCTGTCAACACTGTCGCCAATGGCTTTGCGCCGTGCGGCTTGTGTCGATCTGCCTGCTGATTGATCTTCGGTTCGCCTTCGCTTGTTCGCACCTGCGTCATGTGTTGGTTGCGCGGTCGACATGGCTGCTGATGTGCTTTTGCGTTTGCCCAGACTGGGTCGTGTTGCACGACTACCAGCGTTTTCCTTGTCCGAACCAAACACTTCGGAAGGCGTTGGCGAAGGCTGATGTGAGGGTGACCTGCTAACGTCTGAGTTGAGCGCGACAGCAGGCGGCGCAAGCATGCTCTGCCTTTCGTTCAATCGGGCCATCTTCAGAACATGGTATTTGTTTGCTACGAGATCGTTATGGGTGTGGTTAGCGGAGATCCAACCATAGTGCTCAGCGCTATTATGTCGGCTGTTGGTATCGATGGGGATCTGAAAATCTTTAAAGGCGACAAGCCGAAGCTGTTGTGTGCTAGATCTGGGCTATAGTGACATTTTCTACAGTGCCCGTAAATTGAATGAGTATCGACGCGTCGCGCGTTAATGTTGCCCTTTTGCGCGGGCAGTATTTACGCTTACGTCACGCAGCCTTGTTTAACTAAAAGGAACTTAGCTTAGGCATTTCGCCTCAGTGATTGGCCGGCGTTCAATCACTTGCAAGTCTGTACACCATAAGTCATCGGCCCCCCAAATGAAACAGGCAAACACCTTCGCTCGTGTGGGTAACCTGATATTCGACTGGTATGGACAATCCAGTCAGGGGAGAGAAATAGCTGGTCAGGGAACGCATCTCATTCCGAGACACGAGGTCTAGTAAACCTCAAGGACATGGATACCTACACTTTTGCGACATCGAAACAGGTTGACTTTCCTGTATGTGTCAAGATGTAGGTGAGGATGTCTGTGTAATTGGATCTGCTGCTGCATCTACTAACACGATCAACACAGCAACCATTTAGAGGGTAAACAGACGCCCGTACTATTTTCAACACTTCTGAGACATCCTGAAATCAGACACATAGGATCAGTACAGAACCCTAACTCTGAACTCTATGTCACGGCTCAAATATGGGCCGAATCCAAGCCTATTGGCGTCCATAGCCAAACACCTCATATGTTCTTCAAGAACACTAGGACTTGGAACAGGTGGTTAGAGCTACCCGTCTCTATCAAGGATTGCCCGATCACCACCCAAATCGCTGTCACAGTCTGGGACTTGTCGCCTCTACCTCTTAACGGAAGTCTAGATCATGCTGTGCCTTTCGGCGGCACAACTATCACTCTCTTCGACGACGAAGGAGTTTTGAGAAAAGGTCGTCAGAAATGTAAGCTATATCGGAAAAGGAGTGCGGATGGGGCATATCCCTCTACAACTCCTCACGTTCCTCGACCTAGGCGCCGACGCAAAGATGAAGGGCCTCCGACTTCCTTCCCCGAGGAAGAGGAGCTCAAGCAGTTAGAAGATCTATTCAGGAAGCACGAGATGAATGAAATCCCGCAGAACGACTGGCTTGATCAACTAGTTTTTCAGAAGGTTGGCAGACTGGCTAGGGAGGTTGATGATAAAGCGCGGAAGGGAGCGGCCGTTCGACAAGCTGAGCGTCGGAAAGCGATCGCTGCTAACGGCGAATCTAATGATCAAACAGATGGAGCTGAGGTCGACCTTGACGAGGAAGAACGATTCACACTTCACATCGATCTTCCACGCTTTGACTTTCCAATCGTGTTTGAAGACTTCTCATATGAAGCCCCAAAACTGATGCGTGACTTCCAGTCTGCAAATCCAGCCACAGGTCCAAATGCGAAACCATCCCCAGAAGTGCGCTATGGTCCAGGTATTGCCGCTGGTAACATGGTTGTGGATGACGAGGATTATCCTGTTGTCAAGATGTTCGATCCAGAACAATTCCAGAAAGAGAATCCGTGCGAGCAAAAGCACCGTCGACTCGTGCGAAGTGATCGCAATGCCTATTTCGATGCTGATCAGAAGCCGAATGCAAAAGTCAGAGATGAATTAAACGAGATACTTGCCTACGGACCAACACAAGAACTCACAACGGCTGAAAAGGAGACCCTGTGGGTGTTTAGAAGACATTTGAGCAAAGACAAGCGAGCTCTCACGAAAGTCGTAAAAGCTACTGATTGGAACAGCCCGCATGAGGTCAAGCAGATGAACGACCTGATACCAAAATGGGCGGAAATCGATATCGACTCAGCTCTGGAGCTACTTGGCCCGGATTTTGATAATGCAGTCGTCCGTGGTTACGCTGTCGAAAGGCTACGCAAAGCTGAAGACGATGAGCTTCAGTTGTACCTGCTACAGCTGGTCCAGGCCCTGAAGTTTGAGAGATACGACGAAGATGAAGAAGGCTTTCCAGACACGTCCCTAGCAAAGTTTCTGATTGAGCGAGCGGCAATAAACTTCAAGCTTGGCAATTATCTGCATTGGTTCTTGATGGTCGAGTGCGACGATCGAGGTCCTGATACGAATGCTGCTAACCGGAAATTATTTGCCAAAGTCGAATATCATTTCATGCTTCAACTCGAAAACCAGAATCCTGAGCAGCGAAGAATGCTGAAGAGGCAGGGTGAGATGGTCGCAGTATTATCTAAGATCAGTAAGGAAATCAGGTTCGGACGTGATAGTCGTCCACACAAGATTGAAAAGCTCAAAAAGTACTTGGCAGATCCCAAGAACGAACTGATCAAGGTTGATCCACCTCTACCACTGCCACTCGATCCATCAATCGAGGTCAGTGGTATATTTCCGGAAGACTCTAACGTCTTCAAGTCGTCGCTCTCGCCTCTTCTGCTGCACTTCAAGATAGCATCCGCAGATGTGCCTGACGATGCGCCGTCGAGTCCACTCAAATCACAGAAACTCGCAGAACAGCCCAGGTTCTCTGTCATATTCAAAACCGGGGACGATTTGAGACAAGATCAGCTCGTGGTTCAGATCATCTCACTCATGGATAGGCTCCTGCTTAGAGAGAATCTTGACCTCAAATTGACACCATATCGTATCCTGGCCACTTCTCCACAGGCTGGTGCCATACAGTTCATACCCTCGACACCTCTCTCAGCTGTATCATCGCAGTACAAAGGGTCAGTGCTGGCATTTCTTAAGAAAGAACATGCAGATTCATCAGGTCCTCTCGGCGTGCGTAAAGATGTCATGGACACATATATCAGGTCTTGTGCTGGATACTGCGTGATCACTTACATACTAGGTGTCGGCGATCGACACTTGGACAACCTGCTCCTATCATCAAGTGGCAACTTCTTTCATATAGACTTTGGCTTCATCCTCGGCAGAGATCCTAAACCATTTGCGCCGCTAATCAAATTGTGCAAGGAAATGGTTGAAGGTCTTGGGGGTACGACTTCGCCGCAATATGCTCAGTTCAAACAGTATTGCTTTACAGCGTTCACCACGTTACGCAAATCAAGTCCCTTGGTGCTGAACCTCTTCAGCTTAATGGTGCAAAGTTCTGTACAGGATGTACGTATGGTAGAGGAGCAGATGGGTGGATTTGGTGGTGCAGTTGCCAAGGTCAGAGAACGGTTTCACCTTGATGTTACAGAGGAAGAGGCTGTCAGACTGCTTGATCAGGTCCTAGCAGACAGTGTCAATGCTGTCTTTGGTGTAGTGATAGATAGGCTGCACGAGCTTGTGCAAAACTGGCGAGCTTAGATAGGCACTACGTATCCTCAATACTATAGTAAGTGATTAGAAAAGGACTGTTTTCAAACTGTGAGCAACTAAGTTCAGTAGGCACGTTGCTGTTGAGCACAAGTAGATACTCCGGATCCGTGCCCCGAAGGTTCGGGGCCTTAGGCTTATAATCACGGGACTAGGCACCCGGACGTAACGCCTAACATTCTGTTCAACTACGAACGCTCTTGAGCTAAGGTCAATGTAACAAACAGTAGGCACGGAAAGCATAGTGCCAGAATGTCAGCAGAAGCGCGACCCATCTCACCTGCCAGTTTCGCTCGCGCGCTGGAAGAATTACCTGCAGAGAATATCTACTCTAAAGCACATGAAATTGGTAATTCTATTGCTCACCTTGAACAGTCGAATAAGATTCTACAAGAATATTCCGACAGTATCAGAGATGATGAGAGCGTGAGTCTTGAAACAAGATCGGCAGGGGACAAAGACTGTCTTGAGGCCATCAAAGAGAACGAAGTTGTGATTGAAAGGCAACATGAACGAATCAAGCTTTTGAAGGCGGAAGTGGAAAGAAGAGGCCAGAGGTGGCATGAAGCAGATCCTGAAGAGAAACAGCCTGTCTTTAATGGTGATTCTGTGGAGGCAACAACGATTTCAAACGACAATCACAATGGTTTACAAACAGCAAATGCACAATCCCAACCACGACTAGCAGACGAGGAGCTGCGACGACAGCTCGAAGAACGACTCGGTGAAGACATGGCGGACGATACAGAGGACGGGCTGCACCTGTGATCTTGCCAGAAGGATCGACTACGAAATACACAATGAGCTTGACCCGTCACTATGCCATTGAAGTCAAGAGGCATCTAGTTGAGATTGAAGTGACGAGTTGTGCAATCGACATACACAGAAACGCAAGAGAAGGGATGTTGGTTTATTCTTCACTTACTACACAGCTGATCGAAAGATACGTTGAGCGATCGAATTCTGGATTCTTGTTCTTCAGACCCAGATCCGATCTATTGATAGATTGGATGAGAGCTGCAACCATGCACAACAATATGGTCTCAACCAGGCCCTTATCGATCCACACTTTTCCCTACAAGAGCTTCGCGGAAAATTCCGATTCGCCTCCAATACCTTCTTCAGGTATCAGCCTAGCTGGAATCAGTGCTCTGACTCTCAAATCACCTTTCATTCAAAGTCCGAGGACAAGATATGTCCACAGCAGACGGCACAATCCAACAGCGTTCACATCTCCGTTTAGTTTTCTGACTGATTTTCCTTTCGAAGTCCGAGAGATGATTTATGGATATGTTATCGATGATATCGTCGTCACTGTAGATGGCGAGAACTATCCGTCGGTCAGGGTCAACAGAGTAGAGCCGAAAGTACAATTGACCCGCGACTTTTCCCGACCACTATTCAGACTGACATGCCGATTTACTGCTCGAAATCCCACAAACTTCCTCTGCATATCTCGGCAGTTCTTCCACGAAGTAAGAGACGTTATATACAGGAATATGGCAGTAAAGTTCGAACGTCGGTGGGATTTCGTGAATGCTTACATCAACGGTACGCTTCACGCGGCGGCCTCCACGAATACATCACCTACTGATAATGCACTTGCGTTCGTCCCTCGAAGCTCAGATATCTTCGCAAAGATACAAGACTTGCACCTAAACCTCTGTCGCAACAGTGATTTCGACAACGTGATTCACGGTGCTGAAGCTCGGCGTGTAACAACACAAATGCTCCAGATACTTCAACGAAACATGCCTAGGTTGAGGGCGCTGTCTCTGACAGTCGATAACCGCTCTCGCACCTCAAATTCGATTATGGTTTATATGCCCAACGCGTGGTTTCTCGAAGGCCTGCTGGCCGTCAAGCAACTCAAAATTGTCAACTTCCTAGCAGGTCCTGGCTGGAGAGGATATGCACAAAGTAAGGTCAATGCCCGGCACTGCTTACAAGCTATGAATGCAGTTTTGGGAGGCCATTTCTCTATGTCGCATCCGGCGTACAAGCTCAATCTGAATGGAGAGACAGGCAGACCTCTCCAAGTCGAGCTAGGGAAGAGAATGCTTCTCTTCTTCTCACTGAGGCTACACTACAGTGATACGGCAGCTGCTCTCGCGAGCAAAGTATCAATGCTAGAGCCGATCACTTTCTAAGGGCCAGGAAGCTGAGGTGGAGGACACACACTAACGATATCAGGGCTAGGTTGACGACTGAACAACAAGAAATGCTTTATGCTTACGAATGATCACGATGTTACAAGTTACTTACGAAGTCATGAAGACACAGAAACGCTTGAAAGCAGCTTTAGAGAAATGGAGGAATAGCAGGGCTCGAGGTGTTGCAAATATGTCATGACTACCATGAATGGAACAAATTACATGATTGAATATTACTGTACGGATCAAGGTCGGAATACTATAGAAAAGCGAAACAGAGTTGTTACATGCAGCTAAACTTCACAATGAGGGCGTTTCAGTGCTAAATCGGTTGCATACCAACAACGGTTTGTCAGTGCTCATCTGCCTCGCCTCGTTGAGTGCTTGCTTTCCATTGTAAAAATAACTTCTTTTCCAGAGCGCCCACCCCATTGACCCTCTCGTTAATTCACTGTGCTGTTTCACGTCGGTGAATACTTGCAGCACGTCCTTCGGCAACGCTTGTCAAACTCTTTCCCAGTCCAGCTACGTAGCGAATGCTTGAACAGGATGAATGGCGATAAGTCGCCAGTGTCATGAACAAGAGATGACAACTTGTGAAGCTAGCGCAATGACAAGTGTCTTCTATACGCATTGCGCTCTGTCAAAACTGTGTAGAATGCTCAATTCTTTTGCATACTCTGCATAAATAGCATCTGATATCAGCACATCCAGGGAATTAGGCTCAACCAAGCTCAGAAATTTACGAGACCAGTACCAACCGTCTAGGGGCAGAGCGCTTTACCACCATAAACATCGACATCTACTTCACTTCACTCACTCACTCACCCGCTCAGCCTTACCATGACCCGCCGCATCTACATTTCCTTTGTTCTTCCACGCCCGCGCCATGAGACTTTTAATATGCTCCGTACCTTTACTATCAACAAATTCGAGGACATTTTCGACCTTCTCACCAGTAGGATCCATAGTCAGCACGTATATATATTCGCCTTGGTAAAACCACTCGTCGCATTTCTTATCGTCGTCACCGTCTTTGACATGCTCATGAAATTCAGGAATAGCCGTTGCCCATACGACGACTTGATGTAGGGACGGATTTGCCCACATTTTTTTCGGGATGACTGGGAAGCTGTGCATGACCTCGCGGATTTGCGAGACATGGGCGTTGAATTCTTTGCGGCTGAGAGGGGACGGTAAATTTGTAGAAGCAGGACCGAAGTCGTGGGTGTAGGTATCGGATTGAATGTGGGCAATAACTGATGGGTCGAGTGCGGAGAAGACCTTCAGATATGTTGTTGCTGTCTGGAGCAGTCCAGAAGTGACTGACTGAGGATCAGGTTGCATGATTGTAATGGTGGGGAGGGTGAGGGATGTATGTATTGTCGTCTCATCAGGATAAATAGATAGATAGATTGTGCGGTTTGCAGAAGATGAGGCTTCGGTCAAGATCATGGATCTGACCAGGTTATATGTACGCGGCTCGTGACAGGATATTGCGGCATCCGTGATCAAACAAGATACCGTGTCGGTGCCATCACAGAGGAGCAACAGACCCACGTGAAGGTGAGAGATTCAGCTAAGAAGATCTTAGGAGGAGCAAATACCGGATTTAAAACTCTTAAGAGCGCAATCACCGCTGCCGCTTAAGTCCTCGCAGTAGCGTTGGGAAAATCAGGACATACGTAAACGACCTGATTGTATGGGTGGTCAGAGTCAACCTTGATTCGAGGGTTGCAGTGAAATGTCAAAGTACCGTGGCAACCCCACTCGTTGCACTGCTTCCGGGGCTGCAGTAGTATTGAAACGAACGGATTGATACTGAGTTGGCCTGCCTCGAGTACATCGCGAACGGTGGCATCAACAGGTAAGCACCAAAACGAGCAACAGAATGCTTGCGATCGATTGTCTATCAAACCGGTAGAGTGCATTACGTTGCGCAACGACATCTCAAAAAGCTGGTTTGTGGTGTTGTAAGAGAACTTGTGCGTCAGCATAAAGAATCCGAATGAGGCTTGAGACCGAGGCTGGCTGTCTATCGCTTATCAGCGATATAGAGCGAACGTAGGCGGTGAATTGAACCTACCAATTGTAGGGTATTCATAACGTATCAATCCTTAATTGTGAGCACAACACTCATGACGAATGAGTGGAAAGTCGTTGCTCAAGCTGAGCTCAGCTCGCAGACCAGACGCCGAGTATTGACGAAGCATATAAGGCCTTGGCATGCGCATCTGAGACAACGCGACAGCCTCCTCAATGGCGTCCTCCAAGTCGAGAAAGTGCAGCTAACTGTCGGCGGCAGTGTCTCACAGATCATGCATATATGTCGCCGGTTGCCATTGAAGCGGGAGTAGTATTCTACTTGTCAACACAGTAGGACAGAGCTCGAACAATCCAAGTAAGTCGTCCTCTTAATTGCCAGATCACCGCTCAGCACGAGCAGAGAAACCGGCGTCTGGTTCCGTTTCCGATTAGTATATCGGTTGAACAGATTCATCACCTATACTTGGAAAATGCATGTTCTTCCTGATGACGAGACTCAACGAGCGCAAGCACGTCTTGTTCGTAAATATCTTCAGGGCTTTTGGTACCCTTTAGGATTTCCTTTTCGTGCCGCTGGGCTTCCTCCTTAGTCATCAGAACAAGATCTGGAATTTTCAGGTTCGACGTTTTCTGGCCCTCCACTTCGTAAGCTCTGTTCATATTGGTACCAGACTCGGGTCGATTCCATCTGACCAGGACAAGCCTCGTGGTCAAACCACTGACCACACTTCTACCTCTGAAGACTTCCTCGACCAGATACGCAACGTCGTCTCTGGAAATGGGAATCTTTAAGCCAACAGCATCTTGGCCATTGACAGATCTTGCAAGACGCTCTTCGAGACCTTGAAGAGCTGAAAGAATTGCTTCGTACATTTTGTCTCGGCCACGATCGCCAACACTGTACTCAAGTGGGTATTCTGCAACAGAACATATAACATGACTTGCCAAAGTATATCCGAACATGGCAGGCATTGTGCCCAGGACAGGTAAGATACGAACACGAAAGTCGGGCAGGACACCAAGGTCACCCACATTGCCCTTCTCAACTTCGGAATCAGCTATGGGCATCAAGGCAGCCTTGCCTGGACCTGGCTTTTCGGTCGAAAAGACGACAGGGATACCAGTAGACACACCTAGTAGTTTGAGTCTGCGTCTTGTAGCCTTGGACAAGGGGTCCTCAATACTAGTAGATATGTCGCCGACGCAGATCTTGGTAGGGTCGCTCTTAATGCCTGCACCCATAGCACTGATGACCTTAATATTGTGTAACGTGCAATAGTGCAGAAGTTGTACTTTTGTGTCAATATTGTCGATGGCATCCACGACCCAATCAGGCTCTTGATCACGGTCTTCACCGTCATGCAGCTCGTAGTCCCATGGAGCGAGTAGAGATTCAGCAGACTGAGAACTAAACAGCTCGTTCCTAGACTCAATTCTTGCCCAAGGACAAATCTGTTCCAGGCGTCTTCGCACACAGTGTACTTTTGGAGTCCCCACATCGGCCAGAGTAGCAAGTGCATGGCGATTTAAACTGCTCAAAGTGACCTGGTCAAAGTCGACGATTCTGATCTTCGAAACACCACTTCTAACCAGAGCTGCAACACAATGACTGCCAACACCACCCAGACCAATCACAACAACGAAAGCATTGCGGAGTTTTGCGAGACCTTCGTCTTTCAAGAATATTCGATTGCGAGCCAGCTGTTCAAAAATCAACTCTTCGTCGAAGTCGCCCTTTCGTGCCCTTGCGGCTATCTTTGCAGCTTTTGTGTCCTCGGCACTGGTAATGCTCGGCTGGGGAGCGCTGCCATATTCTGTCAACTGCGAGGCAGGTTGGTCGTGGGGTTGGTCTGGGATGGACTCTTTCAGCTTCAAGGTAGCCTTTTGCCGGCGGGTAGTGAGTAGGACATGGTAGATGGTGGTTGCGGTGACTGCTCCACACGCAAATACAGCAATAGTCTTAGCTGTCTCTGAGTGTCGTTGCAGCCATTGCGATCCAAGCATTTTCCACCGTGCCTCTCTCCTCAACAGCAGCTCTTAGGTGGAGGAAGCAGCTGATTCGGCTGCCAGATGATGCATAGTTCGGGCGAACTTCGGCGATTTACAACTCGCGTGCCTTCCATATTTTGGTCGTGAGTTGTACCTGGACTCGTTGCACGAGTAAAGTAGTTATACTGCAACAACTACTACTACTGAGAACAATTTCCTAAGATAGGAGCGAGAGCGTCACGTTAACCTCGAAACTGAATTCTGCGTTTACATCTTAATCCTCGCGGAGTTACCAATTCTTAGCATACTCTCGACCGCATAGTCTACACTCTACCAAGACAACCATCGCGCTCTCAAGCGCTCTACCTGTATTGTTCGATCACTGACCAAACCCCAAATCACTCACAACCATGGCGCGCAATTCTGAAAAAGCGCAATCCATGCTCTTCCGTTTCCGCGCCGCCCAAGCTCAAGAATCCGGCCTCCTACCATCTGCCTCCCAGCGTCGACCCAAAGCAACCTCAACAATCTCCCAAATCCCCCTAGCCGAGAAATACCGCGGCCAGATCCTTCGCGAAGTCAGCAGGAAAATCACGCGGATCCAGGACGAGTCGTTGTCAGACTACCAGGTCCGGGATCTAAATGACGAGATCAACAAGTTGATGAAGGAGAAATGGAGTTGGGAAAGACGGATACGCGAATTGGGAGGGCCGAACTACATGCGTGGTGGTGCGGGGACAGTGTTTGATGATCAAGGTCGGGAAGTGCAGGGGGCTGGTGGTGGGAAGGGCTATAGGTACTATGGGCGGGCGAAGGAGTTGCCGGGTGTGAAAGAGATGTTTGAACGGGCGGCGAAGAGGAGGGCACGAGAGGTGGAGGATAAGGATGATAAGCCGAGGCAGCATATCGATCGAAGGAATCTGGACGCCAACTATTTTGGTTATGGTCTAGATGAGGAGGATGGCACACTGTTAAGGTATGAGCGGCGCAAGGAGAAGGAGGCTTTTGAACAACTCTCCAAGCTTGACAGTGAAGAGGACAAGGACTGGGACCCGTTGCCTGGTGACGCAGGTGATGGAGTAAGATGGCGCTTACCCACTCTCCAAGAAGTACAGGAAGAGTTTATGGCTAGGAAAAGAAGGAACATACTTGATACTCTGGGATGACTGAACAAGACCGCTCAAATGTTAACTCCTCGTGCTACCCAAGTAGAGTGCTTGGCCTGATTTGCCTACCATACATGCTTCCACCCATTCCAGATTAAGATATGCATTTCATCGATCGTGCAAAAGCCACCCACCTCACTCCGTTTCTCGCCAATATCAGCGCCCTCTTGATCCCACTGACGTATCTTTCTGTAGACCTCAGCCATGCCCTGACCAGCACTGCTGCTGATACCATCCGACTTCCACCTTGCAATCCTGTTCCTCCAAACTCCAGTGATGTATTGCCAAGCACTAACGAACCCCTTGTCGAGTCCAGTATGTGTGAGCTGATAGGCCTTGGTGGTATAACCAGTTCTCACTGCTGGATTCAAGAAGATACCTCTGTGTGCCAGGCCACTTGCAATAAGATCGGCATGGATCAGACAGCACTCACTCGCTTCGAGGTGGTGCAAAGCAAGCGAGTCCGGCAAGCCTCTGAACCGCAATCCAGTCGCAGTGGTACCTGCAGGTGAAACTGCATTCGATTCAGTATGGTCATAATATGGCGCAGCGTCCACGAGCAGGACTCCATTCCAGCAACTCATTACTTGTGCTGGTGTACCCTGCAACATTAAACTCCTCGTGTTTGCTGACCTGAAATAGGGAAAGGTTGCCATGACTGGTCCTCTCCCTTCGCTGTCCCTCAGAGCAAAGGTATCGTAGAAGGCTGGCGGATAATGGAAGTCAATCCCACAAGCAACGTCATAGTGTCCACCATTCGTAGCAAGTAAGGTCAGGATATCGCTCGGCTCGAAGTAGACATCGTTCAGGTACAGGATTTTATCAAAAGTCTTATGATCCCTGTTGTGCATATCAAGCATGGGCTTCAATCCTTGATTCCGCACATTTGCCAGATATGGTATTCGTCGCAGCTCTTTCTGTCCAGGCTGATCAGAATCTCCTGTCTGAATCCAACCTGTCCTCTCATGGCCATGCTGGTCAACGGGTCCAACCTCGATAGCATCCGCATGCGTCGTAGGATCGACGACAACCGTTCGCTCGACACCCAACTTGCCTAACTGTTCATCGAGCCACTGTATAGCACTAGCACTATCATCAAGACTCCCTGACTCAATGATCGACACGTAGATATTCTCTGCTCCTAGCACACCAACCAACTTCAAGAATTGGTTGAGCCAGAAATCTACCAGCACTTCTTCCGAGGTCCAGAATTGCGCGACGATGTAGATCTTTTGGTTCTGTATTTCGTGCGGCAGGTCTTCGACATGGTAGACTGTCTGCGTAAGGAGGTTGGTACTGAAGGTGCGATGGGCATTGAGAAGTCGTAGGATATCAAGGAGGAGCAGGAAGATGAATACGTAGGGTAATGGCCGACTGGCTCGTTGCCATGATTTAGACCGACGGTAGGACGTGTAGAACATCAAACCACATTGCTGGAGAGCGTCCTTGTCGAATGAACGCTGATGATTGTGGAAGGGAGGTGTTTATTCACTTGCACCTCCAACTTTCAAGGGGGCGCGATGGGGTTTCCCCGGGTTATCGCGGGTCATTGCAGGTTATTGCAGTAACCTCCAGAGGCCTCCGACAGGGCTTACTGGCGCAAGAAGTCTTGGCAGGTGGCTCTGCATCCTCAATACTAAAGTTGAAAGGTAGAAAAGTAGTACCAAAACCCGATTGACAGCGAAGAATTACAAGAAATTATAGAATACGTCTGCGTCAAACTCAATCATGGACTTGGTCGTGCCTCAAACTATCTGGTCAACACCTCGATCGAGCTCCTGTCTCAGGTTCGCAATTTGCACTTTAATTTCTCTCCATAGAAGATACTTATCCAAATCATCCTCGTTTCCTGTTGCTCTGTAGTCGTACACCGCAGCAGCCGACTTTCGTTCGCTAGTCAAAGCATCTTCCTGCTCAATAAGCACAAGTTCTTCCTCGTCCATGTCCGAGCTAAACGTGTTCACATTTCTGTCCTCGGGTCCACCACTCCTATCAGGATTGCTAGCGAGCTTCAACAATGTGCTGACGAAAGCTTCTTGGATGTATGCGAAGCTGAAGCCGTCAGTCTTTCTCGCGATAGGTCGCAGAAGTAGGTCTGGAAACTCGACATCCTTGTTGTCCTCTAGCTTCTTCTGCCAGTAACGGCAGTACTTGATTCTTTGCTCCAGATCCGGATCAGGGAATAGATACTTCCTGTCGAATCGTGATGGTCGTTTGGCGATACCAGGGTCAAGCTTCTCCAAATGATTGGTGCTCCCAATCATGAGGATACCTTCATTTTCTGATAATCCGTCCACAGCGTTGAGGAAGAACGAGCGAGTCTGGTCTGTGATCATCGAGTCAAGGTCTTCGAAGACGAGATAGCAAGGCGCTTCTCGTCGAGCTTTCGTGAAGATTGCGTTGATACTGTACTGAGACCCAGCGAAGCTCACCAGGCTCTTGACGTATAGTGTCGGGACTGGAATTTCCCGGTCGTATAGCGTCTTCATGGTTGCCTTGATACTAACTGTCTTGCCGTTTCCAGGAGGGCCGTAGAAGATCATGCCTCGCTTCCAAGCCACGTGTAGCTGTCTGTAAGTGTCTCGCGAGTTGTAGAATCGCTGCACATTCTCAAGCAGATCTTCCTTCAGGTCTGCGGGCAGAATGATGTCCTCCCAATTTGACTTCTGTATTGAATTCCACAACCCGGCATCCTTCTGCCAGAATCCCTGGTCGAATACCCAGATCTCGCCGTGAAGAGTGTTTGCCCAGGCACCAGCTGTTTTGAGAAGTGACAATGCCGCTGACGGATCTGAAGTCACAATATACTGTCTTTTAACCGTGTAAGGCGCTGTCCCGTCACGACCATCAGAGATGTAAATTAAGAACTCCATCCCTCCCCATCGTACCAAGAACTTGCCGAAAACCACATCAATGCCTAAAATACCGTTCCCGCCGTCAAGACGCCGTACTGGTGGAATGTACTCAATATGGTTGATAGACGTTGCGAATGCGTGCTTCTGTTCCTTGGTAAGGTCTTCGAAGGCGGATTCCTGGATATTGATACCTGAATCGAGGACTTCTACCGAGCCGTCGCCTGTCGCGAAGACGTAGGTCGGGATATTAGCATTGAATGCATTGCTATCAATGACGTGAACGTCTGGATGAGCGCGCTTGATCGCATTGTACATGTAGACGTCTGTACTGATACGCTCACCGGAGGCATTATGAAAATAGGCTGATGAAGCATCTGCTGGATGATTTCCACTAAGTGAAGAATGGCCGCCTTCTCGCCGTCCATGTTGGGCAGTCGTGCCCTGGAAAGGCGACGCGTAAGGCATTCTAGCTCTCCCTACGACCGCCCTTGCTTTGTAGACGAAGAAACGAGACACACAGGAGGACGCCAGAGATCCGAGCTGAGCAACAATGACTGTTGTTAGACCAGATTCACGGTATAATACGAGGTTGGAAGGTGGACAGCTGCTGTGCGACGATCAAGGAAGGCAGCAGCGATGCGGACTTCGAGCATACGACGTTGTAGGTTTCACTTGAGCCAGGTACTAGTCGATCTGCCGTCTGCCTAGCCAATCGTGGCTGCACATCACTTGGCAAGACATGGCACGCCGTACGGTAGATCTTTTCCGCCTTGTGCTTGGAGTCATAATCTTTCCTGTTAGGCTGGTCCACGATAGGTCACTGAAACCAGCTGACTGTAGTCTATAAAATATGACAAGTCTATTCGCAAGAAATTTTGAGTATCGTGGGAGTTGCCTGCAAGGCTAGGTACTGCCATTCCGCTCCTCTTTCTCCTTCTCCACTTCCTTTGTGACAAGCTCACGGATACCGGCAAGGTCGGTGTTAGCAGGAACCTTTATTACTTTTCTTTCCTTCTTGTCAAGCCCAACGAACTGCTCAGGCAGTACAGTATCGAAGCTGAATCCAGATTCGTGCTCCAAGGCCAGGTCGACAGCATTCGCAAATTTGGCTGGATGTGCAGTGGCTAGAGAAACCACAGCCACATCTTTGTTGTGTTCCGGGCTTGAGATCTCCCGTAACGAGGCAGCAATACCAATTGCACTATGAGGGTCCAGCACATATCCGCTCTTCTCTACGGCCTCACCTCGATAACAAGCACGAATAGTCTCTGTAGTTTGCTTGTCACTGATACGATAAGTGGCAAAGATTTCCCGAGCATTATCGAGTAGCTCTGGCTCAACAGTGAATTTACCTGTGGTCTTCAGATCTTGGAACCAAGCGGCGATTTTCCCACCAGCAACACGCACTGACGATTCTCGCTTAACATGAGGATTGATAGCAAACTCGTTCTCGAGCGCCAAGTGCCATAGCAGACGCTCAAAATTTGACGATACCAAAATATCCATTGCTGGGGAAAGGGTTTCTTTAACACCTTCCGCATGGGCTTGCGATCCATCAGCTGGTATACCATTATGAGGGTTTTTGGTTGGATGATAATTTGACTTCTTGCTGTATGTGCCCGTTTCCCAGAATCTGTGCAAAATGTCGTTTTCGTTCGTGGCTATGACCAGCTTGTTGACTGGCAGGCCCATTCGTGAGGCATAATATCCAGCTAGGATGTCTCCGAAATTACCAGTAGGCACAACGAATTTGACTGGTTTCAGATCAGGGTCGGTCTTCAATAGTGAGAAATAAGAATAGAAGTAGTATGTGATCTGTGCTAGAATCCGGGCCCAATTTATACTGTTCACGGCAGCTAGGTGGTGTATCTTGTTCATTTCTGCGTCACCGAAAGCTGCTTTGACGAAATCCTGGCAGTCATCAAACGTGCCTTGGACAGCCAAGCAGTGCACGTTGGGGTCAAGTACTGTGGTCATCTGAGCTTCTTGGACCGGAGAGACCTTGCCGTCTGGAAACATGATGAAGACACTGACATCCTTCTTGCCTCTTAATCCGTAGATAGCTGCACTACCGGTGTCGCCAGAGGTTGCTCCAATGACAGTCAGGTGGTGTCGAGACTGAGAAGCTTCACTATTTTTGTTCTTCCTAACAAGAAAGAACTCGAAAAGATTTCCAAGGAATTGAAGTGCGACATCTTTAAAGGCAAACGTAGGACCATGGAAGAGTTCAAGCAGGTGTAAGTTTTTCGACTTGTCGAGTGTGACTGTGGGGACAATGTCCTGATGCCGGAATGTTGAGTACGATCTATGCACAATATCTTTTAGTTCAGCGTTTGAGATCTCACTTTCGTCAACGTAGAGCCTGATCACTTCGTATGCAAGATCTGGAAATGGCAGGTCTTTCCAGTCGAGGAGATTGTTTCTGACATTCGGAATGCTGTCAGGGTGAAAAAGCCCCCCATCAGAAGCTAATCCCTTGAGCACAACATTCTCGAAGCTGAAGAACTCCTGCTGGCCGGGATCGTGGTATCTCGTGCTTGAGTATCTGGATTTTTCCGACATCTTGTTGTGACACAGCACACGCAAGAAAGGATGACTTTAGTGAACCACTCGGAATGGACTTCAGGTTCTATCTCCCAACTCCGAACAATAATCTGGCAAAGACTGCAAGTCGAAATCGACTCACAAAGTTTATGCTGCCTTGAGGCCTGGAATCAGTCAATTCTGCTGCTCAAGCTGTCGCTTATCCTGCTGTTTGAAGACTAGCTCTTTAAATGGAGCCACTAAGGCTGCTGCCAAGAAATCGTGGCCGTAGAAGAATATGTTCTGCTTCAGCGCGGTCCTGAGATTCTCTTCTCTTTTCTTTCTTTCATGCGAACGTAAGTCTACCAATGTGCCCGGTACCTTTTCAACTCAACTAACGATGATGCCAGTTACTTCATAGAATCATTTCTATAGTAAACGTTCTCTTCTGAGCTCTTTACACGAGCCACAGAATCCTCAACCTGGCTGATGATCGAATGTCCTCGGTGCCCTAGAGTGAAAAGTTTTATCTTCGTCACTACAGCAGAAAAGAGATGGTCTTCCAACTGTCGCTTGATGCTGCGAGAAGATGGTGATGATCTTTGACCCGTGTTGAGGTCTGGCTTCGGTCGCTCAGTACGGGAGGTATCGATGGACCGACTCTGACAGGTCTTCTTTTTCACAATTAAACAGTCCTGGTGACTGGTGGTTGGGAAGGGTATGGGAAGAGGCGTTGATACGAGAATATGTTTTGACGGGCAGGCACGGTCGTCGTCGCTATACTTCCACCAAGAAACTTGCCCACTGACTGGGGCTCGCATGACGCGATGCACACCAGAAAGCGATGGGTACTGTTTGAGGATGGCGTAGAAGCTTCAGGCATGGGTCTATCTCTATTTCGTTCATTGTATAGCAAATGGAAAAAACCTGAAAGGCGATCTGCATAGATGTGGACAGCATCCTATTGCATCGATTCAGCTGACGTAGATAAAAATGATTGGCTTGCAACACTGCCAGCAATCAGGCACGACCAGGAATGTGGCCACTTCCAGAATTATCACCACAAAGGCGCAAGGATTACTTGGCCATGTCGCGCCTTCCATTGACAGGGCAGCAGTATGTACTAGAAGCGTTGATCAACGACATCTAAGGTGCAGCGATATAGGTTGTCATTTGTAATTCTTCTCGACTACTACTATCGCTCGGTGGTTCGAGTGGAGAGAATTGATGGCGCGTAAGAAGGATGATCACCTTGACGACTCCTGGATTGTGAACGACGCTACCGACGATGGTGATATCAGCTGGGCAGGAGAAGACACACCTTCTGAAGATGAGAACGTCCAAACTGGGCACCAACAACCACTAAAGCAGACTCACTCAAAGCCTTATGTTAGGCGATCCCAAGAACTGAGCTTCATAATGCCGTCTATTGAAGATGTAACAGATCGACCACGACAGCGAGTTTCACGAAAGCAGGAACAACGTTCTACTCCTGTCCGCGATACCAAGTCTCGAACTCTCAGTGCGAGAAGCACACCCTCACGAATCCGCAGTGCTCCTCAAGATGACCCAACCCCCCCGGAATTCACTAGCCGAGCCCTGGCGATCGTCGGCAGCTTCTTCCTAGCTATCTTTGATATCTTGAGTGATGCCCTAAGACTATTGAAGAAGCCGATCAGTTGGATTTTGGCTGGCTATGCAGTCCTGGTCTTTTTCCAATTCGCTCAGAACCTACTTACGAGCTCTGTTTATAGTGCTCTTTCACCGATATGTCGGATTCCTGGTACGGGGTTTCTCGACTTGCCAATGTGTCGTCCGTACGGAGCGAATCTACCGAAACTTGCAGCGGGTACCGCGGTCCCTGAACCTGAATTTGATACTCTCATGCAAGTACAGGGTCAATTCGAGTCGATTATGGAGGATACCGCTTCGGGAGTATCTCTACCAATGGACATGAAAAGAAGCGAAACTTCAATACGAGACTTGAGACAAGTCATCCGTTTCTCAGAGATACCAAGTAAGCACGAGCTGCTACTGGAACTTGATGGCTTTATCGAGACTGCTCGCATAGCAAGTTACGATCTACAGAGATTCAATTCCCATGTTGGACGTGGCGTCGATATTGTCCTCTCAACAGCTAGATGGACCCAGCGTGTGCTCGACGATATGGACCATGAGCAGGAGCAGAAGGATCAACGAGGTATACTGCCATCCTTTATTAGCGATACATTGCTCGCGCCCTTCAAGCCTATCAAACTTACCCATTCCCGACTCCTCGATCAGTATATCCAGCACACCCATATCGTTTCGGGAGAGATTGAGAAACTTCTTGAGGAAGCACAAACGCTCTATGATGTATTACAGAACCTCGAAAACCGGCTGGAAACGATCCACTCAATCTCAATACGCGACAATATTCAGGTACAAGGGACCAAGGACGAGATATTAGCGGACATCTGGAGTTATGTTGGAGGCAACCAGAAGAAGAAGAAGAAAGTGGACAGGCAGATCGCGCTGCTTGCAGGAGTGTCGGAGTATCGACGATCCGCATTTAAACATGTGGCTGACACGATCGTGAAGTTACAGAGCATGGGTGCCGAGCTGGAAGAGCTTAGGAGTCGCGTCGGAAGTGCTGCTGCGCTCAAAGACGCAGGTGTCGAGCATATCCCACTGGCAGTTCATGTCGACAATATCAAGCTTGGTGTTGAGAGGTTAGAGATTGGACGACAGCGAGCTAAGGAATTGGAACATGAGCGAACCAGGAGGATTTTGGACAGAGCTGAGGCTGACTATTCGCAGAAAGAGCTCAAGTACACTGATTGAGTATCGCTCTGACGAAGATGGTATGAGAAGTGGCCCGGATTTTGGCTGTTACACGATACTGGCTCTGTATGACCCAGTGTGGTGCTCGAATCCACCAAGATATCATTACCAACTTGAGAATTGCATTTTCACCATCGCTCAAAAATTCTGTTGATTTGAAGCGCTTTCGCAAGCCAGAGCCTGCCTTTCAACCATTTGGGATAGCAATAGTGCTCTTAACAACTTCTGTGAGTAATCCATCTCATATCCAGCAGAGCAACCAGGACTGTTCTTCCCGACTCCCTGTTCGTACGTATTCATGCCATGTCGTATCGTCATTTACTCATCACACACCGTCTCACCTCTCCTCATCCCCATAAAAAATCTCCTTATGCCGATGCGTAGCCTCCACGACCGCCTCATACAACTTTAAATCCGGTGTCTGTCCCTTACTGTTCTTCGGCCACTCCGTCGCAGCCATAACTCTCATTCCTAGACCCTGACCGCCCTCCAGATTAATCACCTTCCCCACGACTTCGTACATCGACTGCGGCGAGAGATGTGAATCTCGATTCAGGATCAGCGTGACTGTGTCGCCGTCTCCGGATGTAAGGGTGGCGGAGGAGCCGTGGATTGATGTTATCGTGCCGAGGAGACGGACTGTGTTTACGGGGGCGTGGGCTTGAGGACCGAATTGTTCGAGGTGTTTGGGTAGGATGCGTGGCGTTGAGAGGGACATTGTGGTGGTGATGGTTTTGGTTGTTGGAAGAGGTGAACTTTATGGTGCTGGATGGTATTTGGGCTACGCGCAAGATTGGTTGACTGTGAATGTGGTAGGTTTTGGTAATCTGCGACGCTGTGTGGAATACTTGTCGGAGTGTACACCACTACACAGGTTGACGCGTCGCTAAATGGAAGGCGATTTTTGGTGTCATGTTCGCGTTTTTAAGAGCATCCCCTACCACCCAGTGTCATCTAAAACGTAAGTCAATACGATTACTATTGTGAACGACTTCAAGTTGGTTTTGTATTTTATCGGTCTTGTTATCTCCAACAAGCTTACTACGACAACACAAGAACGTCAAGACTAATCTAGTATGTTTATGGCATAAATCAAATGACGGGCAGTCGTAAATGCCATCCGTAAGCAAAATGCACTCAGTCCCACATTTCGAAATACCTTGGAAACAGAAAAAGATCTCTAACGCAAGCATGATGATGGTCGCATCCCAATCCTTATATGATGGTCTTGCTCACTGCCAAGCACCATTATCGTTCTCGAGCCATGGCTCCGTCCAGGACCACATTTGACCTAAATCCTTGATGGAAGTTCCAGACAGAAAGTCCATGGTGTCGAAGAACGATTGTGCTTGATCAGAGTTTAGTATGTCCGCATTCATTGAGTTGTCCATGGATCAGCATAGGTGCATCAATCGATAAAGAGCAATATTGAATAACTCTTTGCCAGATACTATACGCGTCTGATAGTACGAGCGCGTAGTCGTTCTGTCGTAATAGACGACGCGAAGACTGGATCGCTTAATCCTCGGTATCTGCGTTTGCTACACTGTGTGAAGAAGATGGTCTATCTCAAATATGTAATAATATCCAAGGCTAATAGTATTATATCAAAGAAAGTATTTAAGAGTCGCAAGTTCAAGGATATAGTAAAGAAATACTACGTGTGCTATACGACATTACATAGTGGACTGCCCAGAGATCTATCTTCCGAGGTGCATCTGATCTGTTCGAGTTCCACTTTGGCGCTGGCGATACGTAGTCAGGCAAGATCAGTCCGATACGGCCATCCAGTTGCAGTCGATAACTATCCCTGCTACAGTCATCTCGTCAGCTCGATTGCTAACCAGTCTTTAGATGACTCCAAAGAACTTGAAGGGAAAGGTTGTTGACCGAGATTCCTCTCCAACCAGCCAGTCTCGTTCGTCATCGACAGCAAGCAAACGGAAGCACGCTACCTCACATTCTGTGGAGCCTTCCACGCCTACGAAGAGATCGAAAGCTCTCATCGTCGATAGTACTTCTAGTCAAGGAAGTGCCCAGTCATCGTCTGATGGTGCTAGCTTTAGATCAGCAGAGGAGGAGATCAAGGTAGGAAAGCTGGACGGCAAGGAAAGACCTAAATCTCGAAGTTTCGCCGACATGTATACCTTTACCTCACGCAGTCAGCCTAACGGCGTCATCGACCTCACACAGACAAAGTCCGCGGTCTCCAAACCGCTCAACGGAACTCGACCTTTGGGGCAGATAGGCCAAGGTGGACCCAAGCGCCTGGTCGTCAAGAATCTGAGAACTACACCTAAGGTTGACCCGCAAGAATACTTTGAGAGAAAATGGAAAGAGCAGGTCAACGCTTTGGACTCGCTCTTTCGAGGTAGTGATGTTAAGATCATGCTGGAAGAGCTATACAAGGCCACTGAACACATCTGCAGGCAAGGCCGCGCTGCTGAGCTATTCGCCAGGCTGAAAGAGAAATGCATAGCTCATCTGAACGACAAGGTCAGACCAGAGCTGGCTATGACTTGCTTGAAGCAACCCGGCACTTCAGCTCTGCAGGCATTTGTCGCTGCTTGGACTCTTTGGCAGTCCCAAGTTCAGACCATCAGGCACATATACTTCTATCTGAATCAAACCTATCTCATCAGACACCAAGAATATGGAGACATCAACAACGTCGCCATGCATATATTCCGGTCGGCCCTACTGCAAGATGAGGACATACGGTCTGTCATTCTGGCAGCAGCTGTGGAACTCGTGCAGCATCACAGAAAAGGCGACACTTCAAGGATTGAGCTTCTAAAGGCTAGCGTCGATGCCTTTCACGATCTTGAGGTGTACAGCAGTGACTTTGAGCCAATGCTGCTCAGGGTTTCTCGAAAGTGGTTCGAAGAATGGCGCAGAGAAGAGGCTGAAAAGGATGACTTGCCACATTATGTCCGGTCCTGCAGTGCTCTGATCGAGGCTGAAATGCATCGCTGTGACATACTGTCGCTAGACAGATCTACCAGATCTCAGCTTTGCGACATGTTTGATAACATCATGATCGAAGGCAATGGCGAGAGACTGACAAACGAGGATGGTATACTAGATATGTTGGAGCAAGATCAAGACACAGAGCTGAGGCAACTGTGGAACTTACTGTCAAGAATATCTCGACATGAGTATCTCAGTCCCTCCTTTGCCAAATTCACAGAATCTGAAGGCTCATCAATCGTTTTTGATGAGAAGGATGAACCAGATATGGTTGTCCGTTTATTGACATTGAAGAAGAGGCTTGATCGGCTACATCAAGACTGCTTCCAGAAGGATGAGCACATGGGCAACACTTTGCACAAATCGTTCGAAGCGTTCATGAACAAATCGAAGAAGTCTCAAGCGAACTGGGACACAGACAATGTCAAACCTGGTGAGATGATCGCGAAGCATATTGATCTGCTTCTGAAAGGTGGAGCTAAAGCAATACCGAAGCTGGCACAGGTATCAGAGGCTGCGGAAGGAGAGAACGAACAGGACTTTGATGACAACGAAGCAGAAGAGGAATCGATCGAAAAGCATTTATCTGACGCACTCGACCTCTTCCGCTTCGTTCACGGTAAAGCAGTGTTTGAAGCTTTCTACAAAAAGGATCTTGCTCGTCGTCTCTTGATGGGACGGACTCAATCTTTCGATGCGGAACGATCTATGCTTGCACGGCTACGCAACGAGTGTGGCGCCAATTTTACCCACAATTTAGAGAGCATGTTCAAGGACATGGACCTGGCACGAGAAGAGATGAAAGCCTATAACCAGGTCATTAACGACAAGGGCCTCAAACCTCCAGTTGAGATCGCGGTCAACGTCCTCAGTGTGGCCGCATGGCCGACATATCCTGACATCTCAGTCAACCTTCCTACGGGCATTCTAAAGGCTCAGCACGACTTTGAGAAACACTTCAAAGACAAACATGTTGGGCGTAAACTCACTTGGAAACCTTCGCTTGCTCACTGTCAGCTGAAGGCGCGCTTCGGAAAGACTGTCAAGGAGCTGGTTGTCTCCGGTTTCCAGGCAATTGTGCTTCTTCTCTTCAATGACGTCCCTGCTGGCCAGTCTCTAGGTTTCGATGCTATCAGATCAGCAACAAACCTTCCAGATGCCGAAGTCAAGCGTACACTACAGTCTCTTGCATGTGGTCGTTACAAGGTGCTTTCCAAGCAACCTCGCGGCCGTGAAGTCAATGACACCGATACTTTTGCCTTCAACGACAAGTTCACAGATTCACGTTTCAGGGTCAAGATCAATCAAATTCAGCTCAAGGAGACAAAAGAAGAGAATAAGGAGACACATCAACGTGTGGCGGCAGACAGACACTACGAGACACAAGCAGCGATCGTACGAATCATGAAGTCGAGGAAGAAGATTGGACATAACGAACTTATTGTCGAAGTGATCAAGGCAACGAGGAACCGTGGAGTACTTGATCAGTCAGACATCAAGAAGAATATCGAGAAGCTGATTGAGAAAGACTACATGGAAAGAGAAGACGATATTAAGGGATATAGTTATCTAGCCTAATAGGCTTCAATCAGTCGCTTCTTGTCAGAAATGCACTGCAAGCTCGGGTTGTTCAGTATGTGAAGCTTCTGATGGCCTATACTTGATAGGGTATACATGTTTTAGAGGATCCTAGCAAGAAAGATAGACTTCGATTATGATCGAGCCAGGGTATTTTGCAACTCTAGCTATAATGTACCTCTGACCAAGAATCCGTAGCTCTACTTATACCTCTTGACCTGCTCGAATTTCATTCTGGCTTCTGCTGTGGGCCGCTTGCCTGGTCGAGCCGAAAGTTGTGAATGCCTTGATGCCTAGTTGAACCATGTTGACCGGCGTTAAGCTTGCCGATCCAGACGATGCTTCGAGAAAAAGTACGCGTGCCAGATGCCATTTCCATTTCGTGCTTTACATTGACATAAATCAACTCACATCTCCATCTCTTATCCTATCAGCCATTCACTGCTCATCCACGAGTCCTCTCCGACTTTCTACTCGACACAGAAGCTAAAATGGTACGACCTTTCGACTTTCAGCGAGCAGCATAGGAGTTGGCGCATTGTGTTCCGTGCATGCAGCATCACTAACATCAAATGCTATAGGCGACCTCACTCAAGTCCATCCGATCCCTTGTTCCACTCCTCGATAGAGTCCTTGTCCAGAGGATAAAAGCTGAGACCAAGACTGCTGGTGGTATTTTCTTGCCAGAAAGCAGTTTGGAGAAACTCAATGAAGCCAAGGTATTAGCTGTTGGACCCGGTGGTCTTGACAAGGAGGGAAAGAGATTGCCAATGGGTGTGTCAGAGGGCGATAGAGTACTGATTCCTCAGGTATGAACGGACCCTACATGGTTGGCAAGGACATGTTGTGCTAACGTTCGGCGCAGTTTGGAGGCAGCCCAGTCAAGGTTGGCGACGAGGAGTATTCCCTGTTCAGGGACTCTGAGTAAGTACACAGCCTTCTGCCGTGAAGTCGTCGCTAATGGGCTACAGACTACTGGCCAAGATCAAGGAATAGGTGCAAGCGCTATTTCAGCTTCGCTATCACTATGTATCGTCCTTCATCTACCTCGATTCGAGATGTACCACAACTCTGTACCATAGTTCAAATTCCTTTTTCGATAACTTCGTCGTTTACCATGTACAGAGACAGCACGTAAGAGATGGTTATATTGCATAAAAGCGAGCGAGGGTCTGGTTGCATTACAAGAGCAAAGAACAGTATAAGACTTCCTGGTGTAGCTGTGGACGAGTTCAATACATCCTATCTCCTCTCACCGGTGTTCTCGACAATGAACAGCTTCGAGCATGTCACATCTCCTTGATTCGAGCGCAGACCTGGACCTGTGTTCGGGCTCGACAAGCACGAGGTTCTGAGCACTACTTTTACATGGTACAAATACCGAAAGTGGAACGGACGTTTCAAGGGTAACATCGCAGTACCAGACCAGGTTCCTTTTGGTATGTATTGAAAACAAGGAGCGCTGGTCCTTCGGCAAACGCACCTAAATTGGTTGTTTCAGGACCATATCTGCCATTTTCGACCAATCAAAATAGCCGCCCCTTTGTGCTTGGGATAACTGAAACGAACTTTTGTGCTACTAATGACCATCGTGTACCAGGTATATGCGGAACGGTCTTTTTTTCCTTGTGCATCACACCTGGGTGTTGTCTATTGCGTTGGGGGCCCGTCTGCACCTCGATATACTGCGTTTGACACGAAATGGAGCCAGATGGCGCCTACGTTACGCAAAGCCGAAGAATTTGACAAGGACCAGGACTGCTCTTCTTTGTCGTTTGGCGTGAGTATTCTGTTCTTTGTTGAGATATATTGATCATCCTCCCTCCTTTACCTCGTACAGATGCGGTCATCTTCCAGTTTCTTTCTTTACGACGTTCCCTTAACTTCATTGTCGATAGAGGTCTGCGACCTCATCATTTCATTCATTCAAACTATCCACTAGACTAGATAACCCTCACTCCTTTGCAACTTGTTTGTTTACGTTGACCGTATACGATCTCTGTCGAAGTCATTACCCATAGCGTGTGACTGAGTTGTCTTCACTGGGAAAAACATTAGACGATCGAATCTCGACGACCCACAGAAATGAAGTCCCTTTTGTCGATGGGCGCGCTGACGCTGTTAGCCGCACTACCTCTCGTTTCAGCACATACTCGATTCACGACTCTTTTCATCAATGACCAGTCACAGGGCGATTTCAAATGTATTCGCATGGACCCGAACTTAAGCAGCACCACATCCTTCGTAGGCTTTGCCCAAGATCCTAACTCATCCGAAGGTTCTTTATCGTCTCCAGAAATGGCTTGCGGTGTTGCTGGTGGAAACGCAGTCGAAGGAGCTTGTCCTCTCAATGCTGGTGATAAGATTACTATGTTGCATCGCATGTGGGCAGATGGTGCTCAACCAGGAAGTCTTGACCCCAGTCACAAAGGGAGTACAGCCGTGTACATGAAGAAGACGGGTGGTGCTGAAAGTTCTGATCCGTGGGCACAGCAGGCGGCTGGTGACGGATGGTTCAAGATTGCTTGGAATGGTTATGACGAGGCGAGCGGTAAATGGGGAACTGAAACGATGATTGCCAATGGTGGCATGATGTCGGCTCAGATTCCAAGTGATCTTGCGAGTGGTTACTATCTGGTCAGGACCGAGGCCCTGGCATTGCAGAACGTGGTCAATGAGCATATCAACCCACAATTCTATGTCGGCTGCGCCCAGGTTTTGGTTCAAGGATCTGGTTCATCTGAGCCAGCCAATACTGTGGCCATTCCAGGTCATGTTGACAGCTCGATGCCTGCCATGAGCTACAACATTTACAAGTCTACACCACCCACGATACCATTTCAAGAGTTCGGTCCCGAAGTCTATACTCCAGGCTCGGCCTCTGGCTCGGCTCCCAAGCCCTCTTCAAGCTCAGTGCCCAGGGTCTCCGCTAGCTCCCCACCAAAGTCCTCTGCCAGCTCGCCTCCTAAAACCATTGCCAGTCCGCCTCCCCAGTCTATTGCAAGTCCACCCCCTCAGTTCTCGAGCAATCCACCTCCTCAGTTGCCTGCCAGCTCGCCCTTCAAGTCCATCGCCAGTCCACCGCCTCAATCTGTCAGCTCACGTCCGCAGTCCATTGCCAGCGCTCCTCCCAAAGCCTCTTCTAGCCCCAACGCGGGACCGGACACAACCACCGCGACCCCCTACCAGGCAGCAGTCGGAGCCTGTCCATCCGATGCAATCCTCCAGGTCGCCGACCAATGTTTCACCGAGATTCCACCATGGTCAGATGACACAGCAGGTCCTCTTCCGAAGTGTTGGGCTGCGAGTCAAGCTTGCTGGGACGAAGTAGATATTTGCTGGAAAATTGGTCGTCCTGCTCCCGACAGCGCTGAGAAGACCGAAGGATGCAATCTATGGAGTGACAAATGTGCGGGCATTGTTCAGTGGTGTGAAGCTGGAAACTTGAGTGGGCCACCTAATGCTGGAAAGCCACTCAGATCGCAGAGGCCAGCACAGCGAGTGAGAAATAGGAGGAGAGATGATGCTGTTGCGAGAGAGCTAACCGCGAAAATGCTTATGTAGGCCTTGTTAGTGTCTGCTTGTGCCCGGTGACATTCTGACAACTTCAAGAAGGAAGTAAGGACATATGTACATTCGAATTGACAAAAAAGCTATCGACAGTGCTCATTGTGCCATGGTCTTTTGATAATGGAATAAGGACGATGCCCGAGATTTCGCTGGAAGGCTGTTTGTTTCCAGGTGCTTCAACCTCTTATGTGACCAGCACCAGGACTTCCTGTTTGCCGGTAGTGCCTTCTTCAGCTCATGGTAAGAACCTGTGCTTGCGAAGGAGAGTACGTTTCAAGCTATATATGTATCACTTTCACTTGCAGATCGAGCTACAACCTTCGCTAAGAGATACTCATTTGCCTAACAATGGTAATTGCTGAATCTTCAATTTGCTTGACATCAAACCTCAATGCCAGCAATCAATTGAGGATGTTGTCCACCATCTCAGCACTGACTGAACGACCTTGTCACTTCGCCTGAAGCTCCCACCAATCAAGTCAACACTTTTTCACTCGTTCGATATCACTGGGATGCAAACATGAGCACCGACCTGCATCACTACCCACCAGATTATCCGGCCCGCACTAATACTTTCTTCTGGCACTCTGGCTCGACGTTTTACCCTCAGGCAGAAGAGACAATTTTGAGGATGTCGTCCCCTAAGCAAGACGAGCAGCCCTCAGTGATCATGCCAACACCAGTACAGGACCAACCTTTCGTGATCGACGACGATGAGAATGATGGAGACGACTATGTTCCGAGCGATAGAGATGACGAAGGACCTGCAATAGACGAACCATCTAATCTCTTGCACGACATCACTCAGAAACCTGCTCCAAAGCGAAAGCGCACCGCAAAGGACAAGGATAGCACATCTGGGAAGCCACAGAAAAAGCAAAGAGCAAAGAAAATACCAACACTACTATCCATAGGGGAGCAGAGACTACCCTGGGTGATGACACCTCCAAAACTCCCTCCAGAAACAGCCGCAAGCGCAGCTAGCAGGACGGCGGCTCATTATGAAAGACTGAGGCAAGCTGAGGAATCGGGGAGGGCACTATCACCATCGCCACAGTCTCACCCACCTTTTCATGGATCGCGAGCAGTTCCGGTGGTCAATCCAACCACACAGAAGGCAAAAGACAAAGTGGCTGCGCTGTCTGCAGCGTTGCGGGCACGAGCCGACAACTACACCGTGTTGCTAGAGAAAGGCTCTGCCGTGATCGGTAAAGAATCGCAAGCATGGTTAGAGACTGAGGTCGCCAATGAAGTTGCACAATTAGCACGAGTCTTTGAGCCCACGATCAACGCTCTTGTGCAAGTGAGTGGTAAGGTGCCAGCAGATACTGGTTCTGGGCCCAGCATCCAGATAGTTGCGGACGATATCGGCAGGCTTTTCGCCAATCTGGAAGACTGGGAAGCAATAGAGGGACGAAAGCTGCTGCTGAAGGCGAAGTTGATGGCGCAGAGTTTGCAGGGAATGATTGAAGACAAAGTGAAACCGGTATAAGCTGGAACAGAGGTGCTGGTGGTGAGCTATGCTGTGCACAGAGGACTCATGTCGAGGTAACGGCTGAATCATCAAAGGTCGTTCCTCTTATGAGCTCAACGACTTTGTTTTGGAATTCTGGAAACGTATCTGGACTTTTCTGATATTGCGTTGGGTCAAGCGTACAATTTCATAGTGTTGGGAGATATCATCTAAAATTCGATTCATGTGTAGTTGGAAAGTGTTCACCAAAAGTCAACAATCCCTTCTTGTTGTCAAGACTCTCGAGGTTCTTTTCTTCCATTCTGCAGCGTCTGCAGTAAGTCGACTGTCTCCCTGTTGCGAGTGTACAACCGACGGAGGAGAATGTTGAAGATCATTATTACGTGCACTATTGGCAGAAGTCAAACCACCACCTGCACTGTTCGTAACCGTAACGTAAACACCATATCTCTCAGGCTACAAGGCCTAGAAGCTCCTCGGGTGTAGAAGATCAAAAGTAGCTTGAATACCTACAGCAGCCCGGCTAATACACAGATAATACAGGCCATTACGTGACGTTTCTAAAATAACGCTAAGCTCAGACGTCACAGTGTCAGTCTGAATGCTATTCGCGAATAAAAAAGCACTCTTGCAGCGCTCTTCTGTACTAGTCGTACCGCGACCAAATCGCACGTCAGCTCTTTAGCCGTCGCCAGTCAAAAGTCTTGCAGTCATACATACTTCTCAAGCGCAACACAGACAACCACGTTAAACTACACCTATCCCAGTATCTATCCTCACCATGTCCACCGAAATGGAACTCGACACAAAACCCCCAGCCGAAGAAGAAAATAATCCACCCTCACCCGTTAATCCCAAACCCTCCACCACCAGCACCACTAACGCCAACAACAACGCAGAAGCCAAAACCGGCGAAGACGCCGTCGCCGTCCGCAGCATCGAAGGCTGGATCGTGATCGCGACAAACATCCACGAAGAAGCTTCCGAGGAGGACATTACGGATCTCTTTGCCGAGTATGGAGATATTAAGAATTTGCATTTGAATCTTGATCGGAGGACTGGTTATGTAAAGGTACGTGTGTGGAACAGGGTTCATGTCGTGAAAGGTTGGTCGGGGTTTAATTGTTATGATATAGGGCTACGTTCTGATCGAATATCCTACACAAGCAGAGGCTTCGGCTGCGATCAAGGCGCTGAATGGTACGAAATTACTTGAGCAGACGATTTCGGTTGATTATGCTTTTGTGAGACCGCCTGCGAAGGATAAGTCGAGAGGGGGACGACAGGGTAATAATAGGAATCGTGGACGGAGTCGCAGTCGCAGTAAGAGTCGCGATCGAAGTCGGAGTCTGAGCAGGAGTAGGAGTAAGAATAGGGTGAAGAGTCGAAGTCCTGATGCTCGGATGGATTGAGTGCATTTGGGTTGCTGTGATGAGAAGAGGAAAGTATTGAGAAAAGGTCTGTCCTTGACTCGGGGACGAGAAAGAGAGCAGAGCTATGTCCAACATGAGGTTCAGCGGAGCGCATAGGTCGCATCTGCAATGTCAGGCAGACACGAATGAATTGTGCCGACGGCCACGAAGCCACGAGAGTCGGCCATTGAGAAACGACACATCTTGGTAAGTCTACTTCGTCGATATTTGTGACGCTAACTAACTTTTTGAAGGCTCTTCCATATTGTCGAACCACGTCCCGCTACCATCGAACTCCTGAAAGTATCTAACGTTGCTACACTGGTTGTTGTGCTTCACTGTGCCAGGAAAGCCACTACAGGACTATTACAAATACGGCTATATCAAAAGGTAAGTGATACCTATGAGCATTTCAATCTCCTCCGAAAAGCTTGTGATTTATTGTACATAATTCGCCGTTGAACTCCACCACGCGAGTGATGCAAATTGACCAGCTCGCCTAAGCCTTTCTGGTTCGGCAATGACCAGCGATGATATGCTGACATTTCGAAGACGATCATGGCTCACGATGTGACGTGAGAGCACTATCTGCGTAATATCTCTGCATACTGAGCTTTTCGTGTTCTTGCCACTGCCTACGCGGATTTGGGAATGTCTCTCTTTAGCGGCTTGTGAATGCTCTCATGTTGATGACGATACAATGTAAAAAGTAGGTCTGTCACGGGGCAGAGGAGCGTGTTACCCGTGGACTTAAGGTGTAAAGTACGTTGGGTCTGCATGGGCCCTGTCTCTGCTATTAGAAGAAGTGGAAGCGTATCAGAAATTGAGAGTGACTCTTAGTCTGGTTGAATGCGTAGTTTTGGATTTGGACAAGAAACAACCTGATAGTGGCTCTGTCTTCCTATCTCATCCATCACCAGTATCGCTACTATCACCACGTTCCGGACAGAAGGGTTCCTTTTGGTAGCAATGTATGCAGAAGGTGGTGCTTCTGCGCTGTTTCATGCACTTTTCGCTTTTGCACCAAGGATCACGCTTGGGACAGCCACAGGGACTTTGCACGTGGCGATTTTTGAGCCTACACCAATTGCAAATGAAGTATTCGTCTGTGATAGGATGTAGAGCATAGTCTGCGGCAATTTCTGGTGTTTCGTCGAGGAGCTGCCAGAGGAAGGCGAATGAGTCTTTGAAGTGATCGCCTGCGGTAAGCCGTTCGTGGAGAGTCATCAGAACGATGTTACGGAGACCTCTGTCGCTAAACGGCGTTGTGCTATAGACTGAACGCACGATCTCCATGAACACGTCGGGCGCTGCGAAGAACGCTTGGCCAAAATCGGCTGCTTCAGCTGTCAAGCCGTTGTGATTTGTCCAGGGGAAGTTCCGCAATGCGAACAGAAACATTCTTCGGGCCTTGGCCGTGAGCGTAGGCATGTCAAACCGGTCACCCAATTCATACATCTTGACTGCAAGTCTGGCTGCGACAAAGTTGTTGGAGTTTGCCTCCGCAAAGTCATCCTTCCAAGTCGCGTTCTTGCTCAGAAAGTCGAGGCTGTGTATGAGATGAGGCTGGTGGTAGCAAAGCAGAATTGCTCGGCCTAGAAGGCAAGCCTCGATGTCGTCGAATTTGACTTTGCTTTCCTTGACCTCCACATTCTGTCCGGAAAGCAGCGCTCGAAAATAGCCTGAGTGGCAATACAGGAATGACTTATGCACTTTGAATACACCGTCTTTGGCTTCTATGGTAAAATCCGAGAACGAACCCTCGCGTAGAAGCCTGTGAGAAATCAGTATCTTGCACAAACACAAAATCCACCCACTATCGATTCTGGGAAGCACGAGAAGCGAGTACCTCAGTGACCATATCTCTTCAGATCCCATGATGGCCGATAAATCTTTTGAGTCCCAAGGTTGTCCGCAAGGTTCTGAAAAGTATCCCTGAGGTGCTACAAGCAGATCTCAAGTTGCAATTGTTAGCAGCTCGATCAAGAAGCGGCAGCACCTGGTGTACGCAGTGATATGTTGCATTGTAGGAACACATTTTCCCCACTCTGGTTACGTATTGATGGCGTCCGCAAACAGAACTGACAAACAGGAGCCGAGAGCGATCCATTGTTCAGATCTGTACAATGCACCATTACCTCTTCAACTTTTCGAGTAAGTCTTGTGTTGATTTGCAATCCACGCAAGGTTCAACCGGAGAGCGAGGTGGTCTGAACAGCTGCAGATAGATTCTCGAGCTCTTCACCGCTGTAATCAAGTTTCAGAAGATCCCGCACAATCTCTTGCTCCTTGGAGATCTTCATCATTTGATCTGTCGAAAGCTTCTCTCCGGTTGCCTTCTTGGTCTTGAGTTCGTGCACAGCTCTGAGCTTTTTCAAGTTGTTGCGAATCTTCTTCTGTCGTTCTTGATCCTGGTCGATTGCTGGTAACTGAATATCGACTGTAGCAGAAGTAGTATCTAAGTCAGCAGTTTGATTCTTGGTATCAGAGGTCGGGGCAGCGGTCTGCAGGCCGCCGACATCTTGTCCAGAGTCGTCATCTTTCTTCTTTCTAGCAGCTTCGCGGCGCTTTGCATTCCTGTTCTTTGTCTCGTCCACTCGTGGTATTTTCTGGTCGTCATCATCAACACCAGGTATACGGTTTGCATTCTGTCGCCTGTGCTCCGTGGTGCGGCTCTTGTAAGTTTCTACATCCTCTGGTGGTTTGTAGCCTGGTCGCACTTTGATCTCCTTCCTGGTTGTTCCATCTGGACGCCTGGACGAGGGGATAAATGCCTGCCCATCGACAGATGTTTGTATGCCGGATGACGCTGGTTTGGACATATTTTAGTCTCAATCGCCGAAAAACTACTGCGATTAGTGGACAGTATGTTTAGAAGGACATTCAACGCCGCAAGGCATCGTTGTTTGCACAATCTTATGTGCCATACTGGATTCTTAGTGACAATCGACTTACGGTGGTTATCAAGAACGATGATGGTTCGCCTAACTTTCCTTTAATTTAAAGTCCAGCGAATCAGGGCAGCTGCGATTCTGGCCTGGCAGCTTCGCGGAGCTCGAAAGATATTCTGCCATCCTCGCAACGAGCTGAAAGTCTGACCACTGCAACAAGACTGTCTACACGAGATCCTGCTGTGCATTGTGTCTAACGTTCTGCGGGAGCAAGTCATCATGCCTGCCAGTCCGGTAAGTTCAGCTCCTACTAAAATTGATAAAGCATAGAACTGATGAAATGATATGCAGATCGCAAGCGCCCTTTTCAAGTGAGCAGAACAGACTGAGGACGAGGAAGAGAATGCTAACAACAACAGCGGTCTATTCCGGAGGAACTACGTCTTCTTGTCAACAGTCTTCCTTGGCGCATTCGCTTTCGAAATGTACGATCCCGAATCTACAGCACTTTGAGGAGCAATTTGAAATTGACATTTCCGCAGAGCCTTCGACAGCAGCACAGATGCTATCTGGAACAGACTAAACAGGGGTGTACGTGCGCATGCTCTCGAGGCTGGACCAGGCTAACGTAAGCAGCGACAATGGAGGGACATAAAGCAGAAATACATGCAGCCAGCAGAGGACGAGGATGAGGACGATGACTAGTTGCTTCCAGCTGATTTGTTCATCGCATCAATGTTCTGGTTCTGCATTTGAGGGCTCGACGTGTAAGATACGTTGGCAAGACAGGCGGCATAAGCAAGCAAAATCGGGTTATTTCTATTCTGAGCAATGCACAGCTGAAAAGTGAGATTGAGCAAACAGCCTGCGCCATGCGTGCTATAACCTGACAACAGCTGCGATTTTTTGGCACGATATCACAAGAGAAAGCATCGCAAATCTGCTCTGAGCATCCTGTTCTTCGGTACACACCAAAACCTACATCGCAAGAGGGGTTAGTCGAGGACACCTTTTAGAATACTGAGTATATTGAAGTCTTGTCGGTTTCCCCAATTTCGATATGAGCTCTCAAATTCAGTGCTGAACAACAAACGATGAGTGGTCTGTAGACAGGAGGTATTCTACTACTAGTAGTACCAGTAGTTAGCAAACCGTGCAAACACTTGCGACTAGGACATATCAATGAAAACGACCTCACTTTTGGTTGGTAGGCATGTGATATCTACTGCAATACTGTTTTGTCTTCTCGCATGTTTACATAAACGTCTTGACAGCCAAGATGCTTGCTGGTTGCCAGTTTAAACATTTCTCGCAACGTAGTCTCTCATGGCCTCAGAAAACCTAGAAGCCCGGTTGAATCAGGCTCTTTGCTCTCTACCAGCTGAATTTGACTGCAGATACACTTCCCAGGCTCGTAGCAAACTCCTTGATATCCTGTTTCGATGCTTGACCAACGACCGCTCCGATTACCTCGCTGATCTATTCCCAAATGGCTTTCCCGAATCATATAGTCTCGAGGAGGCTCAAGGAAGTCTCGAGCAGACTGAATACACAGAGGCTGCCAGAGGTCATCCTTGTGGTCATATTCTGAGACCTGGAGAAGCTACTTATGCTTGTTCGACCTGTTCTGATGACCCTACGTGTATATTGTGTTCGAGGTGCTTCACTGCCAGCGACCACGAAGGTCATGCTGTCGACATCAATATCAGCAATGGCAATGGTGGCTGCTGCGACTGTGGCGACGAAGAAGCATGGAAGAGACCGGTCATATGTGCGATACATACAGTCAGAGACAGCATTGACAACGCTCAGCCGGCTGCATCACAACTTCCTGTGGACCTGGCTGATGCCGCTCGTGCCACTGTAGCCCGCGCACTCGACTACTTTTGCGACGTTATATCTTGCTCCCCCGAAAACCTGCGAGCCACGAAGACCCGCGAAACAGTCGAGCAGGACGAAAGGCGTAGCAGGTTAGATCCTGCTACATACACTTACAATGATCTTACTGAAGAGAAGCCTGAGTATAACCTAGTCATGTGGAACGACGAAAAACATACTATGGATGAGGTACAGGACCAAGTCGCGAGAGCCTGCCGTGATCGCCGAAGAATCGGCCTTCTGAGGGCTGAAGAAGCGAACGAACTTGGACGCAGCATTGTCAGTCAGTCTCACGACCTGCAAGAGCTGTTACGCCGAGCAAAGATTATTGAAGAAATCAAGATTACCGTTACCCTTCGCTCAGCCCGTGATACTTTTCGAGAGCAGATGTGTGGCACGATCCTCGAATGGCTCAGCGACATCGCTGGCTGTGTCATTCAGGGCAACGCTTCTTTCTTACGCCAAACTATCTGTGAAGAGATGCTCCAAGTGTGGCGTGTAGGCAGTGAGGCTTGGAATGCTCGTATAGGTCGTGAAGGACTTGACGACAACCAGTCAGACGAGGAATCTTTTCGGGTGTTCCCGGACTCGATCCAGATTTTGCTTCAAAGAAATCAGCAGGTCATGGTACCCATCGAGGACGATGACGACGATGAAGACATGGATGAAGACATCGACGGCCCCGATCTTGTTGAAGTTGAGGGGGAAGACGACGAAGACGATTTTGAACAAATCGATCCACAGATGATTGGGACTATTCTGGCTCAGCGAGAAACCGACACAGCTCGTGCCCAGACGGAAATAGTCAGTGACCTCGATGAAATGGATACTGATGGCGACAATGATTTCTTGGATGCTGCTGAAAGAATGGAAGATGCTGATGAAGCCGTTCCTCCACCACCTCCAGCAGGCGCACCAATCATGGAACCCGAGCCTGCCATTGCTGTAGCTCACGATGAGCTTTCCCGTCATCCTTCAATGACTCTTAGCCAAGGAGACAACATGAATTTCAGGAATGTACCACGCACTCCAGGCATTGGTACTAATCCAGGCCGCCGAAACACGCGTGCTGACGCCTTACACTGGAGAGCTCCTGTCGATTCTGCGCGGAAAACTGCTGAGGCATCCTTGCCTGTCTGGGAAGATCTGCGAAAGAACATCCGTCTCGACGCTATGATCCTGTTTGACCTGCGCTTGTGGAAAAAGCTGCGAGAAAAGCTTCGCAGTCTTCTTATCTCGACCATGATCAAAGTGCCCCAGTTCAAACGCTTACTGGGTCTGCGCTTCGCAGGTCTATACACCACTTTGGCTCAATTGTATCTCATTGCTGATCGTGAGCCGGATCACTCCATCCTTCACCTCTCTGTACAGATACTCACGACCCCGTCAATAGCAGAGGAAGTGATACAAAGAGCAAATTTCCTCACCAACCTCATGGCAATCCTGTACACGTTCCTCACAACTCGACAAGTTGGCTTTCCAGAGGAAGTCGATCCTGACGCTACTCTAGGCTTTGATGCCGGCTCTGTCGCCAACCGGAGACTGCTTCAGTTCTTTAGTGATCTACGATATTTCTTGAGCTCGCCCTTTATTCGAGATCGGGTACGAGTTGAGAAGCAGTATCTCATGCAATATCTCGATTTAGCTAAACTTTCACAAGGGATCTGTCCTAACAACAGGGCTATTGGTGAGCATGTCGAATATGAGGCAGATACATGGATTAGTGCTTCTCTACTGACCCGCGAGATCAACAAACTTTGCCGTCAGATTACCGAAGCCTACCAAGGTTGCGGTAAGAAGTCTGGCATAGACGAATACCTCAGCGATGCCATCCGTCAAAGCACCATCACAACCCTCCTGGTTTGTAGTGGTCTTGACGATTCACGTCGCGAACAAAGCGAGATCAAGAACAGGATCAGTTTCCACAAGGTTGGGCCGTTCCCAGGCTGTCCCCAGCAGTTCAAGACTGTGGATTTTGTTGTGGAGAGAGGCATACTTAGCTTCCATCATCCTTTGCACTATACGGTGTCATGGTTGATTGAGCATGGCAGGGAATCGTTCCAGACAATCGAAGTCCTTCAACGTACTGCAAATGAGCTTGTCGAACGGTTTATCGAAACTGCACAACATAGCCGTCGCATACCACTGCACACCTTGTACGCTACTGGTGAAGACGCCTTGTTGGGGATTTTCGACTACCCGTTGAGAGTGTGTGTATGGCTTGCACAGATGAGAGCTAATATGTGGGTTCGCAATGGCATGAGTCTCCGACATCAAATGACACAATACAAAAGTGTCACGTACAGAGACCTCGGCTACCATCGTGATTTAGTGATGCTACAGACAGCCTTTGTAACCTGCGACCCTGAACGGTTCCTTAGCTCTATGATTGATCGATTTGGCCTCGTGCCGTGGGTTTCTGGCACTTTCCAGCCAACACCGGACGCCGACGAGTCGCAGCTTATGGATATTGCTGAGGACTTTGCATATTTGATGATCAACATACTTTCAGATCGAGACTCGTTGGGTACTTCTACCGACGATCCCGACAATCAGCTCGCAATACTAAGGAAGGATATTGCTCATACATTGTGCTTCAAGCCACTATCATACACAGACTTGACCAATCGACTCACCGAGCGAGCACAAGATGCCGAGCAATTACAGCAGGTTTTGGAATCGATGACGACCTTCAAGGCTCCTGAAGCCCTTAACGATTCTGGTCTGTTCGAGCTGAAGCCAGAGCATCTTCAAGAACTAGACCCCTACAACTCGCACTTCAACAAGAACCAGCGAGACGAGGCGGAGAGTATATACAAGAATTGGATGGCTAAGAAGACAAACAAGAAGCCGGAAGATATTGTCCTTGAACCAAAACTCAGCCCCATCAAGTGTGAGGCTTACAAAAATCTGTGCGATGTCATCCACACACCTTTGTTCACATCAATGCTGTACTCTATGCTTTCTCATCCTATGTTGAGTCATGGCGGGAAGAAGGCTATCACTTCTTCAAGAGCTGAGTCATTCCTACAAACCGTATTGCATCTCATCTTGGTAGCCACTATTGAGGATCAGTCAAGCGAAGAGGAGAGCACAAATTCGCAATCATTGTTCATCAAGAATGCCTTGACACAGAAAGTAGGGCAAGCAGGCGAGACCATCGTAACACGCTTGCATGGCCTCTGGCTTTCTGAGGACTTCTCCCTGTGCCGAAGTAAAGTCAGGCATATCCTGAGAATTTTTAGGAAGAAGTGGCAGGGCGCATTTCATGAACACGACCTCGATTTTGAAGCTGCGCGGCTCGATGCTCCTTCACCAGCCAATCTCGACGTCGATTTCGAAGCCAAGAAGAGACAGGCTGTTGAACGAAAAGCGAAGATCATGGCCCAAATGCAACAGCAACAGCAGAGTTTCATGAGCAACCAGGGCATGACTGATTGGGACGATGATGAGATGAGTGAAACTGAGTTTGAAGCCGCAGGCTCTACCGAGACCAGGCAGTGGAAATTTCCTACTGGTGTTTGTATTCAGTGCCGCGAGGAAACGAATGACAGTCGCTTCTATGGGACATTCGCCATGGTCACTGACGGTCATTTGTTGAGAGAAACGCCTCCCGACGATGCCGATTTTGTGCAAGAAGTACTTGTTAGCCCTGACAATCTCGATGAGTCAAACGAGGGCTCGAGACCTTTCGGAGTTGCAGGAGCTAACGTGGAGCGAATCAAACGGTTCGCCTCCAACGGCAGTGAGTCCGTCGTTGAGAGGAGAGTGCTGAGCGGGGGCTGGCCTAAGAGTTCGACGTTGAAGCAAGCCATATCCTCGAGTTGTGGACACATCATGCATTTCAGCTGTTTCGAGAACTACTATGAATCGATCAGAAGAAGACATGCCAATCAAGTTCAGCGATGCCAGCCTGAACGTATCTCTCAGAACGAATTCGTCTGTCCTTTGTGCAAAGCACTTGCCAATGTTTTCCTGCCGGTTGTGTACAAAGCCACTGAGCAATCATATCCGGGCTGCTTGGAAAGTGAATCGTCATTCGAGATGTTCACTGATGAGATGCTACCTGCAATGAGGACAAGCTTCGAGAGTCTTGAGCAAGGACAGAAACTCTCGTCGCATCTCATTGACGTTGAGAGGACAATGCATCTCCAAACCGTGACAACTTTCACGACGAACGCTATGGCCACGTTGTCGAGATCTATCGCTGAACTTACTGAAATGCCACTAGATTTGTCTGAGCTCCCAGGTTTACACGCTTTGGTGGACCTGAGCACGATTTATAGGCGATTACGAAACACTTTCGAGATAGTCAATGGCTCTAACCTGGGCATGCCTCAATCTGTGGGCTGGTTCTTGGACTTGATGGCCAACTCAGTCACGGCTGTCGAAATTGGCTTACGTGGACGGCCCTCTGCAGGAGCTTCGCTCATTGATGCCATACCAGCTCAGACTCTGAGCCACTTACAGGTCCTTGCTTCCTCGCTGAATTGCTATGCAGCTACACTTACGATGGTGGAGAAGACGGGAGAGGACGCTGCTTCTTTTTATCCTTATCAGGTCTTAGTCAAAGAGATGGCACGTATGTTATTCCCAGGTCAGCGGTCGACTATGTCTTTTCTCAAGATGGACGGATTTAACACGTTCGTCGCTGAGTCGTTCGTACTTGGGCGCATGCAAGGTATACCGATCGTACACTTGCTCCGCTTGTGCTTAATTCAAGAAATGGTTCGGGTTGCTGTATGGTGGCTGAAAATCCGCACACCCGCATTGCCTTCTGAAGCAATGCTCACGAGGTCGAGCTCATCTCGCACCGTCAGCTTGTCGAAGGATGACTACAGGGCTATGGGGAATTTCGTGTTCTGGCTTATGTCTTCCTTGCCAACGACAGCCAATTCGCCGCTGCCATCTGTGAACGAGATTGAACCGCTCTACAAGGCACTGCGGACGTATGCATTGTCATTTATGCGCAAAGCTGTCGTCTTACTGCATTCTGCACATGGTGTTGACTTTCCACCTTCCACTGCACTTGCAGGGAGGCCAGAGCTAGACAGACTACTAGGACTATGCAAGTTACCTAGTCTGACCAGCATCCTGGGAGACTTCTCGGAGTTCACGGAATCCAATACCCTTCCTCGACTGGTACGATCCTGGGTCTCTGTATACCATACTCAGAGCAGCACAGAAAGTGAAACCTTGATCAAGCTAATGCATCCTGCACCATTCGAGCTTATAGGTCTTCCTCAATACTACGACACTCTGCTTGAGGAATGCCAGAAGCGCAAGTGTCCCACGACTGGTAAAGGGCTCACAGATCCAGCGCTTTGTCTTTTCTGTGGTGATATCTTCTGTTCGCAAGCCTGGTGTTGTATGAAAGACAAGATTCGTGGAGGTTGTAACCACCACATCGAAGACTGCTCAGCGCCAGTTGGGGCGTACCTGTTCATTCGCAAGTGCAACATCGTTCTACTGGATGTTCGGAAATACCATAAAAATCGCAACCTAACAGAGGGCGAGGAATCTCACTCTGTACGAGACGTGTCATCTGCGCATGGTTCTTTCTTTCCGGCACCTTACTTGACGAAACACGGAGAAACCGATCAAGGTCTACGAACAAAGCATCAGCTGATACTCAATCAGAAGCGCTACGACAAGCTGGTGCGAGACGTGTGGCTTATGCTCAACGGCACCATCTGGAGTGCGATTGCTAGAAAGTTAGAGGGCGACCTGAATGCAGGGGGTTGGGAGACGTTCTAAGCGTGGTCAGCACTCTACAATATGTGCTGTAGTAATGTATATTCGTAGAGTCACTTCATGGAAAAACGTAAAAAGCTGGCGAGAAACCTGAGTACACACAAATTAGCCGGGTACTTACAGTTCTTCGTTCGTATCACGGGCAATTTGTTTGTCACAACCACTTTCAGATCACGTGAACCAGGCCGAAATCCAATGCACTTCAGGTTCAAGTTGCGTCTGTATGCCCACCTCTCGAACTCCTAGTAGCTTCCTTCGGCGCGCGTCTACCAGATCGCACCTTCCTTCAATTACTATCTTGATTACTCTGTCCGTGAAGTCCGCTACGGAAGGCGCGCGTGTAGCTCACAGCTTTAGTCGCCGCAGACCATTCCTATAATCCGCAACCTGACTGTTTGAGAGGTATTCGAACACGCATTTGATCAAGGGTTTTCGATCGGTCAGCTAAGTTGATACCTGTCTCCTCAGTGTGAAGATCGAGGGCAGTATCCAGCGTTGCTTTCTCCTTCCTTGAGCACAATCACGACTTTCTCGCTTGTCAGCACCTCCACTAAGCCAACCTCTACTACCACAACTATTTATCCCTCTCGAACACATCTCCTTTCCTGCCTATTCGATCAGTTCATATCAACCCGTCCAAAAGCCTCTACACAGTTCCTCACTACCCTTCCCGATATCACCACTTACTACCTCGATCCTCTCCCCTCCCAGTTTGCAAGGGACGAATACGGTGTACATAATTTCCAGAAGAGAATTCAGTCTATTAGATCTACATAATCTTCCTGCTCCCTCCTTAGCATCATGTCGGCCTCGCCTACTTCAGCTGTGGCTTCTGCCAAGAGACCTCTCGAAGATCCTTCCTCACCAGCAGGTCCTAATGATATGCCAGATGCTAAGAGACAGGCACTTGATAAGACCATTGGTGAAAACAGCACCACAATAGCAGAAGAAGACTTAAAAACAGAAACTAATGGCACAGAAGTCGAAGTGGAATCCAAGGACGACCAAGTCGTTGTCCCTGAGGTTGACGGTGCCAATACTGCCAATGAGCCTACTGAGAGGCACGAGATGTTGCCAATCCCCTCTATTCCGGCACCTACTGACCACACCACTGCTCAGTCAGCGTCGTCCATGCCGACACAGGACGAAACTCAGTGGATACATATACGATCAGTAATCTCCAGTGCTGAAGCTGCCACATGTATTGGCAAAGGCGGGGAGAATGTTACTCAGATCCGTCGATTATCTGGAGCGAAATGCACTGTCAGCGACTACTCTAGGGGAGCAGTCGAACGAATCTTGACAGTTAGTGGTGCCCAGGACGCTGTTGCTAAGGTAAGTTTCTGTTCTACAAATTCTTCTACTTCTTGCTAATGAGTTGGACAGGCTTTCGGTTTGATCATCCGAACTCTTAACAACGAGTCCCTAGACGCCCCTTCCACAGCCCAATCAAAGACCTATCCTCTCCGTCTGCTGATCCCTCACATCCTAATAGGCTCGATTATTGGCAAATCGGGGGTGAGAATAAGAGAAATACAAGAAGCTTCAGGTGCTCGCCTTAATGCATCTGATGCATGCCTCCCCTTGTCCACAGAGAGATCGCTCGTCGTGCTTGGTGTGGCTGATGCAGTTCACATTGCTACCTATTACATCGCAGTCACTCTGGTCGAGCAGCTGACAGAACGTTTCGGCGGACCCGCTGCTTCGGCATACGCCACCAGAAGTGGTGGTCCAGCAGGTGTTGTTCCTGGAGGCATGCAAGTTGTTCCGTATGTGCCTCAGCCTGCTGGTGGTCAGTATGGTCATCCAGACACATACCGCAGACACAACACACAACCTCCACAGCAGCAACGTCCTAGTGCATATCCTCAGTATGGCCAACCAGCGCCACAACCCCATCAACCATATGGTGCCCAGCCAGCTTATGCAAACTCTCCACGGGCACCAAGCTATGGCGCTCAGCCACAACCTTATGGACAAGTGCCTCAGCCCGCGCATCACGCTCCACAGCATCCACAACCTACTAGTGCCATGCCAGGTCAGCCGATCACTCAACAGATCTTCATCCCCAACGATATGGTCGGTGCTATCATTGGTAAAGGTGGTGCTAAGATCAACGAGATTCGACACCTTAGTGGCAGCGTCATCAAGATTAATGAACCTCAGGACAACAGTAATGAGCGACTTGTCACCATCACCGGAACGCAGGAATGCAACCAGATGGCGTTGTACATGCTCTATTCTAGACTAGGTGAGTCCAAGAAGGACGCTCATACCAAGTCGTGAGTCTAATGTTCTTTCAGAGAGTGAGAAGCATCGGGTATGATGAGGTCACAAGCTCTCTACTCGCTATCAAGGAGAATACCCAAAAAGTCGAATTCGTACATCTTCCAGCGGAATGGCATTGATTCAGGTCGAGGTATGCAGACCAGCCTATTCTGAGTTTAGTCAAAAGTTCAATCAAGAGATAGCCCATCTGGGGATCTCTTACTAGCCTTTTTCACACTTCCGCTCTTCTTATGTTGCATGCTTCTGTCCGCCACGGCTGCGTGCATGGCTGTATCACGTTATACGTACACCTCGCGTGTTATGCAAACTTCCAGACACTGACAGTTCGTGGTCTAACAACCGCTTGCCAGCTGCATGCACGCTCGTCAGCTCATATGTGGGTGCTCGCATAGACTTTCTGTTTACTGCCATACAGATGCTAAATTTTCGCAGTCAAATTCTGTGGATCTTCGACCTGCTTCGGCTCCCATAAATTGCCGAGAAATCTCGCTGGATCGACCTGTTCGTGGCTCGACATGATCACAGTGTGCCCTCTCACGGCGTCAGACTCGCAAACGCAACATGAGCTACCTAACTAGCAACTAATATCTTGCATTGCGCATAAGTGGCCATCCTCATCTTGAAATATAGGTGCACGGCATGCCACAGAAGGAGAACAGATGAAATCAACGTCCTTGGAAACGAACTGCTCCTGATCGGGGCTTATGTCATGCGTCACTGCTAGTCAGCGGTGCACTGCTGCACTTCGAGGTGGACGAGCAAGATGTCACGATTGACAAACATCTCATGCAAACAAAGAATCCTCAAACAGTATCACCGATCTTTGTGCCGGAATGACTGACACATCTGCGAGAAACTACGTTTGTCTTAGTCTTGCCACTATCATTGACACTTACTAACAGAAAGAGGTTCGATCTACATAACGTTTGGGACCTCTTACAGCTTCACAGTCTGCTAAGAAAAGTCGGTGACTTCTTCAGGTCAAGCAGCAGATCCTCATTGATACTCAGCACCTTCTCAGTTGTGCTCAGAACGTTAGTCGATTCTGAGGCAACTCCTGAGCAGCTGAAACACGATGCTGAATAGCCCGACCACAATGCGCAATATCGCGACAAACACAAGGTCAACAACCGAAGTTCCTGACAAGCAGCAGATGTCAAATCTAGCACACAGTTCATGCCCTTACAGCTCACCTATCGTCACGCTTGTCGTTGGTGGTCCCTATTCGCCCGCTGCAGAACTCTCACCTACTCGTTTCCACATACACGAAGCATTCCTTCTTGGATGTTCGCCTGTATTCCGAAGTATGCTGACACCATTCGTGTCGACGGAATTTTCAGATCGTGGTGAAGAATGTTTGCAGAGAAGGCAAGGCTATACTGTACCGTGGTTGGAAGCTCGAACAAGAACAATATCTCTCCCCGAGGATCGAATCGCTGATTGGGAAATGCTCTCGAAGTGGCTGTACTGCCAATCTACGCCTACTCGATACAAGACGAACTGCATGACAGCTGCAACACTCGACACATGTGATGGCCAGGATTTATTGGATTGTATGGTTCAAGGTCAACCTGGTCTACAACATGATGATGTTAATAATGCCGTCCAGCAGTATCTCGATTGGTTGCCCAAACGAAAGCGATGTGCAGCTACCAGTACGAGACGGAGCTCTTTGGCAAAAGAACAGAAAGTTGACGACGTCGAAACAAAGGTCCAACACCATATTGATTCGAGGCCAGCATCAGATGGATCAGTACGTTTCACATTTAGCACAAGTTCGCTTGCACGATATCATGAGGAGAACATAGACCAACGACCCTCACCACCAGCGCTTGGACCCTTGATCCGTCTCTACATATTAGCAGACAAGTACATTATTTCCCAATCGAACTCGTCAACCTCATCCATGATCCTGACCTATTCAACTGAACGTTCTTCAACCAGAAGTGACGAGTGGATCGATGTCGAAGAAAGATCACTAAAATCCCAGATAGCGCTCCGTCTTCGTGCTATCAACAAACTCGCCAAGGTCGTACCTGACAAGGACGACATCGATCGGCTCTGGTCGAATGTCGTTCTTGAGTTTCATCTCGATCCACTCAAGACAGCTGTATTGGAAATGTTCGCTAGGCTGTCACTATCGAGTCTGAGACGGGTTTTTAGTCAAGATAATGGAGAGTGGCATGCGGGATTTCTGAGAGATCTATTGATGTGGAAGGTTGCTAAGCCGGAGTGAGAGGTATAGCGCATGTTTGAGAGGTTTAGGGAAGGTCAGTAACAGGTCGAATATACAATAGTCTCGATCGAAGCGCCCGGACAACAACAGGAGATCATATAACAGGACTCTGAGTTCGACATGTATGGGCGGACGCTAGTGTCTCGGTGGATAAATATGCCGAACTAACGTATGGACTCTTGACCTTCCTCCGTTTTGTGTCCTCTCCCAGTAATTTACGCATCGACGATGATGCACGATCGGATGTACTCCTTGCTTGCATGATTCGCACGCTTTCGTTCCGCGTTAGACAAAAGAGCTACAGCTCAAAGCCATGCCTGAACGAGAATCGCGGTGTATCCGCCAAGGGCGTGTCAGATCGTCTTGGTACCAAAGATCATACTGACTATCTATGTGGAGAAGCAGATAGCTCTACTAGGGACTGCGAGACTCGTCAGATGCAAGGAATAGCCACACGTGTCTGTGTGGATGGAGCACACCCTTTCGATACTCGTTATGTGACACCCGAGCTCATCAGTGCGGGGAGGAATGGGGATGGACAAGGAAGTCAGGATACCAATTCGCTGAGAAGGTCCCCTCATCTCGGTATATTAATAAAAAGGAAGGAGTAAGACGGCAAGCACGAGCGTGCAATCCAACTTCTAGTCACGAAGCACCTTCACAAACTACACTGAACACCATGTCGATCAGAGCAGAATTATTCATTAACGGCGAAGTGCGTGAGCAGCCTCAACTCCAACATCAACCTAGCCTGGCTATACACATTCATACTCACTCTCAACAACGAAAGACCACCACTAACTTCCCACCCTCTAGTACCGCCAATCCTCCTCCTCCGAAACCCTAACAATCCACAGCCCCCACGATGACTCCCTCATCACAGACCTCGTCCAAGTCGCCTCCCCAAAAGACGTCGACGACGCCGTCTCTGCCGCAAAAGCCGCGTTCCCCTCCTGGCGCGACACAGCCGGCCACAAACGCGCACGCATCATGCTCAAATTCGCCGACCTTCTCGAACAACACGTCGAAATGCTCGCCCACCTCGAATCCATCGCCATGGGCCAACCCATCTCCGTCGCCAAAAAGATGATCCTAGGCCCCATCGCGATCTGGCGGTACTACGCCGGCTTCGCGGGGAAACTCCCCGGCGAAAGCTATCCACCCGACGAAGACGGAACATACAAGATCGTCCAGTACGAGCCCCTAGGTGTCTGCTCAGGAATCTGCGCTTGGAACGGAAGCCACGTCCTCGCAGCATGGAAGATGGCTCCCGCAGTCGCAGCAGGGAACACCTTTGTGCTAAAAAGCAGCGAGAAGAGTCCCCTCTCCCTCGCAGCATACGGCGACCTCCTCAACGCGGCAGGTTTTCCAAAAGGTGTAATCAACATCATTACCGGCGCCGGTGCCGTCGGCGAAATGCTCGCAAAACACATGGACATCCGCAAAATCGCATTTACAGGCTCCGCACCCGCCGGCCGAGCCGTACAAATCGCAGCCACGAAATCAAACATGAAGCGCGTCACTCTCGAATTAGGCGGGAAATCTCCAGCTTTGATTTTCGACGACGCGAATATTGAGAATGCGGTCTTTCATAGTGCGGAGGGGTTTCTGAGGAATTCGGGGCAGATTTGCTTCGCTTCGTCGCGGGTATTGGTTCAGGAGGGAATTGCGCAGGAGTTCATCAGAGCTGTTAAGAGCGCGTTTGAGGATGCGAGGACGAAAATGGGGGATCCGTCGAGTGGTGAGACGTTGTTTGGGCCGTTGGCGGATAAAAAGCAGTTTGAGCGTGTGATGGGGTTCTTGGCTGATGGGAAAGCCGAAGGTGTCGAGGTCCTTGTTGGAGGAGAGAGAATAGGTGACAAGGGAACGTATGTCCAGCCTACTGTCCTTTTGAATCCCGGGTTAAATTCGAAAGTCTACACGGACGAGATCTTTGGGCCGGTGATTTCGGTGCGGACGTTCAGGGATGAGGAGGAGGCGATTGCGCTGGCGAACAATACGGAGTATGGCCTTGGTTCGACGATTTATACGCAGGATATTGGACGAGCTCTGAGGGTTGCGAGTAAGATTGAGGCGGGGACAGTTGGTATTAATTCGGCTTTTGCGACGTCTCCTCAGACGCCGTTTGGTGGGTTTAAGCAGAGTGGGTATGGGAGGGAGAGTGGTGTTGAGGGGATGAAGAATTATTTGCAGCCGAAGACGATCCATGTCAATATGATGGTACCGCCGAAGAAGGTGTGATCTGTATAGTTCGGAAATTTGAGTTTACTGGTGTCGGTACTGTTGAAATCAAACTTTTTATCATTACAGTCATTGAGTCATGTCTCCATCGAAAAAGAAAGCGTACAAGTATGCTGGTGCGAGGAGCACCGCCGCTGTGTCGAATAGAGACGTGCTACTGCTGTAACCCATCGCAATTCCTGTGATAACTCTCTTCCTTGTTCTGTCCTGAAAGATTCGGTTCGAAACGCTTACTCCTTGAAGATGTCCAAGCGATGACACTTCCGACATTCCTGCTCCTTCAGACCGAGCTTGAAACACTCCAGGTCGTCAGCCTCGTGTCGTGGGCGGTGGTTGCATAGCAATACCAAGACGCACTGTCGTTTCCCGCAGGCTGAGCATTCGTGCCTCCTCCTCGTTATCGGAGTAATCGCAAGCTCATGAGCAATCCCAGGCAAATTCTTCAATGTCTCATTCAGTACCTGTCCGTCACCAAGAAGAGCGCGATTGTAGTTCATGGTCCACTGCAGTTCTCGAACCACAATGATCCGAAGTTGTCGTTCAGAAGTTGTCGAGGTGTGGTAGATGTGTGCAGCCAGCTCCGGCCAACAGTACTTCTTGAGGAGTTCACCGCCACCGTGACCAAGCTCTCTGAAGGCTTGAGCTGCGGTGTCAGGCAGGAAGCGGACGTTGAATTTGTTGCCCATGGCGTACATATTTACGTGGACAAAGTCTACACGACCCTCCACAATATCATCGTCGGAAATGTTGGCGAAGTCCTTGATACCAGCGTGGGCAATGTGTGAGACGGGATAACTGGTAGTATAGAGGTAGTAAAGAAGTCTGTCTGCGTTTAGCTATAGCATTATGCCCTGGACAATGAATGACAGACCGTGCAATTGTCGCAGGAGAAGGTAGACTCTGATCCAGTTGCCAGGTTTCCCTGTCTCGCGATTTCTCACTCTACACCGAAAGGTGTCAGCAATGGATTCCGCAGGTTGGAAAGAACTGTGTGCGGACCTCGTTACTCATTAATTCTTGAAAGTCTTCAGAGTACCTCGTGACGATGGCTAGGTGAATGTGGAAGGTGTGCCCACAGTAGACAAACTCGAAATCTGAAAATTCTCCAGTCTTGAGAAGACTGAATCTATTGCGTTAGCTGTTGAAATTGAGAAAGGACAGCCAGCAATCTTCAATTACCACCGCATATCGTATGTCTTCTCTGGACCATTTGTCACAGTAACAGCCCGAGTAGTCAACATTTTGTATGGCGTGAGGAAATCTCAGTAAGGCAAGATCGCAACGACAAAGTTGTAGCTTCGAGGCAACAGTGTTCAGGGTTGCTCAGCACCAAAAATTGAGTGTAGGTAGTCAAGTGAAGTGGTTGCGTCAGGCAAACCAGCGAGTGACGGCAGCCTCATCTGCGAATAGCGACGCTTGCAGAGATAGCAGAGTGCGCAGAGGAGCAGGAGAATATAGTCGTGCGTGGTTCTGCCAGAATTTTGAAATACCGAGACGTGATTGTGTGTCGGAAGACTAGCATGCTCGTGCCCTAGTAGGTAACGCAATAAAGCTCGACATTTGCAGTCCGACAATAAGCACCTCGATAGCTGAGTGCGAATAACGACTTGGCCATGTTGGTATGCGACACAATTAAACATAGCTAATGCTTTGTACTTCGAACACCGTAATTTCTGTACTCGTAGCGTCCCAACATCTGTGGCCCATTGAGTATGTGGTTCTTCCAAGAGTATGGCAGACGATGGTTGTTATATTTCGAGTGGCTATCCCTATGAGGGCAACTGCCGCTTAGTCGCCGAGTCCCGTACTTGCTCATATTTGGTTGTGAAACAGTATCATTACACATCTTCAAAATCATCTTCTTCCTCAGAATCAGCTTGAGGAGTCGCACCATTAGTTACTACTGCAGGTGAAGCAACTTGATCATCCGCAAGCTTTGTCGAAACAATCCCGTTCTCAAGCTTGATGCGCTTTGCATCAGGCGCTGATGAAGGTGCTGCATAAGCAGGGGTATTCGCCCCAGTGTCAGTCCCACTCACACTGTCACCGTCCAGGTCGAGCTCTCTCTTCAGACCATTTCCAATCAATCTTGAGATCGTAGGCATAGATTCCTGCTTGATACTCGGCTGTTGAGAACTCATTGGCGTATTGACCCCGCTCGGTACTGCGTCCTCGAAGTCTTCCTCTTCTTCATCGTCTTCGTCTTCATCCTCTTCGGCGGCTGCTTGTGCCTCTCTTCTTTCCTGTTCGAGCCTCTCTCGCTCCATCTCCCTGACGTACTCGTCCAAGTCCTCCTGCATATTGCGCTGTTCAGCTGCTGCTCCACTGAGAACGGGCTTCTTTTCATCCTCTTCTTCCTTTTTGAGCATAGCCAATGGATTGGGACTTGTTCCACCTTCTTCCTTCTTGACAGCACTCGAGACAGCACCGACAGTACTATTCTGGTACCAGTCGGGTAACACGTTTGCTGCTGCTGCCGCTCTCTGTTTTTCTCTTTTCTCTGCTGCAACCCTTTCCTCTTGCTCTTTCTCGGTGCTAATGCTAACGCCAACCGCGCTAGCATCTACGGTAGCCTGCTGTTTGCGCTGCTCTTGATTCCTCTGCTGCGATACCTCCATCCACTTGGGTTTGTGAGCTGAACCAAGCAGTTGCGTTTGCTCAGGCACAGGCCTTTTCCGCGCCCATGCATCTTCGAATGCGTTCTCGGGCACTTCTCCACTATCAATCACTGCCAGAAGTTTGTTGAAAGGACCCAGCTGATCGTTCAGAGCGCGGATCTTGGTATGCTCACCTCGTTCTAGAATAGCCTGCTCATTCTGTTCAAGGGTCATACCACAACGTTCACAGTAGAAGCCCGTCGGAGCGATTTTGTCGAGAATACTGAGCTCATCGTACTCAGCGTGGCATCGTGGACAGGACCAATCCTTCCTTTGACCCTCAGCCTGCTTGTAAAGATCTTGCACCTTATCCTGCAACTTGACTATGCGATATTTGATGGCGTCGACTGCTTCGTGGTAATTGATGTGGTAGTATTCTCGCTGCATGGACCTGGTATGCCCTTCTCTAATTTCTGTCCTCGTGCCCACAGAGACCAGCCGAGAATTCTTCAGAGGAGTCAACAGTGCACGGATCTCTTTCGGTTGTATTGTGTTTGGTGGAAAGAGTGGTACCATATCGTCTACATGAAGCACGCCGTACGTCAAAAGCGCATCGAAGAGGAAGATAGTTTTGGGAAGAGGGTGAAAGGTACGGACGGCGGTACGCAGCAGCGATTTTGTCGCTTCAATTGGAGCTGGAGGCATTTTGAGAATCTGCTGAGAGGTACAGTGCGAGGCGAACGTGCTAGCTTGCGCTGTCTCTCGTTGTGTAGCATGAAAGTCAAGGAAAGTCGCAGAAAGTATACAGTTGAATGCGACTCAAGGTGGGTGCGCTGAGTCTTCGAAGAGTATCGTAATGAGCGTGGGTCGCAACCATGAGGAAAATATTTCACCTCAACCAGGCACAGATATGAACAGCATAGTCGTCTTCCAACGAGCAGTCAAGCTGTAGAAGGCGATATCTGCCGTGTTGCGATTTAAGCGATCACTGAACTCGCATGCCGCTGAAGTTGAACCAGAGGCGCCAGTTTCTCAAGTCAATCTGAACGCGGCTTTCAGAAATCGGGGCTAGTGTAGACTCGTTCTCCACATTCACGCTTACGTAAGTGACTAGGAATTGTATACCGCTCCTTCCTCACAAGGTACAATTTAATATTGTGCTATGTACACTACAATGTGTCCAACTATGCCTTTGCCATGGCCGCAGCTGCTCCCACTCAGCATTACGGTCGCTCTTCCTCTTCTTCATGCTAGAAAAAACAACGCTTGCTCAAAGTGCTATCAATAAGACAGGAGCATAACTTTCAGACAGTGTCATCATGCAAAGTACAAATGCAAGTATGGCCAAATCTTTTGGCCTAGTCGTGCGAGTTGTCCGTAGTGTCTCTCCTTGCCTCAAATGTCATGTTCATATTTGCAGAACGATGCACAACAATATGCAAGTCTATTCGTGGAGGCGTAAGTCATACCTGCTTGCAGCGATTGGAGGTAGTTATGGTTGTGTTGGTATTAGTGTATTTGGCTGAAGAATAAGACATTACGGTCCTTGCAGTTGCGCCAATAAGGCGTCAAGTTCTTCCCAGTTAGATTGGGTCGTCGCGAACTTTCGGTGCTTTCGAGAGATGACATGCTGTAAATCACGTTAGTGAGAGGTGTCATATCGGTCGTTAGCTGTACTTACGTCCTCAAAGTCGTCGTACTTGTCGTGACAGTTCTCACAGTACCCAGGCTTAGGTTCACGCTTCGTTGGCTTCTTCCTCTTAGCATTGGCACGCGCGGCTCGTTCCGCTGCTGCATCATCGACACAGGGATCTTCCTCCTGTATGCCACCAAGCTTCTCCTGAGCCCTGCTTTTGGCAGCTCGTTGCGGTGCTGGCGGCCTAGCACTCTTCAGTGCCCCTGCGAAGGCGCCGACCTGCGAAGAGATCGAGCCAACCGATAAGCTACCAGTATGTGTTCTTTCCAGAACTTTGCGTTTGAGCTCATTGACTTCCCTACTGGTCGAAGCCTTCAATCCAGTTGCTGCAGCAGACGAAATCATTTGTGATTGAATTGCTGAAGTCATGGCCGATCTCTGTATTCCCGAAGCGGATGGCTCGCGAATCAGGTCGAGCTGAGATGGTTTTACAAACTCCATAGAGGGCTGCTCTGGCATAGGTGGAAAGGACGATTGCCGCTCTGGTGCTTGAGGTGGTGGTGGTTTAGTGGGCTGCTGCTGCGTGACGCTCACATTGTTGGGCACGTCTCGAAGAACTTTCCTGGGACTTGTTCTCCTAGGAGGGTTCATTTTCGGCTCGACCAAGGTCTGTTGTGTAGAGAGTGGTTTGACTCGTGCTGCAGCTTGCTGTGCTTCCCTCTGCTGCTGCTGTTGTAGTTGCTGTGCCTTTTGTAGCGCTTTTACGCGATCGACCTCCCTCCTCATTGTCGGGTCTTCAACGAAGGGACATTTACCCACGCTAGCAGAGCGAAATTGAGGCCACTCCCCGTCTTGTCTGCGAGCCACCTTGGGATATTCTCTGACCATGATGGGCTTGACCTTTTCGTCCATATCGTGCACGTACAGGAAGGGTCCTCGAAACGTGACTAGGTCTCTTGGAATCCCTGCTAGCTCTCTCTCCGCAGCGGCAGCAAGCTTCTCGTTCTTTAGCACCTGGACCAGGTCATTTGTAGCGCGTGTGGCCTTGTTGACGCGCGGTACGGACTCTTGTCCGGGTGTGTCTTCCAGCAATGTAGACAAGATTTTCTGCAGCTTATCAGGTGGCCAAATCTTCATCTTCATCTGAACACCTCGGACAAGGACGTCATTGGTGTTGACCTCACGCCTGACAGTCGACCTGCCATTTTTGATCTCGAGCATGGACGGATTGATGGTACCGTGTCCGTTTTCGAAAGCCTTTGCTACAGCATCTTCATCAGGTGCCTGCCTTGTGCTAATGATGTGAGTGACGTTCTTGGAGAAGAAAGTTTCCTCGCGCTGTGCGTGTTAGCAATAATTCAATGTGGTGGAAGGGAACACGTACTGCTCCAAAGTGAGCGGCCTGTCTGATGAGACGTGTCTTTAGCTCATCAGGGACCGCATCAAAGAAGAAGCGAAAGGCAGGGAACAACTTGCGATAATGCTTCTGCCATTGCCGAACCGAGTCGACTTCCTTGGATGAGACAACATTGCTCCTGGTTGATTTCGCAGATGTGGCAGTCCTGTCTCTTGCCGCGACGAGCCTTTTCTGAAAATTGTTCTGTGTGTTTTCGTGTCCACGCTCAAAGACCTGTCCTCCTGTTGTATCCTGCTGATCATGACGTCGAGGAGTGATGGGTACTGGCTCGCGCGTCGACTTTTCTATAGCCTGGCGTTTGGTCGGCGGCTCGTTCTCCTGCTGTGATACATTTGCCAAAGCACGAGATCTCTTCGAGCCAGAGTTGTTTAAGTTCAGGCTTCGATGTGGAGAATTGGTGGCATTTGGGATGGACATCAAAGGCTGTCTGCGGGTGCTGGTGGCCATACTGTGAAATGTCTGCAACGGTGAGGGCGCTACACAGACTGCTGCCGCCATGCAAGGGCGAATCGGTCGAGGACCTGGTGGCTGGAGGTGAAGTCGACGAGCAGAGGGGCCTCAGACTCTCAACGAGACGCGACACGCGACTTTTCTTCCGTGGCTAATAGTGAACCATGTCTAGGAATGAAGGCAGCTCTGTATGAATAATGTGAGCGACAAGGTTCGGAAGGCTCGAACCGGCCTGTACCTGGCAGCTCGTAGACAAAACAAGCAATGAGAGGTGAGCAGAGGCAATGCAGCAATGGTAGAGCTCGACTTTTAGTGTGTTGACAGAGATCTGGAGGTGCTATGCCTTAGCGTTCCGTTGCTGCATGCGACCAACGAACCAAGACCACCTCAAAACACCTGCAACTCCACCTTTCATAACACGATCAAGCTGCAAATTGCTCTCTGCTTGCTTGAAGATTAGCATACCCGTTATAAATGTCCTTCGATGTATTGGATGTACTTGATGGACTGTACAACTGAATAGATTGAGCTGCATGGCTGATCGTACTAGTATTACATATCTATGTCATTACCCATGGAGCCGACGCGCTACAATGATGTCGACACGTGAAGTGCCCACCCAAAAATGCCTGCAAGTGCAGAGAGCTCAGTCAGCACTCGTGGTGCTTCTTGCTTCTTGCTTCTTGTTCTTGCTCATGCTCCAAACAATGCTCGTCTCTTGTCACCAATCCTCTCTAGTTCAGGACTCACAAAACGTGAGACGAGGTCCAACGCAAAACACACGGCCTTCTGGAACAACAGAATCAACAACCAACCCAATATTTGTGTCGCGAAATCCACCTCCATCAGTTGATAATGTGTCGTGCACCAGCTTTTCCCATGACGCCTGCTTCTTTCGGTTTGGGGCTTCGGTCGCGGCTCTTTCTACCTCGGAGAAAGCCCAACACGCTGCTGCTATCCCTAACATCTTTGCTCGCTCCAGCTTCTGCTGGTAGCGACACCGCTTGGTCGGCCAACAATGACCAACTTCCGTGCTCGTCAAGAACCATTTGTACTCCTCCGCCCTTGCTTGCTTGCCTCGACGCAGGTTGTGGCCTTGGTCTGCTGAATGACGTTGCTTGTGACGCGGGTACTGATCTTGGTATGGGCTGCGTGGGCGGAAGGGCCGCTTTTAGAGCCTCGAGCTCTGGAATATGCTCCGACTTGACGTGCAGCGGTAATACATTTGGCGACATTGGAGGTGTTCCGTCCGGTGTCGTCGCCACAGATTGAGGCTTTGATTGAGGTCGAGAATGTGTAGACCCAGTCTTCTCGATTGCATCTACAGTGCCATCTTCCGCCAGTGCTGCTGCTGCACTCCTACAGTTTGTTAGCTGTATCACGTCTCGCAACCAGGTTCAAACACATACCCGTCGTAGGAAGCCAATGTATAATCGAAAGGCTCAAACAATGTCTCGATCATCCTATGCAGCTCGTCCTCCCGAATCTCTTTACTTGTGGCGTCTTGCCGGAGCTCTGGTCGGGGTTTCTGCTTCCTAGCTCTCGCTTCTAATGGCGCTTCTTCTAGCAATAATTCCTCCAGATCGTACGTTGCATCGAAATTGGTCTTGTCGCTTGATGGCACAAATATCGGTCGTATCAATTTGGCTTGCAGCGCCTCAAAGTCTAACGGACTAAAGAAATGATGGGTTGTAAATGTGTCGAATCCAGCTGCCCCTATCCGTTTCCGTTTTTGTCTCTCGAGTAACGACGACATGGCGTGTAGGCATGGCATTGATACGGGCGGCTTCGTAACGTGAAATTTCGGATTGGAGTTACAGATGTTTTCCACTAACTCGTCGTGGGTCTTTCCCTCGAATGGTCTCTTCCCGTATATGCATTCGTAAAATGTCACACCTAATGACCACCAATCCACCTCGCATAAATAGCCAGGGCCTCGAAATGCCTCGGGAGCCAGATAGGCCAGAGTCCCAGATTTACTTGTCAGTAGTTTAGGTGGCCTGAAGTCTGATGCAACATTGAAGTCGGCTAGATGCACGTGTCCCTCAGAATCCAGTAGCACGTTGTCAGGCTTAACATCTCTGTGCACAATCCCTTGTTCGTGAATGTACCGCAGTGCACAGGCTAGCTCGCCCATCCAGAATCGAACGCAATCTTCGGTGAAGGTCTTTCGGGATATGTGAAATCGAAGGTCGCCACCATCCATCAGATCAACCACAAGATACAGATACTCGACATCCTGGAAGCTATAGCGCAGATTGCACAAGAAAGGGTGATTCAAGTGCTCTAGCATGCGTCGTTCGCGAATTATGTTTCGTACACTCTCCGATCGCACGACTTGGGAAGTTAGTACAACATGTCTGCCAGGAAAGTTTCGACTTTACCTTCATCCTTGCGTATATACTTGAGCGCAAATGTAAGACCTGAGTCTTTTCGTTCTACAATCCTGACCTTGCCAAAAGCGCCTTTGCCCACCACTCTTAAGAGCCGGAAATGGTTCAGATTGACTTCATCTGTGTAGACGACCGGTTTGCCCTGAGAGTTGCCCATGCCTTTCCGACCTTACTGTCCAGCGCGTTGGGTCGAACTTGATGAACGTCACCACGTGGTGTGCGCAATGATCGGAATTTCAAACTTTGTAAACCTGGGGTTTCCGAGTAGTTGTGTATTTGTCGCCAATGTATTTTGATCCGTTGCGAGTCGTGTTAAACGAGAAAAGTCGACTCCAATTTCGTGAATCGTGATGTGCGTAATAGATTCAAACGAGTTGACAGGCGATGTTGTTGACCCGGACGTAATGCGACGACACAGGTTCTCTGGCAGATATCACCAAAGTAGGTACATATCGATCGAGAAATGATGAAGAACGAGGAGAAGCTGTAAAACACAGGAGTCTGTGGGATGGAAAGGTCAACACTCCTTCTAGAAGCAAAGAAGCGTGTGAGCGAAGCGACGGGGTCCACTCATGCACGACTTTCCGAAACGATCTCTCCACGTGGGTGTTTAAGCCTTTGCACATACCCAGCTCGGCGGATCACATATTCCGTACGACTGCCAAAAGAGTACACACGACATTGGGAGGCTCTACCTGCCATCGCCCCATGATGCGACGGACGACGAGAATGCAGTACCTATATCTATGTACTATATAAGTAGATTTGGAGGAGGAAGTCGAAGCATTAGGAACCCGGCACTATACTAGTACCAATCTCGTAACCGTAACTCTATCGACCCATAATAGCTGGAGCTGTGATGCCATGAAAGGAATGGTGTACATCGTGTCATGTAAGGCTATGTGTGCTGATGAGAGACGACACAATTGCCTGTATTGTTGAACCTGTCAATATTTCGACATTCTAAAGCCATATTCGATGGACAATTGTGTAGAAACGATGCAGTCAGTCGTGGTACTGGTATGGGTATATGGAAGCTATTGAAAAGCTAGCCCTTGACAGTGGCGATGGGCAAACGAGGAACGAAGTTGTAACTTTGGTCTGAATTGAAAGAAATCAGAGACTCCGCCCTTGAGCAAGCACGTTTCACCAAGGAATGTGGCTGCCACGTTTTTTATGGATGAACCCTTATCCCTGCCGCAGTCTATAACTGGTTATATCGGTTCCACCGTCTCCAAATCTGCCTCAATTTTGTGCATGCATTAGGCCGTTTGGGCATCGCATATCTCCGTCGGAATCCACATGGTGCTTACCACCGTCGATGCTTTCGAGCCTTACCCAAATCCGAGCTACCACCGTGATCTGGACCAACAGCACCTCATCCACTGTACCTGGAAAAGGTCCTTGGCATGTCTGGTTGGATGCCAATGGGTTTGTCGTAAGACCATACGAGTACCGAGTACACCTTCCGTGGCTGTAATGCAGCTAGTATTGGAAAAAGTAATAGGGTTGATACCTTTTCTTGCCGGGTAGCGTCAACAAGGACAACTGGACAATCGGAACGAGTCGATATTTCGCACAGACATATACCAGTAGAGATCTATAAATCTGCCAGAACCTTATGGCACGGGAGTAGCGCGACAAGAAGCACACTGCAAGGCTGTTAGTATTTTGCAGGTCTCGAGTCACAACATTGACCGAGTCGTCTTTGGTCCCGTTGTCCGCGGCCTTGCATATCGACCAATCGTTGCTGCCACGAGTTGGTTGGATTTGTCCTTACGCGGCGGGATGTTGTTATAGCTTTCATCGAACCAACGATCATACTCGTATTTCGTGCATCTGTTTTCTTGTGACCTTGTGTAGAGGGTTGTGCTCACTGGCCAGACGCTCCTACCACTGGCCAGATCGTGTCGAGGTACCTAGCAGTAGTGATTGCCCTCGCTGGTATGACAACCGCTGAATAAAATGGTCAGTACTCCGGCGCAGACGACTAGGAATTGGTTGAATTATGGGACGGTAAGACAGGCAAGGCCTCACGTGCTCGTAACATCTTGCTCTGCCTTCGATTCCTTCTCTCGTGACCTAATGCTGAAGCGAGGACTTGGAAAAGTATGTACTGCCAGTGTGGCTAAACACGTTTATTGAGTAGTAGTGATAACTGCCTGGCGTCCCGGGCTGACGCCTGTCAGGACTCCAGGCCGGGGCTAGCTCCCCACTTCGACAACCGTCCTCACTTCTCTACAACGAATTGTACATGTCCCGCAATACAACCATGATGATTCTTGGACAATGTCGAATCACAAGCTGGCCTGCCAGGTCATCCATATGGTTCCGGCGCATATCCAACGGACTTAGCTCCCGCCATCAGCAACGTCAGGTCCATTTGTGACATCATGGGATCGTACGTTGACGTGGGTTAACAATTGATAAACATGATCATGGTACAACATTTTTTCTGCTTCGCTTCGGTAGACACTTTTTTTGAGAGACACTAACAGTCAGTCATACAACTCGATCAAGAACAAATTTCGCTACACAGCCATGGAGACAGTTAAGAACGCAGTCAAGAGTGCTACTGGCAGTGATGGACAATTTGAACAAGGTCAGTCTCGTGCAAATATGCTGTGATTGGACTAAGCTAACGGACCACAGGCCACAAGGTCCCAATCACACATCAAGATCCCCCAGGCCATCAACATGAACTACCTATCAAGCCTTCGGACACAGAGCTTCCCACAGCGGATGGAGGCTATCAGCAATACAAACCTGCCGGCAAACTTCAAGGCAAGAAGGCCTTGATCACCGGAGGAGATTCTGGTATCGGTCGAGCAACTGCTATCCTGTTCGCTATGGAGGGAGCCGATAGCATGATTGTCTATCTACCTGAAGAAGAGAAGGATGCACAGAGCACCAAGCAAGAGATTGAGAAGTATGGTGCACAGTGTTACCTCTTCCCAGCGGATGTCACCAAGCGAGAGAATTGTGAAGCCGTGGTCAAGTCTGCGCTCGAGAAGATGGGCAAGGTCAACATCCTTTTCAACAATGCAGCATACCAAATGGTACAAAAGGACATTACCGACCTGCCGTATGAACAGTGGCACAAAACATTCGACACCAACATCCACCCATTCTTCTACTTCTCCAAGATGTTGATCCCACAGATGAGCAGAGGAGATGTTATTATCAACAATGCTTCTATCAATGCATACATCGGACGACCAGATCTCCTTGACTACACAACTACAAAGGGCGCAATCGTGTCGTTCACCAGAGGTTTGGCAAATCAACAAGTATCGAAGGGCATCCGAGTGAACGCCATCGCTCCTGGCCCGGTCTGGACTCCCTTGATCCCAGCGACCATGGACAAAGACGCGCAAGATTCGTTCACATCACCTATGGGTCGACCCAGTCAACCGAGCGAGCAGGCAACCTGCGTTGTCTTCTTGGCCAGTGCTGATAGTAGCCAGCTTACTGGACAAGTCATACATTCCAACGGTGGTGGTTTCACGACATCATAAGTTTCGTACTGAAAGTCGACTGAGCCAGCACGAATAGATATGGGTCAGCCACGACAGTAAATATAGATAGTTATATAACCGTGAGCAATTGAACATTGCCGACCTGTTTCTACGGAGTAAAATATTGTTGCCTGCATAGTAAAGCACTCACCTAGAAGCAAAGCACAACGCAGAATATTCCGAGAAAGGTTATTTATCGACCGATGTTTTTGGACAGAGGGCCTGCATCTGTTTGTGGTTGCATTGCCGATCATTGCAAGCATTTCGTCCTCGCATCCGTCGTTTGACATCAGCTTGCAGCTCTAGCTTTTCCAGCTAGCACATCAATGGTTGAACCAGTGAAGTACAACTCCTGTGAGCTTTGCCAATCTCAAAAATTCGCAGGATATATGGCGACCGCCAGAAAAAAACAAGACATTGTGGCAGCTCTTGGTGTCAGACCGTTCCTTCCTTATCGAAGATTGACCGAAAAAAATGGCGAGCTTACTTCACACTTTCATAATACTAGATGCTCCAGATAGGCGGTAAACAGCACTCATATCATTTATGCAGCCTTCGTATTCGTAGATTGTTCCTAGCATTCAAGTCGCAAACTTCAGGAGCTCCTCTGCAGGCTCGTCCATTCACTAACCATAAACCCCTTCCGAAGCAGTCCTTGTCCTCATCGAGGACACCCAGCAAAATGAAGGACTACAAATTCGAGATCAAGCCCAAGGCCAACCCAGGTGCAATCGTGCAAGGTCCTAACTATCGCTTTACAATCCTGACTGACCGTCTGCTGCGTTATGAATGGTCTGCCGATGGAAAATTTGAGGACCGTGCCTCTACCTTTGCTATCAATCGTGACTTTCCAGTACCAAAATACCATGTCTACGAGGAAGGAAACCAAAATCTCGCCATAGTGACGGACTATTTCCAACTGAGCTATGACAAGCAGAAGTTTTCACCGTCTGGCTTGATGGTCAGCTTCAGTGCCAAGGTAACAGATTGGGGTGCCCAATGGAGGTTCGGTTATGAGGTAAAGCCTGGAAATCTTGGAGGCACGACAAGAACTCTGGATATGGTTGATGGTCGTTGTGAAGTCGATCAGGGTGTTTGCAGCGTAGAAGGTTACGCCGAGGTCAACGATTCACTTTCTATGCTTTTCGATGGTTCTGGCTGGGTCAGTCCACGCATGTCTGGTGACCGAATAGACGGCTATCTGTTTGGCTATGGGCTCGACTATCGTGCTGCAGTCAAAGCACTCTATCAACTGTCCGGTAATCAGCCAGTGTTACCACGATGGGCTCTGGGAAACTGGTGGAGTCGATACTATGCATACAAGCAAGATGAGTATATTCAACTGATGGACAAGTTCCGAAAGCAAGACATTCCACTAAGTGTGGCTGTTATTGACATGGATTGGCATCTTGTCAAAGACGACAGAGTGCCACATGCAGGTTGGACTGGCTACACTTTCGACGATAAGCTATTCCCAAATCCGACCGAGTTCGGACAACAGCTACATTCGCGAAATCTCAAGATCACGCTCAATGATCACCCTGCTATGGGTGTCCACCATCACGAAGATAGTTATGAAGAGATGGCCAAGGCTATCGGACATGATACTAGCAACAAAGACCCCATAGTTTTTGACCCAACACACAAAGAGTTCATGGATGCCTACCTCAGCATTTTGCATAGGAACATCGAAAAACAAGCTTGCGACTTTTGGTGGATTGACTGGCAGCAGGGTTCCTTCTCACGCATACCTAGCATCGACCCTCTGTGGATGCTGAACCACTTTCACTTTCTGGACAATGCATTGCCGGAAGCCGGAGCAACCGTATCGGCAGCTACAGGTGCATCTGAAAAACGACCGTTGATCTTCTCGCGATACGCTGGTCCGGGGTCGCATCGATATCCTGTCGGATTTAGTGGTGATACCGTCATCTCCTGGGCGTCTCTTGCTTTTCAACCTGAATTTACTAATTCGGCCAGCAACATCGGCTACGGGTGGTGGTCGCATGATATTGGCGGGCACATGGTGAGTGGTCTCTTAGAGGCGTAGCGGTTTCGACCAAAAGACGTCTACGACTCTGACCCATACGATTTCCCGAGCTAACATTTGGCAGTGCAAGTACTCTCGTGAACACGTCCCGATTGTTGAGCTAACATTTCCTAGGGGGCACTCGAGACGATGAATTGACCACACGATGGGTACAGTATGGCGTTTTTTCTCCAATAATGCGGCTGCATTCGAGTAACTCAGCATGGACCAGCAAAGAGCCATGGTGCTACCGAGCAGAGGGCGAGAAGATCATGTCCGACTTCCTGCGACTGCGACATCGGCTTGTGCCCTTCCTGCATACCCGCAATGTTACAGGAAGCACAGAAGGAGAGCCGCTTTGCCAACCCATATACTGGCACTTCCCAGAAGCGAAACAGGCGTACCGACACCGCAACAATTACCTGTTCGGTTTCGAAATGCTAGTCGTACCTGTTGTGGAGCCAAGGAACAAGCAAAGCAACATGGCTACTGCACGAGCATGGCTGCCTCCTCTCGGTAGATATGTCGACATCTTCACTGGCATCGTCTATGATGGCAACAGGGAAGTGAGTATATACAGAAGATTACAGGATTACCCTGTGTTGTTACACGAAGGAAGCATAGTCGTGCTCGATGCCGCAAAAGCACCTGCGAATGGCTGCTTGAACCCGGAAGCATTCGAAGTTTTAGTCTGCGTTGGCAGGAATGGCCAAGCCAGTGTTCTCGAATCACCAGATGACGACTCAGAACAAGTCAAGAAAGAAGCGAACACGAGAGAAAGAGGATCCTTGATACAGTACAAGCAAGCAGAAGGAAAGCTCACCGCCAATGTTACTGGTCGAACATGGTCTTTCAAATTCCCGGCCATCGTCAAGGTTCCAAAAGATCTGAAGGTCAGTGTTGGAGGCAAGGATATAACGAAAGATGTCCAGGTCAACCTAGAGGCTTACCCGTCCTTGCCCAGCATGGTGGTCAAGATTCCGCAAGCTATGGACGATAAAGCAGAAATCGTGATTGAGCTTGGTGCGAACCCTCAATTGGATGTGATTGATCACACTGAACGTATGAAGTCGTATTTAATGGACATGCAAATAGATTTCTACACAAAAGATGTGATATGGGAGGTCTTAAACGACGAAAGCAGCACATTCAGCGTGAGGATAAGTGAACTGCTTGCTATTGGGCTGGATGAGGCGGTTTCAGGACCATTCGTGGAGTTGTTGCTATCTGACAGTCGATTGGCTTAAGATACCGCGTGAGCGCGTACCAAAGACATAGCATTGAGGGGAACGAGGACGCGAACGCGAGTCGTTTGTCGAGTGGCAGCTCAACAATGTGGTTCTCGGCAGGTCGTGGTGATGGAATCGAGCAATAGAATTAGAATGGTCACCCAGAAAATTAACCCGATGGCAACAGCTACTGCTCTGTTCAAAAAGCCATTTTCTAGTCTTCTAACACCGTGTCGTCTTGGCCCATACCCTTACTGATAATAGCAATAGACATCGCTCCGGACTGCAGATCGCTAGTACCATTACCACCATTGCTAATTCAGAAGCTACCTCGTAGTGCCTGCAACAAGCTTCTCATGCTCATATAGCCAACTCCTTCCCGCAGGAGTACCTTCTGTAATTCAGCTCTTCCACAATTAAAGTCTTCTTCCTCTGCACACTATCCGCGTCCAACTCGAGACTGCGTTGAAGGACAATTCCCCAGTGTCCTCTTGCTTCGCTCGATGTAATCATGCCTTGGGGCAAAGGATCGCAGACAGCAACCTCGAGTCTTTGACCGCATGAGTATAAACCTGATTCGCATCTGGTGTGCCTGAAACATTTCGGGTCGCCTCGCTGCAGGATCTTAATTTCCGTTTGCCCTGGACCGGACACCAGCACTGTCAAACGACAGCTGTACTCCTTAGAGAACTCGTTTTGCCCTCGTGACTTCAGAATTTACAGACTCTTCATTATTCCTGAAAGTCTTTGTTCCCTCTCTCAATCATCCAGTAGTACACACTCTCTCAAGTCGTAAACAACGAATCCTCCTCCCTCAAATATTCACCTACATCCCCCTGTCTAAACGCCACCACAGCCGTCGGGTCCAACTTCCGTGCTTCCGCCGTCGATCTCGCAGTAACACCGAACCCCAACGGCGTATCATCCATATTCAACACCACAACACCACTATGCTCAGGACAATCCTCGCTCCATCGCCCAACATGCGCCTTGACCACATTCCCACCGTACAAAAACGGCATCTCCCCGTTCGACTTGACCCAAAGTTTATACCGTGCGTGCGGCGCGATGATGTCCAGACAGGTGATGTGTAGCCTGAATTTTCCGGTCTTTGTGAATTTTCCTATGCAGGTTCCGAGGCAGAGGAGGTTGTCGCGAGCGACGGAGGTTGCTAGGTTGGCGAGGGAGAGTTTGACGTAATAGACGCGAGATTCGTGGAGGCGGAAGACATGTCTGTCGTTGTTGGTGGTGATGCCGGTGTCGTCGGCGGATTCTGAGGGTGCGATGAGTTGAGTCAGTGAGCGGCCGGTGTAGTTTGCTAGTTTTTTGAAGAGGGTTTCTGTCTCGGTTTCTGTGAGTGCGCGCATCTTGGGGTGGTCAATTCGGAGGGCGATGTCAACAGGCTTCCTAGGCGTTGAGTCCTACACAGAACTTCTAGCTCATTGCCGTTATCGATATTGGACTTGTAGAAAAAAGTATTGTCGCAACGGGAATACTTCGGCTATATTGTGGCATCTATAATTAGTGGTATCTTCCGCGTCGTCGTAGCAGTATAGGGTTCAAGTTCTCGACAACCTGTGAGTGCAGCATTCTGATCCAGGAGGTGCAATGAACACCCTATGCGAAGTGGCTCAATCACCGCAAGTACTGGTGACATACCTCATCTGCAGGTAAATTGAAAGCAAGTGTAGGTTTCCTGACTCTGAACTACGCAACGAACATCTCCGTTATCTCTGGTGTCTGCTCATTTGTGCGCCTTATGTCACAGCGATAGAGGACGTCGAGAAAAGACTGCTAATCTTTTGTTGTGCTTGGAATGATCGTACATACCTTGCCTGCCGGTGTTTCCTCGTACATAGCTACCTCTCCTCCAGAACCTATTTCGAAGCAAAGGCCGCCAAGATGGAGCGGAAGGAAGAAGTCCTTGTTGTGGGAATGGGTGCCATAGGGACCATGGCGGCATACGCAATTCAGAGTGGTGGACAAGCCAAGGTAACAGCAGTCTTGCGTTCTAACTACGAGATAGTCCAAGAATTCGGCTTCACCATCGACTCAATTGATCACGGCAAGGACATACGAGGCTGGAGACCATCTACAATATTACGTTCAATACCTGACTGCCGCGACGGGTCAAAGCAGTACGACTACATCGTGGTCTCGACCAAGAACACGCCCGACATGGCTCCCAGTCTGATAGACCTGATTGAGCCGGCGATCAAGCCCGAAGTGACTACGATTGTCCTGATGCAGAACGGCCTAAACATCGAGCAGCCATTTAGACATAAATTCCCGCAAAACACGATACTTTCGGGCGTCCACCTCATGGGAGCAAGTGAAACCTCACCAGGCACTATTGTACACAACGAGCCTGATATCTGCAAAATTGGTCCGTTTGACAACAGCGACACGGGCGTCCTCCAGGAGAGAGACGTACACATCACTCGCGCTAAGAGGTTTGTCGAGATATACAATGCTTGCGGAAAGGTAAACTGCCAATTCGACGAGAACGTACAATTTACCCGCTGGCACAAACTGGTATACAACTCCTCTTACAACTCCATCTCAGCTATCCTACGCATGGACGTCACGCGTATGCGAGTACACGAACACGTCATCGATGATCTCGTCAAGCCGATAATGGAAGAGATCATGGCGATTGCTGGTGCGGCAGGTGTACGTTTACCAGAAGACTTGCCCATGAAATTCATCACGATTGATTCTCTCGACTCATGGTTCATGCCGTCAATGGGTCAGGACGCCATCAAGGGCAACTATTTGGAGTTCGAGAATATTGTCGGTGAGCCTATGAGGGAGGCGCAGAAGCTGGGTGTACCTTGTCCGACATTGACTACTGTGTATGGCTTGTTGAGGGGCATGCAAGCTAAGATCAAGGAGAGCAAAGGACTACTGGAGCCGAGGGTTGAGGACGCCAATAAATACCGTGGTTGAAGCCTTTGCCATGCTTGAGGGGCTTTACGATGACACGCAACATACTCAGATTCACGACTGGCCATTTTCAACAGGAAACAATTTTGACTCCGGAAGACTATCTCACTGTTCCTGAACTGATGAGTCGGGGTGGACCTCCATCAGAAGACCACAGCTGGTAGAAAGCGCTGACATAAGTCATGACAAAGTGACCCAGTGCTTAGCGACGTGAACGCACTGGGAAACAGCTTCAACGTTCTGCCTTGTCATCAAGTGCATGCTGCGGTGCTTCACATGGTGAGAACAGCTCGCAAAGGAGGACAGCAACCTTTGTTATTGACCTTGATCCAGGCCGCAATTGATGTGCTTATTGGCTGCGTCGCGGAGGAAGCTTTTCACTGAAACCTTGAACAGTATAGAATAACCAGTGACTGGACCATGGTTGCATCTCGAACGTATCATGTTTATCATTTGTTCTATCCATCGTCTACGATAAGGGTGCATATTATCTGCCTTACTGCGATATACATCCTGACCATTTTTGGGTTATCCAAATCTGCTCGTCTATTTCAGATTCACTCAATCCTTCACATCCTCTTTCGTCTTACTTGCTGACGCGCTGGTAGTCTGATCCTTGATGATGCGATACAACTTCTCGGCAGCATCGTCATATTCAATGTCAGCGGCCCCAGTCAACACATCCAGCAAGGGCATGATCTTCAAGGCAGCAGATCCGAAACTTTGCAGACATGTTACCATCTCACTGAGACGCTTCTCAGCATGATGATGAGTAGCTTCGGCTTCTTTTTCCTGAGCTTGTTGTGCCCTCCTGGTTTTGTCCTTCTCAGTCTTCAATTCCGCTTGCAGACTTCCAACCATCGCCGACGAGGCCTGCTCTTGTAGTACTAACCTCCCATTCTCCTTTGACAAGCGCTCGATCTCAGTCTGGCTATCTCTCAACCTTTGATAAAGTCCATTGACAGCTTCAAGTGCTTCAAATCCGGGGATAGGGTAGTTTGGCAGTTCAACGGACGTAGTTCTTTTGCGAGATGGCTTTGATAAGGTGGGAGTGGCGTCGTGATCTTCGACCATTGTGCTTGCAGTGCTGCTCATAGAACGTCCACGTTGGTTCTTAGATAGTGAAGGTTTGTCGCCTGCTTCGGAGCTGGACTCTATTGATTGCCTTGGCTGATCGTCTTGAGAAGGAGATTGTGGTGATTCAGGTATCTCGTAGGATTGAGCTTGCTTTGAAGCACTCCTTTTCGTGGTTCGTTTCTTTGGTGCTGTTGATACTGAACTGGCCCTTGCACTACGCGGCATATTGTAAAAGATGTGCAAATAGTGAATTGAATCAGTCAATGTGGAATGTATACAGAGTACACAGAACAGCCTTGCAAGATCGTTGGATTATGTTTGCGTGAGACGGAATATCAGAACAGACCAAGTGGTTCCAATCACTTGACTACGAGCGGCAGGCGCCTTGACTTGCAAAACATTGCTGAATTGAGGCAGGCACGATCAACGACCTGACCTGTTCGTAAGCATACTTTCCTTCATACACCAGCTTCCACATGCAGTTTATACTACTCACATTGATATAGAACTCTGCATTCGAAGTCTTCGAGCCGTTGTTTTGAAGTGTATGAAGGTTTCACTCACAACGGATGAGACTATTTGCACGCACAACTTCCACGATCTAGCGACGCATCAGAGAAAACATGCCCACGCATGTTGCTGGGGTTGAGTAAGAGGACGACACGAGCAGAACGACGACTTGTTCCGTCGTGTTGCTTCCTATCCGTTGTCAGAAGTCCTAGAGCTGAAGTAGCTCCTCATCGTAGTGCCTTGGCAATTGGGTAGCTGACTCTCCTCTTTGGTCTGTGTAACATACGTGTTCATCACCATCGCATCATCGCGCTCGCGCAACCCTGCTGCGGAGGAGACCAGGTATGGTCGCTCGGCTTCTGATCCATCGCGTCCTAGACACGTACATCCCTGTACATTCGAGTTTGTGGGGCATAGCTTCATTTCTTTGTTATCTAGCCTATTGTTTGTAATGACTGCGATATCAGCTGGTGGTGATCTGGCCGCCTAATTCTCCTTCAACATCGCCATTTCTGGCTGATGAAAGTGATGGGTAAAGTATCGATGCCAATGGGACCACTGTTCATCCAGAAGAGAGGCCAGAGACACGGCACGGAAAGTCACATAGTTGTGATACGAACCGCCATCATGACAACTCTATTATCCGAAGACCACAACAACTGTCGATTAACAGCATGGCATTCGTTTGTATCTCGGATTTCGAGCAACGATCTCACACTAATGCTGTGTAACCGTAATCCAGATTCAAAGCGCACCAATATTTAACTTTCAAGTTCAGCTGCGAGTCAAGCCTGGTTGTTAACAGCACTAGAACAACCATGCATGATTGGCACTAATGATCCTCATGACGATTTCAAAAGTACATCTCGTTCCTTCCAGCGAAGAGTACGGGGTCTGGAGTGCGAGAGTGAACCTACGAGCTTCTGCTGATCGTGTTACGCTAGCGACTGCTTTCAATATGCAGATCCTTCGCGTAAAGGGTGTTCGGGTCATGGAGCTCGAAGATCGAGCACCCTCAGTCTATCTCATTTCCAACCGTGACATTGTCATCCTCGCTACTCATAATCTTGATAGCAGCCAGCTAACTTCGCGCTCGACGTGAGCATATCTCTTAAGCTGGTCGTTTTTGACTGCAGAGCGACGATGGGAGCCTCTGAAAAGATTCGGAGTTGAGCGCCTTAACACGCAATTTCTTACAGTTTGAAGGCTGTGCAACCAATTAGGGTCTCGAGGCGTTCACGCTACGACTTAGCACCATGGCACGGTTTACTAGTAGAAACAGAAAGAGGGGAGGGGGAATTTGTAGACATTCGAGCTACAATCAGGCATCGAGGGACGAATACAATCAGATGCTTGCATGTAAGATGAGTTGCGAATGAAATTTTAGTAGTCTGAAAATTAAGCAGCTAGTTCACGTAGGACGCCGCTTCGAAGGATTGATGGTGCGAAAATTTGATTGGAACAACATTAAAGCGGAGCTTGCCTTGCCAGCGATATCTGAGCTTCGCCTATCGAACAGCTCGCACTACCCAGGATTATTGCACGGGGACCCCCTGAGCGCCTTATTTCGACTCTGTGCCTGGCAGGGCTGGTTCGATAGTCTAGAATAAATTCCAATCCGTTCATTCGTTCTTCATATGCTTGCATGGCTGGGCCTTGACGATAGGCCATGATAATATCGGCTATCTCGTTGCTTAGTGTACGAGTCGATATGGAATTGAAGACATACTTTCGATGCCGTGTGGATGGTAAAATCTATGTCCATGAGCTGAGGTGGGCTGATTGTAACGTGTGAAGTGGTGTACGGTCTTGGAGACTTTGCGTTGGTATACTGTCAGTGGCTTGCCTCCCTTCTTAGAGCTGTAGCGCAGGAATAGTTTTCATCAATGGGTCAGACAAAATTCAAGTACAACCTCGTGTCGTGCCTCAATTCCTCTGTAGGATCTCTTTTCTAGGTTACGTCTTCGGGATAATCACGTTCTCGTGTCTGTCGGCTCATCGGGGGTACCCGAGATAGATGTTTGTGTTCCGAGATATGAAAGAAGTTATTTATATGGCGAAGCTATGGATGCTCAATTCAGAATGTTGTTGAGGTCAGCAGACGACCTTGATCCAGGCGACGACCTGAGGGACTGGGATTTGATAGTTGGCCTCTCACCCTGCAGATGGGCAAATTGTTGTTCTGGCGATTCAGTCGCCTCGGATTTGATGTTCGGATCTATGGGCAACTGTTCATTTGTCTGCGTTGTGGTCGGTGTGCAGTCGTGACTGATATTGCTACTGTTCGATTCGTCGCTGAGTGATGTAGTCGAGCGCCGTGTCGACTGCCTAGGCTGCATTCTGAATCGATGTAGTTCTTCGTTGTCTCTCATCTGCCGTCAATCAGTACACGTGAAGCTCAGAGTATACTAGCGTCAGCTACCTCAGCTAAGCAAGCACCACATATTCTTGTCCGTACCGGCACACCACTTGAGAGAAAGATTAGCTTCGTCGACCAAAGTCAAAACGTTGGTACCATACCGCTCGTTTATATTTTCGGTAAGTGTAGGAAAGTCGAAGATTCTGTCACAGAATCTGCACCGTACTGGTCTTTCATACAACCCAGTTCCTTCCATGATGAGCGTCAGTTGATGGTTCGTGGAAGTAGTAGTTGTCTTCTCGAGAGAAGGTTGAGTCTTCTAAGATATACGAACTGCTCCGTCGGCCACGGTGAGCAGACGTTCCTTAGCTAGTTGGCGTATACTAGCGACAATACCTGGGTAGCGATGCTTCATGGATGAGGCGACTATGGGTCTTATTATGCACCACTTCAGGCAGCATATCCTGTAAATGCATGACGCCAGGACAAGAAAGAATTAACCGCAAAATTAACGGAGTTCATACGACCGTACATGAACTATTGCCCCTAGATCCAGGGTTGAAGCGCTCGAACAGCGCTACCTCCAATGACAGGATTGTCTAGGAACGATCTTGCACAGAGACGTTCGATCATCCGGAGAGTTCCAGGTAAGAGACGGGAGGGTGGCGAAGGGAAATGCCGTTGGGATTGTCATGTTTCGTTGCCAATACGACTTGAGATCGAATTGCTCTAGACTCGTCAATGCCCAGCTACTGTAAGCTGAACCTGTACGCGCCTATGGCTGGAACCTCACAGGCGTAGACAACATGACGAGGATCCATCGATGGGTCATCGTCAACATCACCCCACCCACAATTCGCATACTCTTCCTGTTCCGCCCGGCACTAGGACAGAAGAAGGTATGGGTGGCAAGTACTCGACTCAGGCCACTTGAGTACCATTATCCAACAAAACAACGGTTTTGTTTTTTTGATAACGTGGCGAGAAACGGCAGACCTTGACTGGACATGCTGATGTAGCTTGTCGCGCGGCTGGTTGATGTGACTTACGAGTTTGAGGTCTATTCACAATTGATTCCACTAAGCGTATAGTTTTGAAGAAGAATACGAAGTGACATTGGCAAACGGGACGGACATCTTTTCCTGCAGGTATGTCGTTTCTTCTGGGATCCGTGTAGATCATTTCCAGGACGACTACACCGCAAGCCATAACAACAAAGATACGATGCGGCGCGGATGCTATCCCATGCATGATGGCCGGAATCAACGTCAGACCGGGATGCTATTCCGTCTCCACAGCCAGCAGTTCAACTTGTGATGTCGGTATATTTCCCATGAGAAGGATACAGAGCGCGTGTTATGTTACTACTAAGTACACAGGCAGATCCCCGATGAAATAGTGCATTTTGCCTAGACGGGAAGGATCCGTAGTATGTGGACACACGACCTGGGAAGGGACGAGCCGTAGAGGAAGCATGATCCTATTCACGACTCAAATATTAGCGTTAATTTCGCTGTCGATTTCGTACCACTATTTTTACGAGAATCGCTCATCCGAACCAGTATTCTCCACGCGTTTCAAGCACATGATGGAACGGATTCGAATGGTCGGTCTTATGAGACCAAGTTCCATTGCCTGGAGGCTACCGCAAAGATGCACTTTAGAATTGGACATGTTTCTGCCATCAAGACCTCATCTAGCGTTCTGATCAGGAGGACTGCGGCCTTGGAATGTTACATCGTTGCGACTAGCGGTGTGCTGGTCTTGCCTGGTTATTGTGCTGGGATGTAACCTATCAAGGGAGACCACAGTGATCAAGATACATACCTAGTGCTGAATCCACAGGCACCATATCGTGACACGAACGTGGCTCATTGCTTCCCAGTAAGCTTGCCTGTCCCAGAGGTCGTAGCGATCTGGACACATATTCGAGCGACTCTCTGCGCAAGCTGCTGGCTGCCATCTGCTGTGGTCTTTCTGTCTGTCTCAGTGTGGAGGGAGCCACGGATCCAGGAGACTCAGGTGCCGAGAAACTGATCAAATCTAATACGTTTGTATGTCTCTTGTGGGTTGGATTAAGGAGTTGAACCGAAAACACATGTATGGCACGTATATCTGCGGCTCTGCTGTCTGCCAGACGGTATTTCTGTGAATATGCTGCCGAGGTCAGGGAGAAGCCTGAAAGATCGTAGCGAGGACAGCAATGTTCCTGAAGCTCTAAACGAACATCGACAAGTTCGTGAAGTGATATCATCAACGAACTTGAGACGTTCAAGGGCTGTTCGAAGCTTTGGAGAGAACTTTGAAAAAATCTTGGCGAGGCTACGTTTCTATTTTGAGAATCACCTATAGTGAACTAGTTGCGGGACGGCCCCGGTCACTGCCGACGGCCAGCGTTGTTGTTGCCTCGACGCGCCCATACTCTTACAATTGACATACACACTCGCAAAAGGTCTACGATAGTCTTCTGATGCGGCGACCTTTGGCTTGCCCTTAGGATATGAGCACAGCTTGAAAGGCCCTTGGTGTTGAAACGATCTGCTCGCCTGAGCTAGGCGTGCTCTGCTACAGCAATGTTACCACACCCATGTACCATTAGGCGAACTGACCCTGCGGCTCTGCTGAAGCACTGCCCGTTCCGTGCAAGTCATATTTAAAGCTGAGAGCCTCATCGTTCGTGTAGTTCTTCTTCGCTCGATATTTGCAATGCACGATGCAACACATCACCATGAGCTGTGCCCTCAACAAGCTGTCAAGCAGACAGGCAATTCGTATGGCTCGCAAACAGTCAGCGGTCATGCCCGCGCCGTGTTCGGGAACGTAATCGTCAACAACGTATACAGCGTGCCTAATGCAGCAGAGACGAACCTGCGAACAGCCGTACTCGAATGGCTCTCACCTCTGACCTTTCGACGCCTCCACGAAGAGATCAGGGACAAAGCTATACAGAAAGATGACTCCAACCAGGCACGAACAAGTGGAGAGTATTCGGGTAGATGGCTGCTCGAATCTGACACGCTTGATGACTGGAGATCGAGGAGAATACGGAAGTTATGGATACACGGCATGCCTGGTGCAGGCAAGAGTGTCCTCGCCTCGATCATTATCGATCATCTCCTCAGTATATCTCAGGCCTTACCTAAAGAGAGTTCTTTCAAGGTCGCGTTTCTCTATCTAAGCTACAAGGAGCAGCACTCTTTAGTACACCTCCTGGGTAGTATCATTCGACAGGCTGTCCAAGATGACGAGAAATTGCCTGATCCAGTCCTGGAGGCATTTAAGCGTTCAAGGAACCGTGGCGACGAACCTCCTACACAGAAAGACCTGTCGATAATGCTTGCTGATCTTGTCCAGCTGAAACCTCTTTATATCGTGATCGACGGACTGGACGAGTGTCACCGTGAGACTAGAGCATCTCTGGTCAAGCTGCTGCAGCCTCATGGTTTTCAGGACTTGAAGCTCAATCTTCTCATCAGCTCACGACTTTTAGACGAGTTTGAAACATTGGCACGTGGTTTCGAGCGCGTGAACATACGAGCTGACTCTCGAGATATCGACATCTTTATTGACCGTATGTTTAGCGAAAATGCCTACCTGGAAGACTTCCGCCAGCAAGATCCAACATTATTGGACGATGTCAAAGTGGCTGTCCGTTCAAGATGTGATGGAATGTAGGTTGATCTCTTCCACTCAGCATGCAATCATCGTGGCTAATCTTCTTGTATAGGTTCCTCCTCGCCACGATCCACGTCAATTTACTCGCCTCAAAACTAACCTTGGCAGAACATGAGACAATGTCTGCGTCAACTGCCAACCGATATCAATTCAACCTACAAGCTTGCCGTCGAACGTATACTTTCTCAGCAGGAAGAAAAGAAGAAGCTAGCACTGGACATATTCGCCTGGATTCTACATTCAGGTACCATGACCTTACCAGAACTTCAGCACGCCCTGTCGGTCAATCCAACTACTCGAGCTTTCGATCCGGAATATCTGCACCAAGAGACCAGAATCCGAGATGTTTGTGGAGGGCTTGTCACTGTCACCAAACTTGATGTTCGCTTTGTACACTATACTGCACAGACATATTTCTCCCAACATATGGAAGAACTTTCGGTGAACGTGCATGCATGGATTGTGGAAGTTTGTGTGAACTACCTCTCCATGCCGGCACTTGAGCAACCCGATGATCGTGAGGAAAAGGTTTCTTTTGCCGATGACCTCTGGGAGGATCCTCAAGGCTCGCTGAATACTCTTCAAATTCACAAGAGATACGGCAGCAAGGGTTCTCCTGGTCGAAACTCGAGATCAAGAACACCATCGCCAGCAGCTCAGAAGCAATCTTCACGGCTCAATTTCACCACAAAGCTCGAGCGCTTTCCTTTTGCAAGATTTGCAGCACGTAACCTTGGCTATCATCTGCGTAAAGTCGTAGATGCAGACTCGCAAGCTCGACTGATTCAGCTTCTCAAGGATTTGACTCGGGCTCGAGCAAAGAGAAACTTCTTGTGCAGGCTCTGGTGGACAATGAGTCTCTACTATGCAAAGCGAGAACAAAAGATTACCGACCCAGAACTTTATTCCAGTTTGGACAAGTCGGATCTACAAGGCGATCCTCCAACAGCCGTGACTTCCGGTGGGTCATCTGGCTCCACACCAAATAGGGAGATAACAGCACTGCATGTCGCCGGCTATATTGGCTGGCTTCCTCTGGTGGAAGTGCTGATTAGTGAAGGTTGCGAACTCGACCCTGTTGACTTCGATGGACGCACACCATTCATTGTTGCAGTACAGGAGGGACATTACAATGTAGTGGGAGCACTACTGGAGGCGGGCGCAAGCCTAAACCTTACAAGACCTGCTGGTCAAGATATCATGCTACAAGCCGCACAAGAAGGACATCTTGACGTTGTCACTATGACGCTGGCTCAAGTCCTGAAACGGTACGAGGCGCAATCCATCACATCTGCGCCGGCACATCTTCGCAAGGAGGAAAACTACCTCGACTTTCTAATTCAATTGCTTCTCCAGCTTGTGTGGCTTATACTGAGTGCGCGCACAAAATCATCGAACACTAACAACGATGTTCCAGCTCAAGTGCTAGAGCCAATGTCGAAAGACATCAAAAAGGCCATTCTAGCCCTTTGCGATAGCAACCTCCGGCTTCTGGCTGCTGCAGGGCTTGGGGAGGCTGACATAGTCCAGGAACTTCTCTCCAGGGAATACATCAGCGACGTCGAGCCATACAGTCTTCACACAGTGAAGATGGCATTATTTCTAGCGGTCGAGTCCGGATTTGCCACGGCGGCAGAAGCTATCCTTGCGAACGGAACGGACGTCAATGATACTGACTCACGTGGTAATACAGTATTGCATAGAGCAGCGCTGCGCAATGACCTGGCGATGATTGAGATGTTACTTACCTATAATCCGGATGTCAATTACAAGGACAGTAAGGGTCGTACCGCGTGGTCACTCATTAATGAAGGCCAAGCAACAGAAACATTTGTTGACAGAAGAAAAGGTGAGTGTAACGACCCGTCAACTCTAGCAGAACAATACCCTAACTTATTCTAGTCCTCGATGCATTAATCGAAGCCGGAGCAGATCCTAACATGCGCGATCGCCAGGGTGTATCCGTATTGTATGGAGCGGCTGCAGGTGGGCATATTGAAGTCGCGCGTTACTTGCTTGAAGTGGGTGTTGACCCTGGATCTCAGACTATCTATGGTTGGGCACCTCTTCACTGGGCTGCAGCAGATGGTCACCTGGAAGTTGTTCGGCTGCTTGTCGAGGCAGGTGCCAATCTCAACCCTTTATCAGACACATCGAAAACGCCCCTTGATCTTGCCAGATCCTGGAAGGAGAATCCAAACCGTGATCTTACTGTCAAATTATTGGTCGAGGCAGGTGCACAATCTGCACAAGAAGTTTTGGCTTCTCGTGCCACCCGGAAACTTGGCAAATCTCCACTCACGTCTGCTGAGGATGACAGCGAGCATGATCTTGATGACGACCGATCTAATGTCTCGTCTCACGAAGTTGGCAATAGGACCTTGGATAATATGTGGCAACACATCGAGGGTATCACGGGTGACAGTGACGATGGAGATGGAAGTGAATCAGAACACAACTCGGACGAAGAAACCAACGACGAGGAGCAAGCTCTTATCGTTTGACTGTAATATACAGCACGGAAACGTAATTTCACTCTTCTCCCGCACGCATTCCCTTGTGTATAGCTATCTGTGGCTGGACCTCAACGTGTTCGGTTTGAGTTGGACGCGTCGCGTACTCCGTCAGCACGTGACAGAATTTGTTAGCGATGGTGAGTTTTGTGCTGCATCGGCATCGTTCAAGCTCGCGAGAGAACGTCTATCAAGTCTTCCTCTATGCTTCTTGCACCTGAGCTCGCAATACAGTTGTATCTCTGGCGCCTTCCAGTCCTGCTTCGCTAAATGTGACCAGCTAGATCCCCAGTGCTGCGACGACGCATCTGACATGTCTCAGCGCGGTCTGCCATGAATCAGACAAGCCACTCCTTGTGACATGGCGCTGTTCTTCTGACGTCCTTGAATGACAATAAATATACAGAAGAATGCTCGCGACACTGCCTGCAAGGTCCTTTGTCCCAAGTCCAATAAGCGATCACAAAGAAAGTCTTCTTGAACATGCTTTCAAACACGTCTACTCATTCTGTTCTTAGGCGCTGATGTGTGGTTACTAACGATACCTTTAATCCTGTTCCAGCAATCTAGCACACCTTAGCCTTAATACAGAAGAGAATTTTTTTCACTTCAGCAACACACGAACGTGCGACATATGCCTCCTTCCTCATTAGCTCCCCACGAAAGACGAGAGCGATGGATGACAGCGATAGCAGGCTCTTTCCACCAGGCGACGATTTGGCGAGCTACACGAGACCAAAGATTGGAGATTGAGGAACTGGTAGTTGCGCTATCACATCGAATTCCTACCTTTCTTGCGAAAATCGAAGATCTGCTGCAAGCGCACCGGACAAGGGTATTCTGCCATCAAGTCACAGAGGCACTTGATGTAGTCCGGAAGGGATATCGTGCGGTCATGAAATGGCTCGAGCAGGGCAGTTGGACAATAGCCGAAGAGCAGGAAAAGAAAGAGTTGCATATCAAGCACCTGATCATCTTCAACCACTACCGTAAGGTCTTTGGAGAGTGCTTCTCGAGGTTCAGAAAGTTAGCACGGTACTTTAAGGAAGTACTCAAGGCTGAGCCACGAAAAAGGGTGCGGAGGAGACGATCATGCTCTGATTTGGAGGATACACGTTCGGCAGGCACTGAGCAGAGGCTGGTGTATGAGGTTATGTTGAGGGATGTGGCTAAAGTGCTGGAGAAGTCTCTGGTGGATGGTCTGTCGAAGACACACGAACAATACAACAGCAGTCAGCTTTTCTGTGAGTATGTTGCGAACGTCCAAGACAGGAATGAGAAGGAGGAAAAGCTGTGGAAGAGGGAAGGAAAGAGATATCCATATCCGGACTACAAACTGAAAGACCCAACCCAGAAGAAAGTTTCCTTTTGGTTTTGCAGCAGCAAAGTTCAGGAAGTACCGCCTTGGAGTGAGGACGAAGAGCTACAGAAGTGGTTTCCTTGAATTTGAGCCGACAAGAGAATATGATGTGGTGCGAAGCGCTCAATTGAATTCATTGCGACAACTAGAACCACAATTTGATCAGCTCTTCAGCTACTCCTTCAGCAGTCATCACTCCGTTCTCGGTGATTAGACCTCCTATCAACGAAGGCGGTGTAATATCAACCATGCCATCTCCTCTTCCTTGATTCTCTGCGTCAACCTGCAATTCCATCTTCTCGCCGTCAAGGTCGTTTCTGAACTTCAGCACCTGCTGCTTGGCACCCATAGCCTGGAGATCAGCATCACCAAACGAGGTTGGAAATTGTCGTGTGAACTTGTATGATTCTGCTGCGAAATAGCATGGTATTGCTGAAGTTTTAGCAACCGATGCCACGAGACGAGAACCTATATTTGAGACAGCCGCACCATTTTCAAGGACGGCTTCTGCACCTAACAGGAAAAGCACATTGCTAGTATTGTTCCTGTCCAGTGAGTCGATGGCATGTGACAAGGCTGGTAACGGGATCGTCGCGACAGGTATGCCCAGCGACAACAGACGCTTCAAGCTCTGATGTATTGGGTCTGAAGTTAGTGAGGAGATGAAAACGACGTTAAAGTACCGTCTGCTTTCTGCGGCATGATCGAGAACTGCGTCGATCACTCTGCTCGAGCCATAAACGAAGATGGTACTTTGATCCCGTATGAAGGGCAAAGCGTGCTTGGCGATTTTGGATCTGGCTGATTTGGTCCGGCTGACGAAGAGTTTGCTGTTTGCGATGAGCTGGCGACGTAGTTGGCTGAAGTCGTGTCCGGATAGTTGTGTGGGCTGTTGCTGTACGACTGTGATTATGTAGCGCTGTAGAAGCTCGGTGCCAGCGCTGAGAGGGATAGGGTTTGACTGGGAGGCAAGAAGAGTGTTGCTTTGTGTTTTGAGGAGGGCGAGAGTTTCGGAGATTGTGGTTAGGGAAGACGCGGATAGACTTGCGATTAGGGATTCGATTGCTGCAATCGCTGGTGTGATAGATGGGTCGGAGGATATGAAGCGCGTGTAGTGAGCGACTATATCAAAACTTGGAGCGTTGTTCTCTTCTATAGGTGGCGTCGCAAGACCTGTGATGGCGGTATTTATTAGCAGGTTCCTGAAAATGGTTGCGCTCGTCCATCTGATAATCAGTAGGTCTTGTGGAACTTTTGTAGCCCTTCGCAATAATGGTCCTGATCATGGACACGGTTCGTCTTGGCAGTATCGCCCAGGCCTGCAGGAGTAAAGCAATTTTATGTACTGGTACTCAACACGTTTGAGTACGCTTCAACCCAGCTCATCCTCGCAGCCGCATACAGAACAGGATCTTCACTTACCAGTTCGAGAACTTGCAGCCATTTTTCAGTGCTCAATGTGTAAGATAATGGTCAAAAGACGAGCGTCCAAGAACATCGATATATAGTCATACCCTGCTTGCATATCTAGGCTTACAGATTCTGGCTGATTCAACCGCTGTATCAGCATGCTATACCGGCAGCTCTTCGGCTTGGAATTTATCCTCGACGTTTGAATTCATGCTCGTTCGCGATTGGTGTCGTCGCAAGAAGCGCCCCACATACCTTTACAGTAAAACCACAACAAACACTTCGAGTTGTGACGAGTAAGACTTCCTAGGCCGATACCTCATTCTTGCTTATATCTGCTATGATCCGAGCAGCAAAGATCAACATAGGGTGAAGCAAGATGAATTCACACTATAGAACATCCCAGCAGGTTGGGAAGAAGAAAAAGGAAGAGGATCCAGATGCGTTTATGCGACTGGTAAGTATCGCATGCTCTGTAGCTGAGTGATCTTGCTGACTTATATGTTGCAAAGTCAGATCAAGAAATAGCAGGATGTATCAGTGACATAGGTGTACCCTTCTCCGAGAACGACCTCAAGACTCCCAAACCACAACAGATTCAGATGGTATTCGAGCATCTGGGCGACATTCTCATGAACGCGACTCGAGATTCGATAGTACCAGCCATGAATGCGGCTCACGAGGACATCTGCAGTGACTACCCCGATTTGATACCAGTGGACATCAGGCTTATGATGGGGTTCTTCGTCAGTCTTCGACGTATGCTCATAGAATGTGGTGTCCACGACTTTTCCATGAACGACCTCGTTCGTCCTACCTACGAGCGATTAGGGAAGATATTCTCTTACGTGATAAACTTCATACGGTTTCGAGAGGGACAGACTGAGGCGATCGATGCCAATTACAACAAGGCGGAAGAGACCAAGAACAGGATAGAAACACTGTACAACGAAAACGATGAGATGCAACAGCGGCTCGAGGACATGAGGCGCAACAGGAAAGCCATGGAAGCTGCAGTCAAGGAGAAAGTTAGAAGAAATGACGCGTTGAAAGAGAGGCTACTTGAGCTGAGGAAAGGACAAGAAAGGATAGCAGAACAGCTGGAGCGATCGAAAGCGGAGAAAAATCGTGCACAGCAATTGCTTGAAGACAAAACAGAAAGGTTGGTTAGATGCCGACAAGAGAGTGAAAAGTTAAGGCCATACGTCCTGCAAAGTCCAGCCGCGTTGCAAAGTGCCCTCACAGACCTGTCACAGGGTCTAGCTCGAGAAAAGGCTCAGATAGAAATGCTCGAGCGCAGGAGTAGAGCATTACAAACATCATCCGACACCTTTGGAGTGGTACAGAACGATGTACAGTCATGCATCAAAGTCCTTGAAGAAATTGCAGTCGAGCTGCAGAAGGAAGAGGAAGAAGACGCCAAAGCGGCCAAGAACAAAGACGATCTAAACGAGCGAGGTGCCTCAGTCCGAGAAGTCGAGCAAAACGAGCAACTTCTGCTGAAACAATTGGAAAAGTGGGAGAGCAGAATAGAGACGTTGAGAAAACAACAGAAAGAGAGAGAGGAACAAAACAAGACGAAGATGGAGGAGTTGTGGGAACAGCAACGACAGCTTCGCGAAGAACGAGAGATAAAGAGTCGAGATATGGATAGGCGCAAAGCACGTATTGACCAGACCGAGAAGAAGGTGAGTTCCTCAACTTGTGCGTGCTGCTTGTGAAGCGTCACTAACATCGACACTAGATGGCAGAGCTGAAAGAAGCTATCGAAAAAGAGGTCAAAGATGCCCATGAACAGTACCTCAAGCTCGAATCACACATCAGGCTCTACATTACCGAGATGGAGCAGAGCATTGCCTGATTCGAATTGAGCCATGTGAAACGACTTGACGAGGAAGGAGTTTTGGTTTGCTGTATTTTTGTGATACCCATTGTGAGTTTGGAAGCTGGAATTGCATATTGGATGTGTATAGCGTATCGTTGTTTCCCATATTTGAAATTTTTTACTGAGAACCGACGAAGTCGAACCATCTCTCCGCAAACGTCCTAATTCTTGTTCTTCGAGTCGCCCAACCCTGTCCCGCTTCACCTATTTTTACCGAACCACTCAGTAGAGGTACCTCTGTCTCCCACAGCAACGGACCTCTATGTGGATTCGTCAAGTCGGAGTAATCCATGCACTCGAGGATCTCGAACTCAGTTTGTAGGCTATGTTGTGCCGAAGCAACCATGGCAAATGACCGAGACAGGCCTTGTATGGTGAACTCTGATGTCCCTTGGTGTAGTGCCAGCATATCGAGAATGATGATTTTTGAGAAACTACCACTGACAATGTCTTCCCGAAGAGGCAAAGTCGGTGTGAGCGCTCGAAATGTTGGGATACTTGGGCAGAATATCAATTTAGTTGTCGTCGATACTGCAAGTAGACCGAGTGTGGGCTCGGTGAGCGAGATAGAGGATATATCCGGGACTTCATCGTCTTGCTCTCGGCTAGCCGCGTTGGCCCTTCTCGCAGAGTCGTAAAGTTTCAGCTGCTCAAGAAACCACGACCGTCGACAGCATGCGACCAAGACCACATGACCTTGGCTTTCAGAACATAAGTCTTCGACGAACTCAGGTATCGTCGTTATTGTCTCTTTGACCACTGACATCACATTGTATTGAACTGCTGGCTGTCCTATATACACCTGTTCAGTTCCTGTACTGTATTCAATGACTTCATAAAGAATTTAATCAGCTTTCGAGTATCTGGTGTTGAAATATGCTATCTATGAACAGATACATTGCTGGTCTCTGTGAGATCCAAATTAGCCATGCGTTTGAGAACTAGTCATCTTACTTGTGGTTTTTGTCGATCGTGCGACTTCTCGAGGTTGGCGAGCAGGAGACTTGTCTCGGCGGAACGCCAAGACTTAACTCGCGTCTACCTCCTTCCTTCACGGGAGTAGTACTGACTTGTCATCAAATCGAGAGTAGGCATGTTTCTATAGAAGCCATTCTCTAGATAGACAAGCATGGAATCAGTCTCGAAGATTTCGACTCTGGTCGATCCTGGTACGTGCTTCACAGAGGTCGAGGATACAACTAACCCGTCCAGCTCGAGACCTGACAGTCGAAGCTGCTCAGGCTGTCGGAGCCAAATTGAAGAATGGCTCCTCCTCTCGAAACATACCCTTCGTCAAGATGAAGGCATTACTTGACAGTCGGAGTGATCGAGATATTATCGATGGCTTGAAACGAGTTATTAGTATGATCTACCAGAACAAACCGTGCCTACCTTATTTCTCCTCTGTTGTCAAAAACGTTGCCAACCCGAATCTCGAAGTCAAGAAGCTTGTTTACGTCTACCTCCTCCATTATGCAGAGTCTGATCCAGATCTTGCATTGTTGTCAGTCAATGCCATTCAGAAGAGTCTGAGTGATCAGAATCCACAGGTCCGCGCCATGGCTCTACGGACGATGGCTGGTATGCGGATACCTGTAATCAGCCAGATTGTCTCATTAGCTATCAAACGAGGAGTAACAGATCTCAGTCCACTTGTCCGGAAGGCTGCTGCCTTGGCGATACCGAAGTGTTACGCTCTCGATCCCAATACTCTACCTCTGCTTATAGACAACCTCTCCGTTCTACTTTCAGACAAGCAGTACTACGTGGTTGGTCCTGCTGCTCAGACATTCCTTCAGCTTTGTCCGGACCGTATAGATCTTCTTCACAAACACTATCGAGGACTGGTGAAGAAGGTAGTGGACATGGACGAGTGGGGACAACTGGCTACGTTACATCTACTCCTGACCTATTCACGTAAATGCTTTCCTCGTCGCAGACAGAAGTTCACCAAGGTAAACAAGAAGGGCTTCTATGAGGATGAGAATGACGAGGTCGAGGAGACTGAAGAAGATTCAGTACTCATTGATTCAGACCTCAATCTTCTTCTGAAAGCATGCCAGATCCTGTTGCAAAACCGCAACCCGGCCATAGTTGTTGCCGCGGCTAGCTGCTTACTATATCTTGGGACGGAAGAACATATCAAAACAACGATAGGTCCTCTCATAGCACTGCTCAGAACCTCAACCGAAGTACAACAGGTAGTATTACCTAATATTGTGCTGATAGCATTGAAGCATGCTCAGCTCTTCGTACCTTACACAACTCACTTTGTGATCAGCGATAGAGACCCGAGCGAAGTGTGGCGACTGAAAATGGAGATGCTGACTCTGATATTTCCTCATGCCAACTCTCACCTCAAAGAGTTGATTCTCAACGAATTTGACAATTTTTCACGAGGCTCGAATGTCGAACAAACACAAGAAGCAGTCCGGGCGATAGGCCGGTGTGCTCAACACGACTCACGGTCATCATCACGATGTTACAAAGTCTTGCTTGCTCAGATGACGAGTTTTGACAACGTCCTTGTGTCGGAAGTACTTACAGTTATGCGCCATCTCATACAGCAGGATCCACAGGCACACCGAAAGACGATCATAAGACTCTCTCGTAACCTCGATCGAACCACCAGTCCAGAAGCTCGAGCGACAATCATTTGGCTTGTTGGTGAATTTACTGGCGTGGATCCCGATAACAACATCGCGCCTGACGTCCTCCGAATACTCGCCAAAGGCTTTGCCGACGAAAGTGTGGAAGCCAAGCAGCAAATCGTGCTCCTAGCCGCGAAAGTTTACCTACAATATCTACAAGCACAGCAACGATTGTCTGAGAACCAGCACGCCGAAAATGGCACAGAGATTAATGATGTTGAAAACACCACCAAACAACTTGATTCCAACGATGTGATACCTAAAATCTGGACCTATCTCCTCACACTGGTCCGATACGACACATCCTACGACCTCCGGGACCGTATGAGACTCTTTCGAGCTCTCCTGGCAGACCCCTCATCAACCCAGCTCGCGTCCTTACTCATCCTAGCACCCAAACCAGTACCTCACACACCCTCACCGTCAGCTCATCGACAGGATCTGGCGCTCGGCTCAAGCACACTAGCCCTTGGTAGGAACATCGCTGGAATCAACGGCTTACCTGGATATGCTGGCCTCCCAGACTGGGTTGAAGAAGGGCACGAGCCAGATCCTAAGTTGAGAGACGAAGCGGATGGGTCAAAGGAAGAGTATGTGAGTCAAGCGAGTAAAGTCAGCACGGTCGCTGCCAGTCAGCGCATTGACGAGGCTATTAAAGAGCAGGGTCTTGAGAAGGTCGTGAAAGGATCAGGGAAGAGCAAGACTTTGGATGATTGGTTGGAGGAAAGTGAGGATGAAGAGGAGGAGACAGAGACTGAAGAAGAGGAGGATACAAGTAGTGGCGAAGAAGCCTCCGAGAGCGAGGAGGATGAGAGCGAAAGCGAAGATCCACAGCAACGTCTGATGCCTAGTTGATATGTATAGGGCAAATATACATTCTTATCTCTCACAAAGGCGGCAACCCCTCCCTACAAACAGGACACACCAGCCTCATAGTCATCCACCCATCCAAACACTCACTATGAAAAATATGCCGACAGGGCGTAACCATGTAATTCCTCTGCTCCAGCCAACTCCTCCCACCTGCACCTCCCTGCCTCTTCTCATCCTTAGATACGACAGGCACATCAATCTCATTCATACAAATCGCACAATCAAAGAGCTTCCGCGCCCCTGCTGCTAATACCACACCGTCCTTACGATCAGCATCCTTCCCCTCCGAAGCAGACGTAATCTCACCAATCGGCAACCCCCCAGCCTCCAAATCATCATACAAAACAGGATGATAATCATACGCAGCCGGACACCAACTATCCGGCACAAAAATCCTCGGACCAGAAAACTGCTGTACCGCCAACACCACGATCTGCACGACCAGCCAACTACCTAGAACCAACGCCGTTGTCGGATTCGTAGTCGCATACAGAACGTTCCGATCGTCAAGGAACCAGTAGAGGATCGGGACAGCGCGGAGGACGCTGCTGCCCAGGACGTATTCCCAGGTCAGGGCCTTGCGACAATTGCGCATTGTGTTGCGGTAGATTTGGGGGAGCCAGAGGGAGAAGAAGGCGAAGACGAGGAGCGAGTGGTAGATGTGGCGGGGGGTGGGGGACCAGGAAGAGGACCAGAGGGTGAAGAACATGAGGTTGAGGAGGGCGAAGTAGAATTTTGAGTAGAGGGAGATGAAGGTTGTGCGTGGGGGGACAATGTCGTTTGTGGTGGTTATTGTTGGGTCGGTTGGGAGGTTGATGATGGTGGGTGGTGGGGTTGGTGAGGTTCGTGCTGTGGCGGGGAGGGGGAGACCGGCTTCGCTGAGCGGTGGTGGTGGCGCAGGTGGATTGTTGTTCTCAGTCTGTGTATTGCTCGGTGGTTGAGCATTCGCAGTCTCTGTCGTTGTGCTGTTGGCAGTAGGAGGAGTATTTGAGTTCGCTGCAGCAGTCCTTCGTTGTCGTTCTCTTTCTGCATTGGCGGGGTCACCCACCTGGACAGTCCAGATGTCGAAGATGAATTTTACCTCCAGGAATGCTACATGGATGCAGCATAAAAAAGCAGCCACCCCACCGAGTAAGAAGACCGAAGTATCGACCGCCAGGAGGCCAATGAGAGCGAAGAAAGTGAGGCCGTCGCTGAAAGCAGATATGACAAAAGTGTGATATGATACCCTGCTCCTTGTGGAGGGTGTGGCACACCTCTCCATCTGCCTCTTCAGCAGGACAATCTGAGCCACAAGAATCAGGGCGAAAGCTGCAGTCAAGTGACGAACCAAATCTGAATATGATTCTGCTTTAGGACCAAAGACCGTATCTGCGCGTAAGATGTAGCCACAATCGGGAGAGAAAACCAGAGCTGTGAATGCCATAGGTGGTGGCTGGCCTATAGGAGCACCATCAGGGTTCCTTAACTCCTCTTCGATCTCCTCGATGTAGACATTGCTACCGAGGAGCGGCTTCTGGTGCATCCATACAATCAGCTCGCATTTTGGGGCGGCCTCGAGTGAAGGGTCAGCTGCAGCACCTTGACCGATGGTGTTCCATATATTGGTTAGAGAGGTGTTCATAATTATCCTGGAACGATCAAATTCTTCCTGATTCAGAGTAAGATGAGGTAGAGCAGGTAACGCGTTCCATTTTCTGCTTGAGGTGGTAAGAACGATAGCACCTGAAGGAAAATGGACGCCTGCCAAACGAGCATCCCAACCATTCCCTGGCGAAGAGTCGGAGAAGATGGATATGCTAGCCTTTACTTCTCGTGGTAGATATCTGGATGGTGTGCCTTTTTCTTTGAGCTCGATGGTCAGCTGACCATTCTGGTCTGTCACATTACGATCGAAGCGTGGGTGGAAGAATTCAGTGCCTGGATCCAACTCGGTCAAATTTAGCGATCGTTGAGGATCCTTCTGTACCTCAACAAAGCGAAAGTCACCTCGTACTTCGCCATTAATATCGTGGTAGACAGGGGCGAGTCTGTCAAAGCCATACCAGCTGTCGACCTGTTGTTGCCTAGTTAGATCTTGTGCAACAGGTAGCAATTGCAACTGATAGCCATCCTCGAGCCGTAAGCCAGTCAAGTTGAGACCCTTAGATGGTAATTCGCCATACTTGGAATGTGTAAGGGCATCGAAGTCCTGTTCCTTTTCAACAGCGAGCCGATCTCTGTCATCTTGTGTGGAGTAATGAACGCTGGTTTGATCAGGTGAGAAGAAGATGAACAGCAACAGAATCAGAAGTAGTGTAAACCGCGGACTCTCCATACATCACTCTTGCACAGCGATGATGTATCGTCGACGGAGTTCGAAGCAAGTGAGGGTAGATACGAAATGGAGAAAAGGATGACGGCGACATGGTTGTTATTGTCGTGGCGGCTCGAGGCTAGAGAACAGCACCAATCATATCACTGTATTTCCGGAGAGCAGCATGTTGGCCATATTCCGCATATTCAGGGGAACGCAGTTGACGAAGAGTACTTGGTCTGATCGACCCCTCCACAATACTACATTCTTTGTATCACTACTGTTGATTCTACTGACAATTCACATTCTCTTGCATCACCTCAACAGCTACTCTGCTGGACAGAGTTTACCTTCCCTCTTTCACCATGACCCAGATCGCTCCTCCCAATATTGTCCTCGCACCACGAACGCCAACACCACCTCCACCACCTCCAGTCGATAGCCAGACTCCCTCAGTACCGCAGCAAGATGCGTCTACGCACGGACGAAGCCAGAGTCATGGTCTCGGCATCGGAACCTCTCCACATTCTTCAGCCTCACCTCGACATTCCGCATCTCAATCATCCCTGTCTGCGTCGTATGAACGTGGACCACCATCTCCTATCAAGATGCTATCTCCTGAAAGCGCAGTTATAGACGCCGAAGAACCTCTACCAACTGCGTCGACAGCATATTTCAGTCCCTCCTTGTCAGGCGATAGTAATGGTGGTGCCGCTCCGTTCAACTTCCAGCCAATGTCAATGGCAAAGAGCCCAGTCATCAAATCTAATATCTCTGCTCGACGTGGGCACAAGTACAAGCATTCAGCCTCCCACCATTCCATGTCCAACTTTCAATTCCAAGAAACACCCGCCAGACCTGCTTTATCTCTACCAGCATCCCTGCCCATACCTACCTGGAACGAATGTCGCGCCAGTATGACTGGTGATCAGAAAATTCGTCTCTACTGGTCAGTCGCTCACATGGCCGTGGCAGGTTATGTGATATGGAACAAACATTCGTCAGCAGCCATGGAAGCTCTGTCACATCTGATAATGTACGATGGAATTGGGGCCATGCTCTGTGTCTTCGTCGAAGTCTGGCACAACTTTGAAGTCTGGGGCCGATCATCTATCCGCCACCCATTCGGTCTACAAAGGATGGAAGTCATAGCAGGCTTTGCACTCTCCGTCCTGTTGATCTTCTTCGGCTTCGACCTGATCTCTCACAACGCTAAGCACGCTCTAGAGGGACTGGGCAGCCACGAGCCTCACCGCTCACATTCTCACCACGACCGCGTCGGTGCCGGCACTGTCGATTTCACCGTCCTCCTCGCTCTAGTCTCAACACTTATATCAGCCGTCGGCCTCAAAAACCACGCCAGAATTGGTAAAGCAATGCGCTTCACAGCCATGGAGAAATTACCAACAGCGCTGCCTCTACACGGTATCCTCAGCAATCCTTCTCACTTTCTCACCCTCTCCTGCTCCACTACCATGCTCCTCCTCCCACTCCTCGAACTCCACACCTACGAGATGATCGATAAACTGCTCAGCCTAAGTATTGCTTTCGCCATGCTCTTTCTCGGCATGCACCTCGGCAAGACCGTCGGCGGCATGCTGCTGCTCTCTTATCCTGGCCCGGGCGTGAACGAAGTCCTCAAAGACATTGAGCAGGATCCACTGGTTCGCAAAGTCGACACAGCCAAGTTCTGGCAGGCGCATTATGGCGTGGGGATCGCGAATCTGAAGTTACGTGTTGGTAGTGTTGCGAGCGAGGAGGGGGCACTTGTTCGGCTGAGGGAGAGGATTGTGGGTTTGATAAGGAATAGGCTTAGTGGTGGGTATGGTGGTGGGAATGGGACGGGGCAGAAGTGGGAGGTTAGTGTAGAGTTTGAGGTGGATGATTCGGTGGGTAGTTATGGACATGCTGGGCACCATCATCACCATTATCACCATGTAACTGCTATACATTGAAGTTAACGAACGTACACGATTGATGCTTTGATCTGTAACAGCTTGAACACATTTCTAGACTCCTATCCTGCAATCTATGTAAGCCAGCCTGAACGCCCCCACTATTTCACTTTCGCAACACCACTGCCACTCACAACAGCCGTACCATTACCCATCGTGGACTCTTTCGCGGGCCCCGTCCTCGACGCCGTCCCACCAGCACCAGCAGTAGTCGCCGTCCCCGTCCCCGTCCCCACCACCCCCTTCTCCTTCAACTTCTCCCTCCCCGTCCACCCAGCCCCATGCGCCTGCGCCTCGGGCCTACTATTCAAACTCCCCAACTCAAACCCAACAGCCTTCACAATCCCCAACCCCTTCGTCCTCCCCTCCCGAAACAATATCCTATCGCCCACAGCCAAATATTCCGGTCTCTGCACAAATCTGAACGCCACGGTCGCCCGATCGCCCGTCCGTATAAACTCCCGATCAATCTCGATGATCGCGCACGTCTGGCTTACGGGACCAACATGCAGCATGGCCTGGTATTTTGGCCTGATGGTGGTCGCGTGAGAGAGGATGAGGACCTCCGCGACGAACTCCCTGTAGACTTTTGGCAGGGAGAGGGCGTCGAGTTTGGGGAGGACGACCATGCCTTTCCGGACTTCTTTGCGTCGTATGCGTTTTAGTGCGAAGCTGGCGGATTGCCCGGCTGAGGCGAAGGGCACGGAGATTCGTTTACGTTCTATGGAGCGGATGTTTGTTGTTTGAAATTGGCCTAGGGAGTCGGGGCCGACGAGGACGGTGTCGCCGGTGTGGATGACGCCGGATTTTACGACGCCTGAGACGACGGTGCCGACGAAGGGCACGGAGAAGGTATCGTTGATGTGGAATTCGAAGGGGGCTTCGGCGTCGTAGTGGCCGTGGTGGGGGAGGATGTTGAGGAAGGTGCGGACTAGGTCGAGGTGTTCGCCTGTGACGTTGGAGACTTGGAAGATAGGGCAGATGCGTTGGGAGACGAATTGGGTGGCGGTTTGCACGGTTTCTTCGTGGGTTTTGATGAAGATGGGGATTTTGCGGGCGCCGGGAGATTTGAGGATTCGGGTTAGTTGGGTGATTGTTTGTTCGAGGATGTGAGGGGGGCAGATGTCGATTTTGGTGATGACGACCATAACGGGGACGTTAAGTGCGAGGGCGATGCCGAGATGTTCCTTGGACATACCGATTAGACCGTTGTTTGCGGCGACCATGAGTAGGCAGTAGTTTGGTGAAGAGGAGAGTAGACCGAAGACAGTGGTGCGCAGGTAGCGTTCGTGACCAGCCAAATCAGTGAAGGAGATGACTTTGGCGGATCTTGTGCCGATTTCGTTCCAGGTGAGCTTGCGACCAGGGACGGAAGAAGTGACAGTTTCACCCTTGGTGTCGAAGCCCATAATCTCCATACCTACAGAGCTGGTTCGACCAGACTCGATTTCGTGCTTGTGGCGGAAGAGGTTGACACGAGCTTTACCTCTGCCGTCATCCAGTCCGCCTTTTACAAGCACACCAAGCATGGTGGACTTCCCAGCATCGACGTTGCCCACAACAGCTATTCTGGTCTCGATGACCTCTTCGGGAGTGGCAGGAGCCTGCCGTATCAGAAGTTTGCCGTAGCAGGCGGTCTCTTTGCCATTCTGTGGGACAGCATCGACGTCTCCTCCGACATTGTAGGTCAACAGCACCTTGATATCGGCGTTGAGTGCTTTTGCAGCCTCTGTTATCCTTGTGAGAGCCATAGCCCACTGCTCTTTATTGAAGCCCATGATATCGCCACTGTCTTCCTGACCAAGGTTGAACAGGGTCTCGCCATGACCTTCATCTAACCTGGCCTGGACCAGACCAGAAAGTGACTGAAAGGTGGCGCCAGCATCTTCGGAGGTGTCTAACAGCCAGTCTTTCAGCTTGACTTGGTTGGGCGCATCAGAAAGGCCGAGTTGGTCGATGATGTCGAGCTCGGCGTGGTCTTCGGTGGTAGTAGTGGAACGACCAGCAGTGGAATAGCCACTGTCACTGGGAGCGACGGAATGGTTGCGCTGACGAGCCTGTTGCTTCTCGACGTACTCAGCGAAATCAGAGAGAGCCTGTGCTGAGTATTAGTAAGTGCTAGCAACAACAGCAAGGTATGCGCACGAATTCGCCCTTTCGCCTCTCTTGAGGGGTCTGTTTGTTAGGTCTTGTAGACATTGTACCGGCTCTAGATAAGTGTAAGGCAATAGTGGCAATTTACGAAAGATGGAAGGTGAAGTAAGTGGTGGAAATAGATAATGTTTGGTAGCGTCCCCGCGTTCACAGAGGTATTTGAGTGATCATTTTCGGAGTATAAAGATAGCTTAGGTAGTTTGAAGTCAGCAAGCGGACGCAGTTAACATGTTTGTTGGTGCATTTTGTCTGGGTGCGCGATATGCTGGACTGGAGTTGTGGCGCGTGTGTCTCTTTGCTGCAAATATACCAGATCGAGCTTCACACCGAGTCATCATCGAGCACGCAGGGGACCTCCACGTTCTGTGCCCCACTCCAGCAATTGACCAATCGTGCTTGATCGGAGAATCTGTGAATCTTCAAATCTGTGCCTGGCGTGCTCGTGCACCAGTTTGGCTTGCTGCTTTTTGTCTCTGATGTAACATGACTCTTCTCTTTTCACCTTCTCAGACCACATTGGAATCTTGAGCCCTGCATTGTGGTCGACACCGGTTAGGAGATTTTGATGATCGCGTAGCTAGAGACCAGGGACCAAAAGATTGTAACTGGCTTACTGTTCTGGTCTCGTGTACCGTATGAGCCATCTGACTCTAGCAGCTTCACCGTGGAACGACTTTCACTCAAATGGCATATCTCACGAAGGAGATTGTGGAGAGATGAGGACTACCGAGTCACCTGTGATGGTCAGATCCGGTCTGGTGCACATTCTGGCCATAATACATACCTCTAACAAAAAGCATCTCGGATTGCTTCTTGATTGTCTGCATGCCCTTTAGCTGAGCCTTTCTGTATCATCTCATCCTGCCCAACATACCTTCACACTTTCTTGTCCCTGCTCATCCTCCTCCACAGTCATGATAGTCTCTTCCACTTCGCCTAGTACGAGGTTGCAATGACTGTCATATGCCTGTAGATCCTGTTAATGGTATGAATGGTAGTGCTGCGACCAGCCATACGTGTAGTCTGCCCTTGAGTTCTCGGTCACCACGCAGCTTCACAAACACAATCTCGTCCAGCGACAATCGCACGAGATCGAGAGGCTCAGAGACCGATTCGCCCTGTTCCCCTGTATCTGCCATGCTGACGATTGTTATGGTAGTACAAAGACTATAGACGAGACCAGCTGTGAATTGACTTCTGGCACGGATGCTCGAAAGAGCAGGTGCGCCGATCCTTCCACAGGAGCCTTTTTGCGGCACTCTTTCTGAACTGAGTGAAGCATCTGCACGTAGCTGAACTTCAAGCCAGCAACAAGAACACATGCAAGTCGCAGCCCCTTTGGCTAGGTCGGTCACTCGTGCTGCAGTATCATCAACCTCTCGCATCCCACATCTCGAATACCACATCTCAAGACGAGTGCGAGGAGCTCGCAACCCGACCGAAACTGTTCGCCGACACAATCACAGCATAACCACCAGCCCTGCTCTGGGCTTTTCACCCTTCCAATCTCAACATGATCATGTCGATACACCAGCAGACGATGAGTCTCATGCTATCAACACCCAGATCTACACCGAAACACCATACACCCACACTCCAGTCCAGTCCAGTAGCGAGCTGAACTCCATTTCGGCCTCTGATATTTCTGTCTCTGATCTGCTTGACGAAGCATGTCCCGAACGTCTCCTATCCTGGTTGACTGTTCATCCTCAAGGGCACGCCTTCTGTGCCACCGCCAACGAGGCCGATTTCGAACGAGCCTTCACGAGCCTTGATCCCGACGTCTTTCTCGATCATTTCAAGGCTGCTAGCAAACTCGGCGAAGGCCTGGTCGAGGCGGGCAAACACAATGACATAACCTTCCAGAGATCTCTCGTCGCTCGCCTGCGACGCTTCGGCAAACATATTTCCCAAATCCTCCACAGACGTCAGGAGAACAACTGGCCCCTCCCTCTGCCCATCTGTCGCCATGTCATGCGCTGTGCTGCTGCTGTTGGTGATGCCAATATTGCTAGATGGTTTTGGCGTCATGTCATGCCCTCACAAAATCTCCTTCCTGACCTAGAATGCTACAACGCTTACATGCGCGCCCTCAACTGGCATTCGTTTTATTCCGAGCTCTCCTCTACCGGCTCTCGCAATTATACACAGAACCTCGAACTGCGTGCAAAGAAATGGAGACCAAAGAGACTGCGTGGCTACGCTGTCAGTCCCCAAACTCCCGATGCCTTGTGGACATTACGTGGGAGAGTCCTAGCTCTGTTCGTTGACATCAGCTCCCGGAAATTGGTCACCAACGAAGACACCTTCATCAACCTTATTACGGGTATGGCACGAGCTGGAGATCTTATAGGCGTCAATAGTATCCTCAAATCCGTGTGGAACATTGATGTCGACGCCCTAGCCAAGTACGACGAGGAAGAGCTCCAAAGCCCAACTTTCTATCAGGAAGACCATCCATTACGGCCCTCTCACCGCTTGCTATATGCCATTGTCCATGCTTACTCGATCAACAACGCCATCGACAAGGCTATCTTCCTCCTTGACTATACCTCGAGAAACTACGTCCTTGACATACCTGTCTATATTTGGGAAGAAGTGTTGGAACGGGCATTTCTCCTCAGCATACGAAGGAATCCAACCGAGGTTAGACAGGGTCAAGGCCAAGGTCAAATACCCGCCCAGATCTTCAGGGCTGTGTACGACAAAATCAGTGATGCTCCTTACAATATACAGCCTACAGCCTTCATGCGCTTGTTGCTTGCTAAAAGCTACCGAGATAGACGTTCATTGGATGCCACCCTTGATGTTCTTCGTTCCATGGTCCAAACGTTGACTTCGCATCTTGAGGAGCTCAAGCTAATGGTTCGCACGATCGAGGCTATGGCCGAATCTCCATCGACTTTCATCGACAACAATATCTTGTCTGCAAAATTCATTGAGTTCAGACGTGACTATCAGCGACTTTATCTATCCACCACCAGCCAATACGGCTTGCTCCTCCGTCAAGTATACCGTGTCTTGAAAGAGCCCCGTTGGTCTGGCAGTCACAACGAGACCAGCTGGCACAGCCGACGACTACCGCAACTTATTGAAGAGTTTCAGGATTTCATTCCTGAATTCCTCATCTATAAAACTCCAAAAGGCCAGGTCATAATCCGTCTTCACGACGACGATATGAACAGTCACGAGGTTGACCTCGATGAGGTCAAATCTAATGAACTCGGTAACGATGATAGCCACTTCTCCGAGGAGCTGCTTGATTCCAATATAGCTGCGCCCAAGGGCGTTCTTGCACAGGCCACGGTCATTTGGAATGCCTTGGACCACGATGATTTGTCTATTGTGGCCCATAATCTCAGCATGCTAAGATCTAAGGAAGTGTCAACAATGATAAGACGAGTGCAGTCAAATCGGACTGTAAACATGTGGTAGAATGATTGTACTTCAAATCGAGGCCGTCAACATTAGTGCATGTCGCACAGAAGGTTCGTGCTCATGTACGAAATATGTAGTTATAGCAAACTATTGTGTTGAAGCATGTGCACTGAAACGACGGAGAAAGGATAATTCGAAACACTCAACTAGCTAGTAGTAGTACCAAACAAATCGATGCTCACGCACAAAATCTCAGCCATGAAACTCCGTATACATTTCCAACCCGTACTCAAAGCGAAGCCTTAGCAAACACCGTCCCTCCATGCAACCCCCTATTCTGGCCCCTCTCATTATAATACGTACTCGTCCTACTACTCCCGCTCTTCCCATCCCATTCCCCTGGCTTAGTAAACTGATCAAAGTACGCCTGCAGTACTTTAGTCGTCCCCTCATCCTCCATCAACCGCACCGCGATCGCCAAATGTCCATCAGGTCTAACCACAACCACGGCTGCATCAGCCTGCTCACCGCTATCATTCTGCACCAGGCCGACTTTGGCGTGTGAGCCGAACGTGGCGTTGAGGACTGGTTCGTTGAATGCGTCGTCGGCGTAGACGCGGTCGCGATATGCCTGGAATAATTCGGGGAGTTCTTCGATCTTGATTTCTGGTCGCTTGGCGCAGAGGGTGAGTGCCACGCTGAAGAAGGGACTGTGCGGGTTATTGCTGTCGTGGTGGGTGTCGAGTTGGCGGTGGTTGTGGTGCATGAAGTGGCTGTAGAAGCTGCCTGGTTTGAGGAGGTTGTTGCTGAGAGTTGTGAGGAGAGGGTGCTGGTTAGGTTTAGGGGAGGTGTTGGAGCCGGCGTAGACGAAGAGGCGGAAGGAGCCGTTGAAGGGGATTTCGTTCTCCAGGTGGACTTTGTTGGCGTCGACGACACGGGTGACGTTGCTATTAGGCATGACGCGGCCCGGACGGAGGCGAGCGTTGTCGTCGGAGATGATGAGAGAGTGAAGTTCGGAGGGCAGGTTGGGGAGCGATTGGGAGGGTGAGTAGTTGAGAATGTTGGGGGCGTAGGCGACGCCGAAGCCGGATGTGAATTCGCAGTTTTCTTTGAAGAGGTTGATGAAGTCTTGGTTGGCTTGGGCTTGTTGTTCGGCGGTTGAGTCGCCGTGTTGGGCTTGTTGGGTCTTGCTGAAGAGGGCGGCGTATTTGTTGTCGAAGTTGAGGAGGGTTTCGGCTACTGCGCGACGTTCTGTTTCGTAAGTCTCGAGGATCGATCGGTCGGCAAAGCCCGATTCGACGTGGTGGATTTTCCACGCAAAGTTGACGGCATCGTGGAAGGCAGTATTCATACCTTGACCGGCTTTGGGGCTATGAGTGTGGCAAACATCGCCGCCCATGAAGACGCGATTGTCGAGAGTATAGCGGTCTGCAAGGCCTTGACCGATGGGGTAGACTGAGTACCATGCTACACGATCCCACTCGCAGGTGTATGGTTGAAGGATGCGTTGAGCTGCTGCTTGGACTTCTTGGACAGTGGCAGTCTTACGAGGATTGAAGTCTTTGTCTGTGCTTGATGCGATTTGAATGTATAACCTGACCATGTTGTTTTCTCTTGGGATGACCATGATGCTTCCGTGGTCTGAATGTATCGTGCATTTCATCTTGATGTCAGGAAAATTGGTCCTTAGAACACCGTCCATCACACCCCAGACGTAAGAAATGGGATCTTTATGTCGTATTTGAACTTGCAGCTGCTCCCGGACGAATGATCGTGCGCCTTCTCCGGAAAAGAGATATTTCGTTCTGTATGTGGTTATGACATTACTGTCCAGGTTTTTGAGATCGACCTCAACAGGGTAGGCAGGATCTGCATTGTTGGTTTCGAAACGTGTAATTGTTGCAGGTCTCTCGAGCGTTGTGCCTGTCTTTTCGAGGTCCTCAATCATGACACGTTCTATCAGACCCTGGTGAAGAAGGGCAGTGAATGGGTAACGTGCGTCTATGAAGGATGGACATGATGGATATGTGCCTGTGCGGATGATCTTTCCACCTGGAGCTGGATCCCAAAATGCGACTTCGTAAACTCGAGCCGGGTCAGCTGCCATAATCTTGCGTTTCAGTCCCATGTTGCGCAGCATTTCCAATGTACGAGGCTGGATACCATCAGCTCTACCTGTGGCTGTTGGTACGGGCCTGTTGTCGATGTTCTTGACTTTGTAACCCCATCTCGACAGACAGACCGAGGTTAGCAGACCAACTGGACCAGCACCAATGACAATCACGTCGTACTTCTCGATTTGAGCCATGATGATGAAGGAGGACTGTAAAATAGTTCAAGCTTGGGTGCTATTTCTGCTTCGAGCACCTCTGGACAAACATACGTAGAGAAACTTCAGATGCTTACGTGAGAGTCGCTAATCAGCGCGAACAAACAGAACGATCAATGAACAAGTTGACAACGAGTACTACCTATATATGTGACCAAAAGTTGAGCAGAAACTTCCCAGCTCGAGGACCGTGCTATAACTCACAGCGCCGTGCCACTTTGCCGTGGACAGAGGCGTTTTGAGTGTGTCCGCCATCCAGAAGCCCATGCTGGATTGAGCGGATGACGGTGCAGATGAGTGAAAGGTCCTGATTGATTGGCAGAGTGACCTTCGCGGTGGTCGAGCTTTCCCCACACTTCTCCAGATGGAGTGTTGTCGGCAGGTGGTTTCGGAGCTCAGCTCGACGTTGGAAATACCTAATGATGCCGATATTCTGTAGAGCAAATCACGACACAACCGGCATATCACACAAGTCTGGGCCTGGAACCATTTTGAAGTGAGAGCTCGGATGAGCTTTCAGGCTCTTTTTGAAGCTGAAGTCGACTAGTTGTTCGTAGTCAGAGACAATGACTGCCTCAGAGTACTTCTGACATACGCCGAAGCCCTAAAGCTTCCAAAGCTCGTTTGTGTAACTTCATAAATTTCACGTAATCCGAAATCTTGCAGCATTCACATCATGGGACAATCAGTTGGCCAGTATTTTTATATTTTGTATCATCACTGACTGCGTCGATCATACATGTGCGAGCCAAAATGAATCAGACCTAGCATAGACGTTGAGAATGCCCTAGGCTAGGATGCTGGCGATTTGATGGGAGCAAAGCATGATGGAGCTTTGACTGGCTTGTGACGATAAAGCTGGCCTTTGCCATCAAAGAAACTGGTATGCTAATCTTTGACATTGAATAGTATCCTCAAGATTTTCTATTCATGTGTGAGTATCTCGACCCTGAGGGAGCGACGAGTGGGAAGTTCGGAGGCACCGGCTGAGATGTGATTCCACGGCCAAGGAATTCCATTGCTATAACAGAGGCAGGAGCGATGCGGTCGAACGCACACCTTCTCAATTGCCCTACGCCAAGCCATTTCGACAACACAATCACAGATAATCTCATCATGGCTTCCGTGCTCCTCACACTGCTGTCGGTGATCGAATATGATGGAAGGCAATACAAGATATGACACCGTGCTCCCATGGCCAGAATGTCTTGGCACATTTGATGAGGAATCGTGTCGATTCTTTCTCAGAGAACTTGGTCGAAGGGTCGTCCAGTTCTACCCTTTCTCCGTGGGCATGGACGATGTGTTTAGTCAGATTGTGGATGAATATGGATTTGAGGGTGCGCCAGACGCAATGAGCGTACTACAGGAATTGCTTGAGGACGAAGGTACTGCGACTGGCATTGGTGATGATGGTGACATTTGGAGGTCGTGGAGACACGCCTGGCGACACCGAAACGCAAGTCACTCAAATATATCCTTCACTCTTATGACTGACTTGAACCAGGATGATGTATATAATCCCTACGTCCCTCGTGTTCGAGGCCGTATCCTTTCACAGCCGACTGCCGCTCGAATCCGCCTTCTCAAAGCTGCCAATTTCATGACTTTGCAGCCACCAAGAGCGAAACACGACCATTATCCAGGATCGAGATACTCTGTCGCCGGTCTCCCTAGTGTCACAGAAACGGAGTCCCTGGCTTCGGATCTAGGAAAGAATGTAGTAGCGGATATCTGCCCAGTCGCTCACGACTACCATCGAGTCCTTCTGAACCAAATAGGACGGCAAGAGACTACTATCAAGCGGTCAAAGCACAGCCTTGGTGGCTCCTCCGTAAGTAGTCAGCCATCAGAGGAACGTGGGTTGCTACCAGTCCATTGGTTTCCGTATAATACAGGCAACAGCAGTACAGGCTCACCTCGAAGATCACTTCCCGTTCCCTTTCGAAAGCATACATTCCCGTTCAACCTCGCTAGTCCCAAGACCAAGACCAAGACCTTGGCTGATTCTACTAAAGAGCTTGTTGTACACGATGAGCACGTGTTCATGCCAGCAGTGAATACGGCGCTGGGAGACAGGCGACCTGTTGACGGCATCGAAGAATCGTTGTCGAAGTCAAAATCACCTGCAACGAGTATTGTTGATGTTGGAACGAATGCAATGCTGGAAAGAACACCATTAACGCAGCGTTTGTTTCGTATGCAAGATAACAGATACAGCTTCCCTTCTGACCTTGGTTCTACCGACAACGAAGCAACACCCAACCGTAGGAGAGCTGTTCACAGAGAGGCACGTATGATTGACGGCGCACTTTTCCACGGAAAGACTAGGAAGGAGAATGTCATCGCGAGTGAAAATCGACGACAACAATCACCCGGGGAACCACTTTTCGCAAGTAAAAGATCAAGCTGCCAGTCAACACAACAACAATCTTCACGTGCCAGCTGGCTACACAATGCCTGGATCCGCTTGGGCAAACATCCTCGCAATTCTAAACAACCCAAACTTCGTAAGCGACACTCGAGTCTAGGTGACTGCGGTCTCGGTAGCAAACAGAACGACAATCGTAGTGCTTCACAACGAGATTGTCCCTCTCCTATACCCGAAATGCAGCAGGTAGACCCTCGATCTGGGCAAGGTTTGGATGGCACGTTCGATGAACGTGGCCACAAGCCGTTGCCTTTAAGCCCTATCGATGGCAACGCACGACCTTCACTGCAAAGTGATGTTGAAAGGACCTTCTTTGCTGATGTTTCGCAGCCTGAGAGCTTCAACTATAATCCTTCGATAGTATCTTCTGGCATTACGAGAATAAGAGAGCAGGATGAGCTGCGATCATTAGTTTCAGCGACTATGTCAGGACCACAGGAGCTGTCACCAAAAGACAAGAATTTCTGGAACAGATATTCATCTTCAACGTCACAGTCTGCGCCGTCGTCGTGAGTATGCCAATACTGCATGCGCAAATTGCTAAACGTCTCCAGTCCTAAAACATTTACAACCTTTGCTGCAAAGAATCCTTATCGAGATTCGAATGAGCCACCGATAACTTCCGCAGCGCACCCAGCACCATTGACATACCACAAAAATGAGGTTTCTAGTACTGTGTGGCCTTTTCGGGCCTCCGACAATACTATGTCCCAAGAAGATGCTATCGAGGAGTCTTGTGACGCTCGTGCATATGGTTCAGCTCAAAGAGGTCGCAGCACACCGCAAAAACCTCACATCTCGATTGAAGACGGTCAGCGAGGGCGAAAGCCACTGACTCCACCATCGAGTCCCTCCAGATCACGGTTCAACATACAGCGTCCTTCGTCCCCAAAGACACCTCGACCACGTTCAAGGTCCCCAGTAAAGAGGCTAGTGGGAATGGTGAAGAGCATGAGCACCAATCAAATACCTACTGATCTTTCGCTTCCACCAACTACCACACCATCGAGCACGAACAAGCGTCGTTGGAAGGAACTCGGTCATAAGCTAAAGCATGGATTTTTGACTCCAGATCTTGAGCAGCTAGAACAGGAAGAGTTGATGGAGCAATATGCGACTGACAACAGGTTCGATGCAGTCCGTATCATCACACCTCCATCAACGCACGAGAGAAGTGCCTTTCCTGTTTCCATCAAGAGTTCTGGGCAGAGCAAACTGTGGTCCGAGCTCGAATACATGCTGATCGAAACTTGCAACAGCTTTCTGAAGGACGAATTTGATCATAATCGTCTCCAACGTCATAGTGTGCTCCGAACCAAGCGTCAATGGCAAGCTCGTAACAGACCACAAGTCATCGAGTTTTACTACGATCAGACCACGCAATATGAGCTTGTGATCGCCAACTTAAGAACTGTCAAGCTCTACAGTGACTATGCTCAAGATGCTATCATCCTCAATTCGGTCCTACACCAATGGAAGATACTCATCCGAGAATTGTCCGTGAAGACACTATGCATGCCAGACAGCATAGTTCGACGGTGGCTGCACGATGGCCGGAGAGTATTGGAATTGCTAGGCGCTCTCCCAATCACATTGACAAACATGGACAAGCTCACTTCTTTGTGCATGGCTGTCATCGGAAGTGCAGAAAAGGAGCGCGCCAGGCGACGCGTTCGGGAGGAAGTTGGCAATGCACAAGGAAATCACAGACGCAGCGTCAGCGATGGTAGTCAAACAACTCTGCTCAAACATGAGGCGGCTTTACTGAACGGAGCAGACGGGCCACCGCCCTTGCCTGGCTCCAGCTCCGGTTCTTCTGGCACTACATCAGACAGCCGGAAAGTCACACCACAGGAGCTCCAGAGACATCTCGTCCAACACGCACAGCAACGAAAAGCTGCAGTTGCCCAGGGTCAAACACAAGGGCAAATCTCGCAAGGACGAACATCGCATGAGGCAAAGCAATTCATCTTCACTCAAGGTAATGGCAATAGTTTCGGATATACGCGTGGCTACAAACATGGTCATGGCCACTCCAAATCGCTTGAGCCAGGCGAGGAAAGAGCTCGGTTCATGTACGATTGACTACCTACGTCTACTTCTCCGCTCCTCAGGTCTCATCGGGAGGGTGCTACGCGAAGTACACTCAGCTCTGTGCTCGAGATATACTTGCAACTGTGACTGTTTAGGGAAGTTGTGAATGAGGTCGCTGACCGACACAAATTCAGCAGATAGAGAGTCGCATTCCCTGATTACTGCAACCATCTGATCAACTCTTCTTGATCTCCTCTGTGGCTGAGAGCCGCCGATTTGTTGTACGTGAATGAGCATCGTTAATGTTAAGTACGGTATCGGTGCGAAGTCAATGTGTTGAAAGACGCGAGGAAGAAAAGTGATAGACAGCAATGCATTAATGTAACTTGACTATCTTCGCGTGCTGGCTATATACAAGACACCAAACTTTTTCCATTGCGCACACTGAAGCATATATTCTTGCTCGCCTGCTCACAAACAAACGCGCCAGTTCAAGTGAATCCTCCACCAGCATAATTACTCCGGCCAAGTCCCCCATCCCTAACCATCCCATTCCCAGCCAAACCACTGTCCTCTTCAAAATCCAAAAAGCCACTGCCAATAGCCAGACCTGTATACGCCTTCATACATTCGTCGACCAGTCTTCTCATGTCTCTGTCCTCCTTGGCTAACACACTTCCAGCAGGAATGCTAGCAAACAAACTCGTCTGCGCAGCCTGTTGACTTGCCAGACTTAGACCGGCGGCACGCTTAAATATACCAACCATATTGCCTCTATGGTCGGCTAGGAAGCTACGGACCAGGTATATGATCTTCTCGTTCTCCTGACCGAAGTTTAGGAAGGTGGAGAGCAGTAGGCGTAGACATCCCTGTAGCAGGAAGAAGTATGTGAGTAATGCAGATTTTTGTGCACTCACAATGCTCGCACTCGCACCATTCTGGGTTGTAGAGCGCACGAGCGATGCTGGGCCGATGGAACTAAGGTCGAAACCTAGGTCGGGGTCTGCTGCGAATAGGCCGGAGTCACGCAGCGTTTGTAGGAGATTTGCGTCGAGGAGAGCGGATGCACCAAGATGGGTTCTAGATACTTGAAGGAGAAGCAAAATTCGTGACTCAAAGACCGAGGTCAGGTAGATACGATCTGTGGATCAAGTTAGCGAACAACACGGGTCGAGGTGCATTGCAGGACTTACTGCTGGGATTGGCGGACTGAAAGTCTGCCGCCACACTTTTTATCGGATCAAGCAGGACTTCGAGTATGTTCATTTTGACAAATGATTCGATCATGATATTCACCTTCTGGCTGCGTGCTAGGCTGACGAGTTGCGATAGAAAGTTTAGAGCATTGAGACGACATGCATCAAGGCCGTCGTCTGCGTCGTCGGAAATAATGGTAATCAGCTGGTTCCCGACTGAACGAATCGTGTCCATGGCGTTGGTGCGGGCCCTTTGACTTGAGTCTGTATTCGAGCTTGCCGAGGATAGGATTCGTGTCAAATACTCTGAACATATGCTATAGAGCACTGCTCGAAGGTCTGGATTGCTGGCCGAAAAAGCAACACCTTCTGCACATATACGAAAAAGCTGGAAGAGTTTCTCAGCTATCGTGACATCTACTCGAGTTTGAATTTGCTTGACTTGAGGCTGAATTTCTGCAAGTACGAGGAGTAATGTGTCCGCTAGGCGCGTCAGCTCTACAGCTTCCTGAGTGCCATCGGCGAGGTATGTATCGAGCTTGGGAAGAACGAGTTGAAGCATACGAAGGGCGAATTGTATCTTCGTGGTTGGCTCCATCTGACAGCATCCTACGACACTGATGATCATGTCCACGTAGCTTTTCAAGCAGGACAGCCGTTCAGCTTGTGCGAGGACAAAACGGTTTCGTGCTGTGAGAAGACCAACAACATAAGCAGCCTCTTCGTTCAGGGCAGTTGAGTCGATCTGCCTATTTGCTGCAGTATACTCGTCTAGGACAAAAGCACATCGTCTGTTAACAACAGTTTGAACTTTGTCAACATCGTATAGAGGCCCGCTCTGGTAGGCTTCGAAGTCGAGATCGTGAAAGAAGTCGAGATGACCGTAGGCGAGTACTTGCGGCGCATCTGTACACAGCTCTGCGAAGTCAAAAAGGTCGAAGACAGAGGGATGGTTGATTGGAATGCCACTATCGTCCATAGACTTGCCTTGTAATGTAGACAAGTACTTTTCTTGCAGTGCCCTTATGTTGGCTTTCGCAACCTGCTGAATCTCTCTTGTGACGTAGTCATAGAGGTGCGTTCTGTAGGACATAAAGTCCGTCAAAGCTTCGGCGGAGGTCAGAAAGTAGAAGTCATTATCAGTAATCATGCTCCCTTCCCAGATAGTGTCCTGGTCTGCCACAACTTGGCCACTGAGCTGCTTGACGAGATAATTTTGACGTCTGAGCTGCACCATAGTGAGCTCGGCAGAAACCGGGAAAGACCACAAGTGTTTCAATACACAAATGCTTTCGGCTTTGAGATGAATTAGCCATGATAGCAAGGTTTCCTCCCATTGCACAGGTAAATCCACCGAGAGTTTTGCGAGAGCATCAAACGTTGAGTTGCCTTCGTCGAATTCAATGTCGGATACTAACCGGGACCCGAGTCTCTTAAAGCCAAGTAAGAGATGAGCGATATTTGGTGCTTCTGATTGTGTAGCGAGGCATGAATTGAAGAAAGACACTATGCCATCCTTAAGCAAATAGCCTGGAGAGTCGCCTCCTTCCTCTAACTCGCGCGGGTCAACGATGAAGTGTTCAGCAAATCTCGTAGATATGTTTTTGAGCTTTAATTCACCTTCGGGTCCAATTAATTCAAGCATTTGCCGACCTCTACGATCGCGCTTGGATTCAACAAAGAGGTGATTCTGGAGCCTCGCGGATTCTGATAGTCGTTGCAGGAATTCGAGGACTCGTAAGGACAATTGTACATGCTCTGACGCAGCATACTGGCACAGATCAAGGAGTAACTCAGGTCGGCTAATGACTAGATCCTCAATCGCAATGATGCCAGAAGATGGAATCGTTTTATAACCGTCCTGCAGCCTGATTCTGGGCTTCACAATATCAAAGAAGGTTGGCTGAAGTTGACTGATATAGTTGAGGAGGTCGACAGCAGCTTCCAAACAACGCACTTTAGGATCAGTTAGACTCGCATCGAGGATTGTTTCCACGAGACCGTGTACGATTTCTGTAAGACATTGCGTAAAGTTTGAGGTGAAGAGCCACTGCATGACCCTTGCAAAAGGATGCCGCTGGACATATAGAGCTTCATAGGTCTCTTGGTTGCCTGATCCCCTAGCTGTCTTGTCTAGGCTTGTCACATAGTTCTCGTTAAAGCCTTGAAGACAAAGCAACGAAAACTCGATAGCATTTGTCACTCTCAAGACACCTTGTGTGTTAGCATCCTCAAGCCAACGGCGCATATTTGCTGGTGTCAGTTCTCCACAGACCAAATCGACGTACGGCACAACACCAGGAACTCTGTAAGTGTTACCAAGGTCTGGTGGGAAAGGTAAAGGTTGGCCGCTGTGGGTTGGTAAGGGGGCGATCAGTGCACGTAACAGTTTGACGAAAGCGTCGTACTGATCGTACGAAGTCGAGATTGCTCCTAGAGTGTTCTGCAATGCTATCGTAGTGGGATTAGGTTGCTTATCACCAGGCGTCTTGCCTGCCCTGTCTTGGTTGGTGGATGCCCAGTCATCAATCGTCCACCATACCCTGTCTGACACGGCTGAACTTTTGTCCGTAACCAAGAACTCGAAGAATGAGAAGATGGTAGCTCTCATGTAGGAGGGTATGGACCCGGCGCTTAGTGCTAGTAGACCCTTCAAAAGGTCAATGTCGTTCAAATTCAGCACATATTCGCGGGCAAGCGATGTTTGCTGAAAAAGGTGACCTAGTAGTCGAAGGTAGCAGCAAAGCATGATAGGACTTTCTGCTTCGTTAAGCTCAGGCTCAATATTTGACCTGACTTTTACAGTATGTGCCACCTGCCCTTTCTCGTGCACCTTCCTTGAATAGAAGTCTAGCTCCGCAAAAATCTGCTGATAGCTCATGGATGGAAATTTCTTGCCCCTGGTATTTGGCACGAGAACAGTATCGTCGAGTAGAAATTTGTGAGCTGCGTCAGCATTCTCGGCAGATCGTGAGATAGCACAGAGCATCTCACAGAAGGCACTAACACGTGGAACGGTCTGTCGTCGCGAGGTCCACTGCAGGAACCCATGTAGATTACCGTCTGGGTCTTGCCAGAACTGTTCTGCTGCTTCAGGTCGACCCTCATAGGCGAAGGCAATTACGACGAGGAAAGCCTCCAAGTGAAGGCGGGCACCCTGCTCCCGCGGCGGACGCTGCAAGATACCATCTGGAGTAGTTGTGACTTGTCGGAGTCGGAGATCGTCTTCCTCAGATTTAAGTTTTCTAATACTATCAGGCATGTTGGTGATCCAGGCATCAGCAAAGACCTCATAGGCTTCCATCATCATGGCAACAAAGAATTCGGAAGAGGGTTCCACACTTTCGAAGGTGATGTTGCTGCCATCAAGCAACATGTCGACCAACTCCAGGCGTGCTACCTGCTCCCAGGGATCATTCTTCAAGTTGGTACAGATGGAGAGCATAAATTCCAAGCTTCCATCGTCTAGGGACTTCTTCATAATCTCATCACGTTTGACTGCACCAGGATCCCGAGCGGCACTTTCGCTGTAGTGGCTACTAAACTCCGCGGTCCACCACATCTCGAGTGTTGCAGCTAGTGGTCGGTAAGGGCCATTCTGGACATCTGGTGTGGCTGAAACCAGAAACCGATTCAGAGCTTGCGCATCCTGAGGATTGCCATAGTTGGACGAACCATATTGCTGAAAGGCTGCGGAGAAAGCAGGAAGGTAATGGATCCAGCTAAAATCCAGTCGTTTCCATGTCTGTGATTGTTCGTGTAACTTGCGCAAGTCTTCCGAAGCAGTGTAATTGCCACGAAAGAGCAACGCTAGGATAGCACCTAGTGCCTCATGCTGTTTGAACAAGCTGCTTCTTTGGAACTCAAGAGTTTTGTAGAATGCCTCTCCCCTCGCTTTACTCAAAACAGCCTTGCTCAGAATTGCATCGTTCAACTTCACCTGCCAGGCTTCGATATCAAGCATGGTCTGCATACACTTCCTTGCGAAATTAGAGCCATTGGCAACTACTCCATTCCTGGTGTCCAAGACCTCTCTAACCAGCTCTTCAAGTTCGGTCCGGGGTTGAGTTGCAAAATCAGGGTCGAGCGAATAGGCTAGGAGGAGTCTGAAGTCTTGTAGGAGAAAATCGCGGCGGTCGTGGTACAGCTGAACTACATCAGCAATCAAGCTTTCCTCGTCCGAGGTGCCTTGTTGCTGTGTCTCAATAATGAGACGGCCAGCATATTCTTCTGAGATGCTAAGGGTTGCGCCCACAGCATTGCTCAGGTGTCGGAACTCTTCATTGATGGAATATTCCTGGCCATTGACCTCGATCTTCCCCTCGTTGTATCCCTTAGTTTCTGCCTCTGTTGATACAGGCTTATTCAGTAAATTTCGGAAGTCAGTGACCGAGTCCTTCAGGTCTTGTAATAGGCGGTCAACGTCCTTGGATTTCTGCGTGAGCGCAACCAGATCTTGGTGTAGCCCTTGCAGGCGTGCCAGACTCTCCATGCTCACTTTGTGTCATCGAAGTAACATCTTATGTATAATCAGTGTAAGGAAGGAGCTGCAGCACTTTTTCGTGTAGCGACGCGTGCCTGCCGCGGCCGCAAAACTATCGACCGACGCGCTTGCCTGCCAAGACTTTCCTACTGAATCTGTTGGTGACTTCTTCGTCTCACTTCCTTCAGTGTCCAGAAAATCTGCACAATGAGCAATAGCAAATCACTGTATCGTTGCTTGCCACCAACGGTCTCTGTGAGCATGTCATCTTGCCCCAGAACACCTGTTCCCTTCCTCAATTTGCAAGATGGATACGGGTAGCATACTTGGAGCTATTGAGAAACTCGAGGCTGGAACGATTGCAAAGCGCTCGGAGGGCCTAGAGGACCTGAGACGTGCGTTGAACAGTTTGCAATCATCATCAAGGTTGCAAACTGTCGGTGATATTGGTTGGCAGAAGATCCTGAATGTACTGTTCACTCTGGTCAAGAACGACAAGCATGATCTGCTGAACGGCTCAGCCACTGCGAAAAAGAGAGCCACTAACCGACTGGAGATTGTCTCGTCTGCTCTCAGGCTTGTCGTTACCACATGCACTCCTTTTATTCAATCCAAGCTCGCTCACTCTGTGCTAGACCATATTTCGAATCAGCTCGACTACGAGAGGAGTACCGAAGAACCCTTTCGCCAATGTGTTCAGGCAGAATTCGTCAAGGCCTATCGTGTTGTCCTCAACAATGAGTCTCATTGCGAACATCTTCGAGCCAGCCAGTGGTCAAAATGCGTCGATCTCATCCTATGTGCTATTAATGCAAATCTAGCCAGCTTGACCGGCATAGACGATGACGACAACGACGATGTCATGTCGATTGTTCGCGGTGTGAGCATAAACAGCTCTATGAGAAGCACAGTGGCCATGCGTGCGAGTCAAAATAGTGGAAATAGAGGCTCTCGTGCTCAAGATTCGCAAATCATGGATGATCTCATTATATCTCTACGCAACTTGTCAAGCACGCCCAATAGCCCCCTACATTTACGGTCCAACGATATTTCTCAGACTGTGATTAATACTTTGACCACTTCCTTACAAACTAAGGATGCTGCCTTCGAGTGTTTGAACAATATTGTCCTGGTGGCGCGCACGGAAGATATTGACCTCGTTGTCCACATTGCGGCTCAGGTTCTGGTTATCATGAAGCAGCTGTGGACACACAAGGTTGATCACAAGTCTATCAGCTTGCGGGAGCAGATGTTAGTCAATGTTCTACTTGTTCTACCATGCTTACGTGTTGGCCAGCTCGCGAAATCCAGAATTAATCTCTCCAGCATCGATTCACTGGCAAAACATATGCTCGAAGAGTACGACAGCCGCACCAGCCAAGATTGTCTGCAGCTATCTGACCTGATTTTGACAAATTCTGCAAGTGACGACTTATTTTCTCAGAGAGGCATCTCTCCTAAGTTGGACTCTCCTCTAGCAGTTCTGAACTGGACGACTGTCTCGCTCATCGCAAAGCTCAAAGCACTGTCCCAGCATCATGAATCGACAAAAGCCAATGATGATATTGAAGGTTACCGACTGCCTAAGCGCAAACGTCTATCGTTAGCTTTCCCGGATGTTGTCCGTATACTGTTTGTGGAGGAGCAAGAAATAGGGCTCGAAGAGGCGACCCATTTTCTAGAACACATCTTACCTACTTTGACGGACGATCGCGAAGGACGATCTTCGTGGTTGTTGTTGGTGCTGAGCCGACTCTGTAGATGCTCAATTGCGGCCGAAGAAGTTCTTTCGATTCATTGGGACCGCGCCTGGAGTGTGGCCTCTCAATTGATTACCAGCACTGTCAACTCGAGAGCCGCATGCTTCGCTATGATGGCTTTGCTTGAGGCTGGTCTTGTGGACAGCCGCCTCTCAAGCACTGCACTTATGGATTCTTGCTTTCACGGTGGCTCTATGGGACCTCCTATTCTAACAGATGCCGCGTTGTTGTTATTCACCTTCTGTCTTCGATCGAACTTCCTGCCCGCCGATAGAGACTTCACGAATTTTCATGGTCGAATCATGGCATGGCTCAACACGACCTGGATAATTCCGCCAGCTCGCGACTATGCTGGTTTTGTCAACATATCAAATATGGCACGGCCGACACTCCTCCTCGGACTTCTTGCAGCTTTGAACGGTAAAGGCTCTGTCTTGTGTCAGGAGTGTCGAGCTACTTATCCGACAACGATCTACAATTACTATCTGCGAACCGCCACAAGTTCTGACTTACTCGACTTCTGCATAGGTACTGTAGGCTCAGAGGAACGTCATATCGCGCACTCACATGGAGCTGAGGTTATGCAACGTTCTGCGCCTCTGATGTCGAAGGAAGTGGTTCAAAGCCTTACGGATTTTTTAACGAGAAAGCTCGAGGAGTTTCGAAATGGCTTTCGTGAGATCGAGGTGACGGACTGTAAGGATAAAGATGGTAAGCTTCTTGATCACAAGAGGCGCGCTAACCTGAGCCTTGACCTGGCTGAAATAATCTGCAATGCTTGTGCTGTTGCCTCTCTTATCATGGACCAAAACCACCTCAAGGGCAATCTGCAGATTATTAATAGTGCCTGGGAATGCGTGCTGGATTACACAAAACTTCAATTCAACGACGAGCTAGGGTTTCAGTCGACCTGCACACGGTTTGGACAACGCTTGCTCTCACTTCGACATGAGAACGTCACCGACTCGCACGAATACACAAGGAGGACACACCAACTCTTGAGCTCACTTAACGTCCTCATCGCAGACCAATCGTCGTGTCAGCTTAACTCCGATGAGATGGACCTTGATTTCGGTACACAAGTCGTGGGTTCGCAATACAGTCAGAGTAAATCACAAAATACTGATCCACATGTCATGCGGAGAGACATCGAGACTCCTGCAGACATTCGGAGTCGCTTCATAGAGACGAGGATCATGCTGATGCGAGAAAGCTTGAGCACGGATAATGCAAAATCCGCGGTGCTTGCTTCGTCCATCACAGAACTGGTGGTGAAGTTATCCTCAAACGACCTCCTGGCCAGTCGCACAGCTCTTCTGGATTGGATCGACCATGGCGGTTCTCCAAGCACATCCGACGCTTATCAGCTGCTGCATCACGTGGCCAATTGTTGCCTGCGGGACGACAAACACGAGCGCAATGAGGCTGCATTGTGTTTCTGCCTGAAAGTTCTATACTCTACTATGCACTTGTGGGAGAACACCGAACATGAGAAGCTCGGAGATGTGGCCTTCACTGTTTACAGTTGGTTTATTGAGATAGCTCTGGATAAGGGTATAGCTTCTACGCAAGTACTTCACAACCTTGCTCGCGTGCTTGCCAAACTGCTGCATCGTCAACCTCAATATGGAGTGGATGACTTGCCATCACCCAGGACCAGTCTTCTTAAGATATTGAAGATAGCCACTTCGAGTCTTCGCTTCAATATGGTGCCCATTCTGGAAGACTTGTTCGATTGCTATATCTTGACAGAACACGCTGCTGTCTTTGACGATGTCGTCGACTGCCTACCGACAGATCCTGAAGATAGAGAGGGAATTGCTGTGAGACTATTTGTGCTTGCCAAGCTCGGCAGTCGCTGGACGACAGTATTGAGACAAGCTGTTTATCACATATTCGAAACAGCTGCGAATGTGCCTTCCTCTTTAAATGCTTCTCAAAAGGCTGTCAAGATTATGACCACAAATCTGCGTCTAGGCACCCAGCCAACTGCATTATTTCGATTGTTTGCGTCGCAGTTGTTCTTTACCTGGCTACAAGATGGTACTATCGACACCATACCATTCACCGCTTTTGGTTTCGAGTCACTGCAGCACCTGATCTCGGGCGAATGCGGCGAGCTTGTCCCCCAGCTTGTCTTGCGGACAAACCCTCGTAATCAGCAGATGGTGTGCAATATGCTTGAGACAGGCTGGCGAGATCTGGTGTTGCAGAATTTCCCTAAGTCAGCAGCCTACGCTGTTTCAACGGATATCGTTGAGAATCGTGCTGGAGCTGACATAGGTCCACTCGAAGAAGCCTTGCAAGCCGTTGTTGGTCAAGCGGACTATCGTACATTGTTCAAGCGCCATTTCGCGCAGATCCTGACTCAGGTCATGCTGTGCTTAAGCGACGATAAAGGCCTAGAGAAGGTCCTGGATTCTCATGAACCTTACAAGAGTCTCTTCGAGACTTATGCAGCCATCTATCAGAGAGGTGCCTCGACAGTTGTGCTACCTCAAAGACAACAACCATCTTTCAAGGCAAAGTACCTGATGCAGATACTCTCCAAACTCTGCCTCAGAGCGAACTTACTGCCAGAATCATTCTGGAATTCTGCACTCTTGGTTTATTTATATCGAGAACTCTTGGATGATGCAGATCCAGCGCTTGGACCTTTGCATGTTGCCTCTATGATTAGGAGAATACGTATTGCCGTGGTTCTAAGCGGCACTATAGCTCTCCAAGGCTATCCTCTGGAGATGCTATTGCACAGTTTGAGGACATATCTGACCAAGTTCCACTGCTCTCAAGATACGATTGGTATTTGCTGGTACTTGCTGGAGTACGGCCGAGGCCATCTGCAAAACAACTTGTCGTTTGTGAGCGGCTTCGGTGTGTCTGCCTTCGCCTCACTTGCGGTTTTCGCAAGCTCTCCGCAGGAAAGCACCACACAAGAGAATCACCACCATACAACATTGGGCAAAGCTGATGATTTTCGGAGTTGGTTGGCTGGCTTTTTGTTATCACTAGTAATGGAGACACCCGAGACAGATCGTGCTAGGAGATATCGAAGCATGATCACTAGTGCCAAAGACATAACTACTTCAGCCACCAACAACAAGAATGAACCCGAGGGTATGCTGATCTATCACATCATCCTCGACCAGGTTGCTCCAGAACCCCTGATCTCGGCTAAGTCTTTTATCAACGTGCTCCGTATGTTGAGCGATCACTTCCAGTTGACTGACGATCCGACAAATGATATTTTCGCTAGTTCGCCCGACCTACTAGCAGGAGCTTCGGTGTTGCAGTCTATACAAGATATATCACAATACTCTGTGACGTTTCAAGCGTGGATAGGGAGCGTTTTAGGCAGAGCATACTCTATCCAGGGTCCGACACTCGTCTCTCGTAGATTTGGCAATACGATAAGCACAGATCGTGTCAAGTCAAACTCTTTATTACCTGAGGACTCTTATCGACGAATCCTTCACACCCTGGCTGATGTTATCTTTACTGGAGATAGCAGAGCCGCCAGTGTTGCGGAACGTATCATGTCATTCGTTCTATCCCATCTTTCGAAGACGGATCGGCAGTCACATCTAGGAGGCTCACCAGTCTATCGTGGTCTTCAAGATTTGACTTTCGACACAATGCAATGTCCGGAGCCATTGTTGAAAGAACCCCTGTCGCATGATGCAGACTCACTGTCCGCTTTGCACGATTTTGGAGGCAGTCAGCATTGGGCTGCGACCGTAGCCGAGTCGCTCATCTCCCCAGATCTTGACGACCCGATTTTGATTGGCCTCAAAGCCGCTCTACGACTTTGTGGCGATTTTGCTAGCAAGATTCTGCCATGCGTGGTACACCTCGTATTGGAATGGTACCTCGCAAGACAGATCAAGACTGCACGGAACACGTTGACAGAATTGTTCGACAATGTATTGATGAACAAAAGTGACGGACCCAAAGGTTTCGCACGACTCGTGCTTGAGGTCATTTTCTACCTACGCAGTTGTACTATACATAACGAATCAACATATGCCAGCCGCAACCATTGGCTCGAGATCGACTATCGTAAAGCTGCTATGGCAGCACTACAGTGTCAAATGCCCGAGTGGGCGATTCTCTTGGCTGAGATTGGACGATCTGAGCAGGACTTACAAGCTGGCCGCACACGTCGATCATCAGTTGCAGACGACTCTTACGATAAGGAGCTTTTGTCTCGGCTGTTCAGAAGCGTTGAGGATCACGACTTCTTCTATGCTAGTAACGACAAACAGGATATGCTCTCCGTTATGGACAAATTGGAGCATGAACTAGATGGCACCAAAGCATTGGCCTTCCAGAGCGCTTTATTTGACTCGAGCTTCAAACTCCATGGAATGGAATCTGCACTTCAATATCGAAGCGGAGGTATGACCACTGCTCTAACGTTGGCGAATCTGAACGGGTTGGCATACGTGACGCACAAATACACCAATAGCTCCGTAGCAGCTTCAACTAAAAGCTCTGGCGCATCCATGCTCAATACGCATCAGTGGAATGTAGCCACTGCAGACCAGGACTCGCAGCTGAAGCGAACGATTGGTGAAGTGCTGTCCAAGGTCGAAATTTCAAGCTCGAGAGCCAAGATAGTGGCACTCGTGGAAGCAGGCCTCCAGGAAGCAGTATCGCGATTAGCAAGGACGGCCTCAGTTCGACATAATGACATGCACAACCTCGTGGAAGTTGCCGCACTTTCGGATATTCAACGGCTCGTGTCGGCCACCTCAAAGGAGGACTTGAGAGACGTGTGGACGCAATTCATACAACCGCTTCCCTGGCAGAACCTGGAAAGGTAAGTACTTCTAAAATGACAAATCCTTCGTGTACTAACCGCCTCAGTTTCGATGCTAGCTCGACTATACTTACAACTCGGGAGGCTGCCGCAGCAGCAATGAGACGTAACACCAAATCGTCCAGTCTTTTTAACATAGGTGAGTCGGAACTACTACTCTATGAGATTCAAGCTGTTCGTTCTTCACTACTCGTTGCAAGTAAACACGACGCGTCACAATTTTGTTTGAACCGTGCCGCCTATCTGAACGATTTGCACGGCGCCGCTACTCGCCTTGGTCTCGATACACAAGCCGCCACCACGTTCGACATAGCAAATACACTCTGGTCACAGGGAGAGATTGCAGCACCTATCGAGATGCTCCGATCACTTGCAGATGCAAAATCGCATGACAAAGGTACTCTGCCAGTTACTAGAGCTGAACTTCTGACCGAGTTGGGCCAAAAGGTCAGCCAAGCACGATTAAATCGACCTGACGAAGTAACGACGCACTACCTGCGACCAGCTATAGAAGCACTTCAGAAGAACACAATGGGGTCAATGGCTGGCCGCGTATTCCACAACTTTGCGTCATTCTGTGACAGCCAACTTCAGGACTCTGCGGCCAAGGATGACTATGAACGTGTCTCTGAGATCAGAGATCGTAAGTCGCAGGAGGTGCTGGAATTGACTCAAATGTGCCAAAATGCATCTGGTACAGAGCGCAAAGTCCTGTCGGGACACCTGGCAAAGGCCAAGACTTGGTTGAAGCTAGACGACGAAGAGTACGAGAGACTGAAGGCAAATCGAGCACAGCTCTTACAGCAGTCACTTGAAAACTACTTGCTATCTTTGCGAGCATGTGACGACTTTAAGAAAGACGCCTTGCGGCTGATGGCTTTATGGCTCGGGAATGCAGACGTTCCTGAAGCAAGCAAGACTGTCCGAGACTACTTGCGATTCGTACCGTCGATGAAGTTAGCGCCGTTTGTCCAACAGTTGTGCTCAAGGTTGTTGAACCAAGATGATATCTTCCAAAAGGGACTTCAAGATATCTTGCTCAGAATTTGGTGTGACCACCCTTTCCACGGTCTTTATCAGCTGTTCTCTGCCTGCAAGAGTAAAGGCGCAGAAAGCGACACTGTGGCTCGATCACGAAACAAAAGTGCTAATATCCTCGCTGAGAAGGTACGTACAAGGGGAGGAACTCCATCGTCAGTATGGGTATCCTTGCACAACAGTGCCATGCACTTCGTCCAGTTTGCCCAAGAAAAGCTGGCGGAAAAGGATACCAAAGCTGGTTCCAAAATCCCTTTTCGTAACTTCAAGTATGGTGTAAAATTGGAGCAAACACTACAGACTTCCACGTACAAGATACCACCACCTACCATGAGTATTGCACTCCGTGCCGACAAGGACTACTCTGTTGTTCCTGCATACACCATGTTTGAGCCAAAAGTAAGCATCGCGGGAGGTGTCTCAGCACCCAAGATCGTAACAATGATTGCAACGGACGGCTTAAAGTACAAGATGCTTCTCAAGGGCGGTAACGACGACCTTCGACAGGATGTCATCATGGAACAGGTCTTTGCACAGGTGTCTGACCTCCTGCAAGATCATCGACCAACTCGACGACGTAAACTCGGCATACGAACCTACAAAGTCATCCCACTTACGCACAATACAGGCATCATAGAGTTTGTGCAGAATACAATGCCTCTACACGATTACTTACTACCGGCACATGCGCGTTATTTCCCCAAAGATTGGAAATCAAATCAATGTCGACGCATGATCGTTGATGCAGCACCAAAGAAACTAGAAGAGAGGGTCAAGGTTTATCGCTCTATTACTCAACATTTTCACCCAGTCATGCGCTTCTTCTTCATGGAGAACTTTCTTGACCCCGATGAGTGGTTTCAAAAACGACTCAATTACTCTCGGTCAACAGCAGCGATCAGTATGCTGGGTCACGTCCTTGGGCTTGGTGATCGACATGGGCACAACATCCTACTTGATCAGCAGTCTGGCGAAGTAGTTCATATCGATCTTGGTGTGGCCTTTGAGGCAGGTAGGGTACTGCCTGTGCCAGAAGTCGTACCTTTCCGTCTCACACGCGATCTCGTAGATGGCATGGGCATCAGTGGTGTCGAAGGGCCCTTTCGACGTTGCTGTAATTTCACATTGGACGCTCTTCGTAAGAGTCAAGACGCTATTATGACCATTCTTGATGTCCTTCGCTGGGATCCATTACACAACTGGTCCACCTCTCCCTTGCGCCTACAGCGTATTCAAGAACAGCAAGAACGTGAGGAAGCGCTTGTAGACGGAGCGAGCCTTGAAGGAACCGCTGGAACGATGGAAGACGGACCAACAGCAAGAGGGAAAGCGGACGAGCCTGGAGAAGCCGACAGAGCTCTGGCCGTTGTAGCAAAAAAGTTGTCTGCGACCCTGAGTGTCGAAGCGACTGTGAACGAATTAATCCGGCAAGCAACAGATGAACGGAATCTTGCAGTTTTGTTTGGTGGATGGGCTGCATATGTGTGAACTAAGAGTTGGCCTCCTCTGTCATGGCTGTCAATAGTGGTCAGCTATGCTCGCGTCAGGGAGGTAAGCTAATAGAAGTGCTTGTGGCTAAGGACTTGTGTGCCCACAGCGTCTTTGCAAGTTCCTATTGGTAGAATAATGTGAAATGTCCTTCACAATGCGGTGGTTGTCTCGGTTAGGCCTGCACATTGGGCATCAAAACGCTTTGTACACGGCCCACTGACAGCTGAGTTCCATTACTCACATAGACATGCGGAAGCTGTGATGTGATCGACGTGAGCCAAGGTCATGTTTTGAGCATGCCTAGTTCGCCAGTCGTCTTGTATGCAGCGCCACAGGAGGGTCGGGCATGCTAACAGCAGAAGCGTGATTCGAGGATTACATCTCTAGCGCCAGGAATGAGTGCCACCCAAGAAGTGTAATTGCTTGAACATCACCAAGCTCCGAATCAAAGCCATCATAGCGATTAACGACATTGTGTAGCACGGCTTTCCTTCAACAACTACCGAGATAGGTTTATGCGAGTTCGAGAGCATCGAATGTCGAAGCCACAAAGGGAAACTTGGACCGATCGGCCGAACCATCTGCTGAGCTTTGATACTGCGCGGAGCAGGAGTTCGTCGAACTTCACCTAGCTTAAAGCTTAGTGTAACGATAGCACGTCAGACGTCTGTGCGATCGCAGTGCGAGCGTTCCGAGCCATAGGGGAGGAGCAGATCGCAAGGTACAAATATGTAACATGTCGTCTCTCTGTTCCTGACTCTGTCTTTTTGACGCATATAGTTCTTTTGCCTATTTACTTGTTGCTCGGCCACTATTATGGTAAATCTGTAAGTCAGAGCAATGAGCTACTCCACAATTAGTAAGTCTACAAAGGTACACCTAAAAAGCATCGCCATTTTATCTTGTTCAGCTTTGCAATCTGCTTTTTAATGAATATGACTTTGAAAGGGAAGCTTCCAAGAGCGAAGCAGCTCTCGATACTGCCTTTTGTAACAAGATTGTTGGCTGAAGGTGATCTTGTATGGTATGGAAAGATAAAGAGCGCGTGTCGTCTCAACGCGACATCTAGGGTCGGACCTTCCCCAGCTTGGCTGAGGTGCGCCTGCCGCGCTCGAACGCCGGCAACAACGATAATTCTGCCAGCCATACTGTCTCCCCTTATTGACCTCACAATACATCTGACCAATCATCTCGTTTCATTCTTTCATTTCTTGTGTGTGCCTTGTCAGAGCAACGCGTTGAGGATATGCCAGCCTTGCAATGCCAAACATGTTCGTTCACCGCACATTCTGGTCTCAATTTGTTCGTGTTTTCTTCGTCGAAAATGCCAGGTTCAGCTGGTGTAGTCGACCTTTTCCAGTTCCTGATCCAACCTCCTTATCCCCAAGCGTGATTATCGATCCACGGACGTGAGACACGCAGAGAGAAAAAGCAGCAGTCCGAGTGTGCGTGGTAAACGGCGAGAAGAGCTAAAAGGCAGGACTGTAGCTGGACATCAACGATCTCTCAGTGGTGAGATTCCAGCTGGGAGAAGTTGACGCGTTGTGTGCTTAGAAGCTCTTCAACCGCGGTTTGTGATCAAGATGCCAGAGCAGAAGCAGCAGGGTATTGTTGGTGCTGGGCCACAGCCTGCGTCACGGCTGGTAGCTGCAATAGACACATCCTCACCTTCGCTGATACCATATCAGCGACCTCTGAGCAGCAGCTCATCCCCTGATTTGACATCACCCGTCATATATCCACTTGCTTTGAGTGAGCAGTCTTGTGAGCAGCGAACAAACCAAGAAATCTGTCGGCCGTTGCTTGAACCAGGACACCCGGCTTCTCTTGAGCATCGCGCGTCAGAACAACAAGAAAGCATGAGCAACCACAAGATATCAACTTCCGGACAACAGGTACTGATCGAGCCTCAAGTCGGATATGCGCAAGAGAACTTGCATACGATGTCACAGTTCCGCACCCCAGGAAAAGTTATGAGTCTGGATTCATGTGCAAGAGAAATATGCCGTCGACTTCAGGCAGGTCGTAAAGCCCTCTCATTGCTCGAGATACTGGCCTCACCTCAATTGCTTACCCTCGAGATTCTCGATCAGAAGACGCATGCTGTGCTTGGCCCTACACTCAGATGTCTGGTTGAGTACGACAGCAACGCGTATTTCTGTATAGTCCGTGAGCGAAAGGCCAAGGAATTCGGCTGGCGACCGTCCCCAGACTTCTCGACGCGAGTGACCATAAAGATGAGGTCTGGTGAGATACTCAAGCCAATCGGGAAGTTTAAAATGCTTGCAAGGTGTAACAAAACAAGTGCACTAGTGAACGAACTATGTTATGTCGTGCCAGAAGCTAGTCTTCCATTAGCAGAATGTGTACTGAGACGCGAACATATCACCACCAAATACTTAGAATGCACCAGTCCGCCATTTTTTTGCAGGACATTGAGCGAGTCGAGAGAATTCGTGACGTCCAATAACAGGAGCTGAGAACGCCGAGCTCTAGGGACGAATAACATTGTCCGAACCCATCCCGCGAAGCGTGTCACACATCTGACGCACTGCTCTACGTTTCGTCTGGGAGCATAGATCGAAACAAGCCGAGCCGGTGAAGGGCATTCACTTCAGTCTCTCAAATGCTGAGCCTGGCCGTACGAGATTGAGTAGCATGATACTAGAACAGTATGACTCCTGCACATTCACTCACCGCGTCTTCTGATACAGCTCGTAGAGTGGTTGCTGGACAGCGATGAGCTCGAGTTTGGCCATCTGCAGCCAGTCTCAGGGGCAGGGGTCAATGCAGTCTGCTGATCGTGTTGAATTGAAAGGCTCACTCTTCATTGGCAATGGAGTACGGCTCAGGCAGACACGTCGCTGATTGCTCACACCTGAAAGCAATGCATGACGCGCTGGCAAACGATAGTTTTCTGCCGGAAAGAGCGGTATCCTTGGACCCTAATCGCGATATCATCTGATATATAGCTCAGCCTTTGGCACGTCCGCTGGCAAGTAATCATGGTAACCCTAACTCATACTCAGGAGAAGCCAGCAGGATGGCAGTCAATGACACAACGCAAATGGATGAGAACTGGGTGCAGGCTTTGCTGAGCACCTCTATTGAGATATATATAGCCGGGGAAGCAAGGGCAGGGTCCAGATCTATTCCCTCGCGTTGCTTGCCGCAGATGCTGGATACCTCCGTGTCAATAAGTCAAATCAGCCGCAGAATACTTCAAAGTTTCGAATACAACGAAATTAACCGAACATGTCCAATGTCGGGGGAATTTGAAACCTTGACCTTGTACCAGGGCCAACAGGTGAATGGAGTCGAAATCCATTTTCAGGTGGTCGACGATCCAGGAACGTTTATCCGGCTGAGCAAGAGTGATTTGGAGAACCTCCATAACACCTGGACGATGGACAAATGTATTGATTTGCCGAAGTTCAGCGTTGGTAAAGAGGACGATAAGCAGTACTTCTTATTTTGTCCTGCCTGTAACAGCGCGATTCGGTTGGACAACATCAAGACATTGCTTAACCACAAGAGGCTCGCGAAACTTGTCGCCGAGCATTCGGGCGTTATGCTGTATGCGGCCGACTTGATGTGGGAGCACGAATAGGTGAAGGAGTTGGAGTTTTGGGATTGCTTATGGCGTCTTGGGCAGCGCAAAACGATTTCGAAACTTCACAATATGGTTCATTGGTGACCACCTTACCTGCTGGTGAGATACTTGTTGTAAGTAGATGTTCTTGTTTCTAATCGGGTTTTTCTTGTGATTCACAAAAAGAAAAAAAATATATATAATAGGCGAGAGCTTTTTTGACCATAGCCAACCAGTTTCGATATTAGCCAGATCCTTTGCGCACCTTGTTCACCGCTTCGCATTCTCTCTTCCTTGCTCGCAACCTGACATGCTTGTCCCGCTGCTTCGTCTGCCATACAAGAACAGGGTATATGTCAGTTCATACGTACCTGCACCAGGATTTGAGCTGATACCATGGCACGTAAATGACACAAAACTCTTGCACGGGCACATTTGACCGATGACTAGTCAGTATATGAAGGACCGTCACAAAACACCTGAAACCATTTATTCATTTCAGTATCACAATAAGGAGCACCAGAATTACAATCAGCACAATAATAGTCGTCATGCCCCAGTTGGCCTTCGCCTTCTCCCCAACTCGGTTCAACTTCTTTTTTGCCCCGTCTAGCCTTGACTGATGCCTGTCAACGCCCCTATCAACCTCGTCGAGCAACGCTATCTGTCCCTCCAGCTCATCTGATATCTGCATGCCGAGATATCTCTGGCGACCTATACTCTCCCCTAAACGATCGAGCTGGTCGTCCTGATCTTGCATGATTTGTTGGTGATATTCATGGACCTGCTGGTTCGACATGTCTGTCGTCGGATCCGGCAGCTCTTCGTCTCTGTATCGTTCTTGGAACAGGGCCGCTCTATTCGCTTCTTCGGCGGAGTCTAGCGAGTCTTGTGAAGGGTTGTCTCGAAAACGGACGTTTTTTGTGTTCGTGTTTCGTTTCGAACTGTCTATGCTTGTTCTTGTTTGTGCGTGGGCAAAGTCTTCTCGTAAAGCAAGATCGTTTGGTTGTGATAGGGTGGCTTCGGCTGTTGTTGAGGACTCGCCGTGGAACTCGCGGAACAGATCATTGTACTGTGCTCTTAGGTCTGGAAGTGCTTCCTCATCTGGTGATTTGGATTCGAGTGCTGCTAAGCTCTCTCGGAAGGACTCTAATGAGCGTGAGATGTTGGAGTCTTGTGCAGGGTTGCGCTCGAGGTTGAGCGACTGCGCACGCTGTCGTTCGAGGAGCGACAGTTTTATGTGGTCCGCTAGAAGCAGTAATTGCGAAGGGTTCGACATGCTGTGTATAAGTAGGCGCAGCACAATCGTAGCTAATCGTTGATCGAGCTGCTGGTATCTCGTGGTATGGTCTTTGTTGAGTGAGGTCTGCTTCCAGTATACTCAGCTACAAGTGATAAGTTATCGAGCGTGACTATGAACGTAGGAAGCAGTGCTGCAAGCTCAGATAATGCTGTTGGTTTGTGGAGGATGGGTATAGATATCTGCCTTGTCTGACATCCAGCAGATCGGTGGATGTTCTAAGAAACGGAATCGTCGGCTTGTTCCAGGCTCTAAAGTCGCTTAGCGATGTGGCTTGCAGTGGAGACGATCCCGCTGCGGACATCCCTGGCTCGCTGAACGTGGGGCATGGTGCCCGGCATGTTTCGGCCTGCGCTGTGCGTGAGGGTAAACAATGTGCTCTTCACCAGCTTGGAGGATTCGTGTTGTATAGACACCACAGCGAAGCCTTCACTATTTTGCGAATTCGAGGGGACATGGCTGACCGACATGAGCCTGAGTTCTTGACCGTCCCTATCAACCGCCTCGACAGAACCAACGACGAAAACAGCACATTTCCAACCCTGTGGACCGAATTCGCAAGAAGCCATTCCAGACTCTCGTCTCCTCGCACGCCTACACGCGCTCACTTACGAGGCATCGTCGATGCTAGCAGCCCTGTTCCACACAAGAAACCTCCCCTCGAGCTGCGAGGCCTTGAGTATGTCTCAGACTACGACTCAAATCTGATGTGCCCCATCTGCCACGTACCCTTCATCGAGCCCGTTGTGCTTGACTGTGATCACACATTCTGTGGAGACTGTTTTGAGGAATACAAGAATGGCGGTTCCAGCACCGATCGTGCGAGGTGTCCAACGTGTCGGTCTTACTACCTTACGGATTCAAGAAAAGCGTCCAGGCTGATCAGGAACATGTGTAATGATATACAAGTACGGTGTCCGAACAAGGATTGCGAGTCGATTATGGCAAGAGGTTGCGTTGAACAGCATGTTATAACAGAGTGTTCCGAGCAGGAACTACCTTGCCCGGATATATTGTGCACCAAGCAGGTCAAACGCAAAAATCTACTTCCAGGACAATGCACACATAATTTACAGGTAGAATGCGGCTGTGGTGCTGTATTACAGCTAGAGTCTGCACAATGGCTCAAGCACAAGGCCCAAGGTTGTTCATCTACCAACCCAACATCGTCAATTCAAGCTGAGAATAACGCGAGCAACAACACAGAATCACACAAGCCTCAAGACTTCACATGTCCAGGAGCAGAATTTGGATGCACAGATCAGCTGAACAACACAGACAACCTAGAAACCCACACAAAACTCTGCCCGCTGGCCCGTCTCGCACCACACATGCAGAAGCAAGCCACCCTCCTCCAGCGCCTCCAAGACCAACTCACCATGACAAAGATCCAAAACGAAGTCCTTGAAACAGGCTTCGACCGCCTCAGCCAACTCGTCAACGACACCATACGTCCAAAACTCGAGACTCTCCTAGCAGACCACGACAACGCCTCCTCAATGTCTGACGTTGAAGAGATCCCTCGCGATCTGTCAGTCCTTCCTGCCCATTTACGCGAACTTACTCCCTCTCCGAATCACTTCGACCTCGAGCACAACCAGCACAACGCATCCGGATTTAATTCCGCCCACCACACCTTCCACAACCCACAGATCCACCTCGACCACCGTCTATCAACCCTAGAAAACCACTTCGGCACTGTCCAAGCCCAACTATCGGATCTGGACGCCCGTTCCTCCCTGGCACTGATGAATGAGACTCTCCGTATCAGGGAGGAGTTGGCGCAAATCAATGGCGCCATGTACAGTACGCGGGCGCAGGTGCAGTGGTTGCTGAATCGGGAGAGACTTGTGGGGCAGCGTGAGGCGATGAGGGGGAGGGTTGGTGCAGCGCCTGTCACGGCCAATTCTAGTGCTGTAGAAAGTGGAGGGACTGGTGAGGTCGGTGGAAGTGTAAGAATACCTTCTGGTAGGACTGGATCTGATGGTGGTGGAAGTACTCAGAGACCTGACATAAGTCGGAGCATGAGTTCTGCGTGGTCGGCGTGTCATAGTGGTGCTGGCGTCGGCTCTGCAAGCGGTCCGAGTAGCGCGTCAACAAGCCCGATATTTTCTGCTACGAGACCTTCTTTGAGGAGACCGAGTGGAAGTAGTAGCCAGGAGAGAGTTAAGCTGTAGTGAATCGAGCCAGTTGCTCGGAACGGGTCCTCTGAGCTGGGCAGAGATTTCGATGAGTAGGAAGACAATGATTGATCCATTCGATGCTACGCTAAAATGTGAATATAAAATACTTCCGCGTTTCTTCCATATCTGTCTCGCATCATTGCAGAACAGCTTTTGTAAAAAGTCGTTCTCGAGCTCCCTCGAGATTGTAATGTCTAGCTCACTACCGTACGACAGCACCCTTCAAAGACTTCACCGTGCACACACCCTTCCCTTGCACGACCAGGTTACCTTTGTCAGAACCATCGACCTCCTCGCATTGGCCAGCATCGAAGGCGACAGTGAGATCTTCAGTTGTGTAGAACCCGGGTTGAATAGCTTCCCACTGTTTCTTTTTAGGGTTGAGTTGCTTCTCAGGACCCTTGCCTTCGCCATATGGCCATCCTTCGAAGTACACTTTGTCACCAGCTTCAGCAGTCTCAGGTGGCTGTACAAGCTCCACGATCCTATCGGGTGCATGAGGGTCTGCACCTTCTGCTTGTTTTGGTGAAGCTGCCAGCACCATAGCTGCAGACTTGATGCTTCTCATGTTGACTGGTTTGAGATTGGCAACGACGATGATCTTACGGTTTTGCATCTCCTCTAGAGGAACGAGACCGTTGAGACCTGAACATACTGTTCGGACTACTTTGCCAGTTTCTTCGTCAACCTGAGTGTGCTCGGTGCCTTCCTCATCGCCCATGGCAATAGTGGAGACGTACAACGAGTCTGCGTTTGGATGTGCTATGGCTCGAAGAATGTGTCCTACTCTCAGGTCGATCAGGGCTGGTGAAGTGGGTGCCGTAGATGCTGCGGCTTTCTGTGGTTTCGGCTGTTTTGGTGCTTTCTCTTTCTTTGGCTTTGCGGCTGCTGGAGCGGTCGGATTGTCTTCTGAAGGTGCAGCTTCAGTTGTGTTCTCCTTCACATTGTCCGCAATCTCTTTGTTGAGTGCCGCAGCCTCAGAGGAGGAAGCCATGGTCGTGACGGATCGACTGGACGGAGGTTTCGTGAGACCAACAACAAGAGGCCTGTGTTCTGCAGGTGTGGTCAGAGAGTTTGCCTTGGAACGACTCATGCCAGCCCGCAAGATTTCCCAGTGTGCTTCTGCGGGATTTAGCTTGGCAGCAATGTCACCACTGATAGAATGTCCTTCGAGGCCTGTGATTTGCTGCACTTTTCGCACTTGTTTTTTCTCTTTTAGTTGAGCAAACTTGACTTCGCGTTTGAGCTGCCTCTTCGAAGGCGAAGACGCGTCAGTTTCGCAGGGTATCTTTGTACGACAACTCTGTTCTATATATTCTCGGAAGGTTGGGAGACCTAGTAATAAGGCTAACCTCTGCCGCTCGTCTGTAGCTTGTGTTGCACGCTGTAGACGATTCAGACGCTCTGCTTCAGATTTTGGAGCAAATGGCAGGTGTGATGAGTCTTCTTCCTGTTCGAACAATGCTTGTTCCTCCTTCTTGAGACTTGAGATGTTCAAGGTAGGTTCTGACACACTTTGGTCGGCTAGTGCAGTTGAGGGCGGTGACTTCAATTCTGCAAAAAGATGTGCGATTTTCTGATAGGCAGCGACTATGCCGTGGTACCACAGCTGTTCCCACTCGACTTGTGCAGGGTGCTTGAACTGACTCAGAAATTCTTTGGGAAGTTGCTGCGACTCGAACGAAGGATAGTGGGGCACATCAGATAAATTTCTGTGTGCGTCATTGGCTTGCAGTTTCGAGCTCGCTTGACCTGCTTGGATCCGCAGAGATTTGCTCTGGAGGCTGGTGCTCAGAGCGCGACGGCCGTATGGTTGAGGGACATGCTTGGGTCCAGCCATTGTGGACGATGCAGATGTTGCGAGATGCAAATAGATATCAAATGAGGGCCGAGATAAATATGACTTATAGTGCAAGGAATGAAGGTGTATGCAGTTACGTGAAAAGAGGGCAGAAGAGGAGATGAGCATAGTGAATGAATGTGATCTTCAAGTAGGTACGTTGAGAATTTGACACGAGGGAAGGAGTAACACAAGGTGTTCAGATGAGGAAGTCGAGACTCGGGCTGACCAAGCTGGTGCGAAGATAGTTGTCAGAGAAGGAAGGACTTATGGAACAATTGAAGAAGCTAGTGCTGTCTCTTACTATCGATAGACATTCAATCTACACGACAGAACAAGGCACTGACAGTCAGCAACGGAATTTCGAGCCATACACTGTTCCTTGATGTTAAGCACTTCTATACTGTATACCCAACGCCAACGCTATGCTAATCAAAGTCAGATATTCATGAGTGTGGTGCGAATCCCAGAGAGGGCGTGGTCGCTTCAAATACCACGAAATTAGATTTGAAAAACACATCCCCATATATCGAAAACGGAATACCACCGCTGGACTGCATGCCACCGAAGCAGACTGTGCCATGTTAGTAAATATTGCAAGAAACAAGACATGAACTTACAATCTTCTCCAGATGTGGTGTCAGTTCCAATCGCTGCGAAATTGAAATTCGCGCCGGCCACGGTCGCCATCTTGTTACCAATGGCCACTTGAAGATCAGGTAGTTGGGCGTTGCATGGAAAGATCACTCCACCGACTTGTTGATTTAAGGTGGCGCCCTCTACCTCGTTCCAGTAGGCCGTCAATAGGTCATCGGTAACGAGCATAAGTGATGTACCAGTGTCTGCAATTGCCTTGCCGCCTTGGATTTGAACAGCCTTGTTGTTGACGATAGCACTAGTAGAGTCAAACTCCCAGAACCCACGAGAAGAATCAATAGGTATAACGTTCAGCTCTCCGGTAAAGGAGCTGGTATCAATATGCCCAAACTCGTACGAACCTGCCGCGTCGCCTCTGAGTTGAGCAGTAAAGACGGGTTGCGAAAGCTCTGCAATGACATTGTCGAAGAACGTTTTCTGTGCTGTTGGGGATACAGTATTGAGCTTACTGAATGCCAGACCGACCAGTCCGTTTGAAGCACTATCTGTGACGAAGGATTGCGAGACTATGTTGGGCACACCGATAGCCTGAACATCGACCGTCGAACCCCCGACATCGAAAGAGTCTGTGCCGACTGGGCCACTTGCGGTTGAACCATCACCATAGGAGATGTTGAAAGTTTCGCCTTCGAGGAGCTTGAAGGTAGAAGACTTGCTAGGGTCGAATACAGTATGCCCTTGTTGCGATCGTGCTGGAAGACCAGTATTGAAAACCCAGGTGTCTGCCGAACCACTATCAAAGTTGACGATGAGCTCCTGTCCACCAATCGTAACAGGCGAGAGAAACTGAGCGTCGTTCTGTGTTCCAGTGGCAGTTGTCTCGCCGTTTTCCGTGCCACTCGTGGAACCAGCTACAGCCGAACTGATTTTCTTTGCGACATCGCCAGTAGGGACTATTGTGAGATCACCAAAGCCAAACTTGAGCTCTCTTTTGTGGAGTGAGGATGGACCAGATAACGGCTCTGATATTCCGAATTTTGCGTAGGCCCTCTTCAGTGCTTTTGGACCGTTTGGGACATAGTTTTTGACTTCGACCCTGGGGACCTTAAAAGAGCGTTTGTTAATAGATCTCGAATTGATTGGTATCGCTAACGTCGATGCGGCCAGTAGTGTAAGAATGATAGTGATGATGCTTTTGGTCATTTTCAATAATTGTCGGATGTTTGTAAAGAACGTTGCCAGACGTTATGCTTCAAGGATGTGTGAGGACTTCTAACCAGGAAGATTCCAGCGCGTGAGTTTAGTAGAGAATGTAAGATATAGACAACCAGTGCCGTGAGTCAAGAAGGTGAACGCAAAGAAGGCAACGTACTCAAGAAATGGCAATAGTGAACGAGAAAGCAATGGGCGTGGTACGAAGCATCAACAAGAATCTGGGATGTAGACGAACGATATGCAGCCATGTTTCTGGTATACCAAGACTCCTCGGATCTGAGCGACCTGGAGCAGACGCCCATGGCAGAGCGTAGACCTCAGATGGAACACAGATACGCGGCAGTTTTGGCATGCCTATCATAGCGGTGCTTACTTCGTCAGCAGGAGAAGACTTTTCAAAACAGGAAGCGATGGTACACGTTCGTTTCTAGCATAGTATCATCCACAAAAGATGCAGTTTCGAGGGAACGCAGTCACAGCTCCGAAACAGTGGAGCGGCTGAAAAGCAGAGAACAGGAGTCAAAAGAATCGAAAAGCAGTTGGGTTTGCTGTCAGCGAATGAATGGCTAATCCGGAGCCATTTTCCTGGAAGATGAAACAAGGTAAACAGGAGCTGAAGTTTCATCCGCGACAAGGCTACGGCTCTTGGCAAGCCTAGGCCCTGCCCGTTGTGGTCAGCAAAAGCAGCCGCGAAGTCTGCTGAGGTTTGTGTATATTCGGAGGACACCTTTGCTGACCACCAGGTGCCCACCCGATGCGGATTCCGCGTCACTGAATTTGACCCCTGAAATTGTTTATGGATGTACCACAGCGAACCTACGAGTGGACCATTTACTCGGAGTGCTTCTGAACGGAACTGGTTATGTAGACGCCGCTTTGTACGAGACAGATCACAACGTCACATGAATGTGATGTTGAACTCGTGTTCGTGACTACTCCTTGTTTTGAGCGTCCTTCTTGACCTTGACACATTAAAGCGCTTCATGCGGTTGTGGTCCAGAACGTTGAAAGCCAAGCTTTAGCTGAGACTCGCATGTCGAGGATGCAAATCCTGTGAACAGACATTGACCTTACATGCAAGATCTCAAGAGATCTGCGGACTGTGTGCAAGCGAGCCGAAGCGTCGTGATCTCTCTGAGCATAAGTCATGCCGTTAGATAACTTCTCGTGAGCCGAGAACCTCGAATTCGAGGGGTTATGGTAGCACAGCGCAGTAACTGAAGCGTGCTAACGATGAAGGTATTCGTAATTCCCGCCTGAGTTCGTTGCGACCGTCATCAAGTTTCGTGCACAAGTTTTCGAACAGACTGTACGACGTGCTCCAGAGCTTCAACTGCTGGGCTGTCTGGATAGGCGTCCATGAAGCTTTCACCTTCATCACACGACATACCTATTCGTGGATCAAGAGGAACAGCACCCAGAAAGGGGATGTTCATATCTTCGCATAGCTGTCTTCCCCCTCCTGTTGTTGCCTTGAAAATCTGAGACTTGTGTGTGCATTTAGGACACACAAAGCCGGACATGTTCTCGACAAGGCCCAGAACTCGAATTCCTGCTTTCCTGCAAAAATCAATCTCTTTCCGCACATCCAGTAGAGATACCTCTTGCGGAGTTGTAACAACGACTGCGCCATCCACACCCGACTCTTTCAGAAATGAGTTGACTGATAGGTGCTCATCCGATGTACCGGGAGGAGTATCTACAATCAGGTAGTCGAGTTCACCCCATTCCACATCTTTCAGGAATTGCTTTATCAACCCATTCTTCTTCGGTCCTCTCCATATTACAGCATCGTCGCGGTTTGGGAGCATGAACTGAACGCTCATAACGCCCAGGTTGTCCGTTACCCATACAGGACTCCAACCAGCATTGCTGATATGTATTTTTTCGTTCTCCACTCCCATCATTTTAGGAATGGAGGGTCCGCAAATATCAGTATCCATGATGCCTACTGTTGAGTCGGGGTCTGCCGCGAAAGCATGGGAGAGAAGAGAAGAGAAAGTGGATTTTCCAACACCTCCTTTTCCTGAGAGCACTAGGATCTTGTGTTTGATGCCGGCGAGACGTTCGGTGATTATGGGAATGTCTGGATCGGGACCTTTAGGCGCAGATTGACATATTTGCTGGTTAGGACATCCTGCGCAAGCATCGCCTTGACCGGCTTGCTCAGATTCTGGACCTGGACAATGTTCTGTATCAACGTCAGAGAGTGCTACCCATCATAATTTTGACCACTTGCCTGGCTCGGGTGCGACTAGGTTCGGCTTCGCTTTGAGTGGTGTCTCGAGCGCCTCGTCGACGGATCCCAAAGGCCTATCATCTAGATATGGTGCCATTTAATGAGGGGAATAATATACGAAGAGAATTTCATACGATGCGCGCTGCATGAACAACATCTTGACGATCTGACAGCACTGCTAGAAGTACTGGGCTGGCAAACGAGCGGCGACTGCAATCGGCTTGATCTGCACTAAGCAGACTTGCCATACCTTTTGCGGGGTCAACACGGTTGCATGCGGCAAGTGTTTCTGATAGAGTGTATCGGCTTAGTAATGACAATCGCGCCCATCTTAACAATACTTGCCGGTAGATTCTGCTTCACATGGCGGCACCTGGGCAACAAGCTACATGGAGCCACTCATCGTGGTTGCAGCATTGCGTCATCAAACTACAGCAGCGTTCGCTGACAGCTTGAATTACCTTTCGTGTTTTCGGATGCGCACCCTCGTGCATCTTGCATATCTGACGAACGCTCTAATCAGATCCTGATAGAAATATTATTCATTCTCGCAGCTGTCGTTCTCTGTCTCAACCAAATACCTTATGTTGAACCTCCGCGGATCCTGACTTATTGCGTCATCTGCCGTAGTGCGGATACAGTTCTTTCTCGCTTCACATCAAGCCAATAGGCGCTGTGGTTGCGACACTTCTCGAACCACGGGCTCCCTTCATATTTTCGTGTCTTTGCCTCAAATTAGCCGTATTCTATCCGTCAAGCACGGCAACTTTTCTTGAAAGCAACACGTGCTGTGCTGCACCTTCACTTTCCGTGATGCTGTCGATCATTCTTTCCCACATGTGATTGTCTTGCCGTTTTCTTCTTATTTCCTGAACATTGACATGCAACAGAACGAAACATCTTTTCTTCTTAGCATTGGAAAGACACCTGACGCAAAGCGAAATGGCTCAACCCGACTCGCTGGGGACTGAAGGTCTGCGTCAACGAAATGTGCCTCTACAGGCGGCTTCCGAAGAGGAAGCTCGCCAAGCTGTGCTGCAGCTCAACTCTCAGGAGGAAAATACCAAAGATGCCGATAACGAGAAGAGAACCTTTGGGAGGACACCAGGTGGGACGGGTAAGTCATGCACGTCGTTTTGCCTTTATGAAGCCACCGACGTGGACGCGTGCCATACTGATCTACTTAGTATTTGTCGTGCCTGAAACGAAGGATATGGTGTCGCAGCTGTTATCGCCATCCGAGCCAAAGAATATATCAGATCTCCTCATCTTGGCTGTTCTTGCTTCCATGATCTCGCTGTTGTGGCTGCCCAAAGCGACTCAAGTACCCACCTTCGGCTGCCTCTTCGTCTTCTGGAGACTTTCCTACAATATAGGAATTGGCTGGTTGTTACGAAAACAGTCCAAGCAGCAAACCCTTGTTCGCTGGGCACGAAAATCGAAACTTTTTGGAAAGCCCTCTGCGACAGAACATCCAAGACTTCGAGCTTTCATCAAAAGTGAGCTCGAGAAAAAGATCGTTCGCAACTACGACTTTGACGATGCACCTCTTGAGTACAACACATGGCTCGTTTTCCGACGTATCGTTGACCTGATCCTCATGTGTGACTTCACATCCTATATGCTTTTCGCCGTTGCCAGCTGCTCAAGGCCAATTGGAGAGTTCTTCCTGACCACTATTACCCGGTGGATTGTTGCAGCAATCCTTGTCGCTTTCAACCTTTGGGTCAAACTTGATGCCCATCGAGTGGTCAAGGACTTCGCCTGGTATTGGGGTATGTTCGCTCACAGCTCCATCTTGTTCTACAAGCTTATACCGAACAGGAGATTTCTTCTTTCTGGTGGACCAGGAATTGGTGTTCGAGTCAGTCGCCCTTAACGTCTGATATCCTCTGAGCTAACGTGTGATAGTGGTTGGTGAAAATGCCGTTCATGGAGAACTAGACTGACGACTTAGGTGTTTTCGAGTTAGCCCCTCACCCTATGTATTCCATTGGCTACATCGGCTATTACGGAATAGCACTTGCCACCGCTTCGTACCAGGTACTCTTTCTAAGCTTGTTTGGTCAAGCGAATCAGTTCTTCTTCCTTTGGAACACAGAACAACCGCATATAGATCGTATCTATAGCTCGCCGCCCTCCAGAAAACAATTAGACCATTCACCACAAAAGCCACCAGAGACGCACAACACGCTCAGCCTTGATCTATATCGCGTAACCGATACCTCAACGATTATTATCCAGATCCTCCTGTTCCTGTTAACGATCGTCACACCGAAAAGTGCACCATACAAAGCCCTGTTTCTAATCGCTGCAGTACTGTGCAGAGTCTGGTTCTCCTTAGGTCTAGGCTACCTGCTTGATCGTCAATCCGAAAAACAGGCATGGACTCGACATTTTTTGAAGCACGGAGAAAGCACTGGGGTGAGTAGACTACCAAACTATCAACTAGCTAGCTAGCCTGTTATCGGAGGATAGCTGACATTGTGGACAGGAAGCGTTCCGACAATGGAAAGGTATCTACCACATGAGTATGACATTGTCATACGCCACATTTGCTGCCCTGACTTGGAAAAGCTACCATCCACCTTCAGCATGGGATGAAGATCTTGTGCTTCTCAGACACGTGTTTGGATTGAGTCTGGTGGCGCTCCAGATCTGGGTCGCAGTTAGTGTGTATCAACAGCTGGGTGAATATGGCTGGTTTTACGGAGATTTCTTCTTCTTTTTCGAAAACCAGTCATCCAACTTGTCATATTCGGGAATCTACCGATTCCTCAATAATCCAGGCAGAGTTCTCGGTCTGGCTGGGCTGTGGGGCTGCAGCATAATCACTAAGTCGAAATCTGTCCTAGGTCTTACTATTTTGTCGCATGTACTAGAATGGTTTCTAGGCAACGTTGAACGAAAGCACATGATGAAGTTGTACGGAAGACATATCCGTGAAGACTCCGGAATGGTTCGTGTCCTCAAACGGTCATTACCACCACCATTGCGACAATTGCAAGACAGTCTCGAGAAGCGCCTTGCGACTGTACTTGATAGTCTCGAAGAATACTTCGATGCAGCAAAACCACAACTCGAGGCTCGCTTTACCAATGTTGTGGGTCCCACCAGAAGTTGGCTCTCACAATATCCAGCTAGCCTTGCCATCATTAACTCAGAGATGGATACTACGAATATGGATACGAGCGACTATGCCATCGAGGTTATTGGCGACGAGCGAAAATGTGAAAAGAATGCCTCCGACTCTATCCTACAGCTCGAGTATGGCAGCCCAATCAAAGTGAAATGGACTGCGCCTCCCAACCACAGTAAACGTGATTGGATTGGGCTCTATTCATTGGCGTCCCGTAATACATCTCGCCAAGTCACCCACATCCCTTCTAAAGGACGCTGGATCGCCACGAATTCAGGAGAATATGACGATGTCACACCAGAGCAAGGCATCATAGCATCAGATGTGAAGGTAACCCGGCCAGACAAAGTCGGACATGAAGTCGAGCTCATGACTGGTGAGGTACTATTTGCAGGTGAGAAATTATTCTGGGAACAAGGCATCTTCGAATTTAGGTACCATCACAACGGCAAGCACAACGTTATGGCCATATCGCAACCCTTCGAAATCCGCATACCTCGGTTCAACGAAGACAATCTCGGCTTCCTGGACTCGTCAGGCGACTCTCTGTCGAGCATACAGACAGAAGAGTTCATTCAAAGGGCCATTGAGAAAACGCTGTTGCCCGTGGTTCGCAACTGTTTCGAAAGAGACCCGGAGATTGCTCCGAGCACGCCCCAAGAGACTTACGGTGGCCTCATCGACCGCAATGGCAAGTGGGCCAGTCGGGTCGTCTACTTTATACAGCACGCTTTCGGCTTAGAGCTACACCCGCAGGTAGTCAAAGCAGATGGACGGATATCGAACCTTGCTTTCCGAATTGTGGAAGCTGGCAAGATACTGCAGCCGTACAGCATGTCCAAGTCTCGCGGTACGTCCACGCCTGTGGAATGACCGGCGTCGTTCGTTGGAAGAAGGAGGATCCAATGAGGCTAGGTGTGGAGCTGCAGAGACAACAGTAACACTTTGAACATTTTCGTATGCTTTCGGCGTGTACGGCTCCACTAAATATGGAAGGGATTGAGCTCGGACGTGTCGGTTACAGTAGAAAAGTTTATCATTTATGTTCGTCACACAGGCAAGCACATAGAAGACAGCATGCATACTTACTTTTGCTCATGCAATTGACATTCTTTCACGTACCTTCTGAAGAACGCTACTCAACCGTGAGCGTGTCTGGGACGTGGGATCTCATAGTGGAGCATCACGTTCGGCATCAATCACTTAGCCGTGATAACTTTATTCACACACGCCACACGTGGTTTCAAGCACGAATGATGCAGATGAACACCACAGGCTGGAGTAAAGCCACCTGTACAGATGAAAGATCTTCGATACTGCTAAGTAAACGCATACATACATATACCCGGTTTCGCGAAGACGCCTCAGAACATTTTGCATAATCAACTCATCCGCTGTTTTGGCAACTTTGGCAATAACAACCAGATGAACGTGATCACAACCAACAAAGCCAGCACAATCGGCTGCAGAACCATTACACCTTTACTCTGTGCGATTGCACCGACCGCAAAGGGTAACACGGTTGCGCCGCTTGCTCCTACAGCTGCTGCGAATCCGACGGCGGCGACGTGTAGACGCTGGCAGATAGTTAGCAAACGGTCAAAGTGCAGAACAACACAGACAGTGGACGGTCTCCTCTTCGTAGTGGGTAGTGGAAGGGCAATGTACTTACTTTCGGCAACAGCTTCGTCATCGCCACAACAGCAGCAGGAAAGAACGGGGCAATAAAGAAACCAAGCAAGCCAACCATCACTGCCGAGACGTTGAAGCTCGGTATCAGCCAGAACAGCAATTGGAGAACGATGCAGATGATAAGGTAAGTCGCGACGGCGTGTTTCTCAGTCGGGAAGCAACGCGCGGTGACGAAGCCGAGGACGAACCGGCCAAGAGTCACGCCTAACCAGAATCCTGTCGCTACGACACCAGACGCGAATTGAGTGCCGCTGCGGACACGTAACATGAAGGTGACGATCCAGCCGCCAACGGAGACCTCTGCGCCGACGTAGAAGAGTAGGAACAGGGCGGAGAGAATGGTGACACGATTGTTGACGGCTTCTGCGGTTGTGCTTGGTGCTTTCTTCAACGGATTGAGCTTTTGTAAGAACGAGGGGCTTGATGTTGATTTAAGCTTGCGGGAGCTTCGTATTGGTTTGTTCATGATGAAAGCGTCGTGGAAGGGATTGAAGCGTTGTTGCCATGGGGATTTTGTTTTGCCACTTTCAGGAGACTCGTCTGTGACTGGTGTCATGGTTCCTGAGCCGCCGTCTGGAGAATCGTGGTGTGCCGCAGCCAGAGTTGCGGCGTGAGCTCGGTATACTTCGCCGGTTGCCTTCCAGAAAGCACCTGTCAGAAAGAACACTTCGATGAGAGAAGCTCCAATCATGAAGTAGTAGAACTGGTACCATTCCCAACCAGCTTGAGTGATAAGAGATGTGGCGATCAAAGGTGAGAGTAACGCACCGAACCCATACATGCCGTGGAGAAAGCCAAGCACTTCGTTGGCATTCGCCATATCCCCGATCCAGGCATTCCAACCTGAGTCTCCCAGTCCGTTCCCGAATCCAGCAAGCATGAACACCACGACCAGAACTGGATATGGCGGATGGAGTGCGATAACGATGTACGCCACCAGATGGGAGACACTCATTATGGCTGCAACTCCACGCTGGCCAAACCTGTTATGGATCATGTTGTTTGTCAACGCGGAGGCAGTATAGCCAACTATGGGAGACAAGAACACGAGACTGATTGTGATATAGTCGATGCCGTAATAAGTCTCGAGGTAAGGTATGAGGGCACCGTAAGCTGCATCATTCGCTCCTAGTATCATAAAATCCCAAAAGGTAGCCAGCACTCTAATTATGTTGATCCTTGGATGATTCCATCTCTGCAGAACTGGCGTCGTGTTTGCGGTCGTCGGGCTAGGCAAGGTTCCTTCATTGGCTTCATCGAATGTTGTGAGATTCGCTGGTGTTGTGTCGTTGGCTTTGGTCGACGTCCATTGTGCTGTTTGCTTCGATTCCTCTGGATATGTCGGCATTTCCATGGTCATTGTAGAAGATCCTCCGCCATTGCGATTGACGCCGAAGATCTTTCTCGGAGCCATGAGACAAGTGATGAGGTCGACAATGTCCGAGTTGTCGTGTATCGAACCCTTTTCAGCTTGTAGGACTCGGTCGCGAGTTGTACCCGCCGTACCTGGATTTTCAGACAGAAATTCGAGTTGGAAGAAGATGACAAGGTCTTGCTCAACGACGTTTACATCGAAAGTATATAATGTACTACCCTTTGAAGTAGGCTCATTCCATTCTCATAATGATGCCAGACATTCCTCTCTCTTGATCACGCTACGTACTACACTGAATAAGGATGATAATAGGCTGCATTTCTTCATGTATCGAGCGATCGGACGGCCCGGTTACTCAAAGACTTCTTGTATGAGCGCCATGACAGAAACAGGAGCACGCCCGCGATGGAGAGCCTGTTTCCACAAACTGAAATTTGTGACCGCTGAGATGTGCTATTGAAGCCATGGAACCAGTAAATTTCGTGATTGCTACAAAGTCTTGGCACGCTCAATCTTGGGGTTGATCTTCGGGAGTAAAAATGCGGAGGTCGTGATCAGCGGGATTTGACAGCTCTAGCACAAAGTGGTGCCGAAGTTTGCCCGGTCAAGTCGTATGTATCGGCGAAGTCAGGATACTACAGTAGTAGAAGCTCGATTACAAATATGCCAATGCAAAGTTTACCGGACAGCTGTATTTCCTTTGGCAGGAAGCAGCACACGGCCTGTTACAATGGAAATCAGAGATGAAGAGTTCTTAATGTAATGTTACTTAAACAGCAGTGAGGGTATCATAGCACTAACAGAAGGAACCTGTAGCAAAGTTCAGCGCTAATATGCCTCAAATCTCTATGTTCGTGTGTCTTCGTGTGTCCCATCGTAACGTCGTGTTTGCTCATGTGGCCGTATGGTTCTCAACCTGGAAGGCCAAGTTTATAAAATGAAATACTCACAAAATTCACCCCTTCGACAGCAAGCATCGGCCCTGTCTAAGACTTATTCAAGTCGTTACCGAAAACCTCTGTGTAGTGGGATTTGACCTTTTCGCACACTTGCGTGTTTCTTTTTCGGAGTTGTTCAAGCACATGCTTCTCAGGTCGACTTCCATCTTGCCATAGTTTCGCAAAACTGACACAGGTTGTCTCTTGTATAGTCTCCCAGAAACTCTTCTCGATGTCGACACCAAAAGTTTCGAGCGCGTCAGCTTTCGGCATCCAGCACCGAACAAGCTTTCCATTGGTGTCGCGTGTGGGTGTCTGTACTGCCGATATGCTATCATCGAATATCGTGTAAGGGTCGAATTTGGGATAATTGGCATGAATGAAGAGAGGTTTTGGAGGCGATGCGACTGTGACGGGACCTGGGTGAGCAACCTCGTTGGGGTCTTTGAGTGTGACAGGGAGCCTTGCATTGTGGAAGAAATCGTTTACAGGGTCGAACTGTATCATCGCTGTGCCAATGTACTCTCCACTGCTATCGTGCCTGCCAAAGCTTCGGACGGGCTGCTTCACAAAGTAGAATTCCTCGTTGAGGGCCGTCGCTGCCCAGGCAAAAGTTTCTTTGTCACCTTGACCAGGACCTCCTTGGGATTGCAGTAAATAGTAGTACTCCGGACCATAAAAGTTGTAGTATGTTGCTAACATAATGCTCAAACAATGTTTCGATTTGCTGTACAAAATCTCGCCACTCTCTGTGGCTGGCCGAGCATCGAGTGTAGGCGGACTGGATATTTTGGCAATATGAAAGAAATATGGCGATTCGCTTGCATACCAGAAATCCGGCCAGAGTACTAATCCTGAGTCTGTGAACGGCAAAGAATGGAAGAGCGGTTCTGGATTTGTGACAGGCCATGCGTCGGAGTCGAGCAGCAGCACATCCTCGAAAGATGAAAACAGAATCGAGAAGATCTTGTATTGATAGGTGTTGAGTTTCACGTTCGTGTCGGCTTCTGCGAAGATGTCGGAAAAGTATCGGCAATCCGCATTGAGGGATGGAAAGACTTTAGCGCAGAACTCGTCGGTACGAGGTGAAGGCCTGTCGAGAAATACCTCTACGGGAAGCGTGCACTGCGTCTTTCGAAGCATTCCCAAGGAGATGGCCAATACAGTAAGGAGACTGTCGGAAGCTGTGGTTACGATACCTCTGGTTCCGGCCACATACACAAGACTAGTAGGAAGTGACCGGATATCCTTGACGAAGTTCGCATGTGCACTCTTCATGCGTGAAACATCAGCCCCGTCCATCCAAAGAACATCAGGACGGGAATGTGCATGTTCCGGGTCATAGGCGATCCTTGGATTTCGAGGTACCACGAGATCTGGCTTCTTTTTACAGTGCGGATCATTGTTCAGTATGAGCTGATGCAGAATTTTCCAAAATTGAGCGCTTCGCAAGCCCAAAGGACTTGATGTTGATTCTGAACTCAATCTGTAATAACCCGGCACTGCTTCTCTATTGCTATGTTGCTGAGCCGTAAGGAGAATAATCAGAATTAATGCGAGCGCACCCAAAACTGCCGTCTGTCGTCTTTTCCGAGTGGTCGACCTCCATTTAAACATGATAGGTTCGTGCTATTAGCTTTCGTTCAACCGAGCCTTATCGTTCAGACACCATTGCGTGACCTCATCGGCTGACATGGTGAAGAGCAGCCAGCAAATTAGTTCATCTCGAAGATTGTCAAACAAAGACGCGTTCAAATGCCAATTCCAAGCAGAAAGATGATACAACAACGAGAATCCAAGGAAGCAAGAAATCGAGGACATTAACATGAAGCATGAAGGAAGAATTGATGAGGATGGCAATGTCAGTTCCAGCGGAGTTAGAAGTGGAGAGGACCAGGATCAAGACTTTTGACTTCGTGGCAGGAATGAGCGGCACTCAAGACACTGAAGGTGCGTTGGAACTGATAGAAGGACCAAGATACGATTGTTTCCTGCAGCAACGGAGGCCAGCGAATAATGCTAGTCGCGTGTCTCGGACAAATGATATCGCGAACAGTTCGCATGAAGGTGGTTGGAGAGAAATTTGTCGCCAGTTGCGAGTCTCATTTCACGTGGCCGGTGCATGGACGTTGTGGCGCACATTCTATCGGAACTAATCTCGATCCACATGTCAAGAACATGTTTCGCACCAAGCTTAACAATACTTGGCATCGGGTAACACGTGCCGATTTTGATTCAGTGCTGTGTTTGAAGTGCTTGGTACAGATATGTATATACTATCAAGAAGCTCGTCCATGCGAGAACTCATTAGAAAACCCATCAGTTGCCCCACATGACAACGCAAGAAAAGCTCCAAGTTTAGCCCTATGTTGTCCGTCACTTTTGGTCCCAAACGCCTCTAAATATGGCTCAGCAATGGCATGCTCAATTCCGATCTGCTTCAGAACGTCTCTGAACATTCAGTCCAGGCTGCATCACTTCCATTTAATCTCTTCATGTTCTCGTCTTGCTCTAGGATCTTGTCGTGCACACGCATCTTAGGCGGTGGCGCCATGTGTCCATATGCACCTCCTGTCCGCTTGCCATGTGCTGTGACATGATAAGCATCTCTTGCATCACGATCAGGCTCGAATTCACTGGCATCGGAATAGGTTTCCCAATTCTCACTACCACTGGCCGTGGTTCCGGTCGTAAGGTTCGAGGATGTGTTAGATGTTTGCCGCGAGGCTGGCCGTGCAGGGTTTTGTTGTACAGCAGCATGGAAATTTGCTTGGTGCTGATAGTGCTTCTCCCGATCAATAAGCGATGCTGACATATACGACATCCTTTCCCGATCATCATAGACATCTTCCGGACTGATTGGGCGAATGTATTTACTGCTAATATCTGATACAGTCGAACTCGAAAGTGCACTTGGTGGTCTGATTGAAGCGACATAAGGTGCTGGCGCCGCTGGCATCTGATCCGCAGTCTCGAGAAGGTTGCGCATCTTCGGTGGAGGAGCGCGAGGTGGACCCATCGTTCTCGTGGACTGCGCGAAATTTTGTTGAATCGAAGACTGGTCAAAGTTTTGTGCTGGTGGCTGTGGCATGGCAACGCGACGTTCCGGAGACTGACTGCCCTGCTGCACATGACTTGCCGGCACACGAGCTGGAATTTTCGATGGTGACTGTGGTATCCTCGAGGGTGGCTGGATGGAGGAAGAAGGAGGATTCCGTGCCATCGTTGGTCTTATGCTGGTGGGTGTTTTCGCTCCTGGCCGTGGTTGAGAAGAAGAAGTGCCGAATGCGCTCTTGGGTCTGGGTGGCTGTACAGGTTTACACGCTGCGCTTGGTACAGCTCTAGTCGATGGAGTTGGAGCCGGCGTCTTGGATCTAGGTGGAATACCGTTCGGTGTTTTCGAGCGTGGTGGTGGTACCTTCACTTCAAGAGCTTCTAATTCTTCTAGATACGATTCTCCATGCACGAGGAATGGTCGACCATATTCTTCCTCATATTGTTGCAAAGTCCTGGTAAGGTCCGCCGCGACCTTAGGCAGCTCCTTTGCAATTCGCTTCCTCATTTTTTCCTCCCTCAACAATTTACCTGGATCTCTCTTTTCCCCCTTCTGTGGTTTGAGCAGAAGTCGAGAGGCATCCGCGGCTGAAGCTGACAGAGCGTCACGGTCTGAGATAAGGGATTTATGCTTCTCAATCAAAGCAAGCACAGGAGCTCGCTGATCCTTTAAAGTCAGTAGACGTTCAATCTCGGCTTCGTGTGCTGATAGTAAGGCATCACTGTAGACATCTGAAAAGGCGGGCGTGAAGTCGAGCATTTCCTCCTCGGAGAAGTAAAGGGCATCCCACAACTCTTGTATTCTTACACGGGCATCTTCGACGAATAAGTGGAGATTTTGGCGCTTGAGTTCGTTCAATCGTGCGAGTTCGTCTTCAAACTCATTGATCGTTCTTAAGCCGCAGCCACGGTTTGCAGCCAAAAAGGCCTTGCGATCTGGTTCAGTGATACCAAGTCGATCCCATAGAGTTTCTATAGTGGCCTTGATATCTCTCAATCTCTTTTCTCTTGAGCGCTTCTCCTCCAAGAGCTTGTCTCTTCGGCTGCGCAGGCGGTCAACATCTGACTGGTGCAAACCAAGTTGTTCAGGCGAGTCGCGGTAGTGTTGGACGATGCCTGAATCCGTTTGAGCTTGCGGAACCCCGAGGTCTGACCAAAGTCGCACAATTTCTTCTGCCGTTGTTTGGACAACGTTGACTCGCTTGTTATACTCATCGTAGACACGAGTAAACTCGTCGTCTAGAGTTGCGACGTAGGATGGTGACAGATCGAAGGTTGGAGGACACGAGTTTGTGTTTGTGGGAGGAAGTTTGATCTTTATGAAGGAGGACTCGAGGTGTGAGGAATAGGACTCTAGTGCTTGAACGAGCTTCTTGACCTGTTCGAACCGTTCGCGATGAAGTCGACTGATGATGTTGTATTTCTCTTTCAAGTCGCGCAAGCAATCGACAAGTGGATAGCTAATTTTCATATCCTCCAAGTTGATCTCATAGGCGTAGTCTTTGCCATCCTCCAATGACTTCTCCATCTGTTTGATTGTACCAATGATATTTTGAGCTTCACTAGTCAGTTTGTTCTTCTCGTCATTTGCAACCCGTAGCTGGTCGTTAAGTGTTTCAGACAAAGCTGTGAAGAGCTGTGAAATATCAGCATTTGCTTCGTCGCAATACCAGCATTAACGCGTACCTCTGTCTCTCTGGACTCGCGCTCACTCCTAGGTACGCCTATTTCGTCGAAGATAGAATGTAATTGAGCGATGATGGTAGTGACCTGCGTTTGCAGGAAACTGGTGTCCATCCCGCCAGGCATATTGAGTATTGACACTAGAGCATGAGAAGAGGATTGCTTGGTCGCAAGACTGCTGAGCAGCCTCAGGTCGACGAGATGGTCAAAACGTGTATGTGTTTGTTCAAACGAGAGAAATCGTGCAGGTCGTTGTGAAGTGATAAGGATTGGAGCATCACGAAGTACCAGTATAGGTCAGTCCAATACATCGACGCTTGTCAATCGTCGTACAAGTCTTGAAACGACCTGGTTCGGTGGTTGTCACAGCAACGAGTGTCCGCCAAGCACAACCGCAGAGTGATTCGATGGGTTAGGATTCGTTTTAGGGAACCGCGAGCCCACCAAGAAACACGCTAGTCTTGGTGTGCCTGACTGCCTTTTGATCGCTTTCATGAATCTGATGCCTCAATTGCTGAACCATCATGCAGCTGGCTGCTTCATCGTCTGACACTAAGTTTCCAGACCAAAACACAACCACCAGCACATCTAAACCAGACGTCAGGTCTTGAAATATGTCCACAAACGCTGCGCAACGTTCGTGGGAGGCCGAGAATGATGTTATCACTATCGATCCTGAGAAGAATGCGCTCTACACTCTCCCAGAAACCAAACGCTACAAGACATTCACTGAAGAGGAGAGACCATGGAAAGCCGACCCTAATTACTTCACAGACGTCAAAATATCAGCATTAGCTCTGCTTAAGATGACTATGCACGCAAAAGATGGAGGCAATATCGAAGTCATGGGCCTAATGGTTGGGTATGTATCGGAGAAGTCCTTCATCGTCACAGATGCTTTCAGACTGCCTGTTGAGGCTACAGAGACAAGAGTCAACGCACATGAGGAGGCATACGGCTATATGACTACGTTTCCTGAGATGTCCAGACAGACGGATAGGCAAGAGAACGTGGTTGGTTGGTATCACTCACACCCGGGCTACGGCTGCTGGCTTTCCGGCATTGATGTTGGTACTCAGAAGAGTTGGCAGTTAGGCTCTGATCCCGCAATGGCCGTTGTCATTGATCCCCACCGAACTGTTTCTGCTGGCAGAGTCGAGATTGGTGCTTTCAGAACTTATCCCGACGGCTATAGACCTCACGACAAGAATCAGGATGATGGCTTCCAGGCAATTCCCACCGCCAAGGTAGAAGACTTCGGCGCTCATGCAAGTGATTACTACTCGCTGGAAGTTTCTCATTTCAAGTCTACCCTGGATCAGCAATTAATTGACCTTCTCTGGAATTCCTACTGGACCTCTACTATCTCGCAGTCACCACTCTTTTCGAATGCTGAGTATACCAGATTACAGATCGCCGATCAATCTATCAAAGTAAAAGAAGCTGCTAGAAAGATCAAACAGAACAGCGGTGGTCCCAGACGGACTGGGGCCGAGCTTGCGCCCTCTTCGGGGAGTAGGACAGACATCAAGATTTTGCCAGATAAAACTCTTGAACAGCTCGTGAAAGGAGGTAACAAGATTAGTCAAGAGGCGATTGCTGGTCTTTTAGCCAACAGTGTCAAGGAAAAGCTATTCGTGGGTGTAGTGGATGAGGCTCGACTGCAGACTGCTTCTGCCCAGGCCATAGATGCTGCAGTGGGCTCGGCCACAGCTACGACGTGAATATATCATGATGTAACGACACAAGGAACTTGAACGATTTACGACAAAAATGACACGAAAGACCGGATATGCACAGCTGCAATGCAGCAGACACGTCGAGCTCCAACCATGAAGACGTTTCCTGCTTGGAACAGGGGCTGACCAATACACAGAGGCATAACGTGAGTCGAAGATGTATTTTCTTCAACCTCGACATCCTTTCAAGCGTGTCAGTCTGAGAGGACGTGGGGCTTGGCAGCGTCGGTGTGAGGATCTGCAACCAGTGTGCACGCTTGCTGAGAGACGAAGAGCAGAGTTGATAAAGGGTGTCCCAGGTGTGCTTGCGTGCGGCACGGCAGGAGAGCCCTGCTAAAGTTCGGCTGCAGCTCCGACAATTCAATACAGACTTTGCATTTCTCCTTTGCTCAATTTTCTCCATGTTGAGTTCCAGTTTGAGAGCATATGTTTCAATGTTCGTGATGCATGCTCACTGTGTCTTTCTCGCAATCGGTCTTGTGCCCACCAAAAACTGATACCATAGCAAACAATTCAGGTTCGCGTCCACTGGTCGTATCCCACGTGCAAAGCTTTCTTGCACGAATCGAGAACGTGTAGCAAAGATGCAGGGGGATTCAGGCACCGTTGGTTGGTCATGATAGTCTTGTACGACAATGCACATGCGAGCACCGAAATGTCTTTCCAAGTGACGGCGAGTCGGACAATTTTGACGTCAACCGCGTCTCTGGTCAATGGATTCGTGTAATCTCATCAAACCAGCATACATTGACGCCGGTCGTACCCTAGATCTCAGCATTTAGTCTTGTAGTATGGACGAGGTGATCTGCACGTATTTTGTAATACACTGGGACAACAACGAGTACCTCGAGATCGCCATTGGAAGTGTGTTTGCCAATATGAGTACAGCCATGGCTGTCAAGCTGGCCGCACGGCGATCACATTCCGCCCTCTGCAGATCAGACTCGTTAAGGACATGTGGCCAGCAGGAAAAACAGGTTCATGCAAGTATCGCAATTAGCTTTGCCAGATCACCCAGTGTTCCGACCCGCGACACCACTGATGATGTTCTTCCGCAGAACACACATCTGAGGGCGTACAGCTTGCAACCTAGTAGCTGACCACGTATGACTAACAACAAGCTCTCACCGTCTTTCGATCCAATCCTGTCAAGAGACAGCTCAAGCTTTTCTTTAACAAGCATATGCATGTCAGAAGAAAGGATCATCAACACGCACAAAATCGCAATACATGGTTGTCACGCTCAAGTAGACAGCAATGAAAGTTAAAGAGCATCCACGTGAACCTCCTCATGCATGCAGGAGAGATGTGCTGATCTAGTGGGGGATACTACGTACTGGTTTATCGCAAGGAACCGGAAGTTGAAAAGCAAGCAAGAGGAGTCTTCGCATGTAATCTGAGCTGCCGCTAAATCCCTATCAGGAGCGAAGGTGTTGCCTTTGCCTTCGGCTCGTGAATTATATACTGAACCTATTGAGAGCTGGCACGGTTGCCGTTGTTTCTACAGAAATATTGATATGAGTACCTAGCTTTTACGGGAAGGATACATATCTGAGGCACGGGCCGGCTTGACCTTTTGGAATTCGAACCCAGTGGAGGCGATAACACGGGAGGTGCATGCAGAGGGTGGAGGGGAAACCACCACGCCTATTATCGTGATAATTAGGGTGCTGCAGACAAGCAGCTATACGGTAACTCGCATCGGAAATGACGACGGATCGCCGATTATGACTGTGACTCGTGGAAGCTCTACAGTAGATTCGAAGATACCAGGGTAAAGTAGGCGTTAGTCCTTATCACACATGCATGATTGTGGTGGCTTCTTGAGTCTAAGGTTGTCAAGCATGAATACCTCTGGCTACAGTGCTAGGGAACGTAGCAGTATGTGATTCGTTAAATCGATACATCAATCACACCAACCAGGTTCATCCAACTCACTTGTACTCGGCTGCCCATGTTTTTCGAGAAGCCCAAATTACAGAATGCAACTGTAACATTCTTCAGTCAATTTAGTGATGGCGTCAGCAAATTAGCCACTAGGCACGACGCGAGCAGCAGTCACAAGCTTGGGCTCGGGCACAATCGTGTTCTCTTTCACAAATCGTTTGATGTTCTACTTTCAGCTTTAGAGCTCTTCCCAACATCAAGTATGCTGTGGCCCTTGGCCATTTACCAGCAAGTGTTCAGCTGGTCATCGTAAGCGCGTCTTAGGCACTAACTAGCAGTAGGTTTCATTCTCGGTGAGGCAAGTGCCCAGACCTGGAGTCTCCACCAGAGTCGGACATTGAGACCCCACAACAGCAGCTGGACGATTAGCGTGCTTTCTGCTCATCGTGCCCTCCTCAGGAAAGGTCGACCAACACATCCGCTCCACTTCCTTCCATGATTCTAGTCATGTATAGCCGCTTACCACTCTTCATTTGCAACCAGACCTTTACACTTCCGGAACGACATATTCAGCACCTGGACAATTTGCTTAACCTTGAAAACCGCAGATTTCCTCTTCACGACCCCTCAATCCCGACCCTGAGGCACAACTACAAGCTCGCTGCATCTACGCTGTACCCTGGTGATTCACGATGACAATGTGTTGACGATTCTTATGACCCGAAGAGCCCAGAATCTGTCTCGAGACCTTCATAAACAATACCGATCTACGAAATGGCCAAATCTATGGATGCCATCTCGAGTTTTCAACATATAGTGGACAGTGTTCCGGACTGGAAGTTGCAGCTTGTGGAATTGTTGGCCCATGCTACACTGAAACATGAAGAGTTCGTGGCAGAATACTCCAAGCTTTTACATCGAATCAAACACAAGAAAGAGAAACCAGCCTCAATAGCCTCAATTCAGAGTGACGATGAGCAAGAAGACCACCCTGTGATGAGCTCGGAGCTGCGGAAGTCACCACGGCCATCCGAACTAGTTGAAACAAAATCTCTCGAGGTAGGCACCGGCCTCATATATGCCCAAGCACGAATCAAGAGAAAGTCTCGCACATCCATTCGCTCCCACCCTTCTGTGCCTCGAAACATTCTTCGCAAGCAGATGGTCGTGATCTATTACGACTCCCATATCCAGTCAGAGCTCGACAAAATCGTCAAAGCCCTAGGCGCTGCACGGAACAATCTTCGGAAAGGAAAGAACGCCTACACTGTCGCCAAAGGTTGCCCTTTAGCTGGCTTTAGTCGGAGGTACGAAAGCCTGGACAACCTCAGCCACAGCACGCCCTCGAGACCGACTCCACGCTTGTCAAAGGCACAAAGTGATACCACTGTTCTTTCCACAACAGATACAACCGATCTAGCATTTACGAATACAGACAAAGAGCTCGAAGTTATTCAGTCATTGTGTGAGACCGCCGCACATCAGATGCTTCGCGATGGACATTGCAAGACTGAATTGACTGATGCTCGTGATAAACTCGACATCTTGCTCGCCCTGGCTAAATCTACGTTGCAGGTACTCGAAGGTGAAAAGCATAACACAAGTGACGAACAGACACAGTCTCCGAGGGGTTCTAGCACGAGTGCAAGCATGTCTGTGCAGAGTACACTTTGCGAAAAACCATCGGTAGAGGCAATGTATGAAAACAACAAATACCTGGCACCACGAATAACCTTGCTGGATCAACACAAGCAGCGCTCACCACATACTGTGAGGTCAGCCTCGGTCGTGCCCCTGGCAACGGATGCCATTGAGGTTGACGATGACGAGGATGATGATAGCTCAATCGAGATCGACCTCAAGCTTCCCACTTACAGGATCAATCGCAGGCTTGCCGCTTGAACACTGCGAACTGCACATTCACCTTGATCTGTGAAGCAAATTTCACGAACTTTAATTGTAGCGTTCGAGCGTCTTGCCATTTGGCCACCTGAAACGTCTCTCCAGCTTTTCGGACATCGTTAACAATCTTCAATCTAATTTGGATTTTCACTATCTCAGCGGGCAGGATATCGCAAAATCTTTGGAAAGTGCACAGCAACATCGACGGAACAGGAGGGTTATCAGGGCTTTCTAAGAATGGATTGTTAGAGATGGAAATCACTGATCGTGATTGATGCCAATATTATTCATTGAAGCAGAGCATCGACCATGCAGAAGCGAACTAAAGGTGACTATTTAGTCGTTCTAGTACACGAAGAACCACTTTCAATCACTCGTTTTTGCCCTATCACGCATTTCTACAACATGGCACCTGGCTGCCATCCTCAGGATGCTACGGGTGCGCTCGTAGACAATACTCGGAATTTTCACGCAGCATCGCCATACCAAATTCGCAAACCAACACGGTGCTCCTTGCGACACTCAGACAAGCTGAACCTTATACCAATGTCTAGCTCGCAAATGTCGTTCATCGTCTAATAGTTCAGCAATCGACACTGCTCTGACAAAATGCCTCTTCTCAGATCCCAGTAGATTTTTAGAGCCGCGGGTGTACGAATAGGTCAGTGCCGCACGGCCCAATGGCCTGGACGACTGCGAATCAAGTCGATGATCCTCGAAGCACCACGACTTTCTTGGTCAAATGGCGATGCGCATTTACCGTTTCCAGTCGTAAGATCTACAACGCCAAAGCACAACGTCGATCACAGCGCCGTTAGCTCGGATTTGATGTGATCGAGTCTTCCTATTCGATCTTCTCGCTTGTTTGCTCGTTTATCAGGTCCACAGCGTACTTTGGCGCTTTTGCTTGGCTGGTGACGACTTTTGGCTGGCTCGATGGTTGAAATTGCCGAAGGACACTGCCGCGAGCGGCTAGAGCTTCGGAAAAATTATCGATCGGTCAGTCACGCTAGTGTTGATCAGGATATTAGATCACGTGAATAAGGTATGGCTGTTTGCTCAGCGGAAAAGGGCACAACAGAACCAGGGACAATTCATGCTTGTCTGACTGGATGAAAAAATCTTATCAAATTACAGTAGATTATCTCAGGTCATTGCTATCCTAGGCCTCGAAGAGTTCCTTCGATGTGGAGAGATTCCAAATCATGGCAATCCTGGCTCGTATTCGTGAACGAGTTAGTCAGGAGTTTCTCTGATCTGAAACACTTCCTGCCTCGCTCCAAGGACGCAGAAGTCTAAACAGGACGCACGTGAACTCAAGTTGATGTACGTCGTCGAAAAAGTGAGAGATCGCCGTTGAGTAACCATCTCGACGGCATCTAGTTCGAGTCTATCCCTGGAGCTTGTTATTCATAAGTCACCTCGATCGAGGCAGTGAGTTCCCCCTTGGCCGGGGGTCGGGAGGTGTCCGATCTTTGGTAAGATAAGACACATGTCTTCTGCGTTCGGAGTGTGAGATCAGATCCATGGTTTAGATCTTAGGGATGTTATGTCTCACCCTGTCTCGTTTCCTTGACCATGTACTGTAGGTGCATAACAGTATGCATACAGTATATACTGTACACCTATGCTTGCACCAGACCGACAATCGGCAAGCACTTACTCCATATAGTCGTTTCGCACGTGAAGGAGATACTTCCTCTACTGAATACTAAATCGTTGTGTGAATGCTGACAGTACTTCTGCAGCAAGCTCTGAGTTACCACGAACATGAACACAGCAGAACCTAGTGACTCGTCCCGAAGCTCGCAAGGTGAGGCGAAGAAAACCTGCGTTGGGTACCGGGCTGGAAGGCTCTTCTTCACAGGAGCCTGAGTACTGAAATCACATCTTCACGACTGGGTCGAAGCGAAGCTTTTCACTCGACGTTCCCAGACCTCCGGCTTGTATGACATCCTCTGTTGCAAAACATCCACCCTCAAAAAGCAGATCTGCCCCAAAGGTCAAGTGTCGCTTCAATCCTAAGGATTGCGTCACTTTCATATGGTGGAACATAAGTAGACTACCTATGCTAGCTATAAATGACCTGCGCGATGTTGCTGGTAAATTTGAGCACTATACGTGCCTGAGGCATTCAAGCCTCCCACGTTTGACTTCATGGGCTCTAGGGCACGAGAAGTACACGACTAGTTCATCAACGTTTTTTCTATAGGCGTAGGGTCGTTAGGATCTTCAGAATAGAAAGAACAACTGAAATCGCAAATGCTAGCGCTCTTTTCACAAGGCTTAATAGCTCTTACCCACTACTAACGTTTGTTTATGCACACACATGTAAGATAAAGTTTTACCAAGGTAAACACGTACAAAATGTGAACACACCTGGGGTTGTTCCGAATTGTACAACAACCACGATATTACATAGGGCAGAAGTCCTGCGCTTCTCAATAGTGCCATCTAACTGTTTTTCGTTCCATCATGGTAGGTAGTGTTCATATTTGACAAGTGTACCGTCGTTCTTTCGCTCGTCGGAGGAAAAAAAGTCTTCGTGATAATTGTCGTCCCGCAGCAGAGATGGGAGAAGCATGCGAGATTTTCGTAGGTCAAGTCAGGACAAGATGATGTCGGGCACGAAGAGACAGAAACTCTTTGAATGATCAGATCGACTGGTAGTCATAGCCGAGAATAGTCCAGTGACCTCGAGTGATCGCGTCTCACCGTCGTATTGCGAATGCTATGGTTGACTTGGCTGTATGAGGGAGGCGTAGTTGTCAGTAGGATGTCAATGAGGCTGAGTGACAGACATGAGCTACACGCTAAGGGTTTTAGCGTAGGCTCGGAACCGCTTGACGAATATTTTTGCATTAGCTTCGCATCCTTGAACCTATCAGATGGTCCATCACTCACGTAAATAGAAGATGCTCCCTTTCCAGTACAATATCTTTTCACATCCAGGAAACAATTGTATGGCTATTCAACGGGAAAGACATCCTGTCAGGGACGAGCAGATGCAGCTGATCACTCGAATCTCACGTATCTGGTATTGAACGATGAAATGGGCAGGTGCATGCGAGAACTTCGGCTACTTCCTTGCTGAAGGAACCACGTTGAATCCCATCCACTCCTCAGCTTATTTTGTGCTACACTTCGGATTCAGCTTTCGTAAGCATTACCGTGCTGCATGTGAACAGGAGCTGAGTCGTGGACGGATAGACCTAATGTCATGACTCAAGCCATGGCACTAAGAAAACATATTGGGCTGCTGCCCTTTCTGTCATGTACGTATGTTGCTCATGCAACAATACTGCATTAGCCAAGTCAACAACTAGCGAATCATCCTATCTATGTTGACACTGTTGACAAGTTTTGGAAAGCTCGCTGGGAAAAAGCTGCTTGTACTGTGCAGTCAACATTACCTCAGCCGGTGCTATTGTACCGAGAAGACCATACAAATTTGGATTTATGCAGGATACTTCAAAGCTAGACAGCACGGGATTCATGTGAAGAGCTGTTACAACCATAGCACCATTTGATCTATGTTCTACATGCAACGATGCTTGACTGGCACTCGTTATGCGCGAGGTAGCTGACAAGGGCTCGCTGTGATCAAATGGCCCACTTAGGTGATCCATCTGCTTTCGACATTGCATACCTTGAGTTTGTCTTCAGGTGAAAACCTACCAGCTGATTCGAGTTGTGACCTACACATCCGGGCTATCCACTTAACCAGCTGGATTTACCACGAAAAGTCTGCACGGCAGGCCAACTGAGGAGTATTTATAAGGCCGTCAGTATGGAAATGAACAACAACTTTCTGTTCTTCAGTGATCCAGCTCACGATCAAGAATCAGGACCTAGTCATGAGTCTCGCAAATCTTTGCCTGGCTATTGCCAGTGGACGATGGCCTGTGGCAATCACGTTTATTCTACCACTCTTCTCTGTGGCCACTATTATGGTTGCTGTCTACCGACTCTATTTCCACTCCCTCGCTGACTTCCCTGGTCCCAAAATAGCAGCAATGACCGGACTGTACGAGTTATGGTATGATGTCGTTAAACAAGGTCAATACGTGCACGTCATCGAGCAAATGCACATTCAATATGGTTGGTACTCCATTCATGCTACGGAAAGTTGTCTAATATCTTTCCCAAGGCCCAATCGTCCGAATCAACCCAAACGAATTATCTGTTCGCGACGCTCAATTTTTTGACAAGCTTCACTCAGACAGCACCAAAAAACGCACCCACATCCCATCTCTATTCTCTCGAATCTTGGGCCTGAGTGGGTCGATGGTCTTTGCTCCTTCGCATGAAATACATAGGGGCCGCAGGAAAGCCGTGGAGCCATTCTTCTCCCGACACAACATCGAGCGTATTGAGCCGATGATTGTCGAACAGGCACTACTGCTCGATAAACGTTTGAACGAGATGAAGATCTCCAAGAGAGTTGTTCGTTTGGAGCATGCATTCTTCGCATTTGCATCAGATGTGGTAGGGAGGGTGTGCTGTGAAATACCTAGCAATTTCCTGCAAGATAAAGATTTCTTTCCACAGTGGTAAGCTGAGCAGCCGTTGCCTGCGTAGGTAATTGACAGAGGTGCGCAGGTACAGTCTCTTTGAGAGAGGAGCAAGACAGATCCTTCCTGCCATGCATCTGCCACTCATTTCGGTGTAAGTAAGAACATCCCTAAACTACAGCCTACTAACATCAACAGCATCCTGAAGCTAATTCCGCAAACTGTCGCCCTGAAATTGTATCCTCTCGGTGCCACTTTCACCATGTACATGACAGCAGTAACGAGCCATATCATCCACGCTAAGAACCAAGATCTATCAGCCGCAAGCGTGCTTGCGAACCCGAGAAGCTCGATATTTCGATACATTGTCTGCGAGAAGACACTACCAAAAGCAGAACAGAGTGTGGATCGTCTCAGCCACGAAGCAGCAACATTGCTGGGTGCTGGAGCACTTACGCTTGCTCGATCGCTTTCCATGACGTTTTACCACATCCTAGCAAATCCTACGATTCGGGAGAAGCTTGCAGCAGAATTGGCGCAACCATTGGCAGATATTCATGCACATATGCCACGACGGTCTGAGTTGGAGAGACTGCCGTATTTGCGCGCGTGTGTTCGAGAAGGACTCAGGTATGATACATTTTATTTGAACGACTTGTGTTGTCCTTACATGAATACAGACTGTCATATCTACAACTGCAAGCTGTCCCTCACTGTTCGCCAGATGTTGAGTTTCAATACCATCAGTACACTATACCAAAAGCTGTAAGGCAAAGTCACTATATTTGGATGAACACGACTAACATAATCAGACACCAATCCGCATGAGCATCTATTTCATGCATACCGACCTCGAGATATTTCCCGCGCCATTCGAGTTCCTTCCAGAAAGGTGGCTCGGTAAATACAACCCACAGATGGACCGGCAGTTCGTCCCTTTTTCAAAGGGCTCTCGCAATTGTGTGGGCTTCAAGTAAGTGCAGCTAAAGTACCAGTGACCAGCTCATACTAACGCAAACTTAGTCTAGCATGGGCAGAGCTGTACATTCTGACAGCACTGTTGTTTCGCCCCGAGGCGCCGACAATGCAGCTCTTCAATACCGATGCGAGCGACATTCGAGTCAGAGACCACTGTTTCATTCCGCTGCCCAAGTCAGACAGTCGAGGTGTTCGAGTCACGATTGAATGAGAGGCACAAAGAATCTTGACAGTCTCAGCAAAGGGCAACTGCGTCCGGCATATTGACTTCCTCAAGTACGGTTCTTATATGAAGAAGGGTTCGTGGCTTTTGTACGGATCGTGGGTGCCAACCAGTCGAATCGTTTTGCCTTCAGATCTTCTTCTGCCTTCAACTGGCGCAGCTCTTCGGTAGCACTTTTAAACTCTTGGCGGATATAACTACCAGCCCATACAAACTGACGAGCATTGAGTACTTCAAGAAGGTTCCATGAAGGTGGCCAAAGTTTTCCATATTCAAGGTCTAGTCGCTGTTTGGTAAGTCGAAGTGCCCAATCGTGTCCGCTCCACTGTTTGGGATAGATTATCAAAACAAACAGGATCCATCTGAGGATATTACTCGAATCTTGCCAGGCTTTTTCGAGTTCATGAGCGCAAAGCACGTCTCGTAATGTGTCCGCGAAGAAGAGTGGCAGTGTCACAATGTAGTTGTCGACAAGCACGATATACTCCACAATCTTCGTGGCCAGCATGACACACCGAGATATCGAAGTATCGTGCCAGAAACGAGCATTGAGATGTGCATAGTTCGAGACGATCTGGTCACGAAGGAAGTAAAAGTACCAGAGCTCGGATGAATCACGCATTTGTCCTGACTGAAAGTGCCAGTCCTCCCCCTCGAGAATTTCTATCGCACGGCATGTCGCAGAACAGTACCAGGAAATATCTGGGTCCAGAAGTGCGGCTCTTGGCTTGTCTTCGAAAAAATATCCGCACGACTGAGGATGGCGAGCTGCTCTCTGGGGACTAAGCGCTGGATCCTTCCACGGACAATATAGTGGTGGTTGACCTGTGTACAAGGCAATAATACGGTCCGTATTCAGCACGTACGGAACTGACCTGCCAAGATTGTGTATGCCGCCTCGGCTCTGCACGAGGTACACCATGATCTGCTTGTGCGATGCAAGATTATCGTACTTCTTGCTGCACATGATCTCCAACATGACCATTGTCAGCACGATGCAAATCAGCTGATCTAAATCTGCTGGATTGAATTCGTCGAGTTTTAATCTGAGATGCTTAGCGAGCTCGACCTGGAGGTGAAGTAGGTCATCGCCCTGGGCGGTGTGATCATCATTCAACACAAGACAGAGATAAGCACTGACGATGAAATTCAGCAAGTAAGCCGGCGTTTCCATCGCTTGAGCAAGCATCATGCTTTTTTCGCGCCTCAATCGTTCTACCTCGTTTGCGGATCTAGCTGGCGGACCGAGGAGGATAGCGATCCTATCCCAAACATCGACGCAAAATTTGTGGAAAAGTTTTTGGTAGATGGGTTTCCGTAGAGAAGCAAGAGGTAAAGTTGGCAGACCCTCGACGCCGCCCTTTATTATTGAGAAGTCGTGCGGTGAAGGGGGTTTCGCCGATGAAGTGGCCCGATCTAGTGATGGTTCCCGGGCTGTGACTAGTGGCTTCCATCGCCGATGACTTTGTAATTTACAATTGCGGATGATACAGCCTGGTACAGGACATTTGCTTGCGATCTTAGCTTTTGGTGTACCGATGAGCCAGTTGTTCACCTTCTGTTCAGTTGGAGATGGCGATTGTGGTAATTTCGCAGCAAGCTGGACCAGTCTTCTTTTCTTGAATCCACGATCTCCAGTGGGTAGAGATTTTGACCTTACATCTGTTTTGCTTGAGCTTTCGTTAGAGCCTTCGGAATTGCTCATGGTCGTGTCATGTCCAGAAGCTGGACAATTTTTTCATGGAGTATTTATTGAGAGATAATGTTGTGTGATCGCATATGCAACTTGCTCGCGACGTACTGGTCATAGTATGACTATAAGTCACAGCATCTGAGCTCAGCGGAAGGTGCAGTGAGGCATGAGCTCTTATGTAATCGGCGGTGGTGGTTTCCTCCACTCATCCCTCGCTTGGCTGCCAGAAGTGGCGCACAATAGTCCTTGACTAGCTGGAAGATAGTAATCAGCTCAAAATTTGAAACCCAGTAATCGCGTCCAATACCTTAGTGGACGTTAGTAACTGAAGGTAGGGGAATTGTGCCGAATCTGCAGCACGAGTCGAGTCATGGTGGAGTTCGCTAAGTCGACGCCGAAAGACGAGAATGTCTCAAAAGCCCAGATCCTGGTGATCTCGCTAATCGATACTACCTGGTCACATTGATGGATTACTATTGGTTCAGAATGGACATACTCCATCATCACTTCATACAGCGTGAGATGGTGCGGGTATCAGCAAATGAGGATATGTAACCGCACCTTTCTGACTGCTCCTCTGTACTCGACGACCTGACAACCATTGAGCATGCTAGCGATCTGGTTAATGTATGCCGAATGGAACACATACTACAACGAATGAAGGATTATATATTACGAGAATGTGGTATAGTGAGGATTGAAGGACAACTTGCTCAACATCGCTCAAACACTCTGTAGAGTCCTTTCAGATTGGCGACTTCAACCACACCTTGCATCATTCCCTGTGTCGCAAGTAGGCGACTCCGAAAGGCTGGGAAGAGGACATGCTCCAGGGCATATTCAATCTCAACTCGGCGTTTAGTGATGAAAGAGTCCTCTTCTGCTTGTCTGTTCTTGATAGGAGATTGTCCAGCTGTAACATCAGACTCCGGTGTCGCAGTATCTCTCTCTGCTACTCTTGTCGGTGACGTTAAAAGCTCGTTCTCTGTCTCTTTAGCTGATTTTTGTTTTGCCTGTGGTAGTTTCTCGGGCACATAGAACGCAGCTAGCTCAACAAGGAATGTATGAAAGCACTGTGCTTCGTCTGTCCAGTCTACAAAAGGACCTAGACGCAGAAGAAAGGTAGGCAGCTTCGCCATGCTGGGTAGATAGTTCTTGATGAGCAGTGGGATTGTGAGAAGGTTGCCTTCGTCCGAAACTTCGAGGCTGAAATACTCCCTGAGCATTTCTCGACGCGAGTATATCTGCTCGTAGACCTTCTCTACAATCGCCGACGGTTCAAGGTCAGCCAGTGAGGGATCCGCCTGCACTTCGAGTTCTGCAGCCACAAGCAGTAGCTCTTTGAGTTGGATCGGGTCTGAGCCCGAAGGCCGCAGTTGTATCGCACCGAAATTTCCAAAATCAGTGATACCTATCTGGTAGAAGAGCTCGTTGGCGATCATGCCGTAATCGACCAGGTAGAGGTTGACACCTGATTGCATTGCAGCAAGACGGCGAAAGGGATCAACAAGACCTATGTAGGTCAGTGATGCGAAGACTTCGGTAAGGTTTTGATGTATTGCATCACGAACGTGAGCGCGTAAAGTCTTGATAGAGCTGAGCCGAGTAGTAACCTGTTCTCTGTCGGTTGTAATGTATTGGATACCATGACCTGACGCTGCTGTGGTAGTATTATTGTCGTGGTTGTCGAGAGATTGTGATGGTGTAAGAGCTGGCGGTAGCATAGAGGTGATCTTGCGGAGTTTTGAGTCAGTGCGGACAAGATTATTCTCATATGGTCGTTTGGATGCTGGAGTACGCGGCAAAGCATCTGTGGACGGCTGGTTTTTGTCGTCACCACCAGCCAGTGGACTCTGTTGCTTGTTGATAGTGCTGGAACCAATTGCAGGTACTAGTGTCTGTGTCTTGAATGTTCGGCTCGTATCGACTTGCGTCAAACGTTCTCTAATGTCGGTGCAGACCATGTCGATAATTTCATCCTCACTCAAGAAGTGTACCTCACGTTTGGTTGGGTGAACGTTGACATCGACTCTTGCTGGATCGATTTCGAGGCTAAGGTAGACAAAAGGGTGCCCGCCTTTAGGTAGAAAAAGTTGATATGCTTGCTCAATAGCTTTTTTGACAGCCGAAGATTCGACAGATCTATGGTTGATGAAGAGTAGAATCGTAGTCCGCTTTGCGCTGTAGTTGGCAGTTGTGCAATAACCCGACGCAGAGAAGCCCCATCTATCGTTCTGAGTCTTAAACTCGATCAGCTCTCTCGCAGCCGCTCCATGAGCCTGCTTGATTCTGTCGATCTTGCTCGCCGCTGCAGCCACAGAGAAACCAGCTCCCGCCTCGCCGTGCTTTTTGATCGAGAAAGAGACATGTTCGCAATGAACGGCATATCTGGTGACAACGTCAAGTATTCTGGCGTATTCCTCGCTTGGTGATTTGAAAGCACGACGTCGATTGGGGATGTTGTAAAACAGGTCTTCGACAGTGATTTGCGTACCAGGCCGACCAGCACATGGCTTTGGATCAGAGCTTTGGCCTGGTTTTGGTGGGGATAACTTTCCATCCTGGTAGTAGGCTTGCCATGCACAACTTGAACCAGCAGTTTTTGTGGTCACTCTGAGGTGAGCGATGTGGCTGATACTGGCCAAGGCTTCACCGCGAAAACCGTATGTACCTATAGATCTCAAGTCGTCAAAGTCCTTCAATTTTGAAGTGGTGAAACGTTCACACAGAATTGGCAGGTCATCCTTCTGGGTTTGGTTAGCATAACGGTATGACTTGTAGCATTCTTTACTGACCTCAATACCGTGGCCATTGTCCGTAATCTGTAGCAACTTGAGGCCACCATCTTTGACCAAGATTTCTATGGCTGTAGCCCCTGCATCGACAGAATTTTCCATCATCTCTTTAAGGGCATTCACAGGCGCAACAATTATCTCGCCGGCAGCGATTTTGTTGACGACATCTTGGGCCAACGGCTTTCTACTATCAGCTCTACGAAGACTTACCAGTTGAGATGAGACGTGCCTTTATTCGTCGAGGAGCCTCAGATGGAAGACCTGCTTCTGAGGCAGTCCTCTTCGCGCCTCTCGGCTCGTTATCATCTACGTCCATAGGTTCCGCCATAAGAACTGAATTTTGAGAACAACCAGGCGTAGTAGACCTGGTACAGTGACGGCGAGGGAACGCGTCAGTAACAACGCGGTATTCAGGTAATGCCTCAGGCTGCAGAGTTCAACTTTGGCGCACAGGCAGGCACGTCCCGAGGTCACATGCAAGTTGCGAAGCCTCTATTTCATATTGCTTCTTGTTCATAAAGCAGGGCAGTCATGGCACCACGCACTCTGAGAGCTGCGTTGTATCTGGACGACGGTCTGCCTTGAGAAATCACAGTAACATGATGACTGGATAGCCGTCTTACTGGCAATCTGGAGGCCTATGTTAAGCCTACACAAGCCATTCCTCAACCAACGTGATAACCATGACCATGAATTTTGTGACGTTCAACCAGGACTACAGCCACCTGGCTGTGGGTGAGTCTATCAATAGTCAATGGGTCACTCCAGAAGCAAGCTGAGCAGCTGCAGGTACCTCGAGAGGCTTCCGCATCTTTACCACAGAGCCATTCTCAAAGACATATGAATCAAGAGATGGGCACATTGCTATGGTCGAGGTGCTCTTCTCCTCCTCTCTAGTCGCCCTAGTACTTTCACCTCGCCGTCTCCAGATCAAGAACACGAAACGAGACTCCTTAATTTGCGAAATGACCTTCGTGACCTCGATTCTGGCGATTCGAATGAACAGGAAAAGGCTGGTGGTAGTGCTCGAGGATCAGATGTACATGTACGATGTTCAAAATATGAAACTGCTTTACACGATTGAAACCTCGCCCAATCCGAACGCGATCGGTGCCCTCTCTCCTTCGTCTGAGAATTGCTATCTGGCCTACCCACTTCCTCAAAAGGCAGCTTCTGCTCCTGCCCATGTCCCTCCGAATAGTACACATATCTCACCTACATCGGGCGAAATCCTCTTGTTTGACGCCATCAAGCTCGAGGCGATCAACGTGGTTGAAGCACACAAGTCTCCCCTTTCATGCATTATATTCAACAGTGAAGGCACGGTCATGGCAACAGCATCAGACAAAGGTACTATAGTACGTGTGTTCTCTATCCCAGATGGACACAAGCTCTATCAGTTCAGAAGAGGCTCAATGCCTTCTCGAATATATAGTATGGCCTTCAATATCACCACCACGTTACTATGTGTGTCGTCTGCGTCAGACACTATCCACATTTTCAAGCTTGGACAAGATAATCTAGCTACTAGTGATGAGCCCATGTCACCTGCTGGACCTGCACCACCGTCGAAGCGCCTCAGCCAGAGTAGTGAAACCAGCCCATACTTTGACGGTCAAGACGCAGAGACCGAAGATCCAGCGTCGTTGAAGTCTAGGAAACCAAACGGCACTTTCATGGGTATGATCAGGCGAACGTCTCAATCTGTTGGTACCACGTTGGCCAGCAATCTTGGTGGTTATCTGCCCAAGGGTGTCACTGAGATATGGGAGCCCTCAAGAGATTTTGCCTGGATTCGCTTGCCAAAGCCAGCGTCTGGTCAAGCGACAGGTCCTATTCGCTCTGTGGTCGCCATGTCCAGTAATTCACCACAAATAATGGTGGTGACCAATGAAGGTGGATTTTATGTCTTTAGCATCGACCTTTCGAAAGGAGGAGAAGGAAATCTTGTCAAGCAGTACTCGGTGCTTGATATCAACGACAGAAGTGGAAGTACCTTAAACGACTATTGAAGAATTTTGAACTCGGTTCTCGTACCTTAGCGATGGTGTTACTGGCGTCACAAGATCCTGTTTTGACTTTCCGGCGGCTCGACCATGAAACTATTGCAATAGGCAAGCTTATCAACTCAACAGAACCGTAATGCTATACCACTCTGATCGAAATCACCAACTTGTTCTCCACACGCTGTGCTCGATTGCACATGTGTGATGTCTGCCAACAATTTGATACTGTTTCGTCAGTGGCACTGCCAGATATAGGCAATAAGGTGTCGCGAATGCAGGCTGATGGCGGTCGTATTTGCGAGTAAGATATTACTGCCAATACTGATATAAAATCATCCAAGGGACTTGTTGTTCATGACCGCAGTATGTCAGCATGCTGACGCTTCGCAGCAGCGAGGTGCACTCGAAATTCCGGCAGGTATGAACGTATACTAGCTTCATACACTGCAGGAATCCAGCGTGCTAACTTGTCGTCGAACGAGCACACCAAGATAGTTTATGTCTCGGAAAACAATACACCAATACTGGCAAGATCCTGGCTTGAATCTTTTTGAAGCATCTCTGCCTCCGTCTTGGAAGTAGAGACGTTAACGAGACTTGATCTTCCGGCGTTCCCGCTTGTGGTCTCTATAGTCGAAAGTGCTACGCGGATTAAGTCAATATCTTGTGCGTGATGAAGGGTGATAGCTTAGAAGCGAGAGGATACCTACTCTGTGAAAGTCCCTCAACTAGACCCGATACGACGTCTGGATGCAGAGCATTCCGACAGTCGTGGTTGAGCTTCAGGCAGGAACTGCAAGTTTGAGAGAACGGCAGCAGCAGAATCTGCGTTCTACTCGGTGGTAGAACTTGCAAACCAGGGAGCAACATAGCAGCAGGTAGTGGAAAGCATAAACAGCAGCAGATGAAATTTCCAAAACGAAGATATAGCTTACGAGCTATACGAGAATGTGAAATAATTCACTGCTTGTATTGCTAGACGAACAACATTTATACTAAATTGTGCCAACATGTATTCACTTCGCATGATTCGAATCCACTCCTCGCATATTCCGCCTCGCTTCGCACCAAAGAAGCGTATCTGATTGGACAGCTTTCCTACCACGAAGTAACTCTTCTCGTGCACGAAACAAAGAGTCAGTGAGTCACATCAAAAATTAACCAAAGTTCAAGTTTGGAAAAGCTCAATCAAAGTCTTCTTGACCCTGTGCGACGAAGTGCCAGTCTTCGAAGTCCTCCTGCGGGATGGAAGAATGTGCTTTTAGGATAATGCAATCTGAGGTGACTGCCATCCATCCGTCGTCTTGTTCTTCCTGCTGGTGTATGCCAACCGAGACTACAGTGGTGCAGTGGTCGTCACGCTCAGATGCTGTCGGGGTCACTGTCTGTAGATCTGTTCGTCCAAGCTGTTTGGTGATTTCTGCAATTTCTTCGCTATCTTCTGGCGAATGATATCCAGCACATGAAGACCAGCATGCCAAATTCGCGTCTGCCTTGAAAGCAGAGTAGAAGGTGTGCAAAGGCCTCAGTTGTTGCCAGTCACTGGGCGAAGGCACACACATCAAACGAGATTTTTTCGACGCACCCATATTGAGGTACATACACGCAAGGCGTGGTAAATCGTATATTTGTGAGATCTCGTAGCCTGCGTCCACGACCTCACGTTGAAGTAGAAGAGGAGTTTCTGTCGGCGACGTGCCAACCAGAGCATCATTTATCATTCGAAAAAGCTCGCTCGTAAATGATGCTGGAGCCAGTTTGTAATGAGCAAACCAATATTTGGAGACGTAGTTGAACAATGGCCATTCGTTGGGAGATTGAAACCATCGCCTGAACGAGTACCAAGGCCTTGCAATCATGACAGTGCCTAATCTTCGTATCTGTTCGAAGCACATTTGCGTGATTGTGCTGTGTCCTTGATCAAAGCCAGGTATCTCAACAGTTCGAAGGAAACGTGCCATTGAAGGTTCTTGAAAACTGATTGTGCCTGCTTTGTCGTGTTGAATCAAATTCCCGCACAACTTCTCGAGTGACATTTCGGTTGGCAAGCTCTGTGCTCTTCGTAAGATTCCGCCAACTTTGTTGTTTTCAATACTGGCAACGCAGTGTATCCCGGCAGTGATCTCGGATATCGTGAGGCGTCTGAAGCTAGTGCTCGCCAGACATAGAGCGAGAAAAGCAATTTGAACTTCGTCAACCGACCTGGTTTGCAACAGATGAATTACAGCCCTCTTGCAGCGGTCAAAATCTGGCTCAGGTAGGAGACCATAATCATCATAGTCTTCGAAAATGGCTAAGCTTGGCTCTATTAAAATATCGATTGGCTCGGTTTGCAGCCAGAGCAGCCATTGCATTAAATCAAGCAGTTCTGATTGAGCACATCTTACATACTGTTTATGTCCAGCAAGTGGTTGTGAGAGGCGTCCGAGCATAGTGCTCGTTTTCTGCGTCTCGACTTCCACAGCGCTGTGCTCGTCCGCACTGTCAAGAACGACATAGTAGTCATCAGGCCTGGGGTCTATGTACAAGCCTTCTTGAGAATGCGCTTCGGGTTGTATTATGCTCTCGCAAAGGTGGCTTCTCGGACTGTCGTTATATGGTGAGCTCCAGATGGTAGCTGAGATTCGTCCTATGTGCAAGGTGGAACGATCTCTTTGCGAATGCAAAAATCTCCTTCTTCTTTTGCATATATGGTCGGCTTGTATATAGCAAGGCTGTACCTTATAATTACGACAATGTCGTGTTTGATCCCAGAGTAGTTGCTCTAACCACATCGTGACTTGCTAGGAGGATGACTTCCCTCACTCGAATTTCGTGAGGGACTGTCATTGCGTATCCAGGAGAGGAGCATGCTTTACATAGTGTGTGCTTTGTTCAATCGTCAATATCGACGATTAAGCGTTTGACATGTCCGACCACCGCGTGCCGATTGCGGTCTGTGTGCCTGTACGTGGCGCCATGATCAGTCTCAGCCGAGACTTCGCTTCCTGTTCATCCTGACATTCCGCGCAACGAGGCAGGATGGACGCGGAACTCTGCAGCGGATGCCATTCCTGATAATCAGCTCAAGGGCATATCGCAACAACTCTGTATAGCACTAAACCTCAAAGTATACTAGAGTCGTTCCTGGATAACCACATGAAGCCGGTGAAGTCGGTCAAGCCAATGATCTTGCAGTATCACTGCAAGTTCAGACGACCTACATCCTCGCTGTAAGGAGGATGGCACGTGAGCCGGCACGCTTCGCTTGACGCGTGAGACGATGATGCGAGCCAAGCACAAGTCTTCTCTTGCATCCATTCTTTTCCAGCGGTCCAATCGCTTCTCATTCTGTTGTCCTCACGCATCGCACCGCCTCGCACCTTCTATGCGTCGCTCTTCGAACGCTTGAAAACATTTTCTGCCAGTTTTACATTCTTCAAAGCTATAGTAGGCATATAAGAGTGTTGTCCCTCCTACAGGACACTGTGTTTCTGTATCTGAAAAGAGGATGGGTCTTGATTAATCAAACAATGTGGGAATAGAGTACTCCGTGACCATCACACTTCTGTTCGATGGTAGTATAGCTCGTAGACAGTAGAGATGTCTTCGCATGTCTCATGCGAAGTTGCGCATTGCCTCATGCTCATGGCTGTCTGGTATTTATCCAGGCAGCCGCCCATGCACCACACCTTCCTTCCTCCTTTCTTACATATCTGCCTTGTCACAATAATGCTTCTTCACTATACTCTTTTAGTACAACATGAGTTCGCTACCCAGCATAACCCCTACTCTCACACCGAGGACTCCTAAGACCTTCGATAAGTGCGACAATTGCCGCACGAGGAAGATCAAGGTGAGTGAGTGGTGGTCCACTATTTTCTCCGATTATGCTGTGCACATCTTGCCGGTCGTGCGCCCCGCAAGACACGTCAGGTAGGCTACCATGCTTTGGTACTAGTACTCGGCTTGCTTGGACCACCATCGTCCACGGCTCCTCTTCCTACAAGTCACTTCGCTTTCGTGGCCCCATTGCCTTCGGCAGAGAGTGTTTGACAACTGTGAACTGATCCCCTACTGTTTGGATTCTACCATCAGACAGATGTGTTTCATCGCTGACTTACCTTGCAGTGCAATCCAATAGTCCGCGATTTTTCTCGCGGCCAAAAGTGCGATGATTGTGCCAGTAGGGGCTTGCCTTGTGGTCCCAATACGCGAGTTCGCAAACAAGCACAAAGTCCTGTCGTCTCTCAATCAAGCACTCCTGTGCCAATTGCTTACAGCCCGATCGACCTGTTCGGTGGCTGTGAAGACGCACTCGGCTCTCCAGTGGTTGCTGGCGATGCGCGCGTGCTACGAAGGCACAAGTCAGTCCTGTTGCATCTATCGAGCTGCATGGACGGCGATGAACGTCCATTGATGCAGGTGACTGGTCTAAGCTCATTATGCTGATATTGGCTTCAGCATAGCAAGTCCCTCCCCTTCGGTATCTTTCACACAGTACTTGCCAAACAGTCAAAGTGTGGAGAGCCAAAGCATTCCAGTCTCCCTTACCCATAGCTCCTTCCAATGGGCGCTCAAACAGTACGTCACATATCGCCTCAGGCTTCGAGCAACTAACATCGACAGACTTTGCCTTATGGGCTGGCTAGTGGAGTTATATGCTTACTGTCAGCAGCGTTCAACAGCACTGAATAACATGCAAGCAGCTTTACCTCTCCACGACGTCCAAATCTTCAGCACAGCACTAGACTTCCTCGTAGCGGTATTGGGTCACCTGATGTTGACAGCTTTGCGTCATGTTGTCCACTTGCAATCACAACTTACACTTCTAGAAAGAGAGCTTGTCCGTCGGCGCGCATTCGACACCGGCTTACGCTTCATACGATACAGTCATACAAGTGATCGAGACAAGAGGCAGTCGTCGAGCTTTGAAGAAGCCTTTGAAAGTCTGCGTGCAGAACTTGTTACCTTCTACCGTTCTTGCGGAGATCATGCCGAAGCCAATTATATAAGCACGTCCACCCTCAAGGTACAACCATATCTGACTGGCTTCAGCTTCGACATGCTCACCAGGCTCTCTGCAGAGCTTTGCAACGTGCTACAGTATGCCTTCAAAGATATTAACCCCAAATATCAAGACGTGCTGGATCCGAAGAAATGCGTTCGTATAGACACATCACATCTCGCCATATTGGGTGGAAGAATGAACAACACAATTGAACCTGAAAAGTGTGGCATCAGCATGCAACCAGATATCACTGGTCGCAACGAGCTTCACCTGGCGGTAGAAACAGGCGATCTGTGCTATCTGGAGTGGACGTTAAACAACAAACAGCGAGACACCAGCTTCGATCTTGAGCAAAGAGACACCCTTGGTTTCACACCACTGATGATCGCTGCTTATGTAGGATGCCTCGAGATCTTTCGCCTCCTACTGCGCGAAGGCGCAAACGTACGTGCACAGCTTGCAACAGGAAGAAGTATCCTAAGCCTCGCAAGCTTGGCGGGAAACGAAGACATTGTTGCTGAGTTACTTGCATATGGAGTCAAAGTTCAAGATTGCATCGGGTTCTGTTCCCCCATACACGATGCGGCCGCAACTGGACGTTCAGAAGCAGTGGTAAAATTATTGCTAACTCATAAGGCTGAACCACGAGACGAAAGAGCCGAGCACGGCAATCGATCTGCGTCGCAAATTGCCTTTGCAAACAACCACCACAATATAGGAATCATACTACTAGAGGCAGAGAAAGCACTCGAAAGAAAACTACCTACCAGGGATCCGCATGGCCACACAATCGAGTCACTGAAGCGCCTGATCGACCGAGAGATGGCTCGTTCGAACAGCCCCGAATCTCCTGCTGCAAGCCGTATGGGAAGAACTTCGAGCCCCGATAGTGAACGCACCCGTAAGAGACATAAAAGTATCAACTCGGACTGGCAAGTGAGTGCAGCAATTGCAAGCTCCACATCCTCTACACCGCATGCACACACTACTGTGGCACCCAGTCCCCTTGGCCAGACCATTGTCGGATCATATAGTGTAAGGACCTTCTCCAACCTGGAATCGGATATTGTTGGGTTGCCTATGGATGACTACATAATAAGTCCTCACGATACCGAGTACGACGCCATGTTCGATATGCCTTAATGTGCTTGTCTCTTCGATGCGCACCTGCTGCTGTCTACGCACCAGACCTTTCGGAGCATACATTCTCACGGCATGTATAGACAGGCCAGATTGGATGCATATAGGAGCAAAAAGTTGCTCAATGTCATGAATTAATGATCTATCCGTAAATACATTACCACGCTGGGCTGCAATTTGTGCAGTGTAGTCTAAGTATGCAATGGTTTCGCAATAGCACTGTCGTCTGTGGACACCATGACCTCGGGTCAATTGTTGGCTTGAGACAACACCTCTCCATGTCTTTGGGGCTCGCTGTCGCGTGGTACCCGAGCGTTTGTGTGCGACGCGTTTTTCAATCGTGCTATACATGACTCCACTTCTAGCAAGGCGCGTGACAACCTTTAGACTGCCCAGCAGTGCTGCCACAGCATCATTCCACATTCAATGGATGGAACTAAGTCTGATGCGACTGTTCTCTTTCCCTGCAATCCTTGACCTTCATGGACTCAACGACACAGAATTATGATCTATCGTGCTCCAAATAGCATAATTCCGTGGCTGTTGCTGCTCGTAACCTGGACATGCCTGGCATCAGCACATTCTTGGACGGGTGCTTCTTCAGGACAACACAGCTTGCCTAGGTATTCCAAAGGTGTGTGAGAACAATCTACGACACTGGTGTCTATCTAGCAGCTGCCTAACCACCGAGGTTTCCTAGAACACCTCCGTCATGAAGTACCGGAGCTTGAAAGCATATTCCGAATGCCTCAGCAGTGGAACACCAAAACTTATGGAGAGCAAAACGATAGTATACCTTATCACAGGCTGAACAAGACACGTACGCTCTTCAATATGTGCTTTATAAGTGTTGGCTCTAATTGATGCAGTATTCCCACTCAAATTCCAGCCACTGCCTCTTGGGACCATTAAGGCTCAAGGATGGTTTCAGCAGCAGTTGGACTTGATGGCGGAAGGAATGCCGGGTCGCATGCATGAATTCTATCGACTAGTCAAGGATGCCACATGGGGAGGTGGAAAAGAAGAGTACAGTATCTTGAATGAAGCATGGCCGTACTATATCAATGGTCTTGTGCCACTAGCTTTCGCCGTCGACAACCCACAAGTACTTGACGCGGTCAACAGACAAATATTCTATGTTCTGCTCAAGCAGTTTCCAGACGGTTGGCTCGGGCCAGAAGCAGATGTGCCTACAAGGAACTTTTGGGGTCGTTACCCTTTCTTTCTGGCGGCAGCACAATACGTTGAAGCGGCTGGTGCAGCCGAATCGCAACAAATGCTAGAGGCTATGCATCGGTTCGTCAATATTATGCACTCCATGCTGAAGAATGACCATCAGGGCTATGTATGGAGAGAGGGCGACCACTTCGATGAGCAATGGGGTCGATCTCGTGCTGCAGACATGGTACTCGCTCTTCAATGGCTTTATGAGAACCATCCAGATAACAATCAAGAAAGAATTCACGAATGTATGTTCTTGATCTACACAAAGGCCTATGACTGGTCATGGTGGTTTAGAGACGACGTTTTCTTGAAAAACGACATTGAATCGTATCCAGACGAGCTGATCGATCCGCTTTTCCCCTTCCTACATGTTGTCAATACAGCGCAAGGATTGAAATCACCTGCCGTGATGGGAAGATTGCTTCACGACCAGGCACTGTTCGATAGCTCTCGCCGAGGCGTGCAGCTCACTTTCGACCATCACGGAGTTTCATCCGGTGCCATCATCGGAGATGAAAGAATGTCTGGCAACTCTGCCACACGTGGCTCGGAGCTATGCTCAGTGGTCGAAGCAATGTTCTCTCTCAGCACATTGTATCAAATCCTCGGCGACGCTTCCTTTGCAGATCGTCTCGAAAAGGCCGCCTTCAATGCCATGCCTGCAATGATCATGCCCGACTGGTGGGCTCATCAATACGTGGCTCAAATCAATCAGCCATACTCTTACGAGATACCCGACACTCACTTCTGGAACGTCGGCCCATGGGGTGTCACGTTCGGCGTCGAGCCGAACTATCCCTGCTGTGCCGTCAACTTTCCTCAAGGTTATCCCAAGCTCCTGTCTAGCTCATGGGTCCGAACACCCGAAAACAACGGTATCGCTCACGTGGTTCTGATCCCCAGCGAAATCAAGACGGTGCTGAAGCAGGCACATGTCTCGAATCACGTTCATATACGCTGCAACACCAACTATCCCTTCACACAACTACTCGAATACCATGTCGAAGCACAGGAGTCATTTAGCTTTTCCTTCCGTGTGCCCGAATGGGTAGACCTAAACAACCCAAAGACAGGTATCTACCTCGACAAGTCAACCGACCTCCACCACACCCATCATCCCACAGCCCAAAAGCCACTACCCTCGAGACCACCCCCTGGACCTCCCGCCCCGCTTAAACCAGACCCACACACAGGCCTCCACACCATCTCCCTCCCAGCAGGATTACTCCACTTCACCGTCTACCTTTCCCCTTCCTCCAACACAAAACCAACCATCCACCAACGCCCCAACAACGCCGTCGCACTAACACACGGAGCTCTCCTCTTCGCCCTCAACATACCCAGTGATTCCATCCCTCGCCGCCCAGCAAATTACCAGCGTGAAGGCGAAGCACCGCCCCAAGCGAATGATTGGACTATCGTGCCTCTTACTGAGAACAATACATCGTCGTTGTTAGTTCCATGGAACATTGCCATCGACCCATCAACCGCGCGTGTCCACGAACACGAGAACCTCTCCTCCAATCTCTCCTCGTCAACCAACAGCACCTCCCCCTTCACCTCCTCCCCCATCACCATAACAGTCACCGCCTGCGAGATCTCCTGGCCTCTGACCGCTCCGATCCAATACGAAGACCATAATAGCGAAAAACGCGCAGTCAGAGGTGGGTATCCTGTGGAACCGCCTAGACCTGATCCGAAGACTGGTAAGCACGAGTGTATTGGAGAGGCGTTTGAGGTTGAGCTGAGGCCGTTTGGGGGTGCGAAGATTCGGATGGCAGAGTTTCCGGTTGTGGATTTGGGAGGGAGATAGGAGGAAAAGGGGGGATGGGATGGTGAAAATGAGAGTGGAGGAGCGTAGGGTTTTGGTAAGATCAATGATTGGGAGACGTGAAAGTGAGCTCATCTGTGTAGGAGGAGAAAAGTTGGACTAGACAAATCCACTTCTGTACTTATGGGTTGAGCTATCATATACAAGGATATTGAATCTTGCAGGTCTGGTATCATCGTCAGATCGATTGATTAGATGGAAGCTAGCTTGGACGCACTACACGATCGTCTCCTTGCTCCTCCTCGTCCTCAAGCAACGCTGGACTCTCCTCTCTTCGCAGCAATTCCTCCTGTACCTCATCGTAATCTTCTATAAAAATAGCCGGCCCCGGCTCACCCAAGTCTTCCTCACCGCCCGCAGTGTCAGACTCCCCTTCCTCATGCTTCTCTTCTCTTTCAACAAATACAAAACTACCAACGACAACCATAGCTCCAATCCAATATACCCAGCTCTCGAAACGTCCTTGGATGATCATCTCACCAACCAAACTTAGAGGAATCGTCAAGCTCAATCCGACCGTGACGACGAGCGGGCTTGTGAATACCATTGCATATGCCCAGCAGATATCACTTACTAGACTGCTGACGGAGTTGACGAGGAGGATCATCCAGATGTGTGCCGTGGGAGGAAGGGTGAATATTTCCAATTTCGTGAAATGTAATACCGGAAATAGCGGAAGTAACAGCACAATGTTGAACATGCCCACGAAACCGAAAAAAGTGGGCATATGAATGGCCTTGGGTAAAGCTGAAATCGTGGTCTTTTTCAACGTGATGGTATAGAAACCATAGATGACAGCTGACAAGAGTGCTAGCCCATCTCCTAGAGCCAGCTCGTAAGGTGATTTGTCGGGAAATTCGTCGACTGCTCTTTTCTGCCCTGCTTTGTCATCCCCAGCGTTTAGGTCAACCTGCGATATTAGCACGATACCGGCCAGACTTCCAAGCACACCACATAGCTTCCTCCAAGTGAACTTCTCTGTTCGTGTGAGCGCACCAATAAGCAAGGTCCAGACGCTGCTCGTTGAGCTGAGGATTGTAGCGCTGGCGACTGTCGTGTACTGCAAGCAGGCCATGGCGAAATAATTTGCCAGGAACCACAATATACAGAAGGCCAGCGACAGCCGCGCAGTTGGTATCAGACCAAGATTACCGCTGCCTTCTCTTGTCTCGCTAGACGCAGACCGTGTCGATTTTGTATTTCCATCACTAGGTTTCAAGAAAGACTCCTCTTCGTCACCGCGGACAGCCGTGTACTCCTTCTCCTCATCATCTCCTCTCCAAAAACTCCGTAATGTCTTTAACGTAAATGTAGACCGTAAATCATCCTTCAATGTTCCTTCTCTTCGTTTGCGTATAGCGCCGTTCGCTAATCGAGGTATTATACATAATGTGAAAGCGGAGGTGTTGAGATATGTCAAAAAGAATGGCTTTGCATAACTTTTATCCGCAAATATACTCTGTTGCAAGTTTGATTAGAATGTCTGCAACCTCTCGAGTCTGATAAAGGAGACAAAAACTTACACTTCCCAAGAAATTCGAAGTTGTCCATAAAAAAACGACGCAAAGCAACAGAATCAATCCCAGAGTATGTCTCGCCAAACCAGATGTTATACTCTTGCTCTTTCTGCTCTCCGCCGGCCTCTGCTCTACTTCCTGGTCGTTTCCGAGGAGTGTAGAGTCATCCATCTCGAAACTCTGGGATTCAGCGTCATCTACACTCGTTCTTGTTGTTGCGCCTGTATTGGGAGTCTTGCTGTTGGTGAGGACCGGCATGTCCGCAGATCTGCGATGTGTATCATCTGAACATTCAAGGTTCTCGTGACGTAAAAGTGTTCGGAGCAGCCCGTCGACTGGGGAGCAGGGACATGCGCTTCGTCTATACAGTCCACATTGGGAAAGTACAAGTTTAGCTTTGTGTTGGTATGGAAAAGAGCGACTTTGACAATAGCACTGGCGAGTGGACGAAGTACGAAGAGGGAGTCGCACGAACAAAGGAAGCCACGAGGGTGGTGCTGCGGAGTGGGCTGCAGGTACCACCGACGCATGATGGCGTGCCTGGAAAGGGGCTCGGGGGCTCAAGAGGCTCTTTGCCACGTGCTAGGTTGCCTAATCTAGAACTCATTGTACTCATAGAAAGTTGTGCATTGTTGTGAAGCAGATCTACAGACGCTGTGTATAAACATAGCGGTCCTCCATCACTCACATTAATGAATCCGACGTATTTCACAGTAAAAATCAGTAGCATCGCTGTTCTTGTTGTCGTAGCTCCGCGAACGGGATGTCCTGTCACAAAAATAGCATGGCAAAATTCTCCAGAGCATCACGCTGAGAACCAAATCCACTCCATCTGTGCTGTTTCCTAACACATACAACACTCGTCCGAAATCACCATCAAAGTCACCAGCACTGTTCCAACATCTTCTTAGTACCCATTTCCATAAGGTCTAAGGGAAGTCGGCATGCCTGAGCCAAGTCCATGCTGGTTCTGGTCAAGATGCGAGCCAGTGATAAGACTGAGCATGTCCCTGTTACCAAGAGTCGGACCAATACCTCCAAACCCGGTATGCACCGTATCATCGCCAAGGTCGAAAAGGTTGTCAAGAGGCATGCCAATCCAGTCATCCCCAGACGAGAAGAGTGAAGGGTCGACGTTGGCATCGAAAATCATGTTTGCATCGTAGGAAGCCGAGTTCTCCAAGCCGAAAGGTGGCATGAGTGTTTGGTTAGCATAGTCGGCCATTGGGATTTGACCAAGAGGATCTGGTGATTCTTGATCCGAGGTATACGACATCGTTGTGTTGTGAGGTTGAGGCGAAATGTGACGAGACTGGCCTCTACTTCCGGGCTTAGGAATGCGAACCATACTGCCGTGAACGTCCTCCATGAGTTTCTGGATTAATCGTGCCACGTGAGCTGCCAGGTGAACATCATCGGCCACTTGTTCGCTCATTCGTTTTGTCGTCTCTTTCAGAAGCCTAAACACGGCTCGAACAGCACGTTCCTCGTTACCTAGACTAAGGAGCTAAAAATCGTTAGTCTGCATAGATCTAAACGTTGGCATATGTACTTACCTTGAGACTGAACATGAGTGCGGAAAGCGTTCGCAGAAAAGTTCGAACGGGGGAGTATCCAAGAGATTTGCTGTTACCCATACCATAACAGGACAATTCCAAGATTTGCGTTGCAGCATTGCGGACCTCATCGATGTAAGCCTTGTTGTCATCATATACCGAACCAAGTTGTGTCGCTAGACCTCGACCAACGCTATTGCGATTTTGCACAGCCAGTTGCCCAACAACTTTCTGCAATCCAAGCGAGTATACATAAAGTCTTGCATATTCGTACTCCATTCTAAGCACCACTCTCATCTGGGGCTTGATGTACTCTTCAACGGCACAGTAATTGTTGGTCCATCTCTTCAATCTCGGAGCGTATTGACCAATCAAGGTGTGATAGTGACCATTTTCGATATAGGTGGCATTCTTTCTTGGAGATGGGAAGATGTCGCGATTGGCATCGTACATCAGAGAACCAATGTCAAACCACAGCTTTTGCATCATATCCACAGGTTCATTGGCATCAGGCCCGTGGGGATCGTCATCTTGCTCAGGAGAAAGAGACGACTGTATGCCCATGCGGCCACTGATCTGTGAGATATAGACAATGACTAAACGTCGAAGGCGTCGTCGTCTCAAACAGTCTGACATTGGACCGTGGTCGCCGTTACAATATTCGTGTGCACGATCGAAAACTCCCAACTCATAACCAAGAGATTGCGCCAAACCGACGAGACTTCTTGACATACGGTCTGACCGCCAAGCGGGTTCCAGCCAGGTCGCATATGGCAAGTTGCTTGAGTTCTGAGGGGCGGACGGCTCATCGCCGAAAAGCGATAGGTTCGTTCCGACTAGTGAGTTCTCGTCGTCGCCTGGCGGGAAATGCAGACCTCTGGGCTGCCAGTCAGCGAGCAGAAGCAAGGCCTCAATGGTGCCCAGGCTTCGGAGACTACCTTTCCATGTGATTTGACCACTAGCTGTTCGCTGCGTCGATACCTGACCTGCACCTGTGAACCCACCACCGAATTGTTCTTGACACCAAAACAAACGTTGAACAATGTTTCGGAACGAAGTACACAGTTGCTCGTGAATGTAGTAGCCTCGAGAGACTTTTGAGTCTGACCTCAATTCATAGTATCTCGAGGTGATGGCAAGTATAGCCAAAGCAAGAATGGGTTCTTCTGTCAATAACTGGTAATGCGTAGCAGGATTTCGGAAGCGGTCGATGACAACAGGTGTCATTGGAGCGAGATGGGTGTAGAAGTACTCAACGTATTGCATAGCTTCATCGGCTGTAAACCATCCAGCTCGGACGAAGCGCATCTTAGCCCAAACTTGTTGAGCCTGCTTGTAAGCTTTAGCTTCTGGCCCTGGTAGAGATCTGATATTGATATCACTAGCACTGCCTGTCAAAGATCTGTTATGCTGCAGACGGCCGGTCGAGTCCAGAGGTTGGGTTGTGGTTGCAGCTCTGACCAAGACACTCAAATTGTCAGTAGTGTTGGTAAATGATTCAGCCAAGCTGCTGGCTTTAGGCATCGCCACATGGTCATCGCCGTTAGTGGTCCTAGCTGGTACACTAAGATTGTTGTAGGGACTTTCGGCATGTTCTTGAAGGCCTGTCGCACCAGTATTCGGTCGAGGCAATGAGGTAGGTGTAGATCGAGGCAGAGGTGGTAGGTTGCCTATGGTGGGTTGAGGAAGCGCATGTACACTAGGAGGGGTCGCAGATATGGAAGGTCTTGATGGTGACAAAGGGCTAGACTGGTATGCATATGTGTGACCGATATGTGGGCTAGCAGGAAGAGTCGCGAATGTTCTGGTCGAGTGCGACGAGTCGATTCTCGCTCGCTTGGTAGGTGGTTCAACATCATTCGTCTTGATCTCTTTCTTTCGCGTCTCGCGGAACCAGCATTTCTTAGACTGTCGCTTGCAAGTCACGCAAGGAAGTGGCAGTGGGTTGTCGACAGGTCCAAGGTCGCATTTTATCTTGCGCTCGCGACATGGTTCACAAGCCTGATAGTTGCGACGATGCTTCACGGATGTTTTGTTCTCCTGCGGGTGTTCGCCTGATTCTGGCGACAAAGTATCTGAGACACCATCATCAGTCTTTAGATGATCGAGGTTGTGTGTAGCCACGTTCTCGTGGTACGTAGACATGATTGAAGTCGCGACCGTATTGTGACTCGAGTACAATGAGAACCGTCGTTAACCGCGACAGTGGGATCGCGGGAGAGAAATTGGGGTCCACAGTTGTCGAGTGCTGTAAGCTTCTACTTATCGCTCCGAGGTCACCAGCTTATCCAGGTCAGCTTTGTTTGTGATAAGGACATCAATGCTCGAACAAGGTACCAGTGGACTGGGATGCTACAGAAGTGCGAATCTTGGTCGCTTGACTGCCGTTTGTGCTGTATCAGCCTCGAAGATACTGCGGTGGGGCGCATCTTTACAAGGTTAGGCTGTCCCGATAGGTGACAGTGATGCTAGATGCAACACTCTTGGTGAGGGCAAAGTGACCTCGACGACGCGCAATAACACTATCTACTGTAGAGCGAGTCTCGCACTTACCGGGCCTCGAAGTGATAGAATGTGATCAACGATCATGGCCATCTCGAGCTTTCTGTGTTGTCTACGACATCGATTGATGACCACTATCTATCAGTAATATCAAACGCTCACCCAGCATCACGTAGCATAGATCTATGATAAGGCAAGCCCTTAGCACGAAGAGGACCGTTGAAAACATCGCTCAGATCGCCGCCCTTCTCCTGCTGGGCAAGCTTGTTATCATGCAACGCAGCACTGGCTTGGCTTATCACACTCTCTTCACTGTTCCTTCTCGACAAATCAGGCACTCTAAGCAAACCACGAATTCCACCCGATTTTCTTGTCGGCAAGTCTCCACTTCCTGCTGTGAGCACGAATATTAGGTACTTGAGGTTGGGCAAGGTGTGCCTAATGTCCACAGCTCGAAGTCCAGATCTGTTCATCAAGAATTCAATATCTTTATTCAGCAGAAACACGCCGTATTCAAACTTGTAAGCCGCTCCAACTGGGTGTAGTGGGAAATGCCTCTGTGCTAAGCCTGCTGAGATGTCATCTTGTATGAAGAAGCTTGACTCACTCGACCGGATTGGATAAGGAAGTGGTATGGAAAGGTACAACGATAGCTGATGGACGAGCTGTGCTGCGAACCCTAGAGCTGCAGCAATCTCGTCGCTGTTAGTATCGCTGAACGACGAGTTCGGCAAGTGAAGATTCCTAATTGTAAATTGCAATGCCCTGTTTTTGACAGGTTCAATCGGAAAGATATGCATGAGGCTTGAGCATATACGGCGAATTTGGGAATTGGAGGATTCGTTGACTTGGTCATCTTCCTTTCGAACCTTCTGAGCTGTTTCCTGGAGTCGCTGTTGCCTGGCTAGTGCCCTACTCTGTATTGTGGGAAGACTGTTCACTACATCGCGACTGGATTGTATGGAAGCTTGCAGTTCGGACTTCAAACGTCGGGAATGATCCACGGATTTATGTTCATTGTCGCAAGACCGCTTAGCATTCTTCGTGTCTTCCTGCTGTGACGACAAAAGCGACAAAGCATTTTCAGCTTGAGGCATATCAGCAAGCAGAGAATTGATATCCGCTTCCAGTTTGCTTCGAGTACGTATCGCATCCTGGATCACATCATCCAAATTGGCTAGCTTGAGGAGAATATCAAACGTTGGGCCTTGAGTAGGCGCCATCGATTTCATAGCAGGCGTCAACGGAGGCTGCTGGTGAACCTCTGCAGGTAAATCTGTAAAGCTTGTGTAGATGCCATCTGAGAGGTGAAAGAGCACACAGTTCTCAGGCAGAGGGTGCTGGAAGGTCTCTAGAGATCTGCCAATAAACTGAAGCGAACGCAAGTTTACATCGAGCTCGACCAGTATGCGGTATTCGTCCATATGCTCATTCTTGGACCATATCCGTAGAACGAAATTGTCGCTGCGAGCCACACTGGCAATAGAGCTGTCCAAGTCAAAATGGCTGAAACTAGGGTTCATTGAGTCCTCCATGATCTCGCTGATATATATTGGTTCTTCGAGCTTAGCAGGATGTACTGAGAACCAGGATGTGACCAACCTGTCGACCTCCAGAGCTTCCAACTTTGATTGTCTCGTTCTTGGATCTGAGGATGCCCAATGTAGAGTGCTTCTTCTCCTCATATTGCCCTGTGCTGGCCTCACCGGTCTCTTCTGCGTCTTTTCCTTTTTGACCGGACTGTGTATAGAGCTTTGTTGCCCGCCATTTGTCGCTTGGGTTCTCGAGAGTTGGTCATAGGACTTCGCATGGTGGAGTGTGTGAGCATCGTCGCGGGCTAGAGATTTTGCAGGTGTAGTGAGATTGTACTCATCATCTGTACTGGTTTTACCTCGTACTGAAGAGGTCGGAGCGTTTATATTGAGATTGCGCAACGAGATGCCGTGGAGGTGACGAAGCCGACGATTCTGAACAGGTCAATTGGGAGCTTGCGAGTGTATTCTCTTGCGTGTACTCACCCAGGTATAGAGAAAAGGGTGCTCGCGCCTCTTGACATGCAGCGCGTCTGCACTGGAAGCGTTGGACATCGATAGAATGGAGGCTGGTCATCTCTGTACCGTTGCTGGTTGTGCCAAATTCCGGGCGGATGATAGTAATGGTCACCGTGCGTGTTTCGTGAGAAGTAGCAGTCGTGTAAGCAATCAGGTCAAACGTCGGCCGGTATACATTCCATAGGCAGAGCCATAGTCATGAAAAAGCTCTCTCGATGCATGACCAGAGAAAAGGTCGCGAACACAAAAATAAAGTCGACCTGAAAGATTTGTGCTGGCCTGTTACGCCTCGGCGCTCACTTCTACAGTGTTATGGTCCATGAAGACCACTTTTGAGAAAGAAGTGCTTCGGCACAATTCAATTTTGCTATTTCCACGAACCATTACACACCACTACGAATTGTTCTTCATTGTCCTTAACTCATCCATAACCTCGTTAGGATCGGTTTTCCCAGTCGCTTTGCGCATCTCATCACTATCCACTCGCATGAATAAATTGTGCTTCTTTTCATCTCCGATTGTGCTTAGTCCCTGCGTCTCCTTGTTGTCCTCCGCCAGTTTCTGTAACTTCTGGATGGCAGGATCGTCTGGTGCTACCTTCGCCAAAAACTTGACGTTCGCCTTGGTGTACTCATGACCCGGGAAGACTTTTGTATCGTCCGGCAAGCTTGCCAGAGTCTTGTTCAGTGCTACATGCATTTCATTTGCGGTGCCTTCAAAGAATCTTCCGCAACCTCCAATGAAAAGAGTATCACCTGTAAACACGGCTCTTTCGTTCTTGCTCTTGTCCTCCATGAACCAGCATATGCTGTCCTGTGTGTGGCATGGTGTATACAGTGCCGTCACTTCGATGTTGTTGCCAATCGAGAACTTCGATCTATCTGCCGGCGTTTCTGTGACAGCTTGACAGTCCTTTCCACCAACAATCGGAACCTTCTCAGGTAGTTTCGAAAGAATCTTTGAGTTTCCTCCAGAGTGGTCCCAATGATGATGTGTGTTCACGATCGATTTCAGTCTAAGTGCACCGGACTTTATAGCTTCTGATAGAGGTGGTCCTGCTCTTCGAGGCGTCAGTCGGCCCTGCATCGCTTTCAATACACTTCACATACTCTTCAGGGTTTGCAGGGTCTATAATGATACCCTCTTTAGTGTCTTCATCGGTCACGATATAGGCGTAGTTGTTGGACGACCCAACCCCTAGTAAGTGTTAAGGCTAGCACTCTTGCTTGATATTCGGGGACATACACATAGGAATTGATTGGATATGCATGGCTCTTCTCAGCGACGGTTGGCGAGATGTGTGAAGTAGTGGCCTGAGGAGAGATGGTACAAGCATTGGATGAACGTATAGATCGTGTCGTTGGAGCTTTGCTGTTAGAAGTGCAATTCGCTGTCATGCGGAGGTCAAGCCGCGGATGCGTTCACCCTCTGAACATTCGGAAGCTGCGATCGAATGACGTCATATGATTGGGTGAATGCCACTATACTCTGTTGAGCAGCTTTAGCAGAGGTCCGAGTATTTTCTAGACCTGGATATGCGTGAGAAGGCTGGAAATCAGGTGTTTGACATGAATCCTCCGAAGAAGTGCTATCAGGGATTGAGACCTCGAGCATGGGCTGTCGATTCACCTGCTCGTAGAAGAGCATAAAGACATTTCCTCTGGCAAGCACTTGCTCTTCCGAAAGTTTTGTGACCACCTCATCGTTGAAGGAATACCAATGCTTGCCACGCTTTCCGCAGGCAACGTAGTGACCATTGTCGTGTCGACCTTGGTGAGTGACGATACAACGTAGCTCGTAAACAGCCTGCACGTCAGTATCTTTATCGATGAGAGACTTCTCCATCCAGTCAGGTCCGATTCTGAGCATCGAAGGATACCTGACGTATGCAACGTTCTTTTTCTGGTTGCCCCAGTCGTCGAAGATGCTGCGGTTGATGTGTAAAACGAGGTCTTGCGGAAGCCGGCCAAAGAGGATCTGCTTCTCTTTGGTTCGGAGTACTTTGGTTTCCTTTGAACTTGACTCCGAGACCATCTGGCCGTCACTTGACTCTTCGAGGTGTGAAGGTGCGGGTTGGGCTTGCTTTGTACACTCATCGCACACAACTCCCTCGATCAGCTCAGATGCTGTGTACGCATCTAGAAGGTCTTCCACGTCACAATCACCACCAAGTCCAAGGTTGAGAGTAAGACAGTTGAACGGGATCAGTGATAGTCCTTCAGAAAATTTGCAAGTTTGACACCTTAAGGATTGGGAGATAGTGCCGTCAAGGGGATTGTCTTGAAGGGAGAAGCAAGCTGATCTGTAGTTGTCCAACCACCCAGCATTGGCTTTAGGATTCGTTTTTGGTGTTTCTTCGTGGAACGTCGACAGGGACAGGCAGTCGAGGGCAGGTGCCATCCGCTTAGTCATGGTCCGCTGGTATTTGACAGCCTCTTTCTCTGTCGCATCCATAATCTTCGAGAAGTACTCTTGCGCATCCTGCTGTTGCCATGTGTTCATTGATCTGAGAGTTGAGGGTGGCCACAAAATATTCTTACCATCCACTTCCTGTAGCAGCTGACCTAAAAAGTCTTTCAACGCTCGATATGTTGGAGCACTAAGTCCTGCTGCCTCACTCATATCCCAATTCTTGTTCACAAAATCTCGAAACATCGGTAAAGACGCTAGACCCTGGAGGACGCTGTTTTGGAAGCATGAGTTGTCCCAATTTCCAAGTCCCGAGAAGGAGATTTCGGCTGCCACTTTATCGAACCCCGAAAGGCTTCTTGCTCTTTGCACCACTGCTGAAGTGCCAGATCCTTCGTAAAACCTAGTCAAGGGATTGGTTCTGCCCGCCACGCTGTCGCCGGGCGAATCTTTCGGTAAGGCAGAGATTCGTGCTGCGACTTTCTCCACGACGTGGAGAGATCGTGTTGGCACTATTGAGTTGCAGAAATCGTATATGCGCCGCTTGATAGTCGTGTTGTATACGAGGTAAGGCCATACATAGTATGCCGCAACTAAGAGAAGGATAGTTGTAAGTGACGTTTGCCATGGTTGTGGTATTGCTGTTTGTTGGATGAGAGCATCCTCGTCGTTGGTGTCAAGGCGGTTCATATCTGTGGCAGATCGGATTCTGAATATAGCTTATATTGGTAGACATAGGTGAATGGCTGAGCTATGGACGCTGTAGTGCGGCAAGATTTGATCGACCTAAAGTGTCTGCACACCGAGGATAGTTCGAGTGGTTCATCGTGCTGGTGTTTGTTCACCACAATTGCAGGCACAGGGATGAGGCGTCATTGGTGGCTGGTGGCGCACGGGCACTGAAAGATGGAAAGGGCCCAAGATGGAAAATTGATCACTTCCTGCTACATAGAAAAGGCTTGCTTTTTCTAATCGACTGCTGCTACATATAATTTACAGAGACGCGACTCGCCGTTATTTCCGCACCAAGTGAAGCCATACGCGCCTTTCACAAACGCATGGACATTACTTGTAGTCAAGTGATTGTGATGGCCAGTCGATCAGCTTTTTGCTTCGCAAAATAGTCGCTCGCACGGCATTGGTGGCTACGCCGGCCTCTGTGTCTGCGCTCTGAGCTCGCTCGTAGCTTTGAAATACCTCAATGCTGTCGTAGGATCTCCTGTAGCATTGCCCTTCCACCATCTCTCCCATAACCATGTCAAGCCTTCATTTGCTGCATCCCGAAGTGCTTTGACATCAGGAAGCTGACCATGGCTAACCTGGTGCCTTAGATCCACGAAGCGATTCGGCATCGAAATAGCTGCTGCATGAGCATACATTGACGACTCTCCAGCAATCTTGACAGAAGTCTCGTCATCGTCGTCGTCCTCACTCGTGATTAGTGCTGCAGTAGCTGCCTTCGCGACGTCTCGATCAACGAAGCTGTTCACAAAGCGCAAGAACGCAAATGCAAACATAAATTGTACTGCACGATAAGAATCGGGATTATTTGTGCTCACCATCTTTTCATAGTGTATGATTGAGTCTGTCAGATCAGCTGTCGATATCACAGCGACTGGAGTTTTGTGCGACTTGAAGGTCCAAACGTTGACACGAGCTATTGCTTCAGATCGCATGTCTTCTCGTGACTTTAACTCGTATGGGTCTTCTACCGAGTGGCTAGGGTAGAACCAGTCTCTGACCATGGCGAGCTCGGCCTCATTTTGCCAGGGCCCTGGGATGTTCGTATTCATGGTACACGAGCTTCTGGCGCCTGAATCTGGCTCTTAATGAGTGTCAAAGAAGATGAGTACTCATCCAAGAATTGCCGGTGTAGACATAAGATGTAAGACACTACTGAGTCGAGAACAGTACGTATCACAAACTGCACTTTGTTCGTTTCATAAGTGTGATCAGCAGCTGGTTAGATGTATCTGATTTTACTGTGCTTGATCTATCGAGGGTTGAAGGATATAAGGGATGAGTGGTTGTTGAGTACGTTCTTGTACGAGACCTGAATTACCAGTACCAATTTATTCAGCAGGTGCAAAGCCGACGAAATTGTGCCATGTCACATGCCGAACCTCGAGCCCTTGTAGAGTGCATTCCACGGCAACTTTTTTCGCGTTAATTTTTGTGAGCACAGTAGTAGTACTTGAGTAGAACATGTACAGAAACCATTGACTACCTTCGTTCAGCATCAAATCTAGGAGAGTCTTATACCTCAATAAGAGTCTAAGAGACGAAAATGCGTAGCAAACAGAGCAACATTTTCCCCTTATAATTCAAGGTACGTATTTGTACGAATATAATATCTCAAAAATGGTCGTTATGCTAGCAGACCGAAACGAAAACGCTTGAACGCTTGAACCAAATCAAATCGCTGGGAAGCACATCTATATCCAACCAGACGCTACTGCGTGTCCTGTTTGGTGCTGCAGAAACTGTGTTGGAGCATAATCGTAATAATGCATTGACGATGTGTTCGGCTGAGGCATATTCCCGACCATGGACTCGGAAAGCTGCCGAGACACGTCCGCCAAAGAAAACAAATCTTCCCCTGCTGCTAGATCATATTCGACATCATCTTCGTCTGCATCGACCTCTGGTGTTGGTTCGAAAGACTCTTCTAGTTTCAAGCCCTTTCGCCGTACTGGCGAAGATCCATTGAACAAGAGGTTTGCGGACCGCACTTGGTCTGGCGAGTCGTACAGACCTAGACCGACCAATTCTTCTGTGCTGCTCTCTTCTTCAAATCGTGTCTCTGCGAAAGATTGACCTAATTCTGGTATTGGTAAATATGCTGGAGACGATGGCGCAGTCGGGAAATTGGTGCAGCCAGTAGCAGGAAGCATAGGCCAGGTCATATCTCGCGATTGATGATTTGTCGTGTCAACACCAGACATAGACAAGGGAGTATAGCTGTTGATATTCTGATCGTATTCATGGTATGTATTGAAGTATTGATGGTCGTAATGCAAAAGATTCATGTTTTGGTCAGCCATCTGATTGAGTGGCACGTTCGGGCAATCGAGATATGACTCTACCATGGTCGGGGCAGGAACGGGCGTGAAAAGTCCGTAGGCCACAGCAGTGTTCGTTGACGCGTTCCACTGTTGCGGTTCAGAATGCTGGAATATGGGTTGCTGAGCTGAGAAACCACCAGCAAAATCGGGATGCCAACTGACTGGACGAGGTTGTATGCCAGCACCATAGATCCGATCCTGAGCATTTCCAGCTCGTATTTGGTGGTCGACAGCAGGCCCAGTTCGTGAGGGTAGATGTGTTGTTACTCTTCTTCGCAAGTTGTGGTATGGACTTTGTTTACGGCTGTTTGGTTTGCTGACCTTCGATGAATCCTTAAAGTGTGTTGTGATATTGTGAGGGACGGAAGCAATATTGGAGGTGTCGGTCGTAAAGCTGAACCTCCAATCAGCGTTCATCTTCCAGTTAGACATGGCGACGAACGCGGTTAATAGATGAGAAGAAGCTGCAAGATGTGAAGTGAAAAAACGTACGACCAAAGACGAGACATGGACGGCGAGTAATAGATGTCAGAGATCAAACCACTGTGCTGGGCAGTCTGTAACAAGCAAACCTTGTCAAACAGCTTCTGTTGTTTGAAAGCCTAGTGTCTGTGACAAACGACCTGGTCGGACCAGGTACCATGAATCATCCTGCGTCACGGGAATGAGTTGACTAGGTTCTTGAAGGGGTTGCAAATATGCAGATTCAAAGCTTGGGATTTGTGGGAGCAAGGACAGATCGAACAATGCAGAACCACACCGTCAGGTGGTGGTGGACAGTCCGTCAAACTTACCTCATGACGATCCACTAGATCTAGAAAGATAGGAATGCCGAACAAGGACTAGCACTCATCAAGATGTCTTCGGAACGACTCACAGGAACAAGGGATGATATGGGCTTATAGTTTCGAGCTTGAGGCGTCAGCTTTCATGATCATTGGGGGCGACAAGGATGACATTTGTGGTGGATACTGCATATCTCATTTGGCACAGACCGCCAAATCGTCCTTGTTTCCAGTATCATTGTGTCAAACCGACACGAGACTTTACTACTCGTAAACAATCCCAACGTAGCACACAAACAGTGTTATTGGCCGATTGTCGCAGCTACAACAGCAAAGGAAAGTCAACTATTCAGCATGATCCGAACACATGATTGTCATCATTGCCGTGGCTGGAATTATACTTTCCTGAAGAACCGTACGGTGTGGTCGCAACAGGGTATGGGAGTTCCATGGTAAACGCTGCAGCCGCAGGCGGAGACCACCAGTCATGATCTCGATCAGGTTGTGAGGGGTCGTCAGTGGACGGCAGAAGTCAATCAGCGGACCCTCACCACAATCGCTGCAGTAAAACCGGGGCGTTAATAGCAATTTGCAGAAGTGGCTGAACCGGAATGAAGTAAAGGTTGTCCCAAGCAGCAGAGAATGCTGCAGTTGTGATGATAGGCGGAGGATTACTGAAAACTAACAACGCCTTTTCCTTCGCTGCATCCGCTTTCCCAGACGATTAACCTTTACGGGAGGATCTGGAGCTTTATGCCGACACCAAGAAATTTGGATCGTCACTTCCAATACCACCGTGGCCGTCAATACATCATGCTTTGCGTTAGCGCATCAGAAAGAGTTGATCCTGACTAGCCAAACACCATAGTGTGATCGTTGCTCTGATACAGCTTCTGGCCAACGCCCAGGCTGTATTCACGCGCCATGTTCATATACTTGGAGCTTGCAGTGTCATCTCCACTCAATCTAACCATTACAGGTTTAGATAACAACGTGGTCAATCAAACACGAAGCGGTACGGGTGAGCTCGATAATCGATTTGCACATTGGTGCTCTCAGCAAGACAGCTTCTTTTTACTCACTAACTGGCTACTAGGATCCGAGGCTCAATGGCTCAATGGCTCAAAAGACGTGGATTTACAGGATATCGTTCGACTCTTTCTCCTAACCTTGCCTTGTTGTTCGAACCGCAAAAGGATCACCCTTTGATGATAGATACTGGCGTCATCGCTAAGCCGCAACGTCAAAATACGACAACATGGCCACCACATCTGCATGAAGTACGGAATTCTAACTTGAGCCGAAGCAAGACTCCAAAAGTGGTACGCACTAGTGCATACCAGGGATACTTTTTCGAGTCTGAGATCGCTGAACGTTGCACCTGGATTTCTCGCTAGCTTTATTAGTTCTTGCGCTTCCTGGTGTTCGTTCTTTCATGAACAACCTGCAGCTCTCTACACTACACAGTATACCCCTGGTCGAACGCACAGGGGCACAAGCTGTGCCGCTTTTTCATCACGACTCTGTCTTGAGTCGTGCTACTATGTCAGCGAATGACTCTTGTTGATTTGACACAGAGATCGACAATGCCTGCATTCATGCAGACTGAGAAATACAGTGTCGGGAGGATGATCGGGTCATATCTGTGCCGCATATGTCGCGAGAAACCTTTTACGACATTTGATACAGCATGCCAGGGCTTTGCGGTGGCTGTTTTGGCACACTTATGGTCGGAGCTGTATAGACCCTCTCGTCGATTCCAAAAAGCTACTGGCACGATACAGTATACATCGTTGTTGCTATGATCGCGGTTGGCGTGGTTGAAGCCACCGGAGCTGAATCTAAATATCCTGCCAAGACACGCTTTGGATGTTAATGAGATAGTACGAGTACGAGTACTCGGAGCCCCACAGCTGCAGTGGTGAAGGCGGTAAAAGTGGGGCGAAGTTTTCGGATGCGATTGATGTAGAGTAACGACTGGTCGCCGCTGCCCAACATGCAACAATTGCTTTCAGTCGATCCCGTGCCAGCTTTCAAAATTTTGCTCAGCCCGGTTTTCACTTAAGAACTCTACTCGCGCCGTCGTCGTTCAGTACCAAGGAATTGCTCGGATACATAGTGACTTTTCAGGGGACTTCAAGAGGTGACCCGATTGGGCCTGGAGAACCTAACACGCAGCCACCAAACCAGCAATGTCAGTAATTAGATGTGGATCTAGAATGGCTACAGTGCCTGGACCGGTCTTTTGGATGGGCATATGAAGACAAGATATCGTCGCCGAAATGTGCCATAGCTTGTTGCTGATGTCCTCTGAACTTGAGATGGTCTGCTTGTGGATGCTATGTACTCCCTCATAGCACTATTGTGCCCATTGACTCTGTCCGGCTGTTCGTACTCACAAATGAGCATTTGTCAGACGTCGACGTCTTTGGTTCTTTAGCGCTCATCACGCCTCAGCTCTCTTATCGCTTTCCACCACCTCTCTGCGATTATCGTCTGCCGTTGTTCCGTTCAAGGTGCCCGGTTCGCCCACAAAAGGCGTGTTTTCGTCCGTGATGCCAGTAATCTTCTCCAAGATTCTTGCCGCAAACAAATCACCACTGACATTCGTCATGGTTCTGAACCGGTCGATGAACCAGTCTATGGCAACGACCACAGCGTACATCCCAGTAATTGGGATTCCAACTGAGCCTGCGATCATTACGGTAAGTACGAGCGACGAAGAGGGAATGGGCGTAGTGGCGATTGAGGAAAGGACTGAGAGGAGGACGATAAGTGTATAGTCTCCTGCATTTAGAGTTATGCCTTGTGTGATGGCGAGGAAAACCACGACGACAGGAAAATAGATTGCAGTGCTGCGAATGGTCAGCATATGCGTAGACAAAGACGCGAGCCCCGATTGACCTACCCATCCATATTGATCAACGCCCCAAGAGGAGCGGTGAATTTAACAATCACTTCAGGTACTTGCCGAGCATTCAACTGACGAATGGTGACAGGTAGTGTGGCAGCAGATGAAGCAGAGCCCCACGCTGTAATCCAGGCAGGTGCACATTTCGCCCAGTAGGCGTAAGGATTCTGTCTAACCACAGCAAAGAAAATGATCGGTAGAACGATGAAGAGATGGATCGTCATCCCAGCTATCGAGGCACGACCTGCACCATGAGGCGTCGCCAGACTAGATCCACCAAAATGATGCTGTGAACTATTGCAAGGCAAGTCGTGGCAACATAGTAGAAGATTGTCCAGCGAGCCAATTTTGCGCCACCACTTGCCATCGCTTTTAGGTTTTGCACAGCTAGAATGATCGCTGTAACAATCAGTGGTAGAACTGTAGCCCGCAGAGCCCGAAGCCATAACGTGCCGGGGATCTCGAGGATAACAGGGGCAGCTTCGGGAACATCATCAACGGTTGCTGTCACAGCTAAGCCTATAGCTATCGCTAGGATGGCCGCGATGATGATCTGTAACGCAGACCCTGGCTGTTTTAGAAGCACGTAGGCGGACTTGTGCCATGGCTGCTTGTCCGGTGTTTGTCCTTCATCCTGGTGTCTTGACGGTGGTGTTGGCGGTGTAGTACCAGTATACTCGGTAGCGTTCTTGGTAGAGGACATCGTGCGACTGAGTGGTGGGAGAAGGAGCAGACCCTATAGTTGAGCAGCAAGCACCTAGCATCAGTAGATATATAAGTAGTGTTTGTGCTGCACTGATAGCTGCCGCAAGCCTGGTCACATCGTTTATGCCGCTGATATCCTGCAATATGACGAATGAAGTCTGTCTCATCGTTACTTGGTGTGAAGCGCAAGGTCTAGGACGAGATATTGCCAAGAAAGCCCCAGCATTGGCAACGAGAGTAGATCCATTCCTCGTCGCTATGCAGCAGTGGAGGGCACATCGTAGCATCAAAATTAGGCATGGCACAGAGTAATACCACAAGCCCTTAACTGGAAACGTGTTTGTATCGGGATGCTTCCGCCACGTGTGATGTGTCTATGCCAAGGGCTTGTCGGGCGGAGAGGCCTCGTGGCATTGCACACAAGTACACGAGAAGGTAGCATAAAGTTTCGATATCAAATCCTTGACAACTGTGGTTTTAGCTTTGCGGCTCGCTTCTTTCGGCATATACCAAGATAGCTCTTCAGTCATGTAGCACGCGTCCACCCACTTCTCCTATCATTTAGACTGATAAGCCCTGACCTACCTTTGTCGGATCTGGCTCGTGAGGACACGTCATCAACAGGTTTTCGATGCTCATCCATTGATATGGTAGACTCATCTCATCAGACGATACATAGCACGTTCTTGTCTGAGAACCAGGGTCACTCGTGAAGCCAGGCAAAAGTCTGCCACGGTCTGTGCAGGAGGGTCACAGACCATAGATCCACGCATTTGTTCAACATACCATACATGGCACACGATGGCTTCTCTGTCGATATGTAGCGTGTATTGTAGGAACAGCGTCTTGCCCACCATAGTATCTTGAAGTTGTTACTCAGCCCAGACAAGCTGACTAAGTTCGTGCAATCCACGCGACGCCAGGGCAAGACACGCGTGTAGTCAACCGGTTGCCGAGTACGTCATTACCAAAGTGAAAACGACTATACGTGAGCATGAGCCGAACGATTAGGGAAAAAAAACATTGTAGTTAATCTGACTATCTTCGACGATTAAAGTCAAGAGACAGTAGACACAATGTCAAGCAAGCAAAACTCGGCGCCTCATTTGAACAGAGGCATCAGCGACTACCTGACTGTCGGTCATGGATCCGGACCTGGATCTGGATCTGGATCTGGTGTATGAGCGACCTGCACCACTCGGTGTAAAGACTTTGTAGGCTAACTAAATGCAGGCACAAGGTGACTCGACGGATGATGAAGAGAATGGACATATGGAGGTAATCCTCACGTCATACATGCTTAGCAACTTACTTATCGTCAAAGAACTGATGCCATTAGGTCGAATTCGACCAGGACAACGTCTGGCGCAGAAAATCGTCGATAGTCCAAGCGGAAAGGCCTGAAGTTTCTGGAAGACAGAAAGCACAAAGAATGACTTCTCAATGTTACGTGCACAAGTTGGTAGAAAAAACCTCTACAGGTGATCAGCCGAAGGTCGAGAATAAGCTCGATGGAGTGCTGGAGTCCATCAATGAGACTACAACTGATGGCGCGACCGAGATGCGCAATGGGACATCGCCTCCTCAACACGATGAGCCACGAGCAACTCATTCTCGATTGTTGACTAAAAAACAGTTATCTGAGATGGCGCTGAATGTTCGCAACATGGCAAAGAAGCTGCAAAGTATCAAAGTCAAGCTGAATATCCAAACGATTTTCTTGCTTACCAAAGCACACGACCCGAGCTTGGTAACGAAGTCTCGTGAGCTGACGGAGTGGCTACTCTCTCCGGATCGTGCTGTCCGTTACACAGTCTATGTCGAGCACACGATGAAAGACAATGAATCGTTTGGTGCAGAAGCACTACTCAAAGGCAATCCCTCGTTCGAGGGCCGATTGAAGTACTGGGACAATGAGCTCGCCAGAAAGCGGCCGCATACATTTGACTTTTGCGTCCTGCTTGGTGGCGATGGCACCGTACTTTACTCTAGCTGGCTGTTTCAAAGAGTGGTTCCGCCAGTCCTTTCTTTCTCCATGGGTTCTCTAGGCTTTTTGACCAAGTTCGACTTTAATGACTATCAGAATACTTTGGAAAAGGCGTTTAGTGATGGCATCACCATTAGCTTGCGCCTAAGATTTGAGGGTACAGTTATGAGGAAGCAAAAGGAATACCGAAAGAGCGAAGACAGGGACGTAGTAGAAGAGCTCATCGGTGAGGAAGCTGGCGACAACCGAACACACAAACCTGATCGCACATTCGAGATACTAAATGACATTGTCGTAGACCGAGGACCAAACCCGACAATGTCTACGATAGAGCTCTTCGGAGATGGTGATCATCTAACCACAGTGCAAGCGGACGGCATATGCGTGGCTACGCCGACCGGTTCGACAGCCTATAATCTTGCAGCAGGGGGGTCTCTATGCCATCCAGAAAACCCTGTGATACTTGTGACGGCGATATGTGCTCATACACTATCTTTTCGTCCAATCGTACTTCCAGACACAATGGTGCTCAGACTGGCTGTGCCGTATGACGCTAGAACTAGCTCTTGGGCCAGTTTCGATGGGCGAGAAAGGTGAGTAGACCGCTCCTGGAGTGCGATCAGACACTAACATTCACAGGGTCGAGCTCCAGCCAGGAGACTATGTCACCATTTCAGCATCTAGATATCCATTCGCTCATGTCATGCCGCCAGGAAGGAAGAGTGAAGACTGGGTTAACAGTATCTCGAGAACGCTGCAATGGAACTCCAGACAGAGGCAGAAAGCGTTCAAAGACGACAGCGGGAAGAGCTGAGTTGTTGGGTTATTTGCGACGAAAAAGACCATAGCATATAATAGAAACTAGCATTCAATTTGGTAGCTCTACTGTGGTAGCTCAATTCAGGTTTGAAATGCAATATTCGGCTAACTTGCCACTCAGAGTGGCTTAACTTCACTCGAACCACGGCCCTATCAACACTTCAGTCGAACAGCAATGGTTTAGACAAGACAGAATGGCGGTACCACCGTCTTTCTCGACTGCCATGTATTCCAGTCCCTCATATTCACATGACTCACGTCCATCCAGCTCGTCGACACCGTCCTTTGCAGGAGCTGGTCTACGATTGCCCTCAAACCGTAAAACCATCTATGACCGCAACCTCAATCGCAGTCGCAATGCCGAACTAAGCCGTGCCAGTTTCGCCTTCCTCTTCATGGAAATGGTCACATATGCACAGAAGAAGATTAAGAGTGTTTCGGACTTTGAGAAGAAGTTGAACGAGCAGGGCTACCCACTTGGAATGAAACTGCTTGATCTTCTGCTGTATCGTGCAAGTCCAGCAGGAAGCTCATCATCTAGTTCCACACCTGCTGCTAGACCGTTACGCATTCTACCTCTTCTGACTCTGATCAACAACAAGCTCTATCCCTTACTGTTTTCTCGTCCTGCAGATTCGCTGGAGCAAGATACTTCAGATCCATCCAAATATATGATCATTGACAATACTCCGCTAACGAACACCTACATTTCTATTCCGAAAGAGATGAGCCAGCTTAGTGTTGCCGCCTTCATCGCAGGTATTATTGAAGGTCTTTGCGACGGTGCAGGTTTTCAATGCAAGGTTAGCGCACACAATCAAGGAACTGATGTATGGCCAAATCGTACTGTTTTTCTGGTCGCCTTCGACGAGCAGGTCATGGAGAGGGAAAGAGAGCTAGACAGGCAAGGAATAAAGTGAGACAAATAGGATCAATCAGCCAAACATCTAAGAGAAGACCAGCCGGCATGGGCTCAATTGTCGACAGCAGCCATAGTTATCCTTCGCCCAACCAGGAACGCTCGATTGCATGGGTCTCGAGGCATGTCAATTGACTAAAGATCTTGGCCAAGACAATTACACGATCTCTCGGTCGAAGCACAATGGAGGCAGCAACACTTCAGTCGAGCTAAAGTTGAGCATTGTAAGCAGTAGAGTAGCCTTGAAGGAGTATGAGCTCATAAACGAGCCCCAGCATCTACACGACTGGCCTGCAAGCGTTGAACCACCGAGTGATGGCAAACGGAAACCCAGGTCAGTCGCACTTCACCCTGCACCATTGAGGTTGGCACTGTGTATTTCGGCTTTCACTTCTGGCTGTATCTGCAATATTCCACACAACCTTGTCAGTCAATTGTTGCCAAAGATTCAGAACCAACGACTACGACATCAACATGGCGCCCTCGACAAATGCAGAGAGTGCCTTGGAATACATCCTGCTTGTTCTCAAGCACACTGATCTGCCGCGAAGTGATTGGGCTGCTGTCGCTGTAGAGAGCAGTCTTTCAAATGCCAACAAAGCGTACGTATTCCTTCTCTTCTTTCTTCTGTCTTGCACCCTAGCATTCTTGCTCGCATATCGCATAATGTCTTTGAATACACTGCTCGATATTCCATCCATTGGTTCTTGACAGCCATATCAACCGCGATTCCTTCCAGGCGTACGACATGGTGTACAGCACCGGAAAAGACGTAAACTACATCTTGCGAGTGCTGTCCCACCCCGACTTCAGCATTGTCGATTGGTATGCAGTCGCTGGCATCGCGTGAGGCACTCCAGGCCGGAAAGAATCTGCAGCGTAAGCTCAAAGCCTATACCCAACCCCTCTGACACTAGGACAGCCTCACGCACGATGATCGTTCGCCGAGGACTAATTCGTCAACTGACCCTCATACCTGGCTGCTGACCTCGAGTTGCGACGTGGTCTAGCCATTCAGTCCCCTTAGCCGTCGAAGTCGCGTCTCTCACAACTTTCGGGCTTTCACTATCCCGAATGACCTGACACCCAATTCAGCAACGTCAACCTTGGCCTCTTGTCAAATAGCAATTAAGACGCTACCGGCAGAGAAGTCGTTAAGAATTCAGAAAGGTCAAACATATAAACTCAAGCTTCAAAAGGCTTAGGTGCGGTCACCGATCTCACTTACATCTCACTTCAACCGTTGAACGTTGGGAGTGAAGGTGTCATCATTCATGTTGGCTTCCAGTTTCAGCACCTCTTTCACATCGTATCTACATCAAAGTCGAAAGAGACCTTCGAAATTCCCTACGTCCTCGACCTTTTTATTAGCAAAAGAACCAAGCAATAAGCAAGATGCCGGCCAAATCAGCTCCAACCACTGAACAATTTCTCCTTACTGTCCTTGCACACTCTGAGGCTTTTAAGACGAATTGGCAAAGTGTTGCAAGCGAGTATGGCTACTCTCGCGCCGCAGACACGTAAGTTCATCCTGCTACTGAATACTCCACTTTGACTTGACCTGTCTGCACTCGAAGATTGGGCCAGTCACTTTTTGGATTTTCAGACACATCCTTTTTTGGAATCTAACCACCACGCCAGCCACATCTGAACCTCAGCAATATGGCCTACGACAAATTATCCGGGAATCTTGAGCTCGTTATGCGAGTACTCGTGCAAAGTGAGCCTCTCAAAACAGATTGGAAAGCTGTTTGCCAGGACCTTGGATACTCGAATGCCAACAATACGTGAGTGCTTTACAATCCGGTGTCCCCTTCAGTCTTAATCACCAGTCCATGACCTCAGCACATACTTGTCCAGATACACTCTTGCCCACTACCATCATGTCGTCTATCGGAGTTGTTGCATCGGAGCGGTGTTTGAGACAATTTCCGAGAACGAAGACTTCATCTCGAGATTTCTACGATGTAACGAGACACTCAAAAACAAACCGCAACAAAGAGTACTTCCTTTTCACTCGAGTGAAGTGTTTCCGAAAGTCAAGCGATTTTTAAGCACACCAGTTCACGGGTCTTTCAACGATCATCACTTCAGTCTGGCACGTGGGGTCATTAAAAGCGGCCCTTCGCTTCGGTGTGATTTATAGCAATCTGGGGGATGCCTTTGATAGACTCCACGTGTCTGGCCATATTGCCTGTTCTTAATGATTGTCCCGACCTTCAATCGCAATCTCATCACATTCGCCGTCTAAGCAAAGTCAGAGATTTCACAGTGCCTTCCAATATTGAAGTTGATCAGAACTACGAGTTTCTCCTAGTCATTCTTGCTTCAGCTGATGAATTCAACCCGAACTGGAAGGCAGCCAATGTCAAGCTTGGCATGTCCAGACCAGACGTCGTGTAAGCATTCGATCCATCTTTACACACCGATCTCTGCTTTCGGTTCCTGGCGGGCACTTGGCAGCTGAAACTGTCACTATCACTTCTGAATTCAGATTCACCAAAACAAAACCCCATTTTCTATCCTTAGTCAATACAATCAGTTATTTTTCATCGCCATCACATCAAATACAGACAAGATGAGTGAATTTTCGGACAAAGATATGGACTTCATTCTCAACTGTCTCTCATGCGACAGAGATGGCCTGAACATCGACTTCCACCAGGCTGCGGCAAAGAGTGGAATAAGTCAAGCTCGAAACTGGTGAGCAATCTTTCGATCGTGCTATTTAGTGCACGTGCTTGGTGCAGGTCACTTTTACCTTGAATCGATACGCTCGTTCTTTGGTGACCGTTCGACCTGTCTTCATCACATCAGGACTCATGCTCTCCCACAATACCTCAAGAATCGATCTAGATATCGGATCTAGACCGCAACAATGTCACTCGAAGAGAACAAAGACCTTGCACTCGTGCTCGCAATGTTGTCGACATGCGAGGAACTGAAACCCAACTATCACCAAGTCGCAGCCATTATGGGTATTGCGCATGCTAGGACAGCGTGAATACTAACCACTTCCTATTACGTACGCCATGGCAATGAGCACATTTGCTAACATTTGTTTCTCTTTAGTCAACAAAAGTTCAAGAAACTCATCGAATCCACCAAGCGATATGCCCTGATCAACGGCAAGGTGACCGACCTCGAAGACCCTAACAATGCCAATGCCGCTCCTGCTACTCCAAACAAGCCAGGCCGAAAGGCTGCCGGTACTCCTCGAACTGGAGCTTCTACTGGTGGTCGGAAGCGAAAGGCTAAGGAAGCGACCGACGATGAGCAGGACTCTGACGTTGAGGAGGATACCCCAGCCAAGAAGAAACGTACTCCTGGACCTAAGCGAGGTGCTGCGAAGAAGGCGGCTGCAAAGGTGACAAAAGAGGCCGATGAGGAGGAGAAGGAGCAGGAGGAGGACGCGGCTGATGATGATGTCGAAGAGGTCAATGGAGGTGCTGTTGACGAGGCAGATTCTGCAGTCAAGGCTGAGGATGCTGATGCAGCTGCTTCTGACAAGAACGAGGACTAACCGCGGCATCGCTGTGTGGTAAGTGCTCTTCACCGACGTCTCTTGCCTCTCCTCGAGCGATTACTAAAGTGTATCAGGTCCATCGCCGTTCCACCACACATCTTTCCCTCCTAGACACAACCACCCGCAAGCCCAATCGAAGCACATACAGGGATAAGCAGTAACGAAAACACAAGAGCTGAAGACAGGAGACATGCCACCTAGACCATGCTCTGACGTATCGGTAGATAGGACTTATGTCCCCGAGAAGAGAGGTTCTCAAGACTCAGCGACCGCTAAGCTGCACATTATATACCTTGGACAATTACTGCAGGAAATGAGAAGCACGACGGGACATTGACTTTGGGACGTGTTCATGAGATCGTTTTTTGCAGACTCGTCATGAGGAACCAACCAAGCGGTACTCCAGTGTTGGTTCTGCCTGGCCTCGGCTGAGACGATGAGAAAATGATATTCATGCTGTAAAGCATAGTACGTGGTTCCTTTTTGTTTTCTTAAGTGCCGTGGTATTTGCGAATGTGAAGTTGCTTTGCGTAGTCAATTGTTGGGGGGAAGCTGCGAAGGAATGTATCAAATGGGCACGAGTTTACTTCTGTAGACATCGATTCGAGTAAAGCTAGCTGTAGATTGTGCTGTGAATCCGCGGTTCGATCTGAGCACGTTATATATACTCAGACGAATACGGCCTACACTTCGACTCGCCTCCTCTTGTCTCTCTCACGGTCGTAGTACGGCGAAGAACTTCTCCGCTTCCTAGACCTGTGTACTGGGGATCTCGACCTCGACCTCGACCTTGATCGAGACCTTGAGCTGGAATAGCGCCTTCTCCGTGTCTGCGGCGAACGTGAACGTGACCTAGGATGGTAAGAATCTCGATCACCTCGATCCCTCCTTCGGTCTTTCTCATCGTCCGAGCGACTTCTACTTCTTCTTCGTTCCCGCCGAACACCCACAGCGACGGCATTGGTACCACTAACCTGTGGTCCTCCTCTTTCCCTATCGTTGTCAGGTAGGAATCTATCGTCCACGCCTCTTATATCATCTCTCTGCCCGTCGTTTCGGTCATTGTAACCACTACCCCGCCATCTCTTTACCTCGTCACCGAACCGGCCTGTGTCCTGGCCTTTGAGATCAGTATACCTGGTCCGACCTTTCTTTCCCAGTTTCGTCATGTCTCTTATGCGCATGTATTCAGGAAGTGTACTCTTATCCACGTCGTCAGCGAATTTAGCACCAATAAGATCCCGCTTTGCCAGCCGTGCACTTTCCTCATCGTCCATGAAGAAGGCTCCTTTATGGTGATACTTGCTCAGGTAGGCGGACTTGGCTCTTCCTTCTTCGCGTTCTTCTTTCTGTTTTGCGATGTATTCTTTGTCTTCGGCCTCACGTTCCTCTATTGTAAGATTGCGTCTCCGTTCAATTTCCTCGAGCTCCTTTTCGCGCGCGATCATGGCTTCACGATCGCGTTTTAGGCGGTGGAGTTCGCGTAGTCGCCAGGCGGAGTGCTCAGCTTCGGGATCGAGGCCGTCAGTGTCATCGACTAGTGCTTCGGGAGGAAGATCGTCGTCGTCGTCCCAGTCTTTCCTGCCAGCCAGTCGAGCTGCGGTATCTCTTTCTATAGTCGTTTTAATCAAGGATTCGGCTTCTCTGAGCCGACGGGCTGCGATATCTTCATTGTGATGAGAGGAAGCTATTTCAGGAGCAGGAGTGGCAGATTCAGAGACGTCTGCGTTCGAGGCGGAGGTAGGCTTGCGTTCTGTCTTCTTGATGAAGGTCGGGCGCTGAAATCTGCGTTGAGGTGCCTCTTCCTCCTCAGAAGTTGAACCCTCCTCTTCACTGCCTTCTTCACTTTCTTCCTCCTCCTCCTCCTCAGAGCCGGCTGATTCGTCCTCATCTTCATGCCCATCCTGCACTTGCTCAGGTATTACTGGTGTGGCAGATGTCTGTGCGGATGGCTGCAAAGTGCGAGCTGTCTGTGCAACAGGTTTAGCGGCAGGTTTTGGTAGTGGTGCTCCTCCATCCGCATCATCCTCGTCCTCTGTCACAAAGCCTTCCTCATCGTCCTCCTCCTCGTCCTCAGCCTGTGGGCGAGTAGGTCCAGCTGGGGGTGCTTGGAGTCTCCTCTGTGGCTGTACAGGCTGTGAAACTTCCTCCTCCTCTTCGTCCTCAAGATTCTCATCTGATTCGTCTTCGGGAACTGCTTTACCAGGTCTGTATCGTGCCGGTCTAGTTGGATTTGCTGTAAAGCGCTTCTGGTGGGCTGGTATTGGTGGTGGCATTATGTGGTGAACCCAGCCTGCGTAATTGTCTTGGCCCTAACATGTACGTTGTATTGCGACCTGATGTTTCGCTTATCAGGGTTTTCACTAACATGCGACCTCGATCATTGAACGAGAACCATAAATTTTGAGTGTTGGTCGCGCTCTGGATGACGTTCACTGGTTATGCTTTTGAGCCGCTAAGAGGCAGGCTCTGCGCCTAGTTCCGCGCCTAAGCCGAATCCTGGTAGGTGCATCGGAGGTGCATGCAGGAACGGTGTGAGCGAATGCGAAAACTCGAAGGTCGAAAGAAATTTCGATACGATCGAGGTCTCTTCTTTCGAGTAAATATGTACTCAACAAATCCTGCAGGTCAACAGCTGACCCATTCAATATTTCTACAACCACCCGCAGTAACTACTCAGCATGGCCGACGGCAGGGCTGATGGAATGGGCTCGTTAGCTCAAAATGCAGCTGAATTGTCGCTGAACGAGAAATCGCAAGTTGATGGTGCTGCTCCAAGTACTGGACAGCCACTCTCAGCAGATGCTCCGAATCATGAAAACACAGTACAAAGAATACAGACTACGACTGCCGAATTACACTTACCGACCTCTTCGAAAGATGCTGATATAATCAATACACCACTAGGAAAGGCTCTGGATACGTGCAAACCAACTGCTCGACCACTATACACTACTGATCAACTCCAAAAGTACGATCAGTTGCTCGCAAGTGTTTCAAAATGGACCGACATTCCGGATTCATCAGTCAAAGGTTCCAATTCGACGCCCTTGGCAGACCACGAGCGAATGTTCCTAACAAGAGAGTGCTTGTTCCGCTATCTCCGAGCTACGACATGGAAGGTCGATCAAGCTGAAATCAGGTTGAGGAATACCTTGATATGGCGACGGGAGTATGGCACAGACAAGCATACTGCCGACTATATCTCTGTCGAAAACGAGACTGGCAAGCAAGTCATTCTGGGCTGGGACAACGACGGCAGACCGTGCTGTTACCTAAGACCATCAAAACAGAACACAGAGAGGAGCGATCGTCAGATTGAACATCTTGTCTACATGCTGGAGCGGACCATAGACCTGATGCCTCCTGGCCAAGAAATGCTTGCTCTCCTGATAAATTTTGCGGAAACTAAATCAGGACAAGGTGCAACAGTAGCACAGGGAAGACAGACATTGAACATTCTTCAGAACCACTACCCGGAAAGACTAGGCAGAGCACTGGTTGCGAATGTCCCTTTCTTGATCTGGGGCTTTTTCAAAATGATCACACCGTTCATTGATCCGATTACACGAGAGAAGATAAAGTTCAACGAAGACTACGGTCTATACGTGCCAAGAGAACAACTCATGAAGGAGGCGAAGGGCAACGTGAACTTCCAGTACGATCATGCAGCATACTGGCCAGCTTTGACTAAGCTTGCTGGGACGAAGCGAGAAGCGTATCGACAGCGGTGGGAGGCAGCAGGCAAGCAGATCGGTGAATACGAGATGTACTTGCGCGGCGGCGAGCAGAAGCCTCTAATGGAGGTGGCCAAGGTTGCATGATGCATATGGGTTTGTTGGCAGAGGTGTTTCGGACGGCATTGCTATAGACTAAATAGACACATGGGGCAAGCGTTATGCACTGGATAGAGCCAGTTTCTGGTCATCGTTCCTGATTGGGCTTGCAAATATGCATCGAGTAATGCAGGCAATGCAGGCACACCCGTTTCCCTTTTGCATGGGAAGCGTGATTTTCACATGTCTCAAGTCAGAATTTCTGCGCACAGCAAGAATATCACTTCCACAATTCACCCACAATTTCACGTCATCTAATTAGCCTTCCTCGCATTCTTCCCCACTGTACAGCACACTTGGATCGAGATAGCATAACGGCTCTCCACGGCTAGGAACAATCGAGTAGGATTTCGGCCGGCGATGTGGTTAGGGTGGTCATCATGTCGACTGAGAAGAAGAGTTCAGGTGTAGACGCAGGTGCACGCGACAATACCCCGCCTATTAACAGCACTCAACCTTCCCATCACGAACATCTCGCACAACGTGAAAGTACCGCCGAACCCTCCTATGTTAGGCCATCAGACCTTTTGCGTCCACGCCAGTCAGTCAAACATGACCGTCCAATAGACAAAGACGAACGATCGGGCCTGGTACGTTACACATGCGCAAGACCCTATCATCCCACATGAGGCCCGTCAGAAGCAATGTCTCAACAGGTCACGCGCATCCATATGCAAGAGCTAACAGGGTTTCTGTAGAAAGCGATCAGGGACTTCCTGCGACACCGAAACTGCTACGAGGTCCTTCCTCTCAGCTTCCGTCTGATCGAGCTCGATGTCGGCCTCACCGTCAAAGAAAGTCTCAGTATCCTCGTCCAATGCGGTATCGTCTCTGCGCCGTTATGGGACTCGCAAACCTCGACTTACGCCGGACTGCTGACTGTCAACGACTATCTCAACGTCATCCGCTATTACAATCTGCACACAGATCAGCTTAAGAATGTTGACAACCTGTTGTTGAGTGATCTCAAGGAGGTTGAGCACGTTCTTCAAGTCAAGAGTCCTGAAACCATATCTACCTCTCCAGAAGCTATCCTCTACGATGCGCTTCGGAAACAGCTCATCTCCAGAGCGAGACGTATACCTCTCGTCAGCTACGATTCCGAATCAGCAAGAACCATGGTCGTCTCCGTCATCACCCAATACAGAATCCTCAAATTTATCGCTATGAACGTGGACGAGACAGATAAATTGCGTAAGCCACTTGGCAACCTACGTATCGGCACGTACGAGAACGTTTTTAGATGTAGTATGGAGGCAACTGTTCTCGACGTGATTGACGAAATGGTCACAAGAAATATCAGCAGTGTACCTGTCTGCACAACCGATGGCAAGTCCCTCAATCTCTTTACAACGTTACTTACACTAACTCCTCAGCAGATGTCCTCCTCAACGTCTTCGAAGCAGTCGACGTCATAGAACTACTCAAAGGCGGCGACTACAGCAACCTCAACTGGTCCGTCGGCAAGGCCCTCGCACAAAGACCTAAAAGCCATCCTGGTGTCTACACTTGCTCTTTGCAAGACGGTCTCGACACAATTTTCGAGACAATCAAGAAATCAAGAGTCCACCGCTTGACCGTTGTCGATGAGCATAGTGTGCTGGTCGGCTGCATATCACTTAGCGATATTTTACAGTTCTTGCTGGTAGATGGACCGGAGGATTGATAGCATGATCCCCGGCGTGGATATACCAGGATAAAGAGGGCTTTTTAGCACTGAGTATGGGTCTGGATCTGAACATATGAGCTTTGCTTTGCTATTTCATACCACGAAATCTTCTCTGATGTAGAGAACAAGAGAGGGGGAGGATTCACTTAATCAATTTCATTGCCATTGTCTGGATGTTGCTGCAAAGTCTTTACGCACTAATCTGCCTTATCTCAAAGATATAGAGAGAGTACACATCTCTAGTGCTCAAACTCCGTACGCCGTGTGGGTATCTCATTTTTTCCAGTATCATTATTATATACTATTCCGCGTCACATTTCAATAGCAGGAGTTCCCCACTTGATGTATGCTGCAATTCGTAAACTCCGTATCCTCTTTCTCTGTGAAGCGACCGAGTTCAAGCACTCACAACAGCAACACTCATCCGTCATCTATCCGTCGGCGCTTGGCCCGACTCTTGGGTTCTGACTCCAACTCAAAGGCGAAGGCAGACGCATAATATAAATCGACGAAGCAGCACCAGGCGACACTGACCTCGACGATCGCCGCTGATGACTGGGGAATTCTGCCGGTACTGGTACTGGTGGTGGTAATGATAGCTGCGCATCCACTCTGCCCGGACCGCCGCGCTCATACACTCCATCCTATCGAGCATAGCCCGCCGTCATCGCAGGGTGATGCGCCAGATCCGGTCGGGACAGCATATCTTCGCCTCGCGTGTTGATCGAGTACTTTGACGACGCGGCACCAGGGGACTGTGCCATCTTCTCGTTATGGTTGTGCTGGTGGTAGTCGGATTCATGGGGCATTCTCAGATTACCAGAGGCTGTGTATTGGTGGTGGTTCGCATTGGTGTTGCTGCTAGGAAGGGCAGGGACAGGTGGGACGGGCGATTGAACCTGTGCCATGTATGTCTCAGTCTTGTAGCTGGGCAGACTATCTCGGTTTGGCTGGATTCTGTCAGGGATGAATCGGGAGAAGCGCTGCGCGAAGGATTTGCGATTGGATTTTGGTGTTGAGCCGCCGCCGATGGAGGATGCGACGTCGAGTTTGTGGCCTGCCACGGCACCGTTGGAGCGGACTTGGCGGGCGGTGAGGCTGAGGGTGGTGTCACGGAAGATGTAGGATGCTAGGATGTTGATGAAGCCCATGGTGAAGACGATGATGCCGGAGCTGATGATTAGGCGCCAAAAGGCCATTCCGAGATTTTCTTGGGAGGCGTTGGATTTATTGAGGTTGGCGAGGATGCCGTTGCCGAGGAGGATTTGGGCTACCCCGAGCATGACGAAGCCGGATACTGGGCTGAAGAGGGGCCAGTGCCTGCAGAAGTAGGCTTTGAATAGGGGTGTTTCTGTAATGATGAGGAAGCCTGTAGTGGTGGTTAGCTGTTGTGTCCGAGATGCTTGTGGCTGCACTGACCTGCGATGACTGCACGAATGAGGTTCTCGCATGCGTCGAAAAAGAAAAAAGTTCTTGTGTTGAACATTCGAACGAGCATTATCGAGCTCGCGGCGACGACAGCGAGTAGTGCAGTAATGTTCATAGCTCTGATTATGTTGAGCACGACGTAACCAGCGCCGGCTAGTGATCTGCCTCTGATGGATACCATTTCGACCCAGCGAGATGTATCGTCAGAATGCTGCTAAAGAATGAAGTTTTCTCAAGGAAGATAGCTTTAATAGCTTGAATTATGTCGAATAGATCTGATATGTGGCTGGTAGATTGGATCTTTTGAAGGTCGAAGTCGATGTGCTTTGGATCTGTCTTGTTATGTCGAAGATCGAAGACGAGTAAGGATTGACACTTGGAACTGGAAGATTGAAGGTTTGGAAATTTTGAATGAGAGAATGAGCAAGACGTTATCACGAAGGACTGAACAGAGGCACAATAGCAGTAACAACAAGGAAAATGGTAAGCAAAACTGTCTGCTGCCTGAAGCTGTGAGTAGCAATGATCGAAGTGAAGGAAACGACCATCTAGACTTTCCTCAAGACCATAAGGATGACGGTAATTATCCAGTCTTCTGTACGCGCTATCCTTGTGCGGCTCGTGTCTGTCGAGGCCATAACCCTGTAATACCATGTCGTGGTACATAATGTCAAGAGGGCGGTCGAGCGAGGCAACTGTATCTAGGCCTGGAATAGCAACAATTAACTTCGTTCGCTGCAGTCGCTGCGAAATAGCTCTCGGGCTTCGTCCTTAGCTTCGAACAAGGGTGATCACGGCAGGATAGATGGAAGTCTCAGGACCAAGGGTCTTCATACGGGGACTCTGGTGACCGACAGTATGAGGTCGAGAGGAGGTATTTCATGCAGGAGCTTCTCATGTTTCAAGGCGCTTCAGGAATCGAGTGGTCGACAGCCACGGGAATACAGGCGCTAACTTAGTACGATCCGAGATCAGCGTCTGTATGGGGGCGACCCTGAGTTTGAACCACTTGTCCACTTGCATGCTGAAACACAAGGCATTAGGTCGAAGAGATACCCAAGGCCTTGAGTTGATGACCAAGACGACCGTTTTGAGACCGTGATGTTGGGTTGATCGTCATGCTGCATTGGTCTGGGAGACTTTCCTGGAGCGCCACATGCATGAATACCTGCCTAACTGCCTGGTATGACCTTGTGGTTTCGGCTGCTCCTCGGTTCGATGCTGCGAAAAAAGTCGCGAATCGACTTGAGGAAGGCAGTTGGTCAGACTGTTTCACTGCTCCCACCTACTTGTGTCTGATACAACAACTAAGGAAGTTAAGCAGTGTATCGCCGTAAACAGTCGGTTCAGAGCTGTCGCCAAAATGAAGGCCAAAAGAATGAAAAACCAGCGCAAGATTATGCAGACATACCAAATGCATTATGACTTTCGTGAAGCGTATCAAGTACTGATCACATCTGACTGTCTAAGAGCCATGCATGCTTTTGCCATGCCCATTCAGAAATTCCTTCAGAACACCCTACAGGGCAAAGTACTCCCATATATAACTCAATGTACTCTAGCCAAGGTGATGGAGGGCTATTCTGGCAAAGGAAGAGACGGCAGACCTGCATACCTACCACCGCCGATGGACGTTCCACTACGCTACTGCAAGCACAAAGACGATGAAGGTCAGGAGCGAGGTGTCATTCCCGAAGCAGAGTGTCTCATTGATCTACTGAGTGGTCAGGTGAAAGGCAACCAGCAGCCGAAGAACAAGAACCACTTTGTGCTGGCCGCAGCAGATTGGGATGAAGGTATCAAGGACCAGAAACAACGAGAGAAGCTCGAAGCGGAACGTAGAAAGAGACGAAGACAAGGAAACCCAGACGTCGATGTGCGTGACCGTGCAAGAACAATCGCTGGAGTGCCGATTGTATATGTGAAGAGGAGTGTCATGGTGCTAGAAGAGCCAAGTGCTGCAACAGACAGAGCGATCAGGGGCGTTGAGAAAGACAAGTTCAAAGATGGAATTGGCGGTGCCGCTCGTGGAGTCAAGAGAGGGAGAGAAGACGATGACAGCGATCAGGACACAAACAATGATGACGGTTCGAAAAACAGAGGCGTAAAGAGAGCTCGTGGGCCTAATCCCATGTCAGTAAAGAAGAAGCAGCCGAAGGATCAAAAACAACCAGCTCCTCCAGCTACAGCACAAGAGAACCAAGATCCATCACAACAGACTGCAAAGAGGAAACGTCGTGGCAAGAGAGGCAAACATAATGCAGAGCAGGGTGACATGGCGAAACCCACCGAGGGTGCTATTGAATCCGAGCAAACGTGATGAGCACGTGAGCGACGTATAAAAGTCTGGTCGCGCAATTTGTTAAACATTCAGGGAGTAAGGTTCACGGCATCGCGATCTTCAGCATGGTCGTAGAAGGCGTTCTGTGTTTCTCAAAGATACCCCAGTCTCAATTACATTCATTTTATCTGTCCCTATTCAAGCCTTTGCCAGGAAAGCTCTTCCATAGATGACCAACCCCGTCACTGCCAACACACTGAGACCTGCTGGGAGTTGCTTTCCAGTCTTGATCGCACGAGGTATACTGCTGCCAGCGAGCACGAGCGAAGCCACCAATGCCATCTCGATACCGTATGGTTGTCGCTTCTGTACGCGGTAACCACCGAAAAGGTACTGCAGCAAAGTCACTACTCTGGTCTAAGTCCTGCGGTATTGAGAACTTACAAGCAGACCGACTGTCAATCCAGCTGCTATTGAGGGGACCGATCCAGTGCGTGCATAGCCGATTATGCCGCCGATTGAGGTGAGAGTTCCGAGGATGAAAGCTGGAGTTTCTGAGGCCTGCTATATTGTCAACGCTGTCGCAGTCGCTCAGAGGTAGGCTTTACCATCTTAGTTGTCTTCACTTGTTGGACCTGTGCTTCGAGTGTGTACAGCTAGTAGCAGCAGCCGCTCGTCTACAGTATTTCGTTACGCCATGACCCGCAGCCGGCTTCGTCACATTCCGTATCCCGAGTCCCTCCGTCGCCATATCACGTGGCAATTCGGGTTTATGAAGTAATCCAGGTTTACCCAACTTCCTTCCATTCGAGACTCGTGGTCAGGGACATATTACTAGAGCCTCGAACAGTCCTGCATGACCGCTTGCATTCCGTCCATAATGGCTTGTCACTCAATACGGGTCGCTATGCTACCATATCTAGGAAGACACTCAGGCAATAGCAAGCACCGCTACCAGATACTGGTACTACTCCCTTCTCCCCGTAGAGAGACTCCCTTCCTGAAACCATTGTTGTTCGTGTCTGCCACTCGATCACCCTTCTCCAGGCCTAGCGTCGTATTGCAACGACTTGCTCTCGCTCGTCGTTATTGTCCTACATGAAATCACACGGATACCTGCATCCATAATTCGATATTTATTTTCCACTTGCCGCATCTTGTACAGCCCGTGGGCAGCTGAAACTCTGCATCATGGCAAGTTCGTGGTCGTGCATGCACACGATTTGGTGGACACGTTTCACGCATCGTGTGAGTCCTTGCTTCTTCATGATGCTGCATTACAGCGGTCGTTCCGTGGATGACAATGTCAACATTCTAACGAGACGGTTCCAGCTGTTTGCTTCTGGTTGCAGGCTTGCGTGTAACTCGTTGTGGTTCTTGCGACTCGTAGTCGAAGGCGGGTAGTTATGGCATGCCTTCGTGTATAAATCGTGCGAAGTGCTCCGTAGATAGCTGCAATTTCTAAGGTATGTCATTGATGACCTGCATTCGTTATCAGCACAAAAGGTAACCATACAATGGCAAGAATCATTCGGGACAAGACATATTTTCTGCTTCGGATACTCCAAGTCATCTGTGCCGTGGTAAGTGCGATGCTCTCCTCGTACACGAAGTTCTGCCTAACATGTGTGTTAGACAGTCCTTGGCCAAGCTGTCTGCATCGAGCTAGTTGAAGACAACAACAGTGATAGCGATTGGGCCAAAACGCCGCAGAAATACTGGCTGCCAGTCATGGCACTCGCAACCGGAAGTGCCATCAAACCACTTGCCTGGCTTTCCGCCGCAAATCTCTACGATCGGCATAGGAGGCTGGAATTGATTGAGGTCATTCTCGATTTCGTCATGGCAATCGCCTGGTCGACAGTATTCGCGCTATTGCGCATGAATGGAGAACCGAAACCAGAGGGAAACCTAGAAGAGGTAGATTCTCCCGTGGCCAAGTCGTTAATTCAGCTCTGCTGGACATTCATGTGCATCAACATCGTTGTCTGGCTCACAAGCGGAACCATGAGTAGCCGAGAGCTTTGGATAACTCGTGGTGAAAGGAGAAGGGAACAGACTAGACGGACTTTCATTGGCAATGAACTTGATGAGCAGCTGAGACAGGGACCAGGTTCTGGCTCGTCAGCTTCAGGCTCGCGATCGCTAGGCACTGAAGACAAATCACGCCGCGGGTACGATTCTGCAAGGCCAAGCTTAAGCAGTTCTATACCCGGTGAATCAGGTTCTACCACGGTGCCAGCCGATTTCCTCAATATTGGTCGTGGCTTGTAAAGAGCTGGGTACGTTGTTATAGAGCACACCTTTCAGGTGATGTCCTCCAGGACCACAGTAACCTTTACTCAGTAGGTCACACTGAAGTCAGGGTCATTCGACACAACACCGTGTGAAAGTAGCGAACAGTTGTGGCGTTGTGTCTCGGAGAGAGGTAGACTCACCACGTTCGAGGCTCAAAGTCAAGGATGAATAAAAGGAAGCAGAAATCTGGTTGAAATAGGGAGTATGATTGAGACAGGAGCACCTTGATTTCTATCATCTGCCTGACAACAGAGTAGCATTCGGTCGCACAGCTTGTATGATTGCTGATTTCGCCATAAGAGCCTGCATTGGCTTTGAGTCTGAGTGCAAGCTTATTGTCGAGATCGACGGTCAGAGCAGCTCAGCCAAGAGAAACTCAAACCAGAGCTGTTTTTTATTAACCAGCGAAGTCATTATCAGTGTATGACGTCTCCAATCCTCTTCCTTCCGCGCCTGTGAAGCTCAAGAATCGAAATCGTATTCATTGCAGTACCTTAAGTAATAGTGACTGGGCCGCCAGAAGTTACTGTACTGATTAGACTGTACAATACCACTCCACGACTAATATAATCTTACTATACTTCTCCTTCGAGCAATTCGATCAACGACAGCCAACATTCACCACAGGTTACAATTTTCGCCCCTTGTACACAGCTAGTAATTCATCGCGACGATAATCTCATCATACCAGTAACCATTAATAACGCAAGCATAATTGAAGACCATGGCCAACCAAGGGATATCAAAGTCGGCACAGAAGCTCGTACCACGCGATCCGACGTCGTCAATGTCCATTCGAGATGTTGTGCCTAACCAGATAGCAACCCTCAGCACTCCCTTTCATCGATTCGGTCTCATCAAATTCGGTAGCAGGGCCACAATAGTCAAGCTGAAGACCGGTAACCTGGCCGTCTTCTCCCCAGTGGCTCTCACCACAGAAGCGAAAGCCAAAGTCGAGCAAATGTGCCAATTGAGGCCATCCGGTTCCGTCCGTTACATCGTTTCACCAGACTTCGAGCACCATATCTTCCTTGGACCTTGGGCTAAAGAATACCCGGACGCGAACATTATCGGGCCTGAAGGCTTGCCAGAGAAACGTGAGAAGGATTCAGACACGAAAGGACTCAAGTTTAGTCATGTCTTCACACAAGCGAATAAGGCAACGATGACCATAACACCCGAGTTCGACGATGATTTCAACTACGAATACATGCACAGCCATCAGAACAAGGAACTCGTCCTCTTTCACAAGCCTTCTCGGACGCTTATCGAAGCCGATGTCATCTTCAATCTGCCTGCCACAGAACAATTCAGCAGGTCAGGCGAAGATGCTAATTCAGGTATCCTGACGAAGCTCGTCAACGGTATGCTCAATACGAGGGGTGACATGAAGTGGCAGAAGCGCGCCATTTATTACGGACCAGGATCGTCGGACCGTAGAGCCTTTAGAGATTCGGTGAGGAAGATTCAGTCGTGGGGCGAGTTCGACAGACTTATACCCTGCCATGGCGATGTGATAGAAAAAGGCGGCTCGAGAATCCTGGCAGAGGCAACGGCGTGGTTCCAGGATGTCAAATAGAAGAGAGTATCCCCGATTACCCCAGGCGTGATTGTCATGTGAGTGTTTGCTGTTTGAAGAGGACGCCACATAGGATGAGAGGAAACATGATGTAATGTAAATACATGTTACTAATGAGCACAATGCCTGTCACAATAATTAATGGCTCTTTACGATTACCTGCATATCTGACTTGCAAGTGATGTTCTATACATTCAGTGACTGAAGTAGTGGGCCATTCCAGCCTCCGCCATTTTCTTCAAGCTCTAGACAAATATGCCCTCTCACATCGGACCTTTCCAAATCGATATAGCGATTCGAAATCTCGAACGTTGTTCTCCGGCCGTCGCAAAGGATAATGAGAACGACAAATTTCTGGTATCTTCAGAAGGACATCCAGTTCAAGTCTATCGAGCATTGTCGACCTCGACATGAATGGCCGGTGCTGAATAGTGAGTATTGAGTGGATGGAGCTGGGCGAATGGCTTCATCGTTCGATTGTGATATGCTTCTAGTGACAAGACACAGGACAGCTCACTTCCGTATGGACTGTCGGATCTCACAATGGCGCCGGCTTGACCGTCTGAGGCGACAGCAACTAAATGTCCACGGGATTTTGGGCCCATCGTGCCTTGACCAACGTTGAAACTTCCTCTCTGACAGAGCGTGCATCGCTGCTAGGACAAGTTCTTGATTTATTGCTCTTCAGGTCGCTGCAACTCAGAACGTGTTCTGCCTGTTCCTCCACCAAGCAACAATAGGCAGTTTCCACTCCTGTATCCGTAAAGAATTGTGAAAGATGTCGAAATCAACCTTTTGTAGACGATCTAGCCACAGTTGTGTGCTTATAGCTGGACCCATTATTACTCCATAGACTTGCTGGAGATCACGCTTGCGAACTTCCTGTGGCTGCTGAGTGTCTGTGTTCTGACTTCCATATTCGTGTCCCTCGTCATACAAGTGCTCAAATTCGTGGCTAGGTTCCTGGTACGAGTTGACTTCCTTGACCAGAGACCGAGCAGTGATCAGATGATCAGAGGCTCGTGTTGCGACTGCAAAAACTGCGTCTCTGAGGCCTTCGGCATTGCCGCCATTTCGGTAGATGTCCTCCTCCCGTACCCCACACTGTGACATAACATCCAAAGGCAGATTGACGACTCGTTGCCTGTCCCTGGTCATCGGCAGTCCCATTCCTGCAGCATTGTTGGAATGAGAATTGGGCGCCCCAGGGAAGGCAAGAAGGGGTACGCCTCGCAGCACTGCAGCGATACCGGCTGCCTTTCCTACATGTGAAGCAACGTGGTCTGCAGTCAGAGAATTGAGAGGTATCGCAGAGAGGGTGAGGTACAGGAGCATTGAATAGGTTGACTCAGCGTAGCTCTCGAGCTCTGAAATATTGGTGAATCCTGGTCGTAGCAATGCTTGTTCCCGAGCGGAGACGATCTTTGTGAGCCATGTCTTGTTCAGTCTGATACCAGTATCCTGCATATAAGCGGACAAAAGAGTAGCAACAGGTTCCTCAGGTGGGTTCGCATTGAAGGTCTTGTTGATTGTATCTTTCCAGAACTGATGTCTCATCTGTCCAATGGTAGTGTTCGACACGATATCTGGTATCCTGGAGATCTCAATGTTGAAAGCTCGGATTGCCATATAGGCTGGTATGATGTGTGGCTGAATAAAATGGGAGAGACTGTATGCTGGCCCATCGAAGTTTCTAACAAGGTTGGTACAATATGTCAGAGACGCTTGTGCGTCCTGTGAGGCGAGTGAAACTGGTGCTACTTGTACATTTGGGGTAGTCGAGAAGGCTCTCGATAGGTGACGAGAGGCAATACGAGAGCATTTTGGCGTCTTCGTGCAAAACGACGAAGCGTTGCCGATTAGGTACCTACTTGTCGCCATGGTACTCTCTCCAAACTGTTCGTGTCGAAGCGACACTCTAGTCGTGGAAGCATGATTCGATATTGTACATTATGCTCTGCTCGCTCTTTACATTACCTGGACTGGCGATCACAAACTTGCCGACCTCATCATGTCACGTGAAAACCGCGAATGAAGTAGTCGACGCGTCCGGTAAAAACGCGTCACAATTTATAGACGTGTTGGATTTCCGCTTTCCAGTACTACGCACTGCATGGATATTGACAATCGCCCGACAAAGAGGCGTCGCTTCTTCGTCGACGATCCAGACGATGAGGCTATTTCTTCTTCGAAACATGCTTCCTCCTCGAGCCGACCTCAATCCGCTCATTCGGTTGGTGGCGAGCGAATCCTGACCGAGACTGAGCCAGCAGACCTCCAGCCAGCAAACGATGTGGTTTCGAAGACTTCCTTTGATGTAGATACATTCTGTGCTTTCATCGGAGAGCAACTGGACCAGGATGTTGTTCAAAAGATACAGGATGCCTCCAATGGTGATATGGAGCGAGCAGTCAATATGTACTTCGATGGATCCTGGAAGGCTGGTGTACCAGCACATCCACCAACCAATGGCCTGTCCTCGTGGATGGCCAAGAGTCAACCACGGGTGCGATCGCCGAAGGAGCCAGAGGAGGTTGCACTACCAGTTACGCTGAAACAGATGCCTGCAGAACGATATGTTGGCTCGTTCGGAGTCGAAGGATGGTCAACGAAGAGTGGTTTCAATCTCCTGCGATCGGGCGAAAAGGTTCGGATCGAGCGATCAAAACTAGCACCGAAGACAAAATTAGGAAGAGGAGGCAAGTCGGTGGTTGTCCCTTCTCGCAATCAGAAAGCAGACGTAATCACTCGCTTCACAAACTCTAAGGGGGAAGAGATCGGAAGATTACCTGAAGATGTTGCACGCTGGGTGGCCCCTCTACTTGACCAAAAGATCTGCAGACTAGAAGGTGTTTGCGTATTTGCTGAAGAACGATTAAGGGTCAACGACAATGTGTACCTCCAGATCCAGGCTTTCATGCTAAAATCCGCCTTCGAAAGCAGCAATTTTATCAAGCCAGATGACGACAACCGCGAGACTGGCTTCTTCCTGGAGAAGGAAAGCACAGAAGAAAAAGACCTCAGGCTAAGACAGGTCGCCCTGGTCAAGCTCTTTGATGAGATTAACCTCCATCCTACCACTACAAGTACGACGACAGCCAAACACAAGCGACAAGGCCTGCTCAAAGCCGCAGAAATGGCAGAACAATACGAGAAGCAAAAGAAAGAGACGCCGAAGGCCACAGATACTTCTACACCTCAGTCTGAAGAGGAGGAAGAGGGCGAGGAGCTCGAAGAAGATCAGCTTGATATGCTTTACAGGAAAGCTCAACAATTTGACTTCAACACGCCTGAAGCCCAACCGGCCTCGAGCTTTACACTTGAGCTTCGCAAGTATCAGAAGCAAGCATTGCATTGGATGCTAAGCAAAGAGCGCGACGAGAAGTCAGATCGGCAAGCATCCATGCACCCATTGTGGGAGGAGTATACGTGGCCAAGCAAGGATGCGAATGACCAAGCCTTGCCAGTCATTGAAAGTCAGGAGAAATTTTACGTGAACCTCTATTCCGGAGAGATTAGCCTCGATTTCCCAGTGCAGGAGCAGAATTGTCTAGGAGGTATCCTAGCAGACGAGATGGGTCTAGGCAAGACTATTGAAATGTTCAGCTTGATCCATACCAATAAATCCGCTGAAGCACAAGCCGCTTCAGGACAGAGTGTAACTAACGTTAACCAGTTGCCTCGACTACCACAAACCACTGGTGGTGTGGAATCAGCGCCTTGCACAACTCTTGTGGTTGCGCCAATGTCACTATTGGCACAGTGGGAGAGCGAAGCAGTGAAGTCTTCCAAGGCTGGTACCATGAAGACATTGGTTTATTATGGCACAGAAAAAGGAAATAATCTGCAGACCCTCTGTTCTGCTGCAAATGCTGCATCGGCACCTAATGTGATCATCACAAGCTATGGAGTGGTTCTGTCTGAGTTCAACCAGATCGCATCGGCTGGAGGTGATCGAGCTATCACTGGAGGCCTATTTTCTGTTGACTTTTTCAGGGTCATCCTCGATGAAGCACATACGATCAAAAATCGACAAGCAAAGACATCCAAAGCGTGTTATGAGCTTAAAGCCAAGCACAGATGGGTGCTCACAGGCACGCCGATTGTCAACAGACTGGAAGACCTTTTCAGCTTGGTTCGTTTCCTGAAGGTAGAACCATGGAGCAACTTCTCATACTGGAAAACATTCATTACGGTACCATTTGAAGCCAAGGACTTCGTCAGAGCACTCAACGTGGTGCAGACAGTTCTGGAGCCGTTAGTACTCAGAAGGACAAAAGACATGAAGACGCCTGATGGTGAGGCTTTAGTGCCACTGCCACCGAAGTTGTTACAGATCCAAGAAGTTGAGCTATCGAAAACAGAAAGAGAAGTTTACGATTTGATCTTCACACGCGCCAAGAGGACTTTCAACGAAGCAGCAGCCGCAGGCAACATCATGAAATCGTATACCACCATCTTCGCCCAAATCTTACGTCTTCGACAGTCTTGTTGTCATCCTGTGCTGACTAGGAACAAGGACATCGTAGCAGATGAAGAGGAGGCTGCCACGGCTGCCGCTGCAGCAGATGTGAACGGTCTAGGTGACGACATCGATCTGCAAGATTTAATCAATCGATTTACAGCGGACGCTGAGGTAGCTGAGAAGGACAAGCTGGATAAGGACCCGATTTCTGCCTTCACGACTCATGCTCTACAACAGATTCAGAGTGATAGCAGTGGCGAATGTTCGCTGTGTTTCGATGAACCTATGAACAACCCAGTGGTAACGACTTGTTGGCATAGTACATGTCGCAAGTGCCTTGAAGATTATTTATCCAAGCAAGCCGACCTGAAGGAACCTCCACGATGTCCAATATGCCGCGGTACAATTAACCCCAGGGATATCTTCGAAATTGTCAAATATGGAACCGGTGATTCTGACAACACACCCGATCCTGCTGCTGAGCAAGACGAGGACTCCGAGACACAAGACATGTATGGAGGTGATCGACCTAAGCCTCCACGAATATCCCTTAGACGACTGCACCCATACAGTCCAACCGCCTCGACATCGGCCAAGATAGCTGCTCTGCTTAATCATCTCATAGCACTTCCATCAACAACAAAGTCCGTGGTCTTCTCCCAATTTACCTCGTTCCTAGACCTGATCGGACCTCAACTAGCACGACACAACATTTCCTATCTGCGTTTCGATGGTACAATGTCCCAGAAAGTACGAGCACAAACACTTCGAGCGTTTAACGCTGAGGGTGCAAATTCACCTCAGGTCCTGCTACTTTCTCTCCGTGCTGGTGGTGTAGGACTCAATCTTACGACCGCCTCGAGATGTTTCATGATGGATCCGTGGTGGTCATTTGCTGTTGAGGCACAGGCCATTGATCGTGTACATCGTATGGGTCAAACACAAAAGGTCGAGGTAGTGAGGTTCGTGGTCAAGGAAAGTATTGAGGGCAGGATGCTAAAGGTGCAAGAGAAGAAGATGGCTGTTGCTGGCACGTTAGGCGTTGGCCATGGTCAGGGTGGTGGTGGAGGTTCGATTGAGGATCTTCAGATGCTGCTTGCGTAGTCTATTGATGTGCAGATATCAGTCTGGTAGGAAGCATTATTCGCGAACAAGAACATGAGTATACTGTATGACAATGCTAGCCATTAGTCTTGTTGCAATAACAAGCAATTTCTGTAGCGTACATTGTCCTCGCGATGCGTTACACACCTGCAAGATTGTATTCCACCTCTATCCAGTATTCCAGTGCTAAATGATACAGAACCAAGCCCTTCCAACACTGCATTCCTCACTTTCCAAATTTCGGACCCAAAAGCTCCATTTCCATCTCCCCTCCTCGCACTTACCTACCTCCCCCCCAATCCAGTCCTCCCACCTTCTATAACCGGCAATCTCGTGAATCTTCATTACCCAGTTCCGAAATTTCGGACTACAGAACACAACCACGTCCGAAACTTCGCGGACATGATGACTCCGAAAATTAGATCGGAAATTTCGCGTCGTTGCTGGATATGGGTAAGGGAGTTACTTGGTTGGGTAATAGGGTGGAAAGTTCGGTGGCCAGGTCCGACAGGGTTCGGAGTTGGGAACTTCAAGGGGGTTGTTTTTGTTTAGTGTAGGCCGAAAGAAAGCAAATTTTGTCGGGTGCGAAGGTCGGAGCCGATGGGTTTCGGGCATGGACTTCTCAGACTCAAATGGAACTCCGCCTGTGCATGAAAAAGAAGTGCCATCATCGGGTCAAGTTACCTGCCATGGGCTTCTGATACCGTATTTCGAGGTTGTTACAATGCCGTAGAGTAGTACGGATATATACCAACAGATGGAGGCTTGGGACGACCTGAGAAAAGTGACGAAGGGGGGTAACTTGTCCTAAAATGGATATCTGCAGCTAATTTGTGGCTTTTGGACGTTAAAGTTCACATGGTTGCCGTTTGTAGTAGTTTTGCTGACTAAACTGGCATCATACTGTGGATCGGAACCTGCGATACGAAACCTCGGAAATTTACCAGCGAGTCGAAGAGCTTCGTCTATTTGAGTAATATCCGCTACGGACGCTTACGGAGCTTTTGCTGCAGAGAAGAGGATTCAGCCAAAGGAAGTTATGCAAAACGGTGCCTTACGAATAGACTGAACTGCTTTTCAGATACGATGTAGAATACGGATAGCAGAATCAGTGGACTGAAGTATCAAGCCATGTTCTGAGGTTACAGGTCGAGACAGTAAACCTCAGCTTGGGCATCGTATCCACAACTGAGTGCTCTTATCTTTCTCACTCGTTGTGGCAGCATTGAATTAGTCGAATAGCGAATCGATACTATCAGCTCGCGCTTGACTTGTAGTCTCTCTTTTCCGCTTCCGTCTGCCCCTGCCTCCTGCTAGGCCGGGACTCCTGCTATTATCGTCAATGTCGATTCTGATTGCTCCTGTGGCCTCGGGCTCAGCATCGTGTTCTGCTGTTTTGGCTCTTTGCTTTCCTTTACCACCACCAGTCCCAAAGAAGTCGTCCTGTTCCTTGCGCTGCTGATACTGCTTGCGTGAAATTTTCTTGATCTCCAAATTGACCAGTCCACCCGAGGTTTTGCTTCCAGCACTGCCGAACTCCTTGTTCAATAACGGCTTTCGGCATACCGGACACAGGCCCTGTACACGTCGTCCAGGAGGCTGATCCTCCCTCCTTTGCCGTTCTGACCACTTGAGAGAATCGAGTATGCATTTGTGGCAGAAGAGATGACCACATGTGGTTGTTGTAGCATTGGTAGGAGATTCCATACAAATAGCGCACTTGTAACTATTCAACGGAGAGGCGTTGGCATTGCCAGAAGTGACAGTGGATTTGGCTTGGGCAGCAATAGCATCTTGTTGCTCCTTTGCAAGGACATTGCTCAAAGTCTTGGAGTCATCTACCCCAGTAAGATCTATTGTACCGATTGATGTTTCGACTGGTCGGTTGTAGTCGGCAGCGACGGCGACATCAGACTGTGAAGAGCCAGAGGCAACAGAAGATCCTGAGGATTCAGAGTCGGAACTAGCACTGGATGTATTGGAGAGGCGTCGTGACCTGCGAGTTGATTCTGGACCTTGCTGTGGTGGTTCCTGCCTCGTTTGTCCTCTGCGGTCTCTTTCCTCTGCCTCCCTTTCAGCTAACTGCTGGGCACGCTGTCTGTTTCTTCGGGCCACACGCTCCCATGATCGTCGTGCCTGGTTTTGCCTCCGAACGGCAGAAGCGTCAGCTTGAGCATTGAAGCGGTTTGTTTCTGTATAGCCAGTATAGTGTCTGGGATCAGAATCGTGTGGAGGATGCAGGGAGATGTTGGGTTCAAGAAAGGATCGAAAAGACGGTGGATGCCGGTCCTGGTTGGCAGGAGGAAGATGAGGAGGAGGACCATAAGCTGGCTCGTTCATAGCATTTGCAGGCCGCGAAGTCCTGTTCGAGTCGTGAGGGTGACGAGTCTGTGTCATGAATAGGTCATCGTTCGCATCATCTGAGGTTGCTGTAAGGTCAACAACACCATTGCTGCTGGCATGGGCCATCCTGCCATGCCTAAAAGCAGCCTGAGCATTCCTGAGGGCCATATCTGCGTTGTGCAGAGCATGTTCCACGTCACGCAATGTATCTTGGTAGTTGACAGGCTGAGGAAGAGTCGAAGTAGAGGCACGTGTGGAGAGAGCACTGCGCAAGAGTCGAGGAGAGGACAATCGTGGAGGTTGGGGTGGTGAACTAAAGTGAAGTGCTTCACTTGTGGACGGTCTACCAGGACTCACGAAAAGCCTGCTGTCGTCGCGGTCGTCCGAGTCTTCTGGAAAGGCAAAGGCAAAGGCACTGCCTTGCTCAGACATTTGTCTACTGAATAACAGATTTCCGTAAAGTGTGGATAGGCTCTAAGGTACGAGTGAGTCCAGAGCATATTGCGTCGTTTGGAAATGGTCGTGGCGGCAGTTGGAGCCCTGGAACCCGCTCTGCACTTATCGATAACGCTCAATAATTTCTGGTCGCGAGAGCTGAACCATCGAGAGATAGTGGCCTATCAATTTGCACTTCACGTCCAGTGAGTCACGGCCACAATATAGTTACACTTGCTCACTTTGAAGTACATCATCAACTCCTATTCGGCCTTTAAGCACAGATCCAACGTGACGGGGATTCTACCCATGTCGAGATAAGTTCAGTATCGGCCATGCTTTGGCCACCTGCTCCTGCGCAGTGCGCGCGCGGCTACACAAGAACTGCTCAGAAGTTTCGGTTACGTCCTTATTATGCCTGGCGAACAGCAAATATCTTACGACGCCACTACGCCGTCGACGCGACAGTCACTTCTACCAGCCCGAGAGCGCCGGGGTCCAGATACAATGAGATTGGCATCCAGCAGCTGAGCGACAATGTCCATCGACAAATATTTCCAGACCAACAATCCATTCCTCGAAACGATCTCGTTGAGCTGTCGCGAAGACATCTCGAACAGCATGAGTTACTGGGCAAGAACCAGGACAATAATCCTCCTGTGAACACGCAGATACCTCCCTTGCAAGGTGCTACTCTCGACGAGCACTTTCAACGCATTGCCTCTTATGCCTCTCAGCCCTACCTCGACTACGCGAAGCGCTTTGCCGCGGCAACCACGCCTCAACGACCTCGAAAATGGATTCGCAGAAGTGGTTGGACCAAGTACAACTCGGACATGACTACAGAGGAGGTCGACGCTCCTCAAGAAGAGATGCTTTCGTTCGATGTAGAGGTTATGTGGAAAGAAACACCATTCGCTGTCATGGCATGCGCCGTAAGCCCAAACGCGTGGTATGCCTGGATCTCGCCTTGGTTGCTTGGTGAGACCGAAAACACTGTACAGTTGGTGCCACTAGGAGATCCTACGAAAGAGCGCATCATCGTTGGGCACAATATAGGTTATGATCGTGCAAGGATCAAGGAGGAGTATGACCTTAATCAGAGTCGAAATTTCTTTCTCGACACCATGTCATTTCACGTCGCTGTGAATGGTATGTGCTCTCGACAAAGGCCAACTTGGATGAAACACCAGAAGAATCGTAACCTGAAGGAGAGTATGTCTGGCGATCACAATTCTGCTGAACTAGCCTCTCTCCTAGAGAACAAAATGCTGAGTGAAGAGGAGGAAGAGTTGTGGGTGGGTCGCAGCTCCATCAATTCTTTACGCGACGTTGCTAAATTTCACACTGGTGTCACTATTGACAAGGCTCAACGTGATTATTTCGGCGAATTGGATAGAGATGGTATCTGCAAAAAGCTGGAAGAGCTTCTCGATTATTGTGCAGCCGATGTCGACATTACTCACAAAGTCTTTCGAAAAGTGTTTCCTAGCTTCCTAGATACGTGTCCGCATCCAGTCAGTTTCGGCGCTTTACGACACTTGTCATCTGTTATCCTTCCAGTAAATGAAACTTGGGAGCAGTACCTGGAGACTGCTGAGCGGACATTCAACGAAAGTCTCGAGAACGTAGAGAGACGCCTGCTTCAACTAGCCGAGGATGCACTTGAGATAAAGGAAAAGCCAGAGGTATATACTGCAGATCCTTGGCTGATGCAGCTGGACTGGGCAGGGCAAGAGATCAAGTACAAGAAGACTAAGAAGAAGGGGGAGGAACCACAACCTGTTGCCAGACAAAAGAAGCCAGGAATGCCAAATTGGTATCGTGACCTCTTCATGTCTAGCACATCTCCGATCAATCTGACTGTGCGGACTCGAATTGCTCCCCTCCTGCTCAAGCTTACTTGGGATGACTATCCCCTGGTTTGGTCTGACAAGAACGGCTGGACTTTTCGTGTGCCAGTGTCCGAGGCATCACGATACGAGGGTGGAAACCTCACTCCAGCTGACCTGTTGGACGAACAGAACCTAGCCATTCGGGACGACAGGCAACACGCGTACTTCAAGCTACCACATAAAGATGGCCCAACTGCTCGGTGTGCCAGCCCACTGGCGAAAGGCTATCTGCAGTACTTCGAATCTGGCAAGCTTTCTTCACGTTTCGCTTTGGCTAAGGAAGCACTGGAGATGAATGCTTCTTGTTCCTACTGGATGTCAGCTCGTGATAGAATCAAAGGTCAGCTGGTGGTCAAAGCATCGGATCGTGATCCTAGTCTTGTCGGCAGAAGTGACTTGGGCTTCATCCTACCTCAAGTAATTCCTATGGGCACTATCACTAGAAGATCTGTGGAAAATACCTGGTTAACCGCTTCCAATGCGAAGAAGAATAGAGTAGGCTCGGAACTGAAAGCTATGGTCAAGGCACCGCCTGGCTACGTCTTTGTTGGCGCCGACGTTGACAGCGAGGAATTGTGGATCGCGTCGCTCGTCGGTGATGCCCAATTTCAGCTCCACGGAGGTAATGCCGTTGGCTTCATGACGCTCGAAGGCACAAAAGCTGCCGGTACCGACTTGCACTCAAAGACTGCAAAGATTCTTGGCATTTCCAGAAACGATGCGAAAGTATTCAATTATGGTAGGATATACGGAGCTGGACTGAAATTTGCAAGCACGTTACTACGGCAGTTTAACGCGAACTTGGCAGAGAAGGAGACCACAGACATTGCCAACAAACTTTATCAAGCTACGAAAGGCACGAAAACACGTCGAAAGGTTCTCGGCAATGGAACTGCCTTCTGGCGAGGAGGTACCGAGAGTCTCGTGTTCAACAAACTAGAAGAGTTTGCAGAGCAAGAGCAGCCTCGTACACCAGTCCTCGGCGCTGGCATTACGGAAGCGCTTATGAGGCGTTTCATCAACCAGGGCTCCTTCATGACTTCACGCATAAACTGGGCCATTCAGTCTTCGGGAGTTGACTATCTACATCTACTCGTAATGTCGATGGATTATCTGACCAGGCGATTCAACATACAAGCTCGAGTGGCCATCACAGTGCATGATGAGATCAGGTATCTGGTGAAGGAAGAAGACAAATATCGTGCCGCCATGGCTTTACAAATCTCAAACTTGTGGACAAGAGCGATGTTCAGCCAGCAGATGGGTATTAATGATTTGCCACAATCCTGCGCTTTCTTCAGTGCAGTAGATATCGACTTCGTGCTCAGAAAAGAAGTTGATATGGATTGCGTTACACCTTCGCATCGTACGCCTATTCCTCCAGGCGAATCGCTCGATATCTACCAATTACTTGCGAAAGGTGATCAAGCCATACTAAACCAGGATACCATACCGGAGGACAAGAGCGTTCTCGAGCTGGACAACATGCAGTACATACCTCGTGTACCAGTAATGGAGAGCCTTACATCCGGCTCATCGACCAACGACCTGCGCTACCTTCGGGCTCAACTCGCAACCGACGAGAAAGAGCTCAAATCGATAGTGAAAGAGATCGAGGCTGAAAGCAAACCTCAGACAACGAAGAAGGCACTCACCGGAAACGACGATGATAATAACGACGGCAGCATACCCAAACCTGCCGCAAAAAGAGGAAGGAAACCAAAACCAAAAGTTCCTGCAATCCCAGTCTATGCACAACCTCAACGAGCCGTGCTTATGGAGGTTGCTGATCGTTGGACAGCTGGACAGCAAAACGCATTTGCTAGCCCGAAGCACAAGTTACCCTGGTGGTCTAACAAATCGGTAAAAACTGGAGTTGCGACAGTCCCTAGTTTCGAAAAGGGAAGAGTGGACGATGGTTGGGAAGTGTAAAAACAGTGTACGCTAATATGGTTTGTACATTTTTCAAGAGGTGCGCAGGCACGATGTACTAACACGATCTAATGAGTAATGTTGAACTAATTGTATAGTATATATGACGACCTACACAGCTGAGTATCTAGTTGCGTGTGTGCGCATGGCGATACAGCTTAGTATGACAAGGAAACGTTCGCTGTTGTATGTGAATTAAGGAAATACACGGTCACCATGGACAGAAATAGAGGTCTTCGTATAGCGCTGAAGGCTCTTCTTGACTATTTCCTGCTTGTGCCTGTGCAACGATGTTGAGTGACACTTGGCACGACTTCACTCGCTAAAGTGGCTTCGCGTTACTCTCTTCTTGCCTCGACCTCAAGGCGTACCTTCACTTCGTTTCAAAGGGCACGTCTCAACTTTCACTAGCTACGCCTTCCTTGCAGAATATTTCATCAAGCACAAAATCACTGCCTCTCGTTGCGCCATCTTGATATGTCTCTAAGCAATACAAAATTTTCCGATATGTCACTATCGACGATGCTGTCCCGTTCTCCGAAACTCCCCTATGATGACCAGTCTTCCTCGCCTCTGTTCCAGCTTCCGGCAGAAGTTCGTCAAAAAATACTGCGACTTGTGTTTAAGAAAGATCGATGTATCAACCCAGTTGTTACAGCTTCCACGGATTGTTCAGTCTTAGGAGTATGGGGAGATATGGACATCCAAGAAGAAGAACATCGTAAGGAGATCTACAAGCAAGATGCCTGCCTCTCTGGACAAGCACTACGGATTTGTCAAAGACTTTACGGGGAGGGCGGCAACGTATTGTACTGCGAGAACTCGTTGTCTATCGTGGTTCGTTTGAGGGAGGGTCATCGGTGCTCAGCCCCCCAAGTCATGACACTCAACGTCTTCGACATACAAATTAGCCTACCCGATCTTGCTAATAACTACGTATCAAATCTGCTCTCGTATGCGAAGCAGAGGATCTACACATCAGCTACGAGCAACAACGAATTCGGAAACTTCAAGCGGATACCAGAGATATATCCTGTACTCGAAAGATTTCGACGATTCACAGTGTTCGTCGATCATTCTGATTACGATGATTTCTTTATTGCTTGTCGGATGTTACACAACCTGCTTCATGGGAAACATGTCACTATGGAAGTCTTCCATGTTGGCAACAATGAGATTCTGCATCCAGATCACTGCAAAATCCTACGCTGTGCGTCATTCGCTCTGAGAATTCGCGACCCATTCGAGTCGTATTATGCATCGGAACAGCTCATTCGTGTAATCACTAGCCAGACAGCGGCGCAAGATATGTTTCCTGCCTGGGTCGACTTGAGAGACCGGACCGAGCGGATGATTTATGAGGAACACGGGCTCGGCCTTGACATCTACGATGAGATGGTGCGTAAATCAAAGGACGCTGCGCAAGAGTATAACCGGGACGAGTTCGAGCACCATAAGGAAGAGCTTCTAAATTGGGTTACAACATGGGTCGAAGAACAGCACCGTGCAAAGGTGGCTGATGCACGGGCCGAAAAGGAGTCGAGGGACAAGTTGGTTGATCAGCTTCGCCTGCAGGACAAGGAGTCAGAGGCATACAATGAATTACACTGAGCGCAATCTGATCGCCTGGAACGTCATGTTCCAAGTACTACACTTCTTTACACATTCGAGTGAGCCAAATGTATGCTGCAACGACTATTATATCATCTACTATGACGGCACGATCTCTTTCTGATTCCGACCTGGCTCATCACTTCGCAAACACCCACAGCGGTAGCTCGGTACAAAGTCGCGATTTCAACGACTGCGGTACCATCGTGCTTCACCACGACCTTCATCCAACTCATGCATCCGCCCTCCCTCTCCCCCACCACCACCACCCAGCAACAACCCCTCCACACCTCCACTCCTCGGACTCTCAAGCTCCCATCTATCCCTCCTCCCCTCCCCCCCATCACACACCTCAAACAACCTCTTCTCCTCCGCCTTCTCAGCATAAGCAGGTAATTCACTCTTCAGCCCAGCCGTCGCCCTCGAAGGAGTCATAATCATCATATCTTTCTCCTCAACTTTGCATTGTCGTCGTCGTCGGGATTTCTTGCGCCGGAGGAAGATCAGGATGATTAGCGCGATGAAGATGAGACTGCCGAGTGAGATGCCTACTCCAAGACCGATTTCTAGGGGGATGTTGAGGGGTGGGAGAGTGGTGGGTGAGGGCGAGGGTGTTGGTTGAGAGGATAGTGTTAGAGGGTCTGTTATCGGTAGTGAGGCGGAGAACATGGTCGTTTCGGGTGTGGTGAAGGAGGTCGATGGTGGAGGGGGTGTGGTGGGCTGGTTTGCGGAGCTGGTGGTGTTGGTGTTCACTACTGCGAGTGTAGAGAAAGCTGTCGAGCTCGTGCTGGAAAAGGTTGTTGAGCTTGGCTCTGCCGAAGATTCGAAGGTGGTGGATGTACTGGCTTCAGATGTCTCGGTTGTAGTTGCTTCAATTCCAGTAGCTGTAGACCTGGTAGGTTCATATGTCGTTGACGTCGCATCGTTGCTCGTGACCAAGAACAAATGGCCGATGGTGCCATACTGCGTTGTACCGTTGAACCCAAGATCAGGCGGATCATCCGTTGCCTCCCAATCCTTTGGTACGATCTCGCATGACGTTGGGTACGTTGCATAATCAGACAGACCGAGGAAATCTAGCGAAGAAATACCCCAAACATCGCCAATCTCGTACGGACCACTGTTGAAAGGCTGTGTGCTGTTTGATTCGAAGATGTTGGTTCCGTGTTCCAAGCATACAAGAATTAACCGTACCGCGTCGAAAGGTGATTCCCAATCGAAAATGAGTGTATCGAACGTGTTGACAGCTTCCTGAGAAGCTAATTTAGCAATGACACCAAAATCGCCTTCTGGAGGCCAGATAAAGTTCATTGTCGATGCCTTCTGTATGCGCTGATGTACAAAAAGTAGTTCTGAAAACAACGACATAAAGCCAGTTTTGTTCTGGGAAAGGCCATAATAGAATCTAGATGTCGTGCGACATTCGCTAGGGAGCAAACACAATACTTTGCCGTTTTTGCATCTGAATCTGGCTGAATGTACCTTTCCGTGCTTTGTAGTACCGTCCGCGGGTCATATACCGTGATCGCTAGCCGGGCGACCGTAACAGGTCTCGAGAATCGTGATCTCCTTTTTCGAGCACTGCCTCGTTGATCGGGCTGTTCATGATGTGGGAAAGGACTGGTCTGTACCCATAGTTCATGTCGCTGTCCATGATGTTGACCTCCGTTCGACGGACGTTCGAATGGTTGCAGAGACTCTTCGTTTCATGCTGAGAATCCTCGCGCTGTATGTTCGAACGCAGTGAGTAGTTGTGGCTCTTTTCCCCGTGTTCTTGAGTACCGTCGATTTTATTGTCGGCGACCACTATACTTTAAAAGTTGTGGATTAGTAACCGTCATGTCGAATCGAGATGTGGAAGGTACCGGCAACTTATTACCGTGCCAGAACCTTGGTCTATGATGCCACCAACCGACTCGAATGTGAGCATCTTCACGCTGTTCACAAGTTTCATCACACTCTCTAGCTCATCCTCGGTGTCGCGGGATCCACATAAATATAATGATCTCAAACCTGCAACCAAAAAGACCAGGAAGCCGGCGGCTGAGCGAGGACGACGTGGCGAAAAGGACGCCTCTGAACAGTCCACAGGCTCAGCAACGACGACGGGAGAGCATAGAATCGGAGCCGCATGCCGAACAGCAGCTTGAGGCTGACAATGGCGAAGCGACAGAGGATGCTGCACAATCTTCAATTGCACCTGGCCAGGAGACGGAGGACGAGGAGGTGACGAAGTGAGGTGGCAATAATGTAATTGGTAGACTGGTGAAAGATATCGACACAGCTGAAGGGAATCTATTTCCCATATCATAACTTCGCCTTAGGCAAATCTCTCCCAAGCTCTCTCGCCTGCTCCTTCTGTATGCTCCACCCCCTCAACACCTCCAGACTCGCCACAGCGACCATCAACGGCGGACACACAAGCAACGCCAAACTCCACCACCTCGGACTATCAGCACGTATCTGCCTCATAACATCATCAATCTGCAGCCTCAAATCCTCCTTATCCGTATCGTTATACAGCACATATCCCCTCCCCTTCCCTCGTCTATTCCTATCCTCAGCCCGTTTCGCCTTCTCCCTCACATCCGTCTGACTAGCCACCCGGTTCTTCGCGTCCTCCTCACTTAGATGCACGTCACGATCGAGTAGTCTCTGCATTTGGATGGTTGGTTCCGAAACCGCGACGACCACGACCGTGCTCACGAACATATCCAGCCCGCTCTCGAACAGGAGTGGTACATCGAGGACCACGGCCCAGTGTCCCATGACGTAGTACCACAGAATTTCGCGTAGCATGTAGAACCGCACTGCGGGGTGTACAATACTATTCAATTTCTTCCTATCCACGGCTTTTTCCTCGCTCGTACCGAAGACGCGGCGGCCGAGAGCTGGTCTGTTCAGTGGGCGGCCTCTGCCTGTAGGACCGTCCGAGAGACCTTCGCAGGCAGGGTCGGAGGGTGGGAGGAGGAGATCAGGAGTTGTTGGACCGAAAGTCGACACGATGCGGCTGTATGCCCATGTTCCCGGTTCAACTGCTTTGCGCGCCAGCAGGTCGGCATCGATGATGGGGAGATTGTGTGGCGGGGAGGAGAGGAGGGATGAGCAGGTGGATTTCCCGGTGGCTATTGAGCCTGTGAGACCTATGAGGCGCATGTTGAGGAGTGTCGTAAACAAGAACAAAGATTAAACATCAGTGTGTGAATGCGACGAGCTTGCTCTAAGCTTCTTGAATAAGGCCCGCTCCTCGTCACTGAGTGTATTGAATTGATTTGAGCATCAGTCAAGGGGCTCTTTTCTTTGAGATCGCCGAGTGTACGAATGACCGGGTACTACAAAGGTCGTGCGCCATGCTGCACATTGTGAGCAGGCTGATTCCAACCTGAGCTGGTAAATAGAGAATGACGTAGTGGCTACAAATGTGTGCAAACCCCAGCCGAGGCAAGAGTTTGATCTTCTGTATTCAAGATGAAGTAACTATATTATGGCATTCTACCACCCCTTCTGGCCTGAACTTTTGGCTTATACTCCTGCTCCCCGGCCTAGCACGTTGTCCAACCATGGTCACCTAACTCTATGTCCTTAGCAGCTAAAGCACGGCAACATTGCGCTTTCCATAGCTCGCTGTTGCTTGTACGCGAATATTTCTTCATTTGTTCCTCGTGCTTCTGGTGAAAGTCGGAGACAGAAGCCGAGTAACGCTTTGAACAAGTGAGCCCTGGCCTGTCTATGCTTGGAAGACCTGCGCAACGACAATGCCGGGTTCCAATCCTGGCTGCTGTGTCAGCTTCCCCGGCTCCTTCTGCAGTATAGTCCTGGACCTCTGGCAAATCTCTTTCGTTCTTGTCCAAGCTTGAGTCTATCCCAACTAGGTCTCGTGCCTCATTCCTCTCGTATCCACGTAGCGCGCCGCGAATATACGCCTCATAGACGGACATAGGCATTATCACTCTGTGACCATGAAACGTGAGTCCGGAGAAAGTCCTACCATCTGCATCCATCCGGCTACTTCTCAAGGTGGTCAGACTGGGCAAGTAAGGTAGAACGACTTTGTCTCCAAGAGCATCGACTCTCTGTAGCATGTTTGTGCAACCTGCCAGCCCAGCTTGCCAGAAGTGGCTGAAATAGTTCCACATAGCTTCAATCCGTGCACCCTCTAGATCGTGGCCTCAGAAGCAACACTGCCCGTCAGGTTGATTCTGCTCCGACTGTTTTGTGACGTGCTTGCATGTCTGAAAACTTCGAAACTGATTCCTCGGTTTGATAACAGTGTTGGAAACCTGGTCCTGCAAGCTCCTGCAAGTAGGCACAATGTCGTGAAGATACGGGCACAGCTTGCCCATACAGAAAGCTCTTCCGGAGTCATCTTGCTGCCACAACTGCTTTACCTGACACATTCTGAGCAATCTGCAGTGTCTGGGAGCTTCTTCGTCCCATGGACAAGGTATATTGCATAAATCAGCTGGACAGATCCTGCGAAGGAGCTCATCCGAAACTTCTAAAAACCAAAATTGGTATCTTGCGAAAAGTCGTTCTGGATGCTGTGAGACGTACTTAGCGTCAAATACGCGAAGCCCACCAACAGAAAACTCGTGCAAATTTGCCTGGCCAATGGGAGGCGGTAGTTGAGTATCGTAAGCTTGACGTCGAAGGCGATGTTTGAGGTGTGAGAAAAATGCTTGGTTATGTGAAGTGTACAATGACAGAGTCGACACCGTTGGCTGCATGAGTCGTGGTTCTCGTTGCCCCTCGACTCCAGACATTGTGGTATAAATCGCCAGGAGAACCACCAAGGTTTTTAGATATCAGAAACGTTGTGTCGCTGATCCAGACAGAGTGACTTGATCTACCATGTCACTACGTAGTTGAACCTTCCTAGTGAAGATAACCACAAGTGATATGTCTATCGACCTCAACGCTTGGGCATCGATCGAGCGGTATAGATTCGAGACGATTTTTTGGTAATATGCCGAGCCAAACGATGGAAAGAATGAAAATTTTAAGAAGTTACCCGTACTATGATACTTTGAGTGGGTGTCGCGGAATATCCGAGCAACGTTACTCGTAGTCTGACGCTGTAGGAACGACAAGCCTCAATCCCGCAAGACCTGCAAGCGCGCTTCTGTGGTACCTGCCAGTTTCTGGAGGTCGCGAGTACCGCCACTGGGTAGATGCCAGCTTCTTCTTGGATATAGATAGAGAGCAGGTCTGGATCGTATTGGTGGTCGAGGTCTAGTGGTGGCTGTGGTTGATACACATCAGACCATTACTTGATCGATCGCGCGACTTTAATCAACTGTGTCATGTCAATTTGCGATATAGGACATGAAGCTCAAACCTCTTGCAGCTCAGTGTCGTAAGACCACTCCAGTACAGATCACTGTTTGACGTCGTCTTCATCCTTCATTCCCTCTACGTTTCCCAGCTCGACCTTGATCTTCTTCATATCCACTTCATCGTCGTCTTCCCCTTTCAATTGTGCACTTCCGTTCTGATCAAGAATCTCTCCATCAATAAGCACCTTAATACCGCCTCCACCACTCATAGCTTCTCCACCAGGCGTCACGCGACTAACTCTTCCTTCTTCGTCCACAAACTCGAATCGATATCGGCTCAAATAGTGTGGGATCGCGCTCAGTTGCGGGCCATATCGTGCTGTGTTGTCATACAGCTCAAAGAGAGGGACAGCTAACAGCTTCATATTTTTCGGTATCGAGAGTGCCTTTTTTGGCGGTAAGTGTATAAAGTAGAGTTTCTTCAGCTCCTCTGCCCATTAGTTAGCTTCAACCAATTCACTCTGCTTTCAATGGGATTGGAGAGTTTACTCGGTCGTGTGCAATGCGCAGGCAGAAAGGGATAGAGGAAAGTCTCGTGGTTTGGGCGCCACCATTGAGCCAGACAGTCGCCTACCTGCCACTCAAGATCCTGCGTCGTGGGACTTGTAGGCGCAAGGCGAGAATTGAGCAAGTCGGTAAAAGCAGGTATCTCCTCAGCCTCAGGTGGAAGATAGTCTCCGGGTCTGTAATTGCATCAGTGTGCCGTCCCTCCTATATCAGAACACTGAACCAGCTCACAGCTTGAAGAAAGCGTTTGCGATCTGTAGCATCAGGACATGTGGATGATTATGTTCGTGGCATACAAGAATGCCTTCGCATGTCCTTCTCATGCCATGTTTCTCGTAGTGGTCCTCCAGTCTCCTCAGCCTGGTCAGCACGGAGGGATCCTCCTCAAGCTGGACATCCTTGGTACCAAACGTGTAGTTGGATAGAGGGTGTAATCGTATCGTCTGCGGTTGGTTTGCAGTAAATGGTGGTGGGTTCAGAGGCCTGTGTATGGTCAGTGCTGATCACTACAGTGCTGCATAATGGCGCGTACACCTACGGATGTGCCGATTGCTGTGTGAAGTCGGAAGTCATTGTCGGAGAGAGTGTCGGTATCGCCTGATCCGCCTCTAATACTGATGTATACAAGACGAATTTGTGCAAAGAGTCTTACGTTCAAGTGTGGTGGCTACAAGACATCAAGCCAAGCCGACACCCTCACAAAATAAATGTAACAGGTAGGATGAGGCTCTTCGGACTTGAGCTGAAGTACAATGCAGGAAGTGCCAAGCCGACGGAAGGCTTGGAGAGAAACGCTATAATCACTGGTCCGTATGAGCTTCTACAGGAGTGAGCATAGCTGTATGCCTACGAACAGGCCAGACGGTGATACTGGAAGTACTGATTAAGTATGTGATGGTGATGCGGATCTATGAGTCTATGACTATCGATAGTCTTCGCGGTTTACCCGCAGTCTCTATCGCATACACAAACCACTACCAACCTGTTCAAAGCTTGCTCTCAAAGTCCTGAAAGTCTTTGATGTCAGTGACTGGCACGACACCTGCACTGACCTGCAATCCTGCCTTCCATCTATGCACGTCTTCTATCACCACAGCTTTTGGTGTCTCCAGTGCTGTCTCTAGCTGCTCTACCTTTTCCGGCGCCTGTATCTTCAAACCAACAAACACTTGTGGCAAGGCCTTCTCAAGTCCTTGCAGGACTTCATCACGCTTGTTCTCTGGCAAGGCTGAGCCAATGGAAGTCTTGCATGCTGCCAATACGCCTGCTTGATCATGAACTTCAATGTCGCTAAAGCTTGACTGCAAAGCCGCAGATTCAACTTGAGCTCCTTGTCCTGTAAGATACTGCGAGAGCATCTCAGCCAGTTGCTGCTTCTGATCTGCTGGCGAGGTCTCCAACTTCGCCGCCTTCTGCGCCACCAGATGTACCGATAGTTTAGCCCTCGTCGGCGACTGTGGGTCGATGAACTGGTGGAAGAAGTCTTGCATGTCCTGCTTGCTCAACTTCCGGATACTCTCTACATCCGTATCAATTTGAAAGAAATTGTATGCCTCTCCTGCGATATAGTTCCAAAGTCGGTTGGTTTCAGTCGTAAGGTTTTTGACCTTCTCCAGTTTTCGTGCGATGAGACTCTTTTTGTGTTTGTCAAAATCCTCCTGGGTCATATCCGCGAGGTCTTTCTTGAACTTGACCAGAAAAGCCTCAATGCGGCTTTCCAAATATTCAGGCTCCCTCTCGCTCTGAATGAGTACTCGGTAACCGATCATCGTTGCAGATGGTCGAAGGCCGCTCCAAACCACGTAGCCAAGCTGTTCCTTCGTACGAAGTTGGTCAAATGAGGGCTCGTCAGTCATCTGAGCTAATAGTTGTGTTTTTGCATTCAGCGCGTAGTCCCAGTTTGAGCCGACCTGAAGGTAGTACTCGATAGCGTGGTTGACATTCTCCGGGTCGTCCAGCGGCTGCTTGTATACATGATTGCTGCCAGTAGGAAGTAAGATATTGCGTCTGGTTGGAAATTGTGACGGTGGTAGCACACGGGGTCTAAGCGTGGTCTCAACCATATGCGCCATCTTCTTAGCTTCATCACGGTAGACATTGCCATGAACAAGCATTTCAAGGTGCGCCTGAGACAGTAGTTGCTGAGCAAAGCTTTTGACCTCCTCCATGGTCACATGAGGCAGCTCTGCGGCATACTCTTTTGTAATAAATCGTTTTTCGTCTATCAAATATCTTGTGTGGTCACCAATCTGCATATATGGTTGTCGGAAGCCCCAGTTCTTGTACTCACGTGCAAAACGTTCCTTGATGATATCAAATCGGTCTTGTCGGAATGTAAGGTCTCGCATCGTCCCCAAAACTTTGTCCAAGAGAACACTCAACTTGTCGTTATAACCATGAACATTGAGCTCTAAGCCGGTAGAAAGGGTCATGAGTCCGTAATTTAGACCTGAAATGTCTGCATCGTATGAGTATTCCTGCAATGCGTCCTTGACCATGTTGGCGAACAAGGCACCTTTGACGTGGTTTGCAGGAGAGTCGTAGGCCACAGGATTTCGTATCAGTATGTTTACGTTTGCCTTCGGTACCCAAAAAGTATCATCTTTCTTCCACCATAACCGTACCTGTTCGTCGTTTCGAAGTAGTCGTGGGGCCCTGGCGGGTTCTTTGACCTCAGCCTTCTCGACGTCAAGTTTCGTGGGGATGAACTCATTCTTGTGTGGCAAATGCAATTCAGCAGGTCTGTCTTTGTTGGTAGATAATGCCTGGCGTATTTCTGCGATGGTGTCGTCTGATATCTTCTCCACCTTGTAGTCTGTGCCATACCATTTCTCTTTTTGATTCCAATCACCTGGGAAGTCTTGGCTAACGATCATGAGACGAAAGTTGTCTTCTCTGAGGAACTGCATAGCATGAACGATTGCTTTCGGATCGAACTTTCTCAGCTTGCTACCACTCAGTAACCACTGTAGAGGCAGAGGCTTTTGCATGACGCTACTTGTTCCACTGGTAAACTGATATGCCTGTTAGCTTGTGCTCCATACTGTCTGATGACCGACTTACTCTGCTGGCAGGAGCTTTTTGACGGAAGCGAAATTCTACTTCGGCCATGTTCTTTTGCTCTTCGAACATCCATTCGATAGGCGGTTCTGCCTTCATCATACCAATATACTGGAACACGATTCTGACCACGTCACGATATCTTGTTAATCCTTCAGGTGTGAGATTGACCTCGATCTCCATAAAAGCAGATCCAGGACAGATTGTATGAGCTCCAGCACTTAAAGAGTTTGCCAGGCCTTGCTCCTTCAGATACGCCAGAACGCTACCAGGTCCTTCGTGGCCTATCAGATGACTGAGATATCTAGAAGGCTTCGTTTCGTACATTCCTTCTTCGTCCTGGTAAGGGAAGCTGATTTCCAGAGCCCTCGATTCCATTACAGGTTTGGCGAAGATTTCGGTTTGGAGTTGTTCTTTGGCTAATGGCTGCACACCGTCCCATCTGTTTTCAGGAAGGTCCTTGTTTTTCACGTTAGAGAAGAGACCAACTACCCAGCTCTCAAGCTCATCCAGAGGCTCTTTGCCCAGTACAACCAACTTCATTCTGTTGGCACTGTAGTGCTTCTCATAAAACTTGATGAACTCTTGTCTTATCTGAACACCTCGGCTTTCTGGAATCTCTTTGAGAGTTTTCAGATTACCTGTGGAAAAGTGGTGGTGTGGGTGTCTAGGATTGGAAAGAGACTTTGCAAGCTGCGAGAGCCGCCAATTATCACTCTGTAAATTCTTCTTGTTCTCTGAATCCACTGCTCTTAACTCTCTATCTAAGGTCTCTGCTAGGAACAAGGGTGCAACAAAGAACTGGGCGAATCTATCCAGTGCGCCATATAGAGGCCCCTTCGTGGTGCCGTTGGGTGTGCCATTTGGTATCTTTTCATTAGATTCGTGGGAAGCAGCACACTCGAAGAAGTAATTGGTCTGAGTCGCGGCTGTGTAGGCGTTGCTGTAACCTGAGTTGGCAGAGAGATAGGAGCTGTATTCGTTTTCTACTGGATACTGTAAATGCATTAGTATGCTTCTGTGCTTAGCTTGTAGTCGTACCGTACCTTCTCTGTGCCCATGAACAGAAGATGCTCAACTGCGTGAGCCATCCCTGGCATATCATCGTCGTCCGAGAAGTTTCCGACATTGACATTCAAGCTTGCGCTTGCCTTGTCAGTAAGCGGGTCTGAGCAGAGAAGTGCTTGAAGGCGATTCGGCAGTTCTATCACTTTGTACGACCTGTCATCGAGCTCTGGCTTTTCAAGAGTATCGGCGATCGTCCGGACTTGAGAAGCCATGACTGTAGCGTACTTTCTGACCTGACATGCAGATACAGGCTGAATGAATCTTCGGCTTGTATATATTCGTGGTGTCAAAGACTTATGAATTAGAGATAGATTCAGCCACTTCCCGAACAGTGACAAAGAACGTGTTCCCGTGTTCATCAAGATTTCCGTTTGTACACCTGTTCGCCAGAAATGATCGAACCGCTACACCGTCTGTCTGCCACAATCGAGGACCTTGACGCCTCTCCGGATATGATGATGGAGTGTACAGGCAGGACGGTACTATGCAACATGAGGATCTATGGTCGACCGTAGGCTTTACCACATCAGCGCAAGCTCATTTAGGGACTGCTAAAGGGTACTTCTAAATAATGCCTGAAACCACCTGTGAATCGATTTCAACCAACTGGCATACTTCGCTCATCAGACTACGGTGGACAGAAGATCGCCAGTCGCGCTACCCTACCTACATCGGACTCGGTCGACCGCGTCTTGTAATCATCGGATACCAGTACCGAAGCACGTATAGCAGACCGAACGACATTTGTTGTCCGACTCTTCATACATTGTCAGCTAGGACACGGCCAATGTACAGGTGGCATGCGCTCAAGGAATACAGGCTGCTTTAGTCTTCTGGCTTCTGACTGTCCTCCTCAGCTGCCACTTTGTCTGACTTTGGGTAATCAGGTCCAGTCTAGATCGTGTACTTGAATCCAGGCAATCCCTCAAGCACCTTCTCACCTCTGTGCACCAGTTAGCGCTACAGATCGCAGAAAATCGACGATATGCACATACCTGTCCACTTTTTTGTTTGCCGCCCTAAAGTAAATGGTGTTACAAATGACAATCACGATGATGAGCAAGTTGCAAGCGATGGCTGCAAAGATACCTACGCATCCATTAGTTGTTAACATGGCAGAATTCAAAGAACTGCATACCAGGTCTGTAAGTAGGTGCATCTTGTGATCGGAACACTAATGAACCAGAAATACCCTTTCAGATGTCAGTTCAAACTCACTGTGCTTACTCTTTATCAACTTACTCCGATGCCACCGAATCCAACCAGAGTGGCGGAACAGAAGGCTCTCTTCCACTGCCCTCGGATGTTGTTGGCCTGGTAAGCCATACTGGAAAACGTCAGCTCACGTCCTGCTGCTCAATGGCGCAAGGACTTACCAAGCTGGAATATTCGCGTTCGCACTTGCGGTCACGAAGAAAACGCCAAGATAGCGAACGCCGCTGGACGAAGCATATCCCATCATAGGCAGACCTATTAGGCCAAGAACTGCGTTGCCGATCAAGATCGGGCCACGGACTCTGTACTTGTCGGCTAGCCATGCTGTACCAAACATCTAGGACTGTCAGACTGCGCCCAAAGACGTCACCGAGGCAATCGTTGACTTACCACAATGCCAGCAAATGCATAAGGAGGCGCCACAAGGCATTGTGAAGCACCAACCGAGAAGCCCATTCCATTTCGAAGAATTATCGGCTGGAGATGTCAGTGAACATTCACTCGATGCACACGTTTGGAAACCAACCAAGAAATATGCAATCGCATACGAAACAGTTGTCAGACAGAAAAAGATCATTGCGAATCCCCAAATCTTAAGATCGAGACCGTTTGACACCCACTTCTTAAAATTGAAGGATTCAACTGCCGCATCGTCCCGATCCTTGTTGATCCTTCGCAAGATGAAGGCACACTCCTTCTCGTTCAGGAACCACAAAGCCGTTCTGTGCGCTCGATCGGGGAAGTCAACAAGAAGAAAGTAACCACCTGCTCCTAGGACACATGTCAAGATTCCTGGCTAGTGTTAGTCTACTTTCGAGCTGATAACACTTTGCAAAAAGCGATATTGCAAGCTTCCCTACCTTCCATGATAAAGATCCATCGCCAGCCGCGATAACCGTTGATACCATCCATCTGCATGAGTCCGAATGCTAGTATGCCTGCACATGCGGAGGCCAGACATCCGATGAGATAGAAGACGCTGTAGCGTTTCTGCAAGTCGTATCGGACATACCAAGTGGAAATCAAATACACACATCCTGGGAAGAAACCGGCTTCCAGAACGCCTGCCAAGCGCTATTAGCAATCGTCCTTGGATGTGGAGGTATTTCCTTACCTAGGATTAGTCTTAGAGGTATCATCGATGTCCACTGGGTTGGAAATCCAAATCCGATCATCACACCTCCCCAGGCGAAGCAGATACCGGCGAGGAAAGGCCTTGGCCCAATCTTTCGGCACAGGACAGTCATCGGCGGTTGGAAGAGAACGTACGTGATAAAGAACACGAGCGCAATGGTCGAATAGCGGAAGCCTACGTTGAGACGAAGCTCGACGTTCATTCCAGCAATGGCGGCAGCAGATAGGTTGGTTCTATCCATGAGGGAAATGCAGTACAATATACCTGATATATGAGTCAACACTGTCACTGGTATTCAAACGACCACCAGGTGAGCCAGCACACTCGCAGTGGCAAGCAACGCTGTATTTCATCGGACAGTTCAAGTTCAAAGGTCGTTGTGTGTAACACCTGTGCGGCAGCCGCCGTTGAGGTCTTCATTCTTGGAAAGAGTTGCACTCACCACAGGTACTGATCAATCTCATATCGACACGATGGATAATCTTCTTTTGTTCCGCAGGTGTGTACTCGGGATCGTAGTCCAGAGCCTCCTTGGAGTTATCGGAAAGAGCCTCGTCGACATGTTTGGCTTCGGTGACCTTGTCATATACAGAAGTATCTGGCGAGCTACTGTGCGTTGCCATCTTGTCTGTGATTCCTCAGATTCTCACACAAGATTGTCTGCGTGGGAGTCGAAAAGCAAGTGAAGACAGTGAACTGCGGTGCAGGTCGTACGCAGATCTTATCATATTTGCTTCGTCCGCCACAACGGTCACAAACTCCGAATATGGGTGAAAAAGGTGGTCCCGGAGATGTTGCTCGCTTCAGCATGATTTTGAGATCGTTCGAGCTTGGCATTGCCTACCAAGGAATGAGCTTCTCTTGGCCACCAGCATTAATAGCTTGGCATTGCCACGATTCATGAGATCGTGCGGCCTCTCGTGTCTGGACAATAGGATGTTTCAGCAGCAACATTTGACACCCCAGGTTCTCCAGTCACAACCCCGCGCATACCCTCGTATGGGGTCTCCACGTTGGTACCAATACCAAACCATGTGTCAGGGGCAATATCAGCAGATCTTATTGCATGATCCTGTAGAAACTTTCCGCCTTCATGCAACTGGAACTCCTTGCTCCATGAGGTTCGAAGGCTAAATAACATCTTGTTGATCCTGTCGAATTGCACAAAATCTTGTCTCTGACGGGTGATAGCAAATAAACGGGACCGTCAAAACTACTAACGGCCTCTACCATTGGGCACGGATAATAATTTGTGTGAAACTACGATGCGCAGCCTGAATTAGCAGGCTTGCGCAGAGATGACGGAAGTGCACCGAGCGTTCGGCTCATCAACAGATTTGGACAATCGCTGATAGGCGAACTGCAGGCGTTCTACACAAACATGGTCATTTCCCGAACCTCGAATGCGAGTCATCAATCAAGAATGTTTTCCTGGGTACTCTTTAAGCATAAAACAAGTGGTCACTTACCGAGGCAGATCGGAGATGCTATTGTTTTTGGGTGGCTTCCCGTGGGGATGACATAGCAGCAGTCTTGGCTCGTGCTTTTTTCGCAAGATAGGCACTGGCTCTGATCGATTGTCACTGTGGTTGTGGTCGCTTCAGACTCAAGAAGCTCAAATGACACACAGATAAGCCTGCATTGAGTCCGTGCGTGCATAGATGTTGTGCTAAAGCAGTGGGAGGAATCCATCTAGAAGGCATTGAACCTGTCTCTATCTTGAAGAGGTGGCGCCACCGTCTGGTAATTAATGTTCTGCAGCCTCGGCTGATGAAAGCAAAAATTCTGGACAACTAGCAATCGAGTCAGAGTGACGATGATATCTTGCACTGCAATTTCGTTCACGTATGGCCCCGATATACGATTTCTTTGTCACTGATACAGTCACTGGTACACGTCAACCTGGTTGTTGCCGGCTCGACTACGATACTCGACTTAGAAAGATATTCATAGAAGGCTAAGACGAGAGCGTCGTTGGTCGTTGACATACTAGTTGAGCATATTGGGGGACAGGAATGAATACATTGAGGTATAGCGAAGAAGCAGAAATTGCCTCGAAACTCACCGCTCCACAATCTCGGTTCCTTGTTTATTAGGTGTTCGGTGAGTTCAGCCTCCGACTATACTGGTGTCCTCAATGTTCTGGTTATGTACATGTTCTCTGGAAGGACACCGAGGCCGCAATGTAGGTACATGGTCCGCTCTGGTGTTTTTGCCTTTCATGCCTGTTCGCTCCGGGCAACAGCTCACTATCCACAGTCTCGGGACTTGGCAGCTATGCTCTCGGCCTTGCTGATGCTGTACTGTATAGTAGTGGATGTGTGATATGACTGGTAATTGGTGTGTAGGCCGGTAAGTGGTGAAGAGTCGAACGACGATGGAATTACTGCAATCACTGTCGATAGTGAATGCCTAACAGCGTCCTATTGCATCAAAACAACTTCATTCTCTGACTGGTTGTATCCTCTGAGATCCACGAAGTTGCCGATAAGTTCAAGGACTGTTGGGGTGGGCGCCTGTCCGGCGCGATCAGATCATGTACATCCATCAAGCTTATCTGTATCTTCTTGGTCTTCGAGATTTCCGAAGCTGACACTCACGACGAACTCGCTTGGCCTCCACCTTCATGCTTCAATGTCAGTTTCAAAGCTGTGAGATGCAGCATCTGTGTGTTTGACGTGTGTTGCGCTCGTGGATTGCCTATCTGTTCGTCCCAAGTTTCGAAGCTTATTGACGGCATAACCACGAAGATGGTGGAAGAGTAGTTGTGATAGTCTCAAATCAGCTTGTAGCCTGCAGAGCGCTAGAATAACACGACTACAACCATAAGCATACCAGTAGCGAGACGTCGAGCAACGAGAGGTCAGAGACCATATTCAAACCCACTATCAGCTCAAATCCACGAGTCACTATGAAGACACAAATAGTGGACGACAAACACAAAAGCCACAAAACGAACAGTTCAAGTCTCCCTCAGTCCTGGTAAAAGAACACTGAAAGGAAAGCAGTTCCTCGGTCGTTCTGGTTGCTCGGGAGCTCTGAAACCACCAAATTGACTGGATGAGCTGAAGATAGCCAAGTTAGGTTCGGGGTCAGAGCTTGCGAGTCTTGGCGCTCATCAGCCGCCGGCGTTGCAGCGCCTGCGGGCAAGGACACGGTTCACCTTATGATATTTGCCCGTCATAATTTTCGAAGTCGTCGCATCGCCGCACAAGTCTGCTCAAATTCACTGCTGGCAATTCGAGGCACAGACCTGCCCCCATCCATTGAAAAGCACAACCGCACGACAGATACTATCACCGGCATCATGGTCAACCCACAGATCACCGTGAGTGCTTCCATCACATCAATTGAGGAATACAAAGTAATTAACGAATGTGCAGAACTTGGTGATCATGCTTGGAATGATGCAAGTCAGCAAGAAGATACCATTCGAGGATCCGAACGTTCTCATGGGCGTGCGCGCCCTATACATCGTCTCGAACCTCTTGATATTTGGAGTGTATTACTACATCACCACCAAAATACAAAGAAAGAAGGGTAAGGAGCTGGAAGGTGGTGGGCTATCAAGCTACGTGCTCGTGTTGCTCCTATACAACAGAGAGGCAACGCCTGATATCTCCGCCAATAGAGTACGAACTTGGCTGAGAATACTGCAGACCTGACGACCCTGAAATACCTTGAGCCACCTACGCCAGGAAGTGGAGAGGATAGCAAACTTGTAAGAATCGAAAATTGAGGCTTGTCCTTGGTTCACACTGACTGCCGTAGGTTACCACAACCATCATGGAGTATGACCTCGACCAGGTCAAGGCCGCACAAAAGCAACAGATGATAGGCCTGGCGATGATGGGCTTTTTGCACATGTGCGTTTCATACATCCGTCCTGTTTGCCATACTGATGTGATTTGCCAGTTACATGAAATACACGAACCCCTTGGTCATACAATCTATCATTCCCCTGAAAGGCGTATTCGAAGGCAATATTGCCAAAGTTCATCTGTTTGGAAAGCCCGCAGTAGGAGAACTCAAGCGCCCATGGAAGACTGGTGGCGCAGGTTTTATGGGCATGGGAGGCGCTCAGGGTGATGTCAAGACCGACAAGGCATCAATCGAAGCCGCTGAAAGAGCCGGCCGAGGCGGTGCTAAAGAAGAATAGACAACTAGATCGGATGCTTCCCATGGAACGTTTGTACTACTACTGATGAATGATTCAGGAATTCCACCAAATCCGAACCCAATGTCTTTGCCAACAACTTCTTTGTAGCGGCTAGGTCAAAGCCCTTCCGTTTCTTTCCGACCTATCTTCTCCAAATTCATTCCGCGTCTCCTAGTCTCACTGCTGAGCACCAAATTATTGGACTATGTCGAAATTCGGTCCTCTTGTTACATGACTGTGAGTGACTTGCCCTTCGAAAGTAAGTAGTATGGTAAGGATATAGCGGATACAATGTCGGATTAACATGGCGGAAGATTATTCTTCCTGCTTGGTGCCGTGATTGCGGGCTTATAGCGAGGCTTCTTTAAAGCTGATTGGTAGGGAAGCGCGAATTCTGAAGCACTGCATGCTGCTGGACTTGGGTCATGCGAGCTCCAGCTTCCAGATTCAAAGTATGGAGCAGATTCACTACACGCCATTGATGATGCTACCACAGTGGTAGAAATACATAAAGAGACAACTCGGGTAGTCACTTGCTCTTCTCTTCACTATCGCTGCTCAGAAATCTTATCTTCACACCTATCACCCAAGACTTATTTGAGCGAGTCATATCTGACAGCTGTAAGTTATGCCAAGCCCCAGTTCGATGACATAAGAAAAGTGTTTCATTGAGGGGTTTCGATGTGGAAAGAGCATCTGAGAGTACCCCACTAGCCTCTGAAAACAATAGCATTCTGAAAGCTATCATTTCAACGTTTTGAAGACACAAACTTCACATCTGCTACATCCTTTACCTATCAGCTATTGATTACTTCTGTCTCTCAGGAAACCGAACCTCAACACACAGTCACTCTAGGAAAGCAATTGTAAGTTCACCTTGCGAGCTGTGCTTGAGCACTTGCTATGGCCTATCAACCCATACTGATAGTCTGTTGCAGCATATCAACACCGCCACAATGGTTGTCAAGGTTGGCATCAACGGCTTCGGTCGTATTGGTCGTATCGTAAGTCGGACTGAATGTGTACAGGCTCGGCGGACTAACTTATCCCTCAGGTCTTTCGAAACGCGTATGAGTCCTGTGCCTTCGAGTTGCAGCCATCCAACTGATTATTAATACAGTGTCCTACACGACGATGTCAACGTTGTCGCTGTGAACGATCCTTTCATTGAGCCAAAATATGCTGTACGAATCCTGGACGTGGTAGCGAGCAAGAGATACTGATAAGTTATAGGCCTACATGCTGAAGTATGACTCTCAGCACGGTCAGTTCAAGGGTACCATCGAGGTCAAAGAGGATGGTCTTACAGTCAACGGCAAAGAAGTCAAGTTCTACATGAAGTAGGTGACCTGGCGTGCAGATTTTGCTCCGTTCACGAGATGAATACTAAATTCTGGACAGGAAAGACCCAGCTGAGATCCCATGGTCCGAGACCGGCGCATACTACATTGTCGAGTCAACTGGTGTCTTCACCACCACCGACAAGGCATCCGCTCACTTGAAGGGTGGTGCAAAGAAGGTTGTCATCTCTGCTCCTTCTGCCGATGCTCCTATGTTCGTCATGGGTGTCAACAACGAAGACTACAAGTCCGATATCCCAGTCATCTCGAACGCCTCTTGCACGACCAACTGCCTGGCACCTCTTGCAAAGGTCATCAACGACACATTCGGCATGAAGGAGGGGCTAATGACCACAATCCACTCATATACTGCCACACAAAAGACTGTCGATGGCCCTTCGGCAAAGGACTGGCGAGGAGGTCGAACTGCTGCACAAAACATCATTCCATCAAGCACTGGTGCCGCCAAGGCTGTCGGAAAGGTTATCCCAAGCTTGAACGGCAAGCTCACCGGTATGTCGATGCGCGTTCCCACCTCGAACGTCTCCGTTGTCGACCTTACCTGCGTACTCGAGAAGCCAGCCAGCTACGACGATATCAAGAAGGCAATCAAGGATGCTTCCGAGGGCAAGTTGAAGGGTATCCTTGCCTACACAGATGACGAGATCGTCAGCACTGATCTCAACGGTGACAACCACTCTTCTATCTTCGATGCCAAGGCTGGTATCGCATTAAACGACCACTTTGTCAAGCTTGTGTCATGGTATGATAACGAATGGGGCTACTCGCGAAGAGTTCTTGATCTCCTAGCATACATTGCCAAGTAAGTCTCCCGACATGATTCGATAAGCTTGTGATCTAACAATATTTCCAGGGTTGACGGAAACGCTTAAATGGCTCGACTTCAAAGGATATCACCCGAGCAAAATTATTCACACCGTTGGCTACCTGGTAAAAACCTAAAATTCGGTGAGGCTATTGAAGCCAAGTGTATACATTGAGAAGCATCTGATGAAGCGCAACGACAGTCAATATCTTTTGAGCAGGCCGTAGATCCAATTAAATACCAAACTTGCTACTCTTTCTCAGACTTAATTGTCGCAAATCATGTAAGCGTTGAGCACCCGGACCCCTTTCCAGAAACGCGAGCCCTGCAGGGCCTCGGAAAGTCTTGGCATTAACTGCCTGGGACAATTCGTATCTTCAATGTCCCAGATGCTACTAGTGTCTACCACTTCTCTGTAATGTACACAGTTGCACTTTCAGTACTTTAGACCTCATAAGTAGGCTTTCTATATTGTGCTCAGCATCCACCTCTTCGCGAAGGTGTAGGACCTGTATTGTACGCTATAAAAGAAAATGTCGACCGATTAAGCAAACAACAAACTTGAACCTTGAGAATTTGCTCTCGCAATCGCGCTTGCAGGTGCAACAGTATGGCATCGGTCGACGTGAAAATGGTTGATATGGATATTCCAAATCAGATGGGAGCGCTGAAGGTCGATTCAACATCGGGAGAAGAAATGAACGATTATGAGAGTACAGATGAATCTTCAGTTGACGAAAGTTCCTTCCAACCACGAGGCCTGACAACAAGAGAGTTACCAACTGGGCTTTGCTATGATGAGCGCATGCGATATCATGCAGAGGTTTCTGCCTTGTCAGCAGAGGCGGTTCATCCAGAGGATCCTCGCCGAATCTACTACATCTACAAGGAGCTTTGTGAAGCTGGTCTGGTAGTCGCAAAGGGCTTCGATGTTATGGTTGAGCAACCACTGCTTCGTATCGATGCACGTGAGGCGACTGAGGATGAGATCAGATTGATTCACACTGACGAACAGTACCGATTTGTGCAACACACATCGAGTGAGTAATTGTGGGTCTTCGGCGCGAACAGAGCACTACTAACCCAGCCAGGGATGACCAACGAAGAACTCATTGACCTAGCGGAACATGGCGATTCGATCTACTTCAATAAGCTCTCATATTTCTCTGGGTTGCTCTCGGCTGGTGGAGCCATCGAGACATGCAAAGCGGTGATGGAAGGACGGGTCAAAAATGCTATCGCTGTCATCCGCCCGCCAGGTCATCATGCTGAAGCTGAACAACCAATGGGCTTTTGCTTGTTCAACAACACTTGTATTGCTTCCAAAGTCTGTCAAAAACTCTATGATATGAAATGTAGGAAGGTTTTGATCCTAGACTGGGATGTTCACCACGGAAACGGCTGCCAGAAGTCATTCTACAACGACCCAAATATTCTCTACATCTCGCTCCACGTTCACATGGGTGGAAAATTCTACCCGTCAGGTCCAGAAGGCGGTATGGACAGATGTGGTGTCGGTGCTGGAGAAGGATACAATGTTAACATCCCGTGGGAGACTAAAGGGATGGTGAGTTCATCTGAGCAATTATGGTGTTTGTGACAGCCTGAGCTAACTTTTGTCAGGGAGATGGTGACTACATGTATGCATTTCAGCATGTTGTTATGCCCATCGCTACATCCTTCGACCCTGATCTTGTTATTGTGTCAGCTGGTTTCGACGCCGCCGCTGGAGATGAACTCGGTGGATGCAACGTCACTCCAGCTTGCTATGCCCACATGACACACATGCTGATGTCACTCGCTCAGGGAAGAGTTGCTGTATGTTTAGAAGGCGGTTACAATTTCCGAGCCATTTCAAGATCTGCTTTGGCAGTCACACGCACACTCATGGGCGAACCACCGGATCGCTTGGAGGCAACAAGTGCAACAGATTCAGCGGTCCGAGTCATCGAAGATGTCAAGAAGACTCAGTCAAGATACTGGAGATGCATGTATCCGAGAGCGCCGACCAGCGGAATTTACGGTGGTGAGAGGCTGCACGATATTATCAGAGCGTACCAAGCTCAAAACTTGTTCAACAAATACAAGCTTACGGAACTCTTGATTTTACGAGACAAAATCTCGAAGTCATTCGATAAGCAAGTGTTGGGCTCGATATCTTACGAGAGACGAAAACACCTGATCGTTTTCTTCCACGACCCTCCTGACCTCCTGACCGGCAATAATCCTTTAGCGGCGCAACAGAAACCTCACGACACTTGGATGGTAAGTGAGCCCTGTTTTTCTCTCGTTCTGCACTTTGACTGAAGACTTATTTACCACAGCTTGATGGTTCGCAGGCCTACATACAATCTGCTGTGAAGCACGGCATCGGTGTGATCGACGTCAACATACCAGAGTTCATAACCATTACGGCAGACCCGAGCGTGGATGACAAGAAACATGCTCACCAAGAGATTGCATACAACAGTCATTACACGGACGCTGCACGTACAGAAGGTGAAAAACTTGCGAGCTATATATGGGAAAACTATATTGAACCTTATGATTTCGAGGGTGGTATCTGGCTTATCGGCGCAGGAAGTGCTTTCCATGCTGTTTGGAAACTGGTTACCGAAAAGGAGAACATCCACACACGGCTCAATGGTGTGATTGGCTTCAATTGCGACCATCCTGCACGACAGATCAACCCCAATAGTAACAATGCATATGCCTCGTCTTGGTTCCGTGAACACTCTAGGATATATGTGGCTAAGAACCACGAGATCTGGCGAAGAGCAGAACAACTGGGCAAGACTCCCTCAAAGCGATACGGCAAACTGTTTAAGAGTCCAGAAGTGAGTGTACTCGTGCACCTATTCAAAGAATAATACTAACATATACGTGTAGACCATGCTGAACTCGATGATGCAAAAACATCTTCCCGAGGTGTTTGATTTCATCCGCGAAACAGCCAACCTTCAGGCAGATAGCGATTCAGACGCCGACCTACCAATCCCAATGCCCGAAGACGAGGGCAACTCACCTCTCAAAGGATCAGCTTTCTCCTCACCACCACAAACCCGACCACTTACCGCCGCTGCGACAGCTCAATCCTCCGCAGCTCTCAGGGGAGCCCTCAGCCCACCAGCCACCGGCAATGCTGCCCAACGTCCATCCCCAGGAACCAATACTTACCCCCAACAAGGCACCACTCCACTAGGTGGACGATCACCACTACCCCCGCCCGCACAGCGAGCACTCGGAACCATACCACAATCCCATTCTCCCACGTCTCCACCCGCATATCTCACGCGTCCGGAACAACAACAACACGACCCAGGTAGCTAGGAACAACAACCCCAACAACAAAGCTCATCATCGACAAGAAGAAGAAGAGGAAGAACAGAAACACGAAAATCGTCACCAATCCCTTCTTCGCCACCACCCACCCACCACCATCGAACCGAAGAACAAGAAAAGATCTACTGGGACACAATCAAAGCCTGTGGAAAAAATAAGGAGATCAAGGAGAACGTGCCGTAGAACCAGCATGAGATTAACGAGGCTGTCTCCGCGGGTAAACGGAGGTCGAGGAATGTCAGGCCGAAGTATAGGGTTGTGGATGATGAGGAGCCTGAGCCTGAGGATGGTAGGAAGGTGGAGGAGAGAACACGATGTAAGAGGGTGGTGGAGGAAGAGGAGGAGGATGATCGTGGTCAAATTTGGGAGCGGGAGAATGCGGAGGAAGACGACGACGACGACGACGATGATGATGATGGACGTCTGGACGAAGTCCTTGGGTCTGCACGCAAGAAGGGTGCTGGGCGTGGGAAACGGCGGCGTGTATGAGATACACGTGGAACTTGGTGTCAATATGTGATGCAACGTGGTAGTTATTGTTATCCGGGCTGACGATACTTTTTGGTCACTTAAGTACACGGTGTATTTGCGTGACTTGGCTGCCTCCTTATCGTGTCATTTCCATGGAACCCCTCACGTGCGAAAACAAGGAATACAGCGCAGTTTATTGTGAATTACTCTTCTCGTTTTGTCTACGTGCTCTCTCTGATCGCTCACACAGCCGATCGAATGCAACCTCCCACGCTTGCTCTATTATTCTGGATTTTGAAGATGTACTGATTTGCGCTCATGCTGCGCTGGTTGGATGTCTTGCTTTTGAGCTCAGTGAAGCATTTCCGGTATGGTAAATCTAGATCCGTACCCGTTCTAAGCCGACACGAGGCTGCCCGTGCAGCTGTTTGCTCAGGGATGTCTCCGCTTTTCTTGCTCTGCTGAAATGATACTTCACTCTGTTTGTCGATCATAATTGAGGTGGTTGAGCCATTTACAAGAAGTAGTCGGGGGTACGTCTGCTAACCATTGGTTCACCAGCTCTTGGGCACGGGTCGAATTGTAAGCTAAACACATGGTTAGTATTGCTGTCACAGTCTTTCTGAGGATTGGCTTTGACTTACAAGGTATACTTCAGATGCTCATCAATCTCCATAATAGCAGCCTGGTTACCACACCTATAGCAATAGTTGGGCGCGCTGAAAATGGTGACCACGTTCCTATCCTGACTCCAGTTATAGCCCTCCATCACCAATTGATGTGCTCTTGCAACCAGGGTGAGGCCGTTGTTGTGATTGAAGGCCTCACTGATGTCCTGACCGAATGTGTAGCCTGCACCTCTTGGGCTGATTCCCCAGCCACATCTGTCGTCTGGGTCTGACCAGAGGAGATCGCACATGGGGCCTTCATGAGGTACCTCTTGAATTCGGTCGAGACTGCGGATGTTGTCGAGCGTGTCAATACTTGGACTGAGACCACCGTGGAGGCAGAAGATTTGATTGTCGATCAGAGCAGTAAGGGGAAGGTAGTCGAAGAGATCGGTAAAGTATTTCCAGACATTCGCGTTGCCGTATTTGCGGAGGCATTCATCGTAGAAGCCGTAGACCTGAGTGATTTGGCGAGATTCGTGGTTACCGCGAAGAATGGTGATACGTGAAGGATAACGGATCTTAAGCGCGACAAGCAGAGTGACGGTCTCAACCGAGTAGTACCCTCGATCGACATAATCGCCTAAACAGAGGTTGTTAGAATTAAACAATCTACATTTTGAGGATAGGAGAACTGTACCCATGAAGAGGTAATTTGTGTCTGGATTTGGTCCACCAATTCTGAACAGCTCCATAAGGTCGTGAAACTGACCATGGATGTCGCCGCAGACTGTGACTGGACATTTCTGTATTCTGATCAGCTTCGATACACCTGTTTGAAGTCCAGGAGACATACCACAGGCTGCACATTCGACTCATCCTGCAGCACTTCTCTTGCCTAGCAACGTGTAAGTTGATGTTGTCTTCCCAGCTTCTGCCCAACATACTCGATCGCATAATCTCAACACATCGCTTTCTGCTAATTGTTTGCAGTTCATCAAACTCTCAATCCAGCCATCCAAGGTGGGTATCGATTGTTGATCGCTGACGGGCGACAAGCCATGTGGTTGCGCTGGCTTGCCAACGTCGACATCCATCTTCGAGTCCATACTGGACTCTATGTTGAACTGTCTTTCCGTAATATTTGCGGTTTTGAGGGTCAGCGGTCGAATGAGTGGTTCGAGGGGGGCAGTCGCGTGCGGCTGCAGGAACGATGTCGATCACGGGATAACAACGGTGCTTCCAAGTCGGTGTGTTTGCTACAGACTGACTTTTCCGATTGTCTGACCAGTGTAGGTCGCAAAGCAGGTGCGCGGTTATCGTGGTCGTAGGTTCTATTTGGACGCTTTGGTGCGTGGGAACAGACAAACAGCAAGGTATTTTGGTGACCCTTGGGCAATGACGCTTAAGCCGCTGACTAAGTGGGTACGCTGAATGAGGCAGAAACACAGTGGTCGAGTTCTGGTAGTTGTCTTCTTTCTGTCAATACGTACTATACCACAATTTTTGAACAAAATCCTCGAATACACAGGTGTTCTACGTCAAGTGAATTGTTACAGTTCTGGCTGAAATACTGTCTACAAATGCATCTGTATTGCTACAGAGCCCGCAGAACAAAATGCCTGTCTCTTTACAAGAACTGACATCCATAGTTTCTGCGATCTAGATAAAGTCACCACCACCAAAGCCTCCGAATGGATTAGGCGGGCGTCCTCCTCCAAACCCACCTCCACCTGGAAATCGACCTGGACCTCCTCTCAGATTTGGCGGTCCATCACCCGGCCCAACAGGATCATATCGTGCCCCTGGAGGAGCTCTTGGGTCATAGCCTGCCGGACCACCTTGACCTTGGAACAGAGGATCATCGAAGGTAGGATGCATGCCTCCACCACCCCTATAACCACCTCCTGGACCTATTCTCAGAGGATCATGCGGACCGAGACCTGGTGGATATAGGTCCTGCTCTCCAATGTTGCCAAAAGGCTGTCCGAAATTTGGTGGCATTCTTCCCGCAGGTCTTTGCAAGTCGTATTCATCTTCAAACCCCGGTGGAGCAAAATCCGGGGTTGGTCCCGGCCTTCGAGGAGCAGCCGCTAGCGGATCGTCGAATGGGTAAGGTCTTGCAGGTCTCGGCTGATCATCGCGCAGAGGGTCTCGGTCAGGTCGTCTATCCTCCTCAGGTCGTAGAGGCTGGCGCGTGGCTGAAGAAGCTGCTTCCCTTTCAGCTGTGTTCGTCGACTCTTCGTATCCTTCCTTCCTCAAGCCCGGAATCAGCTTCTGAATGATGTTGAGTCTGAGAAGCGAGCTAAGGTCTTCTATCCGTCCAGATGAAATAAAGGCATTCTTTATACTGTCTCTCTCATCCTTCTTGACATCCTTCAACGAGTTTTCGGAGGTATAGTCTTGTGCTTTGATCTCCAGCTGTGCAGTCTTATCGTCACCCAAGCCGACCCCGAGTATTATGGCCTTCCCGCCCAGCCTTGTCACCTTCAGCAGGAACTCCATGGAGGATTGTGGGTGCGTATATCGAAAAGCGTAACTCGAATGCTGGTCCCATTCTGTCGGTAACGGTTGTGTGTTGGCTGGTTCTGAATGTGCTTCAATCTTGTCATCCTCACCGAGTCCGACTAACCGAAAGCCTACAGCTAGCATGCAAGCATGTGAGAGAAGGGCAAGAGCTGAGTATACATTCTTGAGTGACGGCTTGTCTGATTGGTCTGCAGGTATTGACTGCGAGATGTACGAGACGAGTGAATCTGCGCTCAGGGCTGATGGGTTTGACGCCATGATTGAATTTCATGTAAATATACTTGCAGTTACATCTGTGAGCAGGGGCGTCGATCACAGGAAACCGTCAATGCATATGTGATAGGTTGAAGTTGTACGCGTATGACCGCCTGCGATGCATGCTTCAGGTGTTTGGAGACGACAACATTTCAGGCATCAACACGGTGGGGAGAGGCCGCATGGCTTGATGATGTCATGGGCCGTGCTCATGGAGCAAAAATTGTCCGCTTTGCGATCTCTCTCTCTTCTGTTCGTCTATGAACGACTGCACAACAAGCCATTCAGAAACCTGTATTGTACAAGCCTTGGTGATTTAGATCAATCAGAAGAGGACGATGATAATGCTATCACATCTGGAAGTACCGCACGATCTTGCACTGTAAACTAGGCGCACGAGTCGTTCAGGGCGGACGAGCTTTTAGTCCACGCCGAGAACGCCTCGGTCGGTATTTGAACAGCCCGAGTGAAGGTAATAGCCAACGTCTCCCATTCATACACTCTTACAACAATGATTCGAGGGGTTTGCGTGTTCACTTGTGACATCGGTGTCCGCGCACCGATGAGCCTTTGCAGTGCTACTCTGCCCGCGTTCTATTTCTCGGTTTGCTTACTAACTTCCTAACCTTGTGCCGCGTGGTTTTACAATGAAGACCTTTGTAAGCACACGGGAGCACGAAGCACTTCCCTATAACATGACTGAATCTACCTTTCTCTCCTTACTTTTTCGATGACAGGAGTTGCTCTCACCTTCAATCCACCATATACGCTAGCCCACGAACAATTCCCCCTTCCTTGCTGTAACGGCATCATACCCATTACCGAAGACCCGCCTTACACTAAACAACTAGCATAAATAGCTGAAGATTCCCAGAATGGTGGCCGCTTGGAGGCAAAGAGTTCATGTGGCTCAGGGATTTCCGAAATCAAATACCGATACCGCACCCACAGCAGTCTTCTTGTCTTTGTTCTTCCTCTCAGCACTCAGCCATGCCTTTATATTCATCAGAAACAAGAAGCGGGGCCATCTCTTCGTCTTCAACGGCCTTTGCATCGGCTTCTGTATGGCAAGAGTGGTCACTTGCTGCCTCCGGCTCGGGTGGATTTACGATATCGAGAACAGAGGTTTAGGCATATCCGCTACCATCTTCGTCGCTGCTGGTGTGCTGTTGCTGTTCATTGTCAACCTAGTGTTCGCGCAGAGGATACTTCGAGGCCTCCATCCGAATGTCGGCTGGCAGAAAGCGCTATCAAGGTGCTTCCTTGTCCTCTATCTTCTCATTCCTGCGCTGCTTGCAATGGTCGTCACCGCAACGACACAACTGTTCTTCACGACCAATCGAAACATCGTCAGAATAGATATCAACATTCAGAGAGCAGCTTCCTCGTACTTCCTATTTGTATCTCTTCTCCCAGTTCCAATCACAGCTTTCGCCTTGCTCTACCCTCAAAGGTCCGAACCAGATCACTTCGGCAAAGGCGCTTTCTGGCTCAAGTCAGCCGTGGTCCTCAGTGCAAGCTTGATCCTATCTCTGGGCGCGGCATTTAGGACTGCTACTGCATCTTACGATTGGAAACCAGAGTATAACACGAACCCACCATGGTACAATGCTAAATGGTGCTTCTACTTCTTCAACTTCACCCTCGAACTCATCGTCGTTCTCATGTATCTGGTCCTTCGCATCGACCTCCTCTTCCATATACCAAACGGAAGCAAATGTCCTGGTAGTTACTCAAGATACAGCAAAGAAAGCACAGGCAACGAGGACGTTGAGACTAGAGGTCTGCAGCGAAGATCAACAGACATCATGTCACAAGACTCGAGAGTACCTGGAAGTCCTGTCAACGTGTCTGCGGCCGAGAAGGAAAGTCCTTGAGAGTTAGGAGTACACGTCTTTGAGCACAGTGTTTTCAGCGTCGAATTGTCAAGTGTGGGGAATTATGATGGTTGGGATTTGTGAATATAGGAAGTCAAGTAGAACAAACACATGTACATATATTCATTCTTACGCATTACTGTCATCTGGTTATTTTCAAGTAGACCGATGTCTGGTAACAACGAACGAGAACGACGTAGAAATGGTGCAAAAGCAGGTTTTCCGAAAACCCTGATTTTACCCAGACGACACCCAAATGAGCTAGTAAACTTTAACGAACACGCTTTTCGCATTCCAACAACACGCGTTGCTAGTCACGAAGTACAACAATCACATTATTTTCAATGACAATATTCGGACGAGGTTGGTTCAATTAAAGCTTCTCATCAACTGTTTCCATTCAAAATACTCGTATACTGTCTGCAACGTGCGAACAAGACAGCGATCGTGCCAGTGATGGACATGCTTACCCCATCGTACACCAACCGCGCAATCAACCAGTAACAAGTTCGAATGTAAGCACAAGAAATCAGGAAGTTGGGAGGACGGTGGGCACTTCCATTTCTTACTTCGATTTTCATCAAGACTTGAACCTCCTCAAACCGCTCGCACTTTCGCGGCAAGTAATCGATCACATATCTTGTAGATCGGATCTGCTCTACTCAGCTCTTCGACATTTCAGCTGAATAGGACGCTGGAAACCCACACGAGTCTGTTGGCAATCGACAAATCTAAGCAAATCTCCAGCTATGCCACCAAAATCGGGGCTCCGGCCACGAGCAGCTACTCCAGCACGATCGACAAGAGCTGCCACCACAACGCTTCCAGACACTCCTGGCACGCGAAGGTCAACAAGAGGTGCAACTCGTTTGTCGGTCGCTCCTAGGGATGTCATATCGAATCCAGCCTTACCAGAAATTCAAACACAGCAGTCCTATGCTTACGGGTCGTCAAAGACACCAGCGCTTCCAGAACAGCTACATGCGCAAGATATGAAAAGACGCGCTGTCGAGAATCGACTCAATGCTGCGGTAGACGAAGCCGAGCGCAACTTTGAAGCACATGCTGCCGAATTGAGAAGTCACAGTCCTGAGTCGCAAAAGGCCGCCCGAGCGGACAGAGCACAGAGAAGGGCATCGAAAGAAGCACCTCAAAGGCCGATAACTTCATCAACACCTGATAATGTCAGGAAGCAGAATCGTACTGCGGCTTGGATCGATGACAGTCAACTAGATGACATACCCGAAGAAGAAACACGGCACGATAGTCCGGAAAGCCAACCACAAACGCCACCTGTAGACCGAGCAGGATCAGAACCATCGAGTCTCCCTACTGGAAGTCTTGACCACAGTTACAACTACGAAAGAGGGTTACGGCGTCCCAACCTGCCACAACCCGAGCCTGAGATACGACCCAATACCGTGCCTCAGCAACCACCCGAGCGGCAGACCCAAACATTGAGTGCACAACGACACGTTTCCCTCGGTTCAAGAGCATACTCGGCTTGTCAGCGAACGTTGATGGCATTTGTAAGATTGACTAGGAGCGCATTCAGCGCAATATGGCAATGGATAAGTAGGATGATCCATATGATGCAGAAGTCCATACTCGAAATTCCTGATTCGCCTATCACCGCAGCACTCTTCAAAACGGTTTTCATGATCGCTGTTTTTGGTATTAGCGGTCTAGCCTTCTGCACCATCTTCACTCGCACTTGCGATGCAGCGTCGACCTCAATTGTGTCGCAGACTCTACAGCAACTCTGTGGTCAATGCAGAACATCCGAATTGCCACAATTATCGACATGGAACCTGACACACGCAAGTCCTAATGACATGAATGCACTGCTGAGTGCCCTTAGACAAACACAGTCTCAAATTTCACAAATCGAGACACGCCTTAACTCCAGAATAGACACATCGCTAGCATCTACTTCGGCCGATGCAGCAGCGCTAAGATCGCACCAAGCAGCTCTCGAGCTACAGATAAATCGCTTAAACGAACAGCACCATCCAACGGCTCTATCAGCGTCCTCGCACGACGTTGCCTCACCACTAATAAAGAAGATGAACTTCTTCTCTCCTTCTTCCGGAGCCATAATAATACCCAGCCTCACATCACCAACTCTCACACAGCGCCACTGGCTCCCCTACAAAGTCGGGCTCCGCATGATAGGTCTCCGCAAAACAATCTCCCCACCGCCCGTGACAGCACTCGAGACATGGCACGACGAAGGTGATCGCTGGTGTGCTGCGAGCGTGCCTCGACCATCCCCAAACAGTGCTAAGCCTCAAGCACCCAGCATCCGCCAGGACAGCATGCGTCTCGCGATACAAACCTCACAGCATATCTACCCAACCGAGCTAGTAGTCGAACACTTCCCAAGTTCCGCCTCATTGGAACCTGGCACAGCACCCAGAGACATCGAGCTCTGGGCCGACTTTGCAGACCTAAGCTATCAAGAATGGACGAAGTTGCACATCCAAGATCTGATTGACGAGTCGTCGGCAGACAACTTCTTCCCATCTACCGACAGCAGCGCCGGCGCAAAGACCTGGGCACGCATCGGAACCGCCACGTATGCGACCTCCGCTGTATCAGACACAAACAAAGCAGGATCAGGGTCAGAGTATGTCATGTCCGCAGACGAGACCTACGGTCAAGCCAGCAGAAACAACAAAGACAGTATGCGCGGCAGGAACCATGCACGAGAAGAGGTAGAGGTAGATCACGTGCAGAGATTCAACTTGAATGTGAACCAGCATGGTTTACTGCACTATACTAATCGGTTCTTGGTCAGGGTGAGGACGAATCATGGCAGCGATCATACGTGTTTGTATCGGGTGCGGTTGCATGGGTTGCCGTTGAATTGGGAGGACAGATAGCAGGCTTGGAACACGGGACTTCGGGATTGTCTTGTTTGTTTTTGAGAAGTAGTTTGTGGGTGGTTATTTTAGTTGGTTGTCACCCTGTGAATACGCAGGTAAACATGGCCACGCCCATGGATCTATTCGCAGGTCCTGAAAGAGCTTTCACATTCTCGCGTGCTTGGTTTCATTAATTGTTTCCATTGGCGAGTCGCAGTTCAGCAATAAAGCCAAATTTTACGATTTTCTGCAATTTTATTCGTAGGGAATCACATGCCAAGATAAGATACGAGCTCAAGTTACCTGACCCTAAAGCTGGTGCAGATACACCACTTGGGAAGGAATTTAGACGGTGATACACAACTTATAGTTATTGATAGAATGGGACATTCTACTGAAGAAATATGCGAATACAGCTCAAGCAAAAGAATATGCATATCTAGGCTCTTTACGTCCTGATGATTGATGGTCCTTGTGCGTTGCGCGTCTTTCCTTTACTTACTCTTTGGAATTGTCAGGATGCGTCCGAGTTTCGGTATCGGGCTTGCGCTCTTCCCTGATCGTACTAGCAGGACTGTCAATTGTGACTTGAACAGTGCTTGGCTCATCTGCTGCTTCGTCTCTACCATTTGAAGCTGCGTCACCAGCCAATTTTGAATCACTTTTCTCGGCTGTCTCGACTTGATTGTTCCTGTGCCCACCAGAGAAAGCGCTCACATTATCAGAAGACCGCGTAGATGTTTCCTGACGCTCTTTGAACCTCTTGTTAGGACGCTTCTGAGCCTGGATTTGTGCAGCGTTGTCCCTGTCTGGACTTCTCTGTCGACTTGCTAAACCACTGCCAACCTGCCTCATACTCTCTCTGACCTCATGCACAACATCTCGAAAACCTTCCTCGAGCGAATTCATACGTGCCATCATCAGCCGTCCAAACAGCTCATTGTTGTCGTGTCGTCGCTTCTCTTCGTCTTCCCGCAGCTGATGCTGTGATCTACGCATAGCGTTCGTGGCGTGCGCCATCTGACTCGCGAATGAGGAAGGTATGGCACCGACGTAACCGCCACCAATTGCTTTGTTATCACCAATATCTGAGACGAGATCCACCTCCAGACTCGAGCGGCGGGGTCTTCCGGGAGATGCTCGTCTGTCAGCGCGATCATGTGGCAGTGCATGAAGGTTCGCCATATCAGGGACAGATCGAAAAGCGGCACTATTTCTGGGCGGCAGGCTGGTGCGCTCAATCGACACCGGAAGACCTCGTCTTGGACTCCTACGACCTTGGCCAGATGAGGGCTTTAAGGATGGCGACTGCGATCGTGCAGCTATAGCCTTGGGAGATTTCCGTTTGGGTGATTCGTTGATAGTGTTTCCACCAACACGTTCATCAGATTCCGAGCCAGCAGGGGGGTTATAGATCATAGTCGCTGAAGACACATTGCGCATGTGCTGCGGACGATTGCGTCGACCCGGGGGTCGCAAAAACTGCACACCTCCTTGTCGACTACCAGCAGAGGTCGTAGAACCGACAAGATAAGGACTTTGTATTGAGGCCGCTGGAGTCGCGAAGTTATCTCGAGGAATTAGCTTGATGAATGAGCCTGTGTGCAGATCAGAAGGAGCCACGTTAGTATCGTTGTCCTCTTCGTGCTCGTTCGTCATCAGCTCGTCGTCGCCGTCAGCATCTGTCTGTTGAGCAGGCAGATCGAGTCCTGATGGTGTCATATCTGCAGCAGGAAGCAAGAATGCATGTGACGACATTAGATCAGCGTGTGATGTGAGATCGTTTGGATCGGAAGCCACAGACGTCGGTCTTTTCGAGAGCGAAAAGTCGCGAATATGGTAAGTATTTAATCTGCGAGAGCCGAGATGTCTTCTTTCAAGCTTATCCACCACTTTGCGGTCTTGTTCTTGCGGAGGCTCTGCATCCTCATCGTCCATTGTGTTTATCCAATTGTCAACAGTGTTGGTAGACTTATGCTGTTCTCTACTCCTTGTGGATCGGAAGGTAGCTTGTCTGAAGACCTCTTCCAGGGCAGCTTCCTGTCGGAAGGTGGCTATCGAAGGCTCTCTCATCAATCGGGGAAGGCGTTCTGAGAACGTTCTTCGAACACGGCCTTTATTCTCCACCAGGTCGATACTATCGACATATCGGGCTCGTAATAAGAATCTCTCGTACAAATATATAGTCCACAGAATTGGCAAATGGGTGACTTTGATGATAGTGCGGTTGACTTTGAGATACTGCCTGAAGGGTAAAATGTACCTTAAAGGAGTGACAAGCCACTGCAGTACATTCAGAGGAGGAATATAGGCAAACAAAGAATCTGATTTGACATTGCTGATGACGTTAATAGCGAAGAGATTATGGTGCTCTTCGTTGGAATTTCGCACAATCTCCATGAAAGAATTGGTCATGACGGTGATGAGGATTGTGACTACCACAAAGTGACAAACAAACAAGAAGAGCACCAAGACCATCTTGCCCAGAATGTTGTAGTCCGTCCATCGGTCCCACGCAGCGGGCGTGAAACCAAGCAGCATCTGCAGTAGAGCATAAGCAACGTCTTTGGGAGTGTCTGTTTGGGGACCACGACTGAAAGCGAAAGTTAGAGCGACCAGAAACCCACTGCAAAAGACGATGATAAGGAGGAATATTGCGACCATGTCGGCAGCCATCATGCGGAAGGCTATGATAAGCTGGGAAAAGTATCTGTAATGATCTAAGACACTGAAGAGCCGGGGAAAGAGGAGGACCGCACTCGCAGCAAGGACATCATAGGACAACTTGGCAATATAGTGTTTGTTCTCATTATCATCAGGAAGGACGACTCCATAGAGCCTTAAGCATAGGTGAACAAATAGGAGAACCAAGATGCCAAGGTCGAAAGTATTCCAAAAGCTAGCCATATACAAGCTGAAACCTTGCTCGTTGAAGCCAATAACCTCATCCAACATGTATCCAGCAGTCCAGGCCCAGAAGACCAACTCCAGTGTTGTGATGTCCAAAGACTTGTCCTCGAGAACTGTAATAAATAAGATGAGGAGGATAGCGAAAGAGAAAGTATTTAGGATGTTCCTATAGCGAGGGACACGGAGCCTGGAGAGTTTGAACAGCGACGCCTCACGTGGATTGTACAATGTGGCAGTTCGATTGCTGGTAGATGACGGTACAGCAAGTAAGGTGGAGGAATGTGTACCGTACAATTGCTGAGGAGCCAGGGAGCGCTTGCGATGCATGCTGTCGGCCAGCGAATGGAAAACAATGGTGCCGTTCCAGATGGCTTGAAGGTGCTGAATGACTAAGGGATGTGAGAGGTAGCGCTTGGCTGAGGCTCGAATAGCAACCTCGATGCAAGAGATACGGGCAGGCCTAGGAGCCGCGTATCGGCGACCTCCAGCAGGAAGCATTGGCTCAGTCGACGGCTGACCTTGTAGAGGATCAAAATCATAGGAAAGTGCATCGATCAATTCGTGAGTAGTACACTCTCTGACCAGCCTGATAGCAATGAGCTCACAGAGCATTGCACGAGTTTTATTCGTGCCACTGTTTCCAGGGAGTATGCCAGCCTCTTTGTTGAATTGTAAAGCATTGGCCATGAGAGCGTATTGGGTAGCCGAGTTCATATGATTCTGTCTGATTTCCTGCTGAATAGGCTTGACCAAAAATTGTGATACTTGAGGAGATCGCAGCTGCTCCCAGGTCAGGACCGTATCGCATCTTTCAACGACCATCTCTCGGAATAAATGCGTCATTGTGAAGACGGGTAGGACATCGAGATCAGCCGAGGAGAAAATAGGCAATAGAGGAGCCTCTTCTCTGTCGTGAGCAGACGAGCCGCCGTCTTCGTCCACCAGCTCTTCCTCCTCTTCTGAATCATCCTCTTCTTCGGTGTCATCGTTGTCCGCGTCCTGAGGAAGGTGCTGACGATCGCGCTCGCGGTATTGGGACAAGATTCTTTTTCTGCCGCTTGATGTCTTTGGATGGTTCTTGGGAAGAGTAGTAGTACGCGTTGTACGTCTGTCTGAAGCATTGTTGTTACTCGAGAATTGCCGCTTGATTGACCTGGTCAGCATCGAGAACATTGTGTTAGGTTTGAGGCATGCTCCTGTGCTGTAGATCGCTTGTTGTCCTGTCCCTACGTGCTGATCAGCTCAGGTGATATCGATGCTGCACAGACCAACAACAAAAAACCAAGGCAACAAAACAAGCAAGGAACGACTGGCACGAAGCATAGACAACAGGATAGATAAATAAGTAGTGTTAGATCAGCGTGTGGCCTGAAGGACATCGAACAATTGTTTATCTTGCACATCGCCCAGCTCCACCCCCCTGTCAGCCGCTCCTTCCTTGGTATTGTTTGGCTCATCGCGCCTGCCCGCATCGAAGCACCGCACCTGCACCAAGATGCGGTATTCTTTGGCAAGAGCAGAGGCAATCGTTGATTCTTAGACCGACAATATGTGGGTGACATCAAGCTGTTAGGTATGGCGTGCCCCCAGAGATAAAGCACGACGTTCAGAGAGCATAATCTATTGGTCCGTATTCACGACACGATCAAGCTTATGCACGACACATTCCCAAACCAAGGTCATGTGCTTGCCCCCACACTATCCATGCTGTCTGCAATCCCTCTTCGTCGGCTCTATCACCTCCACTTACTAATAGCCTATCTCGGGAGACTTTTGTGGTCCATCACGACTCATGTTCGAAGCAAGATCCATGGAACGAAGTTCGCGCGGCTATGATTTCCGAACGGCCACTCATCTGCCTGATTCTATTATACCCACTAGCGTTCTTGATACCAGTATTTCGATCCTGCCAATTTGTCCAGCATTCTATACAGTGATGTTCATTTTTCTTTGTGCTGCTTTTGTCTACATGCCCCGCGAAGTCACCGGTGACCATGGTTCCTCCATCTTGAGCTACTGAAGGAAAGCTATAATTGTGGCATTCATATCTCTGACAACCAGTCGAATATGAGAGCATGAGAATGGACTCTGGTACAGTATTCTATCTCAGCAACGCGTCATGTGGCTCAGCTCCTTGTTCAGCAGACAAAGCGTCCATCGAAGAGTTAGGGCAGGCGTCGTTATGAAGCCGGCGCTATCATGCTTCTAGCCTCCTAACCAAATCGACTCAATCACATTACACGGGAAAGAGTGTTGCGATGTTGGCCGGACCCCATGCACTGGTGGTTGACGTACCTGGTCGTTACTATTTTCGGCAAGTAGAGAGGTTGAGCAGCTCTTGCACCATCTACACGACGGAAACCTAGTCTTCGAGAAGCGCACCGAAGACGACAATGTACGGGCGGGTAAGCTCCAAGCAAAATGAGCCACTAAGGCAGACGGCAGTATGTCCCAGAGTCGTCGCCCAAGCCTCAATTAGACCTGCAGCATTGTAAGGGTTTACGACCCCGATTCCTCTACTCATCAAGTCTCTTCTGAGCATCAATGCTCCTTCATGCGACTGTGTAAATCAAGTCCGTGATGGTCATTCTTTGCTCTTCGATGACAGCAGTGCTCGTATAAGGACGTGTCTCTAATGTCCAAAGAATCCGCAACAGGTGTGGGGAGCACTAGATCGACCTTGCGTCACTAGCGTTTCGTATGGAGAGCTAAGCCAAGTCGGGTTAGAACGTTAAAAGTGCTATGCTTCAGCTTATTTTTCTGGTTTTGGGTTTTAACAAATTTTTGGGTCAGCTCACCGACATCCTTGTCTCGCTCTACTTACGTCTTGTTTTAGCAAGCTACTTTGGCAAAAAGAAGCACGCAAATAGTATTACTGTCCATGCGGCCATAGATACATACTTTGAGGCTGAGCCCTCTCGAGGTTTGAAGATATCTCAGCACCTTTAACTATGAATGGCACAGTCGACCCAGACGGCACGATGCCGGATGGGCTTTCACCAGCCAGTAATGTACCATTAGATACTACACCAGTCCGAACATCAATCTCACACTCGTCGGCTCGCCGACTCATTCCTCCCATTTCCCAAATGGCTACATCTCACCTCACCGAGCAATCTGAGCGAAAAGTCTTTCTGGAACTCCAAGATGGTGATGTGTATGAGGGATTCAGCTTCGGTGCTGACAAAAGTGTATCTGGAGAGCTCGTTTTTCAGACAGGCATGGTCGGCTACCCTGAATCAGTTACAGATCCCTCATATAGAGGTCAGTTACTGGTGGTGACATTTCCGTTGGTAGGCAACTATGGCGTACCAGCTCGCGACGCTATGGACGAAGTGCTGAAAGACCTACCAAAGTACTTTGAATCTGAGGAGATCCATGTAGCAGGGTTAATTATTGCTACCTACGCAGGAGAGCAGTATTCTCATCATCTTGCAAAGTCATCTCTTGGCCAATGGCTAAAGGAACAGGGTGTGCCTGCAATGTATGGGGTGGATACTCGAGCTCTGACCAAGGTCATCAGAGAAGAGGGAGCTATGCTCGGCCGGATGTTGATTGCTCGATCCACTACAGACGACTCAACAGGACATGCAGCAGTGACGAATGGTGTGAACGGCATCAACGGTCTCAACGGATTGGGTCCTCGTCATTGGCGAGATGATGTGCAGGAGGCGCCCTGGCAAGATCAAAACAAGAAGAATCTGGTCGCAGAAGTGTCAATCAAACAACCAAAATTGTACAAACCAGATGCGAGCACAGCCCTATTTCATCCATCGGGTCGTCCGGTTCGTGTGGTTGTGGTAGATGTAGGTATGAAATTCAACCAGCTAAGATGCTTCTTACGACGTGGAGTCGAAGCTCTGGTAGTGCCTTGGGACTACAACTTCCCAGCTCTTGCTGGCAAAGATTATGACGGCTTGTTCATTTCTAACGGTCCCGGCGATCCAGCCATGATGACTGATACAGTCAACCATATTGCAGAGGCAATGAAAGAGGGCAGAACACCTGTCTTTGGCATTTGCTTAGGCCACCAACTCTTAGCAAGAGCTGCTGGTGCTGGCACCCTAAAAATGAAATTTGGCAACCGTGGTGCAAACATTCCCTGCACAAACCTGCTGTCAGGACGGTGTTACATCACTTCGCAGAATCATGGTTTCGCTGTCGACTCAATGACTCTACCACAAGGATGGGAGGAACTATTTGTGAACGCCAACGATGGTAGCAACGAAGGCATTCGCCATATATCAAGACCCTACTTCAGTGTACAATTTCATCCTGAAAGTACACCTGGTCCACGAGACACAGAATTTTTGTTTGATGTCTTTATTGACGCCATCATGAAATCGCTCCGATCGGTCAATGCCTTGCTTGAGCCTGTGTCTTTCCCAGGTGGAACAGCCGAGCAAAACGAGAAGGCCCACCCAAGAGTCAGTGTCAAAAAAGTGCTCGTTTTGGGCAGTGGTGGTTTGAGCATTGGTCAGGCCGGCGAGTTCGATTACTCTGGCAGTCAGGCCATCAAGGCGCTGAAGCAAGAAGGCATCTACACTGTCTTGATTAATCCAAACATTGCGACAATTCAAACCTCGAAAGGTCTTGCTGACAAGGTTTACTTTCTGCCAGTCAATGCCGAATTCGTAAGGAAGGTCATCAAACATGAACGACCAGATGCCATTTACTGCACCTTTGGTGGTCAGACTGCTTTACAAGTTGGAATACAGCTCAAGGATGAGTTTGAAGAGTTAGGTGTCAAAGTGCTCGGTACTCCAATAGAAACGATCATCACCACAGAAGATCGTGAATTATTCGCACGCAGCATGGAATCTATTGGTGAGAAGTGTGCCAAGTCCGCTTCAGCCTTGAACCTAGAGGAAGCTCTCCATGTGGTCAAAGACATTGGCTTTCCAGTCATCGTTCGAGCTGCGTATGCTCTAGGTGGACTTGGTAGCGGGTTCGCTAATAATGAGGATGAGCTGCGAGCACTTTGTAGCAAAGCATTTGCTGCCAGTCCACAAGTTCTAATCGAACGCAGCATGAAGGGCTGGAAGGAGATCGAGTACGAGGTTGTTAGAGATGCACGCGACAATTGTGTTACGGTCTGTAACATGGAGAACTTTGACCCTCTGGGCATCCATACTGGTGATTCTATCGTTGTGGCACCCTCACAGACTCTCTCTGACGAAGACTACAACATGCTACGTACCACCGCTGTCAATGTGATCAGACATCTAGGCGTTGTTGGTGAGTGCAACATCCAATATGCCCTGAACCCTTTCTCGAAAGAATACTGCATCATCGAAGTCAACGCTCGTCTGTCTAGGTCTTCGGCATTGGCATCGAAAGCAACTGGTTATCCTCTCGCCTTTATTGCGGCCAAGCTTGGTCTAGGTATTCCTCTGAACGAGATATCTAATTCAGTGACGAAAAAGACAGTGGCTTGTTTCGAGCCATCACTTGACTATGTCGTTGTGAAGATTCCGAGATGGGATCTCAAGAAGTTTACACGAGTGTCCACGCAGCTTGGCTCCTCTATGAAGAGTGTCGGCGAGGTTATGGCGATTGGCAGAACTTTCGAAGAGGCTATTCAGAAAGCCATCCGCTCCGTGGACTTTCACAATTTAGGATTTTCTGAGAATCCTAATCCCCTTATGTCCATTGATGATGAGCTTCAAACACCATCTGATCAACGTATGTTTGCAATCGCGAATGCCATGCATGCTGGCTATTCTGTGGACAAAATCTGGGAGATGACTCAGATTGACAAGTGGTTCCTCTACCGGCTGAAAGGTCTCAGTGATTTTGCTAAATATATGTCCAAATACAGTCTTGGATCAGTCACACCGACATTGCTCAAGCAAGCGAAACAACTCGGCTTCTCAGACCGCCAGCTGGCAAGATATTGGAACTCGAACGAGCTTGCCGTACGTCGTCTGAGGGTTGAAAACGGTGTTCAACCTGTGGTCAAGCAGATAGATACGGTTGCGGCAGAATTTCCAGCTTACACCAACTACCTGTACCTGACCTACAACGGTTCGGAAAGTGACGTCGACTTCACGGATAAGGGTATTATGGTTCTAGGCTCAGGAGTGTATCGTATCGGTTCCTCTGTGGAGTTTGACTGGTGCTCAGTAAGAGCGATTCGCACATTGAGGCAGCAAGGATACAAGACGGTCATGGTGAACTACAATCCTGAGACTGTAAGTACAGATTATGATGAGGCCGACCGCCTCTACTTCGAGAACATCAACCTCGAGACAGTTCTTGACGTGTATCAATTGGAATCGTCCAGTGGTGTCATCATCTCCATGGGTGGGCAGACACCAAACAATATTGCACTGCCACTGCACAGACTGAACGTGAAGATCCTGGGAACTTCTCCGGAGATGATTGATAACGCCGAGAACCGTTGGAAATTTTCTCGAATGCTTGATCGAATAGGTGTTGATCAACCGGAATGGAAAGAACTCAGTAGTATCGAAGAAGCGCTCGCGTTCTGCGAAAGAGTCAAATATCCTGTGCTCGTAAGACCTTCTTACGTGCTTTCTGGAGCCGCGATGAATACGGTCTACTCGAAAGCTGACCTGGCTAACTTCCTGAATCAAGCAGTAGAGGTCTCGAGAGAACACCCTGTGGTCATCACCAAGTACATCGAAGATGCAAAGGAAATTGAGATGGATGCTGTTGCCAAAGATGGTGTCATGGTAGGGCATTTCATCTCCGAGCATGTTGAAAATGCTGGGGTTCACTCAGGAGACGCTACCCTGATCTGTCCACCACAAGATCTCGAAGACGAAACAATCGCCAAGATTGAAGAGGCAACTCGCAAGATTGGAGATGCTCTGAACGTGACAGGTCCTTACAACATCCAATTCATTGCCAAGGAAAATGCCATCAAGGTCATTGAGTGCAATGTTCGAGCTTCGCGGTCGACTCCGTTTGTATCTAAAGTCATGGGGCTGGACTTGATTGAGATGGCAACGAAAGTAATCATGGACAAGCCAGTCGAACCTTACCCTAAACTCAATATTCCCAAAGACTATGTCGGCGTCAAAGCTCCCCAATTCTCGTTCTCACGCCTGTCAGGCGCTGATCCGGTATTGGGTGTCGAGATGGCTTCGACTGGCGAAGTGGCATCCTTCGGCAAGGACAGATGGGAGGCTTATTTGAAGGCCACAATCTCGACCGGCTTCAAGCTCCCGCGAAAGAATATTCTGCTATCCATTGGATCTTTCAAGGACAAGATGGAAATGTTACCTTCGGTCCAGAAACTCGACCAACTCGGCTTCAACCTCTTTGCCACCGCTGGCACTGCAGACTTCCTGGAGGAGCATGGTGTGAAGGCCAAGTTTTTGGAAGTGCTTGGCCGTGACGATAAGGACCAGCGCTCAGAATACTCGTTGACACAGCATTTGGCAAACAACATGATCGACCTCTATATCAACCTCCCTTCTGCAAACAAGTTCAGACGACCAGCGACCTATATGAGTAAGGGCTATCGAACTCGAAGAATGGCCGTGGATTACCAAACTCCTTTGATCACGAACGTAAAAATCGCCAAGATCCTGGTCGAGGCTATAGCACGACACTATGATCTGAAAATTCGGAACATTGACTTCCAGACAAGTCATAGAACGATTGCTTTGCCAGGCATGATCAATATTGGGGCTTTCATACCTGGTGTTGCACAAAGAGGTTCGCATGACTTCAAATTAGTTACCAAAGCGTCCATTGCAGCAGGCTTCAGTATGATTCGAGTTATGCCAATAGGATTTGAGACAGCTATTACCGATGCTAGAACGCTGAAGATGGCACAACTTAACTGCGAGCGAGGAGCCTACTGTGACTTCAATTTCTCGGTGACTGCAACACTGGACAATTCAGAACAGATTAAGAATGTCATTGACGAGGTTGGTGCGATGTATCTGCCTTTCAACTCCTTATCTGGCAATATCAACAAGGTGGCTTTGGTAACCTCTCACTTTGCAGTGTGGCCTGAAGAAAAGGCTATTGTCACAGATGCAAAAACAACTGATCTGGCTTCGGTCCTGTTGCTCGCTAGTCTGCACGGGAGAAAAGTGCACGTAACATCAGTCACATCCAAGGACGACATCAACATCATTGCTTTAGCCAAAGAAAAAGGCTTGAAAGTCACCTGCGATGTGGCGGTTTACAGCCTCTTTTTGTCTCAAGCTGATTATCCAGATTGTTCAGCACTGCCCACACTAGAAGACCAGGAAGCATTGTGGGCCCAGATGAACGCCATCGATGCTTTCTCAACTGGCAGCATTCCTTACCAGATTGCCGGAAGTGAGGCTGTCCCAACTGTGGGTATTGCAGACGCTCTACCCTTGCTATTCACTGCCGTGGCAGACAGCAGGCTTACAATTGAGGATGTGACTCAACGTCTATACGACAATCCCAAGAAGATCTTCGAACTTCACGAGCAACATGCCACACAAATCGAAGTGGATATTGATCGGCCATATGTACTACAAGCTGGAAGTGTCTGGTCACCTTTCGTTGGCAGGACATTGAAGGGTACTGTCTCAAGGGTCACATTCACTGGCAGAACTGCTTGTCTCGACGGTGAACCTACACTAGAGAGTCCACGAGGCTCTGATATGTCGTCACATGTGTTACATCCACAGTCCCCCTTAGCTCTGAAAGCAGTGCAGTCGCCTATTATTCGAGCACAAGAAAGTCCTTTCGGACGACGTGGTACCCTTGCCGATCTGTCAACGTCGCGCAGATTCTCAACCACTCAAAGACTTCGACCACAACCTCTGGCTACCCCTGCACGTGATCTTGATGAAACACCAGATACACCCGTCATTCCGCAACAATCAGCACTCTTGTATCAGCCACAAGCAGTGACAGATGTTTCACCATCGTTGATGTCTTTGCTGGCGAGCTCGCCGTTCAAGAACAAGCATATCCTGTCGGTGTCACAGTTCGACCGCAAAGCCCTTCATCTGCTTTTCACGGTTGCTCAAGAGATGCGTCTTGGTGTACAACGCAGTGGTATTGTGCCTATTCTGTCAAACCGCGTGCTCTGCACCATGTTCTATGAGCCGTCAACCAGAACATCTGCCTCGTTCGACGCAGCCATGCAACGTCTTGGAGGTCGAGTGATCGTGATCAACACAGAGCATTCGTCTACCAAGAAGGGAGAAACTCTTCAGGACACGGTTCGTACACTTGGTTGTTATGGAGACGTGGTTGTGCTGCGACATCCTAGTGATGATAGCGCATCAGTAGCAGCCAAGTACTCTACGGTGCCAATCATCAATGGTGGAAACGGAGCTCGAGAGCACCCCACGCAGGCGTTCCTAGACCTTTTCACAATACGTGAGGAATTGGGTACTGTGACGGGATTGACTGTAACATTCACAGGTGACCTCAAGTATGGTCGCACTGTGCACTCACTGGTCAAGCTTCTTCAGTACTATGATGTGAGAATCAACCTTGTCTCACACTCAGCGCTAGCACTACCAGAAGAGGTCCTCAAGGACGTAAACTCTCCCATCACGATTTCCGAGTCCCTGACACCGGAAATTGTTTCACGTACCGACGTGCTCTACTGCACACGCGTTCAACGCGAACGCTTCCCCAGCGAGGCGGAGTACGAAAGATTGAAAGATAGTCTGATCGTGGATAATGCACTTCTCAGTCATGCCAAACGAAATATGATTGTAATGCATCCACTACCGCGGAATGCCGAGATCAGCGAGGAAGTGGACTTCGATCAGCGAGCGGCGTATTTCAGACAGATGAAGCATGGACTGTTCACTAGGATGGCTCTGTTGGCGCTTGTGCTTGCTCCCTAGGAAGGTGAAAGAGAGCAACGGTGGAAAGGAGAGGATAGTCCCACAAGAAAGAGGCTGTGATTACGGGGTGATTGATGCAAAAGATATGAAAACTGGGTATGAATGACGTGTGAAGGATATAGATTGCGAGATGATCATGCAGATTTACTTGGTACTAAGAGAGATCGATCACAGAAAAAACAACAGGAAACAAAAAGTAGTAAAATTGTACCAGTCATTACATCTAGGTAGATTGGCGTCAGGGTTTCAATAAACTGCTACGATAGAGGTGCTTCCCTCCGTATTGTACAATACATTTGGGAGTGGTTATCACTACACTGCAAAGAACAGGGTGTGTACATATAGCAAAGCCATCTGTATTTCTCAGATCATTACATTTTCTAGGTAGTAACGAGCACTGGCACAGCTGTGAAATTTAGCGCCTCGTTCCAAGTGCTTATCGATAACAAATGGAAAGTCCGCAACTTTTGAACTCGTCAACCACCGTGAGTCCTCCACACGAAGTTTCCTAGTATACCAATTATTTACCGACAATGAGCAAGAGGAAAGAACCAGAGCAGCCTCAGAACGGCAGGGGTCAAGACGATGGCGAAGGCAGCGACGACGAGGTATGCTCCGAACACATGCCGATCAGACCATAATTTCGAACAGGCTGACCAGGACTATTTGCTATAGGATTTCGACATGCTCGACGTCGAGTTCGAGTGGTTCGATCCTCTACCCGAGATCGACTTCCACGGCATAAAGACACTGCTACAGCAACTCTTCGATGTCGACGCGCACATGCTCGATCTTTCGGCGGTGACGAACCTCATTCTCGAACAACCTCTACTCGGCTCGACGGTCAAGGTTGACGGAAAGGAGACGGATGCCTACGCGTTCTTGTCGGTGATCAACTTGCACGAACATCTGGAGAAGCCTTTTATTCAGACTCTTGTTCAATATCTGCGCGGCAAGGCGAACTCGAACCCAGCGTTGGCTAGTTTGGCAGAGCTGTTGTCGCAGTCTCCAATTCCTGCGATTGGGCTGGTTTTGACGGAGCGGTTGATCAATGTTCCTGCTGAGACGGTGCCTCCGATGTATACAATGCTTATGGAGGAGATACAGTGGGCGCTGGAGGAGAAGGAACCTTACCAGTTTTCGCATTACTTGATTCTGTCCAAGACGTATACTGAGGTAGCATCTGCGCTTGACGAGGAAGATGACAGACCAAAGAAGAAAAAGAAGACCGCTAGCAGGGAGCTGGAGACAATGTACTTCCACCCAGAAGACGAAGTGTTGCAGCGGCACGCATTGTGCTATGGTGGATACAACTACTCGACACCGCAGGACGAAGGTGCCTCGGACTCAAGGAGAGCCTTTCAAGAGTTGGGCATTAAACCGCAATCCTACGCCATTCTGATCGAAGCATCGAAATTCGAAGGTGCCATAAAAGAAGTGGCAGAGTACGTACAGGCACCAACCTGAAGGACCTCATTCCCACTCAGTGCCCTTCAGTCTCTGTATGAGATATTCAACCTCAACCACTTTCGTTAGTGGTATCACAACTTGAGCATACATCTTTACGACAGCCTCAATATTTATCTTCTCTTTATGATCATTCACGGCCGCTGATAGTGAAGGATCTGTGCCATACGTCTTGGCCTTGAGCCGTAGTCTTTCCAGGACTTTCTTCTCAACTGCAGCATTTGTGATGGCCTCGTCAATTCCTTGCCGGTCCACAGCCTTTATCAGCTTGACGAAACGCTCAGTCTCTTTGCGAAATTTGCTCTCAGCCACAAATTTACCAAAGTGTATCCTCCGGCTCAGAGCTTGCAAACAGGCTATGTCGCAGCAAGCGGCACTGCCGTAGTTCTCCTTGGTCTCGCCTCGATCTGTGCGACCAAAATCGCGGCAGGCTTCTGGCAGAATCTCCGTGATGTACTTGTCTTTAATTGTGGAGTTGACGTTCACGTTGTTCGGATGGAGGATAATAGGATACTTGATAGGCTGCATTATCGGCCGCTGCAGGACTTGAGGAAAGAATGGGTGCTCGTCTGGAGCATCGTATCTGCGGACTAAAGAGTGTAACCTCTCGGTCTCTGACAGCATGTAGTCGGCCAGCGACAGATTCGGAGGCAGGGCAAGGTTGTAGGAAGGTATAGGAAGCTTGTCTGGGTCATAGATGGCAGCATTGAGAGGAAACTGGACACGTTCGATCAAGTGAAAGGTTATGGTGTCTTCGAGCCGTCTACAGTAGTTAGTGCTGTGTAATGGTGGTGTTGAGCCAATAGCTAGCATACATGAGCTGGAAGCGAATATTGTCCAGATCAAGTGCTCCTTCTGGGTTGGACAAATCCAGAGCCGTATCCATGCTTGCCAGAGGAACAGCTGACGTCCAGCGAAGGTCAAGTAAAGGCTCTGCTACCGTGCGCGTGGCAGTTGCTAGAAATACCACAATGCATCTCCTACCCCTCTAGAATACACACAGAGGTAAACAGAACTTTTGTGCCTTGCATTAGGACGTCATGGTTGCTTGCCGCATCTGGAGCAGGGATCGTGCTGTTCCTGTCCTCGTGCTCACTTGATTACTCCACTGCCTTCAAGTGGCTTTCATTACGCATGAACATTAACTTCTGTAGATCTGTTCTGATCCCATAGCCTGTCGTATGGCTGGAGCAAATCACAGCCGGAATGCTTCACAAATCAGAAGCCGAGCAAACGACAGCGACAATGATTCTGTGCTCGGGGCGGTCATTGATGTACGACCTTCTACACAAGCATTGCACCAGCACTATTACTAACAACTTTGCCAGACGCGACAGATTGAGGCCTTTGGCCGCAAGGTGACAGCGACGGCGAGTCACTTGATGAGCGATGCTGCTTCGACGCCCCATTACAGCGGTGCTCTCACAAGCATTCAACGCTCCATGCGCCGTCCACACATGCAACGCTCAGTTCTGAGCTTCACCCAGCAAGCTCCTACCGAACTCGTCCGTTCCAAGATCAGTACCAGTGAGATTGCACACCGAGCAGTCGCCTTTATTTCCGATGAACAGCTTCACAACATCCCTGAGACCGAGCACACCTACTCTCTATTTCAAGGCTTCCAGGCAAGTCTTCCTGATATCGATGAGAATGAGCACAGAAAGGGTCATCGACGGCGTGGTCAGAAGTTACTCGGAGCCGGTCCAGATATAGACGAAGATGGGCCGCCCAATCTGGTGAAGCTGAAGAAGAGACGCAATCAGACAAATCACAGACTGGAAATGATGGGCATACGGAAGAACCTATGTAGTTCAGAAATCAGAGAGATCGATAACAAGATTGCCAACCTCAATTCTATGCGGAGAATCGTTCTTGATCGACTGGCTGGTTTGGAAGCCGAAGAGGTCGAAGTTGAGCAGGAAATTCTTCAGTTGGACAATCAAATTGAGGATATGACTGAGGAAGAAGCAGTTCGTGCGCTGGCCGAGTCGACCACCACGTTGGAACCAGGCCAAATGACTCCTCCTGCCGCCGACGATGCCATGGATGCTTCCTTCATGTCTGAATCTATCTACGAGAAGCTACCCTCTGTCAAATCTCCCAAGTCGCCGAAGAACAAGAAAAGACCTAGCTACGTCAAACGGAAGAGCATGCCCGTCCTCCACGAGCACTTGGAACCTGGTTCGAATATCCGTACCTTACCAGCTCACAACGATGTTGTTACTGCTATCGACTTCGATGCTCCTTTCGGCACTATGGTGACTGCATCCCTGGACGACACGGTACGTGTTTGGGATCTCAACCTCGGAAGATGTATGGGCTTCCTGGAAGGTCATACTGCAAGTGTACGCTGCCTACAGGTCGAGGACAACATCGTAGCCACGGGGTCGCAAGATGCTACCATCCGTCTTTGGGACATCAGTCGAGCCAAGTATGAGCCCTTTGAGCATAACGTCCATACCGAGGATGACGGATTAGGCTTTGGCAACGAGGGTGAGGACGAAATTCCTCCGCCACATCCAGATGCCATGGAAGACTGCCATTTCATGACCTTGGAGGCACACGTCGCCGAGGTGACTGCTATACATCTACGCGGTGACACACTCGTTTCTGGCTCTGCGGATAAGACCTTGCGTCAATGGGATATGGTCAAAGGTCGATGCGTGCAGACCCTCGACGTGCTTTGGGCTGCCGCTCAAGCATCAGCCTCGCATAGTCTAGGCACTACAGGCGATACTGACTGGAAGCCAACCACCCGCGGCGCAGATGCCAACTACGACTTTGTAGGTGCTCTCCAGGTTTTCGACGCAGCATTAGCCTGCGGTACAGCAGATGGTATGGTGCGACTGTGGGATCTGCGGTCCGGCCAAGTGCACCGCAGTCTCGTCGGCCACACCGGTGCCGTTACCTGCCTCCAGTTCGACGATGTACATCTCGTGACTGGCTCTGCTGATCGAAGTATACGCGTGAGTCTACACTCCTTCTCCATCAAGTCTTCTTACTAACACATGACCAGATATGGGATCTACGTACCGGCACAATCGCCGATGCCTTTGCCTATGACAACCCGATCACCTCTATGATGTTCGACACGCGCCACATCGTTGCAGCTGCTGGTGAGGATATCGTCAAGGTCTATGACAAGACTGACGGCAGACATTGGGATTTGGGTGCAGGTGCTAAGCTTACGGTAGAGGATAACATGGAGGGGAAGACGGCGAGCACGGTGGAGAAGGTTCGGCTCAAGGATGGGTTCTTAGTTGAAGGGAGGAGGAGTGGTGAGATTGGTTGTTGGACGTGCTAGTACAGTATAGGTAGAAATGAGAAGTTTTTCGTGCTGCTGTACACTACCACTGCAGGAACCAGTCAACGTTTCAGCAGACCTGTATCTCAAGACTCAAGGTCGTAGTGACGCGAATTACATAAAAGAGTACGGAAGAGTAAGACCTCAAACCTACCCAACCAGTCTCCATCGTCCCTGGCTCTTAGCGCTATTCATACAATACAACTCTTGCGAAACTCCCTATCTCTTCCTCTCCCTAACCTTAAACCTAACACCATCCCTATTAACACCCCCCACAACCCCCGCCATCTTCGCCCGCTGCAGATCAAGCTGGTCAGCAGCAGCCAGAATCTCCTTCTGTCTTTTCTTGAGGACTTCTAACTTTGCGGCGCGGAGGTCTTGAAGACGTTTGCGACGTTTGCGGTCGGCTTTTAGTTGGGAGAGTTTGTCTTGTTGTTTTTGGGCTTGTTTCGTGGAGAGGATTTTCGACATTGCTTTGGTGGGGTTTGTTAGGGTCTGTGTAGATGTTGTAATGATGGCTTCGTGGGTGTTTGGATCGTTCTTGTTATCTTGGTTGGAATTGAGATTATCGTCTGTATCTTCATCCGTGTCCCTTAACACCCGTCTCCTCTTCCTCTCCGGCTCCCCATCCTCCCCAAACACCACCTTCCCACTTCCCTTCCCAATCCCTCTTTTACTTAATATCGTCTCCTCCCTCACCCTCTCCACCTCCCTCCTCGTCCGTCCTGCCACAACCCTCAAATACCCCGCATCCTGCCCCTTCAACAACCTCACCTTCTCAACCCCCAATCTGTTCTCTTCCTCTCCTCTCCTCCCATGTTTCCCCTGCTTTTTGTCTTTCGACACCATCCCAAAAGCGAATTCATCCGGATGCCGGTCGCGTGTTTTCTGCTGCAGGATACTTAGTTTTTGCTTTTTTGCATTGTAGTCGGCGGCGCGGAGGCTGTAGTCTTTGTGTTTTTCGAGGAGGCCGTATTTGGTGCGGGTGGTGGTTTGGGAGCGTTCTTTGTGGGGGCGCCGCGAGACGGCGTTGCGGAGGGAGGACATTTTGTGAAGGTTTGTATGTATATCTTGTGGGCGGGAGGTGGTATTGTGGAAGGTGTGGTGTGGTTGCGAGAAGTTGTAGAAGGCGTTTTCGTGTTTGTTTTGCGACCACTCGAAAGTTTTGGTCGGGCAGAAATGGTCCGGGGCTCCACTGGCGGTTTCATGTGCATGCATCACCTCACGAACGAGAAGACGTAACTAGATACTACGGCTCTAGAATACACTGTATCTACACGACTTGACGAACGAAAGGGTCAGAGACAAAACGTGATGCTACGAAGATGAGATCGACGAACATAGACCGCAAAACCAGCTCAAACCCAGACATTAGATAGCATTGCCTCACCATCCTCTCAACACAACACCACGACCATCATGCCTGGCCACCACATTCAAATCCCCGATGCAGGCACAGACAGCGCCTCCCATTTCGGCATCCACCACCCAGAAGCCAGCAGAATCAACCTCCACAACCCACTCCCTCTATCCGCCGCCCAAGAAGCTCAGGTAAAAGACCTTTACTACAAGCGTGTGCGTAAGCTCTGCGATCCGGAAATCAAAGAATTCGCTGCGTGTGCGAAAGGGTTGACGATCAGTGCGACATGGAGATGTAGGGAGCAGAGACATAAGATGAATAGTTGTATGGTTGCGAATGCGCGCCCTGAGGAAGAGGATAAGGCGAGAGAGGAGTGGTTTAAAGGTATACAGGAGAGGAGGCGGAAGAAGGAAGAAGAGAGTATAGAGGTGGAGAAGAGGAGGCAGGAGGTTATTGACATGACGAGGCGGAAAGCTGAGCAGGAAAAGGCTGAGGCTGAAAGTAAAAAGGTGGTTGAGTCGAAGAAGAGTTGGTGGTGAATGTTAATGTCCTCGGAGCCATATAAGTTGGACGAAACATGAAAGAACGACAGTACCGGATCTGACAGCCATAATCTAGGGATATGCACTGCAGGAGATCTGTCCTCGTTCGAGCCAGCCGAGTCGTGAGACGCTTTCTGTGCTCGAAAGAGTGCTAAGACCTGGGAGCTGAGATTTTGGGGTGATGACCAATAGCTGGCTGTTGGTGCCGACCCGTGATGCTGAAAGAGGTCACTCTCGACCGTCTGGGCACAAGTTATACATATCAAGTGATTTGAGTGGTTATTTGAGAACATGCCTGGCATAGTAGTGGCAGAGGCTGAACAGCATCGGTCAAGGAGAGATCTCGTACCAAAGACAGGACGCAAAAGGGGGTATCATTGTAAGAAGAGTAAATAGCTTTGAGCACGACAGATTGTCACGTCTGCATCTCAGTATCACCATCACCACCTCCTTCCTCGCCAAAAACGTCTTCCATCCTCCCAACTCCTTCCTCGTCCTCTTCCATGCCCTCCTCTTCGTCGATCTGCATACCATCCGTCGCTGATGTCTGTGTAACGCCGTTCTCCTCCACACTCTCCTCACCCTCGCTCTCCCACTCGTCTTTTAGGCCCCAACCCCTACCAGTAAGGCAGTGCCTTTCGTGAGGCAGACGTACACCACCAATCGATGGACCAGCATTCTCTGTATTATTGACAGAAGTCGCAAGCGTCGTCCTGTTCTTCTCGTCCGCAAGCTGTTTCAAGAACTCCTTTGGCAGACTTGACGAGAATTGATAGCCCAGCCTGCTAGAAACGGACATCCTCAAACTTGCCATGCTAATGTCCCCGTCGTCGTTGGTTTTGTTTGCACGTCCGCGCCCTTTGCCTGCTGCAGCTGCGGCCTCGGCGTTGGCTTGATCGTAACCTTCATCTTGGATGTGCTTGGCGTCACTGAGGACGGCAGAAGTGTATCTGTATGCGAAATCCATGAGTTGTAGGGGTACTCGCTCCTGGTATGCTGAGATGCCATATTGTGCGAGCAGGAGATGTATTAGTCGGTGGTCTCGTGGTCGCTTGGATGTGCCATCGTCGTGAAGGGAGGTGAGAGGTTCACTGAGCAGTGCCTCAACCCGGGCTGCTGGGTCTTGTGTCGCTGTTAACTGCTGCGATTGCGACTGGGTGTGTGTTGCACTGTTTGTAGGTTGCGTCGCTTCTGGTGGAGGAGTAGGTGGATGGACGGGTTCTGCAGGCGAAGCCATGTTGGACAATAGTACACAACGACAAACGTTGTTGATATGCTGCGACTACTTTTCGCGTTTCTCGTATATCGGATTCACGTATTGCGGGCTCAACTCGGAACCGCAAAGTCTCAGAATGGGCAGAATTGGGGCCTAGCAAGGATAACTCTTGCGCCGCGACCCCAGAAGCCGATGCTTGTGCCTAACTAGCAGTCTAGCTCGGCATCATGTGAACACGTCCAGGACCTGATGTCACCTTCAACTTGACTATTGAAGGTAATCTTCCTCTTGTTCCCTCCACCTCACATCAGTTTTACTTTCTTAATCTACCTGTACTGTATATTTTCAAGTAGAGGTACCCCTCGTTGTAATAAGGACATGTCTTGACAAGCAAAACAATTGATTTTCGGGGCGTTGCAAGGCGTCAGCAGAGGGCTAAACCTCTACTCGGGCACATCCACTATGCTATAAACAGAAACTCTACCTCAACCAAACCTCAACAGTAACTTCCTCTTGACCCTTTCCCTCACTAGAATCTCAGCATGCAGTACGTTAGGGGCATCAGCGGTGCTATCTCAAAGACCTACAACTCCATCAACCCTGCCACTCTCTCTGGAGCCATCGATGTCATTGTTATTGAGCAGGAAGATGGCTCCCTGGCCTGTAGTCCTTTTCACGTCAGATTCGGTAAATTTCAGCTCTTGCGACCTTCTGAGAAGAAGGTTGAATTCCGAGTCAACGGTCAGAAACAGGAGTATGCTATGAAATTAGGCGATGGCGGCGAGGCTTTCTTCGTTTTCGAGACCCAACATGATATTCCTCCTTCCATGCAGACTTCTCCTCTGGTGTCTCCTGCTTCTTCTCCAGACACGATAAAGCCTGAAATCCTCACGCCGACCGGTTCAAACGAACCTACATATCTCGACCTTGCTGATGATGTGTCCCGACCGGCCTCGCCAGATCCCGGAAAACACGCCGCGCCCATCTTGCGTCACGAACGGTCCAATTTGAGTGATCGTGGCATCTATCCGACTTCAATCCCAAACCCTACGGATAAATCAGTTTGGCCGGCTGATACTGCAGTGCGACAACCTTCACATCCTGCTCTATTCCGCGCTGCCTCGGAAGAGCTAATCTCCCCTCTTACCCAAGAGGACATCAACGAGTATTCTCAGAGCATCCGAAGAGGTTCGTTTCTGCTTCCTAATTCTACCTCAGAGAGTAGCAGTTCAGCAGCAAATACAAGCAAACCACGCCGACCAGCCATCGCTCGTGCCCTGACTCTATCTAAGAGATTATCGACTTCAAATATCAGGTCCGAGGTAACTGAAACAGGCGATGTCATGCTTGACATGACTGGTTACAAAAGTAGTGAAGACCAGGCACTCAGGGCTGAAGCTCTCGCCAGAAAGTTGTTGTCAGAAGAGCTCGAAGGTAATTACGACATTGGATCGCTTATTGGCACAGATGAGAATGGTAATCTATGGATATACAGCAGTGAAGAGGCAAAGGACGCAGCCAACAAAAGAGTTCAGCAACAGAACACTGTCGCCACATCTATGATCAGCAGTAGCGATTCCGATCCTGGCTACCACTCCGACAGTGATCGAAGCACCTCCGCGAGTGGCCCAAGTGGATCACATGCTCGCGCCAAATCAGAGGAAATGCCAAACATGAGACTCTCATCCGAAACAAGTCACTTCGCTAAAACATTACGCTTAACAAGCGATCAGTTGAAAAAGCTTGATCTGAGGCCAGGCCCAAATCCTGTCAGCTTTACAGTCAACAAGTCTACCTGCACAGCCAACATGCACCTGTGGCGGCACGACGTACCCATTGTCATCTCTGATATTGATGGAACGATTACTAAATCTGACGTATGGGGTCATGTATACAATGCCATTGGCAAGGATTGGACACATACAGGAGTTGCCAAGCTCTATTCCGATATTGTCGCGAACGGCTACAACATCTTCTACTTGACATCGCGGTCAGTGGGTCAGGCCGACACAACGCGGAATTACCTCGACAGTATCGTGCAGGACGGCTGGAAATTGCCTAAAGGCCCCGTTATCATGTCGCCAGACCGCACAATCGCAGCATTAAGGAGAGAAGTCTATCTGCGCAAACCGGAGGTTTTCAAGATGGCCTGCCTGCGGGACATTCTTAGTCTATTTCCGGGCCGTACCAACCCGTTCTATGCTGGGTTTGGAAACAGGTTGACCGATGCATTGAGTTATCGAACAGTTCACATTCCCTCATCTCGGATTTTCACCATCAACTCGAAAGCAGAAGTGTCGTTGGATTTGTTGAGCTTAAACAGTTACAAATCCAGCTACGTAAGTATGCGCGAGATCGTGGATCATTCATTCCCACCGGTGAGCACTTTAGTCAAAGAAGGCGGTGAAGATTACACCGACTTCAAGTACTGGAGAGACGACCCGGGCGCCGATATCGACCGGTTCGAGCCCTCGGAATCGGAAGAGGACGACTACGATGACGATGAGGCAGCCAGCTCGCAAAATTACTTGTCACGAGCATCGACTATGCCACGACCTGATTCGAGGCTAGGGAACTCGATCATCCGCGACTCGATCGAGGTAGAGAAGGAGGCGGACTTGGACAGATTGCAGATAGTGGATAGCGTCGCAAGTCGTGGCAGTACTGTAACCGCGAGTCCAGAAGCTAGTGACTCGGAGGGTGATTATGTCGATGACTACGTCGACAGTCCACGGAGGAGGGTGACGCGGTCGTTGCGAAGGTAGGGCTCTGCGTCGATCGAGTCAGTCAGGATTCGGCTACCTTTTAGACGTGGAAGTAGGTATAACAACTCAAGTGATCAGGTTTGGGATGAGGAGTAAGGGACTTGGAGGATGCCTGGCCATGTTGGGATTGTAGCTTTTGTACATATAATGTATGTCTACGGGATGTGAGGGAGCACTATTGGGCAGTAGGCGACGGAAAGGATGGATCGCGGACCATATCGGGTGGTATCTCAGGGAAGAGACATAGACAAACACAACTAAGCACTGCTGACTACTGCTGACAACCAATGACTTTATGTCTGTGTTTCCATCTAGTTTGTGATGTTGTAAGCATTCACTGTTAGATCTCATACACCATATGCTGGTAGGAGATCCTGCATCTTCACTACTGCTAAGGCTCTCAGGCAACCTCTTTCCGCCACACCATGAACAGCCGAAGCCTCCAACCCCGTCGTTGCCAAGCGTGCAAGCCGGAGCGACGATCTAGCGGAAGAGTTTATCCCATCTCGATACCGGCCGCATATCAGGAGGCACGTGTGCTGTTGTGCCGCTGCGTCTGATGTGTTACTCGCATCATTTAGGTCTTAACGTGGATGGACTCAATAGGCGGGCAAGGTGACCCATGGACATGGGCTGCCTATGCCTACCGATTCCTGGCTCCGACGGTGCATGTTAGAGGGCGCATGGCTCTGCTAGTCCTCGCCGTTGTGCTGTGGGCGTTTCTTTGGTCAGTGGGCTCTGTGGTTTGGGGCTGACATCTACTGACACCATGCAGGCTATTATGGCGCGCCTATACCGTTATCAGCACAGATAATGATGTGCTCGTGGAGAAACTAGGCCTGGACATCCCACCGGAGCCGATCCTGACACTGGAAGAAATAGCTGCGAGACAGATTCAGATCTCGTGGAAGCCTGAAGAGACGACAAGTTCGATTCATGAGTACCATATCGAACTTAATGGGCGCACGATAGGCGCGACAAAGAAGCATGAAACTGCCGCGGTTATAGCGAATCTCAGTCCGACGACACTCTACGAGGTGCGCGTGTTCAGTATTAGTCCTGGCCGGTTTCAGACCCCGAGCAGAACATTACACATACGGACTTGCAAAGCTGTTTCGGTATCTTCACAAGATGGCAACAATGAAGGCAATCCAACCATTCGCGTGTTACCCTCACGACTTCCTTCCGCTCCTGTCGTTGCACCCGCTCCTCCTTCTACTCGAGAACCGAATGCGCCTCAGATAACTGGTCGACGCGGCACAACTGCGCGAAAAACGTCTCCAGCTAGGCAGGTCGACCTTCTCCCCGATCCGAAGGACGTTGAAGATGACCAAGGTGAAGACCTGGCCGAGCTATCCCAACAGTTCTCCGAGATAAACGCAGAAATCGACGGTATCGAGGCCCAGACGCAGGAAGAAGAGCGCGAGTTCGAGGCAGCTAAAAAAGAAAAGGAAGAGCAACGTCAAACATACTTGCAAGAGGTCAAGGAGCGAGATGAAGCTAGTAACGACTTGAAAAAGCAGGTCCATCGCGCTGAAGCTGCTGCGAGATCCTTACTGAACGAGAAGACGAAGAAGGAGAAGCAGCTGAAGGACAAGGAGAACAGGAAGCAGAAAAAGATCAACGAGATGGCTCAGTGGGAGGAGTCGGCCAAGAATATCGCAGAAGAGATTGAGGGAACGAACAAGATTAAGGAAGCCCATCGTAGGAGGATGGAGAGTGAGGTGCGTGAGGTCAAGGAGAAGATTGCCGAGGAGCAGCGAGAGATTCAGCAGTTGGAAGAGGAGAATAAAGAAAAGGCTGCTCAGCTTAAGGAACTACAAGAGGAGCGGAAGCGGAATTCTGCTGATGAAGAGACTGATGAGTCGAGAGAGGCCGATCGACGCGACCAGGAACGGGATGTCTTGTTTAGGCATACCCTGGCCAGTCTTTCTCAGCAATACAACCAGGTCTGGTCAGAGTTGCAAAAGATGCAGCAGGAGCATGTTCTGGCAAGACAACGACTGGCCATGTTCGATACTGCAAGAAGAGCTACTGCTGTCACTTTTGCGCCTATGGTGCCTCTCGACATCGATGGTACCCGCCGAGTCGACAGGTTTGGTCGGCGTGGCCGTCACACTAGCTCCCATGGAAGCAATGTATCCTCCCCAAGGGTGGCATACGCTCCAGAACCATATGCTTCTGTCAACGAAGCTGTCACAACCTCCTCCCCATTAGGTCACAGAAATCCTCTCTTCAACAATGTCAATGGTATGACGATGGCTGTCGACGTGCCTCAGGGTATGGATGAGGACGACGATGATCCTCTACTTGCGATCCCGATGAGCCCTCGAGCTGATGCTCTCCTTCCGACTGACTTGCTAGGCGATGATTCTGCCGACGAAATGCTTCCAGATGAGGACGACGACGTCATGCCGACCATGCCTACAACCATGACAGATCAAGCAGAGCCATTTCCCACTTTCAGACCAGGAAGTATGCATGGTGTCGAACGCGATCCAGCCATACCTTCACCGTCTCCAGGCTCAAATTCTTCTCCAAGATCTTTCGCTAGTCCGCGTGAAGAATTCTTCTCGGAGGGTGCTGATCAAGACCGGAGGTCAATCCGATCAAGTCATCCACCAATACCTGAAGAAGCGGGCGTGCCTGCTGAGCCACCTCACAAACGTCTGACGAGCATGTCAAACCTCTTCAGCTTCAGCAGACAACGAGGGAAGACATCTTCTACTGATCAGCCGCCAGCACTTGGTTCGTTGAAGCATGAGAGCCACTCTTTTCCACGCAAGGTAGAAGAGTTCGATTCAAGTATGCAACCTAGACGCAGGCTGAGTTATGGCGGAAACTGGGCTTTCCCCGGTGGCAATTTCCTTGCCAAGGATGCAGACGAAGTCGAGCCAAAGCCATCTTTCACGCGCCGAGCGTTTCCAAATCTGCTGCCTGGTATTGGCAAACATTCAGCTACCAGAAGTTACGATCCTTTTGCACCAGCTAGAACAAATTCGTTGGATCCTAATGGTAGAGGCGGAAGCTCGTCTCCACGACCTGGATCGACCTATTCCTTCGATGTCCTACCACGTCCATCTGTCGAGCAGGTATCGTGGGAGTACAGACCAGGTGCTAGAAATAGCCCGCTGGTGCCAGATTGGGCTTCATCCATATCCAGAAGTCACTCTCGACGTCCATCAGTCGGCTTCGGCTCACAAACTAATCTGTCGCTCAAACCTGACGAAGACGGTGATTTCATCGAGCCAAGAAGAGACAACAGACCTCTCCAAGCACCGATCGGCACTCGGCCAGCATCCTCGCAACGACCCTTGACACCCAAGCTGAATCCTAACGCACCAACATTCACCATGTTCAGCTTTGGCAAAAACAGAGACAAAGTAAAGGAAAAGGACAGAAGCAAGCTAAAAGAAGACGGCAGTCAAGCCGCCTCCCCACCCGAGTCCAGAAAGAGCAAAGACACCCACTCAATCGCCCTAACCACATCAACAATGGAATCAAGAGAATCCCTCGAACGCACTCCATCCGGCTTCTCAAATCTCTCCCCCTCCCTCGAATCCACACCCGCCTCAAAACCCACCTTCATCTCCAAAATCACCCGAAAAGCCTCCTCCAACAAATTCGACAGCTGGAAGACAAAATCTACATCCATCTTCTCCTCCTCCCGCAACAAAGTTCCCGGCGAAGCAACGACACCAACTGGGGACGCCAACGACGATGAACCAACCACCAGTGGCTCGACAGAACACCTCCACCTTGGCCGTTCCCTCGAAAGCACCTCAAGCACACCCGGCGCAACACCCAACCCCGCCGACGACAAAAAAGGCAGTCGTACCAGTCTCGGTAGCTGGAACTTTATGCGTAAGAAGCCCAAGGCTTCAGCTGCTATTAATGGTAACAAGGAGGATCTGACTGCGAGCGAGATCAGTGAGAATGGGGAACGGGAGGACGCGGTTTCGACGACGGATTATGAAGGGAGTTTGGTGAGTCAGAATATGAGCTTCAGTAGAGATGGAGAGGCTGGTGTGGGTAGTAGTAGTGGTAGGCCGATGACTTAGAGGGTTATTGGGGCTTTACCGCCTGGATTGAGGCATGTTACGACGTGAATAGGTACGTAGGAGAGTCGGCTGTTGCGGTATGCTCTTTCTTGGCTAGAGTGGATGGATGTATCTATGCATATATCTCTATACTACCTGGATATAGTCGCTGGGAACGATCATGTCCTTCGCTTGCCGCTTGCTCTCCATCACGAACTACGAATTCGAGAAGTCGAATCGTACTCTTTCACGCTCGTTGGCTGTCCATGTATAACCCGACGTTTTTACTCCATCGGCGCCAATCGTCTGGCTACGGGTTACCGACAACAAAGGATCTACTATGCCGTAACAAGAATCTAGAAAGCAGTCACTAGACAGCGGAATCAACATGATGGAACCTAAATCTCCCTTGGTTTTCGATCATACTCTATCTATATCATTATGTCTTTCATGATTGTACATTACCTGCCTGGTATTCTTCAAATCTCACTCGGTAGGGTTGCCAGGCATGCATCACAATACAGTACATGCGTAGAAACAGACGAGTATACCCCCATCTATCTCAACTCTATAGATAACATCATCCTTCTGGTACAGTAGCAGTAGCTGTACATATCTTTTGTATTTTCACATACAAAAAGCCATCTCTTCTCAACACCCAGACATGCAAAACTCTATCTTTCCTTTGGATTTTTGTACAATAAACTCCAGCGCTAAATGCAAGGACAAACGCTGACATTCGCTTACAGCCAGCTAGTAATGACAATATCGAAAGATGAATATGATGGGCGATCATGAGAAAAAGTATACACTGTCTTTCAGCCTTCGCACGTCCCAATCGCCTTTTTGAGGAACAGGCTTGAATGTCAGTGGTAACCATAACCATAGGAATTTCTCCGGTGTCTTCTTCTTCGCGGATTCTGCTTCGGTAACAGGACTTGGGTTTGGTTTCTCCGCGCCATCCAGTATAGGTTCCAGTGTTGAGATCATGTCGACGTCGTGTGATTCGTCGATCTCGTCGTTGCTCAGAGCTTCTTTTACTGCCGAAGAGCTAGGATCTTGTTGGCTTTCGGGAACCTTGTGTGTGGCACTTTCACCGAGGGAGGCCGATGCCTTCAAATATTTTTCGCCATCATCCTGCTCGAAGAGACTTGCAGGGGTGACTATCCTTCTACCCTTAGCCACGTCTTCCGGATTGTCCGAGGTCAGGAGCTTCTGTCTGTTGTATTCCTGCGCGAGCTCCCAGTACTGCTGGTGTTTCTCTGCGTTATTCACTTTTCCCTTCTTAACGGATGACGTTTTGGCTATTTTAGTCCTGTTGTTTGACCGCCATGATTTGATGGCCTTTGCAAGAGGACTATTCAGTTTGATTTTGGCAAGACGAAGATGACCCTTGTAGCGAAGCTTGAACTCTTCAGCAAGTCGACCGATAATGTCTTCGGAATGCATACGAATGAAAGCATCTCTAAGTAAAGAGCTAAGAATGTCAACATCCGCAGCGTGAGTCCAGAAACTATCATGCACGGCCGAAAAGGTCAAGCCGCGCTCGTGTGCCTCAATTGCTGAGAGCATCATATGAGTTGCGTCCAAGGAGTGAATGAAGTTAGGAGGGAAGCCTTGAAGCTGCTTCCGCTTGTCGACAGATTCTGTGATATTGGGTTCGTGCAAGATAATCTGAGCCAAATGTGTGTTTATAGGCTGCATATTGGGTATGCGATATGGTTGAGCGATTGGCAGCTTCAATGGTGTGGTCCAGACGACTGTTGATCGAAAGTCTCGAGGCTCAATCATTGCACGTTCAGCGAGAGGTATTGTCCGTGATCTCTTCCGCTTGTCAAACTTAGGTCCAGTCTGTTGCGGTCCCGATAGCTCTTCAAGCTGTGCTGGTGAGATGGAGCTGGTGATGCGATTCGCACAATCTCCGAACCAATATTGAATGTCGTGAGCACCTTCAAAGAGAGAGCCAAGACCTTTGAAGATCTTCTTGGCGACATACGTCGATGCAGACATTGCTAACTTTTTCTGCTTCAGTTCCGGCAAAGCATCGTCAAGTTGTTTCTTAACCTGAAGCCGAGCACCCTCAAAAGTCACACCATACACATTGGTCATAACAGTTTGCTTGACGATCTTTCTAGTAATCTTGCCGTCTAACTCGATTGCCAAGGAGTTACCTGCTTCTGCATCCTTTTTTATTTCGGCCTTGACCAATTCTGCTACGCCTGTATAGACGTCTGCAGGTCTGTCTCCAGGTTCGAGATTGACTTGACGAGCACCTGCGATATCGCCACCTAAAGCAGCATAGTGTTGCAAGCCGTTGCAGGTCCCGTCTTGATGGATTGGTAGATGAGACACGAAGGTTTCTGGATTGCCAGAGTCAATGGCTTTCACGATTTCATGACAAGTGGCTAAGCACTGCCAAGGATCCTCTGCCGAAAGCCACCACCTCCTCCCAGAATGTGGGTTCTCGACAGAATCACGAATGTCATCCATGTGAGCATCAGCATACTGTGCTCGATCTGTCAAACTAGCTTTGTCATAACCGCAGACGTTAGCTAGATGTACTTTGAGCCATTTGAACCCGTGGGCACCAAGCTGCTTCCCCTCAGAGAACAGAAGCAGGCCTCGAGCATTGTCTGCACCCATTTGATTAAGATATGGCGGAATAGGATACGCTCTTCCTCGGAAATCAACATTGTGTGGAAGGTAGAAAGTCTCATTGCGGAATGCGCGAGCGATTTCCATCTGAAAATTCTGAAAACACCGATTTGAATGCAAGCCACTTTGCATATTCTTGTATGCCTCGACACGTCGATAGTGATCGTATCGCTCCCTGGGCGAGGCGTTCTCTGGCATTTCGGGGCCATTAACGCTCTCATCTATAAGTGGTGCTAAGTTTGCAACAGCTTGGCCTGTGTTCCAGGCCTCAAGCATAACTTTGAAGACGTCGTGATTGACACGCCAACCAGTCTGACCAAGAACATCGAGACCTTTGAACAGTAGATCGAGATCGCCACGTTGTGCTGCAGCTGAAGCGTATTCTTTCTGAGCAACATCGGCGCTTTTGACTCGAATTACATTGGTCTCGCTTACCAGGTATCCGCCATCGTTGTACCCAGTCCAGGGCCTTGGTTCACAAACCATAGGCAGTTGCTTCACCAATAAATCTGCTACGGGCTCCTTCGACAACATTTCAACGAAAGCCGAATGCAAAAGAACCACACCAGCCCACTTTCCGTTCACATTCCGAGAGGATCTCTCGAAAGCGTCAGTCTGGAAGATAGTTTTGCGCCCCTCGGCATCTCGATGCACGATATTCAATTTAGCTACATCGAACAACATCTCCAGGAGAATAGAACCAACCTTCGCAGCCTGAGTGCTGGACCATGCAATTCGGGGCGGGATTTCATCGAGTTCAGCGAGATAGTCTCGAGGGCCGCGCGAAGGTTTGTTGTCGCTGGAGAGTCGAGCTTGTCTCAGCTTTTCTTTCTGCGCTTTATATTGAACATTAATCTCGTTTTCGATTGCGTGGCCAACCTCAACGACAAGGCGAGCGAGCTTAACAGGATCATCCAACCCAAGTCTATTCATGAAGGTGATGGTGGATGTGCAAGTAAGGGCAGCCAAGATGTTGGGTTCGAGCAAGCGCAAGAGAGGACCATACTCTGTCCTAAGACGTATCTCTTCGGAAAGTCGGCCACCCTGCATCTGTTCGGCTTCTGTCACTCTTTCAAGTTCAGCCTTGATGCTTTCTGCTAGCTTCTCGTGCCATGTCCACATCAAAGAGCCAACCTTGCCGTGAGTCATGGCAGGAGCAACACCCATTTTAGTCAGATTATCGTGTTCGACTTTCCATCTATCGGTAGCAGCGGCAAGAGCATCGCGCTCAAGTCGTGTTTGACGTTGTCGGGCATAAGCTTGACGAACTTCAGCATCGGCAGTTTTGAGATTTTCCCATTCGGCGAGGTGATCATAGTCATTAAAGAGAGATAGAGACTTTTGTAACGATGGCATACCGAAACCTTTTTGAACAGTTTCTCGTACAGACGGCAAGGCTGGTTCCGACAGAACATCATCGTGAACAAGCAAATCTTCATCGTCCAAGGCCGCATTGTCGGCCATATCAGCGTCTAGCTCAAGAGGCGAAATCTCGCTGAGCTTTCCCAGATCACCATCGGACAAAATCTCTCGCAGGCTGGCAACCTCCCAGTCGACGTTGTACTCTTTGGCCATGTCCCAGTAGCGTCGAACAGTACGATCTCTTCTTCGACCCTCTAGTGTGGCCATTGCAGCTTTTATTTTGAGGGCAAAGGTTTGAGCGTTGGGAGAGACATTGGCTTTCTTCATGTGGTTCTCGACCCAGCCGTTAATTCTGTCAATGTTGTCAGAGGATCGGTTCCAAATGTGATCAAAGACCATGGCTTGGAGGACTTTGTTGTATAGTCTTTGCAGCTCAGGCTCGTTTCCAGCGTAGAGGGCTCTTAATTGAGCCAGTATCGTTATCGCCCGGTCCCAACGGTGTATTTGCAAACAAGCCTCCAGAGTAACCTCGACCTCCCAGATGTTTCCTCTGACATAGTCTTTAGACCTTGTCGCGTCCATCGAAGGAGGAGCGGACGCGATCGTGTGGTCAATCATGATGATCTTTGACAAATCGGGAGCAAGAGAAGGTAGAGAGTATGGCGGTGGAGACGACGATTTCTGAGCGTTGAAAGTGTCATATTCGTTCTTTGGATCGAGGATACGAGAAGAAGGAGCAGCTGAGGCTAGCCTACGTGGATGGTTCGACAAGCAAGCCGCAGGCACACGAGTCCTGGTCACAGGAGATCGTGCTATCGGTAGAGGACGACATCGTGCGTTGGTATATGTTGTATGCGATGAGCGTATGGCCGGACATAACCATGGCAGTTGAATGTGGTCGGCAGCATACTGTGTGAATCGAAGGTCTTGCCTCCGGCGAACAGCTCGCGTGAGCATGGCTCTGTCTGTCGCGGTAGCTTGGTTGTGTTCGTAGGATTAAGCGACATTCAGATCGAGGCTGATAGCATTGAGGGCGAGAGGGGACAATTGCAGGGTGCGAGGCGACAGATACTGCAACGGGTGATGTACAGTGATAGTGTAGAATTACAGTATTTCGAAGAAGTTCAATGTTGCGCTCATCGAAGAGGCAAAAACGACCGTGAATGACCTAGGGGTTCGGCTACGCTTGTTCAAGAAGAGATTAGGTGCTTTCGAATACCCATACCTAGAATTCCAGGTGGAAAGTTCTTTCGCGATTTTCATTTGTGGCCGCAGTGACATGCATTGTTGGTGGCAAAGGCGGATCTTTTGCTCTGGGCACTCAATATTCTGCCAGCTTCTCTCAGAGATGCAAGCCGCACTTCTGGTGGTGAACACTGATCCGAAGATATCGTAACTACCAGTAGCACGATACGGTTTCCTTCCTGGACATAGCTGCCAATTTGCCCGTCTTCCTGCTGGCCCCGTTAACGCCTATTCCTCCTTCTGTCATGCAGCTGTTGGCTCGCCGCCCTTGGAACCAGCTTCGTCGTCCACTATCGCATCATCCCATCCTGGCGCTCCAGGTGCGTATGCGTCAGGTAGCCATCTTGCTTCTCTGTAATCTTCCACCAATTCATTTACTAGCCAGAGGTCGAAGTCTGGGAATACCTTGGTGACATCGTCAAAGAACCATATTCCGCAGTTGATCTGGTGGATGGTAGCCATGATCTTCTGTCCAATCGACAAATGCTGCAAGAGAATCTCCTCGATCAGAAACTCATATCGGTCTGGACTCGCACCGCCGGCTCTTGCTGCCTTTGTCTGTTCTACCGGGACATCTTCTGGCGGGTCCTCGGGGTTCTTCCATGGCTTAGCGATGACCTTCCCGACAGGTCTATATTTGTCTGAGTTGGCGTTGTACATGTCTTTGCAGTCAGCAGTCGGATTCTCAAGATGAACAATCTCAAATCCCTGTTCTTTTATGGTCCTGATAATTTCCAGACCCTCCTCGGAATCGTCACTGCGACTAATGTCCAGATATGCCTGGTATGCTTCCTCGCTTGCGGCGCCAGCCACACTCAGCGTGAAGATGTGTTTGGCCTCCTCTTCTGACAAGCCGACAAATTTTGGACCCGTAGCCAGGCTCTCATCACCCCACCATGTTTCGCCGTCGTAATCTCTTGCGTATTTACCACCGAGAAGGGTCGAGCAAGCAATATTGAAATCACCAGGCAACCATCTTTGTGCTTCGGCGCAAGACCAGAGCTCAAAGCTTGCTTCTCGACAGAAGTTTCTTGTTTCAAGAATGGCCTTTGCGTACTCCGGGCAAATATCGTGCTGCAGCAGATAATCGAGAAATCTTTCGATGGTGCTGGTGACAACCTCGACCGCTTCTTTGTTGTCGAATGGGTATATGCAGGGTGCCACTCGTGAGAGAAATCCTCTGACACAACCCATGAAATCGACCACATATTTCGCCTGACTTGTCCCAATGCTATCAAGTGCATCTCTCAGCTCACTCGAGACTGAAACTTGTGACAGGGCAATAGCTGTTTCGCCCTTGTCCATTTCTTTCAAATTTTGACCACCCCCACCAACATTGGGACCGATCTTGATGCTACCATAGTGAAGCCACTTGTAGAAGATATCACGTCGCTCTGGAGTTAGCTTTCGTGTCCGCTCGAATCTTTGTATTGCTGTAAGTAGTCGACTATTCTCGTCAGCAACAAATCCAGGGCGGTGCACGACCAGTCCCCTACTCAACAAAAGAAAAGTCCCTGCAAGAGGTTAGTGGTGATCAAGTAAAGCAAGTCATTACACCCACGTATCGTAAAGAGCCTTCTGCTCTGCGTACTCAGCTGCTGTCAAGGGCGCATCTGCATAAAACTCCTCCATTCCAGTGGGTTTGTTCTACATCGCTTGCGTTAGTTGTTCTCTTCAGCCATCCGCGAGAAGCTTACCAAACCACGCTTGCCAGCAGATCTGACTTTGTTCTTTTTCTTCTTCTTCTTTGGTTCAGGCAGCAGTGCAGGATCAGTGACTACCACACCTCTTTCTCCTTCCTCATCTTCGTCATCGTCGCCGGCGCCAAATGCACCGTTCGTGTGACTGTCGGTAGCGACTTTTTCCTCAATCTTGGCTTGGTTACCATGCTGAATCTGGCCATCCAGTTCAGTCTTATCATTAGCTTTTTGGACTTCTGACTCAACGGGGTCGGCCGCTTGCTTGGTCGATATACTCTCCTTGACCCGGATTGGCAGGTTCGACGATTGCTGATCTGCCATTGTGATCAAGCCAACGACAGTATCTGTACTCAGCAAGGACTGTACACACCAGAATCTAAGTCGCGACAATACCTTAGAATGCAGGCAAAAGCATCATGGACGAACGATGAGGATGAAAGGAAAAGCGTAGAAGACTTATTTATACCTGCCGTTGATTGCTTCGAGGATGGTGTCTTTTTGGCTACCACAAACGAGCAAACATTGAAGACTGCGAAATGGTGAGCTTCGAAAGAGCTTCACCTGAGCAGGCAAACGCGCACCATATCGAAGCAGAGTAAGAAGAGCGTTGACTCGTGACCACTACTTCAAGATCTCAAATTGTTGCATCCATTGTCTTCACCAATTCATTGCCGCTACTGTATGAAGGTCGTCGTCATGCCTACTACTAGTGGTAAATTTATCAACACACTCGTCGAAGTTGCCGTATTTGTGCTTGGCCGAGCCGCGAGGTCACAACCCCCACATTTACTATTGTCGACCAGAAAGAGCCAACCAAAACCAAAACACCATTAAATTTACAGGCGACAAGCATTACCAATGGCGCCGTTGACGCGTCCTATCGTCAACGTTTCTCTTGGCAACATTGGTTGACCATTCATCTTCACAGCTTGTAACCACATGTACAGCACATGTCTTTTTACAACAAAGTTCCTTCTAAAATCGTCGTGCTCCAGGACTGTCTACACACAATTGTTCTCGAAAGTGCTGACTCCACGAACAAGAAATCACCAATCAGTTGTGTGACAGTAGGCACTATTGTCAAAAGGACAATGAGGACCTGCTAGTACCGGTCTCTACTGACCATCCTCTCCTTCTTAACACTGCCAAACTCAGAACGACCTTCTTCACTACTTCTTCCGCACCATATATGACCTGCCATCCTGCTAGGCTCGATCATTACCATGTCAGATTCGGCAACTCGAAGCGCTGCGCCTCTCAATGGCACACACATCGAAAGTCTTAGCACTATCCCATACACTTCAGCCGCAGCTGGACATCAAGGCATCGCCACAGACCCAACTGGCGCCATGCTCATCAAGCCCTGCACCCAAGCCGAGATTGACTTCTACGAGTCTGCCAAGGCCCATCCAGCCTTCCAGGCACATATGCCCGTATACATGGGTCAAGTAAGCCTAGCCGACGAGAAGGACCAATCGAAAGCGAAACAGCTCATGCAACAGCAGCAAAGCGCAATCATCAACACACCAAAATCCGCCTCGAGCACCCCAATCCCAATAGCAGGCGCACCACAACGCGACACATTCCAATCCTCAGCTCGAAGCTCAACCTCAACTCACAGACGCGTCGACTCCGGCCACATCATCTCCGACCCCCTCATCGCCCGCTCCGCCAGAAAAGAATGGACACCAAGTGGCGGCGCCAAGCTCGACAGCAACCTCTCCATCGTGCTCTCCAACGCGACAGCCGGCTTCCGAAAACCCAATGTCATCGACCTCAAACTCGGCGCGAGGCTCTGGGATGACGACGCGCCCGCCGCAAAGCGCAAGAAGCTGGATGAAGTCTCTGCCGCGACGACGAGTAGCAGTCTGGGTTTTCGCGTGGCAGGGATGAAGGTCTATGTTGGTGACGAGTCTAATAGCGAAGTGACCAGAGAGGTAAACACCGAGGTCGCCGATGGATATAAGACGTACAACAAGTTCTATGGCAGGGATGGAATCACGAAGGAAAACGTCAAGAGTGCTTTTGATGCGTTCTTCTGGAGCTTGGATCTGCTGAGTAATGCGGCTGATAAGCAAGGTAGGAGGAAGCAACTCTTGAAAAGGAAGCTGCTGGTCGAGATGCTATTGCGCGAAGTCAGTAGCATCGAATATGTATTTTTGAACGAGGAGAGCCGGATGTACAGTGCGAGTGTCTTGATGGTCTACGAGGGAGATCCTGAAGCACTCGACAGCGTCATCACTTTCAAAACGCAGAACGATCAGATCGTGAGCGCCGAAGTCATTGAGTCACAAGAAGAAGATGAAGAGGACAGGGCCGGGGACGAAGATGATGAAGACGATGACGAGACGCCCAAACAGAAGATTGAGGAGGTGGTTCTGATTGACTTTGCCCATGCGCACTGGACGCCGGGACAAGGGCCTGATGAGAACGTGTTACACGGTGTGAGAAGCATAAAGAAAACACTTGAGGATATTTTGCACGATACTGAGGAGAAGCTTAAGAGCTGATCACATTATTCATTTCTGGCCCACTCGCCTGTTCAGGAACAAGGCTGGGAGTTGATATTTATGTAACCTTTGACACATCATTTCGTGATCTGCGAGGAGGTTGATATATTTTGTGAGATTATATGACTTCTCGGTGTCGATATGGCTGATCTTTCGGCGGACTCCCTCTTACCTCTAACTCCGCAGTACCTGGAAGGCTAGTGGTAGCAGTTTGCTGGCGACACACATCTATGAGATCTACTCCGTCAAGCGAGAATGTGTATATACTTGCCGAATATACTTAAAAAGATCACAGCAGATGGTAGACTGCTTGCAACCCAATGGACTGCTAGCAAGCTTGAAGCCGCGATATTCGACACCGTTGATGTCGGGATACCTGTTGCAGTGAAGACTCCAGTTGGCAGGCTTGTTGTTTGTGTATGAGACGTAGCTGATGCGCTCTTCGAACCCGACGAACTAGTCGTTGATCTCGCAGGTGGCGGTGCGCTCGCAATGTAGCTAGACGGAGGGGCTGTTGCTCTGCCAGCGGCACTGCTGACACTCGGTTCCGGCGCTTGCCAACTTGCAGATTGACTGTACAAGACACCATTGATAACCACACCGGCTCGATTTGCAACCATGTTCTTCTGATCGCGATTGCAAGTGGAGTTTATTGCTCTCAGGAAACAGATTGGTGCTGCTGCAGTGGGCGCAAGGTTGGTATGAGTGGCATTCGCGTCACCTGTGGTTGCAAAGGTACTTAGGTCAATTGGCAATCCTAAGCTGATTCCCGTGCCGGCGATGACACGCGAAAACACAGTGAACGCAGTTTCAGGCTGATAGGCAGGTACCAGGTGGCCTGCGTCGTAGATCCTTGAGAAGCTCAAGTTACCATATTCTCGTACGACACCACCGATGTAAGAATTGTTCGTGACGATTGGAGCATATCCAGCTGTGGCCCAAGCAGTATAACTAGATCCTGCTGCAGCTGCGATGGCATATGATGCAGCCTCACCACCCAGCCAGTTGCAGGCGTAGTCTCGATCTCCGTAGATCAGCGCCACTCTTACGCCAGCATGCAACAGGTCAACTATGTCTTGGATGATCCCATCACGAGCGTAGTCACCCGTCTCGAGGAAAGCGCCAGATACTGCCAGCGAATCTTGTGTATAGTTAACAGGCACACCAATAGCATGCTGCACATCTGCTTGGTTGAGGTACTCAAGGTACAACGAGTTCGGGAATGGGTCTAGAAAATTTTGTGAGACGTCGTACAGTGACTTGCCTGAGGTTGTGTAGGGTGCAACGACGTTGTTTTGGCAGTACGCTTGTGCTTCTGAGCAAGCGTCGTTAACAAGGTTCACACTACCCCCATCTGTCGGGTCGTAAGCACGCTGCTGTGAACGGCAGGACTGAGTCAATTGCTGACATCCTCCGACGCCATTCCAGGCACTAAGAGCGTTCAACTGCTGGACCTGACTGATTGCCTGGACACCGTATGTGTTAGAGTAGGCAAAACGCGGAAAGAAGGGAGCTTGGACGATGAGGTCGATCCAACCACTTATGACGCCTAATGAGACAAGCTTGACTTCTAGAGTAGAGTTCTGGAAAACCGGGTCGACTTCGCGCAATTTGTTTTGAGCAGAGAAGAACGAAGCCATTGCAGGACCAAACTTTCCGCCGTATGACTCGGTAAACAAATTGATACCGACAGGTCCCTCTGTATTTCTGTCAGGTCTCGTGGCTGGGTTGTATTGCGGGAATGCAGCCAGGAAGCCTTGCAGAAAATGCCAGATGGATTGAGCAGCAATCGTAGAAGTATTAGAGGTCGCAAGGCCGTCATTAGATCCGAATGTGCCGTTCAGAAACGTGTACAGTGGTTGAGTGATAGGCACATCAACAGGAGGCATAGTCAGGGTTTCGTCAAGCAGATTCAGCGATTTGTTTGTCAAAATATCGTAGGAGAAACCCACTTGAACTGGTTGGTCAATGAATATGATATTGCTGCTTCTATCCCATCCCCATTCTCTGGCCAGTGTGCCTAAAGTCTGATTGTCAAGCTCTATGACACTGCATGGTCCTAACTCTTGAAACAGGCCCACCATCGAGCTGCTTCCTGGTCCACCATTGATAAAGATGGTTAGAGGGGCCGTCTCGGGAAGTTGACGTGCCTCTATGAACCAGAAGAAGGTATTGATGGGATAATTGCCCTGACTCGGTGATAGGACGTTTGGTGGAAGGTGGACATATCCCGTGTACTGCTTTTGCGTCTCGAAGACTGTGGTACAGGTACCGTACGGAGGGCTCTTGAAGCTGATCGTTATATTTGGATTCAATGGTGACCGGATCGTCGTCAGGCCATTGTCACTGTAGCGGGGAAATTGAGCATGCACGAATTCAAACCAGGTACAGACTACCAGGAGGACGACATGGAATAAACGTGTGAAGCTGGCTCTTTCAGGCATGTGGTCTCCAGTGCACACAAGCGACCCCGTACAGTGTGTAAGCGTCCCTCTCACTGCGCGACGCAGGAAAGACCGGACGTTCAAGAGCCTGTCCTCTGGTTACAAGCATATATTTCAGTCGCGAACGTTGGAGGAGATGGATTTCGTTGTACGCGTCGCGTCTAAAGTCCTAGTCAGCCCAGTCCGTAAATCTTCACGCATTGGAAGGGCATTGAGATCAGCCATGGAATCTTGGCTGTGAGGGTCGAGAAACTGCTAGACACATATCATTACTAGTAACCTCCGAATTCAAAGCCCTCGTTACTGGAATGTGAAGCTATTCACGAAGCAAAGCTCTGCATGTGCTTCGGATCAAGTGGCAGCCACGTCCGTCAGCTCCAAGCCCAATTCAGACCTAGCTCCAGGTACATGAAGCTAATAATGTTTCCCCAGAATAGCTGTCCAAGCGAGACTTGGGTATGTGTGACCAACAGCCTTAAGTCAAGACGTTCCTGAATAAGTGCCAGATCTCTCACCGAGTATGTCGATCGCAAAGTGGACTAGACTAAGTCAGCTTATGAACGAAAAGTTTAGAAGCTGAGGTGGTGGTCGTCTACAGTACACATATTGTCGGGGATCTAAAAAGTTACATCCACATTAGTGCCTCTTAACTCCACCTTGCTGCCGTGATGCCTGATTGTTGCTTTTCTCGTGCTGGCGGCGACGATGTCCAAGCAGAGCAGTCTTGACCGGCGCTGGTGGATGGTATACAGTTAGGATCCTGTTCTGTTTGGGCTTCTCATACGAAAGTGATACTATCATTTCTGCTCACCATAATCAAGTGTCTGGATCTTTCGAGTACTAGCTTGACCGTGTTCGGTCGACTTGCCCCGAATAACGCGCTCGTGTCCTCGCAACTCAAGTCAGCGCCCTGGCTCGACGAATCCCTTGTTTTTCTTTGACGAGCGCATTTCAACGACGTCGAACGTGAGTCGTGCGTGTCCATCATGGCGTACTACAATGTCGGGGGCTATGCGGATGATGTTATCGATTCTGATTCAACTGGGCCAAGAGTGACGGTGAGAGAAGTATGTCTGCACATCTTGTTTTCGTCTTCATGAGGACTGAGCGACTGCAGGTTGAACGAGCTCGCTGCGATTTCGTCCTTCAGAACTGCTCATTAGCATTCGCCAACTCGGTGCGTCGCGTCATGCTAGCTGAGATCCCCACCATAGCGATCGACCTGGTCAATATCGAGATCAACAGCACAGTACTGCCTGACGAGTTTCTTGCGCATCGCCTTGGCTTGGTCCCTTTACACAGTACTAGCGTCGCGGATCGTTTGGAATACTCTTACGACTGTTCAAATTGCGATGACCACTGCGAGCAGTGTTCAGTCACGTTGAGGCTTCACGTCAAATGCACAGAGGGTGGACCAAACATTTCCGTTTTCGCAAAAGACTTGATAATGGTGGATGGTCGTGCGGACGATATAGGCAAACCCGTTCTCAATGATGCTGCAGGACAAGGTCCTCTGTTGGCCAAACTAAGGCAAGGACAAGAGCTGAAACTGTCATGCGTGGCAAAGAAAGGAATCGCGAAAGAGCATGCGAAATGGGCACCTACTGCAGCCATCGGCTTCGAGTACGATCCTCACAACAAGCTGCGTCATGTCGATTACTGGTATGAGGTTGACGCAAAGGAAGAGTGGCCAGTAGATCTCAAAAACGCCCAATGGGAGGCTGATGAGACTGCAGCTGATGCCGCTTTTGATCCCGATGCACAACCTAGTGCGTTTTTCTTCGACCTCGAAGCAACTGGTGTGCTTGAACCAGATGAAATTGTCAGTCAAGGCGTTAAAGTCTTGCAGACCAAGCTGGCAGAGATTATTAAAGGCCTCGATAATAGTGGCGAGGCCATGAACGGTGGGATGAGTCCTGACGGGTACGAGCCTGCACCAGCGGAAGGTTATTACGACAGCAACAGGACTCCCTACGGCGCCACAGCTTATGGGCAAAATGGGTACAGTGGCTATTAAGTGGACAGACGATCTCTCATTCTCGTTTCATGCATAGCGATGGAGTTGGTGGTCGGAAAAGCCTGAGTTGATTAACGTGAGAGGTCGAACAAAACGATATCTACTTGCATGCCCTTTCTTCATGCTCGACTATATGGACTTGACGAAACAAACAACTTGCCAAATTTGGTTGGTACGCAGGTCTCGCCAACTTTTTGACCTCTCTGGAGCGATCTGTGACAGTCTCCATGCCAGCAGTATGTTGGTTGAATATTGATACATCTGCTGCGAGCGACGAGTACGCTTGGATATCTTGGCATTAATTGAGATTGATGCTATCTGAAACGTCGAGGAAACATTTTCAGGCTAGATTTCTCAAAATGCAGATACGCAGGCGCTATCCAAGCCATGCAGTTTACAAGACCAACACACTTCCGCGGAAGGACAACAGTATGTCTGCTTGCGTTGGGCATGCATATCGTGACTCGAAAGTCTGTGCCGACTGTAGGAGGTGCTTCCAGCGGTGTGTTAATGCTATGCCGTCGGAACATGGCTCCTTTCCACTCGAGACAACAAAGTTGCACTTTCGACTGGGCAATTTTCTTGCGCCCCTCTGCTGGTGTCTGGCCGGCGTTAAAATGCGTGGGAGGCATGTTGCTACCCTCAATTTCTACGGCCTGAAGCTGGCCGCACAGTAAATGCCCAACACCACTCAGCAACAGCCGGCGCAATACCCGTCGCAAACGCGTTCAGACCAAACAGAACAGCACCGAGGGGTACGGAACTTTGCAGATTACATCATCCGTGCAGCCCCACTTCCACTAGTAGTAAAGTTGGTGGTCGAATTTCTGAAGCTCAAGCTGTGAACTGTTGAGACACTTTGGAAAGTGCCGATTAGGAAATCCACGACTTAGTCATTGCAGGTAGTTGTCCTTCGGTGTATCAGAGCCTGTAAAAATTCCTTCTATCACCGATCTCATCACCCTTTCCATTGTCTCTCCCCTCTGTGTCTGTATACCTGGACAACCTTTCAGTAAATTGTGCACCTACTTCTACAGCACTGCAACCATGGGTTACTCTGATGTCGATTGGAAGGCCATCAACACCGTCCGGGTGTTAGCGGTACATACGCCTACTCCCTATCTCTGTGTTGAGCAAGCTGGCTAATGCAATGGTTGTATAGGTCGATGCCACCTTTAAAGCGAATTCTGGTCACCCAGGTGCACCTATGGGATGTGCCCCTCTTGCACATGTCGTATGGAACAAGTTCATGACATTCAATCCTCAAAACCCTGACTGGGTCAACCGAGATCGATTCGTCCTTTCGTATGTGATTGGATCTAAGAGCTGGAGAGTGTACAAAGAGTCATACGTGCTAACGGAAAGTCAGGAACGGTCACGGCTGCATGCTTCATTATGCCCTGCTACATCTTTATGGTTACAAGGTCTCTATGGACGATCTCAAATCATTCAGAGTAAGGAGGTTCGACGAAAGAGAAGAAACAAGCTGACAGCAATGATAGACAGTTGACAGTATCTGCCCTGGCCATCCTGAGGCTCATGACACTCCAGGTATTGAGGTCACCACAGGACCTCTAGGCCAAGGCTTTGCCAACGCTGTTGGTCTTGCTATTGCTCAGCAACATACTGCCGGTGTGTTCAATAAGCCAAATTATGAGTTGATCAACAACCACACCTACGTCCTTTTCGGTGATGGGTGTGCCATGGAAGGTATTGCCTCTGAGGCTGCGTCCACAGCTGGACATTTGCAACTTGGCAACCTGATTGCCCTCTATGACGACAACCACATCTCTATCGGTAAGCTCTCCTAGCTGTGACAGATTGACAGCGAAAGTTGATACTAATGCAATGCAGATGGCGACACAAAGTGTGCATTTACCGAAGATGTCATGAAAAGATTCGAGGCATATGGCTGGCACGTTCAGCATGTAGAGGACGGTGACAATGATCTGGACGGCATTGAAGCTGCAATTCAAAAGGCTAAGGATGTGAAGGACAAGCCATCCATGATCAAGATTACCACCACAATCGGATTCGGCTCCAAACTAGCAGGAACCGGTGGTGTTCACGGTAACCCTCTAAAGAAGGACGACTGCGCACAGGTCAAGGAGAAGTTCGGCTTCAAGGCCGACGAATCTTTTGTCGTCCCTAACGAGGTCTATGAGCTGTGCAACAAACAATCAGCTGAAGGCGCAGCTGCTGAGCAGAAATGGAATGACCTGTTCAAGAAATACTCTGAAGAGCACAAGGAACTTGGTGCGGACCTCAAGAGACGTCTTGACCCCAAGAAACCTCTCCCAGAAGGTTGGGAGAAGAAATTGCCAATCTACAAGCCAACAGACCCAGCTGTCGCCTCACGAAAGTTGTCAGAGTCAGTGCTCGAGGCCATCCACGAGGTCGTCCCTGAACTCATGTCTGGTTCCGCTGATCTGACTGGTTCTAACAACACCCGATGGAAGAACGCTGTTGACTTCCAGCCACCAAGTCTGGGTATCGGTGACTGGGCTGGTCGATATATCCGATATGGTGTTCGTGAACATGCTATGGCTGCTATCATGAATGGTCTGTCTGCCTACGGAACCATTATCCCAGCCGGTGGCACATTCTTGAACTTTGTCTCATATGCGGCTGGTGCAGTCCGTCTATCCTCGCTCTCACACCAACGCGTAATCTATGTTGCAACTCACGATTCCATCGGTCTTGGTGAGGACGGCCCTACTCATCAGCCGATCGAAACACTCGTCCACTTCAGAGCACTACCAAACATGATGGTATGGCGTCCCGCGGACGGAAACGAGACTTCGGCTGCTTACTATATGTCTCTCACGTCGCACGAGACTCCATCTATCCTGGCTCTGACCCGACAAAATCTGCCACAGCTCGAGAACTCAACGATACCCAACGCTATCAAGGGTGGTTATACACTCATCGAAGACGAGAACGCAGATATCACCTTAGTATCGACTGGCTCCGAGGTCTCGATATGTGTCGAAGCTGTCAAGGTCCTGAGCGAGCAGGGTATCAAGGCACGTGTGGTCTCGATGCCATGTACAGAAGTGTTTGATGCCCAACCGAAGGATTACCAATTGAAGGTCATTCCAGGTGGCAAGCCGGCCATGTCCGTCGAGGTTATGTCTACTCTTGGTTGGGAGAAATACTCACATGAGCAGTTCGGTCTTAACAGATTTGGTGCTTCTGGTGCCTACAAAGACGTCTACAAGAAGTTTGAGTTTACTCCTGAAGGTATTGCTAAGCGCGCCAAGGCTACTGTCGAGTTCTACAAGGGTGTCAACCCTCGATCACCAGTGGATAGAGCTTTCCAGAATATCTTGTAGATAGAGCTCTGGTTATAGTCATTTGACGAGTGTGATGTGTCACAGTCCAATTATTCTAAGGACAACCTAAATATATAGATGCAATGCCCATGTCTCAAGCAGCTGATAATTTTCGGTTATTGTCAACAGGTAGCTACAAGTGTCTTTTACAGCAGCTTACAGCAATGGTCTTTCGGGGATGAACTCCAATACCTCTCAATATGCTGACCTACAAGGCCAAAGATGTTATGGTCTTACCCCTTCGGAATGTTCTCTTACTCATTGCCACGTGGTGGCATGGCCAAAACCTTATGAAGTGGAACACATGAAGCACGCTCTCCATCTTTGCTATCTGACGAGCATGCCAGCTCCCGCGCCCGTGCTAATTATGCACAATGCCGCATGTCAAACTCGAAACCGTTGTCATCATGATGCACGGGCATGTATTCCTGTAGCTAAAGGGAATGACCTGGACTGACCTCGGTGCATGATATGCCATCAGCACGCGTCGTGGGCAATATCACATTGATCTACTTACTCATCGCTTGTTGAGTATTGGTAGGTTTTATCTCGTCTCACATCTTAACTCAGGAAATATCGATGGCACCAAAGCGTAAGACATCCAGTGCAACCATTTCCTCGTTCTACCAACTGCATGGGTCATCTGCATCAAAGAGGCGTCTCTTATTGGAGGAGGAAGAAGATGAAGAAGCACGAGAGCATTCGTCTAGTCAGTTGAGAAGCATGTCGAATACTAACCAAGTACCTGTCGGACATTCTACCACGCCTTCTCTGGAGTATATCACCACAAACCTCAGTAATTTGCAGGCACCATTTCCACTCTCCAAGACCTCCACACCAGTAACACCAGAGAGCACGCATAATATAGTGCCTCCTCCGCCTCAAGCTAAACCTCCGCCAGGCAGACCGCAGACTTACTTGATATTGGGTGCCTCTCGTGGAATTGGTCTCGAATTTGCACGACAGCTTCTGCAACTCAAGCATCAGGTCATTGCAGTGGTACGTGATCCGAGCACAGCGTCACAACTCTGGCAGGTGACTGGAAATCTCATGTCACGGCCTGGCTCGTGTATCATTGAGCAATGTGATGTTGGTTCATCCTCAGACATAGCACAATTTGTGTCACGCATGAGGCTGTTTGTTGAACGTGGTGGTAACATTGACAGTATAATATTAAATGCTGGTATATTAGACTATGAGAAGGGTCTTGGAGCTCTCAATGTCGAGTTCGATATGCTGGAAAGACACCTGAGGGTTAACTGTATTGGAAATGTCGTTCTTGCTCGGAAATTGTTGATGCTGAACCATCTTCCAGCTGTTCAACAAAGGCGAGAGCAAGAGCAAGCTTTGGACTCATCGGATTACGTGCTTGTGGGTCGGCAGGTTGTCTTCATGTCATCTGATTCTGGCTCAATGGCTGATTTTCGCGAGTACGAGGACGGCTTCGCAGCATATGGTGCTAGTAAAGTCGCCTTGAATATGATGATACGTCATATGGCTGCAGAGCTAAAGCGACGAGCAAAAAACAAGGAAGAGGAGGCAAAGATAGACTGGCAATCACGAGGCAGGACAATCGAAGCATGGGAGGACGAAGTTTGTGTACTGGCCATGCATCCTGGTGAAGTAAGTACAGATATGGCAAATGTTGAGCTTGGATGGGAAGTCGAGGGGGTTATTACAGCGGAGCAAAGTGTTCGAGCTATGTTAGCTGTGCTACATGACAAGAAGAGTTCACATAGTGGCACATTCTGGAGATGGGACGGTACTCAACACCCCTGGTGACGAAACCGTGCCAGTGCCCATCTGCCCACAACGCTGGCTGACTTTTTGAATCGCTGACGATAGCTAAGTTTAGAGCCACGAAACTGCCACCTTCTCTGCGCAAATGCCGAGGGTTTCAGTGGAATTCTCTTGCTTTTCAAGTCTCTGATAGAGTCAACTTGCTAGCAAGTGGGCAACCGTATAGTTTGTCTAGCTTCAAACCTGTCACCCATCGCACTGTCGATCCACACATCGAGCGTTAGTTACTGGAAGTCCGATATGTCGAATCAGATGTCCCAAGTACGAGCAATAGTGGACGAAACTGGCTACAAGGATGACCGATTTACGTTCAGTATGTGCTTGTTGTCGATCCACTACGACTATATGTATTATGTGAAAAGCGTAACGACCAGAAAAATTCGAACTTTCTACCATGCTCAACCACGAAGCCACAAAGAGACCGCCTCAACAAGACTAAAGAAATCTACGCATGCACCGTATCCTCTCCTCCCGTCCAGCTTGAAACTCCTTCCACAATTTGAGCAACTTTGCTCTCTTTCTGCTTCGTCCTTGAGGACTTACCAACGTCCTATGCTTCTCAGACGAGCTTTGTGGTGTCGTCAATGAAGGATGACATTCATGCACCTTTTGCTCCTGCAACATACTTGTCAGCCTGGCAGGTGTCCACTTACCACTTTCACTGCTTCTGTCGGTGGTTCCACCTCGTCGGACACTATCACGAACGTTAGACAACCTGCTAGGAGAACTGCTGCGACTGGCTAATTCTTCGATGTCAATGCGAGGGCTGGCCAGTAGAGCTTGCACAATGCGGAGTGTGGTCTGAACTGTACCATCGTAAGGCAAGTTCTCGTCTGTTGCTCCTCTGCTTGTGGCTGATTTCGAAGTTTGGTGCTGGGACGAGCAAGATCTGGACACGGCCCTGCATGCAACATATTTAGCTGGATAACATGGCTGGACTTCTTCCTCCGAAGACGAACCACTCATTAGTCGAGCAGTCTGATCTGACTCGGATACAGGTTTTTGGTGCAATTCTTCCATCACATAGGTGATTGCTGCTTTTCTGACGGTTAACAAGGCAAGTCTACACCGGCGAGCACCCCGTGAGTCGAGCGAAGGCTTAAGCATAAAACCTTGCCGTTAGCCAGGCATTTTGCAATGATCGTTACGAGGTCTTTGTTCTATTCCAGGATGAACAATGGAGCTATGAGATCCTGAACGATCATCTTGACATGGTGTACATCAGATAATTTGTGTTGTAGCTCTTTGTGATAGGCGACTTGCTACTTTTGGTGGGAGCATCAATCATCAACTGTCAGTCCAAAGTGTCCGACCAGCAATCAATTCAAGCTGACGTCGAATTGAGATGGCACGAACATGAGTCGAGCCTATGCGACTGTTTCCTATCTTTGCCAGGCTTCAATATCCTGGCTCTGGCTTAGCAAAGCTCTGCTGAATCCTTTGTCCTCCATTAATGTGATCTTTGTTGTTCAAGTCTTTCTCACCAGTTTTCGCAGCATCGACTATCATCATGACTTCGTGCAATGGTCGCTACTACCGAGATGTTTTTCACTAAGTCAGACACATCGTCGTGTGAGAAAAGTCGCTGTCAATATGAGGTCAAAGCGATCAAAATCACATGGTTGTGGTGCTGAAGGAGTGGCAGTAGACGACTATTGTCTCTTGTCCCTTCCCAACAGATATACAGTAGAGTACGTCTTGCACTTCGCAATATTTCAGGTATCAATTAGGGACGTAACTTTCATCTCGTAGTCGGACACAGGTAGTTCCTGTTATCTGCTTTGCTCACAGTACGAACACTGAAGTCATATCGTCGTTGGTAAGTCCTTGCTGTCAGAAGTACAGGGACGACACCGACACAATAGAGAATTGTCACTGTAGACTGTCACCACAAAACGCGTTGCGTCGTAGCTTCCTGATAGCGCGTTTGTCTGAGGCAGGCACTACCAAGCAGCTGAGCTAGTTCAAAAAGGGCTAGTGGCTAAATTCTTCGACTGCCTGCCAGCGACTTTTTGTTCGTGTCTTGGAATTTATCGTCCGCATTTCCTTTCTGCACGTCCTGTCAAAACACATTCAGATCTCCTCGTGGTTGATTGCTTGCCACTCACTTGCAATCTCTTACTGCCCGTACCCCTTCCTGAAAACATTCGTGACCAAAAAAACTAGGAAAATCAGAAAAAACAACCCATACGTCACATAGTAAGTGAATGGCAGTTGCGCTCAGTCACTCTTTTGTGCCTGGGGTTGACCAATCCATTGTTCAAGACTAACAACTCATCGCACAGAGTCGACATTACCCTTCGGCTTTGTGTTATCACCCCATCCATTACCCTTATCTTTCCAGAAATTACATCGAAAAGGTTAGTTCTCCTGTTCATCGAAAGGAATTGGATCTGACATTTTCATAGTCAACATGTCTGCGGAAGTGGCTCAACCTCAAACCGAGGGTCAGAATGGCTCTGATATCTCTGCTCAAAACGGTCCTGCCGCCATCAACACCCAAGTTGATGGAGCGGGTGATGCAGATTCTCAGACTCCAGCCTCTGCCAACCCGAACTCCCAGCACTCGGCCTCTCTGTACGTCGGCGAACTTGACCCTTCTGTCACCGAGGCCATGCTTTTCGAGCTCTTCTCCTCTATCGGCCAGGTTGCCTCTATCCGTGTCTGCCGCGATGCAGTCACCCGTCGCTCTCTAGGATATGCATATGTTAACTACAACAATATCGCTGATGGCGAACGTGCTTTAGAAGATCTGAACTACACTATTATCAAGGGAAGACCATGCCGAATCATGTGGTCTCAGCGAGATCCTGCTCTCCGAAAGACTGGTCAAGGCAATGTCTTCATCAAGAACCTGGACAATGCCATTGACAACAAGGCTCTCCATGATACCTTCTCCCAGTTTGGCAACATTCTGTCCTGCAAGGTGGCTCAAGACGAGTTCGGAAACTCCAAGGGTTACGGCTTCGTCCACTACGAGACCGCCGAGGCGGCCAACAATGCTATCAAGGCTGTTAATGGCATGCTGCTCAACGATAAGAAAGTCTACGTTGGTCACCACATCGCTAAACGAGATCGCCAGAGCAAATTCGACGAGCTAAAGGCAAACTTCACAAATCTGTACATTAAGAACATCGACGAGTCGGCTACTGATGATGAGTTCACAAAGATGTTCGAAAAGTATGGCGACATCATCTCTGCCACTATTACCCGCGATGATGCAGGCAAGAGCCGTGGCTTCGGCTTCGTCAACTACACTGATCACGAAGCTGCTGAAAAGGCCGTCGAAGAGCTCAATGACATAGAGTTCAAGGGCAAGACTCTATACGTTGGTCGAGCACAGAAGAAACACGAGCGAGAAGAGGAACTGCGCAAGCAGTATGAGGCTGCTCGTATGGAAAAGGCCAACAAGTACCAAGGTGTTAACCTCTACGTCAAGAACCTGGCTGATGATGTCGATGATGAGAAGTTGAGAGAGCTCTTTTCCGCCTATGGTACCATTACCTCGGCCAAAGTCATGCGCGATACTACAGACCGACCTCTTTCCCCTGACTCCGACAAAGAGAAGGAGAACAAGAAGGACGAAGACAAGCCTGCTGAGGAAGAGCAGAAGAAAGATGATGCAGAGGACAACGAGGACAAGAAGGAGGATGAAGACGTCAAGGAGATCAAGAAAGATGGCAAGACCGTACAGCGAACCTTTGGCAAGTCTAAGGGCTTTGGCTTCGTCTGCTTCAGCAACCCCGATGAGGCCTCCAAGGCCGTCTCCGAGATGAACCAGAAGATGGCCAATGGCAAGCCACTCTATGTTGCCCTTGCTCAACGAAAGGACGTCCGAAAGAGCCAGCTTGAGGCCAGCATTCAAGCCCGAAACACTCTTCGTCAACAGCAGCAGGCTGCTAACGCCGCTATGAGCGGTGCTTATCCTCAGATGATGTACGGCGTCCCTGGCCAGCAATTCATGCCTCCTGGCGCTCAGAGAGGTGTTCCTTTTGCTGGTCAACCAGGCATGATGATGCCAGGTATGCAAGGTGGACGAGGTGGCCAATTCCCAGGAGCTGGCTTTCCTCAAGGTGGTCGAGGTATGCCTCAGGGCCAAATGCCTCCTAACTTCGGTATGCCTGGTCAGATGCCATTCATGGGTCAACCTGGTATGATGAATGGTTACAATCCTCAGATGATGCAGGCTCAACTTGGTCGTGGCGCAGGCCGTGGCCAGATGGGTATGCAGATGCCACCGAACATGCAAAACGTTCGAGGCGGCGGTAACTTCCCACAAGCTGGTCGAGGTGTCTTCCCACAGGCACAAGGTGGCCGTCCAGGTCCTCAAGGTCGAGGTAGCTTCCCGCCAGCCGGCCCTGGTCGTGATGAAGGTCCTGCTCCTGGTGCTCTCCAAAACCTTTCCGCTATGCCTGCTGCAAACCAGAAACAAATGCTTGGTGAGGCTATCTACCCCAAGATTGCTGCTATGCAACCAGAACTTGCTGGCAAGATTACTGGTATGCTTCTGGAGATGGACAATTCTGAATTGCTTGGACTGTAAGTGTTCTGATCTGTGGTTGATGAAAAGATGCTAACACTGCGACAGTATCGATGACGAAGAAGCTCTCCGGGCCAAAGTTCAGGAGGCTCTGAATGTTTACGACGAATACATGAAGCAACAAGCCAACGGCGCAAAAGAGGAAGACAAGAAGGAGATTGAGGCTCCTGCTGCCTGAACTGCTTGAGAGATTCTTTGTGGTAGATGCTGGTTTTTTCACATTTACTAAAATTCTTCTGTCCAGCTTTTATGCTGTATCGCTTATTTGGTGGAGTATCGGTGATCTTCAGGAACATGGCTGCTCACCGAGTGCGTGATTCTTTTGTTCTTGTATTTTAGATACCCGAGATTGATTGCATGAATTAAAACCATAAGATGAATGCATCTTGTACTGGCGAGAACCTACAAGAATACGCTGCTATCAGGCATTATCTAGATAGCACAATATCAAAAACATTGGGAAAATAGTTGAGGAGGGTTTTTGATTCAGTGATCACAGTCTGTATCTGCAGTGAACCAAGTTACAAGTCTTGTCCAACACTCTTCGTATTTTGTACCGTTCCTTGTTTACCACAGACACTGGCTCTTACCAAGGTACAGCCTCTGGCCCAGTATCAGATCCCAACCCTCTCCCCGCCTGCCTAACTACCTCCTCCTCCCCACTCAAATCAGCAACTCTCTCCCTCCTCTCCTCCCCAGCATCCTTCCCCGTCGTTTGCCACCTCCTATGCAACCTCCTCGCCACAAACTTCCCCGTCCCCCACACACTCATTGCAATAATACTCGCTCCGAAACTCGGCGGCGCCAACACCCATCCTACGCCTGACACGAACGTCCCGATCGCGGTTGCTGAGACGGCTGCGGCTATGGCGCCGTAGGCGGCGTATTTGGCGTAGCGGATGATCCGCCAGAAGATGAACTGGGTGAGATAGCGGAGGGTGCGGAGGAGGGCGCGGGTGCGGAGGCGGGTTGGGCGGTCGGTTGTTGGGGAGGTGGTTGGGTTGACGAGGTAGTTGAAGTTGCGGCGGGCGTTGATTAGGGCGGAGTTGGATTGTTGGTGGACGGCTATGTCGTCGCTGGTTGAATGGTGGCTGTGGGCTGCTGATGGTATTGCGGATGAGCCCCTGGAAGGTGCCATGGTACGAGATGAGGTTTGAGGGTAGCTAGGTTTGGAAGGTGTTGCTGTGGATAGAGAGTTTGTGTAGGGAACTTGAAGTTCGCTAGAAAAGCCATGTACAGCTACTACGTCATCGTCCAACGCGCTGGCCAGCACAATATCTTGAGCGATAAATCATTGAACATAGCAGCACACATCTATTTTAGAAGTTGAAAGCTATTTGTGTTGCTGTATCTAGCTCTGATCTGAGCATACAAACTATAGCCCAAAATGGTCGCCAAAGAGCTAAACTCTGGCAAAGCAATTACTCGCCGTCCGAGTCACTGAGCACAACCATCTTCATCTTTCCGCCCTCACTCCATTCCTCAATCTTGCCATCTCCTCTATCAACTCTCACCTTTCCAATTCTCTTGTGGTTCCTCTTCCCACCTTTCGCAACATGATCCTCCATACCAAATCTTGCATCCTCAAGGTCATTCTGCAAGTCCCGCCACATCTCGTTGATCACACCCGTAGCGTCCATAGTGTCGACTATTTCTTCGGCCTGTTTCTCTCGCTTCTTCTTGCTCATTTTTTCGCGTGCTAGGATGGATTCGGCGGAGAGAACGCCTTGTTCGTCGAGGTAGGATAGAAGGGCTTGGTTCAAGTGGTATTTCCAGTGAGTCAGTTTGTGACCCATCTCTGCGTTCGCAGCGCAAAAGCGACCAAGATTGAATGTGCGGCCGGCTCGAGGGAGAAGGTGTCCTGCTGCATCGTATGACGCTTTGTCGTCCTGATCTTCGTCGTCGTCTTCCTCTTTGTCTGACTCGCTCTCGTCTGCATCCTCATCGATTGGTTCGAGAGTGTCTGGGTGGTATGCATGACCAGAAAACTTGAATTCGTAACGTGCTGGATGGTTGGTCCTGTTGCAGGCATCACAATTGAGAAAGAGCTCATCATCGCCTCCGGATGTGAAGCTGACTTGCATCCGTGGACGTGCAAGAATGGTGTTCTTGAATTCCTCACCCCAAGCACTTGAGATGAGTCTACTACCTGCTTGTGCCTTTATTTGGTCGTTGATCTTGTTCCAGGAAAGTTCATACAGCTCGTCGTCCCGTTGGAATGCTGGTGCGATCTTGTTCTTCACTAGCCATTCCACTACATGTATGAAGAGCTCTTTGGGCTTGCTGCTGGCAAAGGAAGTGAATGCCAGTGGTATGCCAGATTGAGGGCTCCTGCCGTGCTGGACTTCCTCTTCGTCTTCGACCACAAAGTCATCGTCATCTTCGATTTCAATAGACTCCGCTTCTTGAGGTTGCTCATCCTCAGAGTTGGACGATATCTCTATCCTTTCAAGGGCACGCCGTGGTGAAGATGTGTGGAGACCGATTCTATTGATGTCTGCTCCGTCCTGCTCGTCGAACTCATCCAACTGCTCGTCGTCCGAGTCCTGGACACGTGGGATCTTTTCTCCAGCCCTTCTACGCTTGAGTGTCTCGATATGCTCGCGCCTTCTGTCTCTTTCTGTCGTGACTGGACCACCTCGTGTGCGCCGGACGTTTGTATTGACGGCGTCCACATCTGGCACATCGTCATCTTTGCCGGATCCTACGAGGTCTTCAAGGTCTTCCTCTAGCTCATTCTGCTCTCTCCGTGATCTCTCGCGTCGTTTGTTCTTGCGACTCTTCTGTTTTTCGATGCGCTGAACAGCTTCGTCGCTACTTGAGACATACTCTACTTCATCGTCATCTGCTACGAAGTCATCTTTGGGGGCACGATCTGGTCTTGATGTTCTTCTGGTTCTGTTCGGTCGCAACTCAGGTTCGTCTTCTATGTCGTCGTCTACGACGAAAGGGTCGTCATCGCCTTCTTGCCGTGTTGGTTTTCTTCGTGAGGTTAGCTTTGTGAAGATAGAAATCTCTTCGTCGCCACTTGTCTCTGGCGAGCCTATACTCGGAGCTCGAAGTAATGGCGGCGAAGATGCAATCCTGCTTGTGTTCTGGGCCTTCGTCCTGGACCGTAGTGAGAGATCGGTAGGTGGTGTTTCGAGGTGATGTAATCTTGAAGGTCTTCGTGTAGGTGTCTCGGCTGACCCATTCGCGTTCAACTTCCTTCGCTTGCTGGATGACACCACAATCTCATCTTCCTCCTGCTCTCTGATCTCGTCGGATTTCTCTGGAGTTGACGGCGGGTCGCTCAGAGGCGATGAAGCACGTGGCGCATTGGCATTAGGTTGGGACGATGGCTCTGGTGTGAGAAGTGGTTCTGGTTCAGTGGTGAGATTCCGCGCAGCTGACCTTGATGACTGTCTAGAGCCTTGGTAGCGCACAGACGCCAGTCTGCCTTGTACGGCTGCGCTATATGTTTCTTTGGCAGGGGACAAGTCGGGTAGAGGATGAAAGCTGAGGCGTGTTTGCCTTTTCTGATGTCGCAACGACCGGCCCGTCATGGTCGTGCGATGTCAAGATTACGAAGAGATATCCCGGTAAGCTATGTTAGAATGAAAATATCCATATTCTTGACCTGTACTCTATCCTGGCGGCATACCATTTTGACGCGAATTGAGCAGGCGAACGCAGCCTGCACGTGTCACAGTGTCACGCGAACGTGCTGCGACTTTCAACCAGGCACCAAGGCATACTACGACAGGAAGCAGACACTCATTACTTTATTGTCTCAGCAACAAGAGCTGGCGTGGCTAGGTGCAACTGTAGGCGTCTCGCGACTGCGCAGAAGAGCATCTGCCAGAACCGGAGGTCGGCCACAGCCTTCGAGATGAGGTGCTCAACAGTACACGAAATCGAACATCAGAGAGATACGGTACTAGAAAAGCTCATCGCAATCTTCGAGCGTAAATATTGAAGCGGCGCGTATTACTAGTTCTTCAGCAAGCGTGCTTGTCTCGGCCAATTAACGGGCAAAAGCTGCAAGTAGAATCTGGTTGGAACGTGGCAGAAACGTCCACTGTTAATCTAAGGCTTTTCTGAATACCGGCACTACGATGTTTCAGAGCTATGAGTACAATGCTCTACCCATCTAAATGTCGATTCAGGTCATAAGATCGAATTCAGGTACGTCTGAACACGATTGGATCACTGGAAACAACACTGCGATCTCTCCTGACCCCACTGATGAAGCTCTAACAGGCACGCCTCCACACAAAGTCTCTTCCTCTACAGCGACTGCCACGTTCACAACCTCTGAAATTTTCCAGAACTGCAGATCGCAGATTGCATGTCCGAAGGACAAACGCGATCATGCTTCGAGCATTGCCACAATCTAGAGATGCACGAAGCAAAACGTTTGACGCACCAGACAGGTAGGGCATCAAGCATGTGAAGGTTGGAATGCCAGATCTTGATGTGGCTGATTGTAGTGGCTTCCCCCAGTCTCTGGTCGAAAAGGATGATGTCGCACAGGTTTGTTGAGATAGAGTGATTGGCTGCCGCCGCACGTTCTCATAAGTCTAGACTGAAAGTGTAGCCCCGGACATACCACTAGCCAAGGCTAAGCTCGATTCGAGCAGGTCGCGTTGCCAGGAAATTTCAGTGCAGCACAGATGACGTAGGTAGTGACAACAGGAGCGGTGGGAGCGGTGGTCCGCCTCCCCTCAGAGCTCAGAGCGTGCCTGCCAAAGCCAAGTTTGTCTGCTCGTTGGATATCGTCATATCACTTGGTTGCGACCCACTACTTCCTACTTGATGACGCCCTGGGAAGCTCTTTGAACCTGATTCTCCTTCTTCACACAATTGAAATTCCCCAACCCCAATCGCCATTCTATACCCATACCTTCGTATCAAGCAGAACCTAATACTCATACCCACGAATTTGGCTTGATTGCGACTTTGTTTTTGATACCCCGATTTGTAACCTACCCATCATGGCGAACGTCAACAGACCTACCGATTTTGCCCAGAAAGAGCGAGACATCAACCAGAAACTCCAGCTCTATGGTAAGTCTTATTCTTTCCTGTGGCTATCAGAATGTTAACTTGTATCAGGAATCTTCACTGCCTTTTCACAGGGCAAGGTTCCCTCGAACAAACAAATTGATATTGCCTTGAACAGCTTCCTTGCTTCAAGAGCGCTTTCATCATCACACAAGAACCTGTCATCAGAAGGTCAAAACCTCGTCGCAGACGCAAGACAAGCGATCAAGGAGACCCAGAAGTTGCTTCTGTCCAAAAATGAGGGTAACCTGCTCCAAGAATTTATTTGGGATGCTCAGCACATCGATGGAGCCGGCGCCGGCACACCTAATGCCCCTATTGACAAGAACACCGCTCAACAACACGGCGATCAAGCTCTTGACGGCTTGAAGACCCTTGGTAGACTTGTCATCTCCAACGGACAGTTCCGAAAGCTACTCGACGATGGCCTGGTCTTGCTCCGGGATATGGCTGGTGACGCCGCTCAGAAAACCGCGGACAAGGTCAATCCAGACCAGGACCGACTCAAGCGAATCGACGAACCTGCCGAGGATAATACGTGGCACGACACCTCCAACCTCAACAGAGGTAATCTCAAGCAGCAATTCAATGAGACTGTCAACAAAAATAAACCATTCAGTCGAGAGGACGTCAAGCAGGCCGGTCAACAAGGTCGAGAGACTGCCGAGCAGCACCCATCTTCTGGTGATCCACGAAACCCCAACTCCAACAACCAAGCTGCTGGTCAATCTGGCGCTCGTGCCGCCTTTGACAATCTCAAGTCGAAGGCCGAACAAAACATTCCCGAGGAGAACAAGCAACGAGCACGAGAGACCAGAGATGCTACTCAGCAGAGAACGAAAAACTATTTGAGCAAGAAGATGCCCCAAGAACGCCGGGACCAAACTATCTGGCGGCTGAAGAAGATGCTCGTCGAGATTCAGGGTCATTCTGATTGTAAGGCAAGCCTGGCGTTGTCATGCTGTTCGTACTAACATCCATTATAGACCAAGACGCCATTGTGACTCTACTTGACCTCGCTGAGCGATATACTGGTCACGGCCGAGAGCTAGCCAACCAGTCTGCTGGAACTGTTAAGGGCGCCCATCAGGATGGCGCTCTTCAACGCACGGAGCGAAACATCAAGGTACGTCTCAAATTATATCATACAAGTCCACGTATACTAATATAGGTAGACACTGATCGAGCGATTTGCCAACTTTACTTCCACCGATGACCTTACCGATTCTCTTAACCAGGTCTATCGCGATGCTGACCAAGATCCTGAACTCAAGAGCTGGTTCCGACGAACCAATGCCTATATCCGAAAGTGCCTGCGAGAGCAGGGCTTCATTTTGCAAGACCAAGCCACTCGAGAGTGGAATGAGCTCTACGACCAGGCTCAGTTCTTGTTCCGTGACAGATATAGGGACCATACCGACCACCTGCTCGACGAATTCAAATTCTTGGCCGACCAATTTGACCAAGATCCACAAAACAGAGCCTTCGCTGATTCCATGCAGAAGCTCTTCCTTGACTTGGGCCAAGACGAGGATGGCAACCCAGCTTTCAAGCCACACCTCATCAAAGATCTCACTGAGGTTATTATTCCTGCTATCTTTGCCAACACCCAATATGTTCCAATTCCCCGAATCGAAGTTTCTGACCCCATGGTCGATCTGATTGTTGAGAACTTGGTTCTTGAGTCCGATAACTTGTTCCCTAACGCTTTGGAGTTTGGTTCTGACAACTACTGGCGATATGGTCGAAAGACTGTCCGAAGCACACGTGAGAATAAGGTTATGATCGCTGGCTCTGGCATTCAGCTCGATCTGCGAGATGTTGCCTACTACTTGAAGAAGAAGCAAGGCTTCCCATCCATCACTGACAAGGGTGTTATGGACATTATCCTCTCAGGTGAAGGCTTTGGTTTCAAGATCGCCGCTCGCAATGCCACTAAAGCTACCGACCGAACTCATTTCCTACACATCGATAAGGTCGACGTTACCATCAAGACTCTCGACATCAAGGTCAAGCAGTCCAACCACAAGTTGCTCTTCAAGCTGGCCAAGAGCTTGTTGCTCAAAGTGATGCGACCTGCTATCCAGAAGGCCATCGAGAAGCAGATTAAGGACAACTTCGAGAAGTTTGATGCCATGGCTTATAGTGTCTACAACGAGGTCCAGCGATCCAAGCAGGCTGCCAAGAATGATCCTGAGCAGGCTGCCAATATCTATCAGAGATATGTCAACGCTATCCAACAAAAGATGACAGAGAAGAAGAAGAAGGCTGAGAACCAGTCAAAGAAGACTGACGTCAAGGTTGCTCTGACTAAGGAGGATTCCATGTTTAAGAATATCTCCCTCCCTGGTGGCATTTCCACAAAAGCTACTGAGTACAAGCAACTTGCTGCTAAGGGCGATCGATGGGAGTCTCCAATCTTTGGTATTGGCAGTGCTAAGGAGTCTACTTCGCTACCTCATGCTAGCAAGGTTACTCGTAAGCCACACAACACCCGAAGTGCTGGTATCCGTGGTGGCAATCACCCTAACAGCAGCGATTCATCAGGCGGCCTTACTGGTTCGTCAGGCCAATCGGGCTATGGTCAATCTGGTTCAGGCTATGATCAGCGAGGCTATGATCAGCGAGGCTACGATCAGAGTGGATATGACCAGAGCGGTTACGGTCAATCTGGTTACACTGGTGCTCCGTCACAAGGTGTGTCTGGCGTATCGGGCCACTCTGGCACATCAGGTGCCGCTCCAGGTTACACCATTGCAAACCCAGCATCATCAGGTCTCTCATCGTCTCTTGGTGGACCAGGATCTAGCACCATCGGTACTGCATCTTCGACAAACACCAGCGGTCTGAGAGGTGAACTTGACCAAGCATTCAACACCACTGGCACCGGTCAAAGCAATCTCGCTGGTGGTGACAGACGTGGTGACAACCAAGTCGGTTCTGCCACCTTCTACGACAGCATCACCAAATAAATCTAGATGATGAAAGCATGATGGAAAAGCAATGTTGGTGGCACTTTCACGATTGATACCCAGCTCGCGTTTGATGTTGTGGTTTGTAGGTGGAGATGCGAGATGCGAGATAGGTACGCTCAGTACTTGACAGGATGAGTTGGTCAGTCGTTTGCGGTCATGGTGGAAACGAATGATACCTATCAGTCATCTTACATTGGTTTGCGATGCATTTTATAGTTGATACCCTAATAATCGTTCTTTGAACACTCATCGCTGGTTTACAACTGGGCCTTTATACACGTATCACTTCCTTGGAAATGTTTCTCCATTCTCCTCCTCTTGTCTTGCAGACCGTGATTGTCCAGTTAAAATGAGTTAACTCAACATTTCGGCTCGTGCACAAAATGGATGCTACCCTCTCGGTCACTATGCCAGTGAACTTATGTATCATACATGGCATGTTGTAATTGTCGTCGGTATACGTAACCGTGACATCGAGCAGGTGATGAATAAAATCACAGATAGGGGGTTTTATTAGTTATATACTTCCTATACCTATTCAACAATTTACTATAAGCCTAGTACCTTATGTAATATATAGCTCCTTTCTACACCCTACTAGTGCTCGTCGACTAATAAGTACTTCGGCCTCTCTATAAATGACACTAACTGCTCAACGTCTGTGCAGAAATCATCCACGCTGTCCAGAGTCAATCGATCATCGAGACGCAGCAGCTCTTGCTCTCGAATATCTATGCTGGATCGAGCCATCTTCTCTGCGATAGATTAGCGCTCGCTGAGGCCAGCAAAGCAAGCTCGACGGTACAGAATATCCACGAAAGATGATAACATTGATCAGTCTCAGACGCATTTGATCCCTAAATGGCGAAAAGTCAACGAGATAGGTACATGTCCACAGGCACGTTGCTACACTTGCCCAGCCATATTCGTGGCCTGCCAAAGTCGAATTCATCCCAACATTGGACACTGTCTATTTGCTTAGTGACATCCCGATGGCGTGTTCAGCATCGCTGTGAAGTGCTTCTCGTCGAAAAGGATCTGAAAGACGTGGCTAACGATGTCAGGAGGCATAACCGAATATGTCGAAAGCCAAACAAGAGAAGTGTATGATCAGTAAAATGGCTGCTGGTCTTGTGGTACGGCTGTACCATGTAAATTGTGGAGAATCCCGAGTTTGCCAAAAGCCCTTCGTACCACACAGATTATGGCCCACAATAATGTCATGCGCAAAGCATGTTCCCGCCGTTTAAGAGACCAGCCTTCCAATGTACTGCAGGAAGAATCGTGTATCTGGTCCACGCAGAGAACATCTGGTGTCAAGACACACTGGCACGTTGAAAAATCAGTTGTAACGAAGCCGCTTACTTGGCACAATGCCACAGAATTCAGGAACCAGTCGGTCAGAGTCTGATACTAACCGAAGAAAATATGATTTAGAATACCAATAGCCAAAAGACGAAGCAGTTAAAACCAATTGTTGAAAGACGAAGCAGTCTACTAGTAGTATTGTATCGTGTAATTTTGCAACACGAGTACAAGGCCCACATGTGCCCAACGAGCCATGTGCTCAACATCAAATGTTCTCGTGTCAAGGCGTCCGTCCGTAGCGAGGAGAAAGTCGGGTAGGTTAAGCCAAAGGCTTCTAGCGTCAATACATAAGCAGGTCGGAACATTGATAGCCCTATCGTCGTCTTAATATAATCCGTAGATGTCGAGGGCGGTCCTGTCCGGTGTTCCTTACTCGCGATCTGAGGATCTCTAAGCGAGTAAGCGCACTCAATGACACAAGTCGCAACCATAGTCCAGAATGTCACTTGAAATAGTTTGGAGTATCCGAGGAAAGGATCAAACACAGCGCGCTTAGTGACTTTGGCAGCAGCAACGAAGGAAGTGAGTGAGTGTTTGGGTGGTGGCCGGAGCACCGCCTCAACCACCTGCAAACAGTCTTGCGGCAGGTCTTGACTGGCAGCCTGTACTAATGTCAACAGAAAAGCTCCCTCACCAACCTGCATATACGAATTCATGCCTACCTTCAATCCCTGACAGTATAGCTGATAATCCTTTTCTGCCGTCCATCGTGCCAGAGCAAAAGTATCAAGGGCGTACGGCACTCCAACAGAGAATGCCAACATTGCAATCAAGATTCCAAGTACGGAAAGCCATTGCGCCTTCTCCTTGCGGAACCGAAAGACGGATTGCGCATGTTGGCCAACAACCGCGTTGGTAACGGTCGGACGTACATTAGACACTGTGTTGGACGGTGTGGTTTGAGTGCTCGTTTGGGGACCACCCAGGTTTAAGGAGTTCGGTTGCGAGACATTAGGTGAATGATTAGCAGTACCGCCAAGATTGGACATTTGTGTGGACATTTTGCTGCAAAAGGGCCTTGATGGAGGCAACAACGTCCTCGAGATGTACGCTAGTCATTCAGGGTGAAGAGAGTCGACTCATTGTCCATCGTGCGTTCGAGGTGTGTTCTGCCTGAATTGCCTAGAACTTGGATACCAGACTAGTACTGTGGCTTTTGAGCACATGATCTTAGGTGCCACGTGAGAAGCGCTTGACTGTAGCGTCGAAGCGAGGAAGATGCGAAAGTAGCTCTTCCATCATCGGCCACTTCCTTCAGTAGAAACAAGTTTGTGATTGACAAGCGTCATCCTACTCGAGTTGCTTCTATATTCCTTCATTATGTTCGCGGACGTCGATCTTACACTTACGCTTCTTCATATCGTGCAGTGCATCGAAGGTGTGGTTACGTCACGTGGATACGTGATGCTTTCGAAGAATCAACCTGATTCTACTGTGGAACACCTCTGTGGACGAATACGACTTTCAGCACCGTATATGGTGCTCTAATCATCTTGCCTGAGAAACAGATTCGTAAAAGCTGTAGAGAAGTATCTGACGAGCGCTTTTTTATGCTTAAGTATCTGATATAAACACCAACTACCTTGAGTCCTCGAAAGGCTGTCTAGGGTACTGGCGCCTTACGACGAGGTTTTCTTGGCTTATATCTTTATATCGTCCAACTAGAACGCTCCTCTTTTCTTCTTGCTATATCCTTTCTTCTATCACTCTACTACTTCTACCACGCCATCAGCCATGAACCCAACAAAACCACTTCTCCTCACGTCTTCAACACCACATCTGGACACCCTCATCCGTGGAATCGTCCACATCCACGCACACTGTATCCTCCACGATGGGCAACTCGCTACTTTCCTCCCTCCCCTGTCTCACAACAAGATTCTGAAATTCTGGCAGACTAATTTGCGTCAAGTCGGTGCTGGAGAACGACGGATCATCGTAAAGTTACTCAAAGTGGACGAGAGGAGTATTTCGGAGGATGATGCGAGTATAGTGCCTTTGCTGTATGCTGCTGATTCTGTGGGGGTTGTTTCGATACCAGTACTTGAGATTGATGGGGAGAGGTGGGAAGTCGCTGGAGTTGTTAGCTTATATGAGCCGTGGAGCGAGACTGGACCGATGAGAGGGCTGGTGGAGAAGCTGTTCACGTCGCCTTTTCATAGAAGGAAGGGTGTTGCGAGAATTGTGATGGAGGAGTTGGAACGTATAGCGAGAGAAGATGGACGATGGAATTTGCTATTGGATACTACGGTCGGAACGGATGCTGAGCATGTATATCCGAGGTTGGGATATAGTAGAGCTGGATTGGTGAAGCAGTATGGCGTTCATCCAAAGACTGGACAGTATGTAGATGAGGTGTGGTTCTGTAAAGACTTGAGATGAATGCTGGGCCGACTCTTGCGTACCCTAGCTATACACAGCCTGGGTATACCATGGATTAGAACAAGAATATCCTCGAAGACTGTCCTGCACGCCAAAACTTTCGTCGTTACCAATCATCTCGTGTGCTACTGCTGTCCTTTTTCAGCTTTCGGAGATCAACATCCACCCGTCCTGAATGTTCCTCGCAAACATCATAACCTCAAAGTCCGCGAAGACCAGCAAGACCATAGATGCAATGTAGAGCCAATCCCAGCACGAATTGGTAGTACTGGCAAGGTATCAACCAGGCGGATGCTGTCTCGTCAATGAGCCGAGTACCCATGTAGATAGCACCCATCAGAAGTGTAGGTATCATTGAAAGCCCAGAGACGAGTCCGACAGCTGTAAAACGCTTGATTCGTGGGGATCTTGGCGTGAATCCCTTGCAGGTGTATAAGACTATGGTGATGAATACGTAGCAGAAGACAAGAAATAGGAAGATCATGTATTGGATTGGAACTTGTAGAAACCTCGGTCGGCGTTGACGCTTGTGGAGATTGAGCTCTGTTGCATCGACTTGTATTGCAATTGAGGTGTATGTCATATTTGCTGCTTTGTGTAGAGACAAGGGAGATGGTTATTTTATGAATCAGTGCTGCGTGATTGGTGTTGATAATGGATGGCTAGAGAGAAGAACCTTGCCGGAGTTTGCAGATAGGATGAAATATGTGCAAATGAACATTTGGCAATTGCGGTTTATTTACCATTTGGAAAGAGCAGTCTGAACCAGCTCAATGTTTAGTAGTGCAGAAGTGGTCGCTCCATTGAAGCAGGAGCCTTCGGTCCTCGGAGCAGGTGACTCAGCTACTCAAGATTCTGAGCCTTCTTTCTGTCCTTCCTTATGCTCCTGCCCCTCCTTGTCCACACTCAGTTTCTCTTAGCCTTCCGATTCGTCCTCTGCATCCTCCTTTTGGTCTCCGTTTTCGTCCTCTTTTTCGTCGCTTTCTTCGTGCTGTCCTGTCTCATCAGCGGAACTCAAAGGCGAGTCGGACTCATCATCACCCTCCGGGTAAGGCGGAGGCAGATCTGCTTCATCGTTAGTCAGATCGTGCATCTCCATCTCAGTCGAATCCACTACCTGGGCTGCAGGTCTGGCATACTTAGCTCGTATTCGATCGTCCTCGATTTTAAGATAGTAGCCAAGCTTTTTTCTTTGACCACGGCGCACGATGGCAACATAGTTCGACTCCAGAACCTTCTGGGCCAGGTGAGGATATAGCTGCATCAGCCACTTCAATCGCGCTGCCCTAGTTTCATTCGAGGCTAAGCGTCCTGGTGTTTTGAACAGCTCGCAAGCCACGTCATCGAGCACGAAGCGTGCGAAGGCTGTGGTTAGAACTTTAGGAAAAGGGTTAGCGAGCTCGAGAAGATACTGAATCACATCGGGGCTGACATCGCCGTGTGTGATGTCGTAAAAGGTTTCAAGGGCTTCCCTGGATAGGCTGTCCAGGGAGAGGCAGTCTCCCCAAATATACAGATGTGCGAGCTCGAGTTGACGAGACTGCAACACCTTTTCGTTGCCTTCTTCCAGTTCTCGCCAGAGAGTGTTTGGGCCACTAAACAGCCACGAGACAAGGTTTCGGAAGGTTCGAGTATCCTTTGTATTGCGGATTAGGATTGCTCCTGCTTCAGCCTCCAGCATCGAGTGCATTGGATCTAGGCAGCTTGTGTAGAATCGTTCGTGTAAATGGAATATTCCTTTTGGGATGCTGATTATCGCTTCTGGTACATCCTTGAGCCCAAGCTTGAAGCTTTCATTGAGCTCGCTGAGCGGCAAGGACTCGATTGGGCTAGGCATGCTGCTCAATTGCTTGGTCAATTGCTTGTTCAGTGGCTTGGTTAGTTGCTTGATCAGAAAGGTAATAGAAGCTGTGCAGCAGGAGCTCAGATAGTATTGTGAGACATGTTGATGCGAGACAGTCAAGCATCCCTTTGTCGAAGGTTGTTTTCATTCGGTTGTTGCGGACAATCATTCACATTGTTGCCATCGTCAGTTTGTAGGAGAGCGACGACACAACAAAGCGAAGAATGCATTACGCAACGGCTGCCTGCAAATTCGTTGTTGCTAGCACGGCTGCCTCAGCGCGACCTGTGGTGGTAGTCGGAGAGTCATGATCTAGGTCGCTCTGAATGGATACCACGAGAGCCTGCAAGTCTAGCCTCGCCGCGATCTGGACCAAGCACCTGTGCCGCGGGAGTTCGAGTCTTCACCTGCAGTGGTCGCCTGCATGTCCCTGGCATAATCAGCAGCACCGCCTTCGCGACGTTCTCGATCGAGCATCGCATCAAACTCTTTCTGAGCTTGCTCTTTCGCAAGACGTTTGTCTTCTTCGGAATCAGAGAACGAGAAGCTATCGCTTCTAGTCTCAAAGTCGCGAGATTGAGTCGCGCCAACAGATCTGTTTCCTTGTGGTCTGTTTCTTTGAGGTTGAGATACACCTTCGCCTTTTCGGATACGAGACCAGGCACTCCCTGACCCCTGTCGCGAATAACCCTGAGACGTGCCCATATCAGGATCGTTGCCGGCGGTTGGTGATGCGTCGTCGAAGAAGATATCAGCAGAGGATGAAGATGAGGCGGAATTTGGCTGGTCAAAGTCTGTTCGAGAGCCTCTTGCTTGAGCTTTACTCCATGCTGTTGGGGGAGCTTGCCTTGATTGACGTTGCTGCATGTCACGATCAGCTAGAAGGCCTGTGTCGGTACTCCCATCGGTGAACGAGCTGTCTCCAGTTGAGCTACTATCGTTACCAAAGGGCTGACTATCGTAGAAGGTTGAGGGTGATGCATCGTCTTGTTCTTGCGCGTTTACCATCTGTTGTGGTTGCTGCTGACCTCTGGCTGCAGCTTCACTTGCTCGGTTCGACCTCAAGCGATCGAATTGACCTTTGAGTGTTTGTGTCAAAGCATGTGTACGACGATCCTGATACAAACCCACAGTCATGCGAGTGTCTGCGATACTTCTGACGAATGGTTGGGTCAGGAAGAGCCACATAACAATGTAGACGTTTGCTCTTGTAACATGCCACATCACTCTAGCATATCGACCCTTCAATATTGGCAGCACTCGGGCTGGAAAGCTTTCATATCTTTCCTGTGGTTTCGGCTTTATGAAAGGAAACTTCATATTCTTTCTGCCAGTCCATGCTGAGCCGAGGCCAAGCCCGATAGCACCCATCTGACCAAGATACATAGTCATCATTCTCCTGGAGCTGTAATAAGCTATTCCTTCAGCTTCTTCTTGTGTGACTTGTCTTCCACTCATATTCTCGCAGGCACGGATCATATCAATGAGCAAAGTACCAGTGACTGCAGTGCTGCTATTACCGCCATAGCAAAGTGCTCTTGTCCAACCACCAACTGGGATATTGTCGAACGGCAAACGGTAGTTTCGGTTCTGACCTTTGAGCTGATATGCTAGCTCGATCGCATCGGATGCAAGGTGGACGGAATAGTGTGATCGTATTTCTGTAATCTCTTTCAACAAACTACCCGGGTTCTCTCCCGGCTGTAAGGGACGACCGCCAGGACCCATTGAAGGTGGTAAGCCCGAGGCAGGAGGTTCGGTGGAGGCCATTGTCGCAAAGGTAGACTTTCGGCAGCGAAGGTGATATCTACTTTAGCTGTATATATACTCTCATTGCAGAATTACAAGTGGCTGAGAATTGAGCTGTCCAACCTGAAATATAGAAGACCAGAACAATACAAAATATTCGGATGAAGACCTGTTGTGGGTGCTCGCATGTACCGCACTAGGTAGGTACGTGTTGACGCGCTCATGCTTGCTCCTTCCACAACCGCGAATGACGTCTTCTCAATTCGTCCACATTGCAACCTCAGGCACGTTATATGTTAGATTAACCTCAACCATGCTGTTGAAGCGACGACAGTGCCGGCAACTCTTTGCGTCCATCACCACTACAGGCACAAACCGCCGCCAACAGGGCATCTGGTTCGCTATATTCGACAATTCTGACAATCTTGCTAATTCACGTGGCAGTGGCCAGATCTGTCGCAGTAGAGTCTCACATTCGGCAAGCATCGACTGCCCTCATCGAAATACAGTCAAACCTCTAGTTGTCACATACCACGCTTCGTAATCCTAGCACACTAATCCAACTCTGAGACCAGTTTCGTGCGCCCACCATGCCTCCGAAAAAGCAGGACAATGCCCCTAAGAAGAAGGCCACTGTAGATGACAAGACTTTTGGTATGAAGAATAAAAAGGGAGGGAAAGCACAGCAACAAATTAAGCAGCTAGAAGCCCAGGCCAAATCAAACAAGTCCCTAGACGAAAAGCGAAAAGAGGCCCTGAAAGAGCAGAAAGAGAAAGAGAAGGCTGCCTCTGAAGCTGCCAAGAAAGAAGCTGCAGAATTATTCAAGCCGGTTCAAGCGCAAAAAGTACCTTTCGGTGTCGATCCCAAGACCGTACTATGTGAGTTCTTCAGGAAAGGTACCTGCGAAAAGGGCAAGAAATGTAAATTCAGCCATGACCTAGACATTGTCCGCAAAACACAGAAGAGGGATCTCTACGTCGATGAGCGTCAGCAAGAGAAGGAGGAGAAGGAGAAGGACAAGATGGACGATTGGGATGAAGAGAAGCTACGCCAAGTCGTCCTCAGCAAGCATGGTAACCCACGTACTACAACCGACAAGGTCTGCAAATATTTCATTCAGGCTATCGAGGAAGGCAAATACGGCTGGTTCTGGACGTGTCCGAATGGTGGTGACAAATGCATGTATAAACATTCGCTGCCTCCTGGGTAAGTTCTTTGCGTCCACGATTATGACTTGTGCTAACACCCGCTAGATTCGTGATCAAGACGAAAGAGCAAAGGGCAGCTGAAAAAGCACTCATGGACAAATCGCCTCTGAGCACTTTAACCCTAGAAGACTTCTTGGAGTCTCAGCGGCATAAACTTGTCGGCAACTTAACCCCGGTGACGCCTGAGACTTTTGCCAAGTGGAAGAAGGAGCGCCTCGACAAGAAAGAGGCTGAAAAGGCTGCATTGGCTGCCAAAGACGCCACTGGTCGAGCACTATTCGAAAGCGGCAATTGGAAGGTCGACTCTGATGCAGAATCGGATGAGGACGCTGACGAAGATGACGACGACGAAGAGGACCAGGACGATCGTTGGAATCTAGAGGCTATGCGCAAGGAGACTGAACGTCTTCAGATGCAACGAGAGGAAGAGAGACTACTACGAGGCTACGCTGGTGGTGAGCAGGAAGAAAGTGGTGAACCCAGCAATGCGCCGAGCATAAACGGCGACGTAAAGAACGAAGGAGATGGTTGATCAAAAATACCGACCACGCACTCAATCTCTTTGGACTTCGGCTCGAATTCATACTCGGTGTTAGCTATCGTCACGACTTGCGATCTCAAGACAGCTGCATGTGTCAGCCCGAGTGAAGTTGCTAACAGACGAGCAGCCCGGATACCAGGACAATGAACCAGAGTAACCATCGTGTCCGAGCAAAAACAGCTGTGTTGCGATGGGCCACGCTACAAGCAGCTACCCTATCCCGTGTCGTTTCCATGTCTTTGTCGCTTGGAAACAGGTCCCAATCTCGCCTCGACGTTCAATCCACAAGTCGGGTTAGAGCTAGGACTCAGAAATTTCTGCTAAAGTCTCATCGTACCCACGATCTATACTGGTCTCTTCTGAATGGACGACCCATTTGAGTAACTCTGATGGCACGGCAAGCTTTCTAGCACAAACACCTGGTCAGTCTTCGTTGTTCATCAACAACGAACTTAGACATGTCCTTTCTACCGACAAACACATCGCCAATGCATTGTCAAGTTTTTTGTTTCTATCTGTTCCTTATACTTCCCACCACGTTTCTAAAGTATGCTGAACAGCAGTCTACCCAATCGCCTCATTCTTGTGAATATCTTGCACTACACTTCGAATTACCTTTACTATCAAAGCATGCCTCAGACTCCAGTCAATGCGGCCAGTTGGGCCATCAACAATACCCGAATTCTATCTAGCTCTGGTAGCAGATGTGCGAATGACATGCAGGGCGTCGTCATTTTCAGCAAACCCGTCTCAAGCACAGACGAAAAGGATGTCTGTCCATTCTGTCAAGAGAACTTAACAGCAGGTCAATCTATCATGGTACACACGAGCCACTGCAAGAACAGCTACCATGCCAAATGCATGGAGGAAGCTATTACTCGAGGCGAAAGCAAGTGTCCCTTCTGCCGGATCGAGATCTGTAAATCATTGACCTCAGAACGGCGCGGAGAAGACTTCCGCCTGTTCTTCTGCTCCCGTACAGTAGGGCTAGGTCCCGTCGGATACGCCGCCGCTCTCGACAACCGTCCCGGCTACGCCGCCCAGGATCGATTCTTCATGAAAGTCCTCGAACTCGAGAAAGAGCTCCAATACGAGCTCTCCTGCATACGCCGCCACCACGACAAGGTACACCGCCATATCATGCAAGGTAAGAACCTCGAGATCGAGAAATTCTTATTCGAGCAAGAGCGCAGGCGGCGAAGCGTACACATGCAAGACATTAAGCGTGAAATGCAAGGTCAACGCGTTGGACCTCATCTGGACCGTCTAAAGGTCAAACAGAAGGCCGAGGAAGCCGCGTTCATGGTCAAACTCGGAAGAGAAAAAGAACAAGAGGAGCTGGCGTGGGCTCTTTCCATGCACGATTGGCAGGAGGAAGTTACAGAACAGCATGCGGGCATAGTCAATTACCAGTGGTATAAGATGGAGTATGCACAGGAGCATGACCCTCGGGGTAGTGAGTGGGAAGAGATTCCGTATCCGCTATGATCAGCGAGTCAGTAAAATTGGCGACAGAAGCTCTCCCAGAAGTTAGACCAAGTTGAACCAAATTAATTAATTTGACGAAATGAACTGTGCAACCCTTGTTGTCTTTAAAGCAGATTGATGAATTCGGTACGTCGTACGTAAAGACGCTCTTTCGCGAAATGGGCCTGCATGGCAATACACTGAATTTTTCACACAATCATTTTCGTTCTTGCCTACTTTTTGCCTATCTCTAGTCTGACTCATTGTACGCCCTCAATCATGACCTTCAACACATCCTCGCCCCCTCTCCTAACCGTCTCGAAAGCCTGCTCAGCTTCCTCAAACTTATACCTGTGCGTGATGAGCTTCTGGGGCTGCACCTTCCCACTAGCGACAAGGTCCACGGCCTGAGGGTAGACCCCAGCAGTATACCTAATTGAGCCTCTGATCGTAAGATCACGAATACAGGCCACCGTAATCGGAAAGACCACATTCTCTCTGCCCATACCTGCTTGGACGTACGTGCCGCCTTTCTTGCACAGATGCACACCAGTTTGGATGCATGACTGGGCACCTGTGGCGTCAATGACAACTTCCGGACCTTGGCCGAGGTCAAATTTGTCCTTGATGAGCTGTGCGACTTTGGCGCTGTGTTCACTTTCTTCGTCGGTTGTGTGGGACGTGCCGTCTTCCTTCTTGGGCATTGGTGGTGGCATAAATACGCCGTCTGCTGAATTGAGGACCGAGGAAGCTAGGTCAAGGCGTGACTGGCTGAGGTCAATGCCTATGACCTTCTTAGCGGCATAGGACTTTGCAACACTTTGCACCAGTAGACCTATTGGACCACACCCAAACACGACTATCGTCTGTCCGGCTTTGACGTTACCAACTTTGCAGATCTGGACTGCTACAGCCACAGGTTCACATAGCGCCCCGTCTTCGAGTGTCAGGTGATCTGGTAGTTTGTAGCAATAGTCCGAAGCAGTCTTGTAAAACTTCGAAAGTGTGCCGTTGTGAGGTGGAGTAGCCGCAAAAACGGTGTCTGGGCACAGATTGTAAGATCCGGAGCGACAGTACTCACAGTGTCTGCATGGTACACCAGGCTCGATGGCGACTTTGTCTCCAATCTTGAGGTTCTTGACCGATGAGCCTACCTCAGTAACCACCCCAGCACTTTCGTGGCCGAGAACGATAGGACTATTCAAGACAAAATCACCAATTCGTCCTCTTTGCCAATAATGAACATCTGATCCACAGATACCGGTTTGCCCTATTTGCACAATGATATCGTGTGGATCTGTAATCTGGGGCTTAGATATATTGCCAATGGCAACGTCCTTGATGGCACGGAGAATGAAAGACTGATTCTGTTCCGACATGACGAAGAACTCTCAAGTTGAAATTGAAGTACCAAGGTCGCTCTTGCTGTCTAGAAGGACTTCTGAGTCTTCTTGAATGTGTAGGGTAAACCTTGGCGTAGCCAAAAACCATGTACTGCTGTCTGATGGTCAGCGGAGGCAGTCCGGCGCAGCGGTTCAGCTTCCGTTTTAGACGCCGGACGAATGAGCTCCGCCCCACTCCTGAATTTGATCCATCCACACGGTGTGGAAGCCGAGCGCTGTGCTAGATCAGGTCCAAGACGAGCACATAAAAAGAAACAGCTTCTTGTCAGAGTGTCGAGGGGACGATTGTGAATAACTTGTACAATCACTTCGCAAACATGGTTCTTCACAAGCCAGAAAACAAGCATGTTCTCAAAGCATTCGATCTGCATGGAAAGGTTGCTGCAGTTACTGGTACGGCGCTGGATCTTGAGCTTGTGGATACTGACACTCTCTAGGCGGAGCTCGAGGTATTGGGCTTGAAGTGTCTCGTGCATTAGCCGAAGCAGGAGCTGATGTTGCCATAATCTTCAGCACTTCGAAAGATGCATCAACCACGGCCACTGAAATTACTGAAGCAAATGGCGTCAGGTGTCGTGCTTACCAGTCAGAAGTCAAGGATTCCGAGAAAATTGAGTCGACATTGCAGCAGATCGCCAAAGACTTTGGCAAACTCGATATCGTTGTTGCCAATGCTGGTATCGCGTCCCATCATCCAGCAGAGGACTATGCGAATGAGCAGTGGAGCGAAATCATGAAGGTAAACTTGGATGGCGCCTTCTATACCGCGCAAGCTGCTGCTCGCATCTTCAAACCGCAAGGATCGGGCAATTTGATATTTACAGCTTCGGTAAGCGCAATTCTGGTCAACGTGCCTCAGAAGCAGGCAGCGTATAATGCTTCCAAAGCTGGCTTGGTTCAGCTTGCGCGCTGCTTGTCAGTAGAATGGGTCGACTTCTGCCGGGTAAATTGTGTTTCGCCTGGCTTCATCGCTACAGACATGCTGTCAGTACATCCTGAGGAGTGGCGTGAGCAGTGGTTCCGAATGATTCCAGCACAACGACTCTGCGATCCTTACGAGCTGAAAGGGGTAAGTGGCCGTCAATGGGACTAGCTAGTGCTGACAATGACAGTCGTACGTGTTCTTGGCCAGTGATGCTTCCTCGTATATGACTGGTGCCAACTTGGTCGTTGATGGCGCATATACACTGCCATGATCAAGGACAGGTCCATAGTCAAGGAGCTCCTAACTCGCCCATGAAGTCCATGAAGCTCGACTCCTGCAGCTGTAAATTCTGCACATCGAACAGCTGGGAGTCTGTAATGGGCCCGCATAAGAACGAAAACAGAGTGTTCATTTGTGTTTGGGGGCTCTCATTAGTCGGCGACTCCCATAGAGAGATGTCCATTGCAAGGTAGGCCCCACACAGCTTTGTTATGACCGAACGACAACGAGCTGCGGCAGGATTAAGACGATTGAGGTCGGATATTGTGTCAAGCGCGAGCAGTATATCGTCACGCCAGCCCGGGGCTAGCTCTGAATAGGAGTCGTTGCGAAGAGAGATGACTGGTAACAGAACTGCCTGAAAAAGGAAATATAGCGCGTACCAACAAGTCAATACGTTCTGGTGCTCCTCCATCCAATACTTAGAAATCATCCGAATCGACTCATGGGCGGTAGCAAGACAGGTGCGGATTGCAGCATCTTCAGCAGGACTTGATCCGGTTGCGCTGGAGGTGGAAGTATTGGATTGTTGGTGCTTCATAAATCTTCGCATAAGATATGGTCTGAACATTAAAAGTCTGAAGTTCCTCCATCGCCATTGCAAGATAGCATGACACAGACGAAACTTGACAGGCTGCACACTGCTCTCAGCGAAGTAGACGGGCAGACTCTGTAGCCATTGCTGTAGGTGTATCGCATCGAGCTCGAGCATCTCTTCTGCTGAGGGTATCACCGAGATGAGACGCTGATATATATTGTTAGTGGCCAGATGGAAGAGTGATTGACATCGTACGTGAGTGTACAACGTAGTATAAGCGCTCCCCTCGGGCGCACGCCTGGTTGAAGAAGTAATTGCACTATCGGCAATATTTAGCGGCAGACCAACCTCGATCCCATCAGCCGGCATATCGAGAGGGCGACTGAAAGTAATGATCGCACCGACGTCAAATATGTATAGGGACCACCAGACTCTACGTCGGAGCTCGAGCCTGAATGGTTGATCTCTCCAAGCAGGAAATTCTTTATGCAATGCTAAGCCCCATGCCATCCTTTTCGCCAAGCCCATGTAGTTGTAGCCGGAATTGGGCCGGTTTCTTTTCTGTACATAATTCGATATTAGAGTCATAGCCTGAACTAACGTGATGTTTCCAGTCTCAATCATGTCGACGCTCATCCGACTCTTAGCAGCATCGAAGAGTCCGATGTCGGCCTGAGGAGGACCACTGCTTTCAGCTGCGAAGCAACCAATCGCAGCGATGATATACATGAGGACGTGCCATGACCGACCGTTTGGTCGCGGTATGATATCCATGAATTGTGCTCGGAACGTGGGCTCGTGAACTATCGGATACGATATGTGGTACGTGGCGAAGTACGAGTCAATGAATGGCTCAAGCTGAGCTAGTGAGTACAACGCCGGTAGTATCGGAGGAGAAATTTGAGCTGAGGCATGTCCCTGTCCATTCACAAGTTCATCTCCATAGCCATCACCAGCCATTCTCAGGAGTGCTGAGCCAGAAGCTATGCCCATGTAGCCATTGCGATCAGCCAAGCTAGCCATGCCATCATTCAAGCGATTTGCATGTACATTAGATGGTCGCTCATCCCAGTCAAGTTCGCCCATGGGAGGTGTTTCGAGGGAAAAGGCTGGACTAACATTTTCGCCGTTGGTATGTCGACCTGCGTGTTGCATGGCTGGGCTGGACTGATTTGGCATGAAAGACTCTCTAGAACTTTCGCTACTGTTAATAGCAGACAAGGATGAAGCGCCAATCTGTGCTGGAGCCCTATGTTCGTAATGGCGAAGTAAATCTTTCGTTCTCCCAAGTTCTTGTTCGACTTCAGTCAAGTACTTGCGCGTCAAAGGCGTACGAGAGACCCTTTCGTATGAACAATTCAACTTCGACTTCAAGCACGGGGTACATGGCTCGCCTCGATCGCATTTTGCTTTCTTCTTCCTACATGGCGCACAACTTGGTGGCACCCGCTCGACGCGTAAGTGTTCATCCATTGTCGGTGCATTCATCGAGCTTTCTGAGCTTGTAAAAGTCCAGCATTATGATCGTTGAGATAGTCACGTCTCAGACAGAGTAACAAGGACTCTTATCAGCGATCATGACTGGAAAGCGGTGCAAAGAACAAATCGAGGGACCAAGAGCATGTCACTTCCAAATTTCGATAAGTACTCGAGCATGACCTCGAATGAGTTGCCGGCACAGCTATGCAAGTTTGCAGAGCATAGAGGCTGATGGTTGATGACGAATGACGTACTTGCGGTAGTTCCTCGAGCGTGATGAAATTAATGACCTTCTAGCTTCGTGGTCTAACTATCTTGGTAGGGGTTCTTGAGGTCCGATTGTGTCTCGGCCACTTCTCGAGCTGAGCCTAGATATCGGGGCGGAAAGCCTCACTAGATTTACCATGGCCTCGTGGTGGTCACTTCAAGCACTGAAATGTGCCTGCATATCTGGAAGCCATTACTCACATTGAGGCACGTTACGAACCCACCTGCGATCACGAGTTCTCGAGTAGGACAGTTAGCACACTATTCGCGGTGTTCTTGAATTGTCAAAGATGATTCCTACGCTTCGAGGAACTGTGCTTCTCGACAGGAAGCAATGCTGTCTCTGGCGTTGCGCGGGAAGCAGGATTTATTCCCAAATAAAGACCTCTAGCTCTACTACGAATATGTTGTGTCATCGAGAGATGCTCGCAAACAGGACCTAGGAGTTCTAGATGAGCTTCTTTTGCAAACGCCAGGTCATCTGTTGCTTGTTGGACTAGCAACTACTTCTACATTGCATGATCATACCTCAACATGTCTCGACATAGAATCAGGCACACCAGAAGGTCGTAGCTGCTTGCTCGTGTGTCATGACGACCAGGAACAAACTACCGATACACATCCGCGCTCACAAGATGGCAAAGCTTCACCGGACCTGGTTGCACCGAGGACAGGCCATTCCTAACCATCAGACCTTCACTCCCGTAATAGGGCCTTTTCTGACTTGAACGCTAGACTGATTGGTAAAATCGAGGTCGAGCAAAAGGGTGCATCCAAAAACTAAGGTCATATATCGTCCCCAAGCACAGGCGACTCAAAATTGAGAGATTTCGAGCTGGTGATCAATAAAGCCAATGGCTCGACTTCGGAGCGTGACCGCCGTTACTTTTCGGCGAGTCCACTCCGCAGTCAGCAAAACCAGCTCATTGGCTGGCTTTGTCGGGATTGCAGAAAACGGAACACAGTCGTCCGCCTTTCTGAACCTACGTTACTCTTCAACCCCAGCTTTTCGCCTCGACCCGGGGTCAGTGGGTGCTCCGCATACCACGAGATGCAGCATTCGCCGTCAATCATGCCGCTACTGCTCCACCCTGTTCATCCATATAATATGTAGATCTTATGATCCTCTTCTTCCCGTCCATCCTCAACACACCTCAACTCACCAACATTATCAGCAATAATGGTAAAGGACAGCGAAATCGTTGGCGAGGCGCTAGCCAAAGTCTTGCCGTCGTACCAGAAACCATGGTATAGAGTACCACACCTCTTGAAGCTCAATCTCGTGCTGCTTGTGCCACTACTGTCATCAGCAGTGGCTGGATACGATGGTAAGAAGAGTGTGCTTCCTTGAAACAACAAGCTGACTGAGTCGCTAAGGTTCGATGATGAATGGTTTGCAAGCAACAAGCTCTTGGAAAAGTTATTTCAACAACCCGACCGGCTCGGTTCTTGGTGTGGTCAATGCTGCTCAAAGTATTGGCTCTGTCGCATGTCTACCTTTTGTTGGCATCCTTTCTGATCGGCTGGGACGGCGATGGACACTATTTTCTGGTGCTGTCCTTGTGGTTATTGCTTCGATCATTCAAGCCGCCTCTATCAACTACGCTCAGTTCGTCATTAGCAGACTGCTGGTCGGTGTTGGTGGCATGCTCGTGACGCAACCATCACCAATGCTGATATCAGAGCTGAGCTATCCAACCCATAGAGGCAAATTCACTTCACTCTTCTGGACTTGCTATTATTTCGGAGCCATTCTTGCCGCCTGGGCTACATTTGGCACGCAAAAGCACATCGGAAACAACGACTGGGCGTGGCGTGCCCCTTCAGTCCTTCAAGCTGCATATCCAATTATCCAGATTATATTCTTTTGGTGGCTTCCAGAATCACCAAGATGGTTGATTGCCAATGGTAAAATCGAACAAGCCCGCACCATTCTTGCCAAGTACCATACCGGTGGAGATGCAAACCACGAGTTGATCGAATTCGAGATGACAGAGATCGAGCGAGCCATTGAGATGGAGAAACAAGCCTCAGCAACGAAGTGGTCCTCACTTGTCTCTACACCAGGCAACCGCAAGCGAACAATAATTGCCATCTGTGTAGGCGCCTTTGCTCGTAAGTGCTTCGGATACCCGAACCTGCATCTGTGCGGGCAACGATATGCTCTTGCATCCACCAATGATACTCAAGCTAACTTGAACAGAATGGAACGGTGTCGCCGTTGTCAGTTACTACCTCACGCTCGTCCTCGACACAGTCGGTGTCAAAGATCCTGACACTCAAACCTTGATCAATGGTATTCTCCAGATATTCAACTTCTGGGCTGCAGCATCAGCAGCCTTCCTCGTCGATCGTCTCGGCCGAAGAACACTCTTCCTCTGGTCTGGCGCCGGCATGCTCGTCTCGTTCGTCATCTGGACTGCTTGCTCAGCTGTCTTCGACACAACTGGTTCTCACGCTGCCGGGCTGACAGTCGTCGTTTTCATCTTCATCTACTTCTTCCATTACGACATTGCCTATACACCGCTTCTCTTCGGCTATCCGACAGAGATCTTCCCCTACTCACTCCGAGCTAAGGGTCTGACGGTGGAAATGATGAGTATCTATGGCTCGTTGGTCATCCTGGCCTTTGTCAATCCTATAGCCGTGGGTAACCTGGGTTGGAGGTATTACATTGTGTTCTGCGTCCTTCTGGTAGTCATTCTCATCACAACATGGTTCCTCTTCCCCGAGACAAAGGGCTACAGTCTGGAAGAGATAGCCGAGATCTTTGATGGACCAGATTACCGTAGACGCATGGACGATGCGTTGTACAAGGAGGAAGTGGTAGTTGAGGGTAAGAAGGACTTTGGTGCGCAGCATGTTGATCGAAGTGTTTGATGTAGGTGTAGTTGTTGTGAATGTGAGTGTGCTAGAGATAATCCATTGGCTTCCACTTAAACTTTTTGACCGCGCGCTCGATTGGTCGAATTTCAAGCTGGTCGCCATGTAACTCGAAGACTAGTTGTCGCCTGCTTCCAGCATTGTCTGTTGGTCCAGTGAGCTCAGCGCTCTTTTCGGCAGTATCGGAAGTTCGTGTTGGTCCATACTGCTCACTTGGCAAATCGATCGCGACGCGAAATACACTCCCCTTCTTCAAGATCATTCTAACCTTGTCCCTCTGCATGTTCGGTCCATCTGCTGCCTCATTCGGAGCTCCAGGCTTCTGCCTCTGCCTATCCTCCCTCTCATCCATCACAACAGTAAATGTACTCCTCGTCTCCCTCACCACAATCCCCTTGACCCCCACCCTCCCCACATCCTTACTCCTCACAACCTCAACCACCATCCCATGATAATCCGCACTCGCCATCAAACTGCCAGCACCATTCGCCACAGCCACAATCCCCACTCTCCCCTTCACAACCGCCCCGTCACGATCCAAATACCCCAGCACCTCAAGAATATACCGCGTCCACAGCTGATTCAGGCCCACATAGACCTCGTACCGGCAATTCTCCGGTCTCAACTCGTACAGCTTCAACTCACGCTTCTCTCGTGCAGAAAGAGGCTTGGGACGGGCATGGTTCCTCGCATACGCCTTTTTGCGGTCCCGGATGTGGCGTCGTAAAGCGCGTTCGTCGGCGTGTTCTGTGGAGGCTGAGAGGAGAAGTGGTTTGTTTAGGATCTTGTCGGTAAAGATCTTGGTGGCTGTTTCTGGGGATGATGGGTGGGCGCGGGTTAAGAGTTTGTGTGCTGGGTGGGAGATTTGGGTGCTGGTAGAGGGTGTTCTTGGCGTTCCTGAGCCTGATACTTGGGGTGTTGAGGGACGACTGGACATGGCTTTTGTATAGGCAGACATTGTCAGTCAGCACGTTGATCTCACCCCTTGCTGTCGAGAAGATCTAGCAGATGGTGCGGGGGCTGACGGCACATTACGCATCATGTATCCGACATGCTCGTGTAGCACAGATATTGTTGACATTACGACCTCAATTTTAATTCTCTACCAAGGCTAGTGAGCTTGTTGTGCTTCTGCACAACCGTAGAACGATTTAGCCTTCCGGCGATAACGATCTACTTTCGGCTTCAAAAACAAAAAGTTTCTGCCGATCAAAAAGTTGATGCTACGAGTAATATAGTCGAGCAATACACACAGCAGGCTATACTACAACGAAACAACGAGGCCTAATCTATGCTCACGACAAATGTAATACCCGCTACTATGCGACCTTGATCAGGAATACACCTACCTACCCAAAACCCAACACACCCACCACCCATGAACGCCGCCGCCCTCCTCACCAACCAAGGCTGGCTCGGCCCAGGCCACTCCCTCGACGCCCGCCTAACAGACTACGGCGCCCCAAAATACAAACAAAAAGGCCATCGAGGCCTCGCATACGATCCAACCTCCACTCAATCAACCACAACAACCACCAACGGCAACGGCCTCATAAAACCACTCCTCGTCTCTCAACGCCACGGCTCCCGCCACGGCATCGGCAAGAAAGCGCACGAACCACAGTCAGGAAACGAATGGTGGTTGAAAGGGTTGACGAGTGCGCTGGCGAATATTGGGAAGAGCGAGAGTGAGCGCACGGCATCGGCTGCGACTTCGGGGACGGGTACGCCGTTGTCGAGAGGAGGAGGTGGTGGAGGCAATAATGGGTATGTAGGGAGACATAGTGGGTTGTATGGATATTTCGTGGCTGGGCAGGTTATGCAGGGGACGTTGGAGAAGTGGAATGAGCAGCAGGAGCAGGAGAAGCACAGGGCGAAGAAGAAGAGGAAGAGTGATGTGCTCGAGGAAGAAGCAGAAGAGGACACAACTCAGCAGAAGGACCCACTAGCTGTCAAACCCGTCAAGAGAATACAGACAGTAAAAGAGTTAGAAACCAGTCTCCCGTACCTAGCCGAAAGGGAAAAAGGCCGCGCAAGAAAACACAAGAAAACCCCGAGTACCGACATCGAGCAATTCACTGCAATGGGACAGTTCTTCGCCATCGGTGTTGGACAAGATCTTTCCAAAAAGAACAACAACGCTAGAGTCAAGCATGCCTCTGTCCCATCAGAAAACGTCTCCGAAAGCGAAGATCAGAAAAGCAAAGAAGAACGTCGCCTCAGACGTAAGCGTCGGAAAGAGGAGGAACAAGAGCGCCGTGACCTGAGGCTAGCGCGGATGGTTGAGGAAGAGCTTGCGAAGCTCAACTCGACGAGTAATAGTAGTGAAAATATGTCAGAGGTTGAGAATGGTTCTGGTGGAGAGAGAACAAGGCGGAAGGCGGAGCGGAAGAAGAAGAAGAGGAAGAAGCGCGAACGGGAGCGGGAAGGAAGGAAAGATGAGGGATAGCAGGTCGTACTGTGTTCGTGATGAGCAATACAACACTAGGCCTGAAGGCCGCTGTTTTGGTAAATTTGGGTGTTTATGTATTAACGTTATTCGCTGTGGATCGAGACTGCATGACTAGACTCAGTCAGCTGATACTAGCAGGATGTTGATCAAAGAAGCATACAACCATGAGTAACATTGCATCAACATTGCGGAAAAGGAGCTATATTAAATTTCCTCAACCGAAAGAGAGAGAACACTCATCTCGTCCAACTCCATGGACAAAAGGCAGCTAAATACTGGTTACAAATGCCGCGAGGCCGCTGTGATCTTGCTGAGCTATTTTTCAGGAATAAAGGATTTTCTCCCTGTATGATTTCACAGCCGTATAGCATCGCTCACGGAAATGAACCTGAACACCGTGGTGTGCAGACCACATACACAAGAAAGATATGTATCCAAAGAGCGTCCATTTTCTCCTCTCTTGTTCTCATCTCTGCCTCGTCTTTCCATCTCTTGCATTACCATTTTCCTCCTCACGCGCAAGACTCTCTCTAGCGCGATATCGTGTTGTGTATCAAAGAGAGTATATGTGAAGAAATGGTTGCTTTTTGGTCGCTTGAATACAAGGTGGATGTAGGTGATACGTCAAAAGCGCGCTTGAACGCTGGTCAAATTCGATGAGCAAAATCGCTCGAAGGACTAGTTGGAAGTAAATTGGAGAAGGGAGCGTCGTGTACTTGGTTCAGTTAAGAGGGGGAAACTTCAGTCGACGGTTATCACCTTCCACCGTTCATGGTGGAGAGAGGAGGCGGCATCATCGTAACCGTCTCGTAAGGACTCATGATCCCATCGTCCGCGTTTGGACTTCGAGAGAAGTTGTCGCGAGGTTTACTGCTGCTTCGAATCATGCCACGAATCTTGCCCATTAGTTGGCCGCCTTCCCCGTTACGGCTGGGTACACGTCTATGTGGCTTGTCCGGTGTCGCGCTCGAAAGCTCGGCATTTGTAGGGTAAGCTGACCTAGGAAGAGGGATAGCTGCGATATTGGACAAATCGGTCTGAATGCGCAAATCTCGAGGTGGTGCTGGAGGAGGTGGCGGAGGTGGAGGAACAGCAAGATGCTGGAGCTCTGGAATAACTGTGGGCCCGATGGAGACTCTGTGCTCTGCAGTCTCGGACTCGTCGGAATAGCCTACTATCAAAGGCTGTACATCCTCAGCCAGGATCATATTCTCTTCTCTTGACAAGTTCCTCTGTCTGTTACTCGATTCTGCCCGAGTTCTGCTTCGGCTGTTTCCACGGCTCTTGACCTGATGATTAAAGGCCGGATGTCGTGGCATATTCTCTGGCACTGCATTAGCTCTCCAAGCCTCGACATTCTCACGTATCGCATTTGCGCTGTATGTTCTGGCCGGTAACTGGAAGCTCTCACTGGTCTCATGCTGAAGTTCCTCCAATGGAGCATGCATTGCCTGAGGAGTGCCTGGTCGTCCTTGCTGCTCTTGGCGAGATGCAGTTCGTGTAGCCGATCGCAGGACGCTGTCAGTATAGTTCCGATTGAGGGGTGGCGCGACAGCAGCAAACCCGTCGGAGGATGACTTCGAATGAGCATTGACATGACCAGGAAGCGGAATAGTAGGTGCGGCTGGACGTCGAGCCAATGACAATCGTCGTGCTTCAAGTTCAGCTTGTGCAAGCTCCCTCGTCCTGCTCCTAAAGCCTGGACTACCTCTCATACTTTGGGTCATGGCATTCAGCTTTTCAATGGTGGCTCGGCTAAGCTCGTCGGAATCGCGAATGTCGTCTGGAATTTGGGTGCTGCTTTGACCTGTCCGCGTTTCATAGTCACGCTGGCGGCTTGGTGATCTTGGACGACCTCTTCTTCGATCAGGAGAAGCGTCTCTTCTTGCACTTGTACCTCTCTCAGGACGTCGGCTTGTGCTCCTTTGCAGCCTTGATCTGTTCTGTGACACGAATCTGAAAGCAGGGTCGCTACTATTCTCCTCCTCAGAAGCTAACATGGGCAGAGGTGAAGATGGCGATCGAGACTCGGAATTTTCCTTCCGTGATCTGCTGCGTCCTCGTCGGCTCAACAGTGTCTCTTCCGCCTCCGGCTCCTTTGTCATTGCCCTGAATTTGGCCTGAGCTGATCTTGACCTATGTCTGACCTTGCCCGTCCCATTAGTAGAAGCTGATGTTCTCCGTCCATGTTTACCTGACTTTGCCACAACGTCGCGATAGTCGTACAGTGAATTAAGACTTTCCATACTGTTAGTATAATGTCGCATGTCCTGAACGTCTTCCGGAGACATAGGCACAGGTGATGATGGCGATCTCTTTCCATTTGCCACTTCACGACCATGAGCATCTTCCGAATGCTTTTGCTTGCGATGTTTACTCTTCTTGCGCTCGCTTTTCTCTTCCTTTGGAGCTCGACTTGAGTTTCTTGAACGGGCTTTGCCGTAATATTGAGCTTGATCAAGACTGCTGATGTATTGGTCAATGCTTCGACCACTCACGCTAGGACTCTTCATGCGAAGACTATCGCCTGTACCAAGAGGACTCAACGCGAAGTTTGTATTCGTCGACTCTGTAGTGCTCGGACGTGGGATAGGTTCGGACGAACTCAGCATTTGTATTGACAATCCATCGGGCTTCCTACCACGAGACCCATTTCTAGTATGCGACTCTTCTCGAACTCTATCCAAAGAACTTTGCCATGTAGATTGTGACGACGGCCTCAAAGCAGTCTGTGGCTCAAAGTCTTGGTTATTGCTTTGCGTGGGAGTAGAGCTAGGTTCGTACCTTGCAGATGTCAACAGAGTCAGCGAAGGCTCTTGCTTTTCCTGGCGCGGTTCCTGCTTCTCGGGTTCAACACGGGCGGCCAAACGTTTTTCTTTCTCTTTGTCAGAGCTAGAGTCGGCAGGAGTTAGAGGTCCATGTGGAGTGTGTCGACTGGGGAATACTGGTGTCTCTTCGCTCTCAAGTGGTGTCTCCCCGATGCTAGGAAGACGAGCTCTTGATAGACCTGAAGTCGAAGCGATCGCGTTATTTAGACTTTGTATATTATTGAGCTTGTAGGAGCCGACACCACCAGGAGAAAGAGCAGATCGATCGAGTGCGGACTCGGCAATTGGGGTAATGTTTGCCGCATTCGTGGGTGTCATATCATCCGTCTTCAGGCCAGGAAATTTGAAGTGGTTAGGTCTGTTGTTAAATGAGGTGATTAGCTTGAGACCGCCAGTCTGAGGGGTTATGCGAGTGCCCTTAGCGGCCGCAGTCCTGAAAGGTGTAGGTGGCGCGATGAGTGCAACAGGCGTGGCAGCCTCGAAACCCCGTCCCTTGATACGAGAAATGTGAGGGTTGATGGCGGACAGAGGTTGTAGCTGTATTGATGGCTCGGGTGGCTGATAGTGCTGTTGAGAAAGTTGTTGGGGTTGCGGAACGTGCTGAGGTTGGTGGGCCTGCTGAGTCTGCTGGCTCTGCGGCGGTATACTAGGTGGTTGATAGAGAATAGCACTTTGAGGGCTTATGATTCTGCCGTAGAATTGTGCAGTTGGAGAGACCCAAGCCTCAGCCGGTTCGACTCCCGTAGCAGCGAAGCATCTGATTGCCAACTGCTGCTGGGAGTTCTCGACTACGTGCTCGCCCCATCTTCGCACAAGGTGAGCTTGCCTTTGCCATTCCTGGGGCATAAGTAAGCATGTCAATAAGATGGCTTCCAGATACCAGTTGTTCGAGACGTAGACCTCGATAGCATCGTTCTTTTCACCTAGAGCGACAAGCGTAACCACTGCAGCATGGACTTCCCCTTTGCTCAGCATCTTCTCGACGAATATCTGGCCAATCTTTTTGCTCTCTGGCCTGTTGTCGAGTATCCCTATGGCGAGACGAATCCAATCAAGGCCAGGGTCGGCTGCGGTCGAGCTCATTGTCTCAGCCACAGCTTCAGCACCGTCTTCAAGCCATTTAGTCAGGAACAATGCAGCTAGGCTCTCCGGAGGATGTTGGGAGCGCTCATCCGCCACGAGGGCATAGATATCGTCTTCCCACCCGAAAACTAATGCTAGCATGTGTTTTCGAAGATCATCTGGGGTCATACTGCTCTCGTTGATCGGCTTCATTGGCTGCTGTACCTGGCTAAGCCTTTGACGAGCCACAGGAAACAAGTCTCCAGCGAAACCATCTTCAGGCGTCATCGGACTCATCACAACCTCTTGCCGAAGTCGCGAGCCTTTCTTCAGCGAAGGTGAAGCTCTTGCTGGGCCAGCAACTGCAGGCGAAATTGGCTGTGCACTCTGGGGATGGTAGTGGGAAGCGTAGGCACCTTGTGAGAAAGTAGTAGCTGTCCTCTCCGTCTTGGCTGGAGATACGAGGTCGTGAATGTTGGGCTTTGTGCTGTTTGATTTCCTAGAGCTCGTGGACACTGAGTGACTGTGAGGAGATGCAGGATTCTCGATTCTCATTTTCTGGTTCTCGCCCTCATAACGCAATGATTGGAGTGGTGATGTTAGCTCTTGCTCCGTCATCGCATGGAACTGCTTGATATAGTCTTCTGGTGGAGTAGGTGGAATGGTGATTGGCGTGTGTCGAATATTTGCAACCATTTGACCCTGGTCTACATCGTACTGCTGCACCGTGTACTCTGGACCCAGGGTGAAGAGAGCTGCCGTAGGGCCATGAGCAGCAATACCGTTCACGTACTCTATTGTGGGTACTGGGTAGTAGTTGACATCCTTAGTTCTCACATCCCAGGCCCATGTTTCTCCTTCTGAAAATTGAATGATGCGACCATTACGCGACCAAGAACACCAATTACGGCCCTGGACAGCAGTTTCGACACGCCTCAAGACACGGATGACCCTTGGCTGACCCGCCGTAGGTGGTTTGGGCACACTCCAGACTCTTAGATCACCATCGGAGTTTTGAATCGCTAGCATGTCGGATTTCTGCTTCGACGAGGAAGCATGCCAGCTCAACATGGCAATGGGCGAGGGCGATCGAGATGTATTGAGTGTATGGAGGATGGTGAATTGTGGTTGCAGAGCAGCCAAAAGAATAGATCCATTGCGGAAGCCAAGAGCATAGGTCTTGCAATCGGACGAGGGTGCCAATGCTGTGATGGGGTCGTTGATGGTGCGTGCTGAGATGTGTTCGCTGGTCGAAGGCTCGAACAATATGACCTCACCTTTCTCATTACCTGAAGATGTCAGTCGGAAGTGCTTTGCTGCATAGGATCTGATACCATACCGAAAGCAATATTACCGTTGCGCATCCACGAGGCTACCAGCAGTGGTTCGTAGGACGCGAACCTAGACAACTGCTCGCCAGTAAACAAGTCCCATATTATGGCAGTCTTGCCTATATCATAGGTGACAACCAGTCTGCCTTGACCTCTCTCACTAACATTATCAACCGATATAAGTGCTATTGCTTCTGTGTGGGTCGTGAACCTCCGTTCGAGAGCGAGTGTATCGTGGTGTAGGACGAGGATGGTCGAGCCTTGGGAGAAGAGAAAGTGGGAGGCGGTAGCTGCACATGGCTCGAAGGGACTGTCCATGGCCACGTCCTTGCCCTTTGGCAGAACAAGCTGAGGTGTTTCCAACCTGTTTGACACCGACCTTTGTCTGGCGAGAGACATTGAAGCCATATGTTCCTGGAGTCGTGCCACTACAAGGCGGCTGCAGCAGGGTTAGCTATGTATTGCTTCATCACTCGCAGAGGTGTGCTGGGTACGAGGACGATGACTGAGATTGTCGCAGCTTCAGATAAGAAAGAGTTCCTCACCCTGTTCGAGAAGAAATGTCATGCAGCAGCGGCCCAGATCACAATGGTTCAGAGTTGAAGGTGTCCCCAGATCCAGGGCCTGGTGCAGTTCTATCGAGGACCAAGAGACCTTCGCGGCTACGTGCAGCAACTGCGGTGAAATTCCTCGACACGAGCGCTTGACGAAATGCTTCCTCCCCGCGCTGTACTGTAGAGAATCTCAAACGTCACACAAGCAGTCCAGGGTCATGCATTCCTCTATGTAGAGGTCTTGTAAAGTGCAGAAAGTGACTCGCGGGTGGAGTATGCAGTAGAGCAAGGTTCTTGTGATGGAGAAGCAGGTCGCTGACTGCTGTAGACTGAGACCGAGTAAACGTGCTGTCGAGCGAAATCAGCAATCCAGATGGAACTGGACATCAACAAAAATCAACGATATGAGCGCCGGATGGGAGAGTAGCTGTGAGGAATGGTCCATTTGGTGTACCAACGAGTGTTGAGCACTTCAGATACAGAGCTTCACTGGTCACGGCGCTTGATTGTTGCGGACACGCAATGTCAATGGCCAGAATAGAACCACCGATAGCGAGGGCATGGCTAGCAAGCGCTGAGGGCGCATGCGATGGCTTGCACGAATAGCTGTGCATCAAGTCGAGCGCAGTTTGGTAGGAGAAAGAACGATCAGGTACGTGTCTGACCATTGCATATGTTGATTCGCTCGGCTTTCAGGTTTTATCCAAGGCTAATGCAGGCTTTTATCACGTTCCCAACCAATCGTGCTGGTTTTGCAGCGAGCGTCAAGGCATGGCCCCTGCACCTGACAAGCCACGAAGGTTATGTTTCAAAGACTAAAACTCTTCAGTACTAGCTCAGACTACTAGAACCTGAACCTGACCCCAAGCGCCCACACTCGGCGGTTCAAGGCAGCATGGGATTGGTAGCAATTCGATATGAGGGCTAAATATCAATCTCTTACCTGAAGCATCTCTTAGTAGAGATGGTCGTCACTGTGCTGAGATCTCGTCGACAACCACCATCGCGACACATCTTTTGCAGTTGTAGAAATTGTCTTCGTTCGTTGAACACTTTCGGAGAAAACGATCGTATGCTTGTATGCCAGTGCCGATCAGCCAGCCTTACCACGTGGATGGACACGGATATGAGTTTGTGTTACTCCAAACTCGGTCTCAGAAGTCCTGAAACTGACGCCATGGACCTACGAAGACTCTCACTCTGGACCGATCTATATGCACATCATCTTTCGACGTCGATTCAAAATGAATGAAACTCTTCAATGGTCCTCGTTTGTCGCTTTGCATTTATGTGAGCTTGCGACACCGGACAAGGGTTAAGTCATGCGGCTGCATCAACCCTTCTCGGCAAACATTAGCATGCATCGGAAAGCGCGCCCGCCGCATTTTTATTCGAGCTTCGATATCGTTCTTATGTCGTACCTGCTTCGCGTTACACGGAGTTGCATAATCGACGGCAGAAGCATGCAAGATAATTCCAGCGGTGAACTTGTGTTTTAGTCCTGAGCGATATCAGATGTCATCACAGTATCCTTTGTGACGGTACAATGGCCCCGTACTGTGGGCTCAGCCGACAAGCAGAAATGACTCGATGCAAGCCAGGTTGCACGAGCTTACTAGCTCAGGTGCACCTGGTCGTGTTACTAGTCATCGATATTCGTGCATTTTTCTTCTGTGTAGCTGCTTGTCGTATCGCACGGCCACGTCTGGTAGGTATTACCACATGGCATCTGAGTTGCTACCGAGACACGTTGAGGTGGAGACACAATACCGCAAGTACTCAAGATCATCAATAGGTCGGTATACGAGTCAACCCCTGCAGCAGCTCTGATTCACGACTTGTTCGTGGTAGCCCACATCTCTTGCCCAATAAGCGGTACTTGTGTTCGATGCATGGATTTGATGGTCGCAACGCTGTTGTGTTCATCGTGCCTTCAACTTACGCAAGATTAGTCGCAAGGCCAACATTGAACCTAGGAAGGCATCCAGAGACAGTGCCTCAGCTCTGTACTGAGATGGTCCAATGTGAAGGTGATGGCGCTCATATTTCTTCTCCGGCGTGACCATACCTGGCCTGCAAGTTTTAGAGTCGTGGCCTTAGATGGGCTGGGTGTGACCACATCGATGCTCGTTATTGTGGTTAGCAGGAGACCAGATGAACTCACGCCTCCTCTACTATAACGTCGACCACAGCTGCTCGAAGCGGATCTGTCCAAGACACAATCCCACCAGGGCGCCCACGATGCAGGAACAGGTGGGTATCTCTGATGACTACGTGAAGGATTTTGTATGGATGGAACTGGTTCGACGTACGTAGCTGATTGAAGAGAGTCCAGGCGGATTGTGGGAAGACCGTGTACCTCAGCATTGTTGCGAGCGCATTTCAAATTCAGCAGGTTGGGTATCGAGCATCTCACTCCTTCACTAGATCGGTGGGCCGCCAAGTCATGTAGTAAGGTGTGAGGATCCTAAGCTCAAGCTGATATCTGCCATCTCTAGCTCAAATCCGCCGGAGCTGTTCTTGCTGAAACGACTATCGTGCTTGATAATATTGTAGCTTTGCGGTCGCAGGAAATCACTGATGACGGGTATGGCGCGACAGTACTCAAGTACAGTCACCAAGTCGCCAGCAAGCTATCGATGGAGAGCGACTGCTTCATTTGCACCATTTCCCTTCAGCTGACAGGTGCAAGACGTGTCGAGTCAGCATGCTGGTCGCCTATGACGCACTACGAATAACGTAGACAGTCCACTCCTTGATGGACGATAGCAATGCTAGTGGGTATATGTATCTCAATCGTCCAGATCGCGGTATATCGATGAACGAAGGAAGGGAATTGAAGCTCCTCCAAAGCTGGATGCGGCACAAACGTCGATCGTTCCTAGTTACGAGGGGTACTGATAAGCTGGAGCGGCCTCCTGCATCACCAGCACGAAAAAGTACTTGTTCCTGCATCGCATCGCATCGCGACGCCACGAAGCGAGCGCAGATCTCTCTTGATTCACAAGCGGTACAATAGACTTCCGGAAGGCAGGCATCGTCCGTTCTTCCCCGTAGATAGCTCAAAGTGCGGACACGAAATAGCGGGTTTTGTTCAGTGGTCAAAACAGCCAATCGATGGCCGCAACATCTGTGCAGTCTCTGGCTTTGCGCCACTGCTGCTTGCTCAGGACACAAGCTTCCAAGCACATGCTCGTGTCAAGTGTTTCAACATCTGTAGGCCTAGAGTATGTGTTTACCTCTAATGAGTATACCTAGGGGTGCAAGACTCCAGAATTCAATCATGAGCAGTCTTGGACTGTCCCGACGGACAGCGGGAAGTGCTCCCCGAACAGCTTACTGCTACTGAAAATCACGTGTTCTTAGCCTAATCGCATGAAAGTCGTGTCCGCGACGTCTGGTGAAAGATGTGGGAAACAGAGGAAAACCGAGACCGAAAGCCGGGAAATTTACCAGAAACACGGGGTAAGTTGGCCACTGTTCCCGGCCAGGCTGGAGATGCGGAAAGGTCAGACTCTATGATCGCATCAACGGAAACAGTATGTGCTTGTACTGCATCGTGGTTCGGAATGCGAGTATACTCCCCATCAAGGCAGCGTCCCTTCTTTTTCTACATAGAGTACACTACACGAATGCGAAAGCACAGTCAGTTCCGTCGACAAATTTGCAAAGAGCCCATGTAATTATGACGTCCAAGAAATAAAAGAGAAACTCGACAAAATAGGCGAGCAAACTCAATCCTTTGTGTGCGACACAAAGACAGATATCGTCACTACTCGAGTGTGAATGCTGCCAACCCTCGGCATGTCTCTGCAATATCTCGGAATTGATTTCAACCTTGAGAAGTCGGCGCAGTACCAAGCTTGAGGAGGAGCATGATCATCGTGACGCACTTCAAAGCACGAAATTTCGGAACCTGCCCTTTTTGGTGCCGGTCCGGCGGAATTGAGGATACGAGCAGAGACCCTACGGTATGAGCAAAAGCTGATGGAACGAAGGTTGTGGTACGGACGTGTCGCAACGCAACATATAGTACTTGCGGGGTGAGTTAACAGGTAACAGGTAAATATCTGAGGATAGCATTCCTGGGAGCACAGACCTACAGTAGTTTACCGTCGCGTCTATTGAAGTAGCTGCTGCATAAGCGAGATCGTCAGGTCCTTGTACCATATTCGTGTACGAGTACTCCTGCCAAAGTGGTGGAAATACCACACTTTCAGTATTTCAGAGGGTCATGGACCGAACACTTGCATGGTCTAATTGACCGAATTGGAAGACTGCAAAGTCGGACTGATGTTCTATGACTCACACGTTAGCGCAGGCCAGTGATCGAATGCGACATTCCCCAAGATTCGTTTGCGAGTCTGTCGGCAATATCAACGGTTGCAGCACGACAAAAACTTGGGGTTTGCCGAAAGTGCGGGAGAGCGTGTGTCCGAATGGTTTGCTTCCGTGATTACTGTAGATGTTGTGGATAGTAACCCGGTTGTATGCCTGCATCATGCACTATCCGGCGGGGGTGTTAGACGAGAACGGAAAAATACCAGATCTCGCATATGCGGTGTTTGAGAACAGAGTTGCAGAAGCATGCACCGTCCATGTACGACAGAACGAATAACTGAATGTGAAAGGTGAATCAAAGATCTCAGTTAAAAGATTGTTGTGAGTATAGGTAGTAATAAACAAGCTATATAATTCCTGTCGGAGCAACTAATGCTCAACGACGACAAAGGGTATCTGGGGTATCAAAGTCATTAGATAACTGTTGGCCGTAATGACCACAAAATGTGGCGACATTGAAATGTTTCGCTGCGCTAAAGACGATGGATGGTAGAACAAATTGCTCGTATCGCTGTTAGGGATGTGGCACAAATGCAATCGCGTAACGGTTCCATTCCAATCAAGTATTGGTGATACAGTGCCTCATCAAGGCTCGTGCCAATGAACAATGAACACATCGGATCATGTTCTTCGCGCCATGGTCTGAGAAGTATTGCGCCTCTGTGACAAGTTCGAAGGCCTTCTTGGTTTCCTTTGCTCAGTAGCGAAGCGAACAGCACGTTGTTGCTGAGCGCGTTGTCTTTGCTGCTGGTTTTGTGCCTGCTCTCGGTCCTGCATCTCTCGGAGCATTGCGATATGCTCTTCCGTGGTCATCTCATGCTTTGGTTGTTGTGGTGCAGACGTGACTGATGGAATGTGCTCGATGGGTGGCATGGCCAGATCGTCGAGAGCTAGCAAATCGTCGTCTGAGATGTATGATGACGACGACGACGAGTCATAGCCTTGAGAGGACGAACTGTGACTCATGCAGGACCTGTATGGCGACGGCAGCCACCCTGATGAGAAGCTGTCGCGAGGCATCCTCGTGGAAGAAGTAGTTGCTTGACCTGTTGATCTGTATGTCGATGGTGATATACTGTATTTGACCTGCATAGGTGCTGAGGTAAAGTAATCCGAAGATGTCGAGTCGCGAGAATCTGAACGCGACATAGCGGTAGACATGTATGCTGGCGTTATGTTTGATACTGATGAGGTGAAGTACATCTCTGCTGTGATAGAAGCGTGCGAACTTTGGTGTGATAAAATTATCGCAATGATGGCGACGACAAAGTATATGTTGTGACTACTGCTGCTGTGGCGCCTGAGCTGTTTGCAGTGTATAGAGATAGGATATGCAGGATGAATGTTTGCACTCCTGCCGGATGAATCAGGATTAAGGCAATCTGCAGCTGCACATGCCAAAAATGTCCAATCCGATGGTGGCGGTATGGATCGGCAAAAGAGACGCGTTTGGACTGTGCGTTGAATCTCGCGGTAATGGACGTGTCAGATCGGTGATCGTCTGAAAACAAGCAAACAGGTTGTTTTCGGGTTATGAGCGAGGTATGACTCAAGAAACGTTCGGTTGTCGAAAATTGTTCAGTGACTCCAGGATCTTCTGATGGGAGCAGCTGTGGTTATGTAGATGGAGATTGTTGCTTCTTCCTTGCCCCTTGGTACCGTTGCTCCTTTGCCGCAAAAGCTACGAGTTTTTACCAGGAGCCACCAAGATGTGACTTCGGAATACTGGGCTTGACCCACGTCGATGGAATCCCGAAAAGTGGATTTTGGCCTTTGAATCGGGCTTGTGGATAGTGGGTCAGAGCGCGTCGACCTAAAGATCGTTCCCGGGAGCCGCAGAGGAAACGAGTTATTGCCGAAACGAGTCGTGGCTTGTTAGTCGTTGTTTGAGATAATTGCTTGATACCAGTGGTGTTGGTGATGAGTTCGGAAATTCAACAGAAAAGAAATTCATTTCAGCAAGGTAGGCAGCCATGGCCAAGATAAATCAGCCGGACAGTCACAATGAAGCTGATGTGACCACATGTAAACTGGTGTGGTAGCTGACCTGATTCGAGACTTGCAGCTGTGCAAGAGGATGACTGGACGAGACTTTGAGGCGGTCAAGACGAATTCTTGAATCACAGGCGAGAAGCAAGACTTACTGCCCAAGATTGGTCTCCGGCAGGGTTGACTGGAACTTGCTAAGACCTGTCTAGTGGCTGCGTCTTGTGGACAGAGGCGTTGGACGGAAGGGGCCTTGCCTCTCCCTGATCTTGAGCTTGTCCCAATCCAGTAGATGGAATGACTGGCGCTCGTCTCGGTGCTTCGCTCAAGCTCTGTTTCCGGGGCACTGTCGGCTGGCCTTTCTCGTGCCATTAGCGGTGCAAACAATCACAATCATCCACACCAATGGCCGATCAGAAAGTCGAGAATTGTTGCCTATTGCTAGGCAAAATCAACCACTCCTGTTTGTTGTCCACGTGAAATAAACTTGTTTGCACCTTCGTGTGGGAGAACGAAAATGATCAATTCGCTTACCGTTTGCAAATGTGCTTGCAATGATTGGTAGTCCTTGGCCATGTCTTGTTCCCTAGGCTGTGCTTCATTCTGGCCGTTGGGTTTTCGTTTTGCGACGAAGACGTGGGATCAATGTGGCTGAGGGTGTGTCTGCGGTCACACAAATCACAAACATGGTCAATATCTTTAGAACCTGAATACGACCTTGTGCAAATCAAGGTCAGCAGCGTCTCAGGCAAGTGACATGCTCTCTTGCATCATCGTCAGGTTAATGTTGAAATAATACATCTCAATGACAGGTGCTATCCTAATGCTTGCTTTTGTTCGTCCTTTCGCTGAGTCAGACACAGTGTCTACAGTTTACATAGTATTGGCACAGAGTAACGTTGTGGTCGACCACAACGGAGTCATACTCGATTACGGTACCGTGTTTCGCTTGACTAAAACGCGTAGGCATCAGGCGGTTTTCGACTTAACTCACGAACAAAAGCAACATCCTGGCGATCCTTCAAGAAGTGCTAACAAGTTCATTGTTGGTCCCAATCTACGATTCCCGGCAACCCGCTTGGCTGGAGTGAGTCCTTTTTCCCGGTCTACTATTCTCCGGATTTCGCTTCTGAAGGTCTTTCTTGAAGGTCTTTCTTGTCGCGGTGTTGCACCGGTCACAAACGCCGAGCTGACACGAGCTGAGTACGACTGGGACCTGCGCAGCTTACCTTATACCAAGCACTGTTGCAACAACGAAGCCTGTTCAGGGTAATATTGAGCTGGTCGATCAAGATCACTTAATAAGACGACTAATAAATTGGTTCGGATGAATCGTATTGCTCCGTGCTCACGACGCATCCCACTGTAATTTTGATCATGTCTGGAGACATGATTGGCGAAAACTCGGATCAATATATTCCCTGCATGCACTTTTCCGGACACCCACTCGGGGCGGTCAGAGAATAGACAAAAGTCGATCTCTTGGCACTCAAGCGTACTCTACCTTCAAGTTTTATTAGACGTTAACTCGGGACATTGATTTGGTCTCATCGTACTATCAAGGTCAACAGACCGAAGATGCAAATCGTATACCCAATGTATCTAAAAGTTATGGTCGATGGGTGTTCTACACCTGTCCGACCTTGCACCAGTATATCAAGGTATGCAGCTGAGGTCGTCCAGCTGGAAAGCACTGTATATCAACTGGAACTTTCCCAAAGCGCTTCTTTCAGAGTCACAGATGTCCATCAGATACGAAACTTGCCCCAGGACAAGGCCTAGACAACCACGTGCACTTTTTCACCAGCCTTTGCAGTGGAGCAATCGTACGCTCGAGGTAACAGATCTTTGAAGTTGCACTCCGTTCTTTTCCAGAAGACTTTTGATCTCCAGCGAGAACCAGGTCGCGTCCTAGAGTACAGTAAAGTGACATCGCGTATAGGCTATTTTGTTCCATCCAAGTGCCATGCATTGGACTATGGGTAGGTGTCCATTACCCGAAATTGTTCCATGAAAAGACTCCACAGATGCAAATATTGTACTGAGACTCGGCACAGACTCGGTATCGTGACACCGGTAGCTTCTCATCGTCCCTGGACTCAAAAGTAATTGCAGGCATTGGCACGAGCTGCGAGCAAGCATTGAAATGTGGCCAAGACTGCCTTCCAAGTATCGAGTCAGGACGATGTTGAACTGAATTAAGTGCAGCGGATCTACGGAAAGTTCCACGACCAGTGATAATCATGCATACAGTACATGCATGCATGCATGCTGATCCTTCATGCGTGCGTCTCTCCACATAGTTGAGATGCGTGCGACCATGAAGAAGACTCGAAAGGAATCTCGAGATCTTGAGAACAAAGTCTAGAATCAATGCCCATTGCTGACCTGGTCTATCTGACATCCTGTACTGTAATAGCTCTGACCTTTCTGTGCCGTGCTCATTCGGGGGCACTCGAAGTGGGATGGTAGTCAAGGCTGTAGACCAAATTTATTCATGGCCATACCCAAGCCATAATATCCTATAATACTCTTGATGAATCACATTAATAAAATCCGACCCTGATGAGCATCGCTCAGACAATCACATACGCACACGCTCATTTGTGTTTTATGGAGTTCATTGCAGTATATAGTGGTGTGAAAGCTGTAAATTGTTTCTCTTGGCGGGCGCCAGTTCCTTCCCTGCCGGTCCATATCTATACACTGACCTGCTGAAGCTATAGCCTCGTGTTGGGTCATGCCCACCCAGCTGATCCGTCGCGCTGGTGAATTGAAACGCTCGTTCTTGCACGATGCTCTGATTCTGATTCGCAACGGCACCTTCTATAACGAACACCCAGACACTTCCAACGCGGCTACACAAACCAATGTCCCGTTGTTCAACAACCTATCCTTCTCACTTCGCAGTACGCCTCGTAGTCGTATCGGGAAATACGACACCGAGAAACATGCCTGGGCCGTGATCGGGGCAAATCCTTCGCCGTTCTTGAAGGTTCTGAAGGGTGACTATATTGCTGCACCTCCTGGCTCGCGAACGTACCCCTACCTAGCTTCCGACGAAATTGCAAAGACAGATCCTCGACTTCGTGTCGTCTCAGAGGCTGTCCAGTATGTTGGATTTGGCAATGCCATTAGTAATGGCGCAGGTGGCTCTGGTCGTATGCAGGGAGCTTACCTGAGCGCTAGGTATGAGAGCAGAAGAGAAGTAACGGATTGGACACTACTTCAATACCTGAAAGGAGAAACGGAGCTCAACCCTTCTGAAGTGCCTGGAGACAAGAGCTGGGATCAACGCCTGTTCAAGCGTATTACAAAGAATCTGCGCCTCGACCAGTTGCTCAATATGCCTGTAAGCAATCTGAGCAATGGCCAAACACGTAGATCAAAGATCGCGAAGGCGCTTATGAACAAACCAGAGTGCTTACTTCTGGATGAGCCCTTCATGGGACTTGATCCTCCAACCTTGACTTTACTCAGCCCTATGCTGAAAGACCTCCATGGACGAAGCACGCCGAATATCGTGCTTGGTTTACGGCCTCAAGACCCGATCCCAGATTGGATTACACATGTGGTTGTCCTAGGTGAAAACAACACAGTGATTGTGCAAGGCGACGTCGTCGAAGCGCTCTATTCCATATGTTCTTGGGCAAAAGTTGAGAGGGGTGAGGATCAAGACTCAATGCATATGAGAGCTGCTGAAGCTCTGAGAAAGGCCTACGGTCCACCTCCTTTCGAGCGTCCGACCATACTGGACAAAGATGGCATACGTCGTAGTGACCTGTCCTCGATTCGGCAAAGTAGCCAAAACGCTGTCGAAGAACGACAATCAGAGCGCGAACTTTCAAAGTCTTTGCGATCACGACAGCGTCACGCTCGGCAAGCAGCCCTCCAGAAACCCGTACAAGAACGGACTGCGACGGAGTGGTTGACTCTTATGAGCCCTGTAAGCCGTTCTCTCTATTCTGACTTGCGCAATTCTCTCTGGAGAAGAGATGAGAAACAGACTGTAGATCGTCATGGACAGATTGAAGCAATCGTAAACACCCCTGACTCTATTAGTTCTGAGGCGACAGCACGTGAGCCACTCATTGAGCTGAAGTCGATAGTCGTAAGATATGGCGACAAAGTCGTCCTTGGACATCCACCACCACAGCCAGGACACACAGAAGCTGGCCTGAATCTAACCATCTCACAAGGCACACGGCTTCTTCTCCTCGGACCCAATGGCAGTGGCAAGACAACACTACTCTCCCTGCTGACCTCAGATCACCCACACTCCTACAGTCTTCCTATCAAGTTCTTCGGTCGTACACGTCTACCCGAGCCCGGAAAACGGGGCCTCAGTCTCTTCGAAATTCAATCTCGTATAGGACATTCAAGTCCAGAAGTCCATGCTTTCTTCCCACGAAACATGACAGTTAGAAGAGTCCTCGAAAGTGCTTGGGCAGAAACCTTTTCCTCGAAACCAGCCCTGGAACCCGAGAACAGCGCATTGGTTGACCGATTCCTTCGGATCTGGAAGCCGGAGCTGTGCCAGACACCAGATAGAACCGATGACTCCCTTGCTTGGGCAAGCGACAACGAGAACCATCCTGTCTTTGCGCGTTTACCGTTCGGAACCCAGCGGCTTCTCCTTCTGCTGCGGGCGATTATCAAACAGCCAGATATCATAATCCTTGACGAAGCCTTCTCAGGCCTTACATCCGCAATTCGCGAGAAGGCTCTGAAATTTCTAGAGCATGGCGACGCATTACTCGGTGCTGATACCGCACAGGGAGACATCACGTTCCCAGGCCTAACGCAACAACAAGCACTAGTGGTGGTAAGTCACGTAAAGGAGGAGATTCCGGACGCTGTCGACGAGTACATACGACTACCAAGTGCAGAAGAAGCAAGTGAGGGCAAGACTGTAGAGATGGGCCGGACTAGAAAGGGCTGGGTAAAGACGGATGAGGGATGGAATGCCGTTTGGGCTTTGCGGAACAACACTGCGTCGACCTAGCTAGAATGCCGATGTCAACAAGTCTCGAGGACGAACTTCGGTCACCATACAGAATGGCCAGCGCAATCAATACCTTAAGGTTGGTGGTGTATGGGCTGATGTTGAGCAGTGACTAGTGTACAGCTGAGGCATTGGTTCCGAAACGTGCAAGTTCGTGGCTTCCTTCCGATCACATCCACGACCCACCTCCCCCCAGTGAAGCCAGTCCCTTGTTTGTGCCGCTGTTTTGTTTCGTTGGTCGGAGCATAAATCGGTCTAAAAGGTTCGGCAAAAGCTACACCACTTAGTTGGGTATTAACGCTATCAATTGATCAGGATGCTTTGTGGTTATGAGCAGACGTTGAGATCGGTCTAGGATCTGTACAGAATATCTACAGCAGATATATAGGGTGCAAGAGAGGTTACTTGTAAACAGTCGTGGCAGACTGGGTATGCGAAATTGATCATCCTTATCAATAGATGCGATGGGACGTGATGGATAGGTCGAGCGATAAGAAAACCATACACCATGAAGACGAACACGAAATGCAAATCTTGATTATACTATCCATGCACTATAGCATAAGTGTGGAGACCCAATTGCACCCAACGCGCTCTTTGTGATCATCCTTTTCTACTGTCAGCACATACCTCCGGTTACCACCATAACATCATGTGTTCAAATCCAAGATAAAAACAAATTGAAAGATTGTGCGCAAAGCCTTTGTTCAGAGCATATCCTATTGCATCGCGTATACGTGGATGGTAGAGCCTCAGCGTTAGCCTTGAGTCATAGTTGCCAGGGTCTCTGCAGCTTCGGCAGTATTGCCTCGATCAATGGCCTGAGTGCTGGCACTAGTATCCTCCTCCACAGCAGTAGCGTTAGCGCTTGTGTCCTCGGCCTGGACTGCAGTAATGTCTTCGTCTACAGCCGCGGAGGATTGCGGTGTTTGGGGTGTCTGGGGTGTTTGGGGTGTTCGAGAGCCATCAGCAGCAGGTTTCATGACAGTCATGGTTGGGCTTAGTTCGGCTGAAGGCATGCGCTGCTCGACAAATTGACTTCGATGAACAAGAGTAGGATGAGCAATTCGCTGCTTCTGCTCTGACGATAGTCGATCGTGAACGCTGGTAGACGTGGTGGCTCGGTCGGGGCGTGCTAGTGAGACGGGATTGCCGGCCACGAAGTTGTCAAAGACTGAAGTTGGATGTCTTCGATCAGAAGCAGCGTGTTGAGGCTCAGCAGAGGCTTGCGACCCGGCTCTATTATATCCGAAGCTAGAATTGACAGCTTGACAACCAGGGAACACAGGCCCTGTACCTGGATATAGATTGTTCTGAAATGAAGAAGAAGCTATCACAGGCAGGTTATCGGCAGGTCGAACATGTTGGCCACGTGGTGCATAAGCCTGAGTGTTCCGATTCGGATATCGATAAATGATTGGGGACTGACCTGTATCAGCAGCGAAGTTGTAGTCCCTCGTAGGCGATGCATTTCGGGGTGCTGATCGTGATTGCTCAGTAACAGCCGGGTGAACAGGGTGCTTGGCACGATTGTTTCGAGTCATGGTTTTGGCAAAATCCTCGAATGAAGCTGCGATTGTTCTACCAGGTCGGTTGATGATAGCTTTTCTAGCACGACCATTTTGAGCTCGAGGTCGCTTTGTCGTAACCTGCTCTGGGGTATAATTGGCGTTATCCTCGTCATTATCGACTACCTCTTCAGGCTGCTCATCATCGTCCTCGCGCTTGATTCGTTTGGCAAAACGAGTCGTGGCAGACGTGTCGTCAAAGAACAATGGTTCATCATCGACTGCCGCCTTGCGCTTCTCACGCTGAGCAGAAATTTTGCTTCGTTGTCTTCCAACGTCTTCCTCGTTGTCCTCTTCGTCAAGATCGTCGACTAGGTTGACATCCGCGTAAGGAGTTTGAGGAGCACGTTTAGCTTCTGCTGCGAGTCTGCTTGACTCAGGGTTGGCCATAAGAGCTAAGCGAGGGTTCGATTGAACTGGACCTTGAGTGAGTATAGCACCTTTGAAGACACCTGCTTCAAGTGCTTTCTTGAGTCGAGTATAGCGCATTCGCGCCGCAGCGGGTTGCAGATCGCATGCAGTACCTATTGCCTTGAAGTCGAGCTGGTATATTATCAGTATTCAGATGTTGGACGGGTAACTTGCTTAGTGTACTTACGCGAGACATCGATGCTTCGATACAGATGAACATGAAAGCGAAGCTCTCGTCCACTTGAAGTTTCGGAGGCATATTCGTTAGTTTTTGATTTGTGTGGTAAAGTATTGTGGTAAGAACAAGGTGGGAAAATGTATAAGAAGACGAGGAACAGAAACGAAAGGTCGGCTTTCAACCTTTCGGGTGATCCATGTTCGGCAGGTGTTAGCTGATTGTGAGCTTGTAAACCGATGATAGTGATACTCAGTTCAGGATTGTTTTGGAGGTTGTTGCGCTTGAACACGGAAGGCGGTACCGAAAGGATATCGACTTAGCCACTCCTCGCTGTCACGAAGGGTGCGACTTAATGGATTGTGATGTGTGAACACAGAGATTGTAAGGTGTCTCAGCTTCATACGCCAGTGTTCGTATACATGCGCTCCTGCGCTCTTGTGAACTCAAGCATTATCGTCCATGGTAATGCAAGGCTGAGTCGATCACCAAGTTGTGCTTCGTTTCAATCGTCAATCATGTCTTCATTGAATCATCAGCTGGAACCTCTTTCGAGATGGCAGTTTCTAGCTTTGATTTCTGCTCTAAGGACTCCTTGATCACTTCTGTCAGTACCTTATAGGTGCCTCTAGCCGCTTTAGTGGCAGCGTTGATGAGGTCTTCCGAGGTACTGTCCGAGACTTTTCCAATCGTCGACTTGCACCAGACTTCAACCAACTCATCTCTGTTAGGTAGATAACCAACCACACATGCAGACGAGAGCTCTTCATGCTCGGATGGACATGGATCCAGTAGCTCTGTAGAAAGCTCTTGTGCAGCCACACCAGCACTTAACATATCCAAGCAGTCTATCTTTGCGTCGACCAAAGCAGCTACCGCGACGTTAATGCTTGCAGCTAGGACGTTCATCAAACCTATGCCACCCACGCCCTTCTCCTGCCCTTGGTCTTCGTTCCACAGGCAGTCTTCCTCTCCTTCGAGTACTGTCACGGCAACCTCTAGAGCGCTTTTTGGGTATCTGTCTGGGATTATTACACCATTTAATGCATTCTGCAAGTGACTGCCCAAATCCCGCTCCACGTTGTCACGCAGATAACCACGTCTCTTTCTCGTTGCAAAGGGAGCAAACTTGACCGAAGCAGTCAGATGAAGATTGGGTGAGAAATGCGCGTTTCGGGATAAAGGTTTTGGTCCTTGGATAGCACAGGAGAGCTTAATAGTGGAAGTCGTAGGGACGAATGATTTGTTTCCTCTAGGGGCTTCCAGCTCGAGGTATGCCGATCCTGAAGCAGCAGGAACGAGGCCTGTCTGCAAGACTGCTTCTTGTCAGCATAATTTCATGCGCCCAAATAGCATCAACGTACATAGTCGTCTCAGCTCATTGGGTTTGCGAGATCGATGAGGTTGTGCGATAGTTCTGGATTCGTGTTGGAAGAGAGCTGGCTGGGTGCCACTTGCTGGACCATTAATGCGCCTCCGGTCGCTCATGACATACTAACGTGAAAGAATGGACGGCCGTGGCTAGACCAGATTACTTGTGCTCTCAAGAAGGAAGTTAGCCAAATCTTCACTCAGAAGGAAACTGACGTAGTACTGATCGAGTATCGATGAAATTGCTTGTTCGTCAGGCTATCCTAATCCTCACTACCGGCATCGTCTTTGCTGCATGTCTATACACGAGAAGTGCCGCCCAATATGCCAAGTCTCGTCCAACCTGCCTTTCTGCTTCACCAAAAAAATGTCTTGCAGTTTCGAAAGCACGTCTCTTCGAGCTCTTCAATTTCTGCTACGCGTTTTTCGCGTTGTCCATCACTATCCAAATTGTCTACAGGACAACATTTAGTGGAATATCATGGCCTTTCGCTGCTGGTGTTAAAGAGTTGCAGCAATATCAGGTCAGTAACAGCCCATGCACAAAAGACTCAAATGAGGAAATCTTTCATACTTCGTTCTGGCGATCATTTCATGAGCCTTTGAACTTAACATGCACTACCATCTGATTACATACATCTGCATTAGCATGGCAATTCAACAAACGTGGTTCCGAGTTATGCTGACGCCGTGTAGGTAGACATTAAGCTGGATCAGCAATGTTGGCACGAGTCTGTTGAAGAATATGCTAAGCGTGCCAAGTAGCATTGCTGTTCTGTTCATCCTTCTTGTAAGTACCTTCAATTCTACCCTGACACCTCTTTTTATGATGATTAAAGGTTTCAAATAACAGTTCTGCTTCTGAACTTCATTGAAGAAACTGTACCAGCTTACCATTTGTCTGATATCGATATCCAACATTCTGTCATAACCAGCTGTCAAAGAAACAATTGCTGACAGCCCAACAGGTCATTCCTCTCCTGCTCGCACTCGTCGCCGTTCACGTTCTTTGTAAGTCAGCCACTGCACAGATACACCTCCTTCCCTGATGCAACCAAGTCTATCCATTCTCCGAAGTCACCTCGCGTGGCGCCTTTCCACACGAGTGCCAGCTCTTCCTATACCGGACTTGCTTGCTTTTTCGGCGAGCGGGAATGATAGGTTGTGAAGATGTCTCGCGCTTGTGGTCTGGTTGATTTGCTTGGTGGCAGCAGTTTTCGTTATGACACTACTGTTACTGAGCGATGACACTAGGGGAAGAATTGATGTCAACGGCTTCTCTGACATTCTACGACGCTTCATTTATCGCTATTCTCACTTGTCTTGATACGTTGCTAACGACTTTGCAGCTGATTGGTCTCCGTTTTGTCCTTCGAATACCTATTTGCTCCGTGTGACTTCTCCTGTATACACGTTCCTCAACCCAGAATCTACGAAGATGTACATCGCATTCTGTTGTGCTCGTTCTATTGCGCGGTCTCACCATGACTAGCAGATTTCGTTCCCCTTCTTACTGGTTGCGTCTCGAAACTGATCAAGCCACTGCTATGAGTATCATGATCGGACCAGTACAACGTGGCGGACATTTTCGGCTTAGGAGCCACCAGCCCAGCATTTGCACCACTGACAAGCACCAATTACTACAAGATTGAATTGCAAAGGACAAACCACTGGCTAGGATACTGGCGATAGTGAGACGGAGTGACTCCAACAGCCGACGACATTTCCGCTTTGCCCATTCACAAGAGTTGAGCACAATTGAGTGATTTCGTGGGCGTAAAAATGGTGGACGTCATGTACTGACCGCTGCCAATGGGTTTACCATGACAACGTTGTAGAGAAGAGTATCCCACAATCTTTCATGGCTGCCTGCAGACCGAGCACATTTTTGTGGACGCGGATAGGTTGGTACCAGGTCCTCACCCAATGCAGTGGTTTGTCTCCTGCCGTTGCTTGTCTCGAGACTATAAATGTCTGTTCACCACATTCGTCCTTCCTTTCAGCACTTTGAAGTCGTAGAAGCAGTACGTACCACTCTCGATACCGCGACAAGTAGACGCACAACAACAAGGGAAAAAACCAACTCGCACAGTATTGGCACCGCCTCGCCTTTGATTGCCAAGATTTGAAAATTTAAAAGTCAACAACTATGTCTCCATCGATTGAATCTCCTTCAGACCTCAACCATGTCCTCCTCTCCTGGACGGGCTGCGTCGACAGAACATGCCAGATACACCTTGACGAGAAACGGGATGCGAATTATTTTCCAACAAAGCGAAGTCGGGAGATGCAGATAGAGAGACTTGAGGAGGAGAAACGGAAGCAGGGTGAGGCGGCGAGGGACAAGCCTGTAAAGATCTTTGATGGGCCTAGGAGAAGGAAGAACGAGAAACAGGAGGAAGGGAAAAAGGTGAAGAAGGAGGAGGAGGATCCAATGAAATCAGAGAGCTGGAATGATGGTCCAGGTGGACGGAATTCGGATAATACGTCGACAGTGACTCGGGATTCTTTCTCGCCACCTGTAATAGAAGGAGAGGTGTGTTAAGGCTATGGTGTAGTGTTGCAGCAGGCTTCTTCTGAAATGTTGCTGAGATTCGGGATATTAGCGAGGCTAGCGTTTGAGAGCAGGTTATATGCCTGAGGGAGGGGTGAAGTTGTTTGGTTGTGAGGCCACCTCGCCGAATCAAGCCTTCAGCGTTTGCAAATTAATACGGGCTGTGGTGCAGACCGGGTACGCGAAAACGAATATTTGAACCATCGTCTGGATAGTAGGATTTCCTTGCCTTTGGGTTATTAGTTCGTTGCTACCTCAATAGAGAGGTTAGCTGGCATTGGGTGAACTCTCGCGTTAGAGAAGGTGCTTGAAGAATCGAACGAGTAGGTTTGGTCAAGGACCTTCGGAAACCAATATATGATTTAGGAGCCGTGCGGATTACCATATATAGTCCTTGGGAATCAATATCTTTCGCATGAGTCCGTCTGCTCCGAAACCAGTAAACCTTGCGAGACCTTCGAGCGTTAACTCACTTGTTTCTCATCATTCCCAATTCCGAGCCTTCAGGCCTGAGAAACGATTAAGGACATAGCCGGCGTATTGTGGACGAGTTTGTACCTCGCAAGCATAATCTGCAAGTGTGTTATTAATGTCCTCGTTTGAGGTGAAAGCCATCTGCATAGATCAATCACATCGTAGCTTCGTCTTTGATACATCTTGGCCGTTGTGTCGGGTAACCAGGCGGATGTCTCGACTGTGGAGATTTGCAGACAATTTACCTTTCCTTATGCTGTGCATAGTCGAACTAATTAGGCTCGAATTATGGATCTCGGCACGCCCGTCGCGCCGACCGACCACAGCAGGATCCACGAATGTGACGCTTACAATACTGTAATGATTTGTTACTTTCGCCTGCGCCGGAGTCCGCGGTTCATGTAGCTCCTCCTGTATCGAGCCGTCGTATCGAGAAGACTCGCCATTTGTCTCAGGTGGAAATCGTGCAACAATGAGTTTGACCTCTGTTCAAGCTAGTAGGTGTATAGGATCATGGTGCTGTAGACGTTAGCGAGCAAGCGTTTCTAACCTTTCTTTTTCCCATCTGCCTGCGATCAATATTTGGTACATATCATATCCGTTTCACAGTCTCGAGGTCCACTAATTTTTTTTTGTTAGAGAGTTACCTCGCTGAGGTGCTTCTGATCGCTAAAGGAGCTCTTTACTGTTGTACAGAGTGCGCCGGCAAAGAGCAAACGCGAGGGAGCAAGTCGCAGTCACTCAGTAGAGAGATGACAGCACAGGCGTGTGACACTATTGCCTCGTTGCCTCGCGATGACCCGAAGAGCACGAGTAGCACATCTACAATCGACCCAAGACAACGCGTGTCCAAAGTAGGTATTGTATACGAACTCGAACAAAAGCCTTCGAAATTGCGTCGCATCGGCACCGCACTCCCAATACAGAAATCGAGCTGATCGTCCATATAGACCCAAGCCGCATCCAATCAGACAGTGATATTACTTTATCTCAAGTTCAGGCCACCTGTTCCTACTCGATCGTGGTTGCCTCGCCACCACGCCTAGGGTAGGCTCTGAAAATGGCTGTCTTTGATAAGGTGTTCCGTCTTGGGTTTCATGCTCGAGGACTCATTCACTTGTAAGACTCTAAAGTAGTCCTTGGCGAGCTTGCTACATAATTACAAAATCCTCGTATCACAATAGTTCATGGCACAAATAAGGAATTTCGATTCCAGAAACGCAATGGTTCACCCCACCATCTACCAATGTGACCATAACCCTGCACACGGAAGATATCCTTCCCTGTTGTCGCGATCTCTATTGAGTGGCACGCGAGCGTGAGCAACAGACGACCTTCCTGATTGAGGAAAGCCTCGGTAGCGTTCGCATGGAAGGGGAGACGAACGGGCACACCGGACCCTTACTATCTCGTCCCAATCTCCAACAAGCATGCGTCAGATCATACGTCGTGGCAAGCCAAGACTCTTGTGTCCTTGGCTCTGTAACTTCTTGGCAGCGTTTGCCCTTCTCGAGCTTTCTGTGCCTCTAGCGATTGGCTCCCGCACCATGCCAAGAAAGCATATCAGTTGATTGCCTCCACTATTCGACGATAGATGCAAGCCATACAGAATCGCTCTCGTGTCATGGTAAGGGTAATCGAGCTTATCGACGCTTTGCTAGCGATAAGCGTAGAGCTGTCCAAGGTGCATGCAAGATGACATTCAAAATGCGATTAAGTTGCACTTGCTTGTCCACGTTTTTCGTTTACTTTTTGAGTAACAGTCCCTGTGTTGCTGTTGTTTCCCCGTATCCATTAGTTGCGCCCTGCAGCTGTTCTTACAGTCGCATCCTGACGAGCGCTCTGTCGCATTCCTTACTTATCACTTGAACATCGATCTACCCGCAGCTGTCGACCATACACATCCGCCGAAATGGGGGTCGAAAAGGATGTTGGTGTGACTGGCACACACCCGCCAGATTACGCAGATGGATCTCGCAGGAAATCAACAGAGATGATTATGAACGACGATCCAGAGCGAGAGGCTGACTTCATGACCCGAAACGGCCTCAACTTGAAGAGCTTTCAGCGACGTATGTTTTGCGAAGCTTCAATTCTACGCAAACGCTGACAACGAATGCAGGTGAAGGTAATGCCCAGGGTGTAGTCGACCTCGACCGCTCTATGAAGGCTCGCCATTTGAACATGATTGCTATCGGTGGCTCTATCGGAGCTGGTTTCTTCGTCGGTTCTGGTTCCGCATTTACACGAGGTGGTCCTGGTTCGGTTCTTATCTGCTTCTCCGTTATGGGTGTGATGATATTCAACGTTGTCTATGCCCTTGGTGAACTTGCCGTCATGTATCCTGTCTCTGGTGGTTTCTATACGTACTCGATGCGATTCATCGACCCCTCCTGGGGTTTCGCAATGGGCTGGAACTATGTAAGTATTCCGCTCTATCTCAATGCTTCGTCTCTAACATATCCCAGGTCTTTCAATGGCTGATTGTGCTACCACTGGAGTTAACTGTCTGCTCGTTTACTGTGGGCTACTGGAATGACACTGTTTCAGTAGCAGTATGGATAACGATATTCTGGCTCTTCATCATTTTCATGAACATCTTCGGCACTCTCGGTTACGCAGAGGAAGAATTTTGGGCCTCGACATTCAAGCTTATTGCAACCGTTCTTTTCATGATTATTGCAGTCGTCCTGATCTGTGGTGGTGGTCCCTCCAGAGGTATCTACAGTGAGTATTGGGGTGCCCGTCTTTGGTATGACCCGGGCGCTTTTCAGAACGGCTTCCGAGGCTTTTGCTCTGTGTTCGTCACGGCTGCGTTCGCTTTCTCTGGAACCGAGTTGGTTGGTCTTGCTGCTGCTGAGTCTGCAAACCCTGCAAAGAACCTACCAAGTGCCATCAAGCAAGTCTTTTGGCGTATCACACTGTGAGTTTTTCCCGCTACGCAGGGTCACTTGTACTGACTTCATTTAGTTTCTACGTCCTTGGTCTTACCTTGGTTGGTCTGCTGGTCAGCTCCACCGACGAGCGTCTGCTCAACGCCTCGAACCCATACAGTGAGGGAACCTCACCATTCGTGCTTGCTGGACGCGATGCTGGCTTGACCGGATTCGACAGTTTCATGAACGTTGTCATTCTCGTCTCTGTCGTTTCGATCGGAATGTCCTGTGTCTATGGCGGCTCGCGAACCCTCACTGCTCTTTGCCAGCAAGGCTACGGTCCCAAGATCTTCACCTACATTGACAGATCCGGCCGACCACTTCCATCTGTCGTTCTCAACCTGGCCTTCGGTGCACTAGCCTACGTCGTCCTGGCCTCCTCTGGCAGTGTTGTTTTCGACTGGCTTCTCGCCACTTCAGGTCTCGCCGCCCTTTTCACATGGGGATCGATCTGTTTCGCACACATCCGCTTCCGACAAGCATGGTCTCGACAAGGTCGATCTCTGGACGAGATTCCTTTCAAGCACATCTTTGGTGTTGCCGGCTCTTGGGTCGGTCTCGCTCTAGTAATCATCGCACTGGTAGCTCAGTTCTACAGTGCCATCGCTCCACCTTTCGTGGACGGTCTGTCCGATGCTGAGGGCTTCTTCAAATCTTATCTGGCTTTGCCCGTTGTTATACTTTTCTGGATTATTGGGTACGCCTGGAAGAGGCAAAGTTTCCTCAAGCTCGATCAGATCGACCTCGATGTAGGTCGACGACAGCATGATTGGGATCAGATTCACGCTGAGCGAAGGAGGGTTGCAGCTTTGCCAACCTGGAGAAGAGCACTGCACCATACCTTCTAGGTCAACAATGTGTGGACGACTCGGTGTGTGGTTGTACATGTTATGACGGGAAGGTCCGTGGTATGGTTCAGATCTGTTCATAGCCAGCAAGCATGTAGACCGTTCTATGAGTGTCATGAAGCAAGATAGCGCGAGGTGCTGCTTTGGACAAATGATATAGCACATACCATTTCATGTTTCAGATCTTCTTCACTCAGTTGAGATCTATTGGGAGCTACCCGAGGTCGTTAATTGGCACAGAGGTAATCATGCGACGGGAAACCGATTGAGCGAGTGAGCGAATGAATAGACTACTAATGGCGACAGAGGTCATAAGGCGGAATTGTATGATAATTCTCTACCTGTGTATATATGCCAAGACCGCCCTTCGACATTCTTTTCGTTCGTATCAAATACAAGCCACGCCCTGCGAACGATCGTATATGCTAGTATCTGCTAACTGCAGCTAATACAAGCCCAGCCAAAGCTTCCGGAAAATGTTCCATTTCCATGTAGGCAGAATACTCATATAGAAAAGTTTCCAAGAAATTACTTTGATGCTATGAACACTCTCGTGTAGCCCCAATATACAAGTTTATCCCACTACTTCAACTTCTCATCCAACAACTGCAGACTCAACTTCCACAACTGCTCACTCAACTCAACGTTCTGAGCCTTACTGCTAGGCGACGTGACCTTCTTGTCTGGCACGATATAACTTCCTGTAATGCCCTTCTCCTCGATCTCCGGGCTGGTAGCCGCATACAACATAGGTCTGCAACCCTGGGCAACAGGGTCTTTCATCACAAATGTTCTCATAGCCGCGACTACAGGCTTCAAAGCAGAGCCATAAGCTTCGATGGCTTGCTCTGGCTGATCCGTAGAGACGGCGCCAGGGTGAGTTGCGTTGACGTAGATCTTATCGCTGGCTTTGGCGTTGACCTTTGAATCTCCACCCTTTTCCATGCGTCGCTGGATGGCCAGCATGCCTAGGACTTGGGCGAGCTTTGTGCGGTTGTATAGTTTGGTAGGGCCGAGGTCGGTATTGATTTCGTTGACGTCGATGAATTTGGTTTCGTCCTCTGGTAGTCGGTGCATGTCAGATGACTGGAATACTAGTCTTGCACCGGGCTCCTTCTTGAGTAGTGGGAGCAGCTTTAGCACGAGATGCAGCTGGCTTAGCCAGTTGACTTGAAAGTGGCTATCAAGGCCATCGACTGTCTCCCAGTACTTGCCAACACCAAGGCCGGCGTTCATACACATCTAGGCATGGTCAGCTCAGGTCGTTCAATGACATTGAAGAATGACCTACTCCGTGAAGCACACTCTCCTTTTCCAGTATCTTGTTTGCAGCTTCATCAGTCTGCTTCAAGTTCGCTAGGTCACACTTGATCCATTCAATCAAGTCAGTATTGCCCCACTGCTTCATTTGCTCTATCGCTTCCTCGGCATGATCCTCTTTGTTTGACAGCATTAAGACTCGTGCATTGTGCTGGATCAAATGAGCGCAGACGCCAAATCCAATGCCTACACTGCCACCAGTGACGAGGTAGGTCTTGCCCTTGAGATCCGGGATCTCTGTGTCAGGGTTGAAGCTGTTGCCCGTAATGAAAGACATACTGGTCTGGGTAGCTCGAATACAAACTCTTGTGGTTGTTGAGAATGTACAGGTTATAGGCTTGTTGTTACTCGAAGCCGTGAGACGAAGATATATTGTAGGACGAAAGAGTTTGTGACACAATAACATCTGAGGATATCTAAAATGCATTACGATTTTAGATCATATCATGCCTCGTTCCTTCGATGTTTTGCAAACTACGTATGATGCATGTGAAAGTGCAGAATCGTGACGTGAAAGGGTGCAGCGGGACGGCAAAATAATCCGGGTCAGAATCATTGGGGTTGAAACTGCCTGAATTTCGCAGGCCGCAAACCTCGCGACGGGTGAACTTGATCAGCACCGAGAACCTCAGTAAATATACGGTGCTGGTACCAGTGCAGATTCAAGAGTCATCGCAAACACGGCATTGCTACATCTTCGGCGTGGCTGTCATATTCTGAACGAGCCGGCTTCGACGTGCCAGCATGAGCACTGATCGCTTCGCTCCCGCTCAGATGCTAAGTACCGAACGTGACGAGGTTGTATATACCTCCCTTTTTCAAGGCTCGTTGATAAGCCGGTAGCTCATGAATCCTGTCGAGCCAGCTTTGTACTTTGGGATACTTCGATCCGTCAAAATACCCACGCTGGGCAGCCATATCCATGCCAAATATCATGTTGAAATCAGCCAGCCCATGGCGTCTGCCTGTGAACCACGGCTTCTCTTCTGACAGTGCATCTTCCATGTACTGGAAGTACAGCTGCAAATCATTGCGGAAGTGATTTCGGAAAGGCATGGTCAGGAGGCCAGCTAAGTGCCTGATACCGAAGGGGTACACTATGCCAGGCATGTCCATGATCAGAGTAAAGTCAACCTGCCGCAACGTCAATGGTGTGCATCGGCGCAAGATGCAGTGGTTCAGCTAATACCTTCGTGAGGAGTGATGCGTTCGCAAACTCCTGCAAAAAAACATCTCTCGCCTTGTCTTCTGCGTCAGGTTCCCAGATACCTTGCGAGTATGTATCTGATAGGTACTGTAGCACAAGCCGGGCTTCGGTGAGTGCTTCTTCTGGCTTGGGCCCAATGCAGAAAACCGGCGATTTGCCCAGTGGATGAACCTCTTTGGTTCCTGGGTCACCCTCTTGCGTGGATAGATCTTGAGACGGTATTGAAGACCCTTCAGCTCGTTCAGCTCCTCAAGAGCACAGAGCACTCTGAGCGACATCGAAGATTCTAAATGGTGAAGACATGGGTAAAGTGGTGATTCCAATGCCATACTAGTGTCAATCTATTTAGCAAGCTCGGGGACCACTACAAGTTACACAGGAAGCGATTGATTGAGGAATATGAAGTGAGTAGCTTGAGGGCAGTCGTTCTTCTGAATGCGACAGTGCTTGTGAACTCATCTAAGCCTGGCTTCAGGCCTCCTTCCGCATTTCATCGTCCGCCAAGGTCGATCAATGCCAAGCCCATGCTATTAAGTTGTCAGCGACGAATTAAGATCGACTTTTTCGAGCTGGTTGGCAACCCCAGCTTCTGCACGATCTTTGTGCTCGTACACAGTGCACCGCTTTCCTGCTCCTGAGTAACACCAACCACGATGTTTCAGCATTACAATTCTTGTAGTTTTTTGATGCTACAAGTCCACTCTTTGTATATGGCGGATTTGGGTCAAGCGAGCCTGGAGAGATTGTTATAGTCGTCGTATTCAACGACACCTGTTTGTCCAGGGTAAGCAAGTCGCTGGAGTGAGTAGTCGGTGCATGAAATCGAACAGTACGCGACACCAGTCATCGATCTGGTTGTCAGTGCCATCTTGTGGTGCTACAAAGGCTTTGTGGCATAGCACTGATCCCTGAATTCGACGTCCTCCCAGCATACTTATTTCAAGCGTCGCGACTAGCGACGAACATTACTAACCCGCACTGAAACAAGAGAGCTGATCTTCATCGCCGCTCTTGGGATAGAGATCTTGAAACTGCGCGCGTCGTAGCGTCACAAAAGCCCAGTCATCTCGGTATTGGCTACTCGACAGTAAACGGTTGACGCTCAGCAGTGGCCTGATTCTCAATCAGATCGGAGGATTTGCACACGAGTTTGATCACGAAAAGGAGTTCGAGCATCCTAAATTGGCTCCCAAGCAAGCGTGAGATGAATTGAACTCCGATCAACAAGCACATGTCGGACATTGTTCTGCCGACCGCCAAGCCTATCCATAGCGGGAACAAAAGTCATTTTCCACTCGAGTCAGGTGGTCCCACCAGAACGTACCAACATAGGGTCGTGGCTGGGTCTGGCTTTCTTGGTATTGAGGGTTTGTTCAAAAATACACGCAAATATACTTTCCACCATAAAGGGGCGATTACGAGGCGGCGAACACCTCCCATAAGGGAAAATCACGAGAAGTATGCTGGACGACGCCAGGCCATTGTCTATCACTCATCGACATGTCTCGATAGGTATTGATTAAATCACCGTTTTTAAAGTCTAGAAGACAAGTAACTCTATTCAACTGGCCAGTTGAATAGGTTGGGTTTGCCACGCCAATCAATGCAGATCCTTGCACTTTGGTCAAGAACTCATCACTCTTGCCTTGCTATATATTACCCTCGTGGTTTCCTGCAGTCAAAGCGGCTGACGGATGTGGTTCGTCCACACCAAAGCCACATCAAGAACTGCATGCGCTTGTGTATTCGTGATTCGAGCCGCAGTTTATGCTGTCGCAGTTACAGTGACGGTCTTGACGGTCTGTTCGAATTTCATTAGCATCGTGAATATAGATTCATGGATTATTGTGCTTACTGTAGCGGTCCTAGTTGGGCCAGGCCCAATACACGAGCACACGCTCTGAACAGCTGGAGTACCACGTGCCAAAACATTCATCCATACAGCCACCTGAAGGTTCTGGGCTGCTCCACTCCAACCACCACGTTGAGGTTCTGGTTCAGGTGCCGCTTCTCTTGGACCACGGGAACCTCGAGGGTTGCTGAAAAACGCAGGCCTGATGAGAGTTGCGCTTGTGCTAGTGCGAGCACTGCTAGTGGTACTGACACGGCCAGAGCTTGATGAGACGGCAGGACCTGCAGAACCTGCTGGTTGAGAGTATGGACATGCTAGGGAATATGCAGCGCGACAGTCTGTCACAGTAACCTCGGCGACTGCAGTGATGGTGCGAGTGGTGCCACCATTGCCGCCAATGCTGCTGGTAGTGCTCGCCTTTGTAGTCGTGCCCTGAACAGAGGCCGAAGAGGATCTAGTAGAGGTTGAGGAGGATCGACTAGAGGTTGGGATGGTCGTCGAAGCTGCCGAAGAGGTTGTTCGAGCCATAGTCCTCGTGATCGTGGAGGTCACAGTCGGAACTGCTGGAGGGTAGCTTGTGGCGCAGTATGACAGAGCTGGCTGATAGTTTGACAGGCGAGAACAGGTGTCGCTTTGAGCTTGAACGACAACATTGAGCACAGAAAGAAGTAGAGCGAATGACGTTTGAAGGTACATTTTCAAAGAGTGACTGAGTGCTCTGAAAGAGTGGACGGTCTCAAACGAAGACCAAACAACAAACAGTGTACGATTAGGTAGGTAAGCTTTGAAAGACGTGTGCTTTGAAGTTTGACCGAATTCGAGAGGAGGATGGGTTTATTACCTATAGCAAAGATTAGCCTACCTCATGCACAAGGCCTTGCACAGGAGCAGCATCGATTCTAGACTCCACATGCTTAAAACGTGCTTGATTCTCGTGTATGTTTCTGCAGATCCTGGTGAGGAGTCCTTGAACACGTTCTTGAGCGCCAGACATAGTTCGATTGCCAATACCATAGCACAAGCTGTATGACATATTAAGCGCCTTAAAGTGTAGATAAGCGAGCATTATGCCACCGAGCTAGGATCATGATGTTAAAATGTGTACGGGTGACAGATTTGCTCGAGGGAGCTAGAGGGGTCGAGTTGCTGGTTGACTCATTGGTTCTGCCGCTTTTAGGCGGCCACGCAAATTTGGCGAAAGTTAATTTCGAACAACGCCATTGTCTCGGTGGTTTCGGAATTGATGTGATACGGCGAGCTCGGCAGGTCTTGGCAGGGGCTTTTGATAAAGTTCACGATGCATGTAGGCCTTGGTGCCTCAAGAGCAATTTCACACGTGCTGAGTTAGCAGAAAATTCCGGCTTTGCCTGGGCGGAATTGTGGTGGCCAAGCTCAACTTACGCCATGGCTTCTGCGAGACGATTTGTAGTAGTGGAGCAGCACGTTCGTCGAAATGGGCCAGAGTGCGTAGACTTACCAGCATCGGCTGCGCTCGAGATTAATTCTGGAGGTCGTACTCGACAATTCAGAGAGTCTTCACCCGCTAGCGAAACCCTCAGTCGCAACCAACAAGCATTGCGACAGAAGTTTCATACAACAAATAGCTGGCGACCTGAGCATTAGAAGAGGTCCTTGGGGTCTACTGCATTCCGTCAACGGTGAAGACTTCTTGCGTTGTCGAGCATGCGTTTGATGTATCGTGCCTTCATATCCCTCGTATTGATTGCCCTTGCGTGTGATTATGCCCTTGTACAAGCTGCGATTGTCAATGTTCTCAAAATGCAGTAGTTGCGTTCATTGGCCCTGGCTTGCGAAGATCTGATATGTTGCGTGGACCCCTCACATTAGTGACGAGTGAATCTGGTGGAGTGAGGGCAGAGTGATTGCTATCAAGCGCCTTGGTTCACAATTGAAAAGAGCAGTGCAGAAGGAGTTCTGAGGTGCGGAAGGACTCCCCAGTTGATATAAGTGAGTAGCAAATTATTCATTGCACAATCTACCCTTTACGCCTTATTGGTTCCTCTCACAAGCTGCACAGTGAGCTGTAGCGAATGCTTACTAGTACAGTATAACCTCGCTGTAATGTATTTGTTTTGAAACCCTTCGATCGCGATTACCAGCACAATGTGCTCATCGTTAATGCTTGAGTTCAGTATTCGTCCTCGTCATCTGGAGCGGCGTCGAAAACATCCTCAGCTTGATTGTCAGCATCATCATCTTTTTCGTTGTTTTCGTCATAGTCGTTCTGCTCAGTCACATTGTATGCGACAGTATAGTCGCTTTCTTCAATCTGGTCATGGCTGTTGTAGTGGTCTTCATCAGACTCCTCGTCTATGGGGTGGTCTTCAGCGGTGCTATTTGATCGACAGGGGCAGTTATTTAGAAATTCTAGTGCTCTATCCTCCAAATGATTTAGTATCCAGAACAAGCAGTCCTCGTGATACACGCAGGATCCGCAGGAGTATCTCAGGTGCTTGACATCGGGCGGGATGGAGTTCTTGCAGATTGCGCAGGTCAGAGCTGAGATAAAGCTTAGCAGTTGCGCACAGATTGAACAAAGGTTCTCTTACAGGTAGATGAGTTGTCAGGAGTGTCGGTTTCCATTGCGCACATGATGTGTTCTGAATGTGAATCTCAACCTATTGTACAGTGATTGAAGTGTGTCCAATGATTGTGTAGAGGATTGTCATAGAATTCAGCAGCGACGCCTTGCTTGAATAATGCCCCAAGACAAAGCCGCAAAGTATCGTGCCAAGAACTAGCAAGACCTGCACACCTTTTTTCACGTGAGTTTTGTAGAGCTTCACTTGGTCTCCGCAGTTCTCTTCTTCCAAACCGCTTGTCGAAGAAGTTCCCTCCTCGTTCTAGTTCCTGTGCCCACGATGTCTCTAATCGTGGGGAAGAGTTACTTCCGAACAGCCAGCAATGGCATGAGAATCCTTCTGCGAGGGCCCCTGGACACAGCCAGGGAGATTTGGGCGGGCTTCTATGCCAACCGTGACTTGGGTCATTACGACCACGCAGTGGACCCGGCTGCAGCGAAGCAGCAGCAGATGCAAACAACGCTCCTCTTGATGAGGAACGACGTTGCTACTTATGACTGGGCTTACCACGATGAAGCCAACCGACAAGATCGGAGATGGTGAGTGGTAGCCCACAAGTAAGTGGTAGCGTCGTTCCTGCATCTTCCTCCCCTCCTCCTCCTCCTCCTCCTCCTCCTCCCGGTATTCTCCGCGGACCGACGGTCTATGTACTGCAGACCTAGATAAGCGCACCGGACCCCAACATGCGACTCCTTGGCGAGGCGTTGGAGCTCGAGTTCGTCCTCACATTGAGGACGTTCCGCGAACGTCGCAAAAACCAAAATGGCGATCGACTATTTCAGAACACTCTGAGTATATTCATCAGAAGTTCAGGAAGATCGTTACCCGGTTGTGCTAAAGAAAGTCGTCAATTGCTTTCCTTAAATGTCAAAAACTCATTTCGACATTGTCCATTCTCTTGAGGAATATCAAACCACCCACAGACAGGATCGAACATGTCCAACAACTTCTTGAGGATCACAGAAACTCGGAACCATGCTTCACAGGCAACACAGAAACGTCAACACACTTTGACAGGAGAACCTAGGTCCATGGCGTGTTCATAGTGCTTCAACAGATACACTGCTGGATCAGCCAGTACTTAAGGGACAATGGGGTCGTCCCTGCCAGATCTGCTAATTATATCCAACAATGGCAGGCAGGATCCCTGCACTTGCATGTCAGCCACATTGAGCAATGCCACAAGACCTTTTCTGCTTCATCCTTATGCCAGTAGAACGCAAAGATGTTGTCGGAACACCGCGGCCAGGGTCATGGCCTAGAGGGAGTCAAGACAACATTCGTTCTTTCCCGAAGCTGTGCCGGAACCAAAGAGCCAGGATCGATCAGAGGCCAGTCAACATTCAGAGATACTAGCTCCAAGCACAATGCAGCATCTTCATCAGACCAAACGTGCCACTATTCTTACTGACAGCGAAGGAGGCAGCCAGGGTCGTTACACATCTGAAAACTTGCAATATTACCTTCAGTGCATCGAAGAAACACAGTACTTGCATACTCGAGCATCAACCATTTGCCGAGCTTGGTATAGGCCTGTGGAAAGTGTCAAGAGTGGCCTTGCAACTTGCATGCGGCAAAAGAGGGAGGTCAAACAATTCGTCACAATAGTCACGTTGAACGACTGAGATCGGTCTGTGTAATGGCAGATCGGCGAGGCGATCGCGACTGTATCAGCAGCTTTGTTGTTAGCAACGACGAGCTTGCAAGCCTCGTATACCCTTCTTCACCTCCGTCAGTCGCTATCTTCATCACACCATTTGAAAGCCACGAATGAAGGGTCTCTAGCAGTCAATTGACGATATCAACCAACTGCAGCATCTCGACATACTACCACCGACTCGAGCCGACGACAAGCTCTGACGCCCAATGTTAACGTCAATGTCTGAAGGAAGAACTTGCATCAGGGTTCATGTTTGAAGACCTCAACCAGGTAAAATGATCAAGCATATCGCCGCTTCCAGGTATTTCCCGCGGATTGTCGTTCAATGGCTATTGTATTGTGGAAAGCCACACTTGTTGATGCCCTCTGCATGCAATGCCAAGCTTGCACGACCAATAACTTCAAACTCCATACAGGAGTCCTTGACAACATCGTGGTCTTGCTGGATGGTACAAACACTCTCTGCTTAGCATAAGTACTGCATAACTTCTGAAGCCATCGTTTGAAACAACCCCTAAACGGGGCACGCGCAAGCACCAACAGCAAGTTTCCATCGTCGGTCAGTGGCGAGAACTTGCCAGATGGCGCCCATCAGGTCCTCTGCAAGCCGAGGACAAGGTTGGTAGTAGTAGCAGTAGCAGTGTGGATTGCTTTTCCACGACAGCTCTGCTCAGCAAGATTGAACTGAGACAAACGAACATCACTGGCTATACCAATATCCGTGGCTTCTCGTTGGCTGAATGACTTTGGCGAGATGTCTTCTGTGAGATTATAGACGGAAGGGTTCAGGAAATAAGTGTATACCTATATACCAGATTCAGGAAGGCCAGCGTACAGAACACATACCCTTGATGCAAGGAAGTAGGTACACGTCCCTGTTTTCAAGCTTGTGGACATTTACCTTTCTCATATTCAGCCTTCAACCACGAACAGTGTGGCTCCCACCACGCTCGAACACCGAAAACTCCACAAACAAGAATCGGTCAAACAGTCCCATGGGTTCGAAGTGTTCCTAGTAGCATTTGTGCCAGTGGAAGGATGGTTGACCGTCATGCCTATGCTCAGAGCAAGGAGTTGACGACATGTGTGAGAAAATTTGACATGAGCACATCCGGCCGGCTCATCTTCGGCTCCAAATTGCTGTCTCGGAAACTGAGCCTAGCGAACTTGCAACATCCTGCCATGTGATGACAATTGATTGGGCTGGCCGTAAATGCTATTGACAGACTAGTAGTCTGACAACCACATGAGTACATTGTATTAGCTCCCGCATAACGAAAACACTTGGAGAAGACCAACTTGTACAAGTATGGCTGGCAACTCAGGGTCGTGCAGCCCAAGCAGCTAATGCCGAGCCACGCTTGACGTATTGCCGCTAGTGGCAGAACAGGTCATGCCAGAAAGGATAAGGCCGATGTTGTTGTCTTTCGGTCGCTAATACCAGACCAGTACGTGTGACGCGTCTTGCTCTCTCGAGGATGCTCGACCTTCGGTTATCGAACCATTGTAGTGGTTAGGACAAGCGAGCTAGACTAAGGACGGAGAGGAATCAGCGTGACACTCTTATCGACGCGATATGAGGTGACCGACCATAAGTCGTGGTAGCACGGCACTGACTTGAGGTGATGAGAATTGAATGGCATTTCGCCAAGCTCATCTCAGCGGGCATAGACATAGCCGATGTCATGCCTGTGCCATGATGATTGCTTTAGGATCATCTCACCTGATGTGGCCATAGCAACGTGCCCTCGGCATGTATTGAGGAAGCCAGCAGCCGATTCATTGCATGCAGCTTGGAAAAGGGTCATTGGCACATTGCTTGCTGTATGCTTCCGAGGGCGAGATGCTCACCGAGACCCACAGTCGTGTCAAGATGTCTCCTGTTCATAGCCAATTCACGTCTCAAGAGATGCGACGACAAGACAATGGGGGCTTGCAAGCGTCGCCAGATGTGTAAGCTGAATTTTAGGCCTGCAGGACTGGAGTGTGATCAAGGAAAGTAACAGCCAGCGGGCTAGTGGTGCAATCTCAAGTTGGTAAACCCTGCAACTGTCACAGGCAGGCATAATGTTGTCATGCAACACAGCATTTGTACTTGAAGCCGACTTGCACTTTACGAGCTACAAAAGGGCTCATGCCCTGCTGTGCAATATGAATAGAGGCATCAGCATAATCATGGTTGCGGTCAACTGGTCCAAGTCATGCTCATTGTGTATCGGCTTGCAGACAGGCAACCAGACTAAGAGGATCTGTTCCTGTGAAGCTCTTTTTGTTCTCTGGCCCGACTCTTCAGAATAATTCTCTGCTCACGGAGCAGCATGGAATACCTAAGCTGGCATCGTCTCGTTGTCGAGAGTGATCGAGAAGTTCGTGAGGAAGAGGAGTCAGGCGTTTTGTTACCGACTCGAATCTCTGCTTGCCGATTGAGAGTGAGAGCATTGTAAGACTAGGCTGGGTGCGAGTCTATATCTCTCGGCTGATGAGCCTTGAGAGGACAATCGGTGTCGATGCCTGCATGTGCCACCACATGATACAGATTGACAGTCTCGGCACGGTCGCAGTTTCACCGCAGCTTGGTTTGGATGTCTGGCTTGAGGACAGTATCTTCCTTCCTTCCTTGATGTTGACGTCGCAGTATCCGAAGAGACGTGAAGCGATGAACAATGTGACTTGGAAAAATATCGCGAGTCATCGAATCTTTGAACGCGTCTTGCATACAAATACCACCGACGAAGGACGAGGACTTGGCTGCGGCGTCGTCACTTGTCACCACATCAATGCAACAGCACCCATAATTCACAATATGTGAGGATTGTTGTCTAGGCTTAGACCTTGTGTATACCATCTCTTTTCAGTCAAAAGGATCGTTTCAAACTCAAACTTTGAAGGGTATAATAGCTGTGTGGCGCGCGAAGCAGGTTAGACACAACCATCACTACACTTTTTGATATTGAATCAACCATGGACAGGCTTGAAGCTGCAACGAGCATACTGCAAATCGTGACAAGTCCTGCACAAGCCGACAGAATATATCGGATTCTGCAGCATTGAACCACGCAGTATATCGGATTCTGCAGCATTGCTGACTGCTGCATAGAGCAGCAGCCTTCAGCCGCAGCCGCAGGGATTTACATCCCTACGATGCCTGGTAGATCCAGGGTAAACTTGGTCAAACTTGGTCATTTAGAGGAAGTAAAAGTCGTAACCGCAAACCTGCGAAGGTACGCGTGATTGTGTGAACAAGATTGCTGCAGTAATATATCTGTCAACCATCGAGCTTGTTTGTTTGTGGAAGATAGAAGTGAAGAACAAGTTCGGAGGAAGATGAGTGAGAATTATCCCGCACGACGTCGATTTGTGAAGGGACAAGTCACCTGCGTTCCGACGAGCTTTGGTGGCTAGCGTGTCCCCTACCTGCGCCCTGAAGTTCCACTGCTCTTGAGTGCAGCTTGCAAAGTGCAGAGAGCTACAAGTTACGCTTGACCTTGCTACAAAAGTTGCAATCTGATAAGAACAGAATGAGGTGAGCTCAAGCTTGAACCTCAGAGAAGCTTCGTAGCGGCCCGCTGCAGGCTTCAAAGCTAAACCGGAAGCATGCATGGCGTGATGGAGTTAGAAACGCAGCTCTTCGAGTACTACGCTAGCTATCTTCTACTTGATGGTCTCTGTAAGAGGAGAAATAATGGCGAGGACGATCTCTCAAGAGCACCAACGCACCTGACTAGGACGTAAGAACTCGATTCGAGATGATTTTCGAAGGCGCTGCAGCAATTGCTTAGCCATATACCTCTGCCTGCCACCCGGGCTAAGACTATAATCATGGTGCAAAAGTAGGTCGCCAGCTTCAGGGCCTTAACAGCCACATTATTACTTGTAGCTGGGTGGTCCGATATTACGCTCGCGTACATATCCACAGCCGAGAACTCGGTTTCGCAAACAGTTTGGAGTAAGCGAGGAGAAGGAGAAATGCAAGAAGAATACATGTCAGAACGAGGCAGCAGCATTTGGTATACGTCCGCCATGTAGTCATGAGGACGAGGCGATAGCCAGAATCGCCCCATCACAGAACCTCCGGCCCCATATGTTCAGACGAAGACTCAAGATCGGCTGATTACCTACAAGAATGTTGTACGATTGTTTGCACTTGACCTCGCGACGAATAACGAACGTCCCTACCCAGCTGGTCGCAAACAAGAATTCGCACCACAATCATCGAATTATATGGTCTTAACTATGCACTACATGACCAAGTCCATGACGAGGGTGGGCAGTTCAAAATCGATGGCACTGACATTGCAGAAGCACTCTTACCACAGTATAGCAATGTCGCAGAAGATGGCAAGCACGATACAAAAGAATTGGTCAGGAGCGCAGGGAGGATATCTAGCACGACTAGTCATCTTAAGCTTGAAAAGAATCCGGAAGCCAGCCAACCTTGTATAAGGTCAGAACCTGTTTGGACATTATGCAAGAGTTGGGAAGACGGTCTATGCACAAAGAGTACGGTACAACACTATTTTTACGTACCCACTTGAGACTCGAAGTTGCGAAAGCTCCAGGAAGCAATACATGCTATTTGTGCTTGCATAAGCCAGGGCACGGCATACTATAGTACATTCGATGAACATGAAATGAAAACTGCTTGCTCAAAAGCTATGATGGAAAGGACCAGTTGTTTCGATCCTGCTCAAGATCTACTGCATCAATGACCAGCCCCACGAAAAGGATGGTACACGAACACTGAGGAATTCTACAAAGTAAGGAGGTGCATATCTGGATCTATGTGATTCAACAGTAATGCAGCACTCTTTCCAGAGACATCCTGAGGCAGTTGCTGCCGTGTGATCGCAATGTCTAGACTCATCCACCAAGCCCAAGCTAAATTTCATTGAACTGGATTCATGAATGGCACAAGAAAGCCCAAGACACTCTGAAGCGTACTGCATAGTTGTGTCTCCTTTCCCGTCCGGCACAACCTTGTCCTTTTTCTACATTTCTCGAGAGAGACCAACAACAACTGCCATGACTTCGACCTTAAACCAGGAGAGAATTGACAACCGCCATCTAAGAGATCATACAACTCATCCCGAGGAAACCTGCCCTCCCTCCTATTCAGTCATGGTCGTGTCTTCACTCCAAAGCAAAGAACTTCAAGGTCAATGTGCAGGAAAATCTTTCACATGTCGATATGACCACCTTCATTTCAATTAATGCCAGCAAGCAATCAAGCAAAAATTTCCAGTCTCTTTCCCACAATCAGGACACAACAACCCCATCCCGTCATCTCGCTCCTGAACCTCCTTACCCTCCGCCAGCAACCCAAATTCCTTCAAATACCAACAACAACCAAACACAAACAAGAATCGTATGTATACATCCCCTCTATCTCACTGTGTTCATTCCCAATGCAATCCTCAGATCAACGTTTGTTAACCCTCTGTTCTACTTTAGTTCCTTCTCAAAAAAAAAAATCAAAATGCCGTCTTTTTACGATCTGCCGGCCGAGATGCACCGGATAATTCTCATCCAGTGCCCCAACGATCGGTATGCCAGGCGGCCGGCCCTGAGATGGGCGCTCTTCTACCATGTCTGGCGAGACATTGTGGAGGAGTTCGTGGAGACTGCGGTGTGTGCATTGAGCCAGGACGAGTGGGTAGATGTGCAGATGGGGTGGTGGATGACGTGGTGAAGAAAGAGGAGAGAAGAGAGAGGGGGGAGAAGCAGTCGAGAGCAAAGACTGTACGAGAAGCAATGTCCATCTGTTTCTTAACCAATGCTTGTAATATCGAAGTCCTCCCCAAGCCTGTATAAATACTTACGAAGCAGTCCCTGCGAAGGACTCTTCATTTGTTGATCGACTCGTGGTTGTTGCGGAAGTCGACGATGCATCGCCTAAGAGCTCCTCCAGAAGTCCTCTAATATCTTCGCCATCCCCCATACCGTCCAAATCCATCGCTATAAATGCCTTGTTCACAGCTTCTGCATCACGTAGATCATCCAGCTCGTCATCTGGGACATAAGCACAGACTGAGACGAGGTTCTCTCCTGCTAACGCCAGCTCTGTCAATTGACATGCGCGGTCCACCACAGGAGCGGGAACACCATTCATAGCAGCACACTGTGCACCATAGGAGAGAGTACTGCGACCTGGTCGGACGTTGTAAAGGTAAGTCACTTCCGTCCCGTGAGCTTGTTGGGTGGCACGTTGATTTGTCTTGAGCTTGGGTTGGACCTGTACCTCCATTTGGCGTAGACCGAGATCGGGTAGGTCTTCTGAAAGCAGGCTCTGCTCAAAGATCTCGTGAAAGTGCGTACTAGCCAAGACTTTAGGTGCTTGACGACCAAGGGATAGCAGATGAGTTAGTACGCCTGCACATAAACCAGCACCATCGCAGTTGTCCGTCCCTTTGCCAAATTCATCAATGATGAGGAGGCTTCGTGCAGTGAAAGAGTTTAACGCATAGGCCATTTGTTGCAGGTCAATCATGAATGTCGACTGCCCTTTTGAGACGGTCTCTCTAGTCGTAATTCGCGTCAAGATTCTGTCGGTGATACCAAGACAGGCATAATCGACTGGAACGAAAGAGCCAACATGAGCCATGTAAACGATCAGCGCTACCTGTTTCAGATAGACAGATTTTCCTGAATAGTTTGGGCCTGTGACCAGTAGCAGGCTTGGGTGGTTTGGAGACTGCGCAGATTGTTGCTCGACTGTTTCATCCTCATGTCCACTACCTCCGATCAGGAACGCATCATTCGGAACATACGACGGAACAGTCATCTCCTGAAGCAAGTGCCGACCTCCTCTTATGTCGATAACATTGTCGCCCACCATACGAGGTCGCACGAGGTTGTGTCTGCACGCGCCATGGGCAAGTGCCAATAAAGCATCCAACTGGCCACATAGTTCCGATGCTTCGACAACGAAGGCCTCCTTCTCCAGCACGCGTTGAGCCAGGTCGTGAGAGATATCAATCTCGGTATCACATATATGTGCCCAGAGATCTCCAAGATCTGTATCCATTTCACGCATTCTGTTGTTCTTGAAATAAGTACCACGATCAGTCACGAATCTTCTCTCCCAATCCTGGTTTAGACCAACCAGTATAAGGTGATCCGAATCCTCTGGCGGGATAACGATCAGAAAGCCAAGCTGGGGAATATAGGTTACAGTCAGCTTTGGGAGCTGGTTCATACGAGGAAGCTCTGACATCGTCTCTCTCGCGACACGACATAGCATTTCGTCTATACTGTCGTATGCATCTTTGACTTGGTCCAATTCGAGGTCGACTCCTCGTTTGACGACAGTACGATGCTGCTGTTCGGATTCTTGTAGGTCAACAACATCCCAGATAATTTTGCCAAGTCGTTGAAACTCGAGTCGATCGAAGGCTGTACAAATCTGCTGCCAAAGTAAAATTTGCTCCACACCAACGATTTGGTTGAGAATTTCTGCGACATCAATGATATGAAAGCAAAAGTCGAGCAAAGACGACCACACTCCGGATTTGAAAGACTTGACCTTGCTGCTGCCACTAATAACGCCTTTGTGAAGCATGACCATGATTCGACTCATGTTCTTGATCTTCGTCAAGCTTTTACTCAGACGCTGACGGGGTTCTTGATTGCTAGAGTTCGCAAGAACCGCCACGGACTCATGTCGGGCTTTGATGACATTCAAGTCCGTGCTAGGCCGCAGGAACATGTTCCGAAGCTGTTGTTTGCCCTGTGGTGTCTTTGCAGAGAAGTGAAATAAGCCGTAGATCGATAACGACTCTTTAGCACCTGAAGAGCCAGGACCTTGCTTGGCAGCGCTTGGATGGGATTCGGGTTGCAGTATTTGTAAAGCAGCAATGGTATCCTGATTGACAAGCCTAAGAAGTATTAGTGATCGGCCTTACAATTTGGTCGTGCTTACATTGTGTTGCTGAAGCTGAAAACTTCGAACCTCAAAATTTGAAAGGCTTCCCCCGCTGCAGGATCGCCATGCAAATATGCGGATGCTTTCTTTTTGGCAAGATAGGTAACTATAGCGCCGGCACAACCAACGCTCACATGGCTTTCTAGGTTGACATCGCCAGAAATGTGAAGTGTTCGTCCTTTGCCTTGGGTCAATCCAAGTGTATTCGCAGATTGATCCTGATTAAGATCCTCTTCGTCTCCTGGCACAAGGAACTTTACCCCAGGTAACTCGAGAGTTGAAATGGACGAGAGCTTGTGCACTGCTGATTCATACTTGAAATCGTTTGAAGGCCGCAGCTCGACTGTGTAAGCTGAAGATGGATTCTCACTGTCTGGAATAATCAACGCCGATCGAAGAAAGGACACTGCAACTTACCATCCAGCTCAAGATGGGTTGAGCTTGCAGATTCCTGCTCCGATGTATCTATGCGTGGAGACAGTAGCACGACGGTTGGCTGGACATCAATCTTTACTGGCGCTTAGAGTCAGTCGTTTCTTGTGCTCTTCGAGTGATCGCTCACAAATGTCGAAAATGTCTTTGTCCGCATCTTTGACATCCTCCATGCAGTATAACACACCATCTCGAGCGACGTAGTACGAGCAGCCGACAGTATTGCGATTAGTCTTGTCGAAGGCTAGTATTCGATGGTCATACGTGTCATCGTCTATATCCTCCTGTGGTTGTGGTACAATGTCGATTGTACGTGGTGGTATTGGGGCTGGTGTTCCTGATGGGGTACGCTGGAAAGTGCTTGACTGGGAGGCCGTCGGCGACGGTCTACCATTGGTAGTTACTCGCTTCCTATGCAAGTCAGGAGCTGGAGTGCCTGACGGCGTCCGTTTGATTAGCGATTCAGAATGCTTCGAGGATGGTCTAGAATTAGTTCGTGCACTCCTGAAGAAAGGCATCGTACAGAAAGCCTGAAGGTCGCCTAAAACGTAGGTGAGCTCGATCAGAGAATGTAGTAAAAAGCAGTTGTAGCAGTAATTGGAAATGGGGAAATGGGATGTTGTCGAAGGAAACAGGTGCATTGGGCGTGCCTGCCTTACATATCAAGAACTCCGCAATCATGGAAGGTACTGGTAGGCAATTCTTTCTCTTCTAAGGAGGATTCTCGTTGGCTGCGATAGCAATACCAGAGACTCAATTTTGCACCTCAGCTTCACTCCACTGCCCAACTTTACGACCACCTTCCGCACGCTTTACACGACACCACATACCAACTTCTTTATCCATAATAAACTGCCACAGAACAAGAGGCCAGCTCTTATGACAAGGCAAAGGTTGGTAGAACTCCTTCGCTATCTTATGTAACTTGGGTAGTCTTGTCCAAGGAACAGCAGGAAAGTCATGATGTTCGTTGTGATATCCCACATTGTAGGTCAGCACATTCAGAGGACCGTAATATGAGAACGTTTCGGGTACAGGCACATCTTTTGGCATCTTTCCTCCTTTGATAGTTGACTTAGCAAAGACATAGTGTTCAGAGATGAAGTGAGCCGCGCACGGATGTAGTGAGCCGGCCAAGAGTGAGCTCAAAAGTAAATAGAACAACGACCTCCCTCCCATTGTTCTTAAGATAACAAGGTCGAATAACACTTGAGTTGCTATGTTGCAGTAGTGAACGTAATTGAAGGGGATTTTGTAGACCATCATTGGTCGGATAGCATAGAAGAGCAGCTGAAAGGTGCAAAAGAATGCTTTGCCAAGGATGGAGTCGAGGAAGACGGCCTCAAAAGCGGTCGGCAGATCTGTATCAATACCATCTACGCCTAATGACTTGTGATGGGTGAGATGGTATTGTCTAAATCCTGCCGAGTATGGCACACCGATTGGCAGATTTGCAAAGATGGCAAAGAAGCGGTTCTTCCAGGCGTCTTTGAAGGCAAGGTTATGGCTGATCTCATGGATGGCGAGAAACAGATTTTGGTTGGCTGTGGCCCCGACAATATAGGCTGTGAGGAACAAGGTCCATGAGAGTATAGGTGTGTTCCTCAGCAGGTATGCTGTGAATATTTGGAGCGATACCACAACGGCGACGAGAGGAATGGTAAGTGGCTCTGGTCCACACAGCTGTAGGACCTCACGGTGCGCCTTGATTATGGCTTGTCTTCTTGTTCGGTGAGGCTCTTCGGTATATGTCCAGAAGAACCTGTCCTCCGGCTGAGCCACCTCTCCATGGGCTCGTTTCTTCACCTCGAAATCCTTTGCTCGATCAGTGGCTTCCGACCTGGTCTCAGTGGCAGTAACTGTTGCCATGGTGGGTTAAGGCGAGAGAGGTAAGAATATGCTATCGCAACACTCGAAGCATGGTCAATTATGCGGGCGGCTGTCGAGCAGAAATATTGTGAGTGGGCTGCACCTTCAGGCTGCGGTCTAGAAAATTGTGGCGCCATTCGATCGCTCTAGGGGTTATGCAGGGACGGTTCTTGGCTTGCTCCGCTTTTCAGGGCGTCGCAGAGCTCCCAACAGAGGCACGAGAGGTATTTACATACTGGCACGCATTGAATAGCTCATTCTTTTCTGCTTTAGTAACATCGCAAGTTCAGCTGGCGCTTGTGAAAGACAGTGTAGACAGACAGACTGTCTCAAAAATCTCTGGCTCTACTATAGCTCGCATAGATATGCTATTACAGCAAGAGTATTGGCGTTTGACTACCATAGAGCTTCAGCGGTAGAAATTCACCCAACTCATCAGCAGTGTGACACAAGCTCCAGCACATCCCGCGAAAGAACAGCAATATCCAAGCTTCTTTGACAAGTTCCGCATCGTCAAACCCTTCATCTTTCATAAAATGCTGGAAGTGGCTAATGCTATCAAAGAGAAGATGCACTTGCTCGCATCGTATTCGCCTGCGATTCAATTTCACGTTCTTTCGTTCACGATCCTGGTTCTTCCTGTGATTCTTCATCGCTTCGCCATGGACAAATGGTGATTTTGATAAGTGTGCACGCATTAGGTGCCAATAGAAAGAATGTGGCTCATCCATCGCTTTGAAGTAGCGAGTTGTCACCTTATAACCAGTACAAGCTCGATCCAAGAAGATTGAATATTCTCTGTCGTCCTTAGGTTCGTGATTTGCCAGATCACGAGTGACGGATTGGATTTGAGCCAAGTAAGGAGTGCTGTTCGAATGCAGTTCTTGCTCAAGTCTTTCCAAGAAGACCTGTCTACCTCTGCGGTCGCCTTCAAGAGTGTATCCCTGAAACATGTTCTCGAAATTTCCTGCAAAAGGGAGCAATATCTGGCCAACATTTGCAGCACCTTGCAACTGGGACGGATATCGGAGCATGGGGCAGGCCAGCGCAATCAAATCGTTCGTCGCATGCCGCAGCTGAGTGGCATCCTTTTCTTTAAAAAGGTCTCTCCAACTTCGGAGATCGTCCTTGCTGATAGCCCGTTGCCAAGGTATGTCTAGATACTGTCGATTGTTCCAAACAGTTATCACGTCGTCAGAATCACGGATGACAAAATCGTTCAATGCAAAATCAGGATTTCCAGATGCAACTCCCCAGATAAACTTATCAGCTTCCGAGGTCCAAGACCTTGATGTCTGCCAATTTCGGGCATTTGGATCGGTCTGATCAGGCCTTCTCTTGATGAAGTCCCTGGCAACTCCGACACTCTGATACGATAGTGCAGTACCTAGGCCACGGATGTCGGTTGAGACGAAGGCATGGCCGCCACCTTCGGAACGTAGACCATCACCACTCGGGTTACATGACTGCCAGCCAGCTCCCATCCGACGTGCTATTACCAAAATATCATGCAAGGTGGTAGAGGCAATTGCTTTACCAAGATCATCGGGGAATGCGTCCCATGCTCTCTTGCGTAATTGTACTCCAATTAGCTCAGCGTTTAGTGGTCTTGCTGCAACCCGCCCTGGTACATCTCTTACTAGAGAATTGAGCAAAACTTTCCAGCCTTCTTGCCGAGGATCATCATGTGTGAGTTTGAGGTACTTTTCAATAGAGTGATCGTAAATACTATAGACCGTGTCACAATTCAATTTATCATCCTTCTCGATCTTCGTGTAAGAGGACTTCCTTATTTGTGCTTGTTTGTCAGCGAAATTGCTGGTCATCAGGTGATGTGATGGCACCAAGACCAGATGAGGCGAGATATAGTGAACCTCGAAGCGTAAGTCTTTCCATCGTCTGTTTTGCTCGGTCAAGGTCCCAAAAGGACCCATAACTGTCGGAGTTGTTTTTCGTCGTCCTTCAGCTGTTGCAAAGATGTCTACAAAAAGTTGTGTCGCGGCAATCAAAAGTGCCACGAGAGACACGAGTAAGGCTACGAGAGCCACAACTAGCTCCGAACCCGCCATTCTCGGACTGTCACACTTCTAGGTTATCATAGTATACATATTGTCAAGGTGTGTGTAAGTGGTCGGCCTTGCTTGTATTGATCAACCAATGACGGTTGCAGAAAGATGAATCGCGTTAGCACGTGAGAATTTTGTAAGGACATGATCAGCAGCATTTCCAAAACAGAGAACAGAAGGAGACGTAAGAGCGACCAGTATGAACTGAAATATGCCTTTGCATTTGCTGAAGCTCAAGGACCAGCAGGAGCCAGAATAGAACGTACTGCATTCGATTGAGTCTCTCAAGCTAGAGTTATTGTGATTGGGCGCAAGACTCTCCTTGCTTGCATGCTTGAGCCTTGGCAAAATAGTTGTTGGCTTAGGTCTACCAAGGCAAAGGGTATGGTCTTGTGTACAGTGCCGTCAGTGCCATGCTCTCGTTTCTCATAACGATCATATTTCTCGTGACGCATCAAAGCTGCTAAACGCAGATTGGACACAATGAAGTCTTGAAGTGGAGGACCTACTTGACAACCAAGCTTGCGCTCGGGACCAGCTTCAGATCCTTCAATGTCTCATTGAAGTATTCCTTGTCGAATGTCTTCTTGGGAAAGGTCTGGGTAAAACTTTCGACATCTTGGCCAGTTTCATCAGCCACAGCTGAGGCGACCTCGAAGAGCGTGGTGTCAACTGGAAAGGTTTTCATGACGTTGCCTGTAGGTGTCTGGAAGCGGATTCGTGTCTCGGTATATGCTGAAGCTGGTTTGGATGTGGTGGGACCAGAACTCGTAGGACCGGTAACTACAAACGTCAGTTCTCTGTCTACACTAGTCTTGTCTCAAAACTTACCTGCGGGCATAGGAGGAGGTGCGCGACCAGCACGTTCAGCTTTCTCACGCTCGGTTTTCAGGCGACGCTCCTCCTTGTCGGCGGCAATTCTGGCCTGTATCCTCTTCTTGGCATCAATGTCGTCCTGTTTCTCCTTTCGCTTTTTCTCGGCCTCTTTAATTTGTTCCTTTGCCTTAAGCTGTTCCTTGATATCTTCGCTCTCTTTCGTCTTCTTCCTACTAATCTGCTCGTTCCTCTTGGCGTCGATCTTGTCCTGCTCAGACTGAATAGATCGCTTAGCAGCAAGTTTCTCGCGTAAGTCCTGCAACTTCTGTTTCTTCTCTTCTTCAGTCAATGGTTTGATCTGCTCGGTTGATTCTGAGAAGTTCTCATGCCCCGACTTTGTTGCGTGGAACTCTGCCTCGGCCACCCCTCTCATCTGCTTTCCGCAGTCGTTGCAGACTAAAGACTGGGCTTGAGCGGCATCTTCAGCTGACTTGTCTTCAGCCGCCTGAGCATCTTCTGCCTTGATATCGTCGATTGATTTGTCTGCGTTCTTGTCCAGCCAATCGATGGCACCAGATAGATCTCCCGTCTTCTTTACTGCGAGCTCGGCCTTCTCTTTGTCAAAGCCCATATCCACCAACTGGTCTAAGTCGCTGGTCGACATAGTGACGAATCCTCGTGGTCAGCAGTAACGGAGGATGTTTTATGGAGAGTCGTGATGAGATGAACAGAGGTGGTAATACGCAATTGAATTTGCGTGAATAGAATTCAGAAAAGTGGTCGAAGGCCTGGTTGTTTTTGTTCTGCCTTGAAACAATGGTCAGTCAATTGTTAGTGGTGAATAATGTCACTTGCTGCAATTACTATAGACACGGACGTGGTGCGGGCGAAACAGGCGCGTCGATTGACGCAATTTGACCGGGATATGGCGTTGGTTGGCTTCTTGGATGACCCGAGGAGCAGCGTCATACCCAAAGGACTTCAAGTTCTTGGCTGCACCACTTCAAACCCAGCCATTCGATCTGGCAAGGCGGTTGTTTGGATGCCATCATTGTTGGCCCTCACCCTGATCGATTTACCCAACTTCAGATCTTCTGTCGCAAGACCAAATCTATACATATTCTTCCAACCTACACCCGCCCTTCAAAGCCAGAAGCCCATTTCCCACCACTCCTCTATCGTTCCTCTATCACTATGTCGGTCGATTTGGTCCCCGAAGAGCTCGGCTTCAGAAGTATGCATTCATTTGAGAGCGCACCATGATAGTAGTGCTCACAAAACTGTGTAGGGCCATTCAACCATGAAGTTAGTCAAGTCCTAAGGATTACGAACAACAACTCTACTCCTGTTGCGTTCAAGGTACGCTCGCGCGCGCGCGATATGCGAGATCAAGCTTCAGAGGGACTGACATCTTTCTAGGTCAAGACAACCGCTCCCAAACAGTACGAGACACGGTCCAAGCTCTGAAGTTTAAAGCTAACAAGGACCAGATATTGTGTGCGACCAAACAGTGGCTTGGTGAGACCTCATGATGCCGTCGAGGTGCAAGGTATGATATTTGGCGGAGCACCCCATCCACCCCACTAATAGCTGCTAGTGCTGCTACAAGCCATGAAAGAGGATCCTCCACTCGACGCACGCTGCCGCGACAAATTTCTCGTTCAGTCCGTTCAGGTCGACGAGACTGACGAGAACAACGTCGCAGCCCTTTGGTCAAACATCGAGAGGACCGCTAAAGGCTCAATACAGGAGAAGAAGATTCGTGTGCAATTCCTGCAGGCAGGCAGCGGCTATGACGCTCCACATGTTAACGGTGGCCTCGCCTCGACGAGCGAAGAACAGCCACCAGCTTATGCTGCATCGAGTTACGGTTCTCCTGGCCCCGCCAGCGACGTTAAGAGCACGTCTGGCACAACCAGCGTAAATCGTGCGGTCACTGCGGCCGCCGAAACAACCAGCAACACCGCTTCATCTGCCGCCGCGTCGGTATCCAACGCTATACCAAGATCCCAGGATGACGTAAACGCACAACTTGCGAGCGCTCGAGCACAAATCACAGAATTGACGAACCAGCTCGCAGATCCGCAAATCAGACAGCGCAAGATCGCAGAAACACAAGAGAAGGTCCAGCAGGTCGTACAACAGGCTCAGAATACTGGTGTTCCTCTACAGATTGTGGCCCTTCTATGTCTGGCGAGTTTCTTGATCGCATACCTGTTCTTCTAGTCCTTCTGAAACCAAAATCAAATGTTTCTCTTATCCAGAACAAATCGTGATTCTGAAGCAGTCGCAACCATACTACCAGGACTTACAACCAGCGATCTACTCGCTACAGCTACACCAAAGGGATTACGTGCCTTTGTCGAAGGTATCTATATGGAAGGGGAGAGAAAAAGAGACGTCGCTCATCGCATGATGCGGGGGTCTGCTGCAGGCCGCCAGGAGTAAGTCGCGAGACTACGATAGGGTGACTCATGATGATTAGGTGTCTAGCCGTGGTACAGAGTTTACAACAATGGCTTTCAACGAGATGATTCCATGACAAGCATCTTCTCGTTGTTTCGTTCAACTTCTCTTGCTCTGGCTTACAACAACTGTGAGTGAGTTCTTTGCCTGCACATACATCTCAACAAGGTTAGGAGTTTCCGTCCCAGAGGAAATTATGACACCCCTTTCGCGTGTATCGTTCGTTACTTAATGCTTCTTTCTCTTGTACTGTACATCATGTAAGTCTGAGGTTTCTAGTAAGTGATAGTGCTCGCGTTTGGCAGTAGCGGAGAAAAGACGCGAACAAGGCGAAGTAATTACTGGTTTTGCAAGTGTTCACCACTCAAAACCACAAGCCACTATGCCGTGTGTTATCAAGTCCTTCCAGGAATCCAACATCTAGGAGTCTCACATTTTCACGTCTCATTATCCTACGCTGAAACAAATCGCTCAGGATGGAAACCTCAGTCTCAAGTCCAGAGCACTCTCACCCTACTCCTACAGCACCCTCGATCCGGCTCTCAATACAGTCAGAGCTTCGCGAAAAAGACCTTCAAACAGAACTTCTTGTTCACGAGGAAAATGACAGTGACGTTGAGATCTTGAACTCCCCAACTCTGTTAGTGTTCGACCAAGGCCAAGAATCTCAACCCTCTCAAAACGAGCAACGTCCTGCGAACGACCAGGAGTCTCCCCTCTCAAAGACTGACCACGCTTCAGAAGCTCCGCAACGGAGTGGCTCATGCGAATCCGTTTCTGCCGCCAACAACAACAACAACTTTGGCGCCTCTTTCCTGCATAGTAAGCGTCCTGCTTCCAGTACCCCTGTGGTATATTCGCCAATCGAAGGCGACCACGTCTCTCGATTCTTCCAACAGTACAGACGTCAAGACTCACAGTCAGCTCCTCGCGAACTAGTTGAAGGACAGACAGACTCGACAACAACAACAGAGCGCCCTGCTCATCTGACAACCCACACTATCTACGCCCCAATGCGGCTCGAAAATCCTAGTAACCTTGCTACAAGTCCAGGAGATGCAAAGCTCAAGAAGGTGATCTCAACATTACAGTCCCGCACCACCACGTACACGACGCTGTTATCTCAGAACGATACCCAGGATACAGATCTAGCTCGACTCGAGCACGAGGTTCTTCGAGATATGTCTGTGGACCTACAAGCAGCTTCGAGAATGATTGAGAGCAGGATCGGCCATGGGTCAAGCATTGACGAAGACCTGATACTCCGAGCAATTGAAGCATACGAGAATAAGGAAACTATGAAGTCTCTGGCAAGAAAGCGCTTGATGGCGGAGCTGCTGAAGCTTAGGGTAGACAACAAATTGGCAGAGTTATGAAGATGTTGTCATGACAGAGGTTTGATGGGATTCGGATGGGCACAAACATAAGTCTTGTCGCCAAGGCACTGGAACCGCAATCTGACGGGATTATGGTCATCTTGCTGCTCCTCGTTTGAGAAATGCCTTTGCCAGGTCAGTTGTTTTCTGGTATACTCCATCCGACTTTCCAGCAGCAGTTCAAAAAGGAGTATATAGTGGTTGAGCTCACAGCTGAGTTGTCTTTGAAAGGACATAGATATTGGTTGCATCGTCTAGAAATTTGTGGAACGGCTGATAGCTACCACTCAGGTATCAGGATAGAACAGCGATAAAATATCCTGTGCCATATTGTACTTTTTCATCTCCTGCCTCTCCTCTACATGGCCCCCGCACCCGCACCCTCGTGACTCCAATTGGTAGTGACTAACCAATAGAGTCGCTTGTTAAGATGTTTTATTAAGCTTGAAGAGCTTCAAGTATTTGTATTGAGTCATTTCGAGGTTCTTGTGTGCAGCGACTGTATAGTGCAGGGCTCTACAACACACAGCAGGCACGAAGGTACAGGCAAGACGAAGTGGTATTCACAAAGAACATCATTGTTTTTCTAGTCGGAGAAGCTGCTCACCTTTGTTGCGGCTCTACTCACTCTTTCAAGTCATTGTGAAAGAAGTGGTGGCCTTGACAAGTTGTGTCCCATTCTAGACTTGGCTCTCCTTTGCCATGTCGGTGTATGAGCAGATCGTGTCGGAGCAGTCCTGTTCGTGAGCGAAATCAGCCGTTCACCTCTTGCATCTCGCCTTTCCTCATCTCTTCTGTTTGTCCGTTTGCTTTCAATTCAGGGCAAGGAGCATCTGTGTGCACCACGATCATGTGGTTGTCGGACTGGAGAAGATTTGAAATCTCTCTTCGAGTAAAATGACCGCGAGCTGAATCGAAGCCCCAGAAGAAAGGCACATTGTCCCATGGACTGAAATCCATGAACCGCATACCAGTAACGACCTGCTTCCAAGCTTTGCAGACTCGGATTACGTGTCTAAAACCACGAACGTATGGCTCAAGAATGGGATCGAATAGCTGCTCGAAGACGATGCGTAAGACCTCCACTGGCAGATCATGTATGGTCGTCATTACGACGGTAGAGTGGATAGTCGAAGCCATGTGCTTGTCGGTGTTAAGAGTTGAAGAATCTCAGTGTGTTCACTGGTGAGTGAGTCCAACGATGTGATCAGCTGAATTCCGTAGCAGATCAGTGAGGGCCAACAGAAGTGGCCAATTGGCAAGGCCGTTAGAGTTGTTGACTGCCATGCGGAACTGAGTTAAGAGTGCCAATGATCGGAGGCCAATGAATTCGGTCACGTTGGTTAGTAAAGCGATCAAAATGTCAACATCTTTCGACCTTCACTCGAGCAGGACCCACTTAGTCACTCTGCAGCAAACACAGGCAGGAATATATAGATTGCCGTTTCTCTCGGCCTGTCCCTCGTGGCTTCCTACCACCCACTCCCCTCAATCACCTCCTTCAAGATAGACCTTTTTGTTCAGATCGATAGAAGTTTATAGACTGCAGACCAAGCCAGCAAGTTGACTTGGTTCAACGGATCATCAACGCCAAGATGAAGGCCTTCACCTTCGCCCTTATTGGCGCTGTGCTGTCGGGTAAGCAAAGCAAGCTTCTCTTCAGCTATTATTTCTGACATACACAACAACAGTTGTCTCGCTCGCCAAACCTCTTCCAACATCCGACATGACGCTGTGGGATAGAGGCACTCCTTCTGCACGAGAGGATGCCGCTTGCGATGAATCTGGTGCTACTTGTGATCCCAAGCAGCCAAAGAACTGCTGCTCATGCCAGTGCCTGTATGCTTTGTTCATTGGGTACATTTGTGGAGGCGGCAATGACTGTCATTGGCAAGAGCCGTTGGCTGTTGATCCTACCACAACTGCAGCTCCCGAGGCCATCTCTCTCAGCAGTAAAGAGGTTGATGTTGCTGAATCATCTACCATCCCAGCTACAACTTTGATCTCCGCAACTACGATCTTCATAAGCTGGTCACCCACAACCACTATCACAATCGATCCCTTGACTTCACCTTTCACTTCACCATATACTTCACGCTTTCCGGCATACAGCCCACCTCTGTTCAGCACTACTAGCACACTTGATCCTTTCCACTCACACTCTTCCACATACGAATGGACCTGGCCCACAGCATCACCGGCTCTTACAGTCCGAGAAGACGTCAAGGCTCGTAAGGATAAATCTACCATCGTGACAACTACCGTGGTCGGAGCTGATCGTGTAAGCATCACTTACACAGCTGAGGCACCATTGCGTACCAATGGTGAGACGTGCGATCCACCTTTTGCTGTATGCGACCCCAACCAGCCCAAGAACTGCTGCTCGTGCCAGTGCCTCTACGCCTGGACTGTGGGATATGTATGCGGCGGTGGCAATGACTGCGATAAACAAGAGGCAGTGATCGATGATCACCATATCATCACTCATCCTGCCCCAGCAGTGGCCTCCACTCCTGGTGTGTCCAAATCGCTTCCTGCAGTATCGCTTCCGTTCGCATTGGCAGCCCCTCAGTGCTTTCAAAATGCTGCAGAATGCCACGAAGACAAAGAATGTTGTTCTGGCTCCTGTGGCCCCACCGATTCAGCCGGTCACAGATTTTGCATCGGCAGAAATCGAGTACCTTCCTCGGGTCCACCTGCTCAGTCGACAGTATCCTCAACTCCTACTGTGACCGAATCGAGCTCTTTCACCTTGCCTATCTTCCCTCTGCCTGAGACCCCGGTTCCTGACAATGAGTGTCTGCCAGTCGATTCAAAATGCTTCGCCAACATCCAATGCTGTACAGGTCATTGTGGTTACGACGGCACGGAGTCATTGGGTCGCTGCACCACCAATGTTTCAGCTTCTCCCTTCCCAACTGGTGAAACAGTAACTCTGCGCCCCCCACAATTGGCACGTTCGACTGAAGACGAGAATGAGGCCGAACGTGGTTGTATTGCGACGTTTGAGGGATGCGACGATGACATGGATTGCTGCACTTCGCACTGTGACGACGTCAAGTGGTCTGAGCACAAAGCGTGCGCATGGAGCACTCATGGATAAGTCTCGAGCAACGGTGCCAAGTGTACCATGATATCAGAACGCGTCGAGTAGATGATTAGAACCAATTTGGCATCCGTCTTTGTACGGCTCTGCAGTTTAGATAGACATAGAGACAAGCACAAGGCAAGTCGTCTTTGCTGGTGAGGCTTCGAAGACGATAAACTGGATCTCGAACGTACTCATAATCAGAGTTCCTCTACCGTAGCCCCTCTCGTGGTCGAGCAATAATGAAGAGGTCTCCTCATCTCTCCGTTTGTTGACCATTGGGTTTATTCCAAATTCTCTGCATTTCCAAGGATCCGCCTGTGACATCGTTCGTCACTATGCACAAAGGTTGAGAGCCAGAACGAACTCATGCTGCGAGACCAAGAGCCATGAATTCAGAAAACCAGTATGGCCGAGACATGGTAGAGCCTAGGAAGTAGCTGCGACAAAGTGTATCGTTCTTTCTGTTCTAGGTCAATGTTCACAATTCACTACACTAGTAGTAATCACAAACGCGCTGAACGCGACTTCCTCGCGTGACCTCATTCAGCATCGAGTCTTTGTCAATCCGTTACAATATCATTCGGTACGCCAGATAGATTGTCGCCCTCCATTCTATCCAAACTATGCAAATCCTCGATGATGTGGCAGACAGTACAGACTGGTTGGGCACGCCACTTGCAGGTCTCGCACCCTTTGAATCTGGCCTTCGATGCCAGGTGTGCAAGGACTTCTTTACCACACCAATGATCACTAGCTGTTCACACACATTTTGCAGTCTATGCATACGACGATGTTTGTCGCAAGAGGGCCGTTGCCCAGCATGCAGGGAGTCAGATCAAGAAATAAAATTGCGCAGGAATTGGACGGTCGAAGAGTTGGTAGCGCATTTCATAGCGGCACGAGATTCTATGCTGGCTTTTGCGCAGAAGCCTGTCGCACCAATTACTGAAGAGCAGGAGCCAAGCAGACCCAGGAAAAGGCGGAAGATTGAGTCCGCGACTAACCAGACGGAAAGACGCAGCACGAGAAGTCAAAGTAAGCGGATCGCAGCTTCTGGTTCGCAGGCTGGGCAGGAGCCAGCATCTACATATCAAGAGGTGGAGGACAGCGAACATGAGGGTAGTGTATACCAAGAACATTCGCCACAAAGGAAGCAAACACAGTCACCACTTGAGCAAAATGGAAAAGAACCTGATGACGGTCTAGTAGCATGTCCGTGCTGCACTAGACGCATGAAAGAAGCAAACATAAATGCTCACCTCGATCGCTGCATCCAGGGCCTCGCTTCAAGCCCTGTACCTGAACCAACCACACAGAATGCTACCACAACAAATGGTGCAAGTTCGTCGCTCGCATTCGCCCAACGGACCAAGTCTCCCGCGACTACGTCGCAGAAAGATCGTCTACCAAGCATAAATTATGCGCTTTACACAGAAAGCTCACTCAGAAAGAAGCTGAAAGAGCTCGGTATATCTGCGCTGGGCAACAAAGAGCTTATGCGTAAACGACATATCGAGTGGGTCAACTTATGGAACGCGAATTGTGATTCAGTGCGGCCACGATCGAAGAAGGAGCTGCTCAAGGATCTTGATACGTGGGAACGAACTCTTGGGAGACAAATAGAAAGAGGCAAGGATGGTTCGAATGGAGGAGTTATGGTCAAAGATTTTGACAGGCCTGGCTGGGCGAAAGCTCAGAAAGATGAGTTTGCTGATCTTATCCAAAAAGCCAAGGAGAAGAGGCAGGCGAAGATGACTACGGTAGCAAATTCTGATGATTCTGAGGGACATGAACCAAACGAAGATACAAGGATGGACGACACTTCAGATGACAGCGACCACACCATGCAGGCATCCGACATACCTACTGGCGTCGTGGAAGACAACGCCGCCCCAGGCGTCTCAATCGCAGCAGAAATCTCAGCACACAAAGAAATTCCACAGCCTCCTGATGAAATTGACGATCAAGAACGCCCAGTCCTGCCATATGACAAGGACGAACCCATAACTCCTTCCAAGCAAAAAGTGGCTGCAGAGGCAAAAGAAGCACCCATAGATTTGACCTCTAGTCCCGCAGCAGACGCCAGGAAGCCGACGAATTTTGAGAATGTTCAGCCAGCTGAGGCAGGGACACCGAGAAAGAAGAATTTGTTTTTCTCGTAAGATAGATACTTTTAGCAGTGTTCGAAGCGATAGGGTAGCTAGCTTCTTAATCACGACACCTTTTCTGAAGAGTGACCAAAGATCGTTCCTGCCTTCTTAGGTTTGATGCTGATTGTGGAAATTGCAAAATTTGTTATGGTGAGCTAAAAGAGGTTTGCGTCATGTATTTCCTAGTCACACGAGGATAATGCTACATGCAAACTAACGCCGCAAGAAGTGTCTAGGGTAGACATCTATAACGACTTAATAGTAGTCTAAGAGTTCGGAGGCACTGAGTCATGAAATCACACTGAAAAGCGGCCAGCATAGAGGCTCACAACGTGGGCAGCCAGCCAATATTTCAACAGTCGTTTTCAGCAGGACTCGATTGCAGAACCAGAGGGGAATGGTGCGTATGGGAGGTTTCTGATCCAGTGATAGAACGCGGGCCAAGATCTATCTTTGGTTGTCATTCGTACTCCTAAACAGACGCCTCCGCTGAACAGTGTATATCTCGTAAAATCTTCCTCTCGTGCTCCTTCCAAAATGCGTGGTTACACCTTTCGCTGACCAAGGCCGTAGGAGGGGAATAGTCCATGTATGCAGCTCGCTGCTTAGGACGGCTTCGAAGGCATGGTGTTTGTTGGTATCCAAGGCAGGACAGATGAAAGCCCTCACTTCTTCGCTCCACCACCAGCCGCACCCTCTGCTTTCTTCGCCTCAGCTAGAATGCATGTATCAGTAAACCCGTCATTGTCGGAAAGGTGGCGCTATCAGCATAACATCTTCATACTCACCTTTTGCCTGTTTCTCACGCATGATAGCAGCCGCTTGCTCCTTTGAGCGCTGTTGCTCCGAGCCGGATTGTGTGTTCTTCTTTTTCTGTTTACCAATTTCTCATCAGCCCGATACGTTTTTTGGGATGTCGCGGTCGTGCTTGATTCGGCAGGTAGTGTTGTCCTGGTGTTATTGCTGCTCACTTACCTCGCCTGATTTTTCTTTCTGCGCTTTTTCACGGGCTTTGTCTCGCTGGTTGCCTCGTGTCATATTGAATTCGTGAGAGGGTTCAAAGTTCTCTGAGTCTGGGTGGTAGGTCGAGAGGCTGTGGCGTGACTAGCGCTAGCTGCTGTCTTCCTTAAGGACGAGAGTAAGGGCGAGGTGGAGGAAGTCAGGTTTCGGGTTATATACAGTAGTTTGCCTGAAATGTGAATCATTTACACGTGACTGCGCCTTCCCGACATGTACAGTGCGTGTGTGGCTAGAAGCTCTGACAACCTATTCACAATCACCAGTGTAGACAATGATGACTACACATGGAGACCTATACTAGGACTCAAGTGGAACATCTTTCAACGGTGTCAGGCGAGGAAACAGTGAACGATAACACTCAGTAGGCAAATCGTTACGTACTCATTCACAAATGCGTTGGGCAAAGAAGAGTATTTAGTAAACGACCCCGAAAGGCAACTTAATACCCTGACGGCCGACGTCTATCAATGCATCGCCTTGTTTGATGATCTTCTAGTCTTATGTCCCTGCACCGTCTCACATTTGTCTGCCGTCCCAGTATCTCGAGTCTTGAATGCTGTCAAGCCACCGATAACTCCAAACAACCCCAATTCTCCGAAATAATCCTCTATTCACTCATCAAATTACTCAGTATATTGGCACTTTGAATGCAGGGAAGGTGTACGTCCATGCATCGATAGACGCCTCGTCAGTGACACAATCGAAATCCGTGCTGTTATTTTGCCACAAAGGACGAGTCGGCCATTGGCACAACATTTGAGTTTCTCCTGCATTTGCGCCGGAAGATACAGTTGCATTCAAGCGGCTTGGTTTCACGCCATTCTCAACCCAGTCGATCATGGTGTTCATATTATCTTGTGGGTATGGTCCTGGCTGTAGCGAATTGGCACCGCAATGAGCGGCACCTGGGACCAAATAGAGCTGATACCAGTTTTGGAGAGCTTCAAGACTGGCATTGGACGACATGTTGCTGTACATGATCGATTGGACTGATTGCCAGTAATGCACAGATGATGCAGCAGGAACGCTAGGATCGGACTCGCCATGGTAATGAAGGAGTTTTCCTCCGGAGGATTGGAAGGTCGTCAAATCTGGAATCGTAGTCTGCAAACTGTCAAGATACCTGTCGTAAGCGATTTCCATCCATCCGACTAATGTGTCATAGGTGACATTGTCGAGGTTCGATAGATTGGTAGCATTGACCAGCTGGACGAACTTGGTGACGAATTCTCCGCCAGTAGAGGGTATACTGAGCTCCCATGACTTAGTAGCGTTATTCCATGTGGTGCCAGCATCGCTGAACTCCGAGGCAATCTGCCAGGAAAGGTACGCCCGTTGACCTTCAGAATTGTGAAGGCCATCATAAATAGCTTGAGCCACAGCAATGTCCTCGGTAGTTACAGTACCATTCTGTGCTGGCTGATAACTACTCGTGCTGCCTTGTGCTCCTCCTACCTGACGCTTGGTAGGAGGACCACCACTACTGAATCCAAACTCAAGGGAAGTACTCTCCTGTGCCGCACAATAGTATGACTCGCCAATGATTGAGCTCAGATTGAAGTTGAGCATGCACAAATCTGTTCGAGATACGACACCATCTGTTCTTCCATCGAGAGGATCACAAGCTGCAATTGTCGCGTTGACGATCTTTGCCAATGCACACGGCGGTGGGTAGTAGTCCAGAGTTTGCTCAACCATGGAGGAAAAGACATGGTTGACTTGCTGCTGAGCGTAGCGGAAGGCAGGTGCACCAGCAATAACACCATCGTACTCTTCTCCCCATCGTTGAACTTGGCTCATACCTTCACGTCCGCCATCTGAACAACCTTCGTAATACGTGTAGACCTTGGCGCTGCTGACCAAAGCGTAGAAACTGCTGGTCAAGGCTTTACCGAGAACAGTCATCTCACCGAGTGCCTGATACCCGAACATGTAAGTAGCATCCCAGTTGATAGAGCCATTTCCAGTCAGAACCACATCGTCGTAACTGTTGTCGAACGCGTCATAGCCTGCACTGGTAGCTCCTCCAACTGCGCCGTACTGGAGACCGCCTGTTGCAGTGCTAGACAATGAATATCCTCCACCACCAGCTACGTAGAAGCGGTTCTTGAAATCGGAAGGCTGTGGAAAGGCGTACTTGACGACAACGTTGTCGTCCTTGCCTGGATGCGTATACGTGACAGTGACATTGCAGTAAGGATAATTCGTCGAGGTACCTCCGCCCGAGCCCATACCCACGCCACCTGCTGAGCCCGAAGAAGAGTTGTAGACTGCATTTGCCGTCACCAATAATGGTATAGTGTTGATTCCGGGGATTGTTCCGTTCGAAGGCAGGACAGCTTGCACGTTTGACACCGTACAAACATCAGCAAGGGATGTGGCACGACGAGAGATTGACGCGGAACTGGCTGAGGCCACCAATGCAGCTATTGCTGCACATCTATGCTGTCTCATGCTGAACTGTAGTAAAGGAAGTGACGATCTGAGAGTTAGCAGCCGAAGGCTGTCGAGAGGGAGGACTTAATTCGAGACGAGCTGGCACATTGTGTTAATATTGAACTTGACTTACAAGGATTACGCAAGCAAGCAGCGTATGCTATGAGGCGCCGACCACACCTGTGGGGACTGCGTTGTCATGACTTCACTTAGAGACATGATAGTGCACACATCGAAGCATTGTTGTTGCTCCGACTTCGAAGGCTTGACTAAGGACTGGGTTGGCAAGCAAGCATCGGTAAAGCTTGTCTTGTCCCAGCGGTACATAGGTGCGCAATACCACGTACCGACATGCGAATCAAAGCCTCGAATGCCGTCGAAACAACAGCTACAGCAGAGCGACGCGTCATTCCGCTACTCACTGAAAGCACGGCGAAATTTTGGGAAGACACAGAACACGCGTCGCGTTGAGAAGGGTTTCCACATTGTATCAGCCCTTTCGAAAGATAGCTAAGCTAGCCGATCGGATTCTCTTGTTGGAGCAAATTTGATGAAAGTAAAGCTTGTTGCTGGGTTTTTCGAAGTGCTGTGCTCTGTAGCGCATAGGAGGCGGAAGCAGAGTCATTCCAGAACGTGTCGAAGTACAGACTACAAATTGCTCAAACGCGTACAGGTCGTGGATCTTTGTACGAGGCCAAGAACGTCGTACCGGCATTTTGTGCTTGACCAACCAGAGCAGAGCGGAGGTTGATTTTGAAGAAAGCAAGTATATCGAAGTATCGGAATAAGGGGTCACTTCCGCCAACCAGTACTTTCAAGGGCGGGCCTTGGCATTCGTCCCGCTACATCTTGATATCTGTCAACTGGTTCGAGATAACGGAGGCGCGATATGCAGTAGTCTTGCTACTTGTCCACCATGACACTACTGGACAGGTAAGCATTGTTTCTATCCAGTTTCACACAAGACTAAGTCGGGTTCTAGTATAAAGCCTTTTTGGCCGCTACTCTTCACAATCGGCCTCCCACGAGCGCTCGGCTACTACAATGCCTTGAAGACAGCATATCGAACTCGCCCGCCACCTACATCTCTACCACCACGAATTGACCGAAGTCTCAACATACTGTTCTGCTCAATTCTGTTCTTCTTGATTCAATCGTACCCAAGGGGCCCTGAACGCGATGTCTGGAACATCTTCAGCGCGACCAGCACACGTTTTGGCGCACCAGCTGATATCCTCTTCACACGACTGGCCATGTTGAGGCCGAGCACCATATTGACTGCTACCGATGAGGCACTCCGTAATGTCCTATTGACCAAGGAAGCGCGCTACATCTATTTGACCGTTGGACCATCAGCTCTCCTTTCATGCCCTTTCTGCCATCTTTCTCGTCCAAGCACATACACCCTCTATGCGCTACCAACGACAATCCTCCTACCTCACCTCATCCACCTCACAATTCTTGGACTCGCCACATCAGGCGCTCTGACCTCCCACATTACCTCTCGTTTCCGCACTAAATTGCTCATCCCTGCTCTAGTGCTCCTCGCGATGGACCTATATATCATTCTCGCTGCTACATTTATGCCAGCCGCCGTCCTTGCAATAGGCACTCAGCCGCCTCAATCCGTCTACGTCTGGCTCCGCGCACTACGACCTTTAAGCTTTTGTGCTGTCGACGCAGGAATAGCATTCTACATCTGGGCAACCTGCACAAATCGCTTTATCTTCTTTCCTTTCCTGTCCAATCCCAACAGCAGTGCGAGCCTAGAGTCGTTGCAAGTGCAAACACAAGATCTTGTGCGGAACAGTGGGATTTCCTTGCAGAATACGCAAGCAAAGTTACGGGCTTTGAATATTGCACGCAATACGGTTGTCAGGGATGGGGGTCTGAAGGCGAGGGAGGAAGAATACTGGACTGAGGTTAGGGAAGTTGAAGGAGATGATGAAGAGGTCTATCAGGATGAAGAGGTGCAGGCCGCCATTGCAAGAGTCTACGGACAAGGTGGTATCGATGTGCCGAGGGCAAGAAAGGAGGCAGGAGCTTTTGTAGATGGGGTCACACGAGGTTTGGAAGCGTCAGCGCCTGGCAGCGAATAGGTCGTTGAGATTGGTATGCATTGGTAGCTTGGTATAGCAGGACTAAGCGTAGTCATGCTTACTTTACATCTTCCTCGTTCCACTCTCTGTGACTGTCCTTAACGTCCACCATCAATGACCTGTATCAACCCTTCTTGCTGAATGACCATGTGCACGCCTACAATTGCTCCAGGGTATAGTTCAAAAACAGTGCAGATCGACATAGCGAGTTTAATAGTGTGGTAGGACGGGAGCCTGCCTGTTCAAGCTTTTCGAACAATCTTCCAAGCTTGTCGCTTCCGAGATTTTCGATTGGTGCATTCCTAGCAGAGGCGTGCTGTCGGATGACAGCAGGGAGACGCCATTAATGGCAGTCCATCTCAACAATAGCGAAGTCCCTCCGGGGACTCAAGGCCGTCTCACCACAACGGCTCTTTCCAAATGTGAGATACACGAAGGTTGGTCGTGATGTTCCAAAAGTGCATGATCTGCTGGGTGTCCTTAATATTCACCTTTGGCGAAGCAGACAGCACTGTTACCTCCTGCTCTGGCAGTCCTGGGTGGGGGAATCTGGTAAATCACTGGAGGTCAGTGTGAGAGCACTTGTATCCGAAGATCGATTGTGAACTAGACCAGTGTTCATCTGTTTGTACGTCGGATTCAGCTTTGTAAGCCTTGCCGTGGTTTCTTAACCTCGGAGCCAGGGACGATTGTTGTGCTGGTGCACATCGTGAGAGCCAAGCGACGTTTGCCCTCAACAAGTTCGAGGCCATATGTGCCGGGCATGCACGGCACATCAGGACTCAGTACTTCACACGACTCAAAGTTGGCTGCCAGTCCAAGGGGTGAGTCTCCGGGGTAGCTTGTGGATCTGGCCGCCAGATCTTGATTGTTTTATCTGCCTCACCAGTAATCAGTCTCAACCCAGTTCGATCAAAAGTACTGCTCATAATGCCGGCTTCAGCATCCAGACTGCCTGGCTGAGCGATTGAATCATTACTCTGGAACTTGTGTCCAGTCTTCCAGTCCCAGAAACACATTGTTCCGTCATCGCCACCTGAGAACAGCACATTGTCTTCGTTTACCGCAAGCGTATTAATGACACTATTATGTCCATCGAAATTCTGCATGAGTGCTCCTTCAGGACACTTCCACTGCTTGATGGTCTGTGTTGATGCAGAAGCGAACGTGAATTCATTGGGATGAAGCGCAAGTGCTCGCACACCCTTCTTGTGATGTGTCAGTACACCCATAGTCTTTCCTGCTGCAAGATCCCACAGACGTACTGTCTTGTCCAGACTGGATGTTATGACCTGTGGATCGGCTTCCTGGCATTTTACGTCAGTGACCGTCTGCTTGTGTCCGCTGAGAACGTGAATGTTCGCACGGGTACGCATATCCCACACGCGAGCAACGCCGTCTCGACCACCGGTGACAAGCACGTCTAAGGTAGGATGCAGGCTTAATGTATACACGCCTGATAAGTGGCCATGGTAGTCTCTTATTACTTTGTTGGCTTCCAAATCCCAGCATTTTACTTTCTTGTCCTCGCCGCAGGAGAATAGGTATGGGTGTCGTGGAGATATGGCTAGGCCTCGGACTGTAGAAATGTGCCCAGTAAGTGTGAGGCGTAAGTTTCCTGTTGCTAGATCCCAGATCTTAATCGTCCGATCGCCTGCACCCGAAACAAAGTATTGGTTGTCTGGATCGACTGCCAGACATCGTACCCAGCCAAGGTGTCCTGAGATTACACGCATTAACTTCCAAGGAGCGTGCCATTCTGGTCGCGCTTGTAGCATATTTGGTCGTCGGACTAGACTGGTCGATGTGGTAGTTGTGCTTCCTCCTGCACTTGTGCCGTTCGTCCGTGGTTTGTCGTTATTGATCCTGACCAGCGCTGTGCTCCTTCCATTCTGGACTTTGGGTCTCTTGGGGCCTCGCGACGTCGCTGCTTGCGCTTGCTTTTCTGCTAAGGCCCGAGGAAGTTCTTTGACGGCATCGTATTCGGCTTTGCGCTTGTAGGAGAGCGCGATCAGACCTGGATCGGCGCTTGCTTGACCATAGTCGCTACCGAATAGGGAGCGCGTCTGCTCCGAAAGAGCTTTCGCTACATCGGCCATGCTGAGCAGATGCGCTGAAGAGTGTAGCAAAGGTCTGCGACGGAAATAATTTGAATGGAGTAGACGTTCAGCCACACGGAACGTGGTGCGCCACAGATAGATAAATTCGGGTTTATCTAGAAACCCATCTTTGACCACTCGTCCTAGCTTGCCTGGCAATATAAAATACTGTATGCTTCAGGTTCTACATTCACACTTTCAAGGCGCGTTTATTGCGCAAAGCTAACGCGTAAGTAATCTTTACCCATGATCACTTAGACGAATAGCCACAACGTGCATGATAGTGACATCTTTGACTGAAATGTCCTGATATGAGCAGAGGACGAATGTACGCCTCCGCCAGATGTGCAGGCAGCAGTCAAGCCTTACGGAGGTAGTGGTATCCAAGACAATGCCATCTAATGACACAGTTCTGTCTATACGAGAATCTCCTCCGCAATCATGCCTATCACTATCAGAGGCAATCACTTCGTGAAAGACGGCAAGCGCTTTGTGATTCGCGGAGTCGTGTATCAACCATACAGAGGCAGCAGGTTCGGCTCCTTAAACCCTGAAGACTTCGACCCTCTTCTTGATGACCATATCGACGAGATCCACAATGATATTACACTCTTCCGAGAACTCGGCATCAATGCCATCCATGTCTACAGAATTGTTCCTTCGCTAGCGCACGATGCCGCTTTCGCTGCGCTTGCAGCTGCTGGAATTTATGTGACCCTGGGACTGTCCCATCCGAGTGCAGGCAAATGTATCAACCGTCTACGACCACGCGAATCGTACACGAGGGAGTTGCTTGACCACTATTTCGAGACTGTTGACTGTGCGTCCAAATATGACAATGTCATTGGAGTGGTGGCAGCAGATCATGTTATCAATAATCCTGACACCACTCTAACGGCGGAAGTGATTCGAGCTGTCGTACGTGATGTCAAGATCCATATGAAACAACAGTATGAGAAGAATGGGCAACGAATCCTTCCTGTAGGCATTTCGGACGAGTACTTTGCTGCAAAGTCGACGAACTCGATCGATTACTTCACGGCGGGCAACAAAGACACAAGTATCGACTTCTATTCTTTCGTTAAATTTGACCAGGTAGAGGAGTCATCCGTCTATTGGCAAGAAGACGTACACCGCTTTGAAGGCAAAGGGATACCGGTGATCGTCTCAGAGTATGGTGGGAGTAGCAGAAGACCTAGGGAATTTCATGAGGCCAAGTCATTGTATTCGTCCGACGCCCTTCGTGTCCTTTCTGGAGGGTTCGCCTATGAATTTAAAGAAGGTCCGAATCAGTATGGGTTGGTTATGTCTGATGGTCAAAGGTTATGGGACTTCGATAATCTGAAGCGAAGCCTAGAGGAAGTAAAGGTACCTGAGTCCGAGCCAGATGATGTGAATGAGCGTTGTGAGATACCATCGCACGACTTTCCTCCTGTATCAGACTCATGGAGGGCATCTTCTGATATCCCTGCCTCTTTGGTCTTCGATACTTAAGCCGGGGCAGAGTTATCCTGAATGTGGTCTATCAATGGCTATCTATCATGTGTCTCGAGCGTTGTGCGAATCTATCGTCCTTGCTTGCTCAATCAGTGATAGCATTGGGTGTCATGCTTCAGTTGTCCTCTGTCCAAGCGTCTCTGTTGCCAGGAAGTGCGCTCAGCACTAGCAGGAGTCTTTCGAGGAGAAGAAACAAGGCCAGCAGCCTCGGGTTGTTGTATACGTTCAGATAGCCTTGCTCCTATTTCTGTTGTTCCTTCTGTATGTATGTGGACGACCACTCCGTCAAGGTCTTGTATTTTGCTCCCTCTCCTCGAACATGTCTTCTTACTCAGCTGCCAGCACTTTGATGCTGTCTTTGAGCAGTGCCGCACCAGCCCAACTCCTCTTTCAAGCCATGCAGTCTGTATCACTCTTTCTGACCTGGGCAGCTCCCTAGTAAATTCACGTTTTCGGTAATCTGATTGCGAAATCAACAGATCGTGAGCCAGCTTCCTGTAACCATCAACCACTATATCCAAGACTCATTCTGCTACTCCTCTTTCCTTGAATGTCTTCTTGGCCAGCTATTTCAGTGTTCAAATCGAGTCACAATGCTTGTGTCGACCACTTCCTCGTTTGATTCTTTTGCGTGTTTGTACAGAAACTTTCTGAAAAGCCAACTTAAGACAAGGGTATAGTCGCTTTTGATCGACCATGAAGGATAGCATGTAGTGCACATCCTGCTCAATCCTCTCCTCCGCCCAGATGTGATGTCGATAGAGATCATCCTCGGTACTCAGGGCGAAGGATTGTTGGCGATCTAGGACGTCGGCCTGGAGAATAGAGGAGAAGGTTTGTTGTGATTCTGTGGTTTCGTGTGATGATGCAGGCTGGCTAGTCTTATGACCAGCTCACTTCTTGCAGGATGGCCGCCGAAGATGTGTATTGGGAGCGAAATTGGTTCGTCGTAAAAAGAGATGATCACGAGCCGTGTCTAGACCAGCTCATGTACGATCAAGAACTTGAACTCTCTCTGCGCTTTTTAACCATAGGTAGCATTCTATCATGCTGCCCTCAAGTAGCCATGGCCTTTGCTCTTGCGACCACCGAACAATTGTCGCTGTTGGCCTTCCAGCTCAGTCATCGCTTCAGTGCTCAGGAAGATGTTCAAACAACAATGCATCACATCCATCCTTTCTACTCTGCCACTCCTCTTTCATCGCATTATCTATCCAACTCCCTTCCTCAAGCTCTCGCACGAGACGAGGCGAATGATGAAAAGACATTATTTGCTGCAGAAGGTGATAGTGTAGGACCAACGCAACAGTGACTCACTTCATGTGCAAGCACAGAGGAAGCTCGCCGACGTGCAAAAATGAGAATAATCAGGAAAATCGTTCCTTAGAACGATCTCAGAGATTAAACTGAGAAGAACACTGATCGAGAAGTTAGCCATGGTCTTAAGAAGAGAATGATTGAGGTAGTACTCACGATACTACACTTGATCCTGCGAAGTTGTCAGTGAGAATGTTGGTGAGTTGAGACAGGAAGTCGACGTACTAAGCCCTTCGAAAGTTGTTAGCAATGTGGTTGATGTGGTATGGTACTGAACACTCACAAAAGGCAAACTGTTGTTGTCATTAGCAAAGATCCTGAATGTGGCAGTCGAATTGGAAAACTCACGGAAGCTAGAAGAGAGGAAGCAGGAAACAGAAAGAGAGAAGGATTATATACACCTCCTGCGGGTAACCTCCTCGATTTGGCTTGGCAGCCTTTCCCGAGTGGGTATGGTTGCCTACACTTCCAGGCTCAGTCGTGACTTCCATCTTCACTCCTGCTTGACTTGATGTTCTTTGACACACACAAAGTGGAGTGACCACAATGCGTCATCGGGAGACAATTCCGACAGCTTCATCACTCTAGGAATAAAGGTCAATTAACTGGTCTGTAAGACGTCGTCTTCACCAGAGTTAAGACAAAGTCGTAGAAGTCCAATGCTCTCGCCAATTTCCAATCCATTGTCTAACGTAGTACAGTCGTGCAAGAAGCCAGTAAAGCTTTCTGACAGCCAGCAAACCCTCCTCACATCAAGCTGTGAACGATCGCTAATCATCAGGTCTCTTGTTTTGAGCCAGCGCCCATCATACGCCTGCATACTTCACCTACTGGCAACGATCTATCCATCGCTGTTGGTTTGACGCTGATTCCGTTCCGGCCACTACCACTGCTTAAGAACCTCGACCGTCGATCGTTGTGAGTTATTCGAAGCTGCTCTGCCTGGAGGCCGAAAGTATTTTTTGTGTTCTGCTCAACTTCAACCTTTGAAGGTGCAGGGAGTCTAGCAACCACCTTTGCTGGTCCTCTGGACATGGTGATATCGAGACTCGGGGTTTGCCGCGAAGCTTGTGAGATTGGTCTTGCTCTTATGTGAGGCGAATACGACTGACGATACTTTCGTAGATTGTGAGCCTCCTTCTCTTCTTTGCATCGTGTGCATTTGCAATAGAAGAGCCATGCTCCGTGCAGTCTCATCATTCGTTCTTGGAAGGACATAGCCAAATACTTCTTCGATAAGTAGCTGATAGTGACCTCATGCCCCTCTTGGATGTCCTTCGTCGCTCGAACCTCGCCGAAAGACATCTCTGAAAGCTCGGACTCTGCAGGAAAGCAAGTCCAAGCATATGGATCGCCACATTCGTGTTCTAAGAAGCAAGCGTTCGGGCGACAGCTGTGGTTCGCTTTTGAAAGAGGCGCATGAACCTGTAGACCAAACTTGTTTCCTTCGTCGTCTCGAAGATTGAAAGAGTTGGCGTGAACAATAGCTAGTAGCTGCTCGACCGTGCATCTATTCCATTGATGTTTCAGAAGCTGCACTATTTCGTCTGTCTCTGACTGGTGTGAAGCTCTTATGCCATTTGTGAGATATGCCTCATGTTTGTGCAGTTTTAAGATCTTCTCCATAGCCTCGGATGTGATCCATCCATTCTCTTCCAATAACAAGAGTCGTATGACTGCTCTCGCCTCTGCTGAGGTGGCCTCCAGATCCATTTTGTCGAAATGCTCACACTCGTATTGGTGGAACTCGTCCCAGGCTCTCACCTCACAAGACTTACCACAGTACCAAACTTTGGAGCAGTCAACACATGCGGTCAACCGGATTAATGGGGAAGTTCTTGTGCTGGTAGAATGCACGCCAATACTGAGGTTCGTAGCTCGTTGCGACCCGACAGATGCGAGACAGCCATAGCAAGTAGTAGGGAGTGATTCGGGCTCGATAGCCATGATTATTGGGTATGGCAGAATCATAACGACTTCACCCTTGGGTATGAACTGTCGAGCAAAGAGGCCCTCGCCCTTTTCACCAGCTGAACCGATCTCGACTCGATCCATCTCGGCTGCTCTCTTCTGATCGAAATGTTGGAACGAAGGAAGGTTGAAAAAACAGATAGGGTATTTCACGTTGTCACTTATAGTATAGCATAGAGCTCAGCTAGTCCTGTTGCAATAAGAGTGAAGGTCTGCCTCTTTTCTGACAAGTACTTTCACCCGATATGCCCTGCCCAGTCATCCGGTGAAGGTTTCTTGTTTTCTGTAGCCTTGGTCATATTACTCTTGCTTGTAAAATAATTGCTTGGGGGCGTCGTCGATGTTCAGCCGGGAAAAACTGTCACGGAAAATTCTCCTGAAGTAGATGTACAAGGAGTTGCACAATCTTTGTGCTCGTAACTCGAGGAGTGGAGCCAAACATATTGCCAGTTGCCTCCTCGCTCTCCCGACGAACGTTCAGCCCATGATCCATAGCGCTTGAGTGAACCATGTTGACCCCTGTAGCTTTGACAATTCCGACAATGTTCTGATGCCTTACTCCTCCACCAGGCATAATGGCGATTCTACTGTTGGCCACTGCGACGAGATTCGTTAGCATTTCTTTGCCCAGCTCGACATTCCTGGCACCTCCAGATGTGAGCAGGCGAGTGCAGCCAGAGGTGATAACATCCTCAAGAGCCTGCGTCAAATCATGCACTTCGTCGAAAGCTCGACTGAAAGTGACATCCATAGGCTTCGCAGCCTCAACAAGCGCTCTCGTACGCTCAACATCGACTCGACAACCCTGCTTCAAGACTCCTAGCGTAACGCCAGGTACTCCAAGCTCCTTACATATCCTGATCTCCTGCAGCATGATTGCATACTCGTCGTCATCATATACATGATTACCAGGTCGTGGTCGCACAAGAACGCAGATAGGTATACTCAGCTTCTGCTGAGCCAATTTAATCAGGCCATGACTTGGTGTTGTCCCACCTGTTTCGAGGTGCGAGCAGAGCTCAATGCGATCTGCACCTCCTGCTTCGGCCGCGAGGGCGGATTGGATTGAATTAGCACAAATTTCAATGCATATACTGCTTGTGTTAGTCATCTCGATATACCCTGTTCAGTCTTAAACGGCAGTACTACTGCAGCTAAGACAACCAAAAGCGGGAGCACGTGGTGGTCAACGAAAGCGCGCCCACAATAGCTGTAAAGCGCACGAAGCGAGCGATCACTTTCGCAGACCACCACATGGGAAGAAGTCTAGCTTGACGGCGAACGCGTGTGCCAATTGCAGATAGTTTGAGCACGAAGTGACAGATATCCAGGCTTCACAAACCATTTGCTTGCTTTTCAGCGAGTCTATAGCAGGCGAATGCAAATCTGCTTGACCCCTCATGATTTTGGACTCAGAGAATCCATGCCTTGAGCTACTAAAGTCCCTATCTTGAAGCAGAGGAAAGATGTAACATTCACCAAATGACAATCAGCACATCGACGCAATAGGAAGCGATTACTAGCAGTAAAGTGAGATTTCTAGGGTTGAGTAAGAGTCTCAAGCTGTCCAATCGTGTCTGATAGATCTGTGCCTGCTTCATGGTCAACCGTAATAGTCGCAGCGCAGCTTTGCCGTCATCGAGCTGGTCGATGGTACACTGCCACCACTTCATCAATCGTCCTCCTACAGTCTCGTCTCGCTTTGTGTTGTCGTTGTTTAAACTGCATCCGGCGCCCCAAAATGAGCGTCACGTATGCAACGGGCGGTGCAGTCACCGCCCTCACGATCATCGGCTTGTGTAGGAGAATTACCACTGTCTATCCTTCATTGAAGCTAATGAGGCGCAGATATGCTGTTTAATGGAGAAGGTGAACAGTTCAATGTATGTTGCAAGCAAGAAGAGTAGGAAGAACGCTGCTGACGCCTGTTTCCAGGTTGGTCAGGTCCTAGAAACGATATCGCCGTATGCGTGGGCAGACGTTGGTATTGCCTTGTGCATAGGTCTATCTGTCGTGGGGGCAGCATGGTACACTCTTCTACACCAATTCACCCCAAGAAGAATACTCACATCTGTAGGGGCATCTTCATCACGGGCACGTCGATACTGGGAGGTGGTGTCAAAGCGCCACGGATACGAACGAAAAACTTGATCTCTATCATTTTCTGCGAAGTTGTCGCCATTTACGGAGTCATCATGTCCATCGTCTTCTCCTCTAAGCTTAGTCTGGTCCCCGAAGACCAGCTGTACAGCGGATCGAATTACTACACTGGCTACGCTCTGTTTTGGGCTGGATTGACTGTTGGTATGTGCAACATGATCTGTGGTATTAGTGTAGGAATCAACGGCAGCAGCGCTGCGCTGGCCGATGCCACGGACGGCAGCTTGTTTGTTAAGGTACTGGTCATTGAGATCTTCTCAAGTGTACTCGGGCTGTTTGGCCTCATCATCGGTCTGCTTGTCCAGGGAAAGGCGAATGAGTTCGCTTGAACAGGGTCACGAGCGAAAACATATGCTGGAGACACGATCGATAAACAATAATACCAATGACCAAACGCTATGATATGTGGAGGTGCTCAAGATGGTACGAGCTAAACAACGCTTGTGTATTGCTAAGGGACTCTATGCCGATATTGAGGCTGGTAAGGCAGGGTATTCACCAACAATGAACACCAAAGACAGCCTCCACAGAAAGGGTGGTACAAGGACAGTTAGTACAAGATGCAGCGTCGTGGACCGGATGTTTGGTCTTGAGAAGCTACACAAACAAGCTACAAGCGGGGAGATATCACTTTGAGAGCATGTATTAAAATTAGTATATAGACCTATGGTGGGCGCAATTAAGGGGGATGAAGCTTGGGGTCGAGACATCCTCCGAGCAAGAGTTCAATGACATGATGGGAAAGAGATGCGTTGTATCCTGATATTCTGTAGACTTCCGCAATATTTCGCTCTCTTCCCAACAGAGCAGATGTGGCTTGAAATAGGCTCCGACTCGACAGGGATCAGGACGCCAGCAACGGCCCGGAAAGCTGTGGCAATTGCATGCATGGAAACAGCGATCGGGACGCGACAAAAACGTCACCTCTTTTACAGCAGCTGCACATCAGGACTTGCACGAGAGCATTTTCTCTGGCAGGCTCCAGCCATGTGACAATCCGGTTATGTGGCAGACTTACTGCCAGTCAATCTGGACTAAAAGGCCTCGCTTCATGGGCACAAGAAGCTCCGTTTCGTAAGGCAGCAAGTGTGTTCTTGTCTCGAATCGAAAACATCCGCAGTACCGGGTGCATTACTGGCACCTCCACCACATCCAGCAGAGGCGGTCAGCTCCTCCTTCGCCTTCTTCCAGCGTCGTTGCTTGTCGAGTTTGTTTCAACGGCAGTGTTACAACTCGATCGGCGAGCAGTTGACCACATGTCTTGCGCAGGACAACAATGGCAGAAGGTCATTCTTATGGACCTACCTGTGACCTGTATGATTCCGACGATGACCACCCGGTCACAGACGACCATACTCCTCCCAAAGTCAAGGCGCAGTTCTTTTACGCTTCTCCTCTGCCCATAGACGATCCCTTGTCACCACTGCCTCAAATCAATGCCGAGACACTTGCAAATCAACCACCTCAGCCCTTCTCCTCTCGCGACAATGCTGCTCTCAGTGAGGCCTGGGAGGGTCTGCGTCAACGTCAGGAAGACTTTAACGTCAGGCCTGGCTCACGAGGCCTCACCCGCATGTTCTCCTTTCCCAAATTCCAGAGTGGTCAGGTCCTCACTCCAGAACTGACCTCACCTACCGCCGAATCGTCAAACCATGCCTTTGCTACCGTGCCGGACTTCCGAAGCCAGAGTCGAAACAGTGTACCAAGACGTAAATCCACAAAGAAGTCCTCGAGTAGAAGTCAGAGTCCGGTCATGACCAGAAAACAATCAGAAAGAACTGCACCCTTGCCAAGCAATGTAATCCTCGGAGGAGAGGTTATGCTCAACCAGGAGCCATTAAGAGAGAACGGTACTCGTACAGATACACGAGTGACAGCGGATGAATTAAAGGAAGAGTTGGACTTTGGCTCCATAACGCGAAAAAAGCATCGCTCACCTCTTCGGAGCAGGCGCAGGAATGGCAGCGACATTTCTCCTCCTGCCGAGAACACTATTCCGGAGCACGACGATGCGTCTTCGTTCGACTCAGCCGCAGTACATCCACAGATCGCTCATGAGGCCGAGTCAACTTTCAGTGGTAGACCCTTCGCTCGTGCCCCAAGCACCAGGCAATTCGCTCCAAGATTAAATGGTTCAAGTCCGCTGGCGAGCCCGAGACTAGACAAGTTTCAGCAACAAGAGCCCTTCACCCAAGCACATGAGTCTGTTCCAGCACAGAAGGAAAAGAAGAGAGCTTTCGTGCCTGTGGGCGTCTCGCGTTTACATTTGGTTGAGTTTCCCGATCTTACTATGAAACCTATCTACTGGAGTCCTATCAATGATACCTCGCATGTTATTCGAGCTACGTGGTTCTACAAAGACAGCATGCTTCCTGTTCCTGCTGACGTAGCTAATCGTCTCGAGCTCGGTTATGAAGATATGAAACCATTTTCAGGCACTTACAAGGACGAACTCGATGCTTGTATCGAGCATGGTGCTGCCGCCGAAATGAAAGTTGTTTACAAGCTTTGGCCAGAGGAGAAGCCGATGAGTCGACCTACTTCAGCTCAAATAGACAAACTAGATGGAATTGATGAGACTGTCAAAGAAGAGCTACCTGAGAATGTCGATAATGTTGCTGTCGATCTCAGGATATCTTCTCAATCCAAGAGACTGTTTCAGTCATACAGTGTTGTATACACAGACGGCAAAAACGCTCAAATTCTACGTCCTAACGCTTTACCTTCTGTTGGCAGAAACCGGAAGCCATTGCATGCCTTGAGGAAGGGTAGACAGCTCGGCATCGCTGTGGTTCGAGGATTTGACAGACGGGTATGGGAAAAGTTGCACTCCTACAAAGCCGTAACAGCTAAAGCTGTGCATGCCAAATTTGGTGCTGAGTTGTCCCAGTCAGGAGATGCGGCTACGCGAGCAAGAAGAATGTCTTGTCACGTTTGCAACGACAAGCCTACTAGCTCGAAAGTTACCGATTTGGTTCTAGTCATTCACGGTATCGGTCAAAAGCTGTCCGAAAGGGTCGATAGCTTTCATTTCACACATGCTATTAACGGATTGCGACGTGAGTTCAACGTGGAGCTGGCCAAAGAAAGTGTGAGGGGCAGCCTGAAGGACAACACCGGAATCATGGTACTCCCTGTAAACTGGCGTTTGGGTTTAAGTTTTGACGAGGAGCAGAAGGCACAGGATGCTGAGAACAAATACGAGCTGAAGGACATAACACCAGAAACTCTACCAGCTATTCGGTCGATGATCTCGGATGTCATGCTTGACATTCCTTACTATATGTCTCACCATAAACAGAAAATGATTGCGGCTGTAGTTCGAGAAGCAAATCGAGTGTACAGGTTGTGGTGCAAGAATAACCCAGGATTCGACGAAACTGGCCGTGTTCATTTGGTCGCGCACTCTCTGGGCTCCGCAATGGCCATGGACATACTTTCACAACAACCTACGCATATTCCTCGTGACCTCGACCTAAACAACAATGCACCAAGCGAAACCATTTTCGAGTTCAAGACCACTACTCTTTTCTGCTGCGGCAGCCCAGCAGGCTTCTTCCTCCTATTGCACAACGCCAACCTCATTCCACGTAAAGGACGATACAAACCAGGCATGCAACATGGTGAGGACGAAGCCCAGGGCGTGGCCAGCGACATCCCACATTATGGATGTCTTGCTGTTGATAACTTGTACAACATCATGCACAAAAACGATCCCATTGCATACCAACAAAACTCCTGCGTCGACAGGCAGTACGCATCTCTCCTGGAACCAGCCGTCATCCCCAGCGCGACACAATCATTCTTCACCCGCCTTTCAAGCTCCCTCCGCTACGCCCCAACCAGCCGCACATCCGACGCCTACGGCCACGCCACCACCCTCAAATCCACACGCCCCGAACTCACACAACTCCCCAGTACAGTCGAGCTCGAAACACACAATTTCACACGTGAAGAAATCGCCGAAAAGAGAATGTACCTCCTCAACGACAACGGTCAAATCGATTACTTCCTCTCATCAGGTGGCGGACCACTAGAAATTCAGTACATAAACATGCTCGGCGCGCACAGCAGTTACTGGACCCTCCCAGATTTTGTCAGGTTTCTAGTTGTCGAGATTGGGAGACAGCCCGGACGAGAGAATACGTTGAATGTGCTGAAGGCCAGGAAGAAGAGGAATTATAGACGGGGTGAAGGGATATGAGTGGTGGGCCCTTGCTGTATTTTATTGTTCAAGAAAACAACATCATGGTAGTTTTTGAGCATGTCTTATCTGCATTTAAGCATTTGATACCCAGGTTGCACATAGAAATTGACAAAATTTGATGAATTAGCAGAAATCTAAATTTAGAATTTAGACCTGTGTTTGTTGATTCGAGTGACTGTAGAACAAGTTACGGAAGTCTGGTATGATTTATTGCGACTGCTAACGTGTCGCTGTTGATGGTTTGCAGTTGATTTACCCCGAGCCTCGTTGTTACCATAGCACGATCCCTCTCCAACAGGAATCCTCGTACCGGAGTGGTCGATGTCAGTCAGCCTGCATGACACTAAATATCGCGATCGGGGATTAGAGACAAGGAAATAATCGTGACCACATTTCATCACCTTGTGTATTGTCTTGATGTCTTACAGCTTTGGCTCCTGTTACATCAAGTATGTTCCTCCTACTCCAGCACTTCCAAATCTTCCCAGTTACCTATTGCTGACTCCTGACTCCTCATCTGGTGACAGCTCTGTAGCACTTTTCGTGTCTGTTACACCAGTTTGCTGGGAGCGCTTCACGTTTTCTGTAAGCGTGAAACCGTCACAACGCGATTGTCTCCCTAGCAAGCTCTCTTAACGCTCCTAAAATTCTCTGCGCCTGCATCATCCCTGCATGGCTATATGTCGATCGATCTCTTGCGTCCAAATATGTCCGAGTAGATCGATTAGGTTTTTAGTATGGTTACTCAATATGCCATCAAATCTGCCAGAATGTTAGTATTGTGTTCGCGACAGGAAATCAGAGAACTTACCTCTTCCAAAAAGTGCTCGTTTCGTCCAGTCCATACTAAGCAGTAACCTTGTCCTGAAACTTACACTCTGAGCAAAGTAAACAGAGCGCCAAAGATAAACAGCCATTAGACCTCCACTAAAGCTGAGACCGTTGAAATCAAAGACGGCAGCATTACCAACGTAGGCGAGACTACCTAGATGGTGGTAGTCAAAGGCCTTGTAGACGGCGTCGTCAAGGTCGCCATAGTCGACCTCGTTGGCCTTGAAACCAGGAACGGCCTGAGCGATCTTGTTGAATTTCTTGCCAAGGTAGACACCCTGTTGGTTGGCACGTTGAGCGGTGGCAGGCAGGGAGGTAAGCTTGCTGTCGATTTGCATGAGGAGTTCGTGAAGTTCACCAAAGTCAAGAGTGCCGGATTTGTCCTTGTCGTAAGCCTCGAAAAGCTTGTCCAGTCGCTTTAAGTGGTTGGCTGCTTGTGGAAAGCGTTTACGAAGCTTACCGGCAAGTTCGCGCCACTGAGGGAAGCTGATACGCATCTCTGTTGGGTCTTTTCCCTTTTCCCAAGCCATGCCTCGAAGAAAGTATACCAGATTGTCAGCAACGTTGTTCTGAACAGTGCTGCAGTCACCAATGGCGTAGACATCTCCTAGTGGTGCACCGATGAGTCGTAGATGTGTGTCGGTCTCAAGAGCGTGCTTGTTGTTTTGGTTATCACCTAACTTGGCCGCGAGAGTTTCACTGAATTTTGTCTGAGAAACTCCCGTGGACCACAGGCAGAAACCCATAGGCAATTCTTTTGTAATGACCTTGCCCTCCGAATCTTTCTGACTGAAGATAATCTTGTCCTCTTGCACCTCTTTGACACGGGCATTGGTGAGGACCTCGACTGCATCATGTTCAAATCGTTTCTCAGCGTAAACAGACAGGGCTTCGTCGTAGGTGTTCAAAATATGCGACCTTGACTGGATGACGTGAACGGAGACTTCGTTCCTCAAGATACGAGGGAAAGACCTGAGAAGATCCTCATTGAGCATATCGTAGAGTTCGGCAGCGAACTCAACGCCTGTGGGACCGCCTCCAGATATGACGAATGACAGCAACCGACGCCGTTCCTCGTCGGAAGTCGTGGGCAAGCAAGCCTTTTCCATGTTGTTCAGTACACGTCTCTTGATCATGCGTGCATCTTCTATCGTCTTCAGAAAGTGTACGTGCTCTAGTCCTTTGACGCCATGAGGGTTGGTGGTCGCGCCCACGCTAATGATAAGCTTGTCATAGGGTAGGTAGAAGTGCTGGCGGTCGCCCTTTTCGTCGAAGCCGGCGATCTCAACTAATTTCTCAGAGAACTCAACATCCATGGCTTCACCCTTCAAGAAATGACCTCTGACTCGACTCACGACCTTGCGAATGGGCTCGACCAGAGAACGAAATTCGAGGGTACCAACGGTGGCGGAAGGAAGCATAGGTGTGAAGAGGAAATAGTTCTCGGGCGAGACGACTGTGACATGGTAGTCGTTGGGGTTGAGTTCCTTTAGCATGGCCACACTTCCCCAGCCTGTTCCAAGGATAACCAATTTAGGCTTGTATCGTTGTATCTGCCTATCATCCGTGTCGTCGTCATCGACAAGCACCTCAGCTATGGGCAGGTTCTTCGGACCACCTCTTTTCGGGGACAAGGCAGCTTCGGAGACATTGATCTCCAGCTTTCCATCTGGATGGGTATAGGTAGTGGCATCGTAGGCGAAGAAGGCCGCGATAAGACCGCCTGAAATGAATACAAAGATGCCACTCCAAGCTGCTGTGCGGTAGAGAAAGCGGACGACGCGGTTTCGCTGAGGCAAAGGCGATGAGATGGATGCAGCACGCGTCTGAGTATGGCCAAATGCTGCTGGTGTGAGAATAGACCTCAATGTCCGTAACGGCCGCGTTCTCAGTTGAGATAACACAGTCTTCTTCGCATTCTGGCTCTCCACTAGAGACTTGGAGGATCTCGAGGGTTGTATTCGATGTATTCGTGTGACTGGCGACCTCCGTAGCCCATGATGGACTACGGTTCGAGTAACAGACTGCATGAGTTGAGTGTAGAGAAGGAGGTTTGGCTTGAAGGAGCCGTTCGAGAACCTTTAACGCTGCATAGCTTATCAAGTCCTTGGAAACAGCTGAGTGTCGTGATTCTCTTAGCACTCAAGGATCTAGGAAAAAAGCTTGCAATCAAGTCGTCGCTACACAACAGGAACGGACGATTATCTCGAGCAATTGCGACTAGCGAACAGAGTTCACGTCACCGATGTTCAAAACGTGAACAGACAAGAAACAAGCACCAGGCCAGGCATGACTAGCTCCTTATCTGTGAAATCCAGCGTATCGCTTCCACTTAGCTGCATTTCCGAAAGATCTGAGCCTACGTCATCGAATTCTAGCAGAACCACAAGCTGAAGGAACTGCGATTTGTATGCACCTTTGCTAAGGAACTTACTGTAAGTCTGTGATCATGATTTAGAATGAACAATGTCTGCGCAACACGGAACGACACATTGCCGACAACCACGTGGGTACCACAGGCGAATGGGTCAGAAGAAAATGTATAAAACCGCTCGTAGCTGTTAATTACCACTTCGACTGTGGCTTCCAGTATGAGCCGTAGGATCGTAACCTGATTCGTACTTTACTGGATGCGACCGCCCGTTCGTGACCTGCCGCGGTGTCGGCCGGGGAAGACTTCGACTATAGTACCAATGTATATCTTATCAACAGCCCAGATCCTTTGGGTAATCGTACGTAGCTAGCTTGGTTTTTGCACTCTTTGTGTGCTGGAATTTGTGATATCCTCGTAGGAACACAACTCGCTGAAGATTGCTGAATGACCTGAAAATCGCGTTCCCTCCTGTCTCGTTTTTTGCAGTATTCCTATTCAACGCGTCGTCTATACTCGATCCTCGACCTGCGTTCTCCTCCTTCACGTGCGCAACGCTTGTGTTTGTACTTCGGGTTCATCCTTCTGTTTCCTAGCCGTAGGTACCCAAGTCTTCCCTTGAAGGAAAGCGTCCTGCAGACCCATCTTCTAGCCACCAGGCAGAATTCGCATTACACATACCCTCAATACAGTCATCCTCGATGTCACCTATCATCCGACTGTCCATGTATCCTTCTCAATCTTGCATGCGTCTTCTCTTCCCTCTTCTAGCATTCTTCTATGTGGTTGAAATGTTGGCTCACTCAGCAGGACGTAAACTTCGCAATCGGCTCGAGGGTTCCTTCTGCGCTTCAGGAGGTCATCAACACCAGATCCACTATTTGCGTGCAAACCTCAAGACCAGACTTCATTTATGCATTGATGCCATCCCAGCGGCTTCAACACCACAGTGTCCACAATTCTGAGATGAATTTGGAAGCGTCGAGTTTGTTCTCTTTGTGCTTCAGTTTGGCGTGGCGTGCATTAAGAGCAGTCCGGTAAGTCGTCCGGAAAGTGGTATGACTCTTTTTTTATGTGGGATACACAACCAGAATTGGCATGGGTGAACTGCTGCACTCATTCGGCACCAAGGCGCCAAGCCGCGACGAGCCTTCTGTAGAGAAATGAGTTTAATGTTGTGCAGATCACGATATTCCTGTGGACGGCTGAGATTGAGACTGAATTTGCAAGCTCTTGACCCTATCGACCATATCGACGAGCTCAGCCAAGCGAGCTGACTGGCTAAGAATGCAGATGCGTCCGTGGACCTTTTTCCACCACGGCATGGGTATCATTTCGTTCATCCGATACAGATGATCAGTCCAAGGAGCATTGTACCGACTACGGCCGAGGTCAAAATGTGGCCCGCTTCTGAGGAGAACGCGAGCTGATCGAATGGAGTTGAATCGAAAGGAGTCTGGGCAGGCTGTCCAACGCCTGAAGCTGGAGTGCTTGACCGAGAGAACGTAGAGCTGGCGGAGCTAGATGTTACGGATGAAGAAGTCGAGGTAGAAGTTACTGAGGTTGCCGAAGTACTTGTACCTTCTGTGGTTGATTCTTGCGTACTAGAACTCTCTGTGCTAGAGCTTTCTGTCGCCGTATCGGTTGCACTAGTGGTACTGACACTTGAGGAGGACGATGAACTTTGTGTCGATGATGAACTGACTGTGGTCTTCGTGGATGTCGCCTTCGCATTCGTGGCAGTACCAGTACTAATCGGAGTGGGTGTGGCACTGGCGTATGGACCAGTTGCGCAGAGCCAGTTGCCGAGATCGCCTTGAAAGGCATGTGCTATGATTGTTCCAGGCTTGACCCCATCTGATTGACATGCTCTTTGAAGTGTGGTGGCCAAGCTGTTGAGCTCATTCAGACAATCGCGTGTACAAGTCGCGAAGCTCAAATCTCCAATGGGCGCGAAGTGAACGTTATCGCACTTCTTAATCGGGGTACTGTATGCTTGGGTGCAGGTATTCGAAAACTCGGCAATAGGCTGGAGGTCTGATAGTGTTATATCAGCTGCGGCGTGGTAGGTCAACCAGCCTACAACCAGTAGAGATGTCTTCATTGCGGGCAAAGGCTGTTCGGGTGCTGGTTCGAAAACAACCAGGCTTGTCTCGATATGTCGTGGTATTGGAGCGAAGTGTAGCCCAGCTCTTATAGTGTGAACTTAGGTACCTGACCTGAGTGTAGTAAGAGAGCGGGAGAGAGAGAGTGGAAGTTCCAGATAAGTCTGATCGAACCTGCGATCACTCTGGGACGACAGCACAGTCTATTTTGAGCATGTGCAACAAGATACGAAAGATCACGAACAAGGTAGCGCAGTACTCAAGGAAAAAGCAAACGAGGTGTTGCTGCCTACCGTGAAGCAAGAAGGGAATTTCGTTGCGTGCTGCTCAGACAGTCAACGATCTGGGTAGAGACCATTCTCTCAGCGGTACATCCGAGTTTGCTACGCGTGCGAAGACGCCAGGAATGTGATAAACGGCCCATTCCTTGCGCCAGGGAGACAAACTGCGACGACGCGCCAGGAAAGGAGGCACGGACGACCGTTAGGGCGACTCAAAAGAGAAGAGATCTGAAGCATAGTCCGTTTCAACCACGGGAAGCGGAGGTCTAGCACGGCATTCTAATTGGATCTAGCTCCTTTAGGTCAACTTCGTCAGAAACATGAGTCTGTGGAGTCAGGGGCTACGCAGAAGTGAAAACGGCAAGACTGGTCATTCCTGCCGCAAAGTATCGCGATAGATGGTCATACTAACCAGCAAATTTGTATTTGTCGTTGTTACTTGAGCTGGCGCAAGGAACATGTCGCTGCTGCTTTTCGGTCTCTTATCATATCCAACCTCGGTATTGTGACTTCTTACAAATATCATGTTCTGCCACGAGTTGGTCTACAATTGGCGAATGAGGTGCCTCCTTAGTCAGCTTACTGGAGAGGCTGCATGAGACTCCCAAGAGACTACAACCATACGCGAGATGCCACAAGGCTCGACACATCTTCTAATCCTTGTATTCACCCCTCGTATGCGCACCTCTACTGGTTGTTGACTATGCACTTTGACATCAAGTACAACGAGTTACATTAGTATCAATTGATGGACATGTTCTAATTCGAGAATACTACTGAATCAAGTTATTTCCGTCTCCGAGAAGCAAATCATGCTACGTGTGCGATAAATTTCACAAAAGTTGTACTTGCACCGTAGCTCTACTGCACATGCTCGCAACCTTATCGCCGTGGATCGTGACGTGTAGAAAGCCTTCGAGCTACATCATGCAGCCCGTACCGGCTTACATGTGTGGGGTTGCGAACGTCACAAAGTATATACAAGACAACCGAGTTTGAGAGAACGACATCCAGCAATTTCTAACATATGCAGACAGCGCAGGACCTAGTAACCAACCTCGTACACAAAACCATGCCGTCCAACCTACCAAAGACCTACAAGGTCGCAGTCTTCAAGGAGAAAGGGAGTCCACTGACTATCGAAGAGCGTGAACTCAAGCAACCTGGCGATGGCGAAGTGAGCAATATTACCTCACACCAACACTACAATACAGACTGATACGTGGTCGGCAGGTTCTAGTCAAGGTTCTGGCATGCGGTGTCTGCCATTCAGACGTTGTCGTCCAGCATGCCGCGTTTGGCAATCCTCTTCCGATGGTTCCGGGTCATGAAATTATCGGAGAAGTCGTTGCAGTGCCATCCTCCGAGAAGAAATGGAAGGAGGGCGATCGAGTAGGAGGGTAAGTGCCATCGTTCTCTAGCACCCCGAGTAAGCACTGACTCGCAAGCCCATGGCACGGTGGCCACGACGGAACATGCTCAAACTGTATCAAGGGTCTTTACCAAATGTGCCAGAACGGTACCGTGAACGGTGTTTTCCGTGACGGCGGGTACGCTGAGTACGTGCTGTTAAGAACAGAGGCAGTGGTAGATATCCCCAAGGACGTCGACCCTGCTGAATTTGCTCCTCAGCTGTGTGCCGGTGTCACCGTCTTTAACAGTTTGCGGCACCAGAACATCATGCCAGGGTCTACTGTTGCTGTCCAAGGTAAGCAGAACTCACATCCAAATTATCTGACTGCGTATTGACCAGTACCACAGGTCTCGGTGGCCTAGGACATCTCGCTCTTCAATATGCATCCAAATCCGGCTACCGCACCGTCGCCATCTCCTCATCCGACGCCAAACGAGACTTTGCGACAAAACTCGGCGCCCACGAATATGTCGACAGCTCAAAGGGAGATATCGGCGAACAACTCCAGAAACTGGGTGGTGCATCTTGCATCATGCTCACTGCACCAAATCGGCAACTCATCCCATCTTTGGTCAAGGGTCTGGCTCCGCTAGGTAAGCTGTTGGTACTGGCGGCTATGGACGGTCCGGCGGAAATCGATACGAACGCTCTGCTGATGCAAGGGACGAGTGTGACTGGTTGGCCTTCTGGGCATGCACGAGACTCTGAGGACACGATATTGTTTGCTAAGACGCATGGAGTCAAGTGTATGATTGAGAAGTTCTCGCTTGATCAGGCGAATGAGGCTCTTGAGCATATGAATCAGGGCAAGGTGCGGTTCAGGGGTGTTTTGCTGCCGAATAACTAGAGCGTAGAATATACAGAACCTCTTGTCTTATCAATCGCAATCTGATCATAAATACCTCACATCTTGGGACTTGCTATATGTATGAAGCCATCGATATCGCATGCAGTCTATCTGGCCACGAAATTGTGAGGCAGCCAGGGTCTTGTCACGTTGTCAATCCGGCCTTGATACACACAGTCTTGCCATCCAGCTATACAACACACGCTATCGTCATTCATACGAAACCCGAAAATTATCCCATCAGACCAGCTTGGCTCATCACAAAGTCCGCATGAGCCTGTAATGTCAATGATTACCATCTAAATGCACTCTCTCGGTACTCAGTGCCCCTAGTCTTGCACGTTGACCAGCGGTGAGCCAGGCGGAGTAGGAGGTTGAACCCTCGGATCACTTAGACCGGGATGTCCTTCCGGGAAACGTGGTCCGCCAGCTCGCATTGGAGGTTGCAGCCATTCCTCCGCAATGCTGTACCGTCTCCTGTAGAAATACTCCAAGGCATTGTATACCCAGTTGTCGACATTTGTCTTCTGCACAAGAAAAGTCAGCCTCTTTCACGTGTGGCTGTTGGCCAAGGAGATGTTGAACTTACCGGATTCGCCAGGTGTTCGAGCCCTATTGCTTGTAGTGGAACATCTGGGTCAAGTGGACCCCACTGAGGGTAGTACATCGCCAAATTGTATGTGATGCACGTTGCTGCCCATGCTCCGTAGGCACCAAAGAACGTGCCGCTGTTGGAGTCGTATAGTTGCAAGTCTACTATCCGGCCGTCGTCCAGACCACTGTTGAAGAAATCACTGTACAGAGGAGAGTAGTGCATGAGTTCTAGACCATGGCCTGATTAGTACGAAACACATGACCCAGTTGGGAGAGACATACCGTGTAGTAGAACCCTCGATGAGGTGTAAGTAAGCTCCTTCCGTGAATCTGTGTATCCAAACTCAATGTAATCATAAATCAAATCTCTGTTTTCGTCGACTTCTTCAAAAGTTCGATGTTTGGAGAAGAATTCAGGGCAAAGAACGATCTTATCCTGTATATCCCAACCATGATTCTTGAAAACGTAGGCAGAAATAAGGAGATCACCTTGAGATTGACAGTTGGGATATGGCGGGGTACCATCCGGGTAGGGAGGAGGATCGAGGTAATAGACATGGAGTTTCGGCGTCGTTGGCACGCATCCTGGCATCTTTCGAAGATCGTTGTATTGCGGTGCGCCTAATGCTTGAGCGAGTCGCTCGTACATGTCTAGGACTAGCTGCCATTCAGCCGGATCTGATCTGAAATAACGTTCGACGGGGGAGTCGGTGGAAGTTGGCGTAAACAATTGTTCTCGAACACCTTCGTAAGCAATAGTCACCATTGCTTGCACCTCAATCAGCGCTGTGAGGAAGGCATTCTTGTAATTATCTTCCTGATCTCCAGCATTTTCAACTTGGAAGAACTCTACATAGCTGTTGTAGTCGAATGCTTCTACCTCGGGCGATGCTCGAAGGACGAAAGTATTCGTCGACAAATTCGAGGACTGTTCCTGGGCCTCTGCTCTAGCGGTGCTGACTCGATCAGGTGTAGCGACTGGAGAGATTACGGCTCTCTGGCAAAGAAGCGATATGACAGTCGCCAATGCCAGTGAGGCAACAATTTGTATTTTTGACATAATCGCTCGAGCAAGGAGTCTGATACTCTAGTGGTCAAATCGTTGAAGCTGTACCAGAGATAATAAAGTAGATAACGAAGGTGATGATTTATTGCATCTGCATACAAGTAAGGGTACCATTGCCGTTGGCAGACGAACACATTTACACTTGCACATGCTGTGTCAATAAGCACAAGTACTGACCAGCAAACGGAAAGTGCTATATCTATAGTGCCCTTACTTGTTGGAGAAGAGGAGGCATTGTGCTTAGTGAAGGCGTTACCCAAATTGACTCCAGCTCATGTACGATCCAGCTAAGGATTTTATGTGTTCGCACAGTGATTGCTTAGATCTCGATAGAACATGTATCTGTCAACTTTCCGTCTGGACACTGTCCTTGATTCGGCATCTGCAAGCGCCTTGTCACCACGTTGATGGCTTTTGTGGGGGTCCCAAAAATTCGGACATCTTGATGGGCCAGTAGTTCAGCAGAACAGTCTTAATGAAGTGGTAAGACCCGTAGGACGGTGTAGTGTTCAGATGCTCCTCCACGCATTGTACTCGTCCTCTAAGTGCTCCTTGAGTTGCTTGAACTTATTGCCGAAATTCTTTCCACATCTCCAACATTTCATGTCGCCCTTGACCAAGCTATCTTGCTCGACCTTGTCCATCAGGTTATCGTCCTCCATGAGAGGGAAGTCGTCAAGCGGTATGAAGAAGTTCGTGTTGAAGCTATTGTAGTGCTTCTTATTCTTCAATTTGTCGGAGTGGTTCTCTCCACTCATGATGTGGATGTGTAACGTCGCCATGCTTGGCTGAGCATGTACGCCGATCTTTATTTCAGATCTAAAGTCGCGACCCTCGGGCAACGTCGCGGGCGGGTCATCACCCTCGAGGGCGTCATGGCGGGCCTTACAAGATGTTGAATATGGGGAGACCAGTCGTGAGAGCTCGCTAGCTGCGAGATTGGCAGCAGAGCCTGCTTCTTCACGGATGAGCTGCAGGAATGCCATGTGCTTATCAAGCTTCTGTCGTTCGGTACTGGCCGGACTAAATGCTTCGAATGGAGTGAGGACATACCACTCAGGATCTCGAGGTATAAGTAGAAGATGGACCAATCCTTTGGGAAAAGCATCCCTAATCAGTACAGTGTTCTCTGTGGTACGAACTATTGTGCCTGGCGTACAGGACTCAGGTTGGTGTACGTAGGGTAGTAGACCATTTTGGTAAGCGTGTAGATTGGGAGGCAACGACATAAGTGGACCGTTTGATGGTGTTGACTTGTTGTTTTCTATCTGAGACGCTGTCTTGGACTGCTTCGGTTTAGGTGCCATGAGCTCAGCGAACGCACTTCTTTTAAGAGACCTGGGGCTTTCCGTCGCGTTCGAATTGAGTTGAGATGTCATCGGGACGTCTATGTTCAGACGTGACTCCTGCTGTTTGTTATCTTCGCACTTACTTGGTGAGCCATGACTTGAGGTCATAGTTGGCGAAAACAATGACGAAATCAGCTTGCACAGCAGGTCAAAATCACTGGAGTTGTTTTTGAAGCGCGCTGACGATAATGAAGCATAGGCAAAGAGGTTGACAACCCTGTTTCGAGACCAAAAAGCTCGAAGAGGATTTTCTCACCAAAATACTGCACTGTCACAACATTTTGTTCATTTCCAACAACCCTACAACTATCACAGAGAAGACTTCGGCGTTGCCACGAAGAATTAAGCAACAGCTCGCGGACACTCTGGTTTAGACGCGTGGTCACAGTGTGTGCAGCATGGTTTCACTCAAGATCAGATCGAGTCGATGCACGGTAAACAAACGTGACCTCCACCGCATTTATTATGGCAAGAATCCCGAGCGACTCGAGTAGCTCTTCGTCCACGACCCGCGCCGTTACCCGAGTAGAAACAAGCTATCACTCTTGACGCATTCTTGACAAAAAGCTTGCGTTACGCAAATGACCTTACTTTGCTTCTTGTGGCATGCCCATCAGTTAGCTTTCGACAACTGAGTGCTTGACTTCAGGCGCCTGCTCGAGATGTGTTCACAATTGAGCTGCACCGATGTCGAGAGATGATACTAATGAGGTGCTGTAAACTATAGAGCCACAGGTCATGGGCTGAAAAACCACGGCAGTGAATCCTAGGTCGCGCAAGAGGGTGTCACAAAAAGTGCAGTGCAGCAAATACATGCTCTTGATTCCAGCTTGTAGTCACTGACCTTCAACCACTCACAAGCTGCAACCTGGCTGTAACCGAATGCAACCGAATGCTTACGCGCTGTCAGGGATGTCAAACTCTGTGGACCTGATTGTTCTTCAGCCGAACATCAATAGCCCTTACGCTGAGCTGAAAGAGGGATTCGACGGACAGCTGAAAACTAGAGATTTGATGGACTAGGTCTAGGAGATTGTCTCTTCTATTTGGGGAAAATCTATGGGAACGTCAACAACAAATGCAAAGGGTTTGATACGAAAAATTGCCGCTTAGTGGTTGGGACCCTACTCAATCCCGGTCGGTCTCTGCTCCTGCGACAAGCTCATCTTTCGATTGAAGACATTCGTGGGTGGTCTTCTCTGCATCTCCATCGAGTTCGTCCTATGCCTCTGTAGGCCCTCCTCAGCCACATTCCTCACACTCTTTGCACCTGACCAGATTTCTTTCGTCTCCTGTAGAATTAAAGACCAGTCTTTGAAGGTAGTGAACGGAATACCTTCTCGTTCACAGTATACGATCAGGTCGTGGCCTTCTTTGGCAAACAAAAGATCGGTTTCACGGGCAGCAGATAGATCCGAAACACCATCACCAGCATACAACAAGGTCGGCTTGGAGTCTTCTTCTGGCATTGCAGCAATAGCATTTGCATATGGGCGGATCGTGAGGGACTTATCATGTCCGAAAGAGCTGTCGTCGTGGAATTTGATGTTCCAGCCCTTCACCTTTCCTAGATCGTTCAATGGCGGGATCGGTTCAGCCTCATTGGCAATAATCTCAATATCCTTCATCAGGTCCTCGCCCAGGAGTTTGTTTAGCAACGCCGCAATGACTGGCACCATACCACTACTCAACACAATAATGGGCACTTTGTGCTCCTTCGCCCACAGCACAAATTCGCGGAAGTGGGGATCTAGCGAAATATTCTGCTCGAGAATCGCAATCATTTCAGTCAGACTCACTTTCCAAGAGTCGATCATCTTCTGGAAGCCGTCACGGAAGGAGTCGACACCATCGAGGATGAGTTTGTTGCCCGCGCGGCGCTGCTGAAGGCCGAACCCGTGATTGTCGGTAATGTAGTCATTGGTGTCCTGCATAGTAATAGTGCCATCGAAGTCTGTGAAGAAGATGACCTTGGGCTTTTCGTTCAAGGTGTTTGGGAACGGCATGTTGGTCTCGTGCTTGATGCTGGTAGTGCACTGTATTGGAATTGATCACGACAATAGGCATGCACAAGGTAGAGGTCACAGAAAGGAAGGAGATAGTAAAACTTCCTCTCAACAACTATATCTCAACCTTGGCTTCAAGTAATCTATATCATATCAATTCTGGCTGTTCGAATTTTGTAACTTCTGGAGAGATTGCTTCGGTGCAGTGAACGCCGGGTCGCGTCAGTTGCAAGCACTGACTTCAGTCGCACTGCAGCTACTTCATTCTCCCTCCTTCGTGCCTAACATCGTGCTTACTGGAGGTGGATTTACATGACCAAAAAAGCACACGGCACGTCATTTATTGAATATCGGCTAAAAGACCGACCACGATTTCCTCTCTGCACCGAATCCGAATCTGGCAGCCTCGTCCGAGTTTGGAGAACAACACAGATTAACAACTCTTGAGCACTAGAATATTGCTTGAGCAGCTCCCGATGCTTGCTTCAAATCCCTGCAAGCTCGTCAATCAATGCAGCCAGCTCCGGTTCGACTGCAGCAAGCTATATGGACTGCCTTTAAAGCTGCAAGACCGATACACAGCTCTTTGAGTCGACAATTATCGAATCAGCCGTGTCCTCGATTCCGGTTAGAGAACCCTCCACAGCGGAGGCTACAGCTATGGCAGGCCTTGCCATTTGGACGAGTGCGATTCTACAGCGAAGACAAGAAGTCGGAAGTCGACAGGAAAATTGAAGATGCTCAGAAAAGAATCGGCGAAGGCATCGAGTCGAGAGCCGACACTCTCGGAAATCTTCCAGGCCCTGAAGAGGATACACTGAAGAAAAAAGAGGATGAAACCATAATACATACTTTACCAGAGTCGTCCTCAATAGTCTACGATGAACATTCACCCGGAGAAACCGCTGCCAATGCTGCAGCTGCAGCCGCCTTGTCAAAGAGCTCAGAAGCCACCACACATAATCATGGCACATCAACAGGAGATGCTACAGCCCAGACAAGGCAGTATCAATCCACCAAATCCCCTCCCACTCCCCGATCTGCGAGAGATCAGCTACCTTCCCAGATTGCGGCTGGCTACTCCCACCTACGAGGCCGCTTCGTCGATTTCATGGACAATTTCCAAACTCACATCTTCACTGCCTCGAAGCGCCTCAACGATCTGACAGGCTACTCCTCAATTGAGCAGTTGAAGCGTGATATTGAAGCACAAGAGAACGCTGTACGTGCTGCTCGCCAACACGTCAAAGACTCGCGAGATGCCTACCAAGCCGCCGTCACGACTAGATCGGATACTCAGCGAGAAGTTAACGATCTCCTGCATAGGAAACATTCTTGGAGTCCCAACGACCTCGAGCGATTTACCAGTCTCTATCGAAGCGATCACACGAACGAGCAGTCTGAGCAGAAGGCACATGAAGAGTTAAGCCGTGCTGAACAGGGGTACGAGGAAGCAAGCACCAAGTTGAGCAAGAGCATTCTGGCACGATACCACGAAGAGCAAGTCTGGAGTGACAAAATTCGGCAGATGTCTACTTGGGGCACTTGGGGTTTGATGGGTTTGAATGTGTTATTGTTCGTGGTATTTCAGATCATGATTGAGCCGTGGCGGAGAAGGAGGCTGGTGAAAGGTTTCGAAGAGAAGGTACAGACAGCCTTACGAGAACAAAATGCTGAGCAAGAGTTGAGGACTATATTCCACCTGAAGACCGCTCAAGAGGAAGGAAGGAGATCCGCAATGGATGCCGCTGCACCGGAATCTGAAGTGGCGCAGGTGACCAGTGCAACAGAAAATGCGACACCTGAGCAAGGTCCTGCAACTGCTATTGCTGATGCTTTGGCAGCAGACGAGCCGAGCATACAGGAGATGGCTGAGCGAACACAAATTGAGCAGGCTGTGGAGACAGTCACAGATGTAGAGCTACTTGCAGAGAGTCAATCCCGGGAACCCGAAGCCCTTACACAAGCTGCATTGCCAGAAGATGGGTCCCCGTCGACGGCGACACTGGAAGCTATTGTTACCCAGGAAGAGTCAAGCGAAACGCCTAGCACATCTACTCGACAGGTCGATGATCTCCCGCCACTATCAACGGCCCCTTATCAAGACCTACCCTTCGTTCTAGGCACGTATGTCCGAACTTATGTTGCCCAAGCAAATGTCTATGCGCGTTCTCTGTTCGACGAGAAAGAGACATTGACAGTCAGTCGGAAGGAGCTAACAAACAAAGTGCTAGAAGGTGTCTTCTTCGGTGCTGTTGGTGTGGTTACCTTGTTCTGGATTGTTGGGGTTGGAGCTGTCAGAGGACGGTAACACCTGTGGCACTGTACATCATGTATATATAGTCCCGTGTGCAATGCAATGTATAGATATGCTCCCTGATTGGTCTGATATTTTCAGCGGTGCCTGAGTCGACAAACTATGACAATGGTATGCATCTTACACACCTGGTGCACGTCGTTAAGCCATTAGAGTTTCTCACCGCTTCGAGATACTCTCTCACACCACTGAAACGGTGCAGGTCTCTTGCTCTGAAGTTTGACAACACTAAATATGATCTGCTTCAAATTGGAGGCTAAGCCCAAGCTACTTTAAGAGGGAAGGCGCGACCATCGTAGAATGTGTCGATCGCCACCACGGCCATTGAGGCGAGTAGCAGAGATTGGGCAGTTACGATTCAATTATTATTGCATGGATCATCATCCAGGCTTTTCACCTCTTACCGACCTACATAACACTATACCAACATCTAAACAAATACCTTGCAGCAAGCTTGCCATGTTCTTCCGGAACGGCCTTGTGTTCCAGCTATGACTTTATAGTCCCCTGCCCAAAGCCTACATCTCGGCCTCGACTAGGTATAACTATTTGAGATTATGGTGGCTATGATCGTTGGGCATACATCGGAACATGCCGTACTACCTATGGACAACGTACACTGTCTCAGAGTTGTGCACGATTCCTGCAGCACTTTAGCATACTAAATGGTTGCCCAATCACATCTAGACACTAACTATCAGCCAGTGACCATTATGTTGTCGCATGGCTCAGCCTAGTTCAAGGAGGGAGTCTTGACGCGATCTGAGCAACGACCTATCGATCTAAGTACCAGACTTGCACTTGACATTGACATAGTCGTACAGCCTTCATAACCATTCTTCTAGCGTCAACATCGCAAACGTGTCCAACACTCGCGAGGCAGAACTACGAGCTGGACCCAGGAACGCCTTATCAAGTAGATGGACTGACGCCGTGATTCGAGAGCCATATGCAAGCTCCCGCAGTGTTCACGCAATAGGACACGCTCTGCACGACCTGAGCAACTGTTGCCTCGCAGGAAGGCAAGGAGCTTGCACCACGAGGAAAATGTTTTCCTTCGCAGTCGACTTTTGACTTGTCAATAGTAAAGACGTGTGGGAGCATATCTGATACAACGTCCACGGCGGTATCAATTCAAAACTGTTGCCTATACAGCAATCTCTTCAGCATTGCCTCACTCTCCAAGCACAAATTGACAACTTTTGAGGACATGCACAAATAATATTGGAAGTCGTGCAGTAAAGGCCAGCAAAAGCTTACTGCTCACAGAATGCCAGGTTACAACCTTGCCGCGTTGCAAAGCTTGGCCAATGCACAAGGTCTTCAAAAACCGGCAAATCTTGTGAAGTTGAAGAGGCTCTCGGAGAACGATGTACCAAGTTTCGTGTCCGAAGCAGACCAGCAAAAGTCCGAGACGTACCTTCTGCACAGGCAGGCAACCAAGTCGATAAAGAAGCCCTTGATGCGCACGAAAAGAAAACTCGAGTCATATCAGCATCAAAACATTACTAAAGAGCTCGTTGATCGTGTTCAATGCAACGAAGGTGCTGCCGTAGTACAAGTTCTATGGAACAAAGAGCCACAGGCATCATCTGTGAAATCAGAAGAAAAGAGAGTCTCTGAAGTTGAAGAGAGAGACTTATTACTTGGCAAGGCTGTACAGCATCAGAACCTGAACACAGTCTGGGTCCTAGCCTCCAAGACGTCACAAGCACGCCGGGATGAAGCCGTCTCGATAGCGATGAGTTTGAGAGACCATGCGATTATCCGTAAATTGCTTGAGTACGGCGCGAATGCGAATCATAGCCACCAGCACTTCACCACTGCTGTCGCTGCTGCAGATGTCGCTACGGTTGAACTCATCTTACAAGCTCAACCGACCGGTGCTCTTCATAATCAGACCCTGGTCGACGTACTGCTTCTTGCCGTAAAGAATAATTCGACTGTAATACTGTGGCGCATTGTGAGTTCTGCTGACTTGAACAACATCCCGGAGCACCCTGCAGTTGACGAAGCTGCCCAGCAAGGTCGCATCGATATGCTGCTCTCCTCTTGCTTTCCATGCGAGACATGAACTCCGAGGTCTTGGGAGATCTTTCATTACGAGTATTCAGTTCGCCTCAGCTGGACTCCTATTTGCTCGATTGCACTTTGCATGCACTCCTCTCAGCTGGTGCCAAAGGTAATGGTGTGGCTAGTGCCTTTCGATTGGCTATTGAAAAGCAGTCATTACCTTTCATTAAGCTTTTTGCCCAGTACATGGTCGACGTGAATTGGGGAGAAGGTCGCCTTGTACGGTGCGCAGTCGAGACGATGAGGCCGGATATCCTATGTCTCGTGCTTAGCAGTAGCCCTTTGTCACCTGAAAATGCCTCGAGAGCTGTAACAGCTCTACCAGACGGAGTGGAACCGGTTGTTCGACGCGAAATGATGGTCATCTTGCTCAATGCCGGTGCTTATGGCACTCCGTTAGAGAACGAGTTAGTGACAGCAGTCAGGGACAATGACAATGCCATGATTGCAATATTGCGTGGTCAAGGTAGACCAGTCAATTTTAACATAAGTAGCGCTCTTGTGGCTGCTGTTCAAGCCGAGAACGTGGCTCTTCTTGAGCAGTTACTCGCAGGTGTGAGTGATCAGGCTGCGTTGCAAGCGGCACTACCCTATGTCTGTGGGTCCAACAGGGTCGAACGCCTGGAGATGACAAAACTCCTTGTCGGAGCTCAGGTAAAAGGTGGAGCCCTTCACAGTGCTCTCATCCGTGCTGTGTGCGACGATGGCATTGACAGAGATGATGAGCTTGTTAATGTTCTCATTCGAGCAGGAGCGGATCCATCCTTCAACGAGTCTGAGGTGTTACGCTACGTTGTTGATACAGGGGATTCGACTTTGTTCGAACGTCTTCTGAAAGGACCCATACAAGTACTCCAAACCTCGGTCAGCATGTTGCTGACAAGTATCTGTGCGATCACTGCACCCAATGTTCGGTACAGGTTTACGGTAATTTCGCTGCAAGCACGTCCTGATCAACATGCCGTATCGGCATTTCTATCTACTTGCCTGTCTGAAAAAACTCTTGATCACGAACTAATCAAGCTACTGATCACGGCTGGCCAGCCTGACATAAATTTCAGGCGAGGTGAGTTGTTAGAGAAGGCGACGTATCTCACTAATCTAGAACCACTTCGACAACTTGTCAAACTACCGAGTCGAACAGAGGAAGGCACAAGACAAGCTCTAGCGAAGATTTTTGAGATCTATGGGAAGGATGACCATCAAACAGCTCAGAGAGTGGAGATTTTGATGTGTTCTGGAACTCATAAAGCCGTTGCAACTCAAACTTTGGAAGCATTCGTAGAGTTTTGGTCGCGAGCACAGATCGAGGGTGGGAAATGGCCACTCGGGACGATTCGTGTTCTGCTGAGCGCAGGTGCTGACTTTGGTTGCTCACCAGAGCTGGCGAACACCATTTCTCGTTGCTGCGCCACCCCCCTTATCCAGCTTCTTCTGCAATACAAACCTTCTGCGGCCTTCATAGACGCAGGTCTTCAAGGATGTATCTATGTCAAGGACGCGTCAAACAGGGACACCCTCATTGGCATCTTCATTGATGCTGGAGCCACTCGTGAGGGCATTTCGAAATCACTGGTTCTGGCTTGCGAGCACGATTTAGAGGACAGCTGTGCAACTTTGATACAGGCTAGAGGGGATCCTCGGCATGACGGACATAGACCGCTACGAGATACAGTAGCTCATTGTAGCACAGCCCTTTTACGAATGCTCCTTGAGGCGGAGAAGAGCTGCACGAACGTCGCGTTTGTCGAAGCCAAGCGGACAAGTGACTTGAATCGCAAGCATGCTCAGTTTGAGGTCATATTGGCCGCTGGTGTGCCGCTACACCTGATTAACGACTATCTCGTCGAGCTGTTTCATGTCGTCGAATTGGATGGCAGGCTCATCAAGCTACTCCTGGACAACAATGCTGATGTGCACGCCCAGTTGAATATATGCTTCCTTCGTGCTACATTGCTCAACAACCTAGAGGTTCTGTCAATGCTCTTCGGAAAGGCCAGCAGTTCAAGCGTAGTTGCAGACCGCTGTCTCGAGTTATGTGCCGACCAGCAGCACTTCAAGAACGACTTCTTCCACCTTCTGAGCTTCCTGTCCTCCTGTACATCAAGCATTTCGGTTCTAAACTCCACCTTGAAGCAAGCCAGTCATGCAATCAAAAACGATGCTACCATGCGACAGTTATTGCCAATCCTCTTGGAAGCAGGAGCAGATCCGAACGACGATCTAGGCATTGTTCTCAACTCAGTCTGCGAGTATGGGGATTTCGAAACAGTGGCCATTCTTACAGCCAAAGCGAATATTGATTCCCGGTCTAGGGCTCTGCATTATCTCTTGCAAAGTACTGTGTATGACAAGGTCTTTGTGAAGGTTTTAGACTCCTTGATGGGTCTCTCAAAGAATTCCCATCCATCGTTTCTCCTACATGCAGATAGATTCCCGCCTCCACTCAAAATTTTTCTCACCAAGCGGCCAACAAGCACTGGCCCACTCAGAAGAATGCTCGAGCATAAATGTCAGGCACTCTCATGGCGGGATGACGGCATTCTGTTCTGGGGCATGCAACAGACCAACGTCAGTGACGAGTGTCTAGAGACTTTGATCAGACTGGGAGCCAATGTCAACTTTCGAGATGCTGACTCCGGTCAGACCGTCTTGCTTCGTGCCATCAAGGGGAAGCGGCGGTTCGTGGAAACGCTCCTCAAGCACGGAGCTAATAGTTCTATAACTGACAAGAACGGGATGTCGCCTTTGTTATCCTCCAGCCATATTGGTGACGCCGTCATTGCAAGTTTGTTGATCAAGTATGGTGCTGCGAAAAACGATGGAAGTCTACACCACGCTGTACGGAAACTGAATGTTTGTGTAGTCGAGGTTCTCCTCAAAAACGGACACGACGCAAATCATCCATCACCTACAGTACATGGCCGAAGTCCATTAGCAGAACTCTTTCTTTGCGGCAAAGTAGACTTGACAAATCATCACGCCATGGGAAACGTCATATCTTCACTGCTACGTGTAGGGGCTGACATGAAAAGACCTGTCTCACGGAAGCCATTGATTTATTGGGCATTCGATAACACTCGTCCAATTCAGATGGTAGAAGGGTTAATGCAAGCTTATCTTCACAGGCACATCGACACCGACTGGAACCTCGTCGAGGATGATGGATATATCTATTCACCCACGATGTGGGTACAAAAGCGAAAGTTTCAGGGTCCACATGAATTGGGCGATCAGCTCCTGGTGACGCTCAGGAACTACGGAGCCAACCGAGATGTGTTCTACCGCTTGCATGGGACACAGCCTGATGACGCAAGAGGAATGCCACCAGCATTAGCTCAGCAGGAATCGGACCGCAAAGTGCGAGAAGCCGAAGTGGCTGCAGCGGAGGCTAATCACCATCGTGAGATGCAAAGAATCAAAGAGCAAGGAGCACTCCGCCAGAAAGTGCAAAGGGAGCGCCAACATCACGAATTAACTCTTGCTGCCGAAGCTGAAGCTGCCAAGCAGCACCAGTTACATGCTCGACATGTATTCGAGATAGAGATGCAGAGGGAACGAGACGACCTAACATTTCAAAACATGCAGAGGCGTCTCGAAATCGAGAGACAATCACGGGACGATGAAACTCGACACCTCCAGAATCTGAAGAGATTGGAATACGATAGTACTCAACAGAAGCTCGCACTCGAAAGCAAATCCAGAGACGACGAAATTCGGCAACAGCAGAGGCTCGGTGGGATGGCTATTGAAAACACCAAGCAGCGTCTCGCATTAGAAGCAACAGGAGAGTCTCAGCGAGCTGCAATCAGACAGCGCGCGACCGATACTGAAGTCGCTGCTCGACAGAAGCTGTTGAAGAGTGAAGAGCACGCTGGCCAGATGCAGCACAGTCGCATGATGCGTCAATTAGAATATGCTAAAGCTCAGCCCGTTGGATTGCCGTATAAGGCGCCGGCTGGGTTTATCACTGGGTCTTGACAGCTTTGGATACCGGCTTGCTAGGGACTTTACAAGAGGAGACCGTGTGCCTTGGTGGAAAACAGATACAGACTTAGTCTTTGATCTGAGAAGAAGAAGAAGAAGAAGAAGAATTTGTTCCGGGTGTTTCCTCACGAACAATAGACAAAGATATGACCAAGCTGGACTATTATTGGTAGCCTAATGTCACGATTTCACGAACTGCGTTTCCCGTGATTAGAGGCTAGCCGGTTTTCAAAATCTGTAAAGTGTAAGATGGTACTTTCTCAACCCTCTCTGGCCGAGGGGGGGAGTCTTCGACCGCTTGGTTGAGAAGACGAGGTATCGATGTATCTTTGTCGTAGTACGTAGTTGAGTGTTTTCGCTCAGCCCAAAAGCGTCAAAGAGACTGTGACTTAGGTAGATGCCACAGCCGTCGCGAGTGGCATTGCGGAGTGGTCCCTGCTTTCTGTACGAGGCACTCTCTCGATAAGGAGAAAACTCTTTGTACACGGCGATTGCAGACTCCGAGTTCAATGACCACCCACATCTCATCGTGGTGTGTGAAGCACGGCTTTGATGCCAGAATTATGTCGCTAAGCAGCGGTTCGTCGCGGATCGTGGTCTCTTTGGTGTTTACTATGACCGGCAGTGACACTCTGATAGGAGATGGCCTGTGCTTATGGCAATCCTGGACTTGGTATTCATGACTTTTTATTGTCATTCGAAACCTGAATGTCCTTCTGATCCGAATCGGAGCCATTTGGTCCTGAATTCGAGCTCATACAGCCGTCGGTGGAAGAGTCTCGATGGCTGTCGGTACTCTCCTGAGTTCTGGTGTCTGTCCACACAATCCGCGGCTCCTCGTTGGCCATCTACCGTATCCGGCTTTGTGCAGTCGTCGTGGATCTATGAAATTTTCCTGAATGATGCTAGCAAACCCGCTCCTGAGCGGCTGTACAATGAGTATGCTGATGTTGAATTTCTGTCAGTAGGGAGTGTCGTGAGGTTCACGAGTGCCGGCAATAGATGCCTGAGGCATTCGGTGTGATGCCTGAGTCAGAAGGGAGAAGCACTCAATACATAGCTACAACCTAGATACCACACACATAGCAGAGAGTTATGGCATACACTACTGTCCACGCGCGGCCTTACCGTTCAGCCTTGTCACTATCCTCTTTATAGAGCACCCGTACTTACCGCTACAGTAGGCTGGGCTAGTTTGTAGTGCAAAGGCAAGGAGGGCCTGAATGAGATATGGTCAATAGATAGAGTAGCATAGTGAGTAGAGTATTGACTGTATCGCTTGCGAGAGACTGGTCCGTGCTGATACAAGACAAACACTGTGTGATGCTTGATCAGGCCAAGCGCAAATAGAAGTGACTTTGCTTGCGGTAAGTGAGCAAAACACGAAATAGTGCTTGTCTTGTGTTTGATCACATCGGTTCGACAAGTTGTTCATAGAAATGAGTATGGGATGACTAGAATCAGTCCTCGACGCTGGGTCATTGACGAGCTTTCGATCAAAGTTTCTCATGTACACTTCCAGGCATGTTGCCTGTACCGAATAAAAGACTCTGTCTCTAGCTTCACAAGATCGATTGATATAGAGTCAGTAATGCAATGTGGGAAACCACTCCTAGCCAGGAAGCTCGAAACGTCGTGGTTTGGCTGAACCAACCATAGTCGACGCGATCGAGGTAATCCATGTACCACCTCCGCCTTCACTTCTTAAGGCTTATCAAAACAATCGAATTCCTGATGACTAGTGTTTCGTGACGACGGTAGGTTGTTGCAGGACCGAGGAATGCTCGCACAGTCAGCGCACCTTACTGGAGCGAATGGGGAACTCAGAGGTCACAATTTGAAGCAGCAATGGCTGCGAGAGAGAAGTTCATCGCGAAGTCTCGACAAGGAGAGGTGATCATGTTCAAACTTTACTTGGTAGCAGTGAGGCCGAGAAGTAACGATACCAGATGGATAAAAGATGCTACGGTGCGTGTTTGGTTCTGGTCAGTTACACATCATGTGGTCATGCCAGCATATTAAGGGCCTTTTCCGCAACGAGCAGCAGGCAGAGCGTAGCTGCCAATCTACTTAGCGCCTACAGTTTTACTGAGGTATAGCCAATTTCGTCCATTTTTTCTTTAAAGAGGTGGGTCAGACATGCTACTCTTGAGTAGCAGAGAGTGGGTCTAACGATCATATTTCCAGCTATACCTATAATTGCCCTAGGCCCATCCACGATCCAAGCCGATATGCGCTGATATACAGTACACCAAAATCCACTGCTATCCACCGTTCAGCCTACTTGGCAGCAAGCTGCCTGTCAGACCGTCCGATTTCGCGGAAAGGCCACACCAAATCGGACGGTATGCCTGGTACATACCAGCTGCCAAGTAGCGTAGCGGAAAAGGCCCTAACCGAGAGGTATGGCTCTCGCCGCCTCCTTTACCTTTGGAGAAGGAGCAGGTTCCTGGAACACTAGACTCAAATCAGTCGACTCTAGGGCTGCGTATTGTCTATTCCGTAGATTTTGGGTCGTATGTATAGCATGCCTGTGACAACGTACAGCGGTCAGATTCTAGTAGCTTGTCGTTTCACAAAACGATCTCTTCTGTGCTTGTTACACCATAGTGATCACTAGTTAGCATGTAACAGCTTCGTATAGTTACAATGTCTAGGCGATGATCACTGTCTATAGAGAAGGAATCTGGAACGAAAATTCATCAGTTGGTTCATTGTTGGTGCAACGCCGAGCCGTGGGGATTATATGTTACACTTGGCTTATATCCAATAAGCATGGTCCAGGAGGGATCCGTCACTCTATTGTACCGACGCAACGCACCACTCTGCTCCTAGTAATCACTCATCGGACCGTGCTCCTGCTACTATCGAGTCCTTGTATTGGCCAGCCATGCGAGAGTCGATGAGCACAATCAAGTCCAGTGGCAGACAAAGGCTTTGCCTTACTTTAGCATAATGATAGGCATGCTGAGAAGAAATAAATTCGAAGTAATCCCGTTGGCACCTTGTAAGTCTTTCTTCCTTCTTCAGAAAAGCAGAGTCCGTGATCTGGTATTGTCGTGGTAAAGAGCTCTTTCCTGCCAGACACTTCTGAGCGAGTCCGTCCTCGAGTCTTCCGAGCGTCTTCCAACTTGTCCTTCCTTTACCTGAAGCATGTCAGCACCATCAACTGCCTCGAAGATGGCGGGTGAGTACTGTCACCATCTCGTTGACAAGGTTTTCTCTTTGAGCTACTGCCCTTTCCTTACTACGTGCATGTCCGCCAGAGCTTTCTGACTTTTCTAGCAGTTCGCAAAGAGGGCTCAGTGGATTTCTTTCACTTGAAGCAGTATACACGACAAGCACCTGTTGCCGAGCCATTTGTTCCTGGTACGGTCAAGTCTGCTACACGCACCAAAGCGCTTTTCCACGAAGTTGATATGGCGTTGGCTGTTCTTCAGTCAATTCCAGCTGCCGGTGGCCAACCCCGATAGCCAACAATCTGAATATTGGTACTGCGACGGTTCTCATCTCTTCGATAACTGTTGGTGAGGGGTGACCCCGCACGGTGAGTCACCGCCTCGCGTACGCTTCTGCGCGCTGCTTTTCGGCCTGGCTGCTGCTAGAATTAAGATATGTCGACAACGAGGTCTCTTACAGTGATGCAACCACCATTGTGCAATGCAGCAGGGTCATGATCGCATTTCATCATGTATAATGAGATATTTTGAACGTACGAATTGTGATATGGGTCAGTACTTTGTTCGATGATGCATTGCGATGTTGTTGCCGTTGTTGACATTGACTCTGCGTGGTGCAGTGAAGTTGTGATTCGCTTTTTGCTACAAGTCGCCCGAAAAAACCACCCTGCAGCAGCTCAGACTCGTGCAAATATGCTGATCCCCATTCTGTTGCGGGAGATCAACCAATAGGGGCTCACATCTGCCGGTCGCCGGGTTCACTTCCTAATCATTCAACGAGTCTCTTCTTTTGAGTATGAATGCCTCAGGCAACTATATAGAAAAGTCTTGCACCACTGAACACCTTTCTCCACCGTAGAACCAATGCTTAATCGTTCTAAAGACTCCCAGCACATTCTCACCACTATGCTGGCGCGAAACTCCATTCCTGTCAAGCTACGTGTCTACATCTTGCATACACTTGACGAGTCACATAGCAGATAGCGGTAGTCAGTCAAAATTCCAGGAGTCCATCGGGGAGAACGGTAAGCGTATACCGTCTTTGCTCAGACTACTGGACCCTCATCGACACCACGACAGTGTCTATACCATTTAATGGGCTAGTGCTAGGTATTCAAAGATAGACAAACGACTTTTGTATTTGCCGAAAATTGCCCCACTTCCAGTCTGGGTGTCTGAGTGTCCATTCATTAAGCTACGCATATAGTTCCCTCCAGCTTTGAGTCCCTCGACTGCCTGTGACTGACTCATCTCACCTCGACCTGCTTGTCTTGCTCCAAAGGGAACCAAAGCACAATGCAACTCCCCGACGAAATCATCCTCATCATCTTCTCCCACCTCCTCAACATGGCCCACTTCAGCCCCACCCTCGACCTAAGCATCTTCTCCGCCATGCGCGTCAACAAGAAATTCCGCGACATCGCCATCAGCACCATCCTGGACGAAACAATGTCCACAACCAGGAGAAAAGGCTTCGACAAAAGGGTGAAGAAGGTGTTGAGGTTTGAGGACCGGCTTATTGAGATCAAGTACGGGACGAGTGATGAGGTAGGTTGGTCGCGGATGATGACTGAGGATGATATGGTCAAGGTGTATACGCCTGGTAAGGGGTTTGTGTTGGTCACGGATGAGGGAATTGATGATGAGGTGAACGATCGACGGGATAGGATAGCGCGGCTGAGGGCTTGGGATTGGGAATTTGTGAAGTTGTGAATAAGCATCGGGTATTATGGGTTGCACGGTTATATAGGGTCATTGCGAAGTCACGAGTAGAGTATTGTCAATTGGCGAGATAATGCTGGATGGCGAAGTTGTCATCGTCGTTCGTCATTTGTGCTGTCTTATCCAACACTTGAGGGATCTGTTATCCAATTCTCATATCCCTGCTTGCTCACAAGGCCCCTGAGCTAATATGCCAATGCCAGTACCACTCTGCCAATGCCATTAAGTAAGCTGTCACTTATTCAAGCACTCCGCGGCCCCAGGTTCCAGCCTCAATCTCACCTTCACCCTTCTCGTCCTCAAGCACTTTCCTAAGTGCTTTCTCTCGTCCTCGTGTCCTCCTCCCTCCACCAACGATACTCTCATCATCAAGCAATCCACTGACACTGAACCCACCGACTTTGTCCCAACCATTCAAGTCTTCATGTCTAGTTCGTCCTTTCATCTTCTCTTTCCATGCGGATTGTCGCTTCTCCTCGCTTTCCTCCCTGCTCAAATCAGGGCTCGCATCACCATCTTGCTGTCCGAGTCTCGCTCGCTCTTTGCGTTTCTGTGCCAGACTAGCTTTGAGCGTAGCGGCTTCGTCGGTATCTGCATAGGTAAGGCCGGCAATTTGTTGAGAAGGAGACGGTGGCTTGGGTATCTGGGAGGTGGAGAATGTGGTGAGGGCAGCAGCAAATTCAGCTTCTGTCATGCCTTTCTTACTCGTTTGGCCGGCTAGCTTGAGCGGACCTGCGTCTGAGTTGCGCGCTGCATTGCCCTTCAGGCTAAATGAATTTTTGACTTTGACAGGCGACTTCTTCAGATTCGAAGGAATACGGCTCATCATGCTCAAAGGCATGCCCAAGCCGTCCGTATTCATGCTATTGACTGAGCTTGCGCGAGATAGTGGTTGCTTAAAGTCTTCCTTGTCTTGCTGTTCGTTGTTGCCAGATCGTCTCGAAGAGTTGGAGGCATTACTCAGGGCACGACTTAGAAGCTTCTTGTTCGAATTTCCTGAACTTGATCGATTCTCAGCTTCCGCAGCTGTACGAGCCGCAGCAGCAGCCTTGACCGCAAGGAACTCCTGAATAAGGTTCGATCGTGACTGACTGTCCACCGCCTGTGTATCTGCTTTTGCTTTCGTTTGCTTGGCATTTGTATAGGAATCAGTGGATGCTTCAGCTTCAGCTATCGTATCTTCAGATCGTGCTTGGTCGGTTTCGTGTTCTGCTGCTAAGGTATTGTCGTCCATAACGTCTTCGTGCTCCACGAGCGTCCAGTCTAGTTCTTCACCAATCTGTATTGGCACCACCTCATGCTCGTCCTGCCGTGCCTCGGGTAATGGTATGGCTTGTTCTTTTGCAGATGACTCTCCCGCGCCATCGAACGTCTGAAACAGCTTCTTCTTCGTTTTCTTCGACGACACCGGTTTGTTTTGAATGTTGGCAGAAATTTCCTGTAGAGGCCCTGACACAAATCTAGCGGCATCGTCAGACATGTTACGTTCTGTAACTCTCTTCAAGCTATTACCGCCTGTCTCGTTGAAACCGTGAATACTCGCATTGACTTCAGCGTTGTCGATGTTAACTGGTTCGAAGCCGTCACTCAATCCAGTCTTTCCAGGCTGATCGGCCGCCGTTCTTGTAGTTTTCGACGACTCTTTCTCTTGCTCGGGCATATATTGTTGCTCGACCACACGTCCTCGATCTTGCTCGCTTCGTTGTTGCACATCTCCTCTACGCGATAAAGGTTTCTGTGGCGGTTTTCTGGACCCGTAGTTCAGGTACGGCTCAAATGCTGGGATTCGTCCAGTTTTGATGAGTTGCCACAACCATTTCTCCGTAACGGCTGGCAGTCGCCAAGCCTCAGCATAATCAGCCTTTGTCTGATTGAAGTTGGAGGATTGAATGATCAGGACTGTTGTCTTTGGGGTAAATGTCTCCTGGTAGCTTGCCCCTAGCTTGGCAATCATTTTGGCGATGTGCAGTGTTTGTATTTGTGGAAAGCCACTTGCGTTCACCACAAGTTTTGAGATGGCAGGAACATTGATCGCTCCTGCCGGTTGACCCAGTACATAGTCATCTGGCGGGGTGAAGGCTTTGACGGAAATGCAGTGCTCCAACCACAGTTCGGTAACAATGGTTACATTACAAGGATACTGCTCGAGTATCTTTAGCTGATCACTTTCTATCTGATACGGAACAATCAAGAAACAGGATTCGGGTCCATTTTGAGCTTCCTGGCGTAACTCGGAAAGTCTGTCGTGCAAGGTACCTCCATGTCCAGATAAATGCTGGTAGAGAATTGTCCTTCTTCTATCGTCAAAACCTTTGGCGGTGAAATGTTTACCAGCTAGAATGCCAGTAGCAGTTTGCTGTTGTCGAGGTTGTAGAGGCTGGGGTGCTGCTGAGGGGTTATCTTCTCGACTCGCAGTCGCTATTCCTTCATTATTTATGTCCGACGTAGACTTTGAAGCTCGCAACGTGTCAGCTGGATCTTCCGGTTGTGCAGCACGTCCATTCACAATATCATTCCACACATCATCGTGCTGGCTACCAAACCTAGCGCTAGCAGTTCGGCGTAGCTTTCGAATTGTCTTCTCCTCGGGCTGGTCTTGGCGTAATCTTTTGCCTAGCCTAGGACTTCTGGTCGGATTTCGGTTCCAAGCACCAACACCTTGTTGTTCTGGAGGCATGGTGGGGTGATATCTCTTCTCATCGAGCTGCATGCCACGATCTCTGCTATCCTTGTACCATTGTAGACTTACAATCTTCAAGCCCCAACTTGTCCCGTATTCATACTTCTTGCCTTCTGGTGCATTCGCGATCAGGTGAGTTACCTGCCTGGTCATGTCGCCCGTATATTCTCCGCCATTTTTCACGATATCCTCGGCCAGTTTATCTCGAAAAGCGAGGTCTCCAAAGCCAGTGAAGGAAATCTTCAAGCCGAATAATGTCGGGACCTTGTACTCTGCTTCCAGCGCATTCAAGTCAATAGGTTGATCTTCCATCCACGACGCTCGAACTGCGGCAAGGAACTCGGGCAAAAGCACCTTGACATCTTCCCTATCTCTTGCAACATATCTATATTTGTCTGAGTCTGTAGCGCCGACGAGGAGATGTGTCACGTCGGAAGTAAGGTCGAGGCTGTGGTCAGCTCCAAGCTCTTCAGCCCATTCTGCAAGGTGGCTGCGATCTTCAGGCGCGATCGATGTACAGCAGAAAAGCGCTCCAAGGAGCGGCTTTTCTTGAGAAGCCTTCGAGGCCTTTCTGACCATGTTGCATGCTGCGTAGCGTCACACGGAAAATTGAGGGATATTCTTGAGTTTAGTATTAGATATTGTGCAATAACCAAGTGCTTGATGTGGACCAAGCGAAACGCGAACATGATGCGACCACGCGTTTCGTACAACCAAATCACGACGTCCCTGGTCGTTAAGGTCTTCCGTGGGTTTAGTGCCAAGTATGACAAAAATGGCTTACGGCTTGGATAATATGTAGGATGTTAAGCGGCATGGGGATATGGTACGTCTTCAGAGGCCAATGAGAATTGCTTATCTGCCACAGCTATACAATCTGGCTATTGAGCAAAGAATTACTTGTGGCATTGTCCAGGTGTTGCGCCATTCAGGAACATTACTGTACGCGATGCGAGGCCTTCAGGATGACCTTCGATAAGAGCTGCGAGAGTCGCCTATAGATTGATTGCGGTTGCAGACAATCGTTGCAGGGATGCTATTACATTATTCCGAAGCTCGGTCACTGGACCGAAGAGCTCCAGTTCTGCTGTTCCTGACGAGAACCTTAAAGTCATTCATACACAACTGCGCAATACTCAAGTAGCAATGCACAGCACGAGTACATACTGTTACTCATGTGAGACATACGTCGTTAGCACGGTCCCAAGAAAGACGACCTTAGGCGCTTGTGTTGGCCGAGCACGACCTTCAAGTTTGTCAAGATCTCAAGCACGAAAGCCGTTGTGTGCTCTTGGCTCATCGGCCTCAGCAAGAAGAATTGCTTGGTTCCCCGCACACAAGCTGACGCGTAAGTCCTCTGCGAAGATCCATACAGCAAGTGCAAAATACAGTGGTCTTGCCACCTGAGTGTCTGGATTGTCCGAGTCGCAGCTAGACAGTCACGTTTGAATCAACCCTGAGCCGAGTCTCCGAAGGAGCCTCACGGCGAATGGATCAAGCTGACATATTCAAGGCAAGGTAGACTGATGCCGAACTAGGCCACCAATCAGTCATTATTTGTTGTGCTTAGAAGGTACCCGCTCTGCCGACGACTTCCACACCTGCATTTCACGAGTCTCTGGTCATTCAACCTATACTCGTACACTGCTAGTGACCTCCATGACATCCACAATGACTGAGCCTTATTGTGTCTCTTTACGGGTAGTGGAACGATTGCCGTAATCCTGACTTCCGCCGTTTCCCTGGCGTATCGTCATCCAGAGGTCACTAATAAAGGATAGCATGATGCTTGAGTTTTTGAGGTCTATGTTTCGTACAGTATCGAAAGCCCACACAATTCTTCTTCGTCTCTCGTCGAATTTGTCAAAAGTAGCTGCTGTCCGATTTTTACTTATTTACCCACTGCCTCTGTCCGAAAGACGGACTGGTGATCTTGGCCGTTCTGGTAAGTGCCGATTCCTGAAAAGCTTCTAGTGTTCCCCAAATCGAGCCAGCACAAGAGAAGACTCCGCATGCATTCGGCTTTTGGGCAAGAACGATCGGCGGTCATTCCTCTGACAGGATAGACGACCTTTCGCTTGCCCAGCAGGTCCAGATCAAACACCCTGCCCTACCCAGGTGGGCAAGGAACAATGCATGTTCTTGCCCTTTCTACCGTGGAATTTGACTGCCAGGCTTTTGGCCTATGCAGTTGATTAATGGGCACGTAACATGCAATTGCAACACGTACTTTCTTGGTCCTGTCGTCACTTCCAGGCTTGCAGCACATTCGATTATTATCATTTGATATCTGGGAATTAAGTCATTGCTAACACACCACTCGCGTATAGTCGAGCTCGCTTTCGTTACGAATAGAATCCTTAGCGCTACCCAGTATTCACAGCCAGGACCAGTACATCGCCTTTCTTTCCACGTCCTCGCCAGTCGCGAAGATCGGCAGCAGACCGAGAATCAGTGTTAATACCTTTGTGTCACCACAGACGTGGCGGTTCACTGAAAGAGCTCTCGAAGAACTTACTGTGCCTTTTTGCCATCTCCTTAGAGCTCACACTGCCTTTCCCGAGTACATCCGGAACCTGTCGAGTCTACCGAACCGCGAAATCTCGTGCCGGGGGTGAGCGGATCTAATACAGAGGCCGAGATGGTATTCCCAGAGGTTGGCCGGCACACGCTTGAGGGTAGAGATAGAAGTGGCTCTGTGTCAACTTTAAGAGGACGTTTGGACAACAATTTAAGACGACCGTCAACACCGAGCAACGAGATACAGGTCCCGAAGCTGAGCTTCAACGACCAAAAACCAACTGCTTCTGGCAACGGAGTCGCAGTATATGTACAAACCGCCGAGCCTGTGCTCTTTCTACAGGGTTATGATGCAAACGACCCTACCTCACATTCCACTGCAATGCTACGTGGAAGCCTGCTGGTCAGATGTTCGAAACAGGCCAAACTGAAGTCCATTTCCTTGTCATTCAAAGGCAGATCGGAGACGGACTGGCCCGAGGGAATTCCTCCAAAGCGGGTTGAGTTTAAGGACACGACGCATATCATGAACCACACTTGGTCCTTCTTCAACGCTCAATTTCCACAAGCCGAGCACAGCTACGGCGCAGACATAGTCCAGTTGCAAAAAGGACCAGCATCTGAAGTGAAAGAAGTTGGCGTTACTGGTTCCTCCTTCGATCTGTTCCAACGGAGCTCTTCACCAACCAAGCAGGTCAATTCATCAAGAGACGCTAAAAGGTTATCTCTGCAGGCTAATCACTCTCGAAGTTTTGGTAAAGGTGAGAGCATGACCGGAGGACCAACCGTGGCACAGAGAGGTTTCAAAGTGTTTCACCCTGGTGACTACATCTATAATTTTGAGCTACCGCTAGATTCCAGGCTGCCGGAATCCTGCCAGGTCGACTTAGGTTATGTCAAGTACGAACTCGAGGCTCTGGTTGAACGATCTGGCGCATTTCGGGCAAACCTGCTTGGGTCAAAGGAGCTGATTCTCATCCGTGCGCCTGCTGAGAATTCTCTCGAACAGACAGAACCTATCGCTATTTCGAGAAACTGGGAAGATCAATTGCACTACGATATTGTAATATCTGGCAAATCCTTTCCCATGGGCTCCCAAGTACCTATAGCCTTCAAACTCACCCCATTGGCGAAAGTGCAATGTCATCGCATCAAGGTTTTCGTGACCGAGAATATCCAATATTTTACGAATAACAAGAAGGTCCACCGGTTAGAGCCGACCCGGAAAATCCAGCTCTTTGAGAAGCGAGCAGACAGTGATAGTATAAGCTCTTACCCCGGAAGTTCCATGCGAGTTCTGGCTGGCGGCGGTGTGCCATACGACTATCGGCAAGCGGCTGCATCTGGCGATGAGAGAGTACCGCACGATGCTAGGAATCTGCTGGGCAACCTTGAGAATGACTCTGGTAGTATTGGGCCTACTGAAATGGAATTTAATGTTCAGTTGCCCAGCTGCTACCAGATGAAGGACAAGGTGAAGACCGAGCATCTGCATTTTGATACAACATACTCCAATATTCAAGTTAATCACTGGATCAAGGTAAGCAAGCTGAGTTCTTCAATTTTTATGCCCTCTGACACTCCTCCAGATCGTGATGAGACTTTCGAGACCCGATGAGAACGACCCTGAGAAGAGACGACACTTCGAGATTTCGATCGATTCACCTTTCAATATCATGTCATGCAGGGCAACGCAAGCCAACACCTCTCTACCTGCATACAGTCAGGGCGAGTCAGCTCTTGGGGCAACTGACGAATGGGAATGTGGATGTCCGGGTGCAGCATTGACACGACGTAGTACACCTCCTGTTCTTCAGACTGTGAATGCGAACAGCGACAGACCATCACCTGTGGGACCTGAACGAAGCTGGACAAGTGATACCGCAGGCTTGACACCACCTACTCAAGCTCATCTACATAATGCTGGCCAAAATGAGGCAAGCTCACGACCAATGCATTTACTGCGAGCGCCCTCCTTCAACCCACCCGCCTTCGACGCCGACGATCCACCTCCACCACTGGTGACGCCGCCACCACTATACGAGAATGCGGTGAATGGCGATACACGAAACGCTTTGGCGGACTACTTCTCCAGACTAGCTGACGAGATGGGTGACGAAGACGACAGAGACGATCGGTCTCGGGTTGATATCCCACTTACTCCTGGAGGACGAGTGAACCGTTCGATGGACATTCCGCGAAATTGGATACCTTTGGGAGGTACAAACCACTTGACTTTACCACGTGGTCAACGTACACCAACAGCTGTGTAATACAAGCTGGAAGTATATGTCGGAATCCGCAGCTTCTCACGCTGAAAAGAGTAAACAGCTTGCAAATAGAGAGCCAGAGGACTGTGGGCGTATCTCGTGGCATGATTTGAACGATATTTAAGGGTTCTGATAGCATTTGAGCGAAATTTGTGGATGAGGTAGTAGAGGAGCGGCTAGAGATATGTTACGCGCAAGTGGACACAAAATTGAGAGCTTCTCCTGCCATAAGGGCATAGCACGAATGTATGGTGTAAGGTCTCCCGAGGTTTTGAACATGTAAAGTAACGATGAGATCAGTATTTACCTTCGAGCAAGTGTTGGTCCAATATCAAAAGTGTCGGTTCACTTGCCTCGAGTCCTGAGCGGAACATCTTCGGAATTTCAGCTCGCGACCTAAGATTTCCTAATGTAGAAGTCACAAGTACGAGGCCTATTGAGTTGGAAGCATCGACCATGGATTGTTGTAGTCCTTGACACTCCTTCCAACATTCACGGACATCTTTCTTCGGTAGTCTGGGATGGCACAGGCAATGGCCGCTGCGGCGGCGCATTCAATGCCTCCCTTCCCACTACCTGCACTACCTCGAGTACGGCCTCCACCTATACCGAAAGGCACCCCAGGACCAAACACTTTGCCGATGCCATCACAACCATCGAGTAAAAACCTTGTCTGGGCTGACGGGAAATGGAACTCTCCCAGGTCATCCGCAGCAAAGCACAAAAAGGCAGTCGTAGCAAGGCAGCTAGAGAAAGCGCTACGGCACGAAACCTTGGGCATGAACATATATGCTTACAGACACATACGGACCAATCAGGTTGTATACAGTTTGACAAGGAATATGGAGGTATGTTCAATAAGCTATGTGAAACGACTTTGAACTAATACAGTCACAGAACAACAAGATCTTGAAGCAATTACTCTTCCATGGCAAGAAAACTGTACCACATGCCTTGAGGCGCGATATGTGGCGTCCTTACTTCTCTATACGATTCTCTAGAACACCTGCAGGCGCGCAAAAGGGTCTTAGAGTATACAACGACATTCGGGAGCTATCTCTGAGACGGCAACTCGATCCGCCTAAGGAGTTGACGAATGCGACCGAGGAAGGCATCGAAAGATTCAAGCAAAATCTTGGACAAAGGAAGTTCGACACGCTAACCAAACATGATCAAGGCCAAAGAGGAGGGAGACACAAGCATATCGATACTCCGGTGCCTGGCAGACGCCTGCCTCAGAATGTAGTCGCGCGTCATCTCATGAATCAAAGAAGCACAGCAGTTGCTGATGTTGCTGCCGTTCTTACGAGAATGAATGATCCAGATGAGATGACTCCTCAAGAGCTCCTTGAGGTAGACAAGCACAATCAGCAGGTCCGACAGAGATTTCTTACCAAAGGTGGACGACGTAGTCTTCGTGAGACCAGAAAATCAGAAGTGGAAAAGGCAGAGGAGCTTTTGGTTCGAGAGGAGAGCCTGAACGTTCGTCCAGGCCAGGTCAAAATTGATAGACATACTCTTGCTAGGATCAGTACCGAGTATGAGGGTGCCATCAGCCTACGTACTGACACAAGCAAAGAATCTATACTAGGTTTGTTTGACGAGATTCAGAAAGAAACTCAGAAAGAGCTCGGACCTATTCGTGCCCTCGATGAGGCTCTTGCAAGCATGAAAGACGAAGAACAAGCCAAGACCAAGGAGCTGGAAGCCCGACTAGTCCCAGACGTCGACAGAAAGCTCACTCAACTATCAGAATCGGAACGAGCAGAAGTGGACGCTCAAATGGAAGAGGAGAGGGCTCGGCGGAATGCAGAGGTTGAATCTCAAATGGCTGCTATGCAGGCGGAGGCCAGCAAGCAGATAGAAAGTCTCCAGAAGGAAATCGAGACGATCCCCAGCAGCGAGAAACACAATGCTAAAGTCATGCGCACCATTCAGCGCGAGGCAAAGTGGCAGATCGCTCAGCACAAGAGAAAGTCCTATAACAGCCCATGGGTTGGTCCTTACAACTCCGTGGGAACTGCAATCGAGCAAGGCTGTGCAGAAATACGTGAGCGTTGGGAGCCTCGTCTGAAAGAGCTGCGAGAGGCTGTGGAAGAGCTGAAAGAAGCGTGGAAGGATCCCAAAAATCACGAGTGCGATATCTTCTGGGCTGATATTCGCGATGCACACTATGCAAATGAATGGCCAGACTCTGTATACCACACCTTAATCGAGAACAAGGCTGTCACCCAAGAACGTGTTTCAGTTGTCCGACAGCATTTCCACTATGATGAGGAAGAATATCCTATTGCTGAGCAACGAGCTGAAGTGGCCATTCCGCGCTCGAACTCGGTCCATGTTTTCGGTACCGAAGTTCGTGGAGAGGTTGGTCGATATGTGTCACCGGAGGACACTGCTAGGACTGCTTTTGAGGCTCGAGATAGGAGGATCGATGACTGGACACAAACGACCATGGTTATGATTCGTGCGAAAATTGTGGAGCTGCGCGTAGCGTCGACTGAGTTGGAGGCAAGGTTTCGGGGATCAGAGATCGACGCTGAGGCTATGCCGTATCTAAACGCTGTACTCGAGCGTATCCCATTGGCTCAAGAAAGTTTTGATATTGCCTTGAAAGGTCAGGAGAGAGGCTCTGCCCAGGCATGGAGTGAAATGCACAGGTACTTGGACGAAGCAGAAGGTTACATGCCAGAAGCTCGTAAAGAAGTATTGAAAAGTGGAAGTGTCGTCGAGAAGGCGAGAGCAGATTGGTTGGAGAACCAGATTCAGCTCCTTCAACTACAGTGTCAGAACCCAGAGGCGGGAGAGAGTGCAGACCTGCTGGAGGACTACTTGAAAGTTATCGACGAACGAGAACAAATAATCCAGTTGTTCGTCAACAATGCCGAGAACCAGAGGGCTTACGACAGCTTGAAAAGTTTCGATGCTCAGCACGGCTACATAAGCGATGCTGCAGATACTGCTGAAATAGCCGAGATCAAGGACAGACTCGCGGAGCAAGAAGAGAGTTTATTCCAAACAAGGGCCAAAAGCATCGTCTCCCCTCAGGACGATATCGTCCAGCTCAAGAGACAATTAAGCAGATTATATGCAGATCAAACGGGGACAAGGGAGAGCTTGAGACAGAACCATGAGCTCTGGATGCATTTCAAGAGAGAAAAGGCGCCGCAGTCAGTGGAAGAAGGCGGCTTCGGAAGAGCTGGTGAGCCAAACATGCGCGGCGAGCCATCACAGGAGGCAGTAAAGAAGGCTGCTGAAGAGCCCAAGTTACCTTTCTGGAAGAGGATATTTGGACGCAGGTAATCGTGACGGGACGGGTGGTATTGATGAACGACTATTGTCCTATGTACTAACGCATGGTTGTGGGGCGGTTGTGTTGACAGCTGCTGTATGTGAAATACTGAAAGCTTGAGCGGACGAGAGAGCCTGTCTAGACATATTCGAGATAGATCCATGTACAAAGCACTTTTTTCCACCATTACCTGAAGATGAAATCCAGTACTGTGTCGATACCAATGATCATAACATAGCCACGATATAAACGACTTAGTCGGCGAGGTGTATGTCCCTCCTGAATCGCAACTCACGCAGGACAACGTAGTTCACCGAGCAGATTTGATAGATGCTGTTAATAAACGATGCGTTCGATGAGCAGAACTGCACTAGATTAGTCGTTAGATATACTGTACTCTCCTTAGACCCCTAATCCCAATCCAGGATATGGATCGGGATTGAGATTAGAATTGGCTTCGCGGATATGGACATGGATATGGATGTGGGATTGACCTTCACTGGATTAATTCAGCCTACGTACTTTGATATGCAATGCTCAACACGGAAAGATCTCAGAACAAGTACAAACGGAGGTTAAAATGGATCATGTTATTACATGCACATGCACTATGGCACTACTCATCCACCCCAAACCAGCCAAAACACCTTTCTAAGTAGGCTTTATATACAAACAGCAGTACTTCAGAGGAACTTCTCCCCAACCCATCCTTCGCTGAGCTCCCACAACTTTCTCGCCTTTTCTGCATCCTTTACCCACGGCTTCTGTTCCTCCTCCGCGAAGATTTGCGAATCCCTTAGGAATGCACCATTGTGACTGCTCAGCTCGTTTGCCAAACTCGCCACAAGCATCGTTGCGCAACCTTGCTCGATACTCTTCGGCGTCTCGGGCACATACTCGATGCCTTGCTTGGCGTACTCGGCTTTGGTCTCCTCGAGCGCTTTCATGAGTGATTCCATGTCAAGTTCTTTCATGATGCCGCTGCTCAGAATCACACCTGGATGCACCACATATGCCCTCAAGTCAAGACCTTGTGCAGAAGCTCGTCTGGCCAGTTCGGTGGTGAACATTACATTCGCGGTCTTGGCTTGTCCGTAAGCGAGCCACCTGTTGTACGTCTTTCCCTCGGAGAAGTTGTAGTCGTCGAAGAGGAAGTCGGAGCTTTCATAGCCCATGCTTGTAAGCGTTACGACACGAGCTGCTGGTGCGGCTTTCAGTAGAGGCAGCAGAAGTCCTGTGAGCAAGAAGTGGCCGATGTGGCATGCTGCTAATTGCATTTCGAAGCCATCTGCTGAGGTTTGGAAATTCTCCAGGGCCATGATGCCGGCGCTGTTGATTAGGACATCGACACGGGAGGTCAGTTTTGCGATCTCGGCGGCACAATTGCGGACTGTGTTAAGATTACTTAGATCGAGGTTGACGAAGGTTGTCTTGATTGAAGCGTTGGCCTGGGTAATGCGATCGATGACTGGTTGGATTTTCGACAGAGTACGTCCGAGGAGGATGATTTGTGCTGGTGGACTCGATGCTGAAGCTAGAGAAAAGGCTGCTTCGGCTGCTAGGGAGTCTTTGGATGGACCGGTAATGACGACTGATAACATATATGTTAGTGACTGATGAATGGATGGTAAGTATGGCTTCAAAGGGTGAACTTACATGTTTTCCCTGCGACTTGATCCTTCAAGGTCTCTACCACTTCAAGACCCGTGGTGTCTCGACTGAAGTTCTCCATAATACTTTTGGAAGTGTATGTGCAGATGTTGTTAGCTTTTGTCGAAGGCAGTATTGCTCGAGCTTTAGAAATGCCGATGTGACAAGTTTGAGCTCGATGCATGTCGCGTCGACATTGACAATGTTATATACACCATATCGTGTCTATGAAAAACGTAAACTGGTAAGCCGGTGCAATCGAATTGGCCATACTGTTCGTTCGGTGACGGACTACATTTCGGAGTGACTGGTTCTGATTGAGCGACGATCTCTGATCAAAGCAGATATCAGATCGGAATCAACTAATATTTGTTGTTCCATTCGCATCAGACCGCTCGAAGTCGGTGGAGAGATCTGCATCTCCGACAAAGATTCGACACAGAGAAGTAACAATGATGTAGGCATGTGTTTTCTGAAGTTGCAGCGGGCAAGGCCTGTCTTTCATGCGATTTGATCCGTCGTGCACGGAAGCGGGCAAACTGGACCACCTGAACACGTGCTGAAGTGGGCACGGGGGTATGATCAGTGAGCATTGATCACTACACAATGTATTGCCGCATAGAATTCTATCGGTGACGTATCGGCCGGCACTTTCTCACCATCAATGTGCGGCACAACCTTGGCCCGCTCCAAGCTGAATCATCCGACCTCTTCCTCACACTGCAGAAGACGGCAGACCTCATTCGTGCCAAAGGTACGTACTGTGCAAGCTCTAGACTAGTACTGCACGCGCATGAGATCTCTATTCTCAAATCGGTCATCATAAGCACAGGCTCATAAATGCATATGGGTCGTTTCAGTTCAGTGGCAGCCATGCGGCCTCGAGCTCTTCAAGGAGAGGACCTGGCATGCATTTAACAAAGAGAACGATTGCAATCAAGCTTGAATGGGTCTGACTTATATCAATCATTAAATTCGACCAGTATCAATTCTTCCTTCCTCATCCTATCATAGTGCTTCTACGCCTTATCCTAGGTCCATAAACAACCAGCAGTATTGGTCCGATGCTCACAGCGATTGCAAGAAATCCAAGTAAACTGCTTGCCCATGCAAAGCCCAGAACTGTATACATATCTCGTGTAGCCAATGGCAAGAAAGCAGCAAAGGTGTTCTCCCCAAAGGCAATAGCTGACACTGCACTGTTCGCATGTGTTGGGTAGCAGTCTGTAACGTAATTCGTTACAGCTTGGACAATGGCCATGATTCCAACGCCGATCAATAGGAGCCCTAACGTTGGAAGTGGCCAAGCATAACCTTGATCTGGTTGTGAAGTCCAGCCATAGATAAAGAAGCCAGCAGTCAGGCCGAGGAGTGATGCTGGAATAGAGGTGTACAGGCGAGCTTCTGGGTTGGGTGGTAGCTTGCCGGCCTTATTATTGTCGATCTCCTGCCTCAGTGACGGCGACTTTTCGTTGTCAGGGTGAGGTTCTAAGTCCTTTGAGCGACGCTCTGAATACTGAGGAAATATCACGAGGTCTTGAAACACGCATAGAATGAGGCCAATGGTCTCTCCTATGAAGAGAGCGACTTGGACGATGCCGCCTTTCGACGGAGACCACGAATACAGGGCCGTATAGACGAGTGGTATGGACTGTGTCATGATGAGAACAGTGCCGAACGAGAAAGACGACCACAGTGTGAAAGAAGACACCACGAACTCGGTGAGCAGCATCTTACTGGATCGCAGTATTGTTTCGTTGAGTGCTGACGAGATCCGGTTCTTGACTGGAACCTTGCCCTTCGAAACTCTAGGTCGAGTCTCGTGGAGGCAGAAAATGACAACCGGAAAAAACGCGCCGTAGATTACAAGCTGGATATAAGATATCCTGTGACATGGTTAGTATCGGCACTGTGAGCAAGACAATATAGAGGAGCAATATAGCTTGGATAGACGCACCATCTCCAGGACACAGACGCCAGAATCACTCCGCCAATTACGGCACCGATGGTCACCCCTCCAAGAAGCCCAAAGATAAAAAGAGTCAGGCTCAAGGACCTCCTTCTGGTGTCGTTGCCCCATAGATCCGCTGCCATGCCGTCCACAGCGTTCTGTAAAACTCCACCACAACTTCCGGCGATGACTCTAGCAACAAGGAGTGTAGCGAAATTCATGGCGACACCCTGAACCATCACAAAGACCAGAAACAAGGCGTATAGCGTGAGATATGTCGGACGCACGCCAAAATCTTCCATGGCCGGCAGAATGAATAGGGGGACGACTGCCGCACCTGCATTCCAGGCTGTCACGAGGAACGCGGTGTGGTCGAATGCAGTAAGGTCGACATCAAACCGGTGAGCGATGTCCTCGCTGGCAGGAAGTAGAGCTGTTGAATTTATGCCAACAAGGAAGGTGACGGTACACGCCGTTACTATCACCGTCCACTTCCTGCTATTTGACCATTCTGCTGCGTCAGTCCAGTCAGATGGGGCCATAGCACCAATGCTCCGAGTTATCGTGGCGACCATCCTTCACACCTTGTTTGTTCGGATTCTCCAGCGATCTCAAGGGGTCAACATCATGTTCCTCGCTGACGAGCTCCTCAAAGCCAGACTTTCGAATGCTAAGAATTTCGTGGTGCCACAACCATTTGCTTCATCACATCTTAGCACCTCGCCAAGCATGACTAATGACCTTTATTTTGATTTACACGGCTTTGCGTAATTAAGACATGACTTGAAGCTGTAATAGTGGCCAAGACAGATTTTTTGTACGTAACTTTGAAGCATGAACCGTGAAGCAACGTCACTGGAGAAAGCTCGTATCCGCTATTGAGTTTTGGCTTCGGCCATCGCGTCCACGGCATCATCCAGAGTCGCAAGACTCTATTGCAGTTGTCGTGAGACACAGTACGATGTCCTTGGTATCATGCTGTGCATCGAGGAATCATGCTCGCCTCGAAGTGTTGTGGGTTAACATGTTCAAGGGAGAGATATCTTTGGAGATGAGCATCGTGAGGTCAAAATAGCTGCCTCAGGCTTAAACGCTTTACAGAAATACGATCAGTACTCAGGCTATCGGAGTCCTCTCCGTCCTGTCAAATGGACTCTCCTTTATCAAAGAGCTCTTGCTCCGTCGAGGAAGATAGGCGTAGACAGTGTGCGGCTACTACACATGTTTTTCGGGTCACAGCGTAATGGTTACATCCCGACAGTCAGGGGGATTCTTCATATGCTTCGATTGAGTCGAATCACGTTTGTCTGCCTCAGACCTTCCTTGTTGCACCATCCATCCATGTACAGCCTGCAAAGTCCCGAGTGGAGCGTGCCCTGAAGCAGCAGAGGTGTTAAGAAGCCACCTGGCTGGCATTAACAGGACTCTCCGACTCGGCGTTTGATCATAGTTCCGAAACATGAATCAGTGTACCTACAGAGACCAAGAGCGTAAGTAAGGGATTGGTGGCTGAAAGGATTCATTCATTCACAAGCGCTTGCTTCGTAATCTTTATCATAGGCACGTTTGTATCTATATCCGCGGCTGACGTCAGGCTCGTCCATAGGATAGGAGCTGGATTTTTGAACTCATCTCGCCAGGTTTCCCAAGCGAACGTAGCTTTTCCTGTGTGGTCGAACGAGTCGAGTCCTGGATAGGCCACGTTCACCGCAGCGTCGACCTATCGGATCGGTAAATCTTTCATTTCAGAATTCGTGGCAGATGAGTCTGTGGTGGTAGTCATTTATTTAGACTCGTCATCGTTGATCTCCTCGATTTTGTTCTTACCTTTGCCAGCAGTCTTGTCATCTTCAGCCTCGGGGTCAGCAAGATCAGGCATCTCCTCGTCATCCTCGTCATCCTCGTCCTCGTCTTCACCACCCAAGCCCTCCATGCCTGGCATAGCTCCGCCAGCACCACCAGCGAGTTTCGAAAAGTCGATGCCGCCAAAGCCACCGTCCTCACCCATACCTCCCATACCACCCATGCCACCACCACCGAATTTGTCCATGTAGTCGTCTTCAGGTGCCTCGTTCTGTTCATCTTCGTCAACCCACTGATTCCAGCTGTTAGCAGCGTTCCTTCAATATGGCAAAACGTGAATATACCTTGTCAAAATCAGTCCTCAGGAAATGGGCCTTCTTGTCAGTCTTGAGCAGTCGCGGCCAGAACTCTTCCTTCATTTCCTTCTTTCTCAAAACCATTTGGATGTTGGCAGCAGTATGATGTGTCTTCGATGCTGAAGGATCAATCTCGGCGTAGAATTCCAGCTCGACATGATAAGTGGTCTTCTTGGAATCTGAGGTACCAGTGAAGGTAAGCTTTTCTGGAGTAAGATCGAGCTTTAGAGATTTTGGCGGTACATCGGGTACACCTATTGTAAGGTAGACGTAGTTCTTTTCAGCATCAGTGCTGGAGGATCGTTGCGCCCAGAGGACTGTGATATCAAGTCAATTACCGTCACCGCTTCAAGTCAAACCAGGACAAGGCTCGAAAAGTTCCAGTACTTACCTTCTGGGGTTTGCTGAGTGGTCGACATAGCCGGTCTTATGCTCGAGTAGTTAGGTGGTCGATGTAGGTATTGTTCGTACTTGGTCGAGCAGGAGATAAGGCTTGTAAGAAATCGTGCGATCGCTGTATGTCTAATTGTGCAGGTGTGAGCTGTTTTTTGTTTGGCAATCGCAAGGCTAGTAACTTGGGACTATCCAATTCCAGTACCACGGAATTCCAACGAATCACATAGAATGAATCCAGCTCATCAGGCAGCAAGTTTTGTGCGCTTTCTGAGCTCGGCCGAAGATCATTCAGGCCTCAGCGACGAAATGTGAAGCCCAAAATTCCCCGCGCCCCCACTAACTGTTTGGCCAATTGATGCCTATGAGATCAGAGCTCAGCCCTAGCGCTGCCGATTTGTTGTTCTAACAATTCGTGCCTGAAAGAGCCGCATGTGAAGCCATACTTTGTATTAGTGTGGTATAGCAGAATGAGAAGGTGCATACACCTTTTAAGTCGACTGTGACAGATGCGCCTTCGCGGAGCAGTGGTTGTCTGAACCTCGAAACTGTAAACAACTGGAATACCAACCAATATGCAGACCATTCGATCTGTCTTCTTCAAGCCAGATCCCGCGGAGCAGGTATATACACTTCATTTTTGAGACTAATGATCTCTAAACCTTCCACAGAAGCGAAAATGCGACGCCTTAATACGCAAGAACGTCCGCGCACTAGATCGCGATATCCAGAATATGAAAATCACAGAATCCAAAACTCGAAACTACATTCTACAAGCCTCGAAACGAGCAGAACGTAATCCAGCACAGGCGAAACAAGCGAGACAGGAGTGCAGAACTTTCGCCAAAGAGTTAGTCAACGTCCGACGGCAGGCTGGCAGGCTACATACAAGCAAAGCTCAGCTGCAGAGCGTACAGATGCAAGTTAACGAGGCATTCTCGATACGAAAGATCGAGAACAGCATGAAGGTCAGCTCGGGAATTATGAAAGATGTCAATACTTTGATCAAGCTCCCTGAACTTTCCGGTACTATGAACGAGCTAAGCCAGGAATTGATGAAGGCTGGCATAATCGAAGAAATGGTAGGAGACATGCTAGAAACTAACGAGCTGCTCGAGGAAGACGAAGAGGCCGAGGCTGAGGTTGACGCTGTGCTGAGCGAGGTCCTGAAGGGCAAACTTGGTCCGATCGATCAGCAGATGCCGGCGATACCTGCGCAGGAAGAGGAAGAGGCGGAGGTGGAGGATCTGGAACAGATGAGAGGCAGGCTAGAAGCTCTGAAGAGCTAGCAGACGGTGACGGTTTCTCAGCGGGCGCATATGAAGGTGTTTGGAGTTTTCTGGTATCAGCATTATTTCCACGAGGGCCGTCGTCGTTTGTTCCAATCGATCTACAGCATGCACTTATGTAGTGCTCACATTATGTGTTCGAGATCGTCCATGCGCAGAATTCCTATCAAGATTCAGATGTCGTGAACGTAAAGAAGCGCTTGGCTGAACACCTGATATTGAACACAGATCAACTCGCGTTGAAACTTATAATGCGTTTATATACATTGCACGATATCGTGCCAGTCCAATGTGCCGGAATAGATGTAGATCAGGTGTAATTGCCCGGCAACTGTTTACCACATCATGAGCAATATGAAGCACGATGCGTGCAAACCACTGCAGAACTCAGAGAACTTGCAATTTGCTCGCCTTCCGATCTGTTATTTGACACGGTAAACACTCAGAACGTTCTCATCTAAGATCCGTGGAAGCAGAATCACGTTATTTCGTACGATGTTGACGGTGATGAACAAGTGAAGAATGAAGAAAGCACACTGACAAAGGAGCCCCTGAATTGGCCTGGTTTGACGTTGCTGCCTTGCTGTTTGCTTGGGCCAACCTGCATGCGGAAAGCTTGACGTGCCAGCAGTGTCACTTAGTACATTCTTTCCCTCCTTCGTTTTCCTTTATCACCAGGCAGCCACGTCGTGCATCCAGCTATCCTTTCGAACTTCTGTTGCGCTCTGAATTTTCCCATCGCTTTACACTGTACCATATTCCAACCACAATTTTCGACTTCGCGACTTTTAAACAATCCCTCTCGACGCGATCACTCGCCTGACGCCAGAACAACATACACCTTTACCCAATCAATCCTTTAAATCCTTCTATTCTCAATCCGCATATCTCAATCAACATGTCTGCGCGAATTGACCAATCCCTCGACTCTATCATTGATGGTCAAAAGAAAGCAAAGCGATCTGGACGTCGCAACCAGCCTAGAAAAGCGCCGGTCGGAGGTGTGAAGAAGGCAGTGAAGCCCATGAAACCAGCAGTCAAGCCTGCTACTGGTCCTGCACACAAAGGTCCGAGGAACAGCAAGATTCTCGTCAGCAGACTACCGCACGATGTCAATGAGACTCAGATCAAGGTATGTTAACCAATCACTTCTCGATTCGACTCAGACACACGCGACTTCTTGATCGTTGTTCCGACTCTTCATCCATCCTGGTCCTCAACCGCGTGAATCCATTGGAAACTGAAAGAGAAGGGCCTCTGAGCACTGCCGACACGAGTTGTCATACATCAAACGACGTGCGCCATGCTGAGCCTGCTTGATGTCGGAGAACTTGGTCAGAGCAGCGTGATACACGGCCCCACCTGTAACGTACTACAGCGGTTCTTCCTTCTTCCATCGTCATCGATATCTCGACTATTGCTACGTTTTCCGTGTTAGCAAGCATGAGCATTGACCTATGCCGTGTGTTACCAAGATTTGAAAGATGGGGGTGTGGTTGCGGTTTGAAGAAACACGAACTCACAGCAATTTCTATTGCCCTTGAGGAAGTGTCTCCGAGCTCCATCGCTGCTGACTTTTTGGTCGCAATGTTCCACCGAATCAGCCTCGGATCTTGCGCAATTTCCACCTGCTGGGCTGATGTGCGATGCGGAGAGGGTCAATCTTACTGCTTCGCCATCCTGATGACACACTTGCACGAATCTTCGGAGAGCAGCCATACTGATCACATCTTCCATACAGGAATATTTCGGCAAATCTGTCGGACCTATCAAGAAAGTCTCTGTGCACTACAACGAGCTTGGTGTAAGCAGAGGAATCGCAGACGTTATTTTCGTCAAACCAGACTCTGCTGCTAAAGCTGCACGCGAACAGGATGGTATCAAAATCGATGGAAAAGCAATGAAGGCAAGCACCATCTGCTCCTTTCTTCACGGCACTTTCTGATGGGTATCTAGGTTGAGGTGGTCTTCGATGCTAGCAACGTTCCAGCTGCACCCAGCCTCGCTGAACGTGTTGCGTACGCCAACCCGAAGCCAGGGAAGTCAGATCCACTGACAAAGACTAGTGCCAACTCAAAAGCACACCCAAAGGCGCAGCCAAAATCAGTCACTGCCAAGAAGGTCGACAATAAGAACAAGAAGGTCGTTGGCAAAGACAAGCCGGCCAAAAAGGCCAAGAACGCGCGACCAAAGCCAAAGACCGCTGAGGAACTCGACGCTGAGATGACTGACTATTGGAATGGCTCGAACGCTGCGGCTGCCACAGAAGGTGCTGCTACTAGTGCTGCAGCTACTGCAGGGGATGCTATGGAGGAAATTTCTGTAAGCTCGGAGATAGATGACTTGTTTGAGCCACGCTAATATTTGGCAGTAAAACTCGAAACTTCACAGCTTCTGTCAGCACCGACGACCACGACGGCACGACAGATTGTACCAAAATGCAATTTCTTATGCAAACGCAATGGGATTATTGGCCTAGGATGGAGAAGGAGCGGTTTCTTGGACGACCACTGATAAGCGCCATCGACAACAAAGACAACCTTACACTGAATGAGTCAATCCGAACCGGTACGACATCGATCGACGCCATTTGAGAGCTTCTTGAAGCTGGTCTTTACGAGATAGCACAATAATTGCTTACCGCATAATGCACCTTCGCTTTTCTTTTTGGATGGTCTGGGGATGACCGAGGCTCTTCCGCAGCCTGTATACAGCTTCATCCGAACTCGCACGAATAGAGTTACCCTCTTCGGTTGGCACAAGGTTGCAAGGCGGGCTACGTTTGTCTTCGGCTGTACGCTGTCAATGGCACAAGCACCTCTTTCGAAGCTAGACGAGTATCTCTCTCAGCTTCTGCAAGAAAGACTTCATTATACATTGAAGTCTCCTGGGTTCGCCTCACTCGCTTGCATCAGCAAAGCTCTAGCTTGATGCATTCGATGTTGCCGAGGTGTGCCTTTGACACCCTGGCACAAGACTAGTCACAGATGTGATGTGTCCGATATGCCTGTTGTGCAGCCATCATAATGTGCCAACCTGAACGGAAATTCCTATCTGCGATGTGCTCTAATCTCGAGTGGATTCCCGAGGCAGAGATTCACTTCTCAGCCTGAGCCAAAGTAATAGCAACTGTGCTGTCTCGGACCGGCTTGCCCTGAGTTGGCCACGATTTCCTCGACTCCAGATGGATACTTGTAGTTGAGGTCAGCTCTGACCTCAGGTTTGTCTTTCGTCGCCTCCTCCTGCGAATTGTTTCACACTGATCTTCAGCTTACAAAAGTCTATGCCTTTCGATTTTGTCTACACAGCACTTTCGACATGAATGTCAACGTTTGCACGACATGCACAGCGACAAATTGCCTTCTCAATGCGCCACTGTTCAGCACTGAGCTGAGCTGGATGTAAGACACACTGGATTCGAACATAACCGCGAGAACGATCGATAGCGGCTCCTTCATCATGCTGACGCCACACTTTGCCGCCAACAACCAGGCCACAGTAGATGCTTTCCTCAACCACGCTCACTACTCCATTTCTCAAAGCACAGAAGACACCACATCATCTCATCTAGCTGGACGGGACGGTTACCCCACTACATCCACAATGTCATTGTCCATGTGGCATTGACTACACTTTTTTTCGTTGATGTCCTTGCCTGGAGCAAGACTTCAGAGGAGAACACACCACAACTTGCAGCAATCTCCGGACTGCAGTCAAATACAAACACTCTGCGTTGTTCCTGCCACGTTTCACGTAAGTATTGCCTTCTTGCGGTCGGAGTAGTCCTGCTAAGCAACGATGCAGGCTCTGCGTCTCTCCTTGCGATAACCAGTACGCAACTAAAAAGTCCCCGAAATTGCACGGATTCGAAGACTTCCTCACCGGGAAGGTGCTGGAAAGCGACTGCGATCAGTGGTAGCTGACGTCATATTGCTCGTGCATATTGTCTGGCGGCACTGTCTACCTAGCAGAACAGAAAAAGTTACAAAGACTATTATCGATCGGCGAGAACTGGGAAACACTACGAACAGCACTATATTCAGCCCGAACATGCCTCAAACCACCCACCCATACCATTCACCATCCACTGACGTCGCCATCGAACTCGACCCCCAACACAACGGCCTCATAGTTCAAAAAGCCTTCCTTTACGAAAGCATCCTCAACTTCACAGCCTTTCCACTCCTCACCAATACCCATACCGTACTATCTCACATCCTCAATAACCCGTCCGCACACATCACGCCCGCGACGATTCTCTGGACGAGGTTCTGCGCCGCGATTGTGGTCGTTGGGTTCGGGACGGCGACGTGGATTGGGTCGCGGAATACGAAGGCGGGGATCGAGAGTCGGAGGGTGGTTTATCTGATGTTGGGCGGGATTGAGGCTGTTTTGTTGGGGGTTGTGGCTGGGGAGGCTAGGAAAGGTGGAGGGGACGATGCTGCGTTGAGTGTTAGGGCGTGTTTGGGGGTTGTGGGTGTTTTGGTGCCGGTTTTGTGTTTTAGAGTGTATGCGTTGTTTGGGAGGCCGGAGATGATAGGAAGGTATAGAGAGGTTAAGCGTGAGTGAAAGGAGCGTGGGTTGCGTAGGATCATGTCGCCGGTAAAGTTGTGATTCAGATTAAGAGGAACCGGACTTGCAACAAAACTCGAGGGAGATCGAGATCATGCTGAAATTCGCGTAAAACTATTGGTGCTCGGCTCACATGTCTATGTCTTGATTGTCTTTCAGATATACTGTGGACTGGAAGCAAAGCAAGCGCAAGGTGCGACCATTGATACAAGTCCCTCTAGGCACCTTTTTCGCACAACGTCTGATCAACAACATCGTCACATAAATGACGCAAACACCAGTCGCCTAGCAGCGTTTTTCTTGCGTAAAACTGCGAACCAGGACCCCGGAGATACTCTGCGTCCAGATAGTTCGCAAGACTTTGTTCGAGATGATGTAGCACTGGTATCCTCCGCCTATTACTCAGAACTGTAGTCATTCTACCTCTCTTTTACTCCACACGTATCGCTGGGGCGTCTTGTATGGCTGATTTTGATGTCATGGTCACCAATGCTCATCCGTACAGGACCAAGGCCAGGAGATCTTATGAATGCCTCAATCGTTTCCCCAGCTCGCTCGTCCGTGATCATGAAGTTGATGCTGTATCCTTCCACGTTTCCTGGGGCTGAGGACCGCCTTGTTTGTCTAGTCGGAAGCTCCAGATGATGCCCTCTCACTTCCTGTTTATCTGGCAGGGGCACGACTGTAGTAGGCTTTGCGTGCCTCGTAACACCGTCGTCGTGGTCATAAGGTACAATATAGCTAGTGGGATTCATGCCGTCGAAGTCGTCGTCCACAACATGTACCTGAGGAATATCTCTATCTGCTTTCTTCCTGAACAAGGTCCTACGAACAGCATTAGTATGAACACCCAAATCGTCTCCGGCACAAGGCGTTGGAGGACCATATGAGTCGCTCAATGTTGAGACACTATTCGCTGATGTGCTTGGAGTCAAAGGAGGTGGTGTCTCTGAGAATGCATCATCATGTGCATCAAAGACTTGCCGAAGTCGAGCCCTTGGCGGTGTCAAAATTGGATGTTCGAGCAGTCTCATGCCAGCAACCTCTTGTGCCAAGTTGTCCATAATCTCCAGTGAAGGTCGTGTTGGTGCCACTGTGGATACCTCTTTACTGTTGTTGAACTTCCGTGTGCAGTTCTTTTTGTCGTCGCAGGCACACCAATCGTCCTGAGGCGGACGATTGGGGGCACTTCTGTACCATGGTATCTGGATTGAATTGAGTAGAAAGTTGTTCTCGAGTGTCGGTGCATAGACGTTGTAACGCACAGTGTCGAACTCGCCGTTTGTGGAGGAGTAGGGCTTATACTGCTCAAGCCAGTCGATCCAGTACTCCACCACGCTTGTTGCTCGGTCTCCGTCTATGGCAAACCACTCCTTGTGCTTCTCTTGACAGAGTTTGCTACCACAGCGAAAAAGTCGCTGAGATCCTTGTATAATCAATTCGGCGTGTATCAATGCCTCTACTCGCAGAGCACAATCTGTTTGCCACTGGTCGTACGACTCGAATATCATGTTGCATTTCTTTTCAATCTTGCGTAGTCGAGATGTAGCTGGTTCTGTTTTGCTGAAGCCAACTTTGAGGACATTGCTGGCCAGCTCATTCTGAGTATTGGGTTTGCCTTTGGCCCAGTAAATCCAACCTCGCTCTCTCTCACCTCCGCCTAATCGCTTGGTCACATCACCGAGCATGGAGCAGATTCGACCTCTTTGGCTGTCATCAGAAGCTGGTAGTCGAAAATCCAGGCGGAATCGTTGAGTAAGCTTCACATATTGCGGATTTCCCTGCGCTGACGAGAGTTCCCTGTACTTGAGTCTGCTTTCGAGTGTGTCTGATGTGCTACTGAGTCTGAGATGGTGCTTGAAGCACGACTTGAAGGAAACCCGCATTGAGTTGACCAAATCTTCAGTGGCCTGGTGTAAGCTTTGCGAGTGCCTAGTTTTGTCATTGCTGCAGTGTTGTGGCTGATGCCATACACACAGCAAAAGACACACATAGGCTTGGACGTGCTGCAGGAAATCCTCCTCGAAGGGGTTGCGATCCAGGAGAGCTACTCTGCGCATTTGGATTCCTATCCAGCTCTTCTCGCCAATGATTGACTTGCACGGGCCGCCATCTGCTTGTTTTCTACCCCGACAATACAAAACTAACTTTCCTCCGTGCCTCGTGTCTAGCACAGGCGACAATAAGCCTAGGTTGTCCTCTATACAGGCTGGAGCTCGGTCTGTTAGACTCATCGTGTGTTCCCGGAGGGTGTTGGCACTGAAACTCTGTAGTAGAGGAAGAGTACGCAGGGACTCGTTGGAAAGATCGCAAGATAAAAGCAGGCAGACCACTTGGACCAGGGGCGCTAGAGCTGTGCAAGAGCTTCATAGGGTCGACCAGCTGGTTTAGAGCTTGCACGCCATCAAGTGCACCATTTGCGCGGAGACGGCACATAACAAGAAGAGCTTCTGACGGTGCTACTATGTGCAAGCATAGCTCCATATTGAGCAGGCATACAGGTCTTGGTTTGGGCCAGCCAGTCGGTTAGCACAAACTTTTTGTACAAAGATCACAGGGCTAGCAGGTCGAGGCCAGCATCGGGACAGGTATTGCCTGGCCTGTAATAGGCATAGATTGGGGGCGATGTGGTCGTAGAACAGCATGTGCAGACGACCAGCTCGATTCTATAGCATTGGAATCCCTGTTGTGGCTTGCATGCCGGATGCGTTGAACCGCGTGACTGGAGACGCTAGCTCAGGAGCTGCAACACCTCTGTTGAGGCTATGGACGAAGGGTTGGGGGTCCTTCGAGGGTCAAAGTCTTTTCGTTGCTTCAGTCCGATACAATGACAAGCTGTTTTTCAACATAGCAGTGTGTACGCATGTAGTCAGAGATTTCTTACCAAGAACGAAGCACGAGGTTGGCCGGGCCATGCCGAGCGCTTGCAGCCTTGGCACTTGCAGTAGCTCACCTCCCTGTTACGAGTGGATATCTGAGCCGTGCTTGAGAGTAGAGTAGATTTGCAGATCAGAGGCCTGGCGGGTACACGACCTTGCAATCTGCCTTGTCTCTCCAGTATAGCGTCGATGCCTGCCAGGCAAGCAGATAAACGAGTATACGATTGCCCGCAATCTGCCTTGTCTTGGCACGGGTATTAGCCTTGGGTAGGTTTCACTCATGCGAGTGCGGATGCGATGCGGACTGACACGGCTCGCTCAAGGTATGGTTCTGTCCCAATTCCGCGGTCATGACGTGGGATATCCAGGGCATGTGTGGTCGAGTCAGCTTCCTCCTCTCAGATGTGCATTAAAACGGTGGAAGATGGAGATGGGCTTGTTGTGTCGCTGTCTTGCTTGCTATTGCTACTCATATGATCCTCATGCTTCTTGCGCCTCTAGCTGTGGCTCAAGGACATAGTATATGCTGTAGGAAGAGGCACCATAGTATTTAAATTGTGTTTCTTTTGCCCTGCTTTTAAAGTGGATAGACACAAGTAGTTCACTGAAACTGCAGACAGTCCCGGGTTTTGCTGTTCGACGAAGACCTTGTCGAATATGCCAAAAAGCTGGCGACTTGGTCTCTGTCCTTCGACACAATGTTTTAACAAGATACGCATAGCACTTGTGATCACAAGAACAACAATGTATGAGGTTAACAGGACTGATAAGAAGTGACGATGTCTGAAGGAGCACAGCTTGTGCGACTGCTTGGGCAGCGAAAACGTTGCGTATTGTGCAGTAACCGATATTGTATGTTTTATGTCTGAAGATAATGCTGGAAAGGCAGCGTGATACGAAGACAAACTTGCAGTATAGCATTTATCGTCTGAGGTCTGGTTCAGCATCGAAAGTAGACGTCAAATGGATAAAATGCAACTGATAGTTCCTGTCAGGAAGAAGCTGGCGACCAGTGCTGACCAACTTGGACCACCAGCAACCTTGTTATAGTTTCAATGATTCCTGCTTGATGTAACAAGAGCTCCACCACATTTCAGAATGACGCAGCCTGAGTCCATACAGGCGCCTCGGATTGAGCAAGCACCACCTACCAATACTGACAATTCGTAACTTCCAACTGCTGAACATCACGTCCAGGATCTTAATCGCGAACAACCACGATCTTATTGCGATCTCGGCAGCTACTTCGAAGGCGCACTACAGTTCTGGTTACGGCTTGATCAGACTTCGCGAAGTCAGTTCACCATGGCCTCAAGTTCAGGTCCAACCCATTTACTATAGTACGTCGTCCTGCATCCTCAGTCGTTCAAGGTCATGACCTGCTAACTTCCCTGTCAGTGCCTGTATAGCTCACGGCACCACGATCCTGAGCGAACATACTGCTCCAGGTACAAGCAGCACCAACGCCTCCTCATTAGCCTCCATCATCCTTCCCAAAATCAGTCACACCTCGCCTCAGAAACTCACATATACCCACGACAAGCTCTTCGTACATTACATCGCAGATTCGCCTTCTTCCTCTTCTTCTGGCGACGCGGAACTCTCATCACACGCCGCTTTGACCTACCTTGTGATCGCGCCCAGCGAACTCGGCAGGCGCATTCCGTTTGCCTTCCTCCTTGACTTGAAGAAGAAATTTCTCGCTGCGCATCCTCCTTCAAGCACGAACTACGGCAGTCTTCCGGCTTACGGCACAGCTGCTTTCAACAGCACTCTTAAATCACTCATTTCAACCTATAACGTTGCACCACCACAAGACTCTCTATCTGCAGCGCGCAAGGAGATTGACAATGTGCGCGATATTATGACAGAGAATATTGAACGAGTGCTTGAACGTGGAGAGAGGATTGATCTTCTGGTAGATAAGACGGATCGTTTAGGAGGAAGTGCGAGAGACTTCAGGGTCAGGTCAAGAGGTCTGAGAAGGCAGATGTGGTGGAAGAACGTACGACTGATGGCGTTATTGACGGTTGTCATTGTGTTCTTGATATACTTGTTCGTTGGGTTTGGATGTGGTCTGCCCAGTTTTCAGAAGTGCAGAGGGAAATAAGCAGGACAATTTATTAGGTCGACAATGAACGGAACACATATCCCTTCTGCAAGTAGAGGTGCGGCCAAACAGGCCGTCGCGTTGTTTCATACTTGTGAGCAGTATGGATCAACATCGTCCTTCCGACCCCAAAGATACTAAATTGCATGTTGGCGATGGCTACAGCGTTGACACGTCATTCAGTGTTTTGGGCGTTCGGCGAGTTCTATAGCAATACGATACATGAATACTTGGATATGTGGTTATCAACCTCTCGTCCACGGAGCCAGCTTTGTGCATTATTATCACATACTGTACTATGCCAATATTTGAGGAGAGACGAAAAGCCAACATTGCAAAAGCACTGGATATTGATCAAGAAGCAATAGTCGATCGAGACGACGACGAGGGATCGCTATCAGTGTACCACTGTACTGCAATGTGTCGATCCAGAGATCTCCTAATTCTTATGGCCCCGTCTTTCTGGGTGCTTGGCCGTTGAAGTTGAATATACTGCCATTTTAGTAAGTCCGAATCACATCTGATACGAACCCTGAATGTCAAATGTAGGCGCTCGCGGTCTATTAACCTATGTGCAATCCTGGCAATGACAATCTGTACGGCTTGAAAGAGACAAGGGCTGTGTGTATCATTTGAACTTTATTAACTTATTAGGTAGTAGTGGTAGTAGTGATATCTTATGTATACATCCCGACTCCCTTCATCGTCAATCATCATAACTCGTCAGATACTGTCGATTCAATCTTTCTCATTGTTATACAAGAGGGTATTTGTCACGGTAAGAAACAGTATGCAAGTGGCACGATTGTTTAGAATCGACCATCAGCAGTGGTTCTATCGTGGAAGGTACCCTGATTCAGGCCTGGCGTTGGTGCTTGATGCATGTGCTGGCCTTGACCAATAGCTGAGTGATTCTGACCGTAGCCTGGCTCACCATAGACTGGTGAGCCTGATCTGACGTGACCATAACCCTGTTCACCGTACTTGGGCTCAGGGTAGTGAGTGTTGTTGCCTAGAGTAGTGCTGGTCTCGTGGCTAGGTCTAACGGCGGTACCATGAGGCATAGCAGTCATGGCGCCGACAGTTTCCGCGTCCTTGGTGTGTCGGTTCTTGTTGCGTCGACCTCGCTTCCAGAAAGGTGTCTTGCCAGTGCCCGAGGTGTAGTTGTTGGATGGGCTTGGGCCGAACTTCTTCTCCTTCTTGTGGTGTCTGACCATCAGGATCTGCCAGACAGCAGACAGAAGGAAGAGGAAGATGGCAATGATGGCACAAGCGAAGACGACCCTGTTGAAGATGCAGGCTGTGTGTAGGCTCGAAGCATATGTCAAGTTCTCGCCGCTGCCAGCTCCGAATCCGTCACTACCGTAGCCACCAAGAGTTGAGGACGCTGAATCTCCGTCACCAAGCGGTGTTCGTACGAAGCCGTTGCAGCTGTTTGTACCCTCGCGTGTATAGTAGGCAACAGCAGCGAAGCATCCGACAAAGAGGATATCAAGGAAAGCGCCGAGGTAACCGAAGAATGATTTACCACCCAGGAAGAGGATGAAGACGCAGGCGAGAAGCGCGTACAGAGTCGCCGCACCTGTCATACCCTCGACGGCGAGCCATTTGTTGAGAATGCTGATGTTGCGATCTGCAAGTACCGAGAGGAAATAGGAGAAAAATCCCAAACAGATACCTGAGACGCAGAACTGGAGGATTCGAATGAAAAGGCCGCCGAAGCGGAGGAGTGCACCACCAAGGGCCATGTCAGGCTAGTAGGGGAGAGATATGAGTAGATGGTACGAGCGTGGCTAAGCGTGGCTGATGTGGTTGAAGCACAATCTTGAAGGGGAGGATCAGGTTATGTACCTTTCTACACAGCACACGACGTAATGAGTTTTCAATGTCGATGATGCATATGCTAGGGCGTTTGTTGACAAAACCTGCAGGTACTCAGCGCAGATCTCATGCCAGAAATTTCGCTACCTCGCGAATGACGTAGAAAATCACCGAAATGACCAGAAGCAAGCAAGGCAAATTTGATGCCGGCCCAGGTCAGCCAGTCGGATGTGATGGAGTCGAAGTTCATCAGCCACAGATGGCTTTGGTCTGAAAAGCTGAAAATACTGGTTGGAAGCACCGCGATGCCCACAAGACCGGCTATCTATGGATTGTGCTTGGCGGCCTTGACTTTCGGCGAAAGGTGACTTATTGCAGCCTCATGCTCCAGACCAGTCCAGATCCACAGGAAAAGTTCGTTGAGTTGCCCACACTTCCGAAAAGCTCGCCCAGGAAGTCAACACCATCACTCGCAATCATTGTTGTAGAGAGAGAGTTCGTAAACATGACGTAGCTGCAGCAGTCAAAATTCGATTGGCTTATTCTGGGGCAAGAGAGCAACGATCGATGGTGTTTGCTCATGTGTCCCCAAGCTGGTTTTGCTCGTGCACCATGTGGCTGGAACTTGTTTTTCCTGCGTTTGCAACGCCAAAAATCTTGCATCAACCAGCGCCACGACTACCTGCAGTGCTGCAATGCGCGCCACCACAGCTAGGAAGCAGTTACGATCGCGCGCATACCCGCTCGTCATGGATAAGAAGAGTACGGTACTCCAACAGTGCAGTTATTCTCCATCCTGTAAGCAATCAAGATTGAGCATTGCACAGACGGCACCCCTGTCGAACATTCTTCCAGTATTATCACCAAAACACTGTTATGAGATGTTTGTGAAGAAACTAGTAGCGCATCATACAATGCTCGAGTAGACAACACTGAACCTGTTCGATCGATGTTCAATCTTCGTCGTCCTCAGCATAATTGACTACGGCCTTCCTTGTGCCTCTTGAACTTTGCCTTTTTGACAATGTCGGCTTCGTAGTTGCTACTGACTTGGTTACCACTTCCTCGCCATCACTGAAATCTGGCATGCTCACATCGTCGTCGTGCTCGTCCTGCTCACTCGTGCTAGGCGTAGGCACAGCAGTTTTCGCGTTCTTCTTGGCCTTAGCAGCAGGACCTGCTCGGGCAGGCTTGGCTTTGGACGTCTTACTCTTGTCATAGACCGACTTTGTCTTTGCAATTTCAAGAGCAGGTGTCGCTCCTGTATCCGATGCACTCGCAATGGACGCATCTGTGCCATTCGGTGCATCAGCACTTGCCTCACGTGCAGCCTGCCATGCAGCTTTCTCCGCTCGTCTTTGCGCAGCCTTTTCTGCTGTTGTTTTGGCTTTCTCTGGATCCCGTGGCTTAACCTCACGTTTCTTTGGACGTAGCCACTCTTCGAAGCCTACGTGCCAGTAGACCCGGCCGTCTGGGCCACCCATTGCTACCTCGTCCTCTGGTATGATTGGAGGAGGTTGTGGTTCGGCCTCCTCTTCCATTTCCTCCTCAGCAGCTGCACCTTTCTTCTTTTTGGGTGTCTTCTTTTTTGGCGGCTTCCACGCCCTGTTCTCGTCGCTGCGAGTGTACGGCACGATATCACCAATCTTTTCATGACCAGGTAACCTCAATGTACGCATAACCTCAAAGACCGCCTGCTCTTTGTCCTTGGCCTCAATCATCAAGTCCATGTCTGGTGCGCACGGTGGTAGAGAGTAAACCCGTGGACTATGCTTACGTCGTTGTCGATCTGTGACAGCACCTGGACATGGTTCTGAATAATGCATCTTCTGTGTTATTCCCTTGCGAGTCCACGTTGCTTTGATGCGATCGTACAGATTCATAATGTCAAGTGTGCCCTCGCGCAATTTATCCTTGTCATACAGAATATTATTGTGATGATAGTCGAGCACCATGGGAATGTTGAGCTCTTCGCATACTGGAAGCAGATCGTGCACGGTATAACAAACGTCGTCGTTTTCAAGAACAAGTCTATTCTTGATGCCCTGAGGTAGTTTGAGGTAGTTTTCCCTAAACCTCTGAATTGTGGCCTCTTTATCACCGAAAACACCTCCCATATGCAAGATCATAACGGCATCCTTGTTGAGCTGCGGAGGTAATTTCAACAGATCAAGTAACTCGCAGTGGTACTCCAAGTCTCGAATCGCAGCTGTAATGACTTCAGGTCGAGGTGAGCCAAGCTGTGTAAATTGACCAGGATGTGTCGTTAAGCGATGGCCAAGCTCTCCAGCAACTCGTCCCGCTTCCGCCAAAGCCTCAGATGCAAACGGCGCGAGTTTGTAACCGTACACATCATGTGAAGCAAATGGAAACATCTCAGAGGACAAGCGCAGGAATTTGATGTTGTACCTGTCGTTCCAACGAAGCATTTTTGGGATATCGTTGGCGTTCGCTACACCTAGTGCTTCCACGTATGCTTGTCCCCGAGCGACATCCGCAGGTTGATCTTTGTCAGGTCGATTCTTCGTCGCGTGTTCGGGCTGCGAGGGATCTTTGAGAGGATGTCTATGCTCAAGGATGGAAGCTATGCGACAGGTCCGAGAGGAGAAGACAGGGGGTGTGGCTTGTCGTAGATAAGTGTTCAGACAGGCATAGCCCAGTCGACCTTTCCATGGTAGAGGTAAATAGGAACTATTGGCAGCAGGTGGTCTTGACATGGCAAGCTTGAGTTCTTCAGGATCCACCGTGTCATCTTCATCTGCTTCGGGATCGACCTCATCTTGAACTTCTGCCTTGACTGCCTGCTTCTTCTTGCTCGCAGGCTTCGCAGGTGGAGGCTTAGCAATTATGGCCTCGTCGACGTCGGAAAGGTCAGATAGCGGCGATTCCGAGTCCTCGGCCTTGATGTTTTGCTTGGACGGTGTTTTCACCACATCACCGTTGGTTGCAGCTTTCTGTTTCACGGTCCTTTTCACTGGCTTTTTCTTCTCGCGTGTCTCCGCGTCCGGAGAGGACAACCGAGCATCGGGACCATCCTTGATGTCCGGATTCTCATCGGGGTTCACGTCGACGTTTTCTGCGGGTGGTGGCTGCCCTCGTCTGGTACTAGCTCTTCGAACAGGCGCAGGCGGCTTTGAGAAAGCGATGGACGCAATATCTGTAGCCAGATGGGACAAGGAAGGAGCTATGGTTTGCTCCTGGGCCTCGGATCGCTTTCTCTTGGCCATACTGAAGGGTTTGTTGTAACCGGGAAATCTTGAAAGCCTCCCACTCAAGCTTGCTCCTTGATATTGGGACAAACAAAGAGTCCGTGTTGAGGCTCTGTGCAATATTGAGATCGACTGGAGCTTGCCAGTATTCAGAAACCTTACTAGCATTCGTTTGATGTGAAGTAGTAACAATTACACTCTGGAAGCCATCTGCACAGAAAGGGCATTGAAGTCAGTATGAACGCCATCGTCAATGCTCAGCAGCTAAAGTCGCGGTAGAAATTTGGTCGCGTTATTGCATGGACGTCATAGACGTGAAGATCGAGGATGAGCAGACGAACACGATCCGGCCTCCTGATTCGCCTGCTTGTCAGTTGTCTCAGATCTGAACATTGCTCGCCTATTCACCTTGTTTGGCCAGCACATATATGTGGCCATGTTGGGGCGCGAAATTGTGCTTGTGTGTGTGGTCACGTACAATTAAAGAGATGACCTGCCAGTCATGCCGTTGGTCGGGACAAACACAGCATCTCCAACTTGGAATGTTGCTGTCTAGACCTCTCGTGACGAGCCGAAGACTCCTCGTTTGGCCGCACGTCCTTTCCTCATGGCGGTAGGTGGTTCTTTCGTGGCAATTTCGGGAATGAAGCAGTATCAAAGTACGTTGTTCTACGCCTCGAAGGTTTCATCGATCAATATTACAGTAGACACCCTAACATATTTATTCAACGAATACGCCATCCACCTCCTATGTTCTTATGGCCGAGTGACGCGGCAGAAGAAGTAACACAAAGCTAGTCATTATCGCCCAGATTGAGATCTGGTCTGCATACCGTCCACAATGCTCGAACGATTCAAGCGTAAACTATCCCGGTCCAAGTCCGTTGGTAACACTCTAGAGTCGGACTATGCAGATTCAGGGCACAAAAGCTCGTTGACTCTGTCGCCTTCGGATGAACAGTTGATAAACAAGCTGAAATTTGCTGATGATACAAACCTGGAAGACAAGCCACCTCGAAGGCTCAATCCATCTATTTATAGCCACGGCTCTGTGGCTACAACATCGTCGGAAAGGACAATCTTCAACAACGTTGATAAGGGCATTCTATCTTTACCGACAGAAGTTCTGCTGACACTCCAGAAATATATCACTCCTAGCAGTGAGGTTGCTTTGCGGCATGCTTGTGCTCGATTCCTCCATCTCTTTACCTTGCCGTCATTTTACTTATCTGGAGATGATAAGTTCGAATGGCTGTGTCTGTATGAGAAGGACCAGGACCCTGATGAGCTCGATCAGCTGGTTTGTGGACTGTGTAAGGAACGTCATGTGAAAGCCACTTTCCCAGCTGCTGAGAGGAAATTATCACCAGCTGAACGCGACTGCCGTCAGGTCTGGCTTTGCCCGCACAAACACCTGGGCTACCAAAAGACTCTTAAAGACATCAAAGCTGGGCACGAAGCACCATTTAAATCACAATCGTTGGAGTCCTGCTCACGATGCCGAGAAGTGATCCGAAGCCGGTCGGTAGCTGAACGACCAGAAAAAGGCACCGCCGCTACTGACCTAGACAGCCCGAATGCGGCATCTCTTCTGATCACCAAGATCGCACTCTTACAGGCACCGGCCCCGAAATATAAAGACAGAACCTCGAGTGGTGGTACGATGTATAAAGAAGTGTTTGCTGTTAAAGACGTCGCAGCTGCGCTGTGTGCTATTGACCTTCCTGTATGCAACCACCTCCGGTTAAGCGACCAATACCTGCTCAGCAGATTTTGCAGATCTTGTATTAACACGCAGAGACTTCCTCCTAATGTCAGAGGGCCACCATGCATATCGGAACAGAAACGAGATGTCGGAGATCCTGAATATCTGGGCAAATGCAAACAGTCGTGCTACACACGTGGCTGTAAAACAAAGTTCATGTTTCAGAGCCGTGAATCACTGTCTCCCGATGCATCTGGACGAAGACAAATTTGGCTTATTCTTGCTATTTATCGTTGGCTGGGGCCCCTCCAAAGTGAGAATAGAGACAGCCACTGGCTTGGGCATTCGGTGCCACATCTTGCTAGGACCGAGATGCGTCAGAAGTGGGAAGCATCGGAGAAGGCGAGAGGGAATCGAAAACCAATGCCGAACTGGTCAATATGTCTGCTGCATCCTGAAGACCCAAGCGTGAGGACCACTCAAGTGTTTGTGCCTTATCAGCCAAATTCTGCGAGTGTGGAAGATGCATTGAAAGGTGTTATTACCAATATGAGAAAGTGAAGCAGTATGATCACGATGATACATATTTGAAATCTGAAATTGCTTGAACAGAATTGCGGATTTCGCTTGGGCATCCGCCACAAAACTTTCACTATGCCTAGCTGCAGAGGCAGGACGCACGATGCTATCGGACTCGGTCGTTTGCAAAAGACGATCTTTGGGACGAAGAGAAGATGCAAAGAAGATCGCAACGCGTAACTTGGTAGAGTAGATACGAAGCCGACCAAGCGACTCCACCTTCTTCCCTCCTGGTCGCAGGTTCTAATGTCCACAAATCTATCAAAAAAAGGTCAAAAAAACTTATTCACCTCGAGCTGTGAACAAGGAAACTGGTCTGATACTTCGTGTGATACGACTGATAGAGGTAGTGAATTTTGAACGACTAGTTTATTAACACAACGGAGGTTTCTCTGGTGCCAGCGAGCTCGATTGTTCGCTTTGTCCTGCCAGGTCCAACCCCCACACCAGCCGGGGCTGGTGTGCTGTGATTGAGGAGCAATTTTGTGGTATTGTGTATAAGAGGGAAAATAAGTGCGCACGTGGAGGCGTGGCGCACTGAACGTTGCGGGCGTGAGTGATAATCGAAGTGAAGGGAACAACAGCAGGAGGGGCATGTCACTCTCTGCACACGTGAGAAAATTACTCCACTTCTGGTTGGCTGCAGAAATACTTGCAGTACTGAAGGATCGTTCTATGCAAGAGGTCGGCTACATAAGGGCGAGTTATTTCAATGATCGGGAGATATTGAAGGTTCTTAGGGTCAAGAGGAAAATCAAGATCACTTACGCTAATTTGACAGCACCAAACAGTACATTCATACGCCCAATACATGTAATGCTTGCAATCGCTCACTTCAACACAACACTCTCCCATACAAGATCCTTTCCTCGCTCCTTGACAATTTCACCTTCCATGGATCCATGCACATAAGCCTCTCCCAGAATCCGATACGCACCCTCTCCTTGCACCTTGCGAAGGACATACAGGACACGTGCACCTTCGAAAAGCCAGCATTCGTCTCCAGGTTGCAACACCCAAGGACCGAGTCCGTAGTAACCAGTCCTTGTGACGAAAAAGCAACGTCCTTTACAGCCAAGACTGAGGTCATACCAATAGGAATTGGCCTTCCTGATAGTCATTTGGTTGTCCTCGCGTTCTGAATCGTGGCTACCAGCTTCTCGGCCCAAGGTCTGGTCACGAACACTGCGAAAGGCTTCGAAGCTGGCTCTGTGTTTTGAAAGGTCGTTCTCTGCTCGTAAATAGTCCGCGAGGCCAGTGCGTAGAGTTAGACTGATTGCGTCAGTTCGTTCAGGAGCCTCGTATCGGCTGGGAGTGTCAGTATTGGCAGGAATATCCAACACAGCGTCGAGAGTCTCGTTGACGACGTTGTCAGGCTTGAGCGCCTCCTTGACATTGTCGACATCGTACATAGCTCCGTCAGCAGAGAATTTGTGTCTGATAATAATGCTATCAACGTGTATTCCTCGAACGATGCATACACTACCCTCAATCACTGGCGCATAGAGACCTGTAAATGTCTTAGCCTCGGGACCTGATGTTCTGAAATAGAAGTCGGGATAGTAGCCTAGTGAATTCTGGATAATATCCATATCCCATCTAACTACCCACGAAGGTATGTCGGCGTTGAGGCTCTCTTCATCATGTTCAATTGCCGAGAAGAGCTTGACGCCTGCTGTAGGAAAGACCTGGTACAAGTCAGCAACACTTTCATCCGACAACAGTTCGGCATATGCATACCGCTACTGTGAACTCGTGGTAGATTTCCAGCATAGACTTTTTGTAATCTGGCTTGATAATTGGCACTGAGATGCCGGCATCAGTGTTTGTCTGTAGCAGTGGATGACCTAAGAAAGCATAGATGTGGTCGTGTGCATTGCTGCACCCCAAACCCTTGGCATGGCTGAGGAAGTCGACTATACTGTAGTCTGGTACTGACTGATCGTGCCGCCACTCGTTATCTCTCCAGTTCGACCAATCTGAGTGTATAGTTAGCAGCGAGATACCTGCACTGCTCTGAAGCTGCGGCGCACACCGCACGACCCATCTAGCAAGATGCATTGTGTGACGGTAGTCCATTGCTGCATCAGCCCAGTGAATTGTGGCATGTTTTGCGACGCCTGTCTCTTGGCACACCCATGCACGTTTGAACCATTCATTCTGCATGAGCTTGCCGAAAGCAGGCCAACGAGGATCGGACAAGACAGGATCGTCGTCGTTCAGAATCGGCATGTCGTTGACACTGGCGAAGCCGGCCCTTCTGAGTGTGTGATCATGGAGTAGCGCTATTGTGTGACCGGCTACCTCTTCTGAGCCGCCAGTCATGCACACCAATACGTCTGAAGCGTGACTGTAGATTCTGTTCATGAAGGCTACATGGTGTGATTTTTCATCGTCGTCCTGCTGATTAATACATATCGCATCTGCCCACACGATACGGGGACGATCGCTATGTCGAACTCGCGTGAACACTGATTGTAAACTCTTCGTGACCCACAACTGCCGCCCATTGCACTCAATCGACGTCCAGTACTCATCGCTGTTCGTGGGGCCCCAAACATACGAAAGAGCTTCATATTCAGGCTGAAACTCAAGTTCGTGTATCGATAAGTGAATCCTTACAGGATCATTCTGCGAGCCCGGAAGTAGGTGGACAAGACGTATAGCGTATCCTTGAATCAACTTGAGGTACAGGATATGGTCAGCGTTGGATCCAGGAAGAGCAGCTTCTGTTATTGTGTCTTCTGTAAAAGCACCAGCGGCGATCTTGGTCACTGGTTGAGCCATAGCTGAGACGGTCCTCACGTCACAGACTGTTCGTGGTTGTAAAGGAGAAGCACAATATCGCTGTCGTTAGGTATCGTGCTATCGAATAGGTTTGGATATCAATTTTGCATTACCAAACAAGCTGGCGGCACAAATAGTGCGCTGATCTTCAGCAAAGGTTGTTTACCCTTCGCATCTTGAGCTGTGACGGTGTATCTACCATGCATCTTTGGCGAAACTTCGGAGTTCGCGCGTCTTCTACTTACCAACGCATTGATTCGATATAGAGACTGTCTTCCGACCACTCGTTGCAGCGCATACCCCGACGTAAGCGAAAAACTGGCCAAGCAATTATGGAGAAGGGAGGCTGCAACATTGGGAGGACGACCTGAGTAGGTGTGCTTGCTGCGCTTGTTACCACTAACCCTGGCACTGCACAAGTCCCGAGTGCCTTCAGAAAAGTAATTGCAGGAACACTCGGGTGTCCCGCACTTTTCTGAATGCTCTCCATGATTCAGACTCTTGACAAGAATTCCTGTACGTAACCCCTCTGCGGCAGCGGCAGAACAAAGTCTTTCTGCCACAGTTCGAGCGAATCCGCACTTCTCAAAGGTAGAGTAATTCCAGAGCAACGGCAAGCGCATTTCTAGCGTGTACTTTTCGCGTCTAGAGACGCGGACCAATCCTGACTACGTCATCAATCCTAGGGCTTCGAGAAACATTGATGGCTGGCTAGACAATGGATTTGCCGCTCTTGTCCAGATGCTCAGCATGAATGCTGCATCCTTTCATGGCCAAGCTACAAGCAGCCACTGTCTCAAATGTTCCAGTCAATCGAAAGCGCAAAAGAAAACACAATGATGAACTCACCGACTCAACGGCGGTGGAAGTTGGCAATGAGACCACCATAGCAACCACGACCACAACTGTTCCCACAAAGACAGACGATGGAGGTCAGAAACCACGTAGAAGCAAGGGCACGAAGAAACCACCTCTGCTGAAGAGAAACTCCTCCTCCCTGAACCTTGTCGAAACGAGTATTACATGGCCAGACCACTTCACTTATCTAGCTGCGCTGCATAAAGCGTTAAATATTGTCTACACTTTCTGCTGTACAAGGAAGCACTTTGCGACTACGTGGGACAACATCAAGTCCACTGTCGAAGGTCACATTAAGAGACCTTTGGTAGTCGAAGATGTTGCTCAGGTCAAAGCGCTCATTCCTCGAGCCGTGAACTTTCTGTACGTGGACGAGGAACAACTCCTTACCGCCATTCGGGGTGAGAATGAGGATGTCAGCGCTGGAAACACAGATGCATACGAGCGTGCTGTCGTCGAGCAAGCGGAGAGAGACCGTCGGAGAAGGTTGGAAGAAGCTCAAGAACTGCTCTTGTTTGAATTCGTGGATGGCGACTTGAAAAGGCAGGTGGTCGATCCAAAGACTGGCCAACCTACAAAGGCGACCCAGAAGCTTCGAAACGAGGAACTCAAGATGCCCGTCTTCAGCCAAAAATCTATGCTCAAGCTGATTGAGAAAAGAAACCTGAAGTTCACCTCCGCTGTCAATGCATATTTGAACCAATGTGCTGCTGACAGTGAGGACGCTGTTGCCAAAATACTCAAAGAGAAGGACCAATACATCCCCTTGTCCTCCGATGACAAAGTGAAGACTCCTGCTCCTGAATCCACTATCCCTAAGGTCATCCCGAAGGATCGCAAGGCAATATCCGACATTGTGAAAGAGCTGACGGAGCAAGAGTGGTATGTCGGTCAGATCGTGCCTGATGGTCATCGTGTCTTTGACCCACAACCTCCGGTCTATGGAGAGCTCAACTTCACGCTTTCGCAGAGCTTGGTCAATGCTCTGTACAATGTCAAAGGGATCTCTCAACTGTACTCCCATCAAGCGGAGGCGATCAACAATCTCCTCGATGGCCACAATGTCATTGTATCTACCTCAACCAGCTCAGGTAAATCTCTGATTTATCAGATACCCATGCTGCATCAATTGGAACTAGATTCAGAAAGTCGCGGCATGTACATCTTCCCAACTAAAGCTCTTGCGCAAGACCAGCGCCGGAGCATGAAAGATCTACTAACGTACTTGCCTTCTTTGGAAAATGTCATGGTTGAAACCTTTGACGGAGACACACCTATGCAGGAAAGAAACATTATTCGTGACGAGGCAAGGATTATCATGACTAATCCAGATATGCTACACATCACAATTCTTCCACAGGAAAGCACATGGCGAACTTTTCTGAAAAACCTCAAGTACGTTGTGGTCGACGAGCTACATGTGTACAACGGCCTTTTCGGAGCTCATGTGGCCTTCATCATGCGCAGATTGAGAAGGATATGTGCCGCGGTAGGAAACCGAAAAGTCAGGTTTATCTCCTGCTCAGCTACTGTATCAAATCCTGAAGAGCACATGAAGATCATTTTTGGTGTCGATAAGGTCAAGCTCACAGACTTTGACGGGTCTCCATCTGGTAGGAAAGAGTTTCTTTGTTGGAACACTCCTTTCAAAGATCCTGGTGATCCAACTTCGGGTCGTAGTGATGCTTTCGCTGAGACTGCAAGGCTGATGTGCAACCTCATCATCCGAGGAGTAAGAGTAGTCACTTTCTGCCGGATCCGTAAGCAATGTGAGGTTCTGCTTGGCGCTGTCAAGGCGTACTTCCAGGAGATAGAGCGTCCCGACTACATTGCTTTGGTAATGGGTTATCGAGGCGGCTACTCAGCACAAGATCGTCGCAGGATAGAGTCGGAGATGTTCGGTGGCAAACTTCGTGGCATCATCGCCACTACCGCTCTTGAGCTTGGTGTGGACATAGGTTCACTGGACGCTGTGATTACTATGGGCTTCCCATATACTATTGCGAACTTACGACAGCAATCTGGTCGAGCTGGTCGCCGTAACCAAGACTCGTTGTCTTGCTTAGTTGGAGATTGCTTCCCTGTTGACCAACACTACATGGCTAATCCGGACGAAATCTTTACCAAACCAAATTGTGAGCTACAGGTAGATTTGAGCAACGATCTTGTGATAGAAGGTCATGTTCAATGCGCAGCTTTCGAGATGCCTATTCAGCCAGAGGACGGCACAGACAGTCAATACCTTGGCAAAACTCTAGCCGAGATCTGCAGCTCGCGACTTGTAGCTGACTCAGATGGGCTAGGTTTCTACCATACACATCCTCGCTTCCGACCCCTGCCCAGCAAGCACGTCAATATTCGAGACACAGAGGACGATTCATATGCTGTGGTCGACATCACACACGGCCGTAATATTGTCCTCGAGGAAGTCGAGGCTTCTCGTGCAAATTACACGCTCTATGATGGTGGTATATTCCTGCATCAAGGTCGTACCTATCTGATCAAAGACTTCTCACCAGCCAACAAAATAGCTCGAGTACAGCTCGCTAAGGTTAATTGGACCACTCAGCAACGAGACTTTACCGATGTCGACCCTATCGAGACCGAACAGGTTCGACGTATAACGACTCTCGACAATCCAAACAACCTAGTCCGAGCCTATTTCGGTCGCATCAAAGTGCACGCCGTAGTATTCGGCTTCTTCAAACTCGATCAGAAGCGCCGCATCCTAGACGCGGTTGCAGTCGACAACCCACCCATAGACATTATTAGTCGCGGTTTATGGATCGATATCCCAACCTATGCACTCGACATCCTGAAGTCAAAGCGTATGAACCTTGCAGCTGGCATCCATGCCGCAGAACATGCAATGATGTCTCTCATGCCACAGTTCGTGGTAAGCATGCCTGGAGATGTGCGCACGGAATGCAAGAATGCACTCAAGGAGTTCGGGAAAAAGGAAACTCAACGCAAACGACCTGCTAGACTTACTTTCTACGATGCGAAAGGCGGACCAGCCGGGATGGGCATTGCTCAGAAGGCATTTGAGTTTATTGACCTCCTTGTCGAACGAGCGGTTGACCGAGTCGGAGCCTGTCATTGCACTGAAGGCTGTACAGAGTGTATCTGTGACGAACGTTGCAAGGAGAAGAACGTCATCATGAGCAAAGCAGGCGCTGAGGTGATTCTGAAAAGCTTGATCGGAAGGGAGATCGACATCGATGCGCTACCTGAGGGCGAAGAGGAGAGGGTGCCGGCTGGGGTTGAGACAATTGTTGGGGCCGTCGAGGTTATGGGAAGAAATGGTAAGAAGATTGATGAGACGGAAAAGATTCGAATTAAGCGGGAAAAAGGAGATGACGAGTTGATTGTTATTAAAGATGAGGACGGAGAAGAGAATCATTTGAGTCTGTATGATATACAAGAGAATAGAGGATAGATACCACGACGACGTCTTCAATACAGCAGTTGTTAGTCTGAATGGCTGTGCTCGACAAAAGTACACTGAAGTTACCACCAAACAGGAAAGGCGAGTTCGAGAGACATTGCGCTTCTACTGGTCTGTACTCCGAACAATATAGCTAATACCTCACCAAAATTTAGCTTAGAACGACATACAACGTACCGTACCCCGCCTATCTCAAACTTTACGAGAATCCTACGACGACACATGGCACAACACAAGATTAAGTAACCTTCACAGCTTCTCGAAACTTGAGGAGTCTCTGTTACTGTTTCATCCTTCAACAGACATAGGCTTTCCTTCCACGAATCTCACCATCACATGGTTCCGCAATGTCTTTAACATGGCAACATCAATAGCAGCAGACATCTTCAATCACCACAACTACGAGCCTCTACAATACACTCCCTTCGCAGATTCCACAAAATCCATCCGCGTCCTTCAAATCAAGCCATGCGAAACTACGACCTCAATTCTCGAATGCACGCTCATTCAAGTCAGATTAACCAGCAAATATGTTTGCCTATCGTACATGTGGGGTACAGACAATGCATCGCATCCCGTCCTCATCAATGGCCAGCTGCTGTACGTGCGGGATAATCTGTACGCTTTCCTGCAGCAGGCGCGAAAGAGTTTGACGGACTCTGCAGCGATACCAGTATGGATCGATGCTGCATGTATTAATCAAGATGACTTGGCTGAACGAAACGCTCAGGTCGCGATGATGGGTGATATTTATAGAGGTGCGTTTCAGGTTGTGATTTGGCTGGGTTGTGGTGACGCGAGGCTTGGGAGGGCGATGGAGTTTGTCATTAAGGTTGGTGCGCTTTACTCGACGATATGTGCGCGTCAGTATGGATTTGATCTGAATGATCGAAGCTGGCCGGTTGCTCCTGATGTGATACTGCAGGCGCTGGAGATTGCTGCGGGAACGGCGGAATCTGGCTCTGAATTGACGAGTGCGGAAGTGTGGGAGCGGTGTAGCATGATCCTCGAAGCTTTTGTATCTCTACGATATTGGTCTCGGATGTGGACTGTACAGGAGATTGTTCTTGCTTCGAACGTCAAGATATGCTATGGCGAGAAGATCGTGCCTGAGGCGTGGTTTCAGATCATTCTGTATGTCGTTCAGCATATGCCGATGGCCAGTAAAGAACTGGGACCTGGTGATCCCACAAGATCACCGTGTTGTGTCAGCCTTAAGCTGCGCGAAGAGGTATCTCGCTCGGGAGGAGTGCAGGTGAACATGTTCCACATGCTGAGAAAGTTCCGAGGTCACGAGTGTACGATGCCACAAGATAAGATATATGCCTTGCGTGCTCTGGCATCGGATGGAAGTGCCATACCTGTTGACTATGCTGGGAGTGGTGGTATGTTATTGGACGCACTATTTCGACAATCATCTCCGCAATGCCCAGCAATCGACGGCGCTTATTTGGTGAAGACGCTGGGCATGAAGCATAATGACCTAGAGCTTCAGCTCAAGGCTTTTCCCATTTCGCAAAAGTGGCAGGAAACTCCCCTAGACATTGGGGTGTTTCGACAAGACGAGCAAGATCGTGACATATGGTACATCGACGGAGCACTGGTCAAGCGTTCACTGGCTGCTATGCAAAGTGAAGCCTCACTTAAATGCAAGCTTTTCAACAATGCAAGATCCAGGCACGATCACGACACAATTGCGGAGTCGGGAGATATTGTAGCACAAGTCCAAGGCTTGGGAATATTTATCGTGTTTAAAGGACCAGAAAGTATCAGAACTTTACCTGACTGGGCGAATACTAGCATGGTCAATACTTTTTTGTCCACATGCTCATTTAGGAATATATATCACCTTCACGAGAAATCGACCTATACTGCAAGACCGTGTGAGTATAGACTTCCCCGAGGCGCATCGAACAAGACGCCTATGCTGCTAGAGCAAGCAGAGTTGATGCTCGTGGAAGAGGCACGGAAATTCTTGCATTTGGCAAATACGTCGTCTGGTTGGAAAATGGTCCTGAACTGGCAGTGCTTATTAAGCTTATGGGATCTTACTATACACCGGCCGTGGCTTCTCGTCGAGGACAATGTCGGAGCTGAGGCTAAGGAAGAATGGGAGGATGCAATTGCAAAAGCAAAGACGGACAGACCTGCTCGTCGAATTCTCAACGAACCGCCACGGCGCTAAAGATGCGTTCTTCAGTTGCCGGTGACAGTCAGTCATATCTGATGCACTGTTTCTTAGGCCCTCAAGGAGACAAAACGAACAGTCGCGACTGAGCAGGCAGCAAACATTGAGAACGAGAAGAAACGAATAAAGCGTCTTCTGCATTCCAGGAAGGAGGAAACTCAAGCTGGGAAAGTCATGCGTTGATTCTTCGAGCCACCCTAATACGGAATGCGGGAAGCAACTACTCCGTACTCCTGGGACAGGAAATTGCGGGCATTCGGAGCTCATCCTGGGCCGAGATCAGTGAACGACAGCGCAAATCAGGGTAGGTCCTGACTCTCGGAGCCCATCAACTTTCATTACCGATCACTTTCTTTGGAGCACTTCTTTCTGCCAGCAGGTGTTAGTAAGGTCAGGAATCCTTACTTCTTGAACCACCTTATCCCCCGCGTCTCGTCAAGGTGATGTTCGCTTGACATTCGTACAGGCTGATAGACCAGCAACTATAATGACAGCGGCAGAAGGGTCAAGAGATTGTCTGAGTACAGTGGTCGTGACATTCCGTCTCATAGGGGTTTCGAGCGAAGAGAAGCGATTAGAACTTTCGACTATGTGGTGAGTGGACGGCACGAGCACGTGCATACTTTCCACAAGCCTGTCAGGGAGACCAAGGTTTTAGGTAGTACTGGACTGCCAAACTCATGCTAATATCACCTAGAAAGAAACAAGGAGGATGCAGGTCGATATGGATTGGGTGGTTCGTCAAAAACATGACACATAAAGGCTGCGTCCGAAAGGTCGTCACAGCCCATCAGATTCTGGAGGTCCCACGTAGACTAGACGCACGTCAGCAATCCCAAAGTGAAAGGTCACTCATCCACTTACCTTTTCTAGCGAAGACGATATAGTACACCATGCTCAACGCCAGTAAGCCCACGAACACAACAGACGCGTAGTTCATGCTGACTATCGTCACAGGTAATGCAGCAGGCATGCTGAAGAGGACAAGCTGGAATGCGACCCATACTACAGCAATCGCGTTGAACAGAAACCCGATAGCGCTGGGTAGCCTCCATTGTGCCTGTCTCACGAAACTGCGACCGCCGAAGAGACTGATTGCGATCGGAATGCCGTAACTAGCAGCGAGCGCAATGACACCTGTCGAAGCAAACGCCGTGAATGCGCTCGAGCTTCCGAGATTGATCAGGCCAAGCAACATCTGAACCAAAGTCACCAGTGCCAGTGCGAAAATTGGAGTATCGATCACAATCTTCGACCATATCCAGGAGAGAGGGATTGCGCGATCACGAGCGAATGCCCACGTCGATCGAGATGCTGCGGTAGTGATGGATATGCTGCAGAACAATGCAACACCGAGGACGAAAAACATAAGAGCCAATCCACTTCCGGGAGAGCCCATCACCGTGTGAAAGATGAATGGTACTGCCTGAGCCAAAGGTGCAGCCAGAATGTCCTCCAGTGGAGGCAGAGTGAAGCATATGGGAAGAACAAAGAAGAGACCAGCAACGAAAGATATTGGAATGCACCAGCTCATCGCCCTAGGCACGTCAATTGCTGGGTGGGTGGTCTCTTCAGCCATCGAGGTGATCATGCCGATTGCAGCATAGGTGTATGCAGCTGGGAGGAGACCGATGAAAAACGTGAATCTGCCCCATCCCGAGAAACTCTTGTCGTAATGTCCCAAAGCATAAGCTGCACTGTGTCGGCCAGCGCCAGCCTTGACTGACAAGGCAATCAGGACTATCAAGATTGTGACGGCATTCCAGGCAGATGCCACAGTGTCGACATAGGGAAGAATGCGATTGCCAAAAGCCACAATCAGGAAGACGCCCAAACAGATCGCGTAGAAGATGAGCAGTAGCTCTCAAGCTGTTGCCTCCCAACCAGGATGATACATGGTCGCAGTTCCTGCAATGAGAGCGGCGAATCCGAAATTGACAGAAAGACAGATGGTCCAATTTCCGATGATCCACGTCCATCCTGTGATGAAAGAGAGCAGAGTACGGAGCTTGCCACCAGATGGAAGAAGCTGATAGGTGAAGTAATACTGTTCTTGTCAGTCCTGTGACACAATGTCGCTGTGCAGACTTACCGGGCCTGCAGATGTTGGAAACTTAGAGCACAATTCTGCCAGCGACATGAAAAGACATTGATTCAGAATAGAAACCACAATCCAACCGACAAAGTAAGATAGCTGACCTCCGCCATAAATTGCACTCGTCAGCGCAGTGCCCTCGCCGAACGGAACTGCAGTGATTGCCAGACTCTGAAACAAGATGGTAGACATCGAACGGTTGCGTACCAATTCAGGCACGTATCCCAACTGAATAAGGTCGGGGTCTCGTTTGCTTGCATCGTGTGCTGAACCATCGACGTGCATGAAGTCCACCCGCTCCTCATCTTTCTCCCTCGAGAGCCGCGACATATTGCTGGTGAGGATGGCCTATAGCGACGTGTCGGCTCTGAATGATCGCTGGCTCTCCCAGTGTGAGGGACTGCTTGATACACGCTGAGTACAGCTGAGGAAAAGGCGGTTGAGGTTCGGCTGTCTTCAAGAGCCAAAATGGTTCCCACCTTTCTGTTCAACTGGCCTAGCGTGGTTGAACTGCCTTTGAATCACACCCAAAACCTACAGGGTGGAGACTCAGTTCATACACATCTTGTTCAGTCACTTACATGGTCCGGCCAGGGATCTGTAGGTCTTTACACGAACCAATCTGTTGGAGTTTTGTAAATAATGACCTGACTACCCAAAGGCTAGAGCTTCGCCGAGCTCGAATATTGGCTTTCTCATCGAGGCTAACGCATGTCCGAACGTCGAGATATCGTCATGCTCATTGGTCACTGGGAGTTGTCGTCCTCTTTCATGGCGACGTTAAGCTTTCGACTATTCAGCCTCTTCCAAATCAAATAGATCACAAGATTTGCGGGGATCTCCAGTTGCGCTAACGATGGAGCTTTTAAGCTTCTAATGCTGAGCTTGTCAAAGCTTGGACATTTGTCAAATGTTGTCAGTCAACCTCGATACAATCGATCCATACATGGAATGGTCGACTACTAATGCTTCATCGCCCTACTCGTATCTGCTACTGAAACCTGTAGAATATGGCAGATAAAGGCAGATAACTCAATGAAGACTAGCTCTTGCTATCGTGAGCTGCTAAGCTGTACGGTATATGTACTCTAACATCTTAATTTGTGCAGGTGTATCCATCCTCTATATCACCAACTTCTCCAACTCTTCAGATAACTCCTTCTCCTTACAACTATACATATAACAAAACTGAGCCTCGCCCCTTCCCCGACTATTCGTATGCACGAGCACCATCTCTTTCCGCTCGAGCCGTCCACGTTCGCCCCCCTCCGCAACATCGATCAGCCCTTTTCCAAAGCACTCCCTTGACGTAGTTTGCGGTATCTCAATCTCATGTCCTTCATTGGTAAGTCGTAGGCTCCATGTGCGTGTGCTGAAGAACGCTTTCAGTACATGCCATTCGTCGGTGTGGCAACCTGGACAGGTACGTTGAAGTAATTCCAGTTCGATTTCCATCTCTAGTTCGGTTGAGGTGCTGATTGCTTGCCTCAGCAAGCGTCCTAATGAGAAGGTTTGAAGCGGTTTCTGAGGCCTGCATTCCTGACAGGTGACGAGTAACGTTGTTTCGGCTTCGGTTCTGTTGACAGCGGCTTTGTCGTAGTCTTCTGCTAGCCATGCTTGGATGTGTTTGCAGTCCTTGGCTGGATCGTTGAGTCTATCGTTCCAGAAGGTATTGGATGTTATCTTGGATGGCCCCTTGCAGCTTTCAGACCCCTGCTGATCTGTCCTTGGTGCCTGTTCACATTGTTCTTCCGGCTTTGCTTGGTTGCTTCCAGCGCAAAACGTCGCAATGTTCGACGAAGGTTTCGCGGAGAGATAGATTCTCCGGTCGGTGTTGACGACGACTTTGAAACGACCAATGGTCTGTTGCAGGGCACGGAGATGATATCCAGTTTCATTGGTAAAGCGGTCGCTGATTAAAATGGTCTTATACACGCCCTTTTTGCCAAATTTGTCAAGATATGTGGCGAGATTGTCGATGTCTTGCCTTGAGTTGAGTACGATCTTGGCATTTTGCAGTAGTGCGAAGTTGATTGTGTCAATAGAGGCAAAGTCTTTGGAAACCGTGAGAGCGGACAACGGCTGCCATCTTGACGGGGAGATACCATGCCTCCTGTAGACACACAGAGCTGAGTCGATTGCTTTTGAGTTTATTGGCGGTGATTCTGAGCCATATCGGACAGTGGCATCTTCGAAAGCGAATGCCAAGACCTGGGCACGCAGCTCTTCCGGAAAGGCTGACCACGACATCTTGGGAGCTTTTGAGGTACTAAGATGTAGTCTTGTAATTCGCGAGATGTCGTAGGCTTATTGACTCTCATTCGAAGGTAACTGAACTCCAACTGAAAAGTTTTGAGCGGGTGTTCCTACCTTTAAGTATGCAGCTGTTGAGGACCTGTGCGCTAGCTTCTGTCAGAACAACTGCGTACCAAAATGCTCCGTCAGGCAACAGCTGTAAGAAACCAACTCAACCATTGCAAAGATGCGACAAAATGCTCAGCTCGCTTTCGTCGTTGACCTCGAGGCCTGCATGTCGCGTAATTGATCGTTGGCGGCATGTTCAGCTTGATCCTCCAGTATAACGGCGAGCCATCCTTACGAACTTCAGGAACCGTGGCTCCGTCCTTGCACTCACATAGACTGTCGTCGTGGTCCTAATTCGGTGCGTAGATCGAGTGAATCAATATAGTCCTCACCACCATTATTCATCATTCAAATCCACCTTCTCTCCCGTCTTTATTTTGCCGAAACAACTTTTCCATAGAGGACTTTCCTCGCCCATAAAATATCCTAAGTCGACATTGTCCATTCCTACACTCTCACCAATCGCCATGTTCTCCAACTGGCTGATGATGTTTTCCAATGCGAACGCTTTCCCAACTGCTTGCGTCGTTCCATTTGCTTCAAGCATGACATGCACAACATGGACATGAAAATGGTAGTAGGTGGGCTGATAGTGGATGTAGCATTTGATCTGATCCTCATCGACCAGCTCTCCCGCTAGCTTCGACGCAACACCGCTAGCAGCCTTGACAATTTCATTTCGCAGATGTTTTAGCCAGGGTACGTGTTTTTGCTTCAGACTTCTCAAGGAGTATAGGTCACGTCTCTCGACTAAGGCAAGTAGGTGTAAGCCAGTCGCTGTGCGTCGATCCCAGTTCAGATCTGGTAGGAGTAAGAAACCCTCACTATCGCTCTTTTGCTTGTCGTGAGACAGAGATATGCCAAAGTCTGAAGAACGATGAACCACATCCTCTTGTTCCGTGACGCCATCGAGGATATTGTAGATCCAGTCGAGTCGCTTCGGCGTACGCTGTGTCCGCTCGATCCACGGTCTGATATGCTGTGCATACACCTCGGGCGTCTCAATCACGTACCGTAGTTGCTGAGCCGTGTACTTCTTGATGTGTGCGTCCGTACATGGCCAGATAAGATTGATCTTCAAGCTATGCCGAGCGGGTGTAGCTTGGGTGTTAGACATATACCATCTGTAGATATCGTTGGCGCCAAGGTTGATCGTGTCACTCAGAGACTGGAGGAGAAGTGTTGCGGCGCCCGAATCCGATTCGAACGCTGCGCGCTCAAAAGTCAGTAAGCCGGGCTGATCTTTAATGCTGCCAAGCAGAGTAATACGTCGCCCATTCTGGTCGTGATTGAGAATGCGGGTTATTCGAAAGAGTGGCAGCAACGATTCTGCTTCGGATTTTGTTTCAGCACGTCGTTTTTGCTCTTCTAAGGAGGTGGAAGGCAAGGCCATTGCGAAGACCTGCTTCGCTCCAGCTATGAATCTTGCGATTGTCTCATTGACAACGCACGAGTGGAACAGAGGCGAGTTAGCAATGGTATCGAGTCGCGTAGTAAATTCGACTCGAAAGAAGTAGAAACATTCCTGAATTGTAATCGTGGTATAATGCCCGAAAATTTCGATCCAGCTTTTTTATTCAAGGACTCGTAGCAAGAAACGAACACAATCCGCCGCGATTGAACCACGGAAAACTGTTCATCAGCCAATAGGTAGGGTGAAATGGCGCTGTAAGCATCATGCAACAGTCCCTTTGCAGCGGGACCTGAATCTATAGAGCGAAGATATCTAAGTGGTACTGCATTCTTTCCAGTTCAGCGAATTTCCAGGCGACGTACCCCTCCCTAAGATGCCTACGAAGTCTCCCCGGATTAGGGTCGTGTTGTTCTTCGACATGGATCAGCTGCACTACTTGATTGTCCTCTACAAGCTGCATGCCAATCTAGGAGGGCAAAGACCACGAGCAGTGTTAGGTCAGCCGGTCAAGTGGAGTACATCTCTACAAGCGCTGCGTCCATCGGTATCTGAGAAATCGATTCTGGACGCAAGGTCCTGTCACATTAACAAGTGAGAGAAATGCTATATCAAAAATCCCTCTTCAATACTCTCAGCTTCAAAAGTGCACAATACAACCAAGCCGGGCACATGGACAACCACTAGAGATGCCGATATCCGAATTCATTCTATGATAGTCCCTTTAAATACTGCATCAAGAACGCTTTATCCTCAGCTCCTGTCTGGCGCTTTTCATGATGCGATCGTCCGGACATGCCGACCGAAGCCAGACTGCTTACTCTTGATCTCGGTGCACTGTCCACTTCCCCCGCTGCGATAGGGCTGATCAGTTGACTCGCAGAAGGTGGTGAAACGACTCTGTTGTCAGCGAACTCGTGATCCAAAATAAGCCCGAATGAGGCCTTTGGAGTAGCGTCTGGCTCAGGGGTGAGTTGTTTCGGAGCCGGAGTTTTGAGGAGTGACAGTAGTGCCTCTCTCTGCGGATCATGCACAGGCGATAGTAATTGCGAGGATGTACTAGCTGCAGTGGGGATCTTGATAGGACCTTGTGTATTGACAGCTTCGGGTGCATTGAGACTAGGCGAAAGCGGACCTTGTGAAAAAGCTGAGGGAAGGTCAATACAGGCTGTTTCACTCGTCATGGGCACTGGTATATTTCTTAGTGGCAGGTCCGAGGTTCTGGAAGTGTCATCACCATCTCTAGTCTGGGGACGTTTTAGGATCTGTGGCTGGAATGGCTTAGTCAACTCTTTTGGTGTTACTGGTCTTCGAGGAGAGTTTGTTTGCCTCTGTTGCTTCGTGTTACGTGGTGACCGCGGTTGCTTGCTACGGTCGTCTTGTCGCGAGATCGCCTTGATCGACGTCACTTGCTTGATATTGCCAGTCTTGTAATCGAACAACTTGCGCTCAGCTGGCGCAGGTTGCGTTCTAGATTCCTCCTCGAAGGTCGGGGCTCTAGCAATGGCTTCAAACTGTGGTTCGTCGATCGGCTGAGCCAGAGTGGCTGAAGTCGTTCCCACTCGCGACTTCGGTAGACCAGGCTTCGTAGCTTCAGGCGATGTGGCGTTTGACAAGGAGCGCAAGTTATCCTTCGTCCCTACTGCAGAGCGTGTTCTGCTCTCGTCTTCCGTGGTCGCTGAGAGCTCTACTGGTTCTGTCTGTGTATTGTTAAAAGATGCTGGACTTGGCACATCTGGAGTACGCGTGTGGACTTGATCTGTTCCAGAAGCAACAGCATGTCCAGGGTTGGGTGTGCTGGGCTTCTTTCCATCCTTAAGCAGATCCAAGAGTGGGTTGATAGTAAATGCAGGCTTTCGCTGCATATGTTCTAGTTGAATGGTAGGTGTCACCATAGCACTGGGATCCGGGGTCGAGACATTGGAGTTGCCTCTATCTATGGGCACTGGCCGCTCTGGAGCATTGCTTGAGGGTCGTTGCAAGAGCTGCAGCAAGTTACCACCTTGGTCAACAGGTGTAAAAACTCGAGGCGACACGCTCTTAGGGAATGGTTTCGATGTGAATGCCGCTAATAGATCCTGCTTGGCAGGTGGCAGTTGTGGTTGAACGGGTCTGTTTTGCGGAAGAGTAGGACCATTAAAAGCGTCCAGCAAGGACCTCGTGTGCTGACTGAGTTGTGGCAGGGCTGATGCTTTGGGAGCAGTAGGATGCATCTGTTGGTGTAGATCGAAGGCTGGAGGAGGGGACTGGATACTAGCCATGGCATGTGCATGGGAAGGACGTTCTGGAGAACGGGGTATTGTCGGTGGATTGATCTGCTCATGTGGTGTATGGAGGTCGTTACGTATCTGGGCAGCCGGGCCATTTCGCAGTAATGCCATGAGGGCGTTTGATTTCGCCGCTGCATCAAGGTTTGCTGTTACAGGCTGGGGAGTACGGCTCAGGTGGTGTAGAGGATCTGAAGCAGAGGGTGGACTGACTTCAGGCAAACTGCTTGGTATGGCGGGTGACATAGGCAATGTTTGTGTAGCAATCTGTAATGTATCTGTTTCATTGCTGGCAATTTCGGCGGTCACAGGCGGAGCTGCTCTTGAGCTTTGCCTGTTGTCTTTCCGTCTTTCAGCAGTGATAATCTTTTTGAGATCATGCATGAATGGTGCAACAACGTAGAACTTGTTCGCGTTCAGTACGAGATGTTGACCTGTCCCCTCAGTAGTGTTTGCTTTTTTCCTTTCAGTGGGAAGGTCGGCAAGTCTAAACCACTCGATCTTGCTGATCTCTTTCCTCGTCTGAGGCTCGAAGTGAGCATCCTTGGACACACCGCGGAAGACGAACATTTTCATGTTCTGGGATCTCATCGTCTTTTCAATGTGTTTGATTTTCCTGGGGTCCGACACCAGACCTGCGGCACGAATATCGAAACCAGTCTCCTCCCAAGCTTCCCTGATGGCACATTCCAGGTCATCTTCGTCCTTGTTGATTTTTCCACGAGGGAAGCTCCATGTCCCGCTCTTCTTCCAGCCTTTGACCAAAATAACTTCGTCCATTTTATCGTTCAAAAGTATAGCACCACGGACAGGTACTCTGTTCTTGTACTGCAAGAACTTCTCGAAAGCACCATCCAAATCGTGGACGTCCCAGTCGTGGAAGATGGGACATCGTGGTACTATTCTCTGAAAGAAGGTTTTTAAGGTCAAGGAAGGGAGCGAGGGATCAGCTGGGCGAACGAAGTCTTCGTAGAACCATTGAGCTTCCTCTATCTGAAAGCATATTCGCTCGAGGCTAACTAGCTCTTCGGCTGGTATGTTGACAATGAATCTGACGCACAGGTCATCGAGCCCTGAAGACAATCAGCACAGCACAGAGAGCTTGTATGTGAAATATCTCACAATCCTCTAGCTGCATGATCTTCGTGTATATGCAGTCTGGAATACCTGATCATATCCGTCCGGTCGAGTAAGAGAAGTGACTCCACAATCGAGTCGAAGTGTGACACTTGTCAGCTCAGACTGTAGAAAGTAATGATTGGGTGCAGTTGCAATCCAGGTTCTCGCGTTAATGACCGAGTCTAGATTTCGAGAAGATCAGTCGACATGTCCAATTGAGATCCACAAGGCTGTGCTAAGATTCGTGCGCCCTAGATTCGGAGAAGTGGTTGGTGTGAGAGGAAAACAGCGTAGTTCACGTTGGCAGTTGCTCGTATTCACACGCCTGAATGAACGCATCCACAACCCAGCCACGAAAGAGTGACTCAGCACGACCGAAAATGGGCAAGTGCACACCAGCCACACTCAGGCGTGGCGGTGCACAGTCCACCAAGTCACTCGTGGTTGCTGATTCGCTGTTTCAGGAACGCCTGCGTCTGCGTTTCGCGTCTCACGGGTTTCAAGGAAAAATGCTGGTGACTGATCGCCTGTCGTCTGCATATTGACGTATCAATTTGCGACGGGTGTTCGACTTGTTTCTGCCAGATAATTCCACGTCCAGCGTCTAGCTGGCCATCTACACGCTTAATTACTCTTGCAAGCTCTATATTTGTTCTTTGTTTTCGTCTCGCGCAAGGACCAACTCCGTCCCGCTTCAACTCTCACCGCGTTCATCAACTTCTGCCGCGGTTAGCCAACCACAGGCGCTATAAAGTCTCTCTGCACATCATTTGAGAGCACATCCATCAACATCCGCACACCCTATCTCTTACGTAAAGTACAGTCACGATGGCCTCTCTAGCTGCCAAATTCGTCGCTCGCAAGATCTTCGCCGAAACACCCATGGGCAAGAATAGCAATGCTGCTCCCGCTCAAGACCCCTACTTCGAGACTGTACCCGCAACGCGACTCGGCATAAAGACAACCAAGAAGGTGAAGAGAGCTCTTCCACCTGGCCTGACAGTACAAGAAGAACAGATCCTCAACAAGGCCAAGAAGCGCGCATACAGGCTGGATCTTAGTCTCTTCAGTCTGTGCGGCTTGAGGTTCGGCTGGAGCAGCGTCATTGGCCTTGTCCCTGCTATTGGCGACGTGGCCGATATGCTTCTTGCATTGATGGTCTTCCGGACGTGTTGCCAGGTCGACCCGCCATTGTCGACTTCAACCAAAACCAAAATGCAAATGAACATCGTCATCGATTTCGTCGTGGGCCTGATACCTTTCATCGGTGACATTGCCGATGCGGCGTATAAGTGCAACACCAAAAATGTCATCCTGCTGGAAGAAGAGCTGAGGGAGAGAGGAAAGAAGAGACTAAGACAGTCTGGACAGCAAATCCCAGTCGACTACAGCATGGCGGATGAGTTTGATTACCAGGCAGAAGACCATGTCCGCGCCGAAAGAGGAAACCCCCCGCAGTACTCTGAGCCGGTTCGTGGTGATTCCAGGCGCGATGGACGCAATCGACACGACGTTGAAGCTCAAAGAGGTGTGGCTCCACCGAGGCCTGCGAGGACCAGGTAGATCGGTGTACTGTGTGGACATCTCGTGGCTGCCAAGGAGTATCGGTAGTATTTCTTCTTACAGCATGTTTCGAGCTGGCGTTCTGTCAATAGTGTTTCATAGTGTCAATAAGCACATCCATTATGACATTAATCAAGTCAAAATAGAGTTGGTCTCTCATGTTTTAATATCCTGCTTCGTTCTTTGACAGCCATAGCAAAGTAGAGCGTCTAGGCTGCTACTCTGTATATTAGGCATAGAACACAACTTGCACCTCAACTGCTCTTCAGACCCATGGGCTGAAGGAACTTGTAGCTTTCCTACTGTCCTTACCACGTTCGCCATAATGCTAGGATACTTTTCTCCTTGTCCAGTAATGTACGTACTCATCAATGCATCGATGCTCGTCTGTCTCAAGCTCGCGGGTAGCTCTTCGACTCTTTCCGGGGCTTGGCATGCCTTTAAAGTGTCGTCCAAACACCCAAGATACATCTCCAGTTCTGTCTTGAATAGGTCTCGTAGCGGATAATTGAAATTTAATCCTTGCCAGGGACTAGGTCCATCACACAGGTCGGACGGAATGCCACCGCCTCGTCCCTTCGCTACTGACGCGAGAGTCAGTGCCGCTAGAGTGCTGTCGCTATGGGCCCAGATAATCGAGTCGCACAAGTTTTGTTTTGCGACCGCAACAAGTAAGCGTCGAAGAAGGAGTGTGGCTAGATCTGTCCGCGACGTCGCTGTACGTGTGCTTGTGATGATTGTGGTCAGGAGTTCAGAGTCAGTTTGTCCAACCGAAAGAGAAATCCCTAGAAGTTCTATATCTGACGCTATCCTTGAGTCATGTTCGAAGATCGAGTAGAGAGGTGTGGTTGGCAGGAAAGTATGCAGATCAAATACCTGTTTTGTATTCTCATACCACTTCTGCCCTGCCCCTGTGTTGCCCCATTTCTCGTCAACAGACAGATCAGTCCCAATGTGACAAACAACCAATTCATAGGCGGTTCGTCCCTGTTGGTTTAGTTGCTTTTTGATCTGTCTATCTAACACCTCTAGCAATACTAGTGAACTGACACCGCCAGAGAGAGGTAGCAGTAGACGTTTTTTTGACGATGAATTTACCGACGAAGTTTGACTCTGATTCTTGAAGCGATAGGTCTCCATACGCTTCAAGATCTTGCTGCTAATGTATTTTTTGAAGCATTCTTGGCAGAGGTGGCGCTTTCTGACTTCAAGGACTGCCGGGTTGCACTGACAGTCTGCGCATTGCAAAATGGCTGCGGGCATCTTGGACACGAATCGAGTGAGGAATACGCCAACATGATATTGAGTCTAAACTTTGAGTGCTGAGGGAGACACATCAACTTGAACTAGGAAAGCCCATGGAGCAGTCGCTTGAGTTGCCGTATTGAGAAGGGGGTGCAGATACTCGGTCAATTTTGTCGTGTTACTTTCACGATTCAGACGCATGTGCCTACCTACCTGCATGCAAATTGGAGCTCCCGACTCTGATCTGTGTTGCTTTGTGGACCACAGGAACTTCTTAGCTGTACCAGTCAACCGATATTCGTCTTGAACAAGCCGAATGTCCTCTCCCATTTATCCTTCACAATTGATCCATATTCAGAGTGTGCCTGAATTCCAAACTCCCTAATCATACATTCGAATGGTGTGGACGATATTGTGACTGCTGTTTCTTCGAGCTCGAGGCCCGACTTTTGGTGCTCAGTCTTTTTTTCTTCTAAGTCACCCCATAACACAAACAATTTCTCCTTCAATTGCCCGAACTCTTTATCGTTCGTTCTCAGATCGCAAGCCTCCATGTTTAGCAAATATTCAGCATCGCCTCCAGCAACCTGTAATAGCATCGTTGGTACTTCGCCATTGTCTAACTTCGAAGGAGTAGGATCTCGAACCATAAGGAAGAAATGCCATTCCCACTTCGCGACTCGATCCTCATCTCCATCTTCAGACTGAGCTGATTCGGGTGAGTCCCCCGAGCCTGCCACCTTTTCCGCGTCAGACATTGTCCGATCTGATTGTCGGTACGGTGCAGCAAAGTCCTCAAGCTTATCTGGAAAAAAGTCAACCACTTGTACCTCGCTTCTATATTTGCAGTTCTGAAACGGCATCTTGTAGGCGTTTCCTGCCGATGTGTTACGCTCGAGTTGTCGTGCGTCCATGATATCTGTTATTGTAGTCAAACCGACATTGATAGCCTCGCACCTAACGTGCTGGTTCGAGGTTGGTTTTGCTTGTGTAGTAGCCTCCAACCCTCTGTTTGCTTGCGCCTTTCTCTCTCTTTTCTTCTGGTTCTTGCTTTTTTTAGTGGGCGGCTGCCGCTCAGGCTCTACCTCTGCTGGTCGCTTCGACTTGAGCTCTCTAGACTGTGCTGTCTCTCTATATGCGCGTATCCTTGCCATTAGGCTCTTTGACGCTTCGTCTTTGGCCATCGTAGGATCGAAAAACTTGATTGCACTGCCTGAGCAACCTGCGCCTCTAAGATGGCCCTCGAGATATGCGCCACCTTTGTGCATCGCTATATGCACGTTCTTGATTCGCACCAGCGAACCTAGCTTGAACTGCTCGTTTTGAGCCAGATCTCGGACATGTTCAGCATAGCTGTCCCACAAATTAACAGTGATAGTCCTTCTACCACTAGGTCCTTGCCATCCATTCTTGTTCTTCTTTGCTTGCAAATACCCGAACTCATCACCGTCTTGACCTTCGGCTCCGTAGTCGTACAACAGATGGTGTTCTGTATAGTCGGATATTTTCAGCTCAACAGGTCTAGTAGTATAGAAACACCTCTCTACCTCTCCAAGGAGGTCGACAAACTGAGATCCAGAATGGCTAGGCGGATCAATGATATCTTTAACTAGTCGAAATTTCGAGGATTGTGTAACTCGAGGAGTACCTCCATTCGCCTTGATGATTGTCGCCTGGTCCAGAGCAGTACTCTTGGGTGGCCCACGTAGGGTGTTTCGATCTCTCATCTGCAGTAGTGATTTGGCATACTCGAACTCGCTAGGTGTGGGCCGAGGCCCCCGACCTGATCGACTATCAAGAACTGGTTCGTAGGGTTTTCTCAGTTCGACGTCAGCAAAGGCTGGATCTGTGCTGTCAAGAAGACTGAGGCCATTTATCACAACCCATGTAGATGCTGGACTGGTCAGACCCATCCACGTACCCTTTTTGTTGGATGTCTTTAGTCCTCGGAAAATCACAAGATCACCGATCTCATGGACTGCTGGAAACCGATATTTCTTCTTGTAGAACATCCTGGTTAGCATTCCATCATTGCCTAAATCTGTACAGTCGTTACAGCTCACATCCCACAGGTTGATCTTCATCGCAAGATCAGTCCCGTATGATTGGGCAGGTGGAAGGTAGTCGACACAAACACCCATGACATTGTACGGGGGCTCATCCCGACTGGCATACGCGTCGGCGACATTGATAAAGCTTGCTGGCACTCGTAGAGCCATGTCTCCGAGTTTTGTACCATGATTATAAATATCTCTATTATCTTGCACTTTCAAAGTTGGTAGCACGCGTATCTGCCAGGAACACGCGTTGAGTGAAATAGCCGGCCGCACCAAGCACGTGCCTGGCCAGATTAGCGTGGTCTTGGCTCCCGTGACTGCCTTTCGTGGCTGTTCAGGTTGCGGGCGCAACTCCCTCCATCTGCCAAAACAATTAATTTGAAGGCCACTATTCTTCTGCAAACTACCTGCTTCTTCGTTGGGGGTCTTCGATAGAAGGAGGCTATACAGAGCAGCTGTTACTATTCTAATCAAGTGCCAAACGTTTTAAGGAAGTTTCTGTCATCATGGCGGAGAGGTATATTCCAGAGCACCGACGTACACAATTCAAGGCGAAGGCTGCATTCAAGCCAGACGAACTGCGACGACGAAGAGAAGAACAGCAAGTCGAAATCCGACGGCAAAAGAGAGAAGAAAACCTAGCAAAGAGGAGAGGAATTCAGAGAGGTGATGGCGCTGTCGAAGCTGCTTTCACTGGTGCGGACAGTGATGACGAGGCGGGCAACATTGAAGGCGAAGTAGGTTGTGGTTTCAAAGTGACTGAGCATGAACTAACAGAGACACAGTTGAGCGTTGAGCTGCCTGAAATGGTGAAGGGTGTCTTCTCCGATCAGATCGATTCTCAAATTCAAGCCACAACCAAGTTCAGAAAACTCCTTAGCAAAGAACGAAATCCTCCTATCGAAAAGGTCATTGAGACTGGCGTCGTTAGTCGGTTTGTCGAATTCCTTCGGTCTCCTCACACCTTGGTGCAGTTTGAGGCCGCATGGGCATTGACAAACATTGCTTCTGGTTCAGCACAACAAACACAGGTCGTTATTGAGGCAGGTGCTGTTCCTATCTTTGTTGAGCTTCTGAGCAGCCCCGAACCAGATGTAAGAGAACAGGCTGTGTGGGCATTGGGTAACATCGCTGGTGACAGCCCAGCCTGCAGAGACTACGTATTGGCTCAAGGTGCTCTGAAGCCACTACTTGCTTTGATTGGAGACGGTCGAAAGCTGAGCATGCTTCGAAATGCCACCTGGACACTCAGCAATTTCTGCCGTGGAAAAACTCCTCAGCCTGACTGGCCAACTGTAGGTGTTACTGAAGAACAATTCAAGAACGCTACTGACCACTCCCAGATTCAGCCTGCCTTGCCTGTACTCGCTAAGCTCGTTTACATGCTTGACGACGAGGTTCTAATCGATGCCTGCTGGGCTATCTCATACCTATCTGACGGTTCGAACGACAAGATTCAAGCTGTGATTGAGGCTGGTATTCCACGAAGACTCGTCGAGCTGCTGATGCACGCCTCCACCTCGGTTCAGACCCCAGCGCTACGATCGGTCGGAAACATTGTGACTGGTGATGATGTTCAGACTCAGGTCATTATCAACTGCGGCGCATTGAATGCACTTCTCTCGCTGCTGAGCTCACAAAAAGATGGTATTCGAAAAGAGGCTTGCTGGACAATCTCAAACGTTACGGCAGGCAATTCCACACAAATTCAGTCGGTGGTAGATGCTGGTATCATTCCACCTCTCATCCAGTTGCTCTCGAATGGAGATTTCAAGACACGCAAGGAGGCCTGCTGGGCAATTTCAAACGCAACCAGTGGGGGTTTACAGAAACCAGAACAGATTCGCTACCTCGTCTCTCAAGGTTGCATCAAGCCGCTATGTGATCTTCTTGCATGTCCCGATAATAAGATTATTCAGGTCGCCCTTGATGGATTGGAGAACATCCTCAAGGTTGGCGAAATGGACAAGGAAGCTGCCAATCCTGGTGCTCCAGACGCTAATGTCAATCGATATGCACTCTTCATCGAAGAAGCTGGTGGTATGGAGAAGATTCATGACTGCCAGAACAATGCCAACGAGGAGATCTATATGAAAGCTTACAACATCATCGAGAAATACTTCTCTGATGAAGAGGATGCTGGTGCCGACATTGAAGAGGTTGCCCCTACAGCCAACGCTCAGGGCTATACTCTCAATGCTCAACAACCACAAGGACAATTCAACTTTGCCAACGGCAGTGACTCCATGGATATGTAATTTCTTCTCAGAAAGTTGATATGGACTTGTTCCAAGCACCACAAAACTTCCCACATCGAGCCGGGCCCTCTAGCGTTGAGGTGGCAGTCGAGAACGAACACAGCGTGATTGCCAATACCCTCGAGGACCTTCCCTGCCGATTCTTCCCACTACCATCGCGACGATACTACCACGTACGACCTATTGAAGATACCCAATCATGTACCACCCCCCCACATGTTTTCCGACATAAGCACAATGTTTCACACGAGCATTTGAATAGAGGCGTTGATAATGGAAATGGTTTATTGAGACAGCATGCAGATTATGCTGATGATGGATGGCAACAGTTTGACGCAGTGTGCAAATGGCAGGAGAGTGTTTGGTGAGGCAGCTTGAAGTCGCTGAGATGTTCTTTCATAAGCTACGACAGTGTTTAACTGTGATATTTGAAGCCAAAAAGAATACCAAAAACATTCCAAAATGATGTCTTCGGGACGCTTCTCTCGCCATGGATCTAATCTTTGCTAAGACAGCCACCTGAAATCCGTGTAGAACGAGCGTCGCCTTCGTGAATGTGCAAGGCATACCACGTCCATGAACGGGTCAGCCTGTGATCTAAGTACACAAGCTAAAGCTATTGATTGGTCATACTACATGAAGTTTTGTAGAAACCTCCGAACAACAACGACTAGTCGAGGTTAATTGTCTCAGCCTGCTTGTGCTTCGGCGGCCGACCTCTTTTCTTGGGCGCTGGCGCGGGTGCTGTCATCGCACTCAAAACTGCACCTTCCACGCCCGCACCCTCCTCCTTGATCCGCACTTCGGGACTACTTGGTCCCTCAGCACTGTCCTGAATCATTTCGTCATCTCCCTCAGCATCGGAGGAACTAGTCTCGCTGTCGTCAGCTGCGACCGCGGCATCACTACCAGCTGCGGCCTTTGTGGCTCGCAGTCGCTCCTGCCGCTTCCGTCGTGCTCGCTCCCTATCTCGTCCTTTCAGGCGTGTTCGCAGTTCGATGCCGGGACTACTCATCCGATTCAGCCATTCGTCGTTGTCGAGTGCGCTGCGTAGCTGGGTGTGAGTGGCGCCGTCGGCATTCGTGAAGAGTTTGGTGTTCCCTGCTAGACTCTGCTCGAATACTTCGTCCTCCTTTTCGATCCATTCGTACCTTTTCCACTTCTCATTTTGGATATCCCGTAACAATCGTGCATTAAGATTAAGATTTCTATCCTTCGCATCCTCTCTCGAGGTATCTTTAATTTTCATCTCGATAGCTTTGGTTTCTAGCTTTACCTTACTGTCTGGATCCTGCTGTTGTTGTTGCTGTCGTGACGGTTCGGCCTTCGTTTTCGAAGCACTTTCGATTCGGCGCTTGGCTTCTTCTTGGGCGTCGATGTGGTGGAGTTGTGGCCGGAGTTGGACTACGGCGTCTAGGTGTCGAAGGCGTATCTGGTTAGACTGACGGTTGAGGTTGGCGAGCATGTAGACCGGGTCACGGTCTGTTGAGGTGGAAATTTTGCCGCCTAATGTTTGTGTTCGGAGGGCTGTGTCACGTAGATGAGACTCTTCGTCGTCCAGATTGGTGCCGTGAGGTGGTGCATTCAAGGCGTTTTGCGCAAAACCACCGCTAAGTCCGTGGCCGGTGTATGGGTTTGCGACTTGTGAATCGTGCATTGCACGACCTAGTGAAGTGCCCAAGGGAGTGTTGTAGTTGTCTGTGGTAAGTATAGGGACGTCGACTTCGACGATACCCGTTGATGGTTTTATCCGGAAAGAGCTTGGACGTTGCGAACGGGCCGTGTTGTATGGTTTCGAGGATGGCCTATGAGCTGGATATTGAAGTACGTAGTATTTTGGCTGTTTTTGCGGCATTACGGAAGAGCTGGCATCAGGGCCTCGAGGCTCGCCTGTGTTTGTTTTGTCTATCGCTGGTGGAAGAGGAGGGGACGAAATGTAAACATCGTACGAGGCTATGACTGGATCGTCCTCGTCTGGTGGCATCTTGTCCTTACTGTCGCTCTTACCCACCACTTTTGGACCCTCACGAGAAGTCCTAGATGAGAACTGTTCGTCGAAAAAATTAGCAGACACAGTATCTGATTTGTCACCTCGCGAAGAAAGGGTATTGTATTTTTGTATATTCACATAAGTGAAGAACAAATTCACGACCAAACGAAGCAAAATATATGTTTTTGAGTTTAAGCACTTCTTAGTGATAGGCTAATCCTGAACTAGTGGAAGATCTAGCCTGGTTAGTCAATAGTGCCGTGTCTTCACTTCCGAGTCCGGGTGTGTTCAGCTCATGTCTGAGTTGTACATACTGGTTCTGGGTTCACCTTCGTAGTTCTCGGTCAGGTACAACAATAGACAAGGATGGCGCGTCAAAGTTCTCATTGCTCCCTAAGGAGCTGACAGCCCTAGCTAGCAACAATGGTCATGGATATGACCGGTCCAGCTCCAACTCTACAACTTGACATGTCAATCACGAACGACCTACACATCAAAGGCTTCGAGACACTTGGTGGGCAGATCTTCTACTACAGGCCAAACACAAGCTCAGACCAGCAAAACATGAAAAAGACATCTTCACCTGACCTCATTATAATCTGCTCATGGCTCTACGCGCGTCAAAGGCACATCGCACAGTATTCGGAAACCTATCGTCGAATCTACCCTCAGTCACGAATCCTGCTTCTGAAACAAGATGGTCCCGATCTCATATGGCGACCGAATGCTTGGCAAATGCAGGAAATGAAGCCAGCCGTCAAAGTCATCAAGGAACTCGAAGCTGGCGCCAAAGGAAGACCATCGATATTGTTACACAGCTTTTCTAACGGAGGTGCCTTCACTAGCTGTCAGCTGGCTGATGCATACGCCCTGCACTGTGCAGGCGAATTGCTTCCGATCTCGGCGGTGGTCATCGATAGTGCGCCAAGTATCCCCACCGCACGTGTAGGCTGGACTGCAATGTCGCAAGGCTTTCCCCCGTCCCTACCTGCACCGGTCCGTATGTTAGGTGGCGCATTAATGTATGGTTGTATGTCAACAGTCGGCACCTTAGGGAGGCTGGCGGGCATTGAAGGCTCAATGACCGGGTTGCGACGGAAGCTGAACGATTCTGCTGGGTCGTTTATGCAGGAAGGCCTGAAACGAGTCTATATATACTCGGATACCGATGAGTTGGTGCCCTGGACTCACGTTGAAGCTCACGCGCAAGAAGCGAAAGAGGTCTTGAGGTCGAACAGAGGCGAAGAAGCTGCCAAGCTGGTACAGCTGGAGAAGTTTGTAGGAAGCAAGCATGTGGCCCATGCAGTAATGGATGGGGAGCGTTATTGGAACATCGTCCAGCAGTTGTGGGAAGGCTTGGAGGCCACAGAACAGCCTCAGCATAAAGAAAAACCGTAAAAGTTGTACGCAAGAAGCAAGTCAAATTGTGCTTTCGAGTCGAGCTCTTGTCAAGATGACCGCCCCAGCCTAACGTATCCTAGCTTGGCATAGCACACTTCGGCCTCAGACCTCTCAGTCTGTTTGCGATGAACCGATTCCACGTTTACTCCGTGTTGAGGATCAAACAAGCACAGTCGCATCATGTCGAATGGCTCTCAGTCCTCTACTTCTGGTATTGGGGAACAAGTCATGCTTGGTTAATTGTGCTGGTTGATGTGCTCCGCAGCAAGGGTGAGTGTGAGATGGAACGTCCACGGGCTGTGTTGATTACCTTGTGTCGCATGGGACTTCTGAACTATCAGTCAGCCTCAGCGGAGAGAACAAAATGTATAACAGATCGCTACATTGTCATGCCGTGGCGCAACGAGTCGACAACCATATGCGTCTACCTCTGTATGACCCATTGGAGTGCCTGTGGGTCGTGCTCGCGAGTCACGTTTGTCCTCCCTTCACGTATATAGATGTGAAGCTTCTTTGCTTCCATCTCTTGCCGCCCATGCCTCACGCGATTTGAAATCTGCTATCAATTGACCATGATGGATAAATGTCAAATCCAGCGACCTTTGAAGATCTCGTCGTCGCTTGTAAGAAGAGGTTACGACCGAATCCGGACAAGGGAGTTCGAGGATGTCAGCAAACATCTGTTCTCTGCACAGGGCCAGCCACCGTCACTGCAGATACTTCAGCAGCCGGCAGCAATCGACTCGGCTCTTGATGCACACAAGCATGCACCAACGGATACAAGATCGACCCTTCCATACGATGAGGATCTCACAAAGATAGACACATCCGACAAACTGTCGGTTGGGCACGATCCCAGTTCGTCAACGTGGACGTTCGTTGAAGTCGTGGATGCAGACCAATTGAACACAGTGCTACCGCATAACAAAAGACGCTTAATGATACGTCTACAGCAGGAGCATTCTTTCGCGCGTCTATCCATCACAGAAGCTCTGTACAACAGTCTTTGCGCAGAACTACAGATCTTTGACGCTCTGCGTGATGTACTGATGCATTTCGGCGTGCGTGCAAGGGAAGTCGAAATCGCACCTCAACGTATGAGATGGCAGACGCTGAAAGACAGCAGCAGCAGCAAGGACGAAGCCCACCGAGGCTGGGAGTGTGCTTACTGCCTGAGGTACCTACAGCCGAATCACCGCTCTTCGGGTCAACCTTGGTCACTCAGGCAATTCACCGTCTATAATAAAGTGCAGCTCTCTGATGTTCGATCAACGTGGCTATTTGTGTCTGCTCCAGAGGACGTCGTTGGCGGCATCAACAGTACGTTACCCGAGAAAGAATACGACATTTGTTTGACAGATGTCGAAACACATTGCTCAATCTCAATGACCACAATGGCATTCTGGAGATCATATGTGGTCTATTTGTCGAAGGTTGTTGAAGAATATGTATGTAAGCCATATTCGACTTCCCTCATCACTGTACTAACATAACACCAGACCGGCAAAGTGAGCTTCGCCAACCCTGCCGGCTGCCACATCATAGATGTAGCAAAAGAGGGTATGTTGGTGCAATTGAAGCACATCGATGATGACATAGTGGACGCCGTTTTGGCACTGGAGGTCAACATTGACCAGATGAAGTCGTTGTTAATGATGTGGAAGCGATGTGGTGTTCACGTTGGCACCAAGGATGATTCGAGCTCGGTTACACCAACGATGCACGAGGTTATGTTGGACGTTGAGGCTATACTTAGACAGCTTCGTTCTTTGCGGGACAAAGTCGCGACTTGCACCTTCTTAGCCTCACGTTTCGCAGAACTAGGATCCGGGACCTCTCTGAAAGAGAATGGCGAAGATCTATGCAAGTAGGTGGTGCTGAGACCCGTCAGAGCGAATGATACCTACCTCGGCCACACTCAAGGATTATGATCATCAACTGCTGGCATCCGAACACGTTACCGCCGGACTAAATCACCAAGTCCACCCGCAAGTTCGCCAGGATGCAGTGGAACCCTCTTCACATGCTCAGGTGCTCGACTTCTTGCAGTCTTAACTGACGTGTTATAAGGAGCAAGCAATGTTCAAAGAACTGGGAGGCTGGTTGATATTGAAGGTCAAGGCGCAGAGTGGACGTCAGTCGTGCGAGAAAACTCTCTAGCAGGCGATATGGCGCACACAGTTTATAGAGCACATGAAGAACATTCGAGCTTTTCACTATTGAACGAAGGCTTCATACTCAATCGTCTTCCGCATTAATTAGTGCATCTTCGAACACCTCGTCCTCGGTGTCAGTTGCCAGGGAGTCGAGTTTCATCAGCAAGCGATCCAGCGTGCGTGTTTTCACAGGCTCAAACATATCGTCTGTTCCAGAAGTTAATGCTATGCCCGCAATACCTGAGCTCAGATCTCTTGATTCGTACTGCTTGTCCGCCTCTCTCATCTGTGTTACCAGCTCGTGCACCCGGCTAGCCAACGTGCTGTTAGTCCTGGACAGTTCTGCCATTAGATCTTGCTCTTCCTTTGCATATTGTGGCAAAGCATTCGGTATTTCCTCATCCAGCTGAAGATCAAGGCTTTGCCTGACAGCTTGTAAGCGCCGGAACAAAGCGACGAAATGGTCGATGGTATTGAGCAAGCTGCGAAGGGCGTTGATGTAGGCCTCGTTGCTCAGAAGAAGGGAATGATATAGTGCCTCGAGGTATCTTCGATGAGCGATAGCAATAATTCTTGGGTCATCTCTGCGGCGTGAGTTCACCGACTCAGTTGATTCACGCATAGCACAAAGTTTGGAAGAGGCCGTCGTTGGCCTTGAGGACGGTTGTGATGAGGTTGGGCGAGTAGTTGGGGTTGACCATAGCCAAGACTGCAGCTGGTTCCAATTCTTGTCTAAGACCTCGCCATGGAAGTAAGAGGAGGTTTCTGATAGAAGGAACAGAACTTGACTGGCGCATGCCCAGTGAGTACGCATACTTCGGTTCCTTGTATCCTCACGTGCACTTCGTCTTTGCACCTGCTGCTGGCTCTTTCTCGTAGTGCTCAATGAGGCAGTGGGTATTGTCCGATACCTGCGATATGCTGGTATTGCCCATAGCTTGGCAAGTTGTGCTTCAGCACGGCGCAGAGACACCAGGTACGCATTCAGCGTCGAGTACCGCTGCAGATCTGAAGACGAGACAAAGATGTGCAACGGGGAATCGTTGGGTAGTTCTAGGACTAGACTCGCTGGTCTGGGTAGCAAGGTGCTGATAGGCAGTGAGGACGAACTCATCTTCAGACGTAGCCAGGAAGAGGCTTTCTCGCGTAAAGGATCGTCAAATTCATGGTCCGAAAGAAAGGTAGATAGTTCCGACCAGGTCTTGCTGAGGGCATTTGACACGTCAGCCTCGTTGAACGTCAAGAATTCGAGCCCGCTTGGCTTTCGTGCTGCTTTCGACGTGGCTGTTGTTGCTTGGCTAGCGACCAGACATTCTTCTGCCTGCTTGATCAGAGATGCAGAGAATTCACCTTTTCGAAGTAGTACATAATCGTGAGCAATGGTTAGAAAATCGAGGATCATGTTCATAGGCAGCAAATGGGACAAAGCAGCCTGCGAGATGGCGTCGTTGATAGATTCGATGGCATGCGTGATAGCGTTAGGCTGTAAAGGATAGGAAAGCGCCTTGATCTGGTTCAGTGATGCTGGCATCAAGATAGTACACATGTTGCTAGAGGTGCGGTTGTGCTGAGGGCCAGACCAAAGCCGAGACTTGATCTGATTAAGAGTCTTGCCAACTGCTAGAATGGCATCTGCAACACCTGTAGTAATGAAGTATGGAATTAAACTGGGTTGTAAGATATACTCTATATCGTTGTTGGCCTGCACTGAATGGATCATAAAATCAGCTGCACCAAAGTTTGGCAACTGTCCATAGAGCAGCCAGGGGGTAAGACTCTGCACCCATGCCTGCTGAGCGGTTATTAGAAGGTCCCCCGACAAATCCTTGATGTCCGTGTAGCCAGTTTGGCCTTCCTTGTGCAGAAAAGCAAACAATTTGGCTGCGGAACAAGGTAGGGAGGTAGGCGACTGTAAAAGCTGCATCAATTTTGAGAGCCAACGGAGTGGTCTGGCCCATGGCTGGAATTCAGTCACAATTGTGCTCAACGGAACGATCTTGTATGCGCCAACATATTGGGCGTCTTCCTGGAGAATCAAGGTTTCAACATCCACGACCTTTTTAACAAACCTTCGCAAGTGGCATGTAGCTATGCGATTGGTGACAGCTCGACAGGTAGGAGAGGGATGGGAACTGGACAGGGTGGATGTTGCTTCCCTTAGTCTACTGTGCAAGTCAGCAAGCTCTGCCAATGTTTGCAACATTTCTCGCTCCGCTGGCGAGGTGTGTTTCCTCAAAGAGTCATCGTCCTCTGCTTTCAAGTCATCCCATATAGGAGAGGACAAGCCAGCCAGGGAGAGCAGAATCTCATGCAGCATGGCTGGAAAGATGACAGGGTCGCAGCCTGAGGAGTTTCCAGCATTACTAATTCGAGGGATCTCTGCTTGTGGGATACAATCTTAGAACTCGATGGACATTGAAGTCTGATTCCAGTATCTCGAAGCAAGTAATGGTGTGCAGGAGGACGCTTCGAGCTTTAGGGAAGCCTCAACCAACTTGAACTCAACGCGTTCCGACGCGTCTGCAAAAATCGACGCGAAATGGTCAATGGGCATGCACGACGATCGGTCTTTCTTTTCGTGAGTGGAAGCAAAGGTCTGATCGCGCCTACCGTTTTGACGCGTTCCAGTATTGTTCTGTAGTCACGTTGAAGTCGTCAGTGTTGCTTTCGTTTCTAGGCAGAAAGGACAAAAAAATAGGAACCTATAGGCGGCTACAACCCCAGCGAATTAGCTGCTGGTTGTTCTCCTTTGAACCACGCCAGCTTCGCGAATCTTCTTTCACAATCACTACTCAAGCTAAAGCCAGGCATATCTGTTCCTTTACTGCGATTAAGTACACTTACGGCAGCCCCTGCAAGTACTAGTATTCCCAGAGCACACTTTTGCAGGCACTCGTCGCTACACTTTTGCTCTTACAAATCCGCAGTCAAGGCTGTGCTCAAGTCTACGCTACGTCACTTATCCATTTCATACCACTTAAGAACTTCCCAATCCTCCATCGCCGGTCTTGCGTGAGGCAAGGCCACCGTCACCATTTCACCTCACGCCGAACCAGAACTTTCTCTTCGGGCTGGTACCAAGAGAAAAGCGTCGTCTGAAGATTTAGCACAACCCGAAAAGAAAAAGATGAATACTCAAGGCGACGCAGTAATGGAGGTGGACCAGCCAGAGGCTGCCATCGAGCAACTAAAGAATGGCGAGATAGATGAGTCGCTGTACAGCAGACAGCTGTACGTGCTTGGTCATGAGGCCATGAAGCGCATGGGTTCATCAAACATCCTCATAAGCGGACTGAAAGGTTTGGGCGTAGAGATCGCAAAGAACATTGCTCTCGCTGGTGTCAAGTCTCTGACCCTACACGATCCACATCCTGCTGCCATTGCTGATCTTTCCTCCCAATTCTTCTTGCATCCTGAGGATGTTGGTAAATCGAGAGCCCAGGTCACTGCTCCCAGAGTCGCCGAATTGAACTCCTACACTCCAGTGTCTGTCCACGAATCGCAGTCCCTCACAGACGATCTATCACAATTGAAGAACTATCAGGTCGTCGTCCTAACGAACACCCCCCTAAAAGAGCAATTGAAAATCGCAGACTTCTGTCACCAGAATGGAATCTACCTTACCGTCGCAGATACCTTCGGTCTGTTCGGTTACATCTTCAACGATTTCGGCAAGAATTTTACAATTGGTGACGCCACCGGTGAGAACCCAATAAGTGGCATAATCGCAGACATAGACGATTCTGGTCTGGTGTCGGCTTTAGACGAGACCAGACACGGCCTCGAAGACGGCGACTTTATCGAATTTGCTGAGATCAAGGGTATGGATGGGTTGAATGCTGCTCCCCCTCGAAAGATTACCGTCAAGGGCCCCTACAGTTTCTCCATCGGTGACGTATCCGGACTGGGCAAATATCAGGGAGGTGGCCTTTTCTCTCAAGTCAAGATGCCCAAGATCCTGGACTTCCAACCACTATCGGAACAGCTGAAGAGCCCTGAACTTATGATCTCAGACTTTGCGAAGTTTGACCGACCACAACAGCTGCATGTCGGTATCCAAGCACTGCACGCCTTTGCTGAGCAGAATGGAGGACAAATGCCTAGACCGCACAACGACGCCGATGCGAAAACTGTTCTCGACCTTGCCAATAAGGTTGCCAAAGAAGCAGGCATCGAAGTCGAATTCGATAGCAAAGTCATCACCGAGCTCAGCTACCAGGCGCGAGGTGATCTCAGTCCAATGGCTGCCTTTTTTGGTGGCTTAACAGCTCAAGAGGTCCTAAAGGCAGTGTCAGGAAAATTTACTCCCGTCAGACAATGGATGTATTTCGATTCGCTCGAGTCAATTCCCTCATCGGTCGCGCGTTCAGAAGAACTTTGCCAGCCTCAGAACTCCCGTTACGATGGTCAGATTGCCGTTTTTGGACGCGAATTCCAAGACAAGATCTCTAATGTCCGCAACTTCTTGGTCGGCTGTGGAGCCATTGGCTGTGAAATGCTCAAGAACTATGCTATGATTGGTCTTGGTTCTGGTCCGAACGGTCACATCACTGCCACTGACAACGATTCTATCGAAAAGAGCAATCTCAATCGACAGTTCCTTTTCCGACCAAAAGACGTGGGCAAGCAGAAGAGCGATTGTGCTGCTGCAGCAGTACAAGCTATGAACCCCGATCTCAAGGGTAAGATCACGACCATGACAGATCGTATAGGCCCGGACTCTGAAGATGTCTTCGACGAAAATTTCTGGGCCGAGTTGGACTTCGTGACAAATGCTTTGGACAACGTCGAGGCCAGAACATACGTTGATCGTCGTTGTGTCTTCTTCATGAAGCCATTGCTAGAAAGTGGCACCCTTGGCACCAAGGGCAATACACAAGTCGTTCTGCCTCGCCTCACAGAATCCTATTCTAGCTCACAGGACCCACCAGAGCAGTCATTCCCCATGTGCACTTTACGCAGCTTCCCCAACAAGATCGAACACACCATCGCCTGGGCAAGGGACTTGTTCCAGTCGTACTTTGTTGGGCCACCTGAGGTCGTTAATCTCTACCTGACACAACCTGACTACATCAACACCACACTCAAGCAGCAGGGCAATGAGAAGCAGATACTCGACAGTCTAAAGGACTTCTTGGTCTCGGATAAACCATCGGACTATAATGATTGTATCGCCTGGGCGCGCATGCAATTCGAAAAACAATACAACAACGCTATCCAGCAATTGCTCTACAACTTCCCCAACGACGCAAAGACGTCGTCGGGAGCCGATTTTTGGTCAGGTCCGAAACGATGCCCAACGCCACTTAAATTCAGCACTTCTGATGAGACACATATGGGCTTTGTCATTCATGCCGCGGCTCTGCACGCCTATAATTTCAACATCAAGGTGCCACAGCTGTCTCCCAAGGACTATGCAAAGGTCATGGACAGCATGATGATCCCCGAATTTAGGCCTGATGCCAACGTGAAGATTCAGGCTGACGAAAAGGAGCCCGATCCTAATGCCAACCAACCCGCTTTTGACGACCAAGACGAGTTGAACAAGATCATTACTTCTCTACCAAATCCGAAATCAATGCCAGGGTTTCGACTAAATGTAGTTGAATTCGAGAAGGACGACGACTCGAACCACCACATCGATTTTATCACTGCGGCAAGTAATTTGAGAGCCATGAACTACGGCATCACACTCGCAGACCGACACAAGACCAAATTTATTGCAGGAAAAATCATTCCGGCAATTGCCACCACGACAGCGTTGGTTACAGGTCTTGTAATCTTGGAGCTCTACAAGATTGTCGATGGCAAGGACGACATCGAACAGTACAAGAACGGTTTCATCAATCTAGCTTTGCCCTTCTTTGGGTTCAGCGAACCTATCGCAAGTCCCAAGGGCACATACAAAGGCAAGAATGGAGATGTCACAGTTGACAAGCTTTGGGACAGATTCGAGGTCGACGACATCACGCTCACGGAGTTCCTCAAACACTTTGAAGAACTTGGTTTGTCGATCACCATGGTCAGCTCCGGTGTCAGTCTACTATATGCAAGCTTCTACCCACCAAGCAAGACGAAGGATAGGATGCCATTGAAGATGAGCAAGCTGGTCGAGACAATAAGTAAAAAGCCTATCCCAGAACATCAAAAGAACGTTATTTTCGAGATCACAGCTGAGGATGCCACGGAAGAAGACGTTGAAGTACCCTATGTTATGGTCAAATACAGAAAGTAGATGGCAGCGAATATGCTGGGTGATAGTGCGAGTGGTATTATTTTCCGTATGGCAGGCGTGCGAGCGAGCGATTGTCGCATGGGATAGAGAGCGAAGTCTTTCCAAGTGGAAGCGCAATTCATAGACAAGTAGACTTGGCGACCTGAGTATCGTAATCGAGGTCTTAGGCGACTCTTCATCCATTAGCGCCCAAACACCACATATTACCAAGCCGAAGAAGTGAATTGTCCACGGTTTGTCAACTCCTGATTGCTCATGTTCGAGTAAGCAGCCGAAGGTCCACGTTTGCCACTTTAGCATCGTGACCTCACTACTGGTGCAATTGCTTCCCCACACCTAATTACCCATGCTGCATTTGGCTTTGAAAGCATTACCTGAAACAGAAATATTTCGATACATATAATCAGAGCCATAAGTCTTGCTTGCTGTGGGATTGCCTCGTTCTGCAGAGCTTTGGTTCATGTTCAAAGTGCACATCGCATCAAGACCCGTCCTTCGCGCATCACTACTCTTGAATCACATCAGTGCAAGACCAGTGCCATTATCTTCCTCAACTAGAAGGTATCTCACCTCATCACAGGTCAACAAAGCCATGGTATGATGAACCGACCCACTTCTAAAGTCCTTGTGCTGGGCTTCTCCTTGCTGCTCTTGCGAGCTGTGGCTGTGCCAGCCCGCCCTCAAACTCTTTGCTAACACGGGACACGTGCCCCTACAGGACAAAGCACCTGATTCAGGTTCTATCACGTCTTATGCTGGGAAAGACGGCGAGTTCAAGCGACAGCAGTCTAAATTTCGCAACTTTATCTCCAAAGAGCCAGGTGCCGAGTTTCCTCCGGAGAAGGGAAGGTATCATCTCTATGTCAGCTATGCGTGTCCTTGGGGTGAGTTAAAGTCAGGAAATTCTGGTCGACAAGCCAGTGCCCACGTCAAACCAAGATTATAGGTAGAAGCTGACTGAGTGTTGCCAGCACACCGAGCCTTGATTGTCCGGAAATTGAAGGGGCTTGAGGACATCATCCCATTCACAAGTGTACATTGGCACATGGGAGAGAAAGGTAAGATCACAAGCGTAGCAGACGCTGCCCGACGGGAATATGGCAGAGGAACGTCGTACCACCCGCTTGCGTTCGCCCTATATCGAGGATGTCAAGACTAACATGCCCCTCACAGGCTGGCGATTCAAGCAAGACGACGAAGATGACGTTCCAGGCGAGAACGTAACCAAAGACCCTCTACACCCAGAATTTTCGCATCTCCGCGAGCTATACTTCAAAGCCGACAAGGACTACTCCGGCCGCTTCACCGTCCCCACCCTCTGGGACAAGAAGAATGAAACCGTAGTCAGCAACGAATCCGCCGAGATCATCCGCATGTTCTACACCGAATTCGACGACCTCCTACCAGAGAAATACCGAACTCCCAACGTCGACCTCTTCCCCAAAAATCTCCAGAGCACAATCGAAGAAGCCAACGACTGGACCTACAACGACATCAACAACGGCGTCTACAAATCCGGCTTCGCGAGCTCCCAAGAAGCCTACGAGAAAAACGTCCAAACACTATTCAAATCCCTCGACCGCGTTGAAGAACACCTCTCCACCTCGCCAGGTCCCTTCTACCACGGCGACAAAATCACCGAAGCAGATGTCAGACTATTCACGACCATCATCCGCTTCGACGTCGTCTACGTCCAGCACTTCAAGTGTAATATCCGCGATATCAGGTCGGGATATCCGGCTATTCACCGCTGGGTCAAGAACCTGTACTGGAACGTGGAGGCTTTTGGACCTTTGACGACACAGTTTGAGCATATAAAACGACATTATACGAGGAGTCATGGTCAGATTAACCCGTATGCGATTACGCCGTTTGGACCGGTGCCAGATATTCTGCCTATTGGTGAGGAGGTTCCTGCTGCGGAGGTGTTGAGGAAGGAGAGGGGTCAGGCTGTGCGTACTGAGAAGATGCAGAGTCAGGTTCAGGGTTGAGAAGAAGAAAGAGAAGTCCCATGATTATGCAGAAGGTGCTAAGAGTCAAGATGTGATACGTAGTGTATTCCAATATTGATCTATTGACGCTCTATGAGAAAAGAATCCAAGCTAAGTACTATAGCACATATCCAAAGTGTAGATCGAGGTAGGGTATATTTTCAAAATTCCATGATCACCAAAGCCCACCACTGTCTAGTAATGACCAAAACTCCTTTTCTTTTTTGCACCATAGCGCCATGCTAAAGCAAGACTGGCCCACAACTGTGTATGAGACGCCTTTCACGCAACATGATCTACCGTTCACGACACAGCAGCCTCGGGAAACCATTGCGAAATAGCCTGACTCAATCTCTTCATACTCACTGGTTTGCAGAAAAATTCATCAACGCCCGCTTCGAAACTCGCTTTCCTGTCAGCCACAGAATCCTGTCCTGTAATCATGAAGATAATCGACCTCGGAAGGCATTCCTGTTGTTCAAGTGCGCGAATCTGCTTAGTCGCCGAGATCCCATCGCACTCAGGCATCTGCAGATCCATCAGGATTAACGTGAATGTCTGCCGCTTGATCATTGAACGGAACAAATCGACGGCTTGGTTACCGTTCACTGCCGAGCCAAACTCGAATTTTCTTTTTTTGCAGAAGAACTGCAGGACGGAGAGATTGACATTGTTGTCGTCGACTAGGAGGACTTTGATAGGTTTTGGCGTCGGAGGAGCTGGGGTACTGATGACTAATCTCTCTAACTCGACGATTGGGGTCGGTGGTGGTGTTGCTTCGCAAGAATTGGTATCTGTGCTTGCGTTGCTGTTGGAGCGAGGCTGAGCATCTGGTGAATGGATGAGTGGCTGGGGTGTAGGGTCGGGCCGTTCATGCTTTGCGATAGCTTCATCGGCTTCGGCAAGGATGTCGTCGAGCCGAGCTGCGAAGAAGGGGCCGGTGAGGATAGATATGTGGTGTGGTTTCAGGGCGTCCAGCAGACAAGCTCGCAAGTGGTCGTCAGTAGGAGCAGACTTCACGATGAAGACAGGATGGGGATTCTCAAGTAGGTGTATAGGGCAGTCGTCATAGCCAGTTAAAGGGTTTGGTTCGCTCAAGATGATCAAAGATCCCTCGGCTACGTCGCTCTTCTCCAAACCACAAGACTTCAGGTATTCCTCCAGATGAGAGAGCAGATGGAGATTCTTCGATGGTCCTTTCATGATGTGAAAGGTATGTGGGACATGGCGGGTCTTGCGTGTTGCGTGGCGCACTGGCATGGTTGGCCTGGCAGCAGTGTCAACCTCAACATAGGGTATCTCCAGGCGGAAACGAGAGCCGACTCCTTCCTGAGACGAGACAAGATACAGCTTTCCCTTCAATGCGGACGCCATAAGACTTGCGAGACTCAGACCGAGTCCGGCACCTTTAGAGTATTCTTGTAATTTTTCGAATGCCACAAAAATCCTATCGTGGTCTCTTTCTGCAATGCCAAGTCCAGTATCGGTAACATCAAAAGTCAGTAAGTTGTCGGTTGTGGTCGAGGTTGTTGTAACGATAATGCTGCCAACCTGAGTTGCAGCAACGCTGTTGAAGAGTAGCGCTTTCAATATTTCTTTGACCATTTCCCAGTCGATGCCAACGATAGTGGAACCAGCAAGAGAGCTTTCAAATCGTATGGATAAGCCCATAAGTGCCTCTTCGGAGTAATTACCCAATGTCTCGTCCAGCAGGTCGGCTTCGATACATCGTAGGTCGTATACTGAGTCTACTGCAGACGTATCCAGACTGTGACCCGAAATTGCATTGAGTCGAAGTATGTTGTTCACAGTTGTCATCAACTCGGTTCCAGAAGAGCGAATTGTCTTCAGGAAAGAGTCCAGAGGTGCCTCTTGTTGAGAAGTAACGCCGGTCAGCAGGTTCCGTGCCCGAAGCTCGTCGCCCAACAGCTCGACGCTGCTAAGTATTCCGTGAATAGGCGTCCTCAGCTCGTGTCTTATGGAGGACAAGAAGCGTTCCTTAGCGGCCAGTGCTTCTTTGAGGTAGCGTGCTTGCTGAACATCATGAATGATAGATGCTGCCTGCTCGGTAAACCACACATCGAGGTCGTCGAATATATAGCGTATGTTGTAGGTAGATACAATCAAAAGCTGGTCATTGGGTGTGATCTGACCAATGACAGCGCGTACTGGGCGATCGCACGGTTCATACGAGCATCGTGCAGCTTCGATTTTGCTCTTGACGAAAGCGTCATCCTCCCAAAACCCACCTTCAACAGATTCGAGCGTTACCTTGATTGCTGATGGAAGATCAAATTCGTTATTCCGCAAGTGAACGATACTGACCTCAGAATCTGGGTATTGTTGTGCTAGAGCCTCGATTGTGGATGCTTCAATGTTGCCCTGGTGGACATCGGAACGAAGTCGGTTTAGCACGTCCATCATAACCTGTCGCTCTTTCAAGCGGCGTAATCTACACCTTGACACCAATTCTCCGCTAACCATGTTTGCGGCTCGGATCAGGCTGCGCTTTTGGCTGTCGTCTAAAGGAGCTTGAACACTACGGCTGGCAAGACAAAGGGAACCAAAATTGACGGTTTCGCCATCGTGTCGAGTCAACAATACTTGGGTACCAGCGTAGGACCTCAGTCCACCATATTCAGCAGGTGGTGAGAATTTGAATCGCCAATCCTCCAACATGTCTCTGACCGTGAAGACTGTTCCCGGATGCTGGTTTATCGTGTGGGAGCAGGGGCTCTCCCGGCGTGGTATCATAGCCAATGACATGTTCGTGGTAACAATACGGGAAAAGGTTTCAGCTTCGACGATGCCGATGATCCCAATTTCCCAACCACCCAAGAATTGCTTGACCATCTCCAGTATTTGAGACAATTTCTGAAGTAGTTCGGCATCCTCCTGAAGACCTCTTGTATAATACCACAACATCGTGAGTCGCATATGCTCATTTTTGCAAAGCGAAGGATACAGATAGCGATCGTTGAAACCTTGAGGCAATGCTGGTATCGATGTCTCACTGTCCAATGATGTATGTGGTCCAAAGACACTGCTGTGAGTAGTCTCAGAATATCCGGCCAAAGGCTCATCAATCTTCTCAGGATCCAAAATGGGTCCAATTGATGTCGGCTGTTCGGGTGCGATTGCTGCTGATTCGAGGACAGGAAAAAAGTTGTATTTCTCTTGAGCAAAGCGAGACACATTACCTGGACCTATCTGGCCCGTGTTACGCAGCATAATTTCTATCGACCAGCGAGCAACCCTGAACGAAGATTTCTGTTGGTGATCTTGAATCTGCTGAAGGGTGAATCGGAGTCAGCAGAGAAGGCTGACGAAAGCATCTGTCGTCTTCATGGCGAGTCCTCGGACCAGGAGGAAGCTTTGAAACGTAACGTACACTTCGGAATAAAGTTCAGCAATGGAGAACCGTCAAAAAAACGTGGATTTTCCGTTGTGCTACTGGCTTGTATCGGAGCCACCGACTGCGGTACAGCATGGGCTTCGGGTAAACTTGGTACATCACGTTCCTTAGAAACGACTCACACCCACGCGCTGGCTATAGCAAGGGGTTGGATAAAGTCGCCTGCGAGATCAGTGCGTTTGATCACAGATCCATCTTAGGATAGGCATATAGACAGTATTGAGCGGATCGTTCCTGCCAAAACACCGACACACTGCTGCCCAAAAAGAGCCTGGCAGGTAGGCATCAATACCGTAATATTACAGAACATTGAATTCAAGCTCTGGGCACCTTTAGGGTCTAGATTTGGGAAGAGTTTACGCTAGAACCTTCCAACCCTTCGTCGCTCTTTCCTCCGTATAAAGTACTATTCATGTGTATTGAGGGTGTGAACGTTTCGTGCCATTCACACTACACGATCGCCGTTAGATCTGACTGAAAATGGTGCATTGTGCTTGTGTTTTACTCGCATATCACCGTTTAAAAATGATAGGAACTTGTGTGGCAGAGAGTAACAACTTTTATGTAGAGAAATATTCTTCTGCCGGGTGAGATTTCCTAGAGTACTTTGTCGACTTCGGAAGTGTTTCGCCGCACACATCCGTCGAAATGTGAGCAAATATGCATATCAGCATGCTAGCAGGGAAAGCTACGTCAAGGATTCAGACTTCCTTGCCTGCCAGATTTTTTCTAAAGATTAAGTGACTGCCTAAGGCATCAAGTTGTTCGGTGGATTAGTTTAGACCTGAGACCTCAGGCGCCATGATTGGATCTCTCTGAGGTCATAGTTAGCATGTGATCGTATCCCAGCAAGTTCTGATTCCTGATTATGCAGTCTCAATATATAGACTGATCAACACGCTTTGGGAGTTACGGAGACAACAACGGACGAGAGTCTTGAATACCTGGTAGTGTAACACGTCAGCACAGTTCGGGACCAATCTTTCTGGCATCAGAGAAGTCGACGGCAAGCGAGGAAGAGCACCAGCCGAGGTTTCATGATATACGAGCGCCTGATTACACGCAGCTTCATAACCACTAGGCCATCGCGTTACCTTCAGCTAATCACGACATCGACGACAGTCTCACGTGTAAGCGCCACACAAGGTTACCACTTCTGCAGTTCGGTCAAACAATCTTACCATCTTCCGGTCCGCGCTGAACGCTTCAATCAACAAGCAAGATCAAGAACAACGTTGAGAAATTTCTTCAATAGTACCTCGTTCCCTCGAGCGAGTGCCGAAAACATGGCGAGCGCTACCTCCTTCTACGAGTTCAAGACAAAGGACAAGAAAGGGCAAGAATACCCTCTGTCCCAGCATCAAGGCAAAGTCATCCTAGCCGTGAATACTGCCTCGAAATGTGGTTTCACACCTCAATTCGGTGGCTTAGAGTCGCTTTGGAAGAAGATACAAGCAAATGAGCAATACAAGAATGATTTTGTCATCCTCGGCTTTCCTTGCAACCAGTTCAACAACCAGGATCCTGGCTCCAACGAGCAGATCCAAGAGTTCTGTCAGCTCAACTATGGCGTGACTTTTCCTGTGTTGGGAAAGACAGACGTGAATGGTTCAAATGCAGAACCTGTGTGGGAGTGGATGAAAGCCGAGAAACCTGGAATGATGGGTCTCAAGAGAATCAAGTGGAACTTTGAGAAGTTCTTGATCGGTAGAGACGGGAAGGTCGTGAACAGATGGGCGAGCTTGACGAGCCCGGAGAAGCTGGAGGCGGATATCTTGAGGGAGCTGGAGAAGCCTAAGCCTACGAAGGCTGGATTGTAGAGCGGCCTTGCTCGAGATGTATGGACTTCGGGATTCCAGCCTGACTTGTACTGACGGTTGCGTTGCTACAGTATCCATTCATGTGATGCCACGCAAGTGTCTTCATGGGGTTGGTTCAATCAGTAAAGAGAAGGATTGATTTTGCAGAGCCAATACTGCTCAACGATTTTGGAGAAGCTGTGTTAAAACACCCGGCTGTTTCGTGAAAGTGGTGAACAAGTCATCATTAAACTCATCTACTTCGTATGATAATTAATACACTGCACAATACTACTCTGGGTATGCTCACGTCATCATCACTCTCTTCTTCGTTATCCCAATAGCTGCATCGGTTAGGTGTCCTACTATTGTTTGTTACCCTTCATCTTCTTCAATAAATCACTCGCGAGACTTGTACTTCCTCTTCGGCCAGGATCCATCTGCGTTCCAGCTGTAGCCTCCATGCCAACAAGACTGTCTCTCCTATCAGCATCACTCGCCACAACAACGCTTCCCTTTCTGCTGTTTGCGGTGGCTGCGCCGCCGGCTGCCGTGTGAAGAGTCGCTGAACCTCTGCGCTCAGCCTCAACGTTTCGTACGGCCTCTGCGGCTTGAGCGTTGAGGTCGGTGCTGGCTTGGGAAGCGCGACGGTCGCCTTCTTGGGCGCTTGAGGCGGCGCTGTGCTTGCGGTAGAAACCACTGTGTTTGCGGAGCCATTCGTCAGAGGTGGAGTTGGCTTTGTAGCCTGCACCGCCTGTCAGCTGGTGAGGCATAGCGAATGTGCCTGACATGATTGCGTGGGCGTCGGTGTAGAAGTGGATTTGTTTGAAGATTCAGTGACAATCTCGTTTTTGACGGCTTTGTGTTGCTGTTGTGCTTGCGACGCTTTTGTCGAGGGACGATGAGATGGAGGAGCAATCTGAAAAAATGGGCAGCAAGCGCAACTTGGGATTCGTAGTTATCATATGTATGGCTACAGCCGGACTTTTTGGCTGTGTCTGACCGACCATCTGATATGCGTAGAAATGCCCGAGGAGTCCTCTGACATGAGTGGCTTCACAAGGTTGGCCTGTGACCATCCTCATATCCGGAAAAAAAGGAATGGTCGGCTGCTCGACACAAACCTCACAAAATGGGATAACGGCACAGATCATGTTGCGCAAGACATTGGCCGAAAATGTCCTTGTGTTGAGGAAAATCGTCCGGTAATGTGCTTGAAATCGTGATGGACGTGGACTCGCTTGTTGCTCGCCCTAAAATACTCGGTAAGCACAAAAGTGGAGTTTCCCCGCATGCACTAGAGCTTAGTTTGTCCAGGATCACCTTACGCAGTCTGCAAGAAGGAGGTGTTTCGTGATGCTTGCAGGAGTGATCGACAAGATGGTGATGATAGCACTAATCGCCGCACCTTCGTACTCGATTTCTTGGTGATGAATCAGTGAAGAGCTGATCATTGCAGCAGGCTCAGTGTTGGTCACGCAAGCCCCAAACCCAAGCCTATGGCGCCACAGTCTTCCGACGTCGCATCACAATGGTCGTACGTGGTGTCTGATCGTGCCATTCCGCATCTAAGAATAACCTGGCTGCTTGCTTTGAAGGAAATCCTTCACTTGGCGCCGTGTCTTCAACTGACCGAGGGCTTGAGCAAAAACACTTGAGTAAGCTCAGCATACTTTGCGGTGCAATAAATGCTGCGATCTCCGGTACCATCAGGAACGAGAGTTGCAAGCCGTCAACGATAATGATGCGCCTGCGTCCATCAATAATAGTCGTCGGAGCCTGTCCATCTGAGAGATCAAGTATGTCGGCTGGTACATACAAGTCCGACCATAGTAGACTCATACCGCAACTTGATCCTGGCGTTTCTGCAAGCTTGGAAGTCATGCGCTTAGGCTGTTTTGTCGAGGCTTTGAGGTTTTCGCATGTCTGTGGTCGGGGTAGGTACCAACATCCTCTCACTCCCTAAGGCTCGCCCTACAAGAATAAGTCGATTGAGCTGTTTTTGAATCAAGATATCTTGGACTGATTGCATAGTCGTTCGAAGCAGGTTGGTATCCGTCGCGTTTGTAAAGTGGATGTAAATCTCACGGTTCGCGTTCTTGTTAATTGCTCGAAACTTATTTGCAAAGAATTGTCGCGCTGTAACTTCATTTGTGTCCGAGCCCTGGTAGTCAGGAAAGTGCAACCTTATAGGGGACTTCTTCAGCTTGTCTCGGAAGAGGTCGATCTTGTTCAGGAATAGAATGATTGGTTTATCCTTGAACCAGTCACTATTGATCAATGATTCGAAAAGCATCAAGGCTTCGTGCATTTGGTTTGCATTGACATCCTCAAGCAAAGACTGATCATAACCTGACAACGCGGCCAAAAATAGCAGACACTGGACACCTTCGAAGCAATGTATCCACTTCTTTCTTTCAGACCTTTGACCACCGACGTCCATCATTCTGAATGAAATGTCTTTTAGGTCGAAGAAAGTTTCGGTTAAGCCAGTTGTCCTCAAACGAGCATGAAGTATATCTTGGTCCGTTGGCATCCAATTCGGATCGAATAGACGATCGAGATTGTCAAAGTAATAATGCATATTGTCATTGGGTGCATACTCGTGTCCTTTTGCCACAGCCTTTTGTACACCTGCATCTGTCCAGAGCCTGTACAAGGCCTCTCTTACATTACTGTTTCGGAACACAATTTCTGCGTTGGCATCTGGGTTCACTTCCTCAATGACAGCAGCATAAATTTCTGTGGATTCATGCTCGAACGCTATCTTTTGGGAGTCAACGATCTCGAGCAGAACCTTGCATGCCACGAGGATATTGGAGTAAATAACTGATCGAGTATGAATCTTTTCGTCTTCCTGGAAGCCACTCGAATGTATAATTCGCATCTGTTTGATGATGGTAGATTTGCCAGATTCTCCAGCACCTAGTGCATTGGTCAGTCCACAGGTCCACCAGGCGTTAAGATGCACTGACCAAGAAGTAGTATCTTAACTGTTCTTAATTCGCTCTTTTTGTCCGATCGTATCTGTCTATCGATTTTGTCATTTTGAATGTCTGCCTCTTTGACTTTCGGGTCAGGCTTGGAGGCTGCACAACCCATCTCTGCAACGTTGTTCGATCGATTCACTCGCCGATTCGGCTGGGCTTGTGGTATTGACGATATTCGTCGATCGTCTGGTAGGGATGATGGATGCGCAACTGTTTTGGAGATACCTTGCTGGGATTAAAGCATGTCGCGTCAATAGTTATTGTACAACCCGAGAAAAGAGCGGTAAGCTATGCTAATTCGCACACAATCAAACATAAAGAAGGACTCAACAAATGGCAGGTATCAGACGTGTCAAAAAGCAAAAGCGTTGTAATAAGGTTATCAGCATGGGGGACAAAAGTCAGCTATCAACAATGAAACATTATGGCGAGGTTACATAACAGCGAAGATGGGGATGGATTGACAGGAAACGAAGGAGAACGTGTTGTGAGAACAATACAGTGTTTTACTAAAACTCAAACCAGGGTGATCGATTACTCTTATCTTGCACTAGAAGCCTTGGTCTGGCACTACAAGAGCACTCCACCTCAACAAGGACTTCGTCTTCAGTCCCTATGGAGTGTTCTCGGGTGTAGCGAGATGACTTCCAACACACTGATATCCTCGAGTGATTCATGAAGAATCTCAGAAAAGCGAATCACTTTCCAATCCCTACCTCAACTCCCTGCCAGGAGAAACGCTACCCGAGTAAGTGCAAGTCAAGAGTGCAAAGTGGATATGTGTGATGGCTAATTACTGGCAGGGATATCACATAAGAAGAACTCTACTTGGTGATCGGCGAGCACGAGGCGGCATGGGTTCAGAGCCGGGGAAGCAGTAGATATTGGAGAAGACCCACCTCACTTCAAATTGAAGGCCAGGAACTTCCCTTGAGCCTTCCATGATGAGGATGCGCTCTTGCTTGAGGAAGCCCGGATTCGCGGAAGCAAGACTGCTATCCCTTGGCCACATACTGATGATATAATGTCGACCTGTTTAACGCCCCGTTGAACACTCGTAGACCCTCTCTCGACACGCATTGGTACACATACAATGTTCGTCAAGGTTCGAGCTGGTTTGAAGGGTTGACGATGGCGTCTCGCTAGACCCGGAATTAGCTTCCGTCTAAGCAGGCCGGCACGACTTGTCGAGTAACGTAAAGTACTGAAAATGACAAAACTGGTAGGTTCTCCGAGGAGAGTGTGTTCATTCGAGTCTGTGTTATCTCAAATTACCTACGAGTAGCGAAACCCATGCGACTACTAGGAGTACGTACTCGACAATTAGTGTGCGGCGTTGCTTCGAGTATCTATACCTCTGGACCGTATCAACTTTGCGTGGTGTCAGCGAGTGTTAATCGAATATTAGATTGCTCGTCAATTTCAGCCTGTCATGAGGAGCTGTCCTACCCGACCCACGATAATACCAAAGACAGGAATTCTTCACGTATACAACAGAAAACATTGACATATTCGCTCAGTCTTTGCGAAAAAAACGGTACATGAAGCAGTGCATGCACAAATGCAACGTCTTTAGATGGGATCACTCGCCCGGCTTGTCAGGTCGATGCAACGCAAGCAACGCGGGTTTTTAACGCTGCTTTTCTACTTACATACCAGCCTCAAGCATTAGCCACGACTTTCCACTCATGGAAGGTGCACGAGGACTCCGTATATCCTCGGTAAAGTATCTGTCCGAGAGGTGCCGGCCTGTAGTAGTTTGTGGGTCTGGGGCTTTTCAATCCTGGATCCCTGCCTCCCATGCTTCGTCGGTAAGCAGAAAGTGTATAAGGTAAGCACTCGTCCGAGAAGTTCCACTGCTACCGAATGTCGAAGCATCTTCCGGCGTTCAGATGTGGTTGGACGTTGAATGCGCGAAGTCCTACTCTGTCACGGTAATGTTACCTTGACCGTCAGTTCTTGCTGGCCTAGGATCTTTGGCGTCGCTCAAAAAGCCACAGTCTGCACTTGAATCCGTATTCTCTTCTCGCTAGCCTGCTTGTGGTAGCCGCCTTTATCTGATCTAGTGGTTGAGAATGACTCTTCAGACTCGAAGCATGTACAGCTTGGGCGAGCAAAGACTTGTGTTCGACGACAATACTCCACCTGGTCGGTCGAAGGCCTACCTATATACTGGCAACACTTGTGGATAGCGTCTAAAACCAAATCTAGCCTTAACGTTCCGACTTGTAAAGCAGATTGTTAAGTCCACCACGGGTAACAATATCTATAACACCACACGATCTCCATGGCGTTTCAGCCTTCTGCACGAATATCGTACCTCTACCAAAGACTGTTCCAGTCAGAAAATACGACGACTTTCGTGTAGAGAGATCAGCACGCTCGCCTCACCGTCACATCAAGCACTTCTTGAGGCAACAGCAATTAGAGTTACTGTAGGATTCTCAGCCATGACCAGCGTGGACTTCGATTCACACGCGAGCTCGCCCTCAACTTCCTCGAGCAACACGATTTTCTCAAATGGACAATGCTTTGATAGTAGTTCGGAGTTTTCCAATCCAGCTTCACCTGTAAGTCCCATCTGCCATATGTAACAAATGGCTGACCAATACAAGCATATCAACCAAATGATGTGTGGCACTTTCATACCTTACGACATTTACCAGTACAATGCTATACCAGCCAACTGCCACCCCACATGGAGGTCGGACAAAGTCCCAGCGGAGGCCACCTCAAGTACATTCGAAGAGAAAGACCGAAGAAGAAAACGAACTGGCAAACCAAAGAGTGGCGAAAGGGAAGCAACCACCAATATGGGTTCGGTAAGCATTAGGCTAACAGCTCGCAGAATTGTCACTGACTACCTAGCAGAGGAGGAGAGCACAAAACCGAGCGTCTCAAAGAGCGTTTCGCGAACGAAAGGAGAAACATGTCAAAGGTCTTGAGTACCAACTGGAAGATTTACACGAGAAACACCAAGATTTACTCCAATCATATAGCAAACAAGTTGACGAGGTGTCCCGACTCAATGCACGAGTAGCAGATCTCGCAGCAGAGCTCAACACAATTCGACGATGCCAGGACTCTTCTACCCGCAAAGTCACAACGTCCAGCACATTCGACGACTTCGACGCGTTTTCCTCGACTGCCATGATATATTCCGCGATCGATGCCTACTACGATAAGGGACCGATCGACACGGATCCGGAGTTTGAGTTGAATTGCTTCGAGGACTCATTGTAGTCTTGAATTGTTATTGTCTTGTAAATTTGATGAAGGCATGCTCTGCATCTTCACGAAAATGGAATCAATGATACATACCAATTGTCTCAGCACGTTGACCGGGAAGTGTGTTGCAATGATAGGCCTGACCATACGGTGTCAGTGATGGGATCGGATTGGGCTCTTTGGCAGTATATTCCTCGTTTCTGCAGGGTAATACAAGTCTATCAGACCTGCAGGATCCTTGCTTCGCGAATACGAACACGAACGACGCACTATCTTAATTGAGGTCCTGGGTCCGACACTAGCGAGGTATTGGCGCCTATCTCTGCGACAAGTCTTGAAGATGAGATAGCTCGCACGCTGCTCCTTAAATGCTATGCCTCCCTGGCACGTGTCGCATACCAACTAGAATGTCTTGCGTGCGCTGGTGATACGTACTCATGCATCTTTGACAGTCTTAGCAGAAAGTTGTGAGGTGCCTGGTAGCTGAATTTGACCATGCGCAGGAGGGAAGATCCTGGCAACCAGATAGCTGTACGGAGTAGTAGTTATTCTTGACTCAGACGGGTGCGAAAGTTGCCACAGAGGCGGTCCTTACAGTACTCACGCCGAACGATGTAGTATAGTGTTGCAAGCCTTAGTCATATTGCCTGAGGCATCAAGTCACAAAATTCGTGTCTAGCATGTGATTGCTTACTATCGAGCTAATGCCTCAGGCAATTAAACTGTTCTGGTGCAAGTCTATGAGCATTGCTCGCATTCGCAATTGTTCGTACGTGAGGATAGCTTCCTTCAAGTATGGCAATGAATTGGCCTTTGGTGGACACATGCAGCGAGGTGTAATGTCACGTTTGCGATATCTGTGTATAAAGCGGTCGGTTGCACAGAAAAGCAACGATAGTCAGACATCTGGTACACTTTTAGTACTCTATCAGCGCAATGCCGTGCAGGATTTCTGTCTCATGCTCTGATCTTCTATACAAGAAGTACACTCAGATTGGGACAGCTACTGTCGGCCGCTATCTCCTCACTGGACGGCGAACATGCCTTGAAGATTGATTACGCCTGGTTGCGAGTTGTCTTGCATGAGACTTGACCAAAGATAGTAAAACAAACATAACCCATGCAAGCGTGGAGCTGGCGAAGAGAAGTTACGGCCCGCATAACATCTCTTACCGGCTGGCTTAATTACTTGTTTGTGAGCATCTAAACTTACACGAAAACCAGGCGCGTTGATTATAAACATACAATATCTGGGATGGCTTTCTTCATGTTGTTGCAGCAAAGGTGAAATATCCATTACCTTACATAACAGCACAGATGGGTACTGCATTTGCTCAAGCATGGCATCGCACGCGTACAATCTACGCAGTCGCGGCCATACACCCACCAACCTGAGAGGTATCCAAGGTATTGTCAATTCTTCCGCAAGACCAGCCAACCTCTCGACCAAGGCGCAACCAATCTCAGTCAATCTACAGCTAGAACATGTCATTGGTACCACGACCAAAGACCCAAACGGCCTGTCATGCGCAAACCCAAACACATTTGCCTATTGTGCTGGCTCTGTAGCCGTTCTGGCCACCATCGATGAGCCCAACACCATCACAAGACGCTACTACCGTGCCAGACCTGCCGTCCTTCCTCTGAACCCAGTCAGCACGTATTATACTACGACACCCAATTCCACACCGACTCGAAAGCGTCGGGCATTGGTAAACTCAAGGAAGGAACAGGAGGACACAATACCTAGGCGTACAGTGCTTGAAGACGACAATTTGAGAACATGGACCGCCCGCGAACGGATCAAAACTATCACTTCCGTCTCATTGAGTCCAGATGGCAAGCTGTTGGCGGTTGGCGAAACCGGCTACAACCCAAGAGTGCTGATATTTTCCACAAGCAAGGATGCAGGGAGCGAATTACCCCTCTCCCTCATTACTGAGCATACAATGGGTGTCAGAAGTGTCGCCTTCAGTCCGGATTCCCGTTTCCTAGCCACCTTAGGTGAATCTAACGACGGCTTTCTCTTCATATGGTCTGTTCACTCAGGCTCTGGCGCTGTCAAACTTCGTGCTACCAATAAATGCACTACGACTATCTCTCATATGGCTTGGTGTGGTCATTTTCTTGTCACTGTCGGTACCCGCCACGTGAAGGTTTGGCAACCGCCAGACACCCAGAGACTCTCGTCTCAGAAAACTCCTCGTCCTCGGGACACGGTAGAACCATCTTCAACTACTGGGCCAGTCCCATTGATTGGGCGGAACTGTGTGCTGGGCGACCTCGCCAATATGACATTCACCTGTGTGGTTGCCATAAACGATCGTCTTGCGGTCATTGGCACGAATACCCGCTCACTGTATTTGGTTGACGTGAGCAAAAACCCTGCAGACTTACAGCCCCTAAGTCACGATTACTGTTTAAGAGGCGTCGTTGGCGTACGGGAAGATTCGCGACGTCTGGTGTGGGCAGGTGGAGGTAGCGCTCTACACGAAACCCTCCTGCAGGGAGATCAGATGACCATGGAGGGCAAACCAGCTACGGTCCACTCTGAACCAGAATCTCTTGCGCCCACACGCCCACGCCTGCATCAGTCTCGGAGCTCTAGTCAACCGACTCACCCCCAGATCGTCGCCATCTCCTGTCTTGTCAAGCACAACATTTGTGTTGACTCCGAATCGAATCTGCTGATCTCATTGGCTGAAACCGTTCAGTCAAACCAGGATCCTTTGATTCATAGGCCACTCGCCTCGCACAATGAGCCTGTGCAAGGGGTACAAGCTCTGAACTTAAGTAGCGGCTTGGGTGCCTTTTTCACCTGGTCAAAATCGGGTGAAATCAGATTTTGGGATTCTGATGGTGACTTGCTACGTATCGAACGGATCCAGCTTGACGACGATTCAAACCCTCAAGAGACCGCTAGCAATGAGCTGAATGTGCTACGATACTCCGGAAGAAACAGCTTCCTGTCTGGAGATCGCTTCGGAGTGCTGAAACTTATAGGATGCACACAATGGAAGCTCTTGCAGACAGCCCGTGCGCACAGTGCTGAAGTGAGCGATATTTGCCTCGACCGCGCATCGTCGTTCGTGGCAACATGCAGCCGCGATCGTATGGTGCAGGTATTCACACTTTCAGATTCAAATCTTGAGCTACTTCAGACAACTGACGACCATATAGCAGCAGTAAATCAAGTGCTATTCAGCTCTGATGGCAATATACTGTTATCGTCTTCGGCTGATCGTACTATCGTGGTGCGTGAGAAGGTCGTGCGTACACATGGCGATAATATGCTTATTGCCTTTTTACAAACACGGATTATTACAATCAAAGCATCTCCTCTTTCTATATGCCTAATGCCGAACAAGGACAATATTGTGTATGTGTCAACCCTGGACCGAAGCATCATCAAGGCCGACTTTGTCATCGGTGCTGTGGTAGATACTTTTAAAGTTGCAGACGCAGACTCAGACGATCATGCTGTACTTAACTCGATCCAGGTAGTTCAAGATTGCGAACCAAGCAGTGCGCGGAATCTGCTGATTGGTTGTTCATCCACCGACAAGTCAGTCAGGGTGTATGATTTGCAGAAGCAGGTATTTCTCACAAAGGAATCGGCGCATACTCAAGGCGTGTCTGACATCGCTCTGCTTGAAGCTGATTTTGAAACAACCTCTCTGAACATGCGAACCTTTGTCTCTGCAGGTTACGACACGACTATCATGAAATGGCGGCTATGTACTACGTCACCAGCTATGCCTACGCAAGAGCAGGCTAGTCTTGCTGACACCACGGAGCAAACTCCAACAAAGAACAGTTCGGTGGCCTTGCCTCCTTTGAGGAAGGTGTTGACCAAGGCCGACGTTGCTGACTTCATGAGCCATATCTCGCCAAAGCCACATCTAACAGCAAACTCCTCTGTTTCGCGGCTCAAGAAAAAGAACTCCAAGCTATCGCTGGCTCCGTCCATCAACGTTGACAGAATAGACGAGAATACCACGCCTTTGTTACAACGGCGGGCTTCCGCTGACGATAAAACTAAAGCAGAGCGAAGATCCCCTTCACCACCTGCATACGCTACTAAGCGACAGAAGAAGCCGACGATTAGGGGCGAGGTGACTAAAGATTTCTTCACAAGACAATCGGAGTGGTTAAGTGCATCGCCGTCTCCAGCACTCTCACCAACAGTGCCTCAGCTTAGACAACTCCCAAAAACAAATAATGCAAGACTGAGACGCCCGCCCTCTGTGCCTACCGATTTACGTTCAAAGGCTCGAGTAACAGAGCAAAGACTAAGCAAGGTTACACCAGCCGGAGATCTTGCGTCCACAGAGATGACGACCGAGCAGATCTCAGCATTTCTTAGAGCTTACAAGAAGAGACTGGAGGAAACGCCAGACGACATCGATCTTGAAGGGGTCGAAGCGGATCTTGAAAGCATGCTTGAGATCGTGAAGCAGAAAATCAGAGACCACAAGCACTCATCAGGCCTAAAGGGACCATCTTCCGCCATAATTCAGAAGCCCAAACCACAGTTGGACCGTTCATGGACTGCAGACGCAGTGGTGAACGCTTCATATCATAAGACACAAAGCAACAGTACGACTACCAGCGAGACCGGCAGTCCAACCATAATTAGCAACAACAGCACCAGCACATCGTGCGGTATAGCTGAGCCGGAACACAACACAGGACTTGACGTTAATGGACTCTCAACTTTGATGGAGCGGGCGAAATTGACTGGGGCGTAGGACGGCCTCTGGTCTTTTCTGGATCATGAACTTTCACTTTTAGTTTTTGGAGTGGTTTTTACGATTGTTCTACTTTTTGTCTGTCATTGGATCGGTTAGGAGTAACGGTGTTAGGATTGAGGCAACAGACCCATGTAAGAGTAGCACTTCAAAACGTTAGAAGGTGTTAGAGCTCTGGCTGAGCAACTGGTTTAGCTATGACTGGCTAATATGGCCATAACAATGCATTGGTTAGCACTTTGATAATTACGAACCAAGTCCTATATTTTATACATTGACACTGATGGATTTCATGTAGCTTCCAACTTTGGCGTTGGGCGTACGAGTGGATTCAGACGACGCCGTCGCTATGCGACTTATTCGAAATTCTGCAACCTGTTGAAACCTGAACCAGCGAATGCAAATAAACCACAATTTGCAAATAATGACAACGACCTATCACGCAAACGTCAAACTTATATCTCCATTGGCGTCGTCGCCCCAAGCATTGTGCTCCAGATCCAGTGCTTCTACAGGCGATGCAAGTGCCACCGCAGCAACACCTGCGCCTGCTCCTGCGCCTCCAGCTGCTGCGAGCCCAAGTCCGACAGGGGTGCGACTTCCCCTGGATGTTTTGCTCGTGTCATAGTCAACATCTGCCCACCCAGCCTTATCAGGTAGCGGTGTTGTTGTATGAGACTTCAGCCCTGGTCTGGGAGTAGGCGAAGAGTTCAGTTGTGGGTTAGGCGTGAGTTGCAGTGGTGGTAATGTACTCTCAATCTCCTTGGGCATGAAGTCTGCGCCTTCGTATTCCGCTGCCGGTGGTAATGGCGAGGGTGCTAACGACTTCCTTTTGTCCTTCGTCTCTGTTATTGTTGTTGTTGGTGTGGCTGAGGCGGAAGTCGCCCTTTGTAAAAACCCGTTGGCGGCTGTAGGAGGTAGTGACTCGTCATCGATCTCATCTGGTCGTGGCGGTAGTTTCATCTTCTTTGCTTCGTTCATACTGATGCCTGGAGGTAGTCGTAGCGACTCAATGACCTTTTCGCCATTCTTGATTGTGGTTATCTGAATTGGAGGCTGATTACTATCAAGTTCTCTGACTTCAATTTGCTCACCCGCAAGCTCTTTGCGAATAGCGTCGATGTCGAAGAGGACTTTGCCTTCACCCCACATGTTTTCTTCGGTGACATTTTGGTCGATGCTTGATGATTTACTATGCATTGGCGATTTGGCATCATACATCTCCCATGGCTTCTTTTCGGCCAATTTGCCACGCTTGAAAAGTCCAAAGCGTCTCTTCTCTGGTTTTTGCTCAGCCTTCTTTCGAGCTTCGTCAATTTCTGCTATTAGCTCACGTTGCCGTTGTTCATGGTTCTCAGGGTCTGGATCTTCGATCTCGGTAAACTCGTCACTGGTGACCTCCCAGTTGAACTTTCTTAGAAGCTTGGGCATTGCTTTTCGATATGCCATGTGGCCATTAACCAGTTCGGTCACGTCGTGGTTTTCAAGTCCAGGTACATTTTCCACCGGGGCAAGTCCTGCCACCTTCATGATACCACCTGAAGTGGCCCTGAAAAGGTAGCCCAAGATCCAGTCATTCTTTGCATATGCATTCACAAAGCGACCTGCGATCACGGATCGTGCTCTCAGGTACTCGTCCTTGTTGGCGACGATCGGAGAGCCGAACAAATAGACGTTTTGAACAATACCATATGCATTTCGGTTGGAAAGTTCTTTCAGACAGGAGAAAATAACTCGTGCTCCCAAGGAGAAGCCGGTGAGTGTGATCGGTCTCTGTCCAAGATGCCTCGCTATAAGAGAATCTGCCAAGATCAGACCTGCAGCGTGCGCTCGATCTAGAGAGACACTCCAAGGATTGTCAATCAAATATGAAAGCTTTGTTAATACTACTGGCAGCTGCATTGCGGCCATGAGTGCGACCAGAATCGTACTTCCCAGGACTTGCTGAATAGATTGTGTCAAGGCTTCAGTAGCAAGAATATTGATTGTATCGCCCATGGACCGAAGCATCTCTGGCTCCCAGTGCAACGAATAGATATCACCCATGATGGGATCGACACTACTGAAAGGCAAGCGGACATCATCCACTTTGCCAGTCATCCATCCTGACACGGTCAAAATGAGGTTGAGTCTCTTGTTATTGTGAAGAGGTCTGAATTCGAATGTTCTCACATGACCGGTCCTTCGATGTGCCGCTCTCACAGCAATGGTGCCTCCTGCGGTTGTTGCAACAGAAGTAACGAGTGCAGCGCCGCCGACTCCTCCCAGAAAACCAGCAGTACCGGTGACGCCAATTGTCGTGAAGCCAGCAGCTAGACCAGCACCAATGACAGGAGCAAGAAGACCTGCTGAAAGGCCAATGACTAGACCACCACCAACAGTAGCCAAGCCCATCATGACATATCTTCTGGTCAAAGCCTGCTTCCTCCTCGTTTCCATATGTTCGGACTCGTCCCATTTTTCTTTTGCAGCTTCCTCCATTTCAAGCTGATCTATGACACGTTTCTCGAAACGACAGATCTGCACCCAGCTGATATCCATGGTACTAGCAACGCGCTCAAGCAGTCTGCGTGAACGAGCATCGTAGATGCTATCAGCCAGGAGAATGAGGAAGAGATCACACAGGATCGTCCAACGAATGTCAAGATCGATCTGGCCTTCTTTGGGAGCGTCTTCGATTCCATGGACCTCAGGCACCTCTTCAGCTGTTTTCGCTTCCTGCAGGTCTTCAACGTCAGCAGCAGGCTTGTTAGACACAGAAACGTGATCGGTTTGCGAAGGGGTCTGAGAGCTCTGAGTCTCAGCCAGAGGATTCTTGACACGAGCGTTCTGCATCAAGGAGGGCGCAAGATCGGCAGGTTCTACACCGTGCTCGGCCAACTGCTCTATCATGACCTGCTCAGCAATATCTATGTTCATGTGAGCGTATAAGCGGACCATCATTTGCTGACCCCAGATCTCCATGCTCTCGAGAGCCTTGACCGTCTCCTTTTTGGTTTTTCTGGTCCTCTCCATGTCCTCAAGGGCTTTCTGCATTTTGTAGATCATGAGTCTAACGACACCAACATAGGCTATACGTTGGCCCTCGGTAAGGAGATCTTTAGTAGCTTCCAGCTGTTGCATCATGTCGCGAGGATCCTCTTCGAGCTCTTCGTCGTCAAGGTTGTTTGTTCGGTTGCCCTTGAACAGATAGTCTGTATCCTCCTCGAAACTGTTATGGGAATCTGCATCGTCGTCATGCAGAAGTCTCGTATAACCTTTGCCAGCACCGCCAAGTTTCCCATACGCTGGTTCATCCTCGTCGTCTTCCTTAGCACCTTTCGCAACCAGTCTCCCGTCATCATCGTAGATATCGAATTCATCCAGGGCACGCATAGCTTGCCACTTTACTTCCTCCTCTTCCTGTTCAGCTTCCTTGCTACTTCCCAGCTTTTGATGTGACCATTCAGATATGACTGGCTGGCTGGCACGATCCGACTTCTTCATGATGGGCGAATTCATGATCGCTCTACGGGCGGTTGGAGAAACGCGGCTGGTGGGTGAGTCAGGAGCGGTGGACGACGAGCTGGTGTGTCCTCTCGATGAGGCATCACCACCGTCTGTTGCTTGTTCACCCGCTCCACTCTTTCTGTTCGAATCCTCTGTCGGGTGGACTGAGGGCCGTTCATCTGTCCCAGGTACTTCTTTTGCAGAGTCTGACTCACTGCCAGGAACCTTCTCCATTGTAGCAATCGAAGTGGCCTCTATAAATATACCGTTCGTCTCCTGGTGACTTCCCTCAGCTGTTTTCTGATTTCCGTCGTTCGCATCGTGAAAAAAGTCGGAACCGGCATCGTTGCTACCATGGGAGGAGGCGGGACGGTGCGACAGGCGATGTGGGAGACCAAATTCATCAGTACTGGTTGTAGTAGGTCCGCTATTAGGTTGTCTACTATCTGTTGCTACATCTTTGGCACTAGTAATGTTGGGATTGCTCGATCTGCTCATACTGAAGAGGAGCGAGTCGAGGCATTCGGACCGTGCTTAAGTCACACAGTGTTTGGTGACAAATGTTGACCCATATGCCACGGAATCATGGGGAGGTTTCTTTCCGATTATATTCAATTGTAGCTATTGAGGCTCGAGGAAATGCATGGTCTTGCTGTTGTCGCAAGATCAAAGACGCCGCTTACGCTATTTACTGTAGGTAGCTGCAAGAAGCCGCCGCATGCAGCGGAGTGCCAAGACATGCTTCAGTAACTGTTCAGGAACGATCGTCCTTGCTTTGTCCATTCGTGGTCAACTCACAGCTTAAGAACTGGGTCAGATACACGATAGCTTGTTGCTGTCGAGGAAGTGCTGGAGCCGCGTGATTATACATTGTTGTTGCAAGTTATCTCCTCTTAATCCGTCATCGCAGGAACCATAGCGGACTATCGCTAAAACGGACTGCTTCGACTTAGCAGGAGCAATTGACTCCATTGCACCTGCAACGAACCAGCACAAATATACTGTCAACATAGAGGACGCAGCTCTTGTACCTCATTTGTTCTCAACATGCTTCTTTCCGGTGAACTCTTCCAGTGCGGAGTAATCGCCATCGTCCATTTTCGCCCACACAGCTTCGATCCTCTGCCGCCGCTGGAGGCCTGTTTCTCTATTTCTGCCACTCTTCTTCGTCCTTTCTCCTGAAAGACACCTGTTCACTTCTCTTTTGATCTCGTTACAACCACCAACTGCTTTGTAGAGGAAACCGCGAGCATGACACTCATCTAGAGCATTCATGATCTCTTCGCAGCCTATTGCGAGTCAGTGCCGGAAGCAATCGAACCTGAAAGGTATCTGCTCGGACAATAGATGCGCACGCCACCTGCATCTGCGTTGTGGGTAGATGGTCAGAACCTACCAACATTGTCCTTGGTATGTAAATGCGAATGCATCTCGATTTTCTTGTTGACTCGTTTCCAATAAACGTCGTGCGGCTCTAACCACGCCCACATATGTCCTTAGTTGGACACTCAGAGGTTTCTACTTCCTTGCTCATCGACTGCGCCTTTGCGACAAGTGTTGCTCCTACTACCGAGCTGCCATCAAGTTCAGTCTGCGGCGAACTCGATTCTCGGGAGGCACTAGTACAGTCGAGCGCAAAGTGTCTAGCCGCATTTGGTTTCGATAGTCGAAGGGTTTATCGATACGACTACGGCGGAGCAAGGGTCTCGCAGTTTTCAATAGGCAGTCACCACCTTCTCTTCACTTATTGGCCGTGAGCACAGCCTAGGCTGATACGCTTGGCCCCGCATTCGCTAGACTGCAGACGAACCATCCAGTGCAGCCACTCTTTCGCAGTGTGCCTCTGTCTGCAGTTATTGACACTTCACCACGAGAGACTTCTTGTCATTTGCAGTATTTACAAAGTTCAACTAGTACTGTAGCTAGCTGCATACGTGGCAGGTCAGCATGGACAGCAAGGAAGTGTTTTCGACAAATACTTGACGGTGGTGAGGACAGTCAACCCATCTGTTGTCTGAGTACTATCTGAAAACAAGTACATAATCATCCAGTGAGTTACAACCTTCCCTCAGGCATACTGCTTCTCTTCTCGACATCTGCCATGTCCGGGGTAGGCAGATCACAACGTGTAGATACTGCAGATGGTATCTCGTGGCACGTAGAAGCCTTCTCACCCAGTACCACCACCGAAACAGTCCCAGAGTATGTCGTCCTCATCCCATCCGGCGAGGGTGACTGCCGAAACCTCACCAAGGTCGCACACCTTCTTGCTAGCACTGGTCCCTACCATGTCCTAACCTTCGACATGCCGGGCTTCTCACGAACGAGTGCATCAGCCGAAGCTCAAAGCAACGTACGCCCACCCCTGCTAGCCAAGCAGATCATCGGCCTCCTAGATAAGCTCGAGATCCGTCGTACCAGCTTCTTCGGCTGCTCATCTGGTGGCAGCGCAGTCCTGGGCCTCTGCGCCCTTTATCCGCATCGCACAAAATGTGGCATCGTGCATGAAATCCCATTCGGCACTTTTCCTGTACTGGTAGACATGCTGAGCATGGCCGACCACGAGATCACAGCTGCCTGTGAAAATTTCTTCGCCAATGCTTTCGTCGAGCAGGACATCAACGACGGCAGAAAGAAGTGGGATGGTCTGGGCAGCGACTATCACGCACGCTTGGCGAAGAACTATGTGACTTGGGTGAAGGGCTATATCAATTCTGTCGAGCTTGGATCGAACGAACTAGCAAGCGATCCGAAGAATCTGCAGCAAAGACCTATCTTTTGGACGGTGGGTGGCTTGAACCCAGGAGTGGAGCATGAAGATGGCGCTTGGAAACAGAACTTTGAAATGGCTAGGGCTGCTGGGTTGGAAGTCAACACGAAGAGGTTGAATTGTTTGCATTTCCCTGCTGTGACTGTGCCCGAGGATACAGCTGACTGGATCAGAGAGAGTGTTGCCAAGGTTAAGGACTAAAGGTGTGAAGAATCGAATGCTACGTGGGAAAGCAGTTGGCCCTTATATTCGTTTTACAAAGTGTACAGAAATGCTCATACTCCGAAACCTTGCAATACTGCAACAAGAACGATTTTATTGTCGAATTAGACTTCATGCGTGTCCTTCTGCTGACCGGTATCATCGATATGGGTTACCAGTGTATAAAGTGTCTGAGCAAGGCTACCTGGGTTCTTGGGCAAGGCATGGAGTCAGTATACAATGATCTGTGGCGAGCATGTATTGACAGAGTCAGTACCACTAGTGTATGTTGACACAAACCTCTTCAAGACCATCGAATACGCAGCCTGACTCGAGCAGGTACGAACCGACGAACACGCCCACACGTACATAGTACTCTTCACCTTCCGCTGACTGACCTTGACCTTCCATCCTGGTCAGAATCAACCCCTCGTTCGCCGCGCGACCCTCACCGTCTCTGAATCGAAGGAGGCAAAGGTGGAACAGCTCATCGAATTTTGAAACGTCGATGTCAAATCTGACGTGCCCACGTGCACCACGATCATCGATCACACCCGTCCTTGGCAATCTGACGAGAAAGCCTGTGACAGTGATGGTTCCTCCAACAACTTCGCCAAGCACTTGATCTTCGTTCACGAGAGGATTTACGACGCATGCCAGGATACGAGATACATAGATCATGTCATCGGTCCGGAGCACTTTCCAGAAAGCGCCCACGTCATGTCTCTTGTATCCTGTGCTGCTAGTCCAAGACCAACTCGGCGCTTGCCATGGCATATCTGTGAGATGGGTTTGGCCTGGTTTTGGTGCTTCGCCATTCATCCACAAAAGCTCTGCAGGCATGAGCTCTCTCCATAACCCAGCCGCGTATGTCATTCCTGTTTTGTGTTGGATCACTTCAGCAATACCTGCCAATGCCACAAGTCTGTCTTTCTCGTATGTCAATTCCGCCCGAGTGTATGCTTCGAAGATCCCATAGTGCCACAGCTCGTAAATGAAGGCGTGGTAATCATCAAAGTCCCAATCCCGATATGGTTTCAGCTGAGTCGCAAATGCAGCTTTGAGAGGGTACACATAGTCATGACCGTGTTCGGGATTGGGCTGGCCGCCGGGCCACGACTCGGAGGCTTGGAGTGAGCAACATTCCCAGTGAAGCTCTTCACTGCCGAAGTAGAGAATGCGAGGTGACAGTATGCGCTCTTGCTGGATCCAAGCACGTTTCAAGATAGGATTGTTGATGTAATAGCGGTTCGAGTAATCACCCCACCTTGACGAATGGTATGGATGAGCGTAAACGCCGGAGTCTTGGGTCGAGATGCCTTCGGTTAGACGGCATGCTCGCTGCATGAGGGGATTGCGAATGATGAAGCAGCCTTCACCAGTTCCGCTTGCAGCTGCGATAGTGCAGGATGAATTGCCATAGACAGAAGCCATGAGGGCGGCTTGAGACCTCCAATCGGAGCTCGAATCTTGGATAATGCATAGTGAGTCGATCCAGATATAGTCGTAGCCCAAACTGCGCGTAATCGACAAGGCATCTCGGTGCGTCTGGCTAAGCCCCTCGCTTGGAATCGCAACGCGCAGCTGGTCAATGTTCGCAGAGAGTAGCATCAGAAATTGTGCATCTTCCCACATGTGGCTCAGAGTCAAATAGGCAGTATCGTAAGCAAGATCAGAGGTATTGACAATGTAAGGCTCATCAGACCCCAGCTTAATCAGCCTACTCGGCAACTTCCGAGTGAACGCAGTGGTTTTCTTCTGATCGACGCATGCTACGTGACTTAGGAGGCAACTGCGAAGCCATTCTTGTGCAAGAGCGATGGTGGCGCGAGATCCAGTAGACCAAGCTAGCTGTGCACCGTATTGAGCCTCTAGTGGTGCGGTTTCAGGAACTTCTAGACGTGAACATGGTGTTGTCGTTACAGATAGTAGTAATGCTTACCAAGGGCTGATAGCAACATGATATCTGTTCGACAGTTCTCGGTACCGAAATTGAATGTCAAAATGCCATAACTTCCAGAGTTCCTGCCTCCGCTGGTCAGAACGCCAGTCAACACTGGATTGCCCGAGCCGTGGACTCCAATTCTGACGAGAGTATTTGGTCCAGCCTCACGAGCCAGCTCGCTCCAAAATATTGAGCATAAATGACACAACCCCTTTATGGCGCATTGTTGAAACGAAGAGTATTCGTGGATGTCAAATCTCTCCACGCTTTTGGGTCTAATTGTCGGTTCTCTGCCGTCGTTCAACTCTTGCCTGCGGATTGCATGGTAACGTGGTATGTTCCGTAAAATGACCGAAGTCGTGCAAAATTGTCTGCAAGGAGGGCACAATTGGTGGGGCTCCGCCAAAGCATCAGTATTCATGACTTCCTACAGAAGAGGATTTGAGCATGCTTATAGCTGAGTGCATGATAAAAGCCACCATTGTAGGCTCAGAGTGAAAAGGCATCATGACTAAGACGAGCAGAATCAGGCTGAGGGTGCTGCAAGTACAAGGAAGCGACATTCAGGAGAGCCGATCGCAATACCAGTTCTGTATCTTTGCACAAGTGGGCCCTCAATTTATCGATAAGGAATTTCTGACGCTTTGCAACTTTCGGAAACTGCAACGGACCTGTCTTTGCAGTATCAATTCTCGAGCGCTTGACTAGGTATGGAATTTAAGGATGTCTCCTCGAATTGGAAAAAGCTTCAAGCCATTCTAGTGACAGAAAAGCAAGCTCAAGCCCCGAAAGACAGCAGTAATGCCACATTAAAGCGCAAACATCCCCCATCTGCCACAACGGCAGCAGCAGCACCACCCCCACGAAAGAGATACAAGCCCAGCACCTACAAGCAATCCCGATCCAAAGCTGTCATGGACACACAAATTGAGCAGAAGTTTCAAGTTGAGACGACAATCAACGCCGGTCTCTCCTCTACAGTAAACATAGGCAAATACATCGCTCTAGACTGCGAAATGGTGGGTGTCGGTCCAAACGGTCAAGAATCCGCTCTCGCCCGCGTCAGTATCGTCAACTTCAATGGCGAGCAAGTCTACGATTCCTACGTTCAGCCTAAAGAGGTCGTGATGGACTACCGCACCCACGTTTCGGGCATAAAACCTTCCCACCTCAATCCCAATACAGCGCGGACTTTCGAAGAGGTGCAACGCGATGTCGCATCCATCTTAAAAGACCGGGTCGTGGTCGGACATGCCTTGAAACACGATTTCAAGGTCTTGCTACTGGACCACCCAGTCCGAGATATACGCGATACAAGTCGGCATGCGCCCTACAAGAAGATTTCAGGTGGGACACCGAAGTTGAGTCTGCTTGCGAGTCAGCTGCTTGGGCTGGAGATACAGAGTGGCGAGCATAGCAGTTTGGAAGATGCACGAGCGTGCATGTTACTGTTCAAGAGGGATAAAGACGCTTTTGAGGTGAAGAGGCCGAAGGGAGTGAAGAAAGCGTGACCTACAGGGTACTGGAGGCAAAGACGTGACCTGCGCAAGCTTTTGTGAATCATTGTGAGCGTTCAAGCACGGCGTATGGGAAACATGGTATGAACTAAGATATGTGACTTAAGAGGAGGCTTGTTAAGAATCGTTTTGAGGACAGGCAGACATGTTAGGACGAAGGGATACGTTTGTAATTGCAGACAAACATCCGCATCGAACTTATGTTGTCGGTCAGTGCATCATAGTCTCAGTAGAGTCTCTGTTTGATGAAAGGATGGATATCTTTTTTGCCGATGTCAGGTTGAAGCTAAGTGGTACCACAGCACACTGTACCTGCTTTGCGAGGAAGATCGTTGCGAAGTTGTTGTTCAAGTTCTCTAGCTGCTTATCGACTTACAAAGGTATGCAACTTGCTGACCATTCAAACTGATATGAGTAGACAAACATACCTACAACACATCCTTTATCGCAGGTGCTGTACATATGAGCTTCCGTCGCCGCAAGACGGGTACAATTATCCCCTCGTTCAGTAGTTGTGAAATATCCTGAGGCACGAGCTGTTCACTTTGATGAGTATCCCATCCACCGACTCAGTTATTGTACTGGAGTAAGTGGTTGTGGGCCTCAAAAGGCTCACTGATGCATCCTATTCGCCAAGAAATTCGCGAAACACGAGACGCGTTCCTGAACGCGTCCCTTTCAATGCTCTGCTCCACATGCGCTTCTCGAATGTAAAGATTACGAACCACATCTTTTCCACCACAGCAATAAATCGGTATCTCACAGCCGCAGAGAATATGCTAGCGATGTCGAAATCGTCTTCGAGCGACAATTCAATTGTCAATATTGTTCCTTGCCGCATCAACCACACCGGCACCAGCAAAGTGACGAAACGATACTGGCAACCGCGCAGCGAAACCGATGGCACGGAGACTGCGTACTTTCGAGGTCGTCGCTTGCGTGGAAGAGTGATCAATATGCCTGAGAAATATACAGGTCTTGTGCTGAGAACGAGCGCTAAGACCATAATTGAACCAACGAGTCCAGCGGTGCAGGATGAGGACGAGGATGATGAAGAGCCAGAACTGCCAGTGCCAATCAAAGTTATCGAGCAGGTCTCAAATTTTGACAAGATGATTGTATGGGGGCATGACCAGCTACCACCTGCCGATGACACCATGGTCAAAGGCGTCGAAGAATGGATCGCATTCGCAGAGGCAATCCATAAGCCAGCATGATCGCAAACTCTCGCAAAGCAGAAGAACATCAGCCCTCACTCTTACTCCCGCTCTTCACAAACTCCTTCTTCTCATCCTGCCACCTCTTCTTCAACTCGACATACCTCTCACACGACGTACACCGCCTCCAATACCCTTTAAACAACCCCGACGCCTCCTCCTTCTCCCTCCTCTTCCCATCCACATCCTCCTCCTCCTCCGTCCACTTCGCAAGCTGCTTCCCATCCCGTCCATACTTCTTCCCACCCTTATGATTCGCATATCTCTTCGCCCTCGTCATCCCCATCTGGATATACTTCCTCGTCATGTCTGCGCCTACAAAATCCTCGCGCTCAACATAACTCTCAAAGATGGCCCAGAGGACTTCTGCGGAGTTTTGCGCGATTGGGACGGTGCGAAATGCCCAGTAGGGGAGGATAAGAGATTTGTAGGGTTCGAAGGAGAGGACCCCCATTTCTCCGCGTGCGATTTCGTAGGAGTAGTTGAGGTCGGGGTCGTGGAGAGCGGGTGTGCCGAGTGGTGGGTGGGGGATGGTCAGGGAGGGTTTGTTGGATTTGGGTTTTGGTGTCATGGTCGAATAGTAGCATAGGCCATATGGGAATCTGTATGCTACTGGGAGGAGCTGAAGAATAGGTGCTCGAGCCAGAAGCATGGTCCTGTATTGAGTGGTAAAACAAAGTTGACGTCAGAGGCAGGAGCTCTAGTCTTATAGGCGCTTGAGGCGTTTCCACAAGCACTCTAGCGCCTAGGTCGTCCCTGGAGCGTGGGTGTCTTTCGGTCAGACTTCAAACAACTTGAAGTAATCAGCACGGGCAAGCACTCTCAACATTCAAAGAGTCTCATCAGGATGCACCATTTTCTAATTGCGATACCGAAGTCTTGACAGTACTTACTCGAGCGTGGATACTGTCCGATGGACAGTTGATAGCATGCCAGCCCATTATTGCCATTAACCCAGATTGAACTCATCAGCACCACCACCCATCATCTTCCCCTTGTTCCTAACCAAAGACCTCATCTTCTGCGCGGCAGCCTCCGCATCGCCAACCTCATCAATATTGGCCGCACTCTTCGCCTGCTTGCTCATAGCCTGAATCTCATCGTCACTGTCCACTTCGCGAGCCCGTCTCTTCTCACGTATTGGAGAATCAGTAGTAGCAGTCCGTTTGCGACCCTCATTGGCTTTAGGTCTTGAGCTCTTGCCTCGCAGGCCCTGGACGTTGACTTTCCCAGGTGGATCGCGGAGCCCAAAGCTCTTGGCCAAATGTCCCAGGTGTAGCTCTTTGATATCAAAGTATTTCCGTTCGGACGCAATGTGAGTTGCGTATGCCCTGATGTGGCTCTGAAATGCATTCTTTGCCATCTCCTTGATCTGTGGGTTTGCAAGGACATAGCGCTCAATGTCTAGCTGGAAGTTTGTTGCGAGAGTCTCGTGGTCAGTTCCCTGTTCCTTAGAGCCTACAAGACCGGTACTTGGGCCAAACCCTTTCTTCAAAATGTCGCTTGCTGATTGTGCTGTGACGTTTGTTGCGCTTGTTTCGGCGTTGACCTTGTATGACTCTTTGAGTACATCGATGTAACCTTCCTCAGTACCAGGAAGGAGGAAGATGATTGCTCGACCATCTCTACCGAGACGCGCGGTTCTGCCAATTCGGTGAAGGTGATCTTCTTTTGAGAAAGCAGGATCGCACTCAATAACAAGATCGAGGTTTGGCAAATCTAGACCTCTCGATGCGACATCGGTCGCTAAGAGCAAGGATGCTGAGGTGGACTTTCCGAAAGATTTGATGATTGCTGTTCGAGTCTGTTGAGGTAGGGAACCGTGGATCTTGTACACATCAAGTGCATTTACTGGGCTTGATAGGAGTGGTGATGGCGCGACTGCATCCAGCAGAGCAGCGTCTGGTGTTGCATCGGGTATTCCCTTCGCCTCAGCTTCCTCGGAGGTGGACTCTGCAGGTCGTGCCAGCATCTTGTGATGGAAATCGACAGAGTCGGCGCAGGAGAAGAACACGATTGCCTTCATGACACTGCCTTTTCTTGCAAAAGTCCGCTTCAGTAACGCGACAAGCGTGACCAGGCGCAGTTTCGCAGGACAGACGATGTACGACTGCTTCAGCTGGGCAGGGGCTAGGAAAGCATTCTCGTTGCTGCTATCTCTTTCCTCGCTCTCATCGTCCTTCTCACCTCTTACTAGTACCGCATCTTTCAAACTGATATCCCCTAGTTTCTGTACAGTCGATTTGAGAGTGGCTGAGCATAGAATTGTAACGCGCCGTTCAGGTAGACCGGGTACATCAGCATGCTTTCTCTTCTTGCCATCCAGAGCCTTGACGATTTTTGTGATATCCTCCTCAAAGCCCAAATCCATAAGCCGATCGCCCTCATCAAGAACCAGATATCGAACTCTGCTGACATCCAAAACTTCTGTATTCTCCAAATGGTCTACAAGCCGACCAGGAGTTGCCACGAGAATATTCAAGCCCTTTCTCAAGCGTGCCTTCTCGCTCTTTTTCCTCTCGCCGCCAGTCACCGTGCCAGCCACGATATAGTGTGCGCATCCGAGTAGTTTCTCCAGCACAACTGAAATCTGCTTGCAAAGTTCTCGTGTTGGTGCAAGCACAATTGCGAACAAACCAGAATCTCTGCCTAGTCCTTGTTCCTTCACCTCATCTTTCTCAACCTTTTGCCGCTCAGCTATCGTGATCAGTCTCTGCACGATCGGCAGTAGATACGCCAAAGTTTTCCCCGAACCTGTTTCGGACTGTATGAAGACGTCTGCATCCTCCTTCGTCAATTGCGATACAGACGCTCTCTGAATCGCAGTAGGGTTCTTGTGGTTCATCTTCGTGAGCAGATATGCTGCAGTAGAATCGCTGAGGCCGAGGGACGTAAAGGTATCGATGCCATCGGGAAGTGGCGCATTCGTGGGTTTGACAGGTTCTTGCTCCTCGGCCTGTTGTGTTTGTTCCAGCTCCTGGGTTTTCGCTTCAGGATTGAAGCTGAACAGGGAAGAGATGACTTCTCGTTGGCCTGGTATGCCATGGAAATTCGCATCTCTCAGATGTGCTGGTCTGTCTCTCGGTCTTCGTGGGCGCTCGCTTTTCCCATCATTGTCGTGATCATGCTTCTGTCGTTTTGCTGGTGGTTGTCCCGAGGGTTGAGTGTTGTCGTGGTGAGAGTCAGACTGAGCTTGTGGATGTGCCTTTCCTCTATATGCTCTTTCGAAAGCTTTCACTCGTCCTGAAGTCTCTTGACCACTTAGTCGCTTGTCTTGTGCATTTCTTGCGGCTTTGGTCAGTCGTGACCTTTCCTTCCACGAGCCACCTTTGAACTTCGGGGTCTTGTTTGATGCGACGGTGTCCCCTACCGCGAAATTCAGTGAAAAGCCGTCGTCAGCCATGACTGACTATACGATTTCCTTGTGCAGTTCTCATCAGTGTTTTCATGTCTTTGCGGGCAAGAACTTTTTCTCCGAACGAGAAAGTCTACCCCGATTGGTCGTCGCAGCTCCACCGACCACGAGCCGAAGCGTGTTTGGTTTGTACCGAGCAAGTCGAGATGCTCAGCACTTCGCAGCAGAATCGAGCATAAGAAATACGCACGAGGCAGCCATCGCGATGTGGTTGTTGTAAGCCAGCTATGATACCTCTTTCTGGCGGTGTCATAGCCGGCCTCTTCTCGGAAATAACCACGATCTCAACTTACCACAGAACGAGGTAAACACGTACTTGAAACAGTTACGAGATGCTACCTTGCACGAGACCATGGGGACCGCGAGCATGTCGAATTGCGCAGGGAAAAACCACAAGGCAGATCACTCGACATTTTCTGCGATCCTACGTAGCTGTCCTGAACGGAGGAAAAGACAACCCTAAGCCCTTTCCTGTCTACAGAGATGTCCCTTCGCTTCGCACAGTCCGTCGCCGTATGTTTCGTGAAGGAAAAGAGGTCGGCTTCGTACCAACCATGGGTGCTCTGCACGAAGGCCACCTAGAACTCGTTCGACATGCTCTAAGAGAGAACTCTGACGTCTTCGTCTCAATATATGTCAACCCCACGCAATTTGGTGTAAATGAAGACCTGGACAAGTACCCGAAGACATGGGTGGCCGACATGGACAAATTACAAAGGTTGAGGAAAGACTTCGACCAACAGAGGGGAAAAGGGACGACTGGAGAAATAGTTGGCATTTTCGCTCCGACAACCCGTGTGATGTATCCAACTCTACCACCGACTTCCGAGATCGATGGGGAAGGCTCCTTTGTGACGATCACACCGATTGGGAAGTGGCTCGAGGGTTCGAGTCGTCCGGTCTTCTTCCGCGGTGTGGCAACCGTATGCACCAAGCTGTTCAACGTTGTGCAGCCCGACCGAGTGTATTTCGGTCAGAAAGATATACAGCAGTCCGTGCTGATCAAGAGGATGGTCAAGGACTTTCATATTCCAACAGAGGTCAGGGTCATTCCCACAATTCGTGAATCAGATGGTCTGGCTATGAGCAGTCGAAACGTGTTTCTTGGTAAGAGAAGGCGAAACGATGTCTCGGTGCTGTCCAGAGCACTTCTGAGTGCTCGATCCATCTACAATATGGGCGAGCTGTCAGCAGGTGAAATTCGACGCACAGCCTTTCAGATCTTCGACGAGGTCTTGCAGAAGAAAGATGGTGCTTATTTGGGAGCTGGAAAGATTGAGATTGATTACATCGTTCTGACGAAGACTGACGACATGACAACTATCGACGATGAGGCGGAGGTTGACCCGTCAGAAGGCGCGATCTTGAGTGCAGCCATAAAAGTACATCCTGTGTCAGACCCACAAACTGAAGAAGAGCGCCAACAGATAGCTGTTCGTCTAATTGACAACGTGATACTAGAGTCAAGTCAGGCTCAATAAATGTCCCACAACGAGATCTTGCCGTCCTTTGATCCAGCTACTAGCCAGTGAGTGTTGTGTATCTTGTCTTCCCGTTCTTGTTTGATTCTTTCCATAGCATTGAGCTGAACAACCGCGCAAGGTCGATCTTCACTGGATGTGTGTGAAGTATTGACGACCGCAAAGCCAATAGCATAACACCCCTCCTTGTGCCATTGTAAAACAGCGAGCTCTTTCAATGTCTTAGCAGAGTAGATCCTGATGTGCTTATCCCAGCCAGCTGTTGCGAATACTCGCCCATCAGACCTGATCTTCAGATCCTGCTGACCAGCATGTTTAGTGTCGTTTGTCTTTTCTGCTTGGTCCGCTTGGGTAGGTTGACTAGGTATCGAGTACTTTACGATCGTCGCATCTGCTGAAGAGGTTATGAACCAATCGTGTTCAGGACTTACGTCGAGCGAAAGAACAGGCTGCTTGTGAGGTCGGCTGATCATGAGTCTTTCCCAGATCCACGCCGGCATGACATTCTGGTTCTTCCTCGTGTAGGCTGCCACCTGTCCATCTTCGTATCCCACCACAAGCATTAGTCTGCCTAATCGCGTGCTGTTGAACAGTCTTAACGACATGACCATGCCTGTATTGACCTTCTTTTCTGACTGTAGCTTTGAGACTCGCTGTTCGGTTGGAAACTGGAAGACATCCACGCCACCATTGTCCAGTCCGTTTGGTGCGGCCAGAAGCAACGGCGGGAATTCCGTCTCGCTTCCCGCTTGTTTCGTTCGATCTATATCCGGGCAGATAGCAAAAGCACAGAAGTTGAGTGCATTGACGTCTATAGAATGTACCAGCCAAGGTTGCTTGTTCTCTTCTGCAGCTGCACCATCAACAGGAAGTCTTGTGCTCAATGACTCAAGATCTTCATCTCGTACCCGCCAGACTCGTAGTTTATGGTCTCTACCATGCGTGATGATACTCGAACCTTGCCAGTCCTTGATGCCCATCACACCCCCATCATGTGCTTTCCATACTGCGGCTGGTCTCTTAGTGATGAGGCGCCAAACAACAATCCAGCCGTCGCTGTCCCCTGAGATAAAATAGCGATTTGATGCGAAGAAATGAAGAGCATGTATAGCTGCTTGGTGACCTCGAAAGATATATGCTGGCGTTGGAGGACCATAAGACGGTGCTTGCTTGGAGGTGAGCATATTGTTACAGGGTGCTGTGATCCTGTAATTGTTGAGCTCTCGGGTTGTGTGATAGTATATTTATTTCAAGTCGTGACTTCCTTAACTATTCTACGTGATTAGATCTTCGACGTTGACAGCGTTATGGAGAGTCATCACTCTACACAGCACAGCATATAAATCTTACAGGACAGAATACTTCATTAATACTTCTGATATGGCACTGACCTGAGCATGAACTGGTCATGAAAACCTAGTGGTCGTCGAGTCATTCGGTATATACCACTACAGCGTTGCTGGTGAAACGATATTCCTCGCCTTCCTCAATAGGGCGTCAAACCTGTTCGGATATGTCGAGCAGCCAAACAGCGCTACCATGCCACATGCACGAGATACACAACATCAGGAACAAAACGTGCAAAAAAGATATCACAATTTCTTGTGTATGCCCACCTTCACGCAGGTCAGTATAAATTATTAAGTGGAGCAATTCAGGCAAACGTACTACTGGAATCGAACCAGTGATCTTCTCATCACACACGATATGATGCATACGAGTGAGACGCATTACCACTGTGCCAAGCGGGCCCAAGGGTTGTGAGAAACCCGAATCTGTGCGTGGTTTCAGGGGCTCAAAGTGCTTGGTAGAAAATATGTTCGGAGAACGTAAGGTCTTCGCTATGGCCCATCGTTGTCCACATCAATATCACCGTCTCGGTGATATCTACACCTACAGATGTACAACAATTTCAGAAGATGCTGCTTGTCGCTGAGCAGCTTCATACATCATCTATCTCTCCTTGTCGGACTCCGACTTCCTTGTCTACTCTTCCTCCCGCCAAGACCATCAAACCTTTCCCTTGACTCGGTTCTAACGAGTAATCCCCTCCTGTCCATAATGTCAGGCGTCAGTCTCCCTGCAACACCACCCGACTTAACATTTCTTTTCGTTGTAGGCGAGGCATAACCACTTGCTGGCTTCGATGCTACTTCATCATCATCACTGCTATCCATCGCGCCGAGCTCAAAGTCATTCGGATCATAAAGACGCGTACTGCCATCTTCCAGCTCACGGTCGTAGTCCTTTGAGGCATTCCTTCGACCCAGGAGCCTATTGAACTTCGAAAACAGGGTTTGCGAACTCGTGCGTCTTGGAAGCGTCCCTGCTTTGTTCGCGTTACGTTTCCGAAGATAGAAAAAGGCGATGAACACAATAAGAAGGAAGAAGAGAAAGCCAGGTATCCGGTGTGGTGAATCAGACGATAATAGCGTGTCAGTGATTTTGCTGGTTATGCTCTGGTCAGGCACTGATAACGAGCCTGGCTGTAATCGACCGCCTCCTGGTAGCTGAAAGTCTGCGGGCACAATAGAACCATCATTGCTTCCGAATCCCACTGGAGCTGCTTGTTCTTCAAGTGCTGGTACGTCAGCTGATGCGTAGAGCACCATCTTACCCATCGTCCATGAAATCTCTGTGCTCTTGATCTTGTTTACAGCTTGGAAGGGTTCTAGATAGCCTTTCTCCTTCCCTGCTTCGATGATTTCTTTCGTGCCGTTGGCTGTGGTAGGGTTGTGTTCGAGTCCGACTCTTGGGACACCAATACCATCGTGCAGAATATTGATGAGCCAGCTCGCCTTGAAGCACACTTGGTATGCTGTCTGTTCGTCCACTTTCTTGCCGTAGAGTTTATCGCCAATAGCTGTCTCGATCGATTTCCAGTCTTGGGAACAGAACTCTGCTACCCTATTCTGGTAGGTATTGAAATCGTAGGATTTGTCCTTATGCGCCATCTCAAAGATCTCGTGTGTTGTGTGCCAGTACTCACTGATGCCAACAAAGTGATTGACGTCGAAGTCTATGGCTGGGACATGTTGCCCATTGAATAGGCACGGCTCATCCAAGCACTCCTTTTCTCTTTCAAGTAGCGGGAGAGTTCGGCGCAAGCATTCATCAAAGGCTCCGATGCCTATCAAATGCTGTTGTCCAACATCCTTTTCCGCGAGCAGTTCGCCGTCAATAGTGAGTATTACACCATGAGGTAAGCAGGGGTCCGGAATCTCGTCAAGCGCTTCGACGGCATATGTATCGAGCAACTGCTTGACATAACGCCTTCGCGCTTCGTTGACTCCAAAACCCAGCCATGTCGTAACGAAGACGCGGTATTCTTGCGACACACCATCCACTGTCCGTAACCTCATAAGAGTCAGGTCGTTTGCGTGCTTCTCTGCCTCAGTACTGTTTGGGGCAAAGGCTATCTGTGCAGATGCACCACCCATATCAAGGAAACCATATGTACGATGCCCTTTTCCATGATCGTGCTCTTCCGCATTGTCGAAGCCACCTAGTAAATAATTGGCTGCAACCCAGCCATACAATCCTTCAGTTTCGCCAGGAATCACTTGGATATGTAGGTCGCAGTCAGGAAGGAAGAAATCGGTTTCGGTCTTCAAATAGGAGCATATGGAGTCTAGGACGTTTCGCCTTTGTTGATCAGGAAGCAAACGCATTCCTGCCGTCGCAAGTAGGAAAATAGGCGTGTTTGGTATTGCATCTTTTGGTATATATTCAACAGCATGACCGACCAGAGCCTTCAAATGATCTGTGCCAACAAGTTCAGGTGTTTCGCCAAAGGTAGAGACACCTGGATGTACCTTCTTCGTCCATTTGTCCTTTGTTTCGAGTTCGGGAAGTTTGTGAATTGTCGACTCTTGTGCTCGGGCCAGCGCATTCCTCAGCCAGCGGTATATGTACACGCGTGTGCCTGATGAACCAGCATCAAGCACTACGCCATAGTTGTATTTGTCGGATTTACCCATCCTCAACTTCAGCAGTTACTAAACTTCCTTGTTATTACAATCTATTGGGGGAAATTTGAGAAGAAACGAGCGACTGGAAGACGTGCGTATGAGGCTACTGTCTCAAGGGTTCCGATGACATTACGTGTGTCGAGGACAGGCCGTGTCGGTGTTCGTGAAGGATAGGTGGCTATCCCGGTGTCTTCCAAATTGTCGCAGGATGCGCACAGTTTGCAGTGGTGGGTGGTGCGCGCAGGGTGGTTCTGGAGGCTCGTGCTTCCGCCTACGATTGCCTTTTCTCAGCACAAACGGCCCAGGTCTTGCACGTGCTGGGGCTGCTTCTCAGGGATGACGCACGCTTGTCTGAACCCCAAGTTTCGTGTAACCTCGGCGAGCTGAAACATCAGTGTGCATTAATCGCGTCGCTGGGCTTTTGAATCACGGAGGCATTGCCTGCACGTTGCTAAAAGCCATCGTGTATACGAAAGAACATGAATACCCGACCACCATGTTGACCATATCGTGATGGTCGGATGGCACCATGGCAACGACCTCGAATTTGCAGATGACCTCCCTCCTTCGGGAGGTAGAGAAGGATGGCACAGGAAATGCCAACAGCACCTCAGAGAGGACTCTCCTCGATCGTATGGCAAGATTTAGACAGAATCCATTCGACTTCGCTCATGAGTTGTATCTTTTCATTCGGGGTGTTGGCTGGAGATCCTACGACAATGCCGATGTGATAGGACAGCCTGTATTCTATCCAGGTTACACTGCAAAGATCAAGGGGACTGTTATGCGATCGCCTTTGCTACGCAAGAAACTGGATGAATTAGTTGAGGAAAGACTTTACAGAGAGGAAAAGGAGGAACTGCTGAGTACGGGAAATGCTACATTGAGACAAATAAGAAAAGCAGAGCTGGAATCAAGCTTGGACGAGTATGCAGCCCTCATGGTCGACAAGATGATGTGCAAAATGGAGAGCAAGTTCCAGATCCGGTCCGCCTTCTATATGTGTACGCAGCTTCTTACGCGAGTCTACAGCGGAGTCCATGTATCTGAGGCAGAGGTCACCCGTTTAAGAGAAGTTGCTAAACGTGCTGCTGCTCAGAAAATGCCGATTGTCTTTCTACCTAGGCATACGAGTCACATTGACTATGTCGCGCTCCAGCTAATCTGCTTCAGGCTCGGTATCACCTTGCCTGTAGTTGTCGCTGGAGAGAACCTGAACTTCCCTGTTGTTGGTCCATTCCTCCAGCATCGTGGTGCTATGTGGATCAGGAGGAGCTTCGATGGGGACGCGCTGTATACGACACTGGTACAGGCTTATATTGATACCATGTTACAACAGGGGTACAATCTTGAGTGCTTTATCGAAGGCGGTCGGTCAAGAACCGGAAAGCTGTTACAACCAAAGTTTGGATTCCTGAGTTTCTTGCTTGATTCTGTACTCTCAGGACGGACCAAAGATGCTTACATCTGTCCAGTATCCATGCAATACGACAAGGTCATTGAAGTCGATTCGTATGTCACGGAGATGCTTGGCAATCCGAAGCAGAAAGAGAACCTATCCGGTTTTCTATCCTCCTCATCCGTCCTCGGCATGAACATGGGTCGAGTCGATTGTCGATTCCAGGAGCCATGGTCTCTTCGAGAATTTGTGGACAGTCAGCTTGCACGTACTAATGCTACAGTCAAAGCACAGGACGGCATCGACCAGACTAACCCGGAAGTGCGGACACGTTTACTGAGGACGCTTGGTTACAAAGTCCTTGCTGATGTCAATGATGTGTCAGTCGTGATGCCAACAGCTTTGGTGGGTACTGTACTGTTAACTCTCCGAGGACGTGGCGTTGGTAGAGGTGAGCTTGGACGTCGTGTTGATTGGCTCCGGGCTCGAATCAATGCGAATGGAGGAAACGTTGCTGATTTCCATGGATCGCCAACACTGGAAATTGTGGACCGTGCTCTGAACGTTCTGGGTCCGAACCTTGTAGGCACTATCGACGGACTTGCTGAAGAGACATACTATGCTGTGGATCGGTTCCAGTTGTCGTTCTATCGAAACATGACTATACATTTATTCATTTCTGAGGCTTTGATAGCTGTATCTCTGTATACAAAAGTCAAACAAGGTGGCGGCAGACTGGTAGAGCGCATTCCAGAAAAGGACCTAGCAGAACAGGTAGCGTTTCTGTCGCAACTATCGAGGGGTGAGTTCATCTTTAGAACTGGCCAGGGCCTCGAGCACAATTTTAAGCATGCTTTGGAAGGCCTCGTGGAAGATGAAATTCTGGAAGCCACAGAAGACGAGCAACAAGGAAGATTGATTGGTCTATCACAAGTTGAACGCCAGCGGGGACGTGAGAGTTTTGACTTCTATTGCTTCTTGTTCTGGCCTTTTGTTGATGCAGCATGGCTTGGAGCAGTATCGCTGCTCTGTCTCGTTCCACCGACCGGTTCGTCTACAGCATGGATCGAAATGAAGAGAGCTCAAGCATTATGCCAAAACCTCGGACGAACACTCTACCACCAGGGTGATCTGTCCTATTTTGAGGCCATTAACACAGAAGCAATCAGAAATGCCTATAGCCGGTACCAAGAAGAAGGAATTATTCGTGTTTCTCGTCAAGGTGTCGCCAAAGGTAGCCTACTCGTCCAAGTTGCGCCGGATTATATGCCGGAGAGAGATGTAGACAGTGGTACGCTGCAACCAAAAGGTCGCCTATGGGAACTTATTGGTCGGATATCTGAACATCGTCGTGAAGGTAAGAATCGACGTGACCCAGCTACTGTGTCTACACGGGTATTAGATCTGGCATCGAAGCTTAATCTTGAGCTCTTTAGTGAATTTGACGTTGATTCGAGCAACGAGGGACCCACCCAGTTAAGAAAGAGTCGTCAGCGGAGGTCAAAACTTTGAGAGAAAGTCGGTACTCATGCACAAGCATAGTTCACATCGTACAGTCTCACGACTAGTTGAGCGTATATATATACACATATGTTGCTTGATCAAGCTACTGTAAACATTACTGTTGACGAAGCACGTCACACGTTGTCTGTTCGTGCTCCGATGTAGTCGCCATATTGGTTTCAGACCTGACTGATCAATCAAATATTACGTGAATTGCTTAGGCTAGCTCTGAAAAGGATGGTTCCAGCTTATGGTGAAAGTACTACGGTCGTGCATAGAGCTTATATAAGCACTACTTAGGCATCTAGGCAGGAACAAAAAGTAGAAGCATTGGTGAGCACTAGTGAGGCCAAAGCAGTCCTGATTTCTGTGAACAGAATATATTTCTACGATACGTGCCAGTAACACACTCAAAACAAGGAGCGCTTAGAGCACTTGTTTATTGAGTAACGATCACGATTGCATGCGACCATTGCATTGACCAATTTGCGCATTCGATACCTCGTTACAACCTCGACGCTTTGCACGATGCGTCTTACAGCGGACCTAATACACAATTCCCTCTCCTACCTCAACCCTCTCAAAGAACGTGAACTAGACCTACGAGGTACGTGAAGAACAGATACTACACTTGAGCTTAATCTTAAGAGCATGATTGACAAAGAATTCTTGCTACCCACCAGGCCATAAAATCCCAACGATAGAAAACCTTGGTGTCGCTGGTCCACACGATGCGATCGACTTCACCGACAATGACTTGACCACATTATCAAACTTTCCATTGTCGCCTCGACTGAACACACTCCTGTGCGCACGCAATAGGATACAGAGCGTCGATAGACGAATCGCAGAAGAGATACCGAATCTAACCACTTTGGTACTTGCCAACAACAATGTGAAAGAGTTAGCAGACTTAGAAGGCTTGACCAGATGTCGCAAGCTTGCGCATGTGGTACTGACAGAAAATCCTGTGACCAAGAAAGAGGTATGTACATTTGTGCACCCCAAAAGTGCTGTCTCTGACGTATTGCGTTCTCACAGCACTATCGGTTATACATGATCTGGTCCATCCCAAGCATAAGGTTCCTTGACTACGAACGAGTGCGCGAAATTGAACGCGATGAAGCAAAAGAGCTGTTCGGCACATCCTCAACGCCCAGCGAGTTAGTCGCCAAGATCAGGGGTGTAAAGAGCAAGACCTCGGATTCAAGTATGATCACGAACGGAAGAGTAGCGGCAGGGAGCGGTGGTAAAACTTTCAGAGCTGTATTGAGCGAAAGTGAGAAGAGAAGAGTTCAGGAAATGCTACAAAATGCGAAAAGTATGGCTGAAATTGACCGAATCGAGAAAGATCTTGCTGAAGGCAGAGTGCCGAGAGGTGCTGCTGATGCAGATAGGGCGACTTCGTGAAATGGTTCTTCAGCATCTGTCTGCACGTACTCGGCTCGTGTCGATCAACAATCTTTGCATTCATTTCCGTGGTGCAGAAGAATGGCCATGAATCCTGAGCTCTCTGAATTCAGAAGGCGTATGAGAGCAGTAAGTGGTGCAAATTGTACTGGCAGAGGCAAGCTACCTTGACCTAGCTTTCGATACGCGGAAAAACGAAGTCGTCACGTGAGGTCGCTTTTTCTCGGCCGGCAGTTAGAAAGCGAGTTCTCAAATTTCACGACGCGCCACAAACTAAGTTATCAACAGCCTTTGCTCTCAACAAACTCCAACTTCATCTCCTCATCCATGCGATTGTGGATTATTATACTTATGGTAGCCGTCGCATTCAGAACAATTCCGGTCCTTAGAAACAGTATCTCCTCCACAATATCAGTCCTTCAACCTACCGTCGTTCACAATTCACTTCGGACCAAGTATCACACCATATCAGCCGAATTCAAAACCTCCGGCAATCCTTCAGTCGCCTCCTCTAGGATGACTGAATCACTTCCGCAGCAGAACCCTATGCCTGTGCTCTCTGATGCAGGGCCTGCCGATGCGAAGAAGGCCCAGGAACTGCCGAAACTTTCAATACAGGATTTCCAAATCTACAATCGGTTAGCAATTATGATGGATGCATATCATAACCATTTCAGGCGGACATGGAACATGCTGTACAGTGCCTGCTCATCAGGACAACGTCCAGCGGGAGTATCGATTCGTGGCTTCATACAAGCTGGTTTGCAGCTGTGCCACCACCTAACCATTCATCATACTATTGAGGAACGACATATCTTCCCTGAATTGGCGGAAAGGATGCCAGGTTTCAAGGATGATGAGATTTTGATTCATCAACACGAACAGATACACGACGGGCTCGAGAAAGTACAAGACTATCTTCAGGCATGCCAGTCTGGCGAGAAAGAGTTAAGGATGAATGAGCTGAAGGATATCATGGATTCTTTCGGGGAGGTTCTTTGGGCACATCTAGATGAAGAAGTAAGGATGCTCGGTGCCGAGAACATCAGGCAGTATTGGACCAAGCAGGAAGTCCTTGCTATGGAATGGTAGATCTTGAACTTTCTGGACACCTGTACCTCGTCAGAGATAACATGGCTGTCCAGATGAGAACATGAACGCCACATCGTTGAAGTCCTTGTCAATGAAGTGGCTGATACCTTAATAAGATATCGCCATTTGCAAAGTGTCGCCTCGAAGGCCTATTATTAAGCATGAGTAGAAGTGATCTTCGAGATCTCCAAAAAATCAGCTCGGCTGCAGTTGTTCCATGTGGCTGAGTTCTTCGTAAGGCAGATTCTTGGCTCGCAACGTGCATGCAATCACGGCATGATTCGACTGACCCCGCCATGCGTCATTAGTGGCTGCAAGGGGTGGGGTCGCGCTGAGTGTTCGCTTCAGCTTTGGTGATGGAGAGCATGCATCAGCTGGGCCTGACCGATGGTTTGCACGATCGCAAACAGATCAAGTTTATATACGCAATAGTCCCAGACAGTCCAGAGTCTTGCTTACCTCTCCTCAAAACTTCTTACCACAAGATTATCAATCATGGGAGTAAGTTACAAGCAACTCTATAATGCTTCCTGCTACGGCATTGGCACAGGCTGCAATCCTCTGTGTACCGCGAAAGCTGACGACGACTTTGTTTCTAGCTCGCTTCTAAACTTGCTGCTGCTCAAGGTGGCCAACCTCCATATCCAGGAGGTCCCGGCGCAGGAGGACCTCCAAGCGGACAACCACCACAGGGCTATGTGAGTCTCATTGTGCATGTGATTCGAAGTAACTTTTTCGCTAAACATTCGCTCAGCCCGGGCAGCAACAATATCAAGCATATAACCCAGGCCAAGGCCCACCACAAGGTACTGGTAGAGGAGGACCACCCTTTGTAAGTACTATTGCACAAACAGCAGTCGTTACTTCTTGATCGTTCTTCCGGAGGTTATTCTGGATATCTAAACCAAGTCGCGGAATTAACCTGTGCTACGTCACCTCCAACTTGGGGTTGTCACTCATCATCTGGATTTTCAGACTGTTCCTCAATACATAGCTGCCGCGATCATTATTAGGCCATATCACTCAGCAAGCTTGGTCGGAGGCGCATTTAATACTATCTGCTGTCACGATGAGCAAATTCTCCCGTTTGGCGTCTGGACAACCACCAAGTCTCATACCAGGACAACCTATGAACTCTCCATATCCCCCACCAGGAGCGCCGAGTATACCACCACGACCTGGATCTACGCAAGCACCATATCCGCAGTCGCAGTATCAATCCTATCCACAAGGTCCTGCCATACCACCGAGACCGGGAGTTCCTCCTCAATCTCCTTACCAACAGCCATCGTGGCCAGGTCAGCAGCAAAGACCTCCGTCGCAACCACCACAAATGAACATGTACCAGCAGCCCTACTCTCCTCAGCCTTCGCAGCAGCAATTCGGATACAATCCTCAAGCGCAGCAGTATCCACCACAAGGACAGGGTCCTCAGTCGTACCAGCAGCCGGGCTTTCAACAACCATATCAACAGCCTCCTCAGCAGCCTTCCTACCAGCAGCCGGGCCAAGGATATGTTCGTACTTCTTCCGATTTTGATTTGCATGCCTCGAATTCTCACTAATGTTTTGTTATGTAGGGCCAACCTTCGTACCCAGGCGGACCTGGAGCACCGCAAGGTCAACCTCAATATGGTCAAGGCCCACCCCCTCAAGGCGGCGGTCAGAATGTCGGCGCATACAAGAACTTGCTCATGGGAGCCATTCAAGAGAGAGGTCTACAAAATTTTTATCCACCGAACTCTCCGCAACTCGACATGATCGCAAACCGTGCTTCTAGCCAAGTTCAGATTCTGGCTCAACAGTGGAAGGTCAATCCCGAGATTGCTCAAGACATCGTAAAACTGGCACTGTACGATGTCATGCTATACGTTGATGACAGCGGATCAATGGCGTTTGAAGAGAATGGAGAACGTATCGACGACCTCAAGCTTATCATTAATCGTGTCGCTTTCGCTGCCGGACTCTTCGACGACGACGGTATCCAAGTCCGATTCATGAACTCCCTAGAACAAGGCAATGGAATAAGATCAGCGCAACAAGTTGAAGAGCTTATTGGCCGAATACGTTTCCAAGGCCTTACACCTATGGGTCGAGAATTGCAGAACAAGGTGCTCGGTCCACTTGTGCTTAGCCCTGCAGCATCTGGTCAATTACGAAAGCCGGTTCTTGTCATTATCATTACTGATGGCCAGCCAACTGGCGAGTCTCACCGTGATATCAGCAATATCATATTAGGTGCATCTCGACAACTGCAAAGCAACCCAAGATACGGCAAAGGTGCTCTCGCATTCCAGTTTGCACAAGTCGGAAATGATATCAAGGCTCGAGAATTTCTCAAGCAGCTCGATGAGAACAGAGAGATTGGCGATATTATCGATTGCACGTCAAGTAAGTTAGAAACAAGTTCACACGACACAAAGGCTAATACTTTGCAGACTTCGAAGTAGAACAAGATGAAATGTCCCGTGCCGTTCCACCTGTCAACCTCACACCAGAGCTCTGGCTCATCAAGCTCCTCCTCGGTAGTATCGACTCTTCATACGACAAGAAAGACGAATCAACGCAGGGCGGACCTCCAATGCAACAAGGTTTTGGTGGCCCTCCACCGGGACAATACGGAGGATACCAGCAACAACCACCACAACAACAAGGTTATGGTGGCGGCCCTCCTCAGGGTCAGTATGGTCAACCACAATATGGACAGCCACAAGGAGGATATGGACAACAGCAACAACAAGGAGGATATGGTCAGCAGCAACAAGGAGGCTACCCGCCACAAGCTGGTAGAGGCGGTCCACCTCAGGGATATCCGCCTCAAGGTCAAGGCTATCCTGGTGGTCCACCAAGATACTAGTAACTGCGTTGATTTCTGGCAGTTGAGATGAGTTGCATCAGAGAAGAGCTGCCTAATGAGAAAGCGGTTAGTAGCGAGTCTGTTGTGCTCGAGCACTTCTTGATGGACAGCTGCTTCAGAGCGAAGCGGCGAGTAGATGACTCAGCCCATACTAAAGTTGACATTATGCTCGTCAAGATCAGCAGGAGCTATCAATACAATTCACGCCTCGTTTCTAATCGAGTCTTCGAATGCCCAAGTTTTATTTGTTACACGCAACATGACCTTCGCAGACAGTCACCTGAGAATACCACTGATAAAGACGAGATCTGTACCATGGCTGGTCTGGCCAATCTGAAGTTCTCTCAAATTACGTAGTCGATGCCTCTTCTTCTTGTCGAAGATGCTCGCTCGGCCTGTATCGCTCTCTTCGACACAGACACTTTTCAAGAGCGCTTGAAATGTACAGAGTGTATGAGCTGACCCAAGGTCATCTCCTGCATGGGCTGTGAGTCAACCAGCGAGACAGGAGAGGTAGCCCCACAACCGATAATTACGTTCGTGGCATGATTTCGAGCAGGGATCTTACACGTGGCTACGCACCGAGCTCTGGGAGCTAACAGCAAGTTGTGCATACCATACTGCTCTGCTTACCGTGGTTCGTTCAGCTCGTAAGCATTTTGTAGCTGCTCCAGGATCTTTGTTCGTTCCTCATCCATACGCAGCAGTGCTAGCACCAAACTCCTCCCGTCTTGGCGAATGTCAGATTGAAGTTGTAGGGGTTATTTGTTCCTGAATTTAGTACTTGCACGCATTCTTCGTTTGGGGAAGAAACGGTGTGTCATGGGAACTGAATCTCGTGTTTCAGACTGCCAAGAATACCAGCCTTACTGTAGAGGGAAGGGCCAAGCACGTAAGCAGCGCTCAGACACGCGAGCACCATGCAGAGACCAGGATGTCAATTGAAGAACGTACTTTTGCAAGCGAGGACAAACGGTCAGTGGAATGGAGATGTAACGAGATCCTGGTTGACATGCAGCTACCATGATGAGTCTGGCGCTTATGTGATCGAGTGTTCAGTATGGCTGAGGCATGGCATTGTTCAGATGATGGGCACGTAATTTGTTGTGTTAGCAAGGACATCATACGTATGGTTGTGTTCGTTGTTGTCGGTGACGAAGAGAGGGAGCCAAACAGTAAATGGAATGATGTTTTGCTGCGTTTCATCCCATCTGATCTCGTGAATCAGCAATGCTTCGTCTGTATCGACCAACAGCTGTAATGAGAGTACCTCGCCTCATCCTTCCGAATGACGTGCAGAAGTAAACACTCCGCGCGTGGCATGTTCATTAAGCTTCGAGCAGGACTTTTTGTGAGGTTACTTCAGACCTGACCATCGTAGTGTTTTGTGGCTGCAGCCCTACCATTCCTCCACCTGACTGTCCAGTAATAGGAACGTGAGATTATCTTGTTTAACGCACTGTACTTGTTCGAGCTTGCATACACGCACGAGTCGCATGGTGCAGGAAGCAGGTAATCACACGATAGGCCAGAGCGCCGACTCTAGAAAGCCACAAACAGAAGCTGAACTGAATGAATCTTGGCAGAATGGATGATACGGAAGAAGCCTGCCAATCACATTCAGGCATGATCGTTGGTGGAGCACTTTCCTCGCTTGAAACGAATTAACTGATTACACTCGTCGCTTTCGTCCTCAATTATTACGGCTGGAGTTCTAGAAGACTTCTGAAAGATGCTTTGGTCTTGTATAGGATCTTGGTAATTTCCAGAAGAAGACTGATCACGCTCGCCGTCATCAGAATTGCTTGTAGTGATCGCGAAGTATTGTTCAGATTCGCGAACTGCCATGAATAGTATACTTTCCAGCCACCGGGAAGACAAGCGACTCTGCTTGCAACTGTCGAGCACAGTCGCATCCCACGATTGAAACATCAAAACCAAAATGGCATCGTTACTGGCATGATCTCATCGTCTCGCGAAGGTACGGTAAATCTTGAATCTAGATCCGGAAGTCGTAGGGATAATGTTGTGGCACCTGTTGGGACGTTGTGTACTAATTTTCTCGCGGTGGCCGCAAGCAGAACGTCCGAATTGCTCTTGGGTTTGCTAACTGCAGCAAATGTCGTGTAGCTCAGGAGAAACAATGAGAAAACACTGCAATCGTGGAACACGAAATTGAGTCATCGGATTAAACCAGAGTCATGACCTATTAAAGTGCAGAAGCGGTTACGATGCTAAGGAGGGACTGCCGGAAGAGTGATTACTTATCAGAGATTTCGATCTTGCCAGCATGTCAGCTCGTCGAACAGTACCACTACCAAATGAACCATGACTTTCTGTAGATCGCGCTTGCTTGATGACCTTTACTATATGCACTTGCCAGCACTTGTGTGAGCTTGGGCCAGGTTCGAGCAAGCCGGAGTTGTTACAGCAATACTGTAGGAAGCAATGTCTCAATTCTTCGGAAGAGTAATACACTCTGAAGCCGTGAAGCTTGCATAGATCGACACGTTGGATCTGCTCGTTCACTGGCGTGAGCTAGAAGCACAGACGCGGACGTGCGTGGCTTGCGGAATGTAGATCGAAAAATGGTGAGACTACCACCAGACAAAACGAACGCTTTTGCTGAAACGAGCGAGCTTGTTCGATGAAGCCATGGTGTCAGGAACACGATGATGAGGATTGCACACGGTTCCAAGAAGCTGCCACTGCAAGCAAGAAAGTCAGTAGTGATACGACAGTGCAGGAGCCACCAAATGTAACATCGATGCTTTCAAGATCAGTCACGAGAGAAGGCGCCCTTCGGAAGCTCTTTTGTTGCTTTCAGCTTCACCGCTGAACAAGTCTGGCTTGCAGCCACTTAGTGGAGAAGCAACTGCACAGAAGCGGAGTTCGATCGCGCTCTGATCGAATCGCGATCGCGTGTCGCCTAGCTTTCGACTCAACTGGACTAGCTCGCGAGCCTACATCGCGAACCGTGCACACAGGTGCCGAGTGTCCGCTCGTAGAGTCGCGGTAGAGGTTCTGCAGTGGTGATTACACAGTGGACCAGAAGACTTTTCCGGAAGTGCAGATTAGTTAGCGAGGTCCTTTTGCAGACCCCCCACCCGTATTCTGCACCATAGCGAAGCGTAAGGCATCCACCTAACCCTCACTTGTGCATTTGGAGCACTGCACCCATCTTCTTCAGCTTCAGCCTGCTGGTTTCAATCTCCTTGGATAGGAGTTCCACGTGCGAGACTTTGGTCCTGGCTCATCCAGGAAAAGCACTCCACAAGATGACTTATCCCACCTTCTCTGGCTTACCGACCTGGGACATCCGCTACAAGGTTTCTGCTCCTCAATCAGCCTCTAGTGTCTCTGACGCGCTTCATACTACCTTTTTCGTGATAGACAGTGACTCAATCGTAGACTCCATCAGCGTACAGCTGTCGGAAACATATAATCTTCTGATCGCCCCCATTGCTAGTTCTGCTTCAGAATATCAAGACTTCAGATCCAAGACTTGGAGCCAGCCATAAGATCTACTCAAGACATTCGTCTAACATCCTTACAACAATCACCAACTTCTCTTCAAACTCCTAACACAAGCATAATGCCTCGCTGCCAATCGAAGCAAGCCCTGATGAGAGGCCTCCGACCATCACCACAACAGAAAATCCACTGCTCGGTATGCAGAGGAAGGTGTATTCACTGTGACATTTGGAAGCTGGCATCCTTGGTATTCACACACGTTCCTCTCTCCTGCCGCTTCAGCACAACACCGGACAAGCTTCGAGCAGTCTCATCAGAACCTTCTTACGACTACGCCAGACTCGAGAAGCAAATCGAGGCAGCTTTCATGAATGAACAGTTCAAACTGGCAAGCATCATGTCAATAGCGACAGTGGATGGAGCGGAGGAAAGCTTGGGACTGAGAGCTGCTCATGACCGATCTCTACAAATGGTCAAAGATCTCCTTCAGCTGGAAGAGAAGCTCGAGCTCGCACTGATCCGGGCACCATCGCCGGATCATACCCAGTATAGACATCAATCCCGCAATCACTACCACGACACGAGAAGACCAAGCATGGTCAGTATGATGGCTTGAGAATGATGACGCTATCCGAACAACTGCCTTATAACAAACGAGCAATTTAGCGAGCGATGTTTTTCTCTTGACGACATGAAATCTTACGAGCGACGGTGTTCAGGTTACGGAAAAGTCTACTATTGTGGACCTGTACTACAATACATCACAACAATATTGTGTTTAATGATGGAGTTGCATTGCACTGGCAATGTGCATGCCCAGCGGACTCTAGTGCCCGAGATGGAGCGGATGAATACTGGTATTGGGACTCATGACACCGCATAAGAGACACACTCTTCTCCTTGTGCAATGGTTATGGAGCGTGCAAGTTTTGGTACGCCTTCCATAACCATGGTTGACGACCCGACTTATTACGATCATAGCTAGATAGGCAACCACAATCTTGCACAGCAGCCTTCTGCTACTGCATGCAATGAATCTATCTATGATGTAACAAAATATTCATGTTCCATTGTAACTGCTGTTTATCGTGTAGCCTTTGGCAGAGTAGCACTCTTTCTTTGCTCACATGATCGGCACAATTATTCGCCCGCGAAACACCGGTTCGCTCCTTCTACTGCCTTACAAATCCAGGCAGGAAATGACAAGGGCATCACCTCCAATTGTGTGAGTCAATGTGTCTACTGCAACATCGCGAACAGCACTGTCAGCCCTACTAGATCCCTTGCTCAACTCCTACCTCTCCCGAACCGATCTGCAGGCATGTCCATGTCATCCTGGTCACGGATCACGGATCACGAGATAAAATTACGCGTCTATTGAACACGTATGCGCATACCTGTTAGGCAGCTGCGTTACGGCTGCTTAGCAGGATGTGTCGCCGAAGCAGGGCGTCCGCCTGGAATGAGCTGCGCGCCTTGTGAGCGAAGGTCTAAGAGTTGGGCTTCTCTACAGCCATAGCATTACGTTTCAAAGACAAACTACACTACAAAGCTGCTGAGTCTAGCATGGACCTTCCCGGAGCATGGACGATTGCAACTGTGTTCACGTGTTCCTATTCTTCCATGTGGTAAGCCTGAGCATATTCTTACCAACTTCTTCAGAGTACAGATCGACAACGGAACAGTCTTTCAGTAGTTGCCGATCACTTGCCTGCTTACACATAAAGTTATGCTGATCAAATGGAGTTCCCTATATGAAAGGCGGCCCGAAAACTCTGAGAACAAGTACTTGCTAACTGCTTCGGTCCTGCTATATAGGTTTCGTGCGACAGGAAGACTACGCACAAACAAGAGGGAATCATCTGTACTCCATGAAGCAAGTGTTGCGAGTCTATCGGTCATGCCTTGCAGCCAATGCGAACCTCGACAGTATGGAAAGGTCATACACCGCCATTAAGTGGACAGCGTCGATGAGCCGAAATACTGGAACCACGACCGCGGATACAGTCCGGTTCGCTGCATTTGCGAACAAACCTATCTCGAGCTCCGGAGTCAGGGTTTGCGCGTTCACCATGAACGTAGCAAATACAGATTTTCGTTGCTTGACCAAGCGGCATTCAGCGTCGCTGAACACGCCACGACGCGTACACGGCTACCGGACTCATGTCCCGCATCCCGTGATGGCTTGTTTACACGTTGATTGATTAGTAGCATCCACGACTCTCGGGACAGATGCCAAGCACACCGAACGGGAGTACCTGACAGCTGTACACATTTCCCCAACCACCTCGACCGCTATATCGGAACACTTGCAGCGATGCGGTGTCAGCCCTGATCACAATCGTATCGAGTCTACCGCTGTCTGCTCACCGACCTCGATGATCGTGACGGCTTCACCGATAACGCCATAACAGACACACGGAATCTGTGGAACATGGCGGTCCGGATTATTGCTGACACCTTTTTGTTTGCATTACCAGATTTTAACTTATTGTGACTGGACGTGTCTTTCGCGTCTGCAGGCGCGAACCGAGTTTCAAGCCACGTATTTGGTTCGCGTGAGTCGAAAATTAAAGAGGTACCGAGATCACAAGCTGTTCGCCTTCGGCAATTAGTTCCTCTATCGTCTGAGGATCGCTAGGCGCCGCTGGGTCATGTTTCAGTCTCATACTGTTCGATATGAACTTTGCACTCCGGAAGCCATCCGATCGCCCCCACTTCTGTACCGTTAGTTTGAGTGGTTGGTATCGAGTCTCAAAAGTAAGCAACGTGCCTAGATCATGAAGGATACCAAGTTGCGGTGACGACAAAGACATGAACATGAACGAAACTCGTAACTGATTTTTCTTGTCCAAGTGCAATGATACGTAGATGTACTTCTATACCACAAGCTCGCACAGTTCCGTGTTTGGCAAACTGCTCATTTCAAGCTCTTCATGCTCCGCTTGATGCCAAACATCTCAAGGAGCCAGAATCGCCGCAGCAAGCTCAATAGCCCTCGACGTCTTCCCTACCCATTCCTGCGCCATAGTCGCATTCCTGTAGAACGTGACCGCTTCCGTGACACCACCAAAAGTCACTCCAGCGTAACCTGTATCAAGTCCTGGTGCATAGACGACATGGCGGTAAAACTCACGTTCCGGGAGACCACCCTGCGACACAAAACCGCGCTGATAATCTCGCAGCTTCGCGTTAATATTGTCGACTGTGGTCGTGTCCGATGGTGAGGTAGCTGCGATGAGCTGTGCCATTGCGGATGCGGAGGTGTTGAAGGTCTGGATGGCGGAGCGGATGGGACTCAGGTCGACATTGGTATAGTTGCTGCCTCCTGCTTGGACCACGGATTGGAGAGTGGTTAGGTATCCTGTCATTTCTACACCATAGGTTGTAGGGTTGAGAGGGACGATTTCACGGGTGGAGAGTTCGTATGCGAGGAGGGTGAGGAACCTGCACATGACTTTGTGGGTGTTGAAGCCTACGTCGCCGAAGGTGGACATCCAGTGATAGGAGTCGTAGTTGGAGTGGTATGGGTAGATTGCGTCGGTTGGCCCGGCGCTGGCTCCCATGTCTATACTTGAAATGCCGGCACTGTCCAGGAAGGCTGTGTAATCACTGCCGGAGCCTAGGATGCCAATGCGGCCACCGAGCCCTCGCCACACATCGTAGAGTGTCATATTGTTGTAGCCACGGTAGTTGTCGTAGACGACCTTCTTCATGGTCTCAATTGCGATTGCATTGAGATCTGGCGTGGCTGAGAAGGTGGGATTTGGTCCAGATGCTCCCACGTCGATGTTGAGATATGAGACTGCTGCTTTTGATAGCCATGGGATGTACTCCTCGACGAATTCAGTTGATCCTAGCAAGCCATACTCCTCGGCGTCCCATGAGCATAGTACGATAGTGCGCTTGGGCCTCCAGCCGGTAGCAAGTAATTTGCCAAAAGCTATTGACAGCTCGATCATTACAGCGCTGCCAGAGTTTGGGTCGGCCGCACCTCCGATGATCCACGCATCTCTGTGATTGCCGATAACAATGACCTCGTCTTGGGAAGTACCGTTAATGATGCCGATCGAGTCCCAGATGGTGGTTATGTTCTCCCGCATTTCATTTGAAACTGACAGAGTCACGCCAGGTGCAGGTCCTGTGGAGTATGAAGCATTAAAGGCACCGACCCAATTAGTTCTGTTGACTGTTCTCCCAGTAGGCCCGTAACCGTCAAGTGCTTGGATTAGTGGCTGTGCTTCGATCCAAGAAAGAGGTAGAGATGGAATCTGAGGAGTAACCCGCTCAATACCTGTTCGTGGGGAGCCGGGCTTTGAAGGATAACCCGGAGTGGTAGGGTCGCCAGGATAAGTGGACAGAAACTGAACAGAGCCCCGTTGAACTTGAGTTGGGTTTCTGGCTTTGCCGAATGGATATGGTGCGTACCCGTTAGCCTCTGTAATGTTGCCATCATCGCCAGTGTCTAGGAAGGTGACACAGCCAATCATCCCGTGAGCTTGCGCATTCTTGACCTTGAGGCCGCGAAATGGCCCTGCAAAATGTCAGTTGCAAGCGCATAAATAATGAGGCCAGAGGCACGCCTGGAGTAGGACTTCCGCAAACTTACCACCATACCGCGCAAGAGCGATCTTGCCTTCGAGGCTGACATTGAGTGCGAGAAGACGTTGAAAATCCACTTGCTGGCCACGTCCTACATAAACATACTCTGCTTCAGCCGACCCTGTGAAGGAATAGCCGTGAAACGTGGGTACGCGATCTGGCCAGCCTGTAACGTCGTCTTGTGGTAGAACCGCCTCCTCGAGATTGACAGAACGTGTTGTACCATTTGCTGTGAAACTTAATGACTGAGCGACAGGGTAGTTAAGGAATGTCTCTGTGCTACAATCAGTCTCCCTAATGATCATGATATTCTCTAAATTGCTCATCATATTCCACAAGAAAGCTCGTGAAGCCGTTTTCTGCCCAACGATCGACCGTCCATTGTGCTTGACTCTTATTTGTACCTGCGATATGTAGTCCATGTGTGTAGTAATAGCTCCTGTACGATAATGAGAGGACTGAACGGACCCTATGATGAGTCTCACCTACCACTGGTCAATTGTAGTATTGTCAATCGAGTTGATCAGAACGGATTCCTGGTTGGTCAGTACTGGAGGGAAAGCAACTTCCTGTCGTTTCGAGAGGGCACGGTGAAGTTCGAATACATCTTTGTGGTCTGCCTGGCAGGCGAGTGCTGTGCCAGCAAGAGCCGTGATGCAAGCAAAGCAGGATATCTTCATTCTAGCAGGTATCATACACAACACCTTACTCGAGAGGTCTACCTATCCAGAACGTCGATAAAGCCTGGGGTGATGCGACTCTTTAATATCAACTCCAACACCTCAATCAAGAGCTTCATGGCTTGTATGCCGTCACCCAGCACAGCAGCTCCGATTGTTCGTTGGTACCTGCCTATAATGGACAAGTGGTGAAGAGGCTCTCCAGATGTGCCACGTCTTGTACGCCAATGCAACGTTGATCAGGAACCTTGATAACCATTGTAATCAGGGTCAGTTTTGCTGCAACATGAAGTGCCAGTTACTGGAAGTCAGGTACAGTGATCGACGAATCGATGGCAGGCTCATGAGTCTAGATAGATATGCCACACTATTTGGCGGAATGTGTCAACTTGTACAGCAAATCGGATATGTTGTGAGAGAAAACAACGAAAAGAAGCTGCGACCTCCGCATGCGCCAAGTCTGAGCTGCAGGCTTGGCACTCCAGACTCTTGCATCTTGTTGCTGATATCCGAATGGAATGCCTGTCGATTAAACAACATGACATTTCTGCTTGAGGAGACCGGTTGTCGCGTGAGAAGCAAGATGAGATACTGAGATCAGTCCTGGATACAAACGTTTACGCACAATACTTTCCACAAAACGTATTGCCTGAAGAGGATTGAATCTACTATATATGAAGTCGTGCTTCAGAAACGCTAAAATCAACGAGAGCGTTATCATCAAATGGTTGAATTGAGTCAATGTAGATGGTGGTTCTATTGTACGTCTATGTTCCAAGAACATCAATTGTATGCAATTTGTGATTACTACTCTGTCATAACCGTCACTGAAACTCCTTTGCTAATTCCACCTCGACCTGCAAAGCCATGTAGACTGAACATGTTTTACTGTTTGACAGAGCCTCTCTTGTCTTTGATATGCATGTAGTAGTTCTCAAAACCCCCCAATCATAGCTGAGCCCAGAAACCCAGTGTCAAAGCAGCGAGTACGACAGCACCAGTGTTGACCTTGGAGGATGAAGCAGCGTTTGTACCGGTTGAGCTAGATCCGCTGCTGGTAGGTGATGGGCTAGTGCCAGGACCAGCAGTGCCAGTAGTACCACTAGTATTCTCGCCTGGCAAGTTGCTCTGGTCACCAGCCAGGACTCGGAGCTCAAGACCTTGCAGTGTGCTACCATCTGGGTTTGTGACGGTTGCGATCTCGTTGGTGTTTGTGACTTGAGCGAAACCTGTTGGATAGGTGCCGTTAGCACCATTGTTGATCATGTCTTGAACTTCGGGCAATCTTGCTGGTACATCGAAGCTGTTAGTCAGGTTGCTTCTGATCATGCTTGCCGCACATGCAGGTGGCTCCCTCTGAGTGGCAGTACTGTTGGCAGCAGTCAGAGCAGCAAGGTCGATTCGGCCGTATTGGTCGACAAGGTTCAGGTAGTCTTGCTTCAACTCGATCGAGTTGTCACCATTGATAGTGACCAGACCATAGTTGTTTGGCTCCTCGCTGTACTCATAGACGAGACCTCCACTGAAGATGTTCGTCATAGGTGCGGAGTAGATAGAGCCAACCTCAGTAAAGGTTCGCGGCTGGACTTGGTTGCATCCATACTCGGAGAAGAAGATGGGAATGCTGGTATTGGACAAATCCTCCAACAGAATATTGTAGCCGGCTTCCTCAAAGCTGGCATCACCGCACCATGAGTAAGAGTTGAGGCCGAAGAAGTCCATGCCTGAATTGGTAGAGTTGGCCAAGTTGCAGCTGAGGTAGTTGAAGGTATCGACGAGCAGAGGGCGGACATCGGCAGCAGAATAGCCAACAGGAATATGACGGGACGAGTGTGCAGCAATGTAATCTTTTATATCACGAGTGACGGCTCGAATGTAGCGTGGGACGGAGGGATCAGATTCCTCGTTGATGACCTCGTTGGCGGAGAAGAAGCCGAGGGTATTGTTGAAGTTCTTGAATGCTTCGATGATCTGGAAGACACGTCTCATGTAGTCTGCGTTGTAGCTCGTCCATGGAGCAGCTCGGTTGATGGACTCGTTGGGAAGTGGGCTGTTCACATCCAAGACCAGGTAGATACCAGCTGCATTAAAGATAGACATGCACTGAGTATGGTCAAGGGCTGGATCCAAGTTGTAGATACGGACAGTATTGATACCAGCTCTTTGCATGAGGATAGCATCTCGTAGACACACCTCGGCGTCGCTGAGAGGGTCGATGCCACTACCAGGGTTGAAGCCAGCGGCACCACCAGGTTGATAGCTATAACAACTGTCAGCTACTGTTCTATGACCACAAGCCTTTGTACTCACGCCACACCGATCATCTGAAATCGAGCGCCGGAAATGGCGTTGACAAAGTCAAGACCATCGTTGACGACAGGGGTGACAGCAAGGGCCGTCGAGGCGAGCAGAGCGCTGGCTGCGAGAGCGGTCTTGAACTGCAACAGGTATTAGTCCTGTCCATTTCCCCCAAATGCTGTACTTACTTGGACCATATTGTTGAGCGATAAGAAAAAGTTCCGTGGTCAGAAATACAAGGGTGGACTAAAGTCCAATAACGAACGGAAGGTCTGCTGGTTCAGACAAAGCAAAAAGATTAGTAGTATCCAACGAAGGGCACAAACGAAGAAGTCACGGTGGTGATGAAAGAAGTTGAATCTGCAAGAACGAGCACAGCACCTTCAAGCAACGAGAGACGCAGGTGCGATGAAAAGGAAAGCATTCCTTCAACTTCATCTCGTGGCTAAATGAGGACGCGCCAGCGTCCATGACACGATGAAGCTTGGTAGCATTGGCAATGGATGCGCAGGGCCCTAGTGACTCTGGGCATGTGTTGAGAGCGCAAGAGCTGGCTGCCACTCACTGCCACTCATGAAGTCTGTTCTTTGCGACAAGACCTGGGCATGTCCGCAAGTGGAGCTCACGGACTTGGTGTGGTTGTGCCATGAATTCCGATCTGTTCGAAGCATGTTTCGATCCTGTTTTACCATTACTCCAACTGAGAAGCACACTGTGCATCATGTATCAATTCTGTAATTGGGCAGCAGCATCTGTCAACCAGTATTTGAGTCTACAAGTGGCGCAGTCGCTTGTTTGATCGCTCACCAGCGAAGCCAAGGACTCCTCATCCGTGTCAGCGCCGTGACCCTAATTTCACTTTGTTCTTGGTATTCCCATAGATCTGCGGCTCATTTCCCTTGTCCGCCCATGCTGTGACAACCAAGACTTTGCCCAGATTTCTGTTTCGGGAGTTCAGGGGTTCAATTTTGCATCGTCGCGTGCCAATGTACCTAATTGTTCGAACAGAAACTGGTTCGTCAATATGACTTGTAAAAGCGACAGGACATGTACCATTGCACGACCACTGGCGGCAACCTGCTTGGGTTGAAAATGGCCAGTCAATCGAAACTAATGACTACTAAAGACTGTGCACTACAATCTGCTTCTATTTAGGAATTTAACAGGGACGTCGACGTGCCGGTTGCGCAAGAATTCTGCACAATTCTTCCCCAGAAAGTCGACACTACTCGTACTGTTCACACCTCGATCCAGCAGGTTGCGAAACAAGAAATGAACACCTTTCAGATTGTATAATTCGAACCGTTCCACCTCGATTTTCGGCCGTCGTGTCGTGTCATATTCCTTTCCCAGCAAGACCTTAATATTGTCGATGGTCAACAAGTTCCGGAGCCACGTGTATTCGTCTGCGTGTCTGACCCAGAAACCGCAGTTGCAGTCGCTACCTTTGTCGCCCGAACGAGCATTCACGATCGTACCTAGCGGCACTCTCTCAGTTGGTCCGAAGTTCTGCATGTTCACGGAAATGTTGGGACCTAAACTGCTTGGTTGTCGTTCCGGATATATTTTTGTGACAGTTGGAGGCTCAATTGTCGTGTCTTCATTCCTGAAATGTAGTTTGTGCTGAACATCTGACTGAGGTAATAGGGCAACGTAGTACTCGAAGAATGGCTTTGGAAAGCCTTGTCTAAAGTCCATGTGAAAGGTTGCACCAGGGTACCCTTGCATGATGTTGTCTATGATCGGCCGCAAGAACTTTTTTGGCGCCAGTGCATCAGCTGATTTTGCCTGTGCAAATATCCTGAACGTGGCTGTTGCTGCATTCTGGTTGTCGGCGTCAGGAACCGCTGACCCTATAACGCTGAACGTGAGCATTGTGAAATCCTTGGAATAGGCTGCCATCGCTTTACGCAGCTGAGCCTCGAGCATTCGAGCTTTGTCTTCGATATGCAATCCAGTAAGGAAGTAATACGCTTCAGCCTGGGATCCCCCTTTGGCTGTGATGCCCACCTTCGTGGTAGGAGGCGGAGGCGCACCCTTTACCCCATGCAATGCGACCCTGTCCTTCGCGACTTGCTCGAACCACAAGCCATCAAGCACCGCCGTCACATCACTGTTGTAATAGTATGGTCCCTGAATCTCATACACAAGCTGAGAAGAGCATGTATCGACGGTAACAGTACCTCCACTATTCTTCTGCTTCGTGATCACCACACTGCCGTCCTTACTGATCTCAGCAATAGGAAAGCCAAGGTCGTCCCATCCAGCACTTTCCAACTGACGAAATCCACTATAGTTGCCACCTGTGATGTAAGTGCTGCATTCGATAAGATGTCCTGCTACAAAAGCATTCGCGAGTTCATGTAGCTGATCTCTCGTCCATTTGTGGTACCAATACGCCGAGCCGATCACTGGCGAGGCATCAGACACCCTGCCAGCAATCACGATTTGAGCGCCTTTCGAAAATGCCTCCGCGATTCCCAGTCCTCCAAGATATGCTTGTGCATAGATGGGCTCAAATTGCCAGTCTGAGAGTATTTCACCCGTATACACATTCTTGAACTTGGAAGTGCCACTGTTCAGGGCGTTCTGAACGGCCGGTAGCACTTCGTCCCCAGATATCCAAGCAACAGGAATCGTAAGACCTTTCTTCTTGATCAGGTCGCAGACGATCCGGTACAAACCTTCAGTATCACCGGCTCCGGCATTGACTGCCACCTTGATCTTGTATCTCGCTAGGTCTTCCAAAGCAGGCTCCAATGCCTCTAAAAAGGACGCCTCGAATGCTGGGGCTGTTAACGAAAGTGGATTGGAGTCCGAGTACAATGGACCAGCAGAAGCCGAGTCAACCTTTCGAGCTCCTGTCACAGCCATGTTACCTTCACTCATATAGTCTGCTATTATCACGTCGACCGGATCATCTTTGTAAGCCTGGGCGAATGCTGCCATTGCATGTCGTCTATCTGACGCTGAGCCAGATGAACCAGCTATTCTGATGGGTCGAGATGCCATATTTTGCGTAGGGGTTGACACTGTATCTGCTGTGAGAGTGCCGCATAGGAACCTAAATTGGTTCTACCACATCACTGTATGTATCATTAGAGGTGTCGTGGTCCTGCATCCTCGGAAGCCTAACGCGCTGGTAAGTGCAACCATTCTACACAGTTTGGACCGAGGCTTAAACACATTTGATGAGGCTCTCCAAATCTGCGTGCTGAACGAACAACAAGGTGTTCACGAAAATAGAGCAGTGAAGCAAGACGAATCGAACAAGCAAGAGTTTTTGTACGAAGTGAACGTTGGATAATTAAATAGCTTAGGCAAGAACAAAAAGCAAAAAGGTCGAATACTCAACGACGGTAATTTCTCCCATCAAGTCGGTGTAATCTGGCAAACTGCTGCACTGCGATACATCTGCCTCTGCGAAATTGCTTCCCTCAAGTTTCAGATGTGAACTTAGCGCTCGATAGCAATCGTGGCTTACGCACACGAGTATCAGAACGTTCGTAGTACCCAGACCAGGCACACAACTTGACTGATTGCTCTGAAGGAGAAACCATTCATCTGGAGTAGCCTTCCCAGTTGGACCATGACAGTCTTGAAATGTGCACTTATTTGAGCGGCATATTTTCACATTTTTTGATGCCAAAATATATGTTGTCTTTATTGACCCCGCCACACAAGCCACTTTCTCTTGACGAAGCATTCTAGGTTCTTCATACACACCGCTGTAGTAGTACATTACGTATAACTGTTTACAGACATGAGCATATTGATACTCGATGTTTTGTACTGGTAAGCAACGATGAATTATGAATCTATGTATAAGATGGGCAATTTTGCACGACACCCTTCCTTACTGTTTTGTGCAGGAGCGCTTATCAAGCACGAGCATGTTCCGCACTCAAATCCACCAAGACCCGAATAATGACTCGCACAACCAATTGCATACCTTCTAGTACAGACACAGATCCACCGAATCTGACGCTCTGGAGCTCTTTCGCCCGAGGTTGCGTTGCTGTATTGTTTACCCCCACCATCGCAGCTTGATCTGAACCATCATAGAGCAGCTTGGAAGGATGCGATGAGTGCTTGAGCATGCATTTTCTGGTTCTTCACCTTTAAATCATAATCGCAAACGTTACTTCGATAACCTGCAGAACTTCGTGTCGGTATCCGCCTTATCTTCAAAGCAAGTCAAGCAGTCTCGAAACAGATCAGGACAACCCTGCTTCTCCAACACGGAACAGAGTTTGCGTCGATATGCATAATGGAAACGGGAAGTACTTCATGTTTAGTGACTTCTAACAGGAACCATTGGCTTGTTGCTGGAAACAAGGGCCAGACTCAGTGATGAACCCCTCTTCTTACTCAACTTGCCACAAATCCTTATACCCACAAGTGTCCGATGAGTATGCTGCATGTACTTCCATTGGTCCCCAGTAAGACTAGACAATATTCTGATTTGTATTCCCCGCAGTCGACCGGTGCTGCCCTGTGCTCCGGTCGAGCGTCGCCGGCGCTGTCTGCATATCGTGATTCCACATTCGGAGGAACCAACAACATCCAGCTGCGTGATTCGGTTCATGGGAGATCACTGAGCTAGTGGACCTGCTCGAAGTTACTGCTTTGAACCCCGCGCAGGCGCCTCGCAGAGAAATAAAGCATGCGAAGCTGCTTCTCGTCTGGCCAGCGAGTTCTTTCTCTACTCATTCTGTTTCTTGTGATACCCCTATAGCAAAAAGTTCTGTAACAACTATTCAAAATGTCAGGTTTAACAGCTAAGATCGAGACTCCCTCGATTACCTACGAGCAACCGCTCGGCTTGTACATTGATGGCAAGTGGGTAAAAGGTACTGAGGGCAAGACCTTTGAGACCATCAACCCAACCAACGAGAAGCCAATCATTGCTGTCCACGAAGCTGGCCCAGATGGTAAGCAGGAGGGCCAACACGGATCTTTCGAAAGCTGACAATAGTAGATGTCGATATTGCCGTCAAGGCTGCCCGAAAGGCCCTCAATGGTGTCTGGGCTGAGACCCTCCCATCTGCTCGAGGACAGATGCTCACCAAGCTCGCCGACCTCTTCGACGAGCACGTCGACACCCTCGCTGCCATCGAGTCCCTCGACAACGGCAAGGCTCTTTCCATGGCCAAGGTTGACGTCGGCTTGTCCTCAGGCTGCTTGAGATACTACGGTGGATGGGCAGACAAGATTCACGGAAAGGTCATCGACACAGACCCAGAGTCCTTCAACTACACAAGACACGAGCCAGTCGGTGTCTGCGGTCAGATCATCCCATGGAACTTCCCACTTCTCATGTGGGCATGGAAGATTGGTCCCGCTTTGGCCACAGGTAACACTGTCGTCCTCAAGACCGCTGAGCAGACTCCTCTGTCCGCCCTGTACGCCGCTACCCTCGTCGAGAAGGCAGGTATCCCAGCTGGTGTTGTCAACGTCATCTCTGGTTTCGGTAAGACCGCTGGTGCTGCCATTGCCTCGCATATGGACATTGACAAGGTCGCCTTCACCGGCTCAACCGTCACTGGCCGAACCATCCTCCAGGCCGCCGCCAAGTCCAACTTGAAGAAGGTCACCCTCGAGCTCGGTGGAAAGTCACCAAACATTGTCTTCAACGACGCCAACATCGAAGACGCCATCTCATGGGTCAACTTCGGTATCTTCTTCAACCACGGCCAGTGCTGCTGCGCCGGCTCCCGAATCTACGTCCAATCCGGTATCTACGACAAGTTCATCGAGTCATTCAAGGCCCGAACTGCCAAGAACGTCGTCGGCGACCCATTCGCCGCTGATACCTTCCAAGGCCCACAGGTCAGCAAGCTCCAATACGACAGAATCATGAGCTACATCCAGTCCGGCAAGGAGTCCGGTGCCAAGGTCGAGACCGGTGGTGAGCGACACGGTAACGAGGGCTACTTCATCCAGCCAACCATCTTCTCCGGCGTCAGCGAGGACATGAAGATCATGCAAGAAGAGATCTTCGGCCCCGTCTGCACCATCAGCAAGTTCGAGACCGAAGACGAGGTCATCAAGCGAGGTAACGAGACCACCTACGGTCTCGCCGCTGCCGTACACACAACCAACCTCAACACCGCCCTACGTGTCTCCAACGCCCTCAAGGCCGGTACCGTCTGGGTCAACTGCTACAACATGCTCAGCTACCAGGTTCCATTCGGTGGCTTCAAGGAGTCTGGAATTGGCCGTGAACTAGGCAAGTACGCTCTGTCCAACTACACTCAAGTCAAGGCTGTAAGAATGAGACTTGGTGGTGCTCTATTCGGTTAAGCAACAGATGTGTTGGTACGTGGTTTAGCTAGCATCATGTCATGGGCTCGCGCAGGCGCAAACAGTATTTTCTGGCATTTGAGTTGTCGTCGCCTGGTGAATAATGCACATACATATGAATGAAATGAATCAAACAATTTCAACGACTTCTTCTTTCGTACCTATTTGTTCTTAAAATCTCAAGATTTTCGTCGTGCTTCAACTACAATTTGATTCTTCTACAACGGCGGCAATGTGCGTCCTTTGTCAATATCCAGCATGTAGCTACAAAGTTGTATCAGGAGTGTTCCTTCACTTCCCGCATCTGCTACTACGTAGTAATCTCTGCCTCTCAGTGCAGTCGCTTCGGCATTTTGCGGACCGTACAAGGACATCTACCTCCTTACCCCTGTAACCTTCGGCACAGCGGATCTCACCCAAGTCTCCGTATACGGACGCATACGTATACAGTGCATTGTCTTTCGGGGGAAAGATACAACATCGTTGCATAGTGCATGCAGCTGATGTGTGAAGCATACAGGCATTATTTGTTCCGAGCGAGATAAGTGCTGGTGAGTATCAGGGTTTTGTCGTGCTTGTTTCCTTGGCTGTTTGTTTATCGCTGAGGAAGGAATGATAAGGCAGTACGCTGGTAAAGTACACGGAAGGGAGCTGAGTCGATCTAACGCTTCTCGCATGTACATGCTGAAGCGACCGAGCTCAGGAAGAATGTTAACAGCATTGGTGGTTGCACTAGGAACCAGTCAGATAAAGGCCACCACTTTAATCAGACCAGCAAACCAAGCGTTTCGTGACCCTCTCAATCTTGTACTCGCTAGAGCTCTCCCTTAGACCTTGCCTACACGTTGTCTGAGATAACCGCAGGCCGTGCTCGCTTTGATGTCAATAAAAGTCCACAATCAATACACGCCTCATTCGCCTTGATACTATAACCGAATAAGTTACATCCACACCACCAACACGAAGCAGAAATCTTTCTTTTGGATCGTGCCAAACTCGAACCATCGTTCCGCATGCCAAGTCGTTTTCGTAGAATTACATCAGAATCGTTCAAATCATTTTTGCTGTGACAGAAAAAAGGAGGGTCCCGTTGTGCTTCCTATACTGATTGATAGAGTAACAGAGGCTCGCCTACATTTTCGATTTCTGGTATGGTACACTTCAGGTCGAAAGCTTTGGAGAGGACGATCTTGAATATCTGGAAGCATAATTAGCAGCTGTCCTGCAGCAACAAGGTATCAAGACCCAGTCAACCTACCTTTTGGACATTTATGCTATGACTTGTGCTGCTGAAAATCAAACTTGCACGCATAGCCTTTGCGAAGCGTCTTGCTTGATTGCTGATCTCTTCCTGATCCTCCTTAGGGAAGTTGACGAAGTGATCGTATTTTGTGCCCACCAGGAAGGGAATAGCAGTCTTGTTGAAGCCTCTGCCCTGTCTATACCACTCTTTGATGCTGTTCAAGGTCGATTTCCTGGTCAAATCGAACATGAAGAGGATGGCAACAGCGTCATTGCAAACCAGCGGCAGCATGTTGACGAACTCTCTCTGGCCGCCCAAATCCCATATCGAAAAGGTGATTTCCGTGTTGCGAATTGAGATAGTCTTCTCCATGAAATTCACACCTGTGGTCTGTCAGTCCTGACACTGTTGTTGTAGTCCTTCTCGCTTACCCAACGTCTGAATGTAATCTTCATCCCAGCTGCCCTCGACATATTTGACCATCAAACTTGTTTTGCCTATTTGCGCATCTCCCACCATGCCAACCTTGATGACAACGCTGCTCTTGTTCTGTGGAGGTGGTTGAGGTGGCTGTGGCTCTCGATATTGTTGCTGCATACCGCCCATGCCCGAGCCAGGTCTAGAAGTTGGTTGCTGATACATTGAGGGCGAGTTGTACCTGGAATTGTCTTGTTCTTGTTGTGGTGGAGGGGATGTGGTCGCTTGATCGTGTGTCGTTGCATTGTAATGTCTTGTCTGATCTTCCTGTCCGGTCATGACAGCATCTTGCTCGTTAATGATTTGTGGGCTGTAGGCACGATCGAGGTGCCCAGTGTCAGGCTCATGCGCTTGTTGTTCGTCCATCCTGAAACTCTAAGGATCCAGGGTGGAGAGCCGATCTGAGTCGTAAGCGAGGTTGTCTAGGGCGGTGAGTATGATACAATTGCAGTGCACACACTGTGACTACCTTCTATAAGATATGCATCCTCACCTCAACAGGAACGAAGGGCGTCCAATTCGGCAAAGTGGTTTGCTGAAGGTGCGGGCTGAGTCTCGCTGTAACCAATCAGCGCGTCAAAACAACTGCCAAAATATGGACGCGTTCTTGCACTCCTCGCTAATGATATCCTTGCTGAGTATACTTCACCATGAGCACGTCCAGCTTCTGCAATGCTCAGTGTCTGCGAGTACCTTAAATTCTTAATACTAAAAGCGACTTTACTGTTCTCTGGAGCAAGTACAACTTACTAACATGGATGGCTTTGGCTTGAGCAGGCAGGCGCGACTGCCTATTTGACGCGGCCAGGGCTACAGGCCTGCGACATGCTGTGTACGTCAGCCAGCCGTGCGAAAGAGGCTCTGTTCAACAAGTACTCTTCTGATATCGTGGGTACGCCCATCTGCCACGGTTTTGTGCCTAGATACTGAACCCTAACCACCGAACGAGGCTTATCATCTCCAGCTAGACCTCACTGATCAGAACCTTGTCCCGCTTAGGCTGTAGGCTATCCACTATATGACCATCAAACAAGCTCTTCAGCTCAGACTCTTCTGCTAGGAGCTCTTTTTCTGTATCCTCAAAATGCCGTCCAACTATATCCTTTAGCGAAGACGTAAAGGCCTTCAACTCTTGCTTCAGCCCCTTTAGCTTCGCTTCGGCCCCGAAATCCTTCATGTCTTGTTCCTCATCGATAACATTCAGCCAGCAACCAACAGCTGCCCTCAAACATTCTCCCCACCACACGTCTCGTATTCGTGGTCGGCAAGTATGAGCTATGGCATGCATAGCCTTGATGCTCTGCAATAGCAGTTCCGGTGAGCTAACGGCGAAAGGATCACATAGCACATGCCGGAGCAGAGGTAGAATATCCTGCAGATGCACCACACTGGCAATTCCCATGTCCTGAAAGATCCACCCAAGCTGCGAGATGAACAACGTGGATAGCGCCGCACTCATCGTAGATCCAGCACCTGTACCTGTGGAGAGATGGTTCAGCGCATATAGAAGCTGATGCCGCAACAGCAACGTCAGGTATTTCTGCCTGGCCTCCTCTTCTTCCTCTGCTTTGTCCCTGTTGCGTTCCTTCCCAGCTACCACAACGAAGCGAGCTTTAACCAAACTTCGAAAAGCAGGATACATCCTCCTAAATAATCTAAGACTGTCCCCCTCAGGCGTCAACGTCGGTAGCATACTAAAATCGTTCCTCAATGCATCAACGAATACATCCATCAACCCACTCATCCTCAAGATCGCACTCCGTGCCTTCACCAAAGCCTCACACAGAAGCTCCAAGCACTGACATCCTAAGCACTTATACCCTATCTCAGAATCATCCAGTTGATGTAATATCGCCGGAACCAGAAGATAAAATTGCGCTTCAAGGGTTTTCCGCCTCAGCTCTCCGTCTCCGATCCTGCCATAGCTCCGTAGCACGAACAGAAGTAGACTATCAGTCCAGCCATTCTTCCATGCTGGTCGAGAATCTGCCTCGTCGTAGAGCGACGCAAAACGCGTCACTGAAGCTGGTACAGGGTCGTTAGTGACGAGGTTCTTACGACCAGTAGAGGTGAGTCGTGAAGACTTGGAATTGGAAAAGAGCGGTTTTATTATGGTGCTGAGGAGATCGAGGAGGGTATCTGGGAGGAGTGATGACTGTGCTGGTGCTGTTGGCTTTTCGAGGGTATTGACGAGGTCGAGAGCTTGGCTTCGTAGGTTACGTGATTCGATGGTTTCGATGTGGCTCCGGTCTTGTAGAATTAGTAGTATGGGCTTCTCTTCAGTTTCAGTGTTATTGGACATTGCTCCTTCTTGTCAGAATTAGAAAATTTAAACAGAATACTGAATGTTTGTAGGAGTATTCATGTCCTGTCATCTCGACAGAATATGAAGTTGCCGCTTTCTACACGTGCTGGGACATCATCACGTGGCCATTGTGCAGTAGATGAAGTTGGACGTGATTAAATTTGGTTCTATGCGCTTTACGCGATCAGGGTCACTTCAGCCACGAAATCTGACCAGATTGGGGACTCAGGAGTGAATGCCATTTAACAAGAATACCAGCTGTTTAACGCTAAAGAACGTCTCAGCTCAATTCTAGCCAGGACACCTGCTGTATGGGCTTGAGCTCCGCGCCTGTCTATACTGTTCTCTATACTACCGACCACCCTTCATCTTTGCTCTCCTGTCTATCCGCTCCCTTAGTCGCATCAGGGCGGTCTTGACCTCACCCTTCTGGAAGCTGTCGACATCATAATAACCAGGAGCGATATCTAGGAGCCACTCTCCTCTCACACCTGTCACTGTTCGAACGTAGTTCTTGCTTGTTAATACAAACTCGTTGTACACAACCCATTCACTTTCCTGGCCAAGCACAGTTGACGGATGCAAAAGCACTGTCTGATTGTCTTTGACAGTGGTATAGGTCTTGCCATTCGCTTCTTTCTTTGCGACCTGCATGAAGAAGCCGGATACTAGCGCTCGCCGGATATTCTCGTAATACTTCTTGTCTTCGAAAGGTGTTGACATTAACTCGATCTCTTCTCGCTCCATTATCCGCTTCAGCTGCAAGCGCACGTTGTCCGCCGACTGCAAGGCCCGAAGAGACAGGAAATGGTCGTGGCACCATTGCTTTGGATTTGCTTGTGCTTCAGGAGCTTTGAAAGCGTGGTAGACGTTGAGTAGAGTGAGATGATCACCATCAGGATGAGCGAACAGATTCTTCATCTCGTCTGCACGTTTTCGTGCACTTGCAGGTCTGACGAAGATCTGAGGTACAGACAGCAGCGCGGTTAAACTCAGAATCTCGTTCGAGCAGTAAAACTCTGGTGACGAAATCAACATCACAGCCAACGCCGGGTCCAGAGGAAAGTCAGAGGCCAGCTTGCCAAGATGGGTCAGATTGCCATCATCGTCCAGACATGCAAGATAGTTGAGCTCCTCCAGTGCTCGCATCAGAGTCTCGGGTGCTGGTGGATCCATGAGATCGAAGTGAACTAGATCGTCGATTCCCAACTTCTTCAGCTCGAGCACAGTGTTTGACAAATTCGACCTTAGAATCTCAGGATATGTCTGTTCTATCAATTCTTTCTTGAAAGCAGCCTCTGTGTAGAGTCGGAAGCACTTTCCAGGTCGTGTACGACCAGCACGACCAGCACGTTGTTGAGCTGAAGCTTTACTGATTGGGGAGACCAGCAACGATTCGACACGTATCCTTGGATTGTAGACCTTCTGCTTTGAAAATCCGGGGTCCACCACATAGACGATACCATCGATTGTTAGCGATGTCTCGGCAATGTTCGTGGAAACGATGCACTTGCGACCAGCACGACCACCAGGCCGCCGCGGCTTGGGTGCAGGCTGGAAGATTTTCGTCTGCTGGGCAGGTGGCAAAGTACCATATAGAGGGTACACATCCATTGGACCAGCATCGGCTTCTCTGATCATCTCATCTGCCTCCAGCTTGATCTTACGTACAGCATCCTCAATTTCTTCTTCACCTGTCAGGAACAACAGGATATCCCCTTCGGCCTCGGTGGCGTGAATTTGCAGAACGGTTCGAAGAGCAGCTTCAAGGTAGTCTCTTTCAGGTTCAGGGGTGTAGAAAATCTCGACGGGATGTGTTCGACCTGGTACAGCCAGTAGTGGTGCGTCATTGAAATAGCGCTGGAATTTCTGTGCATCCAAAGTGGCAGACATGACAATGAGTTTTAGATCAGGCCGTCGTAGAGTCAACTCTTTTAACATAGCCATCAAGACGTCAGTCGCTAACGTTCGCTCGTGGGCCTCGTCAAGTATTATGGTGCTATACCTAGACAACTCATGGTCGCTCATAGCCTCTCTTAACAACATACCATCCGTCATGTACTTCAGTATCGTCTTCGAGCTTGTCATGTCTTCAAACCGAATGCTGTAGCCCACCTCTTCACCTAGCTTGACGTCTAGTTCGTTTGCCACACGCTCTGCAACAGACATGGCGGCGACTCGACGGGGTTGAGTGCACGCAACGAGCTTGCCGTCGTGCTGAGGCAGATCATCGTATAGCACGAACTGTGGTATCTGTGTGGTCTTTCCTGAACCAGTCTCGCCCACGAACACCAGAATTTGCGACTTCTGGTACATCTCAAGGAACTCTTCGCGCTGCGCATGCACTGGTAGACCTTTTCTTGTTTTTAGGATGTTGACATATCGCTGCGAGAAAGGCTGTCCAGTGAAAGGATTGTGCGTGCCCTCCTCAGCACGTACATGGTCCTTCACAGTCGTCTTATGCCTCTGAAGGTTGTCAAGGGGGCTCGAGAAGGGGCCAGCGCCATTGCTATAACCGTTGCTATAGCCATTGCTGGACTTCTGGTTCCAGTGCGCGAGGTAAGGATTGTCCATCGGATCTGTCTCTACCTTTTGTCGCTTTGCAGATGGTCCTTCAGATGAGTTGTCCGAGTGCTTGCCTGCCATTACAGAGCGCGACGTGCGTAATGAATGTGGGAATGGATCAATCACTCTGATCGCCGGGCGAATTGTGGACGAGGCGTGGATGGAGAAAAAATAGGCAAGGTTATCGTCTTATCAGCCCAAACGAGTTTAGTCCTGAAGCCTCAGGCATACACAGACCATTTGAGATGCTCGGTAGTACACAAGAGTACTGGTCTGTTGGTAGGATATACATATGTGGTGTGCATGATGCACTTTCGTTAGCTCCGAAGCCCAATCAATTGTAGATACTCGAATCTCGCGGGTACGAGATCCCAAGATTTGTGCATTGTATGCCTTTCGCCTGGAACACTATTACACATCCTGATAAGATTTCTCCCGTGATTAAGCCCACCACCCACTTCAATTCAGTAAACGATGATACCAATATTGAACCCCGCCAGCAACTAAAGATGCGCATCGTGGTTCTCGTTACAGTCATTCCACTTCGTGAGAAGAAGTTATTCTAGACTCTTCCAATAAAGTTTGTTCTTTTCAACGTCCGCCCGTCGATCGAACCCAATCCTCTGATCCGCTTCATAGTATTTGTTTATCTCTGTGAGCCTGTGTTGTGCTGCGCATCTCTCCTTGACCTTTATTTCAAATGTCTCGAATGAAGTTTTATTAAGAATGAAATCGTAAAAGAGTCGCCTCATCCTTTCACTGTATAACTGACAGCTGAGTGGTTGCGTACCCAGGCCATTGCTGGTTGTGAGACCTTTGACGGCTGACTGAGGGACAATCTTGGTGGTCTGAGAAATGTCTCTCGCTCGTGGCTTGTCACGTTGAGGCCGGACTACTTCGTCGTAGCATGCCTCACAAATCGTGAACTCAGGCAGATCAGCCATGTAATGCCAGGGACGATTGACCAGGAGCTTGTCCTCAGCACATTCAGGATATCGGGTAGTTCTTCGGATGTGGTCAACAAAAGGCTGCAGGTACCTAATACTGCTTTTACCTCTGTATCTGCACTTCTCGGAAATCTGGTCAAGCTGTTCCATCGTCGCATTAAAACTCCTACTACCCTGATGTAAACCACACACTTTCTCCTGATGAAGAACATCACGCTCAAATTGATCGGGCAGCTCCGGGAAGACCAGGAACATCAAGCTGACACAGGCTTCACAAGCAAAGAAGCCTGGCACCGCCATGCCAGTGGAAGGGTCAATCAATTTCCGCCACATTCGAACACTCGCCCGTGAGCCCTCACAGGGACGAGTATGTGTAAGTAAAGTATTAGTTTTCTCGACTATGGTCAAGTCGGGTTTGTTTAACTTGACACTTTGGCAAAAGGCCACACGAATCCAGGTTCGGCTAAACGCACACACGATTGCCTTGTCGTGACGGTTGTCTGAGTTCCGCACCAGAAGCGATCGGTAACGTGTAGAGGAAATTGCATACGCGCACGTCGGACAAACATGTAACTCGGGCATGTCCTTGATCGTCAACCAATCACGAAGACCTTGTATGGGCTGTGCGCGAGGACACTGAGGCAGGCTAAAGCTCTTAGGCTTGTGAGCTAGCTCCTCTGGCGTGCTTGCTGATTGCGATCTCTGCATCTGTGGCGCCACTCTAAGATGCAGAGCTGGTGGCATGGCATTGGCTGCACCCATGCTGTGTAGAGGCACACCGATGTTGGCAAGATACTGGTGATCATACCCAGTCCACGATGCATTGCGTTGTGGTTGGATGGATGAATGCATGTGGGTGAACTCGACTTTAGGAGGACCGTCTCGTGTGCTTGGATAGCGGGATTGCGGCACTGGAGGATAGGCAACACGTGGCATTGCTTGTTCCCCATAAGTGAATATATCAGAAGGATGTAGTCTCTCTCCTTGAGGAGAAGAAGCTCGTGATCTAGGTTTGACAGACGGTGCATGACTCGTACCAGCCAACGTCGTCTCTGTGGCGTTCGACGTTGACCTGGAAATGGTAGGAGGTGACCTCTTGGCTTGAGCAGCGGCCGCGGCTGTTGAGGTCGCCTGAGACAACAGAGAAGTATGCGCTCTCAGCTCCCTAACTTGGCTTTCTTCGAGGGACGGTGGCCTCGAACGCTGAGGAGTCCAGGAAGGTGATAGGGAGGGGGTTCCATAAGAGTCCTGCCAGGTAGCACGCTCACTTCTCGGTGTACGCGGCGGACTCGAGGGTGCAGAGTAGACAGCGATTTCCTCAATCGAGGTACGGGGAATATATCTGGACGGTTGCAGTGCATTTTGAGGGAATGCATTGCTGAAATAGTCCTCTGCTTGACGAGGTGTGACGACAGGGGGTGTCATAGAGTTCTGATCTTCCCTGACGCGATAAACACGCTTTCTAGAATCGTCGTCTGACAAGCTCGGCTTGCCTTGCATGTGGCTCTGTTGAAGAAGAGGCATCTCCAACCGGGACGCTTCATGCCTGTGGGACGGTCGACGTCGTACAGAATGACCGTCAGAACCGGCTTTCCTTGTACTCCTGAACTGACCATTTCCGGGCGCTTCGTCGGTCGAAGAATAGCAAGCTGGCTCAGAACTGTCACGAATCGGCCTCGGTCGACTTCTGGATCGGCTAAATTTCCTCTGGGTTGAAGCTGTCTTCCTTGAATCGCTGGCCGACGACCCCTGCTTTGCGGAAGTTTGCGATTCACCACGAGGTTGTCTCTGCGTGTAGTGCTTGGGGTCTTCTGTACATTGACGTGAGTCTATATGATGGTCGTCCGAAAGAGTCGAATAGCGTGTCGGACCCTGATGTTTTTCTGCAAAGCGAAGAGACTTCTTGCTCTTGCTTCCCGCGCCTGAGTCTGAAGAGCTTTCGTAGTAGTGTTGCTGCAATTTGTGCCGCTCGTGGTCCCAACGAGGTCTCTGTATCGATTGTGGTGACTGCGTCACACGGTGTGGTGAAAGCAAGGAATCGTCAGCATGTCTTGGATAGTCAACTCTGAAGGTGCCCGCCTCGGGCGTGTAAGAATATGGAGATGGGGCTCGTCGCGAACCGGACTGCATTCGCCGAAGCTCGTCATTCATATCCGTAGCGATTCTTGAGATTGAAGGCCGTGTATTAGTGGACAGACCCCTTGTCATGGTCGATTTCGATCTCGAGGAGGGAGGCTCGTCGCTGATCTTTCTCAAGTCGGAAGGGCGAGCCCGACCTCGGGTTTCGTTATCTGAAGGGGGCGGTGTGGGCAGGCCTGTCTCGGTTTGAACATCGGTGGCGGTAGACAGCTGCTGTGCTCGCTTAGAATTCATGGCAGTGGGAACAACGCTAGCAGTTCTCCCAGACACGTTTTCAGTGTTATTCTCGGTATCAAGGATGACAGGCAGCTGATCCATAGAACCTCGGCTTTGAGCAGGCTGATCTTCTGCGAGTCTCGCTGCATCACTCTCGATCCCATACTCTTTAGCCAAGGAAGTCGCTTCGTCCTCGACTATGGGAGATGGGGGCCAAGTTGCCATATTGTACGGAAGAACATCAAATTTGTATGTAAGCTTGCACTCCTAACCAATGTCGCTGATAGGAACTCGATGTAATATCGTATTTTCTATTATCCTCGAGAAGCCGCACGACGTCCTCTTCATGTGTTTGAAAGCCCAGGAGGTGCTAGAGATTGGCAGGAAATTGCTCAACAGTTCGTGTAGTGGGCAGGAGATCGGCTTCAACGTCTTCGCAGGCGCGTCTCGAGGTTGTACAGACCCAGATCGCGAAATATGGGTAGTGGTTCGAATCGTAACAATTGTCGTGAAGGGAAGGAGTTCCCTGCGCTTTCGTATGAAATGTAAGACACGCAAGCTGCTCTTAGCTGCTTGCAGGATATCTGTCACATTAGCAGTGGAGTGTCACGAACAAGACTGGGCGTCAGTACAACGATCGCACGCGAGTGACAGTGAGAATCTCTATAGGTGAAGAAAGAGTGCGACATCCACATATGGCATTCATGCGTACTCCTTGGTCAACAAGAGGCTTGTCTTCAGGCATGCAGGAATTCAAGACCTTGGCTGCAGTCCTTTCCGGATGTTTCTTACCGTAGCAGGAACATGAGAATCAATGGCACGAACTGGTGGCGCGTCGGACCTTTCGGCACGGCACAACGATCGTGTGGTGGAAGTGAAGAAGCTTGAAGCTGGGGATACAGTGGATTATGGGAAGGAGCGGTCAGAATGCTCCACTGGCCCTGATTGGCTCAACAGATGGGTGTGCGCGAGTGTACTTTTCACGAACTTACGATGCTCAGGAACAACACTATCGTTCGTAAACTCCTGCAGCTTCTCTGTCATGGTTTCTGCAAGCTCTTCGCAGTTCAAGTCTTGTGTCTTCAGCCCTAAGAGTATTTCGATTTGCTAATTTGACTCGTAGCGCGAGCAACGAGGGAATGTGTTGTTCATTGTAACCAAACGCCCTGCAGGTGTCGAATGTATAGTACTTGTCGCCAATCCGCAGAGGCCTGACAACCTGAACTCGAGATGCTGAGTGGCTAGTGCACATTATGCATGGCAATGGATGCGACACGCAATTGTCTCTCCACTGACACAAGAGGCCTGTCCACTCGTGTACGTTCACAGTATCACCCAGCTCGCACCATGTGTAGGCCAGCTGATCGAGAAATTATTGTACATGGAGAAACTCATCGCTTCCGCGACCCTGCTTTGTGAGCACTACTGCGTTGCATTTGGTACTTGTGTGAGTATCGGGGAAGGCATTAACCAAGATTTGAACTCGACATCTGAGAGATTGCGAGATAATAACGCCGGTCTTAACGTGCCGCTGCATTAGAGCGGATGTGTCCAGCCATTAGGAGGCGCAGTACCCCTGGACTAAATTGCCAATGAGCTTACAAATATTTCAGACAACTATAGCTTTATATTGTTGGGGCAGACCTCTTCTAACAAGAAGAGCCTTCGTGGCTTAACACATCAGGAGGGTCTTTTCACCGAAGGCATATAGTCAGCTCGAGTGGTGAATCTTCACGGCGGTCACGTATTGCTGCCCAGGTCAGATTGAAAATGCGTGCACACACAGGTCCAGGCAGACACAGCTGAATTAAGATCTGCATTGTTGGCAAGCAACGAACTGCATCTGCCGAAATGGCTTGCCGGCAGCAACATGATACACCAAACGTATCGCGAGCATATCAACAGTGCTAGACAGATGATGTCAGCATGAAAGCAACAGGAGAAGTGGTATTCAGCGAAGGCTCCGCGACAACGTTGTGTCACGGCAGCACACGGTAGCACAAGAAAAAATCTTTCTGCAGCTAATGTCTGAATCATTGATGCCGGTTGTCGGGTGCTGCAGAAGATACTTGACGTTGGCAGGAACAGCCCGGCATCAATACGCTATTAGAGCTGTTTAATAAGTTATTCTGCTTGTATTCGATCTATGGCTACGACAGAATCGTTGTCATGCTTGTTGACTACGTAGCTGAGACCTCGCATTGCGCCCGCGACAGTCACCCAGTACGAAAAATTCGAGGGCAGAAGCACTCACAGCCACTGGTAATAGCCGAAGCACGCCTCCGTTGGAGCAGAGCACTCTCGAAAGTTCCTCTGCTATACTGCCTTTCTGAGAGTATAGGGGCGGACCGGTGTGGTCTGCTCCCAGTCTGAGAAAGAACATGAGCACCTGAAGTTGACGATGAGACACGATTCTGCAAGGCGTTTTGTTTGCTGATCTCGAGCCGGTCACAAGTACTAAAAGAAGCCGAGTTCCCGGGAATACTGACCGTGTACGTCCTCGCATCTGTCGTAACCCAGCCCACCAGCAGAGAACGACGACATAGTGGTCACCCTCGAAAAGAGCTTGGCCGGTACTCGGTGTCTGTGCTATATAGGGTCACAGACTTGAGAATAGTGATGGGGTGGCACAGCATTGGTGCGCCGTGTGTCAGCTGATGCACTTTTCCTGCGGCTGTGAGATTTCGACCACCGGATCGTGTAGCGATATGCTGCCCCGTTAACGCCGACCGATGTCCTCTTCACGCAAGAGCAGACTATTTCGTTGCACTATCCAAGGAGTCGGAAACATGAGTAAAAGTTGACGGAAGTATCGAACGGACGATGGTCTGATTTGCGGTTTCTGAGCCTGCAAGTAGGCCTGGTGTATACTATCCTGATTACAGTCAGGATGGTATGATATCTGCGGCTAAATAATTCTGTTCGTAGGCCTCTTGAAGAAGACCTATACATCAATCTGCATTTGGCTCAACGATCTTCACATCGATCTTCATGAAGCATCCTCAATAGTCTGTTGCTAGCAGACCCCGTCCACCCGCAATGTCACCTCCTCTAACGGCACGACCTTCAAGACAGTAGTTGAGGAGTAGTGCTGCAGGTTGGTGCACTTCGTTTCGTAGGCGCAACTAACACGCTCCTGCATTCAATCTTCGACGTGTCTGTACTGCCTGCGGCTTGATCTAGCACTAGCGTTTACATCGGCAGAATGACACGCATTCAATACTCGTAGAGAGTTGACATTGGCTTGCATTTCCGCAAGCTGGTCCGGAATTAACCCGCTCACTGGTACGATGCTTCGTAATTGCCCTCTCGGTCGTTCTGTTTCTCCATGCGACTCCAACACTTCGCTCCTAACTAATAAGCTGCTGTTCAGTTCGCGAACGTTTCGTGTACGATGCTGTGACCAGTAAGTGTATGGCTTGATCGTACATTTTGACTTGAGCCGTGTCTTTTCGTTCCTACATATGTCCATTACACTGTCCTCTGTACGGACAATCTCCTCAAAAAGCTCAAGCATTGCCCGTCTCTCGGCCCTGCGATCACATATTACACCTATTACAGATCCTCAGCAGGGCTCTTTGCGCAGGATGTCTTCTGTGCCATCCACCATGAAAGCTGTAGTCTGCGACAAGACAGGCGGTCCAGAGGTCCTTCGGTACACGGAAGACCATCCTGTGCCCAAGCTTGGGGACTCTGATGTACTGATAAAGAACAAATACGGAGGCATTAATTACATTGACACATATTTCCGTACTGGCCTCTACCCTGCGCCCAGCTGGCCTTTGTGTCTGGGACAAGAGGGCGTGGGCATTGTTGCCGCACTAGGTGGGTCGAACACGTTTGGCTTGAAAGAAGGTGACGAAGTGGTCTGGATGAAGATGGGTAGGTTTGACGGTGTTATAGCGAATTGCGATGTACTGACAACTAAGGATCATACGCCGAGTATACTGCTGTCCCAGCCGAGAAGGTAATCAAGGTTCCAGGTGGTATTTCTGATGAGACACTCCTCGGCTCCTACCTCATGGGTGGGTATACTCAATTCATTCAGGCACTGACTAACAAAAATACTAGGTCTGACAGCACTGTCACTCGTCAAGGAGGCATACGAAGTTAAAAAGGGTGATACGATCTTGATGCACGCCGCTGCTGGTGGAGTTGGTTTGCTCATGGGCCAGTTTCTGAAGGACTTGGGTGCTGTAGCTATAGGCACCGCGTCGACTAAAGAAAAGTGTGACTTGGCGAAAGAGCACGGATATACACACGTCATCAACTACAAAGAGAATCCAGATTGGGTTGCGGAGGTGAAGAAGATTGCTCCCGACGGTGTCGATTGCGTCTTTGACGCAGTTGGGAAGACCACTTGGGAAGGCTCATTAGAGGCAGTGAAGCGCAAAGGAAGTGTCATCTATTTCGGCAATGCTTCAGGCCCGGTCCCGCCCTTGAATATTGCATTGCTTGCTAAGAAGAACACGAAGATAATGAGGGCAACAGTGAATCAGTATATTGTCACAAGAGAAGAGCTGGAGTTCTACACAAAACTACTGTTTTCATATCTAAAGGACGGAAAGCTGAAGGTCAATATTCACAAGATATATGACTTGCGTGACGTCCAGCAAGCACACAAGGACTTGGAGGGCCGCCTAACCACAGGCAAGCTATTGCTGAAGACTTCTTAGATAGCCGCAAAGCAAACTGTCGTGTCAGATCGGCGCTTTCTGTACCAGTCTCATCTTCCGTGAATAACACATTCTGTGTGTAAGGCAAATGTCGAGACTATACAGCTTGACAGACAGGCTGTAAACATTGCAATTGGTAAGTCAGGAGCTGGTGAAGTGGTTGACTTCTAAACGTGAACGGTAATAGCTATTAGAGTGTCTTGGCTGGAAGGCGCTGCCCTCCCAAACGTTCATGTGATGTCACAGCATCCAGAAGCCTGTTGTAAAATGCGTCCCTTCGTACTCCGTAAGTTTATATCTATACATGTCTTTATCGTTATCCCATTGAGGAGTAGAGGCGGGACTAAATACAATGATGATGAGCTACTAGTTCGAACTGCCGCCTATGAATGATCCAGCATGTCAGGACTCATCCGCAGATTGATTATTTTCGCAACCGCCGATGGCTTAGTCCTTCATGCTCATGGCAGTTCGGATCAGCAGAGAGCGCTGTTAATTGACTATGGCGCGAAGCGTATCTCTGATCAGGTCAGAACACCAAATCTTCATGGCCAGCCTGGTGCACGTCTTGAAGCTTTTGGACTGATAGGTGACTGTGACAGCTACGGTGAGCTGTAGATGGTCCTGACGGTTTATAGGATTTATCGATATCGCAAATCTTACATACCTCATCGCGATCACGAAGAGACAGGAAGTGGCCAAGATTTTCGGCAAACCGGTGTACCTGGTCACAGATGTTGCAGTTCTTCCCCTGTCGTCTCAGCAAGACGCGGAGCAGGCTATCAAAGCTCTAACCGACAGCTCCGAGAATATCTCAGATGATTCTGACAGTGACGCAAGCGATGGCGTGGAAAGGACCAGCAATCGAGCATCTTTAGAAGGTTCATCTACTACTCCGGCGGACGATGTTCGACCACAACCGAGCGGAAGGACGAGCACTACTAAAGTCGCGGAGGACGTAGCGACCAGGAATGTCTCTTTCGGCAGATTCGCTTCTCAATGGTTTTCTCGTCAAAATCGGTCTACGTCCACGCCTCCATTTCCTCAGCCAGATACTGCATCAAATGAACCGAAGCCGGCCGAGAGCGATGACAACATTGTCGAAGACGTAGAAAGAGCCGCTCAGTCCAAAGATCAAGCTAAAGAGGAGGATCGAGCGCCACTGGCTAAAGTATCCAATGTCAACGCAACAGCAACTCTGAGTCTACTGCCACGTATATTGAAGACAATCAAGATGATCTTTACCTCCGGCAGCTATTTCTTCTCCTACGATGTTGATCTGACTCGACGGCTCCAGGACCTTGACTCGATAAACCAACCACTAACTTTCAGCAAGCTTAATTCTGTGGTAAGTATGCCCTTCAAGTTGCTGATGGCACTAATATATCTTCGCAGTATTTCTGGAATCGTGCTCTTGGGGCAAGATTGCTTGAGAGCAACTTTAGCAACTATCTCACGCCCATTCTGCAAGGCTTTGTTGGTCAACGTGCATTCGTGTTGCAGAAACCATCAGCGTCTGAACCGGAAAAGGCGAAAATCAAAGAAGTAGTGGAAGACGCTAACGAGCTCACAAATACGGTTGAGAACAAGCAAAACCAACAATCTTTCTTGTTAACCTTGATTTCAAGAAGGTCTACCAAGAGATCGGGCTTTCGCTATCTCAGGAGAGGCATAGACGATGATGGCAATGTTGCAAATTTCGCTGAAACAGAACAGATACTGTCTGCGGCTGATTGGAATTTGGACATTCCCATACGAAGCTTTGTGCAAGTTCGGGGTTCAATTCCCCTATATTTCTCACAATCACCATATTCCTTCAAGCCTGCCGTAGAATTCCGCAATTCAGCACAGGTGAATCAAAAAGCCTACAACAAGCACTTTCAGATGCTCAAGAACAAGTATGGAGCAATACAGATTGCGGTACTTGTGGACCGCCACGGTAACGAGAAGTCTATAGGTGAAGCCTTCGAAAGATTGTATACATCGGCAAAGGACGACCGACAAGCAGAGAACATTAATTTCGAATGGTTCGACTTTCATTCTGAGTGTCGTGGCATGAAGTTTGAGAACGTCTCCCACCTTGTTGCTAAGTTTGACGATTTTCTGGAATCATCTTCCGAAACTGTTCTAGAAAATGGTAAAATCACAACACGACAGTCTGGTGTTATCAGGACAAATTGTATGGATTGTTTGGACCGGACGAATGTAGCACAATCTGCTTTTGGACAACAGAAATTGCAACAAGCTTTAGAAAGAGCAGGTTTCTCCATCGATTTCGTTACCGATCCAAGCACGAATTGGTTCAACACACTGTGGGCTGACAACGGAGATGCAATATCAAGACTATATGCGTCGACTGCGGCACTGAAAGGAGACTTCACTCGAACAAGAAAGAGGAACTGGCGTGGCGCGATGAACGACTTCGGATTGACGATAAGCAGATACTACAGCAACATGGTCAATGACTACTTCTCTCAGACCGTCCTTGATGTTCTTCTTGGCAATATCACCTGGAAAGTGTTCGAAGACTTTGAAAGCAAGATGATGAGTGCTGATCCTGGTATATCAGTAGGATCCGCTCGAGAAGCAGCAATTGATACATGTACCAAGATCGTCATTCAAGATCCAGACAAGGAAGACATTATCCATGCATGGACGATGCTGGTACCAAACCAAGAGAACACTCTCCGTACATTACCTTTAGAAGAGGCAATTGTGCTACTAACAGATAAAGCGATATACTGCTGTAAAATGGACTGGAGCACAGAAAAGTTAGCACGGTACGAGAAGGTGGATCTCCGAAACGTCAGTAGCATCAAGATCGGCGTTTATGTAACCAGTACCTTCACGAAGGCACAGATGGATGAGGAGTTGAACCAAGGACTTGTGATTCATTACACAGCCGGAAAAGGGGATACGATCCGGGTCAACACTCGATCTCTACAAAATTACCATGTGCCTGATCCAGGCGAAGGGCAGGGTGTTGATGGTGGTACAGGAATTCTGTCATGGGTTGCCTCATCTGTCTCCAAATCGTCAGCTGCTCAGGAACGAATGATGGCATTAAAGGTTGTGCCACCTAGCGACGAGGACGTCTTACAGAGAGCAAAGACTGGAGGATCCCGGCAAATCGCTGAGAGTGTTGCTGATGAGGTCAGAAGGGCTATCACTGGATCGACGGATCACGGCGAACAGAGAGGCAGCGAACTGATCGAAAAGAGCGACATTATCAGTGTTGCCGAAGCCAAGAGAAGAACAGGCTACCTTGAACAGGTCAGTCATTCTTTGAGAAAACTTGTATGGGCTTGAGGACTCTGGTCAGACGACGATACCACTGCTACGAAACGTGGTCCACGACTGCAGGACCTAGAATTGTGACTAACCTTTCTGTCAATACCTTAGCATACAAAAAGCATTCTATAGAATATCTGTAACTGTGTTCACGGACTTTTTCGGATGACCGAATCCTAGAACGTGCGCTCCGGGCGTCTTCATCGACCTCGCTAACTGTACGAAGACAGAATTGGACAGGAAGATACTCAAATTCGCAACAAGTCCAGAGTCGCAAAGCAATAATTGTTTTGGCGATGATGGAAGAGTTACATTCAGGCATCTACAACTTTAGGGGCTGACTGCTCGTGCTCAGTATCCCCAAGCATGTGCCGTGGAATTAAAGAATTAGGGACCATTACGGCAGTGACGTACACCAATGTGTTGATGCCTGACACTCGATTTCTCGTACTCCTTCTAGTCCCCACGTCGTTGTTGACGATTATTGTGGAGCAGAATTTCAACCGTGGAAAATGTTACCAGCGTCAACGAGTGGATGAACGACCAGAAATTATTCGTGATGACACGCAAGTTATGCTTGTGATATTGCTGTGTCCAGAGTCTGCTTTGTTTCCCCCTCTATCAACCACGCGCCTCTACTGGACTTGCGCTTTGCAGACGTTACAATACTGCAGCAAGTGAAAGGGCTTACTCGAGTTCAATCCTGCTAGTTGTCCCTCTTAATACTTCACAGCCTCGAAGAGGAACAGTCTTCCGCTGGTCGTGACAGATCACGACTCTGACGGCGGAATTTAATCGTGGTGCAAAGCAGTCGAAACCTCTACTAGATTGGACAACCTCGGGCGTCAATCTCTGGATGCGCGCGTCGGCAACTGACATTGACGGAGCCTAGTACCGTTACCAGACAAGTATAGCAAGGTGCAATTTGCGAGGTCAATATGGCGTGGCAACCGCAACAGGAAGGGCTACAACAGTTGTCTGAATTATTGAAGGATTCGCTGAGTGGAAATCAGAGAGAAAAGCAGAAGCAAGCGGAGCAGGTAAGTTGCTTGCTGCCTCATTCACGATATATTGTCTGAGAGGGTACGACGGACGACTGACCATATGTACAGACTCTACAGCAAGCGGCGAACTCACCCGACTATTCTTACTACCTGACTTACATCTTTTACAACCCTGAAATCGGAAGTACTTTCCTTGTTCGATATGCTGCTGCTATTCAGCTCAAGAACCACATCAAGCTAAATTACAAATCTATACCAAAGGACCAGCTTGCCTTTGTGAAACAATACACGTTGCAAACTCTGCGCGATGCAAATCCACAGCTGCGCAGTTTTGCTGGAACGATAATCACTGAGATTGTGCAGCAGGGTGGCATACTACAATGGCCTGAGGTGTTACAAGATCTGATCTCACTAGTCGAAAGCACAGCTAGCGATGTGACCCCTGATGTGCAGGAGGCAGCCATGTCTGCTCTGGCAAAAGTCTGCGAAGATAATCGCAAGTTGCTTGACAAGGAATATTCGGGACAGAGACCAACCACAGTCATTATTCCAAAGATGCTCGATTTTGCTGGACATAATCACCCAAAGATTCGTGTGTTGGCCGTGCAAACCTTGAGGGCGTTCATTCTACAGAAGAGTCAGATCCTTTTCGATCATCTGGACGTATACCTACAGAAAATATTTCAGCTTGCAACAGATGAAGATGTGGGTGTAAGACGCACAGTTTGTCAAAGTCTTGTACAGCTTGTTGAGATGCGCCCGGATATGCTCGCACCTCACATGGAGGGTCTAGTCAACTACATCCTGATGCAGCAGCAACAAAGTGCTGGCAATCCAGAACTAGCTCTTGACGCTGCCGAGTTCTGGCTTAGTGTTGGCGAGGAGACAGAGCTTAGAGACCTAATGGGACCATACCTTGAAAGAACAATTCCGATCCTGCTCGCCGGCATGGTATACGGTGAAGAGGACATATTGAGACTAGGTGGTGACGAACAAAATGCCGATGTCGACGATCGAGCCGAGGACATCAAACCACAATTCGCACAAACGAAAGCTGGTCGAGGGGCACTGGCACAGACTAACGGTGAGAACGGCACACATCCGAATCAAGCTCAAAAGGAGAAGCAAGATATGAGCGATGGCGAGATCGAAGACGACGAGGACGAAGATGACGACTGGGATGAAGATGGAAATCCCGAGGAGGCCTGGAGTCTACGCAAGTGTTCTGCAGCCGCACTAGACGTCTTTGCAGTACATTACCACGGAGATGTGTTCAACATCATCCTACCATATCTGAGAGAAAATCTGTCACATGCGCTCTGGCCGAAGCGAGAGGCAGCAGTACTAGCACTCGGCGCTATAGCCGAAGGGTGTCTACCTGTGGTAGCACCTCATTTACCAGAGCTCGTACCCTTCCTCATCAATCTGCTTTCAGATGAAGAACCAGTCGTACGTGTCATCACATGCTGGTGCCTATCGAGGTACTCGGAATGGGCTGCAGAATTGCCGGATCCAGCAGATGTCCAGAAATATTTCGAACCTATGATGGACGGCCTGCTTCAACGGATGTTGGACAAGAACAAGAAAGTCCAGGAAGCAGGCGCATCTTCGTTTGCTAGCCTAGAGGAGAAGGCGGGCGCTCGTTTGAAGCCTTACGTCGAGCCGATATTACGACAGTTTGTCCTCTGCTTCGAACGCTACAAGGACAAGAACATGTACATACTGTATGACTGCTTGCAGACACTGGCCGACAGTGTACATTCCGAAATGGCCAAACCTGAACTTGTCGACCTTCTTATGCCGGTACTGATCAATCGTTGGAACAAAATTGACGATCAGTCACGGGAGATGTTCCCCTTACTGGGCTGCCTCAGCTATATTGCTATAGCTTACGGACCTAACTTTTCACAGTTTGCGGATCCGATCTTTGACCGATGCATGAAGATGATATATGATTGTTTACAGCAACACATGTCATTCACCACAGGCGCAACGGTTGACAAACCGGACAAAGACTTTGTGGTTTCAGCTCTTGACCTCCTTTCGGCTGTGATTCAAGCGATCGACACCTCGAAATCGGGTCTGCTGGTTACCAATGCTCAACCGCCTTTCTACGACTTGCTGTCCTTCTGCATGGAGGATCCTACAGACGATGTCCGCCAATCAGCTTATGCGCTGCTTGGTGATAGCGCGATTATGCTTTTCAACACACTAGAGCCTCAGCTGCCGAAACTCATGCCTATATTGATACGTCAACTTGACCTGAATCGAATTAGAGACGAAGATTCGGACAACGCCTTCAATGTGGTGATCAATGTTTGCTGGTCTGCAGGCGAAGTCGTGGCTCGAGCAGGACCAAAGTTCCAACCTTTCATCGAGCCCCTCTACCAAGGCCTAATTGAGATTGTGAAGAACGAAGAAGTGCCAGATGGCGCCAACGAGAATGCCGCAATCACCCTTGGTCGCATGGGTCTAGCTTGCCCGGATCAAATGGCTGCACACTTGCCTGAAGTTGCGGGGCCTTTCCTGGACAGTATGAGTAAAGTGGCAAGCACGGAGGAAAAAGCTAGCGCGTTCTTAGGATTTAACAACATGATCCAGAGAAACCCGAAGGCTATGGAGGGTTCCCTGACCGAATACTTCACAGCCATTGCACAATTTCCCTATAAGCAGCAAGACAGCGAATATGCCGCAGTCAAGCAGAGTTTCGGCCTGGTCATACAGGGATACAACCAGCTCATCCCTGACTTTGGCTCATTTGTTGCAAGGCTGGCACCAAATGTTCAGCAAAAGTTGAGACATGCATATTCTTTATGAAAATTCGTTTACGAGGCATGAAACGGAGGAGTATGTGGGTTGTGGCTTTTCGTCGCTTTACAAGGACTCACGAAAAGCGTATTAGATAGTCCCTAAATAGTAGCGTTCATTGAGCATTTTGTCGATATGCATATTAGATGAGCATAGCATGGTGTTCTCAGGGCAGGTTTCTTAGTTGTGCAATGCGTCAACGATGAGCCAAGTTTCCTCCTATGAACCACATGAGAGACACTGACCAGGCGAGTGTCGTTCATAGTAATCAGAATGTTTTAATGACAGTTGTGTTGACCGGACAACGCTGGAAAGCCCAGAGGTATATAGATAGTCGAGCTCCAACAAGTACAAAACAATTAAGCTTCGGGCTTCGTCCTACCTGAAACACAGCGGCGATGACCTCGTCTCTGCTGCTGCTGGATGCTCAAGTTCGTTCGCACTTCAGACACAAGTCGACGCGTCTTAGGGTGACAATGTCAATGTCAGCGCCGAAGATTGGTAACCAATCTTCCGAACTCTAATCCACGTCAAAGGCGGACCAGAATCGTGAAGTGGATTTGTCGGGACAAAGGGCAGTATGTCTCCGAATTTTCACTTTCTCTTGAGGAAACATGCAATATATTTCAACCTCAACCACGATTCATTGCCAGCACATCATCCTTGGTCCACCAGTAAAGCTTTTGTCAACCGTTAGGAGGTCCGGAATGCGGTCTGTCTCGCCCTGGGTGTCGAAGGATCTTAAAATATACCTTAGTAGAGCTTTAGGACAATCTTCATGAAGGCTGGATGAGCGTTGACAGCCCATCATGATTGGTCAAGGAGTGCTCGGTGGCACATCGCAATTTGCCCACCAACGTCCAAGGTGCAGGCTTGCAGAAGAAGGCTCCATCCGCGTCTTCAGGTCCGATACTCTGACCAACCAAACCCTTGCCACGATTGTCCGACTTGCACAAGTCAGTCGTGGGACGAATCTAGCTTCGCGCTTTCCAATCAAGCTTGCTGCTGATCGGCACCGTTAACTCAGCTACTGTACCTCGCTGGTGCCGTGTCCATGGATGCCTCGACTGCCCTCAGATTGCGCGTTGAGTCCTGTCTGTTTGTGTCCTGCAGTCGCAATAGCTGTCAAACAGGCTCGTGGTCGCTTCCCGCTTTGAAGTGTTTGTTTGGCCCTACTACCAACCTTAGTACCTTCCCTCCCTTCAGTTGCGACGCAGGTGCTTGCGCGCCTTTGTGTTCTAATTCAGCAAACACCCTCACCTTGATCTCACCCCAGTCGCTCGTTGAAGCATTCACGTTCACTAATAAGAAATTGTCTTCGATACTTCCGTTCTGTACATTCCGTCGAAAGCGCCCTGATAGATACACAACACTCAAAACCCCCATTGGATCATTTGAGGCTCGGATACATAGCCAGACACAATTAGTTCACACTACCACACAACTCGTGAGATATTGACAAGGAGGATCTGGATAGGCATGCTCACAGCATGAGCTTGCCGAGTATAAGGGTGGAACAGCCGCACAGATCGACGCACAGATCGTGATATGAAAAGGACTGCCTACACTGCTGCCATCGCAGCACTGACTGTTGGGGCTCTCGCGCAGAATTGTGTTCCTCTGTCAGGATCGACGGCATGTCCAGCGTTCAGCTCTGCCTCGATCTCCACTGACTCGTTTTTGGTCGGCCTGTAGTACGTTACCTCGCTTGAACCAGGCTGGGCTTCACTAACAGCATTTAGTCCATTTCTACAGGGTGTTTCCAACGTGCAAGAGTTCGATCAGCAGATTACAAATTATGTTCAGCAGGGCTACGTCCAGTTGAAGTACATCACCCTCTTCGGTTGTTCCAATGTCGACTTGACCAATACCACAGCTTACTATGCTCGGTACACAACAAGCTTTATTTGCAATGGCATCGTCCAAAACTCACGTCAGCCTTGCGCCCTTTCCGATCAGAACTCGAGACCTCTGTGTGCAGATTCATGTGCCGAATTTGCTCGCAGTGAGGAGACAATTATATCAAGCACTCAGTTATGCTCTCCTCGTAGCGCCAACTTTGCCGACCAGCTCAGGGCTGACTTCACTAACTGTGCTCTCCCCGCTGATTCCTTAGCAGGTCAGTGTATTGAAGGTGTTCAGAATGAACCCGATGAATGTGGATTCGGCGGCAACCTCATGGGCCTCTGTAACTACTGTCGCGCTAGTACCGAGAACGCTACGGACTCATGTTGCTTCACGTCCAATACCGAACAGCGATGCGAAGGTGTCACATTACCAGTCTTTTCATCTATCGCCGATGTATTTTCCTCGACCCGATCCAGCCCTACCGCATCTCCCACCAGTACCGGAGGGGCTGTTGCACCAGGCTCTGGTGGTAGTGGCCTAAGCGGCGGCGCGATCGCAGGTATCGTCATCGGGTCAATCCTAGGTTTCCTCTTGCTGCTGGGGCTGCTTGTCCTTGCAATCTGGTTCTGGCGAAAGAAGAGAAGGGAAAGATCTTCTGCTACTTTCCTCAACCAACCATCACCCCAGCGCAAGGGAGCATCCGCTGCTGGTTCTTATCACCCCCCTCCTTCGTCTTCAGGTCAAGGCTACGAAGTTTTGCCTGGTGGTCGTGTTGCACGCATGGCTGCACTTTCGGGGGACGACAGCAACGGAAGAGAATATGATCCATATGGTGATAGCCCTGGGTCTAACGAAAAGGTTGCTGGTGTTGTAGGCGGCATAAAGAATGACGGGTCACCCGGTAGTGCTACAAACAACGACAGCAGTAATGAGTACTCCTCACCTGAAGGTCTTGCCAGCGGTCAATCAGAGCAATTACCATTCTTCAAAGACTATTACTCGAACGACGATATCCACCCTGGAGATAAAGTGTCTGTGCTTTGGGCATATCAGCCTCGCGCGGGCGATGAATTCGAACTCGAGAGAGGTGACATGCTCAAAGTGGTTGGCATCTGGGACGATGGTTGGGCAACAGGTGTGCGCATCAACGAAAGAGCTGAAGACTATGATGGAAAACACAAGATCCAAAGAGATAGTGGCGTGTCGAATGGCACACAAGCGAGAGAGGACTCACCACCACCACCAGGTGAGATAAAAGCCTTTCCGCTGGTCTGCGTATGCCTGCCAGAAGCGTGGCGTAAGACTGTCGAAGGAGACTCTTCTACTGAAGGGTCAGCACCACCCACAATCTAGACCAGTTCAGGCAGGGTCTATGGTTGTACGACGACAAACGCGAAAACACAAAAGGCAAATAATATTTCTCGACATATTTCAGAACAGGATACCCATTGCTGCAGTGTTATATAGTACTTATCTCTTTAGAAAGCAAATCATCAATTTTACCTCGGATCTTCAGGAGAGAATATTCACAAGCAATTTATTTCTTATATATTTACATGGTCTGTATATCTATTCAATCTCGCTAATATCTCAGTCACAGATCATTATCATGATGCCAGCAGATTCGTACCAGAACATACAGTCTGCCGTTCTCGCTCGAAGCGCTCGAAGATGGAAGGTTCAGTGATTTCTTCCTTCTTTCTTTGCGTTAATTCTTTACCGTCGAATAATATGTATGCAGCCTCTTTCGCTTGACCTGCATCTATGATTTCGCCTGCTTGGTTACGTTCGATGCGTGTCTTCGCTTGACCTGTTAGAGTTCTCTGAAGATCACCTATGGGTGTCATGAGACCTCTGCCTTGAGCGAAAAGCAGGATGTCGGGATGTGAAGAGGCTGCGAGACCACGGCGGGCTGGTGGGCGTAGTTTCGTCCAAGAGCTCTTTACCTGTGATGGGTCCGCGTACGAAGAGATCAAGACGTTGTCAAGTCGTGTCGTATCGAGTAGCATGCCTGGACTGCGCAGATACATGACTCGATCGTAGGGCCATGGGTTGCGTGCGAGTTCGGAGAGGAGTTGAGACTCGACGTCGATCCCTGTCCAGACCTTTGAGATTGGGACGGGATGGAGGAGGACGGAGTACTTGTGCTCTGATTGGAGAAGGAGACGGAGTGCGTCAGTGTATATTGGATTGGATGTTGTCTCCCAGTCTGATGGGTAGAGGAAGACGATGCTGAGTTGTGATTGTGGGATGTGTGATGTTTGTCGGCTCCAGCTTGTAAAGAGGATGGCGGAGCAGAGGTCTGCTGGGTTGGGTAATGTAAAGACGTAGGCGTAGCGGCCGTCGAGTGCGTCTATCGTAGGAGGGCGTTGAGTTGCTTTGGCGGGCTCTGCTTGGGAGGCAGATCCTTCAACGTTGCTGTCAACATAGGTGTGCCATAGTTCTTGCGGTGACGGTTCTGCTTGGTCGCCTCCGACAAGGGTCGTCTCGCCTAGAACTACCTGTATGGAGTTTCCAGGCCGTTCAAAGTTGTTGAAGTTCTGGTTGGAGGTATCATTGTCGTCTGTGGTTACGTCCACCACACCACCATCGATGTTTTGAAGTTGAGCTGATAAGGTCGGTGCTATCCTCACTCTGACTTCCAATGGCGCCGCTAGTGCTTCCTGTAACGACCTCACTGTCTTCTGTTGGAGCACGTAACCAGAGAGGAAGAGGAGGAATGTGAAGAGACAGATAACGATTCCTGATATTGCTGCTGAGATTGTCGAAGCAGTGAGGAGTACCATTACTGATCTATTTGAGAAACTAGAATGTCTTCTTTTGAGCTGAAATCGTTCTTTCCCTGTATGATGACTGCAATCTGTACTTGGTCGTTCTTGCCATTTTCACTGTTTACTTCGCGTTGTTAGGGACGACTAAGAATGACGTAGAAATACGGCAGACTGCATAAACCACATTTGCACAGCGGACCAGAGATTCTTGTCACCTTGTCCAAACACGCAATCGTTCCTCAGAAAAAGGTTCCTGTGCTTGTACATTGGCAGTCTTGCCCAGAGCAGTATGAGCCATCGCGCAGATGCCTCAAATTCCCTCGATGATAGAGGGTACTCGGGACCACTCATTCGTGGCCAGAACCCAGCGACGCTGATAGAGGAAGCAACGCGAAATCGCATAACCAATAGTCTATATTGGAAAGAGTCATGCTTCGGTCTCAATGCTGCAACATTGCTCGACCGTGCAGTCGAGCTGACCTATTTCGGAGGCACTTATGGCGTGGCCATGAAACCAACACCATTTCTTTGCCTTGCGTTCAAACTGCTTACTCTTGTACCTGACCAGGAAATCATCCTTGAGTACCTCAACAACGCAGGCGACGAGTTCAAATATGTTCGTGCTCTGGCCGCTTTCTATGTGCGGTTGACCTTCGACCCCGACGAGATTTACAAGACCCTCGAGCCTCTACTGCTTGACTCGCGAAAATTACGCAGGAGAAGGAAAGAAGAGTATACGTTGACGTATATGGACGAGTTTGTGGACGAGCTTTTGACCAAGGAGAGAGCCTGCGGTACCAGTCTATGGAAGTTGAGCGCAAGATCAGTTCTGGAAGACTTGGATAGACTTGAGCCAAGAGAAAGCCCTTTGCAGGCTGAGCTGGACGCTATGGACGATGCCGACCAGGAAATGCAGGATGTCGATGGCCGAGATGGCAGTGCCAGTGAAAATGGTCGGAGCCCTAGTGTCAGATCTAGGTCAGATTCTGATGAAGGATGAAATTCTGGCAGATCAGGTCTTCTCAACCATTTCAAAGTCATCATCAACTTTGCTCACATCGCCAGAGATAATCGACATTGGCTGCGTGCCTTCCGCATTAGCCGATTGAGTCGTGATGATATCCAGGAGGCCTTCGTCCTCATGATCTCGGGACCATGTAGGATGCTGGATCGCCGCTCGCCTAGCATCGCTCTCTCTTAAGGCTTTCATTGCAGGATGCTCATTTGCCTCGACCTCTGTCTCTTCTACGTCCTCAGAGACTGAGTTGACGTCCCTGTGCTTGGCTGGCTGCGCAGGTACGGCAATCTCTTCGCTGGCCTCTGCAACTGTGAAATCGCCAGATTCAATTTGTGACGGTGTTCCATCTACATCCTCGGATTCAGTTGACTCCACAGGTTCAGCAGCATCTGCCGAAGCAGAGAGCGGAGGCACACCGCAACTTGTCACAACGGCTCTCTGGTCCCGCCACAACAACTCGCTACCATTGTATGCTTCTTTCACTGCCAGCTGATCCTTCCAGCCTGCATCGTGGAAAGCAGCGTCAAGAAGCTGAATCATACTTGGCCCACCAATATCAGTGTTCACAACATTGATCAGACAGACTCCAAAATGAGCGCTGTCAGCTTCTGCACTTAGGCGGACATATACCCGTACCGGCTTGATGCCTCTCGTCCTTGTCGTGTTTAGGATCTTGTCTTTAAGATCTCTGATCTCAGGCATGGTGAGCTCGGTACTCTCAGCCAGTTCTACCAGCAGAACAGGCTCGTTACTGTTGAGCGACAGACCGCGGCTCGCTAGCGTTCCACGATCAAGCAGCTTCTCATCAATCAAATTACCTGTCCGCTCGACGTCGTTCAGAAAGTCCTTAATGTAGATATTTTCCGCCTCTACTGTGTTTCTTGAGACCAGGCTGGAGACTGTCTCCACTGCCTTGTCGTCGTAGCCCACATTTCTGAGTACTTCGACCATCTTACTAAGGAGGAAACCCGATGCCATAGATGCTTGCGCATCGAGCGTTTTGCCTGATGTATTGGTGTCTTGAGCATCAAAATTGGTGGTGGAATGAACGAAGCTGCTCGATGTCGGCGCCATAGTTGCGGCTGCCATGGTTTTGAAGCTTTTCAAACGATTCTCTTGTTGATTAGTGAACAGTTAGTCAGATTTTTGTTCAGAAAGCAAGGTAGTAATCAAGATTGAATGTTTGGAAATGTTGAGCACGACTATACATTTGATCGCACATGTCGAATCTGTTCCCGTAAAACTGCAACTACGTAACCGCTGTTATATCTAGCCAATCAATTCAGTCCATGTATCGTATCTGCGTCGAGCTTTTGATACGCGTACTTGTGTCCTTCAACGCGTATTTGATCAACATGATCACAGTGAGCTTGTCTGACCTCTGCGTCATGGCCACATCAATATGGGCTCTCAGGTACTTATACTTTTCTGTGACCACATCTGCTTTTGCTGTCACAGGAGCACTCTCACGTTGGTTCAACGACCCAACCTAAAGCTAAGTGAAAGCGGAGACGACGGCACTGTTGAATCAGTTAGTCCTTTTTATCGTATAGAACTTGCTATACTTACGGCTCGAATCAGCCTGTGTACAGCGTCAACATCAACTCGTGCTCAGCCTAAAACTCAGATATCGCTCAGCTCATCCCAGCTACTCAACGCTCTTGCAGTTGGAGCAAGCTGTTAGCCCGCAAATTTTGCACTGGATTAGTCTGCCTGGAGATGTACAGCAACGACGGTTGGATTTGTTCTTAACCAGGCCACATGCTTTAGAAGGATGTCGACAGTCCAAGGGATGTCGATCGTAGCCTGACAGTGGCTCGGCAACTCTTTTCTGCGTAGGATACATCTGCCTGTACGCGGTTGTGAGCTGATGCCGTACACCGAGTCATTGAGACTTACATCTGGTCTTCCTATTTCTTGACGAAGTCTGTGTCCCCATCAGCTAAAGGTGTGGCATTGTTCAAGTTGGCTTGTTCTCTCCTCGATTGGTGTGTGGCTTCCAGGCGACGATAAAGTTTTGACAGAGTTGCTTCGTCTAGGAAAAACGCACACTCCTCTACAGGCAGTGTCTTTAAACAGCAATTTGGCAGGTGGGAGAGGCTAAAGTCGGAAGGCCTGACCGAGAGAGATCGTCGGAACCAGGTAAGTATATCCTTCTGGCAGAACATGTGAGATGCATTATCGACACACTGGACAACTTCATTCTCCGGAACGTCTTGCTTGCATAAACGACAGAAGACCAGTTGTACAAACGATAAGGGTAGGAAAAAGATGTTACTGTTGAGTCATCAAAACGTTAACAATGACCACTACCCCACCATACAACTTACCTCGACGGGGCATCGACGACTCTTCTGTCTTTCATTGCGTCTGTTTGCAGTTGGCGCCCTGCTGCCACAATCGAATGCATCGTATATCCACGCCAGGTGCTGGGTGCAGCAGCTGCAGCAGTACCGGGACCCAAGCAGGTCTATATACCTGTATATAAAACCCCCCTTCCTTTCGAAACGCCCGCCGAAACCTTTTTGTTGCCCCACTGACTCCTGCGAGCAGTGATCACGACAGAACGTCTGGAGTATCAGCACAGAATGAGGGGTCGATCACGACGAAAGGACGTGTTTATATCGGCTGGCTGCATCGGTGAGCCATTGAAACATTTAGATTGTTTTGGGCAGCTGCAAGGTGACAAACTGGCAGACGAGGGACGTTGAAGTGATGCAGAGATGAGGTGGGTTTAGCAGGTGCGACCCTACCGAAAGCGATACTGAAGATTGAGCACAGCAGGCGGGTGCGTCATCAGCACCTGCCTAAGTGCGATCTAGTGTATAGATTTCAGAGTGTTTGTTATCGAGACGCGAAATTGCCTGGTCAAGTAATTGGCCAGCAGGACGAGCCGGTTGGGACAATTGTGAGAAAGCAGGAAGAACGGAGAGTTACAGGTTTAGGCATTCAATCTATCTCTAACCTATCAGCCTGTACTGACGGGAAACCTGCTACGTTTCACTGAAGGAGTCCTCCGCACATCAGGAACCAAAGACATCAAGGCTGACCGTTGTTGTGTCTCCATGGCCTCCTGAGGCTGTATTCCGATTTAGTCTAATGTAGTTGCAGTTCCTGATCTCCTACGCATCGCGTGCTTCGAGAAATACTCCATACATGCTCTGCCTTCATCGTAATCTGTTGTTTCGACATCTTCTGCACAACTCTAATGCACAGTTGACACATCGGTACAAGAAGTATGGCAGGTGGTTCAGACATTCGTCGCACTGTCCTCCTCGTCGACTTCGCTAGTCTGTGTGATCACAGTTGTGTCTTTCAATCAGATTTTGCCTGACCTCATCCAGGTCGTCCTGATCGCCAAGTCCTTCTCTTGCTGCCACATGAACCACTCGTTCTTCAAGTCTCTCTTCGTCCCATTGCTCGCATTGGCACGTCTTCCAAGGTTGTGCACCACAAACATAGCAGAATTCGTTGCCGCAAACGCAAGTGATGTGGTAGCATCCAATACGAAGCTCAATCATGCGCTTGCATCGACCACATTGTCGCCAACCTTCCTCATGGGCAAGATCGAGCGTAGCCTGTAAATTTGGGTCATCTGGGCACTCACCGCAGTGTGCTTGTTTTTTGCAGAAAACACACGTCAAGGTTTGACATTTCTGGCAATGAGCTTTGTCCTCGCTGATGTGTGTTGGTCGAATGAAAGAACCACAGTTCGTAGCTGCGCAATATGTCTTGTCAGTGGTAGCAAATTCTATCTCTTTCTCCTCGAATCGTTCAGTGAGCTGTCGGGTCATGTAAAAGGCGATGTCCTCGGCCTTGGGATCGATCGGCTGTCGGCAGCAACGTGGTGGAAGAGACTTTCGTCAGTGAAGGATAGGGTGAAATGTTCGTGGAGACATGGCTTGCAGTATTCATGTCCGCAGGGAACAGTCAACACTTCGAAGTACGACTTTTTACCACCACAAGCCACGCACTCTGACCTCAAGACGCGGTCGAACTCAGGTTCAGGTTCCGTACCAAATGTCGTATTGGCCGGGTGAAGAGTCTTGCCAGCCTTTTCGGACACTTACAGACCTGCCAATTTTGAGAGTGCAGGAGTAGTAGTTGTTTGGATGACTTCATCGTATGTGGGTAGGTGATCATTCGTAGTTGGTTGGAGTGGAACATCGTCAGGATCTGCCAGTTCAACGGCGAGTTTGTGATCGTCTAAGGCCTGCTTCTCTTCGTCGACCAGCTTCGCGATTGCTGACATGTCATCGATCTTTGCATTGGTAATGCTTTGGGCCAATCTGGCGTCTTTCACGAGCCGTCGTTGGGCTTCGATCTCATCGAGTTGAAACTCGATGGCGGTAAGAGTATCACCATAACTTTCACCACCGTAAGTAATGTAAGCTCTCTCTTCTGCTATGTCTGAGCGATACAAGGCCAGTACAACCTCAAGCATATCATCGTCAAGATCTGGCAGCGCATCCATGCCGTTGATCAGTGTATAGAAACCCATGCTGAAGGTTGAACAAACCGGAAGAAATCATGCGTGCGCGAACAGTCGAAGTAACTAAATACGCAGGTATCTACCGACCTTATCCAAAACTCTCGCCTGAAAGTGAAAGTGAAAGTGCCTGTGTCTACTCTCCACCGATAGGGATTGATACTGACCTTGCCTAACCACTCCTAGGGAACTCCACATGGATACCCGCATGTTTGCCGAACTAGAAACCCTGCTGTATATGCCACTTTTCCTCCCAGCCAGGATAAAAAGGGTGCTCATCGAGTGTTCGCACTTCCCAGTTGTCTTCTATCAGACCTTTTTGCTTCTGCTCTCGCTCGTATTCTTCCAGAGCTGGCAAAGTGACGTGCTCGACGTGCCAGGTGTTCTTGTACTTCATAAGGTTCTCTTTGCCTTCATGGCAAACCTTGAGGATTATGCTAGGGATGTAGGGTTCGTCTCGAAACTCGGTCACAGGTGTAAACAACGCTTTGAAGTTGAAGACGACTGCACCACTAAGAGGAAGTCTCCTAAGAGCTATCGGAAGTTAGACTCAGAGCGACGCAAAGTGAAGCTGGAATCGTGGAATTTGCAGGGTTTGCCGAGTACTTACTCTGGTGGTCAGTTCTAAGATGAACTCGCTCGAGAGAAACGTCAGGGCATTGGAAGTCCCTGTATTTTTCATGTGGATCTCCTGGTGGCATGTATAGCGGTTCATCGACCTCCAAGCCCCAGCTGCAGTGCTTAGTCAGACATTAATTCATGATCAAGACGTGACTTACGATGTCCTTTGGATTGGCTTGTTCGTTGGTTTCTTCGTAAAATACCGGTCCATGGAGAATTGCATTCTCTCTTTGTAGTCAGGTATAGGAGCGTGAATCTCGTGTAACTGCTTGTTAATCTTGGTGCCAACATTCCATCCGATGGCACTGCAAATTATGCCTGATAAGTGTTAAACACAATGCGTAATACCTTCACTTGGTTCTGTCTTACCAGCTCGGAAAACATAGTACCCATCACTTGGTCTTCTCAACATAATGGCAAAGTCTTCGGGTACATTATCCAACAATACCAGGAGAGGATGCTTTTCCTGGACGACTTGTGTAGTGCTCAATATTTTGTTCTCAAATACAGTCTTTCGTGGATCGGATGTGGATGGACACAGACTGAAGTACTGAGGATATCTGGCGCACAAGAATTGCAATGACATCTCCATCAACTCTTTACATGCCAATTCAGAACCTGGCAATGATTGCAGAACAGATTCACCGTGTTCAGCATACAGTGCTCTTCGCTGGACAATTCTCGACCTGTACGTCTTCTCCAGTTCTAACCAATAGTCTGTATCCATCTTCGCTAGAGACATGGTCTGATGATATGCCCATCTGAAAGGTCGATACGGTCTAGGCATTGCTTTGTCGATATCGAACTTGTGATGTGGTTGCGGCAAAGGCACGCCTGAAAGCGTTGCATGGTCCGGGAAGTCGCCTAAAGCTCGAATCTCTTTGACCGAAAATCCAGAATAGACGTACTTCGACTCGTCTGCTTTTCGGAAGTCTTCTTCCCAGCCCAACAATGATTTCTCAAAAAGAACCTCGTCAAACTCGAGGTTGCCGAGCGCTTGTCGTTGTGAACCTGGCATAGAAAATGCGAGTTCCGCAAGTGCTTCTCGCTGTAAAGGAGGAAAGACTTTTGCATATTCATTCGCTTTGGGCACGGAGTTGCTAGGAACTTTCTTGTCAGGAGAAAGCGATCGTGGTGGGGTCCGCGCCGAGGAAGGTCGTCGCCGTTGGAAGCGTAACCTCCTAATGACTACATCTCGCTGCCTCTGACTAAGACTGAAGAAAGATATCGCGCACAAGCAAAGCGCTATGACGCCATATAGGACATCGCGATTTTTGGAATAGGACCACATGATCCACTGAGTATCGGTGCGTATTAGTTTGAGAGAAGACGAATGGGACTTCTGTGTGGTGCTCCTTGTTGCGTTGAGGTCGATCAACCGCTCAATTCGTTCTAAGGTCAAGCCATGCTCACACCCTCATGTGGTCGTTAAAGATAGGTTTTCAGCTTGTCTTGGGTTTCAGAAATAGGGGATGAAGCTCAGAATTCGGGTTGAGAAACACTGTTCATGTGCTATGTCAATTGAGTAGTGCTTGGACTCGAGGAGAAACATTGACTCTGCCACGCAAGCATAGGCCTCTATCGAGCACATATACTGACACGCCACCTTTCTGTGGGGAGATTGAGGACTCGATCAATGTTCAAGGCCGAATACGATTTGAGCGGCAACTGGGAGCTAGTTACAGCTTGGAATCGACCCCACAAACCCTTGTAGAAGTACATGATTCGGAATAGAGCTGCCAGATGAAGATGGTAGTAGCTGCGTGCGAGCTTCTGAAAGCACGAATCCGAAGGGAAGGCGAATTAGAGCCAGGCCTAGCTTTGCATTATGCAGATGCGCATAGAGTCAGATAGCCAAGAGCTTGGGTGTGAATGGTGGTGATAAACCATGCAGCTCGAACATCATCCCGCACTGGCAGTGGTTGAGGTTCAGACTGATCGGCTAGCTGCTTGGAATGCTTGCCTCAACTAGGCATAGTCCGAAGAGATCGAGAGATAGGCGTTTGATTGGTTACGATCCCTTGTATGCTTTACGTGCTTTGTTACAGTAAAGGAAGAGAGCAAATAAAGATACCCAGATAGTAGCTGCTTCGGGCAAAATTGTCCTTTAATCATGTAAAATATTGAAGATCGCTGAGTGTGTTCCTGGACAAGAGTCCTCGTCTCCGTTCATGTGCCATATCGTAGCAATAAGTGGCATATCACCAATTTTTGCTCAAATCACACATATCCAAGAGTCCCTATCGATGCTCTTGTGTAACGTGTCGTCTTGGTTGTGTCACACGTTCGGGAGTAAAGCAACAGCGCTCTGGAGAACATAGCGAGGTTCGAGCGCGGTTACGATATTCTTCGCTTCTTATGCATGTTTGTCCCGACCTCACAAGGCACCACAACACAATATCTGTGAGAGCAAATGAAACACCTTGAAAGCACTGTATACCAGAAGTCCTAGTTTGCACTTTCCGTATGCGCTAACCTTGGCCGCATTGCTTGAGTGTCCAAATTGAAAGTACTCAGGTTGCTTGGTGTGGTCTTTGGTGAGAAAGAGAGCGGCTCCATGTTGTAGACATCCAAGGTGACTGTTGATTATGGCAAGTCGCGTCCCCAGTCTTCCTCAATCTTACCATATTCCTACAGGAAGACAGATTTTGCGCTGGATCTGCAAACGTGTCTGAGAGGTAGACTCAAAATAGATACCTGAGCTCAACATACCCCTATCTGGTCAAATTTGGCGCAAAACTCACTTCAGTCCTCCTCACAAGAAGTAGCATAGCACGAAACAAAAGCAAAAACACATGGTGTTCACGAGAAACACAAAAGAAAGGATTGTGATACACAAGTGTGGCACGTCATGGTTGTTTGAACTTCCGAAGGTGATAACTCCAGAGCAGTAGGACAAGCGGGAGTCAAGATTGCAGGCCATGAGCTGGTTGCAAGTGTGCACATGGGGGAGTCCAGTGCACGCATATAAATTGAGCACATGGTTACGCAATGACAACGATGGTCGGATCCATATGTCTTTTTGTCAATTGTAGCACGATAGACGACGTGGAACGCAGCTTCTCCTCGGTAGGAGTGCAAGGGCAGTCTCTTTCGTAGTTCGCTGTGTAGCGAACAAACAAGTCGCAACGAGTAGCTGGCTGTTGGCGTGCTGTTGCGGGAGAGAGACTATCCACGATGGTAGCCATTGCTGTATCCTTGCGCGAGACACAAGGAATCCTGTCGTGGATGCATTATGCTTTGTTGTCGAATCTGGTATACAGGATGGAAGGTACGATGAGATTGGCGTCACGCGTTCGAGTTGCGGGAATGTTTGTTGCATTTGCTTGTGCCAAGCTTAGTTGGGGCTGCAAGAAGCCAGCGAGTCATGCTTGCTTCGTCAATAGCGATGTTTATGCCACCAAGGATGGGAGTCACGCTCGACAATGGCACGAATGTCGCTTAGAGTGCTCATATGGCGATCTTTGTGCCCCGACAAGCGTATGATCATTTGTCATCTATCCCACGATCCTATTTCTTAGGACATCATGCTGCTGGCCTGTCGAAGATGAAAGGCCTATTGGCTTCAATCGATCTTGTCGTGGAATGTCGAGACTATAGAACACCCCTTGTGTCGAGGAACCCTCTCTTCGAGCAGAATCTTGGCGAGCGACCTCGTCTGATTGTGTACACCAAGCAGGATCTGGGTAGTAAATTCAGTTCTGAAGATAAGAAGGTCTTTTCGACATATGAAAAGCTATGGCTGTATGCTAACGTGGATAGAGGGAGGAGATAATCCGAAAATGGGACGCACCCTCGACTTCCTTGTTCTCCGACGTTAAGTCCCGAAACGCTATTCGATCCATCCTCGATTTCACAAGATCGCACGCGCAGACCTCAAGCTCACTCTTTGGTACTCGCCTTATGGTTGTTGGAATGCCAAACGTCGGCAAATCTTCTCTCCTCAACGCACTTCGAAACGTTAGTCTGGGAAAGAAGAAGGTGGCTCAGACAGGAGACCAACCTGGGGTGACTCGAAAAGTTGGTACTAGTGTTAAGATTCTGGAGGGCGAGCATGGTAGAGAAGGTGCTTATCTGATCGATACTCCAGGTGTTTTCGTGCCGTATGTGCCGGACGCTGAGAGTATGCTGAAGCTAGCACTTTGTGGCAATGTCAAGGACACCGTTATACCTCCCACAACCATCGCCGATTATCTACTGTATCATCTGAACCTGCAAGACCCAAAACTTTACAATCATTACTGCGAGCCGACCAACGATATCTTTGTTGTTCTTGAGGCTCTGGCTCGCAAGCAAGGTCGTCTCAAAAAGGGAGGCCTTCCAGACTTCGAGTCGTCTGCTTTGCAATTTGTTCAGAGATGGAGAGGTGGCCAAATGGGCGCATTTGTCCTGGACAAGGTTACCGAAGAGGCGCTGGCTGAAAGAGGCAGAATGCTCGAAATGATGGGAGGCAGTATGAACCAGGCAAGGAAAACTGTCAAGCAGCTACGCAAAGACGCATACCTGGTGGACACTTAAGTATTAGAAGGACATAGTCGACTCCTCACTTTGGAAACTACGAAGTTGATTCGACGACAACCCCCACCACAGTCACCTCGTTGTCCTCTATCTGCTCAACTTTATCGATAACCAGCCACAATCAGCTGTGGTCTGCCTGAGAGGAACAGCAAAAAGGAAGTCACTGCCTGTTCGCGAACAAACGAGCAGTCGGTTCGGGAAAAATGATATGGTAGGGACACGAGGGAATCTAACCCACGATATGCAGATGTGTTCCTCTGATTGCAGAGGTGTACTACCAGCCCGATGCGGGAGCTTGATCAATCAGCGAATTGTCACAATGAGCATTCCCAGCGACTTACTCGAACCCGCGGCCTTAAGATCTGATCTCTGGTGATAAGAGTCTTACGCTCTACCGATTGAGCTAACCGCTATCAAATGTTAGCTCAGAAAATCGATGAGGTTTGAGAGAATACTTACGGCGAACGGTGTGTTTCTGAGGTGAATTTGAAGCACAATTCTCAGGTTTAGCATCAAGTGTGTGCACTATGTGGAGAGCAGAGGAATTTTTGATCCGCCCTCGAACTTCAGGCGATCAGGCAGACATCTCACCTACTTTTCGGTAAGGCTCGGTTCAGGTATCTGGTCTTGCACAAACAAAGATGTTCTTCCCCATAGTCTTCATGGGTCAGAGACCTGTCCTTTATGGCAGCTGAATCGTTTCAACCTCGTTTCTGACTGTTCTTATGTACCTGAAGCAGGTCTCATAGCATTGACAATGAACGGCACGAGCCTATAAGTGAGTAGGAGTACTATATAAGCAGTAGCGAAACTCAATGACATTCAGCATGAGCTCGCATTTCAACAATCTCAATCTTCTACTTGCAACAAGGCGTCTAATAACAGTACCTACGACCCTACATCGAAGTCGACTTTGTAGATACACAATCACACATCGACATGATCTCCCAAGCGATCCTCCTAAAGAGAATGCTACAAGGTGTCATCACATATCTGTCATTCCTACTACTCCTCCTAGCCTACATTATCCTGATACCATTTCCACTTCAAGGCCTATATACAGGCCTCCTGGTGTTCATAATCAGGTACACACCCTACACTCTATCGCTAATCATTCTCGTCCTTGTCTGTATACTCCGTGGTCAAGTGGCTCTGCACAGATTGCAAACAGCGAAGAACATGGAATCGATAATAGATTTGTGTGAGGCGACCATTGACATATACAACATTCAGCAAGGTTACATGCAAGACCAGCGACAATTTAGAGCAACATCTATCCATGATGCAATTGTGTTCCGTGGACATCTCGAGCGTGTGGAACAGGTGATTCGAAACTTACATATCACTCTGCCAAACCAGGTTGAGAGGCCGTTGCGTGATGAGATTCAGGGTGTGAAGGATAGACTTGATATGCTTGCTCACAGTCTGCAAGCACTGACTGAGACCATCGGATGCTGCTAGGAGCGCATGCGTCCAAGATCAGGAGGTAACGCCAAAGCTTTGAACTTCAATGAGACCTCAGTGCTGGAAGACAGACAAGGACCGTTGGTTCAGGGCATTGATTATCCATCGTTGCCGCCCATGTCAACTTCCACTCCTTCGACGATAGACAGAGATGATTCCACGGAGGACTGCGATGACGCTTCTGATCTCGAGTCGGAGTAGTGGGCCAGTCAAATTAACACCCATTTGCGAACACCAACTGGGGAAGCAAGTTGTCGCAGAAATAGCGTTGCCAAAGGAGGAGTGAAATACCTTGACTTTCAGCGGAGCAAGGATGATGCCGTGGTCACGAGCAATTGGCTGGATATCGATCAGGGTAGAGTGGTAGGGATGTCGCTATCGATATAGGAGCGAGCACTGCGCGGATGTATCGTAGTTCATCTCATTTCCTGCCAAAAGTCAGCCTCCATCTGTTAATAGTGAAGAGTTCTTGGAGGTCCTTCTTAACAAGTCCGTGTAGGCATCCCACAAGTGACGCATATAATCTATACAAGCTGAGGTCGGATCCGTTATCGCCTCACTCATCTTGGTAGTAATGAGCAATTGGAATCAAGCGGGTTCTTCGTCCTTGGCTTTGGCCCACTCGATCATCTCGAACTTGTCAATGATCGATGCTCTTCCATCCATCGCTCTCTTTGCTGCCGGTATCGAAGCGAAAACAACGACAGCTATTCCCATTACCACCTTTTTACCATCAATCTTGCGCTTCTTGTCTTTTAGGAGTATCACGTTTTCGACGTCGCTCATTAGATCGCCTATCGTGTTCTCGTCGTAGGCTTGTCCTTCGCCTTCTCGGATCCACCTTAATTTCAAAGAACGATCCATGCTGTCGTGCTCGTCTGGACTGCCATTTGACTCTTTAGGTGTTCCTACTTCTGGGACTGTGTCTTCTTTCGTATTCCTGGCTCTTTCTTGAGCAGCAACCTTCTCTGCCTCGAAGCGTTTCCGTTCTTTCATTTCTTCTATCTTACGCCTGTTCTCTTCCTGTATACGCCGTATCTTCATTTCACGCTCGCTGAACGTCCTCTTCTGTCCAGCAGCTGTGCTCGTTTCTGACAGACCATTTGTCTCCCGGCTTTCAAGATCCTCCCGCAGCTTTCGTCTACGGGCGTCAAGGGCGTCAACTTCAGCTTTGCGCCGAAATTTTGCTTCTCTGGTCTGATCGTATTTCACTTTCTCAGCAGGGTCGGAAAGAATACCAATGGCTATTTGAAGAATATGAAAGTTTTGCAAGTTTTCTGATGTCGGTGCGACCTTGTCCGGATGGTATAGTAGCGAGGTCTTCCTGCCAGCGCGCTTGATTTCTGAGGCCGTAGCCTGTGGCCCTGGCAAAGATAGAAATTCATACAAATCGATCTTGGAGATATCAACGTCGCCTGACGGCGGTGCTGAAGAAGTCATTGACTCGAATATATGAGTGTGCCTTGCCTTTCTGGCCGTAGTTATTGACTGCGACTGCGAAGACGGAAGAGAATTCCTAGTCATCAACGCCAGAGTAACGCATTGGCAGAAGAACGGCGGCCTTGATGCCTAAAACTTTGGTCGATCGTGACTATTTGGTATCACCCAGCTTCAATTCACAAGCTCCTTGGGAGCTGACTATAACCATGACTATGGTCACGTAATACCCTCAGCAGTAGGACTCATCTCGTGATGGGCTAACTACACTTGTGGAGTATCAATAAGCTTGACGAGATGAATGTGTGTGCCCGGAGGCAGTCACGAAGGAGTTCTTTTCGTTGTTAGAATAATGGCTAAGCCAAGGAGCTTACTCAGAAGCCTCTGTCTTTGCTTGCCAATACCGGTGTGATTGAATTCGTGGACTAACAGTGCCATAGAGCACTGCTGCAGGAGACTCGAAATTGATGTAGCGATCAAGGAAGGAGCAACTTGCTGAGCCAAGCCTAGCACTTGCCTGAGAACAAAGGGCTTTTTTTCTCAGCTTCGACAATGCTCCAATCTTGCTGGATAGTCGACGCTCGACATGATGTGACAACCGGTGTTGCGAATGGAAAGTGCTACTCTACAGGACCATGTGGCTCTAGCCCTTGTTGTGCTTAAATCGAAGCCTCAAGGCGTTGAAGTTGAAGGCGGGTCACCTTGGTCGGACAGCGATTGTTACTGATGAGAACTAGATTACATAATAGCCCTGAGACAATCTTTAAACAACACAACGGCTTCGTCTTCGTCGGAGACTTGCTTTATCAATGCTACGGTATTATGGCACAATTTGTTTGTGAACATCGATCGACGGAATCTCGACCTTCAAACTGAGATTCTTGTCTCAGTGCCCTCTGGAATTGCCGACGGAGAGGCAACCCTGACTCCAGCCGAAGCTAGGACATTGAAGAAACGCAAAGCGCTTACAGGTCCTATCAAAGCCACCAGCTCATCAAAGCGTAGAAAGCTCGAACCAGCCACAATATTTAATGTCGAGCTCGAGCAGGTGGCACAAATTGATCAGCGTAAAGGTCAGTCGTCTGTTTTTGCTGTACTGTTTCTCACTTGTGCCAGATCGTACACTTCTACTTAGGATTCTCTTTGCTCTGGGACGACGACCGTTAGGCGCTCCTCCGAAAGCCGATGGACTGACTGATCTCATACGTCTTGCCTCGAGATCGATCCTTGAAACCTTTCAAAACTGCAATGATAGAAGTCTACAGAAGGCTGGCACTATTTCAGAACCTTTGACATTGAAGGAAGCTTGTGTCGCAACGAAAAAGATCTGGTACCTAATCATGGCGAAGCTATCGTGGAGCCATGGTAGGAATGATGTTCACATCGAAATGACTGTAGTCGTGGCTCAGCTCTGTCCCATCGTTTGGTCATTGCTCCAGCGCTTGTCACGATATTGCCTGGAAGAAGCGAAAGCGAGCAACGATACTGACAGGAACCGTTCCCGGAGTCAAAAAGGCAACAAAGGACAGGCTATGCAGAGGAAGAAAGAGCTAGGGCAACGTGGTAAGGACAACCGCAACCTCGTGACTTCCGCGTTGGCGCACATTATGGCCGCGACAAACATCTTACACGATCCTTGGCCGAATATGTTCCAAGCTATTACGGCACTCTTCCTCCAGCGTATTGGGTCGCTGATGTCTTTGTGTCTGTTTGGTAATGCTGAAGACCCACGCTGCGATAGCCGTGTGCCTGCCTACTGGCCCACAGACGTACATCTTCCTGGGCCAGAGACTGCTGCGCTAGCAATGAAACTAGAAGCGCCGTACCTGGTCACTATCTTGCAGAGTCTAACACACCACAAATCAATCTGCGGGGGCTTGAAGAAGCCCTTCTCCGAAGATACTCTTGACCAGCTACAAAGTTCACTGCTGCGTGGCATCTTTAACGATATAGACGCCACCATATTCGAGATAGGAGACCACAACCACTCCCAGGGACCATCGGCCATTGAGCCATGGAGCCATGTACAAGCTCAAGGACAAGACGACAAAGACTGGTTATCAAGCCAGGTCTGGGAGCTTCTTGGCTGGGACATCTTGTTGAAGACGATTGCAGGCGATTGAAGACCCAGGTGAGCTTTAGGACCAATGACCGTGGATTGCATCTTGGTACCGCCATCAGTATGTTGCAGCAAGCCTCATCTCAAGATAATCTCCACTGTTCACAGCTGCGTACTTCTTAGCAGCCTCGTTCTCGAAGGTACCTGGTAACGCCTCGATCAGCGTGTCGAAATTCGGGTTGCAGAAATATGCGATGGAATATCGAGCCGAGAAATATGCGATGGAATATCGAGCCGAGAAGCAAGCATTGGGGTTGTCCGCATCTTCCATCTCACCGTCCTTCGGTGGAGGTTGAATCACGCGATGGTTTGTGCTTTTTATTGTTTCATTGCTCCATCGACTCAGCAGATCGCCAGCATTGATAACGATCGTGTCTGGAATTGGTGTTGCGCGAACCCACGTACCCCTAGGTGACTTGACTTCAAGTCCACCCACATTGTCCTGGAAAAGCAGAGTGATTGAACCATAATCAGAGTGCTCACCAGCACGGACCTGGTCAGGTTTGTCCAGAAAGACTGATTTTCGCACTGGCGGATAGTGAAGCAAGCGTAAGTTATTGTCACCACCGTCTGTGAATGTGTCGAAGAACTGCTCCTCCAAGCCCATGCCCACAGCTATCGCTCGCATGACGTTTACGTGAAGGTCCTTACATGTAAGGAAGAATTGCTTCATCAATTTTGTAAATGTGATTCCGTCCTCGTCGCCAAAGCGATCAGGCCACTGATTCGGCATTCCTTCAACGCCCTCTCTACCAATCTCCATTGACTCTTTTAGATCCGGATTTGACGCTCTCTGTTTCGCTACCTCCTCGGGATCATTTGAGTGCGTGACTTTTTCGCGGCCGGAAGTTACGTAGCCACGATTTGACCTCGGTGTCGTCCAGGCGAGCTCATCTTTCTCTGCCTGTGGACGTTCAAAGAACTTTGCGGAAGTCCGAAAAACTGTCTGAACTTGGTCTTTCGGTATGCCGTGGTTCTTCAGATATAGGAAGCCAGAATTCTTGAATGCTTCAACGACTTGATCAGCTACCTGCTGTCGTTGTTGTGGGTCACCTGTGCGAAAGGCTCCGAAATCAATGACCTGTACCTGTCAGGTGTGTTTTACGATGTTTCGTGAGATATCAACCTACGGGCATTCTGAGACCATCCTGCTCAACGCCGGTCATTGCAATTTGTGAAGTCATGCTGGTGATTAATTAAGAAGAAAGGCTCCTCGCATCTGATTTGAATAAGACTTTCACCACTCACAGGTGTGACACTCTGTCGCAGTGATAACCATGAACCCCCGCTCTCAGTCAACACAGACAGATGCGTGATTGTAACGTCGTACTCAATCTTGTGGTAAGTAATACAGAAGATAAAGGTGGGGTACACCTATAAATGATATAGGATAAGGACTTCGGAATTGACCGCGCAAGACGAAAACACTTTAACATGCATTTGAAGGAACCATTGGTGTCATTCAGCACTGCACGATCGACCCTCACGAGACATGGGAGTACATCACAAGCTCTCCGCTGAACAGCCTTCGACTTCGGAATTTCAACCAACGTCAACAATCGTAGATATACACACTCACACCTACCCACCATCATACATCGACCTTCTAGCATCCAGAGATACAGTACCATATATCCATCGACCATCAGATGGGTCTGACCCACGCCTCATCATCCTGTCGTCTGATGACGACCCTTCCAAACCTGTAGAGAAACGTGGCCGGCCCGTGGACGTATCATATTCCTCGTGGGACGAGAAGCTCAAGTTTATGAGGCAGCATAACATTTCAACATCAGTGGTCTCGCTAGCAAATCCATGGCTGGATTTCCTCCCGTCACATACAGCTCTAGGAACGGCACAACAGATCAATAACGAGCTTAACACAGCATGCGAGAGTCAGAATGCAAAGCAAGATTCGACGCAACGCTTGTATGCATTTGCATCCCTTCCACTCTCTGCCAAGCCAGATGAAATTGTCTCGGAGATTCAGCGTCTTAGCTCTCTCAAGTATATCAAAGGTATTATCTTAGGCACGTCGGGCCTTGGCTCCGGCCTTGATGATCCAGCCATGGATCCGTTATGGTCAGCTCTCGAAGAAACGTCGATCATGATCTTCCTGCATCCTCATTATGGCCTGCCCGATGCCGCGTTTGGCGGTCCGGATGTCATCGGACGCTCAGGACATGTTCTGCCTCTTGCTCTAGGATTTCCACTAGAGACCACAATAGCAGTGACCCGCATGTATCTCTCAGGCGTCTTCGACAATTTTCCCAAACTCATGATGCTGCTTGCACATAGTGGTGGTGCGCTTCCATTCCTCGCAGGTCGGATACAGAGCTGTGTCGAGCATGAACGCGAGTTCGTGGCGAACGGAGGCAGCAAGCAGGGACCGAAGAGGGATGTGTGGGATGTGCTGAGGACGAACATCTGGCTTGATGCTGTGATATACGGCAAAGCTGGGCTAAAAGGGGCGATTGAAGCTGCGGGACCGAATGGAATCGATAGGTTGATGTTCGGAACTGATCATCCTTTCTTTCCGCCGTTGAGGGAGGAAGTGGATGGTAAGTGGACGAGTGTGCAGAGCAATCTGGCCGCCATTGGTGGCATTGGTGTTAGTCAGGAATCTGTACAGAAGATTCTCAGTAGAAATGCTGCGAGAGTTTTGAACCTTGAGCTGTGAGTTATCGTGAGGTATCTAGTGGACATCAATCATATTCAACCGAAAATATAGAGATAATATCCATAGAAGTCCATTGGTTGCATCCTGTTGCATTCCTACCAGAAACTCCTACCATGGCACTCATTTTGCAATAGGTCTCGCCCATTCGCCAATACTCAGGTAATCTGCTATGCTACCGCCCCAATAAGTGTTAATAATATGTACTATGTAAAAGCCATCGAGGTGTAGGTGCAAAGTACACGTGTGGTGTGCTCCATAGGCTAATACTTTTCAGTCGACGCGTCGTGCTGCACGAGAAAGAGCGACCACTGGTCGAGCGAAATCCTCCTTCAATCCAAAACAAGTTGTTAATCAACATGCTCGTTGCCAATCGACAGCCACTAAGTGAATCTCTGCTACCGTTCGTATGAGAGACTGACAAACAACATGCTCGATTGACAACCACTCGCTCTTCGAGCGATGCGATTATGCTCTTGTGTGCTCCTGTATCCTCTTGTCGTGTTGAAGCGGCATCGTTAGGTGGTATCAACAATGTTTCATATTTGCAAGACCTTCCATTGATCCATATACCATGTGTGTCCGTGCAGCATTGTTCTCCTGAGACGTGGGTATGGATCAGATCGCCGAACTCCAACACAACAACATCAATGCACAAACATGACTACATTTAGATGAGCAGCATGTCCTTTGTCGTCGAAACACCGCCACACGTGCACTGCCAAACCGCTGCGCCATTCCAAGAAGAAGCACGAAATACTTCCAACTTGCAGGAAGGCTGTTTACTGCTGGCAATCCTGTTTTGAGGGGGATACTGAATACTAGGACAGATTGATACCAACGATGACCGCAAATCCAAGAAATCAACGAATCGCCATCGGACTCGTCGTTGGCATTGCATCCGGACTACTGATAGCGCTCGCTGCATGCTGTGCTGTCATTTGTGTCCGCAAACGATCGAGACAAAACCAAGATTCATTCGTCGAAGCTAGACATGAGCTGACGCGAAGAAAAGACGTGCTGGGGGACCTCGAGAAGCAGCACGACGACTTTTACCGGAATGAACATGGAGGATCGAGAATCACTACACAATTGCCTAACAGGTCTCAGGCAGAATTCGCACCTTCTGAGCTATCGGTAAATGAAAACGAAGACCTACAATTTTCGAGGACACCCTCGAGGAGGTGGAAGGTAAAAAGAGGTCGATTACTGTCTATGCCGTCAAGATAGCTGGAAAGTCATAGTGGTCTGCAGGTCCACGCTCATCGAAATACAAAGCAAGATGCTGGATGCTCGACTTAATATTGGTCACCAATTCATGTATGCTTGGGATACTCCACTTTTCCATAGCATACTGCACAGCACGACTTGACCAACCCATGGACGCTTCGAAGACAGCTCGAGGAAAAAACGTTCCATGTGCCAATACGTTTCCGAACTCTTAGCCAACGATGCAGAGTCATGAATCGTCAACACTAAGATTGAGTATTTTTGATGGTTGTAAGGTATACGGAACCACTGGGAACAACCGTGTAGCGACAAACAGGACAAACTTCGTCTACACCAATTCGGTTCAGGTATAAGTAGTGCATGGTGGCTGTTCCGACACAGCTGCTGTCTGAAGCGCCACCACAACGTGCATTTCTGGCACATCGAAGTGTCCTTTTTTGTCGCATGTCTTCACAAACGTTGCGGTCGTCTTTGTTTCTAGAAATGGTGTTTCCTTCGTATAGAGGATTGAATACAAATCACTTGTTATTAGCACGAGCACGTATAGAGCAATAACTGATGAACATTGCAGTGCCTGTGGATCGAATAGCACACGAAAATAACACGCCAGCCAGGTTTCGGCATGCTCAAATTAGGGCGAATGGTCGTCTAATGTGTCCCAATGAAGCCTAGTTTAGGTTCCAGACATCTTTAGCAAGGGATCGTGTCAACCGAAACTTGTGGGGCAGCTGAACAGGGGAGTTTGGTTAGTGGCATCCCTTTTCGCATTTGAAGAATCTACGCTGGCAATATCATCCCTTCGCTCATGCAATTGCTTATTGACTTTTATCGCCAACGGTGCCGATCGCTACTAATTCTTCTTTTCATTTGTGGTTCTTTCTCACTACGAAGGGCATCTTTGGATAGGCACCCTACCCTATCTTCCAGTCACTCTTTCACCGAACTTGCGACTTTTTGGTGTCCGCGAACGCTTGCACATCAATATCCTGTCTAAGAGTATCGGAGCGCGAGTCTGCCGCAGCATCTGTTTTGTCTGATTTCCTACGAATTTCCATCAGCCACTACCATCGCCTGGAAATTTATATGTTTACAGAAATCTAAAAGCGCTTGTATATCAAATTTGCTATTACTTGGATGCCAGACACTATCCATTGTTCGCATCAACAGCTCGAGGCTTGAGCCGTGAAACTGGCTCAAGGAGCGTACAACAACATGTTTAAGCCTGTGAAAGGCCCTAAAGAGGGTCGATCACCTCCAGGCTTACTATACTCTGGAAACACGCATGGACGCTTTTCAAATCGCCAAATTTCTCTGGCTCTTATTGTAGCAGTATGTTTATTCATGGGCTACTTTGTATACAGTTCAGATGGAGGCACAATTTCTTCAGTTCCGACGACAGTATCAGCAGGTAAACCTGGGTCTGGCGGTCTTGGCGATGCCATTCTAAACGAAAACATTCGTGCACCCCCTGCTGATTCAAATGTCCATGAGATCAACGCTGAGAGAGGTGCAACCAACGAGAAGTCCAAATACAGGACGTCCGAGGATCCATATTCGGACGATAAGCAGAAGGATCATGATTTCAAGCCAATCAAGGAGCCGCTTGATCAAGTATATCAACAGCCAGCCAAGGTACCGTCGATCGATGATATTGAGAAACAGAAGCAGGACACTGAAGAGGATCACGATGCCCCTGGCAAGCCGAAAGGATGGCGACCTCAGGATAACGCGAAATCGAGTCAATTCAAGTCCGACAAGTCGGCGCCAGCACCACCTCGTGAGAAGTGGTCTGACAGACCTGAATTCGAAAAGTCTCTCACGAAAGTACTGTCTTTGTTACCTGATGAAGTACATATGCGTGAGTTGATTCGACCAGTCGAAGGCTCAGGCAAGGAGAAAATGCGTGAGATGGGCTTGAGGACCCGGGCCTACAGGAAGTACTTCGAGGCCTGGGAAGCGCTCCACATGACAACAGACTCGGAAGGTGCCACATACATACGAGACGACGTGATACCTTACATGCGGAGTCACCAACAATCACTTGAAACTAGTGAATTCTCTGATGAAGGTGTTGATGGCTTAAATCTTGCCACAACCATCCGCCAATACGAGGCCTACAGAGTTTTCATGGTGAAATTCGCACATTTACTCTTTCCTTGGACTGCGCCATATTTTGCCGACCATATGACTCTTCATGCTTCGATCAAGAAAGGTGGAAGGGGTATTGTTCTGACTGCTGGTGATGATCAGGCTCCCTACCTCCTGACTACGATCTACTCTTTCCGACAATTGGGCTGCACCTTACCGATCGAAGTCATGTACTTGGGTGACCAGGATCTAGGAGAGGATTATCGGGCTGAACTTGAGGCGCTCCCAGGTGTGATCACGCGAGATATTGCTCAGATGACCAACGATGCAGGCTGGGCACTCAAGGGTTGGGCTGCGAAGCCATTCGCAATTCTGCTTTCCAGCTTCCGAGAAGTCATCTTTATTGATGCCGACTCTCTCTTCTTCAGGAACCCAGAAGATCTTTTCGAGGAGCGCGACTACAAAAGAACTGGTGCATTGTTCTTCAGGGATCGACTGATCATGCCTGAGAACAAGAAGCGATGGCTGCAACAAGTCCTGCCCAAGCCTATTCCAAAACTGGCCAAAGAGTCGCGAATGTGGACCGGAGAGTCAGGTCATATGCAGGAATCAGGTGTGGTGGTAGTCGACAAGTGGAAGCATTTCATTGCAATGATGTTGATTACGAGGTTTAACGGACCGGATCGTGACGGCAACAAGGAGAAGGGTATTACTGGAGTGTATGATATGATGTATGGTGATAAAGAGACCTTCTGGATCGGCTTCTTACTTGCTGGTGACGAGAACTATGCGTTCCACAAAGGTGATGCAGGTATCATGGGAGAGCTAGGCGACCACCGTAAAGAGCTCAAGAAGAGCAAGCGAGATGAACCTCATGATGAGCAGGACGAGCACAAGGACGAGCACGATGACCATAAAGATGAGGGCGAGAAGAAAAAGACTTCGGATGAGACATCGAAAGCCGAAGGCAAATCAGAGGAAGTAGAAGCGTCCTCATCGTCAGATGATCAGGAGGTTTTGTTGGAGACTCACGAAGAGCCCACGAACTATACAATCTGCGCGCCACAATTGCTCCATTTGGACGAAGCAGGAAAGCCATATTGGTTCAATGGTTGGCTTCTACACAACAAATTTGCTGACAAACACAAGAAAAGGTTCGCCAAGTTCGACTACTACCTCATTGAACCAAAGGAAGTCCGAGAACCTGGTGCGTGGCAGCTGGCGGAAAGTAATATGTGTTGCCTGACTACGGATGCTGACAAGATGTTCGAGTTCTCGACTAAAGAGAAGGACATTATGAAGATGATCATGGAAAGAGCAAAGGAGATGGGTATGGGAGACCAAACATAATGTCATGATATGTATGAAAAGATTTTACAAGACATGTATAGAAAAGGTCGGGCTTAGGTATATCTGGTGTTAATTGGGTCATTTGGAGCTCTTCGCCTGCCACAGACCTGGCAGATTTCTACAAATCTATTATTGTTATACAGCTGATTCCCTACTATTGTGAAAATTACACAAATAGGTCAGAATTCACACCATCTCACTCCTCACGTGCCACGATTATTGTATACGCGCCGCAAGATCGTCGCACATCATCTCATTGGCTGCAGTAGTCTTTTGACAGGAATTACGGTGCGGAGATGAACGAAGTTGGTATTACAGGCGATATGTTGTATGTTATGCAAGCAAGAAAAGGCGCGTATGCCTATTACAGTATATTCTGCCAATATCTTATTCGACTGAACATTGACCACCCTGACAACCATAGGATCGCAAGATGGCGTCAAGCTATATAAATAAGCCAGCTGGTCTACCATGTGCTAACTCCTCCGCATCGTTTGTAAGTATTTCACATCTGGTTGCTACATCCCCAGGTGAACCAGGAATTGAACAACAAGTCCAACGTGACTCCATACTAATCCATACAGTGGCACTCCGAGCCAAACACATTCCTCTGGGGCCACAGAACAACAGAAGATCTTCCCAAGCAAGCAGACGTAGTCATCGTCGGCAGCGGCATCACAGGTGCCTCTATCGCTCGCTACCTCGCCGCCGACTCCCGCGCAAGCTCACTATCAGTCGTCCTTCTCGAAGCACGAGAGATCTGCTTCGGCGCTACAGGCCGGTAAGCCATCCATTCATCCATCCACTTTCACTCAAACCACCAACAAAAAACACCGTCTAACTCCCGCCAAAAAGCAACGGAGGCCACTGCCAACCCCTCCTCTTCGACCGCTCACCCACCGTCGCCGCCTTCGAAGTTAAAAACGTCCACGCCGTCAAATCCTACATCGAAGAACACAACGTCCCCTGCGAATGGCGCTCCGTAACAGGCTGCCGCTCCTTCTGGACGCCCGAGCTCTTCGCCTCCGTGAGACAGGACATCGAGCATCTCGTAAAGACGAACCCGGAACTCGGCGCCATGGTTCAGGTAGTCGAGGCCGGTGATGCCAAGACCATGCAGAGACATCGAGTGAATGCTAACGCGGCGGGATTGACGCTCTCGCAGGGGGCTGGGCAGCTGTGGCCGTATAAATATGTGACGTTTATTGTTGAGAGGTTGGTGAGGGAGGGGAGGTTGAATGTGCAGACTAATACGCCTGTGACGAGGATAACGAGCAGTAACAGCAGCAGTAATGCTAAGTCGGGATACAGACAAACGCTACACACTCCCCGAGGACAAATGGCAGCACGACACATTATCCTCGCGACAAACGGGTATACCTCCCACCTCCTACGCAACTTCACCGACCTCATCGTCCCCGTCCGATGCGAAATGTCAGCTCTTCATCCCCCGCCTGGCTCCGAACGACTACCCAACTCCTACGGCATGGTAGGGTTCGAGGGCGGCAACTCCGAACACGACGATTATCTGATTCAACGGCCATTCTATGACTCTCCCAACGGCGACGGGACGAGACGCGGTGGTCATTTGATGTTCGGTGGCGGTCGTAGCTTCGCCATGTATGACTGTGTAGGCGAGTCGGACGACGATATCGTCGACCCTGGCGAAGCTGATTATCTACGTCGAGCGCTGTTGAAGATGCTCGAGCTCGGCGGTATTGATACTGCAGGGATGGAAGAGCTTAAGGCTAGTCATCAGTGGACGGGCATCAAGGGGTATTCGAGGGATAACATGCCTTGGGTGGGGAAGGCACCGTCGCACGAGGAAGGTGCCATGACTTTTGAGGACGGTCTATGGTTGTGTGCTGGGTATACAGGGCATGGGATGCCGAACGCTACGCTTTGTGGCAAGGCTGTTGTAGACATGGTACTGGCTGAGGAGAGCAAGACGATACAGTACGCAGAGTTTTGCAGGAGGCTCATAGAGGGAGGAGATTTGCCTGAGTCGTATCTTATCACATCGGAGCGGATGAAAGCTGCACATGGCTTGCCGTCTGTGGCGGAACAAGATGCTGCTGGTGGACATCACGGGCCGCAAAGTCTGAAACAGGATGTGAGCGGTTCTTCGAGTGGTCGTGGTTCGAAATGTTCGTTGATGTAAACACTATTCAGTATATTAAGGATGACTGGTATAGATACATGATCATATTCGAATCACATCTACCCTCGCACGTTCCGCGACATCATGTGCAATCATTGACTGGGATAGCTCTTCCTCCGAGATCTTACGAGGTGTGAGAGTCATCTGAGCAAATGTCCCGGGCGCCTTTCGCTTCGACAAGGTGCCTGGATTAATGACCACAACAGAGTCAACGACCTGAGCAGGAATGTTAGTAATCGGTTCGAATTAGGTACTGTACTATCGATATCCCAAGCCATGTACTGAACATGGATGAGCACCCACCACGACAAAGAAGGCTGAACATACCTTTACAGATGGCGTCAACATGCTAGGCAAGAACAAAATATCAGGCCTGACATTCGACCACTCACCAAGCTTGTAATACCCAAGATCAATACAATCACCTACCGCCTTCACTCCGTCCTGCGATAACTTGTCTCGTGAAAGCGAGGGATATAGTGGAAAGAAATGCCTCTGCTCAATTAGATAATTAGGAAGTCGTTCCAACAGACCAGTTTTGCTATTGTGCGAGATTTGTTCTCGACTCAGTTGAACCAGGACATCGTGGCTTGAGATCCCTACGACCACCTCGTTGAGAGAGATGAAGCATGGATCAGGTAACATCTTTACTTGCTTGGGAAGACCCAAGTCTTTTCTCACCAAGTGCTCCTGTGGCCACGAGACGTGTTTATTGATCGCGTCTCGGGTGCTGGGTACGATAACTATTGTCAGAGATGGTACTGCAGAGCAAACTTTCTCCAGTTGTGAAGATATCCACAACCTGAAAAGGGTCGTCATGTTGGCATCCTGGTCGATACCCTTGACGTCCGGCAGGTCAAAGTCACCTGCAGCCAGAAGCGGATGTTCAATGTCAAGTAGTGGTCCCGTCAAGACCATTGCGTCTACCATGTCCTCGGCAGCTTTCTTGCAAAGAGCTTGCAGAGGCTCAAAATCGAGATTATCGTCTGCTGTGTAGGGACCAGAGGCAAACAAGATATCCAGAGGTGAGCCTGTCGAATCATCCGACACTCCCATTTTCCCATTCATAGTATGGATGGTCGCAGGTGCAGAGACTGGTAATGGGGGAGATGGGATCGTCAACACCTCTGTGACCTGGAAATAATGACCCGATGCATTTGTTCCTCGAACAGCCACAATCTGTCCTGGAAATAGAGAATATGTCTGCAATTCCTCGACCTTTAGAGGAACACGTCTACCTCCACCCCACTTCCTTGAGAGCTCAAGCAGTAACGATGCCTGGTTCAGCTTGCCTTCCGGAGTGTCGCATGCAATCCTGCCAACCGCGACGATCTCGTTGGTACTTTGTGCGCTTGCGTCCCCGAAACTGCTGTCCTCCAATTTGTGATGCTTTTGTATCAAGGCGTGGAAGTCTTCTATCCTTTCATCAAGTACTTCTGATGACTCGTTTATACGCATGGACATGGGCTTGTATCCAAACTTCTTCACATCTGTGTTTGCGATTGGTTTGATGCGTGCCTCTGCATAGGGTGCGATGGGAGTCTCTGCGACAGGAATATGGCCATTAATCTGTTGGATTACCTCACCAGAATTCTGACGTTGCGAAAAAGATACTCCTGAGGGTGTAGTAGTGTTGTGCTTGTCTGGTCGTGCTACTCGTTTCGGCGCTGGTGTCTCGAAGTCGTTCCTCCTCTTAACACTAGCATTGCGTTTAGGTCCGGCGCTCGGTGTGAGATCGTCAAGCATTCCGTAGACATCACCACTCTTGACTGCCGTTCGTGGTGTAGCATTGACTATTGGCTTTCTCTCACTGTGCTTGCCTTGGTGGCTGCGTTCCAAGCCATCTTGTACGTCTTTCTGAAACATTCGTGCTGTAGGGAGATCTAGAACAGTTTCTTCAGAGCCCATTTTCAGGCAGTAGGACTCCCATTTGTAGAATAGTTCTTGAGGAGTAATTGAGTATAGTCGTAATATTGACTCGAGCACGCCGACAATGTCTGGCTCGAGGCCGTTACCGACGGGTGCGAACAGCGCATTGAGATTCTCGTTTTGTGCTGCAGCAGTCATTTTGACGGTGGTGTCTGAGCGGTCAGATGTATGTCAGACTTCTCTGCTGAACAACATGAAGATACAGTTGACTAGAAAGCGCATATTGATCGCGAGACGCGTCGCACAAGCTAGCGCGTTTTTCCGCGACTGTGAGGTGATTAACCTCTTGGGCACGATACGTGGAGAAATATACCACTCCGTATTAGTTGTCGCTGCTTAAGTGGTGCAGGTGTATCGCATGTTCGTGTGCAAGTTAATACTGTTCATTATATAGTCGTTACCTAGTCCATATCTCACAAGCTTAAAAAGCGACACCTTAACGAAACACTTATCAACGTCAAACTAGCCAGCGAGACATCTAACAGGTGACTGCTTCCTCCTACGTCCAATCTTACCATAACCAAGCTCAGGCACTTCTTCCATAAAGCTTCCTTTCGGCAATAATCCGAACCCAGGCCCGTGCCACTTCGAAACTACACTCTCTGTCTCGTCGATTTGACTGGAGTTCGATCGAACATGCTCAAAATCTGCCACTTCATTCTCAGCTCTCGGTGTTGTCACGCTCCAATCGTCCATGCTTTCTGTCCTGTCGAAACTCAATCCACCACTCGCACCTGGCGAGCTAGCACAGTCTGACCGTCTGCTGGTAGTACTGATGTTTGTGCCTTCGCGTCTAAGCTTTCCCCGACCCTGGACGAATTCTGAATTGCTCACGAATAGACAGCTTCCATTCGAGCGATTCGATGCGAACCAGAAACGCTGAAGCAACTTTTCTTCCTTCTCGGTGCCCACCATACCTGGGAACCTTTTCTTCTGCTGCTCTAGTAATTGCTCACCTTGTGCTGTGAGCTCGCCGAAGCGATTTCGCATTGCGTCAATCGTAACTGTCCAGATCCAGAACAAGCAATGCTCTTCCTCTTTGCTTCGCCTCACTTCGCAGTGTGATAGGTCATGGTGAAGGTCGTATATAGCACCGTTCGTAATGCAATTGTACATACGTAAAGGATTCGTGCCGTCACGATTAGTTGCATAGATGAGGAGTGCTAGAGACAGAAGTCGTTCGAGTGGAGGCTCACCATTCGCGTCTTTCCTGTTGGAAGAAAGTGATGGACAAGATTCCCAGAAGTCGACGTACATTCCGCACTGCGTTGCCGGAGAACGGTTATCTTGTGAAGAGCCACTAGACTCAGATAGGACTGCCGAGAGAGGTTTCTGAGAAGGATTCGAGATACGAGCAAGCACCTCGAGGATATCAAGCGGTAACTTGCGTTGAATAGCTAATTCTTGAAATCCGACAGGCAGATTGCCAACGATTGTGCAAAGTTCAGGCGCAAAAGGGTGACTTGGCATCTTGGGCAACCGCGATGGTAAGAGCAATGGCACAGCAGGCTCTTTAGGTTCGTCAGCAGTACTGCGCCAGAATGAATCTAGGCGCATAGTGGTGTTGCGTACGAATGAGCCATAATTGTGAAGACCACCAGCCGCCGCGAAAGCGGTCCGAAGGATCGTCTTGTGCGCATTGTGAGCGACCTCGTCTCCTGCCATCAGAGAAAGGGCGGCAAGGACAAAGATGCTCATTACCAGGTAATCATCCAGTTGTCCATTTTTAGTCTTGAGCAATTCTTGCTTCAGACAAGAAAGAGCTTTTGCTTGGTAGAGGAGGACTTTCTGCGAGGGAGGCTTGTCAGGATTTTGGAGAGACTCGTAAAGTCCCTGAATCGCAGATGCCTCAGTCCAAAGAAAGACTTCATGGTTCATATATAGTGGCCATTCTTGCTTGATGATATTCGGGACATTAAAAACGTCATACGCTGCGGTATAGCTTGGCATCATAGTTTCGAAGAACATCTGAACATATCTGTCGGACATGCAGGACGGCAGCCATATCTGAAATGGCGATGGTGATTCTTTCTTGGAAGTGACAACGAGCAATTGCTCGTCCCGAGCTTCAAGTTCTTCATTGATGGCTTCTCGGACAGATGTCAATTTCGGGCTTTGCTTCGGCTTCGCCTCGACCTTTGTTTTCGGCCGCGCTGGTTTCCTTCGCGGTTTAGTCTTCACCAATGGATTGACGGGCGGACTGGCTTGGTTCTTTGCACTTGCAGATTGTGCTTTGGATGGCTGTTTCGCAGTATTGAGCCGAGACCTCTGATGGCCCTTACGTGCTGCATGAGCACGAATCACCGATGACTTTACGCCCTGCCCATCCATAGACACGAAGAGGATGGAGTCTGCCATGTTGAACGGAGAAGAGGTCCGGCAACTGGACTAGCAGATGTCGAGGTGCAGTATCCAGGAGCCAAAACTGAGATATGATCGTTTGACGAAGCAGGCAATAGGGATGTCAAGGACTGGTTGAAGGAAGTCACAGAGAGCAACTATCTGGAGGCAACGGACGAAATGTAGGATCAAGCCATGCTTGGTAAACACATGGCACGTCTCCATTACTTGGGACTTTATGCGCTGCCCGCAACAATTGTGACGCTGCTAAGGACTACGCGGTCCAATGAGCATCTGCGATCCGAAGCTTCCGGCTTGCGCCGTGCTCCCCCGAGGTACCCCTCCAACGAGAGTTTGACCTAGCCGATGATCCTGGATGAAGACTGATAAGCGAACTCCATTACAGAACAAGTCTCTCGATATCGAGAGTTCTGCACAAAGAACACCGTCATATTATCGTGACAACGCGAAAGTCTACCTAGTCAACCCGCGCAATGACCATCCTAGGATGAATATCAGGTGTTCAGATATTTACTGAACCACTTTCTGAACTATACATACTGTTCCATAGCCCAAGCCAGCTTGCTAAGCCGAGCTTATAGGCCTCTCTGACTGAGCCATAGCCGAATTGCACGATTGTTCTGCTATGGCCTCATTTGGTCGATGTCAACTGAAAGCCCGGGACCAACGACAGGTCTACGACCATGGTCGACTGGGGTCGGCACAGCATGCTCGAGGCTTTCCTTGTTGCACAACGCCGAAGTCTCAGTAAATCCTTACATGCCGGCCCACTCAACGCTGAAGGACCGCATCGTACCTTTTCCGTCTCCATCTATGCTGTTTGGGTCTTCACCACCAAACAACCATCCCTTCTTGACTCCGGTACCTAATCTTCCACCGCCAACAATGTCCATCAGGTCAAGATCCTCGTCCCAATTCACGCCGACGCCCAGGAAATGCGAGTGAAAACGTAGGGGATCTCCAGGGTAGATGCAAAATTGACAACCGAAGCGGAGTCCTGGCGTAGTGAAGAAGGTTCTGTTCGGCAGGCTAAGGAGGTGTCGATGAAAGACGTGAGCGGCATAGTTCGTTGATAGGGGTGTGGTGTCTAAAGACGTAGACGTGCAGTACAGGGAAGACAAGAGCGTGTTGGACGTGGCTGGAGTAATCGTCAGTGTGGAGGTTTGGGTTGCTAGGTCATTTCCATTGCTAGCTGGCGACATCATTGGTAATTTAGCTTCACCGAGGTCGAAGAAAGAGTCTGTTGCGGCGTCGTCAACTCTCAGGGGCTCTTGCGGTGTTTCCGATTGTAACACAGACTGTGCCGCTACTCTTACGCCTGCTTTTTTCATGGCGCGTTTCTTGTCAGTCTCCTTCTCCTTGGCTTTCGCCTGAGCAATTTCCGCGGATTGTGCTACAATTTCCTCCTTGTACTGTTTTTGTCGTTCTTTGTTCGTCCTCACCAATGCTGCGTCATGAGCCTTAACATCGTCGAGAATATAAGCCAAGCCCTTCTCAATCAACAACTGTGCTTCTTCGGGCATTATCTCCATCGGTAGACCCATGAATACATTCTGAGACGGGTTTTGAGGCAACGTGCCTATGAAGACGCCACATATATTGTGATTTTGGCGAAGCCAGGATATCGCTTGGATGTCAAAAAGAAGGTATCTACCTCCGATTTCTGATACAGCAATGGGTAGATGCGGCGCCCTGGGTGCCATAATGTCCCGTCTACTTTTGCTCAGTAATAACTGTGATCTCTCCTGTTAGCTTTGTACGCATTTCTGGAAAATGGTGGTTAAGAACATAGAGCTGGTGTGCTGGTCATATTGTAACATTATAGCTTGTGTTTTTCGAACATGAACCTCGATTTGAGGGGTTCTGTGGATTGACAGATACAATTTGTATAATCATGTTGCGCGATAGATAGGTAGCCGGGTTAGGCAGGACTTACAGGCTCAAGCAGGTTTGCAGCTCGCGGATTTCTACTTCACTGGCTTAAGAAGCTATCGAGAAGTTGTAGAATATGCATGAGTGAAGCTCCAAGAGCTTCCGCCGAAGTTGATTCACATTGTATGTATAGTTGGCTCGTGATGGAAGCCGCGAAAACGAGAGGAACAAAATTTATTTGACACAACATTGAGCTTGGCATCGAGCAGCAAATTCTCCGCTCCACGCATGCCCTTGATTGTCATCGACATTGACCATACTGGTACTTTGTCATATTTTTACAACACTGGCAATTAGAGCAGCTTACCTCAATGTACTGAGTAGATGAACGACATGAATGGACTATGGTGGCTGTTCTTCCTATTCGTCGTCCCCTTGCTTCTGTGGCTTGGTAAGAATTGCTCCCTCTGGTGCACGATATGCGTTAACATTCTCAGCGTTTCTTGCATTGTCGTCGTGTCTAGGGACTAATTTTCGAGCTCGCATCTCCGGCGTGACAGTCAATCCTCGACGAGGAGCATACGATACGACACTGTTTCGAACAATGACCAACCATCCACCAGCTGCGTCGGAGCATATTGAAATGGAGACTATGCTAAACGAGCGAGACTATCCTGTATACGAAAGAGATTGAGACTCAAAAGTCCATATCGACCTTCTTGGGCTTGTCGTTGACACTGGCCTCTTTCTGTGCTTCTGTGTCGCCCTCGATTGGCGGAAGGTCGAAAGGCTTTATTGTAAACTTACGTCTACTCAAAGTAAAAGTCCAGTCTGTATCAGCCAACGGACTGCCGCTTCCCAGCTCATGTAACAGTGGCAACTTGTGAACGCGAAGTAGACCTTGTGGAGGTTCGTCTTTTGTGGCAGAGTCTCTTGAGCCCAGGAACTCTGCGTCGGCTGAATGAGGAAATGGAGTCAACTCATACACACCGTCAGCCAGCAGTTCAATCCATTTAGTCAATCCTGAATTGCGTGGGTGGAGTGACAAAGGTAGAGTTTGTACGATCACCAGCCTCTTCGGATAGACACTCAGCAAGCTCCGTAAGTTGTGCTGAAATGTGAGGACATTTCCCGGCAGACATGAGTGGGATGGATATAGTGCAGGGGACATTAGAGAGGGGACTATGATACGATGTAGTGTGTCAGGGGGCGAGGAGTTCAAGGCACCTGATATTTCGGATATGACACTGCTGAAACAGTTTCTTGCAGGATTTGGGTCAAGACGGTGGAAGATGAGGTGCGCATCTGGAGGGTGGACAAGGCGTTTGGACAGATCGAAGGTGTGGCAGAATGGTTTCGATACTGGCTCGTTACCAGCTGCTTGGTCTGCGGTGGGTGATCCTTTCTCTGCTCACAATCAGTATATGCGTCACGTTTGCAGTCGTTGATATCGTTGCTTTCGTGACCCACCTCTTGCGGCTACGTCTGTTGCGTGCTGTCCCAGCCTCTCATATCTCCATGCGATCTTCATCTTCTCACTCTGTGTAGTATCCCGGGCACTCTTCGATTCTGAGGTCAGGCCAGGTAGCTCTCTTCCCCACGACTCGGGCAGGCCTACGACGTGGACATAGTGACCCTGCATCAAACCTTCAGCGGCATAGAAGCGTAGCAGGGCACCAGCATAATCGGTTGTACCACTTTCTTCGACCAACACAGAGGTGCCCGTAGGAAGGCCGCCATGACCTGCAAAAAGTCCATCAAAGCTGGCACTCCCCGTTGAGGTTACAGGCTTGCCATCGATGGCTGATGGACGAACTCCTGCCACAATTACATTTCGAGTTAGGACTTGGGAATTCGAGGGTGATGGCCGTCGACCGTCAGAGATACCAATGTTTCGCTTGCGAAATGACATCTATGAGTAGTTGGTCACTTTCTGGTGAAGCGTATTGCAGAGATTCAATAGGACTTCGCGACGCGTTTGCCCGCCATAAAATCACGCTAAAATTATTTTTGAAGGGCCCGTGCTCTTATGACTCGAGTAGAATACTGCGCTTGCCGAATAACCTCTTACTGATTTGCAGATTTGTTCTATCTACCAGCGCTGGAAGTAGCAAGTCATTCGACGCAAATTTTGCCAGTCATGTCTGAGAATATCCTTTACGAGGCCAGCTTCAAGGTCGCAAACATCAACAACTCCAAGTATGATCGTGTTTCACGAATTCAGGGCGTGAATGACCCGTCCTCCGATACTGCCATGTTCCTAGACGTCAATACTGAACTTTACCCTGTCGAGATTGACGAGCGAGTCACAATTGCTCTGGCACTTTCTCTGAATTTGGATGGAAGCAAAGACGATTCCAAGGGTTGGCGCAATGTAGGCCGTGGTGAGCAAACCCTTGCAGACGAATACGACTACGTTTGTCACGGAAAGATATACAGATTCGAGGAAGGCGACGGTCAGAACATGTAAGTCCATAGATTGCTACTTCCCATACACCTGGTGCTGACCATGAAAAGCAAAGTTTATATCTCCTTCGGCGGTCTTCTCATGCTGATTGATGGTCCTTACAATGCCCTTGCTGCGCTCCGGGTAGATTATGTCTATCTGCTCATGAAGAAATAAGCCACAACACTCAAGACTGACCCATCGGGAATTCCAGACGTCGATGTAGCCTCGAGACAAGCTCAAGGTAGTCTGGCTCATTCTCTGGAGTAACAATCCCGTGACGGACAAAGAATTCTAGCAAGAGCAGTGCGCAGTTGGGTTTGAAACGACCAGCTGCCATAGCTTCTTGCGCCTCGCTTATACTCAGAAGCTGGAAATCAACCGCTTCGTTGTCCCCAGGTTTTGGGACAACATCTTCGGGAAGCACCAGGTCATACACGTACTGACATTCTGGCTGACAGAGGCCAACCTCTCCCCCAGCTCGCTCGTCGCGTACATGGAAGTAGGTCATGGTACCACAAGCTTTCGCAGATCTCACAACCGCTTCAGGAAGGGAAGCTTCTTCCATCGATTCACGAATTAGACATCCGAAAGGTCTCTCTCCTGTGCTCAAACCTCCAGCAACAGTGTTGTCCATCATACCAGGATACGTTTGTTTGGTCGGCGATCTTCGCGGCGTCCATATCTTGATGCTATCCGAGTTCTGCGTATAAGCAGTCATATGTACGCCGTATGTCACGATCCCAAAAAGAGCGCTCGCTGATCTCTCCATGCTGAAAAGCAGTTCTCTGTTTAAGCCATAGACTGGGTACAGCTCGTTGCGCCAGCCTGTCAATACTTGAAAGATGTTGTTCTCACGCACGTCTTGCAAGTAGGCCGCTAGCACCTTAGTTCGGCACACTGCAGCTTGTTTGGGATCGGTTGGCACATCGCCGGGTTTGAATATAAGCTCCATTGAACCATCGTCCCTATTAAACACTTTGCTCTCAGGAAACTTTCTGGCTATATCCGGCAAGACGTAACCCAACGCTTCGTCACGACCTTCAAGTTTGAATTTGAAATATCTTTCTGAAGGTAGCCCTTTAGCTGAAGGAATATCAAAATAAGGAAAACTTTTCTGCTGTGTTAGTTATCACCTTCGATTTAGGACGATTACCCATACTTGTCGCACTCGTTCACGAGGTCTAGGTTTGATTTCAGGGAGCCCATGTTGTCGTAAGTCGCGCCACGTCTCAGCGCATGTGCTTTGACTAGCTTCTGTGTTTTGGCAGCGATTGATTGTTGTGAAGTGTAGCAGACCAAAAAAGAGTGACGCATTACGTCATTCTAGATTCTTGGTGAAGCATCTCCTGTCTTCTTCAGGTCTTGGGACTGAAAGATTTTAAAACCAATCCAAGGGACATTGAGCTTCAGGATATTCTCAATGCTATTCCATGTAGAGCCTTTCCTGTTTGGCGATCACCCACGAAAGCTGACCAAGCACACAACATGTTCTCGTTAATCCTCCCTGGAAGACCGTGCTTAACAGATGTTCAAAGCGTCTCAGCCAACCAGTTTGCTTTTAGCTTTCCAGCAGCACCACACTTTTCGCATGCCGTTGTCTTTATACTTCCAGGTAATCAGTTGCCTGATGGCGCGGCTGCAGGTGTTTACCTACAACTACCAGGCGAGCCACAATTCAAATTCCTTGGAGGTTTAGCAAACGAAAAGCAATCAGCAATATTCAAGGTCAACCTTCCAAGTGCCGCGAATGATGGGATAGTCAACCTCGGAATTGCTATTGAGCCTATGGCCAATATTGAGCAGCAGATGGTATTGCTGAAACAGGAACAGCAAGCGAATTCGGTAGCACTTGTCAAGGCTGGACCATCCACCAAGATGCTGGCACAAAATATCATCAAGCATGCGTACAACTTCATTTCAAGCTTCTCCGGCAACATCAATGGCCAAGAAGTGGTACCCTTGAAGAGCTTCCAAGATTGGTGGACGAAGTTCGAACGGCGTATTGAGAATGATCCAAGTTTTCTGGAGAAGAAGGACGACTCGTGAGACGAAGCGAATACCGATAACCATGAATGAGATTCTGTTTCGCCAATCTAAAAACACGCCGGCAGAAGACGCAGTCACGACAATCTACCACTTGGCCAATACATACCTAACCCACATCTCTGCCAATCGAATGAGCCAACAGATTACTACTCTTGTAGAAACCGAATGAACGCTGCACCTACAGCAACACCATCATGTGGAAGATCGACATTCTTCGCGTGTGTCTTATATGCCTCGTCATCGAAAATACCTGTCTTGTGTCGAGTCTCAACAATCTCCTTCATTATAGGACCTGTAAATTCAGGATGTCCTTGCACGGTAACGACGTGGCGCGGCGAATACATGCCTTGGACGCTACACACTGGCGAGGAGCCCAACGACTCGAAGCCCTCAGGGTACGCAAAGGCGATGTCGCGATGCATCTGGTGGATTCGCTGATCAAGTTAGAGACTAAGCACATTTAACACCGTACTGGCACTTACCAGATTGTCAACACGAAACAATTCCTGGCCCTTCTTCGAGAGCTGAACATTGTTCACTGCGGCTTCCCAACCATCCGGGTTTCTTCCAACCTCTACACCTAATGCTCTCGCAACAATTTGATGTCCAAAACATACACCGATTACCCTTACACGTTTCGACTGCAGAGCACTCGCTGTGTATTCAACAAGTCTTGATATCCAAGGAGCATTTGCGTGTGCGTCATGGCCTTGCAGGCGTGTCAAAAGGTGTCGGGATGAACAGTAGAGGGCAACTCACGAGACCCAGTCAGCAAAAGAGCATCAACATCGGCAATGCTGGGGTAGTTGTCAAGATCAGACTCGATCTGATGTGTTGAAATATCCAAAATGTCTTCGGCACTAGTATGTCCTTCTGCCTTCGCTCCTGCATTCAATAGTGCTTTGAAGACACCTCCATAGCCTCCATACTGTGCGGCCGTGCCCGGAAGAGGCGTATCACATTCGAGAATAGCCAATCGTGTTCTCGCTTTCATTTTAATATGTAAAGAACGTGAGGTAATAAATGACTTGTATATGGAAGATGAGCAATATCGCATAACCGTTATCAAAGCCAACACATGGGCATATCTTGCCTTGCGGTTACTGAACTTCCGGAGTCATCGATATCGGGGATCCATATTTGATACAGTTGACCAATCGTATGAGACTACACAAAATGGCACCAGCACTGCTGACATAACCACATCATTTGATCACATCGTCGCGGTAAGAGATCGCCTTGTATAGCGAACAGAGCCATTCGTGGGATGTGCTCTTCAAAGCCCAGTGCAGTCTGGTTATTGCCAAGCAAAACCAAAAGAACAATACTAAGGATGGCATTATGAAATATGCACAACAATACTAAGCTCTCACAATAAACTACTTCCTTCAGCTCCGGGTACTGAAAGACTATGCCATTGTGACTACCGACGAGATGAGCCGACCATACCGAAACCATAGGCGTGCTCTTGCTGTTCGCATGGGTTGACGTTTAGATGGAGTCACATGGGTGGAAGTGAACAAAAAATGCTTTATCTGAAGCTCTGGCAAGCGCATGGAGAAGGATGGCAAGACATGGTTATAAGCATCGCTGGTTCTGGATAATAGTGTCTGACTCTTTCACACACAGCTGTCACACTAAGAACAACCCACAACATGCATTTCACCAACATTCTTTCATTCACTTTGCCATTCTTGGCTCTGGCCTCGGCTGTTCCTACTGAGGGACAGAAGCCAGGAGCAGGAAAAGGACCCGGCTCCTTGGGCGAACATGGATTCGCTAAAGGAGGGCCACCCGAAGGATTCGAAGGAGTCGAAGGAAACGGGAAGGACGGCCCTCCATTCGGAGACGACTCGACCCCATTCGACGCTCGTCAACAACACAAGCGTGCTCTTGACGTCAACGCTGACCTCAAGGAGTGCAAGTCTGACGGAAAGACTTGTGTGACTTATACGGCCGTTCCAGCAGGTAAGCTCCAAGGAGAATGCATCAACCGACATCAGCCAGAGGAGTATGCTGGATACATCCACGTACAGCACGGACAGTTGATGTGCGAATACTACAGCGATCCAGATTGTAGTGGCTGCAAGGCTGGCCCATGGTCACGCAGGGAGCGACAGTACAACTTTAACGTGTACAGGCAGGACAAGGCATGGCCAGTTCAGGTCTACAACCCACAGAGTGTGAAGTGCCGAATCATTACCTTTGACGTTGGTCCAGTCGACAACGACTATTATGACCGCAAACAGGTATGCAAGATGAAGTAGTGAAGGGCATAAGGACTGCAGGAACACATTCGGAAAGAGAGGTTGAAGACGAAGATTCGCTGTTTAGTTCGGACAGGACAGGAACGACGTGAGGAGGCGCGCTTTGTTTGAAATCTATATCTATAGACCTGTATTGCATTAATAACATTGAATTGGTAATTGATTCTTGAATGTGACTTTTGCAGAGGTCGTTAAGTGAAGCGAAGAAGTAGAGGTGAGTTGATTTCAATACATCACGTGTGAGTCGCAAACGCGTTCGATCATGCCTGCCGCAAGCCGCTGCTAGACAAGGCTTCGTCAATACTGTCGCTTCGCAGCAAACCACTTTACACATACAATTCGTTGACCAAGCTCTAGAAAACACTCTATAGACCACGCGAAACTCTTACTAAAGCACTCGTATCGTCGTCTACTGCCTGACATCAGCTACAAAAGAACACAAGATGGTACATTCCCCATCTTAATCTGACAATGTCTCTTCATGAGCCGAAACTCCCAGTCTTGCGAACCAAGCGTACAGACATACCCTACCAATAGCTCCAGCTAACTCAATCTCATCAACAGTCTCAATCCCTTCGCATCGCCCCTCCTGCCGCCCACCCATCCACCACAACCAACACCCAATCCTCCAAACTCTCCTCAACCTCCTCCTCCGTCTCCCGCGGCGCACCCTCAGCACCCGGTCTCCCCGACACCCTCCGCCTCTCCCAACAAACACAATCCTCATCCGCCTCGCAAATCTCCTCTACACACCCTCTCGAAGCCCGCCTCTCCCAATGGCAACAAACCCAAGCAAACCTACAGTCTACCCTCCTCCGACGCACGTTTGGCATCGCTCTCCCGCTACGAATGGCTATGGAGCAAAAGATTGTCGATACGTCAGATAATTTCCGTCCGAGTGTGCTGGGACCGGTCAATAGTGTGCATGGCGATATTTTGAGGGGCAGAGACGCGAGTATCGAGTGGGAGGATGTGTATAATGGCCAGGATGGGTTGAGAGGGACGGTCGATAGAGGTGGTGATGGACAGGGTGTGGGTTGGACGGAGGAGATGGAGATGAAGGTTGGCATGGGAAGATGGTAGACAGCTGACAGAAAACCAGGACGGGCCGCCTGAGCATCACCAGTCAGACACTCGCGTGGAGATTTTGAGTTTCAAGAGCTTGGAAAGGCGTATGGCCAGTTGCTCGAACATCGTTAAGAACCATCTGTGAGGGTCTGCTAGGCTTCTCAGACGATAACACAACGACGACTGAACCTGACGAGCAACCATGTTCCAACAGAGTTGCAGGCAAGGCGACATAACAAAGAGCACAGATGGCATAGTGATGAGCCGCAGCACTAGATACCAGGGTACAGAAGGCCTGGAGTAGTACGCAGACAGACAAGCCATAAACATCCATGAGAGAGTGCTGCTCAGAGATCAATTGTCTGTATCTGCCTGTTAGATTCTAACTCCAGCCAAGCTCGAGATAGACGAAACAGCTAGGGTGAAGCACACGAGGGAAATGTTTCTGCCCACATAGATCTTACTGCCTGAAACCCAGCACATGGCCCTGTAGAATTGCCTCTTCCTGCCACAGCGCCAATCGAAGAAAGAGCGTGTGACTTTTACCGACCTATCTGCCATGATCCCATCGCCGTATGTACTCGAACAAATCGCTCATGCCTAGTCAAGGGAAATGCCACCAGCCACCAAAACCCGTCCCCAGGTCGATAGCCCCCGGAACGCCTCGAACACCGTTTCATGTTTGCAAGAAGGGTACCCAGAAAGTAGAAAGTGTTCCATCCATGGCATTGTATCCATTCTCTTCATAAGCAGTTACATGACAATGCATCGACAGCCAGGACTCCTACGGTCTGTGCCGTCGTGACTGTGACTGCGTGTTGCCTTGCTGCCTTTTGCGTCCTCGTCTTCCATAAAGTCTTGTGGCTTGATGCTCATGTGGACCACGTTTGGAAATTGCTGTTGCAACTTGAGATCTATTGGGTTGGTTAGCTAAAGTACTGGCTCCATAGGGTGGCTGTCCTACATACCTTTGAAGGCAGTCTTGTCATCGAGGACTTTTCCCATATGTATCAGTCTTATCGCGCTGGGGCTGGAAGGCTTAGACTCCCACTCAGAACGCCATTCTCTTAATATGAGCTCTTTCACTTTATATACGCTTAAATTGAAAGGATCGTTTCCTTGTGCTTGTACATTTCGCTTCGCAAGATAGACAGCGTCAAGATTGAAAGGATGTCGCGCACCGTTGAGCAATAGCAGGTTGAGCATAAGGGTCGGGCCTGCGGGAGCCGAGTCCTTTGCGATCGGTGCAGGCGTATCTGACGACGGTCCGATCGCTGTCGATACCGTACGGTCTAGTCTTGGAGAGGGAGTATTGGGAAGTGGAGGAGGAGGAGGGTTTTCGGCACTCTGCAATGCAGTTGTGGTATTAGTCCGCATGGTAGGATGCGGCATTTGAGTACCGCTGTTCGATCTATGTGTTTCGTGCTGGGCCAAGGTGCTCCCTATTGTGCTATCGGTCTGTAGACTCTTCATTTCGACCGGAGTAGACGAGTGTGCATCTTCTCTTGCGTGCGGAGGAATGTCTTGTGCCGATGTTTTCGAGTCCTGATGGTTTGCCTCGTTCTGGTCGTCTGTAGACATGCTGAACTACCAGAACAAAACGAGCGGTAGACAACGTGGTCTCGAATCACTGTGCACAAACAACTCTTGTGATGTTGGTATCACGAACAATTTTTACAGTCCTGAGGCAGAGACCTCGACTGTTCTCGAGTTTTGAGTCCAGCGATAGAGCGACGCTTCAAAAGTACTCCGTTAGGACTCGAACGTGTTAGCGAAAGTGAAGCAAGGAAATTGGCTGTTTGAATGTGCAATAGATTTCCTGTGGTATACAGCAAGACAAGATAGCCTATTCCAGAAGAACTGTCAAGAAGTTGATGATAATAGCATGGTCGTTAAGCCCTAGAACATGGAGAGTGGTGTGATAGGTGTGGTTTGCGGAGAGATCGAGGCAAGCAGGATAGGATAGAGCAATGCTTTGAGCAAGACAGTAACTCCATCCGCTCGGTGCGAGATGTTGCCTCGCTCCGGCCAAACACTTCCACTGCCACTGCTTTCTATTACACTTGGCAAGAGTACCCCGAACTTGTCCCTGTAGATACAGTATCGCGTGCGTTTTCACATAGAACGTAAAGCACAACGATAATGCCGCTTAATTGATCACACCAGAACAGCTAATATATCTAGACTAAGAACAATCAGGAGTACTGTTCAGTGTTAGCAACACAGATACCTCTTGGAAACACCTGTGCTATCAGAGCACTTGTTCTTTTCACCTAGGGTTCATTGTAATTACATAACTGTCACATGTGACCAACTCGAAGTGTTCGAGGACCGAATCCCAATGCGATAGTTACAACACTTGTGGGGAGACAACCCCATTTGGATCTATCGCGCGATACCCGAGCTTGGCTTCACCCCAGACTCGTCACAATGACTCTGGGCAAGCTTGGCTGTCCTCGGCAATGGCACGCAAGAGGCCCTAGAACACTGTAGCCACGCTTTCTTTCATATGAACGACTTCGAAGGTCGGTAGTCATGCTTTGTGGACGCAGACTGGCACCTCTTTGTCCCTCTATCCGATCCAGTCCATATATTTGTTGACATCTTCAAATCTAACACCTTCATATGCCTGCCGGGCCTTCAAAAGTTGGACCCTGCCAATCGTTATCCCAGTGCTTTTCTCACGAGCTTTCCATCCATTCAGTCGAGTCTCAAGTTCTTCGACAACTTCGGGGTCATTGCGCACAAGTAACGCCACAGCATCGTACCCTCCGGCTCCTGGTGCTACGCCTCCGACAACACCTGGAATAGCGGTGCAGAAATCGAGCAATTCTGTAATCACTGGCGGCTCAATGGGTACTCCTGACTTGGTGGACATCTCTCGAACCAGGCTTCGGATGGTTGCGATAATATCTGCTACTTCTTGCAAACCATGCTGATCAATGTCATCCAGTTTCGCAAGTCGTGACAAGCTGCGAGTCAGGTCAGTACTTGCTAGTTGTAGTGCGTTCCATAAAAGATCTGCTTCTCTATGCCTCTGATTTCGCCATGTTAAGACCTGTCGAACCATTCCTGGTGTTTCAGATCCACAATCAACATCGCACATTAGCAATAGCAACGACTTAGGAAATTGCACAGCGTTGTGTAATATCTCGGCGTTCCATGTGTGCTCAAGGCGGAGATCATCAACGCAAAGACGTAGACGTTCTGCAAATCCGACTGAATCTGCATCACCTACAGATTCGAGTATGGTTGGAGTAAATCTGCGGTAGAGACATGCACCAAATACTGCTGCGGCAACATCAAATCCTGAACCTACTTTCCCTTGCGCTGCACAGTGAGCCGCTTGGGCCAGATTGTGGATGGTAGTTTTTGGTAGGTCGGTAGTCTGGGTCTCCGCAGACCAGGCTATCAATCCAGCTGTGAGCGATGATACAAGCGCTGCTGATGAGCCAAGTCCGGTTTTATGAGCTGCGCTCAAATCACAACCGAAATTCAAAAAGCCACCAACGCCTTCACTTGAGGTAGAGGATTGGGAATAATAACTCTCATCTGCCATAATCGTGATCTTACAAGACTTCAGATTGCTTGAACCTTTGACCTTGAGGTAGCTCAGTACATAGCAGATAGTGGTTTGAACAAACTTATTGCTTGATCTAGTGAAGGATGGAAGACTGTCGTAGTTAGTGAAGCAGTTTTACACGCGTCGTGTCAAGATGAGGCCGACTTACTCCGTGATCTGCTGCACAAATCCCGTCGTATCGATCTCTGCCTCATCCACAGTATACAGCCACTTTGCATTGGTGAACTGAGGCGATTGTACCAGAACGAGTAAAGGAGCATCATCTTGGTTAGGGAGAATACTCGCATCCAGCTGCTCGATGTGCACGTGTATACGCGCATCGAGGCCAAGGACTAATCCTGTATGCTGACGAACAAGAACGAGGAAGCCTCCTGTAAACAGGACCTTGCCGGGGGCAGACACTGCGAGAGGCTGCCCTGTCATGACAACCGTCCTAGTCACAGCAGCAGCTTGTGGACACTATAGTTGTTGAGCTCACGCTCCAATACACCGTGTTTGCTGAATAGAACAGGAAGATCAAAGTACAGCGCGCAGCTTTGTTCGGAGTTTGAGGCTCTTACAGCGCCGGCGGCGCGTGGTAGAGATTCACATCCTCGTGGTGCTGTGAGAGGAGGAGAATCAGACAGGCAAAGTAAGGAGAGGAAAGTGTAGCGTGTGGTTGGGTGCAGAGTCTTGGCATTCTTTGCTCGCCACCTGTACGAAAGACTGCCGTACCTGAGGTGCCGAACAAAGGAGTCTTTTTACGATATTGGTAGAAGCCGCTGGTGGATTAAAACCAGATCTACAAGTCATATACCTAACCACTCAGACATGGACAAAAGTGCATCCAGCATTACGGTTTCGCGGGTGTTGAGCTTGGTGGCAACCTGACCATAATGATCATCATTGCTCCAACTTCATCGCCATTCCTTCGACTTCCTCAGGAGATTAGACTCCGTATTTACGATGTACTCAACGACGATGCAACTGTCAACATTGACTGCGGATCAAGGTTTCCCGCCCAGTCCAGCTGCAATAGTCTGCTAAGCATTGCACATGTGAGCAAACAGCTACATCATGAGGCCATGAGAGCATTAAATTTTCGCACACTTCACTTGAGCAGTCTTCCCTCGCCAGATCAGTATTGCTTCCAAAGGCTTCTAGGGCTCGTAAAGAAGTGGGGACAGGGCATAGAGCGACTAGTCCTTGATGTGGTTGACAGACAGGACGTGAGCAAAGGCCACATGGTGGATGGCGATGGAGCTGACAACAGCTCACATATCCGGGAGATCCTAGAGAAGCTTCGAAGCATTGTAAGTCTCACGCCAGACATTGTAGAGCTGACTATTGCATTCACGGGATCCATGCCATGTCTTGCAGCGCAGGAGAGCCAGGTTGACGAGCTTTCACAATTCATTGGCATGCACCTCGACCTACCACCAAAATACTTCAATAAGATTCGTGCAAGAGTCAGCAAGGACGTTGTGTCGTTTCTGCAAGGAGGGAGGTGGAAGATGGAATTGGCATTTTCGAAAGAAGGAACAGATAATCGGCTTAAGGTGGGCTTACAAACAAGACACTGGCCCTTCGCACTGACGGTAGAGACAGGTATTAGGGTACAAGACTCGGGTCCGTAACAAGCGGGCCGTTTGGCTCGATGTGATTGCCCTCCTTTCGAAGCCAATCCAGGCAACATTGACTGACTATATATGTAGTCAACAAGTAAAAGATCGCGACGTAAAGATAATTCGACGTTCTCTAAAAGCCAGGTCAAGGGCTGGGTCGATGTTTGACGGAGCAAGAATCATTTGGGACAAGATCGCTAGAGCATGAAGAGCCGCCAACTCTGCTGCTGGCATAGACCTATCGTACACAGAACACACGGTGTATTCTGACGATCACAAATGATCAGAGGTTGTGCTGATTATTCAACAGGAGCTTCAAGTTCAAGTTCAAGGCCAAGTTCAGCTCAGACCTCTCTAGTGTACCGGCGCGCCGGGTAACTTTCACATTGTGGATCTGGACAATCTGGCTGCCTGGGGCCTTAGACCATCGAAGCTTTCGGCATGATGAGGCTTGCTGGCGGAACTTCTGGAGTACTCGATCCTATTGGACGAGCTCAAGCAATCTCGAGAATTACTCGGGGCCACGCCCGTTAATCGCGCACAAGTGGACTCATCGCCTATACCGCTAGGCACTTGGCACGCGAAGCACGATCAGTTTCCAGTTCTCTGGCTATCTTTCTTCGTCGATACACTTCACCTGAATTCCTATCCCCTGCAAAGCCGTGTCGTTCACGTTCCCTAGCTTTTATCGCCGACCGTGTGACCATATCCAGCTCTGGTGGACCCTTGTTAACGACAAACCTGGAAGCTGTAACAGAGTTGTCATGACTATTTGCCTTCTATAGCAGACATCATCTCCTCAGACTCTCCCTCTACTTGCGCCTATTCAGTCAGACCACCTACCACCTACCACCACGTTACCACTACCACGACATACTCTCCACTCACCGAGAGTCCCACGATTCACCCTTCCTCCAATATCTACCTCCTAACTGCGCGTTCGTTGGCGGCCGTGGTCGTCAATGACCCTGTGAACGATATTCCTCCGATCTGAACACACCCTCTCAGATAAGAGGAGGACCTTCCTGTTCTAGATGCCTTTCAAGCCTCTTTCGCACCTTGCACGTATCAGCTTCGCGAAAGGAGTTACACATGCATATACACCTGGTGCTGTCGTTGCTGGTCAACAAGGTCTAGGATCACTACACTCATATCCTGTCGCAAAACTATCAAAGACTGCCCATGTCCAAAATGCCTTCTCAACAGCTTCTGGTTCTGGCAATGGTGCTGGTGCGAAGGCTGGCCATGCCAGCACTTCCGGCACTAGTGACGGCTCACTAACTCAATACTTTGCTGCTTTCAACCTTGCCCAGCAAACTGGTGACGATACCGAACTCAAGAAGCACCAGGGTGCAAGAAAAGTAGGCTGGAAGCAGTCCGACCGACAGGTCACGTCTAAAGCCTCCGCCCGTCTCGACAACCTCAAGCCTACCGATATCCTTCGCCAACCAGTTCGACTTCCGGTCGCTCGGTCCCTCAGCGATAATGTCGTTCAACAGTCGGACAAAGCAGAGGACCGGCTTGTCGAGGTTGAGGCTTTGGCTAAGATCGATGAAGCCATTGCCTTGGAGATCAAGGCTGTCAACGAGTCCAAGGCCGCAGAAGCAATTGTTGATTCTGACAACAGCCTGGATATCTATGATGCAGATAGCGCAGCATTTTCGGATTCATCAAATGCTGTGCGGTCGCCTACCACAGGGCAGACAAGTCCTGTCTCTGACGAAAGCTCTCTACGGTCGGAAGAGATTGTAGAGTTAGGTGAGCACTCCCGCTATGCAGACATCCCTTACCAATTCCAGTCCATGGTCAAAGATGGACTCGTTCCGAACGTGCACGCATACAACTACATCATTCAGTCTGCTATCAACCTTGCTAGTGGTTACCAACCATTTCCGAGAGCTGTTGAAGTTTTCAATGACATGACAGCGAAAGGCATTCAGCCGAATGAAGACACCTACAGAATTCTCATTGCATTCTTGTCAACGCAGAGCCTTCTGGCAAGCAAGGCTCAGAAAGAGTTGCAGCAGCACCAAATGCGGTATGGTTCTGGCCAAGTGTCATTCACTTTCCCTTCTATCAAGCACAAGCAAGAGTTGTTCTCGGAAGACGTGTCGATACTTATGGCAACCAAGTTCTACAACATTGCTCGTCGAGAACTGTCGGGTTTTAGGCTGTCAGATACTCAGTATGCCATCTTTCTCGAAGCTTACAGACGGAGTGGAGCATCTTCCAGCATGGCTGCTCTGAGTAAAGACATGCACAGCCAGCAACTCCTCTCCAGTCCGGAAAACTGTGTTGCTGCTATTGATGCTTGCGCTCAAGTTAAAGATCTGGCCTCCGCAAAAGAAATCTACCAGCAATATAGAGATCTTGCTATCAACTATCAAACCAACGTTTTGCTAGACAACAAGGCATACACTGCTCTTATTAGAGCTTACTATGCTTCTGGTGAGGACACCGAGGGCTTGCGATTCTTTGAGCGTGTAATCAAATCCTTCGATGGTGCGTCCAACAAGGACGCACTCACTCAGGACTTGACCGATGTATTTGTTACCGACGGGCTCGTCGAACACTACATCAAATCCGGCGATATGCACCAAGCGTTGGAAACGCTCAAGGTGTACAGCGTGAGCGAGTCAGCTCGATCTCGTGCAGTTAGCAAGATTCTGTCCGCCGCAGCTGACAATAATCAAGCAGAGATTGTTGATGGTGCTCTTGCTGTAGTCCCTTCTGCCAACCTGGAGGCAGACGCGATCATGGCAGTGGCCGCTATGCAGTTCAGAGTTGGTAAAGTTGTGCAGGCGAAGTCTTTCTGGAATCAGAACCGTCGTGTCGCTGACGTGAGCTTCGCTACCATGTACGGATTGTCCATCCTCAGCACTGGTGACGTGGAAGGAGCTCTCTCGGACATCTTAAGCATGTTCAGAGAGATTCGACAATCACTGTCTGAGAAGTCCCGGTCTGAGGTCAACAGCATCTTGGACGAGTCTGTGCTACATTTCGGACAGACACTGTCTGGTGGAAGTATGCTTTACTCTAGCCAAGCTGCAGTTCTGCTCTTCCGAGTCATGATCGAGAACGGTGGTCTTGTGCCTTACATCACCCAAGCTGCTATTGCAAGAGTTGGCCCGGAGTGTGTGAACCAGCTTTCCGATCGAGATATTGCTCTTGCGCTTCACGTGCAAGCCTATATGCTTCCGGCACAAGCTCATGCAGTCAACGATGTTGCTCAAGCTGCAAGGTTTTCCCACCTACTGGAGACCGTTCTACAACGCCGAATTGGTATGGATCCAGCCACTGTTCATGCTGTCGATAATGCTTTGCCCAGTTTAGGTGGTGCGAGACCTGACTTGGAACGCAGATGGAAGGCTTGGCGCAGCCCCGACAGTATCATCAGCCAGACTGTATCTCCCGCTTCGTCTTTTGCTCAAGCAAGAGAGTCACAAAATCATGCTAATCTCTACGATCCTTATTCTCATACAACTGATCACCGTGCATCCAAAGTCATCTCAGAACTTCTCGAAAGCACGACGGGTAGAATGGAGGCACATCTCACTGAAGCTATGTCGAAACTCAAGAACGTACGACGCATGGGACGACGCTTGCAGTACAGCACATATGCCAAATTGATCACCACAGCAGGCAAGGTCAAGCAGCAAGATTTGATGCGCGAGATATTGGCCATGGCACAGACCGATGTGCCTTACAATCCGACTATCGCTGCAGTTCGGAGTGGCTGGATTACGATATACGATTCCATGATCGCTGCGTGCCTTACCGTTGGTCAGCGACAAGCTGCTTCTAAGTTCCATGAAGAACTGCTCTCGATGGGTGCTGCTCCTTCTGCGAACACATTCGGAATCTATATTACCACTTTAGAAGGTACGTTTGATGAGGCGTCGGAGGCAGTCAAGATCTTCCAAAGAGCTGTGTCGGAAGGGGTGACGCCCACAGTATTCCTGTTCAATGCTGTGATTGGCAAGCTCGGCAAGGCTAGACGAATCGACGACTGTCTCCAGTATTTTGGGCAAATGCAAAATCTTGGTATCCGTCCTTCGTCAGTCACTTATGGCACACTCGTCAACGCTTTATGCCGCACGAGTGAGGAATCTTTTGCTGTCGAAATGTTTGATGAGATGGAGGCAGCCCCCAATTATCGACCTCGTCCAGCACCGTACAACTCAATCATCCAGTATTTTTTGAACACGAAACGAGATCGTGCGAAGGTCCTACAGTATTATGGTCGCATGCGTTCACGAGACATCAAACCTACTTCTCATACATTCAAGCTCTTGATCGAAGCCTACGCCACTCTTGAACCCGTCAATCTTGCCGCAGCTGAAACAGTGCTTGAGGACATGAAGGTTAGCGGTGTTCAACCTGAAGCAGTTCACTATGGTGCACTCATTCATGCCAAGGGTTGCGTCTTGTCCGACATGAGTGGTGCACGTGCTACTTTTGACTCGGTGCTGGCAGATCCCGCTATCAAGGCAACGGACAATCTTTACCAAAACTTATTGGAAGCTATGGTTGCTAATTACCAAGTCGCTGACAGTGAGCCTATACTAACAGACATGGCGCGACGTGGCGTCTGTATGACAGCTTACATTGCCAACACCCTAATCCATGGCTGGGCCGCTGCCGGCGATGTAGAGAAGGCTAAGAGCATCTACGATAGTCTGGGGTTTGACAAGCGAGAACCCAGTACATACGAGGCCATGACAAGAGCATTCCTCTCGGTTGAGAACCACACAGCAGCTAATGCCGTCGTGCAACAGATGCTAACAAAGGGCTACCCCAGTGCTGTGGCTGACAAGGTCCTTGGTCTAATCGGGTCAACTTGATGATCCTTGCCTCAGATTTCCATCCTATTCGACACCAAGACGATAATTTACATGTTTTACTGCATAGCGACGGAGTTATTTTGCGACAATGGAGACACTGGCCAAATGGACTGAGCTTAAAAGCGGCCTTTGACCTGTTCTCCTTCATGACGGATTGTTTTACGACAGCATTGTGTGTACCAATATACCCCTGCATATACGGTGGCGGCGTTTTTCTTTCAACTTCACATAGCTAGTCGATATTGACTGGCTTTTCGAGCCTTGGTGTACAGTAATGACGATGTGGTGGGTTACGAACAGGCGTAATGATTGAAAGAATCTCAACTCAATTAAAGCAATATAGAAGGAGACCCTCAAACAGGAAAGCTATGAGGAAAGATGTACAGCACCTTCGATATTTGGATCTTGGTTGCTCGCATTCGAAGAGAATGAATATGGTAAAGAGCGAGGTGATGTGCTGAGCTATGTAGATAGTTTGTACCAAAGTGTGCACGGATCCGGAATCTCAACTACGCAATATGTTGAAACACCAAAATCAGTCTTTTCTTCCCGCTCAATTACTCGTGTATTACACTACTGACTGAAAACATAGAGTCGCTTCTAATCAATCCAAAAAGTCAAAGCCATAAAACGTCGCATTTTCGACACTTGAAGCAAGAATGCCAGTGTCTACACAAGCTCGAGGCTGATAATCGCACAACGCTGGTAGTATAAAATGTTCAAGACTATCACAAATCGTGTTAACATCTGACTTTCGTAATTCATCGAGAATAAGCTGCCCATACCTACTGAAATCCCTGTCAATTCTTTTTTCTCATAACCAAACCAAACCAGATCCAGAATACTACTACACTACCAAAACTTCCATTTCCTCAGGCCAGCTCCTTTCCCAATCTCCCAGCGCCTTCGCTTCGTACCCATTTTCTCGTCAGTAATCACTAAGATCGTCATCGTAAACCACCACAGGCGGCGGGTTGAAAGTAAATGCATCGTCTCGACCCGATCGTGCGACAAGTGATCTATCCTCGAGTAATTTCATCTTTCCAATCGCTATGCAGCAGAAACATCTCAACTCATCAAGTTGCTTGCTCAGACAGTCCTTTTCGCATGAGTCGCTCCATTTCCCGCATGAGCAGGGCTGACGCAGGACAGGTTGGATGGAGAGGCAGGTGCGGCATTGTCGTTGCTCCTGTGGTTTGACGAGGGAGTCGAGAGTGAGGAAGAACTCAAAGAATTCGTGCTGGAGAGCGCGGTATGAGGCGTCAGGGATTAGGCAGGCGTTGAATTTGCGCATTGTGAGGTCCAGGGCGAGCATCTCTTTGAGGAGGGTGCCGTATTCGGTTGTGATGGTGAGGATGTAGCGGATGAGGTCTTGTTCGGATTTTGAAACGGCTTTGGATTGCCAGCGCTCGACACCGGAGAGGAGGGAGAGGTTCTTGGCGTTGGAGTTAGCGGTCCGGCCAACGATGAGGTGTTGGTGGTCGAAGTCGTAGTCGACGAGGGTGAGCATGCTGTCTTGCCAGACATCGTCGCGGACGCCGCGGCCTCGGTAGGTTGGTGGGAAGCCGTCGGCGTTGCGGACTCGTCTTTGGGTGATGGAGATGTCGCTCCAGTCTGCGAGGTCGCTGAGGAGGTCGAATACTTCGGCGTGGGTGTTTTTGGTGCCGACGATTAGGGTTTCTTCTTGGTCTCGCTGGTATTTGCCCATGTGGTATTTGAGTGTTCTGGTTGGTCCTTTAGGCAAGAGATTCTGTGATCGCTGTCGAGGTCGTTTGGCCCAGAAATTCCGTGCAAATTCCTGGAGACAGAATTTCTCGAGTCTCTCGTCACATCTTCGTCTAGCGAAGCAGTACATTTGAGCGTGGAGCATGCAGGCAGTCAAGCTGTCGTCTTCGTCGGACACGGCATAGTCGTCCTTTACATGTGAGAATTGCGATCCTCGTTCCAACGTTGCGACATCAGCTTCCGGATATGAGGATGTGTAGAGATAGATCAGATAGCGAACAAGTAATGCCGGTTCCTCGTCTGGCAGAGTCGTTGCCTGCTCGGTAGCTTCCTTGAAGTCACCGCCCGCAAGAGCTCGGAAGAACGGGCTTTGGCTGCAAATCACGAATCTGTGCGCTTTGAAAACATGTTCGGCGCATTTTATGTCGAAATCCACGAATCTGCTATCGTGAAGTAATCTAGAGCATCGTTAATGGATGTGCTGAAGACTTTCTGGGTAGACAAATGGCTTACCTAAGCTGATCAGGGAAGTTGTAGGTCATTTTGGGGACCCTCGATTCCTCACACACCATCTCAGCGGGTATGTCTCTGGCTCTGGCAGGCATGTTGGATTGAACAAATATTCTGTCTCAAATTTGTCGCAGGTTTGAGGTTGCAAAATTGATGCTTTCAACGTGGGCAAGGTGAAAGATGTCTTTGATGGGAAGAAGCAGGCAGCTACAACCTAGCATCGATTTCGAGAATTTCTTACAAGACCAAGAGTCAGGTTGTTCGCACTGACTCTTGCCAGTGTTCGTATCGCTTTCAGCTCTTGGTGTTACAGGTCAAGATTAGATTGGTCGAGGTCTCGCTTGTGGCATGCAGGTCAGGCAGCACTTCGAGAACCCACAGCCACGAGCCCCAGGCATTTTTGTTCAACTGCGTTGGTGTGTGGAGTTTGCCTGGGTGGCTATGGAATAGGCTACAGGTCTCCAAATCGCTCAATTCTTCCAATGAAAGATGGTTTGAAATCTTGCTGTTATTATGGGCTCAGGCGTTCTATGACCCAGCCATCACCCTCACGAGTGTACCTGAATCTATCATGTAGTCTACTCTCTCTGCCTTGCCAGAATTCTATCATTTCTGGCTTTACACGCAAACCACCCCAAAATTCAGGAACTGGAATATTGTCTTGACCTTCGAACTTCTTTTCCACATCAGAGACTTGTCGTTGCAGCATCTCTCGTCCGTCGTCGCTGTCACGCTGCTGTTCCAATGGCTTCAGAACACTAGATTGCTGACTTGCCCATGCTCCGATGCGTGACCCTTTCGCACGTGTATCGAAGTACGTCTGCGATTCCTCGGTCGTAATCCGTTCGCAAGGACCATCTACACGAACTTGACGCTCCAATGGCTTCCACCAAAAGCACAACGATGCGTAAGGATTTGAAGCAACGTCCTTCGACTTGCGACTTGTGCCCCAGTTGCTGTATATGACGAATCCTCTATCGTCCAGTTCCTTGAGATAGACCATGCGACTACTTACCTTGCCTGAGGGGAGTTCTGCTGTACTCAACGTGACTGTCTCAGGAATAGTACCTTGGAGAGCTGGTTCTGAGAACCATTTGTGGAATTGGGCAAATGGATCTGCATGGAGATCTGCTCGTGTCAAAGTGCCAATCTTGAATTGTGCTGCTTGGCCTGGTTTTGTTGGTTGTGCAGAGTCTGGAGGTGCTTCTCCAGGTGCAACTGATCGAGCAACATCAGTAAGGTATCCATTGATGTACGACTTAGAGATTCAGACATACAAATCAGCTTGTTGGGCTTCGGCTCCTGGCTCGTTGTCGTCATCGTTCGGATTCGTGTAATTGCGATTCGGTTTCGTGTTCGTAAGAGAGCCTTGATGCTTGCATTCATGTCAGATTCACATCAGACCAAACGCTGTCCGGATAATGTGAATGGAGGTCTTTTTGTCGTGTCTCGAACACTACAAAAAGTCATCGATGTGTGATGGAACGCTCTGATTGGTGTTGGAGCCAGTGCCAAAGCTTACCCGAATAGGTCGTTTGTTAGGGCTGAGGACGCCCAACTCCAAAAGACCCGCCTTTCATGCACAATCTCGTTCCTGTTTACCACCACTATATCCATTTGAATATACAAGCACTCAGATCGCAGCGCTCCCGTTCTTACTTTCCACTAAATTTGAGGACAAGATCGTATCGACCGCAACCAAGAAATCTCCCTAAGCACTGCACTGCGTGAACGCAAGTCTTGGTATTTCTAGCTCAGATTTCGAACCACCCCACTTCATCAGCCAACACTTCCAGAATGGTAAGTTAGCACATCAGGCTGTCTTCTTTCTTTATACCAAGCGTCTCGCTATGAGGAGTAGCTATGATAGAGACAGTTTTCGAGGATGTCTAGGATGACAGTATTGGCTACCCTTAACACACGAGACGCAATGATTACCTATCACCAGTCAAAACCGTTATCATGAAATTTTGTCCCACTGTTACAATGAATATGGCTCTTGTGACCACAGAACTGATTTGGAATCCACCTTCATAGTCCGCTCCACCGAAGATCAACACCGGCGTCAAGTCTACGAGAAGCCCAGGTTCAGCCAAAACACCCGTCGAAGCCCTATCAGAAGAACAAATCCAGTCATTTCGAGACGTCTTCAGCCTGTTCGACAAAGACGGCTCAGGTTCGATATCGACCAACGAACTTGGAGATGTCATGAAGAGTCTGGGCCAGAACCCAACAGCCGAAGAACTTCAGGACATGGTCAATGAAGTAGACATAGACCATAGCGGAAGCATCGAGTTTACTGGTATGTGTTTACTGCAATTTCTTTCGCTTCTACTCGAGTACGCTAACATTCCGGCAAACAGAATTCATGACCATGATGGCGACGACGATTCAGCCAAAGGACTTTGCAGAAGAGACCAAAGCCGCGTTCAGAGTCTTTGACAAGGATGGAAGCGGCACGATCTCGGCGAAGGAGCTGAGAGCTGTGATGAAGTCGCTTGGTGAGGATCTTACTGATGATGAGATTGATGAGATGATCAAGGAGGCAGACAAGGATAACAGCGGGTCGATAGACTGTAAGTGTGACCAAGACCCTTTTGCCAGTTGTCAGAAAAGGAAGAGAAAGCTAACACTTCGTGATGCGCAGATGAGGAGTTTGCACAGCTTTTGTCTCCAACTGGGAAATAGGTGGCTGCCACAATATCTCTACTCCAAGAGTGCTAGCATATGGCATAATTAGCACATCTTATCAGTACCTGCTAGTTCTGAGACAGCCAGGTCGACGAGTCACGCTAGGAGAAGTAAGGATTTAGACCAAGCAACCAGAAATCGGGAGCTGTTTATTCGAGCTCTATCCACGAACAACGATCTTATTTAACTCCCTCATGTTTACATCTCAAAACTACCAATCTATGTTCATACTGCTTCCCACGTGAAACAAATCTTTCAATGGCCACAAAACGAAAAACACGATCCACACTACAGCACGTGCTGCCTGACACGAAGACACGTACGGCTGCCTTAGCCAATTGAACAGTGTCGTATCATTAGGCAACATAGAGGCGATCTGTAAGGTTAGCTCTTGCTCACTACCAGCATACAGATACATACAGGAATGCAACCACTGCACTGACACTTTCAGAGGATAAGCAGCTCAACAACGCCGAGATCGAGGTACGTGATGTTGCAAACCCTTCTGTCCACAATCAGGCTTTTTGTAAGCTTCCGTCTTCCACATAATTCTCATTTTCCAAGCACAATACACGACAATCAATCCAGGCACTTGCATCTCCTCGTCTGTTGTCATGCTGCACTGGTCTAAATTTCGAGATCATGGATTGGAACTTGATATCGTCAAGTTTCATGGCAAGTGCTTCGAGCCCACGGAGCGTAGTATTCAATGTCGTGTCTGCCAAACCAGTAACATTTCGAGAAGCAATATATATTGATCCTTCGCCTGAACCATAGTCCTTGTTGGTGTCTATGAAGTACTCGACATAGTAAGTGGCTTCGTGGTCGTCATACCCCCATTCAAGGATAGCTGAGAGGCCTCCTACTCTTTCCTGGAGCTGACCAGCGGCAGTGAAATTCCAGGTAGCACGGTCTGGACGATCAGTGGGGCCTCGTGCTTCGATAGGTCGATTCAATCCAAAAAGTGTATGAACAGCAGATTCGTCCTTGCGACTGGCGGGGGCATCTGACAAGGAGCAGGCAGACCAGCTGAAAAGAACATTTTCTTTGGTAGAGTCAAGTGTATCGGCTTCGAATACTGGGTGACGTTCGACCTGAAGGTTAACATGCCTCACTTCAGCGTATGTAACATTGACAATGTACTATCTGCCAGTCCGGAACGTTGCTGGGGGTGCTTCCCAGCCTTGAAAGTTGAGGCCTTTGTAACCACCAGCTGGTCTATGCCGTACAGACGGAGGAGGATATCGAATCTTTGGGATTGGTGCTGGCCCTTGTCTGCAGATGAACTCAGAACGTAAAGCGTCAGATTCAGGAAACACATTCATACCCTTCTATGTGATGTGGGAGACCATTGCCGTACGTGGTAGCAAGACACGCCAGTAACTTGAAGATGAGAAATTTCATTGTATCTGACCACTCAATATAATGATGTCGTTGTCGTAAAAATGTAAGAATAGACTCTGTATCCGAATAATGATCAATGGTGAATGGAGAGAACGTATGGTTAGCAATGGTGGAAAGAAATGTTCGTGGTAATGTCAAGGAAGCATCAGACTGGTAGGCACGCTGTGTCGCTGTTTCAACCAAGCCCTGGAAGGCGCTCCTGACGATATCTGCAGCTAGTGCTAGTAGCGCAGATACCGGAAAACAAGGACGGCTGCATTCAAGTTTTGTACAAAGTGCTCTTTTTCCAGCTTCACAAGCTCCACAGCTGACCACATGTACTTAAGCACTTACTTTGCAAGCATTCGAGGTTAGCACATTAGCATCCAAAGTACTGTTCCTCAATCCATCTCCTCTGGTAGTCATCGACTATTTCACCAGCTACCACTTTGATACCTGGAAAGACGGTAGTCAATCTATTGACACCTCTTCTGCCTGCCATAAATGTCACAAATACAATCTTCTTCTCAGAGACTCCGTGGTCCACGAGTACCTTCACGGCCATCAATGCTGCACCACCGCTTGACATCTGCGGATCGAGCAACAGGACTGTCTCATGCTCTGCAATATCTGGGAACAACTTGAGGTAATGAAGCTCCGGCTCGCCTGTACGGTAGTTGGATTGTATGAGTAGACGCCCTGTCAAACAATCCGGCAATGTTCTCTTCAAGCCGGACTCCATGCAGCCTCCACCTCTGAGTATAACAATTGCAGATACCTTGCCTGCTGACTTTAGTCCACTATATGACAGTTTCTGAGGAGTGGTGACTCTGTCTGGTACGAAGTTATGACAGTCGAGTGCTTTCTCCACTAGTAAGGCAGTCATTCGATCGAGGTAGAAGGAAAAATCGATCGATGCTGTTGCCGGATTCCGAAGAAGCGTCATGATAGCTTTTATCTGTTTCCTTTCCTCAAGCAACATAACATTCGGAGACAGGGGCTGGTCTTCCACACCCTGTCCGAGGCGTTCGAGTTCGGCGCGGTGCTTCACACTCTTGTCCTTGAGAATCTGCCTGGTTTGACCCACAATCATCGTGATAGCCATTTTGTTCATCATACCTCTTGGCACGATAAGATCTGCCACCTCGCGTTGAGGCTCAACGTACTTTGTGAAAGCCGGTTTAACAGAACTGAACCATTGCTTGATAGTGCCTTCAATGGTGCGTCCTCTCTCTCGCACATCGCGTACTATCCTTCTCGACAAGCATACATCAGCGTCGGCTTCCATGTAGACCTTGAGGTCAAGCAAACCCAATATCCTCGGATCCTGGAGTGCCAGTATGCCTTCGAGTACGACGACGTGTGGTGAATATAAAGAGATCGTCTTTTCCAGTCTTTGATGCTTCTCGAATGAGTACACGGGAATATTTGTGCGTTTTCTGAGCATGTCAGTTGCCATTATGCTTACATTGATCAAGGTGGTCAGACCTTGGGAATGAGTGGAAGGCAGGCTCAAATAGAGACGTTTATTACCGCTTGACATTGAATCAAGTGCTTACAGTGGTATGCTTGACACTCCTCAAGCCTGTCAGGGCTATCAGACTCGACCACAAGCCAAGATCTGACCACTCGAATCATTTCCATGAACTCACCCTTGCTTTAGTTCGGTCAGACATTTACAAAGGAGGTCGAAATCAATCGAGTCTGGTGAATCGAGGTCAAACTCATTAGCGTGAGCGAGGCGATTTTGTTCGGCTGTCAAAGAGTTATAGAAGGAGTCCTGGCATGAGTCAGATTGTTTTAATACAACAATCTGCTGGAGGACATACAATAGACAGAATAATCACCCACGGGAGGTCTAGTGCTTTCACGATCTCAACAGCTAGCGAAGTCTTGCCAGAACCAGAAGACCCAGCAATTCCAATCAGGGACATATCAGCCCATGGCGGTGAGTAATGTGCTTTTGCAAAGCCATTTGCAGACATGCGGCGAGGCTGCTTGAGGCTACTGGTCTCTGCCATGACTGAGGACTGACGCGAGTCTATCGATGTAGCAACAGAAGCATCGAGAAGTTGCGCGGTATCAGTCAGTCATTTCGATGACTAGGAACAGGTAAGCTCCAGATCTAAGACCCCATTTCTGAAGTCGATAGTTGCAGCTTACTTTGTCCTCGAATCCTACTATGGCAATGGAGATGGCCAATTGAATGAATTGAGTTTGAGCTTCGACGTTCACTCGACTCGGAGCTCTCAAAACCCGTTCGGGAATAGCTTGCCGACAACTCACCGTGGTCCGACAATGGCCGCTGCAAGAACATTGCTTTGGGCTGCCTACAACGCGAATAGGGCCAGCTCATGGCCTGGAAGCAGTGCACGATAAGCTCTTCAACGCTTATCACGATGGTGGTCAATATTGAGAGAATGGCAAATCTTTTGCGTAGCCACTTACACATCCTCCTGTCAGAAGTGGTCTCAATGGCCCCATTACGATGTAGTACAGTAGTATTATAGCCGTCTGCCAAGTTGTGACACTACCTTTACCTCACTGTCAAGAGCTCACAGGTAGCACTGCGTTCCATTTTGTGTGCAGAAAGGCATCTGTATTGGCTCCGCCATCACACCCCTTGCTACCAACCTCTCTCGGAACTCACTCAACCTCGGTGCCGCATCTATTTGACTTCTATTTTGTCCTGTTACTGGATCTTTTGCACCACTCCACAATACCTCTGCTGCAGCTGCAGCTCTGGGCCAGGCTTGCTTGTCAAAATTGACTGGGTCGATTTGCTCCGCCCAGAGGTGTACCTCGCCTCCTACCACGAGATGGGTAGAGTTCTCGGGTATCTCGTTCAATGGGTCAAGTGAGTAGACTAGCCGCCAGCTTTTACGAGGCGAGCAATAATCGTTCCATGGATAGTACTGATCGCTAACATTGCGATAAGCGTTCAACCATTGACCTTGTCCGCAGTCCAGATACTTTGAACACAACATTAGTACGGCACGATGGATGATATTGCGGGAAAGAAGGGTACTCACCCAATTGTTGTAGTTGCCTACGATCGCTTTGTGTCCTTTTTCAACAGTTTCTACGACTGACTCGTCAGATAGCCAGCAGTTCACGAGCACATCGTGGCCCATCGACAAGTTCCACGTTAACAGCATCTCCTCCCACACAAGAGGTGTGAGTCCATACTCACGGATCTTTCCATGGACATGATCGATAAACCTTTGCATGAGTGGTTGCAAAACCGCCGTGTCGTTTGACTGCACAGTCTCATCTAACAGATAAGCATTCACGTTGACTTCGTCGCCACCACTATGGAAATAAGGAGAATACTGTCCGACACGAGGTAAAAGGTCATCGAGCATGGTGTCGAGGAAAGAGTATACTTCCGTGCTATTCAGCTTCAATGACCCACATGGTGGCTCGGCACAGTTTGTTTCATATGGCTGTGTGTTGAATGCTGTGATCAGTTCTGGATGGGAAAACCAGATCGACGACGTATGGCCAGGCATGTCAATCTCTATAGCTGTCTCTACGCCGAGAGTCTTGCCATACTGTAGAACGTCAGCGAGATCACCCGGCGAGTACACCAGTCCTGGAGCGTAAGCACCTGCGTCGGACAGCTCTGGTAAAGTTGGAATGACGAGTGGCCACGATTGAGCGTCTGTGATATGCCAATGGAGTCGGTTCATCTTGGTGAAAGCCATGGCGTCAAGCGTACGTTTTACATCAGCAACGGGAAAAAAGTTTCTAGCAGTATCCATGTTCAATCCTCGATGTGAGAACATTGGAGAGTCATATACCTCAAATGGTGCTAGTGGACAGTAAACACCACCTCGACTGTGCTGGAAGAAGAGCTGAGAGAAGGTCGTGAGTCCATAGGACAAGCCGATGGAACTATTGGCTGTGATCACGACCTGTCCGGAGAGTGGCACAGACAAAGTATAGCTCTCATCGATTGACGCAGTCGATCGAGTGATGTTGGCTGGGTCCGGCTGCAGTTGCGAGAGTGCTATCGACTTAATGTTGTGGCCGTCTGGTTGCGGCTCCCAATCAGAATTGCGTGGATGAAACCTCCACGGCACGAAATTTGACTTAAAGAGTGTGTCCAACGTTCTCTGAGTAGCCGTCCCGACTATCTTCCGCGAAAGATCTTGACCACACGCATTGCCTCCCTTGCAACACCTATCAGCTTGATCTCCCTGCCACCGCATAATACCTGAGCGTGCCTGACAGTCATAATGGATGTCTACGTTCTCCTCGATCCACAAAACAGAAGTTCCTGATGTATAATGCTCTGGTACAGGCCACAAAGCAAGTGCAGTGCCGCAAAACATGAATCTAAGCACTGTCCAAAGCTTCATGATAGCTTCAATTGCTGTGTTGAGAGCACGGCGGTCACAAATAGCTGCTCATCTGTCTGATCCAAACATAGTTGGCACTGATACATCCAGAGAAGGGCATGTACCAGACCTGGGTACATGTATGTCCAGATCTTGACATTGGGATGCTACGCTGACCTCCATCTCTTCCTGAGTAGTGTTGCAATGGATGTGCAATCGAAAAAGGTTAATCTGACTGCCACTCTCGTTAGTAGCGCAGGAGGGACTTATCGACCTTCCCGAACCAGTAGTAATCGTGACGATCCGGAATGGTCATTATGCAAGGCTTTCCTCATCATGCACGATTGGAAAGACGATCCATGGTAGACGCCATCAACACGATCTCATGTGAATTGTTCCTCCGTCATACGGAACATTGGACACTCACGAGCGTGCCTTGACGTTGGCACAGGAGCTCAGGGAACATGCAACTTTGGTAGCCTTCTTAATTCCGGAATCCGCCGAGGCTATTCGCTTTTAAGATTAGTAGAATTACCTCATCACGCGTTCGTATAGCTGCAGATCTACCGAACAATGAGTATCGTCTTTCACTGGGTCGAGAAGGTGGTAAACAGGCAAGCTCTCTATTCTCCCACACCAGAATATGCCTGTCCACCTGCAATCTCATCGAGTTGCATACACTCCTGTAGGCCGGCAAGATTGAAGGCATCCTTTACGCCAGCTGCAGCATTCTGCTGACCACATAGGCCTGTCGTCTTCAAGGTTGCCAATTCGGCTGTCACTGCGTCCATTATTGGTTTGAACAGTATGACAGGATGAATCATGATCTTAAATCCTAGTTGTTGTGCTTTTTCAACACTCATGTTCGGCGTCGTACTATCAGAGAGTCAGTTAGCGACTAGAAAGACATGTTCTGCGAGCCTCGCAATATTCCTCGATGTGCTGTGTAGGACGAACTCACCCTCCTGGAACCATATTCAAGAATGGCGCTGCCTTGCCTTTGAAAATTTGACAAACCTTTGCAGCCTCGTCTTCCGAATCCATGGCTTCGAAGAAGACCACGTCGACTCCAATTTTAACCGCTTCCTCCAATCGAGCAACAGCCTCATCGAAACCGTAAGACTGTCTCGCATCAGTCCTCGCAATAATAAGCATATCTGACCCAATATCATTCCGTGTCTTAACTGCTGCCCTCAATCTAGCATAATAAGTCTCACGATCAACCAACTGCTTCCCCAGAAGATGCCCACATCGCTTCTGCTGTACCTGATCCTCAATATGTAATGCCGCAACCCCAGCTCGAGCATATTGCGCGACTGTACGTGATACCATGATCGGGCCGCCGTAGCCGGTATCAGCGTCAGCAATCACAGGTACCGAGGGATTTAAACTCGCTATCATAGCAGCGTTCTGGACCATGTCATTCAAGGTCATCATGCCTAGGTCTGCCCAGCCTAGTCGTGAGATCGAGCTTCCGGCTCCGGTCCAGGGGAGTGTCAGTCCTTTGGTTGGGCGGTCTCTGTTCTGCTGGACTTACCATGTATAAGGCGTCGAAGCCGGCTTGGAGGGCGAGTCTTGCGGTGAAGCCATCGAACACACCTGGCGCGACAACGATTTTGCTTTCGTCGCTTAGTAGCTCTCGTAGGCGCTTTGCGCCGGTAAAAGGTGCGGTCGCCATCCTCTCGACCTACCGTTCTCTAAAGTCGTCTCTGAACAAGGCTTGAGTGTATCGTTCTTGCAGGCATGTCGAGCGCAGCATGCGAGTTCTTCAGATTAAATATATCCTCCAGTCGTGAAAAATGACGTGCCATGCGGAGCTGCGCCGGCACGAGTGTGGACATGATTGCTGAATGTTATGAGCTTTAACTGGGCACAATTCTCGAGGTCAGGGTGTGCGAACTCAGAAGTTCTTTAAAACCACCTCGCGATCTATCGTGTTGTGATGCTGTTTGAATTTCTGTCAAACACTAGTCTCATGCAGCGGAAGATACCTCCACAGTGACACAACATTCTTTAGTCGCATAGGGTCAACCTAAGCTGCAGACTTCAAGAAGGTCCTTGTGTGTTTTCGTGTATTTAGACGATAAAAAGAATGCTCACACGATCAATGTGGAAGTGAAGGCATACTATTGTCTTCACACGGAGCTTGTAGTCTTGTAATGTCGGTTATGCAAACGTCAATATAAAATGGTAAGTTTTGAATTCAATGTCTCATTATGTGTAGCGCTCAAGAACAATTAACAGTACAGTAGGGGTATCGTAGTAGGTTATCGTAACAACATTTTGTGGTTCTTCCTTGGCCTCAACTTCATCTCCGACCGTACTCAGATGCAATCCGTCCAAGGGAAACTATTTGTGCATCTTCAATTTCGACTAGTAGTTGTGTTTTGCAGCGTGTTTGTGTGCAGCTGCTTGTCTGTTGTTGCGACTTTGCTTCCATCGATCTCCCAGGCCTCGGAAGCCAGCTCTAAGTCGAGCATCTGCTGGAACATTCGGATCGCGAGCGATACTAATGAAGGCGTCAGCTGGATTTGTTGTAGCGTTGGAACGAAACTTGCGTTCTGTTTGTTTCCTTGGATACAGCTGCTGTATGTTCTTTCGACTTGCTGGAGAGGAAATTGCCTGAAGATCTGAAGAAGCCCATGATGTTCTGGGATCGGGGAGAGTTTGGTTCAGTGTAGATATATTTTTAGGTGTTCTGTATGGTAGTATAAGAATGAATAAGAGGTTGAAGCAGGCAAGGAAATGATATAGATTTCGAGGTCGCACGATCGTCAGCAGAACAAGTATCTTGAGAATGGCAGCAACGACATCATAGCCCCCGTGATCGAGGCTGACACATAGACATATACGAGTGATAGGGTCCTGAACAGCGTATCAACGGCAAGCACGACGATAGCGAGATCTGAAAACTGGTTTGTTGAAAAACGAAAGAGCTTCCAGGCAACCACAAGAAGAGGCAGGAAGCTCGGGGATCTGGAGCGACGTCATAGGCAAAAGGTACCAGGATCACGCGGTTGATCAATTTTGAACACGCGACTGCAGAGCCGCCTCAGTTTCTACCACAGCACCTTCCTGTATGGCCATGACACCACAAAAAGATGATGTGATCGCAACAAGACGTGCTGAGCATATATTCATGAGCAATTATCAGGGAGGGCAAGCAGGATCTATGACTAGACCTTCTACCTGGTTATTTTGACATACTCAAAGATTCGTCAGAATCATCTTCAGCGCTTTGTGCTCTGCAGCAGCACCGAAGGTTGCATATGCTTGTTCTCCATCTTTCTTAAGGTCAAATTCTGGCGAGAGTCAGTCTCCTCTCTGCAGCATAGCAGCTAATATTTACCATGAGTTATGAGCTGATCGGGCTTGAGTGTCCCAGCCTCGAACATCCGCATCAAGGTCGGTGTTGTTGTTGTGTTCACGAAGCCCATGTGAATAGCTGCTCATTGCGTGAGAGATAATTCGGAACAGCAGATAATTTGACTTACCAATGTTGTAGCCCCAAAGCTTCTCAATATGAAGCTTAGCAGGTTCTCCATGAACACCAATGTTAGCAATCCTTCCACCAAAGCCTACCAGTTCCTGACAAAGCTCGAACGTTGCTGGATAGCCCACAGCTTCGATCACAACATCACATCCAGCGCCGTTAGTGAGCTCCTTCACCTTCGCAGCCGCGTCCTCTTTGCTGTTATCTATTGTATGAGTGGCACCTAATTGCTTCGCTACCTCGAGTCTCGAGGGGTCTCTATCGATCGCGATAAGCAAAGAAGGGGACAATAAACCCGCAGTCATGCAAGCAGAAAGACCAATAGGCCCTGCCCCGACCACCACGACAGTCGCTCCAGGACGAACGTCACCCGCGAGAACCCCAACTTCATATCCTGTTGGCAAAATATCACTCAACATTACTGCTGCCTTTTCGTCAACCCCTTGTGGCAGTTTGTGGAGACTGGAATCGGCCATTGCAATACGGACATACTCTGCCTGTGTGCCGTCGTTGGTGTGTCCAAGTCTCCATCCACCCTCTTCCTTCTCGCAATGAGAAAGAAGTCCGCGACGACACATCTTACAGGTGGCACATGACCACATGCATGAGATGAGTACGGTGTCGCCCTGTTTGAATGCTTTGACACCGTCACCAATCTCTTCTATAACGCCGACACCTTCATGACCGATAGTTGTCCCTTCCTTGCATGTCGGCACGAACCCGTGAAGGATGTGAAGATCAGAACCACATATGGTTGTGTATTTGATTTTGACGATTGCGTCAGTTGGATCTTTAAGAACAGGTTTGTCTTTGTCCTCCAATTTGACAACACCATTACCACGGTATACGAGGGCTTTCATTATGAAGTTCCTGCGATTTTTGCCTAGTCAAGTCTCGTGAGAGCACGTATTGATATTGTTAGTTCCGTTATAACAGTTTCTACAGTGTTCTGCTATGGAAGTATATCACAATGTCTCAAGTCCGACTCGGAGGACCTCATATCTCTCCTCGCATCAACGGCTCAAGTGACGATCCGTCTTGCTGTGTCCTATCCCCGCAAAATCCAAGTTCGCAGCTGAATGGAATGCTGCATCCTCACCAGATCACCATATGCAGGCCAGGAAGAGGGGCCGAGGTAATGCAAGGGACCATCACCTGGGAGAGATCACGGTGTGGTACAGTATGCGGGCAATTTCATGCAGGTCGCATCGTCTAGCCATACGCCTTCTTCCTGAACCAGCATGCTTGCCAACTAATCATCTCGGCTCTGCAAAACAGTACGGAGGAGTCTCATGGATCAATCGACGAGCTTGCGCAACATCTGTTGGCTACTCTCCTGTGCCAATCTCGTATCGGTGTCATACGACATGTAACAATCACGGTCGTCTTGGAGACCCAAATAAGAACATCTTTACAACTATCAGCAGAGGGGACGTTAGCCTTATTGGATTACTTCATGGAGTATAAACTTTCACTCCTGGTACTTTGAGACCCTGGTACCAATAGCTGTCCAACCAGAATATATTGCCCCGGATTTTGATGCGGGGCAGATGCCTCCACTTGCCTCCACAAATCTACTCGAGTACTGACTCTGGTAACCTCGTTGCGAGGTTTCTAATGCACGATTGGGAGCATGCTTGACGACGACGAGTATGTCAGAGTATGCACAACTACAGTAGAGTTTCGGGGTTTTCTCCCTGAGGAGACGTTGCACTGAGCTTCAGGACATGAGAGACCCAATAGCTGTCCAGCGAATATTTACTCCTCGGGTAATAAAGTCCTGCAACAAGCACAGCATATTCTTCACCGTATAAGCAATGCTTAACCGTTCTAAAGATCACTATTATGTGGTTCGATAGAGAATGTCAGAATCAAGCCTAGTATTCGCCTAAAAAGGTCGCCAAAATATCACCAATGTTGGTGATAGTTTGGAAGGCTTGGCATATAAGGCTGTTACACCGCTAGGCGCAGGCTCTGCGCACGGTCGTAACAGCCGTAACAGAGGAAGAACAGGTGATTCTGTTAAATATATATCTCATCATATTAATATATAGCTATAGAGTACGAGGGACTCAACAAAATTGGCGTGAATATACGGGCCAAGCACGACTAAGCACGACTTAACCACTTCCGGCAATTTATCCTTGTTACAGGGTTTTCAGACTCGAGGAGTAGCTTCTACGATCACAAAATACCACTATGTTGAGTCGTGATAACGACTCCAGTCGGACGTTGTCGGTCCCCCTAAAACAAAAACTTCACTGGGAAAATCTTGTACCGCAGTTGATGACAGTAAATGACTAGGAGGCACTGAAGTAGAACGTTCACGAATGACTGAGTCTTGACATGTTAATTATAGGTACTGACTTTGACGGTAAGTGCACTCAAAGCTATCAGATCGCGGTTCTTCGAGCAATGCAATGCCACAAGCCCCTTGAATACAAGATCAATATTCATCGACGTAGGCAAGGATCTTCTTGGTGAGATGAACAAGGCTATTGTGTCAGCTCATTCTGATGTGTTGATCGGAATAAACTTGCACGACTTATCGACAAGTGCTATCACTGGCCCAAATCGGATTCTTCAACTTGTTGATGATACAACGCTTTTCGATGTGTTCATGACAGGATTCAGTGTCGTGGGCTCCACGTTCCAGTAGTAATCGGCAAAGACCTAAGGGGAGTAATGCCCACAAATACTCATGGAATTTCTGATGCATGCGAGCTTGAACATGCGATATGTACACTCGCCTTGTGCCTGTAGCTATAACCGCCGAATCTGACGAACCGAATTTCCAATTGCCGCAAACTATTTAGTCTTTATGTGCTTCAATGGGCCTGGTTCGTGTAAGAAATTGTTGGCGTATGCCTTGGGCACAAATCTCCTCTCGTTGGGTTCCTGAACGTAATACTCATAGCCCTGCTTCTCAGCAAAAGCAATAGCAGCTTCTTTCGACTTGAACTTTATGTTTGTGCCTTGCATAGCATCCGCAGAAGATGCCCAGCCCATCAAAGGATTCTCCCATCGATGACCTTTAGGTAGAGGGTCCCAATCCATTCTCCATGCCGAAGATCCCCAAGTGCCTGATTGAGTCGCAGGCTTGATTGGTTTGTATATTCTGTACAATGTCAGATGCATAACGTCGTTACAATAGCATCCTTACCTGGCGACTCGAGCCTGCATGTCGAGTGGCGCTCCCGAAAGAACGGCGGCTGGTAGCGTTTCACCAGGCTCGCTTCCATCCTGGACTCTCCTTGGTACTGGTGAATACAAAGATGTGCCGTGATCGACATGCGCTCGATAATCGGGTTGATGGCGAGGATGATATGTCTCGACAGGTGCTGAGGCCTTCTGCTCACCCTGCACCAAGGACGCTTGACCATCACCTGGTTCCATTCTTGCGGATGGCTGATCAGTAGGTACGGCGCGAAGGGTTTCTCGAGGATCTGCCTTGTTTGGCTGTCGCTCCGGGCTCGGGCGAGTACTGAAGCATCGTATTGGTTGGGTAGTCGACCTGGTGGTCTGCACCAGACGCAGAGAGTTAGACAATCGCATGGTAGCTGTTGCGTCTGCAACTTGCGATAAGGAGGACCACCGCAGGGAGTTGAGTTTGTAGAGTGGTAGTCGTGTTTCGCAGGGTCATCATAGCTGGTGGAGGAAGCTGCAATGGGGCTCAACTAGCGCCAAGCCTGCGGACCGAAGCTTTGGAGGTTCCTGACTTCAACGTCGACCTTGCATTCTTTGTCAACGACAACCACGATCCTTCTACACTCTTGTCGACCCTGTATGTGAATACACAGCACCCGTTGTGTTAGCTGAAAGTACTGATTGGATCCACAGGCAAAAATGTCGTTCGTCATCCGCAGAAGCCTCTCAACTCTGGTACCCCCAAAGGTAACGTCGTTAAAGCTATAGTCCTTGCGACGACGATAGCTAATAGCTTGTGCTTCAGGTCGCCAACCCATCTGTAAGACTATCTATTGTCCCGAACGCCTCCCAGCCAATATCGGACGACTTTCCTGTTCACGAACCATGCTACGCGCCGTTCAAGGAGCACATTGGAAAAGCAGTGCTGATTGGAATAGGGTCTCGGAGCTGCCAAAGATGCTGTTCGAATGGCCAGAATAGCCAAGTTCTACGAGAGATTGCCAAAAGGCGCAGCACCTGAACGAGCGCCATCAGGTCTAATTGGCCGTTATCAAGCTCGATACTTTGGCAAGAACCCATCACCAGCACGTAAGTCATCTACAGGCCCGACATCACCTCGCGAGTACAATTGGAGGAGCATCGAGGCGATTCTATTGAATTTGCAAGACTGACTCGTTTGTACAGCTATTTGGCACGTCATTTTCTTTATGATGGGTTTGGGCTACAGCTTTGAATACTACTTCCATTTGCGTAAGTACTAAACCAGTTGCCAATCGCTATACTAAGACAATTAGGACACCACAAGAACAACGTGCATTAGATGCGAATCCCGAGGCTGGTTCAATGAATTAAACGTACATAGACAGTCATACGGAATATGAAATCCTGAAGCACTAAAATCCAGGAGCGTCCGAGCAAATCCAACAGTCTTTTCTGCGATCGTCGCGCTGAGCTCACGAGGGGTTTGAGATATGGACTAAGTCTTCAGACGTATGGTACCTTTCTTCAAAAGAAGAAGAGAGCCAGGGGAAATGAAAACTTTGTCCTATTGCCAACATGTTGTTGCAGACCTTGCCTCGCCCGTCAAACTTTTCACAGAGCACACGGACATGTGACCTGAGAATGAGATATCATGCATGTCGATGGTGTGATGGTCGCATAGCCAGCCGTTGCTCGTAGTGCTGAGCATCGTTCGAATACACTTGTCGTTTGTCGCCAAATGCTATGCCCTGAGTCAGGATTGACAGCCTTGCCGAACTTGAGCAGCAAACATGGTCTGTGCTAACTTCCCCCATTTTATGACTGTCTTGTCCGTATACGAAACATCTCAGGTCACACTTAAAGTACATTGGTCTTTCTGGCTACGACGGCTGCAAGAAAGAGGAGAGGCGTTCATCGTCGCACTCGCGCCTAGTGATGTCTAGTGAAGATGTGTTGACTGTATTGTGATGCTGTGGCGTAACACATGGATGCTTCAGGCTCGAAATGCAGTATGGCTCGCCAAGGCAGGCTAAAAGGCCTCGTGACTCGATCGCGAGAGGTGCGGACTCCTGTCGCAGTAGTGCAGGTTAAGTCAGGCACAGATCGACTATCATCTTGTACGTGTGTATCACCATCAGTCAGAGTTGTCGAGGGCAGCCAGATCAAACGCCCAAAGAGCCCTTGGCAGTATACAAAGAGCAGGCTTGGTCGTGACTGCCTGCGCTGCATCCTTCCATATCACCTTCTCCACTCCGAACCCATTAACCGATCCGTCATCGTGGCCGCAACTGCACCCTAACCTGTATGTTATCTCCATCGTCGCGCAGTCGATTTACAGGTACATACTGAATCTCAAGAGGCTGATAATCCACTCTGAACAGTTTAAAAGTTTGTTATGGCAGAGCTGAGTAGCCAGGATGTGGTGAATCATTCTCAGTCGGTTGGCGACGTCTTGCCTTCCGACGTCCCTGTGACCACATCTCAACCCACATCCCTTTCAGGAGACGGAAGGGAAGTTGCTGAAGTGAAGGAGAATGGTGTACACCTCAACTCGAATCTTTCTGCCCAAGATGACCAGGTTTTGGAAGACAGCACCGCTCGGTCTGACACAGACACTAGTCGCGCCGATGGGGAGGCAAAGTCAACCGATGCCCGGCCTGTGAAGAAGTTTGCTACTGCAAAGCCTGTGAGCTTCGCTAAATACAATGTACCAAAGGTCATAGCCGCAAACGTGGCAAAGGCGCAAGCCGATAAAGGTATGCTCTCGCTCGCAATTGTGACGCGACTCGATTGACACGTCTTCAGCTACGCTCTCGACCGCTCCTGCACCACAACCGACTCTCGCTGGCCGTCCTCGTTTAGTCGCAAAGACCACAGCTTCTCTATCCCAGAAACCCAAGCCTTTCAAATCCGCTGCTCCCGATCCGATGCAGGTCTGGAATAAGAACAGAATTACACCCCAGCCAAGCACCAAAAATCTGACGGACGAAGAGCTCAAACAACAATATGGTATTCATCTAACGTCTAGACTCCAGGCAGATGAAGATGGGAAAGAAGCAAAATGGGCTGACATCGACGACGACGACGAAGATGATTGGGCTCCAGATACTATTGAATGGAATGACGGCACCAAGAGCACTGTGCATCCTGACCAAGCCCCAGCAACCAAATCCGCTACAACCTCCAAACCCTCAACGCCTGCAGCAGAAGCCCCCAGACCAATACTTGAGACGAAACCCTCGGCGACCTTCTCTACTTCTATCGGACCTAATGCGACCGTGCTGAAGCTTGGAGCAAGAGCAGAAACTCAACAACAAGCACAGAAGGTAGCTCAACAGCTCAAAGGCTCGAACGACAAGTCCAATACATCCTCTTCTAATACCCCTGCACCTGTACCCGCGAAATCACCATGGGCAAAACTTCCTCCCGTGGAAAAGGCTTCTCCGGTTGAAATCATGCCGTTGCCAGTTATGTCTTCTCACCCAGTACCCTATTCTGCAGGACCGCCTCACGCTTTGGCTCGCCCAGCTCGAGAAATCTCTGCAGATGACTTCAATCGTTCAGGTCGGGACTTGACACAACCCCAATTGTTCATGCCCAATTCCGGCCGCTATGAGTCTGTTCCTGAAAAGAGTCGGCGCATGTCCCGCAACGATCAAGGCTTTCGTCCACCAGCCCTCCTGCAGAGACCCGGTCAAGCTGATCCGTCTGCTCCTGAGCCGTCTCCTGCTTTCCAGACTCACAGAACTAGCTTCGATGTAATACGAAGACGTGCCTCCTCTACTTTGTCTGGAGAGGCTGCGCAGATGGCTCGTAGGATGTCCATCAAGTCTGGCGAAACTCCTGTATCGATTGGTGATTCTGCTATCGCCGAGGGAACAGAAAGTCCCACTGTACCAAAACCTTCCCAACCTGCAACGCCAGCTTTTCAAGCGAGAGGTGGAGATTATATGTCCGGTCCAGGTCAGACAGATGCAGAGTTGGAAGCTCAACGAGCACAACAAAGACGACTCATGAAAGAGCAGGCAGAGCTTGCTAGGAGACGTCGACTCGAGGATGAGGCACGCCAAGAAGCTGAGAAACAGGAAAGAATTCGCCAGAAACTAGCCTCGCTAGGACCTGATCCAAAGACTCTCAAAGCCGAGCAAGATGCCAAGGCGAAAGCAGAAGCGGAGGCCAATGCCAAGTCTGTTGAGAATGACAAAGCTTCTGGTGTTGCAACAAAGGAAAGGCTAGTGCCAGAACGAACAGTGCCCTCCCCTCCGAAACCACCGCAGCCTACTGCCACTGGTGAGCCACAGCAGTATGGTATGATGAAGGTCCATCCTCTTGATAGCCTCAAGAAGAACATCTCTCCTACCGCACAACAGCCGAACGCAAAGCCGTTGGCCAACGTGCAAACCCTTCAGCCTGCTGTAGACGAGGTTTCACCTGAGCCTCCTGCTGCTAGCACAAATGGAGTGAGGTCTGAAGATGATGCGGACCATGTCCCGGCCGCAATGTCTCCAGTACCAGAACCAATTCCCCGGGCCAATCGACCAGTTGCAGAAGTTCGAATGAACTGGGTTCGCAATGACCATCGCTCACCACAAAGTGGAAACTTGTGGGGTGCTCCACACAACAAAGCACTCGGGAATGGCACCTTCGATCAGACTCTAGCTGGGTATGCGCCTCAAGATCTCTCCTCTAGGGCGTCTTCGACCGGCCAGGGATGGATGAATGGAAGGACACCCACCGTGGGTCAATCACCACAACTTGCACACGCCAACCAACATGTTCCGGAAACACGATCGCAGGCGTTACAAAACATGACCTCACCAGAACCGTTACCACTTGCCATGAATAGTGAAATCGATTCGATGCTACCAGTAAGACCGCCAGTGCCAATCGGACCGCCAGTGCAGTACCATTCTAGTCCGCTACAGTCTACTGCTCTAGTCAACGGAAATGGCGCTGCACCATCGAGTGCTGCCATCGCGGGTTGGAACAATTTTGGCAATGTCGCTAGGGTACAAGAGCGCAACGAGTATGAGCAATACCAACGTGAGGTGGCTGCTAAAAGAGAGGATGAAAAGCGTAATGGAGTACGACCACAAGCAAACTATAACTTCGACGAAACCTTTAAGCAAGTCCAACTTGGAGCACAACCCGATCAACGACACATTACTTCCATCACTCAAAGCAGCATGTCGCCTCCAAATATGTTTGGTGCAGTTGGGTCGATGCCACCGTCAGTAATTGGCTCACAAACAAATCGCGGGTCGCGCTTTTTCCCGACTCAAGTGAATGGAGTGCCTGCACAACAACCACGTGCTGTCACTTACACTCACATTGAAGTTTCACGGACACCTTCACCCCCACCTGCAGAATATTCAGGTAGTTCTCACCCCGCCTACGAAAACTTCTCACCAATTCCAATAATTCGACTTCCACCAGAAAAGGCAGTCGTCAAGCTCCCACCTGCCACACCTCCAACACCGCCCGCACCTGCCGTTACTATTGCACCTGAAACATCACCTCAACCCGTTATGCCTGCTCCAACTTCCCAACCTATGACGTGGGCTGCAAGAGTGTCAATGCCACCACCAAAACCAGCTGCTCCTCTGAGAGCCGTCTCACAACCAATTGTAAAGAATCCATCATGGCAAGAGCGATTTAATGGATTACTTGGAAACAACCACAGAAAACAATCTGACGCAAACCAGGCCGCTCAATTCTCAGGACAAGCTCAACCTGTCTTGGCTGTCGCTTCTGCGACTAAGGAACCATTAGATGTCATGCCAACCAGGTCAGCCGCTGTTTCACTTCCTCGAAGCTCTTCAGCCACTACCACGGATGGTTCTAAATTCACAAGCAAGGATGTTGAGGACGAGGAGGATTTGTTCGAAGACCGCGAGGCAGGGTCTCTACCTATATTGTACTTCCCGAACGATGCGCCTGCAATATCCTGGCCACGAGCTATTCCTGGTCGAATCGCACCAACACCACCTGATGCTCAAAGTGCATTTATGTTCATGGGGTCACCTTGGAGAGAAGAAAGAACAACAAAGCCGCAGTTTGCTATTGTTCGAGCGCCCGGTAGCGAGAAGAGTGTGAGAAGGGATCTTCCCATCAAACCAACCACTACAACCAACATCAATCCTCGCAATCATCCACGACAATCCTCTTCTGTTCGACGCGGCCATCGAGGGGGCAGATCTCGACCTACACCTGCAAAGGCATAGTGAATATGCCAAAATCTTGTTGTGCAATGTTTTGCAGCATCGGTAGCGCACCTAGCTGTGGATTAGAGCACATTGTTTTAGCAAAGAAGATATAATTGAATCATTGTCAGTATCTCTATTAGGGCTATCGTCGTTCGCAGAAGACAATACATAGGATCGTTGTTTAAACTTGGTACGCGCCGCGAGCAATAAACGCTGTGGAGGATGGGCTAAGCAGCGATACAAGACTCTTAGTGGGACAATAATATCGTTCGCTTCACTCCCATGTCCACACTTCCGTGTATTTGCGATTTGGTTAGCATATTATCGTCTCAGTTGCCGGTTACTAGTGTCAATCTTCTCACTACAGTCTTGCAGGACCCTGCTTGCCACGATGCTAAGCATGCAAGTCAACCGGAGGAACGAGGCCAGATCGGGATGCTGTAGCCGAGAGAAGCCAAGAATCACATTCCGCCGACGACATCTACCATCTGAGCATCTGTTATCTCGGGCGCTCGTCATGCTTTCGTGTTTCCTATTGTTTAAGCCTGTCTCTTTTCGAAGTGCTCTCGTAATTGAGTAAACCAAAATCCTTTTCCTGATGGATCTAGATAATACCTTTACCAATCAACCAGTGCCGGGAAATCGTTCAAGCGGATTATAGCAACATCGAGTCCCGACCGTGTCCAGCACTTTGAGCAGTAATATGGTATAAGTAGTTGTAGAATTCTTCTTGAAATATTTCTTTCTCTCCTTCTCAATCTATTCTTGATCCTTACAGAGATTACTATAGGAAGCAAGAAAGTTGCCTAGTGCTCCTCACATATATTGCGTTTACAAGATGTCTCCAATGGCTGTATCAGATCGCCGAACACACAGCATCGCTTGCATACCTGCTGATGGTATAGGGCCGGAAGTTATCTCAGCCGGCGTTGAGGTGTTGAAAACTGTCGCAGCTGCTGATGGCACGTTCGACTTGACTTTTGAAGATTACGACTGGTCTTCTGAAACATACAAGCAGACCGGCAAATATATTCCAGATGGTGGGCTTGACCAGTTAAGGAAGCACGATGCCATCCTCTTTGGGGCAGTAGGAGCACCAGGTAAGTCTCGTCCATCGTACGAGTGTCTTCCAGCACTGACAAACTCCAAGATGTCCCTGACCATATCTCACTGTGGGGACTTCGCCTAGCAATCTGCCAGCCTTTTCAACAGTACGCTAATGTACGGCCTACGAAGATCTTACGAGGCACCCAGTCACCTTTGCGGAATGCAACCAGTGGAGATCTCGACTGGGTGATCATTCGGGAGAACAGCGAAGGTGAGTATGCCGGACAAGGCGGAAGATCACACAAAGGCATGCCGTGGGAAGTCGCCACAGAAGTCTCCATCTTCACCAGACACGCAGTCGAGCGACTCATACGGTTTGCCTTCGAAATAGCACAGAGCAGACCTCGAAAACATATCACAGTCGTGACAAAGAGCAATGCTCAACGGAACGGAATGGTCATGTGGGACGAAGTAGCAAGCGAAGTTGCCAAGGACTTCTCAGACGTCACGGTAGAGAAAATGCTGGTGGACGCGATGACTTGCCGAATGGTGCTTCAACCAAAATCGCTCGACACGATCGTCGCCACGAATCTGCACGCTGATATTCTGTCTGATCTTGCGGCTGCTCTTGCGGGATCTATCGGTATTGCGCCTACCTCTAATCTGGACCCTACTCGGAAGAACCCCAGCATGTTTGAGCCAATTCATGGTTCAGCGTTCGATATAACAGGCAAGGGTGTCGCAAATCCCGTGGCGACTTTTTGGACAGCAGCTGAGATGCTAAAATGGCTGGGCGAACATAACGCTGCTGAGACTCTGCTGGAGTGTACGGAGAAAGTCTGTGAGAGTGGTCTTGTTACAAGAGATCTGGGCGGTACTGCAAACACAAAGGAAGTCACGCAGGCTGTGTGCGAGCAGATCAAGAAGGCTTATGCGACGACGGCAAAGGCTAGCAACTAGGCTGGAGGTTGATCGTGTGCTGGGAGTCTAGGACGTTTTTGTCTTTCGAGGTTGCTACGTTTGGAAGGGTAAGGTTAAAGCTCTTGTTGCACGACTTTGTTATCGTTTACATTCTGAAGGAGTCAGAATTGGTAATGCGTGGGTTTTCGTCGTTCGATACTGTCTGCAAATTAGGGAGGTTCTTTCAGTACCAGTGGCAAGAAAATCTCAGTTTTATCCAGATTTCATTTGCTCTATGCGATACAACGTTCCATCGTCGTTGCGATGCAGCTCTCGGCTTGTTTTTCACCAAATTCTTCACAGGAGTCCACAACATCTGAGCAGACCTCGTAAGGCATAGACGTGTCGAAGTGCTTTTCTTCTGATCGTGGGTTAAAGAGGTTACTGAAGCTACCCAGCTGTGCCAAGTCTTACCGACGCTCGCTTCAGTTTCCGCTTCGGAATTGGTCCTACCTGTACAATTCACTCAATTTCTGTAGCAGCAGCTTCAACGTCCTCGAATATCTTGCTATATTTCCAGAGGCTTGCTGGTGTAGTAAGCTACATATATCATATGTTGGTTTACACTATCTTTGCAAACGCACCTAGCTTTAGCTTCGTCTTACCATGGTATATTTGAAGTCTTCACTATCTTACGTTGTGCTAATTCAAACGGCAGGCCTCCCTAGCAGCGAGTTCCGCGTCTCCTTCACGGAGTCTCTTTGAACGAACGATGGAAACCATCAATATACCGAAGCAGTATGTGCCACCATTATGACTATCCCCGAACCTCCAAAGGATGCACTTTGCAAATGGGAATCTCTCTGAGACAGTACTTGCTGAAAACCTTTTATTTTTTTGCTTTCTGATTACAAAAAAGCAGTTCCAACTGTTCAACAGTTCTGGCGTAGACACATGCTAAGACACTGTATAGGGACGTCAATTTGCTGGTCATGAATTTCCTGATACAAGAAGGATACCCAGCCGCGGCCGCTCGTTTCGCCGAAGAAGCAAGTCTTGAGGTCAAGGACGAGAACGATCTCATGACAGAAAGAGTCAGCATACGCGATGCAATATTTCGAGGCGACTTGCAAAGTGCCATAGAAGATATCAACGACATTGATCCTCAGGTATGTCGAGCACTCACTTCTGAAAATTCTCCTACATGATGATATTGGTTTTTCATGCACCACTCATAGCTCTTCGGAGTTTTGATGATAGCAAACACCTTCAGTCCTCAGTCTGATAGAGAAACACTACAACTCTCTCAAAGTACTCAGCACAAGTACTTTTGGCTGACCAAGTTTGTAGCTATTAGACGGTAACAAGAGTTTACATTTCGCCCTCCTTCGTCTCCAGCTGATCGAGCTCATCAAGAAGATGTTTGACGGACCAGAAAACGAGAAACCACAATTGTTCGGAACTGCCGTGACTTTTGCGCAACAGAATCTTGCCCCATATACACCTCAAAGCGAGAAGTACAAATCCGACTTGGAACGAGCCATGGCGTTGTTGATAATCCCAAAAGAGGCATGGCAATCCAAATCCCAAACACACAATGAGCAGATAAGTGCTTTTGGACCACTAGGTGATCTCATTGATCCTAGCTTGAAGATCGAGGTGGCACGAGACGTTAACGCTGCTATATTGAGGAGTCAGGGCAGGTCTGATCATAGCACGATACACAGGATATTGCAGACGAGGGTGTGGGCAGAGGATCTGGCTCGAGACAAGGGAATAGATCTCCCAGCTGATATGGGCATTGATCTGTGGGATGCGCCGGCTGATTCCCAATCACAGAACGGCAACAACGGAGACATCCAGATGGCGGAGGACGAGAGTACTGGAGCTGATCCTGTACACAGGTACACCAATCTGCACGAGTCGGCGCGGTAGGTGCCAGGATGACGGCCTTCTCGTGGAGTGTTGGATATGCTGCTCAGCCTTACATGTCTGACCCAGTACGTTGGTCTACGGGCGTTACACCATATAAGCGGTCAAGCCAAAGCCCAGTGCATACAAACAGTAGTAAGAACTACGTCGAGCTACAAGATTCATCGCGATTGGATCTATGGTTTCACCTTGTATAGCCTCGTACTAACACACGAAGTGTCTTCTACCACAACTCCGGCTCCACAACCAGCCAGCTTCGAAAACAATCAATCATTGTCACCGCAGCGCCTCCTTCCTTCTCATCTCTGATCATGCCTCGTTGAACCCGAAGCACTGTCTGAACCCTTTCTAGCCAAGATTTCGTCAGGAGTCGCCGCTACTTCCCGAGGCTGATCGCCTGAACTCATCGGCCCGGCTCCAGCTTGGATGTTACCGGTTCCTCCGCGTGTGGTTGGTATTTGCATGCTACCATAGTCCTTGTGGATGCGCTTGGACTTTTCGAACTCTTCTTTGAGTTTGGCTTTGAGGTTTGCGAATGTCATGCTTTGTGGGTGGGATTGCCGAGTCAGGACGATCTCAGATACGCAGTTTGTGTGATGAGGTCTGCTTGTGCTGATGAGACGATTGGTTGTCGTAGAAAACGTGAGCTTGTTATGTGGCGATACAGAACGTCAAGGTCAACAATAGGTCCTGAATTCGGAGTGCATAGGTAGTAGTCCGCTGTTCAAGTAAGCTGTGCTGTAGAGATGACGATCTGGCAGCTGTGCCAGTGTAAAGGCAAGTACCTTCGAGTATCGAAGCAGCTATGCGACCCGGTTCCAATTACTACTGTCCAGTGCAATGACAGAGTACCCAAGCCCGTTAGATACCTGAGAAAGTGTTCAATTAGAGTTTTCTGACCGACGCACCATTAGGTGGATCGCTCGTCATAACGAAGAAACGAAACAATGTGCGCGAGATACTCGACAGGACTTTCAGATGTAACCGCGGTATTTGGAAGAAGGATGCTGATACTAATCGAGTATCTATGCATAATATACGCAAGTAACATCAGCTATAGCTCCGTCCATTTCAGGCGTGATAGAATGTTTGGTCACTTTCACCATCTTGTCGGACAACACGAGGTTTCGTGGCAGAAAGCTACATATGTGCTCAGTCATGAGAGTTCCTTACTGCACCCACGTTCCGTCTTGTGAAGCTGTTGTCATAGGACAGGCGATTGTATTCATTTTGTAGAGCAGAGAGTCCATCTTCGCGATCCTTGAATCCGAGCATTCAGCAATGACAGGCCACAGGAAATGTGTTGCCATATATCATCAGGGTCAGACATTCCTTGAGTCTCTACTCGGCCCGGTAGTACATTCGTTCGTGCTGCTGTGCCACGTGAGCTCGAATCGACCAGGATCGCGTATCCTCGGTGGTTGCGGGGAATTGAGTACCGGCACTTGTTCGTAATGATAGACCCACGGCACTAAAGCGTGTCTCTACCACGCTCATGACGCGTGAAGCAGGATGCTCGAGGTACTTGTTACCGTCTCTGGTGTGCTGCGGGAAGTCTTCGCTGACTTTCCTTCGAGCAATAATCTACCAATATACACTGAGCTGATAGCTGTTCTTGACCTACATGCCTCTTCCTATGAGTACAAACGACCTCGAATTGCCGTTACAATACATAGCCTACATATATACACATAGAGCCGCCAACAACAACAGCCTGCAACAATGACACAAGCACACCACTCACTTCCCAAACAACAACAACAACTCACACTCACCCACCTCCCCACCGAAATCCTCCTCTCAATCCTCTCCCACCTCTACCCACCCTGGTCCCTCGAAATCGTCCACCGCGGCCTCGACACCACCTCCCCTACCAGCTCCTTCCCCTCCATAACCCACACCCTCTCCCTAACATCCACCTACTTCCGCACCCTCACCCTCCTCCTCGAGCGCCGCGCCTTCACTCATGCCCTGCACTTCCGCACCTCCGCCACCCAATGGCGCACCCTCACACGTCTCAAATCCGTCTCTCCAGGCCGTATAGCCTGGGCCCTCGACCACGTCCAGCGCCTAACTTTCTTCGCGCCTCCGCTGTTCACGAACAGGATACCGTGGGACTTGTTGCCTGCGCTAAAAGTGCTGGAACTGGATTACTGTGGTCGGAGTGCGAATTTTCGCGTCGAGGGGACGTGGGAGGAGTTAGAAGGAGGGGTGCTAGATGAGATGGTGGTGAGATTTGCGCGGGATACGGAGAGGTTTGACGGGCCGATTGTGGAGGATGCGTGGCGGGTGGATCGGATGAGGAGGATTGAGGTGCTGGTTGTTAAGAGGATGAGTGTGTTTACGGTAGTGTCTGTGGTTGGTGAGGATGGTGATGTCGAAAGTGTGGTGCAGACTTGGGATTTGAGGGTTACCGCGAGGCATAGGGGTCGGTTGGAGGATGTGAGTGTATGGATTCGGGATCGGGGAGTGGATTCTAGCTTAGGTCTGCTTGGGGATGTGGGAAATATGGTGATTTGGACGGCTGGTGAGGGTCAGGAGGGCAGTTTTCGAAAGTGTGTTCGTCAGGTTGTTCCTGCAAAGGGATGAATTGGTAGTATTTTTCGCCCTTGCGCGTTTCTGGGGGAAACAGCAGCACATTCGGATTGCCAGCGAGCTATTTGACGATATGTGGCATGGCAGATTGCCCACCCATTGGGCTGCTATATCACCTCACTAGCTCGAACCTCCTGTACGACCTCAGTCGATTCACGCTTCTCAGATTCTTCGGTACAGCTCCAGGATTCCAGTAGATGAAATCTCCACCTTCCATAAGGTTTACAAAATGCGCAACGCCCTGACCCAGGTACAGCTCCGGCACTCTGCTCTCATGTTCATTCATGACCTCAAACTCCACTTCCTCTCCATTGACGATAGTATCCTCGACCGCTGTTCCATCAGAGACAGTATACAACATGGTCAAATTAGTTAATGGGACACCCTCCCATATGATGATGGAATTATCCACACCAAGTGCTCGAGCAGCCGATGCAGACATTTTGTTGGAAAACAATTCTTTCTCAAATTTGACTTTCAGCCTTGTCGTCCTATTGGTGATGGCGATTGTTTGCCATGACTGCTCTACAGCGCGTTGTGGTGACAGGCTGATGTGACTGGATCTGCCGAAACTCGATAATCGCTCTCCTAGTTGACATGAGGGAGTTTGCGACAGTGAATCCGAAAGAGGGGGACTTGCTATACTGTGCGAAGGACGTGTGCGGCTGAACTGGTCTACTTCATCTCGTTGTTCCGTGTGGACTGAGGTCGATGCACCAAAGTCTGATCTCGAGCGTGCGGTAAGTCGCATAGCTAGATAAGGGTTGTTGTTCGATAGGACACGATGTGTGGCTGTCATTGTGTCGGGTGACTCTACTTCGGGAAGCTCGACAGGACTTGCGTGAGGATGGCTGTTCACTGTGGGATTAGATTGTGTCTGTGAAAGTGGATTAAATGCCGAATGCGAGTCTTCCACAGACATCCCAGCCAGCGCATTCAGAAGATCGAAGTTTTCATCCTTTGCAGGCATAGCCTTCGTATCAGAAAGAGACTGCCCAACTCGATGCTGAGGCATGGATTCTGTGTTTTCTAGAACCGTGCTTGTGTGTTTAGTCTCGATTTCTGGAATTGTTTGTTGTTCTATTGGATCCGACATGCTCCTTGGTGGTTCTGACTTGTTCGAACGCTTCATGAAATTCTTCCATGTGGGACGCTTCAAAGTCTTCTTGTCAGGCAAGTCACCGTGTGATTTCACCTGTGTCAGGAAACTCAGAGACGTGTGGTCTTGTGCGACCTCTGGCGTGGCCTCTCTCATTCTTGACGGAGGCTTCTCTTCGACGTGTGTTGGGAATTCGTTATTAATGTGGTATGGCGGCGGAGCAAATTCTGCTTGAGATGGTTGGCGAAGAGCTGCTACTAGAGCCGTGTCTGAATGCTCTGATTGTGCTTGCAGGTCATTCTCTAGCCCATCAGAATTGCGAGCCGCTGCTAGTTGCCTGCTTCGTTGCTCTTCAACACGGATGCGAGCAGATCTGGTCAGACCATTTAGCTTCGTGCTCTGTGCTCTGCTTAAAGTTCGCCTTGTTCCGTTTACTGGTCTGGTCCTGTCAGTTTTAGATCTTGCCGAGAGATTCAGCACTTACAGATCAATCACATTGATCAGAAGCCCCAAGGCAGACATTAAACCCTGGATCTGCGACTGCAATTCTGAGATAACAACATGATTCCAGAGATATTTGGTTCTTGTCCAGAACTTGGCTGGACTCTTCCTGAAAGAGTGTATTCTCCTGTTGAGATCTTCAATAACCATGTTACCTGTATCAAGGTTACTTTTCAAGGCTTGCCAAAAATCTTCGTCCAAATCGTGTCTATTTTCCTCACTCTGCTTGACGAGCCACTTATGAATGCGCTCAATGGCTATGCGGAAGCTAGTGCATTGTGTAGCGACAGTTCTTATACCAAGAGCAGCTGTCTCGTATTGTTCAGCAATTTCGTAGAGCTCCTTAATCGTATGAATGAGTGATCTTGCAATGCCCATGGATGCATTGACCATCACTAGGACGCTCAGGGGGTCAGCCATGATCGCTTCGTCGTTGGCTTGCTCTCCTTGTCAGAGCGGATGGTGCTCCGATGGCATGTATACAGGGGAAACATGGCTCTTTGAGGGCAGCGTGATCCACGTTATTTTCGAGCCACCTAAATATTGATCTGATGGAGAAGACCTGGCTCAGCTTAAGCGATCCCCATGAGCTCGCCCGCCAGTCTCGGTCGAGCTGAATACGTAGTAAGAATCTAGACTCTTACTGAAGAAATCTGCAACTAGACTGCTAGTTTAGGCACTCAGCCTGAAGCGTGCAGGGTGGCAGAATTATCAGCTTCTTATCATTGTTAACAGCTCGCAATCTGAACTCTGATTGCGCGTCGCTTGAAGAGGAGCAAGCCCCAAATGCATGCATCTAGAAAGCAATACAGTATGAAGCCAATCTCTGGTGGCCTCACTCCAGGGTCAAAATACAGCGAGTCGTGGTCACGAACTGAGTGTCAGTTGCGGCTTCGCAAATGCGATTGTAGTAGTACGGAATACCTTATTACACATCCTCCCTCTTCAGGTCGTTCACAACCATATATCTACCGATTGAGATCCAACCATGCCGGAACCACACCATCTGACTCTTGTGTGCATTCACCATGGCGTCCCGTCCTTTTAGATATCTCGTTATATCACTCACAAACAATACGCGATCACCCTTGTTGCCTTTGCTTATGCCTTTTTTCGCCGGTTTCCTCTTTCCGGTTGCACCAGCTACCACATCGCTGACTATACCAGTAAAATATGTCGGCAGTACATCGAGGACAAAGCTGTATTTCCGGAGTATGTTGATTGACTGAAGGGTGTAAAGTGTGATAGGACAAGAATAGCCAGAATGATCGCGCATAAGGGTTGTAAGGAAGGTCTTTGCACCGTGGTAGAGGGCAATGTGGTTAGGATGAGAAGAAATTCCGTGCCTGTCGAAAGTAATGAGTGCATCGATCGTCGCCCTTGGACCGTTTTTGTCCTTGCTCTTCTGCCTCTTTTGCGTCTTCTCGCCTGCCTCTGGGAGCTGAGCGTCTGGCGCAAAGGCTTGGGCCAGCACCTTGGCGATCTCCTTGTCATCCCATCGTTCTTTCATGCCATCCTTGAACCGTGACGGCTCATCCATGACAAAGACGTCTTCTCGTTTACGCAGGCCGAGCTTGCTTGCGGCTACCTCGAGCTCTTTCTTCCTGGTTTCTCCCAGCCCATCAGCATTTCCTGACGACAGGCATAATATCTTGACGTGGTTCCCTAGTGCAGGATCGGTGAGACGGGTCAGGGTTGGAGAGAAGAACATGGACTCGTCGTCAGGATGCGCAATAAGAAGGACGATACGTTTCTGTCTAAGTTGCGCCGGCGGAGGTGGAGGTGGGATTAATGCGCTGTTGAGATGCCACATGCCCAACACGATGATGGGCGCAAGGAGCAAGTACGCTGCCCATGCTGGTAGTCCTCGGCTGTCCATGTTGACAATGAGTGCTTGCACCAGAGGAATTGGACGTATATTGTAGAGATGGTTTGCGCTTTCGTTCAGGTTGAGATCATCTCTTCAGCAAACTGTGAAGTGCTGTGCGAACCAGATCCCATACTCGGTTCCAGCGACTTGTAGAAGCTTTCCATCAATTCGGTCTGAGTGTGAATCAGGTCTTATTGTGTCAAACTTTTGACACGCCGGTAGCAAAACCCCCACCAACATTGTCGCCAAAACACAGCACCTGAGACTAAGGTTTCAGCCGCCGACGAAGTGCCTGGCCGAGCCGCTACAGGCTTCCAGCAGTGCCAAGATAAGCTTAACTATTAGGACTATAATGCCCCTGCATATGCTTTTCGTGTGACCATTCAAGAGCAACAGCTACATGTATCAACTTGGGCTCGTTCCGAAAAGCAAACATTTCGAGTCAACATTGATCATTACAGAAATGTTGATAACAAGACGAAGCAGATCAAGAGTATGTACAGTTACAGCTGCTGAAGAAGCTGTCGAACGCGATCAGCAGCCTCGGCTAAAGGAACCTCCTCCTTCACCTGTAAACGCCTGCATTGGATCTCAACCAGTTTCTTCTTAAGCCACCCCTTGCCAATAATTACCACGACCGGGTAACCAATCAGATCAGCATCTTTGAGCTTCCACCCAAAATTCACGTCCGTTCTGTCGTCAATTAGGACGTCGGCTGGCATCTCCTGATGCGTCGATAAGTCGTCGTAGATCTGGTGTCCGATAGGTAGAGTATCTGCAGAGGTTTTGTTTTCCTTGTTGACCACAACGAGCACTTCGAAAGGAGCAATGGCACGAGGCCAAATGAGTCCAGTCTTGTCTGACAGTGCAGAAGCAACTGCAGCAATGAGTCGGGAAACACCTATGCCGTGGCAACCCATTGTTACATATTCTGCCGTGCTGTTTGAACCATGCTGACCTGAAGCAGGAACAATTAAATCTAGCTTGGAGCTATATCGTTCGCCCAGATGGAAAGTATGACCTACCTCGATGGCCTTCGTGACAACCAGCGCTCCACTTCGACCAGCGGAAGCGCATGCTGGACAGGGGTCACCAGTGTGCCTTTTCAGCAGATGACTTTGAAGTGTGGTCGAATCATCAATTTTGACCATAGTCGCCTTAAGATTATGCTTCTGCAACCACTCTGAGTCTGCTTGTACGGTTGCGCGTGCTGCCTCCTGAGACACTACTTGATCAAAGAGGTAGTAGACCACCAGACCGTTCTTCTCGCCCAGACGAGATTTGAAGAGAGTTGTTGCATCTTCGACTCCTGTGTCAATTTCTGTATATGAGCCCATTGCTTCCTTGATTGCAAATGGATTTAGTGACTGAGCTTGTGTAGACTCTTCGCTCTGTGCATATGCTTTCACAAGCGATGTTCTACCCTTGCTGATGAAGCATTCCGAGTGCATCTGTTGCAGGTCACCGATAGACGATGAACACGCAGGACTGGATGATACGTTAATAGCTTCGGTAGTCGTCGTAAAAGTAGGCACAAATTCTTCATTCTTAGCGTAATCGCATTCAGAGCAAGTGATGATATCGTCTTCACCCAGGTTGCTGGGAAAATGAAATTCATGACTCAGATTACCTCCCATGTTACCAGAATCTGCTCGGGCTTCGACATATGGTAACTTGAGCTCGTCAAACAAATTGCTGTACGCCTGTCGCACTTGCACGTAGGTAGCGTGCGCCTCGGTTTCAGTCTTGTCGAAGGTGTAGAGGTCCTTCATTATGAACTCGCGCCCTCGAAGCAAACCTCCTCGTGGTCGCTTCTCGTCCCTGTATTTGCGCGTGATCTGATACAACCGAATAGGGAGATGGCTTGGCGCGTGTATCACATCTCTGACCAGAGAGGTAATCTCTTCCTCGTGGGTAGGTGCCAGCAACCACTGGCCATCTTTACGATCTCTGAACTTGAAGAATTCGGAACCTGTATGGAGGCGACCAGTTCGTTCCCACAATTTCTGCGAAGTAATAGAAGAAAGTGAAACCTTTGATGCTTGCAACGATTGCATGTGCTTGTCAACCAAAGCTTCGATCTTGGACTGAACCCTCAGACCCAAAGGTAGCATATGGAAGATGCCAGAGTAGGCTTGGCGTATATAACCAGCTCTAATTAGTAGCTGACCAGCATCGACTGAGCCATCGATATTGTCAGTCAGACTAGCTTGTGGTATCCAAAAAGCACTTCTCAGCTGACGTGACGCTATCTGAAGGCTTGTCGATGCATATCTTCGTGTGGCACTGAAGCTGTAGACATCCTGCTTCAGAGATAGTAGGACCTTCGAGGAGGTAGGCTTCCCTAAGCTAAATCGCATCGATGTGTCAGAAATATTAGCATTGCGCACTTCGGAGCGTGCTGGACCAAAGGTTTCTAACGGAGACTCTGAATGAAGTATTCAACGTGAAGCATAAAGTGCAGGTGATGAGTACTGAAGCACACACCCTCGAATCCCCGGAGCTCACGCGTCTGTCAAGCGCCGATCATCCCTGACAAACGCGTGCCAGTGCCTATCTAAAATCCATGTTATCTCCGAGGTCCTAAATTTTTGGAACATGATCAGGAACTCGTATTTGTTTTAAGCCTCAGCACGCAGCAATACTGACAGCGGCAAAATTGCCCAAGAAGCGGCAGTGGCTTAGCTGAGTTGTACAGAAGTGTCTCAGCTAGTCGCGGATAGCAAATCTGAGCGAAAATGGCTGAAGACTCGAAATTCGAGAACTTGCGCCAGAAAATCGAAGGTAATCTGAAGAAGTCTGAGAGCAGGACCAAGGTAAAGTCTAAGAAGTCGGAGTCAGCAGAAGACACGAAAAAGAATTTAGCAACAGACAACGTTCGCGGGAAGAAGAGGGGTCGTGACGGCGAGGTTAAAAACGAGAAACCTCCAGGCCAGCCCATTTCAAAGACGAGCAAGAAAGCTCAAGACGCTACCGGACCCGTCAAGGGCAAAGACGAAGTGGACTTGAAAGCCATTGTCGCTGAGCTTGGTGGTACACAGGAAGATTTGGATCTCATCGATGGTATTCAGTCAGACTCTGAGCTCGAAGGCCTCGAATCGCAACCAAAAAGTACAGCACAACCAGACTCGAAGAAGGGCAAGACGTTAGAATCTGGAATGGCAAATATACTGAAAGAGATTGCGCTCGTGCGGGATACATACGCGGACAGTGAGAATGAGGCTGACAGTGAAGAGGATACTGCTTCCAAGGTCAATGGTGACAAGACCTCTGCTCGTTCACAGGCTGACCATAAAGAAGATGACAGCATCAAGTTCAAAAGTGCCGCCACAGAAATCCAGCAGCAAAAGGGCAAGAAAATAAAACTTCACTGCACACCACGGCCAGACTGGTTCATGATCGAAATACCTGAGATCGACGAGTCGCAGAAACCAAAATTCGATGTGTCGACCCAATCGATTGACCGGCTGCGATCCCATGCACGTTCTCTTTTGCAGGTAGAGAATGAGGCCTTCAAGGGCAGTCATGCATCGTCGTCTTCTCAGTCCTTTTACAATACTGTCATTTCATCTGGCACTTTGTCAGACAAAATTTCAGCTCTGACTCTGGCAGTGCAGGAGTCACCCCTACACAACATGAGAGCGTTCGAGACTCTGCTCAATCTAGCAAGGAAGAGGAGCCGCTCCCAAGCCGTCGACGTGCTCAGAGCTCTGAAGGACTTGTTCGCACAGGGCTCTATGCTACCAAGCGATCGACGGCTCTACACCTTCTCCACTCAGCCCGGCCTGATCGCGATTTTGGGGCAGATGAAATCCTGGCAGTCGGGTGAGCCGTTGCCTAACGGACTCAAGGAGGCTCATCTAATTGTCTGGGCTTTCGAAGACTGGCTCAAAGAGCAGTATTTTGAGGTACTGAAAGTCCTAGAGACCTGGTGTAATGACGAGATCGAGTTTGCAAAGACAAGAGCCACAAGTTATGTCTACGAGCTCTTGAAGGAGAAACCTGAGCAGGAATCTAATCTGTTGAGGCTGCTGCTAAACAAGCTTGGAGACCCTGTCAAAAAGATAGCTTCACAAGCTTCATATCTCATCATGCAGCTACTGGCAGCTCATCCAGCGATGAAGGATGTGGTCATCTCTGCCATCGACACTGACTTTATCTTCAAACCAAACCAGTCCACTCATGCACGCTACTACGCAGCTGTGACCTTGAACCAGACTGCTCTTAGTGTGAACGAGGAGAGAATCGCCATCAAACTCTTGGACATATATTTTGGTCTCTTCAAATTACTTCTAAAACCTGGCGAAGAACAAAAGAAGCCTGTCAAAGTTTCAAGCACTCACAAAAGACAGCGAGAGCAAGCGGAGGCTTTGGCTGATGGTGAGCAGGAGAACGATTTACGTGAAAAGCTAATATCTGCTGTCTTGACTGGAGTCAATCGAGCTTACCCATATGCTGGAGCAGATCACAAACGTTTCAACGAACAAGTCGAGACTCTGTTCCAAATTACTCACTCGGCCAACTTCAATACCAGTATTCAGGCGATGCTGCTCATCCAACAACTCACTGCCGCCACATCTGCTTCAACAGATCGTTTTTACAGAGTGCTTTACGAGTCGCTCCTTGATCCACGTCTACTAGCGTCCTCGAAGCAGCAGCTCTACCTCAATCTTCTCCATCGCTCACTCAAAGCAGATCTAAATCAGAAACGCGTCAAAGCTTTCGCTAAGCGAATCTTACAAATCTTGTCTCTGCAAGATCCCTCTTTCGTATGTGCTGCATTCTTCCTGTTGAAAGATCTGGAGAAGACATTCCCTTCCTTGACGGCAATGCTCGATCAGCCCGAAGAACACGAAGATGACGAAGAGGTCTTTCGAGACGCTGATGCCGAACCACCACCACAAGCTTCAAGTACCACTACCACGAACGACACTATCATTTACGACGCAGTGAAACGTGACCCTGCCTACGCAAATGCAGACAGATCCTGCCTCTGGGACGTCATACCCTACCTCGCTCACTACCACCCCTCCATTACCGTCAGCGCCGACCACATCCTCGACCGCAAACCCCTTCCAGGCAAACCAGACCTCTCAATCCACACCCTAGTCCACTTCCTCGACCGCTTCGTCTACAAAAACGCCAAGTTATCCGACACACCCAAACTCCGCGGTTCAAGCATCATGCAACCCATGGCGCACGAAGACTCAAAGGCCGTACTCGTTGGCGCCACAAGCGCAAGAAGCCGCAACTTGTTACCTGTCAACTCAGCAGAATTCCTCGCCAAGAAGGAAGAAGACATCCCCGCCGAAGACGTCTTCTTCCACCAGTATTTCAAGACTCTCGGTAAATCCGCTAACAAACAGGTCAAGAAAGCGGCGAAGAAGAGGGCCGAGCTCGAGGAGGACGGCACTGTTGCAAGCGATGACAACGAAGACGAAGTATGGCAAGCCATGCTCAATAATGCTCCTGATCTGGAGGGTCTGGGCGCAGATGAAGACGATGAGTTCTCGGACATGGATGGCTTTGAGGACGAGATGATGGACGATGACGAAGATGACGAAGAAGAAGCAGACATTGATACCGCCATGCAACTCCAAGACAACGACTCCAACGAAGAAGGAAGCGTAGACATCGAAGCCGGCATCTTCGACGATTCCGACGACGACGAACAACTCATAGATACTGGCGCAGCTAAAGCACTAGACGAAGACGAGGACGATGACTCTGACTTTGGCGGCCTTAGTTCTGAGAATGAGGCCAAGGCCACCAAGAAGCCGAGCAAGAAGACATTGCAGAAGAGAGAAGGCCGCGAAAGGAAGAAGAAACTCAAGGCATTGCCTACGTTTGCATCGGCTGCGGACTGGGCGAAGGAGCTTGATGATGATGAGGATGAGGATTTGGGCTAGGGAGGGAGAGAGAACTCAATGCGGTCAAGTGATCAGTTGATAGAAGAATCAAAGCGATACATTCACTCTGCGTCGTGACTTGTTGTTGATGTCGTCGCAGTCCGATACGGTACGATTCAATACAGGTGTCATCGTACTAACGTACGCTCCAACAAGGGATTAATTATCTCAATCACCTAATCATAGCTATACCCGCACCCCTGCCTGTCACGCCATCGTCCCTTTCTCATCTCCAGCAGCTCCATCAGGAACAGGCGCAGACGCGGGCAGGGGCATCGACGACGCCTTCGGTTCAGGAAATATCTCCTCCATCAACCCTGGCAAAAGGACCTCGACCCGGTGCTTCGTCTCCCTCCACAGTTGAGCCTGCATCTCGTCCTCATCATCATGCACTTTCAAATTCGAATCACCAGCTCGCACAAGCAGCCCCGCATCGCCGAGGACAAGTAGGACGTTCTTCACGCCTTCGGCGACAGCTTCTTCGAGTGCTTCGCCTTCCTTGGTGCCGACACTGGCGTTCATGAGGCGGTCTAGGAGTTCTAGCGTTCCTGCCCATGCTCTGACGAGTACGAATTCCTGCTTTGTTCTTGACTGTTGGGCCGAGGGTTTCTCGTCTGTTGTGTCTGGTCCATCTTGTGTAGAAGGAGCTGACTCAATGGTCCGGCTTGGTATTTTCGCTAGTTGGTCGAAGTATTTCAAGAAGGCTTTGCAGAGGACTGTGACCATTACTACTCGTGTTTCGCCCATGCCGACTGGGTCGGCCTTGTGAACTTCGGGTTTGAGCAGACGAGCAACAAGTGGAAAGAGGACTTCGCTGAAGATTGCTGTCCATTCGTTGTTGACTTGCTGTGTAGTGCTTTTTGACTTGTCATCATCTTCGACCTCATCGCTTTCAACCTGTTCCGAGGTGTTTAGATCTTCGGGCTGCACTAGGTCGTCGGAGAGCAATATTCGTAGCAGTACGGAAACACCACGGTTTCTGACTTCACGACAGGCACTCATAGCGATTCCGTCAACACCCGCGAGTCCTCTGAATATGGCGCCCCAATACTCTTTCCACGCTTCACCACGTTCCAAAGCGCTCTGCTTAATCAATTGCGGTGCCAGGCCACCCAGTGCATACAAGACAGTAATGGCCTTCAGCGCACGTTGAACAATCGCTGCATCTTCGGGTCTAGGTGGTCTGGGCTTCTGGCCACGTCTATGAGCCAGATCGCGACGTTGTTCGATGATTGAGCCAGGCATAGAGGCGGCTGTGGCAAAGGAGGTAGCAAGTGTAAGAGCAGGAGTATACGAGTCAGGTGTAATGCCTCTGAATGTTGGCGAGCTTGACTGAGTAGGCGATGAATCTTCCGTAAGCTTCTCCAGTATAGCGAGAACATTATCTGCTTCTGTCTTGTGCTGATGAAGTCGTTGGAGGATAGACCAGAAGTCAGGAGATGCGATGGCGTCGGCACGCAAAGGACCTGGCTGTCCAACACACAGTGTTAACCCTTTCACCACAGCTGTGGCTGTCTGATCAAGTAGCATATCATTAAAACTGGAGATGGCATGAAGCACTACAGGGGCTCTCATGAAGTCGTGCTCGAAGCTATGCCGCAGAAGTTCAAGCAGGTATTGTACAATCCGTGATGCAGCTAGTGGATGGATATTGGACGCATTACGTACAGCAGATTGCAAAGCATTAGTTAGTGCTTCGCCAGCAGTCGCGATGGTATCATTATCTCGTAGGACAAGCCGTGTTGCCAATTCCAGGAGAAACACAGCTCCGGCGTCGTAATCCGGTCCATGCTTGGCAGTCCTAGTACCATTGACTCGTGCCGTGACAGGAGCTGGTCGAACATCAGGCTTGACAACAACCACAGGTGAAGGGGCATCAGGCATCTCGGAAAGCAGGGCATTAACCAGCTTTTCGAGTTGCTCACTTGGTAGAGTAAGCAGATTGGTCAATAAGTCCTCGACTCTGCAAGCTGCAACACAGTCAACACTACTGAGTGTGTTCTCCAGCTCTTCTTCTGATGGTTCAGGCGGTTCATCTGCTGCATAGCTAGACAAATATGATGTGAAGGTCGAGAAAATTCCAGTTTCGGCAAGCTTGCCATCTTTATCGATCACTTTAGCCGGAGGCTGTAATGGTATAGGACCTAAATCGGAAAGCTTGTTGTCGGACTGTACAGGCATTGTAATGAGCGCATTCACGAAGAGATTCCGCAAAATGCGTACGACGTACACCCATGTCTCGCCAACCGCAATCTCGAAGCCCTGCAACGATCGAAGCAGCACTATGGTCGACAATTGCGCCCGATAATCGCGACCCAGCCGTACAGCCAATTCACTGACCATTACCTTCTTTTTGCCAACTTGGACTTCTGTATTTAGTGATGTGCTCAGCGGTATCTCGGTGGCAAGGCCGCTGATCTGGCTCAGACTGTAGATGATCCTATCAAATGCTTCTGTTGCGCCGTACTTCGCAGCAAGCTGAGCACATTGGTCAAAACCTGAGACGACTCGCGAGTACACAGCATCGTCAGTTGCAGACATGAAAACGTAACACAACGTAGCGACAATAGGTTTCCATGTTGCGCTGAACATCTCGGCGTCGAAAGCGTTAGTGTTGCACAACTCAAGCTGTCCAGCGTTCTGGGTATTGAGCAGCATTGTCTTCCAAGCATGATCGAAGGCGTTTTTGTTATCGTGCTCCTCAGGAAGGATAATTTCGTTCTGGTTAATGGCGTCATAAATGTCTTGCAGATAGTCCTGGTCGAAATCTTTGCCTGCATTCACGCCACGAAGGTTTCGTGCAAAATCCTCCACCGTCATTCTTTTTTGCGATTTCTTCACATTAGGATTATACAGATCAGTATTGAGCATTATTATGGCGTAAGTCAGGACAAATCCAGCATCCTGATCGGCAATGCTGTCTGAAATAGAGCTGTTCAGGAACTTCTCGACAAAGACGTTCACTATACGTTCTATAAGTGCCGATTCACCAGGTAGTCGGAAGGAAGTGAGAAGCTCTCGTAGTGCTTCGTCTATACGTTTTCCATCAAAGTCAAACAAACCAATAAACGCTTTCAGCAGTTCCTCGTTCGTCTTTTTGGTTATGAAATCTCCAAGAACTTTTTTGGATAGATGTGTCGTGCTTTTGAGAAATTTTGCTAGTTGTACAGGGTCATCGGGATTGTCTATGATTCCATTACTGACCAGGAATGCAACGCCACCTTTTGGGTTGTCGTTGAACTTGGTCGAGCCACTCTTAATGATCTTCTTACGTCGCCTTTGTCTTCGTAATTGAGCTATCCTCTCTGCTGCATCTTCGGGTTGTGCTTGGCTTATTCCATCTGTTAGGAACTGGATGAATGTGAGCAGAGAATCTAAGCACAAGGGTGGAACGTTGGTTGTGCTCCAAGTTGCGGCATCAGGAAAGGCGTTTCGAGCAAGTAAGCCAACCATGTCTTCGCACAGATCCTGCCTGTCGACGTCACAGTCGTAATTAACAAACAACTCTGCCATGAAAACTGGCATCCTTATTAGAGTACCAATGGCTTCAACCATAGCCTCCCGAGCTTCTGGTCGGCGTTGCCCACCTTCGAGACCTAATTGTCGGCGGTCTTTCACAGGCACTGGGGTGGCGCGGCCACTACTCGGCTGCGAGGGTGCCGGTTTGACTAATTTTGGTGCTTGTGGCACGCCTTCATACAGTGCAGAGTCGATGCCCGGCTCCAAAGGTATTTCGACTTTGATGTGCAGGCACGCTATGAGGTAAGATAGATAGAGCTCTTGCTGGAGCTTGAGCAATTTACGACACGTCGTCAAGAGCGTGCCGGCCACTCTCAAAGAGCTGTTCAGAAGTACCATATCCTCAGAGCGAACAAGTTGGAAAAGGTGGCGACAAAGATCGTCCTCAACAAGAACGGCCAGGGTCGGCTGTGCGGCAATGAAGGGACCAGCAACCTCCAGGGCAACATCAAGAATGCGTAGAGCCATTATTCGCATGGCATTGGTATGCTGCCTATTGTGAGGATCGAGCAAGTCTATCAGAACTCTGAACAATTCCCGAATGCTAGGTAGAGCGTAGGGTGTAGACTCGTCGTCCTCTTCAATTTGAGCTTGACGAGGAGCATCCTTCTCAGCTGATGCTTGGCCCTCACCACCGGAAATCTCCTGGTTTGATTCGTAGCTTGCACGGTTGTCAGTGCTTGGTCGCGGCTCCCGGCCATTGCCCATAACACTTCCCATCAAAGGCGGCTGAATTTTCATCTCGTCCACCGGTGGTACCATTGATCTTGTCGTATTCGAGCGACTTCGACCAGAAGGCTGTACGGGCGGGTCCTCGATCTTCAGCTCAGCAAGCCGCCCAAAGACAATCTGGCACATGGTTACCATTGCCATTTCTGCACTTCTCCTCAAGACTTCGGATAATCGAGTCTGACAACACATGCTTAGGCCGGTGCTCATCATCTCACAGACACTCTCGTCACCAAGAAGTAATCCCTCTGGTCGTGATATGGCCAGCTCCATCAGACGCAGTATTCTTAGCAGCACAACCTCATCAGCTGCTGTATCACTAGCTTCGAAACGGCAGTGTGTGATGGCAGCACTCAGCAAATGCATAGCAGGGGCTATTCGCGGACTGTGAATGGTGATCAGATTGTAGTTGAGAAACTTGGTAATGGACATTACAGCCAGACTAGTGATTGTGGCACTGGTAGAGGAGCTGCGAATGACCTGAAGAAAAGGATGCAGCAGAGCGGGAGCGTCGAACTTGGAGACATCGCGACAATTAGCTAGATCCCGTCTGAGCTTTGCAAAAGCTGAGAGCAGCGGATTGTCCTGAACAGGTTTCACTTTCTTCGTCCTGAGACCCCATCTGCTGGCAAGCGTTGACTCGTCATCTGAGACAGTTGGGCCTATGGTGCTCTTTCCGCCGACCGGGTCAATCCTAGGCGTACTTCCTCTCGAGCTATTGGGACGTGGTACGGTCTGTTCGGGGACCTGTAGAGAAGTGGGTTGGACACTGCCTCCCAGAATTGCAGAGACTGAGCTCTGAGCCCAACGGGCGTGCTTGCGCATGGCTGAAGTGAGCGTGATGCATTCTTGCGTAACGAGCGCGACAGGCTCTATCCGTATGCCGATCTCATAACGAGGACTCGAATGGTCGAGGGGTGCAGGAGGAACATCCTCGTCAGAGAAATGTGGTACAGGTGGAAACTGGGAAGCAGATGTGCGTTCTTCGTCTCGAAAGTCGTAGACAGGACTTTGTGTGCGTTGTTCTCGCATGGCAACGTCGAGGAAGGCCATGTTTTCTTTGAATAAAGGAACCGGGGCACGCGCAGGTCTGAGGGTGCATGGGTAAAAAGGGTTCAAGATTTCGATTGTTGATGCATTTTGTTGGTTGACACCTTGTGCATACGTGTCCAACGATGTGTCCAAAGTCTGAGAATATGGTAACCTTCTCGTGGTCGTGTATGTAGAAAAGCACAGGTGTTACGGCTTCCTCAATATGATACGCCCCGAGACGTGCTGACTGCCGTTGGAAAGCATTCTCCGCATCAGCGACTCATGCAATGACGCGCAGAAGGAAAGTGCGGCGAGGGAATCGTAAAAACATGATTTAATACCAGTTACCCTATGGCCAGGTGCGGGAGTTGGGGTTAGCGCCTCAGTGGTTGGCCGCCTAGTTTTCTGCCTTGACGCACTCAATACGATCGATTTCAACCCCCAGCAATACGATTAGGCACCACCACAGAAAGACCTGCTCCTGAGAAATCTTACCATAGGAGCGTTTCGCTATCGTAGTCTATTATTTTCTGTTGCATTTATACACTTGCTATCTAGCTATACAATGAAGCGAAGTCTACAGTGTACGTCAACGCACAACTCATGGGGTATCAAAACAACTCAGACGCCTATTCATTCGACGCCACAAAAAAATCGCAGTTTGCTGGCTTGCCTCCGACACGCCTCTTCCCACGTCTATCCTTGCTCCTATGCGCCGTTCTCGAGCATCAATTGCTCGCCCTCCTCGAGCATATCAGTAATCTTCGCTAGACTTTTCACCACTTGTTCACCGTGTCCAACCAGTAGTAGCTTCTCTGCATCAACAGGTAAGCCCAAATAAGAAGGCGGTTCTCGTTCTGGCAAGCCATTGACCCACCCAACAAAGTCTTTCATGCTAGTGCCTGGTGGTACTTTCAGTCCTTGTCCGTCAGGCTCTGATACCAGTTCGTGGTCTTCCTCGTATGCAGCTGCATCAAACACCTGGTTTACGAGTCCATTCAACAATTTGAAGTCACCTTCGTCGTCAATCTTTCCTCCATACATCTCTGTGATCATGGTCCGAATGAGATCCCATGGAAGCTTGGTGGGTGCCACATTCGATCGCCCTTGAGCAATATGTTCGATCCATGAATCGATGATGAATGCGCAGCACTCGTAGTCGCTGTCGTTGAACTCCCAGAGTCCTTTCCATCCGAGTGTTGGTGCATATCGTAGTCGTTCTTGCAGCACGGCATGCAAAAAACACAACAACAAATACAATCGTCCCTTCTCTGTTGGCGCCTTGTTGCCACGATCAGCGAGCACACTGAGTGTATCCTTCATATTGGCTCGAATGCCCGCAGGCTGCTCGAATACCAATGTTCGTGCTGCCCGAATGAGATTGACTGGTATCTTTGACGTGGCTTCCATCGACAGGAATAATCGAAACTCTTCGTGAGGCCTTAGCGATGACAATCTCTTTTCAAGACTTTGCAGCCAATGTGGAGCAAGGTGAACGTTCTTGACAAGAACCCACGTACCATTAGCAGTGGCGCTTGCAATAGCTTTGTCCGCCGACGCCACGCCCTCCTCGGATCCCATGGCTACATTAGCACATCCAGCATTGCTTCGTTCCACCAATGTATCAACCTTGTAACTTGCGTCAAATCCTGGGTTCGACATCAATGCGATGGGGGTTCCAGATGCGACTTGCTCCACAATCGTGCCTAGATTGTCCGTGCCCTGGAATATCTCGGCTCCAAACACAGCAGCAACGACTTGTTCTGCTGCTGGTAAGAACCGATCAGGTCGAGCCACTTTTATCAACAACAGCCTCGACAGATATTGGTCAATACTGTCGAGATCACTATTCCACAGCTTCGGTACGTAGTTTTCTGCTCGCTCGTTGGTCATAAATTGCTTCCAGACCTCATCCTCGCCACCAACAGTCACCTCTTTGAACGGAGGCAGGCTTCGTATCGCACTCAAAGCCTTATCGGCATCACTAATTCCTGGTGCAGACAGGATAAGATCGAGAAGCGATTCGTCGAATTTATAGGGCGATGCTCGCACAAGAAGCAACGCTAGTGTGATCTTGTCCTTCTGGTACATCGAAATAGCGGTCCTTTGGAAAGTCTCGACGAATATGTCCTTGAGAATAATCTCGCTTCGCTTGTTGTAGTCTGTAACACCTTTGAGATTGGCATTCTCGTGCAAAACAAAGTGGAAAATGTCGACAAAGTACTGCAGCGAAAAGCGATAAGCATGATTGATGTGGTAGAGCAACTCCAATATCGCAAATATTGAGCTACAGGCACCTGCGATGCGACTGTACTCCTGCGTGATTCGTTCGACTTCAGTCATAACTCCTTGAGTTTCGGCAACCTTCTTCGAAATAACGGCTGCCTCTTTCTTTAGTGTCTCCAGGGTATGAATAACGTTGTCATCGTCCAAGATGTTGCCTCTCGATTCGTTCAGAGCTTGCAGGAGGCGCTTCTCGAGTTGTCGAAGATTCGTATTGAATTCACCTTGCATCTTGATAAGATTGGTTCGTCGTTTGTCTACGTCGGGACGTTCGGCCTTGAGAACTTCATTCAAAGATTGCGTCTGTAAACTGCTCTTGGTGACAGTAAAATTGATGAAGGTTGTCCGACTGCAAATGTCTGGTGCAAAGTTCGCAGATGGATCACGAGTCGACAAGTACAATTTGAAGCTGGGCGAGAAGTCGATTTCCTGCTTGCCAAGTTGAATCAATACACGACCACCAGTTCTTTGGTACTCCTTGTTCAATACATGTGTCAAGATAGGGTCGAGATATTCAGCATCTTGAATGAGGATTGGGTTGCCGAAACGTAGAGCACTTTCTAACTGTTTGATAAAGGCATCGTCGAGGAAGCTGGTAACGGTCAATTTGCGACCTTCATGCTCTTGTCTCAAGAAATCGATTACCCGGTTGGAAGGGTCAATGATGAGTGGATATCGATTGAAACGCTTGAGCATAAGCGCATTCTCCATGCACAAGTCGTCCGCAGGTAATGAATGACGTTGCCACTGGAGACGTTCGTCTGCTGTAGATAAGTAGCCTGATACAGAAGCGTCGGATTTGCAAGCAATGTTCGATCGTTCGAGCTGATGCAGCCAGTCATCAATCATGTTCTTCCGGAATTGCTGGTCGTAGAGTCCACCATATGCCAAAAATGCTGAAGCAACAAGCACATCACCGACCAGTGTGGAGATCTGTGTTTCGAAGGACTTGCTGGCAGCATCCCAACGAACTCTTTCAGAGGACAAGCTGTCCAAAAGCTTGACACTACGGTCGACTTTGCCCTGAACCTGGCTCATTTCAGCCTTGATAGCCTGTACTTCACTGATGAGAGCAGCATATTCGGTCTTGTAAGTAGCTATGTTTTCCTCTAATCTCTGAATGAGGTTTTCCGTTGCCTTAGCTTGAGCTTTGGTCTCGTTTGCAGTTTCTTCAAGTTGATGCACCTCAGCTCGAAGAGGACCCACACGATCCAGTATCTCGGAGTAGTTGACTTGAGCCGTGACCCATTGTACAAGGGGACCGCAGGCTTTGCTGGCCCTGTTGACCCTCTCGAAAGTAAAGTCATCGTTGTTCAAGTACTCATTTCTCATTTTATGTCGGAGGGGCGCCGTCATCTGATCTTGATTGTTGTAGTTGACAATGCTTGCAATGAAGTCGTCTCTTCGTACGATCGCCTGCACATCTTTCCAGTTATTCACCTTGTGACCAAGAAGTACACAGACCGAGTCTAGCGCAAGTTTGACACCAGCAGGTGGGTTAGCCATTGATCGTACTTCAGTGAGATGTTGGCGCTTGATATTGCTGACACTGCGTTTGGCCTCATCTACTGCAGGTTCTGCTAGAGCTAAATCAGCTTCCACGATCTCTTTACGCTCTGCAATCTCCTGATCTTGCAGTGCGAGCGCTTTCTTGACCTCTAGTGAGGCAGTCTTTTTCGTCTCTGCCTCTTGCTGGTTAGCAACCATGCGCTGCAACTTGTCATTGGCCTCAATATTCTTGGCTTCTAGTATCTTTTGCTTCTCTGCCAAACTAGCTCGGAGGTCGCGAACTTTGTCCACAGTGTCTCTGAGCTTTTCTAGACCGACATTCAGATGTCTTTGCTGATCTTCGAGATCTTCTCGTTTCTCATGATATAGGCGGACAAACTGTGCAACGAAATCGAGGTAATGGCGGGGTGTGAGATATGTTTTGACACCCTGCTGCTTCTCGAGCAGTAAATTGATCTTGTGCACCGAGTTATGTACAAACACCATGGAGTTGATGATCGTGTCACGATGATTTGCAGGCAACGAGAGTCCTGTATAGGCAATGGGTATAGTGTCAGGGGCGGTAAAGTTGGGCTTATCAAGATCGATAGATTGAGTCAACTCATACCCGACTTGGAATAGAGCTTGATCGGACCAGTCACCCATCCAGTTTAACACGCATCGATTGAAAAGAGCAGGACTTGTCGCGGCTTTCGAGGACAATCCTTCTTGAGGTGGATTCATGGTGAAAACGACGTGTAGATTGCGTACAATCTGTTGCGTGAACCATTTGTAAAGCTCTTCTTGAGAGTCGAGCAGCAGTCCTTGTCGTTGTGCTCCATCTTTACAGGCTGTCATAAGTGCGGAGTACTCGTCGCCCTCGAAGAGGCCAGGTACCTCGCCATTGGCGAGTAGAGTGTTCATTCGTTCAAGGAAACCAGAGTCAAGGACGTTCGACTCGTCCATAATGAAGCATATCTTTTCGCTTCGTGTACCACATGCTCGTAAGACATGTCGCAGATCGTCATCGAAATCTTCTGCAGAGTACTTCCCATGAACCTTTATCTGGAAGACTTTGAGACCATTCATCCAGGCAACAAAACGTGACAGGGTAGTCTTGCCACTACCACTGGTGCCAATCAATATAAGATGACCTTGCGGTTGTCTGAAAACTCGATCAATACGTAAAGCGTGTTCGAGCACATCATTGGAGAGAACAAGTGGAACATCTACCTCCTCTTCGCAGAAGATTCGAAGACGTGCCTTGACAAAATCCCGCAGCTGTTCTTGGTCGACCGATACATAGTTCTTTGATAACCAGTTGGAAAACAAGATTGGCCCTTGAAGTGCACTGTCTATGTCGGCTGTTGGAAAGTTCTCAAGCGCAATCTTTCTCACCATATCACTTGTCCATTGACGTTCTGCAGGCTCGACCAGCCGATCGGCAAACAGTCTTAATGCTTCGTGTGCCCAGATACGAACAAGACCATCCAAGCTTAACTGCTCCAATGGTGCAATGGATTCGTACACACCACGCACCCATCTTGTGAGCTCGCGAGGTGAGTAGACGTAATGTGGCTGGATATCAGCAGTAAAGCGTGCCTGCGACTCGAGGTAGAAGTCTACCATCGCTTTTGTGAGTGCGTCGGCATAGCCGCGCAGGGATGGAATCACCTTCATCACAGCATTGTTGAAAGTGCCGTAGATCTGATTCAAAGAGAGCTCACCAGGATAGTCGACCATTACCACAGGAGCATGACGCAAGAATCTGGCTCCTAGTACATGTCGCCCAGCGTCTTCGGGTGGATTGCAGGCACCAACGAATTGTATTCGTTCCAAAGATACCCATGCCTTGTCTGACGTGCGCCAAAAGCCATTTTGTTCAATCAACTGTCTTAAGAAGCTGATAGCACGCTGTGTACCATATTTGTCTGGTGCTGGCAGATTGATCTCATCACAGAAGATGACGAGCCATCGACCGATTTGGGTTGGGGATAGTACAAGCCCATTGAGCGTCTTTTTGTATTCGCAATATTGCTCGAATGTCTTGATAATCAATTCCGGCATGGTAGCACTCGAGAAGTTGAGTCCAACAACCTCCATGTCTGGCAGCTTACGAAGAGCACTAAACAAGGTCATCGTTTTACCAGAACCTGGAGGGCCACACAGCATCAAAGGCTTGTGCTCAGCCAACCACGAATAAAGCACTTCTTCATGCCGTACTGTGTCAATGGTAGGAATGATGACATCGGTCTGTGTTATCGAGTGCGTGTTGACATCAATCGTGGGTACCTGCGACTGCCACGATACCCATTGTGCTTGCGGTAGAGCGACATCGTAGTCGATCAGCGAGTTACCATCGTTGAATGTGGGTAGCATGACATTGGTCATGTTGCTGATGAAGTCACCAAATTGTTTTCGGATAGGAAGCGCTGCATCACCCACGAATGACCATACAATAGCTATAAGCAGTTTCTTTGAGACAAAACTTTCGATTTGATCGTCGTCCAGCGGAAAATCCGAATGATGCATGTTGTACTGAAGGATGGTGCGAAGTGTCTTCCTCAAGAGACCAAAGAGACTGTCCAAAACACGGGCGGCTGTGAACTCCATGATGTGCTTGTACCCCTGAGCTTCTGAAAGTGCTTTGAGCAGGAAGTCATCCCGAGTAATGTTATTGCGGAGAACCTCCACTACCGAGCTTTGCGCGCTTTGTGCTCTCGAAGCGGAATCAGAGCCTAAACCGAGTTCATCGTCAAGGTCATCGAATCCACGACTTGCAAAGTTAGCTAAGTAGTGGTCTATCATCAACTCAGCTGTAACAGTGTCGTCACTGAACCAAACCATACCACAACGTGATACTGTGGCAAGCGTAGCATACTTCAGGCTTTCAACTTCGAACATGATTCGCACATTTGGGGGTAGATTGAGACGCTCACCATTAGGCAGGGTCAGTAGCTTGTTATCGTCCAGTACACTGTTGAGGTTTTCTACCCATTCAGGATCAACATCACCATCGAAGACAATCCAGTGTCGTTTGGTATCTTCACCACGTAAGTTATCCACAATCTTGCGCAAAGTAGCTGTGAAGAGACCATCTGTCCACTCACGCGTTGTGCTATCAAGATTGCCGTAAAGTGCTTCTTTAGACATGACCTTTGGATCAATGACGTGGTAGACGCCTTCAACGTTTTCCACCTCTTGCAAGGCCTGTAACAGGACTTTCCAAATCTCCGACTTTCCAGAAGCTGACTGACCAACCATCATCACACCATGGTGAATCTTCTGAATTTGGTAAAGCTGCAAAATCTTAGTCATCCATGCTTCGGATACAGTCAGGTGGCGCTCCTTCATGACTTTCTGTATGGCAGCTGTCAGCTCAGCCATGTCGGCAGGAATGTAGTCCACTCCAGGGAAGTCTTCTTCCTGGACTTGCACCAGACGAGCGACATCGTCTTTAATGAGTTTAGGTGAGACTGTCTCTCGAATGCTTTGAACCAGGATCTGGGGCTCTAGCATCGAATCTCCGCCACGCGAATCCTCTCCGCTTTGGAGTCTTGTGCGCTTCAAACTACCAGAGCTGATAAGTACACTCTTTAACGCTCGCAGGCCGAAGTCGTAATGAGGCTGCTTCGATAACTTCTGAGACGAGTGGTCGAAGAACGGGACGACCTGCTTTGAAATATCTTTAGCCTGCTTGAAGCCTTGCGAGAATAACATGACCTCAGCGATGAGCTCCTTATCAGGCTTGGACATCGCCACACTACGAAATAGCTTCTTCAGGTTGTCAGGCAGGTTTGAACGACCAGCATAACCAGGATTCATGGTTATAAAGATGCCAGTATTCTGGTTGACTTTGAATTGCCGACCAACGAGCTCGACTTGTGCCTTCTGCTCGTTCGTGCTGTTGCGAAGGCCAATCTGAATATTTTGAATCTGCTGTGAAACCGCTGACAATATGCGCTCCTCTAGACGATTGAACTCATCAAAACATCCCCAGGCACCAACCTGACATATACCGAGAAATATCCTACCCATAGCTTGGAAGTCGAAAGTGTCGTCACAACAGAAGACCAAGGTAAAACGTCCCAGCTGCAAACCAAGTGCTTTGACAGACTCTGTTTTTCCTGTACCGGCAGGTCCATAGGGTGATCCACCCAGTTTCTGACAAAGAGCTTGGGTCAGAGTCAAGAAACAGCGGTCCGTCAGAGGTGTTCTGACAAGACGTTCTGGCACGCCAAGGTACTCGTAGCCGTACTCAAGTCGTGCATTTGCCATCTCTACATGCAGTCTTTGCAGAGGCTCTGCATCCTTATTAAATACGTAGCGCATCGTTAATAGCCAAGTGTAATGCCCCGGAGAATTAGCCTCAGATCTGATCAGCTTAGATACTAAGTCCCGCTGATGAACTGCCTCGGTGATGAAGTGTTCGCATTTCTTACGGGTCAAGGGAGTCAGCTCTTGAAGAACGCTTTCAGCAAGGAGGTCTAGAAGTTGAATCTCGTAGTGCAAGACTTTGTCCAGGCCATGGCCAGCCATCGCCAATGCCTGCGTGACGAGGTTGGTCCAGACGACTTGCGCTGCAAGAATAACAATTTGAGCAGGATATCTTTCGAGATACTGTTCGAATGCTGTGAAATTAAGACTGTCGGCAACAAAGATAGGTCTAAACTCGTCAATGGCTTCCAACAAGAGCTCCGCTAGAGTAAGCTTAGCACTCATATCCAGTGCACTGAGCCAGTCGTTGATCTTAGGTATCTTAATCAGCGACACCTCTTTCTTGAGATCAATCTTTTCACCCTCTTTTGAAGTGATGGCGATGATTGCGTTCTCGTCGTTGACCTCAACCCCTGATATACCAGCAAACATTTTCTTGAAGTGCTTGGCTACTCGACTGGTATCATTGCTATTGCCAATAATTTCGAGAAGATCCTCATCACCAACAAAGTAGAAGCGTGGAAACGATATACGCTCTCGTTCCAGGTACTCGCCCAGAGCCTTCTGTATCTTGCTCAGTAGTTCCGCTAGACGATCTAACGATTTTTGCACACCAGGTATAGCAAGTACGTCCATCACGAACGGAGATTTGTATACCTTTTTCATGACTGCGTAGAACTCGGTATTGATGTTCGAGAAGCGACTAGACTCGGTAGGCAGGAGATGTTTGATATCGTTGTTTCCCGAAAAGACACCTTCGAGGTAGACCCATTGCCGCTGCACATCGATCCACACGTCAAAGAGAACATGTACACGATTCAGCTTATCCTCCCAAGTCGAAGCCTCATCCTCGAACTCCTTGTAATATGGCGAGTGTCTCATTGCCTGCAAAGAATTGAGATTTTCGCTGCATTTCGTGAAGAGGTCATCCCAGCCTCTGATCAGACGTAATTTACTCTGGTAATTGACCAAGTCAAGGGAATAGCTTTGCCACGTGTCACGAACCGATCGAACGAACTCCTCAAGAGCAAGCTCGCCTTGAGCTTGAGCTATGATATCACGTATCACGCTCTCGGTTGCTGTCGGTCTGAGATCCCAAACATCACCGAGGGTCATTGACACTTCGGAGTATCTTTTTCCAGGACGTAAGGCTTTGTATATTTTCAGCCAGTGACGTTCACGAATAGCATCAGTCTTCAGGTCCGATAGAATAGAATTGCTCTTTTGCAGGTCCCGCAAGACTTTTTGAACATGCTCGAAAGCAGCGTATTGTCTCAATCTGCTAGGCATTTCTTTCGCAGACTTGAAGAGCTCCTCGAGCTGTTGACGCAGCTTCCTCGGTTGTACGCCTGTCCATAAAGTTTCTCGAAGTTCGTTGATGCGCTGCCATATTGAGGAAAGAGACGCCCACAACGAGATGAAATCCTGTACTTCTTCGATCGTAGTAGCCAAATCATCATCGCGATTGTAAGGAAGAGCCAATGCCTCTTTGGCTTTGGCAACAGTGTCTGCTTCCGTCTGCAATTTCTCAAGACGGGTCTGGTAATTTCGCAGCAGGCTCGTGGCCTCTTCAGGTGGGATATCACCTGAGATCGGCTTTTCCTCAAACCATCGACTAACTATTTCGCGCATCTTCTCGTTAACAGACCGGTCCTCAGCGGCTAGCTTGGCTCTCAAGGCGTCGGTCTGTTCTTCAACAACTCTGCTCTTTCGCGCCAGGATCTCCCGAAAAGAATCCCATTCGTCACCTACCTGATTTGCAGACAGCCAGTCACTAGCAAAATTATATCGCTGTCTAGACAAGGTGACTTGGCCTTGTCGGAAGACTTCGATTTCAGGTTCCCAGAGATTCGCATTGCGCTTGCACTGTTGAACGATGGTGATGAAGGCTACAGCCTGAGCCGTCGAGGATGCCTCAAGGGACTGGTTTTCGAGATCATGTCTAGCTCTCTTGAGCTCAGCAAAGACTTCTCGCATACGATTCTCCAAGGTAGCTCCGAACTTAGTGGTCACTTCGTGCTGCCATTGGTCATACTTTTGTGTGATTTTCGACTGTACCTGCTCGTAGTTAAGCGTCACGAACCCGAACGTCTTGCGAACGTCGGAAGTATCAAAGGTTGACCTCACATGACGAATTTCTTGAATCAGCTGATGCCATAGGTCGAGCTCATCGCCCAGTTTCTCCTGCAACTGATTTGTCTGCAAGTCCCACAAAGATTGGTAACGATACCATTCTTCCAGATACGCTGAGAGTTCTTCCACTTTGTTTTCGACAGAACCGTATGCTGCCTCAAGCGGTTCTAAACAGTCGATTGCTAGGTCCTCGAAGTATTCTACGTTCATCTGCATGGCGGAAACAGTAGAAACTTGATAACGCGTTGCTTTGATACGTTGTAAGCTGCATAACACACCTAGCCATGATTCGAGGTTCTGCAACCAGACGGCTTTTATATGGTTGAGAGGTGGTTCGACAAAGATTGTCTGGTTGTTCATGCCGATATCCATCTCGGTAGCTGGAAAGTGAGGCCTATAGATGATTTCCTGCTCGCCATCATCAATGTGAAGAGGTGTTTGTCTGCTTTCACCCGTGGTGAAGGAAGTGGTCCAGTGTCTCATAGCTTCCTTGAGACGATCACATAAGATAGTTTCCAGCTCGGAGTTAAGGTTGCTGACCCAATGCTCAAGGTTTGCGAAGTTTTCAAGGTTGAGCTTGTCTACTGCATTTTGAATAGTGCTGACCAAGTCCTGAAATACTTTCGACTCGTATGGGCAGGATCGTAGGTCGCTGAGTGCCTTCCGTATAACATTATCAGTATTACGGAGTATGATCAGTTTCTCCTGTAGGGTCGCTGCAGCATTAGACAATTGACGAATATATTGAGTGTGCGCGCTCTCATTTTTCAATAGCAGATCGGTGTTCTTTAACAGAGCATCAGGCCGAGCTTGCTTCTGTCTCTGATGATACTCGTAATCGTGCACGAAAGTCTCCCAGCGAAGTGACATACCAGTTGAAAAGAGGGTATGGGCATCTTTGACATAATTTGACATGAGTTGAGAGGTATTTGGGACGTCCTGAAGGGAACCCATAACCGAGACATATGTCTTTACACTTTCCATAAGGCTGAGGGCGAAAGGATAAATTCTTTGTGCATCCCTTGCCACTGTCGAGACCATGTGTGGGATGTTGAAGCCAAGCCAGATCAGGTTACGAACTTCTTTGAAGAGAGCTACGACCTGATCATCGAAATTGATATGAAGTTCGAGCAAACCACTGGGTCCACGGACCTTGCTGATGATGAAAAGACGACCGTTAGTCGTAATCATCGAGAGCTGTACGTTTTGTAGCCAGGTCTGGAAGATATCTCTAGTGGTTAATTTACCGCGAAACAGCTTACTCTCATTCTGTAGCTTTTCACCATCGGCATGCATGGCCCAATCCTGCCCCAAGACTGCTTCGACTTTTCTCATGTAACCATCCAGCTGAGCTTCAATTTGTCTAATCCAGATGATCGAACCAGCCACAGGAGGTATGTCTCGAAGCTGGGCCATTAACTGGGCCTCTGATCCGTTGTATTGCTGCTTGAATCGCTCGTGTAAGGAAGCGATGTCGCGCTTGACATTACCCAAAAGTTGCGTTTGATACTCAGAGATGGCTCCACGAATTTTTGGCCGTACTAGAAGGGCATTGAACTTTGAGAAGACACGGAACATTTCATTAGCAGACTTTGCAGTGGCCAGCCTGTCACGAAGCTTTGTGATGATGGAGTTCTCGATTCGTGAAGTACGCTCGATGTACTGCTGTTCAGCATTGTTCCAGCGCTCCGTGCCACCAGGAGTTAGGTCCAACACGTCGACTTCTTTGAGCGCATCGTAGGCTTCTGTGACTTCTCTAAGCGCCTCGGCGTCGTCCTGCTCTTCTATGGACTGGATTGGCTTGACATTGGCATTAAACCCCGTGAACTTATTGCCCTGTGGACCTAGAACATTGTGGATAGTCTTCTGCATCTGGTCGTGATTTTGCCGAAAGGTGGCCACGTATTCTAGACGTTCTTTGGTCTTGTCATGACGTTCAACGACCTTGATGGGGGTAAATTCGTTGTTCCTTCGCTTTTGCACATCTCGGGCTACCTGAATGAAATCTCTCTTCATATCCGCCCACACTGACCAAACCCGGGTCATAGTAGCGAGAGTTACTTGAAAGTCTCGATATGACATAGACATCAGAGCGCGTCCATCGATGATCCGATGAATCTGAGTGTTAAGGTCGAGTGAAATACCTTCGACCAGCTTCAACGCTCTTTTGACAGGATAGGGACATATTCTCAGCTTCTTGTTGAGATGACCAAAGATAGAGACCATAGCATCCATCACTTTTTGGAGTGTGGTTGCCGAAGACAGTTCGTCCAAGGGAAAGTCTCGCATTAGAACGTTGTAATTCCTAACCTTGTCAAGCGCACCCCTCAACCCTGTGTCCTCGCTCAGACCTAGAAGAGCTTGATGCCTCTTCCCGGCTTTTAGTATGTTCAAGGTCAGTTGTACTCCATCCGAGTTAAGCTCATCTTCGATACGCTTCAGAGCACTCTCGAGTGAAAGCCAAAAGTTGATCTCTTGAGCAGCAGAACCGACTTCGGCTTCATCAGCCAACCTAGTGACGGAGCGAATGTCCCTGATCCACGAGTTGAGATGGTTGATCAAGCTGTTTTGTACCGTGTTGCTGTCAATGACATGAGCAGGAAGTAGCTGCAAGGACGGTTGCACACCTTGTTCTCGTGCTTCCTCTAGCGCCACCTCCACTACTTCGTGCATAGGTAAACGTACTAACGGCACATCGGTATTCTGCTGTAGGCTGAGCAAACTGTTTTCTAGTTCTTGCATCCGTCTCTTTGCACCCGGTATGCCTGTTTTCATATCGGTTTCATACCATGAGCGGCCGATGGGATCTTGACTCCTGGTATGAGCGTCGAAATAGGGACCGAGTGCATTGTGAATGATGGTGTGAAGTACCTCGAATGCTGAGGGTTTGCCATTTTCTGACTGATTATCGTCCTGACCGGTCGACAATGTTCCCGGCAGGTTGATCGGGTAGATCTGGGAGGATATAGGTCGGTGGCCATCGAGAGGTGCTGGTCGTTTGAGGAAGGCGATAGAGGCTATGGTCGTCGGTCTGGAGATGAATTCAGACGTCAACGAATATATGTGTTCGGATTCGGGTGCCTCGTCTGCAATGTGGCTGTGGCCATTAACCTGATCTGTCCGTATATCCTTCTGAGCAAAGAGGGCGGCCTGGGGTTCACAAGCAAAGCGATCACAACGATCCAGGGACTGTTCTTTGTTTGCTTGAGATAAAAAGTTGCCGACTGCCTCGAGTTCACGTCGTGCTGTGCCAAGATTGGCCTCTATAAGTCTTGCAATGTATTCCAGTACCAGACTGGAATCGGGTATATCTGATGAGGCTCCATTACTGCCATTTACTGGAGCCACCGGCAGGACTTCCATCTCTTATCGTTGCATCTGGGAGTTAGAAGAGTGTCAAAGGTTTAGTACATGCCTGCCGTTATGACCAAGAACGCCGATGCATGCAATACGACAGTGTTGATTGATACTGACTGAATGAAGAACCGACGAACCTGAAACACGATCTGGACTATGTTTGGGGATGCCACGCGTGGATGCACCTGCAGACTGCGCGCCGCGTAGACTTTCCCACGTCCAATCATCTTTTAGTTGAAGGTGGATCGCTCGACTTTACTCCACACGAAAGAGAGACCCCTGGAAAACTGCCCGAGGCGGCTGGCGAATAGGTACTACTACTTGTAAGAATGCGGAACCACGAGGGAAAGACTAGTAGAACAGGTAAGGTGACTTCGACAACAATGTAGTAGGGCTCTTGACACACTACTTATAACAGGCAAACTGTGCATCCCAGGGTATCTCAATCTCATACAGACATCAAATCATACAAACCCTACATATCCAACCGTTGTTAATTAGAGCGCCAACATCGTCAAGTCGTTGCTTCAGCAAGTACTGTCGAGATTCACTGTCAACCCTTCTTCTTGAGCGCCGAAGTATATCTTCTTACTGCGCGTTTCTTGTGGTCGTGCTTGATGGACTGGTTCGTTTATCGTTGCTAGCCACCTGACGGCATGCCTCGGCGTACTCAACATCGGCATCAGAAACTGTGTCGAGGGAATGCCTTCGCCAACTATCCGAATCGTTCAATCTCCTTTGGTCACTGGTTAGACTCCTGCTGGCGTGGTCGATGACCTTGACACCGTTTTCTTCAATGTCGCGGTCTCTTGAAGCTGTTCGCACAACGTCGGGTCGAAATTGCTCAACGTGTGATGCAGAAGCGTCGACACTTCTCCATCTTGATCCTTTTGAACTGGGGTTCATTGTCATTGGCATATCGGGCAGCTGACTGAGTGGTGCTCCTGGTGGTGGCTCCGACCAGTGATTTGTGTCGTACACAGTCTCGAGGTGCTCCTTCTGACGTCGGTCGTTGTTGTCCAGTGCAAAACTCCCTAATCTGCTAATTTTGAACGCTCGCAATCGATCCAACGCTGTTTTGAAGTCATCTAGCACCACAGAGTCTGTCAAGCACTTGAAGACAAACGACAGCTTCCAGAACGGGTTAATACCAACCGGCAGGACTGACGAGAAGGCTTCTGTCACTGACAAGACGTCCAAGATGATAAATATTATGCTAAGGGCCATTGCCGCCAACATGACGGCGAAGCGAGGGGATATTCTCACAATCTGCGTGAGCGTCAGGTCGTATTTTGTTTTGATGTTGTAAATCAAGAACAGCGCAGCCGCAATCCACCAAGGATCTCGACATAATGCCTCCCACGGCCTTGTCCGCAAGAAAAGGTCGTTCACGTTATGAAAGTAGGCAAAATTGGCATAGATCTCGGTGATCCAATATGGTATCACCAAGATCACTGTCCCAATGAAGATCCTGCTGATCGTGCGCGACAAGAACGGTTTCAATTTCATCCAAGCGATAACATTGTGCAGCCACCAAGAAATATTAAGTGGTATTGCCGCGGCAGAAAGCCACCACGCATAGATGGGTGGGTTGAACAGAATAAAAAAGCCTTGCCAGTAGCCGAATATTAACTGTTTCCTCCAGTCAGCCGAGTTTCACCCAAGCACAAAGAGGGATAGTGGTTGCGAACCTCGATCAAAATCAACTTGTGTAGCAACACGCCTCTCCTCATATTCGCCAACGTAATGCATGTCATTATTATGAGCGATCCTATCATAAACCCTTCCGCCCATGCTTCCAACACCAGCCCGTTCGGGTCGGATGGCTTCTGAGATTGATCGCCCGGTGCATCTTGTAAACGTCGCAGCAGTTGTGGTAACGGACTCATATCTAGTGGTCCGTGTGTTCGGGTCGCAGGCTCTCAGACTGATCGGCAGAAATTTTGTGTGATCGCCGTGTCGCCCAACATTCTCGAAGCTCGTCCGTGTCAACACATCGACATGTTGCTGATGAATATAATGATAAGGTATAGTAGCTCTAGGGGAACGGGCGAATTCGGTCGTTGGTTGCAAACAGGTGAGAATTTGAAGACCAGCCAGAGGTCACGACAACGCAGTTGCAAATGCAGCACGAAGACCGAACAGAAATGGTGGAGGAGCCGACCGCGGCAAGTCTGGACCGAAACCCAACGAGCTCCATTGCGTGCTTTTGCGAGTCGTTTTGGGTGCGTAATTGCCCATACCATGTCAGCTTTTGGTGGGGTACAGGAAACCTGACGCGAAATGATTCGAGGATCATTCACCCCTAAAGAGCTAGCAATTGAGCTTCGTTGCTTTAGTACTAACGCCACAACCCCAGGTTGTGACCAGTTTCCTGGGAGGTGATCAACGCGGGCTTGCCAGTCTTCACATCGCGTAATCTTGTTCGTCTCTGATCATGCTTGCCTATACTGCGGTACTCCCTGAACAGCACGTGCAAGTATATATAGAGAGTAGAAGGGTCAGGCAAAGCGTATACAGCTGAGTACGTACAGATGAATCGCAGAACTTGCTCCCCACAATCCGTATTGTGGTTGAGACAGGGAACACGAGCGGACTAGTAATAACGATTGTCTCTGGTTTGCTTGGCCTTACATCCCGAGTGCATTACCAAGAGTATACAGGGATGTCTCCCCATCCTTGTCTCGGTAAGGAGAGAGAATATCAGTTCTTCTGCATCGAGACCGTGTGCCGTCTTTATTTTGCTCTTCGTTGACACAAAGGATTTGTATTTCATTCAACACCGGGAATGGCTACCGAAAAGATGTCCGTATAAAAGGTGACTTGGAAGAAGACCAAATTTCTGGCAATCGGTACAGTCTCGATGACCATTTTCTGACTAGTATCATTGACATCGCTGGGAACAGCTTAGTACTGAGGTCGAGCTGCACCATTTATAGCTGGGGTGAAGGTCCCTAATCCAGGTAAATTCGAAGGAACGTGGCTGTCATCTGCATGTTTCACACCCCTGCTCATGCATGTACAGACAGGCATAAAGTGAACTTTCCAGATCTGTTGAATCGCGACAGTGCTCAATGATATTGTGCTGCCAGATTCTCTTGTGATAATTACAGCTATCAACTCCACGTCAAGCTTGCAATGTTCCAACACGAATGCTTTCCATTCCTGCAAGAACACCTGCACCAATAATTCCACCGTCCCGCGACTCGCGAAGGTACACACTCTTTCCACCTGACTGTGGTCCTTGTCTCATCATGAGTTTGTCGATGAATCTTTGGCAATGTTCCTTGAAGTTAGGGTAATGCTGAATAATGCCTCCCGTATATGCGATAACCAACTCTTCTGGTCCAGAACTCCAGCTCCTACCATTGTTTGTGTCGCCGGGCTGCATTTCCGGTATCTGATCTGCTACATTGCCGTTGGATATATCGACAGCCCCTCCTATCGGCAAGCCTGACAAACTTGCAGGTTGATTTAGGCCAATTTCACCTACCGCTGCTAGCAGACCTGCTGTTGCTGCAGCGATGAGTCCTGCAGATCTGACTTGAACCGAGTGTGCGATCTTCCGCAGAGCACCAGCAGTATGAGCACTCCATGACCAATTCGAAGACTCTGGTGCTGGCATTCGATGCTTCAACTCTCGTGCTAATTCTGCATCCGTCCTTGCACGTGCAACGACGGCACTAATGAAAGTTGTTGTTAGGCTATAATTATGCACGACCATAGCTGGTAAGGAGGTCGGGGGCACTCGCGGTTGATGTGCATTGGTCATGTAGTCGAAAAAAATCAGCCGTATCAGCTCACCTATATACCGGCCACCTGTCATGTACTCAAGAGGCTGAAACCCTGGCCGAGCAGTCGCCTTGTCCAGCTGCTCATCCCATTTAGTGGTAACCGCCTTTAGTGGCTCAGAAGCGCCAGCGATGGTCATTTCGGTATTGACGACAGTTGCTTGCGCCATCGGTACCTTCCTGCGGATGCGCTCTGATTTGTGCACTCCTAGAGCGTCGAACCTGAGAGGGACCGTTGCATTGACCCCAGTCCCGACAATTAATCCAGCTGCAACACGTGAATTTGGTAAGGACTTGACTGAGTACGCTAGCGAACACAGAGTCGCGATAGTGTCATTTGTGATTGCAGCAATTCTTAACCGAGGAAGCGGACCTAGCCTCCTGCGCTTCGCCCGTGACAACGCTTCATCGCTCGTGTCCTGTTTCCTAGTATGACGGTCATATCCTTGCAGGAGTGTTGATCCGAGGTCTAGATTTTCCGTGATCGTGAAACCTTTACCCATAGGCATCAACGTTGCTGAAGTCAGCTCATCTTGTCTGGATAAAGGTCAGTAACAGATCGGAGAGGGAGTTATAGAATGCCATACATCATGGGGAAACTAAATGTGATGCCCAAATCAAGCTGTGCTGGTGTAGCGCTGGTTCCTGCTTCATTGCTCAAGTAATCACCAACTACCTCAGCAATACAGTCACCAATCCAGGCAAAAAGGTCTTCTGTCTTGTCTATCTTGAGATGCTCTCCAATAGGCCATGCTTTCTCCAGTGTCCTACGTACTCGAGGTCGTTGAGCATTGCGAATAGCTTCCTTCGATCTGTCTATACCATGCGTCGAAGGGCCAGTGTCAGCGCCCTCGCCGAGGAGTTCGATGAAAGCTACTCGCAGATTCGTGCCTCCAACATCGATAGCTAGGAATTGACCAGTCTCGGAGCCTGTCGGAAGACCAGTCACGGGTGTGGGTAAGAACTGTTCTTCGGAGGTGAGTGCCAAATGGCGATACACCTGTGAGAATTGATAGGCAAGACTATGGACAATATCGTCGTCAATATGCAGAGGTTGCAGGAATTGGAGAACATGCTGTTCTCTATCGTCGATTGGCTGAGGATGGTTTCCTTGTATAGTGTTTGGTGCAGTCTCCGCCATCTTGCTTAGGTCAGGATTCAGGCAGCAATGAGCTAGACGTCCAACAATCACCTCACCTCCTGACGTGAAAATCGAGATACGGTCTCAGGCACGAGAGAGCGGCTCGACTTGGTTTCGTAAAGTGCTGGGATGACTGGATACGGCTAGATTGAAGGTTATCAATTGTGAATGCAACACCGAGTCGCTATAATGACAGGAAATGCAACGCTGTGAGAGCACAGATTGGTTGAGAGTTAATAATCGCGTAGAACAAACATTATCCAGTCAGCCCTAGTATATTTAAACCGAGCTTCGGCTGATTGTAGCGTGTATCCCGCTTAGTAGTCTTGTAGGCGTTCTGCCATGTGGCTTACGTCTCCAGTTCATGTGTCGAAAGTTGCTGATACTACCAACCCAGCTGTGCTTACCTTAGGAAGCAGAAACGATGAGCTTATGAGAAACGCCAAAGAGTCTCAAGACTCATCCGAGCAAAGGATGTGATGCGATTGGTTCGTTTGGGCGTTTCAATTAACTAGGTTTAGGAAGCGTCGAGCGGACCACAAAAGTCCTACCAATGCCCATCCGACCTCGGAGAAGCACACAATGATAAAGCTACCGGGTTCACTCCTCTGATGAATCACGAATGTAGTGTCATGATAACCATGAGTTGCGATACTGCGAGCAGCAGGTCTGGAATCGTCCTGATCGAGCAAGAGGAGGTGCAGAATGTTAGCACGACAGCTGGGAGAATAAAATCGTCCATATCTTTTTTCGCTGCACATCATTGAATGGATGCCCCCCACGGGAGAGATCCGAGAACCTAGCTTTAGCGTGCGGAGGGACGAGCGCTAGAACTTTGTGAAAGTCATGCTCGGACTGAAGCAGGACGTCGAAGTATTGCTTCACAACATGGTCTCGGATTGGATTCCTTTGAGATTATGCGGCACTTATAGTCGGTGTGACATTCTCAAAAGCTTCAACCCCCGAGTAACTGAAATTTGTGTGCTTGAAGAACGATCTGTCACTGCACTGGCAGTGCAATAGCATGGATGCCTGAGACTCGAGGACGTTCAAATTCTAGCTGGTATCCACCAACTGCGCTGTGGTCTGACAGAGCGTAACGTACTGCAAAGAGGCGGCAACAACAACCTATTCTTGCAAACACTACAGAGGAGACAAACGACGTGACAGACCAGATTTGAAGAAACATGGACAACGAGAAAGCGCCTCTTTATACAGACTTTCCTGCAGGTCAGAGTCGGCAAGGATCTATGCGAACACGAAAGAGGGCTGCACTGTTGCCGGCTGCGCTGCTTCTTACTGCTCTCTTGCTACTCGTCAAATCGCTGTTTGTCTGCCATGGCCACTATGATCCCTTAAAAGACCTCCGTGATGAATTGTCAACAAATGAATACCAAGATGTGGCGCGCAAGGACAAAGTTGCTCTAGAAGCGCACATTATGTCGAAATGTCCTGATGCACGAGACTGTCTACAACAGCTAATAGTACCAACGATGGAGCAAATGAGTGACAAGGTGGAGTTCAAATTATCGTACATCGGAAGGTAAGCGCGAAGATGGCAATCAGGAAGAATACGGAACTTATGCAAACAGATTCGATAAAAATTCCGACGGCGTCGAGTGTATGCATGGGCCTTCGGAATGCCTTGGAAACATGATCGAGCTGTGTGCTGCTCGCATCTATCCGGATCCCAAGATTTATCTAGGCTTTGCAAACTGCTTGACCACCAGCTATTCTCTTATCCCCAATCAAGACCTGGTCAGATCCTGTTCTTTCGAGCACGGCATCAGCTTCGACCGTGTCAACAAATGTCTAAGTGACGAAGGCCATGGCTCCGAGCTCCTTCGAGAAAGTTTCATTCGGAGTCAGGAAGGCAATGTGACCAAGAGCTGTACTGTCCGTCTAGCGGGAGAAGTTCGATGTATCCGTGACGGCGGAGAGTGGTACAACTGCCCTGGAGGCAGTAGAGTCGAGGATTTGGTCCGCGATATCGAGCGTCTGTACGAGGCTGAGAGGTAAAGCTGACCGAAAGGAATGAATTGGACAGCTGCAAGACTTCTTATGCGAGCATTATTCCGGTAACCAGATTGTCGAGGGTATAACATGTATCTGCTCGATGTAGGGCTGGTGTATCTCTAATCGGCAATAGTGGCTTGATCAAATATACCGAAACATGTTGTCTTTGACACCTCGCTTCATGGAAACAGCTTTGCCTCCCTCGAGTTCTGCGCCAGATATGCCACCATCTCCTGCGTGACCCTCCATGGCTAAGCGCATTTCTTCGTCCATTTCTGCCATTGTCTTCTTCTTTTTCTGTATCCTCTCTGCTTGCTCGGCATTCTTCTGTTTCTGCTCGGCATCGTTGGCTGTATCTTTTTTGTCCTGAGCTTGCAAGCTAGCTGAGGTCCAAAGCGCTCGTCCTCCACATGCGGGCCTCAGCGATACCATCCCCTTTGGCACACACCGAGTAGCGAGTCTGTTCATAGTGCTCTCCTGGTCACGACTCGTTGTCGCCTGCTCGGCGTTGGGACAGCATCTCAAAGATAATATATAGACTTCGATACAATGCATCTGCGGCCGACGTCATTGCTCAAGCTTCCGGATCAAATCCGCCCCAAGTTTCGACGTTAAGCAAATGATCGTACCCTAGTACAGATTGGGCTAGCTATCACGTGCTCTAAGTGCCTGCACGAAACGCGAATTGTATCACTCTCAAGTTGATCGACGAAGGATATAAACTCATAGTTACCTATCCGATCTAGAGCCACTCCTGACGCTGTTGATCGGTGTCAATCAGTCGATTATTGTTTGTGCATAGCTTGTACAGCCTGCGGCAACACTGCGCTACAATGACTGCACAGACTACGCAATACTGTGAGTTTGCAAACGATTTGCCAGTTGCGATTGTGAAAGACTTCCTCGTGGCGGGCCATCAACTGACAGTGACCGATCAGATGAGTTGTACCGCGGTAGTACCATCGGTGACAGTCTCATTGACACCATCGACGAACTGATCAACGAGGGACGGATCGAGCCTCAGTTGGCGATGAAGATTCTAGCTCATTTCGACAAGACCATATCAGAGGTGCTGGCTGAGAAAGTCAAGGCAAGACTCACATTCAAGGGTCATCTCGAAACATATAGATTTTGTGACGATGTTTGGACCTTCCTCGTCAAGGACGTCAAGTTTAAGACCGAGAACACCTCAGAGTTCCATGCCGAGAAGGTGAAAATCGTCAGCTGTAACTCGAAGAGGCCAGGAGAACTATAGGAATGACTCAATGCCAGGAACGTGAGATTAAAGCATAGCGATGGCGTTGGGGCTGGGCACGTTTGGGTTTGCAGCTGTATGCATGCAGAAAGAAATACTATTTGCTCGTCACTCTTGTCTAGGATGTTGGGACACCAGAGATTGCGATGGGGGGTGGGGATCAAAGAGCAGCACATCACGTTCCATACTTATTGCATCTTATGCAGTGGCTACGAGCTGAATGCAGTGAAGCTTTGGTTCCACTCAAGGGGGGAAAGAGATAAGCTGAGAAGACTGAGATGACCCTTAAAGAATTGATAGATATTCATTGGTGGTATTTTCAGAACACAGGTACTAATGCTTAAAGAGTCTCCAAACCGTACCTGACCCAACGGTGTTGTCCGCTTACAGATGTGGCATGTGCTTCTGACCTCATAACATTGCAGGTAGGTGCGCACTCAACCCCACTCGGAGAAATCAGAAGTACAGCCCAGCGTGCGCAGATTGTGACTGGACTTCAATACCTATTACAACGTTTCCTTATACCATCTTCGCACGCACTTCTCTGCAGATCGCCGAGATGACCCACGACAAGACCTCAACTCAACTCAGTAACGGCGACACGTCTACGAGCAGCAGCGAAAAGATTACCACAATCTCACCGTCGACCAATCAGCCCATCCTGACCAGAGACTCTGCAACGTCGTCGCAGATCGAGCAACTGCCTCAGAAATCGCGAAAAGCATACATATCCTTTCGAAAGTCTCATCCGAATCTCTCCTCCCGTATCGAAATCCTCAATAAATTCCTCGGCTTACTGTCTGAAAAGTGCGATGTCCTTTCAGAAGAGCTTACTACCCAAATGGGTAGACCCATTGCATATACCCCAGTGGAGATCAAGACCGCGATCAAAAGGGCGCAATACCTGATCGATATTGCTCCTGAAGTGTTGTCAGAAGAGGTTTCCGTGCTGGGCAAAGTCGAGCCCAACTTCAAGCGATACCTGCAGAGATCTGAACCACTAGGTGTAATTCTGGTTATCTTTGCTTGGAATTACCCATACCTGATCCTCGTCAACAGCTTGGTACCTGCGATATTGGCAGGCAATGCAGTCATTCTGAAGCCCAGTCCTCAGACACCTACCATCGCCGAGCACGTAGTTGAGATGCTAGAGGAGGCGGGTTTACCCAAGGACGTTGTTCAATATGTTCATGCTGGCAAGGTCGAAGACTTGAAACCCTTGATTCAGAGCCCCCAGGTTGACCATATTTGTTTTACAGGTTCTGTCGCTGGTGGTCAGGCTGTTCAACGCCTAGTGATAGAAGGTGGCAGGGGCATAAGAGTTGGCGTTGGTCTTGAGCTTGGAGGCAAGGACCCTGCATATGTCAGAGAAGACTTTGCTGGTGACCAAGCAGGAATCAAGTGGGCCGCAGAAGAGATTATTGACGGCGCCATTTTCAATAGTGGTCAAAGTTGTTGCGCGATCGAGCGCGTTTATGTCCATGAGAAAGTGTACGACGACTTTCTAGACGAGTGCAAGAAGGTCCTGGAAGGCTATAAAGTGGGCAATCCTTCCAACAAAGATACACAGATTGGACCAGTTGTGAGCAAGCGAGCAAAGGACACGATCCTGAAGCAGGTCTCTGATGCGGTCAAGGCTGGTGCGAAGGACGAAACACCAGCCAACAGCACTTTTTCCAACCTCGACCCCGCTGGTAACTATGTCGCGCCTGTATTGCTTTCGGGAGTCAATCACGAGATGGGTATCATGATGGATGAGACTTTCGGACCAGTGGTGCCGGTACAGAAAGTATGTTCCGATGAAGAGGCAATCAGATTGATGAACGATAGCCAATTCGGACTGACAGCTTCAATCTGGACAAAGGACGTGTCGAAAGGTGAAGAATTAGTGCCATCAGTTGAGGCAGGAACTGTGTTCGTTAATCGAGCAGATTATCCCAGCCCTGATCTTGCCTGGACGGGCTGGAAAGACAGTGGAAAGGGGGTCACCCTAAGTCGCTTCGGCTTCGAGCAATTTGTCAAAGTCAAGAGCGTGCATATTAAGAACTATCCTAACTCAACAGGCTGATCGAGACGTCATGCAAGTCAACATCAGCCAGTCCGAAGTAGTTGATCTTCCAGCAATCTGCGAGATACTACTGAACACAAGACATGCTCTCAAGCTGTCAGCGCTCAATGCACCAGTGTATAGGCTACCATCAGCTGCATCTGGTAAGTGGCTTGTGTTCGCGATGTCACGTCTCAAGATGAACGTCGCAAATGATACGAACCTCAAGCTCGAACTGACGTGTACCATCACCACGGAGACATCACTATTCTGGAAAACACGATAGCTCATAGTGCTCATCGAGACAGAGGCTAGTGATTAGATCACAACCAACACATGAAGAGAGAAGAATACACAGACTACTTATCTCGGCCTCGGAAGCACAGATCAACAACATGAGTCAGAGCATATAGGGGATAGCTTTTGCACATTCAATTGTGCTTGATGGCTGGTATGTCGACATTTCATCACGATAAGAAGGCCACGGTTTTGAGTAGCTTGCCACAAGGATGGGACAAGTATACCGGATGGTGTGACGAGTCTCGCGTAATCATTGCTCTTAAAATGGTGTGCGGCTACATCAAAGCACGTAGGGTGGTGTGATTTTGGACGTGAACGTCGTCACACTTTCCTCATACATTCATAGTGCATGGCCCTAAAAAATTACACTCAGTACTGGAATTCAGCATCAGTTACAGGCAGGAGGGCGTAAAATAATGCCTATATCCAAAGAGAGAATGTGTGACGAGGTTCATGTTCAAGATCACACTGCCCTGGCACGATGAGACACTGCAAGTCCCTGGAGTGTTTCGGCCTAATTACGTTTTTGCCTGCAGGCATCAGACGCGTCTCTGGAGACTTAACGCGCTGTAGCCATGGGACAAACCCCTCACTCGAGATTCACTTTCTGATTTCACGATTATTCCAACACACCAATTTCTGCAAGATTCTCTGGAATACTGACGCGTTGACTTCAAGCAACGAACATGATCAGTGTAAAGCGTAGAAAGCATTCACACCAATCGAGCCTCAAGCATTTCCCACCTTGAGTTCCATCAATTGCTCTTGCGTCTCGCGAAGACCACGTACCAAAGTCATGGCCCGCAAACTACCCTGGGCCTCAGCAGCCCCAGTAGCGCCAAAAAGAACGATTGCGTACACGCCCGCCTCACTGACTCCGCGTCCACCGAAACGACAGCACATTCAGCCCACCTCACCTATACCCGACGAGATCAAGCGCGAAATTCAAGCTGACCTCACCTCTAGCGACCTCGACCCTGTCTCTCCACGTAGGAACAGGGCACAGCAAAGATTACGAAATGGGCGTACACCTTCGACCTCGCCCCCGCCTGCTCCTCCAACTATAGAGATCTTGCGCGAAGGTTTGGATGGCGACGATGTATACGTAATGGTAGAAGATGAATTCCAGGCCGTTGCACAGGGGTTCACTGCCCACTTACACCATGCCGAGTACAAGAGACTTATGCGAGAAGCAAAGGAGCGCAAGCGGGCACCATTACCAGACCTTGTTGTGAACATACCTTTCGTGACTCGAGCACGTATGCAAAGGCAGGATCTAGAGGGGACACAGGCTGCTGGTCTGAAGGACATCAGTGCTGGGTTACTCGCTAGCTCGGACGTAGAAGATGTGGACGGACTAGTAGAAGAGGCGGAGAAGGAGATGGCTGACCCCTGGACTGGCACGACTCTCGCTGGCCTCATGAATGCGGATCCTGCAAAGGAAAAGACTAGTCTAAAGGGCTTGGAGAAGTTGACTTCAGGCAGTCGCGCTGCGCGTGGGCTCATGCCGAATTCAGACACTGTCGGAAGAGCACAACAGAGTGAAGATCAAATACCTACCGCGACTCGACCTCTGAGGACCGAGAGAAATGTGGGAAATGCGGCTGCCAAACAGGAGCATCCAGATATTGGGGCGAACAGTTCCAGGTCAAGTAAACATCAAGAAAGCCACCCTCGATTACGCGCCATGAACAGAATCTTCGACGACGATTACGGCACGGCAGAGTCCACAGCACGTTCTATTTCAGCCACCGCATCGAGCTCAACACCGACTGAGACACATTCCGAGATCAAGTCGAACAAGAAATCAATTCCGAAAGTCGAAACTCTGACACACTCGTCCGCCTCAACTGGCAATTCCGTCCATCTGTCCTCAATAACCAGAGGTAATAAACCCTCGACCTCAGAGACCCCAAAATCTTCACCGAAGAAGAAGAAGAGTTTCTTCGATGACCTAGACGACTTCGATGTAGACGCCTTTGATAGGGCTCAAGCTGCGGCGAAGATGTCATCGCAGCCTGCATCGCAGGAGCAGCGGTCTTCCCAACTCGAGAAACCCAAGCCAAACCCGATCAAGCAAGAACCAGAGGATGGAAGGATTGGTCAGAACCCGAAAAAGAGAGATCGCTCACGATACGATGAAATACCTGTGTTTTTGATTGGATAAACTTTTGGCAGGTAGTCGCCTACCATTGATCAATATGTACAGATCCTCCAGGTGGTTGCAGTCAGGTTCTGCACAGGACCTACTCTCTTGTCTTCCTTATTGGGCACTTTGTCGTGATGTGTATCTGCGCTGGATTGTCCAGCACAACCACTTTCACCTCAGCTAAGTCGATCTGTGTCCCGACAGCAATGCCTTACTAGCTTCCCCGGATCATCTTCGTACTGACTCTTAGCTAACAACTTCCTTCTCGGACGAGTCCGTCTTCTTGCTCGCATTGAATATCGCCTGGGCATCTTCCCTAGCCTGCTCCACCAGAACCGGTCGGCCTTCACAATCCGTACCGAGCGTCACATCTGCACGGCGAAAATCCGTTGGCGCGCCCTGCCACAAAAACTTGTTAGCTAAGAAGTCAAACATCTTCAGCATCCACACCCTAGATTCGAGCATAGACCGGAACATTTATTGAGTCTTGAAGCTAATACCCACACTGCACTGTCCGGGGAAAAGCATACATACAATATTTACTCCTCTCTCCTCAGAAGCTGGAGCTTGTCCCAAGGACGCTGAACGTTGTTGCCACTTCAGCTTCGTCTTGAGCCACTGTTGGCCCTGACGGAGTTTGGACAGTACTCGTGCCATTTGGTCGTTGGGCGTACACTGTTCCTTATTCGATGTGAAGGGGAAAGGCATGTATGTATTCCGGGTTGTTCGAACGGAAGGACGGCAGATTTAGTTGTGGAAGCTCGTTATCTGCGTGTGTAAGAGATGGATGGGATGCAGCTTGGTGGTGAGGTTGTTTGCTTGCTTATCGGTTTGCTGTTGAGGATATTGCAGAAGCTGTTGATGTACTGCTGCATAAGAGAGGATTGTCTGGGTATGAATATACCGTTGCTAAGGTCAAGAGAACGAGTGTGTATCTTCAGCTTGATTCAACGACTTGATATTCAACATCAGCTGGTCCAATGGCGTTGATCGGGCTTCCGCCAGTCTCGAGCAACGAATTGTGTGAACTATCTCCTGCCACCTGTCTTTCTTTACACACCTGGAAAAGGAATCGCTAGCGAATAAATAGCCATCCTTCACTAATCGACAAAGCTCATTACAAGCAGAATTATCTCTTAAAAGCGAAAGAGAGAAAAGACAGAAAGAAAGAAAAGGTGTTAATAGGTCTCAACAGCAGTCAGTGCACAGTCCAACACGTACACTCATGCGGCTTAATAAAATCCTCACCTTAGCAACCACAGCATATGGAGCTAATCTTGGTAACACACACACGCACATACACGAGGCAGAAAAGGTTGGTACGTGCATATCCCATTAACTTCCAGAAGGAATGTTTGGAAACATCTTCTCTCTGAACCCGGACGCGACTCAACGGCTCTGCATCTTATCACGAAAACCTGTGTACAGTATGCATGTCTCATTACATGAACAACGCGATTTTCTTGTGTTGTGGTTGCACGGCAGAAGGCGTCGAGGTGGAAGTGGAGGAGTGGTCATCGTACAGCAGGGACAGGTTGCCTATTATGCATGCAATGCAGGTTTTTCGCAGTCGACTAGAATTAAAGGAGTGGAAAGGATACGTACTGTACGTATCCCCTACTTCTACTGTGAGAACTTGTTCTGGCTCGATTCTTTTTCTTTGGCATAGCAGCAGCCTATCACAGAGTAATCACATCGTCTCAAAGGTGACCAGGTCGTGGTGTTTTCTCAGTCTTTGAATCTGGTGTATCGGTATACGTAGATAGATCGCCGAAAGCATTATCAGGTATTGAAATTGCAGATTTTAGGAGTTATGTCAAACAGGGCGAGTCAAGAGGGAAAAAGACGCGTCGTACAATTAAATTCACCTCATCCTCGCGTGTTAACCACGACCGTGTCCGTGCAACCTGTCATTGTGTTTCAGGGTCCTACTTTTCGAGACTTCAATTCGGAAGATGAGGAGAGCATTTTGTTTGAAATTAGAGATTGTAATTGCAGATGAATCAATCATTCAGATCTACTCTTGAAAAATCCTCAGAAGCGCCGCTCAATGCAGGGGTATCTTGTTCTCAATGAGTACAACAGCGTCAATCACCAAACCCAGACCTCCTCATATCTCCATTATCTGTGACTATACACAACTTTTCGTTCCTCGTCAGACCACTGCTCTCATTCGCGGGTTATCAAAATTTCCATTGAACGCCATGGCTGTGTCCCAATCCACAACCCACAGCAAGCCACCACCATGCCGTTGTAGTCCATCCTGTACACGTCTTCTCGATAATGTTACAGCCCAGCATGTACTGGACGATGAGCTCAAGATCATGAACAGAGAGTGCCCAGTTCAATGTTCGGACGATCTCGATGCTTGAAACGCCAGGTCGAACTGAGATGATTCCCACAACAGCTCCGAGGATGGATTCCCAGATTTGTGGGAGGAATTTATGATTGATATCAAACCAGGCTGGAATTAAGCACATTTCATCCTCTTCAGCAAGACCACTTCCAGGTATAGCACGATCTTTGGCAATAAAATCACCAAAGACATAGCTTGGTGAAGCTTCCAATAGCGTTGTGAAGGACATAACATCTCGATCCATAGACCTTGTCTTGTAGCCTTGCTCCTCGTAGTCGAGCCCGTATCGCGACGCTGGCACATCATAACCAGGCTTGATCTGCAACATGCCAGCATGCAAGAGGTTCAGTACTGCAATCATGGCGCCGTCCTTGATGTGAGGCGACTTTTCCAGTATCACACGCTGTCCGCCAGCGAAAGCTACATCAAGTACTTCCAGTTTGTATCGTGCAGCGTCTTTGAGCATAGTTGCCGAGATGTGTCGGTTTGACTCAAACTTATCGAACCACTTAGTACAGATCTTCCAGCCATGAGTACCAGAGTATGTCGTGCCGTTCAGTGTCGTGACTGCATCACCACTACGTTCTCGGACGATAATCTTGTCAGCCTGCATTTTCTTCGTCACAGTACTCAGCAGTGTCTCTAATTCGCGTTTGTTCACTGCTAGCTTGTTTAGCTTCGCTGCGGTCTTCACGGAATTGAAGTCCTCCTGCGAAGTTAGGACTGCAGCAAGTACCCATGATCTCGCTCTAAAAAGAGCAATATCTGTATAATCATCTTCAATGCAGAATTTTGGTTCTAGGACTTCGCCAGCGACGTCAGGAAGAGCGTTTGGTACTATACCCATCACTGCAGATGCCCATGCCTCCTCCTTAGACGTAATGGTATAGCTGAGAGACTGGTTAAAAAGGTTTCGTACAGGTCTTGATTCAGGTATCTCGATGTTCTTGATTGCTAATAATTCCTCTCGAGTCGGAGGAAGATCCGGAAGAACGTCATCCATGTCGGTGCTGATATTCTCCACAGCCCAATTCAGGATGCCATTCCAGTCACTATTCTCGAAATCGGAGTAGTCAATCATTGGTACCTTGTCGTCAGCCAGAGCGTCAAGGTATTTGGTCTGAAATTTGGCAATACAAGTATCAATGTCGTTGTTGTATCTTGTTCCTAGTACCTTCCAGCGTTCCTGCAGAATTGCCTCGGTCTCCGAAGGTACCATGCGATTTACTAGACTGAAATCAATGTGCTTGTCAAGCCCACCAGCAAGCACTCTTGCCACAACAAAGGCCAGAGATATTCGATGTGCCATCTCTTTGGACACATTTCTCATTCCTGTGCCTCGCGGAATGATATGTCCACGCTTCATCTTACGTTTGTCGTTCTCCGTGTGGGCTACTCGCTGCTTCGGTTCTTTAGCAGGTCGTGTCCGTCGACGAGCTTTTTTGCTCGGTACATCTTCAGCTTCAGAGTCCGCAAAATCCGACTCGTCATTGTCGAATTCAACTTCTTGGAATTTGCGCTTGCGCTTGTGTTTCTCTGCGATCTGATCAATCTTCTTTTGCTTGGCACGAGCCTGCGTCACAATTGTAGAGAAGACGTCCCACGATGCAGGTTCAGGCAGCGGTTCCTCGGTTTCCAGGACTTCTCCTGCAGCATTGAGCGTGAAATGAACTAGGTAAAATTGTAATTCTTCTTGGCAAGGAATGTAAATTGCTTCCTTCTTTGGTAGCATGAAATTGATAAAGTTCCACTGTCCAGGTTTTCGTTCCTGCAGATCGTCCCAGTTTCGAAGTTCAAAAGCGCCAACGTGACAGATGGAGTGAAGAAAGCTCGACTGAGTGGAAGGTTCTCCATCATCTGGCAGCTGATCTCCGCTGTCGTCTTCAAAGTGGACTTCATCATCCTGGCAAGCTTGAGATAAAATAGCTTTAAGACTCTTCGGCAGCACAGTTCGTTTTGGTATGCGCCACTGTATCTTCCGCTGTCCAGGTTGGTAAGAGCTATTACGAGGTATACGAACGCCACTTCTTCGCAGAGAAGTAGGAAGTGGCGCCGCTGTTTCTGTGGCAGCAGCATTGGCGTCTGCCGTGAAACGAATAGGCTCTGGTTGAGCTGGTAAGCTAAAATAGTGACTGGTGAAGTCAGTAGAACTTCTAATTGTCCCGATTTCCGGCACTTTTAAAGTCAGGAATCCAGTATTGGATGTAATCGTTGGTAAAGGGGACAAACTTCTTCGGCCAGAAGATGAAACAATGCTAGCCGCACGATCGCCGTCGCGAACATGCCTGCTTCGTAAAGCTTGGTCTGCAGGCATGAAGACCTCTTTACCTTCCTCCTGGATAAGATCCTGCCTTCCATTGTCTGACGGCTGCCGATTATACTCAGCCTCGAGTTCCGAGGGCATGTAATCTTCATCAACTGGCAATTTGCTGATTTGTTGTGACATTTTTCTGAATTGGCTATCTTCAACCTGAATATCTGGCAAAGCTAGTATGGTTTTGAAATGGTTTTGTCCATTGCTTTGAAAGGCAAATTTCATGTGCTTAATCTTTCGATCCTTGGTCAACTTGTTTATCGCAGTTCTAAGCGCCTTCACACCCATGTTATGGTCGACTCGTGCCTCAATACATGTCGCTTTCATTGCTCTTTTGAGGACAGACACACTGTCAGGAGCAACACCACCACAGAGCTGAATCATTTCTAATATGATTTTCTGATAGATCGGTGCCGCCTTGAGACCTGTCAAGACACCCGGACCCGCAGCAGGCTTTGGATATGTCTTTTTCTTTTTGGCACTTTCGTCTCTCGGTGTGGTTAGTAGAACGGTATTATCACCGTTTAACCGAGGGGTCGACGACCTTCTCGCTGCCAGCTGAGAGCTCGGAGTATTCTCGCGTATCGAGCTTGCGGGTCCAGCAGCGAAGACGCTGGATGCTACTTGTGGTTCTTCTGGTAGATCCTGTAGAGAAATCGCAGGAAAATCAGACAGACCTTCCTGCGGCTCTATTTGCAATTGAGTATTCGATTTCTCAAGATTTGGGGGCTGCGCAAAGGACACATCGGTCAAGGATGAAGTGACAGTTTCAGAGACAGCCTTAGCACTCTCCGTCTCAACATCTGCGACATTGGGTCCAGGCGAAGGTCTTGGCTCTGAAACGTTCTCCACAGCGTGCTGACGGATAGAGGATCGGATATCCAACTCCTGATTGCTGTCGTTTCTGCAGGTGCGACGTGGGCTGATACCTCTACCTGTGCTTTTGCTTGCAGTTGGTATTGTCGTGTCTTTGACCGTCTCAGCGGTCAAAGAATGGACGAGAGCGTTGTCCAATCCATGAGGTACGATATCAGAAAGCATGGCACCGAACGTTGATTGTGGAGAGGGTATCGTATTGACGTTGGTAGTGTGTGTCTGCTCAATATCGAGGTTGGCATTTGATGCTGAAGTCACGCCGTTGGTTGCATTGACGATCTTGGGGACCTTTCTTCTTGGTTCTCCCGGACCTGGGTCGACTTGCTCTTTGTCGACTTCGGCAACAGGCGTGCTCTCTTTTCGCTTCCTCTTCCTCTGCGGTCTAGCTGATTTGCCAGATGACGCATCCTTGGACAGGACCTGTTCAGAGGAAACGTCACGTTGTGATATAGAGCTGTTTCTAGACGTGCGGCCTTGGGATTTGGTAGACTGAGGTAAAGGTCTAGCTGAAGCTCTCGTTGAGCCCTGGCCCTCATTCGCTAGCTCTATCTCTGAATAGTCACGCTTCAATGTATTCGCCCTCCACATAAGCGTCCAAATGCCTGAATTAACCCACGGATCTAAACCATAGCAGCGAATTGTGTGTGCTGCGCTCGAAGAAAGGAATAGTACTGTAGCTGGCTTCCTGAACTCGGAGAAGTCAACATCAGAAAGACGGCTTGATCGAATTGTGGCAATGAAGCTTTTGTGTCCCCGGAGCACTTTCGTAGCCCCTGCAGGTGTCAGATGAAGTCCCGAGCTGTTCCTCCGCAAGTATCTCTTCATTTTGTCGATCCATGATTGGTTAACATCCTGGGGCGTCGATGGTACTGGCAAGTCGTGTTCCACGGCTTGCAAAAGCGTATCATCGAAATCGGCAGGTCTCTGATTGAACCACATGAGGACATCAGGGTCTTGTGTAGTACCTACAAGGTTTGTAGGTGTAGAGAAAGCAGACTTATCTTGCTCTTTCTTGAGTTTCATCATGTCTCTCCAGAATTCCTCCGTGCCACGAACAAACTTCCGAGGTCGTCCTTGTCTAATTTGCCTGAATGGTTTGGGCTTCGCGACATAGGTACGCTTTGGCATCTGAGCTGGCTTTGGGGCTTTAGCTGCTCGCGGAGCGGTTGGCTGCCGTATCTCCGACACGGTAGAGAGAACAACACTACCAGTGGATGTTTCGCCTATCTTCACTTCACCAGCACGCAGTTCCAGTGACCTAGCACCAGAAAGTTTGACAATTTCTTCGAGTTCTACCTGTCCATTTTGTATCTGCATTCTTGGTTTTGTGCGGCGTAAGAAACCGAACGTCTCCTCATCGAACCCCGACTTAGGATCGTTTGCAAGCATTGTTGTAGGCTCTTTCATTGTTTCCTTGCCGCCAGTGACAGCCGCCCAATCTGCCTGTCCAGCTTGAACCATACCATTGTAGGAGGCAAACGTACGATGGACATATCGAGAGATCGTGTCTTCCGTTTCGTGCGACCTGACTAGTGCTAGGTTGCGAAGCGCCGGAGGCTGACTTTGTAATGAGGCATGAGATAAACGTGTGAGGGCCGACTCTAACATTCTCCTAACTGCAAGGCCAGTGATGTGCTGTCGAGCTTCTATGTTCGTAATGCCTTTATGACCAGCATTATCTGCCAAGTCGTGCAAAATGTTGGGCAGTTGCCTGTCTGGATTCCATCGTGGTCGGAGGGCAGCTTCGTTGGTACAATTTGCACTGCTGCTTGGTTCTTCTACATCATATGCAGAAGCGTTGTTCACGACGAGGCTAGGTTTTATCGTTACTGTGGCGATTGCTTGCTTGACTGTCTTCTCGAAATCAAGGTCGTCTCCGTCGTGCGTTTGCCAGTCTGTATCGGCCAGTTCTCGCAGGACTTGCAAGCATTTCTGAGGTTTACCAACATCGTGGTTGGAGTCGGCTGTCGCTTGTGTAAGCTCAAGACATTGTTTCGTGACGAGTTGGTCAACGACCTGACCAAGGATACGCCGTTGACCAGGCTCTTTCACGTTTAATGCTGCGGCGAGCTCGTCTAAGGTAACAGAGCTATTTTGTTTCAGTACATCAAAGGTCTGCAAAGTAAGTTCTTTCAGAGTAAGTGAATCGTCAGGATATGGAGTGGTCGCTGCCAGTGCTTCATTAACAAATCGACGAAGAGTGAGCCTGCTTGTCTTCTGACCATTCTTGAGGTAGGCAGCTTTTTTCACAATATATCCTTTCTGGTGTAGACGGTCGGTACGTTGTGGTACAGAACGCTTGTCCTGTCCAGTTATTCTGGTCAATGGGCCTTGAAGAATGCCATCGTGCCCAGAGCGTGCAATCACGCAAAGCAGGGCAAATTCGGTTGTAGGGACTTTGCTAGGATCGGGACCGTGACCGCAGATTGCATGATAGATGCGTGTCAACGTGACGCTAATCCTTGGTTCGTCTTTAGAATCAGAAGCCTCTTCAGCAGAAATAGTCGCTGGAGGGAATGGATCATCTCCTTGTTGTAGTTGAGGCTGGGATGATGAATCTGGTATTTCAGCAAGGATGTTTGGAAACCGATTCTCTAGTTCAGCGAGTGACAAGGCGCCGTAGTCCTCGTTTCCGAGAACGATAACGTCCTCATGTCTTGTCAGCCATTGCCAGATCTTCGCTATGAATTGCTTGTCGACTTTGTGATTGGAAGTGGTTGATGTCGATGTTAATGGTGGTTGAGGTGGGGCATAAAAACGATTTGCGTAGCGAGCAACATCTGTAATAGTCACACCTGAAAGAACGAAATGTTAGTGATGAAGCTGTGCCAGTTGTCGCTGAGTATAGCTACTTTGGAACCAGGCACGTTGACCGAATAAAGAAACAGGAAGGCGAGCAATGCTACGGCCGACCGACTGAACGACTTTCGGCATTTTCTTCAGCCGCGAAAAGCCATGACAATGAGAGAAAACTTACCTTGATCACCACCGAGCGCAATTTCTTCAAGCAGAAAATCAATAAGCTGGTCTAGGCTTTGCGCCATGTTCGGAGAGAATTATCATAGCTACAAGAACGTTCAAGGTTGGCACTGAGTTGCTTCGATTGTGTGGATTGAACAGGTGAATGTGTAAAAGAGTCATGGAAATCTGCGGTTCAGCCACTGAACCACCAAAGCAGTAGACACAAAAAGAGAGCAATTTTGTCACGTGAGCAGGCTTTAGTTGGAAGCAAGACACTTTTCTCCGTTCAAGTTCTACAGTATCACTACTGATATGACTTACTTGCGTTGGTTCAACATCGCTCATGGTCTCATTCGCTTCGTGTCATCACTGTCATGCTCTCAGCCTCGTGGTCTGCAGATGTCAGCCTCAGCGACCTTTCTGCTCGTTGCTGCCTCCACAGGAGAATCATGTGGCTTGTAACAGTTCGTGCTTTCTCATACTCCTTTAATAGGATCGTCCGAACAGGCACCACGCCTCAGCAGTCTTGCTACATTGAGGGTTTGTGCATTTGGTGACGCCCTTCTCAACACCCGCTGGCTGATCGAAAGGAATACACAAGCTCTTTGCACCCATACTTGGAGCACGCTCATCTTGAGGCACACCACTTTGTTCTTCTGCTTTCCTTGCACTGAGATCCTTGATCTGGTCCTCGCATTCCTCAGTCAAACAGTGGGGGATCAAGCAAACATTCTTGTCGTTCAATGCAGGAACGAAGTCGTCCCAGTTCGTGATGTGCTTGACATGAGATTTAAATTTTTCGTCGGCTCGTGCATACAGATCAGCTTGAATCTTCTCGAGGAGTTCTGGAATTTGGGTATTCAGTTCTGTAATGGCGATTTGTCCTTTGCTATCCTCCTTGGGCAAATCTCTTCGTGAGGTGGTCACAAAGTGACCCTTGCTTTCTCCTGGGCCGAACTCAAGCCTCAGGGGAACACCTTTGAGCTCCCAGTCATTAAATTTCCAACCTGGAGAATAGCCGTCTCTGAAATCTGCCTCGCAACGGACGCCGACTGCACGCAGAACCGCTTGTAGGCCTTCAATCTCCTTGTATAGTGTTTGTCTGTCCTCCTCGCCCATCTTTGCCGTTACGCCGACTGGAACGATGACCACCTGGACCTCAGCGATTCTTGGAGGCATGACAAGACCTCGGTTGTCGCCATGAATCATGACCATAACACCAATAACACGCGTAGACAAGCCCCAGGAGTTCTGCCACACGAAGAGAGGATCCTTCTTCTCGTCTGGTTTGGTGGCTGGATCTTGTACGGTGATGCCGAACATCTTGCTGAAATTCTGACCTAGACAATGTGATGTACCTCCCTGGATACCTCTTCCTGTGGTTGGAATGTAGCCTTCGACAGTAGTAGTGTACAGACCACCCGCAAATCTCTCCTTGTCGGTCTTCTTGCCACGCATGACGGGAACAGCTAACAGCTGCTCGTAGACGTGAGCATAGTGCTCGAGAATCTCTAAGACCTCCTTGTCAGCTTCCGCTTTGGTCAAGTGCGCTGTATGCCCTTCCTGCCAATGAAATTCTCTCGTTCGCAGAAATGGTTGAGGGTGCTTGAACTCCCATCTGACGACCGAGTTCCACTGGTTCAGCTTCAAGGGAAGATCCCGGTAACTCTGAATCCATTTGGCGTAGTATGGGTACATGACAGTCTCGGAGGTAGGACGGATGGCGATCTTCTTCTCGAGCTTAGTGCTACCACCATGTGTGACCCAAGCAACTTCGGCGGCGAAGCCCTCAATGTGTGACTTCTCTTTATTTAGGACGTCTTCCGAAACAAACAAGGGGAAGGAGCAATTCTTGACACCCATCTGCTTGATCTTTGCGTCGAACCAGGCTCGAACCTCGTCCCACACGAATTGAGAGGCAGGCTTGAGGATGTAGCAGCCAGAGATGTCATAGTAATCGAGCATGTCGCCCTTTGTCAAGACCTGCTGGTACCATTCTGAGAAGTCGTCCTCTTTCGCGACATCAATACCTATTAATGCAGCTCCTTCCATTTTCTTTTTCTTTCCACCACCACCAACTTTGCCTGGTAGATTGGCTTCGGCTTTGCCTACTGGCTTGTCCTTCTTCTTCTCTTGTTTCTGCTTTTTTGCTTGCTGACTGGCTTCGAAGTCGATGTCACCTGGTTTCTCCCTCACGGCGAGGTCTGCCTGTTCTGAAGTGGACATTTTGAACAATTGAGTGGAAGGAGCACTATAAGGAGTGTAAAGGTATTGCTTATGGTCTTTGAGCCGGTGAGTCGAAGAAGTATGAGCCAGTATTCAGTGTTTCTTCTCCTGCTGCAAGGGTATCACAGGTACAGATGTGAGTGGACAACAACAGGCCTCCACCCCGCACTCGAAGGAGATGGCACGTGCGTTTGTGTTCACTAGATCCCAATCGTATATTAACAGTTGAGATGGATTTTCAGAGGTATTGGAGGGCGTACAGTCCTGCTGTGGGAAGCGTGACTGTTTCGAATAAGTCGCGACCCAGCAGTTGCGTGCCCCGCAGTCTCGAGACACCTGCTCGTAAAGTTGGCGGCCTAGTAGGCGTCTGAGGCGCTAGTTAGCCAAGACTTCCTGGGGGACTTCTGCAGGTACAATTCCGCCTATTAACGGATTGTAAAGTAAATTTTGATGAGAGCCTTGTGAACATTTCTTTGCCGACAACGACCACTTTACCACGACTCTTGTCAATCGGCAATTGCGGCAGATATCAAGGATTTTCTCCCATCGAGACGCTAGCAAACTCACCTCTCGCTGTGTTAACCATTCCTACAGCGACCACCACTCGAAGCCGAAGACAATACAATCACCATGGCGGGTCTCTTCGAGGCACCACGAAATGCAGGGACACTATTCTTGGGTGGTTCGAAGATATCAGGCTCGGATGTAAGGGATCAATGCGTCCTGGCCACTGGTCAAATAGCAAATGTGGTCAAGAGCTCTTTTGGTCCTTCGGGTCTGGACAAAATGATGGTGGACGATATTGGCGATGTGACAGTAACAAATGACGGCGCAACTATTTTGAGCCTTCTGGACGTCGAACATCCTGCTGGCAAGATTCTGGTCGATTTGGCACAGCAGCAAGACAAAGAAGTAGGAGATGGCACAACCTCAGTCGTCCTAATAGCAGCAGAACTGCTTCGAAGAGCGAACGAGCTAATGAAGAACCGAATACACCCTACCGTCATCATAACAGGATATCGCTTAGCATTAAGAGAAGCCGTCAAGTATATGCAGCAAAATATCAGTACCCATATCAGTGAACTTGGCCGCGAACCTCTTGTCAATATTGCCAAAACCTCAATGTCCAGCAAAATTATTGGCTCAGACGCTGACTTCTTCGCCAACATGGTCGTTGACGCCATGCTTTCGGTCAAATCGACAAACCGCGAGCGACCCTCAGAACCTGCGAAGTACCCTGTCAAGGCTGTGAATATCCTGAAAGCACATGGCAAATCTGCTACAGAATCTATGCTCATCAAAGGATACGCTCTCAACTGCACGGTTGCCTCCCAGGCCATGAAGACAAGAATAACAGATGCCAAAATTGCTGTATTAGACATGAACCTACAGAAAGAAAGAATGAAACTAGGCGTTCAAATCACCGTCGAAGACCCTCAGCAACTCGAAAAGATCCGCGAACGTGAAGCAGGTATCGTCCTCGAGCGAGTAGAGATGATCCTCAAATCCGGAGCCAATGTCGTTCTTACCACCAAGGGCATCGACGACATGTGCTTGAAACTCTTCATCGAGCGTGGTGCCATGGCCGTTCGCCGCTGCAAAAAGGAAGACCTCCGCCGCATCGCCAAAGCAACCGGTGCCACCCTAATATCAACTCTCTCCGACCTCTACGGCGACGAGAAATTCGAAGCCTCCTCCCTCGGCCACGCCGAAGAAGTCGTTCAAGAACGCATCTCCGACGACGAATGCATCCTCGTCAAAGGCACAAAATCCTTCTCCTCCGCCTCCATCATCCTCCGCGGCAGCAACGATTACCAACTCGACGAAATGGAACGCTCGGTCCACGACTCCCTCTCAGCCGTCAAACGCACACTTGAATCCGGCAGCGTCGTCCCTGGTGGCGGCGCTGTCGAAACCGCCCTCCACATGTGGCTCGAAGAATACGCCCTAACCATCGCCTCACGCGAACAACTCGCAGTCGGCGAATTCAGCCAATCCCTCCTTGTCGTCCCCAAGACCCTCGCCGTCAACGCAGCCCTCGACTCCTCAGAATTAGTCGCTCAGCTACGCATCCGCCACGCCGTCGCTCAGCGCGTCCAGGAAGGCGACGTCAACGTCCCTGAAAAGGATAAAGATATTGCGCGAAAACGCAGCTATCGGACTTATGGCCTGAACTTGAGAGAGGGCAAGGTCGCGGATATGGTCAAGTTGGGTGTGCTGGAGCCGAGTATGAGTAAGATTCGGCAGTTGAAGAGTGCTGTTGAGGCTTGTGTGAGTATCATGAGGATAGATACGATGATTAGACTGGATCCGCCGCAGCAGCAGGAGGATCCACATGATCATTAAGGTCGTTCTTGTTTGTCAAATCCATGAGGCTCTATGTTAACGTTAGACAAAATTAAGCAAGCAAGCGGAATGGTATGTGGTAGGCACGAACTTCGTGAAACGAGACAGTTGCATGAATGATACCCATAGAATGAATGCACATGGAATTGAATGTTATGTTTCATGAAGTAAAAAATCTAGTCATTGAAATTGACAGGGTCTATCGACAAGTGCATCGTCAACCTCTACCCCTACTCAAACCCATCATCGACCTGATCAGCCTGAAGCGGGTCCCCTCTCGTCCTCACCGGGCTCGTCGGTCCAAGTGCCACCACCGGTTCAGCCACGCTAGTATTGTTCAGAGTCAAACTCCGATGATGTCCATGATAAACACCCCCTCCCCTCACCGGTCTCGTATCTATCTTCTCAACCTGAGGCTGTTCCTCGATCTCGTCCATACTACCGGCACCCAATGGATCACCCGTACTGCCAGGAGTATCTCCTCTATCGGGCTCAACCAGTCGCCCCGTAGCACTCGTCCCACTGAGACCTCTCTGTCTCGCCTGGCCGAGTTTCATGCGTACCGTGAGACTGAGATCGTTCATGAAGGTATGCATCTCCTTGAAGCCGTACATTGCCGCTTCGTGATGTCTGAGTCGTTCGTAGAGTTCTTGGGCGTCGTCGATGCGGGCTGCTGCGAAGGGTGCTCGGCCTAGTTTCATCCATTCTTCGGCTGAGGTTAGGGACCATAGAGCTGCATGGCGCGTGCGGTGGGAGAGTGTATAGCTATTAGAAGATATGGTGTGGGCTGTTGTAGCTGCTGCGGAAGAGGGACGATTACCGGCGTAACAGCTTGCTATGCGCTCGGAGATGAGGACGTGAGTGTTCGTGCTCTGAGGTGCTAGATTCATTTCCAGTGTGCGGATGGCCCATTTGCTTGCTAGCTCGGATGCGAGTCGACCGCGGACTTTTAGGAGCTCGCAAGTAAGCAGAACACATCGCAAGGCTAGAGCAGGCTCATTGCACCGTGTTAAGTATGAATATGATGCAGCCTCGAGCATGGTATCGAAGGTTTCCAGTTTTGGAAGGGATTTACCGCTCGAGGAAGTGGTTGAGCTCGAGAGGAGTGGATTGAGAAGAGTCGTTATGCTACACATCTCATTGACACCAGCCAAATACTTCCACGCTTTGTCATTACTGTAGTCTGAGCGGAGCATGTCATAGGTAGACGCAGCAAGCTTATAATCTCTGAGCATAGTAGCAAAATCTGCCATCTTGCGCAGAAAGGCCTCTGATGTATCCCAACGGTAGTAGCCTTGTATAGAATCATAATTGCCACTGCTCGAGGTTGGAGCCGCAAGACTGGTCGCTGAAGAGTTACGCGATGATCCAAGGCCTATGCCACCCCAACGTTTCGAGAGCGACATGAAGCGACCGGATATACCCCTTCTGCGAGACGCGATCTGTTCGTTCCATAGACTGATCCTTTGCTCCATATGTGGCACGATGGATTGTGACACAAGTTCTCGAGCAAAAGTGCGTATGTTCGCGGCATCTGTCGAGAAAATTGTGGCTATTGGATTTTCGTCCAGCTCAATCAATTGTGTCGTCTTTTGCAGTTTAGAGAGTTCTGTCGAAGCCGCGATCCATTCTTGTTGTGGCACTTCCTCCCCATCTTCGTCATCTTGTGCACATATGGCAGAGCGAAGTCTGAGCAGGTGACAATGCAGGCCAAAGTGCCTCTTCATTTGATCGAACAGTGCTGACGACTTCGCAAGGTCGTCTTTGTCATCATCGTGGACGAGCAGGTAGTAGCGCAAATATTCAGGGTTGATGTAAGGAGGTGATGCAAAGCTGCCCTGCGCACTTTGGGAGTAAAGATTCCTAAGAGTCTCTATTGGATTTGCTGTAGATGAGCTAATAGCTATAATCGCAGCAACGGGATGTGACAGAGTTTCATGCTGAGATGGTGGTTGAGAAGACGCAAGTCTGCTGAGAAGCAGTCGGTAATAAGGCGATATTTCCTGAAAGCCAGCAACAAATTCTCCAGTATGCTGCTCTAGGTAGTGTTCGATCAGGTCTTCCACATTCTCAAGTATCTCAGATCCTTTCGTAGCCCGCTCTTGAACGGCAGCGCCTAGGCCGACAAATTTGACGCCAAAGTCGTCCCATGAGCGGCTTGCGCCTGTGCTGTCTCTTACTACCACCTTCCCTGTAATTCGCTCTCCATATGGCTGCAACAGACTCACGAACCCATTCTTGAAGCCTTTCTCTTCTGCCAGCGCATCCGTTTCACGTGAAGCGAGTACGCCAACGACGGGCGAGAAAGAGCGTACAATCAAGGTTCGTATTTCGTCATTGCCGTCTGCGACACTGGATAGTGGACTGGCTGTTGAAGAGCGCCCAAAGCGGGCCAAAGACAGTGACGACCTGCCGTTTGGAGAGTTTGAGCGCGAGAGAAAGCCAGATAGAGTACTAGATCTTGACCCTAAGACTGCCGGACTGGCAGGTCGGAAAGGTAGGCTCGATGTCGAATTTTCAGGCGATTCGTCGATTGCTCTAATCTTTCGAACGTCGAGGGAAGGAAGTGAGGATTGCAAATTAGGAGGTTGACCTGCCCCATCGCCCTGCGAGGTCATGGACTATAGAAGGAGAGTTGTTGCTGGGAAGGTTTGCCTCTAAGCAATCGATTGAGGTGCATGGAGGGTCTTCCGGTCTGACACGGTTCTCTGTAGAGCGCAGCATATGCGTCTTTATCTGTTGCAGTGTAGAACGTTGTCAATCTTCGCTCGTGCTAATAGCAAACGATCCATTCCTGAGTACAGCGCTGCCAATGAGATCACTGGCCAGCGATGTGAATGTCGAGCGCCTCGGTGCGTTGCGTTCTACCGTACTGGAATCTCTACGGTTCACTATAAGCACGAAGATATGGTAGTTAACGAGGTTGTGATCATCGACACGTTGAGCATTATCCTCATCTTGGGTGTAGCGATCGCAACCAGCTTGCCAGTCGAAAGCACGTCTCTCGAAGTCATGTTTATGGCTAGGAAGCACGCAATGTGCGAATCGATGGGCATTGCTCTCTGGCCCAAACACCTTGCTATTTGGTATAAAATGACCATGCCACCGATATGTTCTCCTTATCTACTAATTCTGCATTGAATTTTTCTCAAAGCACATCACACCTTTAGGCCGTTCTGTCAGATGGTTCCACTAGTTCATCTCCACAATTAAGCAGCTTTCTCGTATACCGGTGACCGTCCAACATGCTCGTTTGCTTCGGCACCTGACTTCTCGATATCCGTCTCTATGTGGCCATGAGGACTGTCCTCGTCACTGCCCGCATTCTGGATGCCGATATTCGCTGCGCCAAGTGAATCGACCGGACCACGGTAAGCTGCTACAAAATTGACACAGAATGCGTATGACCAGGCAGCTATAAAGAAGGCTAGGGGCACAGCCATTGCAATAGCTGTGCTGTTTTGAAGATCCGCAGCAACACCAAGCAGCGGTGGCACACATGCACCTCCTGCCACGCCACCCACAATGAAGCCAGATCCTCGCTTGGAATATTTGCCGAGACCTCTCATACCAAGTGCCACTGTGGTCGGGAAAATAATGCTCTCGAAGAAAAGAGTCAGATACAGCATTGACATGCCAGTATTACCTCTTTGCGTGATAGACGGCGTGATGAAGACAATGATCATCGTCATATAAACGAGATAGACATATCTCGGCTTGACAAACTTCATTAGCCCAGAACCTATAAATCGCCCGGCCGTGAATGCACCTTGTGCGCCTGCGAGAAACTTTGACGCAAGAGCAGCGTCCGTATTCGCCCTCGTTTCGGTCACGTAGTTGATGAAATAGCCTGCGATGGCAACCTGAGCTCCAGTGTAACAGAACTGGCAGAATGTCGCATGGAAGAGGCGGTATTGCTTCCGGAATGGCTTGATTGCAGAATTGGCGTGAGTCTCTTCAGCTTGAAATGCCATGTCTGCGTCCGTGATCTCGGGTATTGGTGAGAAGAAGAACACAACAGCCAAAATGAACACGAAAACAGCAATAGCGAGATAGGTCCATTGCACTGATGTCAGAGCTGAGGGCGAATCCTGCACGTGGTTGAAGAACACATACGACGCAAGCACAGGACTCACGACCGTTCCTGATAAGAGTGTCAGTAGAGAGACAAAACATACTCGCAAGCAAACCTACCAATCCCATTGAAAGCTTGACTGATGTTGATGCGGATCTCTGAGTATTTCGGGGGCCCGCAAATCGTAATATAGGGGTTGGCAGCCGTTTCAAGCGATCCCAGGCCATTACCAATGATGAATGTAGCAGCACAAAAGCCGCCGAAGGACCGATAGATCAGGCATGGCCAGGTAATCAAGCAGCCGATACCATAGATGCACAGACCCCAGATGAAGCACGCCTTGAAGCCAAATTTTCGTAAAATCCAATTCGCGTGGCCTAAGGAAGCTGTTTCTCTCCGTCAGCCACAGAACAATATCGTTTAGGACTGTTCCGCCACGTACCTAACGGATATGCTCCGAAATATGCTGCTTGCAGACCCGAAGACCTCGCTCTTGTAATGCCCAATGTGGTTTGGAAATGTTTGTTGAGTGTATCAATTAGTCCATAGGAGAAACCCTGTCGTTGTTACCACAAGTTTCGCGCTCCCTTCGGTGCCACGTACCCATAAAAAGAACAAAATGGTAACCTTTACAAGCGTCATTAGCAGTGACCCCGGCATAGCGTATCCATCATAGCGTACCAAACATATTGGATAGATAGACTGCTTAAGGGTCAGCTCTGCTGCCCGAGTCCTGGCAGTATCGTCTGCCTTGAATTTTGTCTTTCGGAGGAATTTCATCGTACTGGCCAACCTCGTTCCTCACAGCTAGGAATGTTAATCGCAATGTGTGTTTCTAGCCTTGTGGGAATTCAGGAGCAGGAGAAAATAGTAGACCCGAGGAAGAGAAATCCTGTATTATATAGAAGAGACGATGTGGAACGGCACGGCAGGGAAGTAGGAAGCTGATGGTCGCATATCATGCTCGGCATTATATTGTGCGAAGGGTAGCACTCGAGTGCTGATCATCTCACCTGAAAACGTGCTTCACGTGTATCTCAATCCGGTAGATGGCATATGTCGATCTTCCAAGTCCCAAGAGAGGGGGCTTCCGATGAACTTCTGTGTATAAGCGACACCTAGAGCATCGGGTCATTTGCTAGCGAGGAGCACTTGGCGACTCACAACTGCAGGCTTGGTGCGGAGATCCGTCCCCAGACACATCCAATCTGGGGTTCCCCAGGAATTGCCCAGACACCATCTGCTTAGGCTATCAGCTAAACAAGGACTCACCGTTCCAAACATTCCTTGTCGATTTTGCTTCGGTGCTCAATCATCTGATGCGTCCCTTGTCTTCCAGCAATCACCTGCTCTCGTTGAATAGTGGGTTTCACTAATTTGCTGCAGACGGATGAGATGCGCTTGAGCGGAACCAGCTTCAATATGGCTTTGAACAGGAGCTATTCATCTGACCGCAACGCAATGCATACATCTATGTACTCACGCTAGCTGTGAGAAGTACTTCTGCTAGGTGTGTACAAGGCGCGCTTGCTGTTAAGGTGGAATCTTAATTGGCACGAAGTGTGCTGGTTTTGAGTCGTGATTGATCACTGACATAAGGTGAAAAAGTACTCCTACCCATAATGCAGGCAAACGAAAGTTGCTCTCTCAGCATCAGCTTGTGACATGAAGCCGTATCTCAGCTGATGCGAGGAGCTGGTTGTTAACTAAGGAGTAGGATGCTGTGCACGTTTGCAGCCACCCGAAAGACCGCCGATCCTAGATAAGAACAAACTCGTAACCAAGCACGAAGTGCATACGATATCTTCTGTCTATGACACAGTATAGTCGTTGACCGTTCCAGCGGTAGCCGAATTGAAGAAGGAAAGAAACTGTCTTGGACAGTGGCCGTTTGGATCGTCACTTGCTAGTCACGTGGAGTAGATCCGAACATTTTGTGTGTTCGGAAGAGTCCATCAGATAACCACACCAGGAAGTCCTATGCACCCACAGGTTGAATAAAAGTTGCGGCTTCGACTACAACTTGGTGTCGCAAAAGTCGAGGCGGTGCCCGTTGCGATCGAAAAAGGTGGTCTCTTTTGGATTCTTGAGCTCAGAAGGTATGCTTAACAGATCTTCACCATATATCATGTCAGTAGAACCGCACAACTTTCTAGCCTCTGCACATCGAAGGCAGATGAAGACTCTTCTTGTTAGTATAATGCTTGTATCCATTAGTGACTTAGGCTATCACGATCTGTTCCTGAGACGGAATCTAGCCGGAAATAATTTCAGATCGTGGATGACTTCGTGTCATTTTTGGGGGCTGCATCGCATAGCTCATCCATGTTCTTCATAAGGCTGTCATATACTGCATCCCGATCGATCTCGGTAGCGATGTGGCACATTTCAGGCCAATTCTCGCTTTGGTGGTTGATTTGACAAGCTAGAGCACGTTCGAATGGTGTCGCAACTTCGCTGCAACGTCCGTTCCTGTTCGATGCTCAAGGATGGCGATTATTGAAGGACACTATCGGGCCGTTGCTGCTCGTCAGTCAAGCGGCACAGCATATCTTCAGAAAAGGCTTGCAGCCGCCTCTAGGCTTCACGTCTGATATCCGGGGGACAATACCCAGCAGACGTTCTTGGAGTGATCGAGGGTTGTCTAGTAAATAAACGAAGCAGCACCAATTTTGGTCGAGAGAAAAAAAAGGCAAGGTCGTGTTACGCATCAAATGTCGAAGTTTCTTAATTGCAGCACTACAGTGGTGCACAAGTACCAGTATTGCACTGCGGAGGACGAAACGGCACAACTTGAATCTGTCCATGAATCGGCGCTATGCATCGTGATCGCAAGAAGTCTTCGTGCATACGAGTTCATCACATTCTTTTCGGGTCGACAACGTCGTCAGCGTCGCTATTTCTGCGACTCAAATGACCAAGTGTATAACAACCAGCCGGGGGTTCATCACCCTGGCCAGAAGCACGAAGAAACTTCAACTTTCTGATCCTCTGACAGTAAGTTCAATCACAATCTTTGGAACCAGCGCGCTTACTATCGCAGCGGTGTCTTGTCCCTCGCATCGTTCGCACGTATGCCACGCATGCACAACTGCCGTCGTCGACTGTTCCCGGTAGCGCTGCCAGCTCGAACAGCACCGATGCTCAAGCAACGAGCTCGACGTCCTCTCCCTTTCACACACCAGTACTAGCAACATTACACTCATGGCCCTCAATGCAGCCTAAAGCATACACTTCATATGCCTACAATCATCTGAATGTTCCTTTACGGAAGGACATCCTACATCGAGCAGTAATATTTGAAGCGGACGCAGCACGACAAGGTACAGCATCGACAAAACACCGAACACAAGTGAGGGGATCAGGGCGGAAGAAAGTCCCACAAAAAGGCACTGGTAGAGCACGTCAGTCGGATCTAAAATCACCAAGTGTTAGAGGAGGCGGTGTTGCTCATGGTCCGCATCCAAGGGATTTCTCAACAGACCTGCCTGAACAAATCTACAACCTAGCGTGGCGCACAGCTCTTAGTTACAGATATAGAAAAGGAGAGTTGATAATATCAGCTGATCGACTGAACCTTGCTGAAGACCAGAGCCCAAGGTTTTTCGACAACTTCTTCGAGTCGCTTGGCTGGGGGAAGAACAACGGACGAAGTTTAGTGGTTCTCGATGGTCCAAAAACCGATCGCATACACTTGTTCGAAGCTCTGCAACAGGTTGGCGAACATACAAATGTAAAATACAGGGACGAGGTCAAGGTTAAAGATCTCTTGTCATGTGGTAGGGTTATCATTGAGCGACCTGCCCTCGCAAGCATACTGAAGCAGAGGAGCTGAAGAAGTCAATGAAGCTATGTTTGTCTGTCCGATATAAACATTTTCCACTTTCTCGTAAACAACTCCGATACGCCTTTAGATGTAGTCGTTCAGTAGGTGTCATAATCTCGTACAAGTAGTAGGCTGACTATGGCAGCTGAGCTTCCTGAGGCGCTACAACTGTCACCGATTCCTTCTCTTTGTCGTATACAGCTGATAGACCCATCTTGAATTCAGACATACGTACACCGAAAATCTTGAGTATGCTCGTCTGTGTTGAATTCAATATGTCTCCCTCTTTGCAAATCTCGTAACCCTCTTCTGTGTCCATACTGTCTTCGGGTCGATCTTCTAAGGTGACCTTGCCCTTCACGATCTTGGTCGGTACTCCCAGCCTTCTTAGTGTTGGCTCGATACTCATTGGCAATGGGTCTTCTTCACCACCTTCGACACCATATGCAGTATGTAACTCTCCAGGCGGTATCCTGAAACCTTGTGCTGCAACAGCGCCGCTTCTTGCGTAATCCAATTCGGAGTATGTCTCGAAATAGTCTTGTACCTCTTGCGGCTGTCGATCTGTGAATAATAGCCCAACTTCGCCTTTCATATGAGACACGAGCCCGCTTGCGCCTGGCACACATTCAGACTCTTTGTTGCGGCCTAGAGCGACCTGCATAACTTTGGTCTTGCCCATAAATATTCTGCTGTCTGCGAAGTCGACTCTGACCTGCTTGATGAAGTTGTTCCGCACATTTTCGACACCGAAAACCCAGATATACGAATACTTTTCTGCTGCTTCCTGGATATTGGTGTGTAGTCGCTTGACAAGTTCTTTGTGGTTCTTCTTCGTTTTTGAGGTCGTCACGACACGATTTCGCTTTGAGGACGGCATTTCGGTGCAGATATCTGTGAGCGGCGTCTGCTGTATTGACTGTTACAAAAGTCGATCGCAACTTCGACTTGACAACTTTTATGTGGGTCAATTCCGGTGCAGCCTATCAGAGTAGTCGTGCTTTCGGCTAGCCTAAGCCATTTCAGGTAGAAAACGCACTCATATTGGGGTCAACACGAGATACTGTACAACCCCTGCATGAGGAGGATATATTTGAGTAGCAGAGTTGTTCCTTTCCTCGTTTTGCAGCTTCCTCAACTATCTGCAGTCCACGCTTCGACCATGGAGAACCAAGTCAAAACAAAACCCAAGCAATCCTCCTCAACAAAAAGCACATATCTTCTAGCATACAATGCCATTTCGTTCTTGTTATGGTCAACTGTAACGTTGAGGGCTCTTCTGCTCATACCAGCACTAGCATCTCACGGTCAGCTCTACGGATTACATGAAGCACTTTTCAACTTTCTCCGAGCAACACAAACAATTGCTCTGCTGGAAGTCGCCCATGCTGCTCTTGGTCTAGTTCGAGCAAGCCCCATGACAACAGCGATGCAGGTCGCCTCTAGGATTATGCTTGTCTGGGGTGTTCTGACACCATATCCAGAAATTGTGGTGTCCAGCAGTGTCTTTGGACGACCGCAACAGGGCACTGTCGGTGGACCCATCGGCCTCGCTGGATGTCATGTTGCTTGGGGTATCACAGAGATGATCAGGTATGGCTTCTTCGTGTGGAAGGAAGGTGTCAGTGATGTGGTCCCGGGCTGGCTCCTATGGCTGAGGTACAATACCTTCTTTGTCTTGTACCCTATTGGCATCTCGAGTGAAGTGCTGCTGATGTACTTGGCCATCGAACCTGCTCAGGCTGGTGGTAGCGGATATGATTGGGTGCTAAAAGCTGTGATTGCCATCTACGTACCTGGCAGCTACATTTTGTACACACATATGATGGCCCAGAGGAGGAAGATATTGAAAGGAAAGAGCAAAGCGAGCTAAGCCAATCGTCAACACTGGTACGACAACAACAAGAACTCAAGAGCCTGCGGTGCTTGGTAGCTCGATGATCTCGTGGATCAACGCAAGGCAACAATGTTATCGCCGACCTATACCTGGACTTTCCCATCCTTGCGCACGTTATAGACAATCCAGCAAATGCCTAGCCAAGCAAGCGGGAGGCATGTGGCGGAGGTATCACAGCCATCCCAAATCGAGCGACTTCTCCTAGCTTCTAAGAGCGTATCAATGCATTGCTGACATGGCAAACAGACAGTACGTCGCTTGAACAAAACTCGATTGGTCGATTCCGTTTTTCGCATGGTAGAAGTGAGACGCGTATAGGATCGCGTTCGTGATATGCTAAAGGTAGAGCTGCAAAGTGTTCAGAAGTCTGTGCAGTGTTCTATCTCCTTCGATCCGTCTCCAAGTAAAGTAATGGTGAGTAGTTGCCGTTCTTGTGAGCGGCTCGACTCCACAAGGTCGGCAAGAAGACTGGAAGGCAAAGCCGCTCAGGCTGCTCCATTGGTGACGCCTTTGTTGCGGCCTGCACCATCTGCATCATTATTAGCTTGCTAGTCGGACTTGTTCATCGCCGCATATTCACTTTATTGACCTGCACGATCATCCTGCCCTTTTAAACATTTCCCATCATCTCTTTCTCTACTTATCATACACAACTTCTCATCTGCTTTCTTCCTGAACTCGCTCAGTGGACGAAAGGCCACGTTCTCGTTTGGAACCGCGATAGTCCACCGCTTGAGCCTAGAAACGACCATCTCAACAGATCAATCTTCTACACTAATCAATCACACAAACAGACAAGATGTCTGCAGAGCCTGATCACGCGGTCAAGAAGCCCAAGGTCAATCTAAAGTATGTAGACTACCGCTCTCGTTTTGCGGACTCAGCAGCTAACACGATCAACAGTGATGCCTCTGGCGCTGAACCAAAGAATGACCTCGATACCGCCACAGCTATCCTCAAGAAAAAGAAGAAGCCAAATTCCTTGATCGTGACTGATGCCGTCAACGATGATAACTCGGTCATTGCTCTCTCAAACAATACCATGGAGACATTGCAGCTCTTCCGTGGTGACACTGTAACAGTCAAGGGCAAGAAGAGAAAGGAAACAGTCTTGATCGTTCTTGCAGATGACGATCTTGATGATGGCAGTGCCAGAATCAATCGAGTTGTTCGCCACAACCTGAGAGTCAAGCACGGCGACATCGTCACGGTGCACGCGTGCCCAGACATCAAATATGCGAAGCGAATTGCTGTCCTACCTATCGCAGACACGATCGAAGGCCTCACTGGCTCACTCTTCGAGACATTCCTTGCTCCATACTTCCGTGAGGCATACAGACCGGTCAAGCAAGGTGATCTGTTCACATGCCGTGCCGCCATGAGACAAGTCGAATTCAAAGTTGTCGAGGTAGATCCTCCAGAGTCTGGCATTGTCGCCCAAGACACAATTATTCACTGCGAGGGTGAGCCAATCCAGCGTGAAGACGAAGAGGGTAACCTTAATGAAGTCGGATATGACGATATCGGTGGTTGCAGAAAACAAATGGCGCAGGTTCGTGAGTTGGTTGAGCTGCCACTACGACACCCCCAGCTGTTCAAGTCCATCGGTATCAAGCCTCCTCGAGGTATCCTCATGTTTGGACCTCCTGGTACTGGTAAGACACTTATGGCTCGAGCTGTTGCGAACGAGACCGGTGCTTTCTTCTTCTTGATCAATGGCCCAGAAATCATGTCGAAGATGGCTGGTGAATCGGAATCGAACCTACGAAAAGCCTTCGAAGAGGCTGAGAAGAACTCGCCTGCTATCATCTTCATTGACGAAATCGACTCTATCGCACCAAAGCGAGAGAAGACCAACGGTGAAGTTGAGCGTCGTGTTGTCTCTCAACTCCTCACGCTCATGGACGGCATGAAAGCTCGTTCTAATGTCGTGGTCATGGCTGCCACTAACCGACCCAACTCAATCGATCCTGCCCTGCGACGATATGGCCGATTCGATCGAGAGGTTGATATTGGTATTCCTGACCCTACCGGTCGTCTCGAGATTCTTCAAATCCACACCAAGAACATGAAGTTAGGAGATGACGTCGACCTCGAGAGCATCGCCGCCGAGACACACGGTTATGTCGGTTCAGATATTGCTTCCCTATGCTCTGAAGCTGCTATGCAGCAGATTCGTGAGAAGATGGATCTCATTGATCTGGACGAGGACACGATCGACGCAGAGGTGCTAGACTCGCTCGGTGTGACGATGGAGAACTTCCGCTTTGCCCTTGGCATCTCCAATCCATCTGCTCTCCGAGAAGTCGCAGTCGTCGAGGTTCCAAATGTTCGATGGGACGACATTGGTGGTCTTGAGAACGTCAAGCAAGAACTCATCGAGTCTGTACAATACCCAGTCGATCATCCCGAGAAGTTCCTCAAGTTTGGCCTTTCGCCATCCCGAGGTGTGCTATTCTATGGCCCACCAGGTACTGGTAAGACTATGTTGGCAAAGGCTGTTGCCAACGAGTGTGCAGCCAACTTCATTTCCGTCAAGGGTCCCGAGCTGCTCTCCATGTGGTTCGGTGAGTCAGAGAGCAACATCCGAGATATCTTCGACAAGGCTCGTGCTGCCGCACCTTGTGTGGTCTTCTTGGACGAGTTAGACTCCATCGCCAAGTCCCGTGGTGGTTCTGTTGGTGATGCTGGTGGTGCATCGGATCGAGTTGTCAACCAGCTGCTGACTGAGATGGACGGTATGACCTCGAAGAAGAACGTCTTCGTCATCGGCGCTACCAACCGACCGGAACAGCTCGACAACGCGCTTTGCCGACCTGGCCGTCTAGATACTTTGGTCTACGTTCCTCTACCAGATGAGAAGTCCCGTGAAGGTATTCTCAGAGCTCAACTCAGAAAGACACCAGTATCGGATGACGTAGACATCAAGTATATTGCCAGCAAGACACACGGCTTCTCAGGTGCCGATTTGGGCTTCGTGACCCAACGTGCCGTCAAGCTTGCTATCAAGGAGGCCATCTCTGCCGACATCGAACGAACCAAGGAGCGCGAAGCTGCTGGTGAAGACAATATGGACACAGACGAGGCCGAAGACCCAGTACCAGAGCTTACCAAGCGACACTTCGAGGAAGCTATGCAAGCTGCACGACGATCCGTTACTGATGTGGAGATCCGAAGATATGAAGCATTCGCTCAAGCGATGAAACAGTCTGGTGGTAGTGCTTTCTTCAGATTCCCAACTGATGAGCAGACTGAGGCTGCTGCCAATGGCAACGGTTTCGGTGACGCTGGCAACGATGACAGCTTGTATGATTAGACTGGGCGAACAGGCATAGACGTGGAGGCGTGTGATTTCACTTGATACTGATCGATGGGGAAAGCATGTTACGGCGCTGAACGTAGGATACTGCATAGAGCAGTTAAGGAGCCAATACAGAATAGCTTGAATGGACAGTTTTGCTTCTTATGGCAAATCCAACATGTCTTGGTGGCATGGTAGATAGAGATGATCGAATTGAATCAAAATGCAAGTTTCACAAACTTCCTCAATCTCCTTCGGCGGCGTGCACTCTGAGCACGACACATGTAGGCAATACCATTTATTCTGGCAGAAGATTGTCGTCTGCTGAGCTGTTGATATTGCATTATAGAGGAAGTTGTGGATCTCAGCAGATCAGGTGTGCCTCGTAGACTTTTCATCTGTGAATAGATTCCAGAGCTCATCGTTGTCCTGTTCCCACTCGGCTGTGGAGCGGGAGTTGGTGCTTTATTTATTCGAGTTTCGCAGTCTCCAGTTCGTGCTGGATTGCAAAATGATACTTCATTCAAGCGTCACTCATCCCTCACACTTGAAACGAAGCTCGTGCTAGACATCACGGCACTAGCGATCACGACAACCTTTAAGCTGTTCTACCTTACCATCGTTCGTACACGTTCCACCATTTAACAAGCAATTGCGCATTGACCACACGACCTTACGACCAATCCAGTTCGCCTCTTGTGACACAGTAACACATCCAGGATGTCTTCGCCTACAATTCCCTCAGGCGATCCACCACCTGAAAACATCGATACTACAACCGCAGACGTGGATGCAGACATGGAAGACATAGTCCAAGATCCTAACGCTACAACGCTCAACACAACGAGCGCAGTCAACGACGGCTCCTCAACCATAGGCAACGACGACGCAGCGCCAGACTCAGCACAGCCACCGCCGACATCCTCACAGACCCAAACTCAGAACCAGCAGACACAGACACAGGCACAGACACAAACACAAACACAAACACAAACACAACCCTCCACAACCGTCCCACCACCACCTCAGAGCCGCAAAGACGTCACGCTACGCGAGTTTCTCTCAAAGATGGACGACTATGCACCCATAATTCCCGACGCAGTAACAGCACACTATCTCACTCTAGCTGGCCTCCCACCACCCAACCCGCACGACCCTACAGGCGCAAATACAGGCGCTACACCTGTCCAACTCGCTCGACTCTTCGCGCTCGCGACGCAAAAGTTCGTTGCGGATCTGGCTGCGGATGCGTATCAGTACTCGAGGATCAGGGCGAGCAATTCGAGTGCTGGGAATAATCCGTTGGCTGGCGGGGTTCCGATTGGTGCTCCGGGCGTGGGTGGTGTGGGTGGTGCGGCTGGAGGTGCTGGTGGTGCGGTGGGGAAGGGAGCGCAGAATACACAGTTAGGGGTGCAGAGGGCTGGGTTTGGAGGTGGTGGTCAGGGTGGGAGTGGGCAGGGGAAGACGGTGTTGACGATGGAGGATTTGGGGATGGCGGTGCAGGAGTATGGTGTGAATGTAAGAAGGGGAGAGTTCTATCGATGAGAGAACGGGAAGAACAAATTACGACCATTGACGATCTTTTTGCATCGATTGTACAATAAAGAGGAGGTCTGGCCACCTCCTCGGATACTAGATGTACAATACGACAGCCATATGAGCATCACCAAGCTGCAGAAGTGCCAGAATCACGAGACGTGGTCCGGGACTCGCCTGCCCTGCAGAATGGTACAGGAGTGTACGCCATCAAGCGCCAATATTCCTCATGGATTCTGCCTCAAGGGTGGATTGGAATCGCCGCAGTGTTTGCGACAAAATCATAACATATGGCTGAGGTTGACCAGTGCCTTCCCGAGATATCTTCGAAGAAGCTAAAGAAGCAAAGTCGAAGTCGGGAACAATACACCAATACAAGTATGCTCGCTCATTTGTTCTTGCTCTGTTTATATGTAAATCTCTTCCTCGTTCTGTGAACCGTCAGCCAATTTTGTCCTCCGTGTAGTGTTTCCATCTGAACTCACGGCGAAAACTCTCCTAATTTCCTCCCAACCATCTCCTCTGTAACGTACACTTCTTGGTACAGCTTTCCATTATGTACGGCGAACTTGAGCCCGACAAAGTTGGGCAGAATCGTAGCAGCACGTGCTTGTGTTCGAATCACAGGAGAACCTGGGGGAGGAGGAAGTTTGCTTGGAAGGCCTGCAATGGGGAGGACGTTCGGGCCTGGATGGAAGCGTTAGATGAATGGTGCGCAGATTTCAGGCGGTGAGGGGGTCGTACCCTTCCAGACCGAGCGCTTGAACAAGCAGAAGGATGGGCGCATCGTTACTGTAGGAGCATCGCCAATTATTGTGTTGCTGCTTGATAGAGGAAATGCGATGGACGTAGTGAATGCACGATTCGTTCCTTCAGGCAAATCGAGCCCGAAACTGCAATTTAGGCGATGGATTCAGTTCTTTCCGGGGCATGAACGCGCAGCCAATCGGACTTGCAGCAAAGTGCTCGGGCTGTGCTCTCTGGGCTTCTCCAGATGGACTGCGGAAAGTGGTAATCCCTGACTTCTGGCACAACATAGTCTCTAGTGTATTGAGCACGTACTCGCCTCAAGGCAACGACTATACTTCCCTGCTATACTCCTGCGACAGACAGCTCGCTTCAATCTACAGACCGACCACTGTGTCCTACAGAGGGAGTCTTTTGCGTTTGCAGTACGCCGTCGACTATCCATCGACCAATACGTTCGTCCATACTGTACATAACATCGATCAAACGAATATTGGAGCTATATCAGGCTTTTCAGCAAACTACGACTACATTCCTTTTATCGTTGCTGATACAGATCCTACACATCCAACATGGCGTCGCAGGTGGGATCATACTCGAATCCCCTAAAGAAGTTCAAGTATGTCCTCATGCGCACGTCGAGCCAGCAGCATACTGACCTGGCAGACTTGTCTTCTTAGGGGAACAGTCCGTTGGTAAAACCTCGTTAATTACAAGATTTATGTACGACTCGTTCGACACGACCTACCAAGCGACCATAGGAATCGACTTCCTCTCAAAGACAATGTACCTCGAAGACAGGACGGTACGCCTACAGTTATGGGACACGGCTGGCCAAGAGCGTTTTCGATCGTTGATACCCTCTTACATCCGAGACTCTTCCGTAGCGGTAGTGGTCTACGACATTACGAGTAAAAAGACCTTTGAGCAGACTAAGAAGTGGATAGACGATGTGCGCGGCGAGCGAGGGAACGATGTTATTGTGGTATTGGTTGGGAATAAAACAGATCTGGGAGATAGCAGGAGGGAAGTCACCACTGCACAGGGTGAAGAGGAGGCGAAAAGGGCAGGAGCCATCTTCATGGAGACATCTGCAAAGGTTGGCCATAACGTAAAGGCGCTGTTTAGGAAGATTGCGCAAGCACTGCCAGGGATGGAAGGTGAACAAGAGCAACAGAAACCTCAGAGTAAGTCAGCTCCGAATTTGGGACGGCAATGAATAGCTAACACACCCGCAGTGATTGATGTCTCGGTAAATAACCAGAAACCAACCGAGGAAGGTTGTGCCTGTTGATGAATGAAAACCATGTCTACGATGGCTTCAGCGAGTCACGTTGCAGCGTTCCAGCATATTTTGAGGCTTAAAGCAAGACAAAAGCTTTACTGTCACCTGGCCAGTGTGTTTCATCTTCTTCCACTGTACAGTTGGAATCAAGCTATACTTTTGGTCAGACTAAATACTACGGCTTCAATTTAGCCAGATCTGGGCACAGACAGAAGGATCGTCACCACGACAAGAAGAGAGCCCGGACAGATCAGTGTGCCTGTGTTATTGTGCTACGGTATAATCTTTTGATATGCTACTTTGGAACCAGCACCACTTTCGATGTGCTTAGAGTGCTTCAGAGGGGAGCCACGTGGACGAATTCGGTTTGATACTCCTAACAGCATGGGAGTCACAGATATATATCATCACCACCTGTCAGCTACTCAGCTTGTAGTATATTTGTAAACCTACTTTGCTGAAACATGGACGTGCCGTGATCTTGAACCCTTCTGCGAGGTGACGCAACATCAGGTACTACGGGACGATCATGTCAGCCACAACGCCAATTTGCTAGCCATTTCCGAACTCTGCTGCTGCCTGGCATCCATCCTTTTTTACCTCGAGCGCATGCAACAACGTTCACTCGTGCACAGCGCATTATATCTTTCCAAGTGAGGCCAATCGACACGAGTAGAAGCAAGAGATCTCTACGGGTGAACACCCCGACGCAGCAGCCATGGGTCTCTCTGCGAGACTCCGACGTGCCCCTATGCCACAGGTATGTCAGCACGACCTTCAAATCGACCCGTTCGTGATGGAAAGGTGCTATCAACTCCTTCTTGATCGCGACGAGAACATGTGTGCGGTGCAGCATTGGCTAATTTGAGACTCTTGCAGACTTTCCTCTTCACCCTTCCTCTGTCGACTGGCGCATCGCTGATAACACTTTCCCTCGTCCTTAATAAGCTTTCAGGTCTCTATGGGATGATCGCATTACTCACAGGCTATCACCTATCACCTTTCCAATTGTCGATGTACGTCTACAGTCTCGTCTGCCTGGCCATCACAGTTCTCCTCAGCAAGCACATCAAGTCGAATTCGCCATTTCACTGCCTTGCGCTCGCGTGGCTCTACGTCCTCGACAGTCTGATCAATGCGCTCTACACGGCCGCGTTCGCAGTGACGTGGTTCCTTGTGCTTTTGGGAAAAGGCTCTGGACCAGGTGGAGATACGATCAAAGACACAAGCGGCTTTACTGATCCGAAGCACAATGTGAGCAGTGTGGATGTGATCGCCGCGCCAAACAACGACGTTGTTCCTGGTCAAGATGCTGTCGCTGGTGGTCATCCAGCTGATGCGCCTCATACTGGTGTGAATGGCAGTGGCTTCCTGGATAAGCAGTCTATCAATTCTATTGTTGTCATTGTTTCGCTGTGGACAATCAGAGCTTATTTCTGCTTGGTTATGCTGAGCTGGGCACGGAATGTGGTCAGACAACATATCGCAATCGTCAGCGTCAGAAGCGGGCATTATTCGAATGCCAATAAGGGTTTGGCTGAGGATCCGTTCGCAGAGAGTCAACCTGAAGGCCAAGGCTGGAAAGGCAGGCTAGGAAGAGCCATGATTACTATTGGACGTACTTACTTCCTTGGGCCTGATGCTGATTCTGACGATGAGAGCTGGGTACAGAATCTTGGACGCAAATTTGGTAGTCACAAGCACGTTGCTGGTCATGAGGCCGGTCTGGCTGATGCATCTGGGAATGGAATAGGAATACAGTTACAAAAGGTTGATCAAAGACCAACAGAAAGGGAGAGGCGGAGGAGGAGTGGTACTGGACCACCACTTCCGGAGGTTCAGGCGCAAAAAGTGACAGAAGAAGAAGGAGCTGGATTGCTAAAGGTGCCAAATCCATGAGATGAACACCTTGAGGCATGTAGCTGGTCTTGATTTGCTTGGGAGTTGGAAAGACGTATTGGGTATTACCACGTGAGGCAGTTACATATAGCATTCCTGAACCGCGAGCTCTGAGCACGGCAGGCGTATTGGTTCATAGAGGCTCGGAATTGTGTCTTCTCACCTTTTACAGACATTATCTCGTGCTACCGAGAAAATTATGTTATGACAGCCTCATAGCAATGTGCAAGAGGCGATGCTGTAGAATCAAGGACAAAATCTACCTCGCCCAGGAAATTGTGGACAATGCATCACGTTCAAGTTCTGTCAATTGCTGCTCTGAGCGTCCACGATAGTAGCTACGGCAGTTTGGACCCCACCACGAAGCTGGCGGAGATTATCTGTTTGTCGATACGTATTACGGTGTGCTGAAAGCTTCCAGCCTCTTCTTTTCAACTGGAAGGAGGTCCCTTTGCCACCACGAAGGTCGTTCCTGCAGCTGCAGGAACACGAAGTTTGAGACTGAGCTTCAAGGAGTACACAAAAACAGCTTCGCAGCTTTCGCAGCTGAAAGTAAGCTTGGCTACAGTAACCATCGATATTGACATCGTCTACATCGTCTTGTCACAAGTAACAGAGGTCAGGTCACATCTGCACAGCATCGGAGAGCTTATTGCGCTACTGCAAGCACTGATGCTGAGCTCTCGGCCTCTTCCCCTCCCACTGTCCAAGAGTTTGGATGTCCAGTGAGGAACGTTCAAGACTGCTTATCCACTATCCTGCTTGAACTTCCCAAGCTATCGAATATGCACCACTCTAGCACATCCCACTCTCGTCACGACATGGTCGGAAAGTGTGCTATCCCGCAAGCTCTACTGCATTGAGGCAGGTCATCTGAAGCTTCGAAGCTTGTTAGTGCTGACATATACTTGTAGAATGTAGCTCCCACCACAGCTATGCAAGGTTGCTTCTCTTTCTATACGACCTCTGTGTAGCTCACGTAAGAGAGCTGTATCGCAATCTGCGTATACAGCACCATGTCCAACCACTTACTTTTCTTACTTTGTTCGTTACTCAGCATCACTTCCTCCGCGCATACCTTGAAGACGCAAGTCTTGAGTTCCTTTGTCTTCTCGCGCCATGGAGATCGGACACCTCTATACACGAGCAACGCTTCCATTCTGACACCCTATGGCGCTCAGCAGATGTCCATTGCTGGCTCAAATTTTCGCAGGCGCTACCTGTCGACCATCTTTGAAGATAGCCAAGACAATACAGTCATCCGTGACATTTCTCATTACTCGCCCAACGTAAATGAGGTGACGGTGTACAGCATAGACAACCAATATGTGACAGCTTCTGCTCAGGCATTTATGCAAGGATTGTATCCTCCTCTTGGTCAATTAGATGTGAATTTTACGAGTCTGGGGGAAATTTCACGCCTCGCCAACGGAACAAATGTAATTGCACCACTTAATGGCTACAACTATCCTGACATAAACACGGTATCCTCGTACGACCCGAGGTCCGTATGGATTGATGGTGCAGCGCATTGTCCAGCATATACAAGCCGACTAGTTGAATATTACAACTCCACTGACTTCGATTTCCTCTACACTATCAGTCTAGACTTCTATCGTGGATTGGACGACTATCTAGACGAGTACTTCACTCCGAACGATCTTGGCTATTTTGACGCCTACTACATCTACGATTGGTTACAGTATGAAGCACTTCACAACAGCTCTTTCCGCATCTCCGATGTCAATATGACCAGGGCTGAACTTCTCGCTGCGAACTGGGTGCAAGCACTATTCTCAAACAGCACCGACTCTGTCAAATCCATTGCTGGACGCGGTCTTGCCACGCAAGTACTCAACACTTTCTACAATGCTATTCGAAGCGACGGGGAAGCCAACAAGCTCAACCTTTGGTTTGGCGACATGGCGCCTATGGTTTCATTCGCGGCACTAGCTGGTTTGACAGGCAAGAAGAACAGCATCTTCTACGACATTCCTGCCATGAGTTCGAGCTATATCTTTGAGCTTGTTGCCTTGCTCCCAGAAGACGACACAGGTGTTACTTATCCCAACACTTCTGACATGTACGTTCGGTTCTTATATCAAAACGGTACCGATGAATATTCAGACGCTGTCGAATACTCACTCTTTGGACGCAGTCCGAGCTCGCTGATAAGCTATACTGACTTTGTAACAAGCATGTCAAGAATAAGTCTGAGCGGCATTCGAGAATGGTGCTTGACTTGTGGAGCTTACAACGTCTTCTGTCCTGCTTTTACCAACAGCAACTCTGTAATTAACGGGAATACAGAACGAAAAGGCCTGTCTCCGGCAGTGGCTGGCGTAATCGGTGCCTTGGTTGCGCTTGCGGTAGCTGCCATCCTATTCGGACTTCTCATGGCGTTCGCGGGCATTCGTGTCAAGAGACAGGAAAGAAACCGCAAGTCTGAACTAGGTGGTTTCAAAGGTTCACAAAAGCTTGCCAGTGATCAAGATCTGACACTACCGAAAGGAGGGGCTGGTGTGACTGTGACGACAACAGAGCCTGAAGGAAGCAAGAGCCATGAAAGAGTGGGTAGCTGGGAACTTCGACAACAAGCGAAGCAGGAAGAGGCAGGCATTGTGGTAGCACCTCGACCTCGACGACCGAGTTATGAAGACGACGAAATTCATGTCGACCCTTATGCACCGGCAGTAAAACCACACGACCAGGTTTGAGTAAGGAATCTCGGGAAACAGTATATGAAAGACGAAACTTGACCTTCATTTGGATACCAGCACTGCAATTTCCTTACCTACACTTTTGCTCTCCGCCACTGTTTTTTGCCCAGCCTTTCCATTCATAATTATTCCCACATCGCCACGTGGAAATGTGCATCCTGCGTATCTTAACCAATGGATGATCAACAATTTTTCTCGCGTTCTCGTTGAATTTCGTTACAGCAGCTCGCACCTTCCTCAAAAGTTCTTGTACAAGTATCGAACCTGTTGAGAAAGAAAGCGCAATCGTTGTGCGAGGTAAGAGCATTCATTCGCGACTACCCTGAGAAGAAAAGCATCTAATGACGACCTGTTTTGATTGTTCTTGCAACCAATACTACACTGTCTGACTGATCTTCGTTCTTTGTTTTGGTTGCTCGTTTAGCACAACGTCGCGCTGGCAGCTAGTGCTATCGTGCCTTTTGGTTCTTTTGGCTTTTTCTCTTACTTTTTGGCGTTTTCAGCAGCTTCTGCTTCACGATGGCTAACAGTCAGCAACAGAAACCCAAGTATCAAAAGTATCGCTACTCTGTTCCACAACTTTTAGGGCTCTCAGCAACGGCTTGCCTTCAATTCGACCTTTCGAAGTTTACATACGAGGCAGCACGGGGTGAGTCCCTCGTATCATGTTGGAGAACACTGCTAACAGATCGTTAGCTGGAGTGATACCTTCGCTCGGTGACTGCGCCATGTCGTCTCGAAAGAGCTCTGCTAGTATTGCCAGAAGCGCCAACAATGAGACCGCAAGCACTGCAGATCTTCTGGTGTTCCAAGGCAACCGAGTCCTGCGGCCAGACCGTCAACCAACATTCCCACCTCCAGTTGAGCGACAAAAAGATGAGGGCTTCGTCAAGTTCCTAAAGAAACACTCCTCGCCGACTCACAATCGTATTACGGCTGGTGGTCGGATCGTCCCAATGGAGCCTCGCTCGCCTCCTCCCTTTTCTCTGCCTTCGAACATTACCAACTGTCCACAGGCTCAAAGTTCAAGCCAGCCTTCGGACCAAAACACTGGCAAAACTGATGACAACCAATGGACACTACTGCCTCCACACTCTCAAGATCAGAATGACTATATACTCCAGAATGAGCGTGAGCAAGCTCTTCAGTTCAACGTCGAACCTCCCAGCATGTCGGACCTTGGAGCGCCCCACGATGTCTACTCCTATTCTGGTCATAGTGGCTACGGTTATCAAGGTACCCAGATGGCAATGGGCAATGTTCCTGCTCCAATGGTAATGCCATCTCCAGTACACACGATGTACTCTACGCCACAAGCAGGTGGTCCTGTCATGCATCAATCACCGACTCAGCAGATTCTGATGGGTTATCAGCACAATGGTATGCCTAATATGGGCATGGGCGTCTCACTAGTCGATCAGTACAACGCCGATGGCTGGCCAGTGTTCAATCTAGCATATGCACAACCAATGCCGCCACAGCAGGTCATGCCGCCTCAGCAAATGCTTGCAGCTTACGAGCAGCACTATGCTAGTCTAGACCAACAACTGAAGGACATTGACCGTCATCGAGCTATGCATCATCTTGACGCACGACTTGCCGCGCAACGTAAGGTCATTGTGCAACAACGCTCAGATGCCAAAGACACTATCAAGGAATTTCAAGTTATGCTCGGGCTACGAAGACAGTTTAATACCTCGCAAGATAGCTGGGACACTGGATTCAATGTGGATGCGCCGGCCTACATACCAAGAACAAATATCACTGCGGGCAGCACAGTAACTCACAAGCCATCCTTCGACATCTTCCAGGACTCTTCTGCCATCGAGAAGCCAAGACTCAATGGCCAAAAGCGTGTCATTCCAATCGTTGCTCCTCCAGAGCGTAGAGATATGGCCAAGCCTGGTCAAAATGTTCCCTCTCGCTACCTTTCTGAGAAGCAATCGACTAATGCTGACGGATGGGCTATCGATGACGTACCAGGACCTGCAAACACCGAATCTGGTCAAGACGATTCCTATGGCATGGGCAGTCAGGGACAGCTGAGCCGTGAGTACATCCCATCGAGCACGTCAGACAGCGGACAACGATCTGGTTCCAGTTCTCAGGAAACCTCATGGGGTGCAGCACATGATCTGAGCGACAAGGAAGAAACAAAACTTGGCCAAGTGGTTCAAGTTATTCCAGCGTCGAATGCTCCACCTGTCGACATCACACATGAGTATCGTCTAATTCACGAAGCATTGCAGCGATCGAAAAACGTCAGCACACAAGTGCGTGTACTTGATGGCACGGTTATGAACGTGAGAGGTCAAGAGATCCCACCATGCGCTTTTCCAGAAGTAGCTCGTGCGCCATCGAGCCGAACTCAATGGCCTCACCAGAACTCGGCATCTGTAAAATCGATTCGTGATACCTCAAAGAATGAACAGGAAGTCCTTGGAGGCCTGCAAACCCTTGCAATACAAGATGAGTGAGTAGAAATTGTGTAAATGTTGATTGGTGAGCTAACTGAAGCAGTTTTGTGGGTAAGGAGAACATGTCGATCGCTCCGAGAGTCCACCAGAAGGCTGCCACCGATGCTTTCTTGTCGCAGTTCAATGCTGTGGAAGAGAACATGGCTATGGTCGTTGAACCAGAGACACAATCTTTGCGAACTGCCTCGAACGAACAGAACATGAACAACCTCGCCAATATGCAAGGATACCATCAGCCTAGCTCTGGGAAGGTTGCCAGTCGAGAGAACATGTCTACACCAAATGCACACCCTGTGTTCAGGGCCGACTGGAACCGAACAGCAGACGTCGTTGCCGAGGACGGATTCGCTGTCTCTCCAGACACATTGAACAACAAAGGCTACTCTATGGTCAGCGTCCAGAACGTGCATGCGGTTGGCAGTCTGCCCAACAATTTTGATGGCGCGATCGAAGCTCGACAAAGTGTTCGAGCTCAGCTGGCATCTGCCACTAAGGCTCGAAGTCCTCGGAGCCCACGACTTATTCGTCGACTTGGAGGTAATGGCGGTGCTTGGTATGGACCATACTGTCGGGGCGTAGCTGAGAAAGCCTTCAACCAAAACAATAATCAACAACCAGCCAAGCCATTCTTCTAAGTTATCATTCACATTGTCCAAGAAGCAGAAGTACGAAGCTATATGTATCTCGAGGACAGGATTGGATGAGGATAGGCTTGAAACAAATACATACTAGTGTGCTACTTCCAAGGTTGTTAGGAATATTCCATATGGTCGTCGATGGTGCTGTGCTGAAAGACAGCTCGAGATGTATTGCTTGATGATCAGGAATTGAAACAAAAGCTGGATTAATAATGAATAGGTAGGACTACCTGGGACAGGCGTTACTACATTGGTGACAGTCGCCAGAATGTAAGACAGCACAAGTGATCGTTCAGAACCACAAAGCATGATGTGCTCATGATCTCTCAGACGCTGCGTATGGTCAAACACATGTGCAAGCTACATTTCGACAGCGCGATGTGCGAATATCGACCCAGCTGCCTGGTGTTGGTAATGTTTAGGGAGGGTCCACTTAGCTGGGGATGAAGTGCGGGCATGGCCGGTCAACCGTTATTGACCTCGTAACCCGACCTCTCACCAACGAAGCGTGATGTAAAACGGCTCAAGAGCTGCACGTCGCCTCTCATTGCAAATTGTCAGTCTATGTCAATTGATAGTAGTTGTTAAAGATCGTGGAAAGCTGCCACACACTCCAACCGCTCTACAGCACATTCAACTAGGTGGTGCCTCACATTCGCAACTTTGATTTCCAATCCTCACGTTTCGCCTTGCTCACGAATCTTACCCTCGAACCTGTACAATGACCGAAGCAAGATCATAGCCGCGGCGCAAAGAAGGAGTTATACGACGAAGAAAGGAACACTCACACCAAAAGACACTTCGACGTCTTTCTGTGTTCCTAACAACTATTACCTGCAGAACCATTCATTTGGTACTTTGCAGTCATGACGACGGAGAAGCGAAATTTCTCAGGCATTTCATTCTCTTCCAAGAAAAGTCAGCAGTCTGACGGTCACGTAGCGACATCCACAAAGCTCAAGAACTTCTTCCGAATTAGTAGCAATGGAGGACAGGCTACGGCTGGGGTCGATGGGCTTCCAACACCCAAGTCAGAGAACAAGACACCCAAATCGTCGCGTATGTTTCCTGGTCTAGGCAGAAACAGGTCACAGACGACCGCTAGTGAGGGACATGCTCTAGACGACGCTGTTTCACCAACTGCACATGCGAATCCATATTTTGCCCACCAAGGACCTCCGAATTTACGCCACCATAACGATACCAGTGTGCCTCCCTCTCCTCCCGAAACACCAAAGGTTCAGGTCAATGGCGTTGAAGGGCCACAGGAGAGCCCAGTAACTGCTGGCAGGGAAGAGTTGGCACGGAAATTAAGAAGAGTGGCTTCTGCGCCAAATGCGCAGGGATTATTCTCGAAAACTACGAAGGGCGCAGACAGACCGGGCACAGCTGAGCTATCAAGAGAACCGGTAGTGCTACAGACTGAGCCTGAGCCGATGCTTGAGATAGCTCCGGCCGAGGCTACGAACGTTTCTGGCTCTGTACCTGACACAGGAAAACTACCTCTGCCTGGCCAGATACGTCAAGCTGCTGCTTTTAGACGGACGTACAGCTCAAACTCAATAAAAGTGAGGAACGTTGAAGTTGGTCCAAGCAGCTTTGACAAGATCAAGCTCATTGGTAAGGGAGATGTCGGCAAGGTATACTTGGTCAGGGAAAAGAAGTCAAACAGGCTCTATGCCATGAAGGGTACGTATTATCGGTTCTCCAATCTATAACTTGCTAACATTTGCCCAGTTTTGAGCAAGCAGGAGATGATTAAGCGAAATAAAATCAAGAGAGCACTTGCGGAACAGGAGATTCTGGCGACCAGCAACCACCCATTCATCGTCACTTTATACCACTCGTTCCAATCCGAGGATCATCTTTACCTATGTATGGAATATTGCAGTGGTGGTGAATTCTTTCGCGCACTCCAGACACGGCCAAACAAGTGTGTCACCGAGGAAGACGCTCGGTTCTATGCAGCCGAAGTAACAGCTGCACTCGAATACCTACATCTGATGGGGTTCATCTATCGAGATTTGAAACCTGAAAGTGAGTTTTACCGATGTTTCTGTAATTTTGACGATCACTGACCATATCAGATATTTTGTTACATCAATCTGGACATATAATGCTTTCGGATTTTGACTTATCGAAACAGTCGGATTCAGGAGGCGCACCGACGATGATCCTCGGCAGCAGAAATAGCACCAATCCGTCTGGATATCCACTTGTCGACACAAAATCCTGTATTGCCGACTTTAGGACGAATTCCTTCGTGGGCACCGAAGAGTATATTGCTCCTGAAGTGATCAAGGGCAATGGCCATACGAGCGCTGTGGATTGGTGGACCCTGGGCATTTTGATTTACGAGATGCTTTTTGGCACGACGCCATTCAAGGGCAAGAACCGGAACGCAACCTTTGCCAACATTTTGCGTGACGAAGTGCCATTCCCTGAGCACGCCTCGGCAACCCAAGTCTCGAAGTAAGTCTTGCTTATGTCCTTACAGGTAGAGGTTTCATGCTGACAACGTCTAGCCTTTGCAAATCAGTTATTCGCAAATTACTCATCAAGGACGAGGTACGACGATTAGGCTCACGAGCAGGAGCATCAGATGTGAAAAACCATCCATTCTTCAAGCCCATCACCTGGGCTTTACTTCGTCATATGAAACCGCCAATGATCCCACATCAAGGCCGTGCAATCGATACCGTCAACTTCCGCACGGTCAAGGAGAGCGGCAGCATCGACCTGGGAACGAATCCCAAGTTCATGAAGGGCGTTCCGCTTGACTCAGGCATAGCAACACCAGCGGGAGAAATCGCTGATCCCTTCCTGGAATTCAACAGTGTAACCCTGTACCACGATGACGATGACATGTCCGCTACGAGGCATGAAGGACCAATAACGAATGGTCGATGAACAGAAATACAACAATCACATCTAGCAGTGAAGAAAAGAAACGGCGTTTTACTGGGGCTAGGGATTTTGTTTGTGCTTGCGAGCTCTATTTGTCTATGTAGATGTACATATGGTGAAGAAGTGGCGGGTCGGTATAGACATCGCGCTCGTGTTACAATGGGACAGGGCGTGCTAGGATCGAGTCTCATGAGCTGCAGTGACACGAAATATCGCAGCTTTGAAATACTTTGGGGGTAAAGTACATCCGAAGAGTCGCCCGGACAGCAGTGATGGAAGTGGCTCTGAGAGGCAGGGGGTCGATTTGGGTCGCTTAACAGATACTGCATAAGCTGAACCATCTGTCCTACCTACAGCAGATTTGTATATTTTTCCGCTGAGCCGACCTCTGCTAGCTGTCGATATGGCGATTTTCCGTCTTTTCGCAGTAGATCTGCCATGTACCTGCTTCTAGAAGAACTGCAGTGCACGGGGCAAGATTTCTGGAATGGACACTGCTATATACAAACGATTTACTTCCGGCAAACGAATCCTATTTAGTGGGTCTTCTGTCCATGGATATAGATCCACCAATAGCTGACCGCTTTTTGTTCACGCGGCAGCCCAGAAGATTTTGGTGAGCAAGCCACTGCTGCTTGATGATCCCCCCTTCACATGTCTTTCTACTCGATTTCATCACTGGTTGTTGGTGCACTGTGCATGCCGTGGTCATTACTTCCTCGCGAGACTTGATGCTCATTTCCTCTTGCTGAATTTGCCGAAGCTTGTGCACCGCCTCTTTCCCCAGACTTCACTTCCTGTTCATTAAACACAGGTGAGATGTAGTAATATCACTATATCCGAATCGAAATGAACAAACACTCTTGCCCCTCTATACCCGTTCGCGTTCGTTTGAGGTCGTTGCAGCCGGTCCTGTAATAGCCGAACACACGCTCTTTGCTGTTTTCCTTCCATTTCTTCTGTATTCGCATGATCATTGGCTGGTTTATTCAACAATTCATTATTTGCGCTCGATCGCGAGCAGAAGAGAAACATGAAGTTTGGACGGAGTCTTCCACAAAGGCAGGTCCCAGAGTGGGCCGCCAACTATATCAACTACAAAGCCCTGAAGAAGCTCATTAAGAATGCGCAATTGGCAGGGAAGACTGAAGAGCAGAGACCCGACTTAGCTGGTAGGACTGGACTTTTGAGTCCTCCAAACTATTGAGATGACCCTAACCAAAAGCCAGGTTTCTTCTATACCCTGGATCGCAACCTCGAAGATGTCGATTCCTTCTACAACAAGAAGTACCAAGACTTTGCGAGGCGTTTGAAGATCTTGGAAGATCGATATGGAGCTACACAAGAAAGCGTCCAAGGTCTCGAAAAGGAGGAACGCGAGGATCTATTTGCTGGCCTTCGCGAGCTGAGAGGGCAGTTCAGAAAGCTACAGGGTTATGGCGAAATCAATCGCAAAGGCTTTGTCAAAATCACAAAGAAGCTGGACAAGAAGATTGAAGGATCACACGCACAACAGAAATATCTGCACCTCAAGGTCGACCCCTGCCCCTTTGCGACGAATGCAGGGCTCCACAAGTCTGTTGCAATGATCAATGACTGGTTGCATCTACTCGGCGAGGCCGCGAGCGACGAAGAGGCCGGAAAGAAGACTATAATACCCCCCAAACTACACAAGTCGGCTTCTCGTGAGGCTCTAAGAATACCAGATGACAGCTGGGTGCGCCTAGAGAGATCCATACGCGAGGATGATGCTCAAGTGACCGAAGACATCCTCACCACAACGAGGGCTCAGCGGCAGGACGTGTCAGAACTTCAATTTCAGCAATTCCTCAAAGGTCTTTTACAGCGAGCAATCACCTCAAGAAGTCGACGATGTCTACCCTACCTGCTTTCGCAAATTGTGTTTCTAGACGATGCAGAAGATATCAATAAGAGAAATAGTATACATCGACTGGTCATATCCATTGGCAGAGCTTACTCGAACAGCGACAGGACCTCAAGCGATGTGGTCACTAGTCCAGAGACGGAATTGTATAGCTATATCACACCCGCCGAACCTCCTTCGAAGACCTTCAAGACAGCAGTACAAAAGGACGACGAGAGATCGAGCTGTCTGACGGATGCGGATGAGCCAATAACTTATCTCAACTTTTTGTTGGATAGTCTGAGCCAAGACCAGCGATTAGGACTTGGATCTAAAGACGCTGGTGGCAGGATGCCATTGCATTTCGCTGCGGAGTACGGTATTCCGGCAATGGTTCGAACCATCGTTGACCATCTTCAAACCTGGGGCATGCTCAACATCAAGGATGGTATTGATGGACCCTTTTGGCAGGATAACGACGGTTGGGCTCCGTTACACCTCGCTGTCATTGGAGGACATCCCCTCACAACCCAAGTTCTGCTAGATACTGAAGCTCTATACACGCCACCATCCGGCACACAGCAAGCCAGACGCCGTTCGCCCAAATCTTCTGCGGCATTGGCCATTGCCACAAAGTCTAATTTCATAGAAGTGGTGCGGACACTCGTCCAAGCAGGAGTTGACATTAACTGCCAAGACGAGCAGGACGAGACAGCATTACATGTGGCTGCGAGATTCGGCCATACAGAATGCGCTCGGATCTTGCTAACTGATTCCAATGGTCAAAAGTGCGATACCGAGATTCGCGAGTCAACTTATGGTTGGACACCTCTGCTGATTGCTAGTGTTGATGGTCACCTACCTATTGTTGAGCTCCTGGCAGAAGCTGGAGCAGACTTGGAGAAGGTTGACTGGTCGGGCTGGTCAGCGAAAGAGCATGCCGCTCTTCGTGGACATATGGAGCTCGCCACCCGGCTGGCAGATCTGTGTCCAACACCTGCAGCAGGCCTCGACGTCAGTAGTCCAGAGTCAACTTCACCTCCTAAGACTTCGGCTCTTACCGACCGAACGTCGAACGGCGTCAACCATAACGTCAGCAAGGTTGGCGAGACCATTAAGGAGTTTGGTCACAGATATCTCACAGACAAGTCCATGGTTTTGGTGTCTCTGGGTACAATGGACATGCACAGTAAGCGGCAGGCAGTCAATCTCGACCATGTTCCACTGACGAATGCCTCGTCTACCCAGCTGGACACCGCTCTATCCATCATTGTCTCTGCAAAAGGTGCAGAAGGTGAACCTGATATCATTGACCTGCCTGTCAGAGAGAATATCACCACGGAACCTATCGTCTTCCATACTTTGGATCCATCGAAAGTCAAGATCCTCTTTGACTTGATCCCTACATACGCTGGCGACGAACGGATCGTTGGAAGAGGTGTAGCTCTCCTTTCCAGTATCAAGTCCAACCTGGGAAACAGACGGATGCCATTGCAAGGCGACATCAGTGTACCGATTATCGCAGCTGGCGATCTGGAGGTCATTGGCTCTGTCACATTCAATTTCCTCGTCATCACACCCTTTCAGCACCCCAAAATGTCTATCTCGAAAGAGCAGACTTACTGGAAGAAGGTGGCCCAGACGATGGTCATTGGTCATCGTGGTCTAGGAAAGAATTTTGCAAGTGGTCGTAGGTCTCTACAACTTGGAGAGAACACAATCCAGTCATTCATTGCCGCTGCCAATCTTGGTGCTTCTTACGTCGAGTTTGATGTGCAGCTGACCAAGGATCACGTTCCAGTCATCTATCACGACTTTTTGGTGTCCGAAACAGGCATCGATGCACCTGTGCATACCCTGACATTAGAACAGTTTCTTCACGTCAACGATTCTCGAACGCCTCGTCACTCTCGGCCGCCTTCACCTGCGCCCTTTGAGAACCCGTCTGTTCGAAACCTCAAAAACGGCGATCGAACTCCTCGTGGACGGTCCATGTCAGTGGGTGGTGGTCAACCAGACAACTTTGACATGGAAGAGCGCATGAAACACACTCGCGACTTTAAAAAGAAAGGCTTCAAGGGCAACAGCAGAGGTAACCATATACAGGCACCTTTTGCTACGCTGGAGGAGCTTTTCGAGAAGTTGCCTGTCCATGTCGGCTTCAATATCGAGATGAAGTATCCCATGCTCAGTGAAAGTCAGGACGAAGACATGGACTGGTACGCCGTAGAGCTCAACAGCTTTGTCGACACAGTGCTCACCAAAGTTTACGACCTAGGTGAAGGTCGCAACGTTATGTTCTCGTCCTTCAACCCAGATATCTGTCTGCTGTTAGCTTTCAAACAGCCCAGCATCCCGGTCCTCTTCCTCACGGATGCAGGATCCTCTCCAGTCGCAGACATTCGAGCCAGTAGTCTACAGGAAGCAATTCGTTTTGCAGCTCGGTGGAACTTGCTCGGCATCGTCGCCGCCTGTCAACCTTTTGTGATCGCACCAAGACTAGTAAAAGTTGTTAAGGAATCCGGCCTAGTTTGTGTCAGCTACGGTACGCTCAACAACCAGACTGACAAAGTCGACCTCCAAGTGCAGCAGGGCATAGACGCCGTAATCGTCGATAGCGTGCTGAAGATTCGAAGAGGGCTTAGAGAAGAGCCTGGGCGGTCTGACAAACCCAGCCAACAGGACGGACTTGTGGAGAAGGTCGTCACAAACGTGTTGCCTCAGATACCGCAACAGGAAAACCTCGCACTCAAAGCAGAAAGCATCGCCAGCAGTGCGACAAACATATCGCTCACAGGTAGTAGCGAGGATGGAACGACCAGCAGTGAGCCCGCAATGAACGAGTCACCAGGTACAAGTGCTGCTGATATTGATCTGTTAGCTAAGGATCTGGCGACCGCAAAGATCAGACCTGGAGTTGTATAGAGTGCGAGCTCGGTCTTGAGACGGTTACCAAGGTGATTATACCATCCAAATGCGTGTATTACTGGTGGGGCTCTAGACTATGGGCATATGGGCTCTGGCATAGCCTTGCTACGACAACATGACGGGTAGGTGGGATGGGCATCAGATAGAACAACATAGTTGAACACAGACGTTTTCGTGCTATTGATTGAGTTTTAAACCACTGTTGGTGTCGCAGTACAGATTTTGTAGACCTTAGCATTATTGACGTATTTATTCGCGATAGAAGCAAGTGGCCGGCCGAGGATCTCCGCAACCATGCGTTGTAGGGCCACATCGTAAAAACGAATTGACAGAGAACGATAGAGCAGAAAAGATCCAAACCAGTCGCTCATCAACGAAATTCGTAAATACTCACGATTCCAGAAGGTAAATCACTCATAATGCTACAACAATTTCCATGTCCAAGCCCTGGACTAAAAACTTAGACCACTAAAACGAATGCGACCCAGCCACGAAAGCGTCCTCCTCCTCATCATCTTCTTCATTCCTCAGCCCCATGCACACCGTTAACCACCGGCACACCTCCAGGTGGCAACGTGCCCAATTCGCATATTACCATGTCTAAGTATTCCCTGGGCGTGACGTCGTACATGAGATTGAGCAGATATAGACCCTGCTGGTCGTGCCAGCCAGACAACAACGACTCGTTATTCTTGGCGTGTGCTTCGTCTTGTTCTTTCTGGTCTTCTTCTTTCTTCTTCGTTGGGCCTTTCTTAGTGTTGGCGTTCTGGCTCTCGCCTTGTTTAGTAGCGGTCTGTGAGCTGAGGTCAGTGAAGACATGGCTTTGTTCCCGTTCAATGAGAGCGTCTGGATCGCCGATCTCGTTCATGCTGAGGGAGTCGACGACCATTTTGGCGGTGAATTTGATGGATTCGCCGAGGACGATGACGGGGATTTTGTGTTGGCGGGCCATCATGGCGACCATGGCGGTGCCGGAGCGGCTATAGAGGGTGCCGTTGCCGAGGACACCGCTGGCGCCTAGGAAGCATTTTGTTACGGTGTTTTGGTCGAGGACGTTGCTGAGGCCGGATATTAGAGTGTAGACGACTTCGCAGCTGGATAGGTCGCCACCGTCGTGCATGCCGGCCCTGAGGAGTGATTTGGCGAGATTTCGTCCTTCGAAAAGTGGGCGGGAATCGACGACTATTACGCGGAATTTCTTGTGGTCGTTTCTTGCGGCGTGGAGGAGAGTTTTCTCGACGAGGCTGCTTTTGCCGTAGACGAGGATTGTTTCGCCTGTTTGGGATAGACGATCGCTGGCTTGCTCGGCGATGATGGTTGAGGCATATGTGATCTTCTCGACGATGAAACCGTCTATGGCGTCACTGAGGAAACGTTTTGCATCGGCATCATCGAGGTCTGGATCAAGTTGAGAGATGAGTTTTTTGAGCCAGCGGATTGCATTGCCTTGAGCGACACCGAGAGGACGGGCGGAGGACAGGAAGGTGATCTGATGAGAGAGGTGGATGGTCAAATGTCGGGAGAGAGCGGTAGAAGGGGGAGTAGTATAGGCCCGAATTACACGTTTGAGGGTCAAGAGAAGGGAGAGAGTACGAGCCGTTGAACCTGCCAGGGAAAGGCTTCGGAGATGAAGCGCCAGTGTGAGGACCGAAGGGTGAATCTCGCGTGAGGCTGTCGTCAGACTGGCTGGTCTGGCGGAGGGGTAAAGGTGAGATACCATAGGGACTCGCTTGTCTGCTGGTTTCTGCTGTGGTTGTGGTTGTGATTGAGAAGTGGATGCTGGTTGTTGGCCTGGTCGGAAGGGAATTCGAACTGCGCCAGGTTCCAGAGGAGGTTGATTCGAACCTCTTCGTTTATGGTGCTGTGTTGGTGTTTGTAAGTGGTCGCCATCTTTCTTAGTGGCAGTTTCTGCTTGTGACGGTTTCTGCTGTTGTATGTCCGCTCTCTGTTGAGGCTTCTCAGGTTGTATCTGATCGGCACCCTTGAGCGCAACTTTCTCTGCTCTTCTGGCAGCCTTTTCTGCAGCCTTTTGCTTCTTTAGGGCGGCTCCTGTCAGCTTAACGCCTGCGCCTGCCTCGGCGATATTCTGTTCTGAGGTCGAGGCTTGAACTTGTGGTCGTTCCTTCTTTGAGGACTTTTTTGAGGGGGCAGTCGCGTCTGTAGTTGACTCTGTCGTGCCATCTTGAGCGTTTTGCTGTTCTTGTTCAATAGCATCCTGATCTGGAGTCGTCATTGGGTTTGGAACGTCTCCATTCGTCCTCGAAACGTCGCCTAACGACATTTTTGCTGGTTTCTGCGCATGCGACACAAAACCGTTGTTCTGGACTTCCTGAACGTGCTTATTCGAAGTTTCTGCGAGTTCTGTCTCGAGGCCTATTGGTTCTGTGCGCTCTGAATGTTGTGGTGAAGATATTGGGCGGGGTGTTGCAGTTTCTCCCTCCGAACGCGATTGAGTCACAAACTTTGGAGGGAGAAAATAGTAGAGATTCGCATCAAATTCCGCCAAACACAATTTCCGCCGACTCTGGAAAGAATACCACATTTCTTCTTAGCAGATATACTAACGTAAGATGCAAGTATGGGAAAGTCATGAAATATGTTGTTCAATACACTATGTGTCGTATCTACGGTGTAGGCCGTGTACCAGGCAAGCCAACGCACAGGCGTGTCTTACAACCAGTATCTAACCAGTCCTGTTCGCCTCGCTCGCTCAAAATCGTAATATCAACAAGTCATAGCCCTCAAGCCAACACACTGATTCCAAAAGCTTCATGATCGGCAGCCAGCCTTTGTTTGTGCATATGCAGGTCACTTAGCAACGTCTCCCAGTCAGCTTGTAGCTCAACATGTTCTGGATCATCCTCCTCGTCCTCACTTTCAGATCCCTCATCTTCCCAAACCATTTCTGGAGTGTCCTCCCTCTTCACCGGCTCCTCTTCCTCCGTCTTGATCTTGATCGGATTTCGAAGTTCATCAAGCACAAGCTTGAGATGAATATCCATTGCCTCTTTCTGGATCTCAAGTTGTCGCACCTTAGATTCAGATATGGCTAGCTTCTCCTCCATGACCTGCAGCATGTTCTCGTACTTGCTGGTGTACTCGCGCAATCTTTCTGTTTGCAATTCCTGTTCTTGTACCACTTTGGCGAGTGGTGTCGCGGTTGATTGTTGCTGCTGACTGAGTGTCCAGCGAAGACCTCGGATGGTTTCTACCATCTCGGCGATTTGTGCATCCTTCTCTGCTGATGATACATGGTCCTGGTTGACTGTGGCTTGGAGTCGGATTCTCTTGGCCTGGTCAGCGTATCGGAGCGTCGACAGTGTTTCATCGTAATCTGAGGGCGCGATACAGGCGATCATGGCTGTCTTGGAATTACCGCCCAGAGAGTCCTTGAGCAGCCATGTCAAGATCGAGTCTCGAAATGGTACCACGTCTCGCCGACCTCTGCCACCTTGTCTTGTTGCCTTGGGATCAGCTAGCGCAGCAATCACTCGGCCCAACGTTGTCAGTGACTTGTTGATATTTCCTCCCTCCCTCAGCCGTTGTCCCGTTGCTTCTGTGGATTTTGCTCTTTCCGATCCTGCCAAATCGACCAATCTTATTCGTGCTAGTCTCTCTGTCGTCTCGTCTGTCGTATAGTCGTGGTGGATTTGCTTGAGCATGATGGTGAACACTGCATGTGATCGAGATGAGGTGTCATTCATCTTCGTACTGGCCACCGTGCGGGAACTGTCACCCATCCTCATATACTTCAATATTTCGGAATAGCTCTTTACTTGAATTTCTGTCAGGTCTTTGACGTACGGTCCTTCAGTGGGCGATTCTCGAATCTTGAGGTAGGAGGGAGGGTCGGTTCGTGGTTGGAAAAGATCTCGGACGTGCTCGTTGTATACCTCGAAGTAGGACATTCGGACACTGTAACTGACATTGGCGCTTTCGTTGCTCTCGATCCGCTCGAATAGATCCTCGCACGTGCGTGGAATTAATCCGGGCTGATCGGACGTGCCCATCATGGTGTAACTCTTCCCTGATCCAGTCTGCCCATAGGCAAATATGCATGTGTGGTAACCCTCAAAATTGTGGTCCAGAAACTCTTCACCCAGACAATTATAGACCTCTTCCTGATGTGCGTAATGCTCATCTTCCATGTCGTGCGACCAAAAGGACTTGTCGAACGTAAACGTCTTCTCTTCCACCACTTTCCGTGTCTGTGCTCTTGCGTTTGCAGGGTCGCTGCTGGGAGGTGCAACTAGTCTTGTCGTCTCGGTAGCGGGGTCCATGTCGATCAGGCATTCTGCGCCTCGCTCAATTTCTGACAACATCAATCAGTCCTTGAGCGTTCACTCAGACGGTGTTGTCCTCACCTCTTGGCAGAAACGCTCTTACTCTGACTACAACCTTTACATTCCCTGCCGGTAAGCCCATACTGCTGCTTGGTCGGCTCTCGTCTACAAGTACCGGCGTTTTGCTCCGTAGTGACGGACTCGATGCCGTACTTCCATTGTTGGCGATCGAAGTCTTTCCTTTTCTGCGTCCGCTTGGTCCAAGGCTGGGAGCCATAATGATGTCGATGGGCCGTCCAAAAAGCTGTCGAATCTGTATATGCTGAGGTACTGGTATCGGAGGTGAGCATACATGCGACAGCAATGGCTCACCGTGCCTAAAATATAGGCTATACTGCGATCGGAAATGGTTGGCGCAGGTCGTGGAGTATAAAGTTGTACTTTACACAAATCGACGTCATGGTATGTTGACTGGGCAACTGCTCGCCCACAGTTCTTGGCAATAAAGAACATGTCGATTCTATGCCAGAGTTGACCTCAGTGAAATATTATTGTACGAGTCTAAGTAACGCCGTCTACTGTATGTCTATGGCTGTATTATCTCTCTCCAGTGCCGATACCCTAAGTCACGACGATCCGCCCTTCGCCAATAATTCTTCAAGCTCCTCAAGCAGTGGTTCTTTGGAAAATGCCGCCATCTTTCTTTTGGCCTTTAGTGACTCCCGCAGCTCCATCGCCATGCAAAGTTCCCAAGTAGACGAGTCCGTCGGCCCACCATACAGAATCAAACCCAGCGCCAAAAGTAATGCATGCAATGTCTCCACGTTTTCTTCTTCGTCAATCACAGCTTGTACCAGTGCCGCTTCGAGATCACCCATGCTTGAGACGTCTAACTTGTCCATACGACCGTCGACTCTCTCGTTGTGATCGTGTGCTGCTAGGTTGTAAATAAGCGCTGCTGCTAGTGATCGTGCGTTGTTATGTTGTGCTAAGAGACATCCAGACGCGAGTCGCTCGATCATGCCTCGAACCTCGTTGGACTTGCTAAGGAGTGCTTCCTGCCAGACACCTGATCCAAACATGTTGCAGAACAACTGCAGCGTAACCGCCTGGACGTTGTAAGGCTTGTTAGAGAAGTCTGCATCCTCTGATACGATGGCTCGTAGTATGCGATGCCCTGGTTCCGCTGCGAGGAATCCACTTACTCGTGTATCTGTCGCAGCGATACGTACGAGGTCGATGATTGCGAAGTGAATCTCGGCTGGTAATTGTGAGAACTTGTTCGTGAACCAGTCACTAAAGTTGTGTAAATTCGATATGGCTGTGTCCGTCATGCCATTCTTCTCTCGAGAACGAATATATCCCACAAGTTCCTGTACAGGCTGTTCTTCTGCCGGCTTGCCTATTTTTCCAAGTAGCTTCTCCATTGGTGGCACCTTGGTGTACATTATTGGTGTCTTAATCTTCTGCTGCAAACTTGGTAGTCGCAGCCTGGAGTGTGCATGCTGAGGGTGTGCCATCTGCACAAGTAAGCGAATGTTGCCTCGAAGTCTTGCTGCATCGGCACCACTCCACTCTTGGTCCTTCTTGCCCTTGAGAAATGTCATGAAAGTGGGTGTGGCTCGGACTTGGTAGCGCATGGCAATATCGTAGACTTGGCTGACATCAACCTTTATGAGGACGGCTTTGTCTCCAGCTTCGGCTGCCAACTCATCGTAGGCAGGATAGACCATTTTACATGGCGGGCAGGTGGCAGATGTGAAGAAGATGGCAGCACAGCTGTTCTCTGCTTGCCTCAATAGCTTGTCAAGATCGCTAGTACTTTTCGGATAATGTACACGTCCTGACTGACTCTGTTGTTGCAGTCCGTTCTGAAAGACTCCCGGGCCATGCTTGACATGCGACTGTGCTCCGTTCGTCGTTGGTCGCGGAGCTACACTGTTGGAGACTGGTGCTGTGGGTCGCACGACACTCCTCCCTGCGACTGCATCTGGGGCCTGTGTCATTTGTCGCATACTCTGGTCTAGTTGACTTCGCAGCATTTGACCAATGGGTGTTCTTAAAAACGTCTCGGGCAAATTCCTGATCTCATCTGGTATAGACTTTCCGACAAGGAAGACCGAAAGGTCTTGGGAGAAGTTGTTGCAGTTGTGTAGAAACAAGTCGTAGGATTCAGGTGTGTAGATTGCCTCTAGCGATTCCAGGTACTCTTCGATTACCTCTGGTGGTAATTCTGTTTTCCCAAGACGTACGACTTTCATAGGTCTGCCATGATGGGTTGAGCCTGGCACTTTCCGATGTACACCCTGACCGAAGAAATATTCGACGCCACCAAACACGATGGCTGTATGATAGATTGCGTCGATTTGAACGCCAGCGATAGCCATAGAGTATTGCCTCGCCATGCCCCGAGACAAGTCGTAAACATATAGTTCCACGTCCATGGCTACTGTGTCGATGCTGGCGGTGTAGATAGAACAATAAGTCCTAATACCGTATAATCAAGTGTAGATAATGTATGCTACGGTGTGGTAGGCGGCAAAAGTACGTCAGCTAGGCTAGAAACTAGTCGATGGTGGAGGAACAAACGGACGATTCGTGCATCCGTCCCTTGCTTCAATTGTACCAGGCATTCAGGCAGCAACAGGCTTGTTAGCCCGCAGTTGAGCAGACCTCGTTATGCAGCATCGAATTTGTGGTCTGAAACACTTGCATCCCTTGCAAGATTGTAGCGAGGGCTTCGAGATCCAAGAGCGCTTTCTTGGTCCTTGGTGAGGACCTAAGGACGGTCGGTCACCTTATCAGCCGTAAGCGCTTCTGGCTGTAAATGATAGCTGCCACAGTTTGAGCAGGTTCCTTTGCACGGATAGCTTCTTGTTTGGTGTATGCACTGCGTTGCCAAGATCGTCGAAGTCACGCTCACCAGCAGCTGTAGCAAGAACATATGCTGATCTGTGCATGCTAGTACTATTGGCAGAATCTATTCAATCAGCGAACGTCCAGCTAGACGACTGTAATGCTTACCTTCATGAACTTGCATCTCCTGATCCGGCGCAACTTCGCCCTCTCGTAGATGGGGTGCTGCCCAACATCGCATCTTGCCATCTGTACCACCCGCCCAAACACTCTCGTTGTCTTCGTTGCGGCAACTCAACTCAATGTGCATGCGTTGGTTTGTTCTAGCTTTTCTCTGAATTAGCCATGACAGTAACTGACCAGTCTTCCGAATGTCGTATACGAGAGCACCATCGCTGTGCCTTTCGGCGACGTAGAGATATCTCCCGCATCGACTCCACCTCACTTGCGTGACGCCGTTTCCAGAAACAAGATCATTAGCTTCAGTACCAGACAGTCCAAACACCCCTACACATTCTCCTTCCCCAGCTGCATCGTAGAGGCCAACTTGACGTGTCAAAGTCCCTGCTGCAAGGACGTTGTATTGAGGATCTATATGAAGGGCAGACACAAACCCACGAAGTGACGTGCCAGGGTTGGACCATGAACTTCTTGCATTCTTCGGCCCAGTTTTCATTGATGATATAGGTCCTTCTCCTGGCCGAGAGATATCGAACCTAGATATCAAGTTCTCTGAACCAGCAATCAGTTGGTTGCCATCTGCAGTGAAGAGCAGCGAATGTGGTTTCAAGTAAGCCTCAGTAGTGGCACTAACAAGAGGGTAAGATGCTACAAGCTGGCCGGTCATCATAGAATTCAGACGAAGAGGATGTTCACTGGCTGCTGAAAGCACAAGTGTAGTGCTAGGGTCCTGTAAGTTGAAGCCAGGATAGCAAGCGAAAGTATTGACAGACTCGAAGGATGGAATTGAGCAGTACACTTCGAGTTTCAAAGTCTCATCACGTTGCTCAAGCAGATCTGGAGGAACCACAAAGTTTCTAATGTGGTTGTCAGCACAGTTTGCGATAATGCACGTACCGTCAGGCGACCACTCAGCAGCCTTGAAGTAGTTGTTTGGGTCCTGGGTCCTGCCATTCCGTGTGCCCTCGAAAGGAACTTGAGCATAAGCAAGCAGTTCTGGTTGCTGCCGTGTTATGCTCGTCGGTTCGTCATCCATGACTGACACCAGCTCGCGCACCCAGGACAGTGCTTTTCAGACGATTCAACACCTGCATGACTTTGAATGCTGATTCATGAAAACCAAAAGATGTATCTCGTTTCAGGTCGCTAGCGTGCAGCGGAAGCATTCCAACATCTGGTTGACGTGAGACTGTGAGACAGAGATATTGCCAAGTTAGTCTCTACGATTGCCGTAACTTTTACACGCAGGCGCGTGAACGCGTCGTGAAAGGCACTTTCTCTTTGTACACCAGACGAGCTTTGTGAGATTTGTTTTCCTGTGAAGCCACTATACCCACAATTTTGCTTGGATACAGGTGGGAAACTGAACATCGTTATCGTCATGTCGCTGTTCACCGACTCTAACACGACTCAAAAGCCGCAGCTCGGAATTTTCGGAAACAGTACCAACACGAACACTACCACAAGCGCTGGTACCTCGACTCCATTCTTGTAGGTTATGCAGGGCATTGTAGATGTGCGAATACATTGGCTGATACAAATTGAGTAGCAAGCCCACGGGTGGTCTAAACCTAGGTGCTCAGCCAGCCGGTCTCAATCAAACCTTCAACTCCGGGTCGCAGCCAGTAGGCACGTCGTCCTCTATGCCACAGATCGACGTCACACATATCAGAAGCACGACGAAATTTGACCACTTATTGCATGACCTACAAGTACAAATACAAGAGCTTGACACGGCTTTTTTGAATCAACAGACCGACTGCGGCACCGTCGGCTCAACGTTAATACCAGCTGTACAGGAGAGTGGTGCACAATTAGCGCCAGCAACAGATTATCTGAGCACGAAAGTTGAGGAGCTAGAAGAAGGTCTGCAGAATGATGCTGAGAATATAGTTTCTTTTCGAGATGGGGAGCTGAAGCAAGATATGGGTGAATTGGAATGTGTCTTCAGCAATGTAGACAGACTGCGAGTTCCCCGGCAATATCAGTTGAATGCAAACACCATGGACAGCTCTGTTGGTGGAACATCAGTATTGGGATCCAACACCATGACCAGCACAGGTCTGAGCGGATGGTGGAATCAGCCACAGACATTAAGAGGCGCTCGTGGCACTACGGGTTTTGGAGGACAATCCTTGCAGCTCGTGAACGATGAGGCGGACAAAACTAACTCTGCAAGACCGAAAACCATGGTTGATCTTTTTGATCGCAGAATTGAAACCTTCAAAAAAGTGAAGGACGAGCACGTCAGATTATTGAGCGAGATCGAGGACTTTATCGATGGGCTGGAAGAGAAGGTCATCATGCGGGAGCGAGAAGTCAACGAGCGGCTGAACTATGGCAATTCAAACGCCGCTGAACGTAAAGAGGAGGACAAGCAGAGGAAATTGAACCAGCTAGGCTTCGTTTTTGGTGAGGTACAGCGAGGTCTCTACGAAATGGCTGACAAAGTTGGCGTCACTCGAGAAGGGATCGTCGAGCTAGGCATGCTGAATCGATAGCATTTTAAGGTTATATGGTCGATGCACACTACTCTGATGCGAGGGTCAGCAATTAACAGGATTCAACGCAGTCAACAAGCAATGGGACTGAAGCCGATGTGGCGGATCAATGACTCACTGTATAACCCTCGAGAATTGAGAATCCAGGATGTTGACATTATCAGATGAACAGCTTGAGGAAGGTGGAGGTGAACAGAACAGGAGGCGGCTCGTAAGAGCTAGGTCACGTTCCATCAACCACAACTACGCAGCACAACGACGAGCCTCATTTGCCTTCGCCGCGAGGCGGCACGACATCCCGCACACTCGACTCAGGACACCATTCACTGGCGTGCTATGCAGGATGGGCAAGTCGCCAAATGATTGCCGTTTCTCACAGCTTGTAAGAAGCCTGTCATTCGGGCTAACCTCCCGAAGTTCTACGGTGTCCTGAGCACGCATTAGACGCAACGCCGATCTCCGCTTGCTGCAATTCTCCTCTCGACAGACGAATCGAAAGCCAGATTGAATATCTACTGACTACGAGGTGCCTGGCAATCAGTGCAAATCGATGTCCTGATCGACGCCACGACTTCAGGCAAGAAAGTTTAGCCAATCACAACTAGTCTAAATAACCTGGTAAATCCTGTGCTCAGCAACAGATAATTGAGACTGGTGTAGATATACCTGTGGTAGGCCTGCTCAATATCAGGCTGGTAGTGTGCAGCAATGTCTCTAGCCTGCCAGTTCTTGCTTTCCAGCTTTGCAAACCATCCAGAGGTCAACGAAAGAGGTGCAGGCCCTGTCAAGGATGAATCCTGGTACTCCTCGTGGTCGAGCCCGCCGGCAGTCGCAAGATCCGCTGGGTAGAACGGCAGTCGCATGCAATCGCTGCAGAGGTCGCAAGACGAAATGTCTAGGCCACGCTCCGTGGCCCTGTATGGTGAGCATCTCTACGAGCAAATACTTAACGGTCAAGCCGGCGACACGTTAGACCGATGCGCACACTGGTCAACTAATACGTACCTGTTAGACTTGCGAGAACGTTGGAGCCGATTGTGTCTATCCAGACCAGCCGAAGAGGATCTTCGTATCGGAGAAGGAATGGAACGACCTACAAGCTCGCGCAGATGCAGCTGAGACTGTGTCGTCTTTGTCAACTGGACCCACCTCACCACCTATTACTGAGGAAACGGGAAACAATGAAGACGACTGGTGGTTCAAGAATCGGGAGATGCTTATCGTCAGCAGGTCCGGAGAGCATCGAATTGTTGGTGCAAGTCATTCCACATACCTGGCCACACAACTGAATCCAGCCAGCAAGGGCAGTGTTGCCTTTGACGTCTCACCTATCAATCATGCCAAGCTAGCATTACGTAGAGGATTGGGCGTCCTCCCTGATCTCCCTCCATTTGAAACAGCCAAGCAATGGTACGAAGCACAGTTCGCTTATATAGGATCCATCTTCAGCTTCGTTCAACCAAAGTATTTCGAAGAACGTCTGTCTGAAGTTTACAGCCGTTCGCCGGATGCCAGCAACCGAGAAGACTGCTTACTGTATTGTCAGATTCTGCTTGTCCTTGCCTTTGGTCAGATGTATTCACTCAACCAGTGGACCTCTAGTGATGGACCACCTGGCTTCTCCTACTTCCAGGCAGCTTTAAGTCTGCTTCCAGACGTCCATGAAGAAGGGTCGATACTATTCGTTGAAGTTCTGGGACTGGTCTCGTATTTCATGCAAATACTGAACAGAAGGTATAGTGAAACGTCCACGACTCCGAGACTCGACTGATTCAAATAGAGAGGCTGCTTTCCTTTATGTCGGTCTTGCGGTCAGGATGGCTGTATCCTTAGGACTGCATCAGGAAGTCACCAGTTCAACAATGGACGACGTCGAACTGGAACATCGAAGACGTGTCTGGTGGACGACCTATTCGATGGATAGGTACTTAGGCCAGATGTTCGTGCCTTCAGAAACTGACGACGAATAGGATACTATGCGTCAAAAGCGGTAATCCCATCTCAATCCACGACGAGGACATAGACGCGAATTGGCCGTCACCGTTGGCCGATCTCGACCTAGACCCCGGACAACCAAGAATTCTTGCTCATTATTCACAATTATCTCGAATTCTGGGCAAAATCGGGCAGGATATCTACAGAAAGCGACACAAGTCAGGAATTACATTGTTAGCTTCTATTCAAAGCATTATGGACGACCTTGATACCTGGCTCAAAGACATTCCTCCAGAACTGAAGCTGGACTTTGCGAGTCTTCACCACCGCGTTTCTAGAGAAGCTGTATCAACGTTTCTGCATTACTATCAGTGTGTTAACATGACAGGTAGACCCTTGCTTTTCCAAGTATGTCAAAGAAGGATCGAGGCTCTAGCAGCAGGCACAGCAACGGCAAATTGGCAAGACGGGTTGAGTGCCAATGTCGTTCATATTGTAGGCAATTCAATCGCAGCGGCACGAACTGCAACCACGGTCGTGGACGCTGCGTCGAAGCATAACTTATTGGCCACCTATGGGTTCATGGACGGAGAGCACGCCTTCAGCGCCGCTCTGGTCCTGGTCATGGCACACGTGGCCTTCCCTTCAATGACAGAGACGCCAGTGCAATGGAGCTGGCACTCTCGGTGTTAAAGGGGATGGCGAACAAAGGTAATGAGTACATTCGAGCTCGACATGCTTTGCTTATCAACATTCGAAGTGCTCTCAGCCGTCGAACCAGAAGTCATGGCTATCCAGAACCTCGTGGTAATGGCGAAGGCGGCAGCTCGATGTCTTTTGAGTCTATACCTGAAGGAGGTGCTCCTTTGACAGAGCATCATCAGCTGTCTCCAACACCTTTTCAACAATTTGAAGATCTGCGTTTCAGATTCGACATCAACGACAGCGATGCATTCCTGAATGAGTTCTCGATGGATGGGCAGATGGTCATGAACAGCGAGTGGATAGAAAGCACTCTCCAGCATGGTAGCTCGGCGTTGTTCAATCAAGATCAAGTCTGAGTACTATCGAATGTCACAATGAATGACCGTCTTCTTACAAATTGGCACATCGTCTTAGTGATCTTAAAATGACAATGCACATACAATTCGCGTCTCGAGTAGATTCACAACTCATACTCTCAGCACTCCTGGTCGATTCAAGCATCACTACTTTGATCGACAGGGGAAAACTGGAAGGAGCTGAATGCACAGGCGTTCCTCCTCAGTTTGGATGGAGCCCTGAGATCATAGGCTCTCCAGCATGACATCACGAAAGTTAGGTACATACAGCAAGAGCAGCCCCACAAGCACAAAAACATCGAACATCCCACTACATCGCCAGGCCTCACGCGACTGAGACACTACCATTCAGATCATCATTCTAGTTCTCAAAACAAACCATATTATCGAAGTACTCTTACTCAAATTCACAAGTAGGACACTAGATCACAACCGTCAAGATGTCTGCCTCCAATGTCGGCAACGCACAAACCTACGAAGCTGGTGACCAGAGAAACCCACCAGACTCTGAGAAGCCAGAGAGACAGACAGATCCATACAATGAGGGCAAGAAGCACTCTCACAAAGACAACGACCCCAGTAAGTATTCTATGCTTCCAACAGAGACAGCATTACCTGTTGCTATCTCGAATTTGGTCTGTCTTCCTCCCAGCAGACGCTAACACTTACCAGAGGACGAGCGCTCAATAGGCAACCGTCTCGCTGCCGCTAAGCCTCAGAACGATTCTGGATCTGGCAAGGGTGATGCAGAATCCGAGCTCGCCAAGAAAGATCCCACTGCTCCAGCCCGGTCACACGGCAACGAGCCTTCGAAAGGTGCCAAGATCGATGCTGAGCTGCAGGCTGAGGAAGAGGAGATTATCCGAAAGAAGGATGCTGCCAAGAAGCAAGCTGCTGGCAACAAGAACTAGGAGATTTTAACGCTAGGTGAGAGGAGTGAGACGGATGTCGAGACTGATATTGAAGCCGGCAAGTCCGCCACCTTCTCTATCGAGGAGCCTGGAGAAGACAAGACTGCGTCTAGATATCGCGGACGTGGAATCGGGAGACATATATGTGCAAACGGTCGTTCACCTTATCGAAAACTCGTCGTAAGATGTCTCCGCATAACTCTCATCGTGGCTGCCTTCATCCTTGGATTCGCGGTTCTCTTCGTTGGTGGGGGGATTCTGATGATATACCTGATCGACCTCGTCGAGAGAATCGGACCAAGCCTATCGAGAAGAAACGTCTTACAAAGGTAGCCGGAAACACATGATCGGGCTCTACGAAGTCACCCCTACGATCGATCATTGCTCCGTAAGTATCTTTAGGTAGCGAAGAAAATCAATCGCATTCCATTATTCCATATCAACTACCTTGGCCAAGCGAACAAATCGAATTACGTATAATATTTCCTTCTAGGTCGGGACCGCTCTTACACATATGCATAAGCTGATCTCGACTACAGTGTACAGATCCTGTCTGTGCGTTAATCACAACAACGATCCCTCTTTCTGGACATATATAGTGGGACGCCTCGAGTCAGGTAATAGACGCTTCAAGTATGTACAAGTAGGCTCAATGTGCCACGTATCAGTAGTGGATTTCAAATTCCGATAATTTGAAAAGCCTGCAAGTTCGTTCTCACGTCAACTGGGGAAAATACCTCGAACATCTATTGAGCACTTACAAAGGTGGTCGAGTCCTCAGATCAACATGGCCAAAAGACGGATGAGGCTGTCAATGCTTTTGATATATTGTCCTCCTTCTACTTCAAGTTCTACAGCTCACAATCGTATATAGCTTTTCCAAACCGCTAACCAGAAATCCTCATTCAGCCCTTCGTACTCTTTGCCTCATCCCCGTGGTTCTAGTTATTGTGATTCCTGCTGGATTCCCCGTGATCGTTACTGTTATTGTTGTTGTTTTTCCTATTCGATTCACCCCGATCAACATCCTCAATCCCCACCCTCCGAAACTCCCTCTCCACAATCTCCAAACACTCATCCATAACATCCGACCCCGTCTTCCACGCCCTAAGCACAACGCCCTGCTTCCGCATAATCTCCTCGCTTCTCTGCCAGCGCCTCTTCCACATCTCTAGCTTGCGGTCGAGGGGTTGGCCCGGTGCTGTACCGCCGTCGCCGCCTGCGGCTGGGTCGCCGAGATTGGCGCCTGTAACGAAGCGGGCGGCGGCGGCGGGGTAGGAGGAGAGACCGCGACGAGGAGGGAGGGGTGGGTTGGTGGTGAGGTCGGAGGATGAAGATTTGAGGGATTCTCGGGAGGGTGGGGAGCGGATGGTGGGGAGGGCGTTGTAGGCTGTGTTTAGTTGTTGGCGGGCTGAGGCGAGGTAGCCGGAGTTTGATGTGCGGTTGTTGTTGGTGTTGTTGTTGTTACTGGAGGAAGATGAGTTGTCTTGCCACCATGTGCGGGAGTCGTAGGAGGCCTGTGAAGGCGCAGCGTTCTTATTTCGAGAGGAAGGCTTTTCTGGATCGCTTGCACTGGTTTTTGTGCTTGTTGTGGAATTAGTGCTGAGCCCTGTGGCGGTTCGTCTTGGTGCGGGAGGTGGTGGCGGTGCATTTGTCTTGCTTCCGTTACTATTCTGCTGTGTTGAGGAGGAAGAGGCCTCGTTCCTCCTGAAACTTGAGGATCGTTGTAACGTGGCAGTGGTCATGCTGCGAAGATTAGAAGGCTTCGCAGGCTTCGCAGGTCTTTGAGGCGATTTATTGCTCAGCTGTAGTGCTTCCATGTCTCTCGAGTATGATAAATCTTCAGACTTGGACGAACTTGGTGAATCTTCCCCAAAATCTATCAGGTTCTCGGTGGCAGCTCTTGTTGGTTTCGGTCTCTCGGGCAGGCCAGGCTTCTGTCCATTCGACTTTTGACTCTCACGCTGAGATGGATTTTTATTCACATCCGTCGACGCATCGTCCGAGCGATTACCATTGAAGAATTCCTTCAAGTCGTTCTCCTCTCTACTTGTCACATCTCGGATGAAAACGGCAAGTACACGTCCAGGGTGTTCCTGAACAATATCGGTATAGACTTCGAGGTCAGCTTCACCACTATCACCGACAAGAACGAATTTCCGCTCCGGAAAATCATGCATAATGCGGTCGAGCGAGCCTTTCTTTCTCTCCGCAGCCGGCTCGAATATACCTTGCAACATGCCAGTGTATTGTTTCAAGTGGAAAGAGCCAGGTGGCAGCCCGGCCAATGCGAAGTATGACTTCAGAACAGGGTAAAGCTGCCACGGCGAGTTTGAGACGTAATGCAACTTGACACCTAAGCTGGCCATTTTCGAGTACCATTCTTTCACTCCAGGAATAACAAGTTCGCCCAGCTCTCGAATAAAGGTGTTTTTGAAGATCTCCTTAGCACCACTTGCAATGGCTGAATGCTTGATTGTATCGTCGATGTCACTGACAAGACTTATGCCCCTCTCGTTGGTGATGTTTACGTCCTCAGTAGCCGACAAGTTTTCCGAGGCAAGTACTCGAACTTTGGTCGGCACAAAGTTGAGGGCTGCGCGGACTTTGAAGTGACCTGAGTCGTCGGTATAGACAGATTTCGATTGTGACTTGTTATCGTTGTAGAAGAAGATGGTAATAGGACTGTTGGCAGTGGGGAGAGTCATAAAGGGTCGTAATCTCTTCATTAATTGCTCGTTCGCTGCGATGATCTCTTCTTTGCTCATTTGACCAGCAAGGTTCCATGACATCCTCTTTTGCAGGGGGGTTATTGCATCAGTAGAGTCGTTCGCAGTAGATGTATTCATGCGTGTTGAGGCAGGTCTCGAAGGTGACGAGGCTCGGCTGTTGGTAGGACTGAAATCCATGAGAGAATCGTTATCAGCAGTATACCTGCCAGTGGCAGCGGCTTCGGCTTCGCGTTGACCACGACGCTGGATGAGATCAGCTTCTCTGGCAGCAGCTTCTTCCTCCTGACTTAGCATATCATCCTGTACTCTGTCGCGCCAGCCAGGACCTTGTGAAGTTTCGCGACTTCGAGGAGGTGTGTTTGTAGGGGCTGGTATGCCACTTAGACGACGTGCCACAGCGAGCAGTAGCCTGTTTCTCCTGCTCAACGGACCACGCTGAGGAGTATAGATCCAACCTCGTACGTCGACATCTACCACTGCATTCACATCCTCGTATTTCTGCCATTCTCTTCTCCAGTAATCCGCATCGCCCGAGTCTGGATTGCTTACATCTTCGTTCGTGCCAGGCGCTGACCGCGGAAGGCCTTGCGAGTGATGTGTCGCTGGAGCATGGATTCGGGCATAGCTAGGAAACAACAGCATTTCCTCGTCACCACTCCGAACAACATCGGCATCTGGAAAAGCACCAGGTAGACCCTCCTGATAATCGCTTTCCTGCCATCGTGTCTGGAATGTTTGCTGGTACGACTGGCGCAGTTCGTTGGCAGCCTTGATATAGCCTAGCACTTTCTGCCGCCTTTGGCCAGGCGCTCTTGATTCACCTGCCCATCCCGAATTCGCCATAGAGGTACCGTCTGCTGTGTTCGCCGAAGCAGGTCTACGGGCATTTTTGAGAGGACCGGTCAGTGATGGACGGTGGATGTGAGGGAGGAACCTGCACAACCCACTCCTGCCTGCTAGTCTCCGCTCTCGCTTTCGTCGTTGACTGCGGAGGATAGCCTGGTATATACGAGATTGAGCACGGTGCTTGAGTGCTGGCAAGGTCTCAAGCCGAAAGTTAATGAAGCGATTGCTCAGGCGCTTATGAGTGTGAGGAAATAAATATTGAAATAAACTGGTGAAATTCCTGGGATGGATCGCACTCCTCCAGAAGCGAGGAGGCGCCAGCTTGTCCTGTCACGTCCTTTGACCAAAGCGTGACACGAGCAAGCGAAGAAGTGCTGCGACTGTATTTCAGGCCGCTCCCTCGACCATCAACCTGTAAGGTCATTTTCCTGCTCTCGGACTTCATGTCCAGGCGAACTGCTTTGAGGTCGACGTCATCGCTAATTAGTCCAAGATCTAGGTGCCTCAGGCAATAGAAAACTCCCTACTGTGTCTAGGCGATGCTTGTCAAAGCTTCGCTGTAAAGTAAAGATGAGGATGGATCAGGTAAACAGTGAAGATACTCGGACTACTACTTTGACCTATGATAGATGCGTCGACTTTACTCATGCTATAGTACTGTAACCGCGATGGACTTGGTCATCTAGCTTCGCCATCCTTTGGGCTCATGCTCTTCCTGCACAAGCTGTACCCTAGCGGCATCATCCGCTCCACTTGCTTCGCCATGATCATGGTCCTGCGCGAGAAGCTCATACTCAGCAGGTCCCGAGAATTTCTGCTCTCCATACCCAACTGTCACAGGGATCCTGGAAGTTCCCTCGTGCCACTGACCTAGCTTCATCTCTCTGTGTAGCATTCTCTGCATCTGTAGTTTGTCGTTCACGATCCACTCCATCCGAGCGTGCAGGCCTTTCCCAGTCTTGTGCTGGATGTAGCCAACCACTGTATCGATTGTCATGGAGAGAAAGATGATGGCACCACCAATGACGAAAAGAATTGCTAATCCCAATACGGAGAAGCTCATGCTACTGGAGCTGTCATTGACGATCTGGTTGTAACACATGACCCAATAGGGATTGTCCCTTCCAGCTTGATATGGTTGAACATGAGATCCTGGCAGAGCTTTCGGTGGTACAACATACTGCTCAATCATGGCTTGTATCCTGGAAAGTCCCGTGTCAAACCACGCTCCGACTTCAATGTGCCACTGATTGGCTGGCAAGACTGCTTGTGAAAGCGTAGAGACTGTCTCGGAAGCACGGAGTGCATTCCCTCCTCTTGTGAAAGTGGCATGATAAACGCTAGAGTAGGCTGCTGCGAGAACAACACGAAAGGCTGTTGCGTTCTGATTGAGGTTCAGGTTAAGCCCATCACCGTTGGCAAGAAAAGCTTGCTGCAGCTGAATAGTGCCCATTCGCGGTGTGCAAACGCCATTGTTAGGGTTGCACACTCGGTACTGTTCACTGCATCCAAGGACAGTAACGTACTGATCCGAGGACCACCAAGTATATCCACTGAGATTGTAAGAGTAGTGAGCCGCGAAAAGTGGATCATTCGTGGGCTTTTCATATCGGATAGAATTGCTTGCCAGGAACAGCAGCGATAGGTCCGCGTTGGTGTTGCTAATCTCTTTGATAGGCACATACACGCCAGGGTTCAATGGATAACCAGCAAGGGACTGGTAAGATGCTAGAGTATACCCGATGTTATCCATGGCAGTATGCAAGTTGTATTGATACGTGTAGTTCGTTACGTTTGTGCCTGAATCACCCACCATTTGACCCAGCCAGAACTTGTAGATATAGTCTCCAGGAATACCATTTTCAGTGTCTGAATTCTCTTCAGTGACGTTGACTTGAGTGGCGAACGCTCTGGTACGCATTGGCGCGCATGTTGTTGTCTTTTCGAACTGGATCCGTCCTCGTGGAGCGGAGTTGATACCCAAGTCCAGGTGACTGTCTATCATCTTCGAAGTAATGGATATAGCTGAGAGATCGTTCCAGTAACACATACCAGACGTGAAGGGACATGTGGCGTTAGTATTGGACGTCCACTCGATGGCAGGATTGACGTAGTGACCACATTGAGCGCCCTCGTTTCCTCCATAACAAGCTTTTGCATAGGTAGCTGCAGATAAGCTGTACCTGTTAACGAGAATTCGCATGCTGCACAATACCTGCTTACCTATCACTTGTCACCTTGGATTGCCAGGCAGCGCTGGAATCAGGCGAGCTCGTATTCAGTGACCAGAGCCCACATTGATCACCAGTCAGCAATCGTTGTGGGCCAGGGCTTTTTGATATTTCAGAGGAGAAAATGGCCAAAAGACCAACCACAACAATGTACGACACGCCAAAGACTGCCCATGGCAGAGAACGAAGAAATGACAGCCTTGCTTTGCCTGCCCAGTGGTACGTTTGCAGCAGCCACAGCCAAGCAGCACCTCCAGGAGTGGGTGATGTCCGCAGAATCACCTGCTGCTGATGGTAGAGGCCTATGCTACTAGTTAGACATCTTGCGGTAATAGCCAGAAGCGGTTGAACAAACCATCTTGAGGCGTCTTTTGTGATCGAAGCTGATGTAAGATATAGCAGAGGAGTTTCCACAGTTCAGCACCACATATTGTGACGAATGTCGCGATGAATGCAGTGAGTAAACCTCCTGCACGTTGTGACAGAGTCACAGTCATGCCAGTAGCCAGCCCGTGGGACCAGTTGATCCACGGACCATCATAGATATGAACGAACGTGGCCGACATTACTGATCTGCTTGAAGGTTGATGTTCCGTTACGACGATACCCCTAGCCGCGGGAGATCTGTGGTAGATAGATATACGAGGACTGCGAGTAGCAAGGCTGCTGCTGAAGTACAACCCTCACATGATGTTGTGGACCTGAACACCACAAGTACCTGGTCCAGAAGCAGTCGAGACGACTAAACCCTCGACGAAACAGCTTGAAGCTAGATAAGTTGTCTCGGACAACTGCGAGACGCTACAAGCATGTACCTCCACGCCATGCTTTTTCGAGCTAAGGTGCCATTAAGGTCGTGCTTAGCTCAATGCTCAATGCAGACTTTCCATCACAATAAGGTGAAAACAAGCCTGCACAAGCATTTCGCCACCATACGACCTTCTCTCGTCGCCGACGTGACTAGGACGATTGTGCAACGTGCACGAATGACGATGTGGGACGACTCGCTTACTGTCTTCGTGGCTGATCGCTAGTTCGATGTCTCGAGAGGAAGATGCAGCCCAAAAGAGCTACGCTTCGAGGGTACATTTCAGCCCATGCTTGTCACCACTCAAACCTGGCGCGTGACAAGATCATGCATGAAGAGTGGTCGAGCTTCCTGTAGAGCATTCTGCATGAGAGCAACTTGACTTCCTGACCACGCCCAGACTTTCGATCCATACAGTAATGTTTGTGGACGACTTGTTGTTTAGTAAGCGAGCTGGATGAACTTTTGCAACCAACAAGCCAGATGACGGCTTGCAAGTTAAAGTTCACGCCCTGTTGTACAGTGAAAGTGGAAGCCCGCGACGAAGTACGGACGAAAGATCAAGTGGAAGGAAAGGTCAAACATTGAGCTCGCCGAGAATAGATTGGCGGCGTCGTTAGTGGCGAATTGAGCTTGGCTGAACCGGAAACTGCAGCCGTAGACAATTTTGGAGGGCCCCTTAATTCCGCACGACTTGAATGACAGGAGAACAACCAATGGGAGGAAGGTGATACTCATACCGCACAAGCCGGTCGAGGTAGGCTCACCAGAAGTGCTTCTGCGTAGCTTTGGACATCAGCGTCTCCAGTGGCGTACGAAGTTCAGTCCGTCAATACTTGGTAAAATGCGATTGACAGGGTAGCATTGATCTCACATCGAGCTATTGAACAAACCGATGAGGTACTCCGACGTACCAACAGCATGCATACACATGTCGCGTGTAAGACGGAAAACCCATGTGTCAAATGTCAATAGCCAGGCACGACTGCTCCAAGCATTGACTGTGTCACCGAACGTAGCCATGAGCATATTCCAACTTGTGTTTCATAGCAAATGGTCCTCAAGATCCCTCCAACTTTTGTCGTTCTCCAATCCAACCGACTCGCAATACACTTGATAGCCTACTAAATTAAGGTGTCTCATCCAAGCACAGCCCTGGCGTGAACGCTCTTAGCGATGTGGTGTCTCAACATGGTTGGTAAGTGCGCTGGGTCTGTTGTTCCATCGATACTGGCCCAGCGTGCATGTTGAAACAATAGTGGTCGGAAAGAAGCCTTTGATGACTTCGCTCATTTACGCTCACTCCTTCGTCACTGAACAGCCGACACTTTTCGTTAGCGACTCAACCACTGTGGCTTACCCACCAGCAGCATTTCATCTCAAGTATCGTCCTCGTGCTCCTGCTCAGCAGGAATATCATCGTCGACCTTATCAACGAGCTTCTCTTCCCTTGCTCTCTTCTTGTCCCACTTCTCTCCAGTACTGACATCCAACTCTTTAGCAACATCGGTCATCCTTTCGAAGACAGTCTTACCAACATATCTCCAGAAGCCGCCAGCCCTCACATATCTTGCGTGAACCTCATTCTCATGCTTCTCCAGGTCGGACTTGATGGCTTGTCGAAGCTTTACAACAATGACGAGTATCGTCTTCGAGGCTCCAGGACTGTTCTTGTTGCTCATAGGAGAAGACGAGATATTCAGGCTGGAGTTTGCTCGTTTGCGACTAGCAGAGATGACACCTGTCGTGCTGCGGTTCGGTGTTGAGGACAAGGTAGGTGAAGAGCCTGAGATGGAGGAAGCTGCAACGCTGGCTGCAATTCCGAGCTTGATCATGATTGCAGTGACGACCTCTTCCATCTCGACAGTTTCCTCTGTGGTTTCACCGCTGTCAGCCCTCTTCTTTAACCTCTTCCTTTCCTTGTTCTCCTTTCTTCCAGCAGCCACAGACCTAAACAGATACTGCTTGTGTGCTTGGATGTTCTTGACAAAGGCCAGATTCCTGTTAATCACATCCTCGATTGTCCTGTCTGTCGCCAATGGGTGTGCTGAGCCACTTGTGATAGCATCGTGATCGTCTCCATGCAGAACTTTGGCTACATTTTCAACGTCGGCTAGGGTCACTGAAGCGAGGTTTCGACTCTGGTTCCTAAGAGCTTTGTTCTGTGACTTGGCTGACTTCTTTGCCTTCTTTTGGGCTCGAGCTTCGGCCTTCGAGAGTTTCTTGGTCGGTGTCGCCAGAGTATCTGCAGATGATGGTGCATAGCTGGACAGTGAGGTAATGTCGTCTTCGTGTTCGATGTTCTCCTGATCTTCTCGAATACGTTGTCCTGCATAACCTTCGTCTTGGTCAAGTTCCAGTTGGAGAACAGCTCTTCCTGGCCTGGGCCGTTCCACGGCATTGAGATTAACGTTTCGTTCCAGAAGGGGAATGCGAGACGGTGTGAGTGTCAGCGCTGTAGGAGCTTCTTCAGCCTTGTACTCAGCCACAAGTTCTGCGATCTTCAAGTCATCAGCACAACAAACTCCACTCCAAACTAACTACGAGGGACATACATACCTCTCGGTGCCTGTTCTCGTGCACCTCCCTAGTGATGACACAACCAGAGCATCTGTGAGCGGCGCCAACAGCATGCATGGTAGGGTGGTAAGAAGTACATGGCATAGAGTGAACGCCATAACACGTCTGCAAAGCTCTTGGGCTATTAGCCTTGGTCGGACACTGCCAGCAAGCGTGTTCTAAAGGAGTGAGAGAAATGTCAGTCCAATCGTTTGATGTCTCAAAATGTTTCACAGTTTTTGTGGTGGTGGATGGAAAAAAACTTACCAAGACTGGCGGCGTCCTCCCAGCGGAAGATACTGTTTGGGTGAATGTTTGTCATCTTTCTTTTCCTTGTTCGCAATAGAGAGATCTTTCAAGTAATCGTTTCTTTGTCCTAAATCACGAAGACAGATCGATATACACACAATCCTGAAAAAGGTTATGTTCTCGCGACGATACAATGGCAAAAGACAAGGAATGACACATGAAGAGGTACGAAGGAGAAAGAAGATTGGGAACTGTCTGAAACGTGGCTCATGTGTTGCATGCAATAGTTGTCATGCCAATGACGAGGCAGTAAGGCAAGGAATAACATGACACTGTGCGTGTGGGTAAACAACATAGTCCTGGCAGTGAAAGGGTGTGTGAAAAAAACATCACTGCAGAAAAAATGGACAAGTGCAGACACACGACGAAACATTACCCGAAAGCGGATCATATTTTTTCTTCTTGTTTCAACGAGCGAATGTCCTGCCTGATGACCCTCTTACTCCTCAAACAACGATTGCTGCCGACCTGCATCGCTGTCGGTGAAGTGTATGGTGATCAGACAAGGATTGAGTATTCTTTGTTTGGTGTTGCGATCGAGACCGTGGCCAATGTTTCGAAGCGAGCCAAGATCATGCAACGTCCCGCACGAGGCGAGCAGTGCACCAGACGAACGGGTAGTTACGCTGATACCAATTGATGAAGCTCTTCCGCCCGGCAATGCGAGGAATCGTGGCCCAGCTACCGCCAAGACAGATGTTGTGTTTCTCGTCAAAGAAGTCGGCGGAATATCCAGGATAAAGATTCATCGCCTCGAAGCCATCATGAGCGGCGAAAGAGGTGCTGGTCCACTCCCAGAGACCACCGACATCACTTTGACCGCGAAGACGCGTTCCATCAGCAGTGACAGGAGATGGGTACCATTGTTTGAAGCCGACGTTAGCACTTTTGAGATCGATGAAAAGATCATACGGGTTTAGGTTGCGGTTGGCTGGCTCGCCAACCCCGTGCGACAAATCGTGCTGTGGCGGTGTCTCCTCAACTCCATCGTTCGACAGGTGACCATTCACCGCTGGAACCAGAGTGCTTGGTGTCTTCTCCGCCAAACGTTCTTGCTTATGCACGTAGTGGTAGATGCTTTTGAGCTCTTCGAAGGTAGGTATTCTATTCCCATCACCAGTCCACTTTGCGAAAGCAACAATCTCATCATACGACGCCATCACTGGCCAATCCAGTGCGAATTCCAATGGTACTGGACCGTATACAGTGCGAACAGCCTTACCATTTAGAAAAGAGACACTGACTACTTCATTTGTACCGTCGGAGGTATGGCCTTCGTCGCGGGCATGACCATTGGACGGCGGCGTCCTCTTGACCCATGATGCTGGTAAGGCTGTCTTCCCAGTATCTTCTAGGAACCTGGCATACTCACCATTGCTGATCGGTCGGCTTTGGGCCTCGAATTTCTGCACTTCAACAACTCTTGCTGGACGCTCGTTGTCCCACAGAAAATATCGCTCGGGAGGATCACTGTTCTCTGGATCATCTGCTCCAATCACAAACTTGGACGTGGGAATTGCGTGCCACTGATTCTCAGTTCTCGCAAGTCCAGAGGTCTCTCCAATAGCCTTGAAGTCAGGAACAGCGCCGCCAGGAGGTGCCAGGATCCTTTCACTGTGCAGCAGCATATACAAGAAAGTTTCAAGATGCATGGCCTCGTGCTCAAATGCTAGCACGAGACCTCGTGCCAATTTCCTGTCCTTGGCAGCGTAGCCCGACTCGATGCTCTTTAAGATCCGATTGCGAATTCGCAGCTGATATTGCAGGATTTCCGAAAGCGGCGGCCACTCGTCGGGTATCTCTGAATGACTGTGACATTGTGTCGGATCGTCCACGTCCGGGTCTATACCACGCTCAAAGATCTGGTAGTAGTAGCTCGGATCGGTCGGCTTTTGCCCAGTCGCACGGGTGAAATGAATGTCGGCAAATGTAGGGATGTGGCCCAAGTAAAAGATCAAATTATTGCGAAGCTGGATAGGCTTGTTCATCAACTCATCCCGTGGTACCATGGATCTAGTGACAATATCCCAGACAGTCCAGAGCTGCTGCCACTCACGAACAGCAGGCACAGGGGTTGGAGCATACAAGTCTGGCCGAGTATCAAAAGCAAGTTTCGCTGGCTTGAGAATATGCAGTTCTAAGAATGCTTTAGTAATGTCCTCTGATCTGTCATTGCACTTACGATGCTTGCCAACCGAGTCAGTATAGACTGCAGTAGGTATCAGGGCTGCCTCGCGCCAGATCTCGTCGCTTTGATCATCGCGAAACTTGTTGGCCAGCTCAAATTGCAACTTCTCACCCTTCTTAATCTCAATCCCATCAATCAGAATGTCCTTCGTGGCAACATAGCTTGCACGATGTTGATTCTCATCCTTGAGGTACTCTCCCAAGACAATCCACTCATCTTGCTTGAAGGCCTCATAGCCAAAAAGCTTGTTGGCGTGTACAAGGCCGTTGCGATAGAAGCGTTCAGTCACGCCTCGATTATCGTTGTACGCACGGAAAATACGATCTTCGTCGTCTGTAGCATCAAGACCTACAAGTATGAGGTCTGCTGGACCGAGCGCCTGACTGAATCCAAGCAGGAATTTCGCAGCGTCAGCCTTTCCAAAATTGCCGATTGACGACCCCAAGGTCATGACGATATTGACCCTGTCCTTGTTCTCTGGCCTGGATAACCACGCGAGGCCATCGTCGTACGTTCCATGGAAAGCGTTGAGCTTTACGTGTTTGAAGTGAGATGTATCAACTTCTGAAAACGTCCTTTTTAGCTCATCGTACGACAAGTCGAGCGCGAAGTAGTCAATGTCCTTCTGGGCTCGTTCGAGGGCGTCGAGCAAGATCCTGACCTTTCTCAGATTGCTAAACATTGCTCATGGTCAGCAACTATACCATGTGAACCTGAGTCGACAGACGGCTGGTACTCATATACAAATTGGTGTGAAAGTCAAGCGAAACAAAATTGACATACCCACTTCCAAGTTCAATGATGCGTGCTCCAGCTGGGATGTGCTCGATAAGAGTATCTGCATGATTATGGAGAGAATTCAGCTCTGCATTGGTCAAGTAGTATTCATCCAGATAGGTGATCTCCTCGAAAATCTTAAGTCCTTTCTCTGCATGATATTAGTGCAAATCCTTGGGGTACTGCCTCATTATCTGCACCGTCGTAAAGCAAGAGTGTCGGCATAGTCTTTGGCTCTGAGCGGATGCTTCGCCTGACCATCTCGAGCAAAGATTGCTCAGATTTGTCGCTACGAATATCGTACATCTTCACAGCTCCTGACACAGAATTGTCAGCCGTGGCGTTCTGCATCTCGAGTGTACGCCAGGCGTATCACTTCTTGACACAGTGGCTCTTAAAAGTTCTGAAGCTGCAGATACAAGAGCGTAAGCTACAGGATGGACTGTCTTACCTATATGCTCCAGGTCGTATTGCTCGATACTTTTCGGATACAATATTCTGCAGCTCCAGAACCACTGAAAGGCTCCACTTGGTTCCGCTGCGCGTCATGTCCTGGGACTCGAGCACTATGGATGCCATTCAGGCAGACCATAGCCATGGCTGCTTGAGATGTCGTGGGGTGAAAGCAATGTTGCGACGAATCAGATACAAGATCTTTACACGAATGACGAACGTTGAGGCCCATAGAACTTGTAATCTCAAGTCGAGATGATTTTATGCTCGGTGTCGTGAATCGAATCAGCACAGCCAGTCGAGTCACAAGCCGGTAAGAGGTTGAGGTGGTTGAATATAGCCGGCAGGGTCCGCTTTCGGACAGGAATACGTCGGTTCAGTTGTGTATAGACGCGTGCGGGGCGCGCAGTGTACACAAATTTGCTGTACCTGCCAAGCTTGTTTTACAGGATTCCAGACAGAGGATTCGAGGTTGTCGTTGACCTGTGACAATGACTCCGTGCTGACATCTCAGTATTGGTTGAAGAAGGACATCGTCCCCACACGGACAAACATTGTCCCTTTCTCGGAGGCATTTGGCCTATGCCTTGTTCATGTACAACAAGCAATTACAAAGAGGATGGAGAAGACGTCTCAGAGTGCCCGTCGCGAGACAGGAGCCGCTCTAGTGAGGGTTTTACTAGATTTAGGATAGGCCAAGAGTTGCTGTCGTGTGATAGCCTCTTCGGTATAGCCTTTCTGTCATGTCTCGAAAAGGGTTGTACTCTGAAATCATTTATAAGCTGTTGTTCATGGTGACGACGACCTCGTAGGACGCCAGACCCGCATCTTCCAGAAGTACGGGCTTGTGGAATGCGACGATGTCCTGAAAGAATGCATCTTGCTCTGCCCAGTCAGCTCGAGGACCAAGCCAGAGAACCATACATATGTTTGGTGAAAACCGATTCATGTACCGTTGCACTAATCGACCTTCTCGAGGATAGACAAAGAGCAGAACGTCCGCCTCTGAAGCCTCGTCTGAGATATCCCATGTGCCTTGGACTCGATGAATTATCTCATCTGGTAGGTATGGCGTGGGTGTAGAGTATGTTTCAACGCCTCGAAGTTGGATATTCAAAAGTTCCTGTTTGAGCAGAAACGATCGTAGCATATTCTCGAAGAAGCCTGAGCCACAGCCGACAGAGAGTATAACGAGTTTGGAGGCATTCTCGCGATACACTGGTTGCAGAAGCTGCTCGATCGACTCAAAGAGCTTAAAAGACAGACTCAGACAACATGCTGGATGATGTTTTGGCTCATGTGAAAGCTCGAGCGACGGTTCCTTGCGGGCGACTGCCATACATCCTGGGAGTTGCACAGAGTGTGTAAAGAAGAGCTGACGCGGAGATCAATGGCCATTCCAACGCGTCCCTTATCCAGGCCAATTTCTGGTACGCTACAGTACCTATGGCTTGCCAAGACGGTACACGAGGCAAGCGCATCTCAAGCAAAGCCTGTGATCTGGCACAGAACTGCGTTACTGCATGCGAAGCAATGTTATTGGTGATGTGTTATCAGGCAGAATGAGTTTCGTTGAGCCAGACTTGTGGTGGGTTACTCAAGCTGATACAACGAGAAGAAAGCTTCCAACCTCATATATGCTATTTGAAAGCTGTCTGGGAAATCTGCGACCACAAGCACATATATAGCATGTCGTATCTGCCAAACGAATGGGTATCTTAAAAGCACCAAGTCGTAATCGTCGTAAAGGCGTACCCCTTAGAAATACTTCCAACCATCCACCACAGTATGACTGGCATCAAGCCAATCACTACTTTCGTTTCTTGCCCTTCTCTTGTCCAGCATCAAGCTCTGCCAATTTCTTCTCCAGCGTGTTGTTCGCAATTCGATCGTATTTGTCCAGTGCTCCGTTGAACATGGCAGGTAGCACTCTTTTAGAATTGGCATGATCTTTCGCAAACTCAACACCGCCGACAATCCAACCTTTAGCTTGACCGACCTTGATAGCGTCCTCTAGTAAAGCCGACCCAACTTCCTTCCGTCTGTATTTCTGTCTAACACTCCAAGCACGAATAACCAATTTCGTATGCTTTGTTGGTGACTGCGCTCTGCGCGTCCTCTTGTTACTTCCTGGCGAGGCAGGAGAACTGATAGGCTGTGCTCCACGAAATACAATAGCACCGATATAGTCGTCTCCGAATTTTGTAAGTAGGATCTCGTCACTGTCACCAAGTATATGCAAACCCGTCTCTTGTTCTTCATCGGCAGATCTGCCTGTGTTCAACCATTTCCAAGTGCCAACCCGCTCTGCTTCAAAGATATAGGGTCCGAGCAACATACGGATGCCACCTAGCACAGCCATGATAACGCCAGGTGACGTGGTACCGACCATGATCCAATTCGTAGTGCCATCTGGTTCTGCGTAAATGCGTATCAAGACTGCAAAAGCACCGACCATTACGGCCAGAATAATAGGGTGGAAGATAAGCGCGTTGGCACCTGTATTTCTTTGCTGAGCTACTGAGTCTGCGATAATGTGCAGCGCTTCGGCCCTCATGTCGTTGTCGGTAGCGGGGAAGGTCTTCAGGGTAGGTACACCGTCCTCTCCTATCGTGGATTCTTTTGGCCCGACATCTTCCTTCTCACTCTCAGCATTGCTGGGCAGTCGGAGGGCATCAGGAGGAGCCATATCGACATCCACTAGGGACGACATGCTTCCGATTAGTGGTGATGGTGGCAGGTCGTACAGTCTGGGTCGTAGACCGTACGGCGTGCAATCAGGAGAATCGTAGGAAGAGTCTAGTTCAATGAATATGTTTGAATGCAAACTCGATAGAAAAGCTGTAGCACGTTAGGGGACTGCTGTAGGAGCTCAATGCTATGCAGTCTCGTGCCTACCTGCAGATACCTTGAAACCTGGTATGCGGTCTCCCACGGCAAATGCAGAAACAGAAGAGGTTTGAAGAAAAGCTGAAGGTGAAGCGTAAGAGGTTTTCAAAAGCTGGAAAGGTGCGGCAGAGTGAGCTGGAGAAACAGGGTAAAGGTGATGAGGTTTAAGAGCGTGGTGCCTGCCCATGCTCACGAATCGAAGCCCAAGTCATCTCAATTTTGGGATGGGTAAAAACAATCTCCACGCCCGAGGGAGCGGCAACGCAGCCTGGTGTGGGAATCTAGAAGCTCAATACGAACCAGAGAAAGCCATCAACCCAAATCAATGATAGCAGGCGTAATGGTCTCATAATAATGGATTCAGAGGAAACGCCGGACGATGGTTAGTATATCTACACTGAGAACGTGCCTGTATGGGCCAGAGGCAGTGGACGAAGCTCGTCATGCCTTGCCAAATCTTGGCTTATTTGATAAGCGCGATAAAGGAAATGCTGCAGCGTCCCCATCGCATTCGGCAAGCACTGATAGCCTTCTTGGGCAAACAGTGCTGCACCAATGAACAACTCGCAGTCGGTCGCGAAGTGTATTAGTTCAGCATAATCATGCCTTAGCTTTGCACAAGTGTTACAATCGAGGCCATCCAGTACCTCGTTTGATAAAAGTCAGGAATGCTCACGTGCAGCTTTTCGAAAGTTGTGATATCAGAGGCACATCAGGAGCATAGGCTAGGATCACGAGTGGGCGACTAACCACAATGGAAATGCACTGGTTGACATTGTATCTACACTTGATAGCCTAGCCAGCAGACACATGACCGGAACTGACGAAATGCTGTAGATGAATGAGAAGCATGGATTGCTCCTGTATGTAAATGCTCAATCTGCCTCGTTGCTTTTGAATCCCTGCCCATACATTGATTGAAGACCCGACGAAGTAGAGCTTGAATGCATTTGTGGGCTATACCACTGAAGTAAATGTGCCTTCACAAGACGACCGTCATTGATACGAGTGGAGTAGTTGAACCGTCTCTAGGTCGTGTCTTACGAGGCAATAGCACGCGGGTGCTGGCTACGTCTGTTGTTGTTATTGTTGTGGTTCTGTTTCTTGGGCTTGGTGTTCTTCGAGACCGTGCTCCATCCATCCTCCTGAAGTGCTGCCGTCTCGCTATCTGCTGGCGCTTCCGATGCTGGTGCAGCCTTCCTCCAAGCGCCGTTCTCTGCGGCTGGTGGGGCTCGAGTAACCTCCTTTGGTTTGACTGCTGTGTCACGATCTGGTGCAGGTGCTTCATCCTCTTCAGCATCTTCGTCAGCGACCATATCGTTGCTTTCGGATGCCTGTCGGCGCAAAAGCTCAAACTTTGGTTGAGGCTTGGGCTCGACTTCATCGTTCTCACCATTCTCGTTAGTGGCATTCACGTCATTGGCTTGCTCTGTGCTCTCGGTTTGTGGCTTCTCACGGGCCTGGCGTTTCTCCTCAGCTCTGTCAGCTTTGGCCTTGTCATCGGCCTCCTTCTTGAGGCGGATCGTCTCCTGTCGTTTCTGTTCCACTTCACGCTCCTTTGCAGCAGTGTCGACAGGCCGGGCCGCACCGAATGGACTAGCCTTCGTGTCAGCCGCAGGTGCCGAAGAGCCTGAAGGATCCGCGTCCGACACAGTCCTCTTGGCCAGGTTGAGTTTAGGTCTGGTTGCAGGAGCTGCAGGAGGTGCTGGGGAGGACGGCACGCTGGCTTCTGGCTCAGGAGACTTGGGTGGAACGTCCGGTCGCATTTTCGATCTCCACTGGTTGTCCGTCTCGGCCGCAGTTGGCTCTCTGACAGGAACTGGTCGATCAGGGTACTCTCTTCTAGGTGGCCTGGAGCCTTCCTGTGACCTTCCCTCGCCCCAAGATGGTGAATTACGACGAAAGGTGCCTTCTTTGCTGGCTTGACGACCGGCGCCACCAAGACTTCTGTCTGGGATGGCGGCTGGTGAAAGAGGGCCTTTGCGTTCCCAGTTGGAGAAGTCTCGGACTTTTCCATCTGTGTCTGCGCCGAAGCCTCTGCGGCTGCCTCGTTCACTGCCAGCATCTGACATATTGTCCATGTTTCTGTTGAAGTTTCTCTCAGAAACTCGTCTTTGCGAGGAAGGTAATTCTGGCAATGGTCCTTTACGGCTCCAGTCGCTAAAGTCTCGGTTTGACTCGGGTCTATCGTTCTTAGGAGGGTCTGCTACGCTGATTCTGACTTGACGACCTGCAAGATTGCTACCAGAAAGACTGAGCGCGGTCTTGAGTCCATCGAGTGTCCCAAATTCGACATAACCAAATCCCTTGGGTTTTCTGTCCATCTTATCCTCCACAATTCGAACGTTAGTCGTCTCGCAGTCTCGGAAGAAATCTCGGATGTCGTCCTGTGTGACGTCGAAGGAGAGGTTGGCAAGATGGGCGGTATACGGAGGTTTGTCAGGCAAGGGCAATTGTTCGCGCACAGAGTACTGGGACAGGTCTCTTCTTTCTGAGATCTGGTAAGCTCGAGTCATTGCGGGGGAGAGAACGTGTACTGACCAAAAGATGCTCCTCCCATTCCAGTGTTCGAGCTGAAGTCCCGTCGTCCGGCAGAGGCGCCATAACTCTTTTGCGCATCGGTAGCTGTAATTGCTTTTTAGATGTAGTCAATACTGGGATACTGATGTGCGTACCTGGCAATGGCATGTCCTCCATTTCGTCGGCCCATGAGCCATAGCCTAATGATTGAATTAACCCATTGTCGCCGTACCATTACTGTCCTACGGTCGACATACTGTCATCTTGTAAGAAGGTCCCAAGGGACATCTTCTGATTCTTTTTGGGAGCTAGTATGACAGTCAGCACATTGCCCAACAATCGCAGCGTGCCTTCTATAGGCGCATGCTCTTTCGACGTGGCGGCATATGGACATACCCATGATTGCGAATCTTCACCACGCTCACTGTCTTCAGGACTGTGGGCGCGCAAATTTGGTTTTGCTTTAGTATTGCCCGAGCGATTGAGTACAGGTTTGAGCAAGTATGCCCAAGTTGTGGATGGGAGGAAGATTCGAGTCGTGCGTATACTTTAAGAAATTATCACCATCTCCGTCGCAAGCGATGTGTACGCTCACGTACGCGTATAGATATGCCGTGATAATCGGTGCACGCCCGTATACGCCGGCAATCTTCACCTGGGAATATCACCGAAACTTATTCCCGTCATAGTCACGTGCGTGTGTTGGAAAGTGCAAGTTACAGGCTCTATTTATCTACTCCCTTCCTCATACCGGCGTGAATAGCTGTTGTGACCAGATACCACTCCGCTTGGAACGTCTGTTCTGATGAGAGATGATGAATGCTCTACAGTTCTTCGAAACGATATTTCAGACAACGTTATGAGCATCAGAGTGCCAGTATCGAATTTTCGAACACATGGCTTCACCGATGCCGGAAGCAAAGCCTAGCGGTGCTACATCAATCGCCAAGTCTTCAGCGTATGTTGGTGGAGGAGCGGGAGCGCTTGGAGCAGCTTTTGCTGCCGCTCATGCTACACTAAAAGGTCGCAACGCTGCTCTATGGGGTGCAGCTGCAGGCTTTCAATGTTTCGTCCTTGGCTCGACCTTTTGGTTTTCTAGGGATGTACTTCGTAACAACGTGGATCAAGGACAGGGTCTGTCGTATAGAGATGATCTCTTGTACAGCGGATTTGCAGGATCATTGGCAGGCATGGCAGGAGGCGCTATGCGAAGCCGTGGTAACATCATTCCTGGTGCAATTGTTTTCGGGTTGGTCGGATTAGGCGGTCAAGCCGGTCTCTCTGCGTTGGCAGGACGTATCGATGCACCAGACCGAGAGCGTCGACCTATACTAGATCGACTGTCTGATTCTAAGTGGTGGCCCTTAAAATCGGTATCTGATGAGGATTATGAGCGGGAGTTGACTGAGAAGATTGTGGGACTTGAGGCAGAGCTTGAAGTCATCGATGAAAAGATTGCGCTGCTGAGACGGGAGTCTACCGGAATAACGGACAAGACCTGAGCTCGACAAACCACTAATACAAAATACCTCTCTCACCCAGAAAGAGTGGCTGTATCCAGATGCAAGTCGTTTGATCGTCACAGGCGTCTTTCGACAGCAAAATCAAACTTTCAGTTGGGCACGTTCAAGGTCTACTTTACACCTTTATGAAGAATCACAGCAGGCAGACACATAGGATGAGGAAGGAGAGCTTTCTATTGTGCCACTGCAATGTCCTTGAAAAATGTTTTTGCTGTACCAGCAGAACAAATTCTGCTCTCGTCGTCCTTCTGTGGTGAGAGACAGTAGTGGCTAGTACAAGGCGTGCGCACAGTGCTGGCAGTAGGAGTCTTATTCAGCACACATGGTTATTGGATAAAGCATCGGAAGTCAGTACGATAGGGCATTCATCAGAGTGGACGCTGTTCTGAATGGAAGCGCGGCTAATATAAAAATGCAAGAAGGGCTCCCCGTAACCATGATACGTCATCATGCAGGGCAGCACTCGTGTTTTGCAGATGCAGAATGACTGCACAGGTCCGACGGCTCAAGGAGTGAACCATTGCATAACTGTACCAAAAGTTTTGTTATATGGTAGCCATTGTATACGCGACGCTCCGCTCTTCAATGTGGATTATATGCAGCTCGAATTGATGGCATGTTAGGGAAGCTAGCTGACCCAGCCCGATCTAGCGCCAAGAATCGGAAATCAGTGCTTATTCAATAACCCCACCAAGCCTAAATCAGAGCCGGAATGAGATGCATCGCGTGCCGTTCGTGCCGCTCAGATAGTGCGCATGCGATTACTTTACTCGTTGGCATTCAAAAGATTTTGTGTATACTCGCTTCTGCACTGAACTTCGATCAAACAAAGTCATGAAACTGTAACCGGTTGACAGCACCTCAGGCTTAGGAAGTGACAACAACTCGATCTGGAAGCCCGGTATTCACGCGCAAGGTACACTTTGCAGACGCAATGACAAAGAAGAGGACGAACAGACCTCGATAGGATACCGGAAGCACGAGAGATGCACAAACGATGACTATGTCTACGTTGCTGAAGCCACCGATACCGAACTTCCAGCCTCGGTCGTGCCTGCTCAGCTGCGTAAGGACTTTCGGACCATGGCACTAATCAATGCGACTTCTTTCGTTGGTTCGATAATTCTGACATACCTCTCCTCCTTCATCCTGCTCGCTATCATACGTATCGCTACTGGAATCTCTATACAACGGGTCGGCCTGTCGAGTTTGAGGCACATTTCTTATACTCACAGGGATGGCATCAGGATTGATATTAGAGGCTTGGGCTTCGCTATACACAGGCCCACCTTTGCGCAACCTACATGGGTCAGTCTCCGGCTTCAGGAACTTGTCCTTACCGTTGATCCGGCATCGCTACAAAGTCACCAAGGAAGAAGGCAGGGCACGGACCGACCGAATTATCATGATGCGGACAAGCAGGACGCTACCTCACGTAGCCACGAGTCGGAGCAGAAGAGCAAGCTGTGGCGGCAGCTGAATGATATCAAAGAACATCTCAAGAGAATACATGACAAAATTCAATGGCTGCGTATGTTTGACATCTATGCTACTAACACCACCTTAGATGTTACTGGAGTGGGTTCTTTGTCCGTTGGCTCAATAACCCTTGCCGTTCACACTCGTCGGAAGATGCTCGATAGAGGCCGCCTCTTTCGACACAAAAAGGATCCCTCAGGTCACCAAAAACCAGCAGAATGGATATTCACTGTCAGAAGCATCTTCCTTGGCGTCAGTGGCCGAGAGCCTATTGAGATCCTTGACAATATGTCGGTCAATGTACACGGGCTGCTATACCAGGAAAAGAGTGGATTACGAGATACTTCCATTGCCATCAAGGTCGGAAGACTCCATGTGCCCATTGATGATTTCCTGGAGTTCAAAGCTCGCACTTCTTCCGACGCGGAACGATACACTAGGAGGAAGACCACCTCACATCAGCGTGGGATCAGCCTGGACGATGTGGTAGAAGAGCTTGAACGTCCCGGAAGTCGCGAAGCAGCTATTGTGCAGACAGTCGCCGACTCAAAGGAGTTCTTAAGCTCTGTCCTCCGTGGCGTGCAAGAAATCCAGCTAGGCATGAGCTTCATTCGCATATCCAAGGAGATCGTGCCGTTGAGAAAAGCAAACCTTCCCGTCTTCATGAACATCGTCACCCACGAGATTGGCATTGACTTGCATCGTCTGTCGCAGAATTCGCCTGCACATCGCATGTACTTTTCTCACCAAGATATTGCGCACCAAGCTCTTGTGGCTGCAGTGTCCATATCTGTCAGCCTTGATGAGGACGACACGAAATCTACCAAGATCGTGTACATACCGATGGCGACAACTACAATAAGAACTACCTTGCCTTCAAAAACAATGAGTTTCACCGAGGAGCGCGATGTTGCTGAACGCAACTCAAATGTCCTCTTTGCGAACTTGGTTATCACATCTCCCTCCGTCGATTTGACACCGCAATACCTCATACAGTTGCTCGCCGTTACACAGTCACGTACCAAGACCTCATCGGTCCCTGAACCGAGTCGTCATCGTCTCATATCGAGACTTCTGCCAAGAGCCGTAATGAAATTCTCGATACACGAACCTGTCGTGCGTTTCGTCCTACCTGTCGCGGCTAAGGGTTACCACGAACCAGATGACTTCGACATGATCATCTCAGCAATATCAGGCATATCCTTCGAGGTCGAGTCGTCCCACTCCTCCCAAGATGATCTACTTTATTCTCTCAATTCTCATTTCCGGGTAATGACACATACTCTCTACTATCAATCTGCCTCGGGTATGAAGCACAACCTGCTGAAGACGGATTCGCTCGAGGTTAAAACTCAAGTCACAGCTTCTAAAGAAGTGTTCGTGGTGGTTTCTGGAGCTCTACGGAGCTTTTCCATACTGATGGTGCGGCCTGAGGTCAGCCAAGGTGTATACAATATCGTACGGCACTTTCATCATGTTTCTTATGCCGAGAAGACAGATCCTCTCCCGAAACACAAAGAGTCTTTTCTGCGCAAAATACCCGCTTGGCTGTTAGAGTTTCGATTTGAAGGAACAAACTGTAGTTTCGAGACTGCTGGTATCGATGCAAGCATATCTGATCAAACTCGCGGCGTGGCATTTGAATTGGAGTCATGGAGTACACACTATCTTGCACACAGAACCGACAGTCACCACAAGCCATCATCGCGTCGGAAAGTAAGCGCTTCTGTTCGTGCCAACGAGCTTCCGGAGAACATAACACATCTCACGCCTCCAACTTCGCCAGCGAAGCATCATCCCACCACTCATCACTCTACCGACGGACGACGTCTCACTGTCCATATCAAAGGCTTCCAGGGTTTCATTATCGAGTCGCTGGAAGAGTGGGAACAAAAGCCTTTCGTGTCAGTCCCACGGACCGAAGTCGCCTTCAGCACTTCGAGAGACCAGCAAGGGCCAATGTGTCACATCAACACCCACGTCAGAGCTTTCTATCTCGAATTTTCCCTTTACCGAGCATACTCGATTGGTGTTGCTGCAATGGTCATACAGGATGCTTTCTGGGGATCATCTTCGCACCACGACTCTGTATCGGCGAAAGCATTCGACCACGCAGCAGCAACGACCGACATGCCTTCGAAACCCCCGAGTCACAAGCCGGTGACGACCCGAGAGCTTCTTGCTGTCGATGTCAAGTCTGGCTATGTCCAGATAAAGGCAGACATGCCCCACCAACCCGCCATGATGCTACAATTGTATGAAGTTGCTGCAGGACGGCACAGATGGTCAGCTCCATTTCTAAGAGGTCATCTCCTACGTCTTCACGCTGCGTCACCTCATGTACGCTCCGCTTGGGCTCGCATTATCAGTATGAATGCGTTGCGGATCGATCCTCGGAGCACAAGAAAGAAGACCGCCAATGGCTATGTTGATGAAAAGTCTTTTGACGTGAGCACAGACTTCATTCGCCTAGCTGTGCCGCATGGCTTGCGCATGTTCAAGGTTTTCGACAATTTTACAAACACGTTCAAGTCACTTCTGCAACTGACCTACCGCTTCAAAACCAGGTCGAACAACTACATCCTCAAGAAGGGTTCAGAAAAGCCAAAGCATGTCCCTAGGGTCTCTCTTAGGTGCAAAGCTCTGCTGTTTGAGTTGGAAGACGACGCTTTTGAATGGAAGCTGAGCAATATTTATCACGTAGGTCGAAGTGAGCAGAAGCAACGGCTTGCTCGGGCCGACGCTTTCAAGCTGAAACTCCGGAAAATGCAGGACGAACGTGGCCGTCAGCATTCGTCACGCCGCCGAGCACAATCTAGCAATGCAGTATCTAGAGAGACGTCGCCGAGAACACCTTTGAGACGATCAGCCAGCCAGGACAGTACTCCACGTCGACATTCTCCGACCAGAGGCCGCAAAGGTCAACCTTCAAAGCTACGTTACAATCGTGACGGCACATGCAATCTCACGTCATCGGCGAGTGTTGAGGTGGAAGAGGCTTGGGACAAGCTGCAGAAATACAATGCTCGAAGTTGGAAAAGCCGCATTGGCTGGCTTCAACAAATGCAAAACAGTACCGTTAGGAGCATCCGCCGCATGTTCAGTGGTGCAGACGAACCACCTCCTGATGTTGACGACCATGAGACAACTTTGGGCATACCAGATCGTCCTGGACTGCTAACAATTGTTATCAGCGACTTACACCTCATTGTTGACAAGCCCTCTTTCCCACTGAGCGCTTTGCCAAAATTTATGAACGATGTCGGCAAAGGCATTCCTCAGGACATGCAGTATGCCCTTTTGGTACCATTGAGTTTGTCCCTCGACATGGGCGAAGCCCGGTTTATGCTTCGAGATTATCCTCTCAATCTTCTTCACGTGCCTGCCATCAGAAGGGGCCAGCCCCCACGTCTGCCAAGTTGGTCAATGAGAACGGATTTTGTCATTGCCGAGGAGTTTAGAGATGACTTGTCCATCCGGCATGTAAAGGTAGATATCGTTCCGAAAGGTCAGAGAACAAAGGATGGTGGAGAGATTCCAGGTTTCGCGATCGATGTCCGTCGTACCGTGTCCCCTGTAAAGACTTACTCCATGCCTATCATCGACATCAACACCAGTGCGCCGACATCTATTTCGTGGGGTACCTCGTATCAGCCAGCAATTCAGGATGTCATGATGATCATAGAAAGCTTCACGAAACCCGAGATAGACCCGTCCGACAGAGTTGGATTCTGGGACAAAGTTCGACTTAGCTTTCACTCACGGCCTGTGATCAACTGGAAAGGCGATGGCGATGTGCAATTGCGTCTAAAGGGGTCCCGAGATCCTTACGTGGTCACCGGCTTCGGTGCTGGTTTTGTCATGTGCTGGAGAAGTAACGTTCGTTGGGCCATTCATGAGGACGATGATCCAAGGAACTTCATGACGGTCAAGAGTGGTGAGTACGTATTAGCCATACCAGACTATAGCCACAAGGCCCAATTTGGTAGAGACGATACTCCTCAACATGATGCAGACAGCTTGAGCAGTTCAGACAAGAATATTGCTATATTCAGTAAAGTCATCATGAAAGTTTCGGGCAACGTGCAATGGAAAGCGGGACTTGTATTCGAGCGTAATACACATGAAGGTGGACGTTCAGCCAGTTTTAAACCTCACTACGATGTTGTCCTCAAAAATCCTGCTTTCCTTGCTAAACAGGACTTGCAAGATTACGACGCATATCGAGGATTCAGGAGTCATCATATCCATATGTCGGTGGCCCTTGCCGCACCGTTCGACAGAGAGTGGACAGCACAGGAGATCTCGCCCTCACAAAGCTACAACAGCGTTCATCTCTCTCCGCGGTTTTTCTCGCATTTCTTCAATTGGTGGTCTCTCTTCTCAGGAGTGATGTCCCTGCCCATACGGCAGGGTTCTCTTTGGCGCAGCCCCGAGAAGACAAGCAAGAAATTCGGCAGACATCTAGCCACGATCAAGTATGGCCTTCTGCTGTCTCCTCTGTTCATTGCCCACGTCTACAAGCACAAAGATAGTGAGGACTACGAGAAGGAAGTGGTCTCTGCAACTGGCCTAAAGCTACGGCTTGACAGCTTCATACTAGATTTGCACCAACGGAGAGAGTGGTTCAATACTGTATCGAGAACAAAATCGGAGCAATTACGGACAAGTGCAATGAAGATCAACCGCGCAGAGCTAGATTTCGTCAATGCTGACTTGAGAGCAGTGTCAGCAGATATCGCTGGCACAACGGCTGATGATCTCAAGCGTGCGACGGACGAGATGTTGTCATCCTACCAAGGGCGAAGTACCAACGTCGACATGTCCAGATTCACCATACCAGATCACGACTTCTCATGGATCGACATGGATGATTTCGTCGAACTGGACTGGATTTTACCCTCTGAATCCAATCCGGAGACTCAGATATTGCCACTTGCTTTCACCCCTCGATTCACATACTTTCGGCAAACCGATCATGGCAACGCTATTCATGGTGACGAATCAAGGGAGTCTCCCTTTGGACAAGAAGATACTCACAATTGCGTTATACCATCAAGACATAATGATCCACGAAAGGTTCAGATGCATCTGATTGAGAACCGGTTGAAGCATCTCGATGAGCAGATTGAAGCACATGGGAGAAACACTGGTGAACATGAGGTCAAGGTTGTTCGTGAGGGCGACCAAGATCCTTCTATTCGAGAGAAACATAAGCTTTATCAGATTCAACAGAAGCAGCTAGCGGATAAGAAGACCTTCCTCGAACACGGTCTTCGCAGGCTTGCTCATCATGAATACCCGAATGGTATTGCGCACATGATGGGCGAGCCAACTTTCAGTGCGCACAAGCCTAGCAACGATTCCCAATCACAGCCAGAAACGCCAGAGCGTAAAAGTCTTGACTCCAATGCAGCATCTTTGCCTTCGAATACGAGCAACAGTCAGGTCGATATAGACGGGCTTTATTCTACACCTCGCGATGAGTTTGCGAGTGACTTCAACAACAGATTCATCATTCACAATGCGCAAGTGAAATGGAACAATTCTCTACGAAACATCATCCTGCGATACAGTCATCAAGTTAGCCAACGTCGTGGATTTGTGTATTACATGTCGCGTAGGGCTGTGAAATTCATTCTGGATATAGTGGACGAGCAAGGAAAGCGTAAAGAGAACAAGCAACGGCAAAACGAGCAGTCTGCAACAGTGCCTCCAACTCCACCCGTCGCCTCGCCAAGTGATGAAAGAGACGCAGACAACGTCGTGGAAGAGCGCATTCAGCAGCTCTTAAATGATGCCAAGAGATTTGTTTCAACCAATGAGGTTGAAGAAAGTCCACAGCCTCAACGGAGGCGCCCCTCGACAGTTAGCATCGATCCCGAAGAAAAGCTTGCTGATGATTTCTTGGCTATGAATAGCTACAATATGCGCCTGATTGCGCCACAAATTCAATTCCAGAGTGAAAAGAATACCACATCAGCGGTGTTACTCACTGCAAAGGGAATGCAGATGAAAGTCATATCAATCATGGACAAAGAACGACTGTCTGATGATGTGAGTGGTCTGGTGCAACGCCGATTCGCCTTGGACATGGACGGAGTACAGATTTTCATTACAAATCTCAAGCAACTAAGCAAGCATATCCATCTATACGCTGGCAACAAATACGGTAACTCGCCAGGTTCCTCGTGGCCTCCATGGGCATCCATCGAAACGATGTTTGACTTTCATATTGACCCTTTCGGCTTTCAGAGGGTTGTGCAGAAAACCTCTGCGAGTTTGCGTTACGAGAAGTACAACGCCTTACGCCTCAAATACAACGAGGAAATTGCAGAAGGAGTAGAAGGTGAGTCAGGCACTAAAAAGCGCAAAGAAAGCAGAATCGATCACGTCTGGGTTGACTTTCCTCGGCTTAGAGCAAGTTGCGACTCACATCAATATTACGCCATGTACATTATTGTTATAGATCTCCTCATGTACCACGAACCTCTCGAAAAGACAAGGAGTGAGCGACTAGAGAAGATCATGCTGGCTTCTGACTTTAGTGATCTTCGTGGCGCCCCAGAGATGGCAGAGAGCTTGCAAGAGCGGATCCGGCAGCTCAACGAGCTAAAGCTCTACTTCATCGTCAACGCGAGATTGCTTGATAAGAAGGGTTGGCAGGACCGTATTGACCTGGAAAAGGATCTTGCTAGCTGTGAGGATGAGCTTTTTTTCATCATGAAAGCCATCAACACCTCGCAACAACGGAATGATGAGCGCTCTTCGCAATCAAGCGGATTTCTACGATGGTATCTCAGTGCTTCACAGGTTGTGTGGCACCTGATGAAGGAAAGAAACGAACCTTTACTCGAGTTCCAGTTAGGCAATGCTACATATGAGAGAATTGACAACAGTGACGGCTCAAACCACAACGCCATGGAGATTGAGCACATTCGTGGCTGGAACCTGTTACCCAAGGCTCTGTACCCAGAAATTATCGGGCCCTATAAAGATCCTCAGCATAAACAAATAACCGAAGTCCCAAAGATGTTGCAGTTGCACTGGTATATGCTGGAAGCAATAGCAGGCATACCTGTGCTCGAAGAGTTCCAAGTCACTATGCACCCAATCAAAGTTCAGCTCGAACGCTCGCTAGGCAAGGCGCTCTTCGAGTATATATTTCCTGGCATTGGATCCAATGCCTTCGACAACAGTAGCTTCTCGCCATTGATGGTCAAGAATATGAAGCCAATTGAGGGAGAGGATGACGAAGAGAACGAAAAGGCACGCAGTGTTGTGTCGCCGGAGCGAGTCATCTCACCGCCAGATCAGAATGACCTGAAAAACTTCTCGACAGGTGCCATTGCAAATCGGTTACAGCCAACGTACAACTTGACAAAAAGCACACAGAATGGAGCGGCAAATAGGACCAAAATGAAGGGACTAGGTATCGGCAACCACCGCATCGGACTCTTCGGCCACCATTATAGTTATCGAAAAGACAATGCAGATCCTGGAAGAGAAGGATTGTCTAGACAGGCTTCCTCACACAGTTTGAACTCGCTTCGAACAAAGGCTCGGGACAATTCAACAGTCAGTCTAAACGGTGACGCGAAGCTGGTACGTACCGATAGCCGAGACGGTCGTGGTTGGACGCTACGTCGCCACGATAGCAACACGGACAAGGACAAAGAGAAGGACAAGAAGAAGTCAGCTGACGATGTCTCACAAATGATGGAAAGAGCCTCAAATTATATGACCTTAGCACATGTCAAACTCAACTCCTTCGTCATTTGTCTGAGCTATAAAGGGCAGCGAGACCGCAACCTCGAGGATTTGCACGACTTCGTCTTCCGCATGCCGCCTCTCGAATATCGCAACAAGACTTGGACCAACCTAGACCTTGCACTTCATTTAAAGAAAGACGTCATCAGAGCGTTAATATCTCATACAGGCGCCATCATCGGTAACAAATTCTCACACCACCGTCCTGGCAAGAAGCAAGTAGAGCGATTACGCGAAATAGCAGCAGGGAATATGCTTGTCCCGAACAGCGATACTCTAGTGAACACTCCTAGTGTGAGTAGTGATCGTTCTAGCCTATTCACAAATAGTGATTATACACCTCCGAGAATGTCTTTTCAGTCAGACGGACCCCGCAAACTAGAGCCTTCACCATTGCTCACTACTGGCGAATGGAGTGGCATTACGGACTCTAGACAGCGTGCAAATATGTCAGTGGGCACAGTACGTCCTACTGATGCAGGTGGCTCGGAAGGAACATTGTCGTCACCTGGCCCGACGAGAAGTAGTGAGGATGGCAGTCCGAGGGCAGACAATTGGCCTTTCTCACCTGCTAGTCCGTCACGGATAGACCCACTAGGCCCTATAACGAGCAATCTACCTCGCCCATCGACGGGAAGCGGATTCATTCCAGCCAAATCCTTGCTCAAAGACGTTGTCGGTCGAAGATTCACTAACGGCGGCAGTCCAGAATCAAGCTCAAGCGGAGTGCGACCAACGATCCACAAAGGACGAGTGCGATTTAAGAGTCACAACTCGATGGAAAGACGACACAGCCAAGGTAGTGCATCTGCAGCTGACAATGAAACCTTTGCACATCGAGCACGTTCAGACAGCTTTCCGCCACAACGCAGCGTGGCCAGCAAAATTAGCGAAGGTGATACAGATCCGAAAACCGACGACGATGTCGCCAGTGTCGGTACTACGAACGCCAAGCGGAAAGTCCTGTCGTTCGGAAAGAAGGTAATGAGCGGATTCAAGGGGTAGAATACCTTCCTGGACATTGAGAATCACGATGGTAGGAGACTGCAGAAGAGAAGGAACAGCACAGTCTGAGATTGTAACAGGCGTGCAAGCATCCAGGCTTTCGAGGACACGTGGCTAAAGTGTAGGTTGGATTCTACCTTTTCTTTTATTTTTACATTGTAACATTCTCTTATGGATGCACATGTTCTCATTGTTGTCTTGTGGGTTGGCAGTCGTGAGCGTTCTAGCGTATGGTATGAAAGAAGAGGTTGGCAGGCGTGTCTGGTATTTACTGGTTGTTATCTATTTGTCACTACTAGTATTACTTAATACACTGGTTCACACAACGTCGATGAAAGCGCCTTTGTGCGAATTTCGAACATTGCTCTTTCTCAGTCACTGGCAGTACAGTACATGCAGTGGAAAAGCCTAGCCGTACGATCAGGCATGCCTATATCCATGCGGTGGATTAGCCACAGTCCTGCAGACATTCAATCAGTTGCACTTCTGATACTGACTCAGTCCCCACTTGGCGCAACACACGATACACAAATCAACGGTCCTGACCATTCAACTCAATCAACCACTTCACAACCCTCACAACCTCACTCTTCCCAAACTCCCTCCTCCCAGCAGGCACATCAATCGCCCTCCTCAACTCCTCATCAAGAAGCCTCCTCAACCTCGACACCAAAACACCTATCCTCGCCCACCCACGTATCTTGAAGTGCTCGGAGACAACCAGTCCGCCCCCGGGAATAGTCGTGTCTATGTTGATCCCGCCGGAGCCGAAGAGGAGCTGTGTGTATACGTTTAGTGGTGTGAGGGAATGAATGTAGGTTTTTGGGCCGAAGAGGGTGTTTGAGGAGCCTGTGGCCATTTTGCTGAAGTAGCAGAGGTAGGAGGCTGAGGAGGAGCCGGAGGTGAATGAGGATGGGGAGCTGTGGAATAGTGGGGAGGAGGGGTGGATGAAGACGCGTTGCCAGTTTGGGTGGTCGGTGTGTTGTTCAGCGCCGCCGTTAGTTGGTTGTGGGGTGTTTGGACAGGTGCTTTTGGGAGATGAGGTCGAGCTTGAAGTGGTGGTAGGTTTGGTGGCCTCTGAGTTGACGGGTGGGAGGAAGTATTTGATCGTCTTTGCTTCTGGGTCGAGTTCTTTGGCACCAGTGAGAGATTGCATGTACTTTTTCTCTGGGAAGCGGATTTCTGCAATTTGTGGTTGGAGGGAGGCTGAGATTAGGGCTCGATGTAGTAGTGGTGAGGTGTTCTTCGCTGACGTGTCGCTGCGGTAGTCCAGTGGGATCAGATTGGCATCCTTCAATGAATCGACCAATTGTGATCGGGTAGATGTTATATCTCTCAATGTGTTTAGCGATAAGAACCTAGTATTGCACCAGGATTGTAGAGCCCTCGGTCGAAGCTCTCTAGATGTTTGTATGTAGTCCTCGTAGGCGCTCAGTGACAGCATTAGATCTCCATGTTGAGTTGAGTAGGCAGCCTTTGCAGCATCAGCCTCTTCTCGTTTGTCTCTTGGAGACACGAAGGGGTCTCTGACAGTCAATATAGAGGCAACGGTGAGACAGGGTTCCAGGCAGTCGAATAGTGCGCCATATACTAAGAGCTTGGCACAGCGAAGGTCAGCTGGAACTGCAGACATGTAAATGCCGAGAGCTGTCAGATGATTGCCCTCAAGAGCTCCCATCTGGTGAAGCACGTTGATCGCATTCGATATAGCGCCTGCCTCGGGTGGTGTAATGAGTGCACCAAGGAATTTTGACACGTCTCTGTCTTGGTCACTTGCTTTCACTGATAGACACAATTGCTCAAGAGGTACTCGTTGTATTTCTGGTAGAGGTTTCGGAGTCATGTTTGCCTCAACATTGCGTGTGAAGAGCTTATAGCATGTCCCTTCTCTTACACGACCGGCTCGACCTCTTCGCTGTTTGCAAGCTGCTTGTGATGCCCAAACCTCTTCCAGACGCACGATATTATTGGAGATATCGTAGTTGGTCTCTTTCACCCGGCCAGTATCAATGACGGCGACGACATCTTCAATGGTGATCGAGGTTTCTGCAACATTGGTAGCTGCAATGACCTTTCTCTTGCCAGACGGTGCAGGCGGAAAGACTCTCTTTTGCTCGGAAGGTAGTAGGGATGCATGCAATGGGTAAGCAAAAACGTTGGGTATGGAGGACAATGCTCTGATACTTCGGTCGATTTCAAGCGTACCTGGAAGAAATATCAGAATAGCTCCAGGCATGCCTGTGAGCTGTTCGTCGATGTGAACTACCAGGCTCCTGATCAACTCAATATTGACGCCAACCCCAAGTGCGGATATGATCTTGCCTATTGGCTGATTTGAATCTGCATACTCAGGTATGAATTTGGTCTCATCGAGCACTTCTTCTAGATAATGATCTGTGACTGGAAAGGTACGTCCTTCGACATGCACATGACCGACCTTTCCAGCACCTCCAAAGTATTTCATGAAGATGTCCTTGTCCAATGTTGCACTCATTAGGACTACACGAAGACTGGGGACTGCCTCCAGGGCGTCTTTGAGTAGAGCTAGTAAGAAATCTGTATCTAGAGACCGCTCGTGCACTTCGTCGATGAAGACATGGGAGATACCATCTAAAGCTTCTTTCAGACTGGCAGACATTTGTATTCGCCGAAGCAGTACACCTGTTGTCATGAAAGTGATCTTAGTCGAGTTTGATGTTTTGGACTCCCCTCTGATGATGTAGCCAACTTCTTCACCCAGAGGTGTGCACCTTTCATTGCTGACACGATCTGCTAATGATAGCGCAGCGACTCGTCTTGGTTGTGTGCAGAGAATCTTAGTCTTTGAGCCATGCAGTACTTGGATTGCTTGGTCGAGCACGAATTGCACAACCTGCGTCGACTTGCCGCTTCCTGTCTCGCCTGTCACAATAGTCACGCTGTGGCCTGCTATTGTCGTTAGAATATCACATTCTTTCGTCCAAGCAGGCAATCTCTTCCTTGCATCCAGCATTTTCTGCTGTTCTGTAAGTTCATGTCGTCTGCTCCATGTATCGAGAATTTCTCTGTCACTTCTTCTGTCGATGTAGATGTTTTTCGATCTGGTGGGCAATAATGTTGTCACGCCGTTCGGAGTTTCTATCGCACTGGTGACAGGCTTTGGCTCGGAGAGGTGAAGTTCAGTGAGACTCATTGGACTGTCAATGATGTTCTGCAAGTTAGCTTCCAGCCACTCGCAGATTTGGAAGACCATAGCTTGTCCTTTGAAGTTGGTATCTGCAAACTGCAATGCTTGCTTCGTCGCACTGAGCCGTATATATGCAGGCAGTTGTGCTGATGAGAGCAGTACGGCTGGAAGCTCCCAGGGGTAGCCTTTCTTCCTAATGACGAACCTGACAGAAGTAGCCATGTTTTCTGGTGTGTCTAGCTTGATCGTGCAATCTTCCTTGCCCCTTCTGCTCCATCGATCAGCGTATATGGCTTCAAGTGTCGACTCTTCACTGTCCCATTCGACCATGCTATCGATGTCGTCATTGAGATCTCCCTCGTTCGTATCCTGTAAGGTGCTCTGAAGCCAGAATGCTGCTCTATGCTCGTTGCCGTCGCAAGACTTAAGTGCTTGCATGACGAAATCACGTGGGTATCCTGCTGTGGCTAGACGTTTGAGCTTGGCTTCCTGTACGACGTCGCCACTGGCCATGCTGATACCGGCACTATAATTAGCAGGTAAGGCAAAGGCAGGCAGGTCATCCTCTGGGACATTCACAAGCAGCCATTCCAGCACTTCCTCTTCATCCTTGCAATATTGCATAGCTTCTCGAGCATGACCTGCACGAAACCCTCTTTCGGTCATCAATTTTGCGACTCGATCCTGTTCTTGGCTCGTCATTTGATCACCAAACGGATTCCACGTTGCGTCTTGCCGAACAAGTCGTTCAATTTCCATTCGTATTTTGGATCCCATCTCGATCTTTGGTGCCCGCCCCCACTCTCTACTTCTTGGCATCTGTTGTAGCGCCAGGGCAGGATTCCTTGAAATTGCCTCCTTCTTCTTCTCCTTTTCAATGTCCCTTTTCTCCATAGCTTTCTTGATATCTTCGCCTTTCTGTTGAGCAGCAAACGGATCTGCATCATATAACCACGCCTTCCCTACTTTCTCATCCTCTTTCTTAATGCTCTGGAACTGCTTCCATAAGTCCCTGTACTTAGGTGGTAACGCCATTGAGAGATTTTTCATGCTACTGACCCTGAACAGCGCATAAGCGGCGGCAAAGTGACGTGCTTCCAGCGCAGTCGGCTCTTCTGAAATCACTATCATGGTTTCTGGAGTACGAAATTTCACCGATCGGACTTCACCTGTCTTAGCATCTTTCGCACTGAGCGAGACTTCTGAGCGATACAACTTTTCCTGTCCATCTCGACCAGGGACCTGTCGCATCGTGTAATCTGGCTTGTCCCATTTTTGTCTCTGACAATGTTCTGAGAGAAGGTTCACAGGTAGTTTGCCAGTCCAGGAGGCACCTCCGATAAGCTGCTTTACTGTTGGTTTAGGAGGCCCGGTAGGTTCGGATGCAGGTACATCTTTGGGTTTGTGTCCTTTTCTACTCTTCTTATTATCATCTTCAAACACGATATGTGAACCTTCGTCGAAAGTATTTGCGGGCTTGGGTTTCGATGCGCCGCTCTTGGAAGAAGCAGCTTTTTTAGGCGGCATATGCAAACGGTCGCTGAACCTATGTACGACAACGTGTAATGGTAGCGCAGGTGATCACTCTCTCAGCACGACAAGGTCGAGTACGTAACGCGCAAATTTCGTGGGCTCTGTTTTATTGAGCCGGAGACTGTAAGGCCTAAAAGTGAGTGCCTGATAGGCTGTAGTTAGGTGTCCTCGATCACCAAGATTTCACGCGACTTTTCAGATCGAGAAATGAAATTTACCTACCTGAGGAGAGCTCCAGGCATCGCGAAGCTTTTGTGTACGATTTGGCCATATTTGCATCAAACACAGCGAGTAATTACGCGCTTTGCAAGATAGTCACGAAAAGAAGTTGAAAGGAACGAGCGTCCGACGCAGATCTGACTCGATCTTTTTTGGTTAGTGCCAGCCTCGTTGCGAATTCAAGATCATCCTTGTTTAATGCACGAGGGCCCTAATCAGCTTGTATTCGTCTACACTCTCGAGTCATAGGATGTGTTTTTAAGAAATGACACGAAATCTTCGAGGGGAGTCCGAACATGTCTCAATATCACCACACCTGCTGCCCTCAAAAAACGACATAACAATAGTAAAACTCAAAGCAAAGAGCAAGCGTATATTGTTACACTACTCAAACTCGAACAAGATCTTCAAACTCACATACTAGCTCTTATTGTACCTAGCAGCCCTCACTCACTCACTCATTCATGCAGAGCTCTTCTTTGGCAGTCTGTAGATACAGCCATTACCTCCAACAGACACCGAGCCCATTGGACACTCCCCCTTTATCGTCTCACAAAAAGCTCCCGAGCCATCGGGGAAAGAGACGCAAGCACGCTTCTCGGGGGCAGCAGGTAGGGCGTTGACGGCGGAGAGGACGAGGAGTGGGATGGTGAATAGGATTGTGGTCTTCATTTCGAGTTATTAGAATTACGTGTGGTTGTGTTTGTTTGTTTGTTTTTGTGGAAATTAATTTTGTTTTTCTTTTTGGTTCGATGTTCGTCGATGGTATGATGAATAGTTTGAGAAGGCACTTCACAAACGCGAATGAGCTTAAATATCTGAGGCAGCCTCGAGCGAACGTGGCTGTGGAAGATCTCCTATGATATGGCTCGGTTTGTTTTACCTAGTGTCGCATTGTTCATAATTTTAGGTGTCTCTTATCTGCAGCTGTGGACCTGGCCTGTAGTCAATCTGAGAACAAAGGCAGATCTTTGTCAGTCACTCGAGCTTGTTAGACAAACAGGGCACGTACGAATTTGAGAAGAACGTAGAAGATTGTCCTATATGATTCATGCTATTAGGATATGCATTGAAGCATAGCATTGTAGTTCTGGTCTATAATTAAGCTGATGGCATCGTCACCACACTTGCACAGTATAAGCCTACTGAACCGCAAGACCATTTGTGCACTATTGGAGGTTCATTGCATTCGAATGCGAACGCCGTGAGTCCTGGTTCAAAAAAAAAGAATATTCGTGAAATTCGTGAATCCGTTAGCATGCCCAATCTGAAACTCCATGCTCAGAATGCCTGTGAAAGTGCAAGGATAGCGGGTGCGAAAGATGGGTACGTTGCCGCGGTCGAGTATCTGCAGTGGCACCGGTTGGTGGCGGTCATGCGTAGTTGTTCTGTATTGCGTACTGGTAAACTTGATATGGGTTCTGAAGGAATGGCTTGGTGGCCATGGCATCCGGCAAGACGAAACCACGTTGTAGTTCTGTCTCAACAAAGGCTGCGGCGCGCTTGTAACGCTTATCGCAGTATTTGTTGAACACAGCCTGATGGTGCTTCCTGGGATCCTCGCAGCACTCAAGCAGCAGCTGAACCACGGGCCTAAGTTGCGACCAGGTATAGCCAGAGTAGTGGACGTGATGCTGGGTCCAGTGACCTTTACGTAGCATCTCACGCGCGATACAATGGGAGGCAGCTGCCAAAAAGCTGGGAACACTGCCGATGAAGCGCTCGTCCATAAGGGTTACTTCCAAGAAGTATTTGGCCAATGTACGTGTCTCGAGGTCGTAGTCGTCGGCTTTGCTAATACGTCTCAGGAAGGACATTGGACCAGGGAAGCCAAGCTCGAATTGAAGCATTGTCAGCATGAAGCGCTCGGCTTTGAGGATCTCATCCACCGAGTACCCGCCGTCGACCATATATACAATTTCTTGCACCGAAGGACAATTGATCTCTTCGTATTTGGCGGCAATAAAGATGGCAGTTGCTCCGACCAGTTGCAGCTTGCCTAACGAGACGACCTTGACTGACAGAAAGCGGTCGATGTAGTTGACACAGAGGAACAGGGTCTCCGGCAGCAGGTTGAAGCGATGATGGACTTGTACCAGCCAATCCATCAACACAGCTCGCATCGACCATTGAATCTCATGTTGATAATCCATGTAATTGGAGCGTGGCAGCATACGCTGTTCCATCTCTTTCATGTAACCAAAGATCTCGTCACCGTATTCCGCAACCATGCTGGTGTCGAAACTTTCATCCTCAATATCTTCGGGTGTTCTCGTTGCCTCGACGAGATCGTTGGCGGCGGCTATCTCGTTCAGGACCTTCTGGTTGAACCTTGGGACTAGAGCAGCGTTAGCTCCGCCCGTAGTGTCATCGCCCTGTGATCGAAAAGAGCGTGCAGTCACATAACCGTCAGGTTCGCAAGACTCATCGTACTCCTCTTCCCAGTACTCTTCAGGTTCGGTTGGCGGTTGGTAAAGATGCTGCAAACTCTGTGGAATGTATTCATCTCTGTCAGACATAGGCTGTGATTTGCGAACGGTCGTAGTGTCGATTGGCTGTGGTAGTTGGGCGACTGCATCGACATACTGTGTCTTGCTGGCAAGTTCGTCAGCAGGCTGGACGTACTGGAATTGTTCTACATGTCTGTCGTCAAATTCCCTTACTTGGTCCTCAAGCTCGATTTCACTTGACATGTGTTGTGTGTCTAGCCTCACTTCGTTGATCTCAGGTAAGCTGATATCGGATGGTTGTGACAGTTTCATAGGGTCGACATTGTCACTTGAGAGTGGTGGAGGAAGTTGCAAGTTGGAATCCAACTCAGTAAGATTGACCTCGGGGAGCAATGGCAAGGAGGGCACTTCCGTCTTGTTTGCTGTTTCCTGCGGAACTTCTCTAGGGACAACCTCGTCTTCCTGTACAACCTCTAGTGTGAGATCCTTGAATATGGTAGTGTTGCGCTTGGTCAGAGCTTTCCTTGGTAGACGTGTTTGTTGTGTAGTGGTGTTGGTGGTATCGTTGAGGGGAACCTTCGCGACCGATTCGGAATTGCCCAGAGTCAGAAGGTTCTTGATGTTTGAAACAGAGTAGGGTCGCTGCGCCGGTCTTAGGAAAGCAGCACTCTTGCTCTCGTGTAACGGCTGCGCGCCCTTTGTAGCTAACTTGGAACCAACATTGGAGTCGTCCTTGCTGGCGCGTTTAGCTGCAATATTGCTGACATCGGCGAAGGCATTACGTTTGGCAGCGATGCCTTTCATCTGGCTAAGAGTGGTCAAAGCTGGACTCGACTTGTTGCGTTGGTGGATGGTCTTGGATAGAGCTGCTGGGGGACAGTTCTCGTCGTTCAAGACGCGAAGCGTGCGTACAGGACGCTGCGGCTACAGATGCAAGGGTTAGCAAGATCGTTATCACCATGGAGCTTCGTAGTGGACGAAAGCGGAAGAACTCACTCGTGCATCCATGATCGTGGCAGACGCTTTGTATATATGTGGCTGCAGGTAAGAGTGAATCTATGCATTCATTTTCTGAAGGAGGGATTGAAGTCGCGGTTAGCTTGCCAATGCTCAACAGGAGATCATGTAGGAGGTCGACGACCGACTCTAATGCAACGCGATGGAAGGAAAGAGAATGCGTTCAATGCAAGTATCGAACAGATACAAGAAGTAAACGGTTGCCAACACCGGTGTTCGAGGCAACATGCGAAGCATGCAATTTCAGCTTCGAATTGTTTTGCTCGCCAGCAGAACAGTAAACAGTCGCAGGGCTAGCTGCATATGGCAGTCGGTATGACGCCGTCGCTGATTGGGCGGCAGCTGCCGTTGCTCGCGTCCTCCTTAGCAACCGCTTTTTGGACTGCTAGCTCGCTGACGTCACTTTCGTATGGAACTTAGCTACGACGCGTGCTTTTCAAGTGTTCGTGAATATGTTTTCTGGAGATAGCAGTCTATTTTTCGGGAATAATTGTTCCAAAATTTGGCCAGGACTTCCTGCCAGACTACGTGTTCGTCGAAGCACATCCTTGCTTTGTTTCTCAGTCTCAAAGGACTACCAAAAGCTGTTCTTCTGTACGAGCCCAAAACGCGGTACGTGAACGCGTAAAGTGTTTCTATGCACGTGATCTGCGCCAGTCATTTTCGAAGAGCTCAATGGTGAGCACTCTTCTTTGCCACAGGTTTCTTGATCTCAAGCAGCCTTGAGCATCACATCCTTCAAAACAAATGACTTCTTTGTACGAGACAAGTCAAGTGATACCGACCTTTCATCAACCTCATTAGCGTGTCAAAGTACTTTAGAGTCCTTTAGCCGCTGACCTATCATCGCTCTCAGTGTACTAGGACGGAAGATCTCCTGACGCTCGCGACTGAGACCGGTACCCAGTCTTGTCGGTTGTTGATGATAGCGGACGTCTGACGTGGCAGGAGTTCTTGCAACCCATTCTGAAATAGTCTACGGTTGAACAACCGTGTTGACATATTCAGTACGATCGATCGAGGACCTCATATCAGTCTCTGCTCGTGCCGTGTAAGGATGCCAGAACGATGATCTTCGTTTCTGTCTATTGATATGAGAGGAGCATAGCTAGCATGTTCCGCTATTTATGAAGAAAATTGTGATTATGCCGATCGACCTCGGAATGGCTTGGTTCGGTTGAGGCTACTACTAGCCGATGCTCGATTCAGGTTCTTGGCGATCCTCGATAAACCATGTTCGATGAAGCCACCTGTATCGATATGGAGGTGAAGGTTGCAGGTGGTATAGTCATCGCTGCGTGTTCGTATGCTTTTCTACCATACACACCAACGATTCATATGTTAATTCTGTGGCTGTAACCATGCCAGAGCAGCTTCGAAAAGCGAGGATTTACAACGAATAGCTGGCTGTGGAGAGACGGTAATGCGGTAATGCGGTCTCATCCGAAACAGGAGCGCCATGAAAGACCTGAGACCACCATCTCAATTGATTCATCATTAGCAAATCGTTCCACCACACTCTCCGTGCGTCATTCCATACTATTGTGGTAGCGCGACAACTCAGAAAATCGAATGGAGGATTCTATACACATTTGCGGGCCACGTTTCGTGTGAGCACGCAAACCACATGCCAAGCAGGAAAGATTGTCGGTGTAACATGGCTTGCATCAACTGCAGTAAAAGTGAGGCACATGGAAGACAATATGCCGCTGGATTCCGCGAACCTTTTCTGGCTTACTTTCAGTCGTCGTTGTTTGATAACTTTGTCAATGCTGATAACGTGCCCAACGAATCAGTTGGACCAACGGCAAGCCATTACAGGTTGACGCCGCACCATGCGCAAGGTTTTGGACGAATTCGTTCTTCTACTGTGGTAATCCATGAACGCCTGTGATGTTGTCATTACTGATTCGCGCAATTTGTTCCCCTAAAATCCCCGTGTGGTCTGAATAATGCGACGGACACGACGGCGTCAGCAAGCCGCCGTCGCTACCCTGCACCAATCTGTATTTGCAAAATCACGTTCTCTTCCCACCTGTGCATCTCGACCAACACCGCCATGAGGGGCTGTTCAAGATCGCTCAACACCTCATCTTCACGAGCGCAAACCTCGATTTGAGGATTCGAAGGTCCTTTAGAGCTACCAAACACATACGAATGGCTGGGTTTTACAATATGTGCTTTGTGCGACCTCGACGGGTCTGACTTTTCGAGTACCTGTTCGTCAATGCATACGTCTGCCGATTTCTAACATCACATTTACTGTAATTGATGGCAGCATTGTGATCGCTTGTGTCAGGGCTAAAAGTCCGTAGTATAGAGCGATACAGCATGCTTCTCTTGAGGACTTCTCAAGCAGAAAAAACGAGTAGCTCGATAACGCATGTAATGTAACGTATGGTAATTGTGCAGTGCAGTGACTTCCCATACGTATTCAGCCAGAGAGTGGATCTCTCCGTCTCAGCACCGCAGTCATCCTCCATCCTCGCACCTTGCTTTCCTTTCTACCTCTTCCCTGCCAGTGACATTCTCCTTCAACCACCTTCTTTTCTTTGTTCTAGCTTTGGCGATCCAAGAGGTGACATCTGATCGCATCAGCGGACCACGAAAGAGTCTGTATTGACCATTGCCGCTACTGCTTATTGGCTACCACCTGCCAGCGATAGTATGCCTTGAGCAGCGTCAACGACTTCTCTTCGCAACACCAATACCCCTTCTACCGACCGAACAAGAACCAACACTCGCTATCCGATAGCTGCGCGTGCTATGCGAAACTCATTTTGAGTCTGGTATGTCCATTGTTACATGTCCATGGGCCTCCCCATCCAACGATCACAGGCCTTGAGCCAACCACCATATATGAGCCACACTTCAGAGACTGGGCTCTATAATATATAGACTCTATCGCTGACTTGAGATAAATATTCCAGACCCCTTTGGAAGCGAAATCGTACAGTTGTCCTACTGCGCCCCAATCGAGATCTCTCGACTAAGGAGGACGGCACTTGGGGTCCACACCATACCTCACAATACAGCAAGTCCTGATCATGCATGTTTCAAACATGCTGTCTGGTAACAAGGACGAAGCGTCACAGAAAGCCAATCCTAAGTCTGTTTGCTTTGAGCTACTCCTTGATGAGCGATCAAAGACGCGGGCTCGGATACCCTTGCGGGTACTGGTGAACACCCATGACACGGCCGAGTCTATCATCACGACTGTCAAGAGCTTCTATGGCATTTACGATGGCAATGGAGTTAGCTTCGAAGACTCTGCCGGAAACACCTTGATTGCCTCTTACGACAACTTCAACCATGGTAGTGTTGTCTATGTCCGGAGTGTCGCAGGCCAGGTGCCGCCAACGGCCATGACTGCGCATGCTTCCGCCGGTAACACAATTAAGCCAGAATCACCTCACCGGCCTTCTTTGGCAGAACCTTTCCAGATGCTGCCTCCTCACATGCGGGAGCTCTCTATGTCTCCCAGTCGTCGGTCCTCTTCGCGCAACCTTGCGAAACGTAGTGTGTCTCCTTCACGAGACCGTGGGAGGAGAAGCAACTCTCAACAGCAACGAGGTTCGCACGCAGATAGTAGATGCTCGAGTGCTCATGGAAGTCATCGCGATAATGACTTCAGTGATAGTGACGCTGGACACAGCTCCATATCTGGTTCCAAAAAGGCAAGAAGTGAGCAATTTGCTAGCTCGGAAATCAGCACAGCAAACGTACTGCCAGATGGTCGCCGTGGTCAACCCATCTTTGACAGCTCGGTACGAAACCCTCCCTATCGTCGTCGTCGTTGCTAACAAATGTGGTAGAACTTGCCGCTTTTTGCTCCTCCTCAGGTACCTGTTACTGCGTCGCAGTCCTCGATCTCACCCCAGAGAAAATCAGGCCCACACGAAGGGCCATCTCCGTTCCAGCTGCCTCAAAGCAAGCTCTACGATATAAATGTGCCACCTATGCTTTCACCACAAAGTTATGGCGCACCGAATGGGCAAAATGGTTACTCAATTCACAACAACACAATCACACCAGCGTCGCATCGGTTAAGAGAAAGAAATTCGAGCACGTCATTGGGGCGTGTGGGATCTGGGATATTACCTACACCTGACCCTACTGTCGCTAGCTGTATCTCTGACGAGGATGTTGCTCGTACGCTCATAGCACTGGGCGATGCTTCGAACTTCTCCTACGGCCGGACATCCACTTCCACCATGGACGACACGTTTAGTGGTGCTGCAGATGCAGCTTCCTCGACAGGCGCTACGAGCGATAGTGAGGAGTTCAGTGGAAACGAAGGCATGTCCAAGCATCGGAAATATCTGGAAGAGGCCGATGATGACTATGATGCCCTTGTTAAGAGTGAAGGCTTTGATGAGCAAGACGGTCCACCAAAGATCAAGAAGATAAAAACAAAGACACATGATGGTCCTAGCGGCAGCTGGAAGACTCCTGGCCTGGCAGCAAAGGTTTCCAAATCTGGGAAGAAGTCGACTAACAACACAAAATCGACAAAGCTGACGAACGTGTTGGGACAGATGAAGGTACCTGGACCTCCAGGGAAGCCACGTCAGGCTTCGACCTCGTCCTCGCTCAACTTCCAGCTGCAACCTGATGAGGAAGACCTTTCCACCAAGCCTCGCTGCCAGCGTTGTCGCAAAAGCAAGAAAGGCTGCGATAGGCAAAGACCTTGTGGACGATGCAAAGACGCCGGCATCGGCATTGAAGGTTGTGTCAGTGAAGACGAGGGCAATGGTCGAAAAGGTCGCTATGGCCGCCACATGGGTGTGGCTGTCAAGAAAAATTCTTTCGACGAGGCAGTTTTTATCGAGTCGTCGAACGCATCTCCCGACACTACTATGATGTCTATTGAAGCAGTCGCCACTGGTAGCCCCAGCAAAAAGCGAAAGAGGTGACATAAGAGAACCTGACTGCCATCTTGGCATGTTGAGACATTGCTATCCGACTGCGATCAGTCTCCTCACGATGTTGACGTTGAAGCATGCATAAAACGGGTTGGCGCAAACAACCGCAACGGAAAAGTCATTCCTTCATTTACAATTGGGTTTGCTAAGCAGGCAAGGAGCGAAACGGAGTTATGATGCTGGGATGGAAAGGTGTTGTCTGCCCTATTTTCTGGCTTATCTACTGGAGATGTGATAATCGTGTCATGGTGGTGGTGAGATGACTCAACGATATTGTGTTCCAGATTCAATCTCTACCATTCTTTTGAGCGTCTAGGTATTTACGATGTACGAACTAAATTCAACGATATTGGAGCTGCTTGCATTCTTGAAACATAGGGATACTAGTATGTCTGAGCCTGCTGTTGGTAGTGATTGAATCAAGCGGACAGGTTACTCTTCTCGGCAATTGCGGGGACGCTGCTGGCGGAAAGCTCTGAAGAACTTCTGTCGAGTATGTGTAGTTTGCGTGGTTTGCTACAAATTACTGCAACCGTCTTGCGACCAATTACTCACTGGCTCATCAGAAAGTGTTTATGTGAGATCACGTTATTGAGCAGCGCAATTCCACTGTTGGTTGAGACGCTGTCTCGTGTTTGTATGTTCGGGAGAAAACAGTTTCTCACCCGACAGGGAGCAAGCAACCCAGGCAGAAATGCTACTACTATGACACTGGCATATACTATACTCATTTAATGACTACATCCAGCTGACAGTGGTTCTCTTACGTTTCTAAAGCACACCTTATCACAGCTGAACGCTTTCCAGGCTTCTAAAAACGACGTACATCCATACGCGAAGATGTCTGGAGAGGCACCCACTTCAGATGGCACGACTCGCCAGACAGCAACTCCCAAACCTCGAGGAACTGCGAAACCACGTGCGGGATATCAGAGAAAGACGAAAACCGAACGAGAGGAATATGCGCGCAAGGAAGCCGAGCGTGCGAAAGAGAGGGAAGCTCAGGAAGCTACACCTGTCGCGAAACCTAGTGCAGGTCGTGGACGAGGAGGAGCAAGAGGCGGCAGGGCTGGCGCTGTCGTCAACAAGAGTGAGCGTACTACATCGTCTGTAGTTAGTGGTGTCTTTGGCGCCGGCTCAGGAGCACGTCCAGAACGCAGCAGAGCTCATGTAGATCTTGGCGTGAGTGAGGCGCTTGAAGGGGGAGAGGCCATAAACGCTAAACATGGGAGCGCTTCCCAACCTGGTGTGGTACACGACGTTGTTGAAGGATCAGGTACTGGAAGAAGTGGCGCAAGTGGCACTGGAAGAGTCAGGGCTAGCAAAGCATCACACCCGGAAGACGAGATTACTCGGGTTGAAGATGATGTCGAAGACCAGCCGAGACGTGATATTGAGCGCATCTGGATCTCGAGCGAAGAGGACGAAGATGTCGTGTTGAAGAGAAAGGGCAAGCAGAGACGGTTGAGTAGCAAAACCTCCAGGCCTTTCACTGGTCTACGGCCTGTGAGAGCTGCAAGAGCATTGCCGGAAGAGCAGGAAGATACCAAAATGAACATCGGTGTCGAGAAAGACATGACTGATGGGGACCAGATCGTCGACATCGAATCCGATGAAGTACAGACCGAGGACGTCCCTGAGACAGTGAAACGAAACCCTCCGCCGAGTCCAGAGCTGAGTAAAAAGATTCCGAGGAAGACAGACCACAAAACTAGAGAACCCCGCAATCTGGCAGAGACATTAGAAGAAAAGGCCGAACGGCTCAGGCTACAGGATGACATGCAAGGTTTAAGAGACGCGTTTTTACACAAATCCGACACCGACGATACAGTCGACAGCAAGGAAGAAGAGGCTGTCTTCGGCCGTACCGACCATGACAGGATGTTTCTGTTTCAATTACCACCACTTGTTCCTCAGCTATATGATCCAGAAACAAGAGATTTACAAAAGGGCAATCACATGGACGTGAATCCTGTCCAAGTGAAGGCAGAGGACGCTGGGACTGCTCAAGCTGCTGATGCTGCTCAGAAGAATGACGAAGCTATGAAAGCAACGCCTAAGCCTCCAGCAACGATTTACACGGCTGACTCAACAGCTGAAGAGCGCTTCCCACAAGGTCTTGTAGGCACGTTACGTATCCACAAGTCTGGGAAAGTGTCGCTGGACTGGGGTGGCACGAATATGGAAGTCCGATATGGAACCGAAGTCGACTTCTTGCAGGATGTGGTCTGTATCGAAGACAACGCAGGCTCCAATGAGGAAGGCGAGGCTCTTATTGAGGGACGAGGAAACGCGTACGCCATGGGTCAGATTAACCAGAAGATGATTCTTGTGCCTGATTGGGGCAGATTATATACATAGGACAAACAGTCGTCCTCAGTGGTTGGCAGTGTACAGATATGCTTCGTAGGTATTGAGATACCCTATGCGGCTGTGCCTGACATTGAATATTGCTCTAAGAAAGCATTCTCGGCAAATTTATTCCCACAAGCTGGTAAAGGACGTAGTACAGTCAGAAGCCTGGTGGTGATCAATCGTATGGCCAGTGAACATTCAATTAGAAGCTCATTCATGGCTCAAAGTGTGCTAAATGTGCTACTACATTCTCGTCCAAATCAGCAGCAATTATAGATTGTCGTCGTTATCACAGATTTGTCTCATCGGGCAGCAAGAATCTTGTTGATACCTCAGGCAGGAACGATCCATAGCCAATCAGACCAATCGTTAATGTATTGTACTTTCCTATTCTGAATTTCTTCGACTAGTGAAGGTGTATACAGTGTTTGTTAGACGTTATCATCACATGCTTAAAAGATACTTCCTTGGACTTCGCAGCAGGCCCGTTCTACGATCGGCAAAAATCAAAGCGTATCGATGCGCCACTGCCTACACTGTTACGCAAGCCCCTGAGCAGGAAACCTTATTGCAAGCAGAAAAATACGATGCCATACAGATAGCCATGGAGAAAAAGCGGAAGTATGATTTTGACAAGTTGAGGAAGCCAAGGTTAAGGAAGACGCCAAAGACGAACGCTCTTTTGCCAGAAGGTAGTAATGAGGAGATTCTTGATATTGAGGTTGCCAACTTATTGTCAAAGGTGTTCATGACTGAATCAAGCCCAACTGTCACAGAAACACATCAAGAAAATGACCAGCACAAAGCCGCATTCAATCGGAGGCCACAATACAAGAAGCCTACAGAACTTGGTCAAGAGGTTGAGCTGGAAATCGTCGAGCTCTCATCCACAGGTGATGGTTTAGCATACAACGAAGCTAAAGATCACGTCTTCGTCATTCCTTTCACACTACCAGGCGATCGTGTTCTTGCCAAGCCTTGGACATGGTCTGGCGACTATACTCTTGCGGACTTTGTTCAAGTTCTTCGACCTTCGTCCAGTCGCGAAGGCGTGACGCCTCCATGTCCGTACTTCGCAAAGTGCTCTGGCTGTCAGTTCCAGATGTTGCCTTACGAGAAGCAACTTGAACACAAGCGGCAAATCTTGCAAGGAGCATTCAGAAACTTCTCAGGTTTAAGACCAGAGCAGATGCCCGAAATTGAGCCTACTATGGGCAGTCCATTACAGTACGGCTATAGAACTAAATTGACACCACATTTCGATGGCCCAAGAACGGTTAATAGAAAAAGGATGCCATGGGAAGGAGTACCCGAGATTGGATTTAATATGAAAGGGAAGAGGAAAGTGCTGGATATTGAGAAGTGTCCGATCGGCACAGATATCCTGCAAGTAGGGCTCCGAATTGAGCGAAAGAAGGTTGTCGACAACCTCGAGACATACACAAATGGTGCCACGATACTATTGCGAGAGTCTACTCAAAGACTGTTCGAAACTGCAAACGAGAATGGGACACCAGCAGACACATCAGCTGACATGTCTCAAGCCTCATCGACCATTCCTTCAGACGTAAACGACCAAGATCTCCAATCCACTAATTTTCAAACCTTCAGCACAAGCACGACGCACGAAACACCAAGCATCAAACTCAAATATTCAACGCATACCGATCTCAAAACGTACATCTCCGACAACGAAGCCCAAGCCTCAGAATACATAACCACAACAATCAACCCAACTACAACACCTCCCACAACTGCAACATACCACTTCACCAACTTCGCCGGCTCCTTCTTCCAAAACAATAACTCCATCCTTGGCCCCTTCACATCCTACATCTACGAGAAATGCATACCGAAATCACAATCTCCAAAGACTCTAAAATACCTACTGGACGCCTACTCAGGCTCCGGTCTCTTCACCCTAACTCTCTCCACACATTTCACATCCTCCCTTGGCATCGACATCGACCCTCGCGCCATCAAAACAGCTCGCTCGAACGCGGAACGCAACAACATCACCAACGCAGGCTTCATCGACGCAGACGCCTCAGCGCTATTCGCTGATGTCCCCTATCCAGCTGACCAGACAGTCGTCGTCATCGATCCGCCACGGAAAGGCTGCGACAGAGAGTTTCTAAAGCAGTTAAGGAGATACGGACCGAAGAGGGTCATTTACGTGAGCTGTAATGTGCATACCCAGGCGCGCGACGTGGGGATCCTGGTCAGTGGGTTTCGGAGAGATTTCAAGGGAAGGTATACGGGTGATGATAGCGTGAGGATTGATGAGAAGTGGGAAGAGGATGGGTTGTGTAGGTATGAGATTGAGAGTTTGAGGGGGTTTGACTTCTTTCCGCAGACGGGGCATGTGGAGGGGGTTTGTGTGTTGAACCGGGTGGATGGGTGATTTAACCAAGGGATGATGCGTTAATACCTTCTTCACGATGCTGCACTACTAAACTAGACTCGGCGACCATAGTAGTATGGATATTGATCTACCAAGCAGAGCATGTACGTCCATCCCTGGTATCGGAAAAAAAAAAAAAGGAATGCTACCATATTCTCATCACCACAACATACCATTCAAGCAATCCCATCCCTCACCTCCGCGTCCCTCCCCATAAACACCTTATACAACCTCCTACTAATCTGCGGTCCCAACCTCCTATCCCCAACCTCCACTCCCCGTCCATTCCTCCTCCTCACATCCTCCAACAACACCCTCGCCCTCTCCCTCCCCTCCCTCTCCCCCATCGTGTCCCCGCCTAAACTCCTCCCACCCCCCGTCACACTCACACTCCTCTCCTCGCGCCTAAACCCCTCCACCAACGCCGCAGGAGAATCATACCCCGCATCAATGATCCCCAACGCCATGGATTTGGTGAGTCTATTGATCTGCTCGAGCATCAGGATCCATGTCTCGGTTGGATCGCCTTGACCGGTGCGGAACTGTCCGGATGCCGTGCAGAAGGATGCGTGGTGCAGGTTTCGATCTAGCTCGGCGGTGCGGTAGGGGCGCGTCGAGAGGTGTTGGGTGAAGGCGACGATGTCCTTGTAGGCGTCGGCGGAGGTGGTGTGGTGGATTGAGAGGGGTTGGTGCGTGAGTTGGAGGTGGAGGAGGAGTTCTTCGGCGAGGTCTGGGGTGAAGAAGGATAGGCCGGGTTGGGAGGAAGAGGGTTGTTTGCGTTTCTTGGAGGATGTGCGGCTGGTGCTAGTGCTGGTAGGTGGTGGCGCATCTTGAGAGGTGGCGGTGGTAGTGGTGGGCGCGGACGAGGTTGGTTCGAAAGGGTTGGGTTGTGCCCGGACTGCGGCTGTGTAGGCTCTGTTTTTGGCGTTGGCGATTTTCTTGATCTGTGAAGTGAGGTCTTGGAGGAGGAGCATGATCGTGTGGTCTGCGTGCTGAGAGCGAAGGACGGTGATGTACGTGTCTAGGTTGTCTTTCATTTGAGCTTCGGTAGGGATACTGTCTGCTGTTGTGTTTGCATGCGAGCCGTCTGGTCCTGCGGCAGCGATCAAGCAAAAGTCTTCTGCTATGAGGTGGACGAGGATGTGCTTCTCTGATACGGTTTTGGGACGCTCTAGCGGCACCCATTCCTCGCTAGGCCCGTCGTATGTGGCAGTGATCTTTCGTCTCCATTTGATAATATTTCCTAGCTTCTTAGGCTTTGCTGTCTCGCCAGTCATATCGAGTTCGTCGGCATAGTATGAGAATTCTGCCTCGATTTTGGCCATTTCGGCCTCAACTTGGTTGCCCAATTTCTTTCCTTTCATCGCTTTCGGCAGATCTGTGATCATCTCCTCCACTGACACCTTCTTGTCTGTCTTTCGCTTGTTGACTTCCGCAATATCAGTAGCTCTCTGTTTTTCAGCGGCCTTTCGTTCTCTTTCGCGGCGCTTTTGCTCCTTCTCTGCCTCTTTTTCGGCAGCTTTACGTTCCTTGTCCAAACGGTTGTTTTCTGCTTCTGCATTCTTATTGGTGGAAGTCTTCGCTTGACGCATGGATGCCTTGCCTGTCTGCGTTGTTTTGTCAGGACTTCGAGCTGATTTAGCACCACCCAATTGGGACGAATCGAAGATGTTATCTAAGTCGTCTATTGGCACTTTACTAGTCCTGGCGGATTTGCTCACTTTTGTGTATGAGGTCAAGTTCGTTGTCGTACTGCTTGATCGTTGGGAACTGCTCGACGACTTTTTGTGTTTCGTCTTTGAGGATTGCACTAGGATTGTGGTATTAGTAGCATGTGTGGCAGGCTTGAACCTCCTCAGCAACTGCGAAGAGCCTACAACAGGGTCGTGTCCAGCCTCATCGTCGTCAGAGAACAACTCTATCGGCCCTTCATCGAATCGGGAACGGTTCTGTAGTGGAGAAACTCGACGGCGTTCGACAACAGACGAAGTTTTCTTTATCAATCCCGTAAGTTCTGGCAGGTCGTCGCCATTATCTGATAAATCGTGGCTTGTTGTGTTCGTGTTACTGGTTTCAGTAGACATGCGCATCTTGCACGTCTGAGGAACAATATCGGGTTCGGAAGAAAGGTCAAAGACAATACTGTTGACACTTTCTAGTGATTTGACGGCTAAGCTTTTTGTCGGTGGACTGAGCCTTCTCTTCTTAGCAGGCTGCTCGTTGGGAAAATCGATGTCGTCAATCAAAATACTATCATCGAATAATGCACTATCGCGAAGACCACTGTCTTGTCGAGTGGGAGATGTTTTCGGGTCTTGCAAGAGTAATGACTTGACAGGCGCAGATGATTGATTTCTCATAGCTTTGACAGCAGATGATGGCTGTAGAAGCTGAGGCAAGCGATCGCTGTATATCAGTGAAAGATCAACATCGTTAGGGCTGTCGAAGAAATGCTCGTCATCCGATCCGTGCTCGTCGCCCGATCCGTGCTCGTCGCTGAAGCGCAATGGGTGTCCGTGTTGTGCGCTTGCTTGTCGCGCAGGTGTCCCTGGTGGCGATGATGACAGGGTGATAACCTCGGTCACTGCCATGATCGCAAGGCTTCCTGGCGCGGACGATCTAGTGAATGAACAAATCTCATTGCGTTGTACTCTATCCCATGCGGAACTCTTGAGGTGTCAACGATACCTTTACGTCAAGGATACTCGAGACAGCATTGTTTCCCTTCTGGGACAGAAAAACAGTCTTGGCACGACGTGAGCACGCGTAGCTTGAAGACGCGTAGTCACGAGTCACAAGAGATATGGTAAAGGTGAAATAGGGACACGAATGAATTATGTAGTACTCTATCCAGCACCCATAACAGGTGAAACAAAGGCGTTGGCCTTCATTTTCGACCTGTCGACACGAATAAACTCGGTCGATCGAGGATCGGTTCTAAAGGTCATCCTCATCACAGCGGCTAAAAGTCCAGCAGCAAAACACCCAACAAGGCCGATGGCCATGACAACACTCTCCCTCTCAACGAATGGTGGTCGCTTCGCTCCAAGCATTTCTGTGATCTCTTCACTGAACCTCTTGGCCATGATCTCTTTCGTAAAATTCTCTCGCACACGGCTCTTTGCAGCTTCGCGCATCACATCTCTTCTCTCGTTAGAGAACGAATGTAGTACTTTCCGAATAATATAAGTCCATTCTTCCTCCTTATCAGCATCTCGCAACCAACCGGTCTTGCCGTCAACGATCGTCTCTAGAGGGCCACCAGTATTTGACGCAAGTACTGGTAGTCCATGTTTCATAGCCTCGACGGGCACGATACCGAAGTGTTCGTTTCTTGGAGTGTACAAGAGCAGTGTCGCGTTATCAAGTAATGTTGTTTTGAATGCTTCTGGCACAGACAGCAGGAAGAGGACTTGTACATCATGTGGTATGGCCAATGCTGTAGGGATAGTTTTCGCTGTTGCATATGTCAGGCCAGCCTGCGCCGCGAAGTGCTCCAGCTCTTTATGATAATCAACATTTTCGGCAACTCTTTGATCGTAGCCTCCAGCAAGGATTAGTCTGGTATTCCTTCTTTCTTCTGCGGACATCCTCGAATATGCTGAGATCGCTAGCCGAATGTCTTTCTTCCTTTCGAATCGGTTAATGCTGAGCAGGATCTTGTATCTCCCGTCCCAAAGCTTGCCGTCATTGTTGTCATGTGCTGTAGCAGTGACGCATGGGTAGACGACACGCAACTCTCTTTCCAGACCAGGAAATACCGTGTTGCTGACACTTCTTGTAAACTTGCTGTTAACCACGATCTGATCTGCTGCGTCCATGCTCCATCCTTCGAACCAGTCGAAAGGCCAGCGATACAGCTTCTTGATTGCTCCAATCGCCCCGACCTCATCTCTCCTCGCAAGCAGCTGATCAGGGAAATGGCAGTAGAAGAGTGTCCGCTGCCTCTTTGGATAGAGCCATCGTAAGAGTGGTATGCATGCAGCGAGCTGGTCCACAACAAACACATCAGGCTTGAGGCTGTAGAGCTCGTCGCCCCATAGACCGATCGAGAGGACGAGGTGGATTTGTCGCAGGATAGCGAGTAGAATATGGAAGCGATTCAAGATGGTAGGCGGGAAGATAGTGTTTCCACGTACTCGGACATCGAGAGTGCCTGCAATCAACAGCCTGTCAATGCCTTAGTCTTGTAGATAGCGCATAAGAAAAGAAGCTTACCGTTACGCGCTTCTTCGAAGCAATGTCGAGGGTCGCAGTGTGAAGTGAAGATGGTGACTTTGTGACCCAAGTCCTGTAGGCCTACAGCCGCATCAACGATAAGTCGTTCTGCCCCACCTATGCCCAGGTCAGGGTGGAAGAAGACTATTCTTTTCGCATTTGAAGTAGACGCTTGCGCCTTTCCAGAGGCAGTCGTCGACATGGTAGTCGTCAACGGTCTTGACTTGATAGGTGCTTTCAAAATGGTCAGAATAGGACTGCGCTTATCGTGATCTTCAGTGATATGGGAACGCGAGCCCAAAAGTCATCATGCCTCAGGCATCAGCATCAGCATATTGACGGAATGATCCCTACAATCTCTTTCGGCATTCAACTAGTACCAACTGCAACCTTCGAGCACTTATTTCTCAGGCATTGCAGGTCCGCTGTCTTGCCGTCCCTTGCTCGTCTCTATAAAGGATTTGTCTCTCCCTTGTCGGGGTGTCCATACCAATCAGCACCAAACTCGAGACTCCCATTTTCGAAAACTTCCTCACACATCAGATTCCAGTGTCCTAAACCTAAACGATCAGCTTTAAACACCTTTACCTTGATCTTCGCTCGGAAACTCTGCCCAAGGAAGTTTTTCCGATGTCCGTCGTGAAACGGTGCTGATAGCCCGAAGAATGTATCCTTTGGTGCTGAGGCCACAATACTAATCTTCCTGGTCAGGCTCGAAACCTCTAGGTGAGCTTGTCTATCTGCCCAAGATACTGAGCATGTACACGTCGGACTGTAGCTTGATGCGATGCTCAAAGGCCAAGGGAGTGAGCTACTGGCTTGCATCGCGTAAGGTGGTGTGAAAGACACGTCGTGCAACGAATCAGTGCCGTGATACGATATTAGAAAGGCGTCTGTACCAATGATGCCACCCCCAGCCACATTGACGCCAGAGTTCGTGGTGTGATTCCGCGCCTGGATCCAGATGTGAGATGCTGGGAAACTGTGTGCCCAGTTTTTTTCTTGGTGAACGTAGGCGAGTTGCTGGGATGGTGGTCGGACAATACTCGTAGTTGTATTAGAGGTGTCCAAAGGATGTAGGTGAGAGTAAAGATCACTGGGGATAGACAAGCGGAAATTACATGTTGAGGCAAGCGAATGAACGTGCCAGTGAAGTGGTAGGGGTAAATATACAAGCATGCCCTCAGGTGTAGACGACTTTGATCCACGAGACCAGGGCGTCCTCCCCGAGCCACCGGCAATGCTAGCTGAAAACGAAAACGAGCGCTCCGGGTCTGAGATATCGTATTCAGTCGTGTCATCGTCATACACCTTCATCGTGCCAACATTGGGCACTCTGAGCTCAAATACCACTTTATGTTTTGGGCTCGTAGAGAATCCCAGTTTCGCTAGCATATCATTATCAATATTGACCATCTGGATATCCTCGGCCCATATCTCCTTCTGAAAGAGAGGAACATCGGGATAATCTGGCGGTATATATGTGAACGAGACCATATGAGGTCGAGTCTTGGCTTGTGGCACAGAACATATTATGAGAGCTAGACGTCCGCCCGACGGCAAGTCGAATTTGGAATAGTATCCTTCAAATGTCGGACGAGGTATTGTGTGTGGTCGGAATTGATTCATTTGTGAAGTAGAACGTCTGTTGATGTTGGATAGAATACATGATCTACACCTAAAAGATTCCGGACTAGGTCACAGAAATGTCGAGGTAAGAAGTAATCCTGTCTTTTGAAACATACAATACGATGACGCGGAGACCCACCTCGAGATAGCGTTGAGCTGGGTCCACCGCTCCCGAGAAGATGCCCATGGGCGTGCCCTAGAGCCTATACCAAACCAGGCCTCACGTGTATATGTTACACTCAAGAATCCTAAATATCACAATCGTTATCTTGGGTTCCTTCTTTGGTATTTGATAGCTTGGCGATCGCGACTTCCTTGCCTAACTTCAAAGAAGCTTCTGTCTAACTCAGTGTCGGCGAGAGCAGGTTCTGGATCGTTCTTACACTATTCCAGCAACACCAAAGAACTCGAAGTTCGAAACGTTAGTCGGCAGACAAACACACGACGTGCATGAGCGGAAGCGCTTAAGACAACAAGTCATGGCAGCCAGCAAGATAGCCCGTCTCAATACATAGCCGTGATCGGATCACTTGAACCCATTGTTGCAGTGATGTCCACGAGCTCTTCAGGGATACACTAAACAAGGGTTTTGCCAATTTATGAGGCAGCAACAACGTTAGGATATCGTACAGGTTGTTCGTCATCAGATACTGGTGACCTTCGGCCTTTCTAGATGAGTTGAACTGCTTCTCGGCGATTTCTAAGCAGGGACAGAAGTGCCATATGGTTCAGCTCGAGATATTTACTGACCTATAGAGTACTCCCGGACGAGCATCGACCGAATTTGTAGGATTTTCAGTGTTGCCTGAACGCCTCGATGTTAACACCACTCAACCTCTTTCCACGTCTTGCTAACGTTGACAGTAAATATCTCGAGGATATTATATTCACCAGTCACTAACAGCGTCAACATGAAGGCATGGACATACGAGTCTCGAGGTCCACCATCCCAAGTACTCAAGCTTCGACATGATATACCCCAACTCCAGTCCTCCAAGCTCAAAGCCAACGAAGTCATCGTGAAGATTTCTCACGTCTCACTCTTCGGTCCCCTGGCGCAGCTAATGGCCGTCATTCCACATCTCAACAACAACCCATGGATTCCTGACTACGAGTTCTCCGGCACGATCGCTGGTGCTGGAGCTGAATCGACGCTACGTGAAGGAGATGCTGTATTCGGCATGATAGCACCGAAATTGTTCCTCCAGTATAATGGAGTTTTGGCGGAGTACGCCGTGGTACCCCTGGAGTACGTCGTGCCCAAGCCAGAAAGCTCTCTGTTCGAAGAGGCAGCGGGCCTGAGTGGTGGAGGTGTCACAGCAATCGGCATTGCTGAACGGAGCGATCTCCTCAAAGTCGTGTATATCGACAAACAACCACGCATCCACAGCAAAGCAGAAGGTAAAAGGGTGCTAGTCACAGGAGGCAGCACAGGAACAGGTCTAGTCATCCTACAGCTCATCCGATATCTGATCGGCCCCAGCGGCACATTAGTAACGACCGCCTCACCTCGCAATCACGACACAGTACTCAAATACGGCGCCGACAAAGTCATCAATTACAAAGAACATCCACAACTCCACAAACATCTCGCTCAGAACTACCACTCAACTCCCTTCGACGTCATAATCGATATCTCCGGTACAGATCCCAACCTCTACCCAAACTCACCTACATACCTCCAATCAAACGGCACCTTCGTCTTTGCTGGAAAAATGGCCCTCACCCACACCCAAGCGGGCACTGGTACCTTAAGTACACTATCTTTCCTCTTCGATCTTGTCCGAGGCGTGGCGGGCTGGGCAATTAGCTCAACTTTACCCGTCGTACTAGGGGGTATTCCGAGACGTAGCTTCTTCCACTCCGGACAGCCTACGTGGAGGAATCTGGAACTCGTAAGGCAGTTAGTGGAGGGTGGATATGTCAAAGGTGTGGTGGATAGTGTTTGGGAGAGGGAGGATGCGTTAAAGGCGTATGAGCATGTGGCGCGTGGGAGGGTTTGTGGGAAGGTGGTTGTGAAGATGACGGATTAAAAAGATCGAGGAGGGAGGTTCTTTGTAATATCAATATCTGAGCCCCGTCCACACGTCTGTGGCGAGGGCTCCGGTTGCTGCTACCAAGTAGTGCGATCCAGTGCGATAATTGAGAAGTAGTTGCAATTTTCAAAGTAAATGATCCGGAGTGCTCAGTGCCTCGTAGTAAGAATCTAGTTCATGCTTTGTCATACCAGAACATAATCTATATTTTACACGCACCACCAAACATGTAATCTAACATCCTTCCTGAATGCCCGCTGACCTCCCCCCAATCACAACTACCAAAAAAATACATACCCACGAACTAAACCATCACACTCCTCCTCCTCCAAGCCCTCCAAGCAAAAGACCACAAAACAATCGCAACCGCCACACTCAACGTACACCCCACAGCCCAATACCCATAACACCCATACCCCTTACACTCTCCCTCCCCACTCTTGTTATCATCCCTCTGCGCCCCCTGACTATAAAACGCCGAGTAAACAATGGACCAAATCGCCGCCCCACCCGCAGGCATCATAGCAACAACCCCCCAATTCGTAGCAAAATTCTCAGCACCCCAGACCACAGAGATAATAATTGGTACTAAGGAAAAAGCTGCGCCGTATCCGAGGCCAAGGAGAGCGGAGGAGAGGAGGAACCAGGAGGGATTCTGGGGCACGATTTGCGGAATGGCGAGGAAGAGGAAGCTGAGGAGGAGGAGGCAGGCTGATGGGAGGAGGAGGACGAGACGGCTAAAGTGAAATCTTGTTGTGGGTGGGGCGTCGGGGTTTGAGGGTGGAGCGAAGAGGTCGGAGAGGGTGCCTGTGAAGAGACGGGCGAATGTCGAGGTTAGGGCGATGATGCTTACGTGCGTTGCTGCTGAGCCTGCGGGAGGATCGAGTTCGGGGTTGTGGGAGTAGTATTTGGCTGGGGTTAGGGTGGGGATGATGGTTCCGACGTTGTTGATGTAAGCTTCGCCGGGACCTGCGAGGAGGAGAAAGCCTGCGGCGAGCAGGTACATGGTTCTGTCGGTCAGGAAGGAATGAGTTGCGTGGTTGAGGAGCCAGACTTTCTTTTGAGCAGCTAGTTCTGGTTCTGTGATCTGCTTTGTGAGTAGGAGGGATTGTGTCAGATTCTCGATCGAATTGGAGTCGCCATCCTCAGACAGCGGACCTGTAGGTGACGATTCTTCGCTATCAGGCTGATTGTGCGAATGATGGTCATTGCCATTGGGTATAGTTCCATAAGTGCTCTGGTTACGTGAAGGGGCTGGTCTGAAGAAGTCGCTGTGTTCCAGTAGCCCTGATCTTTCCATGTTCTCAATTTCCCTCTCAATAAGTTCTTCCTCATCCACGATCCTCAGAGCCAGTGCACCAAGGAGACCCACTCCGATAAGTAAGCCAGCTAGAAAGATGAAGTAGCGGTACACATCCACAGGGCCCTTCCTTCCGTCGGGTAATTTCTTGTATAACAGATTAGCGCCTATTTGAGACTGCCACATCCCTGACAAGCCAAATGCAGCTATAGGTACAGCCAACATGAAGCCTCTGTATTTGGCCTGGGCAAAGTTCTTGGCGCAGGTCGCGACAGAACAGAGGTACAGGCAGCTCGTGCCAGCACCCACTCCAACGAACGCCAGGACCATGAAGCCAAACGGATAGCCATTTCCTCCTTTTACGCTATCTGGTGGTGGCCCAGCACGATAGACAACAGCAGCTAGGATGTAGCCAAAGCCGAATAGACCAGCTGCCAACAGTGCTAGCGGTTGAGGAGAGTAGCGATCACAGAGAAATCCAAATAGTGGTACGGGTAGGTACATGGCAAGCTCGGCCGTGATAGAGACGGCATTGACTCGATATTGTGTGTAGTGGAGGTCGGTCAGGAATCGAGGACCATATAAAGAGAATCCTGTAATCGAGCCGGCACAGAGGCTGCGCGTACTGTCAGTAAGTGCTTGAGTCGAGGTGTCTAGAGCAGATGCGCCTACCAGCATAGAACAGCAACGGTGAAGCTAGCTATCCTTGTAACCTGCCTCCTCATGCGCCTCCTATCTCGGTCGATGATACCCTGTGCAACCTCATTCATGAAGCTCACATCGTCGTCTAGGAGACTTCTATCGTGAGAGGTGTGACTTCGTACACTCCGCTGAGGATCGAATTCACGAGCATCGATCTGCTGCTCGCTAGGTGGTGGGTGTGGTGGCATGTCGATAGTGGTTTCGCGTTACATCTGAGGTTAGTACTGTCTGCAGCGACGGAATTGTCAGCTAACATATATGCTTGATATCCATGATAGTAAGTGGTGCCTGATACAACAGCAGCAAGTCGAACACGTCTGAGGGCCTGCCACGCGACCTACCGGAGTTTCACAGAGCCAATGATGCAATGCATTCGGCTGTTCCCGCCCGAACGCCGAGACACGTGGGCAACCATCACCTCTGGTGCTACTCCTAGACAAGGCACGATTGTTGGGGGAGCTTCGAAGCCTGTAGATAATCACGAGGAGAATGCTACTACTGCCATGGTTGGATGACACATCGCTCGATGGCTCTCTCAATGCTTGACAATACAGATCTATGTGTTTGGTCGAAGATCCACAGCCGACTCTACCACTTTCGTCTCAACCATAAGATGAGTGCCCAAACTGCACAGCGGTCGGATATCATGTCCGTTCACTCCTTCGACATAACAAGCGAAACGTGAACTTTCCATCTAGTCCGGCACCAGATACTCCAGCAACGAGTCAATACTAATATCAAGTGCGTCAATGCCTCGTCCCAAGCTTCGATAGACTATGTCCTCCAGCGCCGTTCATGCGAACTGTATCACGGGGTTCTCTGCTCTTGATATTGACAAAGGTTCCAGGGGTTCCCGTATGGCCATTGAGCTGGCACGGGTGAATGCCAGGACAGACTTAAGCATCTCCCGTGCAGTTCTGTCGGATCTGGGTGAGTAAGGACATCTCTATTTGTTGTCTTCAAACTCGGGATTCTGTTACGCTGTCAGTAATGCTTCTCTGCCGATGGTCTGTGATACGCTTACCTTTTTTACTATCACAAGCCCTTCAAGGTTTGCCGCGAGTGAAATATACTCGTCGTCTTCCAATTCCGCTCGCTCACCATGTGCAAGTAGCACTGGCGTGGACTGTGTCTGCCAACCAGTTATTGTCTTTGGTCGACCTGCTTGTCCTACTACGTCCACTGCTTGTCCGACTCGAACATTTACCGTCACCGGTTCGAGGTCCTCATTCAGGGTGACCAGGAATCTTGGGAACATGGCTGTAACAAGGAAGTATAACAGATAATGCGCCTCAGCAAGCACGAATTGCTTGGCGTCGATAAGTGATACCAACACAGTCAACAGTCCTGCAGATGCGACTCGTGATAGGACTTGTCTGTCTGTGTGGAAAGGATTGACCGTCATAGTACCCTTGCCCATATGCAGCAGACCTTGTGCTACGCGAACCATAAACAGCGAGTTCTGATCTCTGTGATAGTAACTTGCAAGCGACCTCAAGAGCTGCGCCAGCCGAGCGTTGTTGGTGCCCGCTCCGACCAGACCCATGGCGAAAATGGCATTGATAGCGACGTCGTTGTCGTTGTCGTGTGAGTATCTCGACAAAGTGTCATAGATCTTCATTTGCGGGTTGCTTGGACTTATCAGGCCCATGGCAAGGGGCACTGCTTTTCGGATATTGGACTCTCCATAGTGCATAAGGTGGCCGAATTGTCGCAAGATCATGTCCTGACCCACGTCTTCACCCATGGCAATCAGTGACAAACCGAGCACTGCATATGATTGCACAAGCTGATCGCCTTTGTTCTCATCCTTGTCCTCGATATGATCGTTACAAATGTGTAGTAGCTCTTGAATCTTAAGCACTGCGCCAGTACCTGCCCAGGCACATACAGATGCAAGGGTGGCAGTCGGCTTGGCCATTGGGTGCTCGATAGCTTTCAGGATATCAAGAATCACGTCGACCTCTTCTTGTCGACCAAAGTACAGTAAAGCAAGACCGAGTGCCATGAACCGTGCCCATTTGTCTTTGAGCTGATTCTGTCGATCCTCGTCCATCATCTGGGTTGCAATAGCTTCAGCGACCTGATGGTTTCCAGAACCCACAAATATCATGCCCAGGGCAACAGCTGCCATTGCTGAAAGAGACATGTCCAGACTGCTGTCCTCAATAATCGGCAGTAAAAAGTCAAGAAGGTCATCACGAGCAGATCCAGCATATGCTAAACCCAGACCCATCATGGCGGCTATCCTCATCTGTGGCCTTCCACTCTGTAGTACGTCGTCTTCGGCAAGCAGCGACATAACAGGATCAGATTCTATCTTGACCCCAGCACTGGAAATGCCGTAAGCAAGGAGAGCACCTTCTTTAACCTCATTTACCGTGCTCTGACCATACTTGTCGATTGTGTCAAGGCCAGTTTCGACATCCCACTGCAGGAGCATACCCAGTGATGCGGTCGCAGAGATCATACCATCATCTTTAGTCTTCCACACATAGGACGTCTCGTTCTCAGGAACCAGCATGAGCTTATCTTGACCAAAACCGACGTTGACAAACGCGTTCACGAATGAATTGGCCAGGTTGCCTTTAGCCGAGTCCGCAGCAGGACCAGCGTTCCTGCCAGATTCGAGATGTGTTTTGTATATGTCCTCGGGAGTTTTGGGGTCGAGGATATTGAGCTCATGGGCGAGATGCTTGAAGTATCGAGGTAGGTCTGTGTTTCCCAAACAACTAGCGACTTGTTCCTCGGCAGGGTTGTCTGTGGGTACTTCGAGGGTAATGCGCTGTCGTGCACACATGAACGCTAATTGTTTCTTCATGGCCATATCCTCCGCTTCATCCATGGTCTCTTGGATCAAGTCCATTTCGTTAAGACGGATTGCAATGAGCATAGCCTGCGCGAGTTTGCCATATTTGATATAGATTGCGTGTATTGTTTTCAGGAAATTCAGATCTTCAGGGTACGTCAGAAGAGTGACCATGCTAGACATATACAGGCAGGTTCTTGAGTAGGTGTTGACATCTAAGAACTTCTGGATCTCCTCAATCATTTCCAATTCACTTAGCAAATCAACAGCATCTGCCTCGGCGTTGTGCTTAATAAAATAGGGCACGAGAGACATGGCGAGGGTGGTGAGATCCTGCACATCTCCATCAGCCTCTTGTCGTTTTTCATATTCCTTGCCAATTTCCAGCGATAGATGACGGATGTATTCGTGACCCCAGGAACCCAGCTCTTCCTCAGAAGCCTTTGATAATAACCTCCACTTGAGTGTTTGTAGGTCCTCCTCGTCACCATATGTCATTCCTAGAACCGACAACATATCAGCGAGAGAGTCTCGATCCGCTCCAGGAGGCCATTTTTCGTATAAGCTGGCGAGCTCGTCAAAATGAGGTCTCAGAAATTTCAGAGGTTTCGGCACGGCGGTCATGGAGGAGGTGGATGTTTTGATGTACTCTTTTATGGTGTCCATTGAGGGTTTGTATAGGGATTTGTCGTCCTCCTTCAGACGCTCAACCAGCATTTCCAGGTCGTCCTTCAGCTGTCTATCCTCTTCATTCAGCTCATCGTCGCCTACGGGGGCATCCTCCTTGGTGCCGTTCTCTTTGAGTTTGCCATCTTTATCATGTATGGGTAGCGACTTCTCGCCATTAGGTTGTGCTTTTTCGTCTGCTTTGGCTTTGCCCTTCTCAGCAGCAGTTGGCTTCTTGTCGTCCTTCGCCATTGCTGGATATTGGTTCAAGCACTAAACACGATTGAGTTGATAGACGAGTTGCGCTGTTTCTTGTCTGAGCACTAAAGAACGAAAGAGTGTATATAACACAAATTGGGAAGGCGATCGAATATGCCACTGAATCGCCGTATAGGATTTAGAGTGGTAGTCACGGTCAATAATGTTTGAGAGCGGCCAGGCATGAGAAGCAGGCGCGTCACCGATTGAGCGGACTTTCAAATGGCTCAGGCATTCAGGCATAAGCACTTCCGCAGTCGCTCCACTCGGATTTCTATCGAGACAAGATGCGTCGAAGAGGCAGATGAAGAGTGCTACGGCACATCAACAACATATCGATACATCGTCGCGCCGAAGAAAATACGTCGTCGAAACCTCCATGTCATTAGATCAGTAGTACAAGCTCCGCACCTACAACCACGATGCCGCGCGGTGCGATACCAACACGAGTTCTGCCAAAGCTCTCATCACTTCAGCAACGTCCAACAGTCAAAGTATTCAGGAAACCCAAGAAGAGTAACGAACAAGTCGCTGCCGACGAAAAAGATTCAGGAACCATATACAGGAGAGGCGCGCCTCTCTTCAATGCCAAACGTATAATAGAAGGCTCTGGTGCTGCATCTACACAATCCATCAGGAAACTCAAGGCAGATCCATTTGACCAGTCCTGGCGCAAAGACGTTTCCGAAGATGTCTTACAATTCGTCGATGACATGGAAGTTCAGGGCACCAAGCTACTACCAGAGGAACTACTACAGCTGATCAGAGATCCCGCAAAGTATTTCAGCAGACCACAACACGTTCCTGAGTGTCTCAGGCAGCAGGTCTATTTCCCTAATTTCTCTGTATGCATCAAACGCAACAAGCATCTGAGCCCCTATTATGCACAGTTCCAGGTCCCATTATGGTTCAACAAGCTCGACCTGAAAGCTTATCTCAAAGACCTTTACAATGTTGATACCGTACACATCAGATCCTGGGTCACCCACGTACGGCCTGTAAGGCAAGACGTTCTTAACAAATTCAGCCTGGCAGCATACAAACAATCACCAGCCAAGAAGGAAATGATAGCTCAGCTCGTCGACCCTTTCGTTTGGCCCGTAGCACCAGAAGATATCGACCGAACTCCGTAAGCCCCATGATTCCCCATCTCGACTCAATTCCCCTACTAACACGATCTTCTCCAGATTCTCGACCCAGCAATTCCAGGACGTAGCCAAAGTACAAGAGGACGAGAGCAAGAAAACCTCCGACCTGTTCAATAGTATGCTCGACAGGAAACACAGAAAATCCATTGCAACGCAGGCTCAAGAAATGCTCCAAGGCAAGATTGCCTGGGGTCCAACATGGCAGCAACTCGCCGAGACACGTCGTGCGATGGCGGGCGCAGCCGATACATTACCTCCTTCTCATTCTCCTCCTCCACCTCCTGCTGCTCCTAAGCGCACTCAAGAGTCGGGTATTAGCAGATAACATTCAGTTTCAAGAGCGGGCAGATGATCGCGCTGTGGGCGTGGTTATGTTCAAGATATGGCTTTCGGAAGCGCCGATACCAACGCCATTGAAACACTTCACCACAGTATCGTGCTCGACCAATGGCCCAGTCATAGCCGTATCAACCGCAGCCACTGTCCCGGTGATAGCCATGGAAACTCTCTCCATGCATGTTGGGACGCGAATCACTCGACGTGGAGTTAAAGCAGGCTCATTTCTACGGAATATTTCGCAACAGCACTGTTTGCTGGCGAAATGAATGATATATTGCTGGTCTATACTAAAGAGGATGAACGTTATGTAGAACAAGACATCGTCGATCCATTACGACTAGACGAATCGAAATCGACTCGCTTATATGTCACTCCAAGTCAGGGTCGGGACAATTATGTAGTAATGAAGAGTTGAAAGGCTTAGACATTGTATATACCGTGTAAAAACATTCGGACCACCAAAAATGGCAGATTGGCTACAATATTCTCAAATGTCCATCTTGACCTCATAGGTCTGTCGCTCCTATACAGAAATTATCTGCCGTCATTATCTCAATTACAATCTACTCTCCATATACCCATTGTGCTCCTGCGCCCACGCGCTCTCAGGCCAAATAGTCCTCAGCGCATCATAGATATGCTTGACATATACCACCTCAAGCCTGTTCTCACCCTGCAGCACCTCAGTCGGCACATCCTTGACATCCTTGCGGTTGTGGTGCGGTACCAACACGGTTCGCACACCCGCGCGATGTGCGCCGATCAATTTCTCCTTGATGCCTCCGACGGGCATTACTCGTCCTCTCAGACTGACTTCACCGGTCATGGCGATCTGCGGTGGGACAGCTTTGCCTGAGAAGAGGGAGATGAGTGCGATGGTGTGGGCTAGGCCGGCGGACGGACCGTCTTTTGGTATTGCGCCAGAGGGGCAGTGGACGTGAATGGCGCGCTTCTTCATGATGTTTTCGTCGGGTTGGTTGGTGAGGCCGAGCTCGTAGGCATGAGCCTTGACCCAGGAAAGTGCCACTTCGACACTTTCTTTGAGGACATCGCCTAGCTTGCCTGTGAGCTGGACGCGTCCGTCACCAGGCATATCAGCTACCTCAATGAAGAGGATGCTGCCTTGTCCCAGTGAGGAGTAGGCCACAAGTCCTGTGACGACACCTGGTCGGGATTGTGTGTCGGCTATCTCCTCTTCAAACTTCTCAATGCCGAGTATGTCTTCTAGCTCATCGGTCTTGACGAGAGGGTTGTATGTTACTGTCTGTTCGGAGGTGTCGTCTTGAGACTCCGCATATTGTACGGCCTTGTAACGGCAAATGCTGCCTAGCTCGCGCTCGAGATTACGAACTCCTGATTCTCGAGTATAGGATGTGATCACTGCATCGACGACATCGTCAGGCATCGCCAACTTGTCCAGCTCAAGCCCATTTGTGCGAATCTGCTTGGGAATGAGATGCTGCTTTGCGATATGACGCTTCTCGATTGTCGTGTATCCTGGTAACTGTATCGTCTCCATTCTATCCAATAGAGGTGGTGGGATAGTTTCCAAAGTATTAGCCGTAGCAATGAACAATACTTTACTGAGATCGATAGGGATGTTAACGTAGTGGTCGTTGAAGGTGTAGTTCTGCTCTGGATCCAGAACTTCGAGCATAGCGGCTGACGGGTCACCGTGGAAATTTGAGGTGCCGACTTTGTCTATTTCGTCGAGAAGGATGACTGGGTTTGCCACACCAACCTTCTTGAGTCCACTAACGATCAGACCTGGCATAGCCGCGACGTAGGTCCTCCTATGACCACGAATCTCAGCCTCGTCTCTGACACCTCCCAGGGAGATACGATGAAATTTGCGACCGAGGGCCATGGCGACTGAACGTGCAAGAGAGGTCTTTCCAACACCAGGAGGGCCGACGAGCAATAGAATAGGTGCTTTGTCGACCATCTTTTTCGACTTGAGCACGTGCAGCTTCGCCTCAGCAGAATCTCGCTCTTCTGACGGTATTGGCTCAACTTGCTCTTCTTGGCCCTCGGTGGCTTCCTGGTCGTTCTTTTCGTCTTCCTTCTTGTCGAGCTTCTCTGTCGGCATTGCCAGCTGCTTAGTAAGTGTCTCGATCTGCTTGTCAAGCGGAGCGTTGCGTACTTGCTTCATGCGCAATACGGCCAGATACTCGATTAGCCTCTTCTTAACCTTCTCTAGACCGTAATGGTCATCGTCGAGCTGCTTTCGTGCTCTCTTGATAGTGTCTTGTCCAAGCTGATCGTCGGTTGTCTTAGTCCAGGGTATCTCAGCAAGATTCTCAAGGTATGTTCTGCAAACGCCATACTCTGCCATGGATGGGTGCATTTTCTTCAGTCTCCTCAGCTCGCGAGTGGCAATCTTCTGTGCTTCTGGAGATAAGCCAGCATCGTCGAGCTTCTTCTTGAGTTCGTCCAACTCATTCTCCTCAGCATTATCGTCATCACCTCCCATGCTCGGCATACCAGGAAGGCCGGACACGTTTCCACCCTGTCTTCTAGATAGGGCGGCCTTCTGCTGATCGGTCAGGTTGGTGATGTCTATCATGCCATTGGTTGGGATTGTGGTTGAGGTAATGGAAATTGTCTTGATATTGCCGTTAATACCTTGAACCTGTTTGTTCAGTAGCTCAAGAACTTTCTCTATCCTCTCTTTGACGTTAAGAATAGCCAAGATGCGCAACTTGTCTTCGAAGCTTGCATCTAGCAGGTCTGTGATGAAGTCGGCAAGTTGACCTGCTTGGCCTACATCTTTCTTTGCGATGAACAGTTCGAAACGTCGCATCAGAAGTGGCGAGAATGTGGTGGCGCCAGGTCTGAAGAAGGAAGCAAGTCGCAGGACGGTAAGGAGTTCCCGCGACCGTTGCTTGAGGAGCGAGAAACTCTTGCGCAGCTCAGTATCCTTGAGGTCAGATACCTCATCTTCGTAGAAAGTGACTTCAGCCTCGAAATATGGCCGTTCGTGGGTGACTTTGTCTATTCGAAAGCGCTGTACACCTTCAACTTGGATGAAAGGCTCGTTCTGTCCTTGAACACCGACAATCTTGGCCAATGTTCCGAACCTGAACAATTCGTCTTTTCTTGCCTTGCCTGGATCAGCCTCCTCCCTACTGGTCTCAGAGGCGCTCTCTTTTTCTTTGCTATCCAAGAGCTCTTTCCCATCTGGACTTAGATAGGTCGATCGCATAGGTACACATCCTATCGGCAAGTTGACGATAGCGGATCGTGATCGGGCGCCACGGCTGAGCGCAGTAGAAAGGATGACTGGTATATCGGGTCTATTGGCTGATATCCTGATTGCAGTGCCAGGGTATAACTAGACCTTGTCAGCATGGAAAAAGAGCACTAGGAGTTGCCACCAGGTGAACTTACCACTACATCCTGAGGGAGTGGTATCAGTGGTATCGTTGCCTTTGCCATCTTTGTGACTATCTGGCGGATTAGGTGAGAAGGATGAAACACGACACGAGATATCAACTGTTCAATATGCCATCCAAGATGTGGCGATCTGAGAAATGAGCAGTGATATGTATGGACTCTATGGAATCTACTCGACTAACGCCCCCCAGGCTCGAGTGACGGCAATGATGCCGAGGCTGCTGTATTCCGTCATGCTTGTCAGAGCCAACGGGATGTTCCGGCCATTTTCTATATAAGCAGCGATAGAATTCAGCACGTGATCTATAGGTCGTGCCTCTGAGCATCAACTTGAGGCTTGATCGAGGGAGACAATGTAGATTTACAGAACCCATAACGGATGAATGATACGAATTATTTTTGAAATGCACTGTTCCAGTCTGCCTTCCGGTCATTCCTTCGCATTGGTAAGATCTCGAGTGAGGATAGCCAATTGACTGCCTCAGGCATAAAGCACACCATCGCACGGAAATCGAAATTTATACACACCACCACGCAGTTGCTCTCTACATAATGTCCACAATTTCTGTCGCGGCAGGTGCTGAGGCGCCTCATCCCGAGGATGCCGCAAGGTCGGGACATACATACAATGTCGGAACCAGGAAATCGAAACTTGCTCTGAAACAGACTGAGCTAGTGCTGACCGAGACCGTAAAAGCCTTTCCCAAGTATGTTTTCGCGGTCAAGGCGAAAGACACTGCAGCGGGAGATATTGACAAAGTTACTCCCTTCAAGGATATGCCAGTCAAGAACATTTGGACCCACGAGTTAGAAACACTGATGGTAGAAGGGGATCTCGACTTTCTGGTCCATTCTCTCAAAGGTAGGATATGTACCATATGTGCAGAGTCAAAGTTAACCTTGTACAGACGTACCCACGCAGTTACCGTCAAATTGCGAGATTGGTGCTACACTGGCCCGAGAGGATCCACGAGATGCGTTTGTGATCAAGGCAGGTAGGGATCATTGTAGAATACAGGATCTTCCATCTGGCTCGGTTGTTGGCACTTCCTCCATTCGAAGAACTGCACAAATCGCAATGGTATATCCTCATCTGGTCGTCAAGGATCTGAGAGGAAATATAGGTACTCGTCTAAACAAACTAGATGCCGAAGATAGTCCTTTTGATGCGATCATCCTCGCTGCTGCAGGTCTCATCAGAATTGACTTGTCGCATAGAATATCGCAATTTCTCGACTCGAAGAACGGAAACATGCTCCACGCTGTCGGACAAGGTGCGATCGGTATCGAGAATCGTTCAGATGATTCGAAAGTGAAGGAAATTATCACAAAGATCAACCACCTGCCAACGTTCTACTCCACCATTGCAGAGAGAAGTTTGCTGAGAACCATTGAGGGAGGATGTAGCGCCCCACTGGGCATCGAAACAACATGGATTGGCCACGATCGTCTTCAACTGAAGGCTGTTGTGATCAGTCTCAACGGCAAGGAATTCGCCGAAGTTGAGATGGTGGAGCAAGTAACGAACGTACAGGAAGCGGAAGAGATGGGCCAGACAGGTGCCACGGAAATCTTACAGCGTGGTGCTGACAGGATTCTGGCTGAGATTAAGGCAAAGAGACCCACCACGGTAACTGATCTAGAGGAGACTTGATACGTTCTGTCATCGAGTCGACCACATTATCTAAATCAAGAGAATCACTACAGCGCCCTCATCTCCACGGTTCGGAAGGCAACCAAGGATCCGTGCCTCCATCAACACTCAAGATACGAGCAAGAGTGTCCGAAAACTTGTTGAAGTCCCACAATCTATTGCTCAGGCATGAACTCGACTCGAGAAACTCAGCCAACGGAAGCTAACTTGAGCATACGATATCGCGTTAATTCGGCCCATCATGCTCGCAAAGCACTGAAGCTGCGATCGTCCTGCATACGCATACGCAGATCTAGCCGGAATGCAGGTTTGTTGAACAGGGGTGACCTATACAGGACAGCCATTTCATGCTCGGCAAATTATGCGTCCCTAAACCTCGACACGGCGCGACACCTCCAAGACTTGCAGAAACACAAGAGGCCTAGCGCATGCGTTTCAGGCAGACAGCACCAAAGTCGCGGGATAAACTCTAGCGAGTATGTCGATATCGTCTCGTGTGAGATACACCGCACACCACGAGGAGTCACTGCAGCGAGCTTTCCTGAAAAAAAAAAAAAAAAAAGAGGCATGGCTGTTACGAAGTCTTAGTCAGAATGATGATAAAGGACCAAGTGTGGCAAGCGCAATCTCCGAGTCTAGAAGAGTTGTTTAAACGTTATAGAACACCAAAACCATCCGTTTCATCCTCTGTTTATCGTGTTTCCTGCTCCCTTAGGATTTGCTTCAACGAACTCATCCCATTCTCTTGCCTTCATGGTAGCTGCATCTTGTGCTGCAACATTGTCCTCATCCACTTCAGGTCTTTGCTCACTTTGCGGCCCACCACCCTCAATAATACCTCCTCTCTTTCGTTCTTCTTCGAGATATTCATCTATACTCATCGTCGGCAGACTGTGCCCAGGTCTAAAAACGCCCTTACGCAAGTCTGTTCTTTGGGACGTTATTGTAAATGGTTGCAAAGGTCGCCCCGACGCGTCCAGAATCCCTCGATGAGGTCGAGCGGCATTGAGTAGCTCGGGGGAGTCAAGACGGTCAGAGTACAGCTGCCCATTGTGCATGCCGTTGCGTCGATCTCTGTTATCATTGGCTGGATGCATTGGACGATCGGGATCAGGTTGCTGTGGCACCAATGCTAATATTTGCCGCTCCTGACTGATCATATCCAGAGCCTGAAAAGCCTGGTACACGTATAGATTCAGCTCGGCCAAATAAAGGTTCCGCAAAACCTCATCGTCAACATTCAAGGACTGAGATTGTTCTCGCAGAAGCTGTAAACGTGCCTTGAGTTCCTTTTCCTCCTGGAAGCGCCTGATTTTCGTGTTGCGCTTAGCCTCCATACCTGCTGTCTCTGGAACGATACGAAACGTGCGAGGACCGTCCTTGTAGGCTTCTAGGAGCTTTTTACTAGCCGCCCGAAGGAGAGAATATTCGTCCAACCGAGTGACAACCCTTTCGAACATCTGACTGGCTTCATCGAGCTGGACCTTGCGATCTGTGGGAGAATAAGACCTCATAGTGAGCTCGGCAAGGAGATAGTCGATCCCTAGATATCGTATGTCGGACGTGGAAACATCATCAATGTCTTCATTCGAGCTGAAAAGTGCCAGTCGATCCACGAGTTGTGAACATTGCTGGAGAGTGGATAGACAGGATGCTAGAAGTGCTTTAAAATCGTCTGAGCGTGGATCGAGATTATCAAGGTCGTTCTGATCACTTTTCGCCTGCTTGAAGAGATCGCTGAGAGAGGCTTCGCTTTCTGCCATGTTGAACGTGGTCGTTGTCTGAACCAGCGTCCCACTTTCGAAGCCCTTAAGGTCAACGAAGAGATTGCTGAACTGGTCTCTGAAGTTCTCACAAATACCAACACAAAAGAGCCTTCTGCTCAATGTACCGAAGTGATCTTGAACTGCAAGTCGATTTGTGTGATACTGGTTGTTGCTGCTAGTGGCAAAGCGAAGGGATGACTAAGCGATATTCTCGTCGCCAGAATTTTCACGTGGTTAGCGCGGCCCGTGAACATGACTCTTTCCGACTACCCAAGTTGTTCTCACGAACACACGAGTACGTGAACAACGTGATGATGCTAATGCCATCGAAGAAGTTGGGAGTCATGTCACCCTAACTTTGATGCGCGAGTCGGGGAGTGGTGGTAATCTCTGCACTTCATCTCACCTCTACCACTTCAGTCATTTTGTCTTCTTATAGGTTTAGATTTCTGTCAAATCTGAACAGTAGCACTGAATGTTGTACTCTTCAACGACTTTGCAACACTGTCTAGGCTGACTAATATTTCTTCTGAGTTGCCCTCAACCATCGCACCGATATCCAATGATGACGTCCCCTACCAATGGCGTTCCGCCAGGTATGGTCGTTGACGACGAGATACAGATCGAGAAGAACGCCGGTCTTGTCATGGCTACTAACAACAGCAGTATAGTCTCGAAAAGGAGCGTGGAAAAGCTATACCTCCCAGAACCCCACTTTTTCCGATATTTCGTGAAGAAGCCCATCAGAAGGGCACCAACCATAAACCGTGGATACTGGCTACGAATGCGTGCTATCGACTGGGTCGTCAAACAATTTCTCGAGAAGCCCTCGCAACAAGGCAAGGTGGTGATTAATCTTGGGTGTGGCTAGTATGTGAGCATTTCCTGATCTCTAGTAGGAGGACGCACTGACTTATTGAAGCGACCCACTACCATTTCAATGGCTCGCGAGAGATCCAACGCTATGCGCAAATACAAAATTCATCGACGTGGATTACGAACTTCTCATGGAGACTAAAAGGAATATTATTCGGGATACAGCCAAGATAAAAGACCTTCTTCATCCTCTTAATGCCGATGCAAGTGGGAAGGATCGCTCGATCTTGTTTGACAGCGAGGAGTACGCAGCTGTTGGTTGCGATCTGAGGAATCTGCCTCGACTCGGAAGATTGCTGCGCAACGTAGTCGATATCGAGAACTGCCTTGTGCTGTGCGTTGCAGAGGTATCAATTACCTACATGCAGACCGAAGCAGCTGATGCTTTGATAGCTTGGAGCTCGGGCTTGTCCTCAGATGTCACCTTCTGCTTACTTGAACAGTGTAGCCCTGATCAGATGGACAATCCCTTTACGATGACGATGCTTAAGCATTTCGCTAAGCTAGGAACCCCTCTACGTTCAGTGCTCGAATACCCAGGTCAACATACACAGACACAACGATTCAAGGCAGCAGGCTTTACTCAAATCGACTACAACAACCTATGGGAACTCTGGTCAGATCCTCGATTCCTTTCTCCTTCTCAGCGTGTTGCGCTTGACCAAGTCGAACCTTTCGATGAATGGGAAGAATTCGCTCTCTTTGCTTCCCATTACTGTCTGGTTGTAGCACACAACCAGGAAGACCCGTTTCTTGTCGAACGACCACGCTCGAGACGGGATTCGACCATTAGTCTTTCGTCTGATATTTCGGCCCGAACCTCTTCGCCTCCCAGGCTAGATAAAGAATGGTTCGGACTTCACTACAACAAAGAGCCTGGCGACATGTGCCAGCGACATCATGGTTCGGCATACATGATCCCTGATCAGGACGCTATTGGAGTACATGGTGGGGTGGGAACTCGTTCACGACTGGCAACCACGGCTGTTGTAAGACCTATCACTAACAAGGACGGACCACCTGTTGTACTACCACTAGAAATTGGAGCTCGTTGTTGTCATACCATCACCCCTCTCGATAGCGGCCAGAATCTACTAGTGGGCGGACGTGGCTCTCCAACATCAGTTTACAAAGATTGTTGGCTTCAGACCGGACAGGTCTGGGAGCGAGTACACGATCTGCCAGAGCCTCGCTATCGTCACAGAGTTGTACCAGTTGTCTTGCCTGACAATAGTAGCGGAGCTATCTGCTTAGGTGGTAAGATGGACCCTTGCATCGTGGCGTCTGATATCCTGTTGTGGGAACCTACCAAAGGTTGGCGAGTGTTGCGCGTGAAAGGTCCAGATCCCGTGCCTCGCTTCGGAGCCCTATTCTTACGCCTTGGCTATAATCATGGTCTGCTCTCTGGAGGCATGAGACAAGACGGTGTAATTTGTCAGGGTCTGTTCCGTTGGAGACTGCGCATCAGGAACAACGAAATCGTATACATTGACTTTCGCACATCCAAAGCGCTTGACGCAAGTGCCGGAACATGGCCATACTTTGCAAGATTTGGCCCTTCTTACAGCATTCAACGGGATGAGGTGCTGATGATTGGTGGCATTGCAAAGTCTGGTTGCATACCTAAACCCTACGAGATCATGTCGATGATCGGCTGCTTTTCCAATTACAAAGACGCCGAGTCAGAACTACCTCTTAGAGTTGTCTGTGTCAACCCACCCAGAGACCCCAATTGTCCACGACCCTTTCTTGTGGGACACTCAACCCATCGAACACGCTCTGGCCTCTCTATAACGTTAGGAGGTGGCGCTACGTGCTTCAGCTTCGGAAACTACTTCAATACCGGTATCTGGATTCTGTACGACCGCGAAGCTGGGCTTCCTACGGATTGGACAACGGTACTATCGATAGCAGCGTCGATGCCTACCACAAAAGAGAAGCCTGCTGCTACAATTATGGCCAATCAAGCAGTCTTCGAGAATGTCCAACAGACTGAGATCCAGTCTTCGGAGCAATTTGCAAACGTGGTCAGGTACAACGAACCAAGATTGCTCAGTAACTTGGACTTTGGACCATGTGTGCAGAAGTGGTCGCCGCCCTACCTGCAGGACGCCATCTCTAGCGAGCGTACCGTTGTTGTTCACGATGCATGCAAATCTCGGATGAACTTCCAACGGAAAGACTTCACATACAAGAACATGTCCTGGAGTCAGTTCCTCACGAGACTAGCTGACGAAGACTCTCATCTGTACTTACGCTCACTTGCAGCAGCTAATCCCTCCTCAATGCCGGCTGATCTTTGGACAGATTTTCCAGAGATTGCAGCTGACTTCGTGGTTCCTACCCCACTTGCAGATGTGAAAGCAGATATACATTCTTCACCACTGAGAATATCTAACGACATCAATATGTGGCTACATTACGATGTTATGGCTAACGTACTATTCCAAATCCATGGGCTGAAGAAGTTGATATTGTTCCCACCACAAGATCTACTAAGGCTTCAGTTCCCTCCTGGCTCTACCACGAGTCAGCTAGAACTGTTCAACAGCACACAACGTGGGAAAGAGTACGACTTCTTCGCCCCGCAAAATACCAGTCCGATTGTTGCTATCCTGAAGCCGGGTGATGCATTGTTTATCCCTCCACTGTGGGCTCACACTGGTGTCTCACTACCTGATCCTCACTTGCCACATTCAAAGGTCAACATGACAGGTCCTTTACCCTCACACCTATCAGATGGCACGCATGGATCTCAAGGCGACGATTCCACAAGCGCAGCATCAAACGGCGAACAACCAGTGACAGAGCCAGCATTCGCTGGAAATGAATTTCTCAATATCGCGGTAAACATGTTCTTCCGCAACCTGCCACAGTCTTCGTACGCAGCAGGTCGCGATGTGTATGGCAATCGAGATCTCGCATGCTATGAAGATGGTCGAAGGATGGCAGAAAAGCTAGTCAGCAAGTTCAAGAATAGCCATCAGCAGGGGTCGCCCTCGGAACGGCTGACAGGTGCTTCTTTGGACTGGATTCCAAAAGATATTAGGAAGATATATCTGTTGCGGATAGCACGAGAGATCGAAGAACAAGCTGAAGCGTTATAACACGTGACGTACATAGTAGGTGCATGCAGCAACGTGAGAACCAAACTACAACTGGAGTACAACATGCACTTCATACGCGCAGTCAGTGGTAGTTCCATTGATTATATCCGAAATCGTGAGCCTGCTGCACAACACGTGCCTGTATCCGTTGCATACGCTTGTTCAAAGCTCGGTACTATGCTATTAAGTAAATTCACCTAGCCCAGATTCATGGCGCAGATCACGGCTTGCAGAAATGCTGAAACACACACCATGTTCGTGTTGAGTTCTGAACTTATGGCTTCGTTTATTCTCTGACAGTCTGGATCAACTTCTCTGCTTGCCAATATGCAGCGACCACACCAACGCCGCGATCGTTCTGTCTATTCATGGAATGCATCGACGATTGCATTCAATGGATAAAGGTAGAGATCGGGAGAATCGAAGGGATATCTTTGCCGTAACTTTGAAGAGGGGCCAGTCTGGGCAGAAAGATCTGAGTTCAGTCGGTTCAGTGAAGGGCTGACGGAAAAGGAAATAATGCATGAAGGAGCTGGGAGGAGCGAGGGTCGTGCTGAAGAGATGCCGCTATAGTGGAGACTTACCCCTCGGTCTCCAATCCCCGCAGACGATCCAACGACTCTGACACACTTGCGCTGCAAGTTCCTGCAAGTCCTGCACGCCACATTCGCTCGAGATCAGAACCCATGCATCACTCTGCGCATCATCCCTCTTGTCAACGACAACTTCGTCTAGCTCAAACGTTGATGTCTGTGCTACTCCAGGATCTGCTTCGCAACTCGTGTCCAATGCTGTTAGAACTTTAGCTCCATTGAAGCCAGTGCATCAGCCCCACTTACCTGCTGTATTCTACACGGAGCCACCATGCTCGCGCCTGCTGCTTCCGCTTTGTGTCTGTCCGGAATATGTGAGGAAATCCCAACCTGTGGCACTTGCACTTCCACATCGCTCCTTCTTGACCTCATTCGAGTTCTACAACCTCGGACAGTATATACAGTAGAGCGTATATTGCCTGCACTTGTCCAAGTCACGTTGCTTCTCTTCAGTATTTGAGTTGGGCATCAAGACGTTTGTGCAGTAGAAGGACACACGACCACCTCGAACAGCATACTCCTGAAGTACAATTTCGGTTCCCCGCTCATGTATGAGGCAATTTAAATCGTGCTAGAGGAGCAGTTGCTCTTCTTGTGAAGCATACAGCATTACTAGCACGACCAGTTTGTGGATGAAGCATTGATAATCTCATTGCCGATCACAAGCTTTCCAACAAGCATATCATGGCTACCGTTGTTCTTCAACAACACTCCGCGCTACGAGAGCAGTCGAGTACACCACCTCTGCTGGGTTCTACACTCACGCTGAACACTCCACGCTCGTCCACACCTATCCCGAATAAACACATTCCCTACTGCCCCCCAGGGCCCGCCCCTTCGGGTGAGATAACTCCACCAAGTTCTCCACCACAACGGAATCCGCCTGTGAAGTCAACCTCGACTCTTCACCCACCTCACGACCATCCCAAGCTCTTGAAATCACCTCCAATATATGGCCTGAGCAGCGACAGTCTAGCAGCAGCGCTAAAGCATGCTGCTGAACAGTCGCTCCCAAGTTCTGCCTCCGTGTTCCCCTGGTTACATGGCTTGCATCCGAACAATCAGACACAACTACAGTTCTTCGTGGCCAGGAAGAAGTCGTTGAGGAGCACACCGAGATGCTTAAGAGGGATCACCATCATCAAAGCAGGTGGTGACCTCAGTCGAGCACGAATGAAAGGCGCCGTTGCTCCGGACGAGGTACTCAACCTCTCTGATGAGGCAGGCAAGGGTTTCATCGATTGTGACCCTCCAGAAGGCTTCTCGGTGCGTAACTTCCATATCCAGGCCGCAAAGATGGCTCAAGTTTCAGATATCGTTGTCTATGGCGATGAGCGCACAAACCATAGGATCATCCAATCTGTTGCTGAAAGAGCGGCCCAGGTGCAGCGCTCCTGGAAGAAAGACCTTGAAGCACAAGGACAGAGTCCTGAAACCTACCACACTTTCGTCCTGACGTCTACTTGGGAGAACTTTGAAAAAGCTTATCCTGAGTTTGTTGCTGTAGATTCTCGTGGAAAGCCGACTGGGAAAGTGCTGGATTTCCTCCAACAGGAGCGCATCGAGATGTGTGCCATGTCCAAAGCCAGCCAAATTAGTCAAGGTGTTTACCAAGGACCGTCGCCTAATCCCATGCTACTGCCAACTGATAATGAGGGTCCTGAATTTGACCTTCTGATAGAGTGCAGTGACCATGCAAACATCCCTGACACGAAAACATTCTCTTATAAGTCGAAGCAATTGCAGAGCAGAACGAGCAACGATCCAGTCAACATCTCCTTCCCATCTTCGGGCTCGATGATGCCATCCTCCTGGGCACAAGCGGAGGCTGACGGAATACTCCGTATGTGCCAATGGATCTACAACCTGACACATGTCGCTCGGTCCACACCTTGTACCCCTGACAAGGACGGCGATATACCCATGACGGAGCTCACACCACGAACGCGAAAAGTCCTTCTTCATTGTCCAGATGGTTATACCGAGACGAGTCTATTGACTGTGGCATACTACATGTTTGCTGAAGGTGTACCCTTGCATGATGCATGGTTACAACTGCACTGCGACAAGAAGAGAAACTTCTTCGCTTATGCTTCAGATGTTGCCTTGTTGCGCTCGGTAGAGCAACGTATACTCGACGAGTCTCCTGCGAGTGTCAAGATATCGTCATGCCCAACCTGGTTAGGTAAATTCGATGGCAGTTTGCCAAGTCGCATAATGCCGTACATGTATCTCGGCAACCTGACACATGCCAACAATCCAGAACTCCTGAAGCGCCTTGGCATCAAGCGCATTCTTAGCGTTGGCGAACCTGTGTCGTGGTCGAAAGCGGAATGGGAAAGCTGGGGTCGTGAGAATGTCAAATTTGTTGACCGGGTACAGGACAATGGTATTGATGAGCTAGGGACTGAGATTGAGAAGTGTATAAAGTTTATTGGTAAGTGTTAACGCATGTCATACAAATCAAATGAGCTAATTTACTGCAGGTCGAGGCAAGAAAGAAGGCAGCGCAACACTTGTGCATTGTCGTGTTGGTGTGTCGAGATCCGCGACAATCTGTATTGCTGAAGTCATGGCAAGCCAGGAAATGAGCTTTCCTCAAGCATACTGCTTTGTGAGAGCTCGACGACTCAACGTCATCATCCAGCCCCATCTTAAGTTCGTGTACGAGCTTATGGTCTGGGATGAGATCCAACAAGAACGACGAGGGAACAAAGTGCAACGTGAGCTAGAATGGACAACAGTTGCCAGGGAAATCGCAAGTCTGAACCGACCTTACTCGAGAGCTTAGAAAGTTCCGAGGATGAAGGTGTGGGCAGCAAGGATGACGGAGAACACAACCGGCCCATCAGAAGCCGGAAGTTCGAATTGGAAGGGCAAAGCCAGAGCAGGTATCGACAAGAGATATAGACCCTACAGCAAGGGTTGTCGAGGACTGGTCAATTGGGATCGTCTCACAGATGACTTCATGAAGATGAAAGTTTGACGACATGATACGATGGGATGAAAGTATGAGGTTACGACAGATATGTTATGTCCATGCTATTACCACCAGCATACAAGATCACACGGACGACTCGTCAACATTGAGAAATGTGTGAATAGGGAACAGCTTACGAGTGGTGGCCTCTTGGTAAGGCAGGAATTGAACATGGATGGTATGGAGTGCATGCGCGAAAAAGGTATTGGATAAGAAAACACATGAAGGACACAGCTTGCATAGTGTTCAAGGCGCAAAAGCTTTCTGGTTGGAGCGTGTTGTTGGATCTATATTTCTTTTTCTTCATATACATATTTTATGCTTTTTGATAGGCCAGGATGTGTATGTATAGTTATAGACTTAATATGAATTGTGTTTCAACAAGCAAGGATCTCATTCTCCCACTCTCAATTCAGAAAGATACTGTGTTTCACTCAACTCAGTAACAAAAGAAGTACTCCACCGTCCCAAGCTTAGACGGATCCCTTTCCCCCAACGTCTTGCACCCACTCAACTCCAGACTCACACGATCCACGAAAGCACTCGATACTTTTCCGGCTTCAACAAGTTCTGTCCGACGTCCCTGAATAGTGAATATAGGAAGGTCTGCGTGTGGGGGCAGGAGTTCGTGGTCTTTGAGACCGAGGAGGGAAGTTATTGGAATTGTTGAGCCAGTTGATTGTTCATGGTCGAGGTAGGCGCGTTTATTACCTGGGGTTGGTGAGGTTGGAAGCTCGTCGTCTTGTGCTTCTGTGAGGATGGTGTTTTCCGACAACGTTGGGATGGTGATTATTCCTTCTTCGTCGTTGTGTGGCTCCTTATTGTCAAGTTGGGTGTAATACTCTTCTGGAGTCTGGTGCATTTCCGTATGAACTGCGACTAGCTGTGTGTCTGGACTGGTAGCGAAGCCGGGGTAGAGCATGAAGTAGTTTTGAGCTTGCATGAGTTCAGAAACTGGTCTCAGGAAGGCTGGGTGAGCATCTGAGACGTGGGCGGAGTCGTGGACGGTCTTAGATAGGCTTGGGTCGTGCTTGAGACGGAGGGAAAGGTAGTTTTGTAGTTCTATCCATTTGTCGCCGAAGTAGAGGACGGCTGTGGCTGATGGTGATTGCGAGAGGAAGATGGATTCTGGTGGGGATTCTGCGTGGTGGATGAAGGGGTCTTTGCCGTTTAGAGATGTGTGTGGGAGGTCGAGGGAGATACCCATGAGGAGAGGTGGTATGTCTTGCTCGTGCCGACTGTATTTGTACTGGAGAGTAAGGTAGGTTAGGTAGTGAAGGTAATTGGGTGAGGGTTCGACGTCGGGACTGAGAACAAGGACGTGCGACATTGGCGTGCTTGGAGGGTAGAACGATTCGGTGGTGTGTATGGAGGCGCTTGCGGGGTCGGATTTAGCTGGGTTGATCTGGCGCCGGAGGATGAGCTTGTTCTCGCCTTGGTGGTTTGGCCAGCGGAAATTCTCTAGGTAGTGCAGCGCAAAAGTATCGACGTTTTGCGGGATCTCAACAGTGATTCGAGGTAAAGATAGACCAGCATAGTCAGCACTCTGAAGAGAGTTGAGAAGCCTGATTAGAGAGCCGGCCGAGTTTCTGAATGGTGTGATGATAATGTTGATTTCAAGGTTGTTCAACAAGGATAGCCCTGTGCCGTCAAGACTGCTCAGCCAGCTGGTCGAGGGAGGAGCATGGTTGGGTACAGTGATCAAAGGGGTCCATATGGAAGCCACCTTCTCTTTAATGGTCAACCCGAAGAGTTCGTGGTCAATCTGTTGCTGGTCGACAAGGAAAGCGGCAGGCTTGAGGACTGAATGTAGATGGTTTATAGCAGACTGAATGGCCACGATACGACGTCTTCGCGAGGACCGTAAATTGTAGTCTGGACGCGCGTCGTGCACAAAGATTGGACAGTCTCTCTGGCTGATTCCGCTCACGTCCATGATCTGCTCGACAGCATCGTCGTTCAGGGGCAGGAGAGCCAGGTGAACGTTGGTTCTGTTGTACAGCGCAACATCACAGGCGCATCCCACCAGGCTGGCGGCAGTTCTCAAATCGTGGAGGAGAAAGATGACATTTTCCTTACCGTTGTGCTTTCCTAGTTGATGGGGACGAAGAGTGCGTGCGATGTGGTAGTATTTGACCAGACCATCGTAGAGCTGACCTTGAGCCAGAACCTCTCCCTGCGACGTAGTGTCTAGAGTCGAGCCCAGAAAAGACGGCTGACCCTGACTGCGACCAGTTCTTGAATCGATCCTACGTCCCACAGAGGGCACATCGGTAGGCAGATATTTGATGAACAGATAGATTGTCAGTATTGCGACAAGAGCTAGCAAGACTCTTCTCCTTCGAAGGAATGTTGAGGAGCGCATTCTGGACACCGATTGCCATGGTTGATTGTGTATAGGCAGGTCATGCTTTTTTTCGAACACGTTTGGGTAGACTGCTGGTCTCTTCGCAAGAGCCATACATCCTTACACCTGTACTGTTGCGAGCGTATGGGGTGGAATTGATCGGTGGTGACCTTTTACTTCAGAGCGTGTATAGGTGTTACTGTCAGTAAAGGTGCCCCGAAAAGTGCACCCGGATGTGGCTATAGTAGCCTGAGGCATTCTCAGAGGCTCTCGAATCCCAGATCACTCCACTCCACTCGAGCTCATCGAAACCGACCAGGATTGCACTTGTGAGCAGGACGAGTACTGGTGCTGTACCACCACCATCGTTGACTATAATTTCACCCTTAACCAAGAAAAGGACTGGACAAAAATTGCAGGCAGGATACGATTTGAGCGCAAAACAGCAGCAAATCCATCAATCTTCACCACCAACTAATACTGGATCTTCTCACAACGATCATCATGTTAACTCAGTAGCATTGGCATTGCCGCTGTATCGAACTATGCGAGGCCTCACCAGTCGCGGGGTGAGGCCATATGTCCGGCAGGCTTCGCTCCCTTCCTCCCTCCCACCTATACGAAGGACAATATTGCCACCAACTCGAATTAGCCTAACTGCTGCCGATGCCTTTGCGATCCTCCTCCCTTCAGTGCTTACTGCTGCTTTCGTTTTTGATGTGACAGCGAAAAAGGAGCGCAGTCAGGAATGGGACCGTCAAATAGCTACCGTTGAGAGAGAGGTTGAGCAGTTGAGACATAAACAGCTGGAAGCATGGACACGTATACAGCATTGCTCTGTCTCTCGTGGTGCGTGCCAGCAGCGGAGAATGATGACAACCGTCGCAAATACCGCGCTTCCAGATGTTGATATGGACCCTCTTGGTAAAGAGAGGGAGATCAATGCTGCCGACGTTGACGACAACACAGAGCCTCATTTAGACTACGGGTCACAACCTCTCGCACATCAGAACGCTCAAAAACGCTATGAGCGCTTAATAGCTATCAGACTAGCCCTTCAGTTCATGCTCCAACTGCGCACTGCAAGAACGAACCTCTACAATCACACTCCTGACTACGATAGTACGCGGGCAACTTACAACCAGAGCATGGACTACTTGGTCGAGGAGTTGGAGAAAATCTCAAGGCTAATTAGCAAGTTGATGATAGAAAGTGTCCCCTGGGGTACCACTATCCCAGAAGCTGATCAGCCACGGAAGGAGGAGCTGAATCGCCGCTTGGGCGAGCTTATACATACTTACAGGATAGGCGATGTGCATGTACCAGACTTCATCACTTCTTACATTCAACTAATCTCAGAGTACAAGCTGGGTCCCTCCTCCGAGCGCTATGCCGAGATGATGAGAGTTTTCTCCGATGTGACACACAACACACCCATGGCCGTCATGTGCGAGAATGCGTTGTGGGAATGCCACCAGCCTTTGCACAGCTACACGATAGCCAACATCATTTACCGACATGGGAATGATGTTGACGCTGCCAGGTTGCAAGAGTTCTTATCGAGGATGGTTCTGATTGATTCCTTTCCCAAGTCTCGTGTGCGTTGGTTCACTGCCAATGTCAACGACGTTCGCATCGCTATTCCAAGCACCAAGAACGCTTACTTGCTGACTGCCTTGGTGCGAACCACTCTGATGAATCGGCAACAGACCATTGCCGAGGCATATGCCACCGCTTTCTTCCGTCTCCAAGCCGAACGACATATACCTGGGGAATTCAAGTGGTATCTTATCGCTTGTTTTCTACAAGGCTACGGTGAGTGGGCCACCTGGGCTGCCGGAAAGCGCTGGCTCGAGGTTGCAGTCATGTGGGCTGTTGACATATGGCAAAGATATGAATATATGTTGGGCCGTGTGGTTTTACGAATGCTCGATTTCTGCGTCGCTTGCGACTGCCCCGATGAGTACGAGATGATTTTGCAAGCTGCAATTGCATCAAGTTTACCCCTGCCCACCATTGATACCTCCAAGGCATTGAAGTTCTCCGAAAGGATGAGTCAAATCCGCCTCGACTGGATCAGACGAATAAGAGAGGTTCAAGGAGATGCAGGAATCCCGAAGAGAATTACGGTGGACAACATCCGGCACTTCCAACAGTTACTAGCTGGGAAATTCGATGGTGGCAGAAAAATAACTGGAGCCTCGTATGATCCCATTGAATCGAAGTTGATATCAGATAATGCAGTGCAATTAGAGAGAAAGATGGGGCTCGGAGCTATTGAAAAACGACTTCCTCTAAACAACATTGACAGCCAAGACATGGCCGAAGCCGAGGCCGACAGCAACGTCGCTGAATCGTTCTATCCCATATCCGGACCATTAGAGCCACTAGCACGAACGCAGGAAGAAGGTGCCGAATTTACTACGCCATTCTTTCCTACGTCCCAGCCTACGTTTCCGACACAATCAGGGGCCTGGCAGAGTTCTGATCTAGCGGTCCCTGCCGTCGCATCGGCCTCCTCAGCGGTTAACGCCGATATTGAACACAAACATTCGCCAGATCCGACTCCACAACAGTACGACAGAACCTTCTCCACGCAACCGCATGCAGAAGGAGTTCCCTCCAACCGAAGAGGGTATTCAAGTCTAGCATGGCCATTCGATGGTGTCTACCACTACGTTGCGAAGCTTCAGAGAGCAGACGAGAAAGCTGTAGAGCTTGAACGCAAATTGAGCGAAGCCAAAACCAAGCTAGCCATTGCAGGAGAAATGGCGGGAAGAGTCGCAGGGCTCGAACGCGAATTGAGTGAAGCGGAGGCTAAGCTAGCCAGTGCAGGAGAAACGGCGGAAAGAGTCGCAGGGCTCGAACGTAAATTGAGCGAAGCCGAGACCAAGCTAGCCATTACAGGAGAAAGGGCGGAAAGAGTCGCAGGGCTCGAACGCGAATTGAGTGAAGCGGGGGCTAAGCTAGCCAGTGCAGAAGAAATGGCAGATGTGAATCGCCAACGTCAAAAAACATTACGGGACGAGCACGAAAATACCATCATAAAACACAAAGGTATACTGCAACGAGCCAAGGAAGAGCACGCAGCCACTCTCAGAAAATTAAAAATGCAACATGACTATCGAAGAAGACTGCGCTAAAGCAGTTGACGTTGCCGCATGACGTGCGTGGAAACCACGGTTCGCCAGCTAAGCGTCTATGGACGATGAAACGACCGCAACCGGGGCAACGTGAATCGAGATGGTGGAGAATATTCACTGTGCTGCAACCCTGACACGTCGAGCAAAGAGCCTTGATGGTCAGGTGTAGAATTACCAAGGAGGCCGGACGACAAACATTGATCAACGTAGACGGTGGCTCGAACGGCCTGCGGGCTTTGAGCAAACGTAGTCTCTGGTGGTGAGCTTCTGCAATAGCGACTGAGTGTCTATATTCACAGTGACAGCTACATTGGCAGGCCCAAGGATACGGTCTATCAGTGTGCAGATGGCGTAGCTACACTACACCATTGCTCGGCTTTGTCATCTGCAACCAGTGCACGGCTTTCAGGCTCACACGCAGCTCCTGCTTAGGGTTCAGGCACGACCTATTCTTACCTCGAGTCAATTTATCAGGTCCATGATGTCGATAGAACGAGCGCGAAGACACGTGACTACAGCAGTCAACGGAGCGAGCTGCCAATCTCGAAGAAGAGATGGGTCGTTGGTGCAGACATGATCTAGACAGTCGATCAGAACCAAGGGTCGAGGTTAATGGAATTGAGGTCAGAAATGGTCATGTATCTCTGGAAGGTTGGAAATACCCAGTATGTTCCGACCTTACTCGGACAATATAGAAGTGATGTACATCAACGTAAAGTATACAAGCTCGACTATTGTGATATGTACTCGATACGCTGTAATTCTGAGAGCTCGCAGAAACCAGCGTCCCAATAAAATCGCCGAAGATAGCCAATTATTTTATGCTCAGATACGCTATTTTGAAAGCAATCGTTCCTGACACGATACTGTCGCGTCTCACGTGTATGCAACGCGATCACCCCATGAGGAGAAGAAGAGCTCTGCTAGCACCGAGACATTTACAATACACCAATGCTATATGTGCTCGCCGGCGTCTTGAGCATCGCGCTCATTGCTGTTGGTAGCTATGCTTCTGATTTAACGTCGCCCTTTGCTTTCTACTCGACGCAGCAGTAAGTCGTCGAGCCTACGAACCACCCAAACAAGCTCATTTGCTTTGAGTCAATGCACTCAACACTGACGTTGTGTACTTATTAGTCTCGAACTCTCTTCTCTTCCTCCCACTGTCGCCCACAACGATATCCATCACCTCTTCTCGGCAGCCGTCTCGTCTTGTCCGACCACGCAATATGCTGTGATCTTCCAGCCGGGAGTTAGCAGCTCGGACTACGACCATGAAGAGAACCTTCTTACCCCTTTTCTTGCGTCGCCAGAGAGCCAAACGACTACTAATCTGAGAATCCTCAATGCTACTGGACAGGTAGACGTTGTTGGCGTCGTGAACACGATCCTCATGGACTGCCTGCACCATGGGATCAAGAAAGTAGAAACTCTGGATACTGGGGAGCTAGTCGTTGCACCATTGAGTGCGACAACTGTCAGAGAGAGCGTCATATATGCTGCTATGCCACCTCTTGAGGATGGGCTGAGAAAGCGGGAGAGGCAGATGACCTTGAGGGGGCATGAGAGATACGTGCAGAAGCTGGTAGAGGACTATTTTGGCAGTGAGGATTATACGCTTGTCTATGTTACGAAAGCCGCGGAAGAGGAGACCTCGATATGGAATGAGCACGAGGTTGGTCTTGGAGCTGAAGTGCCGCTTGTTCAGAATGATTGAGGCAGATTTGCTTCTCGTCTGGTTAATTATTAAACAAGTTGCAGCTGTGTTCACTGCGAGGTCAGTGAGCTATCCGACTAAAAACAACGGCGCTATCTACATACCGGCAGCCCTTCCAATTTGAACGATCAACCCTACTCTTCCTCGTGCCAGAGACTACTTAACTATTCAGGACGGCCACCCCTGTTGCATTACTTTTGACACTACCTGACAATTCTCGGTAAGACTTGGCAATAATGAAGCTAATATGAGGAGAACAAAACGCTGCCTTTCTGCCTGCGCCTGGAAGATGTCCCAAGGTCCAACGCCGTTACAAAATGCTACATCGCTAAGGGAAGCACACGATGTGGAGAAAATAGAGCTAGAACGAACAGCACCTAACAGTCTGTGGGCCGATGCTATGTCTTACCCATCAAAGTCTTCAGGACATCAACGCCAATCTCCAGAATACCCTGTTCCCGCACCTCTCTCAGTGCTGCTTTGACCTTGTCCACGCCGCTTGCTCCAATACAAGCCTTCTTGAATGTCTCACCTCGCCCCTGTTCTCCCTGCAACAGGTTCGAAAGCACAACGAATCCTCTGTGCTTCAGTCCCAGCTCCTTGTCGGAGGCCATATCAAGTACAACGTCAACAGTCCGCTCAAGCTTCTCTGCATCGTCTATGATTGAAATCCTGATCTCCTCATAGTCCGTCAGCATGGCCAAAGCACCACCAGCAGCTGAGCGAGTCTTGAAGTCCTCAACGTCAGCCATGGCAATCAGTATCCGCAGACGTTCTCGAGCTTTACGTGAGCCATCGGCATAGAGCACGATACCTTCTGGATGCGCGACAAGATTGCAGACGAGTTCGACAGCGGCACAGCGGACACGGTCGTTCGATGTACTGATCAGGAGGTCTTCGATGTCCGAGAGACTGGTGCGGATGATAACTTTGGCAGCATCGGAGGTGGGCGTTGAGGCGAGATTTGTTAGGGCAAGAAGTGCTTCGAAGACAGGTAGGAGGTCACGAGGACCCGAGTCGGTTAGAGTTGGACCTTCGGTAGTGAGTTGCTTGAGCAATGATGCAAGAGGTGGAATTGCAGATGTGATGTGCGGCGTGGCACCGGATGGGAAAAGATGGGCAGGATTGATCGAGATCAAAATTCGTGCAAGTGCATGTGCAGCATTGTGCGGGATTGCTGGTTTTGCAGGGACGTTCGACGATTTTGGCTGGGAGGAAGAGAGTAGTGCTTTTTGCTGTGGTTGTGGTTGGCAATGTGAAATGAGCAGGCGGACTGCTCCTTGCTGTGCAATTGTGCCCCGTTCCTTCGGGTTACGGGCCAAGCTGAGTAAGATCTTGTTTGTTAGCTGGATAGTCGCAGAGGAAGGCGCCTTGTTGATTTTGACCAATGTTGCAGTAACACCAGCTTTGATCAACGTTGTACAGCGCCTTTCGACGTGCTTGTCGTCCTCCAATTCTGAAACTTGGAAATCTGGTTTGCTGGCATTAGCATAGGCTCTAAGTTGTGACATCTTCTGCTGCTCTTCGGACAGGTTAGGCTGGTAATGCGTCAGATTCGTGATAATGCTAAGTCCACCGATTGAGATTTCGGGACTGCTATGATTTTCTTCGAGAGCAGATAGTATTGTTTTGATGACCTTTGGATCATTCGCTAGTCGTTCTTTCACCTCTGGTCTCAGAGATGTGTACGCAAGACCTTCAATAGAGTCAGAGATATTCTTTTCATCATGATCTTCAACAACAAGGGATTTTTGAAAAAGATCAACAAGGTCACTAACATTATCATTTCCTGCCTGGATGCCACCTTCTGCAGTTCCTCTGTTGGCTGTACGTAACTTGGCGAGTACGGTTGCGGCTATGGCTGGCTGACGACCAGTGCCGTTGCTTACTTTATCTGACAGCCAGGTCGTGCAATATTGCTGTATTGCTTTGCGGCAAGCACCTTCAACGCAGGCGGCATTTAGCAAAGCTAGAAAAGCGTCGTGTACTATAGAGTTTGAGAATTTTTGTTCGAGAAGAGGCATGAGGTTCGGTAGAAAGCCTTCGGTAAGGAACAACTGAGCAGTAACGTTTGAGGCGACTGGGAAGAGTTGTGCAGCAGCTGAGAAACTGATGACTAGGCCTTCAGGCTTTTGTTTGGCGACTTGTGATGTGATGAAATCGCTGAAGTATTTTTGTGCCTCGAGTTCGGCGACTTCCATGAACTTTGCGATTACCAATGTGGCTTGTCCTCTTACGTCTGCGGGCAAACGCAAATCCAAGGACTTCAGAAGTGCATCGAAAGCATCCTCGTCGATATGGGAATATAGCCTAGGAGTATCTGCGAGCAGCAATAGAGTGATACCTTTGAGGGCTCGTCCATCGTGGTCATGGCCACTCTCCATTAACTTGGCAATGAAAAGGACGAAAAGGTCGTCCTCAACCCGCAGACGAACTTCCTCATTCTGCCATAGTTTGACCTCAAGAACGATGCTTCTCATGCAGTTGGCTGATTCATCGCCTCGCGCAAACATATCCTCGAAGAACTCGGTGGTTGATTCGGAAAGTCGCTTAACCATGTGCTGCCGTATCTGGACATGACTTCTCGTAAGTTCTGAAACGATAGCATCCTGAGCATCTGATAATTTGGTTGGTGGTTCTTCAAGGACAAGCTGAAGACATTCCAGAGCAGTCGTGGGGCTTGGCTTTGGCGAACTTGGTGAACGGAGAAGTGCTACAGCATCTTCGCCAGCTTTGGGATCGTGATAATGTGCATACTTTCTGCACAAATCTAATAGAGGTGATGAGCTTTGTCCTTGGTGTAAGGTTATGAAGGCTGCTTGCACATCAGCATTGTCATGGCCAATAGCTGCAGCCTCTCTCAGTCTTGCTGAAGCTTGCTGTAAGTACAGTCAGAACAGGTACTATTATGCAGGTGGTCATAGTGTCGGCTTACTTGTAGTCGGCCCGATTTGGCAAGTTCTATTGCCTCGCTCGCCAGCACCGAAGCACGCTCCTCGGATAATGCTCTCGTGAGTCTACTCACCGCAGCCATGAAAGATCTGCGTGGTTCTTTGGTTATCGAGATAGACGGGTCTCAGTGTGATGTGTGTTTTTCGCTATCGTACAGAAAAACCAGAGTGGTGGCCACGTGAGTAGAAAAATCAATGGCCTGGCGTGGAGGCTCGAAATTTGGTTGGTTGGGGGAAGAATTTGAAGAATAAAATTTCTTGACCTGGGCGTGGGCGGTGATGGGAATGAATGGAAGTCTGACGATTATGTTGATTTCCAAGCGGTCAGCTGTCAGATGGACGCAGCAGACGCGTGCTGAGGTTTGCAGTCAGTCCTGAGATCTACTTTGTTGTTGAGAGTACAGGACGTGGTGGTTTGCAATTTCCAATGTCCACATGCAAACACGTGTGAAAGTGAGTGGCCGATGCAGTGGGTAAATGACTGTCAAGACGGTACGAGATACGCCGGCGAAGAATGTTCAAACACTGCGAATTATATTCAGGGCCGTTTTCAAGCTTGCAAGCAATGTAACCAATTGAAACTAGGCCCGCGACTGCCTAAATATGCCCAATTTCTTGTGTCGCTAGAGGGATACACAAGCCCTAATAGGCCGGAAACTTGTTTTGTTCGAGCGGAAGGCCTTTTTTATTGAAAAGCAATTTGCACATGCTCTCGAACGGCGGCCGAAGTGAAAGTTACATCCCTGAGGTATGACACGGCGGCTGACTTTTCTCAGTTTGTCCTGAGGCAAGGTGTTGACCATTGCTCCATGCTCAAAAGATGTTCCCGTGGAAAACGGAGGATCTTCAGGCAACCCTTCGGTGTCCCTGCCAAGCACTACCAGGCAATATTGCAAACACGATCGTGCTTGGTTGCTTCGGGTCCTCGACTAGTATCTACAGCTCTAGATTGTGATACCATCGTTCTGTATTGTTCGGGTGGTCGTGACCTCCCGCAGACTCGAATGGCGAGTGATAACGCATAGACCTTCCGCTTGCACTGATCTCTCGGATTGACCCGATAAGCGCGTTTGCTATCTCGACACTCCAAAGAGGTCTCGCCTTCGACTTGTACCACTGGAGTCTGATATTGGGCTTACCATTGGACAACAGTATTTATTTGCCATAATTCTGCATAATCTGAAAGCTAGTGCTCTGGTGGCCATAGTCACATCCAGTATAGTCAATATGGAAGGTGCAGATGGGTCAAAGCATTTCGGTGGTGATTTACCGTCACAAGGTGAGTCGTGTCATGTGCCTGTCTCGAGCAGCATCCTGGATGGCAAAGGATGACTGACTTGAGCAGAGCAAAGTCCATCACTATTGACGATCATCCTGGACACCAATCCTGCGGCATGGGCGTTACTTCATCCAACCCTAACACTATCAAGCGCCATTGCAGACATCCTCGTTTTCATCAACGCCCACCTAGCGTGTAACTTTACAAACCAAATCGCCATTATAGCAAGCCATTGCGACAAGGCGCAATGGTTATATCCTACTTCAGCCGCACAAAAGCCACCTGGCCACAAACATGGGAGAGTAAGAACTACGCAGCACGAGACTGAGGATGAAGACGATGATGACGTTCAACCAGCAAGCAACAAGAGAGCAAAATTGAACGGCATCCCGAAGACCGACCATGGCCTTCCTTCAAGCATGAGTGAATCCGAGAGTAAAAAGTACCGTCCCTTCAGGATGATCGAAGAGGAATTCATCAAGAATCTCCAGAGCCTCATATCAGGTACTTCACCTGAAACCGTTCAACAGAAAACAAGTACCATGGTGGCAGGTGCTCTCACTCTTGCCCTCAGCTATATCAACCGCCGATCACAAGAATACCAAGAATCTATAACAGGTGTTTCCAGCAATCTAGCAGACCAAGCAGTTGCCGCGGGCTCAGATCCTCACGCCGACACTGCAAGTGTTCTGCAATCACGCATTCTCGTGATTACCTTGTCACCATCCACGGATCTTGCCCACCAGTATATTCCCATGATGAATGCCATCTTTGCCTGTCAAAGATTGAATATACCGATAGACGTTCTACAGTTACCATTACCCCCAGACCTGAAACAGCCTGGCGCCAATAACGTCTCAGACGCATCTACGAAGTCATCCCAGTCAAGCACAGTCTTTCTACAGCAAGCCAGCGACGCGACACACGGCATCTTTATCGCTGCGAGACTGGAACCTACGACAGACTCTAAATCGTCCTCGAGACAAACCGGCTCAAACGCTGGAGATGGCGACGCCACTTCTCTAGCTCGATACTCCATGCTTACCTATCTCCTCACCTCTCTGCTACCAACACCTACATCTCGTCTTCATCTTATTACTCCAACACGTGTAGATGTCGACTTTCGCGCAGCTTGCTTCTGCCATCGTAACGTCATCAGCACCGGCTTCGTGTGCAGTATCTGTCTCAGTATCTTCTGCGACCAAAGTCTTGAAATACTCAGTCAGGAAGGATGCATTACTTGCGGCACGAAACTGAGTGTGAGAGCAGAGGGAGTGGGTGGTTGGGGTGGTGGAAAGAGACCAATTGTTGTTGCACCGAAGAAGAAAAAGAAGAAGAAGGGTTTGGGAAGCGCGGTCGGGACACCACGTCCGGGGACACCAGCGTGAGCAGTCGGAAATGTAGCATGAGCTACAATAGAGCAACCCCATTTCAACATCGAATATTGCAGATTTCCAGTGCAAAGCCCGATCCACACAGCAGACCTCGACAAGTTACTCTACAGCCACATGGAAAACTTAGTCAACCCTCCCCACCTGCCGCCCTTCACCACCCTGACGACACCCACCCAAACCCTCCTCAGCACATCCCTCTAACAACACTTACCTCACCCCCGCCCAGCATTACTTCCCGTAAACGGATTCGGCCAATTCCACGGCCACGGAATCGGCGTCCCAGGAATCGGCTTAAACGCCCATCCAAACGGATTATTCTTCCTCCTATCCTCATCCGTCACCTGTCGCAAGATATGAATTTCACCAGGCTTTGCCGCAGATGAAGACGAAGACGCCTGCTCGATAATAGGTCCTACCTCGGCAGCTAGAGCAGCCAGCCGATCTAGCTCTGCTTGGGCTGGTGCTGGGTCATTGGCGTAGATCTCACCGGCTGAGAATGAGTCTTGTGGTTGGGGCTGTTGCTGCTGTTGTGTGAGACGGTCGAGTTCCTGTTGCACGGTTTTGGCGTAGTGGCTTAGGGCGATGCAGAGCTCGTAGGGACTGTGTGAGCGGGAGGGTTAGGGCTTAGTCTCAGAGTTGTGGAAGGGGGTTATGCTTGGTCACGTACCTATAGTGTTTCTGGATGACCGCTGCAAGCTGGGACTCTGCTGATGTGGACATACTGGATCACGCTGTTCAGTGATAGATACGAGCTCGAGACGGTTCCTCTAAAGATTATATATATATATATATATATTGTGAGGAAAGAAGGATCCCAATGGTGATGGTGGTCAACTCAGCGCCAAGGAACCTCAGCTGCGGGGAGTGTGCAGCCATGAAAAGTCAATAAAGATTATGCTTCGTTCTGGGTCTGTGAGATTGTAATTATCTAGGTTCTTAGGATAACGTTCATGCTCAATGCCACGTGGATGCCATCGTGAGGACCACAATGTTCGTCAAACACTCGGAGTTGACAGTCACATTACAGAACTTTTGGGGAAAGCTTAATTTCCGCTCATCGCAGTAGTCCTTACAACAAATGAAGAACAGCTGCGAACTCGGAGCCCCTCAATCCTTGCTGGCTCTCCGAGCTCTGCATTTACGCGCGCCTTGAGCGATGAGGCCGCTTTGACGGCTGCGCGACATCACGCACACCGGCTTCCGCTCGTCGGAATGCATCGATGCCAAGGCGAAAGAGTCTGTGTTGTGACCGAAGTAGAAGTAGATGCCGTGCTTGGTCTTCTTGACTGCGAGTATACCAATCGCGCCTTGGCAAGGACTGTTCTGAACACCAGGATGCTTCATAAAGTCGTTCTTGATCATCGAGTACAAGGCCTCGTCTTCTGTGCATGTTTCGAGCTGGCCTTGTGATCTCCTTGTACAAGAGAGTATCCGATCTGCGGCTGTCTGAGCGGCAGCTGTTGTGGCCATATGTTCGCCAGTTCCGCTTGTTACGGTTGCCACGCTTTGCTCATCAGGATCGTCTGGATCGGCTGGTATGACGGCAGTACTAGTACCGACTAACGCAGCAGGTCCACAGCGTCCTTTGTGCTTCATACCAATTCCTCCGGAAGAGGAGCCAGCAGCGATACGGCCGAAGCAGTCAATCGCTATAGCACCTACTGTATCAGTTATGTGGTCATCAGGTTCGGTCTGGGATTGACGAGGTCCATGTGCCTGGTCTTCGGAAGGAGGTCGGTACACTCTTTGATGTGGGCTAAGGGCGTTCATATCCGGATCGAAGATGGCGTCAGCCTCTTCATCATATGTCGAGCCATCCGTTCTTGGTCGCTTACGTGCTTGGGCCATGGCAGCCAGATGGTCGTCTGTACCTGCACCATCATCCTCAAAATACGCGTTGAGCTCTTTCGAGAACCTCATTGAAGGACCATCGGCCACGGCGTGTTTTGATACAACATGGCGTCTTGACTCAGGCTGATCACCATTCGTTGGCGTGACCGGCTGACTCATTGTTTTTGTTGTCGCTAGAGCTGGTGTAGCTGGAGCGGAGTGGAAGGATCTTTGGTTGGAAACACTCGCCTTTTCAGTTTGCTTACGTTCTTCGGCTTCAGCTTTCGTCAAATCTCTTCTCCATGTCTGCCATCGATGTCGAGCTGCTTCGGAAATTAGGAAGTCTTTAGGCAATATGTTGACACCGTGCGATTCGGCGAAATCGACGGCTCCATCACCAACCAGGAAGTTTGGAGGAACTCTGGAAAGTGACAAAGGTAATATGCTGGCATCGAGTACTAAGCGAGCAACGACAATCGGGTTTCTGACTTCTGCAAGGCTGTTAGTAGTAATCTTGAAGAAGATAGAATGGATGACTGACGAGTGATGGCTCCGACTGCACCACTTCTGCCGTAATGGTCGACGATACAAGCGTCGCATTCGACCGTGCCGTCCATGGTCAAATTGCTACCATAACCGGCATTGGTGATGTCTCGATCTTCTAGGAGTCGTATAGCCATTTCAACGGCCTCAATAGCGTCGCCTCCATTCTTTAGAATGGTCATGGCTACCTTGGCTGCATCATTACAAGCCTTAAGGTGATTTTTCTCGTTATTTGTGCTATGATAGCCCGCTCCAGCATGGACGTAAATTGCACACAGGTCGCCGCCTTCGACTGAACGCCGGAAGTGCATGTCTTCTCCATACATGAAGCTGTCCTGAGTTGATCCTGAGACGTCTTGTTGGTTGGCGTGCATCGATGTACTTGTTGTCTGTGGTCCCAGTTTCTACGCTCGTTGTGCTGCGAAGCGCTTTTGTAACCGGCGGAGATCAGCAAGATTGTTCATGGAGTTGGGCTTGATAGTATGCAAACAGCAGGACAGTGTTAGTAGCCAGGCATTATTTGGGAAAGATTGGACGGGTCACTTGGACCTCAAATTAATAATAAGAAGACAGACTGCAGTCAACGATAATGCTAGGCTAGCCAGCTGGAGTGAACGGCGAAGAGTGCTAATGATTTGCAGAGTCAATGTGATGATTGCACAGGCAAGAATGTTGACCTTGAGGGCAGGGAAGCATGTCGAGAGTGTTCACAATCGCTGGGAGTGGAAGTCGCGCGATCGAATCGTGCCTGCCTTTGCATAGTGACGCGAAACACTTGTTGCATTTACGCGTCCTTACTGCTCTTTTTGAAAGACCAGGCTTCGCGAAGGAAGGAGCAGTGAAGATTGACTAACGGAGCTCTTGCAGCACGTTTGTTGCCAAGAAAAGGCTACGGAGGCGCTCAGCGGATCAAGCATTCGTCACTGGTATTCGTATCCCACTCAGGCCGTCTTGGTACGAGCCGCCGCTGTCATACTGAGGAATAGTTGTGCCTGCCAATTCCCATACACTCAAGGCAGTACTTCTTGGTGAAGCTTGGAGTGAATCAGTACACGCTGCTGGAAGTCTTTGTCATGTATAGAGCACCCTAGAGAGATCAGACCATCCTCACTATACTTCCAGAACATCCACAGCAGCCGGTGTCTACTCAGCAACGATGACTTCCCAAACGCCGGCCGTTGTCATGGACAAGTAGGTACATATACTCCCGAACGCGATCTATATTGACCTTCTGTATAGCGGCACCGGGTTTTCAAAGCTCGGTTAGTCCGCCGACTGGCCCAACGTAATTTCAAGCTGACGGGTATAAGGATTCGCTGGCAACGATGCCCCCTCGTTTGTCTTCCCAACTGCGATTGCGACGAAGGGTGCGCAAGGCGGCGCAGGAGGCTCTGGTTCTGGCAGACCTGCGGTGGCCAACAAGCCTACCTTCTTGACTGGTGGCACAGGTGGAAATCTAGCAGGAAAACGTGGAACTGAAGACCTCGACTACTTTATTGGCGATGAGGCAATCGCAGCAGCAGCAGGACCTGGCTACGGTATACATTATCCTATCAGACATGGCCAGATCGAGAACTGGGATCATATGGAAAGATTTTGGGCAAACTCGATATTCAAATACCTGAGAGTAGAGCCAGAAGACCACTACTTTTTGCTTACTGAGCCGGTACGCTCACAGACTCGAGTGTAGAAGCATACTGACACAATTGCAGCCTCTGAACCCTCCCGAAAACCGAGAAAACACTGCCGAAATCATGTTCGAATCTTTCAATTGCGCTGGCCTCTACATTGCCGTGCAAGCAGTGCTCGCCCTTGCTGCATCGTGGACCTCCTCCAAAGTCACTGACCGCTCTTTGACAGGCACTGTCATAGATTCTGGTGATGGCGTTACGCATATCATTCCGGTCGCTGAAGGATACGTGATCGGTTCGTCTATAAAAAGCATACCTATTGCAGGGCGAGACATCACATATTTCGTGCAGAACCTTCTGAGAGAAAGAGGCGAAGCCGATAGTACTCTGAAGACTGCGGAAAGAGTCAAGGAGGAGTATTGTTACGTCTGTCCTGACATGGTAAAAGAGTTCGCGCGATACGACAGAGAACCTGACAGATTCCTTAAACACACAGTAACACATCCTAGCGGAAGAACAGTATCCATCGATGTGGGCTACGAACGCTTCCTTGCCCCAGAAATATTCTTCAACCCGGAAATATACTCTTCAGACTTCCTGACTCCACTCCCTACAGTGGTCGATGGCGTGATACAGCAGTCCCCTATCGACGTCCGAAGAGGCCTGTACAAAAACATCGTCTTGTCTGGTGGCTCAACACTCTATAAAGACTTCGGCAGGCGTTTACAAAGAGACATCAAACATCTAGTCGACGCTAGGATTCGCGCCTCGGAAGCAAGAAGTGGAGGTGCTCGCTCGGGAGGTCTAGAGGTTCAAGTCATCACACACAAGAGACAGAGGCATGGTCCATGGTTTGGTGGCAGTCTGCTCGGGCAAACACCAGAATTCCGAAGTTACTGCCACACCAAAGCCGAATATGATGAGATCGGTCCCAGTATTGTTAGAAGGTTCGCTCTGCTTGGTGGCCCAGGCAGTACATAGACAATCGATCACGTCTGAACTAGAAGTAAACCTTTCAGGCACCAGTACGCGATATCTCATATACGTCCACCTGCAGTCCTGATCTTCACATTGTCGGCCGAATGTCGCGATCTTTAACCACAGACAGGCCGAGCACGATCGATGCCAAGACGGTTCGCCTGGATCCGAGCTCGGCGTTGTTTTCTCTTGTCGAGCCGGCCAGTGATGAAGCTGCCAGTATCCTTGCTTGCTGCAGTAGCCACGAATAGCTTGCAGGATGCGTCAATCTTCACTAACCATTCGACGTTGGTGCAATTTATCTGTGCCTTGCATGGTCTCGGCAGCATTGAACAACTTTGCACGAGATGCTTGATGTCCCGCTCGTGGCATGCACTTGGTCTACAAGCTATCAGCAGCCACTCGACTTCGACAGATGCTTGCTAGCCTGCTGGCCCGGTTTACTGATGCCCTCTACGTAAGACCCGCTACTGGCAACGAAGCTGGCGTAGCGGTCATACGACAGCAGCCCGTTCCAACCCTGGTTTTCGCTCACAATGTGCGTGCATTAGACCTCAATGTTACCCAGATTTGACGTCGTTTGGTGCAGCGCTTCCTGCAAGCTAGCTAGTCAGGTCTTGTTATTAGGTACCAAGTACCTCTTCGACGAAGAGAACACGAAAAGGAAGAGTCAACTAATGCACTCACTGTACAGTATCCATTCGCAAGCTTTGAGCTGTGTATTACATTGTTAACGTGGTCCGCTGCCTCTTTGCTTCATTTTCGTTCCTAATACCACAACGACCGCTGACATGCTATCACTAATCTCTTCAGTCATCCTCTATGTGACAGTCGCCAAAGCCTACTACAGTGGAGGGCCAATCTGGGGCAATAACTTTGGTGTTCCAGGCCGAAATGCTTCCTACGACTATGTCATCGTTGGTGGTGGAACAGCTGGCCTCGCCTTAGCAGCTCGCCTTGCTGAGGATACGTCCCTGACTGTGGCAGTGATCGAAGCTGGGGGATTCTACGAAGAAGACTTTGGAAACAATTCTGTTGTGCCGGGTCTAGGTCTAATATACGACTTACCGACTACACTTTTCACCAATGCCTTTCCAGCAGTGGACTGGGGGCTCGAAACCACTCCTCAAGACGGTCTTAATAACCAGACATATCATTATTGGCGTGGTAGAACGCTTGGTGGCACGTAAGTCAATTTGTTGCTTACTGTTTACGCTTTTGCTCATATCCTGCAGCTCAGCTTTGAACAATGAAATTTATCAGAGAGGGACCATAGGTAGCTATCAGTTGTGGGCTGAAGAGGTTGACGACTCCAGCTACACATGGGACGAGTGGTTGCCATATTTTCAAAGATCAGTCCATTATTGGTCTCCAGATATGACAAGACGACCTGCAAACGCCTCAGTCCCCTCGCCCTCACCTGAAGCCTTTATTGAGTCGGGCGGTCCAGTCGAGGTTGGCTATATCAACTTTCCGGTGCCATTCGGATCCTGGGCTAAACTTGCCTTTCAAGAGCTTGGCTTCTTCAACTTGACTGACAACGATTCGGGTATTCTATCAGGAGGAGCACAATACGTAACACAGACCATCGCACCAGACATGACACGATCTTCCTCACAATCTTCCTTCTTATCCCAGGCGCTCGCCTCGAACAGACAGAATCTGATCGTCTATCCTCGTACTCTGGCCAAACGCATTGTGTTCGACGCGAATCTGACAGCAACCGGAGTTCAGGTCACCAGTTATCAGATACCATATACAATCTCAGCGAGCAAGGAAGTCATAGTGAGCGGGGGTACAGTTCATTCGCCGCAACTCTTGATGGTCTCAGGCATCGGACCAGCTTCCATCCTACAGGCTCAATCTGTACCAGTACTCGTTGATCTACCTGGAGTCGGACAGAACCTCTGGGACCACATGCTGTTCACCTTAACATATCAAGTGAGAACACAAGGTCTCGGTCGACTACGCGACCCGGTCTACTTCGCACAAGCTGTCGAGAACTACGTCACAAACCGAACGGGACAATTGGCAAACACAGGCTTTGACTTCGTAGCATGGGAGAAGCTACCGAATCGAACAGCCCTTGGCGCAGCAGCAGAAAGGGACCTGGACTATTTCCCATCCGACTGGCCAGAATTGGAATTCATCATCGGCGACGCATCGAATCCTGCCGATACAGCAGACTACGCTTCGTGCATCGGCGGTCTCGTCGCGCCATTATCTCGAGGTTTCGTCTCGATCGCCAGCAACGATACCTCAGTCCTACCGATTTTCTCACCGAATTGGCTTACGCACCTGACCGATCAGCGCGTTGCTATCGAGTCGTTCAAGCGGTGCAGAACGTTCTTCGAGACAGCAGCGCTTGAGCCCGTACTTGTTGGAGAGGAATTTGTGCCTGGGTTGAACATCACCACGGATGAGCAGATCTTGGCGTATATTCAGCAGAGTGCTACGACGATCTATCATGCTTCTGGGACGTGTAAGATGGGGAATAGCACTGATCCGATGGCTGTGCTGGATTCCCAGGCACGTGTCAAGGGTGTGAGGAACTTGAGGGTGGTGGATGCGAGTAGTTTTCCTATCCTGCCACCTGGACATCCTACCGCGACGCTTTATGCGTTAGCTGAGAAGATTGCGGCGGAGATGTTGGCAGCTTTGTAGAGAGAAGTGGGATACAAAGTGAAGTCTCCTTGAAGTCTATGCTGACATCAGGTATCACAACAACAGATAACGAACGTTTTATTTCGACGGTAAGATCGTCATGAAGCACGTTCCGAAAACAGTCGTATGCGAGTTTCTTATTGAGGTGGATACAGAGTGATCAATCCAAACAGCTCATTGTTGAGATCTATCAACCTGCAAGCACAAAGTATTGGTTGAGGGTAAGTGATGACCAGGCTGTCCTTCACTTTGCGATCTCGTAGTAAATGTGAGCAAAGAATGAAGAAAGAGTCTTGTTTCAAAAATATGTCGACTTTCATACTCATGGTCGTTCCTTTCCATCCCATTTTACTACCACACTCCTTGACTTGAAGATACAACTCACCACAATAAACACAAATAGAGTCTACCACTTATCACTCGAATCCTTCTGCTCCCAGCAAAATGGAGCTCAAGCACGTCTTCAAAGGTGTACTTCTGACCGTCGTCTTTACTTTCAACCTCTTCTCTCCAGCCATCGTTGCTCTGCCAGTCGCTCCCGCGATGGACAACACCGCTGTCGACCAACCCAACGAAAACCTTCAAGCAACTGAAACTTCCAAACCACCCACCGGTACTGTTGCCGAGGAGAGTGGCGATCCTCCTCAAGTTCCAGCAGTTCCACCAGTGAATCCACCAAAACCTCCTACTACAACAACTGCCAAGCCAAGCACTGGCGTGTACGGTACCAACCATGGCTATGCAATGGTCTGTGCCGGTACACGAGAGCACACAGACTACTGTCAACGATTGCCTCGAGGCTACTATTGCAGCAGCAACGGCTACCTTGCACAAAACGCCCTTGCCAATGCTAGATACCAGCCTTGCGAGGATCAGTGCGAATGTCTCAACATCAACCCTCGACCAAACTGCTTCCTCGCCTGGGGTGACACCACGACTTGTTTCTGATTTAGAGGTCACGCCAGAAGAGAACACTCTTAGGAACAAGGTCCTGAAATACCAAATCCAGTGCGTTGGTGGAAGAGAATCATTAGACTTGACAAATAGACGAGTATGGTGTTCAAAAACATCGGTAGACAGAAGCTGCTATGGTCTCAGTACGACCAGCAGGCAATTTCTCAGGGAATAGACTGGTTGTCTAATCAGTACCATAGAGGAGTGAACACAGTACCAGTATAAATTGACACAAAAGCGGTGTGATGTTGTCGTTGACTTGCTCCTCTTTCACTCGTAACATACTGAAACAGTCAAAACTGTCGGTCGAGTGCAAACAGTTCAGAAGGCTGCAGTACTCTTCGACTTGTTGACTTTCCCGAATCTTTCATCACTGACACTGATTTACAGAGAAACGGATGATCAACAGGGCGTACCCGAGATGAGGTCCAATGACTGTTGTGCCCAGCCTGCGTGTCGACTGGCCAGTTCTATGTCAAATCGTGATGTTACAAGAAATACTCTCCGACTGGCTTCTTAGCTGGCATGCCCCTCGTACCTTGTGGTGCAGCCTCGAAGACCCTGTACCGTCTACCAGGGGTGGCAAGATTCCACATTACCGCGCTTGTACCTGTGTTGTTACCATTTGTAGTTTCGCCATCACCAACGACATTTCTACTACCGTGCTGTTCAGCACCGACCATTTCTCTTCTACCTTCAGTGCCGCCAACTCGGCGTACAGAACCACCATTTGACGCGTCTTCGCCAATTTCCATTACGGCGGCAACATTGCCACATCTGTAACAGTAGTTTGGCGCGCTCCACACAGTGACTATCTGTTTCTCGAACATTTCCTTGTAGCCCTCCATGACTAGCTGATGCGCTCTCGCGACCATACTTATATCGTTCTGATGATTGAATTTGCGGACAACGTCTGCACCGAACAGAAAACCTGCTCCACGTGGAGATAGTCCCCAGCCTTCGATGTCGTCTGGATCACTCCATAGCAGGTCGCACATGGCGCCTTCGTGAGGTACTTCTTGTTTGCGGTCCAGGAGGCGAATCTGATTTATGTTGTCTATCAGTGGTGAGAGACCGCCATGCACACATAAGAGGGCGCCAGTCGTGGTAGATGGTGGTCTGAATAGGGAAGGCGGCGATTGTACCGCGGGCTGACCAGGTGACGGTATCACTTCTGTGAGAGGTGATGATGGCGGTTCTTCTGGATCTCGATCCGGCGCGGACGATATACGAGAAGTCATGCTTGGACTAGGCGCCGAAAGATTGAATTGTCTGCGCAACATCTTATCACGAACTTCTCCACTCGCATCAAGGACTTCGCACTCTATCTCGCCTTCCGGTATCTGCAACGTCGATTGCGTGTCATGGTTTTGCTGTTGTATCCTATTTTCCGGCACTTCTGTACTTGCGCCCAACACCAAAGCACCTAGAGCGAGGTAATCAAAAACCTCACAGCAATACCTCCAGACATTCGCCGAGCCATATTTACGTACACACTCGTCGTAAAAGCCGTAAACCGTCGTTATCTGCCTCGATTCGTGATTTCCTCTTATCAATGTCACCCTATCAGGATACCGCACTTTCAAACACAGCAACAGTAGAAAACTTTCCAGACTGTAGAATCCACGATCCACGAAATCGCCCATGAACAGGTAACTTGTGTCAGGCACGTCTCCTGCCACGCGAAACAGTTCCATTAGGTCGTGGAATTGACCGTGTATATCTCCGCATATTGTGACTGGCGCATCGACCGTTACGACGTTTGATTCTTCGATGAGGAGTTCTCGTGCTCGGTAGCATAGCTCGCGGACTTGTGGTTCGGGGATGGGACGACATGCGCGGAGCTGTGCGATTGCATGGTCGAGGTCGGACATGCTGCTTCGCTTCGAACAATAAGGTTCGTTCGCGACCTAGCTGTTGTGCAGACAGCTACTGCTCAACCTGTCTAATTGGGCGCCTGGTGGATTTAGGTCGCGTGCGATACGTGAATGTATTGGGTTGGTTGTGCTTGCTGGTGTTGTGAGCCAGCTGGCAGGTGCGTACAAGCGAACGAGCTAGACAGTTTTGGAGCGTTCCTATATACAAAAGAGCTTTGAATCAGGATGTATGTCCATGGCCATATCTCTGGCATGATCAATTGGCCACAACCGCCAGCGGTCAGTGCGACACGACTTTAGATCAGATAAGATTAGATGCCGAAAGCTTCTTGTTGCGCTAGTGTTTGGGAGTCTTCACCGGATTTATGGAAAGACCCATCGAAAACTCCAGCAGCTATCCAGCAGCTCATCTACAACATCCCTGGGCTACCAGAGGAGACATTTACAGTTCTTTGGAATCCATGTGTTGTGGTACAAAGATCTATCAACCAATCATATAAACCATACGACTTGTATCATGGTCGACAAGGAGCGCAACAACTCTTTGCATTGGTTTCGTTGTCGAAGATGCTAAAGAAAGTGCCTCGATCATCTCCAGTCACCCAGACATGTTTCTTTGGTTATTTGGTACTTGTCATTTCTCAGCGCAAAGATTTGGAGGCACTTCTGGTTCGTGATGCACATGGTTAATCAAGGCCGAAACTTCGAAGAATCGTGCCCATGCCGAGCTGCAAGGTGTCGTCAGATTGTCCAGCATCCCCAAAACTATCGCACCTCAAAGCTGAAAGCGACACTGCATGCAAGAAATCCATGCACGTAAGGAAGTTCTTGGCGCATATGTTACATCGATTGAGGCTATCCATTGGTTACAGGACTGCTGCAATTGTGCAGTTTCGAGTCCTTGCACCTTGATCGTGCAAGCTTCAAAGCATGTTTCTGTAAGCATCCTCTTCCCAATACGCAAGGCAGTCTGACACTTCCGGATCTGATCTGATCTCATGACCTCTGTCGCATCTCCTCTTAATGTAAGTACATTGTTACTTCTGCGCCTTCAAGGTCGTTGATAGTTCCTAATCATGGCTGTCTGCGTGCTGAGGAAGATTATCCTGCTTACTTCTCTTTTAGTAGTTCAGATAAGCGCTCAATGCGCTACAAACCAGAACCCGTCTTGTGCCGGAAATGCCCAGTTTGAACAACTCTGCTGCAACTCACCCTCGGTCTGTTACTGGTCAAACCGCAACGGTGATCCTGCATGTTGCGCCGCTGGAGTAGACTGTAGAGGTGACGGCGGACCAGTGTTAGTCATCGGCAATACACCTGCTGTGGTTACTCAAGTTCAATCCTTGACAACATACTACTCAACGAGCGTGTATACCAAGACATCGCAATACACAGGTCCATCATGGGTGACAGTGACGACCACAGCTCCACTTACGACGTACAGTCAGCCACAAATCACAACTTTTGAGACGGTTGCTCCACCAGTCGTTGTGGTAGTAACGGCCTCGTCGCCTGTTGTGGCTACCCTTGCAGCAAGCCCTACCGGGGCGTATATCACAGTCACGCAGGTGCAGGTCGTGGCCGAGGCGAGGAGATCTGTCGAAGCTATTCAAGCCTTTTTCAGAGCAGCTCTCTTTGCTGGATTGAGTGCAGCATTCCTTTTTGCGTGGACTTGAATGGCTCTCCTCGATCGTTTCGCTGGCCTGCACTAGCCTTGCGGAAGAGCAGACAAAGGGAACACTCTGGTCGATCACGTCCCAGCTACGTTAAAGGAACAGCATTTCACTTGCAGCACAACCTTCAGGCAAGCGATCGTGGCCAAATCCACGACTAATGAATCATATGCCTACAGGCTTATTAGTCGCGATATCGACGACGAACTAGACCCTTATTAGTTGATGATTATGGGTTGAACGTTGCTCCCGTCAAATACGGCATCTGAACACGACAGTGGTTGGGACAAAAACCATAAGCAAGGTCATTTTTGAATGTTGTATGCCTACATTGAGATCAATCCAAATAGGCATAAGTTCTCGGATGTGCATTGATCGTGAACCAGCCGAAGTACACAACCTAAGAATTACGCCGAAATACCTCGCAATACTAAGCGTGCCAATCACGCTCTCAAAGTCAAACAAGTGAGTCCCTGCAACGAGAAAAAGCAACGCGTAGGATGCAGCAAGCACTCAAACACAACCACTATGTGCATCAAGCCGTCCAAGCTCAAGATGGCTCTTGTCGAGGCTGGTCATTAACCAATCTGCCAACGAGAACTTTCCCAAGTCCTTGATAACTCGAAGGCCCAAGGGGCCATAAATTTGACGAGAGGGTGAAAGCAATGTCGCAGTGCTTTAGATCGTTGAGTTTGGCGATCTGAGATGACTTCGAGTGTCTCAGAGGAGCATGAATCATCCCATGTAGTCTATAACAGACAATAAAACAGCAAAATCTTCATGGATAAATCATCAAAAACATACGCTTACGAGGAGCAATGCTACATAAAATACATACCTCGTACACGTCATACGTATCTAGTTGACCTCTAGTAATGCAGACCTTCGCGCCATTACTCCTTGCAGCAAGCAAACATGACTTTTATCCCATCAACACCATGCCTCCCTTGTGATAGATATGCAAAATGCCAAATCCAGCTCCACTTATGACTCCTCCCAATCGTGGTTGTTTAAGATGTGGCTTCCTCCTCCTCAATGCTCTTCGGCACATTCACCACCGTCGGTTTAACAACACTATTAAAATTCCTCATTGCATTCCTTATCGGACTATCAGGCAAATCATCATTCCACCGATCCTCCACCCTCCTAATCTTCATCTTCTCACCCTCTCCTTCCGTAAAGATCTTAACTTTACTATCCACTGTTTGTGACGCCCCCACACCCTTGACCGTATACCGCGTCTTCAAATCCAACTCTATCGGGTTCCCACCAGACGTGACCCGACCGTTCAATCGCTCGATATTACTATACGCAGTCCGTAGACCATAGAACTGTGGTTCGAATTGTTTGCGGCCTTGAGCTGTCGTGAGTGGATCGACGTAGGTTGCGTCGTCTGTCCAGAGGCTGAGTTTGCGAAGGGATGGGCGGCCGGTGAAGAGGTCTAGGATTGAGCCTGTGATTATCTTTTGGGGATCGGAGAGGGAGACGGATGGGGCGGTGGGCACGGTTGTGGTTGAGATTTTGTATTCTGAGAAGGATGTTGCGGTTGACATGACGCTTGTGCCGCCGACATCTTGGTCTTGTGGTGGTTTTTGTTGTTGCTGCTGTGGCTGTTGTTGAGGCGTCTGTGGTGAGGAGCGGAATTGTCGAAGGGTTTGTGATTGGGGTGGAGAGGTGGGTAGTGAGCGGGAGGACGTCGAGGAAATGGCTCTTGGGAAGGTCTCGAAGATGGTTGGCGGTATGTGTGTTCGTACTGACTGCATCTTGGATGATCGTGCCAGGAAGGACGGCAGTAGAAGGGACAATGTCGAGATGCGATGAGAGCTTGTACCTCAGATGTGGTACATCCAACGATAGCTCGAGTCTATGATGCAGCAGGTACCGCACCCAATTTTTTTTTAGTTCTTTTGGATTAGCGATGCGTCACAACTGCGACAGGCCCAGTGTTGTGTACGTTCGTTCGTGACCAAGGTAACTCCGCTAGACAAGATACAAAAATGGCACAACAGTCTGGAAAAGAGATGGAAGATCGAGTAATGATGTGTTTTTCGTGATGCCAAAATCAAAAAATCGTGGCGATGTCATCGATGAACCAAAAATGTGAGATCGCCAGCCAGTGGAGTTTCCCCAGATTGTGGCTGCGATCGAGGTGGAAAACGGTGGAATTAGTTCCGAGCCACAACTTCCATGTAAACTCATTGCAATATTGTACAAACTATTCGCGAGCCAGTGTGAGCAGCTAACGTCAATGCCTATCTTCGCCTGCACCGCTTTTGTCGTTGCTGCTATCTGCCCAGTTCAGTCTGCCTTTGCTCGTACGCATCTTGCCCTTGGCCTCGACTATTGGACTAATCCATGCATCATCCACTGTTCCTCCAATCAACTTGTCGCCCTTTCTCAAATATGTTGTTGCGCCCAACCGTGTAGGCTGAAAGTTTATAGAGACAGATTCCCAACGGCTTCGAGGTGCTTCGAACACCTCGTGCGAAATACCAATATGCTTCAGTCCGTCACTGTCCTTGTAGGCCGTCTGGTCCCACCATTTCCACGTCTCAAGATGCAGCGATGATTGTGAATACTTATGCACGTCATCAATACTTCTCCAATAGCTCAGCAGCATGAGCTCTGATGCGCCTCTTTTGTCAACCGAATGCCATTGGGATTGGCCTAAGAAGCCATTGTTCGGTGCCTGAGCATCCAGATCACGACCCATCTTCATTGCAAAATCGCCAACCTCTTTGGCGTATGGTGAGAAGAAACCCAAGGGATGATTGAGCTTGACACAGAGCAGCAAGACTGCGACTTTCTGATCGGCTGGAGTATTGGACATATTGCCGTCCTCGTCAGGGATGACAGGTGCCGATCGCTGGAAAACGACGTCTTCGAGATAGGGATTGGGACGAAACTTGAACGTGATCGCCAAGGTATCTGCAAAGCGTGCTATGAGGACAAGGACAGTCGGGAGCAATGTCCATACTCGAGGCACAGCCAGGACCAGTAAACCCTGAAGCAGAGCTCCTGTTAGAAGGATCGTGGAACTAGCGAAGTTTCGGGTGATGAGGTTGTTGAGTTGGATCTGTGTCTTCGAGTCGTATATTTGTGACAGTGGTCTTGTTAACGTAGGTGTAGGAGGTAAAATGGATTTGAAGGCCATGATCGTAGCTATATATCAGGGCTAACCTTGAATATAGAGGAATCACAAGCAAGGATGGATGAAGCGGTTCGCTCAGCAAGATGTACTCCTGTTTGATGATGGTATAGCCAACAATATTGCTTTGTAGCAGAAGCAGTACAATATGTCGATTTTTCCAGATAATGGGGAGGACAGCTACTATATGTATAAAAGGCACCTTGCGAAGAATGAACACACGGAGCGTTTCATTTCAGCGTAATGAGTGAAGCTCGAACACCGAGGCTGCAACCATTCCGTGACAGATCATTGGCGACGCTGAGATACGGCCGAAGGAGTGCAGCTTCGAGTAAAGCGTAAACCGCGGACACCGCTACGTTGCTCCGGTCTGTAAAGAGCTCACGCAACATCGTCGTCTCGGGCGTTGCTTCACGTACAGCAGACGCGATGCGAGTCTCAGCGGTCTCAACACATATACTCTCAAGGCAGAGACCATGTCGAGGATGGTTGATCTGAGAAGAAGATTGTCCGTCCCCACCTGCCACGTGCGAATGAGGGAGGGAGGAGGAACCACCCACCATGTGACGTCGTGTTTGGTGCCTGCACCAAATGGAATCGTTCCTTCTAAAACGCTGGTGCATACATTCTCGAACCAGAGGACGCGACAATAGAAGAAATCAATATTGCCAGGATTGTTGTGTCCTTGTTGCTGACCGTTCTCCTTCCAAGGACTGACTCGTGACGCAGCCAGTTTGCAACCGAAGCCTCAAAGCCTGCGTAATGGATAGACCTTCGGAATCAGATGCTTACCCTTTGCACACAGCCGCTCGCCTGACACAAACTCAAGTACTCGAATCTCTCCTATCAACGAGTCCTAAGCTAACCCTCAAAGCCGATGAAGATGGACGTCTACCTCTACATTGGGCCTGCACAACAGCCTCTTTACCAACCATAACCGCTATACTTGATGCTACTCCGAAACGTGGCTTCGACCCTGATGTCCAAGACAGTTCTGGCTGGACTCCTCTCATGATCGCCTCAAGTCTACGTGACGACGCTGGCTTGCCTACGATAAACCTACTTCTTGCACGGGATGCGGAGGTGAAGATTGCAAGCAATACAGGTGGCACCGCCCTACATTTCGCGACAAGCAAACAGAACATAGATACTGTGAAGAGATTGTTGGATGCTGGCGCGACGGCACGAGTCAAAGACAAGAGAGGCCAACTACCTTTACATCGCGCTGCTGCTGTAGGGAATGTACCGCTTGTCAAGCTGTTACTTGAGAGAGGAAAAAGTCCAGTGGATGCGACAGATGTTGACGGCTTGACAGCACTGCACCATGCAATCAGCGAGGGTCACGGCGTTGTTGCGGTGGAATTGCTAAAACACGGCGCCGATTCCAGCAAAAAAGACGGAGACGATCGTTTGGCTATTGACTGTGCACCTGATGCCACAGTCAGGTCCTATATACTGCGTCATGCAGAGATGGAGGGCATCGATGTGATTGAGAGTTGAGGCGCAGCTAATGTCTACAAAAGATAGTGTGATGGTCTACCAGTACGACAAGGTGGTTAAGGATTTCATGCAGTCTTGAAGAAGATACCCAATTTCGAATTCAGTCGTCCGACGTTAGGACCAGGGTCAGTTGTGGCATGGATTAGAGCCTTCATACGACCTTTGCCTGCACCGGCGTTCGTTTGGGTTGGCAAGTTTACTTCGATCTGAACGTATATGAGATCGTCAGCAGCAATTACGTCCTCTCCACGATCATCTAGATCTACTGCTGTCTATACTGTCTCTTAACTCAAGAAGATCGTCTGCGCCATCGTCCACAAGCAGATTCTCCGCCTCTTCCGCTCCTTCTTGCGTCTGATCCAGACCGATTGTCCCGCCAGGCTTCTCGCCCTCTTCTCTCCTACCAATGACCACGTTACCTGCTGCTAGTAAAGCAGCACCGACCCACCACAGCAGTGGCAGTTTCTCACTGAAAATTATAGCACCTAATATTGCAGTAATGAAGAAATTACTCGACACATTGACAATACTGACACGAGTTGTCGAACTCGATCGTGTCAGTGCCGCAGTGAACAAAGCCCACATGGCAATATTAAACACAATATTCAGTCCAAAAAAGGTGCCTCGTAGAGCAAGGTTGACATAGGTATTATCTTCGGCGAGTCCGAACAGGGAAGCGATGCTGGATGCAAACGTCGACGTCAATGCGGTAGTAGTTCTTCAGTACGTATTAGCATGCGACTTTGTTCAGCAGTCCAAATTGCCTACAGTTTCGCAAAAACACCATTGATGGCTGCGCATGTCCCCGATGCCACTGCGAGAATAATCCATACTGGCTGCCTTCGTAACCAGTCCATATTGCTAGTCCAGCTTTTTGTACTGGGTGCGCCCTTCACTGCAGGTACTGTCTTCGCTTGAGACTTCTTGGTCCCGGGCTTGCGATGAGTGACTGGCATGGTAGCAGCATATCTGCTTCCACTCACTGTTCGTTTGATGACTGGACTCCCACCAGAAGATCCACATCGACCCCTGCTCAAAAGCATGTATCGCGTCTCAGGCCGCAAGGCAATTACTTGGGCTATTGCCTCTGGTCAGACAAACTTCCTCCGACCTCTCTAGCAACTACACACTATATCTCAGTCCTCGTTGGAGCACCTCTCCGCTTAAGAGTCGACGCCCATTGACGTGTAGCGGAGAATGATCCGCATTTCTGTGTTGTAACGTGCCTTTTTATGTTCAATCTGTGCACCGACCCTCTGGAATGTAACGATTCTATCCAACCACTCGTACATGTGCTGAAAGTGTCTTATCAGCTCGTGTGCGTCCCGCACTGAAGTACGAGAAAGAAATGGCGAGCATAGATGTTCTGCATACAAGAAAATGTTTCTATATCGGTGGAGAGCTCCAACATGGTGGCCCACGAGTACTCTCATACTGACTTTGAGACCAGCTCTATACTGACAGCCGCAGGCTTCGACAGACACAGCGAAAGTCTGTATAGGACAAATATACGTTGAAGAACTCCGGCCAGCCGTTGCATCCCAGGCCCGTCCTATCGTCTTCTGGCCAGGCACAGGCTCGACAGGTGCATGTTGGGTCACCAAACCTGATGGCGAACCTGGTTGGGCTTCTTACTTCTTGCAACAAGGCTACACAGTATATTTGGTTGACCCACCGGAGCGTGGTCGCTCTCAAGCACTCCCAAATACTGGCCGATTCGTCACCATTGACAACGAATATGCTGAAAAGTTCTGGACCGCGACAGCTAGTAATGGCGATCTATGGCCGTTCTCCAGGCTACACTCTCAGTGGCCCGGTAGTGGGAAACTCGGCGATTCAGTCTTTGACCAGTTCCTAGCTAGCCAGGTACAGAGTCGAGCTGATTACATGATCGCAGAAACACTGGCTCAAAAGGCTGGAGCACGTCTGCTCGAGAAGATTGGTCCTTCAATTCTAGTAACTCACAGTTCTGGTGCCAGTCCTGGCTGGCTGATAGCTGATGCTGTACCACATCTAGTAAAGGCCATCGTCGCTCTAGAACCACTCGGTAAATTCACGGTTCCTATTCTTGCAACCAAATCTGATCTCACCAGGAGCACCCTTCGTCAATCGCATCGCATCAGCCGTAACTCAAACAGATACAAACAAGCACGTCCGACCCTACGGAATAACCACAGCACCAATCGCCTACGACCCACCACTCCCCTCACCAGACCATCTCGGTATAGAAACAATACCTTCTACAAACCCCACAATCTCCGATGTCCTGCTACAAGACAGCGATCCCCCTCGCAAACTCATCAACCTCACGAAAATTCCAGTCGCGATTTTGACGGGCGAATCTGGCTACCATTCATACTACGACCACGCCACTGTCGCGTACATGGCACAGGCAGGCGTGAATGTTGAGCACTTGGTCCTGTCGGAGAAAGGCATAACAGGGAATGGACATTTTATGTTTTTGGAGAAGAACAGTGATCAGATAGCTGAGCTTGTCCACCAGTGGTTGGTTACAGCCTGTGCCTAGTAGAGACAAGCATGAGAGTGTAGAAGTGTGAAGTCTCATCTCGGAGATTTCTCTAATCATCCTACTGAGCCATTTTAATTGCTCCTCATTACAAAGCTCTTGCCTTCTTTACCCTTGCCAAGGCTTGGATGATAGGTCACCAACTAGAAGATCACTATCATGATCTGTAAGGTATTCTATCGCGGGGCTTGTCTCAGTTACTACCAACATCTATGCACGGTTCTGGTCAAGATCGAGCTCGGAATGTAATCTCAGATCCATCAGATTTGATTTTCCGTTCTGAGCAAAAGCATCACGAATGTTAGCGTAGAAAGGCCACAGCTGTAAGATTCCTCCCCACTACTTTCAAGGAGCGAGGAAATTTCGACAATAAGAGTAATGTTTCTAAAACCATTCAGATTCTATATAACCGTTGTCTAGACCTATCCTCCGATTTCGTCGTGAATTACCCATGTCGCAATACCATCAATCATTAATCTTCTCTTTGTCGTTCCTCCTCTATCATTTCCCAACCTTTCCATGTTGATCTATCCGTATTCGGCTCTATTTCATCGATTGAGTTTCGTATTAGTGCGTTCGCTGTCGTCAGGTCTCTGTATCGTGTTTTCGTGAATCGTTGAATGTATTTTCGTTTTCGTTCTCGCGTGTCTCACGGCTAGCATGTTCGTTGGTTGATCAAATGAGTGACGTTTCTTCGTTCAATCTGCCTGCTATTGGGGGGAAAAGGGTGGAGGAGAGGGATAAGTTAGTACGTGGTCAGTAAGGGGTAGTACTTATCGTTGGTAAGCAGACTATGCTCAAAGGGAGCAACAGACTGAAAATATTATGGATGTCGAGCCTCTAAGCAGCACGGGCGTATCTCATAAATCTCAACGCAGCACTTGTGGTAGTAGAAGTGGTGAGGGTACTGGTGACGGTAGTGGTAGTGGTTAACTTCGCAGCGAGGGCAGCATTACGTGAAGAGGTGATGGAGGCATAAGAAGCAGCTCGCTCAGACGAAATACGAGCATTTTCAGATGCGCGGGAGGCGGCTGCTGCCAATCGACTGGATGTTACCGAGACAGCAGCAGCGGTACGTGAGGAGCTGACGGAAGCCCTGCTGATCTCTGCAAGCTGGATGCTGGTTGACTTCGAGGCGTTGACGGAAGCAGCAGAAGCTGCTTTGGAAGCAAGCACCGATTGACGAGATGCCGAGATGGCTGAGTTGGCTGCTGCTCGTGACAAGGAAACAGAGGCTTTGCTTGCTGCGACAGCGGCGGAGGCAGACTCCTTCGAGGCTGAGACCGCAAGCTGAGATTCGAGGCGGACTTGACTGGCTAGTGCTCTCGACGATGTTACAGAGAGTCGGCTTTCCGCTGCAGCTAATGAGGCTGATGCCTTAGAAGCACTGACAGACGCTCGGAAGGATTCCCGTGAGGCAGTGAACTCTGCGCCAATCTGGGATGCCAAAATTCTGCTTGAGGTCTTGGAAGCAGCCACGCTGGCTCTGCTCAGGCTGATGGCTGCGTTGGCTGATGCTCGTGATTCGGAAACCGAGGCTCGACTGATTGCGGCAAGGTCAAGCGTGCTAGTGGTAGTGGTCGTTGTCGTTGCTTCAGTCGTAGTCGTTGTCTCCTCAGTCGTCGTGGTAGTTGTCGTCTCCTCAGTCGTGGTAGTGGTCGTTGTCTCCTCAGTCGTGCTAGTCGTTGTCGTCGCCTCAGTAGTGGTGGTAGTGGTGGTAGTACCCTCATCTCCTGGAGGAGCAGCAATCTGCTTGCGGGCACCATTGTACTCAGCATTCGGGGCGGGAGCTCTGCTCACACCACTATGTGTGTAGCAAGTGGTTCCAGGTGGGAAGTACGACAAGCCTACGCATTCGTCGTTGGTAGCACAGGCCTGAACACATTGTTCGAAGGAGATGCTGGTGATAACTTGCAGATTGGTATTAGCCTCATTGTCGACTGTGAAACCACAGTAGATCTCCATGTCATCGTTACTGCCAGCGAGGGTGCCAGAAGGCACAGGATTTGCCCCACAGAGAGCTGGGATGGTGCGATGGTACATGCTGAGTCTGTTTTCGGAACCACAAATCTCAGTTTCGTCTCCTGTGCACTCAGTAATGCATTCGGCATTCCCTCCTGGTGCTACGGTAGATGCAGGATTGATCGCATTACCACACCAGCACTGTGTTATGTCAGATTTGTTCGCGACGGAATGTTGTGAACCATACCTCAGTACCAAACTCCATGCCAGCATACTCATATAGTACACCACAAGAATCGATGCAGTTCTCGATAGTGTTGTTTTGGGCGCCACCAGGGATTTGGCCAAGGTTCGGCAAGGCTCGGAACTCAGTATTGCCATCGATATAGCAGCCCTCATACGCAAAGTCGTTGTATGGCTGGGCCAGATTGGTTGGAGTCTGGGCCAAAGCCAGCTTGGCTGACAATGCCGCGAAGGCGATCAGAGTGAGTCTGGAGGCAGCCATGTTGTCGTTTGCGGAGTGTTGTCAGGTGTGTCAGGTTGTGCTGAGTGTGCTGCTCTGGAAGCGGATGATCGAAAGCGGGCATCGTCGTGCAATTATGTATGCGTTGAGTGCGTGGCTGGTGATCAAACGATCTAATCTGGTAGCATAGGTGTATCGGTGAAGAATGCCGGTTGTACATACCGTTGCGCAGCTGCTGAAATGAGGGACGCATGGACCATACCTGCCATGCAAATATCACCTTTTGGTCCAATTTTGTCACTTCGCACTTGGACGGCCTCAATTTAAGATCTGACCACGCTCCACCCTCAGAATGCGCTACATCAAGCTTCACCCAATGTCCAAGCTCAGTCCTATCAGGTTCGAGAACACTTGTTCTCGCGAACGTATCGAGAGTAAAGTTTCCATTTCTGAACGCAGGAGATCTATTTCTGTTAACCCTTCACTGTGAGCACTGTTTGCATAGCTCAAAAATTGTCAAAAGGGCCCTGCATCTGCGGGATTCCAGTTTCCTTCACTCACACGCAATCCCCAGCCAGAAGATTAAACATTAGAGTCTTCAGTGCACGTCCGCATAATCTAGCCACCATGAAATTCCGTGGAGTCCTTCGGTCAATCACCAAGGCTGGTCCAACCCCAGTAACGACCACCTCAACCACCTCAAAGGATGCCTGTGTCTGCGTTCTAGGCGTCGGGTACGTGGGAGAATCGTTGCTCTCTCAATTCGGCAATGTGGTTGACGCCATTGGTTACGATATCTCCCAGGCACGCATTGACACTCTGCGCCAAAAATATCGCAACAGTAGCCGTATCAAATTGACAACCAATCCAGCCGAGATTGCCAAGGGCACACATTTCCTGATAGCTGTACCTACACCGCTTCAGGACGATGGCCACGGCAACAAGAGTGCCGACCTTCACTGCGTCAAAGATGCCATTAATCTCATCATCACCCATGCACAGCCAGGCAGCTGCATCATCATTGAGAGTAGTGTTCCCGTTGGCACCACCAGAAAGCTGCTCACCAAACACAAATCCACATTCCATTGTGGTATGTCGCCTGAACGCATAGACCCCGGTCGAATCACACCAACCGCCGAGCAAATCCCCAAGGTCGTCTCCGCGCTAACACCCAAAGCGATGAAGCACATCTTTTCGATGTATGCCATGGTGTATGAGACGCTAGTGCCAGTCTCGAAACCCGAAGTCGCAGAGATGACTAAGCTGTACGAGAACTGCTATCGCATGGTCAACATTGCCTATGTCAACGAAATCAGCGACGCATGCATCTCCCATGGCATAGATCCTCACGAAATGATCGGCGCGGCCGCAACCAAGCCCTTCGGCTTCCAACCCTTCTACCCAGGTCTCGGTGTCGGAGGTCATTGCATTCCCATAAACCCATGGTACCTCTTCGAGAACAACAAACGCCTGAAAGTCCTCGAAACCGCCACACGACTTATGCAAGAGAGACCCACCAGACAAGCCCGGCGCTTCCACACCGCATGTCAAGGCCGTCTATCCAAAACCGACACCGTCTCCGAGACCGTTGTTGGCCCACGCATCCTCGTCGTCGGCCTCGGCTTCAAGAACGGCCAGACAAATCTCGCCTGCTCCCCAGCCCTGTCCTTCGCACAGACAATGAGCAGCCTCGGCACCTCCCGCCTCGCCTTCTACGATCCCACAATCTCCTCCGACCAGGTCCAGTGGATGGAGAAACTCGACGAGCGGCACTGGACACAGGAATACATCGAGTCGGAATTCGACGGTGTGGTCCTGTGTAATAAGCTCAAATTAATAGACTCGACGTGGTTCGACAAATTGCGGAAACCGTTGTTCAAGGACTATGCGTGATCATATCATCAATCATGTACATTCGCTGCCATTAGTTCAGCTCATCTGGCGAAATATGGCGTTCCCTGTTGCCCTGCTTCATTCCCTGCTAATTGTTGCTTGGTTTCATCAAAGAGCAAATGCACTGTCATAAATAGAAGTAGTATCATAATTGAATTGTATCTTGTTCCGCTGTGGCCCTTTTCTCTATTCATGGCTTTTTGAAGCCAAAGTCGAAGCACGGCTGCTGCTGCTGCTGCTGAGAAGTCGTCTTCGTCGGTGTCTCGGTCACCGGATCAAGCTTGGAAATCGTACCCTTCCGACGACGAGGTATCGTCCTCAATCTCGAGAAAGGCGTTGCTGTTGTAGACGATGGGTTCGCTTCTGAAGGGATACTGTTATTTGCAGGCGTTTCTGAATCTGTATCGCGTGCCTGAGTTTTATCACCTCCCTTTGGAGCGTTTGAGTAGTCTACTGCACCGTGATCCTCCACGCTGCTCCTTAATGGCGTCTGAGTGTTCTTTTCCCGGCCATAAACACGACCAGCCGCTGACGAAGGGACTGGCCTGTGAGACACGATCTTTTTTTTCGGCTTCGGAGTAGCTCCACGCACAGCAGTCCGAATGGATTTGGCCAGACTCTTCGGTGTCCAAGCTTCAGCAGGTTTCTGTCCATGAGCTGCTATTGCAACGTCTGGAGGCGCGACTCCCTGCGTACTGACTCCTGTTTGGCCCCAAGATTGACTCCCTAAGTGCAATAGCACATTTACAAAGACAATGACTGAGAGGATTGGTGAAATCACCTGATTGATACACATGCCCAGAAGTACCTTGTGCATTCGTTTGCGGAGCAAGGGCTCCTTGACCATTGTCAACAATATATACCATGTCGCAGGAGTCTTCGTGACTATCAAGGTTGGTATGATTTTGATGACATAAAAGTTCTGGACAAGGCCGTATAGGAAGTAGCCGGTGTTGAAGACACGATAGAAAACTAGTGTTAATCTTACGATGTCGACCACGGCAAAAAGTCGTGTAATTAGTCTCTGTTGAGGTCCTAGAGCATAGAAGTAGTCGTTAAAGTAGGCATTAGACGCCCAACGGCGCCTCTGACTCAGGTAATGTGACAGTCTGTTAGGAACGACAGTCTCACTCAAGGCATCCGGCACAAAAATTGTCCGCAAATGTTTGTTTTGTGACATCATGCACCATGTCAATCTTCGATCGGTTCCCAGATACTGTACTTGATGGCGAAATAGGTTATGTTCGGTAACAGGTCGAGCGTATTGGCTGATGGCGGCGCCCATCTCAGGTCGAACCACAATCATGGTGATGCATCCAGGAAGACATCTGCACAGAATCAGTTTCAAATCACTACGAATATTGTAGGAAGGACCCACGTTACTCTGCCCCAAGTACTCTCAGCCTGCCTCCGAACATACTGTCCAAATGTGTATTGGAACTGCTGGAAAAGATGCCATGGGTGAAACTCGGTCCAGTTACTGCCAAATTCTGCAAACAACACACCACAAGCAGCGATGACGTGACTTTGCCGACTCAGAGCGTTCGCTAGACGATTGAGTGCATTTTCGTGTATTGTAGAATCAGCATCTGTACAGAAGATATACCCGAAGGTCTTGAAGTCGGTGTCAGATATGATTGTTGGCAAGACTCGCTCCCAGATTTCTTGCCGCAGAAGTCTGGTAGCTTGAGGCATGTCGTCGCGTGGGTGATTGAACAAGTCATGGCCTAGGATTAAACTGTCCTTTTTGCCAGCGTTTTTCACCTTTTCAACTAAAACTACACCAGTGCCGTTGATGTAGCCAGCTAGAACGCGAATCTCACCCCTTTTTCCTCGCCATGTTGTATATGGCCGTTGTGTTGTCATCTTGATCTTAGACATCTTGGAAACAATGTCTCTCGGTTTGCCGTCCATGATAATGCAGATGACCTGCTTGTGTGGTTTCGTATCGCTAGCGGCAAGGCTGGTGACTGTTTTCATGATCTGTTCTTCCGTCTCGGCATAAGCACAAACCAAGCTCAAAATCCAATGTGCTTTTGATTCCTTTGGAGGCCATATCAGGCCACGGAAGTATTCGTATCCTATGTAGACAATGTCGGCCAACGTTGATAGTATGTCTTTACTCTTCATAAAGACAAGAATTGCAAGCAGGTAAGGGTGCTTGTGTGAACCTAGATATGCCAGGCCAAAGGCAATGTTGACGGTAAACACGAAGGTTGTGAAAGCAAGTCGTATAGCCCAGATCTCCCAATGTTTCAATTGCAAACGTTTGTCTCCGAGCTCTTCTGTCACAGCGGAATCGAAGGAAGCACGTATCGCTTCTTCGCTCACTCGATCGTTCCTTTGTTGCGCAGGTTCTACTGGCACTTGTGCAGAAGTCGATGTTGATGGTGGTATCGATGCATTCGATACATCGTGGTCTTGAGTGCTAGAGATTGCATTGGGGGCTAGTGTCGCAAAAGAGGAGCTATGCTCGGTTCCACCACTTTGTGCGTGTGGTAAATCATTTGAGATAGCTTGGACGTCGGCAGGTGGAATTGTTTCCGAGGCCCTACGGACTGGCGACGTGTGTGAGATTTCATGGACTCCTGATATTGGGCCTAGCCGATGCTGAGCGTGCGGGTAGTATGGCTTGCCCTGAAGTACAGGTGTCTCGTCCGCTCTAACTTCACCCAATGCACTACGGACGTCCTTTGCCCAGGCACTTGAGAGCTCTTCGTGTTTCTCCTGTTGTGCGTGTAATGGCGTTGCTGGCGAACATTGCTGTAAAGGGTTCTTTGCGACATCCTCTTGTACCACTGAAGATGTGGAAGTCGCTCGCGGCTGCGCCGTCGATTGCTTGCCTGCAGATGTATTGTTATTGGTGATGTCTGACAGAGCCAGACGACGAGCCGCATTCTGGAAATGTACAACAGCAGCTGAGCTATGTTTTCGAGAGCGAGCGACAGGTGACTGGAAGACGTCGTCTGAATTACCCTGCACAGGGACAAGAAAATTCGGCGAATACCCAGTGTTTCTCTTGTACTTCGGTGTGGTCGCAGTGTATGCTTGTAACGATTTGATACGCGTCTTCGAAGGCGAGGACAGCGACTGACGGGCAGCGGTTCTGTTGCTTGGCAGATCATTCGCGATCGACTCTCTTTTCGTTGTCCTCCTCCTGGTTCCAGCACTATCTTCTGCGGTAAACCTCGGCGACGAAATGGAAGCAAACTGCGCATGTTGAGGAGTTTCAGGACATTGCATCGTCTTGTCACCAATGCTGACAGCATGCAGTTTTGATGTCTCCTTGTAGCGAAGCTAGACAGAGCCTCATTGTTACCTGCTGTATACGAGTCGAGAGTGTTTCGGTCGTAATCGGACAAGCCGTTGAACCATGTTGCGCTGTACAGTGTTGACATACTGAAAGGCTGGGCAGATTATGCTCAGATTCTTCAGGTCGAGCCCATTCCAGCGTGGTGAAAATGATACGCACGGTCCTCTCCCTTCATGAGTCAAATCATAACGCTATGGTCAACACTTGATAGATGGCATGCTTGGAATGACTAGCATATAAACTTTACACTTCCAGTTCCGATACTGATAATCTCTACCATCTGTCCACTTCTTTCCCGACCTCGGTAGGCAAGTTTCTCGCCGTTGTTGTTTTGCAAGTACCTGAGTTCGCCGCCCTGCATCTCTATATTGCCTAATGGTGAAGTCAATGCATATACTTCACCGTACCAATTGGAAGGATAAACAATGTTCATCGCTGCCGTTCCCGCTACTCGATGATGTGCACGTATATTCGTGATAGTCTCGTAACTTGAGCCTAGGGACGTAAGCCTGACCTTTTGTTCTCCAGTTCGGGAATCGGTCGTGAGATTCGAGATCGGGTCGTTCGGTCCCATGTCGTAGGCGAGGATAGTAATGTCCTGCAAGCCAGTGACAGTGGAAACCGACGCGCAGGCTCCGTCACCAAGCAATATTTCTGCTGTCACTGTTCCCGTAAGAGTACGCAATTCGGTATAGATAGCTCTAGAAGGTATCGCCTGGCGATGTACAAAACTCGGAGCGACCCTGAGACTTATAGCACCTGTCAACGATGTCAGTGACAGGAAGGCAGGTTCTCTGCCTTGTTGAAGATCGATTTCAATGTCGATCGTGCCAGTGGTGGTGGACAGTTCCAGGCGATCATGCAATTCATATTTCCCAGTGATTGAGTCGGTGGTTTCATGCCGCTCATACGATGGGCCTATTGGTACGGCAGACATGGACGGCCGTGCAGGGAGTTTCGACCAATTGTTCTGCTGAGACTATGTCAGCATTGCCTGGCCGAAGCAGCAATGACTTACATGTCTGGAGTACCCGTATAGCAGACAAGCGAGCAACATGGCAACGAAACTGAACAAGAAAACGAGGCACAATAGGCGTACCCATCTTCGAGCGCGATCCTTACCTTGGTGTATCCATGGGGTCCAGCCCCTACTTTTTCTCTGCCAAGGCCGCGCATGCTCAAGTAGTGGCTGCTCAGGATCGGAGGCTTGCTCTTCATGGTGTTGTGCCTGCTCGCTATCAGCTGGTACTCTTTCTGCTGCTTCGTCATTATCAATTGACAGAATCGATGGCTGTGAAGCTGGAAGTTCGTGGGTTTCCGGCAATCTGCAGTATGCAGGAGGAGGGTCAAGTTCGTGACACGTCATGTATGTGTTGTTGCGCTCATTTGCTTGGTTGCTTCCAGCAAGATGGGCTGTACCCCATAGGGAAGATGCAATTGTTAGCGAGTCTTGAGTGCCATAGGATCGAGACATCAACGCCTCTGCCCATGGGCCTGAAGATGCTAACTCTTGAGCGAGCTGGACTGCGTGCTCACGCTTCGAACCACTGCGGTATGGAGGGCTTGTAGGAAGATTGGAGGAAGGGGACGGTGTTTCGTGGACACCAGCGGACTGAGGGCAGGAGCGACGAGCACGGCTCCGTCGTGGCTGTACATCATCGCTGGATGGGGTGGGAGAAGTCATATTGACCACAGGCAGTTTGCTCGCAATCTGCCGTCGCCAGTGCTGACACAGCTATTTGTGCAGTCGTAGCGGGATTAGAAGAGGAGCACTGTCATGCATTACTGCAGATGGTTGTCCTTGACATTCATCTCTCATCGGCCATAGGCATATCGATGACACATTAGTATTCACGCAGAATGGCGGAGTGTGGAGGTGCCTGCCGAATGCACGCTGTTGAACTTGAAGTTGTCGGAAGTTCGGGAAAGATGCGCTAGGCTCAATTTGGCACCCTGCAGCTGCACTGAGCGTGCTGTATTGCAAGCACTGGCATCTGTAGCATCGTTAGTCTTTCTCAGCCATAACTTGAAATGGTCAACTTATCTGAAAAGAGAGGCTCTCCAGCCAGAGGACCTTGTAAGACTCACATGAGCCGTCAGCACACTAAGCATGAAGTAATCAATTCCGCATCTCGTATTTGCTCCGTCGCATTAACCACATACACACTGTCATCACCGTACCTGCCAAGGTTGATCTCCATCTCAGTTCCACAAACTGCTCGTATCAGATAGAGGACACGAAGCCAGAAGGAGCAGTATTTGGAGTCTGACAAGAAGCAAGCACCACAGACAGACAAGCCTAAGCTTTGAGCCTCGTGAGAGGTCCCATCCGTGATGCTTGTTGGCCTCCTCGTCACGCTCTTCATGCAAATCCCTCAGACCTCAAAGTCCTCACCAACATGAGCAGCCTTATTTCAGACTTTGATGCATTAGATCAACCCATCGGCAAGCACAGCTCGAGTAGTAGTGCTCACAGCGACATGCTGTCTGTGGAGAGCACAGCAGATACAGTTTGAATCACCTCTGCAGCGTTCTCGTACTCAAAATAGCCCAATAAGTCTCCGATTGAAGAACAGTAAGATCCCACATGTAGCTGACATAAAGCCCCCTCATGCCCCAGAACCTAGGGCCATCGACCCCCGACCAGTCACTCACAATCGCACGCAACACCTCAAGCGATCTCAATCACAACCGAACAGCCCTCGGAATAGAATCCCATGACCCGCCTTACTCGTGTGTAATGCAATAACTTCGGCGACCGTCTTTGTTTCTTCTTCCATAAGCCCAGCTAATAAGCCAAGTATTGAAGAGCATTTGCCATATTTCAGGGCAGGACGCACAAATGACATCGAGCAAATCGTCCTCTTCCTGTCGCAAGACAGGAATCATCATGTTCAAGATTGATGCCTTGACCACTCATCGGCGCTCATCGTTCGCTTCATGTAGCATGAAGGCGATGACTGACACGGTTGATCGAGATCCCTGCAGAGAGGGTACGCTTGCTTTAGCGGTTGCTGCGAAGCGCGTTTGCTGGGTGAGCTACGAGACTGAGCTCGTGTGGTACGAAGGCAAGGTTGGAGAGAAGTGGCCACAGCTGTCAACAGGTACAAAAAACCGTGAAAGGCCGAGTCGGCTGGACAACAGCAAGCGAGAAGGATGAACTGGCAGATATTGAGGGCATCAAATCGTTCGAACCTGACAACAAGTAACATGATACTTGACCCGGCCAGTGGATTCTACTAGAAATGTCGCAACCTCGCAACCTCGAACAGTATGTATGTAAGCTTGTGCTGCAGTCCTGAAACACAGTGTCCTTCACACGGTCATATGATAGTCCTGCTGTCTTCTCTCTCCTGTACTCCTCAACCACGCTCAACGCCGACGAAACATCTCATACTGATTACATATATGTCCAGCTTAGAAGATCCGACGCGCGTCCCACACGGGATCTTACCATTTGACGCATAAATCCTCGTCTTTCTCTGCCTCGGCTTCAAGAAGCATCAGCTCTGGACGTTACCGCCCACTTTTGACTCAACCAAACCTTTCTCAACCGTTCTAACATCCCACCTTGCAGTCAAGCAAAGCAAAACGCCATAATAGGCAAGCAGGATACAGGAGAAGTTTAGTCGGTGAGTACGTAACAATGCCCGATGGGGACCGCGAGGCTTCGAACCGCAAATTGGCTTAGGGCTTAAGTTTGTATTGTGTATTCCACCTCAAACTGAACTGATCTCATCTCTGGCTCTTCTGGATCCGTGCTGTGAGGTCCGATGAATTGAGATAAGGGCCCAATTTGAGGATTCTCGGAAGAGAGCGGCACGCACATAACAAACCGAGGGAGGTTGAATTGCATAAGTAGCTCGGCAGCGGAGTCGGCTGGGGTCATGAGGATAGAATTCGAGGTTGGTTCTGCTGGTTGCAAGGGAGGCGTTGTGGTAAGCGTTGTAGGATTGCTTGTTACAGACCAAGATCAGGCCAGAAGCTCTGGTAACATTGGAAAACCAGTGCAGTTGTACATGTGTAAGATTTGTCGGAGTCAGTCCACGAGTGTCAAACGCTCAGCGGAGACATATTGATTCGAAAGACGCGTCCGCGTTGTGCCAAGAGAACGCGTTGACACGAGGTGGAAAGAGTGTCCAAAAAGAGCCGGCTTCGCCCATGTTAATAGCACGACGACAGGACTTTCCTGCATTCAAGAAAGAGGATGGCTGATTTGTAGTAATTGTAGGTAGTGTCCTTCACTATTGTTGTATTCTGGAATCTGGCACTACTGATGCTACAGTTGTCGACTTCGAACAGATGCTTCCGTACCAGTGCCACAATCAATTAGGGTAGGCTCTGCCTGGAACCCAAGCGATGGCAATGGACGAAAGATGTGGTAACTGAATAAAAACGTCACAGTCTATATCTTCTGCATTCATATTCTTTACGTTTTGAGCTCAGCCTGGTTCACGCTCTTTCTGCATCCTTCTCCGTATTCAGTAGCACTGAAACATCCTCCTTCATCTAAAACTGGTGATACAAGAAGTGAAATGCTAACAAACCCTCGTGTTCTACCTCATTACACGTGCTCTGCCCACTCATCCGGCACATCCTGACTCGGCACCATCCTCCTCAGATCCTTTAGTACCGCCTCGGTCCCCTTCTCAATCACAGCCAGTCTCGGCACTCTAAATTTGTTTCCTAGACACTCGAAAACTCGTAATCGTCCTGCTTCGCGCTTACCACCAACGTTGCCTAACAGCCCTATCTTGGGCGGCAGACTTTCGATCCCGTTGTTGCGGATGTCAAGCACCTCCAAACCGCGCACGGCTTCAACATCGATGGACTCGAACCAGTTGTCGCTTGCTAGCAAAGTAGTGATGCTAGGATACCAAGCGCGAACCCACGGTATGTGGCCGCTGAGCCTGTGACAAGAAATGTTCAGCTCGCGAAGCTCGGGAGCTTTGAGGTGAGAAGTTAAAGTATCGAGCGTGGTTAGGCCGGTACTGACGATATAGAGGCTATGTAGCAGGGGCAGGTGAACTTCGGTACTGATGTAGTCGGTTGAGTGAAGTAGAGGATTATGACTCATATCAAGCGACTTTAAACTCCAGCGCACCGACGGGTGCATAAGCAGCTCGACGGGAAGAGTTGTAAAGTCGTTGTTAGCTAGGCGGATAGTATGAATGGGTGATGCCAGGTCAACGTCTTCAGGTAGGAGACACGATAGACCACACGAAGAAGCGTCGAGAGTGCCTGCCTTGGGCTTTCGCAGAGTTGATGTTGACGTGGCTGAGTCTAAAGCTGATGGATTGCAGTTAGAAGGTGCTACCGCCTTGTTTACGTCCATTTGAGCAACGTCTACCGCTTCCGACTTTCGAGCGAAGCTTGTTCGGATATCTTGGACATCCATGGTGAGATACTTTTTCTCACGTAGTGGGTTGCCCGCAATATTGAAATTCGAGAGATTTTCCATTGCAGCTATTTCTGATCCGATAGTGCGAATATTGTTGCTACTGAGATCAATGTTCCTGAGTTTCGTCAAGCTATACAAGCCCTCTGGGATTGAAGTCAAGGCATTGTTTGACGCGGTTATTGTCGTCAAATTTGCACATCCCGACATGTCTGGTAGGGTATCAATGCGGTTATTGTGTAGTCCCACAGTTTGCAATAATGGCAACTCGAAAAAGTTAGAGCAGAGATACTCTATGTTGTTGAAAGAAATGTCCAACGACTGCATCTTCTCGAACTTGTGTATGCCCTGACCGGTAAATGAGCTTGTAAGCATATTTCTGGACAGATCAAGCTCGATTAAACTTTCTGATGGAAGAGACTCGAGTTGTATGGAGCTGAGTCTGTTGCCACCTAGGAATAGCCTCTGCAAATTTCGCAGCTCTGATATGCTGGAGGGCAACTGATCTAGCTGATTGTCGCTGAGATCTAATACCTGCAAGCTAGGCAGACTGAACGACAAGGACGGCATATCGCCATGCAGACCGTTTTTAGCCAGTCGCAATTCCTGCAAATTTGCAAGCTCACCGATGATGCTGAAAACCGTGATGTCAATGTTGTTGCTGCTTAAATTGAGAGTTCTGAGCTGCTGCAAACGTCGAATGCCAATCGGTAAGGAGCGCAAGCTGTTACCATGTAGGTCAAGTATTTCCAGACCTCCAAATTGATTGCTCTTCTCTGAGTCTTCCAACATCTCTTCTTCTGACCAATCAGGAAACACAATTTCAGACAGGTTCTCGATCTCGTTGTCGGCGACCATCAGCTTCTTTAGATCCACAGTCTCAGACCAAGCGATGGGGCTATCTTCTTGCAAGTCATACATTGTCAGTACGTCCTCAGGTATACTCTTGAGCGACATTGCAGACAAGTTAAGTGTACCAGTTGCGATCGCATTCTGTATCTTCTTACGCAGAGACTGTCTACCCATATCGATGATGGGGATAGCCGGCACATCGTGGATCGAAGATTCCGCCTGCACGTCTTCAGTCCCTTGCTGTGATCTTCTCATCTCTTCCCTTCGAGCGGCCTTAGCCTTTGCAATAGTATCCCTGAGTGTTGCGGAAGATTTCGCCGTGATGGGCAGGGCTGTTTCTTCCTTCCAAGGTTCTTGAGGTACTGTCGGACGCTTCGTCGGTTTCTTGGCCAGTGCCGCTGGCTTCGTTGCAGATCTGCTCATTGCGGCTTTCGAGGCGATCACGTTCTCGCCTGGACTTCGGGCTTTCATCAAGCCGGTATGTGTGGATATGTCGCCATATGACGGCTTTCGCTCCATGGTATCAGGTGTCGTGGGCAGGTCAACGAGCTTACCTGTGGCCGGCTTGCTCGTCACACCTCGTGACGCTGTGCCGCGTAGGTCATATAGTGACTTGACTTTGGTCGCTTGTCTCGTTGGCCGTAGTCGAGGCTTGTCTTCCTTACTCATCACGATGGCAGTAGAGACGGATCGACGACTCTCTCTTGGCCTGCCAATCTTGGAGCTAGCGTCTCTCACGAATGCACGTGGTGGAGTGTAGATGTTCTCAGGGCCAGGCGCCGTCATTGCATCTTTAGACGGAGTGGTGGGCTTACCAGGAGGTCGGAACGGTCTCTTGCTTGGACTTGCAGGATGACCTGATGATGGAGTTGAGGGAGTCGTGGGACGATTATTTCTCATAGCCGAGGCGGGTCGAGACGGAGGACCCATTGAGCCACTGCTTTTGACAGTACTTGATCTTCTTCGAGTTGGAGACGGAGCGGGTGAGATTTGTGACAGCGTTTCGACAGTCCTCTCCGATAGTGATGGTCTTGGCTGGCGTTTCTTGGGTTGCCGGTTGTCGTCTTTGCTGTCCGGTGCACTTTCTGCATTCTCGTTGCCCTCGTCGATAATGGCGAAGTCAGATTTGACATTTGGTGGAGTAATGTCTAGACTGTTCACATCGTTCTGTGGCGAGGCTGTAGTCGTTGTAGAAATAAGATTAGCAAGTCTACTTGTCCATCCGAACGACGGTTGCCTAGGGACGTGGTTGCTCTCGCCAAGTGGTCTCACAACCTGCTTTTTCGAATTTGAGGTGGTGATATGTGGTAAGCGTGATCTTTTGGCAGACTCATCGTGCTGGCCGGATGTAGGTATTGACGAAGCACGTGCCATAGGTAGTCGTGAGATGGGTCGAGCTATATTACTTTTCTGAGATGCTTGTGCTTGGTCCATGCTTGCTCCTTGGCTCTTCTTCCGAATGTGCAAGCTCGGATGACTCACAAGCGAGAGGACCACGTTACACAAAGTTCAGTAGTCATGAAACGTCTTGAAGTTTCATTTGCTTGGTCGATCAATTTTCAGAACAAGGAAAGGAGATAGCCAGGTATTAGATGTTTGTGCCCAAATCAGCTAAAGCCCATTAAAATCACCCGAGCAACGACCAGAAGCGCGACGGCAGACCACAAAACATTAGTTGGGACTAGCATTGTGGATATACTCACAGCACAGCAATATCAAATTGCCTCTTGCTTGGCCTGACTGCAGCTGTTCTATCGGCCTGGGTGCTCGACCAGATAGCTGAACAGGTGACCAGCCTTTCATTTCCTCGAGGTCATCCACTCAGTGTAGTCGACCACCACTTCATGCTTTCCTGCCACCACGATAACCATGCTATGAGACGGAGCTTAGTCGCCAGAACTATCATCCGACAATTCATACCATATCGCATCTCCCGAGTGTTGGTTCGAGTGCACACATCGCGCAACGCACAAGTGACGGCAGCGAGGTACCCCACCTGAATCGAGATCGACGTTGTACACCGATCCAGTCGTCTGTACCAATTGCGATTCTCTCCAACTCTGCTAGCCATGTCGCAACATCCCGAGAAGAGCGATACCATTACTGGTCCTGCGACGCCTCCACACTCTGGACCAGAAGAGGCAGACAAGACTTCAGTACAACCAGCCGGAGTCCAGCGCACAAGTATGACACCTCCACCAAGCATGCTCAAGGCACAGGCGCAGCTGAGTAACGATGCGCCAAACAGTGTGATGGCTACCCCTACCACTACTCGCAGGAATGCGACCAGGGATCTGCCTTCGACTGACCGCATCGAGCGCGCTGGCTTAGAAGAGTTGCGCAGTATGGCTCAGAACCTTGTGAACGACTTGACCGATGCTCGTATCAATGCTTCCAACGCCCGACTTCAGCATCATCTACTCTTGTTAGAGACGAGCCAAGCTGCCGAGCGAGCTGAAGTGGAGAGGCAGCTGTCACGAACTCAGGTCGATTTCCTCAGGGTTAAGCAGAAGAAGCCAGAACAAAAGCCTGCTCCGGCAAGTGCACCGGCGCAACGCCCTGCAGAGTTGGACACCATTAACCAGAGTATGAAAGAGCTTGAGAGTCACTACGAAGCACTTGAGGAGTTATGCGGCCAATTACAGCGGGAGAAAGAGTTGCAGGCAGAACGAATACAGTCCTTGACAGAGCACAATGTTCTCTTGGTGAAGCGCATCCGGGAGAACAGAGAAAACTTCACTCGCATTCGAGAACGATCTCCGGCTGTGCAGACTGCGAGAGAGACATACACAACTCCTCGCCGCAAGTATGCCAGGTACCAAGATGATACACCAGCTCATGCTCCCTTTGCTGCACTCATTGCGGCTGATCAGCTTCTGAGTCAAGAGACAGCCAGTGTTTCGTCAACACCTACCAAGGTTCACGCCGTCCGTTTCAAGCCTGGCCATACACGAGGCGCCCACTCTTTGTCCTCGATCAATACGGCCCAACACGCGAGTCGTCCTCTTACTTCGGATGGCTTCTTGGGTTCACAACTCGTCCTGTCTGCGCCTGGCTCGCAGCTCGTCATGGAGTCGGCTGAACGCGAACATCATCATCGTGATCGAGATAGCACCATCTCCATTTCCGACAATGACGCTAGCCAAGATCCTGCGCTTGTGGCCTCTCAAGCTAGTTCATTAGCAGCAGATATGCTGCGGAAGAATCCTTCAACCTACGAGTCTTTACGTCAATCGCAAGAAGCTGAGCGATCTAGCAATCTTCTACAGTCACAAATATTCGGTCCTGTCAAAAAGCCGTCGACCGAACCTTCAGCAGCGAAGTTGAAGAGGCAGTACGGATTCGGCGAATCGCATCAGAAGCCACAGAAGAAGGTACGGACAGAGGAGAATGTTGGTCTAGGTATCGCAGCGAGATGATAACCGGCCAGGTGGAAGGGTTCACGAGCTATGTACACAGCAATTTTTGAATGGTTGGGCGCCAGCTAATGATGTTATGATATGGTCTTCGTTGATGTTTTATATGTATGGCGCTGGAGATGGTCGATAATTTCGCCAGCACTCATTGCTACTTCAGTCTTTCGTTTATCGTCGTCGAGAATAGCGATGCCACATTCTACGACCAAACAATGTTCGATATCTACAATGTGGAGCCTGTAGTACTTTCTGAGAATAACCCTTTGCCCATGAGCTAGGTTGCTGTGTGACTTCGTACACCTTCGATAAGTGTAAAGCATTCCAGTATCTTGTGATCGACCGTAGAGCTCTCCCTTACCCAACCCTACCACTTCGAGCCTCGCCAAGATTTTAGCCTACCATTTCGCACGCCAAGACCTGAAACTGCGAGCCGGCCAAAGACTTGACGAACTTCGACATTTGCGACCGAGTAGCAATCCGCCAACTCGTTATTCTGTCCAGCTTATTGTGTTCGTATCGCCGACAAAATGGTACGTGATCACTTCTCACGAAATAGAAAACAAATCAAAGACTAACCCACAACTCTCAGGCCATCAAGCACAATAACGCCGTTCCCAACAACCACTTCCACAAGGACTGGCAGCGAAGAGTCCGAGTGCACTTTGACCAGCCAGGCCGAAAACACCGAAGACGAGTCGCCAGACTTGAGAAGGCCGCAAAGGTCGCTCCTCGACCCGTCGATCGACTGAGACCTGTTGTTCAGTGCCCCACAATCAAGTACAACCGAAAAGCGAGAGCCGGACGAGGTTTCACACTGTTGGAATTGAAGGTATGCAGATTTTTCCTGTCGGAGTGAGGATTGAACAGAGCTGCGACGATTGTACAGCGAAAAGAGTCAGACAGTTCTACTATCTGTTCTCCAGCACAAGACAGAGGTTTATAGCAGTCTTTCACGCGCAGCTCGACCTAAACAATTTCTCTCTCAAAGAAAAAACAATACTAACACAACCCTCACCAGGAAGCCAAGATTCCCCGCAAACTCGCTTCAACAATCGGCATCTCCGTCGACCCCCGCCGCACCAACCACTCCGAAGAATCCCTCAAAGCCAACGTCGCCCGCCTCAAAGCCTACCAAGCCCGCCTCATCCTCTTCCCCCGCGAATCCGGTCAGCACAAGAAACTGGACGCCTCCGAAGAGCAGACCAAGGGCGTCAGCGACGGTTCCTCAAAGACCATCTCCAAGATTGCTGGTGCTTTCGCCGTGGACAGTGGTCTGGGTCAGGCACATGGTATCTCCGAGGTGAAGAGCAGTGATTTGCCAGAGGGTGATGAGGGCGCGTACAAGAAGTTGAGGGAGTTGAGGAGTGAGCAGCGATATGCTGGTATTCGGGAGAAGAGAGCTAAGCTGAAGGCTGATGCTGAGGAGTCTAAGAAGAAATAAGTGAGCGGTTGACGTGCATCAATCGATCTGAAATGATGTGAGTCGCTGGCTACTACTACTTCTTTGAGATGGTGGTGTTGACTGGGGTCCTTTGCTATGTCAATTCGTGCAAGGATATGTCGACGATGTGAAAGACTTTTGTGCCGACGTCCCCTCGTGGCCTGAAGTCAAGCTATATAAATTCGAGCTCGAAATTAGGCGCTTCTATTTCAAGATAGCGACAGGCAAGGAGATGCAATGGTAGCACAAGGACTTTCAAAGTACTATGGTTCACTTACATGAGTGTGACCAAAAAGAAGCAGGTCCGCACGACGATATAGGATCACTGAAAATCAAACTTCTCAACGCATGCTTCTCGTCCAGAGATCGGTCTAGAGAATGCTCTGTGTCTCTATTTACCTATCTGGGCATGATTAGAAGGCTCTTCTAATTGACGGCTCACCAAAATCTGCTTATTGTGTACAGTGCCGATCATATCATATACGACATTGAATCATGTTCATCACATCATCCTAATATACACCTCCTCCCTAGCCACCACTAATCAAACACAGTCATCCTCCTCGCCCTACTCTTCCCCTTCCTCATCGTTCCCTTGTCATGATCCTCCACCGTACCCGCCCCAAGCAGCTCCCACACTTTCTGAAAAGCCACCACAACCCCTTCAATCTCCTGAATCTGTCGGAATAAATTCTTAGTGTGCTTGACGGTATCTACACAGAACCCGACTGGACATATATCTGTCTCGATGGCTGGCTGACCGATCCAATCCAGGGCAATAGAGTATTTGAGCATGATTTGTTGGGTGTTGCTGGACGATCGACGGGTCCGAGGTTCTTGCTGCGGCTTTGGTCCGATGGTGAAGGAATGGAAGGATGTGTTGAGGTAGGGCAGAAGGGCCATTGCTTCGTTGATGTTGGAGACGACACTGTCGAGATGGGTGATTGTGCCGTCTGTGTTCGGGCTTGGATCTTGGATGTTCTGTAGGATCTGAAAGACTTTTGCACGCTTAACGTCCTCTCGGAAGTAATGTCCTATTCCTGTCGCGATCGTAGCGAGATCACACTTCAGTACTGGGTCCTCAAGTCTGGTTTCTATCCATTTCCTGAGCACATGTGGGATTTCGTTGTTTCTAGTCAACACAATTTCCATGACGTTGCAGCTCGTGTCCATAGTGGATTCAAGATTAACGTCCAAGATGCTAGCTGGCCAAGGAGCAGGAGCTGTGAGGGTAATCTGATGAGCTGTATGTTGAGTGTTCCCGATCGTCTTTTCATTGGTACTATGAGAAAGCTGTAGACTGCTTTGTGCGAAAAGGTTTAGGTATTTCGAGGCCTGTCTACTGAACATCTGAGCATCTTCTTGAGGAACTGGCCATGTCGAGGATGCTATTGGAAGAGCATCGAGGAGTAGTTCGAGAGCTTCCTCGACAGCTTGATCGGACCGTTCCTGTGTCGTTGTTTGCTGCAGGTTCTTACTGACGGCTTCTATTCTGCCGCAGTTTGCCCCCAGAGTCTCGAGCTGTGCTTGTAGTGCTTTGAGCTCTTCAATTTTGCCTTGGACGATCGGGTCGTCGCTTTCGTCTGCTATATCGGTGGACTCGACATCTTTGGGTTGTGCAAGGTTGGCGTTCGCATAAGTCGCTTGTTCTTCCTTGTCTGCCGGCATGTCCTCTGGCTGGTATGGATGGGGTGTTTTTCCTACTGCTGGTTCAGCTTGTTCCCTTCCGTCAGACCGCGAGTGCTCCAGTTGTTGTGGAATTTCCGATTCTGCTTCTTGGTCAATACCTGAAGATACATGCTCTGTTTCATCTGGTGAAGCCTCTGGCAAGTGCACTTCGCTATCCGCAAGCTGTATTGCAGTCTCATTCTCTGGGTCTTGCTCTTCATGCTGTTGAGCAGCTGTATGCTCGCCCTCTGATTGTGACAACTCTAATATTAGCTCACCTAAACCCTCTTCCTCGCGTGCCGTCCGCTCATCCTCGTCACCAATCCCACTTGCGGCCTCCATTTGTACAACATCTTCATCGTCCACCTCAAGTGGTGCTGGCGGCGTAGGTGCGACATTCCTTGGTTTCAACGGACTACTCGTAATGGCTCCACCTCGTGCTCTATCTCTCCTCCTCCCACCTCCACCTGGACTACTTGTAAGCAGACCTCTAGGTCGTTCTGGAACTGGGTCTTTCCCCAACTGGACTGGCGTAGGTGGTAGTTCTACAGAACTGCTTCTGCGAGATCTTTCTGCAGCGATTTTGCTTGCACTCTTGACCAATTTCGGCACTATACGTGGAGAAGCGACAGGTGAAACCCATCTACGACGCGGTGTTGGAATTTCGGGCTGGACTTCGGAGATGACACGTTCGCCAGGTGTAGGTCGGGAGGAGGAAGCTCGTGGCACTATGTCCCTGAAGACGCTCGCGATATCTGTTATCACGTTGCTGGCTCTCGGGGTAGCAGGTGTACGGTGTACAGGTTCAGGTGCTCTGTCTGACACAGAAGGCTGAGGTTGCTCCGAACGCTCGTTCTGTGACCAAAACAACGGTTTGTTGTTCATTACTGCATCCAGTAAACTCTGCCTTCTGTTCGGCACGGACTCTCTTCGCTCTTTAGCTTCTTGGGTCTGTTGTAGAACCTTAGGATGCGATCTAGCAAGAGAGGACTTCGTAGGTGATCGATACAAGTGTCGCTTGGGCGTGACGTGTTTCTCAAGTCGTGAAGTCTGGGTGTCCTCGTCGCTGATAGGCACATACGTAGTGGGTGAGGTTCGTCGTCGCTTTGCTGATGTTGACATTGTCACGACCGGTCAATAAATCCCCACTACCAGAGTCCATGTGCTGCTGCTGACTTTTTGGCGATTTCATATATGTTTCAGCATGATTTGTTGCAGCTCCGAGACCTGGGAGGTAGGTGAAACGAACTGCTTACCACTCTCTCGACTGTACCGCGACGCGTCTCGAGTATGCGGCATGTCTCGTCAGCACGTGCTCATGACGTAGTTTTCCACTGACGGGCAATATCACAGATGAAAGAGCTTCATCGATAACGACTTTCGATTTTACTTACTAGCATCCAGCAACGACAACAACACAGAAAACTCGACATGTTATGACCCAAGCCATCGAGAATCACATGCACGATGTCCAATATATGCACACAATGCCACCTCCTAGCACGGCGACAACTACAAGCTCGCCTCTCAAAACATAGCAATCACACTCGTAGCATCCACGTCTCAAAACCACGCGGTGAAGCTCAATACAGTCCTCGGGAACTAGGTGATTTCTATAACGACATCCTCTCAACACCGCTACCAAAAGTAGCACAGGCCAAGACCGAGAAGCAGGATCTACCAGAATGGGTATCGACGTCTGGACGAAAGGACATCGAGGAACGAGCCCGCAAACTGTTCGGAAACATTGAAGGTTCAGGTTATCAGCGGTCTCAGTCTGATACACCAGATGCGACGTGGCGGACGATAAATGGCGTGCCTATTCCACCTAGGCCAGGGGAGCCGGATAATTGTTGTATGAGTGGGTGTGTGCAGTAAGTAGTCGTTCTCGTTGCAGTTCAGCAGCTTTGGCTGTGCGACTTGAGCTGGAAAGCTGATTGTTTGATTTTTGTTGTAGCTGTGTCTGGGACGATTATCGTGATGATGTCGAGTCCTGGGCTGCCAGACTGAAGGAAGCGCAAGCGAAAGGTTCCCAGAGTGGTGAAAGTGTCACAAAAACTCCGAAGATTGGATTTCCACGACCCGAGGTACAAGCATCATCTGGCAGTATGGACGATGATGGTGGAGGGAGCGAGGCTTTATGGCAGGCACCGAGTGTAGAAGCTGATCCAGACGCTTTATTTGCTGATATACCAATAGGAATTCGAGAGTTTATGGCAACAGAGAAGAGGATTCGAGATCGAAAAAGAAGCAAGAAGGAGAAGTTGACTGCGGACTAAGACCTATGAACTACTGCTCTAATCCTTCAAGCATGTCTTTCAGAGGTGCTTGATGCACGCCAGATCTGACGGAATTCCATCTATTGATCCATTCCATCACTACGAAACTAAGTGGGGATTTATTGAGTCTGGGGTCGAATCTTGTTTCGACACCGGCAGCAGTGGCAACCCTCCGTACATCGAACATATCATCTAAAATTGGCACGGCTGCTACAACATATGAGTGTCTAGGTCAATGACAACTGATTCATCACAGTATTCAAGTCAGACCCAGAGTTTCTCATGTTATGAACCATGAATCTTATATTCTGGCCTGCATAAGATTCAGGCTGACTCATGACATTCCTCACTGTCTGTTGGACGTCTGTGTTGTGCAAAACTTGCAGGACAACTTGCTTACCTCCGTTCAGAGTAGACAGCAAACCTAGCGCAAACCATACTCGCTGTGCTACAGGTGGGTCCGCAATTTGGGCTTTTGTGGCCATGAACCCGAAGATCTTCGACCACTGGTCTAGAGGGAAGAGCTGAATGATCGCATCGAGGTTGAAGAGTTCTGAGTATGTGGGAGCTGAGGATGTCTGCTGAGCTATGGTCGCGCAAAGTTCGACAATGAGCCTTCCGATTTCAAGACATATCGTATCTTGGCCTTTATCGAAGAGCTTGAAAAGGTCACTCATGATGCTGTCGTGGTGCTGTGTGGTGACGAGTAATGCTGGTATATGCTCGGGATGACCCTTAATCATGAGCTCCAAGAAAGTGACTGCATTTGTAGGAATCTCGTAACCAAGACCCTGGCGTGTCAGGAGGTGGTGAACTGCCTGCATGAAGCGCATACCGAACAGATGTCTCCGCAACGACCAAGTGACAGCAAGCTTCGTCGCGACGGCCAAAGCGGGATGAATGATAGTCTTGTCTGTTTCATATTTCAGTGTATGAAAAAGCGCAGGAATGAGATCTTCAGTGGCTAACAAGTGTGCTCTAGCGTCACTGTTGATGAAGGCATATAGCATGATGTATGCGATCGTGCCTTGAAACGGGCTGATATTGACGGAATGGCATAGTATATCGAGTGACTGCCGAGCGACACCATATTTCGGAGGGTCAGTGAACTCTGGCATTCGACAAATCTCATAGACCATGCTCAGCATTGTTGTCTGCAACTTCGTCATGGTCTCGATGTTGTCTTTCTGCTCCTCTTCATCTTCGCCATAATAGCCAGGCATGAGATCTGGGGTGTCGGCTGCTAGTGCAAACTGGAAAATTGACCCCGTTGAGGCAAGGTATGTCTTAGCAGCACTTGAAGCTGAGATTGCGAACAACGATCTTACGATATTTGCACGAGCTCTTGCGGAGTAGTCGGCCACGTACTGGCCACCATCTAGAGCAAGCAAACGTTCAATAGCTTGGTCATAGTCACAGTCACGCTCTTCGAAATTTCCTTCTAGAGCAGCAGCAGGCCTCGCTGCCATTTCAACCAATTCAGCCAGATATTCTTTGATGCCATCCTCACAATCAAGCACGACATAAGGCTTCAGGAGAGCTTGAATGCCGGAAAAGATGCTGAAGGAGGGAACATCAGCCCTTGCAAGACGTTCTTCCGCCAGGGTGACGTGCAAGTGGTCTTCGGAAGTATGATCCGAATTGGTGTGAGCTGGCTCGTCGAAATCAGCGCAAACATTGTAGATTGTAGGAATGACTATGGTTGAGTCTTCACCTTCGACAAGTATCTTGACAAGGGACAAGAGACCCCCTGCTTGCAGGACTAGCCTGCGATTCTGGTTGTTGTCAGCACAGCAGTTTGCTATCAGCTTGATCAGGGCATCGCTGGTCTCTGGGCTGGGATTTGGTTCTTGGCTGTCAGCATAATCTATGAGCATTTTCACAGCAACACCAAGAATCGACGTAGAGCCACTGTATGAGACAGTCCCTCGCCCAAAAGCTTGACGCCATTCTAGAGCGTACGGCGAGGATTTAGAAGCTGTGTAGAGGGCTTGCCATAGGTTGTTGGTTTGGGCATCCTGTAAGATCTGCTGCCCATCAGCAGGACCTGCTAAGAGGACGTCTCGTACTAAACTCGAGTACTCCGGCTGTGGGCGTGAGGGAGTCATAGCCAGCCTTCGTCAGCAAGCGATCATGATTATTGAAAGATGTGTGAGGTAGTAGCAGACCTTGGCGACTCGAGCAGAGTTGTAACCACTAGTCAGATGCAGGAGCCCGATATCGTTGGTGGCATTTATGAGCGACCGTAGAAGCACGAAAGTCAAACACCCCTTTTGTTGCACTTGTGGACAGAAAAGTTACTGGCATTTGCGACAGGTAATGGGATAGCACAGGAATCTGCATCAATTTGTCCACTTTTGCCAGAACACTGAGACAGAGTGCACTGTCGATATTCTACAATGACTAGAGCGACACAAACCATTTCGTTCGCCCTTCTGGCGTGCTCGGTATGCCACATACACATCGGCGCTTGAGGTAGCGAAGCATTCTAATTACCTACTAGGGCTACCTTCTTCTTGCGCTTCCACTCCTTATGGACGAGTCGCCAATACCTTCGATATTGCCAACTAAACTGCAAGTCGAGATCGTGCCCGTTCTACCATTCTGGGCTCTCATCTCTTTGGCGTGCTATTTGCTGGGACGACTAGGATGGGGTGTTCTGAACTTCAACGACACTGAGGATGCTTACCATGAACTCATGGGACAAATCGAGCAGGCAAAGAAGGATCTGGACAAGAGGAAGGTTGGTTGGAATTAAGAGAGATGGCAGGACCGAAACATAAAAGAAGTTGGGCTACACTGGACGTCTACAATGTGTGCATGACAGTTTTGGTTGATCTCAGGAACTTGCAGATACGTAACGATGACCAAGTCGCGATTGCACTATATCGCAAGGTCCAACTCTACGCTTCGAGTATATTTTGTCGTATCTCGGCCCACTACGTCTTCAGATTCCCTTTTCCTGCGCAAGTCGATCATGCTCGTCAATGTCGGTAGCCTCCCAAGGATAGCAGATCCAAACGTCTGTTACGGTCCTCGCAGCGATATACCTCTGCTCTTCGACCATGTCCGTTGGCAGATGACCTTTCTTCTGCTTGTCCTTGTTGTGCAGCACGAATATCGAGAACTTGGTTGTCTCTGTTCTTCCTTGCTGCTTCCTGGCAGTTTCGACATCTTTCTCCAGCTCTTTCACAGCGTATTCGAGCGTGGTCCTGGTGTCGTCAACCTCGTCGACGATAAGAACATTCTTTCCGATCAGGTTGCCCATCTCAAGTGACGACAGATCGAGCCATTGTGTTCGCGTGACTTTTGTGCCTGGTGCCTCTACAGGGTCCGAGCCGGAGAGCGTCTCGTAGAGGGAGAGACCAATAGCTTGGATGGGGATGTTTGGAGCGCCTGGCTGCTTGAGGAACGATCTAGCATGTGTTGAGAATTTGTTTCAAGCAGTCCGCGGTTGCTGACTTACCTCAAGATGCGAGCAGGAACATAGCCACCACCGCCGATCGCAATCATGAGGTTTGGCTTGAAATCGCTGAGTATCCTCGGTGCTGCTTCCTGGCACAATTTGTGGACCTAGATCTACCTGTCAGTCCTTATCCTGGTGCTTTGTTAACATGTGACAGTTGCAACTCACCTGGTTGTAGGTAACGTAGAATTTCTCGACCATTTTGGCGGTTCCTCGATGATCCGAAAATCAGTTTTGAAAATATGGTTGGCGCAAAGACGAGCCGTCTTATGTGCTAAGTGTAGCGTTTGTCACATCATGAAATTCGTCGAGAATCACAATTCCCAGTCGCAGGAAAAAACACTTTTAGCACGTTAGGAAGTGCCCGCCCGCTGTGTATGCCTCAGGTGTCAACACTCCTTTACATTCGATCACATCTGCCTTCCTGATGGAAGGACATGCCCAAATCTGTGTCTTGGTATATGCTTCGAGATCAGCCTGCGATTATAGTCGCCATATCTTCCTTACAAGTTCTTTGTCTGCCTCGACAGTTTCCTCGTTGCCTCGCTTTCGCTTATTCACATTCAGCACAGGCGAGGGTAGTACTCTCTCATGCCAACAAGCAGTAAGTATACATGATAACGAGATATACATCAGATACACTTATATACCATGTTGCTAGGGAGCACACTCACTTCTATTACATCTTCAGTCTTGCGTGCGGCTCAACATCAGCTTAGGTAGCACACTATGAGCCTCACGGAGTTCGATTTCAATAATATGTCGGTTACTCAAACGGTTGTTATGTTTGAGCGAGAACGTCATTCTTGCGTCTTTAATCTAACAACGAACAAACCACAAAGATCTCAACGTTGACCAAGCACCATGCACCAGGCTTTGATATGTCGATACACAAGGGCTAGCAAGCTATAGTTGCCCTAGTTCGAAGCTCATGAAGAGCCAGATTCGATACCAAAAGAACACCACCCTATGCCCCTTTCTTATCTCAACTCCTCAGGCGTATCAGGCTGGCTCTTCCAACCTCCCTTCTGAAACGCCTCCAACCCCATACACGTCTCATACACTCTCTTCACAACCGGAAACCTCCCCAAATCCACCCCAAACCTCAACGCCCCGTCAACGGCCGGAACCAATACAACATCCGCCATGGTAACTTCATCACCAAAACTAAACTTCCCCGCCGTCCCCCTCGCAACCTTCTCATACGCATCCAACCCAGCCGCCATAAACTCCTGCTGCCACTCCTCCGCCTTCGCTCCCAACGGCCTAACTTTATTCAGGATTCTCAAATTGGTCACCGGCTGAATATCGCACGCGACGATATTGACTAAATCTCTGACCTGTCCCCTCTTCACCGGCCGATCTACAGGCGGCAGCAGTCTTGGAAGCAATTCCGGATGTCGTTCCTCGAAATACTCCAGAATCGCGACTGATTGCCGAATTAGGATCTTCGTGCCGTCTGATTCAGTGATCACCAGTGTCGGAACACTCTTGCTGGGATTCAAGTTATCTACGTACTCGGAGTTTTGCTGTTCGTTCTTGAGCAGGTGGATGTAGTTGTACTTCAGCGGTATGCCCTTTAGATGTGCTGCTATCCTGACCCGGGCGGAGCAGGAGGAGCGGAAATATGTGTACAGCTCGTAGTCTGGTACCATGTTGTTTTCGTGGGAGGTAAGCACTGAACGTGTGGTGAGAAGAGAGTGGTGGCTTGTGCTCTCTCTGGTGTATATGCTTTCAAGTTTGGTGGTACCAAGCGCTCAGGCTGTGCCAGGAGGGTAGAAATGCGGAGGCGGAGTTGGTTCCGCGCTTCGAAAACGGAACGGCATGTCTACTAACTCTGATGTTATGGAGTATGCGAGATGTGATAATACGACTGCTGATATAGGTTGTTAATTTATTCTGCAATATTGCATCGACGGATCTCATTAACAATGATAAACTCAGGCTTGACCATGTTGTGACTATTTTCAACAGAAATATCCGTCAAATCACGTAGAGACAGCAGCAACATATTTATATTGTCTTCTTAGATGTGAAGAGACAGCCAGTAGTGAGCCTCGAGGGGATCGTAGAAGATTTGTGATACACATTATTACATACACAATCCGCACCATAGCATAAAATGTAAGCCTATTTGCAGCTTCTTGAGCCTGTCCGCCCACAACCTGTATCTCACTGCACGACCCAGTAAGAAAGCCGAATCGAAATTTTGCAGAAGAGCTCCTCAATCGTGTTGACACTTGTGTGCTAATACCCAATTCCGTAGACACCATGTCAAGCAAATGTCTATCTTCACAACTCGTATCCAAACATGCGATTATATGCTGGCAGATCCGCCTGCTGTCTCGCTTGTCCCTGTAGGTGGCCCATCTCAACGGCTGCATCGACGTTAGCATTGATGTCGTTGTCAAAGTCGTTCCAAGTTGCCCAGGCTGGTCCCTCAGGTACAGTCCGTCTTCTGGGTGGAAGTTGCCGATCTACTGCAAACGGAGATTGCCTCTGGTGCTCTTGTTGCCGCTGTTGACGGACTGGTGTCGGAGGTCGAAATTGCTCCCTCCAGTTGTGGCCAGGTATAGCTGCTTGTTTGCCGTGTCCAGGGTGAGCACCGACAGCTATCGCTGTTCCCGGTTCTCGTCGTAACCATGGTAGATCATCCGGTGTGTTTCGTAGCATGTCGTTGTATTGCGGTATGTGGGCTTGCGGGAATGGGTTATCCCTCCCTTGCGGCCTTTGCAGTTGTGGCTGTAACCATCGAGTTACCTCTTCCTCATGATTGCCCAGAGCCTGAGTTGGATCTATGTCCTGAGCAGCCACATGTTCACGCGCCCTAGCATTGTTCCGCCGCTGTAATTGTAGCTGTCGCCTTCGGTCCATGTCAGCTCGAAAATTTTGTAGCCGCTCAACCCTAGCAAAGTTTCTGGCCGCCTGAATTTCGGCATCCAGCATGTCGTTGACATCCGGTACTGCTAGTATACCGTTCGGATGAATGATCTGGTTTCTCCAGGCTTCGATCGTTGCGGCCGCGCCTTGTTCATTCGTAGCACGCTGAGCAGCTAGAACTTGAAGCCGGTCATTCAGCCCAGCGCCATCGATCACGTTATTTGCTTGACCAAGAGGCTGAGGCGCTGCAGCCAAGTTAGGTGAAGGATAAGCGATATGCGGCATTTCTGGTCGTTCGATCAATTCTCTGTTCCGTCTGCGTCCCCTGCGGCGTAGGTCTTCTTCGAATTGCAACATGTCTCCACGATATCCTGGAAAGCCGGCACGATTTGGTGGTACGTTCGGTTGTGCACTTTTGCCAGTTTCGATGCGCAACTCGTCCTCCTCAATAGTCTCGTCGGCGTCTTTGGCTTCCTTAATAGCTTTTATTTCAGCCTCATTGGCTTCTTGGACATGACGATCGATTTCGGGTCTATCATACAATGGACATTTGGGTTTTTGAATGCTCATACTGCCGTTGAAATGCGCATAACCGTCTCTCATATCAGAGAGGTCTTGCTTGCAGACGTAACACATCACCGCGCCACACTGACATCTCATTTTATTGCAACCCAACTCTTTGATCAGATTTGTCTTGCATTTCGGACAGGGTCTCATCATTGCAGCAGATCGAGCTTCCTCAATTCTGTGTTTGACGTCAAGCTTTCGATCTTTCTTGGCTTCCTCGCACGTCTTCGGCAGATGAGAGATTTCGTGGCATTTCCGGCAGGTCACCTTGAAGCACGCCGGACTCTGACAACTAAAGGTTGTATCTGTCTCGACAGGATCACAAATGGCCTTGAAATCGCAAAAGGGGCATTGTTCGAGGCCTTCCAGGTTCGCTGCAGCAATTTCAGCTTGTTGCTGATTGAAGAGCAGCCTGTCGAAAGTTTTGATGGGAATGGCACGGCCCACGGACTCCATGTCCAGCTTCTCCTTGCAGCCACTTTCGTCCATGCACACCATTTCGTACTTCATGAGGCCAACCTGAGTATCTGCTAGCTTCCCAACGCAGTCGAAGCAGAATGAATGTTCGCCGGAGCTGGCTGTACACGTCACAGCTCGGTTGATAGGTATCTCGTCGTCAAAACAAATTTGACATTCAACTATTGTCCCATCTGCCTTGTGCTGCTCCAAATTTTTTCGTTCTGAGTTCGCTTTCTCTTCTTCTTGACCCTTCTTAAGGTTCTCCCGGGCGTTGTGCTGCTTCACAGCCTGTAGCTCGCATATCAAGCTCGTGTAGCATTTCGGATCTGATTGGGGAGGACGTCGATACTTCTTCTCAAGCTGAGTGCGAGGTCTACTCGAGCGGTAGTATGGCCGTGGTGTAGTTTGAAAGTAATTGATCTCGTCATTTTCGATGTGTCGATACGTATCCCATAGCGACTTTTTGTCCTTCAGAGTCCTGTCGATGTAATGCGTAGGCACATGTTCGAACTGACTTGCAAGAATGACGATAGCATCTCGCCTGTAGTCTTTGTGTTTGCGATTGTCTATGTCCCATTTGATTATCTTGCCTGTTTCAGCCTCAAAAGGGTCCTGAATGGAGCTTGTGTTATTGACTCTCTTCGGATATGTCTCCAAGCCAAGGATTTGCTCGACAATAACATTGCTATCAGGTACAACCTCAATCTCCTCATTACCGAAACTCCAGGACTCGTGCTGCATCTTGATCCTAGATACCGCAAATTGATGTTGAATACCGGGAAGCACCTCCAGTATTTTGGCTAAACAATCAGCTTGACCAGGCGTGAGCGTCTGGGCATTGTCCTTGTCGTCGTCATCGCTGTCCTCCACGGCGATAGACTCATCAACGTAAGGTCCGAATGCATTGTGCCGAGTCTGCTTCAACATCCGGCGCTGGGTCCTGCGCTCGGCCGTCTCATTCCAATCGTCACAAAATTGCTTGAATTTGGGGTCTGCATCGATCGGCACTGGAAAGTGTGCGTAGCCTGGACCACGAAACATTCGTACATCCAGTTTAGGGTCGTGAAAATATGGAGGCTCGACTGGCTTTTTGGGCAAAGCTTGTACTGGGTTGAAGATAACATCCTCCATGAACTCTGGTGAGCCGTGCTGTACTAGAGCGTCTTCGAAGAAGTTAGGATATGCTTGCATAAATGCATTCTCGAATTCCTCTTGTGTGTGCGGAAAGTCTGCTCCTATATGATCCTGCTGTATGAAGTTATCGGTGTCGACAGAAGACAATCTTGGTCGCTTGGCGTGTCTCTGTAGTTCTGGCGAGCTGGTAAGATCCACAAAACCGACCCATGGTTGTCTGCCGGGAGTTCCGTCCAGCTGTGGGAGGGTTGATGATCGTGCGTTAGGTCTGTTCGAAGGTCCAACTCCAGGGTCGTCATTGTCTTCGTCGTCTATGACTATGATCTCTGAAGGAGTTTGTCGAGGCATGCTCGTACCAACTCCCACTTGGTTTACGGGGATTGGTCTCGTGCGATTGACCACGAGCGAAGGAAGTCTAGTAAGGAAGGAATTAGTCTGGCAGATATGGCAAAATATGGCAGAATGCGGAAGATATTGTGAAAGATATTGCTATTGATGAGAACTTATAGTCTTGCGCATAAGGGACTAAATATCAATTAGACTTCTTAGAGAAAGTGCAGTGCACACGCCCGCATGGCAGGCGGCTGTTTGTAGTGCGAGCGAGATAACATAAAGGTCGATAGTGAGGTCGCAGACTCGATTGTACGAAAGTGTGAGTAGTGATCGGTGTCACGTCGTGTAATAAGTACATACCCATGTTGATCTGGACGACCTACTAACATAGCCATGACCGCACGTTTGAGCAAGCCACTAGAATAGCACTTCTATGATGAGTAGCATCAGCTTATACATTAAATGTTTGCCAGGCTGAGAGGGCTGTGCAAGTGTATGAGGTTGAGCCTGCTTGATTAAGGCAGCATGACGGGCTCTCAAATTACTTCTTCACGCGAGAAGAGGTTAGGTGCAAATTTCTGTCGGGTCTCATTTCCCTAGTAGAATGTGTTAGGCTGGCTGGCTTGTGGTTTCGTTGGAAGGAAGAGCAGTGAAGTCAAGTTAAGGGAAAAGAAGGAGCAGACGCCGCATCGCTGTTGGGCAGAAACACCACCAGAGCCAAGCGAGTAGCCAACAAATCGCACGTCTACGCGTGGAAAGAAACGAAACCAATTGCCTTGCAGTGACACTTCTCCGCAAATCCAGTCGCGTGTGGTTTCGCTGGTCGGACAGGTGCGAAACAAATTTAAGTTCTAGCTTCGTATGATGAGCATATTTGCGAGGTGTGCTTGTGCTGGACAAGACAAAAGGCAAGAAAGTTACAAACCCTTCCCTGAGCTCGACTTGAGGATTAGGCTCGCTTATCTAGCCGAATCTTTAAGCTGGTGGATATAGTGGATCTTAAATGGACTGAATCCACGATGGCGACCCATGAACACTGACTGCATTAAGATTGAGTCCGGTTCTTTTGTATATTTCAAAGAACAGTCGGTGCGGTCATTTGTAACTAGTGGTTGCCGACTTCACATCGTTCTGAATGAAAACAAACTATTTGTGAGGACTAAATCAAAGTACATACTGTAGTCCGCCAAGCATGCGTCCGGTTCTTACGCTTAGTCGCGGTATTTATCAGGAATCGCTTGCTCTTCTCCTTCACATTTCCACCTAATAGATATTCGCGATTCGTCCCAGTCAGCATCACACATAGTTCACATGATGTTCTCCTGGCAAACACGACCGTGTGTCGAAGCATTATTTGATAATGGAATCGTAGTTGTGCGTTCCACGCCTTGTGATCGAACAACGAGTGGAAGTGACGAGTCGGGAGATGCTCAAAGCTCTTCTTGTTTGTGATTTTCAGCATTCCGAGCCTCCAACATTGAGTTTACTATTGATTTTGCTTACAGTATAGGTCTTCATATCTCTATAGGACAACTCTCGTACAGTTAACATCTCTACAAACTCACAATGCCTGCTGCTAAAGAACAGAACAGACAGCTTACCACGGAAAAACAACCAGCGTTAGACCTTGCTTCCCTACCACCGATCGACAGCCTCGTCTTGGATTCTTGCAGCGAGATCGAATGGGAACAGACCTGTAGACTTAACGCTGCTGAATGGAAGGGGTTCCTCTCGTACTCAGACTATCTAAATCGGGAGCGAATTCTCGCAAACACTGAAATCACTCGAGAAGGAGGTGGTACGGCATGGATTCTTACGTGCGACAAACTTCCTCGAGCACCAGATGGTTCACGAGCGATATTGGCGTCATGTGAGACGAACCGTAAGAACGCCTACGTAGCAAAAGATGGCAAGCTGGAGAAGGTCGTGGCTCATGGCATAGGTTCGGTCTACACTCGATCGGAATATCGTGGCAAGGGATATGCAGCAAAAATGCTACAAGAGATAGGCAGGAAGTTGAATAGTTATCAACAGGTTAAGAACAATAGAGGCCACTTCTCAGTACTGTACTCAGACATTGGACCTAAATTCTATGCTAGGCACGGTTGGAATCCTTTCGCCAGTACGCATATCTGTCTGCAAGCAATCGACAACCAAGGCGAATATTATCAAAGACTTGCTGAGATCACGCCACGCCGAGAGACGAAGGACCTTACCATAGATGACGTTCACTCTTTGGCACCCTCCTGGGCAGCTCATCTAGAATCTCAACTGATCAACCTGTCGGCCACAAACCCTTCGAAAGCGTATGTGGCGTTCAAGCCAGAACCAGCACAATTCGAGTGGCATTTCATGCGCGAAGAGTTCCTGGCAGAAAATCTTGGTAATAACAAACCTGTCGTCAAAGGAGCCATCGACACCAAAACCGGCACTGCCGTGGTTTGGGCACGAACCTATGGCTCAGATTCTGCTCAGTGGCATCTTAGCGTACTGTATACTCACATCCCGACAGACGCAGACCTTGCTCAGGACGAACTCAGAACAGCCTTGTCAACGTTGATGTTGCGAGCACAATGGGAAGCAAAGCAATGGAACATGGCTGCAGGAGTTGAGATCTGGGACCCAAAGGAGCTGGTTGTCGCTGCTGCACAAACTATTGCTCATGGTCAGGATGTCAAGATCATCTTGCGTGATCAGGAACACATCTGCAGCCTGAGGTGGAATGGCCCTGAGACTGATGAGGTCGTGTGGGTAGCTAATGAGCGTTTCGCGTGGTGTTGAAACACGTATTGGGTTTGGTGACTGTCAAGCAAGTCAATTCTCGATTAACAATCGTTTGGCAAGCGTATTTTCGAACGGAAGATGGGTCACCGTCCAATGTTCTCGTTTGTCAGAATCCGCCAGATCAGGCATTCAGCGGGCGTAGTCTATCTCCAGAATCTCCTAAGCTTACAGCACGTTGTGCCGATAGGCATGGCAGAAATTGGTTCACGAACAGGAGCTCAACTTCCAGTTCAAATTTTGTAGATTCATTCCGCCCCTAAGCTTCTAATATGCTCTCATCTCAACAGAGATTGTGAACTTTGGAGGACGCTTCGTTCAAGTTAATGCTGCCAATGCATTGTGTTTATAGACGACTTCGAAAAGTCCTACTTTTGGATGACAGTAACGCAAGAAGACGAAAATAAAATTTCACGTTCCCCTTTTGAAAAGAGAGGCTGGTGCATTTCATACCAGTCAAGTATCAGATCTAAGCTCTTTAAAGAGATCCTCTGGCAACTTCCAAACTTTCACCTGGCCATCATCACCAGTCGATACAATATACTCTTCCTGGTCATCATCATCGTCTAGACTCGCTCCAGCGCCGAGTTCCTCACGCCGTTTACCATCCCTCTTTGGCGCCCAGCAAACGTGGTTCACCTCATACTCGTCGTGCGCAGCCTCCACAATCGCGACCACTTTCCACTCAGTTGGGAGCTTCTTGATGTCTCCTTCGTCATCTTGGCCGTTCGTCCCATCCATAACTACATCTGTATCTTTTTGTGCGCTGTCCGCAGTGACCTCCTTGTACACAGCGAGGACACCATCACCGCCACAGCTAACCACGAGACCTGTCTTTGCACTCCAATCAATGGCGTATATACTCCTCACATGAACAGCAGGTAACGTAGCTTCTTCGATCCATTTCTCCGTGCTTGTTGGTGGCCGAATCGTGCTGGGTATCCTACCTGAAAACCCTGTGGGAGGCGCAATCGTGGCATCGCCGTTTCCATCTGTGGTGTTTGTGGTCCGTTGTCCACGTCGTATCTCCTCGATACGCATCTTTTTCTCATCCGCCTCCTTCTCCGACAGTTTCTTCGTCCATATCTTTATGGTCAGATCGTCGCTGCAGCTGATGAGCCTGGGCGCCCAGTCGACTATCACTTCCTCAGCGGTGATTTCGGTAGGATAGGACGCGAGGTTGACGTAGCTCTCGAACCTCACATCCCAAACTGTGCCGTCGTGACCAGTCAGAACAGCGATAGTGATCCAATCGCCTTCTGCCTCGTCATCGTGGTGTAAGCGTATGGTGTCGTCGTAGCTTCCAGATGCGAGGAGTTCTCGACGACCTAATATTACCTCGTCGTCATCGTCTCCAGTCTCGGGACCAGTATCGCCCTCGTCTTTTGTCCTCCTCCTTCTCAGCCGGCTGCTGATCTCTCGTCGCGAGGTTCTAGCTCCTGCCAACCACGTCACGCACTTGACATCACCCGCATGCTCTCCTAAGACTGCGACAGTCTCCCACTCTTCTGGTTCGACCTCTTCCCACACCCAGACTGATTTATCTCTTGAACAGGTCGCGAGCAAATTAGCTCCGTAGTGTGGTGGGCTAAACGCCAAATCTTTGATCTCACTATCTGGACCAGTCAACAAGGTCGAGAAATGCCAATCTTCTTCATCCTCTTCCTCTTCTTGGGCAGTATTTGTAAAATCCTGCTCTTGATCCATGTCATCGTCGTCGTCAAAAGCTCCAGGAACTGCACCAGGTCGGGTCGAAGCACTCTCACTACCACCTTCACGTTGTTTTTGCCGTCCCTGTTGTAGACCTTTATCCTGATTCCAGACCCACAACCCACAATTCGCATCAAAACTGCCCGAAGCGAGAATGACAGGATCTCTACGCAGTTCATCCTCACCATCCTCCATATCTACATCTTTGCGACGCTTCTTCCTCTTCTCGCCATAGTCCTTCCACCCCACACATCTTATGCTCCGTTTGTGGCCGCCTGCGATGGTGGAGAGGAGGCGCCAGGAGCGCATGTCCCATATATTGACGCTCCTGTCGGACGTCGCGGTCGCGAGGAGAGGGGCACGGGAAGATAGGTGGGGTGCTGAGGACCATGTTCTTGTGCCTGTGGTGGGACAGTGGAGGGTTGTGTGGTGTGTTAGCTGTGGGATTGACTCTAGTGATGTTGTTGCCATGATGGCGGACAGAGAGGACGAGCCACGAGCTAATAGTCGTGCTGTAGCTTGGCTATTAGGTTTCAGCTCTTGATGGAGGCCGAGGCGTTAGATCTGTTATCGCTGCTTGTGAGCTATGTGCTGTTTCATTCCAATATAGCGGGGCGGTTTCAATGCGATTTTATTCGAGGTCTTAACAAGATAGGTATCGCAGTCTCGCTGTGGTTGAGTTGCGACACGCCCGAACGGACAAGAGATTTGATGGCAGACAGGACATATGTGAAAACGAAGAGGTCTATGATCAGTCTAATTATCCATCCAGTATAGTGATCAGCTACACTGCTGAGTTGGTCAAAATTTATTTTCTCAGCGACCATTCCGTCGATTATGACGTACATATGTAGAGCGACAACATAACGCGGGTCGGGCAAAGTGAACAATGTAAATTATATACACCATGTCTCAGGGCTATAAGCAGATAATATGTCGTATATCTGCATATCTGACAGCAATGAAGGTATAATTGCTACTATGCCTTCTCGCAAATCGTACCACTATACTCAGTTCAGGTTCGTACCTTCAAGTCAATACTTGCTGGTACTAGTGAGCAGCCATTGATTCAGACCACACCCTTACCAAAGAGGTACACAAGCCAAAGAACTAACAGAACCTGAAGAGGCCACTCGACTGTCATCCTTCCATCTCTCATGGTACTACCAGCGCTAGTAACATTAAAAGCGACCTGCGGATGTCCAGCATTGCTCACGTCGTCAACGCGACATCCGAGATTGCACTTCTTTTCTGCTCTTTTAGTTGGATTTGCACCACTGACGTTGAAGGTCGACTCGATCCATTGCACTCCCACTGTGACGTCCGCCCCAACTGACATATTTCCAGTCCACTCGCCGCCATCAGACCATAGGTTCAGCACTAATGCACTAGGCATGGTCGGCACATTCAAAGTCTTCTCAACGGCAAGCACACCGTCTACATACCACCGACTGATCCCATCATACCAATCGATTCGATGATCATGCCATTCCGTCCAAAAGGTATTGTTTGGCATGATAACGTCGCTGCTGGCTCCGGGAACTGTGTTGCCTGTACTGGGATCAAAGTCTGGCTGATTGCTGTAGCGAACATGATTGGTTGGGTCTTGCGTCAAGATCTCAATATCGGATTCTTGTGTGTCAGATCTATAAGTAAAGAGACCAAGACAAGCACCTGGTGCGACGGGATGACTGGCATTGTTTCCAGAAATCAAGGGATTGAGATTGGGGAGCACCCTCATTCGTGCTCGAATCGAGCTGTGAAGAATATTTTCTTGATTCGAGTCAATCTCAGCGATAGATGCGAATTCAGGAAGTCGATACGCTCGAAGGTTCAGGTAAGTCATTCTGTTTGGGTCTGAGGTATTTCGAGAGATATAGACATTACTAGCTGAATTAACCGTTGGCACGTTTGCAGTTGAATCCTCGACGCCATTTTGTATCGACCAGTCGGCATTGAACGAATCGGTATTAAGAAATGCGGACGTGATGCTTTGGTTACCTACATTTTCGCTGCTGATGACTGGTGGCGGTGCAATAGTGTAGTTATTGTTGCCATCATTGGGTACAGCCCTAAAATCCCAGAAGCGATAATATTGAAAGTAGCCTGGATCCGGTCCAGATACCATGTAACAATCACATCCTGCGGAGTTATCGTGAGATTCTGGCTCTGTAAGTCCAGGATCGATTGCAGCCACTATGTTAGCGAGCAACGACAGCTTCACGAAACTGGAAGCTGCTTTCATGTCGGCTATTTGATATCTCGGAATGTTAACGGCTTTCGATGGTAACACTCTTGACGGCTGTGCCAGGCTCTTGATGTAGGATGAGAAGTCGTGCTGAGTTGATATCTGGTTGTGCGGAAGTTGGCAATTAGGTATTCGACGTGGCCTTCACTTTGTTACCTGTGAAGGAGCACTCCTGACACGAGCACCTGCCGTACAGGAACGTCAGGCGCGAGTGCTTGCGATATGAATGAAGGGCAAAGGTGGTCTGACTTTGAGCGCGTTTCCAATCACGAGGCTAATTTATAGTTGTACCAGAGTTGAGATATCGTGGAGCTCAACCTTCCAGTCACTGGAGGTATAGCTTACACCGGAAAACTGCATAGTTTCCTGATCGAAACAAAGCTTATAGGTGAGGTTGAACAAATATGGAATCATGCTGTTCTGAAGTGCTCCGACTCAAACTTTGCTGGCCGAATTACCATTGTGAATTGGGGACGCACAAATCGAACATCCCTGTGCTGTTGTACCTTACAAGTAAGTTCTTTCTTCTTCAAGGCTACAACTCTTCGACACGGCATAAACTAATGGCTGTTGGCTGAACTGCGTGGGTCGTGGAGAGTATGCCACAGACTCGTGTTGTGCAAGACATGTCAGTCCTACCCTGTGAACTTTTTCTGAATCTCTTCAATAAAATTAGCCAGAAGGCCAGGTCTGGCTTCACGGTTCATGGTGTCCCCGTGTTCGACCTTCCATGCTGAGCTTGCTGCTATGCCCACCACAATACCTGTCCAGTGCGCCGCCACGTCGATCGTCTTCTTACGTAAGCCCACGACCACATCATAAACGACTAGAGCTCCTAATAACATCCAACCCTTTGCATACACTTGACCCTGATACTCCTTTGGTATGAAGATCAAGCTGAAATTGTCGTCCTTGTGCAGCCACATATAGGCACTCATGATTCCCCAGGTACAACCTGAAGCGCCTTGCGAAGAGGTGTACAAGATGCCTCTGAGTACGAAAGAACTCATGCTGACTAAACTTCCAAGAAGGCCAGCCGCAAGGTATATTGCAAGAAAGTTCCCTCTTCCGATATCCTCGTGCAAACTTGGACCGAAGATAAAAAGTGAGACCATATTGTACAGGAGATGTCGAAAGCTGTAGTGGCTAAACGTCTTACCAAACATGCTGAACCAATAAGGGTACGCCGGATTGACAAGGAAGTACTGGTTGAGCAATCTCAGGGCAGGAGGAAAACGCCACAAGCAAAAGACCAGTACATTCGCAGCTAGAATACCGCTACACGTGGCAACTGAAAGGCTGACATTGGGCATCAAACGATCGCTTCGTCGAGGTGGTTCCCAGTACTGCGCAAAAAGATAAAGGCCTGCACAAGACACTAGCACGAACAGCAGGCTCGGTAGAATTCTACCTGCAGTTGTCAAGTTGGCAATCTCAGGCGAATCGAGTGTAAAACCAGTGCTAGCCTTCTGCTGTGCTCGAATTATCCACTTTTCGAACTCATTCGGAGGACGAACGTGTCTGCCATCGGCTAGTTCTATGCCTTGCTCAGGTGCTCTTTCTAGTGCTTGCGATTGCTTCTTGGGCTGTTTCTGAGATTGTATCTGCGCTTGTGCTTCTGCCTGGGCCATAGACTGGTCGATCTGCTGTTGTAGCGTATTCTCCTCCTCTTCTGCCTTTGCCTCGTTAGCAGCACGAAGCTCCTCAAGTTCTGAACGGCCGAAGACATCGCCTTGCTTCTCACTCAATTGAGAGTAGTAAGCGCCGCTTTGTGGGCCGTAATACGTGGGGTCTTCCCGTATTGATTGATCCTGTGTTTTGAACAATCCCAACCTCTGGCCTCTTTCCATTAATGCGCTAGGGTTCTCCTGTTCTCGAGGGGACTCCTCGCGCTGAAATCTGGACAGAATTGCGGCGTCCTCGTCAACGGGATAGGTGTTTCGCAGCCATGTTAGGGCTAGTTCTTCTGACTGAGGAAAGGTGTCGAGCAATGTCGATAGGTCTTCGTCCAAGGATACATCCAATGTGCCATCGACACGGCGAGCGTGTAGCACTTTCAGCAATCGATTTGCTTCTTCTGGCTCAATGTGTAGACCAACAAAGATTGTAGCTAGCTCCTGCTCATTCAGAGGATCGTCTCGGAAGGTTAAACCATCTTCGTATTCAGGATCGTATGGTTTCAGTCTGCGTAGGATAGTTGATGAGCTGAATCCACGCAGCGGCTTCGTCAATGGATCTCGTTGTCGATCAGCATGCGAGAGGTGTTGCAGTGTCGGCCTAGTACCAGTTGGTGTGTTATACCAGACTCTGGCTGCTGGCGTGCTACCTGTATGGAGAGCCCTGCGAAGTACTTGACTCGGCCGCGGCCATGCTGTAGTTCGTGAGCACAAGCCAGTGAAGCGCAACGTTATCGTGGTAACATTGTTCATGACCCTCCACCACTGGACAAATCACGACACCTCGATTAATTTCTCACTATAATAAGAATTGGAAAATAGCATCGCGAAATGATACTGATAAACATTCAGCATCGACCACGTTGATATCATCGTCATTACACGACTACGGTGGAGCGAGAGGCACCCCGTGCAGGACAAGACATATATATATATATATATGAGTCTTCCTCCTACAATTGCTTACGACGGTGATCATGGAAATCTGTGGTCAGTCTGGGGAGAGGTCTAGTCGGGCATCGAGGAACGAGCAGGATGTTCTTCTACCGAGCAAGCCTCAAGTCGATCGTATGCTTTGCGAATCAGCGATCAGTTGACGGCTTTGTTAAAAGGTCTACTTGGTCACCATATGCTGATACTGTGGCCAGGGAAGTAATGTTGTCCACAACTGCACACGACCTGAAGGGTGCGGATACGACTATTGCAGCAGGAATACAACGGGAGAGGTCAGCAGCAGACTTTTCAGAAGCTAGTCCTGTTGTCGTCGTGGGCACGTTGTGATTAATGACATTGACAAAGTATCTTCGAAGATGCTCGTAAATCACATTGTAAGCAACGCACGCGGAGGCTCGCGTCCGAAACTTCAGGAGCACTTCGGTCTTCAACTGTACACGGATCGACTATGTATTTCTGAAACCGCCACAACGTGTCGACATCGAGAGCTATCTGGATCTTTACGAACGAACGTGAACAGTGATTCTTTCTCAGTCCTTTCCATCTGACGATGTATGAGCTGGGGAAACTTGACAATACGTGTTTGCAACGAAGTAGAGAGACGGTGTCTTCGGCCTGATGGTGATCAGTCTGACGAGGTCATGAGGGCTATTGATCGTGGTTTTGATGGCAGGTTGTGTATAGTCGTGTTTGAATCCCCAGCAAGTGGTCGCGTGCAGTTGGCGAAATTGAACTCCTTCCCCACTCACTATTCCGGATACGACAGCTCGAGCAGCTCCACATCGCCGAGTCCTTCTCGCTTTCTTGGCGCGTTTTGACCTGGATATTGGACGATTCAAGATCTGCTATCATCTCGTCCTGCGTCTCTTTTCTTCTTAACGTTCTTCCATCTCCTAGTTCAATTTGAACCTTAGGTACTTCTGCAACACTGTTGGTTGACATCTTGATAGCTTGCTAAGATCAAGCAACATCGACTGCGGTAGGTCGTGATTACCCGCGATCACTATGGGCTCAGCCGCTTCCAAATGATATAGCCCCGTGTTCCATCGCCGTGATTGTCACGGCGACATGTACGGATAGGGCTGGTGCTGCTCTTTGTCGAGATCTCGAACGAGGTTCATTGTGACTATCATGCATCCATGTACGCTCCACAATCATCAGAGGCGTGATAACGCGATCTCCCCTGCATCGCTCTTTCCTCGATGGCATACATATACCGGGTGATTACTATCCCATGGTCAAGAAGATGTTCTCCTCGAAGATCTCATGATTGCTGAGCAGCACAACAGCGAGTGATAACTTGCGTCCTTTCTTTCGTCTTACAACGTCGTTCTTTTCCTGGCAAAATGCTGTCCTTCATTCTCTTCCTCAGTTTTTGCTCCTTCTTCCTCAGGATCGAGGCACTTCCATCGTTTCTTCAAAAACGAGGCGAGTGACAAAATGCAACTACCAAGCTTGTTACTGACTCAGCCAGGAGTTTCAGCTTCACAGTTATCACAATTCTCACTTTATGAGCAGTATGCTGCTGCTGCCTATTGCAAAGACAACAATGACGACAAAAGTGGAAGCATCACTTGCTTCGCTGGAAATTGTCCACAGGTTCAACAAGCTGGTGCTAGGTCGATCCTAGAATTTCAAAAGTATAGTATCTGATGTTCTTCTATGAGGCTCCACTGATTGCGTTAGCCTTGGGGCAGCCGATGCAACCGGCTTTATTGCTGTCGACGACGTTAACAAACTTATTGTCCTTTCATACAGAGGCAGTTCGTCCTTAGCGAACTGGGTCAGCAACATCAATCTGGATCTTACCTCCTTCTCGGGGTGCAAAAGCTGCCAGGTCCATGCAGGCTTTCTTTCTTCATGGACCGATTCTAAGGACCAGATCGCAACTACGCTAGCACAAGCTAAGACCCAAAATCCTACCTATTCCATCATAGCCACTGGCCACAGTCTTGGTGCAGCTATTTCCACAATTGCTGTTGCCGATTTGAGACAGCAAGGCTTTCAGATTGCACTCGTAAGTGGTTCGGCTTTTTCAATCGCTATCAAGTCTGACAATTTCTAGTACACCTATGGCTCTCCCATGGTCGGCAACGATGCCTTTGCGTCCTTTGTCACTAAGCAGAACGGCGGTAACTATCGCATCACGCATGCCTTCGATGCCATACCCAAGCTGCCCGGTTATGTATTGAATTATCGACATGTCAGCCCGGAATATTGGATCACTTCACCCTCTGGTAGGACCGTAGGTGCTGATGATATCAGGATGAGTAGTGGCACACTTAATTTCCTAGGTAATGTGGGCACACTTATAAGTACCATTAGTGACCATGCCTGGTATTTCAATGCTATCGGTGCATGTAGTTCGATCGACTTCTCCGGGTTCTGAGCCAATTTAGAAATCGATACAAATATTCTACATGTACAAACATACGAATATAGTTTTTGGATCAAGCCAAAAGAGCTTCCCTGACTTTCTTCCGTCATGATTCTGTCCCATCTAAGTACACTTTGCGTCTTACACCCCAATCGAGACACGCTCTGATCCGTCTTCCTCTTTACTTCGGCGTCAATACCTGGCTCCTCTTCGCGGCAGCAGTTTGTGCCTGTACTTTTCAGGGCGAACTTTGAACCATGCCGGTGTCACTAGCCGTCCGTTGAAATGATCCGCTTTGCGTTCTGGCCCTAGCCAGGTCTTGAACATCCACTCTATTTAGAGCGGATGTTCAGTTAGATGTGCGCGAACCCAGAGAGGTAAGCTGTAGTCTCAGCTAGGTCTACGTATAGCAACTTCCTTAGCTTCGTCCCGTTACTGTACCGGCGCGGCTCTAGCAATCTTTCGTCTGGACGATAAGTTTTCCTCGCACGTCTGCACTGCTTAAACCCTTCGTGCTGATGAACGTGTCGGCGGCGAGGGAGGCTTTGATTGCTGGACGCACAGGCTGGCCTCTAATTGCTAGCCTGCTCTTTCGTGTCAAGAAGCATCGAAGATGCTCAAGGAATTGATACTGTATCGCTTTCACGACTTCTTCAGGCATCATCGTCCTCGGAGACCTCGACTTCCGTAACCATAACGGGAACACTCTCCACAGGAGACATCGTCAAGTCTTCGTTGAACTTTGGTGCGCGCGGAAATCGTCCATTATGAGGAGTCCGCTGCGGTCCACGGGTCTGCCTGCCGTCTTTGTTCTGGTCGTATTGCTGATATCTGTCCCAAGGCAGACACTGCGTCGTCTTGTCGAATAGAGTCTGATGAGCCAGCAATTTCTCCAGCGACGGCGAGCATTTGCTCGATTCGACGAGGAAGTTGGACTGAGATATCCGTCGGACTCTGGGTGCAAAAGCTGGTTTACCTCGAGTTTCCTGATACTGAGTTTCCATTGATTATTGCTCGCTGTTGGTGTCGTTTCTTTCTGGTAGCTGTTCGCGGTGATGGCTGTGATACTCGTATGTGGTAGTCTTGGCTCCATGGGCTTCAGCTGGAGTTACGACCCGGTGACCATTTACGAGTTCTGTCAGAATCTGTTCTTTCTGCCATGTCGATCCAGCATCATGGCGGACTTGCACTTCCAGCAATATTGTGGGTCCGGAACAGCGGGATAATCATCAGGGTAGATTTAGTCTTGGAAAAAGGCAAAACTGGACATGGACACAAGCTACTCTGTGATGAAGCAACACCTGGGTAACGGAAGCATCTCCGGCATTATTCCTCGTACAGTGTATTACCTGTTGCCTTTCACCAGGTGTTTTCAGGTAGGAGTTACAACACGCACTAACACAAGCTGGGTAGTAATGCTTGATCAATATGTCTAGGCTTGTATGTGCGACCCAATAATCTTTTGTGTAGAGTACCAAAATTTGACACCTGTATTCACACTAACGCATAATGCAGTTTTTACGTAAGGTCATTTCGACCCAGACAAGGCCGTGAGCTCACTTCGTTGCCGTGAGAATTGAATACTCGTCTCATTCAACATTACAAAGATGAGACCGAATATGGCTCTCCTTGCTTGTGGTAGTGCTCTGCTCGTTGAGAGACATATGTTCCGACGCAGTACAAATTGTTCGTATTGTTCATGTTGCGTGGTCGGGAGTCAGCGGGCAAAGTTCATGATGTGAAGGCTAGCAATGCTTGGTCAGCGGCGGTTATGCTTATTCTCAACCGGCGACGCCTTGGCAAATGTAAACTAACAATTTCGTCATAATTTCTCCAGTTGACTTCGCCAGCCCGCCAAAACACAAGCATTCCCGTGTGCCGAAGTGCTTTTCAAGCATCACTGCGTCAACTACTGGTACAGTCTGTCAGGAAAAAGTTCTCTTCAACGAAAAGACTCGCGTCGTGCCAGCTAATGATTCACCGTTGAAATTCCATATTGTTGCTTTTAAGCTCCTGTCCAATGGCTTGATTGACTTCCGCAGAGTCCGAAATCTGAGCGATGACGATTTATTCGTCGGGAGCGCGGACGCTAACGCCATCCTTGTTAGACGATCTCCAACGTGGACACAGGCTGTGGATCAAATCATTCTCTTCGAGGTTTGGTAACCTTGACTTCGACACTGTTGTGGTCACCTACACAGTTGTTCGTGTGCTCATATTTGGTTTCGATATCGTGCCGCTCTTCTCATCATGCAATGTTTGAGACGGCTGACAGTCTCCAGGGACGGAGGCTCACAAACGCAGAGCCTCCTGCTGTGTAGAAATTCGAAGACGAGATGGCTTTCTGGGAACAGCCGTTTTCCCGTTCTATTTCATAGTGGATGCAAGCAAAGGCTTGCACTCGTCGTAATGGACGCCTTCGAGACTACTCGAATATGGTCTGTGGCAGGCAAAGTGCTTATCCTCATGCGAGTATCGTGACGTTGTCCTGACAATTCACGTTCCGCTTCGTTCCAGAGAGCCATTTTTTGAGGAGTTGCGGAATTGTCTAACGCTGACATCACGCTGATATGCCGTTAGCCACTGATAAGCTTTCGCAAGCAAAGCATATGTTAATCAAGGCTCGTCGCTCGACCAATTCACCTCGTTTTACTATCTACTTGCTCTTTGCACCTCGCCGCCGACCTCTAGCAACAACAAACCTACAGCCAAGATGAACGACCTTGTCAGTCGTAACGATGCGAGTGCTCTCAACCCCAACATCCTCAATGGCCAAGTGGCTCAGATTGCACAAACAGTTCGTGGATCGGACTTCTATTTCGCTATCTGTGCAGTGATGGGCACTGTGGCCTTCGGAACACTCGCCGCTGCTTCCAGAAAACCTCGAACTGATAGGATTTTCTTCTACATTACTGCCGCTCTCAATTTCACCGCATGTATCGCCTACTTCACCATGGGCTCGAACCTTGGCTGGGCACCAATTGAGGTCGAGTTCCAGCGCAGCGATCCTAGAGTCTCAGGCCTGTACAGACAAGTCATGTATGCTCGGTACGTCGATTGGGTAGTCACAACACCACTGCTGTTGATGGATTTGCTCCTCACTTGCGCCATGCCATGGCCGACCATTATCTGGATCATCTTCATCGATGAAGTGATGATCATTACTGGTTTGATTGGAGCTTTGGTATCATCCAGATACAAGTTTGGTATGCATCGCAATCCCCACATGTCCTAGTATCGTGTACTAATGCTTGCCACAGGCTTTTTCGCTTTTGGCTGTGTCGCAATGTTTTACATCTTCTGGGAGCTTGCGATTACTGGCCGAAAACACGCCAAGGCCCTGGGTGCGGACGTGAATAAGGTCTATACTGGTTGCGGTGTCCTGACCTTGTTCATCTGGCTGCTCTACCCAATCGCCTGGGGTGTTTCTGAGGGTGGAAACGTTATCGCACCAGATTCCGAGGCTGTCTTTTATGGCGTTCTGGACTTCTGTGCCAAGCCAGTAAGTGGTCATCGCTTTGGTTGGCATTAGATCTGTGGCTAACCCATTTACCAGATTTTCAGCATACTTCTTATCGTTGGTCATTGGGGTATTAGTCCGTCTAGACTTGGTCTGTCGATTCAGGAGTTTGGTCACACAACTCCTGACGCTTCCAATAACAAGGAGGGTCGAAGCTGGCACGAAGCTACTGGTGCTCAGGGCAACTTCGATGCTGAAAAGCAAGGTCATAACGACAGCGGCAGCTCTACTGCCGATGCAACAGGTGTTAACGCTGCAAACAACACCCAGGTGAATAACAGAGCATCCAACGCCTCTACTGCTGTTCCTGCAAATGCACACAGCGCACACACGACCGGATTTGCGCCTGCTCATGAAGGAACCACTGTCGAGGGTCATCACACTGATGTGTCAAGGCTGTGAGGTTGAGTTACCGGCAAGACTGGGGATTCACATCGACATCAATTCGACTTTGTGACCTCATTGGCATCAATCAGGCTCAGCAGTTACAGACGAGCCGTATTATGAAGTCCATGAATAGATGGGCAGCTCTTCTCGTATAGCTGGGATGACATGCCCAGGGTACAGTCGTCAATAATAGTTACAACTTGTCATTTTTCAAGATACCACCAAAGCGTTTATAGCATTAATTTACATTTTATTCAAATCGTCAACGTGTTTCACTGAATCTGACAAGAATGATTAATCGTACAGTCAATATAACGAACTCCCAAAGCAATTGTTCTCCCGACGCGCATGACAAACACAATATGCTTTGTGTCTCGTTCGCGCGAAGCGATCCATTCTTCGACTCGTCTCCTAATTTGCAACTCTTGATATTCGGAATAAAGTTGGCTTTTATGGGAAATCTTGATGATGCTGGAGCTTGTTACCATTACTTCACATCGTTGGTGATTGGGCGGAGTATGGACGCAAGAACATCTGCCTACAATAAAAGCTTCTGCACTTACAGAGGCGGCAAGATACAAACACGTCAGCAGGATGCACTTGCCATTTCGGCAATTTGAACAGAATCACTAGCTTGACGTCACTGAAGTCCCAGCTCCTAGGAGCAGTCCTCGGTGCGTAAATAATGTCCCCATTGATGATACGCTGGATTCAGACTTCACACTTAAAATCTAAAGCTTTTAGGTCCTCGACTCCCAAGCAATTTCTTAGTTTCTTGAGCTGAGAGTCCTGCTGCTACTTTCTCTCAACCTTACTGCGCATTCCAAACCCTCAAGTCTCTTCTATACGTCCACAGTAGACCAAAATGGCATTCCTTGCACGACCAATGAGTGCTCTGCGGCCCATTTCGAGAGCTCTTTACAGACCAGCCGCTACTTTCCACACTTCAGCTTCGAGACGAGCTCTGAGTGAACAGGATAGAGGTATGTCAAACGAGGGCCATATCTTTGCACGTTTCACAACGTGCAGTATGATCGGAAGCTTCCGACCATACCTGTGCAAGGACAGCGGTCGATGCTTGCGAATAAGCACTCTGGATGCCGACCCATTATCTAGAACCCCTGCTTTCCTGCTACTGCCTTTCAGGACACTCCTACATGACTAGCATTAACTGACAACTCACTTCAAGATGACGATGACCGCCATTCCAAAATCGACCATCATCAATCCGATTCTATCGATCGCGCAAAGTCGGGCAAGGGCGAATGGAAGCCCGAACTCGCGTCACAATCCGAGCAGGTGGTTAACGGGGACAAGCACAACATGTCCATGGAGGAGATGACCAAGATGGGAGAGCAAAAGGCAGAGGAGGGAAAGAAGCCTAGCGGAAGCTCGAGCTCGCAAGGTGCCAACAAGAATTAGATAATGGATTTGTTGAAAAGCATCAAGAAGGTCTTGAACAGCGAGAGCAAAGAGATGAGGATATCCAGACACTGCACATTTCCTGGTAAGCTGTGGCACAAGGCATGCTAATGGAGCAGGGAGCATGGCGGCTGGAGGTTTCCGAGTGTTTGAAGTCTTGAGCGCAAGCGTGGTCAATTTTGTATATGCTTCACGGCAGAATGGTACGAAGATGAGTATCATTAAAGGTCGAATATGCAAGCCGCCAGCGCTGGTTTGTAGCGTTCCAATAGCTTGTATACATATATGCAACGAACGACTTTTCTTCTATGTTGAGGGCGGATGCCATGTTCCTGAGCCTTTCGAAACAACCTGCAGAGCTTACTAATCTCAAATAGACACGACGCCTTTATCTTGCTATAATCCTTTCATGTATGTCAGATATCGACGCGCTATACATTGCGACATTTCAACGCTCACTCCGCGCTATGAAGAATACACCACACGTCTATATCACCCGCTGCAACAAGTATTCACGCACGCAACACTCATCTGACCAGATCCTGCAACACTTTCTGCTCTTCAGCCTTAAGCTGTGCAAACATGTCCGAAAACCCCTGCTTACCCGCCTCCTCCTTGAACCAACTAATCAGATATTCCACAGACTGATCATCCCGTATTCGATCAACATTACTCGAAGAGCCGAGCCCACCCCCTTCACCAGCAAGACCCATGAGTTCGGATCTCACCTTTGCAGATCCCAGGTCTAGACTGCCGTCCCCTGTCGTTGCGAGGTCTTCCCAGTCGTCTCCGTCTGCGTCCCCGTCGTTGCTGGCGAGAGAGTCTGCGTCATCGTCTTCGTCGTCGAGGGCTTCGGCGGCGGCACGGGCGGCGGCCAGGTTGGTGAATTGGGATGTTGCGGCGTTTTTGAGCTCGTCGATTAGCAATTTGAGGATTTTGAGAGGCGCGGAGATGGAGGTGTATGTATCTGGGTTGAGGCGTGCTTGTGATCGAGTCTTGATGCGGCCCGTCTCAACGACGATGAGATCGCCTTTGACGGTGATGGATTCGATTCGCGAGTCGTGGAGGCTGTAGATTTTTGAGAGAGCGATGCAATTCAGCCGGATTTCTTCGAAGCCAGCGAAATGCACGGAGTTGTCGAGCCATTTGGTCATGACGACGTTGAGGCCGGATCGGCCGTTGATGTTGATGTCTTGGAGGAAGTTGACGACGTCGCGGGGGACTTTGATGGCTAGACTGGCGAAGACCATGAGTAGCGATTGGATGAATGGGATTCGTTCCGCAGTGGCTAGGCGGACAGCGACTGCGCGGAGGAGGTCGGAGAGATAGGAGCCGAGTACTTCGGCGCCGCATTTGTCGATTAATGACGAGGCGAGCGATCCTACTTCGTCTGCTGCGGATTCCTCGATGTCGGGAGATGATATGAGGCGGTCCACGATGGTCAGAGACAACTCGACGGACGATTTGCCTTCGTGGTTCCATGCCAGGAATTGAGACGTCCCTTTATTGAGCATGTGCGACACTGCTGTTGTTGCTGGTCGGATGACCGAACCGTCTGTCGCTTGCATCAATATTGACTGGAGGGGCGGCATCAGAACACTGATGAACCCTTCCGGTAAAGGGTCAGAACCAAACTCAGCAAGCTTGGACACCAGTTCTGAAGCGAGCTCGGCAAGGTTAGGTTCGCCTCGTAATGAGCTGATATGGAAAGCACCACTGAGAGATGGAATGACTTTTTCGCAAAGCTTGATGTAAGCACGGGTACCTTGGTTTGCCACAGATTGAACAAGAAGCTCGAACGTCTCAGTGAGCAGATCGCAGATCATGAAATTGCCAGCACCATCGGACGCTAGGTTGAAGAAGAGGTCTAAAGCTGGTGTCTCGTAAACTTTGACTGTATCAAGAAGCATAGCGTCCCTTAGCATGATTATCAATGCCGACTTGATGTCATCTGAATCTTCAAGGTCGTCTTGAAGGTCATACTGGGAAAGGTAATTTCTGATAGACTCGACGATTGTCGCTTGGTAAGGCTTGGTGGTAGCTGATGGAAGGACTTCCAGATACTGAGTGATGGCAATGAGACCACATGCGTTCACGACTTCAGAATCATCCTGTCCAAAGGACGTGATTGCACTGGCCAGAGACTTGATCGCAGCTTCGTTGAATCCATCGGGTGCAACAGCAAAAACTGAGCTTAATGTGAGGTGGGCTCCTCCTTTCAAAAACGGGTTGGGATCATTGGTATAGGCCGAGGTCTGCTGCAGTATGTGTGTGGTTGTCTCCTGATCAAGAGTAATGTCGAGACTCTTGAGCTCTTTGATGGCCTGGTTCAGCAGATAGAAAGCTGATTCGCAGGTTTTCCACGTTGTGGTCGGTGCAGACTGTGAAATGCCAATAAATTGAACCAGCGCGTGCACTATTGTCGAACTCATCCATTCCATCAAAGTTTGCGTAATTAATTCAGCGCATGCCGTTCTGGGAGTGTAATTTGCGGTTTGCGACGTTGTCTCAGATAGGTATATATTGGCGTCCAACTGCCACATCTGCTCCTCCTCCTTCGGAATCACAGCATAGTCAACCATGACTCGCAGGAGTTCCTGTAGCCAAGGCGTAGCATGCTGCTCTGTCCCGGCCTGTTGTGGCTGTCTATTGAGTTCCGTACGAACTGCCTTGGCTTTAAGTATCGAGCTCAAGAAGTCAATGGCTTCAATAACCAGCGCATCAAGAGTGTACGATAGTCCATCTGCATCAACAAGCTTACCCTCACCATCGCTCTCCACAAAGAGTTGTGTATAAGCAGGTGACGATCTTGTAAGGTCTTCCCAGATGATTTGGAAGAGTTCGAAGACATGAGGAGTCAAGCTTGCAGTATAAACTTTCTTCACCTTGACGAGCATCTAGCGCAGCCTCGTCAGTCGAGACATCCAACAAGCCATGCTAAGCGCAACCTACCTGTATGACTTGTGTTTTGACAGCCACAAAATCTTTCCATCTGCTGATAACGGTATTGGTGTCGTTTTGTGAATCGGCCATGCTCACCTCAGGCAGCGGTTGTTTCAGAGTACCCATGAAATATGACATCCATTTTTGCATAGACTCATTGAGGAATGCTTTGACGGCAGGGGCATGCTCGGTTTGGAGTACCTGTTCCAAGTTGTCGAAGCATGCTCCTAGCACCCTCAACGCCATTGCTTGAACCACTTGACCGTGACCAGTATCAACTGCAACATGCTGTAAACCATTCACCAGTTCTCGTGCCACGCCGAAAAACTGTTCGTCGCTGAGGCCAGAATCGACAAGTTCGTGTAGAACACGCAGCGCACCTACAACCGCAGCATCGGAGGAACTTGTGTTGATCACACTGATGAGATGAGGAAAGAGTTCAGGCCAGTCGTCTGGAAAGTCGGCAGATGCAATCTTTGAGACAACGCTCGCTTGTGGATCACATTAGCATTCGTTCTGTCACGACAGTGACTGGCAAAATTCATTCGATCGATTATGATAGTTAAGCCTCGTGACATACCTGCTAAGTTCTGGTTGATGTCATTGGATGCAGAAGGACTTGTACATATGGCAAGAATTTGACTGCGAACTTGCGTGCGTGCCTCGTCGGTCAAGAAGAGACCTTGTGAGGTCGACTCCTCAAATGTAGGTGACCAGGTAGCATTGATGTAATTTCGCAGAGCGGTGAGAGCAGCCTTCCTAAGGCCCCCATCGATTTCCGAATGGGTTGTGATGTGAAGGAGAGCAAATGGGTAGTCAGGCTGTCGATAAAGGTCTCTCAGTGACTGTTCAGCTCGCTTGATCGTGTTCGTGTCAGGTATTGTAGTGGCTTGTAACAGCTGAAGGACCTGTTGCTCCATCTCGGACTGAGTAGATGTGCCCAATCACTAGCACAAGGTGCGACAACCCATATAGACTTTCAAAAACCACTTCAGTTCAAGCAGCTGCAGCCGGGGACATAGCCTGAACAATAACCTGCACACTTACGCAACAATGAAACAGATGATACGCCGACGATAAACTCAGGATATGTTTGCATTACCTAGAAAGAGCCTTTCAATTGCCTTCACAGGAGCAACAGGCATTGTGCCGCGAAACTTTCTGTTTTGAACAGCACTAGCCGGCATTTGCGCGAAGCATGCACGACCACGCGTTGACGCGTCTTCCGAATAGAACGGCGATTAGCTGACTTTGGGGGTCATGACCATTCTGTATTCTATCAGCGTCAGTGCAATAGTGACCTTCTGCTTCATGTATCTTTGAGTGCCAATCGCCGATAGATCGATGATCAATCGAATGCGCTGAGAACGCTTTTATTTGGCCGTAGAGACAACAGCTCACTACTGTAGAGCCATCACATCCTGATTCTGGACTAACAATGCCAAAGAGGCCAGGACGCGATGCGCCTCCGCACGTCACTGTCACATCTCAACTTCTTACAACACAGAAGAGCCTTCTTGACACGCTGTCTTCCTTCCTGAGGGTGCTCACTCACCACTTGCTGTACCTCCGAAAGATTTACCCGCCTGTGTCGTTCGTAACGACTAGAGCATACAACTTCCCTGTTAAACAGAACCGTCATCCCGAGGTGTGCTCTTGGATCAATGCTGCGGTAAAGGCGGTCAAGGACGAGTTCTACAAGACAGCAGTGGAGAAAGTAGCCATATGCATTTTTGAGTGCGATAGTGATCGAGTCGTGGAGCGGTGGACCATCGATTTCCCAAACTTCCCAGCCGTCGCCTTTCGAGATCGCTTTGTCCCTTTCGCCAGCTCCGACGATGTCGAGCTGAAGAAGAAGCTCAACGTTACAGATATTGAGGCAAGCTTCCGCGCTGTGCTACTGAAGCTGGACCAAGTTTCACAGAAAATGGCACCTCTACCAGATGGGGACTGGGCACCTGACTATAGCTTTACGATGACGATTGAAATCAAAGACGGAGCTGATGCACCAGTTGGCGTCCTTGGATTGAAGGAACGCAAATGGATTGTGGCAGAACCCGAATTTGCACCAACGCAATTCCTTAATGACTCGAATGAGTCTGATACTCGCAGTGAGCAGCCTCGTGGCGGTACCATTCCTGTGCGCAGGTTAGAGGCTGGAGAACTAAGAATGGAGTTGTGGTGTGAAGAAGCGGAGCTCAAATTCAAGCTGCCGACCACTTATCAAACAATCCTTGAAAAAGCTGGCAATCTGTCTTATGGTGCAGGTCACGAGAAATTCAATACCGGTGTTAAGCACCCCGCAGATGATGAGGAAGTTCAAGGCGACGAGAAACCTCCGAGTAATGATAAGTTCGACTCTTTCTACGACCAATTGATGCGGGGAGAGCTTAATAACGGATGGCTCGAGCAGCCTGATATCAATAGGAAACCACAAGGTAACACTTAGAGGCTGCTTTGGGATTCTGCTAACAGGCATCAGGTGGTGCGACTGATTATAAACGCTAGGAAATCCCTATTCCTCATTGTCATAATCAAGCACACTTTGTGCCAGTCCTAATGGACTACTTATCCCATTCGTGTTATACCTTTCACGTTGTGGAACAAATCGTCCTCTTTGAGCAACACCGATCTGTTCAGAACGCTTTTGTCGACGTCTGGAATGCCACTGAGATGCAGAGTCATCTCTAGTTCACCAGTCAATGCATTGATTACATGCTTGACGCCTTCCTCACCACCAAGGCTCAGACCGTAAACGTAAGGACGCCCAATCAGAACACAATCCGCTCCAAGAGCCAACGCCTTGACAATATCGGCACCACATCGAATGCCACTGTCGAAGAATATGGTCAAATCCTTTCCAACAGCATCCACGATATAAGGTAGGATACCGAGACTCGAGTTACCACCATCCTGCTGTCGACCGCCATGGTTACTAACAACGATTCCTTGAACTCCGATTTCGACTGCTCGCTGAGCATCAGCCACCGTCTGGATGCCCTTGAGGACGATGGGTCCATCCCAATGTTTTTGCAGGAACTTCACATCCTCAAAGCTGTGAGACAAGCCAGGGAAGATGATTTTAGTCCACTCGGCTGCTGCCGCTGACTGGTCCTCCTCAATCTCTTTACCATGTTCTTTTCTGAAATGCTCACGGAATACTGGATCGGAGAAACCAATTGCGACACCAACCTGATCAGCTTTCAAGAATGGGTTATAACCATTGTCCATATCGCTCGGGCGCCACCCTAATAGATATGTGTCAAGTGTAACGAACAATGCAGTATAACCGGCCTGCCTCGCACGCTTGAGTAATGAGACAGTTATGTCGTCGTGCTCATTACTCGGCCAATACAGCTGATACCATCTCTGTCCATCACCATTGGCCTTTGCTGTCTCCTCGATACTCGAGCTCGAAGCTGTGCTGAGGATGTATGGCACATCACAATCTGCCGCAGCTTTCGCGACCGCCGCTTCACCCTCCCTATGGAACAATTTGAGCACACCGACCGGCCCAATAGCCATAGGACTCGCAATTGTCTCCTTGGTCTCGCCAGGAAAGACTGTGGTCTGTAAGTTTGCAAATCGTTCTGTCTTCACCAGACGCCGAGGCTGTATAGACCATTTCTTGAAGGCCTCGATGTTCTTGTTGTGAGTCTCGCGTGTGCCGGCGCTGCCGTATACATAGCCTTTAGCTTCCGCGGAAAGACGCGCACATGCTTGTGGCTCCCATAGCTCAGACTGAAAAGTGAAAGACGGACGTTCATATTTCAAGCCACGCTTGTAGATGTCCTGTTCAAACTCTACGACTTTGCTGGACATGTCATTGTGGTGTCTGGCCATCTTTGGTCTGGTTGGCACCGGGCCTTGTTCGTGCTCAAAATTTTCGGCGGGCATAGCTATCAACTTCGATTGACCAGCCGAGAAAGAGGTTGTAAGGCGGCTGAGTGAATCGTGATACCATATGCCGCATCAAATCACTGCGAGTAAGATGTATTAAGTAGCCTAGTTATTCTTCAAGGTTCCTACATTTTGTCGTTGACCTGTTGAGGCATTATCAAAACTTTCGTTATACCGCTTCGTCATTCTACTGTGGTATGTTTGCATATTATTTGACCTTTGCCATAAGAACATAAACTACCGCCGATTTTCATTCGTCGAAAGAACTGCCTGTTTGGTCAGTCGATCGTTTCTAATAGATGAAGCGACGAATCACACAACTCTCTCTAATAGGCTAATGCAGTCTCAGGACGAGTGGAAAAGGTCAGATAATATACACGCATACCACGGTACTAATCACACAGCTGAATCACATCCGAGCTCCCGTTCTCGACCGGAGAGCCGGTACTGCAGTTCATCTCTTATTCATCGCTGAGAACAAGCCAGGAACAGTATTTGTTGCATAGGGCTATCAGTCTGCAGTCTGAGGAGTCGCTGACCATATACTTGGACATCTGGAGTGTCAGTCCATTCTGTTGCAATCGGCCAGTGGACCAGTTCAAATGCTTGAATGAGCTTGTCTGCGATGCTTGTGGTTCACAAAAGTGCTACGTAACCAAGGCTACTAGAGACTTCTGATGCTCCAACAGAAGTTGCATGGAGTAATGTTATGTCCGGAAAAGAAAAATCAAAATGTCTCAATTGTTGGTACTTTTGCAGAACCAAGCTGACGCAGACGCACTTCTCGCCCGTGGCATGCTGCACTTGGGCAACAAATCACAACAAAGGCGGATATATCATAGGGCCTAGGCTGAATCTTCTGCTCATAGCTATATCTTATGTCGTAAAGATTAATGATACGCGCCTTGATGACCAAGAACGAGTCTGCTCTTTCCCAAGTCTTCAATTCTCGAGGTAAGATTTCGGCTATTGCGTGAAGCAAGTGGCCGGCCAACGAATGTGCTATGAATTCTAGACCGAACACACAGAGTGCTATAAGTAGACGACTACTGCAGAGTGAAGGAGGGTGTAAAGAGAAGGACAAAATAACAAAGATCTATAGTTGTTGCCATGAATAGAAAGTTGTATACCGAGGGACATCCACCAATCACTTACAAGTCAACAGAGTAATAATGTCGCCGTCAAATTTCAGTGTGATTGAACATGTAATCCAGCGTCACATATAAGAGAGCTGCCGAACGCATTAGCTGTTGACCAGTGTTCTTCTGAAGGTGTTCTGCACCTTGCAGTAAAACAATATGTCCCACTCAATAACTCTCAGTTCCAAACTGGCGACATTACCATCATCGCACTTCATGCAGACGGCTTCAACAAGGAGCTTTATGAGCCGTTATGGGACGACTTGATCAGTAACTTGCCAGCTAGCACGAAAGTTCGATCAATCTGGATGGCCGATGTTGCACATCGAGGTGCAAGCTATGTTCTCAGCGAACAAAAACTGGCCGAGGGGTATCTCGGGACGACCATTCGCGAGATCTCCTGAATATGGTCAACCACTTTCATGACCAGATGAATGAACCTATGATTGGTCTTACGCATAGCATGGATGGTGCGCAACTTGTCGCATAGTGCAAGCTGCATCCGAGATTGTTCCATGCAGTCGCCTTCTTCGATGGGTGGTTCGCTGCTAATTTTGAACCACTGGAGCCGAAAGGCTGGTGGATACGCACTGCCACGTGTAAGGATCAATTCCTATCGATTGATGCCGTTCGAGCTGCATACAACGAGGCGCCAGCAATCAAGGCATGGGACAATCGAGTCTTTGATCGGTACATGGCAACCGCAGTCCGGGAATTACTTACCATGTTGTACCTAGAAGCGAGAGGTGTAGCGTTGAGTACGCCTTCTAGTATCGCGATGACATCGACCTTCCGTCCGAATCTTGATTCCGCCAATATAGACGCGCACGAGGCGACGAGAATCGAACGACTGATGTGTCCTGATATGAGGTACGATTTGCCCATGAAGTGGCCCTATTTTCTTAGCCAGACTCGAATGGCTGGAGATCATTTACCAAACTTGCGTCCACAAGCATTGTTTTTGTATGCAAGCAAAGATCCGGTGATCAAGCCAGACTGGCGAAAGACGAACTTGGACACGACAGGTACAGGTTCGGGCGGAAGTGGTGGGGTCAGACTTGGTTGTGTGGAGGATGGAGATGTCAAGGGTGGTCATTTCTTTCCGTTTGGAAACCCAACGGGGACGGCAGAGAGAATTGGATCGTGGTTGGTGGCAGAGCAGAATGCTTGGAGGGAGGAGAAAGCAGAGCTGAGCAGAAGATTCAGGATGAGCCGGTCAGCGAAGGAGAGACAGACGATACCACAGGAGTACTTGCAGTTCGCGAAGAAGTGGAAGAACGAGGCTAAGACGGAGAGCAAGCTCTAGACGGCTGCCGTCGTTTGGTCTGCAGTACAAGAAGGAGTTGCTTCTCATCGTTAGTCGTCATTAGCAGGTCTGAGCAATCGATTGTACCTTCTCACACTGAAAGAGCAAGAAATAGCTATGCTGACTGAACTACTCTAACAGAGACCTGATAGATATCATACTGCTTGTAGTTTCGTGCAAGCATCGTAGCCATGCAGAAGGAAGAATCAATCTGGAACCGACCAGCTCGCAGAGATGCCTGTCTTGGAAGCACTCTTGGGTTGCCAAGAGCTCGGCTAGGGTGGAAGGGGAAATCAGCTCAACCCCACCATGACCGAGAGCATGATCTCTGCAGCCAAGAGACAACCGGAGCTATGCTACCAACCATACCAAATATGCTTCCATCATGTCCAGTATGATGTTCTGATCTCGTGCAGCAGTTCTCGTGTTATTGCTATCGTCTGATTTCCTTCGCTTGATCACTTTCGCGTTTTCCAGACTTGTTCACAGCGTTTCCAGGTGTCGGACACGACCAACAATGCTTGACCAGATATGTGATATATATTGCTAATATTCCTCCTTCAAGATAAGCAAGATGGCACGGCGCAATTCCGTCAGCATCGAGGAAGTTCTTGATGAGGACAACAAGGCGGAGTTGGCAGCACTCGAACGAACGGAATCTGCAAATTCATCGAGGAAGAAGATTGCAAACGGCCCTCGTAGCACAGCTTCTGTCGGATCGGACCCGCTTACTGCAGTGTACGTCGGCAACAAACTTGGTGTCAGGTCACCTACCATGCGGCATAGTTCCATAGCTGGTGAAGGGGCAGGTGTCACCAGCCCGGGCCAATCGCGTAAGAAGAAACTGGACCCTTCCGATCCCTCTACATGGACTCGACCAGTAGCTACTGTCTCACCAGTTGAGCCTAGACCGCGATCTGCTTCGGAGAACATTCAAAGAGAGGATTTGACTATACAGTTCACTTCAGAGGATGAAAAAGAAGGTGCGCAGGCTGGCGCTTTGACCTCTGTGGAACCCAGCACCCCAGCTATGCCTTTCAGATCACGCCTCCTATCTTCTGCAGCGTATAGCGATGATGGCCAGTCACCAGTAGAGATATCAACTGCCACTATAGCACCAGATTCGCCGATGAGTACAAGAAGCGACAGAACCGACGGGCCTCTCTCCCCTTCCACTCCCCAGAGTTTAGCACCTCCCAGCGACGAGACGGCGAGGAGGCTTTCACAACAATCGGTTGCCAGTACAGCCACTGATGATTCCGACGTCCTCGGTCCCGGCCGAAGAGTGAATATGAGAGGTGAAGAGGACGTAGTAGAGGAATACAGTGAGAGTGAGCGGTCAGACAGTGAAGACGAAGGATCTCCAGTCAGTCAGCGAGGTAGGAAGCGCAAGACTGAGAGAGATCCTGAGTCGCTTGAGCCGTCAAAAGAGCCGGAAAGGACTGAAGCTGTAACACCTCTGATCAGAGGTAAGTTTCACGGTGACTGTTTGTGGGACTAGCTAACGTGCTACACAGTCGACGAAGTCGATACAAATGATGGTCAGCCACATCATACTGACCACAGCGGTAAACTTTCGGAGACCCAGGGCGAGAGAATCACACCTCGATCGAACTATCAACGAGGAGCATCTCCTGCGGCACAATCTGCTCTAAGTGACGAAGACGCTGAACTTAAGAGGGCAAAAGCGCTGGAACTCAGAGTGTCAGATATAGAGGAGACAGTCAAAGACCGGACCGTCAAGATGATAATTCGAGGCGACTGGAAGTCCTTCCAGGATTATGAAGAAGAAGATCAAACTAATCGTCATGAGCCTCGTCTGTACCTGGTGTGCACTGATCTTAGTAATGAAGCAACTTACGCGCTAGAATGGACAGTCGGTACACTCCTAAAGGACGGTGATTCAATCTTGATCGTCAACGCTGTGGAAGACGAGAACGCGACCAAAGCCAAGGATTTCGATCCGAACTTGGAACCATCTCTAGAAGTCAGGCTTGAGTCTGCAAAAGCTGCAGAGGAAGCAACTTCCACCATGGACACATTGACCAGGCAGACCACCAATCAACAGAGCGATGCTCAGTACGAAACACATAAGAAGCTGAAACTCAGTGCTCTAAAAGACCACGCCCGCAGCTTGTCGAGAACAGGCCGCAATTGGACTAAAAAGGACGAGGAACGAGTCAAAGCTGTTGACAAGCTCGAGAACGACTTTTTGAAATTCGTGCGGAAGACTACTTTGCAAGTTAGGTGTATGATCGAGGTTATTCACTGCAGGAATTCCAGGCATCTAATCCTGAGTGCTGTAAGTTCACGTTGCGCTTTGGTTGAAAAGGACGGCACTAATAAATAACAGATTGACGGACTGGAGCCAACCTTGGTCGTCGTAGGCACACGTGGACAAGGCAGTGTCAAGAATGTCTTGATGGGAAGCTTTTCGAACTATCTGGTTCAGAAGAGCTCGATACCTGTCATGGTCGCTCGCAAACGATTGAAGAAACCTCATCATGCGAAGATATCGAGTCAACAGATCCGAATGACGAACAACCTGATGCCTACAATGATTGGTGGGAAGAGGAAAAGCTTGACGCAGGCACGAATTGACTAGAGCTGGCAAGGAGAGGACGAGCATGATCATTCTTGGATCAGCAGTACAAGATGCAGCGGTGTACAGAACGTGGATCACCGGCCTTCCACTTTCAAATGAACACTCAGCATATATATTTGAGTTATCACTATTCGATGCAATTGTCACACCATCGACTTTCAATCCCCTTGCTTCACTGTGCTCGACAGAAGAACTTGTTTTGGCGGCAAATGACAACTTTCTATCAGTCTTAAGATTGCCTGTCAGGATGCTCTTCCTGATTCTTGTTATCCTCACTATACAGTCCCAATAGTACTCTTCACAGGTCCTGCGACATTCTGCAAGCAGTTCGAATGTGCTACAACGCTCTTTTCACCTTCACTCGAGCAACACGGTGTTGCGATAGCACGTGTCAGTCAACACGGAAAGAGGTAGAAGTGGGGGGGCACGTTAACAACACAACCTTCACCTTCACTGCTGAGCTCAACAGTTTGCTTGAGGTCTCCTCTACCCTTTCCCAAAACTTCTTGTCTTATTCTCTTTTCTCTCTGGTTGGGCCGTATCTGTTTCTTCGCCAGCTAAATTATCTCAACTCAGTTCCCTTCCTGCTCAAATCAAACAGGACGTCTTGTTGGACAAGACGACTCATTATGACGAACATCCAAGTCGGAGCCATGGCTTCTGCCAACAATGCTCTCATCAACCTCAGTATGGAACTCACTAATCTCGACATGGACCTAACAGTACTCGCTAATGCGAAAGCCAAAGGCCAAGCGCTATTTGCGACAAAGTTCATCAAGAAGGGCGAGCCCGTGATGTTCCTCGATCCACCAGTAATGATGGCCATCGACTCAGAATCACTTCACAGAACATGCTACAGTTGCCTCGTCACCAAGTCTGGTATGGGCAGGTGCGGCCAGTGCAAGATGGCTTACTTCTGTGACAAGAGTTGCCGAAATCAAGCTTGGAAGAATTATCACAAGTACGAATGTCCTATCCTTAGAGACTTCAAGGAAGTCCTGACGGGAAGTTCCATCAAAGATCCTCCTCGAAACTTCAGGGCAGTCCTCCGTCTGATCCTCTTACACAAAGCCGGCAAAGTGTCAACTTCGGCGCTTCAAGAGGTGGCTGATTTGTGGCACAGAGCAAATGGTCGTACTGACGAGCACGACAATATGCTTGCACAGGTCATCAAGGGGGCTACTGAAACCGACGCTTCGCAGTCGTGTATTCTAAGCTTGTTGCGCGTTATGGAATCGAACTGTTACAACATTGGGACCTTCAGCGGCGATCTGATAGGAGCTGAGGTATACTTGAAGATTTCGAGAGCGAATCACAGCTGTGCACCAAATGCAACCTTCTCGCATTGGGGCCTCGTCATGTGGGATCGTCAGTCAAAGTACCTGACATTATTTGACAAACAGATGCCTGCCGCCATGATTGTTGCCAGACAAGACATCGCCAAGGGAGAGGAGATAACGCTTGCTTACGTGGACATAGAGTTGGAGCTAGAAGCTCGAAAGCACAGACTGCGATACGTCTATGGCTTCGATTGTGCATGCCCACGTTGTGAAAAAGAGGAGGCATTGTGCAGGGAGAAGGAGCAGAAGCTGCAGAAGATTGCTTCGAGAACATGAATAGAAAAGGCACTCCTAGCTCACGTGCTAGCTATGCGTGGACGATGGCGACGTAGGAAACACACAAAAGGGCTTTGGTGAGGGAGAGTATTCAGAGGTCACACGACGCAGTTACTATCATGGACGGCATCAATGTCACCAAGCACATTGGCGTGTTTAGTATTCCCTTAAGTCGGCAGGATCATTGTGCTAAACTCACAACATTGAAGCATCGCCAAAGTCCTAGGTGGAGCTAGCATCGTGGTATTGTTGCGGTTAGGGCCATTGGCTGGGTTTCCTTTTCCAAGCATCCACATTACATAATCACTTTACTTTGTTCGACCTTTTGTTCTTGTAGAGCTCCTGCCATACGTTTTGGTTAGTGCATGATCTCTACTCGGTTCTTTTATCGAAATATCCTCAAGTCCGGCGAGAAACCAGATGAATGCCCTGGGTGAAAGAGTCTCGGAACCTAACAAAGTGACGTGACTACTCGTTTCATCAAGCATACCGTTGTCAAGCTGGAAAACTCGGAAATCTTCAAGTATCGTCATTGGCCTCTATCTCAAAATTCAGGCACAAAACGTCACAACAGTGCGAAAACGCAAATATCTATGACACGCTACGGAAACGACAGTGCTGCGAAATGCGAGTTGCCCCTCGTGCTTGCTTGCGACGCGACTTTTTCGTGGGGCGCATGCTGTGTCTGACTGCAGCTTGGTGGGCTGAAGCGAAGTCGCGGCTCGACTCCTCGAAAAATCCCACGTCATGTTGTTGAATGATCGTCATGGTGTTGCAGCCGTCGCTGAAATTCAACTGGAGTGATCATTTCCTTCCGCCGTGCCCGACATGATATATTCGCATATTATCAGCAAAAGAACACAAAACCACGTTCTGCTAACAAAAAATCTTCACTGATTCCATAGTAATCAATTCGAACTCAATCACTTCAACAGCCGACACAATGCCTTACCCAGAGGAAGCTGAGGGTTTCATGATCAATGAGTTAGGCAAGTACCAGGATTTCAAGAAACAGAGTGTTAGTAGTCTCTTACCAGGAAAACATGAAGAACCACGCTGATATTTTGCCGAACAGTTCAAGCTCAAGACATTCGGCGAGTACGATGTCGACATTAAGATCGAATGCTGTGGTGTCTGTGGCTCAGATGTACACACTATCACCGGAGGCTGGGGCGAGTCCCCAACACCCATCTGCGTCGGCCACGAGGTCGTTGGCAAGGTCATAAAGGTGGGCGACAAGGTCTCGCACGTCAAGGTCGGCGATCGAGCTGGCTGCGGTGCTCAGGTTTGGGCATGCTTGAAGTGTGGAAACTGCAAGTCGGACAACGAGAACTACTGCCCAGAACAAGTCGACACTTATGGCGCACCATACGTAAGTACTCCCTTGAATACATACCAATGTTCCGAGCTAACACTCTGTAGCCTAAAGAGGCTTGTCCAAATGAGACCATTTCTCAGGGCGGGTACTCCTCGCATATACGGGTACACGAGTACTTCGTCTTCCCAATCCCAGACGCCATCCCATCTCACTTAGCAGCACCTATGCTCTGCGCGGGTCTGACAGTGTGGAGTCCTCTTGTGCGAGCAAAAGTAGGACCAGGAAAACAAGTAGCCATTGTCGGTATGGGTGGTCTCGGACACTTCGCTGTCATGTGGGCAAACGCCCTCGGCGCAGAAGTCACTGTCATCTCCCACTCTCCAGAAAAGAAAGACGATGCCATGAAGCTAGGTGCCAAGAACTTCGTCCTCAACAACGAAGAAGGCTGGGCCAAGCCTCTCGCTTTCAAGTTCGACTTCGTCCTGAACGCCGCCGACATGACCCACACCTTCGAGATCGACAACTACATCTCAATCTTGAAGGTCAACTGCCAGTTCCACCAGGTCGGTCTCCCAGATGAGGCACTGCCATCGATGAAGGCACAACAATTCATGCCAAATGGTTCGTCAATTGGTGCTTCTCACATCGGCAACAGACCAGAATGCCTTGCGATGTTGAAGTTGGCTGCGGAGAAGAAGCTTTTCCCCATGGTTGAGACAATGCCTATTTCCGAGAAATCTTGTGCTGAGGCCGTTGAGAGAGTCAAGAACAACAAGGTGCATTACAGATTCACGTTGACCGACTTCGATAAGGCGTTCGGTAACTAGGAAGGCTAGTCTTCTGATAATTAACATGTGTCATGGCATAGGAATGTGATACTAAGGTAGATAAAATGTACACTTCCCCAAGCAATCAGCAGCGTGGTGTGTAGTATGGCCAGTTCTTGGGCTTACTATTCGCCTCAAATGTGTGTTCAGCTGTATTAGACCCTTGACCATTCGACTTGCACCTTCTGTGTGCTTCGAGCACTGCTGGCCAGGATTTGGCATGTACCAATGGTCTATTTGCCGATGGATTAATGTACGGAGTATTCTACACTGCCGAGGTAGGTGGAGCTAATGCTGCTGGTACACAAAGTTGCGAAACATTGAAACGTGGGGCAAAGTGATAGATAATAATTTGTACTCTGACATATCCTGTGTTTGCAGGTTCTACGTCCAGCGCAAAATCACTTATCAGCCTCTTCTTCCTATAATATCAAAGTATAGAAGTTCCTATCTCAAGATGCCTCACCCCTACACGAAAAAGGAAGATATCCTGAAACTCGGTGAAATGGACCCCGAGCTGGCGGAGGTAAGTAAGCATACAATGAATGACGGGAAAAGAGAAAGAATACACAATTCATGGGAGACAAGCAGTACTGACTCAGACTTTCTTGCATAGCATCTTCGAACGACAGAATATCCCTCAGTAGATTACGGTGATCTAGCCAGCTTCAAGGCCTTTGCTGAGCGCCGCAATGAGCAACTCGGCAAGATGCTTGGCGAGCCTCCTTCGGATATCAAACAGTCAGAAACTCACTATACGACGAGAGATGGCACGAAGATGCGTGTAAAGGTATACAAACCTGCTTCTCCGCCTGCTGAGGGTTCAGCGCTTATCGTGCTGTATCACGGTGGTGGCTTCTGTATTGGTAGCCCGGAAGGTGAAGAGCAGACATGCCGCAACCTTGTTCAAGCATTCGGTTCCGTCTGTGTTAGCGCCTCGTATCGTCTGGCGCCCGAGTTCAAATTTCCCCATGCGCCCAACGACTGCTGGGACTCATTGAAGTGGGCAGCGGCGAACGCAAAAGAGCTTGGCGCCGACCCAAGCAAGGGTTTCATTATCGGTGGAACGTCGGCAGGAGGTAATCTGACAGCTGTACTGGCTCATCTTGCTCGGGATGAAGGCCTGCAGCCACCACTGACAGGACAGTATCTTGCTATTCCTGCTCTTGGTGGTGGCAAGTTGATTCCGGAGAAGTATAGGGACCGTTGGTTGAGCTTCGAGCAGAATGTCGAAGTGCCAGTGCTGCCAGTCTCAGCTGTCAACATGTTCATGAAGGGATATGAACCTGACAGCGAATCGTACGAATTGTGTAAGTTTGCTGCAGATTTATCGTCGCAACGGATATGGTCGAGCATGAACTGACACAAGCTAGATAATGTCATCGCTCATCCTAAAGGCCACAAAAACATGCCTCCGACGTTCTTCCAGATCGACGGCATGGATCCATTGAGAGACGAAGCTCTTATCTATGCAACGATGTTGGAGGATGATAACGGTGCGAAGACCAAGGTTGATGTTTACCCCGGTTTACCGCATGGAGTAAGTTGCCAGTCGTTGTTTGATCGTGCAACTGCTTACTCTTCTGACCAGCACTGGGGCTTCTTTCCAATGTTGGAGTCTAGCAAGCGATTCCGCAAGGAGCAGGTTCAAGGGTTCGGCTGGCTGCTTGGTAAGGAACCTGAGGTCGAAAAGGTCACAACACAGATAAACCCAACCACGCTGTAATCTCGGTACTCAGGACTGATGTAGCAAGCCATCGTTGCAAACTCGGTGATGGATTGAGTTTGACTAGAGGTCGACTCGAGCCAGCGGGCACGCGAACGGAAGAAGTGGTCGAAAGAGGCAGCTACAAGGCTTGCAGAGTTTTTTATGTAGTTAGTAGCAGGGATGAATGCAGTGAGCACATAATTGGATCGTGTTTCTGTCCAGGCGTTCCAGTCTTTCCCAGGTGTGCAAGCAGCAGGAAGCTTCAAGTGACGGATGTCATTGTGCACTGCTGCTGCTCATGGGCATGCCCGATCTGGTAGAAGACTTCGATTCTTTGGTTGGACAAGGAGGCGGATATCACTCATTCATTGGAGGGTGTTCTCTTTGACAATTCAATTGTTGCACCATTTGTAGGTCAGATTTGTGCCAGTCGGCGTTCCGCGGTTTGACACCGCACCAAACCTTAATCTTGCTACCTTGCCTAAGTCCAGGACGGGGAGGTGAATTCCGCGGGCTGTTATTCAGTGCGTTGGCAATCAGCATTGTTCGAAGCATCACTGTTGTGGCGAGCACAGATAGGGCCGTTTCGTGAGCTCGATCTCCGAGGTGAGCTTGCGTCCTGATTATCACAGTCCCTCATTCACACCAGGCTCGGAATATGCACATACTCACAGCAAATGTAGTTCATGATGATAAAAAGCTACCCAGATAAATATACATGACTTCTTGCTCTCAACTACCGACAACGTAGCGCCTTCCTGATGGAGAAAGTAGTAGCAAAGCAAGTTCGGTGAGCATAAGTGTTACTCTTGAGCACGGAGAATTGTAGAGAAAAATCTAGGCCGCCAAGACTAGAACTAGCTCCATTGCACGTTGATTGTTACACAGCCGAAAATGGCTCAGTTAGCCGGGTACTTGAAGCCTTAGCAAGGCAATTTTCTTTGCAAGCTGCACCTGCCAATTTCGGAACGCGCCCAGCACTACTTGAGTAAAGTTCTCGAATACTCCTCCACGAACATCGTCAGTTCAGAGTCATGTCGCATGTTCCTGTTCAAACCGTCACGCTATCCTAGTACAGCAGCGAAGGAACTCCTCGAACTCCATTATGCCGCTTCTGCATGTTGGCATTGTCTAATCCACGACTAGCTCCTTACGCGATCCGTATTCGTGGGTCGTTCATGTACAACCTTGAAAGCTCATTGTCTGGTCAGCTGTAAGCTTTACTCAATCGTCCGAAGTTAGCTCGGATTCCATGGTGTTCCTTCCACGTGGGATGGAGGATGACGAAGGCGATCAAACCACGTTCTTGGGTCATTATAAGTACTCCACCTTCTCTACAGAGATGTTACAGGGTAGAGTTCATGCATGCAAGACGCAAGTCTTCGTTCCCGAGCTCGCTAAGTCTTCTGTCAAGTAAAGGGCAAGTACATCTCGTACTCCCAAGTTAACTGATCACGAGCTTTTCTTGGTATTGGCCACTGGTCTTTTGCGATCCCTTCGTCTCGTACCAGCTTCATGATGTATATACACCTCGCGTACTTCAAACCAGCCGATGAACTAATCACTCTATATTCGCTCCTTCCACTGAGCCATTGATCATGGCTAATTCCACTACAATACAGAATGGCAAGCCGAGAGCCTGTCAGACGTGCAAAAGACAGCTTGGAGGAAACGAGAGTCAATCGAGGATACCAATCTGTCAGATATGTCAGCATAAAAACCATAACCAAGCTAGACAGGCCGCAGGGCCGGGCAATACTGAATCAATTCCCTCAGCATATTTCCAGCTTCTCGATGATCGGATAGCTGAACTAGAATCTGCTGCCGAGCAAAGAAATCAGTCAGCTTCGACAAGAGCTCCCACCGCAAATACGACCAGCACCAACCGGTCACAGCGGCCTGATACATCCTATACTATTGCAGATACTCGTTCTTCGCAAACTCAGCAGCCTACCAAGAGGACATCGCCCAAGTCGCTGACTATGGAGCGCTTCTTGAACGATCCAAGTGAGCCAGACAGAACGTGAGTATAGACATTCTCGTCACTGTCGTTCCTTCGTTGATTCTGATCAGACATAAAGCGATTCTATCTAGGCTCATCAAGAGCAGATGATACTACATACCCTGCTTCGAGTGCTTACTATCCAATAGTACGGTCGTGGTTAGATCAACAAAGAGCAGGTACAGTTGACTTGAGCTTCTGGGCGACCAGCTTTACGACACGATTCAGTGTAAGCAATTGCCTCTGCAGAATTGCCACACACTCGCATGCCCTCAGACCTCGACATGATCCGCGAGCTGGTCACAGACGCATATTTCTATGTCAAACACCAGGGACCAGTGCTAAGGGAGATCTTAGTGCATGGAAGTTCGCAGATGTCGCAGCGAAGAGGAGATGGCTAAGGAGTTACAGTGAAGTGACCCGTCAATCCAAGCATAGCTGTCCGGAGGTGTGCTGCGACCAAGTCGAGGTAAAACGTTCGGCCTTGCCTCTATCGTGTCCTTCGACTCAGGTCTATCTATGATCTGCCAAGATCTTCGGTCCCTGTGCAAAGAGTTTGCAGGACCTGAGTTGTGACAGTGAAATGACGGTATTGTTTTACGGCTCAGTATATATGTCGTGGTCAACTTTAATTTGAACTACCTGGATTTCGGACGAGAATGCTGGCCGTTGGTTCGAGAGAAAACAGCACTGGCAGAGGCTATTTAATCTTGAACCGACACTGCTTCTGTAGGATTGTTCTAATTTAGGCCGATATTTATTCCTGTTTCTTTTCTCGTGAACACATATACATCTCGCAACTCCTGTTGAAGTTAGCTACCGGAGCGAAGATCGTAAGATACGCACTTTTCCGTCGTTACAACAAGAAGCATTTCCATTGGCAGCAATTACCTCCATCGCTTTTCGTGCCTGGTTATTGTACCACTCCTCCTCTTCAAGCTGCTATCAGAAGTACTTCCTTCCTCGGGCTCACGTAAACGACCAACCTTACACACTTGGTCACTCGGGCGACGCCATAGCTGAGTCGAGCCCCAGTCTCTCAACGGTCCAACAGCGGTCCTCGTCTAAGCAGTCAAACCACGACTATAGTCCTCTACGCCTGTGATCCAGATATTTACAGACCGAAGCCCTGACCGACAACCACTAAGATGATATCAGACGACCAACTCTACTCGCTCGCACTCTTTCTGGGCAGCGCTGCCATGCTTCTGATAGTCCTTTACCACTTCCTCGAAGTCAATGCGAAAGACGAGGACGTTGCTTCTGAACTGAAGAGTGAGAAGACAGGAGTAGGAGCAGTGAAGCCTGAGAAGCAGGCATCATAGTAAGATAGGATAACGGGAAACAAATCAGGTATCAACGGCATACCGCCCTCTAAGGCACATTGTGGACGAGGTCCGGTCGTTCGTGCGTAGAGCAGGGGACATCAACTGCACAACTCTGCAACGTGAAGTGTCGGACGCTGCAGAATACCGGAACAGGGCTGTCGAAGACAATCTGATCATGAAAAACCACATCCTTGTGTGCTCGAGCGAAGCTTCGAGTCTATGCTGTTGAGGACCAGCTACGAGGCACGACATCCGGCATCAATTACCACGAATATTACCTATCGAGAACCTTGCACTCTAGAATGTTTCTGCTGCTTGACGAGCCAGGTGGCTGCAGTCATCCTTCCGTGGATCAAGTCACACACGTGCCAAAGCTGGGAGAAGGGTTCACATTAAAGCTACCATAAGCACTACCAGCATGTACCAACTAGACAAGTATTGCCATGCTCAATATTTGATGAAGCTCAGAATGCTTCAAGCAGGGCCTGTCTCTTTGGAAACACCTACCGTTCTCACTTTCCTCTACCTCATAGTCTGTGAATACCAAATCTGCTGGCAAAAAACATGCGCTGACACCTAAAGAAAAGCCGACCAGGATATTACGAGCATGACACTGACATATGTCGCCCCGGAAGCAATATCTGATTCTCGACTGCCGCCCTGATACTTCGAAGCATAGCTCCCAAGAAAAATTATATGCACTCCTACTTGTCCACAATCATGCTATACCAACTTGCCCAAGTAGAGATCACCTCTGAACGAGCAGGAAAGAACTCCTACCTACCCCGTCTCATTCTACTGTACATGTCACTGATCCTATGCATACTTGCATGCACATTCTAACTCTGACGTCGCCTTAGCCTGCATTTGTACACTCAAGGTCTCTCGCCATGATCACTCAACGTTTCTCTGGCGGATTACCGTATCAGGAAGGCTCTCATGCTCGTGCTGGCCACCCCACCATCCAGAACTTAATGCACATCGTTTACTTCAGCCCAAGTATCAAAATTTTAGAACACCAAAGCCGATCTAGACACGAACACGTATGCCAGCTACTGCTGCACTTAGCAAGAAACGACGTGTACATGCATTGTAGCGCTCGTATTCAGACACTTTCCTACCCACCAACAACCTTACGCTAGCCAAGGTCGTCGTGCCCCACAAAAAAAAACGGTCGCAGCCTGCCCGCATACACGATAGTCGTAGCGTACCAGCTTCCTGGAACGTGGGACGAGAGCACGAGATAGTACTGTACACTGCACCTGCTTCAAAAGGCAGGTGGGGTACTCACTCACCCGTGTATCTCTACTAATGCTATGCTGTGATAATCACGCGCTCATGTCGCGAGATGGTACCATATTAGTGTTTCTCTCGCTACTGCGACCGTAAATCTGCACATTCACATGATGCTAAAGAGAGGGTAGAAACATGATCTAATCGTTCAAAGAATGATACCATGTATGACCGGTCTAGTGAAGGTCGTTGCGAAGTTCTCGATCATGATCCAAATTCAGGGTCAGCATTGGTAGGACTTCTGACTGGATCCGAATTATCCTCAAATGATTCTGAGTAAAAGTCAATCTATGACCCTACTGGCCCGAGTAGATATCACGCACCACATTCACCGGACATGTACGGCCCAGGCAAGAGGAGCTTATCACAATGAACGGTAGACGAGAACGATTATAACGCAGATTGTGGTCGCTGATGAATCTACCACTGCTTCATCTATCTGCCTGACACCAGGTCATTCATCGAACAAGGAAGGTTCTCCTTGTGCTCTTTGACTTCACTCCTCTCCTCAATCAGCAGTGACCAGCTCCGTCTAGCGCTCGCTTAAACAATGATTAGACAATTAGCTGAATACACGCAATTCCCCCCTCTCTCATCTCTCTGTGTATGCAGTCTTTTGGTACATCAGATAGGATACGCACTTTTGAGACAAACAATCTTTTGCTCCATATGCGCCAGTGTGCAGAAACAGTATGAAGACACTCTTTCTAGAATTAATCAAGGTCCCGCTATGCTCCATTAAACAGAAACACAACAAATTTTGTGGGTGGCCGGCAACACCTTACCGACCGGGTATCACAATGCAACACCATCCATCTGACATGACTTTGGCATGTCAAGCTAATCTCACCCTCAAATAGGCTGACCTAGCAGAATTATCGTCCAAACAAGCGGCCGTCGATGAATTAGTTGTGCCTTTCGACAGAAGAATAACTAATATACAGGACTGAACTGTGTCGAGTCATTCAATCGGCCTTCTTCTCAGGCGATCGCGATCGGTCGTTAGTGGTGGGTTGTGACTTCTGAGTGGGAGGAGAGGAAGGGTTAGATGGTGGTGAAGCAGGACCTTCGGCTCCTTCAAGAGCTGCAAGTGCACTGAAAGAACATTAGCATACGAATCACTGTAAGTAATACAAAAAGCATACCTGAACGCATTTGTGCTGCTGTCATCTTTCTTAGAATCTGTCTGTGCAGGAGGAGTACCTGTTCTGCTTGTGCCAGCACTGGCGATATTAGGTCCAAGACCACGTCGACTGTTAGTTCGAGCACCAAGAGCAGAAGGACCGAACGATCCGCTAGGTGTCGTAGTATTCTGTCGCTGGGATCGACCACCTAATCGTCGGAGATCTTCGGCTTGAATTCGGTTCGAGTTATCTGGTGGAGGCATTGGTCCGCCGTGGCTGAAGCTTCTGACATCGCCGCGACCCATTGGCAGTCGTCCACCGCCACGACCAGCGGCCTGGCTTGCGAGGCGAGACATCTCGGCAGCTTGTTGAGCTGCTTCGGCTTCTTCGTGGATTTGCTGGATTGTCTTTGGACCCTTGTCGGCGTCCTTAGAGTTCCATCCGTTTCTTCTGAGATCCACAACGTCCATGAGCATGAACCTCAAGCGACTAGGTAGATCTGGGAGTGTAAGAGTCTGGTTGATCCTCTCGAAGTAAGCGTCCATTCGACCAGCAGCCTTGCTCTCGGACATGTCGAGCTGTTTGCCGATGGTCTTCAGCAGACTGCTCAAGCTTTCGACTTCGGCCTCTTCTGGTGTGCCGTCGTAGTCAAGCAGCTTCTTGACACATTCATGCATAATTCTTTCTGTAAGCATACCGAGCTTGAACAGTTCACCAATGAATTTAACGAGACCAAGACCACGTCGTTTCGCGGCAGCCGCAATGTAATACTCATCTGAAAGCATGACTGCTTCTTCAGTCTCGCCTTCTTTCGTGGTTGGTAGATTGATCTTCCAACCTTTCTCGAATTCCTCTTGGCATCTATTGAGCAAGTATTTCCGGAATAAATTGCCACCCGCGACAACGTTGCCATTCTTGTCTTTGATGGTCTCGTCCTTGATATCGGCACTCATTGTGGACAACATCTTGAAGCAGAACTTGGCATACATTGGGGCCCAGTGAGCTTCATCAGTAGCCTTTTCAAACACTAGCTGAATGACTTGTCGAAGAGTCCGGCCGTCAGTCTCCTGTTTCGACTGAGCTGCTATCTCAAGAACACCATCAGAGATACGATCGAACTTCTCAGGTGTCATCTTGTTGAGGGCAGCCTTGACCTTTCGTTGGACGACATCCGCTTCCATGTAACCGTCAAGTCCGACTGACGCTTGAGTGCTTGGACCGAGACTTCGAGGTTTCCATCCAGTAGCAGATACCTCAAGATTGGTCACATTCAGGCCAGCAGTAAGAGGCATAGACTTGTTGGCGTCTGCTTCCTGTTTCGCGGACTTGTTATTTCGTTTGCTTTCGGCACGAGATCCGCCACGACTAGCACCGCCGACTCTTGGTGAGCCAGGAAGAACGCCAAGTGGGTTATTGGATGGTGTACGAGCCATGGGTGGACCCATAGAGCCAGGTCGACCGAAGGCGAAAGGATTGTTTGCCATAGGACCTCCTCGCATACTTCCGCCAGAAGACGCAGCAAATCGTTGTTCGGAAGTTGTACCTGGCGGCAAGGTCCGGGTCGGTCCTCCTCCAAAGGTACCCATAGGACCACCAAAGTTACCTGCAGCGGCGCCCCGATGTGACGCACTGCGACCACCCATTCCAGAGGGCGTCCTAGCCGTCTGTGGTCGTGCAGAATCATCGTGGCCCAGAGCTGCCTGGATCTTCTGGTCCCAATCAAGTGATGGCTTCTCCTTGAAGACATTTTGGAATTGCAGTAGAAATTCCTTGTTGTACTTGAATTTGCGATCAGCTGGAGCGTTTGCGTTCAGAGCTGGGTTGGGAGAAACTATGCCGCTTGGATAAGAGACGTTAGTAGGGTCTTCAAGCTTGCGAGCAGTGGTCAATGACTTGAGGGTAGCACTGGGCTCAGGCGGCTCTGTAGAGGCTTTCGTGTTGAGTGTCAGCTCAGATGGCTTGCCACGACGTAGAGAGCCCAAAGCTTTGGCGGGAGGTCCCATGGAGAGATCTGATAGAGGGGTGGCAGCGCCACTTTCGCCTGGAGTAGCAGCTGGGCTCTCCTCGGTCGAATCTCCTGCTTCATCGCCCTTAAGTTGAGCGAAAAGTTTCTTGCTCTCGTCATCAGTCTGACTACCTTCAGCTCGCTTCTTCTCTCGAGCAATCTCTTCCTCTTCAGCTCTGCGTTCGGCTTCTTTCATGGTAGCCTCATAAGCAGCAGCTTCGTCTTGCTCTTTCTTGGCCTGAGCGGCCTTATCCGCAGCCTTCTTCTTCTGATATTCTTCTTCCTTGCGTGCCTCTTCAGCCTCTTTCTCAGCTTGTTCGCGTTCCATCTCGGCGACCATTCTCTCAAACTCGGCATCCTCATCAGAGACAGCAGGTTCCGCCGCGGCTTTGGCCTTTTCTTCCTCCTCAGCCTTGGCTTTGGCAGCTTTCTCGGCCTCGGCAGCCTGGATTCTTTCTTCGGCTTCCTTTGCTTCTTGCTCAAGTCGTTCAGCTTCAGCCTTCTTCTCGGCAGCTTCTCGTTCAGCGGCTGCAGCAGCCTCGGCTTCCATTTGAGCTTTCTGCTCTTCCGCTTCTTTCTGCTTGCGTAGCTTCTCGGCCTCTTCTTCTTTATCCTGAGCAATCTTCTTAGCGATAGCCTCCTGCATAGCCTTCTTCTTCTCATCTTTGTCATCAGGCTTCACACTTTGACTATCAGTCCTTCCATGTGCAGCACTGACGGCACTACCTGTACGACTCGGAGGGGTGGGAAGAGTAGGAGTTGTGATTGCTGGAATGGTAGCAGGCGCAGGGGCTGGTGCAGGGGCGGATGGGGTCTTTTTACTAAAATCGACGACCTCGCCCTGAGCATTCTTGATGACGATTGCTGCGCTTTTCTTTTGTGGTTGGATGAAGCTGCTTTTCTCGCCTGAGATACTTGGTGTTCTTGTTGAGGTATGGTGCAAAGCAGCGGCAGGAGTTTGGGGTGTTTGACCGATACTAGAACCAGGGCGCTGATCGGCAGTGGACATCTGAGAGGACTGTCGCGACATTGGCTGGGGCATATGTCCCTGGTTGCTGTAAGTCGACTGCATCTGCTGGCCACCAAAGCCAGGTTGATTGAAGGGAGGTCTTGGTGACTGGGGGGGGTACCCAGCATATTGTTGCGGATAGAATTGCTGTTGCTGGTAGGCATTGTAGGAAATGCTGGGGTCGGCGGCGATGGGTACCTGTCCGTATGCAGCCTGAGCACTCTGTGTTAGAAAATTTTCAAAATTACCACTTTCGGGGGACAAGTCAGGGAGGGGAAAAGCCGGCATGACAGGGAGCGAGTATACTCGGTGCGAAGCAGCAATAGCATCAGAGGCTCCGGGACCAACATAATTATCGGAAGCAGGATCCATGCTTGGGACAGCAGGCTTCCCGTTGGCCTTGGAGAACTTCTTGCCCTTGCCACCACGACCTGTGCCTCGACTCGGCTTGCCTCGAACGGCTTCGGAAATAGAACGGGAATTGGGTATATTTACTGGGTATTGAGTGTAGCCATAAGGAGCCATGGTCGCGGGATTCATCTGCATAGCAGCCATCTGGGGAGTGCCGCCTGGAGTCATATTGTTCATCGGCTGTCGGTGTTGCATCGAAGGTGAGCCTTGGTATGGTATGGAATGACCACCTCGACCTTGGTAGTTGCCTCTGCTGTTGTTGGGACGGAAATTGCTGTTGGGGTTGAAAGGCATATGACCGCCGTATTGATTGCCATAGCCTCCTCGCCCACCTCGATTACTGTAGCCACCTCGTCCAGGGCCACTGGGTACTTCGTGGCTACTGTTTGCATGCATGGACTGCTGAGAACCTCGACGATTATGCTGCTCGCCCATCTGCATCTGTGAGATTCCTCGGGTTACGCCCTGTTGTGATGCGTTAGTTTCTCGGCTACCAAACGTCTCTCTCATACATACGTTAACATCTGAACCGTCGCCGCCGAATTGGCCAAAGCTCATGTGCTTTCCCGGACCGGACAACTCAGAAGGTGGACGGCCTCCACTGACCTGGACAGGCTGTGGAATTGGCGAAGGGGAGCTCGAAGGAGAAGGTAAACGTGGAGCCAGATTGTTCACGCCCAGGCTATTAGACTGAGTATGCACCGGCTGGGGAGTGGACATGGCAGGAGAGGAATTGATATTTCCGCCATTGTTTAGTGAACCAAATTGAACATTGGCCTTGTTTTGAGGAGGGCCATTAGGATTGTAGCTGGTAGTGGTCCCAGCAGGCGTGACCGTCATGGAAGGGGTTCGCTTGTGGTCGTGCAAAGCTGAATTTCCGTTCATTGGAACAGCAGATGCGGTCGGATTTCTACCGTTGATGGAGTCAGAAGGATACTGACTTATGGGTGGATTTGTAATTTGTGTCGACATTCTTTCAGGCTCAAATACATAGAGATTCGAACAGTCGCAGTGATATCAATGAATCTTCGTTCGCACAGGAAAACGTGGCTTCGACTTGTGATATTGCTAGTTTAATGGCGATTGAAATCTATGTGCAACTTTTGGTTGAGTGAAAAGTGCTAGAAGTGAAAATCGATGTGGTCGAATGTATCGTAGCGCAGGCGATTCGCGGTACTTGCGTGTAGCTGTCGTGCTTTGATTTCGCCTGAGCCCGCAGGTGATCAAGCAGCAAACAAGACAGGAGATTTGATCGAGGCGACGACTGTCTCAATTAAGGGAAGCCGCGTCGTGCGATGGGTTGATTTGAGAGGAGATTGTCTGGAGGATGCCCAAAAGCAAATCACAGACGACTACTTCCGTTTTTGCTAAGAAGAGGTATTGGTAGAGCAAGTCGATACCAAACCCAGAATGATCTCACCGTTGAGGATAGGTGAGATGAATTAAGGACAAGAATGCGTATTCTAGATGTGAAGAGGAAGCAGCGAAGGCAGTCGTTGGCAGCAATGCACTTTTTTCAGGGAGTGGAAACTCAGGCGGCTTAGCTCCGTTGCCAGTCAAGGGCTAACTCGACTATGAGTCAATTGCCGGATACCTGTGTTTGTGCATGCTTGGAGAAGGCAACAAGCACCTATCTAGAAAATCTCCTCAGGCTATTACAATGTGATTCTTCCTCTCGTTTGCAAGCTGCTCTTCTCGCTCCTGTCCGTGCCGTCTTTTGCTCTAACCATTCGCGCCACATGCCAACCGCACCTGCGCAGGAGGGGTATGTTCTTCCATTCTTCGATTCTTCATCGAACCCTCGGCCGATGACATTATGTAAGAGGAGATAATTGTGAGGAGAAAAGTTTACCGTGACTTCATCAACACCTACTACTTGGCGTAGAAGCAGAGAGAGCATGCGAGCATGTCCAGCAGCACCTTCGTCTGCTAGCACAACTCCAAATAGAGCATGTTTGTGTTCCCAGTGTTGCCTGATCTCACATAAGAGACTCCTCATCACACACGTCGTGGAATGGTTGCGAGCGAACTCCTGCAGCGATGACTCTTCTCAAGGCAAGGAGTCATGAAGAATTTATTTTCAGCCAGTCAAAATCGTGACCAAGCTGTCTTTACAGGGATGTTTTGAATCGTCCGTCCTTCGCCAGCTTCCCGTTTTAGGCCGAGCTTTCCGGAACACCAAAGCCCTTTTCTATCTCCGGAGCTGGCTGCTTTAGATGTGCCCTTACTCTGTGCATACATCCGCCCTACCTTGTTGTACAACCAGCATGATACGCTCGCCTGGTATCGCGCAACCGCAACAGTCTCGCTGAGCTCAATCGCCAGGAAATTAAACAAGCTGAGTGTGTCATGTTCTTGGAATGCCATCCCTCGTCACATTCTGCTAACACCGGGTAGTGTACTGCAAAATATACGCACGTCACGATTAGCGACAAATCATATGCTTCTAGTATGCACAAAACGCGATTCTAGCGCGCTTCTCACGCTCCTCTTTCGTGTTTGGAGGCAGAACGAATGGTCTAGTTATTGGAAAGATTTCGTCATTCAAGTTTTCGCTGACCAGGCCACTTAATTCGTATCCAATTGTTCAACGCTCTGTTAATGCTCAGTGCGCTGCTTGATTTGAACCGATTAAGAAAGAGACTTCCGCCTTGTTTCTTCTGCAACAAGTAATCGCCAATACGCCTTTGCGCACCTTGTTGTGTGCTTGAAATTATCTTACTCCGTCCATGTATGGTCATCAATGAGACTAGTCTGGCCCTGAATAGTGGTGTCGAGGTCGTGTTGTACCATCGCCAACCCAACATACTGATAACCGGGTGTCAACGAGTCTTGCCTCTAACCTTCTTCGCATTCTTCTCGAACGATTCCTCTGGCGGCTCATCGACTTTCCTTTTACTTCTTTTACTACCTCCGTACTTCACCTCGAGGCTTTCAATGAACCCTTCAGCACGTCCTTTCTGCCTCTGCTGGATTAGGGTCTTCAATGCGTCCTCGTCGTTCGTCTTCTTACCGATTTTCTGACCTGTCTTACCATTGGACCCTTTTCCGAATAATTTGTCTTTCACTCCCAACTCTTCAGCCAATTCTAAAGCCTCTGCCTCCTCAACCTTAGCTTTCTGAACTCTTTTCTTTCTTGCCGCCTTGGTTTCCTTTGTATAAGCAGGATAGTTTGGTACGTCTTTCTTCTCAATCGCCTCATCAATAATGCCTCGAAACCGCTCGTCATCGTTGAGCACATTCGAGCACATGATGGTTTCGTATAGCGCATCCATGTCGCCTTCCTGTTCCTCGTAGACACGCAGGACATCCTCCTTCTCCTCTGGAGAGCCTTGGTAGTCCTTCTTGATCTGCTCGATCATGTCGCCATCGACCATAGCCGCAGTCTGCTCGCGGAAGAAATCAACCCAATCGAAGTCCTCGTCATCTTTCAAACTTTCACTCGTATTGCCTGTGGTATCATATCGCCTTCGTCGCTTTTCGTCACTGAGAACAGCATATGCAAACGCAATCTCTTGAAACTTCTTGTGTGCATCGTCACTGGTCTCGGGAGAGACTTTGTCAGGGTGATGTCGCAGAGCAGTTTTTCGATATGCAGTCTTGATTTGATCGGCGGTAGCATCCTTTGAGACAGACAGGACTTCATAGGGATTGATCTCTGTGGGCTGTTCAAGGGTTTCCGAATAATCGTCGTCCTCGACCTCTGGACTTGGTGTTTTAGATTTGGTTCTGCGCGCCATAGCGCAAAGCTGAAGCGATGTACGATCGAACGAAAGTTCTACTACAGAATTTCAATGCTTAGTGAACAAGAAAAGGGATGCGTATGTGTGTCAGATTGCTCGACCACAAGGCCATCTGCTTGCACAATTTGAGGACGCGTAAAGCCGCAGATGCGCGTCCTATCCGTGTAGATCACTCATACGTCATATCACTCTTATTTGACTCCACCTTCACCTATGCCTCAAGCCTCAAAATTCGACCTACACCCATAATCTGAAGAAATTACGAAATATGTCTATATCCTCGAAAGAGACATCACTGAAGTACCTGAGTCAGACAATTGATCTTGCTAAGAAATCACCTCCGAAATCAACCAATTTCCGTGTGGGTTGTGTTATCGTCTCTTTCTCAAGCGTGAATCCAGCAGGCACAATACTAAGTACAGGTAAGCTCTCTAGCTCACTGCCATATCACTAGAAATGTCGCCCCCAACGATGGATGCCATACGAACAATGTGTTGTTCTAACATTTTAGGCTACACCCTTGAATTACCTGGCAATACCCACGCTGAGCAGTGTGCTCTTACTAAGCTCGCAGACAACTTCGCAATCACAGAGCCCGAGATTTTCACACTACTTCCTTCCGAGGCCCACACGACTCTATACACAAGCCTAGAGCCGTGTAACCTAAGGTTATCAGGTAATCTACCTTGCGTTCAGCGGATCATCGCCACGAGACACAACGATAGCGGAATTCAGAAGGTGGTCTTTGGTGCTAAGGAACCCTCGACCTTTGTCAAGGATAGCCAGAGCTGCAAGGCATTGACGGAAGCCGGCATTGAGTGGGAGTACTTGCCGGACCTTGAGGAGGAGATTTTGAAAGTTGCAATGGAGGGTCACGACAAAAAGGGTGTGGAGGCAGAGCAACAGCAGAAGCAGCAGCAGGGAGGCATACAGCCAAGAGGAGGCGTCAACAAGATTCTTGGTGTTATGCAGTCTGCTAGAGATGCGAAGAAGGAGAGGACCAAGGCTGAAAACGGCAATGTCGAGGCGCACGGAAGCTCAAGCAATAGGCAAACTCAGGCAGGAGACGGTACACATTTGCAAGAATCTTCTGCACCACGAAATCCCAAGAAGCGGATGATGGAGGCACCTCCTGGTGGTGAGGATGCATGAGCTGACAGCACTGGCTAGCAACTTTCAAATTTGATTTGCACGCTATTGGCGAGTCTCGTAAATTGTAACAACGTCACATAGTACAACCCGATACGAAGCTTACCTCATGGAAATGGGTTCGTTGCCTGACTGTGAAAGCAAGGTTTCTGTTTGAAGCGGCACGCCGTCGTGATAGCGAGGATATAGCTGATGTCCAGCAAGCTGCTAGCGAGAGGTAGTAGTAACAGAGGAGCACTTGAAGCTTCGAATCTTGCCGACATGGTATTGGTGGATCTTCTCAAGGTCCTCGATTCTGCCTCAGGCATATATATATCTCTTCCTGAAGCATAGTCTTTCTTCCTCGTTTCAGACGGTGGGCATCAACTCATATCGGGCAAAGTAATGACTACAATCACACCTTCGATCGTTGGCATGATGACCGAACAACACTTCGCTCCCTTGACGCTTAAATGGAATACTCACAACCAATTCTAGCACATGCCCGAACAACGTCCCCCTCACTCCGAATCTCTGCGCGTCGAGCTGGACCAAAGGACACGCTCCAGCCAGCACGAGCGTGCCTCTCCTCACTTGAACCGTCTACATGCCACAGCTGCCCAGCCGTGATGTTGTTTTCATGTGTCTCTGTACTGTGCATGACTGTACTGTGGCGTTCAGTACCCTGGTCGGATGTACGGACGTGGTCTTCTTGAATAGCGTTGTCGACAACGGAATCGAATCATGTTTTGCTTGATCAACCAATTACTTCACCACTTACACATTACACTTGTCTGAATGCAGCCAAGCAAGATCTCTTACTGACATCATATTTTGACCATGATGATACGCCCCCCTCAGCCCGTGAGATGATGCGATTGCTACTGAAAGCTGACCTGAATAACAGAGCCTGCCTCAACTCCTCAGATCCTCGACCTATTCCTCACTATACGAGATACTCCTTCGAAAAGTCACAATCCTACATAATGTCTTCTGACCAAAACACCGGAGGTCGCGAGGACGGACGATTCCCCGACTCCGCCTATGGCTCTTCAGGCCAGGGTACTACCGGTGTACAACCTTCCGGTACCGGTCTGAACGAGGGTAGTCTGGGAGGCCGCCAGGACGGTCACTTTCCCCAGAGCAGCTACAGCGGTAACACAGGTTCTACGGGCGCCAGTGGTGGTACCAGTGGCAGCAGCACGGGTGGACGTGAGGACGGCCGATTCCCTGACTCTGCCTACGGCAACGAGGGCGCTGGCACTACTGGTGTCAACCCGTCAGGAACAAACGTGGAAGAAGGCGGCCTAGGCGGCCGACAAGACGGCAGATTCCCAGCAAGCAGCTACGGAACAAACAAGAGTGACAACAGCGCAACCAGCGGTCGAGAAGATGGCCGCTTCCCTGACAGCGCCTACAATGCAGCAGGAATTGGTTCTACTGGTGTGCAGCCATCAAGCACAACTGTGCACGAGGGAAGCCTAGGCGGACGCCAGGACGGAAGATTTCCACAGAGCAGCTATGGTACTAACACCAGTGACAATAGTGCAACCGGCGGCAGAGAGGACGGTCGCTTCCCCGACTCCAGCTACGGAGGTGAGGGCCAAGGCAGCCGCGCTCCCGCACAGACTTCCAGCCTCAACGAGGGAGCTCATGGTGGCCGGCAAGACGGAAGATTTCCCGAGAGCAGCTACGGCGGCACAGGCGGCTATGAGCATGGACGAGAGGATGGTAAGTTTCCGCAAAGCAGCTACGGCGGACAAGGTCAAGGAGCACAAGCTGGAACATCAGGCACCGCCCTCAATGAAGGTAGTCTTGGTGGCAGACAGGACGGAAAGTTCCCTCAAAGCAGCTACGACGACAACAAGACAGGAAGCTCTGGTGGTGGCAACAGTGGCAGTGGCAGTGGTGATAGCAGTGGTGGAGGATTACTCGAACAAGCTGCCAATGTGGCATCGAAGATCTTCGGAAACCCGAAGTAGTAGATATCTACATAGCCAGGATGAATTGATATACTGTACGTAATCTTACACTCTTTCCTGAGGACTTCGTCGAGACAAGGTAATTACCAGTAATGCAGGTTCCGTTTAGTACGTATTCTGCTAACGTTGATTGACCCATCTTCTAATACCTGCTCGTCAACTCTTCTCTACAACATTATACCTGTATAAAACCTCTTACACACACCTAGCAAGAACACGCAAAGTTCATCGACTCTTTCTGTCTTCTGAAGACCAAGTCATTCGCGATACCACAACGTTGGTCCTTGTTGTTTGTTAGCGACATTGACCTTGATTCTGGCACAAACTTACACCTCAACGTATGAAGAGAGCTGAACACATGACTGGCACTTGCCATATAAAGGGTAAACCATTACCTGAACCAAGTGCTAATAACCACGTTGGCGATATGGGGACAGAGGTGGGCGTTCGCTGTTCAGCTTGAATGAACGTAGGAACCATGGCATGAAGAGGACGAACAAGAGGAGTCGAGAGGACCAAAGTAGTATAGGCAATGGCAATCAACAATAGTATTGTATGTTCAGCCTATCACTGTGAACCGCGTAGTCTGCACTCGTCTTGCCTGTTGACGAGACAAGGAAGCGGTATGCATTGTTCTGTCATAAGTTCTTGTCATCACTTCGTAATTCCTTTGGTTCTCTTTGACTCGTGCTGTTGTCGATAATGCACTTTACCGTTCCTTAGACGGCCACGAAAGACAATGACATTATCATCCTCAAGACCTACAGTATGCTTCTGCCCTTATGCGTGTTGTGAGGATATAGAAGGAGAGCCTTCTAAGCATCGTTACCAGTAGTAATCTGCTTCACTGTTCCTGCAAATTCCTTCTGCATAAATTCGAAATAGTTTCTCCAAGCTGCCAGGTCAGAATCCACACTAGCATTATTAGCACTAGGGAACTTCTGGCCCAGTTCCAAAGACATTCTTATGACACTTGAGTTCGCTTCATTGATACGCTCAATCTCTTGCTTGACGGCATTTTCTTTTGGTTTCTGATCGACCACTTTGCGGAACGACTCGGCAAGAGTAGGAAGACGGCGCTTTGTCTCCTCTGCATCGAGGTCCGAGAGTCGTGAGAGCATGAGGTTGCAGAGCGTACGAATGTCGTGATCATCAGCCACACCGTCCACAACACGGTCGAAGAAGGATGAAAATGTGAGGAAGGGCAGAGCACGTGGAGTTTCCATGAGTGTATAGAGTGCAGCAAAAGCTGACTTTCGCAGATCTAGGCCAGCATCTTCTTGATGTGTGAAGGGGCCGATCCTAACTGTTTTGATAAGCTCTTTCTTGATATGAGTATCTGCCAGGACAACAGGTAGCAGCTGGTCAAGATCCGGCAAGATGAACTCTGGCTTGTTCTGTAAAGCAGCTGTTAAAGTCGTGACTGCTAGTCGTCTATTGCCTATGTCTGAATCGCTAAGCATCTTCTTTAGCAGAGGGACAATCGATCGTGTCAAAGCCTGGTTCAAACTGCTGCTGGAATTGCTCAAAGTGAATCTGAACGCAGAGATAACGGTACCTCTTTGCGAGGCTTCTTGACCGTCCAGAGCCTGGTGGAGCTCTTGCAAGTACTTAGCTGGGTCGAGTAGTACAACGCGACCAAGACATTCTGCTCCTACAGCCTGGTTGTCCTCCTTGGCAGCGACTGCGAAGACTACAGTCCACATATCTTGTGTGTAAGGCATGATACTGCTGGCAGAGTTTTCGGTGTGTTGTAGGATCTCTTTCAGGGAGTGCAAATGAAGATACTCTTGATCTGAGCCAGAACTTACACCTCTCAGCACGGCAGGTAAGTATTGCTTAATGTCGCTTGAGCTTGCGCTACCCAGAGCGATCGCAGCAGAAAGTCGGACTTTGTCAGACTTAGCACTCAAACTCTTGTAGAATATTTTCATATCAAATGGAGATTGAGCACCCATGCGTAGACCGATCTCACCAAGAACAGTCAATGCAAGACAAGCCGAGTTATCGTCTTTGTTTTGGACCTCACCTATGAAGGCATCGACAGACACACCCAAGTTATTGCCACCGTGCACCATGAGAGTGCCGATAGCCCTGCCGAGTGTATGGGTATCGCCATTGGTGCCTACGGCCAACAAACCTGTCATCAGCGGCGTTCCTAGACCTTGCTCACCGATCATCTTGACGACCAACAGGTATGCTTTTAATGGCGGCCCTTCTAGATGGGCTTGCGATAGCTTGCAAAGAGCTTCGACGACTGGTGGGTTGACAAGTACTTCGGCATTGGTTGGTATTATCTTTGCAAGTACGACCAGAGCTGGAGTGAGGAGGTTGAGGTCATCTGCTCGTATGACGGGCATCAATTGGGTCTGAATGTTTTGGATCGTATCCGTCCCGTATTGCGACGCTGTCACTGGGTTAAGGGCAAGGAACTGAAGTGCCTCGAGTGATGCTGCTCGGAGAGATCGATCAGCCTTTCGAAGCTGATTCGCCAACTCTACCGATACTTCTTGAACCCAACTTATACCAACGTTGTCTGATGTTGTGGCAGCTTCGGCAACAAGGCCTATCGCCTGCGCCGCTTCTCGTCTCGTAGTTTCGTTTTTCAAACGATCATCTAGCACGCCCAAAGCTTTGCTCCGTGCATCAAGGGACAGTAGCTTAGTGCCAGATGTCCTCGAAACAAGGACACCGAAGACTTGTATGGCACGATGCCGAACCTCCAGATCTGCGTTCACGTTATTGACAGGGCCAAGCGTTACAGAGTATAGCTTCTCGATATGTATGGCGTGATCCTGGTTCGTTGCTGGCAGGCGAGGCGGTGAGAGTGCCTTAGCGAATTGCTCCATTGTTGATAATGCAGCTTGAGACACCTTATAATTGCGGTCCGAAACCAGACTTGTGACAGGCGAGATGAGTGCAATGACAAAAGGCATCAATACCGTGCTTGGATTCGTCTCTGTGATGGTGCTAACCAGTGCAAGAGTCTCTATCTGCAGGCTAGCAGCTGTAGCTGTTGAGCCAGAGGCATTTGTTGAGCCACTACCGCCGGACGAAGTCAGAGCATCAGCAAAAGGATCCTCCAGCTGCTGCAGATGATCTGCTAGAGCACTATTTCTCGACTCAGCAACAGCTTTGAGCATCAGAATGGCTGCTTGTTTCAAAGCTATGCTTGCCTTCTTCCAAAGCTTGACGGTGGCTGAGATGATTCGTGGAATGAGGTTGGCTAGATCTGCTTGAGCGCCAACAGGTGGTGATGGTGGTACAAAAGGAGGGCTTGCTCGGCTATGTACAAGACCTTGCAGATCAACGTCCCTATTACTAATGTTGCTGTCTCGCCGCTTTCTCTTGTTGCTCATTGGAGTTGTAGTCGAGCCATTCACAGCCTCGTCGTGATGAGTGCGTGGCATAGAAGCAGTCTTGTGCATGAGGGCAGTGGTTGCAGAAATGATCTCTAGTCGCACGCTATCTTCTCTTTCCTTGCTAAGTCTCGATAGAAGAGGAGGGGCCAGCTTGGCAATCAACCCTTCCTGATCTGCTGTAGTACTAATAGCAATAAGAGTCAGCAAGACCTTTGCGGCACTCCTTCGGACTTTCCAGCTTGTATCTTCAACGTCGCCGAAGGCATCGTCGTCGTCCAGTCCGTCATACTCGTCATCATCGTCGCCAAAAGGCTCGGTATCACCGTCATCGCTCTGAGCGTCCTGTGTGCCTGACATTTCTTCATCATCTTCAACATCAACGACGTTCGGATCATACTTGAGGTATCTTAGAGCAGCAGAAAGAGTGCCGTCGAGGTGCCGCTGCATCTCTCCCGGGCAAGAGGCTAGTAGAGAATCAAGTGTTACCAAGGTGGCCTCTCTCAGCTCTTCTACCTCTGGGTCGACTTCTACCTCGTCGCTTGAGTCTTCCCTCGCAGCGTCCATCTCTTCCTGACTCAGGACATTCAGGGCGAAAGGAGCAAGCACGTTGAGGTAAGCACCTATCCGAGTAGGAATGGCTCGAGCCAGCGAACCAACTCCAGAAATCAGATATCGACGGTGATTGATTGATGTGTCAGGGTCTTCCACCTGAGCGGCAATGAACTCTACAAGTTCGGTCAACTGAGCCGTTTTGTAGTAGGGCACAATGGCGCTGACACCGGCCAGTGCCCGCTTCTTGACAACACCATTTGCTTGTGAATCACTAATGGTATGGAAGAGGGTAGCACCTAGCGCAGCAAGCTCTTCGTTTCGCAGCGAGGACCCATAACAGTGCACAACCTCAATGGCGACGTCAACAGCATCAGCACTATAACTTTTATCCTTCTGCTGTTGCAGCAATCCAGGAGACAGGTCTGGTGGAGGTCGCTTCTCATTCGCCAGTAGGACACGACCAACAAGTCTTGGGATCAGGACCCTGCTAATGGCAGCGAATGCTTCCTTGACGTCTCGTTCGTTGGCGCTCGTCAATGGATTTGGCAATGAACCAACAACGACTCGAAGGGCGGTTAGAGGCACTGATGCATCGAGCTCTTTGCGGGTGGTAAGTTCGGTAATTTTGTCAAAGTAAGGTGCAATGTAGTCATTCGGCGTTCTCCTGGCTAACGGACCGACACTACGCATCGTTAGCAACAGAGTAAGTAATTGGTGATTGAGTATGCGATCTACCATTTCAGTGCTTGGTTCTGTACCTCACCATTGCTGTCAGTCAATGCTTTAATAATTCTGTCAATAACCCTAGCAGCGGCATGGGTGTCTGATCTTAGTTGCTCCGAGCTCTGCGTAGCCAATATAGCAGCAAGGTCATTCAATTGCATGAAGCGAATGTCTGGGTCTGGATCGTCCAGTTTTGGGAGAAGGCTCGCAATCGACTGCATGGCAGATGCTCTATCTCTAGCCATAATAAGCGGAGTGAAAGACTTAACAGGAAAGGAAATAAAAAGAAAAGGATGTAGGGATGTAGAGGCAGCAACGTGTCTGGGAATTCGAATATTGTACTAAACGTTGTCCCCATACAATGCGTGACTGAAAGTGACAGTCGATAGCGACAAGGCAACAGTGGGGTTAAGAACGTGGTGATGCCTGAAGTCCGTCGCTCTTTCAGACCAGCTTGAGCTTTCAACGGGACAACATCAAATGACTACTACGCTTTATGTGTTTTCCTGGCCAAGGAAACAGCACTCAGAGGCACTGCGAGAAGTCGAAAATGTGCCTGCCGAAGTGAAGGCGCGGTTGATGCGCAGGTCAATCCCGGGGTCAAATTGGCACGGCTAAGTTGCCCGGCGCATCCTTTGTGGTGGACCTTTGTGATGTCAAGCTTCGAGGTTCGGAGCTCGATTCTGATTAGCTTCAGAAGTTGCGCATCATACAACTGAGCAAGCACTCAGACCATCTGCAGTCGTACCTTCTTCTGCGACTTTTTCGCAGCTTTTTATTGTCTATTCGTACACATACCACTTCTGAGGTTCAAAATGGCAATCCCTCGAGCTTCAGCCACCTTCGGTCGTACTGTACTCCGACGAGCATCAGCACAAACACGATCACGAGCTTGGAGACAAATCGGTCGACGACAATATGCTTCAGAGCATGGAGGTTCCTCTCGAAGTAGCGAGCTGCCCTGGTAAGCATTCCAGATGTAGATAACCAACGAATGTAGCTGATAGACGCGCACAGGATGATTGGCTCTGTTGGTTTCACCGTCCCGGCTGCTGTGTGGTTGTATGGCCAAGGTCCTAAAAAGGGTAGTCACGGCCACGAAGAGACTCACGAGGAGAGCCACGGAGAAGGCGAGGAGGAAGGCCATGAACCCAACGAGGACAAGGAGCAACACGAGGCGGCATCTGATACCAAGGACGCCGATCAACCTAACTCTGAAAAGGAATACGTGGGCGAGGGAGAGCCACAACAGGAAGAGAAGCAGCAAGCTGAATCCGATTCGGACGAGAGCAAGGATGCCTCCTCTGACCAAGGTTCTGACGACTCCGCTGATGAGAAGACGGAGCAGAAAGACGACAGTGGTAAAGAGGAGAAGCAGGAAGCTGGAGATAGCGAAAAGAAGGACGATAGCAAGGAGGACGACAAGAAGGCAGATGAGAAGACGTCAGACGACAAGAAGTCGGATGACAAGAAATCAGCCGGTAAACCTCGATTGTCAGAAGATGGGTATGAGCTACCTGGTCCTAATGCTCCAGGCCAAATTAATTATAAAAGCGGTACAGGTAAGGGTCCAGGGGAGCAGCAGCAACAGGTCGGCGGTCGACCTCAGCAGGAGACTAAGGGACAGAAGGACGTGAGTATTCCATTTCTCGTCATTTCTTACAGCGCGTACTAACTTTACCATAGTCCCAAAGCCAGCAATCAGGCGCCCAGAACCCATACCTTGACGACCACGAAAAGGGCAAGAAAGGTGAAGGTCTCAAGGAGACCGCCAGGATTCACGGAACCGTCGATTCCAACCGACCATTGGGTTGAGCCTGAGGTAGAGCTCTTCAACTAGTATGGTTTTGTTCGTATTCTAGAAACACTTTCCCACTGCCCTGACCACACTCATGCTGGCTCGTGAATGTACGCTAAGCCACAAGTTTTAGTGCGATTGAACCAAAACAGAGTTTGATATGTCCCCCGATGTAGGTTGGACTTCGGTACCACCCATTTGGGAAGGAAACTGGAGATTGTGGTTACGATTAATCCAGGGAGAGTACCTATATGATTGGGTAGGATCAATCTGAAAATTAGTGGTGGCAGTTGTCGGAAACTGCACATTTGAGCGCTGATTTTAAAGAGAAACCACAAGGTCTGGCGGAGTGTCAAAATTGCAGCAAGTACATCACCCTTTTTCCGCTGCGGTCTTGCCAAGTAATTCGTGCTTGGAGTCGTATGTCGTACTACTGTATTATGGCCTAGTTTTACTGCTTCTTATTGTTGTGCGGCTGCATGCTGGAGTAAGAGACGGGGTTAAGGAATCGAGCCCTGTTGTCTCCGAATCTATAACGTGCGCGCATTCTCCATTTTCCACTGCATTGGCAGCGGTAAACACCCGTCTCGTAGGAAGTCATTCTGCCCACGACCCATGTCCATTGACACGCCGAAGATGGGTCGACCTAGAGGTTCGAGCAACTTGGGCGCTGATCCTCGTGGTGACACAGCCGCACCAGCATTATCGACACTGAACCGACGCGATGCAACCAGTTCGGGTTCCGAAAAGGATGCCAGAGAAAAAGCACAAAAGCCACATTCCAAACGACGGAAAGCAAAGTCAGCTTTGCGTCGATACGCTCGCATCTCCCTGAAGTACACATGGCTCAATCCCTTGCTCATAGTACTTGCCATCTTGTCCGCTTACAGTGTCAACCCAGGCCCTCAGAATCCTCTGCACAAGGCCTTAGTAATCTCCTACAATGAAGGTCCAGCGTTCCCAGGCGGTCCGAATCGCTACGGAAAGGGCAAGGCAGATTTTGCTTTCGTCTCCTTCTACACCGTCGTCCTCAGCTTTACCCGCGAGTTCATAATGCAGCAAGTCATCCGTCCTACCGCGATAAGAGCAGGAATTAGAAACCGTGGAAAGCAGGCACGCTTCATGGAACAGGTTTATACCGCAATGTACTTTGCCATATTTGGACCATTTGGACTATATGTCATGAAGAACGCGGAGGAAGGTGGATTGTGGTACTTCAGGACTATTAGCATGTTCGAAGGCTTCCCACATCGCGCACACGACGGCATTTTCAAAGCCTACTATCTGCTGCAAGCCTCGTATTGGACACAACAAGCCATTGTTCTTTTGCTTCAACTCGAGAAACCTCGAAAGGATTTCAAAGAGCTAGTACTGCACCACATCGTTACCCTGGCTCTTATTGGTCTCTCCTACCGCTTTCACTTCGCAAAGATGGGCATTGCTGTTTTTATCACACACGACATATCTGATTTCTTCCTTGCTTCCTCCAAGACCCTTAACTACCTCGACAGCTTCATCGTCGGGCCTTACTACCTCACATTCATTGGTGTATGGGTCTATCTTCGTCACTACATCAATTTACATGTGCTATGGTCTACCTTGACCGAGTTCCGTACTGTTGGTCCATTCGAGCTGAACTGGGAGACACAACAATACAAGTGTTTGCTTAGCCAAGTCATTACCTTTAGCTTGCTGGCATGTCTACAAGCAGTGAACCTGTTCTGGTTATACCTGATTCTGAGGATCGCCAAGAATTATGTTTTCAACAATGTTACTCAAGACGAAAGAAGTGAGGACGAAGCAACCGACCAGGAAGCCGAGGTCAAGGAGGAGAACAAGAAATTAAATGGGCACCCTGTGAAGAAACAGCTCGAAAATGGCACGACCGTAGACAGCGACAATCCTGTTGTCCTCGTGAACGGGCAACCCATGGAATCACAGGCCAAGCCAGAAGGCGTGCCACTGAGAAGAAGCCCAAGAAAAGGATGACAACCGCTTTGCGTACCATGCATGCACACAAAACCATGCACAACAGAGTGTTCGCCCAACTCTTGCCCTTTTCGAATCAACCAGGGATGCTTCTCGAAAGTCCAATCGAAACGATCCATGTACCTTGGTATGAAGCCCCTTGATAGGAGTGTGGTTCGATAGACAGCCACCAGGTAATATTCGCGGGTAACAAGGATGGAGATAAGGCTCGCGGACGGTACACTCTGAGAACACCTCTTCCAACAAATGCAACATCCAAATCGTTGTCGTTGTGCAAATACCAAGATTTGCGCTTGAAAGCAACACTTGTCACTGCTTGTGCCTATCTTCTCTTGCAGAAATAGAAGACTAGCATAACTACACTTTTTTCCCTGTTCACTATCAGCCACCATGCAGGGCTGTGAGCAATTATGTGTTCACTGTACCAAGTTAGTGATATATAGTGATATAGGAGGACGCCTGGTGGAGGTCGGCCACACTATCGTCTCTGTTGTCACGTCCTACATAAAAGCAACCTCGATTTTTCTCGACACCATTTTCCTCGCTCTCTTTCTATACATCTTTCAAGAAAGAAACCATCTGTCACCATTACTCGAAACGCATTGTCTGTTTCCAAAATTCAAAAGAATATCGTTCTCTTTACAAAAGACATTACAACTGTTGGACATGACTATGGAAGTGTTCCTAGGTCAAGCGAAGACGATGCCTGACGTCCCTGTACCTGACCAAAAACTCCTGGTCACAAATCTTCCAGCAGAGGTGATAGATGAGATCTGCTCTTACCTGTTTCAAGGGGACACTTTCAATGTCAGCGTCTTGCGCCGCACAACATCTAAGCCAAGTCGACGTCTCTTATGTGGCTTCCCGAGCGCAATCTCGAATCTCAACAGCCTCATGCATGCTAATAGCCTTCTGCGAGAGCGCACACGAGCATACGTCAGCCGAAAAGCAAGATTCTACGCCAACACAGAAGAGTTCGATGATCTTCCCACAGCATTCGGATCGGCCAATGCCAGCTTGATCCGATATCTCAACCTACAGTGCTTCAACGCGGCTAAAAGATATGGTAAATTCGTCTGGCCAAGATTGCATGGCATGATCAGACTACATCTTCCAAACCTTGAGAAGTTGGAGTTGTGGTCGTACTCATACAACAACTACTATCTGGAGTCAGGCACTGAGCCGGCATACATGACAACGCGACAGCAGGAGGATCATTGTTGTCTGATGAAGTTTGCCGCTTTTTTGAAGCATCCGAACCTCAAGCGAATCGTTGCTCCTGCTAGATATCGACCATACTTCGAAGTGGACGGAGGACAAGCACGAAGTAAAATTATCCTGGACGCTGGATATCAACATCGCAACTGGGAGGGTCAGCTGAGACGTCCTAATGCAACAGACACTGAACCAGAAGTGCTCGTGAAGGTATGTAATATCGATGAACCCTGAAGCGTGGACAGCATACTGACAAGCAATTCACAGGACCAAGTCTTGAATGCTACGTTGATCAGACAGATCAAGCGGGTGGATCTCCCCCGAACACCCTTTGAAACCCTTGTCCTTGAACCACCCACGGGTCAAACAGAAGACGTCATTACTACATCCGAGGTTCCGTCACAGGTTAGCATTTACACCTTTCTCGAAGAACGAGCCTATAAGACCAAAGACGAGCATGCTCAACGAGGCTGGGCTTGGCGTGATAACGACGAGCTGATCGTCTTCTGTGAGCAGATGAATGGTGTGTCTGATCTAGACAAGGCAGGCCTGGTTCAGACTATCGTGAGCGACAGAGACCAGTCGTACACTGAGAAGTGTGAATCAGACGAGAAGCAGAAAGACGCCGACTACAGAATCCGGTCGTTGGAATTGACCCTGGAATACACTCAGGAGAGGTCGGACAGACTAGAGGAGCAGCTCGAACGAGCCCAGCAAGAGAACGACGAAATAAACGGTATGTACAACGAGCTATATAACGAGAAGGAAAATCTCGGGTACGAGAACGAGTTGCTGCAACGCAAGATGCGACAACTCGAACGTGTGGTGCATCGGCTCGGGCGCGAGAAGGAGGACTGGGTGGATGTCTGTGATGCGCTTGAGATGTTATATGGTGGATAAAGGATGAGAGTCATTGTACTTGACAGATTTGGTCTTCTTGCGTTTATTCGCATTTCATTTGTATTAAAGGAGACGAGTTCTTCAACCCATGTGTACACACGCATCAACCTCAACAGAACGATTATGAGATTGATGGAGAATTATGTATCTGAATACACAAGACTCCCTGACAAGGAAGATAGACCACTGATCACATACCGTTTCAGCATTCAAACCTACAGACATTGTTGTACTCTTGATAGTAATGTGCGTTGATCTTGGAACTCTGCAACACGCCCAATGCAGCTTGTGGTATCACTTCATTGAGAGCCGACTGGTCAACGTGAGGCTACCATGTTAGACTGTGACTGCCTCGTGACTGCTGAAGTCCTCTAGACCACCCGTCCTCGACTATACGTGTCCATTAACCCCATTCGCCCTACCATTAACCTCCGCCAACCTATCCCTAACCTCCCTATACTCATCCTGAACCTCCCGCTCTCTCCTCACAACACCACCAACCTCCTCCCTCAACTTCTCCAACCGACTCTTCAACCCCGCCTCTTCAGCAATCCTCAAGTCCTCGAACGCCCGTAACCTCTCCCTTTCCTCGAGGAGTGATTTATGCGTATCACCAACTTTTTTCTTAAGCGCTTTTTGCCGAGCCATGTAGCCGCCAAGCAAGACTTTGAGTTTTTGCTCGCGCTTGTTGAGGGGATCGGCGAGGGAGAGGAGAGATTCTGTGGCGAAGGTGTGGAAGGGCAGGAGAGATGTGGTGGTTGTGTGGGAGGCGAGGATGGTGGGAAGTTGGTCTCGGGTTGGGACGTTGTTGAGGGATGTGAAGTAGTCGTCGTAGAAAGCCCTGAGGGCTTGGTCTGTTTCGGCTTCGGCTGCGATTGCTTCGCGAGCGGATGCGAGGTAATCGTCTGGTATTAGGTCGAGTTGTATTGCTGTTGAAGGAGATTGCCGGATTCCGGGGAGAGGTCTAGAGAAGGCATCGTAGGCCATGAGAGTGGCGGCTTCTTGAGCTATGGTACTGCGTATTGGGTCTTCAATGGCTTTTGCACTCTGCAACAGGGCATTATGGTTGACAGTGCGCGGACGTGGTAAGTTGCGCTGAACAGCTTGTGTCTGCCTCTTGAACTCGGCAGCTTGTCTTGCATCTTCAGCTTCACGAACTCGTCGATCGATCTCTTCTTGGTCTTCACGATCTGAAGCTGTCGGCTCAATTGGCTCAGCTTGTTCTTCTGGTAGTTCGAGTTCGAATTCAGTAGCTTTTGGTCTTGGTAAGGAAGCGAGCCTGGCACGTAGGGAGGCTTTGATGGCTGCATTCGAGGAAGAATTGATCAAAAGGTTGTCTCTAGGTGTTCGTAGTGGAGTAGCACCAGGACCGACTCCTTGTTGACGGAAAGGCGTCGCTAGTGGATTGGGCGTGTGTAGCTGGGATTTGGTAGGTGCGGCACCCTGAAAGCCAGTGGAACCAGCACCAACGTGGAGAGGTGTATTCTCGCCCCCAAGAAGTGAAGATTGTGTATTAGTCAACGCTTGAATATCACGTATCGAGTTTGCTATACGATCTTCTTGGGGTGGTGCCATGGGTGTCCGTAAAGGGGTTGAGCCGACCATGTTTGTGTACCGCGAGGACAATCCACCACTACCATCCTCGTCACCCGCAGCCCTGGATGCTCTATCACCAGCTACGCCCATCTTGACAATATCTTCGAGCTCGGCGTCGCTGACCTGTGGTGCTGGAAGGTTGAGGGCTCGACGCTTTGATCTCTGCTCTGCCTCGCGCATTCTTTGCAGTTGAGCAGCTCTTGCCGCAGCTTTTGCAGCCTCATCGGAACCTTTGTCTTGTTTCTGACGCTTGCTGTCTTGGTTATCGTCGGGGTCGCCTTGTCGTTTGCGAGCCAATTGTTGCTTTCGGGGGTCGAAATCTCCTTTCTCTTTCTCATTCTGCTCCTGTTCGTCCAAGGTATCGTGGAAGCCAGCTGCCGGAGCTTTCTCGAATGGGATATCAGCATTGTAATCCATCTGACCTTTCTTCTTGTGGGTAATCTTGATGTTGACACCAGCGTTCTTCAGCTCTCGACGTTTCTGTAGCACAGCCAGTCTTCTTGACTCTTCCAGCTGTCGCTCTCTAGCTTTCCTTTTGGCCTTCTTCCCCTGTGTGTTCGCCAATCGAGCTCTGGCCTCGGACAGCATCTCCTTCTCGTCCTCGTCCATGTCAATTGTATCTGGTCTCGCAGGCTTCGTTTCAGGATCTGGATCCAGCTCACCTGGTCTCAATTTGCGCACATCGTCCCCAGTCGGTGCAGCAGTTTCACCACCCTCTTGACCCTGGAGAGCCAATTCATCGTGCTCTCGTGCCTCAGCCTCGTCCAACAAGCGCGAGTATCGATCCAGACATTGTGTTGCAGTTCGCCCAACAATAGGTGCAATAGTCCTCCACTGTGTAGGCATCAACTTTGCCAGATGTAACAGCTTCTCATCCTCCTCCTTTGACCATTCGATCTTTCGAATAGCTGGATCCAGCCATTCTATCCATCGAGCCTTGCATTGCTTTGGTGTCTTTCGAGCGAGAAGTGATGAGACTCGCGCCCATTGATTCAGACCATATTTCGAGACAGCTGCTTTCAGGATTTCGTCCTCGATATTAGTCCACACTCCACCCTTTACGACCGGCATGTTGGCGACGCGTGGAATGTAATTGTATCTGGTTGCAGGTCACTCGAAAGACCTTGAAAACTGTAGCGTTTAGTCGCGGAGCGGAATTCTTAGGCACATGCAACGCTAAAAGCTTATCTTATCAGCCACTGAACCGATTTTTTGTCTGCAGCTTGAGGCCGATGGGAATTTCTCAGTCGCTCACCTACGCAATATCCTATCGACGTTAAGTTACAAGTGACAAGGATTCGTTCGAGATGTCGACCGTAGGAGCGCCTGCGCAACACAAGCAGACCTCACGAAAAGGCAAGAAAGCATGGCGCAAGAACGTGGACGTCACGGACGTACAACAAGGTCTTGAAGAATATCGAGAAGAGGTTAGAAGCGGTGGTCCTCTCAAGGAGAAGAGTGCAGATGAACTCTTCGCTGTCGATACAGTTGGATCGAAGGAGATTACCAAGAAGTACAATCTAGGCAAACCGCTCAAGGTTGACGAGATCTTGGCTCAGCGCTCAGCTGTACCTGCTGTTGATGGTCGCAAACGAGCTGGACAGGATTTACCTAGTGGAATCTACGAGCCTGCCAGTAAACGAAGAAAAGGCGATTGGGTCAGCAAGAAAGACGTGCAGAGACTGAAGCAGACCATCAACAAGGTCTCACACCTAGTAGATGGCGAAGCTGGAGAGCAGGATGTGTTTGACCTGTGGGATGCTACACCTCAGCCTGTTCCTGTGGATGACCTTGAATATCTTCCCAAACCTAAGCCAAAGGTCGCACCACACACAATCAAAAGAGCACCGATTGCACTGACCGCAGATGGCAAGCCTGTAAAGGCAGTTCCTGGCCCGAAGGCTGGCAGTAGCTACAACCCCGATTTCGAAGAGTGGAACGAGGCCATAATTAAGGAAGGAGACAAAGAGGTGGAGGCAGAAAAGGAAAGACAAAGGGCTAGAGAAGAGGAAGCTAGGAAGCAAGCTCTGATAGAAGCCGCCGTCGAGGATGATCACGCATACCGTACAGAAGACGAAAGTGCTTGGGAAGGCTTCGAAACCGAGAACGAAGACGCAGAAGCCCTGAAGAGAAAGCGTCCACAACGAAAGAACCCGGCAGAGAGAAACAAGGCCAAGAGAAGAAAGGAGGCTGAGAGGCTAGCTAAGCATGAGAAGAAAATGGCAGACAAGAAGAAGATCGGTCATGACTTGGCCAATTTGGTAGAGGCAGGTGCGCTTGTGCCTCGAGATGCACAAGGTGCTGTTGCTGAGGTCGAGATTGGTGAGGCTGACGACGACGAAAGTGCCGATGATAGCAAGGTCAGAAGGAGAAAGTTTGGGAATACAGTTTTGCCGGAGAAGAACCTGGAGATTGTACTACCAGATGAGTTGCAAGACTCGTTGCGAAGATTGAAGCCGGAAGGAAATTTGTTACAAGACCGATTTCGAAATCTGTTGGTCAATGGAAAGGTCGAGAGCAGGAAGCCCGTGCTACAGCCCAAGAAGAAGAGAGTCAAGATGACTGAGAAATGGTCCTTCAAGGACTTTTCTGTACCTGTTCGATAGTCCTTTACAGGCACAAAGAAGGTTTATACACATGTCCCAGCTCAAGTCTGTAGTAGTGCTTCCGTTCTGATTATGAATAAAATGTGTTACTATTCGTTTTCTGAAAATGGAGGGCGAGCATTTCTGACCTTGCGGAGGCTTCTCCAGCTTTGCCCAATTACATCACCGATAAGCACCCGCCACGAGCACTCAGAGTGTGGCTGTCAGCGCCGATCTATTCAGCTTCTGGCGTGTGCTGGGCCAACTAATCGACGGAAAGCAGCAGGTGCTTCATCTATCGTTGCAACCCGCTATCTGCCAACATTCGTGTGCTTTGCTTCTGCTCTCCGGGGTGAGCTTGATTTCCTGGAGAATGTCATTGTTTGGAGAGTCTCCTCCGAACTCTCCGTCCGTTGCAACAGAAGCTCAAAACAAATCCTTGTTCGGAGACGAGCCAGCTGCAAAGCGAGATATTACATCCTCTTCTCTTTTCGAAGACAACTCTAACGATAACAATTCGCCATGGTCTATACCAACACCTAAGAAGTCGAATCGTCAGAATTTTGTGAAGAACCTGCTACCCGTGAACCAAGTCCCCGAGTCCTACGTTGATGCCTATGACAATCTATTGAGCGCTGGCCAGGGACACGGTGCTGGTGTTTCGCTCACGGCTGTGCGCAAAGCCTTACAGAGTAGCCAAATCAGTTTGAGCGATCAAGGTCTCGTTCTGAACATCATCTTACCAGCTGGACAAGATTCTGCAAGCTCGTTGGAACGTGGAGAGTTCAATGTTCTGCTGGCGCTGATCGGTCTAGCTCAAGAGGAAGAGGATATTGGTCTTGACGCGGTGGATGATAGACGAAAGCGTGAGTGAACCGCCGACTATCGCAATCAGTGCTGAGATGTTACAGGACTACCCGAACCAAAAATCCCTTACCTACAGCAGCTCAACTCCCAAGCACAATCGAAACCTGCTGAGCCGCAAACACCATCACCAAAGGCAACCCGATCGAACCAACGACAAGACTCGTTCGGAGGAGACCCTTCCGCAGATCCCTGGGCGAGCCCGGCTATTAAGAATATTCCACCCTCGACCGCTGCGCATACTATGAAACCCACCTCATCTGACGAATTCGCCCCAACAGCTGTAAACGGTGTACCACGGACCACCAGCACGTTCACAACGAATAGTGTTCAAGACTCGACCTCAACGAGCGCAGATATGGCCAATGCTTGGGGCTCATACAATGGCAGTAACAGTGGAGGATATTCAGCTGACACGACTGCCACAGGTGGGTTTGGTGAAAATAACGATCCACCTCGTGCTCGACCCGCGCATCAGCAACAGAACTCTATGAGTGCTAGTGTCGCATTGCCTAAAGGCACTGGCGAGCTAGTTACCATTACAATATTACCTGATAAGGAGGGTGTATTCCTGTTCTCACACCACAACTACGAGGTCAAGACCATACGTCGAGGTAGCACTGTCGTCAGGAGGTACAGTGACTTTGTCTGGCTATTAGATTGCCTACATAGACGCTACCCATTCAGAAGACTTCCACTTCTACCACCGAAGCGATTACAAGGTAAGCAAGCTCTGTCGCCAGGCACGAGCTGAACATGACTGACCACGAATTCAAGTTAACGGAAACCATCTTGCAGCTGACAATTCCACATTTCTCGAAAAGCGACGGAAAGGTTTAATTCGGTTCATGAACGCTCTTGTACAACACCCTGTGCTGAGCCAGGAGACATTAGTGGTCATGTTTCTGACAGTGCCTACTGTAAGTCTTGTTCTATCCTTCTCTTCCTCTTACTCATACTTGCAGGAAATATCTGTCTGGCGCAAGCAAGCAACCATTTCGGTGCAAGAAGAGTTTGTTGGCAAGGCTTTGCCACCAGATCTTGAAGACAGTCTACCATCAACTCTGCCTGATCTCTTCGAACAAGTCCGTGCAGGTGTGCGGCGTGAAGCGGAAATATACATAGGTCTATGTCTGCTAATGGAACGCCTGACGAAACGGAACGAAGCCATGGCAGCCGATAATTTAAAATTCAGCTTAGCACTACAAACACTAACAGAAGGAAATAACGATGTTTACGCTATCGATACGAACGACGTACCGCTACTCAACGAGGGCATTAATGCTACGGCAAAGCATCTCGCGACTTCGCAATCCCTTCTTGAAGACGAAGCTCGAGCTTGGGATAGTGGGATCCTCGAGGACTTCAAGAAGATTCGGGACGCAATGGTATCAATGAAAGACCTTTTTGACCGCCGTGATCGTTTAGCTAAGGACAACATCCCACAGCTCGAACGACGAATACAGTCTAACGAGACCAAACTTATCGCTATACGACAGAAGCCCGCCGGAACAGCTAAGCCAGGCGAGGCTGAGAAGGTCGAAAACAGTATCACGTCGGACAAGGAAAGTATTGTACAGCAACATGCAAGAGGAGTATTCATCAAGGAATGTGTGCGGGATGAGATTGTGACCTTCCAAACCACTATTTTCACACAGAGTCAGTTGCACCAGGAGTGGGCACAAGAAAGGGTCAAGTATTCGGAGCTTCAAGCCAGTAATTGGAAAGGCCTGGTTGACGAAACTGAGAGCATGCCAGTGGGTGAATGAAGCGATAATACGTGGTGGAAGCATAATCATGGGTTTCTCAGATGCAGACTGAGACCTCCCTTCTTTCTCTGGGCCGTCAGTCATGCGACGTTCGAACCTAGCAGGCAAGCATAGGTACTTATCGTGTATAGCTAATGTCTAAACCTTACGTCTATGATATGTACACAGTTCATGCGCGAAGCGAGTATTCCACCACTTGCATTGGCCATAGATGAGATTGAGCTGTGCCTAGTACAATACCAATTTACCAGACGTAGGAAAAGCAAACCTGGATACTGTTGGTGTTTTTAGTGTAGCGTTGAGTAATAAAGAAGACCGCTTAGCATTAGCATGTTAAAACATACCCGAACGCTGCTTCTTCGGTATTACGGTTGCCTTGACCGCTCGTTGGGCCCGTGTTCACGCAATGTACTAGTGAAGACTTCACCAGCTGACCACTCCCATTCTCTTTGCACTTAAACCCATAACTCAAGTTCCACCATCACAATAAGCCAAAAGCTGCAATACAAGGGGTCATAGCTCAGTTGGTAGAGCATCTCGAATGTACATTACGTTGTGTTGAACACCTTCAGTCCCTTGCCGCTGCAGAGGCCTGGTTGACAATCGTGTGCTGGCCACAGTGTGATTGGCTCGAGGGGGTCGTCAGTTCAAGTCCTTCTGATTCCATCTTTTCCTTTTTTCTTCTCTTTTTTGCTCTTCTGCAATCTCAATCGCAACAGCAAATATACTGTTTTGGATTCTGGCAGTGGTAAATCAGCGAGGCATTTTCGGCAGGCACTTCGGTGTGAGGACCAACCAGATACCTATGGTTTCATTATGTTGAATGAGCACATACGTACTACTAGTGATAAGTGGTGAAGTAACAGTTTGCTCAGCATTTCTTGCAACCTTCCACGTATTTTTGCCAGGCAAAGTTGTATTCTTGTGTCTCACCGTTCCTTTTCACCTGGAAATTCGAAGTTTTGCATGCGCCGGATTTTGTGGATTTGGGCAAGGCAAATTTGCTTATCATCATAGTCAATTATAGGCGATATTCCCACGAGGGCCATGAAGGAATTTTGATCGGCTGCCGTGCAAATATGCCCAAATAATGTACAATTCTCCCGCTCTACCACAACTTATTCTCCTCTTTCATCTTGGCAGCTCGTGTACCTCCCTTACTCTTCCTCATGGCCTCAATCTGCTCCTCGCTCAACGGCGGCTTCCAGAATAGACTTGGACCTTGTCCTTCCTGCACCAAGTGGCTCAGATACCCTCTATTTCTCGCATCTCTGTAGTACTCTAACTCTTTCCTTCCAGTCGGATCAGGCAGACGATACTGAAATCCCAATCCCGTGACTCGCTCTTCCGGAGTCATGCCCAGACCGTCATCTGGTATCAGTGCTTTGTGACCTATCTGCGCAGGATCCCATCGTAATGATATGAAGGGATGCATGACGCCTTGCTTTACTCTCTTCACAGCTGTTTCGGTGTAGAATCTTGTGGTGACTGTACCGCCAGCTGCTTCGACTGCTTCGATAGCTGATTGTGAGGCGCGTGATACGACGATATGTATTGGCTGTTGAAGGGTCACATTACTGCCTTTAGTTCCAGCGAGGAGCTTAACACCATCTTTTACTTGGCCGATCAGTTTCGAATGGCAGATTTCGTGGATAGTGATGGGTTTAGAGGCATCGATTCGTCCTTGATTGATCCAGGTTTGTAATTTGTCAAGATTTACTTCCTGAAGCTCTATTCGGTGTCTGTAGAAAAGCGTCAGTAAGATATTGAAAGCCAGCGGACCTTGTCGGACGCATCACATACACATTGATAAAACCACTCTTTCCATGCACGACTCCTTCGGGTGTTTGACCACCATTGAACTGTTTTGGAACCTTGCCGCGTGCTTTTTGACCTTTCTGACCTCGACCTGACGTCTTGCCCTTTCCCGAAGACGGACCTCGACCTAATTTCTTTTTTGTGCTGTATGCTCCTGGATTGTCGGATAAGGAGCTGAGGATAGAAGCTGAGCGAGTCTGAAGATGCACGAAAGGGACGAGAAAGGATGCGATTGTTGTTGATGGACGCGATATTGTTTGCGCCAGCAGCGCTGGTATACGAGGCGGCATGTTCACTTCTTACGTCAAGACAGCTGTAGGTGACCTTGATGCACTTGCGATGCTCAAGCCAGAAAGAGATCTGAATATCGAAGCATGTGGATACTATTCTTTACGGTAGAGTATAGTGTCAATTATCAGCTAGCACGGTCGGATATAGGGCAATTTCGCGCTTTCTCCGTCAGGAGTTCAAATAAAGGTCCAACAAAATCTCACTGATACTGAGGCATCGCCGCATGATTATGATTACTGATCATGCTCCTACTGGAGCGTCTAGGTCTACCAGGATCTTGACCTGATTGTCCTTGTCCTCAATTAAAGCCTTGAAGCCTTCCTCAGCAATTTTGTCCATTGCAATCTTCTTCGTGATCATGCCTTCAGGCTTCATTCTACCAGACGAGATAGCTTCGAGAACTTGTTCGAAATCACCGAGCGCGTACGTAGCGACTAATTGATGTCAGCAGGGAATTCCTCTGGATTCATTGCGCAAACTTGTACTTACCACCCATATATGCTCGTTCCCGAAAGACAATATCATTCATCTGAAGAGTTGCTCGCTTCTCCCACACAGCAATATTTACGAGTGTCCCACGAGCTTTGATGGCCTTGAAAGCTGAATCGACCGCAATCTGCACACCAGCAGCATCAAAGCCAACGTCAGCTCCTTCTCCATTGGTCAATCGGTCGACCTCCTCTACCACATCTACTGCGGTAGGATCGAGGGTATGGTGTGCTCCAAACTGCTGCGCAAATTCTCGTCTGCGCTTCGAAACCTCTGAAACAATGATGTTCTTGCAGCCCTTACCAATCAGTGCTTGGACCACACTCAATCCAATGGGACCGCCTCCGAGCACTAGACAACTGTCACCCTCCTTGTAGGGTGAGATAGCCACGGCATGCCACCCAACAGCTAGTGGCTCGATCAAGGCACCGACTTCGAGTGAGACGTTGTCAGGTAGCGGCTTGACAGCGGAAGCTGGGGCGCAGGTAAAGTCCGCCATACCTCCACCCCATCCACTAAGCCCCATAAAGCCATTCTTATCACAACAATTGACTAGCCCTCTCTTGCATGCTCGACACTCGCCCTCATATATAGTAGGCTGCACACAGACTCTATCGCCCTTCTTAACGTGTGTAACACCTTCGCCGACCTCTTCAACTATTGCTGAGAATTCATGACCTATCGTCAAAGGCAAGGTCTCGCCAGTAATAGGATGAGGGTTGCCAGGCTCTGGGATAAGATTTGCACCACCAAGGTACTCGTGGAGGTCTGTTCCGCATATGCCGCAGAACTTGGGCTTTACTTTGACCCAGCCAGCCTTGAGTTCAGGAACTGGTATTTGCTCGAACCGGATGTCCTTCTGCCCATGGAAACGAACAGCATTCATGGTCGACATACTGCAAAGCGATACTGTAGACGAGGTGATGTTGGAACGGGCAGGGGAAGCTCAAACAACGATGTCAGGATCTGAGAAGTAGGCGTCAATCAAGAAGATGAATTAGAGCGAAGACGAGCTTCAGGTTTCACGTTCATTGTCAAGCATTGCGTTGCATTCGTGCTGTTGTATGCGCCCAGTTGTTTACTGACCCCAATGACAACTTTCCATGAGCGTCATTGGAGTCGCCGACGTTGCTTTAGCTAGTGGTATGCTTGACCATGTGCAGCGGATCCTGTGCCGGATAAATTCAACCCCACACAACTGCCCCAGGCTTGCCGCAGGGGGTCAGCCATTCAGAACGAGTTTCTTCTCGTGGTGATGGAAATTTGTCGGCGTATTCGAAAAGCCAATTTTCCGCCCGAAGTTTCTCCAAAAGTGCAAACCACCTGTCGGCAAAGAAGCGGTGCTCGTGCCGACTTGCGCAAAATGGTCACCACTTGTAGTGCAGGTGAACACAGTTGCAGCCAGATGTGTTCATTCAGAGATATGTCAAATGGCTGTGTTCCCCAATAACCTGACTCATATATCTCGTCGGATTGGCATAAACATGCTCGTGCGTGGCTTCACAGCTGATGAAAGATGCTGCTGGGCACAAACACCATACTCGTGGAAGGGTAAGCTTCGAGAGCCAGGTTCCGCTATCTTCGTCTAGATGCAGGTTGAAATATAGAGATTGCTCAATTCTGGTGGCTATGACCTAACCATCCTGCCTTCGTGCTTTCTGCTGAGATGTCTTTTCGATTTCCTCAGCCTTCTGCTTCAAGATAGAATGAAGTCCTTCGTTTCGTCTCGCAAGCAACATAACGTCTTCAGGTCTTACTGTATTCCTTCCAGCATGCTTGGCAAATGATTCAAGGTCAGTAGCGATGTTTCCTGCGTAAAGTCAGCACAACTATCTTCATCTAAGTCGAGCAATGCCACGCCACCTATCTGAGTCCATACAAGCTCTGTTAGAGAGCCAATATACTGGGGAGAGGCATTCATCCCTAAGTTAATAGTTTCTTCGTCCACGAGCTGGCCAACATGGTACCACAATGTAGACTTCAGCCGATCGCCAAGCTTACTATCTGCTTCATTCGTGGCTTCTGGCATGTTGCTACACCTCGATAGATGTGCTGGGATAAGCTTGGACTGTCTTTAGTACTGGATGTGACGCGTGAGAAGTGAGGAACGCGTCTCGCGCGAGTACGGGAAAGCATGTACGGTTCTCCGAAAAGACACGAGCCGCAGTCCGATTCTTGAAATCGACGGACTTCACATTTGAGTGTCTCTGTCTCAAAATCGTGCGCAACACAAAACATTTCGACTATTTGCAATTTGTTCTTCACCCCTCCATCACCGAGCAAGACCCGTTGTTACAGTGGCGTTGTATTGCATCAGAATTGACTACGGTCCACCAGCTCGCAGCCATGGCCAAACTCACAGACGGCACACTCCAGATTAGCATTCCTTTCGCCGTACCTTTTCTGGGCATAAACGAGCCAACGAGCCTCTCCATCAACAAAACACAACTTCAATTTATCGTAAGGGTGATTGTTGTCCTCTGCAGCGCTCTGCTCTTCTGGCCGAAGATTAAATCAGCTTTTGGATTCACAAATACTGTCAGTGAAGACCAGACACAAGATATACAAGATCGCATTGCGAAGCTGGAGCATGAGCGAGAAGAGAGGCAGGGAACGAAGGGTCGGGCTGTGGTAGGGGGCTCGAGTGGAAGTATTGCTTCTACTCCTGTGTCGGCAGCGAGCGGAAAAGATAAAGGAAATGCTAAGCGGAGGAAAGCATAAGACGGTCACAGTTTTATGTCACGGAGGCATAGGGCCTACAGTATGAGCATTCGTCTGACCATCGATTCATTGCTCAACGTTTTATGATGGATTTCTATTATGATGAATGGCCAACCGTCACGAGTGGTCACCGCCTGCATCCTCAAATCCAGATTCCAATCTGCAACTTCGTGGACTGGCAGTCTTGCTCCTTCGCACATGAAACGCGGTATATTCCAGACCATCTTCACGAGCCTTTCCATTTGCTATGCTATTGGCACGAAATCTTAGACGTTTCTTCCTGTATTCCAACGTGAAGATTCTCGGCGACCTTGCAAGACTGGCAAATCGAGTATTTCGATCTTCTGGTGCACGAGCCATATGAAAACTAACTTTCAGCTGTGGTAATATTGCGTGCCGAAAGCAGTTTCCTGCACTGATTGTGGTGCAAGCTGTTATCATTCGTCGACATCTGAACGGAAGCGTCCTGGGAATGGTCTGCAACAGAAAAAGCACGTTTGAGAGTTCATCTGGGTCATGGTCATAAGCCCTTCGCCCAGCAAGGTGCCTTTTCCTCAGAGTGTTGAGTTTGAAGCAGATGGTTTCGTACCAAACTGCGTAAAGCGCCGAGCTTGATTGAGACGCATAAAATCAAATCAGCTCGTCATCCGAGTCTTCGTTGAGCGGAATATAGGGCTTAGTGTACTGTGGTGAGTTGCTGCTAGCTCTGGAACTGCAGATTCCACTATCGATGACGTGGCTTGCAATAGAGGAGGACGATTGCCTGCGATCAGGCTGGTATTTGGCGAGAGATTCGACGAGTGCTACTCCAAATCCTGGTATTGCTGTCATCAGCTCTAGCAGAACTGGCGTGTCCCTCAAATATTTAGCAAACATTGGCGCTACTAGTGACAATAGCTCCTCTCTGAGTGCTGCTAGATCATCACGTTCGGGAAAGTCCTCATATAGCATCTGCATTGCTTCAACGAAGTCCTCAGATGATTGCAGGAATACTTCAGGAGAACTGCCACATCTGCTAGCTTGACTCAGCAGTGCTTGCTTCGTTGAGTTCATGAGTTCGGTCAGACCATATTTGTCAGCCATCATGTATAGCAGCAAGTCCTCGCTCCATGAGTTTTGCTTGTTGCTGCATTCAGGATACTCCAGAAGGTAGATCCACCGAATCAGTCTCTCCAGCGTATCGGGATCGTCGTCGTGCATGTCGACCGATGCTGTACTCGCTTCGTCGAAATCCCCTTGAAAGCACGTCCAGAAGAACTCGCATCGTGGGCTTAGGATACAACGATGGAGATGCCAGACTCTGTTGCCGGCACGAACCGTGCAATCTGAAAACATCGATGTGCGAAGAAGTTGTGCATTGTACTCTGAGTGTTTGAGAGGGAGGAGGTCAGATCGTCGGAATGTCTGGGTGGTCATTTTGAGAATTAGCTGCGAAGAATATACGATGGGTATTTTGCTATGTCTGCACTGCGTCGAAGGATCTCATAGCGAGCGGACATCGCGTGTATGTATCTACATTTCGTTCAAAGCTATGAGCTCAGCACATTCCTGTTTACACACTTTTCAAGTACACGTTCGATGCTTCGTGGCTTCCGCACAGAGCTCGAAGCTGCAGCAAGGCCGCTTGGACGTCGTACACGGTTCGTCACTTCCGAAACGTGCTCTGCTCGAGAGCCAATCGCAATCGCTGCCGCAAAGCTTAGGTGTCTAGGGCTTGCCTCCGCTAGAGGAGTTTTCAGTTTCCTGGGGGTAATAGCGTCTCTAATTCATGGTTGGAGGTCATGTGAATGAGGATTTCTTCAGACGTTGATGATTCTTATTACCCTCGTGAAACTGACCATTTGTTCCTCTGTTGGAGTTATGCCAAGTTCGGAGTTATGTCTGTAAGCTGTAAATGCCGCGGAGGAAGGCGCAATATGTGTAAAGTATTGCAGAATCGGGCATGTATTTGCGTGATCGCTGGGAGCAGCATCGACTTCAGAGCTAATAGTAGATCTATTTAATTCTCGAAGTAAAGCAAAAGTATTTACCAACGACATCCAACTGCAAGTCTCTTAATCTGTGCTAAAGTAGCATCACGCCCCACGCTCAATCATATCAAGGTCGCTGCTTGTAAATCAAGGCAGACACGTCAACAGCCCGTTGAGCTTCTGCGCTACAATTGCTTGCCGTGCAGCATCGACAGTCGTCTTGTCAGTAGCGTCTCCAGGACTGACACTTACGAAGCACCCTGCATCGACGACCTGTCGCTCCATAGGTAGGCGATCAGAGTCACAAATTTCGACATCATCCGCCGAGAAGATGCCAATGTTTATCCTGCTTAGTACAAACTGAAACTGGTTGGCATTGTTGCATCTTGTTTCCGAGACTTCTGGGAAATTGACGTTGAGCCATACACCATCCGGTAGGTATGGTTGGCCAGATTCAAGGATCTGCATAGTCAGATTGGTCGCAAGGTCGGCATAGACCTGGCTATATAGTGGTGTTTCGGCGGTGAATGCTGTTGGATCTCCGGACCTCCCGCTAAACGATATAGCTGGAATGCCTTGCTTGACTGCTTCTACTGCTGCACCAACCGTGCCGGAAAATGGGACTTGAATATCAAGGTTCGAGCCCACGTTTACGCCTGTTACGGCAAATTCGGGACGATTGCCGTCGAAGAAGCGAGGAGCAAGATTTGAGATGCCGTTTTTGATTGCGGTCACAGGAAAAGAATTGACGTACTCGAAGCGCGGCTCATTAGGATCCGCGCCAATAGGTGGGCTATTAGCAGGACAGCTGTTATACTAGCATGGCTCTCTCCTTGTTGTCGGAGGCCAATCTAACGAGCCTGAAGAGAGTTAGAATGATAATGAGTATGTTTCTTACTCGGAATGTGCTTACTTCGACCAGATTGGTTATCAGCTGGTGCGGAAAGCACAACGTCGTTCCCAGCAGCCACCAGTGCAGTATTGAGTGTTCTGATGTTCTTCTCAGCCCAGCCATCATCGTTGGACTGCACAATGCGAGCAGCTTGAGAGCAAGCAACAAAAAGGGACAGAACCCTTGCGATTGCTGCCATTTTGCATAGCCGTTTCTGCGACGTCGAGCGATGGGCACGATGCACATACAGCAGAAACTTTAGACGGCGAAGAGGTTGTTGGTCGCTTTATGGTGTACCTGAGGTCTTCTGTACTGGGCAATCATGAATCACGGGGACTAGACAGCGACAAGCATCTTGACAATCGAGATATTGTCAAAAAAAAAGCAGGCACAATGTCTCAAATTGCCATTTCGAGAAGCAATTCTGGTGTACAAGAGGGCTGTCTCGAAACTGCGATTGGACCTTGACATCAGAGTACAAGTGCTTGCGCCCATGGTTCAACTGGGCTATCAACACGCCGCCGCATAGACCCGTTGAACTGCTAAAAGGAAGCTCGCGGACGAGCCAGGACAAGGTCAGGCCGTGGTACAGTGCTTGGCTTTGGCTGCCTTGACCTTGGGGAACGCAATTCTATTGGCTGTTGCTAAGATTATTGAAAGTCAATAGCTTCGAGACTGACACACGTAACGTGTGATGCTAAGCATTAGAATGTTAATTTTGCTGGAGCATTATCTGTCGTGATGGACAGTAATTGAGGGCATTGCAATCGTTCAACACGTCCAAAGTAGACACGCTCTACTTAGCGAGGTTGGTTCGAAGGCCGAACCGTAGATACTTCTGGGTCATTTTAATCAGTCGTCCAGTGGGCATCGTGAAATGCGTCGCATAAACACGAAGACATGTCCAGCATTCACTCTCATCATACGCGATCGCAGGGGTAACCATCGTTAGTACTTGCGTGATCGATTCCAAGAGGTGAACGATCGCACTGTCCAAGAGAACCAGTTCACTTTCCACCAGCGACATTGTGATGGCCATGGTTGGTATAAGTTGACAGGGTCCGTCTGTTTCGCAAAGATTGAAAGTAAATGCTAGACACCAGATCAAACTGAAAGCCATACACTTTCGATGACTTGAGGGCCCTTTCACCAGCGCTGTTTTTTCATTGCGACCACGATGCTGCTCGAGGTCAAAAGTAACGTTCAGAGAGTGATGACGGAGCCTCGTTGACGAGTGAAGTCCATTTGTGCTTTCTTGCAGAACAGATTTGCCAGACTTTCGCTTCGTTCTCCTGCCTGTGGTAATTCGAACCACACGCTTGTGTGAGACATCAGAACTGATACGCTCCAGCAAATCAGAACCGACTTGTGGAGAAAACGTTCTTGCAGATGATTCCAACCTCCCATTCGGCGATCACGATAAGAAATGTAGGCAAGAACGATATCGATTGATCTTCTCTTCGTTGCGACATTGGATTCGTAAGCAGGCACGCGTGGCTGGTGATGTAGCATTCAACAATGTCGTGGATCGAGGGCCTTGAGCACTCCTACATCATGTTGTGGGTTGAGGTCGGGTACAGCTACTGATTAGCTAGGGAAAGCCTTGTGCTCTGCTCGTACCTAAGCTGCAACATGTGACTGCTTCGCAAGTCTTTGGTCTCAAGGAAGGAACACCTCATACGATGGCAAGCTGAGCATGTATCAGCACGGCAGACGAGCAGACCACTTGAATCGACCGCGAGTCTATTATACAGAAGTCGCGTCTATCCCAAATCTGCCGAGCCTCTCTGTTTGGCTTGCAAGTTCCGTAAGCTTCCACTCTCGATAAGCCCTTAGACGTCGCGTCAGCATTCTCTGGGACCTCATGAACAACCTTAGTGAGAAGCCAAAGTCTCGTCATAATAGGCGGTCACACAAGAAGACACGGACGGGATGCTTGACGTGTAAGATCAGGCGCAAAAAGTGTGACGAGGCGAGGCCTTGCAATAGGTGTACCAGTACGGGCCGCAGATGTGACTGGGCCACTGACGCGCCGGGAACAACCTCAACCGAGCATGCAGGCACGAGCGATGTCAGAAAGCCCTTGCCAATACCCTCACTATTTACAAAGCCATCGGCAGTTCCCGTCACAACATCATACAGTTCCCCTTCAGATGAGCCAGAAGAAGGGATACTATCTCGTGATTTCACTACTGAAAGGCTACCTCAGCAAAACACCAGTCGTTACGCGAGGCGTATCTTCAATATATGCCAGCTAACAGCAATCAGCGACACGAGAGCACAGCCGAAAAGCTACCCTATGCACAATGGGCTGCATCCATGGACTGCCACTTTAATACAACAGCCTAGCTCATTCCCGAATCTCAATGATCGCTCGCAATTCTCCGACCTGGAAATCCACTGCTTCTCTCTTTTCCGATATCGTACGGGACCTCAATTTGCCGCTTATTTCGACAGCAGTCTGTGGCGCAATTTTAGCATTCAGCTTGCCTTTTCTCACCCAGTCGTTTTCGCGTGCGCAACTGCGCTTGGTGCAGTCCATCGACGTTTCCTTTCAGGCATTTCTCGGGAGGCTCTTGAATATTGTGCCCATGCTGACCACCTTCAGAGACGAGCTATCAAAATGGTTGACAAGCTGAAAGCAAACGCAAAATATGATGGGCACAATGGAACTCCATCAGCGTGGCAAGATGACGCAGACGCAGTCATGTGCTCTGAGTATCTCCTTGGGTTGTTCGAAGGGTTTCAGGGCAATCTGACAAAGGCAGTAGCTCACATGGATCGTGGGTTGAAACGTCTTCTTGACCGACCAATGCGTCTTCTGTATGGTGAAACACAACATGTTTCTCTTGATGCAACCCCTAATATCTCCACGAATCTCCTTTCCCGAATTCAACGGAAAGCCCTTGGTTTATTCGGCACGTCACATCGCATCGTCGAACGTTGCTCAGGCAATACAGATCCGCCGGACGTGCCTATTCAATTCGCAACACTCGAAGAAGCACGAGACTTCATGTTCACTGAGATCGACTATATGATACACATTCCAGCCACTGTCTGGCGTGCTTCAGACGAACGTCAACCGGCTCAGCAAGTCCACGTTGAGCGTCTTCTGAGGTGGTCTGTGGCATACGCAAACATGATTGAGAAGTTAGACCTTACAGACCAGCAAAAGAGGATTTGCATGCTTCTTAAACTCACTAGAAGCTTAGCATATCTGCTGCTATACCTTATCCTGTACGTCCATGTGGACGAGCATCTCAGGGAAGACTTGGATGATGTAAATCGAAACAGCACAACAAGACACTGTGAACAATCCGATGGAAGTTCTTGGTTAGACATGCTTGGTATTGGAATGCGTGAGGAGAGTTTGGGCTCGCTGGATGAGATTTATGGTCACGACCTAGAGCTCGACTATCATGACATTCCAGACAATCTTGCCTATACGACCACAGCACTATGGACTGCGATCTCAGGACGAGAAGAACTGATGGCCAACCTAGGCAGGCTCAAGATCATGAGCGACACGATCCTAGATGAAACGTCACCCTTCCACTACGTTGAGCATAGCGTCTCATTCGACAGCGGCATCGGCCAACCACTAAATGCCGCCAGAGAGCCGGAATCTTCAGCAAAAACGAAGCATCTGGTAAAGTCCTTGATGAGTAAGAAAGTACCGTGTAGCGATGATGAAACTTGGGACTGGCTAGGTGTTTACGGCGTTGCAGAAAATCTGAGCGCAATCGAGGAACATGCTGTTGTCGAAGTGACGAAGAGCAAAGTACCCAAGGAAATTAATCCGAGGTGGATCGACATTACACATTTTGCAGAAAGTCGGAGGCTGCTGTTGAGGTACTGTTATCATGGTGATGATGGGTTGGGCTTGAGATGGAGGCAGGAGTGGTGGGCTTTTTGATTGTGATCGACTTGGGACCGCGTTGAGGTGTTTCGCCCTTGCCGAGGACCAGTACTTTGCGCGTCGTAGGTGACGATTGATCGTCCACAACAAATGCGCTGTACTCAAACCTATACCGTCGTGGCTTCAGCTATCGACTACGAACGACAAAGGCTAGAAGCGACAAACATAATGGTCTTCTACATTTTTCCATTATCACGAGTAAAAGTTGATAAAGTGTTACCATCCAGGAACCCAAATTTGGCCCAATCTCCAAAATCAGGCAGGACACATGTTCCTCGACCGCGACAAATTCATCAACTTCACAGTCATGTCTAAATTCATCTGCGACGAGTCTGCTCAAAGATCCATTTCAGCGCTTGTATGGTCGGCCCGCCAGATACGAAGCGTTACATGGAGGCCACTCCCTAATCTCGGGAGTAATAGACCTTCTCACCGTTTAGCTCGCGGCCATGTACTGCTACCGAATGTCTCATGAGGTGTTCTATCCTTCTAAAGGTCTTTAGGCGTCCTACAACGTTGCACTTAAACGGGTTCTCTTTTAAATGAACCGCTTTGTGCTCCCCTAACGAGCTCGAATTCTGGCAGACCTACGGTCTGTCAGCTCACAGGTAGTCCAAGGGATTAGATAGAGTCAATATACCATGTTGCAGGTTCTGCATACGTGCTCATTCCCAAGGGTGTGCTCCTCAAAATGCTTGGTCAAGGCGAGTTTCTGTATAGAACGCTTGTTACAATTAGGCCAATCACACCGATGCGGGCGAGTCCCTGTGCCACTTTCGACTGATCCGCCACGGCTTGCTCGATGACTTCGGCGTCCTTCTGGCGCCACATTCTTCGACTCGTCATCGGCTTCGCTGTCGATGTCGCTTTCTATTCCAGTGTTATTTGGGGCTCGTTCTGTGGCCAGTACCATGTTGATCCGCTGCCCAGCCTCTGTAGTCATTTTCCTGACTTCCTCCATCTCATCTGCCATCTCTGACTTCAGCTCTAGCATTTTACATTGGAATTCTGCCTCGATATTGTCTATCTCGGCTATTCACCACGCCTTCACTCGTGCCTTTGTTTCGTCCAGAATCTTGCCTTTAACAAAAAGAATGTATTATGGTTGTTGGTAAAGACAGATCTCCGCAGATCTTGAAAGACTTGGTTGTGGGATTTAGTCCGCACAATTTTGTAAGGAGCTAAATCGATGTGGTCTCGTTCTTCCAGTATGGCCAGGAAATCAAGGTATGCATCAAAGAGATTTCCATATTATTCGCTGCCAGCAGCAGCGAAGAGGCAGCTGAAGAAGTTGTGTGAACGAACAGAATAGAGGATGTAATCCTTCGGAAGTGTCAGACGTGACGAAGATTTTCGACAACGGTCACCATAAGTATCTTGGTACTTGCCCTGTTTTGCCAATATTAAGATAGGCGCAATCCCTTGCATAGGCACAGATGATCCGAAAACATGGTATCGAATATTGCAGGACTTTCGATTGGACGATTCCACATGCAGACGCAAGTAAGCTTGCACTTTCCCCAGAATCAGACAGTAGTAAATCAAAGCATGTACCGGAAGGCTTGACCTGTCGACAGTATTGAGTTGTCGTTCGTATTGTGAGCCATCAAATTCTCGGCCTCTTCGGATCTGCTGTCAGAAATGGTCATTGGAACCATTTCATATACTGATCCACTTGATCCCTGTCCATTCATCTTCTGCAGCTTCCATCTCAGTATTGCAGAAAGCAGAACCACACCTGACATGAAGAAACCTGAGACAAGCATGCCGGTCACATAGTAGGGACCGTCTCGTTTTGGAAAGAGATTCACGCCGATCAAAGGGCCACACTGGCCTACCACATTCATAATCATCATGGCTAATCCTTTCTCCTTGCGGCTGGGTTGATTGTTCAAGTTCCAGGTGATGATGAGGACGACCGAGCTGAAAAGACCCATGGCAGCACCGTAGACTGCAACGTAGCGAACAATAATGCCAGTGCCTTCTGAGAGTGTGTTCGTGGCCTCCAGGTGGCCCGAAAGCGCGGTAAGGAAGTAAGATGTCGCACTGATTCCGGAACAAGCCATAAGACAGTAACCGCGAGAGTCCGATACTGAATCTGAGAAGCGACCAATAAGCAGGACGAAGGCGAACGAGAAGAGGTACGGCGGTGCAGAGAGGATTTGTGATGTCAACGCTGAGAATTGCATGCTACGAATGACCGTAGGCAGGAACACAGGTAGCGAGGCAAAAGAGACATTGATAGAGAGGAAGATCAGAGCTTGAAGCCAGGCAATACTGCTTGACAAAGTCTTGAAGGTTTTCGAGGTCGTCAGCCGCGACAGGAGATGGTTGCTAGAAAGCGGCTTGTGTTCGTTACGAATCGTCGAATCCTCAAGGTGCTGCTCATCCTTCAATCTGAGTCGCGCCACCTTTCGTTCTCGTGCATTCAGATATCGTGCTTTGTCTGGCGAGTCAGGGATGAGGTACCACACAAAGATAGCGGTGATGATGCTCGGAAAGCCTTCGAAGAGAAACAGCGCTCGCCATGGCTCGATAGGTCCGTTCTGGTTAAGCTTGACGATAATCCAAGCAAGACCACTTGCGAAGCTTGTAGCAAGTGGTGCAGCTGAGATCTGGAGTCCGACTCGGTAGGCCAGCTCTTCACGTCGATAGAAGAAGGTCATATAGAAGGGCACCTGTATACAGTCAGTGTTGGAACGTTCGACTCATTTCTGATCAGCTCACTCCAGGTCCGAATGCTGCCTCGGTGACGCCGAGACATGCTCGAAGCGCACGCAGTTGGCTGAAAGAAGTCACCACTGATTGCAGCGATGCAACAACACCCCACGCCAGAACGCAGAGGCTGATATAGATGTGCGCCGGTACCAAGCGATACAGCAGTATCATCCATTCAAAAGCGATATATGTGATGTAGAAAGCCACGAGACAGTAATCAAACTCTCTATCTGAGAGCTGAAGAGCCTCTTCAAGTCCCGCGATTCTGGCATTACCAATATCTGAGCACGGTAAGCACTTGGTCTTCAGTATGAAGGAATCTTGTGCATACTGGAGCGGTCGAGGAAGGATAAGAGGTATAGAAATGCTAGAAGTAGAGTGAGCCTCCTATCGAACTTCTTGACAACAGCCTTCTCTTCTTCGTCTTCGTAGTCCTTGGACAATGTGTTTGCTCTTCTCACATGCCGAGTACGTGGTTTCTCAGCTTCATCGTGGGCATCGCTGCTATATGCATGGTCTTCTGAACAATATGTGGTTGAGATCGGGGCTACAAGGCCTTCGGCGAGTCCCTCGTTATTTACAATTTGTGGAGTGTATGTTTCGGCTCTGCTGCTAGCTATATGTCGCCGTGAGGTTGGTGCTGGTGAGGTCGCAGCACTGCTGGCGCGGGACATGGCACGGATCTTCGCTACTCTCCAACATAACGGGAGTCTAGCTTTGGATAGAGTTGTTCGAGAAGGGCAGGTCACAGGCGCAGCAACAAAGATACTCAGCTGCTGGATTTCATCGTGTTCAAGTAATACCATCAATTGAACCAAGGTACATGGCTGCCGCGGGTTCAGAAGTGTGTACAGCTGCGAATGAACTACGAGTACGGAGTAGCAGGGCTACCGCACAACTCCACTCTAACGGTCTTGGTGCGCGACGCGTGCTCTTCCAGCTGGTCCTACCTCCGAAAGCATAGTAGAACACCTTTGATATTTTGCCAATACTAGGTTCATTGATTCTTAGATGAATCCGGCCTGTAAGTCATCATTCGCTACCACTAGGTACGTAAGACGAGAAACGTGCCAAGACACCAACCGAGATGCAGGCTACCGCATGTAGCTTCCCGTCAATGTACAGTATTCGTCCTACATGACCTGCAATTCCTCCCTCATCGTGAGACCATCGACGAAACAAGCAGTCGAACCTAGTCTTCTTCGATAGTGACTGCTCTTCCTAGGGTCCACAGATAAAGTCGTGGCTACTGTATGAACTGAATGCTGACCCAGCTCACGCAGCAGCTTCAAGATCACTAGCCGGAACCTGGACAATACGAATCAACGGGCCGTGTGTAGCCAAATGGTATGCCGCTGTGGCCTCGCCCGGGATATTGGTTCTGTCGTCTTTTCGAGGTTCTCATATCCTTAGGAGAAATTTCTGGTGCGAAAAATTGTCTGCGATCACTCATACGTTCTCGGCTCCTTGGTCTCTGGCGATGTTCAAGTGCTCGGGCATGTCCATCAAAAAGGTCGAATCTATCGTTCTTGGCTCGAGGCTGTACTCTATCAGCTAGTTTGTCATTAGCTCGTATTTCGTGGAGGTGCTCTCGTCTGGTAACACGAGCTGGATTTCCCCTGTAGGTATCCCGGGACGCCAGAGGCTCATCAAACTTTCTCTTCTTGCCACCATGCAGTGTCATCGCAGTATGCTTCGCAACAGCTAACGTCATCTTGAGCTCGTCGAGTAATTGCTGGCCAGGATCCTTGTCTGCAAGATACTCAAGGGTATTCTCGGCTGTATCACGCAAGAACTTTGCAGCGGCCTGTTTGTCAAAGCTGTTGGAATCAGAGATGGCGAAGAAATCTTCTTTGGCCTTTTCGTACACTGTCCAGAGCCGAAGCGCTGCATCACCAACTTGTGCTGCAAGGATCGCGAAAATAGCTGGCTTTTGTTCCTGGCGATCTTTCTTAAACAAGCGCTTCTTATCTGGAGACAGACTTCTGCCACCTTTCGTGGGAACGGGGCCTTGTTGGAGCTGAGGAGCGGAATGTACTTAGGATGTTAATTATACTGACTGTCGAGCAGGGATGCACGATTGTCTCACCTTCGGACAAGGCCACAGGAGCAACGAGTGAGCTCTTCAACAACGACTCCTTCTGGATTGGGCTCAAGCTCATGGGAATAGCAAGAAATTCTTCACAATAGAATACGACGGCCGACGGGTTGTTCATGTCGTTGCCATTTCGCGTCAGTACAAGGAGAGTTTTGTCGTACACAGTGACGTGACAGTCCTGGAAAGCCTGTGAGCGCGATTTGATCAACTCGAGTTGTCTCCTGAAACTGCTGAAGAATTCAATTCTGTTATTCGATAAGACATCCTCGAGGCACAAATCGAGTTGGGAAATCTTTTGCGCTCGACGAACAAGTTCTTCCACTTCCTGGTCAGGGCCTGGGATAATTTGCGTCGGTGATGATGAGAAGAAAAGACCGTCGCTGTGTTGTGGTGGTGGTGAAGCCATAATGGATTGAGCGTTGGGTCGTGAAAGGATGCGAGCGAGAGGAAGGTGCGATCAGAAGAGAGGGAAGGAACAGATGCCGCGACTGCCATGTGGCTGCAGGATAGCACTTTTTCCTTTGTAGTGACAAAACTTCACTCCAAGTATTTGCTCTGCAGTGAAAACAGGATGGACTCATTATTGTTCATCCTCTGCACATCAAGGACTGCTGTCCGCTGCAGCTTGCCTGGTTAGCTTGATACCAACGCACATAGCAGCCACATATTCTATGTCAGTGATGATTTTGTGACCCATGGAGTGCTAAACTTGACGCCTTCGCAACTAAAATGTGCTGGTCTTATAATCGTCCTCCCACAAGCACATTACTTTGTATAATCTATTCAACTTCTTAAGTGACACATGGAATGGAGGAAGACCTAGGCCACGACACCTCAAATCATACGAGGAACCAGACCTATCTTCTAGAACAACAAGTCGTAAATTAATCGGCTCTGTTGGATCTGCATTTTATATATCTGGTGAAGGTCCAAGATTCGCAGCGTCATATTTGTAAATGAATTTGGATTATGCTGTATATGTTCACTCCCTGATTTTCCGAAAATGATCTTAGTATTGTGCTGATTCTGAGCTCCTCTAAACGTTCAAAGGGTATCGTTCTATTTTCTAGCATTTTCTTGTACAAAACAGTCCTTCAACTCCAATACACGTGATTCCACGGACCTTACCCAAGATTTAGAAGTCCTGTCTAGCATGCTTGGACTTCCTGCGAATCGCTGTGCCATATTTGAATAGGACGAACGGTATGGGAATGAAAGCGATCGAAAGGAATGCCAACGTCGACGAAGCCCATCCAACACCAAGGTATTGATACATTGCGGTTGCAAAGAGCGGCTACAAGGTACGTCAGTATGCTGTAAGGAGGCGAATGTAACTGAACTCACAAAGCCTGCTCCAAAACAAGATCGGAAGAAGTCATTTCCTGCTAACACGCTTGCCGCATATTCCGGATATGCATCGGATAGATAGTTGAGCACTGAATTAAACAGAAGGAAAGTTCCAACGGAGAAGAATCCAGATCCGACAATGGGCATCATCCAATGAACGGTCGGTCGTGAGCTCCATCCGAACCAGAAAAGACAGATGGGTATTGCAAAAGCACCCACAAAGCTCGGGGGTAGTCGCCATTCAGGCTGGAGCTCTCCCTTGTCGTTGAATTTGGGCTCGATATATTTGTGTTGATACCAGACAAATGGCGGTATAGTGACCAACGTACCAACCAGGATGCCCAAAAATGCAAGGCCTTGAGTGCCAAGAGAAAATCCATAGATTTCAATAAACACAATCGGGAAGGACTCGAACCAAACATAGAGCAGCCCGTAAACGAGAGCAATGTAAAGATTCAGGCAGAAACAGATCGGTTCGAAAAGAGATAAGGTGAATGGCCGGACCAGAGTCATGCGCACCATATTCATAGGCTTCATATCCGCTCCCGCAATTTCACCTTCAGAAACGAGTTTGTCGTTACCAGTCAGCTTCCGAAGTCGACGGGCACGGCGGTAAAGGATATTAGCCGAGGACGTCTCAGGCAGAAACGGAACCAAGACGGCGAGACAGAAGCCGCTCAACCACATCAGCTCCCAGATCGTCCATGTCCATCCCCTGGCTTCGGCGGCGAACCCACCGAGGAGTGGTCCGAGCTAATTACAGTTAGCAAAATGGGAAGGACAAAGAAAGCAGGTACTTGCAGTCGGCCCGCATATTGCACCTATGCCCCATACAGCGATGCCATACGTTCTTTTCGCAGGGCTGTACATGTCGCCAATGGACGCACCACCTGTGGCTAATGATGGAGATCCAATGAAACCAGTCAGGAATCGAAAAGCTAACAGCATTCCGAAATTGACAGCCAAAGCGGTCGGCACCTGGAGGACCACGAAGAGTGCTAGCGTACCAATGTAGACGGGATTGCGACCGATGGCCGGTATCTCTGAGAGCGGCGCGAAGACCATGGGGCCAATGCCGTAAGCGACCACGAAGAGGGTAAGACCCAAGGTGGCAGCGACTCGACTGACACCGAAGACTCTTGTAATGTCGTTGAGGCCTGCTGTATAGATGCTGCTGCCTACGTAGACAGAGAATGTGAGTAGGCAAATGAGGAAGGTCGTCCAGAACCTCTTCGGGCGGCTCCAGTTTTTGGGGTTCTGTACCACGTTAACGACAATCTGTACCTTGAGCCTGAGTGAAAACATACCTCCTGATCATCAGGTCCATACCAGTCCACGACATAGACATCCTTCCCTTTCTCTTGATCGACTGGTCTGCCTTTGTGCAAGTCATCATTGCCAACAGCTGTTGAGGTTGAGCTAGAAGAGTTCGGAGACGAGTCGCGTCGAACGGGTGTATCTGGACCATCTTCTTGTTTCTCTGATACTTCTTCAGGCAACTCTGTTTGACCATGCTGTGCCATGTTGGCAGACTTCTCTCTGTGCACATACTTCTGCCATATTTCGGGGTTGCGCTCTTCCTCGTATAGCAAGACTTTGTTCTTTGTTGCTAATCGTATGAGTTGTCCCAAGACTGAGTCGCGTATGGTATCATACATGGTGACACGCACAGAGGAAGGTCAGTGAAGGTATGTACGACAGTCACTAGTGGAGATCGAGCCACAGCGCAATCGTGCACCACTTGAGTCTTATATGAAATGAGTTTGGTGAAGCATGCTGACGATTTCACATCTCGATAGACGTCATATCATCATAGTGTATAGCGAAATTGTTCCCTACCTTTCCGGCAGCGAGGCTCCAAGTGGGTTTCTTGTATGTCAGTCGAAGTATAATTGATGATCCAAGTCGGATTCGGGGAACGAAGATGCGAATGTACTGAGCTAAGCTCAGTAACAGTGGCAATATCCTCAGAAAGGTATTGCACGCCATTAGTCGAAGGCGCCATGCATGGTAACAGTACGGTAGCTGGTTGCGGCAGCGCAGATCCGATCTTTTTCATCGAGAATGCGGAAAATCATGAAGGTCTATGACGAGACAGGTGGGTTTCTGAGTCTCAAGCCTCACGAAGTCGCCTTGGCAGGCTTGTTCTTGTAGCTTGTCACATCGATGTATGAAGCACTACTCGTACTGCACCTGGATATTATTAGCCATTATGGAAGGGTCGCAGGAATTCAAGATTTGTAAACGGATGATTGAAGAAAGAAGAGGAGTCGAATCGAGCCTAGCGTTTGTTCTTCCGAAAGAAAGGCTCCTGCTTCTATTGTAACGTTAGCTCGCGTAAACACATTGTTTGCACGTGTTAACAACTTTTGTGAGTCTCGAGATAGAAAGACCTCAGTACGTACTTAGACAGCCCACGACGGCGGCAATGTATATCTGAGGACAGACCAGCTGGCAACGCAGGCTGCCGCCAAGCCGCCAAGACCCAAAGCACTACATAAACCTCGCCATCATCCGCAACTCTTCTTTTGCGATCTTCCATCCCAGTGCACGGGCATTACCTATATCAGTGAGGATTCGTCCGAGATTAGGTTTTTGCTAGTTGAAAACTACAACTATGACCGCTCTTGTTGGCCTTCGGGTCGTCAAGGAATTTTTGATCGAGATCTAAATGACATTTATCTTTTCAATGCTGTCGGCGCCTAGAGCGCAGAAGTGAGGAAGAGACGGGATCAGTGCATACCTTGCCGAAGCCTCATCACTACACACATAGGGAAGGCAAATGACACCTATCGTTGTGGATGCATAGTACAACATGCATTGCCTTCATACGATACGTCGATGATCCCGAAAGACTGGTGATTGGCCCTTCGCACGAGAAGCAACAAGCGCTGGACTATAACGATGGAACAGTGCCTTTAGTCGCGTCTACTTAGCACTGTGTTTCGATGCCTGGTGAGGAGATAGAGACAACTTGGCAGTATTTACAAGACACGCCTGATCAGCGCAGGAGGTAGTCCTATTTGTAACCGAGCTGCAGTCTGGCTAATCTTTGAAGGAGTTCTCGGTAAACAGACATATCGGCATATCACCCTCGTTCTCCCGCGCTTGAAACACTCAGGACCATCCTCAATTGATCGACTCTTGAATGACGATGCAAAATTTCGCCTCAAAGTAGTCACTACCGCACTCGAGACCTTCAGAAACAGTTATCACCTCAAATGTAAGACCTCAAGCCTTGAATCGAAGATCTGTGTCTGCAACTAGAGGGTAAATACACAAAGAGGAAGGACAAACCACAGGAACCTACACGGCACATTAACGAGCTCAAGAGCTAGAAGAAAGACAATAACCACCCCAACGGCCAGATGAGTTGCCTACCTTGACTCATTTGGGCACAATGTTTGCAGGATGGATATAGAAAGTCCATGCAACAGACACGAATGGCTAGGAGCCCCAGGAGCGTGCTAGAGAGGAATATTTTCAGCAATATTACGACATAGATTGAGAACAAGAAAGATGCCTTTTTGGGGGGAGGCTACTTGTTCCGATCATGATATGCAGCAGAAATGGAGAAAGCTAGCGACGAATATATTGCCAGTATATCATGCTAACTGAACTCTTTTGCATTGCAGACAGCATCCAGCACCCAACCTTCGAAGTGTCGTCTAGATCTCATGTTCTTTCTCCTCGACTGTCACATCCTCGGGCAGCTGGGTGTTTACACCAAGCGAACCCAGACATGCAACTTTACTCATAGAACACGATCCAAACTCAATGCTTCCCACTCTTTCTGCGTTCTTCCTCCATCTCCTTGACCATATCATCAAATCTCCACATCCCCGCAACACCACCAACAGCAACTGCAGCCTCCCACATCCACCACGTACGCGAAAACGCAGGCACCCAGTACTTCTTCATCCGCGTTTGCGCCATGTGTCCCGTCTCAGCTGAATGAATGGCAAACATGCCGATTAAGACAAAGTCCTTGATAGACGCCGTCAACCTCGCTAGACCAGGGACGATACCACCGACACTGTAGATTTTAGACGCCAGGGTACCGGCCTCGGGCAAAAATGCTTTGGCAGGATACAGCGTGAACAGCACAAAGCACATGAGGCTGAAGATTTGCAAGGCCCATTGCCATGGCTTATTTGGTAGGACGAATTTGTCGACTTTGAACTCTGCCATGTCTAGCTTTTGGAGACATTCTTTGTGCATGGCTACGAGACGTTCGCGTGCCTCGCCGAGATGCTTCATTGGCGGATCTATGCGGACGAGGTTGCGGCCTTTTGGATGGGAGATGATGATGTGGTCGAGAGTGATGTCTTCGAGCTTAAGAGTACCTATTGGTGGGGGCGGACGTAGAGAGGTTGGCACCTTGCAGAAGTGGTTCAGGTAGAGAGCCAACGAGTCAGAATGGTCAGCTGTCATGTGTGTCAAGACATGACTTTTCATGGCTTCCATCTTTGGGTCTGTAGTCGAAGCCATATCAAGGTTTTTGATGAAGAAGAGTTGTCAGTTTGATAGTGGCAAGTGAGGTTGGTGGTTGTGCCAATGTCTTCAGACAATTTTTGAGCCTGGTTCTCTGTGTCTGTGCCTGCTTGCTGTAGCGGGCCCTTCGACAATTCAAGTCTCGGGTTAATCGACGTTGACTGGCTTGCCTCGAACGTGATCTTGAGTCGGTATCTTGGCGTGATACGGAGCTTGGCGAAACGCGGGCTGTCGAAACGCCCATACTGTACATTTACAAATGCCAGTTTTAATCTACGTACGCTTTATGCTTCAATGTTGCTCAAGTCCGCTGAAAGACCAATTCCCAACGTCTCAGCTGTGGTTTAATGTCAAGTCTACTCGAGACTACTCTCGCCTATGAGCAAGCAGCTAATGGGATCGTTACACACAATGAGGTCAAGCATTCACGTCAAAGGTTTTGGAGCTGATATCGCAGCTTTGCCTCCCTCAATGTAGGACACAACTTTTCGATTGATTGGTAGTACAAGCTAACAAGCACATATCATAGCGTGCTCTACGCGCTCAAATATAGTAATGCGCAATTTGCTTGCATGAGGGACGCTTGCCTTCTCCATATCCAGAAAGCCACGCGTCTATTCATATCATGCTGCGTTTGTGCAGTACCATCTATACTCGTCTAGTCGAAACTGAAAATATCCTTGATTATGCGATCCATGCGAAGAAACCCGTAAATGCGTCTCAAAGAAATCGATAGGTTGCGGAAAAGGGTCGAGGAGATAGGTCAGTTATTTAGAGATTTCGACACCACCGGTGGCACCTAGTAGAACGTTAGCTCGAGTCGTGCCTTCGGACATGTGAAATCAACTTACCAATGACTCTCTTGATATCACCATAAATGGCGAACTGACCAGCAGTAAGAGTACCGACCATGAATAGACGAGCACCGATACCAGCATATGAACCTCGGAAACCAAGCTCTTGAGCAATCTTGATCAATCTGCTGGTTGTGCCCTCACCAGGCAGACCCTTGGTCTTGTTGATCTTGGAAAGCATAGTATCAGCAGGCTGAGAAACGAGGGCTGCAGCGAAACCAGCGATCAAACCAGATCCCAAGTTGATCAGGGTCTTTGTGCCATCACTCGCGGTGTTCTTGTCGACCGACCTAAAGATAGCTTCTGAGACCTTCTCATAGACGACGAACTTGGCCATGGTATAAGGAACCTGCTTGAAGAGGATAGGGCCGAAACCGGAGTAAAATGCACCCAAACCCTCAGTTCTGTAGATCTTGCCAAAGCCACCAACGAGACCATTAGCGAAGGTTGGCTCGGAGACAAGTCGAATTCGAGTGGCCTCGAGAGGGCAGAGAGCGATATCAGCAAAGAACTCTGCACAAGCGGATGAGGCAAGGTATACAGCAGTTCTGTTGTTGGAGGCAGTCTCATAGCCGAGCAGGTTTATCGACTGTTGCTTGAAGAATTCGTAACCACCGAACTTGAAAGCGCCTTGCAAGAAGTAACCTGCAAAGGTTGGGCCGACACCGGTCAGAAGGGCACCTGCACCTTCATTCTGAACGACTTGTCTGAAGCCTCCAATAAGACCTCTGTTGTATGTGACGGGATCGAGCTGGATTCTGGTCTTGACGACGTCGACAGGAGTAAGACCACCGTGGGTGACGGAGCAGCAGACTGCGCCAGCAAAGGCCTATGTTGGTTAGCTTGTACTTTTAATGTGCTTGTTCGAGACATACGAATCTGCCGTACAGACCAAGTCCTGATAGCTTCTTTGGCTCTTGAGCCGCCAGCGCAGGAAGTGCTGGATCTGAAGTCGTCTTTGGTCCTGTGAGTGCAGCCATTGCGTCTGTATTTTACCAAGAGTGGAGATAAGGACACGAGACAGTCACGATTGATAAAGTATCAAATGGTCAGATGCGCAAGCTGGGGAAGCTGGAGATGAATTGTTTTGTAAGAACTTTCAGTGAACGTAGCGCAGGGGAGAAAGCAACGAAAACGTACCGGGCTTGCAACTGCTGGAAGAATTTTAGCTCTACCGGGCTTTCGGCGGATCTAACCCGAGCCAATTTGGTCCCAACGATTGGAAGTCCACTATCGACACACGTGCTTCTATCTAACCACTAAATACCTCACAGCCACCGTTAACTGACGCGTCGAACGCGCTGTGAAGACTGCTTCACGTTCCTGGGAAACGCCTGTACATCTCTGATCAATAACATACGTTTGTCTTACCACGAACAAGCTCACAGAGTATATCGAAATCCAACCTCACCACTTTTCTAGGACGTCTTGCTCATCTCACAAAGTCGACGATATTTTGGCACGTTTTGCCGGCACCTTGTCCACCTGTGCAGCCCTAAAAGTGGCCGATCACGATAGAGCAGCTCAATTGCTTTCGTGCCTCCTTCTTTGCCTTGTCTCTTTGCATACCGGACCCTGACTGAGCAGGAAGTCCTGTAGCGTGTGAACGTCAGACGAATCCATCTATAAATGTTCCTGATGCTGCACCTTCTGACCGTGAGTATATCGCTCGGCAGGTAGGAGGACTTCATCGGCTTCTCCACACTCACAGCATGCTAATGGAGGATACCGACATGTACATTGAACACAAGCTGAAATTCGTGGAGAGTCTGTCCCATGCAGTACTCGTGACATTGCTGAAGTATCGAGCACGTCCAAGTTCAATCTGATTTTGAAAGTTTGCAACAACCTGAACGTGATTCCGTTGTGTTTGAATGCTTGGGGGATTCGCGTTCGTTCTGTTACGCATACAATTTTTTGTGATGGCATCGTCTTCGAGTCAAATAGAAGTGCTCTACACACCTATGAAACATGAGTTGGAGAATATATGGATCGAATACGGATGTGAAAACAAGGTTTTGCAGAAAGGCTGGGTCAAAGATGAGGGTAGAAGACCCTTGCCAGTTGATATGATCTATGATAAGGATTGTCCGATCAAACTAAGGCATGGTGCAACAATCCTCACAGATGTCTTTTGACCAGTAGGTTCTGATGACAGTCCAGTGCCTGCTATCTTGCCTTGCAGTATTTTCGGCAAGACTGGTTCAGGTTGGCTGGTGCCATTGGAGTACGATGTCCTTCTGACTTATCGTCTCAGGTAAGCTAAGCTTGGATATCTTCCCTCGGCGGCTTGGTATACCTCGTAGTCGGACCAGCGGTCTAGAAGAATGGGAGGCGCCAGATCCGGCAGAATGGATTCAGCGTGGCTATGCCGTAGTCAACACGGATGCTCGTGGCACATTCAAGTCGGAGGGCAATATGGCTGTTCATGGTACGCAAGAAGGGCGTGATGGTTACGACACGTTTTTTGATCGATACCTGAAAGGCAAAGCAATGGATGGGAAGAAACTCCAAAATTGAGACTCTCACTTCTAGGTTCAACCAACCATCGGTCGTAGCCCGACCAATCACAGCATATCCTCCCCCAGATTTCAAGTACCAGGCTCTATATGTTGACGGCGCGACTGGCCGGTTACAACACCAAGCACTTTCCGACGAGAGCTCATCGAGCTATGATGCCACCGTCCCGTGGTCCTATCCACCCACATCGTACTTGGCTTCACTTTCAACTTTGACAAGCACACAGAACTTTTTGGCTTCTCCAGGGCAGAGCTATACATGTTAACGCCAGACCACGACGACATGGACGTCTACATCGTGATCAGAGAATTCGACAAGCACGGCAATCCACTACAGCACTTCAACACCCCTTTCAAAGACTTGCCAGCCGGCACGACCGCAGCTGATATTCCTAGCGAGAACGTCTGGCGGTACGTCGGATCGAACGGTCGTCTTCGCGCACCTCATCATGCTGTTCAGCGCGAGCCAGACTACTCCGAGGAGAAGTTGAGGTTGCTGTCTGATGCCTACGTCTGGCATCCACATGACAAGGGAGAGAAGCTCACCCTCAACGAGGTCGTCAACCTGGAGATTACCATGTGGCCTGGAGGGTTGGTTTTCCACAAAGGCGAGTCTATGAGGTTTGATGTGCTTGTGCATCATCCCGTTATGCCTGAATTCGAGGGTCTCGATAAGCAGATGCGCAATTTCAACGTCGGAAGGCATGTGTTGCATACTAGTGGTAGGTATCCTTCGAGTTTGCGCTTGGCTTTGTCGGATTGAGTTATGAGTGGGAGCCTGACCGGAATGAGTACTTTCAAGGACGTTATCATCTATTTTAGGCCAAGAGACACTTACACGTCACAATGAGAAATTGATATCCTCCCATCTATCGATCTGAGGAGCATGATGGCTATGCCTACGAATTCGTGTCTACAGGAAAATGCAGCAACTTGTCTATCAGTCTCTCCCACGACTTGGACGTCATGCCACCTCGCTGTCCTCGCCATGCAACAATCCCGTCTGGTCTTACAAGAACAGAACCATCCTCACTCACACCACACTGACGAGCCCACATCTCATCTACATCATCCCAACCACCATCGCCAACATGCTCATACCGCACTCGATCGTCTCCAAGTTCCTCCCACCCAGACCCTCTAGCCAGCAACAACAGCTGACTCATCCCAACCAGATCAAACACAGGTTTTCGCTTATTCCCCTTGTGTGACCACGCGTGCGGCACAAAATGCCCTGGTATCGTCGACGGGACGTAGAACTCTGGATTCAACGTCCCATCCGCCCGTAATTGTCCAGTATGGAACTCGCCGCCTCCATTGTTAACACCAGCTGACGGGTAGAACCAGCCGACAACCGCTCCAGGTGCTTTGAATTCACAACCAAGAACTTTTTGCGCACGGCCGATGGCATCGCGTTTTGCCGCGTAGTCTGGATGAGTCTCATCAAAGGCAGGGGCGATCTTTGCTTGGTTCTCCTCAATGGATTTACCCGGGCTCAAGCCAAGCGCTACATCCATTATCGCGGCGTGACTTCGCATGTTATGTAGACTTGAGAGGCCTACACGCTTACCGACCGGTTGTCGCTCGGTGTTGTACGTGTCGAGGAGGGCGTCGTACTTGCGTTCGTCCCTGAGAGCAAGCTCGAGCTTCCATATCAGGTTGTTTGCATCTTGAATGCCGGTGTTCATCCCTAATGCGCCCCGGGGCGGGATTTTGTGCCCTGCATCACCGACGAGGATGACACTATCGACGTGATATTATTCTGGAGATGGCGTTGACGTTCCAGTGGCTGAAGCTACGCAGCTCGACTGGCAAATCGGCGATGTTCAATGTGCGTCGAAGTCTGTCGATCATCGTTTGTTGGTCGAATCGTTCTGGGTCGTGTTCGGTTACTCCGCATGCAAATACCCATTCTTCTTCGCCAGGTTGCAGCGGCCACGGACCTATCTGATACAGATAGCCGGTCTTTGTACTTCCTCCCATTTTGGGATTAGTAGACCAGGTGATGAAATTTCGTGGATCGGGGTGGAGGCTGCGCAGGGGCGACCTAAACTGTGCGAAGACCATATCAAAGATGTTGCGCTCACCAAGCCAGGAGACACCGAGTTTGGTAGTGAAAGGACGACCACCATCTGCTGCTATGAAAGATCGCGCTTTGACACTATAGTCCTCGTCACGGCTTCGTACTGTCAGCTTGACATGGTCTTCAAACTGCTCTAAGTCCCTAACTTCAGTAGCATATCTGACCCCATCCAGGTTCAGCGCCACAGCTATGCGTCTCAATATTGGCTCTAACCGTATCTGTGGCAGAATGCAGTAGCGTGAAGATGAAAGTCTCTCATACTCCTCTGCATAGATACCGCCACCCCACGCGTCACGAGACACAATCTCTCGACCCTCGGCGCCCAGAGACGTATAACAAGCAGTCCTACCAGCAATTTCAGGTGGTGCGCAATGCTCGTATACTTCGTCTTCTATGCCTATGATCCGAAAGATCTCGGTTGTTCTTTGGTTGATACCGCATGCTTTTGGATGTATAGAAGTGTCTGGGTAGCGTTCGAAGACGACATTGTCGATGCCGCGAAGTGATAGCAAGATCGAGCATGTCAGTCCAACAGGACCATCACCAATGATGGCGATATCATGCTGTTCTATACCAGCCATACAGAAATGATAGTGATATAGTTGTTGGCTTCAAATTGAGATGTGTCTGAGGGTAAAATCAAGCCGAGTATTCTTGACCACAATATCTTAAGGTAGCCTCATTGAGGAGACGATTAGCAGTGGTTTGTCTTTGGGACCAGTGAGGTACTGCCCTTTGTAACGCTGCAATATTCAATGTCGGCTTCTGCGCAATGCTATCGGCATCTCGCTCCTCGGTCAACTCCTGGGTTGTGCAGGCATACGCAGAAAAGCTATAGACTCATTCCTAGCTCGGACGCCTGAGGAAGAACGAATCTCAGTGCTGCTTCTTTACCTTTGCCATGGTCCATAGTCGTGCGACTATGCCTCAAGGCACCTCCTCAGCGTATAGTTCGTGTTACCAACTGCTGTTTCGAGTGTGTCAGTCTCTCAAGCACGCCCACCGTAGCTATACGGTACAGCTCGAGAGTTTCACGCATTGCATATAGTGATGTGTTCAAGACTGAGCAAGATCTCTTGAAGAAGAGTGAACATCGGAGCTATACGAATTGAGAGGTGCATTTTTATGTCGTTATCCATCGTTACAAACAATAGTGCCGGCTCTTAGTCGCGATATTCGATGTCTACCGGCAAGAATATCGAAGACTTGCTCGCTCTCTGACGTCCTACAGTATCTACTAGTAATCAGTCAGATGCCAAGATTGTATAGTGCTGGAGAAGTACATTCACCAAGCTCAAGACATACTCCTGCTACTCTGCGTATGCCAATATCGTCGCTGGGTAGGCGAACGAAGTGCTAAACATGCAAGAGGAAATCATTAAAGAGCTACGAAGATGTTCTCGCTTACTCTATATTTCCTAGGTGTAAATTCATCGAAGTCATGCTGGGTATCATTCATAAACAGTCTGTCCATAATTCCTTGCGCCCACGCTTCCACGTCTCCTCAAGCAATAGTCCATAACTCATCGCCAGGCCGCATTATGCACGCCGACTTCAGAAATCCCACTCTATCAACCGTCCATCCTTGCCCCTCATCTGATCAGGAGGAACATACTCCCTACCTTCAGCCTCAGCCTCTTCTCTAGCAATTCGTTCAGCTTCTCTTTCTTCGAGCTGTCTCTTGTTGAGCTTCTCCTTTCTCTCAATAGCCCTGGGAGCCTCCTTGTTGCGATCAACCTTGCGGAGAAGTGAAGGGATAGAGTGGCGCTTTGAGAGACCAATACGGGCGCGAGCGTTGAGCAATGGAGTGCCACCGAGCGACTTCGAAGAAGAGGGTGGAGCTTTGGCCACGGGTGTCTCTACCTTGGTTGCCGACTTCATTGGTGTGGACACAAGGTCTGCTGACTCCGAGGCAGCTTGCACTGACTCCTTGGCATGCTCTTCGTCTTCTTCCACTACGGCCACACTCTCCTCGGGACCCGCTTCTTTCGACATGGGCTTTGATTTTGAGCCTCTAGCCTTTTTCGGCTGAACGTTTGCATCCTTCTCTGCCAGCACCGGCCTCTCGTCTTCATCATGATGAGCGTCCTCCGGGACTTCGACAGGTTCTTCGGCCTGCTTCTTTCTCTTTCTACCACGCTTCTTAGGCGCAGGTATAGGTAGAGCAGGTTCCTGGTGGTCATTGGGTTTCGATAATTTAGGTATATCGATCGTGACTTTATCACGACGACTGGTGCCTTTCGACTCGACTTCGTCATCGTCAAGAGTATTGCTGTCTTCATTCACGGCAACTTCGATTCCATCTACCCCCAAATTGGATTTCATGTCTTCGCTGCCTGCCGGTATTGGTGATATCGTCTCTCCAATCGCCTTGTCTTGCAGATCGATGGTTTCACTTTCTGCCTTGTCGTCCTCATCATCCAGCGCCTTCTCGGGCTCAGGCACCACAACGTCGTTCTTGGATTGTTTGGCCTTGGTCTTTTTGCCTTTCTTTCCCTTGATCGAAGTGGGTTCGTTCGACGATTTCTCAATGGTTGGTATTCCATCTTGAGCAAGGTCAACTTCGTGTTGCACTGAAGATTTGTCCCAAGTCTCGATGACCTCGGCCTTAGGTACCACTTCAGATAAAGGTTCCGGCTGCCCACGACCTCGCGCTCTCCTGCTTGGCCTAGGTTTATAGCGCTCGGGTGATAGACCAATCACATCTTTCCGGTCAAGGCCAAGGTCACTAGAGGGCAGCTTCTTAGGCGGGACCTCTGGTAAGGACATTTCAGATTTTTTCGTCTTCCTTTTCCTGCCTCTCTTGCTACCTGTGGATGCATGCGAAATCTCCGATATGTTGGAGACTGAATCTACAGTGCCAGCTCGGATAGCGCGATCGAAGTTGTGGTCATCAAGGTGAAGCTCGTCAATGTTATCTTGGCCATCGACACCTACGTCATCGACCTTCCTCTTTGGTCTTCCTCTTTTTTTAGGCTGTGGTTTGAGGGCCTCATTCTCCCGTGCAATGATTTTATCATGTGTAGGTAGCTGAGGCTCAGTAAACAGTTGTGCAGGTTCTATAGTCAGGTTATCATCCGGATTAGTAATCGGCGAGAACTCTGGGGACGCTTGTGGAGGCATCCCTTTAGCACTATCCAGCTCCTCAGGACCATCAACAGACCCGTAGAGTGGGCTTGTTTGCATCTCAGACAGAAGCTCAGTGTTCACAATACCAGCTATGGTAGTGTTCGACGCACTTCTTCTGAAGACCTCGTTTATAGCTCTTTGGTCGTGATCATCGTCCCCTCCAGTCGAGATTTGGCTTGGTGTGCCAAATGGATTAGTCTCATAACCCACACCACCACCAATAGCATGAGGATTGATAGTGTAGGACTGGTAATTGCCCATTGAGCTCTTACTTGTTGTGCCTCCATGTAAATTAGCACCAAAAAAGGTGGTAGGCGCGCTGTATGGCTGATGTGGAAGATATGATTGTGCTGATGGTTCATCGATTTCTATTGTGTCTCCACTATTAGGCATAACAGTGCCGGCGCTGGGCGAGAGGTGTAGACTCAGATCCAAGGGCGAGGTGTATTGAGTTCGCTGGTCAACTGAGACCAGTGGCTCAAGATCGCCCGCTACATCGTAAAGTGCCTCTTCCCTTTGCTCTTTTGAGCGGAGCAAAGAATCACTTCCACCATCGACCATGACATGGTACTTCATAGATGCAGCACTTTTGGGCACGCGTGGAGACATCGAGTCTGTTCTAGCCCTCTTCCTTGGGCTGTTGACTTGGCTTGAGTGTTTGGCCATGCCATCTTGAGCCTGGGTGCGCTCTCTTTTCTTGCCGACCTTCGCCTTTGTATCTTGCTTCGCAACTTTGGTCCCCATATCTCTGGTGGTTCTGCTGCCTTCGGTGTGGGAACCGGCTCGGGAGGCGGACGACGGGGTAGGAGCGACCTCGTTCAAGAATCGATTCGTGCTAGAATCGAGCATGAGCGAAGTCGCTGGGTCGATCGCGTTTTCGTTACTTCTATCAGAGGACGAGAGGCGTTGTGTCGGGCTACACAAGGCATCAAAATCGATGTTCATGATAGGATCTGCGTCAAGCAGCTCCACTCCATTCCTGCTGCCAATTGTGGATGCTGTTCTTCGGACATGTTTAACGTGAGGCGCTGGTATAGCAGCCTCGAGCTCGTCATCAGAGTCGGCAATTTCGCGAGGCATGGCGACTATGTATGCATTCTTCTCGAAACCTATATCAAGGTCATCTATTCGACTCGAGGGCTAGAGTGGAAAGTTTCTGAAGACGCGTTCCGGACGCGTCTTAGGAAGGCACGCACGTCATTTCTTGGCAACCTTAATCGCGTCTTCCTGTACTTGTACCACTGAAGCAAGCTGTAGGTGTAACCTGCACTTCAAGTCAGAATATCATACGTGCGAATTTGAACGACAAAGGCCGGTGCTCTTTTTGTCTACACTGAAGTTCCTGAAATTCTATGCCGAATTTAGTCCTCGGATAGATTTGAATATCCGTTCCACGATTGTTGTAGCCAAGCGTTACTTTGAAGGGTACAAAAATTGAGACACCTTAAGAAGAGCTGTGCTAATGTAGCATCCGACGTGAGCATTCCCTTCCGAAGATCAAATTTTCCGAGTAGCGAGGTATAGCAAACATCAGCATGGCGTTTGTGGTAGTTCATGCATACAAACAAATAGGCAGTGGGCAGTCACATGGTGACTTCACTCAGTCGAATGCTCATGCAAAAAGAGTCGAAGCAGCTGAGCACGTCGCTTTTCGAGTGATAGTCGAAACCTTCACTGCAACTGTCCCTCCGGTCTCCACTACGAAGAACGTTGAGGCACCTTAACTGCCGTTCTTTTCCCTCTGAACCTTTCCTTCGTACCACGTTCACACTTCACCGCCAAACGAACATCCTAGCTAAAACGGTCACGATGGCGATCATGGGCGTTGCGACTCTGATCTCTGTCTTTGTCTTCTTTTCCCTCACCAAGATTGTCTTTGCTGGCGAGGAGTGGTTCGTCTTCTACCCGGATGTATTCGCAGACAATTACAATCGAGATTGGGGTGATGGTCAGCCAAGCACAAACGCTGAATTTGAAGAGATACTAGCAAGTGACGCGGTAGCGTCAACCATGTACGCCTCTAAGAGCAACGTGCTTGAATCAACATGGTTTTGGACCGCAAAGGTCGAAGAAGAGACAGTTACTACCAAGTACTTCCAGTTTAATCTTGTGAATCACCTTTTAGCCATTGCTAGCAAGCTTACCGCGACTGACAGAATGCAATAGTTGAGAGGTATCGCAATCCACCCAGAAGACGATCGTGTCTCAAGTGGTCCCTCCTACCCGTGGACTCCACCCAAGAAAAACCGACCAAGCAAGACCACCAGATGGGCGAAGCGTGCCATTCAAGATCAACAAGACAACGCTCCTCGACAGCTGAAGTTTTTGTCAATGACAGAAGACCAACACAACGATCTTGATCATGCCGAGTACAAATACGCACACGAACCTGGTAAATATGTACGTGTGTACGTGGTAGATCATGGTATAAACCCCAACTCGGTTGCCTTCATTGGCAGAAGAGTTGAATGGATTTTCTCGGAGCCATTCAGCAATCACGAACAAGTGGATACAGATCTTGATGAGGACAAGTCCGAGTACGGTCATGGCACCTGTATGGCCGACCTTGCGGTTGGCAAGATCAACGGTGTTGCAAAGGACGCTGAAATTACTGCCGTTCAGGAAGACACTAGAACCGGTATCGCTCACACCTTCCCAATGGAACACATGATAGACGGTATGAGCAAGGCACTTGACGACATTGTTATGCGCGCAGGTCCTAGCGTCGTGTTGATGGCTTTTGATTTCAGAACTGAGGACAACGAGCCCTTCCGTATCTTCGACGATGCTTTCTCACAGATCCTGGCAAAAATGGATCAAATTGGTGTTTCGCTTGTGACCAGTGTACCATCGGTGTTGATATGTCCGGGGCCACCATGCTCTTACGGCAATCCTGGTAGCCGTAATTACATTCCAGATCTTATCACTGTGGGCGAGGGCAATATCTTGGACGGCGCGTATGGTACCGAAAACCCTAGCGTACGTACACCTTGGACGACACTTTACGCTCCAGGTAGCGATTCAGATGAGAACGGTGAAGGTCCGGGTATTCTTTGCGCAGATCCAAAGGACAACAACGCGAACAATGACTGGCACCAATCCGGGACATCGCACGGTAAGTACCCATCCCAGCCACGCAAAACAAGAACTAACGTGTCAAACCAGCTAGTGCGCTCGTTGCCGGCCTCATGGCATACTACAGAGGTCTCGGTCTTGACAAGGCCGCAGCTCGACAAACACTCCTCGGAAATACGTACGCGAGAGTCTCGGACGGACCTTTGATGCCTTGGAACGGCTACACGGGTTCCTAACCCATCGGCAATCGTTACGCAGCGTGTCTGCTTCACAAGCAGATGGCAAACAACCATTTTGTACACAAGTGGAGGAAGACGCCATTCACTTCGAATGATTGAATGGGGAGCAAAGCGCTGTTTTGACTGAACTACGAGCTCGTCATGGACGATCGTGCTACCCTTGATTAACAATACACTACACGTTTCCATCTAATACAATCTCCATTCACGAAACCTTGTAGTCTTCGTTTTCGTCTCTTTCGACCGAGCCTGAGGGTGATATACTTCCCTATATAAACACTTTGTAAAGATTGTGAGCGACAACCCGTGGCTTGTACTGGTCTCATCGTGACACGACTTTGCGCGACGAAAATCACTACAAGTAGCAACGCAACTCAATTACTGTCGATGGGCGAGTACAAGCGAGAGAATGTAAATCATTCTACCAACGGAAGGATGCCTCCCATCGGGACTATCATCCCTTCTTCAAGAAGAACAAACTATACGACGTACCAATTTTTCTCTATATTGTATCATCTTTTCATCTGCTGTTGCTTTCGTGTCAACCATCTCTTCGTCAACATCTGTACAGCGTCCACTATGGTGCGACGACATCTCCTCGTGGTGGTAACCTGCAACGAGCAGTCTTTCCGTTAAGTCATCCTTCAGTCCTCGTGACAGACATGTTGAGCTGGCATGCGAGCAGGCTCGAGTCACTCTGATCGCTGTATATCTCACTGTCTTTCTAGGCCTCCATTTACTCGTGTGGCACAGATGACTGTTCGATCTGATCCCTGAAACTCTCAATACTTCCACTCTTCAGCTCCTCTTTGTGATCGATGTCCACCTCTTCCGCAACGGCTAATTTCACAGCCGGTTCCTCCCTATCGGAGGTCGGGAAAGATTCAAGGCTAGACTCGGTACTAGACGGAAAGTCATCGCTGGCATTGAGCAGAAAGCTTTCCATGCTAGTCGTCGGTTGTAATTCGTTTGCTGCTGTTTCTCTAGCTTCATCGCCCTAGATGAAGTCGGCAGAATATGAGAAGCCTCGGAACTCTTCTTGATGCGCCGCAGAAAGAACTAGAATGGTGTCAGTAGTGCTCATATACATAAATCAAAAACTTGATTGTAAACTTACCACTCTGTACTGGTGTCAATACTGGAGTGACACTAGTGAATTCCGAGTCAAAGTTACTGGTATCCTTGGCATCCTTGATCTGAGGCTTGTAGGGTGTCGGCACTCGCTTGTTGTAGATATCGTCCCAGTCTACTCCCTTGAAGAACGGATGCTCCATAATCTCTTCAGCATCTCGTCGGCCACTTCCCAATCGCAGTTCTGGTTCTCGAGTGAGCAGCTTTTGCAGGATCGAGACACTGTCGCGTGGCATGTGAATTGGGTATAATGGTTCGTCGGCTAGAATAGCGTCGTAAATTTCATCCTCGTCCTCACCACGGAAAGGTGACTGTTGCAATAACATCTGGTAGATCAACACGCCAAAAGCCCACCAATCTACTGCACGACCGTATTTCTTATCCAACAGTATTTCAGGAGCCATGAACTCAGGCGTGCCGCAAAATGTCGATGTTGTGCTGCCGAACCACATATTCTCTTTGCAAAGACCATAATCGGCAATCTTGATGTGCCCATCAAGCGTCAATAGAATATTGTCGAGCTTCAAATCACGATAGATCACACCATTCTCGTGGAAATATTTTAACGCCAGACAAACTTCTGCTGCATAGAATTGGGCTCGCTTAAGACCGAATTGTCCTCTCTGAATGTGCAACATCAAGTCACCACCAGATATGTACTCCATGACGAAGTAAACTCTTGTTTCTGTCTGAAAACAGGCGTGTAAGTTGAGCAAAAATGGATGCCGTTCCTTGTTTGCTATCAAGAAGACCCGCTTCTCGGATTTTGTCGATTCAACTTCATCGTTTTCAATGATAAATTCCTTCTTGAGCACTTTGATAGCATAGAGCTTTTTGGAGCTCTTGGCCTCAGCCAACATAACTTTGCCAAAGTTACCCTTACCCAGCACGGCTAGGAAATTGAAATGGTCAAGACCGATTCTTGGCCCCTTTGAAGCTGGAGCCGAATCTGCTTTGACGACTTGCTGTTGTGGAACCTGTGGCCTTGGTTGAGCTTGCTGCTGATGACTTGGTGGATACTGTGGTGCAGCAGGTGATTGTGGAACCTGCGCAGGACGCGCTTGTTGCATGATGGCTTGCTGTTGCTGTTGTTGTTGAGCTCGATTGTAACTGGCATATGCACCGGGGTCGTAAGCGGCATGCTGTGGTGGCTGTTGCTGCTGCGGTGATTCCGTTCGTGGAGGCCGAGCGTTCGCGTATCGATCGGGTGCATGTTGAGAACCGTAGTTCGAGTAACTTTGTGATGTCTGAGATGGAGGTCGCATCGAGGAGGTTGCCGCTGCTATGGCTGCGTTCGACGTAGCTGTCTTCTGCATGGCTGGCCTCTGCTGCTGCTGAGGTGGAGGTTGTGGGGCGGGGCTTTGAACAGATTGTGTAAACATGTTTTGGGCGGCCGTGACAGCCAGGTCCGAGGGCTTTGGAGACTCCTCATATGATTGTTTGCCGGGAGATGCTATGGTGGTCGAGCCGTCGGAGATGAAGCTTTGTGTGGGTGACTGAGGTCCTGGTCGTTGTCGTAGTGTTCTGTTCGATAGACCCGAGCTCACTGAAGAAGACTTGTTGTGTTGCTTTGTCCGCTGAATCGTTTCGAGAATCTCATTAGCTACTATCATTGACATACCACAGAAGTCAGGTACGAGGTGTTGACATTGTGCGTGGCAGGTGAGACCACATTCGTTGCACTTTTTCGCGTTCTTGCGACCAATTGGTAACAAATAGCCACAATGGCAGCACCAGTTCGCTCCGATGTTGGAGAAATTCTCGAAGCGATGTGGTATGCGGTGATTTATCTTTTCCTCGTCCGGATCTGTTTCGTAATTTGCTTTGCTGATACATTTGGTGACGACTTTCGGGTAACATTTCGTATGGCATGTATACTTGCAATCTTCGCACTGCATACCAGCCGAATACTTGAGCAGGTCTCCACAGAGAGCACAGCGCATGACGTTGTAAAATTGTTGCTTGACAAACTTGTGGCCCTGCTTCTCGTGTACCTCCTCTTTCTTCTGTCGAACAGCACCCTGTCGATTGAGACCAATGTCGAAGGGTCGTCGCTGGCCAGTGTGCTTTTGAAAACTCATTGAAAGGTGTATGCGGCCCGCGGGTTCAAGAGAGAACCAGGAATCGATCATTGCGGGCTGAGCATGCTGTGGCATGCCTGCAGCTGGTCCAGCACTAGCACCATCACCTGGAGGCATATGGGGAGCTTGTGTTGGTGGAGGTGCAAATTCACCACTGCCACCGTTGCCCATCTTGTCAGCGGTTACCCAGTTTCCTTGTTGGAGCTCAGCTTCGATCCTCTTTCTTCTCATCTCTTCGGCTATATCTGATATGCGAATCCAAAGGAAAGCGATGGGGGTAGGTCTATCGCCTGATTTATCATAAACCGTGAGTTCAATCTCGTTAGCTTTATCGATATCAATGGTGAATATCTCGTCCATCCATCTATCGTTCCTTGTGGCTCGAGTCTTGGCGCGAACATTGTCCTCGACTTTCATGATGATGAAGGTTTCTGGACCACGGGAAAAGCGAGAGGATGCTGCATGATCCACGTCACGGATAGCATTGATTCGCATCTCCAGATGACCGGAGAGAGGCTTTCTCATATTAGGAGCATTCAAACTGTCGTCATCGCCTTCGACCGAGTCATCGATGCCGACATGAAGATCCATATAGCGCTTCAGAGCCTGTTTCAGCAACTGCACCTTTTGGTTGCTTTCAATACGTCGACCTTCAGCGTCTGCCCTACTCTTTCGGTCTCCTTCGTCTTGATATAGCCGCACCATCTTCTCTATACCAGCCTTGTATTGTTTTTCCACACTGAGCTTGAATTCAAGTTGCGACAGCATGAGCTGAATCTTTGGTCCCAGGTATGGAGTGTCATACTTGATGAGATCTAGCTTGTGTCAGTGCTTAATTTCAGACAAGGGTAGAAGTGCAACTTACCTAGCTTTGAGAAGTTGGGTCGTGCCTTGGGTATGGGAACATTGTACGGTCTTGGATCGCCATAAGGAGCACGAGGCGGCATCATTCCTGTACCTCCTTGGCTGTAACCGCCAGGACCCGGGTCACCATAATCACCAGAATCTTGATAGTAGCCTGAACGCTCTTTTGGAGGCGGGGTGGGCCCAGAGTCCATACCGGAACCTGGCAAAGGTTTCCTCTGAGTTGAGGGCGTGCCATAACCATGGGCTGGTGGTGGAGGGGCGCCATCGTTGACTTTGCGTATCTGCAGTTTCCTCAACTGCTCCTCCAAATATGCAATGTTTCTCTTGCCATCTTTGATGTTGCTATCGGCTCTAGCCTGTACTGCAGCGTTATTTGTGGACTGTCGCATGTGCGTTGCGCCATTAATCAGAGCCTTCTCTCGATCGATCTTCCGCTGTACTTCCGTTATCTGGAGATCGGTATCTGCCATAGCGATGGCGCAGGAAGACTTTTGAGTGAGAATAAGACGGTGCTGCTGCTAGAGAGGCAATCCTTACTCGACGGTTGTAGGGAGAAAAGGTGGCTTAGTGCCTCAACGCAGTGGTTGAGAGACTGTCGGACATCTGTGTTTTCGGCTGACGATGACGAAGTGGAAGTGGAGGAAGCGGTGGTCACGATACAAAGGAATCTCACCCACGACTGTCACGTAGTCGGATGTCCAAGACCATACAGGCAGACACTTAGACCAACATGAGGTCTTTACTGTGGCCAGCGATAGTGGTAATAGTGTCGTGTGAGGTGAGGTAAGAATATGCTTGGGCAGCCGAAGGTGAATGCACGATTGATCGATCGTCCACTGCCTTTCACGTGGGTCCTGAAAGGTGATTCAAAACCATTCCCGGCGTCCGCAATAGCCTGACTGGCGTATAAGTTCCGACGGAAAAGTGACAAATACCACCAATAGTTGTTCACAGTCTCAAGTCTATAAGTTCAGAAATGGCAAGTACAAAGAAGCTATAGAACTGGCCATGAACAGGAGGAGCAGCGTGTTTCCAACATATCGACATTGGTTTTTCGAGCCTCAGGCTTTACACAAGCGGGGTATACCCAAACAGCTTGCCTAAGGCAGGTGTGATAAACATGCGTGATCCTGGTTTCCCAGAGTTCCAGCCCTGGTCGCAATAATGGAGTATCTGAGTAGCACAAAGATTGCCCTGTCAACAAGCCGATCATACCAAACAGATGCAGGATATGACCTGCTCCGGCATTTAGAGTCTAGGCGGGAGATATCTTCCCAAGCAGCCGCTGATTGTGTCTACGTGATGCTAGCTTGCTAATTAGAGAAGTAACTTTTCGCAGAAAAATGAGACCTCCCTCTTACTACGCAATGTCGTTGCATGGATGGTCAGATTTACCAGCATCTAACTATGGCTTGTCGAGCATTCAACAAGCTCTTAAGCAAGAACTGGTATGGAAATCTATCTTTGAGGCTACTTGAGCCTTGAGACCGAGGGCTTAGGGCGGGTACAAGTAGCTTAGCAGCACGACTGCATTCAAAGTCGACACTCGTATAGAGGAGAGTCGAAACAGCAAGGCTGAATTGAGATGTAGAAGATGTATCACGATTCGACGTGGCTCCTGGAAAAGAACCGATCGCTGAGTTCCTAGCCTAAGCTTCTCAATGCGCACAGACTATCCACCTATAGACTGAAGACTTGAGCTATGAACTGAGCGAGAAAGTTGAAAAAAGATTTAAACGACGTTCCTTGCTGTCCTGACTGATCTCTTCTCATAACGAGGTCGGTGTGCTGAAAGTGGTGTAGGCGTGCAGCAAGCGTCGAAACTCGGAGTGAAGGGCATGGAATGCCTTCACGTAAACAAGCCTGCATCACGTCAAAGGTTGCGTGCTGAGACAATCAAGCGTCGTAACATGGCAGCACGTAGTATTCTTCCTTTCGGTGACAATTCTGGATGTGTACAACACGTTCAGACAGCAAAGTATCGAAAGCTGGAGAAGCAACCAATGAACAAGTCGGGGATAAGCCGACACGAGCTCCGCGAAGCAGTGAGAAAACTCCGTAGAGTTTTGAATCCCTGCCTCCATCTTTTCTCGCGATTTTTGATGGCGCCATTGACACCTTACCGAATCAGAACGTGTAGAATGACGAGACTCGCTGGTAATCTCATAAATTTTTAGAAGACTCTGATCGAGGCCAGATTCGCCGCTGAGCGGAGCATAGGATCATGAACGCTAAGAAGAGCGTGTTGCCATGCTAATAATATTAATCGTAACTGAATTGTCGTCGTCGTTCTCTTTTGTAACTGCTCATCTCATATACTAATCACAGCCATACTCTTGTCGGCGAGCTCGAGGTTTTTCTACCGACAGCCGAAATGGGCTCTATCAGCAGCCCTGCCGAAGCAGGTATGTTTCGTGCCCCTCTAATCGCATTTCCTCGTTGCTGACGGATTGGCCAGTGGCAAGAATTGCCTACCTTACCAGCGATGTTGTTATTTCTGTTCAGCCATCCTTGACCGTCGATTCGGAGTTTTCGCACTACCTGAATCAATATACCAGCAAACAGATTAAAAACCTAACATCGAGAACGATACCCGACATTCAGCGACATCGACAGAATGCCGACCCTCTTTTGTCAGCATACAAGCCTCTGCAGGAGGGCAAGCTCGTCTCTGCGACTACGTCTTCTGCTGTTCTTCTGAACTCGATCCCTCACCTCTACAAGCTAGCTCAGCAACCCATCGTCCTACACGTGGCTTTGGCTACATCTCAAGCAGATTTCTCAGACATCAGCTCCATACGGCAGTGTGGCTTTACCTTTTTACAGTCGGAAACTCTTCAAGATGCACAAGATATGGCTATTACAGCTCATGCTCTTGCTGTAAGGAGTGGCAAGGGTGTGGTGCATTTCTTCGATCCTTCAAACTCCCTGAGCGATACCCCAATCGCTCCAGAAAGCCGTGATGTGCTACAGACTCTGTTCTCCAAATACATTCCCGGCCGACCGCAGAACGAGGAGGACGAATACTTGTATGTTGACTCTGGAAGGATTGCTACTACTGCAGACCTGCCTGTGTCAGGTGTTTCACCAAACCAATCCAGCACAACATCCCTTCTGCAATCTCAAGCAACAAGAGACGTCTCTCCAACTGCTGGCACAACTGAGACTGCTTCAAGCGTCTCTTCTCGCAGACACAGCAGCACCGATAGTTTGCCGACCTCGTCCGCTGGCACTAGCGTTGACGCACCCGTTGCTCGGCCAGTTACGGCCTCTGATATTTTCTCGTATGTGACTGATATCTGGTCTGTATTCAAGGAGTTGACTGGTCGCGAGTATTCTGCTGTCGAGTACTCCGGTCCACCAGCTGCCGAAGCTGCTATTTACATCTTCGGTTCAACCGGTGTTTTTGTCGACGTCTTGGACAGCGATGATTGCCCAGCCGATCTATCGAACGTTGGTATTATTACTGCGAGGTTGTATCGACCATGGCTTGGTGCTTCCGTGTTGCTCGATGCAATTCCAAAAAGCATTAAGAAGATTGCTGTCTTGGAGCAGCTGCGCCGAAAGACTACGAAGTGGGGCCCATCCTTCATGGATATTCTGTCCAGTCTCAATGCAGGAGCCAATGGTCAGAATCAGATTGCGATTGTTCAGTACAGACTTGGCCAGATAGACGCCGCAACCGCTGCTCAAGCACTTCGAGGTATTTTCCAGAACTTGACACCTGCAGTCTTTCCCAGGTCACATCAGAAGCGAAGAGGACACAGCAGAGCTGCATCCCTGCCGATTCAGAATCTCAGTATTGGCCACGAAACCACCCCTACAGCTGTGGATCTAGGTGCCGAGCAGCCAGAAGCTGAGAATGCTTATTTGAAAATACTCAATCAGCTGTTCGGAGACAGGCTATACATTGCCAACCAGGCCAAAGCCAACAACGCTGGTATCTCCGCGTCCATTGCTGCTAGCCCAGAATATGGCTTCGGTTCGTTGTTAGCAAGGATCGAGCACAGAGAAAGGTTTGTGCAAGAAGTGCAGCAAGCTGCCACAAGCAAGCAATTCATCACAGATGCTCCTAAGCAGTGGCTGGCGAGGTGGGCTTTGAGTGCCGAAGACTCTGCTAAGTCGAATCAGAACGCAGCTGAAGTCATTCCTAGATTGGCCAACGATGGCTCGTCGCTTGCGAGCAGCTTACTTGACAACAAAGCTCTGTTCTACAAGGAGTCACAGTGGTTGATCGGCTCGGATGCCTGGGCGTATGATCTTGGCAACTCTGGTGTTCACCATGTGCTACAGTCAGGCGCCAATATCAACATGCTCATTCTTGACACACAGCCGTACTCGGAGCGTGCGGTCGTTGATGCCACAAGGAGAAAGAAAGACATTGGACTGTATGCTATGAATTATGGCAATGCTTACGTGGCATCTACAGCTGTCTACAGCTCTTACACTCAAGTCCTCCAGGCAGTGATCGAGGCAGAGCAGTTCAACGGCCCTTCAGTCGTGCTCGCCTATCTGCCATACAACAAAGAAAACGATTCACCCCTGACTGTCTTGCAAGAGACGAAGAAAGCCGTTGATCTTGGTTTCTGGCCTCTTTACAGATGGGATCCTTCGAATGAGAAGAAGGGTGAACCAACATTCAATCTCGATTCTGAACGAATCAAACAAGAGCTTGAGCAGTTCTTGCGCCGGGACAACCAGCTGACCCAGGTCATGAACAGACATCCCCAGTTCGCTGCACACCTGTCAGAGTCATATGGTTCTGAGGTCAGAAAAATGCAAAAGAGACGTGCTAAGAGTGCTTACGAAGCTTTGTTGGATAGCATGCAAGGCGCACCTTTAACAATTCTTTTCGCTTCGGACAACGGTAATGCTGAAGGTCTTGCCAAACGACTTGCCAAGCGAGGCAAAGCTAGGGGTCTGAAGACCATGGTCATGGCAATGGATGAGTATCCTATTGAGGACTTGACCTCCGAAGAGAATGTGGTGCTGATGACTTCTACCGCTGGTCAAGGCGAGTTTCCCCAGAATGGTCGTGCATTTTGGGAAGCTATCAAGGATGCTACGGATATGGATCTCAGCAATGTGCACATCACGGTCTTTGCTCTTGGTGATTCTCACTACTGGCCAAGGAAAGAGGACAAGATCTTTTACAACAAGCCTGGAAAAGATTTAGATGTACGAGTACAAGCATTGAACGCAAAGACTCTAACGCCACTCGGACAAGGAGACGACCAGGATCCAGATGGTTTTCAGACTGGCTATCAGGAGTGGGAACCACGTCTCTGGCAAGCACTCGGCGTTGCTAATGTTGAAGGACTACCAGAAGAGCCTCCACCAATCACAAACGAAGACATCAAGATCGAATCGAACTATCTTCGTGGCACAATTGCAGAGGGTTTGAAGGATGTGTCAACTGGCGCTATCTCTGCCTCCGATCAGCAGCTCACGAAGTTCCACGGCACATATATGCAAGATGACCGTGACCTCAGAGATGAAAGGAAGGCACAGGGTCTTGAGCCAGCATACTCCTTTATGATTCGATGCAGATTGCCAGGCGGTGTGGCTACTCCATCGCAATGGTTGCAGATGGATGCGCTTGCTGGTGCTCATGGCAACCAGACTATGAAGCTCACTACCAGGCAGACATTCCAGTTCCACGGAGTCATCAAATCTCAACTGAAGCCAGCTATGCAGGCCATCAACAAAGCACTGATGACCACACTCGCTGCATGCGGTGACGTTAACAGAAATGTCATGTGCTCGAGCCTGCCAACCATGTCAGAATACCATCACGACGTACATGCCGTATCCCAGAAGATCTCGGATCATCTGTTGCCGTCGACATCTGCCTACCACGAAATTTGGCTCAAGGACGATGCCACTGGCGAGAAGACCCAGGTCGCTGGTGATGCAGTACAAGACTTCGAGCCTATGTACGGACCAACTTATCTTCCTCGAAAGTTCAAGATAACCATTGCCATCCCTCCACACAACGACACAGATGTCTATGCTCACGACGTTGGCCTCATTGCTATCAAATCAAAAGAGACGGGTCGGCTCGCTGGCTTTAACATTCTTGCAGGTGGTGGTATGGGTGTCACGCACAACAACAAGAAGACATACCCACGAACTGGCTATATGATGGGCTATGTTCCTGCAGACAAGGCACATCTTGTGTGCGAGAAGATCATGCTTGTTCAGAAGGACCATGGTGATCGAAAGAACCGAAAGCATGCTCGTCTGAAGTATACAATGGACGACATGGGTAACGAGGTCTTCAAGGCCAAAGTCCAGGAGCTACTCAACCCTCTGGACATTAAGTTTGAGGCTCCGGAACCTTTCAAGTTTCAGTCGAATATCGACACTTTCGGGTGGCAGAAGGATGAGAAGGGCTTGAATCATTTCACGTTCTTCATTGAAAACGGCCGTGTCGAAGATACAGCTGATTTCCCTATGCGAACTGGTTTGAGAGAGATTGCCAAAACTCACAAGGGCGAATTCCGATTGACAGGTAACCAGCACCTATGCTTGTCTAATGTTGCAGACGAGGACAAGGAAAGCATTGCTGCTTTGATGAAGCAGTACAAGTTGGACAACACCAAGTTTTCTGGTATGCGACTAAGCTCGTCCGCTTGCGTGGCGTTTCCGACTTGCGGTCTTGCTATGGCAGAGTCCGAGCGTTACTTGCCGGTCCTGATTACTAAACTTGAGAAGTGTCTGGAAGACAACGGTCTTTCACAAGACTCAATAGTGATGAGAATGACAGGATGTCCTAACGGTTGTGCTCGACCTTGGCTTGCAGAAGTCGCCTTTGTCGGTAAAGCCTACGGTGCATATAATATGTACCTTGGTGGAGGATACCATGGACAGAGACTCAACAAGCTATACAAATCGTCCATCATGGAGGAGGAGATTCTAGAGATCATGAAGGATCTGCTTTCGAGATATGCTAAGGAGCGCAAGGAAGGAGAGCACTTCGGTGACTGGACCATTCGCTCCGGTGTCATCAATGAAACAACAGAAGGCAAATACTTCCACGATAATGTGGCTGAGGAGGAAAGTGACGCGGAATAAACAGATTCGGTGTCTGTATTACTGTGGGTGGATGATTATGTTTGCAAACAGTGTGTTTTAGCGTGCATGGAGGGAGTTCTTTGTTTGTTTTCTAAACCAACGTTCGACCCAAATCGAAATGGTTGTCTACGTGAGTGCCTTCGAAATAGTCGGCAATAGTCTAGAGTGATACAATTTGATCACCTTTGAAAAGTAAGTGCCAGCTGAGAAAGTTTCTGTGTAATGTGAAAATGCACAGAAGTGACTCCCTTATGTAATCATGGTTGCCAAGCTCCATGTTCCTGCACCTTGTGGACCTCCACTCTTGAAGAAGGCCCCTTCCCCACTCAAGCGCCATATCTCCAAAAGATTTATTTTCCGAAATGGATGTTCCAACATGTCTATTCCGGGTCTTGATCAGGATGAACCTGAGGAGGACATTGTCCGAAGTCAGGCAGGACAGGTGAAACTGTTCGAGCTGAAGAAAGAACAGGAATGGAGGTTCGAAGTTGCGCTTGGGCGCACCATTGAGGTGAAAGTACGTTTGAGAATAGACGATCACCTGCGTGGACAGGACTAACACATCTTTCACAGATCACCCAAGGTACAGCCGAGCTTTTTGGCACAGAGCTTGTACTCGGCAAAGCCTACACCTTCCTTGCGACGAAAGCAGCCATCTACACCTGGATAGGATGTATGATCGAAGTGACCTACGAACCAGGCGCTCTAGCGAGTGAATACGTGGCGGAAGAGACAAACGCAACCGAATACATCAACATCCACCTCGCCCTTGAATCGATAAGAAACAAAGACGCGACCGCGCCGAGATTGCTGATTCTTGGACCGGAAAATGCGGGCAAAACGACACTTGCAAAGACCTTGACTGGGTATGCCATTCGTAATGGACGTTCGCCGGTTGTCGTCGGACTCGATCCTACAGAAAGCATATTGAGTATGCCAGGAACTCTGACTGCGACAGTATTCAAGACACTCATTGAGGTCGAAGCTGATGCCGGTAGTGGTTGGGGCACAAGTCCGATGAGTGGTCCTAATGGCGAAATCCCTGTCAAACTACCATTGGTGTACTATTTCGGTGGTATGGATCCATCTGAAAAGAATGGAAGACTTTACAAATCACAAGTTGCGCGACTGGCACTTGCTGTGGAAGGTAGAATGAAGTCAGCTGGCCAGGAAGAGATTGAAAGAAGTGGAATTATCGTGGATACCCCTGGCAGCCTTCTGTCTGCGAAACAAGCAAGCAATAACTATGAACTTGTGGCACATATCGTCAGCGAGTTCTCAATAAACGCCATAATCTGCCTTGGCAGTGAGCGACTGTACAATGACATGGTTCGCAAATTCGATAAACAACCCACCAGTGGCTCTGGTCGAGCATCCGGTACAGGCAACCCTCAATTGATCTCAGTCATCAAATTGTCGAAGTCAGGTGGGGTAGTCGATCGAGACGCAACGTATATGCGAGCTGTAGCAGAGGCACAGATACGGTCCTACTTCTATGGAAACCCAAAAGTCGGTGCAAGTATATCTCTCCAACCTCGACAGCAGCAAGTCGATTTCAATAGCCTGCCTACTGTTTGGCGCCGGATATCGTCCAATTCACACTCTTACGGGAACCCTTTCTCGAGCACGAACAACGAAGACAGTTTCCTGCCTGGCGGTCTGGACGATTCTGAATACGCTCCTCCACAAACAATCCCGTCTATCTCTGTCCCACTGCCTGAGAATCAGCTCTACGAGAAACTTGCCTCACCAGTCCCAGCACTTCGAAACTGTGTGTTGGCAGTGATGAATTGTTCACCAGATTCAGATGAACAGGAGACTTTAAGAGATAGTTCTTGTATGGGTTTTCTTTACGTGACGGATGTGGATTTGGAGAAAGGAAAGATCAACTTGTTGAGTCCTGTGGCCGGACGTGTTCCCAACAGAGCCTTGGTCTGGGGAGAAGGAATGGAAGGTGTGCTAGGGGTAGTCGGCTAGAGCTGGCTATGCCTCAAGAACATTATCAGTGGTTATGCGACCACAGCGAGTCGTTATACCGTTAAACACTTTGTCCTCCTGTAAGCAATAGCTTATTACCCTTCCTCCACTATTACCTTTTAGCATGTAAAACATGACGTACATAGTCTGATGCTGGTGACGTCTAAGCAGAACGCTATTCCTCCACATGTTAACCTGAAAGCTCTATATAGCAGCTTACAATATCACGCCAAGATTCTGCCAGTTCTCTAATCCCTGCAAAACCTTCACTCATCTGAGCAAAGAAAGATCACGAAAAGAACAAGAAGAACATACCTCAACACAACAAAAACAATTGCAACCAACAACTCTAAACTTACAAGCACAAACAACCATGTCGAACCTCATCAACAAAGTCAAAGATGCAATTCACAACCACGATGATCCTAACGTCCCCAGTAGCACTAGCCAAACCAATACTAACACCAACAGCCAAACGTCAACGACAACACAAATGGGTCAAGGCTTCAGCAACACAATCGCCGGACACGTGGATAACGACCCTGGCGACGTTGGCTTGAATAGATCGCAGGGACTGGCTGCGCGAGATGTCTCGGAGGAGACGTTGAGGGCTGGAAATGGGGAGGTTGTAGGAGGACGGGGCGGGAAGTAGAGACCAGGATGAATAAGGGGTTGGAGATGAGGAGAGGGGAGAAGGGGTTGTGATGGACGAGTTGAGCATTAGATCGCTGTAAAAGCGGGCTTATATGATGGTGACATTTGTTGTTAGAAGAGCTCACTCAGTCATGAGGTGATAGACTTGTCTGCCAAGTTGACATTGAAGAAGATAGAACAGTATTGAGTTGTTATGCATTGTTGGCATGGTATGTGATTGATAAACCATGGGTAGTTATTTAGGCTTTTTGAGCCGTTCTTGTGAGTCTCTTTTCTCATTCCGAGTCTTCTGGAATTCCGAGGGATTTTGCGGGTTTTCGCAAAACCCTAAGAACATCCTTTCACCAACTGTCTTCGTTAACAGTCTTCTGTATTGCCATCTATCTCATGTTGAGAAAACAGTCAGGATGCCTGCATGAACGCTTATGAAACGGCTATGGTTATCAATGGCATATTGGTTGTTTATTGTCTCGATGCATCTTTACCAAAACCATGTAATCACATAGTCGACATGGCTCGATCCCTCGTGACCAGCCTAATATACAAGTCTAATACCAAATCACAACAAAGCTGCCAGTCCAATCACACCCAATCCGAGAGCCTGTTGCATACCTCCCACGTGTGTCGCGACAGCAGCCGCTCCCGCCGATGATGAATTCGCTGCGCTTGCAGCCACACTGCCGCTGCTTGTCTGTCTGCTAAGACTGCTACTTGCGCTGCTCACTGCACTGCTTGCGCTTGCACTCGCTGCACTCGCTGCACTGGAAATGGAGCTGCTTGCGCTACTATCTGTCGCAGTCGAGATTGCTGAGGATAGACTGGAAGACGCGCCGGCTGCGACTGACGAAGCGCTAGAGGCGATGGAGGAGACAGCGGCGGAGGCGGAAGAGAGTTGGCTTGAGATGAGAGAGGATGCGGATGCTGGGTCGGTGAGGCTGGGTCCAGCGGTCACGATCTCTGTAGATACGATCGACTGAGTAAAGGTGGACGGGACAAGGGCGAGGAGAGTGAAGAGGAGTGCTGATGTTGGCTTCATAGTTGCTGAAGATTGCTTCCTGAAGGAAATGGTCGAGTAGTGGAGTAGAGGACGTCGACTAGAGAACTTCAACTGCTCGTACGAGATCAAGTTCTCTCCTAATGTTTCTGCTGCGCAAATTAATAGACAGGGAACAGCTGAGTATCTTTCAGATCAAGCCTCTGATATAAGTAGATAGCTTCACTTCCTGCCATCGTCACTACACTCGCATAGATAAACCAGATAGACGAGCACGCCAAGCTCCAGGAACGAGTGATCTGACTGCATCAAGACAGCACGATGGCTCGTTATCTCAGTTCGATAACCATTATGGTTATACAATTGGCCAGCGAGATGAACGCCCAGATTCGATGCTCATTTTAAGACGTGTTAGAGTACGATAGCAGGAACGAAGGTTGCTGATCGCGGCTTGGGCTGACGTCATGAATTGACGGTCGTGTGCTCTTGAACGAGCGCTGGCAGCAGAAGGGTACCCGAGTATCTGTATACTTTGTTTTCTTGTTGTGAAGATGAGTCAGTCACAGGTACTGCATAGGGTCTATCAGTTGCTGCGGCAGATATCTATGAACTGGTAGTGATTAGAGAATGTGTAGAGAACAATTAAAAATCAAAGTCATAGACTTCAGTCACCTCAATGCAGCATACGAAACCATAGGTGTAGACCGCCTGAAACCAGTGCCTGAAGATGACTCCAGGCATACCTATTTGTAGTACTTGGACTAAGTTGAGCCCTAAGTTGAGCATTGGGATATAATGAACTGCATGGTAGTGAAGCCTGCTCCATGCCAATAGCTATGGGAACTGGGGAGAAAAAAGAAAGAGAGACAGAACTCGCGATCCATCTGTGCCTGCGTAATCTGCACTTTCGTCCGCAGCATTGCCATCGACAACAATAACAGCAACCAAGGGTCACCGCCTAAATGTAAAGTATCGTCGTCCCACAGTGAGAGTTGCCCTAGGTCTTGCTCTTTCCTGCCTTGCTTCCTCAATCATGCTGTCCATGGTCTGAAATCTAAGCCTTCGTCGTCGGAAGAATGCTGCTTCTCGAAGACCGAGGTGGCCGACCTTGGAGAAGTACGAATCATCTGCGCACGCCGGACCTTCAGACGTGGTGAGCTCGTCTTTAGTGGACTGTGACGGCTGTGGTTGCAGGAAGAATTCTTTGATGGGTGTATCTAAGAGTTCACGGTATGTTGTGCGCCGTATCAGTTTCGCGTTGAGAACCTCGTCCTGTCCAGTTTATTTTGTGTCAGTACTGTCTTTCACGGAAGAAAAGAGTGGAAGGCAATGTTAGAGCGGTGTGCTTACATCGTGCTCCACTTGGCCGCGGTTATTAGGAGATCGATCAGTTGCTGTCAATCTTTCCCAGTGAAAAGGCATGTCACCTGGTCGCCTGTTGTATTGTACATGTTGAGCGACAAGGTAGTCGTCAACCCCACGACCTTGAAAGCTCCAAGGCGGGCCCCTTGCGGCAGGCAATATCAATCGATTGAGCTTGGGATGACGAAGAACGAGGTAAGACATGAAACGTAGCTTTGGTCGCCTGGGACTAGCGACGAGTGCGTCCTCGGTAGGCCGGTAGAATGTTGTATTTATCCGCAGTTGCGAGAAGATCTTGAGGTAGGTTAGCAATGGCATCTGATTGCACAACAACGACAGAACAGGCGGCCAGTGTCGTTGTCTGCTCAATAGTACACCTGTAGGGATCAGCGTCGTCACATGAAGCAGAATTGCTTGGATTGATGAGTACTTGCCATCCTTGTTTAGCTCTAGTTGCTGAATCATTCCGCAGTTGAGCAAGTCCAACCTTCGCTGTTGTCTGACCAGCATGATACTGTTCGGTATCCAGCTCTTGTCCTCCAGGACAGTCCGTGTGCCACAGTACTCGAAGAGTTCCGACCTGATCTGATGACAGCTTAGCATAAAGGGCATGATCTTCCGGTCGAGGATGATCGGATTTGAGCCGGTGGTGTGGAAGACGTTCAAGCAGTCAAGGTCCCGCCGACCGAGACGACTGAGTGGTCGAAATCCGTCGTGTCTAGAAGTTCCAAGAATGAAGTCGTAGATCATATGTCGTATTTCGATTGGAAGGCTAAGAAGAGGCTGTTGTTTTGTCAGCAGGATATAAGCCCAAGCTAACAAATCATCCTACACTCGGCCGCAGCGAAGCAAACACAAAGCCAACCTGATATGGCCCTAACGCAGGAACCAATGGCATGACGCTCATCTGGCTACTTCGTTCTTCTTGGTTTGTGTCTGGGCTCTCCCCTGTGTTCGTGGTCAACCAATGTATTGAGGACTCTTCTCTATGGTGCAAGGAGAACACGAATGCAAGAGGATAGGACAGTATGAGTGGAAAGATCTCCTGTACTTAATCATTGGTTGTTCTTGTGCAAACATGCTTGCTGTATCTTGCTAGAAGAGGTGCCAACGTTCTACTGCCTCCTTGTATATTCTTATCGTCTTATTGCCCTTAAGGTTCACTTTTCATTGTCCAAAAGACTTCGTTTACAGCGTGCTTCAGGCTTCCGACGACAGATGGTCAAAAACACGTGTTTGTAGTAGTCACTGTTGTTCTGTCAGATTCTGGAGCCGGTCAGGCCAGTAGAACAATGATACCTAGTCATCAGCACTCTGCCAATTCGCTAAGCCGTCGCCCTGCCTCTCTTGCCAGGCGTTGTGCGTGGACCGTTGACCAAAGGACTACCATGATGAAGCCTGTGATGAAGCATGTAATGCCGCAAACTGCCAGAAGAATCGGAACAAAAGCGAAGGCCGCAATCATTACACATGGCACGATGATCCAGAACTTGAGGAAGAGGTAGGCGAGATAGCAGTATGCACACGTTGCTACTATCAGTTGTGGAGCGATTTCCGATAGTTTGTGTAGCAATCGTTGGAGGAAAGTCGGGAGCATGGGGTATATCGCGTTTCTGATGTGTAATGCGGTGCATATCGTCAAGAAAATAATTTGGAGCCATAGGGGGTGGTCGGATCGTGTCATAGCGAAGTTATCTGTACTGGGTCGCAGAGGGATAAGCAGTGGTATATCCAAATAGAGATTACCTGTTCAGTGTCGACGCAATTACCATGAGGACATGGTAAGACTACTGAGCAGGTATCAGTGAGAAAGTGCTTGCTTCCGAAAGCTGGAGGACCATCTGCAGGAAGCCGCGACTAGACAATAATCTGGCAAATGTGCCTCAAGGCAGTTACGCATCAGGCGCGTTCAGGTTGCTGTCACTCTGTGGGTGCAGCCACAGTCATCACACCACGACCGAAGAACTCACTAACAGTCCCAAATCGATCCGTGCTCCTTTCAAGCTCACGCCTGAAAATGTCGTGCTGGTCTGCGCTCTCAATTTGTACTCTCCTAATTCTCTTTATAGTATCATTCCCAGGTTGGCAAATAGGGCAGTCAGCATCCTCTACACTCACGCCCATCCTAGTGTTCAGACAGCGCTGATGAAAAGAGTGTTTACACATAAAGTGCACGACCGGTAGGTCTAGGCCACCACCACAAGAGCTGCATCTCCGTGCCTGGAACACTATAGGCTTCGTATTGAGTTCTTCAATTTCGTTCTTCTTGGCTGCTGTCTCTGTACGGTAAGAATCGGCTAGACGCCTATTGCTTTGAATCTCTCTACGCTCGCGTGAAATGTTGGTCGCCAAATAATCCTTTACCATCCCCATTGTCATTGCACCGCCTTGCGAGAGGATCTTGACAACTTGAAGCGGCGCCAGAAGCCGTTCTTGATCGATCTTCTGTAGGCAGGTTCCAACCTCTTCTTTGACGCCAGGTTCTGCTATGATCTTGTCGGAGGATGCGAAGTAGGACAATGCCAATACATAGAGTGACAAGTCTTCTTGCCCATACTTTCGAAGTGCTGATATCGCACCTGTCGTGTCCTTGGCGGAAGTGTATGACCGAAATATGTCTGGGTATAGGCTGGCCCTTTCTCGAATAAGCGTTGTGCCGGTGGGAAATCTCGATAAAGATGACAAAAGCAGCACATTCGATGTGTCGATGCTTGGCTCGACCCCAGTATTTTTGACATCACTCTCAACGATCAAGCTCTTGGCTTTCTGCTGCCATGCATCTTTCTCATTCTTGTCGACTGTCTTGTTGGCTGATTCCAGGTACATCTCGAACAAAGCGGTTGTAAGGTCGACCTTCTCAGCATGAGCCAGACCGGTTTGTTTTAGTAATGCTTCCAGAAAGGCAATGAATTCGGTGGGATGATCGACGAAGGAGGAGAAGGCTGATCGCGGCTTCGGCTTCTCATATAGTGGCAGGATCTCGGGTGCTTCATTTGTGACAAGCTCAGCTTCTGGTTTAGGTACTGGAGCTGCTGGCACCGTCTGATCCTTTCTACCTCCAACAAATGGTAAGGTCCAGAGCACAGATAGACTCTGAAAAGCACCACCACTCGCTTCGGGCTGAATGTCAGCAACGGCTGGCACGTCTTCTCTTGGTTTGTATTGGCCAGTATAGTAATCAATGAATATTTTAGTGGCTTCAGTGGGACAATGCTCAATCAGGACACGGGGATATTTCATCAATACTGGGTAGGCGGCTTCCGGCTCCAATCGCCAGATATACTGTAATGCTTCTGCGTACTTCTTCAGGTCTTCGATGAGAATATCAATGACCAGCTCATTGTCACCGTTTTTTGTGGCGAGATATGCGGCTTGTTCGTAGTAACCTCCTTGTCTGCACATGGGTATAGCTGTGTCTGGATCGAACTTGAGCTCACCTGGTGTCCTTATGAATTTGTCGAGCTTTTCAGTATCCTTCATCTTAGCGTAGCAATTGAGCAGGAGGGTAGTGTGATCAGCGGTAGCTTTATTATGCTCGTGCAGCTCTTCTAGATAATCGATGAGGTTGTGTATCCGTTGCGTATCGAGGTATTTTCGAATGACTTGAGAGGGTTCGGTATTGTCTACAGCTCGGAGGTACTGCTGCATGGCTGTATCGTAATCACCTTTTTGGTAAAGATGATCGCCGTATTTACGGAATATCATGTTCTGCAAAGCTACATCAACACCGTATTTTTGTGCCAAATTGATGGCCAGAATGTAGAGGTCCCGTTGGTAGAGGATGTCTAGCTTTTGCTGCGATGTTTTCTCTTGATATCGAAAGAGCTGGACACATGTTAGAATCGTTAGAAGGAGGTCAAGGTCTGCTTACTTTGCCATCTTCCGTCAACAAGAAAAGTTCATCCCATATTACAAAGACGTCCTTTGGCGGAGCAGGAAGTGCTTCAGTGTACGCGACATATCTCAGGTCAGTGTCCAGTAGAGTGAAGGATGAGCTACTGAAGATGTCGTCAACATCATCTGCGCCAAGTCGTCGGAAAGTCTTGCTCTTTGAGATTTGGGCAACCCGTGGAGGACAGACCAGGCCAACGTAGTCTTTGTAGGTCTTGACAAGCTTTTTGGGGCCATCAAAAGCATAGCTCGGACCTCTGCCATTGACTCCGTAGTAGTATACCGCATCGTCTCTTGCCACAATCAAATCGTTGGTACTGGGCTCGAAGGTCATACAGCCTGGATGGCAACCACGATTGTCGACTGTTCTGACCGGTTGACCTTGTCCTTTACCTGATATGACCAGGCTCGAGATCTTGCCAAGAGTAGCGATATATAGTACTTTGGTAGTTCCCTGCCTGACTTGGAGAGCCGTGATAGGATCTTGAGACTCGAACACGATCCTCTGCTTGGTGCCTCGGTCATGGATGAAGTCTCCCCGTATAATGGTGACGGAACCATTGGCGAAACCGACTGCGACCTGGGTCAAATCGTCCAACACAGCGAGAGCAGATACCTGCAACTCTTCTCAGCATCGCACTACAGAAGTCGATCCTTCAGCCTACCGGAAATGGTCGGCGGCCATTCTGCACCTTGACTGTACACAAACATTTTGGATCCTGCGATCTCTTCTCTGTTTTGTCTAAGTCCCATACTCGAAGTGTAGGTTCTTGAGGAAGGTCTTCGCACAACGAGACGAGGTAAGAAGTTTCTGGTATCTGCTTCAATTGTCGGACAGCAGCGCGAGGTGTGTCGGCAACCAGGAATGTACGAGTAATTATCAGGCCCTGACTTAGTTGTCGAACATGACCACTGGTATCGCCGAGGAAAAGGGACTCTGTAGATGTCGTTATACAGGTCACATCATTCTGCCGTCGTCAGTCCTGTGATGCCATATTGTCTGAACTCATACATCGAAGATATAGGCGCCGTCAAGGTCTGCCGGTACAGGAACCTGATTAGCTGTGAAGAAGGGAAACTGCTTCCAGCTTGTCAACGCCATTCTGACTCATCGCGTTGTCTTTGTCATTTTAAAGACTCACGTTGTTGTGGGAGCGACACAATGGTAGGCAGCTCGTGAATCAAGCGTGTACTTCGAGATGCAGTGACGTAGAGTTTGCACATACACAACCGTAGCATTCTTCCACCCCCTACTTAAGCTCAACATTAATACTAGAGAACCAGGTTTATGAATACTACTCGTCATTCTATAACTCGTCTATGTTTTCTCAGTGTTTGTAGCTTTTGTGCCAGTACACACGCGCGACTACGGCGAATTTCTGATCAAATACTAAGCAGTGATGGTGAGGAAAGGATGGAAAAAGGAGGAAGAAGCACGACCTCAACACGTATCAATACGATCACATATGAGATCAGATATGCATTACACTCACGCGTCTTCAATTTACAGCACGTAGGCTACTGCTGTCTTTCAGATAACGATTGGTTTCAGATCCTACTGGCAATGTGGCGACTCAAGACCTTTTCATATACGGGCACTCATTCCTACAGAGGTATCCTTGGGAAGCGGATCAACTAGTTTGGGATTGTGAACTCGTGATCAGCTGTTGCAACTCACGAAGTCGAACAGTCGCTAGGCAGTCCACACCAGATTGCTGTCTTTTCAAAGTGCTTGTTAGATGGGAAGAGTGGCTGCAGATTATCTGCGCCTCGTTGGAGGTGAGTGCTGAGAACGAGGACGACTATTTACCAGCCTTGGGTGTACATGTCGAGATATAGTACTTCGTGTGCCGAGACTTACATTTTTCATACTCGTCGAGCTTCTGCCTGTACCGTTCTGTGTTCCCGGACTTGGTGCTGGTAGTCGCAACACATATCTTCGATCTCAGATAGTGCTCGCAGTCGTCATGCCACGCCTCCTAGCAAAAGATGACCTTCAATGCATCAAGGAGAGCTGTGTTAACGCGCATCAATGACCTCGCCAAAGCACACCACAGCTTCAGGACTGCCATTATCCGTCATGCTCATATTCTGCAGGGCACGGCTTGTCTCTCGTGTTTCTGTATTCCGTTCTCCACGAGCTAACCCTAGCACAAGGACAGCTCGTCGTGGTAGTGGTGGTGGTCTTAGCTGTTGTAGTTGTCGTTGTCATTGAAGCTGCACGCCTCAGCTTTGCTTTGGCAGTACATTTGACTCTCGATTGAGTTGAAAAGTTAGCTACTGTCCTTGGGGCACTCAGAGCATTTTGAAAGGTGGATGTATGCGTATATACAAGAGATGTATGATGAACAACGCTACGACGATGCTGCTAGTATCATTTGTGCCGTTTTGTTGCCGAATGTTTTTTCTTCGTGATTGGAGTCATGCAAAGCTGAGAGAAAACTAGAAATTGCTACCGCTTGTCACTACTTCGTACTTCTGTCGTTTCTATTTTGAGGCTGTTTTAACCTCGTAGTGTGTGAATTAGGCGCACATCTGAGTTTATTAGGCTTTTAGATTCAAATATTGAAGCCGTCATGCCTGGCAGCCTCCTGAAGCCTCCATAGGCCTGCATCTCTGGCAGCTTTTGTGACAGCTCCCATCTCGTCATCGGTAACTGGTCTATTGATATCAGCATACCTCTTCTCACCGCTAACACCACGTTTCGTCTTCCCGACATGTGCTCTTGGATGATATTGCTCCATGATATGCACAAAGGTATCTCTGCTCACACTACCAGCCAACCACCGTACAATCTCGATGCCTTCTTCCTCTTTTCCAGGCATCACTAAATGTCTGACGAGGACGCCCTTCTTCGCAATGCCATCACCAGTAAAGCATAAATCTCCTACCTGTCTGTACATCTCTTGAATACTCTCCCGTGCATGCTCGGCATAGTTGTCGGCCTTTAGCAGTCGCTTACTCGTACTGTCTTTCCAGACCTTGAAGTCAGGGAGGTAGATGTCCACTAGACCTTCCATCAGCTTCAAACTCTCGACGCTGTCAAATGCACTTGTGTTGTAGACAATGGGTACCTTCAACCCCATCTCTTTCGCAGCTAGAATCGCCAACGCGACCTGTGGAACCACATGTTCAGGCGTGACAAAGTTGATGTTATGCACGTTTCCCACCTGCTGTAATTTCATCATCCAGCCTGCCAACTCTTCAGGCGTCAGATCCATGCCGTTGCGCTGGTGTGCGATATCATGGTTTTGGCAGAAGACGCAGCGCAAATTGCAACCGGAGAAGAAGACCGAGCCGGAGCCATAATGACCTTGTAGACAGGGCTCTTCCCCAAAATGAGGTGCTACCACATTTACTAGGACATTCGAGCCGATGAGGCAGTGGCCAGTCTCCTTGAAGCGATTGACTGAGCAGAGCCTAGGGCAGAGATTGCAATTGCTCAAATGTGCATAGGCAGCCGAGCGCTTCTTGGCCTCTTCCTGGACGGACAGGAGCTGATATCGAGGGATGTAATCGTCAAGAAGGAAGGGTGGTGCAAGATGCAGGCTGCGTCGCTGAACATTCTCAGTTCTACGGACATTAGTCCTCCTCGAGACAAGCCTGGAGGTCGCCCAGCTAGTCGCGCTCCTGCCGCCTGCAACGAATCGTCCAGGTACCATTGCAGATGAACATTGGATGCGACCCCATTACCCTGCTCAATCGTTGATGCAGTTCGACAAACTCGTAACAAACAGAAATGAATCAGCGGCCAACAATTGATCGACAGCGATGTGGTCCCCTCGCATATGCAGTATCCCGCAACTTCCACATGCAGTGTAACGTCATTCTTGAAAGAAATTCACGTCGCACAACTGGGTGAGCCGGAAGGTATACAAACACATTGGAAGAGTAAGCATGCTGAATGCCTAAGATCGTGCCGGTCTTCTGTCGTTGTGCAACTTCGATACGCCTACTCGATCTGATCAACCCTCCGAGAAGTTGTGACACTTTCCTCCATTTCCCATAGACGCGCTCACTATCCAGGAAGTTCGATGCTTCAGACCCGACACGAATCTTGTATTTCTGAGGTTGAGAAAAAGGCACCATGCGGCGGGACATAGCAGCACCCGTCACCCTCTACCTCGTCTATCGATCCTATAGCCATGAATCTCTCACACCACTGGGAATTGTGGCTGCAGCTGTAACCGCAACGCTCCATGCATTACATCCCTCACCCCTCCCATTCACCCTACTCGTAACATTCTTTATGCTCGGGACCACAGCCACGAAAATCAAGGCTGACGTAAAGGCTACCTTGACTATGAGCTCCACAGGCAGCCACGGCCGTGCTCCTCACGCAAGTGCAATTGGATTTGTGTTCAGTGGAGGATGGAACAAAACCAAGGAATACCACGAGCAAAAACAGAGAGCTGCCGGAAAGCCAGGAAGTGCCCATGTAGGGCCTGCAGGTGGACAGGAACCACGAAGTGCGGTGCAGGTACTTGCGAATAGTGCCTGTGTCTCACTGCTTTGTTTGTTTCATGTATATCTCTATGGTACAAGCTACAACAAGGGCCTGGATATTTCCTTTTGCCCAACCTCGAATCGGGCCAAAGACCTGGTCCTATTAGGTATCATAGCAAATTACGCTGCAGTCACAGCCGATACACTGTCTTCTGAGCTGGGCATATTGTCGCGATCCAAGCCAAGTTTCATCTTGCAACCCTGGATTACAGTCCCTCCAGGCACAAATGGAGGTGTCACTTTTACGGGAATATTAGCGGGAGGTGCAGGTGCTACCGTTATTGGGGCAGTGTCTGCGCTGTTGCTCCCAGCTCCTGGCTCTGGAACGCTCAAGGACTATCTTGGCCTTATCCTGCTCACCGGTGGCTGGGGTACACTCGGAAGTGCTCTAGACAGCATCCTTGGCGCATTACTACAGGCATCCGTCATCGATAGACGTAGTGGCAAGGTTGTCGAGGCACCAAATGGTGGGAGAGTGCTAGTGCTTGCAAAGGAGGCAAGTACACAGCAGGCTAAAGATAAAGGCAATCCAAGTAGAGCAATCGGGAGCGGCAGAGACATACTGGACAACAACCAGGTGAACTTTGTCATGGCGGCTACCATGACTTTAGGTGCTATAGGTCTTGCATCTGTGTTATAATCGTAGAAGCTATGCCTCGAACAATTCATCTTCCTCGTTAACACGTGTTATTATTATCGCACTTTATATACCGCCCATAGTTTATGCTCACATTTCCGACTTTTCGTTTCTATAGTGTCCAAACGGGTATCAAACCGACAAACTCGAGGGAAAATAAATTGCTCGCCTTCATTAAACCATATTCTTTCATTGCCAGACATATTCGTCCCAGAAAAATGCCATATACTCGCTTGAACGCGTATTCATGAATCATTAACAATGTTCGACCGCCTCACCTGCCTCACAAGAGCAAACTCAACGGTAAAGTACCCAAACCAAGCAGCATAGCCGCCATACACCCCGTACTCGAAAGCCAAGATGGAGGCCGCTGCGTCGACATACCTCCATTCCCACTCCTCGTCGCACCTGCCGTGTCAGACACGACTCTTGTCACAGCAGATGCGGTCGTTCGAATACTACTCGACGCCCCAGTCCTCGTTAAGCTCACTTCCGTCGGAGCAATCGTCGTAGTCGGGAGGACAATCCCACTTGGTCCGAAAGTGATTCTTGTCCCATCAATCGTCGCGGTCGTGAAGCTGTTTAGGGCGCCCGCACCGATACGGAACGTCGTTCCGCTGAGGATCGCTTCGCTTTTGTCGATGCTGAAGGTTAACGAGCCGATGGTTGTAATGACGTAGGCTGGTGCTGTAGTTATGGCTGGTAAGTATGTTGTGCTTGGGAAGGCGACGCCGCTGCTTCCAAGGGTGATCGTTTGTCCTGCTATGATTAGAGTTGTGCTCGAGGCGCCGAGGCCGATAGCGAAAGTAGATCCTGAGATGATAGCTGCGCTTGGCTCGATTGTAATGATTACGCCGTTCTGTGTGACTGTGCTGGCGGTGAGAGCAGCAACTTGGACTTTTTCGGTTGAGTAGCTTATGCTCTGGCTTCGGGTGATGCTGAGTGTGCTTCCTGCAGCTATTACTGCGCTTGGCACGACGGTAAAGGTTTGGCCTGCAATAGTGACTCGTGCTGTGGACGTGCCAGTGGGTAATGGTACATATGAGCCACCAATGTAGACAGATGAACTGGCAACTTGGACAGGAACTCCAGCAACGAGGTTGACTGTGGCGGATGCTGCACCAAGTGAAGTGCTTACTGGGACTGGGACAAGGACTGGAGTAAAAGGAGAGTTGAAGGCAGAGTTGATGATGCTTCCTAGACCGCTGCTGCTGCCACCACTGCTGCCTGTGGCTATGGCTGACGCTGGTGAGTCATTGCCACTATTAGTACCCCCTCCTACTGGACCACCATTCGTGGTTGGAGAGCCGTTGTTATTATTATTGATACCACTCCCGCCAGCAACGCCACTCGTTGCAGGTGAGCCATTACTATTATGGTTGTCGCTATTCGATGGAGTGCCACCATTGTTTGTCGCTGATTGAGATGGAAAGACAATACCCGGTGTCGAACCGGCAGTATTTGCAGGACCGTTGCTGTTAGTAGGTGCCGCAGGGCTTCCATTGTTGTTGCCGTTATTGCTGCTGCCTGGACGTGCGCTGCCGCCTTGAGTTGCTGTTTGTAATGGTGCAGTAGTCGCTCCTGGGTTTGAGGCGATACTTCCCACATTGCCAGGATCGTCCGGGAAGACGATCGATTGTAGGCTATCACCTCCACTTGCAGTCTGTGGTATCTGCGTGGCCGGTACTGGCGTCTTTTTAGTCACGGTCACAGTGACGGCTGTTAGCCTTGCCGCGGCACTCGAAAGGACTACTGACGCTGAGATTGTACTTCGAGCAAGGGAGCTACTAGGCCTTGGTGACTGTGAGCCAGCCTCAGATACCTCTGGCGGAATGAGAGGTTGCGGTTTGCCGAGTGCATAAGAAGCAGTGTACACAGTTGTGTATGTGCTCCACATGGTTGAGCATCCGGGCGCAGCAGTTGTCAAAAACGTTGTTGAGTTTGTGTAACGGCCATGGCTCGCAGTACTGTTCAAGTTTAAAGTGCTTGTAGAGCTAGTGCTGCATGTCAAAATCTCATAGCTAATTGTTGTAGTCACGACTGTAGGAGTTGAAGTCGAGTTCAATGGAAGTGAGCTAGTCGTTCTGTTTTCTGTGCTTGTTGGCTGGTACAATGAGAAGGACATCGACGGTAATATGACAGAAGTGCAAGGTGGAGGTGGCGTATAATAGATTTCGGCTGGTACGCTTCCATTCATAGTCGCTGCGTACGTGTACTCTCCATCCACGGTAACGTATACTGTTGACGACGGTTCAAAGTCATACGTCGAAATGCCCTGGCAGCTGAGAGTACTCGGAGCAGGATCGTGGAACGTGAAGTTTGAAGCCATCTCCGGAAGAGCCTGCACGGCAGTCGCCAGAAACAAGACAGCAATCGTGCGTCGCATACTGGCAAGATGTTTCTGATCGAAGATATCTGTCTTCATACTCCGATTGTTGTAATTGCGATGCCTTTCCTTTTGCAGTGAACATTCGAGCGAGCGACTGGTGATTTTGGACCGTAGCGAACGTGTTGAAGTCAATTTATATTGATGAACGAGCGTAATGCTTCAAGAAGCTGGTTAGTATACGACAATTGCAACGTGAAGGTCAAGGCATACGGTTTAAGAGACAAGATCGTGCTTCGTTAAGCAGAGGACCACGAATTTGAAGCGAAGTGGTCGGCCTCTCAGCCAAATTGCGGTTAGACATGATAATTGGTCAGAATGGCAATCCTTTCCAAGATCAGGTACTTGAGCAAAGTTTTTGGTGGAGCCTCAGCTCCACTGCGCAGTCCGCTCACAGGCAAACCCTCAATTCTGTAACTCCAGGAAAGCGGACACCGACGGTGGATCCTTAAGGCATAGGAGATGGCTTGCAAGTGCCCGCGAGGATGGCAGCACTCACTGACCTTGATACTTGGTACCCGGATGCCAATACCACGGGAAGTCCAGGCTCGCTCAGTACAGCTTCTAGTACTTCTTCTCAAACAGTACTGCGCGAGCGAAACATTTGTACGTGCTCGTGCAAGGATGTGCATTGCCACATACCAGAAACTACGAGCGGAATCGACATTATGCAGAAGCGCAACATTCATCTTTCCGCGACACCGGCTTGGTGCATGGTCAACACTTGCCGATGACGGGGGCCTTACCAAACGAGTTGGTGGCCTCAACCTTGTACGAGAACAGCAAGTGAGGTGTGGCATTGAAGATATCAGATAAATACTGTGGGCAGGCTTGACTTCATTGGCCTGTTCGGCACGGTACAGTAGACAAAAGAGTGGGAAATCTCAAATGGTACTGGTAAGTCAGATTGAACATTTTCTACTTGGCGCGGTATTGACCTTCTGGTCGCATCTGTGTGATTTTGACGTTCGTTATAATAAGCACTGTCCTATACCGAGTCAAAGGTGTTCGTTTAGCTTGGTAGTTGCGCGTTAACTATATCAACATGAAGAAACAACACCTTTGTATACCTTGAGCGTGCGATCTTAGACCTTTACGCTATCAGCTGCGTATCCGAAGGCGAATTCATCGTCACCTTAGAAACTATCAATTGTTCCTGAACCGGTGAGTTTGACATCGGCGAAGGCGACGTCGTATGTGTCGTCAAGAACATGGGCATTGAAACAATACCATGCGATACTGACAAAAGGAACGTACGATTAGCGAGTCTGGACTTTTGTTTTGCTCTATCGAGCGTAGCTTCCTCCATACACTTTGGGATAGACTAGCCAATTTTATCGGCAGATCTGGGTTTGAGGGCAGCCATTACGCTCTCATTCAGTGCAGTAAGCACAACAGATGGTGGCAGGCACCACATGCAAGGATGAAACCCGCCTCAAACAAGCCCTATCGTCAGACAGCCAATCAACCACGAACAAGAACATCACACCACATTCGCTTCTTCCCATGGCACAGATTGAAGCTACTGTATTCCCACCTCTGACTTTAGTGAGGTGACCAGTTTGTTTGATCAAGCATAGCTTTGAGAATAAGGCGGAGATCTAGTTCGCGATATTGACAACTTTTATTCGCATCGTAGGGACCTACAGTTTATGCTTGGCGAGCAACAATGGCTGTTGCTATCTCATTTGCCAGGGGCCCTGGCATAACGGTCGAAGTCCTGGTCAGCAACAGCATCTTTTTACAGTACCGTATTACTGTGTCGCAAAATGGCTGGTCGCATTGTGCCTCGTCTTCTTCCAGCGTGAACCTCGCACTGTAAAGAACTATTGTCTTGGTCCGTTGGAGGCCACTGGCAATACGGCATTCCGCCACGGCTTCAGGAGACACTATCGCGGCCAAGCACAACGATGAGCGGTGGCTCCAGGCTTGGAAGTAAGCTGGAATTCTGTCATTGGCCTGAACACTCTCCAAAGAAACCTCAGCGTAACACAATCAGAACCTATTGCAAAGTTCTTGAACGTTCGTCTGTATAATCCGTTCGACTTCTACTCGTAGTAACTCCAACTTCCCAGGCATTTCGTATTTCGTTAAGAGCGAACCCGTCACTCGTTGCAGAACAAAACCACGCCAGGAACAAACAGCAACTGGCAATTTCGATCTCTCGTTTTGACTGTAAGAAGTAGTTTGTAATGGAATAAACTGCACCTTGCACTCTGCGCTATGCGCTTGATCACTGGACGCGCACACCCGGAATTATGCCTCCTTGCGACACTGATATTGGCTGGTAAAGGTGCTGGCGCGGCTAATGCAGGACCACTTTCTGTGCCATTCGGGCCAGATTACATTGGTTACGATGGTGCCTTCTCTCCCGTACAAATAAGAGCAGGAACTCCGGAACAATATCTCTTGGTCTTTCCAAGTACGACCTCAGCAGAAACCTGGGTCACGGGCCAAACACTATGCGACGGTCCAACTTGCGCCTCATTGAGAGGTGGTATCTTCTATACATCAAACTCGACCACATGGCAACCGTTAGGACAATATGAGCTTGGATATTCGGCGCTGTTCGAGACGACTTCTCAGGGACAATATGGCTTCGACTCTTTGGCGTTGACGGACACAGTTTCTGCCTCCAACCAAATCTTTGCAGTGGTAGATGATGAGCTACACTGGAACGGACAACTAGGTTTGAACGTGCAGGAAACTCGCTTCAACAACAATACTAATTACTTCTCCCTGATATCCACTCTGGTACAGAACAGTTCGGTCGTTCCTAGTCACAGCTATGGCTACACAGCCGGTGCCTCGTATCAGGGTAAAGGCGTACAAGGCTCTTTGACCCTGGGAGGCGTGGATACGAGCAGATTCACTCCAAGCGATGTTTGGTTCACTCTGGCCCCTGGATACATACCCAGCCTTTTCATCAGATCTTTGTTTCTAAACGCAAGTTCATCGTCAGCGAACTGGACATCCAATCCGCTCCAGGTCATGTCACGGTCAGATGCTGCTGCGTTTGTGATAGATACCAGCACACCCTACTTCTGGCTGCCCGAATCTGTATGCGACAGAATTGCTGAGGCACTTAACCTCACGTGGAATCCATCTCTTGAGCTTTACACCTATGATATTACTACCACGCCACAGGATCTTGCTGCAAGGGATTTGGAACTGATCTTTAATGTCGCTGAGTCTCCAGAGTTGACCACTACAAGCATTGATTTGAGGTTGTCCTACAGCGCCTTAAACCTCCAGCTATCTTACCCTTACCCAGGACTCTTTACTACCTACAACGAAACGAGGGTCGACTACTTTCCATTACGGAGAGCGAACAGCACGCAACAATACACCATCGGACGAGCCTTTCTGCAAGAGAATTACCTGACTGTCGATTATGAGAGGAACGTGTTCTCTCTTTCGCGCGCCTTGTTTCCTGACAGCTCGCAGCAACCACAGCTCGCTACGATAACTAGGCCAAAGGGTAGTACTTGGCCCGGACCTCCTGGTTCATCGGGCCTTTCGGGCGGCGCAAAGGCTGGGGTCTCAATAGCTGGACTGTTTACAGCTATCGTTTCAGTCGCTCTGATATGGTGGTATTGCTTCAGGCGGAGGGATCAGAAACGAGGCTCGGTTGATGAAAAATCTCAACGAGCCAGACTTTTGTCAATGTTTTCAAGAAAGTCAACTCAAAAGTCGTCCATGTCAGGGACAAATTCAGCAGCTGAGCTTACAGCCGACAAGTATCATCCGACAGAAATGGTGTCGGACGTCACGAACTCCAGATTCGAGTTGTCCTCAACCACCCCGGCGGAAATGCCAGCAGCTGATGTCGCGCCGAATTTCTTCCAGGAAAGGACTAATGCGCGAATATCGCAACGAAACGACCCGCGATCACCTATCGAACTCACAGAGCCACAATCTATGAGCTCGTTGAGCAAGACAGGTATTGAGGATGACATGAAAGAATTATCAGCTCCGTCGGCTCCTGCATATAGTCCAACAGAAATCAATGAAAGACACAGCGCCAGTGTAAGCCCATACTCAAGGCGACATAGCACCAACCCATTCCAGAGAGGAAGCGACAATGGGATAAGTCCTGTTTCAGGATCCAACACAAACAGCGATAGAGATCGTCTTAGCAATGCGCACCATTCGATGAGTGGCAGCAATTCGAGTCGCTTCCTAGATCCAATATCTCCTCTGCCAGCTGGACGCGGCCATGGTTCGAGTTCATTAATGGCAAGTGCACGAAAGGGTACTCAACGGCCAGGATCGGGCTCGAACGATGATCGCGACAGCGGAACACTATCTTCGAATTTAAGCAACAGGAATGAATCTAGGCGGTCTCCAAGTAGAGATAGCAGATTTCGAGAAGAGCTGGTGGAAAATCCCACCACTCAGAACTTGCGGGCTGGTTAGTCACAAACCAGTCCGAACATTGTTCAGAGCAGCACTTGTCTAGATCAGGTATATGGTAGGGGCTGATAGCTCTGCGCCCATTATGCAAGAGCAAAAACGGAAGCTTGATGCGATATCGTAGATACACGTTTGGCCAGTGGTCCTCAGGGATGAGAATGGTATGATCTATTTACAAGCAGCTTTAGAAGTAGTGGCACTAAGAGTCCGAAACGATGTTTTGAAACCCTGAAACACGAACTCATCATGCCTGTTCTTCAGCTTGAGATGCTCAAGGATGTACTTTTGAACACATTCTTACAGTAATTAGTACCAATACCGCGAGTCTGGGAGGGGCAGGTTGAGCTTACTCAATTGCGATAAAAGGCTACCAGACCCGATGGCCCCTGTACCATTCGAGAAGGTACATCCCTCAATCATCCCGACACCGACACTGCAGTGCTCTGTACACACGGCTCAATACAAACCGAGATTGTGCTGCTCCGCATCATGGCGATTTAGGCCCAATCAATGTTCGTGCTTTTTGCACCTATGTATTCGGGCCTCGAGCTCATCTCGAGTCGGAGCTCATAGAACCCCTCGGATGACGTAATTAGTGCTGTAACGCTCTCCTTCACTTTCCAGTACACAGATGCGAGGCACGATCATGAGCATATAATGCTTGTTTGTGACTTGGTTTGCACCTGAACTTAGATAAGAGAGTTTCTTATCCTCTAGCAATACCACTTCCTCGTTACGTTTCGATTTCTCGGTCTCCTCGAACTTTAGCTTCACTCCTACCCATCGCAAATCAGATTGACCTACACTGAGACCTAAGCTATCTCGGCGGTCGAGCCCTCTTCACGGACGTGCACAACAGCATATTTCAGCTGAGCGACACGTTTCGGAACCAGCCAGACATCGTAATTCTCCGCATAGACGATTATGTCCGTCTCTAATTCTGAGATCAAAGCTGCGCAAGAAAAAGTCGGCGAAGCAGTATTGTCCAAAGCCAGATCTCCTAACGAGCCGTCTTCTGGAGAAGAACCACCTTCTGGTATTCAAGGTCAAGGAACCAGAAGCGCACCGTACGATCAGGTAATACAGGTCGCGCCATGTTCTGGAGTTGTAGAATGCTAATCTTGGTTCGACAGGGCAACCAGCCCGAGCAAAACGCTACTGTAGGCACGGAGGGTACAGGCACCGAGCCACCGTCAGGTCAACAAGGTTCTGGAACAATTAACGAGCCATACGACGGCGGTAACCAACCAGGTACGCTCCGCTTGTCGACAGCATCCCACGTAGACTAATGCTTACTCAGTACAGAGCAACACGATGTCGATAGTCGATCAACTTAGCCGAACGAAGACGAAGGAGGAGATTCAGCAGAAGAAAGACAGGAAACAATCTTTGGCTAGTCCACCTGTGCAGGCCGCGACTACACCAACAAGTTCATACATAACAACGTCCGCAGTTACTTCTGCGCCAGCACCTGTAGCTGCGCCTCCACCTACGAGTGCCCCTACTGTAACAGTAAATGGGGAGCCGGAGGCAAACAGGGGACGGTCGCAGACGAATACCTCAACCACATCTGCTGCACAGAATGCTCCTCCCTCAATGAAAGATATGCCGAAATGTATGTGCTACAACCTAATTGCCTGTTGGGAGAAAGAGAAGTGCTAACTTTTGCAACAGCGACACGCCATATCGAACGCAGCGTATCTCCTGGTCAACTCGATGATGGTACCCACGTCAGATGTAGTGGTGAGAAAGGAGAGTCATACGCACCACCACATGGAATTGGACGGATTAAGGGAAAGTTATTCCATTAAATTACATGCACAGAAACGGTGGCATACTTTGTTCTTGCTAGCTAAATGCCACAAACTTCCTTCCATGGAGTACTTACTACAAATGCCAAGCCCGCAGTACACACTGCATGTTGAGCGACGTCTTCGGGATACTCCCAGTTGGGGGTCGACTGAACTCAAGGACCTCAATAACTAGCCGGCATGACTGCCAGTCGCCCACCATCTGTAACCAGCACATTCCCATTCACGTATGCTCCTGCCCTACTGCATAAGAACAATACTACACCGGTCAGATCTTCCTCGTCGCCACTTCGTGTCGCTGGTATCACGTCCTTTCCCCAGGTACCTTCCACGTTATGCTTCTCTGCCTTACCTTGCGCCTTCATTGTGCCCTCAGTCATCTCACTCAAATAGAGGCCTGGAGCAATAGTATTGGCTCTGATATCGTATGGCACCAAAACTGTCGCCAACTGTTTGGTCAGATGGACGACAGCTGCTTTTGACGGACCATAGGACATGTTTCCGAGAGGCACACGGTTGTATCCACCGATCGAGGATGTAGTGATGATCTGTGGTCTAGGCTTGAACGGCACGTTTGCTGAAGGTGATGGACGAGCTTTGTTCGCCGCGTCTAGAAGAGGCAAGAACGTGGCCACGGTCAAATGAATACCTGTGATATTGACGTGGTAGGTGTTTGTGATATCCTGCTCGTCTGGTGCGAGCATAGCCTCAGCTAGGCCGTTGACCGAGTCGTACGGTTTCTTTGTCTGCGGGTCACTCGTGGCCACACTTGGACCACTAATGCCTGAATTGCAGAACAGAACATCGATTTCGTTAGTGCCATGTTTGCCCGTGATGGCTTCTCTAACACTTGCCAAGGAGGATTTTGAGCTCACGTCGCCAAGAACAGGAATGATGGACTTGGCATACTGCTCGGGCAGTGAATTCTTGGTACGAGTTAATGCTTCTTCTCGACGACCAACGATGAAGATCTTGGAAGCTCCGTTAATAGCAAGTGCACGGGCCATATAGGCGCCCAGGCCACTTCCTCCGCCCGTAATGACCACATTGAGCCCGTTGACACCAAAGAGGTTTCCTGCTTGGAGCCTGCTGATATCTTCAGTGGACATAGTGGTGGGTTTGCTATTTCCAGAGAGACTAAATTAGTAGGATTAGGCTTAGGGTACAGGACTTATTAAAATTGAATGATGTACCACTTCAACTTACCTGTGGTTCGTAAATAAAGACGATGAACAGCAGACAAATGATAGCAGCAAGCACAGAATCCTGGAGAGAAGAGGCAGTAAGCAATAGGTCGTATATCTGAATTACTATAGACCAGCCGGGCATGCTCCGAGGTCGTCATGCGCTGCCTCGCCACACCTGCCAATATTTCCATACTACTTTTCTCCTCCAAGATCATTCTGAAACATAATCGCGAGTACCTTCAGGATGCTTCAAGACCTGTTCACGTCTGATCGACAGCGGCAAAGGCATATGGAAAGTTGAGGCTCAAAAAGGTCCGCCGTTGCCAAGGCATCGACCGTGCTCATGCAGCCGTGGCAGCCTTTTTAGGCGCCTTCGGATTTGACCACACCTCACGTATGCAAGCAAGATGCACAGAACCACTTGTCTTTCGTCATGTTTCCGCAAGCGCGATGGCTTGCGAGATTCTGGACGATGCATTGTAGAATCATTTCCTTCGGGCTGCGTAGCCGAAATTATGAGCGTCGGAGCTTGATGCCTGCTTGTTCTGCTGGCAAAGTGAGCACGAACATTGTACAGTGCTCTCTACATCCCGAACAAATTCAGCAAGAAAGCCAGTACTGTCACAAAGCATTTGCTGACAATTGTTTATGCCACAGAGCCACGTTGACGAAACAGGCTAGCCCTTCATTCAGACAACAAGCCCTAGCTTGGTATACTAAACACAGCCCCTGGAATTCACATTTTGGAGACCGAGATGTTTGCCTGTTTTGATAGCATCTTTCGACGAAAAACCGGCAAGCATCATCGGTAGCGGCAAGGACCTCTATTGAGAGAAAAAGCTTGATGACACCCATCACCAATAGGAAGCTCTCCAGTCGACGCTGCGGCTTTTGGACTTGTTCTAATCTTGGTTCAACTCAAGATCCTAGTTTATTGGCATCGATCGAGGCTGAGCCTGCTTACGCTCGATTTAATGTACTACACTTCCCGGCTACAATGCGATAATCGCATAATTGTCAAGCAGGCGACAACAACAAGCATGCACCGAAGTTAGACGAAATGTACCGTCGACGGGAACTTTTCGATGTATCATGGATAGCGAAACTAACTCCTTGCTGAACGTGCCGATTACTGACGCTGAGCGAAGAGCGCGACTCCAGTCGCGTGGTGAACATTCACGTTCTTTTGTATCCCAACCCCAGAACAATCAGCATGAACGAGATCGCCAGTTCACTCGATTCAGCTCACTGCGACATCCTGGGGAGCGCTACGATGATCCGGAACAGCCCTACCAGAACTACTCGGGCACTACGACAGGATCATCAACGTTACCCAACATCGAGGAGGAAAACCTGATCTTTTCGGAACACGAGGACGATGTACCCATAATTCGACAGACGCGATCATCCACGTTCCCACGTACCAACCAGTCTGAGTATGCGCCTCTTCCAGAACTGCATAACCCTCAGAACCCTAAATCACAGCATTCCCAAGGCTTGCCGCTAAAGTTGTGGCAACCAGTATGGCTTAGGAAACTAACTTTGGCGTTGGTTGCGACTCTGTTGCTTGTTTTGATTGCTGGTCTTGTTGCCACCTGCAATAGGATAGACAGTGACGGCGGATTTCGTGTATCATCTACGACTCAGCATTACGCCTGGACTTATTTACCGACTGTTGTTCTGGTGTTCGTCGTCGCAGTGTGGCGACAGATTGACTTCCACACCAAATCCTTGACACCATGGAAGGCACTCGCCCTTGGCCCAGAAAGTCCTTTCGATAGTATCGTGGTCGACTACATCTCAGATTTCCAATTTGTTTCTTTGCTTGCTGCGTTCAAGCGATTGCATATCCCTGTGGTGATTACGATATCGGGCCTCATCATCTCTCTTGCCGCCACGATTGCAAGTACAGGGCTTTTCTACACAGGACCAAAGGACATCGTAGATAACTTCTCCACAGCTGCTACTTCATCGTTCGACTCGGCACAACTCGATCCTTCCATCCTCAGTATCAGCACTTTCCCGAACAACTCCGTGTATGCCTACACTCAAGTTGTGATCAATGGTCTAGCACCTCAAGTCGGTGTTGCTCCCGGCTTCGCATATCTTATACCAACCTTACAGTCTAGCTCCAGACCTGAGCCTGCGAATGCTACTTTCACTGCGACCGTGGATACGTTTGTGCCCTTGATAACGTGTCGTGCAGCAAATGTAACAGTCAACGGCCAGGCCACAATCGATATAGTCGATCTTCCTTACAACTCAACCGACCAGCCTTTCGGATTGCCGACGAATCTAACATTAACCATCAACGAAGGCGACCTTTGCGCTTCTTATCCGCGACTGAGTTTCTCTGGGCTTGATCCCCTACACTATATTGTGCCTAGTCAGACCCTGGAAACCAGGTCGCAAGAGCTGTTTTGCGATAGTAATCCGAGTGCAGACCCGATCCTCTTGTTGACGATGGTTGAGGTCGCCTATAACCAAGATCTCTTGACTAACGTAACGAGAGAGGAGGGAGGGGATTTGCCTATAGCTCTCACAGCCTCAAGGTCAATCTCGCGGATGGTCAATGTGTTGTGCCAAGCCGATTACACGCTCAGCCAGATCAATGTAACAAACAACATCGCCCTAGAAGGTATTGCAGCCATAACCTTGACGGAACTTCCAGACGCCAAGAACGGCAGTCTGAGTGGCCTTACGTCTGCGAACATCACACAAATATTCAGTCTGATGCTTGAATCTGATCATGGTCTGTTTACGAACACCTTAGATGAGAACGTCATTCGAACCCCAGCCTTCGACCTATTAGCTTGGGCTGCAGGCAGTGGACGTTACGATGACTTGTTCGATGATTCGACCTTGTCAGATGCAGCTCAGCAAATATACATGGGTGCAATGCCTGACTTTGCTTCTAGGAATTTGGTCAGACGTACCGCGACTGAAACAGCTTCGAGTGGACCTCTTGCAGTAACTACGTGGGCAGAAGAGAGGCTATACACAAATTGGGCGCCAGTAATCATTGTGATTACAGGACTAGGAGTTATGTCTCTGCTCACTGTGGCTCTTATCATCCTATTGCCCGAAGATGTGGTCCCAAGAGATCCGAATTCGATCGCAGCTGCCGCCACGACTTTGACTCGAAGCGTTGAGCTAAATCGTTTGCTCAAAAAGCTGCAGTCACCTCGAAATAAAGGCATTGCAGCGGCGTTGAACGGTTACGAGGTTGGCACCGCAATAGCTACTGAGGAAGGGAGTGGCTCTAGAAGCTTCAAGATTCATATCACCGAGGGCCGACCACAACGCGACGTTCAAGAGGTCATACCAAATTCGAAGATGTGGAACCCATTATGGGCGAGCCTTCCGATATTCGTCATTACATTCCTGATCCCGCTTGTCTTGATCGCCGTACTTCAGGTCCTTCAAGACAAATCAGACAAGCATCAAGGCCTAACCACTGTACCTAATGATCGAGGTACTTTGATCGCGTCTCGTTTTGTCCCAGCGATTGTCGCAATACTTGCCGCGGCCTTGATCAACAACCTCGACTTCTATATTGCACTCTTCTCACCATGGGCTATGCTCCATAAAACCAATGCACCTGCGACGCGAAGTATCATGAAGAACGTACTGGGCCATACAGCACCTAGTGCCGCTCTAAATGCAGTCAAGGCACGACAATGGGGTGCTCTTGCAGCTACATTGGCAACCGTTTTTGCAAGCCTACTTACAGTAGTAATATCTGGCTTGTACCTTGTCGAGGATTTCAATACCGAAGGACCGATTAGAAGTCTGTCACGACTGGACAATTTCAATCTCGACCAAATCACATCTTATTCGGTAGACAACGACAATCGTGCAGGAGCTATGCTAAATCTCATTCAGCGCAACTACAGTTTCCCAACTGGCACATACGGTGAATTCGCGTTTCCTCGTGTGTCCCTTCTGCCATTAGATAGTGATATCCCTTCTGGTTCCAAGCTTATTGGTGGTGCTCGAGGGACATTGCCAGGCTTGCGAGGTGATATTACGTGCGAACCTCCAACAAACTACCAGATATCGACTGTTGACGCTGCAGTCCACGTATCTGCTTCGTATGTTCTACCAGAATCATGCCAAGACGGCATCGATACTCAAAACAGTTCGACTTTGACGTTCTCGACGGACTTCACTCCTGCCCAAGGACAAGCAGAATTTGGTGGGAAACAATTTGACCTTCGATTCGGCACAAACTCCACTCAATTTGGACATCTTGGGGAAGCCAATTCGTCGTTGGTTGGAAATAATCCTGCTGTTGGATGTCCTTCGTTGGTCTTTGTTTGGGGAAATTTTGAGCTTGGTAACGACGACCGAAGTGCCGTGAATGTCGCCATATGTTACCAGAAGATACAGAACATCAACTTCAACGTGACCATGCAGCAGAATACGACAGAAATTGCAACGAAACCCTTTCGACCATTTGGTAACGAGAACTCAGCCATAGCTCAACCTAATCCTAATGGTACCACAGATGTGTTCGACTTTCGGATACAGAACAACATTGCTCGGCAGCTAGGGGACTTTGCTGGCTCGAACGTTAACATTGATCCTTTCTTCCAATCCATGATTGTTGGCAGCATTGTAATGGACGTCAACAAATTCCTTGGCAACCGGACTCTAGCGATGATGGCTATCAGTCATACGTATCGAATGTATATGGCTCAAGTTTTCAATGCCATGCTTAGAGAGCCTCTTTCGAACAGAAACGCCACCCTTCAGAGTCGTCAGCAAGCGAATGTGGCTGACCTGCGGACTATAATCACAAGAGCACGACTGGTACAGGACAATATCACCAAAAACATCTTACACGCTTTACTAGCGCTTTCTGCCATTGGCATCATGGTCGGTTACGTTCTGACAAAGATACGGAATGTTCTTCCATGCAACCCCTGCTCCATAGCTGGCATGATGTCACTCTTAGCCGGCAGTGATTTATGCTACTCGCCAGATGATGGTGTATGTGAATGTTGTGGCAAGATTCGTCGTAGCTTCCGCAGTGCAGACGGCCGCATCCAGGTCGAGACCATACATGCTGACGACAACGAGCATGCTGACGAGAAGGTGCAGGTGATACCACCAGAAGCAGAATGGATGGACGACAAAAGCTTTGCACAGATTTTCGAGAGTCGAAAGTATAGTTTGGGTTGGTGGCAACCATCGTCGAAAACAAAGAGATACGGCGTTGACTATGGATCGGTTCCGACTGGTAGCAGAGGGGGAGACTGGTATCTTGGAAGGAGAAGAGACAGTGATAACTTCGAGTCATTTACCGAACAAACACAGCACGAAGGACGTGGTAGGACACGAGCCTTATCAGACGTCAATGAAAGAGGCGCCTATCAACGTGCTGCAGATCCAAGTCCTGGAGTTGAAGCGTTTGAATTGAGGCCTTTGGATCCTCATGGGGATATTGGGCGGGCTCAAAGGTTCGGCGAGGCGTAATTGACTATTGAAGGACAATATCATTGACATTCATTGTTTGATTCCATTGTCCTTGTATCGTTTGATCGTTGATGGTACCTACTGACTAGCTTCAGTGGGTTTGGTTGATAACTTTGCAATAAACGGCCTGGTGATTCCATATTACATTGTCCATGACACGAAGAGTTCACAACACGATACCTGGGCACTATATGGAGAAGAACAGCGCCATGTGCTATCATATACGTATGGCACCTCCTCAGCATTGCCCAGTCACCTGCAACACATCAGCGATCGCTTGCGACGTCGTTGTTTCACCAAGATGCGACGACAAAGCAAAGACAGCATATATGGCTCACATCTAAACCCACTGCAATAACAATTTCTTATTCCTGCCCAGACAACAACTCAGTCCTATTTCGCCAAGCTTAAGAAGCATCATGGATGAAACCTTGCCCAAATACACCATCAGAGATCTAATCACTGACGATGGGGGTGAGGCCCGCGCTGCGCAGACTGTACGTGCCCGCAGAAAAGCCATGGAAGACTCTAAGCATGTGTTCTCAAAGAAGGACATCCTCTTCATTGTCCTGGCTGCTCTCGCCATTCTGTGCTTCGGCGGGTTCATGGTCCCTCTTGCGCCAAAGCTCAGTTCGGGGTCTGATAAACAGCAAGGGGATCACCAGGTTCGAGAACGACATCTGGCAGCGAGATGTGGCCCTACTGAAACACATTGGGCAGCCTATCCGGGTTCGAAGAGTCTCGACACAGTTGCGTCCTCATTAATGGAGGCGACCAAGACCACGACTGTGTTTAGTACTGTAACACTTGTATCGGATCACTTCTCGACCATCACAGTGACGGCGATACTTCCCGATGCGAAATCTGTCATGCCTCAATCCTCTCTTTCACCGGGACCAAGCTTTCCAGTGAACACGACAACCTCTGGGAAGCAGGAAGGACCATCGGACAGCTATATCTGGACGACGCCCACCACAACAGTGTCAAGCACAACCTCTGACACTGCGATTGAACCACCATCCTCGTCGACAGCTCAGTCACCAGTTCCGACTGAAAACGTGCTTACCACAAGTAGTGTCGCGAGCTTCGAAACGGACAAGAAACCCTCGAGCGCGTTCCCAGTCACTGCTTCGTCCATGGAAATTGCCTCGATTCCTGGAGACGCGAGCCTAAGCAAGATAACAACGGTAGAGCCACCCGCTCCAAGCTCCTTTTCCGCATTTTCCATCGAAGCTAACACATCGCCGGAAGAATGCTTGGAAGTCTGGTCAAATACCACCTCCGCTGGGAGTACTATGTCGCCCCTGGAGTCGGCACCTTCCACGCCTACTTCAAGCTCTCTCAGTGACCCGATTGTTCATTCAGTGTCTGCTCCAACAGGTTTGCTAGCTCCACCTTCTACGGTTTACTCGACAGAACTCGTTACTTCGCTATTTCAACCTGATTTCCCTCCTCGATCAACCAGTACGACTATCGTGGTCGTGAAAGAGGGGACCTCCACCGCTCCAATTGTGACTCTTGTAGCCACTAATGGCTAGCGCAAGGACCGCTCAAAGTAGAGTCTACAGCGGGACATCTGCGGCTTCTCAGAGAGGCGCTGATACGAGCGGCTGCGATAAGACGTCATGCACTGGTATGTTTGGAGGTGTAATAGGGCTTGTGTAGATTACTGGGAGGATAACGTTGATATGTTGCTCGCTATCTCGCATCAGTCTCTGTGAATTTTCAGATTATCGGTAGACTCTGTCTGCAGTATACTCTAACTCGGTACCTAGCCTAATGGATTTAAAATGGCTGTATTTCGTGTAAAGCGCGTTTCCAACTTCTTTTCCGTCCTTGATGTACCCGAACCCTGCCCGAACTTTTCGATGTGCAGTTCTTGCACTCATGCTGTATGGAGTGAATTTGGAGAGGTTTTAAGGACAGATATCAGGTCAGGGACTTATGAGGCGACATTGCACAGTTGATTGTGAGGCTTCTTGTTAATTGCTGGCGGGTGCATTTTTAGATCTCGAAGCGCCAGCGTAAAGACGACTGAAAAACGCATGTCCAGTGGTGGTTTCACCGTCTGTTTCTGATGCAAAAGGACATCGAGTACTATCGTTGTGCGTAATGGTGAGTACGCGAAGATTACATTTGACAGGAAGAAGGAGCGTTCGATGCAGGAATACGGGAGGTGGGAGAAACTTCTCCGAGCACTTTTCGCGTCTGAGGCGTGTGTGTTGACACGTTAGACTTCCGTTCAGTCGATTTAAGCTGCATCTTGCATTGGAAACGTTGTTCTACTGGTCACTACACCTTCAAAGTCCAAGCGGCTATCTACTCCTGCCAGAACTGAGTTGGAAACCGTTCGTCCTGCAAGATACGCATTCACGGTATCTACGTCGGAGTAAAGACAATCGACTGGCATCATCGCAAGGGGGTTAGTATGCTACGGCTACGTAATACATATATACCAATGATCGTGCTCAAATCATACGTCGAGATCCATGGGTTTCTCCGGTGTTGTAGTATAGTGGTTAGTACGCTTCGTTGTGGTACAATCGTTCTATCGATAAAGCAACTCCGAAGCATCCCAGGTTCGAATCCTGGCAACGCCAATCCAAGACAATTGGAAATAATGTGTCTTTTTGCTGCATTTTCTTCCAGCTTTTTGGTAATCTTCACCATACCCATTGAAACCTACCCAGTCGATCTGTGTCCTTAGTCGTTAACCTGTAATGCAGCCATATGATGTGAGAAACGAATATTATAAAATGTGCTATCCTCATGATCATAATTCTTCTTTTCAACCAATCGCACAGAAGAACACAAGAAATTGCCTCGATTCACCTCATGACTTATCAAAGACATACAGGTCTCATAAGTATTGATTCCTGTCACCTTTCCCAAGAGAACAACGCCCAAAGCACAAAGTAAGATGCGAATGTGATGATCCTTCATGTATTCCTCCCGTTGCTGGGAAGTCAACATTCTACAAAATTACCGTGTCGCATGCCCATGTTGATCGCAAATGAAGGTAGAAGGTTTTGCCATTTTCTCAGTTCGGAAATCAACGTCGTTCCTCGAGTTGACGAAACTTCCTTGCCTATTGCGTGCTCGCTTCATGAGTCTTGACGATGCGCTACAGCTATTTCGTGTCTATTATTCTGCCAACTTAATGTGCACAAGTCCGTGTGCTGGTGAGAGATTCCTGACTCTCAGGTCATGGGGAATGAGTAAGGTCGTACCAGGCACAGCTAAGACGTGCACGACTATCACACTATACCTCCTGTTGTAAACAATTATTAATCTTCGACTCCATTGTGTCATCTTCGCAACGCGGAAACCCTCCCAACGACACTGTGGCCAAGTACAATATGACGCCAGTCACTACACAAGATAGTGCCCTGTCCAGCGCTATTGCGACATCTGGTGTAAAGCAGCAGGTCGATAAGTCCCTGTTCCCAGATGGCTTCAAGACAACAGGTCAGGAGTCAAGCTGAGAACATTCTCCCCGTCACTCACAGAATCAGGTCAACATCCGCCGATATACGAGCAATTATATCCTTATTCAGTCTTTCCCAAATTTATTGATGTACCCACGAAATGGGAGCCAACAACATATACCGATAATCCGGAACGATGGGTACACCCTTTCTCAGCTTCAGAGATAGAGGAGGTCGGTCATGCCGCCGACAAGGTCATTGCCGAGGGCACATCATTGACAGGTATCACGAAAGACCTCTTCGTATTGCCGGATTTAGCACCAGCGCTTGCCTCGATGCGCAACGAATTATTGAATGGCAAGGGCTTCATACTATACAAGAACTTCCCAATATCAGAATGGGGCAACCACAAATCTGCGATCGCCTACCTGGGTCTTGGTTCTCATCTAGGCTACCCCGTCAGCCAGAATGGCAAAGGTCATATTCTGGGTCATGTTAAAGACCTCGGCGACGATAGCACACAGATTGACAAAGTTCGCATCTACAGAACCAATGCACGACAATTCTTTCATGCTGATGAGTGCGACATTGTCGGATTGTTGTGTATCGCAAGGGCAGAAGAGGGAGGTGAAAGTGATGTCGCTAGCGTTCATCATGTTTGGGATATCTTACAGACGGAACGCCCAGATGTTGCGGAGTTATTGACCAGGCCAATATGGTACTTCGACCGCAAGGGAGAGGTCAGTGTCGGAGAGGAAGAGTACATACGTGGTCCTGTATTCTACCTCGAGACTCCACACCCAGCAGATCCTGGCGGACAAGCAAGAGTCTACTGCAAATGGGACCCCTACAACGTGCGATCTCTAACACGCTTTTCAGACAAGGGCATGATTCCTCCTTTGAGTGCGGAACAAGAAGACGCTATCGCTGTCCTCGAAGACGTCTGCGATCGTGTGAAGCTACACATGGTTTTGGAGGTGGGAGACATCCAGTTCGTGGCGAACAGCCACACTCTGCATGCTAGGACTGCGTATAGAGATCATGCTCCTGAAAGTGGCATGCCTAGGAGACACTTGATGAGGTTGTGGTTGTCAACACCACAGAGCGAAGGTGGTTGGAGACTGCCTTTTTGGGACGCTGATGAGAAGAAACGTGGTGGTGTTCAGGTCGATAATGTGCCTCCTGTTGCAAGACTCGATGCTGATTGACGTTCTTTGAAGTCGTTGCTTGCTATATTGGTGGTGTTTGACAGTGATATTGCTATACAGCACAAGATTGTATAGTCAGTATAGAGATCAACATACACCGCAGAGTTTTAGCTGCCGGGAAGTAGGCCCGATTAGCTGAACTTAGAATGCGAACGCTGGAGAAAGTGTTCCGTATTGTTCGATCATCGTACAGAGTAGGCGTTGCGGACCTCTCTACCACTTCATAACCTGCACATCACTTACACCGTTATTTTAGCACATTACATTACAGTGTACAAACATCAAACATCGCACATGTGGCACGCCAAAGCTAGATGCTGATCGAAATGAGGGTAGAGTTCGCAAATTTCTTGGACTTGTGTTCGCTGACTTGTGTATTTCCGCACTATCTTGAATGAGGGCAGGCCATATCCACTTCCGGGCAGGAGGCTGAACACCAAGCCATGGCTTGTACTTATCCAGCTAGCCTCTGGGATTTTGACATAAAGCGCCAGCGATTTACTTCCGATTCATCCACCAGAGCTCGCGTCCTCCCAGTTTCAAGGACATTCGAATATCATAATGTGCCGCCTCGTTAATCCATCTGCCTCCCTTGAATTCTCCAGCTAAAGAATGCCTGTCGGATGCTTTGTTAGCAAGTGCGGCCTCGACTCATAGCTGGGCCAGCTAGCTCATAATACCTATAGCGATATCGCCTATGGTTTGGTTAGTGTGAAAGGACTACAGATATGTACGCAAGCTTGCCTTTGATTCGGGCAGTGATCTGAATGTCAATTTCGAGAGCGATCTTGATGTGTATCTTGAGACTGCCAGCAACATCTTCGGCAGCCTTCTTGTCGAGCTGTAGTGGTGGCTTGCTGCCAAGTAGTCCAGCAGTGTCTGGAAGAGCACCACTATTGTTGTTCTGTCCCTCAGATGTGTTTTGCTGAGGTGTAGTCTCCTCTTCGTCTCCTCTAAGTTAGGGTCAATGGGGTAGTTTCTGTGATGACATACTCTGTACTTACGCAGCCATGGTGATGGTCGTAGCAAAAGTTCAGTAAGGTATCGTAGAAGGAACGAATGAAGGCTTAGACAGATGGTGAGTAAGGAAGTCGTGCAGCGAGCAAGAACGATTGTGCAACTTACGTGGTGAGAGCAACCCTTCCCAATCCAAGCTTAGCAACTGAGGAGAGCAGGAGAGCAGGGTAGTTGCCTGACTCTGGCAGATCGACAGTATTTATTAATTGTGGTAGTTGTAAAGGAAAGAGCTTCTGGGTTGGTAGTGTGAAGTCAAGCAGTTCTACCGTTATGATGTAGTGCCAATTACTGGGCATCATCCATGCGTGCCGATCTTAGATATGGCAGGGGCAGAGGTCCACACCAGCTGCAGCACAAACAGCTTGTGCAGCACTGTACCCATTCATGTATCAGAACCGAGTTATTGTCTCTATGCGTTGTCCAAAGGTGGAAAAGTTGATGTCGGAATCACCTTTTGTACATCCTACTCGAGGATTCGACAGCAACTAACGATTTTCGGTTCCTGCAGCTCTCTATATCATCCTGCTTCCAGGAACAGAGCACATTCAAACGTCGACAACCTGTGTGGTATAGAGCACATTCTAAGCTGGAACTTTGTAACCGCCCTGTACCCTCGGCGCAATATGGTCTTCGGCATTCTATCACTCGCTGCTACTGTCCCACTTCTAGCGACATCTACAGTACAACTTCAGCAAACAGCACAAGAAACCAAAGATGGCAACGGATCGAACATCGGCTCGACAAAGACCAACAAGTGCCATTTGAACGTGGTACCTTCTCCACGCGAAAGAAGTGATGTCAAAAGTGCTCTCAAGGACAGAAGGCTGATTCTCAAGGATGGGTTCGTGAAACTTAGCGCTCAAGCTGAGAAGGACTCTCCGTTTCATCCAGTCACAGCCTATTTTCTACCATTTCCAAATGCCAGCTACGATGGCCTCGTCACTACCATTGATGCCATGAACATGTTGAACTGGTTGTACATCGACAGTACATCTTATCGCGTTACATATGGTACAAGAGCTCAAACTGAGAATCACTTGACGGGACCGATGGGATTGACCTTGATGGCAGATGGGTCATCGAAGGTAACCATGGACGGATGGGACGGCTACATGGCTGTAGAGGGTGAAGATGGCGAATGGTCTTTGTACTTCGATAAGGACTCAAATGGTCTAGCTGGCAAGATTGATGAAAACAAAACTAAACGTACAGCTCAAATAGAGCTTCATCGCGATATGCTGGAGTAAACCACTGTGCTGCAGAGCAGCAGAGAAGGACATTGCATCACGCTATCCTTGAGCAAAACACGCTATACTCACGCTAGTGAAGACGCGATCTGACATCGAAACTGCTTCTCTGGAGTTCTGCAGTCAATATGCTGTATGCTGTCGAGGACAGCCCATTGTCTTAGGGACTGGCATCCTGACGTCGGCTTCGCACACAGGTAGTCCATAGTGACTGCTTCTGGTCGGTCGATGGAGGGTCACTGAATACAGTCGTTCGTGCCAGCGATGGACCTACTTGAGTATTCTGCTGACTGGTCGCTGCAATATTAGTGCTACACGATATGCATTCCGGGCTTATGACAGGTATGGAAACTGTGTTCTATGTAACCTCCTCTGCCTCGTCTAGTCTTCGACTGTCCATCGGAGGAAAATGCGCAAACAAAAGGACACCAAATCCGACGATAGCCACGGCCTAGAGTCGATAGTTAGCATAACACTCAAGCATAGTGAAGTCTGACCTACAGCATTACACGTGAAGACAAGCTCTGGTCTTCCGATCGAAGCGAATCCTGCGAAAACGACACCAAAGACGAAAGCTGGAGAAAAAAGAAAGTCAGCTGAGACGGCTCTGGTAGCTCGAAAGCATATCACTTACTAGTTGACAACCTTGCCATGTTTTCCACAAGACTCACACCAGCCAAGGCATCGGTCCTCTCCGCACTGCTTGCTGAGCTTCCTACCATTTGTAATATTGTTCCTTTGGCTGCAGATCCGGTCCCAGCAGCGAATGGTAGGATTGCAGCCACCAGATACATCTGCCAGTCTTTGTGCACGAACGTGCAAAGTAATGTCAATAACCCATCTGCAACTAAGGAGAAGCGTGTATAGGTGAGGTCGAATGTGAAGGCATCTTGCTTATGTTTAACGTTAGCGTCAGGTCGCTCACCAGCTGGATCTGTGTTTTGAAGCAGCGGCTGTCTCTCTGCGTTCTCCACTGTCCTTCGAGTTTCCTCCTCTCGTCTCGACGTCCATCTGCGTCCAACCGCAATGAGCTTCGGAAAAGCAAAAGTCAAAAAGACACCACGAAGCATAGAATAGGTGAAGATGAGCCAACCATTCTGTTTGGTGCCGAACGAGAACACGTCGGTTGCATAAAGTTGGAGAAGTGTCGGAAGATATCCTAGACCCAATGTGAGCGCAAATAATGAGGATATCGGGACCACCTACCTGTTGCTAGAATACCCAAGAACACTCCCCAAGCAAGCAGGAAAGCACCATACTCATTTCGGATGCTGCCATCTCTGGAAATGTACTTCCTTGGTGCAAACACGGCCAATGGACTGAGGAACTGGGTCAATAAACGTCGCCACTTTCCGCCTGTGGAGCTCGAATCCTTCACTGATCCCCTGCTCGGTGCAATATACGGCAGGCAGAGGGCGACATAAACGCAGCTCAGCATGAAAAGCACCAACGTGAGTCGAAATGGGGCTCGAATACCGAAAGTTTCAGCCACGACGCCACCAAGAAGAAAGCCCACAGCAGACCCGAACATCAGACTGCCAGTTAGTCTGCCGAGAGCTAAAGAAATTGAGTTAGCAGGGGTAAAATTCAAACCCGAGCTGGTCGACTTACCTGCTGTTCTAGCTTCATACTCAACGATCTCAGTCATGAAAGAATTTAAACAGAGTAAATAGCCGCTTGGCCCGCCTACAACGGTCAATACTTGCGAACATTGGATGATAATGATGCCAGTGCTGCCCCACACCTCAACACCAACATTTTGAACGAGCAGTCGCAGTGCTGGAAAGAAGAGTTGCACGAGTAGAGTTGACTTTACACCGATACGCTTGATCAGGGCGCCCGCCAGGAACAGGTTGATCAAGCCGAACACAGTCGTGCTCGCACCTAGCAAGGAGATTGAGAGCGCGGTCGACGACTCGATAGGATGGATGGAGCATCTATCGTCTTTGGTCATGCGAGGTGAGACGGGCACACCTCTTGACCAAAACGTCAACAACACTGAGCCATCCAGCACATAGGCTATTGCTGGCGGCGCAGAATGCTGTTTATAGTATGCATCGCAGGTCATCAAGCGGAATACATACAGCAATGGGACTACAAGTCTTTAGCAAGTCTTCAACAACAGCTGTGTGGGGACAATCTTACCCTGAGTCACTCCAAAGCTCAGACTCGCTATGAATGAGCATAACAGTACCAAGTATCTCTGCCGAGCTGGCCATTTCTTCGTCGTTTCGACGGGTGTCTCATTAGTCACGACATCTGGTTTGACTTCATTCGAGTCCTCCAGCCGTAATGGAATCACAATGCTCTCTACAACGGCAGGTTCTGGAGACCTAGTCCGCGCAAGTGTGAGGTCTTCATCGTCCTCCCGATAATTGTCCTCATAGCGTGGACTTCGTGAAATTGATGAATGTTGTCGTTCGACGGTAGCTCTAGGATTGCTGCTGGCGTCTGGGGTCATCCTCATGGCAAGGCTTGATTTTCCATAGGTTATTTCCAAAACTCCACAAATCTATGACGTGGAGTATGTAAAGTACAACTAAATTATGCCAGGGTTTGGCAGACGATGGTATTGTACTGCTAGAGGATTGGCAAAGTATCAGCGCATAAAAAACAACATGATGAAACAACTATATATGTCCTAATCGGCAACGTTCTGAAGGACTAGTATATCCCAGAGTTTGCATCTTATCGTTGAGCATCTCCGTCCTCGGGAAGGGTGTTGAGCGACCATTCGGCGCAATGGCCCCGTCATGCCGGTTTTCCTGCCTCAGGCATGAGCATTCACATCCCCCATTCTTGGGTTGTTGTTCGAAGTTGCACATTGATCAAATTCTGCCGTACTAACTACTCTGTGCCTAACGATGAAATTTAGGTGACGGAGAGCACGTACGATCGTTGGTTGAGCTTCGAGAAAGTACCAGATCAGAACACGACGGAATGGTCAAGAATATATACAGGCCAAGGGCTGGAAATGGGAAGCAGGGGGACTTAAACCGAATGCTTCAGGAAATTCCACAGTAGAAAGACTAGCCAGCTTGGGAGTAGAGCGTTAACACTATCGCTTGATGAACAAGGCTGGTTGCTGCAGCTACATGTTTGCTATAATCTCGGCTCACGTCTGCTATACTCAATATTCGTCCAGGCTTTCACTCTCTGAAAGTCCATGACATGATTGCTACCTTCCGGACCGAATCGATCTTGAAGATCCGACCAATCTCTATCAACAGCTGTCTCTGGCCTCCATCGGAAGAGTTGCTTCTGTTTTGGATCCATAACGTCCTCTAAACAGTCAGCAATGACGTTCCCTATCGCAGGAATATAAGAGAACCCATGACCGGAGCCGCCAACGCCGAGCACGAGACTAGGATAGTTAGGGTGTCGCGAGATCAAGAAAGATCGATTGGGGGTGTCTGCACACCAGCAGATACGAGCGAAAGAGAACGGTCTGTCAGCAAGATGGGGCATCGTGTCCTGCAAGAAGGATCGAATTCGTTCCTCTGCTTCAATAGGAATCTGATGATACGCGAAAGGAGTGCTAACGCGTTGAGGTCCGTCCGGACTTGTCTCCCAATTACAATATCCTGGATGCTCATCACAAATCTTCAGCTCGTGGTTGTCTTCATCGGGTTCCATGAAGAACCCACGTTCAATATTGAAAAGCACAGGAAGATTTCTGTATAGCTTAGCCTCTTCGGGCGTCATCTTGATGTGAGCAAGAGTCCATGCAGATGGACGAAGTTGGTCTTTCATGTCGAAGATTCTTGCAGCATTCGCGCCTGCACATAGAATTACCCGATCCGCAAGAAACGCAGGACCCTCTGTGACAACGGCACCTTTTACGTCAGCATCTTCGTAAATCAAGCTGGTTACCTGACCACGCTCGCCAGTAATGAAAGTAACGCCGAGTCTCTTTGCTTCAATGATTGTATTTTGCAGTGCTTTTCGTGCCTGCACCCACCCACATCCATTTTTCTTATACCAGCCCTGCCAGCCTGGAAAATCCCCGGTAAGGACTCCTGCGGTCATTGTCTTGCGAAAGTCCTCTTTCGTTCTCAACGGTGTCCATCCGTTGGCCTCGCTGTAACCATCTCCTTCGTTGAGCGCTTCTCGACCTCGCTCACTGGTCGCAGCCGTTACTGCCCCGGTCTCATGGTATAGGTCTTTATATACGGGATCTTGCTTCCAGCCTCGGATGGCGTCCTCCGCAAGCTTATCAGATACGTATCTTTCTGCCGAACCGCGTGGTGCTGACGAGCTCAATTCAAGGATTTTGTTGATGTCGTTTCCTGCAGAAATTGGAGAGGGTGTTGGATAAGAGTCAAGGACGATGATATTGCTGTAACCTCTACGGGCCAGATGAATAGCTGTTGAGCTGCCCCAAGTTCCTGCTCCGACGATCAATATGCTGGAGTTCAGTGCTAATGGCGGTGAAGGCAGGGCACGGTCTGCCACTGCACATCTAACATACATGATGGACTATGTTCTGTTAGTTGTCACTGTTAGCTGTGTAGAAATGTGCTGAAGGCTCTCAAAGGACACGAGTATAGAGGCAAAATCCGTGTTCTATCGTGCAAAAATCTCATCATAGGGAAGTGGTACATTATCATTTTATAGTCAGCGCATTTCAAGCTCGGCGGGCGAGATGTGTTAGCATGTACTTGAGGACTTTGGAACAATAGCAACGATAAGAAATTTTCATCTAATTCGAGAACCAGAGGCATAGCAATGATATACGTGCTTCGCATCGACTGAAATTCCAAGGCATTCAGGCATCAGAATCTTTCACAATGGCATGGTGCAAATCGTGAGCAGAGATCATAGAAGTAAGAGTACTACAGTCTCGTCTTTGCGATAACGATAATCGTGATCTAAGCATCGAGTGCTACAAGGTGGAACGCGCAGGGTGCCTGCGCTCCTCTGTGACAAATGTAGTTGCGTCGACCATGGTGCGTGGATGCCAATACCACGTTGATTGAATAGAATTGGAACTTACTTTGGTCGCCTCAACCCGGAGACCACACCAGCATGACTCGTGCCTTCACAACCTTGACTTGTCTAAATGATGAGTAATCGCAGCTACCTACTAGCTGTCACTTTGTCACTGTCCTTTTCAGATCGACTATAGCTTACGTCCAGGGATTTAAACTATGTCACTTCCCCCTCAAACGCTCAAGGGCAAGGTTGCCATTGTCACAGGAGCATCACGAGGAATTGGAGCCGTAATAGCCCTTGACCTGGCAAAGCGTGGATCAGATGTGTGCGTGACTTATATGTCCGAGTCTTCCAAATCTAAATGTGAAGATCTTGCTGCTGAGGTGTCGAAGTTGTTGAATGGCACGAAACTGGTATATTTCCGGGCTGATGCCTCGCAAGAAGAATCAGCTGAACAGGTCGTCGAAATAACCACCAAATCCTTTGGAAACCACATTGACATCTTGGTCAACAATGCTGCAATAGAGATTGATCGTCCAATCACCAAAACCACAAAAGAGGACTTCGACAAAGTCTACCATACGAATGTGCTCGGACCTCTGTTACTTACCAAAGCTGTGATACCTCATCTGCGAACACCAGGTCGCATCATCAACATCTCGTCCGTGGGCGCTCGCACAGGATATAAGAATCTGGCACTCTACGCGTCCAGCAAGGCAGCACTCGAAGGCCTCACACGAAGTTTTGCAGCAGAACTCGGAGACAAAGGCACAACTGTCAATGCTGTGGCACCTGGGCCTGTACAGTCAGACATGTTGAACCAGATTCCGGATGAGATCAAGATTCCTCAGAGACAAGCAACCGCGGTGCAGAAGCGCTTTGGGGAGCCACAAGAGATCGCAAATGCTGTTGCATATCTTGCTGGACCTGATGCATCATGGGTGTCTGGTCAAGTGCTGAACCTGAGTGGCGGTTGGACAATGTACTGATGTCGCTATACCAGATGGGAACACTATGCTCGAATATCGGCAACACGAATATTTACGATAGATACAATGATCTGATGATAAGAGGCCGCAGGACGTGTGATTGTCCAGGAAGAGATAGCTTCCAGTATAGTCGGTGCAGGAGGCACGCAATTGTCTCTGGTATGGTCGTCATAACGAAATAGTCGGAATCCCTGAGGTATTGTCCACCTTTGTGTAGAGCTTATCAGGAGATGACATATCGTTTCTGGCTCCCATTCGCGGCAACCAAGTTTGTGAGCCTTGATATAGCAATTAATCACTTTCTTCTTTCGCAATCGACCATAGGGTTAGGAAAATAGGGGTTCCCGTTCGATCACCCGTACTCAAGCCTGGCGCCGACGAGTTAGTAGTTGGGTTGGAGACAACCAGCGAATCCTCGCTGTTGATTGTTTTGCATTTTTGCAGCTCGCCCAGACAACATGGACGTTGACATCCCTTCGAGAAAGACGACGTCATATCCTTGCACTGTAAATAGTTGGAAAGTTGTTCGTCTTCCCTTGGCATAGAGATCATGCCCCGGCCTAATAAATCCGTGCATTTTTGTAACTCCGCTTGTCGCGTCAGTAGTGCGATACGCGTGCTTTAGTTTTCTCGCACTCTACGCGAATTGAGGTGCTGATATTGTTCCATGGCCTATCTTCTTGCCCAGAGAAGAGTCTCACGACCAGAGTTCAGGACAAGATTGAGTTCTTTTCCAGCATCAGGCTCCGCACAACCCTTGCCGTTTTCCAACACCATATTAGAAAGCAAGGACTACCCTCCTGCTCGAGTATAGGCTTGTACGATGGTCTTATGCGATCGAGTCACATAGACCACCTCAATTTTTCATTATTGAGGAAAGTGGGAGGTTCTCTACCATCGCGACTCACACTGTGCTCAATACAGCTGGTCTTTCTGCAAGATATGCCTTGCCAAGCATGCTTCTCGCTTACACTTGTCTTGGCCCTGCAAGCCACTGCTCGAGACTGAGAGAAGAGTCGAGCGCAGCCACGGCCGACATCTTTGTCTTGCGCATCCTCACTCCAAGACCGCAAGGTATGAGACTACTCTACAGCATGCTCTGACTGCTTCTGCAGCAGTGCTGAACCATGTCTGACCGCCGGTATGGTGATTTCAGCGGACAAGGCTCGTCCCATATACATGCGGGCGACAGTCACATCACCAACCATGGTCTGATTGGCAAGTCAGCAATGCTCTAACCAGTTACTATTCTGACTTGTCAGTGCACCTCAATGGCGAGAACGTGAACGCCGAAACCCTCCAGCTTCTGTTGAATCACTTAAACAGATCAGTAGTCGAACCAACGAAGAGAGATGCTAAGACAACAATTGGGGACGAAAGCGAGGATGGTAGCCATACAACAGAACTGCCTTCGATACGTGATATCCGGATTGCAGCAGTACCTGCCCTTGCAGCAAAAAGTGCAGAATGTCCTACCATAGCCAGCACTGGAGCGCACAGCCAGACACCAGCTCCCCCACGTCCACCTCCGCCACCTCCCCGAGCACTCTCTGCCACTGATATCAGGTCGGTCCTGAATCAATATCCACTGGACAATTTGGCAGTCAAGATCCCAGTAGAAGCGTCAAATCAGAAACCAGTGCCGAGCAGGCCCCCAGTATCACAAGACGCAGGGCCTCGCTCCAGTGTGCCAGGTCCAGATTCCTCCCCAACGAAGCCAGAGCTGACTATGCGAGTAACAGTTCGTGGTCCGCCGAAGCCTGATGGCGCTTCTGGAAGCCAGACCAATGCTGACAACCTTACTGTGCAGACCACTCCTCCCTATATCTTGGCAAGTATTACTATCATCGTGGGGAATATTAGAACTACGTATCTCTCGAGCTGTGGTGGATGGAATAGGGTGTTTTCACCTGCAAAAGTTGACAACTTGTCAGTAAGTCCTACAGCAACACAGAATCTTCAGCTGGTGTTACGTCTAAAGAAGACTTGGTTATGGACTCAGACTGCAAAGAAGGACTTCTTTAGCACACCGGAAATTACACCTAAAGTCGACGTTGTGCTGAACTCCTGCACGATTGAGATTCCCTCGACGTGTCTACAGGCGTTGAGGCAGAAGTATGATGGGTACTACATCAGCAACGAAGTCAGCGACTTACTGTCCTTTACCCGCGCTCCTGTGTCAGGATTGTCTGCCACCGCAAACATGTTGCTCAATACCAGTTTGCTCGATGGCGAGAGCTTCGTGTTAATGTTCGGCAAAGACACGTACCTTCGCCCTACGCGAGGACGTCGCAAGGAATCTGTCCAGTCAAGAACAGTAGAATTCTTTACATTGGACGTTCTTCCCCGAGAACACGTGCACAGTATTCACGTGCGGAGTGGAGGTTACAATCTGTTAAAATATCTTAATAACGCTGGTGTATGGCAGAGGATGTCAGGTCCGGATAACACGGGCAAGTTACGAGGTCGTGTTGGAGGGACGTGGGGCCACAAAACAGCACAGATTGTCGTTCGTTTGTGCAAAGGCTGGACCTGGATGTCGCCAGAGTCGGTCTCTTCAGAAGTGATCGTACGGCAAGAGACAGACGATGGACTTCACAACAGTGAGATCATCATATTCCGTGGGGACGTTCCTGACAAACTCATCACAAAGATCCAGCCATGCCTGTCGATATGTTGCGTCAACGTCCCAGCCGTACTAAGCCCGAAGCCTTTAGCTATAACTGGAGAAGCTATCGGCTCGAGTGCTATCAGCACGCAGAGCGTTACAACTACACCGCCCATCGCCAAAGCATCCACTAACGCCAGGCCCTCTCTCACAGCTTACGAGCCACTCAAACCTGTCGCAAAAGGCCCAGCTCCACCTCCTCCACCACGAACATTGCGAAAACGAGACGTAGCAATCGCTCTGGCAAGCTTAGTATTCGACTGACGACGTGGTCAACGCTAGTCGTGGTCTCCCCATTTCTACCGGCTATCTGAGACTACCAAGATACGAGGGTAGCCTGTATCGGCCAAGCCTCATATCGGCAGTGTTGCGAGCATTCTACCAAGTCACGACAACAGCTGATCAAGATTCTATCACGAAGATATTAAAAAGTATGCTATATCTAGCAGCACGACGCACTGAGAAGACTCTAAAACGAGTCCAAGCTAAGGATATAGGATACCTCGATCGATCGGTCAACGAAAGAACAGCTTGGAGACGAGATCGGGCGCTTCGTCTTGGAAAGACGGGTCGTCCAGCCCTTCAGCCTTATTCTAACGCAGCATTGAACCCAGCTTTGGACCGCTAGCTTGCAGATAATAGTCAACGGCTGACAGACATTGTAGAACTCGCTACAGATTGGCATGATCAGCTCGAAGGTTGCAAATGTTGCATTAAGATACTAGGTCTGGCTGCAGGCAACTGGGGCTGTGGCTTGGGGAGGAGAGGTGGGCTATTCGTCGTAAGTTTAAACATAGTGTAGCGCAAGAGTACTTGGTTGTGGGAGTGTCTCCGCTGCAAGCATTGAACTGCTCGTTGTTATGAGCAGGACTCTTGCAGTCAACTTGAACTCGAAGTCCGTCCCGGGGTACTCCAAGCAGTACCCATAGCACTAAGATCAGTAAGCACAATTTGCGGAGCCCGCCTAATTTTGGGGTCCACGTAGCGCAGTCTTTGGTGTGCAGATCTCCCTCCTGACTTGTGCTCATGATGCTTTGCTTGCATACAAAGTCGATTACTATTTCCACCAGATGCGCAGCGTAAGGCGCTGGAACATGTTGGATGTGTGACTATAGAAGGAGAACATACATCTGAGGCTGATCGAGAACCCCAAATTCATCAACCCTACACTGGTGCTGGCTCATCGAGTCAAATCCTATGGATAAACCATACAGAGATAACACAACACAAAATACACATCACGCTGGCAGCAGTCAAAACGTCCCTGTAAATCCACGCAGGAAGTTTCGCAGAAGGGGTACAGGAGACAATTCGGCAGCACCAGAAATCTACGATAGCGAAGATGAGGAGAAATCAGTAATGTCAGACTCATCCGAACACGAGCTGGACGCTTTCGACTCGGACGACGATGTCGAGTCTGGCTTGCCTACGGAAGAAAGACGGAAGTTTCTGCAGAAGCAGCGCAGGCGGAATGACCTTGAATCGAGAATAGCTGGTGTCGCAGGACGACTGTCTCAGGAAGAAAAGAAAGAGGCCGACAAGAATGTCCTGCGCGAGTTGGGTGCGAATGCTGTTCTGATAGGGCTTTGGTATTTCTTCTCGCTCTCGATATCTTTGGTTAGTCTGGAATTGCTGGACAGAGGCTCCTATGCTAATACATACTATAGTACAACAAATGGATGTTCTCGTCGGACAATCTCAACTTCCACTTTCCCCTCTTCACCACTAGCCTACACATGGTCGTTCAGTTCCTGCTAGCCAGCACAGTCCTCCTTATATTTCCCTCTCTGCGACCAACGACCGCCACACCTCACGACAAGCACGCACCTCCCAAACCCCTCCTAACTCCAATCTTCTACCTCACACGCCTCGTCCCATGCGGAACCACGACCTCCCTCGATATTGGCCTCGGCAATGCCTCCCTCCAAACAATAACCCTAACCTTCTACACAATGTGCAAATCCAGCGTCCTCATCTTCGTCCTCATTTTCGCCTTCCTCTTCCGCCTCGAGCAACCCTCCCTGAAACTCATCCTCATAATCCTCAGCATGACCACAGGCGTAGTCATGATGGTCTTCGGTGAAACAGCCTTTCAGCTCGGCGGCTTCCTCCTCGCCATATCAGCGTCTTTCTTCTCCGGCTTCCGCTGGGCACTCACGCAGATCCTCCTCCTCCGACATCCGGCGACCTCCAATCCTTTCGCGACAATGTTCTTCCTCGCTCCAATCATGTTCGTCACGCTCTTCACGATCGCTCTCTTCAGCGAAGGACCATCCGAAGTCGTGGTGGGCCTACAGCTCCTAGCGCACAACCTCGGAACCGCAAAGGCTGTACTCTTAATGTTCGTCCCTGGTGTCCTAGCCTTCTGCATGATCGCATCGGAATTCACACTCCTCCAACGAACGAACGTTGTCACGCTCAGTATATGTGGCATATTTAAAGAGGTGGTCACAATTGGTGCGGCGGGGATTGTCTTCCACGACGAATTGAGCGTGATCAATATTAGTGGATTGCTCGTTACGATTGTCAGTATTGCTTGCTACAATTACATGAAGATTAATAAGATGAGGAAAGAGGCCAGGGAGAGTTTGAGTAAGAAGGAGGAAGGTGGAGATACTGCTAGGGACGATGCGTATGTTGAGGAGCCTGCGAGAGAGCCGTTGATGAAGAATAGTGGGCATGAGGAAGATACTACACCGAGGAAGAGGTCGAATTCTACTTCGCAGCCTGGGTCGAGTAGTAGAACCAGAAAGGCATCGAAATGAATATAGTTTATGAAGCTGTGCTAAGAATTGGTTAGATGGTACTATCTCCTCTTCAACCTCCTATCTACGTGTCTCGAGCTGACTCCTGAGTGCTCCGCGTGAATTGAGTCAATATAGCTTCGTGCGAAGGAGGACGATGTCTTCAAAGTACATATGCAGGTGAAGCAGGACTTTGTCGTACTCAATGGCACTTTCGCATGTGACCAGCAGCTACTTTAGTAGCAGTGCATTGGCCGACCATTTTGTTTCTAGACTATGGCCGTGGTCTGTGCTTTCTCACAATGTGATCTCAGCTTCCTGCCTCAACACGGCTAGAGAACACCTTGTGATGCGTTGTAGCAGCACGATTCGAAGCGAGCATTCCCAGTTTGAGTAAATTGAGGCTTGTATTCTACTCTCTGGTGTCTATCCGCCTTTCTTGAGGTTGTTTCTGCCAGCAGACGTTGGAGACTCTCCCAGCCTGTTATCGATTTGTTGCTTTCCAAACTTAAGGGCTATCTTGTTCCGCTCCATATCGAGCACACGTTTCATCCGATCAATGTCTCCACTTGCACCGTCCATCAATCTAACATTTGTAGGCTGGTAGGGCTTCTCGATAATGAAAGTCTCAGACACAATCATAGCGTTGCCGTGCCACTGCGTGGGCATAGTTCGACTGAAACTATCGAAGAGTGCTTGTTCGGCTGGGCTGGTCCCTTTAGGTCCCTGCCGTGACTGTGCAGTCTGTAATTTTGTGACTTCTCGATTTAGGCGTGATTGTAGGGCTGCAGTATCAAGGGTATTTCGTTGTGGTGACAACTCAAGGTTACTCATCTGTGCTGGAGGAAGCGCTTGAAGCTGGAAGGAAGATATCTGAGAGATAGGTATTATTCTGTAGGAGCCGCTGGGGGCATGAAGTGTCGAGGCTGATATGGCAGTATTCTGAGCTGGAGAAACATTGACAACGAGAAGGTTCGTGGTCGCATCGGCAACATAGATTGTGCCTTCAACAGTGGACTGGTTGGGAGCAGCAGTACTTACGCGTACCCTTACAGAAATGTTAGCACGATTCGTCGAGGAAGATACGAGACCTGTACCTTGACCCTATGGCAGCATGCAAGGCGGCCTCCTGCGACACCATCTGTGCCGGTGACTGCGTGCCGTCTGTCTTTGGTAGTGCGACAGCTACTTTGGGAGCTGAGCTCTGGCGCTTGCTCTCGGAAGCCATGCTTCTACCTATGCAGAGTACAGCCCAAGTCAGGTCGAGCCAGGTATCGCTGGAGACTGTTCAGACTGTAAGATCCTCCCACGGTAAAAAGCTCAGAAGTGCAGAAAGCAGATTCCAACCAGGATGCAGCGCCCCAACTCCGATGCAATGTCTATTCAGAATGCGCTGGTTGTGGTATGAGTCGTGCTCGTGCACCAGTTGTTTGATCGTTCGTGGTTTCCTCCGCAGGGCGCAGGAAGCCCCAAGATCGGCAAGTACGCTAGAGCCACTCGTGGCGCCTCGAATCGCTCCTTCTCGGTGTGCTCCGCCGTGCCCTGCTTTTCGGCCACGGGACACATTATTACCGACTCCCTCTCGGAAACGTTCAAAGGCCGAATGAGAGTCGATTGACCTGGCATGACCCTGACAGTGATGGTTGCTATACGTACTTGACGGAATTTTCAATGCTCCAGGATTCCATACACGTCATAGCACATTGAAGATAAAAAGTTTGAGCTCGCTGACTATCTACCAGAACCTTTCGTGGAATCATAAGCCATTATCGTCTAATCTACACACCATCAGACAAGTCGAATACGAAACACGCTATACCAATACCTCTAAAGAAACGTACTGCATACGAAGTTCCGAACAGAGTCAGCGACAACATGCCTTCCCCTTCTGTAGCAGCTACACAGATAGTCAGCATTTCCACGGCCTTGGTTGCTGCTGGCGGAATTGCAACTTTATCACTCTTTGACATCCCTGAGCTTCAATCTCAACCAGCTTCACGCTCTCTTCCATCCATACAATGGCTTTTCAGCCGTGGATCACACATCTTTCCTCAGGCCGCGGCTCTCTCCAGCGCTGGATTTGCATATCTCGCATATAATGCTCTTCCAGCCAGTTCTCGACCAGTGTTAGAGCGTATCCAGCATGGAGATGTTCCTGGCTATCTGGCTGCAGCAGTGCTCACCATCAGCATCGCACCGTGGACCACCGGGGTGATGGTTCCCACAAACTTTCGAATTATGGAGATTAACCAAAACAAAGGAGGTGCAAGAAGTCAGAAAAGTCGTGAGGTCGCTGATTCAATCCCGGATAAGGATGCAGCAGGTCAGTTCAGTGACCTAAGTGCACCACAGGAAAAGACACCACAGGGCATGTCACAATCCGAAGAAGAGGAGGTGCAGAGCTTGCTCGATAAGTTCAATAAGCTCAATGCTGTAAGAGCCGTTTTGATGGCTGTTGGTGGCGTCGTTGGTCTCTATACAGCCCTTGCATGATGGTCGAGTCTGGGCTGATGGTTCACACGTACGTTCGATTCATGAGCTTGCGACATGCTCAATATAATAGATTAATATTCGTACACCTGCACAAGAACAATGAGTTATGACAAACCAGCCACAGCTTCCACGTCTTTATGCCGTGCCTCTTCTATCTGCGGCATCAACTTCTCCATATCTTGACTCAGCTCTGCTTCCAGATCCAATTGCTTGTCGCCAACCCCGTCCAGTATGCCCAAGTAGTAGCTCAGATCGCGTCCGTCAAATTCCCGAACATCGAAACCATTACCCAGGAACTCGAACATATTCTTATCGTTTTTGTACGTAATCTGATAATCCTCGTACCTCGGTGTCCCTAGAAGGTCTAGGAAAGTCAATCGAGAGCCAGGGAATATCGGCACGGGACCATCAATGCGACCCTGCTTGAACCACGAGGAGCATGCATCTGTCCATGCTGTTCGCTTCAAGAACAGATCAGCGTGGTCTGTAAACTGTCTGGCGACTTCCTCTCGAGGGACAATTTTCTTGATTCGATCTTTTTGCATCTTCTTGATAATCTGGATGATGTTTCCTGCCAAAGTTTCAATTATGGGCAAGAAGCTGCCGTGCCCGAGCGGCCCATACTATAACATGTTAGCGTGACAGTCTTTGCAAATGCTGGAATGCTTACTGGTCCGCCCATCATGAAGTAGTTAGGCATATGAGGTACTGCGAAAGAGAGATAAGAAGGTACAGGTCGATCTTTCCACATCTCGATCAATGACTTCCCATTCTCACCTAGTACAGGAAATCGTGGTCTCCAAGATGTGTCAAATCCAGTCGCACATATGATCACGTCCACCTCAACTTCACTCCCATCAGAGTCAACAAAGCCCTTGGGGGTAATTTCACGCATCAAGCTGGTGTAGACGTGCACGTTCTCGCGATTCAGAGCCTCGAGGAACCCATTTCCAGGTGTCGGTCTCCGGCACCCAACACCAAAATTCTTGGGTATCATCGCATCGCAAAGCTCTTCGTTTCCATCCAATTTCGTGGCCATCTCGTTCGCCGCAAAATCGACTGCCATTTTTGCTTCTGGCGTGTTTTTGAGTATGAACTTAAATCTCTGGTTTAACTCGCTCTCAATCATCTTGCTATACTTCAAGTGCAACGCAGGATTTTTGTCGAATTCTTCTTTTTGTCTTGCAGTGTACGCGAAGTTTGCGCCGTTCTTGCCTGCAAACTTCTGTGCAAATCCTGCCGTGATCCAGGTTGGTGTCTTGCTGGTAAATGTCAGCCAGGACAGTTCCAGCCATGGAACAGTTCAAGAAGAGTACCGCCCCAGGTGCTAAAGTACTCACATCCAGGTATATAACTGTTTCACTTGTGGTGCAATCTTCGAAATGCATTGTATGCCAGAAGAACCAATTCCTATGACTGCTACTCGTTGGCCGGTTAAATCTCTTCCTTCGGTGTATCGTGCTGTATGCTCCAACACTCCCTGAAAAGAGTGCAGACCTTTCACGTCCGGCCACTTCCAGTTGTTCAACACGCCGTTGCCGTTTATGAGCAGATGACATTTATCCATGAATTCTTCTCCACTTTCAAGGTTTCTGATTGTTACGTCCCATTGTCCAGCTTCGTCGTGCCACTCACACTTCACGATCTCGTGCCGTAACTTGATATACTTATTCAACCCGTATTTGTTCGTGGTATCTTTGAAGTATCTCCATATTTCTGGCGATTCGGAGTAATACTGCGACCATCTGTCAACCCCTTAGGACACGATGCTGGTCTATCGAACATACCTGACTCCAGTTTGGGTTTCTTTCCCAGGTGAACTGGTAGCAAGCACTCGGTATGTCGCATGCACATCCCCTAATATATGTGTCAGTAAGTATTGTCTCCGATATGTCGGGGTTCACTTACGGATATCTGTTCTCCAACCAGGTCCCGCCAACATCGTGATTCTTCTCGTATACTTGCAACGTCACATCCGAATTGATGAGCCGATCCTGATAGAATTTGCTGAAACATATTCCCGATGCACCAGCTCCGATGTGAACGACTCTGAGTGGCTCCCGCGTGCCGTGGGACTGTTCGAGTATCCGATAGCCTGTCTCGTCTTCAACTAGCCATCCGAGGTCATTGTATATAGTCTGCTGGTGATCTCGAGCACTTTCGCCGTCTGTGGTGCTACACTGCATGTCCACTCCCGAAATTTCCGCCACAGAAGGTGCCATGCTTGTCTTCCTATAAATTAGACTGGAGCCGCGCTTCAGAATTTCAAGTCCTGGTAAGTTCTGGCGCTGGGCCAGATATATCCAACTTGAGTTTGATACCGAGGCTCTATTACTGTAGCTCCACTCCGGGTATAGAGGTGTCAGGCAAGGCCGTACGCGGAGAACGAATTTCGCAACTCCAAATTTTCAGCCTCACAAGCCTGCCACGCCTGCTATGAAGCTCCGGGCAATAGCACTAGTATATGGCATCCTGTAGAGTCTTGGCTACTCAGTATTTGTTTCGACTCATACCCGCTTGTCAGCTGGAGAACAAGGTCAATGGAGAATAACGTGCTGTAAGGACGCGTACCAAACAGTCCTGTAGACCCTGTTCTTTCATATCCAGCTCGATGTCCTTTACAAGTGTAGTTGGCTGTACTTGTCATCACGAATGCTGGAATAGACGTCACAACCAGCCTGGATGAGCAAGCGAGGCTCATCCCAATCAGTCACAATGTGCAACAGAGATCTTGAAGGAGCAGGAAGGTAGGTAAAGTCGACTAGCAACGGCCGTCTCGACCGTCTCTTCAGATTCGATCGGACTCTATTCGCGCAAATGGCTTTGAGTATGCCAGTCCCAAGGTCAACCACGAGATTTGCATTGACACGTTCTTTGATAACGCGTTCGACACCCCCGAAAAGTATATCTTGTGAGCGAAACGCGGGAGGCATTGTTGTCAGTAATGCTGTTCCCGCGATGCGCTAGAAAGAAGATTGACTTCCGCAAGTGGAGTCAATCGCGAGATCCTGAGGTCGCGTCTCATTTTGCCGTGCAGCATTTACTTGTTCACAAGACGAGCATGCTCGGTATGCGGTTTACAACACCCAAATTTCGTCTGTCGCTGAAGCGAATGTCCATAAAAATCATGAATCGAGTACGTTATGGCCCTGAAACACAAGAGCAGAACTCTTGAATGCCGATCAATCCTCTTTGTGTCACTCAGCAGAGTGAGCCCACCATAGTGGTTGAACGAGGAATCCGACAGAGGACAAGAACACTCTACAGCATATTCGTGTTGGTCTATCAGTGACCAAATAGCTTCCACGCGTCCATCTGCAATAATGCCGTCCCGTTGTACTATACCTAGAAATTGGACGTCTTGGGACAGTGCTGGACAGGATCTTACACGCCGCAAAACCTATAGGCTACAAGCAGAGAGTGAAGGCTATGATCGGCGGGACCAGAAACAACACGCTAGGAGGCGGCGAAGTGGTTAAGCATGCGTCGATCGACATGGCATGCAATTAGGGCGAGCGGGCACAGCAGTATGACAAAGACCTACAAATGGTGCTGCGGCACGAGCACTACCGGCTGCACGGCTTCGAACGGTGTCGAGACGGCGGATGGATTGACGGTATACCAATCCAGTCCAGACGGCCACACACGCACCACGCTCCTTTGGTATCTCTCTCAGAGCAGTCGTTCCACGGAAACATTACCATCATCTGGAGGAAGATTTCAGGTCTCGGATCGGCAAAATAGGATCTCAACAGAGCACCAGTTGTCCCTGGTATCAGTCGATGTCGGCTCAGACGGAGCAATCTCGTCATTGACCTGGAAATTCTTCCTGAAAGATCGCAAGCCAGTGAGAGTGTCCAGATGAAAGGTCTTTTATACCACGAGTCTGGTCCCGTCTTCAGGTCAATATACTCTTTCAGGCAACCGGGAATGTTATCGGCCAGTTCGATCAAGGCGTGCAATCGGTGCTATGAAGAAGAGGCATGCTATCATCCAGGAGTCATTCAGCAGTTCGTGCGGCTTCGTTCTAGTGCTCGCTACGTCGTTCGATGTGTTCTGTCATGCCGTAACCGATGCGGCTGCTAATTCATAGAGCTGTCTACTAAGCATACTGCAATCGAGGTTCTATATAGTTGAGATGAGTATTGTTTGGCTGGATCAGCGGGTTATGTCGCATGATTCAAACAATCACCCGAACACGTCCCTCAATATTGGTAGCCTTGCGAATGCACCTTTAACTGTTTCACCAGCTTTACCAGACCGGAGACTGCTTATCTAGTGCGAGCACAAGTACAACGGACCAAGGACGGCCGAAACTCTTCCAGTATCCCAAACGAGACTAGTGAGTCGAGTGAGACTACCTTAATCCGTCAGTGACTCCTCATCTGCCCGTTGGGACCCGGCCAGCCAAGCATCCGACTTCTACATACCTCTTTTTAACAGGACGTTCTCCTCCCACCTTCGCTTTCTGTCTCTCACCACCAAAACGCCATCGGCGGCGTAACAAGTCACCCGTCCAGGCCGCCGAGTAAACTCGATCACTACCCTTTGCAAGCCCTACCTCAACTTGCATAGTGACGCGCAATGGCTTCAGCAGCATGCGCTTCCATCAGACTCTCAGTCGAGGTCGCTCCAGGCTAATGACCTTGACGACTACGGTTTACAAAGCGTATCTCCCTGGTTCCCTTCTAATGGATTTCACGACATTACATCTTCTGAGTGGACACCTGAGAGTCTACTTGATTTCGATGCAGTCGACGGTAACGAGGCCACGCTTGCTACCACAGCTGCATCGCCTTTGGTATCAAAGACAAATTTACAATATCCTACTTCGGCCGTCATCGAGGAGGACATCATCGACTCTTCCGTACTTCACTGCGATGGGATTATGCCAACTACAGCCGACTTCTTCGGACTAGACATTGGCTCAGGTTACGGACCCTCCTTGGAGGTCTCCCAGGAAGTGCTTAACCGGGCACAGGAAAACCTACGAAAGTGGACAGACATATCATCAAGTGCAGCATCAACATCTACCTTGTCAACAACCAGTCCTGATGATTCATGTCAATTCGACTTATTGAGCCAATTGACAGCCACCCCACCCAACAGCCAGCAAATGTCTTCAAACGTGACTGCTCCTCGATCCGAACAGCAAAACTCACGTGCGTCCTCACCAGGAGAAAGCACTACCAAGATGGGTGTCCTTCACAAATCACAAGGCACAGCGCCTTCCAAAGTCCAAAAGACCTTCCACTTTGTTGCAAACTCAGACAAGAAGACTGCTACACGTCTGCGAAATACTATGACATCTCGAAACTTGAGGCAAAGCAAGATCTCGAGAATCGCGGAGCTAGAACGCGAGCTCGAGAAGCAGAAAGAGGAAAGTGAGCTGTGGCGTCGACGGGCACTTGAAGCAGGCTGGCAGGACGGTGGGACGGGGTAGCTAGGTCTTCATAGTTCAAGCTGGAAAATTCTCGTCCACGTGCAATACGATTTATCTTTGTGCCTGAATATGCGTATGTGTAATGCTACGTATATTCGTGGTCTTTCCGCACTGTTTTGAGCTTAGAAATCTAAAATAGCTCGCGACCACCGTTGGTGACTCCCGAGCTTCTCTTCCGCAACATCTAGCCTACAGCACACGTCTTGAGCACTAGGTTTTGGAACCAACTTAGAACCTTCTCGTAAGCGGAGCTGGCTTGTTGCCCAGCGTCTCATCTATCTCGTTCATGATTTCTGGTGTAAGCTTCTCAATCACACTCAATGATTGCACTGCCTTTGTAACCTGTTCAATCTTTGAAGCACCGGTAATCGCAGAGCTGACATTAGGATTCTTGAGGATCCAAGCATAAGCCAAACTCGTCATATCCGTACCCAACTTCTCGGCAATAGGCTGTAGCTTCTTTGTCTGCTCGATATCGTGTTGCCATGTGGCGTCACCATAGGACTTGGCTTTGTTACTGCTGAAGGCATCTTTGGCCGATGCGTATCTGCTGTCGTCGGGAATTCCATCATTGTACTTTCCTGTCAGGATGCCTGTTTTTAGAGGGCTGAAAATGGTCAGGCCGAGGCCGTAGTACTCGTACAACAGAGCGAACTCCTTTTCGACTTTCTCGCGTGCGAGGAGGTTGTATTGTGGCTGTTCCATCACAGGGCCAATGAGGTTGAGACGCTCTGCGCAAGCCCAGGCCATGGCGATCTCCTCGCTGTTCCACTCGCTTGTGCCCCAGTAGAAAGCTTTGCCAGTATTGATTAGGTAGTTCATGGCTCGGACAGTCTCCTCCATCGGGGTATTTCGATCTGGTCTATGGCAGTAGAGAAGGTCAACATAGTCGAGTTGTAGACGCTCCAGAGCAGCATTGGTGCCCTCGATCAGATGTTTTCTCGAAAGGCCTCCATTGTTGACTGGATTGTTACCAAAAGCGCCGCCCCACTGTGAGGTTGTTAGCTTCCAATGGATGGTCGTGATTGACCGCAACTTACATTGATCTTGGTCGATATTACCAGGTCGTTGCGCTTCCAACCATATTTCTTGATGGCCTGTCCCATGACAATCTCTGATTTCCCTTCTGCATAAGCTTCTGCACAATCGAAGAAATTGATACCGGCATCGTAAGCAGCCTTCATGCAGTCAAAAGCAATCTGGTCGCCGACGTGGCCGCCATACGTGACCCATCCACCCAAACTAATGACTGATACTTGTAGACCAGACCGACCAAGGAACCGGTACTGCATCTTGGGGAGCTGCTCTGTGGATCCCATTTTGACAAAAGTGAATGCGCTCTAGGTCTAGAGACTAAAGTGGTTTATGTAGGTGGATTCAAGTTTCACTAACACTTTGAAGAACAGGAGATTTGTAGGCAAAAAAAGGAAAAGCTGATTAACTCGACAGGCTTGTGGTAAGGTTCCCGTACATGGTGCCTGAATTTCCATGACGATGCCCTCCGGAGTGATTATGCGGGGATTGCATGGTGCAAGAAAACTCACGTGGAAATTCGGCTAAATGAATTGAAGGGCTAATGCAACAGAAGGGAAAAGCACTTCTGCATGAACAGTTGAAATTCGAGTTTGACATGTCAAGAATCACCAGTTCCTGGGACTTATGACTTACTGTGTGCTATCACATCTTTCGAGAACGGCAGGGTGTTACTAGAAGGATCACTGCATATAGGAAGGTAGTGCACCGGTCTGCAAAGAATTCCTTCATGTAGTGAATCACTGAGCAGAACCAACGCGAGACCATGATACGAGTGCAACGAATATGCGAGCTTAACAATGTAAGCAGCAGGTCTTGTGCTCTGAACCTGAACGAAACAAAACAACTTTGTCGTACCCGGATGTCAAGCCAGGCAGTAATGCAGCTCCAACCAGGCAGAAATTGTTTTGCCAAGCACATTGGAAAGTGCGACGAACTTTTGAGAGTCTTGAGATTGAGTGTATTGATCCGAATCGCCTTCACCACGATACATACCACTCTCGCACCTCGTCGCCAACATGACTGAACAACTCATCCACCGAGGTACCTTGGAGGGCCACTCCGGCTGGGTCACCAGTCTCGCGACCAGCTTGGAAAAGTTAGTAGAACTGCAGATATAGCACGAAGAGCATTTGGCTAACTAGTCGATCCAGCCCGAACATGCTCCTTTCTGCTTCACGAGACAAGACCTTGATCATCTGGAACCTCACCAGAGACGAGACTGCCTACGGCTACCCAAAGCGATCGCTGCACGGTCACTCACATATCGTTTCCGACTGCGTAATATCTTCCGATGGTGCATACGCTCTCTCTTCATCGTGGGACAAGACTCTGCGATTGTGGGAGCTGTCAACGGGCAATACAACACGAACTTTCGTGGGACATACAAATGACGTTCTGTCGGTTTCTTTCTCTGCAGATAACAGACAGATTGTTTCGGGATCTCGAGATCGAACCATCAAGCTGTGGAATACTCTAGGTGACTGCAAGTTCACTATCACTGACAAAGGCCACACCGAGTGGGTGTCTTGTGTGCGATTCTCTCCAAATCCTCAAAACCCGATCATTGTCAGCTGTGGCTGGGACAAGCTTGTCAAGGTAAGAGAATGTTGTTTTCCTTCACTGCCGAAGATGATTTGGAGAATTTTTTAAAGTATTTGCTACTTCAGAGCTACATAAGCTATGAGACAAACATTCACCGGCGGACTGAGGCACACTACATCGCAAGCAATTGCATAATAGCTCCGGTCACAGCATTAGGCTAACACACTGAAACAGGTTTGGGAGCTTGCCTCTTGCCGCATTCAAACCGATCACATCGGCCACACTGGCTACATCAATACAGTCACAATCTCTCCCGATGGTTCCCTGTGCGCATCAGGTGGCAAGGACGGCACCACCATGCTTTGGGATCTCAACGAGTCGAAACACCTATACTCCCTCCAGGCTGGTGACGAGATCCACGCCCTTGTCTTCTCGCCAAACAGATACTGGCTGTGCGCAGCCACCTCTACTGAAATTGCCATCTTCGATCTCGAGAAGAAGACCAAGGTCGACGCCCTCAACCCAGATTTCAACGAGTCGAAGAAGGCTCAAAAGCCTATGTGTGTATCTCTTGCCTGGTCTGCTGATGGTCAAACTCTTTTCTCTGGTTACACTGACAACAAGATCCGAGCTTGGGGTGTTATGTCGAGAGCATAAGTCTACTGCAGGATTGCTATAATCGAGATAAGGTAAAGGCGGTGTTCTTTGCACGGCTTTCTGGCGGGTATCACGAACATGCAGATACAGTCTGGCCTGATTTTGGCTCCTGGCTATCCGCATAGATGATAGCAGAAAAGCTACTGTTGCATATGAGATGAAGTGACCGAACTGTATGCAATCAGCAGTTTCTGCCAACCAAAGGCTCATGAGATATGAGCAATGAATATTATACTTCGATCATATCCCTCCTCGTGTCAGAAGTTTCCATTCGAGACTGGTCATACGCGTAGATGTAAGCCACCACAAATGCTTATCAAACTCTGATCTACCCATAGACGATCACATATCGGATGTGACAGAAGAAATACCTTCACGGACGTGGGAAGCGTGTCACATCGTGCAGACGAAAACAGTCATGGTTTTGACAGTTTGGACGTGCAATACGTATTGCTTACCTCATATCAAAGACATACTCGAGGTCACGACGGTTGGCACTGAATGCTACTGCGTGAGCAAGCACCGCCTCAGAGAAAACAAATCTGCCACAACCGTTTGTACAGATGCAATATACCTGTCGGCTTACCATACGTACTATCCGACCATATGGAAGCCGGACCAGTCCAGTACTCACAAGAACATTTCTTGTGTAGTATCCTTCAGCTCCAGGCTTGGAAAGGTACCGAGAGACAATCGATCGGCAGGGAAGCGACCTTTTCCGGCGGCGCTCAGCACGTGGTTTAGTCCACCAAATCCACCTGTAAGGGCCGCTACAACTGGTACGCGCGAACACGAACGCTTGTTTGTTTTTGAAAAGAGGTTTCTGCTTTCGATGTTCATCGGAAAATCAAGTCCGTGTTCTGGGGTTACTATGCTAGGCATGTAGTTATCAGCATATCCGTAGGGTACAGATATCGTTGCACTGTAGGTTCCAGCTACAGTAGTTTGGGAATCGTATATCACACTCCCAATCTCGTGAATAGGTCTGGGTGTAAAAATAATTGTTTCAGTTGTTTGTACTTTCCCTACTATTCAATTGTCACGACTCGCTCAACGTAGTGCTTCAGTCGTACCCTTAGGACTCGGTGCTCGGATAAGAGTGCTGCCACTAAAAACTTGCTCTGATGCGAAGTGTGTGCGTGAGTCAGTTTTGAGAAGTGCCAGAGCTCGATCTTGAATTTGAGTTTCTTGCATAGGTTGTTGCCACTGACTCCCTTCTCAACAAACTACTAATCGCTACCGCGAAGATCGAGCTCGTGCCTGCCGATTCTCTGGTAACCCTATTATTCTGACAGCAAATCGTTACATGACTGCGATCATGAGGTTCGGTCGAGGATGATCGACCAGTATATACAATCCTATTCCTGAAGTCACGAGACTGTCGAACACCACTACGATCATGCCCATCAATCTAGATTGGACTCGAGATCCAATACCCGCAACAATAACGCCTTTCCAACAGTTCATCAGGCACGTCGACTGGTCTACGACAGATCTGGGACCTATGCAAACATGGCGTCGCGAACTTCGACAAGTAGTACGCTTCATGATAGCTGATACTGCGCCAGCCATCTTATATTGGGGGCCAAACTCCACCATAGTCTACAACGAGGCCTACATACCTCTGGTCAAAGAGAGACATCCGACCATGATTGGACAAAACGCGCCAGACGTCTTCCCCGATTTTTGGAACTATTTCGAGGAGATCATCACAAAGCAGCATGAAGATGGTATCACAGTATCGGGTAAGGCGTCATTGCTTCTGATGGAACGACAAGCTGGCTTTCTAGAGGAGACTTATTTCGACTGGAAATTGGTACCTGTTATTGGAGATGACGGACTGTTTCTTGGGGCATATGGTATACCTACCGACAATACAGAACGTGTGATTGGCGAACGGCGAACTCTGTGTGTTCAAAATCTATCGCAGCGGATAGCAAAAACAACTTCCTTCGATGCACTCTGGAACCACATAACCTTAGGACTGTTAGAGGATAGCAAGGACGTTCCTTTTGCCCTACTATTCGCGGACCAAGACGCTCTACGAGCTCGTGGGACCCCTCCAATTGACCAGACTGGCAACGTCAAACTTGTCGGCTCGATTGGGGTACCTGACGGACATAGACTGAAAAATCTCTGTTGGACAACAGAGGCAGGCGGTGATGGCTTACCGTCCGCTGTTATGCATGCCGTTCAAAGTTCTCAGATTAGTATACTGTCGACTGACAGCGCTGAAGTTGCTCAATATTTGACGGGAATAGATTGGAAGGGATCTGGGGTTCCTTGCAAGCAGTTGGCCATTATGCCGATCTTCGCGGGAGCAAGACCACTGGCCGTGCTAGTCGCAGGCATTAATCCTCACCGTCGGTATAACGACTGGTATCGCGACTTCCTACAACACATAACAACCCTTATTTCAACCCAGCTCTCAGCGCTACGTCTCTCAGAAGAGCTCAAACATCGAGCAGAGCTTGCCTCCAAGGCTGTAAAAAATTTCGAAAGAAGCGAGTTGCGCTTCGAACGTTTTGCAGCACGATCAATGGTGGGACTCGGGATGGCTAGTATGCATGGTAATGTATGTGTCGATTCCACGCGCCCTGGTTGTCTTGCTGATGATTCCAGATTTTATATGCCAACAATGTGTGGTGTGAGCTCTCTGGTGTCGACCCGAGCAAAGCTATCGGCTGTGACTTCCGCGACACGATACATGAAGATGACCTACCGCTAGTCGAGCAACATTGGCACAACGCGGTCGTACTGAAGCAAGTGGTGAAGTTCACGTATAGGTCCAAAGCTCCTTGGAGAAAGGACGAGATGTATCTGCCTCAGAGAACATTGTATGCAACATGCTATGCAGACATCGACGAAGACGGTACCGTTGAAACGATCACAGGACTTGTTGTTGATATTTCAGAGCAAAAGTGGACCGAAGGTCAACTACTGCAACGCTCACGCGAGCTAGAGGAATCTGAGCAAAGGTATAGGAGTTTCGCTGACCTATGCCCGTTCGGCATAGTGTCAACTGATGCGCAGGGCAAAGTCAAGTGGGGCAACGACTCCTGGCACGACTTTTATTCCTTCAAAAAGGGGCAAGTTGTGGACGAACAGCCATGGCTACCTTACGTTCATAGCGATGATGTCGACAAGGCAAAGCAATACTTCAGAACCTTACAGACCACACCAGGAGCACATACCGCCGAGTTGCGTCTCAAGAAGAAATATACAATATACGAGGGTGATAGAATGCGTGAGAATGATTTCTTTATCCTTATCGTGGGTAATCAAGAATACAAAGACAGTTTGAAGACTGTGATTGACAGCATCGACTTTTGGATCATCGACATCAGTGCACAAAAGATGGCCGAGAAGATCCTCACCGAGAAGATGGAGGAAGCCATCAGGAACCGGACCTCTCAGGAACACTTCATTGATATGATATCACACGAGATTAGGAACCCTCTCAGTGCCCTTCTAACTTGTGCAGAATCGATTTGCCAGTCACTAAGCCAGATCGATCCCCAAAGGGGTCCCTCTAACGGAGCTCTCTCCGTCGCGAAAGGAATGTTCACAGCCAAAGCGAAGAACGAGGCGATATATAATGACATACTGGAGGCTGCGAATACCATCATATGGTGTTCGAACCATCAGAAACAGATTGTCGATGACGTTTTGACCCTTTCGAAACTCGATTCTGAATTGCTGGTGGTGTCTCCAGTACCAGTAAAACTGACTGACTTAATGCGTTCTGCTTTGAAGATCTTCGAACCTGAATTGCGAATGTCAGAAATAGGCTTGGAGATGCTGGACCATGAGTCTGTAGCTCTCAACGGAATTAATTGGATCCTGCTCGATCCGAACAGGTTTTTACAAATCCTTATCAATCTTGTCACGAACGCCATCAAGTTTACGAGAGGAGTGTCTGGCGGGAAAAGGATTAAGATTGTCACTTCTATTCACAAAGAGCGACCACATCATTTCGAGGAGCTTGACTTTGTACCTCGACGTTACAATCCACTTGAACGAAGAGGGTCTACAATTGGACCTCAGCTTGAAGATGCCGACCAGATATACCTTCGTGTAAGCGTTTCAGATACTGGGAAGGGCTTATCTGCACCTGAGAAGAAACTGCTGTTCAACCGTTTTGCTCAAGCTTCACCCAAGACGCACGTGGAATATGGAGGTTCTGGTCTAGGTTTGTTCATATCACGTCAGATAACTGAGATGTTAGGTGGCGAAATTGGTGTTGGTACATCGCCCTCAGGAGGGTGTACCTTTGCCTTCTATGTGATAACGTCAAAGATTGATGCACCACAATCATCTTATCTCCAACCTCCAATAGCGCCGGCAGTATCTCGCACTATGAGCGCGCCGGTGACACTGCTGCCCACAAAGGATGGTAAAAAGGGTAACGGAGAAAGAACCGACGTTGAAAAACGCAAGATCCTCGTTGTTGAAGACAACATTGTCAACCAGAGAGTACTCTGCAAACAGCTCCGTAATAGGGGGTTCGATGTAGAGGCATCAAATCATGGCAAAGAAGCTCTTGCGGCTCTCGAAAAGGCTCAGGCGTCTGAAGAAGGCTACTTTGATGTAGTCCTCTGTGATATAGAAATGCCCGTCATGGACGGAATACAATGCGTTCAGGAGATTCGCGAGCGAGAGCGGGACGGCAGCCTTCCGGAGCACATCCCTGTTATAGGTGTAACAGCGAATGTGCGCAGCAAACAGGTCGACGCTGCCGTTGAGGCTGGTATGGATGGTGTGACGACGAAACCATACCGTCTTGACGATCTGGTTGCGCACATTGATCGACTCTTGCTTGAAGATTCATCAACTTGAAATGAATGACTACGACTTAACGATGCGCAGCGCACTTGTCGTTGTGCTATGCGCATCTACCTCAGTAATACAACAGTTGTTTGTATTCTACCTGAGTGCTAGCCACAGATCGAGCCCGCATTGCGTACCCAGACTGTGTCGCAAATGGGCAGAACCATTTTAGCATTGATTGCTTCAAGTTGTCACAGAACGAGGTCTTCAGGAATTGAAATGTGTCACCAGATATGAGCGTTAGTAAGACGAGAAGGGCCTTGCGTCAACCACACATACATATCATGCTAGCAATGCGCCCACGATAAGTCTGGCTATCACCCATTGGCAGTCCTATGTGAGAGAGTCTCAACCAACCAATTTCCATTCTTAACATTTCAAATAGGCGACCACTCTCCGACTCTACTTTTGCACAATCGTGTCGTCCAACTCACTCAGACATGGGGGGCCGATCAAGCTCGAGCCGGGTGAGATCTGATAGAGGACACAATGATACTCATAGCTCCACTTCAACCAGGAACAGGCAAGCATACAGCACAACCAGCAACAATGAATCACCCTTAAGAACACGATACCGCAATATATCCTACAATGGCCGCTCAGAACGATACAGCAGAGCAGGATCCGTTTTGAGTCGATCGAGCACCCTCAACCCCAACGATTCAGCATCGAATATCAATTTCCGTGCTCCTCCACCACGCAGCGGCAGATACAATCCAGATCAAGAACGACGAGCTCAGACGTCTACTTCACACCGACACATGATGGCGTTTGAAGAAGAGTTTGCCAGCGGTAGACGACCATATCGTGTCGAAAATCGAGCACCAAGGGATTACCCCCGATTTTGGGATGATCCTGATGGACCAGAGGGATATACACCCTCTACGATTGGTGAGCCTGATGATCTTGAGCCTCCTGGTGCGAGCAGCCAGGGCGGCAACCGGAGGGGCATTGAGCAAAGCTATCGGACGGATAGGACAAGCAGACAAGGTACGGTATCACAAATAAGCGCAGGACCTTCTGGCGGAGGACGTGGTTACGATATGCGAGATCGCGCGCCCGTTTCAGGTACCTTGTCGCGATTCACCCGTCGAAGCAAGGCTCGCTAGTGCACTTGTGAGCTTACGCCTGCACCGGGAATGGACTTCGAACCATCAGATATAGCTGCTTACAACCAACTTCTGAACCAGATCCCTCTCTTGGTATTGCAATACTTCCCGCTTTCTCGTTGATTTGTCTTTCCTTGCATTCATGTAAGCTTTCTGCATTGCCATTCTTAGCGGTTCGAGCGTATCGTCTGAATAGGGTCGCTATGAGCGAGGGTAAATATTGTGGATATAGACGGTTACTTTTCGACCTGCGATATGGTTCAGATGTCATACAGACACTGCCGTTTATGCGCAACCTGTAGCAAAAAGGAAATGAATACCTGGTGTGTAGGTTTGTACGTGAACAGGTCTCATTTAACGAATCTTGTGTACAATTCTTGAGCTGTTGCTAATTCCTGCTTCTTCGTCAAAGGGGTTGTGTATATATATGGTATAGCTCTTCCTGTCACGACAAGCTCACTTCTGCGTTATCCTCATTCGCTTCTTCCTACAGTGCCATGCTTGTCCTTATTCTTGTTCCTATTCCAAAACCTGCTCTTCAACTCTCGCTCAAACGCTCCAACAGACCAATCGATGTTCGTAGATTCATGATATAGTGGTGTGAGGGCTTTACATCACTGTGCAAGGAATAATGGTGCAGCAGCAGTCGTCGTCGCACCTGCATGTTATCAGTCTTCACTCATCATGCGCAATTTGAATAGATCGTGTTCGTACCAGCAGCCCTTCTTGGGTGGTTTGATGATGCTTGCGACCGTCGAGGAAGCTGGGCTGGATCCTGCTGGAGGCATGGTTGTAGTAATGGAGTGAGGCTGGAGGTATTTGATTCAAAAGCGGTAGAAACTGATCTGTTCCTTGTTAGCGGGATTCTCGATCTTGAGGGGTCGGATGCTTGCTGACAGAAGTCGTGGCTCAGATGGTACTAGGTGTTCGTTAAGAATTGATATCAAGGTCACTGTGACTGAATTAAAACTTGAAGTCGCGGGATGCAATGGTTGAAACAGGGCAGCGTAAGCGATCGTCATATGGCCCCATCGTGTGACGTGGACAGCAGGAGCGTTGATGGCGCGTTTCAATTGTGGTTCCAGCACTGCCCACGATGAGCCCCAGAGACTGAAGAAGCCTACAACTCTACGATAATCAAGCATTCTTTCGTAAGCAGGCGCGAGTGCTTAGATGAAACTACGAAGCAGGGTCAATACGAGAAGACGGTGCAAATGACGAAATCAACATATTCAAGACCTCATTCATGTGCTTCACTCAAGCAGTGCCTTCTCATCACCAGCACGAGCTCACATTCTCTATCCAGACTTTTCTCTTCCATCTGCCACGATATACAACATCAACTCTAACTTGCACGTTGCACCAGTGCTCGTTGAAGTCCAACGCTCACTATGTCCTGATCTCACTCTTTCATGGTGTAGCCACCTCGAATATTAAGCTTCGCGTCCAGATGTTTTGGATTTGTTGCGGCTTGTAAGACGAGTACGTGTGCTGGTGCTATAATCCTCAACACCGTCAAGATCGATGGTCGCGCTCCGCCTATTCTTCTTTGTAGGCGACTCCGCTGCATCAGAGCCATTGCCGTCATTGTGTGTCTTTCTCTTCTTTGGAGATGCAGTTGGTGTAGAGGCACCTGGGTTCTCGTTCGCGTTCTGCATCAGAACGTCAAGATCCATAGCCTCCTCCAGCCCTAGCACTTCGAAGCCAGCATCCGAATCTGTCGATACAGAACCGAGGACTCTGCAAATATGTCTGTAGCCCTCCTCCAGACTCTTCTGCTCTCGTAGTAGACGCTGGCGCTTAGCCTCTCGTTCGTGATCCTCACACATAAGTTCAGCAATAGTAGCACTCTTCCTCTCAACATCCGTATTATCTAGACCAATTCTACACGTAACGAAGCCAACCAGTTCTCTCTGTAGTCGAGGTATAAGGGAGGTCAGGATGTCTTGGCAAATGCTGTCAATCAGTCGTTTCGAGGCTAGAACATAGTGAGCTGTAACTTTCGCGAACATCTGAATCTCAAGATCCCACTCATCGACGCCGAGTGACCCCTCATCCATCGGCTTCGGCTTACCCTTTCTTCCCACAAAGGCGGCTTCTTGTGCAGTGTTCTCGACCTTCAACCGTGCCTCAATTCTTGCTTGCCGACTCTCCTTAACAGCCTTCTGTTCGTATTTATTGAATGATGTCTCGTCAAGGGTAAATAGTGTTTCTTTCTCGGCTTTGCATTTCCGCTTGAGGAAAACCTCCTCCTCTTTGAATGTTTCGTCAATACATTTGTCCGTAGCCGAGAGAACACTTTGATACAATGGAAGGTGTTTTTGATTCCCGAAGGTTGTGCTAACACATTCTCGAGCTTTGTGACTAACAAGCTGACAAACTTGTTGTATGAACGTGTCGAGCGCTCTACTCCAATGCTGAACACTCATTTTGTACATCTCATCAATGGCCTGAGGCTCTATTAGACCAGGTGTATCTGAATGACACTTGTCGCTGTTGACTCCATAGATCTCATTAAGTTCGAAATCGTAGGCGCGGAGCTTCGCCTTTACCTTCTTACCGGCTGCTTGAGCGCCTATAGCTTCGTCTCTCTTAATATCGTTGCCAACTTCGCAACTAGATACCTCGCTTAACTGCTTAGTAGCTTCTTCGAGTTCAGTAGCTTCATCCTCAGCGATAAAACTGCTCGTGGGCTTAGTTTCTTCGATTGTACGAGCAAAACCAACCATTAAGCTTTTTAATCTCGAGCGAGAGACAGATCCAGTCTGAAACATTGACTGGACACCCTTCTCGAAGTCGGAGAATTGCTGTTGAAGTTTATATGGAAGTTCGGTAGTATTTGGAGGTGCAGGTAGGGTTTGAAGAAGGCGGTACACTTGGGTTAGGCGGTACCTGATGCTGCGAAGATTCTCTGGAAGACCTTTGCGTGTCTGTTCGAACAATATTTCTCGAATCCGCTCAACCAGATTGCGCGTACCTAGCCTGGACTGAACATCTTCGGCGAGGCTGCACCACGGTTGTTGCTGGAAGAATTTGTCCTCATCGCCGGAGCCGAGCATTACAATATGCTGACCGTAACCAAACTCCTCCTCTTCTCCATCGGCCTGGAAGTATTTGCTGAGACAATTATCACGCTCTTCCTGTCTGGCAAGGTCGACCTTGGTAAAAACTGCAATGGTTCGCGCGTGTGTATTATGCGTCTCAACGATACCAAACGACCTAGAATTATCGAAGTCGTGTGTCATTGGCAAGGTGAGTAGTATAATATTGTTAGGGTCCTTCGCATGTTCTGTTGCAATGTTCTCGACAAGAGCAACGGAAAACCGAGGCTGACCTCTTCCCGCGGTTGAAATGACGCCCGGTGAATCGACGAAAGATAGATTAGGCCATCCCGACGCGCATATGTCAAGTCTAATTGTGTTGGGTGAGAACCGTTCGGCGTCATTTTTGAGCGTACTAATGTCCGCCAGGCTATTCGATTCGCGCTCGGGATTCAGAATCAACTTTTGTGCTCCTTCGATCAGCTGACACAATTCGTTGCGGTCCTGCGTGACCTTGATGAGGCTAGTCTGTGATTCCGTTCGCAACTGCCATGGACCTAGTGGGTTCGTGCTTGTGATGGACTTTTCTTGAGGGTTGTAACTGTACTTTTCCTCGATGTAAGCGGTGCATTTCCACGGGGTTTCTGCGTCCTTAGAGTCACTAAGATTGATAGCCAGTGAACATCTTGTACAAGTTCCAGCACTTTTGGGTATGGCGAACCCTGAGATCCCTTCAATCAGTGATGATTTTCCTGTAGATTGGTCTCCAATCACGACTAATCGAGGAATCTTGATGGTGTCGTCAATTCCTAACTCCGATAGTTTCTGGTTACACTCAATCAGCTTTTGAGCAGTATCGCCAAAGATAGGTGGTATATTCGTCTCCATTGCGGACGCTGTCTCGGATGTTGACATGAGTGAGAGTGAGGCTGCTGTTGTAGACTGGACAGATCAGAGATTGGTCATAGAGGCTGATACTCAATAGCTACCTCTGAGTGCTGCATCAGGGTCATTTTTGATAGACCGGCAGTTGTTCTAAGAAAAATAGCATGAAAGGAAAGATTTAGGCAGAAGTGCGAGCGGAAAACAAAAGAGTGCTGGAAGACATTGTTCGAAAGTCAAAATGCCAGTGAAGGTATCCAGGATATTTCACCATCTTCACCCTTGTTGCCAGCAGCAACCAGAGGACACCACTGTCTCACCGGGCTGGTAAAGCCTGGAGTGACAGTAGCCATTATGCAAAGTTGGTTTTATATGGTCAAGATCATCCAGCCATACAAGGCCTGGAAAAGGGCGTCTAGGCCAAAGATCTACTACATCGTCTTGAAAGTGAACGTAGAGTGAAGGGCACCACTGAGGTCGGAAAAGAGCTTAGCTGTCCGCTCACTAGAACAGGACTAGTGTCTTGGCTCCTTTTGTGGACCATCGTGTCTTTTGCAGCCTCAGAGCGGTGAGAACACGTGGATGTACTGTGCTGATTTGAGTGTTCTTCTGAGAAACTAGAGAACAGGACGGGTCCCGGTCACTTATATTTCTTCTAGTCGAGTCTCTGAGCATTGTCTTTCTAGCAATTTTCTCAATCGTCTGTTATCTTGAATAAAGTCGTACAAAATGAGTCTCCGAGTTCCGCTTCGCAGAACTGCCTCCAGCAATACGCAGGGATCAACAAAAGCAGTGATCCTTGTTGGAGGACCAAGTCGAGGTACTAGATTCAGACCTCTGAGTTTGGATGTTCCAAAGGTATAGCCTGCTCAATATGACTGCCGTTGCAAGCAGTGCTGATTTATCTAGCCTCTTTTCGAAGTTGCCGGTCATCCCATCATCTGGCACAACTTGACAGCAATCGCCAAGGTCGAAAGTGTCAAGGAGGTAATCCTCATCGGATACTACGACGAGAGTGTATTTCGCGACTTTATCAAAGACTCTTCCAAAGAGTTTCCGCAATTTAAGATCCAATACCTACGAGAATACCAGGCGCTTGGCACGGCAGGTGGTCTATATCACTTCCGAGATGCTATCCTCAAGGGCAAGCCAGAACGCTTCTTTGTCATGAACGCCGACGTGTGCTGCTCATTCCCACTTAATGATATGCTCAAGTTGTTTGACGACAAGGACGCAGAAGTTGTGATCTTAGGAACAAGAATCAGTCCGGAGGCAGCCACCAACTTCGGTTGCATTGTGTCAGATGGTCACACGAAGCGAGTCCTCCATTACGTCGAGAAGCCCGAATCTCAAATATCCAACCTGATCAACTGTGGTGTCTATCTCTTCGCTACGGAAACCATTTTCTCTGCCATCCGAAGTACAATTAAGCGACGCACCGAAAGACCACGACTAATCGCCTACCCATCTTCCGACAACCTCGAAAGCTCTTTCATAGCTGATGGTGAGGACGATGAGAATCCAAAAGAGGTTCTACGACTTGAACAGGACATCTTGTCAGATCTGGCGGATAGCAATCGATTCTTTGTGCATGAGACCAAGGACTTCTGGCGGCAGATCAAGACGGCAGGATCGGCGGTACCAGCAAATGCTCTGTACCTGGCCAAGGCATTTCAGAACCAGTCTGAAGAAATCGCAAAGCCATCAGGTACAATTCTACCACCCGTCTTCATCCACCCAACAGCCGATGTCGATCCAACCGCCAAACTTGGACCAAACGTGTCGATTGGGCCACGCGTAACGATTGGACCAGGTGTTCGGATTCGAGACTCGATCGTGCTGGAAGACGCAGAGATCAAACACGATGCTTGTATCCTCTACTCGATCATCGGATGGTCCAGCAAGATCGGAGCTTGGGCACGTGTTGAGGGTACTCCTACGCCTGTGACGAGTCACAGCACCAGCATTGTCAAGAATGGGGTCAAAGTTCAAAGTATCACAATTCTTGGCAAGGAGTGCGGTGTAGCCAATGAGGTGCGAGTGCAGAATTGTGTGTGCTTGCCTAACAAGGAGCTCAAGAGAGATGTCGTCAACGAGGTGATCATGTAAGGAGAAAAACGTTACAGTGCTTGCTAATTTTCTGTCCATTGGCTTCTTCGTAGCGATAGATTTATAGACAGGAAGTGGAAGGTCAAAAGCAGCACGAGACTTCGCTCGCGATCAGCGAAGCACTAAGTCAAGTTAGGCATACTGTTTAGGCAGCTCGCTAAGCTCTGATAACCATACCCTCCATGGTATAGCCACTGTCATTATACACATGCCCTCTTCTTCAACGTGTACGTTCGGCCACGATACTGTTGGTAGCGACGACCAGAGACGATGGCATTGTCGAGAGCCGGTGTAACGATTCAGCCGAGTCGGACCAAATATGTGCCGCTGGGGCCCATGATTCTTTCCAATGTGCATCAAGTTCTCTTGTCTCTGCAACCATCCACAGCTTCGAAACAGGTTGACGGATAAGCTCAACTTCAAGCAAGTTCTACTCAAACTCGTTCCTAGCTCTATTTTCACGCCCGAACAACTCGCAGCAAAATGCCTCTAACCGTCACACTCCCCGATGGGTACGGATATACCGTCCTCGTCGCTCTGGGCATGATCCCTGTCCTGGGCTTCGCTCAAGGTTCCGTTGTCACAACCCTTCGAGCAGCAGCCAAAGTTCCGTACCCCAATCCTTACGCGACTGCCGATCAAGTCAAGAACAGCAAAGAGGCATACAAGTTCAACTGCGCGCAACGAGCTCACGGCAACCTCCTCGAAAACATGCCACAAACCATGGCACTTCTATTATTCAATGGATTGTTCTTTCCTCTGGCAACACCAGTGCTAGGACTGTTGTGGGTTGGGGGGAGAGTGCTCTACGCCTATGGATACGTTACAAGCTCAATGGAGAGTAGGGGTGGCGGACGAAGGATTGGCGGCGCTTTCTGGCTAGCCCAGCTCGGACTGCTTGGTCTGTCTGTATACAACGCGCTGCAGATGCTGTAGGAAAGTCAAGAGAAGATTGTGTAATTGGTTATGAGCAGGGGTGAGCAAATGAGGAAAGCATGTTTCGGCTGCTCAAAATGCTGGGTCGATTCGTTCTCGAATATCGAGATATCAAACATTGACATGGAGTTTTTGAACAATATCCTCAGATAATTCCTATAGTGTTAAACAGAGTCAGAATGGACTGGTATAAGAAGAGCTGCACAAGACTATGTACCAAAATCCGACCCCGCATTGACCTAATCGTAAATTTATGTGGACAGTCACAAAACAATTTCCTAGGCCTACACAATATAACCACTTGGGTTTCACGTCATCTCGGGTTTGCTTGTTGTTCTTTCCATCTTAAATCGTACAGTATGGCAGACAACGCGGAGCCTCCATCACAGGAGGTTGCCAATCTTCATCTGGATGAAGTGACTGGTGAGCGCGTGTCCAAGTCTGAACTCAAAAAGCGACAGAAGCAGAGGGAGACTGAACGCAAGAAGGCCGAAAAGGCCGCTGCTGCACCTCCAAAGGCAGTAAGGGAGAAGAAAGAAGGAGAGATAGACGAGAGTACTCTAAACCCAAATGTGGGTTTCCTTTGCCCTCTACTCAAAGCCTCAAATTAACCAAAGCTGTAGCAATATTTCGAGATCCGAAGTGGTCGCGTCAACAAACTCAGACAGACCAAGGATCCAAATCCCTACCCACATAAGTTCCAAGTTAATACCGACCTTCGCGAATTCGTCACACGATATGAAGCTACAAAGCCTGGCGAGCACCACAAGGATGTCGAGATCAGAGTTGCAGGCCGTGTCTATGTCAAGAGAGTTTCGGGCTCAAAGCTGGTATTCTACGATATCAGATCAAATGGCGCCAAAGTGCAAATAATGTGCCAGTCACAAGAAGCTACTGGAGAGGTTCCCTTTGAAGCACAACACGAGCCTTTGAGAAGAGGAGACATCATCGGTGTCATTGGCTATCCTGGACGAACAGCACCCAAGAACAGACCGAACGAGGGTGAACTTTCCGTCTTCGCTCACCAAGTCGTGCTACTTACCCCTTGTTTACACTCGATACCATCAGAGCACTTTGGTCTGCAGGATGTCGAAACCCGCTTCCGACAGAGATACCTCGATTTAATCATAAACAACAAGAGCAGGGACATCCTCATAACAAGATCCAAGATTGTGCAATACATCAGAAACTACTTCGACTCCAACGGCTTCATCGAGGTCGAGACACCCATGATGAACACTATCGCAGGTGGTGCCACTGCTAAGCCTTTTACCACCCACATCAATGAGTACAATGCCGACCTGTTCATGCGAGTTGCTCCTGAGCTGTATCTGAAGATGCTAGTAGTGGGTGGTATTGACAGAGTGTATGAGCTCGGCAAGCAGTTCCGAAATGAGGGTGCTGACCTTACACACAATCCGGAGTTTACCACTTGCGAATTCTACGAAGCCTATGCTGACGTATACGATGTCATGAACCGAACTGAAGAGCTAGTCTCGGGCATGGCCAAGCATGTCACTGGCGGCTATATCACCAAATTCCACACAAAGGACGGAGAGGAGTATGAAGTCAATTGGGAAGCACCATGGAAGAGAATAGACATGATACCTGCGTTAGAAGAGGCCACCGGAGAGAAGTTCCCACCTGGCGATCAGTTACATACTACCGAGACAAATGAGTTCTTCAAAAAGCTACTCAAAAAGGTCAACGTGGAATGTCCACCACCTTTGACTAATGCTCGCATGCTCGATAGGCTCGTGGGAGAGTTCATTGAAGAGAAGTGCGTCAACCCAACCTTCATCACTGGTCATCCACAAATGATGTCTCCACTTGCCAAGTATCATCGAGAGAGACCTGGTATTTGCGAGCGGTTCGAGGCTTTTGTCTGCAAGAAGGAAATAGTGAACGCCTACACCGAGTTGAATGATCCTTTCGATCAACGACTGCGATTCGAGGAGCAAGCTCGACAGAAGGATCAAGGTGATGATGAGGCCCAACTGATTGACGAGAACTTTTGCACGTCACTTGAGTTTGGTCTACCGCCTACTGGTGGTTGGGGTATGGGTGTTGACCGGATGTGCATGTTCTTGACCGACAACTATACCATCAGAGAAGTTTTGGCATTCCCATTCATGAAAGAGGAAAAGCTTGCACCTAGAGAACTGGCTGCTGAGGTGGTAGGTATACAGCCTCAGGAAGCTGAGGATCTGCCTAAGCCATAGTATTATGGTCTGAGCATTACGAGGACAGAAGTATGATATATAAGACGTCACGATAGATGATGAAGGTTATACCCGAAGGTGCGAACGAGGAGGCACTAGAAATGAATGAGTTGGTGGCTTAGTGACAGGCTTAGAGGTGGGGACAGTCACTTCAGATTTTGATCGCTTGTGCCTCAGGCAATCAAAGCCGTGAGTGTTGCAATCCTCCACAACAAACGAAAAGTGAAAGGTCAAACGAGGCATCTTCACTCTTGTTGAGACTGACCAGGCTGAAATATTACAAAGTTCCACAACCACCACTGCACTTCTCTTCCTGCGCCGCATTACAGCTGTCAGCTCGCTCTTCACATCTCGAAACATGAAATACCCACAGATTTTGAACATCTGCGTGATCACATTGACGGAAGCAGGACAGACTACCACTAGCGATGCCTCGAACCACAAGAAATAGTCTTGAGACTGCCGATGCCCGCGACCTTGAGGCTTTGGCAACCTCCCGAAGTATCGAGGAGAGCTCATTACCAGAGACACCACCTAAGGCTCAAGTACAAACCTCAGGACTGAAGGCCTATGCTTTTACGCCTTCAAGCACGAATTACACTACCAACGAACATCAATTCGTCGTCTCTGAAACTCGTCCACACCAGACTATCCGAGCACCACACGCGCAGGAAACAGAATTCCTCCCTCCAAACCCATCTTCATCGCCACGGCAATACCTGTCGTCGAGAACAGAACAAATCAATAGCCAACACGCCTATCCCGATCCATACCATCCCACATTCACAGCTGAGAGAGATCCTGAAGTGCTTGAAGCTGCCAGGACATTGTTGGACATCTACTACTCCGCCGCTGCCATTCCTGCAGAAAGAGAGGCTGATGAATCGCGACAGACTGTGGGATCGAGCTTCGTTCTAAGTGAGCCTGTACCTCTTACTGACACAGCCCGTGTTGAAGCAGATGCAAATGGGTCCTCAGGAAGAAGGTGGTTCAGTGCGACACCGTGGCTAAGACGACGTCCTAGACCGGTAAGTATTCATGCATTGATTGGCTCTGACCAGACACTAACGCTTTGTAATTTAGATCGAACCTACTATGACGGCAGAAGACAGAGCATATTCCATGAACCTGACGCTGGAAGCCATCAACAGCTCTCCAGCGAAGAAGTTGAGAAAGCGCCAAGCTGCGAAGACGATCCCTGAAGAAGACAGCGGTATCGACATGGAGATGGGTAACCAAGATGGATCAACAAGCTCCATGGAGAGCGACACTACCTTGTTGGAAGATGAAACAAGTGAGTTGACCGATGAAGAAGAGCAACCCGCTACTGACGAAGATGACGATCTGAGAGACTATGGACCGAAACACCTACCTCATTTCCGCCTTGAGAACAAATACATGATTCGACGGCCAGGGAGAGGTATCCACGAGGCTCCTATCGATGACTCCACGAGTGACGAACCACAGCCGTTCGAAGAGGCTACGAGAACGAAAACGTAGGTGTACCTTACCTAGCCCAAGATTGGCCCTGGAGCTTTGTCCATATACTGAAACTCATCTAGTCGATCAAACAAACACAGACTGGACCGACATGGGACAACATTCGACACAGCACTCCTCCCATATTCAGGCACTGGCAACGCCAGCTCTCCAATCGTGCTCGACACACCTGTCACACCCTCTCGCCAAACCACTGCCACTACTACAGCCCTCACACCTCCCCGTCCCCATTACCGATTTCCAGTCCCACCACACGACCCAACCACAATAAGAACAACACCACCACACTCCCCTTCAACACCCCTCATCCTCGCCGCACACTACGCAAGTGAAAACGTCGCTGCAACACCGGGTTTTGGAGAGTGGCTTTTACATGCCAGAAGAATACAGCGTCGCAGGAGAACATCTAGTCTAGAGAGCTTTCTGGGAATGGTAGCGGCTCAATATGAGTCTGTACGTCGTGCGAGTATGGACAACGAAGGCCATGCAATACGAGAATTTGGCGTCGTCGCAACGGAAGTGGATGACGACGTCGACAGTGAGGCTTCTACGGTTGTGCTATAGCTGAGCGGTACTGTTTTCGGAAAGACTTCAAAGAAGGAAACAAGGGAAAGGGTGATTGCATGTTTGGATTATTGGTTAATCGTGAAGCTTGGTCGTATTTTGGAAGTTGAACAGGATGAGCTACTGCAACAAACGTGTTCACTGAGAACTACATGATTCAATTTTCTCTTCTCGATGTTTGCTTGCCATGTTTGAGTTTAAGACGTCGTACAGATAACCGCCTCCAATCGTCGCTCCTGCACGGAGACGCACTTGACATTGCGTTGGTCACTAGTAGTAGCTGATAAGGCCTTTCTCGGTCTGGCGTAATGTTTTCTTAGCCGGGATGTATGATTTTCCTATAGCTTTGAACTTCAAGACGATGCACAAACTGAGCAGCGCATCATGCAACAAAGCTTATTAAGGTAATTATTGGTATGCTTTCGTCGGCTCGCAATGGGCCCTACGCCTTATCCTACAAGGTCAGTTCTGGATGTCCAGTAAGCGAGGTGCTGCTTAGACGCTAGCCGAGTACCCAACACCAGGCAGGCGACCAGCAGCCTGCCTCCTCAAGAGCCATTTGCGTAACTCGTCCACCCACAACACCGAGCTAGCAAGACACATTAAGCCCAGTATATCCCAGAGACGCAGCGCTTCGGTCTGGAATACTCTCTGCAGGAAAGGAAGGTATATGACGCAAGCCTGTCCTATCAAGCTTCCTGCTACTGCGTAATTGAACATTTTGTTTCCAAAAATTTGCAGCTCACCGGTCAGGACCGATTTGGCCTCCGAACGGCAGGTAAGCGCGTTGAACATGTCGAAAAGTACAAAAGTTGTAAAGGTCATTGTTGTATCTCGTTTAGTGACGGTCAAGGTCTTTGTGTGAGTAGTGGGGTCATCGACATCAAGCATTTCGTGGATGTAGACTGATAAGGTTCCGATCATGATGAAGGCAGCCTGAGTGAAGACTCTCTGCAATAAGCGTCTAGTGAGAACATTCGTGTTGCGTGCTCGTGGTGGCACAGTCATAACACGTGGATCGACTGGCTCTACACCCAAAGATTGTGCAGGAGGTCCATCCATGAGAATGTTAATCCACAATATCTGCATGGCATTGAGCGGATTCTTGAAGCCAAGTGCTGTACTTATCAACAACAAGCTCAATGCTGCAACACTGGTGCTCAATTGAAAAGTGATGAAGTTTTGGATGTTATAGAATATTCCCTTGCCTTGCTCAATTGCGGTAAGAATGGTTGAAAAGTCGTCGTCTGTTAATATCATGTCGGCTGCTTCTTTCGCTACATCTGTACCTAGCAAGCCCATTGCAACACCAATGTCGGCCTTCTTTAGAGCAGGGGCGTCGTTGACGCCATCACCAGTCATGGCAACAACATCACCACGTTTTTGTAGGGCTCTGATGATCTTCATCTTGTGCTCGGGACTTGTTCTGGCAAATATGTTCGTCCTACTAATAGCTTCAGCCAGCTGATCGTCGGTCATCTTGTCAAGCTCGTCTCCTCGAAGCACCTCTCTGGCTGCAGGGTTGAGACTCATACCGAGCCCTTTTGCAATAGCTACTGCTGTGGCTTCGGCATCGCCAGTGATCATGATGACCTTCACTCCACCACGTTGTAGCCTTTGAATAGACTTATCAACACCTTTGCGAGGCGGATCAGTCATACCGACCATGCCTGCGAAGCACAAACCAGAATAGTCTGGCTCCTGAGGCTTGCGTTGCTCACCAGTTTTGGGAGTGGATGTTCGACTCGAAGGTGGCTTCCTGCTTCTAACAGAGCCACTTGCGAAAGCGATGACACGTAGACCTTGGTCGGCCATCTGCTTGGCTCCGGCGATAGCTTCTTGTCGGCGTGCTTCATCAAGAATAATTTCTCTGCCTTCTTTGTTTAGGTAGGTGTCACACTTTCGCAGCACTTGCTCGAGTGCGCCTTTGATGTATGCCATATCGCTACCACTTCCAAGGCCATTGGTCATTTCACCAAGAGGACTGGCAATCATGACGCCCATCCATTTCCTTTCTGAGCTGAAGGGCGTTTCAGTAGAGCGTGGCCCGATGCTATCGCGAACGTCATCTTCGCTGAAGGAGTCGAGCAGGTCCATGACTGCCACGTCTGTAGGCTGGCCGACCCAGCGACTCTTGGTTATGAGGGCATCTCTATCTCTAGTAGAGGAGAGCACGGCGGCAGAGCTCGCCGTAGCAGGAGAAGCGGCGCTAGGACTTGACAACCGCGCGTTGTTTGCAATGTTGCCGATCCTCAGAACCGCACGAGTGGCGGCGTTAGGAATGTTGGTCACCTCCTTATCGATGTTTGTTGGGGCAGGTGCGTCAAAGTACCAAAGCCTGGTGACTGTCATGTGATTCATGGTAAGTGTACCAGTCTTGTCGCTGCACACCACATTGACCGAGCCCAGCGTCTCCACACTTGGCAGTTTTCTGACTATAGCGCCTCTTTTGGCCATTCGTAGCACACCAAGCGCGAGGGTGACAGTCACGATGATGGGCAGACCTTCAGGAATGGCAGCGACAGCGAGAGAAACGCCTATAGTGAACAGGTCGAGTGGTTTCTTGCCTTGTAGGAGGCCGACAAGCATGATGAGCCCAATAACAACGAATGACATGTAGCTGAGTTGTTGACCCAATTTGTCCATAGATTGTTGTAGTGGAGTCCTTGGAGCTTCAATTTCTTGCAAAGAAAGAGAAATGGTACCGAACTCGGTTTGTCCACCTGTTGCGATTACGATGCCTTCGCCATAGCCAGAACGAACGAGGGTACCCATGAAGGCGATGTTGTGCTGCTCATTCAGTCTTACATCAGCACCAACTGTGCCTGCAGCTGGGCCATACGGCATAGGACTGCTTGACCTCGATATATCGTCCAATTGCTTTTGTATATGGTCTCGATGGAGGACTTCGGAATACTTGAGCACTGGCTCGTTCTCGCCTGTGAGGTTGGATTCGTCGATGGATAGATCTGCAGCGTGAGTTATACGGATATCAGCAGGTATACGATCGCCAGTGGAGAAGAGGACAACGTCGCCAACAACGAGCTGAGCAGCAGGGACAGTAGATGAAAGCTTTTCGGTCGAGCCATCAACCAAGGGCTCCATCTCGATGGCATTGCGGTCTTCCAGGACCGGTCGGCTTCGAGGACCATGTACAGCTCTGCGAATATGAGCACTATGCGGCACCAATTTGTTCAGAGCCTCGAGGGACTTCTCCGACCTGTACTCTTGTACGAAACCAACAGTCACAACAATGGTTACAGCTAGAGTGATGCTGACCGAATCATCAGTATTACCAATGAAGAAGGATATGAGGGCAGAGGCCAGTAACAGTAGAATCAGGGTCTCCTTGAACTGCTTGAGGAATCGCAGCCAAAGAGGCTCCTCCTCCTCGTGTGGCAGCTCGTTTGCACCATTCTTAATCAACCTCGATTGCGCTTCGTTCGGCGAGAGTCCTGTGCTCAGGGAAGTGTTCAACTTCTCGGCAGTCTCCTCTGGCGTGAGTAGGGAGTATCCAGCTGTTATGGTCGAGGCCGTATTGGCTCTTCGAGGAAATGGAGGTTCGTCCGCACTCAAGTTTGCATTATGGACCGGCAGTACAGGGGTCGCGGTTCTGGACATATTCGCATGCTCGCAGCAACGGTTGCTATTGTTTGCTCATAGTGACGGCGGTCTCGGCACCTTTTTGTCCTCTTTTCTTCTCAGGCGCAAGATTGGTTTGGTTGCAGAAAGAAGTTCAGGTTGCCAGATCTCAAAATGCTTTGAGGTAGGGACCCAGTGAAGATCAGGCGCCACGTTGCTTCAAGGATATTAAACGAGAAATAAAGCACTACCTTGCAGATCCGTGTTGGCAATTCTACAGCATCTAAACGGATCAGCCAGCACGTGTTGCCAGTATATTTACTCCTTACACGCCCGTGTAATTGGCAATTCGGAGCATACTCAAAAGCTTCTGCTGGTTTGGGAGCTCCAATCACCTGTAGCAGGCAATTACTCGGCTTAGCAGAACAAGTGACGTAAGCGGGAAGTGGGCCGAGCACCTTTCTTGTCGCGCTTTGCAGGAAGCTGCGACTGGGCAACAGACCAGCCTCCCTCGTTCCACTCCACGCGAACAAGACCGCGACCTGCCACAAACTGACGCGTTTGAGCCTTGAATACTGACTAGCACTTTCGCATATTTTCGTACTGCATTTCATTAGACGATGCGACTCTGTTGCGGTACGGCAGGCCAGCGAACCTATTGAGGACAGCATTGCGACGCGTTGTTGTTGGCCACCACTGCAGTCGCATTGCGGTAACAACCACTTCCTTCAAGAATACAACTACCTCTGATCGATTACCACTTCTTTCGCATCGCGCATAATGTTTTATTCCGAACGATTGCTGGCCAAGACGGGCCCTTTGGCTCGTGTCTGGCTGGCTTCCAACGTAGAGCGCAAGCTTACGAAACAGCAGATCTTGTCGCAAGACATCTCGAACAGTGTGCACGTCATTGTCGAGCAGGGTGATGGCCCCATCGCGCTTCGCTTGAGCGCTCAGCTCATGTTGGGCGTTGTCAAGATATACGGTCGCAAAGCTCGCTATTTACTCGACGACTGCAATGAGGCTCTTGTTAAGATTCGAATGACATTCAAGTCCACAAACAACCACGATCTACCAAACCAGGCTACGACTACTATCGACCTCAATCTGCCTGAACAGCTGACAATCGACGACCTTTTCCCAGCCCTCGATTTTGGGTTCGCTTTAACTCAGCAGCCTGCGACTCAGGTAGATGACCGTACCCTTGATGATGAAGACGATTGGACAAGTTCTCTCAATCCTCAGACGCAGAGCGAGAACGCGGGCTTTGCTTCAGGAACTGCCGCCGTGCACGATGACGACCTTGGCCTGGATCTCGGCGAGGATGTAGGGCTCGAAGATACTACAATCAGCATGCAGATGGGAAGAGGAGAAGCCACACCACGTCCAGATGAACCCACGGAACTACCTGCATACGACGATGGGGATGACCTTGGTCTGGACCTTGGTGAAGATGTCGGTCTACCTGACACCACTGCCAGAATAGCAGACGAGCCAACTATAGCCTTTGACGATGATCAACCGCCTATTGCTCTTGACGAAGAAGCCATACTAAGAGGCGCCACAGCCGAGAGAGAAGAATCTCCTCTCTCAGAAGCAGACCCTGAATTTATGGCCGAGGGCGATCGCACTTTTCAGCAGATGCAAGATGTCGAAGAGGAGCAAGCAATTGCTCAACAACGTCAAGTCTCGAGGAGAATGAAGCCAATGCAGGCAGATCGTGAGACCGTACTTCACAATACCGAGATAAGAGCATGGGAAACTGACCGTGCGAGGTTGTTGAAACCCCAATCTCTGCTGCCTGAGGATCCCGAATTGCTTGCTCTCCTGGAAATGCAGAGGAGTGGTGACTTTGTGAAGAACGCCATGAACGACACTTTCGGACGTGGTTGGGCTCCAGAAATCCAAGGCTTGTTGAGTTTCGATATTGTCCTCAGATCTGGTCAGAAGCGAAAGAGAGACAGTGGTATTGCAGATGTCGCCTCTGAAGATGAACATAGTGACAAGAGTCCTCGTCTTGACATCTCAGAGGTGCAAGATGAGCAGGTCATGATCGAAGATGAAGGTGTCGAAATTCGAGAGCCATCACAGTCTCCAATACAACCACGAGCCGCAGTAGAAGAAGAACATGTCCCTGTCGAAACAGACGATCTTGCTGGTATGGTACCTGGCGAGGATGACGAAGGCATCTACACTGCTGAAGGTGGCTTCGACGAGACAACAATGCCTCTTGTGCATCCTGCCGATAGCGGTCCTATATCTGTTGGCACACAGCACGCTGTGCATACGTTACGGGAAGTCTTCGGTGGCTCCCCTGATGCGGGCAGCCCATCTGCACAATCAAGGAAAACAGTGACGTTGCAAGAGTTGGTCCCAGAAACACGTACGAGCAGAGAAGACGCTACAAAGATGTTTTTCGAAGTCTTGGTACTGGCCACGAAAGACGCCATCAAAGTCGAACAGGACAAACAGCCAATCACAGGAACTGAGCTAGGCCTTCCGATCAGGATCAGGGCAAAGAGAGGACTGTGGGGACAATGGGCAGAACCTACACAAACAGAAGCTGCCACTCAGGAGGTTGAAGTTGGTGCATGAGTCAGGACAGCGTTTGACGTGTTTGTATTGCTATAGGTCTCTGGATATGATACCACTACGGATGTGATGACATTGGAGAGGATGATCTGGGTTTTTAGGCGTAGCCAGCCATATTTGGTGTTTGGATTGTGTTTGTTTTACCTGCGTGGGCATTTGTCGTCGTACTGCGCTCCATTGGAGGTCGCTCCAAGATTTCATAGCACTTTCTAGGAGAGATTTGGCGTGCGTATCGCAAATTGAAACAGTTCTTCAAGCTGAAAGATCATTTCATGTTTAATGTGCGTTGCGCATTTACTGAACACGAGGTATCATGCGCATCCACTGCCGGAATAAAGTTGCGAACTCCTGCAGAGCGTCAAGGCGGGCGTTGAAAGTTCCACGTTTATTTACATTAACTTTATCTTTGCCAGCACATCATTCCTACAAACTTACAGTAAGAGTTTTGGAGTAAGATGTTTTTACACACACACATGCGTATGTCACTGTCAAGTTACTCTGCCCCAGCAGCATCATCGTCCTTTCTATCCAATTTACTATGCAAACGATGCTCTTTCATGCCCAAAGCCGCGACGCCCGACAATACAGCTAGGCCAAGACCACTGATAAAAGCTCCCCTTAATGCATCCATATAGCAGTCTAATACGACATCTCTGCTCCAGCCATTAGGTAACTGATAGCCGTTTTTAAGTCCCTCGAGGCTATTCCTCAACTGCCTGATCGTGTCCTCGGCGCCAGGCAGACCGCCGTACTGCTCATGTAGCTCTTTCGTCAGAATGTTCTGGAACACCGCAGACGCGATCGTGATGCCGATAGTGGAGCCGGTTGAGCGGAAGGCATAGGATGCAGCGGTGATGACGGCTTGATGCTCATGTGCTGCGGCGGAGATCATGGCGACGAGTGTAATGGTTAGCATGCCGCCGTAGCCCCAGCCTAGTGGTGTGACGTAGACGAAGGTGGTCCAGGAGGGCGTGTTCCTGTTGAAAGTGCAGAGGAGGGCGGAGCCGATGAGGTAGATGGTCATTGTGCCGACCGCGAGCCAGTAGTATCGTCCTGTGGAGCGCATGGTGTAGCCTGTTGTGAGGCTGCCGGCGGAGACGGCGATGGCGAAGGGAACGACTCGTAGGCCTGCTTCGGAGGAGCTGTAGGAGAGGATGGATTGGAGGTAGAGTGGGACGAAGTAGAGGGCCAGGAAGGCGGACATGGTTGCGAACCAGTTTGTGAGGCAGGCGCAGAGGATGGTTCGGGTGCGGCCGATGAGGACGACGGGAATGATTGGTTCAGGGACGATGCGTGGATTTGACTCGATGTAGACGAAGAGGAGGAAACTGAGGATTGAGACGACGAGAGCCGCGATGACGAGGGGATGTGACCATGGTAACTGGTTGCCGCCTGTGTTGAGACCTAGAAGGAGAGTCGTAACTGTGACGATAAGTAGTAAAGCACCCAGAAAATCTACTCGTCGTAGAGCAGAACCTAGAGACTTGTAAGGACTGCGTACAGGTATGTTGACAAGAAAATAGACCAGAATAGCCGAAACCACAATGAAAGGCACCTGAATCAGGAATGCCCAGCGCCAGCCCTCGACCAGCTGACCATTGATGTGAATATGCATCCGGTCTGCACACAAGCCGCCAAAAATGCCTCCAAAACCCATGCCTGCTCCGAAGACAAGGTTGCCATACCCTTGCCACACACCACGTTTGCGAAGTGGAATAAGGTCTGACGTGACAAAAGTTGCAATGCAACTCAGGCCGCCTCCACCTATACCAGCGATCACACGTCCAAGAATCAGAACTTCCGCATTTGGTGCCAAGCCACATATGAGAGTCCCGATAGCAAAGAAAACATTCGAGAATACCAGTCCCGTCCGACGTGAGAAGATATCAGTAAGCTTGCCACTGAGTGGTTGGCAGGCTGAGTTCGCTATCAGATATCCAGTGGCCAGGTAGCTGAGTAGAGACAGAGACGACAAGCTCGAGGAGATGGGTGTGATCAGAGTGGCGACGACTGTCGTGTCGAGAGCAGCGAAGAAGACGCCGACCCAGAGAGATGACATGATCAGGATCTTACGTCCTATGGGTGGTTCGTCAACCAGAGCTGCGTTCGCGTCATGTTCATCAGCGGAAGTATGGGTCAGCTGTTGTTCAGTATCGTCACTCGGTTGTGGTTGCTGGCGTAGACTTCCATCTCTGAGTAACGGACTGCGCTCTGACACGTCGTCGTGACCATTGGACATGTCTGACTATGATGTCGTTGTGATCTAGCTCTAGTGATAGATACAGAAGATGCAATACTAAACGACTATGATTTGGAGTCGAAGAATAGCAAATCAGGCATCAAGAACTTGGAGCACTGCAACTGTAAGGAATAGCTTAGAGATTAGAGCGCACAATTGGTAGTCGCGTACCCGGAATTAATGTTGCCTGATTTACAGCTTCCGACATCGCTTGGCAGGTAAAATCTAAACAGAACGGAAAACAAGGATCCCACAGTGTGCAGAATGCCCGATACAATTTTGACCATGAAGCTTCGAGAATCATTCAAACCACCTCACGAAAGGCGTGTCACTCGGAATTTGTGTGGAAAACCTGCTTCTTTGAAGGAATTCTAGGGTGTGTACAAGCACTTACGCGTACGACTGGCTGGACGTTAGTATAGAGGAAAACGTACTTGGTCAAAGCACCTCAATAAATCAGTCCTGGCTACACTCCTGACCCACGTTCCTCCATATACCAATAAGACGCAAACAGCTCTGAACCTTGTTGTAGTGTTCAGCAGTCCGGACCAGAAGGAGAAGGCGTCGGGAGCCTCCCTCGTGCTGAACGTCTCAAAACTCTGGTCGACAGTGGAGGAGCTCATCATCGGTCAAGCATCTCCACATTTTCCATTTCTTGTTCCCTGCAGCTCGATCTTCCAGCATAGTCCAACATACGAGGCTAGCATGCGATCGTAGCATGAACGAAATAACTCTTTCTAACCCTCAATACTGGCTTGTTGTATATAGAAAGCCCAAAACTTGCCGCCAAATGTCTGCTACTTCTGTAACGAAAATATGTTCATCTTCCCAACCAAGAATGTATGTATTGCAGAGAACTAGTTTGCTGGTAAGCCGGGTCTCAGGTTCAGTCTCAAGCTACATTTGAATAGCTTCATGTAAGGTGAAGACGCAGGATGAATTCGACTGGTCATTCGAGTGGGTAAGATCATCGCCGGTCTAGCAGTTCGAACAGGTACCTAAGATATCAGCCTCGTCACGGAAAAGAATGTGTGTCATCGCGAACAGCTCTGGTGGCTGACAGGTGGCTGAAGTGCCAGCCTCGGATCGGCTGAACATGTTCGGAAAGCAAGGTCGGGAAGTATTCTGACGATTCGACAACCCATTTGATTTGAGGTTTGGCTGTAGAGGATGGATTCGGGCAGTTGAATTCGGGAGTGAAATGTTTGCTAAAACTAGCAGACCAATCTCGAGTGCCGCGGTCTGTCGCACGGAATGGGAAAGCTGTCATGTGTCAACAATCAAAAGCGTGCGGAACTGACGTGCTGCAAGTCAAGCCAGCATTGGATTTTCTCATGCTTTTTGGCACGCCATAAATTGTGATTGCTGACGTGCATCTGACGAGCGTCACAAATAGTAATTTGTGCAACAACCATGACCACAGTCACATGTGTGCTTGGCCTCGCCATCGTGGCTGGATGGAGTGCACCTGTAGAGGTATCTTCCGAAGCAAAAGATGAATAATGATTCAGGGCGTGCAATCACAAACGACGTTGCAGTCTAAGAGTCTCCTGATAGGTGACGTTTGGGTTTGTATCGGTGCATTTTCGCAGTCCATGCATGCAGCATGAAGAACGCTGTTGCAGAATATGCAGCAGAGATGCGTTGTACTGATATTAGTACACTTAGGTAGGCTAAAGCCTTGATGCCCAGCTCTTCAGCATCGAAGACTTAGCGTCTTCTACGCTGGAGGTGACCAGCTCGGTTGCAGCACTAGAATAGAGTGGATCCGACCACTAGGCATGTCGACTGTCGTACTAAAGCTGGGTAGCTCATGTGCCTCAGCCTTTGGCAATAGTCGATAAAACGTCCTGAAATTGGAGAATTCAATGGGTAGCGAATATGTTCCTGTCAGAGTTCATACGAAGCTCAGTTTGGCGAGCCAATTTCAGAAAGTTTCGATCTGAACTGCCCCATCTGCAGCATTCCCGATCTTGCCAATACCAAATCTGTGTTTCAAAGGAGCTTGGTTTTGGTATTGTTTTCAAAAAGCGAAGACGAAACGATACTTGTAACCACCTCAATGTTGTAACATCACTCCTGTCAAAAGAGAGAATCAAGCGGTTCCGCTACATGCTGTCAATTTCGTGTCAAGAGCTCAGAAGGGTTGAAGTGGCGGATCGTGCGAAGTGGCGGATCGTGCGAAGTAGCTCTTCGTGAATTTTCCCATCAGATACAAGCATCGCACTGCAAGGTACTCCAGGGGCTGTTCAAGACCAGACTCTACACAAAGTTCGTGGATCCAAGGCGAGTCAGCCAATCTTGTGGAGACACGCCAGTCAGAGCACTCCACAACAGTTCTTGCCATAGCGTCAAAGCTTCGTGAGAAGTTGCATCAGACAGTTATGTTACAGTATCTCCCGTCGGTGGTCGGCACGAACTCTGCAAGTCGATGTGTATCTATGCTTGGAGGCAATGATGATCCCGAGCACAGGTACTGCATGGCAGCGCCGTCAAGAGCTGGCCGCAAGTATTGACAGCAAAGAACATTACACCCGCCTGGAGTCTCCATACAGGGTCCGCTGCTGATGCGGTAATTCGACCACGTTGCGAAGGCTCAAGAGTCAACTCCTCTCACCGCTGCATACATGCATTGGGAGCAGTAGAGTTCGGGTCAAAAACGGCAATCAAAGTGCGTCATCCTGTCCCAACCCATTTTGCATGTCTGTCTGTGCGTGAATAGTGTGGGTTCACACTCACTGCTCTTCACAAGAACGTGATAGAGCTAGTGTAGATTCACTGGTCATCGATGTTGGACCATAACAACGTGATGTGTTGCCCGAGTATCGCCGTCCGACCAGGAGTAGACCAGCCAAGTTCCTTATGAGTCAGCTGCTTTAGGCCTTGTTGCTACAAAGACTCTAAGCAGTCGTTGTCACCGAAAGCCAAGCTGTTGGTGCCCAAGAGTTTTCATGTGCTAGTCCATACAACTAGCAGTAGTTGACATACGATTACTGTTTAGCAACACGATGAATCCGCTCTCGCACATTGTTCCACCTGTGTCGTGATCAAGTGCCCACGCATAAAATGGAAAGGCAGCGCTCGAAGGGGTAATATTTAGTGCCACAAGGTTTCTAATGTCGTAGAGCTTCGGAGGAAGAAATGCAAGTAACCGCAGCCAGGCTCCAATGGCTTGCTAAACCTTTCAGAGCGAACTCATGAAAGATTTACACGTCTCAGCCTAGTGCAGAGCACCTGCGGGCCGAACAGTCACCACCAGGTTGTTGGAGTATGTCAACACCCGGAGGCGAAACGTCACTAGCCAACTGTTAACCTGCCACGACATCAAACAAGAAAAATGTTCCGGGCTGGAGTCGAGATTCTTGTGAAGTCATATCGATATGGAGCACTTTGACGGCCTTGAAGCTGTGATTGTCCCCGCTGTCAGCCATGGCTGTTTCGAATGCAGGATTGATGAACACTTCGGCTGGGTGGGATGAAATTTTAGGTTCGGCAGTCTGCACTGAAGGTGGATAAATAGTATGAGCTTGCAAGAACAAAGGACAATTCTCGCGTTATTGCAGGGACAAGGTTTCGCAGCAGAAAACCCTGACGTCGCTAACGGATCCGAAGCGCTCTTGTTTTGTGGTAGCCCGAGACTCGAACTACCACCTTGCTGAAGCATCGGCACTGGTGTGTTGTCCATAACATCACGTCCGACCATCCTTGAGACCAGGCTTTAATACTCCAAAACCCGGACACCCTCTTTTACACGACGTGCTTCACCATTCGACAGGTGTGACGAGGTCCAGTCCTGGCACGATTGTTGTCATTGACTTCATCACGGTGATAGAGCTGGCCGGAAAGAGCACAACGTTTCAAGTTCCAGGTATCAACCCAAGATCACGGTGGTGTCTGTTTCTGTGAGACATAAGGATGTGTTTCTATGCCAGGAAAGACTTCGCTTGCGGTGATTGGAGATGGGGTAACATGATGGAAAGATGTCCACGCCAGCATAGGATCGGTGAAACATGTGGAGCAAAGCTAGTCCATCACGACTACCTCGAACGGAGATCGGAACCATGTAAGGTTTGTCAGGAGATCGAAGTGAAGAAGCGCCGACTGCAAAAGACTTGCGAGAACATCAGTCGCTGGAGTCCTCAAAGAGATACCTTTGCTGCTTTGTTGGAAAAGGCTGAGAACGAGAAAGACGAACTAGTTGAAAAAATCAAGCAGCTCAATTCTCAACGGGAAGCAGTCAAGGCAAAGCTGAGTGGTGATCGAGCCATGGCTCCGATTGACCCGCCGGTGGCGACAATGGATCGTGGTTCGTATACCTGGTCACCTCAAGCAGGGGCTCGAACTTACCCCTCGTCAACCCAACTGACCAGCGGCTATACCACTCCGACCAACTTGGCCGGGAGGAGCTCGAGTACTTCAGTATCATACTCGCCGTACTCGACCGACCGTAACAACGACAAAAGCCGACGTGGTAGACGTTGATTATCGACAACAAGACGATAGGTGAAGGTAAAAACCTGCCACATCACTGCTACTCGCAAACAACTCCCAAGAAAAACTTCGAAGAGCGAGTTGTGGATGTATTGCAGATATGTGGATTTTGGATTGAGACGAGTGACTGAGAAGGGCGATCGAGCAGCTAGGTGAATGTTTCCTTCATCACAGTGGTATTGTGGAATTCTCCAATAGACGCTTCCTAGCTTGGAATCGTGCAGGAGTTGAGGCGGGCTGCTTGCGTACTGGAAGCGCCGGGCTATCAAAATGGTGAAATGGCGTTTGAGACATCTTGGGTACTTGGGAATGTACACTTGATTCCTTTGTATAACAAACCCAGAAGAAGGTATAGCATTAGTAGGAATACAGGTCTGGAGTCTTTAATATATCAATGATTATGGTCAGTATCGAGAGCAAATATACCTCTCATTTACGAGCTCGTTGACGTGTCAAGCAAACTTGAGTGATAAGTTGAGGTTCACCGCCAAGGGCGCGTAGCACAATCAGAAAGGGGCACGACCCGGACTAACCATATTCCGCCATGAGCCAATCACGTTGTTCCGGAAACCGAGCTCGAAGTGCTTCGTGAATATTGCCGCTCTTTCAATCGAAGAGCCCCTTTGCGAGGCAATCTACAAAATCTCCAGGGTAGAACTCCTTGGCCGAGGCACAAGGGAAAGAGCAACGCAACAGCTTCGTCGCGTCTGCAATTCTCCGCACTCACGAGTGCCTCAGTCGTGGTTTCCGAAAGTCGTGCTAATGTAGAATCTCATTACACGCTCCTGCAGCAAGCAAGTTCGCTCACATTTTCGGTCCAAGCTGTGTAGAGTTGCACAATCGATCCTGAACCGTCAAGCACGAATCCTGAAACACTGTAAGGAAACCACAGAACTATGGCTCAATCTACTCCAACATTCGAAAATCTCACTGTGACTACCTCTGAAAGTCATCCCTCTGTCCATATTGTTACGATGCACAAACCGCCAGAGAACAGACTCAATGTTGCTTACGCCCAGACAATAATTCGCGCTCTGCGTCATATCGAGACTAATCTTATTCCCAAAGGCGAACCTGGTGCAGTGGTCATCACCTCATTCAGTGACAAATTCTGGTGTACAGGTCTCGAGCTAGATGAATCTGACAACAACCCGTATGCAAATAGCGACGGCTTCTTCCCGCTTCTAGCGACGTTGGTTGACTATCCGTTCCCTACTGTGGCCTGCATAACAGGACACACGTTTGGTGGTGCATGCCCATACTCATTGAGCTGTGACTATCGTGTTATGAATTCAAAGCGTGGTTTCTACAGTATGCCTCCTGTCGACCTCGGTCTGCATTTTGATGGCATAGGTGCTTTGCCGAGACTGAAGCTTGGGCCTAAGATTGCTCGCAAAATGCTTCTCGAAGCCCACAGGTGGACTGGCAAGGAGGCTTATGCTGATGGTATCGTGGACGCTATTGCAGAACCTGAGAAGATGCTAGAAGTAGCTGTCGCGCTTGCAGCTGAGCAGGCTCCAAGAGCCAAGATGGGAGTTTATGGATTGCTAAGAACTGAGCTGTGGGGTGAAGCGCTCAAGAAATTCAGGCGGATCAGCTATACTCACCGGAGACGAGAAGGGACTGAGCCAAAGGCGAAGATATGAAGAAAACATTGAGCGAAATATATATAATAGCAGTTTTGCCTCAGGTCAAAGATGACATGACCCATATATACTAACAATCCGTCCTTCACAGCTTCGCTTTTGCATCTGCACGCTGCTCGTGGCCGTAGACACCCAGTGCAAGCTTCTTAATACGCCCTCTTGCATTGTCAGCTCCCTCACCCATGACTATCTCCTCCGTATTCCAGTCCGGATTGAACGTCTGCAGATTCAACGGGTTTTCCAAATGTGCTTTCTGCCATAGTGCATTATAGACATCACCATCGTAGCGTCCCAACGCACTCTCGAGCAGATAGTCAGGTATACTCCATGCATCAACCAACCTCACAGCATGAGGACGGATAGCTTCCATCAACTTCTGGATCGTGGGAGTCAACTCATGTAGTTGTTCAGGCTGCAGCGCACCAGACAGGATGAATTCCGAAGACTGAGCGTCGATCGTGAAGAGTGCAAAAAGACGGAAGAGGTCCTTCATGACATTCTGAGTTGGCTCAGCAAGTGGCGGATTCGGTGCCGACTCAAAGATGGCCTTGTGGAAGTTGGCGACGAGAAGAGACTCTGAGAAGGCGCGAGCCAGACGGTGTAAGCTGATCATGAGGCTGGTCCAGGGCTGTTTCTTCTCGACTCGTGCTTGGTAGGCTTGATGCGACAGGAAAGAAACACGATGTTCAAAGGCTCGGACAATATCTTTTTCGGTGCTGTAGATGTCGAAGCGCTTACTGGCCTGTTGATTCTGTAAGTACAACCGGAATTGTCCGTCAATTGGCTCGCCTGCTTTTGCGGTTGGATATGGATCTTTGACTGATTCTGTCATGCGCTTGATGAGATAGCTGGCTGTTTGTTGGGTGATCATCCAGTTGTCTCCCTCGACCGTCGGCTTTGAGAGATAGTCGTTGTTGAGTGGAATGATGCCACTTCCACCGCCGAAGCCATGACCGCCCATCGCTCGACGGCAGACCTCGATACCATCTGCCGCCAACATTGTGCAGCAAGACTTGAGTCCTGAAGAAGCAGCGTGCATCTCGGCAAGCCTCGATGTATCTCCACCTTTTTCAATCTCTTCTCTAGTGTTCCAGTAAAGGTTGAACATAGCTTCTCCTGTGTAATGGAGCGCGTATGTAGTGGCGAGCAGAGGCAATATTCGTATCTGGACAGTCGGATAATTCAGCACAGCAACTTCTGCAGCGTCATCTTTCGCATCACGGTCTGCAAACTGTCGCCGTATTGATAGGTAGCGGACGGCGATTGTGCATGCTCTAGCCAGTACCAGACGTGCATGCATGATAATTTGTGCACGAACATAAGTCAAAGAACCATAGACAAGTGCCTGATTCTTAGGTTTGATGTACATACCAGACTCCGAATCTACTCCTGAGTACCGTGACAGTAGTGCTGAATGAGAGACTCTGAAATTCTTGAATAGCATATAACCATTATCCATTGCTGTATAGCCATATTTGGGGCCAATATCGCCGATGACTATGCCTTCCAGTGGTTTATGAGTTTTCATATCACGAATCTGAACGATGAATTGATGCGGACCATGAGATTTGAGCTTTCCAGTCTTCTCATCAGGAAGCATCAGCTGAGCGACAACAATAGCATGGTTCGCAGTACGGCCCAGAGAGCCATTCCACCATTTTGATGCGGTCAAGGTGGGACTGTGAATCGTGAAATCTTTCGTCTCCTGGTTCCACGTTGCTGTGCACTCTATTCCTCTAACATTGCTGCCGTGTCCGAGCTCTGTCTGACCATAACAGCCGATGATCTCCCAATTCTCCACTTTTGGTAGCCAATATTTCATTTGTTCCTCGTTGCACTGCTCTCGGATCGACGTGGCGAACATGACTGTCTGTAGAGCGTATGGCGCCATTTCATCCGCGAGGTAGTCAGCCATCTTATAATCGTCAATGTCCCAGCCATGTTCCAAGGATAATCGCCTCAATTCTTTGGCTCTCGCCAAGCCAAGGTGATATCTGTCTGGCCTTGCAAGATTGAGCTGATTTTTTTTGCAGAAGTATGGACGTTTCTCGATCACGCTGAGAATCTTCTTCTGCCTTTGCAGGAAATCTCCTCTGTGCAATAAGTGTTGTGCTAGTTGGTTGATATCAATGTCAGAACGTGCTCTTTCTTGGCTCAGGACGTTTGGACCTTGCGGGTCTGCTGGCTTGAGCTCTGTAGAGAAGTCAGACATTTTGAAGATCTTGGTCGATGAAATCCTGATGAAATGGATCTTGACGGAACGACAGAATGCAATTGAACGTCCTTGTCATTTTCTTTCGCTCGATACTGTATGATGTCGGCGTATTCAACGCCTTGCCGCTAGCCACTGATATCTCCTCATCGCAAAGCTTGAAACAAATGCCGAGGCTCAGGAAGAAGGAGCCGTATATACTGCCTATTGGTCAACCAAGACATGGTCGCTGATCTCGTAATCGTCCTCCAAGAGAGTCGAGTGATAACTAAAATATAACATCCTCAACAATGTCACGACACGCATCAATCACAAAATCAAGCAATGACAGAAGCGAAATGGGACAGGAGGAAATTTGTCCCACTTCACGAGGCACGTGACAATGTGCTACCTTGCGACCCACTCTTTACACGACTGCTAACGTTGGCGTGTCGCCAAAATTGTGGCACAGCGATACGCGATCTAAATGCTGGGCTAGAGAAGAGCTCATCAGAGTTACTCAGTGACGCCGTTAACTTCAGAGAAGTGTTACGTGGTCGGTTGCGGCCTGAAGTATTGCAGGCGCTTCGTGACGGAGAGGAAGTCTTCATCAGCTTGATAGCCCCAGGTGGATACGAATTTACGGTAGGCATCCTAGCAATACTAGGTCTCGGAGCTGGCGCGAGCCCATTCAGCCCGCATCAACCTGTCCATGAAGCTTGTTACTATGTGAACAAGGCCAGATCTGTGGCCGTTGTTGTCTCGGATTCTGCTCGGAAGCTTGGTCGAGATCTGGCCACTGAGATATGTCGAACAACAGATCCACGCTTTGTTTGTGTATCTGTCTCCGATGGTCTAGGTCATTCCATTCGGTTACCATCATCGCTGGTCTTGTCAAGTGCGGGACATAGAGATCTCAATGCTCCTGGTGTTGTCATCTTTACATCTGGCACAACGGGTCCACCCAAAGGCGGGCTTTTGTCTTTAGGAGCTATTACCGATGGTGCTTTGAGCTTTGCAAGGCAGTTGAGGATCTCGGATGCTGATACATGTCAGCACATATTGCCTGTACATCATGCCACTGGCATTTGGGTCACATTCTTCCCTTTCCTGCTTACGGGAGCTTGCATCGAGTTCAAGTCAGGGGGTTTCAGTCCAGAGTGGACCTGGAATCGATGGAAAGAGGGTGGTATAACACATTTTTCTGGTGTTCCCACAATATATATGAGAATGATGAGGTATTGGCAGGAAAAGCTATGTAAGTTGCCTGCAGCAGAACGTGAACAGTACCGAAAAGCACCAGGCCAGTTCAAGTATGCAATCTGTGGTACTTCAGCACTGCCACAGCCCATCAACGACTTCTGGACGAAGATGATGGATGGTAAGAAAATCAAGCAACGCTACGGCTCGACAGAGCAAGGGATCATTCTCAGCATGCCATATGAGGGCAGAGATGATACGCCTGATGGATCGACAGGACAGCCATCAATAGGTGTAGACGTGAAGCTGTCCGAAGGCGATGAAGGCGAGATCAGGTCCAGGTCCTTTTACATGTTCTCAAAGTATATTCATGACCCTGAAGCCACCAAAGCTGCGTTTGACGCGGAAGGTTATTTCAAGTCTGGCGACATGGCATTCAAGAAAGGCAACGATTTCTTCATCACTGGTCGTGCTTCGGTGGATGTGCTGAAGTCTGGTGGGTACAAGATCTCCGCCCTAGACATCGAACGCGAAATTCTGTCGCTACCATACATCAATGAGGTAATGGTTGTGGGAGTGCCTGACGATGAGTTCGGACAACGAGTAGCAGCAGTCTTATCTGTGTCGGATAGCGAAGCGGCTCATCATTACTATCAGGAGCACAACCGGTCGTTTGGCAAGCTGAATCTTGATGACCTGAGAACGGATTTGCGAGACAGGTTAGCAGGGTACAAACTACCGACGTTACTGCGTGTCATCAAAGAAGAGCTGCCAAAGAGCCCAACAGGAAAGGTATGTTGACCACGTCCAGTGCTGTCACGCGCCACTAATATAGAGGCAGGTTGTAAAAAAGGTCTTGGGTCCGCAGTATTTTCCTCTGGACTATCTAGAAGATCCTGAGGTACAGAAATGGACAGGTAAAAGTGGTGATCCCAAGGCGAAGCTATAGAGAAATGCGTAAATAGGAAGCTGTGATTGAATAGACCTTCTAGGTTTCGCGTCTCGCGTGATTGCTGGAACAGAAGTGGCCTGTATACCTCACCGTAGACATTCACTAACAGCTGGTAGCGAATCAAAACGTGCTGCCGTTTGTGTAACGTTGCTTGACGACGCAATTAACTTATCGACATCATTGCTCATTACACATCCTCTCGAAATACGACTTCACTATACGTAAACGACAGCAAGGAAGCGAACTCGATTTGAATTTCATGTCGAGGAGTGCAAGAAAAGGTCAGAATGGGCATCTGCTCTTCCTGTCTCGGTCGCCGAGATGACTCGGACGAGGTATGCTATCTGCGATGTCAGTCCAACAGGTCGTTGCTAATGTTTGATAGGGTCAGCGACAGCGACTCCTTGCCGACGATCCATACGCACAAACTCACCACAACTACAACACATGGCATCAGCCACCACCATCGCAACCTAACGCTTTGAACCCAGATGAACAGAAACGCGAGCAGCAGGCCATGCACGACATAATGCGATGGGCCAGCGATCAAATAGTCGAGATCTTTCCCGCAAATGCTCGTCAACAGCAACAGCAGGCCATCAATCTGAACAACTCAGTGGTGAACCTCTCTCAAACTGACGGAACGGGCGCAAACGGTTTGATGAGCTCGCAACACCAAGATATTCTGCTCTCCATGATTCCAGGAGACAAATCCAAAAGATCGATAAGGATATACCCTGCTAGCAGACCGGGCACGGGAGATGCACAGTCTATCAGGAGTAAAGCCAGTCATACAAAACTCAACGGCTCAACTCGAGGCGCAAAAGGAAGAGAAGGAGTTTTCGTCAGACTTAACGTTGATTTGCCCTAAGCGGTAGAATGAAATGGCCAGCCTTCTGTCTGCGAACAAACGAACACCACTATGAACGCATATCGTACTCTCCACGAGGCTCGAAAGAAGGATACAAGAAGCACGATCTATACCTGTGACAGGACCATGCTCACGATTGTTCCCCCCCTACTAGGACCCTACTGGACGTCGACTTCTTAGGAACAATAGCCACTGCTGCCTGTCTGCCTGCTACGACTCAATCGAGACACGGTCACAAGCAATTCCTGATCTGAAGAAACCAGGTTGTGGCAGCTGCCGACATACGCCTTACCGCCACTTGTTCAAATAGAGGGGTGAGAACCATCTCATATGGCCACGCCTTTACTGTCTACGCTCCTCGCGAGTTGCATGCTACCTGCGCTAGAGTGAGAGGGTCGAAGAATGCCCTGAAACCTGGCAGCCGTGACATTCAACGTCTCGGGCAAGATGTATCTTGTCTATTAGTCACACAGCCGCGTGTCTGCTTCAAGCCCAGGAGTATACCTAAGCTCTTTACTCGACAAGCACAACTTTGAGTATTTCTCTCTCAAACCAGGCTCAATCATCTGTGTTATGGCCATGGAACAGATTGGTCTAGCACTTGCGGCGGCTGTAACAACACTGCTGTCGACTATCACCATTGGAGGTTCGATTTGAGCCAAGCGCCTTTTAACTTTTGTGCAAGTAGAATATAGCTTTTTAATGTGTATGTATAATACGTACTATAATCCTTGATACTGTATGCCATTTTCTGGCCTCCTCAAGTCCCTGCTCTGAGGCTGGTCCCGAAGTATTGCTTTAGCTTGTAGATCGTAAGATGCCGAATAGTTCAGAGAGTGGTTTAAAACAATTTAGGTGTAACAAAGTAGAATCCAAAAACAAGGCAGATGGAAGAAGGTCTTATGTAGCAAACTGGCAATGCAGTTCATTGCATAGTATTAGCTGTTAGCTATACTGATGCGAACGCGTAGGGTATCTGGTATTAGGAGCTGGTAGGCAAAGATTGACTCGCTGGCGTATTGGGTATCTCAAGCAATAAGACTTCGTTTCCTTCCGTTATTAGACTCCGATCCTTCATCTTCTCCTTCTCGGTATGACTTTCCACTATTGTTCCTTTTTCCTATTGCGATGCTGGCTGCTCATTTAGCAGCAACAGCAACTGCCTCATCTTGCTGGGCAGAGCCGGCTTGAGTGGCAGAAGGCACTGCGCCAGGTGTAGGATCAGCAGGCTTCGAATTGTCAACTGAGGATTCGGTCGTAATTGGAGCTGCGCCTGCACCTTGATCAGTAATTAAATAAGAAGCCTTGGGTGTTGAGACACTGACCTGCTGGTGCGACTGGCTGGCTAGATGACGGGGCAGCAGATGATGTAGTCGTCGTCGGTGGAGGGACTTGAGTCGAAGTGCCGACCTGATTTGGAGCTTCAGTCCTGGTGCCTGCGGTCTTCGATGGACCCGGCTCCTGCTTCTTGCGACGGAAGATGGCCTGCAGATATTGGTTAGTCACTGGCCGAACCGATACTGTGCATGGAATACCTTGAGCTTGTCCATCGCGTCAAGTGCTAAGTGCCACAAAAGTTAGAGGTAGCTATTCGTAAGTGTGGTATTGTAAGAAGACAGTCCTGTGCCTAGAAACACGAGTGGTGGGACGGGGACAGTAGAGTATGGAAAGGGCGAGTACTAACGAATGCCAGGCATGTTCGAAGGATATCAGTGAACGGGCTGCGGGTCAGCAGGTGTTGGTGGAAACGGACAGATTCGGGTCTGTATCAATCAGAACTCAAGTTGAGAGATAGGTAGTAAGCAAGTAAGCCGCTTGTGAGGACAAGTTTGTGCTAGGCCTCCATTGGCGACTGACCTGTCGCTTCGCTATCAGCAGTACTAGTGTCGCATGTAGAGCAAGGGTATGCAGATGGCAGTCACGATGGGGGACGGTGAGTGGTGATGTACGAAGCTCGTTCAAGCTATTGCACAGAACGCAGATGCAACGACACGTAAAAGATCAGCTTGAGCAGTAACATGGTCTTGTGACGTCCAAACAAGGCAAATAGTCGTTCGCAACGTGAAGCTATCTCGCAATGCAGCATTGGCATGGGATTAGTGAAACAGTCAAGGATCGACGTGATAGGTAGGTGCGTCAACTGAGACTTCCAGGCCAAGCTCGAATTGGGACTAGGGATGACGATCTGGTGGTCTGTGTTCCGTCTGAATCAGTTTCAGGCCAGCTTCTCGTGCTCGCAGCTGCACAAGCAAAGTCAACCACAATGCTGAGCCAGGAGAAGCTGCACAACAAGCTCTACTCCTCACCAGAACCCTTGTGCATATAAAAAAGGCTTTGTAAGATACTGCGTGGACATTGATGTTTCCAGCTTAGCTGCTTCTTGAATTTGAAGAGTGAATGCTACACCATGATCGCAAGAGGATGCTTAGATTCCACCTGCTCGGTCGAGCACAGAGCTCAGTCCGCTGGAACTCAGCTGCCATACCTGTATTGTTCTTTGGCCACGGTACGAAACTAACGAAGAAGGACGTGCTGGATCAGTAACTGCCGCGGTGTCGTGCTTAGGCCACTGGAAACAATCGGATAGCTACATCTTTGGAAGACGATGTTTCCAAAGTGTACCGGCAATAGCCGATCAAGACGACCGACTTGGAGTGTAATCTTGATAGGAGCAGATGCCGAATTGGAGAGTGCATGGACAACGATCTCTCCCCGCATAATTACAAGGTTGGAACATAACCAGGACAGACCACCAGAAGAGGACTGAGGACACAAGATTAGACCCTAGAATACAAGCACTATCTCTGAACCACAGGCATAACATCGAAGAGTGTCGCAGACCTTGAAGTCGACCCTACCGCACCCTACCTCAGCTCCTTACACAAACAGTCCACGAAGATGCGTCTCTCGTACGTCGACAACCCACCAAACTTCACCAACGAAGATGACAAAGCCACCCTCGAACGCGTCAAGGCCCGTAGAGGAGAAAAGGGCCTACTGCCCCTCGACCTAGCCCTCCTTCACGCACCCAAAGTCGCAGATGGTAAGCACCACCTATCCCATACAACCAAAGACTACTTACTCTAACCAAACGAAAAAATTTCAGGCTGGAACTCACTCCTAGGCGCCATCCGAGGAAAGACCTCTCTCCCAGACAACATCCGCGAAATAGCAATATGCAGGCCTGCACTTATCAATCAGGCTTGGTTCGAATGGAAGCACCACGCTCCACTTCTGCAGGACTCTGAATCCTTCAAAGCCAGCCTGGACAAGTTTGAGACTGTTCAACAGCTTCATCCGACCAGTGCCGGGAGCCTCGACAAACGTGAATGGGCGACTTTACGATATGCTGATGCTATGACGCGAGATGTGAAAGTGTCGCAGTCGTTATTCGATGAGGTGAAGGCACTGTTTAGTGAACAGGAAGTTGTGGAGATCACGACGACTGTTGCGAGTTACAATCTCGTAAGTCGTTTCTTGGTTGCTTTGGATGTTGGTGAGATGAACGATCAAGCACCTGAATTTACCAGTCAGGTCACAAACCCTACGAGCACAGACGATAGAATTCAGTCGTAGCTCGTTGAATCTTCATATTGCTTATTCGGTGTCTCGGAGAATGTGTTTGCTCAATGATGTTACAGGTTCGCACAGATTTATGGCTCCATATATTCCTTCATGTACCAGGAGGTATGCTCATCTATCAGTAGTGGAATTAACAGACCTCAACGACAGCCATACCACTGTGCAATGTCAATCCATGTATCTGATCCTCTTCGATCCCCACTTCCTCTGACCCATAGTCATCGGTCCCCAGTATATTACACATCATCTTCGTCGAAGCAGTGGCGAAGAGTACGTGGATTGCAGCCTCGTCTATTAGGGAACGTGGCGGTGCTCGTTTGTTTGTTTCGCCTTCCAAACTTGTTTGTGCAAGACTTTGTGGCTGCTTCATCAGTGGATGCAGTGTAATCTCGACGCCGGTCCGCCAAATAACCACCAGCACCTCCGCTACCAGTGACTTGAAGGCGGACCATTCGATCTCCTGGTTGTTCATGTCTTCTAGGTATACCTCCGTGAGCTACTGCGAAGTTATCCCATGCTGATCGGTTCTCGGTCTTGTCAGCCATTGCTGGGTGCAGGAATTGGAAAGGTGCTTTCTGCGTTTGTGGCTCTGCTTCGTCGTCCAGGTGTTTACTCCAGTACTGCTTGAGTCGTTGAGCATTACTCTCGAGTAAGACGTCGACTGCTGGAGAACCAGTATAATCAAGGGTTTGTGAGGACGGCCTGTAGCTGTGTATGGAACTGGTAAGCTGACTTGTACGAATTTTAGTCTTGTCATTCGATGTGTTCCAAGGTTGTCGGTCGTCCTCATAAGATTGTGTTGATGCCGCTGTGTTGTCTGTATCTCCTCTGCTCGAAAGCCAGTCGAGATCATTCTCAGATAGTAGTAGGGAGTCCGGGGATGTGCTACAAATGTCCGTCGATGGAGGTTTGGGTGCACTGCTACCAAAAGCTTCTGTGAGTGCCGCAATAGCTTCGAAGTGTTGCGAAGCTTGTGGTATGACAATGTCGATAGTTGAAGATGCTGGAATGCTGGTGCCTATCATTGTGCAGCACATCTTTAGTGTAGCTAAATCTCCTGCACAGTTATCGATGGTATCGATAATGGGGTTACCGTTCATGGATGCCTGAGCGTTGACTTTGACGTGAGTTTGTAGTCGAAAGATACGTGTATCGTTGTTCGGGACTTCGATCGATGAGTATGGCACAGATAGAGGGAGGTCGTAATGTACGAAAGATTCTGCTTCCGGACACAAGTCTGGTATTTGTTTCAGGGTAGCAAACGTGCTGTTCTCAAAGTAGCAGACAACTAAGTCTTCATAGTTGTGAACAAGCTTGAACAAAGGCGACCAAACAAGGAGTCGAGCATAGGGTATCACGTAGTGTTCACACATTGTGACAGACTTGAAGGATATGTCAGTGAATCTCAAATCGAGTATCCTTCAAAGATAACTCACAGTGTTGCTGAAGATGATTGGTACGTCAATTTCGACAATGAGAGGTAGAAGTGAAAAAGTCGACGCCGGTTTGTTGGGCACAAATCAGGTTAGAGAGCAAGTGCAACCTGCCTGCCAGTGAAGTAGAACTTCAAAGAGGCAGCCACGCCAGCAGGCGCGCTCGCCTGTCCACCACTCTCGAAATTCGATACCTTCACTGCTTTGGCCGTTCGTAGCATTTGAAATAGGCTCAACCTTCACAAGCGCGTCCTTCCTGTTCCACTCTCTTAAATGCACCGCGATATGGCGTATAGGCTGTTGGGTAATTACTGTAGACACTACCGGACTTTCTAGAACTGAGATGCGTGAAATACATCTGAAGTATGACTGATGAGTTTCGGAACTCCTGCTAAACAATCAATGCGAGCTCTTGCCTCTGATCCGATGTGCTCGAATCTCGACTGACACCAATCTCCACAAGAGACAGGCTCGTATTCAGCTAGGTCGTCCTCACCGATGCAGATAGGCAGTACACCACACTTTTCCTACGTTCGATATGTCAGACGTATGTTCCAGGCAATGACAGTCGGTGCTATGATGAGACAGGGCTTTCGGGACTTACATCAAAATCAAACCCGAAGAAGAAAGGCATCGAGTATCTGAACTCAGTAAGTCAGGAAGAGATACCAAGCCTAAACTTCATTTCCACTCACCTATCCACTATCAATCTATTGAAGACACGATGCTATGTTGACTTCAGACAATCACCTTGAGCCGAGTAACCATCGAAGTGCTTGCTGTTCGACTTCGAGACTTGCAGCTTCTCCTCACTCCTTCGCCTGAAGAAGGACAGCACAGCACTATATGCACCCTCGATGACTCTATCCAGTATGCAGTGGTTCTTGATGTGGAAAAAGCCTGTATCTTCTAGTGCTTGCCCTGTTCACATAGCCAATAGAACGCGTTGCTGCGGCGTACCATTGATGGCTGAAACGTCGACTACTGGACTCTTGCAAGCTCCGAGAGGCTTGGTAGAGACATCACGAAGGACTGGTCAATAGGCTGTTCGGAGCTCGAGTTTAACGTAGCCGGGACGTGTGTTGTCGTCTCTAGAGCCTTCCACTGCCGTTGAATGAGTTTTGATAAGCATCAGAACGCGTCGAGGATAACAAAAATTGCTCTCGATGCGCGTGTGTACGCGTCAAAAAAACTTCGCTCGCATTGCGTCTACCATAAGTCTTGTCCTACTTATGTAATATTCTGAAGGTTGAGGACGATTGGATATTGATCCATGTCTGCTCACAGTAACATTGCCTCGAGCCCCAAGTAACCATAGGATATTAGCCGCAGTAATTGCACGTGAACTGTCCACAAGAACATGACTTTGCGCGCGAACAGATCCCTCTAAAGGCTTAGAGGTATTGGGACATCTTCCTTTTGAAACAGTCAGCTGATGAGTGTTCAACGCGCGAAGCTTCAAGCTTCGTGCCAATGGTATGAAACTCCACTTATCGGCGCCGGAGAGCTCCGACGGTCACTAATGGTATACAGTACTAGGCATGGCTGGGAAGCATGACGCAGGGGAATCAAGATGATAGATTGATACCTTGAGACCTACGAAAGCTCAATCAGTGGCTATGCCAACTTACTCAGAAACCCTTAACATAATGATGCTCTCCTGTTCCACCAGCAGCTTGCATAACCTCGCGAATCTCAATCTCCATCCCCACCTCGATATAGCCTTCACTTCGTGGGCAGCACAACATCCCGAAACACGGCTTGTACTTAACACCCTCATCAACGCGTCGATAAGAAACCAACGTATTCCAAGGTTCTTTCTTGTTCTTCACAGCAGTATCGGGGTCAACGTTAGGTACTTGACACCTTGCGCAGCGCGCAGCAACGTCGATATCAATCGACTGGCTGTTGATACCGGTCAGCGCGGACAAGCTTCCAACAAGCGACTTAGGTGGGTTGACACGCAATGTCTTCCATTCGTCTTCTTCCCATGGCTTCAAATTGTCACTGTCGACGATGATATTCGGTCGGAAGCGCTCGATTGTGATTTCTGTTCCCTGTTGTTCCTTCAGCCGCGTGTTGAGCTCGTTCAACGAGACTTCAGTAGCGACTTGAATGGGTAGCACATCGGGAAAATTCACGAACTCTTTTCTGTACTGCGTGTCAGTGTGAGTCATCACGCTACTGCTGGACACTTATCTTCAAATGCTCCGGATCTCCATTTCCACGACCTAAAAAAGAATCAGCCTGACCACCGCCAGTAGTGACCTGTAAGTTCATAGGCTCAGGTGGTCAACACATAGCATAGTGAGCACTCACATTGTCGCGGTGTTGGTCCTTTCATCACAAGCTGCACCTTTGCGTCCTTGTCCCAAGATGTAAAATACTTAGTAACTGCATCTGTAATTTCCGGTGCTGTGAAAGCATAAGCATCGGTATGGTATTCCCATATCTCCGTCTCAACGAGCTTCGCATTGTTGCTTAACCATTCTTCGTCTGCTTCCAGCGGCACTGAGATAGTCGTCGCTCTATCGTAATCCACCTTTGACTCCTCTCCAACTCCTCCGACTTCTACCACGGCTGGAAATATAACGGTGAGATTGGCTCTACCTGACTCATCTTCACTGATTCCAGTCTTGATCAGAGTCATCTCGGGTTTGTTCCGAATCGTGATGAAGACCTGTTTATCATCAACAAACATGCAGCAGCGGTCAAACTTCAAGCCTTTGCGGCCAAGCGTTGATGACTTGACCGAGAAGCCACGACATGATTTTATGGGATAGATTCTGAGGTCTGTCACACGTGTTGTTTTTGGATATTCACCCATGATTACAGTAGGCAAGCTTTCTTGATATTTTGAGAGATGTCAACAACTCAATCTGTCGTATGTGGTTTATGGAGGAAAACTGACAGGTCTACACGGTAGATCGTGGAGATAGCATCATACTGATACAGCGGAAAGTGGCAAGGTTCGACCGCCACTACTTCACCTCGGACGAGCACTGCACGTGACATAATTTCGTGATGTCAGTTTTCTTTTCTTGAGAATGCTCGTAGATGGTAAATCCAAAGCAAGTACATTGGTAGAAACTCACAAGAAACGCTCGGCTCATGAGCAAAGCTGCATAAAAACTTGGTTGAGGAATACAGAAAACGCGATCCATGTAATGGCTGCATCAGCATGGGAGATAGATGAGCACTGATATCAATACTGCGGCAGAAGACCTTAAGAGTCTGTATTCAGGTATTGCTCACATCCGTTCAGTAGTTCTTGGTTGTAAAAGAACCGCTGTAGGACATCATGTGTCCCGATGTCTTTCTTTATGTGCTTTAGCAATGGTATCAAGCTTTGTCCTTTGGGTAGCAGGCGTAGTTTCGTTTCGTGCTGCCGCCAAGCGTCAATACAAACCACGCACATCCAGTAAAGACATTCCTTCTCAAGCTGAAGCCAGGATGAATGATTCTCTCGTAGTAGTAGACGAGTCAATTCGATACGTGAGGCTCCAAACAACGATGAGCTAGATCTCGCGTGGGTGAAGGCATTAGCACAATAGAGGAACAGAGCTAGCGTAAGATATTTCTCGATCATTGTCTTGGAGGCGTCAGGTATTGCTAGGGTAGGACATGCCTCGAGGAAGTCTCGATACCTGCGCTTCTGGGAGTGCCACATATTGCCAGGCGACAAAGCTTCGACACCATGGACAACAGCTTCAGCAGTACGGCCTAGGACATCCATCAACTCGACAGATATCATACCTTTAAGAACGAGTGACTGAAAACCGACAGGCAGCTTCATGAAAACATCCCGCAGATCTGGTGACAGTGGAAATGCAGGGTACACCAACCTATGCTCCAACCGTGATTCTGGAAAGAGAGGTATGCCATCCTCCTGAATTGTCCAAAAGCTATCCCATTGTGAGACCGATGCCGCCGCCAATCCCTGGTGTCCCAAAGCATGCATACCACCTCTGGACAGAACCATGCTCTTCACATTGGATCTGTGCACGTCGTAAGATCTGTTGTCGCCTAAGAAGCGTGCTAGATTGGCAAGCCCAAGCACAGTAATTATCGAAACATCATCGTGTACAGGCTCTTCAGCACGTTGGGCCTCTTTGTGTCTCTTTTGTAACCGCGACAATGCTAATGTCTGGTTGGATTTGACCTCTTTCGACATGCGTGAAGCAGGATTGCATGCAGACATGATGGCGCCTACCATAGCAATTCCCACAGGTCTATAATCTTCGTGCTGCATCAATTCCAACCAGTAAGAGGTGTAGATATTTGTGACATTGAAGATTGCGTATATGGGCTGGTTGATAGGAGAGATGACTTGTGTAAAGTAGTCTATTGCAGATCTTGCGAAGTCGTCAGAAGGTGTGAAGCCAAAAGGGTCGATGCGCAGTCCGCCAGAGATTTGTAGATCAGCTGTCAGATTACCAGCACGCCATGTAAATTGCATGGCTCTCATTTCTTGTCGGTGTTGCATGCATGAGCCACTCTTGCCTGCGGATAGGGTATCATCCTGCATCAGGTCGTGTACACTGCCGTGGTCATAGTCCTCAGGACGGACAGCTTCTGTAGAGAGTTTCGCCGCAATGCCATGAATCGCTGGCGTAGGATCGTTCGAATTCTCAACACCAAATCGTGTCTTCAGTCGTCTGGTCTCCCTGCGTTGACGTGAGACCGCAGCAGCATGTGAACGAGCATCGGAGTTGGCGAGCTTGTGCGCGGCCAGATCGGGATTGCCTGCGTGATATGGAACGAAGAGGAAACTATCTTTGGACATTACCACTGCCTATATCGAGGGCTCTGACTTTTGTGAGAAGCTATTATGCCGAGCACAGATGAACAGCGAAACGGCAATCATCGCTATCAACCAGATTGAATGCGTTCGGTCTATGAGGTTAGAACAGACGTTGTGTGGTGTATTACTGCAGCATGTGGAACATGAACCAAAGGCTAAGAACGAGGTTTGGCATGCTCTATACCTCGTGGTGTAGTATTGTGGCAGAGGCAAAAGTGGTAGAGAAAAGGACCACGTCGTGGGGGTTGACCGGAAAACCATAACCGCAGCTGATAAATGTATTCGTTTTTGGAATCATTATGGGCTATTATGGGTACAGGTTGTGATCGACGCTGCAGATTCAGCAACATGTCGGTAAGTTTGAGCCAGAAAATGTACCAGAGGATTGGTCGCGTAGAGAAGAAACTCATTCAGAATGAACATAGCGGCATCATGGCAACTTCCATACTCCACGAAATGCTTCTTCAGGCAGGTGATAAATGCTCGTAACTGCCAAATAGAGGCTCCGTGAAACTCTCTCGTATAGAAAGACGCTAGTGAGGTACTGTATCTGGATACCTGGTGAGCCTTCTTCCGCCCAAGCAGCTGCTTTGACGGTTGGGCTCGTCGCCATCAACTTTTACCCACATATCTACACAACTTGACTTGAATTCAGAAACAGCTGGGCAACAGCTGCGTTACTTCTACGAGTATATTTCAGAGGGACAGTAGATTTCCGAGGGCGAAAATGTTCTACTCTAGCAATTGTCTTGCAAATCAAGAGCTCATGCTTCGAGTTCTGATCGGTATCACACGAGTCAGTAGCGCGCAACTCGTACGGTATTGTGGCGCTAGCAGATCGTGGAGCTGCAACAGGTTTGACGCAACAACTATACTTTCAGTGAATTCCGCACTGTTATCCAAATATATTTAGGGGTTGAATGACAAATTGTCCTTGATGGTGTACAGCAGTTGGCCATTTTCCCGGGATACTAGATGTGCAGTGTCTATGCGGTACTTCAAGTACACGGTGTGGTCTGAGCTCAAATCGTCGCCACCAGCTATGCCGAGAGACGATCGTCGTTCCCTGTGTGTGTTCCGGCAAAGTTGCTGATCCATGACTCACCCCAAATCAGACACTCATCTTCACGTCCTTCTCTGATTTCTCTTGTTGCGTTGTCTTCTTCTCAAGACCAAACTCGCGCAGAATTTTTTCGTTGTGCTGTCCAATAGCCGGGACAGGTTCTAAACGCGCCTGTACATCACCAGACATGCCGGGTGGTATTGAGGTTTTTACGAAACCTGCTTCAGTCTCTACCTCTGCGAACCTGTTTCTCGCCTCGAGCTGAGGGTGCTCCCACACATCGTTCATGCTGTTGAGTTTCGCGTTTGCGATTCCGGCTTTCTCCAGTTTCTCTACAACTTCCACTGCCGTGTTCTCCTTGAATCTGTCGCAAATGATCTGGTATAACTCTGTTCGGTTTTGTGACCTCAGCGTCGTGTTCTGCGGTGTTTAGTCAGTTTGGGGGTTGACCTCAAAGGACTCCAGCGAATGCATTTGTATCGTTGCTGCTACAAGGGGTAAAGAAAACTCACACCAAATCTATCGTCCTTTTCAAGATGTGGCATTTGGAGTACCTCACGGCACAAGATACCCCACTCACGCTCGTTTTGCAATCCAAGCATAACTTTGCCGTCGCTGGCTTCAAAAGGGCCATATGGGTATATACTCGCATGACTAGCTCCCTGTCTAGGAGGTGCTGATTGCCCTTGGTAAGCATAATACCTGTGACATGTGAGCAAGTGGAATCAACACGTCGAATGCGGAAGAGTACAGTGGAAAGCCTGCCGGACGTTAGTTCAACGATTGGTCTCGATAACGCTCATCCCTAGTAACGGGTGGCTGTCAGCACGAGCCTTCGAAGCGACTCACCCATCCATTCAACCATGCCTGGAGGACAAACGTTAGTCTATGAGTCGTGAACACGAAAGCATCTTGACAGAATTAAAGCATGTATCTTGTGGGCACTCACTTTCCAGCATACTCACGTCGATCCGGCACCCTTTCCCAGTCTTCTGCCGCTGAAGCAGTGCAGCCATGATTGAGCTGTAGGCATACATGCCCGCCGCAATGTCAGCGATACTGGCTCCTACCTTGCACGGTTCATCTGGAGTGCCTGTAATGCTCAACAGACCGGCTTCACTCTGTACAAGGAGATCGTATGCCTTCTTCGTCTTGTAAGGACCATCGCTACCGTATCCACTGAGTAGCGTCAGCTAAATGGTTTGCATGGCGCCCGTCTCTGGGGCTTTGACCTTTTCAGTCTTGTAAACTCATGCATACCTTATCTCGCACATAATCAACCGTTCATTCGTCCTCGTTAGCTCTTCAAAGCTCAATCCCAATCGAGCCGCTGCTCCTGGTACAAGATTTTGCACGAACACATCAGCCTTCTTGATCAACTCTTTCAATATCTCGAGGTCGTCAGTTTTCTTGATATCCAGCGCGAGTGACTCCTTGTTACGATTGGTCCATACAAAGTGAGAACATAGCTGTCCGAGAACTCGCTTGTCGTGATAACGCACGAAATCGCCAGTGCCGGGACGCTCAATCTTAATCACACGCGCACCGAGGTCCGCAAGTTGACGAGTACAGTAAGGACCAGATATGACTTCGAGACATTAACATTTGGGACGCGTAGGACATTTCGCACGCTGGAAAATGAATGAAAGTGGTGGACATGATGGCTCACCTTGCTCAAGTGCAACCACCAAGACTCCCTCTAGTGGCCTGTGTTCTGGGGAATTGTAAATGTGTGCTGGATCTGGTTCTTTTGGAGTAGTAGATGCTGATTCACGCTGTGCTGTCGCTGCTGAGAATGTCCTTCTCTGGAAATCGATGTAGCATTTCTTTTGCTTGAATGTCTCCGACTTTGACCATCTAGTGAGGCACCGAACAATTTGCCTCGCTTGTCCGTAGGGTACTGTATTTGCAGAAGGCTTCAGGATGTTGATTATTGGGAATGGGTTTCGCTGCTCGAGCAAGAATGAAAGAGGCCGTGATCTATGCATCCCGTATCTGGCCCCGGAGACTTGCTACTCTAACTTTAAGATCAATACATACAGTACGACGCAGTGTGACACAGCGTAGCACATTGGTAGAGCACAGCTATGCATCGTGGTTAACCTCGGCGTGAACACCGTAATATGCCGAAGTTTCTATCAGAATAAAAAGTGCATTGAGAGAAAGCTTGAAATAAAGTTGACCACGATATTTCTCCGCGAAATGTTTGATGCACTACAATCTTGAACATATTGCAGAACCATGCAGGCACATCGGATTTACGTTATTTCCAGAGATTTAGATTGTCTTTAGCAGTGCATAGGATATAGCGACCCTCAATGACATGTGTTTGATTAACTCCTCACGCCTGAGCTCGATCCAAATTAAATTGTTCAAGTTTCGGCTAATGAGCAACTTTGCCGGCATTGAGTGGCGGTACTAGTAGTAGTACCAAACAAGTACCAGGAGTTTCAGCAATTCCTATCTACCCTCCAATGATCCGAAATCCACTAATACGCTTTGCTGCCAAATGTACAATCGTGTTGACCCTTTGAACTTGCGAAAAGTAAGCACAAGTCTCTTTGACCATAGTCGCGAGGCTTCAATCTGTACATTTCGCACCTAGATCATGTATCGGTACCCCTTCTGCATTCGTCTAGCAGTTGCAATATCTATGCCTTCCACTTCGGCGGTTTTCCGTAGTTTCGCGAGATCCTTTTCGCTCAATGCAACGTCCTCATTTTCTAGCCTTTCCAGTCTCTTGTTGCGGTTGGTAAGAATAAACCTCAATGTCACACCACATATAGTGGCAACAATCATCAGACCGATGTTGATGCCAAGAGCCAGTCTGTAATGTGGTCTGTCAACAGCACGATATGTGAAAGGTGTCCAGATGGAAGCAGAATTTCCGATGGAGTTGATAAATGCGAACGCTGCAGCTCTCTTGGCGGGAGGACGAGGAATAGCGTTCGCAATCCAAGCGTACGTAGTCCCGTTCATGCTGAAGATGATCACCATCAAGAACAGTGAAAAGTACTTCGCGCCGAAGTTGTCGGTACCCATAAAGACAGCCATGCCGATACAAACCACAGGAATTGGGTAGATGAAGAACCAGAAACGGTTGCCGACACGGTCAGAGAACCATGAATGGGCCAGCGCCCAGAAGGTAACGAAGATGTATGGTGGAGCGCAGAGTAGGAGTGAGACGGTTCGAGTATAGCCAAGCGTAGCTGTTAGGGTAGGGAAGAAATTCTGGAAGCCTGCTGCGCCAGTCGTGCACAAGTAAGCGACGGCAAGGAGATGAGTGTTTGGATCCTTCATGGCCAACTACGAATAGTTAATACTCATTCGGTGTGGCGGAAAAGTGGAGTCTTACCTTAAAGCCTTTGAGTTGGGACATGCCACCTGCTTCATCTACATCAGCTTCGGCTGCTTCGATAGCAAGACGTCGATTTGCGACTGCTCTTAACTCGGGAGTCAGTCCTTTCCATGTCTGAGGGCTGTCCGGATGTTAGCTTGAGGCACACTTGCAGCATGCAATACATAAGCATGGGCTAGGTTGCACGTATCGACTTACAAATCTGGTAGAATGAAGCAAACGAGTATGCCAACGAAAACCGTGATGGCACCCTCGATGATGTACAACCTAAATTGATGTTAACAACTGCCGCGCGGATGAGCTAAGAACCACATACCATTGCCATGGAGACAAACCGTGCCTGTGGCCAAGCCCGTTCAAGATACCGGCGGCAATCAAGCTACCGAAGGCACCTGAAATAAGCGAGCCTGAATAGAAAATGGACATTCGAAGGTTCAATTCCTTCTTCGTATACCATTTTGAAAGGTAGAAGAGCACACCAGCTATTGATCGTTAGCCCACGATCTCCAGAGGGCGGAAGGGAAGTCTTACGGAAGAAGGGTGCTTCGACCATGCCCAGGATGAAACGGCAAGCAACGATCTGGCTGAAATTGGTAACAAGACAGGTAAGTGCTGACACAGAACCCCATGCTATACTCAACGTCAGCAGAGCTAGACAAACTCAGTCGCAGACAGTAGTTACCAATTGTAAAGAAGCCAAGATACCAGCTGGGTTTTCCAATATAATTGAGGACCAGATTCGATGGAACTTGCATGATAATGTAGCCGACGAACAAGATACTGAGACCTATTAAACCAAAGTTAGTACAAGAAAATGCTCAACAAAGCCTGGAATTCCATACCTGTCTGGTATTGTTGCGGTGTCAGGTTAAGGTCTTCCTCGAGACCTTGTAGACGGGCTGCAGCATAGTTGTTTCTGCAAAAGGTCAGATGCTTATCAATACCGAGGTTGTGGAGGACTTACCTGTCGATGTAGTTCATCAAGTAGACCAACACCACTACCAACGTCAGTACAGAGAATGCATGTCTGCCAGGCGCACCAAATATAACAGCCCAGATCCTGACTTACCCATAGGCATAATCGCAAGGTCAATCTTCCTCTAAGAAAAGGTCAGCACAAGTTCCTGCAGCAGTATAATTGACAAGCTCTCTCTTCCTCTCGAGGAGCATGGTAGCACCTACCCTCAGCTGCTTTTCAAGCACAAGCTCCTCCGGTGTCAGCTCGCCGAGATGTGTTGCCTCTTCATGTGAAGTATTAAACTTGTCACCAAGAATCTCGTGGTCTTGGATTGACGCTCGTCTCTCGTCCACGAGCCTAGTTTGTTTGTCCATGGCTGCTGTTCTGACCTTATCGACGAAGGAAGAATGCAGTGATGGCCTTTTGTGACAAGCGATCGGAGGACAAGGGCATTTATATTGAAGCACGCCCGATCGATTAGCTGCGAGGACTTCGGAACACATCAGAGTCGCATGGCTGGAGAGGCAACAAGCTTGTTCATGTGCCGAATCTGAAATGGGGAAGTGCTGTGGGTACATTTAGAGAGCCAAGAATTTGGGTAGCAGGTATAGCCTATGACAGCGAACTGTGCCCCGGCTTTTTGGAGAGCCAAGACGCGGAGATGAGCTTGGCTAACCTACCAAGAGCCTAGAAGTAAATGCTAAACTTTCCACTTTTGTGGTATCTGGGCTGTTGGTCGGTCGTGAACGGCATCGGTGCCGATCTGCATACAAATGATCAGGAGATGCGAACTGCCGTGCTTCACGATTTCTGTAGATTACCCCATGCAATTCAACCTGCAGCAAACTATGTACCCCAGATCTGCCATGTGTATGAGCACTGGGACGCCGACGGGGTCACGTCGGTAATTTCGCTTTGGTCCCTCCGACGCCTTTGCTGTGCAGGGTGAGACTGGTTGTTAGCTTGCCAGGACATGCAGAACGTTGATTCCGGAGCGTGCGATGAAAACAGACGTCAGATCCAGCTCACGGCTGGCGACAGCTTGAAGCGAGATGCAAAAACTTAATTGAGCTGAATGTCGCTGGGAAGAGTTCGTGTCTGTAGTATCCCTCCAGGTAATGTTTGGTTCGTGCTTGAAGAACGACGGGATACTTCGTTGAGGCAACTCAACAGACTTATGATCTTGGAATCTTCTACGAGTCCATTCGTATTTGTGATGGTGCTAGAAAGAACACGATTCATGATGAAGCAATGCAGCTACTCACGTGGGAAGGACAATGACGATTGTGAGTTGGGAGAGACCTTGGCGCAAAGGGCAAACAAAGATGCCTTATGTATGGCCTGAAAACTCCGAGAGCTTGAGAAGCATCAAGTAGTATCGTTGCTTCATGTACCACTTGACTACCTGGCTAGCCTTGCTTCGTACTGCGACAATAGTACTACTAGTACTGTTGGAGGCGCTATCTTGGTCTTGGACTGACGACTTGCGACACGAACACGCATCGTGAGTGTGAAACGGCGCTTCGCTTGCTCAGTATTCGGCAACGTGATTCCTGGAATGCACGATCTGCAGTACTGCCATGCACATTCACATTGCTTGCATGAGACACCGAATGCTATGGCTGTGCTATTGCCATTAATCTGCAACAAGAATGTGCAAGGGCAAGGCGAGCGATCTAAGTGGTAGGTGCGAGCATTTATCTCCCTGCTTCTTTGACGTGCTCACGGGCCATTGGCAACATATTTTTCGATCAGCAATGCGAGCTTTGACCATCGTAAGAGGGTCTTCACGCAATACAGAGGAATGCTCTCTCGCCTACATAAAGGTCAAAGACGTCCCAACGGAAGCCTTCTCAGACAGACAAACAGTCATTCATTACAGCAAAAATACGTTCATTTACACTACCTTTCAATTCGCTTTCCAAGCACCCTCATCCAGCAAAAATGAAGACCACCATCATCCTCAGCTTCCTGTTCGGCGCCATCGCCATGGCTGCTGCAGTTGAGAAGAAGTCACCTACCTTCGAGGTAAGACTTTCACATGTCCTTGTGAAGAGTTCGTAATCTAACTTTTATAGTGCCAACAACTTCTCTCTCCTTGCCAGGACAACAGCGAGTGCTGCTCCGAGCGATGCCTTCTCGGCACCTGCGTCGGTCTGTCGTAGATCAGTCGATTCTTCAACGGGCTCGCATCGCCCGCGACACAACGATCACACTGGCCGACCAGTTTCGAAATGGCGAGACCTCAATTTCTTTTTCTCAACGGGATATTATGGTAATGAGAGACGACGATCGTGAACTGAATAGCTGGTGAAGACTTGAAAGCTTGATGCACTACTAGCAGCTACAGTGCTTTTTGGGGAAACAATTGTCGGGTATTGAATAGAAAATGGAAGTACTTTCCACAATTTTCTTCTTCTTCGTGATTCATCTCGTTAGGAAACCATCTAGCAGCGCGTGTAATCCTAAATTGCTCCGTGTTTTTTTTTTGCTTAGAAGTTCAATATCACGTCTCGATGATCGACCATGTGGAGAGCAAAGTTTACAATAATGGTCCGAGGTATAGCTCGAAGGGTCGTGAGGCTCAATGAACATTTCTCCTCATGCAGTAACACCAGTCTCCTCTTATATTTGTAACGACCGAGAACAGTGGTTAGCAGAGTTAAGATACAGGTTCTGACCATACATAGATATTTGCTACCTGGAATACACAGTTCACGTTCAACCAAGCAAAGTATCAGGCAAGATCGAGATAGTCTCCATTCACTGACCTACAGCTTGACAGGAGCATCGAAAATGGGTTCAGAAAAGCTTCCCCTCAGAAATATTGGTATCTACCACAATCTTCCCGACTACGATTCCTCAATCACTGACCAGCATGTCATCATTACTGGGGCGAACGGAATATCTGGATTTGGCACGATGCGTGCCTTACTGGACGCTCCTCAACGATGGACAAAAATCTATGCACTATCTCGACGACCTCCACCCGAGCAGATGATGAAGCTGCTCACAGCCGAACAAAGGAGTCGTGTTCAGCATGTGGCCTGTGATTTCCTTGAGTCCGGTGAGAAAATCGCTCAGGCACTCAAGGACGCGAATGTGAAGGCAGATTATATCTTCTTTTATTCGTATCTCCAGCCGAAACCACCGAAAGGAGCTGCTGCTTGGAGTAATGCCGACGAATTAGTGAAGGTCAATGTCGCATTACTCAAGAACTTCTTGGACGCTCTTCCATTGGCTGGCATCAAGCCAAAGCGGTTCCTATTACAAACAGGAGCAAAGAATTATGGCGTGCATATCGGACGTGCAAGAACTCCTGCTGTGGAGTCTGATCCTCAACCACAACATCTTGAACCAAACTTTTACTACCCTCAGGAAGATGCCCTTCACAAGTACTGTGAAGCAAACGGAGTTGACTGGAATATCGTCATGCCGGCATGGATTCTAGGTGCAGTCAACAATGCACAGATGAACGCGTTGCATCCTTTCTCAGTGTATTCAGCCGTACAGGCTCACAAAGGGGAGCCTCTAGCTTTTTTTGGTGACTGGAATGCATGGCAGGATCTGAGTTTTCATTCAACTGCTCGCCTGACCGGCTACCTGAGTGAATGGGCTGTGCTCGAGGAGAAATGCAAGAATCAGCGTTTCAACTCCACTGACAGTGGTCCCTTCAGCTGGGACAGGTTCTACCACGAGCTCACTCGTTGGTTCGGCGTCGAAAAGGGGGTAGTCCCTCCCACTGAGGACGACAGCAAGTACCAGGAGATGACAGGTCGATCAGGCAAGGACACACCATTAGGTTATGGGCCTCCTACCAAGATCAGAGCTTCAGGGACATTCACAGCGTGGGCGCAGGATCCAAAGAACTCTCAGGCATGGGCGGAGATCATGAAACAATCGGGCGGTCACCTTACACACAACCCTTTCGACGACGTAGAGGCCAACTTTACCTTCGCCGACTATGCATTCCTGCCTATGATGTTATGCCCGAATAAAGCACGTCTTCTTGGCTGGACCGGATTCGTAGACACGATAGAATCAGTCTTCGAGATGTATCATGAGATGGAGACTTTGGGCATGGTGCCGAGAATGAAAGTTGAAAAACCAAGACCACTTGCCTAGGTCACTAGCACCGAGAAAGACAGCTTTAGTTGCGTCGTCGCAGGAACGGCTCGAAGCGAATCATGGGTTCAACGTCAGCCGAAAAACATGGCGCTCGAGGTCACAAGCTCATCGCTGTCGTTCTCTTGGACCACATGGTTCAGGGAGTTGCCCAACAACAGCTGTGCAGAGAGAAATGGTTCCCAGAAGAGTCTCGTCGTGTCGTTTCTGGCTGAGAGCAGGTCTGCCGTTGAGACCTGGCTTGTAGTGAGCAAAAATCTAACACATAGCACTGTTTTCCACCGTACTAAGATTTCAATAAGATGGACACCAAATATGTGCCTTTGCGTCTTCGAGCAGCGCAATACGTAGGGATATGCTGTATCTTTATCCCAAAACTCTCAACCCGTTTTTGGTCTTGGGAGGTTTCTTTTCGATGCCACCATGCTCAACTTTGGCGTGATTACCAGCGCCTTTGTTTTTGTTCCTATTCCTGCCATGCTTGTCATTTTTTACTGTTGTTGGTCGTACTTCAGTCATTGCTCGTTTGATCAGTACAGGATGACTGCCAATGTATTTCCCTTGCATGTCCTTTGCTGCCTGAAAATATTCATCGCCATTTGCGAAGCTCACAAAACCATATCCCTTACTTTTCGTGGTTCGCTTGTCTCTGATAACACGAGCTTTCTGTACGGATGGATACCTCGAGAATGCTTTGAGGAGTGAGTCGTCCGTGACTTCACCTGCTAAGTTGCCGACGAAAATGCGGAAATGTGCTGGATCCCATTCGAGGAGGGAGTCATCAGTCCATGTTGTACCACCACCAGCTCGCTGTACTGTCTTCTGTGTCTCTTTGCCTGTTGCCGCTGGATCAGCCTTCACCACAGGTGCAGCGGTCTTAGAATAGCCTGACTTATCGTCCTTGCCAGAGTAGGCAGACTGCCATTGCTGGATCTGCGCTTCGTACTCAGAATCGTAGTTTCCATAAGCAGTCGACGAGCCAGGCATAGAAGGTGTAGGAACAAACGGATTCGTCATTTGTGGTGCACCAGGTGCCGACTGGTTTGAATCATATTGAGACGGAGCTTGGTAAGGCATTTGTACTCCATAGTTATGTGTGGGGGCACTCGAGTATTGCGTCGCGGAATTAGGTTTGTTTGTGCTTGCTACAGCTCGAGGCGCGAAAGCTGTGAAGGCAGGCTTGAACCCAGCATTTGGCTTGGGCGCCGAGGAGATAGTAGACGGAGGAGGTTTTGGGGGTAGCGATGCGTGACCTGGAGGCGGCGGGTACGCCATAATGAATGTCTGTTCTCTTCCCAATTGTTGGATAGCAGGAACGTACCAAATACCTCTGAGCTCTAACACAGCAGGTCAGGCTGGGTGAATCGAGTGCGCAAGACGTGGGTACAGTACTTGGGACTCTTTGGTCGCAGATTGGTTTCTTGTATGAGTTCTCAAACAATCGCGCAACGATGTTCTTTCAATCTGAAGGAAGAAGGCATCAAAATGTTAAGGCAGGAAGTAAAGCACGTGCTGGGAAATTTCTAGCTCTAGCTAGGTCCACACTATCTTTTCTACCGGCCTGAGGCTCCCGAAACTTGAATCACTCTACTGTACTGACAGATGTCGACCACTCTGGCGAGCCGACGGTTCATGTCGTTTCTCACGGCTACCCGAAGCTTGCCGCGACATCCTCAATAAACCCAACAACTGGTGCATTGCAACAGCTGCTAGCACATATTGAATATCTGCCGCCAGCATATGCCGTGACAACTGTAGTGTTTGGGTGATAGAACCCAATTGGGCGAATCGTTGAGGCATGTGTTGACCCGAGACGTAGCTTTCCCGCGTAAGTAGTGCGCAATTTATGGTACCAGTCAAGGCATCTTCAGGAAAACGTGCGAACTGTTCATGAACCGCCATGATGCAAAGCTCCTCATGGGCAGTGCCTCGAAGATGAAGGTCCATTTCGTCCTTCACAGCTCTTCCAAAGTGTGTAAGCTCTTATCTTACAGCCAGCAGGCTACTCCTACACGAAGATGCAGGAAACGCTTCCGACCAGCTGTTGGGGTTTCGCATGGATTTTGCGTATGTAAGCCAGCTAAGGCTAGCCTGTTCAAGAATACAGCCGGCGGGCCCCTCGTGCTTACAGGAGAAATGACCGTGACACCCCACCATAATGAAAATGGATCTGACGGATAACGAGCATTGCTATTACAAGACGTTTTGCATTCGCAAATTTGCAACTGCGTTTCTCAACCTTTCTTCACTCGTATCTCTCGTCTTTTTCGGTGCATTAGACAGAGATCGTTTGAAATATTCCTTCAGAGCTCAATACCATCCTCCTTGACAAGAAGTACATAGTCCACCACGACAAATACCGCAAAGATGGCTTCCAATGGATCCGGCCCAACGTATGTCCTTTCACCTCCTATGTTCACACTTGCTTCGCAGAAGATATCTGAGAAGTCTCCTCACTTTCTTACGTATATACATGGATTGACGATATGGGTTTGCTGACATAGAGCGCGTTTGGCTGGCATCACTGCCAGTCTCAGGGCGCAGAACGAACCTAGTGGTGATTTTGGTCTCATTGGCCTGGCTGTTATGGGCCAGAACCTGATCTTGAACGCTGCTGACCACGGTTATACTGTTGTTGCCTTCAATCGAACCGTTTCGAAGGTCGATCGCTTCCTTGAGAATGAGGCCAAAGGTGAATAGAAAAAGATGGAAGATGGCATAACATGAGCTGATGGGGAATATAGGAAAGTCTATTGTCGGAGCTCACTCCATTGAGGAGTTCTGCTCGAAGCTCAAGAAGCCACGTCGAATGATGCTGCTAGTCATGGCCGGCCCTGCTGTAGATGACTTCATTGAGAAGCTTCTGCCGTACTGCGATCCTGGCGACATCATCATCGATGGCGGCAACTCTCACTATCCGGACTCTAACCGCCGAACCCGGTACCTCGCCTCAAAGGGTATCCGTTTCGTTGGAACAGGTGTTTCCGGTGGCGAGGAAGGTGCTCGATACGGACCGTCCTTGATGCCCGGTGGTAACGAGGAGGCCTGGCCATTCATCAAGGATATCTTCCAGGATATTGCGGCCAAGTCAGATGACGAACCATGTTGTGACTGGGTCGGTGACGAGGGTGCTGGTCATTACGTCAAGATGGTCCACAACGGTATCGAGTATGGCGACATGCAACTTATCTGCGAGGTGAGCTTCAATCGGTAACTGTGCAATCGTGTACTAACAACTGTAGGCTTACGACATCATGAAGCGTGGTCTCGGCATGACCTACCCAGAAATGTCCGAAACCTTTGCTACCTGGAACAAAGGCGTACTCGACTCGTTCTTGATTGAGATCACCCGTGATGTTCTTGCTTTCAACGACGATGATGGCAAGCCACTCGTTGAGAAGATCCTCGATTCTGCTGGCCAGAAAGGTACTGGCAAGTGGACTGCCATCAACGCTCTAGATCTCGGCATGCCCGTCACTTTGATCGGCGAAGCCGTTTTCTCTCGTTGCCTGTCTTCCCTCAAGGAAGAGCGAGGCCGAGCCTCAAAAGTCCTTCAAGGTCCTAAGCCATCCTTCTCTGGAGACAGAAAGGAATTTTTGGCCAACCTTGAACAAGCTCTCTATGCATCAAAGATCATCTCATACGCCCAAGGTTTCATGCTCATTCAAAATGCTGCCAAGGAATACAAGTGGAAGCTGAACAAGCCATCCATCGCCCTCATGTGGCGCGGTGGTTGCATTATCCGATCTGTGTTCTTGAAGGACATCACCTCGGCTTACCGCGAGAACCCAGACCTTGAGAACCTGCTCTTCAACGACTTCTTCAACAAGGCTATTCATGATGCACAGCCAGGCTGGCGAGACGTCATTGGCAAGGCTGTTGCATGGGGTATCCCAACACCTGCGTTCATGACTGCTCTGGCCTTCTACGACGGATACCGAGCTAAGGACTTGCCAGCTAACTTGCTTCAAGCTCAACGAGATTACTTCGGTGCTCACACCTTCCAAGTCAAGCCAGAGTATGCCAACGAGAAATACCCAGAAGGCGCCTACACTCACGTCAACTGGACCGGTCGTGGCGGCAATGTGTCTGCTTCCACATACAATGCCTAAGCAATGGATGAGCTGTGTATACTGATCTGAACCTCGCTATCAGCCGCTGTTGTACGGATGATCACATTCGACGTTCTGACCGACGACGATTGGTAATTGTGCACAGCACGATCTGTCTGTGAACTTGTAGATGTTGGAAACAGTATATGACTTCAAATCGTGTATGAGACTACCTTGGGCGCTGCTGTCGCGTACTATAGACCAAAAGTTTGCAACCACTAGAAGTGATCTCAACATTGAAGTCTAGGGACAATCATTCTCAAAACTGCCTCCAACCCGCGGCAGGGAAGACTACTGCACATCGTGCACCTCGTATAACCTTGAGTAGAAGTTGGAAGATTGCACGAGCAAGCACAACACGATCACGTCCCTTGCTCAAAAGTTGCGGGTGAGCATGTGCTTTCTATATGGTGTGATCGCAATCAATAACACGGGGATGTGATGACCTTCAACCCACGGAATATGGTATGAAAGAGTCCCGAAAGACAACTGGTCCGGTATTTTCAAGTCGAATATCGTCGTACTAGCGAGTGGCCGTGCAATACTCTACAACGCGTTGAGTACCGGCACAAGGATGCAAGCATCGCCAGAATTGTGTGTGACATGATTCATGGGAAGTCTCTAGAAGGAGTATGGCGGAAGTCAATCTGTGGCGCGCATGGTTGATCTCGAACCTTGCGAAGGACGCTATGCTCTATTTCGCTCTGCAAACAATCACGATCAAGATCGAACACGGCTTTGATAAAACGGTGTGTCGCGGTCTGTAAGCTTATCAGGTTCGTCAATTTGCCTGCTTTGAAAATGACGATGATGCTCACGAGTTTGTGTCTCAAATGCTCTTCTGCTTGATACTATGAAGAGTTCATGTCTTTTCGCACAAACACGGTAAATGTCCTTCTACTACGTGTTACGAAGTCGATGAGGTTTGGACTTCTTCTACCCTGCTTGGGAGTTGGCTCAGCTGCATGGCGTAACGGCACCGGTGCTTGCATCGGCGATGAGAACACAGTGGACAATCACGGTTGTGCCTTATTCGTTCAGGAATACAGGCGGCTCTATGAGCCTGTTGCAATGAGCAAGATAGCGCTGCGAACGTACCCTCAGCTTGGAAACTTCCTGGTCAGAAGTTCTCAAGATCTGTAATTACAGTGGTAACTTGCACAAATGCAACAGCCTCTATTTTTGGGGCTAATTGGTGATGCCTCCTGAACGTGCATCGCAATCTGCATGAGCGGAAGCGAGCAACGAATTCCTTAACACTTTTCACTGGATTGTTGTTGCGAGGTCAGTTACTGTACACGAGTAGTAGTTATCAACCATCCGCATTGCGTGCTGCCACAGAACGTCACAGCAACATTTCCTGGTGGGAGACAGGTTGGAGACGATTAGTGTGGATTAAGGTGGCACTCTTTGCATGAAAGTAAACTTTGGAATCGTTGCGCTACTCACATCTGATTTCCATTCAATGGCCGCCACCTCACTCCCCGTCTACTTCTCTGTATCAACAAGTAGCCTTCACCACTGTGTAGACCATTCCACAGGCAATCCCTTGCAGAAGGTCCCGTCGCAGCTCGATCGACTGTTGTGCCACGACTGATTTATCGCTTGAATTTGCAGTGCGCCGAATTGACGATATCCGTACCAGTTGTGCAGTCAATCAATTGCAACAGTCATTCTCCCTCCCTTTTTTCCCCGACGAAACGAAACGACACGGCACGAGAACTTCGTGTAGCTCCTAGGGCACTGGATACGTGTGGAAGGGGTTCTAGGCTTAGAGAACAATATCCGAACACGCAATGTGGCTACCATAAGAGTGATATCGTCTGCAACGTTGCCGAAGCATTCAGTGCGCACCTGTGCAGTAGGGCTCTCGCGCTCTTCCTGCTTCAAGAGCCGACAGCGTGACACCACGAAAACTCGACAACTGGCAGCTAGCAATGTCCGACGTGGACCAACGTGCTCCATCTCCCACAAGTCCCGCACCACGGCCACAATCCTCACAGACCAGCCAGAACTATGTACAGACTCAAATGCAGCTGAGGATGCCCAGTGGGGTGAGGGAGTCATCCGTCAGCATGTTTACTGGATTGTCTAACAAGGATACTCCCCCTCCATCCTCACCTGGGCGAGTAGTCAGCCCCGGCTCCATTGACCGTGTTTTCCCGATCCGTTCGGCAGTGTCTATCGATCCTAATGCCACACCCATGAGTCGAAGCGAGTCTGGAGAAGGTTATCCTGGAATGAATCTGGGCATAGAAGGGACCCTGGCTATGAGAAGAGCTGCACATGATGGTGGCAATAAAACAGGATTGTCTGCTTCTCCTAGGGAACACGGTCTACCTCCATCTACAGGCAGCCCGCAGTCGAGACGAAGATCAACGAGTATATCTCAGTCCAGCGAGGGAGGAGACCATCGACAAGAGTCATCGAGAAGGTCCTCGTTATTAGGCGGTCGTGCCCCTGAAAGAGCTGAACACCATGCTGCTCTCACCAGCATTCTCAGCGACGATGCTGCATCTATAAAGTCTGGCAGGTCCAGTATCTCTGCTGGGCTTTCACCTGGAAGCAAGGCCAACTCGATCAAGACAAACGAAGAAGCACCTCTGGTCACTGCTCGCTTTAAGCACGTTGTGACAGATGGTGGGCACGCCGTAATTACGGGTCGGGATGGCGAAACATTACAACGATGCGAAGACGAACCAATACACATCCCGGGAGCTGTTCAAAGCTTTGGATTATTATTGGCCTTCAAAGAGGACGATGGTAAGCTCATCGTTCACGTTGTTAGCGAGAACTCTCAATCCATTATTGGTTATACCCCACAACAATTGTTCAGACTCGAGAATTTCTTGGATATCTTCTCTGAAGAACAAGCCGACAATTTGCTCGATCATCTCGATTTTATCCGTGACGAGGAGGGTTCAGATGTGGTTAATAACGGACCTGAGGTCTTTATGGTTTCGTTGCGGCCGCCGCAACATCGGACCCGCAAACTCTGGTGTGCAATGCATCAATGTGCCACTGACAGGGAAACGATCATCTGCGAATTCGAGGTAGAGGACGATCAGGTCAACCCACTGGTCCCGCGCGACGACGTTACCCCTGAACTGCCTGAGGATACTTTAGGTAGCGAACCGACGGCCGAGGAGCTTGCTGAAAGCACAGTGAACGTCAGCAAGCCATTGAGGGTTCTTCGCAGTGCACGTAAAAAGCGTGGCGAAGCTGCAGCAATGGAAGTCTTCAACATCATGTCCCAGGTACAAGAACAATTAGCAAATGCACCTTCATTGCCAATTTTCCTGAAAGTCCTGATAGGCGTTGTCAAAGAACTGACTGGCTTCCATCGAGTCATGATCTACCAATTCGATCAGGGGTGGAACGGTCGAGTTGTTGCAGAGCTAGTGGACCCGCGAGCCACTAAAGACTTGTACAAAGGCCTCAACTTCCCAGCGTCGGATATTCCCAAACAAGCGCGCGAAATGTATAAGGTGAACAAAGTTCGACTCCTCTACAATCGTGACCATGAAACCGCTCGACTTGTCTGCAGGACACCCGAAGATTTAGAAAATCCTCTTGATTTGACACATGCTTACTTACGAGCGATGTCGCCGATCCACATCAAATACTTAGGAAACATGGCAGTGCGGTCTTCGATGTCAATATCGATCAATGCTTTTAATGAACTTTGGGGTCTTATAGCCTGTCATACGTATGGACAGCAAGGGATGCGTGTGTCCTTCCCCATTCGCAAGATGTGTCGCTTGGTGGGAGACACAGCATCACGAAATATTGAGCGACTCTCTTATGCATCGCGCCTGCAAGCCAGGAAGCTTATTAATACAACATCCTCGACAGCAAATCCCTCTGGCTATATTGTAGCTTCCTCCGAAGACCTATTACGTTTGTTCGATGCTGATGTTGGCGCACTATCAATACGTGACGAGACGAAAGTGATGGGTAATCCATCCGGACACCTTCAGGAAGTTCTTGCAATGACGGAATTTCTGCGTTTGAAAAGGCTGAATTCAATCTATACTTCTCAAGACATCAACATGGACTTTCCCGAGCTACGATACAGCCCTGGTCTTAAATTTCTGGCTGGCGTACTTTATGTGCCTCTGTCTAGTGGTGGCAACGATTTCATCGCGTTCTTCAGGAAAGGTGTCTTGCAGGAGGTCAAATGGGCTGGGAATCCGTACGAAAAGTTTGTCAAAGAGGGCACAGAAGGCTATCTAGAGCCGAGAAAGAGCTTCAAACAATGGAACGAGGTTGTCTTTGGTCGGTGTAAAGATTGGACAGAGGAGGAGATTGAGACTGCATCAGTCTTATGTCTAGTATACGGAAAATTCATTGATGTATGGCGGCAGAAAGAAGCTGCGCTGCAGAATAGTCAGCTCACGAGGTTACTGCTTGCCAACTCAGCCCATGAAGTACGGACGCCGCTAAACGCTATTATCAACTACTTGGAGATTGCTTTAGAAGGTTCGCTTGACCAAGACACGAGAGACAACCTGGCGAAATCGCACTCGGCTTCAAAGTCGTTGGTCTATGTTATCAACGACCTGTTAGACCTGACAAAGACCGAGGAGCACCAAGCACTCGTGAAAGAGGAGGTCTTTGATCTGCTTCATACTCTGCAAGAAGCAACTGACCCTTTCATTGGCGATGCCAAACGCAAAAACATTGAATATGTCGTGGATGTCGATAACAATGTGCCACGAGATGTTGTAGGCGATCACCGTCGCGTGCGACAAGTCGTCTCGAATTTGATCTCCAATGCTGTTCAGCATACACGTGAAGGTAGCGTCAAGGTTCATGCCTGGCGACTTGATCCGCAATCGACAATCGGACGAAGCGAGATCGAAATCTCAGTCGAAGACACAGGAGTTGGTATGTCGCAGGACAAAGTCGATGCTCTTTTCCAAGAGCTTGAAGAAGTCGAATACGAACAGGAAGCCTCTGCACAGGCTTTGCTTGAGGTCAAACCAGCAATATCGAAGGAGGACAGCACTGTAAAAGCGCTCGGTCTTGGTCTCGCTGTGGTTGCCCGTACCATCCGGAACATGAATGGCCAACTGCGACTCAAAACCGAAGCGGGCAAAGGCTCTAAGTTCATAATAGTACTCGGCTTCGATTCGGCGTCTACAAACAAGCCACAGAAAGAGATTACCGGTGTCTCACCTGGAGACAAGACTCCAGCAACCACGGAAAGCACAACGCCTGTACAGGATGGCGAAGTGACATTGGTTAAGAGACAGCCATCGACGCCACAGCGTTCGACTCATGGGTCCTTGAGCCGCAAGAACAGCACGGAGAGTGTGCACAGCCTTGCAGGAAGCACTAAGAGTGGCAAGAGTGGAACAAGCGTACTCAGCAACCGTAGTGATGCTGACCGACTCATCGACGCTATCCAGCAGCCTCTATGGAGGGGCGAAAGTGGTGACTTAGCTGCGGACCACACTGGACCTAGAAACAAGGTGGTACGCTCTCAAAGTGCAGGAGACAAGAGTACACCTAGTATGGAATCGCCGCAGAAATCCAAGTCTATCGGTTCTACGAAAGACTTGAGGTCGTCGCTAAAGGTGCCAGGTCAACACAATGTGCAGGATTCCGGAACGCCCATAAGACCTGTTCGCATGGAGGAGCACGAGAAGTCACCTGAAGTCAAGGGCATGGGAAGAGTCAAGTTCGAGGAGCTTGAGGTGCCTAAGGTGCAAACACCGAGTGCGCTAGAGGAAGAAGACCCGAACGCAGGCTTCTCGGTTCTCGTCGCGGAAGACGATCCGATAAACAGCAGGATTATGAAGAAACGGCTGGAGAAGCTTGGCCATTCAGCTTACATGACGGTGAACGGAGAAGAATGCTCGTCAGCACATGGCGAGAAAGCGGTAATGTTCGATGCTGTATTGATGGACCTGCAAATGCCGATTGTTGATGGGTTCAGCTCGACGAAAATGATACGTTCATCGGAGAAAACTCAAGGCCCTAGCTGCTTGTCAACTCGAGCCGCTAAGAACGGAAGAATACCAATATTCGCTGTGTCAGCATCGCTGCTAGAGAAAGAAAAGGACAAGTACATTGCTACCGGGTTTGATGGCTGGATCCTTAAGCCTGTCGACTTCAAGCGAGTCAACGAACTCCTGCGGGGCATCGTTGATAACACGATCCGAAATAATAGTCTTTACAAGCCAGGAAAGTGGGAACAGGGCGGCTGGTTCGAGGCGCGGTCTGAGGGCAACCATCAGTTCGAAATCGACACGCATCCGAGCGAGAAGGCGCCTACGGTAGAGGGTGCGAAGATGAATGGCAACAGTCGAAGTCAACTGAGCGATGCTGGAGACGGCGATTCGACACCTACAGGACGACGCAGGAGTAGAAGTGAAGATCCATGAATAACGCAGCATTGATTTAGCTTATGGTTCTGCTTTAGCATTTGAAGGAGTTCGGCGATGGTAAAGGTGTGGTTAACGTCAACGACATGGGTATTGCTATTCTACTGCACTGCTGTGCAAGGATAGCATAAAGAACACTGCTCACGCGTACCGAGCGTGAATATTGATGTACAAGGTCAGGTGTATAGATGAGAGACACTCACTGGTGGAGCATATACGACTGCTCCCTAATGGTTCAACGTGCACATTGGTGTAGTACTTGTCACGGTGTTCGCAATAAGATACGGTGACCTGTCACTGTTGCGCCTGATGGACATAACATCAGAGTAAATGCTATGCTTTTCTGTATGCCTGAGGCAACACTGAACACGCTACGTCATGTAGTGGTTTCGCGTTCCGACAGCGTCACGCGTCTTGTGGGCACTAGCCTATTCGTCCTGGCAGTGCACTAGGATATCGTCCGTGATAACTATCTTATCCATACCCAATATTGCAAGTGAGAGGCATTGGCGTCCATGGCGAACAATGAGTGGACGATTACAAGCAAGAAGAGACGGAGACACACAAGTAATACCCCTGCACCACGCAAACGGACTCGAATATCAACGCCGAATGGTGAACTCTCTCGAAGTGCGTCAGGACGCAAGAGCGGCCAATCTACTTTGACTCAGGTCGAATTTGTGAAGAGCTCCTCGTTCGAGAATGAGAATGTTGCACCTGAATTACTGTTGCCAATCGCCGAGCCGTCGTCTGAGACTGTGCAACGTCCAGTGGCAGTGTCAACTGAGGCCGGCGGACTACAAAGAGACTCGACCTTGACTCAGCTCGATTTCGTGAAGTCCCTATCTGCTGGTGCTGGAAATAAGGATTCCGGGCTGAATGTAGGAACCACACTCGAGGAACCTGTCTCTACGCGAAGGCCCAAATCGCGGGTTAAACGACGATCATTGAAAAAGCAAGACTCTACACTGACACAAATGGACTTTTTCAAGAACACAGATACCAATACCACATCGATGTTTGACGACGACGAAACTGTATTGCAACTACACACAGAATCAAAAATTTCAAGACCTCCGTTCCAATTATTCGATGGAGCTGGTGACACAGTAATACTAGAGACCGTAGAATATATGCGTCCTCCAGCTAGGCTCAAGACAGTAAAGCCAACCGCAATTACTGATGTGACAAGGCAGGAAGAGCCAGAGACTCAGGACTACCAACCTCCACAGCCTCGCAAGAACAGAAAAATCGCAGATCAGCAACTCGACCATGGACAGCATCCGCGCAGATCTACCAGAAAGGTTTCTCGTAATACAATTTCAGACAGACCACCACTTCTCGTGCAGGATTCGACCGAATTCAATTCAGTTGGGGAAGACCTACCTACTCTGGGTCAGCTGGCGGTTGGTCCATCAACACCCTCCAGACCCAAGGACCGCATTCCTTCAAGCCAGACGCCAGAAAGTGTCAAGTTGAGCACCACAAGACGGTCAAAAAGGCGAAGACCTCTCGCTGACCTCTCCGCAAACGTGCTATTGTCTCCACGAAAGTTCTCTGCCAAGAGCCACGAGTTATCTGGTCGGAAACCTGACAAGAAGTCTCCTCTACATCGCAAGATATGCATTCTGAAAGTTCCTCCTAGGGCTCTATTGCCTCAGTCAAGCAAAAAGGATCACGTAAAGGATATCTGGGCTGTCCCACTTACCTCATCGTCCCAAGGAGGCAGTCGGAATCAGTCTCAGCCGAAGCAATCAGACCTGAGAGAGGTGGACAACAACAAATCCGCATATGATACACAGAAATCCCTACCTGACCTTGACGAAATTTTCCGCGATCCTTCACGTCTGGTTAAGAGGACGACTCCATCTAGCAATCAGATACAAGATCTTCCTCTTCCCACGGAAGACATGAACGCAATATTAGAATTAGGAGAACTTAGCTCTGATGAGTCAGATCTTGGTTCACCTGTTCTCAATGACATACTTTATGTCGCGGACCTTAATCAACGTATATCGTCACCAACAAGCAAGGCGAATAATGATGAGTACCGCCTGAAGCCATTGACCCACCCAAACGTCGTTTCGCATATTTCTCCTGTGCGGAAAGACTTTGCGAGCATAACCAACCATGGATCTCCCATTGTTCTGTCACCCCTGCCAGTACCTCGTCTTGTGCCAAGTCCTATGCGTAGGATATCACAGCAGAACCGTCACTCTGCGCTAAAGAATCTGTCTTCTGGCCTTACAGATGACACTACTGGAACGTCTAAGAGAGTAAGGATAACACAAGTCCCACTCAACGATACCGCGGAGTATCACAAAACTTCTTCTTCTTCGAGTCCTCTATTGCCACCAGCCTTTGTCTCGGGTATGCAGAGAAGTGTTTACCCAGCATCTTTACCACACCCTTCTCAAGTCTCCACTCAGGCTCCCTCGACACAGGCTATCTTCCCCACAACACCAGTACACCACGGATCACGCGATGCTGTCGTAGAGCGAATCACAATCGAAGATTCAAGCTCTCCACAAAATCTGCGCAGTCGGGCTCAGCAGATCCTGGACATTGAAGATGGACCAAGCGCACACGTTAGTTATGATAAAGACGAGCATTCACAAGAGGAAGAGGATACTATTACGCAGACGCCGACACAAAAGTCTCGGAAGGACCTTCTACAGCATCGCATGACTACCCAGTCCTCGCCAGTAATCTTGAACGCTACTACGAGGTCACAGCGAGATGCAGAGCTGGAAATTATTGCATTGTCCTCGTCCTACCACACGCAACTTGCGCAAGAGCATAACTTGACCGACGCTGATCCGAGTCAACCGTATGATACTCGGGGAAAACTTCCACAACCACGAGTCGATCTCGATGCTGCACCCGAATCAAATGACGAAATTCCTTCCTCCTCGATTGCCTCTTCTGATCTTCTTTCACCTTCTCCACCACGGAATCTGAAACGAAAATATAGTCCGATCCCTGGGTTTGACAATGAAACTCAGGCAGATTTCACACAGGGCGGCCATGTCACAGCTGCATATATCCATAAAGGCAGAGAACAAGGTTGGCTGCCTAAGAACTATACACCCAGACCTTACAAAGCCAAGAACTGGAAAGGAAAAGCCACCTGAAACAAGGACGGCTTAGGAAGCATTTGGAACCTGGAGGGGTGGCAATACAGCGAAAGCGAGAACGAGCACGACGAAAAACGAGATTAATTGGGTACTGCTAAATCATTTTGACTGGTGAAGAGCTCACAAGTTCTTGCTGCATCTCAAATTGAGAAGATGCTTGACGTTATTACCATATCGTGTGCCCTTCTTGTTGCGCTGTGGAAGGTGCGTTCAACGCTCCATGCTTCTACTGACTATCCTTGCTGTTTTATTTAACGAACTTGATGCGTACCGAGCCGCGTTGCGCCTCCATGCTTATCTACAATCACTCCTTTCGCATCATGTGCGTACTAGACCAACAACGATTACACATATGATTTGAAACCGCTATCCACTGTCAGTAGCGTTCAACGATTTCGTCTCTTTGTGCGTCATTCTCATCGTCTACCTTGACCGCTTATTTAATGGATACCAACCTCGTGCATGGTCGGAAGCGAAACGAGTCTGCTATCGCGACCATATGATGTGTCTTCATTTCTCATCCCTACCAAAATACTCGTGTAAGATCAAGCAATAATGTCTGGGCGCCACCCCACCACCACACCTCATCGATTCCATATGGCAGCATCGTGCGACATATTTCTGAGGCGTAACTCTTTCCTTTCTCAGACTCATATTATGAGCTAACATTCGACTCTCTTGGGTCATTCTTCATGCTTCGAGATCGATGTACTACCATGCCTATTTAGGACTCGAGCCGAGAACTCGTTATGGTATATCATTGCTGTCTGTGCCGGTCTGAACAGAGGCATACTACCTACGGAATCGAGACCAACTACCAGACACTGATACCAGTACATCTGAGTCCTGCCCTGACCTGCTCAAGGCCTCCCATCTGAGTCAGAGGCAAGCCCGACCGAGTCCTTCAGGCCCATCACAAACTACGCTAAGCTTACCAACGTTACTGATCGTTATACCCTCACTACCACATCCAACCATGAGCACAGCTACTTCTCATCGTGAAACACCATCGAAAGACTCCGACAACGGCCACGAAAAGCAACAGCAGGCATCATCCGGACGAACCGTTGCTGCTGTATCTCATCGTCGTCAGTCTTTCTCCAGCGACGTCCAGCTCGAGTCTGAGCTGAACAACTACCAAGCACATATCGCAGATCTAGCGACGCGAATCGAGAAACAGGGTAGAAGTGCCGTGCGGGCACAGACATGGTCATCGAATTCCTGACGAAATCAGTGAAACCGAAGTGGGTGCAAAAAGAAGAACAAGCGTGGGTTCCTGCATAAGACATCATGTCTGCACAGCAGGACTTTCTTCTCAATCAGTAACGGAGGGCAGTCAGAGTAGAAAATAGAAGTATTCGCTTATCATGGAGACGTTATCCGTCTCTGTTTCGAACCACTGTCTGCTATTTTCCATTGAGATATTCTGTCTCCTCCTCCTTGTCAAGCCGTTTCCAACCAGTTTCGTATTTACGTACTTGCATAGCTGATCACACCCACACCCTCGCTTGATTCATGACTGGCTACCTATGTGTTTTTACAGATTAGGCTCGCAAGCTCTTCCCCCTCTTCTCTCGGTTTTCTAGCTGCTACACATTTCTTCGAGAATCTTTATATCACTGCGAGCGTACGAGAGATAAATCACGAAGAGGGTGACTTTCAGATTGAGGAGATGTCACGGGAAGAGAAAAAGACATCCAACATATTCGTTGTCGAAAGACTTTCGCAATGCTCGGTTTTCGTTCAGGTTAAATTGACGAGTTTATCTGGTTACAGAAGAAAAGCAGATAGTGAGTGATTTTGACATTGACAAAAAGGTTCATCCAAGGAATAGTATATTACCATACATACAGAAATATCGTGCATCAAGGTGGCCCGAAATGACACTTGACTAGTGCCGTTTAGGATTGTGGTATCGTACCAGAACAGTGTTTCACCACTCCTATGCTGGCTGCCGCCTCGGACCACACACTTTAATCATATCTTGTCTTCGAAACCCCTGTTAAGCCGCTTAGATTCAAAACCCAAACTTCGTTGAAGTAATCACGATCGTTGTCCAATCCGTGCTGGTCGACGTCACTGGAGCAGGAGTGATGAGGACGGTTGTATCCGTAGAGGTCTGAGCTGTGATTGTCTGGTAGACGAAGGTTGTGACCTGATTTTGTTGATTCTGGGTCACGGTGCTCGTGAAGGATTGCGTCGGCAGGACTTTAGTGGAGATGGAGGTGGAGGAAATCGTGGTCGTGGTTTTGGAAGTGACTGTCGCGAGCGTCTTCGTGACTATTGTGGTAAAATCTTGTCAGTTACAGTTATTGAGTTGGTTGTATAGGTGCTTACCTGTCGTTACTGGAGTGGTGGTGGAGGTCACAGTAGAAGTCGTTGCTTTCGCGGTTCGAGTAATCGTGAACCAGGCTCGAGTCCAGGTGGCGGATGTGCTAATGGTCACAGGAACGGCTGTCTCTGTTGTTGTTGACCTTTTGCGGAATATTAGCAGTGTACGGAAACAAAGTGCGGGGGTAGGATGGACTTACGTGGTGGTTGCGCCTGTCGTTACAGCCGTAAGTGTGATGGTGTTGGTCACAGGAACCAAGACAGCTTTTGTGACAACTTTGGTGCCTGGCACAAAAGTGCTCGTGATGGAAGTAGTGGCTGTGGCAGTGGTTGTAGTAGTCATCATAGGTGTTGGTGCCTGAATGGTGGATGTGAAGGGCACAGTAGTGGAGGTGTAGCTGCTACTTGTTGTGGTTGTTGTGCAAGTAACACTGAGTGGGTAGCCGTAGGCTTGACGCTTGAACCTGAAGCTACCACCTGCCGCGGGACTAGAGCCATTAAAGCCGGCCTGACCTCCTCCCATGATAATGGTGGTGGTCGTGAAAGTCGTGAGCAACGTAGGAACAACTGATGTGCTAGGGTCCAGAGTGCTCGAGCTGGTGCCAGTGATTGTGTTGGTCACAGTCGTCGTGCCGATAGTTTTAGAATAGTAGCCTTGCACAACATTTGTGAGAGTGGTCGTGACAGTCGTGGTTGGTGCGACCGTGGAGGTGCTGGTGAACGATTTGGTTGTAGAAATCGTGCTAACGAAGACCTAATATTGTTAGTTGAGGCGAGGATGCAACCAGAGCACTATACTTACCGCTGGCGTGCTTGTGACAGTGCTAGTGCTCATCGGCAAAGTCAATGTCGTGTTCACAACCTTGGTAGGAGTTATAGTTGTATATCCTACAGTATCGATCCATTTCGTCGAAGTCGATGTGATTGCAGGTGGCGTGCTGGTAGTGGTGACGGTGCTGGTGGTCCAATCTGTAAAGACTGGAGGGGTGAATGTAGTTGTAGTAGTAAAGGTTGACGAACTGCTCGACGTAAGGGTAACAGAGGCACCTTGCACGAATCGAGTAGCGGTCTTGGTGGTTGTAGTCGTCGCAGTAATGGTAGCAGTGTCTGGAGTGGTGGTTGTGTAGGACACATCCGTCGAAGTGCTTGTAACTGTAGCCCATTTGGTGATGGTTGTCAACGTATACGTGGGAACCGAACCCAATTGGGGGTCTCGTCCAGTATAGATGGTTTTGCAAACTTCTTGAGCATTAATAGCTGGAATTAGAGCCACCGCGAAGGCGGCAGCGAGTGAAAGGAACGACTTCATAGTTGGATTGGAAGGAGCGACTGGTTCAAAGAACGGACGGGAGGAATCTCCCAACGACGATTAACGGCGACAGTGGTAAAGTGCGAACGACGACGACCTCAACTGTGGGAGAAAGCAAAGATGTTCATGGTGCGCAGACATGTTGGCGAACATACCTACCTCCTGCTCGTGGTCCGCAGAACGTGCAATTTCCACGTTTCCAACCTCCAGAGGAGTATGAGGCTTGAAGCTGTCATGAAGTTTTGATCTAGAGCTTCCCTAGTCTTGCCTGTTTGTACCGGACGAGATCCAGTACGGAAAAGCTCTAGACGTGAATTGCCTTGTGGCGTTCAGAAAGCGCTGGTGGATGAGCGTTAGTATAGCATTGGCGTGAGGAAGGCGCGCTAGTATGAAGATGCACGACCTCTCGAGCACGATTAGCTTCAGCAAAGGTGGAATTAATCAAGGTAAGTCTGCATATGCGCAAGGACACACACTCCAGCTTGACGTGCTAGGAAGGGATACCTATCCGGCAGAAAATAATTGCAAGAACATCGTTTCGACCGTGCAAAGGAGTTCCGAGAGAAGGAGTATTCGAAGAGACAAGGTTCGACTGAAGCCGCATCGCGACATCTCGCCTTCCTGAAAAAGGCACGCTAGAGCGAAAAGAGATGACGGAGATCATGTCTCCTTTTGCTCTTGACATAAACCACCAAATCCATTAACCACTAATGCACCCAAAAATAATGATATGCCCAGGAACGTGGTCTTGTTGACGTATGACTGTAGGCGCTGCAGATCACCGGTGAATCTGTTGACGGTATCGCGGTTCTTCAGATAAGGCCTTGGGAGCCTTCGTGGTCCTCTATGTCTGTTGTGAGTCTGAAGCACCATACAGTTTACCACGACTGACATTTCAATTGGTAAGGGTATGAGGCATGGAATTGTTCGCGTTCACGAAAATACTGGACTTCAAACAATCCCCTCATATCTGCATCATGCTGCATTCCATTGAGGCTGCATCGTGGCTATCTATCCCTAGACCCGTTCAAGGAGATACACTATGCCTACACATGCTCTAGCCTCCGTATGTTCTCGATATTGAGACTATGTAGAGACGTCCTCGCTGACATCACTCTAAATTACATTAACAAAGTACTAGCTAACCTGAGCATTGTCGAAGACCAACAAGAGCTTCTGTGTCATGTTGATCTCAAAAGGGTATCGTAAACTGTTCCAGAAAGCCTGCCTTCAAGGACATATCTAAAAATCGTCCTTTTTCCATAACACCTGACGCCATTTACAGTAATAAGAGATTCGAACGCCTTACGGATGTGAACCCGTGAGGTGAGTGTGGAGATTTTGCTAATCGTCAATCATAAAGTCGTGGTTCTTGATCTCATGTCGTCACAATGTGTGCTATACAGCCGGTGCCCCAGACGTCCGTTGACTCATCGACGCGAAAAGCCTCTCTGGCGGCACCCGGTTGATGTTCATATTCTTGTCTTGATGTGACGCATTGGGCAGAGTACTGTAGCCGGCCCTTTTCCTTTGTATTCGGTTGAGTATCATACCTGCCAGAATAACCAAGAAAATTGTGCCGAGCGCTGCACAGAAAGCAACTAGAATGGCAATGCCACGTGAGTGCCCGAAACGAGATGACCTCGTTGCAGGATTGTTGTTCGATGAAAAGAGAGTTCCAATTCTTCCCGGCTCCCCCGCGGCATTGACACTGAGGAGAAATGGCTGCATAGTCGTTCCATTGAAGAGAGCGGCAGAGGCGGACCCGAAGCCTGTGATGTTGAGCTGACCCATGACCAAGAGGTCCATGTCGTTGTCCAGGAAACGGGAATTGCCGTGCCGGTTGGATAGTTGCATGACCTGCATGCCCAGAATGGTTGTGCCACTTTCAAACATGTCGAGGACCGGCTCGAATTGCTGCCCGTCGATTTTTGCAAGATAGGCCGAGTTGTCGCTGGAAGAAGTGCCTGCCACCCAGAAAATGCCAGCATCGCCAGTTTCTGCAAAAGCATTAACAGGTCCAGGCAGGGGTGTGCTGTCATGAACGGACCATGACTGCGCCCGGGTATCGTATACAGCCAGAGACGTGGAATTTCCGGACACTGTGAGGTTGCCCGCAGCAAGTAGGTGATTACCATCAGTAAAGTGAAGAGCCGTGACTGTACCAGCAAGTCCACTGCCAGCTGACATCCATAGATTTTGATTAGTGTCGTAGGTGCAGACTGACTGACATGCTAACCCTTGCGCTGTTGACTCGAATGACCCGCCCACAAATACGTTAGACGTTCCTGACTGGACTGCAAATGCATTGACAATGACTTCATCCCCCTGTAAAGCGGGTGGCTGGTTCTCCCGGTAAGCACGTATGGCCAAATCGTACAAGACCAGCCCCTGTACTTGCCGGTCCTGAACACGACCAGTAATCATACCACCTGCGAAGAGAATATCGTTCTGGATGCCAAGGGCAAGGAAAGTGGAGTTGTCGTCGACGCCGGCCGGGAAGCCTGTAATCTGTTGGGTTTCGCCGTTCAAAAGGACGAGGTTCTGAATTGAGCTATCGTTGGTTCGTGCAGTGAAATGCCCGCCCAGTATAGTGAGGTTTCGGTCGTTCTGTAGATCGTAAGCACCTGCTATGACTCCAGTAATGTTTTGCTGCGATAAGAGTCCGCGCTTGGATTGACTAGAAGGAGTTGTGGCCGACGAGGACGATGATTCAATGTCAAAAGGTAATTGCTGAATAGTGATATCGCTGTTCGATTGGCGCAGTCCAGCGACACCGCTTATTGCTTGACCTAGGGAAGTCAATGTACCAGCTCCGAGCCATGTGCTGTTGGGCAAATAAGTGCAGCTGCTCAGTTGGCCGGCAAGTAACTGACGACCAGAATCGAGGTTTTGCAGCCAGTCGCTGCGAGAAGGGACCCAGACAGCAAACCCTTGGACGGTATGTTGTGGATGGTCACCATATGCCCTGATCTGTGTGAAAACTCCACTGAAGCCAATCACGGTTTCAGTCTGACTAGTTGTGATGTTGAGAGGGAACGGAACAATGTCAAGGACTGGACCATTCAGACCGGATCCTAGAGCTACCCAAGCACTGTTGGCATAGCTATAGGCCGCAACGTTTTCCAAACCAGACAGACTGTCTTCATTGGTACCTGTGAAATTACCGCTGACATACAAGAAATCGCTTGAGGAATACAGATCGGTGACAGCAGAGTTCAGACCACCGCCAGGGAGAGATTGTGCTTCGTTATTTGCGAAGAACATGATGTTTTCGAATACATCATCGGAGAAACTGCCGGCAGAGTAGATAGCATCATCATGCGCAGCTAGAGCAACAACCTGAGCATTTGGCTTCAGCTTGGTGCCAGCATTGTTGATGGCAGATTTCGAAAAGTCCAGGTCGACAACAGCAGCGTTGGGGTCGAAATCGAAGAGACCATTGAGACCTCCAGTAGTTGGATTGCCACTGAATCTTATCCGTGCCGCTACAACCAATTGCGACGAAAGTTGTTTGGAGGGAGTGATTGTGACTGTAGGACGGAAATTGCCCGAAGCTGGATCGATAGGGCCTTGATAGACTTGATCGTATTTCTCGTAGTTGTTGGTCTGCGAGAGCTGCGTGCTAAGCGTATTGCTTCCATTCGACGTGAGAGTGCCAGTCACGTTTACCACGCCCCGCCTACTGCAAGATTCGTCTTGCATACAGCCAGGCGTATAGACCACAATTGTATAGTTACCTTTCCCAACAATTCCGGGCTCGAAGATTATACTCGTCGTATCGAGGTCGGCCGGACCAACCTCAGCGGTGAGGTAATCGGCGTAACTTTCTCGTGATGGAGTCGAACGCCAGTTACCAGTCGTGGTGGCTCTCGAGATAGCGCTTCCGTTGGCCAAGCACTGTGGCTCGTTGAAAGACTCAATAGCATAGACGAAAGTATCATTCTGGAACAATTCGATGCCTTTCAATGCGCCACCTTGACCATACCACGCTGAAACGTCTATCCGGAAGCCGTTCATGCCAATTCTGTTAACAAACTCGAAATCCTGGTAGGGAAGAGAGGTATTCTGAGCGAGTGGGCAGGTGGCGTCACAGTGAGCTTGCTGACCCGTCACGGGGTCGAAATAAGTGAAATTCATGATACCAGTATTTGGTAAAGCCGTAAACCTCCAGGTCCTAACTCCCTTGTCTTCGAGATTGTTCCATAACCTCAATCTCGAAGGCTCATAGCCAAAGCGCATATTTGCAGTCCAGGATCCAGCTTGATTGTCCTCGAGCTCCCATACAGATGTATTGGAGCCGTTGAGGGGACATACGACATTCAGACCACTAGTGGTGTTGGCAGTGGATGTAATGCTGGCGGACACTAGATTGATCGATTCCCCTAGCTGGTTGGTTGTTACAGTAGTCATATTCTTCAGGCCAGTAAAAGAACCTCCAAATACTATATGACCATTAGGAGCTTTGGTGATTGAGGTAACAGGCGCGTCAAACCCGGCAAACGGGAGGTTAGCCCATGAACCGGCGGATGTCCAGGTGATGGCGTTGCTCGAAGCAGCGGCATCAAAAGTGCCCCCAAGGTAAGCGGTCTCAGTGTCAGCATCGCACAAAAGGGCATTGACAGTTCCCTGAATACCAGGATGAGGCGATATCTGTCCTGTCCGGCCGTCGATGAAGGCCACACTCTGTGCACTAATTCCACCAATGCTGGTAAAGTTGCCAGCCACTATCACCCCAAGTAAAGTGCCGTTCCTCACGGTAAAGGTACAAAGATCCTCGATGTTGGCGTCTGTGGCAGCCAATACACCAAACAAGCCATTCGGTAATGGCTGTAGTATGGAATGAGTGCCATCACTTCGCAGACCTTCCTGCTGACCGACATATGAGTAAGTGGAGATGGCATCAAAGTCACCTCCAACCGCAACTTGACCCAAATCTTGAAGCCTTAGATCAGGCGAGGGAACTGCAGTGTATGCACATGCTCTTGCGGCGAGAACCAGTCCTGGAAGCCATCCTCCAGGCCGTGGCCTAAACTTCATCCTCTCTGCTCACGGCAGGTGAAGATATTGTCTTCGTGCTATTGCTCCAGCTTGAATGTATTTTGTCTTCCAATAGGTGTGATTGAATATCGAATTTAGACGATACGCGTTCCGTCAACAGTTGTTTGATGAACGAAGGATTAGTTTGTGGTTGTAATTAGATACATGAGGTCTAGGTGAATTACCACACTAATAATGGGAGGTGAAGAAACGAGCGACAGTTGTGTACTGGGACACTCCAATACACGCGATTGCGAGTTTTGAGATGCGTTTGAATTTGTGGATCGAGAGAGAAATGAATCGTGGTCGATGCGCAGGTCTGCACGGCAGCGAGGTTCGAGAAGAGGAGTTTGGTTTGTGCTTGTCAGAGCTCTCACTCCATAGCAGGCAATCGGACAGTGCCCAAGATCGAAGAGGTCACTGGCGCAGGAAGAGGCTGGAGCTCAAGCCTGTCGGAGAAATCAGTATGTAGTATGAAGTTTGGCAATAACCTATTGCAGGTTGGGCATATCCACCTCGGATGGCTGCCCGCAGGGTTGCTGGTCGCGACTGAAATTAATCATGTCTTTAGTGCCCTCCACCCTAGCACTGCTCATCTTGCTAAAGATCGCTACTTTCACTGATCAGACCAATCATCTACCAATCCATGAAGCTAGAATAGTCCTACAGAATAGATTCGTTACAGATGCCATTGCTTGTTCGTGTTTAGTTCAGCTTACAAGTACTACACGATCTCGAGACGTTGTCCTGTTGTGCATATGATGAATCTCATTTTTGCACACTGAATCGTTGATCTGCATAATTGGGAAGGACGAGGATGTTTGAGAGTCAGTTGCAAGACATTGGAGTGGCTAGTCTATTCTGGTCCTAGCAGGGGTGTCAAGTCCTCTTCCACCATGCATGTGTAGAGAAGGAACGTCGAATTGATTCATCCGCTGATGGTGAATCTATACCAGAACGTGTTGTCCTTCAAGAGACATACCAGCAATCTTGAATTCATTACACACTGTTACAAGCGTGTTGGAGGTCTTCCTTCATCCGTATCTTACATGGGTCCGGAAGAGCTTCACCTGCGTGTTTCGGAAGCGTGCATGAAACCGATCTCGGTTATTGGTTATCCAACCATTTGAAGAGGCACAAGCAACAGTCACTGATCCAGCGATATCAGCAGAAGCATAGGACGATAAATGCTGAGCACGTTGTTTTTCGCAGAAGGCTCTCGCAATCTACTCAACCAGACTCCCACCAACCGTGATCATATATTGTATATGTACTCTGAAACTGCAACGCGTCAGTTGCGGACCGAAGAACACCTGTAGTTATGGCACGACCTCACGTTTCAGCACGCTACTTCCGAGTCTTCACCAACCTTTGCGACGCTTCCTTCTGCTGCTGCTTGTTACACTGACCTGATCCACTTCCAGAACCCTTTTTTGCGACTCCTGCTCAGACTTTGGTGCAATAGATGTTGTTGCCGTGGTTGCGCTAGCAATTGCAGTATCTTCGTCCTTGATTGCTTCTTTGATCTCGGCTTTGGCCTGGAGTCGATCCGCAAACACCTTCAAATCGGCAGTAAATAGTACACTGTGAGCCCAGCCTGCTTCTTCACCCCAGATTTTCCGGAAATGGTTCGCGACGGCATCGTATGTAGCCTTCGTCAAACTCGTGTGTTTGCCCCTACCGAATTTGTAGTCACGTACTGCAATTTGCCAGACATGAGTATCGATCGGAACCGCTTCTCCCCATCCTAAGCCCATCAGGCATACACAGTCCGCCACTTTCGGACCAACACCCTGAAGTTCAAGCAGTTTCAAGTGGGCATCTCGGTAGCCGTCTCGTCCCTCTGGTTTCATGTCTCCAGCTGGTCCTGCTAATTGTCCGTACACTGGGCTTTCGGGGTTGCGCAAGGAATCTAACCAGCCTTCCTCTTTATCGTTCCCCACGATTCGAGCCGTTTGAGCAATATATTTCGCACGGTATCCAAAGCCTAGCTCTCTCAGATGACTTTCAACCTTGCTGCCAACAAGTGCTTTGGGACCAGGGAAATCGTAGTATGCCCGTCCGTCCCATGTTGTTATGTATTTTCCGTAGTGTGTGCACAGCTTGTCGACCATCTGCGCAATCCTGATGATGTTGTTATTACTGCTGCATATGAAACATATCAGCGCCTCCCATGCATCCTGTCTCAATATTCTGATTCCTGTGAACTTCGGAGCCTTCTTCCTAAAGTTTTGATCGGACTCTGACCACTGCCGGTACAATTCTTCGAGATTGGGGGAGAGGTTAAGGTAGTGGTGGAGCAGTTCTTTGCTGTCTTCGATCTCGTCTGGCGAAACAGACGGAGGGGGCGTTAACGGTGCGCTTTCAGGACCGGACCAGATTGATCGATAGCGAAGGTGCGTGTCGTTTCGATCCAATTGAAGGATGCGACCTCGAAGCACGCAGGTCCACGATTGGTCTTCACACTGCTTCCACCGAAAGGATTGACCACATCGCAGCGTCGTGGCCAGGCATAGCTCAGTAAGTGGTACTGGCAGACTTGCCCAAGCTGTGACACGGAATGCCATGTCCGTAAGTCCTTAGTAGCAATCACTGTCCATGCTCGTTACTGCGGGACTTTGAGACTTACCGGTCTTGCGAGAACCGCAAAGCTACGTACTCCTCCTGTTTCATATACTGTGGACAGAGTGAAAGACTTCCAGCAATGCGATCCAGCAGGATCCACCTGTTTGTCTACTAGCCTCAAAATAAAAAGGCACACTGATGCCAAGGACTACAGAGATTCAACAGGAAGTGTACCGGTCATCTCAATGAACTGAAGTTGCCAATGTCTGCGTTTCCTAACATCAAATCGAGCACCTGATCGATCTGTTCTTCTTGCACCTAGTACAGGAATGAGTAAAGGAGTTCTCTGCATCAGTTGTCTCTCTACTGACTACTATTCTGCTTACGTATTCCATACTAGTAGTAGCGCTAGTGTGAGGCAGTGATCGACCAAAATAGATCAGACCCATCTCTTTGGTCCTAAACATAACGCGTCAACACGAGAGAAGACTATAGGGTAAGCGTGATTGTACGAGTACAGTGTTCCTCTTGCTCTTTACTACTGTCTGACAATTGTTGTCTGTTGATTGTCGTCTTCTAGAAGCGAAGACGATCTGAGGACTAGTCAAATTCCCAAACAAAGCCTCATCCTGGAGAAAAAAGTGCATGTCGAGAACACCCCTTTCAATCGACTTTCCCCACTCCGAGTTTGTCTTGCGTCCTCGCCTAGTTTGTCTCCAGAGCCACGTCTTTCAGCTCTTCGATTCGTTGCGAGCTGCGGACGCATGACAGGATCCTCTCGAGCTTGGCATTAAAGAGCCCCGTACGACATGCGTGCTTCGCGTGCAGATACGCTTTTTGCTTGACCCGAGCGGTTGAGCCGTGAGCCGTGAGTGATATCCAAAAGGCACAACATTTCATGCATCTTGAATTCTTGCATTTCAGCTGAACATCTTCTGCGTTGTTGATTGCACTTATATTCGTGTCTACAGTCGCTCGTTCTGCCATATCAACGTTTCATTTATACACTCTTTCCCTACTCAGAACTACCAGCCATATCTTCGAGCACCCACGACCATATACATAACCTCCTCCCGTTTGTGCGTTGATCGAAGGAATATTTCCTTGAGCTATAACCTCTAGATTCTTGGTTACTATCATAAACAAGACGACTTGGGACAAACAGCGTTGAAAAGTTGGGCAGGCAATATGAGAACCGGCTTCACGGCAAGCGTATTGTTGGCCCTACTGGGAAGAGTATTGGCAGCCGACATCATTAGCACGAGTGGATTTTCCAGTTGTGGTGCTGGTGATTCTTCGATTCAAGTACAGAATGTCGATATTTCGTTTGACAGATCCACCAACAAAATTACATTCAATGTTGCAGGAAACAGTGCAGTATCGCAGGATGTCATAGCTTCTCTGGTTGTGGAGGCATATGGTACAAAAGTGTACAATCAGACTTTCGACCCATGTGCAGACGACACAAAGGTCGATCAATTATGTCCGGGTGAGCAATATGTGTTCTCTATTATTGAAACGATTGGCTGACGAGCTTTAGTTCCCTCAGGTCAGTTCTCGGCTATAGGTGAACAGACTATACCCAGCGAATACGCCGATAAGATACCGTCGATCGCATACAGCATACCTGACCTTGATGGAATGGCCAAGATGGTGTTGACAACAAAAGATGGATCACAAGCAGCATGCATAGAATCTTCGGTCACAAACGGGAAGTCCGTCGAGGTGCCAGCAGTGCAAGGAGTGGCCGCCGCCATTGCTGCAGGTGCGCTTCTGTTCTCTGCAGCAAGTGCAGCCATGGCTAGTGGTCAACCCGGTGCCTCGCATTCTTCTCCAGGTTTCATGGAGGTCATGTGGTGGATGCAGGGTATGGCTATGGACGGCATGTTGTCAGTCAACTACCCCAAGCTTTACCGCAGCTACACCAAGAACTTTGCCTTCTCTACTGGCCTTGTTTCGTGGGGCAGCATGCAAACTGCGATTGACGACTTTCGATCGAAGACCGGCGGCAATCTGACGGATAACAACTACGAATACCTGAAGAACGCCACACTCCGCTTTCCAGACGGCACAAACGTGCAACCCACTGGCTCGTTCTCCAGGCGCCTGGCTATCAGAGCACTCGACTATCTACTTCCTCGCCAGCTGGATGGCATCACCACTTCGCTCAATGGAACGGACTCTGCCACCACGGGACAATCTCAAGAGTCGAAGTTGGTTTCTGGTATTCAGGCCTATGCTGAGCAACTCACAGTTCCAGACGCCAATGCCTTTATGACCATTCTGCTGATCTTTGCTGTGATCATTGCCATCATTGTTGTTGGCATCCTCCTATTCAAGGTCATTTTGGAGGCCTGGTCTCTTTTCGGCAAGTTCCCCAAGTCACTGACCACGTTTCGAAAGGAATACTGGCGGATCATGGCACAAACCATTACCTGCCTTATCCTCTTGCTCTATGGTGTTTGGACGTTGTATTGCGTCTACCAGTTCCGAAATGGTGACTCGTGGTGCGCGAAAGCGCTTGCAGGTGTCACGTTGGGGATCTTTAGTGCTCTGCTGGGTTTTTACACTTGGAAGATCTGGTCCGTCGCACACAAACTCAAACGGAGCGAAGGTGATGTTCGCTCACTCTACGAGAACAAGGAGACATGGAAGAAGTACCATCTCTTCTACGAAAATTACAAGAAGCAGTATTGGTGGCTCTTCATGCCCTTCATCATTTATATGTTCGCAAAGGGATGCATTCTTGCTGGTGCCGACGGTCACGGTCTGGTGCAATCCATCGGCCAACTTGCTGTGGAATGCATCATGCTTATCCTTCTCCTTTGGAACAGACCTTTTGACCGCAAATCCGGAAATTGGATCAACATCATCGTGCAGATTGTTCGAGTGCTGTCCGTGGCTTGCATTTTGGTTTTTGTTGACCAATTCGGTGTTGCAAGAACAACGCAGACTATCACTGGCGTCGTCCTGATTGTGGTCCAGGCCACCTTGACTGCTATCCTGGCTATACTTATCGCCACTAATGCCTTGATCAACTGTTGCAAGGTAAACCCGCATAGAAAGAGGCGCAAGGCTGCTGCAAAGGCTATGGACGATAATCTCGAAGGCGACGCTTTTCTCCTAGAAAATCGAGGCAGGAAGCTGCCGATGACTGACGCCAACGATTTCGGTTACGATGACATGCGCGTCCAGGCGAAGTTCAATCGTGCCAGCAGGTATGGCTTATCACGAACTGAGAGTGAGCAGCGCCTAATTCACGACAATGGTAGTCAAACCATGGACGTAGGCAAGAAGGGACCATATGTTAGTGTTCGCCAGCACAGTCCTGACAGTACACTAGCGCAGAGTATCAGCAGTAGAGAACCAAGACTGCCTGATATCGACTTACCACGTGGCGCAGGACAGTCGGGGAGGATGTACTAGACCAGTTGGACATTGGGACAGAGGCTCTTTATATAACGATAGATTGTTATACAGCAAGCGACTCATTTTAGATCACAGATACAGCTCTCACGGCATGTTCGGTTATCTTTCACTCCTTGAAACTGCTGCTTACAGGCGCCGCGAGCTCTGAACATGTTTGTGATTTCTGTCTCTCTTTACAAAGTATACTGTTTCGACATCTTGTCCGACTGGGATGTTCCATGATTGCTTTATACAACATGGCGACTCAAGTCCGCACAAGGTCTTGCCAAAGGAGGTTAGTTGTAATTCGTAAACTTGTAATCGCACATGCGATCCTAACACGCGAGCTGCAGCGATCGAATAAAAGTGTAGATCTTGGATGAGTAAACTGCAGAATCACGTCACTCCGCGCCATTCTGTCAGCATTTCGCAATTCAAGTCGCAACCGATTCACAATTTCACAATTGCTCCAGAGAGCCTACATGCTTATCACAACTCGCCGGGGCGCCCTTATGCTACCCTAGCCGGAGTCGAGCACTAAATGAATAGTTCTCGCGATGGTCGCAGTAATAGCACAGCCGTATTCTGCATGGGAAATTCAGCCCTAGCCCTGGCAAAGCATAATGTACCGTAAATCCTACGCGTCTAATCAGATCAACACTATCAACAGACATAATAACTGTGTTGCATGCGACTCTGATCTGCCGAGAGACGCACCCCAGATCATGTCATAGCGCTTACCGGGGGTGGCTTATGTTTTATGCATATTCAGAAGACACGAGGGATCATTTCGTATAGCCAATAACACTGCATACATTTTTTATCGCAACCGAGCATGACGAACCAGTCTCCTGTCCACCGGAGGCCATATCAGCTCAGTTTTTGCTGTCCACGCATGACATGTCCTACTGTATCTTTTTTAGAAATTCTTGAAGTGCCTCTTTCGAGCAATATTGTCGGCAAACCGGCTATTGTACAGTATTCTGATGGCGGCGTGCAACATGCAACACCGAATGCTCAATCACAGTGCCTACCCTATTGTGTAAGTTCGAACTAGATACTGTACTGAAATCACGAATAGTAGTTCGATTGGTGGGGAACGGAAATAGCAGGAGAAAACAAGTAAAGCTTGTTGTGCTTCGCTGTGCCCGAGAACCCAAACCCTGGACACTCTCCGACCTGTCCAATCTTTGCTAGGTCTTGCGGCATCGATTATCTTTCCCTGTGGTTGCGAACGAGCAGCGACACGAGATTCGAGTCGTAATCGAACTAAGCACTAAAGCGCTGTCAAAGTTTAGAAAGCTAAGGACGATCCTCCTCTTGGCGTCTTACTCTCCGACGTTTCAATCAATCCCGTCCTTCGCAAGACACTCTTCAATGTCTAGCTCTCCCAAGTCATCGAGTACGGCATATTGTCCCTTATTCACATGAATAGCTGTCCAGCTCTTCGCCTTACATGTCTGTCGAGGAGCTGGATGGTGGGGACGACCGGCACAAAGTGGCAAAGCTTGCAGCAATCAAGTCTTGCCAAGCCCACGCAATGAAGTTCTCTGCAAAAACCCGGCTTGGCAGCGGATACTTCGGTGAGCAGTGCAGCACAAGACGACCTTCCGGAAGTGAACTCGTATTATCAAAGATGATTAGCCACTTTCTTCATGATCCTTAGTTCGATTACATCGTGAAACGGTAAACCTCACCAACCACTGAGAGATCTCCTGGCCTGTTATTCCCGTTGGTAGGTCTATGGGAGAAATATGCCAAGACTCAAGGTAGCATTCAAGCATGTTCAAAAGTGTTCACTCCGCACAGGTCAGCGCCAACCTTATCAGCGCCCTGGTTGAGCAACACCTCACCTGCCTTTTTCGGCCATACTTTCACTATCTCGTGGCACGGCGATCGAACCACATTGGTGAAGAGATGAACCATGATATTGCAGGTAACACTCGCGCGTTACAGACCCTCGAAACAGTGATAATCATGTGGCGGATTGTGACCCTAGCTGCTGAAACATTTATATTGTCGTCGTAATCCAACTCAGTAATCACTACTTGAAGTCTGTTGCACAGACCAATCTATATCCTTTCGTCCTCTTTCCAAGTCTGCAAATTGCCTGCACGGCAACAACCATGAGTGTTCTCGGTGCCAACGTCCTCGAGACGCGCGAATTGGCCAAATCCGGCGTCGCTGATGGCTTCGTCGAAGGGACATCAGCAGAAGCCAAGGCTGGTCAAGGTCACATTTCACTTGCCGCCTACGAAAGCGGACGCAACTCTATCAGCAAGGAAGTCTACGACGACACTCCCACAGAAGAAGAATTACATTCGCTGAGAAGAGTGTCTGGAAAAATTCCCTGGACTGCTTGGACGATCGCATTCTGCGAGCTTTGCGAACGATTTTCATATTATGGCACAACTGTGGTGTATGTCAACTTCATCCAGCACCCTCTGCCCGATGGCTCGAGAACAGGTGCAGCTGGTACCGATGGTCAGCCTGGCGCACTGGGTCGAGGTCAACGAACGTCAACAGGGTTAACTCTCTTCAACCAGTTTTGGGCCTACGTTATGCCACTCCTCGGTGCCTACATCGCTGACGCTCACCTTGGTCGATTCAAAACTGTTCACATTGCCATTGCAATCTCTATCATTGCCCATGTCATTTTGACGGCATCTGCAGCTCCATCGGTAATCACAAGACCCAATACGGCAATCGGCGTCTTTGCCCTCGGCTTGGTTACACTTGGTATTGGCACCGGTTTCTTCAAAGCGAACATTTCACCTATGTTGGCTGAGCAAGTGAAAGACACGAGACTTCGAGTGACTACACTTGAGAAAACTGGAGAGCGGGTCATAGTCGATCCAGCGGTCACCAACACTCGCATCTTCCTATACTTCTATTTCTGCATCAATGTCGGCTCCTTGGTTGGTCAGATCACCATGGTGTATGCGGAAAAGTATGTGGGATTTTATCTGTCCTTCCTACTACCCACAGTTCTGTTCCTGTCGGCCCCGGTTGTTCTTGCGGTGTGCAAAAAGCATTATATTTTGAGCCCACCCACCGGCTCCGTTCTGTCCAAATTCATACACATGTTCTTTTATGCCGCGAAAGGACATTGGCTCTCCTGGAAGACATTCACCTGGGATGTAGCTCGACCATCCAACGTTGCGCCAGCCTCTCGACCCAGCTGGATGACTTATGATGATGCTTGGGTGGACGAAGTTCGTCGTGGCTTGATGGCGTGCAAGGTCTTCTTGTTCCTGCCTCTGTTCCACCTGGCCTACAACCAGATGACTGGTAACCTTACGTCTCAAGCCGCTACCATGGAGCTCAATGGCGTGCCCAATGATTTGATTCAAAACATCAATCCAATCTCGATCGTTATCTTCATTCCTATCCTCGACTACCTTGTTTACCCAGGCTTCCGCAAGATGGGCTTCAACTTCACTCCGATCAAGCGAATGTGTGTTGGATTCTTTTTTGGTGCAAGTGCAATGTGAGTCCCTACAAATAATAATTTGGTCCGAAACAATGCTAACCGATTTGCAGGATCGCAGCGGCTGTAACTCAGCACTACATTTACAAACTCGCTCCATGCGGAACGAATGCGGGCGACTCTGACTGCATTGCAGAGAATGGTTCAGCTCCGATCAACGTCTGGGTGCAACTCATTCCATATGCGCTGATTGGTCTCTCCGAAATCTTCACCAACGTCACATCTTACGAATATGCATTTTCCAAGGCGCCAACTAGTAAGTCAATGTCATACTTGTGCTGCTTTCCGAGATCGCTGACCTTGCTACAGATATGAGATCGTTGGTCATGTCAGTAAACCTCTTCATGTCAGCATTCGCTAGTGCAATTGGTCAAGCCTTTACCGCGCTCTCAGCTGATCCTCTACTCGTCTGGAACTATACTATTATTGCAGTTCTAGCATTCTTGGGAGGTGTGTTCTTCTGGATCTGCTTCCGCAAGTTGGATAAGAACGAAGATGCCTGGAACAGCATTGCCAAATCTGCTTATCGAGGCAAGAGCGTGTCTGATCCTTCAAGGTCCGAGCCCGTGACAGAGGTTGCCAACGAGAAGGCTTGAGTCAGTCTTGAGTATAACAATACTGATGGATCAAGTAGCTTTGAATTCAAGAATTCAGACAGTCTGCCGCTAGGGCCAGTGTCTAGCATGCAATAACAAAGCAAAACCTTTGCATTCCATGCTGTTTATGTACTGCAACTGCAAGACGTTCTTGATGAAAGCAAACACTGGGCCTCGTTACTCCAGCGCTCACTTGCTGCATGTTCTTGACTGAACGAAGTTGCCAGGTATTTTGGGTCGTTCCAGACAATTCTCCTGTTCCGGCCATACGTCGTGTAACCCAAGACTCCGATCTGCCAGTGTGACTTGTCGATATTGCTAGAACGCGAATAATGGATATTTGGAGGTCAAGCACGGACACTGAAAAGAGCTGTGGAGGGGATCGAGGACTTTGGTTGGCCCAAGAACTGCCGCCGAAGCTAGGCCGAAATTGTCGTTGAGGTGTTCGGGCAGGACGAGAAGTCGTTCCGTATCAAACAGTTCGGCACAGTCACGCGCATTGACACCCATTGAGTTCCATACATATTCTTCATACATGTAAGTTACAGTCCTCGATCCGTCTTGTCGCCTACGAGTGCTCTGGTACGGGAAAGAATATCAACCCGTCTGTTGTTGTCACTGCTGCGCCCTACGGCACAGACACCCTCCTGCCCATCGCCATGGCTAACCTCCGCTTTATAGATTTGTGCCTCTGTCCGACTATCCTCACCTCGCATCTGTACAGTAATATGAGTAGACTATGAGCGACGTCAACGAAGACGCGAAGCAGGCCCTGGCTGTCACGTCGTCCGAAGACACCAACCAGACTGCCCCAGAGCAAATCAGCACCGCCAAAGAACGCGCCAAAGCCGTGTTCGAGGCCGCGACAGCATCACCTGCGCCCCACAATTCGACACAGAGAATCGACAGTGGACAGAATGAGCAGGGCGAAGATAGAGCTGTGAGCAGGAAGAGAAAGCGCGAAACCACCGCCCAACGGATTCAAACCGACCAATATGTGACGCGCGAGTATCAGTACAAAGCAGACTTTGCTGAGCGCAACCACAAGCCATTGCTTCTGCAACAGAAGCAACAAGAGGTCCAATACTACCAAAAGCTAGCAACCGTCCGACAGCAGAATCCTGGCCTTATCTTCGGTGTAGGCTATGAAGGATTTGGCAACCCACGCACTGATGATCGATCCGTGCGCGATCCGATACTGTACCCGCGTATGCGACGCGCCGGGAAGAAGCAGACCAGACCACCGCGTGTATCGAGAAGCGAACAAGCAATCCAGGCCGAGCAGGATGAAGAGCTTGTGCCAATACGCCTCGACGTGGAATGGGGAAAAATCAAGTTACGGGACACATTTACTTGGAATCTACATGACCATACCACAAATATTGAATACTTCGCTGAGAAGTTAGTTGAAGACTTTGGCTTGGATATTGCTGCGTGCGAAACCTTGGTTAAGAAAGTGGCAGCCAACGTTCGTGAACAGCTGACAGATTACACACCTCATATTTACGCTCAGCCGGAGCCGCTAGACCCTCACCTGCCATATAGTGCCTATAAGAACGATGAGATGCGCATCCTGATCAAGTTGAATATAACCATTGGACAAAACACACTAATCGACCAATTCGAATGGGAGATCAACAACCCATACAACTCACCTGAGGAATTCGCAAGGCAAATGACCCACGACCTTAGTTTGGCTGGTGAATTTACAACAGCGATTGCTCATTGTATTCGCGAACAGAGCCAGTTGTATACAAAGTCTCTGCATTTGACCAGTTATCCATTCGACGGGAGAGTAATCGACGACCCAGATCTCAAGGAGAACTTCCTGCAATCCCCACTACCTACCCTCTTCAGACCATACCAGATGGCCAAGGAGTATGCGCCATACATTTACGAACTGAACGAGGCGGACCTTGAAAGGACTGAGTTATCTATCTCGCGTGCACAGAGACTTCAGAAACGAGCAACTCACAGGCGTAACGGTCCTCCACTGCCAGATTTGAAGGAGAAACCCAAGACCATCAGGTCTCTTGTGGTTTCGTCGGTGATACCAGGAGGAGCACTGACTATGGAAGATAGTCGAATCTTCAGGGCAGCCCGTCAAAGCCGCAAGACAGGACGTGGAGCTCGAGATGAGTTTGACGAGAGTGACGATTCGGCCAGTGGGGATGACTCTGCTCCTGACTCACCTGCTATCCCTACTCATCTACTACCACCCGGATCTTCTCGCACCAGAGGCACCATGAGAAGCGCTGCTCTTACTGCCACAGCAGGCATCAGAAGCAATTTGAATGGTGTTCGATCTGCCACACCCGAATCCAGTGTTGCGCTAGAGCCCAGAAGCGCTGCAAGACGAAGGGACTACAAAGAAGAGAGTGAAGATGACAATGACAAGCTGGTTGTTGTTCTCAAGGTCGGCAAGCAGAAGCTAAGAGAATGGGCACGAGCACAACGCTTGAAAGATCGAGCAGGCCATCATTCAAACACTGGAAGCCCCATGCCCGGGCAGCGACCAAAGGCGGCACCATTAAACCTGGCTGCCCAGCCTCCTCCTCCACCGAATACGAAACCTCAGGAGAACATGTTTGGAGCTATCGACGCACCACCAGATCCGCCCAGTGCGGAGCACCCTGCTGTAAGTACTGTGAATACTCGTTCTACAAACCACTCTTGCTAATATGTTATAGCCGTCACCCCCAGACTGGCTACTGGAGGGTCTCGAGAAGTTACGAGTCCAGTATCGAGACGACAAATTCCAGGCGACAATGAAGCATACGGCTATTGATCCTGTGACTGGTGGACCTGTACCAGCCGACGACCAAAACCGGCACTTTGATCACAAGTACGTGCCTCGGATCAGATGCTTGGATTGTCCAGGAAAGCTGTACGTGACTGGGCCAGGCATGACTGCAGAACGATTCGAAGCACATCTGAAGAACCGAAAACACAGAGAATCAGTGGAAGCGAGGCTAGACCAGGAGGGATAGGATAACTCCAGTGGTCACTCTGGTTCCAGCTGGCAAAGCGATACACCAACTTCTTACGATAGTGATGACGACTAAGCTGTGCTTTGAAACATTGTACTTCTTCTGCTCGTGCCTTTTCTAGAATACTTGGGGTCCGGTTGAGCCGTAGTAGGCAGTTGATGCCCTATACTATCTTGTGTCCCTTCAGGGTTTGTCAGGGGCAGTGGGTGTGCCGAACGAGGGGTATGACGCAGCGACAACACAAAAACAATGCGACTGCCCAAGAATGCCCCACACAGTTTTGCATGCCTGCTGGGATTTCGCACGAGACCTGCTGCTGTTCTCCAGAATATTTGTTTTTCAGAGTAATATTTCAAGGCTATATTGATCAGAGTATTCATTATGGCCGAGTCTCATGATGTTGGTAAGTGGAATTGTTCTGCGTGCTACGAATGTTGTACATCTTCGAGGGCAAGACGCTCTAGCAGCCATGACTCCAGCCAACTTTGATGGATTGTTGCGACTTGGTACCTATTGCGAGAATAGATCTATCTTCGAGAAAGAGCTGACCAGGACAACCTTGCAGATTACAGTCTCAACAACCCCGACACCTTGACCAAGTAAGTCCCACAGGCTCTTAACCGATTTTGATAAATCTGACCAGTGAACCAGGTACAAGACAGCGGCACAAATATCTCACAAGGTATACGAATCGGTAGCCGGTCAGTATTCCAGCCTATGCGAGATCCTGCCAGTATTTGCAACTGACACAACGCAGGATGGTTAAGTGAGGGAGCCAAGATCCTCGAACTCTGCGAAAAGGGCGATGCGCTCCTAGACGAAGAAATCGGAAAGGTATACAAGGGCAAGAAGATACAAAAGGGTGTAGCTACGCCATGCACAATCTCTCCCAGCTCACACGTCACACCATTCACACCGTTGGCTTCAGAAGATGATGCAGGCACGGAGCTCAAGGCTGGCGAGGTAGTCAAAATTCAACTCGGTGCTCAGATCGATGGGTTTGGTGCGATAGTTGGAGGCAATGTTGTCGTTCCGCCTAAAGGAGAAAAGAAGGCGAAGATTGAAGGACGCGAAGCTGATCTGTTACTGGCTACACACTATGCGAACGAACTCCTGTTACGGTTGATGGTACCACCAGGCCTGTTATCAGCTGGAACCGATGAGGAAAAGAAGAAAGCGAGCGCCGAGAAGCCACCGAGTCAGAGCAAGATGATACAACTCGTCGAGAAGGTTGCTGCTGCGTACGAGGTCAAGGTTGTGCAGCATACAACCTCCTGGCTGTTTGAACGCAACGATATCGAGGGCAAGAAGAAGATCATTTTGTCTCCAGCCGCTGATTCCAGCAAGGGTGAGGGTTCACCGGAGGTAGGTGAGGTCTGGGGTGTGGAGGTCGGCATGAGTCTCGGAAGTGGCAAGGTGAAAGACCTCGACAAGAGAAGTACGTTGATGCGACGGACTGCCATCACTTATGGACTCAAGCGACCAAGTTCCAGGCAGGTGCTGAGCGAGATTGTGAAGAAGTTCGGCACCTTCCCTTTCTCGCTGCGCCAATTGGACGACGAAAAGGCTGGGAAGGTGGGCGTGATTGAGTGTGTGCGCAACGGCGTACTGCGTGAGTACAAGCCTGCAGCTGATTCTGAAGGAGCACCTGTTTCGCGGATGTTCAGTACTGTAGCCATCACGAAGAACGGTTTGACAAGATTAGCTGCTCCACCGGCTCTGGATCTTGATACAGTGAAATCAGACAAGAAGATTACGGATGAGGAGGTCTTGAAGATTTTAGAACGACCTTTGTCCAAGTCAACAGGCACGAAGAGCAAGAACAAGAAAAAGAAGAAGAAGACTGCTAAGAAGGCTGTTGCAGCGGATGAGGGCGAGGAGAGCGAGGAGGAATCTGACGACGAATAGACGAATTCTTTCAGCAGTCATTTGAGTTGGGCTTATCATCCTCCTCGAACTTCCAGGAAATTGACTCGACCTCTGTCAAGGCCGAGCACGAATTCATGGTCAAGCTTTCCCAGTGAAGGAAATCTTTGATACGTGTTCGAACGAGCTCACACAGCGCACGAGTGTCGATATGCTGGACAACAGGCATTTGCATCCTGCATTGAAGGAGCAACTAACAGACTCTACAACCACGTGGGAATGTGTCTGACAAAAGTAAAAGTTTGAACGGGAGTGCAGACAAGCTCGGGTGGTAGGCATAGAGATGATAGAAACCATCTCGAGCACAGTTCATGGTTGCTTTCACTCTGTACTTGATGTGTTTCCTTGACTTCGTTGTCACTGGAGAGGTCATGAGATCGATAGTGACTTCTGACCCGCCCTCTCATGCACAACGCGCTAGTGTCAATCAATACATTTTCTTTTCCACTACCTTTCATCGTTCCAACGTCGATACTATCCTTCTGAAATGAAACCTTGTTCTATATTGATGAAACGAAGCCATTACATTTAACGTGTGAGTAATCAAACAGGCAGTCGCAAGAAGAAATACCCCTTTAGCGCGCTCTTTTCAAGTCGAGCCAAGCGGATCCCTGGTCCTGGTGACTGACCGTTGCCGCGAAGCCGCTTCCTTCGACCACCGACTTTCATTCCTTCACCAAACCACCACCACGCCTCTTCAGGCTTTGTGAACGTCACTGGGGGGTACAAGGAGTGTCGCTGTATATGTATCAGACGTGTCCCTGAACCAAAGGAGTCAAAGTGGACGTGCGCAGGTCGGTCATGTCAAGCATCAGAAGTCTACGCAACAACAGGTCCAGTCGATACTCAAGTCCTGCGACCTTTGCCTCGAACCACCAGGAACCCGAGCCTGCTGCACAGGAGACGATCGAAGTTCAGCCGCCACAGAATGGAGTGGAGAGACTGCCACAGTCGAGGTTGGACCACTGGGTTGAGCCCGTTGTCCGCCATGGCGTCGCCAGTTTCGAGGATACAAAGGGCTTGGAAAGAGTCGGCGTCTTGGAACACATGCAGCCCTTGGGTGTTGCGCCGAACCCGAAGCTACTATCGAGGCTGAAGGTCAATCTCTCGAGGCCGTCAGCCAGTGCAAGAGGAACGCCTGGTCAAAGTGAGGGTGTGGCCAGTCCAAGTGTTGAGCCTGCAAGTGCAAAGGATGACGCGCCTTCTCCTGTAATTGACCCCGAACTATTGATCGAAACTCCTCCACTACCTCTGCAACCTCTCCCTCAAACATACCATGAGCCGCAACCGCAATTAGCGACCTTTCCTCAATCTACGCCGCCTCCTGTATCAGACTCATTTCCGCAGCTATCGTCGCCTGTGATCATGAGTCCGCCACGAGGAAGACCTGCAAAGAAAGAAGTCGAAGAAATGCGTGTCTATGGCGATGAAAACGCTGTCTCTCCTGCCTTCACAAATACTTCGCGTCAGTCAAGGGCATCCCCTCGACATTCGTCCATTCAAGAACATCAGAAGGAGGAGAGATTCAAAGGCTACATTCGAAGTGCTATCAGTAAGGCGAGCCAGGAGGGTAAGGATGATGTCGTTTCTGGTCTCACCAGTGTTCTCGCTGAAGCTGGCCGTGACGAGCTTCTGACTGCGTTGGAGAACATCTCGAAATACAAGGGCAGTGTTAGAGTTGAACAGTTCAAGGTCTTCAAGCATTATATTAAGAAAGGTATTCGCAAGCATCGACGCAACTCTTCTCTATACAACTACAACAACAACGACGACGACAACGACTCGAACCCGTCGATTCCTGCATTATCACAGCAGACACCTGTCGCTTATGTCTCGAGTTTTCATGCCAACATAAAGAAACCTTCACCAGTGGGTTCTCCCAAACAAAGCGACACTGTCACTAGGTCTCCTTTGACTCTAAGGACGACATTCCCTGACGTTTCGAACAATGTGTCACCTCCCAAGCTGTTTCTTCATTCCCCCTCGCAGACAGAGCACGCGCCCATGGATATACCGCCATCTCAGCACGACGAATCATTTCCTGTTTTACCACAAAAACGCACACCACGTAAAAGACGGTCGAGCAGTACGTCCTCACTAAGCTCCGCGATATCTGTCGCTTCAAGTCTTGAACCGGTACCGAATTTACTGCCAGTGTCGAACATTCGGGACCAGTCATCAGAAGCGAAACCTGCCAGATCGGCTGGCTCACGCCAAGCCCCGATCCGGGCAGCATCTAGCAGAGCAACACGTTTGTCAGGCACTGACCAACAACAAACTGATTTATCACAATTCGAAGCTCGCAATACCAAAAACCTCAACATTGTGAACAACAACTCAGAAGCTAAACGTCGAAAGTTGCTGAATCGGATAGCCACAGTTCCAGACTACGACCAGGCAGAAATCGATCGACGGCGAAGAGAATTTGATAGAAACTTGAAGCGCGATGTTCGTGAAGGACGGGAAACGGTGCATCTGAGAAGACCGATATCAATACCAGAAGGTGAGGACGATTTAACGAGCATCACTGTTGAGCCACGACCTCCGCCGCCCGTTATACATCCCAACAGTTTGGTGCATGCGACTGCTCAAGCATCGTCCCCAGCGACAGCTGAATTTCCAGCCGTCAATGGTACAAGCAAGAAGCGTGATTACGATGAGTTTACAAGAGACGACTTGTCTTCACGATTATCGACGCCCGACACAATATCCTCTACCGACCTACCAGCGCCACATATCGTCAATCGGCTTAGCAGTGCCGCGCCTAGCAGTCGTGCACCAACACCTCGAGCTGCAAAGAACGGTCAGATGAAGCCTACCCAGCTCATCAAAGGCCGAACTTCACTGCGAACCATGATCTCGTAAGTACTATCTGCATTCATGAGGCCGCACGCGAGCCAACGCATGGTGCAAGACGCGTCACCACTCTCGCACGAAAATGCAATGGGACAATCTTATTCTTTGTGTACTTTGCTAACCTTTCTTTCTACAGACCCAAAAAACCCAAAAACGATGGCAGCAGCACAGGTGTAATACGTGCGGGGCCAGAGAATGACACGGTAATGACCAATGGTACCGATGCGGATGCAGAGGTAAGACAAATCCGCCTTTATTTGCCACCTATCAGCCTTTTTTTGTTTACGCTCTTGATGTTGTTGTCTGGTCGCCTTGAAAACACCAAGTGCAACTCAGCTTGTTTCCTCCTTCTTGTTGTCCCAGTCTGCACCCTCGTATCTGACATCATGTCATGCTTGGCTCGGCTATATCAGACACTAACGTGTCATCACAGGAGAACCAGAACGAAGACGAATGTCGTGCTTGTGGTGATGCAGGTCTTTTAGTCCTTTGCGAAAGTTGTCCAAATTCATTTCACCCAGGATGTCTAGAACCGCCACTTGATCCGGACGACCCTAAACTGGCAGAAGATCAGAAGTGGTACTGTCCCCTGTGCGAAGCTAAGCGCAGACCTGAGACGGCCAAGTCTGATGGCTTTATGAGCGAATTAATCAGCAATGTTAGCGATGCATATCCGAAAGCATACGACCTACCACAAGATATCCGGGATTACTTCGAGAACGTTTCCACCGGTGCAGATGGTGAGTACGTCGAGGCGATAGTGCCACCAACGAACAAGAAATGGCCCTTGAGAGCCGACAACAATGGAGCTGTGAAGCTTCCAAACTACAAAGACATCAGAGATAGGCAGGGCAACCTGCGATTCTGCTACAAATGTGGCAAAGGAACCGACGGAGAGCGAGACATGATGCCTTGCGATTACTGCCCCAAAGAATGGCATCTTGACTGCCTCGATCCTCCAGCACCCGTTGTACCAAAACGTATAGGTGCTGATGGCAAGGCGCCTCCTCCATGGAGGTGTCCCCTTCACGTCGATCATGATATGATCGAGATCAGTCGAGCTGGTGGTCTAAAGACTGGGATGCTAGGAAGGATACCGCGCCTTCGACGACCAAGAAGGCAAGTACGCTCGGTGCAACAGTCCACTTCTCGACCTTTGTACCCTAATAATGGTGTCATCGATATCGAACACGAGCCCGAATCCGAGGTTACTTTGAAGGAGATCGACATGCAAGGCACTGTGCAGAAAATTCCAGAAAAGGGTATTCGCCTTGATTTCATCGCCAAAGCCAATCGCGATCGCTACAACGAGTATGTTAATAAAGATGCTCGAGGCATCGTGTCTCATCAAACTTGGGCTAAATCCTGGCTGCCTGATCATCCACGATTTAGGGATCAACCAGCCCCATTAACATCTGACATTACCACGCCGGAGCAGCAAGAACAAAGGTCGAGGTTCTATTCGTTGTCTCTTCCTGATCAACAGGTGATCCTCAGTCTTTCTGACCTGAAAAATTCAACCAACTCCACGAATGGGCTCAATCGTTCCACGACCGATCGATACATGGACGACTTGGTCAACGTGCTTATCGCAGAAGCACCTGCTGAGGTGTCCCGGCAAACCAATATGTCAGAAGTGGAGCGATTGACGGTCTTGGAGGATCTGATCAAGCGCCGTAAAGACATTTTGACAAGAGCGAGCACAAACAGTGGAACTACGCAAGCCGACCTACCACCGATGCAAACGAAGAGCAAAAAGGTGGACACACCGAAAGTGAATGGCACCCTTGGACACGACCATAGCGAGTAAGTGTCGAAGCTGTCAGATCCTGGACGATGTTGTACGGGCATGATGAATAGAAAGAAATGATATTTCATCCCAGAAGCGAAAATGGCTCAGCATCATAGTTGCCACGAGGCTCAACCAGCCGCGAAGACTGGAACATTGTCGAATCTATCTCTATCAAATACAACCACCTCTGGTACCACCTCATCGTTGACCCACGAGAAATCGAAACACGAACCCGCATTCAAGTCCTTTCTTCTCGAATACGTCTTTCTGGACTAAAAATTACCGCTTGCCGGTATTGCAGGGTACGAGTGTAGGTCTAATATAGGTACTGACGGATATAACAAGCAACGAAGCTACTATCATTGAGGATCGTAGAACGTTGCGCAAACACAATACACAGCTGTCAAGTGTATCAATATCGATAGCCATGTAGCTGGCCTCTTTATAGGTACGGCAGGCAGGCAGACAGGCAGGCAGGCAGATGGATATGTATCATTAGATAAAGTAATGAGATGATACAGCATGAATACACTTCACATACTGTTCTTGACACTGTTTCATGCTCGCGTTACGTAGTCTGCCCAGAACATGAGGATATCAGAGTGTGAGAGCAGTTATCCTCTGATTGAAATTCTTGAACCTTGGCTTGACACGATAACGTCTACAACACGATGTGGAAGTGTGTTGTCTATACGTAGTTTTCAAGAGAGAGAAAAAGGTAGAGAAGAGTTGAAAAGAGGTGGAGAGAGAGGTAGGAAGCCCTCACCCTTCGTTCTCCGTCCGCTCACTCGGACCTTTCGACCCACAAAGCAAATCGATCTATGCCTCGATCTGAAGCAGTACTTTAATCCTAGACAAGCCTGGTAGTCTCTCACTTCGGGACAAACCTGCAAAGCTACTGAATGGTTTCGTTGGCTCAGTGAGTGGACGCGGAAAGGGATGAGAAATTTCAACATTATGGCAGCTGTGCCTATTAGAAGTCTGGAGTCAGTGTTGTTGGTTTATCGTTTGCGTAGATTGTGGCGGGAACGTGTAGATGTCTCGTGTTTTGTGGGAAATAGTACCAGCCCTCTGGCCTGGTCAACGAGAGAACGTGGAGAAATGAAAACAGTGCCACTGGTTGCTGGCTGAAGCACTTGCTCTCAAAGAACATGTCTTGAGACCATGGACATGAAATTGAACATCGAATTGGATTGCTCTCTATGACCTGTCGGACAGTAAAATCTCACCAAGATATTCAGTCTTCTGCTGAATAGATGACTTGACATGGAGCATGTACACCAAGAGCGCCAGACAAGTAAGCATAATATGGAAGTCTTTCAGGAGCACTCCAACCCATTCCTGGACGCAATATCTTCGAACGTTTATACCATGAAGCCAACACCGTAACTGCGATCGTATGAGCAACGGTCGAGACAGCGACGGACACTGGGCAAAACTTACATAAAAGTTGCTCAAAGTATTCGACACTTTTGTTTCTTCTTCTGTACAGGTGGTTCCAAGGCAGCAACGATGGCTTCATCGAACACGTCCTTTAGCTTGTACTGCGTTAACGCACTGCATTCCACGTATTTGACTGCACCAAGCTCTTTGGCCATTCTTTCACCGTCTTCTTTTTTTACAGGGGACATCTTCTGTCTTGACAGTTTCTCTCTGACCTGAGGGTCATCTCGTAAATCTGTTTGAGTGCCTACTATGAGGCATGGTACACCAGGACAGTGATGGTGTACTTCTGGGAACCACTTTTCTCGGACGTTTTCGAAAGAGGCAGGAGATGTGACAGAGAAGCAGACCAGGAATACGTCTGTCTGAGGATAGGACAAAGGTCGCAGACGATCGTAATCTTCCTGTCCTGCAGTATCAAAGAGTCCCAGAGTATATGGCTCGTCACCGATCCTGCCAGGCGTGTTAGCCAGGTGCATAATAATATTGAGCCGGTGTACACTCACATAACAGTGACGGCATAGTTATCAAAGACAGTGGGGACGTATTCCGAGGGGAATTTATTGGTTGTGTATGAAATGAGCAGGCAAGTTTTTCCTACAGCACCATCGCCAACCACAACACACCTGTATCTAGTCAGCTTATGATTCGCATGATTGTCCACTCGCAGGTGGAGTATTCGGCAGACGTACTTTATCGTTGCGACGACCATTCTGTTCTCGTAAGTTCACCGTCTTGCTGTATCGAGGAAGCTGTCCGGCAGCTGAACTAGCCTCTGCAGAACCAGGTGTACGAGATCGGATAAACTCGGGGACAGTCAAGCAATTCGTGTCTTCCACAGAGACTTCTTCGAGTTACAACGAGGATTTTTGGATCAACAAGAATGTGGGTAGTCTATCGAGATTCGGGCTCAGGTAGATCTGTGTAGTGAAGGTATGAAGTGGGCAGAGTGTCGGCCTTGAAAGCACGTGCCGATCGGACTATGGCGACGGCAATGTAAGAGTAGTGATAAAATGAAACTGCAATTGTGGCTGAGGAGTGCACGAGAAGTGTTTGGTGAAGGAAGGGCGGTCAGTATCGAGGAGGCGTTTAGAGTCCAGCGCCGGGGAGTGGTGATTATTGCTGCGCAGCAGGTTTTGGAAACAGTAACAGATCAGAATAAAGATACAGCGTCGCAAGGATGATCAGGAGCCGGAATACGATCCAGGGTTTCCAGAGCAGGGATTTATCAAAGTATAGAAAGATTGCAGTACTGTGGAAGGCGGATTTAGAAGAGAGGTAGTCGGCGGCCAGCAGTAGAATCCTACCTTACTCTGGACAAGCGCGCTGAATTTAAGCACAAAATACTCATTAGCCGTTGCGCCTACCAAGCATCAACGGCTTGGTCTTCACCCTTCTTTTCCCCAGGCATTAAGGACGGCACAAAACGTGGTTCGGGATTCGATTGTGCAAGCGCTTCACTTTCGAGTCGGACTGCACCTGCCCAAACTCTTTGCTTCACGAAGCCTACCTAGGTAAGGTAGTAGACAAGGATTTCATGTGATAGCCACGTAGGCAGCCTTTCAATCTCAACGTCTGAATGGAAACCTGACATGTAACAGCCACTCACAGCGACCCCATAAATCAAGATATGTACACTTCCGACGTGTACTTTGTGTACACTATACTTTATCGTGATTCGTCTATAAGCACGACTGCATATACTCGAGTTTCCAGCCAGGTCTGGCGATCTTGATCCATGTTGCTGCAAGATACTAACGAAAAATTGAGTTCCGTTCGCGATCTACAGCATTTGACCCTGGCCGTAAGCAACAATGTAGTATATGGCACAAGCTCGCTACCAAGTCTCATTTTTATTCCACAAATGCGCGAAGAAAAGATCAACCTGGATACGATTCAAGATGCTCCCTAAATGCCTTCACATTATTACTTATTCAGATGATCCATGCTCCTGCCATCTTGTCCAACTAAAGGCTGAATCTATATACACTCACTACAGAATGGTGACTGGGCAGGTCGGGTATCGTGTTGCTTTCGTTTTGATCAAAATGCCCATCTTTTAAGACAAGGTTGCAGCTCCGGCTGCGTCTAAATCACAAGTCCCCCCGCCAGTAAATAACAATGAAGCGAAGATTAAACAGGAACGATCCAACATTGCATCCATCGCATACCACCAAAACACAATGACCCGAATTACTATTCCGCAAAAATCACTTGGCACCTATCTCTTCTTCGAGCCATCCTGAAAGGCCCCCTCTCCCGTCATTGTTAATCAAGCCAAGACCACTGAACGTAGACGTCCCATAGTTGGTGTTGAACGCCGAACCAAATCCACCAAAACTGCCTTGTGGTGCGTGACCTCCAAAGGGTCTTGAGATGCTGAGATTCTGACTGGACTGTTGTCCTCCAAATTCTTGAGAAAACGCAGGAAGTGACACAGCGCGGGAGTGTGCTCCTCTGCTGGCGCCGAGACCAGTATTGGTGGGTGCTAGGAGTCCACCAACAGTAGTCGACGCACCAATATTATCGATCGAAGTGCTGTTCATACCAAAACCGCTGCTGATACTGCTCTGTCTAGGGACATGAGATGAAGATCTCGCATGATCAAGTCCAGTGTGGCCGTTAGGTATCTCGCCATATATCGCAGCGTGTTGACTCGCGAGAGCCTGATTCTGCTGCTGACGCAGAGTGCTGAAAGCTAGATCGTCTTCACGAGCGTCGTGTGCCATCTGTGATTGCTGCTGTGATACCTGGTTCAAGTACATGGTCAATGGATTGTTACCTCCTTGGTTCAATATGGCAGATGGGGTCGGTCCGGCAATGCCTGATTGCTGTTGAGGACGATGAATACCATTTGCTCTAGAACCTACAGGTGCCATCGACCTTGTCGGACTTGAGCCTGCATTTGATATGCCTGCATCAACGCCGTTGAGGCCCGCCGGAGAAGTGCCGTCGAGGCTGCCCAGGCGAGCCTGTTGTCCATTGGCATTGTTGTTGAGATTCTGTCGAGGAGGGTTACCACAGCGATCCTTGCCAAAATTGATCTTGAACCTCTTGTACTCGTCCCGACTTCTGATTGCCTCAATCGCCTTGATGGCATTTGCAATGTTTGTAAAGTTAACAAATGCACAGCTCTTCTCACGTAGTGTGTTGACCAACTCAATTTCTCCATACTCAGCAAAGTCCTGCCGTAAGCGGTCTTCCGTCCATGCCTCATCGAGATTGCCAATGTATACATTTCGAGAGGCACCCCCACTCACTGCCAATGCAATAGCTGGAGGAAGAGCTCCAGAATGTTTGCCCCATCCGATTTTCAACCTACGATTGTGAATCATCAGACCTTGCAAGTTGCTCAGGGCGTAAAAGGAAGCAGCTGATGTGGGATCGATGAAGGTTACGAAACAGATGTGCTTGTCTGGGATGTATCGAATATGGTGTAGTAATCCTCCTCTGACCACGTTGCAAATTTCTTCGATCGTGGTTTCGGGGTGAATGTTTCCGAGATATACAGTCCGATTGCCCAGATTGTTGACACCGCCGGCTGTAGTTGCGACAGCAGCTGCCGCTACCGACTGCTGTGCAAGTGCATTGGAGATGAGGTCGCGATCGGCACCATTGAGGACATGAGCATATCCAGGCGCGATGCCAAGGAACTGCGCTGCGTTTTGCTGCTGCGTTTTGGAAACGTAGGCGCATCGATCTTTGCCATAGAACACCCTGCGCGGAGGTTGCCACTTGGGGTCTTGTGGCAGCTGGGCAACTGCTTTGACGGCATTACCAATCGAGAGGAAATGAACAAAAGCGATGGCTTTCTCTGAAACCATCTTGACTGTATCTATAGGACCGAACTTGCTTAGATCAGCACGAAGTTCCTCCTCCGTAATGTCCTCTGGCAGGTTGCCAAGGTAGACATTTCGCGAAGCTCCTGATTGCTGAGCAGCAAGAGCGACAGAGGTGGGAACCTGTGAAGGCTTTCCCCAACCAATCTTGATATCGTGGCCTCTTATATTAAGCTTCTTCAGGATTGCATCCGAGTGAAAGTGGGTGGCGGAACTACTATCAAGGAAAGATATGAAGGCGCAGTTCTTGTCAGGAAGGAGTCTGACAGATTCAATCTGACCACTTCGGACATGGTTGAGAATCTCTTCAGCAGAGGTATCAGCAGGAATATTGCCTAGGTATACAGTCCTGCTAGTGGACATCATCCAGCTCTGGTTCATTGGCATTAACGGCTGGTATTGGTTGAACGTCTGGTTGCCCATGTTCGCGAAAGCATTGGGTGACTGAGGCGTGAAGGCTTCAGCGTTGACCATGTTCTGGAAAAGGGTAGGGGACATGGCGCTAACATTGCTCTGTACAGGGCTTCCTAAATGAGCTTGTCGGTTCTGTTGATACGATTGCGTCTGCTGATGAGGAGCATTGGTCGACTGCGGAAATCTGCTCAGGCTCGCAAACTGAGGTGAACCGAACACACCAGGTGAGCCAGGTTGGAATGGACTGCCCAGGAGGAGGCCCGATGGCAGCAGAGGAGTATAATTCATCTCGTATGCGGTTCCAGGAGTGTTACCAGTGGGACTAAAATCATGATTCATCTTCGGGTTTGTATCTATAGTAGAAATAGTGTTCTTTCTGGCACTATTGAAGCCATGGTATAACGCGTTATTGGAGGCGAACGCTCCATGTGAGAAGCCTGTAGTATCTTGACCAAACCTCGAATTGGAGTATCGATCACCATATGCACCGTTCGAAGATTGTTGGTTTTGCATTGCAAGCATATGAGGAGGAGATAGGATGTGAGAATCCTCGAGGATAGGGCCTAGGGTCGCCGTGGTTGCGGTAGTGGTGGTCCTGGTCTACGACAGACCGGACGCAGAGTTGTCGGAGAAAGGATGGATTAAGAAAGCGATAAGTCTGGATGTTTTCCTTCTCGAGCGCTTCACTGCTTTTCCAATACCATAAATTCAAATCAAACAGGACACGAACTCGAGCCAGACGAAAAAAACGGGTGAAAAGGCGCTTGGAATTAGTGGCTGCTCGATGGCCTTGCTGTCGGGGTGAAGGGATGGGATGAGATTCGATAGCTGCAAACGAGGGTTGGATCAGGCTCAACAGGTGAATAATAAACAATAAGAATGCAGGTTCAAGGTTATTGAAACGAAGGGCAGTTGATGCCGTACAGTGCACAGCAACAACTCAGGGTAAGAAACGAAGGTAGTAGATAACGAAGGTGGGCAATGAAGAAGTCAACAGTGAAAGTACTCGAGAAATGAATTCGAACGGACTGGGTAGAGGAGGATATGGTCTGTCGTAAAAGACGGACATGAAGCTAGGGCAATCTCGTGCCTGCACGACGCGCGCTGCCGTGATCCATCGCTCTAACTGGCTTGAGACCATTATTGGTCACCATGATTGTTCTGTACGATTCGTGCAATTCACTTGTTGCCGAAGGATCGCAGAAACTCTGGTACGAATTCCGACAGCTTTGAATCTGGCAAAAAGTTGGTAAGATGTTCGTGTCTAACAATACAACGACGAATATCTGGAGTGTTTCGTGCATCTGTTTAGGAAATTAGACTGTCTACACCACTAGCGGCAGACTGAGGGACCTTGCACGGATTAATTACTTGCGGTACCTGACTAGCACTATTTGGGTTGTGGGCGTGTCAAAGCGTTCCAAGGCTGCACCGGGTCCGCAGGGCGTCATTCCGCTTGCTGCAAGGCTTATCGTTCTTTTCCAGAAATTATTGTTGTTGCAGTGCGGCCCCTCCACGATAGTAATTGTCGGTGTTCCTGCACTCTGTACTCTGAATACTACGAGTACGTAAGGCCACAAATAATCAGCTCACGAAACAGACTAAATCTACCTGTATTAGAGAAAGCCTGACTCAAAACACTTTGCTGGCCCGCTCATTTCGACTGTGAGTGAGTCACGAGCAGAGGATATAGGGCGTTGTGGAACGAAGCAGTTTCTTACAAACCTGTCCCTCGTTCTGTGAGAAAAAAAATATGGCTGAACCTTACTATGTCGACGAGGTGGCTGGCAGGGACGATGATAGTGCTGTCGGTACACCAACTGCACCCTATCAGACCTTGCTCTTCGCAATGAAGATGCACCCACCCGAGTCTTCTTCCTACCTGGTAAAGAAAGCTTCTGCTGCCGATGAGGCTGCCGAGTACAAGAACGCAAGCGACACAGCATTGAAGAAGGCCAAGAAGATATATGAGGGCTGGAAGCGCAAGCAGGACAAGAGCTCTGATCTCGAAATCAAGGCAAGAGAGGAGGAGATGAGAAGACTGGCCATCCTCGAGGAAGCCAAGAAGGTCGTCCTCGACGAAGACTCGTCACTTCCAGCAGCCAAGAGAATACGTCTCGACGAGACTGAAGGTGTTACACTAGGTACTGCTGATAAGCCTGGAACAAGAGTGAAGGTCTTGGGTCGCGTCCATCGCTCGCGCACGCAGAAGGAGGTCATGTTTATCACACTCAAAGATGGCTATGGACAAATGCAGGTCGTCTTTGGGGGTCAACTGATCAAGACCTACGCTGCAATGACCCTCACGCTGGAAACTTCAATCGAGATTAAGGGCCAGCTACGTGAGCTCCCACCAAAGGCCAGTGCTCCCCTCAATCGCGAACTGCACGCAGACTACTTCCGTATTATTGGCGCTGCAGCTGGAGACAAGGAAGCCATAACCAACAAAGTCCAGGCTGATGGTGACAACCAGACCCTCCTCGACCAGCGCCATCTTGTGCTTCGTGGTGACAACGCCTCCAATGTCATGAAAGTTCGAGCAGCCGTCCTTCGTGCCTTCCGCCAAGCGTACCTGGAAACACGCTGCCTCGAAGTCGCACCACCGTCGATGGTGCAGACTCAGGTCGAGGGTGGTGCTACCTTGTTCGGTTTCAAATACTACGACCAAGAAGCATACCTGACACAATCGTCACAACTCTACCTTGAGACTTGTCTACCTAGCATGGGAGATGTCTTCTGCATCTGCCCTTCCTTTCGAGCTGAGCGTTCCCTTACCCGCCGCCATCTAGCTGAGTACATGCACATAGAGGCAGAGCTCGATTTCATCACTTTCGACGATCTACTCTCACACCTAGAACACGTCATATGCAGAGTCGTCGATCTAATCCTTGCCGATCCAGTAACAGCAGCCTACGTCAAAGATCTCAACTCCAAATTCCAGCCTCCCTCCCGACCTTTCAAGCGTATGAAGTACGCGGACGCAATCGAATGGCTCAACGAGCATAAAATAGACTTTGACGACGACGAACTCCCCGAAGACGATCCGCAGCGCAAACGACCCCACAGATTCGGCGACGATATAGCTGAGGCTGCCGAGCGCAAAATGACGGATATCCTCAATGTACCGATCTTTCTCACCCATTTCCCGGCTGAAATTAAGGCATTCTACATGAGTCGGGATCCTGCAGACCGACGTGTGACAGAGTCGGTAGATGTCCTCATGCCCAACGTTGGAGAAATAGTAGGCGGAAGCATGAGAATATCAGACTACGACGAGCTGATGGCCGCTTATAAACGCGTTGAGATTGATGCTACACCGTATTACTGGTACACGGATCAGAGAAAGTAAGTTGATACATACCCATTTCTTTGCGGTCGTTCGATGAGCGATGCTAACACACTATCTGCAGATACGGCACTTCGCCTCATGGTGGATATGGTCTCGGCCTTGAACGATTCCTGGCCTGGCTCTGTGACAGACATACTGTCCGAGACTGTGTCCTGTACCCGAGATTCGTTAACCGTTGCACGCCTTGATCGCGACAATCACATTCTACGTCTTCGACCCTGGGGCTTTCGATCTCTTCGGCGGATATTGCATATGATAACGACCTTGGGGACTGAACTTTGCCACTGAGCGAGATCTCGTCTCTCAAGCAGTCTTAGGAAGATTTTGCTGTAGAGTATTCAAGTGGATTGATTTAGTAATGGTCAGTCCTGAGATCTAGGAGACCCCAAGTGAGAAGAAGCTGCACGCCAAGCGCAAAGCAAGAATGATGGAACGATTTCGATGATAGACATGAGGCGTGCGTAGATCTGCATTCCTTCCTAGAAGCACGTGGCAGCACGTATCGAACTAGACGCAGACATCCAAAACCATTGTGGAGCAACAGTACTGCATCTCAATTGTCCCATACCTTATCTAGCAGCTTGTTTGTGTTCCCCTGCTCCTATGTCGAACGACGATGCCGACTACGTAGCAAAACCACTAAGTAAAAGGCTATGTTGCACACGTTATCTTTGCTTGTAGCGTGGACGAGTCAATACTAGGAACAGGTGGCCCTGCCTCGACAGCCCCAGCCATAATGTCACACGAAAACGTGGAGATCCCATTTTGGGAAGCAACAGTAGTGTTATATGTTTTGGTATAAACCAGGCTGCTAAGTCTGTCTCCTTCGCTTTAGCTGTCGTGTTGTGGAAGTACAGAAGCGGCCAGACATTGGATGTTGCGTGCTGTAGAGGTCGAGTTGGTGCCGTTGGATAGCAGGTACACAAGGAGAGAGGCAGCCTACCTAGACATAGGGCCTTCCAGTGAACTTTTGGTCCCTGCTCGTTCGTGTCTCCGTTGCATCGACCTGTGGCGACACGACAGCAAGTCGGCAGGTCAAGTAGTAAGTGAGAATCGCTAGTCCTGCAGATGGGCCAACATGGCAACAGGAGAGTCGTGCATATGTGACGCATTTCGTCGCGTCGAGCAACGTCTGGGATACATTGCTCAAGTCTCGCGTTTCAAAGGTATGTTGTAGAAGCTTATCTTTGACAGTGTGAAAGGCCATCCTTTCGACCAGTAGGATGTAACAATCGTTCATGGCTTGCAATACAGTTCCGACAGCAGGCTGTCCACATGGAAGGTCTTCGGAAGGAAGTCACGGTGCACAAGTGGCTGCTGTGGCGTGTCAAGCTTACCAAGTATGCGTTTCTTGTATATCAGAAGCCAGCATGTGTATACGTCCGCTTATCTGTAGCCACACAGCCATCGGCTTGCCGGAGCGAGGCTCGGATGATCGACGCCATGAGTTGTCAAAAGTCTGGCTATACAGTATCAGCATGCAGCTGCAGGTCTTGATGATCCGGATTGGTCGGTTTCCTGTTCGCAAGCATGCACGGTACTTGCTTGAAAATGACACGACATTGTTTTCACGCCACACTTCAGGTATAATCGCGGTGTCGATGCAAGCCACGTTTTCGAAAGGTCGGGATGATTGAGTTCTAGAATCAGTTTAATCGTCCATGATTTTGGCAGACAAGAAGTCTTACAACCAGCGTACCTGCTGCGAGACTTCAATGCAGGGCTATAGCGTGGTTCCGCCTGTCGTGTAACTCGAGACGCACATTTGATGCAAGGCAATCTGCATGCATAGCCGACGAACTTAAGTTGAACCAAGGATTCGATCATGGCGAACCTCCGTGGTATACGTGGTTGATCGTGTATTGATTGCACCGAGCCTCTGCTTGGGTCACGGAGATATAGCTTCCTGCATTTCCCGAACGTTAGAGGTTGAATGTCTCACCGCTCATTTTGCGAACAAAACGGCAGGATCGATGACCATGCCACAGTACAGCATACCCTTTGCATTCGTAGTGGCTGCTGTATGAGTCGCACGTGGTTCAACCTGTGGAAGTCCATAGTGGTGGAGAGAGTATAGAAATGTAGCATACGCGTATAGTATGTGCATGCAGTATGCAGGTCAAACGAATTAATCAGGACGCGCTGCCACCATGGTGCTACGATGGTGGAGGAAACTCCCTAGGCCTTCTGAGCCCATGTGAACGTTTCGATAACCCAAAAACATTCGAGCCATCGCAGTAAGGAAACTGAGAGAACAACACATCTGCGAGTGTTCCAAGCCAATTTCCACGACTTGTTAGCTAGACGGAATTGTTCCTTTTGGGTCAGTAAACAGCAGCGTGCTCGACGAGAGCAGGAGCCGAGGAGCCGGTCCTTCCTTTGCAGTCATTAGATGCAACCATTATTTATGTAGCCCAATTGATGTGAGGCGAGTCGAGCCATTACATGCAACCCGCGATTTGGGGAGTTACTTGCGGACCTGTCCGATGATTCGGATCTTGTTATCTGGCTATTGAGTCATCCAACAAAGCGAGCCGAAAATACCCAGCTTTGAAAATATCCGCCGCTACTGCTTTGTTCTCGGTCCGCGATTCGAAACGACCTTCGACTGGTACCGATGGATGTCTCCATAGACCAGTCAAGACCTCGATCAGGTTCGATCTGCGCACTTGTAGGCACAGAAACGTGTGGTGTGCATGGATCGTTCAAGGAACATCCACATGCCGCCGATGCCACTTGCATATCGAGCCAACAACTTTATTTTCGTGTGCAGCAGATTTATCATCAGAACACCCAAATCAAGCCTCCTTTCTGCTATATAGCAAATCTAGCTGCTTCCAGGCAGTCCACAAACGCGTCTTTATTTCAGCTCTACGCACGTTGTTTTGTTCCCAAACTCAACAATCCATGGCGTCATGATCGCAGAACCAAACATTCTAACTTTATCGAAAGTTTCCCTTGGTCCTGCTAGAGCCATCGGTACTACTTGGAAAGTTTCTAGTTGAGCATGTGTTGATTGTCGAGGCCTTCAAAATACAGTCGTCCCTCGACTGGTCCACCTTTGCAGTAGCTGTAACTTGCAACGAGATTGAGTATAGAGAAAGAGCGCAATTCAGGCGTGGCAAATACGAGCAGCCGGTGCTGGGCTCAATTACTGTGATGGCGACCTTAGGGAACGGGTGTCTTTTAACACCCCTAACACCATCAATGCCGATCTGTCCACCTATTGTTGGAAGCATCGAGGCACTGCCAGCAACTCCGCCTGAGAGCGTTGAGCTTTGTGTGGCTGAGGGTTCAGCTCAACTTGATACCAGCTCGATCAAAAAGGCACTACATGTGGTAGCCACCGAGCGAGATGCACTGACGAACCTAGAGAACATATATGCAAGGTCTACAACGGCTCAGTCAGCTCTCTCCAAATCCATTTCCTCGATACTGTCATCTCAAACACAACGCGGAAAAGTTGTTTTCACGGGTGTAGGCAAATCAGGATGGATTGCGCAGAAGCTGGTGGCCACTTTTAACTCACTGGGTGTGGTTGCTCAGTTCATGCATGCGACCGAGGCTTTGCATGGTGACCTGGGACTGATTCGCCCGAACGACGTTGTGATCATGGTCACGTACTCGGGACGGACACAAGAACTGCTCACACTTTTACCTCACATCCCCTCGTATATTCCTTTGATGGTCATAACGTCCCATTTGACGTCGGAGACATGTCCATTGTTGACGCATCCTCGTCGTAGAGGATGTGTCAATATACTCTTACCAGCACCTGTACACATATCAGAAAAAGAAACGTTCGGATTGTCAGCACCAACTTCGTCGACAACCGTGGCATTGACGCTCGGAGATGCTATAGCTCTGGCAATCGCCGAACAGCTGCACAAGGCCTCCAACCTTACACCTGCAGCAGTATTCGCGACCAATCACCCGGGAGGTGCCATAGGAGCTGCGAACACTGAACCTCGAATGTGCGATCTCGCAGTTAAGGTTGATGATATTGAGGCTGTGGCACATTCGAATATCAACGATGTCAAAGGTCTGGACGTCTTGCTCTCGGCTGTCAGATCTCCCGGCGGATGGGTGAAGCTTTCATCGAACCACGTTATAGCCCCACGACGCTGTCAGAGGCTGTCGGATCCGAGCCTATTGGTAAGGCATTTTTCAGACGACCGAGGACCATTAATAGTGGAACAAACAGACTGGATCAGTATCGCCTGGGATTGCACAGTTGAGGAGTGCAGACAATGGATTGTGAGGATGCGTACAGAAGGCGACGCCAGGGGTCGCTACTTCTTGAAACCTGGTACTATTCTCGGGATTGTTGACCGTCAAAGCCAGAAGAGCGGGCTGGTTGAGATCGAGGACGTTGTGGGCGAGGATTTTTGTGGGACTTTATAATCAAATATGCAAGTACGGCAGGAGCCAGGAAAGCATGAAGGAGCGTTCGCACCTGGAGTTGAAATTCCTTTCTTTTGATAGATTTTGATACCATTTCTTGGACCGATCTCTGAATGAGCAACAATCAACCGTACCAGTCGTCTTCTTCATCGTCATCTGACAACTCAGCTTCAACCTCTTGAGTGGGCTCCGCTGAAACCTCGTCGTGATTTGTATGCCGTTCCTCATCTGGAGCAATCGAGTGTTCGGTGGTTGTGTGGTTGCTTCGTAGTGCTTCACGACGAGCTCGTAGTCGATTCACACGGTCCTCCATCTCTTCCATAACTTCAAACTCCTCGAACATCCTGTTGCTTTCCTCTTCTTTCTCGACTTCTGCCTCGTCTTCCCTTTGTTCAACGCTATTTTGCTTCTGCCGGTCAGCTAGGTCCGCGGCAGAGACGGGAGCTGCCTCGATTGTAGCGCCGGCGGCGTAACTTGGTTGTGTCAACGGGGCGACTTCTTTCTCGAACGCAGCCCATTCGTCCTCGTCGATTGGTGGTACTAGTGGTGGCTGAGGTTCTGGGTCCTCAACTGGAGGAACGTGTCTGGGTTCTGGTGCTTCTGCGTCCTGTACTGTCGCCTCATCTACAGTAGTCTCTTCTGTGATGGGGACATCGTGTTGAGGGACGACTTCCTGGGCAGATGCTTTGGGCCTCTTTCTGGAATCCACCTCATAATTACAAGGTACTTCTTCGTCGTCCTCGACACTATCGATCTTCCTTTTCGCGGTTCGTGCTACTGGTTGCTCTGGCTGTTTCTGTGCTGCCTTTCTGTGGTTCAAAGACTTGAGGTGTCCAGGCCACAATTGTTCTGACTTGACATTTAGATTGCATACATTGCAGAGCAAAGCACCGTTCTTCGTATACGTCAAGTGAGGGTGGGAAATACGTCGGGACTGTCTCTCTGCAGCTAGCAAAGCTCTCACGTCGGTCATAGTCGTTGCTGCGATAGGCTGCCGATCACATATGGCTTCGCGAAGGTGTGATCGTGTTGTTCTCTCTGCTTGTTTGACAACGCGAGAACATGATGCCTTGACATAATCACCACGCGGTTGCAACTTGAATGGCACCAGTATTCATGCCTGAGGCGACAAGATCTTCGTTTACCACATCTGTTCATGAAGATTTGCCTCCTAGAGGGTTCGGGAAATCGAGATATACGGCAAGTATGAAGTGTTCCGTAGTCAAGGCGTAGTCACAGCCCTAGGCTCCGACATCTCAAATTTGCCGGTCAAACCACTCCAAAGACCATTGAAGTAACGGAAAGTTCTTTGATGCCGACGAGCCAACCCACTGCTCGTTGACTGCTCACAGTCGTTTCCAGTCTTCACTCAATCTCTCCTCCTCACCTCAAGCACGGCGCGCATAACCTCGCCTCTGCGCATAGATTAGGGCTTGGTCTTTGGTCTCAATCAGACTTGGGTCTTCTATCTTAGAGACTGGACGTGCGATCGAGCTCAGGGTCGTACTGGCAGAGTGGTCGCGTTGAGCTCTGGATTTCTTTCCCTCGACTTTGTAGCTTTTCAAGCGAGCCTGTATTCCGCTCAGCTAGTGAATCAATCTTCTTGAGAAAAACGCGTATACAGCATGGCAGGCGAGTTACACCTGGTTGGCGCAAGCGCAATGTCGTAACTACAAACGCTAACATCTGTTATAGACGAACCACGCCGTTCAGGTCGCGCGACCAAAGGTGTGCATACAAAAGATCGCGAAGACTCCGATGGTGCGCCGAAGCAAAAAGGCAAGGCCAGTAAAAGCAAGAAAGGCAAAGCAGAACCGGAACCGGAGGATGATGAGCAGGACGAAGAAGAGAATGCTTACATTCGCTGCATCTGTGGCAAATATGAAGAGGAAGAAGAGGAACCACGAGCCATGATCTGTTGCGACAAGTGCGATGCGTGGCAGCACAACGACTGCATGGGATTGCCCGAAGATTATACGCCATCCAGCTACTTTTGCGAGCAGTGCAAGCCTGCGAATCATAAAGAGCTTCTAGCAGCAATAAAGAGAGGTGAGAAGCCATGGATCGATGCTGAAATTCGCCGGAATCAAGCCAAGGAAGAGAAGAGTGGCAAGAAAAAGGGCAAGAAAGGTGGACGCAAATCCGCTGCTCGTGCTAGCGACGCGAACCGCACACCTACGATTGAGCCAGACGAGGCAGCTGTTTCCAAGAAGAGAAAGGCTGAAGAATCACCAGCTCCTCCCGAGGCTATGAAGGTAAGTCGAGTCCATTGGGTTTTTGTCCGTCGCTAATACGTCCACAGCCAAAACGCGCCCGGTCAAGCCTTCGAGAAAGTACCAATGGCCCGAACGAGGAAGAAAAACCTCCAGTAGAAGATCAGAATGAAGATGTCATGGAAGAAGATTCGATTTTCGTGGACGTTGCAAAGGACCCCAAGGAGATCACTGATTCTTATCGTAGCAAAATAGCCACGAACATTGTCAGGTTATTTAGCGACCAAGCAAATAACCTGGTGCAGCAGAAAGCTATAGACCTTGCCAAAGGCGAGACTGCTAAGGGCCTCGGCACCCAGATTGCGCTTCATGTCGAGCACGCAGTATACCACGTTCGTTCTGGTGGCTCAGGAGAGCCTAGTGAGGCCTACAAGGAGCAGATGCGCAGTATACTCAACAACATCAAGACAAACCCTGATCTAGCAAAACGCTTGATGAGCAGACAACTGCGTCCAGATGAGCTCGCGGCTATGGACCCGAAGGATATGGCTACAGAGGAGCAGAAGCAAAAGGACTTGAAAGAGAAGGAAAGAATGGACAAACAGCACGTACTTATTGAGGAGCAGACTCAGGGTCCAAGAGTCAGGAAGACACATAAAGGCGATGAATATGTCGAGGGAACAGATGTAGGGCGGGAGATACCAGAGACGCCTCCACGTCCGCCATCGCCGAAACCTGTCGCAGCCGAGCAGAAACCAGAGATGAAAAGCCCAACGCCAGCGGATAAACCATCGATTATGCGCAAGCCTTCGGCCTCGACTAAAGGCAAACCATTTGGCGACAATCGAAGGAAGTCTTCCTCAAACTTTGACATTGACAAAGTCTACGCAGGAGTACAAGCTTCACCTGTGGACGCAGAGGGACCAAAGTCTCAAGTTGCTGGAGAAGGATCGCCTCTGCTTAGCACAGCCGCAGAAGCAGATCCCGAAGTCGATCGCCTTCTTAGAGACGAAGACAATGAATCAGCACCTTACTCACCCAAGGAGTTTATCGACGAGGACGTTGTTTGGCGTGGACGAGTCGACGGTGGTAGTCTTGGCACATTTAATACAGTGGCACGATTTGCAGCCGGATGCTTGCCCAGCGTTGATAACCTGCGCATGTCATGGGATCAAGTCGTACCTTCCTCGATCAAATTGCATGGCCGCATACAGCCAAGTAAGGCAGATGAGTACTTGTGTGGCCTCGAATACAGCAATACCACTGAGCTCATCATTGTCAATTTGATTGAGCCCAAGGACTCTGAGAGCAGGGAGGAGTTCTCAAAATTCTTCAATTACCTCAAGTCCAAGGAGCGATACGGAGTTGGCAGTCAACATCAAGTGCCAGCCATCAAGGACATATACTTCCTACCAATGGAGGTTGGACAGTCCTTGCCAACGGTCATGAAGGCTCTCGATCATACTTTGCCTGATCCAGCAACCGAAAGGTCGCTCCTGCTTCCTATCGTTATTAAGTGGACAGAACTCCCACATAATGCCGAGAAGGTGAAACAGATGAACCAAGCAGCACAACTTCTGGCCTCACAAAGTCCAAATCCTGGCCATCATGTAGCCCAAACTCCAATCACACCACACGAGCCACAAATCATGCAACTCGATGGTACATCGTCCTACTCAGGACTACCAAATCCAACGGCGACCATTAACGGAGGAGCCGCCTCAATGCCTCGTCAGCAATCAACACCAACACCTGCACAACAAGGAGCTTACTCTACACCACCTCCCCAGGCGCAAACGCAAACACAACAACCTCAACAACAAATCCACCACCCTCTCCAGCAGAGTGAAGCGCCCGCCGCCAAAAACGCAATGAAAATCCTCGGTCCCGAAATGGCTGCAGCTCCTGCAGTAGTAGAGCTGATCGCCACGGCGCCAGGTGCCGGAGAACTAGAATTCGAAATCATCAAGGAGTGTATTACGGAGAACTCTGAGGCGGGACGTAGGTTAGATGTGCTCACGCATATGTTGCAATTGAAGTACCAGAGTCAGAGGAGTAGTCAGCAGAGTGGCGGTGGTGGGACACCAGCGCCGACGACGCCTGCTGGCACGTAGTACAACACTTAGATTCTGAATTCTGAAATGTTTCTACAAGAGAGAAAGAGAGGATTGTACGCGATATTTTTATGTATCGTTCATGTAGCGTACTTGTCAGGCTGTTGAGCCGTTGTGAATAATTCGATTCATTAGTTGATGGTGTTGTACGAGTAGCTGCAATTTTATTATCCTAATATCTACTCTTTCAATAGTTTAGCAGCACTGGGTTACAAGACGCAACATCATTTGAACCACTACTTGCCATAGTTTTTACTGTCACAGGTTGTGGAAGATCTATCATGACAATTTTCGATCCTGTGCCCACTGTTATGCAATATAATGAACCTCAGCAGCGGCACCCGAGCATTCTCGTTGACTGAGTCACATTCCCTTATATATACATGAGCCTGAAGCCAAAGATTGAAGTACATAGCCAGACAGAACAATTCTTTTCGGACATAAATCATCCATAGTTACAACCGTGGATGAAGTCCCGATCGCCAGTTCTAGTCCTCCCCAGAACGTTGGGAGTCGCTGGTTGTAAGAGCTTTAATTCTCGTCGCTGCCTCAGCTCGTCGCTCAAAGATCCTCCTGTTCTCGTCGCAGGCTCAGCGCCAACTCGAGCTTCTCGTTCTTGGACAGAGTCACTTCTTACTCCATATCAACAACACCTCCCAACGCCTTGATCGTGTCCACTATCTTCGTCCCTTCCTCCTTTGTCACACCCTCCTTCATCACCTTTGGTACACTCTCCACGAACTTCTTTGAGTCGATCAAGCTCAAGCCCAGCATCGATTTAACTTCCTTGATGATCTTGCTCTTTGCGGCCGCATCGAATGATTTCAGCTTGAGAGTGAAGAGAGACTTCTCGGCTGGAGCAGGCGCGGCTTCTTCTTCTGGTTCTGCAGCAGCGGCGGCAGCTCCGCCGGCAGGAGCAGCAGCTGCGGGAGCACCGAATGAGATATCGGGAATGTTGAGGCGCGACTGGAGATGGAGTGTTAGTAACTGTTTGAGAAGTATGAATGGACACGTATAGATTCAGAGCAAGACTCTGTAGCATCTCCAACGTAGGATCACACTGCTTGCAACACAGGAGAATATGTAGACTTCTGTCACGGTTCCCAGCCCGATGCTAATGTGTTTATGGGCTCTCGAGTTCATACCTTCAAGCTTGCAACTAGATCCGCCGTCTCAAGCAGAGTCAACTGGGATATCTGATCGACTATCGTCGAAATCTTGGGATTCGAAGCCTGCGCGGCATCTGTACTCTGGCATCTCCTCTGCCTTGTTTGTGACTGCTGTGAGGTGATGCGTAGACATTGTGATGATAGGGAGTGTGGCTGTCGTGCAATGCGCTGGCATGCTCGTGTCACCGATCGTGCTGGAGTAGATGCCGACATTGTGACGGTGAATTTGAGGAGGACGAGATTGGATAGTCGACCGTAGGATAGGATGGTCGTAGTTGCTGTTGATGAGCTTTCGAGTTCGAATTGCTCGACTTTCTTGTCGCGCAGGGAAGTTCTGTTCTCCGATTGGAGGATGGACAAGGGCTTGGCGGTTTGCAGGAGTCTGACGGACGAGCCTCCAGGGACCTCCATCGGGCTGCTTTCTCCTCAGCTGGAGCGGAGCCAAATTCGTGCAGCGCCAGGAGTGCATAACTTTTGCAAGTAATTGAACATGTGTAGCACTCGACTATTGACGGCCTCCTACGATCTCTTACACAGCAGTCCGCTGCATTGAAATCGCCATGTGTACGTTATTGCGACGAGCTTTCGGGTGAAAAGCGGGCATTCGACATGGCGCAAGGACTCTTCACACTGCTGAGCCTATGCGTGGTGATGGCAGCAGCGTCTTTTCTTGCGGGAGTACTACCATTAGCACTCAATCTCTCTTCGGCACGTTTGAGGCTTGTTTCGACTATTGGTATGGGAGTTCTGGTGGGGACATCATTGATTGTCATCATTCCAGAAGGTGTCGAAACCCTCTACAGCTCGCAGACAGCGCATGCGCATACAAGGCAATTGGTGATACGATCAATGGCTGTCGAATGGTCGCATGGACATGCAGCTCCAGCTTTCACCAACCTCGATATGCGCACCGAATCCCTCGACAATCTGGGTGCGCTAGGTCCTGTCATACCAAGCACGAACGATTTCCCTCCTCCCAAAACGCCCACTGAAGACGGAGTTGTTGGAATACTAGAGGACAATGGGAAGACGAGCAGCCAAGATCAGACTAAAGATGACCACGAAGAAGCACATCATGCATGGATCGGAGTCGCTCTCATTGCAGGGTTCATACTCATGTTCTTGATAGACAAGCTGCCACAGTATACTACATCTAGCAAGCCACAATCCCATACCAGGCATATCTCCTTGACCAGCCTCGGTCGAAGATTCAATCTTACCACATTGGACAGACAGGAAGAAGAAGATACTTTCCTCGACACAGCACAGCCTAGCGCAGAGCCTACCGACCGTAGTTCTGCTACAACCATTGGACTGGTCATACATGCTGCTGCAGACGGCATAGCGTTAGGTGCTTCCTCCTCAACCTCAAATACCGGTCTGAGCTTTGTCATTTTCTTCGCAATAATGGTCCACAAAGCGCCCGCCGCATTCGGGTTGACATCCGTCCTGCTCAAGCAAGGTCTTTCCAAGCGGATGGCGCGAGCACATCTGATCATCTTCAGCCTGGCTGCACCAGCTGGAGCCTTTCTTACCTATTTGTTGGTCAATACACTGGGAGGAGGATCGGCAACAAACACACCACAAAACTCACAATGGTGGACCGGTATGCTGTTGTTGTTCTCTGCAGGAACTTTCTTGTACGTGGCAATGCACTCGATGCAGGAAGTCACTACTCCGACACGAAAGGAGTCTTTCGGGAACGGCGCTACTAATGGTAGCATACACGAAGGAAGAGAAGCCGCTATACAGGAAGACAAGCCGTCCATAACAGACATCGGTGCGGCTGTCTTTGGGATGATTCTACCATTGTTTCTGCAGGTTGGTCATGCACATTAAGAGAGACATAAGACAGGTCCTGTATGACACAAGTAGACTGATTAGCCTTTATTAATACTTTGACACGCCTACTGGTTTCTACTGTGCTAGTATCGATATCCGTCGTTTTGGTGACTAACAACCAAGCACATAGGATACATGCCAGGCAATTGTACTTGCAATATCCTGGACTCACATACTTGTCGCTTCGAGGCAGTAAGTTGCAAGGTCAACTTGATGTTGGTACGAGCAGAGTAAGGACTATTTGTGTGTAACCGAACATTCAACAATGTGGTCCATTTCGAGGCTGTGCTCTTTGCCCTCTGGTTCAAACCAATTCTCTCCGAACCACAGTTGACGCTGAGATAACACAGGAATCATACACGTCAAAGCTCGAAGACTACATTGTGCTGCTGGCCAGGGATATGTATAGTAAGTCGCCAGGTACTTTTTGTTATGTTCAAGTAGGCAACATGGCAACATGGCAACATGCAGTGATGGCGCAATCACCTGAATGTTCAAACTCGTCGCGCCTTCTGACGTGATGTGATGTGATGTGATTTGGTCGCTCTGCCGGACCTGCAGGCTCTCAGGTCGTGTCCATAGAGGCAATATTGGTCAGTCCTTTGGGTGCTCAGAACCACTCTGCACTCTGCGGCAATCATGCGGCTTCCAGCCAGGAGTCAGGAGCGGCCGGGCCAGCCTCTGAACCTGGTCGCAATTGCTACGTCCTTTGAGTCCTGCTGATCGACGTGACCCCAAATCACCAGCTGCAAGCGACTTTGCTCAACGGCATCAAAAATACCACTACCTTTCACACATATATCGACGGGCTTTTGCTACACGACGAGCTTGCATAATTAAGTCGAAACCTTTGCACTTTCCTAGAACTACCGGGTCAGCCGATCCCAGAAGGGAACCACTGCTCCCTCGTGGAAGACACCAGTCGCATAGTGTACCAGATTACACTTGCTCACTTGTTAAGCAGAGTCTATTCTCTCCAACCGAGTCCTACATCATCTATTTTCCGCAATCGAACATGCGGTAGCGCATATCTCGAGCCAGCTCTTTGTGAAGACTATATCAGCACGAATCACAACATTCCAACCACAGAAGGAGTCGGCTTACTCTGCTCTAGCTGGGCACTCAGTACTACTATCCGGTGGTTGATGGCAAGCTGCCACCATGGACCTTGACGAACAGCCTGAGAGTGATATACTGCAGCCCATCTCACCTGTCGCAAGACACATTCCGGTAGACCACGAACTGCTCGAGATCCGCTCGGGCTCGTCACAACACCACAAGCGACACTCGATTGCTTCTGACTCTGATTACCAACTGCCTGCGCCTCATCCGCCCCCTACGACCAAGTCGCGTCCTTCAACGTCTGGATCAAGACGTATATCTACCGCTGTTCATCCAGTACTCCCAATCAATATGCTTCCTTCAGCGCCTGCTTCTCCTCCTACTCCTGCACCGTCGCCAACTCCCTTTCAGCGCCAGTTGTCCTGGGCTGAGGCAGGTCCTGATGAAGATGCCGTGTTAAGGGACACAAGACATCATTTCCTGCGTCTGAACGATTCTCAAAGGCAAAGGTTTTTGGCCGAAGTGCTCAACATGTGTACTAGCAATCAGTTGAGCTTTGTTTCGCAATTCGTCTCGCCGAGATTAAAAAAGGACCCCTTTGAGCATCTCCCGGACGAATTGTGTTTGAGGGTAGGAGACCTAATTTCTTCGGTACATTAGTAAGGCTAACGTTCACAGGTTTTGTGCTTTATCGACGAGCCGCGGAGTCTAGCCAGAGCATCACAGGTCTCACAACGCTGGCATAAGTTGGTCAATGACGATATGCTGTGGAAAGAAATGTGCATGAAGTATGCATACAGAAAAGCCCCGGCCTCCGTCGAGTCGGACCTTTCGCCAAGATCGAGTCACAACCATCCATACAATGTTCCTTCGCGAAACAAACGAACGATTGACGGCGACCCAATTGGTCCGTCTTCGAGTGCACCCAGTTTGGGTTTGTCTATGAGCGAACCTTCTTCACCCGTGTCGAAGAGCAAGAAGAGGATGCAGTCACAGTCACATTATCTACACTTCCGCCACAAGTATATGATCGAGGCTGCATGGAAGAGAGGTGGCGTATGCAAACCGCATTTCATTACTCCTGATCAAGGTGTCGTCACAAGTCTACATCTGACTGATCGCTATATTGTCGTGGCTCTAGACAACGCAAAAATACACGTATTCAATACTCAAGGCGAGCACCAAAAAACGCTTAAGGGGCATGTGATGGGAGTGTGGGCCATGGTTCCATGGGATGATATCTTGGTCAGTGGAGGGTGTGATCGAGACGTCAGAGTATGGAATATGGCTACCGGAAGAGCCGTGCATGTTCTGCGAGGTCATACGTCGACAGTTCGCTGCTTGAAGATGTCCGACTCAAAGACAGCAATTTCTGGATCTCGAGATACGACCTTGAGAATTTGGGATCTCGATAGTGGAATATGCAAGAACGTCTTGGTTGGACATCAAGCCAGTGTACGATGTTTAGCCATCCACGGAGATACTGTAGTGTCTGGCAGCTATGACACGACTGCAAGAATCTGGAGCATCTCCGAGGGCAAGTGCTTGAAGACCTTGTCCGGTCATTTCAGTCAAATCTATGCCATTGCATTTGACGGCACTCGCATAGCTACCGGCAGTCTCGACACAAGCGTACGCATCTGGGATCCCAACACTGGTCTATGTAATGCAGTATTGCAGGGCCATACATCGCTGGTAGGGCAACTACAAATGAGAGGCAACACCCTAGTTACTGGTGGATCCGACGGCTCTGTGAGGGTGTGGTCTTTAGTTACCAATCAAGCGAAACACCGTCTTGCTGCTCACGATAACAGTGTGACGAGCTTGCAATTTGACGAAAACCGTATTGTCTCTGGCGGCAGTGATGGACGAGTCAAGATTTGGGACGTGCATACTGGTCAACCTATTCGGGAACTTTCCCAGCCAGCTGAAGCTGTATGGCGAGTGGCTTTTGAGGAAGAAAAGGCTGTAATCATGGCGAGCCGCAACAACAGGACTGTAATGGAGGTAAGAACGTTATCTGTTGAGACGGTATATCATGCTAACGTTTCAAGGTTTGGTCTTTCTCACCTAAAGATAGCTTTCCCGAACCGTCGCCATCGAGGCCCTCATCGTCAGCAATGATGCCTGACTCGAGTGACTATGCAATCAGGGAAGGAGAAGTGGATCCAACAAGAAATATACACAACACAGACACAATCATGGGAGACGCATACTAGGCATTGCGATCATGCACAACAACATCAATAGTGTGTGCGAAAAGCTCAGCAGCCCAAACAATACAGCGACATGACAGCACTTCGCATTCTGGCATATGTCCCGAGCCACGGACAAGCTTCGACCACCGAAATATCTGGCAATTGCGACTGGACTGAGGGGCCTTCCAGGTACTGGATTTTTAACATGAGCTCATACTGCTTGCAGGAATACGAGGTTCAGCGTGTTGAGACGAAGAAAAGACGCAAAAGCAAGGACGTCCGTTATATTAGTCACGTCACGGACGAAAGCAAATACGAAGCACGGAGTTAAGGAGTGCACGGGTCTCAAAGATTTGCAAGGTTACACGGCGAATTTGCTTGTGGTACGCAAAGGGTATCTTTTGCTCGCAGGAAGCGGCGGAATAAATCCAGCTGCCACCTTGGAAGTCAGCGGAAAGGGATTGTTGGGAGTACATTGTAGGTATATCGTATTTTCATAGCGGAGGACTATATCAGGTGGTCCGCAGCCGGACTGCTTGAGAGCAGGATAGAATTGTTAGGAATAGTAATACTGTATTGGCTACTGTTGCATTGTTAACGGCTTATCGTGGGGTCCCAGACATTTCAGTATAGCAAAGTCGTTCGTGCCGTGTGCTTGCCGACTCTCGCTTCACGTCGTGTAGGTGACATCGCGATACCAACACGAACGATGGGATCTTCGGAGCACTGACGACCCCCTGGCAGGGAGGAAAATCTTGTATTTGCTGCAGTCTTGCATCATGGCGTGAGCTTATCGGATTGTTATGCTTTGCCTTGCTTATTAGAGCTTAGTGCCCACGTACCACAAGCTTTCCCGGAAGCTCAGGTCAAACTCTTGCATCACTGCCGCTGGCTGACTGTTTTTCTCAGGCGCGTTATCTCATCTGAGCCTATTGGTGAGCGTGCCGCACTTCCCATTCACCTCATCCTCCATGGATCTGGTCGGAGCTCTTGAAAATGGAGGAACTGCTCTCATACTATCTTTCTTCGCCTGTCCGACCATTCTCTTCATATACCTCTACACCAGCAGAAGCACGTTCTTGCAAGCAAACTTTAGCAAACTACTCGGCCTTGCCGTAGAATTGTTTTTACTTGCTGTGATCGCGTTTATAGCTGCGGTTGGCGTGTTGGCAGTGTTTCACGCTCGATTCGAGCAGCAAGGCCAGAAGCTCAGTGACCTCGGTGCTGTTACTGGAAGAAAGCTCACGAGTCCATTCGACTTTGCAGTTCCCATTGCAGCCAGCGACAATTGAAGAACAGCGTTGCAACCACCTCTCACACGGCTACCTCCAGGGCACGACCGCAACATGACTTCAAGTACCTCTCTTAAGCCACCGCAGCTTGAACATGGCAGTGGTAATTTTCCTGGCATGAAGAGTTATCCATTTGGCAAGATTGAGCCAAACAGCACGAAATATTTTGCTTCTTGTATGTTCGGAGGGATAGTAGCATGTGGACCGACGCACACCTTCGTTACCCCTCTTGACCTGGTGAAGACCAGAAGGCAGGTCAACTCGAGCCTGTATACCTCGAACATCCAGGGCTGGAAGACGATATACTCGAAAGAAGGCCTACGCGGTGTTTTTACTGGTTGGGCACCTACATTTGTGGGCTATAGCTTTCAGGGGCTGGGAAAATACGGCTTTTACGAAGTCTTTAAGCATGTCTACGGCGATAACCTCTTCCCAAACACGAATCGTACCGTTGTCTACCTTGGAGCCTCAGCCTCTGCAGAATTCATTGCAGATATCTTCCTCTGTCCATTCGAAGCGCTCAAAGTACGAATGCAGACTACAGTCCCACCATACGCGAAGAACCTGAGAGAAGCGTGGGCAAAGACAACCGCAGAAGGTGGTGTTTCAAAGCTCTACGCCGGCATCGTACCGCTGTGGGGTAGGCAGATTCCATACACGATGTGCAAGTTCGCAACTTTTGAAGAGGTTGTCAACCTCATCTATAGCAAAGCTCTCGGAGGCAAGAAGGACGAATATGGAAAGCTGGCCCAAACTGGTGTCAGCTTTGCTGGTGGATATATTGCTGGTATTGCCTGTGCGGTTGTGAGTCATCCTGCAGACGTGATGGTCAGCAAACTCAACAGCGATCGAAAAGGTGAGTCGATGAGATCTTCCATTGTTAAGAACACACTAACATAGTGGCAGCTGGTGAATCAGCAGGCAAGGCAATGAGCAGAATATATGGTAACATCGGGTTCAGTGGATTGTGGAACGGATTGCCCGTCAGAATTGTCATGATCGGTACCTTGACTGCATTCCAGTGGCTGATCTACGATTCGTTCAAGGTGTATCTGGGACTGCCGACTACTGGTGGTCACTAATCTCCTCCTCGAAGTCAGTAAACGTTACAGGAGAAGCAGGTATTTCGGAAGTCCAGATTACTGATCGTGTTCAGCCACCATGAACGCATGCTGGTCGGGCGAAATGCGTCAAGGGCGGCAATCCAGAAGCACAAATCCACATCTCTACCAGATATATTGATCATAAATATTAATCTCATTCATTGATAGAGCATGGCGTTGGTGAGGCTGGGCGCAATCTATCCAGTTTTGACAAAAATCTTCTAGGGATCGGGTGGTTTGGCAGTACGTCTTGAGAGTAAAACATACCGCACGCAGTTCAACAAGAACGGGCTCTTCAACGATTATCGTTGTACGTAACTCTGTCTGTCGTCTGTATCAGATATTTCACTCCGTGTTGGTTGTTGTGACGTAGTACGGCATGCCACACAACCAGCCACCAGGATCATTTCTCCGGGCGTCATGGTCACCAATCTTTCGCTCGAAGGCTCACTCCTTCACTATTCGTTTCGCATTTGAAATGTGACGCGATCTTGGTCACAATATGCTACGATTCAAATGTCTTTTGGATTGGAAGTCGTTCGACAGTGTTTCCAGTGGTATAGGCTAGACTCGTGCTTAACCACATTAGATTCCCTGATTGAGATCCTCTACCAAACTTATGCGACGCAAGTCTAACAGCCAGGAACATTGACTGAAACCAAATGCGTTAGCCTTGCGAATTGCGTCTGGCTCGCTAGCAAATCAGAGCTTCAAGTCACCAATATGGCTGACGCGCCCAAGCTTGACCTAGCATCACTGCCACCCATATTCGTTTTGTCAGCTAATCTACCAGAAAATGAAATGCATGAAGCTGAAGATGCTGTACTTGAAGCCGGTGGCCAATTGTCGTACAACGCAGAGGAAGCAAGGATCTTTGTTGGTAAGATAAGCCAGAAGGAACGAGCTGCATTTGAACTTAGAACGAAGGGTGTGTGGACAGAGGAGACTTCACTTTCTGGGGAACCACCGAGTAAGAAGCGCAGAGTGGCACCGGCCCGAAACGACCCTCAAGACGGCTCGGGAACTGAACGTGAAGATGACAGTAACGTGAGACCCGACAACGAAACTTCGACAATCGACCTTCAGAATCGCGTTGTCGTACTTAAGATCGACTGGCTGTATAAGAGTTTGGAAGCTGGCCGTCGTCTGCCTTACCAACCATACCTGGTTTACACTGGGCGTACGGGCTCGAAACCTCAAGACCAAGCGGCCAAATCGACTGCGCCTCCTGGCGTGGTAACATACATCAACGCGACATCAGATTTTTTGACTGCTTCGAGCACTGTTACAAAGGCATCCGGCTCACAGGAAAGCTCGGTCTTGAGCTCGACCTCGATCGTTGAACATACTCGGACCGCTTCCAAAGACAGCCATCAGACACCCGAAACAGCGAAATGGAGTCCTCGTCGCTTTCGTGATCAGAAACATGGCAACCATACTGTGCTCACGGCTACGCATCCGGCTCTGAAGCGTGCTACTACTTCCGAGCACGACTTCCTAACTGCTCACGACTCATCGTTACCACCTCTACCTTCATGGATGCTTGAACCTCATCCACGTGCTAATTACTCGTGCCTGAGGTCAACTTTCATGCCACCAGTCAATCAAGCTTTTATAGAACACCTTCTCAAGATCAAAGAAGCGCGTACGCTGACGTTAGACGAAATAGGTGTACGGGCGTATTCGACATCGATAGCTTCACTTTCAGCTTACCCGCGTTCCATCACATATCCTAGTGAAATTGCTCGATTGCCAGGTTGCAGCGAGAAGATAGCCACTTTGTGGGCGGAGTGGTATACTTCTGTCCCCAAAGAAGCGGCGGACTCTGAACGGTCTCTCGCTGTCACCAAGAATCTGGAGAACGACGACGATCTGAAACATCTGCGGCTCTTCTATGACATCTGGGGAGTCGGTGCTGAGACGGCGAGGAAGTTCTACTTTGATCACGGCTGGAGAGATCTTGACGACTTGGTAGAGTATGGCTGGAGTACCCTAACTCGCGTTCAGCAGATCGGCGTCAAATTCTACGATGAGTTCCTCGTCAAAATACCTAGGAAAGAGGTCGAGGAAATAGCCGACATCGTGCTTTACCACGCACGACTCTCCCGCGACATACCTGAAGGGTTCTGGAGCAACAAGGAGAACAACCACAAAGGGAACCGGACAAAACCAGACGATGGCAAGGCAGACGCTAACTGGGATCCGAGAGATATGGTCTGCGTGATTGTAGGTGGTTACCGAAGAGGTAAATCCCAATGCGGCGACGTCGACGTGATCCTCTCCCACCGCAACGAGGAATACACAAAAGACCTGATCATCGACGTCGTCAAAAGCCTCGAAGACGCCGGCCACATCACCCACACACTGACCTTACACACCAGCAACAGCGATCGCGATCAACAAACCCTACCCTATCGGTCCGGCCACGGCGGCCACGGCTTCGATACCCTCGATAAAGCTCTATGCGTATGGCAAGACCCGAACTTCGACGAGGAGAAACACGAGAAGAATCCGAATATACATAGGAGAGTGGACATCATCATCTCTCCGTGGCGAACTGTAGGCGCAGCGGTCCTCGGCTGGAGTGGCGCGACTACTTTCGAGCGAGATATCAGGGTCTGGTGTAGAAAGGAGCATGGTTGGAAGTTTGATAGTAGTGGTATTAGGGATCGTGTGTCGGGGGCCGTATTGGATCTTGAGAGTCCTAAGACGAAAAGGGATGGAAAGCTTAAGGAGGGGGAGGTTGCGGATAATGGAGACGGTTGGGAGGATAGGGAGAGACGGTTGATGGAGGGCATGGGGATTGGCTGGAGACCGGCGACGGAGAGGTGTACTGGGTGAATTGGATGGGGCTGGAGTTGTGCTGTGTACATGGCGTTTTGGGTTGTGTACATCACTATTGACGGTGGACAACAGGAATATACCTTGGGTTAGGGCTTTGTTAAAACAAATGTTACAGTCTGAATATTATGAGGCAACAGCGAAGAGGCTCTGATGATGCACTGACACGAAGTATTAAATAACAGCCACACCTGGTAGATACGAATGCAATGTGCATCATTCAAGGTTCAAAAATCATATCCGTTCCAACACATCGATTACAAACAAACAAAGTCGTCGGATCGACCTTCCTCTTAATCTCGAGCAATCTCTCATAGTTCGATCCCCAGAAAACGTCCTGCCACTCGGGCTCAAACGGATTAGCCTCATTGACGTATGTGCCCTGACCTGGTCCGAAGATCTTGCTCAACCGTCTGCTCTGTTCAATCACCATCTCTTTCTTCGCACGTTTTTCCTCGAGTAATGCTTCGTCATGCCAGTTTGCTCCGAAGCTGAGGACACCGACTGACTCAGCCCAGGCTGGATGAACTGCTGTTTCGGCTCGAGTATCGTTCTTGACTCGACCGATGAAGTTGAAGCCGGCACCGTATTCAACAATCATGTCTAGGAGAGGGTCGAGCTTGGTTCTGTTGTAGATGACTGAGGGCGTGAGTAGGCGTGAGGCGTCGATGACGTTTTGGGCGATGTTGAGGTCTGTTAGGTACATGTCTGTGTAAGCTTTCCAAGACGGGTACTCGACAGGAAAGACAAAGGAGGAGACGCCTGCTATTGCGTTGAGTTCTAGGAATCGTGCTGAGCTTGCGAGTGTCAGCTCGTTGCCGTCGGCTAGATTGAAGAAACCACCGAAGCCTGTGGGTTGCGCTGGCGTACCGTCTGCTGGTCTCTGGATGTAAGCGTAGCCTGTATAGCCTGCTGCTGTCATGGCGTCGATTGCTTGGAAAGTTCCTTCTATTGCTTGTTTGAATGACTCAACGGATGTGGCGTTGACTTGGACAAAGACTGCTTGAATATGATTTGGTTCTGGGTAGGTCCTGTATATTACGGACGTGATAACGCCAAAGGCACAGCCACCACCTCCTCGAATCGCCCAAAAATAGTCGGAGTTGGTATATTTGTTCAAAGTCTTGTGCTCACCAGCGGCAGTGACTATATGAAGCTCCAGGACATTGTCAATGCCTAGACCATATTTGTTCGACCATGCAGAATGACCGCCACCTGTAAGAATATTAGCTTCAGTATGTTTCAGTAATGTCTTACGGTTATCTACCTGTGAACCATCCGCCTGCTGCACCAACTGTTCTTGCGTGGCCACCAACGACAACACGCTTCTGCTCAGCTGCTGCAGCATACACATCGATCCATTGCTCACCAGCTGAAACGGTAACAGCAGGGTATGTGGATACATCGGCAGGTGCATTCTCTGGCACAAAAGCAGCATGCCATTCTATGCCTCTCATACCATGAGTCCAGATACTGAGTCCTCCGCCAGGTGAGCTGGAGCGACCAAGGTGGTCATGACCAGTATTCTTCACGGTCAACAGAACATCGTTCTCGTCTGCGAATTTGACAGCTGCCTGTATGTCCGCAACTGAAGACGCATTGACAGAGTAGTGCGGCACATAGCCTTGGTCGCATAGTGCTTCTGCTGTAGTGTTAATGAAGCATTGATCGACCGGACCATACTCCCAGAGCACCGCTGTGTAGGCTCCAGGCTGATCAGTTCGCCAGTCACTGACTGTCCAATATTCTTTCGCAATTGTGCATGCTTCACTGTCAAAATCTTCGACATGGCATACAGCCGCACTAGGCCGTGTCACGATTAGTCGACCTAAAATGCTGTTGTTGAACTTGGACCATGTTTCGTCTAATGGCCAACAAGCATCTATAGCTGTGCAACGTTGACGCTTCTTACCCGGAATAAGAGCGCACAAACACAAAGAGCTCAAAACAAGCAGCGAAGTGAATCTTGAGCCAGCCTTCATGTTGTTTGAATTTGAAGTGTTGTATCGAAGCACTCACTCACCTGGAAAGTGTATGGAGAGCATTTTGTATTGCATTCACACAGGCAACATGATTCTACTTAGGGGAAACTCGAACGGACGTATTCGCTGCCATGCTGGGCGTAGATATTTCGAGAAAGAGTCAAGAGATGCCAAGGATCTGTATACTGGCTCACTGTGAATGATCTCGTGCTCGATTCGCTCGGGCTAGCTGGCCGTTGGGCGTCGCTTGATGTCGTCTCTTCGTTGTGCTTCTCTACAGCCAAGTAGCTTGAGAGTAGAACATGGTCAACTTGCGACCCCAACATGAAGGTGTTGCACCTTTCCACAGCCACAGGGTCTGCCTCGTGTTGATTGACCACTTTGACGGAATTGCTGATCTAGTGAAGCAATTACTAGTGGTTGGAAAGCAAGGAATTGGGCTTCCCAAATTAGCAGCCTCGTTGGTTACTCGACACGTGATCGTGACTCCGCTCCTATTTGGGTTGCAGTGTTGTTGAAGTGGAGGCAGGAGACACCCTGCAACATCTATACGAATACGTGGTGAAGCTGTAAGCTGCATCTTAAACTCCTTGTTAGCGCTTCTAGAGTGATGCGAAATTTCGCTGTTGCCTGAATGTGCCTGACTCGTGTTAACATAAGCTATGGTCAAATTCACGATGGCTCAAAAGACAATGCTATGATTGAGGTGATGTTCGGAGCCATGTCAATCCGATTGCTGACATACTCTGGTCGTGCTGACAGATGATGATCGTCATGATGGGAGTTTCCAAGTGGATTACAGACCTCGACTCTTCCACTGTGAAGTTGGGCCGTGGATGTTCCTGGACCACTACTTGGACGAACAGTTTCTGAAGCTGGAGTCTACAGCTCTAATATGTTGCGTTCTAGTGCATCGACAATCTTTAACAACAACAACAACAACGACCCTACAGGCCAATCCATATCATCGCTTCTCGATGCGATAGCCAGCACAGAACGCACTTCATCATGTCTTTCGTTCACTGTTCTCCACTATTTCATCCCCTCGAGCCACTGCCGATTATGAGTCCGGCCGTCATGCGCAACGGGAAAAGGCAAGGTTCTACAGACAGTCAAAGTGCAACCACAGCAAAATCAACCACTAATAGCACGCGACAATCGACGAGAAGCAAAGGCAAGAAGTCTGCAACACCACGAGCCTCCCATCCTTTAGCTAACACAGCTCTTACCTTACCTGTCGACGATAATGCTCCGGTATCAGGTCCATCTGGTTCCCATATCGTCGAATCTCCTCAAGTCAGCAATGGTGTCTTGTCGTCAGGATTGCAGTATACTATTACGAGCACAACCTCCTGTCCAGAAAATTCAATTGATCCACAAAGTCAGGGATTCTTGACTTTCACCACTGAATCACAGCCAATGAGCGATTTGTCTTCGAGCCAGCAAATGAACAGATAATGTGCAGAACCACATTCCGCCTTTGTTCTGGTTAGTCCGTGAATTCGGTCTGGGGAATTATTGATCACTGACAAGTCGGAGCAGAAGTGCACGAAATGTCCCCTTTTCAATGCCCTCAGCACGACAGGGTCGGTCACCAACCGTCTCTATCGATAGCACCTCAAACAAGACTATGTCCTCAGCAACACGCATGATATATAGCGTGTAGCGTAATCGAAGCATGTCTCCTTTGGGGTACAGTGACACGTTCTGACTTTCCAGAGTACAAATATGTTTGTCATTCATGTCTGGCAAGTGCTTCTTGAACGACGCCACGACAACGGTCACACAGGTGTCGAGAACCAGGAAGACGCTTATTTCTGGATGATGATGATGCGGCAGGAATGATGCCTTTACAGGCTCGTACACGCTCCCTTGGTCGGGAAAGACGTTGGGATGTGGTATTATGGTTACACTTCGCCATATCTAGTGACTGTATATCTGTATCTAGGCTCCCATGACTTGCTGACGTATAAGCAAAGAAGATCTCTTGATCCTGGTCGTCCCGAGTAAGCCATATCTCGAACTAGCCCCGTCTCTCCACAACGCTGTCCTGCCTTATTTGCCCTAATAGCAACAAGGGCAACAGAAGTCGTCCTCGTAGCACATGCTACAGAGCGCACATCCAAGGCAGCAACAATCTCCGATCTCCTCACCACCTCGCAAGTGAACTTGCTGGTTGGTTGGTGCTGCTGCCATTTTCGGTGGGGGAGCGGGCTGTTTGCTGAATGTTTTCTGGAAGATGTTTGTTGGTTTCTTCGGGATGCCAGCTCCCAAGGTTGCCACTATCGAAACGGGTTTGCCATCCGAATCAGGAGATATTGTAGCAGCTGTCGGTTGGACGTGAGAGTCCTTGTCAGGTGAAGTCGCTGCGGTAGAGCCATCAGAAACCGTATTGCAGGTCAAAATAGGAGTCGGCTTACCCTTTTTGACCATGGCTTGCGCTTTGTCCATAGCACCCGAAGATACTGAATCGGACCTAGACTGCGGTCTGGATGTCAGTAATGATGTCCTGAATCTGTCACAACCTGAGCAGGGTAGCAACAAGAGCTTGTGTGTCGAGGAGGTCTATATGATGTATGGAACCAGAGTCGAGTTCTATTGGAGCGTCCGGGAGCCTTTGAAATGTGTAGCTTTTGAGAACTTGCAGCATCAGATCAGTAGCTCTTAAAAGACTGGATACGTCCTCATAGCCAGATATCACTCCCAGATTAGCGAAACACTCGTTGACGAACTCGGCCGGTCACATAACGAAGCGTATAGTCTGCACCGATTGCAGGAGGCCGAGAGCCATGACGCCTCATGCATGTCAGTGTCTTCGTTTGGTGAGGCTTTCGTACCATTCTCGTCACGGTCTACCGAGCTGGTAATGGCATTAGGCAGTATTCATTTATTCAATATAGCAGACCCGAACAGATGGCCAGTTCCGGTAAATACCAACGACGAACCGGCGTTCGTGTTTGCGGTGTTTGAGTAGAGTATGCGTACAACAGCAGAAATGCTGTCGATTGAGAAGAGATTTTTGGACGACGGCACAGTCAACTTCATCGTCAAACGTGCAAAATCAGCCTGCTGGTCGATTGCTCTTCAACAGGAAATCCCACTGCGACCAGTCCATAGTGTCTGCGAAAGAGTCCATGTTGAACTCCATCGTGGTGTCCAGACCATTAGAATTATTCTGTTGGAGATCCCACCAGAAGAGCTGTGGCTGCTGCTGCTGATTGTCTTGGTAAGGAAAATGCAATGCAAATGGCGGTTGATCTGTTTGTGGCTGCTGGTAGTACTGCGGCTGTTCGGCTTGTGATGTTTGGGGCTGGAGAGTGTCTGATCGCATCGACTCGTTGTGCTCTCCAACAGAACGGTTGAGATTGGAGTTTGTAGACGTGGGCATACTTTTCGTCTCAGGTCTTCTGCTCTGTCGTAGCGAGAAATAGTCGGTTTGTGATTGAAGGGGTATTTGTATAGGCGCAACTTTCTTCTCCTCCCGATCTGCCCTCAATCTTTCAATATAGTCTGGAGTCACGAGTGGTATAGCGTACTGCCTCAATGACCAGGATTCCGTTCTTGCCTTCCACGCCTTTAGACACAAGCTACCAACAGCCAAGTTAAGTGGTTTTTTTATACCAACCACGACCTCGTGATGGTGGCCAAAAACTTCATGCACGATCTGCCAACCACGATCGGCTTGCTCCTGAAGTGGCAGTCTCCTGAGCTCACTCAGCACGTAGATTAGAGCATGCCACTGGAAATAATTAGTAGAGTGCCATTTGAAGTGTGTCAACGACTTCGAAGAATGGACAAGGCTGTCAAGCTCAAGAAGTTTACAAGCAATTGACCAACATAGCTGTCGTTCGTCTTCTGGCACATCCTCGTCCTTAGAATACCTTCGCGGATGGTGAGCCATAAGCCGCATTCCATTCGTGGCCGCTCGTGTAACGATGATTGCCATAAAATGTGTAGGAATAGACGGGTCGCAGAATCTGACATATCTTTGTTCCAGCATCCGTTCGAGTTCTTTGATGCCTTCCTCCTTCTCCTCTACAGCTCCAAGTCGTCTAAAGTTATCCCACAAGACAGCGAAATCGCCACCTGGTTGTTTAGTCAGTAGTTTTAGTTTCTGCCAAATATTAGTTCGGAAAATCGTACCGGTCAAACTCGTGTACGATTCTTTGTGGAAGGCGACACGAGTTTCGGAGGATACTCACCCAGAATTGACCCAAATCGTATCTCGTCAGGCAGAAAACCATTTCTGTGATTCTTTCCCTCGGCTGTGGTTCTACCTTCATACCTGGCCAGATGTCTTCGTCGTCAACGTTAATTGGCACGCGCACGTCCCAAGAGCCAATACTTCCAGAAGCTCCAGATCCCACTAGTTCTGCTGTCCTGAAATCCAAGAAGAGTAGTTGCCACCAGACTCGCCTGCGCATTTCAGACTCAAAAATCCCGAGACCGAGCGCAGTGCCATCACGATGCACTCCCATACCTTCTGCGATTCGGGTTGCTACTCCTGTTAATGTCCACAGCGTTTTCGTGTCGTATACATCTCTCATACCAAGCAAGTGAAAGGTAAAGGCAATCAAGGTCGTGAGGTCAGAAGTACCCAAAAATTTTGCTCTTGCCAAAGCACGCTTTGTGCCATTCCGATATCGAGCCAGGAGTACTGTCTGCTTCTCGCCTAACATATCCTCGCATTCACCGGGCTCGAGCGTAAGCACTGCAACGCTGTATATGGCAAAAAGTAAAGCTTCAAGATTCTTTGGTAGGTTATCTAGATGGGAGCTTGCCTCCACAACCACAGGCTGCATCGATGGTATGTGAATGAGCTTAGATAGTGGATTGACGTTCTCGAGAAAAATTTGCCATATCGTCATGACCTGTTCAGGTAGTGGATGTAGGTCCTTGACACCAATACTGTTTGGAGTGGCGCCCAGCAGGAAGTCGATACCGTCGTCTAGGACTGCTGCCTCGTCCTCCTCGTCAGAAGAGTCATCTAGAGCGTCCCCAGGCTTGCCAAATTCTTCAGCCATACTCATCCACAGGTTGTTTGAGATGAAACGAGTTCGTCCATTGTCAACAAGTAGAGTCGGTTTGACGAATGCTGTTCCGGGCATTGTGCTGCAACCAGACTGTGTGTACGACAGAGTTACATCAGCTGGCGACCTCTTCAACGGACTACTACCACGGTCTTCAGGCGTCACAGCGGGTAAATCCTCAGGTTTGATACCATCCTTGTAAACATCTATTCCTTTCGATCTCAATATCTCTTCATATTGTGACAGACGAGCCTTCAGAATTTCCTCTTGAGTTCTCTTCTTCCTTCTTCGAGGTGCTGGAGGAACACGAAAGACACACTCTGCACCTGGTTTCCTGCAATTTGAGCATGGTGGTCCCGACCTGTCGCACTTGACCTTACGCTCAAAGCAACGAATACACGAGTACGCTTTCGCCGATTTTGGCTGGTTGCCAGCAGATAGATCTGGTGGCGACTGGTCCGTCATAGTCTAGAGATGACCGCCATACCCCTTGATGTTCCTGGCGTGAAAGGAGCGTTTCGTATGCTTCGTGCCAAGATCCTAGGACAAAGATATACTGACGCCTAGTTTGTGGTAGACACGATCGTAAACCTTACCACAATTCTGCAAATTCGCGGCAAGTTGCTAGTCGAGCGGAGCATCGAACCCCATGAGGAAAACGTGGTATCTGATTGGACATCTGGTCAGAATACACTCTTCACCTGAATGGCACGCCTGACTTTGGTGACTCTTCCATCTTTCCAGGCCGTGCATTCGTCACCGAGCTCTCGCGACTGCCACGATGAAGTATTCACTGATCGATCGTGAGACAAAGCCAACTTCATCGATCAAGGTTCCAGAACGCTGTTGGCGGGCCCAGCCACCAGCGAGTCGAGCACGGTCGACACGCGTAAATGACGCGACTCACACTCCAGCTAATCTGCAAGTACCACGTGAACAACCTTGTAGCTGTACAATAACCAGATGACTTGCTTCATGGTCTCCTCCCTTCAAAATCCAGCTTTATCATTCGAATGCAGGTTGCCAGACTGGAGAGTAAGTTGATCGAAGCGGACGTGAGCAGCGAACGCCTTCCCTCCTGCAAGACCTAGTGTTACAGCAAATGCAGAGATGGAGCAGCATGATGAGCTCAGCTTTGCTGAAATTGGGCATCTCGTCTCGGGGAAGATTTGTCCAATGGTGCGCATGGTCGGATGTTTGTCTCCTACTTCGATATGTCTAGCACTTTTGTAATCGGATTTTGTTTGTATTAAACAGTAGGTTTGCACCGGACGAAGTAGGACAAGAGCCTCGGAAAGGCCACCATGGAGAATGTGGGATGCCCGAGACTCCGGATTCCAATTCAAACGTTTGATGGACGTTGTCAGAGACGCTAGACAGCTTATCACGAAGGTATATCGTGATGCCACGCGCAGAGCTGTTTGCAATACCTTCGCGGTACTAATGAAGAAGATTCAGTAGTCTGGCTCAGCCTTGTACTACAGCTATGTTCATCATAGCTAACGCGAGACCATGTCTATCAGGATCTGGTGTTGTCGGTATTACCTTGTTCTCCTGCAAGTCAATTGACAGAATATTCTCTCTTTGGAAACCTCCACTTTTCATACCTGCCCCTTTACACATAACACCATGGAAACACGAGCAAGCGTGATGTCTTCGAAAGACACCCACGAAATCGAAAAGAAACCATCGAACGCAAATCCAGAGAAAAACGTTCTGGTCGAACCATCAGAGCCACATCCTCCTCCTCAAAGGAAGGGACGTTATCTAGTCAACTCAGCCACAGTCGTCAAGCCGGGCGGCAATGCCACCGCTGATCTGAAGATCTATATAAATCCAGAGCGTACGTCGGCGGACCAGCGTTTACGAGGCGGTGCAGATTGCGAAGGGCTTTGCACTTGGTGTTACCTACTTTGCTGCGGCTGGTGCTGTTGTCAACACCAGCTCTAGTGCTGAACCTCTATATAACAAGAGATAGTCGCAGACATGACGATTACCCGAGACACCATACTAGAGAATCAAGCTAGATCATCTACGAGCGCTGAGATCATGTTTCAAAATCGATAGCTTGTCTCCTCGGAGACACCCTACATTCTTGCTATAACTACAACTTACTCTTCCCTTCCTCACCCAGCACCTTCTCCATCCACTCCCCAATATGCCTATTCACATCCTCCGGCTTCTCCCACAATACCCAATGACTAGTCTCGACCGTCCTCCTGGTCAATTTCGGAATCCGATCCTCCATAGACTTACTCATCCACTCCTGCAACGCCTGATCTCTTGTCGCAGAGACAAACAAACAAGGCTGTTCAACCCCGATAACTTTCTTCTTGTATTTCTCCGCGTCTGTCTTTGGTCCGTCGAAGAAAAAATCCAGGTCGTCGAGATACATTGCTTCACGGCTTCGATACCAGTTCAATGGTCCGTTGATGCCGTGGCGGCTGTATTCATTGACGTAATAGTCCATCTCCTCGTCCGTAAGGAGCTTGGTCTTACCCATCTTTGGAAGCAGGTCAAGTGCGACGCGGCCTGTGGCGTCCCAGGCTGTCTGGCCACGAGTCCCGTCTGTGGTGATGGTGCGTGCGCCATACAGGCAGTTCAGGAAAGCGCGAATCTCAGCTGGTGAGCGTATGACTTGTTCGAGTTCGCCAGAGACGAAGTGTAGCTGATAAGTGAAGTTTGGGAGTTGCTTTGCGACCAGCTGTTTCAGTGGTGTGTAGAAAGGTCTGGGCATCTCATATGGAGTGCAGATGCTGAAGAATGCTTTGACTAGATGGCGCTTGAATTGTGCGACGCGGTATACGATTGAACCACCCCAGTCGTGACCACCGAGCATGACTGTGCTGATGCCGAGCTGGCGGCACAGTTCCTCGATGTCGTCTGCTATGCGCTTGTATGTGTATGCTGATATGTTGCTTGTTGGAGGGCTGTCGGAGCGGCCATATCCCAGGCAGTCTGGGGCTATGACTTCAAGGCCGAGCTTAGTCAGGAGTGGGATTTGATATCGCCATCCGAATGAGATATCTGGGAAGCCATGCACTAGAATGATTGTGCCTCGCTTTGGAGCTCCTTGAGGTGGAAGGCTGTGTAGATAGCCATATGTATAGCCGTTTAGGATAGCTGACTTGAGGCTTACTCGTGGATCGTTGAATGGTCTGATCTTGTCGGGAGGCATGTTGTGAACGAGTTTGCTGACCACTTTTCCTAGGCTAGCCCTCCTGAGGTATTTTCGCTTGGAAGTGCTCTTAGTGAAGGGTTGTCGTGATTAAGTATTGCTAACGCAGCTCAAATCATGCTGAGATTAACACTGCGACCGAGGTTGGTCAAACCTGCTAATCGACGACCGAATTTCTTTTAAGCCACTGCTCGATATAGATCCGGGTATATTGAGCCAAAGGATTATGCTCGTGCTGAGTTAAGACGATGCTGACAGACTTGCCGAGGCTGCTGAAGTGGAGACAAAAGTTAAATGGATACGGGTACGTTCAGGGACGGACGATCGACCTGACCACGTTGCACGGTCCACCTACCAGAAATGGAACAAGGACAGGAAGCAATACATTCGCGGGCAGACTGAAGGAGAGAACAGATTGGGGTATAGTAGCGAAGGCTTTGCGCAGGTTGGATTTGCGCATAAGCCTTAGATTCCACGTTGGATTGCTACAGGCTTGGTATATGAATTCAACTACAGCCAGCACCATTGGCAATAGTCAATATAGCTCACCTGTCTGCATTCTAGCTGAAACGTAATGCTAAATGCACTGATAAGACGAACGGCGACTCGGGTGTACCGCTGACACTTTCGAACGGCTCCTCGTTGCCAACATCAGATCCCGAGCGGACAGTGTTTGAAGATATCCGAGGAAGGAATGCTTGCTCCATTATATACGTCGTACATGGTTGCGATAGATCTCAAGTTTCATATTCTTGATTTCACGTTGTGTTTGAATTTCGAGCGATCAGTAAATGACATCGTCTTCCTGGCCCTCTACCAGCTCTTCGCCATTGTGATCGTCCTCCTTGGTATCTTGCTCGATGTGTTTCCTTTCATTAGGTTCTTCGATTGACTTGTTCACGAGTGTCTCTGTGCTGCGTCTAGAGTCAGGATTATCAGGGATTGGTATATCGCCATTCTGCTTTTGGATTGCATCTCTCGAGTCCAAGCCTGGCTCGGGATCTTCTTCGTTCTCCTTCTTGTCCACATCATTAGGCATAGTGCTGGGCTCGACTTGATCTTCTTCATTATCTTGCTCCATCGAGACGAGTATACTTTGCTCTTCGTTTTTTTCTGTTCCGAGCTCTTGCCGTATCTGACGCTCGACCTGCTCTCTTTGCGTCTTCAGTAGCTCTTCCTCTTCGTCCCTGAGCTCCCAAGGTAGATAGTACAGCACAGGCTCAGCCTTTGTGCGCAAAAAGCCAGCCATAGCCCTCATGTTTTCATGCCGTAGCCTGATTCCCTCCTCTTCCCATACTTTCTGCTGTCTCCTTCTGTGCTGAGACAGCTCATCTCTGCGCCTTTTGCGCTCAGCCTCCTGGTCCTCGTTCTCCTTTTTCAGCCGTTCGCGTTGACGTGCCTCTATTTCGTCGCGTTTCTTGTGAGCAGGATTTGAACGCGCTGTAGTCTGCGATAGTGTTCCAAGTAATGAGCCGAACAGTCTCTTGTTGCGCTTCTTCTCGTCGACAGTGTTGCTCGCTAATGCGCTCGATCGCCGAGCTATAGGAGAGGTTGTGCTGGTCGACTTGGATTCCTTCTGGACTTCTCTGCTGGCACTCTTTGGCGCATCGTCGTAGTCGAGCGTATCTACGTCCACCCTTGGCCTTTTGCGCTCGTCATTGTGTGATTGAGACAGTTTCCTTTTCAATGTTGGTGATGAATTCTCATCAGGCCTGAAATCTAGGTCTCTCTCTGGTATGACGACCGCCGAAGAAATCATTTCGTGAGTTTTATGTACAAATCGCACTCGGATATATTCGTAGACTTGAGCACGAGGAGGAGCGACGCCAACAGTCTCGCGACCAGCTCCTGATTAGCAGGACCGCTATGCCCCGGAACTCGACTTTTTTTTAGCTTCTCGGCTCTTTCCTACTTAACTCCATTTTGGCGCCTAGCCTGGACCACTTTGCCCGCAATTCAGCCTCAAAGAGCAATGTGGGAAAGAAAGTTCGAGCACTTTGTAAGCACACTGCACATTTCTGGACACCACTACTTACCCACTCACTCATTCTCACCCTGCTCGTGGATACACATCTATTAACTCCCCATAAAGATCGCATCCATATCTCCACACTTGTCCTCACCACCACAATGTCTCGCCATCACCCAGATCTCGTAATGTGCCGCAAAGCACCAGGTATCAGCATGGGCCGACTATGCGACAAATGCGACGGCAAATGCCCCATCTGCGACTCCTACGTACGACCAACAACCCTCGTCCGTATCTGCGATGAATGCTCTTTCGGCAACTACCAGAACAAGTGTATTGTCTGTGGTGGAGAGGGAATCAGTGACGCATTCTACTGCTTCGAATGCACCAGATTAGAAAAGGATAGAGATGGATGTCCAAAAATTATCAACCTGGGTAGTTCGAGAACTGATTTGTTCTACCAGAAGAAGAATTTTAGGAACCAGCAGTATTAGTATTGGGTGGATATGGAGTACGCAAGGAATATTATACTAGGACAAATGCTTCTCAGTCAAAGGTGAATGTGCGAATGGAAGAGCTGTATGAGACGGCCAACCACCAACGAGAACAAAGAAACCACATTCAGCATGATTTTGCACGAACAAAGGCACAGCAAGGCAGTGCTTTACCTCTATCTCTTCAACCCCTCACCAAGCGTTTGGTACATGGATTCCAAATTGCTCGCTACAGCAAGACCACTACCCGAATTGATAACAAGGAGGAATCTTCGGATTTTACCCCTCGCTGAGTTTTGGGCAATGAAGAAGGCATAAAAATTCCCGGAAGAGGAAGAGCACTATCTTAGTCTTGCGCAAAGTGGAAACAGACAGATACTCAGTAAACCAGCGACAACGACCCGCTGGACGAGACTTTTGCTCACCAGAAGAAGTCAAATCAGAATGGCGTGGGAGTCACATCATCTCGACTTCTGTGGGTAGAGGGAAGAGAAACTATTTTGATGAGGAACGAGGTATACGTTGAGAGCTTCGAGGAAGCAAAAGAAGAATCATGAAGCACATAGTCATAATTTATGATCAGCACTCGGGGCAACCTCACATTATCCGTTGCGATTCCTTTTCCCTGTCCCCATGGTAGATTTGGTATTAAAGGCTATTGTCTATACACTTGAACGTGGCGGGTTCGCTCCATAACCTCTGTATCACTTGAACGACAATGGCATAGCTTGATCCAGCTTCTTGTAAGTTTGCCATCCCTCACTCTCCAATCTCGCCGCCTTGGCCATATTCTCATCATCCATCTGCTGCAAATGTGCCGCCAGCCACTCCTGCACCTTCGGCTCGCTCGTGCCAATGATCCGTGCCGCTAACAAGATCGCGTTCGTGCTGTTGGCAATACCCACCGTAGCCACTGGAATACCTCGCGGCATCTGCACAATCGCGAAGAGGGAGTCCAGTCCGTCCATGGAGGATGCTTTGACAGGACAGCCGATGACGGGAACTGTGGTTTCCGAGGCCATCATACCGGGTAAATGGGCTGCGCCACCGGCTGCGGCGACGATGGCTTTGAAGCCTCGACTTGCGGCTGCTTTGCCGAAGTTTAGCATATGTTGTGGTGTGCGATGGGCGGAAGTGATGGTGACGAGGTAAGGGATGGGCATTTTGTCAAGGAGTTCCAAGCCTGGTCTTAGTGTTGCGAGGTCGGTGTCACTGCCCATGACAATGGCTAACAGCGGCTTCTCGGGTGGTGCTGGGTTGAGCTTGAGTAGTTCATCGGCAGTAGCTTGAATTGCTTCGTCGGATGTTCTCTCCGAGTGTTTATGAGCACGAACCGAGTCCGCCGTTATTATTAGTGGGTGAATCTTGCGCTCGACTTCGGACATCGATTTGCCGACTATGGTGATGTGTCCCATCTTTCGGCCAGGACGGCCGTCGCCTTTGCCATAGAGGTGGATCTTTGCGCCGGGTACTTTGAGCGCTGCTTTCGCGACGAGGAGATGGGAATTTGGTTCTGGTCCACCAAGGATGTTTAGCATTACTGCCGCGTTGACTGCTAGGTCTGTTGCTCCTGGTTCAATTGTGTCGGCAAGTCCTGGCAGAATGGCCCTGAGATGAGCCTCGTATTGCGACATGTGACATGCTTCGATTGTGTAGTGTCCAGAGTTGTGAGGGCGTGGGGCAATTTCGTTGACTATTATGCTGTCGTCCTCCAGAAGAAACAATTCGACACCGAACACGCCTGTACCCTCGAAAGATGCTACCGCCTTCCGCGCCAGGTCCTGTGCTTGCCTCTGAATTTTGATAGGAACGCCCCGAGGTGGTGTAAAGGTCAATTTGCAGATACTATCTGTGTGGATCGTCTCTGTCACAGGGAATGGGAGGGTAGTTTGGTCGTAGGTATCGACGTTCGCTTCTTGCTTCGTTTTGACAACCATCACAGCCAGTTCTTTCTTGAAGCTTGCCCAACGTTCAGCGTACAGTGGTCTGTCTGCCAATGCTCTGAGAGCTGGTTCGATGTCTGACAAGTTCATGATAGGGTAGTTTCCTCGTCCATCGTATGCCTGTGTCCTTGCCTTGAGCATTATCGGGAATCCTCCAAGTTCCAACCCGATTTCTTTTAGTCCTTGAGGACTCGTAGTACCCACACCTTTGCTGTCTGCTGTAGGAATGCCATTCTCAGCAAAATGCTGCTTCTGAACAAACTTGTCCTGTATCTGTCGTACTGTGCGCCAACTTGGCTGTATTCGTCGCCATGACTGACTATCTTCAACAAAAGGTGATTCACTGTCGAGTGCTTCCAGGACTTGAGTGTCGACGTGCTCTATCTCGTAGGTCAAAACATCAGCTTTGGCAGCAAAATGTCTCACGTCTTCAGCATTTGCGAATGAGCCTGTGATATGTGCGGCGGCAGCAATTTGATTTATTTGCTTGGCTGGGGCATTTTCGCTGTCCAGAATAGCTACTTTGATATTGAGACGATGGGCAGCTTCGACCAGCATCCGCCCAAGCTGACCTCCACCTAAAACGCCGACAGTATGAGAGTCCATGCTATTGATGATCGCAGTGTCGGATCAGTTGCGATGAGGGAGGTAAAGAGAACAGAGTGCTGTTCAGAAAATTATTCGCGGTCGCCAAAATGCACTACAAATTTATACAAGACGTCACGGATACAGGTCAGTAGCAGCTGAGAAAATTTACTTGGCAACTGTTTAGTGTTAAAGCAGTAAGACGATAGTTATTGTAATTTGTGCCCAGCTCTTGTACCACTACTATCCGTATTGACTAATGTGATGTGGTCTCGTTGCCAACCACCAAGCAGATCCATCCCACGCGTTGTCCCATGCGTTATTTCACCCCCGTTTCTTCAACCATTTGCAGTACTTCAACGCCTGTGACTTGTGCTGAATGTGGATATATACACCATGCATAATCAGCTTTGGTCCAAGGACCATCTCGAAAGGTACTGAATGTGATGGGCGACACTGCCAGGACCTTAGCAGTACTGGTAGATTCCTCCGTTTCGCAGTGACTAGCTCGTTCATCTGAAGGATCAAATCTTCGCTGCTGAAAAGCTGGAAGCCTCTTAGGATCGCGGCCCTTGACGACCTTTTGTGACGTTCAGGCATAAAAGCCTTATCAACATCGTCCTGCGTACAAGCTCATTGACATCGCAATGCCTATCACTGCGAACATTGTTTATTCTTTCCTGCTTTCGTCTCAGTATGTCCTGAGTCCGCGACCCACTGAAAGAGTGATTTCTGACTCTTCCGCAATAGTAAAGCAACATCTCTTAGAGTTGATTCGAGACTCGCAGAACGAACATAACCACATTGGAGGAATAGCCGATTGTTTGCATTCCTGAGCCATGACCTTTCAGTATGAGGATCAATCTATGCCGTGCTCTTGCTTCATCTTCTCCAAATTTTCCTGTCTTTGTGCGATCTCATCGGTAGCAGAGGTAATTTTCATCTTTTCCGGCTGATGATAAAGAACGACCAGATACCGATTCATGAAATTGTAACCATTGAGTCTGTCGCATGCATTCTTCGCGTCCATGACATCTTCATAAACAACATAAGCGGTTCCTTTAGTAGTATTGGAAGTGCCAGCTCTTATCTGCCTGAGTGGACCATGTTTTCCGAAGAGATCAAAAAGTGTTGGCGTATCGACGTTGTAGGGCAAGTTTTTGACGAACAGAATGCGATTGGCTTCTGGGGCCAGCTTGTTCGACCGTGACATGTTCTCGCGTGTGAAAGTCGAAGCAGGACTGCTGAGGGTCCTTGTTGTTGCAAGAGTGGATGACACTGACCGCAAGCGCAGCGATGTGGTAGGGCAGTGGACAATTTGCGGCGAGTTTGACGAGGCTGCGACGTAGAGAAGTCGACCGAGGAAGTCTCTTCTTCGCCACCTGAGCTGGTAGGAATGTGTGGTGTTCTTCTGAGTAGAATGTGCAAGAAAGCACTGTGATCGAGGTAGGAGGGTAAATGCAGAGTAAGCCGTGCAGTTGCAAGACCAGCGAAGGTAGTGGTGTAGTTGGAGCCTCGCATCGCCTATAGCTTGGGCGGTTCTTTAACTATAAAAATACGCTAGTCACATGCGACGAGATCGAGGACGAAGTCAGTACTCACCTACTCACACTGAGTGTTCCAGCACAACTGCACTTTCTGCGAGCGTTTGACTAGCAACTTGTCAGCGACGACACTTCTCAGTCATGCTGCCTGGCTTTGTTCCAACATGACAACTACAGGTGTTGCATCCTGCACGAGCTCTCCCAGTTAAACCCCGCCTGCGCATACTATCACATCAACACCACGCCCACCGTAAGCAACAACATGCCTACCTCAACAGCCTGGCGACGGCGTGACGAGTCGACTCCACGACGAGGAAGCAGCCCAGCTCGTCCAGCTGCAGATTCTATCGAACGTCTCTCGCCCGAACCATATGCCGCTGCCACCTACACATATCCTGCTACTCCTCCAAGCACACACTACGCGAGCCGTGGGAGGAAGGAATCTGGTAGTAACTCCTTGCAGGGTCTGGGACTGTCACATACTGTCCTGACAGATCGCCCAGTAGCAGACCATGACCATCTATATCTCGATTCTAACGGCAGAGCTCATCTCGGCGCTAAAATCAAGTCTCCCAAACACAATGAGTCCCTCTCACGGCCTACCACTTCCAGAAATATTGCTACTCAATACCGCGGGCCACCGAAGCGCTCTCATACAAGGGCAGCTTCATCCATGTCCATTGACGACCTTGCGAACATTGCCATTGCCACAAGCCCGCACTTCAACAATTCCAACTCGAACTTCTCTTTCAGCGGCAGTCCGCTTTTCCCTACCACCTCTCGGCCTAGCACCTCGTATATGAACGGCTACTCTTTAGAGTCTTTTGACCGGCCAGCAAAGAGGATCAAGTCGGAAAGACTCTACTCTACGGAGTGGTCGATACAGGATGAAAGACCTAGGAGCAGTTACGTGCAATCGGAGGACGCGAGGAAAGAGGAGGCCGAGCTGCTCTTAGGGATCCAGAAAGGATTTTCCTTCAAACATGTTGTGGAAGAACGTAAACCTATCGTTGCGAAGATCGAGCCTATTCAAGAAGAAACATTGTTGCTGGACATTGATGAGTCTGCACCTGCCAAGGTACCTACAGAAGAGCAAGCGCAACAACCCACCGCCTCGGAAGGTGTGGCAGCGCCAGAGTCTTCGACACTTCAGCCTCAAGAGGATTCCATCACCCCAGTAATAACTAATGAGTCGACCTCAGACACTATCCTGATGACCGATGCTGATTCGCAGGACGTTGTTCAGAAAGAGGAAGACATACAGGAGCCTCAACCTGACGATGAGATGGAACAAGAGGAATATGTGCCTTCGATACAAGCTGCCACGGGCACAGCTGAAGATGATCAGAAACCATCTGAAAATCCTGAGGCGTCTCTGCCTGCGGTACCAGCAATAGCCAGTGCACCGAAGCCAAAAAGAATACCCGTCGAAGCCACACAGCACGTTTGTCCTGCCTGCAACCAGATCAACTCAAACGCGAGCGAAGGAGAGTCTACGATCCAGTGGATCAATTGTGAAGGCTCTTGCAATCGCTGGTTTCACATTCCTTGTGCTGGCTTTACTGGCCAAGGTGTGAAAAAGATCGCAAAGTTTATTTGCCCCGATTGTGAGCCTGAGCACGGACAAACGACTTACACTCGTACCTCCTCGCGAGCACGAACTACACTAGATTACGCCGCCCTCAATGAAGGTGTCGCCTTGAGCAACGACGATGATACTCTGCATCATTTTGTGCCTAGGTTCAAGAATGGCTCTCTTCAATATCATCGTGACAATTTTGCCAGAATTCGGCCCGAACTTTTGACTCAAGATTTGTGGGAGAACTTCGATGGTATGAAACGACCTTTCGTTGTTCCTGCATTATGGAATCCACGTTTCGGTGAACCTGAATCCTCCTGTGAACCCACAGAGGGCAGGAGAATCCTTGACGACGCGGCAAAGTCATTCATCAGGTTCACAGACAATGGAGAGGAGACCGACTCACAAGACGTAACCGAGCAGATAGAGGATGGGATCAATCCATTGCAATTCCCGGAAGAGCAGGAGATAGATGTTGACCAGGACTACCTAGATATGGTCATGCCTCGTGGCCTCACTGTGCCACAAGTCGCTGAACTGTACGGCCCGGATGAGGATGTCCCCGTTATCGATGTCAAAACACAAGAAACCAAGGGCAGCTTTACCTTGCGCAAATGGGCCACATACTATGCTGAACGGGGCATCAAAGAGATCAAGAACGTTATTAGTTTAGAGGTCTCTCATAGTCGACTGGGACGATTGATTCGAAGGCCTAAGGTCGTGCGCGACGTTGATCTGGAAGACCAAGTCTGGGATGCTGAATCTCGTGTTGCATCCAGTAAACGCCCTGTTGCGTTTTACTGTCTAATGTCAGTCGGCGATAGCTATACAGACTTTCACATCGACTTTGGTGGATCTTCAGTCTACTACCATATCCTGAAGGGCAGGAAAACCTTCTTTTTTATTCCTCCAGAAGACAAATATCTCAAAGAGTATGAAAAGTGGAACAACACACCGAACCAGAAGCAAATATGGCTCGGAGACTGGTGCAATGGCAACGTTACCAGGGTCGACTTATACCCCGGTGATACTGCTTTCATTCCTGCTGGCTGGATACATTCTGTTTGGACTCCTGAGGACAGTTTGGTCATAGGAGGCAATTTCCTGACCAGATATGATCTTGACATGCAACTCAAGATTGCTAACATAGAACGAGCCAATGGCGTTCCTGCGAAGTTCAGATATCCCTTCTTTCAGAAAGTCATGTGGTACACACTAATCAAATATCTTGAGGATGATCCTGTGCCAGAGGATGTAATCGATGACTTTGAAGACGACTCCGAATATCGATATTTGCGGGCACTGCCTGTATGGCAAGACCAGGATAACACTTCGCCGGAGTTTGAACCAGATGACAGTGAATACAATGCCCGTAATTATTCCAAATCCGAATTGCGAGGTCTGCCGGCGCTCAGAGACTATTTGTACCGTACAGCTAGAATACATGCAGAGTTGCCAGTCGTTCCTGGTGTCAGCAAGGAACAAGGGAAAAAAGTCAAGGCATCGATACCCAAAGGTCATGGCGATCCTTTTCAGCTAATTTGTCTATTCGCGGTATGGGTGGCTTGGAAGAGAGGCAATGAAGTCGCACCAGACTGGCTACATATTGATCCTATTACTCAGGACCACGGGACGAAGGAGAGGTCACGGAAGGCTGAGAAGATACGCATACCACCCGAAAGAGCCTCGACTCGTAGAATTCGGCCTACAAGTCCTGCGTCGACAGAGCGCCAAGACACGCCAGACACCGATGATGCTAGCCCAGCCACCTCTGACAGCACTAAGTTTTTGTGGCGAAGGATCGCGTGTGCAGCGTGTAGAAAGAAGAAGCTACCGTGTCGACACCCATACGGCTTGAAACTTGAGGAAACAGCTCAACAAACACTCGAAAAGCCGAGGAGCTATGCAAACGTCAATATTGACGTCGCAAAACTGGCAAGGGCAACACAACAAGCGCCTGTCGCGTCTGTAGTGAATTCGGTGGAAGGACCAGCGGCCCCACTCTCTGCTCCACAAATTACACCACCTGCATCAACCCTCGATGAAAGTGCCATGGAAATTTCTATTAACACCGATCTTGCTCAAGCGGCTCTCGAACGCATGTCATCACAACCTTCTGAATCGAATGGACCGACAATGAATGGTGTCGCATCCACTCCAAATTCGGCAAAGAAAGGTCGCAGCAAAGCTTGCGATGATTGTCGCAAGAGCAAGGTGAGACACCTCAATAATGTTGTAAGCTCGCAAAAGCTAACAATTCCAGCGCCGCTGTGTTCATGATGAACACGGAAGAGTTGATCCGGCCAAGGCTGCTGAACCTTCTAAGCCTCGTGGGTCTACTAGCTCAAAGCGCCCTGTACGACTGAGCGACGACCATCTGCCGAAAAGACAGAAAACAGAAGATGATTTCGCGGTTGATGCTTCAGTCATCGATCCTGCACTCATCGGCTCCATCGATCCATCGCTAGGTCTACAATTAAACCACTTTCGTTCAGGATCAGATGTGAGTGCTTTCGCGCCCTCAATCGAGCATCGCGACAACCATGTTGCACCAATTCAACCACCAGCTCAACACATTGAGCCAGCATTTGACCCTGCTCTGGTAGATCCGGCTTTGATGCAGCCTATTACAGAGACTCCAGCTACCGCGCCAAACTATCCCAGTGACGCGCCACCAATGGTATTTCCAAAACTGTCGACGACATCAGCAGGCACCCCGGATGTGGACAAGAGTTTCTCGCCCATTACTGCAGAGGATGCAACCGATGTAACATCAAAACGTGAGTCTGAAGAACAACAATTACCTATCATCAAACCTGAAGTGGATGCAAACACCATCGTTGTCAGTACTGCGCAGGCATTAACGAATGGCATCTCCCACTCAGAAACGGGACTAGAAGTTGACTCAAATTCGAAGCAGGAGAACCACAGCCAGAACAAGTCGGGCACAGTCAACAGCACATTCACGAAGCGAGAACCCTTGAGTCCGTCGAACCATCGAGCTAACCATCGTGCCTCGCCTGTAAGTGACGCCGCGTTGCTCGAACGGCGAAACGGTTCTGGAACGAACAGCGAAACAAGTCCACCAGCGATAAAGCGTGAGACAGAGAGTCCAGAGACGAAGAGAGACATGTCAACAACGAAAACATTGGAGTTTAGCCGAGCGGACACTGCCACGAGCGATATAAGCTGTCTGGAAGGGAATGCGAGCGAGAAACTTGCTAGAGAATTACAGGCGCAAGAGCATGGATTGAGGCGTAGGCAAGGTGTGCGAATTTCTTAGAAAGGATTTTGAGGACACAGAGCGATTCTCATTGTGGGAGCAGGGGCTATGCAAGGCGCAAATATCGATGAATGAGGGGCAGATTATGTATATGGGTTGCAGGAAAGAACCTGATACTCTTGGGAACCACTTGAATCTGATTGATCAAGGACTAAGAGCTGTAACAAATAAGTCAGAGACTCGTTGAGCTTGTGTGATATGCCCTTTCAAGACAAGCTACCTTACAGCTTGAAACGATCGTCTACAGCGTCTGTAGCATTACCGACTTCTGCTCTTCTGCAGCATAATAGCTGTAGCAAAAGCGTTTGACCATACAATCTTCGGGACATTAGAAAGCTATGGTAGTGCGTCATGTTCGGGCAGAGCAAGTCAACATGCGGGCCGCCTCAAGACATGTGCAATGCTGCGTTGCTGGCAATCAGATGAATAAATCTACCACCTACATGAAACTGAAGACTACCTGATAGATAATACTTTCTTCTTCTATACACTACCTGCATCCTGCTCGGACAAGTACTTCCTCAACTGGCGGCCGACTCGCACACCACCCACCATGCAATCAGGAATTACAGGTAAATCTCTCGTCCCTCATACTAACAATGCAGAGGGCTATGCATATTGAAGCAGCTTGATGCTAACAACTGGGACTAGCCTCTACGGAGCTACAAGAAGCATTCAACGATTTCACAGCCGACTCGTCCTTCTTCGCCCTACCCATAACCATAAGCAATGAAGCACTCACACCTCAACAACCGATACCTTTCACCTCCTCAGATTTCACCTCCTCCCTACCCAGCCTGAAAGACCACCTCCAGCCAAAAACACCAATATACCTCATCCTCCGACCTTCACCAGCCGTAAACCATGGCTTGATCGCCGTCACCTACGTACCCTCCGTCGCACCAGTACGGCAGAAGATGCTCTACGCCAGTACACGGAATACTTTGACAAGAGACCTGGGACTAGAAAAGTTCGGAGACTCAGTATTTGCGACGGATGATTTTGAGGTTCTGGATCCAGGACACTGGGAGGCAAGGACTCAGGGTGCAGGGACGAAGAAAGAGGGTGGACTTAGTGCGGGGGACGATATACTGACGAGAGAAGAACGAGAACTACAGAGCGTTAAGCGCGCCGAAGAAGAGGAGAGGCATGGGACACAGGGACGAGATCTGATGGGTTCAGGCGGGAGTGGTGGGCGGTTAGCTATGAAGACGACGGATGACGCGAGACAGGCGCTGAGTACACTTGGACAAGAGGGGAGTTTCGTGCAATTAGGGATTGAGGTTTCCAGCGAGACGTTGGAATTGTTGAAGAGTGAAGAGGGAATACAACCTGGTGGTTTCCTGGAAGCTGTGCCCGGTGATAGGCCGTCGTACTCATTTTACCACTACCCTGGCACGGAGGAGGTGATCTTCTTGTACACGTGCCCGGGGTCAAGTAAGGTGAAGGAGCGAATGGTCTATGCTAGTGCACGAGCGAGTGTGCTGCAGCTGGCGAAAGGCGAGGGATTGAATGTTACGAAGAGGCTTGAGCAAGGAGATACTGGAGAAGTTACGGAGCAGAGGTTGATGGATGAAGCTGGGCTGAAAAGCGCGGGTGCAGAATCTGCGAATACGAGGCAGGGATTTGCGAGACCGAAGAGGCCGGGGAAGAGGTAGCATTCAGTCGAGATTGAACATATGAACTATGGAGAATTTGGATCCTCCACACTTTGTTTCTATCACGAGATGTTTGCTTGCTCTCTTTAGAGTACCGTGTCTGGTTGTACTCGACTCTAATAGTCATGGTAGAGAGTTGGACATCAGTGACTTTAGACCAGTGTGCATCGATCTGATATTGCAATCGCTCAAGAAGAGCTGCTATAGACCTTTCAAACAGCGCAGTACAAGACACGCTACAGTCACTCCATCTCAAAGATAGTATGGCGTCCTGGAAACTGGTAAAGATCGTGCCAAGCCACACTAGTGACACAAACGGTTATTTTACTGTCAATTTGACTTTAGACCACAAATCAGCACACAGCTAGCAGTTCGCCTCCGGACTGGTGTAATGGCTAACATCGCTGTCTCTCATACCATTCCAATCAGGAATATATGGGCAGAGTTTCACAGCAGCTCGGGGTTCGATTCCCCGGTCCGGAATTTTTCTATTTTGCTTTTTCTACCCCTGTCTATTATCAGACAGTGTATTGTTGCGACGGGTAGCTATCTAACTATGTGCTGCTACTTTTTTGTTTGCGCCATACAGTCAGTACCTTTTTGTTTGTCTTTGTGAGGTGGAGTTTCTTCTGTACTGCTACAGTAATGTATATTGAGTTGGTCTTTTCATGTTCTGGTATACGTGCGGATACAGGCAAGAGGCACTATTTGAAGATGTCCTAGTTACGTGTAAGAAAAAAGTACTCGATTGCTGTAACGCAGATGTACACTCATGTCAAGTTGGGTGCTCCTAGCCTGCAGTCATCTTGTGGTAATGAGCAGATTTGCCTTAGACCGTTCAAGAGCACAACGTTTCATCAAGTGTTTTGAGTCGAACATAAATTTGTGTTTATTGACTCTAGAGTCTTGAATTGCGAGGACCACTGCGCTGGCAGATCCCGCATGTTGCTTTGCTGAACATACAGGCAAGCTTTGTGATTCCCATCTTAATATCCAAAGAAGTCGGGGATCGTATTTCCTTAGTCATCCTCTACCACCTCAATGACATTCCTCACCCTCTCTTTCAGAAACTCAACACTAGCCTCTACAGTCGCAACTGGGATCTTGACATCTGGCAAACCATCGGGTCCAAACCAGCCCTCTCTTACCGCAATTGCACCATTTCCGTTCATCGTGTGGGTCGTTGTGTTCGTCGGTGTGCTTGTGCCATCCTCTTCCTTCTTCGCTGTATGTCCTGGCACAGATTTACCGCCCGTCTTGCTCGTTACTTCTTTCTCCTCCGTGCTCTTACTAAGATCTGCATCTCGTGGAACCCTACAACGCTGCAGTACTTCATCAAGAAGTTCTGGGAAAGTTTCACAACGACCAGACCTCAGGAGCTCCAGAGCCAAGGCGCGCATACGGTCTTCCCAGCCAGTACGAGCTAAAGAATCGCTAAGCAGTTGTTGTAATTCTGGTACGGTATTTGTCTGTGAACGCAGATGTGAGAGGAGAAGTTTGTTGGTAAGCTCGGGTAGTTTAGGAGTGGTTTGTGACAGAGAGGCCGGAACTGGAATTTTGAGTGTCTCGGAACTGCTGGCCGCCATGGTTGCTCAGTTCGATATAGGTAAATTAGTTGCTGGTAGTTGTGATGTTAACGAGATCACGAATGTCGTGTTTGTTGTACAGAAGCCGACCTGCAGCTATAGGAGAAGTGAATTCACGTCTGGCGCTTATAGAAAGAGAGTATGTATGTAGCCAAGTCTTCTTCTCGTGGTGGTCGAGGACAAAGCCAGAAATGAATGCAATCGTTCCACAGTGATCGAAGCTCAGTGTGCCAGATCCCGATAGGCGACACTTGATGTAGCCTGACTGCCAGGCTTTGAAGAGGCAGTTGTTATTGGAAGTGGAAGAAGTATATGGTGCAAAATGCAACCTTTGGTTGCGCTTTGGATCGTACCTTCCTGATTAGGAATAGTTGATCTGTGCCAAAAAGCACTCCTGCACGCGTTCGGAGAAGTTGTCTATGAACTTTGGAAACGTCAAGATTAACCAGCTATATCAGCGAACACACCAATGGCGCCATCAAGAGCACCCAGCGTGCAGCTTCTGCGGTCGCTTCGCAGTTCTGATGTATATTCAGGAGCATCTTCCACAACCAGAGCATTTTCTACGTCGTGTCGACAACATGAAGAGGAGGTCGTGGTTCAACGAGAGTCATTTTACAGGAATCCCAAGCCTGAAACTGCTTTCGTTCCCAGACTTGAAAGAAGATTGACAGCTGCTGGTACACCTCCAATTGGCTCACGAAGACGAAGAATGGCTATAGCGCAGTCGCAAGGTGTTCTATTCGATCAACTTCCCTTCCAATGTTTTCAGGAAGCACGAAAAGTCCTTACCGAGGATAGACAGGAGAAACTCCAACAAATCCAGACTATGAGAGACAGAATAGCGAGGCTACAACAAAGTGATGGCAATGCGCTACATCGAGGTGGTGAACAGTACAAGCAGAAGCGGCTGGAGAGTATGAGAACAGAGCTCGAACACCTGAAGATTTTGGCCGATATCAATGATCCCAATGTCAAACGGCGGTTCGAGGACGGAAAAGGTAAACAGTTTTTTAATCCAACGACTTACAAAGTTATTAACAACGCTTTAGGAGATATGAGCAAGCCTATCTATCGTTTCTTGGCCGATCGCAAATGGAGAGAATACGTGCGAAAGATCTTGATACAGAGAGTAACGCAGATGAAGGTGGTACCTGATGTCGTACCTCATTGCGATCCTATAGTCGACATCAAGATCAAATTCGGGCGAACCAACGTACAATCTGGCGATTTCGTTGATTCGGCCATCAGCGAGAAGCCCTGTCAGCTTACAGTGCAGTCTTTCGAAAAAGATCCTAAGCTCATTACGATTGCCATCGTCGATCCTGATGTACCCAATCTCGAAACCGACAGCTTCAATTCAAGATGCCACTTCCTGGCCTCAAACGTCCAGATTGATGCCCTGACACCACATCTCGATCTTGCAAAGCTTGCTGAAGAGCAGGTACTTGTACCATGGCTACCTCCCACAGCCCAGAAGGGGAGTCCATACCACAGGCTGTCAATCGTTCTATTTCAGCAAAAGGACAACATCTCCGTCGACAAGGCCGTTGCCTTGAGGAACATTCAACAGACCGATTTCCGAACCCGGAGCTTCATGACGCGCCATATGCTGACACCTATTGGAGCCTCACTTTTCCGAACCAAGTGGGACGACAATATGGGTGCTGTCATGCAACGTGCAGGAATAGACGGCGCCGAATTGGAGCTGAAGAGAGTCAAGGTTCAGCCATTGCCTTATAAGAGGAGAAATCCATCTACTTTCAGGTAGAAGAACATGGGATTGGATACAGTGCTTTTACTGCCCTTGTGGCTGCCGAGGCGGATTCCTGTACCACGAGGCAGAGCTGCGAACGAGCTTGAAGTGGCATTTGGAGCCGAATTGTTTCTCGGAAACAGTCTCGGTCGCGACTTCACCAATTCTCAGTGTCGTTGGTACCTCATTAGTAGGTCATATCAAGCCTCCAAGTGGTAACCTGCCATGCCTGCGACTGATTAACGAAAGCTTGTCAGAACAACCTGTGTTACGTCTTGTGGCTCAGAACAAATAGCTTCCCTTCCCGTACATGCACATTTCGATGAGGCTAACTACGCGTTGGAATCTTATTACTCAGTAGACTGATATAGGGACTACTAGCATCGTCCTTCCAGTTGGGAGTCTTTTTCGTCTCGAGCTGACAAGTGCTGCGACTGACCGGATATTGTAACTACTGTAGCGCAACAGAAGGACAGTTTTCGAAAGATACTTGTTCACGAACGCCGCACCCTCGATCGCGTCAAATGTTTCCGACCAACGCGTCTCTCCATCCTTCCTTCTCACCTAGCAAACATGTATACATGGCCACCCTTTTACAAACCATAAGAGCCTTTTGAAACAACCTGCTTCCGCGAACGATGTGACACTCGTCCGTTGCTAGGTAGATTGTACACGATCTACAGTACGATAACACCACCACAACTGCGATAAGGATGCCACCGAACCACGGCTCCAATGGCCCAGGAAGCTACCGTTCGAATTGACTAGAATTGCTATACTCGTGTCGACTGATCTGTTTTCACGCAGCCTCTATTCACGTGCTCAGCACATTACCGATGAGCAAACAAACAGCGAATGTTGACGAGACCAATAATGGCGGGCGGAGTACACAGTTCTCAACGTAAGGAGGCTTGACAGCCTCACTTCTGACCGCATATAAACACCTGGCCGGCATTTAGCTGCTACAACATATACGGTTACTGTTCTTGACAAACACTATGCTGAGGTGAGTGACAGGTCAGCCTAAGTCATGGTTGTTTTCATTGTTTCCGGCTCGACCGATACTGGCAAACAAAAGTCTCTGAACCTGTAGGGTCATGGTGAAATTGTGATATCACCCAGTCATCTCAATTCTGAGCCGTACCTGTTGTTCGTCATGTTCCTTCTTTGGTTCGCTCCTCCAACTCTCAGCTCATACAGATTGTTGGAAAAGTCTCTGTAACTGCCAGTATTGCCGTGACAATCAACCGGACAAAGCATATAATCCCCGACATGTACGACTCTCTCATGGACCATTTCGCACAGTCTAAGCCTCAGAAAATATCCCGGAAGGACCGCAAAGAAGCGGAAATCTCAATGCGATCGTCGCCGTCAAGTTCGTGCTCGCTACAGGAAACAGAGAAGTCGAAATGGAAACCGACAACGAAAGAGCTCTGGATCATGATCACTTGCGCACTCAGCTCTCTGGTTGTCGCCTTGGATGCAACAATACTCGTCCCTGTACTCCCGACATTAGCAGTCGAGCTCCATGGAACATCAACACAAACATTTTGGACTGGCACAGCATACCTCTTATCCCATGCTGTATTGCAACCCTTCATCGCCACATTGTCCGATCTCTTTGGTCGACGAGAGGCATTAGCTCCCTCGATCCTGTTATTTGCTGCTGGTTCAGTCATTTGTGGAGTTGCTCACAACTTCGCTGTCATGTTGGCAGGCCGTGTCGTTCAAGGGTGTGGAGGCGCTGGAATCATCACTTTATCGCAGCTGATCTTTGCTGATCTTGTGCCGCTCCGACAACGACCGCAGTGGTTTGCGATGGTTCTAGCTAGCTGGGCCATCGGCACCCTTGTAGGACCTCTGATAGGTGGGCTGCTTGTCGAGAATGCCACCTGGAGATGGTGCTTTTGGCTGAACCTACCTATCTGCGGTCTCACCTTCCCGATGGCTGTCTTCTTTCTATCTGAGTTGACAAGACCAGAAGATAGCTCCACTGCTACGCTTGCGTCCGTTGACTGGATCGGGAGCATTTTGTTTGCCTGCAGTCTTACCTGGTTCCTCGTCGCTATCTCATGGGCAGGCATTCACTTCGATTGGTCTTCCTGGCAAACGATTGTTCCACTCGTTGTTGGTGCGGCTGGCATCATGATCACCATCGGGTACGAGGCCAAGCTCGCAAAGTTCCCGTTCTTGAGACGAGGTTGCTTCTCGAGCATTAGCACCAATGCTTGTTACGTCGCTGCCATGCTCCATGGTCTCACGCTCTACATGGCACTGTACTATGTCAGCTTTTACTTTTCCTCTGTCAAATTCTACGGTGCAGTTCGAACAGGCACCTCACTCTTTCCAGCGACAGCCTTGATGCTGCCAGGCTCGGCCATTGTCTCTGCCCTTATCACACGTTTTGGCAGGTTCCGTTGGGCTATATGGGTCGGCTACACGCTTTCAACAATTGCGGTTGGGTTATTCATCCTTTGGAACCACGATACTCCGACTTGGTTGTGGGCATTCAGCCTCAGTCTCCTAGGTTTGGGCATGGGCATGATATTGTCTTCTGTCAACTTCTCAATTCAAGCGTCCGTTGAGCCCGAGGATGCAGGTCAAGCTGCTGCGATGTACGCCTTCGTACGTTCAGTAGGCATGACCATCGGCGTCGCTGTCGGCGGCACTGTCTTCCAGAATGAAATGAAACGAAAGCTAAGGAGCTTGGGTGTTCAAAACGCTACAGAATTGGCTAAGGAGGCTGAGGAGTTCATCCATCAATTGTCTGCCATGGCTATGACTGGTTCAGAGGGCGAATTGAGAAGGCGCATTTTGGATGGCTATGTCGCTGGTTTCAGAGGTGTTTGGTTTACTATGACTTCTCTTGCTGGTGCAGGTCTGGTGGTGAGTTTGTTGATCAAGAAAGGCAATTTGGACAGTGTTTTGAAAAGCAGATTTCGTGTCAGAAGGGACGATGTGGTTTGAATCAGTTCTTCATGTTAGGTTGTATAAAAGTTTAGGAGTGTACAAATTGGAATTTTTGTCGATATTACCTCAACTTTACATGATTCTGGGTGTATCTTCTAACGTGTAATTTGCTACGAATCCTCCTCGCCGCTGAGCTGAGGTACGGCAGTAGGCGAAGGGGCGAGGAACGCCCGTGTGCGAAGAGTGTCTGAACGACATTTGAAACAAATCGAGATTCCTTTGCAGTAACAGTAGCAGTGCTGAGGCTCAATGAGGCCAGCGACTGGCTTAGGTGACCCGCTCCTGGAGGTGTCGGATTGAATTTCGTTCTGGACTGGTATAATAGTAGCTGGGCGTTCTTTTGGTCTAGAAGGTCTTGCGATTCGGACAGGTACACCTGCCTCAAGTTCAGGGGGTGAAGTGACGAGGGCGGTGTGTTCTGGCAATTCTGCGGGCTTCACTTCGATTGAGTTATCAGGCAGCTCCAGTGACTGATGTGGTTCAGGTAGTTGTTCATTTTCTTCTTCGTTGTCATCGCTGTCATCATCCAATTCAGGGTGAAGGTCTATACCTGCAAAATGTGTAGGAGAATGGCACAATTTTTTGAACTCCTTCGCAGGCGAGGTCTGTTTCTCATACGGGACGACAAGAGAGACTAGAGAGAGCAACAGCGCGGCCATGAACACGTGGAAACATATTGTTCCAACTATATCCTCGAGGCTGAACAATGCATCCGGATTTATGGTTTTGCATTCCGTCATGATCTCAATGGTCTCCCAGGTGGTATCGGGAGGAGATCCAGATAGCCAGGAGCAAAATCTTGAAAGCATTGGTGTGTGGTATTTCGTGATTATCATGCTACTGCACTGTTGGATCTCTTCCGTGGTCGTGTTGACAATATACTCGAAGGGTGCTGTAAATACCATGGCGCAGATCGTCAATGTGCTTGACGTACGATATTGCTCCGACGATGATGTTCGCGTACAATACGAGTTCTTGCTGCTTCCCTTTTCGGAGCTCTGATATCGTTGGGTCGAGCATTGTAGGTCTCTTCACAAGAGAAGTTGACTCACTGTTATAAGTTAAGAAATCTTGCAGGTCCTCGAAGGAAAGTCCTAGCCGGTCTGGTTCATGCAGGACCAGAACTCGTCCTTCTGGCTGCCTAGGGGGCATGAGATTTAGATCGCACTGTCAGAGCTTAGTTATGTGCAAGACCTGTAGCTGTCAACAATTCAAGTTTGGAAATCCACTCATTTAGGCACAGCACAAGAACGAATCCAGAATTGATGAGTTATCAACTGCCATTTCATGCTCAGGTATGCACAGTGGTGCGTTAAGTCGGTGACATCCAAGCAATTCTCCTTTCCACATCGCGACTGCTAAAGGCGGGCGGGAAGTGCTCGGAAGCACGTTTTACCATAGCTTTAGTAGTCCTCAGAACCACTATAAACGCTTCATAGCGATGGTTTTGCATGATATCTCGATGAACGAAAGGGAAGTCGACAGGTGTATGTTTGGGAATATCGCTTGCTCATGTTGTAGCGAAATTGCTGTTTGTACCAATGCTTGGAGGTGAGGTGTGGTATTTGTTAGTCAACACACATTGACTCGCATTCTCCTCTGCTTCCCTGAATTGATGTACATCCATTTATTCAATGATATGCGTAAAAAGTCTATCACCTTGATTGCGTTCCGCATCAGTTTCTTTCGCACATGAGGACTTGTGATTTTCAGCTTGGACGATGTAACGATAGCAAAAAGAAAAATCGACGACCACAGGATTTGAACCTGTGCGGGCGAACCCAATAGATGCCACGAATCACTGTAATTCGAGTCTATCGCCTTAACCCTTATTTGAAGTTAGTATTGTGCACGAATCCATGAAGTTGAGGATTAAACATACACTCGGCCAGATCGTCAGCTATTGTTTGTGTGCATAATTAGGACGCTAGTGCTTGGGTTGAAACATATATTCACTCTTGCAGAGGGGGCTTTCTTGACCGCTGGTGTACAGAGACGTTCTGAGCGAAACCTTATACCGCGTGTGTATTCAACGCTATATTCTTTCCTAGATTCGATCTGCTGATCATGAAGCGCTCTACCAGATCTGACAGCTTTCCATAACTTACGATTTTTGAAACATAAACTCAAATGTCCGATCTTGTCGTTAGTATTAATTCAATCGTGTTGTGCGAAATGCAATAAATTTGCATTTCAGGATACAGGCACTTTTATTAAAACTGCAAATACCGATCGTCCCCGAGAATAGGTGCTTGCATGAACCTGCCTTCATGTTTTTGTATCACTAGTACTTCAAGAACGATCAATCATGCCAAAATCTCAACCACTTGAATACCAAAGCAGCGAACCAGCCTTCATCCGCCGTCTAAAAGCAGGCAATGCAGCACTCGACGGCCGACACAATGTGCAGATATCCCGAGTACGCGGCGGTATGGGTAAGAACGACAGACTCAACATGGGTGGTGAGGAAGGTGAAGACGATCCTGTGATGCTTGATGAGAGTGGTAATCTGGTAACGAAGGAGGAAATGAAGGTCATGGAGAAGGAAGTGACTGGTCACGCCCATGAGAAGCAAGTTGACAAGGACGAAGGCGCGGCAGAACAGCAGAAGGACCATCTAGCTAAGGATGAAACGAGCAATGTCAGCAGCGGGTTTGGCAGAAAGCGAAAAGCTGCAAAGGTTGTAGGTAGTGATGATACTGATGGTCGTGGTGATGGTGGTAATGAAGAGGCTGAGAAAGAGCCTGTCAAATCACTGACGGAAAGCACGAAGGATCTGGAAGGAGTCGTTGGTCAGAGCAAGGAAGATGCAATAACGAAAATTACGAAAGCTGCGCCTACGAAGAGAGGCAAAAAGAAGAAGGTCAAGTTGAGTTTCGATGAACCAGAGTGACTTGTCAGTATGGAAATGGAACTGGAAACTCGAAGACGAGAAGCTATCTTCATCCGACTTGCCTGATGGGATACACCGCGCCGTGGTCCAGATGGAAAGGTAAGCAGAGGAGTGTTCGAGTTCAAGAGAGCTAAGCACTCAGCGCTCGACTACAGGGGAAGGACCTTCCGCCACGAGGAGGCAAACGAAGTCTGCCATGCACTCTCCAAGCTTGACACGCTTGACATGATTCAGGAAGAGTTGTAATATTACCACTGACACTGCCTGCATATTTCTGAGTATGGCCTCCAGTCGTTGCATAGAGTACGTATTAGAGTTACGGCGGAGAGAAAAGGATTAATCACGAATGAACAACCAAGATAAAGTAATTATTTTTGTGCTGTACGGAAGGTACAGATCTGGTACAAGTTGTTTGCACCTGTGAGACTATACAATAAAATCCAGTCAACCGCTCATACGCCCTGCTTAAGACAAATTTTGTTTAGACAGTCTGAGCAGCCTTCTCATGTGCCACCTGTCTCTCTTCCTCACTATTCTCAGCAGCCACAGTAGAACTGGCGGCTGAGCTCCTAGAGCTTCTCCTCGCTGCTGGATCTGGCTGACCTGGAACAATACCCATATAGTCATCAAAGACCGTGCTGCTCAACCGTCTCATACGACCACCACCAAGTTTCTTCGCTCTTTGTCTGTAGAACACTCTCTTGCCCCACTTCCATGCCTCCACACCACCGAAGAAAAGTATAGCCTCAATGATGATAATAGCCCACTCCCAGGTAATACCGGTGTGTTTGAACACGTCGTGATTGATAACTGGAACATATAGGATGAGGAAGATCGAAACGAATCCGAACATGACGGACCAGAAAAGAAACTTGTTTCGCCAAACGTCGTGCATCCATTGAGTGAAGTATTTCTTAGATTTTGGTTGCATACGGAAGAATGAGCGGCGGAAGTTCATGAGCTCCCAGGCAAGGAAAAGTGAGAACCAAGTCATGCTCACGAAGCACGTGGCTCGAGCTCGGAAAACGGTATCACAGGAATCTGAATAGGCATCGTTGCAGTTGAGGCCTTCAATACCGTTCCCGAAACGATATGCTACCAACGAGAAGCTGGACAGACAAAGTGCTGCCATCCAAAGACCATATACAAGCATATCAGTGAGCAGTTCGTTCGTGAAGATGCCACGCTTGAGGTTCTGCGGTGGTCTTTCGAGGATGTCAGCAGCAGCCACTTCGAGACCTAGACCCATGTCGGGAAGACCAGAGGTAATCATAATGACCCACATGATCTCGACAGGTGAAAGTGGGAAGACCGATAGAGCATTTGCGTCCTTGAAGGCAAGACCAATAAGCAGTGTGCACGCCTGTGCTATGTTTTGTGCGAGAAGATGGAGGACGAACTTCTGGATATTATCGAAAATTCGTCGACCTTCTTCGACAGCATTGAGAATAGACGCGAAGTTATCATCGGTGAGAATGATATCAGAGGCATCTTTAGCGACATCCGAACCCGCCTGGCCCATAGCAATACCAACGTCGGCTCTTTTCAAGGATGGAGAGTCATTCACGCCATCACCAGTCATAGCTGCAAACATGTCGCGTCGATGAAGAGCTTCGATCATGCGTACCTTAGTCTGAGGTGCACATCTTGCGATAACCAAAGGCAGGACAGGTAGTTCATCAATCTGGTCGTCGGTAAGCTTGTCGAATTGTGAAGCAGTAGTCACCATGGCTGACTCCATTTGTTTTGAAGCCTCAGTTTGTAGCTTCTCGGGCACAATGCCAATTTGCTTGGCGATAGCCAGAGCAGTACCAGGATGGTCACCAGTAAGCATGTGAACACCGATTCCAGCACGGTGACATCGCTTGACGGCATCTCTCGATTCTGGTCGTGGAGGATCAAAGAGACCAATAAGACCACGGAAAGTTAGACCTTTCTCAACCTCGTTTCTATCCTCTTGTCCTGTTGGTCCATCGTGTGTCTTTGAAGCAAATGCGAGGACTCGGAGACCTTCAGAAGCGAGCGCTTCCATGTTGCCCAGGATGTCTTCCTGGACGTCTTTAGTCAGTTCCTCCAATTCACCATTACCTTGAAGATCAATGTTGATGCAAGCTTCTAGGACTCTTTCCACAGCACCTTTAGAGAATGCTAGTAGCTTTTCGGAACCCTTTTGCTGGAAGATGACTGACATCTTCTTCACATCAGACGAAAAAGGATACTCTGTGATGAGCTTCCATGCAGCATTGTCACCCTCAGTTTTGGACTTTCTGTTCCAGTCGAATCGAGAAGCAAAAACCTGGATGGCAACTTCGGTGGGGTCACCACGAGCTGACCAACCTTCGTGCTCGGTAGATTTGTAAACAGTAGCCAAGTTTGCAAGTGATGCCACCTTCAAGAACTCTTCGAGAGGGCCATTGTCCTGCAGCAAATCTTTGTAGTCTTGGGCATCATCTTGACCTTTTACTTCTGGGGGTATGTCCATATCGAGTGAGACGTCGTCACCTGGTGCATCCTCCGAATGGTATAATTCACCGATGGTCGGGTTGTGTGGCTGGTTGCTTTCTCCTACAGAATAAGTACCTTTTGATGGGATCCAAGCTTTCTTCGCAACCATTTTTCCTTGTGTCAAGGTTCCAGTTTTGTCGGAGCAAATATCGGTAACGGCACCTAAAGCTTCGAGGGCGTTCAGCTTTCGAACAATGACATTCCTCTCCACCATTCGCTTAGTTCCTGCGGCCATGGTGATCGTCAATACCACAATTAGTGAGGCAGGAATCATAGAAAGACCGGTCGCCACAGCGTAGATGATAACTTCTTGATCATTGACGAAGCGGTTGGCAGCCAATACAATTATGGCGAAGACGACAGCAATACCGAAAAGGCCGATGGCAAGTTGTGATAGCTTCCGTTGTAACGGTGTTCCGACATTGACGCCTAGGAAGTGGCCAATGAAATCACCACCAGTAAGAGCCCACGCCTGTGCCTGTCGGTGTGGCTTTACCTTACCGTCTGGCGTTCGCTTGGGTTCACGTACTCTTTTGTTCTGACTTCTTAGAGCGGCTGCGATAGTACCGATTTCTGTAAACATTCCTGTAGCAAAGACAACGCCTTTTGCTCTACCTTTAGTGACAGTGCTCGATGAAAATGCAATGTTGAGTCGGTCGCCAGGTCCAGTGTCTGGCTCGAATGTCTGATCTGATTCCTTCGTCACTGGCAACGATTCACCAGTGAGTAGTGCTTCGTCGGTCTCAAAGTTCATGACCTCCATGAGTCGAATATCGGCTGGGACTGTATCACCGGTTTTGAGTTCAATCATGTCTCCGGGTACGACTTGAATCGTGGGAACGGTTATCTGGTTTCCATCTCGAACAACCTGCGATGTTGGCGAAGAAAGTGAGCGTAATGAGTCCATAGTCTTTTCGGCTGAATATTCCTGCATAAAACCAATAACGATATTGAGAATGATAATGGCTGCTACCACACCACCCTCAATCCACGATTGGATACCGAAAGAAACTGCCATTGCTAAAATTAGTACCAACATCATAGCATTTGCAACCTGTCTGATGAGGATTTTTGTGGGATTGACACCTGGACCGTTGTCCAGTTCATTTTTGCCAAATTCCTGCAACCTTGTTTCTGCTTCCGATGCTTTCAGTCCCTCGATGCCGCTGGCACCGAGCTCTTTAAGGACTTCATCGAAGGACAGACTGTGTGCTGGCTTTGACAAAGGCTTGTTAGATTGGCCTGAGACGTGACCCTCGAGAGGGTTTGGTTTTCCCATGTTGACGGCCTATGTGTTAGTGGTAGAAACTTCCAAGAGCCCAGGCATAAGGGTAGACATTGTCCAATATATAGAGCCAGAAATGTAGTGCTCCAACGATCTGCATAGAAAAGTATGTCTAGGTCATGGCAAAGCCGGAAGGCTTGATCACTTTCTTACCTTTTCTAAGCCTATCAAAGTGATTGATCCTGCATAATCAGCCTGGAGTCAATACTGAGGAGCACAGTGAAGATGTGGGGCATGACAAGAAAAGGCTGGCATGGCATCAAGCATTTCGGAAACCTTGATTGATCGGATGGCAACATGTCATCGCAGAACTCCAGTAGCCAAGCCCTTCGATCGTCTTGGTAGTCGAAACCTTCGCTTGGGTTTTCTTGACCACAATACGTGAGAATACCAACGTGCCGTTCGTGACTTCATAGACGAACTGCTATGTCAAGGGATGCCAGCAATACCGAAGTCGATATCGATGGGCTTACAGAATTCGAGAAACTCAATATGAACTCTTGAGTGTTTCAATATCACTACGCCGCACAATACCGATGCGTTCGAGCTGAATGCAATGACTAACAGCCATGTGCGGCAACATGACATATCGAGGCTTGGCTGTTCCTTGGAAGTCCATGGGTAGAGAATGCCAAGGTCACGCTGCTCATGTTTGCGCGGAACAGAAGAACCTCAATGATCATGTTAACGATAATCGCAGGGCCAAATCAAAACCTAGAAGCGGTTGAGAGATTGGGAAATAACACCCGAGGCAGCAACTATAGGCCTGGCGCTCTTGCCAAGGCTTGGCCTACATCACTGCTTCGGTTCTCAAACCGATATTACGTGGCCTCCATGATACCAGACACGATATCGATACGGTTGCAACTTTGCCAAGAGATGGTCATGCTCTATCAGGCGAACCTGCTATCTGCTATCGCGGGAGTACGGCCAGTCGATACCGATGTATTCTGCAGGTAGACACGAATGTCACGTCAGCGAGGCATCAATGGCAGACATCTCAGTGATTCAGCTGCAGTAGTGCTGCATTTTGGGTCAACAAACGGCCTGGTACTCGTATTCTGAAACTACTCAGGAACGGGTGATACAGAGCGCCCAAACAGAATGACAGCAACATAAGGTTAATGCCAACCCGTTCTGATCAGAAGGTCTATTGAGCGCTAGGCGGCAAAAAGTCTACCTCCGTCCTGCCGTTCGTCGAAGGTTCGTATTTCCTGACCGTCCCTTCCTCTTTGCGATGTTGCTATCATCTGCTCTGAATGGTGACGTTGTAAATTCGTCGACGAGCATGCTATCGTCTCGATACAGTATCTTTCTAGAATGTGGTTCCAGAAACCGCCACGTTCTGCCCACGGAGACACCTAATAAATGACTGAGGCATTCATATCTTAAACAGTTCCTACCACTAGCGTCTTATGTACGTCACTCGTAACGAACATGCCATGTGGGTGGAAACATCTCAACGTGCATTTGCTGCGCCTCCTTTAGCATATGCTTGATTCAGGGTAGTTCCTCAACATGCCTCCTCCACGCCGCAAACTGCAAGAAACAGTAGATGAGACCTTAACGCCTCCGGATGCTCTTAAAGAAGGTCAATCTATTGCTCGTGTGAAGAATGCCGCCGGCCACAATTTGTACAATGTCGAGCTACCTAACGAGATGGTTATACTCGCTGAACTTGAAGCTCGCTTCCGTTCCACAATTTGGCTGAAACGAGGTGGTTTCGTGGTGATCGATACCAGCAGTCCTGCGGAGAGAGCCAACAAGATTGATGCAGAGATAGTCAATGTTGTTCGCGACGAAAGAGCCTGGCGGAAAGAAGCATATTGGCCAAAAGAGTTTGCGAAGAAGGCGGCACCAGCAGAAGATAGTGACGAGGAAGGCTCGAAAGTTGGAAAACTACCGCCCTCAGACGACGAAGGTGGCGATTCAGCATAGGCCACGGCAGGTTTGTCCAAGTTTCGCTTATCGCATCAACTTCTTGTCGATTGGAGCTGCATATGGGTGTTTAGAGGGAGCTGCAATCCACACCCCAATAACCTGCAGAGCCATAACCAAAACTGCGGTGAAGGAACTCCATGGTGTACTCGGATAGGTGAGCCAGGCCAGCTCTTGCAACAGGCACACTGCCAGCACGACCACAGGATGAGAACCGCTCCTCCACAGAAGATAAGGTGTGGACCATCCAAGATAAGCATAGAACTGGTAATGCAGACTTCGTGCGCACACCATACCGATAACAATACTCCCTAACAACGAGTCCAATACCAAGGCTGGTGTTATCCTACTCTTGATTTGTTCTTTCTCAACTGGGCTGATTGACCTGTATTGAAGGAAGTGTTTCTTCATGAACTCCCAGATACCACCCCCACTCGGCTGTAACCATCTGTATTGTAGAAATGCTAGCAGGAGGCTTGCATGAACTGCCAGCAAGCTGTATGCAAACGGTTTGGACAGAAACAACTCCTCAGACACGAACCGCCAGTTGACGGTCCATTTGTAAAGAAACTGCCTTCCTAAGTCGAAGGCTTGCTTCAAGTAAATTCCCACATACTTGCTTGTCATGAAGGGTGCAGTAAATACAAGAGTGATCGCTGCTGCCACGACCATCCACAATATGGCTCGTTCCGTGCCTGCGTTTTGAACCACGATCACAAGAAGAGCTGGAAATGGCAGCAGCATCGTCATCTTGACATTCAGGGCCAATGACCAAGCGACAATGGAGACGCCCCATCTCTTTCTTGTCGCAGCGTAAACTGCTACCCAGAAGAAGAATGCCGCCCAGCAGTCGTTGAAGAGACGCAGCAGGAAGATGCTATGGAGTCTCTTGCTCAGAACGAGCGGCGCAAGTAGCCATGGAGGCGCATTGACTCGTCTATAGCTTGCAAACACAAGGGACAATGTCGCAAGATACAGACCAGCATAGATAATCTGTGCTAGCCTGATATCCTGGCCATGGTTCGTGAGGTGGTAAAGGGCGCTATGGATGTATAGGTGGAGGGCAGGGTATACGCATGGGCCCGTGGGACCATCTATCTTGCTATAGTTCCTCTCAGAGGTCGGTGGGAGGAATTTCGAAACCTGTATCATGTATGTCTCCCAGTCAATCTCTGTGTCTACAACAGATCCGTTAGCGACCGTCGCTCTTCTGACCGATCTCAGACCTACAGGAGACGTAGTTGACTATGCCAGCGCAGAGAATAATCTCTAACAGCACAAGACATGGTGCGATCCACCGTGTATGCCATGGGTCGGTTAGTAGCGACAATATGGTGTCGTGTAGATTAACCATCCTCGTAGTGAACAGACTCGACTTCGGGAGAATCTGCGTTCGCGGCGACGAGTCCTCGGTCGCAGGCGATCGGACCAAATCGCTAGCTCGAATCTGCTCCACAACTCCATTTCTTGAACCACTAGTCCTCTCTGGTTTGCGGTGAAAGAGCGCTGAGTGTGAAGCCATACCAGATTCGTGCCGCTGCTTGGGGATTAGAGCTGATCTGGACTGTTCGATGACGACGTCAACAACGTCCTCACACCCGAGCTTCAATTTCTGATGATGAAGTATGATATATTGCTACGGACTTCTCGAGATGCAGGGAGGATTTCTCACACCATCGCTAGAACCTGTAATATTCACTTGCCATACATAAGACCTCGACTTGCTGATCTTGTAGAATAATTTGCCATCTGTATTGCTGGCTTTTTCGTTGAAAGAACGAGATACTTAGTTCGAACTGAAGCACGCGCCTCTGGAGTGGCAACTATTTCGAACACCATCGTGGACGAGCATATCTGATTGGACACAGCACTAACGACAACATGGCTCACAGTACTGAACACGACCTCAATTGCTTAACCATTGCGGAGCTCGAGAAGATAGCTCGAGACCGTATGGACAAGCAAACACGAGACTACTATAACGAAGGAGCCGACAGCGGTAGCACCTTAGCCGAAAACCAATCTGCCTACAACAAATATCGCATCCGGCCTCGCGTGCTTCGTGACGTTTCAAGGATCGATACTTCAGTGCCAATCTTTGGTCAGCGGAATGCCATCCCAATGGGCGTGGCACCAACTGCTATGCAGCGACTAGCACATAGTGAGGGAGAAATTGCCACAGCTCGAGCTTGCGCCAAGGCAGGCATTGTCATGGGCCTGTCGAGCTTCAGCACAACTACACTCGAAGACGTTGCAGAGGCAAGTGGACACAACGCGAATGTTCTGCAACTATACCTGTTCGAGGAGAAGCAGCACTCGATTGAGCTCATCGAGAGGGCGAAGAAAGCTGGATATAAGGCTGTGCTGCTGACCGTGGATACTCCTTACCTTGGTAGACGGAATCTGGAGATTAGAAATCAGTTCAAATTACCTGCACACCTCAAGATTGCAAATTTCGCTGAGAACCCTGACGATATGGAAGAGATAGAAAACGAGAGCGGAGATAGTCAGGAAAGCCAACAGGCTAAGAAGACAAGGCGGAGAAGGGCAAGCTCTATTGGATACCAGAACGGAGAGAGGAGAGTCGCGCCTACAGGTCCTATCACCTTCCATTCGCATGCGCCGAATCCTTTGCTGAGTTGGGAAGATAGTATACCTTGGTTGAAGGAGGTGGCACACCCTATGGAAGTTTGGGTCAAGGGTATTGCGACTGGTGAGGATGCACTACTGGCCATTCACCACAAGGTTGATGGTATTGTTGTATCGAATCATGGTGGCCGCCAGCTAAATGGAGCTCTGGCTACTCTGGACGCCCTGCCCGAGGTAGTTGAGGCTGTGAACAAGAGGGTGCCTGTCCACGTCGATGGAGGCATCAGGCACGGTACGGACATCTTCAAAGCACTTGCACTGGGAGCAGACTTTTGCTGGATCGGTCGTCCTGTGTTATGGGGTCTCGCTTATAAAGGTGAAGAAGGTGTTGCATTGGCTCTGAGACTGTTGTCAGACGAGTTCAGGTTATGCATGAGTCTGGCTGGTGTGACGAGGGTGAGCGATATTAGCAAGGAGTATCTTGTCAAAATGAACCGAGATGGATTCGTGAGCAGATTGTGAGGATGACATCTGTGTCATGGTTTCCTGGACTGTTTTAGTAACTTGTACATAAATTTATGAACATTATGACTTGCTTCAACAGATCTCTCGTGTAATTGATTTCGAAGCCAGACCCATAGCTATAGTAGGCTGTTATTGAATTTCTGTAGTTCCGAGAGCATCATGTATTTGCAACAAGCTCATGTCAATTGACAGCAGTAGGAAGTAGAGATCATCACCTTGTAAGCGCTTTTTCGATGAGCCGAATGTCATTGGCAGTCTAAAAGCTCCTCCACTCATGACTAATAAGTGCTGAATCATCCAATACCTTCTAGATATCGACTCTTGTGTGTCTTCTCTTTGAGATCTCCCGATCGCCCAAGCATGCATGCTTCAAGTCTGCAACTGTCTCTGTATTTTGCTTCGTGCCCGTTGCGCCTTCACTGGCAGGATCACTCAAGACTTTCTCATCGGTGACTGCAAGCTCTACATCGTCAGAAACGGCTACCTCTACCACTGGTCCCCGTTGTCGTAGCGTCTGGTAGTATTGTGTTAACAGTGTTTGCATCTTGAATTCCTGCTTGCTTATCGGGGTTCTTGAAGGGTCATGGGCATCGAAGATGTTTGAATTTGTAACGGCTTCGGGCCTGGTCGGATCATACGTCTGCTTGCGCTTTCGCACTGGAACATCCTAAACGCCAGATTTACGTTTTTTCTTTCCATGTTCTTCCAGTTGTTTTACTGTGTTTCCGTTCGCAGGAGTCGCGTGGTCAGTCTTGTTTTCCTGACCATTGCTCCGTGGAGAGATCTCATCTGCCTTGGCTGTCTCGGCCTTCTTTTCCTCTTCGGCTGCTTTTCGTTGCCTCTTGCGTGCCTTTTTGGGCAAGCCACTAGTGATAGGAAGTTGCTGCTCGTTGGTGGTGTCCTCACTTTTGACCTGGGAGCTCTCAACAACCGATACCTCGCTGTTGCGTTTACGCTTCTTGTCGGCTCTCTTCTTACGTAAATCCTCCTTTTCCCTGAGACGCAGCTCGACCTTTGCTTCAAACGCCGTGTGGTGAGGTGCCTCCTTACTGGTATCCTCTTGTATTCCGTCCGCATGCTCAACCTTGATACGCTTCTTCGAAGGTTGGGCTGTCTCTGGAGAGGATTGGACGACTGTCGAAGGAACGGGCAGTGTCTCAGGCCCTGAGTGTTTTCGTTTCTTTGCAGGAGGCCGCTCGGACATTGCTTCAAAACTACGTAACAGATCTTTGACATCGCTGGGGTTGGTGTCGACCATGAAGAGGCCACTGTGATCCTTGGCAGGTGGAGGTTGGTCTGTTAACGTAGCTGAGGGTGTATCAGCCACTTCTCCCTTCGTGGTCTTCTTCTTCTTCTTGGGCCTGTTAATAGGTTCTTCAGGCGTCCTCTTGCGACTGTATTTCGCTCCATTGATAGATCTCGAAGGTGATTGTTGCTGTGATTTCGGCTCCCGATCAAGGATTGGAGTATCTAAATCAATATCTTTACATGCAGCAACCATAATCCGTGTCTCATTCATGCGTCTTTTAGCAATTGACTGGATTGCTAAGTCGGTACTACCGTCATCGTGAATATGTTGCCATAATTGCATGTGTTCATCAAGAATTCTGCGATGCTGCTCGAAAGCCTTGAGCCTTTGTTAACGTAGTAGTCTATATAGACAATTTTTAAACACACCTGATGCCAAGCAGGTGCACTTGATGTCTGCATACTGGCTGGGATAGTGTATCAGAGACGTCACATGTAAGACTTCGAGTAGGTGGTTCGGGACATGAGAAGTAAGCATGTCTCGACAAGGTGCAGTAGTACTTTCGCAGAAAAGTAAATTCGCAGTGAGAAACTCGAGCACTGTCACTTTGCGACGCGACTTGGAGTGACGTACAGCGGCACCGAAACACGTGCAAATTGGCTAATCATCGGCTGGAGAGCACAGACATTGAAGTGCATGAGTATAGTTTTCTGAGTGATGCTTCGTTGAGACAATTGAGGTTTATGAAGCGAGTGGATGACTTCGGTGTCTTGTAGCAAAGTGTGACGCTCTTTGAGTAGTACGAGGTCCATACTACTGCAGTAAGGTCCTCAGCTAATACGATTCTACAACAATGCTAAAAACACGCGAAAGGCATTCAGCTCGCGTTCACTGAGTCACCACCGTGATGGCTCTACCATTTCAGCCCTGGAAGAAACTCCACATGGTCTTGCGGTAAAGTAGAAAACGCGCAAAGACTTCAGCAATGATGCGTGTTATCGATTTTTGGCGCAAAAGTCCTCGCCATCTACCACTAGTAACAACTACGACCACTAAGCTAAGATCAATATCGAATGTTCATATGCTTCGTATCGGAAAAGCATTGCCCGACCAGCGGCTCAACTCATCTCTATCTAAATTTGCACCACTTCAGAGTCTTTTTTGGTCTTGAGCTCAGCCTGTGACCTTCGTTGATTGAGGTCTCGAGACGTTCAGGCTGCGACTTCTGTATGATTCCTTTCTGGCACTGCAGTTATTCAGCAGGAAAGTATACCCAGAGCGACCTTGCAAACATGCGATACTGAGAAAAGTGCCTTGGTTCCTTCCTCCAGAACAACTTCAGCACTGCTCCTTCTTGCAGAACACCGCACTTGCCTCAGACAGTCATGTCTGTTAAAGCATTTCCTCAACTTTCTCCTCAGACTCTTCTCCTTTACTTCAACATACCACATACACATCTTCCCGAACAGCTTTGCTTCTACCCAGCTGTTACTCACAATTCCTCGTGTATCTCAATCATCCTCACATTCGTCTTGGTTTGCACATTGCAGTTCAAAATCACAACAGAAAGATTGCTGCTATTCATCTGTACAGCTGTTCATAGAACCAGTCACTGTCGACTTCAGATCAAATCAAGGAGCTTGTCACTTAGTGACCACTAACCTCAAGTAAGTAGCATTCCATGTCCTCGACTCATTCTCTCCATGGTCCTCCTTTGGCTCTTCACATCAGCACACAACAGCTCCAACAGATCTGTCATGTGGTTCGTTGATCGAAGACCTCAGCTACCACATGCTCCTGATAGACGACCACGATGGAGCAGATCTGTCATGCCTCGATCTAGCTATACACCTTTTCAACAACAACAACGTTTATCTTCAATTACTAACACCAAGTTTCCAGCTTATCGTACCCTCATAGCCAAGATGAACAGCTACAATCAGAGAATGCCTATGGCAGCTCAGTATGGTGAGTCACTACACGCAGTCGCTTCTGTAGCATTGCTAACACTACGTGCAGGTGGCAATGGTGGCCAAGGTGCTCTCAATAACCTTGTCAACTTGAGATCGGCACTTCCCTCTCCTATTGGACCCACTTATCCAGCATCTGCCAGTCGTGTCGATCAGAATAATCCAGTCATGGTACTTCCATCTGGCCAGACAGTGCCAATCTCTGCCTTCCTTCCACCAGCTCAGCATGGCACAGACCAAGCCACATATTCTGCCAATGGACTTTACAGTGGCTACCTCCACAGCGGCAACATGCAACAAAACAATCTGGCACATTACAACAGTGGTATTGCTTTCCAGCCAGCTATGCCTGAATTTGATCCTGCACAACGTGCAATCTGGGCCAAGAATGACGAGAATGTCGGCTATAGCCAGACCAATGGTGCAGTTGGCACAGAATTTTACCCTGGCTATCCATACCAATCTGCAGTCGACAATCAGACCTACATTGCTGGACCTATTCAACCTATGAAGACCAAAGACAACAAAGGCTATGAGATGGTGAATCTCGATGAGCTTGTCAGCAGAGACCCTGTCATACCCAGAGCTGTTCCTGCTCTCTGGACCAACCAAGAAGAGCTCACTCTTGCCAAATGTCTTCAAAATCCGGAAGGCATCACGAACGTCTACATTCGTGGCTTCATGCCTGATACCACTGATGAAGACCTGCACCAATGGGCTTCTCGATTTGGTGAAATTGAGTCGTGCAAGGCCATCATCGAACAGGACACCGGCAAGTGCAAAGGGTATGTGCTTCCTTGCTTCTATACTCCTGCTGCTGCTAACATGAGACAGATTCGGCTTCGTCATGTACTACTCACCAGCAGCCGCTGAGAACTGCATTCGAGGCTTCTTCCATCTAGGCTTCCAGGCCAGCTACGCCCAGAAATCCCGGAATGCACGATTGAAGGATCTCGAGGACAAAGCATCAACCAATATCTACTGCACCGGTGTACCAATTGACTGGAATGAAGCTGATTTGGCCAAGCACTTCCTGCCTTATCGAGCCATTTCAACCAAGATTTGTCGAGATACACCTTCTGGTGTCAGCAAAGAGGTCGGCTTCGCTCGGTAGGTCACTGTCACTCGATACCTGCATCACTCACTGACTTCTTCTAGCTTTGACACACGCGAGATTGCTGAGCATGTCGTCAGAGACTTCCACAGCGTTCTGTGTGAACACGATGGCGTCAAGCTCTTCCTTCGATTCGCAGACACCAAGGCTCAGAAACAGCTCAAGCTTCAAAGCCAAGAAAGACGTACATGGCGCAGTCGGGAATACAGCTATTCCGTTGAACACACTCCATCACCAACCTTGACTCGTTTCCAAAATGTTGGTGACGGTGTCAGTCCTGGCAGCTACCAGTCTCCTGCTGGCGGCAATCACAACTTCACTCCTGACACGTCAGTCTCACCTCCGTAAGTCTAGCTCACGACTTGAAGTCATGGTTGCAGTTACTAACCCTGTTCAGTGAAGCTCAGATTGGCAAGCCAACTATCAGTGTTACCACTACTCGAACTGCTGCTTGGCCCATGCAAGGCGGCTTGCAATCTATCACCAACACCGCCGGCTCTCGAGTTCAGACAGTGGCCTTGCCGCCGACTCAGACTACAGTTTCCATCAAGACCGAAACCAACATGCCCCTCCATGACGCTCGACAAACCAAGACACCAAGTCCCAAGAAGGCTATCGCTGCTCCAGGCAAGGAGAATGTCAGCACAATCACTCCTGAAAGAGTTGAGTGATCTCAGAAGATCACCGTAGATCTGGTTCTATTGACGCGTTTTGTTCATCGACATTGGTCAGCTTGAAACACTATCTTGTCACGATCGTCATCCTTGCCATGCACATGTGATGTCAAGATATCGACACAACCATCACTATCACCACGCAAGCTGTCGACATGTCACAAATTACAACACAAAAGTTATCATCACATGTAATAGCTGTCAGCATATGGTCCGGGTCTGATGCAGACTGGAAAGGTCACTGGCCTCGACAAAAGATGTTGTAATTCACCACAACATATGTTACAACATGTAGTGAGAGGAATATTGTACCAACAGATAACATAGCTAATCTACATACATATCAGCATACAATTCATGTTGATCAACTTTTGTTGTCTCGTCGCCTTCTTGTTGTCTTGCTTGCTTGTCATTAAGACTTGAACTAGGGCCTGGTGCTGATATCAACGACTAAATTCCACACGCTGGGACCACGATACGCTTGATCCGTGTTCGCAATATAGTAGGCAGCTCACTGTTTGTGCGAAGTTACTGGAGTTTGCAACAATAAGCTAGCTTCCGACGCTAAGTTTTTGGAAAGTCATCCTTGTATTTGTTGATTATTAGTTGGTGTCATTGCAGCATGTTGAAAGTAGTTCGACATTATCTACAGTCCATAGCGTGGTGGCTGGGACAAGAACACATGTTGTGCAATCCATGTTGTCTGAGTTATTGGCCTAGATTTCAAGCTCATTCCCTTCCAAGCCTCTCCTCATCATCCTCCGTCAGCACATAGGCTGGTCTAAATCTCTCTTCACCAGTCTCCGGATCTATATGCTTCAACTTCGGATTCCTCAACGTATCTCCCACTCCACCCAGGCTCGTGTAACCTTCGTCATACATAGCACAATACTCGACATGATCCCGTCCTGCAGCTCGATCCACGTCTCCTGCTAGATGCGGACTGCGAAGGAACGTCCATATCTCGGATAAATGCCAATCTATCACTGGGTGTATGCGCATAAAGCTCGGCCACGATCCATCCGTCATATCGAAATGAGTGAGGTGAGCGCCGTGCGGGTCTGTCCTGCGCGTGCCAACGAAGATTGCACGAACCGAGGGGTGGGAGTCGAGATAGAGCGCGAATGCGTCGCGGAAAGTTATGATCTTGCCCTCTTGGTGAGGTTCGTTCGCGGAGATTTGGTTTGGGTCCTGGTGTGAGGCGGCTTGTATGCTCTGTTTCTCGGGACTGGTGGGAGGCGAGGAATGGGACTTTGCTTTTGATGGGGTTGGTTTCGTGCCGGGGTTCGTGGAAATGTGAGTGAGGGAGAGGTGATATTGAGCGCTTGAGGAGTCGACGAAGGAAGTTACGGCTGGGAAGGGGTCGGGTGGTTTGGCGTAGATCGAGGGGATGGAGGGTGGGAATGTCTTGGTGTTGTCGTTGTCGTTGTTGTTGTCGTTGCCACTGGCTTCTTTGCGCCGGCTGGTGGGCTGCGTGAAATATGTGTGTAGGACGGCAAGGTAGAGTATGAGCAAGACCAGACAGTCTTTACCTCCGTTGTAGGAGAGTGAGAGCGCATCGAAGCTGGAGGTACATGTCAATTATATTTGCTTCTGCTGATGATGCCGAGGTAGGATTTAAATAGTGAAATTGAAGAGAACGTACCCATAGTCGTGTAGTGCCTTCTCTATAACTCCCATAGCCACCTTGGTCTGCTGTTGCGTACGTTTTGTGGTTTCATTTTGCGGCTCAGCGTTCAGAAATTTGGTTACTCGGTTGTGCAGATCGGCGCATACGTCTGCAAGAGTATGCGAAGATGGTGGGCTGGTTGATGCATCGGCTTCTCTATGACTCCCGTAGAGGGAAGTACCGTTGGTCATAGGGCTGGCGGCGGCAGCTGATGCATCGCTGGACATTACTGAGAGCCCAGATCTATTGTGAAAGGCGACGTGAGAGAGGCAATGGAATTGTACTGACATGCGACGTGTTTCTGCAACTGTGACGGAAGTGGCCTGTCGAGATTTGGAGAAGTTCCTGACTTCAAAACCAAGCGGGGTTTCTCAGTCCGAATGCTAAGTAGTACGAGAGTTTGACAGCCAAGATCAGGAGTATCTTGTAGATAAAATCATTGGTATGCTACGGAATAATCACAGACACCATCGTTGATCATCCTTGGAACGCCTCTTCTCAGGTAATAGTGATCCTCCTAGTCATGGCTGAGCAACTCCAGAACCATACAAACAGGGACAGTTATACGCATGGTGAATGCGCCTACTCTTTCTGATCACTATGCACACCTGTTAGGCTACAAGAGCCTGTGGGACGACCAAAACTTCGAGGTGGTTAGCCAATGACCTTCATCTTCCTTTTCTTGCCGTCCTTCTTCTTGGCTTCGACCTTTTGAAAGTCCCGCCAACTGTCGATTCTCGTCTCACGAGTGTTCTCCCAGTTCTTCTCATGGTCACGCTTTCGTTTCCTTTCTTCCAGCTCAGCGTCTGCTTTAGCTTGCTCGCGGCCTTCCTCTTGCATCTGGGCTTTCATCTGTCGTCTGCGACGAGCTTCAGCATCGATTAGCACTTCGACAGTCTTTCGTCTCCACTCTTTTAGAAATTCGTCTGTTTTGAGCTCTTCGTCGTCGATCGAAAGCTTCTTCTGTCTGATCAGTAACTGACGGGCATCTGAAATACATTCATCGAGGTGTTTGCGCAGTTTTTCATCCATCAGTGTAGCTTCGGCCTTTTTCAGCCTATCAAACGCCTCAGGTGCTTGCGGATTTTTCGTTTTGTCAGGATGAATGAGCAACGACTTTTTGCGGTACATAACCTTGATCTGGGACTCGGGCACACCGGGCTGAATATCAAGGACGGCATATCTAAAAGACTGTCAGCGTTTGCCTGCTTAGGCTGAATATAGCAGTACTTACGCATCAAGCTTGAAGGCTTTGAGAATACGGTCAATTTCGGCATCCTGTTCCGTTAGTTGGATGTCTGAATGTCCATATCATACTGACCTTGTCATACTCCTTGGCTTCCTTTTCAAGTGCATCGAGCGCATCAACTTCATCATTAGCCATGATGGGTGGATTTACTGAGCTTACCACAGGCTTTGCTTTAGTCAAGTATATTGCAATATAGACAGCCGTAAGACTTCGCGTACCACTAAGAGCAGTACTGCGACGGAGAGAAACCGAGTCGAATCGTCAAAAACCTGGCCACGATTGTTGAGGGCAACTCGCAGTGGTGCAGTCTGGCAGTTTTGCCAGAGCGTGAGCTACGGTTGAGGAATTGGCCATTGGCGCGCCTGCAGTTTCCAGACGCGTAATTGTTGTCGCTCTTTCTCTCGCGTCGTGCTTTCTGCTTCAACTTCAAACAGCCAGAATTAATCGAGGCATGATCTCCATCGTCAAGCTCAAGATAACAGCAAGGTGAACATCTTTTACTTGTACAATGCGGTCCTCATTCATTAGGGCTTCGAGATCCATCGAGGGGGAAGTTTTAGCCGACATAGACGGTGGACACCATGGGGAACCACCCGCTATATGAAGCCTATGACAAACACTCAATACAGTGAGGCTCCCAGCACGATGTTCGCAACGATACCAGCCAGGAAGAAGACCTGATTGCTCTTCCGTGTTGCGACGACAAGCGACGCTGTTCTGTACTGCTTGTCCGATATGCTCGTCCACTCTTCTTTGGTAAGAGCTGGTAAGATGTTTTGCATTTGTGGCTCTTGCAGTTGAGTATCGAATCTAGGCTTAGAAATTATACACCGGGTTCAGAACGATACCAATCACAGGACTACCAAGGCCCCATTCAAGTGAACTTTGACTTACCCCACTCTCAGCCTGATTTATCGAAGTTGCGATTCTGGTGCTATCTTCGATGGATAAAATGCAGGCAGAGTAAAGGGATATGGGACTATGTCTTACGATGAGGACGTAGAATGTTGACTTGGTAATTTCCCTTGAACGGAACCATGTACAAGTTGAGCTGTGATCGCTCGTGTTAGGCGGCTCTTCCCGCGAAGGTCAAGCAATCCCAGACGCCCGCAGCCCACTTGTGGATACCACTGATCTAGGCGAGCGTGCTAAAAAGCCAGCTCACAAGATCTCACAAACGCCATACTCTTTCAACCCGGTGCAAGATGTCTTTATCATATCTTAGTACGGTGCGAAGAAATCTGTTCCATCATCAAGGCAAGTTATGTGCGGCTTTTCAGCTGTCGCGCTTACACACAAGCCACGTCGACTGACGCTCGACAAAGTTGTGGGTTGCGAGTAATAGGTGACCCTCTTGCCTACCGACAGCATGTCGTCTAGTGAAGGTGGTATGCAACGACTGAGCGTAGCGCCTGGCTTTGTATATATCTTCAACATTGGAGACTATACACATCTTCTCTACCCTGTCGACCAGAAGGCTTCCGAGAACTTGACTCTCGCTCAAAAGGCGAGCGTCGACATCGATCGTGCAAGAAACTTGTTGACAGAGAGAGGCCCCTTTCTGCTTTCTGACAATCAGCAGAAGATGGATGACCTCATTACTGATACTGAAGAGGCTATCAACAGAGTTATCAAGTTACTAACTCCTGCTCGTGTTGAACAAGTTAGTGAAGAAAGCATTCGTATAAACCCCAAATCAGCATGGGCTCTCGAATCTGATGAACCCAAGACAGCGGCAACCTTTGCACGACTTTATTTGACACATGGTAAACTCAGAACTGTTGTTCATGATTTGAAGAATATAGAGGCGACTGCACAGCTGGATAATTGTGAAATAAGGGCGGCAACTGCTATTAGTTCCGCGTCTTTAAATCACTCGCAGCCCGGACAAGCTGAAGATACAAATGTGTCATCTCAGGATCAGAGACGATCCGCGTCTTGGAGACGAAGCAGACGATTATCGAAGCAAACAGCTACTAGCGACGCTTCTACCATCAGTAAACCTTCTGCGGATGAGCAGGAAGCGCCAGACTTGCAAAGTCCCGTCAGCAGCGACTCGAATACATTCCTGCATCCCAGCCATCCTCTATCGCTACCAGAGCCAAGGTCTATCAACAACATCATAAGTTCATCGCATGGACGAGATGAATCTCTGGACATACCGACAGAGCGCCTCCCGGTCATTCATGAGTTGGAATCGATAGCTCTCCAGTCAGATACTCTCGTTGTAGAAGATGACATGCAAGAAGACACTTCTCCAGTGACCGATACTGGTGGTTCTTCTACAGTAGCGCCTGAAAATGTGAAAATGGGAAGTTTCGCCTCTTACCGGAAACGTAACAGACAGTCCAGGCAGGAACCACAAGCGCAAAGAGCTCTGGTTGCTACTGGTCACGAGGTCCTATACCAAAGACCGGAGAAGCTCCGGTTGTTGGTCGGAGATTCGACGCAAGCAGCAGCTGCCATGCCTGAGGACATGATCCATCCCCAAATGCCACAGCAGCATGCACAAACCAGTGCAACTTCTTTGCCACCACATAATAATCAGGTATTATCTGTCTCCAGATTTCAGCTATCTCCTCAAACGCAGACACCTTCACCAGCGATCAACACGACCGACGAAAACCTCAAACGTCGATTGTCCTCAGCCACACGAACAGTCGAGGTGTATGCAATTGACCCGGTACTCACAAAGTTACCCTCACTACTGCGTGCAGGCCGTAACGGTAAGTCGAAAGGTCCTCCTCCGTACCCAGTATCGAATCCAGGGTCTGAGGATGAGGGTGAAGAAAGCAGGCTTGAAATTAATGCCCCCCAGACGAGAGAATTTCCCCCCGAAAGATCTTTGACAGCACCTCCAGTCCAGCGACATGTCCCTACCAACCATCTTGTGCCCACTGTGCCTCTCGTGCCGGATCTAACTCAACATCAGCGGTCGCTTTCAGACACATCAGTGCCACAAATCAACGTCATTCGTGCTCCTACGATCCCAAGAAAGCCACTTCCGTATCGCAATGGTTTCACTTTGATGGACGCTGGTCAAATGCCCAATAAAACTCCAGAGCAATCTAAAGAGTCCTCCCAACCATTTTCAAGTCAACGCCCTATATCGCAGTTGGGCACTAGTGGACCACCCTCGCCTCTAGGTTCTTTGCACCAGCGTAAAAGTTCCCAAGCATTGCACAGCCTCTCTGTACAAGGGCCTCCATCGCCGAATTCTTCACGACAGTCTAGTGTCTCTATTGAGGCTGAGCCATCTGCAACATTCGTGGAAGCCAGCAGCAAGGTGGCAGGTGACGGTCCAGATCTTCCTGGGCAGAGTCAATCAAAATTGGTCGAAATACTTCTTGAGACAGCAAACCCGGCATCTGCCAGACAAAGATCAAGACCAATGCTCAATCCATTATCAATGCATCCGGTGCGTCGTAGCAAGCCAGAAGACGAGCCTCCACCTGCCGCAGATGAACAGCAGCTGGCGTCCCCTACGGTCGTCAACAAGCAGCAATCTGCATATCAGGTACAGTCGGCTGTCGTCAATGTCACCAAACAGACTCCTCAAACAATCCCAATAGCAGACTACCGATCTCCTGCCTACCAACAGAGTCGCGTATTCTCGGATCCTGCCTTCAACCCTGCTATACGAGCGTTTCAAACACCCTCTCCATCCCGGTTTAGGGACCAGGACCAAGCTAGACCACAGATTACGAACCGAAGTCTGACAGCACCTGACCCGCTTGCACCAAAGGATGCGGCATCTGTGTCATTAGCCTCCAGGAGGAGAATGTCGGAGCAGGGCCAACTTCCATATCCGCGACTGGCAGGGGCGAGCCTAGATCATAGAGACAAAAAGACGAGAGTCGTCGATGTTGATGGTCAGCCTACGGAGAGCTACCAGACATCCAAGCCTCACATTCTGGCACCGCAAAATCCTGCGGTGCAGTCAGCAAGTCAACCCATTTCTGGTCCACGCATTTTCGCTCGTACAGAACCGCCGAGTGTTGTAGGACACAATAGGAACCGGTCGTTCGCACAAAAAATGTCTGAGCTGGAGAACATAGCTAGTTACGGTCCTGGGCGGCCAAGAAGGGAAGCCAAAGAATTGTTCGGACGGCATATATGGAATCCGAATGTCAGTGGATTAGCGCACCAACACTATCCTCAACACCAGCAGGATACGACCGCAAAGCAGGCATCATGGCCACAGCAGCAACGTCAGCCACCTGTCCACCCTTCATACCTGTCTCATCAGCACTTCCACAACCCGAATGGCCATCATCGGTCAGCCACTTTAGACTTGAGTTCGCAGCAGAAGCAGCACGATCCCCACTTACAGTCGTTGCCTGGAGCCAATAATCAGGAATTGTCACAACAACACTATCCTTTGCGAGCACAGCAGCGGTTCCCGTCCTTACAAACACACATCTCAGGACAGGGGCAACCAGCTGAGGTACAGGTTGGCTCGCGACGTCTCGCGGAGTTTTCTTTGCCTCATAAGCCGACTCCTCAGCATGAATGTGTTTGTGGAGATGAACCGCAATCTGTCCTGAGAGATCAATCTCGACTCAAGCAATTACCAGACTTGGGTACACAACACACACAGGCGACACGAACGGTTCTTCACGAAAGAGCTCAATCAACGCCTCAGGCTCAGACCCAGACTCAACCTCGACCTTCTCTGCAATCTGCTCACTCACAACCTCAGCTCAAAGGACAGATCCAACCTCAGCCACAAAATCAACGACCTCAATCATATCAACAATCTTCAACATCGGCTGTTCGTCTCATGCCCGTAATGGAGAACCAGGTGCTTCCGCAGCAGCCACAAAACTTCTCAAGCACTTACAAGAGTGTAGACATTCCCGATGGAAAAGAGGCGGCTGTGCTAGAGAGGCCGACAGAGAAGACATCTAAACCGAAGACCAGGAAAAGAAGCAGCTGGTTGAGTCACCAAGCTAGCCGTCTGACTTTGGGCAAAGGTAGCTAGCGACGATACAATGCCGGTCGCATGGCGACAGCATGTGAACAGGAGGCTGAGAATAATAGTAATGTTAATTTGAACTTTTATTCAAGGGCATGTTCAAACACTAATTGTCTTAAACACCCCAAACCCACTTCCGCCTGTAACCATGACTGTGCCAGGCATTTGTGGGTGCCAATGTAATTCTTTACCGTCCTCGACATGGTGAATAAAGAGTAACTGAGGCGGTACCTTTTCGGCACCTTCGCCTAGTCCAAGCCCTGCCTCCTTGCCATACTCTTCGTCGTCTATCTCAACAGAGAGATCCCACAAAGTAGCCGTGTTGTCAGCAGATGCAACAGCAACCACGCTATCATCCGATGGATGCCATTTAATCGACGTAACAGCCTTCTTATGGAAATTGAAGCTCGCAACCGGCGAAGGCTTGATCTGTCCACCATTGCCCTGAGGCTTCCACTGTCTCAGATCCCAGACTCCCCATTGCCCATCGTCAGCACCTGTTGCAAGGAGATGAGATGTTTGCCGCGACCAAGACATTACATTGACGTCTGTATCGCTGATTTTAACGTCCACGGCAGGCTTGCGGCTCTTACTTCGCACATCCCACACCTTGACTGAGCCGTCGCTACTAGCTGATGCGAAGACGTTCTTTTCACTTGGTGACCATTGGATTTCTTCGACGGAGCCAGCGTGGCCGACGTATGGCCTTAAATCAGCCACGAATGTGCCGGCTTCTGTCCCCTGCGAGCTGAATATTTGACCCGCGCAATCACCTGAGAGTAACCGGCCAACTGGAAAGGAGGAGGCAGGAGCCCAATCTAGAGCGTAGCCTTCTGTTCTGTGCATTTTTAGTGTAGCGAGAGGTTTCGAGGCGTCTGGCTGAAGCATGAAGCCTGGTGTAGATAGTGCTTTAAGGTGTGGTGTTACGTTGTGAATTAGGATCTGAGCATTTTCGAGGGTGGTTGCTGTCAAGGTCATTGGTATTTGTGACAGGTCGTTGCTGACTTGTGTAGGTTGAAAGCAGCGTATTCGATTAGTCGTGCTCGGAAGTTGTATAGACTTGGATTCTAGTATTGGGTCCGATGCTTCGTCATCGTCGTCGTCGCCACTTTCAGAATCCGTATCGCCTCGATCCATCTTCGCGAGACTGCTGAGCTTCAATATCATCAGCTCATTCTCCTTGGCGCGTGACTGTTCAGCCTGAGTCCCGGCTACGGCATATAATGTGCGAGGATATCGCTTGCGATTATCGCCAAGATTATCCCGGACAACATCGAAGGATAAACAGGGCCAAGTAGTTGACATAACGTGTAGCATTTCATACGTTGATGGATCGGGAGTAAGACTTAGTCCAGCTTGCAGTACCGATCGACCAGGTATGAATGTCTGCTCCTTGTTGTCTATATCCATAGCATCTTTGATTTGTTAGTTGGGAAGTCATGCTTTTGCGTATCCAGACCCTACCTTTCTGTTCTGCTTCGCGCTCAGCATCTGGTCTGCCATCTACACCTGCCTCCATCACCTCGTCCTCAGACTCATATTCATCCTCGAAGTCGTCCTCGAAGTCAAGCCCTTCTTCGTTTTGCGATCCATGTTCTGGTCGCTGTCCTGCTTTTAGTGGTGCGCCGTTCAACTCTTCGCCGCCACGTTTCGACATTCTGACAACGCACGGCGTTCAACGATCAAAGTTTGTATAAAAGATCGTGGGTTCGTATGTCAACGCAACTTCAGGGACTTTTGCACTGTGCCTACCTGTTGACCACTTCCTCGAACATCTGAACTCGTCCATGAATTTTTTTGCAGTGCCACAAAAAGGGCTAGTAATTGCGGCCATTTTGAATTCTCCTAGTTATCAGCACAACTTGCTGTAACTTGACCGTGCTTGCTCAGCATCTGCAGCAACATGTAAGCTCATCGTCACCTCAACGCGTGAACGCGTCTCAAATTCGATTTCCTGAACCAAATCTTCAGCTTCTGCATAGGCCCATCCTGCAATTGGATCTGCCAGGAATCGTAGAAGCTCGGAGTTATGTGAAGAACGCGTTCCTTATCGTGAGACCAAATCCAGCTGTGGCTTCTTCGGCAGGAGATTGGCTTTCCAGATCCGGGCTTTGCCTCGACCCGACTAACACTAGCTCCTTCTTGGGAACTTTCTAACTGGTTCAGACGCGTGAGATACGCTTGGCTATGCCCTCCTTTTTACCTATTGAGCATCCATAGCTTGATCGAGGCTCTGCTGTGCTTTGCTCCTTGTAGTGATAGGGCAAAGATGCCACATCGACCACTATGGCTCTTGTATCCACAGGCACGGCGATACCGAAAGGGTGTCAAGCTCTAACTTTTAGCTAGATACCACGCAGAAGTCTTTTTCTTGAACACTTTCAATCTCAAAGCAGTAGACAGTTGGTGACCTTCAATCAAGCGCGAAGATGGAGGACAAGCACTACACCACCGTCCAGCTTACAGATCTGTCTTCCCAACACGAGTCTGAGCAGGATCTGGTCGCCAATGAGAACACGCAAGATGTGCTGCCAACGGGATCCTGGCCGCAAGAGCCTGTACCCTTGGCGCCTGAGAAGACGGTATCACTGATGCAGAACGCGCTCGATGCTGGGATGGTCATCTTGTCATTACTCCTGATAGCGAAGGTTGCTCTCGTGATCTACGCATGGAAGAAGGATAGTATATGGAGTGGCGGTTATATCGATTTGGTCAGCGGTCTGACAAGGTTTTTGATTGAATTTAACAGTCAGATGGTTACAGCGTTCACTATCGTCTTTGTGACTATTATCTCTACCTTGGTCAAACGCTATGCCTTGTTTAAAGCAGAAAAAGGTGCTTACATCTCGGACCTGGAGCAATTGCAGGGTAGTGTCAGTCTACCGAGTACATTCAAGCTCATATGGTCGCTACGAGCCTTCAGCACGCAGTCTGTTGCACTTGTCGGAATCTGGTGTTTTTATGTAAGCATCCCCTTACGTCCACTCCGTCTTGTATTGTTGGCGCACAAAAATAGTGCTAAGCTAACTTGCTCATAGTATCTCGGTTCGCAAGCAAGTCAAAGAGAGTACGCATTGGTCACATCCAATAGCTACAAAAAGGTTCCTGTTGGTATACCAGGTCCAGACTATGTCTCCGGATTCAGCTCAAGATGGGTTCCAGCAAGCACCCACACTGGCTTGACAATCTTTAAGCCTGACCAGATCAATCTCGTCTATACATATGCAGACTTGGTCGATTACGACTACAATAGACCTGAATCATCTTACGGCACAGATTCGAATGGGCTTGCACTCCTACCTGATTTGAAGTATTTGCTCAATCCCCCTTTGAACGTGGCTGTCGGATGGATCAAGCCTGGTGTGAACCGTCACGGCTGGGTAGATGTGTCGAAACAATCACAGACCCAGATGCAGAAAGCTTACTCAGCCATGGTCGGAATACAGCCTTATATGTACGACAAGAACGCCCTTGATTTTGCATACAGTGGGAAGGTTGTAGGAAAGTACACGATGCGAACCTCTTATTTGGACGTTGGTTGTGAGGCGCCTCAGCTCCATCGATACACAGACTTTCCTCTTAATGCATCGTCAAATTACCAATCGATCTTCAACATGACTACAAGCAGTACTGCCACTGATGCTAATGGACAACTTCTTCGGCAATTCTATTTGTGGCATCGGTCGATGTCTCCAGCCACAGAGTACGCTTCGTACACTGAATCTAGCATGCAGTTGCTCTGCAATGTCAGCAGCATCAACGTCGAGGTGGAAATCAGGTGCAAAGATACTGGCTGCTTTCCTCACGCAATGCGCTACTTCAACGGGACGAGCCTCGAAACTGCGACTTCATATAGCACGCCCTTTGACGACGATTCGTTTGCCACGAACTTCTTCGGCAATCTCACGGAGATCGCTGCCCATGACAAAACCAATCAACTGAACCAATATTTCGAAGGCCTCAGCGTCGATAACACTACGACCCAAGACGATCTCAACACACAATGGCCTGGAGCGAACTGGCAAGCTCCATTTGAGCAAGTTCTCAAGAAGGCTTTCAATACATACTACATTCTTGGGCAGAATCACCTTTCCCGACAAAGCGCACCTGATTTCTCAGTACTCACGGCAACGGGTAGTGACAAAGGTTACCTACTGACCATCATGAAAGGCGCAATATACAATCCTCACTACGCCATATTCTGGCCCTGGATTGCCATGGATTTTGTTTCCTGCCTCATCCTGCTTGTGGCTGCGATTCTCTCTACCTGGTTGCGTATCAATACATTGGCTCCTGATATCTTCGGCTACGTATCTAGCTTGACAAGAGACAACCCAAATATCGATCTACCGAACAATGGAACCACGCTGGGAGGCATCGAAAGAGCGTTGATGCTGAAACGGGTCAAGATAAAGATTGGAGATGTAAGTGCACCAGCTGAGCCGAATAGAGTTGGGCTTGCAAGAGTGGACTCTGAGGTTGGGAGAAGCCGTCGGCATATTGAAGAGCTTAAGAGTACTGCTGCTTATGTATAGAGTAAGCTTGTAGGACACTTCAGAACAATGTTAATACTTGAATCGATTCTGCTCCAGGAGAGTTGTTACTCAATTTTTGCTAACTATCAGTAAGCCAGCGAAGGTAACGTGCAACCGACACCAAGGCTAGCATCACAGAGCATTGTTACTCTCTGCGATAACATTCTCAAAACACCCAGCCACTACCCACAGGTAAAGTGTAGAAATGCTACGACTATAATTGAAAGCACAATGAGCGAGTAAAACTGCAAAAAGATTGTTCGCAAGTCAGTTTACCAACTTGTGGTAGAAAAGGTCCTACCCGGATTCGAACCGGCTACATTGTTATCAGTATAAGGTTCAATTGTGTCGAAGAAGACCACTCACGGTCACTGGAAGGATTGAGATGGGATATCAAAATCCAGTGTGATCACCACTACACTATAGGACCGAGTGAATCGGTTGAGCAGACTGTTTAAGTCTGTGTGTGCTCAGGAGACGAATTTGAGCCATATTTTGAATAGCGGGGAATATAAAGGCTCAATGCATGACGTCCTTCAAACATCTACAAACACATTGATATGGTGGCAATTCGTAGGCAGGCCTAGGCATACTTATACCCGAAATTTAGGAGTAATTATGCTCTCACGTGACTATATTCGAAAACAGCAAGCAGTTGCGGACAACTTCGTGGTAGCTCGAATCGGAGCATGTGAGTTTCATCGAAGTGCACGTTCCATCGACAGAGAGAGAGGTCGTATCTAGTCCACCAAGACACGCGGTCTACGTCCTTCTGATACCACTACAGTTACCATCGACACATCGCTGGCCGACACGCTGCCCACAGAACAAGTGACTGATCAGTAGACTGAGGAGCAGACGAAAGTCAACGCCTACGTTTCCGACGCAAACATGCCTGCAACACCCTCAACGAGCCTGCTACACGCTCTGCGTCGTCTCACAATATCTCCTACAACGGCACGTCTCTCAACCAAAACACAGTTCCAACCCACTGTCCACCTCCTCCAACGCCCAATCACGCGCCTCTTCTCCTCCACACCCTCCCCAAACGCAACCCTCAACCAAGTCCGCTGCAAAGGCCGCAACACCCAGAAAAAGCGTCGTCCCGGCTCTCCAGCCACCGTTGGCCGACCCCAACTCAAAGGTGTCTGCCTCAAAGTCGGTATCACGAAGCCCAAGAAACCAAACTCGGGACAGAGAAAGACCGCAAAGGTGCGTCTCAGCTCGGGAAGGGTGATTAGCGCGTACATACCAGGAATAGGACATAATGTGCAGCAACACAGTGTGGTGATTGTTAGAGGTGGAAGGTCGCAGGATTGTCCTGGTGTGAGATATCATTTGGTCAGGGGCGTGGGTGATTTGGGTGGTGTGGTGGGAAGAATCAGGGCGAGGAGTAAATATGGTGCTAAGAAGCCTAAGGCGGCTGCTGCGTAGTGAGATCTGAGTGATGAAGAGTAGAAACAGTGGGATAGAAGATTGAAAGTAAGAGCTCAGAGGTTGAGATGTACCATTAGCCAGGCAGGCATTCGTACGTTATCGATCATGGCCAACGCACACAAAAGACCTTCAAAGTTCAAGTTCTACTTGAACGAAATTTCGATAAAAAAATTCCTCCTTATCAATCTCGACAAAAAAGTCCTCCTCAACTCGAACCGAGTGGATACCTTATGTTGAGACCTAAGTGTCAAGTCTGTCCCATCCACACACATACTACGTCAGCTAAGGACAGAGACCTTTGGTGTACTACAAATTTCGCGGGACCAGGGGACGGAGTATGGGAGCTTCGTGAATTACTCACCGAGAATGTTCTTCTTAACCAGCTAGGCCAAGGGACCGAACTGTTGTTGATTGTGGAGGGTGAATTCGGAATATTATCATTTGTGGGAAAGAAATGCGGGTTGTGGCAGTGAAGAGGTGGTTGGGTGAGAGTGACGTTTAGTGATGCTCTGTCATCACTGTGTTGGCGACAGCCTTGGGCTCAACCTAGCACTCACGAAGACTAGGAAAGCACCTGGATCACAGGACTGCCTCTTTCTTGCTACAGTCAGACATATCAATTAGTGCTATGTATTTACGTATTCTGTTTAATGGCAGCCAAGTTTCCGTTTAGCGACCACGAGGACTGATTAAGGAAGCTGGCTCCTAGTGAAGAACGTTCGAGATAGTGTATGTCGTGAGACGAAGCCTACTGCTATATATTGAGACAGAATCAATCATCGGCACGTATTGAAGCACGAAGTCCGAGTAAATAGTATTGAAAGAACTTGTATTGAATGCCAACTCCTTAGGTAACTTGCTGGTACAATCTGTAGAAGCAGACCACGCAATCTAGCTAGCAAACCCCATTTACGCCACTCAATGCTCAATCTGTTAGCACATAATTATCATTCAATCACTTATCCTGCGCCAGCATCTTCTCTCCAGCTCTTGCCAACAAGAAAGGATCAACTTGATCGACATCCTTATCAGTCTCCTGCTGCTCTCGCGTTCCTCTCTCATGCCACTCTGCCAGCCGCTCCATAGTGCCGAAGATGCGTCGTCTAAAAGCAGGAACTTGTAGAACAACTGCTACCAGCAAGGCCGTGCCAAGTAGCGAAACGAGAAAACTTTTTACAACCCACGACAAGAAATCCCCCGAGCGTAGTTATTGCTGATCGTGCCAGCCAGCTGGCTTCTCCAGTTTGTTCAGTTCAAAGTATCGACTTGTACACGAGTAGCTCTTCCAGTCAAAATTCTGCTCAGGGTTGCAGTGACATTTTAGCTTGAGGCGAACATCTTCACCAGTTGGACAGTGAGTGAATGGGACGTGGTAGTAGGCAATATCGTTGAAGAAGTGGATCTCAGACTTGTCGAGGAGAAGGCCGGCAGCTATTGAGTGAACTGGCGCGTCGCCCCATCGTTCGTAGAAGAAACCACCGTCCTTATCGAGTGTTTCAAAGAAGTCAATGTAGGCCTTGGATCGAAGCCAGTCCAGGTTGCCAATCTCAAAGTTAGACCACTAGAGTATGTTAGTTGAGCTCACTCCGGGAACGATCGGTACTTACAAAGTGACATTTGTTGTAGGTTTCGCCATTGTCGTCACTCAAGAATTCAAGAGAGTTGTCCGCAGCGAGATGCTCAGGATGTTTTTTCATGAATTTCTTGACGCTGTCCCACAAGGTCGGAATAGTCTCAACGTACTCGTACAGGCTGAGGACAAAGCTGTACTTCTTCTTGTTCTCAATCATGAACTTGAAAGGATCATAGTGAACATCGCAGAAGAGTTCAACACTGGGCTCAACTCTCCAGTACCATTCATAGTTCATCATGAGAGGTTGACGGAAGAAGAAGCCAGACTCAAATCTGCACATGTGTCTGTAACTGATGGAATCGCCATAGATGATCTTCCTTTGCGCCATATCTTCTCTGACCTGTCTGGCCTTGTCCTGATCAATCCATGACGGGAAAGACCAATGCTCTTCCTTGATCTCGCCATAGTGAGTTTTGCCTGATACGAGTGAAGTGGTAACTTTCTTGAAAGTGTCGTCAAATGGCTTGTCGTTTAGGAAGACCCAATCGTAGTGATAATTTCTGTTGAATCTGTCCTCGACCTGACGAATGGAACGTGCTATTTCCCATATGTCTGAGTTTCGAGCCAGAGTAACGAAAGTCGCGTTGGCCTTTCCTTCGGGCGCCGAAGGTGTGAGATCGTCAAGGGGAAAGTGAGTCAGCGCCGGATTAACGGAGGTAGGTTGGGACGACAAAGCCGTAGTGGTTGCAGTGCTATATATTTTTTGATCTTCTGCCTGCGGTGCTCCCTTAAAGCCTCCCAGCAGTTGACCGGCATGATCTTTTAATGGTTCAGTGTATTGAGGTAACGAGGAGGTCGATATTAGGTAGATCACGACGATGCCGAAGATCGCGAAGAGGACGTAACGAGCATATCGCACGTTGCCCGTAGCCATGACGGCTAGCAGAGAAGGACGAGATGATCCGTTGTCTTGCTTTCGCACATGCGATGGCGGCGTTGATCAGGATCCTTCGAGGTCGTAGGTGATGCTATTTCCACCGTCGCCGTGTGGTCGCATGCAGCGATTTCAGAGAGCAGCGCAAACGGTAAATTAAGGGAAAAAGGTTAGGTCGTGCATTCGACGACGATTGCGTGGCACAACGATTGACAAGGATAGTTTAACTTTCAGGGACTCCGGGAAGAAACACAAGCGTGCTTGCCTACATGCAGCAAGAGAAATTCAAATATAAACAGTCTCAAAGGAAGCAGAATCGCAAGTGTTGTATCTGCATACCACGAAGCATAACCACTGCAAAGGGGCTGCGCACAGCCAGTATAACTCTCGTGTATATCCATAGCCATAAACATCACAAGAGCGAGCACGAAGATAAGCTTCTGCATTCACTATTAGTGTCCGTCTACAGGCCTGACTTGCCTGTTTCTGAATTTGGATCATTGTTTCATCATGCAGAGCAGAATCGCTGCAGCAGCAAGCATCGCCAGATTTGAGCTTGGCCGACTTGCGCTTAGGGACGATTTTGGGCCCCGCTTGCAGCCTTAGAGGCCTCAAATTTTGGGGTTTACGACAGCCTCGTGGGCGCTGAGGAACGTCACCAAGCTCGTCGCCAGTCTACAGGCATATCTGGACAATGAGCTCAAAGTAACCATCTTCAAATTTCTTGTTGATTCTGTCGACACAAAACAAAACTTGCTTTACGTGTGCTGCCGATCAGAATCACCGTAAATCGACTATGTGTGGGTTGTTAACATCAACTGTGGCAACGTGCGAAGGACTCAACTGTTAAATTCCCCTCCAGACGACAATGTCGTTCTTCGGCTTCGATACCTCATTGCCTCGCGATAAGCCTGGATCAGGAAAGAAGGGTATATTTGAGCACAATGACGCTTTTGGTGGTTTGCAGCAGACACGAAAGTTGCAGGCTTTTCAAAATACAGACGATGAGATGTATGTTGCGAGGTACTCTAAACTTTACGCAGCACTAACTTATGCAGTCTCGACTTCGACGATACCTACGATGGCCTTGGAGATCAACTAGAGGAGACGGGCGATGACCTCAATGATGACACCTTTGGCGGAGGTGCTGAGGGCAATGCTACCCAAGGTAGTGTGGGCAAGGACTTTGATTTTTTCGGCAAGACTGCTCAGGTATCCAAGGCAATCGACGAAGAAGGCATGCGCTTTGGCCTGCAGCAACCGCCTCAAAGGGAGCCTCAGAGGCAGTCCAAACCTGCCAGGACTGGATACGAAGTCTATCAAGACCCTGACTATATCCCAGACATTCAAGCCAAGTCGGGCTTCTGGAGCTCAAAACCGCAGCCACCGACCGTGCAAGGTGGGCAGGCAGGCTACGGCGAAGGACGTATCAGCACTGCAAGAATGCCTCCACCCGCGGAAAGAAGGATGATGAGCTTGGAAGAAGTAGAAGCTGCCATGAGAGCTCAGCAACCTCCCCCTCCTCCCGGTCTTTTCTTACCTCAAGGCCCTCCTCCAGGGTTTCCACCCCAGCTCTCACAGCAGCCTCCACCTGTAATGGCTCCTTTCCACCAACCGCCACCTCAGCATCAATCTGTGCCCCAGGTGTCACAAGCTCAGCAGCACAACCCTACCCCTTCACAGACACCTCTACAAATCTTGCAAAATCCAAACAGGGCAAGACATTCACCTCATCCCAGCCAAAGCCAGCAATTGCAAGTCGGAAGTCTGCCTGTATTATCACATCCAGACCAATTACTACAGCTGTCGGAAGATCAACGACGCGCCTATCTGGAAGAAGATGCCAAGCGCGCAAAGAGAAATCACAAAATTTTCCTGCTTTCTAAGGGGAACGGCATGATGACACCACAAGACAAGAGCTTCATCACACGTATCCAGCTTCAGCAACTTGTAGCCGCTACTGGAAACGCGACAGACTCGGATACTGAAGCAATGCTGGCTGAAGACTTCTACTATCAAGTCTATAGCCAGATTAGAGGTGCTCCTCGACAACATCCAACTCAGCCGTTAGGTCACTTCGCCCAGACATATCTTTTCCAGACTGGTGGGCGTATGAACAATCGCAGAAACGCTCTCAATGGCGAGAATCACATGCAACGTATGCAGCAACAAGTTCAACGTGCCGTTGAGGCCGCGAAGCTAAAGCCAAAGAACAAGCAGCTTATTATCGAAGGAAGTCTGGGAAAGATATCATTCAGCAATGCGAAGACACCAAAGCCTTTGCTCAATCTCAAGAGACAAGAGTCAACCGACTCCAGACCCGCATCAGCGCGACGCCACACTACCCGTGGCACCGACCGAAAGACAATTCTCAAGAATATCGAGGCAGTCTACAGTGACCTTATGGCCATGGAAGATCAAGAACGAAAGATGCCTCCGCCACCTACGGACGACCAACCTGAGAGTGTACAAGCACATGACGAATGGCGGGCAGAAATCACTCGACTCAACCAGAAGCTCTGGTCTGATCTGAAGATAATGGAGCCGATCATTCCCGGTGCCCTTGCTACTCATCCGTTCATCGCCTTCCTGTCTTTCACTAAAGGAAAGAAGGCGATACCCAGAGTCTTTCGTCAGATAGACCAGGAACAACGGGTCACAATATTGACTATGGTTATTGTCCATCTCGATCAGCTCGATGTGATCCGCAACGCTATACCTCCAATAACCGAAGACGCCTCACAATGGTCACCGCCGGCCCATGTGAGAGAAGAAATCGAAACATGGTCACAGGCTGTACAGCCATCATTAATGGGTTACATTAGTGAAGCTCCAATCAACATCATGATTGGTCTTCTTCAGATCCTCATCGAGCAAACGAACATGATCAATGTCGCGAGGACTCGTGTCGGGGTGACTTTCCTTACCCTGCTTCTCTCTCGTGCTGAACTTGCCAAAGACTCTGGAGAAGTTACAGATGCTGAATGGTCACAATGGGTCAGTCACTACAATCGTTTGTTCGATACATTGGAGCCAGTATTGCCCCATCTATTCCCTGGGGCTGTCAACGTCGGTGACGATATGTACGTCTGGCAGTTCTTGGCAGCTGTCGGAATTGGTGCTAGCCCGGAACAGCAACAACGTTTGGTCATCGCGGTAAAGGATCGAGTGATGGATACAGTCAGCCAGAGTCGAGCCCTACCAGCAGAAATGAAAGGGCAGAGACTTGGCAATGTGAACTTGTTCATGAGAGCTATTGGGTTGGACGTTGACATGTTGGGCTGAGGTAGGGGTCTCAGATAATTTACTAAAAACAGGCTGCGACTAAGAGATGGATGCATTAGAGAGAAGGTTAGAGTATTCAGCCTACAGAACCTGAAAGAACATGTTCAATGCCGCTGGCATGAAGAAGTGAGGGGTTGCTCTTAGCACTTAGCGAGTGCATATCTATCTGGGTGTTGAAGAGCCCTGGCTTGAGAAAAAGTCATGTGTTACCAGTACATGCCTGAAGAAGCCACTCTGATATCTATATCGTTTATATTGGAGAATGCTGTAGCTGAAAAGATAAATAGAATCACAAAACCATCAGTGTTAAGGTCAAAACTATCAAATGCATTGTTGTAGTTTGAGCCTGTTTCATGTTCGCGATTGGAGACTCGTCTTCTACACGACGAGTTTAGCACCGCAGAAGGTAATGTCGTGGTCATTGACTGGTTGCTCGTTTGATCTTGAGCTGGCCTCAGAGTATAAAATGGCACGTATTGTAGTCGAAGCGGTCGTGAAATTCGTGGAAGGATTGATACAGCAAGGCGGTCCCAGCATAGAATTATGACAGTTCGTCCTCTATATATTCTCAATAGTCACTTCTAGAGTCTCCGTGAATCACTCTTTCTCTTTCGGTACTGTGCTTGACAACCTCCATTCTATGTACCTTTCTCTCATCCTTCGGTTCCTACAGTCCAGTTTTACATTTGTTCCTATACCTAAATATCGACAATGTGATCTGACACAAGTCTCTGAGTACAGAGCCTAAGCTCGTACGCCTCGCTGCATACCTCGTTGTAAGTTGTCTAATCTAGCGTCTCTCGCTTCCTGATCAGCAGCTCGTCTGGCGACGTCCTGTCTGTGTTGCTCCATTTTCTTCATTTTTTTGAGGTATTCAGCACGATGATTGGGGATATCGTTTCCGTAGTAAATTGAACCGAATCCATATATTGGTGACCCGAGCGCACGAAGCGCGTAGACAACGTCTAGCGTTGTTACGGTCTTTCGTCTGGCGTGCTCGACGAGTAAGACAAGTTTGTGAATGATCTGTCAATCTATTTTAGGGAATTGCCTCGAAAGAATTGAAGGATGTACTTACCCGCTTGAGGTAGTCTCGTACGACTTCTCGGACTGTCGGATAGATATTACCTTGTATTCGCTTTATGCCACCTCTTCGTGCCAAGCGTCGTATGGTAGGTTTGTCTATTGTCACGCCTTCAGTCAGTATGAGGCTTCAGAGAACAGAGACATAGCCGACGCCGACAAACACTCACTTATAGCACCAGCCAAATTGTCTCTAAGAATCTTCCGTCGTCGGCGATAAATGGGCACGTTATTTCTAACTATACCTATCCCAAATCCATGTCGTCGTGGGAAAGTGGGAGTATTAGGGATGGCAATAGGCTGGCATCGTACAGTTGACCCATGCGTAGGAGTGTCACCTGGCGTTGGATAGAATTGCTGTGGCGAGGACGGAACACTCATGGTTAAGGTCTACTTGCTGTAGGCTTCTGCTCAAATTGAGGCTCTGACTGGAAATTTTGGTGTTCGTGCAGAATGGAAGAGTACAGTTCGAGGATGGATTTTGCAGAGAGGTTGACATAATTCATCGTTTACACCAAGGCCATTGTAGTGCATGTTCTGCTTTTGGTGAAGGTGGACGTTTGCGGGAGGATGAAGTGTGTGAAGCCTCGTTGTATCAATATTGGCTGCAGGCCTGGAAGTAAGAAGAGGAATATGAATGACTGCGGTCATTGTATTCATGCCACGAAGTCGTTATGTCTTCGCCTGGAGATTAGCACTTTAGTAACGACATCAGCCACGTGAATGCTTGAGCCTACCTGCAAGCCTGCTTCGCAAAAAGATTGATCTTCACCAATGGTGAAGAGTCAAATTTTGTACTTGGTGGGGTCTTTGACCAGTTCACCAGCAGGGCGTATACCCTGTTCGTGCCATCTCCAGCGGGTCTTGCCTGGTGAAGGTATCAATTAGACGAGGTCAATACTAAATGGTTGGCCAAGACCACCTAGTAAGTTAGAGGCTCATGAGCACTAAACATTATGTTATTGTCGAATATCCAAGCATGCTAGCTTCGGGCTGCCAAAGCGATCGTCTATGTACCATGTCGTGAATAGAAGTTTCTTCTAGAAGTGGTTCATCATGAAATGAAAGTGGCCTCACAAAAGAGTGACCCCTTCTCACTGGTTTCGTTATCACCTTCCTTGACCTTCAGTGTCATTTGATCCTTGGTGATGTACTGGAAAATGATAGGTTTGGTGCCTACAACACCACCTATGAGATTCTTGATAATGGCAGGTACGTGAGCTAAGACATCAACTCGATCCGCGCGTTCACCAAGATCGCCCATCAGCTCGGCTTCAACAGGCTTACCGTCCTTTCCAGTCCACTTGCACAGAAGAGCTTTTGGCTCTGGCCATTGACTAACAGGATCCGTTGTAACTGCTAGATGTGTTGCGGTATTGGTGCATCCAGCATAAATGAGTTCTCCATCTTTGGCGATACCACCCACATTCACGACAGTCTTTCCGTATGAGGGTGGGGTCGTGAACTCCATCATGACAGCTGAATAGGTTGGTGTTTGGAAGTTGACAAAGTTCCATCTTGCAGCAGCATGATGCGGTTTCATGCCTTGCAGAGCGTGTATGAAAACTGCTCTTCCATTGACATTGTACGTCTTCTTCTTGGTTTGCATAGTGCCCGACACTGCGGCACGTGGCCAGAACTTGTGGAACATTTCTCCCCAAGGATGACTGGGATCTGTACCGTAATAAGATGTGCCGTTTTCACCAACCATGAAGCCTGGAGCGGTTCTCTTGACAGTTAGGTTGCAGATGCAATCTTGGTTCTTGGCCGACTTAATAGTGTAAGTTGTACCATCGTCACTCAATGACAAGGCAACATCATCGGCAAAAAAGCCTGTCCTCTTCTCATCGAATCCATGGTTGTCGAGAGGATCAGAACACCATTGGTGCTTGCCCGGACCGTCATGATCATATATCTTAGAATTGAACTGACAGGTCGTACGCACGCCCCTGCAAAAGATCAGCACACAGAGAAAGGACATGAAATGGTGTTTCCTACATGACATTGCTGTAGATGATCTGTGCCATGCAAGTTACACCCTCATCGGTCATGAAGTAAAATGTTTGTGTTTCGACATTAGTATGTTGTTTCCCCTCCCATTTCAAGTCATTCGGTGTCAGCTCAGTATATGGTTTCTTCTCAGCTTGTTTCGTGACGGTCTGTATGGCTTCCGGTCCATATATGGGCTCTTGCGTGCCAGCGACATCAGCTAGACTAGGTTATATGAGTCAGAGGTCGTCGGGACGGACAGGAGGTACTCACGTCTTCTTGATCCAGTTCATGATTACTACGTGAGATTCCAAGATCGAGAGATCGAGGTCGCAGGCTTCCTTATTGATACAACAATTTCTAAACGGGCAGTTTCGGTCTTCGTCGGCGCTGCAAAGTCGACGTCACTGCACGTGATGGGGCGTTGGCTTACCTAACACTACAGGGGTCGCTCGGGTAGGAGTGCACCTGGAAATGCATGACTAGTAGCGTCTGCAGTAGTTCCGTGGTTGACCTTCCATTTTCTCAAAGCACGGGACAATCGACTCGACATACGAGCGCTATAGACTGATTTTCACCATCTTCGTACAGCGCATATCCCATTCATTGTTGCTATCCTCCTACACAATACCGCAAGATGGCACGAAAAATGCCAGCTCGGGACGTGATTGTCAAGCTCATCGTCGGAGCTGGTCAAGCAAGCCCAAGTCCTCCTGTTGGTCCAGCTTTGGGTAGTAAAGGAGTAAAAAGTATGGATTTCTGCAAGGTACGTATGATGTGAGGATGGTGCGCTTGTGATATTGATGAAGTTGTCGTAGGAGTTCAACGCCAGGACCGCACATTTGACTCCAGGTGTCCCAATACCAGCACGAGTCACTGTCCGTCCAGATCGATCCTTCACTTTTGATATCCGTACACCTACAACGGCTTGGCTGCTCTTGCAAGCTGCTGGTGTCAAAGAGGTCAAAGGCAAACTAAAAGGCGCACAGAAGCCAGGCACGGACGTGGTTGGAGAGGTATCCCTGAAGCACGTTTACGAAATTGCCAAAATAAAGAAGAGTGAACCTCGACTTACTGGCCTCAGTTTAGAAGGTCTCTGCAAGAGCGTGATATCACAAGCCAAGTCAATGGGCGTCAAGATTGTGCCGTGAAAGTTGCCATGCACGAAACCTGGATAAGAACTCAATGCGACGCACATGTTGGGGTGGTTGGCAACCGAGCTGTGTCTTCGAGACAGCTAAATTTCCGCCAGTGTATGAATGCTTGCACATCAATGAAGGGCCATGACGCAGTGAAAGTGAGATATAGGCACGGGGCGACGCATCTTGTCTTCGTTGCTCACGTGAATGGCTATGATCACCAACAGGTCTACGCCTCGCAGAGGGGAAGCCTAACGCCTGGGGGCTGCAGCTGTTGCTCAGGCGAACCGAGAGTCATAAGAAAACCTAGCCAAGCTGTGTTTACTTCCCCCATGACCATCATCTTCGTTTATGTGCGAATGGTTCGAGGGATCTGAGAGACAAAAGCGTGTTGGCGGGGCCGAGATTGCAAAGCTTGATACGACTCTTTCGATGTGAACAGGCCTCATGATAGACATCCCATGACGTGCGAAGTCGACGCAACGAAGAAGACAGGAGAGATGGTTACAAATGAGATCGATTCGACGTTACTAGAATTGGAACCCGACACGAGCAGCATGCAACAAACACACACCGTTTAGCATGTTGACAGAGCAGCACAGATCTCTTTGGCGACACTCAATATATCTTCCATCTCATTGAAATGGAGACTCTGGGCAATGGAAAGGAGGGTACAGGAGGCCCATCAATCACACGGGGTGTACCACATTATCGCGTAGTTAGGAGTACTGAGCTTTGTAAGGCCATCACTCTGGCCGCCGAAGCTTCTGATGCAAAGCGTGTATGCGAGGGCGAAGCACGCGCACACAGCAGATCAGACCGTTGCATTGCTACAAAGTACCTTTGTTTCGTACAGGACTACCTTTTAGCTAAGTAGAGCCTCTCTTGCCTATTCAGGTAGCGCGAGCCGTACCACAATCCTGTCTCAATCGCCGCGTGAAAACCAGAAATACGAACATTGCTTCACGCATTTACCTTCCATTGTTTCCAGCACAAAAAATGGAGTCGGCAAATTGGAAGCGGTTGACTCGGACTGGTCGCCTTCACCCGAAGATAAATCGTCATTCTCCGACAGCAGAGCCTTTGGCGTCAATGATAGTACCCCTCCTCCCCTCTATCTTGCGTGGTTCGACTGCAATTTCTCCCTGCGAGTACGCGGTTCGGAAGTTTATAGTCAAGAAGTGCCTGACCTCACCTTGGATCGATCTGCTGCTCAGGCCCACAATCCACACAAGTGTGCTGAGGAGAGCCACCTGCCAACACCCTTTCTCTCCTTCTCCGTACAGTTGCTGATAAGCGAGGCGCGAGCAGAGCGACCGACAGCTGCTCACTCTTGCTATACCACGACAAAGTAATAATTGAATGGTTTTATACTCCTCTTCACGGTCACTTTAATTTTTTTGGTATTGCCTCCATCAGACCCGGCCGATAGTCCGCCATTTGTGCTCCACATATCATCATATGCTCGTTGAATGCGACTCGATCGTTTTTGCTCCATTTTAGTCAGACGTACGAATATCAAGTCACATAGCTCGGCTTGCGAGGCTTTGTTTGCACAAGTACGTTACTCAGCTTGTGCTGTAATTTTGCCATCTACAGCTTCATCTGATGCTGTAGTGGCTCCATCACGGCGTGCACCAGCTCACCAACATATAGACGTTGGAATACAAAGACGATATTGATTTAAGAAGTGTCGCCAGCCCGCTTGTTCAATCAGGTAGATTGCCTTAAAGCAACTGGACTGTACCACTATTTTCGTCGCCATGTCTTCGAAGCTGTCGTCTATGTTCCTTCCTGGTGACGATCACGGCAAAAACACAGGTCGTAAGTTGAACCACGATATTTATGCTTGCTTGTACGGCTGACTGACGACATAGAAACCAACGAGCCAAGTGACCGATCCAATGTACGATTCTCGGAAGCCGTGGAAGCCATCCAGCCACAGAGCGATGCAGAGATAAAGGATGTAACCACAGCGCAGAGAGAAGCCGAGCTGAACGAGATGACCCCCGAGGCTAGAGAAGAGATCCGACGGTTGGCTATGTCGCAGCAGAAGTCAAGAGTACAAGAACAAAGAGCCGCGCATTTCGCGTACGACACGTTTTCATTGCCTGCGTCAAGGGTATGTGCATACAAGTATGCATATGACAAACGATGTGCTAAGACTTCTGCGATATAGGTACCTTCACGCGATAGCGATCCTACAAGCACACCACGAAGCGGCACTCGGACAGGTCATCATCCTTCAATATCGTCAGCTGTACAGTCCCCACCTTTAACACCTAGTGGGTCGAAGGAGGGTCGAACTGAGCTAGGACACCACCACCGAGCAGGCTCAATCACTCCTCAGACATCCCCTCAACCCCAACCCCGTGAGCGAGAACTATCCCAGCAGATCTCTCCAAGCCAGGTTCCGGATGAGAAAGACATACGGCAAGGGGACAATCGCAGAACAGTTCCGAGGTTCCAGGTCGGGCCTACTGACTCTTCTGAGACGCCTGGCGAACAAAGTCCTTCTGCCACTCCACGATCGGGTGCGGGCACTCCGCGAAGCGAATCACCCAACAAGTCCTCACTGAGAGTAGAGCCAAGGCATTTCGGCAGCACCGGTCGAAATTCTATCGCTCCAGCTATCGCAGCCGCTGCAGAGAGGATACCACAGTCAGCGCCCGAAGACAAGAGGCCATCGATATTTGGATCGAGAAAAGATCCATACGGCCACTTGACGTCTGAGGACAGAAAGAACAGCGGCACTAGCATGGATGGTAAGAAGCATGGGTCCATGTCGGAGCTCAAACGTTTCTTCCGCCTCGGTCACAAGCACAAGGACAAGGACAGCTCCAAAACTGCCTCTTCTCTTGGCTCTACCTCTCAACCCGCTTCGAGGAAATCTAGCGTGGCACAAAGTGGTGCAAAGACTCCTCCACACCAAGCACCACCACCTAACGTCCCTTTCTCCGATGATCACAGCTTAGAAGCCAAGTATGGTAAGTTCGGCAAGGTCCTTGGTTCTGGCGCTGGCGGATCTGTCAGATTACTCAGAAGAAGCAGCGATGGGGTTACTTTCGCTGTCAAGCAATTTAGGGAACGGCATTCCTGGGAAAGCGAAAAGGACTATGCGAAGAAAGTCACCGCAGAGTTCTGTATTGGTTCAACACTACACCATGGCAATATCATCGAGACCATGGACATAATACAGGAGAACCACCGATGGTACGAAGTGATGGAATACGCTCCTTACGATCTCTTTGCAACTGTCATGACAGGCAAGATGGGCCGCGACGAGATTGCTTGCTCATTCTTACAGATTGTCAACGGCGTGAGCTATTTGCATTCTATGGGTCTGGCACATCGTGACTTGAAGCTGGACAACGTTGTGATCAGCGAGCATGGCATAATGAAGTTGATCGATTTTGGTAGTGCCACAGTCTTCCGATACCCATTCGAGAACGACATCGTTTATGCATCAGGTAAGCATTTCTGAGCAGCTTGGATTTTTATGACTGACCATTTCAGGAATTGTGGGATCTGACCCATATCTTGCCCCTGAGGTCTACGACGAGAGGAAGTATGATCCTACAGCCACAGATATATGGTCTCTAGCAATCATATTCTGCTGCATGACACTTAGAAGGTTCCCATGGAAACAACCTCGAGTCATTGATAACTCATACAAGCTTTTCGTGTCTCCACCCACGCCTGGGACTCCTGTGCCTGACTCAAAGCCTCGAAGACACGGGCAAATTAATACTCCAGTCACACCCGCACATGACAGCGATTCACACCAGAGAAACGGAAGCGTGGACAGTACCATGGACTCCAGACCGAGTACTGCCGATGGTAGCAAGGAGATCATTAGAGGTCCTTGGAGACTACTCAGGATATTACCGCGAGAAAGCAGGCACATTGTCGGTCGAATGCTGAAGGTAGATCCGACAGAACGAGCCACAATGGATGAGGTCTTGGAAGATGACTGGATATTGAGCTCTAAGGTGTGCTATCAGGATGAAGGGGGCAGTGTACATCGTGCAGACAACCACACTCACGTGCTGGAAGCTGGGAGTGGGGGTCCACCACCAGCCAAGGTCTAGAAGGCTGAGCGAGGTGGGAGGTAATTATATAATGCAGAAAAAAGCCTGTGAAGACTGACCGTCGCAGAACTTCTCTGTAGCCTGGTTCAATGGGGATCGCATAAAGGTACTAGTACCTTGAAACTCAGAACGGACTTTAGTATTGAAGGACGTCTTCTTCTTCTTTGACCTGAATGTTCTACCAGCAACTAGTAGCTATATGAACTTGGTACAATGTCTTTGACGTGCCAAGGCAATGCTTGGACGTCTCTCAACGCCTGCTTCAGTATAGATCCGGGCCACATGAATCATTCCCCACAAGCTTTTGCGGGGTTGATGCTGTGCCTATGAGCATGCGCGATTACTTTCGAGTTGCTGCAACACGGTGCACTATGCGCAATTGAGGATATTGCATTAAGAGATCGAGACCGAAGTCTTCCATGCGATTTTGCTATAACGTTGCTTTGCAACCAGCTTCCTTCGTCCTGCGACTGTTTCAGCTCAGCTTGCTACACGATTTCTTCCTGTGCTTCGTGTGCGACAATTCCAAGATGCGCCCTTAGACAAGACAGCTTCTGCGGACCTGGTGCTTTTGAAATAGGTCAATCAAGCTCAAACATCAATTGCAGGAAGAGCTAATGGCCAAGAAGAAGCGTCAGAGGATCAGCTATGGTAATAGACCTTTCCAGCTGCAGCCGAGATCCAAGCTCACTGTAGCACAGTCCTTCCGTTAGCCAGCAGACCGGGTGGTCACAGACTCGGCATTAATGGCCTTGCCATCGATCACGATCGTAACATCTTGTACGACAGGTACCCTCCACAAGACATGGCCTTGCTAAGACAGAAACAGGTATACTGGTGGTAGAGATGGTGTGATATGTGCATGGGATCTCGATCTGGACGCACAAGTACAACAGCAGGAAGATACCTCATTGCCCAAGCGCAGGACTACTGCCAGCTTTCGTCGAGAAGTGCAGGCTCATACACACTGGGTGAACGACCTCGTCCTTGTTAAGAACAATTTGGCCCTTGTGTCTGCCTCCTCCGATTCCTCTGTCAAGCTCTGGCGACCTCACTCTCACGATACACTCGCGGCCTATTCGATCGGCTCTCACAGCGACTATGTCAAGTGTTTGACCACACCCGAAACTAACAGTAACTGGGTTGCATCGGGAGGCTTGGACTCACGGATATGTCTGTGGGATCTCGCTGGAAAGGGTCAGAAACTCGAGATCAACGTGAAGAAGGATGCAAATGTAGTCAAAGGCTCAATATATGCACTCAAAGCGAAAGGAAATGTTATTGCGAGTGGTGGGCCGGAAGGTGTGGTCCGGTTATGGGACATCAATTCTGGCAAGACTGTCACCAAACTCGTCGGCCATACAGACAACATCCGCGACATCTTGATCAGTGAGAACGGCGACGCAGTCTTGACTGCCTCTTCCGACCAGACAATCAAGGTCTGGTCAATTACTGCCGGTCGGTGCATGCATACTCTGACTATGCATAACGACAGTGTATGGTGTATGTACTCGGAAGATCCTTCGCTCTCTATATTCTATTCCGGGGATAAGTCTGGCCTGGTGGCCAAGACAGACACAAGACATGCCGACGACATCGACGACGGTGTCTCGGTGGCTGTCTGTCAAGAGCACGATGGTATCAACAGGCTAGCCATCGCAGGTGATTCAGTCTGGACAACCACTTCGAGTTCGAGCGTCAATCGATGGCAGGATGTCGATACAGAACTTGAGATCGAAACACCACCTGTATCGCCGAAGCACGAGCGCAACCAGAGCTCACGAGGTCTTCGAGAACAGTCTTCTCCAGAGCCTACCACAAACGGTACACAAGATCATCCAACAACGAATGGTGAAACCCCAAAGAAGATTCCCTACAATGCTATCCTCAGGTTGACCAATACTGCTATCCACCCTGGCAATAAGTCATTCCGTCATATCAACATCTCGACATCCAATTTACGGAAAGCCTCGGAGGCAATCATCGAAGTTGATGGAATATTCACAACTCCGATTCGAGGTCATCCTGAAGAAACAATCGAAGGACAAAATGGTCTCGTGAAACACCACATGCTCAATGACAAAAAGCGTGTTCTGACATCTGACGCTGCTGGCGAGGTCGTGCTGTGGGATCTGCTAAAGTGCGTGCCTATTCAGTCGTTTGGTCGAAGGCATCTGGACGAGGTCATCCCTGACGTCAACACGGCCGAGAGTGTTTCCAATTGGTGTACTGTGGACACCAAGACTGGCAAATTGACGGTCATGCTGGAAGAGCTCTATTGCTTCGATGCAGAGGTATATGCAGATGAGACCGAATTCGTGGGCAAGATTGAATTCAGAGAAGATCAAAGGATTAATCTTGGCAAATGGGTACTGCGAAATCTCTTCACAACTCTGCTCGACGAGGAGATAAGGAGAGATGAGGATTACAGAAAATCTATCAAAAAGCCTACCGGGCTAAAAAGAGGCAACGCGCCCTCAGGCATAACCATGCCGCCAAGTAACCCTGTATCAATCGTGGGCACTCCTGACGACATGACTACGCCCAAAGCCGATGTGAACGCATCGATGGCCCCAAAGACACCCGGAATGAAAATCGGAATGGCCACACCCTTAGCAAAGGGCAAGCCAATGGCTGAGACTGCAAAGACGCTACCTCCGACAGCTGAGGATGAAAGGGAGCTCACAGAGAACGACTCTCGCAGCAGTATGCAATCATCCTCGGAACAGTCTCATGACTACTTTTCACAGACCAAAGCAGTACCAGCAGACTCATCCGAAGCGCAAGCCCACAAGGAAATTCCGCCAACTCCTGGTGGTACTGTACATGTTCCCATGCCACAGTCGCCAAACACTGAGAAGAAGAAGAGTGGCATCTTTGGAAAAAGCTTCAACATGAAGATGTCCTTTCCTAATAAATTAGCACTAGCACGAACAAACACTGAGTCACCAAAAACTTCAGTCGACGACAAGAAAGAGGAAGACAAAAAGTCAGAAGAAGACAGATCAGATAAGTCGTCCGAGAAAGAGGACGACAAGACCGCTCGGATCCTAGACGACAATTTTTACGGTGTTGTTCAGAGAATACGTTATGCATATGGTGATCACCTCGAGAACATATCGACATCAGATCAGCCAATTCCAATTGGTATTACACCTTCACCTCCTAATGAAACGCCAGTCTTGAAACCACCTCCTCATACACTGATTCTTATCCAAGAGGACAATCCAGAAGCCGGCGGACTATCGGACCTGTATCGCGGTGAAATTGCATCACTTGGATATCCGAAAGAGACTGACGTCCTGGAAAAGGTGGCACCAACATGGCTGGGCGAACTGCTATTGCGCAACGAGATGCCACCTAAAGACGCGCCCAAAGTGTCGTTTATCCTAACTCCGGCACCAGACTCGAAGCTGCCAGGTATCGCTAGTTCAGACGGCAATGCTCGTCTGAACGCGAATCGCATGCTCAGGTCCAAAAAGATCCTTGGCTATGTCGTCGAAAGGATCGAGGCACCACCAGACCCTGACAATCCACAACCTGGCGACGAACTTCGACCAGAAGAATACATGGACCTATTATGTCAAGGTCAGGTAGTGCCACCCAACATGACGCTAGCCACGTTGAGAGTACACATGTGGCGCACTGGTGGAGATGTGATCCTCCACTACAGAGAGAATGGTCGCAAAGGGTTCAAGAGAGCACACCCCATGGATGTCCCTCTCAAGACTGAAGGCGCTGGCGAACTGGTCAATAGTGCTAATGACACCAATGGCCACTCGTCTACCGCAGCCACTACCGAGGCGCAAAAACCTGCCCAACCTCCTGCGCCTACCGCGACCGCAGCCGCATACACAACAGCTGCTATGATGCGATAGAACCGCAGCTTACGACAGGCTCAAGCAGGAGATGCGTGGCGACAGTCCCCTTCATGGCGCCGCACAGACTTTCTGTGTAAATACCTTACAGTTCTTCACTCTTTTCGTGCTCGGATGGAGGAAGCTCTCGCCCAGGACCCTTGTGTTGATAATCTACAGATCTTCGAAGAGACAAACATGCATATTCGGAGTATCTTGCCTGAGTGACACTTTGCATGTCGTGGCTGTGGCCTATGTCGCGAACGACTCGACTACGACGAGGTGTTGAGTATTGTCGATTTGGCGATCGCAAAGATCATATCTTTGTTCCGTGTATCGCATGAAATGAACGATGAAGATATTGCTTCGGCATTATGTGGACTCGTCGACGATATTGATTTGCGTCTTGGTACGCCTGTGGGGGGTTTAGATACGGCATACTATTCAAGAACTGGCAGTATCGTCATTTCAGCCCCGAATCAGGGACAAGATGCTAGTGGAAGTATAGGAAGAAGTGCAGGTGGTCCTATACGTCAAGGCAGTCTCTCGCCTGCTACGAAGAAGAGGCTTTCGACAGTCGACGAGAAGTCTGAGACGTGGGGGAGCCACGGATAAGAAACGTGGGTAGCATGGTGGATGGCGGGTGTACGTATTCCGCGAACCCAGCGTGAATACTTGTAAAGACCTGGGTTCAAAACGGTTAGTGTATATGCACATTGGGCACGAACATATCTTTGTCATCAGAAGTATGGCGATGGTCAAACATACACTGTCAGTACAAAGACAGCGTCAGATATAAGTTCAGTGAGCACATAACCTAGTATATAGCAGCCACAAAAGTACTGTGATAGACAATGCATAAAGTAACGATTTGATTATCATCCTTTTCGAGAGCACAATACCGAGTTTTGCGTGTTGAGTTGGTCAATCCAAGTCCTTGCGGGCTTCACGAGTCCATGTCTCTGTACAGTATAACACCTAGTAGCAGGTCTAAGATCCTGACTCAGGCGTCGTCATCAGCGTTGTCGAAATCTCTTTGTATGTCCTCCGAGGATTAGTGCAGCAGTGCCGTCAATTCCGCCAGTCTGCACTGGCGTGCACTAACAAATGGTTCTCGCTGTGTTGGATCATATCGTGTTCCGTCGAGCCCTATCGTGCCTTTTAGCTCAATCCTTCACCTGGTACTTTCTGGAAAGTGCCTCCTTTCGAGCCCTTGTTCAACCAATATACTTTTCTTTGCTCTGCAACCATTCTCGTCGTCTCTCTTCGCAGTATCCATGAGTGAGATGTTGAGGTTAGAACTAGCTTCCGCCAGAGCTTACATACCGAAGCAACCCGTGTCATTGGCTCTGCCTCATCGATTAGGAGGGTACGAAATGCGTCCTTGTGAATGCTCTGGAAGATGGGAGGAGGATTTAGGCAGGAAGATCGGTGATTCGAGCCATGCTGGAATCTTGGAGATTCTAGAGATTCTGGAGATTCTAGATCGAGGACGGAGTAGCGGAGTGTGTAATGTGGGAGCTTTTGTATCCTTGAGGCTAGTTGTGCGTAGAGGAATTTGAGGCAGAATGTGAGCGCAGGAAGTGGTGGTGGAGGCTTTCTGATGAGTTTGTTGAGATTGTCCTACTTTATAGTGACGGTGAAGTGAAGACTTGGTGATGATTGCAGTACGCCCAAGGTCTCGCTTTCTGTCCCCTTCGTTTGTAATTAGAGCGTGCGTAGTAGCTGTCGAAAATTTTCAAATTGTGATTGTCAGTACCCTACACCAGATCGAGGTGCGTTCTAGGTGATTGAGGAATAGACTGACGTCCCAGTCACTCTGTAGCAGCCCTCAAAGTCGTGCGTGGAGCTCGTCAATTGCGAAGCTGTTCTAGTCAGTCCTCGTGAAGCTTAGCGACTTATCATATGGCTTCGCAAAGAAGTCTACTGCCAGTCGTCTCACGACACTCCCCTACTGCAACTATTGTAAGCTTTACGCTTGTAGCAACAGAAGAGTGCGTCGGAAACACAGTGTTCATTTCTTCCCCTTCTTTTTCTTTTTGCCTCCACCTCCTTGCTGTGGTTGACTCTGGGTCATTTGTGTTGCAGTTTTTGCTTCTGGTATAGGAGCAGAGTCAATATCCATCTTGTCCCCTTGGGCTGGTCCTCCGTTGGTGAGTGCTTCTCCTCCCCCAATTGCTACTCCTGCTCCTGCTGTAGTCTCTGCACCATCCTCAGTGGGCAGCTCTATCATTTCGCCCTTCGCTAATCTTCCAAGACCTGACATCAAGCGACCAACTTCAGCAGCTTTATCTGTTTTGTACTTCAAACATATACCACTTTCTGCATGGTATGTCTTCAATATCAAGGTAGCCGCAGGCTCTCTTTTTTGTCGGGCATTTTGAGCCTCACCATTTGCGTCTGTGGTGCTGTTGGCAGTTGTACTTGGCTTCGTGTTCCGTGGTAAGGAATATTTTGTGGTTACCCTCGTGGTTTGTGGGTATGCCTGGATGAGCAGCGAGGACTGGTGTAGATATGTATGTAGATTGGGAAAGTAGGTCATCTTGTCGCCAGCACCATGGAAGAATGCTCTTAAAACTGGCTTCTTGTACTCTTCCTTTTTGGCAAACTCGATATCTGTGATTGTGTGGAGTAACTCAATCGTTGGTCGCAAATCTCAGGCTCTGAGTGTATGTAGACTGGACGGCCGTCGGGGCATTTCGATTTGGTGGTGTTTTCACGCTGCTTGTGCGATCGGTATGAGGTGAGGTAGCCTTTGGGAGTGGGTCGTTCTTTACTAGTCTGTACTGTACGTGCTCAACTGTCTTGTGCTGCAAAGGTGGAAGAGCGGGGATCCGCCTCTGTGAGATTAAGGCTCTCAGGCGCAACTTTCGTCATATCTGTGCTTGTGCCACGCATATTCGACTGGGTAATGTGAGCTTCTCATCAGCTCAGGACTGTACAAAGGATGTCGACTAGACTATGCACCAAACCCCTGTTCGACCCGAGCTGTTTGCGATGTCAACCTGTCAATCTCGTCAGAAAGTGTGGACCTGAAAACACCAGAGTCTCTACAGCGAGAAAGACATTTGGCGCACGCTTCTACGCAACAGATGCGCCCAAGCTCAACTATGTCGTCCTTACTGGTCGATCGCTGATCTCACTCGATGGTCCAGATGCCACAGACTTCTTACACAACTTGATTCCAGCTCCTGTCCTGCCCTTGAACGATGCCTCTGGATCCTGCATTGCGACTGCTTTTCTGAATGCCAAAGGCCGCATAATTCACGATGCCTTCCTGTACAAACCGACGAAAACTGATAGTCATCGCTGGTTTCTGGAGGTTGACGCAAACTCAGCTCCTGCTGTTCTGAAACATCTCAAGAAACATAAGCTTAGGACGAAGGTTAAGCTTCAGCAGCTCTCTTCAGAAGAGGCTGCAGTCTTCTACCTATGGCCCAGATCATCCGATCCTACCAGGACCGAAGGTCTGGTCTTGCGACAAGACCCAAGGCCGAAGATGGGCAGACGAGGTTACCTGCTTGGCGAAAATGCTACTCAAAGGCTGAAAGACACATTGGGAGAGGAGTCCTCGAAAGAAGAATACCACTGGGAGGACTACATGATACATAGAATTTTGAATGGCCACGCAGAAGGTCCTATCGAGATCCTGTCGGAACATGCTCTTCCACAAGAGTCAAATTTCGACTTCTATGGTGGCATCGACTTTCACAAGGGCTGCTACCTTGGTCAAGAGCTAACCATCCGAACTCATCATACCGGCGTTGTTCGAAAGCGCATACTACCCGTCCAGCTGTATACCGACGAGAGACCCATATCGAAAGACCAAACAAGACCCCAATACGATCCTCTTACTTCTCTACCACAGCCCCCCCACGAGGCTAATATAGCAAAATGTGGCGCAAGGGGTAGGTCAGCCAGGAGTACTGGGAAGTGGCTAGGTGGTTATGGGAATATTGGTCTGGCTTTGTGCCGCCTCGAGACTATGACTGACCTGTCTCTGACTGCTGAAGGCTCGCAATTCAATCAAGAGGCTGACCATTTTGAAGTGGCCTGGCAAGATGGAACCTCAAATGAGAACAATAGTGTGAAGGTAAAGGCATTTGTCCCACCGTGGCTCAGGCAGGCTATCGATGACTCTGTAAAGGCACGTTCCGAAAGGAGCCAAGCTCGGCGGAAGAAGGATCTTGAAGACGATGACGATGACGAAGTCGACTGATATTGCCAGACCTCTCCTGTCGATCTCTGAAGCAGCTAGACATTCCGTCTCGCGTCGACATCATCGTATCTGCAGCAACTGCTGAAATCTCTGCCGTTGACACAAACTCGACGCGTACCAGACGCTCCGGTATGCTCAAGGTCAACCTCGTGATTGAACTAATGACGTTGGTCAATGGTGGCCGTAAGAACAAACCGCATGGCTTCAGGAAAGCGAGCAACCAGGTGGAGATCTTTGATGCAAGCAGTGTCAGGACATTGTGCATTGCACTCCAGCTTCTCAAAAGCTGCTTGCAGATTGCTGCCGCGGAGATTGGCCAAGCTTTTGTTGGAACCACACAGAGTGAACCAAGCTCTCGGGAACGCACGGGTAATGCACTGAAATCTGCATCCCACACGCAGCTAAAACTGAAAGCTAAAGCAAAGCCAATCAGATAGCTTAACTGACGTACCCCAGGTCATGACTTCCCAGGCGTCATAGCCTGAACGGTACACAAATGCGCGATTTACTCTTGCTTCTGCCCAACTTCAAAGAGTTTGGGGATGACTGCCTCGAGAGAGCAGTTCTACCTCGACTCTATTCGCAATCAACCTCACCTCACTTTGCCTACAACAAAACCTCGCTTGCAGCAGGTTTCCTGTATTATCTCTAGCTCTCGATTCCTCCTAGACCTGTATTATTCATTGTGTTGTAGCAATTCTATTCGAATGGAAGTGCTGGTAAACATCGACAACTGGATCGAATACACGAACTGTAATTGTCTGTCACCTCGTAGACGAGAATGGACCTCCTTAGGCGCATGTCCATCAAGCCGGAGCCAATCGACGAAGATGCAATAACACAACTCAGTCAGCAGCGTCGCAAATCGTCTTTTGCAGCGACTGCTGTGAGTGACGAACCGGTGCTTCCCATACCCATCAGGCCAACGATCGAGGTCTTTCCTGGATCTACCTCTCGCCAGCAAGAGACGTTGCTGATTTCTCCAAACCCTGCAACGAAAGGATTCGTTATAACCTTCGCTAGAAGTGGAAAGCATTTCTTGACCTCTGCGACACCTTCAACATCTGGTCCCGGACCCTCACACACAAAGCACGTCTATGGCAATATTGATCGGTCCAAAATCGAACCACGAAGAAAGAATAGCAATGACATCAACTCTGGAAAAGAAAGCACTCGAATCTGTACACTGTCCCGCGACACTTTGTCCCTACGTAAACGCCATCAGGTTGACGACCCATACGTCAACAGTCGGTTGGTGGAGATGGAGTTCTCTGCTTCTACGTGGCATGTACACGAACTCAAAGCAACTATATCTTTACTTTCGAAATACGGTGACACAAGCCCCATGGAGCCTGTGACTTTGAGATGGCGAGGGCGCAGGGCAAGTCTCGAAGGTGTTCTGGAGAGAAAGAACACACCTGTTGCAGTTTGTGCAAAAGGAGATGAGACAGAGGAGGGAGAGTACGTTCTCTATGTTGCGCCAGGTATGGATTTGTACATTTGCTCGCTGGTAATCATGGCTACCGACGACCGTATTCGCCGAGGTAGCGATGATAGTGGCCGTCGAGGAAGTCAACAAGAGAGAAGGAACAGCGAAGCTATTCAACATACGGATTCCGATAACTCCATTCCACATATCAAACTTGACGAGCGGTAGAAACGACCAATGTCTGATACTCCAAAAGAATCCGTTTGCGGGGAGTGTCGCCCTTGGTGGAAGTTCTCCGCACTCCCATGACGATTGTCCTTACACAAAGACGAAGTAACCACTTATTATGATACCAGCAAGCAATGTAAGCGTCGGACAAGACTTATACTACATATTACAGGCTTGCCCAGAAAGAGCATACACCCTTTCAGAGAACTTATTTCAGCAGCCTCGTTATGGCTGAAATCGACAGTGTTCTTGCTTTGAAAGCAGCTGAGGCGTCCACAAAGGTTACAGTTGTCCCTATCGATTCAATATCATATTACACCATCCTCGAAGGCCCACCCGATGGACCGTTGGTTGTCCTGATCCACGCCCTAATGGCAAACCACCGTATCTACGACAGCACAGTGAATACTCTTCACAACCTAGGCTACCGAACCCTTCGTTACGATCACGTTGGCCACAATCTCACTCCCCCTCCCTCAGACCCCAAACTCAATAAACAGGGCGCCTTCCATTTTGACACTTTCTGCCACCACCTGAACAAGATCATCACAACAGTAACCGCAGACACCATGCCAGCAGCCATAATCGGCTGCTCCATAGGCGGCGTCCTCGCCCTCCGCTATCACATGCTCTACCCTCCACCCCCAGGCCAGACCACAAAGATCCTCTCCATGGCAGCTCCTGGCCTCAGCACACTTCCCGGAGCAGCATATAAATGGAACCCTCGCATTGCACAGTGGCGGCAAGAAGGCACAGTCACCAATCTCGCCACACAAACAATCAATCGCTGGTTCCCACCTTCCACAAACTCGTCATACACCCACGAGCAGATCCGGTCCATTGTAGAGTCCTGCACACTAGACGGGTACGAGATTTGTGCCTGGGCAACCATGAACTTTGACTATACAGATCAGCTCGATCAGATCAAGGATGGTGAGAACATCATGATTCTGGCCGGTTCTGAAGATTCGAACATCGGACCGAGGGAGGTGTTGTATGATGCAAGTAAGCGTATTCGGGGAAGTAGATATGTTTTGCTGAGTGGCGTGGGCCATCTTCCGCCAATGCATCCCAAGGAGTTTGAGCCTGTTTTGGTGGAGTTTTTAGGTCGAGCTACTAGGTAATTGACGTAGCAGATGAGCTATTCGTTACTTACGTGCATTAAGCAGAACGGAACAGCACGACTGTGTATCGAACATCGAGTGATTATGTTTAAGTAGTATCTATTATATGATTTTTGCATATGTATGTGCTATCATTAACTCTATGGTCGTCAAATTTTTGTTGTGCCGGTACTGGTAACCCCCCAAGAAACATAAGAGAGAGAGAGAGGAAATCTCATCAACGATGGTACTAACTAATGCTGAACAGTGCATGAAAATCGAACAACGAACGAATGCCAAAAACAAATGCAAGTTCCTTAGAAAGTGAACTGCATCAGACCAGGGTTTAGCACCAACGGCATCAGGAAATGGAAGGCAACCAGAATAGCCAGAGGGAATATCGCCGTAAAGTCTGTGATGTGCCAGCCGAAAGGTACGAACTGCCCGACTGGTCCGACACCACCAAGCACAAGCATCACTATGGTCATAAAGACACAGAAGATGAAGGTGAACTTGAATTTCTTGGCAATGGTGGGAATTTCCTTAAAGAAGGTTGTTTCCGTGGCTTCCTTTGCTGTCGCGCCCCAGGACATGTCGATGCCGCACAGATGGCACAGCAGAGCTTGTGAGACGTGTAGACTGATGCCGCCTAGGAAGCAGGTGAGCAGGAGGAGCCATTTGAAGTTCTCCCATAGTGAGCCTAGGATGCTGCGGTTTTCTGTGCGGTAGCGTAGGACAGCGAGAGAGACGGTACCCAGGGCTTGGAAGACGACGATGATACCGAAGTAGACTTTGAAACTGTCAACGTAGTATTGGTCGAGATGGCCGTTGAGCCAGCCGATGAGGAAATAATTAGCGACAGTTAGGATCCATGCAGCACCGATGGCGAAGTATGTGCCGACGTAGGATAGGATAGTGATCTTGGCCATTACCGACATGTTGCTGCCGATGAAGCGGCGAAAGAGAGGAGTGAAAGGACCACGGACTAGCCAGTATCGGAATGGGTGGAAGATGAGCTCACTGCAACCATACGCGTATTTCTCCCATCGGGAGAGTTCGTCGTAGACAGTAAGGGAGACACCTTCCTTGAAGCCATCGCCGAAGACGGTGCTGAAACGCAGGATGTAGCCTAAAGATTGTAGACGTAGAGCCATGTCGAAATCTTCAGAGACTGTGTTCTCAGCCCAGTATTTCTCAACACCATCTTGTTCATAGGAAACATCTTGCACAGCAGACCAGCGAAGAATAGCGTTGTGTCCTACGAAGGGAGCAACGTCACCGTTCGAGACACCGAAGCGGATAGCCGTGTAAACCAGGTTAGTGAAGAAAGTGATACCTTGTTCGAAGAAGGAGGTGGTGACGTTCATAACACCTGAAGAAAATTGGATGATAGCGACTTGCGGTGATTGCTCCATCTCGCTGACAGCATCCAGAAAACAATCTTCGGGGACACGAGTATCGGAGTCGATGATAAGTATGTAGTCGCCAATTCTTAGATCTCCCTCAGCCCAGGTACGGCCTTGATCGTCGTCGAGAATTTGACCCAGGCATTGCTCGTAAAGAGCATCTTCATCGTCTTGAGTCCAACCAGTCTCACGTTGGACGTCTATCATGGCGTCCTCAATACGAGCACTGACATTCATAGCGTAGTTCATGTTTGAAGCTTTCTTGAACTTGCCAGCTCTGACGAAAATGTTTTTACCTTCACTATCGCCTTTTGGTAGATGCTTTGGTCGTGCAACCCAACCAATGTTGTTATCCTCGTAAAAGGTACGTCGAGCCGCAGCCTCGTCCGGAGGAAGTAGCTGCATACCATCGTCATTGACGAAGATATTGGCAGTGCCGCCCTGAAGCTCGTATGTTGAGATGGCTTTCTTGATAGAGACGATGGTAGGATGGATAACAGCTTGCAGACCCTCTTTGTACACAGGACATTGGACGGTCACATGAGGTAACGGTGCGCAGATGCGCTTCGGTGCTTGACCTGTGAAAGACTTGGAGTTCTGTACAACTTGCTTGACCGGGCCTATAGTCTGGGCAACGCCGCTGATTAGCGATTGGAAAAAGAACCATCCTATCCATATTTGCAATGGAGTGACCACGAGTAGTGCAAGTCGGGTATACTGCTTGTCAACTTTGACCTCAATCGCCAGCCGACGCCAACCGATGCCAAGAGTGAAGACCACCAGGATACCGGCAAGACCGACCAGGAAAGATTGGTAGAGCATAGTTGGTCGTGGCTTCTCGACTGCGAGCTCTTCATCAGAGTCGTCCGGTCCCACCTCCTTGGTATCCACCATGGCAGGAGAGCGGACCTCACTGTAGTTGTTGAGCTTTTCATTGTTCTCGATCGCGTCCTCTAGATCTTGCTTGGAGTCTTCCAGCTGCCAGAGCATTTCGACGAGGTGACTCTCGATCTTCTCAACTCGGCGTATGATATCACTTGGATCGTCCTCCCAACAGACCAGCATGCCGACATCTTTGATAAAGGCTGCATAATGATGCTTTTTGCATCGCGAGAGGCTGCCAATATTGGGCAGGACCTGAAGCTGAAGCCCGTTGTTCAGCGGAACGAATGGTAGGTTGTATTCTTTCAAAAAGGTTCGGATGACTGCTGTTTTTACTGTCATGGCAACCTAAGAGTGTAAGTATAGAGTCGATGACCTGGTGTGCGCAACATTACCTTGACGTTAAGCTTTCGTACTTCGTCGAAGAATCCGAACAGTTGCTGTGACAGTTCTGGCGGCTGACACACGAAGTCATTTTTAGCTCTCTTCAATACCACGCCCTCTGTTGGGGCACCATCGGTCCACATTTTTTCTATCTGTCGCTGTCGAAGGTACTGTATCATAACTTCACATTTCACAGCTGTGGTTGTCGATAGTGCCACACTGGACTCCATTGACGTTCTGGAGGAGGACCGTACATCGGTTTGTGAGGTACGGCCATAAGGACCTCCAGCGGCAGAGCCTGGACGTGTTGACGTTGGTGTATTGTTGTATCTTGGGGTTACTTCCGCGGGTGACGATGACCCAGGGAATATTGAGGTTGTCATGGCGAGCTCGGTGCTGGTAGCACGAGGATATGCTGCCGCTTGAAGAAGTAGAGATGGAAGAAAACCAACGAGTGAGGTGCACGTGGAAGTGCAACGAATGTGTGATCTTCACCCTATCTGGCTGTATACCTCAGGGTCAGGGATACAATCTGAATGTTTGAAACAAAGACAGAAATAGTGGGAAAGTGTCACATTTGAAAGGCCGGCTTTGCGCCACAAACACAAACCCATACCCAGGTTCATGGCGAAGAGTGAAAGTGGGTCCTGGTTCATCACAGATGGCGGCCGTGCTGGACATCTGGCTAGACCACCCATGCACGGACAGGTACTAGTAGTGTCGACGAGGCCACACTGAGCCCACAAACGGGGTCGACTAGATGGTGTCTTGCGTCAACGACAAGAACAAGTCTAGCTCAGTCAGCCTAGTAAGGTGAATGTTGAAAATCAGCATGATGAATCTCTTTTGCTTCACGCTAACATGAAGCCGCTGACGGTAACCAAGGACTCGGTGAAGGTTCAGTCATGGGAGACAGGCACAGGCTGCTAGTGTAGACATCGTGCGAGATACGACAGCGAAGGTTTGTGACATCTCAAATTAAAGCACAACAATAGCACTTCTGCGTCCTTGGTATACTGATCGGTGACTTACTCTATTTGGTGTGGAGTCGAAATCGAATGTTTCCATGTCACTTCGAGCGAGAACTCGGGTGATCTCCTGAGACATGTTGAGGCCATTCTGGCAGGTGAACTTAGCTGTACGAAGCGTTCATGCAAGCATATCCGCGCAGGAAACGAGATACTTGGGCTGGATGTCGATTTCGAGAGGAAGCTAAAGAGACGAGGCGGTAGGTCGTCTCTGCTGATTGCGCTAGAACTCGGACTAAGCTGCGAGCATGGTCAGACTAGGTGGTCAAATTGCTGAGCTCAGCCAGTACGTGCACGGAGAATATAGCGCCAGATGACACACGGCTCGTAGCCACTATCGAGGATGGAGACTAAGGTTCGACAGTTCGTGCCATGGTCGGGGGGTAGTGAGAGCAATTTCAAATAGGATCCAGAGTGAATTGGCAAGAGCAGGGGATAGTGAAATCTGAAACGCCAAGACGAATGAGGTCGCGCCTGCAGATCGAGCTTCTCGTGACTCGCTAGCGCACTTTGCGAATTCGGAGATGCTCGCCTAATGGTCCGAGCCATCCACAGCTGTTGGTATTCCATTACCGATGAGGCGTCTATACGAGCTTCCTCGGCCCAAGATCTTGGTTCTGCAACGGATGCAACCTCGAACGGCATCTCATCATGAAGAGCAGCTGGTTCTACCAGTATGGTTACTAGTGACGTTCTGAACACAATTTCAGCGCGGAGATGGGAAGTTTGCAGGTGCGAAATCGCCAAAGCTAAACCATGCTCCGTTTCCACGACTTGTGCCTGGCATGAGCGTAGCGCCGCACGGTTCACCCTAGACGATTTTTCAGGAAAAGCAGACACAGCTGAACCACAACGATGGTCGACTCCATCAAGCCTGCTAGTGGCCAATCTCTGCTCAACCATCTGTCACCGTCTACATCCTCGGTCCTTGTGAAGAAAATTACAGTACGACAATGTCGCACAGCAAAGTTATGATATCGCAAGTCGTGCGCAAGCTAATGCAGGTACTGTGATTGTCAGAACACTAGTAGCAGATCTGCGAGCGATCTTGCACTCGCTTATTTGGTGCGAGTCAGACTTCGACTTTGCGTAAAAATACTGAGGACATCTCTTATGTCAGTATGAATTGGCGCCACACCGGCACATTTCAGACACATGGTAACTGCACAACGACCTGCAAAGGTACTGGGTACCGCCAGACAGCTTGTGCATCGCAAAACATCTCCTTTCCTTCTGGAACATCGTTTACGGCGCTCCACTTGATGTCACCATTCCTCCTTCAAGCTGCACGTGTCGTACAGCAGCTCCGAGTTGCTACCCGTCAAATATTTGCAGCAACCAGACAGACGGGTTTGGAGTCGAGTCGTGATTTTGGACCAATGAGACCAGATTTTGACCATACATGATTAGACTTTAAAGTATGTTTACGTTTTTATTGCCTGTGAGAAAAGAGTCCACCAGTATATCCAAAGCTCCACTCTAAACTCAGACATAAGGAACCACGACCATGACCACGACCATCGATGGTGGACGTGGGACCCAGGTATACGGTTCTCAGCCACCAAGTGGTCGTGCTGGGTCAGTCCTTGAATGCTATCTCGGTGAGATCCAGACTATGTCTCAACAATTAGTGCCCACGGCTATCACTTGTGGATGGAGTTTACCGCCAAACTCAATCATCATGCTTCAATAATGCTCAATGCTGTCTGTTCTCATCAATGTCCACAGTACCCATTGTGTCTCCTCAATGACAGTTTGATGCAATGCATCGCTGGTGAAGGCAACTTCCTCTGTGTCGGAAGTCCGAGCCTGAGTATCCATGATGTGGTGTCTACCCACACACGCAGCTGAAAGGAGGAAGAACCAAGACATTATGGAAGTCTTTCATGCACTATTGCGCAAGTATGTCAGAGGAGCCAAACGAGGTCAGCATACCGTTGGGTTGCTTGCAGATCCGGTGCGAAGACAAGGACTTTGCGAGAATCGTTGATAAGCATGCCCTTATGATCAGCACCTCGATCGCCACATCCTGTTTTCACATTAGCAATTATTTTTCTCGTTGCGTCCTTGATATCAGTATAACTCGTGACTACTTGCGATAGCCCTTTGACTTGCTCGCTCACTTGACCTTTCCGATACTCAGACGAGCCTCCCACCAGACCGTGCGCCCTAGTAATCGTTCGTCTCAAGGTTTGCCATCCATGGCGTTTAGCAAGAGAATGTCCTCGATGTTCTCGAAGGAGAGTACCTCGTCTCCAGGCGCTGAGATCAGACCACCTAGTTCAGGTACCCAACGCTTCTTCCATTCCCGAGATCCATCTTCAGTGTCAAGGATTTCTTCGGAAAAGTCAGGACCGTCAGACAACCCATTCGCAACTCCAGCACTGTCCACGAATGCCTCTGTCACACACCTACCGCCTGTGAAGCACAGTCCGCCCACCTATTTCCGCTCACGGCGGATGAAGAAGGGGACTGTCGAAAAGCCATGGCTGACAGCCACCAAAGACAAGAAGCAAAAATGGCAGACCATCATCCCACTGGCCGGAATTTTCATCGGGTTTGCCCTTGGGGTTTACATGGTATACAACGGCTGGATGTCTGTGCCTGAGCATCAGTACTGCATGGTGTACGAGGACGATTTCTCGAGTGGTGCGCTGAACACCGACGTCTGGACCAAGGAGGCTGAGGTCGGTGGCTTCGGCAACGGCCAATTCGAACAGACCACTGTCACAGATGAAAACGTTTACATTCAGGACGGCATGCTTACCATCAAACCAACCTTGCAGGATGAGAACCTTGTGAACGAGGACAACGTTATTGATCTCACTGCAATGGGCATCTGCTCGTCGGACCAATGGAACAACTGTGTTGCAAGCACAAATACCACCAACGGTACCATAGTTCCACCAACCAAGAGTGGTCGGCTCAACACAAAGAAAGGTGCAGCTATCACATATGGACGTGTAGAGGTAGTAGCCAAGATGCCCAGAGGTGACTGGCTTTGGCCTGCAATCTGGATGTTGCCAGTAGACAACACGTATGGTGAATGGCCTTTGAGTGGTGAAATAGATATCGCCGAGTCCAGAGGGAACAACTATACCTATCCAATGGGCGGCAACAACGTGATCAGCTCAACCATGCATTGGGGTCCTAACCTTGGAAACGACGCTTGGTGGCGAACATACGGCAAGACAAGTGCTCTTATGAGCACGTTCTCCCAAAAGTTCCACACTTTTGGCTTGGAATGGAGCGAGAAGTACATATACATGTACCTCGACAGCAGATTGCTGCAGGTCATGTACAACAGGTTCTCAGAGCCTCTCTGGAAACGTGGCAACTTCCCACTTTCAGACTCAAACGGCACTTCGTGGGTCGACCCATGGACACAGACTGGCAATCCATCCACACCATTCGACCACAAATTCTACCTTATTCTGAATGTGGCTGTTGGTGGTACTAACGGTTGGTTCGAGGATGGCGTAGCTGCGAAGCCCTGGGTGGACGCGTCGCCGAGCGCTAAGAAGGACTTCTGGAACGCCAGAAATTCGTGGTATCCTACCTGGACGGAGCCAGAGATGCAGGTAAAGAGCGTACGGATGTGGCAGCAAAAGGGGTACAATGGCTGTTAATGAGTGACGAAAAAAATGTGGGTGGCGTTCGTTTTCGATGGATAGGCACACTGTATTTCCTATGTTGGTGTTCAAAATACGTATAGATAACGACGAGCCAGAGACGTAAATGGCGAGCTCACCTTATACAACCATAATAGAATTCATGATAATGACACAAACTTGGCCATTGGCTTTGAGTGACGGACGTGGCTGTTAAGAGGCTATCGTGTTATCGCATATTGAGACTAGCTTTTCGGCATAACTCCGGAAAGGCCTTCACAATTTGTTGGCTTGGACAACTTTTTATGAGTAGAACGAAGAAAGTCAGACAGTGCGGGCACATATCTTGACTCAGAAGTACAGACAGAATGTCTATGACACTAGCGACGGCATGGGTGAGGAGAGGCGTCGCTGCGGAATTCCCACACAAATATGAGGTGGACGAAGCAGAACTGGGTCGCATTGAGAAACTCGCTCGATTACAACTCGCAGACGCACAAGAAGATCTAGACGCTGCTCAAAACGATATTGATGGTGAGAACGAGGACTCGGAAGACGACGATGACGAAGCAGGCGTACCCACGGGCATACAGAATGGGACGCCCGGAACTCGAGGCACCACCACAGACAACGACGATGACATGAGAGAGTACAACCTGTCAGATTATGACGACGACGAGGTCGACCAAGAGACAGGAGAGAGATTCGCCATGTTCGGCAACGTTCGGTCTTTAGCATACCACCAATTTGGCGAAGAGGACCCCTACCTTGTTCTACCAGAAGGCGAAGACTCAGATAATGAAAGAGAAGAGTTACAAGTCCTCGCTACAGACAATATGATCCTAGCTGCAAAGGTCGAGGACGAAGTACCGCACCTCGAAATTCTAGTCTACGAAGATGAAGCAGACAATATCTACGTCCATCACGACATCATGCTACCAGCTATACCTCTTTGCCTAGAATGGCTCGACGTACCAGTAGGCAAGACAAACGGTGACAAGAAGCAAGGGAACTTTGTAGCTGTCGGCATGATGGGTCCCGAGATCGAGGTCTGGGATCTTGACGTGGTAGACAGCATGTATCCGGCCGCAATCCTAGGTCAACAACCAGAAGAGAAGGAACAGGAAGAGAAATCAATTTCGAAAGATTCGAAAAAGAAGAGCAAGAAGAAGAAAAAGCCCAAGCCGAACGATTCTTACCACGTGGATGGTGTCTTGTCTCTCTCTTTGAACAGACATCACCGCAATCTACTTGCTTCAGCATCCGCAGACGGCACCATCAAGCTATGGGAATTGAATACCGGCACCTGCGCAAAATCATACACGCAGCACGGCAAGGCCAAAATCACAAGCTTAGACTGGCATCCTAGCCCTGAGCGTTCCACAATTCTACTGTCCGGCAGTGCAGATACAAAGACAGTGGTAATAACCGATATGCGTGCCCCTGAAGCCACAGCCCCCACGTGGCAAGTGGAAGCAGACATCGAGCGCGTCAAATGGAATCCACACGACCCAGACTTCTTCTACGTAACGACCGAGGCAGGAACAGTACACTACTTCAACTCGAGGACACCACCAGCACCAAACGCACCAGGCATAAGTAAGCCTGTATTCACACTACAGGCCCACGACAGTGCTGTTACAGCTTTCGACATCAATCCTCTTGTGTCGGGCTTTCTAGCCACAGCTTCCGAGGACAAGACCGTCAAGCTATGGAATGTAGTAGATAACAAACCCTCAATGGTCGTCTCGCGCAATCTTGATGTCGGACGCGTCTTCAGTGCGCAGTTTGCGCCGGACAACGAGGTCGCATTCCGCTTGTGTATAGCTGGCAGTAAAGGCAATGTACAGGTGTGGGATACGAGTACGAATGCAGCTGTACGAAAGGTCTTTGCTGGTAGAGCGCAGTTGCCAGCTGGTGATGATGTGAAAGAGAGGTTGGTAGCCAGCAGTGGAGGTGGTGGGGGAGAAGACGAGGAGGAAGATGAAAGCGAAGAAGAAGATGTGGCAGAGGATGGAGCTGGACAAAATGGGTGGGAAAGTATGGAGGAGGATTAGCAGAGTTTGGAGTTCTTGATGAACATGTTCAATGTCTCAATGATTATGTACATGATACCTCGTCAGTCTTTCTCGAAGCTTCCCATAAAGTGTGTCTGAACGACTATGACGCTTTTGCTTGGTTCTGATCTATGATGAGTGGGTTTGAGATTTCCACTATCTATAGCAGCCTCAACCTGTTCCAAAACATGGTCTGGAATGTATGTAACCCAGTCTCTGTGTATATTGATGTCCATCCTATGATGTCGGTTTACATCTTGCAGCCTGCTGACCTGTATCGTAGGCTCAAAGATATTCTTCATCGAACTCTGCTCTTTCAAGCCTTGAAACGTAGCCCGCATTTACAAGCTTAGCCATATTATAGAAGTCAGTGTCCTTGAGTACCTCCTCGTCGTCCTTGAGTAGACGTCTCGAGACGAATTGTTCTGTCTGCGGGTTATATTCGTGCTCAAAGCGTGTATCGAAAAGCTCCATCTCGTCGAAATTCGCTGGTCCGTCTGACAAATAATCCTGATAGAGTACCAACTTGATTTGCCAATGGTTCTCTTCAGCAGGATAGAGGAACTGCTTACGCTTCCAATTCCAGTCTCACAATTCGTACTTGATTTTTTCATAGGACATAAAGCCTGTAGGATCAACACAAGTGCTGCAAGTTAGGGAATGAAACCATGCTCGAATGGATATCCGCCCACAGGGACCACCAACGTTATAACTGAGAACGACCTCTTTCAGGTTGGGAAGTAGTTTCCTGTCGGTATGAATGAAAGCGTCAGGAAACATCTGGACACCTCTGACGTGCCTCAGGAAGTCGTGGTCAATAGGATGTAGCAGGTCTTCTCGTTGGTTATCCTGATGCTCAAAGACGATCGTTGTGCAGGACGCCAACATGTACAATGCTTCCTGCTTACAAAAGGCAGAAACTCGTAGCAAAGCTCCTTTGTAATCGCTGATGTGCGTGATTATGTCGTCTATAGAAACCGGTTGCAGTCTGAGTTTGCCTCGCTCTATGTGAGTGTGTTGCAGGTGGTAATGAAGTTTCAGTATAGCCCAGTCGAAGACGTACTTGTAAACCATACATCTGATTTCAGCTGGCAGGTCCAAGAAGTATGTTTCAAAGGTTTTAAGGTCCGCCTTTGGAGGGTTCATCATGCTAGTAACAGCTGTACGATTGGCAACCACGAAATTGACCAAGCTGGAATGAAGATGTGACGGGTGAGTACTTCTGGGAGAAATCTCGCTTGAAGAAGCCATGCTAGCCGTAACTCACGCGTCAATTTGAAGATGCTGGACCAGAATACATGAATTACCAAAAGCGTGTCGGGTAGAGCATTCTTCGGTCAAACGCGTCACTTCCAGGAAGGCACGCGTCTTCGACGTGTCGCTGCCTTGTGCTAAATCAACTTCGCTGAAAGTGGTGCTTAGCGATTAAGTCTTCCGCTCGGTTTAGAAGCTGAATATGGTCCTTAATGCTGGCCTCTCATCAACCAGTTCTTCCTCTTTGGATTGTCCATTTTCAACCTTGGTATCGCGAGAGTGAAGGTTACCAATGCCAGCTCCTGATACATATTAGATCATGCCTTATACTGACCGTCTAGTAGAATCCTGACCAGCTGTTGAAATTCTTCATTGGCGCACCCCGAGTTTTCCTAATTATTTTCCTATCGTCGACACTGATTACAGCATGCTACCAATGTCAGCCGAGCCTTTATGATACCCTTGAAGTACTTACAATCGTCTCGTCCGATAGTGAGCTCATCACAAATTGAGCACAGAGATAAATCTTGAATGACCTTGAACTTCTGCACAACTCATGAAGTGTAGCGCTCATACGTTTGACGTTGAACATTGTCATGTCGTACATTGCTTCATCAGCTTGAGGGCTTTGCAAAAAGACTTCGTCATAGAACATGCACCAGACAGTGATACTCCGCAGTTCCAATATTCTTAAAGCTGGCAGCTTTTCCAGCTGAAATGGTCGCAAGGAGAACTGCTTCGCGTCTAGCACAACTGCTTTGCTGATAGATCCTACGTAAAACTCCGGCATGTTCACCACCTTCTCAAGCGATCCAGCTACCTCCACTGTAGTAGCAGCCATCAGCAGTGGTAGGGTCTCGTCGCGGAGCTGCCGACAAGTCCTGACTATGTGATGGGGGAACAAGCATGAGCAGATTGCAAAGTCACAAGCTGGCCAGGACACATGAGGTGTACCACAAGACAACTTTGCAGCTTCGAACAAGTGGCTGTAAATCGTCAGTCGAATCTCTGCTGGCAAGTCAAGGAATCGGAGAGCGTTCGTTGTTGGCTGGTCCATCAGTGTCGAAGTGATCATCGAGCCGTCCATAGTCATTGTGAGTGCCGCTGTTTTCTTGGGATTTCGGAAGACAAGCACAAAGGAAGCTAGATGTGATCGTGACAGAAATCAACAAGTATATCGATATGAGAACGGGTTACATTGATGCTGCGATGAGCTTGTCCCCTCATATTACAACAAGATCATCTTGCGCTAAGCTCGATCTTCGATATACATATCATCGTTCAGAAGGAGGTCAGTTCGGAATCAGGACTCCGGGTGCACCTCCGCAAAAGTGGATCTGAGCATGATCAGATAAGATAACGGAAAGATCCGTGTCAGCAGTCTACGGGTGTCTCTGGAATACGAAAGTGATCAAAAGCCTGCTACCACTTTATGCCATTATTAAAAACATGATATGACGAGCAGATCCTGTGAGGTATCATCGTCGTCCCTTAAAAGATATGGAAACCAGGTGTGGCTAGCCGATAGAAGAACCACTGGCTCATTCCCGAATAAATTAGGCTGTGTAAGTACCTGGATTGAGTGAGACCACGGTTTTTTTGGTGTTGTTCAAACATGAAAACTTTGGGGTGAAAGTCGTGTAAAGGCGTTCAAGGATTACCTAAGATGAAGGAGCTTACGAAGTTATGATATAGATCAACTTGAAAACTGGACGTCTACCAAAGTTGCAGAAGTAGATTTATGTGAAGAGGGAATAATTCTGCCATGGCCGCGATATCGATTGCTGTGACGATGCTCTATTTGTTTATGATCTTCACCTGTTATGTGAGAACACAACACAAGAGCCGAGCGTTATACCAGGCTAATATCAACCAGGAAGTCGTACAAATCATCTACCGCCTCAAATTCCACCCACTAGCTCGCTACCCAGGACCATTCCTCTCCAGAATATCCTCACTCTCAATACCACTCCAAGCCGCGTCAGGCGACCGACACCTCCACCAGCTTCAAGAACACCAACGGTACGGACCCATAGTACGAATTGGTCCCTCATCCCTCTCCTTCGCGTCACCAGCTGCCTTACGCACAATCTACCAGTCCAGTCGAGCTCAGAACCCGCTTCGTAAATCAGATTACTACAAGACTGTCGACGCGCCTGCTGGAGCCTACTCGACACATACGGAGATCAGTCGGAGGAAACATGCTTTCAGACGGCGCGTGCTCGATCATGCTTTCTCGGAGGCTTCGATGCGCCCGGCGGAGGAGTTTGTTCTTGAGAATATAAGGACGTTCTGTAAACTTCTTGGTCCGGAGTCAGACGGTGAAGGGCTGGAGTGGTCACGGCCTCGCAATATGAGTGAGTGTTGTACGAATTTTGCTTATGATGTGATGGGCGACCTTGTCTTTGGAAAAAGGTTTGATTGCATGACTAGTCCTGAGCACAGATATGTACCAAGGCTAATAACAGGGAGTTCTGAGCTGTTGTACTGGGTAAGCGCAACCGTGTATGCTCGACATGATGTGCTGACGTGGTAGGTCTCGCATTTACCACTACAGTTTATCGTTCGACCTATCTTGTGCTCACCAACACTGATGAAATGGTTTGGTGGTCAATTCGCACAGGATGAACATGAGTTCGTGGCTTATGCGTCGGCATGTGTGAAGGACAGGATATCAAAAGAGCACGAGAGTGATAAGGTCGTGCGGAAGGATATGATGTATTTCATCCTCGATGCTAAGGATCCTGTCACAGGCCAACCTTTCACGAACCAAGACCTCGACGCAGAATCGTCCCTGCTGATCGCGGCAGGCGGTGACACTACCTCCACGGTCCTCGCTGCGGCATTCTTCTATCTCACTCTGCCGACATCGGAAAGTGTCTTGAACCATGCACAAAAACAGCTGAGGGAGCGATGTTCGTCACCCTCTGATTTGACCTGGACTGAAGTCAGGAGGAACACGTACCTTCGTGCCATTGTTGAGGAGACGTTACGAATGGCACCAGCAGCCCCGTCCGAACTTCCGAGAACGATCCTGCAAAAGCCAGGGCTCGATATTGCGGGAGAGTTCATCCCATCAGGGACGACAGTTGGCTGCTCAGCATACGTTTTGCATCACAATGAGGAGGCTTTTCCATCGTCCTTCTCCTTCAGACCAGAACGCTGGATAGCTATCTCAAAAGAAGACACACATTCCACTTCAGCCACAACACATCTTTCAGAGCCATCGTATCTGCAGCATCCGGATCAGGTCTCTCGTGCTCGAGAAGCATTCTGTGCATTCAGCTTAGGAAGTCGAGGATGCGTTGGCAAAGCGTTAGCATATATGGAACTTTGTCTCACTTTAGCACATGTTTTGTGGGCTTTCGATTTCAGACGAGCTGAAAACGGTGATCGAATCTCGGTACGGTCGAAGACACAAGCCAACGCTAGAGGACTCGAGTGGCGTGAGTTTGAATACCAGCTGAGGGATGTTTTTATTACCGATCGAGCTGGTCCATTGATCAAATTTAGGAGAGCTCAGAGGCCAGGGGTATCATGAGTCTCAGATTTAGAATAGAGTTCTTGTGTCGCCAGACTCGTTACACCATTGACAGGCACAGTGAAGTTTACGATCTTGGTGGACCAATTGCAGGATGTGATCGAACCTGTTTGAGTACAGACTGAGTAAGACCGGAATTCGTGTGTAAGTGTTCCGACCCTTTTTGTTCATGGCAATCTCTTTTCCAGGCATATCGTTGCTCGTTCCCTCTGGGGTTGTCCGAGTGCAGCATGACACATCTCATTCTCTGTGTGAAATGTCTACTTTAAACAGGGCTGGTTTTGGCCTGTACAGTGTTAATGTCCGCGAAGATTGAGTTGAACACCGCACTGACAACTGATGGCTGTTGCAAGGAATACGGGAATCTGTTTGAGCTTCTACGCTCGTGGCCCAGACTCAGATCCACAGTATGGAGCAGATCGATGTTGCGGAATCTAAATTACTTCTTGGCTGCATTTCAGCAGTATATAATCATTGGCCATAGCTCTGCGGTGTAGGTCGAGTTAGTGTGAGACGATATACGACCAGGCCTCAATCATCCATCTCAACATCATCGTCCGCATCGCTTGATGGATGAGCGTGACCATTGCGTTGTGGCTGGTCAGGTCGATCCACAATCGGCGAGGTAGCCATGGAAAGACTGATTCGCTGCTGAGCAGGTGACATTGGTTCAGACTCGGACATTCCGTGGTTGCCGTTCGTGTGAGCATGAGGATGACCCATCATGTGTGCGATCGAGCGTTGTTTTGAAGTTAGGGCTTCATCGCCCTCCTCAGCTTCATGGCCGTTTGTGCCGTTGGTAGTCGTGTCTTTGCCATCTTTGACTTTCTGGTCCTTTTCTTTGACCTGCTTGTAAGTTATAGTTCGAGGCACGACATCAGATAAGAACTGCAAGTTGTCCAGCTTCGATACAGCAGCTGCAATGTCCTTATATTGGATATTCTTGCGCGGCTTTGCTTCTGATTTTGCGACATTGAAAGCTTGTTCTGTCAGGTACCGCAAAAATTCTTCCTGTTCACAGAACACATCCTGGTTAGTACTTTCGAGCACAGAAAGGGCCAAGACCAGTTGTCCATATGAACTTACAGTCGCGACGGATATGGCAAAAGCAGCAGAGTTTGAGGCTTGACTAATGTCTTCGTCTTGTGCTATGATTTTCTTCACTCTCGCAACTTTCCACAGTCAGTCTGAGGCACATTTCCAGTAATGGCGACGCGTCATACGAGGTAGAGTGGAAGTCCCAGTGATCTCTTCTGGTCTGGGAATCGCGGTAGTCACGTACGGCATCGTCACTGTAGTTGTGAGCTGTACTAGGCTTCGCGTACTTCTCCTCGAAATTCTGGAGAAGGTCTTCAACCGACGAAGGAGTTGCTAGTCCAATATACGTGGTTTCCAAAAGTGGAATGGTTCACACACGACGGGGGTGTTCAGACTAAGACTAATTGGGATGAACCGGTCCACTGACATGGAATCGATGGTCCAGGGGCTCATCTTAGGCCCTTGAAGCCTATTTGTGGACGCCCAAAGCACTAACTGCGCCTATAACCTCGAACGACAAAGATTCGTGCCTCTGTATCTACGTTAGCCTGAATCTGTCGCATTCATATTGACTTGGTCAGATTGATCAAGAGGCCGTGTTGACACTCACTCTATTGTCCTTGCGGATGGCATGTACTGCGGCTCGAGTATGCTGATACAAATGTTATGAACCAACAAGGCTCTTCCTCATCTACCCGGCCTGTACCACGACCTTCCCTTTCACATCGACGATTGTCGAGGCGGTTTTCTACCCTTTCTGGCCTCGAGACTGGCAACAACAATAAAGCTCAAAGCCGTGAGGATGCTACCGTAACAGAAGAGCTCGCGCAGCTCAAGAAATATGAGGACTTTACAACTATAGATTGGGTACAGGATGCAGCCAGAGAGCAGATCAGAAGAAGGACAAGGAGGAAAGACGCTGCCTCTTTCTTTCAGCGCGATGGCACTTGGGGTTGGCGCCGAAAGGTATGGGAGTCTTACGATGCTGCACAGGCCTGGGTCGTGGTCACTCTCGTTGCAATTGTAATTGGCTTGATCGCCGCCGCCCTCAATATCATCACCGAATACCTCTCAGATCTGAAGATGGGATACTGTACAACTGCTTGGTACCTGAACGAAGGTTTCTGCTGTTACGGTGCTGAGAACGGTTGTGACGAGTGGAAGAGGTGGACGTCGTTTGGCTTTGCCAACTACCTCATCTACACCGGCATAGCTATCTGTCTAGCTGCAACTGCGTCCTTTCTGGTCAAAGGCTATGCTCCTTACGCTGCTGGATCTGGTATCTCCGAGATCAAATGCATCATAGGTGGCTTCGTTATGAAAGGCTTCCTCGGTTTCTGGACCTTGCTGATCAAGTCGATCTGCCTTCCACTGGCCATCGCGTCAGGGCTCTCCGTCGGAAAGGAGGGTCCAAGTGTACACTATGCCACCTGTGTGGGCAACGTCATTTCAAGATTCTTCGACAAGTACAAACAGAGTGCCTCGAAGACTCGTGAAATACTGACCGCTAGTTCCGGTACTGGTGTTGCGGTTGCCTTCGGCAGTCCGATCGGAGGTGTACTTTTCTCCTTGGAAGAAATGTCAAGCCACTTCCCTCTCAAGACTCTTTGGAGAAGCTACTTCTGCGCCTTGGTGGCTACAGCTGTTCTCGCAGCTATGAACCCCTTTCGCACAGGACAGCTAGTCATGTTCTCCGTGAAATATGACCGCGATTGGCACTTCTTTGAGGTCATCTTCTACATCGTACTTGGCATCTTCGGCGGGGTCTACGGTGCCGTGATGATCAAAGGTCACCTCGCGGTACAGTCGTTCAGGAAGAAATACCTTGCCAAGTATGCGATACCTGAAGCTATGGTTCTTGCAGGTGTCACAGCACTGCTTTGCTATCCAAACATGTTCTTACGAGTTGACATGACTGAGATGATGGAGATGCTTTTCCGAGAATGTGAGGGCGACTACGATTACCATGGTTTGTGCGAGGCAGAGAATCGTTGGTCCAATGTGCTCTCCTTGCTTACCGCAACTGTCTTGCGTTCATGCTTGGTGGCACTCTCTTACGGCGCCAAAGTCCCTGCTGGTATCTTTGTTCCTTCCATGGCAATTGGCGCATCGTTCGGTCGTATGATTGGTATTCTGGTCGAATGGCTGCATTCTTCGTTTCCCAACTCTAACTTTTTCTCGGCTTGTGAGCCAGATGTTCCATGCATTACGCCAGGTACCTACGCTTTCCTCGGCGCTGGAGCTGCATTGAGTGGAATTATGCACCTTACCATCTCCGTCACTGTTATCATGTTTGAGCTCACTGGAGCTCTGACATACATTCTCCCTTCCATGATTGTTATTGGCGTCACGAAAGCGGTTGGTGACAGACTCAGCAAAGCTGGTATCGCAGATGTGATGATTCAATTCAATGGCTATCCATTTCTTGACAACAAAGAGGAACACAACTTTGGTGTACCTGCATCCCAGGTCATGACCAGCAGTACGACTTCGTTGCCTGCTTCCGGTCTGGAGGTAAAAGCTGCACAGAAGTTGCTCGACGACACCAATTATTCAGGGTTTCCGATTGTCGAAGACGTTGAGTCCAAAATTCTTGTTGGCTATATCGGACGTGCAGAGCTACAGTACGCACTAGACAAAGCGCGAAAGCAAGGCATGTTGGCACCTGATTCCAAGTGCTCGTTTGTGCGATCGTCGGTCGACGACACGGAATCACCTGTATCGGCTCGCGATCGAACCGCATTTAATGGTATAGCACGACAGAATATTGATCTCACCTCTTACGTGGACAACGCACCTATCACTGTGCACCCACGACTGCCCCTCGAGACGACTATGGAGCTCTTTATGAAGATGGGCCCACGCATCATCCTTGTAGAGCATCATGGAAGACTGGAAGGGCTAATTACTGTGAAAGATTGTCTTAGATATCAAGTCCGAGTCGAGGCTCTCGAACATGGTGGCCACAATGCTACTTCTCCTTCAGTGGCTTCAACAGAGCAAAGGCAAGAAGTCATCTGGAATACTCTGCGAGGTATCGGGCAGTGGTTTGCTGATGGACTGAACAACCTGTCGCGAGGACGGCTCAAGTTATCACCTCAAAGCACGAGCGCCACGAACAGTGTATGGTCCAGGTTACCCAATAGTGAACCTGATCCTGTACACGATTACGAATACGAGAACGAGATACTTGGTGGCACTGAAGAGCTCGTACCCCACGAAAACAGAGATGGTGTTGAGATGGATGTTAGATAGTTGAGATGAGCATGATCAGTAAATAACGCTCCATAGAGACGTGAATTTCCGTGGATTTCAGTCACTGACCTGTGATTACTTTACGACGTTCTTCATCGATTACTCTTAACAGATCAAATCTGACTAAGAAGCTCGTCTAAAAAGCTGCAGCACGCTTGTGTTGTGCCTGAAAGTAGCACTGCTTGTGTAGCAAATCAAGCGCTGCTTATGTAATGGTTCTAGATCTTCCTGCATGACGCCAGTATCGTAATTTAAGTTTGATGGTCACGCCTTCATCTCTGCCCCAGCTTTTGCCTCCACATCCAGAGCGGATATATACACACTCGTCTGTGTTGTGTCAACAGCCCCTATACCGAAGTATCAATTCATCATGACGGATTGGGCGGCTCCAAATCTACCAACTACGAAGCCAAATAAACCATTCGGGAAGGATCGCTTGACGCCCGCTAACTTCTCGCCTCGGCTGAGCCATGAACTTGCAAGGATAGACGATGATATTCCATTCAGGCCCAAAGCGCGGTATCTGCATCACACATGGGCGCAAACATTCTTTTCGCGACCAGAGTACTACTTTCAGCCAGAGAGTGTTGCAGAGCTCCAGAAAATCGCCACGTTAGCTCGAAGATGTCACAAGCGCGTGTGTGTTACCGGCTTTGGGCATTCGCCATCAACATTGACATTGACTTCATCGTGGCTGGTCAATCTTGACAACATCTCGAACATACTCGAATGGGACGTTGATGGTAAGAAGGGTCTGGTGCGCTTCGAAGCTGGAATATCTTTGCACAATCTGAACCAGCAACTGGCCGCCAAAGGCCTCACACTCCCCAACCTTGGCAGTATCGATGTACAATCTCTGGCTGGCTCTATCAGTACTGGCACACATGGTTCATCACTATCTCACGGCCTTCTGTCGCAAAGCGTAACTTCCATGACAATCCTTCTATCCAACGCACAACTAGTCACTTGCTCTCCTGAGAAAAACGTCGACCTCTTCCGCGCCGCCCTCCTCTCACTCGGTGCCCTCGGCATAATCGTCGAAATGACCTACCAAACAGTCCCAGACTTCAATATCCACTGGTCCCAACGCCTAGTCCCCCTCGACGACATCCTCTCCAACTGGTCCGAATCATTCTGGAAGCAAAGAGAATTCACTCGCGTCTGGTGGCTCCCCTACCTCAAGCGCGCCGTCATCTGGTCCGCCAACAAAACCGACGAACCCCCCAAACCACCAAACAAGACCTTCTACGGCGGTGCCTTCGGCTACTACCTCTACCACAACCTCCTCGCTCTCTCAAACTACATTCCCAGCATCCTCCCCTTCGTCGAGTGGCTCATCTTCGGCATGCAATACGGCTTCAAGCCCGACACCTACACCATGACAGCCATCGAGCCCGCCCGCTCCGGTCTCCTAATGGACTGCCTCTACAGCCAATGGGTCAACGAATGGGCCCTCCCTCTCCCCAAGGGCCCCGAAGCGATCTCCCGCCTCAGCGCCTGGATCAACGGCGCACCCAAATCCGAACACAACATCCCCTTCTCCAACAAAAACCTCTACGTCCACTGCCCCGTCGAAGTCCGCGTCAGCGACACCACAACCGACAACCAACACAGTAAAGTCCACCCCTTCCTCGACCCGACCTGGCACGAAGGCCCAACCCTCTACCTCAACGCAACCCTCTACCGCCCCTACGGCAGAGACCCCCCATGCCGCGACCGCTACTACGAAGCCTTCGAATACCTCATGCGCGAACTCGGTGGCCGCCCACACTGGGCCAAGAACTTCCTATACACAGACCGTGAACACATCTCCACAATGTACGCCGACGACATGCAAAAGTTTCTCGCGGTACGCAACGAAGGTGATCCTGACGGCATGTTCCTTGGACAATGGCATCTGAACAACCTCCCCATCGAGAGCAACAACCAAGACGAAAACAGCAACAACAAACAATCCTCCGTTGAAGAAGAAATCAGCCGTAAACCAATGGGTCTCGGCTGGGGCGACGGTGTGCTCTGGGAAGGTGCGGTGAGAGACTTTTCGCCATTGGACAGAGATGCAGCTAGGGATGCGGGTGTCAGTTTCTCGAATGATGATGGTGGAAACACGCCTACTGCGATGAGTATGACGAGTCGGACGAGTGACGAGAGTTTTGATATGTTGGCCAAGGGGGAGGCGAGTTTCTATCGAGGTTGAGATGGGGGGTTGGAAAGTGGAAATGAGAGGTGGGAGATGAGGTAGTGATCTACTATGCAGATAGGTTGTTGGAATATGACTTGACGCATTTGGCACATTTGATGGACATTGACAAGTTGAGCATGTTGTTAGTCAGATGTTTGCAAACTTGAAACATCAGAATGACCCTTTTACATACTAATGTATGCATTCGCGAGATCTATCACATCTTGCGCTCTTCTTAATCATGGGACATTGAAAAGTCAATGTAATAGTATCCACAATTTCGTTCTGGTGTGATTAACGTCCACATGCATTATTCATAGGACCATCAAAAGCTCAAGGCTCATCAATTCAGTCTCCAATGAAGCCAATTTCAATGCTCTTTGCTCCCCAAGCTCCATACACGAGAACACACACAAGCATAAGGCAAGTATGAGAGTCATATCGTCGTTCGTCAAAGCCGTCAGCCAGTTGTTGTACAAGACCAAAAAGGTCCAATGGCAGTTCGTGAAAGTTAGAGATAGAAGTAGTCGTTCGTCCTTTGGAGATCGATAGGTGAAGTTGTAGGCAGATAAAAGAACTTTTCACAAGACAATCGCCGCCCAAGACCCAACTATGTCGCTAATTCTCAATGCAATCCCAGCAGCTAACGCCCAGTGCTCGACGATCACGAAGACATAAATCACTGCTGGATGAGTTAGCGAAGCCTAGAGTAAATCGGAGGGTTACTAACCTTCATGGGAGGGTAGCCTTGAAAGCCACCGAATCCTCCATTTGGTGGCATACCCATTGGGTAGACAGGAGGTGGAGGAGCAGGTCTGTAAGGAGTACCTGCAGGACCAGAGTTGTTCTGGGATCGGCCCCAGCTAAGCCGGACACGAGAGTTGCCGATGGGATAGCCTTGCATCTGATTGATGGCCATCTCAGCAGCATGGCGTTGCACGAATTGTACGAAACCGCAACCCTTTCCTGGTGGAATCTTGACATATGTTATCTCGCCAAATCCCTGGAAGAAGGATCGTAGTTCATCTTCGGTGACGTAGCCGGACAGACCACCAACGAAGACAGTGGTGTTGTTAGGATCAGTGAACTGGTTCATGGGCTGAGGACCGCCATAGGCACCACCCATTGGCGGATAGCCCATATTTGGCTGCTGCTGAGGAGGGTAGCCCATGTTCTGGTTGTGGCCACCACCTGGCATGTTCATAGGAGGACCCATGTTGGAAGGACCACCTTTGTTCTTCGGGGTGGCAGTAGAGATGCGCATAGGTCGGTTGCCGCAGTAGACACCCTGCATTTCGCTGAGAGCACGTTGCTGATCTGATTCGTCAGAGAAGCGGACAAATCCATAGCCTCGCGACATGCCAGAAAGGGGGTCTGTCATGATCTTGGCGGACTTGCATGATGGGAATCGGCTCTGGAACAGAGATACTAGGACATATTCGTTGACCTCAGGGCCCAGATCGCCGACGAAAATGCTGTACTCAGGGCCGCGGTCATCTCTTCGATCAGCAAGTCCACCACCAGAAGCCCAATTTAGCTTGAATGGTCGCTGAGAGTTTGGCATCTGTTGCCCGTTAAGATTCAGAGCCTTGGCAGCAGCGCCAGGAGAAGAGAAATCAACGAAGCAATATCCAGCATTACTACTTCGTCAAGATTAGCACTTGGAACCGGCCAGTGGGTTAGACACGTACCCAGAGAATTTGTCTCGAATCATCTTAACAGAAACTTGTTCGCCCATCTGGAACCAAAGATTGCGGATGAAGTTCTCGTCGACCCATGGCTCAAGCTCACCCATCCTGTACCACATCAGCGGTGTTCATGGGGAACGCGCATGTTGTACTTACCATAGTGTGGTCTTTCCTTCCTGACTGGCACCTGGCGAAGCCATACCTTGACCATCCTGACCAGCAAACTGCATCTGAGGAGCACCAGATTGGTCGGTGGGTTGACCAGGAGCACCACCATTTTGAGAAGGTGGTTGTCCAGGTGCACCCTCTGGCTGCCCAGCAGGAAATTGACCGTAACCTTCGAGAGACATTGCTGACTGGACGTGTTAAGCAGAAGATTGAATTGAAAGACTGCGCCAAAGTCAGCTCGAACTGCGTGATAGCTAGATTTTTTTGGTGGAAGAATGCGATAGAAAAAGTGTGAACTGTTTACTGTGACTGAAGGCGCACCTTCACTAGTGACAGAACAACACTCGTGTCACGGGGAAACGTACCGGAGCTCGTTTGTTATGACTCTTGATGTTTGCAGTCTTGAAAACGAATCGTTCTTATTCCAAGCTGCAAGCTGTCCAATACAGGTTCCGAACTATCGTGAAGCGACAATATCGGAAATGAGGGATCGGCAAAAAAGATATCGGTGGAAGAAGAATCGAAGGTCGATCGCTCTGTAGGACAGTCGAGTTAGTAAATGTTGCGAGAGGTAGTGAAAGTCTCGAGTGAAGGTAGCAGCCGACAACATTTGCGAGATGCGCACGAACACAGATGTCACCTGTCGACCACGTGTCTGAAGTCTGTAACGTGAAGAAGGCGCAGCTGACTGTTGAGAGGTGTCGTGTGCGCGAAAGTCGTGAAGAACAATCGAGTTCGAGTCGCATTGCAGCTTCAGGTTGCGATGAGAGTTGCGCTAGTGGTTGCGATGTCTGCTGCAGCACCACATCTTCTCGAGGCTTGGGGACCGTGCGCAAAAGAGTGCTAAAGACTCACCAGGAAGACAAGATCAATCACAGTAGATACTCGATAGCAGTTGAAAGCGCAGAGGCTGAACCCGAGGAAGCAATTCTCTCAAACTCCGATGCTCAAGAACCACAGGCAAGGGATTGACGGGATAGATAATAGTCAATGCAGCATACAGCGCAAGCTTAAATCCACAAAGACCCGAAAAGACGAGAAACGAGCAAGATGAATAAGTGGAAAGTTGAGTGGAAGGACAATTGGAGGGGAGGAAAAAGAAGACGATTTTGAGAGATGATGGAAAGCCGCTGTATAAGCGTTTCCGACTCAATGTCTGGAAAGTGGGATACCTCGAATTAGTGCGGTGCCTGCCTTTTCCACAAAGCCTAATGAATGAGCAAGCTTCGAGTTTTGGTTAGGCACACCCATCTAGCACACAAATAACATGCTCGGAGCAACTTATAACGAGACTGAAAGTCCTTGCATCGAGCTGTGCGTCGTTCTTCAGGACTGGTTCGCATGCGCATAAGTGTGTCAGAGCTATAAAGCTAGGCGCCATACTCGTATGTGGTCCTTCTCGTCGTCCACATGCAGCACTATCCAAACGCTAGTGATCACATCATTTATGCTCACGGCCACCTTTCGCGGCTGAACTGAACTTGGACCGAATCAGACGTCGTTCCGTATATTGAAGATTGCCAGGTCGCGTATGCCTTCTGCCTTTCCGCGCCCTTTGCAGTCATTTTGTGTTCTTGCTCGTTAGGAACTGTCGCGGATTCTGTCAATCGCGCTTCTCTGTTTGCAGGCAACGTGTTACTAGTAGTGCTGCCTCACAATATTTCCGGTTATGTTCGGCTTCGGATGCAAGGATATCTATATCCCCTTGGCTTCGACTCCAATTGCTGACTAAGATTGCTCTATTCGAGAGACTCATATCCTAACCGGACGCGTCTGAGCGGGCAGAACAATTACAGCAACAACTTAAGTGACAATCATGAACCAGTTCGGGCCTCATCAGGCAGCAGCACCAGACAACACCAGCTACGAATGCAGACACCAACCAAAAGTTGGATTATGCTTGCTATAAACTGCCGCAATGCATGCTCTGTGCTACGACAAGCAAAGGTTGAGCTAATGATTCGACTAGGTGAATTTGACTATCAGCTCAAACGAGCAGACGTCGCACTGTCAGTTGCAATGCTGTACAGCTGAAGACCTTGCCTCCGAGCCTGAAGCCTGTTCGCAAGCACCCTGTCTTTCCTCAGCTTAGACTTGTTCCAAACTTCTCTTCTTTATCCACGGTCCTTTCTGCTCATACATCTTCAGTTCCTTACCCATCGTATTCTGCTTCGTCTGCATCATCTTGCAGGTCCTGCGCATAGACTTCGTTTCTAGGCTCAGGTTCAGGGAGGGTGCCTTCTGCGGGCTGCCATGCGGTTTCACGTCCTAGGTAGACAGTATCAATGCTGCAATGTGATTAGAACGTGACTAGCATGTGGTGGCGTGGAATACTTACTACCTCCCGTTCTTGGCACCTACCTTCTTCAATACACCTTCCTCCTCAAACCCAACTCCTTCGAGCCACGACTTGAGCCATTTGCCGTAGTCGTCCTCGGTAGTCTTGACATATGCAGACTTCCTATATCTGGGTCGCTCAATGCTGAGAACTCCTGCTTTCGGCAAGTGCCACTTTCGCAATACGAAGAACACCTTGTGAACATCGCGCTGACCTCCAGGACCATAAAGATGTCGTATGGTGTTGTCGCAATGGAAGGTGCAACGTGTGGTAAGTCTATGGCCTCGATCGCAAATCTGCAACATCTTGTCGAGCAGGCACTTCCCAACACCCATCTTTCTGTAATCTGGATCGATGTATATTTCAAGTTCTGCCGAGATGTGCTCGACGTAGTCTGCGGCTGTCATGTCCTGCGCACAACAAAATCCTGCCAACTTTTCAATACGGGTCAACGTTGTGTGTCTCTGGTGCGTCACCGGGAGATTCATGCGTCGTGATATCTCCTCGTCGTCCATGACTTGACGATATCGTGCACCTTTCTGGCTCCTCTTAGCTGCGACAATAAATGGAAGGTGCGCCTCAGATACGAAATTGATGCGACCTGTCATATCCGGTTCTGAAATTTCTCTTGTCTCAGCCGGTGCAGCGCCATTGCCTATGTGCCAGTTGTAGATTCGCACTAGTTCTGGTAGATCAGCTTTCGTGGCTGGCCTCAAGTAAATGTTCAACGTAGGTTCGAAAAGTTCTTCTTGGACAAGCGGCAGCATATCCTCGAGCCTCTCGGTCTCTGCCTCAAGTTTCACACCATTGTCTATTGAAGCATTGCGGGCGTTTGTCAAATGTGCCAACCAGTTGTCAATCAAGTCCTGACTTCTCTCTTTCCCATATTCTGCGTTGTTAGCGTCAGATAGATCAAGCTTTCCCCAGTCCTTGAAGTCATCGACCTGAATTGGCTGGGAGTACTTCACGACTTCTTCGGGTTGGTCCACATATCCATACGTGACTGCGTTCTTAAGTCCGATTGTTGTATTCTGCCTGACCATAGAGATACCATCAGCGACGTTGTCAATGTCTTCCAATACATGTGCAGGAACGACCATATACGCAACCCCGTTGCTCCACGAATGGGCCTTGCTGCTACTTTTGGAAACTGAAGACAACCACCTCTTGAAAGCAGCCTTGAAAGTCGGGTTGTTGTTATTATACCGAGGTCTATCACCCCAGTCAGCAGGAGCTGGGACAAAATGGCCTTCCCAGTCGAAGAGTTCTGCCTCTTGCTCAGCTTTATGCTGATTGAGCAATTTCCCAAAAGTCCGATCAGAGACGTTACTAGCTCGTGTGGCATCGCTAGGAGCAACAGCTGAGCTCCAAGCGTTACTGTCGACCTCCTGCTTTTCATCCCTGAGCTCTTCTTTGGTGGCCCACTTAGACCGTGACTGCACAGGGTCCGGACGAGCCGAGACTACGCCAGGCGTCTCGGTGAGGTGCGTGCTTGCAGCCTGGGCCACATGGGACATATTTCGTAAAGTTTTATGTGTAGCGTACTGTTCTCCTCGATCGGGATTGGTAACAGGAGACTCTTCTGCCCAAGGACGACGGGAGGCAGCAGGTTGCTCTGGATTTACTATCTTGCGAGCATGGTCAAGGTCTTTCAATGAGGTGGTATCGTGCTGATCTTTTGACCTATGTTTCTTGGCCTCGACTCTCCTGGAGATTTTCTGCATTGAGCTTGTCTGAAGAGACTTTAATCGTGCAGCCACATCTTCCGATCTCTGTATCGGCGACATATTGGAGACACTGGCTTGAGAGGGCGCACAGCTTTGTGGTTGCTGATCTTTAGGTTCCTGAATGCGGCACTTACTTGACCTTGCTGGCGCACCAAGATTCGTGTCTCTCTTGTTATCGGGCTGTGCTGTTGTTAAGGTGCTCTCGGTCCTTTCATGTGACAACAAAGGTCTTGTTCCATCATGTAGGTCATCCGGTTTCCTGGCACTATCATCTTGAGCCAAGGGCTGTGCTTCCGTGCTAGTCTTAGTCGATGTTCTATGAGTCTCAACGTGTGAGGTATCGGACGATGCCGGCAATCGTGGAGCTGTACTTTCGACTTTCGTAGTGTGGCTGGCTTGCTGTTGCACGATATTGATCGCTGGAACTGGTGCTATAGCTTCGTCAGTCGCCGTGCGAGGTTTACCATTAACCACCACTTTCTGCTTGCAAGCGGTAGATGCAACGGACTTGTGCTGCTTCCGTGATGAAGGACTGCCATATGCCGTGGGGTCAAACGCCATGTTTAGAGCTCTCAGACCGTTGAATATTGCGAGGAGCGTCGACTGTTTTTGTGGGTAGGTTGTGTCGTGGCGTGACGCAGCGTCGGAGCAGGAGTGAAAGTCTTAGGAAATCAACAACTTACTATCAATGCATTCCCAACCCGGAAGGAGGGCCAATACTGAGTGAAAGACTTGCGAAGTTCACCCAACCCACCTCTGAATTATGTTTGCGCGTGCAGACACAGAATTTTGAATGTGACAACTACTTGCAGTCTTCGACATCTGCACGGTCATGCCGTGTTATAATGCTGATTCTATATCGGTGGTTACTGGAGCTCACGTAGCTCAAGATCGAGATCACAACTCAGTTCGGACGAGCCAAATCAGGCTCGGATCGAACACATCGATTTTGTACCTCATTGGCCACGGCCGTTGAGGGTGAATGCACGCAATGAGAAATAGGTCGAAATGGTATTTTTATGGAATCACGATCGAGGGAGTGAATAAAAGTGGGTACATTGCCGCCATTTAACACTGGTCGTACCCTTCAGTACGGCAAGTACCTTTACTAGATTTGGCGGGCATCGATCGCTTCAAGTTGTGCGATTATAACCTTCACTTCTCGTCCTCTATCCTCAGATCATATATGTAAGTACCAGGCAATTCTGTTCTCTTATGCGCCTATCAGCTACTATACAAGCTGCTCGGTAAGATACAGACTTCATCATGCTCTCAGTGCTACGCAAAGCGCGTCTGAAGGACAAGGAGATGCGAGTATTGATGCTGTTAGCTGAATTGCCCATCATTCATTCGGAAAACTAAAAGAACAGAGGTCTCGATAACGCTGGTAAAACCACGATAGTCAAGAAAATAATGAACGAAGACGTGAATACTGTGAGCCCGACGTTAGGCTTTATCATCAAGACTATCGACTTTCAGGGGTATGGACATTATCAAGCGGTGAGTCAGAATTGACGGAGGCAGGTATAAACTCAACATTTGGGATGTGGGAGGACAGAAGACGATTCGGTCTTACTGGCGGAACTACTTCGAGAAGACGGACGCACTGATATGGGTAGTCGATTCGACTGACCGCCTTCGTGTCGGCGAATGCAGGGCTGAGCTCAAGGAGTTACTGCGAGAGGAGGTAAGTAGACTTATCTTTTCTTCAGCTGTTCTGACCATGCGACTACAGAGATTATCCGGTGCCAGTCTGCTGATCTTTCTCAACAAGACGGATGTGGCTGGTTGTATGAACGAGATAGAAGTACAACAGAAACTCGATCTCGATAGTATCGCTACACACAAATGGATTATCCTCGAGTGTAGTGCTATGACAGGACGAAACCTCGAGGCAGGTCTGGCGTGGGTCATCCAAGACGCGCGAGATCGCTTGTTCTTATATTGATATCACTACTATACCATATATTCGGGCCACGCTCTTTGATTGGGTCTTTCGTTGTTAACTTATGGCATTCAAATCGTTGTATGATCGTCCCTTTGACATTGACTTTCCACCAATCGATACAGGTGCATGCTAAGCCGACCTGATGACAAGGTGTATGCTCGTAGTGACCGGTACAACTAGTTGTAGACCACAGGAACGAACTCCCAGATGATGTGTACAAGCGCTTTGAGCAGGATGTGGCCTACCTGCGACCACCATGACCAGCTAGCTGTATTCGGGATAGGTAATGCCGTCCATACTATTCGGCGCTTCTGCACGTATAGCAGAGGAAAAGTAAGCACGCCTGTCTTAAAGGTACTATTTATTGTATTATCTGTTGATTGTCTTAATATCAGAGTGAGCTGCACGAAGTCGAAAACTCGCCTTTTGGGGAAGCAGCTGCAGTACCAACTTGAACTCTCCGCAGCAACGCGACCAAGGTTCAGGTTGGCTGCAGAGTCCCGGTTGTGCATAAACAGGTCAACAACCACAACACATGTCAGATTTCATGTAGATATGATGTTATGAGCTTGCCTTTGTTGCATTTAGTCGAAGTTGATCGACTGTCCATTCACTTCTCTTGTGAGGCGCCACGTCCACTTTCTGCAATGATCATTGCTTTGCAGCAATTGTTATACTAGATTGTACCACTGATTGCGCAGCCATGAGTAGCAACAATGATGGCTCTGAGTCCGTCGACCAGTTCCTTGCGAGGATTGCCAGCGTTAAGGAGAACGACGAAGCAAGCGCAAATACCCGGCGGATGGACGAAGAGTTTCTAAAAGGTCGGCAGGAGCGACAGGCAAGACGACTGGGTAGGCCACATTCTACGCGGAAAGGACAATATGGATGCTGACAGAACCAATGCAGAGAGAGCGCGCTCCATTTCACCTTCCAAGACCGGTCCAGCAAAGACTTCCTCTACAGACCTGACACCCTCTACCATTGCGACCTCAACCCAAGCCATAAACCCTCCCATCGATTTCAGCCCTCAAGCACCCATCCTGACCCGATCTAATGCCGTCAATGGCAGGACTTCACCTACAAGGAGCACAGATGCGCCTCGTGTACGTGCTATCTCTACTTCCCCTAAAGCAGAACCAGCATCAGCATCACCTACGGCCACAGGTCTAGCCCGTAGTGGAACTTTGTCGTGGCAGCAAAGACCAGCCTCAAGAGATGGCCTTCGTCAACGTCCTCTTTCAGCTTTCGCACCCTCGCGTGGTGCAACTCGACTCCCTACAGAACCCGAAAAGGATGCAGAACCGAGCCGCGCGGACATTGCAGCTTCACTTGCTCAGAAAGATCCTGCTTGGTTCCGTCAAACACAAGAGAGGGGAACAAGCTCGGCTGCTTATAGAAAGAATCAGGTCGAAGACACGCCAGAGGCTCCTTTGGCAAGAAGCATGCAATTGCCAGGCCTGTCGCAGTCTCGTGAGCCCTCGAAAAGTCCAGCTCCCGAACGGCGACCGGATCAGCCCACTCGATCGAGTGCGGACACAGTTCAAGAAACCGACAGATTCAAGCGTGGCACTACTCCTGATATCGCCGCTCTAAGGCTGTCTATGATAGAGAAACCTCTCACCACTAAACACTCTAGTCCGGAGAATGCTGTGATTCAACCACCGTCTCTAGAGACCCCTAACCTTGATGCCTCTGTTCCAAGTCTCGCGCGGTCATCGAGCACGTTATTGCACAACCGTCCACCTTCACCTACCAAAGGCCTAGGAGGCTTTGTGGAAAGCGCTATGATGAGGCGATCAGACAGTGTCAGCAAAAGGTGGAGTGTTAAGGATAGCAGCGGGCTCAAGAGAGGCGATTCTGTCGCGGGTGGACGACCAGTCTCCTTGCACAGTAGGGGTATATCAAGAGACATACACTCCTCTCGTGCCGATACTCCCTCCTCCCCACTTGCAAATTCTCGTCCAGGCTCGAGTCACAAACAGGAGCCTCTCGCTTCTCCAGAAATAGAAAGCACAACCAATCTCCCAAGCAACCCCACCGAGACAGTCAAGGAGGAGCTCAGTCAAGCATCTCCCAAGCCTAAAGAAGTAACTCCCATCGATACAGCAAGACCTCGTACACCTACAGACAATTCGTTACTATCGCGAAGTCCCTCAAAGACAATGGATCCGAGGAGATGGAGTCCAACCAAGTCAACCTGGTTAGAAAGTGCTCTGCAGCAGAAACCAGAGACACCCAAGCTTCAGCCTCTGAAGGAAGAGCAACCTAAGTGGAAGGTTGACCTTCAGAGGTCGAAATCAAGAGCTAGTCGCGATATATCACCTGAGAAGCCCCAAAAGCTGGAGAAGCAACCAGGATCGCCAATACTGCTTCAGTCAAAATCCATTGTTGCCTCGCCAGTTGTCCCTGCTGCTGCAAATTCGAGCTCAACTTCAACGCCTAACATGCCAAAGGACTCTGCTGAGTTGCCACCTGAAGCGCCACAAACTGCTTCTTCGAAAGGATCGCAAGCTACTGGTTCTGTGCACGTAGAAAATGAAGAGAGTGATGTCGTACAAGACGAGGAACCAGCGAACCAGAAAAAACTCAAAGATACAACGTCAAATTCTGCTTCAAGGCAGCTTCCTGTTTTGAAACCGAAACCTCAAACACCACCGAAGACGGACTTCCGAGCCACTCTAAAATCTCGAACTCAAGGACCGACGACAAATACTGGCGAGGAACCAGAGTTCAGATCGATGTTCGGGAAACTGAAGAGAACCACGACCCAGAATTATGTCGCCCCAGATGAGTTGAAGCATAATATCATGTCGGGTAAAGCAGCACTGAACACAACAGGTGGCCCTGTCAAGACGAAGCGGATTGACGAGTTCAAAGAGAGCATCCTCGCTAAGAAGGAAGAGATGAGAGCTGCAGGTCCGTTGCCTGTGCAGCGACCAGACCAGAAGGACAAAATAGAGTTCGATGTGCCAGAAGCGCTGGCCAGACGTAAAACACTCTCGAAAGGAAGCACTACAGATTCTGTCCGGGTCAAGACCAGCCCCTCCGATCAAGCCTCTAGACCTGAAAAACCTGCACTAACGCCGAAGCCTTTGACTACCAGGAGGCAGGAAATGTCGTCTGACAAGCAGACAACTCCTACGACCGTGATCGCTGTTAAGGACAGCAAACCGAAGTCTGTGCCAGGCAAAATGGAGCAGCACACTACCCAGAAGAATGTCTCGATAGCAGACGAAGACAAACTTGTGCCAACAATACAGTCCACGGAGTCGACACATACTCCTGCTGCTCTAGCCACGTCGACAAACCGTTCCACACAGGTACAAGACGCGATGCAGCCTCCTGTACTGCGAGCTCTAAAGTCTAGTACACAGCCCACTTCATCAAATGCTACTTCGACGACCTCGATCGATTCACCAGCGCTCACAGGACTACCAGCTGGTAGCAAGCTTGCGTCACGACTCAATCCTAACCTTGCGGCCATGCTTTCCCGTGGTTCTAGCCCTAAACCCCAAACAACTTCTAATGCTGCCAACGAGGATACAACTGCAGCGCCTGCCATCGTCTCCTCGCAGGCGGCAGCTCAAGACGATGGCTCACTTACTCACATGACTAAAGGACGCGCAAAGGGTCCTAAACGTCGAGCACCAAAGACAGAAGCAGCTGTACCCGAGAGACCAATACGCGTACTGTCCGAGCAGCCGATCGTGGCCAAATCCGAAGACAAGTTGACTTCGAAGATCACGCCAAAGGAGAAAGAGTCGTCACCTGTAGTGACTCGACAATCATTCAAGCAAACAGTCACCAACCCGAAACCTTCGATTGCCTCGAGTGTCAAGGTTCCTGCCGTTGACAAAAACATCTCTCTAGCACCTGTGCTCTCGCAAGAAATAGTCCAGCCAAAGACTCCATCCAAACAAACGCCCAGTCTCGATGAAGTATTCGAGAAGAATCTTCAAAGTGAGCAAACCACTACCAAGAGCTTAGCGGTAGAGTCGAAATCGAAGCCATTGGTAGCAAGCAAATCTCCTGAGCTGAGAAAAGTCTCGAGCCCGCCCAGCTTCACTGGGAGGCTAGCAGTGAGTCCCAAACCTGTCACACCTCCAAAGCCAGCCTCAGAGACAATTTCGAAACCCATACCCAAACCTGATGCAGCAAGTACGCCCGTAGCTACACCTGAATTGGGCAAAGACAAATCTACAGAGATGGGGAAGGCTGGCCTAACGAAAGTCTTAGTAAAGAAGGAGATTCGACCTCTTCCAAAACCCGAAAAGTCTAGCAGTATTCAAGGTCTTGGCTTAAAAATGACCCCATCACCACAGCCTCCCAAGCTCTCACCAAAACCAAGAACTCTCACACCACCTCCTGATACTGACATGCGCATAAGTGGTCATGAATTTACAGCAATCAGAGACGTTCTGGAGGATTATGTAGGTTCAATAACAAAGGACTGTGACAGAGCTGAGTTCGACGCTCAACGGTTCTTGGAATCGACGAGACAGGTGCAGAGCAGGACAAAGACCACGCAACACACTGTTTACGAAGTCTCTGGGGATGGTAAGAAGACACTTGTTCCATCAGAGCATCAATATATTCTCTATGAGGACGCAATGTACTTAATTGCACACAGATACACTACGGAAAGTGGAAGTGCCACTGCGGATGTTCATTTGTGGTGTGGCGGCCGTGTCTCTGACGCGGCCATAGACGATGCGCAGGTTTTCTGCCGACGAGATGCACGAGAACACAACACAAAACTAGATGTGGTTAGACAAGGTAAAGAGAGCGCAAGCTTTATGCAAGGATTTGGTGGAATACTTATTGTACGACGTAGCAAGTCTTCTGCTCTCTATATGCTGTGTGGAAGGAGACACCTCGGCCACATCGTGTTCGATGAGGTTGATATGGATGCTGGCAATCTGTGTCCTGGCTTTGCCTTCTTAGTATCTGCAGCATATGGAAAGCTATATCTATGGAAAGGTAAAGGTGCGGGTGTCGATGAGATTGGTAGCGCCAGACTCATTGGCATGGACCTTGGTTTGACAGGTGAAATCGAGGAAGTCGATCAGGGCTCTGAATCGTTATCTTTCTGGGAGGCACTTGGTGGCAAGAAGCAACAACATTGGTCTAGTGTTTGGAATCAACGATCAGAGACGAGCGGCCATCATTCGGCGCTGTACCGTGTCGAGCACGAACGACCAGGCATGCTCACAAGTCTAGCGTCCTGGGGGCTCAAGCGAGCTGCGTCTCCAGCAAAGCAACAGCTCAAGGCCACTTGCGAACAGCTTCAGCCATATTGTCAAAGCGATCTCGACACGCCTGCCATTCACATTCTTGACAACTATCGTTCGCTGTACGTCATATTAACACGGCAATGTACCTCGAAGGCGGCAGAATTTGTCACAGCACTCTCTATCGCGCAGGACATCGCCATGCTGTCTCCGGCTATACAGGATCGACCTGTACTTCCGACATGTTATGTGGTTGCTGGTAACATGCCTAACGATGTCAAGGCATGCTTTAGGAAATGGAGTGCCCTGGAGAGCGCTTCAGTGGCAGGTAAAGACTCGATCTGTGTACGAGTCGAGGAGGTAATGGAGGCATTGGAGTTATGATACTGTTGCTTCCATACAAAGTGATGATGATGCATTTATGATGGCGTTGAAAATGAGGAATCAAAAGCTTGGGCTATCTGGCGGTGCTGATACAAGACCAAATGTAGGACGGAGCATTTCGGCTGGGTGGTTTGCTAGCAAATTGTATCAACGCACAATTTTTGATGTTGAATTTTTTGCTTCAATACAATGACCATCTCGAGGTTATCACATTACTAGAATACTAACCTTCATGTAAGAATGACCGCCTCCCAAGAAACGCAACGTTGAGTATTCTTCTCCGTTGGCCAGACGGTGCCGTAGCAGATCTCGTGTCTATGAGTACGAAACGAAGAAGTCTTGCTCACTGTGAGCAGTGAATGTGCAAGCCATGCTCAACAACATGCCTCTTAATGCTGCACCACAGCTTAGAGCCACACCAAAACGCGAAATTGACGCGTGGTTTTCGGTAAGCGCGACTCTGTGGTAAGCAGCAAGATTGTGCAATCGAGATGCTGCTCGGTTGCGATTGTTCCCAAACACGACTCCTAAACGTCCCTCAAATCTGTTTGATTGTATTCTGCATGAAACGAGGCCTGTTTGTGCTTGCGTGGCGTGTGATATGGCTCGCAGGGAGAGGATGCGAAGGATGCATGATCCTGACAGCCCAGAGTTACCCAACGTGCCGCTCTTCAAGCTCCATGTATCGTGGTGACAGTGTAAAGTATAGGTAAACATGAGCGAAGAGGACCAAGTCGAGCGATGTCAATGTCGTTGTTGATCATGGGTCGAAATAAGAGCCAATACGTCCTTCAACGGTACAGGATATTATGTCGAGGCACCGACAACAATCACATCTCCGACACGATATGGACAACAAGCTGACACATTGCTGGCGATACGCTCTTACCAAAAGACGTGTAAGGGTCCAGAGTTCCTTGGTGGCTATGGCGGCCTCGCATCAGTTTGATCTGTCACTAAGCTGTTTGCTGTCGTTCAGACAACAATACACCTAGTTTCCTGTTGTGCTCTACGCAATACTCACCTTAGACAATCAGATCTCCTATCTGGCAAACCCAAATCCTTTGCTGATCTAACGTACAGATTCAAACTTCTGCCCGAAGCATTGAGACCTTGTTTCGTGTGTTGCTAAAGCAGAAATGCAATTGATAGCGAGGTTCAGGAACCAGTACGAGAAGACGAGACAACAAGTTAAGACGACAGTCAAAGGCCTTGGAAACAAGCTCACGAAGCGAGTCTCCCATGTGGAAACCTACAAGAACGAGGAATGCAAGGTTCGGCAAGTGGCAGACACCGATCACACGGAGTGGTCAATCAACTTCGAGAATACGCCAGAAGACACCCTCAGCTTTGAAGAGCAAATCCACGCTGCTCTAGCCATAGTCGCTAACGACAAAAGAGATGGCTCTGGCAGCAGCGAAGGTACCAATCTTGAAGGAATTAAGAACAAAGAGGAAGACATTGTGATAAGAGGATTACAACCATCGGACCTACTAGCACATGCAATATTGCTCGAACCAGCGTACTCTCAAGTCACAGAAATCGTGACAGCGGACAAGTCATCCAGCTCGACTGAGTCAAAGCAGGATTCAAACGAGGAAGAGGACGAACAGCGTAGTGAGTCATCTTCGTTTACCAATTCCTATGGCATCTCCAATCAGGAAGAAATGGTCTACAAGAACGAATTTGACTTCCACGTTGTACTGGAAGAACATACTGGTGTTACCGTCAACGACTACGACAAGGATTTTGTTACACAAAAGGAGGTAAATTGTCCACCAGGACCTATACCAGGCGGTGCTCAAGTTATCGCTGCTATGGTTACGGGGCTTCCGCCTGTCGCCATCAAGAACGAATCCGAACACGAACCGACAGGTAACGACCGAGAAGCTGGACAACGAGAACAAATTGGGAGAAAGGATGCTGCTGACGATGCCTCGCTTGCTTCGAATTCAGCCGACGATGTGTCGGATGTTCGTCACCCCATCTCAGCACGGAGAACGAGTGCAGAAGCTATTTGCGATGCCGAAGACGAGCCTACGATCCATGATCCTATATGCGTGAATAGAGCGCAATCACGAGATGAAGCCACGCAGACTGCATCTCCGCAAGCTGAAGCCGATGTCAATATTGAGCCTGATCCTCAGATAGAGGTAGGGATAGAAGAAGATGAAGAGGACTATAGCGATGACGACAGTGACTTCCCGCGCTTTGAGGAGGTGTACAATGCCATCGACCTTGAAGCGCTCAAGACAATTGCTCTGTCTCTGCGAAAGCATGTCTTGGTCGACTCCAGCCAGTCCGCCGAAGATTTGTCATGCGTAGTACACGAAGACACTAAATGTGGCAGCTACAACGTCGCATTCTTGGTCATGTTCAGCGATGATGTGCAATGGGTTGCCAAGGTGCCGGGCTACGGAAAGAACCCTTCTGAGCTGCAAAAAGAGAAGATGGAGAGTGAGTACAGGACCGCACAATACGTCCGATCAAAGACGACTTTCAAGATGCCAGAGATCTATCTCTGGACCACTGACCCAAGCGTCATCGGTGTGGCATTTGGACTCATGTCATACATGAATGGGACTTCTCTCTGGCATTGTTGGCAGAATCCTTATTTCGATTACCAGCGATGTTTGCGAGCAGTAGGTGATGTGGCTAAAGAGATGGCCAAGTTGTACTGCTTGCAATTCCCCAAAACTGGTATGCTGCGATTCGACAACGACAGATTCACAGGAGTTGACTACGAAATCGAATACGAGGAAGCAGGCGACTGTAACTGGGCTAATTCAAGAAAGTTTGGGCCATTCGCGAGTACGACTGACTGGATCCAGAAAACTATTGCGAGGATAAAGATACCTCCCTACAAAATCCGAGAGAAAACCAAAGACTATCGTCATCCTACTGGTGACAAAACGTTACGAACCATGCTTGAGAGTGTACCCCAATTCATGCAAGAATCGCCTCTTTCGCTCTGTCTGGCAGATCCAGACTTTCAGAACATATTCGTCGACTTTGAAACTGGAGAGCTCCAAGGATTCATCGATATGGACAACCTTCACGTTACTCCTGTTGTCGTTGGGAGTGCTGCCTTTCCCCCAATCATAACGCGAGATCGAAACATGGGCAAATTCGTCGAAGAAGCGCGTGTTGACGACTTTCACCATAGCCAAGCTGGATTGGATGGTTACAAGAAGTACCGGCGTCATTATGCCGCATGTTTCAAGGCAGCTTTGCCACAAGATACGAAGTACGATCCTAGGTGGACAGAGCTTAGCCACCACCTATATTACCTCGAGTATGCATCATGGACGCATCGCGAATGGGGAGCTCGCATTATCCACCAGATGAGCAGAGACGCGTATAAGCATGTTTATGGCGACAAGCTTTCTGACGAACGTCTTGGAGATCTACGGAAGGCTGACATGTCTTCGTTGAATCCTTATCGACGACGACGTTTCGTGAAGACTATCGCGAAGGGACTTTGGATACCAGAAGACGAATCAACATCTACTGTGTCGTCGATCGTTCTCCATTCTTTACCACAAGAAAGTGCACCATCTGCTCTACGGCCACCTTCATTGCAAAATCGTCAGGTATGTGAAGACGAAACTCAGCCAGACGACCGAAATCCAACACCAGCGCCCTCAACGTCTTTGTGTTCGTCGTCGGCGATCGAACGAGCTGTACCTGCCACTCCTGCTACGGCGTCCGATCTACGAGCAGAGAATCCACCTCTGCAGCAAGACAGCCGCCACACTCAGACCACAACGAACCTGGATCAAGCGCACACACACGAAGAGGCTGCCGAACCAAGACAGTCGTCTTCTAAAAAGCTTCAAGTCCTTCAATTTAGAGACAAGTCTAGGGAACGATTGCGTACAATGTCACGGCGGCGGATTGTGAATGGATTCCAGCAAACTGTGGAGGATATCTGGACATGCGGATGCAGAATGTTGCCGAGTAAGCTGTTTGATTAGAGACACTGTGGTGTCAGGCGAATATATATTTAAGCAGATAATCTAGGTAGCATACGATTGTATCGGGCTATTGCTCAATCTTAGAGTTAAGTCCACCTGTGACAAGGTGTGTCTGGTGCCTTTTCCTGGTTCAATGCTAGAGAAGTTTTTACCATATTGAATAGGATGGTGCTCACGGGTGGATAGTAATCTACAACGTTTTTGGTACCACGAGCTACGAGGATACAGTACAGCTTACTAGTAGAAGCTTTCAAACTGATACATTCATTGTCGTGATTAACATGCTTTGTATCCTTTGATGTCCCAAAAAGCACCCTCGTCCATGATAGCCTTTGTACACAATATCGGAGATGCTCAAATCCATCTGTGTCCTGATTCAATTTCAGGATTCGTTGGCGCAACTATCCAGTCGGACATCGAATGCAAATTCATAAGCTCGTAATTTATTCAACGCTGGTCCTGCTCATAGCTCTTGTTCGTTACGTCGTTCTTCGTAATATCATAACAGGTGAGACTTTCAAACAATACGTCAAGGAATAGTACATTGGAAGTTCAAACTGCGATAGTCGTTAGCTTCGATTCCTGTGAGTGGGAGTTCTGCAAGGTCTTACCTTCAAGTGAGTGTGTTGACTTGATCACCAAATTACTTCAAGGATGCTTCGACAGGAGCTCGAAGTCGAGGTCCACGATTCGTGCCTTTAGTTCCTCTGAATCGCTGAGCTAGCCAGCCACCAAGGGGAACACTTTGTGGGGTTCTGTTTTTGCCGAGAGTTCTGGATGCGTGAGTCGACGGGGTTTGTGTTTTGGTAGGAGTGCCGGGGACTTGAGGAGGAATGTCTGTAGCATCTTGCTGATTTGCAATTGGCTCAGCAGGATTATTTCTCATGATCTCCTGGTTGTTTTGTGGCATGGCAGGTCGAACATCTGCAGCTGTGACCGGTGTCTCTGGTTGTCGTCCAAGAGGAGCGTCCTCAGCTCTTTGAACAGTCGGGACTTGAGTTCTTCTCGGACCTGCGGTACGATCTTGTCTTCTATCAACTAGTTCTGGTCTGGCAACTGGTTCTGGTTGTTGTTTACGTAGGTCTTGCTTGATCTCGACATTGCCATCCACGATCTCGATTACCAGCTGAGCCATAGTTGCTCGTACCTTGGCGTCTGGTCCGACTAATCCAAAGGCGTCGAATTTTCTAGTAAGTTCCTCTTGGTTGTGAGGAATTTGAGGAATCAAATCTTCTTTACTGAAGCCATGCGTATTGCAACCCGCTCTGTATGAGAATCGATCGAAGCAGATAGGACAGAAGGCTTCGTGTTCCAACTTGATGCATCGCTTCTCGTCGAATGCATGTTCTTCGTTTCCGCCACGGCTGGTATGTAGTCAGATATCGTGCTGTTGAAGTACAAGATTGAGCTTACCAATGGTGCTTTACTTTGTGTGGAGTGCTGCTTTGCTTCGTGGACGCAACTACATTGGACTCCTGTAGACGTTGAGTTTGTAAGGTCTTCTTTGCTTTCTCCTTCTTCTGATGGTCCTTGATAAGTTTTGTACCGCGGCCCATCTTGGCATACTATTGAGGAGAATTGATAAAAAGTCAAATAGATTACACACTATCGCAAGTGTGTTCGGTTGTACAGGGGCAAGCAGAAAAGAGGGAGAAGAGTTGCGTGATATAGAGAGGGTTTGCAATGAATGGAGGAGATTTTGGGGACAGAGGTAGAAGATGGCCGTATTGCTGCATGCTTCTAGCTTCAGCGCGATGGAGTGAAGCATCACCTAGACAGCTTCGACGCGTGGGCCGTAACAACAACAAAGACCCGGTCGAGGAATAGTACGCCGTGCTAGTCATGGTGACAAGCAAACGCGCAAGTTCAATATAGTTGATACTGATGATGAGGAGGCACAAGATGAGCGGATGAGCCATAATGAAAGCATTTGAGGAAGAGCGAAGGTTTCGAATAAGAGTACCGATAAGCTTGCTATGTAGCTTGCTTTTGTAGATTGTTAGCATTATCAAATCGTCTCTACCTTCATATCGATTCGCCACCAGAGACTTCAAACACGAGAATGACTGAGCCAGCTCAAGGCAAACATACAGGTCTATGGATATTAGTCAACATCGTCGTGAGCAAGCCTACCGGTACGAGAGTAGACCATTGGCGACTAGCCATGCTCTTGCGTGGTCTTGTTCGACTTAGTCAGACGTCCAGCAGACGATGACGGGTTTCAGAGGCTCATTGCTTCGAGTAGAGCGAAGCAATCGACTGGCACACGATGGATAGACTGCAGACATGGTCGAAGTTGTAGTAGACCCTTGCTTCGAGGCAGAGGAACAAGGCATGAGTGATCTGGGCCATCAGCAATCTCAACTTTATGTGTGCTCAAAAGGGAACAGGTCGCTCAGAACATGGCTCAGTTCAACCTGTACCGTAGATATTCCGGGCTCGGATCAGATAGGCGATTGCAAACGAATTACACCTCTTTCGTGAAAGACCTAGCATAGCTAATCGAATCTGACGGTCAAAGATACAATCTCTTCTACAACAAGACCAGATAGAGCGAGGTTGAGCTTGGAAGCTGCGTTCGGCATACCTTCCTGGATACGTGATGGAACTTTGACGCTTCTCCTGCATGTATGTTCACCCGTAGCATGCGAGATACCGTACGGATACAGCAAGCATATCACGACAAATTGAGGCATCAAAGGAGCAGGATGGAACTTTACACAGTGGGAGTCATTAAATTGCAATGGCTCACAGTCTACGAGTGTGGGACACATGGGCTTTTATTAGTGTAGGGCCATGAGGTGATGGACGCTCGGATATGAAGAGCATAACGTTCCGGTAAAATGCCTGGACTTTCAGCTTGAATTTCCTGAGGACTTGAGTTCAAAGACGGAGCAGGAGCAAGCTGAAATTCTCATATGCCAGAAATACGTTGTCTGTCGACCATTATCTCCCTACTCGAACTCCCACCCAGTAGTCGATGCTATACACAAGTCTTAAGAAGAGATTTCCAGATGACGGCCTGCACGTGTGAACAACCTTGAAACCGTAAATAAGCCACAGAAGATGGTGCTTTTGATGTTGCTGCGTTTCTTGCCCTTACGCGATTGTGGTAGGGCGTCCCTGCTTGAACAACGTGCTGGCCCGTGAGCAGTGAGCGGACGCGCTCGTGGTGCTTGCTTCGCTATTGTACAATTTAGGCAACTCATTCTACACCATGTCCGCTCTCCGAGCCGGACTCTTTGCTTTCGCCAAATGAGCCAACATTTAAGTTTTTATCGTAGGATACCATTTGCGCCAGGATCTCGAGAACGTTCTTGGGTACGGTGTTATCGTAGATGCCGATCAATGACCTTGGTTCTGGGTAGACCTTCAGGCCCTTGTAGAAACATAGCGCAGCGGCGATGGGGTCGGATCCTGTTCAGACATTAGTTGACTTTGAGGGCACAAGTGTCTCGCATGATCATACCATCATTGGCCATGGTCTCGCCCTGAGATATCTGCTGCAGGAAGAAAGCTTCCTTCTCTTCAATATCGCTAGGGAAGCCTTCGTCGAGGGCTTCCTGCACAGCTGACCTGATCTCCTCTTTCTGGCGCTTGCCTTGAGCCTCATTCTCTTCTTTAGCTAGTCGTGCTTGCCGCCTAGCATCTCTCTTCAGTGCTTTCCGGAACTCTGGGTTATTCCTTCTTTGGTAATCAAAGTATACCGCATATGCTGCCTCCGGTTAGCCCTGCGCTGTGTTCACATCGGACAACGGCATACCGAGCAGACCAGTCACGGCTGTGCCGACGGTTATCGAGACGACGGTGGAAGTCCTCATGTTACGTCGTTCAAATGTGATGAGATGGAGACAAGGAGTATCAGGTGCCTCTGCTACTTGTACAAAGCTTGAAATGAGAAGAAATGGTATTATACAACAGTGCGAAAAGAAATGCGCTGATTAGATCAATGCTTAAGTAACGACTTGGTCATAAGGAGATGGACATGCGAGCTTCCCAGGGAAATTTCCTGGTTGAGCGCAACTCGACTGTTACACGTTGTATTCAGGCCCTCAGGCATACACATCCACCATTACCATTGCCCAAGCCGACCCGCGAAGCGGTCGGGACTGCCTGATATCGATTACTGGTAGGTACCACAAAGATTCCTTGTTCTCAGACAGAAGTGTTGAATTAATGTCTCGCAAGTGATCATGTCCGAGAGCCGGGGCTTGACCCTACGAAAGAAGAAGACAAGCAAGAGACCAGTAATCAGTGCTCCGCAGCAGCAATCACGGCCACCAGCAGGAGCAGTACAACCTCCCAACAATGCTCAGCTTCGTCCGCCAAAAGAACGACCTGAACAGTCGGAAACCTCCGATCTAGTTAAGAGAAGATACTCGACGCGATACAACCAGCTTCCTCAGTTCGGCAATGACATTCCTGATGTGCCTGCTCTACCAGGCGCTGGTCCTTCCAACTTCAAGAGAAGGTCCCACGGTTCTCCGAGCCGGCCTCAGTCTTCGCGTTCTGTCGACCCTTTGCGCGTAGATCAGGCTGTCTTGGCTGATCCAAGTCTGCAACATGAACGATATGTCACTCAGCTCCTGTCCAATGCGTCCGAGTCGGATATTCAGGAGTATCAGCAGAATTTGCACAGGGTCAAGAGGAGGAACTCCATGGACTTGAAGCAGAGCATATATCAGAACAGGACTCAATTCATCAAGATTAGCAAGGAAGCCGAGAATCTGAAGAGTGAAATGACCAATCTGCGCACACTCATGTCCGAGCTTACTACTGCTCTCGAACAATCTTCTGCTGTTACGGGAACGAATATTGATACAGTAGACGCGAAAGCTCGTCGCAAGGCAAATCGAAGCTCAGTGGCTAACCTGGAGGCTATGTGGAATACCCAGCTACAAGCACTATGGAAGAACGTCGAGAGATCTCAAAAGTTTCTGCCTCAAGTACCCGGTCGTCATGTGGTCATGGAAAACGGAAGCTGGATTGAACTTGATAATGCTACCTGGAAGCCAAAACGTCCTGTTCATATTGTTCTTCTTAACGATCACCTGCTGGTCGCGTCTAAGAAACGCAAGAAGATCGATCCGAATGTCCCTCAAGCAGGTCCTGCTCCCACGAAGCTCGTCGCAGAGGAATGTTGGCCTCTGGGAGAGATTGACATCATTGATATGGCTGCAGGTGGGCAGATGAAGCCTGCTGAGGAAAAAGCTGTAGCGAGTGCATTCACCATAAGGTCTTCCGGAAGTACATGGATTTACCGTCACGAGAAGCGGGATTTGGAGGTCAAAATTGACGTGTTGACGGCTATCAGAAAGGTACAGGAGGAACTACGAAAAGCCAATATCCCAGTCAACGATCAGAGAAACTCAAGGTCTGAGCTCAACTATCTTGCTTCAAAGGATCCATCTGCGCTTAAGAATGGAGACATTGTTAACAGCATCAATTTAGCCAAGGAGAAACCAGACGTACTCATCGAAGTAGACGGAAGGCAGCAGAACTTCAGATGGATCGAAGGTCAGATCGACGAACTCGATATCGATATTGCACTTCAACATTATGAAGTGGCTGTTGAGAAAGTGGAGAAGCTGAGATCCGTCACTGCCAGCCTAAATAATGATTCGGTAGTGCAAGAGCTCATATCTGTGGGAGTCGACGAACGCGCTGCAAAGCTAGCAACAGCTTTGTGTCGCGAACTTATGGACACTCCTTCTTTCGTTGGGGCCACAAAGCGCATTGCTACTCTTCTTATCCGCCTCGGTTTCGAAGATCGTGCGCGAGAAGTCTACCTTGCTGCGAGGGGTGATACCTTGACCAAGCGACAAAGACAGTGTGTCTTCGACGGCGATCTACACAAATACATCTTCTCAATCTCTTTCGTCTACTTCACCATCATCAAGAACACAGTTCTCATCTTTCAAGCTTCCTTTCCAGCCACACACATGAGTGCCTGTATCAAATGGGCAAGTGAGCACCTCGAGGTCTTTAACGCCTTACTTGTGCGACAGCTGAGCGCTGTTGAAAGAGGAGGCAAAGTATGGCGAGATTGTATGGACGTCGTATGGGCACACGAGAAGGAACTGCTTGGTGGTGTGGGACTCGACTTCCGAGAAGTGATTGGACGTAGCTTGGAATTTAGAGAATCAAGAGCCACGGACATACAGCCCAGAGGTGAGAGTCGATCAAGGTCAAGGACAAGAGCAGCTTAGTCAACGGAATCACTTCCTGTTGATGGCGATGTGCTGTTCTCTAGCTTCGCTGTGGTAACGGAGAGGCGCCCGATCAGACGACGACGACGTCGACTGGCTCTTTCGAGACACAATACTTAGGAGTTGAAATGTTGGTCGTCTCTACTCTTCCCCGATTGGGTAGAAAGCAATACAGCTCAATTGAGGTAAGACAAGAATCCATGGTTTCAAGCCTTTGTCAACTCTTGGAAGATCTGACAGCTGAGACGTGAGACATGCTGCATCTAATTCCAGAGCCGAGCATTGCCGCCCCTAGAGGCTGTTGTTTGCCGAGGGAGGTTGTGACAATGTTCAACGAGCTTTTGTGTGCCCATAGTGATTATCTGCGTGTCTCGCTGAACACAAGGTATCGAACTGCGAGATCGAATGCCGCCTGGAAAACGAAAGGTCCAGATATGCAAACCGGAACCAGATCTATGGTGCCGCGAGCGGTCCGAGTTCTGCCAAGCCTCAGCCATGGCGGTGGATGACGCCTCACGCCTGAGCTGGTCACATCTCCCGAAGCGGGAACGAGAGGATCGGCGTCATTGCAAATTTCGTTGACAACGGCACACATCATGTCAAAGCACTGCCCAGCAACAGTATGTACGTACAACAGGTCTGCTCGGCGGCATACAAGGTCGTTTGTGCTGAAGCATTGCGCACAGCTGCAGGTGACACGGGTATGCAATCTCATAAAGAGACAGCTCTGCTCTCTTAGCCGAGATGTAACTAAGTTTGGCGTTCAAGTTGGCCAGTAGACTCGATCCCAAGCATCATGAAGACGTCGACAGCGCAAGTTATCTTACCTGACGATTCACGGATCCACGGTCCTCCATCTCTGTTCTATGGCGGACTCATGAGGATGGGTTCACTGTCTCTAGCACATGCTCTATCAATCCTGGGAATGCAAGCACATCATGCTCTAGAGGCTAGCTGGGACGATTGGAAAACACTCAAGCATGCTGCTGATGCGACTTGGCCAGGTCCTAACAATAAAGCAATTTCTTTCAAACAGGCAGATTGGAACCAGCTCTTCGGTAATTACGATTGCATTACCGACATTGCATCACTGTTTGCACCTCAAATTCTAGAAGCTTATCCCAACATAAAAGTCATCGTTGTGCAAAGAGACTTTGATGACTGGTGGCCTTCTTTCAAAAAGAATGTCATTTTGCCTACCCTCGATCATGGTTCGATGCTCCAGCACTACGCCAAAGCAATAGAGACGATGGCAAGCGTGGCTCCCTGCAGCACCATGCAGCAGATTTTGTTGTCTTATTATTCAGCCAAGACGATCGGTGAGGTCGAGGCAAATGCACGCCAGAAATACGAAGAGCACTATGCTCACGTCAGGAAGGTCGTGCCCGCAGAACGACTGTTGGAGTACCGTCTCAGAAGTGGATGGGAACCTCTGTGTCGATTCCTCGACATGAAAGTGCCTAATGTACCCTTTCCGAGGGTCAATGACACAGCAGACTTCAAGACGCGGATCTCTGGCAGGAAAACAGAGCTCATGATGCTGGCTTGGAAACGAGCGCAAATTGCGGCGTCCAGAAAGTTTGCAGAAAAGATTGATATTGTACAACAAGCTTTGGAACGTTCACGCTCTTCTCATGGTGGCCGAGAGACTGTGACTGCAAATAGAAGTCGTCTGCTAAAACTGAGTGCATGAAGTGCCGCTGGAGCATATATCGATTGTGGTGGTTTGGTCGTGATTTAGCTAGATGCTGGGCCTGCATCAAATACATCACTTGGTGGTGGAGAACTAGCCTGTGTTCAACGTCAACATCAACTCAAGACAAACTACAGCTCATCCCTGGAGCAATAGCTACCTGTGGTAGTCACGAGGACCCGACTTAGCGAACTCAATGGATCTAGGAAGAGCTTTACAAGGTGAAGAAGATGACCTAGATCTGGAACAGATAGACTATGGCTTGGCTCTGAGATACCAGACTCAGATAGCTATTAGACAGGATAGAGCACCAACACAGAGAAGCACAGCTCTTACAAAGAACGTATATAACTTCCAGTAGATATACAATACAGTGCTCCTATCTAGGATTGTCGTCTCGTATAGATCTCAGGAAGTGTCACAAAGTCGCCGCACACTTGCAGACATCGAGGCTTGCTCCCACCACCACCTAGTCGGAACATCAGGCGGCAAGGCACCACTTCCTAGGTCTGCCTTGCCGCTGAATTCGACTTCGTAAGAAATAGTACACATATACAACTGAGGCATATCTCGTCGTAACGCCGATACTGCTCCGATATCTTCTCCTCCGATCTCAAGACCTCTACGAACTGAACCCCAGCTCCTCTTTGTCCCAAAACCATCTTCAACCCAACCCAATTCAGTTCTCATCCTCCAGAGAACAACAACAACCATGTCTACACAAACACAACCTCGCACAGGCAGTAATGCGCAACAACAACAAGCCCTCGACATATCGACCCTACCAGTCGAGCAACTATCCCAACTCCAACAACGCCTATCACAAGAACTAGAACACCTCTCAAACTCCCATGCTCGCTTACGTGCAGCTCAAGCACGGTTCAAGGATTGTATACGCAGCATTAAAGACGGCGTGCAGGGGAAGACGGCTGGTACGTCCATTCACCAACACGAGGCTCCTCTTTTCTGCCATTCAGACAAACTAACCATACACAGAAACTCCCCTCCTCATCCCTCTAACAACCTCCCTATACGTCCCCGCTCGCCCCACAAAAACCGGCACAGTCCTCGTAGACGTCGGCACCGGGTACTACGTCAGTAAATCCACGTCCGCAGCGACCACGTTCTACGAAGGGAAAGTAAAAGACTTGGACAAGAATTTGTCGGATATTGAGAGGGCGGTGGGGGCGAAGAATGGGGATTTGAGGGTTGTGGAGGATGTTTTGAGGGGGAAGGTGCTGGCGGAGCAGCAGCAGGGGAGACAGGGAGGAGGTGGCAAGGATGGAGAACAGGGGATACCGAAGGGGAAGTGATCTCAGGAGGAGAGGTGGAGGACAAGAAGGCACAAGCTGAGTGGAATACGGACCACGGAATGCAGGTCTATGATGGGCGTGTGGGAGAGCATTGCGTGAGCAGTTCCTCCTGAGCCAGTCCCTAATACACGAGATCGCGTGCAAATGGGGAGAGCATCAAGCGGTATCTGGACGTCAGCAAGCAGGCGAGAACTGGAAAGGCTGCGAAAGAGCGCTGATCGGGAAAGAGCGGACCCCTGATGTTCATACGAGCCTGATGGTACAGCTGACTTCCGATATCTTCTGAGCGCTTAGGCAGGATTTGCACCGAGCAAGAAAGTTCATTGATTTCAGCTCAACCACAGTCGAGTGGCAGGACACAAGGAGCGATATGGAGGCGAGAGATCCAAAGATGCTGCTACGAGCATAAAAAGTCAAATGCAACTAGATTACGACAGACCATCTACAGCTACAGCCAAAAAGACCGTGGCTCGAATTTCCTCTTGCTTCATGGAATCCAAGATCCAATGGTGCAGCCTCAGATTTCGTGCTCGGCGACTTAAGCAACCTACAACCGCGCCCTCTCCTGTAACGCTTCGTCGACCAATTTAATCGCAGCCTGCGCAGCGCCGTAGCTAGATTGATAGCCAGCACCTCCATAACCGTAGGAATGGACAACCCAAGTACCATTGACCTTCTCTTTCTCTATTCGAGCACCACCCTCTCTCACGGGTCGCAAGCCGACACTATGACGAATGATATCCAGGTGCTCAATACCTCGGCCATTTGTCAATTGGGGGCATATATCTACACATCGCTTCATGATTCGAATAGCCAAGCTGGGGTCAAACTGCGATTCCCAGTTATCTTTCTGGTACGACCCACCTAGAACAGTGCCTCCTCCAGCAGCTCTAGTCATGATATACATTGCTTCGTCGTCGCCATCATCAGTGCCAGAGACGCCGTACATCTTGCCAGCATCGTTCCTTACCACGACGATTTGTCCTCTGGCTGGATATAGCTTCCTGTCCTCGACACCACCAAGTTTTAGAGAACCCAGTCCAGTACAATTGATTATCAGATCAGCAGGTTTGCCGGAATGGTGCATTCCGGGTGCAGCTGCATCAGTGATCTGTTTGAGTATCGCTCTCTTGAATACAACTCCATTTTTCAGGCCTTGTGATACGAGCCAAGGCAGGTAGATGGCTGTGTTGATACACACTGAGGTAAACGATTTACCGCTGTCCATGCCATCGCTAAGTTCTGTCTTTGGTATGGTCTTAAACTGCTCATGCATTAGACTGTGGTACTTCGAAGATCTAAAAGGTCCTCACATCAGGCAACAGCGATTTCCACCATGGAGTCGGAGAAAGCAATTCTGAGAACCAGTTTGCTGTAACACTTCCGACATCCTTACTGCGGTTGTAGACCTCGCAACCTTGCAACATCAGACACCACTTACATTTGTAGACATTTTAGGCTGCCATACCTTGAAAGTGCACTCCCGCTTCTGGGTAATTTCGAGCAAGATTCTCTAGAGACGGCCAGGTGTTTCTTTCCCACTCAGCGGCTGGTGTGCCTTTTACTGATACGCTGTATGAACAGACAGGTCAGTTGGTAGTTCCTGTTCAAGGATAGAGTTTCTTACGGGAAGTAATTTGCACCTGCCCAAGGACTCGCGTACTCAATGTCATAGTCGCCAGGCATGTGTTTCGCAGCAACGGTGATCTTGTAACGCGGGTTCTGCGACAATAGCATAGCAGTTGTGAGTCCTAAAAAAGTGTAAGACTCAGAATCGTGACTCTTTCTCTGGTATCAGACCTGCCACACCGGCACTCTAAGGTGTTAGTTATGTTCGGCATGTCACTAGGTAGGATGACTTGATAGCACTGGTGACAAGGTGTAAAGAAGCAGCAACTTACCCAACCACCACAATGTGTTTGTCCATGATTAGTTTCTGATTGTCCGATCACCTGTTTGCACCTGAGCAGCGTTGATTTCTTGAGCAGTTTTAGTTGCTTGACTCCGCCAGAGATCCAGTCGCAGGTCCTCAGGATCAGGCGTCAGTTGATAAAAGTGATATTGTATATTCTATTTAAGCCGCAGACTGGACTCACTATCTTCAACAACATACGCCCTGCTGCAGATCCATTCGCGAAACTTTTGAAACACACAGTCAGACGAGCTGCAACTACACAGACGGAGGTGACCGCAAAGCAACAGCGAATAGGAAAGAAGCTTGGAAGAAGTTAAGCGTACAGAAGAGGTAAGCATAGATGCATTTCTTTTCTACTGTGCCAAACTCCAAAGGTGTAATTAAGTCGCGCTTGCCCTTGTTTTTTAAAAGATCGAAAACAAGGGTCACTTCCTTGGCCATCATGTCGTCAGGCAAAAGTGGAAGGCACTGTGGCGGCCCCTGCAGCAAGCAAAACGGGACAAGCTCAAATCTGTAGTGCTGTCATGGTCACGCCTACGGTGCCCCAAACTCCGCATCGTCAATGGCATATCTTTCTGTGCGGCCAGGGAGCTCAGGCAGACCAAGTTCTTATTATTGTCTCTCTTCGTGATCATGTTGTCCTGAGGGTTTAAGATCAATCATACACAAACTGAATGCTGTTTTCAATGGATTTCCTAAGACAATGGCTAACGATGCTGCCTCTTTGCAGCTCCCGATCATGGTGCGGCAACCCAAGATGGTTTGGCCCGGCCTGGACAAGGAGGGTTTGCATCTCAAGTCCATAGCAGGAGATGGTATGTTCAACTCAACCAACAGTACAAGACCTTTCTCTGACGTGCAACAGGCAACTGCCTCTTTGCCTCTCTCTCAGATCAACTATATGGTAGCCCAAGCCGTCATGGTGAAATTCGGGCTACCATTGTCGATCACATGCGCACCTTCCGCCCTCTCTACGAGGGCTTCCTCCACGCCGACGATGTGGTACAGAAACGTGCAACACGTGCCACAACCGAGTCCATTCGAAAGCATATGGAAGATGACGCGTTCGAGGGCTATCTTACTGCCATGTCACGACTCGGCACGTATGGAGGTCAGCCTGAGTTGCTGGCCTTTGTCCGTGCATACGACCAGGATGTGATAGTACATCTACCACCCTCAATGGGTTGGGACACATCAATACTGTCCTACACAAACGAAGATCGAGCACCCGAAGTCGAACCACCACCATCCCTACACATCTGCTATGGTGGTGATGAAGAAAAGCATGCCCATTACGACTCGTCACAAAAGTCTGAAGCCGACTCTCAACGTCGCTCACTAGCCTCAAGACCTAAACCCTACAACCGACAGAACGTTCCCGCGGTCCAGCAGAACCACGACCTCTCCTCACGAGCTTTAAGGAATATGAAGTCGGATCCACACAAAGATATGATGCACGAGCTAGTCACAAGAGGCACCAAAGACCTGAGAAGTGGCCTTGACCTATTAAACGACCAAAGAGCACGTAGCCCGTCAGCAACTTCCTCTCACTACAGCACCAGCTCGAAACGATCATTCGAGGACGATGGCGAACTACCTCGTTCCACCAAGCGGACCGATCGTAAAAAGCGGACTCTTCGAAGTCGAGCGGCCGCCAGACAGCTCAGTGGATCTCCTAATTTGCATGTCTCTGTACATGTTAGCCAGCCAACATCTTCAGGTCCACCAACTCCGGCCAGCAGCCAGGACACAGACTCGTCAGATCAAGCAGAACGAGTTCGATCAGGCCTAGACAACAGTGCTGCCTCTTCTCCAAAAGAGATCGAAGTTATTAATCTAATCGACGACGATGACGATTCAGATCACCAAGTAGCTCCAGCACGAACTCAGCCATTCACTCCCACTCCCACTCCCCGAAGGCAGGCCAGTGTGTCGTCAAGATCAGACCTCGCTTCAAAAATCCCAAGCATAATAAAAGAAGCACCACGCTCAACACTACAGGCATAGCATTACACGGCGTTCAGGATACAGGCAGGCGAACTCTTTTGAAAACAATAATGACATATTGGATGGATTTATGCATAGCGACAGTGCAACCATGAAGCATGATACCCATTGTTTGTACCGGAGGGTGGGTCTTAGGTATAGAACAGATTACATATGAAGAAGTTTACGGTGCTCAGTGTAGGAGTGATGGTGATCGAGCTATATGCTCAATTGAATAGCTACAAATTTAGAGGAAATATGTAATTCAACCACATCCGTTCACGCCATTCGCCATGCACAGTCACGCCTACTCATTGTTTATGGCAATCGCAGTTGCGTAGGGAAGCCCATTGTCCATCTGACGTACTGCCCAAATAGCTGTGGTGGACCTATTTGGCCAGGGGAAGCTTCCCCTTGGCAGATGCAATCTCATGCTCGAAACTTGGCTTGCGAGACGTGGTGGAAATGTAACCCGTCTGCCTACACCAGTTTCTCAAATAGTCGTACGATTAATTGTAGATCTAACCACGTCGCCTTCTTCGATATTGCGCGGATGACCTCATCCTAAACGACAATACCTCCAGTATCTGAGAGCAAAAACACGCGCATCCTCGAGCACCAGCATCTACGTCCTTCGGCGCAGCTACGGTTCACTCAGCTTCGCTTGAACAACCGATTGTGACAAAGCAGCCTGCACAGCCATAATGGACTTCTCAAATATCTTGTACGAACTCCCAACCGGCTCTCGCACTACGCCGACCGTTTCGTCGATCGCGAGTGCAGAATGGACCCAGTCGCATTAAACAAGAAGTTATGGCTGACATAGGATTACAGTCGATTGGTCAACCTCGGTGTAGGTGCTGTTATGATACTTGGTGGTATGTGCTAGCATTACGGACTACGAGACAAGGACGCGACGTACTGATTCGCGCGCAGGCATAAGTCAATTCTTCAATTCCGAGAACCTATTGTAAGGACATCCCAAGACCTTCGAGCCGCGAAAGCACAGAAGAGCTAACTATGGGAACAGTCGGGACATTATAATTGGCGTCTACGTGATACTATTCGGTCTGGGTATGTGATCAGAGAAATGACTCGAAGAATATCATAATAACGGGACGACAGTTGTCGCCGGGCTGGAGCTACTGCCCCAAGTCCCTCCTTATATCCCGAAATACGCCAGGTGAGTGCGGTCGATACCTGTATTGAGCTGCTGGAAGACTAACACGATGTCCAGCTTCCTATTCTCCTTCCTCGGTCGTGGCGTCTGTAAGTTATACTCCTGCGATTCCTGCAGTACGGAACAGGACCAGAAGACGATCTAACATATTGACAGTCTACGTGTTCGTCGGTTCTATCATTCTCGCAGGTCACTGGCCTCGCATTGTCGCAGGTACAATAGTCGGATTTATCGGTCTCGGATACTGCGCACTCGAGTTTGCGCCTCAGATTGAGCCACCTTCCAACATGAGAGACGCTGATGCTGGTTGGGGCGCTGAGCAGGTTTAGTGATTGTAAAGAAACAGCTCCGGACTCTGGAATAATAGGGCTCAATCTGCACTACGGGTTGAACAAGGTGCTGATGTGCAAAGAACTCATGGCCAACAGATGGTCTGTTATAATGTCTGCGTTACTGAGCGATCTGGGGACGGCGTTGAGAGATATCACAGCACCGTTGGACGATTTGCAACCTGGGATTCACGTGTTGCAAAATAGGGGAGATATCGATATAAGCTTATTGAACGACAAGAATGGCAGTTACTGACAACTCTACTTTACATGGGTACTAGCACGTGTCGATGCGAAAGCGAGCCGGTTTTGGCAGTCATATGCTACAGTACTGTCATGGACGTTATCTATGTGTTCTTTATGCAACCAATGCAGCGTTTAAACGTGGAGGCTATTTAATTCGTTCTATATCTTGTGTACGACGATCTTCTGGTCAAATGACAGTCCAAAGATCGTGTTGGATGGTAGTGTCAGTACTGTCATGGACAAGCAACGTAAAGTAATAACGACTGAGCACTTACTCTTTAACTGGGGGCGAGAAGTGAAACATATGCACGTCTATAGTATTTCTCGCAGGACTGCAAACTCAATCCTGCCGCTGCGGCAAATCCGGGGTACACTTTGGGGTTAGATTATTGGAAGTGAACAGTTTCTCTTTTATACCTCCGCTGAAGATACCAAGATATCGATATCGCTTTATTATTTCCAAAAGTACAGAAGCAACACTTTTTGATCCCACGTGCCAATACTCCTGCCTCGACATGAAGTGAACGAGCTACCTTTTACGCGAGTACGCTAAAGAGTCGCTCCAGGCACGTGTTTATCCTAGCCAGGCACGACTATCGGCCTCGGAGGAGCCTATGGCCAATAAAACTCGGGGTATTGTAAGCACAGTCCCAATGCAACGATGTCACCGCTCAATCCGGGTCGAAACTGTCAATAATGTTGCCCAGGCTATGCCTTCCTCCTTCCTGTATCTACTCTAACTTGTACTTTCACCAGATTTACCTACCAACGCTTCTGTAAACTCTACTCTCATATCTGACCGTTTCGAGAGGCTGTGTTCCCGGACGTATTGAGGACAGGCATTTGAGAACCATCCACCAGGCTGCAGTCACACGCGCGGTGACCTTTACTCGGGAATAGCCTGTGAGAGATTCGAGGACATACACTTAGTTACAACAGACCTCTGGCGTTTTGGCGACAATTGCCAAAAAATGCACAACAGATAGCCCGCGCGTTTCCTCCAAAACCTAGAAATGTTAGCCGTACAGAGGTCAATGGCTTCCAACCCATTCCCACACAACATACCTGAGAATGGCCCCAACCTGTTAAGGCAACCTTCTGCCGAGGATATCGACGCTGCACATCAACTGGTGTCCTCTGCTCGGGGCGAACGCACGAGCATATATCCTTACCAGAGTATTCCTCAATCTCATACGCCTGTTCCTCCGTCGAGATCTCCAGCACCGATCGATTCTGTACACAGTGCAGAGGCTTTGGAACCACTCGATGCAGAAGACCAGCAGCAACTTGGTCAGGCCTGTAGGTCAGTATCCCAAGTCGCCTATGACGCTAGGCGAAGTCGATGTTTCACCCAAAATACTGACATATCTGTAGCAATTGCGGTACCACGAGAACACCGTTATGGCGGAGGTCCCCTCAAGGCAGTGTGATTTGCAACGCCTGTGGCTTGTATCAGAAGACTCGCAACGCTCCACGGCCAACAAATTTCAAGCGAACCGCCGGAACACCGAGGCAGAAGAGCCCACGACTCAAGAACGTCGAGATCGCACCTAGTCCAACTTCTCAGACAATGGTCCAGCAACGAATGCCTTACAGGGCCCCAGAGCATATTCCAGGGTCGTGTCCAGGAGGTGGTCAGTGTAATGGTGCGGGAGGAGCTGAAGGATGTGGTGGTTGTCCTGCTTTCAACAATCGCATTTCTCGTACAGTACCAAACAGTGACGCAGCACCACGGCAAGGGAGAACTATAGCAGGCTCTGATGAACCAGTCGAGGCCCCAACGAGTGAGTATGGCAGTCCGATCTCCACAAGCGGCGCGGAAGGAGAGACAAACCTTCCAGCGACTGACGGTACTTCGACAATGATTGTTGCTTGCAGAAACTGCGGCACAACTGTCACACCACTGTGGCGAAGAGACGAACAAGGCCATCCAATCTGCAATGCCTGCGGCCTTTACCACAAGCTTCATGGATCACATCGGCCTGTGCAGATGAAGAAGTCAACCATTAAGAGACGGAAGAGGGTGGTACCAGCATCTGCAGAGGGCGACGTACCACCTTCAAATGCAAGCCATACATCAGTCTCGCCTGACCCACATACAGAAGACATGGACATCACTTCAGAACCTTCTTCAGCCCCGAAACGCATCCGTCTCCCACCGATCGTCGATTTCACCGGTTTCCAACCAGATGGCTCTAGTCGTACGACGACGGATCCTAGTGCTTACAAAGACGCAGGCACGGGCATAAGAATTTCACCCATGCCTCCAAACCAAGGATATACTCGCCACTCACCACGACCTATGCATGTATCTCAAGCTCAGCCTGATTCACTTTCTCGACAGCTTGCCTCATCCTCGGTAACGACGCAGGACGGAGAAGAGATACGCACCGAGCGACGTACGACTTTGATGAGGGAGGCGGAACTCATGCGCGCAGCATTAAGAGCCAAGGAAAGAGAGATTGACGAGCTCGAACGCTGAACGATTCAGCTACCCGGTCGAGGTCTTTGAGTTCTCGGACATACATTTTACGATGCGATGAAAGTCTTTTCTAGCAAGGCGCTGGAGGCACACTGGTTGACTCTTTTGTGCTCGGTCACGAAGAGCATGTCGATTTTGCATCTATAGTAAGGATGAAGATAGTGGTGAACCTGACACTCGAGTCTGTCATCTGAACGATTACGTCGTTTCACACTCCCCATGCTTGGCACTATCTTTTGACGAATAAAGCCCGTGCGCGTTCGTGTAGATTCGATCCACTACCGTTCTTACGTTCTGATCTCCTGGGGCTGGGAAGCACAAAGGAGCAGTATGTTCATGTAGATTGACAAGCGAGGCTATGTGTTGTGCATGACCGACGGGGATCACGATTGGCGTGCTCAATAGCCGGCGACTTTTTATTCGGGACAAAACGAGCAACCATAAAGTGAACAGTGCTATTCACATGTCAATTGCTACGGTATCTTCCAGACCTATTCGACGATATAGTCTGATACTATGTCAAAAGCAAAACGACATACAAGCGCAGCAGTCTGACATCCCACATATCTTCAGCTTCGAAAGTACTGTGTTTATTCGAAATCGACAAGCTGCTGCCCCAGGCATGTATGGAACATCCCTACGATTTCTCCAAAGACCAATCAGCCGAGCACGCCTCCCTATCAGTACTATCGCCGTCTAATTCCGGCCTGTCCATGTATCACGGTGTCTTACGTTTCATCACATCGCTATTTCTATTGCAGGATTAAACAGATTTGCTTTCCAAGGAAGAACTGTCATTGCTCGTCTCTGCACGTGCTCATACAGAAAGTTAACAATTTAGGATACAAAGAGAATCGATCCAAGACAAAGACTTCTCGTGTTGTCCTACCACCCCTCCACAGCCTTGGTACTGGCAAACCCACTACGTGTACCTCCTGCTTCGCATCTGGACTTCACGTCATCGTTGATTTCAGCTACGACTATCCTGCTTCATTGGAGTCAGGGCAGAACGTCAACAATATGTCCGACCTCCCACCGAACGTCCACGTCTCCAGACATCCGTGTCTCAGAGCGAAATTATCTCAGTTAAGGTCCAAAAGCACCACGTCCCGCGAGACTCAAAGGCTGGTCCACGACATATCTCTGATACTGGGCACGGAGGCGCTAGCCAATATTGAGCTCGTAGAGGAGGGAACTGTACGTCAATTCAGTCACTTATCTTTTCTTACGCTATGAGTACATGTAATACATGAATATTTCAACTAACCTCAACCTCAACCCAGGACGAAACCCCCCTCGGCTTCCCCTACACACCCACCACAATCCCTACTCAAACACTAACACTCGTCCCCATCCTCCGCTCCGGCCTCTCCATGGTCGACGCCATCCAATCCCTCCTCCCTACCCCCATCAGCGTCCACCACCTCGGTCTCTACCGCGAGAAATCCACCCTCCAGCCCGTCGAGTACTACAACAATCTCCCACAATCACAATCGCAATCCGACCCGCCTCTAGTACGAACGGCAATCTTGGTAGATCCCGTGATCGCGACGGGCGGAACGGCAATTGCGGCGATCCAGACGTTGAGGGAGTGGGGGGTGCAGAGGGTGATTGTGGTGATTGTTATGGGAGCTGTGGAGGGCGTGAGGAGGGCGGCGGAGGAGTGGAGTGATGCTACGGAGTTTTGGGTGGGCGCGGTGGATGGGGAGTTGACGGAGAAGGGGATGATTAAGCCGGGTTTGGGCGATATTGGGGATAGGTTGTTTGGGACGATCGGGAAGTGAGGTGGGGAGTAGTAGAAGCTTGGGAAGGTGATGGTATTAAGTTCGCCTGAGTGCCGGGTGCACTTGTGCACTAGTATGTGACGCTGATGAAATCAGGCTTTTGTGTTGTGCAGTGATTTTGCTCAGAGATCTGTCTTTTCAAATTCCGATACGGAAGCTGCTGGACTCAGCACTTCTCTCATTGATGGTGCCAAGGCAGAGCTCTATCTTGCCTTGAAGTAATCTTCTTCAGGTATGATTTCGGTAGGCCACTTGACCGTTTCTCTCCACGACGATGTATCGACATCCAGCCGGAAAGGTGTTGGAAGAGCTGGAGTTTGCCGAGGAGTGCTAAGAGGAGTCCCGTACGAAACGCTGCGCACACTCCTTGATGTAGGTGTTGGGGGTGGCATGTTCTCGCTGAGTGAATTGTCTGTGTTTTGTCTGCTTAGGGTCTGCATGCTCGATTTCCGCCTCAATGAACCGAATTTCAGCCTGTCCATCACGCTGCTTTTCCTCGACACAGGCCTGGGTCGAACGGGTGGTGATTGTTGCTGACTTAGTGGTGAAGTGGGCTCATTGATCGTACTGCCTTGCTCAACGCGAATAACTTCTCGTACAAGTTTCTCGAATAAATCGTCGATCTCCACTTGGTGATCCTTCGCACTAATTTCGAATAATTTCTGACATTGTAGCTCAACTGCTAACTGCCGTCCTTCTTCCAGAGATACCTTCCTTTCGCTCTCGAGATCGGCTTTGCTACCAACAATGAAAATGGGGAAATTCGCAAGACTTGTCCGTGCCTTCGCTTGCTTTACCTGAGCGTGTAGTTGTCGCAGGTGCTGGAAGGATTTTCTGTTGTCAATCGCATATAGAAGAATGAATGCCTCTCCAGTCTGGCAGAGAAGATTCTCACCTGCTGGCTCCGCAGGTATGAGGTCCAGACAATACGTTCGTCCTTCTATTGTGGTAAGCTTCTTGTCTACGGTTTCGAAAGATGGATCATAGTCCCCAGTGAAGGTTGAATGGATGTACTGTGTAATGCGTCAGATATGCAGCAAGCCAATCAAGCTTGATGCCATGTATGAAGACTTGCTTCGTGCACGATACTTGTGGGGCAAAACTCACTTTCTTCACCAATGCTGACTTGCCTGTTCTTTCTGCACCTAATATTACTGCTCGGATGTTCTTTTGTGCTGCAGCCATCTTTGTCCTATATTCTAGCTCCTGCAATCTGCATAGCCTGGGTCAACGACGTGATGCCGGTGTATTGTGATTTTACAAGCTGCCACGTTCCGTTTCCGTGGACAACGCGAGTCATGTGGATAGAATGGATGGTCGAAATGTCTCAAGTGTGAACTTTTAGTCAACGCGAACCACTCACAAACGTGTATTGAGCACTGATGCGTGTCACGATCTGCCAGTTCGACTTCGTGTCGGAGTTTGTAATGGCTAGTCGATTTTTTGTGTACAGTAGTGACGATTGGGAATGCGCTGTGGAGTTTTCAGAACCAAAGCTCTACGAGAATATATATATTGTAGGATTCTATTTAATCCTAAATAGAACCTCAACATTTTTAATGTGATCATCACAAAACCAGTGTGCACGATGCCACAGACAACGATCACACTTTGTCCATGCTGCTGCGATAAAGGTAGTCTGATCCGTGGTAGACCTGGAAGTACATCCGCAGATTCAGACTGTCGACATCACTCGTGTTTGTTCAGATGGTTAATCAAGTGCATTTTCTTCAACTCCGACTGAGTAAGAGGGCAGCGAAAATCCCGGCACGAAGCTCTGAGCAGATCCAGCGGACGACCGCTGTCATCAATGCTGTGCTTACCAGGGGCTTAGCAGGAACGATGGCGAAAGACATGCGCATCACTGCTGACGGACGAGCTTAGGCAAGTGCTACGACGCCCTCGAGTTCTGTGAGGTGAGACCAGGGCTTCAGCGGCATTTCAGCAAGGAGTAGAATCATTATGATCAGTATCTTTAGGTCTTTACATTACTAATAATCACTATTCGATGCCATGACAGACGTCTAGCGGTCTACAGGATATTGTTGATATACGATATGAGTAACAAGAAAATACACCCCCACCTTCGCTTAAGCACAATGAAAATAGGACCTGGGAGAAAGTGCATGCTTTTACACTTGAATGCTAGTGTGGCAACTGTATGTTGCTGGACAAATGAAAATGATATGGTGGGTTTGGCTCGTGACTTCGTGATGTATGGATTTCTGCATATTCAACAGATGTACAGTATTCAGGGAATGTTGGGATTATGAGCTTTGTGCGTAACAGGACTCGAACGATTCGCTACCGAAGGCGTACAATGCAATCATGCAGACGATACAGACACAGAGCCAGTAGCCGGTATCATAGCATCAATCGACTCTAATTGTGGTGGCGCAGGTGGACCAGGCAAGCCAACCCGATTTTCGAGCAAGCTTGCAATGCGGTTCGGTACCATCGTAAAAGGGATGCTGAATGCTGATGCCGAAGATGTTCGCGAGCCCTGGCTAGCTCTTCTAGCAGGAGCCCCAATGTCTTTCTGGTAGGCCGGCGGGCCTGTGCTTTCCGGTGATCGAGTTCGAGGAGTTGGTATCGGAAAAGCAGAAAGTGAAACTTCACCAGGCGATGGCGGTGGTTTGTGGCTAGCATCGACCCTAGCTAGATGCGGGTTTGCTAGAATCTTTTGTGTTGTCTTCGAGGTGGCGACTAGAAACGATGGCGGATCGCCTTCAGTGGCCGCCCGAATGGGTGGGCCTGGTCTCGTGTCTCGGGCTCTTGTCATAACTTCTGAGCCTGTCTTTGCATTTAGCCCTGGCCTTGAAGTTGCCGCTGTTATCATGGCAATAACAGCGGCCGATGGTGATGATTGATCGGATGATATTCCTGGTGCGGTAGTATGGAGTGGAAGTATTCCTTCATCCAGAGTCACAGGCTGTCTGAATGTGTCAGGCAGAAGTGCACCATCCTCTAAACTCGCCTGCAGACTCTGTTGTAGCCGCAGAAGAGCTGCATTTGCCTCTGCATGCTTCTTCTGGAAAGCTTCTTCATCGAACGTGGGCTTGTTTCGTGTTCTTCGTGTCGTACTAGAATCCTGCTTGGAACTCTTTTTCTTGCTTTGTCGTTCACTCTTTTTCTGCGATTTAACAACGGTGACCACAGTGCTTGGCGGCATTTCACTAAAAGCCACTTTGCTCGCAGATTTCGAAACACTCCGTCCTTTGCGTTCGCTGGAAGACTTGCGAGACCCCGTCCGGTCTTGTGAGGGTGTCCTGACTTCGTTGTTTGGAACTTTTCTTTCATTCAATGCTACAACTCTTTTGTTTACAGGTTTCTCGAGTGGCAACACTGCAAAGTCTCGTGCTTTAACCCCCACGATTGGCTCCTGGTCGAGCGGACCAGCAGGAATAATGCTCTTTGCCGCAATCCGAATAGCTTCGACTTCCTCAGCTTTTTCTCGTCGTTTCCCAGCCTTCTTGGACGACGATCTACTTTCTTTTGAAGACTTTCCACTTCCCGAATCTATTCTTGCTGGTACGGGTCTGGCAGGACCTGGCTGTTGTGAAGATTCCACTTCTTCCGGTCGGATGTCGGCGAAAATCTGCACAAGTGGCGAGATGTTTGCGGACAATCTGTGTTTTATAAATTGTTCTCCAAGCTGCGGTGTTCCATCCGCCTTGTCTTTCTTCAATGGTTGTGGGCACGATTTCGCATCAGCATCACCACGTGTGATTAAGATATCCTTGCTTGATCGTGGTGATATAGACGACATGGTATTTATTGTTGAGAATGTGATGGCTTCCGGTGGCGTAGTCGACGTGAGGGTTTGAATTGCTGAAAAGGATAGCGCATTCGAAGGTACTAGTGTGGGAGTCTCCCTTGCATTGACATTGGACAAAGTCGAGTTGGCGGCGAGGAACTTCGCGTTCTGGGAAAGTTGCTGTGAACGACGGGCAAGCTGATCCAAGTCCAGCACGGGCTCGCGTGCTTTAAATTGTTGAGAACTCGGTATTATGGTAGCTTCAGGCCTGTCTTCAGGAGTAGAAGCATGATCGATTACAGTGGGTATTACTCTCTGGAAAGGATTGGCACGCGCATCTTCAATAGTAGGCGTCTGCCTATACGACGATATTGAAACGTCTTCGTCATTGTCATCTCCAGTAAGATCCATAATGGTTCGATTACCAACTGTAACCTTCTTGTATACGGTGGATTTGCTTACACGAGCTGGACCGCGCAATCCACCAGAGCGTTGTGGAGAATCAAGCGTGGGATTGCCATTGAGATGTCGAGACACTGGTGTATTTGCGAAGCCGCCATGAGTATGAGGAACTGTCCCAGATAGCGTAGCTGAGCCTAAATGCTCAGGGCCAGCCACGCTGGGAGTAAAGCTGTTTTGCCTGGACCTGGTCGAATCGTTTCGAAATAGTGCATCGGGAGCATCAGGTACTGACCTTGTGGTGTATGAAATTCCCGAATCTCGTAACGGGCCTTTGTGGCGAGGAGATTCCGGTAATGGTGCGTCGAAGTTCAAACCATCCTGGATCTGGATTTGCTGACGCGCCTGTAACCATTTGCTTTTAGCCCGCTCTAGCTCTTTCTCCGCTTCTTTGACCAGTTCAACGCCGCGATCAATGTGGGTAACATCCTCAGTTGATCCCTCCTGCAAGATCACGGGCAGTGGATCGGACGGCTCTCTCACACGAAAGCTGGGCTGACGCGAATAATGAGCAGTCATGTCCATGACATGCCGATTGCTGACATCTGCATCTGCCGACCGATGATTGTATGGTTCTGCTTGCGCAAAAGCTGAACGTTGAGTATTTACCATAACACGTTCGTAGTCCACCGGGCGCCGCAGGGATGAGGCGCGTTGAGCAGCGATCTGATGAGCATTACGGTTGGCGACCTCTTCCTGATATTTCGAGCCTGAATCGTACCGCAAACGCTGCCTGTCAATGGGCGACTTCTTAGTGTCGTTCTGCTTGCTATCATCCTCGTCGAACGTCTTCGTTGGTTTTCGAGGAGGGGCAGATGTCGACGAAAGCTCGGATTTGGGGTTCTTCTCAGGAGCAAGTCGTGCGTTGAACGACGATGTACGCTGTTCGGGCTCTTGATTACTGACAGATTCAGCAGCTCGATCGAGTGCTTTTTGCAAGCTTTCTCCTGTATCTGGACGAGTGACATTGGCAGGCAGACGTGAAATTCCTATCAGCATAGGCTGCATACGTCCACTTGATGTATATGGCTTCTGTTCGCTTGGATGTCTGGACAGCCTGGTTTTATCCTGACTCTCCCGCCTACTCGTTGCGCCATAGTGGTAATTTGGGACAGCCACTGAGGCTTTGGGTGAGATGGGCTCCCATGTATTCGTACTTGGATCGTTCTCCGATCCACTGACTCTCGTTGCAGGGTAGTCCAATATCTCCTTGTCTTTCTTGCGAGAGCGCAACCTTCTAAACGTGTCCATGCTCTCGTTCAACCATCAAGAGCCGTCGGCGGCGGAGCTTGCATTAGATGGACCTCATCATATCGTCTTAACTTCTGCTAGTTGTCCCACCAGAATTCGATGATGATACTGGTAAGTTTGGAGCCAGGAACCTCAGGTCGTAAAATTTGTTTTCTGTAAGCATGTACGAAAGAGCATTACAGAAATCCTCCGTACTACACTCTCTAAGACGTGCAACGAAAACAAAGCAAAAGGGCCGCCCCAGAAGAAGCTACGCAGGCGATGGAGTGCACACTGTTGAACTGCGGTCTACTGAGCATGTCCGTCGCAGATCGGACTTCAGTCAGTAGTCAAGAGCGGAGATGTAAGGATTCTTGGGACATTCAGCAAGTGTCTGCCACGACGCGGGTAAGGCCATAGAATAGTCCGGATGGAGTGAGCGAATGCTTTGACTTTAGACTTGACAAACGATCTTCGACCAGTGGCGATCGCGCACAAAGCCATTGTGACAGCGTCTTGTTTGTGCGAGGTCAGATTTCGCAACGTGACTGGTGTTGGAGACATCAACATGGCCAACCACTCGATCCCTTACCAGGGTGCGCGAACCACCAGTAAGATAGCGGAGTGAGACCCATGTCCACGGTCGACTGCGGACTCGTGAACACAGCACAGAAGCAGGCCCAAGGCCAAGCGGAGGTTCTCTTGAGCAGCTAAAATACAGGACGTTAGTATCTTAGTCAACCCCACACGGTGATCCCTTTCAATCGCACAGGCGTACGCCAGTGTTTCAGCAGAGGTTTAGAACCACTCTTCGTGCTAATCAGCAGCAAGCCTGCGACGAGGGAAATTGGATTGGCTTTAACTTGGAAACGCGGTGTCTTAGTGTACCCCCTTACGATTGCCATCAACTTTGGTGCGCGAGTAGGATAATTAATACAAAGATCGGAGACTAAACCAGGCTTCGGTACGCCGCGATGGCAGTCGATGTGGGCTCGATGGAGAAGCACTCGCAGGGGTGTCGAAGCTGTCCGCTCGCCAGGAGATGCGGCGCGAAAATCTGTGGCAGGCGAACGATTAGCGAGCTTGTCACCCCAAAGCTGCTCCTTCGTATACAAGTAGACAGAAATCAGTATTGGCCCAAAATGACACAATTGCTTCGTACAGTACGATTGTCATCGATGTATGAGAAACAAAGCTCATATTTCACTGTCGCGATAGCACAATCCTCGCTGTAGAAATGCAGAGTAAGTTAGAAATGAAAATGTAAGTTACGCATTAATTGCATTGTACCTGCAGTGCCACGAATGCTAGCTTCAGCCCAAAACTTGTGCATTGGTCAACCGAGAAGTTAAAGGCTTCACGTGGTATACGCAAATCCATCGCTTTCATCAGCTACTGCAATCAGTTGTGTATAGAGTGGATAGAATGGACCCTCAATGCCTCGACAAAATGCGTTCGGTCGTTTCCCTGTCTTGAATTGAGTCTGGCATGAGCTACCTCACAGTAAGTGAACCAGGAATTATTCCACTGCCCCCACGCATATTGGGCTTGTCGCGCGTTTATTGAACCAAGGTTTTCGTGGTCATTACAACATCGATCTGTGGAGGTGCAAATCCTGACTCCAGCATTCGAAATTCTTGGCCGATTTGCGTCCTTGGCTTGTAGGTCAGAGATGAGCAAGATAAGCTACACGTACGGTACTTCTGGCAGCTTTCAAGTTGCTGCTGCGACCTTCAGGCGAGCTACGAGAAAGCGATGGTTAGCCGACAAGAAACTGACCTAGACAGACAGAGTTGCTACGAACGCCTTGCTCTATCTCAGACAACAGCTACATGGCAGAGTCATGCTCCGGATTCAGGAAGATTGGCGCTCCGTTGCTTTGTCGCATCGAAGGCCCAAACTTCTGCAGTGCTGCAATCACCGGCAAAGCACCAAAGGCCACAATAATTCCCTGAGTCGCGAAGCACCAGGTCCAACCAACAGACGCTTGCCATGGAGCGATAAAAAACTGTAGTGGTCAGAAGAATTCCAAAAATTGGTCCGCTTAGACTTACCGGGTTGATGAATGCTGATAGGTTCAGAAAGACGGCATAGTATGTTACCATCGCCATGCTTTGCAGAGGGTAGGCATCCACAATGTAGGACACCACGACCGTGTTTCCCATTTGAATGCCAGCCGCGAAGAGAAAGAACGCAACCTGGCCCACCATCCAGTGGTATGCACGATCAATACTGACACCCCACACAATGAGACCAACCGCTGTCAGAATGCCACCAGGATATGCTAACCAAAGTCGTTGCTCTGGCAGACGTTGGCCACCGTTCTGTTTCGCTAATCGAGCGACGAGGTTGTCAGAGAGCCGGCCACCAAGGCAAATTTCAGCAAACAAGGTGCCAAGGAGAAGGCCAATGAAAAGTAGCCCCTGGATTAAAGGTGTGTAGTCAAGGTATGCTGCTGGTAGCATCGTGATCACAGACAAGACCCCTAGCAGTCATTAGCTTTGTTCATCGACTCAATCGAGGGCACTTACACCAATACCACAGGAAGCAGTATGAGAGAACCGCGACGACCACTGCTAAGAACTTGAAAGTCAACGCAAACCGAATGACACTGTCCCAAGGCTTCGGATGTCTCATTCCTGGTACAGGTCGAACAACGTTCACAAACGGCAGCTTCTTCGTACGAGGCAGCTCAGACACGGAGGCATCGGTCCCTTGTGTTCTCGTCTTCTCCATACCGCGCCCACTAAGTCCATTGTGGCCGCTGACAGGCGCATCAATCAGCATTCGATGCCGTGGGTACAGTGTTTCTGGCATGAATGCAAGTTCCAAAATCAGCAACACACCAAACAATATGGCAGTGAACCATTGAATCCAGGCCGCACTGACGACGTTCAGGAAACCACCGAGGATCGGACCGACGAGCAGACCACTATCAATGGCAAGCACCCAGATGCCGACCTTCTGGCCTCTCTCATGCTCAAAGAACATGTCGCTGATACAGGCCAAGCCGACTGTCGCTCCAGGACTCACACCTAAGCCTTGGAAGAATCTTGCTGCCATGTAGCCTCCATAGTTCGGAGCTGCGGCGGCGCCAATTGTCGCAGCCAATGCCATGACGGTGCCAATGATGAAGACAATCCTTCGACCATATATGTCGGCGAACGAGGACCAGATCAGCGGTCCGACAGCTAGACCAAGAGCTGGAATAGCGACGGTCCAATTGACTTGTGAGTAGGAGATTGCATATTGCTCCTGTAAGTCAGGAAACGATGGTACAGTTGTTGTGGTTATATACTATGCAATGTTTAGCAGAAAATTGCTGGCTCGCTCGACATCTACTCACTGTGAACAAGAAATACTTGAGACAAACAATGGCCAGAATCGAGTTTTTGTGAACACTCGACCAATTCAGAGGGTCGAGAGGGTCTGCTGTCGGTTGTGGAAAAACAGGCAATCCATGTGACAGAATTGTAGTCTGTGCTACTGCCTGACCCTGCTCCTCGTCCAGGCGCTTATCATCCAACTTCTTCTCGTCCATGCTATCGGTAAATTTGATGTCAGGCTTCGCAGAGTCGTATAAACAGCGTTCGACAACAACGGGAGCGTGAGGCTCGAAGTTCAAGGATTCCGAAGAAGTATATGAGGCAGTATGAGAATGCTGCGTGGGAATGTCAAGCCGAGAGCTACGTAAAACGGTATCTCAAGGCTTGCAAGAAGCTTATCAAACGAGGCAATTTGGCATGATCGGTTTTTGCTTGTCTGAAGATCGGACTAGCGACGATACCCCGTCACACAGTGTTACCACGAGCACTATAGGGCTGAGACACACCCCTACCACCATTCGAGACACCGAGTTCCATCCACATCGCCAACGAAATCTGGAAGGAGGCGCATGATTTCCTGAGAGCTGGCACTCGATGTTACACAAAGTGCTGAAGCCTGTGGTACCGAATCGAGAAGTCGACGCGATAGCAGCAAATTGCCCGGCATAAAAGCGAATCAGCATCTTGCTCAAGTAGCTAATTGAAAGACGTCAAATCTACAAATGCCGTGCTACACGAATCTCGTCGCAAGATAGTCGGGATAACAGGGATGCTAGAGCAGCTAAAAGAAGCCTCAAAGATAAGGGCAGTGTCCACCTCTAATTGGTCAGTTCGAGAAGGGCACAGCATAGACTCCACATCTGCTGGGTTCTCGGTTTACGTGTTTTGATTACTGGACTTCTCAATAGAAGACGGACATCTGCTCTTTCAGCATCTCGACAATGTCGCATCTGACTGTCATACAATCCTTGGACTCGCACCAGTATCTGGTGGATACGGCCAATGTGCGCCTGTTATCCGCTGGCGGGTCGAAGTATGCATTCGAATACTCGTTTCGCACACAGTCAACATGTGTGAAGATCTGGTTGTCAACCTGCTGAAATCTTTGGTTTCTTGACCTCTGCCCTGTGAGTGACCAGTTTTGTGCCAGAGGTCAGGTTGCACAATCACCATGGCGAGGCGGTACAGTGACTCGAATCCTGAGGAAGATCGCTCCAAGAGGCATGCGTCGCCTGAACCAAGGCTTACAAGCAGTGAAGCGGCTGACGAGTATTCACCTCTGATTCGAAAGAAGTCAGCTAGTGACCAGGCACCGAATGGCACGGAGGATATCGATGTCGGTGACATTCTGCCTGAGGATGAGACCTCCACGCGGATGCTGATCTTGCATGAGTTCTGGGTCTTGTTTCGTGGAAGCATCCCTGTGATCATGGCATATACTTTGCAGAACTCATTGCAGACAGTATCGATCCTCATTGTTGGTCGAGCGTCGCCACAAGACCTATCAACGGCCGCCTTCTCTTACATGTTTGCTATGTGCTCAGGGTGGTTGATTGGTATGGGTGGTAGTACCGCCCTCGATACTTTGGCATCGTCGACATTTACTGGCTCCAAGAACAAGCACGATTTGGGTATTCTTCTACAGCGATCTTTTCTTGTCCTTGGCTTGTTCTACGTTCCTGTCGCTGTGTTATGGACTGTTTCGGAACACCTGTTCCGACTGCTCGGTCAACCTGAACAGCTCTGCAAGGACAGTGCTAAATTCCTGACTTGTTTGATCCCTGGTGGGCTTGGGTACATCGCCTTCGAAACCATGAAGAAATATCTGCAGGCACAAGAGATTATGAGACCTGGTACCTACGTGCTCTTGATTACTTCGCCTATCAGTGCAGCTCTCAACTATCTCTTTGTCTATACCCTTGGTTGGGGAGTTTTCGCTGCTCCATTCGCGACCGGTATAGGCTACTGGCTTTCGTTCTTGGGTCTTGTTTTGTATGCCAGATTCGTTGCTGGCGGCGAGTGCTGGGGCGGTTTCAGCAGGCGAGCTTTACAGAATCTGGGTACTTTTGCAAAGCTAGCAGCCTTGGGCGTCGTTCACGTGGGCACGGAGTGGTGGGCCTTCGAGATTGTTGCACTAGCTGCTGGACGCCTTGGTGAAGTCGATCTTGCGTCGCAAAGTGTGATCATGACTGCCGACCAGGTTTTAAACACTATTCCCTTTGGCATTGGGGTGGCAGCAAGCGCTAGAGTGGGGAATATGCTTGGTCTTCGCAACGGTAAGGGTGCCGCGCGATCTGCTAATACTGCGGCTTGGCTGAGTATGCTCATGGGGGGTGTTGTCCTCGCCATCCTGTTGGCCACAAAGAATGTGTTCGCTAAAATCTTCAATGATGACGAGGCTGTGGTCAAGCTTACTGCTGAAGTTTTGCCATACGTCGCGCTGTTCCAGGTTGCGGATGGCTTGAATGGTTCTTGTGGTGGGTCATTACGTGGTATGGGGAGGCAGCATATAGGTGAGTGAAACAGAAGCTCTAATTGAGTCGACGGTCGTACAATTGCTTACTAACACATACAAGGTGCTGTCGTCAATATTGTATGCTATTACTGCATTGCTCTGCCGTTAGGTATTTGGTTAGCCTTCCACGGCTGGCGACTCGCAGGCCTCTGGCTTGGTCAGTGTATCGCTCTCTACCTAGTGGGCTTCTTAGAATGGGCAATTGTTGCATTCAGCAATTGGGATCACCAGATCAAAAGGGCATTTGACAGGATGGATAACGATGAGCTCGTAGAGACTGGGAACGCTTCGTCCACAACGTAGCAGCGTGCCATCTACAGGAGGGTGTCCAAAGAGACAGCCAGCCTCTCATACTGTGGAAACTTAGATACCTGCACCTTCCTTCTACGAGACGTGGCCTGCAGTCGAGCTCATGCTAAGAAGAAGGAGCTGACCACTGTCGCTTCCCCAACGAGTCGGTTTCCGTCGTCTTGTGCAAATTGCTTATTGTTCAAGTGGAACTCCGCTTCGGAAGCGGCCACTTTAAAACCGTTACCTCATATATCGTCAATGGCCAATGACGTACCCTACTGAAATAGGCAGGTAGGTCCACGAGAGATAGGGCCGCCAAACTCGTTTATCTTCACCTCCGATCGTAAACTCCTTGACAGAACAAATAACAAAAGTCGAAGCACTGCCGGTCGGTGAACAGCGAGCTGATTGTGTCACCCATTTCCTACCACGCTCTACGAGACAATGTCGGCTCCGCTGATATGCACTACGCTCCAGATGACCCCAGTCGTTATCTTTCCACGTGGGGCACAAGCAGCAAGCCCGCCGACGCCTAGGATAAGACTCGTGGTACAGTGCCGTAATATCGAAGATTGATCCAGTAGGGATCAAAGACTCGCATCCCTGTATCGGCCATGCATGGACAATGATGCACGAGTTACACATCAGGACTCGTATGTACTGCTCGGAGCTGGCAAAGCTCTGGAAGCTTAGCTTTTCAATCAAAACCTCTTACATCCCAGAAATTTCCACCTCGTGTTGCTTTCGACCTGCCAACTCGCAAAGCAGCAGATTGTGATTGAGGCAGTAAAAGCTGACAATGATTTGCAAGCACTTCTCGTTCCTGGCTCTTGCCAGTTTGGTGTGTGCTCATGGCGATCATGAGCAAACTACCATGGAGGGACCACATAAGTCGTTGTGGTACAATACCTTGCCAGGTGATGGCGGCACTCAGGTATGCGCCTTGAGCATGCAAAATTCAACTAGCTGACAATTGTATACAGGCGGATGCTGTCTTTTCAGGAATCTCGACCTTTGGTCGTCTCCCGTACTTCCCATGTCTCGCTAGCGACGCTGAGAAGTACGATATCGCTTTCATCGGCAAGTAGATGATATTGCTATATGGAGCTTTTTGGTCCTAGTGATTTGCTGCAGGGGCGCCTTTCGACACCGGCACGAGCTACAGACCTGGAGCTAGATTCGGTCCAAGTGGTATCAGACAAGGTTCTCGCCGCCTCAATCTCTAGTACGTCTCACTTGTCTGAAGGTCAACTGACCAGCTGTTTTTTGATGTGAAGGCTCACGAAAGGTTCGATTTAGCGGCGGGTACAATGTGTAAGCTTCTTCGACGAACACGGAGGGCATCTCAATTGACTTTCAATAGTCCTCAAGACACAAACCCGTTCAATTTCTGGGGAAAGGTGATCGATTGTGGCGATATTCCGGTCACTTCGTAAGCCCGCATACCCAGCCTTTTAGACCTCTCTAACAAGATCTAGCTACGACAACGCATATGCTCTCCAGCAAATCGAGCATGGCCATCACACTTTGTTAACCCGTACTCCTGCCACCGCTGGTGAAGAGACAGGTCTTTCATCCAAGGGCAAGACCCTCCCTCGCCTCATCACTCTAGGAGGTGATCACACTATCACTCTTCCTCTCCTTCGAAGCATCACACGTGCCTATGGCCCCATCGCTGTTCTTCACTTCGATTCTCACCTCGATACATGGAAGCCAAAAGTTTTCGGCGGCAGCCCCTCTAAGCAAGCATCTATCAACCACGGAACCTATTTCTATCACGCTGCTCAAGAGGGGTTGATTGCCAACGACTCTTCCATCCATGCTGGTATCCGAACAACTCTGTCTGGTCTCTCAGACTACGACAATGACGGATACTGTGGCTTTGAGAGAGTCGAGGCACGTGAAATCGATGAGATCGGTACTGAAGGAATTATCAAAAGGATTGTGGACCGACTAGGCACCAAGAGACCTGTATATCTCAGGTATGCTATATCAGAATCCCCGCTCTTGAAGTCATACTGATCTGACATGTTTCAAGTATTGATATCGACACACTTGACCCAGCCTTCGCTCCTGCCACAGGCACGCCTGAAACAGGTGGCTGGACAACTCGAGAACTTCGGACTATCATCCGTGGTCTTCAAGACATCAACTTTGTTGCAGCCGATTTGGTTGAAGTCGCTCCAGCATATGATACCAATGCTGAGTGTAAGTTCAAATTCTGTTATGGAGACTTTAACTGATTATGTTATAGTGACCACGATGGCCGCTGCCGATACCTTGTTCGAGGTCATGAGCTTGATGGTGCGCAAAGGCCCATTGACCCTAGAGGCAGCTGACCACAAGGTCTCTGATCTTGGCAACTGGAAAGGCAGTCAGATGAAGAAGGAATTGTAGTTCATCTACAAGACAGTTGGTTGATGCAGATGCCCTCACGCACACTCTTTCTTGAGGCCTGCAAATATCCAGCAATCCCATCTACCCAAGGAAACAGCGACAGGCGAGGTACGTTGACATGGACAGTGATGGGATCAACACATATGTGACTAGATCGGTAGTAGCTACAGTTGATTGTCCATAGTCTTCCGTGCTTGTAAATACTTATTGTCAATTGCCGAAACTCACTAAACCTATATATAAGAACCTACCACATAGCCTTCGCTCTCAAGCGTGGGGTCCCCATCATGCTTCACTTTTTCAACTCACGCATTGCTCCGCGTCACGGACCCTTTTCAGCTGAACACGATGCAAATCGAAACATTGCCGAATCATAGGACCAAAACACGACCATTTTTCATCCCACAGCCTCTAGCGGAGCACATTTCCGTGCTTACCTACCTCTATCTTCAAAATTCAGACGTCTTTCGTTCTTCGAGGCTGTCAAGCCATCTTTGACAGGTATTCAGCTTCGTCCAAAACTACCGACTCACCGATGAAACATGTTATGGTCTACTTCAGCCCCGATGCGACTCAAGTACATCCCCAGATGGCAACATCACGGTACCGTAAATAAGCATTCAAAGTGACCGTCATAACATTTCTTCGATGAACTTTCGCACAATGACAAGCAGACACGGGAGTCATCCAGCGACAAACTGAGCTGATGAGGACAAAAGTACTACCTCCCCCGAGCTAGATCCCATCGTGGGATCCGGAAATACTTGGAATATGCATCGAAAGTGCTTCAGATACATCCTTCCTCAGCTTAGCAATTAGGCATTCAAAGCCGCCTTACAACTTATGAGGCTGAAATAAACGGAATAGGCGGGCGGCCGGACGCCTTGATTTCGAAAGGCCTAAATTTGGCTAGTAACAGAAGCATTGCGCAAAATGCGGTATTGTGGAATGTAACGTAAAGTTCTCGTAGAAACTGTGAGTAAGTCAGGCGTCCACGTTTCGTGGACGGGTTTTGTCCCTGCAGAGATCTACGTTGCAGGTAGGCTGCAGGCTTGGCTACTCCAGTACTTGAAGGAAGGTCTGAGTCTTGCCATTGAACTGAACTAAGCAGCTGGTAACAGTATATGATATTCTGTATGTTCTGTATAGTAGTAAGCGTCGCAGACGTATCTCAACACAGGACGGAGAGGAGATTTGTGCCCTTCAACCCAGATCCAGGAAAACAACGCATAAATTGGTAACGACAGTGTATCATCTCGAACGGAACGTAACCCTTTCCTCTGCCTCACGTCATCCAACTCTCCATATAGAAGTTAGACTTCAAGCAATACTCAATTGAACTTGTATTGCATCTCGAGCTGCTGGGTATTTGGTACGCGCGGCAACAGTGTCACTGGTAGTGTGTCTGTGCCATGTTCCGCATTCCTCAATCTATGGCCTCGACTGACAGCTTTGGCTATTGGAAAAGACCAATCGAGTAGACCGTGGTACTGAGTGCTCTAAGTCCACGTCACTGAAGGTGTTCTGCTTGTTCTTATCGTTTCGAGGTTCCTGCCCCGGAGCCGTATCCTGAGTCGTGGGAGTAACCTCGTCTACTTGTGCTCGAGCTTGTCGTGGTTGTCGTAGGCCTTCTCTTGCCGTGGTCGGGACATGCGAAGCCCACCAGGATTGTCTTTTCGGTGACATTGTGACCAGGTCGATTGTAATTGTTGCATGGGTCGACAGCGTGGCGGTGATACAGGCATTTGCAGACTGCGTAGCGTTCGACTATCTGGTAGCACATTGTTGGTTTCAGTGGCCGCTAGCAATGGTTCGATGTCTCTGGTAATAGCAATCAGCTGAATGATTTCGGCGAAGACTTGACAAGTTGAAGGTCATATATTCGAGGAAGCCGTGTCCTGTGAAGACATCGTAAACTAGCACTGTTAGCGTAATCCGTCGTTCCTACAGGCAACACTCCATCTATTCATTGATGAGCCTCATTCAATATAGTAGTCACAGAGAAGACGAGGTCCAATAGGACGTCATAAGCAGAAGACCAAGAGTGTAGCTCACGTGCGAGAGCGAGGGACATTGCCACACTATGTGGCTATCGCTTCGAAGTTCTGGACTGTCTGTGGAAGGGGCCTTCCGCGCTAGGCTTCTGCCATCCCAGGACCACATCTTTGGACCGATGTTGATGCCACGTGGGATCTAGTACGAGCAGAAGAATAGATCCTCATTGACTTGGTGCGACCAATGGGAAATCGTAAGCGCGTTATGAGTGAAGGCATGGGTCCAATTCGGAGACGGGGAAGCATTTCGGGTCGTCCTGGCTTATGGCTGGGGGCGGTTTCAGAACCGGCGTTGCTTCGCGATATCGTTTCCTAGTACTCTCGAGTCATTTGCATCTTGATCGTGGTAAAGCAGAGTCTTTCTCTCCTCTTCGTCGTTCGCTGCAACGATCGAAACGTCGGAAACTTTCCAGAGAATCTTGAGAGCTCATAGAGCACGAAGGGGACAGCTATCGCATCGAGGCGGATGTGACTATATTCCGCGACGAATAATGACGACGTTCAATGTGTTAGTCATCGATTGTCTAATTCAGGCAGTCGTTGCATTTGGCAAGGTGCAATGATTGGAATACCTGAGAAGTGCGATTTCGTTCTTGGATTTGTCACACACCAGAATACTGCCGCTCATATGGACACAAATTTACGAAGCAATAGTAAGTCGGGAGCTTGACTTCAGGATTGGGAAGGGAACAATTTGAATGTGAAAATGTCACTGCGTAGTAAACATCATTGGAAGAAACATTTCGAAGGAGAAGAGAAGTGTCGCAGCTCGTGTGAGCAAGAGCAGGACACGGAGTCCTGAATAATCAAGGCAGTTACGACGTTAGCTAGAGTTCGGCCCGCTCGGCGCTCTTTCCAAATGCGTATATAGGCGCGACCAGGAGAGTGGTTGGGTTTCTTCCGGACAATGTACTGTAATGTTTCGTAACAGACGTTTTCTATCCTTATGTTCAATCACGAGGGAAGCTCAACTGACCGTGCCAAGACGTACTTTCTGGTAGCGGATACAGCAAGTTATTGTATACTACCAGGTGACACACCGGTTCGCAGCTTGAGAAGATAGCATATTTCAACCAGATTTGTGCCACGATCGTCTTGCACTTGTAGATCTGTCGTGTACGTGCTTGGCTTGAGCATCTGATGAGCGCAAGCTACCTCGGGTCCAAACAGTGGCTGACTACAAAATCTAGACCACTTGTGACAACCCGATTTCGGCAGCGATGGTGGTATTGAGGCCTCAATGGTAATTACAGGAAATCTCAAACCTGTCGCAACATCATTTCTTCTCCAATCAGTCAAAGCCGACGAATGGTCAGGCATCCTTCCACACTTGCTTTGGCGCATATGCAGGATACCAATCATATTCTCAAGGCACATCGGAACCAGGTAAATGCGCAGGATGTACTAGCTTAGCTCTAACGCAAGCAGTATGTATCTGTCAGTCATTATGAATCAACGAACAGATCGCAGCAGAGCCCGAAGAAGGAAACATGCCAGGTATAACAGGTAACCGTGAGTGAACACTGGCAGCCCACCGCTGGCTGACATCTTGAGCTTCCTGGCTACCTGTTGATTTGCTGTTACTCAGGCGGCTGGAACTTCAATTCTTTGCGCGCACGCTCATCTTGGCTTCGCGGATGTGATTCGTCGCCACTGCTTAGTTCGTGTGAAAGAGCCAATCGCTCTCCGGATTTGGCTGAGAGAAGTTGAGATTCGTCGCAATCATGCTCGGATTGTTCGTCTGCAATGGCGTCGCTAAGCTGCCTGGAGGCTGATTCTGGGACATGTTATCAGCAGACATGTGCGTTCTTGGAAAGTTGAACAAATCGAACACATCAAGGTACTCAAGTTCGTTGACTGCTGGCGTATTAGCTCGGGTTGGCTGATAAGATTTGATTGATGCCTGAGGCTGTCGAGATATCAGAAAGTCAAGATCGTATGCGCATCTGCTACTGATTAGCACGCGATTCGGAGACACTCCTCCGTTGTAATCTTACCTTCGCATATCAGCCAGGATCTTTACCGTTGATGGCGTTATGCGCTCTGAACCTGAATGTTGAGATGTCCTGTATTCCCCAAGAACACGACTTAGGATCTCACTATATCTTCTGGCAACATCCCAATAGTGTCCCATCTCCGCCAATAACGTCACGAAGTAATCGATATCAGGATCGACATCATCGTCCATGATCGAGCCGTGTACAAGGGCGACCCTGGCACTGACCCACGTCGCAAACGCAAATGGAGGTCCAAGCTTGTCTAACAGGCCACTGATCTTCACAAACTGACACAGATGCCGCATGCTGTCGACCGCAGATAGACACCTTTGCATGGCACTGTATGAGGATGAAAAGATTGGTGAGCTTTGAGCAGGGTAGGCAGCTGACGAGTTCAGGCGAATAGTGGTAAAAGCATACGCCGCATGAAGTGCTATCCAGCCACAATTGGCAGGCTTCGCTGACGAGCCGGTCTTCATCATGCGCGTGATGTTGACAAAGTCGTCAGGAAGGCCGAAGTGCCAAGCGTTCAGTTCACTGTCCAATGCTCGATAAGTCCCTTGCCATTGTTCAACGTCCGTTAGACTGCCGATATCAATTGGACGTTTTAGAAAAAGATGGATGCGACCAAGAATTCCTAGAAGCTCGCAGTGATAGGCAAAGTGGCCGTGTACATCTAGGATGTTCGTGGAATATCTGTTTTGACCTGAGTGACGGAACCATTTCGTGTCCACCGATTTGTTCGCGGAGAAAAGATCGTCGCGACAAGGTAAACGGCGATCAACTTCCTTGTCATCCAGTGCGAATCCAAATGCTGTCGCAACGGTTGCATAACGATCCAGCATGTAAACAGCCCAGAAGAGTCGTCTTCGTTCTTCATCTTCGATTGGTGACCGAGATTCTGGTAGCACTGCTGCACGTAAAGTGGCTATAGAGGGGTACAACGGCGTAGCCAAGCTAGAAGTTGTTTCGACCGATAGCCCAAGTTGAATAACGCTACGACTGATAAGCGCTAATAGGTTCCAACCGGGCGGACCGTTGGTGTCCCCTGTCACATCCAAAGCTAGAATCACCAAGGCTTGCAAGGCTCGGATGCTCGAGTTCTCCAGACCGAATAGTTGCACCTTCTGCTTCGATATGTCATGGTAATGTTGACGACTTTCTGAAGCTAAACGTGGATCCTTTGAAAAGCGGAGTGAGACTGTGACTATGGCGTGTAGGACGATTTTATCAGCCTCAGCTAACGGAGATGGACCAAACAAAGTGTCGAGTGTTGATTTCCTGTCCAAAAGAGGAAGCCATACGTTCACATGTCGAAAATACAGATCGACAAGGGTATACAACAGGTCGTACGGTGGTAAGGAAGCTGTGTTCTCAGAATATGGTGTCTGATGGGAAACTGGTTGTGCTCCTGTTAAATGCGGAGATGTTAGTTGTGTGTGAGCTGGAGAAGCATCGGAGTAGTGGTGTACAGACTGTGCGTTTTGTTCCAGAGACAACGGTTGGCCCGAGGAATATTGTATAGACTGTTGCCGGGACGAGGATGGTCTCAGTTGCGGGTCTATCATCTGCTGCTTGAGGGCTGTTTCGGGGTCGTAGGATATGGAGCCCGTAAAGGTAGTGCCTGGCAGTTGTCCGACTAGCTCTTCATGAGACTGACGAGGCACCGAGACACTGCCTCTATCAGTCAAGTTGCATGATTGCTGAAGGTGGGCCGCAAGTTGTCTGCCTTGCTCGTAGATGATGGACTCCAATTTGTCAAGTCGTCCCTCGAGCTCGCGACCATAGCCCGCACGTAAGCCTGGCTTCTTACGCTCCCTGTATTCGCACGGATGCTGATTCTTCGTACACCATCCGCAGGAAGGTTGAGCACGATCTAAGGAAAGGATGTTAGTAATCAGGTTGTAGACTTTTCTCTTAAGTACAATGTTTTGTTCTCCTGGCATCATGCAACCGATCGACCGTGCGGCCAACGAAACAAAATATCGTGCGCTCACAGCGCTGAATATTCATCATACTCTGCGAAGAAGGAAGACGTGACACGTAGCTCACGCTCTCCGGCAAATGTGCATTCCACAGGCTGCAGATGTGTCCACGATCGATTGTCGGATGTAGTCACTTACCACACTTGACTTTGCGTTGCTTACATGCCTCGCAGCTGTCAACATTCATGTCAGCCTTCCGATGTCAAGTTGGCGCCTCATGGACATGAGTGTAAATTGAGCTTACGTTACATTCATGGGTCTCTTTCTTTTTCTATTTTGATCATATCCATCACTACCATCAGAGTCTTCGCTCTGACTAGCAGCTTCGGGTCGATTTGAACCATCTTGCAGCAAGGCAGCTGAGTCATAGTACGAGCGCTCCTCCATGTTGTGGACTGGTTGATGTGTGCTGAAAGGTCCGGGTTGATGAAGCCCGAAGCACGGTGGAAGATTGTACCAGACCGAGCTTCGCAAAGTGGATATCCATGGCCAAAGCAGCCCCGCACAAACTGCAGGAGCGATGGGTTGTTCTTGCCGTGCATTGACTGGTTTTCTCTAATGTACCTGCATCACAAATCAGGCATTATAACGGTCGTTGCTTCACCGAGGCGAGACGATGGGCTTGTAAAACGCTGATGGCAGCCATGAGCTTTATCGGCTCGTTTCCGTTCCTTCCTCTTAGAAACTGCACATACACTACCTTCTACTGAGTACTGACTTTGCAGCAGCATTCTTGCACCGACCTCTCTACCTTCGAACTGACCAGCTTCTCAATATGAACAGCACATCTGTCAGGTCCTTCCCTACCATCAAGGCAGTGAAGACATTCATAATAGAAGGAGTTGGTTCAGGTGGTGATTATCACAATGTCAAAGGAGGTCACTGGCTGATAGACAGTCCCATCTCGACGCCTATGTCGAAATGGGAGCAATATCGGAAATCCAGAACCTCGTGGGGCATCAACGTCCTTGGTTCGTTTTGTGTCGAGATCGAAGCCACTGATGGCACCAAAGGTTTTGCAACTGGCTTTGGTGGTCCGCCAGCCTGCTGGTTGGTGCAACAACACTTCGAACGTTTCCTCCTAGGCAAAGACCCACGCGACACCAACGAGCTTTTTGAACTCATGTACAGAGGCTCAATGTTCTATGGCCGGAAAGGTCTTCCAGTTGCAGTCATCTCAGTCATCGATCTAGCATTATGGGATTTGGTTGGCAAGATACGAGGTGAACCTGTCTACAAGATGATAGGAGGTGCTACAAGAGAGAGACTACATTTCTACTGTACCGGTCCCGAGCCAGGCGCTATGAAGAAAGCAGGTTTCATAGGAGCCAAGGTCGCCCTGCCATATTGTGCAGAAGAAGGTCAACCAGGCCTGCTGAAAAACATTGCATATCTCAAGAAGAAGCGAGAAGAGGTCGGTCCCGACTTTCCTCTACGTGTTGATTGCTACATGTCATTGAATGTGCCCTACACGATTGAGCTTGTCAGCGCTGCAAAGCGAGAGAATCTCCACATCGATTGGTGGGAAGAAGTGCTCTCCCCTGATGACTTCGATGGCTTCCAGCTACTGAAACGAGCACACCCGGACACCAAATTTACTACTGGCGAACACGAATACTCCAGGTACGGTTTCCGTAAACTCATCGAGGGGCGAAACGTCGACATCTTACAGCCAGATGTGATGTGGGTTGGTGGAATGACCGAGTTGCTGAAGGTCGCGGCTATGGCCTCAGCATACGATCTGCCTGTTGTGCCGCATGCATCAGGTCCATACAGCTACCACTTCGTGGTTTCGCAACACAATTGTCCATTCCAAGAATACCTTGCTAACAGCCCAGACGGGAAGTCCGTCTTGCCTGTGTTTGGCGATTTGTTCCTCAATGAACCAATTCCAGAAAGTGGTTACCTGGATGTAGCTGTGCTGGACAAGCCTGGATTTGGTCTTGAACTGAACCCGAATGCTAGACTGGTGGATGCAACTGGCCTCCTTGGGATGGGTCCAATGAAGTCGATAACATCGAAGGTCGAGGAGAGGCAAACCGTCGTGGACAATACTTCTGCAAAACACACAACGTCAGGCGATCACGTTGAGTAGAAAGTATAGATTGTAGCAGAATCTTGTGTGCCGTAATTTGCTTTCTCGTTAACGCTTACGTAGGGACAAACGCGGTATGGCATGATATAGCTATTGCTGTAAAACTACTGTTGAACCAAGCATTACTGGTACGAGCTACACCAACATTTGTATCAGATGCAACTTTTACTCGAATTTGCTGGACAGATTGTGCTTCTGCACGTGTTCAAGTCCTCAAATGGAGCTCGGCCCCATCTACTCCGAACTCTGCCGTTCCTTTCAAAATCATTACTCGCTACGTCAATAGGCAAGAGAAAGTGAGCACAAACACAATTCACATGAAAAACAATACTCCGGTAAAGTTGAGTAATCCATCAATCGTAGTTTAGCAACACTACTTCGACCCGACCAGTGCGCCGAGAACTTGCAAAATCCCTCGCAGAAATGCCCCTCTCACCAGTTTTCGACCAGCAAACGAATCCGCACGTCCTGTGCATAACTGGTGGTCTCACGGGCATTGGACGCGCAATAGCCACACTCTTCCTCTCGCACAATGCATTCGTTTGCATCAACTACTTTCCAGGTCATAATGCCAATGACCAAACCTTACAGGACTCTTTGCGTACGGAAGCTCTGGAAGTGATAAGATCCAGGAACCCGCAAACCTCAACGTCGAAGGTGGAAGATGTGCCGTTGCTGTGTGTGCCTGGTGATATCTCATTGCCAGAAACTGGAATCGAGCTAGTCCGGCAGTGTGTTGATAGGTTTGGTCGTCTTGATACTTTCGTCTCTAATGCTGGCATATGCAAATTCGAGGAGTTTCTCGATATATCCCCCGAGAGTTTTTCTAAGCACAGAGACACGAATTACTCGGGGGCATTCTATGCTGTACAGGCAGCAGCGCGACATATGTCGGGTCAGACACCGAATGAGGATGGAAGTCGTGGGTCGATTATTGGCGTCTCGAGTATCAGTGCTCTGGTCGGTGGTGCGCAGCAAGCACATTATACACCGACTAAGGCTGCTGTGCTGAGTCTGATGCAAAGTTGTGCTACCGCATTGGGAAAGTACGGGATTAGGTGCAATGCACTCCTTCCTGGAACAATTCGCACACAGCTGAACGACGAGGATCTGAAGGATGGTAGTGAGAAGAAGGCGTATATGGAAAACCGAATACCACTACGCCGACTTGGTGCTCCTAGTGATATGGCTGGCCCTGCCTTATTCCTGGCAGTGGGTGAGCTAAGTGGCTATGTGTCTGGCGCGACAATTCTGGTCGATGGTGGCGCATTTGTGAATTTCCAGTAAAAGGTGTATCAGTTTTTAGGACAGATTCAGGGCGGCCCAGAGTGTGATGATGTTGACCAGAATGATATAGCTTACTGCAAGCGGCATGAAATGGGACGTTGTCGATGAGTAGACGTTCGAGCCAGCACCATTGCCGTCACCTGGTCCACCTTGGTAGGGATTACCAGAGGGTCCCCAAGTGTAGTAATAGCCTGTCCATGTAGCACAATCGACACCGAATCCTCGATCGTCAAAGCACTTTCGTCTTGAGTCCAAGGGATTTCTCGACAGGGGCGCCATGGTGATTAAGGTCGAGTGGGTGAAGGCAAATGTGCTTGTGTCGCTCGAACTGCTCAAAACCGTTCTTGGTATCGTTGTTAGTGTCGATGGGTTCGAGCTCGACTGCGCTGCTACTGATAATGGTGACAGCACAATGTCGCTCGTCGTTCGTACAAATCGTGTACTAAGCAGGGCAGTGGATTGACATAAAAGGGCGAAGTAGGGAAAAGGTCTCATATTGAGTACTGTAGTCCTCTTCTGTAGCTCGAAAGTCTGTTCCAGACGGCATCAAATGCAGGCTCCATTGTGGTATGTAGCGCTTGCTAATATGCTTTTCCACGAGTATACCTTACAGATGATGTTCTCACATGTACCCAGATTGTTCTTCGTGCTTGGGCACTCGAACATTAGCTCTTTGAGCGCAGCGATTTGACGAAGTCTTGTATTTGCTCCATTGGGTCGGTCAGTATGTGGTTGGATATGATTGGCCAGGAGCTACCTTAGTCTGGGCGGACCGAGATCGGCATCTAGCCAAACACACCGCACAATTGAACGCCATACCAGAAAAGTGAGGCGGTCAGCAACATACTGTACCATCAAGGTATTTGCAAAGAGGAGGCAGAGGATCTAGCCGAGCTAAGCGCACGAGCACTCAGCACTGTTGCTTTTCAGAGGTCGATGATCTCCACGTCTTGCGAAGCTTGGTTTGGTGTATCTTCGTCTTCGCGCTGTGGTTCTAGAGCTGGCAGAGAGCTCAAGTCAGCACCAAGTATTTCCAAAGTCTTCTCATAGACTCTGCCGAGACTCATAGCAATCGATTGGTTGTTCAGATTTTTGTCACCGTCGCTTGTGTCATCATCGTCAAAGTCCTCATCGTTCGAGGATGCGTCCTCATCAACAGACATACCACTTTTTGAAGCGACCTCAGTCATCTCCACCCTAGTCTCCTGAGCTAGAGACCTAATGCGTACTTTGTCCGTCACGGTAATCGCAGTGGATAAATGATCCTGTGCCGAAAGCAGTCGCGAAAATGCTAGGTCAAACCTCCTGGCGAGGCGAAAAGAGTCTGTCACGAACGAGAAAGAATGTAGGTAATCTCTGAACTGGCCAGCGAGGCTCAGAAGGTATGGAATCTGTATGGAGGGTGTATTGCTGATCCAGACAACGTCGAGCACAGCATCGACATCGGTGATGACTTGACCAAAGTCTGTATAGCCTACATTGTGGTCGCGATCGGTTGCACTCGCAGCAAAGCTCTTGGCGTATCGGGATGTAATGTGTAAAATCCTGTCATCTAGGTAGTTGATTAGAGCAATCTGTTTGGAGGATCCAGCAGGAAGAGGATGTGATCTTGGCACAGGAAGAACATCAGATGGAGCATACGCCACAGAAATGTCTGATTGTGCTGGAGATAGTAGACCATTCTCGCGGTGTGCCGTAGTCATTGTGCATGTAGTAGTAGCTTGAGTCTAGGGATCACAAGTAGAGCAGGAGCGACACAACTTGAAGTCAATATTCGACGTTCGCTCTTTCAAATCTAGTCATGCCATAGGGTAATGATTGGAAGGGATGAAGACCACACTTTTGCTCATGCCAGCGTATGGCGGCGAGATGCTGGCGTCAAGGTCGTATTAGGAGCCAGCGAATACAGGCGATGAAGATATCTTTGCCAGTCTTGAACGCAGAAACAGCAAAGCGGATTGGGATGTCCGATGGTAACGCGCCTCGCGTGGGCTCTCTATTGGTTGCCTGAGGCATTCGTACCGTTGCTGGAAGTGACGAATTCGGGCACGTCTAGGCTCGCACTGCCACCTGTAAACTTCGAGTTCTCGACGATCCTTTGCTCAGACCTACTTTACAAGCACGAGCATCCGCATCCCGCAGATTACTCTCATGCTTTGAGTCCTGGACTCCTGCTTCAGTAGCTCAACGAGATGAGGTCAAAACGAGTGCAGATACATGCTCTCCGCTGTAAGGTGCCTGAAACCCTTCGGCGTGTCAACCAAGCACGATGCGGTACATTTCACACCGAACTGCTCTGGCTCAATGGACCAACAATTTCAGGTAGGAGATATGGCCTTCTTGATAGCTAACTAAGTGTTCAATATGTCCGATGGCGGTGGTAGTTCTAGCAACTACCCTATAATAGATTCTCATATCCACCTCTACGCAGACACGCATATACCACACCTCAACTGGGCTCCGTCACTCCCAGATGGCCACGTTCTGAAAAGGCAGAACTCGGTCGAACAGTACCGCGCGGCCACAAAATCGCGCTCGAGCTTGCTCGGCTTCGTCTTTGTCGAGACAGACCGAAGGTCAGGATTAGAAGAAGATAGTTGGGAGCATGCACTCGCAGAGGTCGACTTGCTCCGTCGTATCAGAGATGGAAGCCCATCAGAAGGAGAAGGCCACGTACCTGAAGACCGGTCTTTAGCATTGGGGGTAGTCGCATGGGCACCACTTGGTGCTTCGGTCAAGTCTTTGGAAAAGTACTTGGATCGGCTTGGTGCTTCACGAGACCTGCAAGCGAAGGACGGACTGGTTCGTGGCTTTCGCTACCTTCTCCAGGACAAGCCACAAGGAACAGCTCTTAGAACTGAGTTTATAGACGGGTTACTGCTTCTCGAAAAGCAAGGTGCCAAATCCTTCGATCTAGGCGTGGACTATCGTCAAGGTGGTCAATGGCAGCTACTTGGGGCAGCAGAAATGCTTCGGAGATTCTATGAGCACAGTACAGGAACGATGAAAATCGTCATCAATCATCTATGCAAGCCAAATTTGCACGAGAATGTAACTACACCAAGATCCGACCCTGAAAATTTCAAGGTCTGGCGTAAATGCATCAAGACCTTGTCCGAATTTCCCACAACCTACATGAAGCTGTCTGGCTTGTTCTCAGAACTCCCATCACAGTCGCCTGACCAGCCTACACCCATCTCCGAACTTCTCGATGTATCGAGACCATACATCCAGGAGATCTTCCGTGACTTTGGACCAGATTATGGTAACAGCGGAGGTAAGATGCGTATCATGTTCGGCTCCGACTGGCCAGTCTGCAATGTAGGAGGGCCTGGGATTGAGAGATCATGGACGCACTGGGTCGATTTTGTGGGCGCGGTCCTTGAAGAGCTGCATCTTAGCCATGAGGATAAGGCGATGGTGTGGGCGGGTTGTGCCAAAGAGGTCTATGGACTTGACGTGAGGGTAGATAGGTAGACAGTGATCCGTTATAGCACATCTTCATACCTGGGATATAGTGCTTGTATGTTGCCCAACAATTTCCCAAGCACTTGACGAGTACCTTTTTTTCCAAGCTAGCTTTAGCTGTGCCATGAGCCAAGTTAATCACATCCAACCAGACGCACGCCTATGTAGAATCGTACCTGGAGAGTAGCATCTTAACAACAACGTCATAACCAGTGGAGGCCATGGACTTTGCCCTTGTTCATTTGTGTTCATTATCATCACCTCTCGGCTGCACGTTCAGACCCATGCCGTTGTACAAGTTCGTGCCTCGCTTCTTCGTCTCCTCTTCTTCATCCCGCCTCTGATCTGCCAATGTTCTTACCCTCACATTTCTGACATCCCTAGCGGCAGTTTCGCCTTGGCTAGGACGCGAAGACGCATCCGTGTCTTGCGCTTGTGTATTCGAAGTGGTTTGTGGTGTCACACCCGCGCCCATCAGACGGCCAAGTCCACCGACCAAGATGCCAGCAGCAGATCCTACGATACCAATACCGGTACCAACGACAGATTGTGCGGCGCCTATCGCGCTACCAAGTAGTCCACCATTGCCAGCTGTATTGCCGTAGGAATCTACATATGTCTTGACAGGGACCATCACAAGCGTCGCACTGCCTTGTATACCCTCAATATCAGACAACGGCGTATCCTCCTCACCAGCCTCAATACTCCGATTTGGCAACGGCGTCAATATCAACTTCAAATCATACGGTCGCCCCGCGACTCCTGAACCATTCTTCTTAGTCTGTTCTTCGATCCACGGTCTTACATGCAGTGCTATTGTATTCTCACTCGCGAAAGAGCTCCGTATTGTCCCGCCATCGAACAAGCGTACTTGGATCCGCACGTCTGTAGCCTGTGGATTTGAGGTTGTGGAGTTGGCTTTGCGGAGTTCGTGGAGCTCGGTTCGTCGACGGAGGGCTTCTGCTTCGTCGCGGGCTTTGCGATCGGCTTCTCGTCGGGTGCGCTTGTCTGCTTCGATTTCGGCTTTTATGCGGGCGCGTTCTGCTTCGGCGGCTTTCTGGGAGGATATGTATTCGGCCCGTTGGGCGGCTGTGTTTTGTGCTGTGGTTGAGGTTCTGTTCGAGGTTGAAGTCGTTGATGATGAGGCATGACTATCAGTCTGTTGTAATGGTCGTGGGGTCGTAAGAGGTGTTGATGATTGTGGGCCCGCGTTTGTTGTTGCTCCTGCTTGCTGAGTACGCCGAGGTTCATGAGAGGATCCTGAACCTGCTGGATCGTTATTACTAGAGGGCGGTGCTTGCCTAATACTCGAGGCTGGTGTGTTCAGTAGGCGTTCTGTCGCTTGATCCGACAAACTTGGCTCCGTATCTGTATTAATGGTATCTCGTATCTGCTGAATTGCCGTAGTCACTGGCTCCGAATTGACTGATCCCAAAAGCTTTAGTTGAATGTTCAGCAAGCCCTTTCCAGACACTCCTGAATCTAAATACTGCTGCGTCAATTTGCGAAGATGGTCATATGCATTGTTCGGCAAGCGCATCCTGCCCTCTGATGGTGGTAAGTCAAGGTAGCCTGGTAGTCTTTGCCTTGATGAAGTAGAAGGCGATGCTACTGGTTCTGTCTTCGGCGTGTATCTCGTGAAGAGTTCACGCTTAAAGTCCTCAAACGGTATCTGCCCATGCTGGTAGTTTGCAACGACTTCTGCTTTCTGAACGATGAGAACCGCTGGAACACTCTGAACAGGGTAGACGTCATTCAAAAGACGTGATTCCTTCGAGCCGGTAAATACTTTAAGCATGACTGTCGATGAGCGTAACTGATCCGCTATCTCAGGATCCGTCAGAACAGATTCCCATTGTGTACTGTCAGCATTATTATTGTCGGCGACAAAGCAAAGAAGCGCCTTGCTCTCGAGCCTTGCTTTGGCGATAGCAATGCCCGGAACTTGGAAGAAATGTATTGCGGCTGCCATGACGAGCAGACGACTATGATGATCTAGTCTGTTGGTAGATGCAGTGTTGATACGACGACGTCGAGTTGTAACAGGAGATTATCAGTGAGGCTAGCTGGAGTCACTTGGAGAAAAAGTGGCCGCTTGCTTCATCGCATCGTTGCCAAAAAGTCACGAGGAAAGGTGGCCATTTCACATAAACTCAAGTTGATATACAAACACTGTGACAATTAGTACACTACAATACACTGGTGTGAAGGCGGAGTATGTACACATTTCAACTGGTTGTCAAACATTTTGAACACTCCAACAGGTGATGTAGAAATCCTTGACTCCCAAAACTAAACATTGTTCTTCTTGATTAAAATCTGCTCGATTGGCTGCACACAAGCTCGTAGCTGTGCACGAAAGTCACGCAACCAGGAGGAAAAGATCGAATAGTGAGCCCTCGGGTATGGAAGGTCTTCCTCAAGACCAAATAAAAACATACCCAAGCTGATGCTTACAAGACTTCATAAGCATCGTAAATGACCATATCACCATTGCGACCAGAGCTAGCAATAAAAACTCCATCGTTGACCCAGCTGTACCTCGAATCGCCCGTCTCCATTGTCATGTGAAGGCGCATCTTGAATTTGTCTGCAGTAATAGACTCATCCTGACCTAGTTTCTCCAATACTTCGCGCTTGCCAGTGCGTGTGCCTGTTGTCTGCAGATATATGGTTGCCCCATCGTGTGTAAGCAGATTGTATCGCGTGTCCAAATGAGCAGTTTGCTGGTCGTCGTGATTTCGAATGATTTCCCAGTCACCACCACCCGGAAGTATGGTACCTCGCAGACGAGGACCTTCGAAACGACCGCCTTTGAAGATGACTGTACTACGATCTCCGTGAGGTCCGGCGCCAATATGTCGGAAGGAGTCCATGTCGCATTCCAGGTGGAAAAGGAACTGCAAGCTGGGTAGTGGCAGCTTATACGAAGGCTTTGTCCAGGACGTGTTCGTTAGTGAGGAAGCGAGTATCGGGCTCTGGACTGTTCCAGCTGTGGGAGGGTTTGAAGCGGAAGCCATTATGGAGGATAGATGCCTGGATCTTTGAAGGGTGAACAGATTGTGCTTTGAAGAATTTCCTTGCTCGACCGTCTTTACCTGTGTAGCCACAGGACTGCTTTCATGTCAGGTAAATCTATACTGAAGTCCTACAAATCGCTCAGCAAAAGCTCGGGAACTGACGTAGTTGTGCCGGAGATTCAGGAAAGTCAGTCATTTGATGTCGGTATCTCGAAGTCATTCAGTCTATACTCGTCACAAGCACTACTTCGACTCATTCTCGAGATCTCGTTCGTAATGTTGTGCGTGTATGCTAGGCCTCTTGTCAATGGGCAACTTGTGAAGGTTAGCGCCAAACCTCTGGAGCACGCATCGTGTTTCTTGCAACGCAGCTTTGAGCGTACAAGTTCAGACATGATTTGAAGTCTCACGGCCAGCAGCACGTCTGTACATTGTAGCCATTCTACTAGGAATAGACCAACTTGTACGAGGTAGCAGGAGGCAGACTGTAGACGATACTGCTCATCTTCGAGTAGTAATGTAGACTTGGAAAGATAACAGATGATAAGCGTCAAACAGCCTGGGAACCCTGGAACTCTTCTCCGAAATCTCCGGCTCGGGGCACCTCATTGAAGCCTAGCGTCGATGATAGGCGAGCCTAGCTCAGCATTGGATTTGGCATCATTTTGCAGCAGTATAGGTCAAATTGATCTGGCGCAGCTTCAAGATCAGAGCTCTACACAATGGCAGGTTCTAATCCTCGGCTCCTGAACGCCATATTCTCAGTAACAAGACCAAAGCTCACAACATGTCGACAAGTATCGAAACAAGTACGAAGAAGGCTAAATACGCAGCCAAAATCTGGCAAGACAGCAGATGATCCCGAATTCGTGTCGATAGTCGACGCCCCAGCACAAGTCATTTCAACCAGACGCAAACACAACAAGCTGGGTCTCGCTGTCCTAGCTCTGATACCTATTACAGCTCTCGCGCTAGGAACATGGCAGGTGCAGAGACTGGACTGGAAAACGAAACTCATTGCGAAATTTGAAGATCGATTAGTTCGACCACCTCTACCACTACCACCTCGAATCGACCCTAGTGTCATTGATGAGTTCGACTACAGGAGGGTATATGCGACTGGTACTCTGAAACATGAGGCTGAGATGTTGGTCGGACCTCGCATGCACGATGGAAAAGATGGGTTCTTTGTGATAACGCCACTGGAAAGAGAAGGAGGGAGTACAATACTGATCAATAGAGGCTGGGTGAGTAGGGAGCGTCGCTTTCAGCAGGATAGAGACCCTTCTTCATTGCCTCGTGGCGAGGTAACGATATCAGGACTGCTAAGAGAGCCTTGGAAGAAGAACGTCTTTACCCCAGACAATAACCCTCAACAAGGCAAGTTCTATTTTCCAGATGTCGCGCAGATGGCCAGGTACTCTGGAAGTGAACCAATATGGATTGAAGAGACTATGGCTCCAAGTCTCCTAGAAAGCTATAACAGAGAAGAAAAAGGTATTCCCATTGGGAGACCGGCCGAGGTCAATTTGAGGAACAACCATGTTCAATACATTGTCACCTGGTAGGTGTTTTCCGTCCATCGTTCAGTCTCATTACTCATCAGTCGTTAGGTACTCGTTATCAGCCGCCACTGCTCTCATGCTTTGGATGGTGCTCAGGAAGAAACCATCAGATATCACGCGCCGTGTACGGACAACCAAAGAGTGGTAGCCTATGGCCGATCAGGAAGATCTAGCTCGTTCAGTATGTCCCTAGGAAGCCATTGTCGCGCCATCTCGAGCAGCTCTCCATCTTCTCGGAGCACTCGCTGCCGTCGCATCAAAAGAAGCACATCGTCGTCATCTATTCGCTTCTTGCGCCGACCATGACCCGAAAATGCCTCGAGGTCTTCGCTGGCTTGCTCAAAGAACCATTCAGTGGCTTGTTCAAGAGCTTGCATGTGCTCCTTGCCAAGTGTAACCTTGCGCTTGTTAGCCTTCTGCTGCAAGTCATTCACGATTCGTTTGATTAGGCTCGACGGCAGCCCAGGAACCATGTTTCCACGCTGATTGACCTTTAGCCTCTTACGTGGTCTTGTACTGCTGGCAGTCGCAGCCACCGACTCGAGAAGCGTCTGTCGTCTGCTCGGTGCTGCCGACTCGATGGTAGTTGGCACTACACCCTCATCCTCGTCTGACTGCTCTCCTGTTGGATTCGAACCAAGAGGCTTAGTTTGCGAAAAAGCAGATTGAGCTACCGAGTTGGGGTCAGCTTCATCTACCTCGTGATGAGGTATATTGAGCTCAAAGCTGTCGTCCGCACCTAGTGCAAGTGGTAAAAAATCGTCTTCAGGAGACAAGCTTGATGGTTCGGAGGAATGCCTCATATGTCGAATACCTTCAGTCTCGTCACCGATCTGCACATCTTTGATATGCTCAGAGTCTTCAACGATATCATCATCTGGCATGGCTTCAGCAAGCTTTCCCTGTCTATCTGAAACTCTCTTGATTTCCAGTTCCGTACCAAAGTCACTCATGCGTATGCTACCGAAACTGTACCGAGACATTCGAGTTGGCTCTTCGCTGACTGCCCGTCTGGCGATTTCAGTCAGAAAGGTACTGTTGCCATCCTCAGCATCTGCTTCATCCTGCAAACCAGAATCTATGTGCGACAAGCATGGGTCGTGCGATTGTGCTCTTTGTCCTGTGTCGAGAAACGTGACGATCGGCTGATCCTCATCGTCGTCTGTATCTTCCAACAAGGCTGATGGTGTTGGTGCAACTAGTATTTCACTTTCGTCCTCTTCAATACTTTCTTCTATGTGGAAGTTGAGTTGTGGCTTAACCAAGGTCTCATCCTCTTTCTCGAATTGACCATGAGGCACGATATTCTCCTTTCCCTGCACGACGCTCGAAGGAGTAACGGTTCGACGCTTGGAAGTCGCAGCTGTGATCTTTGCTAGACGGCGTAAAACACCCCTCGCTGAGTTAGGTCTAACACTATTGCCATCAACCTGTTTCAGCGGCTGTGTTGTTCGTGGACGCGTTCGTGCGCCGGACTGGGCGAAAGCGTCGATAGCAGGTGTGCGTGGTTCACGTAGGGAAGGTGTGCGCTGTGCGTGAACAAGCTCTGCGAAAGGTCGCCTACGAGCAGACATAATACGTCGAGTGTAGCCTAACTACTGTGCTGAGACACATCAATTGTGAAGTTGACCTTCAGCCAGTAACACGATACATTCAGAATCGGGCGTTTTGGTTCCACCAGATCGCGAAATCACGTGCTCGTGGTCAGCCATTTTGAGTGTATTGCCCATGTCTATGAAATGTATCCTTTCCCATCACAGTCTCGTCTTTGAGCTCTGTCGATAATGATAAATCGTCATGGCTGCCGATATATATCGTCTCTTCGAGCGGCGAGATTGAGGACGCCAAAAGCTCAAGCGGAACAAAGCAAGCAATATCCCCAGGCATTTCCCATCCCTTCGGTTTTCAAGCAAAAGCACAATCAGCAGAAACAACCCAAGCCTATACGCGATTTTGCCCCTGAAACTCGGCCAGCAGCGTACTCACCTTTCTCTGAAAAGACTCTCAGTGTTTTACTGGGTGAAGCCGATGAGCCTGACGAATCTCAGTCTAAATATCGCGAGATCAGTGCGTCGTCAGAACTCAAGCCCAGCTCGAGGCTCGAACTTAGGAGCTCTGTTGAGCTTTCACTCAGCGAGAAGGTACCAACTGCGTTTGGTCTACCGACTGAGAAACATATTGTAGACGCGAACCCAACCGACTTCTTCTCTTTCTTGCCCGCCTACCTTGCTCGAGATGACCTCAAAAGTGATCAAATCAGACTTTTGTGGTCCGCTGTTCGAGATATCTTGCCACCAGATCCGTTGAATCCTTCCGTCCTGGGCCCCAAAGGCAATTTCACGCATCGACGGTGGCACAAATTCCGTGATAATACAACGCCAGATCTCGCCACCAACCTCATTACCAATCGTATGAATTTGGGATGGCATCTAGCCATGTTTCCCTACCCGATTACACCCGAGAATCTCTTGCCGGATGGAACTGACCCTCGTTTTTTGCCAGGACCTGCCGAAATCTGGCCCTATCGCCTATGGTCATCCGGCGCTATTACTCAACACGAGAACATTTCTCCCCTTATGGACCACAAAACCAGAGCCACTCAGCATATGATCGAGCGACCCACTGGCTTGCGAGTCGAAGGCACCGGTAAGGACCAGAAGTCATACGTTACCATTGGCAAATCCCTCTTTGCTTACGATCGAAGAATCAATTACGACAAGGATTACACTGTCGACAATGTGTTAGAACTGTTCAAGCCAGTACCTACTGACCCCGAAGGAAAAGGGACCTGGCTGGAGGAGCAATACACCCTTTGTTTCCTACGAACCAAGCCCAAATTCCTGGGTGACCCTCCACGGCTCATTAAACCACCGACGTCAGCTAAGTTTTCACACACACTGATCCCAAGTCGGCACTTGCTCTTTTGCTGGAGTGCAGCTACAAACAATGCTCACCTCATACATCTTGATCCAGGCTATGCGCGCCGACAGTATGGTGCTCGCAACCTCATCGTTCACGGCCCTCTGACCGTCTTCCTGATGCTAGAATGGTTCACCCGTACCCTTACTCGCTACGCGATGGACAGACTGCCGGATTTCCAGGTCAAGTCGATCGAGTACAGAAATTTGCAGGTTCTCTATGTCGACGCACCGATGACCTTGTGTGCTAAGCCTACTGAGTTTCCAGAACCAGGGTCTGTGGCGCCTCGATGGGATGTCTGGATTGAGAAGAAATCCGATGATGGCGCGATGACTATAGCATTCAAGGGTCAGATAGTGGTTCGAGCTTTTACGGAAACTTCTGCCCAGGGCGGAGAAGAATTCCAGTCACCGTTCTTCGGACTCCCTTCTTAAGGACAACTACTGGTGCCCTACCCATACCATAGACACTTGCCCTTTCAGTTCAATAAGAAACTTCCAAATGGCGTCTAATTTTGCCCCTACTGGCTGAAAATCTGTCACAGCACGCTGCCCGGGTCTGTGGTTTTGAATACCGCTGTTTGGGAAGAAACGCCTTCAAGTTAGGTGGAGCGGTCTACTGCATAAACTCTCATACTTTGCTCGAACCACGTCAACAAATTATGGACGCATGGGAGATGCAAGCAGCTATCAGTCTGTACATTATCTCTATTTACAGGTCTTATGACGAGGTGCGGCAATTCTGGAGTTCACTTGTCGAGCAATCGATACATATGCACAATACGCCTGGATCAAGCAATCAGCGAATTCTCTAAAATCATCACTGATGGCACCTCTCGCACTGGAAGTTTCCATTTCCTGTTTTGTGGCGTTGCCGGCCTACAGCTTTCGAACGCAGCTATCACTTTTGACTGCCGCCACCCATGCTCTCCGACCAGATCCTCGTGGCTCACTGCCACTTAAAAACCTCTCCCTTCAGATTCCATCCCTGCTTGATGGTCCAGCGCCATATCTCGCGAACCGTGGGCAGTGGTATACTCGCCGCCACCGCATCAAAGTCCTCCTCCGTGACCTTCTCACAGCCAGTCAACGCACCCATTACGCGTTCTTGGTAGAGCCGGTAACCTTGTTCCCAGAGAAAGTGCTTCGTGCCGTTATGGTACTGGCACCACTTCGGGCAGACACACAGTGCCTTTCGCCTTGCCTCTTCGTCACGATCGATGATAGCATCGGGGTGAGGTCGTATAGAGATGGAGCCGCATCTGGTCTTGAATTCTGGTTCTTTTCGTGGTTGAGGGCATAGTATTGCTGGGAGTGATGGAGATGATCTGATGGAAAGGCGTCGGATGCCGTAGGCTGGTAGAGAGACGGTACGGAAGTAGACTGGACTAGGAAGCTGGACCGACGACGCCATTGAGTACATGAGTGTTTTGAACACCTCGAAATTCCACCTGGAAGGTAGGTAGACGAGGTCACTTTTAATGGGTAACTTGAAGCTTCGGAAGAATAACAATCTGGTGTTGCGGATGAGCAGAAGAGAGAGGAATCTATGTGGCAGCTGGAGACGGTCATCTTGTAGTAATGTCCTTTCGGAGCTGAAAGTCTATGTTTCAAGCATTGATGCACTGTCTCGGGACAAGATCCAAGAAATTCGATCTTGGCCCAGGTACGTGAGTCAGAGACGTTCTAATCTAATGGTACAGTGACTCCGTTATGGTATACATCGTCTAAAGAGGGGCAAAGTCGATCTGAACAGTTGGTATGAGACAGAAACAGCTTGGAGTTCCTGCTTGTGGTGTAATAGTCAGTTGTTGCATGCGTTGAATACCGCGCTATCTTAGAAGAGGACAATGTCTGCTATACGTCAGCATCAGTGACCGTGACCATGATTGAAGGATATCGCGAAGACAATAGAGCACATTGAGGGCCAGAGACCTTTCCTAGAAATTTATGCTCATTGTTGCTGCCCTTACGATCGTAAAGATGAGTCCACGATGAATCTGTAATCATGTAGAGTTGTGAACGGCAGTAACGAGCTTAGCCCCATCAGATTGAGCAAGAACGAGTTGGAGGGTGCACGGCACAATCAAAATTGCCGTGTCTAAATGATCTTCAGACATGGAAGACCAGCTGATTACCTCACTCGCTCGGGGCAGGCGCAATCGTGGTTGAAAGTTGGAATGGCGACTCAATAAATTCGCTAGAAACACTAACCTCAATGAATAAAACCACCAGTTTCCCTATCAAGGCTTCTCAAACTCTACGCTCCTCGACAGAGGCGTATACCTGAAGCAGTTACAACTCGGTGGTGGCCGTATCGATGTTGATTGCAGCCACTTTCATGCCTACTGACACAAGACCTCGAGCTGAGAACAGGCCTCAGTACACGAATAACACATTGGTACGATGCTCATGCTAAGCGATATTGTTTACAAGCATCTTCTAGAACCTGGCTGAACCTCCGGATTCGCGTAGCACAAATTAACGAGATTGAATCAACACACAAGACCAAAGAAACTGAGACACATACGAAATGGAAAACAGTTTAATTAAGGACAAGCCAGCCTCAGGTAATTTCTTCCCACCACAATGGCGACGACGACGATACTTGGTATCATTGGTGATAGCTTTTCTCCTCTTCTGGAGGTTTCTGACGCCATCGAGTCATTCGAGTGGCCTTTCGCTTGCCCATCCAGGTCTAGGCGGCAAGGTAGACTGGTCGAGCTATGCATACTCACAGTACGCCACAAACCAGCACTACCTCTGCAACAGCTTGATGGTCTTCGATTCACTTCAGAAGCTCAAATCGCCTGCAGGCCGTCTGCTCTTCTACCCTAAAACATGGGATACAGACGTCAGCTCCAGCAAGGATCGTACCTCGCAATTACTGGTTCTCGCACGCGACAAGTACCACGTCAAGCTCCGTCCAGTCGAAATGTACACGGTAAAGCGCGAAACACAAGACGACGAAGAAACCTGGGACGCCAGCATCAATAAACTGCACGCCTGGAATCAGGGAGAATATCATCGCATAATCCACCTAGATTCAGACATCACTCTCCGCCAAAACATCGACGAGCTCTTCTTCCTCCCCCTCTCCCGCGGCTCGCCCATCGCCATGCCCCGCGCATACTGGAAACTCGACGAACCCACCCACCAAGGCGGTGGACCAAAACTCACCTCCCTCCTCATCGTCCTTGAGCCAACCCCCCACGAAGCCGGAACCCTCTGGGGCCTAGCATCCGGCCTCTCCGTCAACAACACCATCTCCACCTCTCCCACCACCTCCCTCTTCGACATGGAACTCCTCAACTCCCAGTACTCCCACACAGCCCTCACCCTTCCCCACCGCCCCTACGCCCTCATCACAGGTGAGTTCCGCCGCACCTCACCCACCAACCACACAACCTACCTCGGCAACACTCACGAATCCTTCTCCGCCGCCTCCATCCTCGCAGAAGCCAAACTCGTCCACTTCAGTGACTGGCCCCTCCCTAAACCCTGGATCATGTGGCCGAATAACCTGATGCGAGAGATCCGGCCAGAATGTGAGATTGATAATAACACGCCGAGTGAGAGGGGGTGTGAGAATAGGAAGGTGTGGATGGAGTTGTATGATGATTTTCGCAGGAGGAGGAAGGAGGTGTGTATGTTATTGAGTGTGCCGGCGCCGGAGTGGCCGCCGAGACTGAAAACGACAGAACGAAAGGGAGGCGGCATGGGTGAGTGAAGCGTTGGATACGTCTTCTGCGGAGTTGGTCAGTGGGAGGAGGCAATGGACGTTGAATCACGACTGGACAGTTCATTTAGGAATCGAGGGCATAGGTATAATCACTGCCGTCACTGCGAACCACTGTCAAGACTGACCTGCACCCCGACCACAGTCGAAGAACGTCTACGAAGCCAGGGAAGTATGAGTCTTGCTAAAGCACGAACGAGTCTCTGGTGGGCGAATGGAGAAAAAAAGACGGCTGCGTTTAAACGCATCAGCATTAACAAGTACCACCGTTCACACGCATTGAAACTCTTGATGTATAGCCTGACGGAACACGATCTGCTGTCGGACGAGAAAGAAGCTTTGAGTCAGGCACCACGTTCTCACAAGGACTGAAGACGAGTACGCGTGATACGACGAATGAACGAGGGCAAAGCAGAGATGTACACATTCGAAGCATCAATCCTCATTGCCTTTACAGAACATGCTTAGCATCAGCACAGTATCACAGTCAAAAAGTGGTACGCCGTCAAGCACCAACTTCGTATTTGGCATACTAGTACAGACGTCTCAGATCCTCACCCCAACTCTTCAGCTTCTCGATAGACAAACCCTGCTCATTCAGTCCACTTTCCCTCAGAACGTCATTGAGGGTGTTGTCGGGTAAATTCAGAAGCCCGCTTTCAACCATCTCGCCATCGACGAATCGGAAAGGCTCGTCAACCTCCCTAACTTCAGTGCTCCAGGCCCTGTATTTGGCCCATGGCATGTACCCAGGTGCGAGGACCCGAGTTGACAAGCAAGATTGTATGCGAAGCAGAGCATCGACATAGGTTGGGTTGATAGCACCTAGCAGATATATGCTGCCTTCGACCGTGGCTATAAATGCTTGAGGCCGTATCAGTGGGCCAGCATCTTCAGACTTCAGAGAAAATTGACGCTTAGGAGCCGTTGTGGTCGAGCCTGTTCGTCCTTTGCCCTTATTAGCAATTTCGGACGTTTGCGCTACAAATGTCGATTGCGACGAAACAATAGGCACAATCTTGTTAACAACTTCACCTAGCCGTAGTTCACCTGTGACTTCGAGCCGACGAGCCTCGTCACCATAGGCATCCGGATTTTGCCGCAGCATAGCAATATTTCCTTCTACATCTGCGAGTGCCCACTCTCGCTCTGCCACATTCGCGACGGCACTGGTCCAAAGAGTTGCAAAATGTCGAGCAACTTCTTCTGTCTCCCAGCCATTGCCATCTGTGCTATCTGGTGGAAGGATGTTGACGATGGAGACCGACTTCATCAGATCACCGACAGCAATGGTCATTGGGCGGTCTTCAGTGGCTGGCTGCACCGATAGAGATATTGGATTGGTCGAGGTTCGATAGGTGGTCAGCCGAGTAAGTGCGTAGCTAGGCTCGCCATAGTTTGACAATGCCATAGAAAATACAGCCACAACCTTCACCAAACCAGCTATCACCAACCCGTCACTGACTGCTATGCTTCGGCATGCACCCCTGGTCTTGACTTGGCTGACCAACTTTAGCTTCTGCCTCTTATTGTTAGCAGTGAAGACTAATATTCGACCACGATCTTCTTTCGAAACAGCACCGTTCTCTGGCATAATACTGGTGCCGACCACGAAAATGGAGTCATGATCTTCTGCCTCGACAGGATCATCGTCTTTGGATTGCTGTGGGAACGCCGCAATACATTCTACCAATTCGCCCTCGTCGAGCGCAAAAGTATCCAAGTCCTTGAACGTAATCTCGTCTGCAATCTTTACGAAACTGTGCAGCTCTTCGTGCGGTTGCTCTGCATCCTGTTCCAAAGTGCGCTTGATTGTGCCCATACCAAACATTTTCAGTTCCGACTGGTAAGCCAAACATCTGACTGTTTCTCCAATGTGCAGGGTCTGTATCTGTGTGGTTCGTGTGGTATCGATCAATGCTAGCTTGAGATCATCGGCCGATGCTACTGCGATGGCACCAGGATATGCTTCCGAGTTGAAAGGACACACTCGTGCGGCTTGCTCGGAATTGATTGCTGAATACAGTATTCTGCCATCAGAAGCATATATTAGTGACGGTTGCTCGCAGGAAGCGAACATATTAATTAGAGTCTGGCCATTCTCTGTTGCCCTGGGTAGAGCTTTCAGGAACACTGGTTCTGAGCCAAGCTGTATCCGAGTCATACTCGAGAATGCTAGGTTAGCTGCATCGAATTGGAATGTGATTACCGTGCCATCTGCCATAGAGACGAACAACGTGGGTGCGCCATCAGGCAGAATTTGTGCCAGGAGTATGGTACGTGGCACATCAATCCCAGGTGTGCCCAAGGATTCCTGCGACAAGATTTCCAAAGAGTGCAGATCGAGTAAGGCTAAGGAAGCACTTTGCCAATAGCTGACTATGCATATATTGCTATTCGTCTGTGATATGGCAACTCCTGAGATTTGTGAACCAGCTTCGAAAGTCTTTGAAGCAGTAGGACCATCGGTCCGATCGGAGGTATGGAAGACGTGTATAGTCCGGCCATCCTCGATGACAAGAACATGAGCACCATTTGCAGCTGCTCCTGTAATTTGGGCCGTCGAAGTGGAAGGTTTCCACTGGAAGACAGTCATACCTGAATCGAGATCGGCTATACACATACCTGAATCATGTACCTGAAGTATTTTTTGACCGGGCAGATTTGTTGCTAATAGCGTAGGCTCTGCTAGCTCGAAACTGTAGAATTCTTCGACTTCTTCAACAGCCGCATCTGCGTCAAACTTGAAGACTCTCGTTTCTGTAGCAAAAGAAGTGACTAGCACATCGTGCTGGTCACTACGATTTGTTGAGCTTAGAGCCCACATATCTGCAATTAGTGGAATCTCAGCAATCTCACCTATCTCTTCCATGCCAACACCACTTCTCACACTTCGAATGGAGCCATCCTGCCAAGCACCAGAACATGTTACGAGCCTTGCCTGGCCAGTAGAGAATTCGCCTGACTGCATGGCAGACTCGACACCTCGTCCCAGATCCATCAATTGCACGTCCAAGATAGGAGCTATGTTTGACAGGGTCTGAACCACATCGATGCCGCCCTCGTGGATACGTAGGACCTGAGAGTCACCCGAATGAGAACCGACAAAAACGAGGCCTTCATCCAAGTATATTAAGCAGGAAGCCTTTGAAGCATGACCTAAGCGATCCAACTTCCAATTCTTCACACTGGCTCTGTCCTTGGTAAGAAGCATGAGAAAGTACAAGTCTCCATAATCGTCAGCAATCAGCCATCTCAAGTCATCAACTTTCGTCCAGCATGCCCAAGCCGTCGCACTTTCGCCCAGGGGCTGAGTATAAAACTGACTGAGTTCGGAGTTGGTGTAGGCTATTGATCGTTCTCCCAGAATTAGGAAGCCTCCATAGGGATGAGAGACAGGTATGATATGGGAAACACCTCTATCAAGTTGGTCGGCATCCCTCAGCTCGAACTTCGTCTGTAGCTCGGCAAGTGGCTGTTCACCTGCTGTGGAATACTTTAGTTCCAGAACTTTGAGCTGGGGCTCGTTCTGATTGTCCTCCCAGAGCAGTGCTAGAGAAGGGTTGTCCTGGTCATCCTCTTCAGTATCGGCGAAGGTCGAGGCCCGGATTGCGATCTCTTCTACGCGGACGGCAATAGGTTCGCCCAATGTTCCTGGCACATCAGGAGAGGTGGCAGACGAGTCTCGTCGCAGTTTTTTCGTGGTGGATTGCACCAGCGGAATGACTGTAATTATACCGTCAAGCAATTCCAGGGTCATGAACCGTCTCGTAGGATCGATGTGGACTCTGTCGTTGTTTCTCGTGTCTGACGCTGTGCGGTCTGCCTGGTCGACATAACTCTGCTCTGTCTTGAGATCGTTGGACTGGGCATCCCATGAACAGGTGAAATACTGATGGCGGTCAGTGCCAACGAAGAGATGGTCTACTGCAGAGTTTTTCGGGCAGATGGCCTCCAGCATGATAATGTAGCCATAGACAGCTCTTGAGTGAAGGAGGATTAGGCCTGACTCTGGAGAGAAGGTATAAATTTCCAGACGATTGGCCTTCCTGAATCACAATCAGCCATCCTATCGTTCCGTATGACTGGAGCAGTCACTTACGCAACAACCAAAGCCTCGCTCTGTTGCCCAAGAAGATTGAGCTTCAGAGCGAGTCGAGCACCACTGGGGCGGTGGATAGGTACAATGTAAGACATGGCTATTGGTATAGAGTGGAGGTATAGCTATCAATAGATCTCGTGAGGCAGCTTGAGCAGGCGTGCCATGGACACTGTGAACATCAACTTTGGAAGAACAGAAAACAGCTATTCATTAGCAGCATAATCATTGAACAACGAGGCTGTCATCAATCCTACGGAATCTGTATGCCCGAGCAGAACATCGACCTGTGCTGATCTGGAAGCCGCAGGCCGGCACTAAATTACGTCCGTTTGAAGTTGAAGATGTCATATTCCGTATCCGAGAACGACCAACGCGTGCCTGCCGGGTTGCGTGTCAATCATGCCAAGGTCTATAGTGTAGCAACCAGGAACGAGAAATCTTTCTCACACAACTACTGGAATGTACGGGCCGGGTTTTTCTCACTCTTTACCACCTAACCAGCGATATACTACTGAAAAGTCCTTGCCTTTGTGCTCTTTCTCAGTCAGTTCATAAACTGACTTGGCAACTTCGGCGAGCACCAGCTTCGCACTAGCCTCATCTGCCGCTTTTATGGCCAATCTCAAATCTTTGCACATCAGACTTACACCAAATCCTCCGTTGTAGTCTCTGCTTGATGGCGAGTTCTCGTTCACACCAGGCACAGGAGGATTGACTTCCGACGGCCAACTCTTACCAGTGGCAGAGTTCAGCAGATTTGCCAATGCCTTGGCTTCGATGCCCCATTTGATACCCAGGTTGAAAGCCTCAGCCGCGGCTATGTTGTTGATGGCCAGGGCATAGTTGTTTGCCAATTTTCCACTCAGTCCGGTGCCTTGAACTCCCATGTGCCACACCTTCTTGCCCATAAGAAGCAATATTGGCTCAATCCTAGACATCAACGCTGCATCGGCCCCGACCATGAACGTGAGAGTGCCAGCGGCTGCGCCGACCACACCGCCAGACATTGGCGCATCCACGAAATCCGCATTGCTCTTGTCCTTGACCAGCTGTGCCACTTCTCTCGATGTCGTAGGGTCGATTGTCGAGCAATCAACATAGATGCGTGTTTTTTCTGATGGTGGAGAAGGGATTGTCTCTGCGAGTATATCTTGAAAGACTGACTTGACATGCTGGGGCTCGGGTAAGGCCGTTATTATGTGGTCCTGAGATCTCAGTCAGCAAACACGTCTTACTCATGGTTCCCAGGCGTAGACACAAGAGATGCTATTTCAGAGGATTGGCTTTAGGTATTAAATAATCACGATAAGAGCATGACCCGAGAGCCATGCCCCCAACTTAGATCATGGATAGAACAATAACACTCATCATATGGTTGAATAACTGAATGGAGAACAACTCACCGACTTGTGTGCGACCTCTCGAGGCGAAGCAGCTATATGCAGATTGTCTGAGGAGGACTCAGATTTGAGCTTGTCAAGTGCTGAAGTGTTCACATCGTACACAGTCAATATGTCTGACGTCGGCAGCTTTGCTCGTAAGTTCTTAGCCATGGGGTAGCCTTGCAGTGAGTTAGACTCTCGTCACGTATGTCTGATTGCAGCTGAAGCTCACCCATGGCTCCGAGACCGATAAACCCCCATGATGCATCACGCGATGTACTCCGGGAAAACCGTCGGGTGGAGAGCTTGTAGATAGAGGATGTGCTGCGCCGAAAAGCTGAGCTGCATATCGACGCGCTCATGGTTATGGTGGTAGTGGTTGTTGCTTTCTCAGCATGCTTGGGAAAGCCATGCTCAGAACTGGTGCAGGCGGCTGCTGGAAGAGAAAGATAATCTGCGGAGAGCTAGCCGAGGAAGTTGCTTTCCTTGTTGGCTCTTGGCGCCTATACAAAACCTGCCGATATCGAGCTCCTAGAGGTCAAGAATGAACATCTCTCAGACAAATTTGTTGTCGTCTTTCATGCAAAGCCATAAAGAAACCGCCTCCGTCTTGCAATGGAAAATACACGCCAGAACCATTCGTCCATGGCTGTGAAGTGTAGGAAGCACAGAACCATTTTTACTGTTGTGGGTATTCAAACAAGGCTGTTTCCGCAAGGCTCAGACGCGTGTCTGCGTAGGGAAGGCACTGTCCGCCTGTGCCGTCAGAACCAATCACGTTAGATCTTCACTACAGCCATAACTTTTCGAGGGCTGAAAGTGGTCCTACACACCCTTGCATGTTCGGCAGCAACAATGAATTCAGCATTCTCGCGTTAGCTCACTAACCGTATCGACAAAAAGACCATCGACCGATATCCTCCTGCGAACCCGCTTCTACTGCCCGACCGCGCCAACTAAGAGACGATGCGGACATGGCTGCCATCTCTGGCCCTGCTAGCATGTTTCATTACTTGTGTGTTCGGCAATGAGGTGACTATAGTATGTCGGCCTATACTACTGCACGACTTGCGCTAACATGGCTCAGAAACAGGACGATGATCACCGTCAACGATGTTCTGGCATGTACAGCAGAAAGTCCTGGGGAGGTTCAGTCGACCCCTTCATTCTTGTTAAATTCCTCGGCGATCGGACAGACGACAACAGCAATCCTATGGCAAGCTTGGTCATATTCGAATGGCAGGACGAGGACCTGATCGGCCGTTTCCCTCCAAGCGCTGAGCAGTTTGCCGAGAAAGACTATATTTGTGATCAGCCTGCGGTAGACCAAGAGTTGTGCAAGGAAGAGGATATCGGCGCTTTCATCTTGGAACCAAATGCAACAGCAGTCTCGAGAAACCCCATCTACAACGAAGCCATTCATCTCAAGGACCCCAAAGCAGTCAACTATCCCGTCAAGAAGACTGGTTACTACTGCGTAACCACATACCCCTACTCGGATCATGAATACACTGCTGTCGTCGAGTTTCGCAACGCCTATGGAGAATTACCTGCCGCTCAGATTGCCAAACTGCCTTTCTACGGCGGTCTGGCTATTGCATACGCTGTTATGGGCATCTTCTGGGCCTTCCTCTATGTGCAAAACAGGCACGACATCCTGGCTGTCCAGAACTACATCACGGCCACCCTGATCTTCTTGATCGTCGAGCAGCTGATGACTTGGGGCTATTACGACTACCAAAACTCGCATGGCAACAATGGCTTGAACAAAGCCTTCATGGTGCTTGTTTCCATCCTGAATGCCGGACGCAACTCCCTCTCCTTCTTTCTCCTTCTAATTGTTTGTATGGGCTACGGCGTAGTCAAGCCGACCCTTGGCAAACTGATGATCTATATCCGCATTCTCGCCATCACCCACTTTGTCTTCGGCGTCATATATGCCGTGGCCTCCCTCTCAGTCACTCCTGACAGTGCCGGGCCTCTGGTCCTTCTTGTTATCCTTCCATTGGCTGCCACCCTAACTGCTTTCTATGTCTGGACTCTGTCGTCCCTCAATATGACCATGAAAGACTTGGCCGATCGCAAGCAAAAGACAAAGTTTTTGATGTATAAACGGCTATGGTGGTGCCTCTTAGGCAGCATTATGGTCATCTTTGGCTTCTTCTTCATCAACAGCGTCTCATTTGCTGGCCGGTACGAGGCAGATTTCGTCCCAAATCATTGGCAGACACGCTGGTTCATCCTCGATGGATGGCTCAACCTCGTTTATCTCTTCGACATTGCCTTTATTGCATATCTTTGGCGACCCACCGCAAACAACAGAAGATTTGCCATGTCAGATGAGGTACGTATCTATCCTGTGTCGCGCCGCAATCCAGCTAATCAATTCAGATTGCCCAAGATGACGATGGCAACTTCGAGTTCCGTTCCATCGGTGGTCTCTCAGATGATGAAGACGAAGACGTTGAATCACGTGCACAGCGCAAGATGCATGACCGAGCTGTATCGCCAGGTGGGCCAGCTGCAACCTCAATCACGGATCAAGCATTTGCGCCTTCAGCTCGAGACCATCAGTTACCCTCGTCGAAACCTCCAACCCGGCCGAGGGAGTCTTTAGATGGTGAGACCATTTTTGCAGTGGGCGAAGGCGAAGACTGGTCGGATGCAGACGACTCTGACACTGGAGAGCACGGACGATTGACCAAGAAAATATAGTTAATGCCTGTTTTTTATGTACAACATACCAAAGATCTATCACTTCTTTAACGTATCCCCTCGTCTTCCGATCTGCTGCTCTTCATGTCCCCCTCTAGCTGTAACACCTCCTTGCACACATCGCCTGTGTATAATGGTCGTGATCGATCGTCGCAAGACGTTGCATGAACCACATCCGATGTGAAGAAGTAGCACATGCAGAAGTATTTTCGAAACAAGTGTCGATTCGACAACCAGATCTCGATACTCAAAACTAGTGCATGCATCTTCCGCAACAGAACAAGGCAGGCGTACGAATGACTCCATTGTCTTGCTGATTGGGTTCCTGCTAATCCCTGCACTTCTTCGGCGCTAGTCTACCTCTTCAATCTGACACAGAATGCGAAGTGGACGTTGGCGGCAAACAGGAAGCAATGTGGAAGTCGACCACGCCAGCCACACGAAGTAAGAACGTATCGGGGACGTACTGGAATCATCGCAGTACCTGACCCAATGCACTTAACGGCTGAATCAATGCGCTTCAACAACATCTCGATCCTGCATCACTCGCTTCGGACATGCCGCTAACCTTTCTAGCGTCTTATATAAGCGAGAGCGTAGTTTCTGCATGGGTCGTTTCTCCAAAACGTGGCATCCTCCCCTGTACACCTTTAACAGCCTAACCGTGATATACTGAATCGAAAGCTGGTCCGTGCCCTTGACCACGACCCGACTGCATAGTTCCAAGGTTCGGCAATGCAAGAAGGAACTCCCAGCAGGTTGTTACCTCTCTAGTCCCAGCAGGCGCGAGCCCAAAAAATACAAGCTATCAGAAACGAGTGTGGGTGGCGCTTTTAGCTAATCCTCAGCTCACTAGCCGGAACGCTGGTGATGAAACTTCGATGCACTTCTGAGGCCTTCAATCAACACTCTTCCATCGTACTCCGTACTAAGTGGTATCTGCTCGTGTCTAATCATTCACACGACCGTGGCCTCCCCGGATCGACGATAGCCTTTACCACTGCTCTAGGCTAGGCCTCGGAACTTCAAACATTTCGACAAAGTGCTGACATGATTGCCAGAACTTGGGACATTCACGAAATGAGATCTCAACTCGGATACCGGATGACTTTGTGGTTCTACCTCTGTCCAATCAACTTCGCCTTTGACCGAAAAACCAACTATTCCTTTCCCCTCTCGGCTGACTGCCAGTAATCATGCCTTTATCAAACTTTGCTGCTACTCACATGTGTCCCGAGCTACTGGGTGGAAAGTACGGCTTCTAATAGCGAGCTATGGAACATGGTCAGCTCCACCTCCACACAAAACGACACCGGCTGAAACGTCCTAAGCAACTTGCAATGCTGCTTTACCCAAACGTGTCAGAGCATCCACCAAGACCTATTTCCCTCATTTGGCAAGTCCACTTAGGCAGATGGTCCTGTGTGGACGATTGCCATCCCCTCCACGAACTACTGCGTGGAGGCTCTTTCTATCACAAGATCCGATGTTAGCTAATTGGCACTTGTTGGGCGTAATGCATTCAACCTATCCCCTCTTCGAAGGTTGGCGCCTCGGCTAGGAGTCTTTACTTGCACTATAAAAGGTAGGTCTGCAAATCTTAATCTACATTGAGCACGTCCTGTGAGCTGTGACAGGCACGCTCGATTCGTTCGCTGACTGATTGAGGCTAAGCTGTCCGTTTGCTAACCAAGCTTCCAGCTGGCCACCGCACTTGGCCCAAGATATCTCTCTAGGACCTTTCGCCTTTGGAAGAGCCAGGTGCGTAGGGATTGATTCTATCTTGGCACTCTGGTATCCGTAGAGGCTTTGTGACGTGTGAGTTCCAAACCTGTACTGGTAGAGCTGAAAGAGTGAAGGTAAAGCCTTCCACTCGCCTCCTGTTTCTATTGATAACCCGCAGACGCCTCAAAGCAGAGCGTTCTATCTCAAAATAGGTTAAACCGGTGACTCCCGCAACTCAGATTATGTTTATGTCGAGCACTTTCTACTCGTACGGCGGAGCTCAGTCCCTTCTGGTTCCAACAACTTGAACTTGTACATCGTCCTCACTGGAACCTGCGCATACACTTGGTCGTTTGGAGGGGCATAAGGCTCGCACTAACAACGTCTACAAATCACACATCAACGTGGATCTTTTTAGAGGAAGACAGACTTGGCATTTGAGCATTAGTTATTTTTTTGGACGACCTGGCCGCGGGAATGCCTTGATTCTTTCAGTACAACTCTCTACAAGGCAGATCAGAGGACGTCGTTCTGAATCCAGCGGCTTCCAGCTACCCAAGGCATTCTACAGAAAGGTCCATTGAGGTGAAAGCACATATGCTCAAAAGCAAGGCCTCTGGTCCTTTGAGCCGCTCTCCAGGGCAGTCAATGGCTGGACCAGGGGGCGGCCCTCCCAGAAAGAGCCACACCAAATCTCGAAAAGGCTGTCGCATGTGTAAGAAGCGTCACATCCGTTGCGACGAAAGTTTCCCACAATGGTAAGCGTTCTGTGATGTAAGCGATCGAGGCATGTCTAAGAGATATACTAGTCGCAACTGCACCAAACATTCAGTACGTTGTGACTACATGGACGTGTCGAAGGCTGGGGACGAACCTGCCAAGGGCTCGAGTCCTCCTAATCTACTGACCTCACCTGAGCTGCAGCCAATCCTAGATAATTGGCGCTTGAACGGACAACCGCCTCTTGTCGAGCTTCAAACAGGTGACCCATCCTACTGGACAAGATTTTCCACCATCGATTTGCGTCTCATCCACCACATCACTCTGTTATCGTCGGATCTTTACAGGAGAGGTTACAGTCAGTGTACACCATGGACTTCCAAAATGTCAAAGTGAGTGCTCAACACATGTCAAGTACAGCTATCTGACAAACCCAGTCTAATATCTGTGGCATTGTCGAACGATTTCGCGATGAGTGCACTACTTGCATTCTCGGCAACGCATTTATCGTGGCAGACCAAGAATAGTGATACTGAACACCTGGCATATCACCACAGAGGAATTGCATTGAAAGGCTTGCATGAAGCACTAGGATCCTTTTCCGAACAGATATCCGAAGCAGTACTGGCGGCGTCAATTCTGCTTGCATGGCAAGCCACGGAATGGTAGCTACACCTCAATTTGTGGACTTTGAATACATACTGAATCATTTCTAACAGGCAAGCATGGGCATCACTACAGCAGGGCGTCTCAACTGTTCGTATTCTGTTGATGGCATATAGAGCTTGCTCAATTAACAACGATACAGGTAATGACCGCGATGCGACAATGGGCGCATCAATCAGAATTAGCAAAGTTCCTCGATAGTCAGCGACTGCTTGCCCGAACGAGAGCACCTACAACCCCATCACTTACCGGACTACCACCTCAGCAGCCTGCGTCGGAAGACCTGCAAATGCTCGATCAAATCGTAGCGGCCTTACACAACCTTCGACTGCGGATATCCAGCTACACAGAGCTTGTCGAATATGTGGATGAAGCACTTGAGTATGTTGAGCAACTACAACAGGACTATCCACTGCACGGTCCTGTCGAATGTTTCGAGCGACTATTACAGTTTCGATCTATGATATTCTGGATACCTACGGTCATTCTTCGACCTGAAGAACTGGATCTAGGTGCTTTAGCGGTCATGGCTCATCTTTACTCGTTGGCCCTTGTGCTAGAACCACTATTTGCAGAATGTGGTGGTGTATATCTGGGAAACATATCACTTGACCCACTCGAGAAGGTCTGTCAAACAATTCAAGCCAGAAGTGCAGCGGCACCACAAGATACAAGTGTGCAGACTGCGCTCTCCATGTTAGATGTGCCCATACAGATTGCGCATAACTATCGCGCAAGTCGTCGGGTAATAACGAGTCCGACAATTCCATATCCATATGTACCTCGCTCGACTGCGTCCCAGGGCAGTTACGACGCTCAGCCTTACGCTTTATCTTCACCTTCAGATCTTTCTCGACACGCTGCATATCCAGGATCTACTCTACAGAGCCCGATCATGCTCCACAATGCCTATCCTATCGGCAGTTTTCAGAACAACACTCCTGTTCGACACAACTCACTACCAATCCGAACACAATCAGACCCTAGACTCAACATGGGTTCACCACTACAGACTCTCTCATCGCAACAAAACCATCCCGGAAACCCGGCCGGCGGTACGGATTATTTTACAGGTACATCGAATTACTCTGTCATGCCCAGCTACGGCAGCATGCATGACTACTCGAACCGGTTCGTTCCGCCTCCTCTTTCTTCTCAAGTCTGGACTTGATGTCATGTTGATGGTTTGTGTTCATGATTCAAGAACTCTGAATAATGTTTTGATTCTCTTAAGCAGACAGCCACATTTTCCGAGACCTATCGTGCCTTCGAACTCACCCTACGATACATTCCCTCCTCCGAATCAGAGTGCGACATTGCATAACAACATGCAAGGTTATAGAGGATGATCAGTAACTAGCAGAGGCAACGGATCATGACTGAAAGCACCGAGACCTCGACCAAGCAACGGCAGTACCCAACCGCTCCCTACTGGTCACATGACATTTACTCGAGGATAGCTCTTCACGACCGAGCATCGACTAGTAGAGTCAAGATGGGTATCGAAGGCACAGATCTGGTACGCCAGTTGCAGTAGACGACCAAGCGCACGATTTCGCAGAGTCTAAGCAACATCACAGTCGTACCGACATTGAAGAAACGCCGATCGTGCCCCAACAGGGTCCGTGGTGGATAGCAGTGGAACGAAAAAGAGGATGAATTCAAGCATAAAGCAAAGATATGCCGTGTTGGCACCCAAGTGGTCCCAGCTTTGACCATCCTGACAGGTACAAGTGTGCATCCTGGTTTGAGGAGGTGAACCATCCCATGAAGGGGTGGAACACATCTCGAAGCGGACACGACCTCAAATGTCCTCTCTGCACATACCCTTGGCTTCTCCCGAGGAACAGACAATTGACCGCTGGAAAGCCCCAAATCCCCCGAACACGTGATTTGAGGATATGCGTGTCGAGGCTCAAGGCCGATTCTTACGAGAAGTGACTACCTAAATACTAGCAGTATAGCCTCTAGGTTTGACTCAAGTTGAGAGCATAAACTTAAACCCCGAGGTGTGTAGCTGTGGTTGCTTACGTTATTGACCAACATAGCACGCAAAATGTCCAGTGCGAGAGATGCTACAAATTGTGTGGTTTTCATCTCTCTACTATATTCATCTAGCTTCCTCATCTTGTCTCGTCTCTTGCTCGATCCATTGCCCTCTTGAGCGACAATTTCCATACCACCGTCTTCCACTGCTGCAGCAGCTCACCTCTGCCCAAGTCTCTGATCCTTTCGCATACTCACGCCCTCACTGCCTACCCATCCCCAAAAGCGACCCCATAAGTAAACACTCGCACCTCTCCCCTCCCTCAACCCAGCCCTCCCTAGCCGGTAAACACAACAATCCATTCGCGCCACCCACACTTCCAACACGACTACTTCTCTGCATGCCCGTGCTCACAGCCACTAACCCTCCTATCCCCTTATCGAAAGATACAGTACATCGGTGATATTCCGGTCTACTTTTGTCGCAGCGCACGCGACCCGCAAGTGTGACGAGGATGCGTTCGAGGCCGTGTGGCTCAGGGAGACCGGCGAGTTTCTGGAGGGAAGGGAGGAGGAAGAGATTCGCTGTGACGAGGGCGCTGGCTGGGTTTCCGGGGAGGGCAAAGATGAGGCGGGATCGGCGGTGGCTTGGGTCGCTTGTGCCCGTTGTGGACGTCGCTGCTTTGACAGGAATGGTGGCGAACGTGGTGGGTTTTCCAGGTTTCATGTTCACCCTGCCGAAATGGATCGTGCCGCCTAGTGAGCGCTCGATTGTGGGCTTGAGGAGATCGAGCTCGCCCATGCTGACGCCTCCTGTGGTGATCACGACATCGAGGTTAAGTTGTCCGTAGGCATGGCGGAGTTTCGTCTCGAGTTCCGAGTGTGGTGTGTCGCGGGCTATACCGAGGTCGATGACTTCGTCGCAGAGATGCCATGAGGTGATTAGGGCGAGGAGAGAGGGTCGGTTGGAGTCGCGGATCATGCCGCCTGTGAGAGGGCCGGGATGGGAAATGTCTGTGACTTCGTCGCCGGTGCTGAGGACTCCGATGCGAGGGCGGCGGTAGACTGGGACGGTGCGTGTGCCTGATGCTGCGAGGACGCCGATTTCGCCGCCGAGAGGGGAGATGCGGTCGCCTTTTTGGAGGATGGTGGTGTTGAGGAGGATGTCGGAACCTGGCTCGCGGATGTTCTCGCCTGGTGTGAGGTCGGCTGTAAGGATGGTGACTTCTTTCTCTTCTGAGTTGTCTCCTTCTGTCAAAGAGGCTATGGTTGTGTCTTCGACCATGACTACTGCGTTGGCACCTTCGGGTAGTGGAGCTCCTGTTGTGATTCGTGCTATCTCGCCTGCTTTCAAGAGTGGTGGCATGCTACTCGCTTGAGCATGGCTGACTGAGGCTACTGGAAATGTGCCTTTTAGCCTGTTGCGCTCAGATACGGCCTCGGGCACGATGACTGCATATCCATCGACTATGCTGGCGCGATAGGCTGGAACTGCTTCTGGAGCTTTGATGTCGGATGAGACGATGCAGCCGACCAAGTCTGTCGAGAAGGGACGTTCCTCTGCTGTTGGTGAGGGAGTATTCTGCAAAATCATAGCGACTGCATCAGTCACCGAGAGCATAGGGTAAGGTGACTGACGAGCTCGGTGAGAAGCGCCCAGACGTGGATCATTGGACTGAGGAGGACGTTCTGATGGAGTTGTGTGAGCTTTCGGTACTTTGTGCCCACCATGGTCATGGTTGTGATCGTGCGAATGTGTATGAGCATTCGATACTACTGTTGCTTGTGCACCCACTCCTACGCCAGCATCCTTCTCCAGCTTCTCCGTACCTCCAGCATGAGCTTGTCGAGAGTTCTCTCCTGCAGCTTGGGAGCATGCATGAGGTAGTAACTTGATGATCGACTGTAGGTTCTCCTTCGCGCCCTTTGGCGATCCAGGCAAAGTGACGATGATTGTCCTGTTCCTCACTCCAGCTACGGGTCTGCTCATCGCCGCAAATGGGGTAACTTGTAGACTTGCAGACAGCATTCCATGCACTAGGCCCGGCGCATGTCGATGTAGTAGCGGGCCTACTGCCTCTGGTGTGTTGTCCTTTGGAGTGAAACCTGTGCCGCCTGTGGTTACGATTAGATTTTTGAAATCTCCTCCGTCAGTCCAGGTCTTGATGACGTTTTGTATCTGTTCTTTGTTGTCGGGAACGATCTTGATCGCCAGGTGGTTAGTTGCCTGCCATTTCTGATCGCCTTCGTCTCTGAAGACTTCACTGAGCACCGCAGCTGATTTGTCCGTGCTTGGATCTCGAGATGCAGTATCGGAGACAACAAGGATGGCTGCATGCAGTGGTTGAGACATTGTTTTTTCAATTTAGATAACTGGTCTCGGGGTCTCTTTCAATCTCTTATGAGCAGCATGACGCGACGTGCCTTGTTACTGTAGTGCATATGTGATGTGTTGGTCCCTGGCGCTCTGACTTTACAATGGAAGTGATGCAAAGACCTCAATTAATGTCATGCAATCAGCTTCCGGCGGAATAAACCTTGTGGTTGCAGACCTGAGAGTGACGTTGCAGCTTAAGTAGATCTATAGAGGAAAATATTGATGCGAGACGTGTATATGTGTTTGTGCATTGATGGTGCTTCACAGGGCCTGACAAGCAGGTACAGATATGTCCAGGAGCACGATCGCTTGGGTATTTCGGGCACCTCCCGCCTAGACTATGTCCGAGAAGAACCCTCAGACTACTAACCCACATCACCCAATGCTCATATTATCGAAGCATACTCTGGTGTTTCGGACAAACACACAGCACATCGACCGAAGCTGAAGGGATTTACAAGTACAACTGCAACTAGAACGATTCGCGACAACGACGAAGCTTACACGTAGATCATGTATCTCATTGACTCAATTCGGTCGTAAAACTATATACTCGATACGCAGCGCTAAGCATAGATGGTCGATCAACAAACACATCATGCTATTTATCAGAATCCCCGTTCACGCCAGACGCAAAATCTAGGCTGTGAATCTTAGCATTGGTCAGCTCAGGGCTCTCAACCCTCACACCGGGATTAGGCTGTAAGGGCTGTTCTGTGGATACATCATCTGTAAGAGGGCTTCCTGGTACCGCGTCGAGAGGTGCTGCATGTAAAGCCGGCTTTTCGCTGACAACCATTTTGCCTGCGCGTTTTCTTTCTAGTGCTTCTTTGACCCAGTCAGCAACTTCTTTGTCTGCGGTAGTGGGCAGAGATTCTATCTCGGCGCCGGCATCGCCTCCAGCTTCGGCGGCTTTTTCAGCTTCCTCATCCTCAGAGATAGTTGGGACTTTCATCAATGGTGCCAGCCAAGCATGTCGAAGGAGCATAGCATAGGTCGGTCGGAGTCTGGGCACCTTGTTGAGACAGCCTCTGACAAAGTCTCTCGCTGCTTCTGAATACTTGTCGCTGGGAAGGTCTGGTGGTTCTCCATCCACAATTGCCTAAGACAGTTAGTATTGATTCAGACGACAGAGTTTGGGGGTGAGCTTACGCTTAATTGACTGAAAATATTGTTGTATGTTTCTGGAGGGTATGGGTATCTGCCAAGAGCGCATTCGATGATGGTAAGACCAAGCGACCATATGTCCGACTGTACGCTGTATGAACCGGTGGCCACGGCGCCTGCAGCAGCCATGCCACCTCCAGATATCCTTTCTGGAGCCATGTAGCTTTGACAACCAATGTTGGTCCTTGCCATCGAGGCCACCAGGTTACCACTGACTCCGAAATCGCAGATCTTGACCTGGCCCTTTGTGTTGACCAGTATATTTGTTGGCTTGACATCTCTGTGTATAATATTGTGGGTGTCTTTCAGATATTTCAGACCCATGACTGTCGACAGGGTAATTTTCCTCAATACTCCTTCGGGGACGCCATCGCCGTAGATTTTGTCTATCGAACCACCATCCATATTTTCCAAACATATATAGACCGAACCTTCCTGGAAGAAGGCACCGTAGAAGTCGATGATAAATGGTGACACGCAGCGATGCAGTATGTCAAGTTCCATAACGATCTGAGCAAATTTGGAGTCGTCCAGCTCGAGACGGATCTCCTTCATGGCCATGATCAAGCCAGAAGTACCGGCGGTCGACTTTGACTCGTCTAGACTGGATGTTGAAATATGGCGCTGCATGTTGCCTCGGAGCCCTTGACCAGGTTTCCTCATCTTGGGACGAGCATGCCTTACTTTAAAGACAGTACCATAATTGCCTTTTCCCAGCTCTTCAATGGTATCGACTTCGTCTAACGATATGGAAAAGGTGGTTCCGTTCGAGAAGTCGATACCACCTCCATGCACAACAGCTTTGTCCTTGAAAGTGAGGGTGCCTTTCTGAGCGTCGACAATATTTGCAAACTTGTTGAACTGAGAGCCAGTATCAGTGGTGGTAGGAGTTTCACCTTCGGCCGGGGGTTTGACGGCATCAGAAAGTTTTAGACCTCCTCCTGGTTTGCCCATTCTCTTTGCGGCCAAACCACCCATAGGGCCCCGTGGATTTAAAGGTCGTGGACTGCTGGGGGTAGGAGCTGCTATTGGAGGAGCGCGGCCATCGAGAACACTGGCAGGAACACCCCCAGGAAGCCCTGTGGTTTGTACGTTTGTGGTAGATGGAGGCTGCGAGGCTGGTGGACCAGGACGTGGACTCTGAGCTGCACCTTGCCGGGACAACATCATCTCTTTCATCCTTTTCTGGATATCACTGGTCAGGTTACTGGCTCGCGGTGGACCAACACCTGGCCTTCTGGCAGCATTGATGTTGCCCAAAGGAGAGGATGTTGCCGACATGGTAGGTGCAGCTGTGGTGGGAGGGGATCGCAGTGATGGTGGTTTCACTGCATCGGCGTCACCGTTCGTAGTTGGTTCGAGAGAACGAGGAGGCTGCTCCGTGAGCTGTTGGGGGTCGGCCATGGTGAAGTTGGATGAATAGTAAGTAATCAGTCACTCGTCTTCTCCTGCTCTTTTAATCTTCGAGCTACCACAACTGCCACGTTCTACTGGATTAGTAGACCACTGACTGGTCTGCGCCTATGCGCGTGGAAGCTGAGAACAAAAGAGCATCAACTGTGAGGGCAGCAGCCCTGCTCTCGAGGCAAAGGCGAATTTACGGCCCGACAATTTTCGAGGCTTCGGGGGCTCTTGAATCACGTTGAACCAGTATAGGCAGAAGCTGCAACACTGGTCGCTCCTTCCACGCTAGATTATTTGGGCATTCAACCAGGAATCTTGGTCAGCAAATTACGAGTACTACTCGAGTTCCAAAGGGAGAACCTTTTTGCCACGCGGTGGATGACTACGCTAAGGTTCGTAACCTTTTGGCGTAGATTCACAACAATGGTGCAGAGAACAATAATCATAGATCGGGAGAAGTGGGACAATCGACTGTCGTCACGGCCGCGGACTGGTGCAGCCACTGCACATCACCAATGCTCGATCGTCGTTTCTTACCGACCACTTGAGGTACAGAGAAGTTGGCAAGTTATGCTCGAAATAGCACGTAAAATTCAGCCCAAGGTACACAGCTGTTGTTGGTTGTGGGACACATGAAATGTGCCTAACGAAACAATTGATGAAATTACTGGCTGTTAAAGATCGCAGAGCCGCCCTGCCGCCAAGCGATATACAATCCTTGCAGAACAAAGTATCCCCAGCTTTGACCATTCCGGTGCACGAGGTGAGGCCATTTTTGAAGATTATCGAAACTTGACTCTCGGAGAAAACCCATATGTTGAATATCGAGCGTCTCTTAGACCCATACACGTTGATTCATGTCTGTAATTCAGCCTGATACTGAACCTGATTCTGAAAGTCATGAAAGATTGTGATTGCTCCGTTGGTTTCGTACTTGTGCACCTGGACGGGTGGGGTGTGGCTGCTACATATATCAACTGTGGCTGAACATTACCCGGTTTCCGCCGAACATACAGTATTGACCAGCAAGCCACAACTCGGTAGATACGCGGTTCAATCTTCGAATGCAAATGCTCAATGCTGCTCGACCAAGAACACAAACGTGCCTTCTTTTTGTCTTATTAGACAGTAACCCTCGCTGGATATGATCTCATCGCCATCTCTTCCCTGCCAAGCCGATAGAGCTGTCACAGCTTCCTTGATTCGTGTGGCATGAGTGGTGTTTCCTGTCTGGAGCGGGTCTGCCACGGCACCACCCAGTTTAGGTAGTCCCTATTGGTTCCCAGGAGCTCGATTGCGCTTAAAGCCAGGCCCATCGTCATTCTAGCCTGTTTGCGCGCGACTAGCCACTGCCTTGTGCTGATTCAAGGTTCTGGCTGTGCAGGTGAGCAACACAAACCGTACCATTATTTCTTTTGTTACTTCTCTCCTGAATCGGAGGCTGCGTGTTGTTGTCCACTATCCTTCTCATCGACAGCATGCCTCTGTCAGACTACCTACGCTCGCCGACATCTCACCGGTTAAGTCAACTGTCCAGTGCGATTCAGCAACGCGATCAATATGCTCTGGCGACGAGCTTTCCGACCATGGACATTCTCAAGTCAGGCATGCCCGCAGCACGTCCGGATTTCGGCCACCTCACTCTCCTCGTCTTTGAAGCTGTGCTTGAGGTAGTCTGCGTGAGTGCACCTGGCTATATCGTGGCCAGACAGGGCATGTTCGACGCTGAAGCCCAGAAATTCCTGGCCAATCTCAACGTTCAGCTCTTCACTCCAGCACTGATCTTTACCAAATTGGCCTCGCAGTTGACCGCCGACAAACTCGTCGATCTAGCAATCATTCCCTTGATTTTCACCGTTCAGACCATTATCTCCTTCGGCTGCTCTTTTCTCATCGGCAAGTTGATGCGGTTTAAGAAACGGCAGGCAAATTTTGTGATAGCCATGGCCGTCTTTGGAAACTCGAACTCCCTACCCATTTCTCTCGTCATCTCCTTGTCAAAGACCTTGCAGGGGCTACATTGGGACAAAGTACCAGGTGACAACGACGACGAGGTCGCTGCTCGTGGCATCCTCTATCTTTTAATCTTTCAGCAGCTCGGTCAACTCGTCCGTTGGACTTGGGGCTACAATGTCCTTTTGGCTCCAGCTGACAAGTATACTGAAGAGCAGGGTGGTACAAAGCAGATCTCCGAGACTGAAAGAGGACGTGGTGTATACAGAGATGAACCCGAGACTCAGCGGTTAATCAGTCCGTTGGGCTCTGAAGACAGATTCACCGACGACGACGATTCGACCACAGTAGCCGCTTCTCCTACAAATACCAACGGAGTTAAGACCCCCAATGGTTATGGCAAATACTCCTCGAGATCCTCTTCAAGTACTCCTGATGATACAGTCCCTCCAGCAAATGGAAATATCGCTCCTGATCACAATATCATATCCGATGCAACCATACACAAAGGCAGAGAAGATGTTGGGCCAGTCTCTGGCACAGTCAACAAGATCAGAAATGCATTCATTACAGCTGGGCGAAAGACAAGGCAAGGTATCAGGTCTGCTGGCCAGTCTATTTTTGCGTCACTACCCAAATTTCTGCAGAGTGGCCTGAGCAAAGTAGGCTCTTTCATCTATCGTTTCTTCGCAGGCCTGTGGGAGTTCATGAATCCACCACTATGGGCCATGTTAATCGCCATCGTGGTAGCGTCTATTCCTCCACTTCAGCACGTCTTCTTCGACAAAGGAACCTTTTTACGAAACTCGGTCACACGCGCAGTTGAGCAGAGTGGTGGCGTGGCTGTTCCACTTATCCTTGTCGTCCTTGGCGGGAATCTGGCACGGAACACCTTACCACGGGACAGCCCTGGCGATCTCAGTGACCCCAAGCTGGAGCGGAAATTACTCATTGCCTCGCTGATCTCGAGAATGCTGCTCCCTACCCTTATTATGGCACCCCTACTCGCAATTACAGCCAAGTTTGTTCCTGTCAGCATTCTCGACGACAAGATCTTCATCATCGTATGTTTCTTGCTCACAGGAGCGCCAACGGCTCTGCAATTGGCTCAAATATGCCAGATCAACAACGTGTACATGCCGGTCATGAGTAACATCCTCTTTCAGAGTTACGTGGTATGGATTCTGCCCAGCACATTACTATTGGTCCTCTTTGCTTTGGAGACTGTGTCTTGGGCTGATAGCAAGTGATGTTCTTTTCACTAGTTGGTATATTACCATAACCGTGGTGGCATCTGTTTGAGCGAGGCGTTGGGCGTGGTCAGTAAGTCAAAAGTCATCAGTGCTACTTGTGAGCCCACAGGCATTCTCACATGGAGCACATTAGATTAGGGGAACAGAAGAACATACATAGAGCCATTGATCACAGGCAAATAAATACTTGATTAAATATACATTTGGTGATGCTGTGCTGGTTACCCATATGAAAACCTCTCATTTCTAAGCTATAGATTGGCCTGACATGCCTTCCGCCTCGATCAGGGAAAGAATAATCGTGCTAGACCACTACACATATCCTCGTTTTCGCTGCTTGGGTCTGTCCATCCGTCGCGACAATGCGCTTCAGGCATCAGGTGTCTCTCACTTACAATCAGAACGGCAACGCGATCAACCGACCGTTACACAAAAGTCCCTCGTAAATCCACTGGTTTCTGATATATTTAGCTCTTTCAGGCAACCTCCGCGGTTCCAGCCGGTATGCATAAGCGGGGCTCCAATCTACATACGGCGCAGAATCGTGGCTACTGTGCAGAATCAGCTGTCATCTTGCTCTGAAGCAAATTTCAACGAGTTCAAGCTAGTAAAGACTTTGACCCTACTCTCAAGGTCCGAGAGGATTGACGTATGGACATGCTGAACAACGATCAGACGACTCATCCAAGTGGTAGCGGCAGAAGTGGTGAAGAGTCTACCAGGATACTCCCAAATTGGATAGATCGCGTCTAGCCAAGCGAGAGCACAAAGACATTAAGGATTCTGCTTCTCCGTCTTAGGGCTGACTCGAGCACAAGCTGGTCACTTTTGCCGTCATCCAGCTACACCGATAACACAACTGGCACGAGTTGAAAGCAATACTAGCGGCCATGGCCTCGAAAACCAAGCCTTCAAAACGCCATCGAGCTTTCCGTCACTAGGGCCAATCCTGGGCCGCTAGCTGAAGAGCGAATCAGAGACGTCGCAATCCTACTTATCCAGGCATGAGCTGAAGATTGACCCCCTTCTCACTGCATAGTGGTTCCACCGTGCTTCGACTCAATCGACGAATGAACCACGCTTCGCTTGCAAGAGGTCAAGATAGGCCTGGCAGGTCAATCAGATCGCTCAGCCTCTCTGGCAAAGGGCGCATTGCATATATTCACCATGTCGCCTGATGCTGCGACTGGCCAAGTCTTGCCTTCACCGACGCTGTCCAGGCAACCACTCTACATTCCGCGCCTGTCCATTCCTCGCAGGCACTTCCAGTCGCGTAAAAGACGTCTGCGAGCCAGGACCGGAGCTGGATGAAATAAATACAGCCCTCGACGACCAAACAGTTTTCTGTCCAACATCATGGCGAAACGTACGGCAGACGAAGCAGAGCTCACAGAGAATGGTGTGCGTCCATCGCCACAACCTGTCAAAGAGCACGAGAGTATTTCAGGCTTCCTAAAAGGTATCTTCGAGAAGGTTGCTGGAAAAGCACCAGATCCTACCTATCCTGTAATCAACGGAGCTACCTCGAATTCGAGACCTGTGTTAAAGGGTTTTATATCTGATATCGCAAGTCAAAGCGGTAGATGGGTTTCCGATGTCGGTCTAATCGGCTCTTTTGCTGACACTAAGTTGTTCGACGGTGGTGTTGTAGATGATCGCAACTATCAGATGGAGTCTATCATTCAGCTAGCGGCATCGCTACCTGCCGATTCAGAAGCCCTCAACACCCTAAGTCATGGCTTCATCAAACTCCTATGGGAAAGTCTGCAACATCCTCCGCTCTCTATACTAGGCGAGCCATACAAATACCGATCCGCTGATGGCTCACATAATAATGTGCTATATCCTCAACTTGGGAAAGCTGGCCAGCCATATGCAAGGACTGTCAAACCTCTAACGCTCAAGCAAGGGGTTAGTCCTGATCCTGGTGTACTGTTCGACAGTCTAATGGCGCGAAACGGAGAACCTAAAGAGCATCCAAACAGGATTTCGAGCATGTTGTTCTATCTGGCTTCGATTATCATTCACGACATTTTTCACACAGATGAGCACGATTACTCAAAGGTGAAGACTTCTTCATATCTTGACCTTGCTCCTCTATACGGCAACAACCAAAAAGAACAAGATAGAATTCGCCTCTTCAGGGATGGCCTTCTCAAACCGGATGTGTTCTCGAATGTCAGAATTCTAGGATTCCCTCCAGGAGTTGGTGCATTGTTGATATGCTTCAACAGATACCACAACTACATTGCGATGCAGCTCAAAACGATCAACGAGAACAACAGATTTACCCCAAAATCTAATGATCAGAAAGGTCTTAAACAGGTTGACGAAGACCTCTTTCAGACTGCAAGACTCATCACGAGTGGACTCTACGTCAACATCATTCTTACCGATTATGTTCGCACTATCCTCAACCTCAACCGCTCAAATTCTACCTGGACTCTTGACCCAAGATCAAACTTTGGTATATGGGATGCAACTGGTACTTCTGCTGGACTGGGAAATCAGGTCAGTTGCGAGTTCAACCTGGTATACAGATGGCATTCCGCTATCAGCAAGAAAGACGAGAAATGGACTGAAGCTATGTACGAAAAGATCCTAGACGTACCTGACTATGCAAATGTCTCTGAAGACAAGCTTCTAGACAGCCTCCGCAAATGGGCTCACAAGAAAGGCACCGATCCGTCAAAGTGGTCACTGGACAACCTGGACGAGACATTGTATCCTCGCAACGAGAATGGCACTTTCAACGACGAGGATCTATGCACGATTCTCACTGAAGCCACAGAAGATGTGGCTTGCGCATTCGGTGCTCGACAAGTGCCGGTTGTGATGAGGCTTATTGAGGTTTTGGGCATGCAGCAAGCTCGACAGTGGAATGTGGCTACTTTGAATGAGTTCAGGAGACATTTCAAGCTCGAGCCACACAAGACGTTCAGCGACATCACTACAGATGAAGAGGTCGCACATGCTCTTGAAGCTCTGTACCAGCATCCCGATTACGTCGAGTTATACCCTGGTATAGTCGTTGAGGATGCTAAAGATGCATACGAGCCTGGTTCAGGCTTGTGTCCAGGATACACAATTTCGCGAACCATTCTGGCTGATGCTGTGGCGCTTGTGAGAGGCGACCGCTTCTATACCATTGACTATACTCCAGCAACCTTGACGAACTGGGGTTTCAACCAGATCAAGCCAGATCCTCAAGTCGCACAGGGAGGGTGTATGTACAATGTGATCATGAGAGCTTTGCCTAACTGGTATCGTGGTAACTCTGTATATGCCATGTATCCTCTGACGGTACCGAAAGAGAACGAGAAGATCCACGAGAAGCTAGGAGTCAAAGATTTGTACGACTATCAAAGACCATCCCTGGTTCAGGTGCCAACTTCGATCAAGACCTGGGCGGGTGCAGTCAGTGTGCTCAACAATCCCAAAGATTTTAGGGTGCCATGGGGTCCTCACACTTTCTATCTTACTGGCCACGATTACATGTTGAGTGGCGACAAGCCAGCCAATGCAGAACAGAGAGAACACGTCCATCGTGCTTTGTACTGTCCGGTCAATTGGCAAAGAGAAATCCGAAAGTTCTATGAAGCACTAACCACACAATTAGTGGAGATCAAGTCAGAGAAGCTTCGAGGTAAATGGTATCAGCTTGATGCATGCCGAGACGTAGGCAACCCATCACATGCCGTCTACGTTGCTCAAATGTTCTCGATTCCATTAAAAGGTGGAAACAGCCTCAATCCAGCTGCCGTCGAGGTCGATCAGCTCTATCTAGCCTTCTCAGTTCTCTTTGCCTATGTCTTCCTCGATGCTGACACTGCACGATCCTTCAAACTTCGTGCTGGCGCCAAGCAGTCCAACGATCAACTCTCGAAACTCATCAAGCTAGTCGTTACTCAGGTTCAGATCGGAAATTACACTCACCTGAACAGCCTCTTCAACCTCGGCCACTCTGGCAAAATCCCCCAAGACTACGGTACCAAGCTCATCGAGCGCATGATGTCTGGCGGCAAAGCAATCGAGGAGACCGTCGCAGCCATTATCCCCACAGCCGCTGCAGCAGTAGCAACTCAAGCCCAACACTTCGCACAAATGCTCGATCTCTACCTAAGCCCCAAATACAACCACCACTGGCCCAAAATCCAACGCCTAGCCTGGTCCGACTCCGACGAAGACTTCGAGCTCCTCAAATCCTACGCCCTCGAAGCCAATCGTCTTGCCCCGGCGGCATGGGGTCTCCTCCGCCACACTGCAAACCCAACAACCGTCAACGACGGTGCCAAACACGGCAAAATCCGCCTCTCCCCAGGCGACGTAGTCTACACAGACTTCGTCTCCGTCGGCCTCGACCCAAAAGCCTTTCCCGACCCCCACAAAATCAACCTCCACCGCCCTCGCGACAAGTACATCCACCACGGCATCGGCACACATTCCTGCCTCGGCCGTCCCATGGTCGAAGTCGCCATGGCCGCACAACTCAAGATCTTTGCACGGCTCAAAAACCTCCGTCCCGCACCTGGTCCACAGGGCCAAATGAAGCGCACGATCCCGAAACCGAACCCCGTGAGTTCAGATCCGCATGATAACCCTGGAAGTATCACGGTGTACATGAAGGAGGACTGGAGTGATTGGTGGCCGTTTCCGACACAGCTCAAGGTTCACCATGAGGGCTTCTTTGAGAGTTATGAGGAGATGTTGAGGGAGGAGACGGGTTTGCCGGATAAGAAGAGAGAGATTGTGAAGAATAGACGTGAAAATAGAGATGAGAATGGGTTGGCACCGGATGAGGATGGGTTTGAGGAGGAGAGTATAACTGCTTGAGGGGTTTGCGGTTTTGTAACTATTTCGGTTTTTTGAATTTCGTATATTAAGTGTTGAGCGCGCCTTTTAGGAACAGGACATGGAGGTAATAGCATTGGAGTTATCGATTTCCATGAACTCTTTGATTTCGAAAGTCACATCCAAACAGCCCTAGACATAGGCAGGCGAAGCCTGCAAGTCATGCAAGTTCTACGAGCGCTACCCGATCTCGCCACAGTCTGCCACCTGCCCTCCTTCACAGTTCACATCAGTGCAACTCGATCTCGCCTCAATTTCATCTAGAGGCACCACCTCCAGGTTGACCCAACGCAGGACGCCGGCGCAAAGGTCCAGTCCGGTCTCGTCACGAAAAGCTGGGACTGCCCACACCACCATTGACAAATAAGCCATTTGAACCCCGAAAGTTGCAAGCCTTCCTCATTCAAGGAGAAACCATCGTCAACGAGCTGATAAGTCGATGCAACTGAAACATTGCCAGCAATACCTACTGAATAGAAACCTGCAAAGATCAGTTTGACTCAGCTAAAGAGAAAGTGTGTTGAGCTTGCAATACATACCTTGGTTGATACTACTAGAGTAGAAGAACACGTGCCATGGTGCGCAAGACTTTTCTGGAGCACTCCAGAGTAACTCGGTGCCGTTGAGGAAGAACCAGGTGGGTGTTTGAAATTCTTGCGCATACGGGCTGAGGATCGCGTCGTTCAGCGGTTCCCCGACAGTCAATGAATGGACATACGGATCTTGCACGGAAAAGGTGTAGTTATTATCGGACGTGACCTGCGCAACTAGGTTGAATCGAGCTGGATATTGCTCTTGATCTACCGGAAAGAACGCAAATGTTGAGCTAATCAGGATCCACATCACCATCACAAGTCTGCTGAAGAGGCGCATGTTAGCTATCTGAAAAGTAAAGATCGGGGAATGAACCACCAGTATGAGATGGATCTTCTTGTTGCGGATTCACCGGTACCACGATCGAGGTTCCAGAAGCTCTTTTATAGTTTTCCCTGCTCTGATTGAGTTCGTGTTTGTGTTGCAGAAAGGAGGTTTCTGTTTAAGTACCAACGTCTTTGGTTTGTACCGAGTACAGAGCACTCGCGCCGAACTACTTTTCTGGGACTGTCATATCCTTGTAACAAAGTTTACCTCGAATTCATTGTGTGAATACGAGCAACAGCAAGCAGCAGGCACCAAATGGAGGAGCAGAATGCAGTCTCTCCCAGTGTGTTATGCACATGCTCATGATACCGTCAACTCCGAGACTGTATCCTCGAAACAGTCGTCGTCTTCTGACAATGCGCTTTCGTCGTGGGCGGCTGTAGCATGGACTTCCTCGACACTAGCCAAGGAGTGGTCTTTAACGTCAGGGTCGTCTTTAAACATTGGTGGCATACCGTACAAGACGTCAGGGTCGTCTGGCATTGTCATAGCGCCCATCTCTCGCATGTAGCTGACGGTGTCGTCGACGCGTGTGCCTGCAGCGTACGCACGTTCGAACCATGCCTTCAACTCACAATCAGGAGGGACGGCAAGAGAATGTTTCTGTGTGTGCTCAGTGAAAACATCATCGAATTGTCGTTGATGTGTCTCCGTGAGTGAAACCCACTGCAATTTTCTGTACAGGGGCTTTCCGGGAGGCCTTCCTTTTCCCGCTCTACCTACTAATACCGGGCGGACGGGACATTGAGATGAACTTGATCTGGCCAGTTCTTGCAAATCGAATGGCAAATCGACCATCTCAAAATAGACCAGCATTAGCTTGAGCAGGTGCCCGTCGCTGATCTCTAACAGAATGCTGCTCTCGTCGCAATATCCTGCAGAGGACATCGAGTTGTTGAAACTGAGACGAAGCGTCGCGTTCCAGCTGACTCGAATAGGCGATCGTCTCTCAAATGCATGACCAGCTGACCAAAAGGCCTTGACAATCTTGGACCAGTTCAGCACCATCGGTGCCAACTGAGATCTAACCGCCTCAGTGTTCGATCGTCCTCGAAGGTTATACCTTCTGTTCGTTGGCCACTTTGCAATCAGACACGACAAGAGAGAAGCTGGCAAGTGGTTTGGTGACGGGCGGTCTACAAAGACGAAGTTCAAATCTGGCACGTAGCTCAAGAGATACTCAACAGCACAGTGATCTATGTCAGAGCCATAGTCGTCGCCTGGCATGACTATTGTCAACAGAAATTGAATGTACCTCTCGCTGACTTTATTTCTCAGGTCACCGAGTGCGTATTCAGCATAGTCGACGCCAAATCTAGCTATAGTCCATGCAAGAAAATCATATCTGCATACTCTTACTGGACTGGGTAAAGAAAGACTAGTAGTCCGATATGCAGTCCGAGTCTTGTTCGAATGATTTCCCACGTTACTGGTGGCCTGCCCCGTTGAAAGCATTACAGCCCAACTGACCCTTATCTTGTCGACTAGTGCCACCTTTTGGGCTCTCTCCAGTTTGGGCAACCTTCCGCTGTTAAGAATTTTTGCCAGATTATTTAGCGCCTCACCACTGAAGTACCGCTCGAGATTCGCCTTAGCGAATACTGCACTGACAAGTCTGTGGTATGGATTGAACGATTCAGTCAACCGAGTCCTTACAACATTCTGGCCGAACTCGTCATCGTTGAGGAAGTCGATGGCCGAACGGTGGATAAAGCTGAAATGTCGATCCTCGTAGATTTGTAGTTCCTTGTAGCCATTGCTTAGCATTGTTTCGTGAGTCCCTGCGGACTTGTAGGTTCTCACTTCAAGCAAGCCTGCGCATCGAGTGCGAGCCCTCGTGATCATCTTCTCACACTGCTCAATCAGAACATCGCACGATACCGTTCTTATATCCGTAGGTAAGACAGTCTGTGTCTTTCCATCAGCGTAAAGAGTCATGAGTAATATTGAGGGCTGTAGGTATAACATCTCATGTTCCCAGTCAAAGCGCATGAAGTTAAAGTACAACGAAGCTTCTGCGAGGTACGAAGACACGTTGTCGTTCATATGACGCCAGATACTTTTATAGAGATCGTTGAGCTCTCTTGGGTAAGTGTCAACTCTTTCGAACAGGATCTTCCAAGTATCAGCGTTGACGAAGCCGTCTCTGATTTGACCAAGCACTATTGCAGCCCATAAGAAGACGCCCTCGGCACGCTTGGTTATATGCTTGGTGAGATTTTGAAGAGTTGACTCATGGTGAATCTCATCTATCCACGTAGTAGTATTGTCGAGGCCAGGAGTTCCATACTGGTCTTCCAGAGTCTTAAGGCTCTCACATACGTATTTGAGAATGTCCGGCTCATTAAGATTGTGCATGTGCAGACATGGAACTTGATCAAAAGCTCTACAAAACAGCTGCGTCGGACGGCTGGAGACGCATATCTTAATATGCTGTTCTGTGGCAATGTGCTTCATGAAACGAAGTGCCTCGTCTATATCTGTTTTTGATACCATTTCATCCAAACCGTCAACGAAGATACAGACACAATCACTGATGGAGCATAAGAACTCTTGGAGTATTAGCTCCAATTCCTGCACCGACCAGTCCGAGAACTCAATCGCGCTGTCTGCACTTTTGCGCTGCAATATAGTGCTTATGGTGGATTTCCTCTGTTGGAGGACTTGATAGAGTAAGCTCGCAAACAAGCCTTTCAAGCTCTTCTGAGCCTCACTACCAGCAAGCCAGAAGTAGTGTCGTAGGATCAGGACATCATGTCCACCGGACCATATCTGTAAAGAGCGCAAGGCTTCAGGACTTGTAGAGATAGATTTCATCAAAACGCTCTTGCCCGACCCAGGCTTGCCCGAAATCCAGTAAATCGTCGTGTCTTGCTCGAGCCAGGCAGAGGGGCTGTCAAAGGACGGCTTAGTGTCCGTGGAAGCCATGTTTTCCGAAGGGGGGTCTGCGAAGATCCATTTCAAAGTTCCAGGGTGGTTGCCAACGATCGTATTTTCGCGTTCGTTCATACCACTGCTGCGAAGACTTTTCAGTAGCTGCTCGAGAAGCCTTGCTTCATGGTCATACTTCTGTGCCGATTGTATCACCTGGCTCGTATAATCATTGATCTGTGCAATTTGCTGTGCTATCAGCCTTGATAGATGATTATGGTTTGTCGTCGACGAATCTATGAGGCGCTTTAGCGCGTCTAAGTGTTGCGCGGCACCCTTCGTTCGCTCCAAATCAGTAACCTTGTGTTGATTGAGTATGTTCACTAACAACTTTGTTTGTAGATGTTGTTGATACTGAGCGAGTAGTTGCTGTTTTCCCTCGACCTTTTTCTTGTCTTTTACAGTCTTCCAAGCCAATGTGATTCGGTTTCGACGCCCCGTGATGGCAGTGAAAGGTGATGTCAAATCCTGTAGCTCTATTGCTATACTGTCGCAACGTTTGGCTATATCTAACAGCTTGATTTCATCTCTACTGAGTTTATTTGATAAATTCGCAGGCTTGATGGAGTTGTCCAAACTTTCTGTTATACGTCTCAACTCGGCTGAGGACTTTTGAAGGTCCTGGTTCTCCGCTGTCGCACCATTCGTGTCGTAGACCGCCTTCAGGCCCTTGCAAAGCTTCACACTGCTGTCTATTACCGTGAGCACGTTGCACGCTAGACTTAGTGCTACCAGCGCTTCCATCTTGTCTAGTGGACATAATGAAGGTGACTATACATTGAACAAAAAAGGTAGCCTTCTGCCTGTCCTTCATGGCGGCAACGTGTAGGCTGGAAGACATCATGCACGCCAAGTTGACAAGCATGCAAAGCCCAGCATGAGGCTATGCAAGTTCAAGCTGTCGTGGCAGCCTGGATACCAGTGCTTGCCCACGGACAACGAGGGCCTCCATGTCTGCTCACGCATCGCTCGAATCACCAACACTGTTCAGTCACGATCACGCGTCATTAGTGAATGCGTGGCTTGCTCGAGGAACTTTGAATGTAGCCTGAACTCGCGAGTCGAATGGAGTGCGACACACGAGTAGCATTCGAGTGGTGTCATATGGAGGACATGCAAGCTGAATCTCTTGCCTAAATACAAGCCATTTTCTGGCTCAGCCGTTGGCGTGAATGCCAGCCACGATTAGTGGACACGTGCCTGCCGCGGCTCGAGCACTGCCCAAGATTGCACATCACGATTATTGCTGTCACTCCTCGTCCTCACAAGGCACACGCATACTTTAGATTCTGGTTACTAGCACAGCCAAAACAGTCGTTATGGTATAGATCAGAGTACTGACCTTCAGTTGTACTCATGACTTGGCATACTTTCATTTTCCGAACTATATAATGAATAACGTCTTGTCCTCGCCTTTACCCATAGCCATAGCACCGCCATACATGAGACCGTGCACATAAGTAGCCCCAATTATCCTGAATGAGTCCTTCCTATCAGGCACGGAGCGAATCACGAAAAGCATTCTCGAACCATGAAAAACGCATAGTCGATCGCCTGCTTGAGCACCCTCTGGAACCCATCCCATATATCCTCGCTTTGTGGAGAAGAACTTCCTACCATAACACCACTGACCAAAGAGGCTGTCGAAAGGCGTCATAAGTGTGTTCAATCTTGCTAAGCGGTTCGCAAGTGACTCAGAGTCACCACCAGGGACAAGATTGTCTATTCGAAGTCTGGGATCGAGGGTTCCCTCACGTGGATGAGTTGTCTGGTTGGGATGAGCTAATGCCGCAATATTGGGCACGTCTGGAAGAGGCAGCGGCATAGATGTTCGAACTGGACCCCATCGATCAGGAGCCTGGAATTCGAGAGGTCGAGTCGCCATCAACATGGGTAGACTTCCATCCACATAGTCGGGGTCCAGATATAGGCTCGATACTATCTCATGCCACATCGTGAAAGCTGCAAAGGCAATGCTCAGCCTCTTAGGCAATCGCAATCCATCGGCTTTGTCCTTGTCACAGGTTAGTGCTCGCCATAAGAGTGCTACAGCACTTCTGGTTGCTTTGCCAAAGGTCATCATCTCTTCCATTTTTGTCATTGAGCCGTCAGGCTCCTCTGGGTAGAGGCCGAGATCTCGAGCCAGGTCGTAGCGTTGGCGTATCCAATCTCTCATACCGATTAAGTAGGAACGGAAGGGCTCCCTTGTGAACATGAGATAGCCTCCTATTTTGGACACGTCCCCCGGAATTACAGGCAGATCGTTCCAGGGCTGGCCAGGTATTATGGTATTGACTTCGTCGAAGATCCTGGCAACAATACGCAGCACTGGCCTATATCAGCCAAATGTCTTCTACCACTCACACGTAATACAGAAGGTTAAGCTTACCTGGAGTCTCGACGTTTATGTTTGGGGTATCTTCCACGCCTCCTACGAACCGTGACTGTCCGAATTGAAGCGGAAAAGCATTGAACTTCGGCACCGACTGATAGTCACAAACCCAGGAGGGCAATCCATACAAGCGATCAACACGAGCAATATGCCAAAAAAGCATGATGCCACTCAATTGTCCGCGGCCTTGATACCTGACGCCAAATTTGCGAAGTGCCACATCCAGCAAGATGGTCTTATGGTCCTTATTGTAATCGATAATGCTTGCGTCTCCATCTTTCGCCAGTCCTACAAGAGCAAAGATCTTGTCGCGTCCATCAGTGGCTTCGTATATAGAACTACTCATTGTCATCAACTGCATTAAACTCATCGACCACCCAGACGATCCAGCTGAGGGATCATATTCAAGCCGATACATCCAAGGCCACCAAGCAGAGTTCATAGCTTGATGCAAAGCCATCATTCCCAACTGTTCATATACCAGTAAGTTCAGTATGAACGCCCACATCAATTCGGAGCTGATGATCAAGCTACCACGACGGAATTCGTGCGACTTCGAAACAATAAACTCTTGCAATATCCAAATTCGCCTAAACCATCGCGCTTTGAAGATGAGGGCCACGTGCTCCCATATAGGATCGAGGTAGCGAGGAAGAGCTAGGTTGATGAGTTGCTCTGTCTGACTCTGGCGATGAATGGGTAGTTTGCGCATCCCCAGTGTGTCGTAAACCCGCTGCATCAAGTCTATACCTTGGCGATCCGTCGCTTCCTCCGGTCCAAGCCAAATCAGAACATGCACAGCACGTGCATAGATTTCCCTCATCATCTGGACTTGACTGGTCTTTTCAGTATTGTCCGACTGATTGATACAGATAGCATCGGTCCAGTAAGCATGCTGTTTTCCTTCTTGTCTCAACTGGCACATGATTCCATATAGATTTCTCCTAATGTGAACAACTTGCTCGTTGACAAGTATAGGCACCTCGTTACCAGGATCACCCCAGTAGTATGACATTGCATGATATGTTTCAGCTGGAGGAAAAGGCGTCTCTTGGAGTGTGCAGGAAAGCATGTCATCTGCCTGGCCAGATTTGATTTTGAGCAAGCGGATCGACTTTCCCACAAGAGGTCGACGGTATAACGAGTTTGCCCTCACCGCTGACGGCTGCAATGCAAGACCACCCATACTTGCATCCAGCTCACTGAGTTGTGCCTCAGGTTGAGTGATACTCTCTTGGGCCACCATCGTGGATGTCGCTGACAGCAGAGGACGGTCCCACGTTGTCGTTTTGGTGTTGTGATTGACATAGTAGAGCTTGCCGACGTCGTTGGCCCTGATCTCCCATCCTGGAGGTAGAGGTGGAGCTCCACTTATGGAGGGATGAACCCATGTTGTTGCTTTCGTGTTGTGGTCCACATAATAGACCTTGCCATCTTGGTTGCGTCTACGTTCCCAGCCAGACGGCAGGACACTGTCGTCGCTCGGTGTAGGTTCACTGCGTGTGATCGTGTGCTCTACGGGTTTGTTGTCGCTTTCTAGCGCAGCGTTGTCCACACCGTTGTATGGTAGCAGTACCCGCGGCGGATGTGTTAGTGGTTCTGGTTGAACAGTAGATTCGGATGGCGCGCTGCTATTGCCAGGCGGAGACTTTCGATCATCGTGAACGGACTCATTTGTAGTGCTGCTATTCGAGTTACTGATGGTGGGATCTGGTATCGTGCCTGATTTGTTCTTCACACGCGACAAGAATCTAGAAAGGCGAGGCATCCTCTGGAACAGCGCCTTGCCGAGAAAGACAAGATATCTTCCAAACAAAACTTGCCCATGTCAAGCAGGAGGTCAGGCATTGCGTGCTACTGGATAAGATGTGATTTGTAGTGTTACACCTCTTCATCTGCGTATTCGCTTATTTTCTTGGCTTCATGCGGGCACATCTTGACCAGAACGCCTAGTAACAAAAATGAGTTCGCTTTGCTGGCAGATGGCCATCCCGATTTAGCTCGCTACAATATTCGTGAACGAGATTGCCTATGCTTGCAAAATATCCTGGAGAACCATACAATTTTGTGAGTTGTTACAGAAGTACTGAGGCATGGGAGGTGGTCGCGGGAATGCCTTACGACTCGCGACGTGTCGTTTTGGAAGGAAATTGGCAGATGGTAGATCAAAAGGATAGGTGTGAAGGAATAAAAATCGCTGTTCCTGGACCGCGCTCTGCACTCGAGCTTTCAGGTCAAGCATTTCAGCCGTCAAGGATCTTTGTGAAGGGGTAGAAGGCGGCCAGTTTCTCACCTGGCTTCGATGTCAACAGTAGGGCGTGCTTACTTATCGGTTTAAGGCTACGACGACTCGATCTGTAGGATAGCTGACTTATCAGCCATAGCATCCATTGCAGCATCGACCAGACCGCAGTCATCTCGTCAAACACTTATACCAGCTTGATCCAGCAGATGTCAAACCCACAATGCACACCTCACGAGCTTCACCCCGTCACCCGTTAAGCTTCAAGAAGGAGATTACAAGTGGTCTAGCTACCGGTAGCACCCACATAACTCTCAACCACCATCATGCGTGCTTTAGTCCTTGACTCAACTCGATGCACAGCTATTGTCAGCGACGTACCAATATCTGACTTAACTGCCGCAGAAATCTTAGTTCGCGTCCACGCTATAGCACTCAACCCGGTAGATGCTCTATATACGTTCGATCCATTGGCATCGGCTAGCCCTGATTCAAATCCACCTCGAATCTTAGGGAGTGACTTTGCGGGTGTTGTCGAAAGATGTGGCCATTCAGTCAGATCTAACGCTCATCTGAAGGTCGGGAGTCGCGTTGCTGGTTTTCTTCAGGGTGCTTCCAGTGTGAACCACCGTCCAGGAGCTTTCGCTGAATACGTGGCTGTGCCTTCGGATTTGATCTGGCGGATTCCTGATTCAATGACCTTTGAAGAGGCAGCGAGTGTAAGCTTATGCGGCTTGACGGCTGCACAGGCCTTGTTTGGAAGCAACAGACTTGGACTGACTGCGCCTTGGATCAAGGAGACGGATTTCCGCAGAAGCGAAGGACAGATACAACCACTACGAGCAGCACGAACGCTGTTCATTTATGGTGCATCAACATCTGTCAGCTTATATGCTGCACAGCTTGCTCATCATGCAAAAGAGGACATCAAGCTGATAGGAGCAGCGAGTCCAAGACATTTCGAATGGCTTCAAAATCAGCCGTACGCTTACGATCATCTGGTTGACTACCGCACGGATTGGCAGTGGACAGTATCTCAGCTCACCAACGGCGAAGGACTAGACTTAGCATATGATTGCATCTCGGAAGGACATACTGTGGAATCAATTAGCAAGCTCATGAAGCCACATGGTCAAATGGCGGTGGTTCGCTCAGTCCAAGGAGGAGCTTGGGCTCAAACAGCAGAACTGCCCGTTGAACCAAGCTATGGTGCAGTATGGGAGGGACTAGGGGAAGAGGTGCAATACAAAGGCATGAATTTGCCTGCGAATCCGGAAGCAAAAGCTTTCGCGGTCAATTTCTATCAATGGCTGTCTAAAGGTGGTGAGAGACTCAAACCCAACACGGTTCGCATAATGCCTGGTGGTTTAGAGAAGGTAGTGGAAGATGGGTTTCAGCTCCTAGGCTCTGGTCTGATGACTGATCGAAAGCAGGACAGGAATGAAAGTTGGATGCAACCCGTGAGTGCAGAGAAGCTGGTATATAGACTCGTTTGAGGCTTGTTTATTGAAAGGCTCTGGCCATGGCTGGGAGAGTTGAAAGGCCGACAAGCTGGGAGATGTGACGATGTGTGACCTACGTGCGTGAACAAATCGTCGTTAATCGTCACGATCGGTTGTCACCATTTTAAGTATACATTCATGGTCGCTTCGCACGACAGTCTCAAGTCATAATTTGGCATTTGAGCATGTTTGTTGATTCACGGAGGATCACCAGCTGATGTAAAAGAGATGCACCCCTGGAGTCTCTGGACACTTGTAAAGCCCCACATCGACCGGATGATGTCACCAGATTTACTTGAGGTCATTGATTGTCTTGCCTCTTGTATGTGCATGAGACATAACACAAACCACGCCTGTCCTTCTGAACACACGTTTACATCTTCTACACAACCAGAACAAAACTCAGGACACACCGTCAATCGAATCACCCATACATAACCTTACTACCCATACACAATCCATACACAACCCACAAAAATGTCCCGCCCCATCACAGTCGAAGACCCCTCCAAATCCTCATCCGAGCAACCCTCCATGGTCGGCGCCCACGCCCGCTACGTCCAAGGCGCCGTCGCCTCCACGCTCGGCTACCAATCCGGCGAACAAACCAAACAAGACGCCGTGCAAGACATGAGAAAGGCAAACGAGAACAGAGGCACACCGCAGCAGAGTAGTATTTTGGGAACGGTGGAAAAGGCCGCGGGAGATTTGACGGGGTGTGAAGGGATGTCGAATGAGGGGGAGAGTAGGAAGCCGGGGACTGGGGTGGCGGGGGGTCAGACGGGATAGGAAGATAGGACGGAAAAAGAGGGAGGAGGTGTGAGATCTTGTTATTTGCGAACAATCGAAAGAGATGCACGCTGGTATGAGCAGCAGACGGCAGACAGTAATACTTCAGCAACTTGTGCATTCTACCAATCCTACTTCTCTATCAAATGCTCTCATTACTTCGTATAACGTATGAACATGGCTTTTCAAATGCATAAACCCGCAATATCAAAGTTCTCGTGTATTGCTCTGTGGCAAAGGCACTTTCCCTTCCGCAGCCATAGACTCCATTATCGTGCTGCCACTGGGGCTTTTATCAACAATGATACTACCCTCAAGCATGGCTGTATCAGGATCCTTGCCATCATCAAGCTCTTCTTCACGCATCTGCAGCCCTTCCCCTTCTTGACCAGCAGTCTTATCCAGACCCTCCCAGTCTCTCCCGATCGAGCTTGAATTTATCGTCTCGTCTAACTCTTCTTCGTCAGCTTTTCCGGAGCTGCTTTTGTACCAACTCTGGTCAATCCAGCTAGCGATAATCTCTTTCGAAGCTTGGCCCAGGGTGTAGAATCCTGGGTTGTCCTTGGGGTAGAACATGCTCATGTGTGCACTTGTTTCGTCCTTGGCCATCTCATTCACTGTTTTGATCCATTTGAGGCAGGGGTTCTTCTGCATGGACAAGTCTCTGCCTTCTTTGACAGCTGCGGGCAGGTTGCAAAACGTCCTGTCTCGACCTGATAAGGTTTCAGTGAGACCGTAGCCTTCTCTCGCACCTCGTCCCAAGTTTGTGTATAAGTTTGCAGCGCCTATTCCACGCTCGACACATTGCTTGTTGACTTGATCTACCCTTTGGCGTAGACGCTCTGCTTTCGCTAGATCACCGACAAACAATAGATGGGAGGAAGCCCAACCCCAACCTGCAGAGATCTTCTCTCGCTGCGAATATAGGGCTGCCGCACCACCAGCTGCGACTGCGCCAGCGGCACCTGCGAACATTGCATACTTGCCCCACGAGGACCATCTCGGAGCCGCAGCAGCGTCTGCCATATTAGTGGCAGAAACAGGAGGAGGTAGTGCACCAGCCGGTACTTTTGGCGGGGTACTTGCGCCACTTGCAGCAGAACCATCTTTTCCTCCCCACCCGAACAGCGAGGATACCTCGTTGTAGGTATTGAATGCACTTGTTGCAAACTTGTGTCCGCCTTCGAGATTATGTGCTATCATTTCAGGCGCAAGTCCCAAGAAAGGTGTATCAAATGCAAGAATTCCCTGCACATGAGGGAACATGAAGTTCGAAGGACCAACATCTGGAGCAGGATTCGGACGGGAAGTGCCAGTTGAGGAACTGAGCGTCGTGTTCGAGGGGAAATTGGGTGCGTCTGGATTCAGCTTCGAGGTCGATGCAGGAATCGGCTGCTCTTTCGCCAGACTGAGGAGTGTCTCTGCAGCCACGATACCTCCCATAGAATGTCCTATGAGAATGGTATGTACTGCAGGGTCAACTGTAGGTGAGGGAGTGCCACTACCACGCCAGTCAGTATATCCCCCTTCTCAACCATAGTCCATACGTACTTTGCGACCTCCAGGTCTATGACCTTGTTCTCCAACCATTCTCGAAAGCGCGACACACAATCCTTGAGATCTCCTCGAGTCTCGTACCTGGGATAGGTTATTGCAACCACGCTCACATTAGGCAGCACATGGCTGACCAATGCTCGCAAGTGAGCTGGAAATGTTCCAAAGGTATCGTCACCTCCCTATAGAATCGCATGAGTGTTTGAGAAAATGTTGAGGTGGTGGACTTGTCTTACTTTGAAGCCGTGGATAAACACCAGCAGAAGTGTTTTGCGCATGCTCACGTTGACGACCAGTCGAGTGGAGCGACATCGCAAGCTATACTCTTAATCGTGCGAGTCCATGCTCCGCGACGAACCTGTTGTTGAAGAATTGCATGTGATTGCGAGTCTAAAGAAAGATAAAAACGGCCACGGCCACGAGCAAGGCGAACGATGATATCACGTGAAACATACGTAGGATTACTACTATCATTTCAAGGCAAGCTAAACTCAATTTACAATCAGAAACTGGAGGGGTAAAAAGGAGGGCTCAGAGCTCAAATTCGTTGCGATATTCTTGCTCAATTCCTGGTATACTTTTCTCAGTATTGGACCTTGAGGTCGTATGTTTATAAACTGTTATCAATGATAACATTATGTGAAGATTTTTGCAGCTAAAAACGCTGCTTTTCACCACTTCGGGTGTGACTTGTTGTCCTCTATGGACTTTTCGTAAGCCTTGTAGTTCGCTTGAACGCTCAATATCTGCCATACCCACATCCGTCGCTATGCAGTAAAAACGAATTCGAACTAGTAAATCGAGTGATATGACTAGAAAGCTTGAAATATCCAGATTCCTAATATGGATGATAAGCTTGATGAATGGGTGTGGAAACAGGGCCGTGCCAGGCGTCTGGCTGCAGACAAGGCATAGGCCCTGCTCGTAGCTCGGTGGAATTTTTGCTCAGTGGCTGGTAGTGCATTTGCTGGTAATCGATGGGTTTGATCGAATTTTGCATTGCACCTGATGGTGGAGGATATAATAACGTATTGACATTGCGGACAGGTCGATATGGTGAGCTTCTGTTCATGAGGAAGTACGAAGGAGAAAGACCTGGCCGTGTTGGAGTCGACACTCCATACATATTGGTGGGAGACGTGTGTGCTGAGCCGACCTGACTTGGTGCTCGAGATGCTGAAGCCAAGCCTCCAGTAACTGGCAATGGCAATGTTGGCACGTTTGCTGGTAAGGCAGACGCCGATGTTACTGGATAAGAGTTACCGTTGGTATTTGAGTACACAGAACTCATTGCCCGAGTTTCAGAAAGGCCGAGGGAGTTGACCTGACTATTGGTTCGATGGTTCGGATATGGTAAGGTTGGAACAGTCAGCTGTGGCAACCGAGTTGACGACTCGTACGAATATGCCGTGCCATTTGAATCTGGTGTGTTGACTGAGACAGGGGTGTAGGCTTCAGGTGATACATTTGTGCTCGCGGAAAAGGGTTGTACTCGTTTCGCCGGAGGCAGGTCATAGGATGTGTCCAAACTTCTCTTTCTTTCAAATGGCATACTAAATCCTGGCGTGTTCCTAGCAGGGGATCGAGGTAACTGAGGGATTGTATGAAGTGGGTTCGGTAAACTAGTATAGTGACCATTCGTGAATCTCGAGCTTGACTGTGGTGATGGAAGCTTGTGTGATATGGTGTGTGAGATCGGTGTGGTTGGCGATGCAGCTGGCGACGAGGTGAACCTTGATGCTTTCTCGTAGAACGACCCAAACCTGCCCAGCTTGCCCTTCCATTCCGCCCACTGCTCCTCGGATGCGAACAGAGCGTACCTCATATTACTGAGAAATTCCACTTCCATTATATGTATTTCATTCACAGAGATACCCGACACTTCCGCCCACGTTTTGTTTGTGTAGGTATTGTCGTCCAGAAACTTGTTGCCCAACATCAATGCTATAGTCAACAACCTGAACTCGCTGCCTTTCTTGCCGCTGACCTCCGGATTGACCTGCTTCAGCCTGTAGATGAACAACAAGGCTAACAGCACCACATTCTTGCCGACTTGTGTTGTGGATAGAATTGTGGTAACCCATTTCGTAAACCCTATAGATGGTACGGCATCCGGATGCAAAGCTCGATCCGGTATAGAACCCTGTGGCAAGGCTTCAGAGTATCTCAGGGTACCAGATTTTTCGAACCAGAACAAGCAGGTCATTTGTGCCGCGAATTCAGCCAAGCTTCCTTTACTGTCATTCACAGATTGTGGTATCTGGAGATGTGCAGCTATTTGCTCTTCTGGCTCAGGCTTTATCACGATTGGATGGTAGGTGTAGGCATTCGACGGACGTCTGTCTGGATACGTTGGCCGTGTAATCGTACTGGCATCTGACGAATATGTTTGTGGTGGGACATTCCGGCCGCTTGTGCTGGGAATTCGTTGCTCGACCATGTAGGGATAATCTTGCCTGTAGGCTGAGTTGCCATTGTACAAAGAAGGAGCTGTCATTTCTTCGACTGCTGGCAGTGCCGGAAATCCCAGGAAGAGGTCACCCCCACTCTTGCTCCCAACATTCGACCTTCCCAAACCGTAGTCACTGTGAGAAGTTGACTCTGGTCGGTACTGACTGATGCTTGACTCTATCGGACGAGGATGAAGGACCAACATTGAAGACATTGATGATGAGGGATTGCTGCAATTCGTAAGACTGTACGCCCAAACATGAGAGCGTTAGTGACTTGTTGTGTAAACCATCACTAGAAACCGAGGGTGTAGTTAGGTATAGGCAACAGTGTCCAAGGAAGTGAATGGTCCGGGTGAAGTGTGGTACTGCCGGTCGGATGCTGGATTGGATTGTTAACAAATTGAGGAGCTGCTTCCGGGCAGTAGTGATTCAACACAGGCGACGAGATAGGATTTGTTTGGGACCTGTGCATCAAAACAGTTTATCCGTGGAATGCAAGTCAATGGCATGAACACAGCAACCTAAGACTCGGAGTGGGGAATGCAAGGCAAAGCAATGATGAAAGTCGGAAGGGGAAAGTCATAGTCACCGCCAACGCCATCAGTACCGCTGGATTTGACACCAAACTCAACAGGTAACAAGTATGTCAAACGCGAGGGAAGTGAGCAAGAGTGGACCTTGCATGGTAGAGGAGAGGGACTATTATTTTCAGAGAGGATGAAGCCAGCATGGCGACCTGGCAAAGTTTGTGGCTGCTAGCAGCGACGCAAGGCCTTGGATGGATCAAAGAGGGCTGATCACTTGAAAGTGTATGAATGAGGTCCAGGTGAGCGGCGTAGCGCGTAACGCACGGAAGTTCAGGGCGAGTGGTGCGTGTTGCATTCGTGCTCGTGCAAACGTAGTGCAGACATCTCAGGCAAATTGAGTGAGAAAGCTGTCGTGGACGGAAGGGATGTGTTCGAGGCTCGGCTTGATGTCTGGAGCCTGCGCCAGCGAAGGATCAAGAAGAGAGCAGGTTCCAACATACGGCTACACGGTCCAATCGTTCAAGAAGCTCGGACTCCATCGGTCAACAGGCTCGATGATTGCCCAGGTGGACAGCCGTGATGAGTGATGTTTGAGAAGGATCATGGCTGGCATGGTACGAAAGACACGGCGAGACAAGAATGACCGGCGGTTGAATCACCGCATTTAGCTCGGACAGGCTGAGGAGGATAGCGCGGAAGCGGTGCTGAAGGGGAGAAAATAGTGCGGGAAACGCAGTGCGTATGCAGTGGATGTGGGAACAAAAGCAAAAGCATGATCAGACAGAAACTGGGCTAGGTGTGGACAAGAAGAGAAAGGATGGCGGCGAGGCGCAGGATGTGTGTGGTATTGTCGGCTGAGAAGCAAGCAAGTAAGCGTCGTCTACGCGTGGTGTCCCGGAATCAGAGACAAGTCACGTCGCCTCAGTCGGGTCAAGGGTTAATAGGAGCGAAACAGAACGAGGGTGGTCAAGGCATGGTTCCATAGCGCGACAGGTGGTTCGGTGGTCCACGCTGGGCTTGATGGATGATGATGGATCTTGATGGACGAGATAGCATCAAGGAGACTCGCCCGATGAGCGTGATGGAAAGTGAAAAGATGCGCTTGCTTCCTGCAAGAGTGGAATGAACGGCATGACAAGCTGACTAGCCAACATGATCGTAAGCAGCCGCTCAGACCAACATCTGACCGACATTACGGTGTACAGCACTAACTGTGGCGGCCCAGATAAGCAGCCATTGTGCTCACCTGAGAACTGACAGTGCTGGCATAACTGGCTGGGCCTAATTGGTTCCAAGTCTTGCGACAAGAGCCTTGGTGTCTCCTTGCGGGAAGCAGATCGGAAAAACCACCCACGGTGAGCAAAAATAGTGGCGGGCATGATTAATGGAAGCAGGGTGGCAAAGGCGTACTTGCAATATCGGTCTACAAGCTCAAGTAGGGAAATGATAAGCTGTGTCAGCTGCCGAATAGTCGATACTCAGGATCAGGATCAATCGGCAAAGCATGCTCAACTTGTTGCTTCGTTAGTGGCGTAACAAGCAAGATTGGGGTACAAGCCGGACACAGTTGGGCGTGATGGATCAGTGAAAAGGCCAAATAACCTGGAGGGCCTGAATAGCGCGAAGTCTACTCACGTCCTCCTTCCAATTTCGCCAGCCACTCAGCTTTGGCCGAACCTCAAATGGGTCACGCACAAACCCCAAGCATGTCGACAGTACAGCATTTTGGATGACGACGCTAGCACAGCTCAGGAGGTCGCTTCAGAATGTGAAATGTCTCTCGCTTGATCTCTTCGCTCTACACGAGCAGTAGATGCCGTCACAAGCTTGAGATGGGATCGCAGTTTGCTTTGGATCTCGGGAAACAAAGCAACAACCTATACCGAAAAGAGAACTATCCGTGACGAAGCATGTCAAATAGCTTTCTGAGCATGATGCCTGTCTGACATTCCAATATCTTCCGGTCGAGCCAGAAGTCATGCCAGGCTCAGCGACGCAAATAGCCAGCAACATTGGGTCGGCTTCTCAAATAAATGCCGCTGTATGCCGCCATAGGTCTCATCGTACGAGTAAAAGTACAAGGCCTGACACAAGGGGACGTAGTTCAAAGGTGAACCCTTACAGTACTTCGTATCATGTAACGCTGGCTGTTGCCTGAGTAGCCACGTCAAATGAAGGTTGCCCAGATACTGAGCGCTTCCGCCTTGTCATAGAAATGTGGTACGTTTGTGCTATGTTCTCTCATCCATGAGATGTGCATGCAGCTGCGCGCTACGTATGGATATCGAAGAACATGGCGTTGGACAATCGCACTGCATGCTTTCAAGGTTGATTGTCGACAGCACCGTCTGCCACTGGTGGCCTTTGGCTTCCAGACCAATGCCTATTCTGTTTCTATTCTGTTAGGCCAGATTTCTGATCGTCATTTATCGACCCTAGTCGACAAATTCCTTCCACATCGCCTTGGTTCGGTGAGCAAATCTCGCTTCCCTTCACACAAAGGTTTTACGAGGTGCATCGCGCTCAGCATGCAACGGTGTTTTACGATTAGAAACCTCGCAACATTATGGAACATGTTCTAACCACATCCAACATGTCATACTGTCGGTTAGGGCAACAACTTACCTCACGCGTGATTGTTCGCTTTCCACAATTTTGCAACCAAGAAGGTTGGATGCAGCTAATCCTTGGTCGACCAAGAAACCATCGGCAAGCTACCGCACATCACCTCAGGTCGCGTCCAGAGATGCTTTCCTCCTAACACAAAGTCTACTTGTAATATCTATTTGCCTGGATGAGCTAAAGGTCGTTGGCATCCAGACGATTTGGCCTCTCACAAGTCCGAAAGTCTTGGATTGGGTGCCGCTGACTATCAAGTTCTGTGCTCCATTTGGTGTATTATCGCCAAAGAGTTTCGTGATCCTCACAATGCAGATATTGTAAAGCATAAAGTCGCAGGTCCATGTAACCATCGTGACCTGGCAACCATGCTTTCTCCTTAGACAAGCACCTCAATTTGATCATCGATAATTGTAGATCCAACAACAATGATGACCATGGATTAGCCTATCAAAACAACATTGCCCGAGGCTAATGTCACCGACCACAACAGGCGTAATCGTTATCTCAGCTTTAGTATGTGTACATACAGCCCCCCTGTATCATTTAGGCTCCCAAGACATCATGATTGTGCACAATTTTATTATTGGTGTTGTCGTTTTGAGTTCTCGAACACGAGGACACGGAGCATCCGGTGGGTCCACTCGATAACATCGATTGACCAGCATGGTTTGTTTTGTGGAATGGTGGGAAGCCGAACAACAGCCTGGGTCATTAATCCACTTGCGTCTGATCATCCAATAATGTACCTGTCTTGATTCGCGAGTCTCAGTCAAATACGGTGTGCAGTCGGCAGCACAAGCCGGATGCAAGGACATCGAGGACACGAAATATTGCTGCATCGTATCTACTGCCGTTACAAGCAGTCATCATAATTCCGCATGGACACCCGACCAGCAGTGTCACAAAACTCAGTCATGGAGACAAGAAGGATGCCCTTTAAATCACCTCGTGATTGGTTCCCAAGCGCAGTTCCATTGAAGCATGGCTCCTAACCATCATCCTTGCTCATTTTTTCGGCAGCCGCAGCTTTGAGTTCTGCTGGCGCTTGTGCCAAACCAGAAAGTCTATCGCTGCAATCGTCCTTCTTGGCATGCTGCACCGCGCGAAACTGAATACTCCTTGCATGAGTTCTGTTATGTTGTAGGCAGTTTATTTTCCAGCGACATTACGACAGTTTCTTTCATTTCGACAAGAAGAGAACCATGCAGGTAATCGTGACGAAGTCCTCGGAGTCCTGAACCTGACGGCCAAATACTCAATACGAACAAGGGGTGTGCTAGTGTTGAACATGAGACCGTTCCTCCACCGAGGAACACTACATCCTCGAATCACCATGCTGACCTTTCCTCTATCAATATCATCAACATTTACCGAGCGTAACTGTTGATGAAACGTTGTTGATAATCTGCAAGGCTAGCAAGGGACGACCGCCCTTGCACTTTTGAACAGGTGCTGCGTTCTGTACAGGCTTTAATGGTTTGCTTTTCATGATATTCGAAGATCACAAGCGCAGTGACTCGATTCCCTTGACCAGGAATCACAGCGCTCCACCAAGAATTTCGTTGTCATCGAAGCATCTCGACCACCTCCTCGTCATCAGAACTTGCCCTCGCACTTACCACGAAATCGTGAGCAGTGTTGCTTCTGCCAGAGGATTTCAATAAGTCAAGCTACGGATTACAGCTTTTTCGACCTGGTCCGGCAGTCACCGATCATTTTGTTACACCGACTGTGCTCTTCTACGGTGGTGATCTGGATCCTCAATCAATTCAGGCAACCTGCTTTCAGATACTGACAACGAACTTTTCAGTCCCATTGATCAACGATCACGCGAAGGACCATCTATACAGCATTCCAAGCACTCAAAGATGATTGCGAAGTTATGCTTTGGACTGGCCGGAGCTGAAGCTGAAGCCGAAGCCTTTACCTAATAAATGGTCGACCTGCCCACTTTTCAATCACCCATCTTTCGTCTCGCACAACAATCATGATTCGCTTCCACAGTGGTGGCAGCCCTCGTCACAGGTCGTGGTGTAGCCTCGAAGTTTGCCCACAATCGAGTCAGAACACGGACAAATCGCAAGGTCACAACAACGTCTTGTCGTCAGCATCTTATTTCGTTCCAAAGAAATACCCATAATCCTGCAAGGTAAGGTGTGAGCTGGATTGTAGGCACCGTCCCTGAAATTTGGTGTGGTATGCTCGCAGAAAACATCTGTGGTTGATCCATAAGGATGTGTGCTCGCATGCTGGTTTGCCAGAATCACATTACAGTCGTTTTTCCAACGGCGAAATTCTAAATGTTTTGCTGCTCTTTCGTAGGGTGAAGTTCCTGATTGCAAACTTGTGATTCGTCGGAAGGAAAGTGCAATTCATGTCGTCACAAATTCTCTCCACGTTTCGGAAATAGAGTCCATTGCCTATACAAGACGAAATAACTTTCACAGCTGAGAAGCATCGTAGTGGTCGCCATAAAACACTACCCCCTGGGATACCAATAGAACTCGGCCAAGATGAATTCTATCAACATTGACTGCCGACAGCAGAAACCTCCAATACGAACAGAGCCTCCCACCAAAGCATTAGCAGAATCACTGCCAAAGGCTATTCAAAGCCATGATCATCCTGCCAAGCCCAACAACAATACCAACGCCAGCCTGTTCTTCGTGGGCACAGCGACGACTATACTGTACGACTGAACATTAATGCGTGAGTCGTTGCTAATCGATCCTTAGGGAGTGGGAAGGATTTCGCCTAATGACTGATGTTAGTTCCGCCTACACTCGAGACTTTGAGCTTTGACACTGACGATACAGCCCAACTTCTTGCATGCCGGCGACCATGTACACTTGGGTCCAGGAGTGACAGGGACAAGACAGACGAACCCAGCAGTCAACCTGGAAGACCTCCCCCATATCGACGCTGTTCTACTCTCCCACTACCATGCGTATGTACTGGAAAACAGCACAGCGGACCAAGTCCATCTACTGACCACCAACACAGTGACCACTTTGACGAGAAAGTCGAAGAAAGCCTCCGACGAGATCTCCCCATCATCACCACTCCCCATGCCAAAGACCACCTAGCCAACAAGGGCGACGACTCATTCACCAACGTCCAAGCCCTCGACTTTTGGGACTCGCTCCGCGTCAACTTCACCACATCGAAGCAGTCAACAGACAGCAACCTCAAACCACAGATTCAGATCACAGGCATGCCAGGAACACACGTCCCACCAGGTCCCCTCGCAGTCGCCAACGACCTGCTAGGCGCTGTCCCACCAACCAACGGCTGGATCGTCGAGCTAGGCTATACTTCCCCGTCATCGTCCGACTCCTCATCCAGTGTTGACAGCGACAAAGGCTATAGGATCTACATCTCTGGCGACACACTCATGTTCGACGACATCCACAGAATTCCCGAAAAGTATAGCTCGCACACCGGTAAGCCGATCGACCTGATGCTCATTCATCTCGGAGGCACGACGATTCCAAGCCCTAAAGTGCCGATCTTGATGGTGACGATGGATGCGAAGCAGGGTATTGAGATGATGAGGTTGATTGGTGCGGATGTTACGATTCCGATTCATTACGAGTAAGTCTCTTCTTTTTTCCTGTACTGTTTCGCTTCTGTTTGCACAGACTGCTGACGTTATCTTTTCTCTCACAGTGACTACGATGTCTTCCTTTCACCACTCTCGGACTTCAAAAAGGCAGTTTCGGAAGCTGGGCTGGATAAAAAGGTCGTGTATTTGGATAGAGGAGAGGAGTACCGGTTTGAAGTCAAGAAGTAACAGATTAACTACTTACTTGGCACGAGCCCAAGCAGAAATCCAAAAAGAATAAACTTTTCCTCATCCCTCTTCAACCACCAGCTCTTTATCCTTATTCTTACTTTTATTCCTCTCCTCCCCGCTCCTATTCCTCCTCTCTCCCTCCTCCCTCTCCGCCTCGACATCAACCCACTCCGCCTCCTTACCCAAGGCCGCATAGTCCCACTCCGGACTCTTCATAACTTCTTCATTCTCTCCCTCCCCTCTCGTCCACACCGGCATCGGACTCGTAAACCTCCACTCCCCACCAACATCCGCATACGCCAGCGCATGTAAATATATCCCGAGCTCCTGAGGGCCAGGGTCCGAATACAGCGGTGTCTGGCAGATATCGCAGAGTTTACCGGTGAGTTTCTCGCCTTTGCGGATGTTGTAGTCTTGGACCATTTCGTCGTGGGCGGCGATTAGAGCAGCGTAGGCTGGATCAGATTCAGGCGAAGCTGTAGGATGGTCATTGGTAAAGGTAGAAGAGTCTGGTGGTAGACTGCCTGCGTGGAGGCTGCCACGATTCATGGGCTTGTAACCTGCTGTCGAGCCATATTGTCGCTGCAATTCTTGACCACGAAGCTGTTCGAGTTGGGTGGGTGTGGTTTGTTGAGTTTGGGTTATGTTGAGACCTGATATTTCTTTCTCGATGTTATCTATCTTGGTTGGATTGTCTGTATTGTAGGCGTAGGCGTCTGCGAGTTCAGTCTTGCCCATGTTACTCAATCGCTCTTTTATCTCAGCATCGTTGTCGGCGGTTGAATCGCCTTTTGCTAAGCTCGGACCGAAGACTCGTCTGTTGCTGTAGATTGGATCGTTGGATATAGGATGGCCGAGGAATTGGAGGTGGACTCGGATTTGGTGAGTACGGCCAGTCAGTGGGAGGCAGTGGACTATGCTGTAGCCTTCGTCTTCGGTGTGTGGAAGTGGTTTTGCTGCAGATGCTGGCTGTCGACCGGTGTTCTGTGCTGTCGTCTCTGGCTGGGTTTTGGGAGGGTAATATGCCACTCTCCTGAACAAAGTCTTTGCCGTCTTCCCACTAGCTCTTGCTCGATTCAAGCCCAGTATAGGACTAATGGTCAATATAGGCTCCTCACATTTCACAACTCCTCCTCGCATCGGATCACCCTCCCAACCCTCACCATCCGGAAAACGTCCCTTGACTCTCGCAATATACTCCTTCCTCACAGTCCTTCCTCTCAATTTCGCACTAATCTCCTCCGCCTCTTTACTCGTTTTGCCAATGAACATGACACCACTCGTCAGCCTATCCAGCCTATTACAAGGTAAAGGATTAAACGCATAATGCCTCTCCGCCCTCATAATCTCCACGACCGAATTGTATTTATACCGGCCCGCAGGATGCACAGGCACGCCCGCTGGCTTATCAATGACAATCATACTGTCCGTCTCATTGATGACCCGTACCGGCTGCGCAGAAACAGGCGGCTCATGTCTGTGCAACGTATGGCTGACCACGTCCCCATTCTTCACTTTCGTATGAACATCTTTACATGGCTTTCCATTCAACACGATCTGCCCTGCCTCGATAGCATCTTTGTAGTACTCCCTCGACCGATCTCGAAACTCAGCCGCGAAGATATCGAGGATCTCACGGTCGCGCCATCGCTGCTTGCAGTAAGTGTTGTAGGTGTAGTGGTAGGGCGCTACTCGTCGCAGGCCGTTCTCGAAGTAATACGGACGAGGCCAGCCGCCGTCGCAAGGTGTGATTGCGACTGCTGGGGGAGGTGGGAGGTCTGGTCGGTCGTCTTTACTGAGGTCGACTTCGCCGTATGTAGTGGTGGTCAGGGCCATACTGGGTGATGGGTACCGGCCTCGTCTTGCCAGGTAGGCGAGGACACGTGGTGACGGCGCCAATTTGTTCGGGTTTGTGGTTCGTCTTTGCTTGTGTTTGTATCGAGAACTTTTGGAATAATGTTGTCGACTCCAACAATTCAAGTTACTCCGCAGGCTTGAGGAGTCCTGTATCTTCTGAGTGTCTATTGCACATGAGGACAGCGAACTCAGGTTATCAGTGAATGTGCTAAGCTAAGAGCCTAGCACTGAGAGTCGTGAAGCTGTCGGTCCGGACGATGAGATGAAGGCTTCGATGCGCGTCTATTAGTGTTATTCTATATATACATGTCTACGATTCTACGTCGCTCTCAGGAATAACGTCTATCACATCAATCCACCATCAACTCCTCTAACCACTTCATCCACCTCTTGTCGTTCAGTATAGACCTGACCCGACACTCAAGCCACTCGCTGTTTCCCCAGAAACCCCAGCTAGCCTGGAACCTCAACCAATCCACAAGCGCAGTCTCCCAATGCCTTACGAACTCCTCCCACTCGTACTCCTTTGAGGACACCTTCCGAAGCTGAGACAGATACGCACGAAGAAGTTGCTCCTCACCTGTCTGCATCGTGAGCTCCGAGCTAGTATAAACCACACCCAGATCATCCACTAGCATCTGAAGAGGTATGGAGCAGGTGAACAGCTTTGCAAGATCACACACACCAAGTCCAAGACCGACATATTGGAAGTCGTAGAATGCCACAGCGTCACCACTGGCAGTCGTGAACAGATTCTCACTTTTCACATCGCCATGAATTAGCGTCTTGTATGGCTCTATCGCCCGCGAAGAAGACAACAACTCAGCTGCCAACTCAGCGATACTCGACCTCCCTGAACCTACTGGCTGGCACAACTTCGACGACCACTCCAAATCAGAATCCCCTTGCAGATCAGCATATTCTTTCCGCCGTGTAGCAAGGTAAGTATACCCTCCATTCAGCCACACTCCCCCTTGTGCAGGCAGACTCAAGCTTTGATGCTGTGCATAATGCTCAAGGGGTGGGAGCACACATTGACTATGGTCGAAATCGTTGGTGGACATCCACCACAAGCCATGAAATCCAGCTAGCCAGTTCAAAGCGGCCTTCACCTGTATCTCGTTCAAAGTGCCTCGCTTCTCACCTGCTATCGGAAACTTCTCTCGTAGATCTGTCAGAACCATAGCTGTAGTGTTCGTCCCGCCTGAAGATGAATTGATGCTCGCTATACATGGTGCCACGGCGATTTGTGGTGGCATCCGAGGCGCAAGGTGTGTATAGAAGAATTGCTCGACCTGGTAGGAGAGGACTTTGCGGATGTGCCCTTCTTCCACGGACTTGTTGGCATTGCCGCTACCTCTCCCCGTAGTCGTTGGTGGCTGAGTGGCCGTCAGCACAGTACCCTGTCCTGCTCTACTTTTTGAGCAAATTGTCCGAGCCTGAGAAGGCGCTTACTCGCTTCAATGTCCCTATATAGCATGACTCACCTGTATATACTTCAATATCAAAGACTGTGGCTTGTCATCACCAGCACATATCTGTGTATGCGATAGTTTCGACTCCGCAACCCCGTCCCAAGTAGCTTCGACATGACAGATGTGACCATACCCAGCCCATAGCGACTGTATAGACGTGCACGAAGAGACTTGTAGACCCTGTGGATGTAGAAGATCCGTCGCTATCTGCGCGATGTTTGTGGGAGACTTCATTGCTTATAGTTCGCAGACTGCAAAGGTGATTGCATACTCAACCACGGATTTAGGATTCAAGTCAGGCGTCTGAAGACTGTCAATTTTAATACTATATGTCAAGAAGGATTGGTAGACCCGTAGGGCCAGGGGTTCAATACTCTTCTACATTACTACTCATGCCAAGACTCCTAGACGGCCAATCAACATGCGCCGGACACAACTGACGATAATAAAATATTATGGTACATGCTTCGGTAGACCTAATGGATGTTCGCCCAGACGACCAATTCATACGCGCTTCGTCGTAACTGATTCCTCCGTCTTCAGTGTACATGCAGTTCGAGACCTGATTCGCCGTTGACCCTGTCAGTGTGCTTCACGAATACGAACATACTGCTAATGCTGGAATACACCAATTCCCTGGTTGTCGTCTTCAGAGAGCGTGGCAGCACTAGAACAAAGCTGTTGCGAGCATTAACATTGCACTTGAAACGCTGTAGTCTAGGGGTACGGCTACAGCAGTCACTTGACCACTGGTATGCTGATCAAGACCGCAGCGAAGTCGGCGAAGTCAGCGTACCCTAGGCTTTTCGCCTCGTGAAGTGTTGCGCGTATCAAACGATGTGCCATCCATTCGCTTTTGTTGATAAAAACTTGGTAAATGACACGACGCAAGTATTATCCAAGTCAAATATTGACGATCAGGGTACGTCGCAACCCTCAATGGGAACGCAAGTATTTCCGCCCGGACATTCTGTATAGAAAAATCCGGCAGCACAGGCTTTGCCATCGGGGCAATCAGCATCGGATGTGCAATTCTCAAAACAGTCTGCTGAACCGTCCCGATTGCATATGCCGATAGAGCGATCCTCTGCGCGGCTGTCGCAATAGCAGTCATTCCCACAGTATGTCCCTGGCCCAATGGCGGGGTTGTTGCACGTTGTTCCTCGAAACCTGCAGAGCTATTAGTCATGTCGAGAAAATGGATGATGGTTGTGGAGAGACGAAAAAGCGTACGACAACAATACCCGTAGCTTACGGAAGGCAACGATGTGGAAACTTACACCGGAGATGAAGTTGATGTTGAGGTCGAGGTCGAAGTTGTCGTGCTGGTGGACTCCGTAGTGGTCGTCGTCGTTGTGGCAACCTCGTTGGCACATGGATCAACAATCCTTACGGCTAGACTCAGAGCGCCACTTCCTTCTGGTGTCGCAACGTCAGAATATCCTGTACAAATGTCATTTGCATCGTGGGTTACTGACTGACAAACTGCAAGGGTGTTTGAACAGGCGGAAATACAGTCAGCAAGGTTGGCGGAGGCGGCAGCAAATGAGTTGCCTGTAACTGAGCCGACATTGCACTTTTCTTTGGTAATAAACGCCTCCAGAAAAGAATATAGCATCTTGGACACATTCAGCGGCTGGAGAAGGATAGCTACAAGCAGAAGTTGTGGTCGTGGACAAAGTCGTGGTGGTCGATGTTGTGCTGATCGTTGTTGTGCTCGGCAAGTTGGCAACGCAGATCTGTTGTTCGTTGAACGGCGAGTTCGCGCCGCAAATAGATAGGCCAGGACCCAGCATGACACAGAACGTTTCAGGGCCAAAGGATTCGCAGTCTAGGTCGTAAATGCAGGCTCGGCCTTCGTAGAACTCGTACACGCAGTACGTCTGATCATCATCACAACCGGGTCGACGCTCATAGCAACCTGGGCAACCAAGTTGATTGTCCTCAGGCGGAAGGTCACTGCGATAGCAGCCCAAGCCGGGGTCGCACAGGACCAGATTGTTGTTTTTGCATACGGGTGCTTCAGATGTGGTAGTACTCGTAGTTATTGTCGTTATGGTAGTGCTCGAGGTCGTCGTTAGTGTTGTCGTCGTGAGCGTCGTTATTGGTACAGCTGAGCTGGTCGTGGTAGAAGTCTCTGTCGTCGTGGGCGTACTACTGCCAGTAGTGCCACTTGTGGAGGTGCTGGACGGGGCACTTGTGCTTGACGAAGGGGTGGAAGTAGTACTGGTGAAGATTGACATTGTGCATGTGGTAGCCATGGTCGTGGATGCGGTAGTGGAAGTGGTTGTTGTGCTACTGGTGGCTGTAAAAGACGACATTGAGGTTGTGGATGAGGTGACATCCATCGTCGAAGTCGTTGGAACAATACCATGCGAGGCGCTAGTCGTGCTGTTTGACACATCTGTGATGACTTGCGATGAAGAAATCGTGGTTTCAGGATTGGTAGTAGTGTTTGCTTCGCTCGAGCTTGTTGTAGTTGGTCTGCTGATTAATAAGCCATTGTCTGTCACATCAATCAACGTTCCAGGTATGGAGGATGAAGACGATGTTGTAATTGTGCGTCTACCCAACAAATCATCGTTAGTTACATCTAGGGACAGTGTGCTGGTCGTCGTGTTCAAAGGAACGATGTCAGTGACGTTGACTGTGGTAAATACAGTTGAATATTCTGTAAATGTAATCGTGTACTCGTAGTCAGCGCATGTGAAGAGCGTCAGTTGTGCTTCAATAACCAACGCAAGCAACAGGCCAAGCAAAATTACTGGCTTCATCGCGAACACGAAAAGGTTCTGTGATCAGCAAGCACAGAGAACAATTCATCCTGTATATTAGACCTTTACCAGCTCGATCCCATCGTGTCTGGATCTGTGAGAAAGAGGTTCTGGCATTCCGAAGCGAAGGTCAATGCTCAGGTGACTTTCTGACAGCCAGCTGCTTCGCTCACGTATTGGTAGAGAGCTTCGCAGTGGGCGTTTTGTTTTGTGAGGTCAGCCATCTCGCCGCAATGGTTCTGTGATGATGGCTGATAACTCTTCTCAGACATAGTTCACAACGGCTCGAGGCAGCACATCGCAAATGTGAAATGAGTCAGACGAGACGTGACAGGCTTGAGGATGGGAAATGAAGTTGACGCGTGAATTGAAAACGCGCTAGCCACTTAGATTGTTCCTGCCTTTCAAGTTTCGCGATGGGTCCGCTCCCAACATCTCCTGCCCAAAACCTTTGAAGCTCGGTCATTTGGCAGCAGTTCGATACGTAGCACTTTGATTCACGTTTTGTTTAGCATGAGTAACGAACGATGCCTGCATAGAGCGCCTTATTTAATCGGCTCGTCTTTCCCAGGACCCGTTGTATCACCGCCCTCCTCCAGCGCTTTCTGCTCAGCATCAATGGCTGACTGATTGACATTCGGTATCGTATCTACCTTCCCGTCATTCAGTCGATGCGGTGGAAGGAACACATCGAACCACCTAGGTAAGATAACACCCAATCCAATGACTAGCAAACACACATGAGCCAAGGTGAAACCCAGAATATGTAGTGGGTCGTAACGGAGCAGGTAGAAGCTCGGATATGCAAAGCTGAAAATGATTGCCAGAATTGGCGCGCTGATGTAGCGCATGAGCAGAGGCCAGAACGATGGTATGGTCCAGTTCTTGCCAGTTCCGACAATCAGATTCAGATCTCGTCGAAGTTGGTTGCCCTAGATTATCTGTCAGTATTTGACTACATCGTGAATGTTGTAACTTACGGAGTAGAAGGCCAGATACCAGAAGCGACTGGCGTATGTGTTCCGAGCCCAGAATCTGGCAGCTCCAGAGGAGGGTGTTTGGCTTAACGTTACTGACGCCACAGCACCAGCGACGTACAGGCCAAATCCGAGTCCGGCACCGGCTGGCGGACTAACTGCATGCGCGACAGCCACTCCGAAAATCATGCCTCCAAAGTATCCGATATTGTATATCGTGAACGCCAAAAGACCGACCTGGTTGGTCACGTCCTTCCACCTGTAGACCGTGGTAGAACATACACATTCGGCCCACACCACGAATATCAAGGCGACGTCATTAATCCATCTGTCGATGCCTTCGAGGAGATAATAGCCGAACTGGGTGCAGTATGGTAACGAAAGTAGGAAGGAGATCATTACCAAGATTGTGACAACGACCGGTCGTGACAGCTTCGTGCCTGAATCCATCCACATCGTGACTATTGCGTCAAGTTGAGCGAATGCTGAGCTGAACCCGAGAACCATGAGGGTAAAGAAGAGGGCGAAAGCCCAGAAGTTCGCTCCTGGCATCTCAGTCACAGCTAACGGTAGGGTTAGGAAGCCAACAGTAAAACTGCCGAGGCGAACACCATCCTGAGGAAACAGTCGAAGGTAACCAACAACACCGAAGACAGCAAAGGCAGCAAAGTTCTCGAAGAGTACGTTGCTGCAAACGATCAGGATAGAGTCCATCACTGCATTGGAATATTTCTGGTTGTATGAGGCGTAGCTGGTGAAGTAGCCGAAACCCACACCAGTAGACTATTGGAATGTTAGCTTTACTGCCTGATAATAGCACACGCCTTGCGTCGGCTTTAAGGCGTCGTCGGGTCGATGAATATACTCACAAAGAAGACTTGGCCACAAGCAGTCTGCCAGATTTGTCCACGGGCAAGCTCACTGCTGCGCCAGGTTGCCCAAACCAATCCAACTCCTTCACCAGCATTTTCTAGCGAGCAAGCACGACCGACTAAGATGATCGTGATGACGATCGGGAGGCCCAAGGTAAAATAGACGACTCGACCGGTAAGTCCAACTCCCTTGAAAATGCAGAGCCAGACAAGAAACCAAGTAAATGCTGTCCAGCCGACTGTTTCTCCTACCAGACCTATTCCTGGATATGACGTATAGGAGAGCACAGAGCTACCGTCTTCACTGAGACTTCCTACGATAGGGTCAACGTTCGCAACGACGTCTTGGTAGTAGAACTCCTCGCCTCTGCCGGTCCAGGGCAGCGGACTTGTGAAGGAATTGCGGAAATAGTCCATGATCCACGCCAAATTCACCACGAAATAGTGTCCGACGAAGAAGGCGACAAACAGCAAGCCAAGACCAAGACCTCTTAGTCGATGGTTGACATTGTTGTAAGCAATGACGCTGCCACCACGGTATGCCTGTCCAATGGCTATTTCGAGGACCAGTACTGGTATTGCAATGATGAAGACCGCCATCAAGTATGGCACAAACCACTGTAGGCCATGGTTGTTGTATACTTGAGAAGGATATCGCAGAAGGTTTCCCATTCCAGCGCAGCCTCCCATTGCAGCAAGAATGAAGGACGTCCGCGACGGCCACTGATCACGCCCATCCTCGGATTTGTTAGCAGGGGGCGCCAGCCAGTTGCCCGCCTTCTTGAGCGTGTTCATCCTGATGTGGATGATGCACGTGGGCTGAATTGCTCGCTGCGCGATGACAGGGACGGCTGCTCGAATTCCGCTTCGGCTCAAGTCCCTCAAGCTAGGTCGTTGTTTTGAATAGCTCGTGCTCGTAAGTCAAACGATGCGCTCACAGCTCGGCTCATATGAAAAACTGGAAAATGTAATCTGTGCGTACTATCGAGGTCCGCATATGGTAAGCACGTTCGCGAATTTTCAAACTGGGGATTGACACATTGGCAGACAGACCCGAATCCTCACCTTTTGTTCATTTGTATTGAGGGCCATCGCAAACCATGACGTCGACCAACAGCGCACGCGATGAACCGCGACGAAGCCAAAATTTTATCGTGTCCAAGATACTACCAAGGAGTAGGGGTGGAGATTTGGCTGTGTCATCCTTGCGGAAAGAACAGAGTCTTCCTGGCTTCTCAGCCGCATGCACTGTTGAGAATCAGAAAAACACGTGAAGGTTTATGTTAATGTACACCTAGCGCCGCAAAGTTCCTGACTTGAGAACGTGGAGTAGGAGAAGGGAAGGTGATTTGGCTTCACTCGGGAGGAGGTCGGATCTGCCAAGATGCCAAGCTCACGATGCCAAGATTAAGCTGCATGACCTCATAGAGGACAAATAGCATGGCTGCTTTGCCCAAGGATAGGTTGAAGGCCACGTTGTTGGAAGCTTGGCTGATTGCCGGCTCCCCGGAAGTAGATCGCGAGGGACAATACATGTGGAAGCTCATGAGTGTGCGGTGATATGCAGAATATTAGCTCAGCAGACACAAAGAGTCACACTATGCAATGTGGGAGGAAAAGCTGGTCACAATCGTCAGCTGTAAGTTTCTGTACGTCAAAGAATGAAGACAAGTAGGGCTAGCAACAACGTAGCAGCAAGCATGCAATCCGTAAAGTGGTGAGCTCCGTCCGGCCCTTCATAAATATGCCGACAGCAGGGTTGTGGCCGAGTAACATTGAGGATTTCCGAGTCGACCTAAACGTCGTGATAAGCATCATAGTGAGAAGTCCCAGACATTGAACACGGTATCAATGAAGTCCACCGAGAATCTGCTTTGTGCTGGACCACAGCAAAACAGACGTGTCATAGCCTCACAGACCTTCTCATAAAACAAAAAAGAAGCTGCAGAACTCTTCACATTCAACAAGTGTTTGGTTTCGAATCTTGAAGTTTGAACCTGTAGGGTTCTTGTTGCGCCATGATGGTCTTATTCGTATATGTGCCCACGGCACTGTTTCTATCTGCAACTTTCAAAGGCTGCATTTCAGGTAAACCGTATCGACATACCACGCTCTCTTCGTTCCTGCTCACCAAATGCACGCATCGACCTTTGCCGTAGCGAAAAATGCTAAAAGAACAACCTAGCCACTATCTTCACATTCACGACTTGGTTGTGACTCTAGCCTTGGAGTTGGTGACCTTTACTCCCAAAGCCTTTGCCTTTGCGATAATCTCGACTCGTTTGCGGGAGGAAACAGCGTGTGCGATCTCTGCGGCATATGTTCGGTTGTGCATGAGGAGGAGTTCAACGTCTTTTGGGTTGTTGACGAGGAATGCTTTGTGGCCAGAAGGCATCATATGTCTGGTCTTCTTGTTGGAGCCGAAACCGATCTGTAGCAGTCTTCTGTTAGCGCCTGCACCTAATTGTTCACCAATGGCTTCCAATATTCTTCAACCACAGTTCCGACTTCTCTTGCTTCCTCAGATGAGCGAACATACCGAAGGCATAACCATCTGACCCTTAAATCGTCTTCGAACTCTGTTGTCGATACCCTTTGGCTTTCTCCATGCCGCCGGCACACACTTGAACATGTCGGACTGATGTCTGTGCCATTTCTTTGGGTGCTTCTTGACGATAGCAACGTGCTTCTTCGCGGACACCATCTTCGCAGTATGTCAGTATATCGTCTCTTCGAATGCGCAGGGTGGTCGCTGACCTTGTCGGTTGTGTGATGGTCGATAAAGTGGTCAAAATACTATTCTACAGGGCTCGAGATCGTAATCGCGTAAAGTTCGACAATTTGCGGCGATGCCAAGCCTGTGTGCTTTCGGTAGACCTTCTTCAAACAGTACGTCTAGTAACCTGGAGGTTGATGCGGGTTATCTCAGGAATCTCCAAAACCCTTCGAAAACCTCCAAAAGCCTGAACTGACGGTCACAGGTTGTGCCGCTAACCTGTATTCTACTTGGTATGCAAGACGGCAACTTTTCGACCTGACACAACGAACCTCAACTTCACGCTGATGAATGAGGCCCGAGCTCAATGTCCGTCACAATCTACAACTGCTGATACTTCAGATCTATTGGCTTTCCTTCCTGCTCACCACTCCTCAGGCAGACCTCGATGATCTCAAGATCAGCCAATGCTTCTCGAGGACTTTGCAAAGCGTTCTCCTTTTCATTGGATAGTGCCTCGCCCCATGCTCTCACCTCTGGTGTAACACCTGAACCCTCCTCCTGGATCTCTTCCTGTTTGCCATCGACTGTCACGATATTACCAGAAACAGACACAAATCCTTTCTCGCAACCGATATGATACTCCGACCCTTTCACTGTGGTCCCAACAGACATCGACATACTGCCCACAGCTCCGCTTTTTGTCTTCGCTACGGCCTCGATGGTGTCAACAGGAGGCAGGTGTTCCTGTAACTGTGCAGTTTGAGCAGAAAGATTGACAATCGGGTCATCCTTTCTCAGCAACAATCTCAAGACTGCAGCAAAATGAACACCACCGTCAAGAAGAAAACCACCTTGATGAGTAGGTACCTTGCGCCAATCAGTCTCGTAATACTTGCCACCAGGCTCAACCAGCATTTGTTGTCTTGCTCGAAAAGTCAACGCTCGACCCATCTCCGCTCTCTGCTCACCAGCATGAACGCTGGCTGCCCAGAATCGTACATTCTCCGCCACACCCCAAGTCACACCTTTGGGTGCGATTTCCTTCTCGTGCCACTCGATAAGCTCAACCGCATCTTTCACATTTTCTGCAACAGGCTTCTCACTGAGCACATGCTTCCCCGCAAGCAGAGCCTTTTTGATGTATTCAGGCTGGTTTTTGATCGGCAGAGCGATGATCGTAGCGCCAATATCGTTTCGTGCGAGCAAATCGTCCAACCCCTTGCCCTCTCCTGAGTCGTCTGAATAGAGGTCGACTTTGCCCGGATCAGTTCCCAATGACTGTGCTGATTTCAAAGATCGTGAGTAGATCGCTTTCAAAGTAAGATCTTTTGATTTTGTAACAGCTGGTAAGTGCTCTTCTCGAGCGAAGATGCCACCACCTAGAATCGCTACTCCAATTGACATGGTTGTGATCTGTTCCTATCAACTACTGGCAGTGGTAGCTGTCTAGGGTCTTGCTGGGAATTGGTGTAGAATATTTCTCTGTAGACTCGGAGCACTGAATTCCGAGTTCACAAAGCCGAGGACTTGTAGTGCGACGTTATGGCCAAAAACGAGTAGTTCCCATGTTAATGTCAATCAACGTTGAGGAAGGCACGAACGAGGGGTGATGTGACTAGGCGAGCTACAGTACGTCATCGAGCTATATTCTAAATATGGTAGTGCTCTGAAGACGAGAAGTCGCACTTGATACACGGTAGAACGAGTCTTATTCCCAGAAGCATCAAGGATCGGATTAAACTTCTAGGAATGCTTTTTCAGTATCGCTTTTCCTCAATTTTCAAGATCAAAAATGAACATGACCCTGTAATAACACGATATAGCTTTTCTCTAATACGTTACATTCTTTTCCGTCTACAAATAAATTTGCGTGCGCCTTCAAGGAATCAAGTCAGCATATGATTCACTGGCAATCTTCTTGACCCTAGTACCGTGGCCGGCCCGGCACAATAGGCTCACCAAGGTTTCGAATTGGACTGCGGCATCTCTGTTGACCACAAATGGATGGTCTGGGAGGTGTCAAGTACGTACCATTCAGATGGAGGCGATCACACTCATAACCTCTTCTCACCTTGTCGTACGACGGCCACGGCTTCGAACTCTCACACCCTAATGACTGAACACTTCTCAGGTGGGTTTCGACATCGACTTTGGGCGCTGGAGGCATAGGCTTCGAAAATTTGAACGTCTGGACGTTATCGATCTTCTTCTTCACGAAATGATCCATGTCGTCGTCCCACGAAAAACGTGTCGATCGAACGCGGTCATAAGACGTTCGTCGTGGTCGTGGTCGTGGTCGTGGTGTTGGTGCAGGCGGGCCATGAACACCCGGATTTCCTCTGCTGCGAAGTGGTGATCGTGGTGAGAGCATGGGTGGAACGACGCCACTACTTAGTCTACTACCGTAACCATCTCTAGTAGATCGCGTCGGGGGACCGTCTGACCTCAAACCTCGACGATTGAACGGTGTGCTATCTCTTGAAGCAGAAGGCGTGAGTGGTGGCATATGGAGTGAAGTGCTTTCCCCGCCACGTAGAGCACTGACTGTTGCAGATCGACCTGAAGAGACAGAGGCTCGATGCAACAGTGCCTGCAGAAATGTATTGCAGCTCGGCGATTTTGAGTCTGATTGCCGTCTCGGGTCGTATAAGGAGGATCGACGATCAGTAAAACTCGAGGCACGACGTGACAATGGCGAGATCGGCGTATTATGCTGCTTGTCGTTGTCGTCATCATCATCGTTGGTAGCAGCGAGGACTGTGCCATCATCTGTCGTTGGTCTGCCAGACCACCGGATGTTATAAAACGTGAACAGAGCCTTCAGTTTGACCCAAGAATGGCAATAGCCAAAGACAATGTAAAGAGGGAAGAAGTAGAAGACCTCCTCAGGGTGTCGTCTGAAGTAGGGATACAACTTGATCATCTTCGACCCCAAAATTATTGCTGCAATGTGATACCACTGGACATTCTGATATGTTGAATGGTACCAGGTGTAGACGATGAGAGGATCCCAAATAGCGGCGAAATTAAAAAACCATGTGAGATAGACTGTTAGTGACGTCCAGGGGTGATCTATCCAGACTGTAGTATCTCGGAATAATGAGGTAGCATTACTTCGCCATTGTGTTCGTGCCCAACGGTCAAATTGGCCACAAATCTTGCCCCATCCATCAATACCCAAGGTGGTATACATAATCTCCTCGTGCTTGGTGTCGTTCTGGAATTTGATGCCAAGCCTCTTCTTAACCACATACCTAGTGATGTAATTGTCATCGTCACTGTTGAGTGGGCCGAAGCGGTTGAAGAAGAATCTTTCGTTTGTGAAGCCTCTTCGAAATTCTTCCTCTATAGCGACTCTTGCACGTATCGCTAGAGTACGAGCCGAGATGACCATGACACCTCCATCAATCGCATTTGCAGCCGAACACTCGAAGTTGTGGCGTTCCAGGTAGATTGAGCCAATGAAGTTGATGAAAGAGTCCTTGAAGCCACGTCCCCGGTCCCGCGCAACTCGCTTCCTGGTGCCTACAAGAGCTACATGCTCGTCCTCAAGTGGTGCTAGGAGATGTTCAAGGAAACGATCACCATTCCACCACACGTGGTCGTCCACGAAGACCACAATAGTGTCCCTATTCTGATCTTTGTGTTCGGCCAATCGATCTAGAACATGGCACATCTGCTGACGCTTGTGACCATATGGGATGTGGTCTATCGTGATGAAGGTAGGGTGATTTGTGGCGTGGTTTAGCGCATGATCGACTTGCTCGGCTGCCTTTTGTTTATGTTGCTCGCCTCCGCAGACAACGGTCAACCAGCCAGGGGAATGCCGAAGGATACTCTGGACGCACTTTACGAAGGCTTCGTTGCCAGGGTCAATGGTAGGAAGCACAACGTGAACGTTCTTCGCGGTTACAGTAGGGTTGGCTGGGATTGGGTCTGGTTCGTAGAGAATGTAGTAGGCAAGGAAATTGCCAACAAGTCGGTAATAGCGGAGGGCCACGATGATAAGGAAGCGGTAGTTGGGATCGGCCAAGGCTGAAGTGATCTGCTCCCAGTAGCTCGAGATAATTCGGAGGAGCACAATCGGCAATCCTGTCAGCCACGGTCGTCCAGTAGCTTGGGTCCAGGACAGTACTGCTATCAAAGGTATCCAGCTAGCAACACGTATGTACTCGTACTCCATCGTTGGCAGCAGTCTTCATCAGGAATATGGCAGTGTTTTCGCTGGGCAGATACTTGGAGCATGAGGAAATTCGTTCAGAAGAATTAAGCAGATTCGAGAGCACCGAGAGTGTCCTTGTGGGATGGACAACAAACGGAACGCCGCAACGAGCATGGTGTAGTCACAATATATCGAGTGTACACAATGGTAAACAGACTCGTGACAGGGAAGATTGGCTGCACTGGGAAGCGCATTGTTTCGACATACCTGTCACTCGTGGATGAAGAATCGAACTTACCAGCATGCACTTCTCGTGTCACTTGTTCTTATAAATCGTCGAATAATGACAATTCGGGGCGCTCTTTACCTGTATATATGTGTGTATCGAGACTGGGCGCTATGAGACGAGGACATTCAGCCTTCGTGCTTGAGTGGTTGAACCATAGGCGAGTGACGCTATCGTTTTGTGTCTACCAATGAGCAACGCATCTTGGCTCTATTGTTGAAGCTCGAGCTCGAAAACACTTTGACAATGGTTTGCAGGCATCGAGACGAAAACATCGAGGTCTTGCTTTGTTGATGCGGTGAGCGATATTCGTTCGCGGCAGCTGGACAACAGACGGCGCGTTTCCTTCTGCGCCACTGCTCTATCGAGTCTGCAGTTACATGAAGATATTTGCTGCATCTTTGATTAGCACAGAATCAAGACGTTGTACTTCTTGAGGGTTTTCCGTTGCGTGTTGCAGTTTGGTGGCCCAAGCGCCACGGATATTTGCCTGATTCCAGTGCAGCAAACACCCAGGTACCTATCTCGATCAAAGACCTTATTATACGAACACGCATTAGTGGCAGCAAGGTCGAAGTTCAAGTCAGACCTACAAAGCATATCGTTTTTCTCAATGGGGAAGGACGTAGCTTCTCGGCATAACGGCACTGACTGCTGGTGGTGTTGACTCGGTTACAGCACTACGCCATCAATGGGAAGGAAGGAAGGCAGGCAGTGTCTGCCGACGAAACTTATCTGCTCAGTGAGCCAATGTTGTAGCCGTGGCAGTGGTGGAATCAGTGAACCGTGTTCTGGGAAGGTGCTATCAAGAAAGCAAAGTTTTTGACGCGTTTTTCAAAACGGGATCAGAGCCAAGAAGCGATTGACCTCAATCAGCCATATCACTTGAAGCGCTGCTACTTAAAGTCCTTGTAACCGCAGTCATCCCAAAGATAATCTAGATACATTCACAAGCACATGCTTAGAGACAATCTACAGTTACAAGCAGTGGTAACAGTGTCACATACATAGTTTGCGCCACGTCAGTTCTGGTTGCCAAGAAGCCCTCCTTGCATTCCGAAATCCAGGTCCTCACAACATGAATAACAATAACCCGCACCACCAGTTCCCCTTCAACTCCGACACACAGAAACATCACGCGCAATTCTCAGACTCATCAAGACCTTTTCCTCCTCCTCCACCTAGGTTAAGTAGGATACCATCGATACCAAATCAGCCGGATTCAGGTCCAGTCTACTCACATAGAGGATCATACGACGCGTCGCCATACTTCTCACCTCAAGCCAGTCAGTCTTCTTCATACTTTCCTGGTCAGACACAACAGCCAGCATCATACCTTGCTGGTACGCAAACGCAACAGCAGTACACATCCTATTTAGCTGGTCCTGCACAGCCATACTACGGCCAATCGGGCGACTATTCGGTACCGGAAGACAACATGGCTAGATTGCGAAATAGGCCACAAGTCAACTACAGTGACGATGCATATTCCACAAACGAGTTCAACGAGCGAGTCGCCCCTCAACAACGTATCCCACCACAACCTCAGCCCATCATGTCTGCTCCACTCCCAGTTCAGCAGCCGTTACAACAAGCACAACCAGTAGCGTCAATACCACAAGCCATGCCACAGCACAATCTTCCGCAGGTCGAAGTCAAGACCAAGTTCCCTGTAGCGAGGATCAAACGCATCATGCAACTGGATGAGGATATTGGCAAAGTAGCACAAGCTACACCAACAGCTGTTGCCAAATCGCTGGAGCTGTTCATGATCGACCTCGTGGCCAAAGGTGCCGCCAACGCCAAAGATCAGGGCAGCAAACGTGTGACCGCGACGCACTTGAAGAATGCGCTGCTGGCCGATCCACAGTACGACTTCTTGAGCGAGATATGTGAAAACATCCCAGATGAAAATGTCAAAAAGAGTCGAGCAAAGTCCGAAGCAAAGAGTGATAGTGACGACGAAGATATCACCGCCGCCGCAGCACCTAAGAAGAAAAAGGCTGCCGGCAAGAGGAAAAAGGCGGGAGGAGAAGATAGCGACTAGCAGTCAAACCTCTACCAAGACCGAGTCATCGCATGCCCGCTCTGCGGTCGAACATGGACTGGTCGCTTTCGCAAGTCCAGGTGGAACAGACATCTGGACGACCGCCTCTTTGGCAAGGCAGCGCTGGACGACCAGCATCCCATGGACGAGCTTGTGCGGCTCAGAGGCCATTGTGCAGCTCGGACGGCTTACCAGACTCGTTATGTAAGATTCCTGCCCCAGCCTTGGGATGCGTCGCAGTAAATGAAGCAGGAAACAATATAGATAGAAATTCCTACCCACACTGGGTTTCATTCGGTAGTTGAATACAATCAAGCTATTATTCTTTATTGGACACTCGGCAACTGTTCATTCGACCTTGTTCGTGTACACGCTTGCAAGGCTCGCAGTACGTGAATTAAGTTCTCCTATGGAAGAAGATCGGGAACAGTAGGCAATGTTGATACCGCCAGTCAGGTAGAGAAGGGTAAATTGGCCAACCCGGTATATAACCCATTTCAACTCAGCATAACCCGGCAAACCCTGACCTTGGTACAAACTGTCCATCAATTGAATGGACCTGTCTCAGAGAGATGTGGTAAGCAACTCTAACCATAAGGTAGAGGAGTATCTATTGTAATTGGGAATAGTACGAGTAGACAACTGAATACTGTGTCCATCATGGCCACGTTTTCTTCTCGTTGGTTACAGATGTGACTGGGGCTCGATTGCAGGAGCCCTTCCTATCAGCCTACTGTGTATGTAGTGACCAGTGATCAAGCTCCTTCATCTCAATGTCAATTGTCGTATTTCAATAAGTAGAGTTCCATCGGTCTTCCCAAGGGCTCCGGGTATTTGTCGTCCCAAGAGGTAGAGAACGCCTTATGATGCAAATAGATATACCTAATACGCCCACGCTGTGCAATCAAAGAGAGTCAACTAAACACCTTTTCTAAGCACGGCCAGTACAGAACCCACCGCGCTGTTTCTTCCGAGCTCAGCAAGGCTCAGCAAGAAATCTCCAGCGGCAACCCCTAAAAGGCCAATCCTGCTCAATCTGATATTCTATCAGTCTCAGGTGTTGGCTGCGCCGTATGTCGGTTGCAATTCCATCTATACCAAGTAAGTCAAAGCACGCAACGTCGCTCAATCCATATCCTCATTTCCATCATCGTCAACAAAGTCGTCTTCATCATCCAGACTCTCCATCGCGTCCTTGATGAACTGTGCAGCCTGTAAACATGTGTTAATGCGACGCAATATTTAAGGGAACGGAATATGCTTACCTTCGGGTCCAGGTTTAGGGCAACCGTGAATGCTTTGATAGCCTCACTCTTCCTGCCCAGCATCTTACATAGCCGTCCACTCAAGAACCAAACATTAGCTTCATCCGGCGCGATCTCTTTCAAGACTTCCAGCTCAGCCAACGCCTCTTCAGGTTGGTTCATGCTCATCAAGCATCGTGCCTTCTTGAACCTGCTCAGCGCGTTCTTCGGCGCAAGTCGGCATGCACGGTCGTAGAACTTCAGTGCATGTTCGACACCCTTATTCTTTTCCACAACAGTGCCGATAGCACATGTGAGAACTGCATTGGATGGGTTGATGCTCGCAGCTGTTTGATAGTGTACCTGAGCAGTAGGATATTTCCCAAGCTTGGTGTAGACCTTACCGAGACCATACCAAGCATTATAGTGACGGTTGTCAGCAGAAATGGCCATGCGGTAGGCTTCCAGCGCCTTAGGAAATTCTTCGTTTTCAATGTATTCGTGACCTTGTAACGTAAACCCATAGGCAAATGATGGGTCCAGCTGTGTCGCACGCTTGAAGCATTTCAGAGCTTGCTCGTGTTCACGTTGCAAAGAGAAAGAGTTTCCAATTGCTATCCACGTTTGCGGCGAGTTTCGCTCAACCTCTACCATTTCATGAGCAAGGTAGGCAAGCTCAATCTCCGATTTTAGTTGGTACAGCACTGTACTGTAAATTTCCATGTCCTCCAAACGTGAAGGTGCCAGTTGGCGCACACGAATGAAATATCTTTCTGCATCTGCATGCTGCGAAATTTCGTTGTAGGCCCTGGCTATCTGTGCCAGCACGTATGGCGTTTCTTTTTGATTCGATGGTAAGGAATTGAACAGATTGATAGCAGCCTGGCAATCGTAATGCTGGAGAGCATTATGCGCGGAGGCTATGCGAGAGAAGAGGTCAAGTAATGCACGCAAACCATCGATCTCTTTGTCGACTCGATCTTCATCCTTCCGTACTGGCTCCATCATGGCTGGCACAGGTGGTATCGATGGAGGGCGGTTCTCTCTACTATCAGGATCTTGCGGCTCGACACTAGGAGCAGTTTTGATTCTATTGCCGCTAACAGCTCTCCCAACTGTCTGAGTGGTGGCAGTCCTTGGCTTAGCAGTAGGCGCCTTGGCTTTTTTGATTTCTCTCTCTTGCCTCAGACCTAATGAGTTCGCTATCGAAGACATTTTGGTTGTAGTAGAGGTAGAAGTGGAGCTCGGCGGTCTCGATGTTTGTGACCTTGTCGTTCTTCTTATGGGCTCGGTTACCTGGGATTGAGCCACAGCACCGGACACAGTCCGCTTAGAAGGTGGACCTGGTGGTGGTGGCTCGTGGTCTGGCTCCTCGACTGAAGGTTTTAACCTCGTCTTCAGTCTCGAAGAAGTGGCTTTTAATCTTGATTGTTGCTCCGATTGTGAATCGACAGTATTTCTCGGCCTTCGCAAGGGCGCAGACAACGATTCGAACTTGGAACTGCCATTAGTTTGTTGCGCCATCGTGTCTTCGTGGTCAACCACAGTCGAGGGTGTAGGTAACAAATCATCGTCGTGAATGGCATTGGCGGTGTTGACATTGATCTTGCTATTATTCAGCTTTTCATACAGTGCGTTGGGATGTCCGTTGAGCTTTTGTGTGGACAAGAAAGGATCTGCCATTGACTGAGTGGGCTGCTGCGAAGCATTTGGTGGATCTGTGTTCTCTTTCGACGCATGCTGAGCCTGAATCATACCGACCATGTCTGGGTTAAGCTTGTAGATTGCTGGGACGTTTATCTTAGCACCAGACTCGACCAGAAGTGTATAGGCGTCCCACATGAATGGATTTTGTTTCAGAGCAGCTACCCAACACTGTACGGCCTCTTCCATGTTCTTGTGAGCCCTCCACAGTTTGCCCTTCAGACACAATATGACAGCAGCATCTGGTAGGTACTGTCTCTTCGACTCGGTATGCTGATTCCAAGTATTCCTGTTCTGCCATAACGTCCGACTCTTCTCGATCGACTGTAAGCCTTCGATATTCCTCCCCAGCTCCAGGCAAGCCTGTGCAAAGACATGGGTACAGCCCAAGTGGGTACCCTTCGCTGCGAACGAACGACTCGTGTCCAAGGACGCTTTTGTGTACCCAGCTTGAAATTGACAATGCGCCAGAAGGTATGCGGCTTCGGCACTTCGAGGACCTTCGTACGCGACCAGTCTCTGTGCTAGAAACAGGGCATTCTTGAGCAGGTTGTTGTCGAGCTGGTAGTATATCTGGTGTCTCAACTGAGTGGTATTGACAGTGGTTGAAGGCGCCATGGCTGTGGTATTATGCTAATACAAGGTATGCGATCCACGATTGAGGTCATTGAAGTCGATCTGATCGTGTTTGAATCTAGTCGTTGTACTGTGTACTTGGTTGCCAGGTCGTCACGTTCGTTGCCAAAACATATGAAAGGCGTTAGCTATTGTATTACTGTTCGCAAAGCATTGTGCCCAAAAATCTCGCACCAGGCGCCGATCACTACCAACGCCAGGGTCGTAAAGTTGTAAAGATACAGTGCAGAGGCAGAAGGACTGGCTTGTTGTCACGCTGTAGCGTCTTGTTGTGATGAACGCGGAAGTAACGAGGCTGGAAGCTGCAGCCGCCGCCGATGAGCCCACCTTAGCGCCACATTAACGGCGGCCACTCTTGGTGGGACGCCTCTCCTTCCGTCATCATCGCACACGGCCAGTCAGGTCGACAGAAAACAGGACTGCACCAAGATTCCAACAACCCAGCATGGCTCAGGTATGTCTCTGCAAGCAAACATGCCATATTGCGACCGCTAACACTATGGTTGTCTAGAAATCTGCTAAATCGCTGGCTGTGAAGAATAGCCAGCGCCTCAAGCAGACTCATCTCATCACTCTAGCCATCCATCTCCTCTTCCTCCTCCTGGCATTTACTCTGCGACGATCCCTGACCTTGAAACCCTATCTACTTCTCTCAGCGCCTGCATTAGGGCTAGAGTACTGGCTTGATTCCATCGCGCGGCCACAATACAATACAGATGGAGGCTTGCGCAAAGCCGGCGAGGATCTAGATGCTCGAGGTCTAACCGAGTTCTTCTGGGACATTATCTATTGGACATGGATCAATCTGATTGCTGTTGTGCTATTCGGAAACAGGGCTTGGTGGGCATACTTGATCGTGCCTGCCTATGCTATCTATGGCGCCTTCACTACGGCGAAAGGAGTGAAGGGTATGTTCGGAGGCATGGCCGGAGGAGCTGCTGAAGGTGATACCGCTGCTCCAGCACAAAGCAAGAGACAGCAGAAGATGGAGTCGCGCGGAGGTCAAAAAGTGCGTTATAGGTAAGAAATACGGTAACAAATTGGATACTCTCAATACCTGATCGCCAATCTGCTTCCAAGCAAGACTCAAAAATTCACACCCAAAAGTGGCAGTGACTTTCTCGGAACAATATGGAGGATCTTTGACTGTCTGAGAAGATGTTCCGATAAGATACCGTCCCTTCGATAAGCGAGCAACGCAGGTGGAAAGCAAGAAAAATCATCGAACATCTTGTCCACTGAAAGCATCATACTACAGACTTTCGCCAGCACAAAAGACCCTTCGATCGAAGGACTGTGTCATACGAGGTACCGAAACGCTGGCCAGCGATCTAAACAAATCCAGGAGACGCCAGCCCATCTCGTGCAAGATGTGTCAAGTTCGCTAAGCACTTCCTTTCAAAATGGAGGAGACTTCCGATCGATATTGACCTATCCATGAAGTAGATTTAAGGATTGTTGCTGATATGAGAGATGTGTCGGGAGAAGATAAGCGATTGTGGCGTGGTAAGAGTGAAGATCAGGTGATGCATAACAAAAACGACACCAGGCGAAGCAGTCCCTCGGTCACAGTGCTCACATGTTTGGGGATACCGATCTGATCCGCTACGAGGCTGAAGTAGCACTCAATTGGACATTGGGTAGCCTGTGAATGGTGGTAAGCAAAAAGCCAGTCTGTACAGATGGATAAGCAAGAAAACACCCGAAGGCGATAAAGAACATCCAATGATACAGCAAACGAGGTATGACGGAGTGAGCGTGTATCTGAGTACATATACTCGTTCATTCTCTTCTAAAGAAATATATTGCCAAAATGTTGTCTTACACGAAGTGAAAATCTGCCTCGATACGCTCTGCCAGCTTATGGCCTGCATCTTACCACACAATAGTAATTTGAACGGGCAAGTCGGACTCCAAAAGTTCCAAATCCATCGTCTTCCATAGCACCACAACGCCATGCTCTAAAAGCATCAAGTGGGATCTGAAGTTGGGCTATATGATTCCACCAGGTAGCATCCTAGGCTCCTGACCCATAGTCCTCACACTGGCAGCAGAACTCTGTATGCCTGTGCCGGCGGTGCCAGGTCTTATTGCTGAGATCGCACCGGTACTGCTCCCAGGAATGTCGCCGACAATACCGTTTGCCAGTTTTCTAAGCATGAACATCGGCTTCTTGCCTTCTCGATCCAGGTCTTTGAATAGCGCTAATGGCTTCTCTTCCAGACCTACGCATCGTTCTTGGTCGCCGTATACGATGTATAGTGCATATTGCCGCCAGTCAGCCTGGATGTTGTATTTTCGGAGAGCTGCAGGCAGGACTTTCCAACAGGGGTCGTCCAGAGCTACACGGAAGGACTTGAAGATTTGGACAGATGGATCGTCGGCATCTGCACCCTCTTTCGATTCTTTGGACTTAGGGTGTCCATGGCCTGCACTGGATGCTGGTGGTACCGAGGCCGACATCTCACGTGAAGGAATTAGTGTTGAGGCGTTGGAGATTGTGGATGGCTTGTTGCCGATCGTGGTAGCCGAACGATTCGAGATAGGATCAGGTACAATGCCTGTCAATGGTGGCGTAGGTATTGGATTACCGCGATAGGTATAGTTTTCTTCTGTGTAGCCTGAAGCAGGTTCACGGTGGAAGGCCCGAGGTGCCAAAGGCTGGTGCTGCACCCCTGGCATAGGTGAAGTAGGTGAATTCGGATTAGGACTGTAGTGACTGTGGACTGCGCCACCTTGCATGCCAGCAGTCAGTTGATTGCTTGCCGCGGAAGCCGCTGCAGATGGTTGCAAGCCACCCATAGTATCATGCGTAGCTTTCCCTTCAGGTATCGTGCCGGGAAAGTTTGTCGGACTGTGATTTTTGGCTGAGCCACTGCTTAGACCTAGTTTCTTGCTGAAAGATCTTGTTAAGCTGGTCTTCTTTTCTGGCTCCGGCGCAGGAGCAGGTAGTGTGGGTGACATGACCGCATCTTGCAAGTACTCTGGACTGCCCATCGCAACATCATGCGGCCTGTATGGTAGAGGTTCTCGTTCTTTTGCCATTCTGACTAAGGGCAACATTTCTGTCCTCAACCTCCTCGAATCGTCTGCTAGTTTTGCCAGTTGACTCTCCAGTTGGGCAATCTTTTCGTCGCGCAATCTCAGTATTGCGTTGGTAAGTTTTAGGATGTCGTCTTTGGTGGCTTTGTCCTGCTCGATGGCAGTGGCTACAGCTGGAGGAACTTAGTAAATGACCCAACTTGAGTGTACACTACTCACAAGGCGGCACGTAATCATCCGCCTCAATTGGCACATCCTGTTCAACTTTAATGTTGTAAACCTCTTTCAATATCTTCAGCCGATAGCCTGCGCTCGAAACACCCATCTCCTTCAACTCTTCGTGGTTGAGGGCAATTAATGCTTCACCCACAATTCCATGTTCTGCAATGAGTTAGTCCATGCATGTCGCTTGCTCGGAGCTGACCCTACCTATGAATTGCTCGCTGTATTGCTTCAACCCTAGACTAGCCACGAACTGCGCGCACTCTTCGGTCGTCCATGCCGATATTATCGTCCTGGGTCGTATACCGTCGTCAAAGGGCGTGCCGAAAGTAGTGGGTGTATGCTCGTTCGAAGATGGTTCAGACGATGTTTCCGAGTCTGTGTGCGCTCGTATCGGAGAGGCCACGACGCTTCTCTCAAATTCGTCATCCGCATCTGAATCGGCATGGTAGGGCGTCGAGGAGAAAGATGCCATATTTGCGAGCGATGCGAATGTAATGGTAGATGAGATCAGACGCCTTGCCTAACGAGGCGTCCTCAACATCGCTTTCACTAGCAGACTCCTTTCCGGTCCTCGAAATTGGGGAGGCTGCACAATTTAGGATGTTCGCTTGTGAGGACCGTTGTCGCTGAATATGGAGTGGAAGCAGGAGCAGCTCGTTAGTGTTCTGTCACAATCGCTCGAGGACAGCTGCTGTGTAGTGTCGTTCAGAGGCAGGAAGTATCAAGATGTGCTTGTCGTCGACTGTGTTCAGGTAGTCTATTGTATGAGGTTGGCGTTACTCCTACAGAGGGTATCGAGACATCGAAGTGGGTTGCAGGACGGGGTCTGGGCGGCGTGATCGTCCCCGACGTTGAGTTCCAGGCTACGGATGCTCCGCAGTTGTGCTGGGGTTTGGGCTTCATGCGCCTGCCTATGCCCGGGCGCCGACTCCGACCAACATGCAGGTACGATTCACGAATAGGGTTGGTCACAGAGCACAACACGCATCTACTCCAACCATGACTGTGCCAGAACAGTTTCGAATGTCCCAAAGTCAGCCAGTTCAAACAAAAGCGTTCTAAATATTGTTCGAGAGACTTGTTCAAAGCTGGATTTCCTTCTAGAGGACCAACCTCTCGAACGAGTATGGTGCCCTGAGTCTATCTTTTAGCATACCGATTTCTCTAGCCGACCGACGGTGTGCTTGGCCACCTTTACGAATCTTCTCCCTGCCGATATCTTCTTCGGCTTTCAAACTCAATGGCAGCACTGACGCAGGCAATACACCACCTGCTGCGGTTTCTGGCTCAGCGTATATTGTCACGATCCGGCCTTTTTCCACCAACCCTGACTTTTCTTTCTTCTCCGCCTTAGCTCGAGCGCTGAACGGTTGTCCCTCCACAGATTCGACGTATCGCAGTGTTTCACGCACAAGTCCCTGCAAAAATGTCGACTCTTGGACAGCCTGACTGGCACTAGATATTTCGGACAAAAGTTCAGGAACCATTTTTCGGATGAACGCTTCATGTGCTTCTGATCCAAGTATTCCAACGGGTCCAACAGCATCAATGCAGGCATTGAGGAGTGTGATGATGCCTGACAAGCTTATTTGAGGATTAGGATTCGTAGATACATGGTCTTCCTCTGTCTCAGATGGTGGAGGGCTAGGGTAGTCTTGGGCCTGGCTGAGGCGTGAGAATCCCCCCAGAAACAGCTGCTGGCGTAGATACTGGATAAGCCCAAGTATCGTTCGCTGGTCCAGACTACGCAGCTGTGTGGAAACAGTTGCGTGCCCGGTGAAAGCAAGCCTCTTTAAGGTGAAGGCTAAACATATAGTCGCTGGTGTGCTTGACTTCAATTCGTTGTCTCGGTCACCCATGGAGATTAGCTGCTGCGATGAAGCTGTGTTGCCCTCGTCGTCCGCATCCTTGGCTGTTTGCACCTCTTCGTCCTGATTTGACTGATTTAATGCCTTAAGGACCATCTCCTTGACCAGGAATGTAAGAGTCTCTGGTAGCAAGAAAGGTGAATATTGAATGTAGTACTCGACAAGTGATAATTTGGGATCTGCCTCAAGGAGGCATTGAGCGACTGATCCTGGCCCAATGGTGTTTGGGCTCCGGTCCAAAACTTGGACCAACCGGTACTCATCAGTGAAGCCTGCTTTGACACACCATTTGAGAAGCTCTGTTGACAAAAGAGCCAGCTTCAGCTGTGGCCGCGATTGGTCATAACTGGAAGCCGTAATAGCGAATATCTTCGACAGAAGAAAATCAACCTGAGTTTCCGGTATCTTATTGATATGCAGATCCTGGGGTTTCTGCAGCCCCATAGTCTGGACAAACAACTCCTCGAAACCCTTGGCATCACCTTTCTCTGCTAGCGCGTCCAATTCCTGCGAGATGAGTGGCCAGTTTGGCACAGGTTTCTCCTGACGCACTCTGCCAAATGAGATTGTACATTCTGGCGAGTCTTTTGATTTCGGCAGCGTAGAGTTGCCTCGAAGAATGTTGCCGATAAGTAGAGAACCGTTCTTCAGAGGGTTCTGCTCCGTGTCCTTGCCAGATATCTCAATGGTCAAAAGATGGCTACCGTTAAAAGCCAGAGCTCGCTTCAGCTGCGAGAAGTACGCAACCAAAGACAGGCGGACGCCACCCTCACCATCGCGCTTCCTCTTCAGGGTCGAAACATCTGGTGTTGAAGTTGCGAGAATCGAGTCGAATTTCTTATTGTACAGGTGCAAACTGAATGAAGCCACAGCAAGGTAGATATCGCGAATGACCTCCAAACTGGACGATGTGCCGGTAACGGTGTGGGTGTGGTCTGACAATATCCTTGGCACAATAGTGGTCAGATCAAAAGTTGTCGTTCTGTTCGCACCACTAATCTCCAGCTTAGTGAATGATATAAATTCGGCGGTAAGCTTTTTCGGGTAATCTTGGGACAGTTGTTGCTTTAGACTGTGACTAACCAACGGCTCAACTTTCGCTGCATCTGACGTTCCTGTTATTGGTAAGAGAGCCCACAAGCCTAGACGTAGGTCTTTGCTCTGGTTCTGGTATACACCACTGATAAGGATAGCTCCTTCGGGCAGTGTTGATGCCAGATCCAATCGAGACTTCAGCACAGAAGATCGAGCCTCTCGCAAAGACATACATTGTGCAGCCAGAATTTTGATCGAGATCAATGAATCTGCAAGAATACTCTGATATGATATTCTTGTACCATCCCCAGTCGCACCTGTCACCATGCCATTCTCTTGGATAACAATAGCGTCTCTTTCTGTTGTATCAACCGCCACAAGCTTTGTCACAGGAGAGGAATCACGGAGCGTGTGAGCAGTCGTAGATGAAGTCGTTTCGCCGTGTTTGCGTGTCTGCTCGTACAGCTGCAGAAAAAACTGACCCCGCCTATTGACAACACACCAGGACCTTCTAGTAAACGACTTCGCGTTGGCTGAAACTCTTTCTGAATATGGCTGGCTGGCGAATGTCGAGTCGGGTGGGATAGGCCAGGATGCGATATTTCTTCCATTCACAACCTATACTTGCAATCAGTTTCTGTCTGAGATATTCCGGTCAAAACAGCCATACCTCATAGATGTTCAGTGAATTGCTATCCACTGCAGCACAGACCTCATGGCGCTTTTTCCTCTGCCCGTCGCGTACACCGTATACTTGAGAGAATTGTGTGCGTCCTTCCCCAGTCAGACCAGCTCGAGGTAACTTGACCAGCACGGTGGGCTCCCCTATGTCCATCGCAACTTCCTCACCTCAACCAAATTGAGTCTGCGTTAAGTGCTTCTGAAAACAAGTTCATATCGCAAAAGTTTCAGTACTGGCACTCCAGAATTTCTGGAGTCGAATCACGTGCATTGCTTTATCGATCAGATAACATTTTACCGACCTCACTCTGTTACCAGCAGACCAGCGACGACTGCGCGAAGCTGTTTTGCTACGAGATCAATGTATATAGATCTTACATACATGTACGCATATAATTTGAGTGAGAGCACGAGGCCGGTCGTCGTGCACAGTTGTGTTTGAATGACTTTCATCGACTGTTCGCAAATTTGCAATGCCTGGTTCTGAAATGGTAATTTTATTCAGGTCACAGACACAACGGTGATGCAACCTCGTCTGAGCTTTCATCTCATTCAACTCTCCTAAATACTATACAAATGTTATGATGTTTAACCATGGGCATCCTGTATTCTCCTGCCTGGTCGAACACCACTAGTCTAGAGGGTCTGCCTTGAACAATCCGGTGGTCGATTCTAGGTTATGTCCAGAGACCAATGTAGCGCGGAAGGTCTTCTTCAACTTCGCGATCTTCGTATCCAGCTGAGGTGCTAAGCACGACTTCCACGACGCAGCGGAACCATATATACAACTTCGTTCATTTGTTCTAACTCAGACAGTACCGGGCTGCTCGCCAGACAAGAGTGTCTTCCCTACCTATCCATTTGCACCAGATTATCAGATCATGTCACTTCGTGACCGAGTGAGCATCTCGAAATTTCCATCACAAAACCTTACCTGGTTGCTCAACAGCATACGTTTCACCAAAGTTCACAAAGCCCACGTGCAAAGCTCCTTAAGATGCATTCATCTGGAGTAGTTCTGTGAGAGTTCGTCGGACTTGCCTTTCAGAACTCCGACGACACTCGGGACAGGAACGATGACGCCAACACGCGTTGCGCAAGCACGCCTCTGCGCGTGCCTTCCGCAGTCACGCGTCTTTACATTTCAACAACGAAGAATCTCAATTTGAGGTTAGCATCTGATCAGGACCTTTTTCAAGATCTGCCTTCTGCCTCACATTAATCTCACAGAGTCTGTGTAGATCCGCAAAGATGCTGCTACGATTGTGGTAGTACGCCAGCATGAAGGACCTTAGAGTCAAGAAGTAATGCATTCATTCTTCAGACCAGGTAGGCCGGTGCTCCTCGACAATCTCTATATCGCCTAACAATGGAGGAAGTGCAGCACAGCCTAGTGAACAATGGCTCCAACATTATCCCTACGCCCAAAGCAGATGACGATGCAGGACACTTCGAAACGAATGACAGCAATGGGCTGGTCGATGAGAAGCAGCCGAACGAGGTACGACACAACGATATAGGGTTTGCAAGAAACGCACAATGCAACGCCGAAATATCGCAAGATGTTGGGTTCTCCAAGACCGCCGAGGCTTTCGACCCTGTAGGCGATCGTAGGAAAAGGCGGAAAGTTAGTGTTGAGCCGAACATTCATCCAGATGCAAGCAGTGACTCTGCTGTTGGAGAAGTCGTGAACATGGATACTGGGGACCACTTGCAGGCTGAAACAACGCAGCAACGAATGTCCGATGATGTTGCGACTCCTTCCATTCAACCAACTCCAGTAACTCCCAAAAGGCGAAGAGGGCGACCACCAAAGACTAGTACTTCTAAAGGCCAACAATCTGCCCTTCCTGATGTGTCAATAAAAGACCACAGCGATATCACCCCGGCCATTCCGGAGTCCAAAAGGACTCCGAAGAAGAAAACAATTCAGCTCAGTGGCAATGGAACGCTACTATCAGGTTCTGAAACGGCGCCGAAAGACATTACCACACAAACCGACGCACGAAAGTCTACAAGAATCACAAATGGCAAGAAAGTTGTTCTGAAAAAAGGCAGGCTGGCACATACGTTAGTGGTGAAGATCAAATACCACAATCAAGGCAATACAGGAAAGAGCATCGATACTATACTAGCCAAGGAGCCGAGCGCGCATAACCAGCTCAACGACAAGAACCCAATCTCTGCAAACATACGTTCGAGCACCACAAGCAGAGTCACTCATCCCTTCTTCCTCGGAAAGGTAGCACCACAACCGGAAAGCAGTCTCTCAAGTTCGCTGAACCAGGACGCGCAAGCACAACAAAATAATGAGGTTGTCGAGGTGAAGAAGCCAGTGGCATGGAAAGATATTGTCTTCCATTCGAAAAAGCCTGCACTACACCGAGACTCCAATCTGCAGAAACCAATATGGCCTCCAAACGTTTTCCAGCATGTCGGCGTTCCGCAAAGGAGGGAATATGAAAGTCATGGCATACCACAACAGCTCAGTAAACAGAAACACAGGGCGCGTACTGTAGTCACTGATGAGCAGGACTCCGTTCTCAGACGCTACCAACAACGGCTGCTCTCTGCGAACAACAGTCACCGTACTGGGTTGATTGCCCCCAAAAGATTGTTTAGCACAGCTGAGTCAGCCTTGTATGGCATGCCTACTCATGGCCTCGGTCACAACCACGTGCATGCAATTTCAGGAGCGAGAAACAAGGCGCTTTCTGAGTTAAGTGCCTTTGACCGTATGAAAGCGCCTGGACCACTGCCCTGGGCACAGCAGCACTGTCCTACAACTTGGGATGAGGTTCTGCAGCCGTCTTGTCGTGAGTTACACGATTGGCTTCGTGGACTCGCAGTTCACAATGTCAAGCAAGGGCTCAATGACACACGCCAAAAGTCGTCTACTCGACGAAGAAAGAAGCCGAAGAAAAATGGGGAACTTGACGACTTCATAGTCGATGACGAAGACGAGGACATCAAGAAGGTCAAGAATGCTATTCTCATCGTTGGTCCCAATGGCTGCGGCAAAACAGCATCAGTGTATGCAGTGGCAAAACAGCTCGGATTTGAGGTCTTTGAGATACACGCAGGCATGAAACGCAGTCAGAAGGATATTTTCGATCGTGTTGGTGACATGGCTCAAAACCACATGGTGCAGGGAGGTCACAATGCAAGTCGAGACTCGAGCGTTTTGCCTGACCTTGATATGTCATCTAGTCAGGAGGACCATAATCAGCCAGGGGTTGCAGCACTCTTTGCTGGTGCCAACAAGAAGCCCAAGACTGATTCAAGGTCTTCCGCGCCAATGCCCGCCAAAGAGCAGAAACAGTCATTGATACTGTTCGAAGAAGTGGATCAAATTTTTGAAGAGGATAGAGGATATTGGTCAGCTGTGCAGTCCTTGATCGAGAATTCGAAACGGCCAGTAATTCTAACCTGCAACGATCCGCAGAGTGTGCCCAAGAATGAGCTAGATCTCTACACCACGCTTTTCTATGAAGCACCAGCGCCTGCTGTGGTAGCCGAGTACCTGGTATATATCGCAGCCATTGAGGGTCATCTCATCGACAAGAATGCAATTAAGAGTCTATACTGCAGCAAAGGTTATGACCTCAGGGCTACGATGATGGAGCTAGAGTTTTGGTGCCAAATGACGGTCGGATCCGAGAGAGCAGGTCTGGACTGGTACCCGAAATTCACAGCAAAGCCCGAGAGCACAGCAGTTAAGCTACGCACTTTCAGTGAAGGTACGTTCAGGCAGGGACTCGATTTACTCCCAAACACTTTCGATGATGTCGAAGACAGCATACGCTTTCTAGACCAGTGCTTGGACGTACCTTCCAACGAATACTTGGAAATGATGCTCGCCAAAGCTCTACACGTAGACACGACCTCAATACAGCAGGCACTAGAAACGACCGAGCTCCTCAGCGACGCGGAGATGCTAGACTCGTCAGTCAGACCAATACTAGCTGCGAAGATGTGTCGTTCCGCGATGCTCAATCAAGCAGAGTTGAGGTCATTTGTCTTCAGCAAGGTCGCCACGCATAACACGCTGGACAAGGAGAATCACGCTTCATTCTTCGCCTGCCTGCATCCACTGAGCGTGGAGAGACCTATCTTTCCTCCAACACAAGGTCGTCTTGCGCCATCGCTTGACTCGCCGCAATCCATTATGGCCACAGACATTGCTCCCTATGTGAGATCCATCACTGCATTCGACTACAGGCTAGAGCAGCAAAGAAACGAGCTAGACTCCTCGCAGGGAAAAAAGAGCAGGACTACAAGAGCTGCTCGTGCAGCTGTAGAAGGTGGAGACAAGTCCACTACGAGAAGAGATCGATGGTTTCCTGCAGACCTCGACATGCAAGCTGTGCTGCGAACTGGTAACGGTTGGCCACAATGGCTTTTAGGTTCCGAGTTAGAGCATGAGTCGAGCTCTGGTCTGCCTACACCATGTTGACTTTATGATTGAGTCGAAAAATGTATATATCCAAGCTACATATAGAATTAAGTGGTTGGATGTGGTGGTACCATCTAAGCATAGCACGGTCGACCTTATGTACCAGAATGGCAGACACCATAATGACACAGACTACCTACTTCACCGTAGCAAGCGATACTTTTTGCGCAAGTTGAATATCTTCACCGCGTATCCATTGGAGCTGCTATGTTGTTGTAATGAACTCTTGAAAATTTCGTGCTGATCAACCTGCGGCTCTTGACCATGTTCTTGAGACGGTTGCTCTCTGTACAGCGTCAATGATGCGACCTCCATTTCTTGGTTCGAACCATGCAGCGACATCAACCTTTTCCTGTATGGAATTGGGTAAAGACTTTAAGCCGTAACCACAACTTCAGGAAGAGAAGTGCTGTTAGTATGACTCAATTGATCGGCAGCATACGCTTCCAGAGATATGTATAAAGTTCAAAGTGTTGGGGAAGAGAGGTCAATGTAAGCATCAAGTCAATCTACAATGTATCAACTATCAGACGTGTAGTAGCTCAGATGTAGGACCCTCGTCTTGGACACTCCTGCACTTTTGCACCTGGCAAATTTTCTCACCTTCTTTCTTATCACATACAGATCTACCCATTCTTGTTCTACTACCACTACTCCAAGTGCTAGGCTTCATGAACGTTCTACGATGACTTTGAAGGGTGCGGTAGACTATCTCGGAAAATTGGCTTACAGTGCTCCTTTCCAAGAATTCCGTCTGGACGTTGCTGAACCTCCACCTTTCCGATGCAACGATCTGCCACTTGAAGCCAAGACGAATATCCTTGAATACGTGTTCGCTGGGGGTGCAAATGATCCGTCACTTATCAATCGAGCGAAGCACACATTGATTGGTTTTTATAGTGTTGTCACCTACCAGCCGTCGCGCCACGATAAGTCTTGTGTCTTCGACCTGAGCCTGCCTCCAATCTTTGCTCAACTGTTTGTTTCGAAACGTTTTCTGACGGAAGCCATCGACGTCTACGCCCAGACAACATGGGTTGAGATATTGCAGCTGCGGGAGATCCCGTTGAATGGCATAGGTCCTCATTCAATCATTCGTCGGTGTCTGCTCAGGCTACTGTCAAGATTCTCTTCTGTACGTGTGGAAGAAGAAAGATTGCATGCCTAAGCTTGCAAGAATAGAGGTATACGCTAATCAATGCTACTTTTGGCATGCTGGAACAGCTCTAGCACGGGAGCCGACAATCATGCTTGCCCATGAGGCACGACCGGAAAATTCTTGGAGAAATCCAGACCTTCGTCACCAGCTCAGTGACCATACACGCAAGAACATCAAATCGACAATCGAAAAAACACATGATTTCCGGTATATCTGGGAGGAGACAGACACTCTGAACGAAGGGCCTATGAGCATTCATCTTGAAAGAATGAAAGCAGCACCGATTCAGATCCACTGCCTAATAACCCTGAAGTGCGGGAGCGCGATCAAACTTTTGAGACAAGATGAAATTGAGCAGCATGAGGAAGTGCTAATAGTAAGTAAGCTCATCGTGGAGTCTAAGCTAGGCACGAACCTATCTATATCGTTGAATGTGTCCGTGGGATGACATCCAAGTGAACTTGCAAACTGATCAGGACTAGGACCTACGCATCGATGTTCGAAGGAAAAAGATACTCGCAATAAAACTCACAGATGGTTTCGTGAGTCCTGACATAACCGCATGGTATCGAGAAGACGACCACACATATATTTGAGGAAGTGGCTGAGCATTTTCACGAGCGAAAGGTTGATAGCAGCTATCTTGACAACACCGATGTACTTTGTACGGACAACGTCAAGCACAATTGTTGGCATCCAATATATACTGGAAGAGAGAGCTGCTGATAGCTTTGTGGTGAACAACAGGGCTGAAGCCCGCTGGTCGACAAAGATGCAGCTAAAGAGCGTGAAAGACATGCCATTGACTCGAAATGGATAGGGAATGCTCAAATGCTTGAACATCGCAAGTCAAAAATTTCGCCTGGGTCGTTGTCAGTCAATTTCCTTCTAACGTGCTGTCCATCCATAAAATCCTGAAAATAGCATTCGCCTAAGAATTCCCACCCATCTGCCTCAGAGCTTGCTGTGTGCTCGAGCCTTCGCAACACAAATGGTGCCTTGCCTCCGAATAGGGCCACAACCACATCTCCTTCTCTTGTACCAGGAGGACACATACCGAGCCTGCCATGATTAGTCGTCCCAAAGGCTTTCCTGCTAGCATTCAACAACAATTCTGCGAAGTTGTCAGCACTTCCCTTCTCAGCCAGCGGAAGGAGCAATTCTCTGACGTGAGGGCAGAATAGCTTCATCTCTTGGTCGCCACCGTTTTGCGGATCTTCCTTCTGGTTTCGGGCCCAATGCGCTGCAAAGTCCTGATACATGTCCGAGGCCTTGAACCACTTTGTCCTATGGACTCCTTTCGCGCGATCGCAGTTTCCGTGCTGCTGCATTCCACCGCACGTCAATGTTGTCAGGAATCTATCTAGTAATATCTGGCATGTGCATGAGGTCGATCTGTCTAGAAACTCACAATCATAAGCTCGTCGACCGCCCCAACCGACTTGTGACCAGATGTACTTGAGGCCACCAGAGTAGTAAGTGTTTGTTTCGGGGTTCATGATGTACAGGTCGCTGTTGTCGTACCAACGGTTTGAGAAATACATCTTCGAAACGTTGCTAATCGTGTCGAGTCGGCAACCTCCAAGCTGCAGGGAGGGCGTTGCGTTCTTGCTTGAAGCGATGATCAACTCGAGATCGAGCTCCATGTCGCCAGATGCGTGAAATTCGGGCACCTCGCTGAGCTTAGAGCCATGTCCGTCGAACTTGGGTACTGGTGACAACGACCAAGTGGGGAGCGTCAACCTATCCGACCCACTCAGATGACCTCTCCGAAGAAAAGTCACGTACCCCAGAACGGCAAGAGAACGGGAGGTGATAATGCACCACTTCGTGAAGTCGATATACACTTGGCTCACACTTTTGCGGTAATCGGGAGCTATTAGAGGGGAAAGTGCCAAGATGTCATGTGTTTCCTGTCCCATAGCGAGAAGACCAAAGAGCTTGTCTCTAGTATCTGTTGCGTCGAATTGCTGACAAACACCTTCGAACAGCTCTAATATCGGAACACGTTGAGGCGATCCACCCGCAGGACCACGCTCATTCCTCTCAAAATCGCGCCAAGGTTGGGTGAGGCCCGAGATTTTCAGCCTCAGGAATTTGTACGCGACGCTGATGAAGAGATCGGCAAAGAGAACATGGGACCATGACACCGCAGGTGCATTGTTGCCTAGCAAAAAGACTTCGCCTCTTGCGCTCGAAACTTCCTGCAAGACCCATACGCGTCTGAACCAAGGGTTCTTGAAGAGTCCTGTCAAGATTTGCAGAATGTACTCGGTCGTGACCGCTCCTTTAGTGCTCATGAATGAACCATTACGAAGCATCATCTGGACCATTCGTACGTCCGAGACAGAATCTGGGACATCTTTCTCAGCGCGCACTCTATCCTTCTCAGTGCCAATGGTCCGGATAGCTTGCATGGCTATGGACTGCTCTTCCTCAAGGTTCAACCATATGCATACACTGGCTGCGTTTGCGTAGATCTCAGACATGATGCTTACCTGGTAAGCTCTTTCCTCGGGGTCAGCCTGATTGATGCACAACGCGTCAATCCAGACTGCGACGAATTGGTCTTCCTGACGCAGTCCCTGCAGCGCGATCTCGAGACCAGCAGTACAGTCAAACCCCTGATCTCGCAGGCCTGTCTTCTCCTTCTCACCAACTTTCCGAGCTGCATGGCCAACGTAGATGGGTCGTGTCTCACCCAATGGACCCCAGCAGTAGGAGAGTGCCATATATGCTCGTTGCGTCCAAGGATACGACATCCTCACGATGACAACATTGATAGGTGCTTCCTTGGGACCCTGGAGGAGTAATGCAATGCGTATCTCTCGCTTGTCGTGGTCCAGTGGCTCGTACAGGGAGTAATCATTCTGGACTTTTCGAGCCCTTGCAGATTTTTGCTCTTCACCTGCAATGGTATCATAGTTTTCGTCCGCATTGAGTCTTTCGACGGACAGGCCTGGCAAATCCTCAACTCCAGCGAAGAACTTTTTGACATCGATAGGGAGCTTGAACTTGGGGTCAGATTGCGCTAAAGCCACGAGCTCCCTAAACCTCTCAGGATTTGGTGTAGTAAGCCAGGTGATCTTTTCATCTCGCGGATCGAGGAAGCAGGGCCTCAAATTATGAGCCCTTGGGTTATAGTCGTCAAGCATGCAATTTTTGCACGTATTCGGAGCATTATCGTCACAATTCGTACACCTAAAGAAAGTGTCTTCCGGCTGAAAGGCGCGCGAGCAAACGTGACAAGAATTTACGATAGTCAACTTTGCAAGATCCAGTAGTACTGTTGTCGTCGCCATAGTCTGGGACCTGGTTCATGATCGTTGGGTGGAAGATGTACTCTTCCTGCCATGATTGTCGACAAAGCAAGCTCAAATTGCTGGCGGCGCTACACATGTCGAAGAGCCTGGTCAGCAATATCCAGGCGTACCGTGTTCGAGTATCAGACCAGCTTGAAGTCTTGCTCGTGGCCATCACATGGTGGGCGACTGAAACAAGCTCCAAGCAAAGTCTCCATAGTCCACATCGAGGATAGTCTAACCACTGCCGCCCCTGGTGGGTGCCAAGTGGTTCAGACGAGTGTTTCAGCCATTGAGCATCGACCTTTAGTGGCGGTTACAGGCCATGTGATTCACAATAACCTGGAGAACTTCTAGTGAACCGGAATTTCGTACTTGTGCTCTTCTACTCAACCGTGCTTCAATTCGAACACCCGCCCATTAGCGGAAGTGACGGCTTGGGGGTTCACGGCAATAATTTTGAGTTGGCGACCCAAAGCTTGTTTGCTGTGGAGGGTGTGCCGGAAGACCCGACATGTTTGGTATAAATGTTGTTCCTATGTTGTTTTCCAAGTTGTGTGGTAATGTCGACGGCTCGTGTGAGCGGTATGCGAGTGCTCTTTCATCTTACGCCACTAAAGAGCGCTTAAATTCATCATAACCACGAATATGTCGGATTTTGGGGGTAAAGGTATGCATAAACCTCTCTCAAGGATATTCGTTTGCTTCTATACCTTCCGAAGCTGACTAAAGACAGTACTGCACCACCGTGGCCGAGATTATGGCTTCTGGTCTCCCACAACCGCCAGCACGAACTTTTGTGAAGAGAACTATGCAACATCATTTTACGTAGCCGAGTTTGTCAACACAATCAGCAATTTGGCATACGTCTATTATGCATACAACCCTCCAAATCTCTCGCTTCCGTCAAGGAAGGTTGCACCGCCAGCATCCGAGAGACATCGGTCGAATGATGCAGCCTCCATGGTGTTGGATATTCATACCTTACCTCTGCTAGCCATTGGGTTAACATCCGCCATCTTCCATCTGACCTTGCGGCATATACCTCGGCTCCTCAACGAAACTTCAATCTTACTGTTGATCGCCGGATTTGCTTTCGAGCTGCTCACCACATTCTACACGACCTCAACAGAGACAACAGAAGATGCCCAACCAGCAGTGAACCCATCTTTACCTTTCTGGCAAAGCGTACTCGTGACCGCGCTCCTACAAAGTCTTTCCTCCCTCGGTCTTTCGAGCTTGCTCCCACGATATCCATTCCAATCCACAAGATGGGAACTCGTCTTCGCTTGGATACTGAGTGCTTGCGTGCTCGGAGCAGGGAGCACTGTCTGGCGAATACTTGTAACCCGATCTCATTCGCGAGACTCTCGAGCTGAATGCGGAGGATCCCTCGAGCCACGAGCCTCAATCGAATATCGTACTCGCTCATTGTCAGGAGGTTTGATCGTACTCACCCTTCTTTACGTAACCACATTTACCCTATACGTTGGCGATTTGACAATGCACAGTATTATTATCACATTCTTCGTTCTCGTCGGCGGCTGCAAAGCAGTGAGCATGATCAGGCAGCATGAGCCAAAGACACGTTTCCGCTTGTATAAGCATCTGCTGAGTGCATGCATGACGTTAAGTCTTGCTTTTGCTCTCTGGCTGATCGATTGTAGCCCTTCGTGGTGCAACTTCCTTCGTGACAGCAGGGAACAGCTGATCGACTTGCTTCCATCAGGGATTGGTGTCGTGCTCGGCCTCTTGACAGAACTACATGGTTGGTGGCATATACTGACAGCGCGTGCTGCAGGAGAGTTCATAAGTCTGATTCGATATATTACTCGCAACCTTCCAGCACCAGAGGACGATACCGACGAGAAAGTCTGACTAGTTCGTTTGAGGTTGTGATGGCCCTAATGTCACTGCATCAATACAAAAATACTTGCCGGCTCATCGATGTGTCGTGAGTGTAACATCGGCCAATAATGCTAGCTCATGAACCGCACCATAATCTTTGCGACTCAGTGTTCTTCAACTGTACCAAACTTACTGCCTGTTCATCTCAGAAACTTGGCTGAAGACCAACATGCTTCGAGAAGCTAATGCGATTTGTCCATCGCGTCAATGCATCAACATCTTGGCTCGACTACGCTTTCGACAAGATCTTTCCTGTTTGGGCCAGTTTCGCTTGTCCACGAGCTTGCCCCACCTGAATACGAGGCATGGGCCATCCAGATTCCGGAGAACATAGCTTGATTCTGGAGTCACCGGTCGTGACCTCGCTTGCACGTTTCTGCTTGACATAACAATTGCAAAAAACTTCGTGAAGGTGAAGGGTATGCATCAAGAAGAGGAAAGTCCTATCCGTCCGCGGTCGTCTTGGCATGTTGGCGAGCTTGAATCGGTAAGCTGTCTGGAGCATAAGCCTGACACAACCTATAATTCATGAGGTGACTTCGGCTCTTGACTTTCGAAAGGTCGACGAACACTGCACCAGTGGAAGTGGTGGCGCCGCTATTCCCTGCATGCTGTTGAACTCGGCGCGGACATACCGAGATGTTTGAGCTACATATTCCGTGTTGCCTTCTCAACAATGCCTCGAGTCCCTCTCATAGCAAGCCGGAGTCTCATCACCGACTCGATACATCAAGGAGTTTCAGACTGGTTGTCCTGAAGTTGAGCACCTCTCAAATCTCACACTAGGTAGTCCAGCAATCAACATGTCCAACACGATTTTGGTACTGCTGTTATCATTGTGTTGCACAATCCATGCTCTTCCCTCCCACGGTGGTGCCGAAGTCTATGTCCATACTGGCCAGTCAATACAAAGCGCAATCAATGCAGCACAAGCTGGTACTCGCATCAAGGTCGGAGCAGGAACATATGCTGAGCAGCTCACTATCAGCAAGGATGGCATTGCCTTGATTGGTGACGGCGCCACTCTTGTTCCTCCAGCAGTTCCTGCAGTCAATACATGCACCGGTATTGCAGGAGGAACAACAAGTGCAGGTATTTGTGTTACAGGATCCGGCATCGAGCTCGCACCATTCGTTACTGAACACCAAAAAGTACTTTCTGTGGAAAAGCCCGTCACGGATGTATTTATCACTGGCTTCAACGTGAATGACTTTGATGGGGCGAACATTCTTGTCGTAGGTGGAGAGGACACCCGCGTGGCTGACAACAATCTCTACAACGGTGGTCAATATGGCTTTCTCGCTGCTGGCTCAACGAACACTGTCGTCAGCAAGAATAACGTTGTGTCGGAAGAGTCGCTCCGATACATCGCCATCTGCACGGACAACTTTTCTGGCGCTCGAGTCGTCAAGAACCACATATCTGGCTACAGTGTAGGACTATGTGTTCAGACCTCAGGCTCAGAAATAGCCTTCAATGAAGTCACGAATGGCTGCGTCGGCTCCTTTGTCGATCCGAACGTCAACGGTGCCCAGGTCGTCCACAATAGTTTCGGCGCATCGAATCCTGCTTGCATAGGTCAATCTCCTATCATAGGAGGTGTTGTGATCTTTGCCGCTGACAACACAAACGTCCAGTCAAATGTCATTCGTGATCAGCGGGCTGGAGGTGTTGCTGCTGGTATCGTCCTAGTCGATGCTCTCGAGTTTGGTCCTGATCTTGTGGCCAATGACAACAAGATTGTCGACAACGTCCTTGTCAATAACGATTACGACATTTTTGTGAACACGACTGGAACGGGAAATGTGATTGCAGATAACCAGTGTACACTACCAGCAGAGCTGTGCGCATAGTGTTTATGCCATCGCCAGACAGGTAGCGAGGAGCGACGGAGATCTTGAAAATATGCTTCGGAGGCATGCTTTGTGTCTCGAAGCCCAGAAGTGAGTAAACAGAGACATTGGAAGAAATTTTGTTTTGCATTCGACTGTATTGACCTCTTTTGACGATTGATGGAAGGGGCAATCTCATTTTGTGGCGCCGAAACTGGATATGTGGTCCCCAAGCAGCTTGGTTGAGCTCGCGACACAACCACCTATAGCAACAAGATAGTGAATGACCATCTGATACAATTTTGATACATCTCACAAAGTCCCAAAAAGTAGACAATAATGTGATGTGTCATTATAGTCGTTCATTGAGCCGCATGTCTCTGAGAAGCGCAGTGCATAGGTCGCATAATCTCAGCAGCCAGATTGCTGTGATTCATTCAAGCTCCATCGAGCACTAACTCAGGTCGATGCGCCAGGCTGAGACAACTTCTCGAACAGGTGAGGATGATCTCTCGCAAATTGCACACCAACAGCCCAATGATAGAGCTTCGCCGCGATGCAGTATCTGTCCTTGCTCGCGAATTCATTCAGCCTCTCGTACAGTTCGGCCAGTGGAATAGTCACTCGTTGGATGTTCTCTCCTTCGTCCAAGTGTTGTTCAGGTTCTGGCTCGCCTTCCTTCAGATGAACCTCCATCATGACCAACTTCATGTTCGCACTCGTCATACCAGGATCAGCTGCGACTGTTGGTGACACACTAATGACTTTGCCATCGTAGCCAGTTTCTTCCTTTAGTTCCCTGACTGCAGCTTCCTCGGGTGATTCATCCGCATCAACTAAGCCGGCTGGCCACTCAACAGTGATAGCATCAATCGGAGGTCGGAACTGCAAAACTACGATTGTGGAAGGTGGCTTCGAGGGATGGTAGATAATGTTCCCCATAGCCACGGCATCAATACCAGCTTTACCGCGTGTCTTGCGACTGGCGACTTCCCAGACTCGTTCGTTGCCCTTGGCGTCTATGTATGTCGCTTTCTGGAGATTGACCCATTTTGCTTCGGATGCTGGTAGGTCGTGGAGTGCTGTGACGTGGGGATTGGAGGCCATGATTACCTTGTCGACGCGGCGGAAGAGCTCTGAAGAGTATCTCTTTTGTACTGAGCTGTTTTTGAGATGAGTAATGGATCTGACTAGGTATGAAGCGCGTCTAGTGGCTACAAGACGCATTACACTTAATTTCTGTAGCAGAAGATTGTGCAATACTAGGTGACGTGAAGGTCGTGGAACAAGTTAATATGCACGTCACGAACGACTCGGATGACTTGCCTCATGGGAACGACAGTTGTCTCGCGAGCTGTCTGTCCTGCCGGTTATCACAAGAAGACGACTCGTGTATGTGCCTAGGTTGCTTTTAGACGTCCTCCATTACAAAGCCGTCCAGCAAAGGGTTTCATCATTGCCTTCGATCAACGCGAAAGACGCGCGTGTGAGTCAGCCGAGAATTCATTCAGCGGACTCGACTGGCTTAGCGCGCGTCGACCGTGAGAACGAGTGACAATTTTATCACGAGGCGATCGTCATTACGATTCTGACCTATGTCTGCAAGCCTCGGCTATGGCCTGCATGATGTGATGCTCCTGAATATCAGGATTAGGACTTGGATGTCTATGAGGGGAAGTCATTTGAGGAGAACCTGTCGAAACGAGACAAGGCTGAATGACGGTGAGTTACAGCATCATCTGCTCTAGAAACCTCACTTTCTAGCTTCCGACAAAGCTGCGAGTAACTCGAGGTTGCCTTTGAAACACGCCATGACTACCCTAAAAGGTGAGATCAATTACTCGAAACTAAAAGACAAGTCAGTCATCATTACTGGTGGCTCAAGCGGTCTAGGTGAAGCAACAACAATCAAGTTTGCCAGCCATGGCGCGTATGTCACGATCGCCGATATGGCCGTGGATGCTGGTCAGGCACTGGCTAAGCGACTATCTGATCAGGGAAAACATGTCAGCTTCGTCGAGTGTAACACAACAGACTGGGCTTCGTCCGTGAAAGCCTTCAAGCATGCCGTCAACTTCGCGCCGACCAAGACCTTGGATATAGCGATACTGTTTGCTGGAACCGATGGTGCGAGAAAAGGGCTTGTCGATGAAATGCTGCAGCAACCTGAGCCTACCCTTGACAACGAGCCTACTCCGCCGATCACGAAGGCCATTGACGTGAACCTCACGGGAGAGTATATGTCCACAGCACTGGCTTTGCAGTACTTCCGGCTCAAGGGAACAGGTTCGTCCAATATTCAAGGACCTCAACCCAAGAAGTGTCTTATCTTGATGTCGAGCATGACTGGATACATAGACCTGCCATACAATACAGACTACAGCGTCAGCAAGTATGGCATCAGAGGTCTCTTCAGATCGATAAGATCACAAGCACATCGCGTCAATGCCCGTGTCAATTGCCTTCTACCAGGATACATTCTCACACCCTTGACCAAGAAGGTTCATCAAATTGAGGATCCGAATGAACCGAGTAAGGCGACAGGCTACAAGCTACCATGGGCACCAATCGAGTATGTGGTCGATGCTTGCGGGAGATGTGCAGTAGACGATCAGATGGACGGAAGAGCGCTTGGTGTGTTTCCGAGCGGCGTTGTTGATATTGAAGAAGATGTCGAGACAGGATATGGTGGGCGCCAGATCCTGAAAGTTATGGAGCAAGATGGATTTTTCGATATACCCAGTCTGTTTCCAAAGAAATCCTAGTCGTCTAAGCCATCGTCAATGGCTCCAGAATTCCGACTCGTGTCAGCCTGTTGTTCTTCGTCTCGTCGAGTCTGCTTCTTCATTCAGCTTCCAATTGTCGTCATTGTGGCATAATCCTTGGGTTCTTCCAGATCTGTGAGTTCTGTAGCTACACCCGCAGCAGTTTTAGCAATAAGAGACAAATCCATTACTCCCAGCACGAAACGTGTGCCCCACTCGTGGAGGAATCTATGCATGAGGTCGGGACGGTCGTATATGCCAGCCACTCCTAGTATTCTGTTATGCTTCCGGGTAGAGGCGGCAACCTTCTCAATTGCCTCAATGAAGTTTGGATTGTCAAAATCACCAGGGCAGTCGAGTTCTATGGACAAGTCGTTCGTGCCAATTAGGATCACGTCGACACCCTGAGTCGATGCAATGGCGTCAATGTTCTCGACTGCTTCGGGACTCTCAATCATCACTATCACTGTCGAGAGCTGAGAGTTTCCGACTTCAGTAACGGCGGCAATCGGTGCTGTTCTATAACCGTAATGAGGCATCATTGCCGTGATAGAGCGCTTGCCCAGTGGTGGATATTTGCTAGCTCTCACTGCCATCTGTGCTTGTTCTGAAGAAAGTCAACATACATTGTCAGACTTAGCTGGGCACACTAACCAGGAGTATCCACATGTGGAAAGACAACACCCTGAGACCCATTATCCAATACGCGCTGTATGAAGCCGGCTTCTGCACGTCCTGGAACTCGAACAAAAGGTGTGACACCGGCATTCATGCCAGCCACACATAGATGACCTGCAGTTTCCAGTGAAAGACTCGAATGCTCAAGATCAATGAAAAGTGCTTGGAAGCCGGCATTTCGTGCTAGATAGACAATCTCTGGTGAGGTGATGAATTTAATGCCGAGTGCCTGGTCACTACTCAGTCTAGCTTCGGATGTAATCGCAATTCAACTAACCACATACCTTGCATACTTTGTCCTGGTCTTTCAAGGCGACCAGGTTATTTTGGAAAGCTCCCTCCATGACGTTATTGCGGTCAACTAAGATACATACTGTGGTGGTTGTGGCATAACGCTATTGTTCAGGTTAAAACTACTAACATCGTGGGCATAAAATCGTGATGCATTCTGCCTCTAAATACGTCACTTTACAGTACCACCACAAAATACTTCGTAGCCCTGCAGTCCTTTCACTTCCACCATATTCTCCCAGAACTCGCTAGGCATTGAGAGCTCAACGAGCTCGTGTCTGTCACGTTCAAGTTGAAAGTCGGCTTTCCCACCCACCGACGTGTGACTTCACCGATGCTAGACCATCTGCAACAACGATATGTATGCATCACCGAATTTTTGGTAGACATAGCTGATTGCATCACAGAATCGTGCACTGTCTTTTGTCAAGAGAAGATGGCGCTCAATATATTTCGTGGCACTTTCAGGAGCAGGCTTCCTAGCCATGGGTATCATAGGTATGTCGAAGAACTATCTCGAACCCATATGACTAATGCTAGCGTCTCAGGGATGAAGTCTGTGCTTAGGACGGACCCAGCTGGCCATTTTCCAGAGTGCTTTACGACAACAGCACGACCATACCTGCGCTTCTTGCCTCAGGCAGTGGATCCCTACTTCTGCGCGATCTACGAGACTATTCAGCGTCTACCTCAAGCACCGGGAGCACATGCATTGATCGCTCAGTTGCTCAGGTTCGGCGTAACTTTCGTGGGTGTGGTCGTGTATGAAGGTACACGTCAGGGTTCTTCCTGGCTCAATCCGGCAGAGCCTCATTTGCTTGTGGCTCAGGCAACGTCTGGAGCTGCGGCAATACCATTGTATTTCTCAGTCATCCAAGCTCGACGAGAACGGGAGCAAGATTTTGAGTCAACGCCGCCAAAGCCTACGCCACAAGACGCGTGGGCTACACTCATCAGTGTCACTCTGGGTTATGCTCTGCCATGTTGGTATGCATCGCAGATATCTTGGCGTGGCAACGCCTTGCTGCTAGTCCTGCCATATCCGATCTACATCCTGGCAATGCGAATCCTGCTTCGCTCTTCACTCGCACCTCTGTTAAAAGATGCTTCGTACAAGATCCCTGTCCTGATGCAAGCTAGCTTGGGCTTCACAGTCTCCGCGATTGGCCAACTCAAACTTCTAGGCAGTCACATACCTATTCACGAGATACTACGTCCACGAGTGGGTGTGGACTTCACTGGCGACCTTCATGCCATGCTACTTGCGGATCTTGCCATCACGGCTACCGGTCTAGCTAGTCATGTGGTCCTTCACTCATACTCGAATCGATCAGTCTTGACAAAAGCAGTGCTGCTGGCTTCGATGGCAGCTGGAAGCCTAGTCGTGGGACCAGGCGGCGCAATATCGGTTGTGTGGGCGTATGCAGAGCTTTCGAACATGAACAAAGCTGATACCGATACCTCCAAGTCGAAAGCGAAACACTCGGAGCAGCAGCCTCTTCTTCAGGCACAGACGCGGTCGAGCTAGAGCAATGGTCACAGGGAGGATTGTGGCTGAAGAAGTGTAGACCATGAAATGGCAGAAGTGAGTATCTCGAGAATGAGCCGCCAGAAACGGGAAGGAATGTGTTCAATAGAATCATGCGTACATTGTCCTTGCAGGTGAAGACTGTAGATTTCGGTCAGAGATCATGTGCACGTGCACATCAAAGCAAAAATTACGACATCGCAATCACTGCTTGTAACCAGGACGCCGCCTGATCAATTGTCGAACGAGGAAGGTGTAACACGAAACGCGTAACTACTCAGGGCGCTGGCAGGAAAGACGTAAACATCGTCTTTTCTGCCACGGGTCTGCTACTGCCAAGCCTTCGGACAAGAATCATAGGCGTTTCCAGGCATCTCTTTGCACTTTCTCCAACCACAAAAACCACACCTCGTCTATCTGCCCAGCGAACAACGTAATCATCTCGTGAATTCTCACTACTCGACTCATTAACAAAACGACACCTGAAAATGCAACAAGTGACAAAAAAAACAAAAACAAATCATGCCCCAAAGGCGGATCGAACGCCTGACCTCCAGATCAACTACTAGTCTGTACTGAAGTTTTGACTTCAGTCTGGCGCTCTCCCAGCTGAGCTATTGGTGCTAGTACAAGTTTCGTGGGTGAATTATTAAGCATTTTTCGAATGCAAAAAATATGAATGCAAATTCTGCTATAGGCTATGGATGCCTGAAAGAAGAAAATCTACGACTCTGATACGCGTCATAGACTGTCAATGTCTATGAATCAACCATGATACTGCTCCGTGTATCGCCTGCTCAATCTTGGCTCGTGTACATACTTTGAACCTCCACCACCAGGTCGTGTACTGACGCTTGCTCTTCGTGCGACTTCTTGGTGCATCTCTGCCTCTCGTATTGCTATGTCCCGTTCGCGCTGTAATAGCTCGATCTCTCTCCTGTGCTTGTCCCTCTCCTGATCCATATACATTTCTGCATGATGTGTTTGAATTGAATCACGACGACGAAGATCTGATGGGTAAGGTGTCAAGGCTGTGTCATAAGTGTAGGCTGGCGTTTGTAAATGTGGGTACGCGGAATGAGGATGCGCTGATACAGGTGAAGGAGTAAAACGTGGCGCGGAATGCTGTGTGATCAACGGTGGTCGTTGGGTTGGATGTGGGCTATAACTGTATCCATATCGTGCAACGGCACCCTCTGATACCAGGCGCTCTTGTCGTGGATGCCGTGTAGCTGGTACATAGTCTCCAGGCATCTCGTAGCGCTGTTGTTGAGGAGATGGCGGACCACGTCGATGGTAATTGGTAGCTCGAGCATAGCGACTGCTGGGTGCTGGAGTATACGAGTCATGGTAATCGTCTTGCTCGTATTCATGGCTTGAGTTCGAGCTGCTATACTCTTCATATTCTGCTTCAAGGACAGACTGATCAGAGTGAATAGACGCTGTTGTGGCTGAGCCGTGCGAGCCATAATATTGTGGTTGCTTTCTTCGACCCGCTGGTGTGAGGACTTCTGGCCTCGACCTTTTGTACTCACCATCTCTCGGCATACTGCTCGAGAAGCGTTGCTGTTTGAATTTTGGCCGCGACCTGGAGCGAGACAGGCCCTGCTTAGGTGTCTTAGATCCCCATCCCTTCTCATTCTGCTTGCGGCCTCGGCCGTGGTTCTCCCCTACAATCTCGATTGGGCTATCAAAGTCGAAATCGTCATCGTCTTGGTGCTCATGGCCCTTGTGATGCTTGTCATGTGAGTGACCTCCGAGCACATCATCATTGAAACTGCCACCAAGCAAGGCGTCAAGGTCAATGACATCGTCATCCTTGTTACCCTTTGTTTTCTTGGGTTTGCCGTCCTTCTTCTCCGTTTCGTCGCGAACAGGAGCACCAATTGGCTCGTCCAGAGGAATATGAGGTGGAAGACCAGCATTGGGATATGCAGCAGTTCCTGGAGTGACAACTGGCTTTCCATCTTTCGAGAATAGGGTAGCATTACCGAAAGGGTCATTTTCAAGGATAGTTTGGCTGGTTCTAAAGCTCTGGCTCTGTCTCGCCGCATTGCTATCATGTATTGGGTTTGTATGGGAGGTGTAATAAGACTTTGATCCACGACGAGTGGGCATAGCATACTCTTGAGTGGGCGATATGTACGCAGAGCGTCTCCGTTCTTGTGACATGGAATTTGTACGTTGGCGAGTGGGGTTGACTTTGTTCAAGACGATAGAGAAGGAAAGCACTTCACCTGTTTTTTTAGTCACTTCTGGCTGGTCATTATGGATTGCATAAAGATCCCACACATCTCCGTTGACATCTCTCCGGTTGACGCGCTCGACAAGACCCTCCACAGCGTTTCTTCTGGGAGGACTCATCTTTTGTAGCTGGGCTGCAACACTGTGTGAAGCTTTGCTAGAGCGACTGGCTCGCTTCTTAATTTCACTCTCCGACAGACGTGATTCTGAAGAGCTGTGCTGGATCCAGCTTCGTCCATCTTTGCGTAGGGTAAAAAGTCGGTATCTCCTCTCACTCAATGACAGGCTGGAAAGCTGTGGTAAGTCCTCATCAGAGCTGTGAGTTGGAGTATAGGTCCGACCCGGATCACGGTCCTCTGCAGCAAATCCATAGGCTGCCATGCTGTTGACTGGCCAGGGATGTTCCAGAGTGATCAGGAAAGGCGGTGAGAATGTACCAGACTAGTCAGTTCTAATGATCTAGTCGCAAGATGAGGTTAGCGACAATGTCAACTTGTCCAATGTAAATGCTTCAACAACGGACTTTATAGATTTCAGTGTATTCAGGCAGTCATGGAAGGAAGAGAACAGAAGTGAATCGTAAGACAGGCAGACTCAAGGTAGAAGTGTTTGATCGATCTTCTGGGCTTCGAAAGGAAATGTTAGCCAGTGGGCTAACCAGGGACGCAAGGCACCCTTCCATTCGGCAAAGGCACTCTTGCCAGATAAAGAACACTCTTGTTGGTCGACGCCAGGCAACTTGAAGCTAGAGGCTTGCTGTGGGTATCCAGCTAGCATCTCAAGACAAATCACAATGCGTGGAACTTTTGCGATTGCGTTCTGATGGAACAAAGCAGATTGTCTGGTAGAATAGCGGGGTCGAGTTTGGGAAGCATCAAAGCGTTCCGAAACAACCATCGATCCTGTGCACGGACGACTGATCGATACCTGTTTGGGGGGCCGAGCGTCCTTCTGCAGTTGCTTCCATCAACGTGCGTTTTTGGCCTTGCATAGAACCAATAATATGGGCTCAATGTTACTTGTGTGGAGAAGAGCACGACCGGTCATGGAAGTTTCAGCTTGCAAGGGGCTGTTGCTCGCAGTTTGTCGCTTGCCATGACGACTACACGGCTTGCGCAAGCAGACGGAGGTCGACCGGTTTGGTGCGGACATTTCAGCAATCAAGGGAGAACAGGATGTGCGATGCTCAAGCTTACGAAGACGACTATGTCAGTAATTGTGATTAGAAGAGTTTTGAGAAAAAGTGAAGGGCACCGGCGGCGGACCAGAACCAAACGACAGGAAGCTGCGACTGTGGGGTATGCTCACCACAGCCACGTGCTACCAACCAGTAACATTACCTTGCATTGTGTTTCATAGTTAACGAAGTAGAGCTTGCTACTGAGAAACACTATTTCCAGGTTGTATGCGTCTGATTGTTGCTGCGCTTGTAATGAACCGTGTCAGTATCAAACACTACTATGAAGCGAAGGGGAAACGAACAGGCCAGGTGTCAAACAGCAGTTCGAAAGTCCTGTCTCAGGATGCCAGGCGCAACAGCGCATCGTGCCGTGTCTGTCGCTTAGAGAGGCAGAGATAAAACAGAAAGGACCGACTTCGCAAAGTCTCGCTCCAAAAGAATCATCCCGAGTTCTCTGCCTAATGGTACACGCCTTGCATGTAGCTGCTTGCTCAGCGAATTGCCTTTCGATGCAATGTACCTGTACACGTAGCGTAGGCAAGCTGTGTTGCACTGCGGCACGCAAGTCAACCTTCATTCGCTGATGGAAGTCTTCGGCGTAGCTGTGACACCAATGAACAGGAGTGTGCTCCCTTCACTGGCTAACCCTGCTGCAGGTCATTCACGTCCACCTGATCACTTTCCTGCACACCATCTAGCCTCACTCCTGCTGAAGGCAAATTAGAATAAGATTTGCAGATGACCTTGAGTTTGATTTGTCCATTATTACTACTAATGATATCTTGATATCTAGGCCTTGTAATCTAATCTCTACAGAATGCAAGAATAATGCATTGCGACTGACTGCCCAGCCGAGTGACCCATACTCATGTCTTGCCAGATACCCACAATGATTACGCCACTCATCCGACAACATGCACAATTAGCAGAAACGAGAACGCTCAAAGAACAAAGACCAAACATCCCGTGATCAACAGCGGCGGATGTCGGATTAGCAGAAAGGACTGTACATAAATCTTCATCGCTGACGGTTGTCATCTCAACGGAACCTTGACGTCTTGCACACCTCTTCTCACAAGCTCGTCGAAGGTCCAGTTCGGCCGGCTAACTGCTTGCTTGGCAATCTTGTCGTGCTTCTCCAGTGCTTTTCTGCTCTTTTCCATTTCTGGTGTGACACTATCTGGTAGTGGCGAAGCTCCACCAGCAATACCACTGGCGAACTTGAGTTGTAGCACGTTGCCAATCTCATCGCAAGCAGAGAGCAGTCGGTCCATATCCTCTTTGTTGTGGGCAGCAGATACGCAGAATCGTGCTCTCGAAGAAATCAGTGGTGTGGCAGGATATCCAACTACCACGACCGAGATCTTTCTTTTCAGCATTTCGTGCGAGAAGGCAGGCATCTTGGCTGGATGGTACAATAAGACAGGAATAATCGGAGAGTCATCGTGGCCGTATACGATAAAGCCCAGTCGTTTGAGACCAAGTCGCAAGTACCGGGAATTGAAAGCAATTCTTTGCAGGCGCTCCTCTCCTTGACCAGGGATGATTTCACCGTTGATAAGCCGGAGAGCTGACAGGATCTGTGCAAGGACGGCAGGTGATGGGGACTCTCCATAGACAGTGGTAGCGGTAGACACACGGAGCTTGTCGATAAGAGCCTTGTCACCTGCAACGTACCCACCATTGGCACCGAAGGACTTTGTTAAAGTGCCCATCAAGATGTCGATCTCAGCAGGATCAATACCAAAGTAGTCACATACACCTCGGCCACGCGGACCGAGTGCACCAATGGAGTGTGCCTCGTCCACAAAGAGGTTGAACTTGTATTTCTTCTTGAGTCTGATCAGTCCTGGCAGGTTGCACATTGTGCCTTCCATCGAGTACAAGCCTTCCACAGCCACCAGAATCTTCCTCCATGGTCGATGAGTTCTGGGTTGACCTTGTGAGATAGCTTCTCGGAGTTTGGCCTCTAGAGCCTTCATGTCGTTGTGCTTGAAGGACTCTATCATAGCACCAGATAGGCGCGAACCGAAACGGATAGAGGCGTGGTTGAGTTCGTCGGAGATGATCAGGTCCCCTTTTCCCACTAATGCAGGGAAAGCAGATGCGTTGGTGACAAAGCCCATGGAAAAGACCATAGCCGACTCCTTGCCGACGAACTCGGCAATCAGTTGTTCAACCTCGACACATAGGTCCGACGTGCCAACATCGGCACGAGTGCTCGAGCTTGACAAGCCGTATTTTCGCACCTTCTCTTCGACAAAATCTGCGCAGGGACCCTCGGATTGAGCAAAGCCCAGATAGTTGTAGGAACTCATGTTCAAAGTCTCGGTCGTCGTTCCAGTCATCTGAAAATGGTAATTGCCATCGTTCGAGGTTCGGTCGAGGACATTGATGTACCTGCCAGGTACGCCAGTTGTGGGTCTGTTGAAGCAATCGTTGATCCGCATTTTCAATCTTCTTACGTAGAAGTTATCGAAATCGCTGTTCAGGGCTGCATAGCCGTTCCGCGACTTTAAATGTCGGTAATTGTCTGCCTTGAATTTCATGCCAAAGAAATCTCTTACGTGACCAAAAATAATGAGAATGAGGTAGGATATGTAGGTTGTCAGGAGGTAGAAGTATGGCGGCTCGTCCATGATGGGCTCAGAAAACTCCCCACCGGTATGTCTGCTGGTGTATCGATGGGACTGCGAGTTCAACGGACCGAACTGCGCATATTGTCTCTGTAATCTTCGTGCCTCGGCAGGCGCTAAGGGCTGGAATAGCGTGGTGGGTGGTTCGTCCATGTTCGAAGAGTCAGCACGAGCGGTAGATAGTGATATGGTGGGCAAAGACAGGGTAGGATTGCTGATGGTGGTTGGGCTCGAGTTCAGAAATGCCTGCTCTTGAGCCTTACTCGCAGCTAGCAATGCTGCTGCAGCGCTGTTGTACCTGTCTTTGTCTTTCGGTGTAGATGAAAAGAACTGCGCGATCTTGCTCGGCCTGCTCACAGGCACAGGAACAGGCACAGGCTTATTGACGCTCTTCTCAGAGGAGGTGAATGACGGCCACGGGATCGGGGGCGAACTACTCAAGAGGTTATTCGACAGTCGGCGAGGCATGGCAGAGGTACGAGGTGTGTCGAATAATTGGAAGGGCGCCAGAGCTGCGATCTTCTTCGAATCAGTTTGTGAGATGCAATGTATGTTCGCTATTCGAATTCAACGTGTATGTTGTATTAGGTATGTGCAGAGAATGTGCGGTGTGGCTAGTTCGAATGGCTGATGATTGTCGCACTGATTTGGACGAGTGCGAACTGGAAACTTGAGCGTCGGACGGTCTGTCGTGGTTGCTGTGCGGCAAAACAAATTATTGCTCGAGTTTTAGCAATGGTCGTGCTATGCAAGCTTCGAATGGATGACGATTGTTGGATTGCAGGAGAGAAAAGTCTGGAGAATCGGCTCTCTGAAAAGAAGTCGCTCGGCTTTCTGGTTCGCTGCTCGGGATCCAGCGGATGGAAATGTCGCTAATAGGCACTAAAATTTGGTTCCTTGCAGGGCGTGCACGCAATGACTGCACACTCGCAGCATTGATGACTTCTCTGCTTCACTGCGCAGCGAAATCGCGAAAGACCAAAAGAACGGGCGAAGCACACGAGCAGAGAAATATTCCGAATTGTGAGGAAGGTCTTTTCATTTGATCAAGCTCCCATGCTAGTGCTCCTAAAGACGAAATTGAAGGTGGACTTCAAGTCCAACAACCCCTAACCTTTGGACCTATTCAGCCACCACTAATTTGTTTTTGGTCAAGTGCAGAACGGGGCTTCCCCTAACGTCGCTGATTACTTGGCTTGGCATGCGAGTTTTGTGCCTGGAAGTGCTCCAGTCATCACTCCGCCCTTCGCCAGATAAAACTGAAACACATCATAAAGAAAGCTTTTGTCCGTCTCATCATGACCTCTTTCGACCTGGATACTCCGGGGAAACTGTGTAGGAAACCTCTTTCATTATCGGTGGAAAGTCCTTGGCTGACTCATATGATCATGCAAGCCCACAGTAAGCCTGATGAGTAAGGTCCTAGTTGGCCCGAATCGCACTACGCGACAGGTCCAAGGTTGTTAAGTCGACTGCTCGGTTGTGTCTGCAAAAGTCTCTTTGCGGGAAAGATGAAAGGCACTTCCAGCCACCCATGCTGACGATAGCCTCATCGAGAACGCGTGCAGATCGCGTGTCGGTTTCGTGAGCATCCGTTCAACCCCTGACGGAACGATTTTCCATCCGGACCGAGATTGCGCTGCCAGCTCGGGTTGTTGCCTAGCATGCTCAGGCAACATACGCCAAGCTCGCTCGTATACGTTTCCGTCTGTCAGAATCTGGCCGATACTTGCATGCAGCCAACACAACTCAATAGGATGGTCTTCCATTCACAATGCGCTAGTGTCGTCAACTGCTGGCAGCAGCCACCGAGTGTTAAGTGTCAACATGTCGCGAAATTCGGGCAGAACCGCGGTGAAGGCTGTTCACAACAGTAAACACTTTCATGTGAGCAAGTACACTCTGGTGTCAGGAAGCAGAAATGGCCTCCACAGAGGTCGAGCTTCACTTGATCTCGTCCCAACCACATTCCCATAAATCTCCTACCTCCCCGCATTTAGTTAACCACGTCCACGCTTTTCTGGCTTATGTACCAATTCCAGTAGATCTGTTGTGCTGACGATGGCTGACGACCCAAGTGCGCTGAACGATGTTCCGCATTTATGGAAGCACTCCGATCCTACTCGCACACAATATTATGCTTTTCAACAACATGTAAAGCAGAAGCACAATGTAACTGGTGATAGCTATCAGGACCTTTGGCAATGGAGTGTGGACAGCCCAGCGCAATTTTGGGAAGAGATATGGCACTACACTGGTATCATAGCTAGCAGACCTTATGACAAGGTAACATCCAATGTTGAGGAGAAATAACATGCAAACTTACACTACCTAGGTTCTGGATCCTGGCGCATCCATGTTTCCCAGACCGGCTTTCTTTGCAGGATGTGAACTGAACTTCGCAGAGAATCTACTCTTCCCAGCTAGTCAGCCAGACCCTCTTTCGCTCGCTATTCGTGAAGCTACAGAGACCACAAGGCGGGATGTGACATGGAAAGACCTTCGAGAACGAGTGCGGATTTGCGCTGCAGGATTGGTCGCGGCTGGTGTCAAGAAAGACGATAGGGTAGCAGGCTATCTGGCAAATCACGCAAATACTGTGGTCGCCATGTTGGCAGCTACCTCTCTTGGTGCACTTTGGACGGGAGTGTCGCCAGATACTGGTGTACATGCAGTTCTTGACAGACTGAAGCAGGTTGAGCCAGTACTACTATTCACAGACAACGCAGTCAAATACAACCAGAAGACTCACGAAACGCATGCGAAGCTCTCTCACGTCGCATCCGAGCTCCCCTCCGTCAAAACAATTGTCGTTTTCGAGACTATTCCTGGTCATCCTTTCGATTTAAACGCCATCCCAACCAAGGCCCTCGTCCAGACTGAATCGACTTTCCTCGAGAACGCGGATCTCTCTCGACCGTTAACGTTTCTCCCTTTACCTCCTGACCACCCTGTCTATATCCTTTATAGCTCTGGCACGACAGGCACTCCCAAACCTATCGTCCATTCTGCCTTAGGCACTCTTCTGCAACACAAGAAAGAACATGCCATACACTGTGATGTACATCCCGGTGATACAATATTCTACTTCACAACCTGCACATGGATGATGTGGCACTGGTTAGTTAGTGGCCTAGCCAGTGGTGCCACCATCGTCCTCTACGATGGCAGTCCATTCCAGCCTCATAAGGAAATTTCCATGCCTCTGCTAATCGACGAGCTCGGTATCAACCACTTCGGCACGTCTGCGAAATACCTATCCGTCCTCGAACAAGCAGCTCTAAATCCCGCAAAAGCAGAACCGAAATCCGCACACCTATCTTCTCTCAGATCCATCTTCAGCACTGGCTCTCCTCTTGCACCCTCTACCTTCCAATACGTCTACAAATCCCTCAAGGCCGATATTCTCCTTGGCAGCATTACGGGTGGTACAGACATTATCTCTTTATTCGGCGCACCATGCCCAAATCTTCCCGTTCACGCTGGAGAAATTCAATGTCGTGGCCTAGGCATGTCAGTGAAATGCTTCGATGCCTCCGGCAAAGATATTACATCCTCTGGTGAGCCAGGTGAACTGGTATGCGATGTACCTTTCCCTTGCCAACCTTGCATGTTCTGGCCTCCAGGAGAAGAAGGCGAAAAACGCTATCGATCTTCCTATTTTGAAACCTTCACTGACTCAAAGACCAACCAGCCAATCTGGCACCATGGCGACTTTATCCGTGTCAACCCAAAAACTGGCGGGATCTGGATGCTGGGTCGTAGCGACGGTGTTCTCAACCCCATGGGTGTCAGATTCGGCTCCTCTGAAATCTACAACATTCTCCTCAAGCACTTCTCCGCTTCTGTCGAAGACGCGCTCTGCATTGGTCGAAGACGTCCTCAAGATTCAGACGAAGTCGTCGTGCTCTTCCTGAAAATGGCGCCTAAGCATGAATTTTCCCAACAACTTGTGAAAGAGATTCAAGATATAGTGAGGAAGGAACTGAGTGCGAGACACGTCCCAAAAGTCATCGAGGAAACACCTGAGATCCCATACACTATGAACGGCAAAAAAGTCGAAGGTGCAGTCAAGCAGATTCTGAGTGGGACGAATGTCAAGACGAGTGCCAGCGTCGCGAATGCAGGATGTCTGGAGTTCTACAAAGAGTGGGCACAGAAAAAGTAGCGAAGGTCGAAAAGGTGGCCATGTGTTGATGAAGGCACCCAGAAGGATTCCGCGCAGCAGTCGTACTATAGAAGACCGTTGAAGGCAATAGACTTTTTAGTGGGTACAATCAGTCGCGCTGAGAATGTCAAAAAGATCAGTACTTACCCGGAAGAAAAGTACATATGACGGGATTCTAATCGAAAGAGTATGATATGATTCTCTCTGCAGATCACTAGATACTAATAATCGCCATCTGCCCAACCAAAACTTGCATCCATGTTTATCTCCATCACACCGAGACCAGTAAAATCACGGACCCTTTTCTTTCCTCTATCTATACACCACTTCCTTCTCCGCCTCCTCAACCTAATCCTTCTCTCCCTATAACCAACAACTCCCTCATTCTGTCGCAGTATTAGCCACCATCATCTTGCTTCACTTCCACCGTAACCACACAACTCACACATCTCTCTCTCCTTCTTTCTTCTGCCTATATCTCTATGGCTAAGCCTAGATCCTCGCCATGACCACACATGGCAGGGCTTCAACACCGACTGGCCATGGGGCGGCTGACTTCATGACGACGCACGGGAGGGCTTCGACGCCTACGGGCCATGGTGCAGCTTGCATTTTGGTTTTGGTTATTGGTGTTTGTTTCTTTTGTTTCGAGAGTTTGTAGTTGAGCTCGTACTGAGGTAGAGGGACAGGAAAGTTCAAAGACTAATTTGTGCTGTTGACTTGGTGTTTCGGTGGTTAAGAGAATTAGTACAGGTTAGAAACAGGAAAAGTCAACGAACTCAAGCAGTCTGGAATTAGATCACATCAAGTCATATACATCATAGAACAACGGACGTTTTCAGTCACCTTGTTGCTGTCTGATTGCTATTTTGTATCTGCCGGCAGAGATACAAAGGCTAGCGCTGGTCGTTTTCGTGTTGTGATCGAGTCAGCAGGGTGTAGAAGATGGTAGGGAGTGAAAACACGTGACTTGGCTTAGTATTGTTGTGCTTGATATTGTAGTCTGGAGAACAATGCGCAGGGGATTTGGACACGAAAATAGCCGGATTGAAGACATTTCAGTAAGGAACTGGGAAAGTAGTCGGGTCGCTGTGTGCATGCTCCCAAAAAGAACTTGATCGTGGTCGATTTGTTGGCGTTTGGAATGGTCCATTCGATCCCAACCGGTCTCTACACAGGTCTTTGTCTAAAAGCGAGTAAATGGCAACCACTTGCCTCGCAGGCTAATGTTGACCTACAATTGTTAGCGTCTTGTGTCTGAATAGACCGGTTTACTCACCCAGGTAACCCCGTCCTTGTCAACCTCCTTCTCAACGTGTGAAGAGAAAGCAATAGCGCTCATGATGCCATCACCAAACTTCTCGTTCAGCACGGCCTTGTATGCATAACCATAGTTTTGTACGATCTCATAGAGCCTGTAGACCAAGGGTTCTCTCGGTGGCATTTCGATTCCTCGGCCTCGATCTGGGAAGCCACCCATCTGTGCATCGAGTGTGCTTTGGTCAATTTCGAGGAACTCAGCCAGATGTCTGATATCGTCTTCAGATGCCTTGGCTGAACCATAGAACAACGCAGCTGTGGCTACCTCGTCTCGTCCAATAGCTTTTGAAATATCCTCAAAGGATACTTTCTTCTTGTGCTTCGCGTCGAAAAGGGTCTTTGCAGATGCGGGTAGGCCTACGGCTGCGGATGCCTGCGTCCTGTTAGCACGATGGTAGTGTGAATGGTGAAGGAGGCTATACTCACATCGAGAGTTGCTAGAGAGCCCATTGTGCTTGTTGATGGCAGATGATGCTGTCGCGTGTGGTTCTGTAATAGTAAGCTGGACAGACAGAACTGAAGACCGCACAGGGAATGTTCGAAGCAAAACATTCGAGACAGAGCAAACGTCAGGTCAACCAGGGCCTTTAAAGCGACCATACGACACACGGCGGGGCGATTGCATAGCGGAGAGGAGTCCTCAGTACTGGATATGAGTAATCGAATGCTCTCCTATCAAGAAGGCTTCGCCTGCACGGAGATAGAGGTTTGGAGCAACCATAGAGCAACCTCGACCTCTTAAACTGTTAAATCATGCTTCTGACGTGTGTACGATCGCCGTCTGCGGGGTGTAGATAACAGTGGGAAAGGAAGAGGAACGCGCCTCTCCGAAACAATACTGAACTTGGCAGGAGTGAAGAGAGGTTATTACTGCACTAAGCAACAAAGCCGGATCTGCCTCTCCTGGAAATCAGAGGGAAGAACGTGGTTGTGAAATGTTCTGTATCGTCAAAAAGACACACTGTCGTAGCACAACGATTCAGTGACTGTAATTCTGGGAGCACATGGAGGAGAAGTATTGACGCGTTGTGGGGTCGTGAAACAGGCAAGAAACAAGTTGAGCGCTCCTGCTCTGACAGCTGTGCATCGCAACACTTTCCAACTGAGGTCTGCAGGGCATCTCTGCTATTTCCTCGTAGACGGTTGCTCTATTCATGCACTGAATGTAACTCGTATCAGTTGCCCATTAAGTTGCTGGAAAGCTCGTAGATGTCTCCTTGAGGTGTCACCCGCTGCGAATAAAAACGTCGAGACCCTAACCTGTCACTGCTTCAACGTTGATGGTCAAGTACTAACATAAGATATTGCTGATTTGTGCCGTAAATCACATGACAATTGTTGCCAATATTCTGACCAGTCGCAGCTACCTTGACAAAGTGCTACAACCAATATGTCGGATCGATATCGTCGTCGCGACGACGATCAGGATCTCGCCTATGGTAGAGACTACTCCGACAGTCGCGCTTATAACGATCAGCCTGGCGCTCATGGAAATCCAGACCGGGGCATTATAGGTGATACATTCAAGAAATTCAAATCAAAATACGATCAACACCAGCAAGGCCAAAGACCACCTCAAGATTTCGGCTACGGCAGCAATCCGAGTTCGAGCACTGTAGGTTCGCAGCAGTATGGAGCCGGCTCAGGTTATGCTGGTGGTCCTTACAATCCTCAGTCTCAAGCTCAGCAATACAGTCAATCTGCCTATCCCGGAGGCCCACCACCACAAAAACCTCAACAAAAGCCAGCTGTTACCGACAAAATACTCGGTGGTCTATTGGGCTCAGTCACTTCCATTGGACAAGACATAGGAAAGATAGTCGGTGGATCTCACAGCCAACGTCCACCTCAAGGTCAAGCACATTATGGTGATCAGAGCGGTCTGCAGACCAACCTTCAAGCTCAGGTGCCGTCAAGGCCGACCAAAAATCGTTACGACAGCACTTTCGCTGGGCCAAAGCCAGAAAACGATGTCAAGTGGTATGTAGATGGATGCAGCTATATGTGGGCTGTCAGTCAAGCTCTCGAGAACGCTCGCCAAACCATCTGGATCCTGGACTGGTGGCTGTCACCAGAATTGTATCTACGAAGACCTCCTGCCCGCAATGAAGAATGGCGTATCGACAAAGTTCTGCAAAGAGCCGCAAATCGTGGTGTTAAGGTGAACATCATCGTCTACAAGGAGGTCACGCAGGCACTTACCTTGAGCTCGTCGCACACCAAACATGCTCTGGAGAATCTCTCACCAAATATTGGAGTCTTTCGACACCCGGATCATCTCCCAGATGCTCAAACTACTCATTCGTCCTTGATCTCTGGACTGCAAGGACTCAAACTTGACTTTGCCGGGTTGTCCAAGATGGGTGCTGATTCATTGAAAGGACTCTACGGTCTTACTGATGGCGTGATCTTATACTGGGCTCATCACGAAAAGCTCTGCCTCGTAGATGGCAGTGTTGCCTTTATGGGTGGTCTAGACCTCTGTTACGGTCGTTGGGATACCAATACACATCCTATCGCAGATGCTCATCCGTCCGACCTCAACAAGATCGTCTTTCCAGGCCAAGATTTCAACAATGCTCGGGTCTCCGATTTTTCTGAGGTCAACCATCCGTTCCAGAACAAACTTGATCGAACCAAGAGTAGCAGAATGGGCTGGTCAGATATATCGATATCTCTTCGAGGTCCTTGTGTGGGCGATCTTATTCACCACTTCGTCGACCGTTGGAACTTCATCTATGACGAGAAGTACAACGTTCGATCGGATAAGCGTTACCAGAGATTGCCCGACTACCCTCATCATCACAAAGACGAAGGCCCGGGAATGGCAACTGGACCTCCTCAAGCTGGAGCGCCACCAATCGAGAGTCTACCACAAGGAGGAGGGTACACCCAGCCACCGTGGCAAGGCTCCCTTCCTCAAGCCTCAAAGCCCCAACAACCTACATATGGCCGGCCAACTCAAGGCCAGCAGACTTATCCACCTCCACCGCCAGGTCAACCACCATCCTCAACACAACCGATTTACAGTCAACAGTCCAGTAGCTATCCCTATAACCAGGCTAGCGGTCAGTACAGTAGTACCTCGCAATCGTTTCCACCACCGCCTCCTGGTCCACCAACAAGTCAATCACAAGGTCAGTATGATACCGGCTACAATCAGCAATCGAGCTACCAATCTGCGAACATCCCGCCGACGCAATATGGCTCCCACCAGGAGCAGTATCAAACACGAACAAACTACGGTCATGTACCTCAGCCTCCTGCTTCTGCGTTCGTCTCGGCGCCTCCAGGGTACGGTTCTCGACCTAACACTTCATCTGGACTACCAGAAGCACAAGCTACCAGTCAACAACATGCTCCGTACGCTGCACCTCATGCCTATGAGCAGCAAGGTCAACCCGGCTCCTCAGGACCAGCTGAGTTAGGCTCATCCCAGTATCGAAGGTACGATGACCAGTCATCTTCGAGAGGCTTTGATGATGAGCAGGGATATGGTTCAGCTAGCAGAGGTGAACGTGGTTTTGGGGATGAGTCCTACGGGTACGATGAGGGCAGAGATCGTGGATACGGTCGCAAACCTGGTATCAGTCCAAGTCGTTTCGACCGCTACAAAGATGAAGCCAAGAAGTTGGGCTTTGATGTTGGTCGCTATACGGACAAACTTGAAGATCGACTAGATGACAAGCTAGCTCATCATAGTAGTGGTCGGCTTGGTAGACCACACAGTGCTGGTGGTGGTATGTCTTGTCAATTAGTCCGATCTTGCACCAAATGGAGCAATGGTACAAACACAGAACACTCTATCCAGAACGCTTACATCGATCTGATTCAGAATTCGAAACATTTTATCTACATTGAGAACCAGTTCTTCATCACTGCGACTGGCGACAAACAGAAACCAGTCAAAAACATGATAGGCAAAGCACTAGTTGAGCGAATTGTCCGAGCAGCTAGGGAGCGAACACCTTTCAAGATCATCGTCAACATACCTTCTGTTCCCGCTTTCGCTGGTGACCTCCAAGATGATGCGTCCTTGGGAACTCGTGCGATTATGGAGTTCCAGTACAGCAGTATCTGCCGTGGAGGTCACAGTATTATGGAGGAGGTGGCTAAAGCTGGAGTCAATCCTATGGATTACATTCGGTTCTACAATTTGCGCAATTATGATCGGATCAATGTTACTCCAGCCATGCAGCAAGCTCAGCAGCAAGCCGGTATCAGTTACGACGACGCCCGAAAACAGTATGAAAGTCAGCTGGGTAGTGGTTATGGCGGCTACGGCGAAATCGCGGCACCAAATGCTATGCCAGGACAACCTGGACAATCAGGATTCGTTCCTCAGCAGGGAGCACAACAAGGTTATTCAGCACCTCCACAATCCTATGGCATGCCGCATTCTTATGGTGCGTCTCAGGGGCAATATGGCTCTACCAGAGGCCCCGAGTATGGAGAACCTGGTACGCCATATGGTAGGCAGGTAGGACAGCAACAGTCTTATGCTCAACAAGGACAATACCAATTCCCGCCACCGCCACAACAACCACAGCAAGGAGGATACGGCTCACAACAGATGCCACAGGGCTCTTATCAATATCAGCAATACGCTCAAGCTGCACCAACTGTACAAGCTGATGACTGGGACTCGGTTGCGACCTGTTACATGTTGGGTGGTCAGGACGTTCGCAACGTTCCATGGTCAGGTCCGCCAGAGGCTGAACTCGACGCTTTTGTTTCGGAAGAACTTTACATCCACTCAAAAGTCATGATTGTGGATGATCAGACTGTGGTATGTGGATCTGCCAACCTCAACGACCGAAGTATGCTAGGCACACATGACTCCGAGATAGCACTCATCATCAATGATCCTGCACCCATCCAGACAACGATGGCTGGAAGACCTTGGCAAGCAAGTCGATTTGCCACTTCATTGCGACGACAATTGTTCCGCAAGCATTTGGGTCTTCTTCGCCCGCAAGACATGCAGCGACCAGACGACAACTTCCTGCCTGTGGGTGTACCCAACGTGTATGATTGGGGCTCTCCTGAAGATCATATTGTTTCCGATCCACTGTCGGATGCCTTCCAAAGTCTTTGGAACTCAAGAGCACGACAGAACACAGTAGCTTTCCGCAAGGCTTTCCGAGCTGTCCCCGATGACGAGGTAAATAGCTGGAATGAGTACAAGGAATTCTACGAGTACTATTTTGCTCCGTCCGACCCACAGGCTGGTGCGAAAGATCCAAAGAAGAAGCAAGCTCCAAGAGTAGAGTATGGTCATGTTGTGAGAAGCGATTTTCCTGGTGGTGTGAGAGAGCTGAAAGAGCTTCTCAGCACTATCAAGGGCACATTGGTGGAGATGCCGTTGTGCTTCCTGCAAAGTAAGTTTTGGCATAATTAATTTTCGTTCTCAGCTGACATTTTACAGACGAAGATATCGCAAAGGAGGGTATATCTTTCAATCAGTTGACTGCTGAAGTGTACACCTGATCTAAATTTGTTCGGGCAAGCGTACACAGCAAAAGTTAGAGAAGTATGAATCAGAGAACGAATGATGTCTAATGAAATGGCGATTGAGCTGGCGAACGGCGATGACCCTGTGTAAAATTGCAAGGTAACTCATGTTAGCTTCACTCATTTGGGAGGCGATCCATGTGGAGTGAGATCACAACATTTCGTTGAGGTGGTTTGTTGCGACGTGCTTGGTGTTGTCTAATGTGCTTGTAACGGTGTTGGCTCCCGGCCTCTTACAACCTTCTTGGCAGAAGCTGAACTTTGAACTTCTCGTCTACCTCTGAATTGCTTCTCGGTGCCTTCAAAGATAGCTTAAATTCGCAAACCTTTGTTGTAGCCGGTTGGAACGAAGTCTTGAATCTCGCGACTGGTGTGATCATGTCCTGCAATGGTTTATTCGACCTTCATGGTTAAGCTGTTTTTCCCTCCCAAACGAAGACGCGTTCCGCACTTTAGCTTCAACAACCTTTCTATGCATTCCATCTCTGCATTTGGTCGCGATCACCTACTACCCATTTCCTTGCACGCTAACTTCAACCTGAATGATGGCTGACAACATCAGATGCACCTTTGAGGGGTGCTACCAGCGATTTGCATCAGTGGAGGCTATGAAGAAGCATAAAGCCAAGATGCAAGAAAAGGGCGACGACATCCACGACTTTTACTGCAAGAAATGCGACGAGGATTGTGCTGACGATATCGAGTTCTTCATTCATCAGATACAGAGTCCCAGACATGGTTAGCCTGTTTTCGCGCTTTCAAAGCCTCTGCTGACTCAATAGTCGTCTGTCCAGCTTGTGGTCTCGAATTCAAGAGTGAAGGTGGACGTGACCGTCATGTCGGTATCGTAAGTATTCTAGGCATCGATAGTGTCCACTCACTGACGAGGCCTGCTTACTAGTCCCATCGGCAGAAGCAGAGCTTGAAATGTCAAGGCTGCAAGCAGATGTTCGACAGTGCTGCTGGACTGATCGGTCACATCGAGACCAACAGATGTAAAGTCATCAAGCGGAATGACTTCCACAAACATCGCGCCGAGATGCAGGTCAAGAAAGATGCGGAAGATAATGATTTGAAACTTGAAATGTACCAAGGAAGCACCGTACTCCCAGCAGAAACCACTACGACCTCGACAGATTCAGATACTATGGGAGGAACTTCATTGCCTGCGGATGAGCGAGTACCTTGGCAGGAGCAGCCTCCACGAAATGTTGACCACTTTGCGGACCAGCATGGCTCGCTGGCTCAGAAAATGAGCGAACTAGCTATTGACAAATACCCTCCACTGATGGCTGCAGAACGGTCTGCCAATTCGGCTCGCTCCACAACTACTCGATCGAATATCCGGAGCGAAAGACCTTGGGGTGCTACAAATACTACGACTTCGACTTCTAGCGACCTTCTTGGCAGTGAAGTCTCGAGCCGCACGAGGAAGTCTAGTCAAACAAGTCAACCTCCCCGAAGACGTTTGGAGGAAGACTATTCATTCAAAGCCTCATTTACCACTTCCAGCAATCTACTCGGTACAGAGATAAAAAGTAGTAGCAGATCCGTCGACGAAGAAGACCATCCAATATTCAAAAATGCCTGGGGTGGCGAAAAGGCCTTAAACCTGGGCCTTCGATCTGCTCCGCGACAACCCTCCTCGAATCTCCTCGACAGTACCTCGAACATCAACCTCATGAACCCATCCCTCCTCTCCAACGATTCCGCAGCCACACGGGGAACCCGACCATCCCAACTCCCACCAGCCTCCCAGCCCGAAAATCTCGACCCTAACTATCCCCACGCCCACATCCAAACCATTCCTTCTCTACCCATTCCTCGCAAAGCCCTCGACAAGTACTGGAATCCCTTCCTCGCCTCTTACAGTTGTCCGAGCCCCAACTGCTCCACTCCGCGCCATCCCACAATCCAATCCTTCGAACAACACCTACTCTCTGGCGTCCACGCCCCAAGCAGCGTACAGTGCCCGTCGTGTCTGAAACGGTTCAAGACCACGACTGCGCTGGTAGCGCACGCGGAGAGTGGGAGCGTGAAATGTGAATTGAGGAAGACGGAGGAGTTTGATAGGGAGATTAGGGCGATTACGGCGGGGTTGGTGAGGGTTGATGGGAATTGGAGTTGGGCGGGGAATGCGAAGTTTGAGAGTGTGCCTGTTGAGGAATGGGGCAGGGAGTCGTCGTTTTGGTGAGAGGGAGGGAGAGGATGTGATCGGGAGGAAACGCCAGGGTGGGATGGATTGGCTGCCTGAGGCGACAATTCGAATTCACGAAGACGAAGAGTCGAGGATTTAAAAGAAAGCGGAAAAGGCTCAAAGATGGGCCCTTTCTTACTATCCCAAGGCCATGACAGCAGCGGAGTCGTGCTTAGGTCAGTAATCAGCATCAGACCAGGGAGTGAACATATATGTACAGGCATGCAGCCATGCAGAGAGATCGCTCAAGCTATGTCGCTCTCGTATACCAGTACATGTGTCTTGATGTTCAAAACGAGTGGTTCAGCACGGGTCTGTGGCGGAAATGTCCTACACGATCGGACGTAACTTGGCATCAACTTGCGACAACTCGTTATAACCTGCTGCGATTCTTGTTAACTCACGATAACTTGCGCCAACTCGGTACAAAGTGCCACTGGCCACGAAGATAGGCTCTACTGAGAGACGACGATTTACCAAGGCCACTGACTATTTACAATTAGTATGTCAATGCAGCAGGAGGGAGAGGAGAGCCAGACGAGATCAAACGTGAGAGCACGACCAATGAGCTGGGAAAGTTAGCTTCTGACAACTGATCATTACTACCTAATACACGATCTATATTTCAGAGTATATCCTATAATATCCTCTTCTCTTGTGCTAAATCAAGGTCACACACCAAGAATCGTCCCGACGACAATGGTCAAATTGGAGTACGTCGTATACGACTATGTCTCCCTCGCAGTGATCGCAAGCGTCTCCTGAGTGACTCGCTTCACAACCAGCCATACAAATACACAGATTTGCTATATCTTATATTAAACCGAACGAGACAAAAGGCTCCCCAAAGGCGGTCTAACCCTGAGCTGTGGACGATGACAAGTACATGCTTCGGGGCATGCTCGTATTGCTCAGCGTTTGGACATGACCGACTGCGAAGACCCCCGTAGCATGAATGCAAAACTCGTGCTGCGTGGGATCATGATGTTTTGCAGTATCCCAAGGTGAATGAGGAAGCACAGTAGTACCCTTCCAGTTCAGGCTGCTGGACTGCGGCACGAAGTAGTGAATGCCAACGTTCTCAGGGGTTGAGTCATGGAATCTGTGCTGAAAATATGCGTCGCTAGTGTCACATTGACGTCTAATACGGATTGAGACATTGTCGGCCCCATCCTTGAGTATACGCCCTATGATCTCTGGATGAGCTTGCAGCATTCCTCTTCGGGATGCGATGATATTTGAGTTGAATGTGTCTATCTCCCTGGTCAGGAAGTTTTTCTTCTTCTTCTTCTCTTCCCAAACCCGTCGAAGTTACAACAGCTTGATCAGATGTTACCTCAATGAGCAGAAGAGATCCTGTTGCCCAAAAACGTTGTGACGATGGTGCTTGCGCTATACTCATAGCACCATCCATACATTTGTGGAGGAGTATTAATGAGCTCTTTTTCAGTCATTGGGTAACGGCCTGGGGTCAAGACTTGGCTTGTTCGCGTGGTTCGGAAGTGTAGCTCTTTCGCACATATCACATCATCGATTTGATTGCGATGGTATTCAGCCTAGCTTTTGATTCTGTCTCTCGACCAGGAGTTTATGGGACGATCTGCTCGTTGTTCGATCACGCCTCGCCTGGGTGCCGTGACTGAAGCGTGGGTTTTACGAGGATTGCTCTTGGTTGTGCAGGTACTCATTTTCCCTCATTACTAGTTTTGGTGGGCAGGATCGCTTCATCTCTGTTGTTCCTGCTCTTTGGCTCGTACAATCTTTCCTTTTCCTTCAATGACTGCCTGATCGATCTCCTTCACATTCTCAGCCTGTTTTTCAGCTTGATTCCAGACATCCCAGATTTGGTCGACAATCATGCCACCGTATCCTTCACCCTGATCCAGCTTCTCTTGTTCTTCCGCTAGGCGTTTGCGTTTCCAGTCGTCCTTGGCTGCTGCCTTGATGCTAGGAGGAGGAGGCCTCGCACCTGTGGTCAGGCTATGCTTGTCGAATGATTGACGTACGTTGTCCTGCTCCGCAGTGTCGTCAAGTAATCGTTTGGGATGTGGTGCTGCATTCGATTGACTCGGGTACTGCTGTGCGTAACTAGGAAGCTTTGCGCCTGGAAGTTGGTGCAATAGTCCTGCGCCTGTTCGCTCCTTGCAAATACGATTCGCAGAAGCTACGAAGGCACCCGACAATGCGAAAGTGTACAGATCGAGCTTGCGTGGTGGGATCGAAATAAGAATAGGCGCAGCCACGAGCATGGTTATGGAGGCATTGTGGAGGAATGACTGAAAGGACTGGGTCATGTAGACTTTCTGGTCGAACGTAGGCTCTGTAGATGGACCAGGGGCATTAGGAGCTGCCATCTGACCTTTGGCAGGCTGGTTGGGAGTCGCCATATTGTAGAGGGAGTAGCGCTTGAAATCTTCACTATTGATCTGCTTGAAGACCTGCTCGAAATGCTCGGAATGCAGTCCAAATTTCAGCCAATGGACAACAAATAGCTCTACGTCGAGAAGCAAGCAACAGATCGGTAACAGTAAAGGAGGTAGAGCTATGCAAGGACACCAGCTTGCTCTACATCATGCTGATGGTATGGGCCTCAATATCTATGATGCAAAGCACATTTTGGCAAGCACGACGGGCACATGCGACCAAGCTTCCGATCAGGTGTCAAGGCAGCAATCATCTTCAGCTCTTCCAGGCACATCTTCACTCTAAATCCACCACTGCCGTATATGGTTGCAGCATATTATTCAACACTCAAAGCTTGCTGGGCTTCACAACGTCGCTATCTTCACTGTTGACCAGCTTGGCCATCTCCTCCCTTATATGTCGTGGCACTCCTTCAGAATCAACCTTGTTGTCCTCCCGCTTGACCCATATCTGAGTGAAACCACCTACAGCCTTGACTTTCTCCTCCCCTTGCTGAAAGACACCGACTTCGTAGACTACACTACTCTTTCCCAATTTCACCACCCTCAGTCCCACATCCAATACACCCGGGTATTGCGCTGATCCGAAATAGTCACAGTAACTGTTCGCGACCAGTCCTATTCGATCTGATTTTGACGTGCTGTAACCACATTTATCGATTAAGTAAGAATTGATTATCGAGTCTATCAGTACTCCATAGATTGGATTGTTGAGGTGGTGAAACATGTCATTATCCGCCCTGGATTGTCGTTGGTATGGTTCAGTCGTGCTTATCAGAATCTTACCATCTTGTCCTGTAGTCTTGGTGAAAGACGTAGTCGCTACGTCTTCGTTCTCGCTTTGACTTGAGATCAAGTCCTATTGTTCTTCCCATTCTCGTCTAGTCCGATGAATAAACATTGTAGAAAGTTTGTCCAAGTATTCAGTTTGCTGGAACGGGAACTCGAGGATCATGCCGAGGCTGTTGCGGAAGAGGCAAAGCTCAAGCAGCAAAGACACTGGTAACTTGAAGTTTCTCCTTTTCCTACATCTGCAGCACAAGGCATGCACCGACATCCTCCAACGCTTTGTCTCTCGAGCAAAGTCTTTGACTACGAATTTAATCCAATGTGGATTCTGCGTGCTGTATCCGAGATGAGGTTTTGGCAGCAAACAGAAATGGCTCAGCCTTGACAACCACGACACCAGATTTCACCATGAACCCGTCACTTCACCATCTCTCGTCATCATTCTTGATTACGTTGGACTGTATGACCACCGCACTGCCAACACTAGGCGCTGTATAAAATTTGCGTCTCTAGCAATCGTGCGGTATCATTGTCAGCTCCTCTGATGGGTACAAGCTTCAGCCAGCCACGCATGCTTTCCCTGCCCAGGAGATACTACCAGTAGTATAACGTGTTACTAACGATACAGCAGTATCACTTGTTGAGGGCGCTCTAGCGTTTGACCACGTGCGTTTACGGGAAACACAGTCACGAGAAACTGTCCCGTATAACATATATAATTGTCGCAATGTATCTTTTCAACCCTTTGGTCGACACACAGAAAGATTCTTTTCCAATCTTCTTACATTGAAAGTCACCTTCTTCAGAGGTAACCCAGAGTTCATCCTTGGCACCACAACAACCTACCCTGGTAGTACTGAAAAGCTTTGTGTCGAGATATCGTGAAAGTACTCGAGGATGACAGATATGCAGACGAAGCCTAGTGTAGGAACTGTGCCAGGAATCGCTGGACGAGGTCAAGTCTCTAGTCATGTCCTTAGTCCACAGGTCTATCCTGCCTTACAAGTAATTCGGTTCAATCCTCCTCTCAACACAACCATTGACGCTCAGGGGCGGCTCATTGCCCGACGAATCAACAGAAGTCAGACTCGCGACGACCCCTCCACGACCAGCGTTGTTGAAGGCTCCAGGCTCCACTTTCTGAGTCTGCCACAAGAGATCCGTGATATCATATGGTCTTTTGTGTTTGTGCCGATGCGCACCATACCCAGGACCGATTGTGTCTTTGGAAGCAAACCTCGACTTGACTCTTGGCTAGAGCATCGCATGAAAGCAGGCAATGACTTGACCACGAGTATCTCAAGCACAACGGACGACACGGCAGATGGCACGACAAAGGAGCTGTTTGACGAGGAAGATTCTGAAGACGATTTCGACGATTCTGAAGAGGATGCGGACCAGGACTGGGAAAATCTCATTGAAGACAACTACAAAGTCAAGGACAAGAGAGATTCCGAGCATGGTCTCACATGCGACGGCGGTGAGGACCATGAGGATGTACACAAAGACATCTTTCAGGACAGGCTCCGAGATATGGACATCGAGCGCATAGAAATGCTCACCCGTCTACTGTACTTTCGAAAACCATTCCACCTTAAGATCGATCCTGAGGTCCGTCGATACCTGAAAAATTGGCGCTCAACGCCAAATCGTGTTGTACACTTCACTTGGTCACAGGAGCATGGACAACTACGTCTCGAGTGGACGCCTGCCTATCAAAGTGCTGAAGCTTTCCCATACAGACGCATCGATACGGCGCATGCCAAGAAGGGTCGAGAGTGGAAGAGGAGAATTGAATCTTGGCTGTTTCTCAGTCATGTCGAAAGTTCCGAGTCACTTCTGCAGGTGCTTCTCAGCGAACACGTCTACAATCCTCTCTCTGCAGAGTGTGAGATTGCACCTATCAAGGCCTATCTGGACGGTGCTGAAATTCAGTGGTTCAAGGCAAAAGAGATCATCGATGAGAAATCATGGGACAAATTCAATGATGCATGGACTCGATACAGGGCAAACCGACAGGCATCGAAGCTCGAAGAGGTCAACCAGACTCGGATCATGAGCATTCGCTGTTGACGTTACAAGGCAGTCGGCGGAGTTCCAATGAATACGTGAATACTTGGGAAGGAAGCACCAGCACTCTATTGGAAGAACGAGTCAGGTTCGTGCTGGCTCGTGAATAAAGGATAGCTACATTAGCTTACAATTGACAGTTTACTTGCACAAACAGAAACTAGATACTGTACAAAGAATTGTCGCAAGATAGCCATGGACAGTAAAAGAAAATTGATCAATTGACTATACCAGTATTTCTTTTAGTGTGCCAGTATGAAAAAGTTCTGCTTGGTCAAGCATAGGGCCACAGTGCCGAAATTTAGGCGTCTCAGGCACACTTGTCACCTGTTCCGCCCCCGAAGCAGCCTCAGACCACCCGTACATTACTCATTTTCCAAACCACCATAATCTTCTTCTTATCATCGATTCCTATCAACTTCATCGATCCAACGACTGTCTCAACATATGCGACGAGAATGGTAGGCCATGATGCGACTCACGATGGCGAAACCACGCCGGCGCCGCTCGAAAAAGGTTTCGCGACGCTCAATCAACTCACGATCGGGGTGAAGGCGATGGTGGAGAAGAATGGTGAACCACGAAAAGCAGAAATCCTGTCCGTAAAACAACGCAATGGTGGTCTAACCTTCTATGTACACTACGTCGAGTTCAACAAGCGACTTGACGAATGGGTAAACGCTGATCGCATCGATCTGAGCCATGAAGTGGAGTGGCCAGCGCCTGAGAAGCCCGAAAAGAAAAAGACCACCACTACCATTACAAAACAAGGACAGAGTGCGACGACAAAGAACGTCTTGACCAAGCAAGCCGTCGCAAGTCGGGCACGATCAGATTCACGGCCTGGCACAGCGACGCCTGACAGTGCTTATCTAGCTGCCAAGGCTGGAAACGATCGTAAAAGGCCACAGCCTTCAAAGGCTGGTGGTAAGGAGAATCTCGAAGATGGTGCTGCCGGTACGCCTGAGCCAACACTTGCTGGCGCAGGCACGCCATTGCCCACTCTCAGCCATGAGGACAGCAGCACGGCCGACGTCGAGATGGTAGACGTGACCAAGACCGAGGAGAAAGTGTCGCATATCCTGGAACCAGAAGAAGAAATCGAGAAATTACGAACAGGTGGCTCTATGGTGCAGAATAATGCTCAAGTACATCTCGTCCGGAATCTGGAGAAGATACAAATGGGCAAGCACATCATCGAGCCGTGGTATTTTTCGCCTTACCCTCAAGAATTCGCCGACGCCGATCTTGTGTACATTGACGAATTCTGCTTATCATATTTCTCGTCGAAGAAAGCCTTCGAAAGACATAGGACGAAGTGCCAACTACAGCATCCGCCTGGAAACGAAATATACAGGGACGACTACGTTTCTTTCTTTGAGGTTGATGGAAGACGGCAACGGACGTGGTGCCGGAACTTGTGTTTGCTCAGCAAGTTGTTTCTTGATCACAAAACTCTTTACTACGATGTTGATCCATTCTTGTTCTACTGCATGGTCACAAGAGACGAACATGGTTGTCATCTGATTGGATACTTCAGTAAAGAGAAAGAAAGTGCCGAAGGCTACAATGTCGCCTGTATCTTGACGTTACCTCAATACCAGCGACAAGGTCTAGGAAGACTTCTCATCGCATTTTCGTACGAGCTCAGCAAGCGCGAAGGAAAACTTGGATCGCCAGAGAAACCATTATCTGATCTTGGACTTCTTGGCTACAGACAATACTGGAAAGAAGTCCTCATCGAGCTGCTCTCCGACCCCTCTCGGCTTCCGCCACCAGGAAGTGCCTCACATACCCCCACATCATCTGACCTGCATCCGCACTTGAGCTTGGGTCTGAATACTCCAGGTGGACAATATACCTCGTCGATCTCAGAGATTGCAAACCTGACGGCAATGACTGAGAAAGATGTTCACGAGCAGCTGGAGGTTCTGAGATTGTTAAGATACCACAAAGGGCAGTGGATCATTGTTGTTAGAGACGAATTGCTTGAATGGCAGGAGAAGAAACTGGAGAAGGAGAAGAAGAGAGGTGTGCGGCGGATCGACCCGAGCAAGTTGAATTGGAAGATACCGGTGTTTACAAACAGCATGAGGACGTGGAACTGGTAACAGATCCTATTCGTGTTGGAATTAACGAAATAGTGATACTACTCAAGCTATGTAACTAGGGACTAACGGGAGTTGATTCGAGTTAGCGCCGGCGCTTTTGAGGCAACCGAGTCGAGGAAAATAGTTAACACACGACTCAGGACGAAGCGTGAAAAAGCACAGACTGTCTATGCATTGAGGCGAGTCAAACATGCTTCGGCGGGTATAACCCCAACGGAGGCAACGGACGATAATGTACGCAGAGACGGGAGAGTCCACTGAGCGCATCGACAGTCGGTGGCACAACGATTTGGAGTACCCTGTCGGATAGAGTGTGTCAGCCAGGCCTGGAGCCGGACGAGGCACGCGTCACTCTTGCTCGCCCTAGTGCTTTAGAAAGAGCGGTATTGCCGTAACACTATATATTCTCCACGTCTCGATCGCTGTGTTGAGTGATCATTGGCACCAACAGCACTGCGAAGGTTCATGGGCCATTAGCCAGTACACCATATGTGGTGATATGGTTGATAAAGGCAAAACATTCCATGATTGATGAAGCAGGACGAACATGACCTCATAGGCACGTTGAGTCCAAAACCAGATACAACATCTCTTGCATGACGACTAGGCCCACGAAAAGGCCTATCTATCGTATCCTACATCTTGAGCTCTATATTAGTACAATGGTAGTCTGCTGGCTCTCTTAGGGCGGAAATTCTTGGCTCTCCACGAGAATTTAGGTTTCCGCTCGCCTGTGAAGTTATTAACCCTGATACTACGCACTGTACTCCTGTACCCCTGTACCGCAACTACGGGGAAGACTAAACCAGTTCACGAGCTTAGGGGTGCTGCAACGTTCATCTGGGTAGAATTGAGCATCGTCGCGATATAGAGACCCGTGTCGGCCTAAATCTTCCCCTATCCGTGGTAGTAGCAGCAGATCCCGCTCATTTGGCAATTGGAGCGCTTGTGTAACTTGTCCTCTCAACGTGGCATTGCCGGCTCGCACAGGATCTGTAATATTAGTGAGGTCAATAGCGGCCGTTTAGATATTTATGAGTCCAACGACTTGCTCGAACGAGCAATCGAGATTAACCGAGATCAGTGGAAAATTTATTTGCAGTCAAAGACAACGACAGTGCACGATGATGCTTCGATTTATGACCTTACATTCTCGAGTCAGTCCATAGCCTCTAGCAAACAAGGCTCGAAGCAGCATCAATAGCATTCTGGAAATTTTTCGATAGATCACTAAGTCGTATGTTGGTGTTTATCGAGTCCATATTCTCAGTCTTCAAAGTGGCAAGCTGGATGTCACCCCAGCAGTGACTTAGACAAGCATGGGCCTCGGAAGACACTTCAGAACCACAGTCCTGCAATCGAGAAGTAGTGATGCTAGAATTGCGATGCAGCCTAAGGAGCCAACATGGATACCAATTGTTTTGTTGATTATCGCCTTGCATCTCTCGTGGATTGCAACACAAGTGCTGAGTTGCATCTCTTAACTTTCTATGGCCAAGACCTATACTAGAAACGACTCCTCTGTAAGGATTATGAAAGCTATCATATGAAGTGTACTAAGTGAAGTTGCGATACTCTCCAATCTCCATTTTATAAGTAGAAGCTTTCAAAACATTTGCTACAGGACTAATTATTATAGCTAAGTATTACCAGCTACATTGAAGTATTTAGAAATTCTGACCTTATCCTCATTGTGGAAATCGCCTCGAAAAGCCTAGCAAAATCCAAGCTATGTCGTTGAGCTGGAAAGCATAATCTCAATAAGCAAGCAGCGAGAGGGTTTGCACACTTGTACTCCCAAGAAGTCCTGCATGGAGACATCAAGCCCGGGAATACTTTTCTCACGCAATGAGAAGCGAACCTCAAGAAATTGCCAGACTTTGATCTTTCTGGTCAAAAGGGAGGAATAGGGACATTTTGTGGTGCGCCTCTACAAGTTGCTCCCGAGTTGCAATCTAGCAAAGCAAATACACATCAGCAATCCACGTTTTCAGTCCTGGGATGGTCTTGTCAAAATTGCTCCATGGTATCGGGAAAAGAGTCAAGTCTAGACTCAAGTCTTTCTCGACTGCAAATCCTGGTATGGCACTTTGACTGAGTACGTGAGTGACAGTACTGTCGCGGCATTTATCAAGAGAATGCTTCGCATGCACTAAAGTCTCGTCTCACAGCCAGTGAGGCACCCAAACAGATGGACGAGTGGCTTTTGCTATTACGACAGAATGTGACATCTTCGACTCGAGCAGGAGCTAAGACCTTTTGGCAACGACAATCAGGACAATTGTACAGCAAAGATATGGCAATAAACTCAAGCGGGCACGAATGAACCCTTGCCTACCTAGGGATGCAGAAGCTCCCCGTCCCTTATCTACTAACCTTAGTCAACGAAGCCATCACCTAAGGCTAGAGAATTTCTACCACTTTATCCATCAGTAGATACATAGCCGCATCTGGTCGCTATGATTTCTTAGTGTCCTGTAACGACAGAAAGAGAGACGAGCACAGGAGAACAGAGTTCGAGCTCTTGAATATCCTCGGGCAGCGGTCTCGCTAGCCTGGGTAGAAGCTGGAATCCGTTGAGCAAAACTGCTTTGGGTTCAATACACCTCATAACAATCCCAGCCTCGGTGATCGAGCACTTTTCGTGAGTAACGAGCAAAGCATTACACAGGTCATTTTTTCAAAAAAGAGAGAAAAAGAGAAAAGAAAAGAAAAAACAAAAAGTCGTCAACACCAGCATGATGTTGGTGCGGCGCCGGATCGATGACGATAGCGTTGCTGCTGTCCAGCGCCATATTGTTTGATGCGCGAGTGCGTTTAGAAATGAGGCAAATGTGAAATGCGGATGGGAAAACGCATTGGGCTTGGTGGAAGTGCTGCCTACTTCCACATCGTCTTCATGGAGAAGCAGATAGCATAGCTAAGGATTATTGGATGCTTCAGCAAGGCACACATCCTCGCAGATTCGAGGCGGGTTTGATGTGGCTTTCGTGTGCTTTGCTGCGTGATCGTGCGTTGGGGGATAAGTTCCCTTGAAGCAACCCAAACAAGCTGGTGTTGTCATTTGCAACCTGAGTCGGGTAAATTAGAGGCTAATTATGGACAACAGACCTAAGAAGCTAATTACCTTGGGCAGCTGGGGATGCATGTCAGCGCTTAAATACCACTCAAACGTTTACATTGGTCGCACGTTCGTTGGCTGCAAACTTGAACTCTAGCCCTAGGCTGCCAAGTTGCAGGCCGTATTATCAGAGGAGCACGCAGGAGCATACACTGGAACATCCGTCTCCACTGAGAGCTTGACAGCCTGGATCAGATGGGAGAAAAGACGCCGTCCCTATCGCATTGCTGTCGATACAAAGTCCCACTGCACGTCCGAAGCTGATACTCATGGATCTGTTACACTTTCATTTGCGCCAGCAGGCGCGCGCCTGGCAGAATATTTACTCCTTCTCGTGCTTGTGCACTTCTTTAAAAGATTGAAGCCTACCTCAATCCGCCTTGGAATCCTCTTCAGCGCTCAGGTTTTTCATTCAATTGATTAACCTGATTTCCCCGTCTGAATTCCCACCTCGAACGCTCCGAAGAACCGAACTGATGGATCCTGTGACTATCGTGTCGCTGGTGGCACTCTGCGTGACGTCCAGCGCTTCCTTGTACAAGACTATTGACAGCCTCAAAAGTCGCAAACAGGATGTCCGGCATCTCAAGACTGAGGTTGGAGACCTCAATATAGTCTTGCAAGCACTGGCGAAAAACATTGAGGAGACCACAGAAAACTTCGAAGTGTTAAGGCTCATTCTAGAACATTGTGGTCAGGCATGCAAAGATTTTGAGGAAGAAGTGCTAGACAATGTAGGAAAATCGGACAATCGTCTCGAAGGTGTCAGAGCTTGGGCCAAGCTCCAACTGAAAGGGGGTGATATCGACAATTTCAGAAAGCTCATCGGTAGTTACAAAGCCACCTTGACAATAGCGTTGGCAGACGCCAACCTGTAAGTCATCGCAGGAGCTCTGCCTCTTGACAGATTCGGGACGCTAATACCGCGTGTGATAGTCGAACAGTGAAAGTCACCAAACAGCTTTTGGAGAAGTACTCAGAGATGACGCAGGACACTACCTCCGATCTTGAAGACCAGATTGCAGAGCTTAGCCAAAGGCTTGATGTCCTTCAAAGCGAAAAATCTCAGACCTCCCCTGAAGACTCAAGCTGTCAAAAGAATGGCGGCTCTGTCACGACGAAGCAAACATTGGAGCAGAAAGCTAGCTTGGAACAATGTTTGATCGTGTGTCATCAGCTTCTTGATCACATCGAGATCGCGAGGTGTTCAGTACCAAAGAGCACCATGAATGCGACAAGCAGCACCACAGCGACCTATATGACCGGAGGGGTCGACAACCTCGCTCCGCGGCTCACTGCCGATGCTTTGCAAATGTGCACGCACAGCATCAATGCCGCAGCACAGCACTTACAGGATCTTCAGGGATCGAGAAGGCCACCAGATGGACCAGACGGAAGCGAAATTATGCAGCAGTTAGATCGCGCCCGTCAATGTCTGGATATTGTCGGTAAAGCACAGCAGCAACGAGTAAATGTTTTCGAAAACATTGATACGGCAGAAGATTCTTTTCAGACGATTGTATCCACCATAGGAGACTTGATTAGAGCTAATGGGCTTACCATTGGGGCGCGGGCTGTCAATATCATGGGCCAGATGAACGATGACAGTCTACAGAAGATCACTTGTGACCTGCGCATGGACGTTGCCGGGAAACCGTCCTCAGAGCACGTTGATACCACATTTGAGAAGAAACATGGCTTTGGACATACGATTCAGCCAAAGAAGCCGTATTTGTAGCTCCACATTGACCTCTTCTCACAGGGCATCCAAGTCAGTTTCATCCCATACCACTCTATACGCATGGACGATGTACTGCTCAATGCCTCTAGTCTCCCTAAGCATTTTATTTGGCTACACGGCGCTCAACGGAATCATGTTCATCGTCAGGGCGGAGCTTTCGAACTTCTATCGTGGCGAGGCTGGTAGAGTACAGAGCGAAATCCACCAAAGTTGCTGATGCAGCCCTGCTCGTAGACGCACCATACCATGCTCTTGTTTGAGGCGGAATCCTGGGCACCCCAACCTGGCTCCTCTTGTAATTTTGCTGCGATACCAGTGCCACGACCGCGAGGCAGCTGTGAGAACCCACATTCTTGTCTACGCATGACTCATCCTCGATTGGATAACCTGCTGTCACCGCCATAGTCCAGTCTAAGGAGTGAAACCTACCAGAGAGTACATCTCCACTCCTGTGGATCCAGTAGAGACGCCAATCAAGCTACCTCATAACAGGCTCAGCGTCTGTGATCAAGCACTTTTCCTGGGCAAAACATAGAGCAGAAAACAACAAATATACATACTCACGAACGGGCTGGACCACCACTTAGGCACAGTAAAAGGGTTGAAATCGGCTTCCATCCTGTGACAACGAACAAAAATTCAATTCCGTCCTAACGCTTCTGACTACTCAGTTGCAACCTGGTCGGCATCCCAAAAATGCACTTCTTGCAGGACCCGCCGGAGTTCGTCAAGGTTTCGTCCCGAATCGAGCCAAATAGCGCCGACCAGTGCCTGCACCGCTTTGCTCACCATGTTGGGCGAAAGTGGTTGATTCCATTGGCTTGGATTGGTCAAGATGCACGGCTGTAACTGCATCGCGTCCGCTACGTGGCAGAGGTACGATGGGGATGCAATTCTTGCAATCTGCACGCTGGCCGTCTCTAAAACATGGTCAGCAACCACGTTGTTCATGTATGAGATAGAAAAATAGAAGGATACTAACCTCGATTTGCGCCAGCCATGTACCAGTCCTCAAGCAGAAGCATCTTCAAGATAGCTTCGCCTAGGTGCGCTAGGCGCTTGTTGCCATCAATCGCGCTAGGTGAGTTCGCCCCATGGTAACCTGCTCCGGCAGTTCGAAGTGCCTCCAACAGGTAGCGCGAATTGCTGAATTGATAGGAAATGGTCTCTTGGAGATCGTGAAACGATGGTGGCAAAAAATTGTTGTTAGCCATGAGTAACCAAGCTGAAGCACTGTGTGTTAGAGGTTCATGACGGGTAAATGTACCTATTTAATGCCTAACAAAGCTGCACAATGCCACCCCAAGAAGTTGGACGGTCCTAAGACTACTTGGTGGCTCTCTACCTGTTGCTATCTCGTGCTATCACATACTATCTTGATCCAATCGCGTCTACTATCTCCGTTGTGATTGGTTCGCGAAGAAGTTTGGAATTTCCAGTACGAACACCCTTTATCTGCAGCACAATCTGAGATTGCGGGGTCGCGAGACCTCGCAATATCATTATCGCTTATCTGAGATAAACATCTTATCTAAATCAAGATAAACTCACGAAGTCGTCAATCTTGAATGCAAGCTAATCTCTATCCTCCTTGAATTACACCGAGTACAGGATCACAGTTTGAATCTCCCTGAAGGTCGAGATACGTTCACCTGGAAAACCATGTTCGCCAGCGGGTGTATCGAGCGAGGAGGAAATATGTATAAAGATGTTTCGGTTTACAGAAATCATGCACAACCTTATCAGCACAACCGATGACCTAGTGTAAAGGATGGGAAACAAGTCCAAGAAGGCAGAGCCAAATATGGTCAGTGATGCTACCGTCGAACAAATCACTGGATATCACTTTCACGACATTGACCTGATGCACGAGGCTATAACAGCGGCTGGTATGGGATCGGATGGCAACAAACGTTTGGCTCTTGTCGGTGACGCCCTTATCCGCTTGGTCACCATAGATGACTGGTATCCGAGTGGCAAGAGTCCAGGTTCGTGTCTTGGCGAGAACTTGACGGACGAAATCACTAATGGCCCACAGCCGACGGACAGAAGAGCTTCACAGAGATCGGGACCAATGAGGTGCTCTCTTTGCATGGACGCGAACAAGGTGTAGCGGACATCATTGTTCACAATCCCTGTCATGGACGTTCTATTCCGAAGACGACCTTGGCATCGAGTATGGAAGCTATCGTTGGAGCGGTGTGGGTTGACAGTGGTAAAAGTCTGGTGGACGTGCGCAGAGTCATGCAAAATCTTCATATCCTTCAGGACTGATACGAGGTCCTGATTACAAATGTGCCTCGGTTCATGCCGCTTAGGCGCGTCTGAGTAACATCAGCCTAAACACTGATGCATCGTAAGTTCGCAATACCGTAACGACGTACTAGGGTAACGACGTACTCCACCACTTTTTATCCTCTCTCTTTATCACTTTACCACACCACCATTTAGCCAATATAACGCGTAAATCTAAGCCTACTGTTAATACTACTGTTATAGCTTACCGTTAAGGTAAATTTACGTCGATTCGAGTAGCTACGCGCGCGTACAATATCGCGGAAGCCTTAGTACGCTAAAGGCTTAATAATAAGCTAACTCGCTAGTAAGGTTATACCTATAAGTAAATCTTATCCTCTATATAAGAGATAATACTTATTAGATAGTTTATTAACCTTAAAGTCTATACTTAGGCACCTATATATACTTAACTATATTCTATAGCCTCGTTAATCTTATAGACTAATAATAGCCTAGTAGTCGTTAGCGAGAGTTAGATCGTAAACTTTAAGTATCATAATCCTTAGGTTTATACTAAGCGTAGAGTTACCCTTAATATATAATAATCATAAGACCTTATAGAGAGCGCTATCTAGACCTAGTATAATTATCTCTCTCTTATTATATAACGTAAACACATTAAGAGATAGTATACCTAGAATATTAATAAGATTAGTAACGTATTTAGCATTATATCTAATTAACAAGTTATAGGTAGCGTATATCACGACTTATTATACGACCAGGTCTACGGCCAGGCATACGACTAGGCGTACGGCTAGGCGCACACCTAGACATACACTAGGACACACGACTAGGCCCACGTCACAAGTGGCTCAAACCAGAATCAGCCAGGGACTGAATCAGAACAGGACTGGCCTGAAACGGGTTGTGCATAAGGGAAGGTTAAGCGAGAGCCTTACTTATACCTAGCCTGATCTTCTGCTCTTCTGATCTTAACAAGAGCACAAGGGCAGAAGAGCAATACAATCATGGACCATATATACAACGTAGGTCAGACGTATCTAACATTTAATAGTTACTCTATAATTAATCTCCCTCACCAATTCCACTAGTACCTTCTAAGTACCTTCCTGTCGTGTTCACACTTCTTGTTACTAACCAGCTAATATACCACCTTACTGCCTGTGATCAGACCTACTTACCCTAGGCCTAGGAACTTGTGTGATAGCGTAGATATAGACTTAATATTTATCTAGACAGTAAGAGAGAGGGAGTAGGTTACTATAATTAAGTATATTAATCCTTAAGGTCGTACGCTCACCCCGTTAGTTATATTTAAGGCTAAGCACGTACAAAGTTAGTAGTTTATACCTACTTAGACTCGTAGATAAGCGGCCAGATTCTCATGTACTAATTTCTCGTTCTAGATTAGTAGGTGAGCTGTTGCTGCTTCTACTCACCCTGCAGGTGAGCCGAGGGGTTGTGTGAGGGTGAGGCTAAGGTAATCAACAGGTGAGCTAGCTGCACCGCCACTGTGACGAGAATTCACGAGGACCAACCATTACTGTGAACCCTGCTAGCGTCGTTTCAAACCCCAATGTAAGGGGGGACCAGAAACTTGATTGGTCTTCGCCACTGTTGAGATCTGTGCAGTACTTCAATCTTTACTAATCGCCTACACCCCTTCCGTTGGTTGTGTAGATGTTCTGTTAGCGTGTCTGTCTCGAGCTACGATCACGTCTTTACGTGCACAGCGTTCGTGGTAAAACGATGAGTTCTATAACGTTCGCTGGAGTGGTGGCAGCGAAAGGTTGTAAACCATCCGCTTCCTTCTTTCCACACGTCACGCCTTGCATGGCCTCTTATGGTACCACCAACTAGAAAGGACAGCTGAACAGGCCGTCAGCGTATACCGAAGACCAAGGTCTCTATAATGTGAAGCCAGGTCAGCGTAAGTTGATTCTGGTTCACCTAAGTAGCATTGACTGATTGTGAGTCTGAACGGAGCACTCATGTTAGTGGCCGTCTGTTACTATACAAGCCACAACCGCTACAGCCACGTGTATGCACGACCATTGCCTGGGCCACGCCATCAGGAGGAGGCCAGATCCCGACATAGTGAGGCTTCTTGGTCTGTGCAGTATTGTTGCTGGAGCTGGGCCATCCATCCATCTACATCGATCTTTGTGTTGCCTGCGGATGACGTGAGCATGTCCGACACCCCTAGCCCTGCGTCGAAGAACTCGTGTCCACTGCAGCTCGGCAAAATGATTCTTTTACTCACGTAGGCAGACATACAGGCGTTGCACAGGTCAACGTCTCCACACCGACGGCACATGTGACGACCCACAACAAGGGCGACCGCGCATTGACAACCATCACATTGTACACCTGAGAAGTCCAACGCCATGTGGTCCTCCATTCCAATCTTCATCTGCTGAACAAGAGCAATCTGAGCATTGGCATCGTCGTTAACCCTGATCAGCGCTTTAGGAAGGTAGTGCAGTAGGCCTGAGTTCCCTCTTCGACCCCACGTGGTCACGTGCCGGATGAGACGGCTTAGGTAAACTACTGCAGCTTGCTTGTCCTCAGCCAGCCTCACACTCTGATCTAGAAGTGCGGCAAGGTTGACGATGGGGTACTGCCATCGTGTCGCAGCGTCAGGCTTTCGGTACCAGGAAAGCAGTCGCACGTACATCTGCTCCGCCTCGTCCAGCTTGCCCTGATCGGCATACAGACTGCCCAGGTTGTTGACCGTGGTAAGGGTCGAGGTGTGGTTAGGTCCCAGCGCTGTCTCGTAGCCAGCTAGTGCTCGTAAGTACATCTGCTCTGCCTCGTCCAGCTTGCCTTGATCACGATACAGGTTGCCCAGGTTGTTGACCGTGTTGAGGGTTGAGGTGTGGTTAGGTCCCAGCGCTGTCTCATAGCTAGCCAGTGCTCGTAAGTACATATGCTCTGCCTCGTCTAGCTTATCTTGATTTTGGTATAGGTTGCCTAGGTTATTGACCGTGTCGAGGGTCGAGGTGTGGTTAGGTCCCAGCGCTGTCTCGTGCCCAGCCAGTGCTCGCGCGTACATCTGCTCAGCTGCCGAGTACTGGATTTGCTGGCTCAAAATCTCTGCAAGGTTGACGACTTGTGCAAGATGGTCAGGTGAGATCTCGTCCGAGTGGGTAAGCGGTGTGAAACGAGGACTGGCACATCGCAGTGCGTGACGAGTGAGACGAGCGTAACGAAGTTGTGCGAGGGACCCCCAGTCATCCTCGTCAACGCTGCCCGTCACGCATTGCACGACATACCAGAACAGCGGCTCGCTCCGGGGCTGGTTGAGTTGTGCCAGCGTCCAGTCGTGCACGCAGTTGTGTATCCCGTACGACCTGGTCCGGGGTTGAGCTTCCACGAGACAGTAGTCCACCAACGTGCCCATGGTGCTCTCGAAGTCGATCTGGTCGCCCGCCACCTCTCGGAGCCAGTCGGGTGAGTCGTCCTCTATCCCCGCACGGAGCAAGTCGAACCAGATCTCTTGGTGGTCGAAGTATGCCAGCAGCTTCAGCACTTTGGCCGCGAGCGGATCATGGCGCTCGAGCCGATGATACGTCAAGTTCCATGTCGTGTGGAGGGTTCTGTCCGCGTATTCTTCCAGGTTGACGGGCCGTCGGGGGTGGATGTTGAAGCGCTGCTCGTAGGCTTCGAGGTACTGGCGGAAAGTCAGGGTGGTCTTTCCCAGGTACGCACCTGCTGTGGCCAGGGCGAGGGGAAGACCAGCAAGGCGTTGAGCCAGTCGGTGAGCATCAAGATCTGTGTGTCATGGTTAATCTTTAGACCGCACGTACGCACGCACGCATACACTCAAACACAGATGACTGCGGCAGAACAGGTCACTTACCTAGTCGTACATCGTCCCGTCGCGATCGGTTCTGTAGTATCTGCAAGCTCTCCTCGACATCCTCCATGGACGAGACTCGAACCTGTCGCATGCGTTGACCCTGGACGAGCGCAGGCAGACGGGTTGTGATGATCATCGTTCCGTTGCACGTCGTGGGGATGTACTCCGTGATCTTGTATTGCTTAGGATCGTCGTAGTTGTCGTATATCAACAGCCACTGCGTGTTCCTGACGTCCGACAGCCATCTAAACGCATGTCTGAGCACCTCATCGTCATCCAGCTTCCCTACAGATGATGCACTGGGCAAGGTCTCCGCGATCGATCGAAAGCTGGCCGTCAACGTGAGCTCGCTGGTGGCGTTGAGCCATAACACCGAAGTGTAGCTGGCCTGATGCTCTCGAGCATAGGCGATGGCCAGTTGTGTCTTTCCTATACCTCCCAGTCCACCCAACACCACTCGCCGTTGTTCCACCGCAGGCTCGCCAGGTCGCAGAGCTCGTGCCATCTCCTCGAGCTCCCGGACCCGTCCCACAAAGCTGTCAGGCTCCATCAGCGGCGCCGAGGTCAAGCAAAGACCAAAGACCTTCAGCGGGTCTGCTCCGGGCTGCTGGTGCACCTGGTAGACATCACCCAGGTGAACACGAGCCTGGTCGTGGACAGCGACGTTTCCGACAACATGCCCTCGATGAGGTGGAAGGGATGGTGTCGGGACTGGTCCCAGCTGTAACTGAGCGAGAGCTGCCAGGATCTGGTCACCCACATCGACATGCTGGGTGGTCTGGTGCAAGACGAGAAAATCGATGTCTTGCTGTATTCTTTCGACTGCCACTCGGATCTCTCCGTCTTTGGTCAGACTCTGCAGTGCCTTGACCGCTCGACGCAGACGCGAGGCATCGGAGGGAGGAGTGATCTGAGACAGACATCTCTCGACCACTTGTAGTTGGGTCGCTGTACTCTGGGTCAGGGATCGAAGCGCGTTCGAGACTTCGAGGGAGAGCCGTCCGGCGTCAGCCTGCTGCTGAATGAGTCTCAGGGTGGACGTGAGCAGTGGCAGTCGCTTCTCGAGCGATCTGAACGACTCAGGCACCTCAGACGTCCTGGTGGTGAAGTCGTGGAGTCGCGTGGTGATCTTCAGCCCTAGGTCGATAAGTGATGCGATGGACGCAATGAGACCGACGACTGCCGCAGCTTCAGCCATTGCTGCAACAGGTGGAAGTCATGGTCATAGTAAGAATGCATGATCAGGTGGCATCAAGCCGCACTGAGAGCACGACTAGATCGAGGTCGCTCAGCCGCAGCAGCAGTACACATGCAGCAACATTGCAGGCGCAGGCAGCGCCTATTAGAGTCCTACAAAAGTGCATGAGCATGCAAGTTCACGTGCATAAGCGAGCCCCGCAGTCGGGACATTAGTTCGACAGCACTGGTTCTTCAGGCCGGGTCAAGCATCTCTGGCAGGCCACTTTGCCGCAAAGCGGACAAGTAGGCAACAACTCAACGGTCAGGCTCATAGTTAATTACGTTACACAGCAGCCATCCCTCGAAACGATGGCATGTAGAACTAACCAAACCACATCCCGACATGGTGAAATACACTACACCGTGAAACAGGGCTGGAGTACCTCGACTTCGAAGGTCCAATATACAGCCAGTCCTTGACTTGTATCGTTATGATACATCCTATGGTGTAGCTCGACGATCGTTCGGTCGAACACCAAATACACAATACCAGCTCGGTCGTAACACTAAAACAACAAGTAGATTCCATGCAATTCTACGTAAGGGCTGAGAATAAAGAAGTGGTCACTCTGAGTAAGGCACGGTGTACTTCGGCTGTAGGACATCTGGTCGTTTCATTACCTTGACTCGGGGACATCGACCTCACATGTATAACGGAGGCGATGCCGGCTACAAAGTCCAGTGCTGACGCAGGCCAGTCTCAGTCGCAAGAACCTAGTCGGTCGACGCTATAGGGCCATACACGAGGTCGACCTGATAGTCTCGGCGGAATTTGCAGACGACGCTTGCATGACGGTACAGCCCTAAATTGACGGTAGCCCCGCTAACGGGCCGCCCAATCGTATAGCTAGCTTCTCCAGCTTTTGCTGGACACACCACTTCAAAAGACTGCCAGCTGCAGTATCCTGATTGGCTGGTTGGTTGGTTGGTCTCAGGTTCACAAAGTATTGTACTGAAATAAGAAGCCTCCTGCATACCGCGTTTGCGGGTCGTGCAGATATGGACTCGCGGAACTCTAGGGAACCTGCGCCTCATAACCACTAGGACATCATGGTTCAGGATTGGAGCAAAACTTACGCCAGTTGTGACCGATTCTGCATTCAGCGCCGGTAGGAAAGACAGGTTAAGCTTTGTTTGCTCGGAGTCGGTGCTATAGAAGGAATGTCTGGTTCTGACGGTGCGTCTTGCTGGACAGATTGGTCGAACAGGATGGAGTCGCCTCCGAGTGGCGGTAAGGTGAAATCGGGATTTGCTTGAGGGGCACGTCAGGGTAACAGTTGCATGCTCAAACACAACGGGCGCCTCCCTTGCCACAGCGTGTACAGCGACACTGCAGAACTTCCAACATCTGGTTCGCTCCGCAAAACTGGCACTCTCCCAGCGTCGGCATTTGTGTAAAGCAGGTGAGCACGTCAAAGGCAAATTCTGGCACAGCAAGACAGACGTCCCGCCATCTGGCGCGACTGATCTCGTCGGCAGCCAGATCATGAACGTGTATACGCGCACACTTCTGAGCGCAATCTCGCAACCCACGGACGCTGCTATGAGTGTCCTCGTAGATACCAGGCACAGACTCCAAGAAATCCAACGCGGTCCACCCTTTCTGGCATAATGTCCAGTATCGTGTACACGCCAGTTCCTGGAGATCTGGTACGCCGTACTTGACCGCCAAGGCAAAGATTCCGGCGTGGTTGGTGTATTTGTTGTTGTCGAACGCATCGTAAGTGCCTCGGTAAAAGAAAGACACCATTCGTGTTACATATAAGAGATAGTCCGCTCGCAGTTCGATCGTTGCATCAGCGGACTCCTGTCACTGTAGCTTAAGCCGGGCTCGCCCTGAGCGAAGATTGCCTCTCTTACCTGAAACGAGGTCATGCATGCCGCTTGAAGGAAGACTGATTGCGGACATACCACGGCCTTATGAACTCGAAACACCTGAGATTCGCACACGATTGTCAGGTCTGAAAAGTCACCGCTTTCCAGAACACGAGCGAGCCACACAGGTCTGCTTGACATTGTGTACCATGAACCGAATGGGAAGACTGACTATGGAATCTAACCAGTCGAACAGAGCCAAGATCACAAGGATGAGTCAAAGCCAGATCTCGAATTCGAAGGGGATCAAACAAGCCTAGGGAGTAGATTGCATAGACTTCGGATGAACAAGTTTCACTAAAGACCAAAGGCTGGAATTCTAACTGTCCTGATGGCAGCTGATGGTGACATTCATCCCACCATTTTGTGGTGGCAGTTTTCGTGTCGACGTTTTTGGCATATTTGGAGATAGCTTATGCATTAATTGTCTCTTGCCATTCCTGGTCGCGACAACATTAATATCTGTATGCTAACAAATTTGGCCTATCACCTGCGGCACGCTGCTCACACGTGCAGGCAGTCGAGCTTATAAAACCCTAATCTATCCTAGGCATGCAAATTCGATACTCGGGTCTATACCACAATTTCGTCACAGTTTAGACTCAATCCCCAGATTAAAATTTAGTGGTTCGGGTATAAGCGAAAGTTTAGCGATTGCTCAACGATACTTGTGTGACACTAGACTCTGCTGAGACGTCATTTGTTGTATATTAACCTGCCTAACAGCCAAATCAGCCCGAATTCGTGCTGTTGGTTGTAATGTGCGGGGATTGATCAGTGGGAAAGTAAAGCGCTTGTGAGCGAAGGACTAAATCCTGCATTTTGCACCTGTTCGGTCGAGTGGAACGTAGGTTCGCGTTGCTACGAATTTGGACCCTTATCCGTTCGTATCAACGAGCCTCTTTGCTGGTCTTTCTGAAATATTGTTGTTCGTGTCCTCGACGTGCGATCGTATAGCTAATGAACAACCAGCCTGACGAAAGATCTGTGTACCTCGCCTTGAACAATGTGATTCGCGGCACGGATGCACAACTGCGAAAGCAGAAAAAGATCCGCGAGTTCATCCTCAAGCAGCAGACTAATGCTAACGTCAAGGCGCTGATCGAGTCACATAATATCGACGATGTGTGTAACGTTGTCAGAAGTCTTCTTGAACAGCAAGTTTTCGAATCAACCTTGAAAGCGAAGATTCGATTTCCTGAAGTGTTTGAGGTGTCCCCAGCACAGAGCGCGGAACGATCAGCGTCGGAAAAAGAAGCGGCACGCTCCGAGGCTGATGCCATCCAAGTCGCTGTTGGGGGCTCTTCGCGTCTTGACGAAGACGTGCATGTGAGTGGCCGTGCACCGGCCAAGCGTCGAGCTGACGACTTTGGTGAGTCCTGTCAGACTGGGCCCTTCAAACCGCTAACAGGATGTCCAGTTGCGGGGCCATCAGCGATTGTACCGGACAAGAGGACGCATAGCGCAATCGCTACTCCAACCTCCCTATACCCAGTATACCTACCATTTCAGACCCAACATAAACTGTTGGTGCTTGCGCAAGAAACACTGGAACGCGCTTGTTATGATTTCACCATTGCCTCGATGCCAGAACTGATCAAGAGCGAAGGATGGGACTGTGCTGAAGCCTTGGAGTTGAACATCTGGACGCGAAAGATGGAATCAAGAGAGGACAAGTTTCTGGCCGAAGATGTCGCCGAACTCGGTAAACCCTTCAACGACTTGTTGGATACCGTCGCACAGATACGACACACTGCCGTCCACCGACTACGCATCAGCGCCAACAGAATTGGTCTGTATCTCCAGGACGCCGAGTCATTGTCGAGGCTCCTGCACGACCGAGGCTGTCTGCAGTCTTTGTCCAGACTCCGTCGCGAGACCCATCTTGCCATTGAAGACCTCAAAGGCAACAAGGACCTGCTCGAGTCCCAGCTTGCCGTCAAGATGAAGGATATTACAGCCCGAAGAGCCGAACTAGATCGGTTAGAGGGGTCGGTGGTTGCAGACATGATGCGTGAGGACCAAGAATATGCACAGCTTGTGGGAAAGTCATTGCTGCAGACGGTCAATTTTCCGGATACCACGATACACAGTATATCAGCAACGGAGCACGACCACGATTCTGATACAGAGGTTGCTCGATGTTCGGTCATGCATGAAGAGGTCGATGTCTGTAGGGATGACTGGGTGAGTTGATAGTTCTACAAGCTCGACTAATGAACGACCAAGGTGAATCCACAATATCACAATTTGTGGGAGAAAAAATCCTTTCGTGCCTGGAACTGGAAAATAACCATTTGCTGAAGAAAGGCCAACTAATAAAGCGTGGTTGATCACTGCACCAAGCTAGCAGACTACGCTGCTACCTATCAGTTCTCAGAGAATGGATCAAGGTCATGCTATCTGCTACAATATACCCAAGTTCGCCTCACCTTCTCTGATTGGTTGAAATTTCGTGCTTGGTGTCCAGAGATCTTGGTCGACTGCCTACACACATCAAGTGACATGTTGGTACAAAACTACAGCTGTGGTGCAGGCTCTGTGCTTCGGAAAGACGCTGATCGCTACTGGCTTATGGCTTATGGCTCATGGCACGCCACAAATCTGCTGGTAAATGGAAAGGGCTAGCTTCCTGACTTATCGACATCAAAGCTCTCCTTACCACTATACTTCTGTGGTCGGTTCCTACCGCCACCATTCGTGGTTCTGCAGCGAAGATTATATTATTAGATCGCTAACATGATATAAGGCTACGTCTTTAGAGAAGTAGACGTAACGAGGGTATAGTATCTATAGTACCCTTTATAGTACTGTACACGCCCCGCGTTCGTTCTGTACGGATATGAACTTGAGTATAGGATCTATAAGCTCTATCTTCGTTTTAAATGTTTCTATTATCCCTACTTTGACTCACATTCGCCTGAATTAGTGACAGATTATACGCTACGCTATAGGAGATACCTGGTAAGACTTGATTCCGGCCCACATTGACACGACACCAGCAACCATAGAGACAAAGCCGAAAGCAGCTGAAAGTGCAATGCTCCAAGCGGCTGCCGTAAGTGCCCTCCTGTTCGTTATGTCCTGTTCCTTGTCCACAGTATCGCAAAGGTTCCGTCTTTTACACAGCGTAGCATTCCGATTTGCGCTGATGCTGATATAAACTACAGGCTAAATAGTAAAGCACAAATCTCAAGTTCTGTCAACTCTAATTTCTAAACCACGATCAAGCGTGCATTCTAACGCCGGAACAACGTGGCACTAGTCCTGCAGGCTTGAATGCCGAACCTCATCTTCGCCTTTCTGTCGCTCCACCGTTTGCTCCTGCCGCTAAATTTCTGGATATGCAATTGGAACGATTCCAATGGTAGCCGCTCAGTGAGAACTGCGGGCGTATGTATCTTCACATTCAACCAACGCTGGCTTTCCGCGTGTTCAGGTCTCGAGCGCTCTCCTGCCCTAAACGTAAAGTGCTCTTCTGCGCTATCTCGAAGGAGCCTTTCTACAGCTATTGTGCAATTTTCCGACGATTATTCTGCCATCGGGCTTCATTGTGCCTTCCATCCTGTTTATAGGCCTGTCATGTGGAAAGCGTTCATACGACCCAAATCTCACCGGTTCGATACGCCAATCAAACACGAATGTACATTGTACCCAATGGCCAACATGTTGGCCAAGCCAGCTAAGAAGGCGTCATATTTCAGCACGACAATTTATCCTTGTCAAAGTTGACCGCTGATGTGAACAATTGTCACACCGGTTGACTTAAATGTTGTTGTAGGCCATTCAGATTTTGCAGTTGCCAATACCGGTTTGAACCAAGATGTTTGCAGGAGGACAACGCCTCTGACCAACCAGTGAGAATTATTTCAAATAGAACTGCCGTCACAAACGACCATAGACTTTGATCGAATGAGAAATGTCTCTTCTGCTCAGTGTCGTGCGAAGTATAAGAATATCAGCTGCTGGTGACTGAACGGCTTGCTGTAGCAATCTTATGTTGGTGTCAATGAAAATGCAGATTGGGCCCTAAAATTTTGCAGATTTGAAAGCGAGCCGCACGGCATTCTTCTGAGAAGCTTCCTGTACGTAACGACATCATGTTGAACGATGTTAAGGACTTTTCCCTCCATCGGTTATGTCCAGAACGCTCGGTGGTCGAGCAGATATTGGAGGTGCAAGACTTTGAAGAAGCCAAACTCAAGTCGTTCGGTTGGATGGCAAGGCTGATATGTTTGACTACACACAAAACACCGACATCAGCCACGGCAGGAATCTCTAGGAAGTACATGTCCAAATGCTTCGTCCTACATGAGGTAGAAGCGGATTTGTTCGACGAGCAGCAGTTCCAATACGTTACTATCTCCTATCCCTGGCATCCTGCACCATACGAATCTGGCAAGTATGGAAGCTTCAGGATTAAGAAGCTTAATGGTGAGGAACGTCCTAGCCTCGTCAGGGACACAATCCTACGTCGCGCTGTTCATTATGTGCGATATCATCACCTGAGGGGCTTTTGGATAGACCACGAGTGTCTTGACCAGGAAGACTCTGAAAGGCACCAAGTTGCGATGCACTCCATGGACCGTCTTTATGCTAGAAGTCCTTGCTCGGTTGGTATGCTGACAAGTAAAGTGGGACATCAGTGGCAACTTGACGCTCTGACTGCATTGATGGATGGTTCCCTGTTTCAAGGCATTGGCCAAGAGACTGTCATCGATTTGCCGCCTGTACTCAGATCAAGTGGCTTCTGGCGAGTGCTTAAGTGGTTCGGTTGTCTCTTGGCTGACCCTTGGTGGCGGCGATGCTGGATCTTTCAAGAAGAATACTGTGCAGCGCGCAAGATGTTCGTCCTTATCCCGTGTGAGCCCAGCTTGACACAGGAAAATACGATCTTTGGAACTATGCGAGGTGAGATTGAGATACCGGCCGTCGATTTGCGCACACAACTTACTATTTTTGGTTTGGCTTGCCAACGTGGTACTATACTGAACGGGGCAGAGCAACACTTTGTGCAAAGAACAATAATTCGAAAAGCGGAGCGATATCAGACATCCTACCAATGTGGAAGACATCGGGGACATACCCTTTCATCCTTCATTATGGCCGACCTCCAACGGCGCCGAATTAAGTATCCACGGGACTCCCTTGCCATTGCGGCCAATTGCTGTGCTTATGGCAGACGACTTGATGAAAAAGCGCTAGAACAGCGGGACGGTATCAGCTTGGGACTGTCCTTATTCGTTCAGGCACTTCTCAATGGAGAGATTCTGGACAACCACAAGCAAACCCGTCGGGCATCTCACAGAGGCTTCGCTGAATTCTTTCGACAACAGATATTCCACGATGTACAACCTCCAATGGGAACAGATAACCTCACTTTCTTCAAACATTGCCGCTTTCCAAACGTACAGTTGTGTGCTGATGGGATGAGGACCACAGGATATCTCTGGCAAATCTCGAGTGCTCTTGAATCCGGCATCACGAACACAAAACGTCTGAACCTCTCTTCTGGAAGGTCCAAGCAGTCGTACGACAGCTTGTGGACATGTTTAACGCTGCTCGCTTACAAGTTAGAATCCTTACATCTCCCACTTGCCAATCGGCTTCACCATTTCATAGCAGAAATGAGGGAAAAGGTTCACTTAGATGCTCGAGATGAGTTCATGATTGCGATGGCGAGGGAAGTGGCTCACGCCTGGAATGAAAGACGTACGCTAGTAGTCGGAAAGCTCTCGGGTCATCGCACTGGTTGCGGGGTTTTTGTCGCACCAGACCAGCGTGACCTGCCTTTCTGGGTCTTCACCTCATGGCACAGTGCCTCCTACTCACCCTTCCAAGATCTTCAAAACCCAACTAAGGAACATGTATCGCTGGAGCTCGGATTGGGGTCATACATCCATGACCAAGATCTTCCCTCGCTCAGAACCCGGAGATGGATTAACGGACTCTGCTTTTTTAGTCGAACGGCGGTACAAAAAGTTGTCTTTCCTTGGCCAGACGCTTTCCTATAAAGTTTTCCTTGAAAACAGAGTCGCCTGATCCGAGGTGAAATATAGAACGATCCAAGGACAGTAGCTGTCGATCTCCAACCACTTTCCAGCGTGAAGCTTCGATGTCGTCGTTCAGAGCTTCCCTCGTATCCTTCGCGTCGGACAGACATGCTACCAAGCTGCTTCATAGAGACACGTAGCTGCAAACACTTTTGTCACAGGGCTTCTCCTCTCACCCATCAATGTTATACCGATTTCCCAAAAAGTAATGGCAATACGAGTGGCTCGAAATGACAATCGGTGCACAATGTACAAATAGCGACTATTCAGTTCAAACTGTCCAGCCGAAGCTACAGATGAGTAAGCCACTGGTCCAGCGATGCAGAACCAGGGGAAGGTTAGATACCAGTACATCCAACGCAAGGCGCAAGCATCATCATTGTCAGAATTATTGTATAGGCAGTCGGTGCATTTTAAGTACATGTAGTGCAATCTGCAGTTGACGATTCCACGATAAATCGAGCAACGAACACCTTCTCCTGTACTCGCGTGCACGTAGAATGGCGGATCAGACACAAGAGCTACGAGCTACGAAAGAGCGAGGAGGAGACCAGCATTCGTCAGCTGCTGCGACAGATGATCCTCGACAGGCCGAATGATCCGGTCTTTGACTACAAGGATTTCTTGCGCCGCCTCGGTCAGCTCCCCTTGACGAAGGATCAACTCGCCCCGCTGACACTCCGGCTCGACCTGTTAAAATCTGTGCTGGTCGACACCAAGAATGAGCCACATCTTCGAGCACTCTACAATCAGATCTGGCAGCCTGAAGCTGGATCGCTCACGATCATCGACCTCAGTAATCCATTCGTCACCGAAAGCGACGCTTGTGCATTGTTCTCGATATCCCTCAAGTTATTCGTTGGCGGCTGGCAGTCAGCGCCGAGGGTCATCGCATTGGACGAAGCACATAAATTCCTCAGATCTTCCACTGAGGCACAGAAGCTTACATCTGACCTGATCTCCATAGTCCGGCAGCAGCGACACTTGGGGTCACGTGTCATTGTTGCGACGCAGGAGCCGACTGTGTCCGGTGAGCTGCTCGCCCTGTGCAACGCGTCTATCGTCCATCGCTTCACCTCACCCAAGTGGTACAACACCTTACGACAGCATCTCGTAGCAGCTTACGGGAGGAAAGACGACCAAAGCCTCTTTCGTGAAATTGCCGGGCTGGATACAGGCCAAGCCATAGTCTTCTGTCCCACGGCCATCCTTGATGTGGAATTGGAGACCGGGAAACCCACCATGCTGCTCGATGCATATTTCAAGCTTGCAGTGCGCCACCGAATTAGCGCCGATGGAGGCAAAAGCATAGTTCCTGCACATTATACCCATTTCACCAGCAAGCACTGTGACGACGATGACGCTAGCATTGGCTCAACGGTAATGAGCAAGAATTCCGACTTTGGTGCTAGCATTCCACGAGATACCGGCACCAGTCCCATCGCCATAGCATACCAAACACGATCTTGGACCGAGCTAGAGCTAGAGCGTGCCGTCTATCACCAGATCATGGTTTTACTGGGACCAGATCCCGTGAAAGACCCGTGGCCCATAGTTGTCGCGGCAGGGTTCAAAGCTCTCGAGATGGACTTTGCGGTACCGGAACGCTTCTTTGCAGAGAACGATCTCGGCGCAGATTGTAGGGACAGACGACCAATCGACATGATGAAGCGTTTGCTCAAAAGGTACTACGACGAACTCGAAATACCGAGGACCCAAAGAGCTGCCAAAAAGTGGCTTCGTGATTGAGCTTTGGTAGCGGCAACCGAAAGTTGTGAGAAGCACGAGTCAAGCCGAAAAGGGGGTTAAATCTGGCGTTGATGGCTTCGTCGTAGAGGGAAGACATAGAGTCGGCACCAATGTAAGGTTTGCGAAATCAAGTTACGCTAGACAGTCCATAGCTTGATTCGTCACGCACTTGTAGCATCTAAATGTATTTGGTGTGACATGAATTGACCACGCCTAACTAGAAGCTGTACAGAGTCAACCCCATTCGCTGAAATTGGAAGTTAATGCGCACATGATGGTATGCTGCGACCTAGACAATACTAGCCGCTTCGGTAGCACTCCAAGCTCAACCAGATCATTCCCGCAGGCCATCCACGCCATCTGCTCCGTTACTCGCGCCAAGTTCCGCAATTGTCTTCGTGGTGTCCGTTCTGCTGCGATGAACTGTCGTGTCTCGAAATTTGCAACGCGAACAGTGCTGCTATATCGTTCACCTGCATGCACGACCACCCAACGTGGAGGCACATGGTTGGCAAAGCAATGCGGCAAAGCTCCCGTGCTTGTAGATGCGGTCTGACGACCGCTGGAGGCAGGTGTTTGACGGCGCCATCACGAGCCACCACTTCTTTCGCGCTTCGCAACTGATACGAATGCCCCGGATCTAAACAACATATCTTACTTCGAAAACCGGGTATCAAGAGTTGTCTTCGATCTGCGTGCTGAGCAAGGATCTCAATATGGATCTTCCTTTCCACACGTAAGGCTCGTGTGTATCGTCACGTCAGAATCTCACATTTTCCAGTATTCTCACTTCTCCCATCTTTGTGTTTCGAGTGGGACCCGACGGCACCGAAATGAGACTTCCAGCAGCCCTGGTATCGCAGTCTTCACCGGTGCTAAACCGACTGATCAACGGCAAGATGAAGGAAGCACAAAACGGCGTCGCTGAGATCGCGGATGTTGAAGAGGCTACCTTTGCGTGTTTCGGTCAATGGCTGTATACTGGAGAGTACATTACGCGCCCAGCGGACCGCACGAAGTTTAGATCTCCTTCTCTACAACCTGTGCCATGGGACCACGGTCTGTCGACGAAAGAAAAGAAGAAAAAGGAGAAGACTATGAGAGTGGAAGGCACTTGGAACGACCAGGTGGTACAAGACAATACCGCTCTCTTCAACAACTGGGCGTTTTCTGATAATGTCTGTCATAAAAGGAGTAAAAAGCAGGAACTGTGGGATCTATTCACAAGCTCTTGCGATGATCGACTGGCTGCTCCTCCAAGGGTCAATGTCGCAGCAGACTACCCTGACATGACAGATGAGCTGCTGTCGCACGCGAAGCTCTGCTGCTTTGCCGACAGATATGTGATCCCGGCGCTGGCGAACTTGTGTTTGGACAATTTGCGACTTTCTCTGATCGACTGCGAATGTCAAAGTACCCCAATGCGAGGAATTGCAGAATTGCTGGCGTTTACGGCGAGCAATTTCCCGCCTCGTGACGAGATAAACAGCGAAAACTTGCGGTCAGTCGTGCTCAGCTTTACGGTCATCATATTTGAGCTTTTAGTCGAGGACGATGTGTTTCAGGAAATACTCGGAAACGGTGGGGACATCGTTCAAGAGTTGTTACTCTTGCTCCAGCGACGTCTTGATTGAAGATCTTTGTCTATTCTGTGGCTGTGGCACACATAGTCTAGGAACTGGAGAACAAACTGAAGCGCTACTGTCGTTTGTACCTGGATCGGTCTCACCACTCAAGTATTTGTTCCAATAATCTATTGCTCAACGCTACTGAAAACTGCTCGTGCATGTCGAATCATACCAAGCGTGGACAGTCACTTCCAGAGGAGTTGTACATAGTTACTTCAGCAGCAAAACCGTGGGGATGATGTATCACAATAGCTAAGATTGACGACAGACTCGCGCAAACAGTAACCTGCTAAACAGTATCAGTGGGCGTGGCAGAAAATTCTTTCGCCGGCTCCAGGTAATTATAGCGGTGGTCTACAAGGGGGACATTGCTCGCCGAGCTTTAAATGATATTTGCAATCCAGATTCTTGTAGAGATACAGGCAGATGCAAGCTCGTTGACGCTGCCGAGCTTGGTGCCAAGGTCCTCGACGATATGTTGGTCCTCTACTTCACTAAAGTTCTCCGGAAATTGTACCGAGCGTGTATTACACATAGCGGCGAGACTCGAGCTCGTCTGTGCATCAGGAGGGAAAGCTGTATAGTTAGCTGCGTTAGCGTAAACCATCACGCGGCACAATTGAGGTGCCTTCGAACAACAACATAATGAAATTCGACCCAGATCTCTAGACGAGTTTGGTAAGTCGGAACTCTACCGGTGTGACTGCTTCCCCATTCATGATACCATCAACGTAGGCCTCACTGATCAGAGAGTACGCACTAGTGTGGCTTGGCCGGAGCACGAATGGCACTTGACTACCTTTGACCAAAGCGATGACGTCACCAGCCCTGACATGTTCCGAACTAAGCACTAGATGTCCTTTCTCGGTGACGAAAGGCAGACGTCCCAGACTCTTGCCAATGATCTCCGAGTTCAGTTTGGTCTCTATCAAAGGTTTACATGCAGCGGTCTCTTCGGCCGTGAGAGCAGTCAGAAATTTCTTCGCATCGAGTCTTGTCCGGCGATGCTTGATGAATCTCAGTGAACACTTCAGGAGGGTCACTGCATCAGAAAACCGCTTATGTCCGATCCTGATGAGCTGACCCTGAGAATCGTAGCCGACATCTCCAATCGAGGTCCTTGTGGCCGCAGCGAGACGCTCACGAAAATCGTCATCCTTCTTGTGCAGATAGGAGAGGCGAAGTATCTCCAGAAGCCATCTCGCCGGCCAGGTAAAGGTCTCATCTAATGGCACCTCATGAGTCGACTCCCTCTTCACGAAGTACCCCACGGCTCGGATCTTGTCGTACAGCTGACAAGACAGCATGATACCGGTCACTCTCCCATCTCGTCTCTTGACCACGACGTTTGGGCTGTCGTCCATTCCTGAGGACGTTGCAAAAGCAGGACAGAGTGTGACATGATCGTTTTCCACATCCTGTAGCATGTCGGTGGCGGACCGGGACCAATCCACGACCCACGAAGGAAGATGGTGCTGTACTTTGGGTCTTTGACAGAGCGAGAGCAGCGATATGTGACCTTGCTCAAGCATGACCGCCATTGCCAACGTGTACACGTCCTGACAGGTTCTCGTATAGTCAGGGATAACGCCTCGACGCTGTAACCATTCTTGGTCCGATGCCAAACTCAGAAGAGCAAAGATCTTATCTCGAGGATCAGTCGATTCTAGATGATGAGGACCATGGCGGCGCAGATTAACGCTCCCGACACAGGTCGCTCGAAGGAAGGCTGCCAGGGGAAAGCGATCACGCTGGTGAAGATCCTGTCCACACAGCATAATATTGGGACGGTGGTGGAATAGAGTCGTCATGATCCTGGTGTGGTAGGGAAGAAACGACCACACCCCATTGTGACAATTACGCATGAGGACCATCCAGAGAGCTATGTAAGCACTTAGAGCTGCACGGCAACGATGACGACTGATACCTTGGCTTCCACAAACAAAGAAGGCTTTTGCCGGTAAGGTAATCTCCTGCAGCACCCATACTCGTCCCCACCAAGGTCGGGTAAATAAACGTTGCATGCCAGCAACCGGGAAGCGGCTCGTCTCTCCATGCCAACCGCTGATCGCATGGAAGAGGTCAACCAGAGCCTGAAGGGGGATGAGTCTCAGGCGTCCCCGTACAACACCAATGCAAGGGCTTGAAGGGTCCTGTTTAGCAGTGAGCGGACCTTTGCTTGCCATCTCACGCCAGACATCTAGGTGATGTCCATGCACGGACGTGACACCGCATGCCTCTGCTTTGCGTCCGATGGTGTTCAGGAATTTCATGACTTGATCGCTGTCGTCACATGCAGGTCCCAGCCAAGCCAAGACTTGCGAGGCTCGCTGATAGATATCTTTCATCAAATTGACCTGCCAACTTTTTTCTACGTCATCTTCTTGGTTGATGCATAACGCATCAATCCAGAAGACACGACTCTGCTCCGAGTATCTGAGCGCTGTAATTGCAGCATAAAGGTTTGCAGTGATGTACACAGGACTGTCATTCACAAGTATGAGACGCTTGTCGCTGGCGTCTCCCCATGCGTAAGACAAAGCCACGAAATCCGGCTTACTCTTCAGTGGAGCCTGGAAGATGTGACAAGATGGGAGCAACCTATACCTCGGGTCTTGACCGTGACCCAGGATTTCAAGAAGTCGAATTTCGGCATTGCTACGATTCAAGGGATGGTAGTCTATCGCCATGATTGTGTCAAAACATGAACATGTGCACTGTGAAAGCACTCATCGAAGTCTTTCTACAGACTCCCAGCGTCGATGGCCATGCCGTTCTCTTATATAGCTGTACGCTCCGTGAAGCATACTGACCATTATGTGAAAACATAAGAGGAAGAGTTTTGTCCCGAGATAGGCACCAGACCTATGTGGGTCAGTCAATCACAGCATATGGTGGTACATACTTTGCAAGGCACATTCAAGGTCGAGCAGTCTGACAATTTGTTCACACCACAACGCAAGGTTACGAGTCTGGCATTCAGGCTCTTACGTTGGAAATGTGTTGGCTAGCCTGAACCTAATTTGAAGTGGCGATTTGTCTCCGCAGATTAAGTTCACCAAAATTCCTCCCCAAAAGACGCTCTCCAGAAAGTTCTCTAGAACCTGCGTAGACTGATAGATCACTTCTCCAAGAATAGCAGTCAGATATGGGTACGAGAGTCGCGGAAACTGACGTACGATCACTGGCATCAACGCTTCCACCGCTGCACTGAGCTGCTGCTCTACCGTACCACACATCTTGCTCCTGCGCAGCTATTCAACCTTGAAGCTGACTGCTGCAAGTAGATGCTTAGATTTATTCAGGAGTCCCTTAAGAGCGTTGGCCCCCTGCTGAATCGGTGATCGCTCGGTAGATTTAGGGTGAGAGTTGGAGTATCAACGCAGACAAGGGACGGGTGTTCGACGTTACTTAAACTCACACACTTTATGGCTTGTTCGAACCTTTTGACTTTTGCGCTACGGTGCGAGGCACTACGCGATGAGTTGGAGACTAGCGGGGATGATTTTGCAAGACCCAACCATACTACATACCCTTGCGCGTGGGATATAAACATCGTGCCGCCCAGCGGAGTACTTTTTCAATTGGCTATCGATGTAGAAGTCCTCCATATCTACCCAAAAGGACCGCGAGCTGACCCACACAGCGCATGCTTTCCAATCTCACTGACAGAGGAACCTTTCGCTGACCATGTTTGTGTGGGTTTTTGGTTGTGCTACATCATTGGGCTTCGTCATTCGTAATCTCGCAGTCAGCATGTCAGCGAGGCGTATTGTGCGATCCCTTATTACATATTTATCGCCCGCACCACCACGAGATCGAGTAGACCTTATTTTATTGCGACATAAGACGCACACAAATCAGGCTGTATCATGATCTGTTCTACCTGCGCACGTCTGAGTGTGTCCTTGTTATTTTTCAATGACGATGATCTCCTCCAAAGCACGGATCTCCCAGCTGGTTACTTCTGGCACGAACATGCCGACGTACTTTGTTTCGAACACTCCATCGATATCGCTGGTCTCGAATATAGCGTGTCCAAGGGCTGCGAACTATGTAAGATCATCTGTGCGGCCCTCGAGAACCTTCCCATCGTATCAGACGAGCTTGCAAGCCAATTGCCCCTCGTTTTGTATATTGGAGGAACAGCCAAGGTCAATGTGGCTCTGGACAATGAAGAACAAGGTCTGGTCAAAGTCTGTGCGCTCGACGCAAGTCGAGACCTCAGTAAGGCTCATCCTCTGTTCTTGATAGTCTGACAACCATGTCATCTAACTCGATGTGTCTGTAGCCATACACGGACACTTGACAGACATGCCAGTAGAAATCTACGAGAAAGTGCATCATGACCCAGCAAGTCTGCATTGCACAACCCTTGCGAGAGGATGGTTCTCGAATTGTGCCGACAATCACAACTGTACGGCTACAGCGCGGTTTGCCTCGAACTCGGTAACCCGTTTTCTGCATATAGATTCGGTTGGGAGAAAAGTTCGCCTGATCGAATATGCGTCCAACGAGGCACCATCTAGCTGGGCTGCACTCAGTTACCGCTGGGGTCATTGCCAGAAAAGAATGGTGCTCACGCAATCTAACATAACAGAGCTGAAACAGGGCATTAGTCTACATGACCTAGATGCTACCGTGCGAGACGCGGCGTTCATTGCCCAAGCTCTGGACCTCGAATACCTCTGGGTAGATGCGTTGTGCGTGTTTCAAGACGAAGCCATGGGAGACTGGTCAATACAATCATCGAAAATGCAGGAGATCTACGAAAAATCAGCGCTGACACTCGTCGCTGTCGACTCTCCTTCCGTCCAGGACGGTTTTCTGGTGCCACGCAACGAGCAGTACGTCGCTGTCAAGTGGAATCTGGACAACTCGCCGAAAGGTGATAGTGGGCCGAACACCGTCTACCTCTCCAAGCACTGGGATCCCACACGAGATAAGCTCAAGGGACCTTGGTCAGAACGAGGGTGGACATTCCAGGAGGGACTCTTGCCAAACAGGCTGCTATACTTTACTGGCACCCAGATGGTGTGGAAATGTTGCAGAGAAACTCGATACGAGCGTGGGCTTACGGTGGATCCGACACAGAAAATCGTGGACGAGTTTGCAGAAGAGGGTGGTCGCAACTTTTGGGCGTTCGATCTCTTCACGAAAGTCAAACTCATGCCGTGGTACATCAGGACCTTAGACCAAGATATTCGACGCGAAAAACATCGCTTGTGGTACGAGCTCGTGGAAGAATACTCTGCTCGGCATCTAACTAACTTTTCCGATCGATCTGTCGCTATCTCTGGCTTGGCTGCGAAATATCATGACCTTCTCGGCGCCGACCGCTATTTAGCAGGTCTCTGGCAAGCCGATATGGTCCGCGGTCTACTATGGTATGTCCCAGATTCGAAGGTGTTCAGCGCGCCAGAGTCCGAGACACGACTCGTGGAAAATTGCCGTTACCCTACCTGGAGCTGGCTGCACGTGGCGCCAGGTCATGCAGTGAGAAACGACCACGCTTCCTACATGGATTGCCGAGACCTGGCGCAAGTTCGGCCCATCCATTTCGACGACGAACATTCTTTACAGTGGTTTAGAAACATAGAAACAGCAGTCTTGAGTCTTCGTGGACCAACCTTATTTTTCGACCAGCTTTATTCCGCAAACTGGCGTTCATCCACATCTTTGTCGGCCTTCGAACGGCACATCTCTCAGCTCATCGAAGACCAGTACGAGAGCCGCGCTGTGGAGTTAGCTCATCAGGCTAAATTCGCTGCAGTTCTCATGCTGAAGCATTTTCCGTCCATCGATCACCGGATGGATGTCCTGGTGTTAGAAGCAACAGGTCAGGAGGGCGACGCGTTGTCCGTATTTCAAAGGTGCGGAGTGGTACAGCTCTGTTATTTTAACGTCAACGCCAAAACTCTACAGCTGCGTCGAGGACAGGAATCGTTGTCTCACCGTCTTGGTTTGAGTTCCGGTCCTCGAAGAGTTAAACATCTCTGCGCCAAAGCCGTTTTTGACGAGCTGTACACCAAGATGTGGCCGCAGCAAGAAATCACTATGATCTAGCCACCATGTGCAGTTTGGGTTGAAGTTACCACAGATAAGTTCGAGGTATCAAGCTGTGAAGCGATTGATGAGTCTTGATTGCTCATGACTAGATAGTAACCCCTTGGAAAATCGCCTTGTCCTTACTACGACATTATATGTAAGGTCAGAAGTTAGTGCGGGAGTGTAAAACACAGGAAGAGGTAGATTTGTAATCTCAGAGTACAAGAACTAATGCCGTGCAAACTTGTCGTGCCTTCTGCTAACTTTAAACATCTCCCCGACGCCTCCTTCTGCCCTGTCCAAGGATGTTCCACTGCGCAGGAAGTCCGTAGGCCTGCTGTGAAATCAGAAATTGATCGGAGTCGAATTGGGATGATGGTGAAAGGATTTGCGATCAGTCAAGCGAGTAGGATTTGACTGCAATAGGTGTAGTGGCCAACACATCTCGTATATTGTCTGCAAGCAACGTTCAAGGTTCATGCAAGCTCCAAAGGAGAGGCTGAGTGAAAACTCTGCGACTACCGAGGAAGAACTACTATACGAGCAGTTAGATCGCGAGCGAAGGTAAACGATGTTTCATGATCTGTTTGAGAAGTTGTCAACATCTATATGGAAGAACGTTGTGCTCGGTAAAACAGCGGCTCATTGACTCGAGGACTCGGTCTTAGGGGAAAAGCACCAGACCCTGGTTCTGGAGGAGTGGCACATCGCTGTCTAAGCAAGTGACGCTCAGCTAGCTTGAACCATCGTTTCTGAGTTTTTCACCACACATTTAAATCTCGAGAATGACATCTAGCCCTCAATCTTCAGGCCTTCGTGCCTTATGAGGATTTCCTAGTCAGGAAGGCTGTATTGTACCGAGCGGAGAAGTGGTGATCTGGCAGTTTCGGGAGCCACCTGAGACGCGCAATGCAAGAAACCCAATGCACCACCCGTGCTCAAAGTTGCCTGTCCATCCACTTGAAAGATAGGTAATAGTAGCAAGTTGATCTGAGAAATCTTGCTTGTTGCAGCCTGAGGCTTCAAGACGTTGCTCAGACAACTGGTGACGCAAACATACCCAATCACACGAGTCTGCATAATTCACCGGTTATCGTGCGCCCATGCTCAGCAGAAGCCAACACATTGGAGTTGTGCATTCCAGCATGCAAAACTTGTCGCAACGGGTTGATGACTGGATTGGTGATGTACTGAGTGAATGGGATAGTGCATGTTCTGCAACACAGCGAGGACAAAAGCGTCAGCGTTACCCAATGGACAGTGAACGGACCCCACGACCGAAAAGGACGAAGAAGACGCTGCCGACACCTGACAGCTCGGATCGTCAGGATGGATTGTCAGAAAGACAGCTCCCGATAATACCTCCTCCTGCACCTTCATCGACCTGCTCGACCAACACGGACAAGACAAAGCGAAGCAAGAGTCCACAGAAACGTATGCGTGATGCTGAAAGTCTCTTGCTGAAGCCGGATCTTAAACAAGTACCTCTCAAGAAGGTGCGAGACTGGGAAGTAAAAAATCATACCATGGCGAATTGGGACCTCTACAAATCACTGCAACGTTCCATCACAGCTGCACCCGACAAGTCTGCATATGATGACTTTTTCGAGAAAGATCTGGACAGAATCTTCAACTACCTTGTCGATATGCCTGATGGTGCTGACGAGAATTACTGGAGCGACGACGTGGTATTTCCTTGCTTGAGGCTGGCTGCTGAACTGACGCGACGGGCGGAAGTCCGTGCTTTTAATGTGTATGGTTTCAGCGCAGATCGTAAGGCTTGAGCTAACAGAGGACAGCAAGAACATCGGAATCACGGATCTTACCTTACTTGGGGCTTCCGACGAGAGACCCGATACACGAAGGGTCGATTACTGCTTCGGTGTCAGCGTGGTGGACTCGACTGATGACGCGCATGCTCCAATCTTGAGGTATGCTGACCAATACCTCTGCCAGAGCAACCACCCTCAAGTAAACGACAAAGTTCTTTTCTCACATCTCGAGCTGAAGACCGATACAGACAAAATCGAAGCAAACGCGCAGCTCAAGGTTTGGGCCAGTGCAGGCTTTGAGAAGCAAAGGCGCTTACGCCAATCAAGGCTCGACTGTGATCCAGCAGAGTATACAATGCTGCTGGCGCCTCAACCCGTTTGGGTGTGGCTGTCAAACAAGGTGGAAGTAAAAATTGTTGTGGCAGAGTGGGAGAACGAGCACATCTGGTTCTTGCCCGCAAAGGATTATGCGTTGGACATTTACGACAAGGAGTCTCTCAGAAGTTTGGTCTCTGCCATGAGCCGTGTGATGCAATGGGGAGCGACGGAATATCTGAACTGGTTTCGTACAGAGCTGCTCGGGAGACCGGACCTGAATACCGAAAGATAATACGAGCAGAAACAACGACTCTCGTGACATATACAACGATTTCACGGACGATCTCGAGTAGGGTCTCGTGAGGACTCGCGACGTCACAGACATTATCTAGTGGGTAACTTTAGTACACTAATTGCATATTTCGTGCGAAATTGCTTTTACAAGCCAAGTCCACAGCGCGGCTCCGATACTCATTTTCGATGAGCTGAGAAATGTGTCGTTCAAAGGCGGTCATCGATGTAGACGAACAGCAGTTAACAGCGTAGAGACTGTCGAAGTACAGAGTATGCCATACAGGCTGAAGAGAGCTCCTTGGCTCGTCCTGGATGAGTAAGACAAGTCCTGATAGTCGGTCTGCATGCTCCGGACTTGCGCGAGGAAATTTGCGATCGGGATAGAAAGCGTAAATATTTCTCACTGTGCAGTCAGGCGCCAGGTATAGCTAGCTCTATGTAGGATACTTGCTTACTGGGAAGGGTCGCGTTTTGGATGTCAGCAGACTGAACGACTTTGCACCACGGATCATATCGCCTTCCCAGAGACCGGCCACATACTGTTTACTGTTCAGTGGTGAGGAAGTCTTGGTATCTTGCAGCCAGGCCAGCCCAAGCAACAGATCTATCCAAGAAATTCGCAAGGTGGCGAGCAGATTACCCTTCTACAGGTTGGTACCACAAGCGATGTCTTTCCGATCGAATGTCGTGGACTGAGGTGCTGGCGTACCACGGCACAAGCTTGATTTTTATAAGGAGACCAAACCCCCAGAAGTTCCGGCCACCTTCTTCGCTCTCAGCAGCTTCTGCACTGGTGACAAGTTTCGGGCCTGGCAACGAGTTCCCCGAAAAGCGCGTGCAGGATCAAAGCACACCTCCTGTTGAATGGATGTGCATTCAAAGGTCGCATAGCACGTCACAATGGTGTATGGGAAGTCGCAACTTACGTGTCGGCAGCACAAATCTGGTCTCGCGAGGCGTGTAGGACAAGTTTCTGATTCTTTCGCAGGCTTTGTGCTTGGTCATCTTGTTCGCGCCATGCATTTTCAACTAAATAAACCGCGTTGGTTATCAGATTATCCTTCAGTCTTCTCACCCAACAAGGGTCCTGATCAAAGAGCATTAGCTAGAACTTGTGCTATCTTCAACCGAATCTTAAGACGTCAGCACCAACCGTTCGAGCAAGATGTACCAGCCATGAGAACTATTCTGGCAACACAACGGCACACGAACGTCATCATGTGATAGACATGATTGGTTCTATTGTCTAGGTGTTTTAGAGGAGGTTGTCGAGTATCTTTAAATCAGTGACTTTGTCTCTACGACTGGCCGGCGGATCAAGCTGCCATGTCTTGTCTAGTGGTCTCTAGTACTCCAAATATTTGTCGAAAGGCTCTAGTGCTGCTATTTCGCTGGCCTCTTCAATATTCCCTGCCCACACGCCATCTCCCATACTGTATTCGCCGTGAGACGATGGGTGGAACCCAAGCACGTTCTGACCATAGTTGCTTACAATGTCCGTCCGATATCGCTCGAACAAAGCTCCTGGCCCATCTTCAGTGACTACCGTCAGTTAGCCATGAAATGCTCAGGAGGAGACCTGGCATTGTTCCGGCCTAGTACAATAGTTGAGATGACTTACGATTGTGTGAGATCGTCGTACGACCCGGACATGTAGCTTCCACCTTCTGATTCTAACTGAGTGACTCATACTGCACGTCCCTCCTCGTTGCGGTCAAGTTGTCAAGATGACATCCTATAGGCAGCCATTCAGCCTCGTTTCCAGCAGCAGCCTTAATGCAATGGCTGTGAGAATTGTCCTCCAAAGCGATAGCCTGACTCGACCACTCAACAGGTTCAGAAAAAGGGTCGTATTCCGTTGATGCGTTGGCGAGCCCTTCTTCTGATCTCTCGGCTTCCTTTCTTCCGCGTTGGGCGTATGTTCTCTGGACCTTCAAGAACTTTACAATGAGGTCTATCGTCGAAGCTTTTCGCAACTTTGATCTCCAATATGGTCTCGAGGCCGGCGGGAACCAGTCTACCCTGTCGGGTTTTGCGAGAAGTCTCCGGGCTAGATCACGTAAAGTATCATCAGACGCTTCTTTTAAACTCTGCCCCTGACTATGTACGTGGAACAGAGTCGCTTTGGACAGATCAGAGATCTGGCGTTCGTCCAGATCGAACCTGATGCCAATCCGCCTGAGGGTACGAGTCGGACCATTGTTGTGTGAAAGTTTTGGGCGAGGCATCGTGTGATGATAGATCATTGCGTTTAGCGTTGCAAACACAAGACATATATGGTAGATGTATGCTGCTATTGCTGACATCTGGCTTACAGGTCGCAGCCGTCAAGACTGCCTGTCGTGGTAGCCATACACTCCGAGGTGTCATGGCTGTCTGTGCAATGCACTCACGTCTCGTTGCGTCCGGCCCAATCGAGTTGGTCGTTGTCTGGATGTTGTCTTGACCGCCTGTTTGATGTTGACCGCGTGTCTTGCCTTTTGTCGCATCTGATTCGCTGATCTGCATATCGTTGCGGCTGGTGTGGTGCACTGCGTGTTGCTACGTGTAAGCCGGACGCGATTTCGTCCTACTTAATCTCACGTTGTCGTTGTCTGCTCTCTTCTTTGTTGTGTACATCACAAGATCATTACCCAATCTCATGCATCGCGAAGTCAACATTAGGACTGTCTGTGACAGCGTTGGTCTGGATTCTTTGCAGGCGAATAAGTTGAGAGAGCATACCCGCACCTATCTCATCATCCAGACACAAAAGCTAACCTCTACGCCTGATCATGTTTTGGCAGATCTGGCAGCGAGATTTCTAACTCACCATGGTGCGGAACATTTTCCTGCTGCGCCACCGCCGGCGGTAGCATGGTCAGAAGCAGGCGACCAGGCAAAAATCACGGATTGTGTCGTTAAAATCATGACGCTGCAACGTCGACATGCTGTTGAGACTTTGCACCGTAAAGGACCTTGTCCTGGATGTGTTTTTCACTTAGATGTCGCAGCATCGCGCTCTTGCACAGATGGTGCAGATGGTAGGTTTACAAACTGCTGCAGTCTACATCGCTAATGAATCATGTTGCGACAGACATAGACCCGACACCTGCGCTCCGAGCTTCCTTTCTCGCTTCTTCTTCACCAATATGCACAGTCAATACTATGTTACCCTCCAAAACGTTCAGCACTAGTCCCTGATAGTGCCGGAAATGCCAAGTCCTCGTTCGACGATGACCCACGAATACTGAATTCTGGTCTACCCGTCTGAAGATATCGCGCTGGAGAAGCCCAGTGACAGTGACGAACAACGTTCCAAGAGGAGAAGGAACTCGCTGGACGTGCTGGGGAGGATTCACTATTGTGGTCACCAGGCAGATGGGCAGGCCTCGATGACAGCAAACATGTATGGTTACCGGACCACTTGGTTCGGCTTTAGGACCTGGCAAGACAAAATGGCCGCTCTGGAGGGACTTGTCGCCATTCAGCACCAAATTCTTGAGGCAGCTCGACTCAGAATACACACGCCTCATTTAATGCCGAAAGAGAGACAGGAAAGCATTGTGAGCAGTCATTTGGAGAAAATCGTACATACACAATCGCTCGAGTACCTCGCAAAAGTTGGAAAGCTTTTAGATTGATGCAGCTTTCCGGTAAGAACCAGTTGTGGGCTATCGAGGACGTGCCAGAAACGACTACCAGTGTGTCGGAAAGTAAGCCAGCCGTTCGTACATCCATTTTTGAACCACATCTATGATGTTGGGAAGACAAAGAGAACGGCGGATAAACTCATCTTAGTTTCTCCTACCAGTGCTGTCTTCGATTAACAGCATTTGCTAATCTCTATGGTATTCTCAGCATGTCTTTCCTACTCAGAGCGCTTGCGTACAACACGCGCTGTTGTGTTGCGATCTGCTGCTTGGTCGTTCTCCTTGCCTCTTGTTTCGCGATTACCCTGGACAAGCACTATCGGTCAGCATCCGGGAGCCACGAGTAGTGCAGATACGTATGATTATATAGGAGGGCACCCGAAACATTGCTAGGGTTAATCTTGGCGGTCGGTGCAACGAACTCTTACTGACCTAGAATCGATCGATGTCGTGGCCTGCCAGCTGTGCAGCTTGGAGCCTTTGTATAGCACTATTCCTGTTTATGGAGGACTTTTTTCCATCTTATCAGTCTCGCACCAGGACAGACAACATCTTCGACCAGGATGCCGCTCTTTTTGACGATGAGGAAGACGAGCGGATTGATATCGCGCAGAAGAGAAGACGCAACCGTGATCGACACCAAGATCGACAACAGGACATACCTTGTCACGAAGTCGCAGGCCTTGAAGAATTGGATCAACTCGGCGACCTAGATCCCATACGGTTCCAGTTTTGCTTCCCGCTCGCGTTCCATCGATTTCACCAATTCCGGATCAGATGTTGTTTGGTCCGCAATGCCCTTAGCCATTTCCCAAACGCTTTGACTCGGCTTGGCGTGATGGCTGTTTTGCTTGTACTCTTCATTCATAAGTGATTCTTGCGATGCCTGGCATGGTATATTTCTGGACTGAAACAATATATTCAGGGGCCTTCACTCGGACGATCATCTTCTCAGCATAGACAAATACTATATTACTGACTGGTGAAGCTCGTCGCGAAACATGACTGCCATCGGCTTGCTATCCGGCCTTGATTCGACACGGGAGACGATGAAATGTGCGATTGGAGGCTCGCTTGGGTATTCAAAGAGTAGCTGGAATCGAGTCAAACTCATAAATCGGATGATATGAAAGAAAAAAGTGGTCGTTTCATTCTATCGCTCGGAGGGAGTGGGATATCAAGGAAAGAAAACTCGGGTAAATCCGAAGCTAATCTCGACCTTAATAGCAGCTTTTTCTGTGTCTTAGCACCGAACCAACCTCTCTTTGGTTTCGCCGAGATTTTCTGTAGACTTCCCTCTTCCGTCCTTACCGTTGGCATTTGCCATTACATCAACCATAGCCCGGCCAGCCCAGCTGCAATCGTCTTGCAAGAGGAACTGGACTCGTTATTGCGGGTCCTCTGTTGCCGTTGTATGGCTATTGAAGCACATCGATGTTTCAAGCACTGATCAGACGATGGCTACAATGATACACGGAGGCTGCCATGATGGAGTCACGCTGGAAGATTGCACGCATCCTGTTTTGACAGGGTCGGAACATTGCTATCTGCAGTGGTAGGATCAAAAAATCAAAAGAGTATCAATACAAGCTGGTCGCAAGCTCCACGTGTAATTACATCGGGTTTGTACAGGCTAAGGAGTATCGTCCATATTTACAGAAAGGATCAAGCTTTCTGCATCCGAGCTCGAAATCGCTCTCTGAGCAGGGTTCTACGGTTGCGAGACCCACGAAGTCTGCCTCGTCTAGACTTTGCCGATACTATTCGACTCTCTGAAGCTTCCTGGACAGTAGCTCGATCATCGTCATCCGAAAGCACATCCACACACGGTATACCATCAGTGTACCACCAGTCAGGCACTGGCGGTACATTGACCGTGATGGACACGACTTCCTGCGCTGTCCTTCGTTGAACCGGTTTCCCTGCGTGAACAATGCCGGCCGCTTTGTAACCACCAGACAAGCAGTCGTGGGCCGAGTGTGACTCGGCCATCCCTATATCGTCTACTGTCACAAGCTGGCTGTTATCCAGATGATAGTCGCTTTCTTCTTGTACTGTGGTCGGACCTGAGACTACAACAGGCGTACTGGACTTGGTCCGACCATTGCGAGCGTCAGGGACTCTTATTTTCTCCAGCTTTTCCATGTCCTCGACCTCCACACCAGCAAGATTGTCGCCTGCCTGAACCACTTTCGGTGGCGTTGCGAACACAGCCGGATTGATATACAGAAACGAGAGCTTCCGCAGGCCATGTTCGAGAAGAGCTAGAAGCCGATGGTCGGCCGCAACAGCGATGCAGCTCGCTGGACCATTCGACATGATTCGTTAGATGCAGTATCAAATCATGTTCGAACATTTTCCGGTTGAATGGCATGAACGCTGTGATTTGTATGATATTTGGAAACGCGGGCTTGGTGGGGTAAATCGTGGAGCTGCAAATAGCCGATGCTCGTCAGAATCCTTCGACTTTCGTGCAGGACTACAGGAGGTCTGTACCACCGCATGTTGATGACTCGCGAGATTCACAACTGACGAAGTGTCCTCCCGACAATTGCCTCCCATCTAGGCGAGCTGGTGGCACAAAGTGCTGCCTCGTGCACAGTATACTGTACGTTCTCCGGTCCAGCTACAATCGCAATGGTTTCTCCTTCAAGGAATCTGTAAATATGATCAGTGACATTCCTGAGACGGAGGACGGGTCGTCACTTTCGAAGACGACCAATTCTGTCTGCGAAATGCATACTGGGTAAAGGTGAATCTTCCGCAGATGCCCAGATCATAGAACTTTGCAGGGTTCGCCTAGCGGTCTCCTATGCCTGTCTCGAAAACATGTGACAGACTCTGACTGTGCCCAACGTAGCTTTGTGGCGAGATGAACACGGACCCAATTGTGATACTAAGACTGTCTTGTTATTGGTCAAGAAAGGACAATTATGTATATGAACGCGTGGCTATCATATGCAGGTTCGTAGAAGTTCTCAGCGCCAAAATCATCAAGCCGTATTGGGTCTTTCATCTGCTTGACCCTGCCGATACTGTCCCTGAAGCGAGATTTCACGTTGATATTTCCAGACATTGTTTCACAAGTGAACGATCCTGGTTCAGCTTCACTATGGCACGGCCGAAGAAATCTGCTCCCAAACAAGCTGCTCCCAAACAAGCTGCTCCCAAACAAGCTGCTCCCAAACAAGCTGCTCCCAAACAAGCGCCCCAAACTCCTTCATCAACAAGCACCAGTACAAGCATGGCTCAAACTTTCGATCCGCTGAACTACATGACTGCAGAAGAGCTGGTCAAGATCGATACGCAACTCGCTGTGGCGTTAAAGGGCGCAGACGTTTTACT